AAGGACTGCCCTGCCGCATAGGGACCCTTAGGCATTTATTTATCTCTCTTATTTTCATATACTACCAATCCCGACAATTATAAACCACGAAACCTTGATTATACTAGATAATATTAGTGGATAACTATAGGGATCCTTCTATAGCTAGCCGCCCTTGTGATCGCTCACGCCTAATATAGCTAATATATATACTAATACGCACTCGTACTTACTCGACTAGATCCGCTAGTTTAATAACTTAATCATAAAATCTATATATCACGCTTCTATAGGCTCTAACTAGTAGGGTTGGTCGTCCCCACCATTGATAGGGTTCTATATAGGCTAGCCCGCTAGGTACTACGCGGCACGCTATAATATATCCTATGCGATACGCTGCTAGCGATTAAACTGGTATATAGGACTCTCCTACTCGTGCGGGACCTATATCCGCGCAAAAAATATCAACACCCGCTAGTATAGCTCGACGTAGCGCTCTAACTTAGCGTACTTATATATATACGCCTGTAATAGCTTCGATAGGATGCTCTATATATTGGTGCGTATAGCTTCGATCTATAATAAATGCCTAGTCTGCTTAGTGATGCTTTGGCTTTTACTCGCTATCCCTAATATAGTATCCTATATTACCTATACAGTGGCTTCGGGGCCCTTAGCGTCGTCCGTGGGGATTCCACGTATATACGTAATGCCTTGGGCGTCTAGCTATATAAATAATAGGCCTATTTAGTGTGGTCTAACTATAGATTAGCCTCGTCGATTTCCCTAGCCTAGATCACGGCGGGCTACTACCGTTGCTAGGTGAATATTACTTCTATCTTATCGATAGCCTAGGCTATCTAACTGGCCTTAGGGGGTGGTGCAGCGGGCTTATACACGGGATTAGGCTATTAGACGTAGATATAATACGACCTAAATTTGCTATAGAAAAACCACTAGTATATAACTCATTGTATTGCTTAGTCTCGCTTCTCCTATCCCACGGCCATCTTAGATAGTCGCGGTTTCCGACTCTATTAGTACGGGGAAAACTAATAGATAACTCGCTAATGCTTCCGAATACTCTTGGGGGATTAATATATATATACGTAAAATAAATACTTAATCCTATTAGTATAGACGGTTAAACCCGCGATAGGCTGCTCTACTTATATAGGGAATATACTAGGCTTATTATATACTTTGTCCTACTCGTCGATAATAATTTCTTTCACTCGCTACGCAACACTCTTAGGGATATAATGATCACCGCGCCGCTTACTTAAATGGCTAATAATATCTTGGGGAACCACAGCGTGCCCGCATTTCTTATAAATAGCAACGTGGTACGTTAGATTATATATAAAATAATCGTGGGTATTAATATAGTTGTCTATTGTGTGACTAGAATATATATTGTTGGTGCGTTGAACCCACGGCGAATAGACTTAAATGATACCCTCTTAAATCGACGTGGATAATGTTTAAAATAAAACTAGATCTTAGGAAATCCCCCCTAACTACTACCACTTAATTTATAATACGAAACCCCTATTCGTTCTACTGTGATGAATCGTATAGTCTAGTGGTTGGTGGTATATAGCTATATAATGGGGTATAATGGAAATCCTAAATGTCGCCTAGTCGCACCCTATCAAAATAATTAACTATATTTCGGATCCTTGTAACTACCCTTTAATTTTGGGTGATGGGCTTAAAAATCTCACAAAATACGCGGGGGATCTAGGTTTAAATTTAATGGACCTTCGATAGGGATCCGACCAAAAAAAGCCTACTAGGATCTAGATAGGCGTTTCTACTAGGATGAACAAACTGGCTCCTATAGTTAACGAAACCCTACTCTACTGGGATGAACTGCATCCCACTTACCCCTATGGGATAGGGTTAAAGAGCTAAAAATCGAAGTCAAGATTAGCGGAAAAGGGATTTATTTAAGTCTCACTTACTTACTTTTCCTTTTAGGCTGGATAGAAATGGCAGATGCTTGAAGCTCTTGAATCAGCTAAAAATAAGCTTCGAGAGTACTATGCAAAAACAGATGATCCAGAACTTAGTGATATCTATATATATAGCACAATCCTAGCCCCTTAGTATAAGTTGCAGTTCTTTTCTGGCCCTGACTGGATAGATAAAGACTATGCTTCTTTATATCGAGTAAGCTTTCAAGAGCGGATGAAGGTATATCAAATAGAGAGTGATTTAATCTTAAAACCTTAGGCTTCTATCTTAGCTTCTGAGCTTGATCAATTGCTTACTTCTGAGCCTAAATCCACCTAGGATCAAGATGAATTATCCCGATTTCTCTAAGGAGGTAAGCTTATTTCTTCTCTCACTTTTCTCTCACTTTTCTCTCACTTTTCTCTCACTTCTTCTCTCACTTCTAGTCTTATTTTTAGTCTACTTTCTTTAGTTTATTTAGGTTTGGTCCTAATTAGCCCTCGTCTATTCTAGAAAGATTATATATATTAGTTCCCTACACTAGCATATATAGCATAGGATATTTTCTCTATCCCTGCTATTAGTGCTAGTGTAGAAAGGTCATTTAATTTAGCCTAGGATATCTATCATTATCGGAGGGGTCGTTTGAATTCTTCAACCATCTAAGACCTAATAATGTTTATATATACGACGAGGTTCGAGATAGAAGATTAGTAGCTAGCTTTTATTCGATCTCTATCTATCCACAAGGACGGTGAAATAGATGAACCTTCTAAGTAAATAGAAGGGTTTAAGCCAATTAGTGATACTGAGGATGAGGTGGATGATATAGATAATGTGGATGAGATAGATGTTTCTAGGCTATCTTCCGTTCGGGCTAGTAAGAGACGAAAGAGTGTTTTATCTAATGAGAGTGATGATGATTTGGTCTCTCTGCCTATAATGCCAGAAAGCCAGATTCGGGCCTCTAGTCGGGTGAAAAGACGTCCTTGGGGGCTTGAGGGCTTTGAAATTCTATAGATTAATACAGGTGTTATTCTCTTATTTAAACCTCACTTTCTTTTCTTATTTTATTACCTTTCGACTGTAATTTTACCACCTAAATACCAAAAATTCCTACATAATATGCATTAATTATACCTCCTTATATTATGGGTAGTTATGGGACTATAGGAGTCCCATGGGTGGGACGGCCTTTTCCCTACCCACCCATGGGACTAAGGGTCGGTCCCATATCCCATCTATAGGCGGGACGGGACTGTCCCAAATGGGAATACCCATGGGAGTGTCAATGTCTACCCCTGAATACCAGCGCGTACTAATACTATTCTAGTTTAGCGCTGGGTACCTTTTGTTAGTACCCTCCGCGACCGCATTACCGGCCACCAATTTCGCCCTCAAACACGCGCCAATAGCCATAAATTGACCCAAATTGAAGAGGAATCGCTTAAAAAGTGGATATTGTCAATGGATACGCGTGGAGTAGCCCCTAGGCCCTCTATGGTGCGAGAAATGGCGAATCTTTTGCTTGCAAAGCGTGGTTCAACCCTAATCTAGACAGTCAGCAAAAATTGGGTCACAAACTATGTCAAAAGACAGACAGAGCTAAAGACTCGTTTTTCACGTCGATATAACTATCAGCGAGCAAAACAAGAGGATCCAAAGGTTATTCAAGAGTGGTTTGATCGCGTACAAACTACAGTTCAGCAATACGGTATCCTACCAGAGGATATCTATAACTTTGACGAGACTGGTTTCGCTATGGGCCTTATAGCGACCGCAAAGGTTTTTACCCAAGCAGAATACTACAGTCGGCGATCAGTTTTACAGCTAGGAAATCGCGAGTGGGTGACTATAATCGAGTCAATTAGCGCTTCTAGGTGGGCGCTTTCGCCTACGATTATCTTCAAAGGCAAACTACATAATCTAGCTTAGACTAATGACCTTCCAAGGGATTGGCGCTTTAAAGTTAGTTAAAATAGATAGACGACAGACGAGATTGGCCTTCGATGGCTTCAAAAGCTATTTATACCATCAACGAATAGCCATACGCATAGCCGATATCGATTATTAGTCCTTGATGGGCACGGTAGCTATCTCACGCCCTATTTCGACCAAATTTGCTCAGAAAACGAGATAATTCCTATCTGCATACCAGCGCATAGCTCACATCTCTTATAGCCGCTTGATATTGGTTGTTTTGCGATTTTAAAGCGCTCGTACAGAACCTTGGTTGATCAAAAAATGCGGCTTGGCATCAACTATATCGACAAGTTCGATTTCCTCACAGCATACCCACAGGCTCGCATCGACGCTTTTAAAGTAGATACAATTACAAATAGCTTTGCGGCAGGTAGTTTAGTGCCGTTCGACCCAGAACGAGTGCTTTCAAAACTCAATATCTAGCTTCGAACGCCTACACCCTCAGGAAGCCGCCTAAGTAGCCGATCTAGCGTTTTTACCCCAAAAACACCCGCGACTATCGCTGAACTACTTAAACAAAGAGCGTCAATCCAGGCTTTCTTGAAACGACGCTCAAATAGCCCACCAACACCCTCAAAAACCGCGTTAAACCAGCTTATTAAGGGCTGTCAGATCGCTATGCAAAACGGCATATTACTTGAGCAAGAAGTTAAGGAATTACGCGCTGCTAACGCAGTGCAGAGGCAAAAGCGCGCACGTATTAATAGGTATATAGCCTATGAAGCTGGTATCTCAGTGCAAGAAGCTCAGGAGCATTTACAAGCCCATAAGGCTATTATACAGCCTACGGCACCGTCTCTAGCAGCACCCAGCCAGCCTATTCAGCAGGCGGTAGCACCAGCGCGACGACGTCAATACACCTGTTCTATATGCGGTGAGAAGGGGCATAAGTCCCCTACATGCCCAGTTAGGTAGAATAATTAATATAAAGGCGTTTTGGTTGAAAAGAATAGATAAAAAGTAAAAAGTAGATGGTTAGGTGGGCGGCTCGCTTGGGTGGGCGGCTCGCTTGGGAATTACGTTAACTAAGTCCTGTCTCCACCTGCTGTATTCGTTCCGACATAAACGTAGGTCCAGTCTCATTCCACATGCTCGACCTCTACCTCCGCGAGCTTCTCCGAGATGAACTGCTGCCGGTCGATTTGGTAGCTCTTAAACTGCGACGCCTTCAGGTTCTTGGAGAACATAATGTCAAGCTCCTCGTAGGTCCGGCCCTTGCAGTCGGGAAGACGGAAAAAGCCCCACAGAGCGCAGATGAGACCCAAGCCTCCCGCAAGAAACCCGGATTTACCCTTCCAGTTATCTGCATCGGGGTTAAGGATGATAGGCGCGGTCGCGGAGCTCAGGATGCCGAAGACATTATACGCGTTTCGCGCAAGTGCGATGGTGTGGGACCGGAGGCGGGTCGAAGAGGTCTCGCCAATAATAATAAAAACCGTAGGGCCAATAGTAAGCAAATACAGACAGAACCAGAGCATATACATGGCCGCTTGGGCGGCAGCAATGTTTGCTGACTTAGTCGGGATCGACAGGAAGCCAATGATAAACATGACGGTGGCCATCATAAGGCAGCCGGCGATGAAATTGGTGCGGCGGCCGAATCTGTGGGTGACGAAGCAGGAAAGAAGAGTGCAAAAGACGTTGAGGCCACCCTGGCCGACTGTCAACTTATAAGATTTCGAAGTCGATAGACCAGCCTGTTCGAAGAAGTAGGCCTGGTACCAGGTGAGGGCGAAGCCGACCAGGACTTGGGAGACCCAGGCGCAGCAGCTGATCTCGGTACGCCACAGGTTTGACCCGCGGAAACAGTCCAAATAAGTAGCACCCTCGGTCATACTGCGCTCCAGTTCCGTGGTCTCGACCATAAGTGCAACAGCATCGTGGACCTCTTGCTCGTCTTTCCAGCTAGTGAGCCGTTTGACGGACTTCTCAGCATCAGCGATGCGACCGCGGCGTACTAGCCACCAAGGGGATTCAGGGCAAAAGATAGCGAGGGGGAAAATAACGACAGGGAACACCCATTGCACCCCGAAGGGAATCCGCCAAGCCCACTGGCTAAGACTAGAATCCAAGCTATCCAACACGGCGTAAGAGATTAGCTGGCCAATACCCCAGCAGAGAACGACATAAGTTTCTAAATAGGCTCGAAGCGAAGCAGGCGCCACCTCAGAGGCATACGCCGGAGCCAATGTCGTGAAGACGCCCCAGGGCAGGCCGCAAAGAATCTCACCTGCGAATATCTGCTGAATGTTCTTGGCAAAGAACTGGATGAAAATGAAGCCGGTAAGGATCACGAGAGAGAGCAGCAGCATCTTCTTGTGGCCGACACGCTCCGTCACCAGACTGTTGATAAAGATGCCGAAGATGTTACCAACGGGGCTGGCCATTCCAATCGCCGTCTGCCATCTGGGAGGGACCTGGTAATCGTTGCTCTTTCCGACGTAACCGAAGCGGTGTTTGAAGGCCGGGAAGCCCTGAAGGGTGCCGATGAGGGCGGTGTCATAGCCGTCCATGATGACGACGAGCGACACGGCAAAAGACCAGAACAGCGCTTTGGGGTGCTGCTTGACGGAGGCGATGAAGCCCATCTGGGTCTCCCTACGAGTGGCTGCGGCGGCCTCATTAGAAGTGGCTTGCCAGCCGGAGACGGCGTGGGACTCAGGCTCCACCTTGGAAGCACCCTGGACACCGGCTCGGGCCGCGGGAAACATAGGGTCTTGATGTTCTGGATGGTCTGCTGCATCACCAATTGTGTTAGACGGCGACTAAAGGCGTGATAGTCGAGATCTGTGACGAATAGGGGTAAGAGCCAGGGGACATACCCATTGTAGTATAAGCGGTGACGCTGGTCAGGGGCGACTGAGCGAGTAGACTTGAGAATAGACTTCACAACGCCTGTCCAAGAGTTCTGTTGCTGGAAATGGGGGAAAAGCTGCTGAAGAGAAAGATGGAAGCGAGGTAATTATATACATGCAGCCGTGCTACCGTGGGTTAGCGCCTAGGCGTGCCAGGATCGTTTGTTTGATAGGCCCATGCATACCCATTTAACATTCTGAGTCCAGAGCACCACGAACCCCGCTCATCACACCCGGATAAGGTCACTGAATTTTGCCGGCACGAATCGTCTTAGCGTGGTATAAGGTTTAGGTGCTATACTGGGCAGTGCGGGGTCCCCGGGATGGCGGAGATACAAACAATAGAATCCGGGAAAGGGAAGAATTTTAGAGGAAAGGAACGAGAAGTCTTGTGGGTTCACATGTGGATCATTTCGGGAGAGCCTGCCATCTCGCATCCTAAAGGCTAGCTGCGTGGGGGCTAGCTGCGTGGGTAGCACTGGCATAGCGGGTGACAGAATCCCCCCACCAGTGGCATAGAAGCCTTACAAGCTGCCAACTACAATATGACCGTGGATTGCTTACTTCTACAAGCGGACGGCGGCCGAGTAGGAGGCTGGTGGAGATCGATATTGTAGACCGTCCGCGCCGGCGGACGAAGATGGCAAAACCGGCGGTAGCCGAGCGTGCATCCTTACGGATGCATTCCCCGGATAGTGGTTTGAGGCTTAACTTTATTAGTAGAAGAGCCCCAGGAGGCGGGGAAATTGCAGGCTAACCTTGGTTACCCTCTAACCACGAGACCTTCAGCTATCAAGCGACCTACGGTTCCCCGCGGGGGTGACAGAAGACAAAGGTGCCACCGTAGAAGAGATCCGCGGCTGTGGGTAAATTGCACGGCTAATTCGGCTTGCTAACTGACGGCGACATTTTCAGCTACCACATAACTATTGGAATCTGGAGACAGGGGACCAAAATGCTAGTAAAATTATTGGCTCTGGGTAAATTGCACGGATGTTTCGGTGTCTGCCTCGTCCTTCACTGCACTATTACAGTACCAGCCAGAGATACGAGATTCTACTAAGCAGTAGATGCAGGGGACCAGGACCCACGACAGAACCGTACAGGCTGCTGGACGCCTGCGGACGCGCATGGGAGTATTATAACTCTATTATCTACTTCTAACATTCTAAATTGACCTTCTAAATCGCCTTCAGGTATACTGTAAGAATCAAATTCTATAATGATAAGCAATAAGGTATATAAGTAGTAATTCCTTGTTCATCCAATATACTAGCTCAATTATTAATAATATAGAAACCCCAACTCCTTCTTTCCACGTCCCTCCACTTTCCTTACCTCCACCTTGTCGCCTACCCACAACGCGCCCTCTACTAGACTTCGCCAAAGCCCACGCCAACCTAAGCCTAACCTAACCTAACCCGTAAGTAGGTTGGGCTTTGGGCCTAGTTTTGAGTCCACGATAGGCCATAGGCTTTGCCTACTGTCTGGGAGAAGGACTGGCATTCAAAACCCTGCGCTCGAGCATCCTGCACACCTTCACTCGCCGTTGTCGATATGACCTCGCCAATCTTCTCAATCTCTTCGAATCTTTTCAACCAGAAATTCCACCGATCCATGCTCATCGGTCCCTCCGTCCAAAGCCTTCCTTCTCTCTCTAATTCCCAGGACTTTTCACCTTTCTTCGCGCCTTCTCTGAATCTTTCCCCGGCCACCTTGATCCACACCGCTGCAGCAGGTACCTCAAAGTCCCACACTGCATCCTGGAATTCCAGAGCCTCCAAGATCCACTCATAGCCCCAGCTCAATGGCAAGAGGCCATCTTCAGCATTTGGTCCCGGAGCAGCCATTTCACAAGTTGCCTCCACAAAGGCCAGGTGTACGTGGGTCTCGTACCTTTTCGCTCTTGTGGCTGGATCACGCGTTGCCAGCGCTTTGCGCCAGTGACTCTGCTTCCATCCATCTGACCACGAGTTGCCGAAGCTCTAAGACCTTTCCAGACTGGGTCGCCGTCTTCTTCGTCTGTTAACTGGCTAGGTTACTTTAGAAGGTCGACGAGGGCGAGTGTGTGGCTTTCGAGCAGCTCAAAAAGCGCGTCTTCGATTATGCCTAGTGCGCGGCTTCGCAGGTCGGCCTTCTTTTCAAAGGCATGGGGCTTCGTTATGGCGACAGCTGTCTCGGATGGCTTGGAGTCGCCTTTTAGGTATGCTTTGAGAGCCGCAGCTTGATAGGTATGCGCCCCTGTCTCTTCCTCGCCGTCCATGGGTGCAGTGTGTCGGTCGAACCAAGCGTCGGCGGCGGGAGAGCCGAAGCCGTCGAGCTCGATCGATTTGCACGTTATTTCTCGAATGTGGGTGTTCATGATGAAGGAGCGTGAGTGTTCTTTAAGGGATGCCTTTTGAGACTTTGAGCGTTTAAGAGATGAATAGTCACTATGCTGCGCTGCTGGGACGGGTGATGTAGTGAGTTGCGTTATTTTCGAAGAATGAAAGTGCGGAATAGCGGCGATACCGGAAACTTCGAAGGGTGGAAACCAGGCAGCAGAATCCGGACCAGGGTCACACACCTATCCCGATCACAATCGAGGAGGCGCAGTATATTTCTCCGTTTTGTTGCAACAATAGCGATGTGCCGAGAGTGACATCATTAGGCAAGAGACTTTGCGGCGCCGCCAAGCCCCATCAACTGCATATCTGGGATCTAGAGGCGAGACGATGTTACCTGGCGCCTGGTCCGCAATGACAATATGATCTTCTCGGAACCTCCGTCACACCAAGACCCGGGCAGTTAAACAGGCGGGTTGACATACGGGTTGACACCACTGAAGATAATACCCACTAGTATTGATGGCGCTCTCTCACTCTGACGGCTGACGGCCTTAATAGAATCCTTCTAGCCTTTTGTGCAAACGAACTATGTAAACTGGCAGGGTACGAAGTTGAGAGTGGTCAAATGGTTTACAGCAAATACCGAAATCAGTTTCATCGCTTCCTTCTCTTGACATTTCATACAAGCTTCTCCAGAGGCACACTAGACACTTCCGTTTAGTCTACCGCCAATTCCTGCTCTTGACACTATCTTGAATCGTTTTTCTGTAAGGCTAGGACAAATGGGGTGTTGGGTGGGTCTAGCCAAGACATTTATAGAGTCAAAGTGAACAAAAATGGTGAAACTGCTTCGATCTACGCTGTATGCAGAACTATTTACAGAGCATTGCAGTAGCTTGCACCCATACACAGCCTTCAAAAAATGGCGATCATAGCATCATATTTTAACCTTGGCCCCAGTCCTCGCGCGATATAATCTTCCTCTCTATGCCGATCGGCGCTCCGACGGCCATATTCTGTAGGTCCGTGACTGCGAGTGTAGGACTTTCACCCAGTTTTTGTGACTCCGTCAGTACTTATAAGAGAGCCTTTTCCGACTCGAAGATTCAAGCAACAAGCGCACAGACATAATTTCAGCATCAACAGTTCAGTTAGGACCCCTAAGCTAATCTTTTTCTACTCAATCTCTCCAACCGTAACAATGAAGTTCACTTTGGGTACCGCCTCCATCCTCTTCTTGAGCCTCACCTCCGCTGTTCCGGCCGAGGACTTTGCCAATCTTGAAGAACGTGAGGAGCCCTCCAACGCACCCATTGACGTACATTATCCCTCGGTCAACTTGAAACCTTCCCATGCCGACTGATATCTCTTGCAGTGGGATGGCCCGAACAACTATGCGTCCATCAAGTGCGGCAAAAATAATTATGATGGCCATGATATTTACCTTGCCACGCAGCACGCCGTAAACCTGGGCCTGCTGAGCCCCCCTGAGACGCGAGGCGCGAAGAGCTACCCGCACCCGTTTGAAAACGATGACAGCAACGGTGTGAAGCTGCACTTCCTTGCTCACTGCCCGGAGCACGACATGCACCGGAAGGAGTACCCCCTCGTCAAGAACGGGCCTTAAAATGGTGGCAAGAATAATGGGAATGAGCGTGTCGTGTTTTACTACGATGGCAAGACTCAAGGTATCGATGGTCACACGTTGGTCTACTACTGTGGCTTGATGACCCATGAAGGTGCGGCGCAGGGCGGTTTTGTGCAATGCCCCGATGGAAAATAGGCTTGCGCTGAATGCCATACTCAGGCTCCGAGCGTTGATACCTGTCTGTGAAAGAACTTTGGAGGTAGTTGGGCTGAGTGGAGGGGCTTCAATCGAAGTAAACTCACCAACCCCAATTTTTTAATAAGGCGGTGCCTTTGTATCCACGCCAGCATTATATTCAGAATGTAATAAGTTTTGTGTACAAATTTGACACGGACCTTTATTGCGAAAACTCGCAGTGGAGGACCGTCGAGACTTCCATCCCCTTTGCTTCAAAATTCGTACAGAACGGTCGAGAAGAGCAATAGAGTGATCATTTCGTCCAGTTTCAGTATAAACAGTGAAAGTGGTAGTATGTTTATTGATCATTATTGGCTAAAAGACACACCCCACCCAGAATCGCACGTATTTCCTAATATTAGGCATCCCCTAACCCCCAAAAGGTGTTGCACCCGTCCAGTAAGAGCTTCATAGTTCTGACCCTTGTTCGCCCGGTACACCTGAGGAGAATGCACTCTACGGCCCAACTTTTTTCTGTCTTCAAACAATAACCCTAAATAGAGAACCAAAATGCATTTCACCAAACTTATAACGAGGTAGGATTGCTGGTCGTGCTCAATTAGTAGTCGGGCTCCTGAAGTACGAGTGGACTGCCCCTCTTTCGCTGTTTATATCGGTGTCGACGGGCCGTATTTCTCGCGATCCTCGTGGGTATGTTGCGGCCGGCCCTCATCTTGAGCCTGTTTAAATGCAGAGAGCGGCTACGCAGAGATTTCTTTCGATCTTTCTTACCCTTTATGACCTGTATGATCCGGACTTGAGACAAACACCTCGGGCAGATCGGAAAAACTGTATTCGATACAATATTAAAATTATGCCAGTAATGTGCGGTTGGCAATTAGTGTTGAGTCTCCAGAAGCGGATAATCTCATTGGTGTCATACATGTATATTCATTCCCGTGATGTTATGTGTTTGTCCGGGTTTCTGACACTACTGTTAAATTATTGATACACATTCTTCCAACAACCAAAATGTAGCAGGTGACTACAACACCACACTACTCGGGTGGAGAGAATTATAAGATGATCAGAAAGCTATCATCCACCTAATCCTCAATCTGGTTTTGTCTTTTTATGATAATAAAACCCGGTGGCAGGAAGGACGAAATGCTCCTAGCCAATAGAAACTCGAACGAAAAACCTGGAGGATGGTCACATAGCTGATATATCAAGATACAGAATACGAGCGCCACAACCCTTATAGCATATTTATCTTGGTATCAGACGGATAGGCATACTCAATTGATTTCACTTTCCTTTTGTCTTTCAATTATTATCCAAACCGGTGGCAGGGGGTGCGGTCATACCCTCAGCCAATGGAAACTCGGACGAAATCATGTGCTATCCTACAGTCAAGTAGCTCAGTCAGGTCAAGATGCAGCCAACCCAGTGATTACCTTGGATGATAGGTAATGCTGAGGAAGCAGGATGATGCCTAGGGGGAGAAGGAGGACGACGCAGGGCATGTATGGTGGATTTAATGTAAAATACATTTTGTCGGAAGTGGTAGTATACAGATGAGAGAAATAAATAAATGACTTGGGGTCCCTATGCAGCAGGGTCGTCCTAAGAGCAAATATTTAAGACGACTACCCTTCCGTGGAAGTATGCCACCATTGGTAGATGGATGGAGATAAAGATATAAGATAGATAGAGAGAGAGAGAGAGATAGTAGATAGAATCTCCCTGGTCTGCCCTCTATGACAGAGAAAGGATAGTGGGAGGTAAATTGAAAATGAAAGCTCTGGTTCGATTCAGTTTGGGTTTGAACCATATTTATAGATGATAAAATTCCGTTCATCCGAAATGAGTGTGCCAAGAATATAGACTTCATAAAGTGAGGAACAGGCCTAATAAGCATGGTTATGTATGCTGGTGTGGATGGAAAGCATAGTAAATACCAAAGTGAGACATAACTGAGAGATAATTGGAAGCTTCTGGAAATTTGCATGTATACATACATACACCTAAAATCCTGACATGTATATTAAGGTATTCTAGCGCGTAGTCACTATCCGTCCATTAGGTAATTAGGGAGAGAAGGATTAGAACTATTAACGCTAGGGTTAGACTAAGTAAGGGATTCAGAACTATAAGTATACGGACGAGAACTTTAATAATACGATTATAACTAAACTAATCCTTAAGGAAGAGAGTTCATTAATTACAGGAGAGTGCATTTTATTCCTTTGTGCGATCAAGTGGCGCTGGCCTTTATATAGGTTCTCGGGAAACTCTCTTATGGAGTTCTAGTATACCCGATTAGGTATCCGAGTAGCTTTATATTGTTAAGGGGCCGTAACACCACCGGCGTCCCGAAAGTGTCAACCAGTGACGGCATTAAAAATAATTGCGAGACAACAAAGTAAGTCATCTGCAATCTATCAGCAAGCTACGCTAGCCTAACCTCAGCTAGCCCAATTAGTTTCAACCAGCCCCATCCAGGAGAAGGCTGGCAAGCACTAAGCAAAGTCTTGTCTTTCGTCAATGTTACCGACCTCTTCTAATGCCTCGTGATACCACTGCTCACGAAAGAACGCGCTTCTGGTGTACTCGGCGATGAAGTGTCTGCTGGCCTGGATTGATTCCACACCTGCCGATTCTGATATCATTCCCCACCGTCGGTTTTTCCTGACTTGAATGCATATTTGCCTGCCAGATATCCACGCGTCGTGTAATTCCACAGCTACTTGTGTCACTGTGCTCGATACGCTGGAGTTCTGCCGATTGACAAAGACCGCTGCTGATCCTCGGACCACTGTTGCTATTCGCACTCCGCAGTGGCGCAGCTCGTTGCACGTTTCGGTAGACTCGCCGGTAAAGATGCCGCATGGTGGGCAGTATGCTAGCTATCATGTAGATGGAGGGTTCAACGAGGGCGTAGATCATAGGACCCCCTGAGGCGTACCATGTTGGGTCCGAGAATAGCGGGACTGTGAAGAAGACGGAGAAGCGAAGCGCGCATGTTATTATGCCCCTATGTCGTATCAATAACTTTTCTTCTTCATCTAGACGAGACGCAGAAGCAATCGAAGACGAGGCGTGTAACTTACAGCGAAGCAGCCAGAAAAGTAAGAATATGGCCAATCTTTTCTGATGTATGCATTTGCAATTGGAGAAAAATCAGCCACGAGAGCACCAGCATCACCACATCCGTGACTAGACTCGGAATGCTATATGTCTTATAAAAAAGCATGACGTCTCCACAAGTCCCACCGTTGACATCAACCGCCTGGGTCCAGAAGTACCTGAAAGGCCGGCAAATCGAAAAGGCTAGGATGAAAGAAATGAAGCCTTGAAGGATGACAATCACACCCGTGCCAACGATGACGCGGCGGTAACGCGAGACTTCGAAGACTTGGTAGTAGAGAAATAGAGCGGCAAGCTTGGCGAACATGACGGCGGGTGTGTAGGTGAATTCGAGGACTTTGGATAGTTGCAGCCAGGTCTGAAAGGTGCTCACTGGGACGGCATCGACGTGGTACCCTACGCCGCCTATTTTAACCATTACTATCGAGCGTTAGTGTCCATCACTCATTCATCAAATTTCCCTATCTTGACATAAGCCATCGCAGCTTCATGTCTGGCTTTTTCTCCTCATGGATTGGAAAATGCTCAATGCTTCCACCTCATGCATATTCTCAAATCGTGCTTCTAAAGCCCATAGCCAATTCGAGAAGACAGGATGGGAAAGACTAACAGATTCCCGTCGCCGCACTCCCCTTACAAAACACATAGCACAACGTATTACACACCACCATGGGCATTCCCACGGCCTTGGGGTTGAAATATCGGCTCACGTAGAACACTAGTATGAAAAATGTATCAATCACAATGAACGCGATGCTGAACCGCTAGTCCAGACCTGGATCATTCGTCTCGGCTAGGTACTCTGACGACCCCGCGCTCGAGCCTGCCATGGTAGATAGAATAGGCGTTTGGGAGACAGCACATGCGAGGTTATTCACAGCGGATGTCGTGCTAGTGGGTGAGTTGGGGGACGCACTAATTTTACGTCTCGTGTCTAGCCCTGGCACGCCCCCGCGGGTGACCCTCTGCTTTTTGCCTTGATCCCCACTTGTCATTACCAATGCCCAGCCCATTAAGTAGAAATATATTAAGCCACCCGCCAGGAGGAGGTGCGGGTGGAGGGTAACATCCCGACCCTGAGTGTTGGAAATAATTGGTGCCCGACCCTCCGAGGGTCAGGGTCCCACCGTGACTGATTTTAGGGAAAAAAGTCACGTTTTAGGCAGAAAAGTCATACTTTAGGTGTCAATCCACTTAGTCATTTGTCCCAAAATAGTAGGGTGTGTCCTAAATAGGTAATATGTGTCTTATGCGGGTTATGTAGTTGGACCCTCGGAGGGTCAGATTCAGGGTCAGGGTCGGTGAGGTTGGACCCTGACCCTCGGACCTGCGGGTGGAGGTTCCTGACATTGGACCCGCGGGGGGCGCACCCACAACGAGAAGCGGTGTGGGTGGGTCGAAGGTAGGCCGAAGGCACGAATACTTTTCTCCTCGCGCTGTTCTTCTTTTACAAATTCTTTCTGGAGCTCTTTTCCCACCATACAAACGTCTCCTTCTCAGGATCTTTGCAGCTCTTACAGGATTGGGTCAATATGGTCAACCTTCGTACCTTGATTGGTCTTGCATATTTGACACAAGTCGCTTTTCTAGGAGGCAATGCGCAAACTCATAGTTCCCAGCTTAGGGACGTTGTTCCTAAGCGTGAGGATCTCTACGTTGGCGGACGATACACGAACATCACGGCAAGTCTCGATTCCCATTAGTCCTACGCGTATCTAAGACTAGAAAACAGGACAATGCAACCAATTCTACATCAATGGCTATGATAGGGCAAATTTACGTCGAGAAGCTTTCTCCTCAGCCAATCCCAGCGAACCCACCACTTCCCATTATTTTCATTGCAGGTGCGGCTCAGACCGGCACCAATTTCCTTGATACTCCAGACGGACGGCCAGGATGGGCATCCTATTTTATCTCCAAAGGTCACACAGTCTACCTCTCAGACCAGCCTGCACGCGGCCGCTCCTTCTGGTTTCCCGGAGAGACAAGTATCGGGTATATTGGCTCTCCTAATTTTGTCTCTGATATTTTCACCGACGTACAAAACAACGGCAACCAATGGCCACAGGCGAAGCTTCACACGCAATGGCCTGGCACCGGTCGCATTGGCGACTCAACTTTCGACGCTTTCTACAGGAGCCAGATGCAGTTCCAAACCGACCGCTTCATAGGCGAAGAACAAAATGCGCAGGCATATTCAGCTCTAGTCGACCTCGTAGGCGACTGTTATATCATCAGTCATTCGCAGGCGGGTGCATACGGTATCTTCAGCCAAACACTATGACTCGCTGAAGTGGTTAACGATTGAGTAGGCTGGAGGGTCGGAGACATGCGCCCAGACCTAGTCAAGGGTATTGTCCAGCTCGAGCCGTCTGGTCCACCGTTCACGCTCCGCCCGCCGTTCGGAAATGGCCCAGCTTTCGCTTTTGGTCTCACTGACCTCGCAATCGGATACGAACCGTCTGCAGGAAAGAATGCCGAAAACATTCAGACGACCATCGAACCAGCAATTGACGCCGATCACGACGGGTGCATCATGCAAAAGTTCCCAGCGAAGCAGCTGACGAACCTGGGCAAAATCCCAGAACTTGTTGTTACTGGCGAAGCTTCGTTCCATGCGCCATACGATTACTGCACCGTCAAGTATCTGGAGCAAGTTGGCGTAGACGTTGAGTACGCGGATTTAGGCAAGGAGGGCATTCATGGCAACGGACACATGTTCTTCATGGAGAAGAACAACCTTGAGATCGCAGACCGGGTGTACCAGTGGCTGAAAATGCACTAATCAACGCATAATAAAGAATCAATGTCCTCGGTGCATTGTTCCATGGTGTCTGCAACTTTAATGTAGGTCATTGACTGCCAGGAAATAGCTGAGTTCGTGAAAGGAAAAAGCCAAGTCCAGAATTGGCACAAACTCCTTGATCAGGTTTAGCTTCCAAGTCTACGGAGTAACTTTCAAAACCTTGGCATACGCCCCCCACTTTGAAACTTATAGGTTTTAGTAGCATTGAGATTCTAGGGCAAAGTAGTGTGTATTGGTAAAGATAGCTAAAGAAAAGATAAAATAGATATAAAAGCGATCAGAAAGGCGGTGCTAAATAGTAAAAAGAGGTAGAAAGCTAGTAAAACAACTATAAACCCTTGTGGAGATACTCCCGTTATGGCATCCTCCACTTCGAGATTAGAACTTATCCTCAAGTCGCTAATATGCACTAAGAAAGTCGAAATCACTTGCGCGAAAAGGAAAAGTCTAAAAACAAAGGAATATCACTTAAAAAGAGGTATTTCCCTCGAACTTTCTATGATTCGTGAATCTAAGAAAAAATATAAGTTATCGGTTTTAGAAAACTCCTAGTAACGTAATTCACTACCCACCTACCCACCGCAGAACACCTTATTAAATGTCCGGTTCGCCTCTACACATACTCCCGGCTACACGTTGACCTATTGAGCCAGTCCAATCCTTTACTTCCCGGAAAAGCGCTGAGGGGGACACGAGTTACTACGTAAGTGGTCTACTCCCGGCCACACGTTGACCTATTGAGCCAGTCCAATCCTTTACTTCCCGGAAAAGCGCTGAGGGGGACACGAGTTACTACGTAAGTGGTCCGCGCACGCTCACCTTGTCCTACGAAGTGGGCCTAAGTTTTTATCTCAGTTCGCCCATTTTGTCGGAAATAGTGAAATCCTCGTTTAGATTTAAGGATTTGCCAAAGTAACTGACCCTTTTCTGCCCACAATAACCGTATCTATAGGTGAGCTCTTTCACTATAATAAAATTGACAAAATCCTTGCTAGACTAAACACTCGCTCTAGTATCCTTGCAACAAAGTGTACTACAGGCCTCTCTACTATCTAACTATCGATTCTCTCGTATATTTCAACTTTTTCTCTCTTGATATTCTGTTCTAGCAGGCACATAATATCTTTAGTTTGGATACAATACAACACCTAATTGTATCTACGTCTCCTAGCCAAAATGAAGGCTATTATAATTCAGAGGAACATTCGGAGGAACTCGAGGCCGCGAGGCTTGACGGCTCTACCGCGACTGCGCTAGATACCGAGATCCACAAATCCTATAGCCAAGACGGAAATTACGAACAATAAGATGCGAGTATAAGTATAGGCCGGAAACCGTCTTATCCGTGTTTCCTATTGTGGGTTGCGCTCGCTAAGTTTCAAAGAGAGTTTTCGTTCTATTATCTTACGGAGAAATTATGTTAATTGTTCTCACGAGTCTAGCCAACTTGGTCCCGATGTTGAGATCACCGTCAGCCGCTAAAATAGGACTATAGGGGTGAAAGCCACTATTCCATAGTATACAGAGGATGCTTGAGCCGGAGAACTATGCAACCAATATAAAAAACAAAATCAGAAAAAGAAATATCCCAGATAAAATGGACTTTTCGACTTATTAGAATACTCGCTTGGGTTTGAGTACATACTGATTTATGGGAAACCATGTTTGCTAGGGTTGACCTAAAGAAGAGGGATGGTCTGAGAAGTTTACCACCACCTAGAACATCACTTACGACGAAGCGCCGCGACGCCCGGCCGTCGATCTTGTTCTTGTGTCGATTGAGCTAGGTAGGCAGAGGACGTGGGGAGACATTCGCCCGTTTGAGCATGGGTCAGTCCACTATAAAATTGGAACGACGAATGATGCGCGATCGCCATTATTTCGAACGCTCCGTCTCTTGCTCAGTGAGGCCACCTGGGCCGACATCAACAGGAAATTAAAAGACCTGGAAATGGAGGTGCTTGACATCATAGGCTGGTCAGACCTAGATTCCGCCGTGGAAACCTTGACAAGCAGAGTTAGTCTGGTAATCTGGCGGCTGGTCCCAGTTGCGCGACTGTCTCCTTGCAGAAAACAATGGTGGGAGCCCGAGTAAACCGCCTTGCGTGACTCATATACATGGGACTGGGATAGGTTTCAGAAAAAAGGCCAGCCAGAGGCTACGGAGGCCGACGCTCTTGCCATGAAGAATTAGAAGGGCCTGCGGTGGCTGCCTGAGATGTTTAGCAAGATATAGTTCTCTAAAAGAGCCTAGCCTCTTTATATTGGCATCATTTCGGAGCGTGACCGCAAAAATGAATCAAATTTGACTACATGCACTACCTCTTTTGCAGCAAATAACGGTTAAATTCGCTGCTACGCTCAACAGAATTGACGGCATCGAACATCGTACGGAGTCGTCAAACTCAGATCCCGATAAGAAACAAGCATGGCGAAAATCAAGCTTCAGCCAAGTTCAAGCCACGGAAGCACCCAAACTTGCCCAGCCTTGCCGACCTTGGAAGCCCCGAGATCCTTTTGTATAATTCGTATATGTTCAAAAAACTACGTGAAAATGGTTACCGTTACAGTAAAATTTCCACTCCGACGGAGGAGTCTTTTTGGGCTTTTATACCATTAACCAAACCGAAATCACGTCTCATTGGAAGCTCTGTCCTAAAATGTGCGGTTTTCTAACCTCCAGGTCCAAAATCATCTGCCCAAAGAGACCGTTGACCCAAGCGAACCTCAAAACATCATTAGCACACAGAATCCATTCGGCTGCAATTTTCTTACCATGGTCTGGTGTAATCGCTCTGGTTGTAGGAGTTGACACTTTCATGCAGAAGGCCTAGGACATCGTTTGGCATCAGCTGATTATTCGAGATGGAAAGCCTCTCCAAGGATTTTTTTACCTAGACCATTTGTACTGCGGAGCAGCTGCTGTAAATTGCTTGTTATTTCGTCGTCATTGTTGGATGTAAGAATGCGCACGACGAGTGCCATAGGCCAAACATATCCTGGTCCAGTATGTACGCTACCAATTCCAGTGATAACTGGTCCTTCCATGTAATATGGATTGTTGCTGCTGAGGAGAATCTCCCGTGTGGCCTGATATACACTACCGTTCTCATTGAGATATCCGAAAAAGGGAGCAGCCAATAAACTTGGAATGTTGGCGTCATCCATGATGTTACGCGAAGAGTATCCATCTACTTCAAAGGCGTAGATATCCGATTGACATGGCGCAGAGATAGCTGCGATTCCGTACTTGCCAATGGCCGCGCGGATCTCCTTAGCAAAGCTCTGCATCTCGACGGCTAAGTCTGATTCTTTGATGGCCTTAGCTATCAATGATGCCGACTCGAGATATCGTGCAAACATCATGTTTCCTGGAATGAAACCTTGGAAGATGGTCGCATCGTCTGATGGGCGGAAAAAGGAACGAACCAGCCCTGTACCAGAGCGGAAGGGGTTTCCCATTCCATTATTGTCCTGGGTATCCTCGCTGTCGGTGGTTTCACGCGTAAAAGCGTAGGCGCTAGGGTTCACACTACCATTGGCTCCGTACGTGCCGATACGCTGGGCTTGAGTTTCGTTGAGGATTTTTCGCACCGCGGTCCTCCACTGATACTTCCCAAAGAATTCAGCGTCCTGTGTCGCACCAAAATAATTTGTCGACACCGCTAGAAAAGCAGCAAGAGAGTCAAGCTCGTACTTGCATTCAAATACAGTCTGGTTGCTGTAGGGTGGAGTGACCGTGTCGTCATTGGCGGCGCTGTTCACTGAAGGTGTCAAACCAGATTCTGTTGGTGGCTGAAATGCCTGGCAATATGGATATTCCAGTAGGTAGCGCGATTGAAGATTGATCACCCCTCGATACAGCGCGGCGAGGGATTGCTCAGAGTCACTTGCGGTCAACATGGAAAGGTAGGACTGAAGTTGATTAGCCGAATCCCGTAGCCACATTGCATCACTGTTTATGATCAGCTTTTTTTTCTGAAGCTTAAACGATAGAGTAGAACCTTTACGGACATATCTCCCGTTATTAAAAAGCAAAGTTCCTCATCAAGGTTGTCGGCGGCATAACCCCGCCATTTGATGGTTGTGTCCAGGGTGTTGGGCCAACTATTTTCAAATAGCCGATACAGGTCAGGATCTTTAATGACTGACTGCATCCGAGTGATAGTCTTCTCGATCTCAGGCGAATTAAAGGTCCGACATCCCTTTGGAGGACGCATATATGAGAGATGGTATTTTCCGGAGGAAAGCGGCGCGTGTTTAGTTGATGCGAAAGCCGTGTAGTCGGTCGGACAGCTGATATTGACTGCGGCCACGACAGTCGCCGATGCCACTAAGAGCAGCCATGACCACATTTTGAGTTGTAGCCTTGGCATATTACGCCAAAGAAGTTCTAGTGGGTGTGGGCGCAGTATTGTCAAGGGATATCTTGAAAGTCTCTAGACGGCACAAACGACTATCGGCTTACCACCGGGAGCTCCAGTATATACGCACCGGTGTGGGGAGGCTACGGGTACCACCCTAATATGCAACCTAATTGTGGGGTGCCGCGGGGGTTAAATCTCTACGTCACGCTCATTTCACGTGCCCTGAGCGGGCAGGCTACCCCTGTCGACTGATATCGTCATCATGTTATGTACCTCGATGATTGTAACATTGAGGCATGGAGTTCGTCAATGAGATGCGTATATATTGGTCTCCAACAGTGGATGCACCTGATGACTCCCAGCGTCTTTGGCAACTATAGCCATTGTAAATCGCACGAAAGCCGGCGATATGATCATGAAAGCATTTGAAGGCCACGGCCGGCAATCTAGGCATTTTTGAGGTGCTTTATCCTACAGAGGACGTGCGATGCACGGCAAATAAAACGCGCTCTTCCTATACTAGTTTAGCCCCGAGTCGGCATTTTCCGTGTGGTGCCTTCTGGAGGAAAGCGACACTTATCTTGGTTCTGTGAGCATTAGTATTACATAATGCGGGGCGAAGTTTAAATTGCACCACCTCTTGCCAGGCGACAGCTTCCTCAAAATGATGCGTTGCTGTTTTTACCGCAAGCAAATACTATCAGACAATCACCGAAGCTGACGGCAGAGCAATTTGTCACCTGTTTCTATGATGAGCAGTGTATATGAGACGAGGGTGGAACACATTTCTATGATTAATTGAAATTGCGGAATAATAGATATTAGCGTTGGCAAAGGTTGAATGAAAAGGACAGATCTTGCGGATACCGCCATAAGTAAGCACCCCAAGTAATCACCCGCACTTTTAATTACTTTCTTTTCTGACGCCATTTTGAGCCCAGTGTGCCATAGTTGCTTTTCGCGTATAAGCTTCGATCCGCTTCTAGTCATCAAGTTGAACATGCCGATTCTCAACTTATCTTTTTTTTTCTTTCAATTTAGCACTTTCCCACAATTTATCGCTCTCCCCGGTAATGTCTTCATCTATATCACCTTCTTTGCTTCTTTTCAGGGGAGTTCCCTTATAGACACCGGGCAGCGGTGTAGGAGAACATTTTTATATACATTTCTCTTAGAAAATAGTTCTCAGGAGAAGGATATAAATATCCCCCTGAAAACGAGCAGAAAAAATTATCAGATTTTACTATTAATTATCTGTCCATCTTCTTTTCATCTGATCATCTACCCCTTCATTTCTCAAAAAATTATACCCTTTCTCTGAGAACTGTTTTCTGAGGAAAACGCATACAAATCTGTTCTTTCACACCTCTACTCGGTAGTCCATGAAAACGCTGGACTGGCGTAGCAGCGGGATGTTTGAACAACCCCGACCTGACAGTACAGAAGTTCATTCAGTGGCGCGGGGAGCGGTTCTACCGCACCGGGGTTACGACACATACATTTTTCGCTTATGATACTAAATTACGTCGTAATCTATAGCATTATTTGACCTTTTGATTGGCGTGAAATTCGTATATATTATAGAGAGTGCTTATCAACATTAGTATGTATACCGATAGCGGAATAAATAAAAGTGGTATTCATTAAGACCCAAGATCGGAAAAAATAACATTCAATATGGTGTTCTACGGTGGCCGGGGTGGATGGAGTGGCTGGGTAGGTAGTAATTACGTTAGAAGTGATGAAACATTTTGATGCCTCAGGGACAGGGCAACCGCGGCATCATTTTAACATTCGCCACGTTCCGATAGGTTTTCGAATAGCTTCATGTTTGTCCTGGAACTGTAACAATACCAAGTTACCAGACTCGGTTCTCAACGTTATTTTCTATGTTTTTGATATTTTCGTCGGAGGGTAGAATAAATTACACTAGTGATGAGACAGATATAAACAACGTTATTTCATTAGAATATATCATCAATATTATCTGTTTATCAGAAAATGGCACCAAAAATGCACATTTAGGGGTCACTGCGGGTCGCCAAGGATAACCCTCAACAGACCTCGGAAGGTCTGGGCCACAGCCGTTAAGGTTCTACCCCACCCTCAAGAGGGTCCGGGGTCCGGATCATAGACCCACAATTTGGCTCGTTTCTAGGTCTGTCCAACTATATCTGGGCGTTTCGGTAAAACTCTGTACTAGTCCATACCGGAATAAATCCTCTTGTGATCTTGCCTTGTTAAGAGAATCCTTCGGGACTCGACTGGTACAAAGACAGTCTTTCCATGTCAGTAAAGATTTATTGAAAACTCGCTTCCATGGATTGAGTCATGACAAGCGATATTACATTACGCGGCGATCGTATCCAGTCGGCAAATTAGGGACAAAACGCTTTTAGCTATTCACACAATTCAGCCTCAATGCGCTGCCGGTCACGGATTCCCCTCTCCCTATAACTATCGATATTTTGCCGGTCATCCCTTTGCACTAGCCAAGTGCCCGTGCGCCCAATCAAGCCCTAAGACCGGGTTACATGTGTTGCCGAAATAGTTAGCTGCCAGGCAATAGTTATTTTGAAACTTGACCTTTGAATTGGCTAGCAAGTCATTTAGGCAGAATGCGTTCTCCGACATGTCTGACTGGTTCCTTCTGTTTCGCTTCCACCACAGTTACCCTGATATAGGCAATGATCGTTACAAAAAGGCCCAGCTCCCCAGGGGCAGGTATTAGTGTTCCAAAGATCCTTTCGCCAGGCCTATCTGTCAGTTTGAAATGGTCGTAACAGCTTCTTCAGGACAGCATGCTCTCTCCCAAAGACGTGCCCAGCTCGCCGGGCCGTCTGGAGTTAAGGGACTCCTCTCGAACCTTCGAATTTTCGCTATCGCCATATTCGCCTCTCTTGGTGGTTTTGTCTATGGCTGTGAGAATTTTTGACTTACTTTATTGCCTGTTATATCCGTGCTAATTGAAGAGAGAAGATAATCAAGGAATGTTCGGGCAAATCTTGAACATGACCTCCTTCTCTGCTACGGTGCATCCTGATTCGATCACCAACCCGACTTCGAGGGGACTTTTGACCGCGTACGCATACAATATCCATGGACTCAGCGGCATAATCGCTATCCGGCTGACTGACAAGTGAATAGTATTCTTGAACTTGGTGCTTGGGTCGGCGTCCTCATCAACGGTATCCTCGCTGATCGCCTTGGACGTAAGTTGGCGACTGTGTGCGGTGTGATTGTCTTCTTGCTCGGCGTTATCGTTCAAGCTTGTGCTAAAGGACCGTCCTACATACTTGGCGGCCGTTTTGTGACTGGTATGGGTGTCGGCACCCTTTCTATGATTGTGCCACTGTAAGTGTGCTATCTGGAGAACTACTTCCAGTACTCGGCTAATATTCCCTCTAGGTACAACGCGGAGCTGGCCCCCGCAGAGCTAAGAGGATCTCTTGTGGCGCTTCAGCAACTTGCGATTACTTTTGGGATCATGGTATCGTACTGGATAGGTAAGCCATTATTCGCAGTTCAAAGCGGTTTGTTGATTTATTTCCAGGATATGGAACAAACTACATCGGAGGTACCGGCGCAAGCCAGTCCAACGCTGCGTGGCTGGTTCCAATTTGCATTCAAATCCTTCCCGCGCTCGCGCTTGGTATTGGTATTTTGTTCATGCCTCCTAGGTACAACTCCACCCCTATGTGCACATCGAAAGTATTTCTAACGCCTCTAAGCCCCCGTTGGCTCATGACAAAGGGACGAGAAGAGGAAAGTCTGGCCGTCATCTCCCGTATCCGCTCTCTTCCTTCCGACAATGAACTGGTTCAACTCGAATACCTGGAGGTGAAGGCGCAGCATCGCTTTGAAGTCGAAACTTCGGCTGCTCGCTTTCCTCAATACCACGCTCCTGGGCTTACGAACCAGATAAAACTAGGTTTCCAGGAGTATGTTAGCCTCCTAACTAATAGATCCCTCTTCAAGAGAGTTGTTGTTGCGGTATTCATTATGGTTTTCCAACAATGTGGGTTTTAAATCTGACAGTCATAGTGGACTCAGTGGCTAATTCTCTTCACAGGGTCTGGAGTCAACGCCATCCTCTACTATGCAGCTGTAATTTCTTCCCTTCGTGTAATGTAGTCAACTTGTATCATGCTAACTGTTCATAGTTCATCTTCAAGGATCTCGGTCTCACAGGAAACACCACTTCCCTACTTGCTAGTGGTGTCGGCGGTATCCTCATGTTCCTTGCTACTATCCCTGCCGTTCTATACATTGATCAGCTTGGGCGCAAACCCGTCCTGATTGTTGGAGCTATTGGGATGGGTATTTCGCATATTATTGTTGCCGCTTTGTATGGATCCTTCAGCAAGGACTGGGCAGCCCATAAAGCTGCCGGCTGGGTTGCCGTCGTTTTTGTGTGGATTTATGAGATCAACTTTGGCTACTCCTGGGGCGTAAGTCATTTCCCACACATTTGTTCCTTGGAGACAACCATATACTGATGCCTATCATTACCACAGCCCGCAGCTTGGATCGTTGTTGCAGAGATCTTCCCGCTCGGATTTCGTGCAAAGGGTATCTCCATTGGTGCTTCATCCAACTGGCTCAATAACTTCGCTGTAATCAATTTCCCTAGTCTTCCATTCCTGGTTCTGAGTATTAACAATGACCAGATCGGCCAAGCCACACCTCCCATGGTCTCATCGATGACCTACGGGACCTTCATCTTCTTCGGTCTGATCTGCTTCATCAGCGCACTCTTCATCTACTTTGCTGTCCCTGAAACCAAGAATCTCACCCTTGAGGAGATGGACGAAGTTTTCGGTGATGAAGCCGGAAATGCCATTGAGGACCGCAACCGTCTCCTGCAAATCTACACTGAACTAGGCTTATTTAGTGACGGTGTTGTCGAGGAAAAGGCTGTGCCTAGCAGTGAAAATGTCGAGGTTGAGCCGTAGCCCTCCACCCTATCCCATAGGGGTAAGTGGGGACAAGCTGGGGGCTGTGTCCGGCAGCGTGAGCAGTCTATCAACAGTAAGGAGCGTTTTGGACGATCAAGCAGGATTTAAAACTCATGTGCCAGTAATCAATCAATGATAGCAGCTTCACCAAAGTTTGACATATTATTACTTGAGACTTTCTTGATTCAAATCCTGAGTTCCAAAGCCCGATTCTGCAGTGTGGAACTTGGAAGGCTTTCACGTCGGCTTTACTTTTTGATGCGGTGCGACCGGACGTATAGTTGGAAGCATTATCGGATCATGAAGCCATTTCCAGCAGCTCACCCTGCGGTCTATGTCTTTGCGACTGCTGCAGGAGGGATCGAAGTCAGCTTCAATAGGATACACGTATGGACCGTGCATGAATTGTTTCCGATGCGATCCATACGAAGAACCAAATTGATTGAAAATCAAGGGTGGACTCACTCTAGTATAGAAGGGTAGTTTCCGATCTTTGACAGATAATTGATGGCCAGAGGATGATTAGGTAAAAGTCTGCTCATGGCCCTCCATGTGGAGATCGGATGACGAACAGATGGTATAAACCTCATTATCCAGGCTAATATCCAACAGTAACTAATTTAACTAATTAGTTACTCACTGGATTGCTACCTACACAAGTAGTACCTTAATTTCCGATTTCAACGATTCATTCTCATTTCCCTTGTCATATAATCTTGAAGTGCCCTAAATACCCTATTGATGTCAAACTCCCCGTACGTGGAATTCGGTGGATGCCATTCTCTCATATTGCCCTTTGCGGGCTACTCATCACCTTTTGCGAAAAAGGATCACTGTATAAACCTATTCGTCCGCCTCTTGTTCCATGGCTAGGGTCCCCGTTTCCTATCCCGCGATGGCTGAAAGATAAATTTGCCTCCTCAAAGCAGGAAACGGAGAGAAGTAAGCTAATGGCCAGTAGATCCATGGCCAGCCTTGTTCCTTAGCAATAAATCCGGCGGCAAAAGGCTAAAAAGCCCTGTATGGTTTTGTTCATTAATGTTGCGTCCTATGTCTAAAACTTGAAAAGGATGACCCCAATGCAACTCATCAATAGATATATTGCATTCGACCACCCTCGCTGGTGGACAGAAAAGTAATATGTTATTTATTTGGCCAATGTGAGTTACGCATCGATAACGCTAGGGAAGAATAGTGAGGGATTTCCGCTGTGATCGGGACCAATATCTAACCGACAGCGCAGGTGAGCCCGTTAATTACCTGTGCAGCCAACATATTCCCCAGCTTCTCAAGCACCCCCTGCCAAATCGCGGTAATGAATTTGATCATTGCGGACAACCGATAGATCGATCGGCGGCCAAATTCCAAGATCAGGGGTACCAGCAGGCTCACTATATATTGTTCTGATAGTACCTAGCCGTTGTAAAGCATCAACGCATTTCTATCTAAATCTATCAACCCTAGCAATCTTATATACTATGCTCTTGACACGCGGTTTATCATTATCAACCCCATTCGGCCTATTTATATTTTGGGCCACTTATATCCTCCGGCAAAAGATGCACATCTCCATTAGCTGTCAAAGCCTTAGCGAGCGTGGCCCATCTAGCTTCAGAAAATCCAAGACGCGGATACATCTTCACAGTAACGTGATTCTCTAGCTTTATCATAAGCCGTACTTGAACACTTGAAGGTGGGGATAAACAAGTTCGCAGATAGTCGACTGCCTTCTGGCATAGGGTAGCGCCGAGCCCGTTCCCTCGATACCCTGGGAGAGTAAACAAGCTCAGCATTTGCCACCTTTCTTCTTAAGAGCCTGATTTCTGTAGTGGTTCGCCGGATTCAGGAGACAGAGTGAAGTCTTCCAAAGACAGTGGGCCGCGGAGAGTGACCTGGCCAATCGACGTGGCATCTGAGTGCCTCGATTCTTGATTGAGTGGAGTGGCGGCGCAAAGGAAGACTTCCCGATCGGTCGTAGTCAAGATATTTGTTCAGTCCGCTTCCGTGAATGCCGATTCGATTTCATATGAGGATGCAAAGGAACCCGGCGCGGCCTTCAGACCACTCAGACGGAGGTCTCGGTATTTTTGAGCTGAGGCATGTATCTCTCCGGTCTTGAAGATCCGGAAAAACGAATAATCGTGGGCGGTAGAGGTGGAAACCATTATGGCGAGGGAGAATCAGTGAACAGTGGAGAGACTCGTTGTAATCGGGGACGGATTTTTGATATTCTTATGTCCGCGATCTCACATTGGATCCCGCGTGGGTCTGAGGTGCGCTACGGTGAACTTGAAAATTGCCGGTCGCATACTTTCGGGGACAGAAAATGCGGAGAGTCGAGAAATTGTAAGGTTGGACTACTCTTTGGGCGAGCAAGAGAAAGCAGATGTAAAATAGTGCAGTAGAAGTAGTGAAGTTCAACTTCATTGTGTTCATTCTATTCAGGATACAAAGAATCAAAAGACCACTCAAAAGCCATATCGAAATCATTCAGTAACTTCGGAGGATTCATAACCCCAATTTTCATTGCAGACTGGGTCAGAAAGTCTTCCATCAGGGGATTTTGAAGGGCCATCTCTGTTGTCAACTCTGGACCCAGATACCCATTTGCCGAAGGGACAGATTTCGGGCCGAAATCGAGGGAGGAGTGGTAAAAATCACCATTATGGCCTTGTAGTCCCGCTTGTTGACGATGAAGTGATATTGATGCTTTCATTCAAAGCAGACGTCTTTGATTTGGCCTGATATTGATCAAAGACAGACGAACCCGCTGGAGATTTTCATAAAGATCCTTGGCTGCCAAGTTGTCGGGAGTACTAAGGACTTTTAACATCCCCATCGCGATATCTACCGATGCAACATCGGCTGAATTTCCCAAAGGAAGTATACTTGATATGATCAAGGCTAAGGCAGAGGAGAAAGTGTAGGTCAGAAAACCCTAAACCTAGACTTCAAGGGACCCGCTGATCCATTCATCCTAACACAGTTTGAGAGAGTATCGGGCAGCATGAATACACGCCTCACCCAAGGCACCCGAAACTGGCGGCGCATCATCATTCAAGTCGCTGATATTGTTATTTGTGTGGCCGATGAGAATGTTGAGCAGAACAGGCCGAATTGCCAGAATGGCAGACTGCCAATGTTAGCGAGAACGAAGAGAGCTGCTAGTTTCTTGACTCACATAAGTGAATTGAAGATGTATAAGCACAGTGTGTTTCGAGTTCGGTTTATCTGGATGGAGGCTGATGTGCTCTGGGAGAGATTGAACCCATTGTTTTGATTGGATCAGAAGCTTGATCACGCTGTAGAATGCTTTCGGTTGACTTCTTCCGGCTATAGTTCCGCTGTGTCGTGTGACCGGTGATTTTGGCCAACTTGACTCCCGCAGTCTGATATACAGCGCCTGAATACTGTTCACTGTAGGTATCAGAAGCCGAGGCTTAGGCCAAGGCGTGGCGCATTACCAATGAGAAGATGTGCTGAGTGAAATCTGTTGAGAAATTGACAGAAGTAGTTATGCCTGGTGCAATGTCAGTATACCGGAAATGAATTTTGATAGAATGAGGCATACTAAAAGTAGTAAACTCTCAATGTGAACCATGCTCGGCCTCTCGGGAATTATCTGAAGGAGAGTCATCGCTCGAGCGAAATAAGATGTCCCAGGCAATGTTGACACATTGGATAAGCCATGAGGCGCGGAGTACACGTGACCCACTGCAAAAAGGGCAAAGTACTTGCACTTCAGAGTTGATTTGTCAAAATCGCCCTTTCAGTAGATTTCGCATAGTAAATCCAGCATTTCTTTCCTTAATACCATAGGGAACCCGGGTTTGATGTGCCCAAGTGCGGTCTTTACCAGTAACTGAGAGTGTGCCAAGCTGGGCCATTGCACATCTTCGTCCGGCAAAGATGCCAAAGTTGATTCATCAGTATAGCGCCACTGGGGAAGATGGTCAGTCGGCGAGACATTGTCTCTCAGACAGGTTAGGTAATATCGTATAATTTAGACATAATTAACATAAAACTAGGTATAATCGATGCTGGGACCCAGGATTAGTCATGATTTCTCTGTCCCAGCCAACTTTTTCTGGGTCCCAGCCAGCTGCCCGCGCCTTCCGGGTAATCCCCATGGTCCAACAGCCCATACCCAATACCATGGCCTACAGCCCGCACGTTCTCAATGCACCTCCGGTCTACATCCTTATTCGTCACACAGGCTGCTCCGTATCCAACTCGCTTGTGTGCCCAGTTCACTGGGGGATTACGTCACCTAGTTTGTTATTCGTCCATCTGCGGGTTTCCTAAACAAAAAAGCCTCACCGTTCCAAGACGAGGCAAGAGACAACCCTGTCTTAGCTTGGTCCCGAACCCACGAAGACATATATTGATTTTCCCCTGTTTCCCTCTTGTTTCTCTCTTCTTTACCACCACGTATACCCCTCATCAAGCCTCGTAAAGTATTGCGACATGGGTCAAAAACCATCCGTCCCCCAACCTGGGGCCCGCTTTCAAGTGATCGGCGCTGGCATGTCGCGTACCGGGACAGCATCATTCAGCGCTGCATTAGAGACCCTCTTGGGTGGGCCTGTTTACCATGGTGGAACACAAATGACAATGGGTCCTCCGACCGAGATCAAATCCTGGATCCAGATTTTGCAGTATTGGTTAGACGATAAGGGGGCTGACAGACCCACGATGATGGACCTCATGCGGCACCGGCTGGACGGATTCGTCGCTGTAACCGATGCACCTTGCTCGCAACTCTTCGGGGAATTGATGGAAACGTATCCCGACGCCAAGGTCATCTGCACAACCCGTGACCCAGTATCTTGGGAAAAATCCATGTCTCAGATCCATCACGTCGCGCTGTTGTGGTTTCTGCGCGGGGTCCTTCTTCCACTCCCGGGTATGAGACATTTCGTGCATTATATCAGTCTGTTGGAAAAGCAGTGGGTCAAGATCTATGGAACCGCGAATCCCGATCGCGCCACATATGACCAGCACATTGCTTGGTTAAAAGATGTAGTGCCTGGGGATCGCTTGGTGTTCTTTAATGTCAAAGATGGATGGGAGCCGCTGTGTAAGGCACTTGGTAAGGAGGTGCCTATGGACAAACCTTTCCCTTGGATCAACGATGGGGCTGCAATCGATCAAACCGCTCGGTATCATATTCGGCGGGGGCTTACTCGATGGTCTGCAATTCTTGCCGTGGTCGTAGTCGCCGTTGCATTAGGATTGCAGATATGCTTTGACATTTTCTCCAAATGAGTTTGTGTTGGTACGGCTCGGATCATGTGTTACTCGATTACACAGCATGTTAACTAGTTAACTAACTAAGTTAGTTAGTTAGTTTTAGCGGTCTAATGTAATCCACCAATGAGCTGGACACCTGAAAATGCACCTAGGGTGGGATCAAGGCACCAAAGTTGTGGGTTTTAATCCGCGCACAGATTACACATCGAAACACCATGGTAGATATATTATTTTATAGCTCATATATTAACTCTTCAACCTTTTCCTGTTCTGCTACCTGTGCTCTGAGCTAACATCGAGATGAGACTTTCCAATAATTAGACAGGTCTGCTGTTGCTACCTTACACATTTGAGGGTGGAAGGAGGCTGGACTGGAGATGCTATTGGATTACAGCTTGGAACTAAAATCCATATCAACGCCTGAAAATGTTCGGAATATATCACATCCTAATGAAATAAATCGCAAAATTTATTCCTACCTATTCATCCAGTACATAAGTCGACAGGACCCAGATAGCTAGCATATCAGTTGCCTTACTCTGGCTTGTTATAATTACAAACCTAGGCAATTGATGCTATTCACTTGCAAATCTTGTCAAAGATCACCTTTGAAGGCTGCTGGGTTAAATCCATCACTCTCAATTCACACAAATAGGACTCGGAGAATAATCCATTAAGACCGGACAGGTAAAATTGATTCAAAGCTAATCTGCAGAGGCAAGACAAAAGTGTAATATCATTTCATGGTCGGAAACCCTGAAGTTCGCTCCAGGACATAACCGCCCTGCCGCAGCCACAATCGGGCTTATATAGCTTAGATAGAGGTCAATTGCTGCCAAATTCGCCTTCACTTGGGTCTGGGGTATCAAGCATAAGACGTGGGCACCTGCTGCACCATGGAGCCCCGGCCAGACCCTTTCCTCCAAATTTCGCTGCCTGGTAGCTCGTGGTAGACCGGCTTGATCTCTGTACCATTACCGTCTAATTCCAAACCTTGCTCGTCTGTACTGTTCTCTGTGTTAACACCATCGCATCTATTCTCGTCATTATAGCTCTCGCCGGCATCGCCACAGACCGCATCTGGAGACCAAAATCTCGGTTGTGGAGGAGGCTGAGTAGTGTGTGCTGGGTTGGAAAGGATGGCGTTATGTACTGGGCCGGAGAGCACGGATACGTCTGGCTCGGGCGAAGTTGCTTTGTATTTTGTTTTTTGGCGCTGACGGCGGATGAAGAAGAGAACTGCTGCGAGAATGAAGACTCCAACCAATGCCGCAATCGCGATGCCAGCTACGGCGCCGTGGCTGAGTGGCGAGGGGCCTCCTGAATTTCCGGCACTCGAGCATCTGCTTCCAGAGCAAGTGGGCGGGTCGGAATCCTTGGGTATAATTGTGACTATGTTTTGCACGGCTTCTTCGTTCCATGCGCAAGCCGACACATTGAAGACGCCGCGATCGTAATCGGCCGAAAGATAACTGAATGAGATCCGAAGAGATCAGTTTACGCAGCGGTCGTGACCGAGGCTTCCCACTCACGCTTCTTGCAAGAATGTCCGGCCCAGTGTGTACTGAGTAGAGTTTGCCGCGCGTTTCAACGGGAAATAATAGCTGCTGTTGTTGACTAAAGGAGGCTGTGCGGTAAGGGAGAAAGCGTTGTACGGAAGAACGATCGTCACAGCATCTCCACCGGAGGCCACATCAGATAGCCGAAAGGTCACCTGCGCATTCGAGTTGAGCAATTCCGCGTTGTGAGTGTCGTTCACCAAGTATAAACCAGTATCACTATCGAGCGTAAGCCCGAACGCCTTTTCGAAAGCGTCACACACGTTTTCGGGAAGCCAGAGATTTGGATCAGTCGAATCAATGAAGATTGCAATGGGTTCGGAAAGTAAGGTGGCTGTATTTGATCCGCTGTAGCTTATGGACTGGAGATAAACCACAAGGTCGCGGGTGATGTCGCCTGCCATGGTAAACGATACAGAATTCATAGTGAAGCGAGATGTGTCGTAGCCAGAGAAGATAAGCTGGCCATAGACTTGTTTGAGACCTATGTTAGAAAGGACATGGAATTAGAGATGAAAGCAACCACGAATAATTCCCGTTGACAACCATACTTACGGTACTTGGCACCGGCTGTATAGCTCCAGCTTAGACTTGGAATAACACCTTGATTCTTGAGCGTTGTGACAAAGGAAGGCGAGGAGAAATTTCCTAGGGAGCTGAAATTTAGTGGTTGGGGGTTAAGGCCAAAAGTTCCACTATGCGTGCCTTAAATCAGTAGGATTTCAGACAAAGGAGGTTAGAAGGTCATCTTTACAGATAGAAGGGCTCAGGAGTTGCGATGCCCGCGATGGTCTGATTGTCAAGTCTTGGTCCAGTAAGACTAATACCCAGAGTATCCAGAGCAAACTCTGCTCTTTGGGAGTATCCAAGGTTGGCCTCGAGGCCAACACCATTCTCGTTGATTCCATAAAGACCTAGTTCGTGCCAGCTGGAAGACTGATTCGCGTTGAACAAGGTACCTCTGGACACTGCGCAATCTGATGGCACTTCCGTAAACACAGATGTCGAGCAACCGTAACCTGACAGCACGACCATTGACTCTGGAGAGGCCGTAGATACAGTCGTTCGGACGGATTGTTCTGGGGTACCAACTCGAAGATAAAAGGTGCTCCATGGCCCATCATTGCCCTCGCTATATTATAGATCAGCAGATGATACAGGGCCAATTTACCATTTTTGGTGAAGGTTACAAGTATTCGCTGGGAGAGATAACGACAGCCGATGATGAACGTTCAACAATGGAAGATGCCGAACATCCCAGCGTCCAGGAAAACATTAAGGCCAACTCTACCATAATGATGTCAGATCGCATCTTCACGAGCTGAAAATGGCATCAAAAGGAGATCTTGTGGTGCAGCAATAATGAGAGTCTCAATTCAAATGTGGCTGATGTAGCGACCGGGGCATCCAGGACTTTTGTCAATATGAGAGAAAAACGCAGACCAGCACGCTAGGATAGCAACATCATTCTGCCGTTCCCAGTCTAGCTGATGACAGAACCACGGCAATTGACTCAATGAAATTGCCAGGTCACAGAGTCACAGTCCCGCTGTCGTTCAGGAACTCAGGGGAGAACATGCAGTGGAGCAGGTTTTTGCCGTCGGCCAACCTGTTTGCTGCATTGTCCGTGCGGCGGGCCCAACGTGTTGTGTATCTAATCAAGAACCGCCCTCGGAGGTGATGAAGATCTAAGGGGCAATGCTTCAGCATCATTGCTATTCCTGGCTAGACTTTTGTCTGTCATTGCCCTTCTCAGTTAATAGGTCGCTCGGCTTTTTCACAATGACTACATCGAAAGGCAATGCCTCACTGACGCGAAGAACAAAGGTCTGTTGCCATAAGTCATTATTTTATCTACTCACTGTTCACGTGGTCTCTGCTTTTGCTATTGAAATTCGAAGCTCTTAAGCAGCACTTGCTTCCTTGCTCTTCTTTTATTTATCGCCGAACCTCAACATCCGCATTGCGTATTTGCTAGTGTCTCACTTCCGCTGGTCTATTTTGTTGTGATAAGAGTTGTAGCCATGTTGTCTGTGTTCCAACTATGGACGGCGCTTGGGTAGCTAATTGTTGGGGCAATGGCCCTCTATGGTCCTGGATTGTGGTCGACCTGAATTTGAGCATTCTTAAGGCAAAACGGCTGAAACAACGAAGCTATTCGCACTTCCCACTCTCCGTTCTTCAATCCTTCAATCAACAGTACCACGACCTGTACCCTGAGCGGGCGATCAGTTTGCCTACATCCCCCTTGGGGTATAGCGGTAGCACAATTGCCAGCACTACTACCGGTTACGTGCCACCACCCAAAGTATGACAACTTCCACACCATCGTTCTTAACAACCTTATCAAGTACGACAACACCACATCTTATGAGCCGATGACCATCACACCATCCCTTTTCACTTCCTCCAATCCACATCCGACATATTGCATCCCGTAGGTTTTCTATTCTTGTTTATATTCAGAAGTAATGTGATATTTGTTGCTAATGCTGTCTTCGAAGCCCCGCCCGCACTGTCAACTTATTCTACTTGGCCAACGAATGAGCCGTACACGTACTCGCTCACTTATGTCGACGCACACTTCGATTACACCTTTTAAGAGCTTCATCATCAGTACATTCTTCTTCTCCTTTCTCTTCCTCTCTTCTGTCTCATTAGGCTTATGTGAATTAGCACATACAGTACACCCCCGTCAGTGTATATGGTCGTCAACACAATCTTTGGCTACAATACTGCCGGTCGCGCTGGGCGCTTCGGCACCAGTGTACTATTCGCCCTCTATTTAGACCATGTGTTGAATATAATTCCTAACGAGTCAGTGAAACGACAGCCCATCCTGAGCGATCTGGATACCGACTTCCCCCAGACAGAAACTGCCTCAGTGATCGCGATAGCGGCGCCTGACGGCCGGTCAGACCTTATTCTTGTGGCCCCAGATCCTGTCAGGTCTTGGGTTTCGCCATGCAACGCATGTGGTGGATTTGGGCTATTTAATCCTCCGTATGTCGGTTTTCCGCTGACTGCATGGCTGGCCACGGAGATGACGACGACTTCGATGGCACAGCCAACGCCACAGCCTATAGTGGTCGTGAAATCGGGTGACTGTTGCGAGACTAAGGTCTCATATGGTATCTCAGAAATTTTCGCGAAGTCAGCATCTAAGAGCTGATGTAAAGCGTGGCTGAGTTATTTCTATCTACTTATAAGCTTAATATCCAGACTAATCCTGCTCCTTCTCGGTTCTAGAATAATACGAGCGCGTTTTCCTTAAGATGACTAAGACCCTCTTTCGGCGTGCGCGCCGGAAGGTAGATTTAACGTCTCACCATGAGAGGCCTATTAGTCTAAAATATTGTAGGGTGATTATACTTATAGGCCGGAATATTTGACCGTCAACCGGTCGATTGGAATATAAGGGGGCCGACCCAGGCCGTCCACGACCAAGAGTAAAGTCGCTTTATCTCAAATGTGAAAGTAAAGGCTAAGAAATATTAAGACCGTGCCAGGCAGCGCAAATACACTAAGAGGATCGATGATGAGCTGACGAGCCACGCCAGGAAAACAGGGATGGTTCAATAGACTGTCTCCCAAGAAAAAGGCAGATAGAGACGAGGCGAGTGAAGAAGCCGACGGGCGAAAAATGACAAGAGTCCCATCCCTGAGCTATAGGATAACTTGAGTGAGACTTTGGAAGATGCCAAGGTGGCCGAGGCTTAAGAACCCCGTACGCGGGTGAGGATAACACCCGTCCGTCTTGAGTAGGGTTACTGAAGGGCAGAGCGTTTCTTGAAATAAGAAAGACACCCAATGCTCCTTATAGCTTGATATAGTCCAATTCTACCATCACCGATCCCAATACTTGAATCCAATCGAAGTCATCTCTAAATGTGCCAGCGGAGACCCTGACGATCCCCCGTAACTGAGTCGTGTCGCTCAGGCCTCCTTACGGTGTATAGGTCGTGCTGGCTGCCATGTTAAATATCCGCTTCAAAGCGGCCAGACATTGTGCAGCGGTTGCATCCGACAAACGAAACCCGAAGCGGTGGCTGCTCTTGCCTGTATGGGCAGAGTTTAGCAACGAAGTGGAGCTTTATCTCTCCGGTGCGGGTCTCACTCTCCGATTCCACTCGGAAGAAAGCTTGTGATTTATTGTACCCCTTGAATCCCGGCATCCGTCATTGTTCCCCCACTGCCATACAAATATTTTAGTCAACCTTTTGCCGAGTTGGATTCAAGCGTCCCCCTCAAATTTTTCGGCCTCCGACTCTGCTCTCCTCGAAGCTATCTTTCTCCTACTTTTTGTTTCGAACATTCGGACCGGGACCGTCCTTCAGGTTTTCGCCATGAATAAGGAGCAGGTCGCTGCATCTCCGTTCGAGGTGGGCGAGGTGGGCTGGAGCCCGCTCATTAGACCGCAGGCTCGTGAGCCGTACGACCCCAACATTACCTTCGAAGAGTACCACTACTATGCGCGGAAGACACGCGAGGAAGAGTTGACCCTCGAATCACCCGTCCTGAATGTACGACAGATGTTCAAGAAAACAAGCGAGCAGGAGGTACCTAGCAACATTCCGACCCTGACGGAGGCGGATTTCAGAAACCCCGAGAGACGGCTGCAGATCACAAATGAAGAATGGAATAATGCGAGCCGCTCTTTCAGATCGGCTTCTTGGGGAGCCTGTGAGTATAGAACGGAGACTTATTTGGCGTGCAATGCTAATATGCTGTTTTGCTAGGTTTCTTCTTGATTACTACTGACGTTTTGGGACCCTACGGCTCCGGTTTCACGATGGGCACATTGGGTTGGGGACCAGGTGAGTGATATGCTTAGGCCTCAATAGGAGCAAAGCTCATCCTCCGTGTAGGCATCGCATTTTACACTGTCTTTGGATTGATGGCCGGCTATTCTGGCTACCTGGTCTGGCGCGTGTTCCTTGGAGTGGACAGTCACGAGTTCCCTGCAAAGAACTACGGTGACCTTGGTTTCAGAACCCTTGGTCGCTACGGTCGCTATGTCACAAACATATGTCAAGGAATCGCGCTTCTTCTACTGACCGGTCAGGTCACAATCCAATTCGGTGAGAACATCTCCCAGTTGTCTAAGTTCAAGCTGTGCTACGCCGTCTGCCCTGTTATCTTCGCTTGCGCTGGTTTCTTCGTCTCACAGATCCGCACGCTTAGATCGTATGGCTGGGTGGCCAACTTATCTGTGTGGCTTAATATCTTCGTGATTCTTATGACTATGGGTGTGATGGCTAACTCACCTCCTAACTATGCGATCTCGACTCTTGGATCTGCAGGAAGCGTCGTGAACGACGCTACTATCACTCCTGTAGGCGGCATCTACCCTCCGATCATTCACTATAATAATATCCCTCCGAATGGGCTGATTGGTTCTCTGAATGGCATGCTCTCTGGTGTTCTCGCTTATGCTGGTGTTCAACTATTTGTGGAGTTCCTAGCTGAGATGAGACGCCCTCGTGACTTTATCAAGGCGATGTGGGGCGCCCAGTTCTTTATTTATAGCGTCTATCTGATATATGGGTGTGTGGTCTATCACCTGCAGGGACAATACGCCTTTAACCCAAGTTACCAGGGAGTCAGTCTTTACGGATGGCAGACAGCCGGCAACATGATAAGTGTCATCGCTGCTCTGATTGCGGGCGGTCTTTATGGTAATATTGGCATCAAGGTTGTTTACAATAACATCTTCCTCGATATTCTTAAGGCACCACCGCTTACGACGCGGGTCGGAAAGATCATCTATGCTGCTATGGTCCCCATTTGGTGGATTCTTGCATACATCATTGCGGCGGCCATCCCTGATTATATAGGGTTTGTCAGTGTTATTTCAGCCTCAATGCTGCTGAACCTGACATATAGCTTCCCTCCGTTGTTCGCGTTGAGTTTCGATATTCAGAAGAACGCTATTCGGCCGTATCAGGGAGAAGGGTTTGACCAGAACACTGGACATATGAACATGAACGAGACCACCAGCCAGAGGCTGATCCGTGGGTTCTTTGCCGGTGGCGCTTTCCAGGTGGGCATCAACATCTGGCACGTCATTTACTTCTTGGCCTCGCTGTCTATGTGTGGTCTCGGCATCTATGCTGCCGTTGAGGGTAAGTCATCAACATTTCTCCCTTCTAGCTTTCAACCTAAACTTTATTGCAGGGATGATCGTTGCCTTCAAGGATCCTCAGCTGAACTCATTCTCTTGTGTCTCGCCACTCAACCTGAATGCGTAACTGGGCCAGTCAAGGGCCTCCAGTATGATAAGAGATTTATTCATTTTATTCAGATTGCACGCATCTATTGGTTTTCCGTTCCTTTGTTTAAGTATTACCAAAAGGAATTTTGTAAGGTCGAATGCATTCAGTCTGCCTCACGTAGCAAATCCAGCTGGCGAATACTTGCAAATTCCACCCCCGGGTGTAGGGATTGAACGTGGACTTGGTAAGGAGAGAGTTCTGTTGTGACTTGCAGACACTGCTCCAATGTGGTAGCTTACGTTGGAGGAATACTATCAAAAATAGCTATTCGGTCTAGTGACAATTATGATGGCTTCCTAATAATTTCCGTTTACGAACACCTAGGAACGAGTCCATTGAATTGGGCAGGTAGCGGGACCAGCTCAGTTATACCGACCAGAACCAGAACCAGGATGTAGGTATGTCATATTACAGATAGCAAATATGAGAGTACAAATATGGAGAAAGGGAAAAATACTGGGAGGGAGAGAGACCAGGCCCGAACACATAGTTAACTGTACATGTGGGCCGATGTTTTAGGCATGTGCACCTTCAGTGAACATGAACAGTTACCAGAGAATGAGGACGATTTAATGATTTTCTTATATTCAAAACCCTGGTCAGTTCTGCGCAGGCAAATCCTACGCACTCATTTACGACACCAACGGTCATCATGTCCGATTTATTCTCCTCAGCACCGCTTTTGAGCAACGATAGCGCCTAAAGAGCAAATCATGCCCGTGCTAAGGTAAGACCCCAACGGGGACCCCTATCCCGGTTGGCGCTACAGCGGTAGGTGTTATAAAGTTTTGCTGTTATTTTGGCTCTCTCATGCTTGGAGCCATGTATTCAAGGCTGTGTATGATGCGGCTAATCATATTACCCAGCCATATGGACGAGTTGTCAGTTGAAGTCGCCGGGTATCGCAACACAGTTGGGAAGCTTTTTCCTGGATTTGCTCTCGAGGACTTGAAACAAATGTTACAAGAGGAACTTTTGTAATGCATTCGAAATGAAGTTTCGGCTGAGAGTTAAGGGAGCCCAGTCAATAATTACGGACTTGCGGCTCGGGAGAATAACCACATGCCAGCGCCGGAAATGCGGCACAATATGATAGCCGTGCAAATGACCATCAATGACTCTGAAGGCAGTGTAGAGATTGACGCCGATCTGGAAGTTTCTGATGACGTCATATCCACTTTCGCCAGGGACGAGGAAGCCGAAATCATACCTTGGGGTGTCATCAGTTCATGCAAATTTGGACCTGGTCTTTCTCCTTTGCCCAGAGTCCACACCTGTTCTAGTTGATCCAAACTCTACTGGACAGATAGCTCAGTCTCATGTGCTATCTAGCAGAGCCGATGATTCCTTCCAAAAGCCTGCATTGACACAAGGACCCTTCGTGCAAGAAACGAGAGCCCATACATTTCTCTGCGCAAAATAATCCGATTGTATCAACGCCTACATCATCTACTTTCACTCTTTTGCTCCGCTGATTGATGAAGCATATTCTCAATCAACCTATACGCCCGGTCAGAGGAAAGGCAACCGATGCCTCGGTCTGCTTAACATGTCTGTGTCCTTGGCAGTATCACGGCTAGCGGTGCCCGTGACAAGTCCCATCTTGTCTACTACAAGCGCTGCAAGAGCCATTTGGGGGTTCATTGTCTCGGCTCCCCTAATTTTGGAATGATCCAAACGCTTGGCCTGTTGGGCGGGTACTAGTTTATCTCTAATAAGGTAGGAGCTATAAACAGCAGCAAGTCACAGCAGGGTGTTCAGTCATCGCAGTACCGCGCAAGTATCTGACGTCTGTGCTCTTGGCAAGATTTGTAAGGCCTTCATTGGCAGCAAGGGACAAAAACATCCCCTTTTTCATCCACTAACGACAACGCTAGAGGGTTTGTAGGTAGTGAAAGCTTGAACATTTTTCTATGTGGATGTGGAGATGCCATCTCCATGCTAAACTGAGTGTGTGGTAAATGGCTCGTTAGAAGGCGGAATAAACCGAGGAGTGAGATCTGGTGCTTCAGAAAATGTCCTGTCAAAAGGCCACATAGGGCGGTGGATGCGTTGGTGTCCAAGGCGAGGAAGATCCTGATCAACCCCCCCAGGTGTCAGAGCCAACATCCAGTCAGCTGCCATGTTGAATAGCTCCGGCTCCAAGTATCCGATCTTGACAATCACGATGTCTGCAGACCGAGGTTCAAGGTTGAGTTCGGTGAAATCTTTCTCGAGATGGTAGGGCTTGCGTAGTTCGGTCAAAATAACAGATACGCTTCCGACCTGAACGACAGTTTCAGTAACGGCATTTCGGTCTCCTTTCTTGATTGCATGAATCCGTCCTGTCATGGTGACCGGTCCCTCGTGGGTGTCGTCAACCTGTGCGCCAGCAGTAACTGTCACTGTGGCACCTACTCCTGCCCGAACAATCGATTCAACTGCCTCGGGACCTGGGATACTGGCATAAATGACTCGAGGGCCAGAGTCGTGCTGGAACTCTGGCCGAGACAGCACTTTTGAAAGACTCCATGTCACATCGCCAGCACCCCCGGCCGTTGGGTTGTCACCCGAGTCTGAAATGAAAAACGGCCGAGACGTGGATTGCAGAGCAGTATCAATACATTCTGTAAGGGATCCGGTCGGAGCGACAAAGTGAAAGTCTTCGCGAGAGTCCCAGAAGTGAGTTGCGAGCTTTCGGGCACCTGCAGTCACGACATCGGCTTCCCATCCCGTGACCATCACAACCGCATGATTGCGCGGCTCGTCCGCCCAGGCATAACCCACCCAGATAGCAGCATCCAAGACCCCCGCAATTGACTCGACTTCAGGCACAAGCGCATACAGTCCTTTTGCGGGCTGAAGCCGTGTCGAAGTCTGCTCTCCCGGGAGCAAGATTGGGATTGGAACCCAGGCTTTCAATGGCCGAGCTGGAGATGATCCTCCCGCCAATAAATTGACAAGGTTTCGACATGCGCGTTCTTTTGTGTCCATTGCATCTTCATGTGGAGCCATCCGATAACATGTGATGAGGTCTATTTGGTGAGCCAGTTCTTGTGAAACATTGCCATGAAGGTCCATCGAAGCTGATACGATGACGTGAGAACCGATAACACACCTAATTCGACGAAGAAGTTCAGCTTCAGCGTCATCTAAATCCTCGACACACATCGCTCCATGAATGTCAAACCACAGACCATGAACTGTGGTTGATTTGCATATATCCATCAGCCGAAATAAGATGTCTTCCACAAGCTCTTCAAATGCAGTCCTGGCAACAATTCCTCCAGGGAGGGCGTGGCCGATGAGTGCACCCCGCCATTCGGCTGCGTCTCCAAGGGGCGTTCCGAGTTGAATGAAGGGATATTTCTCAATTATCTCGGTATCACGACGAGGATGAAATGCTGGTGCGAGAGTCCGAGCTGGAGAGAACCCAGATGTTTCGCAAGCAAGTCCCGCAATAACAATAACTGGTTGGTTCGCCATTGCATGCAAGGATCATTTGCTGTTCCGTTCGCATAAACTGTGGAAGATGTCTCTGCGTCCTGAAAAAGAAACTCTTTCTAGGTTCCTTCCCAAGGGGCCAAGGTGGCAACGGGGGTGAAGCTTTCCCTTGCCGCCGATCAGTGCGCCCAAGTTCCATGCAACGTCGCTTCGAGCCGCCAGCCACTTCGACCCCGCTTATCTTTTGCCTATGGCCTCTGAATACCGTGTAACCCCCAGTAAAGTCACTTTGGCACAAACGGTAGTTAAAAACAATTTTATTAAAAACTGAATTTTAATGTGGCTCGTCGAATTCGAAGATATGGAGCTGCGCGAGAAGATTTAAACCCGCACGTGCTATCCCGCACAAGGGTGGGGAAGGTAGGCGTACCTCAATAAGGGGGGTGGGGTCGTTCCGAACCTGTAAATTTTGACAGGAGATAGATTAAACAGCCCTTGTCCTCTAAAGCGCAACCCCGCTGATCGGCCAACTCACGATGGAACGTTCCTATCGGCATGCTATTGTCCCCGCGATAAACAAGCCACCTGGGCAACTTGCGGAGCCACATACCGAGGCCATATTATCATATATAGTAAGGCTATCACCAGGTCTAAATATCCCAATCCATCATTTCCAAGGCTTCGCGACTCTGACCCCGCGTTGACATCTCTCTCCTTCAATGTTAAGAAAGACTCCGACGGGGACATGGATGCCGGCGTGGGTTCCTGAGTCCACCTTCACCGTCTCAATCCTACTGTTACTCTGTTCTATTGTTCAATCAGCGGTAAGTTTATACATTCAACCCTTGCCAGGTACAATTATCATCGAAAACTGACACAAGTAAGACGGGAGGTTATGATGGGTCAATGCTCAATGGTCTTAATATCTTACCATCATACAAAGACTATTTCAACCTAAATGAAGCAACAACTGGACTCAATACTGCATCTGTGTCCATTGGTGGTCTCTTAGGGCCTCTGGTATCAGGCGTTCTCGCTGATCGGTTGGGCCGTCGTCCAGCAATTTTCTGGGGATCGAGCCTGACCATTGTTGGCATTATCATTCAGACCGCTTCACAGAACATTGCCATGTTTGTCGTTGCCAGGGCAATTCTTGGATTTGGAAGTGCAATTTCCGGGATTGCCGGAGGAGTTTATCTCTCAGAAGCCTTCCCTAGCCGGTGGCGTGCATGGGGAGTCGGGCTCCTGAATGATTTTTACTAGTCAGTATGTCCATCTGAATGCGCGGGGACTGACTCTAATAGAAATCTCAGTGTTGGCGCGCTCATTGCTGCCGGTGTGACCCTCGGAACGGGACAGTGGCAATCAACCTGGGCCTGGAGAGCCCCGTCGCTATTCCAGGCAGTTTTCTCGTTGCTCTGCATCCTAACTTTACCTTTCATGTAGTGTTCATAACTTCTCTCCGCGTGAACATGATACTAATCAAATCAAAAGTCCTGAATCGCCACGCTGGCTCGCTCACCAGGGGTACTATGAAGAGGCCCGGCTTTCGGTTGCACAAACAAACTCCCATGGGAACCTCTCCGATCCAGTAGTTCTCACTATCTTTAAAGAGATCGTGGATACCCTGAAGTGGGAAAAAGAAAATTGGCATTCTATGAGCCCCATTGAAATTTTCAAGAAGCCTGTAGCCCGAAAGCGCCTCCTTGTTGGAATGTCGGCGGGACCATTTTCCTGCATTGCCGGCAACATCATTGCATCCTATTACTTTGGCTTGGAACTTGACACGGCAGGTATTACAGACAAAAACGAGCAACTGAAAGCAGTATGTTTATTAGCCAAAAAAAGTCTTGCTGCAAGATGACTAATTTCACAGAACGTGGTTCTCAATGTTTGGTGTCTTGTATGCTGTCTCGTCGGAACGCATCTCGCAGCCAAATGGGGTCGTAAGCCAACCGCAATGCTTTCCCAAGCTCTTTTGAGCGCTTGCCTATTTATCATTGGTGGCCTCTCTAAGATCTATGCCTCGAACCCAAAGAGCGCGTCCAACGCACTTGTTTACGGGAACGTGGCGGTTATATTTTTGTTCCAAGGCTTTTATTCGATCGGATGGACAACACTTCTTTATCTTTATCCATCGGAGATCATGAACTACTCTATTCGCGCTAATGGAGTCGCGTTCTCATCTTTTGTACTAAATGCATTTGCGTACGTTACTCATTGCTCTGGATGGGTATATGCTAATAAACGAAGCCTGGTTTTTACTTTTATCATGCCGATTGGTCTAGGGAATATTGGATGGAAAATGTACATCATCAACGCATCCTGGGACATTATAATCCTAGGGCTCATTGTAAGTTTCTGTTGATCCTTGTCTTGGCCCGTTTTTGTTTGCTATGCTGATATTTCTAGGCTTATTACTGGGTAGAGACCAAGGGCAAGACTCTGGAAGAGATCGATGCGTTGTTTGAAGGCGAGAAGCATTCCACGGTTCCGGATGTTGAGAAAATTGAGAAAGGCCAGAAACAGATCGACGTCGTTGCTATTGCGGAGGAGTTGAATGCTGAACTAGGTCCGTCGAGCGCCAAAGCGTCGGGAATTCACATCGCCCCTTGAACCCAAGGAGCCAGTGGAACTTTTTCTGGTTTCTCATTTATGTCCGCGCAAATAGATAAAGTCTTAGCACTACTTTCTTAAACCCGAGACAATCTACTCAATAACAAATAACAAAGCTGCACTTTTATCAGATGGCGATAATAATCATTAATAGTAAGCTTGTCTGTCGCCATCGCGGCTAGTGGGCCCAGAAGGCTTAAAAATGCCAGGGCCCAGCTAGCCCTGGATGATTAATCCCCATTAATGTAGTTAATCAGAGATAGTTTAGTAAATATATTGGCGTTTTGGTTTAAAACAAGCGGATTAAAATTACAGAGGGTGGGTGGGTGCGCAGCTCGCTTACATACGCAGCTCGCTTTTCCGAATACGCTTACCTCACGGTTAATCAGCTGCCTCCGTAGCCGGCTACCTGTCAATCACTTGCAATCCCTTTCTATTTTGGTCTTTTCACCTCAACATTGTTACCCTTTTCAAACGCAGTTTTGTTTCTGAAGCTGCGCTAGATGGTGAACCGCTATGGATAAACGCAGCTTCTCAGGAAGGCCCCTCTTGGAAATTGCCTGTTTCAACCAGGAGTCTGCATTCAATGCTGCGAACGGAGGGGCTGATCGAATCGAGTGAGTTTGAGGTCCAGCGCTATTCTTCAAGCACAGTAATCTAGAGCCAGATTCAGCGGGCGCCTTTGACCAGTTCACGCTGACTTTCTTCAGACTATGCTGTGATTACGAGTCTGGTGGCCTTTCGCCCGCTGCAACCATCTTAACGGCTCTCAAGTCTCAAATATCGATTCCAATTCACGTGATGATTCGCCCACACTCAGAAGGTTTCTGTTACAATGACGAATCCTTCGAGGCCATGAAAACGACATTGGTCGCTTTGAAGAATCTCGGGGCCGATGGATTTGTTTTCGGCATTCTCGGTCCAGTTTCTGAAAGCCTCTCGCAGGATATGTCACCGTGGATTGATGTCTCAAGGAACAAGGAGCTTGTCCAGCTTGCAGAAGGGAAACCGTGTACTTTTCATCGAGCCTTTGATTGCATTCCGGAATCCCACTGGGACATGGCATTAGCCGACATAGCGAAGTGCGGTTTTGCGTCAATTCTCACCAGTGGAGGTCCATCAAGCGACAAGGCAATCGACTGCGTCGGCAAACTAGCTGAACTTGGCCAACGGCTTGATCTACTGCGATTTTGTTCTTCAAAATCATGCGAATTTCCCGAGATCATCGTTGGTGGGGGGTGAGATCGAATAATATTCAACACCTGTGGGAGACGTCACATGCTCGAGTGTTTCACTCCAGTGCACTTATTTCGTCGAGCGAGAACGTCGCGATACACGAAGTGGAAAGGCTTCGAGACATCTTACGAGGGAGTTTCTTACAATAGGAAAGCACTGCCTTCGATGAAAAATGATGCCAATACTCCAACGTACTATTCTTGAAGGAAATATAATATCATGCGACTCAAACTCTGTGAGACGAAGCCGTCGATTGAATACTGGGTCATTTGTGCCTTGGGAAACTCATATTCATCTACAGTAGCTCGATCCAGAACTTGCCCCTGAAAGATTGATAGAGTAAACTGCTTGCATGGCGGGGCTACTTCACGTTAAATGAAAGTTTTTAACCCTTCTCTGTACGTTCTGGTTGATTGGATTCTATTTCCCCTCCTTCTCTCCATTTTCGCAATCCGGATCTTGTTCCTAGTAATAGAGCGTATTCTTTGCTAAAGTCGATTTAGAATGATTAGTCATGATTTTGTTTGAGACTAAGCAAAGTTCAAAACCGAATGTAGTTTCATTCTGACCCATCTCGAAATGGAGATTTCATTTGCCATGCTGGATTTGGATTTGTTTAGCCCGTATCAATATTGTAGGGTGAACTTTAGCTGTTCTTATCGGACGTTCCTGCTATATCATTGCCTAACCTTTGTGACTCTAAGTCGAATCCACAATGAGAGATGTGCATTTTGATCTTTGGATTCGGCGGCCAACTTTACTGATACAGATAATGAATTATTGGGTTTCCTCATATGTAAAGCTGCAACTGTACGGATGTAGATCTAGGCGCATTATTAATGCCCTACTACCTGCTCTTCATTGCCTACGATGATAATGACCTCATGCAGCGGATGCGATGGGGTTAACAGAGCAGCGAGAGCATGAGCTGCAGTCTTCTATACGACTTTCTAGCAGTATAACTCCCACGAGGATTATGTTGGTGTTTGGGCCGCTTACGAGCCCAAGTGTTGCGGTTGAAGTATAAAGACCAGTTTCGTTCTTGCTGTCCGGTCCTATAAAACATCTCCCAGTCCACATATTCTTGAGCCTATTTGAGTTCCGCTCAAGAAAGACAGGCCCACTATTACAACCTTGGCTCCTCGACACACCTACGTTGACATATATTGAAATCCTGTCGTCTCAATTGCAGTTGACCTGAACGGTGCCACCATCAATTGCTATGCATGAGATAGCCGTGAGCAGTGAAATCGTATACGAATTAATGCAATTTGTCAGGCTCATGGAGGATTCTCATTTTCATGATTTCGTATCTACCAATTCTCTTGAGTCACGATCACAGATTAGTAATGTAAATTTCAACAACAAACAATTCGTACAGTTAGTTCTACCACCTGGGGATGAATTGCCGTGGGTCAAAGTTCAAATTAGTTCTATCAACTGAGAGAACAGGTGCGCGTTTTGAAACGAAACCGAAAGGCTTGCGAAACTTGGAAATTCTTTGAATTTCACTGAATTTATGCATTATTGAAGGTTGTAATTGCGAGGCTTATAGTTTGTTGCCGCCCAGGACGCTTTCTTTTTTGTAGCAATGCCCATGTTTTATTATGCATTGATCTGCTCATCCTAACCACGACATTTCTTGATTTGATAGACATATCTAGGAGGTAAGCCTTGATAGCGCCACACCTTGACGAGGAGAGATTAAATTATCTTTGACCTTTAGGTGAATGCGTTACTTTGATGATCCAGGCTATTTGGCCAAGTTTTCCTCATTTGCCAAACACAATAGCCGCCAATGCTGGGATTAACACCAAGCATTTTTGTTAGATTTCTTCTATTTTGGCTGGGATCTCTGCCGGCTTTGTGGTTCCCCATCTACAAGATCCGTCATCTTTTTACCGTGAAAGCATACTTCTCCCCAGCCTGTGCTATCGCCTTCTTTGGCCGAACGATTACGCGTGCACATGTTCTTGGACCTATTATCACCCAGCCAAACACTGCCCAGGGTATTGCCTCGGCATGGGCCTTTTTCAAGAGCATCATGAACTGCATTGCCAATTTTGCGGCACTGGTAATCAATAATCCTGATTTTGCACGATACTCGCGGAAACCTCAAGATCCTTTATGGCCTCAGCTCATAACCATTCCAGAACCATTCCAGTGGGTTTGTCATCACATCTTTATTGGTATTATCGTCTCCTCTTTCTCAAGTGTTATATTTGATAAGCCAGTCTGGAATCCGTTGACCCTCTTGGCAATGTTTTTGGAAAATGCCAATTCCGCTGAACGTTTTGGCATCTTCGTTATCGCGAGCGGGTTTGCATTCGGCACAGCTGGGAAAAAATATCGCTGCCAATTCCGTATCTGCCGGTACCAGCCTCACAGCCCTTTTTCCGCGATTTTGCACTATCAGAAGGGGTGGTTATCTATATGCAGCTATTGGCCTTGCTATGTGCCCCGTGAATATCACGCTTCTGACATGGCCTATCGAGCGCGCCCTTGACCAATCTTCATTCTTAGAGCGTTTTGGTGGCCTTGAAAAATTGCTTGTCATGAACATGCTTGCTATATTTGCTCTTCACAGAAACACAGGCCCAGGACTTGGACACCCCGTCGACGTGGCTATGCGCTCATCTATTGATTTGCGTCTTTATTGCGAGCATAACACAAGTGTTTCTCAGGAGGGCTATTGACCAGCACCAATTTTGCAATGAGCAACGTGGGAATCAACATTGGGTTGATTACTTACGCCGGCGCTTGTGGTGGTGTGTGTATAGCCTCGAACGTCTCGTTGCACATAGTCTTAATCCACCCTTTTTTATTACTGATGAAGTCATTACCACTGGGTTTCCATCTCTCCTTGGCGAAGTTTTCTTTACAATATCAGGGTTCCTCAAGATGCAAATTCTGTAATCGGAGATTCACAGCGTTATCCAGTATCAACAACCCCTTTGCTAAACGAGATAGCGGAGCCTACACTAGAACCTCCGAATCAATTCGTCGACTTTTACTAATGTTGGGGCACACCAGGAGCTGGAGAGAACTAGCCAGACTAAGAGGGCAGCCTTCCTCCTGATTCATCCGAGACATGAGAATCGACTTACTTTCGAGGATGTTTTTGACGTGGACATGTTGTCACTTCTCTCGCTATAGCTCGGAGATGTTCTCTTGGATCCAAGCCTCGCAGCTGAATACCCGAAGATTCTGCGTCTCCAATGCATTAACATAACTATTCCTCTATATCATGCAAACCTGGGCCATGGTCTTCACGGGGGGGCCTTGGATGCGGACCTTGACACCGGATTTGACCGAAGATTTGTGATCAAAGTGGGGAACGAACCTCGGTAAATTAAGAAACAAATGCCCGGATGATTGATATCTCTGGTACAGGCCCCGGGATACGCTTACTCTACGCGATTTTTAGTGGCCTCAATGCTTCATTAGATGCAGATGAATCTCACATTAAACAAACGCTATCTGGTTTTCAACGTCAATGAGCACGCCAATGCCGAATCGGCCATATTTACGAGGCTTTCACTGCGATCCTGCATACACTGTTGATCATACTAATTCCACTGATTGCGACATGAGAAACTCTCGAGTCTCGGAGATTGCATGACATAATTCCAGTATTTAGTCGACCATCAAACAACTACATAGTTCGTATCTTAATGGGCGGGGCCACTTTCCCCTCACCAGTCTCAACGGTCGGACCTCTTGCTTCGCTTGGTGTTTGCCCGTTAACCCCTTTTCGGTTCAAAACTTGGGTATTGCGGCGTCTCCTAGTGTGACTCATGACTCGGACCCCTTGGGCTGCTAGACCATGTGTCTCTCGAAATTAAGCCCGGTGCAGTGATTCATGCATCTGGCCCACCCATCTCATTCCCGATGGGTACAATTCGGCATTTCAGGGAGGGCAACCTCCCAGCAAAAATCACCGCTGACCCCGGCGCGGTACTTCGGATATGCTTTTCAAACCAAGTTAGTGTGGGCGTACGTTAGCATGCTGCTGCAGTCGTGGCGTCCAATCTGCTTTCCAGCTGCCCTCTCGATGGGTAAAGATACAAAGCCGCGATAGATCGAGCCTGTCTTATCGTCAGCAAAGGAACAACCCCGCCGCCACCGCCATGAGGAAGATGAAGTTATCAACCCCAACTCGAGTCATCTCTGCGTCTTTGGCAACGGGGACCGCCTCGTGCTCGGCACTGTTGCTTGTCAAAAGCTTGACTTGCGCACCACCTTATGGTTGATAGACGGGTTTCCTAGCCTCGGCGCCACAGTGACATCGCACCGGCTTCGCTTATCGAACATTATTCAACTATCTTAATCAAAAATGGTCGATCTTTTCCTTATTTGCGATGGCTCATCTGAACACGGTCATGTCCCGGCATACAATGCAATCCCGGCCTCTCTTTGCCGGGTTCTGAAATGAATCTTCCTTATCGCAATGCCTAACCCCGTCGGAAATCCGCAGGTTTGCCATCGCAGCCCATTATCAAGGATTGGCGGCGCTAAAAGGTGCCCGTGGCTGACCGGGTATCGTTTGACGAATATGGGGTGCTCACATCATGTCTAGACGCGCATTTCGAAAGCTCTCTATTTTGACAGTGCTGTACGCAAGACATATAGAGATGTCTGACGCTGCCCCTTCTCGTCCTTTCATTTGGTGCTATACGCGACAAGGCGGGCGTAAATACCCAGGCGTCCACGAGAATCTTGACCATGCCCGCCTTCGCTCTGCAGAAAACCCGCTCGGAGCCATCAAGAAACTCTCAATTCATCAGATGCCACGCCATGGATATTTTCAAGGGTTGCGACTGGTTGATTCTTGACTGCGGGTCAGGCTAGCCCGATCTTGATACCTTCTCCATGTGAGCTAGAGTTTCTTCACGAATCTCTGCAGGTCGTGCTAAACTCATCTTCCAGGCTAACTCGACAAATCCATCGGCCTCCGACGGCGTCACATACTAGCGAAGTAGATGATACTTTTGCCGTCTAGTGGCGCTGGCCTACTGTCCATGATGTTGCATCAGCATCGAGTCTCATGGTGCTTGGATCGCCGAAATGGGATTGGGAGACGGGATCTTTGCGTTCTCGCCGTCTTGGTTATCTATTACGATATGAAAGACATTCAATGGGGCAGGATATAAAACCTATATAAAGCGTGTCCTCCCAGTGTAGCTATGGTCTTTCCTCTCACAAGCAAGCCTGTCTTCCGTCTTCCTCGCTCAACTATCCAAGCCTTCCATCGAAAATAGTCCTGTTAAGACAACCACCTCTATCATCACGATGAAGTTCTCAACCGCCATCCTGAGCAGCTCGCTCCTTGCAACTGCAGTCCTCGCAGCACCGCTGACTGACAAGCGTCAGGCCCGCAACATGGCTCGTTCAAGCAATCGTCAAAGCCATCCTCCTTACATCCCCGGCACCAACGAGATCCTCCACTTGAGCAAGACTTCGCACGAGCAGTATAGCTCGAACTGGGCCGGAGCTGTTCTCATAGGCACTGGATACAAGGCGGTCTCTGCGGAGTTTACCGTTCCTACTCCCAAGCGTCCGAGCGGCGGCTCCAAGCATAAGCAATACTGCGCTTCTGCGTGGGTTGGCATCGATGGAGACACCTGCTCCTCTGCAATTCTGCAGACCGGAGTCGACTTCTGTATCCAAGACAGTACGGTGTCCTATGATGCCTGGTATGAATGGTATCCCGACTATGCCTACGATTTCAGTGGCATCAGCATTTCTGCTGGGGACGTGATCAAGTTGTCTGTGGATGCCTCCTCCGACACCACTGGCACCGCTACTATTGAAAATGTTTCGAACGGGGAGTCCGTGACTCACACCTTCACCGGCGGCGTGGATGGTGATCTTTGCGAATACAATGCCGAGTGGATCGTTGAGGATTTCGAGTCGGGCAGTTCCCTAGTTCCGTTTGCCGACTTCGGCACTGTCACTTTTTCCAACGCCGAGGCTACCGACGGCAGCTCCACCGTTGGACCTTCCGGTGCTACCCTGATTGATATCGAGCAGAACAACGAAGTTCTTACCTCCAGCTCCATCAGTGGCAGCAGCGTTACCGTGGAGTACGTCTAAAGTACGTACTGCAAGCTGTGGGGTATCAATAGGCTTTCCGTTTGGAGTAGCCATGTACGAGGCTATCGGCGGAATAATCTGGACCTTTTGTAGTCGTCTCGTATCTTCTTCTACTCAGACGTCTCATGCTGCAAATGGAACCTCAATACAGATAAATTCGCATTACCTCCTTGTTTCAGCTGTTGAAAATCCTTATTTACACCCTCTTGTCGAATAAGGTAGAACGTCTGGCTATTTGCCAGTGAGCGCAGTGTCCAGAAGAGGCCCATATTAGTTAAAGCCAATAAAACTCGAAAGTATGGACCATTTGTGCGATCGATAGCCTTGTTTCGGGAAGTACAATCCTTCTTTTCTTCCGTACAATTGACCCTGGTTTCCGGGCATCTCATGTCCAGCTAGTCATATCTTTACTCCATTGCTCCTTACATCCTCATTTTGAAAGGGTTTTATATGGTCTCGAGGAATATGCAGATGGCCGTGTTGCTGAGACAAGAAGCGAGAAGATAATTCCAAGATTTGAATCGTCCACGTCCAGTATGAGACACATATTGTGTGCCCAGACCTAAAATGACCTCCTACTTTAGGCATTTGCCAGCAATATTTCCATAATCGCAGGATTGGTTTTCCGCAAATTTTCACTACCTCTAGTGCTCTTGTGATATTTCCTACATCTGATGTGTCAGAGGAAGATGTCCCGAAAAATTCAGCTGCTGACCCGGGTCATTCGGCAAACCAATTCCGTAAGGTCACAAAGAGCATTGGATGCTGCACCAAGTTATAGTAAGCTCCATACGGAAGAAGCTTCAGTACACTGAAATCTATTATTATGGATGAAGGGCGTGAATGATAGAACTTTTGTCGGCCGTTTTCGATGATGATACCCGCATAACTTTTTCTCACGGTCCTAATTTCCTCCAGGGTGACTTTTTCCCCGTTCTCGTTATATTGGCTGAGGACCTAAAGAAAATTAACTGCTGTCAGCTTAAAAAGCTCTGCTTGAATATTGCCTCCACTGACAAGTATTGACAGTGTTCCTTCTATCGAGCACTGGGCCAGTGGTTCGGGAGACGTTTCCTAGATTCCAGGGTGGCTTTACTGATATGGCAGAAGTATTCTGTATTCCAATAGGGAAACTTAAATCAATTGTTAAAAAGTCTCACCATACCTGCTTCGCAAGGTGGGAGGGTATGAATTTCTTCCTGGTCAGTGTATCTACTGATCATTGCATGTTGCTTGTTAGGCTGACGTTTTCTAGCAACAAAAGTGCGACGGAATAAACGTAGGTCGATTACCACTATTTCGTAACCGACATTGGCAGGAAAGATTGCAATACCTTCAGGTTGGGAGACTCCAAAGACCCGATTCGCGCGTTTTGTGGATCAATCAATCGTGGTGTAGACATCGCTTTCCTTTGGACGGAAGCTCTCCGGTCGCTGCAGTCGGATAGGTTACGGTGCCTTGCGCAAATAGGAACATGCCTAGATTTTCAACGAAGCTACGGCCAACTCTGGCTTAACCGCAACTACAAGAAGAGATTGGTTTATAAATTATCAAATCCTTTTGGCACATGTCATAGGCTTCTCAATTCAGCGACAGACCATTCATGATATCGATTTTGTATGATGACAGAGAACTATCAGAACAGTGTCCACAAGTGGCTCATTCGCCTAATGCCTGCAGGCCTCGAGAGCAAATTTCTGAAAAGATAATCGACCTGGAAGTAAAGGCGGATACTATTTTCCTTGTAGAAAGGCGACCAATCACAAAATACCCCGGTTAATCAACTTTGACAAAAGCGACATTTGACTGAAAGTTCCCACGGGTTGCCTTTCCCAGATCACTTAATTGGGATACAGTCACATCCGCCAGCGGCTTCTCCCAGACAGCGTGCCAGGTTCCCGCTGCATGAATGGAGTACTCATGCCCCTTCTGGAAGTGTATGCCAGGCAGATTCACAGTAAGGTCCAAGGTTTGGCCGGCGGATATCTCTACTAGGTCGTCAAGAGACAGCGGGAGCTTTCGTGATATTTTGATGGTGTCAAGTGGCAGGGTATCTCCGCTTTCAGTATCACAAACCACAAAGACACCTAGTACGCTGGCACGGGCATCCAAGGGGGAGCTCCACCTGAGGACCGTCACTGGGGATTCGGTGGGATTATAAATGGACACGGCGATGGGCACGACAAAAGGCGAGAGTGTATCTGTCGCTAACTGTTGAGAAACGAGGCTGATTTGAAGTCCTGCAGTAGACTGCATATCGACAAGAGAGTAAAAGAGGGTGAAGCAAGCGAGAATTAATGCCCTGCTAAGGTGCAGAGATCATCACGGGCTGAGCAGACTCACAGGGCAGATGGGTAGATGAGTTGAAGAAAGAAAAGAGAGTCAAGATCAGTCAGAGTCACGGGCGCGACTACTGGCTCGCTCAACCGGCATATGATGCCAACCTATAAAAGGCCCGACTTCGTATCTTCCCCAATGCAACCTCCCTGACTTGACACGGCTGCAGCCAAGGGCCACCCCATACCAAGTCCGAAATTTGGCTGAAGCCAAGCCAGAAAATGACTGAACTTCCCGTATTTAGTCTGAAGTAAAGTCTTGGACAGTCTTGGGGAGGCTTGGGTTGTATCTTGGCGCCGGAGTCCGACGACGATACAGGGTCCACAGGCTTGGCAAGCTTCCGGCGAGGACATCTACTTCAACCCGTCTATGGAGGTGGTTCAAGCAGAGAATAGCGGTGTTTCCCCCTCATTTTGTAATCCCATAACTATACAAGTTGAATGTTCGGTGCACGACTTTCGTCCCTCTCAGTTTACTTCCCTATGCCGGGTCGTAGGCAGTTACATCCCCGGGTCTTGGTTTCCTCTAGATGATCGTGCCCAGATAATTGATGAAACGAGCCCCGTGGTCACCAAACACGATGGCTTTCAGCATCATTTCACGACTATCTCAAACTCTCAAATCAATGGGTGATACGGGCTTCCGCCGGGCCAAGGCGATGCAGTCATTCAAGTGCGGGATTTCGGGTGCTCCAAGGCACTTCGAGATATTTACGGCCAGTGATAAGATCCGATTCAAGACCTCGCCAGCTCGATGGATAGTGATGAATGGGGTCGACATCCGTGACTTGCAGCGAGAGAATGCCACCTTCTCGACTTAGTTATCTTTGTTGGCGATCAGTTTCGTGCACGCTGGACCTCGGGGTTTTCTAGAGCGGGGGATATCTTTTGATATCGTAGGCAGATGCCCGGACCTTCTATAAAAAAGGGCGTGTTGCCCGGCTTATTCCAAGCTTTGAGAACCATCATCAAGTCGGTGGTATTCTAACCCGTCTTGAGAAATCGATCGATTCACGTTTCATCTCTGTTGTCCGCTATGCGTTTTACTGCCTTCTCTGCGGCCCTCCTGGCCCTCGCACAGCACGTATGCGCTTTGCCGGTCGAAAGCAACCAAGTGTCGGGCTTGGATGTCACCCTTAGCCAGGTGGGCCACACTCGCATCAAAGCCGTAGTGAAGAACGCCGGGAACGAGGAAGTGACCTTTGTACACCTTAATTTCTTCCGTGACGGTGCGCCTGTGAAAAAAGTCGCCGTTTTCAAAGATGGCATGCCTTCCGTTCCTGCGAAGATCTGACACGATGCTGATTGTTCACTTTAGACGCCGAAGTAGCATTTGAAGGCATCCGACGTCGTTTCAAACTTCAGGGCCTCACATCGGAGGCTCTCACAACCCTTGCCGTTGGAGAAACTGTGGAAGATGAGTTCGATATTGCCGTAACTAATGATCTATCTCACGGCGGGCCTATGACGCTGCGTTCTAGTGGCCTAGTGCCTCTGGTGAACAACGGTTCCGTCTCCGGCTACTTGCCTTACCAATCGAACGACCTCGAGATTGAAGTGGATGCAATGAAGGCATCCCGAATCACCAAAGCAATCAACCCGCTCACTCGCCGTACTAAGGAGAGCTGCAGTGATTCAAGCCGGAAGGCCGCCCTCGACAGAGCGCTGAAAAACACCGTGTCTCTGGCCAACGCCGCGGCGCAGGCCGCGCTTTCCGGTTCTGCATCCAAGTTCAGCGAATATTTCAAGACGACATCTAGTTCGACTCGCCAGGTTGTGGCCGCTCGACTCCGGGCAGTGGCAAAGGAAGCTCAGTCGACCACCTCCGGTTCCACCACATACTACTGTACCGATGTATATGGCTATTGTGAGACAAATGTGCTGGCTTACACGTTGCCCTCCCTGAACGCGATTGCGAACTGTGACATCTACTACTCGGATCTGCCCGACTTGACGAACACTTGCCACGATCAGGACCAGGCCACCACAACCCTGCATGAGCTCACCCACGCTCCGGGGGTGTACAAGCCTGGGACGGAAGACCTGGGGTACGGGTACTCGGCCGCCACGTCTCTCAGCAGCAGCAATGCCGTTCTGAATGCAGACTCGTATGCTCTATACGCCAATGGTATGTTTTGCAGTTTTCTCAAGCTCTCAGTCCACCGATGCCAGGCTAACCTTAGGATAGCGATCAGCCTCAAGTGCTGAAAGGGGTATTCCGCAAGCCGTAGTCAAGTTGGGAAGATGCAAGAGATGTGGAAATAAACAAGGTGCTTGGTGTATGTGAAGCAATGCGGATTCAAATGTATTAGGTCGATCTGAGGTCGGAATTGGTGGAACTTCGTTGGAAATGGCTCTCCTTAGGAAAACTGCCGCTGTCCAAATGTAGTGAGTCGTACTATCCAAACTCATTTCCGCCGAGTGAAGTATCTGAAAATATCGCACTACCCACGAATATTCCCTGTAACACCACGTAGCGTGCTATTGCGTAGCTGCAGGTCCAACTTCACGCGGAACCAAAAACCCTGCAGGAAACACGCGTCGCTCTATATCCCGGCTTTCAAACTTTGATACACATCGTCCGGGCGCTCCAGGGATAAAAGATTCCGCCACCATCTTCCTATGGTCAGCAATGCCAACAGAAAGGGGCCCGGTTATTTGCGGTCCAAAATGTATACCCAGTGGAATACCTCGGGGGTGTAGGCCGCCGAGGAGACGTCGCCCGACGGCGCTTTCAACGGTGTGCGCGAGCGCAATGACCAATACTCCGCAAGGAATGGCAGGTTATCAAAGCGCAGGGTCGAGTATGAAAGCGCAATCCATGTGGTGTTCTTGTGTGTCAACGGAGCGAGATGCAAAGCTAGCGCCTCGACTGGAGACAAAGTGACGGCCGGGACGCTGGGGAGAAATTTCTGCACGGTGGGACAGATGCTTGACAGATCGTCTGCGTGCGAAATGTTCCGGTCGCTGAAAGTGGCAATAGCATCGCTCGTACTTTTGTCCAAAATCACATCGAAGGGTGCAAATGGAGCCAAGGTGGAAACATGATCCCAGGAGAGCAAGTCGGCGCATAGCCAATGCATCGCCTGGTCGGGGGCTTTCTGTCGTTCGGCTTTTTGACCGATGCGAACGGCTTCGGCGGAGAAATCTACATTCTGCAGGAGAGATGCGCGTGAGAAATCTGCGAGCCCGAAGCCGAGAAAGAGTAATGCAGTGTATCAGACTTACGACTATGCCGCTTCCCATCCAGTCCCGCTCCGTACATGCATCTCGCAGCTTCATTCCCAGCTTGGAAACGCCGGGCCCCAAGTGCAAGACGCGTGGTGCACCTTCGAAGTCGGGCCGGCCTTCCAAATCTGATAGGACCACGTCCAGGAGCGCCTCGCCCGAATTCAGCCATTCGCCGACATCACGACCGGTGGCGAACCTAAAATCCCAGAACTTAGGGTCGTCGTAGTCCGGGGCACCTGCACCTTTGCTGTGCATTCTCCCCGGCTCTGCCATAGCTGCGCGATAGGACGAGCGCATTGCAGCCTCGGCGCAAGTTCGGCACGTTGTCACGTGACCGTCCTCGGTGGAAGAACGCCGCCGTGCGACGTTGATTTTGGATGTTTCGTATTATCCTGGTGCTTCAACGTTTTATACACGAACGGTCTGTGGTAGTCACGGATTTGTCATTTGCGATGGTAAGATAAATGTATTTAGGACTTGCCTTCGCGCTGGGTACTAGAGTTAGATGTATATATCTCTTTACACAAGGCACTTGCTTCGACGCAAACTACGTAGATACAAATGAATATCAAAATACGCGGCCGTAGACGGTATCCCCTTCAGTGCGTACATTGAAATGGTCCTTTACTCAAGCCACGGTCTACGACGCGATGGGCTCCGTCTCGGATATCATTTTCTCCAACATTGAACTGTCCGGCATCACCGGCTCTGTGGAATACGATTCAACTCAGGTCTACATTCTGTATGGCGACGACAGCTGCAGCGATTGGACTTGGGAGGGCGTGGATATGAGGGGCGGCAGCACGAGCGACGTCTGCGACTGCGGATCTTCGGTGCGTCTTGCTGAACAGGGAGGGGGTTTGTGCGTGGGCAAACAGTACTTTTGCGTGCATATCGGCTTCCAACTCAATACCGAAAGTGTACTAACGTGGTTGCGCCTCGTATCAGGGGGGAGGTTCGAGTCTATCTCTCCTGCAGAATATCCTAATTGGAGAATCAAATAACCACTCGACTTTCCAAGGCCCCGCATCTTTCGCATGTTCTCGGTGGGCCACGGCACGGAACGCGTCCAGACTCGGCGTCCCGTCTGTTGATACTCTTGCATCACTGCGGACTGCATAGGTAGAAGACCCAACCACCCCCTGTATCGCTAGCGTCAACTCCCGAGTTGATCTATGTGGTATAGCTATAGTTCGTACTTCCTCCCATCCATGCAGGACGGCCCTTTTTTTTCCCATATTCTTGATTGCACGGACCGCTTTATTGGCTCGGAGACGCTTTCCCCGGCGATCGGCGAGTCACCGCAGGCGTTGGCCCGTCCTCCGTGCGCCCAGTTGCCACGAACCCTCTTTTCTGCTCGCGGATGCGGGACTGTCAATCCGTGCCAATCCATCAGACGGTATCACTGGTTGGCGAGAGCTCAGACGGCGCGTTGCGGGGCAGTCAAATAGCCAAAGCTGCTGCACAATTCCATCGTGGCCTCCTTTTTCATTCTTCACCCCCACCTTCTCTGTTATCGCCTATACACTACCGTGGGCACCTCGCTATGGAGGACAGGCGGAGCGCAATGGAACAGATCGCCGTGGTATGTCTTGCATCTTGGTCTTTGTCTTTGTTTTTGTCGCGACTGACCGAATAGGACCCGGACGTGTATTCGGCCGACGGTCCTTACTACCCGGATGATTGGCAGTCGTAGGTCACCCCATTCATCGCGATCATCTTAGGAGTTTTACTGACGGCGTAGGGAAACGACCTCTATCGGTTCCTCGATCTATCGGGGTCTGATGGAGAACGGTCGACGGTAGGTATTTCGGCCACCAGAATCACGGTCGGGTTCGCTGATCGCGTCTAGATATCAAAACCTGCGCCACCAGGATTACTTGTAAGGGAAACGAACCGTTCTGGAATTCCGGGATCCGTCTGACTTCGATTAGAATTCCTTCGGACGATCAAATGTTCGAGTCATACGAAGCTGGGTATGCGACATCGGCCTGATGACGATTCTTACTGACCCAATTCTAGCCACTTGGTTGCGCTCGTATTGGACTCGGATCGTGAGAACCCTTTATTCCGTGCTCCCGTCCGCGATGCGCGGCAGATTCTCGATATTGGAACCGGCAAAGGCATCTGGGCCATGTAGGTCCCACGTGTGCTCTACCTCTATTTCAAATGACATGCTCACACTATCTCAGTGATGTTGCCGATATGTTCCCCAATGGTAGGCTTGCTATGATTCCTGATCATCTGGACCGAGCGCTGACTAGTTCTAGCGACCGTTCGAGGAGTTGACCTCTTCCCGCCTCCGGTTTCTTGGATGCCGCCCAACTGTGTGTTGGAAGTCGACGACATCCTCCAGGAATGGACCTGGCGCGAGCCCTTCGACCTGATTCACATGCGTATTATGATCGGCTCTTTCGACCCGGCCGAGTGGGATCGGGTCTATAAGCAATGCTACGAGTGAGTGTCGTGATGCCGTGGCATTCGAGTCGACCGAGTCTGACGATTTACAAATAGCAATCTGCAGCCTGGCGGATGGATCGAACAGCTGGAAGCCAGTCCCCGTGTCGAGTGTGACGACGGCAGTTTGCCCGAGGACAACATTCTTCACACCTGGGGTCCGAACATTTTCGCCTGTGGTGAAGCTGCCGGCCGTGAATGCGACACTCTCGACACAATGCATGAAGCAATTCAGAAGGCTGGCTTTGTGGACATCCAAGACATCACCTACAAATGGCCGATTGGGCCATGGGCCCGCGACAAGCGCTTCAAGGAGGCCGGCACAGTCAATTTCCATCACTGGATGTCTGGCATGGAGGGCTGGTGCATGTGGTTGTTGACCAAATTCGGCTCCCCTGAGCCGTGGACCAAAGACGAAGTTCTCGTATACGTGGCCAAGCTGCGTAAGGAGCTCAAGAACCCGCGGTTCCACATCTACCAACGCGCGTAAGTCTTCATCGGATGAAGATCTCGTACTTGGTTCGGACTAACGAATACTCAGCCGACGTGTGTGGGCACGCAAGCCATTCCCTGATGAGGTCGAGCGGTCTGCAAAAACGCAGGAAGGGTCTGCCGGAAAGTCAGATATCTCTGGTGGGAAGCACTAAGAAGCTACCTAGGTAGCCGGGCCGGATTGCCCCTTCAGGATCCCGAGCCTCGCATATCCGTGTATATATCATGCCCGAGATCTCATGAGTTGCGGCCATCAATGTACTCGCTAGGGGATGGAATGCTCTATTCATTTTGATTTTGTATAGCCAATAAGGCTTTGGAGCTAATGGGATTCTACATTTGTTTTCAGCCAATCAAGCTCCTGGACAACACTTGAGCGTACTAATGCAAATCTCCGTGTTTTGGTTTGTGGAGACTCGCAAGGATCATGGGCGGGCCTTGGTCTCTCATCCGCACGCTCCTTGCGAAGAACTCCAGGTAGTAGAAAATAGGCCACTAGCGGCCACCTGGGCAATCATTTCGTCCTCGACCACAAACTTGTTTTCCGAGAGATTAGGTTCAAACCGACGACTGTCTAGGTGTTTGGTCACCCGAGCCGATGATTGGCCCATCGCGAGGAATGTCCAGACCTGACATCACCATCATTGCGATCGCGCCCGGCCAGGATTTTAACTAGAGGCTGCAGTGCTTTATAATCTACACATATTTGTGGCATCGGCCGTTGATTTCTGATGCCCCTGTCAACCAGCCCTTCTCACGATGTCGGGAAGCCCGGCAAGAAAAAAGGTCGCTATCATCGGGGCTGGGGCCGCTGGCATGGTACGGACCCCTTAAATTGGTTCACGAGCTTCTTGGACTAATATATATCGTGGCTCGCAGTCCTGTGCGGCGACCTTAGCTAATCATCCCGACAAGTTTGAGGTGACGGTGATTGACATTGATTCCCATACTGGGGGCCAAGCAACCTCCATCACCCTCGATGAGTCCAAGTATGGGGCAAAGTGGCTCAATGACGGTGTGCAGGGCGGATCAGCCATATTTCGACACACTTTCCGCTTCTTTCGCCGCTACGGTTACGAGCCGCAGCCGGTAAAGCTCCAGGTCTCCTTTGGCAAAGGTCGCGATAGTTTCTGGACCAATGTGTTCCCCAGTCCTCTGGTGGATCGGCATTCACGAGAAATCAAAAAGCTAGGCCGTGTCTTGAGATACATCAAGTACCTGATGCCTATTCTTGGTGTTTTACCGGTCAAGTTTATCCTGCGCCTGTTCTGTTTCAGCAAAGATTTCAGCAACAAGATGGTTTTGCCTCTCTTGGCACTGTTCTTAGGGACCGGAAATGAGACTCCCAATGTGTCAAGTGTGCTCTTGGAGCGCCTGTTCGATGACCCCCAAATGAAGCTCTGGGAGTACGACCCAGACACTTTGTTACCAAATCTGCCAATTATGTTCACATTCCCTAACTTGGGGAGCTTTTATGAGGACTGGGCCGCGGACCTTCGTTCAGGAAAGATTGATATTCGATTAAATACTTCTGTCAAAGTGCTTGAGCGAGGCAAGAATGGTGTTATTTTGCAGACCCAGAAACATGGCAGCAACAACCACGACACCGAGCCCTTCGATGACCTGGTCCTTTGCTGTCCCGCAGACGAGGCAAAGAAGCTCTTGGGTCACCATGCGACATGGCGCGAGAAATACGTCTTGGGAGGCGTCAAGTTTTTCACCGACATCACGATCACCCACTCCGACTCGACTTATTTTCAGAACATCTTCGAGGCTCAATATGATCCAGCGCTATGTGCACAGTCATCTACAAAAGAGCGGAAAGACCAACTTCAGTTTGCCAAGCAGAGACCTGTCTGCCAGAATGACGGATGGCTCGGGTTTAGACCGATGTATTACACTCATTCTTTTGCCTCGGATCCGGACAAGATCGAAATGGGATTTGACTGTACTAATTATCAGCACCAATTCCGCGAGAATATTGGAGAGGGCCAGTCAGCTTTGCCTCTGAACGAGCATGTTTTTCAAACTATTTTTTTGAATGATCAACATCAAGACCTTTGGACTTGGAATGATATTGACCAGTCCAAAATCATCGGAAGGAAATGGTGGCATCAGTTTGGTCACAGATGGCAACACTATTTGCGTGTTATACCCGGGATGATGTTCATCAATGGCCAGAACAGAACATTATATGCCGGAAGTTGGACTATGGTCGTGAGTGATATCCCTTCCTACATGTTCAGTTCGGCACTAACTTGATTCAACTCAAGAATATGCACGAGATTGCCTGCATCTCCGGAATTGCAGCAGCGTATCAATTAGGAGCCACATATGAGCCGTTTGACGACTTTGCAGAAGACTTTTTTGCCAAATATCTGTTTGTCTGCCATGGGACACGTTACCGAAGAACAAAAGCGAAGGACACTTGAGAAGTCCCTGGCAATTAAAGGACATATCGTAAACTCTCGATTTCATGATCTGTCTTGTTGGACAGCTCGTCTTGCAGTTCGTCTGCCTCGGTCAACTCTCTTGGCAATCCGCATAGCCGGTCGCGCCCGCGGTTCTCCCGCACATAAAATCAGTACGGACAAATGAGGAAGAAGATGCCAAACCCCAACCCGGACAGGGCTGCTTTGATAGCAGTCTACCGTGTTAGCTCGAATGTCCCACAAGCAGATAGCGGATCACTCACCGGGTAGTTGGGGTCTTCGGAAGGAATGCAGAATTGAGGACCGACAACACACAGTACTCCAGGAACATCAACGCAATCACGGTACTTTTCTTGGTGAATCCGGCCACGTTCGAACTAATGATACTCAGCGATAGGGGAATGTTGGCAGCAAAGACCGCTCCCAAGCAAAGACCAACCATCTTCCCACGCGGTTCTCATCGTCGAGCTTCCAGATGAGGATCATGCTAAGCATCGAGGTGGTTGTGCTCAGGATCATCATAAAGATTCGGGATAAGGGGGCTTATGTCGCAAAACCGGAGGTTGAAAGAAGAAAGACAAGCTTTGCAGCCCCAATAGGCATCTGGACCAGAAGGGCCTTGGGCTTGCCGTATCCAAACCCAGTAATGATGATGGACGAGAAACTAGTGATACCGCCATTGCAAAAATTCACGCAAAGGATGTATAGCACCAGAAACCAGGTCTGAGGGTCTTTGATGGCCATCAGCACTTGGCTCCATTTGAACTTTCCAGTATCTATGACACCGGTTCTGTTCTTGAGCGTTCGTTGCCGGGCAATCGCTTTCTCGGTCTTGTTGAAGAAGATCGCATTTGCTGGCAAGTCGGGTAGAAAGGCAAAAAGCCCAAATCCGTAGGCAGCAGTGGCAGCACCGAGAATCAAGAAAAGCAACTGCCAATTATTAATTGTGGTACTCTGGGAGATGATAATACACGCCGTAGGACGATCAGATCGCTGCGCCGCGGTTCACATCATCGGCCAATCTAGGGCAGCCACCAGTGATCGTAGCTGCCGAAGCACCACCCTACTGTAGAGGGTGGCATGTAAATTCAGGACTGCTCGGCTTCAGTGTTGATACCCATTGTTCTTGGCCGTTCCTGACGGGGCCGAGATTAGGGATCTGTCATCATCGGGCAGTCCAGCCAATACGGGAGTCGCGTCGGCAAGCAACCCCCTTTCCTATCCGCAAGAGCCAAAACAGAAGGAGTCGGATGATAAATCCATGGCCGTCATGGAGTCACCGTGCTTTACCCCACAGATTCAAGCGTGGGAAGAGAGACCCACCAAATTGCCGAGTAGCTATGATTTACTCGCTCGCCAACCCGAAGTCTTAGCGGTATGATTCCGCTTTTGTCCTGCACTGACTCTAGTGAATTGTCAGCAATTGTCAGCAAACCCCAAGCGAAGAGTAACAGATAGGACGTTGGCCATGAAGGATAGGGTAGGATCCCCTCGGATGTGACGCAAGCTAGCGGCCCCCCTTCTGGACTCTCGTGTGTTAAAGGAACAATATTTCCCCCAGTTCCCGTGGAGTAGTGTTCTTTCTACCAGCCGAGTCTTTGTCCCATACTTTGAATTGAACCATGACTCTCTCGACAGTGGGAACCGACGATGTACGGGATTCTGTAGATGCGGCTCTTGCAACGCTCGAAGAGTCCCTGCGCCAAGTGAACCACGAGGTAAATAACCAGATCGAAAGCTGGGGGTTTTTTGAGTTCCATTTTGCAGATGGTTAATCCGCAACGTGCTTGATAGATCTGGTCTCACCCTGAGCTCGCTTACGAGGAGCATCGTGCTCATGATACCATTTGCGATTTCCTTGAGAAGCAGGGATTCATGGTTACACGCCATGCCTACGGGCTCGATACTTCGTTTGAAGCTTTAAGCGGATCGGGTGGACGGTTAATCAACTTCAATGCGGAATACGACGCACTCCCCGGCATCGGACACGCTTGCGGCCACAACCTCATCGCCACCAGCAGTATCGCGGCCTTTCTAGCCCTTTCATTTGCATTGAAAAAATTCGGTATTCCCGGACGGGCACAGTTACTGGGTACACCGGCGGAGGAAAATGGAGGCGGAAAGGCCAAGCTTATCGACGCGGGGGCGTACAAGAACGTGGACATTTCTCTCATGGCGTATGTTGAACCCCCAGCTGCCAACTACATTCCAACATGCCGGGCGAGATGCTGATGGCGTGAGGCTAGACATGGCGGACCCAAAAAAGTTTTTCCCGACCAGGGAGCTGCCGACGGAATTGCTGGGACGCTGATGAACGCCCGCAAGAATATCCACTGCGAGTACACGGGCAGAAGTGCACATGCAGGCGGCAACCCGTGGGATGGAATCAATGCCCTGGATGCCTTGGTGTCATCCTACAATAACGTTGCCGTGTTGCGACAGCAGCTTTTGCCGGAGCAGCGCGTTCACTGTGCCTTTATGGATACCCCGAAAGTGGCCAACGTGATCCCAGAGTCCACCAAGGCCTTCTGGCAGGTTCGGAGCCCGTCGCTCAAGGGACTTGACAGTCTCGTGGCCAAAGTACGCAATTGTATTGAGGCCGGTGCACTGGCGACGGGATGCCAAGTGTCAATCAAGGAGTAGGTTTACTTCACGTTCCCCCTACTCTCCCCGCGATTGTCATTGACACGACGTAATGCAGGGAGGAACTTTACACTGACGTGCGACTGAACGATACTCTCTGTGAGCGATATGTACTCCACATGGGAGAATATGGCCGAAAGGTCTTGAAGCGCCACGACAAGGTACTGACGGCCTCGTCGGATATTGGTACGTCATGCCACATCTAGAGTCACTCCCAGAAGCAGAATTGACGGAATTGACCTTGTTGCCAATAGGAAATGTCAGCTACGTGACGCCAACTCTGCATACAATGTTTGGGATCCCTACTCCGGAAAACACCTTCCCCCATCACCCTAACTTCGCCGCGGCGGCCGGAACGGACGAGGCGCATGTAGAGGCTGTAGTCGTGGGTAAGGCACTGGCGCTGAGCGGGTGGGATATGATCACGGACGATGCCTTATTCAAGACGGCACGACAACAATGGCAGGACGAGATTGCACGCGAAGACTAGAATAGCTATAGTATAAATTCAGGTCGCCCTGAAATATACACGGTGATGTCAGACTCGGCTGGTTTTCGGCATGTAAAACGTGGCATCGGCATTTGGAGTTGGTGCCTCCGGCCTCGGCTCCCCGCATTATCTCTTATCTCGGTTTTCTCTTTTTTCCTACCAGACAACTCTCCGATGCCTGCAGATTGGCCCGTGTAGACCCGTGGACCTAGAGAGAGAGGTGGGGGATTGAAATATTCATGTCCGGACGCAACGCGCCGCGCTCAAAGAATGGTCGGTGTGCTTTTCCCCCTCAAACCCGCTTGCCACTGACCCGATGTCGGCTTCGACTCAGGCTGCAGTACCTGCCGTCGACGCAAGGTGAAATGCGGCGAAGAGCGCCCAATCTGCAACCGCTGTTTGAATCTCCGCCTGAGTTGTGAATGGGGAGTGCCGGTGAAGCGCGGCCGCGGCGCGCATGTCCGACATCTCCAGCCGGCCCCCAGTGGTGCGGACCAGCTTCTCTGGCCCGCGCCTGATGGGGTCGATGTCCTGGACATCCCAGATGCGCTACTCGCTGGCCTCTCCCCGGTCTCCTGGCTGGGTGACACGGTGCTTCTCGAGCCTCCCCAGGTCGCTCCTTTCTACCCGCCCGTCGCCCCGGCCCGAATCTCGACCCCCCTCTACCCATCGTTGAGCACCGACGAGATTGTCTGCGCAAACTCCCTCACGCTTACAGAGCATGATCGAAAGTATTTTCAGTACTTTCCCTCCTCGTCTATCATATATTATTATATGAAAGGATGGAATTGGAGTAGCTTCTGCTACCTCTATCAAGGCCCCGCCGCCACCAACAAGGTGATCATGCGGATGATTCTGGCTCTGTCTGCCAGTGACATGCATCGGTCCGGGCTGGTGGTGCAGTCTCCAGGTCGGCCCACGGCCGAGAACCACGGAAGATATCACTACAATCTCGCGGTGAAGGAGTTTCGGCAGCTTCTAGAGACCCCCCGGCGGCACGTCTCGCTAGAAGAGCTCGAGATCATCTTTGCCACTATGTTTCTCATGGTCACCTACGAGTGGCAGTTCGGCCATTCGGTACGTCATCTCCAGCTTCATCTGCACGGAGTACGGTCGCTTCTGGAGTCACATCCGCAGCTCTTCCGACTCAAAGATGTCAACGATGTGTTTCTGTCCCCCGAGAGGGCCGACGACAATGCATCCCCGGCGGATGGAGCTGTAACGAAAGTCTCCTTCATTCCGGAGCAGTTCCTTCTATGGATATTGTGAGAACCCTGTTGGGATCTTTAGCCCGTATGTCTCATCACTAACAAAGCCCAGATACATCGACGCCAGTTGCCAGCCAATGGGCCTGACAGAGTCCTTGAATGACTATGTCATGCAGTCGAAGAATCCAGCACTGAATCCAGATCACTTGCACCAATGCGCTCGCCTCTGGGGCCGTTGCTTCTGGGGTGAGCAATATCCAGATCAGGAGGTCCTGGATGACATCGAAAATTATCGAGCACTGGAGCTGTTACATGCCGGTTTTCGTATGCGCTATCGGACTTGGAGGGTTTTGGTGGACTCTGGGGCTGGTACCGAATCCGGAGAGTCACTTTTCCAAGATATTATCGCTACTCGTGATGTACGCGTTCCTTGTGTGGCTTCCCCTGGCTCCTTCCTACATGCTGATTTGTGATTCAGAAATACTCCGATCTCTTCATCACTGCGAAGTTTGCTGGCGCCGTCTCGGCTCGACGTACCCTCAACACCATTTACATGGCCGTATGTATCTTCTATGCACAGATTATTCTCCACCGCCGGCTGCTCTGCGTGGATAGTTTGCCGTCGGCCATCCACCGGCAAGCCACGGCCGGTATCGTGGACATCGCCCGCAAGCAGTTTGCATCCGATCCAAGGCTGCTGCGTCGCTTGCATTGGCCTCTATTGATGGCCGTTATTGAAACGGATGACCCCAACCACCAAGCGTGGTGTCGACAACGCCTGTTCGAATTCCGTGACTTTCATTCGGAGTACCTGTGGGCCAATGAGGTGGCCGATCAGGTTCTGGCCCAGCAGGACGCGAGGCAGGGCCTCTACGTGAATCTGGCCGACTTGTTGCGTCAGCGATTCAAAGTACAATGACGCATCGTGGAACCTTTGTATATCTAGCTGTAATTCTATAGACCTTCTATGACGTGCTTGGTGATGCAGGACCCCTTGGATTTCTACCTTAGGGACTATTTTCCAGGAAATATGCATCATATGCAACCTCTCCTTGGGCTCTGGTAGCGCGCCCAATGATGACCCGATGGTTCATCCACTTGTACTTCTCGTGGCCCGTTTCAACCTTGACGTGAAGATGAAACCAATATTGGCTGGGGTCAACTGGGCCGCCTTCCATTAGGGCTCGGAGGACCTCGGGAGGGCCTGCTCGGGTCCCTTCGGTGCTATCAATGCCAGTCAGTGGTGGATTTGCTTCCGAGACAAGGTTACTCAACTGACCGAATGTAGAGGAATGCCCCATCATCACTCTTGATCACATAATTGGTATTCACGTGGGTCGTCTGGTCCTCCTCTACCAGCCTATACAGTATGAGACTCCTGTCACCGAGATTGTCCATGAACCTACATGAAATCTGCACCCCCGGGCACAACTTCCCCGTTGAGATTGGGCCCGCGTACGGAGCCCGATTTGATCGGCACGCATCGCCGACGACCGTAAGGACCGTGGCCGACCTCCATAGGCGGACCAACCGCACAGCGAAGAGTAAAGAGATGGCTCAGCTTTGGTGGTGGTGCGATGGTCTCCATTGTTGCCTTGTCTGAAGTCTGAAGGGAGAGGTGAACGAGGGGTCGAAGACGTGGGACCTCTCCACTAGGGTCCTTCCGGTGGGATTGACGGAGGATATAGTCCTCCCACAATCGATATTTGATGTTTAATGGAGGGGCGCACTGAAATTTTTATTTTATTTTTGTCCCTCTAGGCTGATTTCGATGGCTTTGTTTACGACTTCGGGAGCCGAACGTATCTCCGGTGTTGCTTATTAGTAACTTAATCCACAGTAACCGAGTAGCCTATACCAAACCGAGTCTGATCTATTGCGACAACAAACGGTCTTTGAGTTAACAACTCACGGGCCTATCAAATCCAATGGATTAAATCAATCAAATACAGATCACCTGGCGCAAGCTGCCGACAGCTTGCCAATGTTGACATCGTCTACCAGGTAGGTTTCGTAGAGGTTCCCCTGGCCGTTCCGCTGTTTCCGAAGATCTATTTTCAAGGTCTATATGGGCATTCGAGCAGCACTCACTACTAAATTGACATGGATGATCATTGCAGTCTGAGATGGATACGAAATCCACAATGGAATATTTCGCCGGCGATCTACTTATCTTCGCCCTCGATTGTCCCAAAATTTCTATACACGATTTTGAACCCATGAGATGCCGCCAAAAGAAAATCGCTGTGCACGCAGGCGCGGGGCCCGTTCGCATATGCAGATGGGGGATTCGAACGTATTTAGTTGAACACAACGGTCTTATGTCCATTGAGCAATACGCGCCGCTCGGTAACGTACTTCACGGCCGTGGCGAGCACGTTACTTTCGACGTTGCTACCGGCGTGAGTCAGCTCCTTGGGGCTCATGCCGTGGTTAACCCGGACGACGTTTTGTTCGATGATGGGGCCCTCGTCAAGATCACTGGTGACGAAATGGGCAGTGGCCCCGATGATCTTCACGCCGCGGTCATAGGCTTGGTGGTAAGGCTTGGCCCCCTTGAAAGAGGGCAGGAAGCTGTGGTGAATGTTGATGATGCGCCCGGACATGGCCTCGCACAGCTTCGGGGACAAGACCTGCATGTAGCGGGCTAGCACGACCAGATCAATGTTGTGCTCACGCACCAACTCCAGGACCTTGGCCTCCTGCTGAGCCTTGGTATCGGCAGTCACGGGGAGATGGAGGAAGGGAATCTTGTAAGTGGCCGCGAGGGCCTCAAAGTCGGGGTGGTTGGAGATGATCAGAGGAACCTCAATGTTCAGCTGGCCGGTGGACTGGCGGAAAAGAAGGTCGTTCAGGCAGTGGCCGATCTTGGAGACCATGATGAGCACGCGAGGCTTCTGTGTGGTGGGGTGGATCTCAAAGTCCATCGAGAAGGATTGCGCCGTAGGCTCGAAGGCGGCATGCAGCTTCTCGATGTCTGGCACCTCTTCGCTACCTGTAGCAGGCGCAAACTGCATGCGCATGAAGAAGCGTTGAGAGGTAAGATCGCCGAATTGTGACGAATCAATGATGTTGAGGTTGTGCTGGACAAGGAAGCCCGTCACGGCGTGCACGATGCCGGGGCGATCGGGACCCGAAAGGGTCAGAATGAAGCTGGGAGCCATGTTGAAATTGAGCAGAGAACGGGTGTTGAATCCCTTGAGGAAGCGCGATTTCACAACAATCGAGCAATGAGCAGAATCGCAAATTGATCCGTAACTGAAAATCCCACCATCCCACTTTCCGCCGATCGCGGCGATGACTCATCCGATCCGCCCCGCCAGGCACTAAGGCCCGGAGCTTAACGGATTTAAGCATACTTGCACACGTTTTCACTTCTTTCTCACTTCCATCAGTCCTCGGTTATCTTGAGATGCCTTGCACGTGTTGAGCGGTTGAGGGAAATCAGAGCTTTCTGTCGGACATCTAGTGAACCCCCCCTTGAGAATTATCTTCGTCGGATTTCATTCAACCGACATCACCTGCGACGCTAATGCGAACAACCCCGGCAGGCCCACCTCGCCTCCGTGTCCGCGGGGTGTTCAATGCCTTTCTTAGTTGGGAATAAGAACAAATGATGGCACTGTTCAGGTACGGTCGTCAGACCGTGATGCCGTACATGGTGAGCTCCGTCTACAGTTTCAGATCTGCCTGGGCGGCTCCGTCCTGAGATGAACATGAAAGGACACTACAGTTCATGATCAAAATGTTCCATTGATCGTTCCAAGCATCAAAACACTTCAAGATCGCCAATTTGAATATTACTTGCTCAAGATGGCTACTAGGAGATAGGGTGCCACGGGTTTGAAGAAAGATGATGCAAGATGCCGAGCTCTCGGGGCCTGGAATGAGACAAAGAAATCGAACTCGACATTCCTGAACCAATTTTCGTCTTCCAGGGAGGGAGATGGTTGCAATAATAATGCCTCGGACTACAAGGTCGGATGAAACTGTCCTGAAGATGCCCTCATTACCGACGTGTTCAGCCATCACCGGTGAAAGTCCGTGTCTGGTTTGGTGTCATTCTTATGAGCGAAGGGAAGGGAAGTGACGCTAAGCTTACGAAACCATAGAAAGCGGGTTGGGGTACGCGTGTATGTAGTGAGTTCGCTATAGGATAACTAGTATTCCCATCTTTCGAGAGTGATCCCATCTGATGAATCAATTGTAGTTTAGGTAAAGATACTGGGCCATCATGAATCATTCAATAGAAAAAGAAGCGCCAAACGCACTCCACTATATACAGATGAGATTCTAGCCGGGCTCAAAGGGGAGTATTGTACATGGTTCCTCCTTCTACCCGGCGGTTAACAGACGTTTCCATATCCAAACCCTTCAAAGGAAAGCGACACATCCTTCAAGTTTCATTATTGAAGGGCGGCGACCAATTCATCAACGCTCTTCATTTCACGTCCATTGTTCTCGCCCACATCCAGGGCAACTAGGAACCGGCTCACACAGTTGTATCCGGCAATGCCGGTAGTGAGCTCGACGATCTCACGATCGTTGAAACCAACGGTCTGAAGCTGCGCAAACACCTCGTCCTGGACGGTGATTGAGCGGGTCATCTGGTCGGTATAGCGCAGGACCGCGCGCTGCTGTGGGGTGAGTGCACTACTCTCCAGCTGGGCGAGGTCCCCCTCAGTAGTAGAGGGCAAGGTCCGGGCAGCCTGAAGTTCTTCGGCTTTGACCCCACCTTTCAATGCCAGCGGTGCATGAGCATTCCACTCGTACACGGCGTGATTGAGCACGGCCACGCGACAAACTGCCAGTTCGAGGATGCCGGAGTCGACGATCGTACGCGAGCGAATCGCACCCATGAAGCTATTCCAGCCGTCTGCCACCGGCGGGCTGTGCAGCAGGGACAGGTCTAGCGGAATCAAGGGACGCGGGTTTCTACGCGCGGCGATGCGGGCGTAGATGTCTGCCGTGTCGGCGGCCGCATCGGGCGGCGGGGTGGAGGGGGCGTAAGGAAGCCGCATGGTGTGTATTTGGATTTTGTTGAAGGGTTTGATGCGACTGGAGAGAGCGAGTCTGCGAGCATACATCGACCTGTCGAGCAATCGACGTCTCAAGGTCTCGCGCTATGCCACAGGAGATTGCATGAACCGAGCGGTTGTCGGTTTGTCGCTGCAGTGGGGGGGGCTGTCCGGCGGATAAGTGCTTTGCCGGTTAATTCTTCCTTCGACACGGGGGAAGTCGACGGCCAGGAGTTTCAGATTCGAGTTGATATACGTCCGGTACACATTCAAACCTGCATCAACTTCAATGTTATAATATATCTCAATTCCCACCGCAACTGATGCTGACTCGTCGCGGGATTTGATAACGTTTGGAGTATACGGGCGTGAATAGCGGCCACTACGAAAAAACATGCCACGAGAGCCTTTCAACGATCGGCATAGCTTAAAACTTTACCGGCCAGTAGCTTCCGAAGAAAACTTCTGTCGTACCTAAGGAATGAATGAGTCGAATATGATTGCCAGTAGTCTATTCACCAACACCAAGACAGTACGTCATCACACCCCAGGGACTCTCTTCCATCTGAAAAGGAATTCGAGTTGGATATCTTTTTGAATGTCTTTCTAGATCTATTCGGAAGGTCTCCTAGAAAAATGTCGAGCTAGCATATCTGCAATTGCGAATGGTGTTTATTTCCCCATGGCCATTATCAAGGCGGAGAATGACACTCGGCAGCAGCCGGACCAACTCCCGCGAGCCGGGATTGCACTTCCCTCAGTGCCGTGTTTTTGGTTCGCCGGTGTCGTCACTCGTCTCCATACCTCGTTGTTTTTGGGGAGCCACTCACGTCGGTCGTTGTGATGCCCCAGAACGCGCGCCTGGTTAAACGCATCTGCCATGCGCGTGCCGCCCTTCGGTGCCGGGGTTACTCTCGCCCCGCACCCGTTGCCCGAGACTGTATAGCGTCAACTTTTTCTTTCGTATGATCAGACCCAGAACCTGCAAGGCATTTGCCTTTTCCTCTCGATTCTCTACTCGATATTTCTCCCACACAGCTGCCGCCGCCATGAAGCACCATCTGATGGTCGGGACGTGGACCGTTCCCGGGCGTATCTACACCGTGCAATTCGACGACGAGGCCCTCACGCTGGAGCTGCTAAAGACCACCAATATTCCCGAGGCCGAGCCTATCTCCTGGATGACTTTCTCCCACGACAAGAAGGCCATCTACGGCGCCGCGATGAAGAAGTGGAACAGCTTCGCCGTCAACAGCCCAACCGACATCGTCCATCAGGCGTCCCATCCGGTTGCCGGACACCGTATGTATACATTCGCCTCGATTATCTCAATTGTCTTCCGCTGACCCGGTCTGCTTGCTTTTCACCAGCCCTGGCCCCAGGCAGTGAAACCAACACCCGCGCCATCTTCGTGCTCGCGGCACACAAGCCACCCTACAACGTGTACGGCAACCCCTTCTACAAGTACGCCGGCTTCGGCAACGTCTTCTCGGTGAAGCCCGACGGAGCCCTGGATGCCAATGTCCAGAACTACGAGTATCAGGAGAACACGGGCATCCACGGCATGGTGTTCGACCCCACCGAGACCTACCTGTACTCCGCAGACCTACAGGCCAACAAGATCTGGACACACAAGAAGGATGCGGAAACCGGTCAATTGACTCTGGTGGACTGCCTGGAGGCTCCGGCCTCCGATGATCACCCGCGCTGGGTCGAGATGCACCCTAGCGGCAAATACCTGTACGCCCTGATGGAAGCGGGTAACCGCCTGGCCGTCTACGTGATCGACGAGCGCACTCACAAGCCGGTCTTTACTCACATCACCTACCCGTTGCTCCCCTCCGGTAAGTGCAATCATCCACGATGCACACCCACACACACCCACACAGACACCGTCAGAATCTGACTCGATCCTCTTAGGGCTGCCGCCCCGTAACAAGTACCGCGGAGACGTGACCTTCACCACCCGCAGCGGCGAGTATCTCTTCGCAACCACGCGGTCCAACCACTTCGACGTGACGGGCTACATCACCGCGTTCAAGCTAGGACCCAGCGGTGAAATTGAGCGCCAGCTCTTCATCAACCCCACTTCGACCAGCGGCGGCCACTCCAACGCCGTCAGCCCATGCGACTTCAGCGACGAATGGGTGGCACTGTGCGACGACCAGCTGGGTTTCGTCGAGATGTATCGCTGGCGCGACGAGACCCTGGCCCGCGTGGCCCGAGTTGACATTCCGGAGCAGGGCTTTGGCATGAACGCGATCTGGTACGATTAATGATATAGATATGCAGCCGTAAATTTTCCATGTAGACATGAATTGATTTGAGTCAAACACACCCGGAGTGGATATAGTAAAACGAGAATGCGGGGATCAAAGACAGGCGACTTTCGGCAGTGAACATCGGTTGCGCTCAGCTTTCTTCCGGTGAGGGGCACCTTTCCACTGCCGGAACCACTTCGTCATGGATCAAGTCAATATAACGCGCTTGAGTCCTGGAATTGTGCGTGTGAATCGCTGATTTATCCTTTCTCGTCTTCCCAATATCAAGTCGCCATGCCTACCCCCGGCCTTCTCTACGTGACGATGCAGCCCAAGGGCTCGCTGCCAGACACTCAGTTCCACGACTGGTACAACACCGAGCATGGTCCTCTGCGACTGCGTCTGCCCTTCATCACCAATGGCTTCCGCTTCCGTGCGACTGACGGGGAGCAGCCCGAGTACGTGGCGCTGTACGATATCACCGACATGGACGAGTTGACCCGTAAGACCTACTTGGATCTGCGGACGGACCTGATCAAGACAGATCGTGAAAAAAAGACCATGGCCCAGATCGATGTCGGCCGCCTTCTGTACGACCTGATGGATGAGCGAAGCTCCCCCAACTTCCACCCGCTGGAGGAGCGAGCCGACACCGATGCCGAGACCCGCGGGAGCGTCCTGATTGCCGTGACCACCGCCACACATCCCGACGCCGAGAAGCAAGCCGAGCATGACCGCTGGTATCGCGAGGAACATTTCGAGATGCTCTCGCGCGTGCCCGGCTGGCGTCGTAGCCGTCTGTTCGTCACCGCTGCCATTGACTCGTCGGCCCCGCGCGAGTCCCTGGCTCTCCACGAATATGCCGCCGTCAACGGGCTGGGCGGCGAGGCCCATCAGGCCGCCATGAACACTCCCTGGCGCCACCGTCTCATGCATGACGTGGTGACCTCCAAGCGTCGTCGGGTGTATGAGTGGTACTACACCTTTGGTCCCGCGCCCCGCGAGCTTTCCTCGCTGGCCGCTCCCGATGTCGTTGGACCCTGGTCTTCCAACGACGGCCGCACTTGCACTTTCCCTTCGCCTACACGACCGGCAGTCGAGTCCTTCGTGACCACCAAGGATGGCGTGGAGATCCCGTATCGCTTGGAAGGCAGCACCGACCCTACCGCTCCCGTGGTCGTGCTCAGCAACTCCATCCTGGTCAACTGGAACATCTGGGATCGCTTCGTCGACGCCTTCTTCTCCCGTAAGGAGAACCAACGCTACCGTCTCGTGCGATACCTGACGCGTGGTCGGCGCTCTGCGAGCGGCGAGCAGCCCGTCAACGTGGACGTGTTGGCCTCCGACCTGGCTACTCTGCTCGAGGCACTTCGCGTGCCGCCCAAGGCCGCCCGCCTGATCGGAGTTAGTCTGGGTGGCGTGACCGTTCTCAACACTTCTCTTCTGTTCCCGGCGCGTGTGGGAGCATTCATTGCCTGCGACACCAACTCCTCCGCTCCGGAGTCGAACCGCAAGGCCTGGGGCGACCGTGTCGCCATTTGCGAGCAGGAGGGTTCCGTCGACCCCGATACGAAGGAGCCCATCGTTGGCGAACAGCTGGCCGAAATGACTACGCGACGCTGGTTCGTCCCGGGGTCGTACGAGACCCAGCCCGAGGTGCTGGCACCGGTCAAGGAAGCGGTGCGCACCAACAGCTTGAAGGGCTTCGCACACAGCGTGCAGGCCCTCTGTGCCTACGACATCCGCGACCGTATGGCCAACGCCACCGTTCCCGGCTTGTTTGTTGCGGGCGCCAACGACGGCGTCCTGCCTCAGACCATGCAGAAGATGGCGGCCGATCTGCGTGGCGGCGCCGAGTTGAAAATCATCGACAAGGCGGGCCACTTGCCCATGGTGGAGCAGCCAGAAGCCTTTGCGAAGGTGGTCACCGAGTTCCTGAGCAAAATCGATGGTTGAATGCATATATGCTACGGATTATAAATAGACCTGGGATTTTTGATGGCATATAGCGAAAACATAATTGATGTTTGATGACCCAGACCGCACCCCCGTAGGGTATCTATACAGGTACATAGGTAGACGTCCGCCGCGTGCTGCAGATCATGGTATCACGTAGCGCAACCGACGATATGTAGCTCATATCGCGTCCGCATCGAATACGTGACCCGCACAGGTGCAAATGTCGTGTGCCCGTGCGGTGCCCGAGTCCCGCCAAGGGCGCAAGTTCCCCGCCTTCATCTCCGTTCTCTTCTCACCTTTTTCCTCCCCCAATTCTCCGCCATGACCGACAGTAAGGTCCCTCAGCCGGGACCGGCCAAGTTGAAGCGCAATGCGGGCCCCGATGAGTGGCTCGAGGCCGCCAAGGACTGCAAATACCTTTCCGAGGCCCACATGAAGCAGCTTTGTGAGATGGTCAAGGAGTATATGATGGAGGGTAAGCTGGCCCCGAGACTTCGCCCTTGTTGGTACTGAACCGCGTGCGCCAGAATCGAATATTCAGCCTGTTTCCACGCCCGTCACCATCTGCGGTGATATCCACGGCCAGTTCTACGACCTTCTCGAGCTCTTCCGTGTCTCCGGTGGGATGCCCGATGGCTCGCAACTCGAAGCCCCCAAAACCTCCCCCCCCGTCATCTCTTCTGCCGATATCGAGCCCCCGTCCACTATCACAGACCCCAAGATCCGGAAGAAGTTACGAGGCCCCAACAGTTCGAACGAGGACGAGGAGGAAGCCCAGCGCAGCCGATCCGGGAGCCAGACATCGGAGGTTCAGCTGAACCGTAACTTTGTGTTCCTGGGTGATTACGTGGATCGTGGATACTTCAGTTTGGAGACATTGACGCTATTGCTCTGTCTCAAGGCGAAGTGAGTGTGCCGGACCCCCTTCGACCGTAGTATCGGCCAAGGCTGACATCACCCCTTCTTAGGTATCCTGATCGGGTCACGTTGGTGCGTGGCAACCACGAATCCCGCCAGATCACGCAAGTCTACGGATTCTACGAGGAGTGTTTCCAGAAGTATGGAAGTGCTTCCGTGTGGAAGGCCTGCTGCCAGGTTTTCGACTTCATGACCCTGGGCGCCATCATCGACGGCAAGGTCCTATGCGTCCACGGTGGACTCAGCCCGGAAATCCGTACCCTGGACCAGGTACGCGTGGTAGCTCGTGCACAGGAAATCCCCCACGAAGGTGCATTCTGCGATCTGGTGTGGTCCGATCCCGACGACGTGGAAACGTGGGCAGTCAGCCCTCGCGGAGCAGGTAAGATGAAGATGGCTCTCACGCTAGCTGCGTTGAAACTCACGGCAACTAACGTGAAATCTTCTAGGCTGGCTATTCGGTGATAGAGTGGCGGACGAGTTCTGCCATGTCAACGACCTCTCGTTGATTGCTCGTGCCCATCAGCTGGTGAACGAGGGCTATAAATATCACTTCTCCAACCAAAACGTCGTCACCGTGTGGAGTGCTCCCAACTACTGCTACCGATGTGGTAATTTGGCTTCGGTCTGTGAGATCGGCGACGATCTCAAGCCCACCTTCAAGCTGTTCAGCGCCGTCAGTGACGACCAACGGCATATGCCCACCTCGCGGCCGGGCCGCAGCGAGTACTTTTTGTAAGATGTTTCGCAACGAGCTTTGCACGGGCGCCGGCGTTTTGGTTCTGGGAAATGACGAGCATTACATAATGAATCTTAGAGACGAAATGATGTTGATATTTGAAGAGAGTTTGTAGATGCAAGTTGTAGAACGAATCAGGCCCCCGACTTGGCTCCATCTCCACGTTCTGTGGATTCTCCGGGTTCGCCAGATCTACGGGATTCAACAATCACCCGGTAAATGGCATTACGGCATTGAATGGGAGCTCCCATGTTCGATCTCGGGTACAACACTGCCGAGGGACTGCCGAGGTGGTGGAATCCGCACCCGGAGCTGATGCCGAACGGAAGCCGGGATGCATGCCGGACCTCCATAAAAGATGGCCCCCGAGGGCACGGCGCACAGACTAAAGTCCAGACGACGCTTCATATCATTACAATGGAAAAGGTCGACGTGCTCATTTGCGGCAGTGGATCGGCTGGTCTTTGCGCTGCGACATGGCTCGCCCGCTACGGTGTGAAATGCAAAGTGCTGGAACGGCGTGACGGTCCCATGAAGATGGGCCAGGCAGACGGCGTGCAATGCCGCACCGTTGAGATCTTCGAGAGCTTCGGTATTGGCGAGGAGCTTCTACGAGAAGCATATCACGTCCTCGAGGTGAACTTTTGGGCGGATGACGGCACCGGCGCCATCAAGCGTACGGGACGCACTGCGGATACACAGCCGGGTCTATCGCACCAGCCGCATGTCATTCTGAACCAGGCCCGGATCAACGGGCTTCTCATTGAGCTCATGCGCAAGTACAATGACCAACGGATTGACTACGGATACAATGTCACCGAGGTCCACGTCGACAGCGCCTCTGCCACCGACCCGGAGGCCTATCCGGTCACGGTGACTGCAGAGAAAGACGGGGGCATTGAAACCATTGCAGCTAGATATGTTCTGGTACGTTATCTTGGAACTCGATCATCCACTGAGTACTTACGTCCAATCTAGGCATGCGACGGTGCCCACAGCGTTGTCCGCAAGGCCCTGGGGTACAAAATGATCGGTGATAGCAGCGACGCCGTCTGGGGTGTCATGGACGTGGTACCAAGAACAAACTTCCCCGACATTCGCAAAAAGTCCACTCTTCGCTCAAAGGCAGGAAACATCCTGGTCATTCCCCGTGAGGGTGAGAGCAACAACTTGACGCGCTTCTATATTGAACTGGCATCGGGAACCAACCCGAAGGACGTGAGCCTGGAGAGCCTGCAACGGCAGGCGCAGGCTATCTTCCACCCCTATCAGGTTGATTTCGTCGAGACGGTCTGGTGGTCTGCGTACTCCATCGGTCAGCGTCAGGCCGACTTTTTCCATAAAGACCACCGGGTCTTCTTGGCGGGCGATGCCTGCCACACTCATTCTCCCAAGGCCGGTCAAGGGATGAATGTCAGCTTGCAGGACGGTTACAACATTGGGTGGAAGCTGGGAGAGGTCTTGACTGGCCTGGCCACTCCCTCTCTTCTCGAAACTTACGTCCTGGAGAGACAAAAAGTTGCCACCGATCTGATCAATTTCGACCGCTACTTTTCCAAGCTCTTTTCCTCGGGGGCCAAAACTACCCCTGCCGAGTTCCAACAAGGCTTCATCCAGTCTGGCAAATACACTGCCGGCCTGACAGCCAAATACGACGTTTCACCCATCACCACATCATTGGACTCCACCCGGCTTGCTTCGAACGTCGTCGTTGGCATGAGGCTACCCAGCGCCCAAGTTGTACGGTTCTGCGACTCCAAACCCCAGCAACTCATGGAATCACTCAAATCCGATGGCCGATGGCGCATCGTGGCCTTTGTGGGTGACTTGACCCTCCCAGAAAAGCGCAACGAATTAAATGCCGTAAGTTTGACCGTATTCAGTTTTGTTTGAATCTTTTCTAATGGATCGTGCAGCTCGGAGAATATCTTTCCTCGCCAGAGGGTTCAATCCGTGCCTTCACGCCAAATACCCGAGACGTCGACGGTTTGATTGAGACCCTTGTTGTGGGCCATGGAAATCGCCACGATGTTGAGCTGGAGCAGATCCCTGAATGTTTCTATCCGGCCACGGGCCAAAACCAAACAAGAGGTCAGTCTTAATGTCGCGCGGGATTTTTGAACCTATCCTAACCTACATCAGACTTGCACAAAATCTTTTACGATGACGAGAGCTATAATGAGGGCCACGGACATGCTTATGAATTTTTGGGCATCGATCCGTCACGGGGTGCCCTGATCATCGTCCGTCCTGATCAATGTGAGTGACTCTTTTCTAGGCCCGACTCCTTCACTCATGCTAACGTCCCGATGCAGATGTTTCCGCCGTCATGAGCATCGGCGACTACCCTGAAATCGGCAAATTTTTCGGTGGATTTCTCAAACCGCAACTGTAGGTTGGTCACTCCCTTCGGCAATGACCAACGACTCGGGCATCATCCAGGAATGCAGAGTGGTAGATACCGAGTGGCCAATCCTATTGAAAGCAGACTTTAGTGGAGTGACTTTGATCCGTACCGTAATATTGAGAAGAAGAAAAAACAATTCCCAGTCCTTCGCTTCTTGGGGTCTACATTTGCATGTCTTGAAACTTCGCCCTGCTTGATCAGTACACTTGGCGGGGCATCACCAAACTCTTTCACCCCTCCCTTGCAGTCATGGCTCGTCCCTACACGATCGCAACCCATCTCCAGTATTTCAATACCCCTCTCGCGGACTTTATTGCCGCTCGGCCCGAATTCGAGAGCTTCGGCGTCGGCGGTTACATCTTCTCGCAGGATGAATCCGCAACCCCGCGCGTCCTGCTGCTTCAACGCGCACTGACCGACTCGATGCCCGGGTGCTGGGAGGGACCCGGAGGTGCATTCGAACCTGGCATTGACGGAACTCTGCTGGACGGTGTGGCTCGTGAAGTGCTCGAGGAGACCGGGCTCCATGTGTCGCGCGTTGTCGAGCTGGTGGCTGTTGACAGTTGGACACACACGCGTCGCAACGGCAGCAAATTCCGCATCGCCAAATACTCGTTCGTCGTCGAAGTCTATGAATCAGTGCGTCAATCCGACGCACAACCGGTTCCCGGAGAGGAGATGCCCGTTCAATTGATGGCAAGCGAGCACCGGGCATTCGACTGGGCGACCGAAGAAGACGTGCGGCATTCTCTTGACGGCGACGGCAAATATCAATTGCCTCGGCCATCCACCGGCCATCAGGCACTGAACATTCTTCGGTCATTTGAGTTATACAGAGAGTTGCGGAGAGGGGCCTCCGCAGAGTTCAATTGAGTAAATATGATATCATTGCCAAGGTAATCCAATGCTATGTTCCTATCGTATGGTTTAGTCCTCGACGGGGAGAGCACCTTCGGCCTGCATCGCGAGAGCAACCCGGTCAACCTCCCTCCACACTCGCAGCAGATTGCCTCCAGCTACCTTGGCCGCATCTTCGTCCTTGAGTCCCCGCCGAAGGAGCTCGGCAATCAGAGCCGGGAATTTGGATACATCATCTAAACCCTGGGGCACGGTGAGGATCCCGTCAAAGTCACTCCCCAAGCCGACATGGTCGAAGCCCGCGACGTATCCAATGTGCATGATGTGATCCGCAACCCGCTCCAAAGTAGCGTGAGCAATGTCTACCTCAGGCAGGCCGTCGTCACCATCGGATGCCGAGCAGGAGATGAAGTCTGGTGCAAAGTTAACCATCACGATCGAGTAGCGTTGCCGGACCAACTCCAAAATGTCATCGGGCACATTTCGCGGATGCGGGCACAGCGCCTGAGCCGAGCTGTGGCTGAAGATAACGGGAGCACGACTGCCAGTCCAGTCGGTCTTACCGGAGCCCAGGACATCGCGCATGGTGTCTTGGCTCACATGGGCCAGATCAACGATCATTCCAAGCCGGTTCATTTCGTACACCAGCTTCTGACCGGCCGGGCTTACGCCGTGCCATAGAGGATCCGCCTTGCGGATGCTGCCATCCGGCTGCTCGACGAGTGCAGCGTCGGCATATCGATTATGGCAGTTGTGGGTGAGAGTTGCGTAGGACACACCCATTTCAAAGAACATGCGAAGATGAGCGAAGGAGTTGCCAACGGAATGCAACCCTTCGATGCCCAGGGGTGAGATGATCTTACCCTCCTGGAAAGCGCTCAGAGCCGTGGTGCCGTTGGGAGGTGCGGAGAAAACGTCCGGATAGGCCTGCTGCACGCGCTTCATAACATCAACTTGCCCCACGGTCATGCGGATGCCTGTTGGGACTCGTTAATACATGCCGTTCAACGACACGGGTTGGGCTGTCACGTACTGGCCGCATAGTTCTCGTCGGAAAAGTCAGTCCAATCCGCGGGGCAGGGTACGAAGACGCTCCAGAAAGTGCCACCGACATGCCCCCGTTTCAGGCGAAGCAGATCCACGTGGCCACCCAGGGTGCCGTCAGCAAAGGACTTGGTGAAATTGGACTCGTGGATGTGGTTGTGATAGAACTGCCGGATGAAAATGGGGAAGTCATCGTGACCGTCTATTCGGGCGGTCAGTGCTTTTTTGTTTGACACCCCGGCTTCACTTTATCTCACCGATCAGAGGAGTCCGAGTCAGAATGTTGTGTACTCGATCTTCAATACTGAGCACGCGCGCGTGGTGATAACGCGGCCAGAAGAACCAGCCGCCGGCCAGCAGAGTGCAAAGGACCAGGCCCCAGCTGCGCCGAGATGACTTGGGCCTCTGGACAGGCGCATCATTGAAGGGAATCCGGGGGTGTTTCTCGTCCATGGCGGGGAGTGTCGAAGGTGAAGTCCGGGCGTTACCGATCGGCCGGCGATAACGGGGTTCCATGATAGCAGTGTAGCATGGGGTGGGGGGAGGGGGGGCGCTCAGCGAGAATAGAGAAAAGGAAAAAGGACGAGAAGAGTCGTCACCTAATACCAGTTGAGCTGACCGTTCTGTCAGTATCGAATGTTCTCCGAGTCTTGAGGCAAAGCATGTATAGTTGCCCAGGTCGGGTAGCTGTTTACACCGGCAGCAGGATCGCATGTGCACATCTCTGCAGGTAGACACCAATGGCCTCGCATGTCCAGTATATGGGAATTTGTGATTTCCAATCTGAGATCGTAGATTCCCCAGCCTTCGTAACGAAACCGTCCACCCGGGTTTAGGTATTCTTTATCTCCATCGTGATCTCGGAGACTATATGTAACAGTACATAGATCCGTCTCTCGCGGAACGCTGACTCAGCGCTCCGTTTGGGCGCAGAGTTGGATGCGCTGTCTCGAATCTCCCACGCTCTCGCGATCGGAGAGCATTCCACTCTTTTCGGACGATACTTCCCTGCACTTATTGCCTTCGCTTGGCGTCGAACTCAACACACGCCTCCATTAGAATGACACAGCCCGGAAAATCCACCGCCGGGGTGCTCCAGATCTCGGCGGCGGCCACGAAGCCCGGCGCGCCAGCGAAGAAAGCCCCGAAGCCCCCGAACCCGCGCCTGAAACTGCTGATCCGCCGACTGCCTCCAGGGCTGACGCAGTCGGAGCTTGAAGGTGCCCTCGGGCAGGACTGGAAAGTTGGTGGAGGAAAGGTGGACTGGCTTCAGTACAAGCCCGGCAAAGTGTCGAAAGAGTATGGCTCCCCGTGAGCCAATTGACAAGAATTGAAGCTTAATCTCATTGCAGCCCTGCCAAACCATCTCGGCCGTCCAGAGCCTACATCCACGTCACGTCTAACGAACATATCGCCCCTCTGTCGGATCAGGTCCGACAAACTACCTTCCAAGATGCTCGGAACACGATCCACGACCCAGTTCTACTGGGACCTCCGACGTTGGAGTTCTCTCCCTACGCCAAAACCCCCAGTACGCGCGTGCGCAAAGATGCTCGCCAGGGCACGATTGATCAAGATCCCGACTTCATTGCCTTCCTTGAAAGCTTGACGCAACCTCTTACCAAACCGGCACCCGTGGATTCGGCAGAAAACGATGAAAAGAAGGAGACGGTAACGACGACGCCACTGGTGCAATTCATCAAAGACAAAAAGGCGAGCAAGGCAAAGGACGGCTCCTCCTCCAAATCATCCAAGCGAGCGGACAAGGAGTCGAAGCAGGAGAAGGTGCAGGCCAAGAAGCTTCTACAGCGACCTGATAAAGAGCTTGCAACCAACCCGTCATCGGACAGAAAGATCAAGGGTGATAAGCAAACTAAGGAGTCCGGTAAGGCGACCAAGCAGGCTGCAGCTACTACGAAGACCGGAAAATCAAGCACGGCGAACGCTACCAAAGAGAGCTCAACGTCCGCTACGGAGAGAAAGAAGGAACGGGGCACCGCCGCCGCCGCCACGAAGATCCTACAACGTGATCTTGGGCTGTCACCTTCGCCTTCCGGAGGCCGACGACGTGGTAAAGGCGGCTCAACTGAGGCAGATTCTCTCAAAACTGAGGGCTCGCATGATTCTTCGGCGCCCGCAGCCAAGGGCACGAAGAAAGAGGCTGCTTCCAAACCTCCCAAAAGTACCCCGTCAGCATCATCCAACTCGAACAAGGCGAAGGATGGAGAGTCCAAAGCATCAGATGCAGCCACGTCTGCGACCACCAATGCACCGTCCGCCAAACCACCCAAAGCGGCCAAACCCAAGCCCGCGGTTCCCTCGAAACCGTCGCCCGGCTCCACTCAGGCCTTCCTCAAACACGCCAACCCTTCTCAGGGTGTCACTGAAGCACTGTTAACGGCAGCGTTCCTTCCGTTCGGCGCATTGACCAAGGTGGAGATCGACAAGAAGAAAGGGTTCGGGTATGTGGACTTTGCCGAGTCTGAGAGTCTCCAGAGGGCCATGCTCGCCAGTCCGGTGGCTGTTGCGCAGAGTCAAGTTGTGGTTCTCGAGCGCAAGGCAAATCCCGGAGGAGAGAAGTCTCGGAAGGGTCGAGCGGACTCGCAGCAAGCCAAGGACGGCAAGGCGAAGACGGCCGAGGGCAACGTCGCAGGGGCAACGGGAGCTTCTCGAGGGTCTCGTGGAGGACGCGGAGGACGCAACAAAGGGAAGGGTGAAGGGTCGAAGGGAGGAATCGAAAAATGGGGAGACGAGGAAGCCAAATGAGATGTAGCACTAGCAATGCATAACGCAGACACGATACCAAGGCACCAATGATATGATCAATGACACTAACGGTACATGATACCAAAGACACTCACTCCATGTAGAGACAAGTCCTGCGCGTGGGCCATGGGAGAATGAGACCATGTTCCGCCTATTAGAGAAAAGTGGGGAGAAAAAGTACGGAAAATAATAGTTATTAAAAAATAATGAAAAAAATTGCATTGAATGTAATTGTATAAACCAACAGAATCAATCCAAACCGTCATCACACTGAATCAATCTCCAACATCAAAGAGAAGAAATGGAGGAATCAGGACCTTTCAGACCTCCTCGACACCCACCAGGACCAACCGACCGAAGTCAGACGTCGAGACCAGGTTAAGATCATCACCACTTCCTGGACCGAACACGCAGACGCTGCAAGCAGCACGCGTGCCAGTCGAGGCGGAAGTCCAAACGGCTTCACTTTAGGGCATCGAGGACATAGCAGTCATCAGCAAGGGTGGAGATTCTGTGGCTCTTTTAAAGAGCTTAATGGTGGGACGTCTACTCTAAAGTGATTCTTTGAACTGTGGCTGTTGTTAGCAAAAATTGCTCAAAGAGACTGAAGAGTCAAGTGTATGGAGGGGGAGGCACATACGTAGAGTCGCTTGAAAAAGAGAAAGATGTCCGGGGGGCTCGGCCTTTTTATATTTGGGCCCGGGCAGGCGGTGTGCGCTAGCGGCTAAGCGAGTGGTGTCGTGTTTGCCCTGTTTGCACCCGCTCCAGTGGGGGCGGTGGCTCAGTGGTTCAATCACATTCGCCGCTATACACCGCCCGCGGGACCCGCGGCAGAAAAGTTTTCTAGCTCGTGTTTTGTACGCAATTGATTGGCCGTGGTCCACTTGCGTCGTTGCCATTATTCACACCGTGTCGCTCTTTGAGCTCTTGGCCGGTTCTCGCCTCCCTAGTCTCGGCTATCCTCCGTGCTTGGTTCCTCTTCGGCTTGCCGAGGCCAGCTCTATACGGAATGAGTTCACGCGACATGGAAGCCACTGCATTGAACCGTGAGATGGTAAGCTAGAAATCAATCATTCCCTTTCAGCTCTAGTTAGAGGAAGGTATACTTGACCGAGTATCGCATCTGGGTACTGTATCTGCATTCCGTAGACTGCCCAGGTGAGCTCTACTTGTGTCAAGGCATTATGAAACTTAACGTTGTATGTGGAAATGTATCTCTGAGCTCGGCGGTTATTAAACACTTAGATCAATTTTTCTCATGCGTTTTGTATTATTCGGAGGTAGTTTCATTATAAAATATATGAATATATTGCAGGAGTTGAATCAGAAGATATAGTAGTTGTACAAAGCCGTTGTAGGTGATACTGTATAGACCATAGTACATATATATTCCGAGAATGTACAGCTCCCACCCCCGACTACAGCCCCGGGACTACCAAGCTTCTGAGCCACTCATGTAGCCGAAACATTTGTGAAAACTTGAGCAAATCGAACCTTGAAAACCTCAAAACGGAAAGAAAATGTGCCTTTCCAACAGAAGCAGCAAATCCCAGACGGGTGGTACCTTTTCCGATGCTGGATAGCGTCGGCCCGAACACCGCCGATAAACGCACCCGCTTATCGATGCGGGGAGATGCAGCCGTCGCAACGATACGCGACCCCGGATTTTCGACTTCCCTCTCCATCATGGGACGCCCTAAGGTACACCCTGCGAATCGCCTGCGGGCAAATACGGCCTGTACTACATGTCGGGCCTCCAAGAAGCGATGCAGCGGGTCTTTCCCCTGCACCAATTGCATCCGTAAGGGTTGCGGCCGCACTTGTATTCCATTCAAGTCGATACCGGATGCAAGTCCCCAGAGTCGGCCATCACCTGCGACTCAAACAGCGATAGAGGATATTCCGGCGTGGAGCAGCTCGAGTGTCAATTTACATAGCCCAGCCGCTTCACATACTCATGACGGTGCCGATCGCCAGATCGAGCGGGTGATAGAGACGGGCTCGCGATCGCCCGAGGCGACGCATCGCACACTTCCGCGCATGCTTCGAAACCTGCAGGGCGAACGAGGTATTCGAAATGTCTCAAATCCGATGCTGTCGCACGACTGACGTTCTTCTACAGTTTATGTTGGCAAGGCCGCTTCACTTTCATTTCTTCAACTCCTTCGAGATACGGTCACTCAGCATATTGGACCCTCGCAATTCTCCCATAACTTCAATAGTGAAGATATGCTGGAGACGGAATCCCGTCATGATCCACTGAACTTTTCAGAAGAGCGCTGCGATAATGACGAGAAGCGCCGGTTCATTCGGACCTTCCACACGGTAGTAAGTTGGGTCCCCATCCGGTCATGACTGCACTTCTGCTGACGCTTGCGACAGACCAGCGGTTTCCTTTTTCTTGAATGCCATCCAGAATCCTTAATATTAGATGACCCGGACCCAAAGACTGACCGAGAAAAGACTCGGGCAGCCGTTCGCGACCTCGTGATTGCCATTGGAGCGCAGTCATGTTCCAACGAACCCGAAACCGTCCGAACGGAGCGCTTCTTCTTCGCTCGGGGCCAACAAAGGACATTTGCCAATTTCTTGGAAGACCCGAGTATGGATCTGGTCCGCGTGTTTCTACTCATGTCATTCTACATGTTCGGCGCCTGTCGGCGTAATGCAGCGTTCATGTATTTAGGCGTGGCGGCTCGGTCCGCCGTGGCATTAGGTCTGCATACGGATTCTTACGGGTCGCTGAGCCGGGACGAACAACGGGAGCGGTATGTGACACTCCCCAAGACATGACGGGAGTATCTGCTGATTGCAACAGATCGCAATTGTGGATGAGCCTCTGCGTCATCGACTTGTTGGCGAGCTCCATCCTGGGACGCCCGGCTGCCACGGCATCTCTTCTCTGGGAAAATAAACGAGAGATCCCTCTGATGGCAGCTACACCGGCCGAAGCCGTCTTACTTGCCTCGTTTCAATTGTCTTTGATATTGGAAGAAATTATCAGCTGCCTGTATAGCGAAAAGGCGGCATCTACAGAAAGAGCAGATTCATTACTCGCCAAGCTGAATCGCTGGAGCGATCAGTTACCCAACTCGATTCGTAAATCGTCCGAAAATGAAGAGACTATCGCGGCACAAGAGTGCATCATCGGTAATATGCACGTTGCATGCTCCTATCATTTTGCGGTCATACTCGTGACCCGGCCTTTTCTCATCTCCACGCTAAGCGTCCGGCTGGCTCGGTTGCATCGGACCCTCTCGGGTGCGGCTATCGATATGCTCGAGGAAGACCCGGCACATTCGCGGCTTGCGGCTGCTTGTATTGACTCGGCGGTATACATGCTTCAAACGTGCATGGAAGTCCACCAGTCGGGGCTACTGTTGCGGAATATGGGGATCCTAAAGTACGTGATTATCCCACTGCACGGAATTTTGTACTAATGGGAGTGACGTATAGAGCATTTGTCTTCGCCGCAGCGCTAGTATTAGGATTTTCAATGTTCTCCCATCGCGACATTGACTCTGAAGTTGATGGTGCATTTGCAGGCGCTCTGAGCATTCTACGGATGCTCAGTCAACAGTCTGCGCAGGCCGCCCACTATCTCGAAATACTAACCTTGCTCGAGGCGGCCATCACACAGCAACGACGACGACTGGCAGCCCAAGCGCGGCAGCGGCGCAGCCAATACGTGAGTCGCATTTTCAGCTTGAATGATGACCCTGGTTCTGCGCGAATGCAGAGCGAAGGCGAGGGCCGAGCCGCCACGACTCCGCTGCAGCAGGGTGGATCATTCTACCCGTGGACTCCACAGCATGATGGCCCCGCGACGATGACCCCGCCAGTAATAGACGGGGCCCTTTTGGACTGGGAGGGCATGGAGCTACCGCTCTGGGACAGTTTTCCATTTACCGAGCCGGGATCGTCCGTGCTGTGAGACTATGTATACAATCTAGGAATTCTTGTATCAGCTGGACACCCGTATAGCCGTATTCTTCTAGAATATCACGAACTCCCGTATCCGCTACCTTGTCGGCAAAACCGCATTCACAAGATCGTCTCCAGATAAGCGGCTCGACTGTCCCCAGACCCCGACGATAAGCGGTGCGCGGCCCGCGCACCGGGAACCGCCGTCCACGATCCGACGGGCATGGGGAAACTAGATAAATGAGAGCAGACGCGCAGGGGACGATTTGAACCTTTCCACAGACATCCAAACGAACAGAATATCGAATAACATGTCTGGTTGGAGACCTTTGAAAGTCGGCGTGATCGGCGGCGGCATCGGCGGCATGTCGGCCGCCCTCGCTTTGCGTCGAGCAGGCCACGACGTGACCATCTATGAAAAGTCCGATTTTGCCGGCGAAGTAGGCGCCTCGGTCTCGTGTGCAGCCAACGGAACTCGCTGGTTGCACGAGTGGGGAGTCGATGTCGCCAAAGGCGACCCGGTCGTCTTGAAGAAGCTCATCAACCGCGACTGGAAGACTGGAGAGCCCGTGAGTGTTTATGACCTGGAAGACTACGAGAAGCGATGGGGATACGTATACAACATGTTCCACCGGCAATATATGCACGCCATGCTGAAGGACTCGGCGATGGGCGAAGGCGACGGGATCCCGGCGAAACTGGTTGTGAACCACCGCGTACGTGCCTCTGGTAACAACCGTCCAGATCATCTGCTGATCGTACAACAGTGCCGCGATATTGATCTGAACACGAACACGATTACCTTTGATAACGGAGTCACGGCACAACACGACCTTGTCGTCGGTGCAGACGGGATTGGATCCGCCGTGCGAGGCATCCTGGGCATTAAACCCGAGAAGAAGCCGTCCGATTCCAGCTGCCTGCACGCCAACGTGGATACCGACGAAGCAGTCAAGCTGGGCCTGGTCGACTATTCCCAGGACAGCGCACTGGAGTACTGGGGTGGTCAGGAGGGCAAGTGGGATAAGATCGTGCTGTCACCCTGCAACGGCGGCAAGCTGCTGTCGTATTACTGCTTCTTCCCTCGTGAACAGGGTGATTACGCCACGCAGGCGTGGGGTGCCGAAGGTCGTCCGGTGGAGGAGCTGTTGAAGCCCTACCCCAACCTGGATCCCCAGGTTCTCAAACATCTCTCCATCGGCAAGGAGATCCAGCCCTGGCGTTTGTGGGTTCATGAACCATACCCATACATCCACAAGGGCAATGTCTGCCTTCTGGGCGATGCCGGGCACCCGATGATGCCTCACCAGAGCCAGGGAGCCTGCATGGCCATCGAAGATGCCGCCGCACTGGGCATTTTGTTCAATAAAAAGTACTTCAACGGTGACGTCGCACAGTCCCTTGCAGTGTACGAGGAAGTTCGCCTTCCTCGGGCCACCCGCGTGCAGGCCGCTGCGGCCAAGGCAGCGTACAACATCAACGAACGAATCGGTGAGCCACCCTCCCGCTGCAGTCGATTTCGATTCCTATACTAACTCCAGACAGGATTCTCGGTCAACAAGGACACCGCCACGTACAAGGTCGAAGACCCGAAGAAGATCCTAACGATTGAAGAGATGAATGCGTAAGGCCCTCGATTCTTGCTATCCTGTGTGGAAAAACTAACGCGTGCTGCAGATATGACATGTACGGAGACGTCGAGGAGAAATTGGCAGCCAAACGCGGCGATCGATACACGGGCAAATTCATCTGTGGGTTGCCCATTGGTCTGGAATTGCCCAGTGGCATCACGATCGGAGCATCAGCATGAGCATGAACGTCGAAGTCAAAATAGACTTGAATAGCAAATACCACAGCATCTTTCTCACGCTTCCTCACCTCCAATTAGGGCTTCCGGAGTATGCGCTATCCCAAACTCGTGTCTCGGGTTCATTGGGACAGGGCCGATTTTCAGCCGCACGACTAATACACCAGTAATGAATACGCCGGTAACCTCTGCCGTCCTAATCGTTCTGGAAACCGCGTGGAACATGATTTGCAATCTACAGACATTCAATCCACTCGGAGTGAGATACCCCGACCGGGTGCTTTTCACCCGGGGCCCCCCGACTCCGAACTGTAAGGTCTACATCGCAACTCGCAATGAAATCCGAAGATAACGTCGATAATCACTCCGGTCAGTATGCCGAGTTATCGTGCACAGATCCCCCGAAGGCGTTTACGATCCAAGGTTGGGCGTGACGCGTCCCGACTGCCCGCCCGCCACACGATACCGCGCTACGAGATAAGGAACTGGCAAATTGGAGAAATACGGAGGTAATCAAGACATGGTACCAAACCTCAGGTGCATTCAATTTTTGGTATATACAGACAAATTTATTCGTTCATCATTGCTTCATCGAAGAATCCCTCTATCCGAACATGGCATCGCCCAGGCGAATGTGGACGGTCTTGACCTGGGTGTAGTTCTCCAGGGCGTAGGAGCCGAGTTCACGGCCCATGCCGGACTGCTTGAAGCCACCGAAGGGAGCCTGGTAGGAGATCAAGTTGTAGCTGTTGATCCACACGGTACCGGCCTTGAGGGCGTTGGAGACACGGATGGCGGTGTTGACGTTCTTGGTGTGGACGGCGGCAGCAAGACCTATGGTGAATTAGCATGGACTCACGAAGTTGATTAACGAAGGCAGGGACTTACCGTAGCTGGTGTTGTTGCCGATACTGATGGCCTCGGCCTCATCCTTGAACTTCTGGACGACGATGACGGGGCCGAAGATCTCCTCCTGAGCAATCTTCATGTTGGGAGTCACGTCGGTGAAGACGGTGGGCTGGATGAAGTAGCCCTCGGTACCGTGGCGGTCACCGCCGACGGCGACGGTGGCACCCTCCTTCTTGCCGTGATTAATGTGCTCCATGATGCGGTCGAACTGGAGCTGGGAGACCTGAGGACCCTGGAAGGTGTTGGCCTCGAAGGGGTTACCGAGCTGGTTCTTGGCCGCACGCTCCTTGAAGCGGGCAACGAACTTGTCGTGGATACCCTCCTGGACCAGCAGGCGAGAACCGGCACAGCAGCACTGGCCGTGGTTGAAGAAGATACCGAAGTTGGCCCAGGAGATGGCGTTGTCGATATCGGCATCATCGAAGACGATGTTCGGCGACTTACCGCCCAGTTCGAGGGTAACCTTCTTCAAGTTACTCTTGGCGGCGGCCTGCAGGATAGTGCGGCCGACCAGGGTGGAACCGGTGAAGGCAACCTTGTCAATGTCCATGTGGCTAGAGATGGCGGCACCGGCGGTGCGGCCGAAGCCGGAAATGACATTGATCACACCGGGAGGGAAGCCGGCCTCGACGATCAGCTTCGAGGCGTACAGACCGGACAGAGGGGTCTGCTCGGCGGTCTTGATAATAACGGTGTTACCGGTGGCGATGGCGGGGCCGATCTTCCAAGCCCACATGAGAATGGGGAAGTTCCAAGGAATGATCTGACCGCAGACACCGACGGGCTCGTGACGGGTGTAGGAGAGGGTCTCGGTATTGGTGTCGATAGTCTGACCGGTGATCTTGTCGGCCCAGCCACCGTAGTAGCGCAGACAGCCGGCGGCGTTGGCAATATCGACCTTGGCCATGGTGACGGCCTTGCCGTTATCGAGGGCCTCGATGGCGGCCAGTGTCTCCATATCACGCTCGAACAGGTCGGCCAGCTTGGTGAGCATGCGGCCGCGATCCGAGGGGGTCACGTCGTGCCAGGCACCCTCGAAGGCAGCGCGAGCGGCTTTGACGGCGACGTCGACATCCTTCTCGGTAGCCTCGTGGACGGCGACAATGGGCTTCTCGTTGGTGGGGTTGATGGTCTCGAAGGTCTTGCCGTCGACACCCTTGATGAACTCGTTGTTGATGAACCTGGGAACGGTCAGACAGATTGTGGGGTGGTAGTTGATAAGGGTACGTACAAGCCGAGCGGCTGCTCGTAGGTAAGGTTGGGGGTCTTGATGGTAGTAGAAAGCGCCATGATGGAAGGGGTATCACAGATGAGGAGGAAGAAAACAAGTTCTGGAGCAGTGAGGAGAGCTCCATCTTATAAGCCGGTGCTAAGTCGATATGTAATGCGGGGTTCCAGCGCCACGAGCCTTCGCAAAGTTACCGGTGGCGGGGTCTGGCGGTACCTAATGATACCTGCGGATCCGCATACGGCAGGCTGCCGATGCAAGTCCCCGTCGGGTACCGCTGCCCGAGCTTCCCCCTCCTTTTTTGGCGGGGCCTTTGTTCCCCAAGCCGAGGAACGAGGAAGATGTACTGTGTACCGTACTGTACATAGATGCCTAATCCGCATTCCGGACTCTGAACGAATTGAACTCTATCCTATTTCCCCCTTCCCTCTGCAGAAGCATCACTGGACTAAACCTTACACAGTACTGTAGGTGTTCGGACCAAAGGGAGGGGGAGTGGATCCTATACGATCATCCTGATGTATGCGCGGAGCAACGTCTGCCCGGTTACCTTCGGTGGGGTTCTGTCGGGGTCTTTTCCGCTCGATTCTTCGGTAGTGGGACCCTCGGTATGTAAGACACCGGTTCAGCATTTGATCCACGTTTGATGACTGGCCAAATCGACTGGATTCGGCCGAGAGATCTGCGCTTTGCTTCCCGATCGGGCAATTTGTTATACCGAGCTCGGTCTCCATTCTCGTAGAGCTAGCTTAGTCTATCCTGGGTTTCCAGCTACCCTCCTTCCCCCCGGGGTGCCGGATGAGACTGTAGATTTATAGTTTTCCCCGGTTCAGAAAGCGCACGGGAAGATCGACGTGCCGCGCCCGCAGGAATTCCGCGACGTTCTTCCCCAACACGTCCACCGTGCTTGTCACCCCGACCCCGCGATCCAACAAATTACGGAATAGGAAGTGTACTGCATGTAGACCCGGCAGCTCGAAGCGCTCGATCTCTAGCTGCGACTGAGTGCGGCCGGTCTCCCCCAGCAATACCCGCGCCGTCTCTTCCGACAACAGGGTGCGGAGCCACAGGTACTCATCGCGGTAGCGGACCCAAAATCCGCAGTTGGAGTCAGCTCCTTTGTCCCCCGAGCGGGCATGGACAATCCATCCTAGCGGCCCGCGCATGGTGGGTCCAAAATCATGGGCCAGGTCGACTGGCTTTTCCGTATGGGTGATCGCCAGTGAAGGTTGTCGAGAGGGGTACGTTTTGGTGCGTGGCGGAGGTGCAAGGTCGAGAACCCGAGTGTGCGCCGTAGGTTTCCAGGGAAGATGCACGCGATGCTGCACGTCCTGCTGTGGCAGAAGGGTCACATAGTACTCGAACAGAGGGCGAGGGAAACCTTGGCGCATATCCAGATGGAAGGTGGCCCCGGGGTACCCAGCCATGATGTTGTCCGTGATCGGTTTCAAGAATCGCACCGGTGCCAGGTCCTCCGCACGCGGCGCCTGCACCACGATCCGCAGTGGCACCGTGGCACGGTTCTGATCCCGTGCATCGGGCTGACTGGAGCCCAGGAGATCGAACTTGAGTACGGTGAACCGGTTCGAGGACGGAGCCAGCAACCGGCGAATCTGCACCTCCAGCATTCGCGCTTTGTCTTCGATGTCTAGTCCAGTCAGGAACCACCAAGCCTCGGCCTGGAACCCCCCGCGAGCGGTGATGCCGACCTTGGTGGTGGGCGGAGGGGGGCCGGACCGTACCCCGTGGACGGCCACTCGATTGATGCCTCGCTGTTCGAAGTGGATGCCATTCAGCACCGCTGTGACGTCCGAGTTAAAGTACCAGGGTCCCTGGATCTCATACAGTAACTGTGATTTGCAAGTGTCGACAGTCACCGCACCGCCCGATGCGTGCTTCTGCATCGTAATGATCACGTCCCCTTCCTTGGAGATCTCAGCAATCGGGTATCCGATATTCTCCCAGCCGCCACCATGTTCCAGGGTCTTGAACCCGGTGAAGTTCCCTCCGCAAACATAATTGCTGCATTCGATGAGATGGCCCGCGACAAACGCGTTGGCGAGCTTGTCCAGCTCGTCACGTTGCCAGCCGTGATACCAGTAGGCCGCGCCAATCACGGGTGATGCATCGGATACTCGTCCACACAGCACAATATCTGCACCCTCGGCGAGTGCAGCGGCGATGCCCAGCCCTCCCAGATAGCATTGCGCGTAGATCGGCTCGAAGGACCAGTCCGCCAGTCGTTCCCCCGTGTAGATGTTGCGGAATTCGGATTCTCCAGCCGCCAACGATCTCGACACAGCAGGAAGCACTTCGTCTCCAGACACCCACGCAACCTGTATTGATGTTTGAGTAAAAGTCCACGAGATATCCTAGGATGGAGGGGGGTATTGACTTTCAAATCCAGCCCCTTCTTCTGGACCATCTGTATGACCGCCTCATATAGGCCGTTTGTGTCTGTGACACCTGCATTGACCGCTATTTTAATTCCATACTTGGCTAGATCTTCCAGCGCAGGATCCAATGCCTCCAAAAATGAGAGGTCGTATGCTGGTGGTGCATCTGGGGCGGATGCCTGGTCCACTCGCCGACCCGCGGCAGTGGCCATGTTGAACTCGCTCATGAAATCGGCGGTGATGACATCCACCGGGTCCGTCGGGTGATGCCGTGCAAATTCCGCAATCGCATGGCGGCGGTCTGAGGCGGAGCCCGAAGCGCCTGGATGGAATTAGCGTCGACTTTTCGATCGTGCCTGAAGAGACCACCTGCCTGCAATTCTAATGGGACGACCTGAATAAGCCATGATGTTGTAACTACCCTGGGGTTTGATTTATATACAAGGCGATCTCCAAAATTGCAAAGGGGGTCAGAACCACATCTTTCAAAGTTGGTTGCACCGAGGCAGCTCGGCTGAAATTGCGGAGAATGCGGGGTTGAGAGATCTGATAAGAAGATTGTACTTGACGGAACATGCACACGGCGGCTCGGGGCCATTCGATCCACCCAACTGAAAACATTTTCACCTTCTGACTCTTCGGTCCTATTGAATTATGGCCATTCTAATTTGATATTTGAGATGCTCACGAGCACTCTTTGAGTAGATCATTGCGCTGGCAAGTAGCGGGCGTAAACCCTTGGGAGTATAAGAGTATGCATTCGTTAGAGATCATATCGAAATGTATCAACGCTAGAATGTAATTATGAAATTAACGCCGTCGCCTTGAGCGAGAGCTCTCCATGGGTTCAAACGCGTCGTCGTCATCATCATCATCATCGTCGTCGTCAATGTCATCACTAATGACGCTCACACTACGAGTGGTACGAATAGGTCGTGATGAACGAGGAGCACTGGCCTGCGAGTTTGCGAAATTCAAAGTTGATTGTGTCGGTTTAGCAGACCGCGCGGTTGTTCGACGAGTAGCGGCTCCGCCAACTGTGACCGACGAGGGTGCTGGAGAAGCCGCTGTGCGTCCGCCTCGACGTCCAGTAGCAGACGCGGTGGATGTAGCTTTTGGGCCCCGCTTCGAGCTAGCGGTTGCACGAGGTTGCTTGACAAACAGAGCCTGGGAGTCGTCATCGTCGTCAGATATGACATGGGCCACCGCGTCATCGTCTGCAGCATCATCAAGCATAATCACATCATTATCAGAAGCAGATTCATCGGAGACAGCTTGCTTCTTGCGCCCTTTTGCAGAACTTGTCTTGGTTGCTGTGGTACGGGAACTGACAGCCGCTCCTCGCGCAGCTCCCCGATCTCTGCCGCGGCTACGCGTGGTTGTCGCCGTCGCGCGGCTGCGAGCTGGAGCGGCGCCGTCCTCTCCAGCCTCTTCTGCAACCGGATCTCCACCCTCGTTATCGGAATGGATGAGAGCGCCTGGTTGATCCTCCCACACACCGTCGAACTCGGTGTCCCAGCCATCCGGCTTGGGCTTGAACCGCTTCTTCCCGCGAGTGGTACGCTTTTTGGTCCCCTTGGAGAACATGGCTTCCATCTGAGTGCGGTACTTCTCCATGGCTGTGACCAAGGAGCTTTGGGCCCTCTCTTCATCGTCCAAGTCGTCCGCATCACGGTCCAAGGACATCAAATGCTTTACCTGTCCTTCCAAGGACTCGTTGACAAACATTTCCATCGCATGTTTGTCATCCTTGTCGATAAACTGAGCCACCGCGTCTCCGAAAGAGTTTTGGGGAAGGATACTGAGTGATTGAGAAGCAAGGAATTCTTTCACCAACTGCTCTACTTTCACTGTATCCAGGGCCGCCAGGTTGGAAGCAGTTGCATCATCGATATTGGCATCAGGCTTTCTCGAGGAAGAGGACTTCTTCTTTCGATGGAACTGCACAACGTCGTTCACGTTGGCGACTTTGCCCACAAAACGATTGGAAAACCGCTGCGGGTTCTCACATTCATAAGTCCCGCCCTCTGGCGTGGAAGTCTCAACACGAAGGCGCACAAGTGGGAGGGGAAGCTCTTGCGATTCTTCGTCCTCGCCACCGGGTTGACCGTGCATCTCCCGCCATTGTGCATTGGCTTCTTCGATCAGCTCTTCGACAATGGACATGAGGAACCGAGTCACTTCAGTCCGATTGTTGTCTTTCCGCGCAAGCTTCTGTGCTCCTTTTTCTTCGGACAACACAATTTCTCGCATCACAAAAGGTCGGACCGTTTTCAGACGAATGGGTTCGGACTTGAATTCGCGACCGGTAACGCTGATAATGGAGACCTGTTTTGACACTGCCTCTCCGGGGACGAGAGATGTCGCGACTGACGACCCTGGCTGCATGACGTGGAATTTTGTCTCTGGGTTGAGACGAGGGTTAATCAAACACTCGTGCTCGTGTCCCCAAATGACCAGGTCCATGAATTCTGGTAGAAATTTCTCTGGGAGATACCCGGTTTCTGTGTATGCATGATGATTTTGATGTACCGACATCAGATTGAACCAGTCGTCCTTTTGGACAGAGGGTTGGAAGAACTTGACTTTGCCGTCGCGAAACGTACGGAACAGCCTCTCATCTCTGACGTTGCTCATACCATACAATGCGAGCTTTGTTCGCCCCTTTTGAAGCAAGACTGGCTTGATCTCGATGTTATCCGACTCGGGAGTTCGGCCGTAGTAGTTAAGAAGACCTGACACCTGGAGCAGATCCAAGGCGGCCAGATGGCCCTCACCAGATGGATCATCGTGATTGCCGTGGATGGAAAAGATTGGGATGGCGATGTTCATGTCCATGTCCTCGTAGTTAACATGGTTGAAGGCACCCTGAAAACTTTCGCTAGCATCACTGAGCATCTCCAGCTCGCAGGGTTTGTCGCCAAAGCAGTTCATCCGGATTGAGCGCATGACTTGGTACATGGATTTTCGGGAGGGCTTGTTCTCATGGAACAAATCTCCTGCCAGCAAGACCATGTCAACATCACGCTCTCTGGCCAGACACATAATCTCATGGAAGGTCTTCCAACTGTCGTCCCCGCGGATCGGGTCTCGTTCATTGTACCCGACATGGTTGTCCGTTGAGATAAGAATTCGGATGGTCTCCGCATCTACCAGTGAGGTCAGAGAGTCACCAGAAGGTGATAGGGATGGAAATGCTCACCATTGATGCCCGGCATGTTGCGTTTATGACCGCGACTATGCGCGCGCCGATTGTCGGATGCCAGGGTCTGCCCCGTACTCTGGCTGTGGCTAATGACAAAATCCGTTCAGCAAATTACAAATACCGGTGATAGAATCACCAGCAGACCCTCATTCACGACAAGTGACCTCGTTGCGAGCCGATGAAGTTGCGCTGCGTGTGTTGCCTCGCGCTGTCACGTGCCATGCGACGCGTTAAGAGCGGCCAAGCGGCAAAATAGCAAAATCGAGTTCTCACTTTCGAAGACCGCTATGTGAAACGATAATGATCGTTAAAGGAGATACAATAGATAAGAAGATACCTAGCACATGAGAATCAAAAGATTTCTGGGGTCGTGGAAGTGGAAGTTTCGCGTGCCAAGGTACTTGCGGGTTGACCGTTGCCAGTCGCCTCTCCGCTTTTCCCGCCTTCATCTCTTCCCTTCTGCAACGACTCGCTTTCGCACGCTTCCACCCCTTTTCGACTCACTGCATCGTCTCGGCTGATCCAGGTCTAGTCACTGGCTCAGTCGCTTTTCCTCTCGGTTTATCCCAAGTCCTTTTTATGCAATCAAACCCGACTGCCGTATCTCAACATACGCCTTCACTTGACTCATCCCAAGCCAAACCCAGCTCTACCCAGCATGGAAGCGACTTCGATGGCCGTCCAGTCTCTGACCCTCTCCATCATGAGATGTCCGGAGACACTTCAGGCCTGGACGTACCGGCGCCAGGCGTGGACCATCCGCCCCTGAACGACGCTGGAGAAGCCCCGCCATCCCCGCCGGTAAGCCGTGTGAGTCAGTACGAAAATGCTGGGACTCCCGGTAAAAAGGGCACTGATCTAGCTTTTCGTGTCGTTGCTTCTACGAGCCAGTGCATCTTGCCTCTGGAGTCTATGCCAAACGGTACACCCCGCTCCGAAATGCCCCGTGGAGGAGTGCCTACTAACACTGTTGCGCAGAGGTTCTCACGCATATCCTGTCGCACCTGCCTCCACAGTCCCTCTCGGCCATTACCTTAGTATCTCGTCGATTTCATTCCTTGGTCACCACTCCCCATGCCTGGAGAATCGCCTTCTCCCGGTTCTTCCCGGGTCCCCAGGCCGCGGAGACTGGACGTCGCGTCGCAGCAGATGAGGTGGATTTGATGTCGGACCGGCGAGTCTTTGCGCGACTGACCGCACTGGCTTCTTGGCGCAGTGAGTATATCCTGCGGACCCGGCTGATGCGGTCATTATCTCGAGGCAAGCCAGCGCAATTCCAGCCATCTAAGAAGCATGGAACCGTGCGCTCGGCGAACGGTCGCAACGGAAGCGCCGTTGCAACCTACACCTCGCAGTTGATGTTCCCCGTGAGTAAAATCCACGGAACTTTCAACAGCTCTGATAAGGACCCAACCTTCATCCACGGCGCCTCGGAGCAGGGTATCTCTTCTGCTAGCGATCCATCGGCAGTGAAGGTGAGCACCTGGGGGCTATCCGATCTCCAAATGTTCCGGCACTTTGCAGATATCTTTCCAGGTGATTCACCGTACGGCCTTGGGTCAGGCGAGATGGTTGGTGTGCCCAACTCGATGGATGTCAGCCAGCCGTACGGCATGATTTATGGAGAGGGTTGTCCGGGCGGCCGTGGCTACTTTATCTCGACCATGGAGCAGCGAGGCCGCTTCCTGGGTCCTTCTGACTTGGGTTCTCATCCTCGTTTGGGTATTCCCGCGGTGAAGATGATCACGCATTCCGTGTGTTCGGTCTGGATTGCCAAGTCATCGTCTATCCTCAAGACAACCGGTGGCTTGATTGCCATGATGTCTGGTTCTTCCTCTGGTGTACTCTCAGCGTATGCGCTGGGTCCCCACCCAACGTATGAGAAACGATACGAACGAGGGCAAGTGACCGTTAAGTGGGTTCTGAGCCCTGGTGTTCCTATTATTGGCATCGCCGTGGACAATAATTATACACCGAAGCGTCATTCCCAGCGACGGGTTTGGGCTTTTGCCCTCAATGCCTTGGGTGAAATTTTCTACCTCACGGATCTCCCGAGTCAACCGGAGGTTCCCTCGACGACCAAGTTGACTGCCGAGCAGTTTGATGAACTCGCTTGGAAGACTGGCAGAAGTGTGCGATGGGGGCTCATTGAATCGAGTCGACGTACAGCACGTCCAGACCCTTTCAGTCGAGATCCGGTTGATGGTAGTTATAGCCCTCGATCCTCGTCAGATTCGATGCACCTTGATGAAGAGCAGATTGCGGCGGAGACAAAGGAAATTGAGAAATTTCTTTCGTACAAACCGAAGCACTTCCGCAAGGTCTGCGAAGGCTGGAATATGCGATGTGATCTCCACGTTGATTTCGCAGGTGACGATGGGCGCGGTTCCGGTGAATCGGCCCTCGTCATTGCCCGTGGAGCGGATGAGCCTGAGAAAGCATCCATCCGACGATTTGGCCGCTCTGTGGTCAAACCTGGCTTGAACTCAATATCATCGATTTCCTGCTCACGAGCTGAAAACCTACCTAGCTCCCTCTTTGGGGGCCCTGTCAATTTGCCGAGCTCAGCTGCCAGTGAAACGCCTCCGTCTCGATCGTCAGCTCGGTCAAGCGAACCCGTTTCTGACGTGAACACGGAGTGGCGGATTTCCAATTTTACCTTTGGGGATCTCAATTCTGTGGAAGTCACAACCAGTGCATTGGACAATTCTACATTTGCTACTCTGACTGCGGAGGAGGACCCTCTCCTAGCAATGTCCGGAAGTTCCTTTTCGTCTGCTACCTCCTCACCAATGCTCCCGCACATGGACAAGCCTCGATCAAGTCTTGAAATCCCTGGGCACCGAGCACGATACCTTGCAGTTGGAACAAACACTGGTGCGGTCCTTGTCTGGGACATTCGCGCACTTGCCGCCAAGAACGTGGATGTCATCAACTCTATTCCTCCGCTCCATGTCATCCAAACCGAATCGCCCCAAGTCTCCTGCGTGGCATTGACGTCCTTGTATCTGGTGCATGGTGGCAATGATGGCCTGGTTCAAGCCTGGGATCCATTGGCGTCCTCAACACGCCCGATCAGGACCATCAATTCCCGCTTCTCATCCCGCGCTCGTCGTCGATTGGTGCAAGCGGAAGCATCCATGTTTGGCGTCGGAAACAACTTTTTCGCCACAGGGGCTATTTGTCTGGACCCAGATCCTACCAATCTTCGTGGAATGGTCTCCCTTGGCACGCATCTACGTTATTGGTCATACAGCTCATCCGCTGCTGATCAATATAAGACTAGCAAACGACGGCTTCGCCGTGCATTGCGCGGTGACAACGGGGCCAGCGATGGGCAGCGGTTCAATAACAGTGGACGAGGTGCCATCCAAGACTTCATTGAAGATGAGCGTGTCGAAATTGAGCGGCAGAAGATCGCGGACGAGCGAGAAAGAGCCCACCTGAGTCAAAGGTTCGGCGTGGATCTCCTTGGTCCGGATATTGACGAGGAACAGCTTCTCCAGTATGCCCAACTTCTGAGCCAGGAAGCCTATACTGGGGACATAGTCAAACAGGGTGACTCGATAGTGGCCGCAAGCTCCGTTGCCAGCTCTTCCCTTCCCGACACCACCGGGCCAAGTTCGTTCGGAGGTGCTGAAGTGTCCTCGTCGTCTTCTCCCTACCATGATGCAGCAGATGAGCAAGTGGACGATGATCTTGCCGAAGCCATTCGTCTCAGTCTTCTTGATGAGGAGTCTGCATCTCCACCGGTTGACCTAACGCCGTCCATCCCAATAAAGTATGCCAAGGGGATGCGACGACGTACCCCATCATCCCCCGGGAATAGGAACGCCGAGAGCAGTCAACGGAAGGAAATGGACGACTTGGATTTTGCCATCCAGCTCAGCTTAGCCGAAGACCAAAGCCGCGCCGTGACTGGCGAAGAATGGGAAGAGTTCCCAGCCCTTGAATCGGGGGCATTTTCATCTTCGCAGTCATCGGGCAAAGGCAAAGGAAAGGCCAGGGCATGATAAATGCGTGTTTTTATTGTCTTTTTTTTTTTTTTTTTGGTTTGAAGCTCGGGTTCTACCCGATTTCTCATCGAGTCAAATTCGTGATTTTGTCCATCATCTCTAATCAGTTTTGTTTACATTTAGATCTTAAATGCATAGTTCTAGTTTGATTTAATTGCGATATTTGTTCCTGACACATAAAAAGTGCTTCACCTGCGCAGGTGAGTATCGTTGGATCGTTGGATCCTAAGGGTCCACCGAGAAACCGCTGTTATTATAGAAAGATCTGAGGATTGTTTCCCGAATTTCTATCATTTGATCTTTGGGATCCTGCTCTTCCATTCCTCGAGTACCGCGAGAACCTTTACATTCCCAAGTTCCTTCGCACGGCTAAACGCGTTAAAGCCGCCACGTCTCCCAATACCGGTCTGCTCCCCGTTCAAGCAAGATGCGTGCAATTTGATCTCCTCCCGAAACCTCCGGTCCGATAGAATAAAGAAGCCGTGATCCCCACCCGCCGGGGAAAATCCGGTACGCATAGGTGCATACAGAATCGCATTCGCCACCAGTTAGCTTCAATTTCACCTTCCTACGCCAATTGAGAGTGAAGTGAGACCAAGCCATACTTGAACTCGCGTTATAAGGCTTCCCACCTTTTCTTAGGTACCCATTCGTATCATTCTGGGAAATTATTGGGTATATTGAGACGAATTATATTGCAAGATTGATTGATTCATGGGCATCAATTAAAAAAAAATAAAAAAGGCAAGAGATCCATTGGTCTAGCAGACCGGTAGAACGAAGAATGTCCATGGAATCAAGTAAATCACAAGAAACTACATCAAATCTCAAAATATACGCAGACATCCGACGAATCTCCCGTCCAGACATAAATTTCTGCTCTATACTTAACCGAATCATCCGTCACAACGGATTTGCAATTTACAGCAGGGAAGCAAGCAGCATGAAGAGACCGCCGAGGCCACCCCTGGCGACGGAGGGGCCGTTAAGCGAGGCAGCGTTATGGGTGGAGGTGCCAGTGGAGGAAGAGGAGGACGAGGTGCCGGTGCTGCTGCTGCTGCTGTTGCCGGAGGGGGTGTTGGCCTCATCACCAGTTAGAACCTTGAACTCAACGCCGGTGATCTCCTTGCCGGTGTAGTCGTAGACCTTCTGAGGAATGACACCGCCGCTCACGGCGACGAAAGAGCCCGTGGGAGCGTTGGGCAGTCCGCTCTCAATGTAGTCAGAGACCTTGGAAGGAGTGGCGGGCAAGCCCCAGGAGTTCAGGAGCTTGCCGGAGGTGATGATACTGGGGCTGCAAGTCTCGGCCTTGACGGAGGTCTGGGAACCGTTGCTCTTCATGATACGGCCAATGTCCAGCTCGTTGAACTGTTTCTGCAAGTTGTCGTAGTCGATGAGGGTGGTCACGGTGTTGGTGTTGTTGATCATGACAAGACCGTAGTCGTTGGTCTCTTGGGTCCACTCGTAGACCAGACCGCCGGAGAAAGCCTGGGTCATCTCCTCGCCGTACAGAGCCTGCACTTCGGTGAAGGTACGGGGGGTCACCTTATTGCAACCGTACTCGGAGAAGAAAACAGGGACGGTAGCGTTGGCGAAGTCCTCAGTCAGGACGTCGTAGCCACTGGATGTGTAGGAAGCATCACCGCACCAGGAGTAGGAGTTCAGGCCGAAGAAGTCAATACGGGAGTTGGTGGAATTGCTCATCTCACACTCAAAGTAGTGGGCGGTGTCGGTGAGGATATCACTAACATCGGCGGCGGAGTAACCAACGGGAATGGTACGGGGAGCGTTCTTGGCGATGTAGTTCTTCATGTCACGGACAACGGCGCGAACGTAGGCGGGGGCGAGCCAGGTCGAGTCCTGGTTGATGACCTCGTTACCGGCGAAGAAGCCCAGCACGTTCTCGTAGTTCTTGAAGGCCTCGATGATACCGAACACCTGCTCGAAGTAGGCGGCATCATAGGTAGTCCAGGGTTCAGCACGGTTCAGGGAGCCATTGGCCAGAGGAGAGTTGACATCCAGGATCATGTAAATGCCAGCCTCGCTGAAGATGGAAACACACTTGTCGTGGTTCAGAGTGGGCTGCATGTTATAGATACGGATGGTGTTGATACCCAGGCGCTGCATCAGAGCGGCGTCACGCATGCAGGCATCGCTGTCGGTCAGCGGGTCGCTCTTGGTGTTGACCGCGTTGGTACCACCGGGCTGGTAACTGTGATAATCACAAACGTCAGACGTCAGAGCGGAATTGCGGGGATTTTGGGGGGAGGGCCAGGAATGCGGGATACGGATAGGGGAATGCGGGATATCTTACTCAACACCGATGATCTGGAAACGCTCCTTGGTCTTGGAGTTGACAAAGTCCTTGCCATCGACCTCGAGAGGGCTCAGAGCCAGCGCGGAGCCGGCCAGGGCACAGGCGGCCGTGAAGAACCGACCGGCAGACTATCGAGATCAATCGTGCGTCAGTACTTCGACTCGCCCCGAATTGGGATCTATGGGCGCATGTGCGGGTTGCGCGCGAGAGGCAGAGGCAGTACGTACCACAACCATCTCGAAACTTGAAACTTGAACGAGAGATAAGACCAAGAGAAGAGGTGGAAACGAGAGGGGGAAACGAGAGGGATTGATATAGAAGGTTGGGGGGGGAGCGAGTGACAGCGCGAAGCGCGAAAACAACGAATGACGGGTATAGGGAAAAGAAATATTAAAAGGACGTAGATGAGAGAAGGCAAAATGCCTGAAAAAGGAGCCGAAGCGCAAGAAGGATCGGCGGGGAAACAGGAGCCGAGTGGAGTTCGTTGAGGTCCAACCGCCCATTCAACTCGGGCGGTTAGGGCTCTCCTGGTACACGGCGGGTACCCGAGCTATGCGGGGACTTCATACCGCGTGCCGGGTACCCCCCGTGTACCTTGCTTCGTCCCGAGCCCGAGTCCCGACACCGACACTATACTATACGCGCAACACTTTTGGGATGGGATCTTCATTCACTCTAAAATACAGCCTGTATAATCCCCTCGATTTCCTCCTGCCCGTAATGTGAAATGCAGAAACCTGGGAAACGAAAAAACAAATCATTGGCGCCGAGAAATACCAAGGCCCCTGATGCCACCCGGTCGAGGCCAAGACCCAATACATATACAAGAGTACACACGAAGAAAAGGGAATAGTGGAGAGCGGAGGCAGGAAAAAGGGAGGACTGGCAACGAAGGAAAAGGGTGCTGGTGAGGGAGACGGTGAGGGCGAGAGGAATATTACGAGGCGAGCCCAGGGATTTCCAAGCCAAACCCGGGGTCCAGACGGTCTTGGACTCGACCGGATGGCCTTGGACTGTCGGGCGTTTACTCGACGCCGTGGCTGTCGGCACTGCTCTCGCCGGTGAAGGAGCCACCCAGCTGGAGACCGGCGTCCATGGCGACCATCTCCGCCAGGATCTCCAGCACCTCCTTGGGCACGGTCTTGTCGTATATCGAGATGAGGTCTTTGGGCTGCGGGTACACCTTGAGGGCCTTGTAGAAAGCGAGAGCCGCCTCGATCTGGTCGGCACCTGCAATGGAGTTAGCACATCTGGTCCATTCCGTTCCGTGGCGGATGACGTACCCTCGGCGCAGAGGCCTTCACCCTTGGCGACCTGGCTCATGAAGTAGGACTCCTTCTCCTCGAGGTCGGCGGGGAATCCCTCCTGCTTGGCGCGCTGGACGGCGGCCTTGATGGCCTCGCGCTGCTCGGCACCCTGGGCCGCCTCCTCTTCCTTGACGGCCTTGGCGAGGCGGCGGTTGTTCCGCTTCAGGGATTTGCGGAAGTCGGGATCGGTTTGGCGTTTGTGGTCAAAGTATACTGCGTAGGCTGTAGTACCGCGGAAGAAAGAGGCATCAGTGATGTGTTGGTTTCCCCGAGCATGATGAGCTCTTACCGAGCAGTCCGGTCACGATCGTGCCGGCCGACGCGGCCACCAGAACAGACGTCCGCATGATGAAGGAAGGGAAATGTGTAAGGACGCTGGATTTGACGCGGCCAGAAGGGCTCCGAGAGCAAGGAAACGATGGGAAGGAGATACGAGTGGGAGTTGGCCGACGATGATGCGGTTGTTTGGAACGATAAATTTGATGAGGGGATTTACGTTCTTCCGTCGGCCTTTCTCTCCCACCCTGGCAACGCGACATCAGTGAACGTTGGGGGTCGTCGAGTGTGTTGTGATGGAAGAGAATCATAAAACGGATGAAATGAAGACAATCAACGTGGGTTGATAAAATTGGCAAGCCGTGAGGTTTTAGAAATGGCCCCCAATTGTGGCGGTTATCTATACTTCCAGGTTCATACCGCGATGCCGGACCACGTTACCTACATGACACGTTCGATTGTGGTCTTATGCCAAATGATCGGGAGGGAATTGATCCTGAAGCATGAGCCCTTTCATTTTGGGCACTCTACCACAGAAATAGACATCTTGAGGAGCATTTCTTTCGGTGAAGGAAACCTACATAATGATGTAGAACAAGGCACTACGTCTTCCCAGGCCGAGTGGAAGCGTGCAAGGAGAATATGGAAATATCAATTGCCCGATTAAAGCTTGAATGATTCCTACTCGGTGGTCAGTAACACGTTCAACTATAAATTCCGACAGAATCACCGGGCATTTGACTCGATGTAACTCGCCGAGCTATGACCGCCGCGCCAACCCCGTTACGGCCGTCCCCAACTCGCTCTCCTCCTCATCTCCAGCTTCAACTTCCACCTCGCTGCCCGCGCCCTCGTCACCATGGAAGGCCGAGGCTTGACCCTGCGAAGCAAGTCTCGCCGGCAACGCCCGCAGATCAGTGCTCCCAAACCCATTTCCGGCCCCTTGCCCGCCAATACCAGATCCCCCGATCCCGGTCAAGCCGCCGTCCCCGCGGGCCGCGACCGAGCTCCCCAGAGCGATGCCACGTCCGATCTGGTGAAGCGACGCTACTCTACCAGGTTTAACGCCGCCCCCGACTTCGATGTCAGTGCTCCACCGATCCCCGCCCTCCCGACTGCGGCACAAGGTGGTTATGGTGGCCTGGGTGCCCCAATCCCGGCCTCCAAACAACTGTCGCCGGCCGAAGGGGCAGCACCCGCACCCGTGGTCGATCTGAACGCTTTGCGAGACCCCAGTCTACCGGTGGAACGATGTACGTGTATTTCTTTTGCTCTGGTGCAATGAATAGTATTGACACCTTACCGCAGATGTCGCCAACCTCCTTGCCAACGCGTCCGAGGAGGAGATCCAGAATTACCAGGACAAACTGCGAAAAGTCAAGAACCGAACGTCGACCGACCTCCAGCAGAATGTGTATCAGAACCGCACACAATTCATCAAGATCAGTAGAGAGGCGGAGAAGCTCAAGGATGAAATGCGAACGCTACGTACCCTGATGTCCGAGCTCACGAGTGCACTGGGTCAGACCTCCGTGGGCAACACGCCCAATCCAATGTCGCCGGCAGATGATCATTTTCCCAAACGCAGCTCGAACCGCAGCTCCGTTGCCAACCTGGAGAGCATGTGGAGCGTCCAGTTGCAGACCTTGTGGAAAACCGTCGAAGGCTCCCAGAAATTCCTGCCGGCGGTTCCGGGTCGACATATCGTGTTGGAGACGGGCAATTGGGCTGAGCTGGATTCGGCAACCTGGAAGCCAAGACGTCCCGTCCACATTGTCCTGTTGAACGATCATCTGCTGGTGGCTGCAAAGAAACGCAAGCGAGTCGACCAGAATAACCCCAACCACCGAGGACCCGTGCCGACCAAGCTCGTGGCAGAGGAGTGTTGGCCGCTGCAGGATATCGACATGATTGATTTGGCCGCTAACCTGGGCACGGGCGCCGCGCGAGAAGAAGCCCTGGATCGCGGCATTGGGAACGCGATCAGTATTCGGGTCGGAACCAAGCCGTTTACCTACCGTCAAGACAAGCGTGACACGTCGACCAAGAACGAACTTTTGGCGACATTCCGAAAGACGGTGGAGGATCTGCGACGAACCCTACGTACAGAAACCGAGGCTGCCTCCAAGCCTCTAGAGGCGTATGGGTACCTCGCCGGGCGCCACATGTCGCCATTGCTCAAATCCGAACCCTTTGACCTTGGGGATGGCCCTCGCGATAAGTCCGAACTGCGCATCGATGTCGATGGCAAGCAGCAGAACCTCCGGTGGGTGGAGGGACAGGTGGACGAGTTGGACATTGACATCGCACTGCAAAGGTTCGAGGCGGCGGTATCCAGTATTGAACGACTGCGAAAACTCGCAAAGGGACTCAAGGGAAACCCTGTCGCCCAGGAGGTTATCAATACCAAGGTTGACGGACGAGCCACACGGTTGGCAGGCATGCTTTCCCGCGCCTTGGTGGACACGCACTCGTTTCCGGCGACAACCAAAACGAACGTCACCTGGCTGAGCCGCTTGGGTTTCGAGGATCAGGCGCGCGAGACGTACCTCAAAGCACGATCTGACGTGATTGCCAAACGCATCCGGTACGTTATCCATCCGACCTGAAACGCGCGATAGTAACCGCATATTAACGATTTAATAGGGCCTGCGTCTTCGAGGGCGACCTCCCACTTTACATTTTTCAAATTTCATACGTCTACTTCTCGCTCATCAAGAACACCATTAGCATCTACCAACAGTGCTTCCCGGGCGTCATGACCAGCTCTTGTATCCGCTGGGCCAAGCATCATCTGGATGGATTCAATGCTCTACTCAGCCGCCAGCTCAGCAGTGTACAACGCGGCACCTCGGTCTGGCAGAAGTGTCTCGACATTGTTCGCGAGCATGCCGACCTGTTGACAGAGGTAGGTGTCGATTTCACCGATTTGGTGGCACGGGGCCTGGAGGAAAACGGCGAACTGGCTCCTGTTGGTCGAACTGTACAGCCGGATAAGGTGGTGGCGGCCCCGGCGCCCTTCACCCCAGTACTTTAACCGAACCATGAGAGCGTGGAACATGATATCTTGATTATACGTACCTTAGCGGAAGGAGATTGCTCATAGAAATCATTTCGATTAGTCACACATTCACAAACAGTAGTTTCAATGAAGTCCAGATATATACTTGATGCTTCGTGGCAACCTCCCGGTATCAGCTAACATACAAGGTCCTACTGATCTGAACTGCCTGATATGTGGGAGCAGACTCCTTCGTATGGCCTCACCACCGGTAACTGAGACCGTGAACTCGCATATAGGCTTTGGCAATCTGTGCATGAAGGGATATGACATACGACTGAAGAATAAGGAAGTCATGTAGTTATAGCAAAAGCTGAAAACCAAGTCGCTCCTTCAGCATTGCACAAACCCCGTTCGCCGCGTTTCTCTGCCAGCATAATGAAATTGGAGACATTGCGATGGTTCTTAAGGATCCGTAAATCATGACCGCGTCTGCCCATCCGAAATTGAGAGTCTCACTGCGGTTGGGTATCTCTAAGTGACCCATACCTTGTGACACGCCCTGCGCGTGTAAGATCCTCGTAGCCGTGGCGCGAAAAGCTGCAATGCAACGTTCTTGCATTGCGGTGGAATGAATATGCTGCTGGGGTGAGCAACCCGCTTGGGAGGCACGACGTAGAAAGGTTAAAATGGTCGTCGAGAGATGCATTTGAAAATTCCCTTGATATGCATGCACTCCGATAGACGGTATTGAGGGTTGAACCGAATCATATGAAGAACCCCAAATATTCCCCATTTCGTCTATCTGTTGCAATATGGAAGAATAAGTGGCCAACACCAAATCCGAATTGCCGGTTAAAGCCTTCCGGATCTGACTAGAAAGACGAGTGCATTGGTAGGCAAAGATACACGCTTGAACCATGATATACTCGGAAGGCTTCAAGTACTGGCAGAGTTGGTGGATCCAGCTCAGCACGTCTATAGGAGACTCCCGGCCGGCGATGAGAGCTTTGGCTTGCTGGAGTCGTCAGAGACGCCGACTTTACACCTCGGGCTCAAGAGGTCTTACAGTGCAATAGCAGACAAACCAGACTAGATTCCGTCCATCCTGTCTAGAGAATTGCTCCGAGTCCCGGAGATTGATCAAAGAGGCCATGCCTCGACAGTGCCGGTCTCCCTCCTCGGATCCTGCAATGGATGTGAGATGAGGATTCGATAGGAACGTTGGGTCAGTCAGTCTCCTTGGCCTATAAATTCCCGCTGATGAACAACTCTTACCTCGTACACCACAAACATCCAAATTGCTAACAATGTGCTGTCATTCTTGTATTGAACGGGATCATCTAGAGCTGCGTTGACGGCCTTGAGAGCGTTCCCATACGCCCGGTTTCTGTTAGCCAGTGTAGCTGTCGTCCTCGTCGTACTAGCTAAATATGCACATGCAATAGCATTACAGACTGCGTAGACCGGGGAACCTTCTTGCGTGCTAGATATAATGCGTGGAATGGTAGCGAACATGTTGCTGTCTATGCTTATATCCACAAGCCCGACGGAGAACTTGTCTAGGACCAAAGGAATCACATGCTGGCTCAACACCTGGGAGGGTTCGTATATTATCTGGACGGAGGGGACGTCGCCGTCTTTGGCAGAGTCCATTTTGGCCATTGGCGGGTCGTGGTAGCGCATTTTCCGACGATCATGCCTCGTGCTCGGTTGAAACGACGAGACGTTGGCAATGCGGAAGCGCATGCTGACCTCGTCTCGATAGCCTGAACATGATTTCCCTACTCGTAGGCATTGGCTACAGGACGGACGTGCAAGGTCACACTGGAACTCATTTGATCAGTGGACACTACATTCGCAAATCTCAGGACCGCCGTACCTTGATACGTCGCTGTCGACAAGAATGGCAATCTCGGCTATATCGACCCGTGTTCGGCATTTGCTTTGTGTTCCTCGAGTAACTCTAATGAAGATGGTGCTCAACTGGCACTCTGGAGCCTTGGAGAGGTCGGAATGATCGAGTCAGCAAAGCTCAGCTTTGGCCCGTTTGGGAAATCGATTCGTGCAGCCAGTGGCAACTGCAGCCACGATCATCAGCGTATACCGCTCGCTCACGAATATATAAAGACGGCTGTCTGGACAGGGTCATTTCTCCAGAACTCGTTCTTGCAATCATAAATTGATCTCATCCACAATGTCGCCTTTGCCAGTCATTGCCTGTGGCAGCACCAACCCGCAAGTTTTCAACGCCGTCAAACCTCTTTACTTACCAGAGTACGAAAGTAGGGAAGAGAATCCAACTGGCACTGGCTAAGTTCTAACATCATCCGTAGTTATACATAATGTCACCAGCAGCGCCTCCGGAGCAGTAGAGATACCCCACTTGCTGCAAGGGCAGGCCCCGCCCATTGCTGAAGAGCACAACCGCGGCACCATGAACTATTCCAAGCCACCCGTGGCCGTGTTTGCAGGGGCCTTGTACAGCGATAGGGAGATTGACGAGATGCGCCAGGCGTGTCAAGGGCTCAGTTCCGTGCCTTGGTTGAAGATGGATATGACCGTGCCCAAGCCGCCGCTTGGACCGGGGTATGCGGAGCATGTCGTGCAGAGAATCAAGGCATGTATGAAGAAGATTGAAGCCGAGGGAATGCTGCAACAAGATGGCCTGTGGCTTTATTGAGTGAGAGAGACAGAGAGCAACCATCCGGTATAGCGCTAAGTCGGGCAACTAGTCTAATACACACAATCCTAGCTTATGGGATTATCCAGTATCTTACGGTACAACTCTTGAAAACAGGGGAATAGGAATCCTTGGATTATGCTGAACCTGGTTTAGGCTTTCTTGGCCATTAGCATTCAGTCAAAGAGCGTAGGTGGTGACACCGATTTCCGGCCACCACGGTATCAATACGACAGTAACTGATCTTGGGCGAACAACCTGATTCTCCTCAAGTGCTTCGACAATCGGGAGGGCGTGGCCACGCGAGTTGCACATACAGCATTCGTTGACCGGAATACCCTAAGCAATGCGAAGTCGAGGGATAGTATTGAAGTGAGAGTCATGGCTTTCGGGGGATGCTCACAGGCGAAAAGACTGAAGGCATTTGGTTCGGGCGAATATAGCAAACACACGGGCAGTCCTTGTGAATCCTCACGAACGTCTTAGCGATGCGACTTTCTGGTATAGAACTGATATCAATCCAAAGTATATTGATTGTGGAAACGATGCGCTTGTTAATATACAAATTCTATCGAGTTCGGTGTATCTATGTCAACCCGGGCACCGACAGTCCGATTCTATGCACCAAAAGCAAATCTAGATCGAGTACCACTCGTACCTGGACATGTCGTCCTGTTCAAGAAGTTCCTGGTTCCTCCGCCATGATCGTCTACTATTCAGCTCAAACCGCGATGCCGGAGCCCAAGCTGCATCCCAAACCTTGGGGTCATTGAGATAGCTCACGGACTTGAGAATCCCGAATCGGAAATCCAAGGGCTCGGGGTCGTCGCTAGTTCCAGATGGTAGTCTCATATAATACCGCACGCCGTCGGGAATTTCCTCTTTGACATGGCTGATGAGAATCAGGGCTTGATCCTCCGACAGACCATTATACCGATGTTTGCCTTTTTTGCTATGTGTTTTGGATAGAGCCTCACCGTGTTCAAGGAACGCCAGACACTTGTCACGCTGGGAAGCAGTCAACCCCGAGAAGGGCTCGTCTAGAATCACGATATCCGGCTTGTGGACCAGGGCACGCAGGAACAAGACAATGCGCTGCTGCGCGGTACTGAGTTGCCCAAACCGAACATTGTCGGCGTACTCCACGTCGTAGTCGGGCGGGAAAAATGGTTCGTTCAGGCTCACCCCGGGAAGTTTGGGGAAGTTTTGAGACACGTCGACGTGGGATGCTCCATTCTCCTGATGCACTGCATTCGACTCATTTGGATCAAGCTCGGCCTTGAAGGTGCGAAGAAAGGCATTGACGTCAATGTCATTCTCGTGGACAAGCTTTGGTTTCGACAAAAATGTCTCTGCAAACGCCGACTCCACACATTCACGTACCGTCAATTGACGCGGGAAAAATGCATGAATCTCAGGCGAAGAATGTCCCAGCCGAGACTGAAGTTCGAAGATCGAGATTCCAGGCTTGCCTTTTTCGGGAAGACGAGACCGTCCAAACAATTTGATTGGGAGGGCGTATGTCTGGGGATGGTCCGAAGTAATGAGCGACAGCAGCGTTGTCTTGCCCGAGCCATTGGCACCAAGAACCGCCCAGCGCTGGCCTCGACGTACTGTCCAGTGTAGCCCAGATTTTTTCTTATCGTCCACTTTCTGTTGCCAGTCACCCAGGACCGCCTTGTCACCGTATTGGACACGCACACCGTCCATCTCGATCAACGGCTCTCCCCCCAGAGAAGCATGCTGATATTTCCGGCGGCTATGAGTCTGGCCCACGGTGAAATCTCGGAGCAGTTGTTCATCGAGAACACCGGACTTCAAAAGATCGCGAGCCTCTTGCGCAATATCATTTTCAGCACCGCTCATGGCACGGGGTTTCACAGTCGTGGCAAGACGCTTCCAGACATCCAACTTTTCGACAACCTCCGAGCGTAAGCCCTGTTGGATGATCTGATGGGAGTTGCCCACGATGATCATGTGTGTGATCCACTGTGGCACTGCATCCTGCGGGCGGAGGGCCAGAACTAGCCGTGGAGAAGATTTTTGAGCCAGGCGGAACAGAAGATCACTGATGCTACGAACCGTGGGCGGATCCAATCCCATGAAAGGCTCATCGAGAAGCAGCAGCTCTGGCTTCTTGAGCAGAGCTTGTGCAATACGTGTCCGCCGAGTCTGGCCATTGCTAAGGTTCGCGACCGGCATGTCAAGCAACTTGGTCAGGTGCAGGTCGGCGGTCACCTGCCGCAGTAGCTGCTCATCATGCAACGTGCCATTTTCCTCTCCTTCCATGGGGTTGAGTGAGGTTTGGCCTCGCAGGAATTGCTCTACCGTCCAATCGGTCTCCTCGCGATGGCTCTCATACCGAGCACTCAGATATGCGCCTCGGGTGCCGCCAATGGCTCCGGAGCCTTCACCGTTGAATCCAATGTATTGAATTGCGTTTTCGACAAGTCGTAACCGGGGGTCCTTGGCAGCGAGCTCATCGGTGAGGAGGTAGGGATATGTGCGTGAGTTGGGTGGGATGGAGATGTGCTGGCCGCGAAGGATATTGAGCATGTCAGTTCGCTCCGACGGCCCAATTACTGCCCAGTATTGCTGCACGGGCTTCGCACCCTTCGAGGGAGGCGAAGGACCGGAGGGGAGGGTGAAGTTGAAGTTCCGGTATAAAGGCGGATTCGAGGTACCATCTTGCTCCGTCGGGTATTGCTTGTAGAAAGTCCCGTCCTGGATGCGAATAAGCGGCACGGAGGATACGAACCGGGTCGCACGCAAGGACGGCCACAACCGAGTGCGCAGCGTTGTTCGAAGCATCGTCGCTGGCAGGTGAAAGAGCCGGAGCGCATCTCGGAGTTTGGCGGCGTTAGTAGGGTTGGTCACGTGGACCTTCATTTGAGTGGACGTGGGAGCATAGAGATAGGATCGACGTGGAATAAAACAATGAAGCTATTAGATTAGATCAGGGACATAATGAACTACGTGGGTTTCAGAAGCACTCCATTCAATTGATACAATGTGCAATTGCATGAAGCCGCAGGAGGAAGCTCGGTGCTGGATCCAAATCTGCCGCCGACCTCGGAACTATATTTGAAGGCCGATCAGGGCGCGGGGAAAATGGAAAAGTACTTGGAAAAGACCGATCAATTTCATAAAGAAGGAACTGTTGTTGTTAATTCCACAGAATTATGGCAGATTCCTCTATCAATTATACTAGGTATGAATTTCTTCCCCAAGAGTGTCGCTCTCCTGCGGTGACTGACTTGGCCGCGATAGTCAACCGGCTAAATGAATGTGCACAGGGCCTCGGTGGATCGAACTCCGATCTTCTGTCTCCCTGCATTTTTGATTCTTCAAAGATTTTCTAACACCTGGAGTAAATGTTTCCTAATTCCCTATAGCTTGTCTACCCTCCCTTGCCCGCTCCGATAAGACCCCCTTCGACTTCATGCCGATCCCTTCGCTCCCGCTGTTCCTGGCAGCCCAACAGCATGCGCAAATCGACCCGGCGAAGGTGGCCGTGATCGACGCGACCAAGCAACAATCCTTCACATACACACAGCTCCTTGAGGACGCAGCTGGCCTCCGAAAGCAGATCACGGAGCAGCTGGGATTTACCGACTTGGAAGAGCGGCGCATTGCGTTTCTCGTGCCCAATGGATACGACTACGTGGTGACCAGCTGGGCAGTTTGGGCTGCCGGTGGAGTTTGCGTGCCACTTTGTATGCTCTTGCGTCCAAACCAGGTCACGTAGAAAGATGTTAAGAAAGACATCTTTCTTGGCCAACTGTATAGATGGCTAATCTCGAGAGTAGGCACCAGTCACCCCGTCAAAGAATTATTATACATTCTGGGCGATTCCGACCCATCGCTCGTTATTATCCACCCTGCTTTTGACAAGGTTGCGCCGGCTTTGCGCGAGGGATGCACTACGGATGTTCTCTTCATGGGTCTTGACCCGTTCACCAAGAATGATGCGCCGTCTCTGCCATCCTTCTCGCCGTCATTGGCCCTTGACAGACGCGCCCTCATGATATACACCAGCGGAACCACATCAAACCCCAAAGGGTGTGTCACCACGCATGAGACGATAACCTTCCAAGCTGGCTCTTTGGTCAAAGCCTGGAAATACAGCCGGAACGACCATCTCATTCACGTCCTCCCACTCCACCACATTCACGGCATTATTAATGGGCTAGTCGCTAGTCACTTGAGTGGCGCTACGGTCGAGATGCATCCGAAATTCGACCCTCGGGTTATCTGGGAGCGCTGGCAGGTCCAAGACTCTACTCTCTTCTTCGCGGTGCCTACCATCTATTCCCGCTTAAATGATTACTTCGACACCAAAATTCGCGGAACTCCCCAGGAGGATGCTGCTCGAGTTGGAGCCCATGCCTTGCGTCTCATTGTCAGCGGCTCAGCCGCGCTACCGACTCCTATCAAGGCCAAATTTGGTGAAATCACCGGCCAGACCCTGCTAGAGCGCTATGGAATGACAGAGATCGGCATGGCTTTGAGCTGTGGACTGGAAGTGGAGAATCGTATCGATGGAAGTGTCGGCTGGCCGCTTCCTGGTGTCCAAGTTCGATTGACTGACAAGGAAACCGGTCGCATCGTGGAAGAAGTCGATGAAGATGGCATGATCGAAATAAAGGGTGGCAACGTCTTCCTTGAGTATTGGCGTAAGCCCGAGGCTACAGCCTCCGAATTTACGGCAGATGGGTGGTTCAAGACTGGGGATGTCGCCAAACGCGACTCGGATGGCGCTTACTTCATCCAAGGGCGCGCATCAGTGGACGTAATCAAATCCGGTGGCTACAAAATCTCTGCACTCGAGGTAGAACGCAAAATGTTGGCTCTGGAATCCATCCAAGAGGTGGCCGTGGTCGGGCTGAAAGATGAAGAATGGGGCCAGAGAGTGGGAGCAGTGGTCAAATTCCGAGTAGGTTTCCAGGTAAATCGTCTGATGCACGTTGCTGATACCATTTAGGGCTATCCGTTGGACCTGCAGACTCTACGTGCCCAGTTGAAGACTGAAATGGCAGCGTACAAAATCCCCACCGTCTTGCAGGTCGTGGATGCCATCGAGCGGAATGCCATGGGCAAGGTTAACAAGAAGACCCTTGTGCAAAAGTATTGGCCGGGCAAGGCTTGAGGCAAATCTAGCCGATAGATGAGACAATTGTGCTTAGCGAGGATATAGTATACAGGATGATTCAATCAGGAAATTCTTGTAGATTCTTATTGAACGACCACAGGCCTGCTATGGTTTTTATAATTGAAAGACCCAACGCGGATCCTTGTCACCCAAAAATCTCCCTCTGCATCTCCAATATCACCCATCAAAGGCCTCAATCCTTGCGCCTCCCGAACACGCTCCTTCTCGGCATTCTCCCGACGAAGCACCTGCCACAGAATTGCGACGACAATGATATTGACCACAAGATACCCGAGGGCGAATCCATCCCCAAGGAAATACCGCGGACTGCTCTCGCTGCGATACAGCTGTGTCCCGACAAACGCACCCAGGTTACCAATAGAAATTTGCATGGCATTGGCAATGCAGCGCTTCGTCTGGCTGGAAACATTGTTTGCCGGCCAAGACAGCACAATATCAACAGCAGGATAGATACCCGCCGCGGCGAAAGTCGTACCGGCATAAGACATACCGGCCCGGTGCTGCGAAAATAACATCATGTATCCAATGCAACCGAGGGCAGACGAGCCCATGATAAAAGGCGCTCGGCAGCGTGTCTTCTCCGAGAGTACGGCAACGGTGATCGTCTGGATGAATGCTATCGCATATGGAGGCACAGTGAGAAGTTGTGCTTCATCAGCGGAGTAACCGAGCTCCTTGATAATGGTTGGCTGGGCAGTACTTAGCTCTGAGAAGACCGGGTTTGTCGCATATAAACTGACCAGAAGACGGGATGTATAGAGAGTCAACGACATGGTGTGAAATTCTAACCCATGGAGTCACACCTTGGGGTCCTTGGATGCATCAAAAACTGCGCGCCACGAGAACCTCTCCTCCCGCATAGAATCATTGTCATTTCTAAGCCGAAATTGGATGAAATCTCGTTCACCTTTGGACAGGAAATCGGCAGTTGCTGGATAGTTGTGCTCCTAGAAGTAAGCAATGATAGATACGATGGCGGTCAAGAGCCCTTCCTGGTTCATGCAGTATTCATCCTGGGACGTGGGTTGTGCAGAGCCCCGAGTTACGGGACCAACAATTCTTGAGAAGCTGAAATCAAGAAAAATCCTACATGGCAATGAATTAGGTCAGGTAGTTTACGGAGATCGCCTTGGGTCCACAATCTGAAACCGCTGAACACCGCTGAGATCCGTATTCAGCGCCGAGAATCGGGTGGGTCCTGGCCGGAGAGTCATCTTGAAAAGAAAATGCAACGTACGGCCTTAAAATGAATTGAAAGTGAATGATGAAATTGGTATATTGATAATTTTGGCTGCCAAATGCCAATGCAATGAAAAAATGCCCCAATAAGCCCCCCAAAACGCCAGAAACCCCAAACCAAGCAAAAAACAGACCGAACGCAACGCACGCCACGCAAAAAACACACCAGACATAACACACGACACACACATAAACCACATAATATACAAGACATACATAACACGGGGTTCATCGAATTCATGAAACGGAAATTCGTCTAATCTATACAGCTCACGTTCTATCGAGGCAGCTGCACCTACGAAAGATATCCAGACAGAACGCGCATAACTTTTGAAAACAGAGCAGAAAAAGCAAGACATGACATGCGTGATGGAAATCGACGGCGCTCTTTTCGTTGTCCCGGTCCCAGGGACATTATGAAACGACAAGACGTCTACGGCGCCAGGACCAGAGCCAGCAGCGCCATGCGGCAGTACAGGCCGTATCTCATCTGTAGTCACTATGTGAGCATATTCCTGGGTGTAGGGAGAGGGAAGGTAACGTACCTGGCGGAAGTAAGCAGCCCGCTGGTCAAAGTCGACCTCTTCGGAAATCTCGGCGTTCCGGGGCAGCGGGTGCATGACAATCATGTGGCTCTTGGCGTGCTTGAGCAGAGCGTTGTCGATGACGAAGCTGTTCTTCAGACGCTCGTACTGGGCGAGGTCGGCGAAGCGCTCTTTCTGCACACGAGTAGAGTACAGGACGTCGGAGCGAGCAACGATCTCAGGAGTCAGCTCCTCAGACTCGCAGATGAGCTTGCCAGAGGACACGAGCTGCTGGCGGATCTCCTCAGGAAGAGCCAGCTCCTTGGGGGAGACGAGCTGGACGCTGACTTCGTAGAAGCGGAGCAGCTTCATCAAGGAGTGCACAGTGCGGCCGTACTTAAGATCACCAGTGAAGGTGATGGTCAGGCCGTTGACGGTACCCAACTCCTCACGGATAGTGAAGAGGTCCAGGAAGGCCTGGGTCGGGTGCTCAATGGAGCCGTTGCCACCGTTGATGACGGGTACAGGGGAGAACTTGGCCGAGACATCGGTGCTGGTGGGGCTGGGGTGGCGCAGAACAACGGCATCACCATAGCAGCCGAGAGTGCGGATGGTGTCCTGCAGAGTCTCGCCCTTCTGGGTGGAGGAGTGTTCGGTGGAGATGGCGATAGTCCGTCCACCTAGACGTTGCATAGCGGCATCGAACGAGGCCGAGGTGCGGGTCGAGGGCTCGTAGAAGAGAGTGCACAGAACGCGACCCTTGAGGATGTCAAGAACACCCTGGCGCTGAACACCAAGACGCATCTCCTGGGCGACGGTGAACAGCAGGTGCAGGTCCGCACGAGAGAACTGGTTCACGGACAGCACGTGCTTGCCACGGAAAGGAGAGCGCGCGAGCATATCGTACAGCGAGGAGGACACCTGCGAAGAGGGGTACAGAGGGGGGCCAAGCTCGCCAACAGACGGAACAACGGCATCCAGAGCGCGGGTACGACGACCCGGGGTGCCCGAAACGGACGCATGGCGGTCAAGCGAGCTCTCGGGACGAACCATGGGAGTCATGGGCTTCTGCACAGGCGATGTGGGAACGATCCGGTGGGAAGACATGTCGGTACCCTTGGCGGCGTCCTTGGTGACGGCACCGTCAAGGCAAGAGGTCTTGCCCTGGAAAATGACCCGCTGGACTGAACCGCGCATCATCTTGCCGTTAAACGGAGACCAGACGTCGCGGCTCTGGAACATGTACGGGCGGTCAATCTCGATCTCGAGCGAGGTATCAGCCTGGTCGTGCAACTCGAAAATCTTCTTCGGGTTCTCATAGAGACGAGCGGTGACGTCCTCCACGGTCAGGCGGCCCTCTGCGACAGCAGTGAAGAGTAGAGGAAGCGACTCAGCAATACCGGCCACAGGCGAGGCTTCCTTGCCAGCAAGCTGGAATGGGATGCTACCGATCGAGAAGACATCGATGGTACTCATGTGGTCCCACAGAGCCTTCTGGTCCTCAGCTGAAGGAAGGGAGCTGCAGGCCGGGAAGTCCTCCTGAGAAAGGAACAGGGAGAAGATGGAAACGTCGCAAGTCACCTTCAGGCCCTTCTCCTTGCTCAACGCAATGAGCTTGATGTCCTCCTTGGAGGTCACGCTCATGACGTGGATGTTGCGGCTGTGCAGAGACGCCAGAAGCAGGATGGAGGCCAGGTCGGTGCCCTTGGCATCGGTGATCAGAGGCTTGTTCGAGGGCCAGGCTCCGAAGTGGTTGGTTACAGTAGCCACCTTGTTGATGTTGCCCGAGAGATGATTGAAGGGGATGAACAGGGAGCCAACCTCGCTGGTGACCTGAGTAACCTGGTCAGAGTTGTTGGCAGTAGCAGCAACAGAGACATTGAAGTCGCAGTAGGACTTGTCTTGAGCGTTCAGCTGAACGATCTTCAGGTCACTGGCCTCGGTGACGGAGCTGTCCACGCCCACCGGCATCACACGGACCATACTGAAACCAGCAGCGATCGAGGCCTTGGTGACCAATTCGAAGTCCTTGGAACCGGGGGTAACAAGATCTGGGACGAACGCAGCAATGTTGATCAGACCGGGGAGGACCACAGTGCGGTGGCTGGTCTGGAAGTCAGAGGTCTGGATGTCCAGAGTGAAGTGACGGGCGATAGCCTCAATCAGGATTTTCGCATTCTTGACGTTGGTGACCAGGGGAGTTTGGTAGTCCACAGCCATGCGACGGGTGCGGTAACCCTTCGACATGTAGTTGGCGGGGCGGCGGAAGCGGTTGTTGGACGGCAAGTTGATGTAAAGATCGATGAGGTTGTTCGACAAGTGTTGGGTCAGAGAGTACTCAGACTTGATATCATCCTCCTCACCAGGCAGATGCTCCAGGTACTTGACGGAAACACCGTTCTCCTTCAGGAAATCAGCGGTACCGGAAGTAGCAAACAGGTTGTATCCGAGGTTGGACAGCTTCTGGATGGAAGGCAGCATCTCCAACTTCTCCTTGTACGAACCAATAGAGAAGAGGATGTTGCGCTTAGGGAGACGGAAGCCAGTGGACAGAAGGGCCTTGAGGTAGGCCTCGTACTTGTCACGGCCGAAAGAGGCGACCTCACCAGTCGAGGCCATTTCAACACCCAGCACAGGATCAGCACCAGAGAGACGCGAGAACGAGAATTGCGGCACCTTGACACCAACGTAGTCCTTGGGAACGTTGACAGGGGGGTACTCGGTGAACGGAATGCCGATCATAGCCTTGGTGGCCATCTCGATCAGGTCCACGCCCATGACCTTGGACACGAAGGGGAACGAACGCGAGGCGCGGACGTTGCACTCAATGACCTTAATGTCATTGTCCTTGGCAATAAACTGGATGTTGTAAGGACCAGTAACGTTCAGAGCGTTACCAATCTTGCGAGTCGCCTCCACAATACGACGGACAGTCTCCTCACTCAAATCCTGAGGAGGCAGAATGAGGGTTGCATCACCAGAGTGAACACCAGCGTTCTCGACGTGCTCTGAGATGAAGTGGCCGACCATGACACCGTTACGGGCCACAGCATCCATCTCAATTTCCTTAGCGTTCTCAATGTACTTGGTGATGACGACAGGGTGCTCTCGAGAGACATCAGCAGCCTGGTTCAGGTAGCTAGCCAGATCGTGCTCGGAGTAGACAGTGTTCATGGCAGCACCGGAAAGGACGTAGGAGGGACGGACCAGCACGGGGTAGCCGACCTTGTCGCAAAAGTCGCGGGCCTCGTCAATGCTGGTCAGTTCCTTCCAGGCAGGCTGGTCAACCTCGATACGGTCCAGCATGCGCGAGAACTTGTAACGGTTCTCGGCACCATCAATCATCTCGGGCGAGGTACCCAGAATGTTGACATTAAGGCGGTGCAGGGGCAGAGCAATGTTGTTCGGGGTCTGGCCACCCATAGAGATGATCACACCGCTCGAAGCCTCCAGCTGGTAAATGTCAAGAACAGTCTCCAAGTTGATGTTCTCGAAGTACAGGCGGTCAGCCTCGTCGTAGTCGGTACTGACAGTCTCAGGGTTGTAGTTAACCATGATAGTCTTGTGGCCCTGCTCGCGGAGAGTGCGGATGGTGCGGACTGAGCACCAATCGAATTCGACCGAAGAACCAATACGGTAAACACCAGAGCCCAGGACCATAATACCGTGATCATCAAAGCTAAGATCGTGCTCAGAGGCATTATAAGTCAGGTAAAGGTAGTTGGTCACAGCTGGGAATTCAGCAGCGACAGTATCGATCTGCTTGACAATAGGCATGATGCCTGCCTCGACACGCATGCGACGAATGGCCAGCTCATTGGAGCTCAAGAACTTGGCAAGCTGGCGATCCGAGAAACCAAGCTGCTTGGCCTGGCGGATCATGTCGATGGGAACAGTGGTGGCATTGAAGGCAACCATGGACTTGCCAAAGTCGCTCAGGCCCTTGAGGCGGCTCAGGAACCATTTGTCGATGTTGGTCAGCTTCCAGATGTCATCAACGCTGTAGCCAGCGTGCATAGCGTTGGCAATGGCAAATAGACGCTGATCGGAAGGAGTCTGGAGCTCGCCCTTGATGGACATAAGAGCACTGGTCTCGTTGAAACCCAGGTTGTGGAAATCAACGGACCGGATGGCCTTCTGGATGGCTTCTTCGAAAGTGCGACCAATGCTCATGACTTCACCGACACTCTTCATGGACGAACCAAGCTGGGTCGAAACACGAGTGAACTTCTTAAGATCCCAGCGGGGGATCTTAACAACGCAGTAATCAAGCGAGGGCTCGAAGCAAGCGCAAGTGGACTTGGTGACGGAGTTCTTGATCTCGTTGAGTGGAATTCCTAGACCCAGCTTAGCGGCAATGAAGGCAAGCGGGTACCCAGTAGCCTTAGAGGCAAGTGCCGAGGAACGGGACAGACGGGCGTTGACTTCGATGATGCAGTATTCCTTGGAGAACGGGTTCAGGGCGTACTGGATGTTACATTCACCGACAACGCCAAGGTGGCGAATGACATTGACCGCGGTTGTCCGCAGCATATTGTAGTCCTCGTCGGAGAGGGTCTGCGAGGGGGCGACGACAATAGAGTCACCAGTGTGAATACCAAGAGGATCGAAGTTCTCCATGTTGCAGACGGTGATACAGTTGTCCTGAGCATCACGCACGACCTCGTATTCGATTTCCTTCCAGCCCTTCATACTGCGCTCGATCAGCACCTGCGGGCTGACGGCCAAAGCCTTGGTGCACAGTTCCTTCAGCTGCTCCATGTTGTCGGCGAAACCACTGCCAAGACCACCCAAGGCGTAAGCGGCACGCACAATGACGGGGAAGCCGATGCCCTCAACGACCTGCAGCGATTCCTCGATGGTCGAGGCAGAGGCGGATTTGGCGCACTTCTCCTGAATGGAGTCCATGCTACGAGCGAACAGCTCACGGTCCTCGGTGGTGATGATGGTATCAATAGGAGTACCCAGAACCTGGACGCCGAGAGACTCAAACTCATCCTTGAGCTGAATACCGACCTGAAGAGCCGTCTGTCCACCAAAGGTGACGTAGATGGCATCGGGGCGCTCGTGCTTGATGACCTTGCGAACGAAGTCGGCGTTAACGGGCAGGAAGTAGACCTTGTCAGCCAGACCCTTCGAAGTCTGAATGGTGGCAATGTTGGGGTTGATCAAAATCGTGTAGATGCCTTCCTCCTTTAGCGCCTTGATAGCCTGACTACCGGAGTAATCGAACTCTCCAGCCTGTCCAATGCTCAGACCACCACTACCCAGGACCAAGACCTTCTTGACGTGCACGCGGGGGGCAGCCTTGATATTATCAGCCTTGAGGCCACCAGGGAACTCCACGGGCTTGGTGAGAGCCTCGGCAGAGGCAAGGGTCTTCTTGATGGTGTTGATGAAGACGTCAAACAGATATTCGGTATCCCGGGGGCCAGGGGTGCTCTCCGGGTGGAACTGAACACTGAAGAAGGGGCGGGTGGTGTGACGGATACCCTCGTTGCTGCCGTCGTTGGCGTTGACGAACAACTCCTCCCAGCCATCTTGAAGGCTAGAGGCGTCCACGGCGTAACCGTGGTTCTGAGAGGTGATGTGGCACTTGCCCGAGATCAAGCTGGTGCAGGGAATGTTGTGACCGCGGTTACCAAACTTCATCTTGCTAGTGGTAGCACCAACCGAGCGAGCGATAAGCTGGTGGCCCAAACAGATACCAAAGACAGGCGTGCGAGCATCTTTCAGTGTCTTGGACAAGTTGTTGATGGTAGTGGTCAGGGTCGCAGGGTCACCGGGACCGTTCGAGACGAACAGACCGTCGTAGTCCTTTCCGGCGAGGGTAGGGAAGTCGTAGTCCCAAGGGACGACCATGACCTCGACACCACGGGCAAGCAGGCAGCGGAGCTGGTTGTGTTTCATACCGACGTCCAAGCACAGGACCCGAACGGGACGGCCCGAGGGGTGCTTGAGAGCAACATTCTCGGGGGGTGTGAAGAGACGGGGCTCACGGATGGAGACTACAGTCGACACAATCGCTGTCAGAAACAGAATTCACTAGGATTTTTTTCAGATTTATATCAGGATCACTCACCCTCATTGACGAGGTTCTTGGTGTTGGGGTCCACCCAGTCGATCTGCTCAAAGTGCGACTTCCAGTTTGCGGCATCGACACCAGCGGCCACACCATTGGTGGCGCCGGCGTTCTGAAGAAGCATGCGACCAAGCATGCTACCCTTTTGACGAATGCGCTTGGTCAGCGCACGGGTGTCGACACCGTGCATGGCGGGAACACCCTGCTCCTTGAGCCATTGGCCCAAAGAGGACTGGGCCAGGAAGTGGGAGAAATCCTCGCCGGCGTAGGTTGCCACCACCAACGCGGAGACGTGGATCTGAGTCGACTCAAAGTGCTTGGGAAGAGTCTCGAGCAGTTCGTCCATCTGCTCGCGGTCCGGCACACCGTAGTTACCGATGAGCGGGAAGGTGATGACCAGGATCTGACCGCGGTAGGAGGGGTCGGTGATGGACTCGGGGTAGCCGACCATACCGGTCTGGAAGACCAATTCACCGGCAACACTCTTCTCCGCACCGAAGTTGTAACCCTGGTAGACTGTGCCATCCTCCAGCTCGAGGGCCACGAGCCGGTCACTGCCACCCCGGACGGGGATAGAGGCCGGGGCAATCACGGCACCAGAGGCCATGTTGGGCAGCAGGTCCTTGTTGTTCTGGTAGGCAACTGCACCGCCCGACTTGGGACTGGTCGGGGAAGTCAATTCCTCGTTAGGAGCCGACTGGGACATCGAATTGGAGAAGCGAGAAAGAGGGGACAAGTCCTCTCGAGGACGCGATCGGAGCGAATGCAGGTCACTCTACTGCAGCATCCGCCAGCAGGACTTTCCTTGTATGGATTTTTTTAGTCCTTTTTAGGGGTTTTTTATAGAGGAGGTGTGGAGGAGGAGTAATTAGAGGAGATGGAGAGAACAGCTGCAAGAGCTGGAGGTATGAAGGAAGAAGAAAAGGTCTGTGGCAGAATAAAATTTTCGTGCCGCTGAGGGCCCACCGGTTTCGGTGGGGAGTGGGGCTCACCGCCTCAGAGTTTTCGCACTGATTCGGCAGAGTGGACGGTCACAGTGATGCCTGGTTGGGTTGTACTGTGTATACTGTGTATGATAGCAGAGCATATTTTTCGATTGTCTAGTATGGGTGTCTTCCGCAACGCATTAGACTGCGATAGAGGCAATGCATGCAATGCCAATGTTCTCCAAAAGTTCGTCCTGCAGGGCCTGCAGGCGGTGAGTGCTGATAAGCACGATAGGCGATCGGAGATGCGGCGATGCTTGCGGTTGATATACGGCTACCTAGGTATGCTCCTGAAGAAGATAGATGCTCGTAATGAAGTTAGGACGAAGGATCTGGATGAGTTACAGCACGGTTTTTAGGACCTTGGAAGGTAGTGCCGAAGATCGGCATATACAATGACGAATGAGAACCACACCTCGGGCGTTTAGATGTTTGGCCCTCCCGTTAACGAGGCACAGGGCGTAAATAAATCTCTTCCTAAACATGTATCTTTCTACCTTCGTGGACGTCTTTCTAAACGGCTTTCAACTATGTCGAATTTAGGAATAACTTGTTTACTATTCCGAATATTCCAAAGTAGGCCAGCTATGTGCGCCTAGAGCTTGGAATATTTCGTTGGTTCCCTTGTACTCTTGAATACTTACATATACCTAACCACAGAGGCAGGAGCTTTCAGTCAATGTTAAGAAATAGATTTTGACAATACCTCCCACAGGATATTTCAAGTATGCATTCCCTGTGTTAGAGATATCTGCTATTTGCAACCTATTACTGTAACGTCCATTATCCCGTCGCCATGGTATTTGGTGCCACTAGGAATGAGGGGAAAGCAAAAACCAGTCATTTGCAGCTTCTTGCAGTTACTTGCAAGTATAGTTTGTGTTAAACCTGAAAGAGGAGGAATGTACGGTCACCTGCACCTGACAGGCTGCGCAATGACGTGTGGAGCTCCGATCGCCTCCAGATCTGCGATAGCTCCGACTCGCGTGTTTAATCGCGCTCGCGCTGCCTTACCGGGTCGATTTCTTTCACTCATACTCCGTGCTACCCCGGATTCGTCGTGCCCAGCCCCTCGGCCTCTTGTTTATATTTCTGTCACCCCTCCAATGCGGTGAAACAAAACCTCTCCCTACGGTACCTCGGTCATGCAGAAACCCACGTGAATTTCTCGCTTTCTACAATGCTGGCCTCTTTGCTTCGTCCAAAAGGCCGGCGGGGTCGCATTGATCAGACTCCCTTTTCCTCCCCTTTCACACCCAGTGATACCTCTCCATGGTTTCGAGCGGCCGCGCAACGCGGTCTGCGACGCAATCCGAATGCCGACCACAGCAGCGAAGACGACGCGCCAGAGCTGGAAGAGATCGACGAGGGAATGGATGAGGACTGGGTGGGGGAAGAGGACGAGGAGGACGATGGGCCAGTCGAGTCAACCCCTCTTCTTCCCATGTTTTCTGCCTCGCATTTGGGTACCGTAGGATCCAATAAAATTGGACTATAACAGGTGATTAACAAATAATCGTTACAGATGCTTTACCCGTGTACGATATCACCCACGCCATTCGTCCCCTCATCGCCTCTCGCTGTGAGACGACTTTGACCTGGGACCAACTGCGTTCGCCGCAGGTGTCCCAGTTCCTCGTCAAGCCGATCCAGCAAAAAATAATGTCGGCACACTTTTCACGAGCCACCCTCTATGCTTTGATGGCCAATTGCCTGCAGTTCGAAAAAGAAATACAACTTAATCCCGGAAACAGCGGTGCTAGCCAGACCAGGGCGATGGTGAGCGAGCTGCTTGCTATCAAGTTATTGCGGGAATACACAACCAGAGAATTGGTCGACGCCTTGTCATATGAGTTCTTCCCTCTCCAGGGCCAGGATCCCACAACTGTATGGTCATCTGGCCCCCAGGGAAAGCGATTGGCAGGCTCGGCCCGCGTATCGTGTCTGGAGGTGGCTATTCGTGCCCAGGCCAAACGATTCCTAGCCCATCCGGTGGTTGTGCAGCAATTGGAGGCCATTTGGGCGGGCACCATCATCTTCCATTCTGCCGCCGATCACCTACATCGGCGGGTTAACAGAAATCCCGCTGGCGAGCTGGAATATGGGACATCGGCCGATCAGAATGGAAACCAGGTACCCGTCCCTGGAAGTGCGGCGCTCCGGCGCTCCGTGACTCTGTACAACCCCCGCGACGCATCATTGTTCAAGCTCTCCCGGTTGCGAGTTCCGCGCTATCGACAATTTCTCTCGACATTATCTTTCGCGGTGCTACTAGGACTCTTCTTGGCGGTTCTGGAACAACGCAGCCGGTCGATCACATCCCTCGAGATAGTATTCTGGTTCTGGAGTGCAGGATTCATGCTGGACGAGATTGTCGGGTTCAATGAGCAGGGATTCAGCCTCTATCTCATGAGCTTTTGGAATCTTTTTGACTTGGGGATATTGTTACTGCTCTTCTGTTACTACTGCCTGCGGATCTACGGAGCCTTCTTGACATATCCGCGAAACCGTGAGTTGGCCGACCAAGCATACGACATCCTGGCTGCCAATGCAGTACTCCTATTTCCGCGCCTCTTTTCGATTCTTGACCACTACCGCTATTTTTCGCAACTGCTGATTGCGTTTCGCATTATGGCGTCGGACCTGATCGCGGTATTCGTGCTGATCGTGATTGCATGCAGCGGCTTCTTCGTTGCCTTCTTGTCCTTTGGAAATGATAACTCCCCGAAAACGGTGGCCTACGCTTTGTTCCAGTTGCTCATGGGTTTTACGCCCACTGCCTGGGCAATGTGGGAAGAGTACAACTTCGTGGGCAAGATAATTTTGACGGTCTTCCTTTTTATATGTCACTTCGTGGTAGTGACTATACTGATCACGGTCCTGACCAACTCCTTCATGAGAATTGTTCAGAATGCCAACCAAGAGCACCAATTCTTGTTTGCCGTCAATACAATCTCCATGGTCAAATCCGATGCCCTCTTCTCCTACGTGGCCCCGGCAAACATCATCGCTTGGCTTGTTACACCTCTGCGATCCGCGATACCGTTCCGCCAATTCGTCAAACTCAACCGGACGATAATCAAAATCACCCATTTACCAATCCTATTCACCATCTGTTTCTACGAAAAGACATTTCTCTCTGCCCGAGTAGTTGAGCCGATGAATCTGGTCGAAAACACGACCCGTGAGGAAGCATCAGTCCACCCACAAAACTGGCGACCCACTCGTCTTCGTGGGTTTAGCTCGAGGGTACACCGTCTGGTGCGAGAGCCATCCGTTGCGACATACCAAAAAGACCAGGCATTAGAGGAAGTATTCCGAAGGCCGTTTGGAGACGAGGGCATGCGCGAGCGGCCTAGCAGCCCTCATAAGTGCCAGACAAACAACGTGATCAAAGATTGGATGCAGGAGATCGGCTCTGGTCCGGCTCATACCCCCGACGACCAAGATTCAGCCGTGCTGGAGATGCCGCCGCGTCGACCTCGGCTCCCGTACCGAAAGACATTGACTGCGCATGGACGCATCTTCACCGAAACTACTCGTTCGGTGGCATCAAATCCCGAAGATCGAGTCAGTCATATTGTTAGCCCCGCGTTCCGACCTCGTCGCGAACCGATCTCGCCTACTCGCACTCGGCAACTCTCCCAGCATACAGATATGGAGGGCGATGACGAGCTTACCAGTGACGATGCAGACTCGCATGGCAAACAGTCTGATAAAGAATCCATTGTTGACGACAACCATATTGAAAGCATCGAAAAGACCACCCCCAAGTTTTACAGCTCTCGACCATCCACTGCGCGAGTGTCACGCCGTGGCAGCCCCACACGCCGGCCCAAGCATGCCCGAAATGCCTCCGGCATTACCATGCTCTACAATCCAATCGGCTCCCTGAATGAAGGAACGGAGGGCCGAACCACCCCTCCACGACCAAACGACGACTCTTCCGAGGATGAGCTTCCCGCTCCTGTGTCTGCATCTGTAGATCAAGGTACGATGAGGAAGCATATGTTGAATGCGATCCTGGCTCGCAATACCTCCGTCGGCTTGAACCCAATGTCTGTTCCGGAGATGGACTATCTCTCTGATCGTCCTTCTGCACGACGACAGCGCTCTCTGCTCTTTGATCTAGGATCTGATCTGGGAGATAATCGAGCAGTGGCCGGTGGCTTTGGGGGCGCCATCCCAGGCAGCTTCAATACTCAGATAGCACTCGCCACCGGGGGTCTCCACCGAGATGTGCCTAATCAAGACATGCTGAGCAAGTTAGTTCTGGCTCGTATGAACAACATTGAAGAAGGCTTCCGTGAGGTGATCAAGGAAGTCAAAGATCTCGCACGTGGTGGGTCCAGTCGCAGCCGCAGTCACAGCCGGCCCGATCAGCTTCGAGCAGTCGGACGCGAAAAGGAAAAGAAGAAGCGAGGGGAGAAGAAAGATTTGAAAAAGCGCAGGCCTAACTCGGAGGCGAGTGGACCCGGGCGCGACGGGAAACCCGACGAGGAAGCGTAAACCATTTGTACATTCGATTTGCCTTGTATATGTATCGCGAGCGGCATTTGTCTTACGGCGGATTCATCTTGTGTTTCTGCAGAATACCATGACCATAGGAGACTGGCTCTTTGGATCGCCTGAATAACACCAGTTTATCTTTTTTCAATCTCCCTGGGCATTGCAAGAAAGGTGTCAAAGCGATCCCCGAATCACGTCCTCGTCGTGAAGCTATCCCGCGATTTCCATTTTGGTGCGCACCCCTCGCCGCTTTGTACCCACCAACACAAACCCAAAATTAGTGTGATTTTTTGGATCCCTCCGAGCTAATTTCGGGTGTCCACCTCAAAAAGAAACCGACATTCGCAATCTGAAATTGGTTGCCCGGATTCATGAATCCTGAGATATCCTACATCTTTCGTTTGGGAACGATCGCTCATTCTATCTTTCGCCAGCTCGCCCATTCTGTCACCATCAAAACCCCCCAAACCGGAATGGCCTCAAAAAATCTATCCATTCTACCGGCGGACATCATGGAGTCCCAATTGTCCGCAATTGATCTTCTAACGGCGATGTTCCCATCACCGGGCGAGCTGGAAATCCCTGAATCAACAACGCAGTGCGTCGAGAGACTCCGGGACTGGTGCCAGGACCCGACCTCCACGCCTTCCGGGATACCAGAATGGATCCCCCAAAGTATATCCCTCGTCGTCTGTCTACCTATTACAGACGGAGACAAAACAATTCAAGTCAATGTTTCCATTCCCCTACAACGTGAGGATTCGGAACGAGGCTGTGACCAGCCACCGCCATTAGGCTACTCGCTTCGACAGCCGGACTGGATGTCCAAAGCCGAGCTGGCTAGACTTGCCCCCTTAATACCGCAACATGATGCTCTAGAGGCATTTGAATACATCCAAGAAGAAGCTAGCCGCTTTCTGCAAGATAAGCATTTACAGTCACAAACCGCGACTTCAGAGGAATGTTCCAGAGGGCCGCTCGTGAGAGTCTGGTTTTATTTTCCCTCTCTATCAACCCGTAAAAAGAGAGACGACATGGTCAACCTTGCACCGGGGTATTCGCTGACGGGCTTCGTGTTAGCGGGAAAGCCGGGTGTCTTATGTCTCGAAGGCGCATCGACGGATATCGATGCCTATATGAGCTTCATCAAAACACATTCGTGGGGAGATATCCCCAGTCATCAGAAAAAGGTCAGCGAGAGGTTTCGAGAGACAGAGAGTATTCGGAGGGTGTTTTCGGGAATGGAGGAAATCACAGATTCGCTAGGGGAAAGAGGCGGACAGCGGGCCAATCGAGGGGATATGCAGGCATTGGAGGCGTGGTTGGGAGCAAAAGGCTTACACGAGGCATTTGAAAATGTAATCTTTTAGCCTGTGATAGGTTCCCCAGGTAAGTAGGCATTTGATAGTCATCTTCCTGGGGTGACTTTGCTTTATAAACTCCAGCTCGGCGCCAAAAAAACAAATCAGACATTTCCTATGTTTATCATCTGCGCCTCACCAGTAATAATATTCACCGTGTCGGTGTTGCTAGTACCATTGAAGATAAGACCAATGTATGATATTACCATTATCTTGCACTCGTCTGAAATAGTGGCCGCTATTCGGGGAAGTAAAGACGCCATGCAAAGCCCCACCGATCCACAGTGGGGGGTTGTCTACTGTAGTTTGTATCTGCCCACAAAATTCTCCCATGCATACTGTACAAATCATCTCTCGCACGGTCGACATGACTCAACTGGGTCATGCCAAAGATGTGGCTGCGCGCACCCGTGATTGGCCGCATCATACAGGCAGCGTTGATTTGCACGATTGAACCCGCAGTAATCAACAGTTGAGCCTCATTTGCTCAGCCTTGCCCCTCACGCCTCATGGGGAATCAATCTTTTTGGGACTCACCTGTTTCTTTTACCATCCCCGTGATATTCAGGGCTTGACTATTTATCATGGCTTCGGATTCTCACCCATCTCCTACATCCGGCCCCGAGCTGCTAGATGAAACCTCGATCGCACAACCTCCCACCTCAGCTCCCTCTGTTCATCAAGGTGTTCACTTTGACCTCTATCAACCTAACCTTCAGAAGCCGAATAAAACGATGGCGCTACCGCTTCTTCTCTTCCCCGATGGGGACACTCTGGTCTACATTGATCCTGCGCCGGAACACGGGGCTCAGAGCCTACCGAGGCCCACAGCCATTCATCGCGTCCACAGTGATAAGCTTCTAGTGACGGGCTCAACTTATTTTCAACGCCGTCTAGGTCTGCGACAGCAGAACCGAGTAAGAAAGCAGCGTGGCTTTCCATACAAACTTCCTGATGGCATCAAATACGTCTTAGATCTGACACCCCCCATGCTAGAAGAGGATGCCATCCTCTCAATGACTGAGGTGTCCTGCCCGATGGGAATTAGGACTTGGGCAAGTTCCAGGAGCATATGGGATCTGCCCATTCAGTGTGTTGGGGGAAATGACGAAAATGAGACGGTGGAAGAGGTCGTTGTTCCAGCTGGATGGGATAACTTGCCAACGGAAGAAGATCATGGATTCCAGGATGAGCAAGAGAGTGAGAATGAGAATGAGGAGGAGGAGGTGGTGGAGGAGAAGGAGGAGCGTGAGCTTCCTCACACCCGGCAGCGGGCTGGCCTCCCAGTCGAATACTCAGCCAATCGCCACCGTGATGGCATCGAGCAGATCTTGCACGTTTTGGAGGGGCTAAATGTCACTCTCGACACTCCTTGTAAGCTGTGGACATTTTTCGCAGTGGCCAAGCTCTTCGATGTTGCAACGGTTCCCGCCGTGGGCGATTTGATCAGCTCCTGGTTCTACATGGCGAATAATACGCGGTTCATCGAGATTCACCCGGAGATTGCATATCGAGTGGCCTGTGGGATTAGGTCGCACACCCTCTGTCGCAATGCATTTGTTGGCTTGGTTGGAGACGAGGCCCTTTTATATCTGATCCGATCTGGTCGACTGCGCCCGCTGAGGGCATGGGAGAAACACTTTGCTCGCAGCCGTGTTTCTGACCGCTTGGATGACACAGAGGTGCAGCGCATCGAGTATGCCAGCAAGAGCTTTGCGGAAGATGTTATCGGCCACTTCTTGCATCTGGCCGGGGTAGAAATGACGTGGCTGGCGGATATCGTGGAGTTCAGGAAACTCACGCAGCACATCCGGCACAATTCTACCGACAAAAATATGGTCCTTCAGTTAATTGTCACGCTGAGAGACTACATTCGGCACAAGATCTACAGAGCCCTGGATTCAGTCAAAGACCCCTGGCGACCCTCCGATGCTGTGCCAAAGGGAGGTCCCGACCCATACTTCATCGCGTTCCGGAACCGCGACCTTCTTCACCGGATTATTGGGAGGAAGTTCTGGATGGAGCTGCTGGCCCTGAACTTTGCATCGAGTGAACCCTACAGCACAAACGATCATGCTTCAATTGCAGAAGTTGGCAGCGGTCTTCTCGCTTTTCGGGGCCAAGAATCTGCCCGGCTTCGCTGCATTTCACATACGTGGCTCGGTCAACGCGTGGATGATTTCAACCGCATCGTCAGTTCCCGGGCCAAGGCAGCTGTGGCCGCTCAACTCGCGAACCAGAGGAATCGGTGGAGCTCTAGCCTGAACCGCCCTTGGCCCCTTCCTTTCGCCGATGCCAGCACTTCTCTCCCATTCAGACCGACTCCTGGCAGCAACGCCCTCACAGATATCGATGTCAATACTTCTCTTCCATTCAGACCTGCTCCGTCGCGGAAGAATCCCACCACTTCCTTGTCAGATGAAATAGACGACAAATTCGACTCAATCATCGAGGAGATGAGATTGGAAATGCTTTCTACTTCGACGAATGCCGATGACAAAATATTCGACCTTCACGTTTTCTTCGCCCAGGTCTCGCATTATGTGAGCAACTATGCACGAAAGCTGATTTACCCTTACGATGCACACGCCATATCGCTCGACGCAACCGACACTCTGGCCTGCTTGGGAGACAATCAATACCAATTCTTGCCTCTGTGGGCAGGTGGTAATGACGACGAGACCGGGGGTGTTTTTACAGATCCCGACATTCCTGTCATGGACATCGGTGGGTTCTCTGCACCCGGTCCTATGGTTCGTACCGGCAGCGGCGCCTCGACCGATGACTCTTTCAGCGAGATCGGTCCGAGCGATTCTATGAGCACCATCCATGGTGCCTCACACCACGCTACTTTCTCTCACATCTCCGATCTCATGTCAGTCGACTCTGCTGATATTGCACCAATTCAAAAGAAAGATGAGGGAACCGGTCACAAGCCCGCTGAGTCGGTTTTCAGTGACGAGAGTTCGGTACCGTCGATCCAGTCCACTGAAGAGGAACTGGACTTGGATGATCGCAGTGACGGCGCCAGCACTGTGGTCATGGAATCTCCCAGGCTTTCGGACGATATTGAAATGGAACATCCCGATAGCGACGAGGGCCTCGACGATGGGGAATTCGAGCTAGTTTGAAGGAGATAGCCAAGATCCCCCAGATCAAAAGGAGTTTGGGTTTTTTCTTCTTTAATGACTTATGAGATGCAGATATCTGAATACGATGAGCTTAGAAGTTGAGGACTTTCTTCAAATCGAGATGAAGTAGAGTAGTAGTAGTAAGAAGCAGAGAAGGACGCAAGTAGATGAATATCCCGGCACGACCTGATGCCGTGACTAAGCGGGGATCCACCCCCAAACCGGTAGCTACGCAACTTCTCATCCACTTGCTCGTGAACGCTCGGCTCGGCTCTTCGTTGTTTAGAACCTGAATATCTGAAGTGTCTCTGCTCTCACATCTGCGGACATCGGCCATGGCTTCCTCATCGAAGGCTTCCAACTCCCTCCTCTAGTGAGTGACACCCACCCCAAGGAGACTCGAGCGTCAGGGCAGCACTAACACACTGAATACCACCAGCTCCTGCATTGCCCATCGCACCACTATCTTAGCCGAACATTCATCTCCGGGCACCTCTTCGACCTCTGCCTCATCCATCGCGTCCATCATCCTCCCCAAAATCACCCACGATAAGCCCCAGAAATTGACTTACACCCATGAACGACTGTTCGTTCACTACATCGCCGACTCTCCGACAGGCGACTCGGCCGACGACCAAAATGGTCGCACCGAGACCAGTAGCCATGCCCCGCTCAGCTATCTCGTGGTCGCATCCGCTGAGCAAGGCCGCCGCATTCCATTCGCCTACTTGCTGGAGATGAAGCGTAAATTCCTCGCCAACTACCCCCCTCCAGTACGGACTTTTCCACCTTGCCCGCCTACGGTTGTGCAGCCTTCAACGGAGAGCTACGCAGCTTGCTCCAGACATACAACACCGCCCCGCCAGCCGACTCACTAGCCACGGCACGGCGCGAGATCGACAGCGTCCGCGACATCATGACCGAGAACATTGAGCGGGTGCTTGAACGTGGCGAGCGGATCGATCTGTTGGTAGATAAAACGGACCGTCTGGGCGGGAGCGCGCACGATTTCCGTATCCGGAGCCGTGGTCTGCGGCGGCGGATGTGGTGGAAAAACATCAAGCTAATGGTTCTACTCGGCGTCGTGGTTATCTTCCTGCTGTATCTGTTCATCGGCATGGGCTGCGGACTCCCGGCGTGGTCGAGTTGTGTCGGACACAAGTCGGCATGAAGCCCGTGAACGTGATCAGGGGTCGATTTCCATATATTGCAGATTCAACTTTTCAGCGAGCGTGACCCTATGTCTTTCCTTTCTCTTTTGATTGATTTCCCGGCCTTGATGAAGTATGATACGACGGTTCTTCCTGGGGTTTGATGTTTGATTTACTGCATTCTTCGCACGATTTTCTCTTGTGTACATTAAGTCCAGTCATTTGTGTTTGGTTCTCACATGCAACCCGGAATATATACAATACGAACAATACCACTGTGTCACTAGGCAACTTTGGAGCATCGTCTGAGGCTTTTAAGAGCTGTAGGCTTTTTCTAATTGATTGGATAATGTCAATATGAAACGTCCATGGACGAGTTGTATTAGTTACCTAGAGGTCCATTCCCAGATTCACAGCGTTATCTATCTTGCAGAGACTAGTACTAGACAGCTAGGAAAGTGTGTACCTCACTATCAAACCCACAACCTCAGGTATCAGTGTCGGTCTGCAAGCGAGACAAAACCAGTTGGTCGATGACCAGTTGATTTTGTGTCTTTTCTACGCCATTCGTTTACCTCTCCAACCATGGGTCCGTCGAAACGGGATTGACGAGGAGATATTTTGGCGAATTTCAAGATTGAGAAGATTTAGGCAACGATAAAGGCCTCGCTATGATGCAGCTTGAGTGAACATGAAGAATGGATTAGGCATGGAGGTGAGCAGGATGAAACGTGGTGGAAATTGAGCTGCAGCTGTCGACAGTTGCTCCTAATGCGAGTCGCAAAGGAGATTAAGAGTCCCGTAAAGAGGCAGCCGTAAAGAAAGGATGATTCTTGTTTTCCATCTCGTTGCAATGTCCTGAGCGTAGCAGGAGGAACGCACATTAAGTTCTCCCCACCACGGTCACTGCAACGAGAGTGTAGCGAGAAATACCACTATTCCGACTTCTGTCTCATCACCCTTGAGGTTCTGTGCTTGTTGTCGAGGCTTGGGCTTGGGCTTGACTCAAGCTAAAGCCTGGGGTGACAACGGAGAGAACAGTTTCTTTTTAAGCTGTGAATCACGTGCTCCACGTCACGTGCGTATAGTCACTGGTCGACGGTAATTGGCGGGCCCACGATGCGGTTTGATCCGTCGCGCGATACTCAAAGCTCTCTTGGACCTTGGATCTTGAATCTGTATAGGTCCTGTGCCATATCGCCTGTCCGGGCTTGGTAGTGTGCGCAGCACCGCTTCCCTCGAATCTACCTACCTCGTCCACCTCCAGCCATGGCCTCTTAGCGTGCGCTTTCATCCTCGAAATGGCCAATCGTGATTTCAATAACTGGCCACACAGCTTCATACCCGTCGTGAACGTGTAAAAAGCATATGAGCAGTCAGGATCCAGAGAGTACTTTTTGAGCATCCAGACTTTGCCCAAGCTGCACTCATGGCACAGGCTGCGAACGCAGCGCACTTGCGCCGGCAGCAGGCGATGCGTGCTGGAATTGAGGCTTCGCGGTCATCTTCACAGGGGGAAGTGGACAGCAATTCGAATCAGAATTCAAACCAGAGCTTTATCATTACGGAACACGTCTCTCCCTATCAACAAGAGTTATTGCGAGGGCAGCAGACCCATCCAGCATACTGGGGCCAGCAAGCATCACCGGATGCCCCGCGATCTCAAGGAAATCAAAGGCAGCAAGGCCAGAGGCCATCTGGACAGCAGTCCCCTCCATATTATTGGGTCCAGCAGTATGCGAGGCAACCTACTACCAATGCGTCCTCCTATCCGTCCAATACTTCCCGCCGAACCCACAAGCAGCCGCCGAAGCCTTCTCGGCCAACCCCAGACCAGGGAATGACCACGTCAATAAATCAGCAAGCACCTCAGTTTCAATTCTCATCTACATCCAGCCAGGTGCCCGACGACCGAAATTTCATAACGGATTCGTCTCACTCGCATCCTGCAAGATCTCCTCAAAATCTGCCACCATCCAAAAATCCCGCTATGGCCACCATAGCCAGTACCTTTGCGTCGGGTTCATCGTCCGCCTCTGCTCCCTTCCCACCACAACAAAATGGTCCACCGTGGAGTATGTACCCTTTCAATACATTCAATCCGACAACTAGCGAACAGCCCCCGGCGTTTATACCTCATTCTCCTCTAATTGCACCACCGCAGTGGAAACACGCAAGGTCTGTCAATTACGGACAGGAAGTTCTCCCTCAAAATCCCCGAGAGAGATGGGCAAACGGGCTACTGCCGACAGAAATCCCTCCTGATACATCTGATTCCCCGGAAGCAGCAAGCGGAGCAGTTCAAGGGCCAGGAGGTTGGAAGGCGCCTAATGCACCAGGTCAACTACATTGGCAGCCCCAAGTTTCAAGCTCAAGGAATGCTGGTTCTCAGCTGTCTATGGCCTCTATAGCGCCACCTTCGTCAAGAGCTTCTGGAGCCGGGTATGCGTCGGCGAATCAAGCCAGAGAGCCTCCGTTCGGTGCATATGTCGGTGATATACGGCCCCCGTCTGCTAAAATACAGCGACTCCAGGATGGCTCCAGGCATGCGGTAAATCCTCCAAATGGCGCATCCAAGTTCTCACGATACGTCCATCGGTCTCCCTCTCCAGCGCACTTGAAAACGCGATGCGGTCTTGTCCAGCCGATTGATGTCAGAGATGCAGCTCTTAAAGAGTCTTACGATCCTGCCACCATCGCACGAGATGTGTTGATAAATGCGGACAAGCACCCTACTGAGCCTATTTTGAACCATCACTTAGAGATTCTAAGTCAGAACATACCATCCATCAATATCGCCTCGGACTTGGAATCGATCCGCTGGGATCTGATTGACCCCGTGTCATCACGTGACACAGCGATTCACCGCTCGCCCGCGCGTGTCGAGTCGCGTCCCTCCAAAGATCTCGGTGTGCCACCATTTGTGCCTCCTTCTTATCAAGCTTGGCAATCTCAATTTCCGCCTTCTCCCGCTCCCGCTACTGCTTTCGCACGCCCCGCTCTTCGACCACCTTCTCAGTCACCACCTCCCCCCTCACCTTCGGCCCAATTCCCGTATCCGGCCCCGCTTCCGGTCTTTACGAGGCCGTCCACATCGAAACCTTCATCCGCACCAATCACCACACCCACGCCAGTGCTACAGCCCACGGCAGAGTTACCGCTTGGTCCGAAGTTATCTCCAGCTCCAGCACCGGCACCGGCACCGGCACGGCCAATTCAACCACAAACACCATCTAGCTCCGGCCTGAGGCGGGCTTCGGAGTCATCGTGGTCTAAAGAGCCATCGCGGTCCCGGCAACACTCGCCTCACACGCAAGTCCAGGTGGTAATCCCACCGAGCCCTCACAGGATGCCCCCACGCAAGAAGGGCCAGGTAGGCCGGCCCAAGAAGACTGCTGAAGCTACCCATAACGTGGAGGTGGCCATTCAGCGTGAGCCTACAGTCCCCTATCCGATTTATCATTGCAAGTGGATCGACTGCCTGGCAGAACTCCACAACCTGCAGGCGCTTCAGAGCCATGTCCTTAAGATCCATATCCCGCACAACCTCCACTGTGGCTGGAAAGAATGTGCCGATCGAACTCCGCGGGCTGCAGCAGACATGTGGGAGCATGTCACCAAGCAGCATATCGAAAAAGTGGGCTGGACTCTTGGAGACGGTCCAGTGGTACCTGTATCTGGTGAGAACGATCTGGCTACAATTGATATTTCTGCGCGGGATTCACATCTGTGACTTCACTGGTTTACATTTGTAAGAGAGTTGTCTAATGGGATCGCTGTGTTTAGCGAAGAACCAACCTAAACCACCCGGCTTCCAGCTCTCTTTGCGGAATCCTCGCCCGGAAACCATGACCCTACCAGCCAACGAAAACATGATCGACACCTTCAGTCGCGTTCACGGCGCTTATAACCACAAGCAAAAGGCGGAGAAATTCCGAGAAGGGGGCAGCCACTGGAAAGAAGAAACCGGAGTCGAGACGGATGTGAGCGACCGGGGCCTCTGTCACCCGGCCATGCAGCCCTTGGTGCAAGACATGGAGATGGCGATTACCATCTCCAACAACCCTTGATTGAAACGTCCATCATGATCTCATGACTTTGTGATACCCCATGACTGCACTATTTAGTTCGAAGGCAATCGGCGTTCTGGGCAATGTATTATTTTGCATGGGAAGGAGTATCATTCGATTTCCGAGCAACTTTGCGGAATATTTTTCATGGAACAATGTGAATGAATTGCAACTGCAGCCAAAAGAAAAAAAAAAAAAAGAAGAAGCCAATTGGCACTCTGCCCGAAGGCCGTTCTGACCATCGAGCGGGTATTGTACATGCTTGTAGTCCCACTTTCCTCCGCGTAGACCGATTGAGCTGAGATTTGGAGTCCTGTCCGTCTTTCCACAGCTTCGTGTATGACCTGCATCTTGATGTCTTCCCCGTAACGGGCCAGCTAAGGCACCCTTATGACGTCGCGGGCTGGGCAGTGGTCCTGGATTGCTTCGTAGATTTCGTGTCGTCCGCGGTCTCGTCGTCGCGGGCGTTGACATCGAGGAAGTGATAGAGGACAATCATCATCATGGCGCAGGAGCCCAGGAAGATGGCCAGGCGGTAGAGGTCGCCGTCGGAGATCATGGTGGAGATGTGATGGAGGTGGAGCAATTGGCCCGAATCTAGGACGGGATGAGAGTAGACGTGTCAATGCGACACAGGGCGCAAAACGGTAGAAAGGTGGAGTGGTACCGCAGGAGAGTTGAGCAGGGAGATGAATGTGGAAGATGGAAGGTGGAAGGTTGAGGGTCGAGGTGGACAAACGGGACGTGTCACCTTCTTAGCGTCCGCGGCTGGGGCCATCCTTGTCTCTCCCTCTCGGGCCCCCCCGCTTCTCTCGCAACTCCCCCCGGTTCCCTCTTTTCCGATCGCTTTCTCTCCATGCACTTGCAGCCTTCGCCATGACCGAACCGCAGGCCCCCTCCGCTCCCGGGTCCGCGAAACTCGTAGGTCCCTCTCTACTGGCCTGCCTCTTGTGCCGCCACAAGCACCTCAAGTGTGATGGGAAAACCCCGGTCTGCAGCCGATGTCTCCTCACGGGCTCCGACTGCAACTATACCAAGTCACGCAGAGGCTATAAGGGTCCGTCGAAGAAACGCCGCGCTGAACCGGACTCCCCGGACCAGTTACCTCTTGATCCCGCCGTAGGCCTGGTCGATATCCCCACGGACTGGAACCTGCAAAGCGGCTTCCACTATACGCCCACCATGCCCCTGTCATCCTCCGGGTCTGTGAGTCCCGGATTGAATGATATGTCTTTGACAATGGCGCCCTCTTCCCGGCCAACTACCGGCCCACTGACCCCGGATTCTTCCTCGTCGGTCGGCGGGGATGGGTATCTGCTCGATATCTACTATACATACTTCCACTCGGCTCATCCGATCCTACCTCCACTGCGATTCCTCTATCGCGCCCATTTCCCGCATTACTTGGAGCAGGTGATGAAGTTCATCGGCTCGCACTTCACCCCCGCCGCCTCCAGTGAAACGTATCGACCCATGATTGTCGCGGCAGTTCGAGACCAAGCACCCTCGGTCGAGAAGGTGCAGGCCCTCCTTCTGCTGTCCATCGTGTTACATTCGCGTAATGAGCGTCGCGAAGCGGGGGAGTGCTTGGCCAGCGCAGTGGACCTGGCATTCGACCTCGGTATGCACGAGGCGACTTATGCCGAAACCGCCAGCAACGGCGATCCCATTCGTGCTGAATGTCTGCGTCGGAGCTGGTGGGAACTTTTCGTGGTCGAGGGAATGTTAACAGCTCTTGGAGTGCAACGTGTCTACCGCACTAACCTGGTACCGCCCGTCGTGCCCCTTCCTTGCGAAGAGCGCATCTACCAGGATGGATTGACGCCACCACTTCCGCCGACTATCGCGCAATTTGACCAGCGCGTATTCGTGGACGAGGAGCGCGATTTTTCCTCGTACACTTATCGGATTGAGGCCGTGCGCATCCTGGGTCGAGTGGTCGCAACACAGGAGATGGTGGAGGGTCAGCAGGACCACGTCGAAGCTATTGACGCGCGCATCGCCAGCTGGTTCCACCATCTTCCAGAATCCAAGGCGGAACTGCTGCGTCCGGACGGCTCGGTCGACGAGGTCATGTTCCAGGCAACTATGATCGTGAACGGTGCTTCCATCTATCTGAACTTTCCCCGTTCTGATCTTCTCTCGTCGCCCGCAGTCGCGTCAGACGTCATCTGTGGCCATCATGGACCCATTAGTGTACCGGTTTTTTCTCACCACGCCCATGCCATGAAGGCCGTGAAGGCGGCTAGTGAGCTGTCTTCGCTAGCTGCCATACGCTTGCCAGTCGAGAGGCACACACCATTCTTCATCTGTGCTCTCACACTCAGCTCTATTGTCCAGCTGGCAGCCTGTTCCGTCAAAGCGGGCTCCATGCCTGATCCAAGCCGCGAACGCATTGGTCTGACCATCGGCGTCTTCAGGTCACTTGGCCGTACGTGGGCCATCTCGCAGTCGATCATGCGACAGATCAAAGCCGTCTCGCGCGATGTACTCGACATCGGAGTGCGCCCGACTATGGACCCGCTCGATCTGACATTCTGGGTTCAGGAGGGTCCCAGCTGAAGGAGATAATGAAGTGGAGATGCAGTCCTTCGGATGACATTATTGCATCATGTATATTCTCGCATACGCTTTGGACGTCGTGAAATACGTCAGGAAGGGGGGTTGCAAACCTCGGGGGTGAATGGGACCTGTCTCCAGGATCGTTTCAATCCAGATGCTCGAATCTTCCAAGCTGCCGCTGTCAAGGATATAGCCAAAATGGGCCATATACTGAAATTCACCAGAAAATGGGCAAAGGGGCGGAGTCGAAAGCCACTGGACTCGAGCTTATCACCATTGCTGACGGGCACATTTATGTCACGCTCGGTCTCAGATGGGCGATGGGTTGTTCATCGGTCTGGATTCCTGCTTTCTGCAAGCCGACGCCTCTCGACCTCTCGACCTCTAGGATGTTGGGCTACGAGCCCCTATGCATTTTGGCTGCAGAAGGCAAACAAACGCAAGGGCCCCGGGACCTTGAATAGGCCCGGGAGCGTCCGTCGGATAACCTATACTTGCCACTATATTTTTGAATCCGGTTCTTCTGTATTCGGGTAGCTTTGTGAATGCAACTATCAACCACGACCTAAGTAAACTAGTTATAATTTGCAGTTTCCTCTCTTCTTCCTCTCTTTTCCATGTTGAATGTTTTCGTCACGCTCCACTGGCTCTAACTCACCATAATCACTACTGATTGTTGCTGGCATCCTGTAACAGAATTCACTGCGGATCTCGGCTCCCTACTCTTCATTCTACAGTTAGTCGCATCCAGAACGGACAAGTTCACTGGCATAAATGGTCTAGTCACGAACAGCCGGCAATCAAGGAGGATAGTCCAGTAGATGGAGTTGTCATGGCTTACTCGTTGACTTTGGATTTATGCGGCTTCGGGAACTGAATAGCTCAGCGTGCTACGACGGGTGACGTTGAGCTATCGTTGGGAACGGACCAGCGATGTATGAATATTCGCAGTTCTTGTAATTGCGGGATATATGAGCAAACAACTCGGTATACAAGGCATCCTCCGTCTTGACACCATATGCGCAACAGGAACTCGCCTAGACCTGCATTTCAAGGACGCCTTGGTAAGAGCAGCTGATCTCGACGTGCGGCTCGGGGTTGTTCACGCAAATCCACTTGGTCCCCGGGGCCATTCCGTTGGCATTGGAACTCAGCAAAACATGACCATCTTCAGGGATCGAACCAGAAACCCTTTCCAATTCCAGCGTGAAAAGGTTGAAGTCGGGAGCACCTTGGGGAAACTTGATAGAGTACTCGCCGTTGTTACATCGTGCATTCTCGTTGGGCAGCTGTCCATAGGTCCTAGACCACACAAGCGACGATTAGCTTTTGAAGCTGTCACGCAGAAGTGTTTACCCTACCAGATCAGATTGCAGTCGGTGGGGGTGTCGTCGGGATAGTTTGGATCGGTCAGAGTGAAGTGCATGCTTGCACCGGGGGAGGTGGGCCCGGCACGAGCCCAGAAATCACCGATCTGGATAAAATTACTGCGGATGACATTGGCAGGAGCAGCGAGGGCGGAACTGGCAGCCAGGACAACAAGGGAAATGATAGACTTCATTTTGCGGATACGATACGGTTGAATCGACGGGGATCTCGGGATTGTAGCTGTGGTGGATTCAGAATGTTGCTGGGTGGGTCGAAGTGGCGAGAAGAAACACATTATTTATACCTCGACACTCTGATAGGAAACGTCACTCTCCATGAGGCGTGCGGTTATTGCATCAGACATTGCAAGGCGATTGAAGCTAGACATGTCTTGGAATAGTCACGTTGTATGCGGTACGCGACAGCGTTTGAGGCTGAGCGGCCGCAAAGCAAAGTGCAATATTGGGACGCCGTGACGAGCTCGCCTCATTCCCCACGGTCGTCGGGCCTCCCACGTTGTGAGACAGGTCGTGTTGTGAAGAATCTATTTTGAGATGCGGCTGTGGCTGACGCAGTCAGGCCTCCCATTCTCCACTGATTTGGTGCTGGCTCGAAATGCGATGATCCCTGGAGCAGATCCCTGTCAGAGCCGAGTCGTTTGCCCATGGTCAGCTCGTGATTGAATGCAGTGTTCAATCACTCTCCAGACTTGCCGCTTCGTATGGGATATTTTAGGGCTGATGACCCCGACCAGGTGAGAGACCTGCTCGTATCGGAAATCGCTGGGAATTCTCGCGCATGAACCAGCAGGACCGATATAATCTCATATGGCAGATAGTGTGCCTGTTTTCCTGCTCTATTTTGGTGTGAGTCTTTTGTTGCCGTCAACATGACCGCCTCTCTAGGGCTTGAAGGGCTTGTATGATTACGTGCGATCTGGAATTTGGAAGCGTTGCCGGGCTCTTCTCTCGACAAAGGAGCCATAGTGGGTGATCAGTCTCATTTGGAGAAAGACCAAAAGGGAAAGGAAGAGATGACGAGGTTGTGGACGCCGCCTTGCTACTAGGTGCCTAGATACCATACCTGACGTCCACTCGGGATATCCAGTGGTCGATAAACACAAATCAGTAACATTCAATCATCGCCATTGCCTATACCTCGAATACAGTATACTCAGCCTTATCTGCACGCATCGGGTTTGGTCGAGTGGATCAAGGTTCGGCGACTTGTCCGAGCCCTGGAAATTGCTTCCACCCGGAGCCCGTGAAGAATGTGTTTACGCCGGGCAATTGAAAATATCTACAGTTCGCAATATCGCTTATAAGCGAATATGTAAGCTGCCCATTTATGCGAGGGCGACACACCCCATCGATCCACGCACTCACCCGGGACGTCCATATCAATTTCGGAACAAGCCCCGCCCTACGTGGATCCCAGTCACAAATGCTGAAGGGACGAGCACAGGGCTATTTTCAAACTAGTTTTCTCCCGGGGGATTTAATTCTCAGCGTGCAAGTTCTTGGCGTTTTCTCCCTATGTTTCAACATGGACTCGAGTGAATCCACGGGGAAACATAACGATCGAACGGCCGTCCGTCTGATAGCCGTTCCGGACGGCGTCTCCACCGGGTCAACTACCAAGGAGATCGTATAACGGAACGTAGAACATATGACGGATGAACGATGCTATTCATTTGAAGTCTAACGATTCCGCGTAAGAGCCAGGGGTATCTCAAAATGCTGAATATAAGAAACGGTGGCCAACAGAGAAAGCCAAATAAAATGCCTGGCTGACGGAAAATCATAAGGAATAGCCCCCAATGAATGAATGGCGGTAGGGAATCAAAATAGTCAAAACTCCTTGCCCAATGCTCGTCATGTTAACATCGTCAAGATCTAATGCAGAAAGAAAAGGAAAGAACAGGGAAAGAGGTAAAAAAAAAACACGTTTCCAATAATGGCCCGTAGGCATCAGACCAGTCGAGATCTAGTGATGCCTGCCGCTGAATTCTCGCATTTCTTGGAGGGCGACGGCTCGGCGAGAGACGACGTCTTCGCGGCGAACCATATTGCGCAGTGCCTCGCTGGCTTGGATCAAGCCATCGATGCTAATGGCATGATTGGTCATCTGGTGGTTGATGTACGTATAAAGGGCGGCCGGGGTGGAACACGTCGTGAGCAGTTGCGGCTCATTGAGCTTGAGCAGGGCCAGAGCAACTTGGAAAAGGAACGTGCTTCCGCCTCCACTGCCGGACGCACCGTCTTCAGAGGATGGGGTCGCCTTGTCACTGCCATCCTTCACGCTGGAGGCAGACGAGACGGTCGGGCCTGGGCCATTGGATACCGCACTGGTGACGTTGAGGCACAGTACCACATCCCATACTCGGTATAGAGCTTCCGCAGAGAGGCAGTCCGTAAACACCGAAAGGAACCATTGGAACGTAAGGGCCTCCAGTTCCACACCGAGATCTTCAAGGTGTGCTGACAGCTTTGGAAGAAGCTCTGAGATGTACTGGCGCAGTACTGTCTGGTCGGCACGAGACGCAAGGAGTCCATGGTCATAGTAATGTTGAGGCAGGATGATCTCAATCATGGAGGTCAAAATCCAAAATGCATCCTCGGCCGTCGGCATGATGAGCAAAAGTGAGGCTGCAATGAGGTTCATGCCCTGGCAGTATCCCACTTCCTCGTTACGGCGCGAATACGCCAAAAGGACCTCTCTGAGTTTATCAACGCCGGGGCCTTTGCGGAAGAACACATTGTCGGTAAGGGTGCGACGGATGTCCATGTCAATCTGCGCGATAACCGAAGAATCAGGTTCAGTTCCACCAACTCCTCGCACGAGCTCATCATAGTATCCCGGAATGCGCATCGCAGATGCACCACTACACTCAGACCACACCTTGGCGCGGAGAGCAACTGGGATACCGCCGAGAACAAGTGACCGGAATTCTCGCCACTTGTTACGGCCAACCTTGCCTTTATTGCCCAGGCCAGCAATGCCGATGACCTCGCCGTCAGCGAGAGTTGCTTCAGGCGTGTCAACCGCAGTGAGGGATCGGTCCGAGGACGCTGCCGCTGCAGCTTCACCCTCTTTCCTGCGCTCTGCGCGCACCTTGCGAAGGAACTCGTTCCATCGGACCGTACGATCACGTTGCAGCGTATCGTGGAGATCAGTTAGCTGCTCCAGTAGTAGCTTTACTGGTTCGACTTCGGCTAGATTGGCTTTGGCCGATATGGCAACAGGCTCTTCCATGATTCCTCCAGAGAATTCAGGGCGGTCTGCGGTGATGGCCGATGTGGTTGCCGATGGCTGTGCGCTCGAACCGACAGAGAGACCCTTATCCGTCGAGAGAGACGAGCTATTGGGGCGATTATCTCCTGCAGTGGTCAGAGAAATAATCGGGGCCGCAGATGGTGTATGCGAAAGAAGCTCTGTTGGACGAGATGGAATCCTGAGATAGTCCTGCCAGCGGCGGAGGCTGACAGCGCCACTTTCAGGGTCGTCGGGGGAACCAGGAGGAGACACCGGGGTCTCAGGTGCCTTTTGAGGATCGGCTTGATTATCTTCCACGTCCGAGGCATCGCTTCGAAGGTTTCCAAGAGTCTCGGCAATGCTCAAACGATGTCGGGTCGGCTTTCCAGAGGCAGCTTCCCTCTGTCGCCTCTTTCGACGCTGATCATAGATGAACCCAAATCGATCCGTAAGGAACTCGCCGGCCTGTGAGTTATTGTATATTGGAGTCAGAGTTGGAGGTCGAGACTCGACAGGCAAAATGGCATCCATCTCCACGGGGCCAAGGTTGGTCGCGCTTCGGTCTGTAGTCTCGGGGGCCGTGCCTTGTGATACACTCCCTGCTGCATTCCTTCGCGCGGCCGGGGGATTTATTCTGACCGTACCAATGCTCCCGCTGGCGGGACGTCCTGTTGGAACCGTGGTGTTCCCGTTGATCCTCTTCAATGCAGCAATGGCGGACATCCCGCCCTTCGAAGCACCCAGCTGGTTGGTTGTTTTGTCCGGGATGTCGGACTTGATGCTCCTGGCCTCGGAGTCGCTCGCATCTCTTGGCGTTTGTGCGTTACCGGCAAATAATTTGACAGTCCAAGACCCAAGCGAGCGCGAGGATTTGCGTGAATGTATACTTGAATCATCGCCATTTGTAGAGCCACCGGTGATGCGATTCGCTTCACGCGCAGATATGCCCGGGGGCTGGAACAGCTGGTCATCGAGAGCCTTGCGACGGACAGAAGGGTTACTGGGCAATCGAGGGCGCTCAGCGCCTTCCTCGTCAATCCCTTGCATATCACTCATGATGCTGCTGGCACGGCTGGTCTTCCGGCTCGCATTGGCCGAGCCACCAAAGAGATAATCCCCCCAGCCGCGAAGTGACCCCGTCCGCTTTCGATTGTTGCTTGAGTCAGTGCTTGACCCTCCAACGCGAGCGTCAGTTTCCAATCGCTGAGCACGAATAGTCGCCTGCAAGTCTGAGTTCTCTCCATCAGGTTGCGCACCAACTGCATCAGCCATGGCCTGAGACATGAGTCCATTCAGACCCGTGGAATTTTCACCACTGTGGCTGCTGTCTGCGTCCGAGGCCCCATCCTCTGGATGGTTCTCCAGTTGGTATAGGCGACGCTCGATATCCTGATTCGATATGGATACTTCTCGAAGCATCCGCTTGAGCTCCCGCTCCCTTGCATCGGCACGGTGACGAAGAGCTGAGATTTCAGCATCCCGCTGAGCCAGATCCCGCGCATATTGCCTGACAATCTTCACGGGCCCGGTACTCGAGATTAAACGCTCGATGTGAGCATCATCTGCCAAGTGCAGGGCCCCCGGAATATCGCGTATGGGGGCCGAGTCCTCGAATAGGGCGGCTCGGCCAGAATTATGTGACACGCCCGTGGTAAGCTTCGCCAAGGTGGTTTTGCGCCCACGGCCAACGTCGGGAGCCCCTTCCGCACCATTTTCTGTCATCAACGTACTCGTCAAGCCTTGTGTCAACGTGGGGGCATTATCGGGCGGGGAAAGCGAAGGGAACGATGTGAGATCGGTGGTCGCATTGGAGGAAGCCGAGTTTCGTTTCTGGGCTTTGATGCGAAGTGTTTTAGCCTTTTGGCTCCTGCTGGATGCGGAGGAGGCCTGGGAGGAGGACCGTCGCTGGATATGAGGATCGGGCTCGGCCATGACTCAACGACTTGTGGATGGCATAGACGTCGGAATGGGTAGTTGCGGACTTCATGAATGCTTCCTTCCTCTGGCAGACGTAGGTCTTCGACGTAGGTCTTCGAGAAAATTCGAATGAGGATTGGCGGAGAAAGGAGCGATCCTTGCAGACGTACCTTTTCTTCCCTTTGTCGCGTGTCCTTGGCAATCCTAGACGATTTGTGTGGATCTTGGGAATGAAGGGAGATCGGCGGCAACGTCAAAGGTCAACGGCACAGTGAAGGAATCTGTCCAAGTGGCCTGGAGGAATCTCAGGCTCACAACGGGGCACTAAAAGGATCGAAGATAACTCAAGCTAAGACTTCACATCCAAAACAAGCTATGGCACATGACGTGATGATGTATCACGTGATTAATGAGCTCTCCAGTCATGTGACCTTTCAGGGTCAGGTCACCTGACTCCAGCCTCGGCTCTCCGCAAAAGTTACCGATTGAGTGGGGAAGATCCCGACGAGCTGCTCCCTGCTTGTTCGGTCCAACTCTTGTTAAATTTTCCTTGATCACCTTCCAAGCTGAACGTCTAGCAAATCTATACCTCTTCTTAAATCAATCCGAGGGTCCTCCTATGCTCATTATGTCTGCTACAGCACGGCAGCGTCTCCAAGCCCTCAGCAAACAGCTGGTCGAGGGCATCCCCGACGAGGGAACCTTTGAGGATATTCCCAAGATTCGTCATATTGCCTCAGACTCTGTAGGCCCGTAAGTGGTACCCAGTCTCGCTCATCTGTGATGTTATATAAAAGCAACATACATTATTGAAATATCCTCTCTACGACTCTGTCAAAGCTAACCTCGGTATAGTCGGACAAAGGACAAGGTGGTAATTGTCACCGGTAAGCTCTACAGAGTTCCCCACGAGTTACTATAAAAATAGAACACTAATATCGATATAATATAGGAGCCAACTCTCCCAATGGAATTGGCCGAGCCAGCGCTCACCAATTCGCTCATAACGGCGCGAAGGCCGTCTATATCTGCGACTATGTCGACTCACACCTGGCAACACACAAACGCGAGATTGAGTCCCTGTACCCAGGCGTGGATGTGCATGTGCGGCAATTTGATGCCGCCGATGAAAAGGCCCTAGTGGCTGTTATCGACGAAGCGATGGCCAAGTATGGGCGACTGGACATATTTTTTGCCAATGCCGGCATTGTGGGCCAGCCGAAGATGTTCACCGACATTGATGGTGATGGCTTTATGAAGACTATGAGGACCAATGCTTTGGGGTAAGATTCGGGTCTCATTTCTCATTGCATGTCGTAAACTAAAACATTCGACAGTGTCTTCCTGGCAGCCAAGCATGCCGCCCCGGCAATGAAAGTAACCTCGGAAGCAAAGCCGTACCCCAGCGGCTCCATTATCTGCACTGCATCAGTGGCGGGACTGCGCTCCAATGCCGGCTCCACAGATTACTCCGCATCTAAGGCGGCAGTTGTGTCTATCGCCCAGACCTGCTCTTATCAGCTGGCCGGCACTGGTATTCGTATCAATGCCATCTGCCCGGGTCTGATCGAGACGGGCATGACACAGGCGGTCTTCGACCATGCTCGGGCACGCGGCACACAGCGCAAGATCGGGCAGTTGAACCCGACACAACGGGGTGCTGTTGCCGATGAGGTTGCGCGCGTGGCCTTGTTCTTGGGGAGTGATGAGAGCAGCTATGTCAATGGTCAGGCCTGGGCTGTTTGTGGTGGTTTGAGCGCTGGACACCCCGTTGTCCCCGGGAAGCTTGCATAATTTTGATGCCTTGCATAGTGTGACGTGTACATAGTCCGAATCATCATAACAGAGCCCATCTACGCTGAAAGTAACATGTAAATACCGTTGATACGGAAGTAAAACAATTACAGAGTCCATTTTTAAATACAGCAGGGGTGGAATCCCCGTAGGCAATCGAATGAGTCCAGATCAACGACTGCGGACAAAAGGAAGGAGGGGGTGTGGCACAATATAAGGAAAGCCTGCTACCAATTTTTTGGGTGCAGGAACAAGAGTGCAGAGTAGCGCCCTTGCTCACACCGAGACTTTCACGTCAAGGCGCGCGACAAGGAGCGGAAAGTAGACAACAAGGGTGTCGTCCATCCCAGAAGGCACGACAAATAGTAACAGAGTCCTAGGTAGAAACAAAAACACCTGTTGGAGAAAAAAAGAAGCCGCAAAATCAATAGACAAGAAGGTGGGGATTCGAATGGGCGGATGGATATAATGGGTGTATCAAAATAGTCGACACGACGAAGCGAAACAAAACGATGCCGGGACCAAAAGGCTGTCGGCGTCAGAAGAAAAGAAGAGAGGAAGATTACGCCAAAGGGAAGAAGAAGAAACAGAGTGTCGTCTCAGTGAAGCGTTGCAATCATCCTTGAAGGGCTGATGGAAGCAAACTACGAGATCACACGGGCGGTGTTGGGCCGCATGAGATCCTCACTGGCTTGCTTGGACAAAGTGCCAGTCTCGGTCTGCTGGTCCTCGCTGGAGTCGTGGGCATGCTCGTCGTCATCCTCCACGATGCGGGTGGGGATGTCACCGGGCCCGTACTGCTGGCTCGAACGTTCCGGGAAGGTTGAGCTGCTGACCATAGACATGGATGTGCTGGAGCGGTTGTGGACCAGGTCCGGGGTGGGCGGGATGCTCGAGTGGCGGTTGTCCGGGTGCAGCGAGTTGTTGTCGGCATCGCTCACTTCACTGGCGGCACGGGTGGTGCGACCATCCTGACCCTCGTACTCGGAACCCAGACGAGGAGAGTCGGTCTGGTTAGTGGAGGCCTTGGAAGCCTCGGCCTCCTCATCCTCGGCATCCTGAGCGAGGTGCAGACCCTCGACGGCGGCGGCGCACTGGTCACTGATGCTGCGGATTATGTCCGCAATAGCATCTGTCTTGTCTTGGAGGTAACGGTCCGCGACGTCGGACATGCTCAGACGAGCAACGGACTTGTGATCCTTGCCAAGGTTCAGCAGGTGCTGTTCTAGCACGGGGCTTTGATCATTTACCGATTTGCTGGATGTGCTCTTCTTGCTTCCCGATGTCTCCTTTGCAACCTCCGACTTGTCCTCGATAGACTCTTCGGGGGCGTCTTCGTATCCCTGCTCGATCATCTCAGTAATCTCCGAAGTGCTACCGATGGAGCGAACAATGTGCTCCATGTGGTGGCTTTGGCCGCTGATCAGGCTGCGCAGGTGCAGAACGACACGCTGAGCATCGTCACGCTGGCGAGTGAGTGTCGAGTTAGTGTGGGAGAGAGCAGAGAGCTCCTTCTGGTTGCGCTTGCGTTCGCGCTCCAGCTCCTCGGCAATCTCCTGCTGGAGGACCAAGGCCTCGAGAGCATCGTCACGCTGCTTCTCGGTGCCGGAAAGACGGAGAGTGAGACGAGCAACGTCATCCTTCTGCTGGTCAATAAGACCGGTGAGGCGGCGGTTCTCGCGCTTGTGGTTCTCGATCTTGACCTTAAGTTCGGAGGTCTCCTTGGTGAGCTGCTCAGCAAAGGCCTGGAACTTGAGGAACTGCTGCTTCCAGGTCTCGAGCTCCTCAACAAGGAAGTTGTTGCGTTTGGTGACCTTGCTGAGCTCGGTGTCCATACGTCCCTTGAGGTTGATGAAGTCCTGCCACGCCTCCATGGCATCCCGAGAGTACTGGTTGCGCTCGCGGACGATCTCGTTGAGATGACGCATCGAGACCTTCGTCATCAGGGGCTTCTTGACGGAGCCACCGAAGATGGCCTTCATGCCGGTGTTGCGGCCCAGCTTCTCGCAAACGTGGTCCATAACACTCATGACGGCATCCTGGTTCCACCAGTTGGGCTCCTGGACACTTTCGACCTCGCCGCGCATGACAATTATTTGACCGGCAGGAATCAGCTTGCCACCAGCGTAGGCCGACCGCAGGTGGGCTGGGACACCGGAGGGCGACACATCACCGTTCAGAGCCTGTGTCAAGCGGTTAATGAACTTGGTGCGCTGGCCCTGGTTGAGGACGTTGGGAGGGCTAGAGGTGAGGACAAAGTTGCGGTCCAAGTCAACGACAAGGGCGTCAGAGGGAGCGTTAAATAGAGTGCGGCACTCGGCAGTGATACCCAAGATGTAGGGTCCGGGCTCCTGGACCAGCTCCTTCACGTGGCGAGCGTGCACCACGGGAACGTACAGACCGCTCCATTCATAGACTCGAACGCAGTATCGAACGGTCTCCGAGGCCACGGTCAGCATGGCTGGGTAGTGACTGACGAAGATGATGCGTCGGGTGGGCGAAACGGCGGCCTCGGTGACACCGACGATGTTAGGGATCGACAAACAGTTGAACAGTGGCCACATAGAGAAGTTCTGGAAGCCGGTGGGTGACGAAGGGAACTGGTAGCAAAGGGCATAATCCTTCATATCAATACGGACCAAGTCATTCAGACGGGGAGCCGGGAAGCTCAGGATGCGAGAGACCTCCTCGGCGTGGAACAGGTTGGTGGCCTTGTTCCAATGGATCCACATGCCACGAAGATAGTCACCCAGCAGGTCGTACAGGGGATACCTGGAGAGGAAACTCAAGCAGTAGGGAATCCAGTAGGTCTCGTCGGGGTTGTCGTAAAAGTCGGGCTCGGTCTTCTTGCGGAGTTCACGGATGGTCTCGGCACGCTTCTCATCGGCACGGGACCAAACGCGCAGCGCGATACCGTACAGAGTGTGAGAAGAGTCCTGCTGGAGGACAAAGGCGTGGTGGGCGCAGTGAGGTTGGCTCTTGCCGGTGCAGATCTCAACGTCGTGGGGGAAGCAAGCCTATACATCAATTGATTAGATTTCCAGCTACATTTCCACCGTGGTTGCAGCGCTTACCCTCATGGCCGAGTGCAAGGCTCTTGCAATCTCGTTGTCCTGCTCTAACCGGGGGCTGCTGCCCAGGATTTCTGGCAGCCAGAACTGGCCAACGGCACCTTTCATGTGGCCGATTTTTCCCTGGTCGGGTGCGGGAGCCTTGACCCATTGTGAAGGCTCACGGCCGACACCGCAGACCATGTAAGCATGAGTGAGAGTTTTGGGAGTCCGCTGAGGGGGCTTGATGCTAAGAGAAGAAGGAATGGGTTGAGTGATGCGAGAGTGCAAGGACGACGTGCGACTGGGGACGACCAGCGAATTTTCCCCCTCGCCGCGAGTCGTAGGCCGGTCCCTGGTGGATGGCCGGACGAAGGACCCGTGATCTCTCAGAGACGCTCCCATTGCGTCGGTATAGCCGGGTGTCGATGATATAGGTGATATCGATGTAGGGCCTCAAGTTGAGGGAACCTCTGCACTACTTGAGTGCCAGGTCTATAGAAAAGTGAAAGCAATAAAACGAATGAGGCCGAGTTCAATAGAGGGAGAGTCAAAAGCCCCAGGCCAAAGAGAGTGTCCACCGAGGTTGAAGGGTTCACGAAGTTTAGGGGAGGGGGGGGAAGCAGAATAGGAGGCGGACTTGGACTAAACCGAAGGGGAATCGTTCGGGACTAAGGAACACCAGCTAGAGGCAGTTCTCCACTTGGGCCCGGTCCGTTAATTAAATTTCAACGGAGATTTTTGGGTAATTGGAATTGATCCAGCGGCCAGCGGCCAGGGGGTTTCCTCTGTGGGGTGTGCTGCTGTGCTGCTGCCCTGCATCTATGTAGATGCTCAAGAATGTGTGGTGGCCTACGTATACTACTCGTACTCCGTACTCTGTAACCCAATACCCCGAGTAAACATGGGCGCTCCGACTTGGAAACTCGATACGTCCAACCGTTTCATGCAACGGTGAGTATCGTTTCACCCCTCGGTACGATAGGTCAAATTGTAATATCGAGTCCCGGGGTCTGTCCCCAGTCCAATTCTTAAGAACAGTCGCCTTGCCACCCTCATCTATCTGTTCCATGCACCATGTACCAATGCACAAATACACCAGAGGGGAGGTTGCATCTGGGTATCAGTGCGACCGCAGGTCCAGATCCTGTGTTTCACCGAGCGCGAACTCAAGCGAGGAGTCCGAGTACACAATGACGACAAAGAACATTGTGACAAATGCCCGACCTCTGGATGATCGGGGGTGGGCGTGCGCCGATCGAGATGCATGATTTGGAAGCGAATGAACGAATGTCAGATAGGTTGTGGCCCATGGTTCCCGGTTCCCTTAAGAGATCGTTTGGATTCCCGGTTGGTTTCCCGCGTTTGACACGAGTTGGAAGCCCAGATCGAGTGGTCCGTGTGTTGATGGCTTGACTCCCGATATTATGCCCCTGAATGTGCAAGATCCTGCGCTACTACTCCGTACTCTCGCGGTACATTCGTACATTCCGCTCCTGTATTCATGTATCCGGCCATCCGGCCACCCCGAGGATCACGTTGAAGCCGATGGCCTTAGCCTGCCCGGTTTCTGGCCAGCTCCACCACTGTCAAAATCTACCGAGCCGTCTGAGGAAGCTCACGGCGGTGATCCCGCTCCTCTTCTCATCGGACCAGTCCCCTTAATTGGGGTTGGTGGGCAACCTTGTCTCGATTGGCGCCTGTCATTCGCGTGTAAGGTACCACTCCTGGCTAGCACCGGCCGAGACGTGGAGGGGGGATCCAGACCGAGCGCGAGCCAGGGATCATGGATCGTGAGTGATTTTAGTGATTTCAGTGATCTCCAGGTGAATCTGATCGGGCCATGAGGGCCAATCATTCTGATCGATAACATGCAGCTGCGCGAATTGTCGCCCCCCGAACTGCAGGGGAGGAACTCAATGCGAAGGAAAAAAAAAAGAGCAAGGAACCGGGTCGAAGCTGGGGCCGCGAATGCCGATCAACCACCGATCCAGCAGGCCGAAACAGCGGGCTGCGTGGTCCGTCTCCACTGCCCAGCTTGGGTCCGGTACCGGCAGTTTCCACTCCGTGTACCTGCAGACGTTGTATCCACTACCTGGGCGGGGGCCTTGCACCCCATATGGCCTGGAAGTACCGTTTACTTCCGGGCAGGGGACCTTCTCCACTGTCCGAAACCTAAGCTTGATCCATGGTCAGTGTTCCCGGTCCGCCATGTCTGCCTCTACCTTTTCCATAGGAAAGACATACGAATGGTAGTTCGGTCGATGAGTACCTGGGATTACCGAAGTGATGCGGTCCAAAGATAAGGTATTGTGAGATTCCTAGCTTGGAAAAATAAAATTAAAACGTGTTGAGGATCCACTCCCTACAAAGAAATATATCCGAGAGTTACGCCCTCAAATACCTGCACGCTACTTGACGTGAAACACGGCCTTTGCTTATGGTATATACCTGGGCACCGTAGAAGTCACGACGCAAAATAGCGAGCTCGTGCAATTAATAAGGCATTGATTCAAAGTGTGCTCTGAATCCTGCTCTCCAGCTTTGGATGTTGTCCGAATGGCGATGGTGTCACACGTTGTGACAGTAGTTAAAACCACCGTAATGGGTCCGCCCGCGCACGTTCATCGCGTCGCTCTCAACCTTTTTGTTGGATCTTTATTTTATCTTGTACTTCAATCATCCTGTCACGACACGGAGAACTGGGGGAACTTAAGTCTACACAGAGAACCCTAGGGAAAATAAAGAGTGTGGTCAAGGTAAAGCCTTCTGGCCCATCCTCCCCATTCTCACCCACGCGAGAATGTCTGGGATCCTAGATTGGAAAAGAGCGGCTTTTGGTCTGACTATTATGATCTATCCATTCAGATGATGGGTATCTATTGCTAATCTACATTACTCTCGTCAAAGAAGCAAAGCTAGTCATGGACTCCTTATCGAAAGACGTAGACCATTCCCGCCCGGTCAACACTCACGATCATCCCATAAGGCTGCCGCAGCACCGCAACATCTTGGATAATATCCAGATGGCTTTTCAGAAGCTGCTGCTGCTGGAGACTAATGACAGTGCTGCGCGGCGGCCGCGGGCTGGTGCCTTTCTTGGAGTTACCAGTGTTGCCGGTGGTCGCCGGGTTCGAGGGCTGGTGTTCCAGGACGACTTGGATATTGGCTGCAATCGATGCTATTTCGTAGGTCGGCTTGCTCGTTGCGTCTCCACCACTGACAATCATGCTTGTCTCTGGGCGTGCAAGGTCCCAGAATCGAATCTTCCGGTCGCATCCCGCTGAGATGATGAACCCGCATTTATTGCTGGCCGCTTTGTCGTCGTCGGGCGGATTGAGTCCCGCCACAAATGCCCAGGTCCCGAGCTGATCACCGGATGTGTGAGTTGGAGATGCAGAGCCGTTACCCTCGGTGGCGGCACCCATTCCAGCTGCAGCAGGCGCGTTGGCAAATCGGCGAAGCATGCCTTCCGGTCGATCGTCGTCAACGGACCATGCCTCAAAGTCCCTAACATTGAGGCGCTGTCCACGGAGAGCGGCAGGCCGAGAGGTACCTCGATGCGTCCCCCCGGAAGTGCCTTCATTGAGATTCAGTGGTGCCATCTGGTAGACCTCGCGACAACGGAACTTTTCAATATCCCATGCGGTGATTTGATTACCGCGGGAACCGGCACTGGATACGCAGACCCAGCGTCCTCGCGGCTTCAACGGGTGCAGTTGGATTCGGTGGACATACCCCCAACCTGGAAGACCCCATGCCCTTAATCGCACACGGAAACGGAGATCCCATAAATCCATGATGCCATGAGTCGTTCCCACAAGTAGCCAAGTGTGCCGCCGGTCACAGCAAAACGTAGTCGGGGTTCCATGGTGGACTGGGTTTTCAAGTGTGTAGATGGGTAACATGGTCTTCATGTCCAGTGCGATGATTCGGCAGGTATTAGTGGCAACTAGCAGCGTTGACTGGCCCTCGTCCCGGAAATGTTCCATCCAGACAGCATATTCGGGTAATCCATTCTCGGCCACTGGGAGCTGATATTCGCGCACGATCTGGAGCTTTCCATACCGGGCAGTTTCATTGACTTTCTGGTAGTCAACTCGGACGGCATGAATGCTGCCATCGGTGGCGCCGCTGACGAAAGTATAGGTATTCTCGACAAACGTCAGTGCCTTCACCCGTGCCCCAGACGCATGCCGATGAGTCTGGCGGGAGCGCGGGGTCAAATTACGCTCAAGGCGAGTCGTGTCCCAGATCTTGACTGTACTATCATCGGATGCCGTGACGAAGAACGAGTGGTCCGGAGGCACAGCAATGCGATTCACCGGCCCGCTGTGTTCACCAAAGGTGGCCACCAGATGCCCTTCGGGCCTCCACATCTTCGTGGGGTCTTGGGTATTGGGTTGACGGATAGGCAGTCGAGGGTCCAGCTCTTTGACATAAGGCCCGAGATCAAATAGATCAGTCGGATAATTTTCTGCAAACACATTGTCCAATAGCTGCAGAACCACGGGATCATCACCCGCATAGGAATGATTGGCACGGTATCGTCGTGCAGGTGCCTGGACCGGTTTCCGTTCGTAGGCGTGGGAGAGAGGCGATGGCTGAGGAGTTCCTCCTCGATTCGTGGGTGCATCCACCTTCCCAAACGCATTTGCCGAGCTTGTGCTGGTTTCTGCGTATGTTTTGGTAGTTTCGTTGCGACCGAGAAGGTTGATTGCGCTTGACTTTCGTTGGACTCTGTCGCCTCTGATAGAAAGGGTGTCGGTATTGGTAGGAGTTGTTGATGAGCTCTCTTGACCAGAGCTCAGCCGGCGACTGACAGGAATTCGATCCCGATCAAGATCGGAGCCTGGAGGAGACATTGCACGAGACCCAGGACCTGCAGCAGGAGACGATGCAACGGGGGATGCAGCCGAAGAATCGACCCCAATATGATCCAGGCGACCTGGACGTGGAATTTCTAGCTCTTTGTGAAGTTGACTTCTGGCTCGAGCATGTTTGCGATGAGCGCCGGGTCCTCGCTCAATTGTTGTAGAGGCATCAAGCAGTGCATCCGCGATAGTTCTCGGCTTATTGTCATCGGCAATGCGACCTTCATTCCGAACAACTGGTGAATTTCGTGTCTTTTCGTTGAGGTTCTTGTCAAAGAAGACTGTTTGGGGTGTGACCCCATGTTGCGATAAACTGATAATATCATTCAACGGTATAGATGGATCAGTATCGACATCTCTCGATTGGCGCAGCGATACCCTCCAAATGTAGTCTCGAAGTGCAAGAAGCTTGAGTTCATCCTCTGGACTCATGCCAAGGTTCCGCAGCTTGGAGAGCCACTGCTCATCTTCATCGTTCTTCGATTGAGCGCCTAGCATGAATGTAGAAGTTCGTCCCACGCGAGAGCTATGACTACCGGGCTCGGAGAAGCTGAATGCCCCTTCACGGCTCGATGATTTCCAAAAAAGACCCTTATCAGCCTTGGATGCCCAAATGAAAGCCATTTCGTAGATGTTTCTGGATATTGGACGTTTGAGAGCGTCAAGAAGATCGGCCTCAGAAAACCTGACGATCTGGACTTTAAGAAAAGGTCGAATAAGAGGCGTTAGAATCGAATAGATATCCGCCTTCGACATAAACTTCGTGGTCTTGACCACAAGGTTCACAGTAGCCTCGCGAATCCAAATGTTTGGGTGCACCAAGAAGCCAACAGTAATATAAAGCAGATCCCAAGTTGTGGACCGTTGAAACAGCCCAAGATCAGCCATGGCTGCAAGCGAGCGAATCACTTTTTCCACGACAAATTCTTCAGGCTCAGTCATAGATTGGACCATTAGGGGAAGAATGTACTGCTCCAAGCTAATGTTTCCCACGTATGCGGCGACACCAACCACGGCCTCGAAGAAAGCGCACTTCAAGATCCAGTCACGATCATTCAAGTATGTGTTTAGATGGCTCAAAATGACCTCGTTCGATTTCAGATTGCCAAAGAACACGCAGAGACTGGATACGGACCCCAGAAAGGCTCGACGAACAGACGCATCCGTATCTGTGAGAAGCGCTTTTGTGTGGACCTCAAAGTACTCCAGTAAATCAATTCGAGCAACATCGTAAAGATTATGATAAGTGGCATCCTCGGTCCACCGTGGCTCAAAGCCGACGGGAATCAGCGCCGTCAGGCGAGAGTCGGAACGCAGTGCTTGAATCATGTCCAAGAATCTTAGGGATGACTGTGCCAGTGATGCAATGCATGAGGCATACGCAGCACGGACCAAGGGTTTCGGATTATGCTTGGATGATACGATGAAAGACTGTAGCCTTGGGAAGATGTATTCGGAGAATAGATAGGCGTTGACTGGGGAAACCACATGGACCATCTCCAGTAATTGAGTTAGCGTGCGAATGGCGGCGACCTTGACGGAGTCTGTGCGGTCCGCTAAAAGAATCATGATATAAGGGAGAACTCGATCGAGCTTTGCTTCGTCGGATAGCCGTTCTGCAAAGGCCAGAAGAATATCGCATGCTTTTATCCGAGCCGAAGCCTTGGCTGTGGTCCGAAGATTGGAGACAACCAGTGTCAAAAAGATCAAAACGCCCTCGTCGGACTGCGATGATGTTCCCAACATTTGGTTTCCGCTATTGGGCAGATCGAGTTTTACCGGGAGAATGTCTCCTGTGAGTCGAGAGACACCGGGATTGGATGCATCTCGAGAGCCTCGGGATGTGGAGCCAAGGAAATAGGATATCTTGTCAAAGTCGAAGCAGACTCGCTCAATCCTGTTATCGGTTTCGCCTCGGTTGGTGGATTCAGCATCCACCTTCGTTCTCCCTGAAGATGGATCCGTCATGAGAGACATGTATTGATGAAGGAAGCTGTAGAAATATTCGGGGAAAGCTTTGTTCTTCCAGAAGTTCAGATACTCCTCGGCTGAATATCGGGATTCTGGGTCCAGTGAAATCATGTGTAAGATCAGCTCCCGGATCTCTGGGTCTTCAATCTTCGCCAACTGGCTGTGCTCTGGGCTGTATTCGCCTTTGCGATACTTGTACATCTGACTGAGCGTGAAAATCGGAGACTCGAGAAAGAGCTCTGCAATGACGCAGCCGGCGCTGAAGATGTCCATTGCCCAGTTGACGTGACGATTCCCTGGCTCTTCTCCGGCCTCAAGGAATCGCTCGGGTGCCAGATAACACGTTCGCCGCCCGGAGATGTCAAAGTAGAAAGAAAAGTCTGCTGGGTTGTCTTCTGGAAGAAATGTTGGTTTGAACGAGGAAGAAAAGTCGGAGAGATATAGCCAGTTCCATGACGTGACCAGAACGTTCTCGGTCTTGATATCACCGTGGAACACGTCCAAGGAATGACAGTCACGCAGTGCACATAATAGTTGGAATGCAATCCATTTCTTTTCAATGTCTTCTAGAAATGGACGAGTGCTGTGTAGCCGTCAGTTCTGAGTTATCTGATATCAATATCAGTAAACATACCTCATCCGATCGTACAAAGAGCTGTGGATGTATTGTCGGACCAAATACCCACTAGTACTGGTCTCCAGGATCCTCTCGTAGCTCAATGCGTTTGGCACGTCTGATAGAAGCGTGCGTTCCCCTGTAATGGAATGATTAGCTTGATTAGACTATCCGAGAAGATATCGCGTACGAATGATGGCTTTCACATATGGCTCCAGCTGCATCGTCGGGTATGGTTTCATAATAACCTTGACGAAGACCAGGCCATTCAGCTGTCGCGCGCGGATGCTCTTCATGAACCTGCCCCCACCCATCGACTTCTCATACACCAGGTCTGAAAGCTCCGGCACATCGATCCCCGCTGACCCCGCGGACAGGGTAGTGAGGGAGTAGCCTTGACCCATGATTTTGCCAGGACTTCATCTCCCAAGTTTATTTGGAGAGTAACGGAGACGAAGCAGTTGATAAGTTGATAAAGCGGAGGTTGCGGTCACTTGACGCGTCTGCACGTGATGGGCAGGCGGTGAGTGGTGTCAACAGCCTGCTTTTTGGTCCTCGTTAGCACGACAACTACACTTGATATTGATTATTTTGATTTGAAAATCTGCTCGGTTGATGCTATTGTGCTGTTTTCATCGACCATGATGTCTTCGTGCCGGGATTAATCTTTGCCTGGATCCCAGGTTTCGCCTCGGGCAGCCACTTAAAGAAGCGGTAAAGATCGCAGGGGCTTCCAGGGAGGAATTATTATCACACAGTCAACAGGTCCACATTTCGAATTTGACCTTTCAGGCCTCGAGTAGCTACATCGAGTGTCTTGCATCTTACCCGTCGAATCTATCGCTTTGACATGGGCTCTGTCTCAGCTGAAATCCACAGTTTGCATTCCGCCAAGTCCAGCTTACCTCCGCCTTCTATGGATTCAAATACTATGGATCACGTCGGCATTCCCAACATCGGCACAGATGAGTCTCTGTTCGAAGTGATCCCTAAGCTGTCTAGGTGATTCTTTCATTCCACCTTTGGCCACTCTTGATTTGACAAGAATCTAATTTTCTTGCGTAGTTTCATTAGCACAGCCGTGGGCGACATCGCATACTCATTCGAGCAAATGAGATATGGATCCCGCGGGCACCGTCTGAGGCAGCTGGTTCACGCTCTTGCCGAGGATAGTCACAACCCATTTATCATTGTTGCATTGATGTAAGCCATGTCCGGCTCATCTGAAGCACGAGGCTGAACCAAGGTGACACAGGATTTTGAAATGGGAATTTACCAATGCCGCCGACGATGACTGGGGTCTCAATGAAAGTCGAGGCACGGCCTGCGAATTTGTCGCTTGGCAATTCCTGTGTCATTTGAACCAGCGTGAAACCATCGAATTCCTCCTGGAAGAGCTCCCGATCCCTCAACGCACCTCCACGAATTCCATTGAAGTGGAAAGAGGAACATCCGACTTCGCAACATCGAGGGACATGGAGACTACTCCACTTTTGTCAGGCTCTTCGACTGCTCTTTATCGGCTTGGGCTGGGAAAAGCCTCACAGCGCGGTGATACCGGTGAACAAAGCATCAGCGCAGAAGCCCATAGCCTCCATCGATATGCCCGATTCTTCGGGTTAAACGCCCTAGAAGTTGCAGTCATCGCCCAGGCTAAAAGGTTTTTGAGCCAACGAGTTGTTCAGCGCGTGGTCAACGACATCTGGAACGGAGAAATTGTTTTCTGGGACTCGCTCACTGTTCACTCGAAGAAAAAGCCACATATCTTCAACAGAAGGTGAGAACTGACCTTTCATTGTTTATGACGACATGCTTACGCACGTACAGAACGGCAGATCCGTATTCGAGGTTGAGGGTGCCCGTCTACCGAAAGATGTTTGAAGCAGCATTCTTCCTTTCTCTTCTGCTTCTGTACTACTCAGTACTGGTGGAGAGGAAGCAGCACGGACTTGGATTCTTTGAGACACTGATGGATGTGTGGATTGCTGCCTTTGCATATGACGAACTGAGTGGGCTGGTTGATGCGGGTGTACTGTTCTACCAGATGGACTTTTGGAGCCTCTGGAACCTAGGCATAATCAGCGTGGGAGTTTCTTTCATCATCACAAGTGAGTCGATTGTGCTCCGTCTGCCTTGCCAATCTTCAGCTTTACGACTGGATCTTTTTCAATTTTTGAGGCTGACACACCTGCAGGAGTCATTGGGTTGGCGAGGGGAGACAACTACGTTATCGACATTTCATTCGATATTCTGTCCCTCGAGGCTCTGTTTTTGGTTCCAAGGTAGATTCACCTGTATTCTGGGTGGTGTGCAGCTCGGCATTTCTGACGCAGGGCCAACAGGATCTGCTCGCTCGTGAGCTTGAACTCCTATTTTGGCAGTCTCGTGAGTTTTCTGACCTATATTGGAAATATGCCTTTTCTGACTGTGGCTATGATAGATTCCCGTGCTAAAAGAGATGGTACTGTGTCACTTTGAAACCAGCTTGGGGCCCCAAGGCTGATTGATCTCCAGACGAAAGCATTCTTCAGGTTCATGCCGGTGGTGGTGGTCTTGTATATCGGTAAGGGTGGCTGAGATAGCACAGCCGAGTAGACCTGAAACAACTAACGGTGACGGGATCCCTGCAGGGTTCTTGACCACGTTTACGATGCTCGCCCGCGACCGCCTGTCGCTCAAAGAAATGTCGTGGATGCTAGTGAAAGTGTTCTTTGGGTATGGCGGTGAAGATCCCCGTTCTCGACCGCTTCTTTCTAACGCGAGGCAGATCCGGCGCTCTTGGACTCGTGGGTGGTGGCACTATTCCTTGACTTGCAGGTTGAACTGACGGTGGCTGAATTGATTGGTCCAAAGGACTCCGCTTCGCAAGTAAGTCTACTGGTACTAGCGGCTGTTTCTGCACGATCCCTGCAGATTGGTGAAATGGTTGGCTGTCGCGTTTAGTTGACTGACGCGCTAAAATTTAGATCTCCCCGATTTTCGGCTACGGCTTGATGTAAGTTCTGCCTTTGTTATTGCTTGCGCCATGTTAGGACGGAAAACACCGCATACTGTTGCGATCACGTTTTGACGTGCTCGTGACGCTGGAGCTGCAGTAGTTTCGCAATGTTCCAATCCATTCCTCTCAGGGCTGGTGAAATGGTGGCCCCGCAATAAATGCCACGCATCTCGAATTTACACTTTGATCCGAACAGAGACTGACGATGTCACAGGTTGATTTTTGTTTCGATGACCAACATTCTCTTGCTCTCATCACTGATCAGTTTGATGAGCATGAGTATGGAAGGGGTGGGTTCGGTCGCGGCGCGTAAATGATCACATTTTACTAATCTTACGGATATATCCCAGGTCATGCTTCATGCTCGTGAGGAATACCTTTTTCAGTGAGTACCTACATATACTTTTAAAATTTGCACTGCCCCCAAAAAAGTGACCATGTCGCTAATGTGAACAGGTTATCCATCTATGTTCTGGAAAGCATCAATTCTCGACGCCTGACATACTTTATGCCCCCCTTGGTGAGTCAACGCCGAGAACCCTTGAAGGCTTCTGTCCGTGTTCTGGAACACCGAAAGCTCACATGCCACAAAGAATCTTATCCCACTCCTTTGCATTCGCCCCATGCGACTGTTTCTTTCCGCGGGAACGGTCCGTCGCGTGCGCATTGTCCTCCTGCGCGCAACTCACCTCCCATTCGTCATGCTCATTTGGGTCTATGAGTCCAGCTGGCGCCATCTGAATCAACGGACTACCGGTCTCCCTCCACTATCAACGGCAGGACCTGGTGCTTCTGCCGGCGAGCCGAGTGCCTCCAGATGCCAGGACCCACATCATCTTTCCGCAGCCGAAACACGTCCAGGCCCTGGAAATGAACGAACCGACGTGGAGCGGCACGATGTGCGTGAACCAGATTCGGCGCGGGGCAAAGAGACACAGATTGCGGATGTGATCGACGCAATTGAACAGCTTCGAGTGCAAGTGGAGCGCGTAGCTACGACGTTCGCGCAGCCGCCGGCCCGCTGAAGCAGATTTGTGACAGGTACTTTACAAGATGAAAAGGAGCTAGGTCGTTCATCCTCGAAGGGGCTACTTCCCAGGTGCTTACAGCCACGCACGCCCCCTGCGCGACGATGTGGAGCCACCCCGACTTCTCGAGTTTGAGGGGACACTACTCCGTACTCCGTACTCCGCACTCCGTAGATCGGATATAATTAGCGGCCCGGGGCGTTCTTCGGGGCTTTCTTTTCCCATCTGTTCCCTTTTGTAGTAATTCTATCACCGAGTCCGCGTACTACATAGATCAGCCTCTCAACCTTTGGGGTGCGTAAGGTGGGGCCGTCCACGATGCTATACATATCGACGGCTCGTAAGGGCGGTCTCGCATCTAGTGATAGTTAGATGGCAAGTCTTGCCTGATCGAGCAAAAGATGGATGTTTCGCAGTCAAACTTGAAGGGTTTGGAGGGGGCGGCTGTGTACGGAGTGTAAGATCAGGGAACATCGCTGTCAAGGACACTGCATATCGCCAAGCCAGCACCCAAAGTACCGGGCTCCTGTCGTGATTCTGTATGGTTGAGGAAGGCCACCCTTCACGCATGGGATTGCATGGGACGCGACGCTGTTGGGCAGACCGGTCCGGCGGTGATGGAGGGAATGGTTAGCCTTTCCCAAAACCATAGGTTGCAGCCGCCGTTATTTGCGTTTATTCGCAGGTCGGGGGTTTCTTTTGGCCTCTGGCCTCTGCACGATGCCAATCTCCCGTGCCGTACTCAGAGTTCTGTAATTTCCCTGATCCATGAACCTGTGTCCCGTTCTCTGCCATATCCGATACCTAGACTAAGCCCGGAAGAGTCTGACTTGCCTAACCCATGACATATCACTTGCCCAGGAAGCATCGGGCATCTTTGATCGCTCTTCTCCGGCGCTAAATCTATGGTGCATGGGTACTGAATACAGAACTTGCAGACCTAAGACCTCATCGATCTCCTTTCCCCCTCCCCCCAGGCCGTTAGTCGGTCACCCCACTTATCGTTCCCACCGCATTTGCAGACCCGCCTTCTCTTTGAAAATCTGCCTTGCCCGGTGAGGCGTCAACGTTACTCTACTCTTCACCACCGATGCGGCGCAAACTCGTCTCTCGTCTTGTGTCCGCTTGACGTCTCTCAGCCACCGTCCATGTATGCTGCTACTCGTCGCCAACAGCTCTAGCTGTTTCATTCATTATTTATACTCCCGTCGCTTCCGCAATTACACCTTTTTCTATAGACTTGCTTTGCCTTCGCGTTTGAACCCTCTATTTGTCGAGTCTCTTGTGATAGCTAGGCTCTTAGCACAGTTGTCATGGATCAGCCTCCTGGGTCATACGGTCGTTCTACGATGGCCCGCTCGTTGCCAGAAAATGTACAGACCTTTGATGCATCGTCAAGCTACCCGTCGCCAGTCTCCGCGACGACTCCTCAAGGATTAGGGTTCTCAACCGTTGGGTTGGGCATCTCTGGCTGTGGCCTAGAGCCCGGCTTCAACAACCTCAGGGTAATTCCCGGTGCAGTGCCTTTTGCAGCTTCCGCAACTGCCCCGAGCCAGATGGTTCCCATTGAAAGTTACTACGGCATCACTATGAAAGTCGACGATTTCTCCAGGCCGTGCTTCTCGGTCCACAATGGCCTCCCGCCCGCCTCCGACTCTCCGATCAATCTCTACGACTCCCAGACCATGGGCGTATCCCCAAGCTACAATACCTCCTTAGAGGTTGGTGGACAGGGCACTTTTACACAGTCGCTTGATTCCTGGGCTCCGACGTCGTGTTCCGGACCGACAACTCCACTGGAAGCCGTTGTCGCCACCGGTCATTGGGATCAGCCCTACTTTCCAGAGTCGTGCATCACCGCGAACCCACCGAGATTACCGATCAGCAGCGGTCCGTACCATCATATGGCAGTCACAGGGGGAAGCAGACCGCCCACGAGTCATTACCACGCAGCACGACTTTCTTCTTCTCCTCGCAGCACCACTTCATCTGAATGTGTCATCCCAAATATCCCCCAGAAAGTCAATAAAAATCACAGATGCAGCAAAACTCAGATGGACAAGGACATGGATGGGGGACGCAAATGTCGCGTGTGTGGTTTCGTCTTTACCAGACGCTCCAACTGCACGGAGCACGAGAAACGACATGACCCCGGCTTCAAGAAAGTCTTCTGCGACGAGTGCAAAAAGGCATTTGGGAGAAATGCGGATCTCCGGAGGCACATCGAAAGTGCAAGTCAAGTGACAGAGTCCGACAATGATACGTGCTGACTTGGATCCAGATTCACCGAGGGGTGCGCAAGCATGTCTGCAAGTGGTGCGACCTTAAATTAAGTCGACTTGACTCCCTGATCAAGTGAGATGCATTCGTGGACCAATTATTTTGCAATTCGTATACTGAGACTTTCCTAGACACTCGGAAGGATGTGAGATGCGACCCTGCGGCGCAACTTCCTCTGCTATACGTTTCCCTGCCAAACAAGACGTTAAGCCCCCGTCAGCGTCGGCCCAAAAGCTGTCCTCCAGGCGCCGTTGCTCCGGCTCTAAACATTAAGAAGGGTTGCTTCGCACACGGCTCTAGGATCCGGCATTCCCTGCGAGCTTCTTTCCGGACGCTTTTGTATACTCTGACTTACGAGTTTTGGTGGCCAAGAACCATGCTCGACAACTTTGCTTTTACCCCAATAAACTCATAGCATTTAGCATTTCAGTGAGGCTGGACTGATTTCCTCCCTCAGGCGTTGCATTTCGGGATGTTTTTTCTTTCTTTTTCTTGTACTACGACGCATTAGTGATGGACCACGAAGGCGGCAATTTGATTTGGCTTCGATTTGTTTTATTACTGTTGTTTGTCAATTGATCATTATCTATTAGCATTACAAGCAATGTTCACGTGTTGGTGTGATATCATTGCAGCCGTCTCAATAGGCTGGCGCGCGGTAAGCCGGAGCCCATCGGTTACTGAGCGGGTCCTTGGTACCTTTGCACTTGCAGCGAAAGTTGGCTGCCACTTGAAAGATTAGACAGAACATTAACAAAAGGCTACGTTTGTTCTCTAGCACGTTTCATGCATGCTACCTCGATTTCCAAGCGGGTCGCTCGGGCAAATGCAAACCGCGATAGCCCCGCGAGCCTGCAAATTCCCCTCACGTAGCCCCTACACAACCCACCAGCCTGCCCCTAACTATCTTAGCTTCGCAAAAAGAACTGGGATACCCCTTCAGCTTTGAGCCTGTTAAAGTCTCGACTCTTGCCGTACTCCACCCCTCAAGGGCGAGTCACACGCCAAGATGGGGGCCGGAGGGGATCTTCGAGACAGTCTGGGCTATGATCGGCGACGTTAAGGGCGATTGGAGACACAGAATCACTCTCTCATGGCGCAATGTGCCCGGGGAACCTTCGGAAGCGGCCCAAGCTCCTAAGCTAGCTTTGCAGGGTGGTGACGAAGTCCGACAATCGTCGTGTGATTCAAGGGTATCAAGCTAGACATGGTGGACCCCACAGGCCACGGTGAGATTTTGGCCCCCGACGACTGCCCGAACGCAATGGGTGTCAAAACTCCGAGATGGATTGGCAGGATTCAAGAGGCTGAGACACTGCTGTATAGATGTTGAGTCCTTCTTTTCCCTGAAGAGGTAGTTTTACCATTGCACAATTGGCAAGGCATCAACCGGTGTTGGTATCTCGCTATCTCCACCTGTGGTCCATGCCAACTTGTTAGCTGGCCGCTGTCCTCGAATGAGAGTTGGCGCAATCCCAGCAAGCAACAAAGCAAGTCATCGCGCCTGAATGTCGATTGTCGGTCTGAGTTGGTTCAGAATAGCTGACGTTTCAACGGGACGATCGAGCATCGATCTGGGGGTGGACTTTGTACGGAGAACCCTCGAATTACTGTACCTGATGCAAAATCAAGGTGGCGGGTGTGATTTCCCTCGGCCCCCTGAGCCGGAATAGATCAGGGAGATGTCACAGACGCTAAAGCGTCGGTGGAGATTGCCCTCCGGAATGATGATCATTAGTTCCTGTAATCCTCGTATCGGGCCTTAGAACAGACGCCACGATTGCAGTGCGAAAGAGGGGAAAGTGTCGTCAGGGGCATTTCATGATCGGCAGAAAAGCTATGACCCAGGGGCGCAGAAAGAAACCGTTGCGATTGCAAGGATGAAACAGCCGCTGGGAGATTGATTGAGCGTCGATCAACCAAGATTCGCGCCTCCACAGTATAAAGGTTGGTTCCGCCAACGAGAAGACGCAAAGCAATGACAAAAACATCCCGGCCGCAGAGCTTGGACGCATTGTCTCATTCCACTGAAATTTCAGGGGTTATTTTATTTTTAGTTTTTTTTTTTATCACACACTAGCCTCGGGTGTCTTCTTCGCAGACACAAAGTAGTGGTACGATGGCAACCCGTACCAGGGCCCCTTGTGGTGACGCACCCTGACCCTATCTACACTGTGCCACCGTATTTGATCCTTCTACGTTGGGAGGCCGATTCCGCTGACAAGCTTAAGTTTGATCAAATGCATGATAATAGACAAGACTTTATTGTGGGCACGAATAAGCCTTCTAAAATTAGCCCATCCAATCAGTCTTCCTATTCATAAAAGTTTCTTTACAAGTATCCGCGACCACGTCTTTTGAACGCAATCGTGGTTTTCATACGCCGCATTTATAAAGTGAGATGTTTACTCTGCATTGAAGCCCCTCACATAGAAGAGTCATTCCAAAGTCATTTCACTTAGGACTTGGATACTTTTGTGTCCACCGGTGTCGCCGCAAGCGAGTCCGACCAGCCGTCATCAGTCCCTTCTCTGTGACTTGGTCGGTCACTACCCGCACGGTTAGCACATTTAATTCGTAGAGTAAGAATGAATGAACGGAAACAGGTCAAGATCAGACTTACACACACCTTCGCTTCTCCTTAAGATCAAGATGTCGGACGACCAGAGTGGCAATGATCAAAACGACCGATAGACAAGAGGTTGTGATGAAACCCTTGCGGTATTCGGGTGCATCCACCTGCTGCCACACAATCAGAGGTAGCCATGCCTGGATGACATATGCCATCTCGTTCATGCTTCCAATGACGAGAGATCGCTCTTCATTGTCTTCGGAGCAAATTTCATGAGCCCAACTGTCGAGAATGGTTAATGTGTCCGACGGGGAATCTTATAGACGCAGTTTCACTCACGCCATTAGGAGACCACTGAGTCCAAATCCAGCACCACAGATAATGTAGCAAGTCCACTTCCAACACACTGGGATGTCCCATACTGTCAGCGGGACATAACTGATGATATTCACCATCTGGATGTTGTGAGCTTCTTGGTTATGACTGGTCCGCGGAGCGGTTGAACTCACAGCAACGAAGATAATGGGTGGCCATCGCATCCCGTTGAGGAAAGTGTCTGAAGACCCTTTATTTTGTTAGGTATAAATTGACCGACAGCTCAGCAGCATCGACTTACAGGCATAAGCAAGTGTGGTGACGACTTGAACAATGTAGGTGGTTGTAGGATATGTGTTGATCTGGCCGACTGAGTATTTGTGGTCTTTTGACGCTTTGGGAAACCTGACAAGAATGCTGAATGAATTCCTTTTCGGATCACACAGATTCAAACTTACTGTTGAAACACTGGCTGAGCTCCAGCAGCGGCATTGTTGAAAAGACTGTGGTTCGAGGGTAAGCGAATTATCAAAGAAAGGCCTAATCCCACTCACACGTAAAGTACATAGTGTAAGAAGGTAGATGTGCCATGAAGAGAAGATTTACATCAGTTTTGCTTTAGTGAATGACCCTATATCCTGTCTACCCTCTAGTTCCATCCGCTTTTGCGCCAGTGCAACTTCCTGATACGATATACGATCATGGATGTTAACGTAAATATTCGACCAGGAACGTTTAGACAAGGACGTACCTCTTGGCTGAGATACCATGGAATGGTGATTTCCGGCACACCTGGCAAGACAAAGAAGCCGCTGAGAGCAATCGGGAGAGAAATAACTCCATCAATTTGAAAGAGCTTGTTCCGTGTTGGACCAGATATATTCCCTGCGCTCAGTTCTGCCTTACCATTGCCACCCATTGAAACCCCCTCCCCCGCCTAGTTAATACACGGCATCCTTGAAATACCCAGAAAATATGCTAGTAATACCGCTGCTTGTGTGGAAAATGCATGATCGTTTGGCTAGCTCATTTTTGCGGTACCACGCCCCGATGATATATTGCATGCCAGGGTAAAAAATGCTCTCGGCGAGACCTTGAAAGATCAGATTAAAAATTGAATTATACATGACCAGTACGTCGCCAGCGTACATACCGATCAAAAACCTTAAAGCATAGAACTGGGTAGTAGTGTTGCATCTTGACTTAGAAAACGTGAGCACGGTCCAAAGAAGCTGGACAAGTTAGTGGACCTCACCATGGGTGGGACATCCATGATCTTGTCTCTGCAGCTAGAATCCAGTATCAAGGTCTGATACGCTTCAACAGTATGTTACTCGGAATCTCGCCGATAACGTAGCCCACGGTCCAGCATGTCTGCATATAATTTAGTTGATTGCCGTAGAGATCCATGTCCTCTTTCCTAGATACTGTCAGTCCATTGCGACTGCAGGAGTTTGTCTCACAACATACACTCCAGACACGAAACCATTGTTGATGTTGGTCTGATCAAGGTACTTTAACCTGGAGTCCAGAAAAACGCCGAGTCAGCAAAAAAATCGAATCCCATCTGTCACAATCGCCGGATCATTGACCAAAGTCGCAGGTATCCCGGGCTCATTATATTGCGGAAGGAAAGGTAGCACCATTTGGTAGCCCGTGCAGAGGACGATTATGTCGATGTCATGTAGTGTGTGACTGGATTTGAGTTTCGTAACTAGAGGTATGTGCTTGTCTGAAGACGTCTCAGACGAGATTACGTCGAATTATATCACTTCCTCGATTCGCGATGTGCATCCAGGAAGTGCGGTGGCTGGAATGTCGAAGGCGCCATTTCGGGTGCTTTGATAGAAATGTTTGGCGACCAGGCTGATTTCGCGAGCTATATCCATCGAGGACACTCCGCCTCCTATCAACAGTACATTTTTTAATAGAGTCAGTATTGGAAATCTTTCTTCTTTGTGTTGTGTAAAACTTACCTTTCGGAGTTTCGGAATGACTTGGAATACATGATCTTTGAAGGCCATTTGGCTTTTGCCTCAGCCAAGCCGGTAATATTAGGGATGATACCTAAGTGTTTTGAATGACCACTACCATGCGAACTATGAATCTGGCTATAGTTCAGATATACACGCGCTGAAGAGAGCTTCTCACCCCTTGTCACCCTTCTTTCAAGCCTTAATTCATTGCATATTCCCCCCCCACTTCCACCTGACACCCTTGCACAATGCATAGCAAATACTCGGTTGTTGCATAGTGTTGCCCTTTCCAGGTGGACCAGCTAATGATCGGGCAATTCCTGAATCTCGGATCGTTACCTGGTTTATCAGAGTAGTAAATTGCCCGTATATAGCCATTAGTATCTGAGGATATCACTGCGATTAGCAATGAAAACCAGAACCTATTTAAATGAGCGAATATTTTCGAAGGTGGTGGCGAATATGTTGAACTGTTGAAGGGTCCAACTGCCGATCCCTACCGCCCCGGGGAAAGTGCTGCCCCAAAGCCACCGCCCGCATTTCGCATTCCCTTTTTGTTTCTTCAAATTGTCACGAGAGCCACAAATACACAGGCAATTGTTCAAGATGAGTGCTACTATGACAGTCACAGCCCCGCCGGAAATCACGGCCGACAATGTGGCTACCCTCTTCCCCGATGTCGATACCTCCCTGGCTCGGAATGTCCTCCCCACCGCCAACAGCAACGCCGCTCACGAAGGGGCTGAACTCGAGGGTTACGACGAGGAACAGGTTCGTCTGATGGACGAAGTCTGCATTGTCTTGGATAAGAATGACCGCCCTATTGGCAGCGCCAGCAAGAAGGCCTGTAAGTCTTAGCCTCGGAGGTACCCACGGTTCATACCTTAGGGAGGGGCAGTGGCGGTCACCTCAGATTGCCAGGAACCAGCACTGACGGAGGCTTTCTCTCCAGGCCACTTGATGACCAACATTGACAAGGGTCTCCTGCACCGTGCTTTTTCCGTTTTCCTGTTCGACTCCAACAAGCGCCTCCTTTTGCAACAGCGCGCCACCGAGAAGATCACTTTCCCCGACATGTGGACCAACACCTGCTGCTCTCACCCTCTTGGAATCCCCGGTGAGACCGGTGCGGAGCTCGATGCTGCCATTATGGGCGTGAAGCGCGCTGCGCAGCGGAAGCTGAACCACGAGCTGGGCATCAAGGCCGAACAGGTGCCACTGGACAAGTTTGAGTTCTTTACCAGAATCCACTACAAGGCCCCGAGTGATGGAAAGTGGGGTGAGCACGAGGGTAGGTCATAACCATGGACTCATAGGGCTGGGTGGTCGCTAACATCTTAATAGTGGACTATATTCTCTTCATCCAGGCAGATGCCGACCTGGAGCCTAACCCGAATGAGGTGCGGGATACCTGCTATGTCTCGGCGGACGAGCTGAAGGCCATGTTCCAAAAGCCCGATTTGAAGTTCACTCCCTGGTTCAAGCTGATCTGCAGCTCGATGTTGTTCGAATGGTGGAGCCATCTGGGCACCCCGGCCCTGGAGAAGTACAAGGGCGAGACGGAGATTCGTCGGATGTGAGAAATGTTCAGAAATCTCCATCTTTCTTTTCTTTCTCGATACGTTCCCCGATACCTCCGTTTCGTTTCACCTACGCATTGCACCATCTTACATACCATATAATCCACTACATCGGAAATATTTTGGACATTTCTTTGAATTCAAGGAACTCAAGCGATTGACTTGGTTCATTCTGATATTAGCAAAATGGGCAAATGTCGGTCATGACATGAATATATGAATGCAGGCAGATAAAAGGCACCTGCTATGTACAATGCAATGCAACGCTTCCACATCCCAACGCCATGGCAAAACACAAGAAATGCAAAGTCGGAGTATTCACGTAGCCCGGTTCGTCGACAAAAAGAGGATACAACTGCCCAGGATCACAGTGCCGATCACCGTAAAGACGACCTGGGTCTTCCAACCGCTCTGAACAAGAGCCGCCTTGCGGCTGTACTTCATAACGGTTCGAGTGTAGTTGGCGAACCCATTAGTCAGACAGGTCAGACTCAGGAGCCAGAAGATAATGCCAAGGGGAAGAGCCATGTTTCGCTCCAGAGCGGAGGGCTGTTCACGGAAATGGAAAGAGATGATGATCGCGAGAGAGACGATGGCTAGGTACATGGAAAGGCGTAGCCAAGAAAGAAAAGTGCGCTCGTTGGCGCAGTGGTCACGGGCATCCGAGCTTGCATTTTCGAAGAGCAGCGCTCCCAAAAGAGGTCGCGAGAAGAGGATGTGGTGCTGATCCTCGATATGTCTACGAGCGATGTTAGTGCCTATGCAAGAGTGTGGAGAGGCGATAGGCGACTGGGGGTACAACAACGAAAATGATCATCCGGAGCCCATACAACGACGATGAAAACAAGCAACAAGAGCCCCGGGATTTCAAAAGGACGAGGAAACTCGTGTGCCGCAGGCCCACAGTCTCCACGGGTTTGTTTGGACTTACTCTTCTACCAATGCGGGCTTCGAGTGAGCCGGGTTGATCAACGGGTTGTAGCGGTCCGGTGGAAGGGCGTCGGTAGGCTGATTCATGATCGAGGTTACCGGGGAATCGTGAATGAAATTCCCAAAAAGAGCAGTACGAAGAGACGAAGAGCGCGGGCCTCCAGGTTCAGGTGTCACCTGACCCCCGCTTGCGGTTGATGTCAATCATCAAATCACCTGTCATATATCTCCCAAGTGCAAGTATAACGTATACTTTTCTTACTGTTTTTTTTTTTTTTTTTTTTAAATTCTGCGCATTTCAAATCAATTGAAATGTAGCTTCTCTGAAATATCGCTAGGCCAAATGGCATCTGGGCTCTTATCTCTTTATGCCTCAGGCAGAAATTGGAGATCTCCTTTCACTACCCCGTTATTTTCCAGTGCCAACCGTATATGCGGTATGAAAGAGAAACCAACCAACATGGGATGTCTGGGTACCGTACGTAGAATGCTCGACTGTTCAAATGCTTATATCACCTGCATGTCCTGGCAGACAATCCTGTAACACGAGTCTTGGAACATCTTTAACATTGTCTTTCTGAAGCTCTAGAAAATACACTTCTGGCCAAACCCAGACACGGAGAAAATAAATCGACGTGAGTCGCTGAATATAGTATTGAAGTCTCTGATAATCGGTGAGAACGATCACGGTGGGTCGACGGGTCGACGGTGGAGCCGCGATAGCGTCCTTGAATTGCCGACTCATGCACTCGAGTCACCTTGCCTCACGGCGATTGGAGGCTGATTGCGCAGATCTCGCGTGGATCCAGACTTCGGTAGGTGATACATAGACTTCGCCAATTTCGTGCGCCTCCGCCTTGCCTGATCGTTGCACCGGAGGCGACTAGAGCAGGAACGGCGGCCGCGGACCTCCCCACTTCCAAAGGACCCAGCGTAACCCGTATTTTCCTTCTTCGAGCTTTCAGCCTCCAACTTCCTCTTCCAGTGTCCTTGTCCTCCTCTGTAGGCAGAGCTCTATAGATGATGCAGGCCGTGCTGTAAAATCCTTCCCCCCTTCATGGCGCCCCGCAACACGATCTCCGCGGATTCCGCCGAGTATCAGACTCCGTACGGCCGATCCTTCACCTCCAGCTCGCCCATTGCTGCGTCAATCATTGCCCGTGACCTTGCTCATTACGCCGACGAAGACTCCATCACCACCAACGAGACCTCCGATTCGTCGACCGTACGACCGTCCAGCAGCCATGCCGGGACCAACCCTCACTCCTTGGCCGGCTCTTATCGCCGCCCGGGCTACTTCACGACCGTCAATCATACCACCGTGATCCCTTCCAGCGGCGACTACCAGCCCTTGACACAAAGCGAACGGGAACAGGCTATCGAAGAAGAGCGGCATCTGTTGAGCGATAACAATGTCATCCCTCCGGAGCACGCCCACGGGCAACCCAATGGATTACAACGTAGGCTGAGCAGCCTATTCTCGACCTCTGCTCAAGAGAGTTCTTCCAAACAGTATGGGTCGGTCAGGAGCTCCGTTCAAAGCTCGACCGATGTGGATGCCGAGACCGGAGTTGTGGCCACCGAGTCCACGGCGTTACTGGGAACTCCCCGGTGCGATGGAGACCCGATGGGACCGGAGGAGATCGATCGGAAATGGGAAGAGGCCGTGACAGCTGGGCTGATCAACACGACTTGGCAACGGGAAGCCCGGGTCATTGGAAGATACTCGGCGCCGTTGATGGCTACCTTCCTGCTGCAATACTCGTTGACAGTGGCGAGCATCTTCACCATCGGCCATCTGGGCAAGGAGGAGCTCGGAGCCGTCAGTCTGGCCAGTATGACTGTCAGCATCACCGGAAACGCCGTTTATTCAGGTCTGGCCACCAGTTTGGATACGCTGTGCGCCCAGGCGTACGGATCCGGCAAGAGGAAGCTTGTCGGCCTGCAGATGCTGCGCATGGTGTTTTTCCTGTGGCTGGTGACTATTCCCATTGCCATTCTGTGGTACTTTTCCGAGCATATTCTGGCGAAAATTGTGCCGGAGAGAGAGGTGGCTAGAATGGCTGGTCTGTATTTGAAGGTTGCTCTGCTGGGAACACCGGGATTTGCTTGTTTCGAGAGTGGCAAGCGATATCTTCAGGCCCAGGGAGTTTTCTCGGCATCTTTGTACGTGCTGCTCGTCTGCGCGCCGTTGAATGCGTTCATGAATTGGTTCTTCGTCTGGGTAAGTTGCTCTTCCTGTATCTTGAAACCTGTTGATACTAACAGCACCTGCAGAAACTCGAGATGGGCTTCGTCGGTGCACCTATTGCCGTTGTCATCACTGAGAATCTGATGCCGCTATGTCTCTTCGTATATGCCTACTACTTCGTGGGCTCTGAATGCTGGAGTGGATTCACTAGGCGAGCCTTCGAGAACTGGGGTCCCATGATCCGCCTCGCCCTGCCGGGTTTGATCATGGTGGAAGCCGAGTGTCTGGCATTTGAGGTGTTGACCTTGGCATCAAGCTACCTTGGCACCACCGAGCTCGCTGCACAGTCAATCCTTTCGACCATCTCAAGTATCACATGGCAGATTCCCTTCCCTTTGTCTATCGCCGGTAGCACGCGCGTTGCGAACCTGATTGGCGCCAGTCTTGTCGGCGCTGCGAAGACATCGGCTAAGGTGAGCTTCTGCGGCGCTACCATCGTCGGCCTGTTCAACATGGTTCTGCTCATGTGTCTGCGAAACTACATCCCGATGCTCTTCAGCTCGGATTCCGAAGTAATCGATCTGGTCGCGCAAGTGCTTCCTCTATGCGCTGCATTCCAGCTCTTCGATGCTCTGGCTGCCAACTGTAACGGTATTCTTCGCGGTCTTGGCCGCCAAGAAATTGGTGGATACATCCAACTATTCTGCTACTATGCTATTGCCATGCCCATCAGTATGGGAACAACGTTTGCATTGGGCTGGGGTGTGATGGGTCTGTGGACCGGTGTAGCGCTTGCTCTTCTCCTTGTGTCTGCGGTTGAGTTTATCTTCATCGGCCGGATCAGTTGGGAACGGTCTGTTGAAGAAGCGCGGCTGCGGAATGAGCTGACCTAATTACGGGTCCATGTATAAGCTGCATGAATTTTATATATGATACACCTGACGAAAACTTTGCCGATTTGATATATTTTGTTCTCATGATGAACCAGAATGAAGGACAAACGGGCTCTATAGATGGTGTTCGCGGGACCGCTTACACGGGCCAAAACAAATGTCATATATAGTTGGAATGTCAATTAGAATGCAAGATGAATTCATGATATCATTTGAGACTGCACACGGCTTCTAACTGAATGGTCAACCCACACCATGGATTCTAATACTCAAGGATTGCCCATGTCTGTTCATCCATAGTCGAGAAAATAACACCTGCACCGAGCAATTCTTCACCAGCACGCGCCACGTCCGTAGCGGGAAGGTTGAGCTTTGAGGCAATCTGCTGCATGTGAAGACCGGTCTCGTCCTGAGGGTCGGTCTTGAGCAAGTTATAGATCTTCTTAGCCAAGGGGGACATGGACATGAGAGCCCGGTTCTGGCCAGCACCATACTCATCCGCGCCGCCCATAACGGCATCGCCAGTAGCAGCATTGGCACCGGCGCCGGGGCCACCAGGGGGTCCACGAGTGAAGAACAGATGCACGGCAGTAGCCTCGAGAATGTGACAGTGCAGCTCGTTGATGTTGGTCAACGGGCGCACGCTATGGGCACCAATATAGCGCTTGTTGCCGAAGGACTTGATGGCTCCGAACACACGGGCGTATCCGTTCAGCTCGACCTCGCTCTTGCCATCGGCAGGTGCCTTGCCCTCGTCTGTGTCCATGCTGTCAGCCGTAGCCGAGTCCACCCATTTCTTGACCTCGACTTCGCCCGTGCCGTCGTCGATCTTGTATGTGATGTTCGTGCTCTGGGAGCTGATGTTGCGCACCTGGCCGACGAAGAGCACGTTGGCCACGTCCGCGCCGTCGATCTGGTAATTGGCCTCTGGGTAGGGTTGCGAGGCGTCGGCAACCTGCTTGACTGTGACAGGGCGGAGGGTCTTGTTATCGCGGTCACCAGCCTATTCAAGCATTAGTGTTGATGCCACAGAAAAGCAGCAATCCATCATACCTTTCCGCCGGAAGGGCTGTTCGTCTCGCCGGGCATGAAGCCACCGCCGCCAGACCCGCTGAAGGAGTTGTAATTGTTGTAGTTGTCTGAATGAACATGTTAGTATGCGACTGAATACACGTCAAGCCGGGTCACATACCCATGATGAAGGAGTGTGTGAGTAAACAGGTGAGAGTCGTAAAATCATTTTACCTCATCGGGCGAGCGTGTCGCGCGTCGCGGGGAGCATGTTTGTGCTGTTTGTACATCGCTCACCGCCTTCAGTTTCCTCGATTTTTTTTTGCGGCGAAGTTGACCGGCTGTTTCGACGCAGACTAACACCTTGAAAAGATATTTTTCAAGTGTGGAACCGTCTGGAGATTTGATATTCGGTTGTTTTATCGGCTTTTCATTCTTCCAACATCCTTTTGCTCTCTTTTTCGACGAATGATCAAACTGTTTAGTCGTTACCATCTCTATTTCCGCCTTTGATCGGCGCATCACCTCGAGGTTTCAACAATGCCTCACCGCGAGTCGTCTCCGGCCATGTCGGAAAACGAGTTCGACATCACGAACTCGCTCTTCCAGCATGACAGCGACTCCGACAACGATGGTGACACCAAGCCCCGTCAGAAGCACACTCCCGCTCAAGACCTCGACTTTCTCGGTGCCGATGACGATGATGACGAGGCCTTCATTGCGAATCGGCAGGCATCTGCAAACCGAAAGGGCGCCAACCTCAAGGGCCGGACCGTGAAGAAGGGTGGTGGCTTTCAGGCCATGGGTCTGAATGGCAAATTGCTCAAGGCAATCGCCCGCAAAGGATTTTCAGTCCCGACTCCTATCCAGCGCAAGACGATCCCCGTGATTATGGACGACAAGGATGTAGTGGGTATGGCCCGTACTGGTTCCGGAAAGACGGCCGCTTTCGTTATCCCCATGATCGAGAAATTGAAAGGCCACAGCAACGCATTTGGAGCCCGTGGATTGATTATGTCGCCCTCTCGAGAACTGGCTTTGCAAACGCTCAAGGTGGTCAAGGAGATGGGCCGTGGTACAGATCTACGATGTGTGCTCCTCATCGGTGGAGATAGCTTGGAGGACCAGTTCGGAATGATGGCAGGCAACCCTGACATTGTCATTGCGACACCAGGTCGTTTCCTGCATCTGAAGGTCGAGATGGATCTGGATCTCTCGTCTATCAAGTATGTCGTCTTTGACGAAGCTGATCGACTCTTTGAAATGGGTTTCGCTGCGCAGTTGGCCGAAATTCTTCACGGCTTGCCATCGACACGCCAGACGCTGCTCTTTTCCGCTACCCTCCCCAAGTCGCTTGTTGAATTCGCACGAGCTGGCTTGCAAGAGCCCAGCCTTGTCCGTCTGGATGCCGAGAGCAAAATTTCCCCTGATCTTCAAAATGCCTTCTTTGCGGTCAAGTCGTCCGACAAGGAAGGTGCGCTTCTTCACATTCTACACGAAATCATCAAGATGCCTACGGGACCAACCGAAGCTACCATGAGGTTCAAGGAAGGCTTCAAGGATCGGAAGCGCAAGAGGGACGGGGAGAAGGGCAGCAGCTGGAAGGAATCGCCCACCGAACATTCCACCATTGTATTTGCTGCCACAAAGCATCACGTCGACTACCTCTACGCTCTTCTTGTTGAAGCTGGCTTTGCTACTTCCTACGCATACGGTTCACTGGACCAAACCGCTCGCAAGATCCAGGTCCAGAACTTCCGAAGCGGCATCTCCAATATCTTGGTCGTCACCGATGTGGCCGCTCGTGGTATCGATATTCCCGTTCTTGCCAACGTCATCAACTACGATTTCCCGTCGCAGCCAAAGATTTTCATTCACCGTGTCGGTCGTACCGCACGTGCTGGCAAAACTGGATGGAGTTACAGTCTTGTGCGCGACGCGGATGCCCCGTATCTGCTCGACCTTCAGCTGTTCCTAGGCCGAAGATTGGTTCTTGGGCGTCAATATGGCAACCAGGTTAACTATGCCGAGGATGTGGTCGTGGGCACGATTCCCAGAGACCCGATGTCCCGGACATGTGAATGGGTTAACAAGGTCTTGGATGAGGTTCCAGACATCCACTCGCAGCGCCAGGTGGCCACAAGAGGCGAGAAGCTTTACATGCGCACCCGAAACGCCGCATCCATAGAGAGCGCGAAGCGAGCGAAAAAGGTCACTTCTACCGAAGACTGGTCCGCCATCCATGTCCTTTTCAACGACGCGACTAGTCAGATGGAAGCTGAGCGAGAGCAGATGCTTGCTCGCATCGGAGGCTTCCGCCCACAGGAGACCATTTTCGAGCATCACAACCGACGTGCCGGCAAGGCCGGCAAGGCTGAAGGTGACGAGGCCATCGAGACAATCAAGCGGATTCGCACCACGGTCGACAAGAAGAAGCAGCGGGCGCATGCTAAGGAGCAGGCCGAGCTGATCGAGATGGGAGGTGGAAACGCCGGAGAGGATGGAGCCGACGAAATCGACGAGGACATCCCCGAAGAAGCCGGGGACAACATGTCCGAGGCTGACGAGTCGGACCTGGAGGTTACCTTCGGCGCCTATTCCCAGAAGAAGGATTCCGGTGATAAATCCAAGGATTCATTTACTGCGTCGTTCCAGAACCCCGACTATTTCATGGGATACACACCCAACAACAGCAATGCCGCCGAGGATCGCGGATACGGTGTGCATTCCGGTACCAACTCCAACTTCACGGCTGCCTCGCGCGATGCCGCCATGGATTTGAATGGCGACGAAGGAAAGAAGGGCTTCGGCGAACCTCGCTCGACCATGCGCTGGGACAAACGTCACAAGAAGTACGTGGCGCGCCAGAACGACGAAGACGGATCCAAGGGCGCTCGACTGGTGCGCGGCGAGAGTGGTGCCAAGATCGCCGCCAGTTTCCGCAGCGGTCGTTTCCAGTCGTGGAAGAAGGGCAAGCGCATGAGCGGCATCCCACGCGTGGGTGAGGCCGAGACGCCCGGCATGGGCACGGACATGAACCCCGCTGGTCGCGGTGCTGGCGGACGGTTCCGGCACCACAAGCAGCAGGCACCCAAACGAGCCGACCCGATGCGACCGGACTACGAAACGATGAAGAAGAAGAACGAGGCGGCGCGCGAGCGACAGGGCCCGGCCTATGCAGGCTCGCAGGGGAAGAGCGAGATCAAATCGACGGACGACATTCGCAAGGCGCGCAAGTTGCAGCAGAGGCGACAGGAGAAGAACGCGCGGCCGCAGCGAAAGAAGCGCTGAGCAGAACCGTCATGTATCCGATCGTCTATGTCTATGTCTATATTTTTGCATTGGAGATACCAACGTTTGTCACCGTCCAGTCATCTGCATTACCGCATTTTGTGCATGGATCCTGCACCGTAGAGGGCTCTATTAGGCGCTAGCTGACTACTCGAGAGCTAGCCGGAGGCTAATGGCTATTCATGTTGAGAAGAGCATTTGGAACCGAGCTACGGATACACGTACATGAACCCACTACGCGACGATCCCGGTCTCGGACCCGGTGAAGCACCGTTAGTGCACGGTACGCTAGGTAGGGTTCACCCGAGGGTGCACCGTGAGTATATCGGGGATCACCCATACTCGGGCTTTTTTGAAAACCCCACGAGGAAATAGTCCCGAATGAGCCGAATAATATCCGGGGCTCGATCGGCGAATTTGACGATCCCGGCAAAATTTGGGACGACGGGACTGGTAGCGCTAAAAAAAAATCCCCTAGAAAAATATCCATGTATCGAGCCCAGATCCAGACCGGGGGCGCACTATTGAAATAAAAGCAGGCGGATCGTGCATGAACGGGGTGACAGACCCCTTGCTGCTCCGCGTGCCGCATGTTCCAGCCGAGCGGCGTAAAGGGGCTGGAGCCGCCTCTTGTTTCCCCTTCGGCGCCGGCCGAGTTGGGAAAATGACGTTATCTAGGGGTGATCAGAGCAGGGCAGGGCAGGGCAGGGCAGGGCGATTGCAGACCCCGGGAGATAACGAGACGAGACCCTGAATGATGATGATACCCGGGTGCAACGGAGGACCAGGGACCCCGGGGACCCTTGGCCGCGCCGACATTGCCGTTTCTGGCCAGAGCTATGATGGATATCTAAGCATGGTCCTTCAGACTTCCAGGGCTTTTTTCCCGCGAACCATTTCCATAGCCGCCGATCCATCCAAACTTCGGGGATAGTGGTACGACCAGGGTCGGGGTCGTGCTTCTGCAGCTGGCCGACTCCCATAGTTCATGTTCATGTTCATGGCAAACTGCACCTGTCGTGCGACCTCGACCCCCCTCGAGACTGCGACGGTAACCCTTAACCTTTGTGACGGGAGAGCAAGGGTCCGGAGAATACACTCTACAAGGTCGGTGGCGAAGACTTGAAACCGGTGAAAAATGTAGCCCGGGGAAGCGTGATCCCGGTGATTTCCAGTGGAGTATGAAATAAGGTGGAAGCCCTAACTCAAAAAAGAGAGCTGGGAAAAAAAAGCTGCACACCGGAAAATCGGAGACGTTCAGTACCCTGGTACGCGAAAGCTCCGTACATGGAGACCAGAGACGGGATCGAGGTGGGTTGCAGTTCCTAAATAACATGATTTCACTTCGTGTATCCGTATCCCCCTCCACAAAAGTACGGAATGCGCATTTCATTGCCGCGACTATTGGCAATGGCTGCGGGTGTCGATCCGTCTATCCCTCACCTTGCGTCTCCCGGTCTTGATTGGCATCCCCCCCCCCTCTTTTTTCTTTTTCTTCGTTTTCTTTTTGTTTTCTTTTCTTTTTTGGAACCCGTTCATTTTTTCACGGTTTCATTATTCGACACTCGGGGCCCCAATCCGTCCTAGCGTACGTACAGGGTGTCACTGACAGCGACTGGTGCCCCGTCCATGCAAGCCACTGCAGCCCGGGAACCGAGTAGTTCGTGCCCCAAAGATGTGAACCGCGGGTCCTAGTTCTTCCTAGCTTGGTAAACTACTGGAAGCTAGCGACTATCGTAACTATTGTCCACCCCGAATGAGGCAAATCCCCACTCCTTCCACCGTTGGATTCCCCCTCCTTCCCACTCCCCCCGAAAAAGGATCTCCGTCACGGTCGATCCAAGTCTATCAGCTACTAGTGAACTCAGCACTGACCATTTTACCCGGTCCCTAGTCTACTTAGTAGTCCCGGACCCGCCCACTTGACCTCTCTCTCTTTTTCGCCACGCTATTTACTGGTTATCGAGCCTGGAACCCGCAGGCCGGGTGTCCTACTCTGGAGAAAAATAATAATAATTAATTGTTATTTGTCGTCTTTTTTTCCTCTCTTCTCCTTTGTGGCTGCCTCCTGCCTTCTACACCCCCTATCATATCCATAGAGGACGAGGTGTATGTGAACGACTGGGTCTAGTGACATACCTGGTGTCTAGCCAGGGAAATCGGCCATCACTTTCGGGTATAGTTCCACCGTTTTCTTATTATTTATTTTTAATTATTTCCCACCCCCTCCCCCCCCCCCCCCCTCTATATCCCACCTATCCCGCTTATTTCCACCCCTGGAGGAGCACGAGAGACACTAGAGGCAAGGCGTGGAGAGAGGGGGGCTTTGACACGCTGCAGCGTGATCCTAGCTCGATGATCGACCGCCATTCTGCAATAAAGACGCCCGAAGGGAAAGACATGCGCGGCTATGAGTAACGCTGCTGTCACGATCTGGAAATCTCCCGCTGATCGATGCAGTCTATTTTCTGACTCCTCCAATAGCGGACTCATTCCACGGATTATAAGCTTGCCTTCTCCAAGGAGGTGACGAAGACCTTCTGCGTTCACCGCTGACGCTGTATCCTATACTTGCGTCTGCACTGCGTATCCTGTTCCTATTCCTCTTCTCTACCCTTGAACAACCCCTCCCTTCCCTGGTCTTCTCCCTTTCGCCACTACTGCCCTTTACACCCTTTGCACAAACAGGGATCCGCTATGCTGCCTCCAAGTGCGGAACAGAGAGCCAGTGGTCACCTTTTGTGAACGAGCATCCCCACCCAATCCAGAATTTCCCCGTGGGACTCACCTTTCCTTTTCCTGCCGGTCCTCCGATGCAACCACTCGTGCTTCACCCTCCGAGCCTCGCCACCGCCCAGTTCGGTCAGCCCCGGTTCAACTCGGGCCCAGAGCGGCTTCCGTTGAATCGCCCTTGGTCTACCAATGCTCGAGGGTGCAGCCCTAGGGCTTCTGTCCCCCGTCAATCTATGTCTGGCTCTCCTTCTGCTGAGCTGCCCTCGGTGACATCCGGAGAACCAAAGCCGGCTTATCCAGTATCCTCCCCGGTGGTGGTGACGACCGAGGAGCCGGCCTCGTCGTCAACTGCTGCCGTTTCTGCCTCATCAGTTCAGCCTGAGCATCAGCCCGCACAGCTCCCACCCAGGTATGGCGAGCAGAATGCCCCGGCATATGTGGGTTCTCCAAGACCTCTGCCCGGGGCACCTCCGTACCCATTATCAACACTTGAATCTCCAGTTCCAGGCCCGGAAACTCGTTCGTTAGCGCAAAAGTCAACACGGCGAACGAAAGCTCATGTAGCTTCGGCATGTGTTAACTGCAAAAAGAAGCATCTTGGGTGTGACCCGGCACGCCCGTGCCGACGATGTGTTCTGGCGGGCAAAGCAGTAAGTCCTTTCCCTTTCACCTCCGGAAGTTAATAGCAAGCTGACCAGACAAAGTCATCGTGTGTGGATGTCACGCATAAGAAGCGAGGACGACCCCCGCTGAAAGCGGAGGATTCGTCTCATCGGCCCTATACATCACACATGGAGAATCAAGCCGTTTCCGCAGAGGTTCAGCCATCAACGCCCTCTCAACGAAACAGCATGCATCGAGCTACCTCTTCTCGGGAATTACGACCAATGACCGACCTCCAGGCAATGGGCGAGCCAGGACCAGTAGCCGCAGCTATGCAGATGCCTCGAGGCCAGCCGCATCGATGGTCCGCATCTGTGTTTCCTCTAACTCGTCCGATGGACCCTTCGACAACGATATCAAGCGTAGCAGGCAGACGACCGTTCTCTGCATCCGGACCACCAGCATATGGAGGACCACCTCACCCACCCCCTGCTTTCGTGCCCACATCTAGTGGTTTCAATCCGGTTTTCAGAGTTGGAGTCATGCCTCCAGGAATGGAACGTCGATTCCCACAATACCCCAGCCCAGCCCTGCCTCCGCCTACATCGCCCCCGCAACATCCCCCAGCGGGTGTACCCTATCTGTCATACGAATCTCCTGGCAGTACGATCCACCAGCCATTGAGCGACTCCCGAGTTCCCCACGGGCCGCGTGAACCATATCTCGAATCCCCACTTCGACTCCCTCCAATCCACCAGGCAACCGCGAGTACAGGGCCGGTTCATCACCATGCGCATCGACTGAGCGATCCATATCCAACAACCTGGATATCTGCCAGAGAAGAAGCCACGCGAGAGCCGCGCTCCCCAAGTCTCCATAGACCAGCGAGCTCGGTCTTCTCCCATTCGACGCTGCATCAGCGATCCTCGTCCCAAACGGGCCCTCTCGATCCGATCCCCCGACATCTCGGCCCCGTCGAACTCCCATCTCCCGTAACACTAGGGCATTCTCCCTCATCGGGACCACGAGCCGAAACACAGCCGAGCGCAGAAGCCGAAAACCAAGAGCCACGGCCTATCAAAAGGCGTAAGATGGCGCTCGATGACATGGTCAACGGCTAATGCTTGCATTTTGTTCTTGAAATTGTCTACGACATACCAACAGCCCCGGAGGCTCCCTTTTATTGTATAATGCGCAACTCCTGTAGCAGGGTCTACAGGGAAAGATACCCCTATCCAGCGTGGCGAGTACCCTTTAGGTACAAGAAACAGGAAGCACCGTCTGCGATTTCATATCTGTGATCATCGTGTTTATTTCGACGGATTCACAGACTCCGACTTCGGATATTTACACAGCGACGGGATCTGTGCGTTTTCTTTTCTTTTGTTTTTGTTTTATCTGCGCCTCGGTTTGTTGTTTCTGTTCTGAATTGTTTCAGTGCGTCGCTTGAAACGGATGGGCGTCTTGTTTTTACATTTCTTTTGTCGGATTCTCTTCTTTTCTCGCGAGTACCCCTTACAGTTTTTTATACATGGCACGGCGTTTGGCAGAGTGGAAGGGGGCGGGCTCGCATTATTTTTCACCATGACTTTGTTTCCTTTGTTTGAGAATGAGTACATGCATTTGACTGGTGATGCTCGGCATGCAGGAAAAGGAGTGTACATCGGAGGAACGTGCTGGTTTTCACTTTCGAGGCTTGATTGATTACCTTGCCCTACCGGGTCTAGAACGAGACACTGTTTCAGAGATATTCGATATTGTGTGATCATCTCATGGATCATGAATGCATAATGCATAATGCAGAATCAGGTTGAGGTATATCAAAAATAAGTGCATATATATATATATATGTACGTGTATGGAACAAGAAGGTATCACCGCATAAACCCAAGACCCAAAACTAGAAAAACAACCACTGGCCGGCGCGCTGTAACTTGCCCAGCCACCCCTTGCGGCCAGGCACCAGCTCCAGGTCACGATGATAGGGCGTATCCTCCTGCCCTCCATCATAGCGATCCGTGCGCAGGTCCATCTCAGACTTGCGGACGAACTTGGTTCGCTTGACCAGTTTCCATGCGAGGAACATGGCAATCATGATGGGGATCTCGATGTAGTACGAGACAAAATTAACGCTCTGGAAATGCGGGCTGAAGCATTGCCAGCCTTGCACCAGAACCAAAACGGTGTTCAGACCCACGGCGATGATGGGGCCGTAGGGATAGGTCCAATTCTTGAAGGGGAGCAGGTGCTCGATACCCTGGGCGCGGACGGCAGCGCGGAATCGCAGGGATGCGAGGCCGATGCAGATCCAGGACAGCTGGTTGGAGACGCCGACGATGTTCTGCAGCCACGACCATAGTTTACCGGCTCCAATGTAACTGGCACCGAAACACAGACCGCTAATGACGGATGTGGACAAGACGGCAACCCAGGGGACGTGGAACCGGTTCAAGTGGCCGAAGAAGCGGGGCGCATAGCCGTCCACGGCAAGGGAGTAGAGCAGGCGTGAGCCGGCAAACAGGGCGTGATTGGCAGCGGAGATGACCGAGGTCATGATCACGGCGTTGATGAAGCTACCCGCGACAGCACTGCCGGCCTGTTGGAAGACGATGGTGAAGGGGCTGGTGCGGGTGTTGCCATCGGAGAGGTTGGGGTAGTTGTAAGGGACATTAAAACCGACGATAATGATGGAAACCAAGTAGAATAGAATGATGCGCCAGAAGACGTTGCGCACGACCTTGGGCAGGTTCTTGGCGGGGTCCTTGGTTTCACCGGCGGTAATGGCGATGGACTCGGTGCCACCGTAGGCGAACGAGGCTGTCACGAAGACCGAGGCAAATCCACCGATGCCACCGACAAAGGGTGCATCCCCGATGTTCCAGTTTTTGGCACCGATATATTCGTGACTGGTGTTGCCGCCGCAATTCACAGCTATACCAAGAATGATGAATATGATGATCGTGATCACTTTCAATAAACTGAGCCAGTACTCGACTTCACCGTAGACGCGCACGGAGAGCAGATTCAGCGCAATCACCACGATTAAAAAGATCAAGCTGATCGCCCACCCGGGGAAATTCTCGGTCCAAAATTGTAACAATAGCTGTAATGCAATGATATCGGAAGCCGTTGAAACGGCGTCGTTAAACCAGTAGTTCCACGTCAAAGCAAAGCCGAGCGCATCATCCACAAAGCGACTAGAAACAACGTTAGTAAGACCAGCCCCAAAGCGTTAGCGTTGCATCGATCAGCACTTACCCCGCAAAGGTACAGAAAGACCCAGCAACGGGTATGAAAGCCGCCATTTCGCCCAAACTCAGCATCGTGACGAAAACAATGCCGCCGCAAATGGCGTACGCAATTAGTGTAGAAGCAGGTCCACCCTTGACGATGGACTCGCCGGTACCCAAGAATAGTCCAGTACCGATGGTGCCGCCAATAGCAATCATCTGCACCTGGCGTGCCGACAGGCGACGAGCCAATTTGTCGGCATTGACCAAGGGTGTGGTCGAGATATCGCCGACATAGTCCTGGGTGGCCGCCTTGATATCATTCTGTTTCTCGGGGTCGAACGACATCGTGCGTAGAGTGACCCCGAACTTGCACGGAGCAACCGCTCAAAATGGAGAAGCTGCAAGCTGCCATCCCAGTTAGCATGATCAAGTCGACATAGTTAAGAGGTATTCGAGATGAGAACTGACCAGCCCTAAGATTTCGTGACCGGCACGTGCTTTACCCCGGATTCCGTGATAGATATGACAGCGCCCCCGTTTCTCTTGATAGCAACAAAACTAATGAAAAGGAAGGCATTTTGGATCTTCCAAAACCGACTGTCTTCAAGGTGTCAATTCTGCGATGGCGTGATTGCGTGTGGCGATGACTGGATCGGTTGGACCCGCACGCCATGACTTGAGAAAAACTCGATGGGATCCACTTGTTCCTCTCTTGGGACTCTGAAGCCCTTGGCCGCATTGGGAATGTACGGTACGGCTCGGCTGGCCAGGGGCCGATATTCTTATTTTTACTTTCGAGGTACCCGGGTTGCCCTACGTTTCCTGCTGGATTGATGGAGGAATGGAAGCCTGGATGATATCGCTATATACTCATGCACAAAAACAATGCTTTTACTGGCCTCGCTAGCACCAAATCGGAAAGACGCCCAGGATACACCCTCGTAGATATGCACGTTAGCCCAGCAGCCCACTGGCCAGGGCCTCCAGATCTTCCAGTGTCTCGATCTGGGGCTCGGCTCCCTTCTTGTCCTTCTTGTCCTTCTTGCTCTTCTTGCCTGCGGGGGCCTCGTCGAGCTCGCTGGCCGGCTCGGCAAATGTGACACGCGGCTTCTTGCTGGCACGGGGCTCTTCGGCCTCGGAAGCAGAATCGGATCCCGGGATCTCGAAGGGAACGTAGGGAAGGCCCTGGATACCGGCTTCCTCGCCGGTCTCCTCTTCGGCAAGGGCACGATCGCGGGCCCGACGCTTCTCCTTCTTCTCGCGCCTCTTCTCGCGCACGAGCTCCTTGTCCTCGACATCGGCACGGCGAGTACGTTCGGCCTCCTCCGCCACGAAGCGCTGGCGCTGGGTATCGGCGTCGCCGCGGGCCTTGAACTGGTCTTCATCCTCCATCTCGTAAACCTCGTGGGCATTGCCATCGTCGTCGTAGATGAGCTTCGTACCCTTGCCCTTGAACTTGAGCAACTTCTTCTTCGACTTGAGGAGTTTCTCGCGGCGCTTGGAGTCGATAACCAGCGGCTCCTGTCCGTCGATCTGCACCTTCCTGGTTGCCTTCTTCTCAGCAGAGGCGTCGGAGTCGGAGCCACCCTGACCGAGTTCCTCGTCACCTGCAACGAACCGACGCTTGACAGATAGGAAGTCGGCATCCTCGTCTGCGTCTTCACCGGCACCGGCACCGGTGGCAACCATGGTGCCGTCGTCGTTGATAAGTTTGTGGTAGTGGTCTGCCAACACGTCCTGGTTTCGTCGTTCGAACATGCGGTCGTAGCGGGTCCGCACCTGGTTCTCTTCCTTCTTCTTCTCCTTCTTGCTCTCGCCCTCTGCATCTGAATCCTCGTCACTGGAGAGGTGGGCCATCTTCCAAGAAGCATTCTTACGCTCCTTGGTATCGTCTCCCTTGATAAACTTGATGCGTGGTGCACCGGGTAGACCCAAGCTAGCAGCAAAGTCTTCCAGTTTGAGCTCCTTGATATTAAATACCGTCTTGTCAGGCTGCACAAAGCATGATTTGACATATGAAATAAATGCTTTTTGACCCAGGTACTTGAGTTCCGGATCCTTGAAACACATATTTTGCAGCTGATTCTTGATGCTGCTCTGCTTGCTCGCCTTGATATTAATCCTTTCGATCGGCACCTTCTTTTGTTCGAGTCGGCTCAACATACCCTTCTCCTCACTGGGATCGAGGAAAAGAACGGCGCGACCGACACGCTCGTAACGCGCAGTACGTCCCACTCGGTGAATGTAGGTGTCGGCATCTTCGGGGCAGTCCATTTGAATGACCCAGTCCACTGCGGGGAAATCCAAACCACGGGCTGCAACGTCGGTGGCGAAGAGCACCGAGTGCTGAGACTGGGAGAACTTGGTGGTGATATCAAGTCGGCCTCCCTGCTTTTGTCGGCCGTGAAGGTGCATCAGGGGGATACCGGGCTGCAGGTGCCGGAACGACTCGTAGACAAACCGGACCTGCTTTCCAGAGGCCAGGAAAACTACAGTCTTGGACTTGAGATTGCTGCGGATGAAGCTCCACAATGTATCGAGTTTTGAAGCGAGAGGAGTGACGACGTAGTGTTGTTGGAGAGTCGATGGGGTTGCCGCAGCGGCGGCTTCGTGGACAGCGACGTATTCGGGGTCCTTGAGACTGAGACGGGCCAAATCGGAGACCTTCTTCGTCTGCGTGGCACTGAATAGCATGGTCTGGCGCTCCTTGGGGAGATGATCGACAATCGCATCGACGGTCTTTTGGAATCCCATATCGAGGATTCTGTCCGCTTCATCGAAAACTAGCATCTGCATATTATGGGTTTCAAACATGGCAGTCTGATCCAGATGCTGGAGCATACGACCCGGAGTGCAGACCAGAATGTTCATGCGGCCCAGTCGATCTTGTTCCTCGCGCAGACTCTTTCCACCGATCACCAACCCGGCGGAGAAAGCATGGTAGCGGCCCACCTTGCGCAACACCTCGAAAATCTGGATCGCCAATTCGCGTGTCGGAGATAGGATAAGGGCACCCAATCCATCGAGTTCGGTCCACTGCCTGCGATACAGGTTTTCGAGAACGGGAATAATGAAGGCCAAAGTCTTGCCAGATCCGGTCTTCGCAGCACCCAAGATATCGCGGCCCTTGAGAGAATGGACGATAGCGCGCTGCTGGATGTCGGTCAGGGTCTTGAAGTGCGAGGCAGCCAGGCCCTTTGCGGTGGGCTCGGAGAGTGGAAGATCGGAGAAGGCCTTGACGGAGGCCTTCAAGTCGAGATCCTCGACGCGCTGAACGAGTGAGGACAGTGTATCCTCGCCGCGCTTTCGTTTGAGGGTCCGACCGGAGTCATGATGAGTTTTCGGAGGCTTTCCGCGAGAAGTCCGGGCAGGAGCCATGATGCTGTTATTCGTGAAGTTCTTATCGTCGGCGAAACCAAACGATGCAGCTTTTTTTTCTTGCTGAGTCATCTTACGATAAGTCCTTATCAGTGCAGAGACACATTGAACACAAAATCATTCCAAAACAAAGGGCAAAGTACTTGTAACATATTGATGGAGCTAATAGATGAATGTTTAATTAGAGTGCCCTCATTACTATTATAGTCATCCAATCTGCACCCTGTAATGATTATGTAGGACCGTGTATCGTGTGATCAACGCCGAGTAGTTCATGGGATGACTCAGCCACTGATAAGCCGCTTATCTGCGAGTTGGCGCCAGCGACTGCTTGTCACTTCCTCATGGCGGACGACGACCAGGACATTTTCGACTCGCTCGAGCGCGAGGCCTCCGAATTCACAAAGGTATGTCACTCCAATGTTCTCTTATGGGCCTGTGTTAATGCTCAATTCCAGGATGCGGAGATCGACCGCATTCGCAAGGCGTTCTCTCTGGATTCGTAAGTCTCCAGCGACTTTCCCGAGACCTTGGACTAATACACTACCAAACAGCTACGCCGTGCTAGACCTGCAGCCCGGTGTACCAGAGAAGGACATCAAGGTCCAATACCGCAAGAAGTCGCTCCTAATTCACCCGGACAAAACCAAGAACCCAGCCGCACCCGATGCATTCGACCGTCTCGCTAAAGCCCAAACGGCCCTACTAGACGAAAAGCAACGTGCCTACCTCGACGAATGCATTGCCGATGCGCGAAGGCTACTTATCCGCGAGCACAAGTACAATCTAGATTCACCAGAGCTGAAAACTGAGGAATTCAAGGTGGAATGGCGGCAGAAGACCGTCCACGTGCTGCTGGAAGAAGAGGCGCGACGGCGGCGACAGGCCAAGGCGCGCATGCAGGAAGAAGGACGAGAGGCTCGCAAGGAAGAAGAAGAACTGGATGCGCGCAAGCGGAAGCGCGACAATGACAAGGCGTGGGAGGAGAGTCGCGAGGAGCGCATTGGGACCTGGCGGGACTTCCAGAAGGGTCGCAAACCTGCGGGAGACGAGAAAAAGAAAAAGAAAAAGATGAAGGTGCTTGGATAGCCATCAAGCATCGCACGGCGTTAGGGATTTTACAATTGCATTCATAGCTCATAGCTCATAGCTACTATGTAACCTTGATGCTATCTACGACACTTGACTTATCTGCCGTTCCGTCCACGAAGATCCATGCACTTCGACTCCGATAAGCGCCGACGCGGGGTATGTCTCGAACCTTCGATGCAGCTGCAGAGGAGATCGGTCTTATTTCAATGTCCCTCCACAGAAGACTATGATATAAAATAGCCAAGCACTCGGAACCGAGGGACCGTGTTCGCATTGCCCTCCCCACATGGGATTAGACCATTCTGGATTCCCCGAGCGCCGAAACCCACTCTCCCCGCCTTCACCTCAGTCATCTTCCTTCCATAATTCACTACTGTCCACAATGGCCGAGTCCGTGGCACTCGGAGACGAGCCGTTTGAGCCTGTCATGACCGGACCGATTTCGCGTGCGCTAGAACATCTGCGCCCGTTTCCTCCGATCCCCGACTCAACAGGCCACCGCGGGGCCGAGCAACCTACCGATCCGACTAGCTCAACAGCACAGGCTCAGCAGAATGGATCCGCGCATGTACACTATAGCAATGGAGTCATCGACACGAATATCCCTCCTCTCGCTACCGTCATCGAGCGCATCCACGCCCGCGTCCACGCTTTCCTGAGCGAGTCACACCCTTCCGGCTCACTCCTCGCCTCGGCCCAGAAGCAAACCCGCATTTCCCTAGATGTGGTGTCCAAAGCACTCTCCCAATATAAACTATCCGAATTGTCCCTCTCCTACAACGGCGGCAAAGACTGTCTCGTCCTCCTAATCCTCTTCCTGGCCGGCCTGCACCCCTACTCCCAGCACGCCCATACCGATCACAAGACAACCACCCAGACCACCACCGGCCCTGCAACAGAAGAGGTGATACCGTCAATCTACGCCCTCCCACCCGACCCCTTCCCCTCCGTGGAAGAATTCGTCGTGTCCTCGGCACAAGCGTACCACCTCTCGATAACGAAATATACGACCAGCCCACCGCACACCACAATCCGCACCGTCTTCGAGGACTATCTGCAGCGACACCCGGGCATCCGGGCGATATTCGTGGGTACGCGGCGGACGGACCCGCACGGGGCGAAGCTGACGCATTTCGACCGGACGGATCACGGCTGGCCGGATTTCATGCGCGTGCACCCGGTGATCGACTGGCACTACGCCGAGATTTGGGCTTTTATTCGGCATTTGGATCTTGAGTTCTGTGATCTTTATCGACAAGGTTACACCAGCTTGGGAGGTACTTCAGATACCAAGCCCAACCCGAAATTAAGAAGACCCCAGGAAGACGGAGGCGATGGGGAGTATTTGCCAGCGTATGAGCTGACGCAGGATGTGGAGGAGAGACTTGGCCGCAATTGATCTTGGGAAATTCTGTATTGAGGAGTGTGAAACGAGTTTGGCGGTGGCCCATGTCGCTTGCCTTGTATAGATGGAGTTCTCCCCGTTTGACGATAGGTCCATAGATTGCGCGCTGGAGGTATGCTCCTGTACTCTCGTCATGTTTATCTGGGCTACTGTGGACCTACTGGACCTACTGTGGATTTCAATTGGTAAGGGATATCATAATTTAGACTGCGCAACCTTGTGATGCGCGAGGGCGTTTCGAGCGAATTGAAAAAAACATGCATCTCGAACACATACTGCAGAAGACATGCTTTCTCTTGTAGCTGTAACGAAGAACAGAATGACAAGAACAGAGGAGACAACAGTTCCATCAATACCGCAATCGCGTAAAGATATGGAGCGGATTGTGGAAAAAGTAGAAAACAGATTGTCGAAAGAGAAATACCTCGAACGACATTTGACAAACACTAAAAAGCCAGTAGAGAAACAGTAAAGAAACATGGATCGCAAGAAATACGTCGAAGTACATTCTGCGAATGATAAGGGATGTCGCGAGTTGAAAAGAGAAAAATTGCTCACAGTAGGCACTTACTGAAGCCTTGACGTCAATGAGGTTGATATTCATACACGTCGGATGTGTGAATCGTATTAGGTGCATGAGCGAGGAGTGGATACCGTGAATTCCACTCGTGAATGCATGGGAGATACTGATCCGGCCTTGATGTTCTCCTTGCGCGCGGCGGACGTGTAGGAGCGAGGTTCGCCAGCAGGAGACTTGGGAATGGCCGTCTTGGACGATCCCCCGGAAATATCAGTCATTGAGCGGCGTGCCTTGAATGAGCGCCCACGGCACACAGGAGTATTGTCGAGCGCACTGAGGCTGCTGGATGCCAGGGAACCGTGTCCTGCACCTCCATCCTTCATCAGGGCATACCTGTGGTATCTGGTAAGAACATGTTGTGAAACCTGTCAAGCTGGCATGTCTTTACTCACGTAGGGGAGATCGAAGATGCCGGGGTCCAGTTTGAGCCGAGCCCAGCCGGTGAAGTGAAGCTGGCCTGGGAATTAGGCGTGAGGTGCGTGCTATTCTGCTGGGGACGCTGCGCCGAGGGCGACGGGGTAGAACCCTGCACAACCTCCACAGAGTAGTTATACTCGCCAGCACGGTAGGCACGGCGCTCATTGCTCTGCTGCTTTAGCATCTTTTGGGCTTTGGTGTCTGCAAAACGCAACAACAATTTCACGCCATTGTCCTTCACGGTAACGTTGTGGAACTGGCCCAGGACGTGCTCGGCGATATCGCGGGTTTCGAAGCTGCAAGTGAGGTTTAGATGATTGCTAGATTCAGGGCCGGAGGCTCTCTTACCGAGCAAAGCCCACTTCCTTGCTCACGCCTGTCTTCTCATCACGGCTGATCTTCTCCGACACCACACGGTATGGCTCGAAATGGCGGCGCAAGTCCTTTGGGATGATCAGCATTTATCGAGGTGTATGACACCGACAATGGAGACATACGGCCTCTGTCCAATCAATGGGAATGTTGGTGCAGTATATATTGGTGGACGAGCTGTCTTCCAGATCCTTCAGACGAGAGTTGCGGGACTTTTGGGCAAAGCTGGCTTGGTATCCGAGGTAGAAAAACCCACGAATACAATTCTCGCAAGACTCGAAATTGAAGAATTGAACAAACCCAAAGCTGGGATCGTAAATTAGCAACGGAGGGCAGCTTAGTCTGCGGATCCTCATACCCCTTGCAAAGACCCGAGTCCAGGTCGACAATTGCCTTGCAGCGTTCAATCTTGCCAAAGCGAACGGAATAAGAATGCAGCATATCATCAGTTGTCTCAGGAAGAAATCCGCGAATGTAAACATTGGTGATACCCTCGCGGTTTTCCAGGCATTTGGCGAGTGTCAGCTCAGAGGGGTTAGTCCACATGGCAGGCACTGCACGGGGGATCGCGGGCTCTTGCTGCGTCAGAGCTTCCAGGTCTTGAACCATGTACCCGTTCGTGGTCTTCATCATCTGGAAAGGCAGCGAGAGCGAACCGAGCTGCGGGAACATGCTCCCGTAGGCGTACCCCGAGAGGGAACTGGCATCCATGGTGGGAACCAGAGGTGTGGGATAGTACTGTATGGGACCGACATTCTCTGATCTCTGTCCGTCAACAGTGGCCCATCCACTTTGCTTGGTATTCGAGACATCCTGCATGTCGTAGTTCACCACATACGGCCATGATGGGTACGTTCCTGGTACCATTGAATTGAGGTTCTGGTAAATACCCGATGAGAAATATGGAAACTGACCCATCTGGTCAGTCTGTCCCGAAACAGGCCCCGTCATGAACGAGGTCATCTGGGGGATGCTATTGAACACGGGCGAGTTGGGCAACAGGATAAATGGGCTGGTGTAAGGAGTGCGATTTCCGGCAGACCAGTCCAGGCTGTTGGTCATGGGCGTCGTAGGCGCGGAGCTTTTGGAGGAAAACCTGGGCCGATGGCCTTGAACACCCACACCTTGGTACATGCGAGGAACGACGCTGCTATCGCCAGTCGAGACGGTGGCATTATGGGAGAAGACAGACCCGTAAGGCGAACGAGGGTCATGTTGGCTGGAACTTTGGCCAGAGCTGGAAGTGCTGCATTTTTGAGCCTGATGCTGCATCTCGTCGTTCGTTTCTAAGACTGAAATCTGTGTCAGTAATGTTCATGCACCATGTCAGCCAACAATGGACAAGACGAAAAGAAAAAGAACGGACGATGGCTCTGTGATTTTGCAAACAGCATAAGACTGAGCACCTCGCATTTCTCTCGTGTTCATCGTATGGGACTCTGCTTGAAGAGAGAGGGGACTCATACCTCGCACACACGGGGAAGTATATCAACCGATGGGGAGACGATTCGATTGATGAATGACTGTATGTAATTTAGTTCAATTCGCTCAACGCGAGCGCAGAATGTAACCCAGAGCTACAGACGAGAGACTCACAAATTCGGCGGCCTGCAAAGCAATTTTGCTTCCGTTGATGCTCAGACAAGACGAGAGGAACGAACGGGACCTGTCAGAAGCTGGGAATAAAGTTGTGAGAAGGTTTTGTGGCAGGCTGGGCTCAACTGGTCTCTTACAAAACCAGGTGAAGATAAAGGAACCGATGAGAAAGAAGGTGAGATGAGATGAAATGAAGAAGAGAAGAGGGAGGAGAAATGGGAGAGTAACGAGGGCGAGCGTTCGAAGGGAAAGAGCGCACTTCCCACGAGAACGAAGCAAGTGCGACGTCCCAATTGGAACACAATTGGTGGAAGGATGAGCTTGAGGAGAAATACAAGATACAAACCGATACAGCGTAAAAGGGGAGAAGGATGTTAATGGAAGGAAGAGGATGAGGAAGAAGAGAAGTGAGCGTTGAAGATTGGCGCAGGGCGAGTATGTGCGAATGTGCGATTGCGAGGTTCTATACAACAAGAGACATCGCACCACCAAATTGCACCGTACGGTCGAATGGCATAAAAATTGAAATTAAGGCTCCTTCAAATTGCTACCTATCCAAATGACAATAAGAACACCTGTATTTTCCGCACGTCTATGGCAAGGCCTAGGTAGGAGAGAAGGGGTAATCACGAGAAATGCGTATGGCGCAAGCTAGGGACACACGAAAGTGTTATTCAGACCATTATTCAGATTTATTTTGCAGCCACTGGTAGACAACAGAGAAGTCCTTGCCGCGGTGGGCTTCCTCCACCGCATTATATACCTGTCGCGCCTGGTCACCCAGAGCCAACGGAGTGCCTGACTTCTCCGCTGCCGAGAGGGCCAAGCGCAGGTCCTTGTTCATCAGACTCACCCCAAACCCGCCTTCGTAGCCGCGCGATGCCGGTGCAGATTCGACTACACCGGGAACAGGGTTGTTGACCTCTGAAGGCCAGCAACGGCCCGTCGACGAGTTGATCAATTCGGCCAGCGCCTTGGGATCCAGCCCCCAGCGGATTCCGAGATTCATTGCTTCGGCAGTAGCAATGTTGTTGATGGCTAACATGTAGTTATTGGCGAGCTTGCCAGAGACTCCCGAGCCTGGCTCGCCGAGATGCCATGCCTTCTTACCCATGTGAGCGAGGACACCTCGGACACGCTCAAGCAGCTGCCCTGTCTGCGAAGAGGCTCCGAACATGAAAGACAAAGTGCCCGCTCGAGCACCGACCACACCACCCGAGACTGGGGCATCCACGAATCGGCCGGCTTGCGTAGTGTGAATTGCATTCGCGATGTCCTTGGACGTCACGGGGTCAATGGTTGATGTATCGATGAACAGACGCTCTTCCTCGAGCGCTGGAAGCTCGCCTTCCTTGAGAATGGAATGAAACACATCAATGACGTGTTGCGACTCGGGAAGGCTGGTGATCATGACGGTCTATCAAAGAACAAAGATGGTCATTAGCTGCTATCCACATAGAACATAAGAAGCCACAGTGCAGGCGGAGCATGATCACTGCCACTCAGGTCCTTGGATTAAGCGTGACACTCACCGACTTCTCTGCAACTTCACGCGCATTCTGGGCAATCTCGACTCGGTTTTCGTCGGCACTGCGTGCGGCCTCATGAGCTTCCGCGGCAAAGCGCTTAGTGGTCTCTTCGTTGACATCACGGATAATCAGTGTGTCAGCGGCGGGGATCTTGGCGCGTAGGTTCTTGGCCATGTTATAGCCTGCCCGAAATTAGTCAAGGGTCATTGCACATAACGAGAAATTTCGGCTTCAATTCATACATACCCATTTGCCCCAAGCCGACAAAACCCCATGTTGCGTCGCGGTGCAGTGTTGTTGAGAAAGCTCGGGCCGACTGTACCGAGCTTGTAGTTGACGGCCAGCGTCGGAGGCTCCCCGGAGTGCGGAGGCGAGCCGCCCTGGGTAAAGAGCATGCGGTTCGGACACTCATTGCTGAATTCGTGAGGAAGTATGGCGGGAGTTAGCGAGAAACAGAATCAACCTGGGGGTTTGAGAAAGATAAGCAGAAAAGTACCCGAGGGGGTATTTAAACGGCCCTTCGAGCTCCGCCGTGGCTTTCCGAGCGACGCAGGGGGCTCTCGGTCCGTTGCGGGGAAGCCGTGGGGCGGTCACGTGCGTGCATGGAGTATACCAGCATCACCGCTCTTTGCACTCGAATCACGGCATTCAATGGCGAGAACGGTATATATCTCCGTTACTGAAGTCTATTTGTGTATTTTAAGTTGCAAGGAATTCTCACGAGCTGAATAAAAAAGTATACAGGTCACGGTGAGAATAATGAACGTAAAACAGACCATCAGAAGGGAGTTGACAAAAAAAGCCCGACATGGAGGTTGTGCACGGGGCAGGCAGTGGCTTGACTGCATAATCGGCCCACCCGATTGAGGTGCGCCATTGAAGAGACCGTGTCCACTTCTCATTTATCGTGGCACCGGATCCCAGTCTCTATTTCTGCACAACCTGCAGCGTAAGCAGAAACCCGACCACTTGGACACTCGCTTTCTAGCCAATTTGATTGGAGCAATCTTATTTGGATATCGGACTGAAGATATCTCCTAGCACTAGCTCCATTATTTATTACATATTCACTGCCGTTTTCCACTTTAGAGACGTGGTCATCCATGGAGACAATGGGCCTCGCCCATTTCTAATTTCGATGGGTGAAGCCCTTCCACACCGATATTAACGTACGTGAAAAGGTGACTACTTGTCATTAGCACCACAAGATTCCTGATAGAGTATGGAAACATTGACCATCATCTGCCTCCATCGCATTTGTGTCACGCCAGACGAGAATGGAGAGGAGCTTCTTGTTCACAAGATAATGTGAAAACACCCTTGCTCTACATTCCTTGTTTCGTGGCTGCTAGATCTTGAAATACACTGATAAGTCTCCCCTTGTTCATATCAGATGTCAATGAGAGCTCACGTTCTCCGGTATGGTACTTGAACAGAACGCGAGACAGATTGACTCACTGTGGGCAAGAGAGATCTCCGGGACTTGTAAGAGATACGGTTCGAACGGTCTTTGGCCATTATCTCACCAGCAGCCGCCCACGGAAGCATTTGGAGATATCTGGTCAGATCAATTAAGAAGGTTCTGAATCTCAACCGTCTCGAAATGATCCGACATGCAAACGAGGCCATTTAAGTGACTCGATTCCACACCGGGAGCGTTTCCCAAGCTCCGATGCAACGAGGAAGATTTCTCCACCGGTGCGAATATTTATATGCGATTTGCCGTATGATAAGACTTCTCGCCATGGTAATAATAAGAGTGAGCAGCCGAGACTCCGAGGGGCTGGTGCGTGCTTAGTAAGTAGACCAATGCGCCGGAGACGAAGTCGCACCCCCAAAAAGAGTATCCATGCCCGGTAATCGGACGGGATACACAGAAATTCACCCGGTTTAATAGATAAGCATACTCGATGGTTACTTTGCGGAAGAACGGTCTGCCATCCTCATGCGAGCCGTGTCGCAAGTCCAAACTACGTTGCGATCATCAATATCCTGTCTGCGGGCGATGCGCTCGCACGAACAAGCCGGACAGATGCGTGTATCGCCCTTCTACGTCAACCATCCCCAGAGTCGGCACTGAATCGGTGATACTGGGCTCTACAAGAAGTCTACGCCAGTCAATTCGCGATGTAGCTACCTCCAAATAACGCCGACGTCGCGGATATTTTCTTGGACTATAACTACTATATTACGCATCTTGATAATTGGCAATCCGAGCTGCAAAACAGTTTGGATATGCTTTGATTCGAATGTCTACCCTTGCTACGGCACCTCTCAAAGACCGAGCGGGAGACCCACGCACGACATAGCGATAATTGTACTTGCATGAGCAATGGATCTTCATGAATCTTTTGACCACATGTCAAACACTGTTTTTCTCATTAATAAGCCAAAATTTCTCGGCCGGGACCGTTCGCTTGATGTACTGTGGTCTACACAGTATGCGATGTGCCAGTGGGCCGAAAGTGGGGGCCTCCGCAGTCGGAGTCGGAGTAAGGATGAGCTTCGGGGTTGGCGTTCGGGGTCGGAGTCCAGAGCGGGAATGTATGACTCAAGCACGTTTTCCTTAGTTTGTGTTATCTACCCCGTCTCCTACCAGCCTTTTTCTAACCTCGAACCTATCCCGTCATAGAATCACCGTGAGCCTCGACAAAAAGGGTGCCTATGGTATACGTACACACCGCCATTGTCGTAGGGCTAGGCTGGCGCAGCCAATCATCCAGGCAATAAAAGGTTTGTAGTTATCGGAGTCGGAGTGAGGCTTATAAATTCTAGGCTTATAAATTCTAATTTGATGCATTTACACGCTCGTTTCCTGATGCCTACAAAGATCCACTGAGTCATTACGCATCATCATGACCGGGAGGAAGTGTCTATATAAGCCGAGACATTCTCTGCCTGAATTACTATCTATACCTCACAACTGAATCACATATCATTCCTCTTTTTTGACTTGATACTTGGTGAAATACAAAACACTACCAACCAACAAAATTCTCCACTTTATCCAACCCAATCTACCTGCCAATAATCTTTGAATCATGGCTGCCTTCACCTTTCAACGACCGGCCACCGCATCTCTCGAGCCTCGCCCGCGCTCTGCGATCGAGTTCGCGAAGGATACGTGGAAATACCTGAGTCAAGAAATCGACAAGCGTCGTCAACAACCAGATTCGAAGGCCGAAACAAGTTCAAAGTCTTATGAGACAGACTCGGAGTCAATAATAAGCAAAGCAGAGACACTCGTTGTTGATGGAGAGAAAACAGTTGTGAATGTGGGAAAGAAATGATTTTTTGTCTGTGCTTCATGGGAGTTGGTGTACTATCTTGGTTGCCTGTACTTGAGGGCATGGGGCGTTTGTATGGAGGGCGGATCTTGTTAAGAATACAAGGGGGCTGCCATCTTTATTGGGACTTGACTACTAAAAGTTCCAAAGTCAATTAATCAAACTTTTTCCGTTGGAATGACGTTTGTTATCGTAGCAAAAATTTCGTATACCCTGCCGGTTCGGCCTTTTGCCAGCACCGTTCTCTTCGCGGAACCGTCGCTGCCGCAAAACCCCACCATAGTAAGCAGTGTCAGCGGAACTGCAAACGCACAGTAGAGCCACCACGGATGTGAGGCAATAAAAGCAGGCTATTTATATCCGTATGCATTCTCCAGATCCGCAGGTTTTTGAAGAATGAGCTGTCTGCTCGATATGCTGACAGAGATTCTCGATCTTGGTGAAATTTTGCGAATTGAAAGCTTCGGTAGCAACAAAGTGGTAGGACTTTGACATGGTATAATCATCGGTGGGTTGCAACTTTCGTCTCTTGCATGATTGGGAATGTGCGACAGACTGGAGAGCAAGAGAAAGATTTGTATCTGTCTGACTCAGACAAAACGCTGCTGAGACGTCGTCGGACGAAGAGAATACGTCGACTCAGTTTTGTTGCATAAGTCCTGCAAACTTCGTCTCAATTCTGGCCGATTGGACGTAATTTACAAAGTGGAAAAACATTTCAAGCGGTGACGGGACGTGTGATGTTCAAATTCGCGTTCTATTCTCGTCTGCGTAGGATCAGCACAGGATGGCAGTGCATTGCTGAGCTGAATCTCTGCAAAACTGTTTGAGCTACACCAACCTTTGAGATCCGAGATTGGAGATATCCACAGAATCAATGACTCCTGGCCACACGGGGCAGAAGCGGCCCAAATCCGAGGGCGCGGGAAAACCCCGGGGATCTCCACGACACCTGCGGGCCCAAAATGAGGGGCAGTCGTTTTAAAGCCGCCATTGTTGGAGGTCTGGGACATTTGCCTCGAACAAGAGAATTTGAACAGATTGGAGTCTTTCGTGCAAATTTCTCCTCTCGGTGAAGTCAGCATACCATGACAACAATCCTGGCCACCCGCTGTCTTGGCGACATCCGAGGCAAAACTGGCGAAGGTGTCACTCAATTCTTAGGGGTCAAATATGCCAATCTCAAAAATCGATTCGCGGATGCAGAGCTGGTTGAAGAGCGAAAGGGTGATATCCTAGATGCCACGGCCGATGGGTGAGTTCGTGCGTGACCGGACCGAGACCGTTCTATTGACATTTCCGCAGACCTACAGCGCTGTCACCGCCGGTTGGATGTGAAATAGAGCTCGGACATGTCCAGCACTCTTTGCCCAAGAAGGACCTGACGCAATCAGATGTCGATTGTCTCAATCTCAACGTCGCAGTCCCTTCCAACGCTACTCCTTCGTCAAAACTCCCCGTGCTTGTGTACATCCACGGCGGTGGTTTGTTCATCGGGGCGAACTCTTGGCCTCAGAATGACCTGCTTCGACTTGTCAAGTTGTCCATCGAGAAGAATCTCCCGGTAGTGGTAGTCGCCATCAAGTAAGATGACAGGAAGCAGCCCTTCTCCCCTGTATTGGCTGACGGCTTCTAAGTTATCGACTAGGAGCCCCGGGATTTTTGACTTCCGAGGAGCTGCGTAATGCGGGATACCGAGCAAACAATGGGCTCCGCGACCAGCGCATGGCTCTAGCTTGGGTCCGGAAGCACATTGAAGATTTTGGCGGAGACCCAGAAAATATCACTGCGGCGGGAATGAGCGCTGGTGGAGGTAAGAGGCATTTCCTGGGGATTTTCACGAGCACTTGATGCTGACTGGTTCGAGCTGCCGTAACCTACCACCTTCATTCGCAAAAGCCACTCTTCAAGCGCGCAATCTCAATGAGCGGAACATCTCTGTTCGTCCCCGCGCTTCCGTACGAGGTGCATGAGGAAAATTATAAACATGCGATGGCCGCTCTGGGATTGAATGATATAGCAGCTGAAGAGCGAGTCAAGGCGCTGCTGGAAATGCCCGGCCATGAACTTATCGCCAAGCTCCCTCCATCTGTCCTGGTGAGCCCGGCCATCGATAGCGATATCGTGCTCCCGGGTATCACATACAATGAGCTAGGAAAACCGAATTCGAAGGCTCTCCCGGGCCATTCATGGTGCCAGGATTTGTTGATCGGAGATGCCGAGGTTGACGTACGTTCATACATACTAGCTGCCTTGGCCGTGACTGACAATCTGCAAATACAGACCAGCATTCTACAAGTAGTGGCACCGAGAATCAACGCCAACTGCACGGAGCGTTTCATATCAGCAGTTCGTCAAGTTCTCGCATCACATCCAGAGGAAGCACAGCGCATCCTCGATTTTTACGGAATTACCGAGGATACACCAGACGAGAAGAGCATTTCTTCCATCTTCAAATTCAGCGCGGACATTCTATGTCACGCAGCTGCTCTCAGCTTTGCTCGTGGCTGGAATGGAAACGCCTATGTGTACCACTTCAACGAGGGAAATCCATGGGATGGGCCGTGGAAGGGCCACGCAAACCACATTCTTGATACTGCCTATCTCTTCCAGACGTTCACTGAATATTTGAGCCCGGAGCAGCAGAAGGTTGGCACTGCCTTTGCGGAGGACTTCTTCAAGTTCTGCCACGGACTTGCGCCGTGGCCTGCCATTACCCCCGGTGAAATCAATTCTGGGTTCTCGGCCCGTGTCTACGGACCCAGTGATCAAGGGAAGATTTCAGGTGTGGTGACGGAGGCTTTTGGAGGTGATAGTATGCGCAGAAGTATTCTATTTGACGGCGCTTCCAAGGTCCCGCTGGACGACCTAGCAAAAGTGTTTGTGAACTTTATGGCCAGCTAATTTTCACCTTCGCTTAGCCACATATCAAGAGATTTTCTATGTCTAAGCTCCGGGACGTAAATGCGTGTTATGTAGACCATCGGCAAGACCTACCCAAGCCTCCAGCCCCGGAGAGTTGGGAGTTTTCAAGATTACTCATCCAACCGAGGGAATAGATCTGATCAACCGAAAAAGGCCCACCGGCGGATCAGTGCAGCTTTCCCCGGACACTCGGACTCCCGGAACTCGGGCTGCGATAGGTGGGCGACTCACAAAATTTGTGGAGTCGGCACTCGTTGGCGGCAAGTCCGGATCGTAAGCGTAATACATTTCTTCGGCCTCTCCGGAGGTTATGATGATACGTGCTTTATATAAATCTTCTCGTTATCTACTCAATTCTGCCGCTCAGTACATTTTTACTCGTTTCTCTTTGAAATCCGTCATTTCCCAACAATGCCGTTCAAGACCTACCACTCTCCGTTCCCGGATATCAACATTAAATCCCTAGACTTGATCTCGTATCTCTTTTCCAATCCCCTCAATACGCCGCTGGACCGACCTTTGTACATCGATGCAGTGTCCGGGAAGCAGTACACCTTTGGCGATGTCGTCCAGCGCACGAAATCCTTATCAAACGGGCTTCGACAGAACTTCGGTCTCAAGGGGGACGATGTGGTCGCAGTTTTCAGTCCTAATACCATAGATTATCCCATTGTGGCTTATTCAATTATCGGCTCTGGAGCCATTGTATCCCCTACAAGTGCAGTCTTGACGGCATCGGAACTAAACGCCCAGCTTAAAACGAGTAAGGCTCGATTTATCATTGCCCACTCATCCTTGCTTCAGACTGCACAGAAGGCCATGAAAGGCACCTCTGTAGAGAAGATTATTATCCTGGATGGATCATTTCCTGTCAATGGCCAGCCTACTTGTGACCACATGGCTAGTACGTTCTCAGCTGCACCTCTATTTGCAGTTTCACCGGCAGATGCTACTGAGAAAATTGCTTTTATTTGCTTCTCTTCTGGTACATCTGGCCCCGCGAAGGGTGTCATCACGACACACCAGAATATTACATCCAACATGCAACAATGGCGTCTCATGACGGAAGCCGGCAAGCCCGACGAAGGAGCCCAACGACAGGCGATGATCGCCTTCCTCCCGCTCAGCCATATCTACGGACTCTTCCTTTACATGTGCCATAGCCTACTCTGGGGTACCTCCGTGGTAGTAATGGCCCGATTCGACCTCGACTTGTATCTGGGCTGCATCGAGAAGTACCGGCCTGACGACCTTGCCTTGGTTCCTCCCGTTGCACTCATGATCGTCAAAGACGAGAGAACTTCCAAGTATGATCTACGCAGTGTCAAGCGCATCATGTCTGCCGCAGCACCCTTATCCAATGAGCTTTCATCTGCGCTAGAAGCGAAGTTCAAAAATCTGCACCAAACCGAGGTCTTCTGTACCCAGTGTTGGGGACTCACGGAGACATCCCCCCTGGCCACCGGAATCCCAAACAACCGCATGGATAAGAGAGACACGGGGGTTGGATGCATCGCTCCCAACATGGTATTCCGCTTGGTGGATCCCGAGACTATGAACGATGCTGCTGTCAACCCTGATGGATCGACTCAGTCGGGTGAATTTTGGTGTCGCGGACCTAATGTGACTCGAGGTTACTACAACAACGAGGATGCGACCAAGGGCGCGTTCCACATTGACTCCGATGGCAGCAGGTGGTTCCGGACGGGTGACATCGGTACAATTGACAAAGAGGGCTACGTTGCGATCCACGATCGCATTAAGGAGATGATCAAGTACAAAGGCCTCCAGGTGATTCCGAGCGAGTTGGAAGGAAAACTAATCGATCACCCCGACATTGAAGACGCCGCCGTTGTCGGCCAGTGGGTTGATGAAATGGCCACTGAGCTGCCGGTTGGATTCGTGGTACTCAGGCAGCAGGCGAAAGAAAAGGATGCCAAGACCGTCATTGATGATATTCACTCATGGCTGAACCCCAAGATTGCCAACCACAAGCGATTCCGAGGCGGTATCCACGTGGTAGATCAGATCCCTAAAAGCCCCAGTGGAAAGATATTAAGAAGGCAGCTCAAGGAGATGCTGAAGAGCAAGAAATCCAGACCACGTCTGTGAGAGTCGGCTTTTCATGTCTATAGTTGGCGGGGCCCGCGGACATCACCACGTTTTCAGTGTTATACCAGGCAGCAGTAAAAAAATCATACAGACCGCTTCGGAATCAACCTAAACCCAATCTTTGTATCGAATCGAAATCTCGGATCAGTGCCAAATGCGGTGTCCGATATGTTCGGGAAACAAGTTAAACGAGTGGCGCACGAGTGCGGAGCCCGCGGGCTCCGCATTCGGATCGGAGTCTGCCTCCGTCGACACAATCTCTTATACGAGGAAGAATAAGAAACAACTAAAGCTGGAAGGTTTACCTGAACTTTTACTATTCCTTTTTCTGCCTTTCAGCGATCGCCGATATCGTAAAAGCAAACTTTTATCCGTCACGGTGTCTCCCATGTGACGTCAACTCGGACCCTCCGTCTTGACGATTGGGAAACCATGGGGGTTTTGGGCTTTCTCGGATTCCCCGGTAAGGGGCAATCGACACGGCCGAAGCTTGTAGAGCTAAGGTCTGCGAAATGGTTCATTCTGTTTACTGTTTCTTTTGCGGCTTCTACGGTAGGCATCGATCTGGTTTCGTGGATTGCAAATCAGTGGCTAACTTTCAAATAGGATATTTTCATGTATGGCCTGGTATGATATTGTCAAAGAAGGACTCAGTTATATATGAAGCAAATGTCCTAACAACCTCTAGATTGTGCCAGTCACGCCAACAGCGTTGGAGCGCAAAGTGGGTCTCTCGAAAGACCAAAGTACGTCAATGTCTTCGAATTTGTCCTCGAGTGCCATGACTAACTAGATTTTCTACTTGACAGTCCAAACATGGACTTCCATTCTTCTAGCGTTATACTCCGCTGCATTACTGGCCTTCTCTCGTGAGTCGGTTCTTTCTTCTGGGGCATGTGAATTGTGACTGACTCCTATCAGCTGTCATCGGCTATTTAGCAGACCGAGCTGAATCTCGACGGTGGCCTCTTCTTCTCGGTTTGATTGCATTAGGAGCTGCAACTGCCTTGCTCTGCATTGGAACCAATATCGGTCTGTGGATCGCCGGCCGTCTGTTTCAGGGCGCGGCTGCAGCCGTCGTCTGGACCGTTGGCATAGCGCTGATGGTTGACACTGTCGGAAGGGATGGCCTTGGTCAGGCCATTGGTTATGTCTCCATGTCATTGAGTATTGGCACGATGGGCGGACCTCTTCTGGGAGGCGTTCTCTACGAAAATGGAGGATACTACTCCGTCTTCGGGCTTGCGTTTGGGTTGATTGGCGTCGATATTTTCCTTCGGCTGGTCTTGATTGAAAAGCGACACGCTGCCCGATGGATTGCACCGGAAGTGAAGCCTTTAGCACCGATCGAAGAGCAGGACAAGGAAAATGCATCTATGGGTGCAACCGCAAATTCTCTTGCACTCAGCAACGACCCGCAACCCGAGGCATCGGAGGAAAAACCCGTGGCTCGGAGCCCTCTGAGACAAGCCGCTAGTCTCTTGAGCTCCTATCGTCTCGTCGTGTCGCTCTGGGGATATTTTGTGATAGCTCTAGTGCTGACCTCCTTCGACAGCGTTCTGCCAATCTTCGTTCAGGAGACATTTGGGTGGGAACAAACAGGCCAGGGGCTGATCTTCATCGCACTCATGGTACCGCACATCCTCGACCCAATTACCGGCTTTATCATCGATCGTTATCCCTGGACACCCCGCTATCTCACCGCAGCTGGATTCCTCTTTGTCGTTCCTGTGGCAACTCTCTTGCGTCTCGTCAAAGAAAACACAATGCATGACAAGATTGTCCTTTGCGCCCTGCTTGCCTTACTCGGATGCTGTATTGCCCTGGTTATGACCCCCATCGTGACTGAAGTGTTCAATGCCGTCAAGGAGAAGGAGGATAGATCTCCGAACATCTTTGGCCGTGGAGGCGCCATGGCTTTGGCGTTTGGGCTTTCCAATATGGGCTTTGCGGCGGGTAGTCTCATTGGCCCGTTTTTTGCCGGGTTCATTCGCCAGAGTGCTGGCTGGGGAACCATGGGCTGGGCGATGGGACTGATCGCGGGAGTCTCTGCGATCCCAAATCTGTTGTTTGTGGGTGGCTGGATCCTGAGGAAGCCAACCGCGGCTGGTGATCAGCCCGAGTCGGAAGGTTCCTAGCCTGAACATCCAGCGTTTCTTGCATATATAATCGGCATTATTCCCAACTCTTGTACATTAACAAAATCATCACAATGGATAATAACTCATTTCCGATTGGTGCGAACAGAGCGTCCCACCCTCGGGGGGGAATTGCTGCCGCGTTGCCTGACCAATCGGGCATTCTACAACTTCATCGCGGCATTAAACCGACATATTGACTCTATTCTTCATTTCTCCGGTGTTTGCAAGGCTTTTCTGATCCGTCAGTGCTAGTACAATCAACTTTTAACTCAGCAATGATCTCGTCAAACCCTCAAATTGCCATATCCGCAGCCGAAGCCCAAAGACACGCGCCACAAGTGGGTTCCCCCGCGGCCCCACGCGCATCCAAAGTAGGAAACCGTGGGTTGGGTCATGGATCCGGGTTGATCAGCTCGGGAATTGATGGGTCACCATTAGCCGTGCCCAGGTACACTACTCTCAATTTCGACCTCGTCGCAGGATCCTAGGATCCTAGGATACTATCATTGTCATGATACACATCATGGCGCCCCCGGAAGTCCACCACGCCGCTTTGAATGCCACTTTCAAGGGCATCCAGCGAGAAGACCATGTGCCTGTACACCAATATCTAGGTATTAAATACGGCAGTATTCCTGCGCGATTTGAAAGGGCTGAACCGGTGAATGATTTTGCGGGAGCTGTTGTTGATGCGACCAAATACGGGTATGTCAGCTTGACTTTCCTGCCTGATTAAATCCAGTCCTAACACATAATTAGACCGAGATGCCCTCAGGCGGAGATAGATGTGCGCCATTTGCTTCGTATCCCCGAGGAATTTGAAATTGCTCCAGAGCCGGAGGACGAATTCGAGTGTTTGAATCTTGAAATCACTTGTCCGTCGGTGTCTTCCGTTAAACAACCACTCCCAGTTCTGGTCTGGATTCATGGTTTGTCTCTTCCAGCTTTTTTTTAAAAATATGTTGACACTAACTGATAGTTTTAGGTGGCTCTCAGATTGTCACTTTTTGCTCTGCGGCATCCAAGATTTGCGGTGAGTATGAGTGTCTCAAGCACCAACTCCATCCATGCTGATCATTCGTTTAGATCCAACCAAGCTTGTGGCAGCCTCCATTGAAGCCGGAAAGCCCATTATCTTCGTTTCCATCAATTACCGTCTGAATATTTTCAGCTTCGGAGACGGCAAGGAGAAGAATCTTGCCTTGAAGGATCAGCAACTCGGTATAGAGTGGGTTCGCAATAACATAGCATCTTTCGGTGGTGATCCCGTGCGTATTCTTCGATCTTCATCCACTCACGCACTAACGCTGTATAGGCCAATATTACTCTCTCCGGTGAGAGTGCCGGGGCCATCTACACACATGCGCATCTTATCACCAGTCCTCCCGTCAAAAGGGCGGTGCTGGCATCAGGTAGCTTGTACCTATCGTCTCCATTGCCCGTAGAGCGAGGGGACGGTCTGATCAAGACATTGGAAGCGAAGGTTCAAAATCTGGATCAGCCCTCGCTACGAGAGTCTTCCGTTGAAGTATTGATTCAGGCCTTGAAAGAATGCAAGGTCAACACAATGTGGTTGCAAGAAGAGCCCGAGCTGGCGAACTGGGAGACCAAGCCCGAGCTGGTGGAAGAACTCATGATTGGTGACACCGAATATGAAGTACGTCTAAACTTAAGCCTGAGTGATTTGAAGCTGACCGTATGATAGTCTGTCATCTGGCGCAACGGTATTGAAACCCTCGAAGGTGAAACCATAGCGGCCGCATTCGAGAGCGACGAGCGATGGGGATCGAAGCTTCGCAAAATGTACCATGTGGTACCCGATAGACCAACAGCCGCGAAGCTTGGTGCTTTGGACTTGGTTCACGATGCACGCTACACGCTTCCAGTGGAAATGGTCGCGGAAAAGCTGAAAGCCGCCAACAAACGCGTCTACAAGTATGTGATTGACCAGCCAAATCCCTGGCAGCCATCTAGTCGCTCCCACCACGCCGTGGATCTGCTGTTCCTCTTTGATGGTGTAGATCTCTCATTCAACCCAGCTGCACAGGCGGTTGGGAAAGAGATGCGACAGCGCTGGATCAGTTTTGTCTCGGGAGAGGCACCTTGGGGTGCAGATAGCCGCTTTGCCTATGGGCCTCTGGGTGAGTCCAAGGAGATTAACGAGACACAATTTGCTGCTCGACGACGAGTCGAGCACTGCAAGGTGCTCAGGGAAGCTGGAATTGGGGTCTATCTTCCGATTCTGGGTGCCCTGACTGCGGGACGGATCAGCCTTCTCAATTAGCGAAAGACAATGTATGTTGCTATTTATCTAGAACTCCATTAAGTTGATTTGAATCTGTATCGTGTATAAATGTCTCCGATCAGGTTAGCATTGAAGCTGGTTTGAGAGTATGATCTCCCGACAGTAGTCAGTTCCTACGTAACTCGGCAGTTGAAGAGTCACCGATTCCCGCGGCCGCTTGCTCAGCGCTGAACAAGCGACCCACCGACATCCAAACACCTAGCAAAGCAGTTGGTGAATGCGTTAGTTATCAACCAAGGTGCTTTTCTCCGTTGCCTCCGCCGTTACTCAGACCTGACTCATGTGGGGTCGCGTACCGCGAACTTAAGCGTCTACTTTTCCAGCCTCTCCACAGTCAGCGTGCGACGAATCGCAATCCACGCCCGGGGAGGTCGGCAAAGCGAGAGTGTCGCGACATGCCGAATTCCATGATCTCCAGGACTTCGTGCAGCTGATGAGCTCCGCCATGACGATGTTTCAGTTCTCCACGGATCCGATATCCTGGGCATCGGATATATACTCGGTGGTCATGAGCCTGACCCCACGGCCTGAACCACCGTCCTTCCTGAAGAGTATATAGGACGCACGCCCCGCGCAGGAGCCTCCTCGGTATTTTGGTTCAATCCATCGGTAGAACATCATCATGCCTTCAACAAGTGACCTCGCTGATCCCAAGGAATATCAGAAGATTTTCCACTGGGCCGAGACGCAAAAGGATGCAACTATCCCTTCCTTTGCAACAAGGCGCAACGATCCTTATAAAGTATGTATCGATCAATCGGATTGTTTTCAATTGCTGACCTCTGTCGCAGTACCAATCTGGTTTTGGCAATGCGTATGTCTCCTGCATCTAGTGATTAAATTGGCCGATGTAGCTCACCGAATTAGCTTCGTATCGGAAGCGGTGCCTGGTACCATTCCACAGGGTCAAAATAACCCCCGCAATGTTCGCTTCGGCCTTTACGCTGAGCAGTTGACTGCCACTGCGTTTGTGGCGCCGCGACATGCTAACAAAAAGGCGTGGCTGTACCGTGCTCGTCCGGCAGTTGCACACCAGGGTTTCGTATGTTTTGTGCACGGAATGAGCCGGATTGAATACTAACCGTTTGTATAGACGGAACTGCCAGATAACAAAGACACCGAGTCCAACTTTCTACCACTCAACCCCCGCATCCATGTCTCCCCGACCCAGCTGGCCTGGCACCCTTTCGATATCCCCGCCAGTGGCGAGGTCGATTTTGTCTCGGGATTGAAAACAATCGCAGGTTCGGGCGAGCCCACCCTGCGCGAGGGTCTGGCCACCCACGTCTACGCAGCCAACACCAGCATGAAAAAGAAAGCATTCGTTAACTCGGACGGTGAATTCCTAATCGTCCCGCAACAGGGCGCCCTAGACATTCAGACCGAGTTCGGACCTCTCTTTGTCCAGCCCGGAGAGATCGTCGTCATCCAGCGAGGACTGCGCTTCCGCGTGGAACTACCGGACGGCCCGTCGCGTGGCTACATTCTCGAGGTCTGGGGTTCATGCTTTGAGCTGCCCGAATTGGGACCGCTGGGCGCTAACGGACTGGCCAATGCACGGGACTTTTTGAGTCCCGAGGCTCATTACGAGATTGCTCAGGAGCCCTGGGAGATTGTGTACAAGCTTGGCGGCAAGTTCTTTAAAAGCACGCAAAACCACAATCCATTCGATGTGGTGGCATGGCACGGGAATTATGTATGGATTCCACCGTGATTGAAAGTAAGAATGCAGCTGATTCTCTAGGTCCCCTATAAATACGACCTGACCAAATTTGTCAATGTCGGCTCAATCTCCGTTGATCACATTGACCCGAGTATTTTCTGCGTGCTGACGGCCAAATCGCGCGATCTGGCCGCACCCCTTGCCGATCTACTTATCTTTTCTCCGAGATGGGATGTTGCGTCCCGTAAGTTTAAGCTTCTTTTTCTATTTCTCCGAGAAAAATAAGCATTTTTCTGACCAAGTCTAGACACTTATCGGCCCCCCTACTACCACCGCAATGTAGCCTCCGAATTAATGGGTCTCATCTACGGAGACTACGGCGGCCGGAGTGACGCGTTCAAGCCGGGCAGCGTGTCGTTCGAATGCGGAAGTATGCGCACCTGAATCCCCCTCGCCAAACCCTGCTAACCTTGATAGTGGTCCCGCACGGCGTCGCCTACGAGGAATTTAAAGCGGCGAGCGATAACCCGCCGCCGGTGATGCAAATCTCCGAGGGCTCGATTGCATTCATGTTCGAATCTAGTCGGCCGTTTACGATTACGGACTACGCGTGGAACAGCGACAAGAAGCACGAGCACGAGCCCTCGATGTGGGACAGTCTCGTGGACAACTTCTCGAAGCATGCAAAGGAGATCGAGGAGATTCTGGCGAAGACCAAGAACCTGTAGGACGAGGACGAAGTCTTATATGGTGATCAGGGTTGATTTTGTTTGTTCAATCGCTGCAGTCGGTCATTTGACTGGGATTGTCTGACCTCGTTATAGTATTATTGTAGATGATTGACTTACCTAAATTATTATCTCATCGTTCTAAAAATCTCCCCGAGATATTCCCTAGTCCGGCGTTCCGAAGCTCAATACACTCCGTACTACCTGAGCCTATACTTTGGACTCTGGTTCCAATCCCTTCGATTTTCTTTGTCATATACATCAGCGTGATGGAAATAACTGGGATCGGAATCAGCCCCTAGACCTATCAGGATGCGCAGCCCCAAACCGACATCGCGGCGAATCGGGGCTTCGGCCTCCGTCCACACTAGCTCCGACCCCGACGGTCTGAGCTGTTGACTGGTAGAAACAGACCCTTGAACACGGCCATGTTGCTACTAGTGCATTGCTGCAGAAAAGCAGGGGTCCCTACGTCGTAAATCTCACACCCCTTTCGATCAGCTCGGGCCTTTGAATCGGCACTCGCTGTTCGCTGTTTACGATTAAGTGGCCCACGCTAAGCCCGAAGCCTAAAATGGTGGTTATATAGTCTTTTGCTTTCGCTTTCACTTACCTCTGCAGATCTGCCAGGGTTGTTTCCTTGCACATTTACACTTTTGGAGATCTCGATACTCACACTGCTGGTGCTTTGCGGATGAACTGCGCCCGCCCGATCTATACAGCCTCTCCAACAACACACCACACACCGCCGTATTAACCTTGAAATAATCGACCGGCGGCAATGGGAGGCCCATATGCACCTCATACGGCTGCACTGGGCGGTCGTCCAACAAAGGATCTCGACGTCCCCATCTGCGCCGTCTTCCTCGTCCTCTTCGCCGCCGCTGGCGCTAGCCATATGACCTTGTTCATTCGCAACCGAAAGCGAGGACACAAATTCATTCCATCAGCCGTGTCATTCGGTTTCTGCATGTCCCGCGTCATCGCCAATGCGATCCGCATCTCTTGGGCGCATTACCCAGCCAACATCTCACTCGCCATCGCAGCCCAGATCTTCGTTGCGGCGGGCGTGCTCCTCCTCTTCATTCTCAACCTCCTCTACGCCCAACGCATGCTCCGCGCCGCTTTCCCTACTTTCGGCTGGTCTCGGCCATTGTCATGGACATTCAAAGCCCTCTACGTGGTCGTGGTCATCACGATCATCATGTTGATTACGGTCGTGATCCAGAGCATGTACTCCCTGAATGCCAACACGCACCGTATCGATCGCGACGTCGAGCTCTACGGGCTGACCTACTTCGCCATCGTCTCGTTCCTGCCTATCCCAATCGTCCTCCTGATCCTCATCCTCACGCGCTTCCGCTCGGTCGAGCACCCGGGTGCGGGATCCTGGCACACGCGAGCTTTCATCATCCTCCTCGTCGGGTCACTCCTTTGTCTCGGCGCCTCGTTCCGCGCAGGCACGAGCTGGATGGATCCTCGCCCGCTCACGAATCCGGCATGGTACCAATCCAAGGCCTGTTTTTATGTCTTCGACTTCGCGATTGATTGGACGGTGGTAATGATTTTCCTGGTTACCCGCCAGGACAAGCGCATGTGGGTTCCCGATGGAAGCAGTAAGGTGCGGCATTACCGAATCGGAGCTGTCGAGGGCGATGAGAAGACGGAGGTAGCAGCCCCATTTCCCGAGCAGAGTCAGGTTATTGTCGCGGCTTGGAACAGGCAGGAGAAGGAGGAAGCAATGCAGCTTGCCTGACCTTGTGCTCGGCTCTTTTCGTCTTAAAACTGGCTGGGCACCGTCCATAATGTAAGATAATGTCTGACGGTGATGGAGTTGATGGCTGGCGTCATCCGTGTTGTTTGCGTATTATAATGGGTTCCTCCTAGCGATAAAACTAACGCTTTCACTTTTTATTTTTATTTTTAGCTTTGCATCTCAATTGAATCCAAATGTAATTGTATTTACTATTTACCCTAAACTCGAACCCGGTGTGATGTCAACATGTCCACAGCTTCACCGGGATATTCAGACAGCACCCAAAACTACAATTCGATAGGATTCGAATGCCGATCACAGATCCAGGTGAGTAGTGATTACGATCATGACTTGTAAGGTGGTACGGCGTTAGAAGTCTCGCAAAGTCTTTTATTTTCATGATTGGTATCAACAGACGGCCAGGCACCGAACCATACAGAATTAAGCGGACAAATGCCCCGTTCTTATGCCCCGTTCCTTCGCTAGCCCAGTAGCCTTCTGCAGGACAACGATGAAATCTATCACAGGAAGTAGTCGGGAGTGCGCCTCGATACCATGGGTTCTCCCGCTCGGGGGCAAGGATCAAATTGTAGACTGGGCAGAATTAGCAGAGATCAGCGGAAAGGATGAGTGATGTACTCACAATGTGTACTTCAAATGCTCGTCGATCTCCATAATAGCGGCCTGGTTGCCGCAGCGGTAACAGTAATTGGGCGCTATATCGGTTAGTCCTATTCCCCACAGTAGCGATCCCGGGAGAAAAAAAATACCTGAGAAGATCGTCACCACGTTGCGGTCCTGTGACCAGTTATATCCCTCCATCACCAGTTGATGCGCCCGTGCAACCAGAGTCAAGCCGTTGTTGTGGTTGAACGCCTCCGAAATGTCCTGACCGAATGTGTATCCCGCACCGCGAGGAGAAATTCCCCAACCGCAGCGATCGTCGGGATCACTCCAGAGGAGATCACACATGGGTCCCTCGTGCGGGACTTCTTGGATGCGGTCCAGGGATCGAATGTTGTCGAGGGTGTCAATGGACGGGCTCAGTCCACCATGCAGACAGAAGATCTGGTTTTCAATGAGAGCAGTGAGGGGGAGGTAGTCGAAGAGGTCGGTGAAATATTTCCACACGTTGGCGTTGCCGTATTTGCGCAGGCACTCGTCGTAGAAGCCATACACCTGGGTGATCTGGCGGGATTCGTGGTTGCCACGAAGGATGGTAATACGCTGAGGGTAACGAATCTTCAAGCAGACCAGAAGGGTCACGGTCTCGACGGAATAGTAGCCTCGGTCGACATAATCACCTGGGCCTCGAGGTTAGTTGTGGGACGATTCCGACGGACAAAACGAAACGCACCCATGAAGAGATAGTTTGTATCAGGGTTAGGACCGCCGATGCGGAAGAGCTCCATTAGATCGTGAAACTGGCCGTGTATATCACCGCAAACCGTCACCGGGCATTTCTATGTTTTGATCGTCAGTGGGCTGTGGCCCAGCCTTGGACCCCCCACAAGGTCCGACCGGCGAGACGGGAGTCATCACATACCACTGGCTGAACATTCGATTCCTCCTGCAATACCTCTCGTGCCTGAAACGCAGAAAATCATCAATTCGGTTCCTGCAGAAACGATCCAGCAAAGGGACCCACCCGATCGCAAAGTCGTCGCACATCCTCCTCCGCTAATTGCTTGCACGTCATCAAACTCTCGATCCAGCCATCCAAGGTGGGTATGGAGCCGGGGTCGCTTGTGGGCGAGAGGTGGTGCGGCTCGGGCGACCGTGCAGTATCGATTTCCATGTTGTTGTCCATGGTGGGCACAGCTGGCGATTGGAACAGGGGGGAGGAGGGGCCAGCTGGGAGGGGAGGGGCGGTCTCGTGCGAAACGAGCACCTAGATTGCGAGGGAAATCGAGGATAAAACGAAGTAAAAAGAAAGGAGGTGACGGAGTCAAAAACAGATAGCCGTGACAAGATTCCCAACTAACTCAAGGGATGAGAGGCTGGGGAGGTGGGAGAGGAACAAGGGGAGAAAGAGATGGGGAGATGCGGGAAGAGCAAGTTTGGAGGTGAGTTTGCGCCACTCTGCTTGAGCCACACCGCTTCGAGCTATACTTCAGGTAGGTTTTACTGTACAAGGAGATATCCTGTGCCACGATTTTACTATTTACAATTTCATATCATATTTCATTATCGAATGGTCATAAATTCGTTTCGGAGACGGTTTCCCTGGTTTCCCTGGTTTTGTTGAGGCTCAGATAATGTCGCCGCCAAAGCCACCCCCAAAGCCACCAAAGCCGCCGCCCGATCCTCCACCGAAGGGTCCTCGGTTACCGCCCATCGGTGGCTGACCCGGTCCAGGAGGATCGTATCTCGCTCCAGGTGGTGCACGAGGATCATATCCACCCACTCCGCCAGATCCTCCGAAAAGAGGATCGTGGAAAGTCGGGTGCATCCCGCCACCAGACCCAAAGCCAGGACCCATGGTGCCCCGGAGCGGGTCGTGAGGCCCAAGTCCCGGGGGATAGAGATCTCGGTCTCCAATATTATACGGGCTTCTCCCTCCTGGGAAACCTGGGGGATATCCTCTCGGAGGGCGATTTATTTCAAACTCGTCCTCGAACCCGGGCGGGGCAAAGTCTCCAGGTGGATTGGGTCGACGAGGTGCGGCAGCCAAGGGGTCATCAAAGGGGTAGGGACGAGCCGGTTGTGGGAAATCATCTCGGAGGGGATCTCGGGGCCGACTGGCTCCAGTTTGTCCACGAGGTGCTTGATTTGAATCCTCGTAGCCTTCCTTGTACAGCCCGGGGGCGAGTTTCTGGATCACGTTGATCTTGAAAAGTCCGACGAGATCGTTCAATCGAGCGTGAGAAATGAAAATATCGCGGAGAGCACCTGTGAGATTGTCTGTGGGCTGCAACGGGAGAGCAGACCCGGAGATATAATCTTTGGTAGGAAGATCGAACGAGCTGGTGCGATCGTCGCCTAGAGCCAGTGCAAATACCACCGCATTGTTGCCAAGTCGGCTCACTTTGAGCAAGTATTGCATGGAGGACTGTGCATGCGCGTAGCGAAAGGCAAAGGTATCGTTAGCGTTCCATTCTGCGGGAAGGGCGGGACTCTCTGTTGATGTTTCTGCGCAAGTTAGTGATGACCTCTTGACATGGTCGAAGAAGAAAAGAGAGACAAACGTAGATTATGATCTTCCCCGAGCCCCACCAACCTGAAGTCCACTGCTGCCATGCAGGCATGGCCGATGAGAGCGATAGCTTCAGCGGGTGTTTTGACACTCAGTTGTTTCTCACCAAGAGCTTTGGCCGCTAGGCTCAGGATGCGGTCCGGGCTCAGGACATTTGTGCTTGTCATTGTGAAATATGTGTGGATACACTCAAGTTTTGATCTAAGAGCTGCAAAGATCCAGTTGCTTGTGGCGAGTAGCTTCCGGCCGCAGGACGATGAGGTGATGCCTGGAGCTGAGATAAGCGGATCAACGATGATCCACCGAGCCTCATTCTCTCTTGATGTCGGATAAAATAAGGTATGATTTTTTAGTCGAGTATTGCTAGCATTTCTGAATTCGATGGTGGTAAAACGCGTGAACTGGTAGCGTGGGGTTTTGCTTCCTTTAAAAAGCGCTCAGGAACCTATTTCACCTCAAAAGGGCAGTGGTTGTCCACTAAAACTAAACAGGGCTATGCTAACATTTGGAGAACTAGCAAAGACTTAGATGGTGGGAATCAGTCGATATATAGTAAATGGGCAGAGTTATTAACGGCAAATGGTATTGAGTTTATGTACTATGAAGCAATCTAAAGTCTACAGCATAGCCTTGGGGAACTTCTTCATCGCCTGCCGCACGCCCAGGTCCGCTAGAATCTCCTCGGTCCCGCCCAGGATGGCATCAAACTTGTACGTGCGATGGAACATCTCCACGATCTTGCCCATGCCGGACTGAGTGATACCACGGCCGCCGAAGATGTTGGTGGCGTGATCAGCAATCTCGCCCGCGGACTTAGTAGCGTGCGACTTGAGCAGGCCGATAGGGCCACCCAAGTGAGCAGATTGCTCGGCGTAGCTCATGTTGCACATTTGGTAGGCGATGGACTCGAGCCAGGCTTGGTTAGATTCAGTGAGAGAGATCATGCGAGCGAGTCTGACAGATTGTTAGTATACAGGTTAATTATGGAGGTCATTATGAACGTCATTATGAACGTCATTCTGGAGATCGTGGAGAGGGCCTTGTGGCTGGTGCAGGATAACTCACTTCTGACGAATGGCCGGCTGAGAGACCAGGTTCTTGCCAAAGACGATACGCTGGTTGCACCACTTCAAGCATTCTTCCACGATGGTCATCGACATGCGGACCACGGCAGCAACCATCATGAAGCGCTCGTGGTTGAAATTGCTCATAATGACGATGAAACCCTTGTGCTCCTGGCCCAACAGGTTCTGGACAGGCACCTTGACATTCTCAAATTGCACAAATGCAGTTGCGGCGGCAGTCGAATATGAGGTCTTGATCTGCTTGGTCTCAACACCCTCGCCGCGCGGGATCAAAAGGACGGAGAAGCCCTTTTCAGTCTTGCAGCCCGTCACGAAATAGTCGGCGAACATGCCGTTGGTAATCCATTTCCTGGATGGTTAGCGTGGACAGCACAAAATAGACAGTAAACTTACTTGGTGCCGTTGATAATGTAGTATTTACCATCAGGGGTCTTCTCGGCGGTAGTCTTCAAGCCAGCGACATCACTGCCAGCGAAGGCTTCGGTGATGGCAAGACACATCTTCTTCTGTCCAGACAAAACTTCGCCGGTGACCCGCTCTTTGAGGGCGGGGTCGTTCAGCCACTGCTGCACGGCAGTAAGACTGATGGCCATGCCAGCCATGTTACCGTCCTGGAAGCCTATAACAAAGGTTAGAATATCATCTAGAATATCGCCTCATTTGAGATAAACCAAAAAAAAAAAAAAAAAAAAAAAAATTCACCTCGCGCATTGGCACGAACCAACTCCTGCGTAACAATCATGTCGTGCAGATAATCGAATTCCTTCCCATCCACAGCCCCACCCAACAACTGGCGGCCATGCAGATGCTTTCCGGGACCGAGGCGCATAGCCAGAACATTCGTCTCCGCCATACGGTCAATCAGCTCCTGACTGATGTAAGTGCCGTCGGCCTCTTTCGCCTGCGCCTCAGGTGTAACATAGCGATCGGTAAACTCGCGAATAGCCTTTTGTAGACGGCGATGGCTTTCCTTGTAGTAGGGACTCTTAAACTGCGGGCGCAACCAAAGCGGCTCCGCGTATGGGACAGGGCTCAAGGCGCCGGGCACGGGCTGGATAACCTCGGGTTTCTCGCCCTCGATGGTGCCGATACACAACTGATCACGGTACTTCTCGAGCACCTCCTGGCGATGTAGGTTGTAGAAGTCGGTTGTGGCATCCTGGCCGGCGACCTGGGCGAGCACGACACCGCCGCCGGGGTGGGCATCGATGAAATCGGTGAGGTCATAAACGTTGTGGTCGATGATGCACCAGAGGGAGTCCTCGGTGTTGTGCTTGGCCACCTCGGCACGGGTGAGCGTTTGTGAAGGCATATTGGATCGGTCTAAGGAAGATGTGTGCAGAAAGAGGAAAAGGAAGCTTGGAAAGGTGGAAATGGAGTAGGCGTTGCATACCCCGGATTTCCGGACTTGAGGTTGCCAATCACAGTGCAACGAATGTCAGCCGAGGCCCGACACTTCACAATCTTCCCATCATCCGAGGTTCATTTTTGAGTCGCTTTTCTACTATTTTGATTTGATATAATTGCGTCATTATACGTCTAGTGCTGTGCAACCAACCTCAGACTTAGGCCCAGATAATACGGATAGAAATGGTATAGATGCTCTAGGACTATGTACAAGCAGTCTATCCTAATCCCGGGACGCCCTTGAAGCCTATGCAACTACGGCCGGCGTCCAGCACCCGCCTTCATCTCCTTTAGTGCTTCGTCCACCAACCACACGCACACCGGCTGCGCATCGCTTCCAACGCGCCAACTGCCCAGGACAACGTTTTGCTTTTGAAGGGTTTCGGTTGCACGCTCCCAGCGACGTCGCCATAGTTCCTCGCGCTTGTTGGGAAGCGGTACAGGTGCCATAGTGGATTCAGTGGTCTTGCGTCCCAAAGACTGGTTAGATGCGGCCTTTCGCAGTCCTGTGGAAGGTGAGGAAGACAGATTGAGTCGCTCGGTGGCATATTGCAGGGCAGCCTGAGCTGCAGACACTGGGTATGATGGTAGGTATGATGGCTTTGCCGGTGGCTGCGGTGAAGGACGAGAGGTAGTTGTTGCGCTGGATGCAGAGCTGGTCATTGGTGAAGACGTGTTGTTGCGTCGCGGCGGAGGCACAGGAGGAGGTTGTTTCAAGCGCGCTTGCCCGGCCTGTGTATCTGCGGTCTCGCGCGGATACATCTCGTTCGTGAGTGGCTCGGTATCGCTTCGAGATATCGGTGGAGATGGCTCAAGGTCGATCAAGGAATCCGTCTGGGCGGAGGATCGTCGAGGGGGCAAAGCAGGAACGGCCTTTCGGCGGATTGGCGGGGGCGGCGGTGTCGCCTTGCCGGATGAAAATTGACTGTCTCCTGGTGCTGCCGCTGTGCGTAATGAAGATGGCTTGGGTGGCTTCGTGGGAGGTACACGCGGCTTCGTAGACATGGGAACCTCAGGAGCCGCAGGCTTCTGTTCCTCTTCATCTCGTAAATCGATTAATTGAACGTCGTCTACGCTCTTCGTGTCATCTGCAGTAGATGATGTTTCTCGGGCCCGGCGAGGCGGTAAAGCAGGCCTGTTGGGTTGGGAGTCTGAGTGATCCACCAGCTGCGGAGTGCTGCGGCTGCGACCAGCCTCTTCAAAACGTCCGACCGACTGGTCGAAGAAAGGCTTTCTATCTGTAGTCGTGACATCCCGAATAAAGATCCCCAGGATCCGGCCAGGGTTGGCTAGTACAATGTCGGTGTAGACCTCCAGGTCAGCTTCGCCGCTGTCACCAACCAATATGAACTTGCGTTCAGGAAAGTCTCGCAAGAGCTGCTCGAGCGAGCCTCGCTTCCTCTCGGCGGTAGGTTCAAAGATACCTTGCAGCATGCCAGAGTAAGCCTTGAGATGGAAGGAGCCAGGAGGCAGTCCGACGAGTTTGAAGTATTTCTCCAGCAGGGGATATAGTTGCCATGGAGCGTTGGAAACATAGTGGAAGTCCACGTTCCGCTTGGCCAGCTCTTGATACCAGTCACTAACTCCGTTGACGGCCAGTTCGCCCAGGTCGCGAACGAACGTGTTGCGGAACATTTCTTTGGCGCCGCTAGAAATGGCGGAATGCTTGACGGTGTCATCAATGTCGCTGATCACGCTGATGCCCACCGGTTCAATAAGCTGGATCGGTTTTGCAGCACATAGGTCCTCTGAGGCCAGCACCCGTACGTGAGTTGGGACGAAGGGCAGTGGCGCACGTAGAATGAAATGCCCTGACTCGTCTGTCTGAAGGGTTCGTGACACACTCTGCTCCTCGTTGAAGAAGAAGGCCATGACGCCCAAGCCAGCAATAGGATTCGTCAAGAACGGACGAAGTCTTTCCATCAGCTGTGCGTTGGCCATAGTCATTTCATCCTTACTCAAAGGCGTTTGTTGGTTGGTGTTTCGGGACCGATCGACATTGGAGCTCTTCCAGGCCTGGTCGGCATCTTTCTCCGCAGTGTCAACCAGAGTCTTCATCTCCTTATTCACGTACTCGTCTTCGCCCTTGCTTGCTGAGGAGCTCTGTGCATTGTTTGCGACAGGAGCTTGAACGCCGCTCAGCTGCCGAGCCAGCGTGATCATCAGGCGGTGCTTCTTGCTCATCGGTTCTCGACCAGGTGCATAGATCCAGCCACGCACGTCAACATCCACGACCGCATCTTCGGCCTCTGCGTGGTCCAGCGAATCACGCTCATTATCCACGCCATGGTATTCATCGAGTTCACGCGACCAAGAATCACGGCGTGAAGGTGCTTCACCATGCTGCTTTGGCTTGGGTGTCAAACGTCTCGCATAACTAGGGAAAAGCACCATCTCCTCGTCGCCAGAGCGTGCAATCTCCACGTCTGGAAAGGCGCCGGGGGTATTGTAGTAATTCTCACCGCTGTATTCATTCCTCTGCGAGCTCCATTGTGACTGATACGCCTGGCGCAACTCATTCGCCGCCTTGAAATACTCGTAGACCTTGCGCCGACGACCACCAGCGCCGTCACCACTCCCCGCACCCCGTGTTGACGAAAGTCCAGACTGAGCCATCGGGGCTCTCACAGCATCTTTCGACCCGTCGACAGGCCCGCGAATAGCTCGGATACGTTGTCCCCAGGCACCTGCAGCGACTCTCCCGCCCCGCAACCGTCGCCGCGGCCCAAGGAGATAGGCAACGAAACCGCCGCCGAGTCTGCGATGACGGGCCGCAAGCCGCTCCTGCCGCTTGACGATGGCTTGGTAGAGTCGCGACTGTGCACGGTGGCGGAACGAGGGGAGGGTCTCGTGGCGGAAGTTCCAGAGACGGTTCTGAGCTCTACGTGTTGCAAAAGGTCCGACGAGGATGCGGAGGAGGCTGGAGAGTCTGCCAGGTCTGGGCTCGCGACGGGCCAGAGAGGGGTTCGAGGGGTGAGCGACAGGGGGTGGACGTCTGAACACGAAGGGTTTGAAGCGAGCGATTGACCAGCGGGATCGAGGTTTGGGCGCCAGGGTCTCGGGTAGTCCCAGCGAAGCCGGTTGGTGGTGATTCTGTGGGAACGACTGGACCCGTCGGAGGTTCAAGCAAGAATAGACTGGAGGTTTAGACTGACACGATGAGTCGATATTAAGACACCTTGAAGACGTGGAATACTCACATGAGGCGTGCAAAAACGCTAAGAATATGCAGAGAGGAGCAAGTTGGAAGGGCTGGACGTTCTACTGTTGCTGCGGGGCGCGGATCAGCCATGACGCCAGTCTGGCCCCGACGCTTGATCGATTGTTTCACACCCAGCGCACTAAGGCGTGCTCCCACGTCGAGCGGCGTTCCATAGATCCAGTTCAAGCCACACATCATCGGCCATTTCGATCAAGTTATCATGTGAAATCTCAAAGTCAGACTCCGCAGCCTGCTTATCGCGAAGGAAAATGTCGCAAAAGTTGACTTTCATCTCGCCGGTGATCCTGGGACCATCAGGGAGTCGCTCGATTGCCATGGTTTGAGTAGGGAAAGGATCTCCAGATTGTTGGCTTAGATTCCATCTTTCGATGGAGATCTTGCCGTTGGAACTGATAGAAACCGTAATGACCACACTGACATCGCCCTTCGACTCGTCAAGCCAGAACTTCGCGTCTGCCTTAAGTTTTGCTCGCGTTTCCGACCACTGAACTTCAATAGCCACTGTTGGCCATTTTTCACTCCTAGAACTTGGCAGATCTGCTGGTCTCCAAGAGGCGTCTGGTTTTTTTGACCTACTGGCCCCTTTAATACTCTTATCCGCAGTAGATCGGAGGTGGCTTCTCTGCTTATCTTGCCAGATACTGAAAGCCTTGACGAACGCCCCTTGCGCGGTTGAGTGCACCCCAGTTGTTAAAGACATATTAAACAAAAGCGTTGAAGAAGTGAAGTAGTAAATCGACCAGCGACTTGCGAACGGATGATTTGGGAAGTTTTCGAAGTACTCGAGGAAGGAACGCTCATCCACATCATAAAAAAATACGTAAGGATTGCTGGTCTCTTCATACTCATAACGCTCGCATGCCTTGTCTATAATCTCCATGCATTGTTCGAATCCTTGATATCGGTACATTGGCGTCGCGGCAGGAAGTTCTCCAGGAAATTCTCCAGGAAATTCTCCAGGAAATTCTCCAGGCATAATGGTTTAGGAAAGGATCTTAGGTCAGCTAGGGATGTCAAGAAAAAGTGGGAGATATTTAAGAGTCTGAATCACTTGAGCCTTGGATTCGTCGTAAGTACAGCGGATATCCTATATATATATAGTATGTAGTAGGGATAATCATGACGCGCCAATTACGCCTATCGCCCGCTTGAGGCAACCTTGCCGACCTCGCGCAGGCTTGGTACTTTTTCGTACTTTTTCCATCGCTGTTACGAAGTAAGGAGAAAACGGAACGCAAGGCTGAGGTTGTGTACGGATTGATGATGAAGCTATCTCAGCTACGTCCGTAGACGGGATATAGGGCTCTGGCAACCAACCTCCGAGTAGACCCTGGCACTCACCCGTCCCGCGGGTCCAAGATCAAGAATCGTCACGTTGTCAAGCCTTTGCATACAGCTCCCTGGAGTCTACCAAATTGAATGCACAAAATTCTCCAGCTGCATTGACCAAGATTGTTCTGCAGCAAGCCAAAGACAAATATTCTTCAACTCCTCGCCGAACCGCTCAGTCCACAAGGTTGACCGATTAGCCAACGATCCCTGCAAAAAGAATACCACGCCAGTTCCATCCTGAGTCATGGCCGCATTCATTAACATCCCCAGTTTAGCCCGGATGTGCACTTGCATCATCCTCATCTTCTCAAAGGGGGCTCCGCCCGCCGCCAGAGCGCTGAGCCCGGGCATCCAGTTATAGAGAAGACTCTCTGCTGCCAGACTAAAAGCTTCCTCTGTACAGCCGATTCGAGGCAGGACTTCTCGCCAGGGCACGGTTGCGTACTGGCTGAGTTGGTTCTGATCCTGTTGCATGCGGTTGAGGAAGTCGAGTACTGTTACCTCTGGTTGGAAAGCCACGAGATTCCCAACTACATTGAAGACTGGACCGGCCACGTCCATAACGTCGTCTGCGGCACGTCGGCCTACAGCGAAGGGGAACTTGGACCGGGCCCCTTCGAAACTGAGGAAGAAGGCGTGGGAGTGGTTGGTCCGGGAGATGACCAGTAAAGCCAGGGCGGATTTTATGACCACAGACGGCGTCAAGAAGGAATGAGTCTGGCAGAGATGAACCAGTGCGGGCGCTGGGAAGGTCACTAGATGGCCATCTAGATGGTTGCGTTCGGGTGTGACTACCAGCTGGTGGGTTGGATGTGGCCAGAGGACGTGGTAATGTTCTTTCAGGTCGCGCAGGTAATTGGCATGGAATGCGATGGCGTTCTCAGCGGAGGGAGATTTGCGCAGAAGGTGATACTCGTCGGCCCATTCTTTATAACTGATATGGGGGGAAAGGGTCTCGCCGTTTAGAGCGCGGCTCACATCTTCGAAGAAGTGTTGGTGGGAAGTTTTGTCCAGCACAGCATGACTTACTAGTCCCGTTGTTAGCCTCTGTCGAAAACGAAAAAAAAATCACTCACTATTGGTAATGGCCACAGCTGACCTAGTTTCGCGCACAAAGACTAGTAAAGCGCGGAAGAGAGGGCCTGGCAGCTTGGTATGATCCGAATAAGGATAGTTCATAGTCAACAAACGCACTTCATCGAGCGTGTCGACGGTCCCATAATCCTCAATACACCAGTCGAGGACGTTGCGAGTCTGGCGGAGGGATACATAAAGGCCTAGATGGGGGCCCAGACGACCGGTATTTACCACGACGAAGGAGAGCAAGACGGGATTCACTACGAGTGCTGCTTCAATGGCATTACGCATTGACTATGCGGATATTAGGGCATGTACCTTCCACTAGATGGGGACAATTTACCTCGACGCTGGCAGAGTGGGAGACCACCGTGGTCCGGATGTTCCATGTGTTGACAGCCATCGACTTGCAAATGATCTGAATAAAGTCAGAGCAAGGGAAAATTTCCTGCACATCTTGCCAACCCAAGCCAAATGGAGTGATGGCCTCTTGGACTGCGATCTTGGTTGATTGGAACAAGGCCGCACTACCTCCCAGATGGACCATGTCGTCCACGTCCGGAGACCCTTGCGCTAATGAGAGTGCTTTGTTGGTTGAGGATACAAGTCCAGCTTTGGCCGTCAACAGATCAATCTGATCAGCAAGGGTTTCGGTTTCCATCCATGCGTCCAGCGGGACCGCTTGCCCGGTGTCCTTGCGAATGCGGTCCCGGGCCGTCAACATGAGAATGCTATCTGCCAAATGACTTAAAGGCGTATGCAACTCGAGTTGCGCAGGCGACAGGCCTAGAATTTGCGCCCATGCTGTGGCGACCGATGTTCGCCAGTCGACCGAGGTCGCTGCAGTCGCGCTGGGCGTTGGATGGTAGTGCGAAGCCACCAATTCAGTCAGTTTCCTTTTGTCAATCTTTCCAGAGCTTGTTCGCGGGTGCTCCTCAATACCTAGCGTCTGCGTTGGGATGACTGCCGTCGGCACATGGATAGTTCCTAGCGCGGATCGAACAGTGTCTTGCAGCAGCTTAATCTGCTCGCTGCTAGGCTGCCCTTTTACAACAGCCACAGGCACCTCGCCGGCAAACGGATCCTGTTTCCTTACCACCTGCGGCTGCATAGCTTCAAGGGCGGGTGTCTGGGCCAGGACAGCTTCGATCCTCGCCGGGGCGATGTTTTCACCTCCCCGGATAATTGTGTCTTTATACCGGCCAATAACGAATAGTCGACCAACCTGATCCAATATGGCGGCATCGCCCGTGATGAACCATATGCGGTCGTCTTCTTCGTAGAAATCGTCGATTTGGCCGCTCAGATACCCTTGTACCGTGGTATACCCGGACACATGGAGCTCGCCAACGGTACCACGGGGAACTGGCACGCGATCGTGCGGGTTGCAAACGCGCATAGTGAGGCCTGGGACTGGCCTTCCAATGGACAGACTGTTGCCGTCCTTAATAGGATCCACACTCGAGACAGGACCCGTCGAAGAAAAGACTCCCTCCGTCATGCCGTAGAGGTTCTCGATGCTGGAGAGGCCAAATTTGTCGAAGCAGGTCTGGACTAACGCAGGAGAGAGGACCATGCCACCAAACACAATTGTCTTGAGACTTGTCGTCTCCATCGAAGACAAGACCTCGATTAGACTATGAACCATCGTGCCTACCAGCCCCAAAAACGTACAGCGTTCCTGGACAATCGCGCGTGCGGCAGCACGGAGCTCGAACTTGGGCGCTGCGATGACCACACAGCTCCCGCGGAGTAGGGGCATGATGGTGCATATGTGACCAAAGGCATGATAGCCGGGCAAAAGTGTCGCCATAACGTCCCCTGGTTCGAGGCGTCCCAAGCTCATCACCTCGGGAAGCGAGCTGAACCATCTGTCTATCGATATTAGGCAGCCTTTCGGACGAGAGGTTGTGCCGCTGGTAAATAGTATCGACTCTGCTGGCTCCCCGGTGATGGGCGCTTCGCCGTCGATTGGCTCCATCAATTTTTTGAATGGAATCCAGCCCAAGGCGTCCCCATCTAGTGCGATCTTGACCGCATCTTGCGGCACATCTAATCCATCGATAGTTCTTGCAATATCGGCAGTAGCAAGAACTATGACTTTTTGTTCAGTGTGAGCTTTCCGCGCCGTATCTAGCATATATTGAACATCATCCAAGCTGGAAAGGCCCTCGGGGTTGATGGGAACGTGGGTATGGCCGAGGTAGTAGGCGGCTAGGGTTGCCAACACATACTCGATGCGATTTTGACAAAATAGGAAGAACGTCGTGCCGGCTCCCAAGCCACGAGAGCTTAGGTGTGTCGTGATAGTCTGGATAACGCGATGCAATGTGCTATATGTCCATCTCAGACCCTCACCGTCAGTTGTCCTTGGGTTACCGAGACCATACAACTCTGGCTGCTGGTGACTGCAAACGGCAGCGAGCTGTTCAGGGTGCTGTTGAACAACCGCTTCGAACTGATGTACGACGGTCTGCGGTTTCACAGGGGCAGGGCCTCCGTCGATTTCACTGATGGGACACATGATGAGTGAAAAAGAAAATCGATAGCCTCTCTATATGGAGAGAAAATTAATCAAAGCACACTCTACCCGTGGATTGAAAAAATGTAATATATCTTAAATAATACCACTGAGTCCGATCTGCACCCTTTCTTCCCGAAAAAAGACCTGGCAGAAGGGCTTTCTTAAGTCCAGTTCATCACTTGCCTCGGGGAATGGACCCCATCCACGCCACATAGAACAGGCGGAATGGTGTAGGGAATCAGGTTTACATCCAAGCGGTATTTGCTCATGTCGGCTGGACCAGATCACTACACGTTTTGGTGGCTCGGAATGCCTACTATTTAGGGTGGACACCGCACCTGGGCATCCTATTATAGAAGAGACCCCGGGGAGATGGTTTTCAATACCGGGATTTGCATGCTGTGTAACCACCACGCAAGAACCCGCGACCTGCAGCATGATGTCACATTTCCTCTTTGTTCATCCGACAGGAAGGTCAGTCAGGTCAGTACTTGGAATTAAACTTGAGCGGACGAGGGTTTGTGTAACGATGCTAAGCAACCCTGTTCCCGATATATTTTCATAGACTACAGTGGCATCACACAAGTCTCCGACCCCATACAGACCGTCTTTCATTCTGCCGCATTTTCTGGCGGTCCAAACTTGGCTACCATCACTAATACTTGTTAAATAAGCTATTTGGCTCTGAAATAAGACCAAGAAGATGTTCCAAAAGATGTTTCAAAAGATGTTTCAAAAGGTGTTCCAAAAGGTGTTCCAAAAGGTGTTCCAAAAGATGATGTGGTCGTAAATAATTCTAGTCTCTAGGGGGCCATATCTATGATAGTGTAACGAATGAACTTCCTGGAGCAATCTTCGACAAGGCCCCACCCGACTTCGATCCCAAGAACTCGACCGGACCCATTTCTGTACTTCGGTTGCCTTGAAGGAATCCACAACAAAAGCCGACTATGAGCGTCGAAAAACGCCCAAAAGGTCCGTGCAACACTTAGTGCGTTGGGCCCAGTGGACGAGCAAGTGGATGGAGGTGTGATTGCGGCAGTGGAAGGAATGGATTCCGGAATTGGCCTTTTGATGCCAGGGGTGTTCACACAATCAGGCTTAAAGCTGTTCCATGAGGGATAATTTTTGTTATCATCAAGTTTTAGGCCTGCGGTCTTATCCAGCATTATCCATTCCATCGGAACAGCAAATCAAGCCCCTCCCATTTAAACTCCATAACGCCATGCCATTCCGCTCCTTTAAATGCACGACAGTAGAGTATCTACCTATGTAGGTACAAAGTCTAGTATACAATAGCCAACAACCATCTATGTGCTATCCTCAGTGTAATTCACCTTTTTTGCACGGCTACTTCTCCGCGAGCTGGGTGCCTTCGCAGGAGCGTCTTCCAGCTCTGCGGACAGACCACTCAACTCGTCTAACTCCGGAGCAGAGTCGATCTCTTCAGCCTTCCGCTTCGTGCGAGACTTGATCGAGGATGAGGTGCGTCGAGGAGCCCGGGCGGTTTTCTTCACTGGTGTCTCCAAGATACCATTGGTATCAGGTTCCTTTTTGATCTTCTTCGGACTAGCCTTGGGTTTCACGATCTTCTTGGCCGGGCGGAGCCATTCTTCCATGCCTCGAGGCCAATATACTCGTCTATCGGGTCCACCCATACCGACCTCCTCGTCGGCGATGGTGCGAGGCGGAGGGACAGCGCCCTCGAGGTCAACAAAGCTACCGTTTTTCTTTGTTTTGCGTGGAGGCTTAAACGGTTTGTTTTCATCCGTTCGTGTGTACGGAATGAGATCGTTGAAAAGGTCATGCCCCGGCAGCTTGAATGTTCTCATCAGTTCAAATACTGCTTGCTCCTTATCTTTCGCCTCGATCATGAGGTCCATCGTAGGGACGCAAGGTGGCAGAGTGGCCACTCGATCGCTGTGTTTGCGCCGCTGGCGGGGTGTGATGGCTGGGGCAGTGGGTTCCGAATAATGCATTTTCTGCGTGATGTTCTTGCGTGACCAGGTGGCTGAAATCCGGTCATAGAGCGCCATGATATCCTGCGTACCCTCGCGCACCTCGTTCGCATCGAACATGATGTTGTGGTGGTGATAGTCAAGGACCAAAGGAATATTCAATTCTTCGCAGATGGGCAGTAAATCGTGAACGGTCCAACTAACATCGTCATTCTCAAGAACTAGCCGGTTCTTGATATCCTGCGACAATATGGCGTAGTTCTCTCGGAACCTGTCCAAGGTGGCTGCTTTGTCGCCGAAGACTCCGCCCATATGCAGAATCATAACAGCATCGCGATCTTGCTGAGGAGGCAATTTGAGCAACTGTAGCATCTCCGAATGAAATTCAAGGTCGCGGTAGGAGCTCTCTACCACCTCTCTTCTTGGAGAACCAAGCTGGGTGAATTGGCCGGGGTGAACCGATACACGGTGGCCGAGCTCCGCGACTACTCGTCCAGCGTCGGCTAATACCTCGGAAGCAAACGGCGCCAACTTGTAGCCGTATTCTTTGTGACTGGCAAACGGAAACATCTCGCTGCTGAGACGCATAAACTTGATGCCGTACTTGTCATTCCAGCGGATCAATTTGACAAGATCCCGCGCATTCGCCAACCCTAGCGCTTCAACGAATGCTTGTCCACGCGCCACATCTGCTGGTTGATTTCGGTCGGGACGGTTCTTGATCGGATGTGCAGGCTGATCTGGGTCCTGTAGAGGGTGTCGGTTCTCCAGGATAGAGGCAATGCGACATGTACGGGAACAGAAAACGGGAGGAGTCGAGTAGCGCAAGTATGTGTTTAGACACGCCTTGGTACGTTAGTATTCACACTGCGTTATGCTGCATCTAGTATGTGCAATATGTGCAACTTACATAGCCAAGGCGTCCTTTCCAGGGGAGAGGGAGGTAGCTGCTATTCACTGGCGGGGGACGTCCCAGAGCCTCCTTCAGCTCCTCGGCCTCAACGGGAACGTCTTCGTCGGACTCTGGATCCAACAAGGCCTCTGCCCGACCCGCAGGCATTGCGACGTCCTCATTGAGGATATCAGCCGGCTTCGCATCGGTGTCATCCGCGTCCACCACCATTGCTACTGCCGTATGTAATTGACGGTATGTATCGCGCACGAGAAAGCGGGGGAATGTCTGAAGAGACGGCACGACAAGGTTCAAGGAGGTATTAGAGAAATGCGCAAAGCTAGCGACGCCTCGATAAGGGAAGCGCAAACTTGGAAGAGCTGCATGACGAACATGGCCCAAAACCGGCCCAGGCGATCTGATGTTCGCCACAGATCGATCGGAGATCCTCAGTAACGAGGGGTGGCGACCCCGCGGGCCAGACCTGGAGCCGGCATGCTGGACAGGCAGACCACGCAGGAGTCGTGCAAAAGGACGACACATCCAGCGGGCTCTCAGTTTCTGGGAGAGTTGAGTGTTGGTGTTGCCAGACAAACGTTGCAAAGTTAAGGGGTGCGGGACGTCGATGACGCGCTAACCGCGACGCGCGCATTTCGTGTTAAAAGGTGATGACTGCTCAACTTCTACTTTACTCGAACCAATAGAGTGCGACTGGAGGTAGGCTCTCGGAGCAATTCTCATGGCACAGTCTGAAAGAATGCTTCACGTACGGAGTGCTGCCTCCACATTCGTTCTGCAGGGACAACTTAGTCTACGCTGCAATTAATCTCGAGGAAGAACAGGAATATCAACCACCCAAGGGAATGAGCTCCACTGGACAAATCACACCCCTGGGAAACACGTTTGGCTGCCTCATGGACCTCAAACTTCAATAAACACACCCGAGACAGCATTCTATTGGATGTCTCCTCATTGGCATGCAGGGGAAAAGGGGATCGCCCACAACCGCGACCTGCCAACATCTAAACCGGTTCTCATCCGAAGCTCCTATGGAGGCCAGATATTGTACTGTAGCTGGTGGAGGGTCCATGCTTTGAGAACAGCCTCCGCCTTCTGCTGCAACGCGTCTGGCCTGGCCTGACATCATGGCTGAATTCCCCATGCAACGGAGAATAATCTCGACGTGGAATGAAGGCACTCTTTCTAGTGAACCTTTCATATTTGCAAGGCTTACGCATCTCACCCCTGCGGCCGCACAGGCAAAGTACTTGGATTTTGTGGAGTGTCGTTCAAAGACAACACTGCAGGAGTGATGCTACATACATACGCTGGGCAGTAATCAATCACCGAGAGGCATAAATTGCCATATTGATGCTCTCTGTGATACACTGACGACGAATAGAGCTAACTCTCCGAGATTTTAAACTTCATCGCCAGGTGAGAAAGTGCGACTGGCAGCATTCTTCGCGTTGCGAGGCTCATTACTTGTCCGCCAACTTGGACCATAGAATGATGGCATCCATCATTCCTCCGGGGAACGCTGGAGAATGCCAACAGCCAAGTTAAATATTTATACTCGATCTTGTCCGGTGTTGCACTATCCTGCTTCTTCAGCCGTCTGTGCCTTCAGAGCCGAGATATTACCCTGGTGGTTAATTGCTTGCTTGCAGATTGTTGACCTGTTAATACATCTGACCCATTAAACTGTGAGTGGTTCATCACCTATACCTAGCTATACCTGGGGTGCTGACAAGGTCATAGGTATTCTACATTCAAAATGAAGGGAGTTGCTTTCATCGCAGGCTTGCTGGCCACGGGAGCCACTGCCCACATGCAGATGTCCAAGCCTTACCCCATCCGCTCTCCTCTGAACAAGGATGCCAAGGGCCAGAAGGACTACTCTTACACCAACCCACTTTCGTCCTCAGGCAGTGACTACCCTTGTAAGGGCTTTGCCAATGACGAGTTCGACTCCCAGGCCACCTACCAGCCCGGCGGGCAGTACGAGATGGAGCTTGAGGGCAGCGCCACTCACGGCGGCGGTTCTTGCCAGCTTTCTCTGACCTACGACCGGGGCAAGACCTTCAAGGTCATAGAGTCCATGCTGGGCACCTGCCCCATCCCCAAGAAGTACAGTTTCACCGTTCCCTCCGATGCGCCCAGCGGTGAGGCTATGCTCGCCTGGACCTGGTTCAACAAGATTGGCAACCGTGAGATGTACATGAACTGCGCTTTTGTTACCATCGGCGGTGATGACTCCAAGGGCACGGAGGTCCCGGCCGTTGCCGCTGCCCCTGCTCACCCCAAGGCCGAGGGCAAGAAGGTCAACCACATGCAGCAGATGGAGCACCCTCATGAGGTTGTCTCGCACCATCCCATGGGCCACGCCGCTCACCCCAACAAGGAGCACGCCGCTCACCATCCCATGGGCCACGCCGCTCACCCTAACATGGACCACGCCGCTCACCCTAACATGGAGCAGCGTGATATCTCCTGGATGGAGACCCACAGCATGGCCACCGCGTTTGACAGCCTCCCTCCTATCTTCGTCGCCAACGTTAACCAGGAGGGCAAGTGTGTGACCATCGAGGGTGAGCCCGTCAACTTCCCCGAGCCAGGTGACAACGTTATTGGCCAGGCTTCCGGCAAGGGCTACAAGTGCGCTGGTAACGCTCCTTTCCTCGGCTCTTCCGACTCCGGCTCTCCCGACTCCAGCTCTTCCGACTCCGGCTCTTCCGACTCCAGCTCTTCCGACCCTAGCTCCAAGAGTACAAACGACACAAAGGATTCCGAGAGCACCAAGGATTCGTCCGCCATCCCTGCCGATAACAAGAAGGCCAACGCTACTCGCAGCGAGAAGAGTGACCCGGCCATGTCCAAGATTGCATCTGCCTTCGGCACCCCCAGCGCTGACCCCCGTGTTGTCACCGAGGCCTCCACCAGCAATGCATTCTCCAGCTACGTTGGCCTATGGGCTTGCCATGATAACGAAATCATGTGCTCCCCCGACGGCTGGTCCTGGGCCATGTGCTCCAACGGCAGACCCATCTACATGGGTTCCGTCGCCGCTGGCACAAGTTGCCGCTTCGGCCAGATGGTTGCTGCCGGTGCTCCCTTGTAAATCTCCAGCTGCATTTCACTTCGACTCCTCCATTGAGAAGATACCCATCTTTGTCGATTGACCTTGCCGACTGGGTCGGTCCTTTCTCCTTTTTCTTTTATCTTCTCCCTCGGGTTTGGTGTTCAGGCGCTGGCAATGATCCATTGATGTCCACGCCGATGCTGATGTCTTATGTCTGATTGATATTCCTAATGATTGTCGGGTGTTGAATGTTTTGCCGCATGCGGAAGGGGGTGGATTTATTGTACTTTAGCTCCAGGAACAATACACTTTAGAACTTTATTTCTATTCTCCAAAGTCGTTTATCACAAGAAATCACATTACCATTATATCCTTAACCGCAATTACCCTTTGCGGTTCCCAGCTATGACCCGATATTTGTACATGCCAATCTTAAGTAAACATGGTATCTCTGCTTTCAAAGCAAAAAGGTCATACAATCGTCCATTGGCAACGGAATTGCCAGCTCAAACCAATATCCTGCATGAATATGTTCTATTGTTACGAAGAACATCATCCTTATGCATGACGAAGCCGTAAATGGTAGGCTTAGTAGTTGCCGGTATAGGCAGAGTTACCGTAGCCGTAACCATTGGCGCCAGTGGCGGTGGCGGCGGGAGTAGCCTTGTTCTTGCGACCGAAGGTGCTGAACCAACCCTTCTCCCGCTTAGTGTCGCCAGCCATCTCGACATCACCGGGAGTAGGGTGGCCAGGCAGGTTGTCGGCACCGGTGGCGTCGGGGCTGTTCTTCCTGCGGCTCCAGAACTTGCGGCCCCTGCCCGAGGTGTAACCGTTGGCGGGGGAGGGACCGAACCGCTTCTCGCGCTTGTGGTGGCGGGCGAGAGCGATCTGGAACAGGATGGAAATCAGGAAGAGGAAGCTAAAGGGGGCGGCGTTAGTATACGTTTTCTGGATGCGGCGAATCGGCATGGCAAAATGCAGATCAGATCCACTTACATTCCAATGATGGCAACTGCGAAGGTGACCTTCTCGAGCTTGCAGGCCATGCCGAAGGTCAACTTGGCCATGGAATGGTCATTGGCGTTGCCAGTACCCAAAGGCGTGTTGACGATACCAGTGCACTTGTCGACACCGTGACGAGTCAGGATGGCGATGGCGATCATGGCGCCAGTGAAGCATACATCGAAGACGACGCCTAGGAAAGCGAAGAAACCGACGCCGCCGAGACAGCAGACGAAAACGGTGCCGAGCAGGCCATATAGAGTGGCAGCACCGGACAGACCTTCGACGGCCTTGATCCACGTAGCGATGTGGAGGTTATGCTGGGCCAGGATGGCCAGGTAATAGGAGAAGATGCCGAGGATGACGGCCGCATCGAGGAACTGCAACACGCGTATAGCGAGTGCGCAAAAACGTAGAATCACTCCGCCCATGCCCATGGTGAATAGTGTATAGAGGAGGAAGGGAAGGGAAGTTGGAAGCCCGAGGCACCAGGATTCAGGGCTAGGACGGGTTTATAAGGAACCGAGCAGAACCTGGCCCCATCGAGACGCAAGTGTTGATGATCAGTGGATGCGGAACAGGTCGAACCCTGGTTCACGCCGTGTTGAGTGGCTCAGCCACCGCGACGTGATGTCATTGCATGAAATCATCTCTCCACCGGGCTCGGCATGACGGTTGTCATTGGGCACGATGGCCTCCGCCACCGCATGTGAAGAATAAAAAGAATTTGAAAGGCTGAAAAGTGGTAAATTTGAAGCATCAGCCACACTGCGCCATCGGCTTTGGGGAGGCGGGTCTCGTCCTTGGTTAGGTCGAGCTATTGTACACTATGCAACTTAAAATGGTTCTGCCTGTTGTGGACAAGCTATCCCTGCACATCCACTAATATCTTGCAGTGCTTGTCCCGATGCTCGAGTAAGACCTTGAACCCTTTGTCCACCACTTCCTCCAGGGCGATGCGCGAGGTGATCATGGCTTCCGGTTTGAGTTGACCTGAAGCCCCTAGGTTAGCTTTTTAATAAAACACCGAAACACCCCAAAAGGGAGACGCCTGGGTACTTACCGTAGTTCACTGCGCGGATCGTATCCAAAAACGACATTTCGTCGTACAAGGCTGCACCCATATACCGGATCTCGTTGTACATCAACTGATTCACGGGGATGGACGGCGCCTTTTCCCACACTGCGATATTAACAATCGTACCCTGCGCACGACAGGCCGGTATGGCACCGATGAGCGCCTTCTCCACGCCCGCCGCGTCGAAAATAACGTCTGCGCCAACGCCACCCGTAATCCCTCGCACGCGCTGTGCGACATCGCCCTCGCGCGGGTCAAGAAGGTGCGAGGCGCCGTAGTCCCTGCAGAGCGTCTTACGGTTATCCATCAATTCAGCCACCATGATGTTTCTCGCGCCTTGCAGCTTCAGCACCTGCACGACGCCGATCCCAATCGGGCCGCCGCCGACCACCAGCACATTGTCGCCGACTTTAAACGGTGACAGGTTCACTGCATGCCAAGCGACGGCTAGTGGTTCGATGAGGGCCGCGGCTTCCAGGGAGACGTTCTCGGGGATCGGGTAGAAGTGGCTGGCTGGTGCGACTATCTTTTTGGACATGCCGCCGCCGTAGCCTGAAGAGATGTGGTTAGTATCGGGTGCTCTGGATGATTGGACAAGTCTTACCGCTTAATCCAATGAATCCAATATTTGCGCAACAGTGGTTGTAGCCTTGCTTGCAGGCACCACATGTTCCATCATAGATGGTCGGACGCACGACGGCGCGTTGGCCGGGAGAAACGTGCGTGACGTCCTCGCCTACTTCTTCGATGATGCCGCTGAATTCATGACCCATGGGGGCGGGATATGTTGAGCCCGTGACGTGATGGGGGTTTTCCGGGATCAGCACCGGACCACTGGTATACTCGTGCAGATCTGTCGGATGTTAAGACGAGCTTGGGAGTATAGAGAGATGAAAACCCCACCACTTCCGCAGATTCCAACAAACGCCGGTTTCATCTGTAGCCCTCTTAGTATGATAACCACGATGCTCAAATTTTATGAATACCAACTTTGACTTGACCTTTGCCACATACTGGCTCCTCAACTTCGTCCACGCGGATATCTCCCGGTCCGTGGAAACGGACAGACTGCATCAACGGCGCACTTTTGAGTGTGGTATGCAGTGTGCCCTCCGACTGGGTGGTTGTGTTCAACATGTTGACTACCTCTGAGCGTATCGGTTGTGTCGGCATTTCAATTGTGTGACTTCGTCGCTAGGTGTCTGTGTATTCACTAGCCGAGGAGTCATGGCTGCTGCTGGGAAGGGCCTTTTATATTATCGCCAACGGAAACAGGTTCGATTACATCCATCTTGATAGAAGGGTGTGGCAAGATATGACAGGGTGGGAACAGAAGAGTCGGGATTTGAGAATCACCAAGGTTACAAGTACTAGTCGGACTACGAGCCAACCACTGAGAGGGCTTTGCACAGTATGAATCAGATTAAATGCTGTAGACGTAATCCATCGTGAGTGCAGCTGTTATCTTGCTCCAACGAGGTTCAACGATAGGGGAAGCAGGGTATGTATGTCCGAGCTTGATATCCGAGATAGTGATCACTTGGACTCTGGAAACGCCGCCGATTTGCTGGGTTCACCAAGGAAGGATGATCCATCGCCCCTTCTTGAGTCACGAGCAGCTCCACCCCAAGGATCTCGGGCTGAGAAGCTGCTTGACCAGAAGCTGTGTGGCCGGCATCGAAACCGACGACCGGGGTACCGAGAAAGATGGCGTCATGAGGAACTCCAATAGAAAACAGCTCTGCAGCACGGCACGATATACAGGAACAAGATCTGACCTTCTAGTGAAACAGTCGAAACATCATCGAAGCACGCCAGATGACATTAGGCCAAGCTTAAAACGGGGCCGCTTGCAGATGAATGACATCGCCGACAGGGATGTTTGAATTAGGGTTGTCATACATCATGAGCTGACTGGAGGCTCTTTTCCCCAGAAACCGAGAGATTGAGCTGGTGGTCGAGAACCCACCAATGAGCGGCTAGCGGTGTTGACATGCCACGCAGGGGAATGAATATCGAGGGTTGGGATGGCATCGGATACAAGCCCAGCCACTCAGGAGGCCTTCTCGCGTTGCTGTTCCACAAATGCACGGAGGATCGAATCCAGACCCTCGTTGCGGCGAGCGAGCAGCATCACGTCTGTGACATTAACCGTCGACCGCCCGGCATGCCTAATGCGGTAATACCGATCAGTTACGAGCCCGCTACCACGGTGATGAAACAAGCAGGATCCTGCGTTTCTGAGTTGATGTGATGTTAGATTTAACTCACTTGGCGAAGGACTCTAGGTCCTGGCTGACCGTTTCTGCGAGATAAGTCAGCCACACGGACGCGATGGGAAGTTGGCGCAACACGCGACGTCGAGATGTTGCCAGTTGGAACCGACAAGCGCGAAGTCTTCACGATCAAAAAAGACACCTACCGATTTGAGCCCACACCATCTCTGTCAGAGCACCGATGAACTGCGGCGTAGCGTTGACGCCTAGCTTGATGGTCTCCTCGTCAACGATCTTGCCGATAGACAGCCACAGGGCAGACTTTAGGCGCTAGGGACCTTGTGAGCTGTTTGAATCCCTCGGTATCAGAGAGCACTCACCTCCTCAAGTCCAACTTCATCGGTCTCCATGATGGCACTGGATGTAAAGGAGAGAGAAGCGCGTCCCATACATTCCACCACGGTGATGTGATTGGCTTGGGACGCGTCACCGGAGAAATAGCTGATCCGCGGCCCGAGTTATCCGGAGGCTTCTCGACGCATTCTTTTCTTCAGGTTCAAGGCATCAGGACAGCGTTCTCGTTTCGTTGTTCAAGAGTTGGGAGCTGCTCAATCGCTTCCACTTCACTTGCATCCTCCTCATATCCCTTATTTCCATCACATACCACCGGCCACCCCCATTTCCATCGCTTCCGTCTTCTCCGAGCCTTCCGTGTCCCCCACCAACTACAAAAACTCGACGCAGAATGGCCGACGCAAACGCCCCAGACCTCGGCGAGAAGGCCGCCGAGGCCGCCAGCGAATTCTTCCGTGAGATATACGGTTATTTCGAGACCGCCGTCTACCGCTTCTGCAAGAACTTCTATAAATCCTTCGCGGATGTTAGCGTGAACCGATGGGCCAAGGTCATTGCAAGTGTGGTCTTCTACATTCTCATCCGTCCATACATCGAGAAGTTCTTCAAGTACCTGCACGACCGTGAGCGCCGCAAGGAGAAGGAGAAGAAGGAAGCGGAGAAGGCCAAGCTGGGCGGGAAGAAGGCCAAGGTGTCTGCCAACTCGCTGCGCGGTGGTGACAAGGGCAAGGTGCTTGGCGAGGTGGACAACACGGATGACGAGGTCGAGGACGATGAGGAGGACGAGCTGGCTGAAGCTAGCGGTGTCCCTGAGTGGAACAAGATGGCTCGCAAGCGCCAGAAGAAGTACATCAAGAACCTACAGAAGAAGGAAGGCCCCAAGGCTGAGAAGTTTACCGAGGAGGAGATTATGGAGTTGCTGGACTGGAGCGAGTCCGAGGGTGAGAAGAAGGCGAAATAGGGGCTCTTTCATGCTTGTTGATGGATGTTGCTGGATATAGACCTGTGAATGTTGCTAATGTGTATTCTACTATTTCACCACTGTATACTAACTAACTTTACGGAGTTCATGAAATATCAGATGTGAGCATATAATCCAAAGTCATCATCCAAAAAAACTTCAAAAAGGATATAATTTCCACGCCTGGGCACCCTTGATTTGTCCTCGTAAACATGATGTGGTCGTAATAGAAAGAAGAAAATGTGGCAGTATCTAAGAAAGGCCTCTTTCAAACTGAAATCAATGCAGCCGGCGCAGCGCTTCAATCATTCTCTTCACCTCCTCTACATCGCCCGAGCCCACCTCCGCCACGATATCCTCTTGCAGGCTAGGATCACAGGTCAAGAATTGCTCGATAAGCTCGCCATCCACGAATCGATATGGCGCGTCGGCGGAGCGAACAAGCGTACGGAAGGCGCGGAACTTGTTGAAAGGCAGGTCGCCCAGCGAGTCCACCTTACTGGCGATGGCGTTTTGGAGGGTCATTAGGAAATCTTGGTGCTCTGGGTTGATGAGCGCGAAGAGATAGATCGATCCCTCAACCTGTGAATGGTTAGCAAGCGTAATTTCTAATTCCAAATGCAATACATACTGTTGCCATGAATGCTCGCGGGGTCACCAAGACGCTGGCCAGCTGGGGGATGTGAATCGGACGGATGCGGTTGACCATCTCTCCCAGGGCGATCTCGCTTGTTGGCACGAGCCGGTGTTTGTCTTGATCAGTGACGCCGTTGGTGTTGCGGGACAGGACGATCAAGTTGCCTTCGGCTTCACTGAGTAGGAACGTGTCTTTGTCGACAGAGGCCACGGCCGTGCTCCAGACTGTTTGATAGTGGCGGCCGATCTCCTTCAGCTCATCCTTGACCCCATCCTCGCCAGGGACGTACTTCACAATGCAGACACTCTTCATGAGATCAGCCACCACGATCATGTCGTCGATAACGGTGACATCGATGGGTGCAGTGGATGTTCGATAGGTGGCGAGCTTCTCGAGCTTGAGCGCTCCAGCGTTGTTATCAATTGTCTTGTAGACGACAACCTTGGGACAACGTCAGTAAACAGTAAAGGCCCAGTAAGATTTACAACTTACAGTCTTCACCAGCGCCGCGACAATCCGGTCACCCATCATGGCCAATGCTCGGCATGCACCCATGACCGGCATCTCGGCGACCTGGGTCAGCTTGCGCCCATGGTCCACCTCCAACACCAGAATCCGCCCGCGGATTGACCCTTCTTTATCCTCATCCATAAACGCCGTACCGACAATGAACCGATCTTTAGTCTCACAATTACCAACTGGGAACTCAGCTCGAATAACACTCTCGACCAGCTCGTCCGGATTGAGCTCCAACGCATCCAGGCGCCGGAACATGATCTCGTCAGCAAGGACGAAATGGCTCTTCACGATCTCAACACCATCTTCCAACTTGCGATCGATCGTACCAAGGCCAAACGCCTTTTCGGATGGAGAGTAGGCAACACGACGCACAGTCGATCCCATCGGTAGCGTTTGGATCTGGGTTGTGCGCTCCTTATCCACCAGTGCAATCTTTAGCTCTTTGGCAGTGGCCACGGCGATAGATTCGGGATATGCTTCTGCGTTCAGATGGCAGATGCGAGATGCACCTTCAGAATTGACTGCAGAGTATATAATCCGGCCTTCGGAGCCGTAGATCAGACTGGGGTTCTCGCAGGTTGCGAAGACGTTAAACAAGCCATCTCCTCGGGGTAGCTTCTTGAATGTTGGCTGTTCAGACCCGAGAATCAACTTATTCATGCCTGTTAGTGAGAAGTTTTTGGTATCCAACGCAAATGTAATAACACTTCCGTCGGCCATGGAGACAAACAGGGTGGGAGGGCTGTCGGCAAGAACGTCCGCCACAAGGACAGATCGAGGGAATGCCTCTCCTGTCGGACCTAATGATTTGCTCTGGAGTTCGGCAAGGTCATTGATGGCCAGGACTGACACCTTTGCTGATTGGGGGAATCCGGCGATACACACACCTGCCGGCTTGTACGGGACGGTCACGCCCGAAATCTGCTGGTCTGCACCGAGATTTTTCTGAGTGATAAGGCTCACATCACTCTGGATGTCAAAGGATGCTAAAACCTGACCGCTGATGACCAGGGCGAGGTTATCATCGTTGGCTGAGGCGGCAGTGATTGCTTTTTGCGTGGGTGGAGTCCACTCAAAGGTGACCATCCCACTTTCGAGATCGGCTATCACAGCTCGCTTCTCTGTGACCTGCAGGATTCGACCACCCGGAAGGTTTGTCGCTAAGAGAGTGCTTTCAGTCAAGGAAAGCCCCAGGAAATCCTCTAGCTCCTCGACTTCTCCATCAACGCTGAAGCGGAAAATGCGGGTTTCATCAACGAACGTCACAAGGAGCGTATCGAGAAATCCGCCTGTACTTTGGGATTGCAGACCCCAGAGATCCGTAATGTGATCCATCTCCCCCAATACACCCAGCTCTTCCATGCCGACACCGCTTCGCACGCTGCGCAAAGTACCGTCGTCAAATGCACCGGAGCCGGTCACGATCCGAGCTTGCCCGGTCGAGAACTCATGTGTATGACTCTCACTGGTGCGGTTGCCCAGGTCCATCAAAGTGAAATCCAGAACGGGAGCGATGTTGGACAATGTCTGAATGACCTCAAACCCGCCATTGTTGATGCGGAGAACCTGCGAATCGCCCTGGTGCGAACCGACGAAGAGAACTCCTCCACCGAGATAGACAAGTACTGTCGCACGCGATGTACTGCCAAGGTAATCGAGCTTCCAGTCCTCGACATTGCCCTCGCTATTCAAAACGATCATGAGGAAGAATAGCCGCCCGTAGTCATCAGCCAGTAGCCATCGCTGACTATCGACCTTCTCCCAGGCCACGAAGACGGTTGCTTCATCGAGATCGCGCGAGATCATATCATTCGCATTATCGTCAATGTACTTAATTGATGTTTCTCCCAGAACAATGAGACCACCTGGTGGGACAATTAGTATTTAAAGATCAACACCGCAAATCAGGAACAAAAACATACCTAGGGGTGCCGGGATGGGAATCAGATGTGACGATCCCATATCGAGCTCATGTGCAAACACTCCACCCTCCAGCTTCTTCTCCTGCACCTCCTTGAACGTAGCGTCCGCAGAAGAACTCGATGTAGCCCGAGTATACTCCAGCTCTCGGATCCGCAGCCGGACCTTTTTCTGATTATCTTCATACAACAGCGCCAGCCATGGCTGATTTGACCCGGAATGAAGAAACGCTGATGATCGAACAAACAGCTCATCGATGCGTGAGGCAGTCGGGTCACCCAGTTCTCCAACCTGCGGGGCATCACCTTGCCCAGCCGCGTGCGAGACCCGTCCTTTCCTCTTGCTCGGCTCGATAATCGGAATGACAACGATGATCCCCTCGTAAATCTCAAGCGTCATGAAGCGCCCGCTCGGGTCAATGAGACACCGTGGCTCCGTTTGAGCCTCCCGGGAGGCCGGGTCCGAAATATCCTGGTATGAGCGGGCAGTCTGGATATCATTCTTCTCGGCGTTCCACGCTAACGTGAAGTAATTATACTGGTCGGTGCCCACAAAGAGATGATCGGTCAGCGAGTTGGCCGGAGCGGGAAGGCGGGCGAGCATCGTCACCTGCGCGAAGAGCACGCGGGTGGCTGCGAGTGTCATTCCATCAGGGGTGAGGGTGTAGAACTCGAGGCGATTTGCTTTTCTATAAATTAATCGACGTATCAGCCTATGTTGTCTGGTAGCACGAAGCTATGCTCGAACTATGCCGCCCCGCAATCTCCGAGCATCGTTTGGCGGACTCACGCGAGAACCAAGCAGTCATCCTCTGCATTCATAAAGTTCAGCTTGACCGCATGGCGAATGCCGCTAGCGCGGTGGATGGGCACCACGTAGGCCATGGTGTTGGTTCAGCGAGCCGCGATCTGTTGGAGATCTTTCACAATTCCGTCGGGCGGAGCTTGCTTCTCGGTGTTGCGGGTCCACTGCGGAAGGGGGAGCTGCAAGTCGAGAAGATACCGGTAGAGGATGGCCAGGTAAAAAGAAGAGTAACTCAATCCCGGATTGGTACTTGGTGCATTTCTCAACCGCAAGGATTGAGCTGTTGCAGAATTGGAAGTTGCGAGGTCGGGCGGTGCCAAGGACAATTAAGTCCGCGCTTACAGCCGAAAACAGGTTCATCTCCACCAGCTGTAGAGCTACTTGTATTTCCAACCTTGGAAGTTTTACCTAGTCATGACAATCCAATGGCTCCTTGTTTGAAGTGATTTGATATTTCAAAATGATTAAATTCTTTCTAAATCACCAAGTCTACAGAATCGTCATTCGCCTCGTCCAAGCAGTGCTCCCGCGCAAAAAAAAAAAAAAAAAAAAAAAGCTGGCAGGCCTCATAAAAGCCATAAGGCAAGGCTGGGAAAAGAAAAGCTAGGGATACATAACCCACCAACGGATTCGACAAAAAGGGCGGAGAGTATATATGCTGGGTCATCTAGACAAGAGATGATATGACGAGAAGAACAGCAAGAGAAAAAGGGAAATTTCATCACTCATGACCAAACGTCCTCCTGGTAGCTGCCGCTACTCCGCATGTGCTTGACCATCTCCTCGCCCTTCTCCGGGGGCATACCCCGCTGCTGGGCGATGATGTGGCCGAGCACCAAGTTAACCTCCCTGGCCATGTTGGCGGCGTCACCGCACACGTAGAAGTTCGCCTTTTGCTTCAGCAGGTCGCTGACGAGCTCGGCGTTCTCCCTCAAGCGCTGCTGAACGTAAACCTTCTGGGGACCCTCGCGAGAGAAGGCGGTGATGATCTTCAGGGTGTCACCCATCTGGTCCTGGTAGGTCTGGTAAAACTGTCAGCATGGTATGTCTATTGAATGTTGGGATGACACTGTATCATACCTTGAATTCATCCGCGTAGAGGAAGTCCTCATCGGCCTTGCGGCATCCGAAGAACAGAAGCGTGGTGCCAACCTTCTCGCCCTTGGCGGCCAATGCAGCACGTTCCTGGATGAAACCACGGAAAGGAGCAACACCGGTACCGGGACCAACCATGATGATCGGCTTGGAAGGATCGGAAGGCAGCTTGAAGTTGGAATGGCGGATGTGAACCGGGACGTGGATACCATCGTACTTGTTGCGAGGACCGGTGATCGAGTAAGTCAAACCGTGAGGATCGGGAGAGGGATCACCATTCTGCTTCTGCTTGAGAGCCAGGAGGTAGTTGGTAGTAACACCCTTCACAATGTGCGAAGCACTGGGCAGACGAACGGACTCGACGACAGCAGTGATGCTGATCTTGTCCTTTTGAACCATGGAAGAAGAAGAAATGGAGTAATAACGGGGTTGAAGCTTATTGAGACCTTCGATGAGCAGAGAGAACGGAACATCGGCGAACTTCTTGGAGGTAATGCTTTGCAAGGCCTGAGCAATGTTGAAGCGCTGGTTGGTGATCTTCTCGTGGAAGTAGTCCTTGTCATTGCCCAGGCGAACAATCTCGTTCTTGCTGGCGTCATCCGGAGCAAAGGCAGCGAGGGTCGAGACGAACTGGCGGGACACCGGAGCACAGACTTCCATGTAGTAGCGGGCCGCAGCGTCGTAGGTGGTCGGAGTTGGGATGGGAACCTTGGCAGTAACATCCATGCCCTTGACGTTAATCACGGAGTGGCGCTTGCCCTCAAGACCAAAGACTTCGAGGAAACGGTCAACCTCCGCACCGGAGTTGGTAGGCCAAACAGCAATGTGGTCACCGGTCTGATAGCTCAGGTTGCTATCAGCGATACTGATTTCCATGTGCAGACAGTTGCGGCCCTTGACAGTGAACAATTCGCGGGATTCAACAATCGGGGCAATGAACGGGTTGTGCGCAGAGAAGGGGCCCTTAGCGCGGCCCTCACGGTGGGCAGCGGTGGGCTCTCCCAGGTACACAGTGTCGTGTTCGGCGGTGGTTTCATCATCCTCGGAAACGCAGAAGACGGGCTCGTAAACGGCTTCGCGCTCCTGCAGATCCATGGTGTCGGTCAGAGCGGCCCACATGGGTTCCTTCCAGGCTAAGAAGTCCTCCTCCATGGTACCGGCACCGTCGTCACCCTCACCGGCGGATCCAATGCGCTTCGCACCCAGCTTGGTGAGAGCGGTATCAACGTGGCGGACCATGGCATTGTAGTGCTCGTAGGTGTTGTTTCCAAGACCGAACGCGACATACTTCAGGGAAGACAGAGGCTGATCATCGGCGGAGGCGCCGCTCTCAAAGGCCACGTCGTCGCCAGTCAGGAACTGATAGAACTCCACGGCGTTATCGGTGGGCTCACCCTCGCCGTAGGTGGCCAGAACGAAGAAGGCGACTTTATCGCTGGGGAAGGTGTCCAGATTCTCGTAGTCATAGTCCTCGATATCGGCCACCATAGTCTTCAGACCGAAACGCTGGGAGCCCTCCTTAGCCAGACGCGAGGCGTAGTCCTCGGCGGTACCGGTCTGCGAGCCATAGAAGATCACACAGTTCTTGCCCGTCTCGTTCATCTTCTCAACAATGTTGCGGGTCTTGCCGCTCTTAGCGGCTCCGTTCATCGCGGTGGCGGAGGCGGCGTAGGGGTCTTTGGGGACCGCCCAGTAGGTCCCCTTGGTGAAGTAGGCGATGCTACCCACCAAGAGAGCCACCAGGACGACCAGATCGAGAGTGTCGAGTTGCGCCATGTTGGGGTTGAGTACGCGACCCGTAGGGGGCGGAGAATGCCCGGGCGAAGAGCGCGGCAGAGGGGAAAACTCTGTAAACGGGGAGAAGCGATCCAACGGGAAGAAAAGAAGACGACAAGAAAACGTCCCCGGATTTTCAAAGACTTCAGATCTTCAGTCCAGAGAAAGAAGACCCCTATTCACAAGTATGAAGGAAAGAACAAAGTGGTCTGACCTCCGAGATCCGGTCGGAGCAAAGTGGATCTTTCACCTGCCGAGCCCCCTCATGCACACCGACTCAAATTTTATACCTAGGTAGTGTGTGGTACAAACAGTAAATTGAGTAAAATCCAAGGGGTATAGCGTTTGGAGCAGAAGAATAATCCCCGCAATTCACGTATTTGCCCGGTATTTATAACGAACGGATCGCCCTCGGCTGATGGGGGAGGCCTTATATCTCTCCGTGGGGCAAACAGTCTATCGGAAAGAGAAGTCGGCCCCCGACCACGTTGGGAAACCTTAGAATGGCCCTGTTGCACACTATGACAGATACGCGTGATAACGCTTAGTCCTGGACCACTGCCAGTACCCCAATGGCGTCTCTTCCCCAGTCCTGGAGACCCTCGGGTCAACCCCGTTCGGCAGGCCCGTCCGGGAGATCGAGCGTCGCCCGCGCCGACGTAGCGCGCGCACCTTCGCCTCGACTACGGAAACTGGCAAAAGCCCGCTTTGTGCACTTTGCCTATGCCTTTCGAAGTTTGGTACATCGGAGTCAATCATTTTCTTCCGCACTCCCCCGAATCTGTGAGCGCGGCCTGATTCCGCTCTGTGCGGCCCTCCATTCCTCATACTTTGTGTGCGAGTGTCCGTGCGGAGAGAACACATGGAGAACCTACATAAGGGACGCAGCCCTATATTCATCTGTTCATCTGTTCACCTGTTCATATGGTGATGGCATGTTCTGTCGGGAAGCCATGCCTCCGGGGAACCAGCGAAACCATCCAGGCCGACTAGTATGTACTGATGACTTGGGCCTCCCCACGAGGACCGACATAGTCCCCACTGATCCTCCGACTCGGCACGTTCATACATTGCGAGTTCCCCTGCAAAGGCAGGCACGAGCGAGGCCGATCCTGGATGTATGAATCTGGGGACACGCGACATGACGATGCGGGGATCGGTGTGGGGGCCTTTCATATGATTGCCGTGATACTGGCAATACTGGTAGCCTAGGTTGGGCTGATCCTTTCAAAATTCTCTGTCCGTCTTTTGCACGAGGTGTGAACCCTCGGCTGGGGCAGTTTGTATACCGCGATGGACATCTATCGGACACCGCCGTTTGACGCCTCTCGTGTGGAACATCCTGTCTCGATATCGCCACTAGGCAGCAGGATACACTCTAGCTGAACAGCCACGGTCTCACGTAGAACGATTGTAAATGGTATATTTGCCTGGGGCTGACATCTGTATTTGCCACCTGGTCGAGGAAAAGGGACACGATCTGCCCGACTGGCAATGCTTGTAGCACGTCCATTTATCGTACTCCACGGGGGACTCCACGGGTTCCTGGATCTGTGTTTCAGATCTTGTCTTTTCCTCACCCCCGCTATCTTCCCCATGATAAATCGATTACGAGTGATGCTTGTGCAGCTTCCTGTTCCTCGATCCTGCATACAAGCTGCATTGGCGTTTGCCACCCAGCCTTTTCCTTTCTATATAAGAATATATATATATATTTTTTTAGTTCACTATGATACGACATTTGTTGGAATCAAATGGAACAGTGTACTTCTGTCCTACGGGATAGGCTGTTAATGCTGACTAGATGCTCAGTCAGGACACTCGAATCGGGGAACGCAAAGCCAAGGCGCGCAAGCGCCCAACTGCATTGGGCGAACAACGAAAAAGCTCTGAGAAGTGACTACTGTTTCTCTTGGGAATTGAGCTTTAACTCATATGAAAGTGAAACAGAAATGAAAAGAAAGCTAGATAGTGAAGAAAAGAACCCTAAGAGTAACTGAAGACCGAGCACCGCAAGGAGAAAAGTGGTCCCCGTGCGCCCGAATAAACATGAAGCTCGCCATCTTCAGTCCGGACCTCACGCTACAACCTCAAGCTACCACCCCCTAAATGGACTGAGCCGCAATGTCCTGCTTACTGCCTATTGCTGACTATTTGAATACGGCAGCCTGCATGAGGTTTACTCGGCAGTGAGCCCTTAATCCAAGAGTAAGTCGGTCTCCGTGATTCCCGGTCCCTTGCGACCCTTGCAACCTGACGCCGTTTTCTGGGGCAAATAGTGGCTTCACATCCAGCTAAGGCAGCTGGCTCCGGCCAGCCATCAACGCTGCCCCTCATTCCCGACGACCTTAAATCCGCATCCGAACGGCGCGGCACCCGCACTGCCCAATCCACCCCAATGCACAGTCGCGAGACGTCCGCCGTCCGAGGGAGAGCTGCCGACCCTTCCACCCTCGCTCCTACCCTACAAACCCGTCGTGGCCACTCCGGGTCGAAGAGCCCCGACGTCTCAGCCGGGCGACCTGCAGGGTATGACGTGGGATTGGAAAGACGACCGTCGAATTCGTACGGCCACCACCGGCAGACGTCAATCGTTCATGGCATGCAGCACTCGCGCAATACAAGCATGGCAGGCTCAACCGCCTCTGCTAGCCCGCTGAGCCCCGAGCTGATCGCCTCCCTCGGCCGCGGCGGATTCGACGAAGCCGGCCTCCCGAACAAGCTGGAACAATCCGATGCGCATGCGAACTACCAGAACCCCGCCGGAATGGTGGCGAGTCACGGCATACAAGGAACGCTGAGCACCATTCAGGACAACGACATCGACGACGTCTTGAACGGCAGTCCAGCAAGCATAGTACATAAGCGCATGAATTCGGGAGGCATGTCACGGCGAGAGCGATCACATAGTCGCTCGCACTCGAAACACCATTCCGAGTCCAAGACGGTTGGAGAATACGCACTGCATCATCTATTCAACTCGGTAAGACACTGGCGGACTCAGGAGAAACCCTCGCTACGAGTGCTGATAAGAAAATAGTTCGTCGGACAAGCAGACAGTAAGATCAACCAAGCCATTCTGAAGCTGGGAGAGTCGGAAGCTCCTGTCGAGGAGGTCTGTGGGCCTGGGGCGGACCCCAATTTCGACCAGTTGATCTCGGCTTTGGGGCATATCGCCAGACAGAAACCGAAACCTCTCATTGATACCATCATGGTCTGGCGGAAAGCGAAGGGAGATGCAGCCATCACTGCAAGGCAAATGACGAACGAACAGCCGAAGCCAGTAGTCACGGAGAACGGCGTACTCATGCGCCGTAACACGGAACCAACGCAACCACATGCGGATCCATCTGTATCCGCCGAGCGGCCAGCACAGCAGACAACGTTGCTTGGTCGCCATGATGATGTTGCGCTGGTAGAACGACGAGCGACCGTCTCTGTATACCTAGTCTGCAGAGTTCTGATTGAGATATTCAATCAGAGCAGTCTGGCATCTATCACGTTGGATATGGCAGATCGTCTGGAAGATATCGTGTTCGGTCAGCTGAAAACTGTTGATCCTGATCAGATCTCCGCGTCACCACTTCGAATGGCAAATTGGAGAATCTATGGTCAACTTCTTGGGATCATGAGCGAACAGAACTTCTCCAGTGTCGCAAACCGGTTCCTGTCGGAACTTGACCAGTACCAGAAGAATGAAATTGCCCGGGGTCCATCGCGCGAGGTCGATGCGAAGGCGGAGCTCTTGATCCTCGGCATGAGGTACTTGCGTCTACCCATGAACCCAGACACCTGGAGCAAGTCATGCGACTTCATGCGGTCTCTGGCTCGTCTGTTTGTCAATGCCCATGGGCAAAAGATCAAGCAGGCCTACTGCTACTTAATTGAGAAGCTGCTACTACCTGTTGCGGCCAATCCGTCTGTGGACCTTTCTCTCCCTAGATGGAAAGAGTTCTTGGAGTTGGTACAATCACGACTGGCACAGCTTCTCACCAAGCCTCGTCATTGGGCTGCTTCATTCTCGTTGAACGTATTGTTGCTGTGCATCTCTAACAAGGAAACCTTTTCTTCCCAGTGGCTCTCAATGATATCCAGCTTGCCTGCACGACTTAAGGATCGACCTACTCGTGCTCCAGCTCTGCAGGCTATGTGCCGGCTTGTCTGGACCTACTTCTTCCGCTATTCCGACTCCCCAACAACGGCCCTTCGCAAGGTTGAGGAAGTGGCCAAGATTGCGCTTCCCACCGGAAAGAGGACGTATCTCAGCGCTGAACCGGCCTTTGCAGATCCATTAATTCAACTGATCCGAATGATTGGATTCAAGCACCCCGACGTCTGCTTCAGGACTATCATATTCCCTCTGATCAACTCAGATCTCTTCTTGTCCGGCCGTGAGTTGAAGATCGAACAGATGGAGCCGGAGAAGATGGTCATTGGTATCCGTGCCTTCCTTGCTACTATGTCCGATTTAGAGACAAGCGATCAGCTCTGCCCTCCGTTCCCTACCGGCTCGCTACCCAACCCATTTATGGATTCATCAATTCCGGTGTACTTCCATCGCCCGCAGTTGCTTGCCGAACACAAGGTGACAACCGCGTCACAGCAGCCCAACCCTGCAGAATCGAGTCCCGTGAACATGTCCCGATTGAGCGACAATGTCAAGGAATACTATCTTCGTTTCTGTGAGGTCCTTGGGAAAATTACGATCCTGTGCGACAATACTTTTGGTGGACAAGCGGTCCTTGATGAGAAGTTTGGAGGAACGACCCCAAAGACACCTATCACTGATGCCTTCGGGTTTGGACGACGTGATGATCACGTCAACACACTGGACCAGAAGCAAGGCTTCTACGATCTTCTCCATGTGGCGGTGCAGGCTTTGCCCCGCTGTCTTTCGGAACATATTCCATTCAACTCGTTAATCAATCTCCTTTGTACGGGAACCGCTCATGTCAAATCAAACATCGCAATTTCCTCGGCAGAATCGCTCAAAGCAATTGCTCGGCAATCGCATGCTCAGCAGGTGACCATTGGCTTTGCAAGATTCATCTTCAACTTTGATGCACGGTATTCTACCATGTCTGATGAGGAGATGCTCGGGCCTGGCCACATCGAATCCACGTTGAGGCTATACGTCGAGCTGCTACATATCTGGATCGATGAAATCAAGCAAAAGACCAAGGAAGCGGCCTCGGACCAACTTGAAAAGTCCATCTCTGGCAGTCGCGCTCTACACCTGGATCTGTCAACCGTCCTCGCTCATGTGGAAGAAATCGAATCGCATGGTCTTTTCTTCCTGTGCTCTCAATCGAGAAGAGTTCGGGCCTTTGCTATCAACGTATTGCGCTTGATCACTGAGTTTGACAGTGCACTCGGGAAGGAGAACACGAGAATCATTAGAATTCTCGAGGCCGATTCTCTGCAGATTTTGGATGTGAAAGATGAACAGCTCACAGTCGCGGAGAGGAGCCGTATTCAAAAGGGTAAGCGAAGGAGTGCATCTCAGAATACCCTTATCGAACTGTGCTCCAGCGAAGTCTCCTACGACTCAACTCTGTGGGCCAAAGTCTTCCCCAACATGATTCGGGTTAGCTTCGAGACGTGCCCCTTTGCTGTGACTCTTGGCCGGGAGATTGTGTGTGCACGTCTTCTGCAGATGCACAAGACTATTACCTCCCTCGCGGAGAGGACACGACCTCAGTATTCTTCCCCGGTGGACGTTCACCAACGTCCCATAGGTCGGAGCAATATGACGGCAGAGATTCTAGTTGAACAGTGGAAGCTTTACCTGGTCATGGCCTGCACTACTGTCACCAGTGTTGGTGCTCAGTCTCAGAGCCAGCTGGCAAATGCCCAACACGCTCGCAAGGCTTCCAAAGGAGCCCAATCTCAAGACAAGATCAGCTCTGCCCGCAGTCTCTTTGCCTTCGTCATTCCTCTTCTCTCTGCCGAACGCGATTCCATTCGAAATGCTATCGTGGTGGCCTTAGGCTCTATCCATAAAAACCTCTATCGTACCTTGTTGGAGTCATTGCAGTACGCAGTCACTACCTGCAACGAAGAGGCCAAGATTCGCATTGGTACCCATCATCGCACCCCTAGCAGCCCCCTCCGCAATAGAAACACGGAGCGCTTGCGTACGGAGGTGACGCATGTCTATAAGCTTACTTCTCACTTCCTACGAGAGCCCGAAGTGTACAACGACGACTGGGTGGTCAACAACCTCATTACCTATGCCAAGGATATCCGGATCTTCTTGAGTGATGCGGAGGTTCAGAACGACTGGGAATTCCAGCGCTTGCGATTCCATTACTGTGGGTTGATGGAGGAGCTCTTTGAGGGGGTCAATCGCACGAAAGATCCTTCTCGCTGGATTCCTTTCGAGTCCCGCAAGTCTGCATTCTCTCTAATGGAAGACTGGTGCGGCTACTCGCCCAACCAGGCACAGATTTCACAGAGAGAAGACAACATGCGCAAGTTTGCAATGGCCCAGCCGCACGAAGGTGGTGAAATGAGGAATGCGGCAGCTGCCTTGGAAATCGAAAAGAAGAACCTCCGCGCAGCAGCATTGAGTGCCATGGCCTCTCTATGTGCTGGTCCGATTAGCATCACAACTGAAAGTGGATCTGTGCTTCAGTTCGATGTCGGTCGAATGCTCTCGTGGATCGATATCATCTTCAGCACCGTCAGCGATAAGTGGCATTCGATTGGCCGTCGCGCGTTGAAGAATCTCATTATCCACAACAAGGAACACTCCTACTTGATGGAGCGCTCAATCGAGATGTGCTATGTCACAGAGCGTCCCAAGGCGATCGAGAGTTATTTCGAGGTGGTGACCGAGGTGCTCTTGGAGCATCCGGATTACCCACTTGAATTCCGGAGGGTCTTGGGCGCCGTCTTGGTGACTCTCGGTAACCAAAAGCGCGAAATTCGGATGAAGTCGGCCAAGCTCCTTAGAAAATTGGAAGAGCGTCAACAGAAGAACTCCCGTCTCCAAGATTTCGACATCAGCATCTCAGATAAGACCACTGCAGTCTACAAGCTTGCTCAGTTCGATATCTCCAAGCGGCTAGCCAACCAGCACTCTGACTTGGCTTTCACACTATTCTCCGAGTTCGCACTGCACTTCCGCAGCCTGCGCCCTGACAGCCAGCGTAATATGGTAGCTGCCATCTTGCCATGGGTCCAGACCATGGAGTTACAGGTGGATCCCAATGGTGGCCCAACAGCCACGTCGTACATGCTCCTTGCAAATCTCTTTGAGATCACCATCCGCTGCAGCACTGTCCTCCCCAACCAGGTCCAGGCGCTATGGCAAGCGCTAGCCACGGGACCCCACGGCGGCAACGTCCAGCTTGTCCTTGACTTCATCATCAGCCTTTGCTTGGAGCGCAAAGAGCAGAATTTTGTTGAGTACGCCAAGCAGGTTGTCGTTTTCCTCGCTGGAACCCCAGCAGGCTCAAAGGTTATCGAGTTCTTCCTCATGCAGGTCATGCCGAAGAACATGGTGCAGGAGCGGAAAGATCTCACGCCGCCTCCACCAGAAATGAAGAGTCTTCCGTATGTTGCCGACCTGGATACGGTTCTTCCAGTAGGAAACAAACAAGCAGGCCTGTCGCTGGGACAAGTGGCTCTCATTCTCCTCGTCGATCTCATGGTCGCCCCTGTCACACTGGCTTTGGATAATATTATCAAACTCCTCCATGTTGTCCTCATTCTCTGGGACCATTATACAGTGACTGTCCAAGAGCAGGCGCGAGAGATGCTGGTCCATCTTCTCCACGAGCTCGTTGCAGCAAAGTTGGAAGATGACGCCCCTGCTGGAACTCGACAGGCGATTGAAGACTTTGTCGAGTCGATTCGTAAAAGCGATCCGGCGGTGATCTGGGAATACGAAGAGAATCATGGCAAGGAAGAGGAAGATGATGATCGCAAGGTGCCCCAAGCTATGGGTGCAGTGACCCGTGATGTGATCAAGTTTTTCAGCTTTGGTTATGAGGGTATCGGTGATCTCTGGGCCAAGGAGGCACTGAATTGGGCGACGTCGTGCCCCGTCCGACATCTGGCATGTCGGTCGTTCCAGATCTTCCGGTGTATCTCGACCTCACTTGATTCGCGGATGCTGGCAGATATGCTTGCCCGCCTCTCCAACACTATTGCGGATGAAGAGACGGACTACCAAACCTTTTCAATGGAGATCCTCACCACGCTGAAGATTATCATCAGCTCTCTGACACCGTCGGACCTTTTACACTACCCTCAACTGTTTTGGACAACTTGCGCTTGTCTCAATACCATCCACGAAAGTGAATTCATCGAGAGTCTAGGTATGCTCGAGAAATTCCTTGACAGGTTGGACCTCGGTGACCCCATGGTGGTGACGCAACTCCTTGAGGGCCAGCCACCCAAGTGGGAAGGTGGATTCGATGGTCTCCAGGATCTGGTGTTCAAGGGCCTCAGGTCATCTGAATCCTTTGAGCGTGCACTGGACGTTCTGCACCGTTTGAGCGGGTTGCCAAACAACGAACTCATCGGAGACGGGACACGTCAACTATTTACCATCCTTGCCAATCTGCCTCATTTCCTCCAGTGTTTTGACCGCGGGTTCGCTGACCAGAAGCCCATTATGCATGCCAGTTTGCTTGCACGCGTGGCAGAGAATGAGCGATGCCCACGGCTTGCAGCGTCGATCTTTGGTTTCGCAAACCAACAATACAAAGCCGAAAATGTCTTTTTGGACCATATTGTGACTGAGATCAAGTCATACTACTTCCCGCAGTTGGACTTCCAATGCTTGATCTTCCTGATGGGTCTTCTCACCAACACAACAGACTGGTTCCGAATTAAGACAATGAATATTCTCTGCGTCCTGATCCCCGAGGTTGACATGCGCCGGAATGAGGTCACTTGTCATGGCCCGGATCTGATATCCCCATTATTGAGACTTCTCCAGACCAACCTCTGCCCTCAGGCTCTGGAGGTCTTGGATCACATTATGACTGTATCTGGCAACCCGATGGAGCGTCATCACCTGCGCATGAGTATGGCATCATCCACCTCGTCTCGTGCTATCCGCAAAGAATACGAGCGGATTCAAAGTCTATACGGCATCCCCGAGCCTTCGGGTTGGTCTGTGCCTATGCCGGCGACTCAGTCAGTCATGACTCGCAACAATGTGCATGCCGTATTCTACACGTGTGCCGAGGCCGATGATTTGACCGTCCAAGACAGCATGACGCCTAATGTGGAGTTCCGTGCGGAGGAATACACTGACTCGTTCTTCCCGATGCGAGCTGATACAATGAAGTCTGTGGACACGCAGAATGATGGTAACATGGGTGATATTGTGCAGAAACTGGACAGCCTGGACGATTTCTTTGATGAGGAAACCGATGCCAGCATGCCTACGCTCAACCCAGTTGCAACGCCAATGATACGAGGCTTTACTGGAAGCTACGTCGATACCAATGCTCATCTGTACGATCAGCAAACGGCGCCCATTCTGCGCAAATCACTGGCTCGAACGGGCTCTACGTCGTCCTTTCACAACGGTCTTGCCGAAACCCGCACAGCAAACTTCCGCTTTGACGGACCCGGCATACCATCGCCGGTGAGTGCAGCACCCCACAGCTCGGGTCAGACGTTGCGACCGGCCTCCCATACTCGATCTGTCACTTCCCCTGCCAACAACCTGTTTGTCCAAACACAGGCCTTGGCACCACACGGCACGCTACCCGTGGGCCTCAATGACTCCGCCTTCATGTCCGACGACGAGATCGAGGAAGCGCACTCGGATATGGAAGAGCGACCTGTAACCAGACGGCCATACCCACAAATGCCGCCCATGATCCGCAGCGCAACAGACAGTCCCCACTCCCTCGAATCCATGATTCGCAGCGGCATGCGCCGACTCACCGGCGGCGCAGCCAACCGGGAAAAGGAACGGCAGCGGGACCACCTCCGCGCACAGCATCGCGCCATAGTCCAGACAGCCAACTCTCCCCGTGTCCCCAAGGTACCAGAGGAGTACCTTGCCGGACCAACCAGCCACCCGGCATCCCCGAGATGATGATTGGCCCCAAATATTGATATTGTGTTTTCGATTTCATTCTGCTGTATTCTCCAAGTATGGGCATTTTTTCGCGTGCTTAGATCACCCCTCATACCCTTTGCCTCTCAATTTTGTTACACGAGACTTGCCATGGCGCGTTGATCCGCGCGTATTGAATCCCTGTATATTATCTACATCATGGTTATTCTAAGGCACCTAGGTAGATGGGGTGTTGACAATTCACGAGTCATATGATAAGGATTCATCTTAACTTTCAATTCTATACTATGTGTCATAGACCAGCGGGGCTCCCCGTTCCCGCCAATGCGCTTTCAATGCAATGTCTCTTGTAAAAATATGTTCAAGATTGAAAATTCATCGAGTAGCCTCCAGTTTTGGGATCCTGCACAAAATTGAAGTTGTCCGTTGATAGACCGAATGGTTTCAAAATACCATTACCCAACTGGATAAGTGTTAGTTTTAAAAGAAATATAAGATCATCAAGTAGGGGTCACTTACGCCCTTCAATTTTGACATCATCTCACCCATCTCCTTTTCACGGGCCTCCTTGATCCGATCCGGCAGCTCCAAAAGGGCCCGTTGGACAATCCGTTGATCACTCGTTGGGAGATTTTCCATAGCAGCAAGAGCCTGGTAGTCTTCCGCAGCACCCTGTAGACTGGCCCAGCCCCCTATTTGAGATTTAGCCTTGGCCCGTCGCATAAGGGCCTTGGCTCGGATGCGCAAGACGTTGGTGCGCTGCTCGTCCTGCTCTTTCAAACGCTTCAGCTCCTTTTCCTCTGCCTCGTCATCCTCTCCGGAGAGTTCGACGACGGCATCGTCCCTTTCTGTGTTGCTTCCTGAGGGTAGAGGTTCCTTCGAGTCGCTTTGGTCCTTTTTCTCGTCGGGTGGCGGAATAATCTTGTCCAAGCGCTCGATTGACATCGTTGCTGAGTCGACTGCTGACTTCCAATCCTCTAGCTTCAAATAAGTGGCGGCAATGTTGCTCCGAAGCACTGCGACATCGTAGTCAAGGTAGTTCGGACATGAAGCGAGCGCTCGGTCGTATGAGGAAATAGCCTGGTCGTAGCATCCCGCGCTGAACAGCTGGTTCGCCTCTGCCTTGATCTCTTGCGCTTCCTTCAGAAGACTCTATCACAATCACGAGGATTAGTTCACTTTCGCCCACGCGGAGTATCGCAACGACTCACTGCTTCTTCCTCTGCGGGAAACCGCGCATCGTGGAAGACCTCTTCATCGCTCTCCGCATCGGCCTCAGTGTGAGGATGATTATCTTCGCGCTTCGAAGCGGGATCTGAATTGCCCGCCCTAGACATGTTGGTATGCAGCAGCGAAGAAAGAGGACGTTGAATGTCACCGATCACGGGACGGACGATAAGCACTCCCCGCGCCCTTATCGAACAGGCATTTCATCCCCTCAGTTCCTCACTGTACATAGACAACACACAACACACAATCATGGCACAAAGCAAGGAGTGAGTGGATGTATTTTTTTGCTAGTATTGGCATTCAATTGACAGATATTGCAGAACTCCCCGTATTCGGGCATGTCTCTTCGACATGGATGGCCTGCTGATTGACTCAGAGGACAAGTACACGATGATCACCAACGAGGTCCTTCAGATGTATGGCAAGCCTAATCTGCCCTGGTCAGTCAAGGCTCAATTGCAGGGACGCCCCCAACCCGAGGTATGTATTCTGTTCCGTCCTATAGTCGCACCGAAGAGCCAATAGTAACAATTCATACAGGCCAGCAAAATCTTCCACGACTGGGCGAAACTGCCTATTACTCCCGAGGAGACCGCTGCCAAGCAATCTTCTCTCCAAGCCAAGTACTTCCCGCAGAGTGGACCGCTGCCAGGCGTCCCTGCTCTGCTGTCCAAACTTGTGTCGACCCAGACTACAGACCAGCCTTGCCATATCGCATTGGCAACATCCTCCAACAGCAGGAATTTCAAGCTGAAGACGGACCACCTAACTGATCTCTTTGCCGCATTCCCCGAGGTCCACCGTGTTCTTGGCGATGACCCACGGATTGGAAAGGGACGAGGCAAGCCCCTGCCAGATATCTACCTGCTCGCCCTGGAGACCATCAATGAGGACTTGCGCAGTAAGGGCCAAACTGAAATCAAGCCTGAAGAATGCCTGGTCTTTGAAGATGCGGTTCCTGGCGTTGAGGCTGGTCGCCGGGCTGGTATGCAGGTCGTCTGGTGCCCTCACCCTGGTCTGCTTGAGGCGTACAAGGGCCGCGAGGAAGAAGTACTTGCGGGACTGACGGGCTCTCACAAAGAAGAGGAGAAGACAGAGGCGGAGAAGGAGGCAGACCAATTGCAAGCATCGCGTGTCCTGGGCGCTGGCAAGCCTGGTGTCCTGGGCGATGGATGGGGACAGCTTTACAACTCCTTGGAAGACTTCCCCTTTGCACGATATGGCATTCAAATTCCGTGAGTATGCATATGCCGGCTTTAGATCACAGGAGGATAAGCTTTTACAGTACATAGGGCTTCCCATAAACCTCCGTCAACTGACCTGTCTTCGGTTTGAACATCTCTTTCTCACTGCTTGGTCACTTCTAGTCATTATCTGATCGTATCCATAGACAATACCTGGTCATTCTCCTACTAACCACCTACGTACTACCTATTGATTGCTGCTGACTACCTATTTGTATTCTTGATCGTCCTACATATCCATAGCATATTTTACTGAAAAGTGTTTCACCGTGTTCATGAATGAATTGCAAGGGTATCAGATCACACATTTCCCCGGAGCTCGTCAAAAAAGCTTTCAAACTATCCAACCTGGGAAGCCCTTTGCTTCTTGTAGCCATTCTCCGGGGTCGGAGATTGATCCTCTTCAGTAGGACGCTTCTTTCCGTTAGATGCTGACAGGGCCTTCAACCCCAGCATCCGCTCCTGCTTCGATACGTGCTCAAGAAAGGCATCGTGATCAGCAGTAGAGCTAGCCGGCTTGCTCTCTGTCTCGAGCTCCGGGTCTCAGGTATTTCGAAAACAATCGATGAGCCTGTGATCAGCCCGGCCATTGATGGGTGGGGGAGATCAGCCAACCTTATTTCCATGGCGATATAGCGATGACCGCCACGGTCTAGCCTTGTCTTCTTTACCCTAGCAGTACTCCCAAAAATATATAGAAGATGTTCAGGAAGCGTTAATTTGCTTTGGGCCATCTCAAGTATACCCCTTCAATCCGAGTTCAGGAATGGCATCGACCAGACTTTCAGGCTGTTGTCTGCCCGTCCACCATTCTCATCCCGCCGTTGACCTGAGCAGGTGGCCATAACACTCCCTGTCGAATGGAACGCTGTGCTTGTAACGGTATCTATAACACATCAGCCATGCAAATTAGCAAGCAGAGAGGTCAAGAAACGTACCGTCGTGCACCTTGACTTCCCAATCTGGATCCTTAGCCCCCACAGTGTACGCAGGGTTCTTCCAGACCCTCATCATACCGTCCGTACCCCCAGCCCAGACCTCATGAGAGCTCTCTGCACCAGCGGAAACAACGTCGATCTTCATGCGCTGATTCGTCATCGCGTTCCGCCCTCGCAAATACCCGAGCATCTGTCCAGTCACGCGAATATCATACACTAGAACGCCATCACTCTTGCGCTCGGTGATGTATAAATACCGTCCGCAGGGACTCCACGAAAGTTGAGTGACACCCTTTCCTCCGATCTCCCGGTTAGCCTCAGTCTTTGCAATACTGAAGGTCCCCAACAGCTCCCCAGAGCCGTTGGAGCTGTAGAGCCCGACATGTCTGGTGAAAGTCCCAGCAGCAAGAATGCCATCGCCGGTGGGATTGATGGCCATGGCGGATACGATACCCTTCATACCAACACCACCCCCTACAATTTGCTTGCGCTTACTAGGGATTGTCGGCATCCAAGACACAGGACCGTCATTACCAGAACGGGAGACGTCGAACAGACAAATCATGCTATCCGATCCTGTCAAGAAATGGGTCCCTCCAAGCGTGGAGGGATACAGCAAAGAGTGCGGAGTAATAAATGCTTCGGTGGTCGGATTCACCAACGAGTAGCTCGCAACCGACATCGGAGCCAGCGCTGATGCTAACCTAATTGGGTGATCGCGGACCGAGGAAAGAAAGAGGCATGTGGTTGGATCCTGGAGATTAAAGAAAGGGTATATGGCCGATGCATAAGTTGGCTCTGCTGAAGGAAGTGTCGAGTAAGGAGAGAGACGATGTGCTGAACCTCTTTCTAGAAGATCCGGAGGTCTGACATTTGATGAGCAAGCCAGGTCTAGGAAAGGGAAAAAGAGAATGACTTACAGAATGAAGGTTCTGATATGATGATCCCCCGATTCAGCAAGGAGTGTGGTGCCGTCTGGGGTCCTATGGGAAGGTTCGTAAGCTGGACGCCATTTGGATCTATGAACCGGACTTACCATTCAGCACCTTTGAAATGGTGAGCGGAAAGATCCTCCTGAGCGTGGACCGCAGGATCTGTATTCGCGGAAGATGGAGATGCAGGATCCCCATAACTGGAAGACGAAAGACACTCCTCTTGTGAGGAAGAGGGAGATCCAATATCTCCGCGGTTGGGAGATGCGACATCAGGAATTGGCTCTACCAAGGAGTCCAAGGCTGTCGAGGCCACGCAAATGGGCGACCAGTTGTCGGTCATGATTGTGGAGAATCCAAAAAATGATTCGAAGCCGAAGCTTGGGCAGGCTGATGCTGAGAGTGGAGAATGAAGGGTCTTCAGGTGCAAGGAAGATCAAGATAATGGAAATCCTCAGTGAATAAGTTCAGCATTTGTGAAGCCACACATTTTGACAAACGACCATTGGTTTTGATTCGAGATGGTAGGGATTTTGCCACGGCTTGTTACCTGGCCGGCTATCCAGCGAGACCCTTTCTTTATAGCCAACTATCCTCTTGGATAACTTTTCGATATACCTGATCTGCTTCCAACGGCCTCGCAATATGCGCCCAGGCGTGCCTCGAAGTTTGGTGTCTGTCAGGAAGTCGGTATGTTCCTCATAATGCGGCCACAGATGTGTCCCTGGAATACTTCTGGATATTATTAAAAGGACTTTTATAGCACGGGCGTTTTCAACGAGAATAAATATATAAAACCGTGAAGCAGCCCTTGTAGTAGAAGTGGACGCGCTGACGTCGGGTCCGGGGAAACCATACGCCGATGCCGCAAATCTTATCGGACAACCGTGACTTTGTTGTTTGGGGAATTCAAGGGCCTGTACATTCCGATCACCATGTTCGCCCCCAAGTCTTCTGCTCCGCCTGCGGGCGGTCTCTCTATTAACACCGGCTCTGCCAATTCTTTGTTGTTAGTATCCATTGATTAAGCTCTCTCCCCCTGCTCCCCAACCTCCCCGAGCTCTCAGAGCTTGCCAAAGCTCAGCATTGCCCATCCCTCCCTTTGACTCGACGTTGATCATCACCCCCTGCTGCATCGCTTCAGGGTCGCGATTCGTCGTCGGTCTTCGGGCGGGTCGAGTTGCGCCACTTGCGCCAACATTTGACAACAAGCTAACAGACTCTTTTCCTCCGACAGTGGCGGCGCCAACACACAAACCTCATCCACACCGGGAACAACGGGAACTTCTGGCGGTCTCTTCGGAAATAACAGCTCGGCACAGCAATCAAAACCAGCAGGCGGCCTGTTTGGAGGTCTGGGTGGTGGAAACACACAGCAGTCGCAAAACACCATGTTCTCCGGCCTAGGTGGTCAGCAGCAGCAGCAGCAGCAGCAGCAAAGTGGGACGACTGGAGGTGGGCTCTTCGGAAGCTCGACCACTACAACGCCGCAGCCTCAGTCGGGCGGCCTGTTCGGAACAGCAGGGACTGGTGCGGGCGCTGGCACTGGCACCGCGCAGAGTGGAACTACCGGAGGTCTTTTCGGCGGTGGGCTTGGGGGTGGTACTACAACACAGACTCAGCAGAAGCCTGCCTTTGGTGGTCTCTTGTGAGTGAAACGTGATTAATCCTTCTTCGCTATAGCATTTCTAACCGATTCATTCTATTATATAGCGGCGGTGCACAAAGCACGCAACAACAGCCCCAGCAGCAACAACAAGCTCAGAAACCCACACTCTCCCTGTTCGGCAACCAAGGAGCAGCCCCGGGGGCCCAGCAGCCGCTGCAGCAGAGTACAGCGACAGGCAACGTGGTGCCTGGTGTTAAGGTCGATGTCAGCAACTTGTTACCAACCACTAAGTTCGAAAGCTGCGCGGATGAGATTCGGAACCACATCGAGATTATCGACAACTACATCCTCAACCAGATGAAGGTGTGCCATGAGGTTGCTGATATGCTTCCTACAATTGAAAAGCAGGGCTCGACCATCCCCAACGATGTGGAGTTCGTGCAGGGCAAGTTGGAGACTATCCAGCACGCGCTGGAGAACGATGCCGGTGACATTGACCAGCTGCGTGGCCTGGTCGGACGTGACGCCGCCGAGGCACAGGTCGCGTTCCGTGCCATTGATACCCTCAAGCTGCCTCTGCAGTACCAGTCCGCCAGTGGTGGTGGCTGGTGGTCGGTGCAAGATCAGAAGGTCGACCGACGATCTTTGCGTTCCACTCGCAAGAACACCCTTGCCCTTCCCGACGACGTGGAGGGCGACCCATCCACTGCTACATCCGTCAACGGTGTACCAGTCAACCTGATTGACTACTTTTCACAACGCTCAGATGAGATGAGCACCGTCCTTGAGCGGTACAAGGGAACTATCAAGGAAATTGAGGACCACCTGCACGGAGTCGAGCTTACATTGAACCGTCAAATCAGCGAGTTCGTCAGCTCCAAGTCTCGTGATAGTGCAGGTGCCGGGGCACCCAAGTCGGCTGTGAACGATCTGGCTGCGGTGCTAGGAGATGTTGAGGCTGGTATTATCGGAGTCGCAGCTCGGTTGGGAAGTGTCCAAGAGCAGGTGCAAGAGACATCCCTCGGTCCACTGTCCGTCGGCGATAGACTCGGGATTAACTAATGCATAATTTTATCTGTACACTAATGCAATGGGCTGGCCTCCGGCATGATATGCGGCGAACTATGGATATTTTATTCGTTGTACCTAGCCTTGTGACGTAGACAGTAACGAACTGAAGTGGTTGATAAGAACTCGAATTGTAGAAAAGCGAAAGAACCACGCCACCTTTCGGCTCCGAACCCCAGCATCATGAGATTAAATTTAGGTCGAGACCAAACCGAGCGTCTGGGAGAGATCCACGAGTATCGAGTAGTGTCCAGAACTGACGGGGCTCCGTTGCAAAAGAAGCCGCCACTCTTGCGTGATCGCCGCCCTAGCGCGCAACTCCGCCCGCTGCTTAAATACGACCTCCACTTTGCTTCAGATCACGGCGATTGCGTGTGCATACCGCTTTTATCTCCTGAAATGTCTTGGTGGTCTATCCAATGCAGCGGTGAGAATCTCATTCCGCTTAAAAAGAGGTCCCAAATCCGTCATTGGGTGTCTATGGCAAATCTTGCCATCAACGTCACCAAAATTGCGTGATCAGGTCCCTTAAACCGCCAGAATCCCGGGGGAAACACTCCCTTGATGCATGGCCCATTCTTCATTTCGTCACTGGTAAGGCATAAATTCCGGACCCATAATCTCTTGCCGCGCGCCGCTCATTTACCTGCGTTCCTTGGGTGATAATCGCGGGCGATGGCGCGATCCCCGTCAAACCCGGGCACCATTGGCGAGGCGCAATCACGCAAGATCTTCAAACCGTCTGGGATTGACTCATGGTTCGGAGTCCGCTGCAGTCCAAGGAGCTCTTCTATCTTTGGATTCATGTCTATATAAGGCCTGCAGCCCTCGGTTTAAACCTTGTCTATACATTCATCGTTATCTACAAGCCTCGGCGTGATTTGCATAGTCGGCCTTGTGCATATTATCATTAAGCTTGACCATGGCACCCTCCCTCGAAGTGCCCGTTACTTACGCTGCCCCTTCTACCTTTGGGAAATTCCCGGTTCCCAAGAAGGTGGTCGCCGGAGATAACAAGTTTGGCTACGTCCCCGGACGGACCACCGTCGAAGAGCACGTCGAATATCCCCATGAGGATCTTCTTCCTTCTTTCCCCGACATTCACTGGGCCCCCGTTGGGGAGGTCCCCTATTCAGACCGTGGCCTTCGAGGTGACCCCAAGTTTCGCAATCTGTTAGCAGACGCCACGGCTGTCTTTGACTACAACCCCAAAATCGGCACTGAGATCCATGGTGTTGACCTTTCCAATCTCACCGATGCTCAGAAGGACGACCTGGCTCGTCTGATTGCGTACCGCGGAGTCGTGTTCTTCCGGTCACAAAAGTCATTTGATGTCGAGGCTCAACGGAAACTCGGACAGCACTTTGGCACTCTCCACAAGGTACGCTACCACAGTGGGATCGATGAAAGCACGTTCTAATTGTGTGCAGCATGCAACTACCTCTGTTCCCCGAAAGAAGGGACTCGAAGATGTCCATGTTGTTTACACCGGTGACAACTCCGGCGACAACCGTGCTTTGTTCAGTCCAAGCTTTCTGTGGCATTCAGATGTTACTTATGAAGTGCAACCACCATCTTACACCTCTCTGAAGCTCTTGGCCGGTCCGCCTACCGGTGGCGGTGGCGATACCCTTTGGTCCTCGCAGTACGCTGCGTATGACGTTCTTTCCCCATATATGCAGACCTATCTCAAGGGCTTGACAGCCGTGCATTCTGCGAATATGCAGGCTAACGACTCGCGGGCCCTTGGCCGACCCGTCCGCCGTGATCCCGTCACCACTGTTCACCCTCTTATCCGAACGAATCCTGTCACGGGTTGGAACGCCCTGTTTTTCAATCCCGGCTTCGTGACTAAGATCATCGGCATCCCCAAGGGTGAGAGTGACGCCATTGTCCGGTACCTCACCGACGTGGTGGCCACGACTCAAGAGATGCATGCTCGATTCCAATGGGGCAAAGACGACGTTGCTCTCTGGGACAACCGCACAACTGTATGTGAACCTTGCCAGAGCCATCTGGAATTTGGTACTGACTCAACTTGCTTAGACACACACTGCTTCCTACGGATTCACTCCCCACCGAAGACACGCTGTGCGAGTCTGTTGCCATGCCGAGCGCCCTGTGCTCGAGGAGTTGGGCAAGTCGCAAGAAGAAGAGCTGAATGCTTTGTATGGATTGCCGGCCGTCAACAAGGACGGATCGCGGCAGTCAAACTATAACGATTGATGGTCATGGGAACAATCTTCATTGGAGCGTTTTTCTTTAGTATACAGGCATGGTAATAGGCAGTCTGCGAGTCTGCAGGCGTTAGGGCATTATCAATTTATGGCAACGCTAGGTGACAACATATTCAGGGATATAGTAATACAGAGCTCTTTTCGCTTCTAGTTTTCCAATATATTACTAGTTTTAGTAACGCATTAAATCGTCGCTGTTCGTCATGATTAATAATTTCGACACCCTATGACACCGAATCACCCTCTGTTTAATGTAGAGGCGTTGGACCCTACTGTCCCTATTCTAAATAGCTTTAATTATACTATAGACGTATTTCGTAACGAACCGGTCGAGTTTACGCGCGGTAGTGCTCTCGAGAGTCTACTGGTATTTTAAAACACCTTTTAAAACACCTCGTCAATCAGCTTCATCTCTTCGACTTTCTCTTCTTCAACTTGTTTTCTCCCAACCTCTCCATCATCATACCGGATGCCTCAGATTTCCCCTCACACGGATCCACCTCCTGATGGGAAAGAATCCCTCCTTGAATATGCGCACCACCATCACATCGCCGAAGACGCACTCACAACCCCCGCCAACGCACATCTCAGCAAACACCTTCCCAGAAAACGAACTCGTTCCGAATGCAATCAAGAGCTTGAAGGCTATCTCGAGGGATACTCCAAAGGACCTGTCTTTTCACGTAAAAGTTTCGCTGACTCCGCGCAAGATCCTAGCGACATGATCCACGGGAAATTGAAACTTTCCGTGAGCATAGAGGAGGGACGACTTCTATCTACAGTCATGCAGAACAAAGAGGTAGAGATTGATTGGAATGCAGTCCTGCCGCCTCTTCGACATGGCCGCTCTCCGATTGTCGAGTATCCGCTTCTCACGGAGGAACAAGAGATACGCATCTTCTCAAAGGCTCAACCGCTACTGGACAATGAAATGATTGATGGCCTTTGGGATGAGACTGTCGCACTTCATGAAGGAGACACGACCAAGAACTTGCAAGAGATGGCTGAAAGCTCCACGACGGAGACCGTGGAGAAGCTGGATTGCGGCACAGAGTCCCTCGCCTTGACTGCCGAGCTTCACCAAGATTGCGTGCTGTCTCCGGAGGAGACTCAATTGTGGTTTGATAGCGTGGTTGAGAAGTACGACGTATGAAGTCTCTCCCACAACACTAAACTATGAATACTGATCGAATTACAGGAAGGAGTCCATTGCTCAGATGATACACTTCAAAGGCCTGACCGAGCGGAGGAGGCAAGGTCCCCGTCGCCCATGCAGCTTGTCCCTTTGCCGGGCTTGGGCAATCTGTCTTCATTCATGTCAACAAGAGGAGTCACGACTTCCGCGGCACCAAACAGTCCATACTCCGCCCAAGGAGAGCCGGTGAAGAAGCCTGACAAAGATCAATCACTCCAAACTGCACCTAAATTTCCTGAGATCATTCTCAATATCACAACTCCACCAGTTACTCCCGGCCAAGACCCTACGGAAAAATTCGTGTGCTTCCTCTCGACAGTCACCTTGAAATGTCATCTCTCACACGTCCGAAGTCTCGACAACCGCCAGAGTTGTCGGCTTATCTACAGAGACTACGACTCAAGGACACAGCCAGAAGCCGACATTATCATATCGGCCAAAACAGGAATCATATTGACCTCTGCTCAATCACTGACCCAGAAATATCTTCCTGGGAGCAAAGGCTCACGACAAGACATCGTGTCACCGATTATGGAGCGCATCTACCTGACTGCACCCCGCTATGAAACCGTGTACATCTTCATCTGCGTGCTTTCAGCCAAGGCAGATAAACAGCTCCAAGATGCTGTTACCTCGCTGTCATCATTCTGTGACTCCCTTTCTGAGGACTCAACCGTCATCCCTATGATTGTATCTGGAGCTGACGGGGCAGTGACGGGCTGGGTAGAGTACCTGAGTCACACTGAGCTCTCGCTGCTGTTGCCGGTGATACAGTCAGTGGGGCAGTCCCAGACGCGAGAGGAAATCACACTTCGTGAGTATGGTCTGAATCCCTTCGCTGCTTGTCTGGTACTAGGTATGGGTAACACATTAGAAAAGTTCATTAAGATGGGCGCTGAGAAGCGCCGGTGCCGATTCGGATATCTGCTTGGCGAGCGAGTTCTACGGAGAGTCGGAGTGGCTATTGAGAGAGAGGGCGCACCGAGGAAGAGTACTGAGAGAGTTGATTAAGGAGATGATTACTGATGTTATTGAAGAGATCATCTGGAAGCCTTTCTATTTTATCCAGTTTTCCCACAGCTCTCCATCCATGGCTTCAATTATAGCTCTTTGCTCGAGAGCATATATCCTTTGAGTGATGGTTTTTCGTGATATATTTCCTCCGATCCATTTATCATTGAACAATCAGCTTTAGAAGCCTCCAAGGTGACATGGCCCAGGGGCTCAAAGCATGGGTCAGGGAATTCCAGGACCTGAAAGAGTGGCAGAATTGGATCTGGACTACAGAGTTTCATGTTGACGTGTGTTGGTTTTTGGAGAGACAGAGGATGAATCTGGCTCTAATGACCTTCGAGAACGACCGAAGTTAACATCTCAATGCTTGTGGACCTCGCTTTTTCTTTTTCGGCACGCCAGATTGACAATTGTTTTCATTCCATAACTTGCCGTCCGACAACCCTAACCGTTAAGAGAGCAATCATTCACTCTTGGCCAGACCGAAAGAGCACAGTACACCGTGATGGTCACTCCAGAGCGGGGTGTCTTCTATTGGATCAGTCTGCTGGAATCTCGATGTGTCTGAGTCACCGAGTCGTTTTGGCTCTAGGATTTTGATATTGGAAGGTTTGAGGCCTAGGACCGCAACTTTATCGAGCCGATTCGGGGGAAACGGATGTTCCCCATGTACTCCCCACGTAAAGCCGGGCTCCTCCGGGTGAAGAGATGTCCAGACATCTGTCAAACCATTGCTCCCGATAAGAGCGGCGTCTTCTTCAAGAACCGGGTTAAAGTCACCAGCAACCACCCCGCAACCTGCGACACGCAGGAAGGCGGAGACAATAGAGATCTGCCGGGGCCGGTGAGAAGGTTTGATAGGCAGAGAATTCAGATGAACATTCACAAGACGTATTCGCGTGGTAGAATGTTCAGATTCTTGAGGCGAAGGAAAAAAGACATCACAACAGAGCGCGTCTCTATCAAAGTGGCTAGGGTATTTGACCCTCCAAATATGTCCCAGAACGGCATTGCTGATTTGCGAGTTATGATATGATGCAAAACGTTCCTTAGACAGCAGGATCATCGTTGCAAAGGGTTGTTTGCCCCATGCCGCATCGTCACGCTCACTTGAAAACCAGGATTCACGAACACGCTCGTCTTTTAAGATTTGTTGCAAGGCCGGTCTTGAAACCTCTTGAAGGAATACAATATCCACTTTAGGATCAAGCTCGGTAATAAACGTAACTATATCTGTTACGCGCTCTTGGGTCCGAGGAGATGTTGCGTCGATATTCCATGTCAGCAACACCAGGTCCGTATTACCCCCACGCGTTGGCTCTGCGTGATCACGTCCGGCGTTCGAGGGAAGAGAGACCCACTGTAGGACGGGGTCAAAGTGGTGCCAGGACTGGAATGTAGGATGCGCTTGGTCTGCAGATGGAAGTGGTGTAGTATGTGCCCAAGACAGAATGCTTGCGCGGGCCTGCGCGAATATATTCATGTTGGCCACTGGTGTAGGATAATGGTGAAATGGCAGGCACCGGTAGACTTGAGCTCACTCAGGTGGGGGCCGGGACGGACACCGCATGTTGGAGGACGTAAGATATAGACCAATCAGCGGTGGAAAGAACGCTGCATTGCTACTGTATATCGCTGAGTTTGAGTCCGTGCTAACGCTTCCCCAATGATCCCGGTCCTGAGCGCCCTCATAAAAGCAGCAGCAGCCCCGGTAAGAAAAGCTCCACCCGGCAGACATTATGCTGTCTCTATAGCTGCCTATACGATACCTAACTAAAGTCTTTACATTAATGGAGATATCGAAGTACATTAAGAGAGAATCAGTGAGAGATTATCGCGAAGAGGGGAGATCATATCGAATTACTCGATTTAAAAATACAGTAAAAGGACATGCAAGACCAAGGCCAATCCAGCGCTTCAAAATTCAGTATGCAAGAGGGCGGTATATTTGGAGATTTTTTTTCCTGCTTGAGTTCGTTGAAATGGTCGAGCTCGTGACTTCGCTTCATTATAGTACACGCCGTATGCCCTGCACCTCCTCGGCAATTTCACAGCCGAGAAGATGGTTGCATGGATCGAACGGCCGGGGTCGGGGGAAGACGAGAGACGAGAGAAAGTTGGTCACTGCATTTACTCGTTGATCTTGGCCAGGATCTCGGAGTCCCGGAACAGAGTGTACTCCTCCTCACCGACCTTGATGGGGCTGCCACCGAACTGTACAGGAAACACGTTAGTATCACGTTGCAATCGGGGTAGTAGAGCTGGTGCTCAGGGGCGTTGCGAATGTCGATGCGACACGGAAGAGCGCGGAGTATCCAAGTGCCAACGTACCTGAGGAATCAGAACCTTGTCGCCGGAGGTAACACCCATGGGAAGGCGCTTGCCATCCTTGTCAAAGGCACCGGGGCCAACGGCGAGAACCTTAGCCTCGTTCTGCTCCTTGACGCTGCTCTCGGGGAGGAAGATGCCGGAGGCGGTCTTGGCCTCGGGCTTGATGCGCTGGACCAGAACGCGGTCCAGGAGGGGAGCGAGGCTCTTGATGTTGCGGAGGACAGACTATTGAGACAGGAGTCAGTACAGAGCGCGACCATAGGGAGTGGTAGGTGGTTGGATGATTGATCCGGTGCGAGAAAAAAGTGGAGGGCGGGAACACCAGCTCGGCGAAAGTCACGCGGGGCTTGGTAGTGTTGTTTTAAGCAATAAAAGTGCAATCGCAAAAGGCACATACCATTGTGATGGAGTTGGAGGTCTAAAAGGCCAAGAGTTGGGGATGAGCGTGGGATGGAGAAAGGAAGAGGGAAGTGTCCGGGGGAAGATCTGGACTTTGCACCGAGAAATTTCCAGAATGCCAAGACCGTAGCTTCGCCGAGGGCCAACCCGACTTTCGGCTTCTTTCTGTGTCTACGCTCCTTTCTATGCTTCCATGATCAATTCGGACTACGGCTAAGCTTTCAGCGCTATTCCTTGACGAATTCTCTTTTGCTCTAGGGTACTCTCCAATTCATACTTGGGCATACTTGGGAGATATCCTCTCCTGCCCATCTCCGTTCTCCCGAAAGAGAGCTTGTAGATACACCTCAAAAGTCGGAAATCGAGTTCGTTAAGTTCTCATTTCATTTGCAATAAAACGCCGCATTATTCAATCCCATCGGGAGTTCCAAATGATCTTCGAGACTATAAAAGTGACACCAGAACTACCATCTCCGCCCGCGACCCCGGCCTCCATAATTCCCGCGTTGTTCGTAGCCTCCGTATCCCATCTGGCCTTGACCACCTTGGCCGAAGCCTTGTCCTGGTCCCTGTCCTCCAAATCCGGGTTGTGCTTGCTGGCCACCGCCGGGCTGTCCTCCCATCATGGTCTGAGCGTGCTGCATGAACGCCATGGGGTCCATCGAGGATGGGTCCAATCCCTGGGACATCATGCTCGCTAGCATGCCCTGCATCATGTCGGGGTTCATGTCTGGCATACCGGACATACCGGGCATGGGTGGCTGGCCACCGCCTGGTGCTCCGGGTCCAGGTGGCGCGCCCGGCATTGGGGGCATTCCCATGCCCAGGAAAGACTGCATATCATCCATTTGCCTCTTCTGGTCGCCAACCTCCTTCCGTACCTCTCGCTGTTTTAAGCAGTAGCTAACCCATGTAAACTCGTCGAACCCGTAGTTGAAAAAGTCGGAGACATCGGAACCGGGACGTCGCCAGGGCTTATCGTCCGTAGGGAAGTCATTGTCCATGTCGCTGTCCATAATCGGCTTGCCGGTCGTGGGGTGAACAGGGTTGCCATTGACATCGATCGTAGAGGTATGAATGGCTGGGTATGCAGAGCCTGGCTTTTGGTTGGTCGCAGGTCTCGCCGCGGCGGTTGGGCCTGCGGCCGGAGCAGGCGCATCGAGGCGAGTAGCGGAAGGAGTCCCAGATTTGGAAACTATCGAAGAGTCTGCTGAGGAGGGCCGTTGTGTTTCTTGTCGTATGGTCGCAGGGCGCGGGTGGGCGCTGCAATGATCAGCCAAATAGAACAATGCGCGCGCGATCATCCATGACTTACATCTCTGGAGGCGCACCAGCTGGTGCTTCTGTGATGATATTGAAATCATCCTGGCGACTGTCAGTCATTTATACAGCAAAAGAAGAGTGGAGTTCCAACATCGTCATCCTCAACCTCTACCTCCTCTTCGTCATCCATGTCGTCGGTCTCCTGCGGTTGAGCTGGAGCTGCATTCTGGGTACCGTTGTGTTGATGGGGAGCCGGCACCGAGTCGGTGGGATCGTAGAAGTCATCTTCTTCTTCATCCATGGTTCTGGGTTCTCAATCTCATAGAAGTTGCAGTAGAAAAGTGTAGCAACAGGATCGATGTCCGTAAGTGAGCAGCCGTTTGAGTTGTTTGCACTCCCGTGGCAGTAAACGTAAACGGCGCAGCGCCCGAATATTGGGCCTTGTTCAAGGTAACGCATCAATTGAAAACCATTGTGATAATTGTGACATATTTCCACTTTTTGGCTTTTCGCTTATTTAGCTTGCTATGAAGGTTATTTTGGAGGCGATTATTGTTGCCAAAGATTTTCACTACATATCCTCCGCCTCATCTACGCAGTTCCGAGGTTCATTGGGAAACTCTACAAATGCCTAGAGGATTGCCAAAAAACCATTGCAATTGCTTGCAAATACCGAGAAAATGCAAATTTATTATTTTGAACCGACGAGTATTCCAGTTCCATGAGCTTCATAGCTCTTTCTTCCCAAAAACTATGCACCTTCTGTCTCATCGAGTCACGTGCCGAGTCGCCAAAGACAGTCAGTGACTCTGACGTTTAACACTTTCTCTCGAACCGACCTAGCCGACGCTTTCTCGCCAATGCAAAAGATGGAATCCGAGAAAGATAGCGAGACATCCACGCCGCGATCCTTCACGGGCCAGAGCATCTCCGCCGAAGAGATGCTCAAGTCGCAAACCGTCGGTCTTGTGCATCTGTCCGACTTTCGCAAACGTCGTGCAGAGGTTCTGGAGCAAACGTCGCGCGAGGCGCATGACAAGTCGCTAGGGCGACTGGCATCTGGTAATTCAAGAAGCGCAACTCCCTCCGCAGGCGATGTGACTGACGGGTAAGTCCAAGTTCCGCATTTCTCTGCGAATGTCTAAGCTGATCGCAGCGCAACAGATCGTCGACGCCACGAAGTGATGCTCCACCCAAGAAGAAGAAAAAGAAGGCGTTCACCAAGAGTAAGCTTTCCTTTGGCGACGATCCTGAGGATACCGGTGAAGAGTCCGCAGCAACCCCGCGCGACTCGAGCATATCGCGATCAGGGTCGAAGACACCCAATGAAGAGAGTGCTACATCGGCAGCGCGTCGCATGAAAGCCAATCCAAATGCGCCACCCCCTCCGAAGGCGATGACCAAAGCTGCGATGGAAGCCGAGGCGCAGGCTCGCGACACACTCCGCAAGGAATTCTTGTCGATGCAGGAAGCGGTTAAGAATACTGAAATCGTGATTCCGTTTGTCTTCTTTGACGGAACAACCATACCGGCTGGGTCGGTTAAAGTCAAGAAGGGAGATCCCGTGTGGCTATTTCTGGACCGGTGTCGTAAGGTCGGCGCTGAGTTGGGAGTGGGCGGCGCCAATGGAGCTTCAAAGGCACGAAAAGACACTCGCCGTGAATGGGCCCGAGTCAGTGTTGATGACCTGATGCTGGTCAAAGGCGACGTGATCGTTCCACATGTAAGTTCTTCATGACATGTAGGCCACTGTTAATAGCTGACACGCTACCAGCACTACGAGTTTTACTATTTTATTGCCAATAGAGTGTCGAGCTTCTCGAAGGCCGGTGGACTGCTCTTCGATTACTCGGATAAGCCTTCAGAGACCTCCAGTGATGACCCTTCACAACGCCCGAATGACGATCAATTGGAAGGCGCAGATAAGGATTCCAGCGAGACCAAGGTGGTAGACCGCCGCTGGTATGAAAAGAACAAGCATATCTACCCTGCGAGTCTTTGGAACGAGTACGAGCCAGGGAAGGAGTTTGAGGAGAAGATGACTTCAACGCGGCGTGATGCGTCCGGAAATACCTTCTTCTTTTAGCGATTGTAATGCTGGGAGTTCAGTGTGATTATTTATATCCAGGCGCAGCGATAAAACTAGACCAATGCTGAATTTGATGTTCTTTGGTGGTCGTCGAGGCAAGTCTCTGGCTCAGATGACCACCAATTTTCCTATCTTCATCCATCAATCTTGATTTCCGCGGATCATGGACTTCCACCTGCGATGCAATTCCCTTAAGTGCCGAGTGCAATTGAAGGAAAGAGCAGTGGTAACGACCTGCTCGTAAGCCATTTTTACTCTAACCAGCCGTTGGGCAACGCTGATGAGGCCAGACATATCTTCTGTCTTGAATGCGCAGATGGCCTCGGGTTTTCACACCCCACAGCAGGCGGCCGCCGGTGTCCTGCATGCCAGACGCTTCTATCCAACCCGGATGATGCCGTGTCGACGATCTTGAACCCCACGGAGGACTACAAGACCAGCGTGCTCAGCGGACTCGATCCGAACACCGTCATGGAATGCGCTGGCCGAGCATTAGGATTCTGGGCATACCAGAGCACACAGGAGATGTATGTAACATCACCTTCTATTGGGAAAGGTGTGAACCAGTGGATCGTGGCGATTGGTAATAATCTGCACCTAGATTCTACCAAGAATTCCTGGGGAAGAGTCTCACCGAGAAGTACGCCAGCCTGAACACCCAAATGGAGAAGGTGTTCCACAACGCAAACTCGGAGATATCGACTCTTCACAGCAAGATATCCGGTCAGTAACATCGAACTCATTGTCCCAAGTTTTGGCTGACACATAGAAACAGACATGCAAGCCGCGCAAGAACAGCTCGAGAAGAAGAACCAAGTTCTTGCTGATCTGAACCGAGAAAAGTCCAAAAAGCTATCACAGATGACAAACCTCTACAACCTCCTTAAAGCGCGTGCCATGCGAACCGAGATGCAGACTGCAGCTTCGGACACGGTGTCCCAGACCTTGAACAATCTCTCGTCACGAAATGGCACCATCGTTCCAACCATTCAACCCGGTGCCCAGTCACGTCCGATATTTTCAAAAGCGCGCGGTCAAGCGCGCACTCCAAAGACCCCTTCGTACCCTATGAGCCCTGAAGGGATCGAGCAACTGCATAGATATCAGCGGAGTGGTACCGGAAGTTCCCGGATGGCAGGGGAACAGAATGACTCCGGTACGATGGCTCCTCCTCCAAGGAAACCCATTTGGGATAGAAAGAACCGTAAGTGATGTTTGAGATACTCTATTGTGGAGCTAATAGTTTGTCTAGCTCGAGATCTGACCTCGAACCCTCAGCATCGTACCCGTCTTCCTCACCCGCCGCGACAGTCAACTTCACTCTCTCACCTCCCCCCAGAAGATGAGATACTCGCACGTTTTGGGCATTAAGGCATGTCTGCTGTCAATTTCGCGGCATTTTTATGAGACGGCTATACCAATTCCCCATATTTACCCTTTGAGGGGATGAAGGATTATTCTGGTTGCGAGATGTATTATGTCATCGATGGTAAAGTAGGATGCTTTGCTTTACTGCAATACTTCCAGAACCAAAATATTATCCGTTAAGTTCACTTTGGCCGATTGAGTTCTGGACCTAAGCATATACCTATCGACCCACCTACCCCGCCTCGGCTTTGCCCCGAGGTTGCTACGACGCTAAGCTTATGCTGGCATCTCGTGAGCTTCGTACTTGAACTTACATTCACCCCGCAGCAGATTTTCTACGGAGTGAGGCCTCGGCTACCACGTTATTGGTGTTTCATCGGCGTGGTCGACCGTGATCGTCATGCCCGAGGCTTCTAATCGTGAAAGGTTGCGTTCTAGACAGGCCTGTCTCAACTGCCGGTACGTCCCATCACCCTCTGATAGGTATAGTTTCAGAATCTTACATTGAATAGAAGGAAGAAGAGCCGGTGCCCTGGTGAAAAGCCAGCTTGCTCGAGCTGCGTGCGGCTCAAACAGTCGTGTAATTATGCCTTGGGGGATTCACGCCCATCTGTACGACGATCATTTCACGATGTGCTCGAAACCTTATCGCTGACTATTTCCCAGGACAGACTCGCATTTCTTGAAGAGAAAGTTGATCTCATTTTGAGCGGTGGCAAAGGCAAAGTCCCTGATAAACTCAATCAAGATGCACCAAGAACATTTCCAAATTCATTTGGGACCCCTCCGGAGCCCAACCGGAACAGAACGAGCAGTAGAAGCGGGCGTCAATCTGATCAAACACAGAACAATAGGTTCCCCGAGGGACCGAGTCGCACCATGAAAGATCCTGCCCGTCAACCAGGCTTCCCAGACACAAATCTACAAATCTCTCCATCCACAATCTCTGACGGAATTGACATATATTTCGACCTCTTTCACAGACAACCGATCTGGTGTTTTGATCGCGAGGATCTCGAGCAGAATCAAGAAATCTCCCCGGAACTGGTCTACAGCATTCTCGAGCTGACAGCGCGGGTTATGCGAAAGCGTGATAGGCCGCGTTATGGAGATCATGCCAAGTGGTCTATTATGCTCCGTGTCGCAAATGGCACTGTTGAGCTAGAGACCATCGAAAGTCTCTGTTTGCTTTCGTATTCAGCTTTTATTGGTATGAGTTGCTTTATCCAATTTCAACACCTTTTGAAATATTGCTGACACGGAGAAGATGGAAATTTGCACCTTGGTCAATTCTATCTCGGTCTCGGCTTCCAGCTGTGTCGATCTGCCCGCATCGACCGTGGATTGACCTCTGGAGAGGACCCAAAAGATGCCGAGCGCAAGAAGAGGCTTCTATGGAGCTTCCAATCTCTGGATCAGTTTTACAGCGAGCAGGACGGTATCCTTGGGACAGCTCCTCAGGTCTGGCGGCAGTACTATGTTTCGGATGGCGGCGATGCAGGTTTCCCTCGAGACGTTGAGGGAGGTACCTCTTCGTCTGACATAGGCATTTGGAGCTTCGCTGCGCATTTCGGATGGGTGTGGAGTAGGGTTAGAGAGTATGTTTTTGAATGTGCTCAAAACAAGCTTACAGAGCCATGGCGGCTTGATTCAATCTATGCCAAATGTGGACAAGACATGACGGAGATCGAGAACAAGGTAAGATTGAGTGAACCTTACATTCATACTTCAGCTAACCTATATATGTAGGTCCCTTGGTGTCATCGATACGACGCAGCCAAGTTCTTTGAGCGAGAGGCCTCCGAGATTCGACTCAACCGGGACTACTGGGTGCCATGGATCAAGCTGCAATTTACGTGGCATGCTATTTTAACCGTGTTGAATCACCCATTCTTATACATCGTGGCATCACAACATCACCCCAACCTGGCGATTCCAAATACTTTCTGGAGAAAGTCGTCTGAGCTAGTTCTACTTCATGCCACGTGGATTGTTCGAATGATTGATGTGGTCACCGAGAAGGAAGTCCAATTGGTTGATCCTTTTTACGGACACGCAGCGGCGATTGCAGCAACGGTACACCTATACTTCTGCTGTGCGACTGATGTAAGACTCAAACAAAAGTCGAAAATGGATTTTGAGAAATGCAAAAGATTCTTAAAGAACTTTGCGTCGTTCTCTCCTGCCTGTGCAACCCTGGTACGTTGAAATAAAGAGATAAAAACCAAAAGCCAAAGCTAAGAAGCCCAGGTCCAACTGCTGGAAAAAATGGCACGAATAGCATCCGGTTCAGAGAATATGGACCTCGATTGGGCACCGTCTAAACTACGTCTCAGCATTCCCTTGATGTGGGGTATTCTGCAGTTTAACGTCTCAAGCTCCCAAGGACTGTCCCCTGGATCGGGCTCCTTGTTACATTCTTCTTTGGGAACCAATAGCCCCCCAGAAAGCGAGGAAAACTCAACGCTTGAGATCAGTGTCGCGCTATCACCACCAGAGGTCACTATCGACCCTTCCGCGGGACACAATGCGTACCTGCCACCCTACATGACCACTGTATCATCAACTCCGGCATCTCCCAAAGACACAGCGATTCGGGATATTGTGGTTCCTTCAACTGACAGCCTCATGTTTAATGTTCCGTGGCTATGGACAGGAGAATCTCAGTTTTCCGACATGGAATCTGCGAGCAATTTTGATCCCGAGACCGCTGTTGGCAATATTGAAGGATTTTCTACCTGGTGGGATTTTGGAAACTTGTAAATTTACAACGGACGCCTCATGTGCACCACAGATGGGGATATTTCTACCGCCCAGGCGTTACTGGCTCGGACTTGCTTCCCGATTTTATCCTAATACCGGCTACACGTGCAGACTGAGAGCCTGAGAGCCCTTGGGGTCTGCGATATTGTATGTCAGACAATTATTCGAGCTTTCTAGTACACCTAATTCGCCAATACTTTCAATGAAAAGCTGCGAAACCCAAGTGATTCTTGACATAATGACCGTCAATCTGATTTGAACAAAACTCAATCTGATTTGAACAAAACTAAAACGCTACACTATAACAGAGGTCTATATAAAGAAAGTACACGCACAAAAGCCACTAGCAGACAGCAGTCTCGGTGATATGAGAAGTTATTCCCACGGAGGACTTGACATCCTCATAACCAAGCGGCAAGTAATTATCCGCCTTGGTCTGCTCCTTCACCAAAGCCTCCATCTGAGCCTTCTTCACATCAACCTGGGCAGGCCAGATCTGACTTCCAGCATCCTGCTCGCGCTCAAAATGCTCCATTAAGTTGTCGCGCACAACGGACTGGAAGTAAAGGGGGCCTTTCTCCATATGTGGGTGCAGGAGCCCGTTGACGAAGACACCAGTGGATAGGTTCTTCTGTGCCTCGACGCAGAGGTACTTGTCCTCCGACATGATGCGCTTATACATCTCGTTGATCAGTTGAAAGTCCTTCTCGTTGGAGCTCTTATTGCGGTAAACCTCGTACAGCATATCGCAAGAGGTTGGTGACGTTGGGACGAAGCGCTGCATGAAAAAGAAGTGGGGAGAGACAGTCATCGAGGCATTGGGGAAGTAGTACGTGCTGGCGATCTCCAGTCCGGCATCGATAGTCTCCTGCCCGGCATTGGCGAAGTGGATAATGCTGCCATCCTTGGTGTCCACATCGTAAGAGCTGAGATCTGCCAGGGTAGGAACATCGGGGTGTGCCGTCAAGCAGTGGTAGCATTCGTTGTAGTTGTCGGCCAAAAGCTTCCAGTTGTATGCACCTTCCATCTCCCAGCCGTGGTCGTACACGTAGTCCTCGAAGTTGAAGTGCTTAAAGCGAGGCTGAAGGTCGATGTCTTTGAAATCGCGTTCCCAGGAGATTTCGGGCTGCTCGCCGGCGTCCAGGTTGATCCAGATAAAAGCGTTCACGTCAGTGTGGACGTGGATGGTGTCGAGGCCATTGCTTTCATTGGCCAGCAGAGACTTTGCGAGATCATCGTTGAACCGATCGCCCCAGATGTCGTAGAAAGCCTTGATCTTGTTGTCATAGCCGCGAGCAAGGATGAAGGGGTAGCCGGCGATCCCGTAGCGGGACCAATCGCCAGCGTTGGGAATACGCAATGAATGAGTGGTGAGCAGCCACTTCTTGGAGAAGAGGGCTCGTCGTTCAAGCTGATAGAGGTCTTCGGAAAGGTACCATGAAGCAGGAAGAGCTCTGACGGGCTTCCTCTGAGGGGAAACAGGGCATGTGTTCTCGTCCCTGGCTTTGGAGAGACCGAGGAAGTTCTTAAGGACGGAGCCCATATTGTATAGAAAGGCAATTTAGTTTCACTGAAAAAGTCTAGATTGACTTCATTCAACGTTATCAGAATGGGCCGGTTGATATACTTGAAGGCTGGTCAGTTTTACCCTTTTGGGAACTACAGTTCAAGGACCACGGGCCATGTCTGACGCCGATCACAGGACCGGATAGTGCATATCTCGTGTATCTATCGGCTTTATCAACTTCGAGCGATTGGCGAATACCCCGGATTCCACTCCAACCTGGCCCGAAACACGGTTAACGGCATTCGCTCCGGGTCTAAACGTCACGGTCTGCTCAACGTCCCTGTCGAACAACACCGATTTCAATTATAGCTCCACCAATATTTACATAATTTCGTGATTATGTAGGGTCATCCACTAACATGAGACAAAACAGGATTATGATGACGAAATCCGGGGTTGGGGCCCGCCCGTCAAGCATGCGAGATACATAAGTCATTGGGACGATGGGGAGAAGAAGGTTCCGGTGCAAAGTTGTTTCTTCTGAAGAAATAGTCAGACTCGCTGACCTCTTCTCCGCCAATCAGGTTGCTCATGATGACCTTGTGCATTGACGCGGAGACAAGCCGGACCTTCTCATTCCATCAAGGCTCATCGAACCGTGTCCAACATGATCAAATTCGGACCTGGGATGAAGATTCTCTCCTGATCCATGTCATAGCAATGCGTAAGGCCAGGATCTCATAGTCCACCCAAAGCATGCTCTTCTTTATGAATTGCCATGCCGACCTGGAGAAGACGCAAGAGCCTAACTAAATTTTGGCTCGGGATACCGGTCACATGAGCGGTGGTCAGGGCCGTGATTGTTCCAGATGAAAAGGAAAGCCAGTAAGGGCCTTGCGAAGCTTATCACTCTCTGCGGGGTTACTGTGGCGGTATCATTGCGGTGGTGACACCCCGTGCACAACCTCAGGAGGAGAGGAACCCTAAGTGGGACAAGCGATCCTCGATGACGCCACAAGTTTGCGTCCGTCCGCGGGTGAACGACAGCAAGGAATTACTGAAACGAGACATCTATGGCTGATGCGATCAGATCTCATATGCGTAGTGTGCCCAAGTGCCTCAAATGTTGTCGGACAACTGTGTATACCGTGATTGCTAGTGGTGATGTCCCAGTCTGTTATTACACATCCAGGTAGGGACTGAGCTTAAATGGCGGGAAGCCATTTATAATGTGTGTGTCAGACAAAATTGGAAAGCACTTGAGAATAATGATGGTATACTTGGAAGTATACTTAAGGACTGTAACCAGGAAGATATCTCGGGTATGGTCCGGCTGCTCGGTACTTTAAGGGACGCCGGACAACTCCGCCTAAGCGTACACTCCCGGGGCTCAAAAGGCAGAAGAGGACCTAGAAAATTTCCAATGATGATCGATAATAGGAAGAAAGGATGTTTCTCAGAGGTGGACGGCATCCAGGAACCGAAAGAATGATCAGTAGATCAATTGCCTATTCAAAATGACGCTTTAGCATAAACTTTTGACTGCAACGGGCTGCTGCAAAAACCACGATCAAATCAAAAGCAAAAACTCCTAGCCATATAACATTTTAAATTCCTTCCGGAGCAACTGTCAGTGAAAAGGTCATCTCCACAGCCGTTTAGGGAAAAGCGACCTCCCAGACCCGTTCGTCCGGCCCGCCCTAGTCTCGGCGCAGCGGAACCTCCCCTCTGCACCCTCGGTCCAACACCAACCAGCCCCAATTCCAGCACGGTCCCTACCTTATTGCCCCGGGTCCGTTCCTGAAGAACCAGATCCACGGAAGCTAAGAGATCCCCCTGTCAATCCGGGGTGCAGAGATCTGTCTGGAGCTTGTGTGGGGCCTTTTTGTGACCGGCCGGTAATTTTGAGATCACGTGTAATCGCATCCCACCCTTCACATAGTCACGGATTCAACACAGGCATAGAACAAGCCCTACTCTGCTCTCCTCATTTACTTGAGTCTACTCAATTACTTCATTACTGGAAAAATCATGCCGTATCATCACTGATATTATCCGATGGGACCTCACGATCTCTATCCCCCGGTAGGTGAACATAAAGGAAATCTAATCATAGTACTGTACGTCGGCACCAAGCATCCGGTCTTTTTGGCCGGGCAGGAAGAAACGCCATATCCTCGACCAGCAAAAAACGGACCCGAGAAATGTATTTGAAGACTCGGGACCAAATCATATCATGCCATGCATTATACCACAAACCCATGCAACGGACGGGGACGCTGCAGAAACAAAAAGCCAAAACCAAATCATTTCATTTATGCGCCGTATTCCTTGACGTCGGACTTCTTGCCCAGCAGGGCCAGAGGCACGATACCGCTGACGTGCATCTCGGGGCCGTAGACGTGCATGTCCAGACCCAGCTCGACACCGGCGGACTTGATGTTCTTCAGACCCTCCTGGTAGTTGGGACCGGCACGGCGGACCCAGATCTGGACCTTGTGCTCCGCGAGGACGGGGGCAACGTCGCGAATGGCGCGGATGACACCCTTGAAGGTGTTGGCAACGTTGGTGAAGTTGGCAATACCACCACCAATGAAGAGGACCTTGCCCTCGGGGTGGTTGGGGGCGCGCAGCATCAGGTCAAGGACGGTGCGGGCGTAGTTGTAGGTCTGAGTCTCGGTGGGAGCACCGGAGTACTCACCGTAGTTGGCCAGCTCGCTAACGAAACCGGCGGAGGCAATGGCGTCGGCGTAAACGACGGAGGCACCACCACCAGCAACCAGGGTCCAGACACGGCCGTTGGAGTTCAAGACGGTCAGCTTGAGGGAAGCACCGGTCTTGGCGTCCATGTCGGAGATGAACTTCTCCTCCTTGCTCAGCTCACGGCCGAAGGGGGCGGGGAACTCCATTGGCGGACCAGCGTCAATGTTGACCTTGCCGTCGACGGAAGCCAGGGTGGGCAGACCCAGAGCGGCGGGGCTGCGGGCGACAGCCCACTTGGTGCCGCATTCGAACTCGGCAGTCTGGTCGAGCTTGGCCGCGAGGTCAAGGAAGTGAACCTCGGCGGAGGTGGCGTCGGCGTTGGGGATGACCACGAGAGGGTTGATCTCGAGGTAGGTGAACTGGCAGTCGACGTAGACGGCGTACAGGCGGGTGATGAAGTCCACCAGGACATTGTGGACACCCTTGGGGACCTTGGCCAGCAGGGTAGAGGCGATCTCCTCGTTGGAGGGGTAGTTCTTGAGGTTCACGGGGATGAGCAGCTTCTCCGCCTTGGCATCAACATCACCGACGTCGACACCACCCTCGTGGGTGAAGAGGATCCAGTCACCCTGTGATCGTTAGCTACTGCGATCGTGATCCAAGTTGGGAGCTTCGAACTTACCTCACGGACGGAGTGGATGTTAATGTAGTACTCGGTCTCCTGGGGGTGCGGCACGAAAGGCTCAACCAGGAACTGACGCAGGACACCGGTGACGGTCTCAACCTGGACGTCCTTGGTAGCGCGGGCCTCAACCCACTCGCGGGCCTCCGCCCAGGTCTTGTTCAGGGCGAGGAGACCGCTCTTGCCTCGGCGCTTGATCAATTGATCGGGCTTCGCGACGAACTTGGCGCCGGGGGTCAGGAGCCACGGGTAGGTGACCTCGGCCTGGTCGAGGACATCCTTGACGGCCTTGTCATCGGGGAAGTGGAGGGATGCGAGACGAGCAGGAGGGTTGTGTGTAGAGGAGGCGGGAAGAGTAGAGGGCTTGATGACGGGGGCACGGGTGAGGTGGTAGTTGAGGATGGCCTTGCCGTCGGCCTCGAGAATGGACTTTGCGGACATGATGGATGATGTGAAGGGAAGATGGGAAGAGGAGAAAAGGATGGGAAGGGAGAAGATAGGAATATGGGCAGAAAGGAAGACTGGAGTGTACGGCGTACAGAAAAAAAGTTGTGCTGGAGATTACAGCGTACAATTGAGGGGTGCTCCACCGGTTGAGACGATAAAAAAAGGGCTGGAAAAGGTGGGGTGGGCTCGTTGGGACGTTAGCTCGGTGTACGAGGTACCAGGTACTTTGCGGCTTGACTCTTTGCGAGGGAGGACTCAGATCCACGCGGTAGCCACCCGTACACGGGGCCGATACCGCCCACTTTTTGTTGGGTGCAGGAATCTGATCTACACGGTAGTCCCCAGAACCTTTTTTGGAGCTGTTGTAGTAGTTGCCGGCCACCGAGTGTGTAGAATCCCCCCGGAAATGGACTTGCTGTACTTCATCAATCCTACCGGGAAGAATCAATTGAATCAATTGAGTCCAACGGTGGATCCGGCAGCCGGATACCACTCGGTAGTGGAATCGATGACAGCTATAGGTAACGTACCTTACCCACCAAGATCCGGTGGGGCGCACTGGTATCGGCGGTACCCGGTACTTTGGGGACCACGGAGCTCAACACTCGCTAGCGCTAAAAAAACGGGAGGAGCTGTACACCGTACCTGCGAGTACTCGCTGCCCCGCGCCCTTTTCTTTGAACTCGCTCACCTTTGATCCTTCTTCTCCTCCTTCATCTTCCATTGAGCGGCTGTCATTTCACATAGGTGTGTTTTCCTTCCATACATCCTTCCGTCACGCCCTCTCCTCTCCATCCGCTAACTCCCCCAGATTCATCATGCCCTCTACTACTCTTGCCGGCAACGGCGTCCAGTCGGCCAACGACAACATCACCCGCTTCAACCCTCCCAGCCGTGCCCTCTCTCCCTTTAACCACGCCCTTTTCCACAACAAGACACGATGCTTCGTATAGTGAGTCCTCGACGGCAACTCCCCGCCGTGCAGCAACGGATATTGACCAATTCCGCAGTGGCATGCAACCCCGAGCCGTGCAGGGCATGCTCGACTTTGACTTCATTTGCAAGCGTACCACTCCCTCCGTGGCCGGTATCATCTACACCTTCGGTGGCCAGTTCGTCAGCAAGATGTACTGGGGCACCAGCGAGACCCTCCTTCCCGTCTACCAGGATGTCGAGAAGGCCATGGCCAAGCACCCCGACGTGGACACTGTCGTCAACTTCGCCTCCTCCCGTTCCGTCTACTCCTCCACCATGGAGTTGATGAACTGCCCCCAGATCCGCTCCATCGCCATCATCGCCGAGGGTGTCCCCGAGCGCCGTGCCCGTGAGATCATGGTCACTGCCAAGGAGAAGGGCATCACCATCATCGGCCCCGCCACGGTCGGTGGTATCAAGCCCGGTGCGTTCAAGATCGGTAACACCGGTGGTATGATGGACAACATTGTCGCCTCCAAGCTGTACCGCAAGGGTTCCGTCGGCTACGTCTCCAAGTCCGGTGGTATGTCCAACGAGCTCAACAACATTATCTCTCAGAACACCGACGGTGTCTACGAGGGTGTTGCCATTGGTGGTGACCGTTACCCCGGTACCACCTTCATTGACCACCTCCTCCGTTACCAGGCCGAGCCTGACTGCAAGATCCTCGTCCTCCTCGGTGAGGTCGGTGGTGTTGAGGAGTACCGTGTGATCGAGGCCATCAAGAAAGGCACCATCACCAAGCCCGTGGTTGCCTGGGCCATTGGTACCTGCGCCAGCATGTTCAAGACCGAGGTTCAGTTCGGTCACGCCGGTGCCTCCGCCAACTCCCAGATGGAGACTGCCGTCTACAAGAACAAGGCCATGCGCGATGCTGGTATCCACGTTCCCGAGACCTTCGAGGATCTGCCCCAGACCCTCAAGCAGGTCTACGATGCCGAGGTTGCCAAGGGCTCCATCAAGCCCGCTCCCGAGCCCATCGTCCCCAAGATCCCCATTGACTACTCGTGGGCCCAGGAGCTTGGTCTGATTCGTAAGCCCGCTGCCTTTATCTCCACCATCTCCGACGACCGTGGCCAGGAGCTGCTCTACGCCGGTATGCCCATCTCCGATGTCTTCAGGGAGGACATCGGCATCGGCGGTGTCATGTCGCTGCTGTGGTTCCGCCGCCGCCTGCCCCGCTACGCTAGCAAGTTCCTCGAGATGGTTCTCATGCTCACTGCCGACCACGGTCCCGCCGTGTCTGGTGCCATGAACACCATCATCACCACCCGTGCCGGCAAGGACCTCATCTCCGCCCTGGTCTCGGGTCTGCTGACCATTGGTTCGCGTTTCGGTGGTGCGCTGGACGGAGCCGCTGAGGAGTTCACCAAGGCCTTCGACAAGGGGTTGAGCCCCCGTGACTTCGTGGACATCATGCGCAAGGAGAACAAGCTGATCCCCGGTATTGGCCACAAGGTCAAGTCCCGCAACAACCCCGATCTGCGTGTCGAGCTCGTCAAGGAGTTCGTCAAGAAGAACTTCCCCAGCACCAAGCTGCTCGACTACGCCATTGCCGTCGAGACGGTTACCACCTCCAAGAAGGACAACCTGATCCTCAACGTCGACGGTTGCGTCGCTGTCTGCTTCGTTGACCTGCTCCGCAACTGCGGTGCCTTCTCCGGTGAGGAGGTTGAGGACTACATGCGTATGGGTGTCCTCAACGGTCTGTTCGTTTTGGGCCGCAGCATCGGTCTGATTGCCCACTACCTCGACCAGAAGCGTCTGCGCACCGGTCTGTACCGTCACCCTTGGGACGACATCACCTACCTTCTGCCCACCCTCCAGAAGGGCGGCGCCGAGGGCCGTGTCGAGGTTAACCTGTGATTTTCTCTTTTGGACAGCTGGTAGCATACAGTCCGCCCTTCGTGCGGGGGGCGGTGGAGTTTGGATGATTGATCCCTTGGTTTCTGTTTGGCAGTTTTGTGTATCTCATGTACTGCGCCCCTCGTGGGCATGACCGGGTTTTGCCATGAACAAAAACGGTGCAACGCCCGACTACGGATCTGTTTAATTTTTTGTTTAGATGACTAGAATTGGGATTAATGAACGTGCCCATTGCATGATATCAATCTTTTCAATCTTGTATGCCTATTTAAAAAAAAAAAGTAGAAGTAGAAGTATACTCGACGATGCGCTGGTCGTCGCGATAAGAACGCTCTTATCTGTTATCGCAAACTGCAACTTCTTCTTCCACGCTTCACCTTCACCAACTCTACACTACACACCCGCAAAATGGTCCGACTCAAGAACCGCTATCTCCTAGTGGACATCCTCTACCCCGATTCGTCAACATGGCCATCAACCAAAACCGCAGGGCCCCAATCCACACAACTATCCATCCACTCCCCGACCTCCGACGCGCTCACACCTGGCCTTCTCGCCAAAATGGTCCGTGAAGAAGTCGGCGAGATGTACGGTGACTGGGGAGTCGGTAAACTGGGCGGCGCCTCAGCCACGGGCATCCATAGTACGTTCCCAATTCAAGCCCTGCAGAATAGGCGTACCATTCACTCCATTCTGAAGCAAAGCGCTAACACACCCGCAGTCAAATATCTCTCCCCGGCAACATCAACCGCAATTATTCGCTGTCCCCGCGCTGCCTTTCGCCTCGTCTGGTCCGCACTCACGTACATGACACACGTCCCGGCCGTCGACGGCGCAGGTGCTGGAATCCGACGACCGAATGGGGGTCGCGAGCGGCCGTGCGTGTTCCGTGTGCTGCGCGTATCTGGAACGATGCGCAGGGCGGAGGAGGAAGCTATTCGGCGGGCTAGGAGGGAGATTGTGCGTGTGCGAGGTGTGGAGGAGGAGGGTGTGTTGGGGGATTTGTTAGGCGGTGTTGTGCAGAAGGAAGCGAATGCTGTTTCTGCAAAGGGTGTTGTGGATGAGAGTGAGGATGAAGGGATGCTTGTTGATGAGGATTGAGGATAGGAGAGGTCGGGTGTGGAAGGATTGCAATTATGATACCCCATGATCGTGACGATATAATACATTGATTTGATTATCTGATTTATTTGATTCATGCCTTTCGTCGCACGGTTACTCCGCTATCCGGTAGCGGGCCCCATTTCTCCATTTCCTCGTCGTCTGCTCCGCCCTCGCCCATCGCAGCATTCTCGGCCATCGCGGCTTTACTCGCCTCTTCGTGCATCTTGGCCACTTCTTCCAACTCCTCCCTCTCGAGATCGTCATACTCATCCTTTGAATCCAGCCATCGCTCCTGTACATCCCGCACATCTGTAGTGCCCATTCCTTCTCTCACGGCAACTTGCCAGACAGTATCATTGGCGCCCTCGGCTGGGCCAAAGGCATACCCGGATGCACGGTCAATGGCTCTGAGAAGATTCATCATACTCTTCTTGTCTTCCACGGCGAGTGTTTCGAAGGCAACGAGACCGAATTCCTCGACTAGATCGATGATGGTTTGATTCAATGCGCCGAACTTCGTGTTCGCAAGCCGTGAAGACTCGGCTTCCAGGTGTGGAAGGAGATATGAAAGGTCTTGTACTTCGGTGTAGAAGTCCAGGTTGAATGGGAGGTCGGCATAGTTGGATAGGTTGTCAATTTTGGTCAGGACGTTCAGATGCGGGAGGTCGAGTTGGAGCATGGCACGAAGAGATAGAAGGAGAGCGGATATATACATTGAAGGGAGAGTGAGGGTGTAGGAGTCGACGAGGTGGATAACTATTAGCTGTTCGAGGGTTAGGTTAGCTATAGTAGCTGGAACCTAAAGGATGGTGACGAACTCGGTAGCCTATTTTCTGGAGCTGGAAGAAGATATTCCGCAGTGATGCATGGTGCGTGAAAAGCTCGACTTGGCCGGGGCAGTCGAATAGAACATAGTCCTCTATATTACAACGAAGAAGTCAGTCCATCCGCTCGTTCCTGCAGGGTCCATCAACAAACCTCCAAGCTCCTTCAGCCCTTCCTCTAACCAGGAGTAGTTCTCTTCCAGCTCCTCAAGAGCATAAAGCGTAGCTCCATTGGGTCCCAGCTTATCCTCATCCATAATCTCCTCGAGTGTCACTAGATCGCGCACGTCCAGCGCACACGGGTAAGAGGTCTTGTCGTTAGCGGGGTCGAGATTAACGACGGAGCATTTGCGACCAATAGCGCCAAGGAACTGGTGCATGCCATTGCAGTATGTAGACTTGCCCGCGCCCGGGGGCCCGATAACCAGCTGTGCAAAGGGCATCTTGTAGTGGCGATGTCGAAGCTCAAGTAATGACCTTTTTTCTTATCAAAGCCGCGGGGAATAATGCGGCGGTGTGTCACGGCAAAAAAGGCCCTCAAGGAGCTACGTCTGGATCTCCGATCTGCAAACACCACCTCGTCCGCCACAATGTCGTCAAGTGAGTGGCTACCCTTTTAACCAATGGTCTTGTTCTGACCTTTGATAGATCAATTCACGGTGGCTTCGCCGCCCACCGACGCTATTTCCGCTTTGAAGTTCTCCCCCGACCCCAACTCGACGCGCATCGTTGTTTCGTCATGGGACAAGAACGTATATCTGTATGACCTGCGCGATGAGAACGGCACAGTAGGCGAGGGCAAGCTGCTGCAGAAGTTTGAGCACCGCGCACCGGTACTGGATGTGTGCTTCGGCGACAATGAAAACGAGATCTACACGGCTGGATTGGATTGGGATGTCCGAAAGTGAGTTCTCGCGCGATAGCTCCGATTGGACTAGTAAGGTGTTGTATTTACTAACATGGTTAGGATTGACCTCAACACATCCGAGCAGACCGTTCTGAGCAGTCACGAAGCTGGCGTGCGCAATGTCGTCTACAGCCCCGAACACAAACTCATCATCTCCGGCTCGTGGGATTCTACCCTCCACGTCCACCGGCCAGACGCCGGCACCAATTCCGCCCCCGCAATCATCCCGCTTCCCTCGAAACCCTTCTCGATTTCTCTCACAGCGACCAAGCTGGTTGTCGCCATGGCATCTCGTTCTCTACACATTTACGATCTCAAGGCGCTCGCTCTTCTCACAGCGCAGGCCGACAGTGAAAGCCTCGATGGAAATAAGGTCGAGATTGAGCCGTGGCAACGGCGGGAGAGCAGTCTGAAGTTCATGACACGATGTGTTGCCTGCATGCCCGACGATGCTGGATACGCCTCTTCCAGCATTGAGGGCCGTGTGGCAGTCGAGTGGTTTGACCCTTCGCCTGAATCCCAGGCCCGCAAATACGCTTTCAAGTGTCACCGTCAGACAGCCGAGGACGGTGTCGACGTTGTCTATCCGGTCAATGCACTTGCCTTCCACCCCGTGCACGGCACTTTCGCATCCGGTGGTGGTGACGGTGTCGTCGCGCTGTGGGATGGAATTGCCAAGCGTCGTATTCGCCAGTACCAGAAGTACCCCTCCAGCGTGGCAGCTGTTGGATTCAGTGGAAATGGTAAGTACCTGGCTATTGGAGTCAGCCCCGGCTTTGAGGATGGCCAGGACGACGTACCGGAGGGAGTAGTGAAGATCTTTGTGCGCGAGTTGGGCGAGACGGAGGCCAAGGGCAAGGGTGCTAAATAAATCCCACGGGCTACATATGCTAGCTAGTCTCATTGATACCACTCACCGAATCTGATGATCTAACATTTTGAATATGCAACCCCTTCCATGTACGTAATGAAACATCCAAGAACAAAGAAGGTCTCTCGTTTCCGGCCCCATATATGGAGGCAAATCTGGTATCATCTAAATTTATTTACGTCGTCAACTGCATCAATTCCAAGGCCCTCCCATTTAGGACGTGGCCTTGCGGACCGACACAGACCCATCAGGCATACCGAAGTACGCCGCAACAGGTCGCTGACCACCAACACCTCCAGCAGCAGTAGCCTCGGGACCAGTCTGGCCGGAGAAAATGCCCACCTCCAGGACACCGGCAATGTCCTTGATCCTCCGGGCAAGGTCACCCACCTCCCAAGCGCCGTTCTGGCCGGAAACCTTGCCAGCCTGGACATCCGACTTGGTGAGCATGGGTGGGAAGGGCGCGTCAACGAGGAAGAAGCCCTGATCGGTCTTCAGAGGACCCTCCTTGACGTTCAAGTTTTGGCGGAGGACAGGGTTGACGGCGCCGAGTTCAGTCAGCTTACGGATAACGCGGTAGGCGGCGATGGGAGCGACTTCGATGGGGACGTATTTCCAGTTTGAGAGGAGGCGGGACTGGAGCTTGCGCGAGTCTGCGGTGATATGAGTCAGTGGGACATGTTCACTTTTGGTAGATGGCTTAAATGCGCACCGGCAACACAGATAAACTCCTTGGCCTGCATTGCTACAATCTTCTCCTGGAAAAGACATGCGCCGCCGCCCTTGATGCAGTTCAGCTCGTCGTCGACCTCGTCCGCGCCGTCAAAGGCCACATCCAGCACGGTACCCTGGGGGATGGCGTCAAACTCGACGGCAGTCAGACCAGCGCTGACAATCAGCTGGCGTGACTGGTAGCCCGTAGGCACGTAGTGGGTGAGAGAGGTGTCGACACCGAGGGCCTGGATGGCCTCGACGACGTAGACGATGGTCGTGCCGCTGCCAATGCCGACCCAGCGGGCGTCCTTAGGGTAGTGGTTTGCGACAGCAGCCTTGGCCGCGGCGCGCTTGGAGGCTTCGATGTCGGCCATGGTGGATAGATGGGATCGGAAGGTGAGGGGTGCGAGAGGGAGACGGGGGAGGAGGCGTGGAGAAAAAAGAAGGCGGGGCGAGGGGAAGCAGAAAAGCCGGCCCATTCCCAAGTTCCCAAGTTCCGGGGCGTTGACAAGTCAAAGGTCTGCACTATAGCGTCATTGGCGCTGGTGTAAGTGTGGGGTTGTTAGTCCCGCATTGTTTGCTTTTGAATTGGAATGCTGAGGAAATAGAGGTAGGCCGTCCCAAGATCTATGGGAATTTGACGGCATTTCTCGACTATGCACAACAATTCACCCAAATAAACACTGGCCAGCCCGGGGTGGATTAATTGACTAGGCAATTACTTCCCACCTCCCACCTGCAGATATCCTATGCGTGAGGCCCTTCCCCGCGGCCGGTGAGCAGACGAAGATCACGTTTCATGGGCCAATGCGATTGTCGGTCTTCAGTCGCCGATGGTTTTAGTGCGCGCCGGAAAAGCCGGCCGGCGGTGGAGTCGTCGTAAAGGCCCCCGCGCAGGACAAAGGATTACGCGCAATTCATGATGCCCTTAGCTGTTTGCTGTCAATGTTATGATACTTATTGCGAAAGAATAATTGGTAAAGCGTATGTGTGCTTGTTGTATGAAATATCTATATTCTCAACGCTGTTCTATCCATATCAACCAGAATGCCAAGTGTTTGCTTTGGAGATCCATCAGGGCGTATTCCGATGGACAGTTTTGCTTCATATACACGCAACAAAGTCCTCGCTTGCTGACTGAATTTAAAAGCATGCTCTGGTAGTGGTCCTAAAGCATTGCCAATATCGATAATGCACTTGTATATGACCCCAAAACTTACAGATTCGTACTGGAATAATATGGAGCAACAACTCCACAACATCAGCTTTTCTCGGGCCCGATGTGAGTAGGTCGTTGCTAGTACGGTGCAAATGCAACCCGGAGCTGTTTTCAGCAAACACAAAGATATCGTCCGCAGAATGTTGACAAGAAGTACTGCTCTTGTGGCCTGCTGGCACTCACTCAATGAGATGCTGCTGTTAGAGGACAGCTGACCACTGTTGTGAGATTAGATCAGCCTAATCAGTTTCCATAAATGGGATTTTTCATGCCGTGAAGAGCTAGGTCTGATTCTTAGATTGAAATCAACTGCTAATGGACTACTTGACTATGTTACACTTGCTGGCATGCATACTGCCAAGGAAAACCGAGATTTGGCTAAATAGCTCTGTGGAGGCTACATATTACACCAAGAACGTAAAACGCCAGATTTCAGGGCCGCAGCAAGCCAGAGCTCCATTTGATTGTGTTGGTGGACCTGATTGAGAAACAGCGGCGATTTGATATTCCCCCACATTTGGCGCTTAGTCACGTCACCGCCCACTGCCAGTTCCGACAGTACCAAAACACTGAATACAAGGGCAGTCTTGGATACGCCAGCATACTCAGAGACGAGGAGGGACACTCTTGAAGCCCGTGCTTTGTATTCTGTCGCTATAGCCTCGTCTTTCCCTCAACCGTCCCTTCAGTGAGTTCAATCATGGCTCAATCATTCCATGGCGGGCCGACATCGAAAGAACGCAAGTATGATCGCCAGCTGCGGCTCTGGGCTGCTAGCGGCCAGCAAGCCCTAGAAGACTCTCGTGTGTTGCTCGTGAACTCTGATGGCCCCCTAGGTGCCAACAGTACCGGAGTCTCCGGTGTGGTCGGTGTGGAGGCTCTTAAGAACCTCGTACTACCAGGCATCGGTGGTTTTACCATCGTGGACCCAGCAATTGTCACGGAGGCTGACTTGGGCGTGAACTTCTTTCTGGAGGAGCAATCGCTTGGCAAATCTCGTGCAGAGGAGACTTGTCGCCTGTTGAGAGAGTTGAATCCTGATGTGCATGGATACTTTAACTCCCAGGTACGTCACCAGCCTCATGATTGAAAATTGATTCTGATATTGTTTGTTCAGCCCATCACCGATCTACTTCACGATCCAGATTTCTTGCCCCAGCACAAGTTGGTGATCATTTCTGGCCCAACCAAGCGCTCCTCGTTGGACCCGCTCATTCAAAGAGCTCAAGAGCTGGCAATTCCTGTGCTATACACCCACTCTGTTGGGTTCCTTGCGACGTTCTCCCTTCAACTTCCTGCTGAATTCCCCATTGTGGAAACTCACCCGGACCCAGAATCCGCGCAGGACCTACGACTTTTGCACCCCTGGCCGGAGCTTGTCGCTGCTACTTCGGCCCTAGGTGATCTGGATGCCATGGATGATCACCAGCACGGACATGTTCCATACATTCTACTCCTGCTTTATTTCCTCGAGCAGTGGAAGCAGGCCCATGGAGGAAATGCGCCTGGCAACTACAAGGAGAAGACCGAGTTCCGAGAATTCGTGCGCTCCCAAGCACGCACCAGCAACCCAGAAGGCGGCGAAGAGAACTTCGACGAAGCAGTAGCAGCCGTCCTGAAGACCGTCTCCCCGCCTACAATTCCCAGCACCATCCGTGAGATCTTCGAGTTGGATCAATGCCAGAACCTCACCGGTGAATCCGTGGATTTCTGGCTCATTGCACACGCCATCCACTTCTTCTACATGACTCACGGCGTCCTGCCACTTCCTGGCTCCCTGCCCGATATGAAAGCCCAATCAGCAGACTACGTATCGCTGCAGAATCTCTACAAGGCCAAAGCACGCCGCGATGTGGAGGAAGTCACTTCCACGGTGCGACAGCTAGAGACCCAGCTCGATCGACGCGTCCCTCCAATTCCCGACCGTGATATCGACGCGTTCTGTAAGAATGCCGCGCATATCAAGGTTGTGCACGGCCGACAAATCCCCCAGATCAGCAGCAACAGTGACGCAGTCACCTTGAAAGCAATTAGGAGCCAGCTCGGAATCCCCGACTCCCTGGTCTCAGTGTTCATCGCGACACAGATTCTCGACGGTGTAGTCGACGAAATACAAGATGAGTCGAACGACCGGCGCTTCATTAATGACGATACCTTGTGGAAGAGCCACACAGAGCGAATCCTGGCCCTGTTGACGCGGGATGACCCGACTCCGCTGGACTCCGAAGTTCGCGATAACATCAACAAAGCTATTCAAGAGCTGCGCCGTGCCGAGGGTGGTGAACTGCACAATATTGCCTCGTTGGCGGGTGGTTTGGTCGCACAAGAGTCGTTGAAGGTGATTACGAAGCAGTACGGACCGTTGGATAATACCTGCGTGTTCGATGGTGCGCGCAGTCGGAGTGAGATGTATAGACTGTGAGCTGCTTTGTGGACGCAAAAGCGTATTGTTATAAGGATGCGGACAATATGGCCGTTAATGACTTATGAGTTAGGGTCCTATCTATTAGATCGAGGTTGCCCTACAATGAATGAACTGAATGTGCGAATGCGGATTACATTTATGCTATTGGTGTACAGACGGAGACGAGAGGCCGCGGGCGTACAAGAGCACTCATAATATCGCGGGACTCTATGCGACACGGTTCTCGGTGTCGTAGCTGCAGTAGAGCAGTTCTTCCCAAGGCCTATCTTCTGGATCCACGTCCGTGTCAGCTACAAGTGACACAATGAACGATATTGTCGCGCGAGTCGGCAACTTGGCATCCGGTTTGAGAGAAATCGGGGGTGTCTCTATTATGCCGATCACTGAGCTCGGGCTCGAGTGTTTAAACTGCTGTTCAGAGACAAATATGGCTCAATTGTCGAATTTCAGAGCCTAGAATCAATCACCGCTTCTTCGGCCGGAAATTTCCATGGCGTTTTGGTCCAGTCGGAACACCCTTTGCCTCGTATAGCTTCTCCTTTCCAAATGCAGCATCGCTAATGCGTAAGAAACTTGTGACGCCCTGATCGACGACCGCGAGAACAACGTTGCGGTAGCCGTGTCGCAGCCGCATGTACATCAATCGGTCCATCTTCTCGCCCCGGGGCGGGTCCAGAGGCGTACTTTCCAGCAGCGCGCCGACTTGTGCTAAAGTGGGGATTGAGGTCTGCTCGCGTGTGTTGACCACGGCAATACGGAATTCTGGAGCCGGCCAGGCTGATTTTTTGATAGGGGTCGAGGGTTTGTAGACATGGAAGACAACCCGGAAGGGCACATCTGTGTCGAGAGGATCTCTCGTCTCAGCAGCGGCTGGGTCGTACCAAGGTATGATGGCGAGTTTCCGGTATACAGCGGCTGCAGATGATTAGAAAGGACAACGCAGAATGTCTCGAGAGAATATGATGCGTACCGTAGTTTCGATGAATACCGCACCCCACGACGGGACCAGCCGCCGTAGAGCTCGTACCAAAAGGATCATCCAGCCAGCTGAAACACCGTCCAATGATACCGGCAAGACCCGGTCCACGTTGCTGGGGCTGGGTATAAGCTTTCTTGTTGGACTCGTTCTTCGACTCGTTCACTTGGGCATTATCATCCCAGCCCGGTGCTCGAGTAACCGCATATCCCAATCGTTTCAATCCGGTGAAAACGGTATACCGCTCCAGTGTCAGGCCACTACGGCCGAGCAGGCACGCATACGCCGCTTGTATACTCATCGGGATAGCCGGCTCGTTCACATCGTTCTCGTCAATACCGGTCAACTCGCTCGGCCACTTGATATCCAAAGTCCCTCGTTCAATCAAGTACATCGCTTCTTCGGGAAGCAACCACACGCGGTTCCACCGATCTGCCCGGCCCATTGTCTTGAAATACTGGCCTTTCGGGACAGGCACGTAGACGCAATACTCGGGCGAGACGCCCGTGCCCTTTTCATCGACCTTGAGTTCAGGTGGAGGTGCAGGTCCATCCGGCGCATAGATACCGATTACCTGGGTCTTGGGATGGTGAATGCGCGGGTGGCCGAGCGCATTGTGCATCGCTCCACGCGAGGCGGCGAGGACATCTGCTTGGAACTCGGTCGGATTGGGCTCGAAATCCTTTTCGCCGCGGCGGGGGAGGCTGGAGGAGGATGTGTCGGACAGGCTGAGGAGCACAGGTTAGTCAAAGTCGGAGAGTATCACAGCTTTGGGCAGGTACAAATTGAGGTGGTTGAGCAGACGGAAGTCCTGGGTCTCGTCGGACAGATCGGTCTCGATCTGCGGGGCCTCTGTCGAAGTGGCACGAATGGCCTCTTCGTCTGCGTCGGCCATTGTGTGTGAGGTGCTACGAGGGAAGTCGGTCGCAGAATCAGAGTCCGGCGCGGCGAAAATCGAGGGTCGGGGCTTATCGATAAGACCGCCCACATATCGGGCCGCACCACTTTCTCCTAACCAACGAGCAGCACGACTGCACTGGCGATGTCGAATATTGCAGACTACAACGAGACTCTGCGCAAAGTACGTACTTTGATTTTTCATGTGGACGGAAAATAACGGGTGCTTAGGTCTCAAACAGCCTCCAGAATGCCCTAGACACCTTCGGGCCGTCTTCCCACCAGTATCGGGCCATTCTCGGGATCTTAAAAGAGTGTCTACTGGATATTGAAAATGAAAAGGCACGCACTCAGGCACAGGTGGTCGATCCAGTCATGCTGAGTGCCGCGATGGGGTTTCTGAAAATTGGAGAATAGGGAGACTATATGCTTGATACCCAATGTTTATGCGAGCGTTTTGCACCTGCAACCTTGGCCTGGACGGGATCAAAGCCCTTCTTCGCTCAAGCACCCGCAGCGGGATGTCTGAACAACATTTTTAGTAAAAGCCCCAGTGCAGCTCCTGCTGCATAATGTAACCCTGGCACTGCGTAACTCCCTTACCCTGCATCTTGCCGGTTCCATGCCCCCAGTCCTTGGAAGTGTATCGGATTGGTCGCTCGGACTGGCACCCATCCTGAAGGGTGTTTGCCCGGAGACGACCGCAGAGGATACAAAGGGACGCCATTGTTTTGGACCACCCAGTGGTACAGTTAGAATAGAGCGTATTTTGATAAAAGAAAGAAAAAAAGAGTGTATAAAAACATGAAAAGGAGTGACTGATAGGAAAAGATGAGAAACCCGAGAATCTTCTCACCGGTTAGACCCCATAGGGCCGCAAATGGGAATGATTCTTGTGGGATGAATGAGAATTGTCCTCTTCTTGCCTTTGTTTACGATCCCTGTATTCGGCTGGACTAATGTCTAGATCATTTGGACTGGCAAACTTGGGCCGCACCCCTCACCACCGAACTCTCCTGCGCCACGCTCAGGCCCGTCAAGACACATTGAATGACCAACTGCATATGGATCATTGTTGCGTAACGGACGTTTCCTTTGAGTTGGTCCTGTGACCACCTTTTTTCTTTTGGTGCTTCATCTTTCATAACCATTTGATGCGGGACCTCCATGGTCTAGTCTTGCGATGCTGCTTCAGCGATTCAGCCTCGCGAGGCCCGCTGTCGCTGGATACCCTCCCGGCTGCCAGCGCTCCTTCTCTCATCTGCGTGATATTCGGCAGACCAAGAGTTTTCGGGAGGTTGAAACCCATTTTCAAGCTGCCTACGCCCCATCATTTGGCAAGCCGTGCCACGCTTCCCAACCATCCGTTTGTCCCACGGATCCCCTTGTGGCCGTCAAGGTCGGGGTCCGCGACTCTCTCTCGTATTATAAACACAGTCACTGGTCATCAAGAAATCATCAAAACAAATGGTCGCTCTCAGGATAGCTCCCCTCAATGGGCTCCGAATGGTCAGCAGCTGGCATTTCTCTCTGATCGGCTTCAGCCCGGAGTGCTGAGCTTGTTTATATGTGAAATTAAGTCCTTATATGACCCTGACGCGTCTCCATCGGCCGCACTATCCCTACCAGGCACCGCGGAAGCGTTTTCGTGGTCCCGAGATAGCTCCCGTTTGCTACGTAGTACGGGTCGCCGAGCACGGAGCTGACCAAGCGGCGGCGTACGGTTCGGGCCGCATGGAGCCCCAAGATGATGGAGACGAGCCCTCATGGTTACCCAATGTTAGTGCGTGCAAACAAGAGACAGGCTGGAGATCAGTGTGGGTGTATGAGCCAAGCTCGGGTCAGCTCCATCGAGTCGGCAACATTGGCGTTCAGTTTTTGGGGACATATGTTGGACCCATAGGGTACGAAAGCAGCCGAGAGAAGTGAAGTAATTCGAGATATTGTCGAAAATCACTTGAAAGGATTTAACTGGTGTGGCAGAGAGAGTTCCTCATATATCTCACCGGATGGTATCAATGGCCACCCGATAAAGGATTGAGATATTTCCGAATCGGATAACAAATTTGATCTTTCAGCCATCGTGGAGTGATGGTAGCTTTGCTTGAAGAAGCGAAAGGGGTAGGGAAACAGAGGAAGTGAGGCAGAACTGAGATGATCCTTGAACCAATTATTTAAACAATAGTTCTAGGATTGAGTGATAATGAGAGTGTATGGAGTGTGTTCTACTAAGCCCTGTAAAAATGGTAACCCCATAGAACCTCGGGCCGGGAGATCACTAATCTCGGAAGTGGGATAAATGTTCCTGTGTGGGGCCCTAGAGCCGCTCATAGTAATTAGTCAGTTCACGAGCTGGAGTTCGACTCCAGCGATTAGTTCAGCAATGAACCCAGCTACTGGTTTCTCTATTCTATTGCCCAAACTCCTAGTAGAGCTTTAGATCAATCATGACTGTGCTTTGCCGCAGAATATTATATTCCTGGCTAACTTGTCCAAATGAGAACTTAGTTTACAACTTAGTTCCAATGCCGTATCAACTAGTTCAAGCACTTGATATGGCATGCAAAAGCCCTTTTGTGATATCATGCAGTAAGCGACAGCGAATTGTAAGAGATCAATCATTCGTACTGAATGCCAACTCCAGTCCTGGGACCCCAGAAGCAGTAACATCACTGCCAGCCACAAGCGAAAAATCGTATACGAGCCGGAAGGTCAAAGGACGAACTCAACAGAATCACAGTTTGTTGTCCAGACGAGCCTGGGCCTTAGCTGTTCTTTGCACTGACAGCTTCTTCCACCAGGGATATGTCCGTGGCGCATTTCTGGACAATACGTCCATGAACGCTGGCTTACGCTTCCCAAAGAAGGATGCCTTGAATTCGAGGTGGTCCCTGGCCCGAGTCAGCAAACATACATAAAACGAGCTGAAGCCCTCTTTCCTTGGTGTATACATACTTTCCGCCAAACATGTCATACATCAGCGGACTATCCACCAGGTGAGCACCTTCTGCAGTTCCAGGATTCCGCCAGATAAGCTGTCGATTCAGATGAACGGCCATCGTGCTCACGTTTTCAAGGATATCCTGAGCGAGCTCAAGCGCACGTGGCATAACATCCTTGGGTTCGGGCAACAGCTCCGCAAAGATTCCGTGTAGAACCGGAGAGTGAGCGGGGTATCTTTTCCCCGTGGCCAGCAGGTATGTTGCATTGCTGTAGCCAACCATCCGGGGTAGGAAAAACGAGCTGCAAGACTCCATGGTGAGGCCAATGCGCGAAAAAGGGAAGCCAAATTCTGTTTCTCGCGATGCGATACTGAGATTGGGGTTAGATTTCCATGACCACTGAGCCCAAGGCAGATACGTACCGGATGGTGGCGGCCAGAGTGGACGTCATGCCAATCCCAAGGGAAAGACCATTATATGCGACGATAATGGGCTTGCTGCAGTTGAACATAGCAAGTGCCAAGGTTCCGCCTGGGTCTCGCATCTCACTCGGCGGCAACGAGTCCTTGGCTTTGCTTGTGTCCATAGTAAGGTCGATTCCAGCGCTAAATGTTCTGCCCGCGCCTGTTAGGATGACGATTTTGACCCGGTTATCCACATCGACGGTCGAGAAAAAGGTAATAAGAGCATAGATCATGTTGCCTGTAATTGCATTGAGCTTGTCGGGTCGGTTGAGCGTAACAATCTGGATGGGCGTCACCCCTGGAGCCGACTCGGGGAAGTTGGTGATTCGGACATGGCTATCTGGGGTATTCACATATGTGTCTGGGGTAGGGATGGTTGGTATATCGTCGACCATCTTGCAAAAAGTTTACCCAATTTATTAAATGGCAAATATTGGAGGAATTGTTGGAAATACAATGTAGCGACTTCAAAGTATACAATATATAAGTTGTACATGGCACGTATATTGCCTCGGTTGAGATTGACTCCAAATTGATTAGTGATACAAACTAACACAGCGACCGAGAAATTTATTTCATTTATTCTCAGGCCGAGGTATCGACATAAATAATATGTTCACACTTCCATTGGAAGAAAGTTCACAAAAGTGTTTTGCAAGCGAGCTAAGGATACTCAGAAAAAGGCAGGCAGCAGCCATGTCTTGTGGCGGTCCAGCATTCGCGCCAAGGGTACGATGGAGAAACATGCGAAAATAAAGCAATGAATTTGTCTATAAAATTTTTTAGACCTCTAGAATATTGTAAGTTTAGAACATAAGTCAATCTAAACACCGGCCTATCTATATAATCTAAGGCCTTGGTGCAACTTGCGACAGCAACGCAAATTTTGAATACTAGGCTCCCGACACCAACCCAAAGACAGCAATTTATCGGGCGGATAACTTCCTGACAGAAAGCAGCCAATAATATAATTCTCTCGGCTTTTACTTCGATCAGACGACCTTGTGTATTTTTTTAATTTCGTTCCTGTTCATGCATTGATCACCGTGAATGGGACTGGAGGTGCGATGTAGACAGCAAAGTGGAGTTCGGACATTGTCAAATGACGCCGAGGTAGGTAGCTTCAAGAAAATTAAGTGCAACAGACTGTGGCATTGAATATTTCTACTAACGTACCAAGATCAACTTATTTATTTACCTAGATGTCATCTATCTGAGCTCTAACAACGGCGAGGTTAAGCTGATCCCTAATCATAAAACATAAAAATGTAGGAAGCAACGCGGGGCGGGTGAGCGCCTGGTCTATCTATAGAACCACGCACGGGAATGCTAAGGCGTAGGGTGACACTAAGCCTAAAATGGCACACTAAACCGTATTGCGTAACTCGCCGTCACCCACCAATACGAAGTATGATAGCCTAATCTCGTGAGACATTAAGCATTTAGGCGTCCAGTCGGGATTGGGCTTTTGGCCCCCGAAAACCGCCGTCGAGCCAATATAAAGCCGTGAGCACGACAACATGATCTTGTATCTTTAGGTCCCAGCTTTGCTTCTGGCTCTTGATCACCTTATATTGTCTCTTCGCTGGCTAGGAACCATATCGTTGCTTACGTTATCCTGACAGCGTTTCTCCCTTTCTACTTGACTATTTTGCATCGATCACTCCAGCATCGGGACGTGGGACAGGCATAACATGAGTTGGTCACAAATACACCCGTCGCAGAAGATACTGCTCGTGGTGACAACCGGAGGGTTCACCCATGCTGGTAAGGACTGAGATGTCATTGAGGTGGGGCCATTTGATCGTTAACGAACGTAAGCAGCTCCCGTGTTGGAAATTGGCCGAGTACTCGCGGAAAGAGGCCATACAATCGAGTTTGCAACTCTTGACGGTCAAGAAAGTTGGATCAAACCGGATGAATATGGGTTTGTCACTAAAATCCATCTCCTGGGACCTGGACCAACGACGGAGCAATTGGATGCTCATTACCGGCGAATGCAGGCGTGGGATCTTCGCGACGGCATTCAACCGGCCTTCGCGTCCAAACTCATGTTTGATTCTTTTTGGCCGCAGACTTACCATGGCCTCAAGAATATCATAGCGGCTTCCCGCCCGAGCATGATCATTGCGGATTTCTTCGCGGAGGCCGCGCATGATATGTACGTCGAGTATAACATACCCATTACCATTGTGGCTCCCAACTGGCCGCCACTCCAGCTTCCTTGTTCCTATATTCCTGGTCAGCCTGGCTTCCAACTTCCTGGCACCATGACCTCCGAGGACACGTCTATGTGGTTGCGTATTAAAAACGAGACGATGATTCTACTCGACCTGCCGGCGATCATGAGATTATTCAAATGGACTCGGAAGCAACGCAGCGAGAACGGCGTTACCTATCCACTTCATAAACCGAAAAAGCCCGATTATCTTCTATTTGTGAATTCCTTCGTGGGCTTGGAAATTCCGCGAGACCTGCCTCCTACCTGTGCGCCGGTCGGGCCGCTTTTAAGCCCTACCTGGTCTCCTCTAGATGCGGAGCATGAGGCGTTTATGAACAGACACAAGTCCGTATTATACATTGCTCTCGGCACGCATATTATTCTACCTCATCGAGATATCGTTACCATCGTGACTGGAGTGTTGCGTTTGATGGAAGAAGGCTTGATCGATGGAGTGATTTGGGCCATCCCAAAAACAGGTCGCAAGGATATTGACGGCAACCAGGCTGTCCGCGTCAAGGTCGGAAATGAGACAGAAGATCTCCATCTAGCAGACATGCTGGCCAACAAACATCCAGACTGTCTATTCCCATTCTTCGCTCCTCAACGCGCGATTCTGGACCACGAATCCACCAAGCTCTATTTCACCCACGGCGGGGGCTCTAGTGCCAACGAAGCACTTTTCCATGGAAAACCAATCCTCTCTATGGGTATCTTCTCCGATCAAATCGCCAACACGACCCGACTGGTTGCTGCTGGTGTCGCCGAGTGTCTCGACAAGTTCAGCTTTACTTCTGATGAGCTATACACAAAGGCGAAGAAGATTCTCGAATCCGGGGATAACGGATCCTACAAGCGGAACGTGTTACGACTGCAGCGTATCGCACATGTTGCATCGCATCGCAAGGAGTACGCAGCCGATCTCGTCGAGGAGGTGATGTACGACCACGAGTTGCGGTTCGATAAAGACGGCAAGGAATTACGCCCTATGCACCTGCAGACTGCGGAATCGCGCATGTCAGCCTTCAAGGCTAACAATTTAGACATGTATGCGGTCTGTGCACTGGGTTTAACGGTTACCATGGCTTCGATTGGGCTCGGTGGTATTTACTTACATCGATATCGAGCTCAATTGATTGGCCAGGCAACGTCGATTATCGTTCGCGGGTGGAGAAACTTGTATACTGCTTTACGTGGGTAGTTTCTGTGGCAATTCTCGCTAGCACGTAGCGTTTTCAATAAGCTTCATTCATCATAGAAGAACAAGGCAGGAAATAGGCCTGAATTATGGATTTACATTTCCGTATTTATCTCCAAGACGTGGAGTTACTGCGGAGCAGGCCGTGCTCTGTCATAGAAAAGTAGCAAGGAGGATGCAATCGTCTCAAGCCGAGACAATCCACTGCCCTCCTAAGAAAAAGCCCCAACACTCCACCCCAAGAATGAACAAGCGAACAAGTGTTCGTGCCATGCAATCAACTCCAGCTTTATGCAATCGTAATACATGACATGATAAGGTGTGCTTCCGGGTTCACGGGCCCTGGTCCCTTTCAATCGACTCGCGAGATCAAGATCGACTAGATGTGCTCTTCGGCACGTGAGTTGTACTTTCAAGTGAGAAAAGGTCCGATACGCTTTATGTGCGCTTCAATCGATGAGTGGTTTCTTCTGGTTGCCGACCAGAGCCACGCCGAGGTAATTGAGGGCGCAGGGATCGCTGGGACGTATGATTGATGGTAGTGGTAGCATCGGGTTGTCGGGATTAACATGGGCTGCATCTCGTGCAGCTTGCTCGATGGCTTCCATCTCTTCTTTGCATCCGGCATGATCAAGTGGGCACACCACGATCGGTTGCCGGATAGTGATATCTCTCGCTGATGTTAAATGCGCCTGTCACATGCGTTAGCGCTGGGAATCGTGCCTGGTATTGAAAAGACACTTACTCGGACTGTGAGATAGTACTCGATTTTATATAGACTTGCAGTAGTTGTGAACCCGCTGACACCGTACATCGGAAACGCTGAGCGGCTGCGCGGTAAAATCCCTTCTGAATCTCGCAGATCCTTGGCGGGAAAGACCAGTCCCAAATTGGTGAGATAACCTGATTGGGGCAGCTTGACACCGATTGTTTCTGTCTTCTTGGCCAACGTTTTGACCTTGCGCTGGGGCTCATCACCTTCGTGGTTGTAGATGATCTCCTCGTCAATACCAATCGTGATCTTGCTGATAGTCACTTTCCGAGCTTTGCCCATCCAATCCTGGTTTGGAGATAATTTGACATAGACGCTGACAGGATCAAGGGGCCCGTAAGACCACCGTGGGAGGGATATGGCCAATGTCACCAGATGATCTGATACCCGCTCTGCCGACTCCGGGCGATTATACATGCCGAATGTGGATAATGTGTCGTAGCGGGCGATTGGGACCGGAAATGTGTACTTTCGCTGTTCGGACTGGCCTTGTTGAACCATCACCACCATCTCGTAGTATGTCTCGGCGGTGCGACTGGGAAGCTGTAGGCTAGCCGGGGGTACTCGTCTTGAGGCGTCGCGTCCACCGCGGCCGAATGGGATGAATAGCACGAACGGCAAATCCATGGCTATGACTTCCTCGTATTCCTTTCCGGCAGGACATCGAAATAATAGCATCTCCTTGCCCACGATATCTGTGATCTCCTTGCGAGGCGGAGCAAGGCGTTTCTTGGTGACGGAGTCGGCCGACGGGTGGATCGTTTCTCGGCGCAGGAGGGATATGGTCACCAGGGACACATTGACCGGAGCTGAAATGCCGACACTCGGCCTGATCTCGACTTTACCCTCGACTCGGGGCTGGGAAGGGTCAGTCACTTGAGCTGCAATCGGGTGGGCAGGGGTTGAGCCCGGTGCTAGCAGAGAGGCACAGAGAGCGCTTACCATCGTGGCCGAGATACCTGGGTATCCGATCAGAAAATTGCCATTTGCCGGGCCTGAAACGCGCACGAAGGCGGCCATCTCGATAGCACAGTTCCCGCACCACCATGGACACGCGGAGGGGGCGCAGGGAAGTTGTGGGGAGTCTGCGACCTCGGCGGAGACCCTGTCGCACGGTTCATAACCCGCGAAAGCTGGATGTAGGCCCCGACGATGTGAAAGGGAGGGAGGTTAACAAGGTAGAGAGAGCTGTCGGATGTGGGGAGTGAGAGTGTACCTAGCTAAGGGTGAACCAGCCCCATCTGCCGAGCCCACCTTGAGCCTCGATTGCATCACCGACTCTTCAGCTCCGTGATGAACACCCTACAGCCTAAGGTGGTCTACACATGTTCCCGGGCCGGTTTGAAACCGTCGTTGCTTTATTACTTCTAAAACGGTCTCGCGTGCTCACTTTACTTGTACAATGCACCAGCACTGGAATGCGCTCAGTCCACAATTACCTGGTGCTGGTGCTGGTGCCGACTACCTAGAGTAGGCCATAGCACATAATTAACAATCATGAAAGGTGCCTGAACTCCGTGTATATATCGATCTCAACGATCAGTAAACAAAGGTACACACCCGTCACTATTAAGGCACAGTACCATGGGCGCCCAGCGTGAGAGCCGGCGGGCAAACTTTTTGGTTGCACCTGGCAACCACAATGACATCGCCCGCTCCACCAACCCGCTTCCCCAACCTCCGCCATCGACACCACTTCGATCTCGACAGCCATCGCACTGCTCACTATCGCCATGCCTCCTCGTCGCCGTGCCGCTGGCGCTGGCGCACAGTCGACTCTCTCGTTCGGCAACCAGTCCCGAGTGACCAAGCCCTCGACCACTCCCGCAACTCTCCACAAGACCAAGAACCTCGATTCTCCGCTACCCACCGACAAGTCTGCATCGGGCACTCCGGAGCCCCAGCAGGTACTTGCCTCCGAGCCGACAAAACCGCATGTCGCCGAGCTGGTAGTGCAGCAGCAGGCCGCCAAGGAACTCGAAGAACCACGATCGGCGGAAGATAAGCGGGCCCTGAAAGTCAGCAGGCAGGATCTACAGAAATACTGGAACAAGGAGGAGCGAAGTCGCAAGGCGCCTCGAGGTGAATACAGAATGTAGACTACGTGTGACAAGACACCGACTGACTTCTTCCTACAGTCCACCAGACGGACCTTTCCTTGGAAGAAAAGATCCTGCGTCACTTTGATCTTTCCAGCCAATATGGGGTATGTTCCAGATCTTTTTCACTTGCTCTACACATGCTAATGACTCTTCAGCCGTGTATCGGCATCGCCCGACTCAAGCGCTGGCGCCGTGCCAACATGCTGAAGCTCAATCCACCCATCGAGGTTCTCGCCGTTCTCCTCAAAGAGCAGAATGTGAATGAGCGGGCCCGTATGGATGAATTGCTCTCGTAATAACTCCGGAGGGCCGAAATATTTGCATGTATGGCGTTGGAATTTGTATTTTTAGCCATGAGAAACGAGTATATCATTTGATTCCAACTGTTTTCTGCATATATCCAATCGTCACTACGTCATTTTTACGGGAACCCCGTTATATTGGCCCACGGCTTTAAGATCCCTGAACGACACTCGGATTGCTTGTATCAGGCATTTCAGGCCATCTATAGGTTCAGGAAAGACATTCGGCGCGTTATCATCTTGAATCGTACGGCCCACGCAGTTTGGAATCAATAACAATTGAATTATACTAGTGGACCCAAGTTCCAGTCCTGGACAGGCTGCTATGTACCGACATAGCTCTTCTTCCACCGCCATCCAGCTACTGTCTATATGTATCTGGATGGTGAACAGCTTAATGGTACTGGCTATGCCTTGCATGGGGTGTTAGAAACTATTGTTTATCTGAACCATTTCTAAGTAGGATTCAGTCGGAGACTTAAAACACGTTTGTGATGGATATATATCCGCCGTCGGTTTCAAGAAAAAAGACTTTCCAAGGCTAGCTTTCTAATTTGCTTCAGTTTATCAGTCTGCTAAGAGCTTTACACTTCTGGAGAACGCGAGAAATACAGAGAATCAACATAGGAAAGGATAGGAGGTGGTCGCGTGAAGAATAGGGATAATCCAGAGTCCCGCAGGACAGCAGGTTCCAAACAGCCCCCTCGTTAAAACCGAATTCCCTTCCGACGCATATCTCGACAAATTTACTTTTAAAACTACAGTGTGCAACTAGCAGGAAGACTGTGCAGTAATGTCTCCCGATGGGGGTGGTCAACCCAATCTCCGTCCAAGTGAGATCTATATGATCACCGAGTTGAGCAACAAAAACTCCCATGGCGAAGCACAAACAAGCTTCCTACACAATATCTGACACTGGCAACGAAAAAGGCCAGAATTCGTGGGGTTTCCTGCACAAAGATAAATAATGTCGTTGTCTCATATCTTTGCGCCGCGAGAGACTGACCCACCGACTACGAACGTGTCTTGAACAGACTACGGAGTAGTGAGTGCTCGGTGGGCGCATAGTATAAGTGTACTCGATCGAACCCAGTGCCTATTTGGTCAAGACCATTTTTGTGCAGGGAACGCTTAAAATTGCGACGAAAGTCAGATGTCTTCGGCCCCCACAGTAAAGTGGGAACCGTTGGTTCATCGTCCCCAGGTTCCACAACCCCGAGATGAGCGACCATCCAATCATTTCCACTACGAGACATTTGATACGTCCCAGCCTCCCGAGCCCGGGAGGCAAAAGGAGGCAAAGGAACAGAGCAGGCCTTGATTTCCCTCAGGTGAAGTCTCGACCAATGGTCTCCAACGGCTGGCTCTGCCTTTTGCCTTGATCCCCACTTGTCATTACCGACGCCCGGCCCCATTTCGAAATATATTAACCCGCCTAAGATCTAAGCCCAATGCAGTTCTTGCTGACATGCCTCCGTAACTACAGCCGGCGGATCCAGTGGCGGTCTTTAGTGTGTAACCTCGCAGAATCATGCCATGTGATCGCCCTAGGGCTGCTTTTCGTCCCTGACTCGCTCCCCATGCCAGCTCGCTTCCAAGTTTGCTGCCCCCGGCCTTTCCGGCCGGCAGGTTTCTGACATGGCCGTGCCCATCTATCCAACCCCTGATTACATACTGTCGTTGGGTACGCCACCGTGTCTCACTTGGTCGGATCCAATGGCTGCCCAGCCCTGGCACGAGCCTTGGCACCTTATCCCCCGGGTGACTCCTACTGGCATAGTCCACCGTCCAACAAGATTGCATGGTCCAAACTCAGGAGTCATAGTTCAGCCCGCGATGATCGTGGCAACCATGCAGGTACACCCTTCCGTAGATCGAACGATAACCGAACAACGCCGGTTCCGTGGTTGATGGGTGAATCTAACCGCATTCCGGGGAACCGTGGAAGATCGCGAGTCAATGGGCCTACGAATTTAATCCCGCGTTCCCACCCCGACTAGTCAGTGACAGACAAGAGCGGAAACCCTAAGTCCCTGAAGAGATTTTATCAAATCCTCAAAATTGGCAATTGGTGCATCCGCCAAACGGCCAGGGCTTGGACCGCTTAATTCGATTATCCCTCAGACCGTGCACGAGTGTAAATCATCACCACGGTCCCTGCACGTCTTGACGATCAAAAGACTGATGGCGCTGATGGGCTTGAGCGGGCGTCGGATCAAGTTCTTCTTTGGGGATAGTCGATGCTACGCTACGTCAAACCCTGACCAAGCCCCGTCGCAGGGTCAGGGTCCACTCGCTTCCCCGGATCTGCTTTCGGCCTGGGCGCAAAACATGGACTCCATATCCGCGCGGCCCACACCCTGAAAGGTTCTCGAAGACCACTTCCATGGCTGGTCTCCGCGCTCTTTGTGACAGAGCAATCCTGTTGCCTCGTTATGGTGTATGCCACACCTGGGTGCCGTACGCCGACGCAGTTACCCCGTGGCGCGTCCGATCTCATTACGTACAGAGCGCTCTACTGTATAGGGTGGGGATCTGCACCGTTGGTGTCTACATGTTACTGTACATGTGCGACTCCACATCGTGTCGAGTGCATCTCGACCGCCGAGAACTCCTCCACGGGGTCTGGTTCGCGGGCTTGACACGGTGGAAATGAAAGCGCAGCTACATGCCGTGCGACTAGCTGGAAATAGAAACCGCGCCATTTCTTGATCGGTGACATCCGCTTCGCCTCTCTGGTCTCGCCTAGCCCCGACTTGGCACGGCGAACATAACGCACTTCATGCGGAACTACCAAAAAGGGACGAAATTTCATTTGTCGCTCTGGTCAATTGGCTGCAGGTGCTCAGGATCCGCCGTCAGCCATCCGGCCTTAGCTCTGTAATGAGCGTCCGGGGACCCCAGTCTGCTAATGAAAGATCTGAGTCAACCGCGGCCATGGGCGAGTCTCGACGCGAGCCGTGGGCTAGAAGACACATGTGATGGGGGCAATAATTAGTTTGACTCTGACAGGGTTCCACCAAGGTGGAGTGCTAGACAGGAGAGCGAATCTTATAAAGCCTCCTCTATGTCCTGTCCAACCCCAATCTTTCTCTCTTCCACCACACACGCCTCGCTCGTTCTAGCCTTGACTGTCGTTTCCTGCACGCTCATATTTTATCATTACTCAATCATCAAAATGAAGTTCTCCACCGCTGTCGTTGCTCTCGTTGCTGCCGGCCTGGCCAACGCCCAGCTTCCCAACGTCCCCAAATGCTCGGTGGGTATCCTGCCTGTCACCCGTCGTATTCGTCTCTGACATAGCCTCTAGCTCGACTGCTTCGTCAATGCTCTGACCTCTGATGGCTGCTCGGGCCTGACCGACTTCGCCTGCCACTGCCAGAAGCCCGCTCTTGTCAGCGACATTACTCCCTGCGTCAAGAAGGCTTGCGACGTCGCGGACCAGATCTGTATGTTCCATCAATACCCACCCGTCACGACTCTCACTAATCACCGCTGCAGCCGTTTCCAACGCCGTTGTCGCCCAGTGCTCCTCTGCCGGCCACCCCATCTCGGTTCCCCCGGTTGTGACCACCACCTCTTCTGCCCCCACCTCTTCCAAGAGCAGCAGCGCCCCTCCGAGACCAGCGCTACCGCCACCGGCACCGGCACCGGCAGCAGCAGCAGCAGCAGCAGCAGCAGCAGCAGCGCCAGCAGCGGCAGCAGCGAGTCCTCCTCCGCTCCTTGCACCTCGATGACTAGCTCTTCGCCCGCTGGCGCTTCCACCCCTGCCTCCGGCTCCACCCCCGCTGGCACCTCGACCCCTCTGGGCAGCAAGACCGGCTCCAGCCCCGGTTCCACCAGCTCGCCTGCCTTCAACGCCGCTGTCGGCATCAAGGGTAACATGGCCGGTGTTGCCGCTATTGCCGCTGCCGCTGCCTATGTTCTGTAAATATAGTTAATCTAATGTGGCACCGTGAGTCGCCTCGATGTTGGCGTTGGCGTTGACTCGGGCTCTATTGAGCTTGGGTCACCCAGCGAGCAGCCAGCAGTCGGTGGGGGTTTGTTGCCTTTCTTTGATGTAACAATGGTACAGTGTTCACTTACGGTGGAGGGCTGTTATATAGTGCAATTGTGTATAGTTGAGATGCTTAATATGAATATTGGTTGATGTGGAGTGATCCTTGAGAAACCGTAGTCAATTCTTAGTACAACCCTGGCGAGGACTACTACTGAATTATCTACCTATATCTATAAGAAATTGTAGCCAGCTGACCGAACTCAACAGCCCTTAGGCCTGTTGACAGTTGCTAGCAGTTGCCTTGAAAGATTTATCGGCCTTCTGTCTGCATATGTGCCATCGATGGGTTGGCTATTTATGATTGCCCCACGGCTTCTTCTCTGTTCCCTTCCAGCAGGCTTCGGAGCGTGGGCGTCCAAGAAGGCTGGGGCCGCATGTGGCCTGCTGTAACCGGAGCGGACGACGGACGTAGGAACTAGTTCTAAACCTCCAAGTTTCGCGCCTTGCTTATCCTGAGTCTACATGGTCACGGCTACGTAGTTCCGTCGTGATTAAGAATACCATTGGAGACAGGGAAGACCGTTTGGGGGCCGAGGTTGTTAACTGTAAGGTAAGAGTTAGAGTTAGTGGGTCGGATGGGTTACGACCATGGATCCGTTTCTAGGTTCCCAAACTGATAACCGTTGACGGACAGCTGGCGCCGGTAGTTTTCGCCTGGGGTGCTTTTGGTAAAATTGCCGACGATTCCGCTCATCGGAACATCCCAACCATCTGGAACGTCCAGGCGGAAGGAGGCGGTATTGAGCTCGACACCTGCCTGTGGCAAGCTATTCTCCACAGGGTTCGATCTGGTCCATTCCGATGTTGGAGGGCTGGGGTAGTGGTATCCTTGTCTCTCGGCACACATGCAAGCTTCATTCAAAGGGCCACGAACTAGATCCCGATACTGCTCTCCACCAAGATTACCTGTCAACTTCCATAAAATGTCAGATTGGTCGTGCCCGGAGATACCGTGGTTCAGAAAGCCTCTGGGGAATTTGATCACATCTGTACCGAGGGCTTCCTCGGCTTGGCCCATGTGATCAATCAAACGGAATGCCCAAACCCTGTGCCGCCAGATATGTTCAACCAAACATTAGACTCTTGGGCATTGGCAGTGGAATGGCCGCGATAAAGCAGGGATCCTGTATGATATCCGTAATCCATTGAATACAGACTAGAAGGGGTATTCAATTGGCGTGGATTGTGCGTCGACCTCATCGTGCAAGGCACCCAACGCGAGTCGTCCTGTAAAGGCTGGATCCAAGGTAGAGAATCGCGACCGTTGAGTGCCAGGTAGCCTCCCAGCTGAGGAACAGTGACTCTTCCGGTACTCGCCGCGAGCTTCAGACGGTACTGCGTTTTGTCGGTAGAAAAGGTTACCGGAATGCTCATCCCCGCATTCGCGATTCTAGCCTGATGTGTAGAGCCGGGGCGGGCTTTGATCTCATTCAAGGAATATCTCGTTTGTTCGCCGGGGCGCCGGGAAACCTGAAGTTTTCTAAAACTTTAGGCAACAATAAGCATCACCTTGGAGACTTTACAACCTTATTCGTATTTTCCTGGAGCCAAATAAGCTCGACGGGTTACCCCACCTTTTGCTGAATTACATCGTGGCTAGCTCATCTCACGTTGTCATGCCTTGCAGCACCGCTCGAGATGGAATTTCACTTCAATATCCTTTAGGAATTTTAAATAGCCGGTCATGTAAACCCTCTCATCATTCACACCGCTCCTCCGGTTTGAACCCGGCCAAGTAGCGATGGCGCTCGAAGCCCCGCTTGTTCCAACAATTGCCCATATTTAGTTCCTGAATGAGCGCAGAAATCCCTAGCTCCGTAGATAAACATTTCAAGGTATTGTCTGTGTCTGGTTTGGTTGGAACTTGGCTTTCAAGTCTTTCAACGCGACATGCGCCAACCCCTCGATGTTCCCTGCATTCATAAACTCCATCACGCTTATCTCCAGTCCCAAGGCCTGAGTCCACCAGTTGCGAATCTCAATTACCACAAGTGAGTCAATTCCCATAGCTGCCACTGACTTGGCTGTATCTATTTCTTCGTCCGGCTTGAAGAGAAATGAAACAATCTTGCGACCCAGCTCGTCTCTTAATAGGGCGTAACTCTCCGATTGGTCCAGGATCATCGGATCACGAGATACATCCGCCAAGAACGTCTGGAGTCCGTTGTCAACATTTCCTCGCGCTTGCGGGGCCTCTTGCGCATTGTGGAAGAGCCTCATGCGTAGGTCGCGCTGGAAGAAACCCGGTAGACGAGCTAGTGGGGTCCCAGGGTTGGGCGCTAGGCCGACTATCACATCACGTCCACTGCATGCCAACTTGACGGATTCTATCACGTCGTTTTCTTGGATGGCTTGGCCACTCCAAACAGCGAGCCCACGCTCTGTCATTCGGCCGCTCTCAGAGACGTAGCCGATGTCATTGACGATCCCTAGGTCGATGACGGATGCCGGGAGGCCAATTGATCGCCGGTAGTGCACAAAGGCATCCAGGAAAGTGTTGGCAGCGGCATAGTTGGCTTGGCCTGGCTGACCGAGAAGTCCGGACAAGAGCTACTCGGGAACTAGTATAACTACTGTATATAAAAATCTTCGTTGTCCACTGCCACCTAGGCAGGTTCAGCCGTGGTGGAGAACGGAGCCACGGAGTTGATTTGACTCGCTGATTGGCACTCGAGTATTGCTCGAAGGGAAAAAAGATGTGAACTGAGTTTGCGGGTTATTTGCGTATAAATTACAATACAGTACTGTATAGGAATGTCCAGCACAAGGTATGTAACCTTATTTTAGGCCAAGTCTTACACGACGACTAGTTTGAGTAAAACCTATATCACTTTTAGTACCTACGATCGTACCGAGGGTTACGGTGGAGATTGGGAGGGCGATACAAATTCTGATAATACGTGCTAGCTATAAGGCTACGACTTTAACTCCCCTTAGCCAGTCAAGAGCTATGATAACGACGTAGCCAACCTTAAGGGTACTAGTACCTAAAAGGGGTCTATTCAGATCTAGTACCTTGCTAGATGAAACTGAGACTGCCTTATTCGATATGTCCACCGATACCTTCGTCGGTGATAGCACGAAAAATATTAACGTATTCTCGTTGCTGATTCTGTTGATTGTCTCGGCAGTCGAGGAAATAGATAAGGTGGAAAGTATTGCGATAGGGATTAGCGCGGAAGAGAAGAAGCTAAAGCCAAGAAATTATAATTGGTTTTGTGACCGCAATTCTACTCCTTATTTCCGTCGCTAGTGAGGTCCTTAGCGTAGTCAATAGATTAGCCGAGACTACCGCCTTGCTCAATATCGCCGGTATAGCCACGGATGTCGGCTTAGTGTGTCCCATCCTTTGTGGCCAACCTGAAGGACGTGGACGAGTTGACCCACCGCAGAAACGGGAATGACATCACCCAACAAGGTTCAACAACATTCCAGGATCTATCTCATGGAACAGACACTTCAACTGAAAATATTGCGCGACACTATCCTCCATAGAAACCCTCCCCCCTATCCACGCTGTTGGTGAACCTGCCCCCTGCCCCCTCCCCCCGCATCCTATCTTATCTCATGCGGTCCACCGCCATCATGTCCGCCATCAAGAACTCCAAGTTCAGCCGCTTACCGCGAGCGATGTCTGGACCGCTGAAATGCCCGTTGGAAGTGAGTTTCAGTGCTATGCGATCTTTCGCAGGAGAATAAGAAGCTAAATGGAGACCCAGGGCCCAGCTCTTCTCCACTCGTCGCGCTTCAGCAAAGGCTCTGCCTTTCCGGATGATGAGCGAGCCGCTTTCAAGCTCCATGGACTGCTCCCGCCTAATGTCCAGACCCTGGATGAACAGGTGGTGCGGGCTTACCAGCAGTACAGCAGCAGGGACAGTGACTTGGCCAAAAATACCTTCATGGCAAGCATGAAGGCGCAGAATGAAGTACTGTACTACAAGGTATGTAGCTCCTTCCTGAACGGGTGTACTTATCGAGAAATAGGAGTAACATATGCAAATAGCTGTTACAAAATCACCTCAAAGAGATGTTTCCGATCATCTACACTCCCACCGAAGGCGATGCTATCCAGAACTACTCCCGGTTGTTCCGAAAGCCCGAGGGGTGTTTCTTGAACATCAGGGATCAGGATTCCATTGATGAGTCTCTTTCTAACTTCGGAGGTGCGGATGAAGTTGATTATATCGTTGTGAGCGATGGAGAAGAGGTGAGACAGTCCACCGGTGCCGAAATAACAAAGGCTCACATGACGTCAGATTCTGGGTATCGGGGATCAAGGCGTTGGCGCCATCCTCATCTCAGTTGCCAAGTTGGTCATCACCACCCTATGTGCCGGTATTCATCCATCGCGCCAGTTACCGGTGGTGCTTGATTGTGGAACAAACGTACATTTCCCTGGTACCATGATGAAACATCGCTAATTACGATTGCGCAGAACCAAGAGCTTCTCAATGATGACCTTTATTTGGGCCTGCGACAGCCCCGTGCAAGAGGGGAGGAATATGATGAGTTTGTGGACAACTTTGTCAAGGCTGCGCGGAAGCGTTTCCCAAAGGCTTACATCCACTTGTAAGTTGCTTTTCATTCATTTTGAAGGGTCTTGAATCTAACATATACAGCGAGGACTTTGGTCTCCGAAATGCAAGAAAAATCCTGGACAAGTATCAATCTCAAATTTCCTGCTTCAATGATGATATCCAAGGCACGGGTTGTGTCACACTGGCAGCAATGACGGCAGCCTTGCATGTCAGCAATATCAAGCTGGACGAGGTCCGCGTTGTGATATTTGGTTCGGGAACAGCTGGCACTGGCATTGCAGACCAGATTGCGGATACTATCGCGACGGAGACACACAAATCAAAGACCGAAGCATCGAAGCAAATATGGTATGTCCTAACAATTTCCCTGGCATGCTATGGACTAACATCTCTGTTCAAGGTGTATCGACAAACCAGGTCTTCTCGTCAAATCGCTCGGAGACAGCTTGACTCCAGGTCAAGTTCCCTTCGCAAGGGAAGACGACGAATTGCCAGAGGGGAAACAGCGTGATCTACTCTCGGTAGTGCAACACGTCAAACCCCATGTCCTTATTGGAACATCTACAAAGCCCAAGGCATTCACGGAGGAGATTATTCGGGAGATGGCCAAGCATGTGGAACGCCCCATCGTGTTCCCTCTGAGCAACCCAACACGCCTTCACGAGGCTCAACCAAACGATCTCTACAAATGGACAGACGGGCGAGCCCTCGTTGCTACAGGTAGCCCATTCCCCCCTGTGGAATATGGAGGTGCCAAATACGAGATTGGTAAGAGTCAATCAGATCGTCAACACCGTGACATCGAGCTAATGTATACAACAGCGGAGTGCAACAACTCGACTTGTTTCCCCGGAATCGGTCTCGGAGCAGTTCTATCGCGAAGCCGCCTTCTCTCAAAGAAGATGCTTGTAGCAGCCGTTGAAGCGCTGAAGGCACGGTCACCTGCTCTTGAAGACCCCAACGCACCCCTTCTACCCGATGTTGAGGATGTACGGGAAATCAGTGTGGATATCGCTGCCGGGGTGATTAAATGTTCTGTCGAGGAAGGACTGGCGCAGGAAGAGGGAATTCCTTCAGACGATGCCGAATTAAGGGAATGGATTCAGGCGCAGATGTGGGAAGCTGTGTATTACCCCTTGGAAAGGGCAGATTAGGCCGAATCGCTTTCGCGGTGATTGGATGATCTAGGGCAACATTTACCTGGGGGTTCGTGACTTCGCTACTTGTGACATATCTTTATCCTCTAGTTCCGCAATCCGTCATGTTGCCGTCAGAAGGGATTCCCTCTTCCTATGCCAGCCTATCGACGGCGAAGATAGGTAGTTGAGACACAAATCGTCACACCGGAAAAGAAATGTTCAATGTAATTACTTTCAGGTTCAAGTTCAATCAAGTTCACTAGAACAAGTGTAGGGGAAACGAAGCGAAGAGTTGTAACAGGCAGACTTGATTATGCAAAGTACTAAATATGGCAAAATAACATCTGTACAAGAAAGAAAGACGTGTATCTGCGGGGACCGCCCAATCCACCATCCATAAACCTGCCCCACACTCCCAAGTTAGAGATGTAGATGCATTATGTTACACGAATATAGGGGACCGATATAGAGAATAAAGGTCTTCAACTCGAGCGGACGCTAAAATTAAACATGATATGTCATTCATGGAACCCATAGCCGCATGAACCCACCGACTTCCTGTCGACAAGTCACACAACTGCCAAAGTTATTCATGGCTAGACTGACCCGGCAGTCCTCGCAGATGCAGAGGCAGCGACAAGGCCAGGTGATGATGGACCGTGGGCTCGTCTGGCAGACAACGCATGGTGGGCCATTCTCGCCTAGACCCATGGCACCAGACTCCCAGGTATTGGGATCAGAGCTGGAAGACTTCTCCTCAAAGTCAGCGCGGCGGGAAAGGATCAGCTGTTCGAGCATCTCAGACTCTTCTTCGGCAGAGGGTCTTCGATGTTCCGCGTGGGCATGTGTGACAGCTGGATGGTGCAAACGGGAAGACAGTAGGACACGAGATCTCTCCCGCTCTACTTGCTGCTGGTACTGGCTGCGAGTCATGATTCGACCGGACCCTTGGCCTGGACTGAGATGTGCCGCAAGAATTCGTGCCTCTTCTCTGGTTTCACGATCGCGAGGGTCGAGCAGACGAGCGAAAGTGCTCAGGTCCATGAGAGCATCTTGCTGAGGTGTGCTCTCCCGAGAAAATTGAGGATATGGGTCCGACTGCGTTGGAGTGCGACGACCATCCGATGGATAGTCCTCCCATTCCGATTCTGATGCATTGGTGGACATGGAAATAACGCTCGTCGTATCATCGTCTTCACTAGGAGGGCTGTAATCAGGCGTGTTGTCCTGGTTACCCCAAGAGCCACCCGCTTTCCACCACGCATATAGCTTCTCGTCCATTCGGCGTTCATCTGGGCCCTCCCAGTCCTGTTGACTAGAACGTTCACGTTTCCGCATTTCCAGCTCAACATCGAACTCGTGGTTATCGGGAAGCTCAAGTTCGCCTTCATCGGTGAGAATCCAAAAGTCCAACGATCCCGGAGATCCTCTTCCAGGCCTAGCGTTGTCCTTCTTCTTTCCAACCAAGTGCTTCAGCCACTGGGGCCGGTAGCTGACTCCTAAACGATCAAGGGCGCGGTTGAATCCGTATGCGATCCACCGGGCAACAAGCCAGAAGATAGAACGAAGGAAAGAGATACCAAGCCATAAACGGACTGATGCCCGCACAGCACCGACACCTCCAAGCTCACCTTGAGGTCGCATCTGCCGGGATGCATTCTTGGGCTTTTCCAGTTTCTTCTCCCGCTTGTATCCGCTCTCCCATACATCAGGTCGGTCTGGAATTTCAAAGCTGGCAAAGCCCACGGGTTCGAAAGGAGTCCCCTCGGCCTGGTTGGGCCAATTCCCGTGGGTTGAGTTTCTCCGACGAGAAGCTTCGATCTCAGCAAGTCGGTCTTTTTCGAGCCAGGTCATCTGCCTTGCGACGACGGCTTTGCCTTCGTTCAAGAAGACCGCTTCACTCGCGGCAGTCAATGCGACATATCCAATCCGAAGTAAAGTGGTATAGAAATCTTCGTGTCTGTTGACGCGGATGCTCCGGATCTGGTTGGAACCTTGCATGTTCTCGTGAGCCAACGCGAATCGTTCCCGAAGAGATGCCGGCTGGCCTTCTTCAAAGGGCAAAGAAAATGCGGTGACAGTCAAAGCTAGTCCATAGATAACGAAGCATGTAAAAATGCCGAAGAGGACCAGAAGATGAGGAATGAAGCCAACGATGCAAACTGTGGGGAATCGAAGCACACCCGTCTCGGTGCTTACTGGAGGGCCACTTTCGAATCCCCATGACATGGCTGCCATGAAGCAGAACCCCCAAAGGGCAGTGTTGAAGAGGCGGAATCGACTCTGTTTTCCAAAGACATCGAGTATGTGTGAAGAGAGGCTGTTTAAGCACGAAATCAGAACGATGAGCAGGAGCTCTGGGGTGGCGTTCATTCTATCGAGGACTTGCGCCCTTGTAAGAAGTTGGAAAGGGGATGAACTATCCCGGGATTCACCATCGTTGAGAGGGCTTTGCTTGGGGAGACCGAACAGCCCAAGTCCAATCGATTTACCGATCATAGACTCGGCTTCGGCAAAGGCCAGGGAGTGCTCAAAGATTGACATTCCAGTCTCCGTCATGACGGGCCGACCCTGTAGAGCGCAAGAAAGAGTTTCAACAAAATGGCTTAGACAAAGCTGTAGGAAAACCGGCCACAGGAGAGAAAACGAGCCGAACGGGACATCGGGACTGCTCGCTGCCCTTCCCATCTTCACGGCACTGCAGGCCTTTTCATCGGTCTCCCATGGTAAAAGAATGGATGCAAGCGAGTGGAGAGCACCCCCACCACTGGCATAGTCGAAGCTCAACGATTTCCCTGGCTTTCCATATCGCATGGAGGAGTAATCCGGAGACGTCTGGCATCGGATACCACGCAGTAGGGACAGTATTTGTGAGACAAAAAGGAGTATTGGAATAATGCGTAGAGCGAGTCGTCTCTCCCATCCTAATCTAAGATGTCTTCGGGAGGATGCATAGATAGTGACGCGGTTGAGGATGAGAGCCTCGATCAGACACGCGAAAGACCAGACGCTGGTCAAATAACCAAAGAAGCCCCCAACTTTCCGCATCGTCTGCAGAAACTCGGTCACATACCAGCTGTTACCTTGTCCGACCGTGTGAGCAACGCCCTCACGCGCCATGTTGGCCGTTGCTGCCACAGCCTCGCCTGCGAGCCCTGTATCACCTGTCGTTGAAGGGCCACCCCATAAGTTCACGGTAACGTCTTCTAATCCGGCGAGTCTTGCAATGTGTCGAGGAACGGTGCGGAAGGCGAAGGTCTCGGCGCGGTGTAAGGCGCGAATGGGGAAAGTAAGCAGTTCGAGGGGCGAGGATGGGATAATCGACTTTCCGGATGTCGCAGAGACGGTCGTATTGATACTCTGGGCGAGCGACGCGGAAGTGCTCGGCATGATTGACGGGTCGACGACACCGGACATGTTGGGCGTCGACACTTCCTCTATCAGGAACCACTATCAACGACCCGGGGAAGGTGAAATGGGGACGCCCCCACGCCACTTTTGATATTGGCAAAACCGAGGCAAAGGGTCGATTTGGTCCGAAGGGTCAGGTACTTGAGATTTGAATAGGTTACAGTGACCACAGCTCCTGGGACTTCCATCCCGTCAAAGAGGGAAAGTGAAGGGTGATGATCGTCGAGGACGAGCGGGCGGACCCTCCAGCTGAGTCAGCACAGACCGAGGTCCAGCATCTATGGACACTTCTATAGCGACATCCGGTATAATGAAACTAGCGCGGGAAATAAGGGTATAAATAGACCTCTTTCTCGAATTTTAGTTATAAGACCTTGGTCTGTAGCGAAAGCAAGATTCGAAGCCTTCGGGAGGAGAAAAGGACAATTTATCTCATTCTGTGGTGGCATGGTGACAGGGACTAAATAACGTGGTGGTGGGGATAGACGAAAACCAATCGAGGACCGAGGATCGAAGGGGTATAGAGATGTGAAGAAAAGAAGAGAGGAAGTAGATAAATCTGGCGTAATACCTTGATAACATACTAAGTATCTACATAGACGGATGAGGTTATAGCCGAATCTCCAGGGCTGTTTATCTAGGTTGTGTAATCCCTAAACACGTCCATCGTGGAGAAGAACATGCGTTGCTGGGGATCTATCCCCAGCAGCTTACATTCATGCTGCAAAAGCACGTCTTCCTTGGTGGACGCCGAAGCCATGACCCATTTGAAAATAAGTCTAGGCTTGGCTATCTGGATTGTGTTTGATCTGCCATCTGGTTTAGACCATTCGCCCACGGTGTTATCAGGTCGAATGAATGATGCTTCGATGGCTTGGCCCGGTCGTTGCTCACAGCTCGGGAGCGAGTAAATTGTTGAATATGCTGTATTCTATTTGGCAATAGTACATCCCACAGCAAAAACGCTGTGGCCCGGTCCGTTTGTCCAGGTTGATAACTCCCCATAAATTCCGTTGCAAATATTTTGATCGTCTCGTTGCGCCGTGATTCATTGCATAATATAAACAGGATGCGGGTGCTGTCGTGTATCCCGGTTAGAAATCGGCCTTTTCGAGAGAAGAGGGGCCAGCTGCACCTACACAGCAATCAAGTATCCAAGTAGTCAGCCGCCATCAGTAGCTCCAGACACAACTCGGGTGGGATATCCATGTCCGGGACATTAGCCTGATCTTTGTGCTTCTCGTTGTAAAAAAAGTATTCGCAGACTTTCTCCAGGACGACGCCACTGCAGAGGAAGTTGGTGTTAGGAGGATGGACGAGGATACCACAACAATGAAATGGGGATTGCTCGGAGAAGGACGTACGTCAAGGTCTCCAGGACACAGCGGCCGGTCAAAGCCTCCGAGAACTTGCCTATACACCACCAGATCAATCAGCGGAGTTCACGCAATCGAGCAGATCCACGTACTCGCAGGGTCCAGCATGCGCCGAATGGTGCCAGAGATGCAAGCGGTACTGCGCGGCAGGATGAACTCGAAGCCGTCGCATGAGACTAATGTCACGTATTCGGAGGTTGAGTCCGCCATGGTGAAGCGCGCGTCACGTTGAGGAAGTCGTGTAGATGGCGGAGTCGAAGATTCGAAGGAAGCATCCGCGTGGCCCGTGCGAGCTGATAAGATAAGCACTCGGCGCCGATGCTTTCCCTTCCTTTGCATTTACTTTTCCCATTTTATTTACATCACTGTGCATCTGCCTCCGATCGATGTATTGGTAGGCAATGACCGCCTTTCTCGTTTCTACGGCCCGACTGCGGATGCCAGCAGCATCCCTTTTCACAAGGCCCGTCAATGACATCAGATCAGGATTCCGCGCGAGTTCAGCAACCAGTCGATTCTACTTTCAAAAGACCAATAATAGTACGACTTCCTGTCATTCAGGAAATCGTCTCTCTGGCCGTACATGTATGGTCACAGGAGGCACGTCGGGAATCGGCTTTGCCATTGCCGAAAGGTTCTTGCAAGAAGGAGCTACATCCGTCATTCTAGTCGGCAGGTCGCAAGAGCGTCTCCAAGCTGCAGCTGGGCGCCTTGATGTCTCAAACGATCATGGAAACAGCATCACAGGCACATCGAACAAAGTGCGCCTGCTTGTCGGCGATGTAGGCGATATCGGATCCTGGAAGCATGAGTTGGAGAAAGAAATGGTATGAGCCCTCTTATTTCTCCGGAGTCATGAGATCTAACCATCCGCAGGCCAATGTGGATATCCTTGTGAATGCAGCTGGCATCTCCATCAATAACATTCTTCCCAGATCCGAACTGGATGATATCTCCCAGGTCCTGCGCACGAATCTCGAAGGTGCAATGCTTACCTCTCGGGCACTGGTGCGCGCCACAATCCGCAATAGAGTGCGCAACCGCAATTTCGCCCCAGACACTAAAACTCCATCCAAGTGTATCATCAATATCTCTTCCTTACTTGCACTCAAGGCTGGAACCGGTGCTGTTCCGTACGCTGCATCCAAGGCTGGTCTCTTGGGTCTGACACGGTCATTGGCTGTCGAGGTGTCTGCATCACTGAAGGATGTGGTGATTCGATCGAATGCCATCGTGCCGGGGTACATCGACACACCGATGATTACGGGTAAGCAGCAATCCACACCCCTTTGATGAGTTACCACTGACAGTATCCAGACTTTACTCCTGGCGAAGTCGACAGACTCAAAGCCATGATCCCTCTCCATCGATTCGGAAAGCCCAGTGAGATAGCGGACGCAGCTTTCTTCCTGGCAACGAATGAATATGCCAATAACTGCATTCTCAATCTAGACGGTGGACTAGGCGCTGTCTAGATGACCGTTTCAATGACCCTCTAAATGACCATCTTGTACTTTTATCATTGACTTTACGATCTCTTTTTGGTTTCGAGCCTCATAATACCTAAGCAAAGATGATCTGCAATCGTGAATTCTGGTCTTAAGTCGGAGTAGCTTGCATGTTTGCTATGATACAAATAAGATGGGGTAGTAAAACGTTGTCAAATCGTGTGCAGCTCTATTTTGGAGAAGTCAAAGCACCTGTGCACCCATCTGCCGCGGTTTCGCTCTAATCGTCGATCAAAATGGCTCCATCGTCGTCATCCAGGACGATCAGGTCGTTGTCATCGCCGTTAGATGATTCTCCAGCCACCTTCTTGGCAATATGGCCGTTCGTCATGGTCTCGTCCCCGTCTCCATCTTCACCCTCACGTTTGCGCTTGCCGGTGACGGAGGTGCCGTTGGTAACAGGGGCTGCCTCGACCGGGGGAATAAGAGCCGGCTTTGGCCTCCGCGGGATGTCTGGGGTGCTTTGTAAGACCACGGGCTTCGACTCCTCGGAGAGCTCAGGTCTGCAGATTTCAGTTAGTACAGATCTAAGATGTTGACATATAGAACGTACGTTGCACTGATAACAAGCTGTAGGTCGATACGAGGATCTTTATCCCGGTCGTCTTCATCCACGACGGTGAGGAAGGCCCAGTTCGTGATACCCATATCGGAGAGCTTCGATGACAGCTGGTCATTCAGATCAAGATCATATATCAAGTTGCCACCCTTGATGACAGAGAACTCCTTGCTATAGCCGAGCTCCTCACGGAGAACATTCACTAGGTCTTCTAGCGTGGCACGCTCTGGGTCAAATGACACACGACCTTGGGCAACAGAACAGACTGGACAGTTAGGTTTGGGAGGATCCAAAGAATCTGAGTTGATAGCTCGTGCACCGGATCGCTCGAGGAAGACCTGAAAATACCATGTCAATAAGCGACAATGACCTCACAATATGGGCAAAACAGTACCATCTTGGCATTTGCAAGGTTGTCTTGGAGAACCTTGAAAGCCTGGAGAACACACAGACTTGCCGTCATGGCGTTCGTGGTAGCGATGGCAGGAATGATATTACCCGCCATTTCTACAAGAAGTCAATTGAGTGCTCAACAAAGCCGGAATATGCGACCTACGCTTGGTATCAAATTTGGATTTCGCTTCCAAGTGGAAGATATTGGCCCGCAAGTTGGCAGTTGCGGTCACGAAATCCAGTGTGTCCACATCATCTTTATCAAATGTGATGACGGGAGCTTCATCTTCGGATGATGCTTTCGCTTGCATCTCCTTTAGGCGTCTGGTGAGTCGATCCGCACTTCACTTCAGTTAGCCAAGTCACAGACTTGAAGGAGTGAACAAGCCTGCTCACCTGTCTTTAAACACAACGAAGTCCTCGGCTAGCGTCCACACCCTCTGGTCAGTGATGGACACTGTGGGTTCCACGGAAGCAGATTCCTCCTGGAGTTTGTCATAATCCAGTAGGTCTGGTCTCGTGCGCTCTTTCCACATATCCTCCACTCTGCGAAGTCGCTCGATGTCATCCCTGAAGACCTTCTCGAAGACTTTTCTGGTGAAATCATCGGAGCCCATGGAGTTCCGGATCTCATTTAGAGCCTGCGCTTCTCTGCGCAGCTCCTCTATCTCTTCGGCTATTCAACAGTCAGCATCACCGGTTGCAGTCAACACATTCCTGTCGCCAAAACTGACCATTGTCTGCATCCTCAGTAGTGTCCAGTTCCTCTGGGTTGTCTTCACTCTGACCAAACAGCTCCCTAACCAGATGTCAACTATGAATATCATGGGGTAGTCGATCCGACATACGGGATAAGGTAGTTCTTGGCCCATACGATGCAGTGGATGGGCTGCGTCGGGTTGCTGCGGATCGTGCAAATAGGGAAGGATTTCGGAGTCTCCTTTTCGTTGCAATCATAACATTCCGTTTTCCCCTGGAGGGGTCAGTAAGGTCGGCACTTGAATCAATGAGCCCGGCAAAGCTGCTTACCTTCTCAATGACCTGCACCTGGCCGTTGAAACCGGTGGTGCCACTCTCCACCAGAGGCACACCCGCGGCAAGACACATCCGGTTTACATGTCGTCGCGCAGCCAGGTTATCTAGCGCATTGAAGACAATATTGAAGCTCCCAAACCAGTCGACGCTGAACTGCGAGTCCGTAATGTTCGCATGGTAGGCTTCCAACTTTGCGCTGGGCTGGAACCGATGCGCAACTTCTTTCGCAACCTAGATATCACAGACCTCTAGTCAGAACACCGTCTCATTGTAGTCATGAGGATTGCGCGGGGTCCGCGACCGGCGGCGGTTTCGCAAGGGAGGGCTGAGGTCGCGGGACTCCGGGAAGACGTACCAGGGCCTTTGGCTTCTTGATGTGTTCGTGGCGGAAGAGGAACTGGCGGTTCAAGTTACTGAGGTCGATTGTATCGAGATCGATGATGTGAATCTCTCCGAAGCCGGTGAGGACGAGGTTTTTAAGCAGCTCGCATCCGATGCCGCCAGCTCCAACGAGAAGGACACGCGACTAGAAGAGAGGAAGAAGAGACGTTAGAATTAGATCGCAGAACGCAATTTGATCTCCACAAGGGTTTGCACCATTGTTCAAGTGCCCGTACCTGCTTGATGCTGTTGGTGAGCTCCACTCCGAGGGAGCGCTTGATGGAGCTTGCGCGCATGATTGCGGGCGCAGAGATAGCTTGCGATAGAACAATGTAGGAATGAATGAGCCTATCGGCCCATGTCGGTGTCGAGGAGGTCGAACAAAAAGAAAGGGTGAAGGAGGGTGAAGGAGGGTGAGCGAGGGTGAGGGAGGATGAAAGAGAGAGTTGCGAATGAAAGTGTTGCGCGTGAGATCCCGGGAACAGAGACCGGAGTTGAGGGTCGTCGATGACGGCACGGCGGAGCCTTAGCTAGGATCGGCCCACGACTACCTTTTAAGATGCCTCTATTTATTCTGCTTCATAAACGATCAGGAACCATCGGGTACCCGGCACGATTGGCATCACATGGGCATTGAGATTGTTTGTGCATTCCATGCGGCGTGTTTGCGACACCTCGCAGTACCTTGCATGCACTACTGCTTTGCGTTGGTCCATGATTTCGGGCGATTTGCCAATTCGAATAGGTTGAGTACTCTGGGCTATTTTCTGTTTCACTTGGTTCTCAAAGTCTCTCTCGATGAGTGTATACGTGATTATGCGTAATTCAAGCGTTACTCAAGCGTATATAGGAGAATAACTGACTCTTATATTCACATCACCCTCCGATATCAACACCCCACTAATGATAGGTACAAAGCAGAGAGAACTAGGGACACACGAATCTCGCCTAAGCACCACTAAATCAGTAAATTGAATCACCAACACGCAAAACTCGGTGAAAGGGAATCACTGCTCGCCCCCTGCTTACATAACACGTGCCTCTATCCAAAAATCATGGAATTTTCTCCGTGGCGATAAAGAAAAACCTTGGACTTTGCATTGTGCATGATCAAAGACCTGGTTACCCCTGACCCAAATCACTCCATCGTCTCGTCCCAAATTGACCCTCTCGGTGTGGGCTGGAGAACTGCTGAGTGGCCACTCCCCTGACGCTGCATCTGGACCCTGTCGCATCGAGCCCCACGGACTAGGGGATATACTCGGCTCTACTGTACTTTTGCACACAACACAGCCATTGAGCATGCCTTCATTGGAATCAGACTCCGACCGACGTGGGTCAGATGAAGCTGACCCTGAACTCGTCGAACTGCTTCGCCAGCACCTTGGGCTGGGCGGAAAACCGAACAAGGCAGCTCCGCCCGAGACAAAGGTGCTCGAGGCTGCGCAGTACATCTTTGATAACTCAATTGATGTTGCTCTGAGTCCGACTCAGATCAAGGAAGCTGCTGAGACTATTTGGCGGTTGATGCAGAAGAAGGCGTATTCTACGCAGACATGGTCGGAGCATGAGCTGCACCCGCAGGAGAAAAATGAGAGCACGGTGGACTTTATTTTTACTATGGATCTATTGAACTTTAGTTTCTGGTCCGCGGAAAAGGACGAGTCGAAACGGTTCTGTATCGAGTATCGTGGGAGGAAATGGACTGGCTACTGGAGTCTGGTCGCTGCTCTGCAAAGAGCCTTGGATGAAGGTATGTTACATTGTATTGCTGTTTAGATCTTCAGAGCTGATCTGATATACTACAGATATCCCAATTACCACACCCGACTTTTGGGTGAATAAGGTTGAATGCACGGATGAGCTTCTGAAATATGTTTTTCGCTCCGCAACGGACGAGGAGATCCCTCTGTTCCAAGAGCGAGTGCAGTGCTTGCGTGAGGCCGGAGAAGTTCTCTGCAATGTGCGTCTCATTCCACCATTCTCTCTACATGCATCGCTAATCGATCTCATAGGAATTCGGAGGCAGCTTTGTCAACTGCATCGACGACGCCAACTACTCCGCTGCTGGCCTGGTCAATCTGGTAGCCGAGAACTTTGCCTGCTTCCGTGATGAAACAAGCTTCAACGGAAAAAGAGTGCGGCTCCTTAAGCGTGCGCAAATACTCGTCGCAGATCTGTGGGCCTGTTTCAACGGCGAAGACTTCGGCGAATTCCATGACATCGACAAAATCACCATGTTCGCAGACTACCGCATTCCTCAAATGCTGAACCAACTTGGCTGCCTCCGCTACTCGCCTCCGCTGGACTCTCATATCCGCAGCCTGAAACCTCTCACGCCAGGGTCAAACTGGGAGATTGAGCTGCGCGGCACGAGTATCTGGTGTGTAGAGCTAATCAAGCGTGAGATCGAGAAGCGACATCCCGAGGTGAAGAATGCTGGCAAGAAGGGCATTGTGAACTCGGGGCCGGACGAGAATGACCGTGTCGAAGGCCCAGAAGAGCCTGCTGATGGAAACCCCCACAAGACATTCGGGATCAACGCGATCCTCATAGACTTCTTCTTATACGATACGATGAAGAGTTTGGAGGCAGAGCAGAACGAGAGTGTCCCGCACCACCGGACTAGAAGCATTTGGTATTGAGATGCATTGGATATCATGGCGTCTACATGGGCAACGGCCTATGATTGCATTGTCCGATGCCCGCAGTGGCTCTGGAAGCCTTTGAGCAGTCGATTCGGGGGCGGTTACACAGCTGATAAACTCAATGTTTCAAGTAGTATTGGAAATATTATTAGATATGGTAGGTATATGAGGTGTATGTCACCAGTTGCCTTTATTAGATGCTATGGAACTGAACGTGTATGTAGGTCACTATACGTACCACATTTCCTCTGCTTGGTGGGGCTTTCCTATTTTAGCTGCCGCCGCTTTTATGAGGGCGCTCCGAGTCAGGCTCACCGAGTAAATTTCAGTCCGGGCTAAGACTCGAGTAAGGTACTCAGTGTCAATACGTGATAGATCAGTAGGGTCCACTGAACGCTCAGTGAGTGTTCACTGGTCGATTACTTAGAGATTGATCAGAGGCATCTAACGCAACCGCTAAGCGAGCCACCCATGTAAGCGAGCCGCTCACCCAACCATCTACTTTTTACTTTATGCATGTATATTTTAACTAAAACATCAATATATTCACTAAATTATCTCTAATTACATAAATAACGGGTAAATTGACGCCTTTACAGTGGTGCTACTGCAGCTTGAATATGCTGTGCTGGTGACGCTGAAGATGATGGTAGAGGCTGTATAATAGGCTCAGGGGCTTGCGAAAGCTCTTGAGCTTCCTGCACTGGTATAATAGCTTCGTAGGCTATACGCCTATTCACGCAAGCGCGCTTTTGCTTCTGCGCTGTATTTGTAGCGCGTAACTGCTTATTTTCCGAGCCCACTAATTGTAGCTTGTATATTACCTCCTTAGCCGCTTTAAGAAAATCTTACTAATAGCCTGTTTCTGCGCAACGGAGGGCTTACCGACTGATTTTTAAGCAATACTTTAACTGATCTTTCTTGTTTTGAAAGCTCTGCGATAGTCTTTGGTGTGAATATGCTTGATTGGCTGCCTGGGCAGCTACTCAGCGGTGTAGGCGTCCGAAGGTGAATTTTAAGCTTTGAAATTACCTAGTCTGGGTTAATCAGAACTAAACTCACTGCTTTAAAGTTGTCTTAAGCTGTTTTTGATCGCATTTAATTTAGATGCGTCTGCGCGAGCCTGTGGGCATGTTGTAAGGAAATCGAGCTTATCGATAAGGTTAATACTAGGGCCGTATTTTCTGATCGATTAAGCCTTCGTATGATTGTTTTAAGATCGCGCGAAATATCTGATATAAAGAGGCTGTAAGAGATGCGAGGCATATGGATGTATGTAGATAGGAATTATATCTATCGGACGTATAGTAGAGAGAAATAGATGTTCTAGGTTCCTATGAACCAGGCTGCTTAGAAACAAGAATTTCTTACTACCGTCCGTGGATCAGCTGACACTGCAGTGTACTAGCTAACATATCAGAGATAGATGAGACTGATAGAATACTTCCCTGGTCTGCGCTTTATGAGAGAGAGAGGGTAGTAGGAAGTAAATTCTAGTGAAAGCTTTTATTCGATTGGGTCTGGTTATGGAGCTATATTTATAGAAAGAAAAATAACCATTTTTTCTGACATATGCATCATCTAAAAACATCTTAAAAAGAGGGGCGGGCCTGATACCCGAGGTAATGTAGGTTGGATGAGCGAAAAAGCATAGTACATAAAGGGAGAGCTATCGTTGGAAATTCAGGTGAAAGGCGGTGATAATCGAAAACAATCCATAGGCTCCAAAATCCAGAAGAATGACATTAGAGTGGAGGATGAAGTTACAAGAACGCAGGCAAGATAGGGTCGGCCAAAAGAAAAACCAAGAGAAAGAACTTTGAATCTTTTAGCGACCGATTTTCAACAACTAGGAAATTAAAGCATAATTCCATTCTCCGCCACGGTTCTAGCCTTTCAATAAAAAAACCAAATCACCGAACGGGCCGTCCTGAAGAGTTTACTGGATTGCCACCAGAAGTCTTTCTAGGGCCACGACGGTTGCTGCTATGAAATCTCACTTCAACTCTCAACCAACTGAAAACATGCGTTGTCAAATGACTCTCAATAATTTTAAGCATCCTTTGGATGCCAGAAGACATCATCCTCTCAAGCTTACGAATTCATGAACGAAGATAGTGCAGATTCTGGGTTAAGCTCCACTGGGGTTTCTTGTGTAATTATTGGGCAAATTAACAGCAACATGTCGAGGCTGCGGGAAGGGAAAGCTGATGTCTGCCTTTTTTGCTTTTTGTTTTTACCATCAGTCTGACTCGGTCCTAGGTTTTTGAACCCTGGGGCTCTTCACTTTCTTAGAATTGAGACCCGTTGTGAGGATTACAGGAAGTCCGGAGGATGAGCAAATGATCCTCATTTTTCTGCCCAAAAATGTGAGGCTGACATCAAAGGCGTGGTAAATGTTTCACCACACATCGATACACATCGATACCCATTTGGCTCTGTGCGCCCCAAGTTCCTCCATCACGATCTTGACAACCTGACTGCAGTGCAGAGTACTGCCAAAATATTCTCAGTCTCTCCAGCAAGAGAGGTCACTATTTCCGGAGTCAGTGAAATAGTGACGCTTGCATTTCAAAAAAGTGGCAAGTCTGTCACAATTAATATGACGCTTTGACTGGGTGAATCCACAAGTTGTTTCAAGGTAGAATGCGATAGAGAACCGCTACCACGTTTAATCAAACAGCATCCATCGTCGAAGGTCACACTGCGCATACCTCGAAGACCATTCATCTCAGGCATTTAGTTTCCAAGACTATAAGTTCTATAAGTTAATTCCTCATTTCGATTTAAGACTAGGCAATAAGAGGCTCTATTAAAGGAGGGCGTATAATCGCGTACATATCCTGAGTCTGTCTTCCACGGTTCACACATGGCATCTTCCGGATATACCGGGGAAGACGGCACAAGTCTTGCGGTACTACGCTGTTCTCCACTCTCAGTCTTATTGGTGACCTGTCCCCGTCAATAGTAATAAACTTTGAATCCCCGCGTTTTCCCCACACCGACAAACCAGAGAATTGGTTGTGAGCAACCGCTAAATGTGGGGATCTACCGTGACCAACAGACTATACCCAACACTTCATTCACATGAGATTATTAGTTGATTTTGTCGCCCAACGATTTCGGAAAAACCGACATATTCCAAAATATCAAACATCTAAGAACCGCTTCAGCTTCAAAAGTTTGTGGAAGCTATCATTAGAGATCTATGAAGAATGTTGTCAGATCCGGCACCAAAACATTCTAGCGACTCAAATCCCAGATTATACTCGGCCTTCCCTCCTCTGCTCAATGAAAAGGTCATCATCAAAACAAACGAGTTGTCGGTTAGTATTGCTCTGGCTGAACCGATGCTCTGCCTCCAGTGGCATTATCCGGATGACCCAAGCGAAAAAACACCGGCGGTTTTGCGTGGGCAGATGCATCTACATGTCACCAAGCCTGTCCAAATAAAGACGATTGGAATCCGCTTCCGCAGCCAGGGCCATACAGACTGGCCAGGTGGTAAGCATTATGATTTATTGCTATGGACATGTATGTTCTGACTGTGCTGTACAGGCATCCCGCCGAACTGGACGCACGTTCACGATAAACAAAACTTTTTCGTCCACAAGCACGTCTACTTTAATTGCAAAGATGCGTCCTTAATGCAGAACAATCCTGGCAGGCACTATTGTCACCACACCAACACAGTGGTCCCAGTAACAGCAGAGGACTCAATGTTAGCAAAAGGTCGGACGCTATATTTGAAGAGCATTGAAGGCATTTTCCCGGGTCGTCATCAGCCCACATATACGGGTAACAAACACCCGCGAAGCAAGCAAAACAGCCACCCCTATGACTCTAAACACAGAAATTACGCAGTGTTCGCCGTCGGAAAGTACAGGTACAATTTTGAGTTTATCGTCGATGGCTCCCTGCCGGAGACAATCGAGACACGATTTGGGTCTGTGCGGTATGTTTTAGAGGCTGTCATCGAACGACCTGGGTTACTCCAATCTAACCTTCTCGGCACGATGGAGATTCTTGTCATTCGTATCCCGACCGAGGCCTCGTTAGCACGGATGGAGCCCATTGTGAATTCACGCAATTGGAAGAGTCAAATTTATTATAGCATTGCTATTCCGGGCAATTTATTCCCTCTGAGCTCACAGATTCCTATTACATTCAGGCTGACACCGCCGACGGACGTCGAATGCCACCGGATCAAAGTCTACGTGGTAGAAACCATTCAATACTGGACAGCAAATAAGAACATAAGCCATTCACGGCCTGCAAAGATGGTACTCTTATTCGATAGAGCCTGTTTTGTGGCTGTACCAGAAAAGGAGAAAATGGTCGATCATATTCGGACCGATATGACACAATGGCTGGAGTACAACCACTATGGTGACCAGGCGGAGGGGAAATTCAACGTGCATTTGCCAGGTTGCCATGAGATAAACAGTCGATGCGGTTCCCGGCGGCTACATTGCGATACAATGTACGGAAATATCAAGATAAGTCACCGAATAAAGGTAGGTTATACACAATCTTTTCATTTTATCTCCGTACCCTTTATACAAGCCGGTGCTGCCATCGAATCATTCTGATGTGAGTTTGTTTATTCAGGTTACGTTTTTTTTGTCCCAAAACAACCAAAAAACCCCATCAAAAAGGGTTTCTGAGGTTTCATTGGAGTCGCCGTTCTATATTATCTCCTGTCAAGCGACGCAGGCTAATATGCAACTCTCGGCCTACACAAGACCAACTTCTGACCCGATCTTTCCGGCTGAAGACACCAAGTGCGGTTGTTCAGAACCCAATCGAAACTAGAAAATGATTTTTGATTCGGTTTTATTCCAAGCCGAAGGCTTACGAATGCGGCATCAGAACACCTTGGAGAAAAATAAGGTCGAAGAGAAAGAGCTCTTGGGTGTCAGGTCCGGAGTAGAACTCCCAGCCTGAAATGAATTGGATAGGCCATCACTTCTGCGCAGGGGGCTTTTTCCGTCGATGGACGACGTATACCACAGCAAGGGAATTTAAAATGGTTCTCAAATTCAAAATGTTCCAGTGTTGGCTGGCCCGAGCCTGTGTATTTGGAATGGGAAGAATGAGCCATTACTACCGCTGCAAAGAAATCTCTCGAAAAATGGTGTTCCTGCCCTCAATTGCCAGCCGCCAAGTGATGGTTACGATGCAAGCAAGACCTGCTGGTATATCTACTTGGGCCTCCCTGCTCGTTCAAAGCCCGGAAAGCCATGGAAAGTAGATAGGGCGGTAAAACACGATTACTCCATTTCAGATAGCGTATTAAAGGTGAAAATATGTAGAATAATAACAATCATAAAGACTTGACATACCCTCGACTGGGATCAGAAAGCTACTTCCGTTTTCTTCGGCCTGCTTCCATTATCTTTCTGCCTCCCTCAGTCTGCCTCCATTATCTTTCTGCTTCCCTCGGTCTGCTTCCCTCAGCCTGCATGTATACTTCGCAACTTGTTCTTGTCTCTCCTTCCACTTTTGGAGTAGTTCCGAGAGCTCAACACGAAAGCTCAACAATTAAGCTTCTGTGTACTCAGCTTCTCTCAGCCTTGCCTTTCTGCTGGACCCGCTCGGAATTCGTCCACTCATACATAGCACCGTGTCTCCACTCGGGGGCCAGCTAAGTGGGACCCGTCTCCACTTACATCTACTGTTTTTCAACCCCTGATTACTAAGCCCCATGTAAGCGAGCGGCCCAGCCCAAAACATCATATTAAATGCTGTGGATAACTCAGAGTGTGGATGCCTGAGAATACCGAGACAACAATAGAATGTGGTATCGGATCACAGGTAGTTTCGGATGAAGATAAAACACGGAGATATGGAGGTGTAATCTACTCCATAAAATTGGCTATCATGTGACAGATTACCCAAAAGTCTCGTGACTGAGCCGCGCTTTATACCACAGTATAATCAATCTCACCCCGCACACCTTGGCCGTCGGGTAAGGTTCATCAGTAATAATCGCAAATCGTGCAATCTTGCATTCTACTCCAGCAACATATATCTTCAAATTATACTGCCATGGAAGTCAAACCTCCGCCAACATGTCCTCCCATGAGTCCCAGTGACTACCCTGAAATTCCGACTCGAACGCCACGTGCGACTATTGAGAAAATGCGTGCCCTCTGCATCGACGGGAATTTGCTTGAATTCCGTGAGGTTTTCGATTTATTGCGCCCTCATCCGGTGTCTCAAGACTTTGAAATACGCGAATTCTATGAAGTTATGGTTGAGGCCATCAAGCGGGAAAACGTATGGAGGAACCTGATCGGTCAGGGGAATGTGGCAATGCGGGACAAAGCCAGTTCCATGCGGCGGCGTGAAATGGTGTTGAGGAGCAGCCGGGCGATAATGGATGGTATCGTCCACATTGACCGCGATCATCATGTGTAAAGTTTCAGAAATAATTGGACAGGGAGTACGAGAACAATAGAAGGCCTCAAAGCCAGTTCTGAAAAGGTAGCGCCCTTGATGTCAATCTAAGCCCGACAAGTCTCTTTATACTCGGCTAGGCCTACTACATCTTCTAATATAATAATGTCATCGCGGAACGTGTAGCTCTCTCGAACGATATAATTAGCTAAATGACGGCCGTTCGTGCCCCTCTACTAAGGAAATACACTAGGCGACACATCAAATGGCTCAGTCACACTAGAATGCTAAGTACAGAAAACGCTAATCGATCAATTACGGACAGAAAGGCAAATAAGGCTATACAGGACAAGAGGCGGCTAGATAAACTACATACGAAGGTCTACGTAAACCGCCACCAAAACAGCCCACGCAGGAGGAAAAGGCATCTATAGAAGCAGCGAGGGGTGGTAGAGAGGCTAATAAGCCTTTTTACTTTGATTCGCATCCAAAGGGTTAATAAATAATACGAATAGCATCGTTCTTGGGTTACTAATAATAATTGCGGTACCGCTAGGGCGCACCCTCACCGCCAGGTGGGGGGCGCTAACACAAGGTACAGATACTATAGAATTCGTGCTCGGCCGCTTTAGTCATAGTGTACGTTATATTCCCTTCTCTCTACTAGCTATCCTCGCCTAGGCGGACAATTAATCGACCTAAGACCGAGACCACCGCGTGCACATAGTTTGGTACCTTGGACATGGCGCATTTTCCCATTCCAAGGTTTCATTCCGTTTCCATTGTGAGGGTATCAAATAATTCCTAGCGTCAGTGGCTCCATCCAGTATTTCACGTTAACACGCAGTGGATCATGCAGCTGCAGACCCGAGGCGGGACATAATGTCTGCTTTCCACTCGACGAATTCCTCCCGGCGATCCTCACTCAACCAGTCCACCCGATCCTGCATCATAGTCCCCAGACCAGGCAACAGACCACCATGGGAAGCCTCTGGCTTTGAAGGATGGGACTTGGAATTGCCGGCCCCATCATGGCGCTTGGGTAGCTTCACACCTCGGAATGCCGCATCTTCCTCGTCGAGATTGCGGTACGAGTTGCCCTCCTCATCCTCGCCATCCAGCTCTCCAGCGAGTGGGATATTCTCGAACCACTCCTGGCCATTGGCCCAGCCCTGTTCCATGATCAGAGCAATCCATTGATCAACATCATCACGATGCCGTCTATCAGTCGGGAGACCAAGGCAAGTCAAGGCAGTCTGGCGCATCTCTGTAAACGTCTTCTTGTCCATCTTCTGCGCCTCGCTATCCATCTCGCCGTTCTCAGACGGCGTAGGATTTCGCCGGCGAGCTAGAACAATAAAGTACACTGCGACCACCATGGCATGCACGAGGTCTTTGAATTCGGCATCATTGCCACCAATAGACACAATGGGTTCCAAGAACTCCAGCGTTTCCTCGTCGAAGCCTTCTTCATCGTTAAACATACTCGATGTCAAATAGAGGACGGTCGAGACGCCGGAAAATATGTGAGGGGGGAGAGTTCGTGAGATTGGAGGTCTGGACCAGGTGTTTGTCCGCGGAGCTGGGGTCGAAAGTGTCTTGCATACTGTGCGGATGGCGGTCATTGCCCATGCAGGGGCATCTGGAATGATCGTCGATTTAGTGATATCCCTAGGATGGCTTTGAATAGATTTTCGGGCGGATTTGGATGGCGAGCCTAGCCTGGCGGCGACACTGACACTCCGCTTCAAAGGTGTGGATTTGGAGGGTGTGTTTTGGAGGCCTCGTGACGTAGGAGCAACCTTCGAAGGGGTATTTCCAACCGCCTTGTTGGGAGTGGTTCTTGCAGAGTTGCTGCGAGTTGGTGTTCCAGATACACTTGCTGAGCGCTTGAGTCCTCCTGAGCCAGTTCCGAGAGACCTGTCAAGGTAGGAGTAGAGCTTCTTGTATACACGCGGAGGGCATGGGGCATGACCGAGTAGCGGGGGAAGTTTGAGCGCTCGGCTTAACCTGTAAGATTAAGCAGTTAGAAGCAATTTTGGTATCAGGTTGCTTGGAGACTGACGTACCTCCTGCAGGCAATCTCGGCACAAGCATATGGTCGGGCAATTTCTTCCTCGGGCTTCAGACTACTTGAGAAGCTCCGAGATTGGGCCACGAGATTCAAGGCAAGGCTGAGAAGCTCCTGAGGTAGATCATTGGCGTGTGTAGGAACGAGGTTCCCCAATGCTTGCTCCACTGGTCGATTGTTCATTGTGGTGATGTGCTTCGGACAGGCCTAGCTTGAACAGAAGGGAAGTGCGATGGTGAATCAAGAGTGCAAAATATCTTCGACGAGTCCGATTTCAGGGTTTCATAGTTTGCTGATTCCAAATTGGCCACTGCCGTCTCTTAACCCTTGAATCCAAATTGTGACTGCCGTAAACACGAGAGAACGCGGCCGCGAGTCCTGACTAAGCGTGACATCGACCGCCGCATCGGTCCCGACATTTGCTTCGCACGTCGATTTCATTGACCTCAAATCGGAGCGATTTTTACAGCCATGTCTGTCACAGTAAGTCCTTCGCTGCTAAGAAGCTCCTCAACTCTGCCGTGAAACCTAATGCCCGACACTGTGCTAATCATTGTGCCATTTAGCTTCATACTACCCAAGGTGACCTCAAGGTCGAGCTCTTCTGCGAAGCAGTCCCGCAAACTGCAGAGAACTTCCTCGCCCTGTGCGCATGCGGCGCATACAATGACACGCCATTCCATCGCCTCATCCCCGGCTTCATGATCCAAGGCGGAGACATCTCCCTCGGACCAGCCGCGAAACCCTCGAGCTCCACGAAACCCATTCTCCCCTTCGAGATCCCTAAAGGCGGCACCTCCATATATCACCCCTCCGCACTGAACCAAGAGATTAATCTCCCGGCACTGAAACACAATGCGCGCGGTATTCTCTCCATGGCTTCTCGCCCCGTCAAGGATAGGACGGCACCCGGCTCGCAAAATGCGACTGGCGCAGCCGTAAACGGCAGCCAATTTTTCATTGCCTTTGCGCCAGCATCGCATCTTGACGGTGCTAGTACGGTCTTTGGGAAAGTATTGAACCTAAGTCCCCAAGACGAAGGTGGAGACGTGCTTTCGAAGCTAGAGAAGGCCAATGCCAAGGTTGACAAGAAGGGCAAGGTTTCCCAGCCGAAGGAGGGGGATGAATTTGAGGCCCTGCGCATCAACCGAGTCACAATTCACGCGAACCCCTTTGCGAAGTGAGCTACTTGGCCGAGCATTTCGGCCTGAACCGGCCGATTTTCGAACATCGAAATCCAATAAGCTCATGGGACAAGCGTGGCTCTTTCATGACCGTGCCCGAACGTTTGATGCCAAGATACCCAACATAGCAACACGGCTGTAACTTCTTATGACAGAACCGGCGCGCCGTTGCAATCCATGCCACGGCAGTTCGCAAATGACCGAATGTTGTGCTACCCTGCTATTTGTCAACAGGACGGGCCATTCTTATTTTTCGATGGCCCTGACCTGAAAGACACTATTTCCACTATCTACATGGAACCAGTTCCGCCTGACTGTGGCTACTTTGTAGCATAGCCACCAGAACAAACTATGAATGCAAGGATTTGATGATCAGACAGACAACTTTTTTATCACTCCCTAAAAATCCCCATCACCACCGGATATCTATAGAGAAAGAATCACTGTACACATCACAAAAGACGCCGTCATGCAACATCGGATAAATAAAGAAAAACGTTTGCATCATGAATGGATATCAATCGTCACAAGGAAAAGGTTAACTAGGGGAATGAACTCATGACTGTTCCTCGGCCTCAGCCTTCTTCTTCTCGGCCGTCTCCTTCGCATGATCCTCTTCATAGCCCTCAGTCTTCATGTCCTTCAGACCGAGTTCCTCCTCCTCCTCTTCAGTGCGAGTGTATTCTTCAATGAAGATCTGCTCATCCTTTGCGGGAGAACACAGATCCTGAACGTAGCTGCTGGCCATGGGGTCCTCCAGCGTAATGGTGAACTTAATCTTGCCACTGATGGCGTCGTTCAGCTTGTCAAAGAAGCTATCCCACTTGGCCTTCTCGTCGGTAGCCATGCTGTCACCAGCTCCAGACCCGACGGCGTCGAAAATGTGATCGTGCAATTGATCCCTGACCTCGGTGAGCAATCCCTCGACGGTCGTGAATCGTCCACCGAGACTTCCGCTCTGGACAGTCAGATCAAGCTCCTCGCTGGACAGACAGCAGGTGTCTGATTTGAGAATGTCTCTGCTCAAATCGACTTCATTCTCCACAGACAACTTGATCCGCTTGCCCTTCTCTGGGACCTCGCCACCGGTCTTGATGTCACTGTTTCTGTAGCCACAGCCATCCATCTTGATCCATTTTCCGCCTTCACCGAGAACCTCACCGCCGCAAACGGTGCTGAAGAGCAGAACTTGCTTGAAGTGGGGGATGTCCACAGACTTGCAATTAACAACGCATGGCCTGTAGCAAGCGGGGCACTCCGCGGGAAGAGTGTAGACCTGGTTGTTGACGATTTCGGAATCGAAGGCCTCATCGCCGGCCTCGGTCGTAGCACCCTCGGTTTGGGAGGCATTAGGGTCGTTGGAAATGCCCAATTCTTCATTTTGTTCGTGGGTACGGAAATATTCGCGGCGTTGATACTTCTTGGCGTGGTCTTGCCCAATAGAGGGGGCGATCCAGCTGTTGCCAGTGTAGTCATCCAGGCTAATGGTGAAGGGGAAACCGTTGCCCTCCAAAATATCCTTCAATTTGTTGATAATCGGTTCGAGAGCATCGTGGAGTTCCGGGGCCTGAGCCTTGCGGGCGGGTTGGTCGCTCGCTAGACCTTCATGGATCCGTTGAATCAATCCTTCGACATTTGTCAACTGACCGTTACCGGGCGGCGCCTCAATACCCAAAGTATCAATCTTGAAGGTGGAGACATCGCTCTTAACGACCTGCTTCTGCATGTCGTTCTCGTTCTCAATGATGACTGTGTACGAGCAGCCCTTTTCCTGAATCTGACCGGCCGACTTGATAGAGTTGTTCTTGAAGTGGCAGTGAGGGCATTCGAACGACTCGAGGATAACATCGCGGAAGTAGGGGATGCGGATGAGTAGCAGACGGGTTTCGCCCTGTGAGCGACGTCAGTATGGAACGTATAGATTTGCGCAAGCGTCGTCGCCGCGGATCATTGAAATTGCGCATGGAACTAGACTCACATTATCGTGGCAGTTCATGCACATACTCTCAACCTGCATAAGACCGGTGTCATCATCGCGCTCAACCAGATCACCAGGCTTCTGGAACATCTGGCTATCGATCATGTCGTCGATGTCCTCGGTAGGCATTTTGAGAGGAGTTTGGAGAGCAAGAGGTGAATAGGTAGTGGAGACTTCGGAAACTCCCTCCAAGCGAAGCAAAGGGCGAGTAGATAAGTTGTGGGAATGAAGTAATCTAAAAGTCTTATCGCCAAAAAAAAAGTTCTCGAGGGCCCGCCGGAACATTCCTTCTCGTTCTGCGCGGCGGGGCTTGGAGGGGCTTATGCAGCTGACTCAGCCGGTCTTTTTATCCACTTTTATACTTTGCATCCTTAAGTATCTTATATTCGACTTTATTTGCACTGTCTAGCTATTGTGGTTATCGTCTGACATGAAGTTGGTAGTTCAGAGTATCATAACACTTCAAGACAGCCGTGGAGTAGCGAGTCGACATAGTTGCCAGCTGACAAATCACCCTGCCTGGTTGGGCACATTTAGGTGGACAGGATGGAGCTGTGCTATTGCTGGTCCAAATGAGGGATTTACTCAATCCTTTGGTGCGGATGTGAGCGATTCCAAGAGTGTAAATTGCAAGTAAAGAAGCTGGTCGTTGGAAGCTGCAAAGGGATGGACGCATTCTCCTGGAGCAGTAGTTAGCCGCAGTTTTATAGCGAGTAGAAATGGGGGACTTATAAGAAAAAAAAGGGTGCCGCTTCCAACCACCGAAGTAGAAGGAAACGGCGGTTCACCAGCAGTCGCCCATCCCGCACATTCTGCTCCCTCTCTAACACCATTCCCAGAATGCTCAATTCCCAAAGATCTATCAGCTGATCCTTGATAGCAAAAGACACAAGATATCCACCTTGTCACTCTAGGACTTATCCTTATCCAACCCAGATAGCGAGACCCAGTCACCAACACATATCGCAGAAAACAGCGTGGACAAGCCAAAGCTTTGATCCTCACTCGAGAGAGGTCCCACACTATTCCCTGCATGATGCGTACACGTTGAACGACCAAGAACCCAAAAGCCAGGATTGGCCAGACGATGAGACCGGGAGAAAGAGCAAGCGAGGGAAAGGATAGCTTGTGGACTTTAACCAGAACAACTGCGACTCATTGAGATTGAAGAAACGGAGAATAACGAGACGCAGGTTGAAGAATGGCTGGGAACAGAGAGAAGCCGAGTGAACGCAAATTGCAATGTCCACATCTCCGCACATCCTTGAAAAAAAAGTCGAGATCGGGCCATAACAGTCAATCAATCAAATCAAGCTTGTAAGGACATCGTTTCCTCAGAATTGCTAACTCGCCGAGCGCTCGCACGGACGTCTTGTCAAGAGCATGAAGCCGGTCTCTTGTGTGTGGTATAGTACCCTCTGAGACGAGTTTTTGTTTCCGCTCCTGGTCGATCCGAAGATATCACAGGAGGGCGTGATTTGAAGCGCACAAAGAACATCCAGAAAAAATCGCTTCCTGCCCTCCGAGGAGGGGAACAATGACGGTGGTCATTGTTGGTGTAGTCGGCGCCCATCGATCAATTTGCAAAGTACATTGCAAAGAGATGGTTAACACGGGTAGTCTGGACCATCAATAGATGCCGAATCAATGGCGGATGCCGCGATTCGAGGTGCCTAGCTGGCTGAAAAACGAAGAAACGGCAAGAATCAAGAGGTGAAAAGCAGGGGCTAGATGCCCAGGCATCTCCATTGTGGGAGCAAGTACGGGACGGTAGACAGCCGTCGCAGACGAAACCGAAGAAAGAAATGCAAACGAACAAGATCGAAAAACATCAATCTTGATTGGGGAGAAGCATTGCCACCCGGAACGTGACAAGAGACCAGAGACTTTGACACGCTCTTTGCAGAGAAGCATCAAAGAGCCATGATAGCAGCAAAACAGAACAACCTCGCGACAACATTATCTATGAAAGCTGCCCGGGCAGTTTCAGGGAAATAATCCTGATTCCGGCGAGTGAATTCCCCTGAATTGCTGACATCATGACTATGTGTGATGGTAGCTATTGTGTTCAAGGCGCCGAATCTCTGAACCAAACAAGATGATGTCCCGGGTATTCGAACTTGAACGTTGCATTCAATCCCTACCCTCTGCACTGTCATGTTGATCCTCCCAAAGGCAACCTCTCATACCGAGGTGCCCGACGAGCTCCACCTGCTCTTTCTCTTGAAATTCGAGCCTTTCAAGGCATAGGACAACCGTTCGATTGTGACCAGCATGCAGCGTCCAGCATAGGAAAACCGACGCGTGATCCGTGAGGACTCATTGCATAGTAATCCGTCTTTTGTGCCGCGAGGCTCTGGACAAATCGAACAACTTTCGTACCCTCGGTCCATCATAGACCAATTTGACTAGTCATAGTATCCGGCATGCTTTTCCCGCGAGACTTTGTCGGAAGACAATCCGGCTGGTTTGAGCTTAGGGTTAGATCCCAACTCCATCACACCCGAAACAATTACATTAGATCGACAGAATCGAAAAAAACATAGAAGGAACGGGCTGCTATTGAAAGCAGCAATGGGAGTCGGATCAAAAGAGGGGATCGCTATACATGGTGCCTCCGGAGGCAAGAGACTGAGGGTTCCACACTCTAGCAAGACGAACGCTGGAACTCCGACGCGTGTAAACAAACCTTGGGTTCAACGGCTGCCTCATGGATCAAGCGGGATCCAAAACGACCGATTGAATGAGATGGCCGTCCGATTTGTATTTGTCAGGCGTGTTTGAAGAAGGTAATCAAAACAATTGCAGATGGTGGAAGAAAGAGAAGCTCATACGCCCGCAGTATGCGCATCAAATGCCGGCGCGACTCGCGTGGTCACGTGGACGACGCGTTAACAATCTATTACGTAATTATATTTCACGACGCCAAGACCGCCCGCCTTCTTTGCCTTTTCAAGTGGAATGATCGTACTACTATTAACGGTGGGGGATACTCTTCAAATTAATTTAATGATGATGCTTCTCTCTACACATCCATGATGGGAGACCTCAAACATGTCCAAGATGCATTCGACGCAGCCAGTGACTTTTTGAGCCCGGTGCTTAATCGAGGCATGCCACTTTCAACTACTCATTTTTTTCGCTTACTAAAACTAACTGTATTAAAGAGGAAATACAAAATTCCCAGGGAAAATCACTACTGGAAATCCTGAGCAAGGATTCAGACGTCTCCGGGATCGATGATAGTGATGCCAGAACGACCGTGATCGACAAGGCGTTGGACATCTTGAACCGGATCCACGCGGCTTTTGTCAGACCGGCAGAGAGCCAGTCTGAATCTCAAAGGGCTGCAGGTTCTGGGGGAGATGCAGATCTTGAAGATGCAAAGCGACGCCGGATGCTCCATGCATTGCTGGACTTGATCTCCCTAGAAGGGATCTACCCGTCACTGTCATCAGGAGTTGGAATTCCTCTGCAGCGAAGAGTGATCTCGGTTTTGCCGGCTGGCATTATTGCAAAGCAGACTCATTCACCGCCTAGCAGCATACCTCACAATGAGACCCTTCTTCGGCATATCATGGCTATTCTTTTGAACATTGTCTTGGATTCCAGATTAAGCATCCAGCCAGTCGTCCGAGGCCGCATTTTGAGTGATATCATAAGCGGCGTAGCAGACCTTGCATTCAACCCCCATATAGCCCTGTCTCCGGACCAGACCAAGTTCCAGGAGGAATTTGCCGCGATCATCAATCAGTATGTTCGAAAGCCATTTGGAATTCACGAGTGCTGACGTATGAAACGAGGACCCCGAGTGCAGTATTGCTACCCACACTATCCAACTTTCTGCAGTCGGAGACTACTCCTTGGTTCAAGGCTGCGATTTCAAGCCAGATCTCTCGAGTGCCACTTCGACCCCATGGGGTCCTACAAACAATCATGTTCATTGCCTCCCAGATTGCGCCGTCACTGGGACAAGAAGCCCAAAACGAACCATCGAGCGGGCCACATTTTACAGTGCAAGCCATTATGCAAGTCTCGCGACTTCTTTCATCTGTGCCGCAGGGCATTGAACCGACAGCGTATTTCACTGCAATCGCTCCTCAACTGCTCGCACTACTCGATGGAGATGACCCGGACCTGAAAAAGACTGCATCCTACACCATTGGTAATGGTATACTGGGAAAGCGAGCATATGGTGCTCCTGGGACGATAGGCCACTTGATCTTCGTGGAGCCTATCTTTGGGGCGCTGACCGCCGAGCTGGACGATGCTTCAGGACGATGGATGACAAATTATTCGGACATTGAAAGGTCTACTCCACCCAGCGCGGGAGAGGCGTCAGAAGACACGCTTGTCCACGCTGATGTGGTTAGCCTGGCGATCGACAGGCTGAGAAGTCTAGCACTGCAGCATCCAAATCCTGGTCTCGTCAAAAGGATCGTGTATCCGATTCTTCTCCCACTATGGGGCTTGGCTTGCTATTCAAAGGAACAAGAACTGACTAATTATCATGAAAGAATCATGGCACTGCTCCAGACATACTTCGGCATATCGGTGGGCGCGCAGCCGCTCAAGAAACTCGTTGATCACCTTCTTTGGGATGGCGGCTCAAAATGGACATACGGTACGGACTCGCGGGGTTGCGTGGCATTGACAAAGCGCACGAACCCGGAAGGCGATCAGTCAAACATCATCAAATTGATAGATTCGCTCGAAAGCCGGACTGAGCTCTTTGTCAGTTTGCTGGGCTCAGATCCCAGTAGCGAGGAACGCACCGGTGATATATTCCTCTACGTGAGCGACCGCTGGCTAGTGCATCCCCGAGAGACTGACAGAGCGGGCAAGCCACAGAAGCTTGGTGAATCAGACAATATCTTCCAGAAACTGGTCAGCGCAAAGGTGGCGGAGAAGTTGCTCGACAATTTCAGAGACACATTGTCTCGTCGCCCACTGCGAGTATTGGAGCTCGTCAAGCAAGTCATCGATGGAGAGCTGTATCGACTTAGGGCTGAAGAGCCTCAAAAGCACGAGCAGAAGTCAGGAAAAGTCTCACTCTCGTCACTGTCCAATATTGTGTCTCAGCAAAATGTGCAAGAGGACGCTTCGGATACGGAAGCATCAGAGTCGCTGTCGACCGCATTCAGCTTGTTGTCCACTGTGCTCGCATCTCCCGAATTCTCGATCTCTCAAGAAACCAAGCTACTGCTTGACTCCGTGAAAAGTCATCTTGACCAACTAATCCCTCTTCTCCCGGCCTCTCTGTCCAAGCCAGCAACAACCTCGTCGATGCTCTTGGAGATCCAACTTACATCTCCAGAGCATGACGATTCCAAACCAAGACCTTCTCATGTCGCCGACCTTGAAATTCATCGTCAAGCTTTGGTGAACCTCAATTCGAATTTGCCACCCGTACAGGCCGAAGGTTTCTCATTGCTGTTAAAGTTGATCATGCGCTCCTCACCTGTACTCGATATTCCTTCAACATTGACACTCCTTCTCTCCATCATCACCGACATATCTGAGTCAACTGCCAATGAGGAGTTCATCTACCTCAATGCGATCAAGCTAATTGGCACACTTGCATCACGACATCCACGGACGGTGTTGAAGATCTTGGTGGACAGCTATGTCGACAAGAATGAACAAAGAGCCTTAGACTCACGTCTCAGGCTTGGCGAGTCTCTACTGCGCACCGTTCAAGATTTAGGTGATGCGCTAACTGGGGAAACTGCGAAAATCCTCGGCGAAGGTATGGTGGCTCTGGCAGGACGGCGAGGGCGTCGACCGGAAACACAGAAGAGTCGCAAGAAGCAAGTAGAAAAAGAGCAGCGCCGAAAAGAGCGAGAAGAGCGCAAGCAAAAAGAATCTACTCTGCCGGCGGGATGGTCAATCCCGACAGAGGAAACTCAACCAAAGTTTGAAGCCGAACTGGACGACGAGTCTACAACAGAAACCCCCGAGCAGACAGCATATGCCGCGAACATTGTCGCAGCATGGGCGGCAGGTGCATCAACAGATGAAGAGCCAGACGACCTTCGTGTACGCGCATCAGCCCTTTCAATTCTCGCCTCGGCAGTTCAGACCAACATCCTGGGTCTTGGCCCAGCCGTCGTCTCTTCAGCCGTCGACCTTGCCCTCGCGACGCTCACCCTGGAACCTGCCCCCGAGAGCGCAATCCTCCGTCGCGCAAGTGCGATCCTCCTCCTCGACATCTTGAAAGCACTGGATACGGCACGTGAAACACGGCACGGTAAGGACGTTGGCTTTGGCTTCTCCCTTACCGATGATCCGTACAGTCTCGGTCCACAAGACCAATCCCGCGGTCCTTCTACCATCGGGCATATCCCTTCAATGCTGCGCACGCTTGGCTTTGTCGAAACCACGGAGACAGACTCTATCGTGCGTGGGCATCTGCGTGCACTGATTGAGAGTCTAGAGGCCTGGCTGGAGAAGTCGTTGATGTGGGGGATAGGTGCTCAGGGAGATGACCAGCCGCGGCTGGAAATTGGAGATCGGATTGCTGGGTTGGCTGTTGATCCCATGGCTGGGCGAGGAGATTTGACGAGGCCAAAGATTGAGGAAATAGAGTAGTTCTACCACCAATTAACAACCACATCATTCAGTATACCCAATATCTACCAGTTTCGACGGTTATCGTAGAAATGCGGGATCATTGAATAAAGAAGACGGCTTCTTTAGTTCGGGCTCTACCAAAGACTCACGGTGATACGGAAATACTCATGATCTTCAGTCGCCTCGGTGCAGCCACGCAGTGGCTCTTCAACTTTGTAATTACCAAATGGAAATGCTGATTTAACGTCAGTACCCCGCCTAGAGGTCTTGATAAGTCCTTAAGGAGACATTCTCTATCGCCAAAACCTTACGGAGTGTGTCCATAGTATAAACAATTGATAAGTGATAAACCCAGAGCCCAGATCTTTGAGGGGACATAGTCCTATCGGCGCAGTCAGCAATGGCAGGTGCCAAATCTACAGTGTGGCCGGCCCTGAGCTAGAATAGGTTCGCACCGTGTAAGTTGACGAACGTCAGGAAGAATGAGTGGTCAATGGACTGAAAATTAAGATACAAAGAAAACCTAGCCACCACTTCGCACAGAATGCTAAACTAGCCAGCCAGACCTGTAGCAATAGCACCTTCCATATGAGTCATTCTCTTTACAAGATCATCCACTTCAGACTGGAGCTTTGAGCTTAGCAGCTGTTGCTCAATCTTCCGTCTGGCTCCTTTGGCTATTTCAGTATCCAGTAAGACATTTAGTCGTTCAATTTCGGAAGAGAGAGAAGAGAAAGAACATGGTCATCTTGAACAGAGTCATTTTCTAGAGGACTTGTGAGCAAGTATCATGACAATGTATGCTTTCGATCGTATGGCGGGGATATAGTCTGATTGCAGCACACCACAGCCACGACTCTTGAGACTTGAGAGCATCTTCTGCATTGTGTGTACTCATGAATGGGAGGTGTAGGCCACACGAAGTCCAGCACTTCGCAGATGAGCTTGATGAAGTATGGTTTGGCTCTCTAACCACATAGGAACGCGTCCTGTATGGAGATGGGTCACGGCTCATTGCTCATTGGGCGTTGCTGGATTTCAACATCCGCGGGGGAAACACAGGGAATATGGCATCCAGCATACACTGTATGTGGCTTTTTTCAGGCTCACCAGGAATCGCGAGACCCTGGTTCATGGCTCAATGGATACTGGAGGGATGTTTGAAGGCTCGGTGGCTCCAGACGACGTGCAAGGTTTGGGGCTCAGCGCGCATTGGGGATGTCACATCGCCTCGTTCAACCGCTCTGGCATTTGCAGAAACTGCTCCTGCAAGACCCTGACTTGTGGCTCATAGACACTGGGGTGTTTTTAACAGGATGGGGATAGGAAAGGTGCCTCGATAGGCGTGCCGCAGGAGGGGAAAGGGTCCTTACTAGTGGTATTCTGGGATAAAGGTATCAGTCTTTGAATACTTCATATTGAGAAAGATCGAAAGATAACATACCTGATAAAAGAATTGATCTTGGAGCCAGTGCTGGGAAAGGTTGAAAGGAAGTGAGATGTCGGGGGAAAGGGAAAGCACTGATGACACAAGTGAGCGCAACGGGGAGAGAGTATTATTTTCAGCCCAAGGCAGCTACCCTGTGGACATATTTTGGAACACTTCAAGTCAATTTGCTTCCCTTAGATACGATCTAATATTTAAAAACAATAATCGTCAAGCGTCACGCTCAGCATGCCCGAAGCCAATCTTGTTCAGGATTGTGTCCACATTAGCTTGTCTGTTCTTCATCTATAACACCGAACGCAAGGTCCATCTCCTCCAGGGTCTTGATATTGGTCTCTTTAATAAAGATGCCCCCCAAGGACTTCCCAACAGTGCAGAAGCTTACCTTGAGCTGGAGGAACTATGGCACCGCGGAATGTACCGTTCAGTCCACCTTTATCAGCTGTGTGGGTCCCAAGTGGGCCTCCGGGGTAATTGACCATTTTGGAACAAGCCGTTGTTTTATTGTCGACCCAAACAATCCTTATCGCTGGGTACTGGGTACCTCGAGGGTGCATCGGCGAGATTGTGGTTGATGGCCCGAATGTGAGTCGTGGCTACCTGCGTAACTCGGCCCAAACCGACCGCACCTTTATCCAAGAGCGGGTTCGCCTGGGCCGAGGACCAATGTCGGCGCTTCTATCGCACTGGCGATGTGGGATATGTCGACTCGTACATTATTGGCATGCAAAGGCCGTAATGACGACCAGGTTAAGACCAATGGTCAGCGCATTGAGTTGGGTGAGGTGGAGACCCAGCTCCAGTCCGTGCTGCCCAGAGCCTCGCGAGGGGTTGTTGACAGGGTCAACCTGTCTGGACGAGGCAAAATAGTGGTCGCTATTATCCAATTTGATGACTTCATCGGTGCAGATTTTGAGCAAATTGAGGCTCGGGTTAGAGATAACCTCATCAATGTGCTCCCTCCGGCATTTGTTCCCTCACACGTGCTTCACATCAAGGAGATTCTGATGGAAGTGAAGGGCAAAACAGACCGGAAAGCCTTGAGTAAAATCGGCAGTGAGCTACTTCCTAAACAGCTCGAAAAAAAAAACAGCAGGATCCATATGACTCATAGCACTCGTAAGGCTTATAGCACTCGCCTGGCGCTCTTACGAACTAAATTCGGATCTAAACCCGTCAGAAATAGGGCCAGAATCTATGATTTACAGAGCTACCGGCCGACGGGAAAGCGTGGAGTGTAAAAAAACAAACGGATGATTTTTTATACCATAGTAGCAGAGCGAAATGGTTAAATGTCGCAAGGATCATGTGGGAAATGAAAAGAGTGGTTGAGTAGAAGGAGGTAAGGTCGGTAGGTTCATTTCTTAATTAGGACTAACATCTCCCGACTGGCTTTTTGTCACCCCGCCTACTACGCTGCTCTCTTTCCCTCCCTCTCATCATTACCATCATCAAAGGAATACAACTTTGCCCTTCCATTTGATCTTTTTAAACTCCCTTAAGGGGTTTCCATTTACTACATCATACACCGTCGTCTTTTTTTGTCAAGTTCTGATCAACTCAACCCAGCGACACACCTCACACCCCTTGCTGAGTATTCGCTGCCGTCAGTCGTAAACGTTGTTAGAGAGGTACAGTACTTGATCACTTTGCACCCCCTATCCTACTCGAAACCAGCCATCTCTAAAACGTTCTTTCAGTGAAATTCCTCGTCGCTTCTTTGCTTTACATTCAACATGCCTTTTTCACTTTGTTGGCTCGAAAAGATGAAAGTGGCCCCAAAAGCGCCATACCCGCGCTATCACTTGTACCGGAGTGCCACGAAGATGAGCAGTGCACAAAAGGCCATTGCATTGACGGATCTTCCTCTCGAGCTGTTGTGGATGGTGACTGCGCGTTTATCGCCCGTCGATATTGCTTGCCTTGCATTATGCAGTCGCCACTTGATGCTCTCTCTTAAAGAATCTATATTGCATTACTTTTCACACGATCGCGTTGTGGAACTCGGCGATGAGGCACGGGTCGACCTATCAAGTCGACTTTTTTTCGATCTGTTGCAGTATCATCATTGTTATATCTGCCTGCAGCTTCAGGATCCTATCCAGGACAACCCCTGTGCTTTATCCGAGCAGGTACTATATCGTCAGAACATTTCGCTTATCCAAGAGCAAACGTATCAGACCTTGATGACTCGTTATTGTGATTCAAAGAGGCACCTTCTTGCTGGGGCGAATCACCATCGTGCTGAGGCTAATCGCCATCATGCTAAGGCTAACCGCCATCGGGCTGAGGCTAACCGCCATCGGGCTGAGACTGACATATATTATGCTGAGGCTGACAGCAGCTATCATGTTTGGGCTGACAGTTATCGTGATGAGACTGAAAGCTATTGTGCTGAGGCTGAGCGTGCTAAGCGTGCTGAGACTGAGAGTGCTGAGGCTGGCAACCATCCTGCTGAGACTAATAGCTATCGTGCTAAGGCTAATAGCTACCGCGCTGAGGCTGAAAGCCATCATGCAAAGGCTGAGAGCTATCGTGCTGAGGCAAACAGCTATCGTGATGAGGCTATCAGCTATCGTGCTGAGGCTGAAAGCCATCATGCAAAGGCTGAGAGCTATCGTGCTGAGGCAAACAGCTATCGTGCTGAGGCTAACAGTTCTTGCATTATTATGTGAGATAGCCCTAAAGAGTAAACGTGGACTGCAGAAAGGGAGCTGGCTCACATCATGTCGCCAGGTTGCGTGGGTAATTCGTCTGTAATCTAAGTATAGGTCGGAGTTGCTAGAACTGCCTAGGTTTGGTAACCAAAGGCTCAGAGGGAAAAATTGACCCTACTCGGTCACCTTCCTTATAACTTCAACCGAGTTGAATCCTTGTCCTCTTACTGAAATCAAGACATGATGCTCCAGCCTTCTTTGAAGTACATATATACAATAACAAGCTTCGGTGGCAAAGGTACCCATGCTGGTACTGTACAAAACTCACCGAATATGATGAATGCCCTCCACCTAGTGAAATTCATGGGACGGGAAGTAACGCGTCGCAATTTTCTACCATTCGCGAAAGCCATACGGCTATGAGTCGAAGGTAACAGTTATCCGTGGGCGTAAAGAGCTGAGGGCTTGCACCGTTTACAGAATTTATAGGTTGTGCAGACTTCCATCAGAATAGTAGAAGTTCCTGCGGTACACTCCAACGACCTGAAGGGAAAAGTGGACATTTTGCGACAGATGTGGACAGAGACGTTGCCACTACCCATCGAAGCACCCCACTCAAAATCAGACTTGTCTCTCCGGGGGAAGCTCTCTTCTTGGAATGCGATATAGTCGGCTAAATCGTCACAATAATGCCACTCAGCACCACCGTTCGTCAATCTCTCTCTATCAAGGATTTTCTAGAGATAATGTGGGATCAATCGGTTCGAGCGAGGCCTTTTGAGTAGACATGATTACGACGTATTAGGGAGATTTATGGCGGGCGCCTTCGACTATACTGCAAGTTCCAGAACTCTTTAGTCGTGTAGCTGCCGCGGAATGAGATGGCGGGCATCAAGAAAAATGCACTCAACTAGATACGTCCCAATAACTTCAATACTGTTTCAGCTTATGGCCTTATTGTGAACTGCTTAGTCGGCTTGTCTGAGTGGAATATATGGATGAACTATAACAATCGAGTCTGGAGTGAGGAAGAAATATAGAGACTTATGACCTCCGTCCCAGAGGTCCTCGGTCCTCTCTTAAGTCTTACGAGTTAACGGCAAGCAAACTATCACTGGGTTATACGCTCAAGTGCAAGCACCACAGTCAAATTTCTACCAGCCTCAGAGCAGCAGAGCCCTTCACGGACTATTGATTCTACTTATATTGAGAGCCAGATAGCGGGAAGCCTCAAAGTCCCTACGGATGCAATTTATGTAGACCTAATCCGACCAAATGAACATACTAATTATTTCATTTTGGCTGCTTTTATTACCGCGGATGATTTGAAGTGTTTCACTCGCTATATAACTGACTTGCAGTTGTATAAATTGCGCTGCTGTTGTTTCGAACTTCATCCGAAGAGCTATAGTGAAGGCTCCTTTCTCAAGACGGTAGATTCGACGGAGTCGCTAGGACAGTGGTGCTTGACAAGAAAGATTCCGATCTCCCTGCAGACCTCTTCGTCGAGAATCTGAAGTATCCAGGCATCGGCGACCTCTTCGCATTTTTCCCAGGCAGCATCATCAAAACACATACGTGGCTCCTTTTTAACGTCGAAAATTAGAATAAATCCAAAGATTATATAAGCAATGGAGAGCAGTCTCAACACTTTGGATGCTATGTATTGTTGATGATGATGGATGGATGATGGACGTAGGCGTTGTACCAGGATTATGAAGCCTCTGAAACCTATGAGAAACCCAAATGGAATGCAGTAGCTGCCATTTTCCTCCCGACCCTTGTGGGATAGGGATAGCGTGACCAATGAGCGCTCGTGCCTAACCGCCAACGTACGGTGAGAGGCTGAAACCACAGCATTGGCGCGCTAGATAATTCCGGTCCGAATATTCCATCCGTTCATCAACGGAGTTGCGAAATAGGTTTTGCAGATCCGTGCTAGCGCTATCATCTATTTCTCTCTGTGAAACAAGAGAGGCAACTCCATTCTGAGACTCAAAAGCGATTTCGATGATCCATACACTGTGTTCTCTGCGGCGAACGATTTCATTGCGATTTGCCATTCATTGCTCGTAAGAGCCCCTGAGTGTTCACCGCAATCGGTTGACTAATTTTGTCGGGCATAGTAATTGCGGACGAGTCTCAACAGACTAAGGTTCTGATAAAGCTGGCCTCGGTGGTGCCAGGTCAGGAATCAAACGCTGGATGCAAAGTACGAATTCCATGATGAAGGTGATTATCCAGTTGCTCCGTCTCTGCACAGCATTTGCTGGAAGGCTTTGAAAAGCAAGAACAACCTGGAGTCAATTTTCTGCTTTGGACTGGCCATGGTGCCTTTGCTGGATGTGGAGATCAGGGGCAATATCTATGCCTCGTCAAATACCTATTTTCTCTCCGAGGCACTGCAGCGCCTTTGCAGATTCACTTACGAAACCCCCGCGCAGGAATCAAGTCTATTTACGCTTCTAAATCTTCAAGGATGAAAGCGAGGACCCGGCAACGAAGACTAAATTTGAGCTCGTTTGTCTTCCTCCAATTTTGTAAATTAAACCTTGTAAATGTCACAAAACCTCGGCTTGGCGGAGGCAGCACCTACAGCTGGACTAGAAAGATATTTCAAGTGGCCTAATCGGGCGGTCATAACTATCTGGCCGGGAGGGTTGAAAAAGACGTTTAGAAAGGTACCTTGGAAAATGGTATCAAAAGATGTCTAGAAAGACGTTTAAAAAAGTTCCTAGGAGGAGATTTAGAAGGACCAAGAGAATAAAGTATTGAGGCCCATTTGTAATACATATCTCCTGTAGGCCAAGCATTCTATAATCGTTACCTGGGGCATGTTCAAGGAGGGTTTTATGCATCGATCGTGAGGGTATTCCTGTCACTTGGGCGAGAACTCTCTCGGTCTAATTAATCCAATCCATGGAGAATGAAGACAGCTTGCGAGTTTATCTGCTGGTCGACGCGCTTTCCTTGTAATTCTCGACATGGCTCCCTTCAATGACACTTGTCGAGAGCTTTCTTTTGAATTCAATATCTTATGGGAGGCCTTCATGGAGTAAATTTTTGAGCAGCCCCTTTAGCTTACAGGAAAAGAAGGTACAGTCGTATCGATATCATTCAGCCATTTATCATCTGGTAGATGATAGTGCCCTGACATGTTGGAAGTTGGAAAAGATTAGCTTCCACAATCTCTCTCATAAAAAGCTCAGTGACCACGATCACGCCCATGATCACGCCCGCCACGCCCGCCACGTCCTCCACGACCCCCACGCCCGCCGCGACCACGGCCAGGGCCACGGTGGTTCGAGTTTCCACGACCACCATGTGAGCGACCAGGTGCCATCGGACGAGGTCCAGCACTATGTCTTGCCAGACGCTCCTCCTCAGAGGTCTCGAACTTGTTCGGAATCTGGAGCAAATTGGTGAACTCGGCAGTTTGAATGTTGTTGTATTCAATTGGCTGCTCCGTAGTAGAAATCGGGACAGCGGGGTCGTACTTCGGCGCACTGCGCTGGAAGTTGAAAGGGACATCCATGAGGCCCTTCTGGACAATGTTCTCTTCAACCCAGTCTTCCTCTACCAGGATCTTCTCCAGGTATTTCTCTTCACCCAGGTCGGAAGGCATGGGAACATTCGGGTCGCCCAGTTGCAGATCCTCTGCAAAGACACGGGTGATAGCGAGCCACTCTTTATCATATTGGAGGCGGTACGGGCGTTGGCATTGGACGTTCTCCTGGTCGGAAATAGGATTAACCTCAATAAGCTGCAGGTAAGGATCATGGTTATTCGGCTTGTCCAGAGCCAAGAAGCGAGTGATCTTATTCTGAATAGCCTGGGGGGTAGTCTTCTTGACCTCCTGGGTTGCTGGAACGATAGGACGAGACAGACTAGCGGGCAGCTTGTTGCGAATAGCCTGGTCAACAAGGGATCTCGAATCGCCAGCACCGTCGGTAGTCACAGAAGCATTCACAGGGGCATTGAGTGAAGGGGACTCCATACTTTCATCGCCGGAGTCCAGGTTGATTTCTTCGCTGTTTTGGACCTTCGCATGCTTGGGTGAACCAAGCATCCCCTGAGGAACAGCGGCGGTAGAAGTGGAATCGTGGTCATCGTCGCTAGAATCCAGGTCAATCTCTTCGTCGTTCTGGACCTTGGCCTTCTTGGAGGTACCACCGAGAGTCTCCTGGTGAACGACGACAGTGTCGAATGAGCGGTGATTCTGGTGAGTTGCGAGACGCTTCCATTCGTGGTTAGTCTCAGCTCGGATAGTCTGAGGCCCGGCTTGCTGAAGTCGTTCGCGCATGCTGAGGGTGGTCTCCCCCTCAGTCTTGTTAGCAGAAGATTGGAAACTGTTCCACGCAGCAAGACGTGACATTTCGTCACCGGTAGCAGGAGGGTTGGCCTTGGATTCGGTGGCATCTGGGGAGACCTTGGTGCTGACGTTCCCATCAAGCGCAAGGGAAGCAGTCGGCACTTGAGGGGTCGTGGGGCCCGCAACCTCCACAGCCCATTCGGTAGGCTGGTCGGCGGTCGGGTCAGTCTTGCGCAGGGACACGTTGTCATATGGCATAGCTGCAGCGAACTTCACATGAAGATGGGCCGAAAACCAGTATCCCGGTCGCAGACGGTCCACGACTTCACGAGCGGCGGCATTTCCCAGGCGGCCGTGCTGGGCGTCCTCGCGGAAGCCTCTCTTCTTGCGGAAAAGACCCTCTGCGTCGCCATAGAACTCAATCCCACGGATCCAGTCATGGCTCAGACCGACATCCACCTGGGTGCGGACCTGAAGAAGCTTGCGGATGTCGATCTCGCGGATGTGGTAGATGCTGTGAAGCTCATCATCGTTGTAAGGCAGACGCTCGGAGTGAGGTTTGCGGTAGTCATAACCCTTCCAGATGCCAGACATTCCAGAGATTCGAATGGGACCGAGACGGAGAACGTTTGCCGCACCCATGAAGAAGATGTTATGGCAAGCCCAACCTCCGTAGTAGAGCTCGTACAGGTAGTTGCTGCACTCATGGTTCCCGCTCACAAAGATTGTTAGGTACGGAGCAACGCGCTGGCCCGAGTAGTAAAAGGGAAAATCGCCAAGCTTTCTGTACTTGGCGGGCATAGAGATGCAAGTAGCATCATTGGCGTTGCGGAGGGTCTGCTTCATATTAGATCCAGGTCCCTCGAACGAGGTGCGATGAAAGTACCTGAGTGTCACCGCCCAGAATGACTGCGTCAACAGTATCCCAACCACGCTTTTCGCACTCCACCTTGACATCGGCATAGATCTGGTCAAGCGAGCCGTGGGCCTGCAGGGAAGTCAGTATCAAATTTCAAGATCAACACCAAGGCCAGACCAGAAATTCCAGGCTGGTCTAGTGAGTGGAAGAAAGAGCTTACGCAGCCCACAATTGCAAGACGGGGGAGTCCAGGATTTTCAGACATCGCAAGAGGTGATAAGAGAAGTCGATGTAGGTGAGTGATGGGAAGTGAGAGGTGTGGAGATATGGCCCGAGAGGCCAGGACAGGACGGTGGTGAGATGCTCACAGCAGAGCAGATGAAAACATGTCCAGGAGAGAGGGACCAAGGATGAAAGGAAGAGGAAGGAGAAAAGGAGGGGATGTATGGCGGGAGTTGAGGGTGAATGCTGAACCTGAGAGGCGAAGGGACGTTGCCGTGCGGGATTCTCAGGCAGATTTGCACTCGACCTTCTCACTACGGCTCTTTCCCACGTTGTGCTGTTGTGCCACCGTACTATTGTACTATTGGTTCATTTCTTGTTTTGTGGTTTCTTTGACTGCCCTCGAAACGATGCCGCCTATTGAGTCTCCTCAATTGCGCTTCCTTAGCGACGCCGCTCAGTTGCTGAGCTCGTGCAGCCCCTCTACGGCTGCACATCTGCTGGATGCGCATACTCGTGTCATTCACGACGACCACAAATTGCTCAATGTGCGACAGCAGAGGCATCACTGTGGATCATGTGGTAGTCTTAGACAGTCCCAATCGACTAAAATTGTTAACGTGCGGCCGAAGAAAAAGTCTGCGCGTGGCTCCGGCGCGAAGGTGTACAAATGTACGCGCTGCCAACAACGCACGGTGATCCCGCGCAGAAAAACAATTGCAAAGGCACAGTCGCGTACATACACCGCAGCCACATCATCCATTCCTACATCATCTACATCCACAGATGTAACTAGCTCTACGAAAGCTTCTTCTCAGCATCCGACGGCAGAGCCGCAACCCAGCAAGGCCGAGGAAAATGCCGGCAGCAAGAAGCGCGCCAAGGCACGCAAGCAAGGTGGACTTCAAGCACTACTTGCCGCCAAAAAAAATGCACAACCCTCACTCGACCTGCTCGACTTTTTGCAGTGAACGCTTTTGCGCGGAGTCGGACCCACTTTGTTCCGCCGGAGCTGCCCCGCGCTCCAGCTCCAGCTTTCTCTCTTATTGATTCAAGCTCACGCGTTTCACCCATTCTGACCAAGCATTACCGTGTGTCAATCTGCCACGAGCATAATGTCGGTCTACTCGCACGATGAGGATCACGACCCTCAGGCTGACGAGCTCCGCGAGACCGCCCTCGTTACCCTCGAGGCTTTGATCAGCTCCTGCAACCAGCAGATGCAGCCATATCTGGCCAATACCACCAGTGCAGCCCTTCGATTCCTGAAGTACGATCCGAATGTTGCCGAGCTGGAGGATGACGAGGAGATGGGTGGTACCCAGGATGACGGCAGCGAGGACGATGCGACTGAAGAACCCGACATGGACGACGACGAATTCGAAGATTTTGAGGAGGAAGACGGATACAGTGACGTGGATGACATGAGCTGGAAGGTTCGCCGGTGCTCAGCGAAGCTGCTCTACTCCCTCGTCTCTACCTACGGCCGCAGCCGCGCCCTGGACGATGCCGCTTTGTACCAGCAGATTGCCCCCGCCCTGATCTCCCGTATCGGCCGCGAACGAGAAGAAAGTGTCAAGCTGGAGGTGGTCTCGACCCTAACTGCCCTCGTTCGCAAGACCAGCGAAGGCTCGGCCGTCGTCACCTCGAACGGCTTCCTGGAGGCGGTTGGTGGATCCAAGAACTCCCGCAAGAGGAGACGCCAGGACAGCGATGCCAGCATGGTCGACTTTGAGCCCAGTGTCGGAACGTCCTCTGCAATCGATTCCCCCCTTATTCCCTCCTCCCCAAAGTCCGGCCCCCAAGCCGACTTGGCCCGTTCCGTGCCTTTGATCGTGCAGAGTCTGTTGAAAGCCTGGAAGCAAGCCTCGATGCCTCTGCGACAAGCTGCCATTATTCTGTTGAAAAGTCTTTCGTTGGTTCGCTACGGAGGACTGGCAGACCACCTTCAACAAATCGAAGACCTCATCGCGGATGCCCTCAAGACATCCTCCCTCTCAGGCAGTTCGGCGGCCCACTCGGGGGCAGCTGTCAGTGCGGGCACTCTGCAGATTGAAACTCTGGGCTTGATTTCTGCCATCGCTGAGACACACCTGTCCGATGCTCTTCTCCCCTTCTTGATTGCGCTCGTCCCCGGAGTCGTCGGTGCCGTCAATGAGCGTAACTATAAGGTTAGCAGCGAGGCACTCGGTGCCGTTGGGCAAATAGTCAAGGCCCTCACTCCACCTCGGGCCTCGTCCAATGCGTCTGATATGGCCATGCAGCTGGAGAAGCTCTACGATGTTGTCCTCGCCCGCATCGCCGACACCAGCGCCGACCTGGAAGTTCGCCAGCGAGCCATCCACGTCTTCGGTGTCATCCTCGCACGCACGGCGGGTGAACGAGGCACCGAGTACCTTTCGGTCGACCGTAGGTCACAGGGCCTTACAATTCTTTCCGATCGTGCCAAAAATGAGACAACCCGTCTGTCAGCCGTTCGCGCCATCGACGATGTTGTCGTCCTAGCGGACCGCAAACAGGACGTGACGGATGACTGGGTCAACGATGTGACTCTAGAGCTTGGCTCTAACCTCCGAAAGGCCGACCGTGCTTTGCGAGGATCGTGCTTGGAGGCCCTTCGCAGCATTACCATGAACTCTAACACTCGCTCACACCTCAATGCCAACACAATGACCACTCTGGAGAGTTCGCTTTTGCCTCTGCTGGCGGCACCCGACTTTCACCTACTTACTCCTACTTTGATCATCATTGCTAAGCTTGTCCCCGGGAACTCCAAGACCCTGGTCAACGATGCCCTGATCTCGTCGATCTGCGCCATCGTCAAGCAGCCTCTGGTTGGGACTGTCCTGAAGGCTCTGCTCCTTCTTGTGAAGGTCATTGGCGAGGAGGGTGCCGGTGCCCAGTTGATGCAAAACCTGCTGCAGAATGTTGGCATTACCGGCGACTCCTCCGTCGTGGGTCGGGCCATTGGAACCCTTCTGGTGCATGGCGGACCAAACCTCGGCGTCACGATGAACGACTTTTCCAACGAGTTGCAATCTGCCAAGGACGACAGTCGCAAGTGTCTTGCCCTTGCAATTCTTGGTGAGATCGGATTGCGGATGGGCGCCGAGTGCTCTCTCACCCCTGACTTGTTCATTGCCCACTTCGACTCTCCCTCCGACCATGTCCGTTTGGCGGCTGCCACTGCCCTCGGGAATGCAGCGGCAGGGAGTGTCAAGGCATACTTGCCTATCCTGTTGAACGGCCTGACGAAATCCAACTCTCAGAGCTATCTTCTCCTCCACTCGGTGCGGGAGTTACTCCAGCATCCCGAAGTGGTGCGTCCTGACCTTGCGCCCTCTGCCCTCAAACTGTGGCAGTCACTCCTCGTCGTTTCGGAGGAAGAGGATAATCGGGCTGTTGGTGCGGAGTGCGTTGGCCGTCTTGCGCTGATTGATCCGGTGGCCTACATTCCTCATTTCCAGCAGTATCTCTCCAATCAAGACACCGTCATTCGCGGCGTGGTCATTTCGGCTTTCAGGTACACGCTAGCCGATTCAAGCGATGCCTACAACGACGTCCTTCGCCCCTTGATAGTGCCTCTTCTGACCAACATGCTTGCCGACCGCGACCTGGGCAACCACCGACTTGCATTGACCACCCTGAATTCTGCCATCCACAACAAGATGAACCTGCTTCTCCCTCATCTGGACGAACTGCTCCCGGCCGTCTTCGGCGATACTCAGATCAAGCCGGAGTTGATTCGGGAGGTGCAAATGGGTCCGTTCAAACACAAGGTGGATGACGGACTCGACCTGCGCAAGGTAAGAAGCCTCCATATATCCAATTCAATTTTACTTGTTGCTAACTTTCGGATCCCAGAGTGCCTACGAAACTCTCTACGCGTCTCTCGACACATCCTTCTCCCGCACGCACGTCGCCGAATTGTACGACCGTGTTCTGGCCGGCGTTGAAGACGAGCAGGATATTCGCGCGATCAGCAACCTGATGACATCCAAACTCATCACCATCGCTCCCGAAGAGACGGAGCGCCGCCTGGATCTATTGTCGGAGCGCTACACCAGCGTCCTCTCGTTCAAGCCGAAGGACAACGCCGTGAAGCAGGAACTGGAAAAGGCACAAGAAGCCTCGCTGGGTATTCTGAAGATCACCAAGGAACTCAGCAAGGCATTCCCGAATGCCGAAGCGTCCAACGATCTGCACAAATGGAAGGCATACATGGAGTACGTGCGGAAGCAGTTTACGAGCCAGTACCAGAGTCTGGACACGGACTTCTAGAGGAGTGGAGTGCAGATATGTGTATGTTGCTTCCCACTGGGACCCACGATCTGAACATCCGGGTGCGCCCAAACTTTGCTTAGAAAAGCTTATGACCTGAACGAATAAAATGCATCGCACAGCACTACATTGACTGGTTTTCGCTTGTAGAGATCGTAGCAGTGGCGGGTCTCGAATTGATGCCCACTGGATTAGGGGGGTTCAAGGCAGGCAGCCACCAAACACGCCCCCACCGCAATCCTCAGCCCGACTCCACAGGGGGGCGGGCACTTGTATGTAGTATTGTAAAAGTAGTGGTCGAACGAACAATTACACAGTGAATACAGTATGAAGACCACGTGATAACCATAACGCCGCTGTAATGCCTTGTTCGTTCTCACACTGGCCGGTTACAGCTTTCAGCTATTGACTATGGTCACCGGCGTCCACGCTGGCATCAGGGTCTATAACACAAAAACCAGCCTTAATCTCGTCACTTGCCTCTCTTTTAAGCCGATCCGCGTCAATCCCAGCTTTGCGTAAGTCCTCCAATGTCTCCTCAGCCTCTTCTTGCAAACCTTCCCTCTCGAGATTAAAATAGAGCACTATGTAGGAATCGTCCATAACAGAACAGAGACGATCAGAAGCGATAGCGACGACCTTGCCGTCCGGATACTTGAGATAGTACCCGCCATTTTCAGGCCAGACGAGTGTTCCTAAGTTGGCATTTTGAATCTGGGCGAATGCAGGTTTTGTTTTGGCGATCTCGACGTTTGGAGGTATAGGCGATCTGTATCTTGTTGTGGTGGCTTCGGCAAAGCTATTCAGGCTCGACATTGTTCACAGGGAGGACAAAGATCACTAGGGTATTGAGAGATGACTTGGAGGACCGCGTCGATAGATTGAAGGACTCTTGAAGGAAGACTGCTTGCGGCAGGATGGAGAGAGTCGTGGAGCGATCGGGATTGACCTTGGTTTTACGAATCCTTACTGTATTTATAACAATACAAGGCAGGTGCTATTGTCCTGCTGATACTGAGAGAATTGAACGGAAGAATTGATTGTCCTTTCCGGAGAGTGTAGATTGTAGTATGCAGATGCAGGGTCCGAGGGGCTGAACGGGACCGAGATTGGGTTCTATTGGGCCGACGTTGACGTGATCTTGGCAGGGCGATCGGAGAGACCCATGCCCGGACAAGGCAACATGGCACCCGTGTCTTAGCCTGATGGGACCCTGAAAATTTTGCAATTTCGATACGGGTGCTCGTGACGCACCAACACGCGACCGTCAAATCTGGCCGGAATTATGCTAGTTCCTCAATCGCAGAAGGCGCGGTCTTTCATACATCTTTTGGTGAAAACGGGAGATGCCACCGAAGCGGCCAAGAAGGCTGGACCGAGGTAGACCGCATCAATGTGATACAGGATGATTCAAACGGAGGAGCACAGCCTGTTCCCGCAGGGGTCCGGGAATACGACAAAACGCAAATCACCTCCCAAGTTTCGGGGGCCGAACTTTGGACGTTCCCAATTCGATAGTCCAACCCTCTCTCGCCCCAAGTGGAGATGGCTCGGTCAATCAAAAGGGACGCAAATCAGGGCCTCGCCAAGCTTTTTAAAGTTCGAGCTTCTGATTGGAGAAGTAACATGCGACCGTTCGATGCACAGGGGAAACGGAGAATTGAGCCTTGTGTAGTGTGTCGGCCCCAATTTAGAGGGCATCCGAAGGCAGCCTCATATCTATTCACTTTCTTTTCCCTTCCCATCCAGCCACTTTCCCTTTGCTTCCCCCTTTGGATTCCACCCATTCGCTTTCGAGGAATGGGGTGCTTTGGTCTGTCGCGTATTTAGACTTAGACTCCCGGAGTCATTTCCCCACCATGAAGCTCGACGCGAGGAGCTGCCAGGACTTGCTCCGCATTCTTTTCTCTCCGACGTCGTGGTTTGACGTGTATTGGCCAGCATCGCGCAAGTATTTCTTCGGTCTGCTGTTTATCGGCGTGATGAGCGCAAAACTACTCCATGTTTACTCCCACCTGAACTCGTTATCCGTTGGCCAGTTCCTTCTCTGGGGCCCGACGTTCTTTTTGCAGGATGTCGTTTGCATTCTCATCGCTCTATTCCTCACTCAACATTGCAACCGGAGATGGGGTCGTGTGCTAGCCGCCTTGGTGGCTATCCCAGCGTAGGCGAAACCCACGGGACGATCTACGAACTCCGCTGACGATCATTTTGTAGTACTTTAGCCATCTCCGGCCTGGCCGCGGCCAACATCTCCTTTTACTTCCAAACCGGTGCTGAAATCCATTGGCGACAGGCGCATTACTTTCACCGGGACCCCGCCGCGGTCAAAACTCTGTTGACGGGCTTGACCGGCATGATAATTGTGGAAATCCTCTTCAGCGCAGTTGCCTGGCTATCGACCCCTTACCTGTACAACGCAGTACGAATCCCCGTGCGCATTCTAAAATCGACCGTGGCACCCCTCCGTTGCTGGAAGAGACGGGCGGCGACCGATCCCAAGAGCTATGCGCAGCTTCCTCGCCAGGATTGGGATGAGGAAAGCAACGAACATGAGTCCATGCTGGGGCGGCATCGAGTACCCCAGTCATCCCACAGGGGCCGACCTTCTCTGTTGCTGCGTATATTGGTGGGCTCGCTGGCAGCGGGTGTCGTTTTGCTGCGCTGCATTCGTCCGTCGGATAGCGCATACTCGTTCCTCTCGCAAACAGTGATCACCACTCCGTTCGAAAACCCCCCGGTTCACCAACAAATATCGTCTGTCGATCTCCCACCCTTGGATGGCGACTACAGTTGGCTTTATAACCACACAGCGCTGGGCACTCCATCAAAGCTGGACTGGCTACCCCGGAAGAAATTGGCCGGTTTCCGAGACTGGTATGCACTATCAAACGGCAGCGCCCCGCTACACTACGATCCGATCAACGACCCTCTTAAAATCAGCAACCTCGATCAAGATATCCTCGCACCGTTGCGAGACGCCTTGGCGAAAGGCGATATTAACATTAAGCATGTCTTCCTGCTCAAGCTCGAAAGTACCCGAGACGACGTCTTCCCGTTGCGCAAGGAGTCCCACCTCGGTGACCTTATTCGTGAGTCCTTCTCCGGTCACATCCCCGATGATGTCGAGGAGAGACTTGCCAACCTGACCCGCAACGCCGAGAGATTCACCGCCACTCCGTCTGGCTTTGATCTCTATGATGTTGAGCCATATGGTGGCCTCCATATGACGAATGCATACACGGGCGACACATTCACCCTAAAGAGTATTTTGGCAAGCGCGTGTGGTATCGCACCTTTGGTCGTCGATTTCAATCGCGAATATCTGCACCATATGTACGAGCCTTGCATGCCACAGCTTCTGAGTGCATTGAACTCGCTGTCCAACGACACCAAAGTTGCGAAGAAGTCGGACGACTTCACTACCTGGCCTTGGCACTCGACTTTTATGCAGAGCATCGATGACAATTACGACAACCAGAACCTTCTCATCCCGGCCATGGGCTTCCAGGACAAAGTGACTGACAAGACGATCACGAAAGACTCGGAAAAGAGGGATGGCGAGGCGCCCGAAAAGTTCAACTTCTGGGGCTATCCCGAGCACGAGCTGCGACATTACTTCTCCAAGGCTCTGAAGCATGCCGAACGGCATCATGAGCGACTATTCATTACCCATCTCACCGGGCAAACGCACCACCCATGGGATATGCCCAAGGGCCAGGATTACGAAGAGTTGATTCACACTGGTATCTTCGGTAAGAACAAGAACGTCAACCGATACCTCAACACCATCGGTGTTGCGGACCGATGGCTTGGAGAGTTGACGGAAGTGCTTGAGGAAACCGGAGTCGCCAACGAGACGTTGGTCGTCATGGTAGGCGATCACGGCATCTCCCTCATCGAGGATGGCGGCGTCACGCCATATGACAATCCGCACGTCGCCAATTTCCACGTGCCCATGGTCTTCTCTCACCCACAGCTACCGCCGATCAACATCGACGGTCGCGTCACTTCGCTCCAGATTCTACCGACGATTCTGGACCTCTTGGTCGAGTCTGCATCCCTAGACGAGAAGGCAACGCACGCGATCAAAGATCTCCTCCCTCTTTACGAAGGACAATCCATGATCCGTGAGCTTGTTCCCGAGAAAGACGGCAAGCTCGACTGGCAGTTCACCGTCATGAACACCGGAGCCACATGGTTGGCCCTGAGATCTGCACCTAAGCCCTATCGCATCGTCATTCCCATGGTCCCCGACGTGGAGTGGCGCTTCTCAGACGTCGATGTCGACCCGCACGAGGAGAAGACCCTTCAGTCCTTCACGTTGCCTCCGTTACTTGAACAGGTGGCAAAGGAGCATGGCGAAGAAGCCGTTCAATGGATTGAAGAGGCGGCGCACGTCGCTCAGTGGTGGGTTGCCGAGAACTGGAGTCGGTACGAATACGTTCCCGAGTCTTGATGGAATGCCGGGCGACGTGGCAACCCGCTGAGAAATCATCTCCAAAATGCCGTCGATGGAACCATCCGATTGAAGAGTATGGTTCATACGACAGCTACCCTTTAAAAAGAATGTTTCCCGACTCATCCGGACCGACGTCACCGGTCTGCTATTGGCCACGCCAACCTCGGTCCCCTCTGATTGGAGCACCAACGGTTTTCTTTTTGCATTTTACACGGCCTCCATTTCGGCATTTCGGCATTTCGGTTTACCTTCTTCAAATGTGAATAATCCTTGGCGTTTGTTCGGGGGCGGGGGTACATACGGAGCCAACCCGACACGGTGTGATTTACTTGGAATTCCCCCATCTTGTATATTGAAGCGACACGACATGATTTGCATCACCGCTACCCATCGCCACCTAGAATTGCATATACTATAATGAAATCTCAAACCATATCATTCATTCTCCGGGCAAAACTGGATCAAAATCTACTCCGTAAAACACACAATCTCAGCACTAGGAAGAGAAATCCAAGCATCCTCATGCTTCCCCCACTCCCTCCAAGTATCCGAAACGCTCTTCAACTCCTCCTGGGTCGCAATCCCATTCTCCAACGCCGTCGTAGCAAACGATGAATAGAGCGCCCTATCAACCCAACTCTCACTCCACCACTTCGTATCCCCCTTATCAGCATAACACCACACAGTACAGGAACACTTGGGATCCTTGAACCCCGCCTTCTTCGCCCAAGCATGCAACACCCTGCCCGCATTGGGCTCACCCCCATTCTTCCTCGCAACACGATCATACAGATCCTGCCACGTCTTCAACCCCGGCAGTTCAGGATACCAAGAAAAGACACCGTAGTCCGCCTCCCGCGCAGCGACAATACCCCCACTCTTCGTAACGCGCTTCATCTCCTCGAGCATTCCAACCGGATCCCCAACATGCTGCAGAACCTGATGACAGAAGACGACGTCGAAGGTTCCATCTTCATAAGACAGGTCGTTGGCATCGCCCTCGACGAAATCGATATTCGTCACGCCCTTTTCTTGGGCGAGGGCTCGCGCCTGCGTTAGGACTCCGCCCGCTCGTTCCAGACCCGTGATATGGCCTTGTGGCACGTAGGACGCCACGTCGACGGTGATTGTGCCCGGGCCGCAGCCGATATCTAGGATTTTCATGTGCGGCTTTAAGTGCGGCAGGAGAAAGCCTATGGAGTTGGATGCTGTGCGCCAGCTGTGGGAGCGTACCACCGAGGCGTGGTGGCCGTGGGTGTACGTTGCTGTTTCGGATTTGCTGGACATTTTGGGTCGGTCCTTTTGCTTCAAGGCTTAATGGGTGAGAATGGATGTATGAATGAAGTATGACTCGATGAGAAGTGTTTTTGTATTCTGTTTTGTAGGATTTGTTGTGCTTTCTGTGGATTTATAGATCTTTGACTGTCGTTGCGGGTTGTAGTTCGCAGGCCGAGATCGGAGGGGGGCTTGGTGGGGCTCGGAGGCCTGATGCTGACAGCTCTTTTGCTTATTGGCTTTTGACCCGGTCGGAGATGGCTGTGGAGGAGCATGAGGAGCAGTGAGGTGGGATCGATCTTCTCATTCTCATCTCATGATATTGTTTCCATTGTGATTGAGTTATGGGGTGCTCCGTTGTCGGACCGGTTGAGTGAGGAGCCTGGGGTGTGAGGCTGGTGCGGGTGGCGATGCATGGGGATATATTCTCCGCGCCGCGGCTGAGTTCGTCCAACGGATGTTCAGTGGTACGTCCGTCAATTTGCTAAGCAATGAAATCTCTTCCAATTTTTAGGGCAGGAAAGTAGTAGAAGTTACCAGAGCATGATATATCGATGCTATTGGGTCCCAAAGGGCCCTGAGAATCATACGATGGACGAGTGAAGGCTGATTGATGTGATGTCACAACGTTCACTGGCTGGAATGAAGGGAACCCAGCCAATCAAGTGAATAGGCAATTATTTTGTGACCATTTGTAAGGCCGTTCACCGAGAGACAACGGTTCTGTCATTCGTAGTTGCGGCCTGTCAGGCATGTTCTAGAAGCAGAACCGACGTTCTCCTGTCATCTTTTCTTGGCAGGATTGACGAAGGATTAGAACCAGATTGCTACGATGTCTGGACGACGGCTTGTGGTCAGAGTCTAGACCCAACGGTGCTCTTGGCTGAAAAGTGGGTAGGGTAACCATACTTGGCTTGTCAGTGGGTTGTCAAACTTGCAGTGAAAGAACTCGGCTCTGGAACTTAAAGTTATACCGCGTTGGTCTCACGTCGGTCTATCATGTGGGAAAAGCCAACCTCGATATGCGTTATTTTCGACTATCTCGAATTCAGGTCAAAGAGAGTTTCTCATCTTCTCATCTTGTCACTTCCGATCTGCATAGATCATCCCCCGGAAAGTAGATCTATGGGGTAGCCCCACTGCCGCAATATGACATGCATTTATAATTGAACGTTCTACGCAATTCCACATGCCACGATGTAAAACCTAAATCCCCGGACCATTCCACGAGACATGCGCGTGGCGAAGTCTGAGCAAAGTCTGAGGCGAAGTGAACTCGACACAGCACTCGGCATCGTACTCGGCTTCGACAGGCACATGAAGTTTTTTTCGCACGCTACCGCGTTTCGGCTTCTTTCTTCTCCCTTCGGAACGGTTCATGAAGCAGATCTGGTTCTGTTCCTATGTTCCTGCAAGCCTCTCAGGGACTCAAACTCTGCAAGCCATTTCTGGGAATTCCACGCGTCGAACCACAGGAAACGAGTAAGGGGAAAAGCCGCTGATGTCAAGTTCTCCAAAAAAGACCTGTTCCTCCCGGTCTTGAGCGAACGAGATCCTGTACCACTCGTACGACATGGAAGGATGGAAAATTGGAAAAGTTAAAGTTGGTCTGGACGCCTTCCAAATCCGGCGATGGCGAAGATGTTCGAGACCACCGAATGAATACCGGGCCCACCCCATCTGAGCCTATTGGCGAACCCCAGGAAGTCATCGAACGTCTCGGACGACTTTGTTAGATTCAGTTTCATGGAGTTGACTGCCGTCGTCTGGTTTGTGGTCCAGACATCGCCACAACTTCAACTCCACCAGCACCAGAAACTATATAAAGTCCAGCTCGAAACCCCTACGATGTTCTTCTCCTCATCAATCTTTACAGTCCTTCGACTACTACTATCCTTTTTTTTCTCTCTCTTTCTACGATCTGATCACTCTCTTTCAGATCCTCACACTCTCTTGACAAATCTTTTTGTCTGTCCTTACACAAGAGCCTTCTTCTTCCAACCTTATACAGTCCTTTGACCAAGTCAAACCGACCTCTTTCCTCTTTCAAGATGATCTTCTCCAACGTCTTCATCACCAGCGTCCTCGCTGCTACCGCTGCTGCCCTGCCTCACCGTGCCCGTGACTCCAGCTCCGGCTCCGGCAGTGTCCAGTTCGTCAACAACATGGGCTCTGATGTCTACCTCTGGACTACCTCTGCCGACCCTGGCAGCATGAAGACCCTCAGCAACGGCGGTGGCACTTACAGTGAGCAGTGGCAGACCAACCCCAACGGTGGTGGTATCTCCATCAAGTTGGCCACCACCCAGAGCGACACCTCCGACGTCCTCCAGTTCGAGTACACTGTCGACTCCGACACTCTCTACTGGGACCTGTCTTCCATCAACCTGGAAAACTCCTCTGCCTTCGTCGAGAGCGGTTTCTCCGTCACCCCCAGTGACTCCAGCTGCAACTCTGCCACCTGTGCTCCCGGCGATTCCAACTGCGCCGACTCCTACCAGCACCCCGATGATGTCAACACCAACTCCTGCTCGACCGGCGCTACCTACGTCGTCACTCTGGGCTAAGCAATATCCTTCTTTTACATTTCTGCTTTGCTCAGCGTTTCCTTGTCAGAAGTTGGGTCTTTGGATCCACTATTTCATCTCTTCAAAATGAAAAAAGCGTTGGTGACTGAAATAGATTTTCCTCATTTTCGAGGTTGCATTTGCATACTGGATATCCTTCGGACTCTTATGACTTATTTGATTCTTTCATATCCATGGATATCATGATATAGACAACCTGTATAGAATACTCAATAGACACAAACATAGATTGTTTGCACATTTCTGAAAATCTCTTTCTCCAAAAGATCTTTGTAAGAATGACTTCTCCCATGGTACATATTTAACTTTACCGGACTTTTGAGTTGGCAGACGTTGCCGTACCGTTCGAGAGATGCCGGGCGGCAAATATGACAGGCCACCCGAACGCCACCCGAACGCCCTTCACATGCCAAGCCTTAACCGAGCCCCAATTCGGCCGAAGTATAATCAATCCCCTTTGCCAGGGTTGGCCTTTGCATTGCCATGGCATCTACACAAAGAACTGATTTTTGGTAATCATGTCAAACCAGTTTGTGTTTGCTTTTCCCTGTCTCACATCATAAACGTCAGCTTGGTGAATGCAAGTGCCTTGACGCATGCTTTCGTACTATGTTGCATCTTGTAGACCTCGGCAAGGTGCAGTTCTATATATTTTTAAGTATCTAATTTGACACGCAAGATAGATGGTCTAATTATACTCATTCATCTTCGAACTACTGCCATACCCCGCTGGCTTGATCTTGGGAACGTATCCAGGCGGCAATTCCTTGGTCAAAGCCACTGACTCAGCAATGGCAGCTTTGAGGTTCTCAAGCGCTTCATCGCTGACTTGATGATGCATGGCAATTCGCTCATCCTGCAGCTTCACGTTGAACTTCTGGCACTGTTCGAGCAGAATCCCCATGTCAATGTTCGACTTCTTAGCGTCGATGAAGAAGAAATTCGTGTCGACTGGGATTTGCGGCACAACTCCCATGGCTTTCAAATCTTCCTCGAGTTTCTTGGTCTTTGCGTGCGTTTCTTTCATGGTTGGCCACACTTCCTTTAGCGCAACCATGGCCGCGGATGTCAATACACCAGCCTGGCGAATGCCACCACCTTGTTGTTTGCGAAGCCATCTAGCCTGCTTGATGTTTGCCTTGGTACTAGCAAGGACTCCGCCAACGGGCGCGCCGAGGCCCTTGGAGACGCACATGGAGATGCTGTCGAAATATTGACAGTAATCTGCCAATGGGATGCCGGTAGCCGCAGAAGCATTCCACAGTCGAGCACCATCGCAGTGGACCTTGATATTATGTGCATGCGCAAACTTTGAAATCTTCTCGATCTCTTCGATTGGCGTGAGAACACCACCGATAGTCAATTCAAGAGAGATGACCTTTGTAGGCGCGATGTGTATATCATCCCCAAGAATGACCCAGTTCTCCACATCTTCCAAGGTCAAATAAAGCCCATTTTTAGGATGCACCGGAGTCACCATAGCTTGAGACAAAACGGCCAGACCCGACCCCTCTGCGGCGTAGATATGGGCCCGATAGTCGCAGAGCACCGAATGCGGTGGTTGGAACAGATGAACACGAACGCCGATTTGATTTCCCATGGTTCCCGATAGCATGAAAATAGCGTCCTCCATTCCAGTCAATCGGGCGATCTCATTTTGGAACTCAGTGGTCATCTTGTCTTCCTGATACACGTCATCGCCGAAGGTGGCATTCGCCATCGCCTCCAACATGGATGGCGTCGGGGTCGTGAAGGTATCACTGCGGAATTCATTGGCAGCTCTGGATTGACTGGAGGCCGACATGCTGGCTGTTGGGGATGTCGAGGATGTGGTGGAAATTTGCAGTGACTGGTGCTAATAAGTTCGTGGATAATGCGGGGACAAACCCCACTCCGGAAATTTAGTTCTTATCAGGCATTGATATCCAGATACATAGTGGTGGTTAGTTTTTGCCACCAGAGTGAACGAGAAAAACTATGTACTGTTGTAAAAGGAAATTAGCGAATACTCCGCCCTGTCTAGCTTCTATAATGAGTACAACGACAATATACAATTCGCCCATCAATGCTTCACTCCATGCATTACCAGATGGAGGGAAGGTGCTCCTGAGATAACCGCGCGAGTCTCTCCTGATTGAACTCAAAGCACTCAGGCAGACCAGTCTCACTCCAATTACCTCCAAGAACAAGCTTAGCAACCCCGGGCGCGCAAGTAAATACGCGCGCCATGCCATGACCGTTGAAACCAGCACAGATATATTGACCGTCACCGAGATCTCCAACAAAGGGCACAGAGTCGGTAGTCATAGCAATAATGCCAGTCCAAGCGTCTTGCAGGCCCTCCCCATGACGAACAGGCTCAGAAAGAAAGTCAGGGAACAGTCGACCAAAGCTACGCAACGCATCTTCCGCTATTTCCTCGCTGTATCGCGAGTCATCGGTGCTGAAGCGGCCTGCCAACGTTTCGGCGCTCAAAGTCGGGTTTGATCGAGACACTCCCAGAACCAGGGTTCCATCTCCTTGTCGCTGAATCAACGAGTAGAAATGGTGGAGGCTGTAGCGCAAGGAGAAGGTATTCTGGAGGGCATTATTGGCTGCGAATGATGGTGTCGGGACTAGAGTGTGCGCCTGGGCACGGTTGGGTCGGAAATAGGGCTCCAAGTGAGGAAGAAGCTGGGCAGCGTGGGCGTTCGTGCAGTGGATGATTTTCTCTGCTGTGACAATGCCTTTGCTTGTGTAGATATCCCACCTGTCACCGTTCCGTTTAATCTCTTTGGCTTGGCAGTTTGTAAACAGCTTTGCTCCCTTTTCGATCACGGATTGTAAAAGAAAATGTGCCAGTTTAGCAGGATGGCTGGAGCCAGCAGGCCATTCGTATGCTGCGACCGCCCCTTGAACCTTTGTCCGGTCCTGGGCTTGTCTTCCTTCATAAAATTTGATATGGGAGACGTCGCCCCCTGCGAGTTTATACGCCTCGAGACTCTCCGCTTCATACTCTGCGAACTCCTCGGTCATGCAGACATCAAAGGTCGTCGTTAAATCGAAGTCGCACTGCACGTTGTGTTTCTTGACAAACTCGTCGACCTTTTGCAGCACAAGGCGCTCATTCGCAATGATCTTGAGAGCCTGTTCTGAACCGTGAACTTTTGAATATGCACTGAACCCTCGAAAGGCGTCAGGTCGGACATGGCCCGCGTTCCGAGAACTCGCCCCGCTCGCTGCCTCACGCGCTTCAATGATGATGAGGTCTTCGGGTTTCACGCCTGCCTCCAGTAGCGAGAATGCGGTAAGACCACCGGAAATCCCCGACCCGATAATGACATATTTGGAAGCATCAGGAACGAGGGAAAGGTGATGTTCGAATAGATAGGGAAACCCCCGAGTCGTTCGCTGCCAGTAACTGAGACCAGGGGTTGCGTTCGGCAAGCTCCGACTGCAGCCGACATGAGTGGACGACATGGTGACAAGCTAAAGAGCACCATACGAGATCAAGCAGCCGGTCAGGTGCCTATATATGCAGATGCCGTAGTTGAGGGTCTCGGCAAATTGCCCGGTGCGGGGAACGGTCAGCTACGTACAAAACGACGCAGATATCTCGTGTTTTCACCTCGCTTCGACCTTCACATGGTGCCATTCAACAAGAGTCTCCGCTAAGGGGGGCGCTGACCCAGGCCAATGTGACATTTGCAGACCCCGTAGTCGTTCCGAGATTGCTTCAGCCCTCCCGCGGAATGCAACCATTCGGGCAAGGTTATCCGGCAGATTTGTACCCCTCGATCTGCATGCGACTGGTCTTGGGGCCTCCCCGCGTGTTACTATCGCTGAGATAAGAGACTTTATCATGAGTAGTTCCCCTCAGGGTTTCCCCGTTTACGTTGCTGGCCCTATGATCGCGCCATGGGGTCTTTCAACCTATTTCGCCGTCGAAGGGAGCTGATGCCCGCCTTTGAGAGGTCCCCCGAGGAGAAAGCGCTCGTGCGACGTCTTGATACTTTCTTTCTGACGTTTGGCTGCTTGTCCCAAATCATCAAGTATCTCGATCAGCAAAATATCAACAATGCCTACGTCTCGGGCATGCAGGAGGATCTCCATCTTTACGGTGACGAGCTGAATTTGTGAGACTCCTAACTTCCGTGCACTGTAATACATTCTGATTCCTAGTCGTTATCTAGATTTACAACCTACTTCAATGTCGCCTACTGCATCATGCTGATCCCCTCGCAAATTATCATGACCTACGTCCGCCCGAGTTATTGGCTCCCTGGCCTGGAGTTAATCTGGGGCCTTATGACCGGGCTTATGGCCATGACAACCAGTGCAAAGCAAGTCTATGTTCTGCGCGTGTTTCTCGGTCTCTGCGAGAGCTCTGCATGGCCGGGTTTCATGACTTTGCTTAGTGAGTAGAACACATCCGGTCGTGAGACTGCCACTAATCTCTCGTAGTGTACTGGTATACGCCAACAGAACTAGCCAAGCGCATGGGCTTCTATCATTCATGCCAAGGGATGGGAACGCTATTCGCTGGCTTCATGCAGGCATCCATTTCAAGCACCATGAATGGCAGCGGGGGTCTGGCAGGATGGCGCTGGCTTTTCGTGATCAACGCAATCATCACAGTCGTCTGGGGATTTGCCGGCTTCTTCATGATCCCTGATCTTCCAAACAAGCCGAACCCTCGCGCATTCTGGTTCGAGAAAAATCATGGCGAAATTTCGATGGAGCGGCTCGCTCGCAACGGCCGTGCTGAGCCCAAGAGAGTGACCTGGGCCGGTGCGAAGAGAACCTTCTCCGACTGGGTCGTCTATTTCATCGCAGTGTTGTATGCTGCCACGGTTCTCGGTACCTACGGCTACGTCTACTTTTCTCTTTTCTTAAAATCTCTGAAGAATCCCGATGGCACCCCGCGATGGAATATATCCGAAGTGAATGCCATTCCAATTGGCGGATCAGTTATAAATGTCGTCTTCGTGTGGATCTGGGCTCTCTTATCCGATTTCCTCCGGACTCGCTGGACCCTGATTGTGCTCCAGGCGGTTATTGGAATCGTTCCGTGCATTATCATGAGCATTTGGACTTCGCACCCTGAGTCGGTGGCTCTTTCAGCCGCCTACGCGTCTTACTTCATCTCGTTCGTCTGTCTCGGCACAGCGCCTCTCATTTTTGCGTGGCTTTCCGATCTGATTCCACAAGACCCCGAAGCCCGTTCGCTCGTGCTTGGTGTATCGGTTGCTGGATACTATGCTATCTCGGCATGGTCGCAAGTTCTGGTCTGGCCTGCTTCGCAAGCACCGTACTACAAATACGGATGGCAATCCGCACTGGCGTTACTGGTTCTTGTCATTATCATGACATGTGCTCTACGTTATGTTGACGTTCGATACCTGCTGCCGAAGCGTGAGGCTTTCCAAGAAGAATTGGATGGCCAGGAAGTAGGTAGAAAGGATAGTGTGTCTGGTGCATCGGATCAAGCTGGAAATGCAGGGCCGTCTAATCGTGATCGCAAAAGAACTCAATCTCCCACGGTGAACGAAATGTGAGTCGTTTGTTCGTTCTGGAAACCATCCATCCAGAACATAAGATAAATAAATTTAAAAAAATAAAAACAGAACATTCAATAATTCTATACTGGTAGGTCCACTGGCAAGTAGACCCAACACAGGGGATTAAATAGGCTCATCACGAGGCTCAACCAGAATCTCATTCACAGAGACATACTCCGGCTGGCAAAGAGCATGAACAATCGAGTTCGCCACATCAGACGGCTCGAGGATCTTTGCACCGGACGGCTCTCCGAACTTCTTGACAGCCTCGGTATCGGTGGACATGTTCAACAACGGAGTCGCCGTGTTACCAGGCTGAATGGCAGTCACGCGCAAGCCGGAACCAGCCGTCTCGAGCCGCAGTGCCTGGAGTGCTGCCTCGACGAAGAACTTACTGGCTGAGTAGACGCCCAGACCGGGGAAGACCTTGCGTCCGGCGTCGGAGGAGATAGCCACGACGTGACCCCGGCCGCGTTCAAGCATGCCAGGTACGGTGGTTCCGAGGGCGTTCAGGAGACCCTTGCAGTTGACGTCGACGGTACGTTCCCACTCGTCGAAGTTGGTGTTTTTCATCATCTCAAAGTACATCACGCCAGCGCATGAAACCAGGATATCCACGGGACCGAGCTCGTCGCTGGCTGCTTTGACGAGATCTTCGGTCTGTGCCTTGCTGGTGACATCGGTGGATCGGACGACACACTTGACACCATGGACGTCAACCTGGCGCTTGACAGATTCCAAAGCGTCTAGGCGACGAGCACCCAGGGCAACGGCACAGCCTGCCTTGGCGAGAGCAGCCGCGACGGCTGCACCAATGCCCGATGAGGCGCCAGTCACGACAGCGACCTTTCCACTGAGAGGGCCTCGGACGGTGGGTTTGGGAGCCAGAGCTTGTTGGCTAGTGGGTGCCCGGGAGAGCCATCCACGAGCAAACCAGTGTCGAGTGTATGTCTCGAGGAGCAGGGCGTCCACCTTGGGACGCTCGACAGCCGATCGGAAAGGTCTAGTCAGGGCATTGTCCAGAACCACAATACCGCGCAGGAACTCCACAGTCGGCATGCCACTGCGGAGAACGTCGACGGTAAACGAACCATCTCCACCCTTGGACAAGCTGCGCTTCTCGGACCAGAGAGATACCCACTCGTCCCACGGGAGTCGCTGGGTAGGATATCCAAGCGTGTCCAGGTTCTCAAAGACAGATCGAATGTTAACCGGGTTGGGGTCTCCCAGGTGGAACATTGTTTGGTTGGCCTGAGTCTGCGTGGCGAGGTGAACGATGCTCTTGCTTACGAAGTCGACAGGAGTCATCTCTGCTCTCCAGCCTTCGACGTCTGGGGCATAACCAAGTCTGATGGACTCGACGATCAGGGCAGTGAGTAGATCCCACGCATTGGCTGAACCAGTGAGACTGTGGCCACTGATAGTACCGCAACGGTGGATCTTTACGGGCAACCCGCGCTCTCCGGCCTTGAGGACGAGCTGCTCGGCAACCCACTTGGTTTGGCCATAGCCATCGAGGAGCTTTGTGGGGACATCCTCAACGTCAAGCATGGCAGTCTCGGGCCATCCCTTCTCTCCAGAAGGAGGCAAGACACCATTTGTGGACACGTATTGGACGGTCGCACCGCCCTTGGATGCGAGGCGAAGAACCTCCCGGGTTCCACCAACGTTGGCAGCGCGCAGCGCCGCGTAGGGGTAAACAAGGTTGACAGTGGCTGCAGCATGGACGATGACTTGGACGCGGCTGGCAAGCTCGTCGTATGCTTCGGGCGACAAACCGAAATGAGGTCTTGACAGATTGCCGGGGAGGACCTCGACACGCTCCATGATTGAGTCGCGCCAAAGGCCAAAGTCGAGAAGGTTGCGGCGAATACGAGCCACGCCTCCAGCCTGGTCGTCAACTTCAGGATCCTTGAAACGGACCATACAGATGATCTTCGCCGAAGTGTTTTCTAGCAAATCACTGAGCAAGAAAGCGCCTAGGAATCCGGTCACACCGGTCAACAGCACGGTATCAGCCGAAGCGATAGATTTGAGGGTAGAATTCGAAGGAGGCTTGATCTCGTCATCAAGGGTGGCATCAGCGACCAAAACGGCGGGAAGATCTGCCTGCACCGCAGCGGTGTGGCCATCTCTAACCGCACGCACAGTGTTCAATTGACCGGAGAGTGTAACGTTCTCTGCCAGTCGTGGAATGGGGATTCGGAAACCGAAGTGACGAGACAGGCGGCCAGCGAGGTCTGCAAGCGATAGAGAGTGGCCTCCAAGGTCGAAGAAATTGTCTTCGGGCTTCAAGTTGGACTTGCTAACCTTCAGGACAGTTGCCCAAATGGTCGCGATATCGTCGATGCCAATTGGATCCTTTTCCACCACGCGCTCAGTGCTGTTGGGGGTGGGGGTACGAGGCGGAGTAAGACTCTTGAGATCGACCTTGCCAGAGACCTCGTGGGTGGGCAACTCCTTCATGACAACCCACAGAGAGGGTATCATATAGTGGGCGAGGTGAGGCTCGAGAATGCGACGAGCCGCAGGGCTGTGTCCGGACTCGTTGACCTCAACCAGCGGTCGTGCATCAGACGCATGCTCCTCATCGACCACGACGTAAGCGCACAACTGGCGATCCAGACCATCACCATGAGCAGTGACGGCACAATGGTTGACCGCCAAGTGCTCGCAAATCTCACTCTCCACCTTGGCTGGAACAACTGAATATCCACGAATCTTGATCATGGCACCCACTCGGCCCGTAATCTCAATATGTCCCGACGGCAGCTTGCGAGCCAAGTCGCCAGTCCTGTACATGAGAGCACCGGGCTTGGTATCGAATTTGTTAGGAATGAAGGCCTTGGCAGTCGTTTCCGGGAGGTTGAGGTATCCCCGAGCCAGCATGTCTCCTCCAACAAACAACTCACCCGCAGTACCCGCTTCCACTTCCTCTTCCTTATCATTGAGGATGTACGTCTGAATCAGTGGCAGACCCACAGGGCAGTAGTGGGATTCCGTCTGGAGCATATCACGGATATCACCACACGCAATCTCGTGGGTCTCGCAGGCACTGTAGCAGTTGAGGAAGCGGGTATTGGGCATAGTCCCGATGCCGCGGCGGGCGAGATCGGTGGTCACAACCTCGCCATTGAGCCAAAGAGTTCGCAGATCGGGAAGACGAGTAGCAATGTGCGGGTAGCGTGAGAGGACAGTGGCGAGTAGAGTGGGTGTCATGAGTGTCTCGGTGACCTTTTTTGATTCGAGCAGGTCGACCAGGGCCGCGGGATCGTAGCTGACTTCGTCGGGGACGCAAATGACCGTAGCGCCTCTGAACAGCGGACGTAGCATCTCCCAAATGAAGAAGACATTGCAAGCCACTCGATCCCCGGGCTGCAAATCTTGTACTGCGAATCGAAGGTTGTATGAAAGCACCGGGGCTCTCTGGGGGTTGGCAATTCCCTTGGGCTTGCCGGTTGTGCCAGAGGAGTAGGACACAAACGCCAACCTATCCAAATCGTCCTCCGCCGGCAGTGGGGGCAGTTCCGAGGCATCGTAGCTTTCTTCGGGGGTCGATTCGTCGAGGAGGATGACCGGGCACTCGGCGGTGACTTTGTTGGCCTCGGTCCCGTGGGTGATCACGACGGCCGGCTTCGCATCGTCAATGACATCAGCCAACAAACCCGGCGGATATGCGAGCTCCAGGACCAAGAATGCTCCTCCGGCGCGAAGGGCTGCGAGGCACGCAATCACATAGTGTGCGCTGCGAGGTAGGAGCACTCCAACCAGACTGTCTCGGCCGACTCCGCGGAGACGGAGGCGAGTGGCAAGGGCCTCAGCTTCCTTGTCTAGCTGCGCATAAGTGTATGTGGTCTTTTCATCCTCCAAAGCAACGGCATCGGGCGTTGCCTGGACCTGCTTCTTGAACAACGATGGCAGGTCCAGCCTGGTATCGATAAAGGTCATTGTCGAGGACCGCCGAACGAGGGAAGGTAGGTCGGACGCGGGGCTCGAACAGCCGGACTAGCAGATCTAGAACCGTACGAATTCGAGGCGTACGGCCGCAATGGGAAGTGTGAGAGTGGAAATCTGCGTGATGCTATAAGAGCTGGAGATGACGCGATCGGCTAAATAGCGAGCACGAAAATGGCCACATGCCCTATTTCTTGATTTCCCACCATTTTGTTGAGAACCATATAAAAGCAAGCTCGGATGGAGACGAAACATCGAGCTAGACTCCATCCCGTCTAGCAAGAGATTCCTTGGAACCTCATGGAGTTCCTCTCCCTTATCGGAGCCAATCAATCCCACATCCGCCAAGGCGCCATGCATCGATTCGAGGCCGTGCCGCATCTGATCCCCTCCCGATCGCTACGCATGGAGGCCCTGAATGGCGGACACGTTCTCCCGTGAAGTATTCGGTAGTCATCGCTATGACTACTCCTGGCGCACCACCGCTGCATGAGTAAAAGAATCTAAGCGGTCAATTCCATCTTTCTCCGGTGTGGATCCACCCCCACTGTGTGCCCCTTTGCATGTGAAGTCCCTTCCCCCAACGCTTTCTACAGCTGTTTCGGTTCCTGAAATGGTTCATTTTATTCCTCTCGTGGCTAAAATCTCGTCCCGCAGGCCGTTAGATATTGAAGACCCTGAGGCGGTGCACCAGGGCCAGGTACATGGCTTTTTTTGGACTGCGCCCGGTGCACTCTACCCCGCGAACGTTCCAGCCCTGTCTCTTGGGGGCGAAGTTCTTCCGGTTTCTTCCCTTTCCATGTTTCCGTGAACTTACTGTGCCGTCATCATTATGCTAGGACTCTTTTTCTCCAACGTCTTTTGATACTTTTGATACTTGGATACTTCTGTCACGTGGGCAACCTGTCCCTGACGGCTTTATCCTCGACCATCCATCCCAACGTATTTTGTATTTTCTGCTTTGGTGAGATCATGCATGTCCTAATGTATGTGCAATTGAGATCGCACGGTGCTGAACAGGTCGGAGGATATCAGCTCCCCTTCACTTGAGATGCCCCTCATCGAACTCGGTCCATCGGATCTGACCTAGTGGGGCACGCCTGTTTAAGATCGGCAACATTAATAGCTCCAATTCGGTTTGTCAATTACTGCCGGGTCAACGGTCAACTGGTACTGGAAAAGTCATATTTGCAGGTTCCAAGTTTCGTCTCTTGGCGAGTCCAGGTGTGAGACTTGGTGGAAATCGTGGTCATCTGAAACCAATCGCGTAGCTGGAAAGGCCATCTTTGTCTCGTTCAGTTTGCCACTCTGGAGCCATGGCGTAACACTCGGCCCTGAAAGGGATCAGAGAGGAGTTAATAGAAGGTGAACCGAGGGTGAGGCCAGTTTGCGGTTTCCATCCTTTTATGGCTTTCTGTCGCATCTAACAGCCAGAAGACAGACAGACCTCGTGCAGACGCCGACATTTTTCCTATTAACCCCAAAGAAGCATTTCCCTCCCTCATTCGGGAAACTCAATTAATTTTCCTGGCGTTCTTTGCTTGCTTACCAGGTACGCTAAAAAAAAATAAAAAAAAAAAAAGGCCGACTAAACTATAATGAGCCTCATTACAGTTACCCTCATGGGATAGTATTGAGATTCTGCGATGTGGTGCGGCCGACCGTATCCTACCCAAATAATTCCCTACCTTTGAATCCCTGCAACCACTCCCACTGCTGGATGACCTTGAAACTCGGGGAAATGAAATTGAATGGCGTAAACCAAATCTTGCTAAAATTTCAACTTGATCGCTACGCTCGATGGATTTTTAATGCAACGCCAATGCAAAGCCAATGTAAATGCGACAAGAGTCAAATGCAAACCCTAAGCTCGTACTAAAGGTGCTGACTAAAATGCAATTTAACACCCCCCCCCCCCCCCCCCCAACCAAAGTGTTAGGTTGGACCCTGACTCTCGGAGGGGCGGATGGAGGGTCCAAGGTTTGACCCCACGGGCCAGGTCTAGGTTGATGTTGTGCACGATTGTTGCCCGTGAGACCTGCATAGCAGAGAAATGACATTGCGCAGGCACCCCTTACATACTTCAGTGAATTGACATTACTTATGAAGGGAAACAATCTCTACAAAAATATAATGAGTATTTTGGAACTCGAACCATTCTTAATAGACTGTCTTGAATCATGAGGAGCCTTACGTGGCTATTTATCTTTGCACCTACTGTCTTGACTCACAGCACTCATCATCCACGCCCAACGGCCATTACGCGCAATGGTACCATCCACGGCGTACAACTCCCCTCCTTCCAGCAAGATCTCTTCCTGGGAATTCCTTACGCCCAAGCCCCGCGACTAGACAACCCTAAGCCTATCAACACTACCTACGATCACGACGCTCCGTTTGACGCTTCTCGATACGGAAACACATGCTACGGCTTCGGCTCCAACGAGCTTTTGGGACTGACCCAGAGCGAAGACTGTTTGAATTTGAACATCATCCGACCATCCAGAGCAACAGTGGACAATCATGCCAACCCCCTCCCTGTCTTATTCTGGTTGTACGGCGGAGGCCTACATCAGGGTTCTTCCGCGGACCCAATGTGGAATCTATCGTATATTGTGCAACGATCTGTAGAAGAGGAACAGCCCCTTATCGCCGTAAGTATCAATTACCGTCTCTCTTTCCTCGGATTTCCAGGAGGACGCGAGGCTTTAAATGCCGGGGTGACCAACCTTGGACTTAAAGACCAGCGATTGGCCCTGGCTTGGATCCAAGAGAACATCATTGCATTCGGTGGTGATCCGTCTCGGGTGACAATCTGGGGCGAGTCTGCGGGCGGAGTCAGTGTTGTACAGCAGCTAGTTGCCTATGGAGGCCATGGTGGCACTGAGTTGTTCAGTGGTGCCATTGCAGTCAGCGGTTTCGCTACGGGCGCTGCTTTGCCGGAAACGGAGAAGATGCAGGCTGGATTTGACAAGCTGGTGGAAGGGGCCAATTGTACGATGGCAGAGAATAAGCTTGACTGTCTTCGCGGGACATCCTTGTATAATCTGTATCCCATTGAAGGGAGCACGGATGGGGGATGGGGTCCTGTGATAGATGGTGATTTTCTGCGGAGACCTCCTGCTTGGGAGATTCTGGATGGGAACTGTGCTCGTGTGCCTCTCCTTTTGGGCTGTAATTCGGACGAGGGTCTTATCAAAGTGACGGCGTCGGGATATTTCCCCAACGGGACGAATGAGACTACGACCTTACTGGAGACCAATTTCCCTCTCCTCCAACATTCGGTCATCGAGCAGTTACTGGATCTCTATCCAGAAGACGAGGAAGCACCACCGTACTCCCTCCCGCCAGACTTCGCGTGGTGCGAGGCTATGCACGCCGTCAATCTCCCCTGTGGCTCCCAGTACCGCCGCGCCGCGGCCCTGCTGGGCGACTACGTCTCGAACGCGCCCCGACGGTATATGGCCCAGCTGTGGTCAGGACTTGGTCTGCCGACGTACAGCTTCCACTTCAAGGCAGCCACGACGGGGATCCCGATCCAGTACTTCTACGGTCTGGGTCCTGGCTTTGCAAACCACGGGGCCGAGTTAGCGTATGAGATGGGGTTGCCGGGGGGGTTTACTACGCCGATTCGGTTTTATCCGCCGGTAAAGAATGTTTCTGGGCATGTGGCTTTGTCGGCGGAAATGAATCGACGATGGATTGCGTTTGCTGCGAGAAGGGATCCGAATGAGTTGACAGGTATGTATAGATACACAGTTGAGGTTTGATTGTGAGAGTGATCTAAGAGGCTGGTAGGCTAATGGCTCGAGTAGATGGGAATTCGTCACTAAAGTGGAGGGAGTATAAAACATCAGCATCGAATTTTGTTTTCGATGCTACTGACGAGGATCGCATTCTGTATATGGAGACAGATGATTACCGTGAAGAAGCATGTCAAATATGGACGGACAATGTCGCCCAGACAGATTATTCTGGCCAAGGGCCATAGGAGAGCATCCTCAAAGCGGCATCTTGAATAGGAAGCCCCCATCTGGCAGGATAAACATGATACGTATAGTGACCTAAGTAGCCCAGACATACAACGTCACGCTTCAGTGTATCAAAAGCACCCCTTCTCGGCCATTTTCTTCTGCACGAATCCGTCCATCTCACGTCTTTCGTCCGAACTTAATAGCCCCAGTCGATCCGTTAGATCACCTGTCCCGAAAAATCGACGGTCGATCTTCGCCCAGTATATCATGTCAAAGGCCCAGCTTCTCCGTGCTGCATATGTAACCCAGAAATCACCAGTCTTCCAGCTTTCTTCCATGTGTCGCGAAAGCCGATCCTCCTCGAAAATAATTCCACGCTGAATGGCGGCGTCCTCTTTCAGTCGAAGTTCCTCTAGGAATATTGGAAGGCGTTGCCGATAAACTCGCGTCCAGTCATCTAGTCCTTGCTCCCAATACTCCGGACGCTCCGGTAAGAGCCATGACGGAGGACTATACGTAAATTCTGCGGGTGCAGTATACGAAAACTCCCAATCGATAGCTCCAACAACACTGTAGGCGTATTGAGAACTTGCGAGGATATTCGCAGGCCTGAGGTCGTCGCAAAAGAGCTTAAATGGGCCATTGACATAACGGCAAAGTCGATTCTCTCGCGCAAGTTTTCGGAACAAACATCGTGCGATATATTTCCTTTTGCAATCTTCTTCGGAACCAATTGCATTGTTTCGTTGTGAGAATAGATGTGCCATGTGCTGTTCTGCAAGGGCCAGGAAATAAGCAGAAGCAGTTTTGAATGTACCCTGAGGTAGAAGGTGTGGAGGGAAACCGCCCAGCTGGACAAGCTCGTTCATATTTATGGTCAAAGGACGGTCCCTGACAAGCCATTGATCATCATCTTCGCCTTCGTTGCATGATATGCAGCCGATCTTGTTAAAAGAATGTCTCCCAAGCTGAAGTAGGATATCTGCCATTTGACTATACACCGATCTGAGTCTTTCATCGGTGATATCAGGGTCTAGAATAGGTCGGTCGTCATCTGAAAGACCTGGGCTATTCAGAGCATCAACAAGATCAGAGTCGTGCTCTATGTACTCCATGATAATAAATGGACCCAATCCAGCCGGACTTTCCTCAGTCATTCCATAATAAAGAACGTGAGGAACGCGGATTGATGTGCGCTGTTCGATAAATCCCATCATAGAGACCTCCATTCTAACCTTCTCCTCTGGGAATACTGAATAACCAGGACCTGGAAATCGGATGATTGCCGAGCCACCGTCGAGGAATTTCATGCGGAGTATAACATTGAAAGCTCCTTTCTGTGGAGAGAAAAGTTCATCTGCAGGTCCTCCTCTGTGCTTGATGATCATAGCTCCAATCTCTTGAAGAGCCTCTTCCTTGAAGAGCTTTTCCTTCCAAGCGGCAAATGCCAAGTCGCTTTTGTCCCAAGCAATCTCGTCAAAGCCCATACGTTTCTCCACGGAGATAGCGCGTTCATGCGAACTCTTGTTGGTGACTCTTTTTGGTACATCCTCAGAATCATTATATTTGGAGAGAGCACCATCATCACCCATCTGCACATGCTGGATCTGATAGATACGTTCTGACAACTGAGCACAAATTTGGAGGCACTTGTGGATGCTCATTCGCTCCTCCTCCATGAGTCGATGTTCTGTTTCATCTGTGCTGAACCGTTCCACATTCTTTTCGAGAATGCTCTCAAGCTTTTCATTGATACTCTCTAGATGATCCTCAAGGTCGCTGGAAGTAATCTGAATGAGGTCTTTGTAACCTTCAAGGCTCTCGGAATTGACGGAGGGCTTGTGGCTGGTATAGGAAAAACAAGCACAATAAGCACTAGACCTGTTCTTGTACAGATAAGCAGACACTTACAGGTTTGCACCAGTGACGGCAACAGTGACAGTTAGCTTATATGCAGCTAGAAGTCGTCTGAAACCGTCGATGTCTTCGTCCATGTATCTCAGCTTAGACCAGTCTCGGAAGCTGATTCGGCTAGCACTAGACCGTGCTGCACATCTCGCAATGACTTCATCGAAGTCTGTGCAGGCATTTCCACATCGCCACAGAGGAAGTTCAAGGGCAGAAAGGTCCAAATCAGTAGCGACACCGACTGTCTCTTCTAGCCGGCGAAGTACTTTATTGAAAGACTCAAGCTCCTCTGTGAGGTCACGCACACGTTTTGGATGAAATTGAAAACTCTGGACTGTTTTGTAAAGTGTCATGCTGGACTGGGAAGCGAATGTAGCTAAAGCTGCTATGCCGGAAACCAATTCGATTGGCTCTGCCATCTTCTCCGTCACGCCTTGAAGTGAGCAGCAGTCTAATGCAGAGTGTGAATGAGACACTCGCAGGCAACAGATGGCGGACCTGGGCTCCTCTAATATATTTTACGACAAGTAACAGATCAAGGTGAACTCCTATGGAACGTAGAGTATAAGCGCTCGCTGCTTTGCGATAAAGAAATATAGACTTGTTGGATAGAGGCGAAAGGCTGGGTTTCGCTACTTGGAGGGGCAAGGTCACTAGTGGGGTGGTGCTTGGCGGCTAACAGACTAAGTTACCAACCCGTTCCTTCATTTCACTCGCATCGGAGGTAAAACGCATCACGGACATAACAGATTCGGGTTTAAGGAGAAGAGAACTACCACAAGTATACTAACAAGATAGCTGTGTATTAAGTGAGAAGATAGTTCTCCTTTAGAAGATAAATGTGTCACCCAGCCGTCATTTGGCGACAGGATTTGGAGGGCATCTCGCATTCGAGAGGTAGTATTACCACCCTTGTTTATACCATTGCGCGCTACGAGGAGCAGGACTCTTGAAAGAATTGGGCGTCACGTTTTACGTATAGGAATAAAAGGTTGCATTTATATTGAGACCTTGACCTAAATATTTTAGAACCGCAGAACGTCCGGTTTTGGTGCGCGGTTCCAGACCTTGGAACTAGTACCGCATTATTTTGAGGTCTATGCTCGAGCTTTAGCCGCGGGAAGCTCAGAATGTGGGACCTTACGATTATCGGGTCCCATGACTACGCCTAAACGGGGTTCGAATTCGTCGGTGGCTTCTCCAGACGTCCTTTCCATGCTGCCGACAACATCGTCCGGCTGGTCCGACCACATCGTCCGGTTCGTCCGAGAATAAACCCGTTGTTTGACAATATAAGCAAGAGACCTCGAAGAATGCATTTTATAGGAATTTGCTATACTGTATGCAATACGCTCTCATTTGTCTTTAAAGAAGCTTGAGGGTCACTTTTTCTTCTTGACTTGCCCGTTTCCCTCTTATAACAGCAGCTTTCGGACCGGTCGATCACGATTTTCTATTCTACACTATTACCGGCTCTTCATTGCAGCCTCACATCGCGCAGCATCGCCCCCAGATCTCCCCGTTGTTGCCCGCGACACTGCCCTCCTTTTTATCTCTCCACCGCGCACCGATAGCAGAAATGTCATCGACGACCCGGGCTCCGACCGTGCCGCCGACTATGCGCGCCTGGGTGCGCCCGCGGCGCGGTCCTGCTCGCAGTGCGCTCGAGCTGGTCACCGGCTATCCCACGCCCGCCGTGCCCATGGGTATGTCGCCCGACGTCCTGATCCGCGTGTCACACGTGTCACTACAGTTTAGTACCGAGATGTTGATGAAGACTCTGCCTAACCTGCCCTTAATCGGCCCGTGGGTCCCAGAGGTCGAGCTTTCCGGCGAGGTGGTGGCGGCTGGCGAGGGCGCGCCGGCAGAGGTGCGCGACCTGGGCTCGCATGTCGTCGCCTTCCAGAACATTCCTAGCGCCGTGGTCATGGGCCGCGGCGTACTGGCAGAATATGTGCGGCTGCCCGGCTGCCAGGTCGCACATATTGATGCCGGTGTTGACATGGCGTCAGCCTCGGGCATTAATGGGGCCGGCAGCACCGCGCTCAAGATGATCCGCACAGCAGGTGTGCGCGAGGGTCACACTGTGCTCGTAAATGGGGCCAGCGGGTCGGTCGGCTCGGTGCTCGTGCAGCTGTGCAAGCTGCGTGGTGCATATGTGGTTGGCGTGGCCAGCGGCGGCAACGAGGCCATGGTTCGTGGCCTAGGCGTGGACGAGGTAGGTGGAGGTTGCCGACGTTATGCAAAAATATGACTAATTTACACATAGTTCGTCGACTACCGTAAACATGACCCGCTGCCAGCCTACCTAGCGCAGCAGTATGGCGACAAGCCGTTTGACTTTGTGCTCGACTGCGTCGGCACGCAGGCACTCTTTGTTAACTCGCCAGCCTATCTTAAGGCCAAAGGAGCTGTGGTTAATATTGGCGGGTTCGAGGGCATATGTGTGACGGTGCGCAACATGCTGCTCAATAGCTGGCTGCCCACCTGGCTGGGCGGCGTGCCGCGCCGCTATATCATGTTCAGCACGCCGCCGACGCGTGACGACGCAGTCTACCTGGCGCGTCTGGTCGAGGAGGGCCGTTTGCGAATCCCAGTCGACTCGGTCTTCGATATAGAAGATGCCGTGTGCGCCTACGAGCGCATCGCCACCAAGCGTGCGCGCGGCAAGGTAGTAGTCAAGATGCACGGCGGCTAGGCCGCAGGCATGTCGAGGGCATATTTAGATTATTTCCATTAAGAACAATTTTCTATGTGAAACTCATACAAAATAATTTCGCCTTCGCCATACTTTCAGGACCAATATAAGAACGCGGACAAAAACCAGGGGGAATATGAAGGTTTGGCGGCTTGGAACTAAGGTGTGGACCCAATTCTATGCTATGGCGCAGTCTAAAAGCAACAGAAGAGAAGCGCCAGTCCTGATCCGATTAGTTGCCCTCGCCTTCACTTCCATATACTCGTAGCGTGGGTCACAAATTGTGGTGTTCTACAGAGTCGACCATCATCTGACTTCTTTTAAAAGTAATTTCGAGGCTAAACAAAACAAAGACCAGCGTGTTTCCAAATTGAGTTTAGAAAATAAATCAAGAGAACGAAGCAGTGGAATTGATTTTGATTCATTCTGTAATAGTCACAAGGACGTCGTCTTTGTAATCTCAGATCAAATGAAGTATTATACAAGCAAAGCCATGACACTATTGATCGTCAACTGTGAGTGGAAGCTTAAACCCCATTTATTCAGACGGTCCTGACAGGCCACCCTTGTGCCCGGCCTCTCTAGTGCGCTCATCGCCGGGCTTGAATTTTCCGCCGGAGGCATGACCACCCTTATGGCCTGCCTCTCGCGCACGCTCGTCGCCAGGTTGGAAACTACCACTGGACGCATGGCCACCCTTGGACGCAATTTCTCTCTGGGTGATTGATCAGCTCGGGAAAGCGAATTTCGCAACGCATTATCAGCATACCTGCTTGTCCGGATCCATGTGAGCAAAGCCACCTTGGTGGCTCGCATGACCACCCTGCTGGGCGATTCTCGATACCTCCTCATGCGGTCGGTTGGCAAAGTTTCCGGGGTTCGGATTGGAGGACATGTTTATTGTATCAGATACTGGAATGTAGTCGAATATTGTCAAATGTGATATTCGGATGCGATATTCAGACGTGACATTGAAATAGAAACGGATTGATGCTAGGAGCAACTTGAAACGCTTCTTATAGCCCAACATCTTTCGCCATTTCTTTGCATGACGCTGTGGTCACATAATTATGAGCTGATCCTGCCACTTACTTTGCAACGTACATTTACGTCATTAATTTGAGGATATAAGGAACACGAGCTATCAAAGTGGCGGATGCTAGCAATCTCCCCGGTAATTAAGATCCGATTGGCTTCACCGGGACATCGCCTCATATTTTGGGGCCACCATGCAGGTCAAATATATGTAATGTAATAGCTCCGGCACCCTCATCACGATCGCCACAGAATGGGTCTTGGGACTATGGAGCGATCGTCAGTAGTAACTCTTGGATAGTGAGCGGGTTTTTATGTTCGCCACGAACTCAGTTTTTTACATCATTCTTGTCCCTTTCACGAGTGGCGCCACGAAATCTGCTTTCCTAAAGTGCTTCTATCAACAAGTTAACTATGGGTAGGATATAGCGGCCATGATAATTTTGTCAGCGAAAAGAATATATGGACATACGTCCGATGCTATCAAGTTGAAGGCAACTTGATAATGGCATAAAATTGTGCTGGTGGGTCTCAAAGTTATATCCGTTGAATATTGCGCTTTTCTAGAGCTCGAGTCCACTATGGTCCCGCGCTCCTAAACTCTATCTCAATACACAATGATAGTTTATTGTAACCACAGCCCTCACGCGTCATGTGTTAATTCCCAAATTCAACTATAAAACTAGATACGAACACATTACTGAGCCTCAGCTGGCAGGTCATCTTCATCAGGTCCCTCGCTGTACTTGTTTGCAGTTCTAGGCTTTGCATGACGGAGCCGATCACCCTTCAACACGTTCCTTCGGTCGATTGCTTCGTTTTCATCTTGTTCTACATTATATTAATTACCTGTCTTGATCTAGTGGAGAGGGGGCCGATGATGAAAACTTACCAAGCTGTTGATCGGAGTTGGAGTAGGGAGGTTGCATAGGATCATCGTACTCCTGCGTGTCTCGCTGGACAGGAACTTTATCTCTCAGATTCGGATTTGTTTCATTCGCATAGGAGTCATCTGCAAAGGACCCTGTGACAGGGGATTTATCGTTGTCTCTCTCATAGCGGTCTTCGGCGTCCCTTTCAACGGGGTTGGACATTTTGCTTGAATAGATCGGTTTGTGGATCGGTATAGGTACGAGGAAAGACGAACAAAGATGAAGTGTGAAAATCCTGGTATGTGCCTTAATTTATATTTCAAGACGGCCCAAAGTGTTCTGGACCTAAGGAATCATTGTTGGCTATCGATGTTACAGTTCGTCATAATCTTCGTCGCATGACCCAAAAGATACGTAATCCGCGATTTTCACCGTCCATGCCATCAAGACTCGAGGGTTTCTACCTCAGACTTCGCTACCCGCCTGCTCAATTTGAACTGAAGGCAATGGCTACACAAGATTGGTCTTGATCACGACAGAATCCTGGTCTATTTTCCAGGAAACACCAACTGGGTCTCAAGTAGGACGACGGAGTGTCGCATTGGTACAGGGTGACCTCGGTGACTGGAAACGTATCTGCACAAGGAGCGTGTGAGGGTGGTTCCTTTATGACGTTGACAAGACGTGGGCGATAGTCACTGAGATCTGGAGCAGATTGCCACTACAACAGTTTTCAAAATCCGTTATACCTCCACTCCCTTAAGACAGATGACAATTTCTGTGTCGTTGCAATCGAGGGCGCGTGGCCCACGTTCTACTGGACGGTCACCACCTAAGGGAGTTGTGAAGAGAGCTCCAGATAGGCGATACATCATTCAGGAACTGTCATACTCTATCAGTACGTATAAGGACATAGATTATTGTGGTAGCTTGCATATCGGGTGAGGTTATTGACATCATCCCTCTACCCAACGTATTATATTCAGGAGAATGAACCCTGATGGGCTGATAAATGCAGGTGAAAGACGCCAATTAATCCATGTATGTACAAAAAAACAGATCAGGTCATTTGATCTGTAGGTATTTATCAAACTTCTTCTTCAGTGCCGCCAAAAGAACCGGTTTCGCCAGATAATCATTCATCCCGGATTCCAGGCACTTCTCCCGATCACCCTGGATCGCCGAGGCTGTGAGAGCGATAATCAGAATACACCTCACAGCATCCACAGGATCCTGGCGAAGACGGCGGGTGGCAACATATCCATCCATAACAGGCATTTGAACATCCATCAAGATCATGTGGTATGGTTTCTCTCCACTGGCCGCCTTCTGGATGCCCTCCACGGCTTCTAGGCCGTTGTTATAGGCATCTACTTGGGTGAACCCTAGCTTTATGAGGTACTGCACCGTGATTTTCTGGTTGATGAGGTTATCCTCCGCGATACAGACGCGGACGTCGGAGAGAGGGATTTGAGACAGATCCGTAAAACTCAGGTCTGCTTTATCGAGCAGACCCAGTGAAGTGTCGATGGATTCTGCTGGAGTAACAGTCCCCGAGCCACCGTGATTGACCTTCGGCAAGGTGATTGAGAAAGAAACGGTCGTGCCGACGTCTTCGGCGCTCTTCAGTTCGATGGTGCCCCCCATCATCTCTATGAGAGATTTGCAAATACTGAGACCCAAGCCACTGCCTCCGAAGCGGCGCGCGGTACTGGCATCGGCTTGGGTGAACGGCTTGAACAGGTGCTGTACGAGTCGTTCGGGAATTCCAATGCCCGTGTCCGTCACCCAGAAGGAGAGATGAACCGAGTCTTCGGTTTCATCGTCCGCCTTGGATCCTATCGTGATGGACCCGGTTTCAGTGAACTTCAGGCTGTTGCCGATTAAGTTGCCTAGAATCTGCTGCAGACGCATGGGGTCGCCATATACGCGGGATTGGGGCAGTTGGAAATCCTGGATAATGCAGACATTGTTGGATCGTCCCTTATTCCTGAAGTCGGTTGACATCGAACGAACAACTTCCCGAATCATCTTGTCAACATCAAAGGAGACAATATGCAACTGCACCTTGTTCGCTTCGATCTTGGAGAAGTCGAGGATGTCATTGATCACGGTGAGAAGAAGGTTCGCAGACGTGCGAATCGAGCCCGCCATTTCTAATTGATGCTCCGGGAGTGGACTGCCGAGAAGAAGCTCTGAGTTGCCAATAACCCCATTGAGTGGCGTTCGTAGCTCATGAGATATATTGGCAAGAAAGCTGCTTTTAGCCTTGGCGGCCTCTTCGGCCAACCGGGCATGATGCAGAGCCTCCGCCTTAGCAGTGTTCGCCTTTTGCTCGGCCGCCATCGCTTCCGCCAGGGCCTCCTTCTGCACGTTTACCATGGATTGGTTGATGGTGGATACCCGTTCGACTTCCTTGAGGGTTAGCGCATTGAAATAGCTGATTCCGAGCTGGACGACGAGCAGCTGTAGCACAACACGATTGAGATGCGAGAACGCGTTCGGTGGCCCTTCCAGATACAGGACCGCAAGTGGTTCGCTCTCATCGCCACCGTGAGAAATGGGAAAGGCCACGACCGATTTACTAGCCGGGTTCTGGGCCACCCATGCTTCGCTAATGTAGCTAAATCGCGGATCTTGCAAGATGTCCGGCAAGTACGGTGCTTCACGAAAGCGCACGCAGTAATTCACGATGTTTTCTGCGACAAGAATGGAGTGTCCAATCGGTGTCGGAGATTGATGTAACTTGATGTGTCCAGCTGCGTCACCACTGACTGCCACGGCCCATCCGATAGATGGGTCCTCTTTGGTGATGATGGCCGCCACAGTAGCAATGCCGTGACAGCTCTCCATAACAATTTTGCACATTGTCTGGAGGAGCTCGTCAACCTTGAGAACGCTAGATATCACCTGTGACCGTTCAAGGATGGAGGTGAGATCTAAAATGTGTAGCGTACGCTCTGCCACGGACTTTTCTGGGTTCGATTTTCCATCGTCGCCAGAATCGGATACTTGAGGGCGAGGTCGTACGACACCCTCGTCTGGTTCGGTCTGAGTAGCGGCCTCCCGTGCCACGCCCATTGTCTTCTGCTTCAGATCGTGGACATGCAGAATGTGATCAGCCACCCCAATGGCCCCAATTCGCTGGTAGAGACTAACTGCTTCTTTTAGAGCAAGTGTGCCCAGTCGCAAAGAGCCCTCCCGCATCAGATGTTCAGCTAACAAATGGTTGGCTAGAGCTTCCTCGAAACCAAACCCATGCATCGAAGCGTGGTCCAATGCCTCTTGGTAGAGACACAAAGCAGTCATTTGGTCATGCTCCATCTCGGCGATTTGAGCGCCCAAGATCTTAGTCCAAGCCAAATAGTTCACATCTGTGACGACCTGCCACTGTTCAATCTTACGCTTGAAATACTTCAACATTCTGGCCATGTTGGTCATCTCTTCCTCGAAAGCTGGCTCAAAAGACCGCCCATTGATATCGGATGCCAGGTGAGGGGAGCTTGCACGATACGCGGGGTTGTATTGCTGCTGCTTCTGGATCCACACGCATCCGGCTAAAGAGAGGGAATGGAAGAACATCAGGAATCGCGTGTTTCGTGTGGACCAAATGGCATTGACTTTCTTGAGACAAGAATTCCCCAGCGCAACCGCTCGCTCGTAGTGACCATACAGAAATAATGGGGCAATTTCCATGCTCTCGTAGAGCATCAGTGGCCGGTCGCTGTTGTTGATGGTGCTCACTAGCCAATACTTGTAAGCGGCTGAATTGTGGTCCTCGTCGCTCATCACCCCCATCGAGTCATGCGTGTATGTTTTGCCTTGCAAAGAACGGCAGAGCTGGCAGATCGTAATGAGGATTGTACCGCCGGGAGTATCCGACCGCCAGCTGGGAATGTCCTGACAACTGTAGACACAGAAGCTTTCGACCTCGGCTAGGTTGTCGGAGACAAAAAACTTCATGGTGGCCAGTAGCCCGTAGTTCAAGATGGTCGCAATTCGGTCACCGGCGTGGATTGAGAAATCCAAAGCTCCTTCCAACCGAGAGATTGAGGACTGGACATGATGTTGAATGTGATCGACAAAGGTTGAATATAAAACGATGCCACGTCCCGTGGTACGCGGGTCGTTACATTGTTTAATTAAAGCCAGGGCAAGCTCTGAACAATGACTTGCGAAAGAAATTGCATTATGCCGAGTGATCGCTATCACAGCCAATTGCAATAGTCCAATGCCCGCCTGTGGGAAGGAGCCACGAGAGAGATAGGTCTCAACCATGACCAGCGTCATTTGATAGAATGTCAGCGTGTCGGACCAGAAAGCCGCGCTAGTGGCCTCGACAAGAACTGCACCGACAGCAGCCAAGGTGGGATGCTCAACAGAGCCCTTGTCAATGATGGCCTCGGGCAGAATAGCAGAAATGGCCTCGCATAGCCGACGGAACTCTATGTCGCATTTGAAAAAGCTCGGATCATCATCAATTGTGATGTCCAGAGTCATGAGACATTCTTTCAACGCCTGGAAAGCACCGGTGGAGTTACCCAGTTGTGCAAGCATGCGAGACTGCAAGATCCAGGATGGAGCCTTGTCCACTGGACTTCGAGCATTGGAGAGCATGGAGTCCAGTAAGCGTCCAGCTTCGGCATGCTGTCCCTGGTACAAGTAGCTTTCTGCTGCGGAGGTAAATATCTGCAGCGTCTCGTCGTAGCTCACATCTTCAGCGCCCTCGTTCCACATGTCCTCCTGAAGTAGGAGAATGCAACTTGTGTAAGAATTGATAGCGGTCGAGCGGAAACCGGTCTCACTTGCAGCTTTCGCATAGTCGAACAAAAACTTTCTGAAAGGCCTTGTTTTTGCCACGCAGGCTTTGATCATCGGTGCTGATTCGACAATGGCCGATGCCAGCATGTTGCGATATTTGTCGTCGTGGGAGTAATACCGAAACAACACTTGTGCTTTGACAAAATTCACATGGTTTTGATCTTTCGTGTGGAATGATGCTGCCATGTGCATGTAGTGGTTATATGTAAAGGAAAAGATGTCATGATCCTGCGTGGGCACAATAATGTAGGCTTGCATGGTCGCCTGCAGACCTTGAATCATCTCCCGCTCAGATAAGCCAGACTCGGGAACGATCTCATCGCTGTTGAGAAGTCTCTGGACCAGCTGAAACGAGAAGCTCATGCCCAAAAGGGATGCCCAGGCCAGTATTGACTTGGAGACTGGCGATAAGCTACTCAGGCGTCTATTTAAGAAGTCGTCGAAGATGGCGTCGTTGTAGATGTCCACCTTGAAATGTTCGGTGATACGGCTCAGATCAAACGACCACAGCCCTTCCTGAAAATCAAAGCTGATGAATTCATGTTCAAAGCAATGGTTCAACATTTCACGGACGTAAAAGGGATTTCCACTAGTCCTGGATTGAATGAGCGCCCCCAGCGGCAAGATAACAGGGACAGGCAAACATAATGTGCTTGCCACATATTGCATCACGCTGTCTTCACTGAGCGGAGAGAGGGTGATGACGTTAATACCTAAATCTCTTCCTTTCCGAAGATCTACGTTAGTACCCATGATGCAATATAATAAGACGGCCCGGAGTGATACAAAGTTCAAAATGAAAAAGTATTGGGAGGTGAATTACCTTTATTGGAAGAGAGGTGAAGAATCTGCTTCACCTTTTCAGATGCAGCATTTTCGGGTCGGTAGGCCAAGACCACCACCATTCTGATTCTAGCCGAGACAATCTGGGCAATGAGTTCCAACGACTCATCGTCGGCCAAATGGACATCGTCCAGGCAAAGACACACCAACTTGTATTGCGTGAAGGCTCGTAGGATATCTAGCAACGTTCGCACAAGAGGCAAAGACTTGGTCGAGGATCCGGCTCGAAGGAATTCCTGGGAACTCTCTGTTCCAGTAGTTTCAGGAGGAGGATGCCGGAAGGGCAATGACGTGGACGAACGAGCAGCAGTGTTTGGCACCTGCCCTGGCGCGTCGGGGCCAGATCCGAGGAGGAATTTAGGAAGACCTAAAACCTTGTGCAGAGTGTCCCACGCTGACCCGATATGGTTCCGCAGCATCGGCAGGAAACTAGGCTCAATCGCATTTTCTGAAAAGGCTTGCTCGAACAGGCTGGAAAACAGGTGCAGAACCGGACGCTGACGTTCTTTCGTTGCGAGATCAAAGCGGGAGCTGGCAAAAAAGCCTCTGCGCCGGGCTTCAATCTGCACCGACGAGATCAGTCGAGTCTTGCCCAAACCAGCCCCTCCCTCAATGCTGATAACCTCGCACCGTCCTTTCAGCGCCATCATGCGATGCACAGCCGTCTTTCCGGCCTCGGTACTAGATCGGGAGCTTCCGTCGCCACTGCTGGTGTCGATCGACGAAGCCGAAAATCGTTTCTCTGCCCCTTTCCCGTCTAAGGCGACGGGACTGGCCTCGCCGCTGCCATCGCTCGAGCCGCATTGCGAACCTCCGGGGGAACGCACGCGGCTCGTATTCGCTATATAGGGCTGTGTCATTCTAGCGGAGGGAACGCTGGTGGCACCCGGCAAGTTGGGAAATCCATCGGTCAATTCACGGGCTTCCCTTTCCCCCAGGTTATCGCCTGATGTAGGAGGGACGGCAAACATCGCAAATTGGTCCTCCGGCACCGACGACAAGTGACCCTCTTTCCCTCTTTGGTACATTCTGAATGTACGATCCAGGATCTGGACGATGTCATCCCGCTCGGTCGTCCGGCCCACCATCGTGCGCGGGAGCGTGAAGAACGGAGAAACATCCTTGCTAGCAATCTCCCAGGTTTCCGCTTCTGCCGTATCTCCCGCCGCTAGCAACTTCCGCGCCTCCACGAGGTCATGTCGCAAACCACTAACAGAGTTGTACCGCTCTGAAGCGTTCTTTGCCGTCGCCTTGGCGATAATTCGAGCAATGATTTCCGGCACGCCGGGTCGCAAGGTCGATACCGATGGCAGCTCCTTTCCAAGAACCTCCCGAATGATCTCTATAGGAGATTTGCCCCCGAACGGAGTCTCGCGAACTAGGGCGCTCCACAGCAGGACGCCGAGGGAGTAGATATCGGCGCGATTGTCGGGTTGAATCGGCGTCTGCCTGGTCTGTTCGGGGCTCATAAAGTAGATGCTCGTCGTGGCAACGTCCTGGTTCGCCAGCTCGGGCCAGCCGGCGCTGAGCTGCCCGGTGTCGTGGGACCGCAGACCCGACCCAAGATGGATCAGTCTCACGCGGCCAGTCTCTCGACTAAAGTGAAATGCGTCCCCCCGGATCTGCCCGTGAACAATCTGCTTGCTATGCAGCATTTTGATGCACTCCGCCGCGCCGATGGCAAAATCCAGAAATGTTTGCAACGGCATGAGCTCACTCTCGTCGGATTGATGTGAACTCATATCATCGCTCTCGTTATCACTCGTATCTCCTTCGGGACGCGTATGGTACCAGTTCGCGCCGCAATCGACGAAGCGCAGGAGATCGTTGGGACCGGGGCTTTCGTAAATACAGACCAAAAGCGATGACTTACGGTCCTCGTCGAGGGTGGGTAAGCGCTGCATCTCCACGGGCCGGAGGAAATATTGACTGTGGAAAGCGGCAACGGATGCCAGGGTCTGATACTCCTCTTGCAACATTTCTTCCTGGACCGTATTCTCACCAATCCGCGCCACCACTTCAATCGCTTTCTCCGACCCATTTCCCGGGGTCCCAGCGTTGCTATCCCCGCCTGGACCACGTAGGACCGAAGCACCGCTCAAATCGCCGGGAGGGGAGACATTTCGGAGGCGAGCGGTCTGCGCATGATCCGTATAGATAGTACGGTCAATGTACTTGATACCGAAAACGTGCCTAAGAGACGCTTCAGCATGGGGCTTTCCTTCTACCTAGGAACTGGGCTTCGGACAACGCACCATACGCCATAGCTTGAACGAAATTGCCTGGACTCGTCCCAGCTATAAGCCACCAAACGATCCAGTTTATCCATCCGACCGATGGGAGGCTCTTGCGCCTCTTCGCGCGATACTAGGATTCCCGAGAAAAAGGGGTGATAGGTTGAGGATCGGGGGGAAGGATTAACTGCCGGTCGGTGTCATGGTCGTTGTGGTTTTCCGTGGTCACGTCGAGATTCAACGTAGGCTCTCCCGCGGTCAGACGTAAAGTACAACGAATTGCACTGTAGAGAGGCGAAATCGAGATAGTTCGGCTAACTATGATACATACATGTATAATTATGTATTGCCAGTTGTGAAAATGGAATGAGATGGGCGGGGAGACCAGGAACTCAAAGGGCGGCAGAATCATCAGTTTTAAAACTCCAGCAAAACCGGTTTTTTGCTCTTAACCTTCCCGTCTTCTTTTGGCGCCCCATGGGACGGTACCGAAGGGATACGGACATGAGACATTTTGGATGCCGACCGGGGAAGGATGGTCATAAATATGACAGATGCGCCTAGGAAGTCGATCGCGATCGCAGCTCGATCGATTCTTTCAGCGATCTAAAGCTAAACCTTGTTTCATATTTAATTCCATAGGTAAAGGTCATAAAACAAGCAACTGGAAGGGGAAAAAAAGCACGGACTAGAATGGCGCGGGAAAAGAATGACTAGAAACATCAGTGGGGGGACCCTGAACCGGGCAACTGCCAAACCTATCTAGCCTTATCTTCTCTATCCATACTCACCTTGATCATTAATTCATCTTGACATTTTTATTTTCCCAACTGCCATCTTCTGCTGGTTCGAGCAGTTGGCACCTCCCCTCGATGCCGGAAGAAATGAGGCCCCCCTCGTACGTCTCAGATTTTTATTTTCATGTTTCCGCTGTCATTGCATTTCCCCGCCGTCTTGTTGTCCCCACTGCTCCTTCTTTTCAAACACAGAACAGGGAAACGTCGTCCTTTTCTTGCCTTCACTATTCTGGAGGATTTCCTGTTCTGATTTCGTCAACTCGGATCGGTCACCGATCTTGCCAACATTACCATCCCCATTCAGAATCATAACTAAATCCTTCATCGATGTTCTAGTCTCCGTCTGGGGTCGATTGCCCCCAACTTCCAAGCCGAAACCACCATCGGCCCCATCGACTTTCACAAGTGGGTTGGCAATGACTGGGTGATTCTCTTCTCCCACCCGGAGGATTACACCCCGGTTTGCACCACCGAGCTGGCCGCACTGGCCAAGCACGAGTCCGAGTTCACCAAGCGCCACGTCAAGCTGATCGGTCTCTCGGCCAACTCCATCGAGTCGCACGATGGCTGGATCAACGACATTGCCGAGATAGCTGGATGTCCCTTGACCTTCCCCGTCATCGGCGATAAGGATCGCCAGATCGCCTATGTCTATGATATGTCCGTGGCCTCCTTCCTTCCCTTTTGCGCCCCCGTCTCGGCACCCCCAGTCACAGACTGACGCATGAGAACAGGCTGGATCACCTTGACACCACCAATGTAGATGCCAGAGGAATCGCCTACACCATCCGGTCCGTCTTCATCATCGACCCCAACAAGGTCATCCGCCTGATTCAGGCCTACCCCGCCTCCACGGGCCGTAGCACGGCCGAATTGCTCCGCGTGGTTGACTCTTTACTTGCTACCGACAAGCATCGCATCAATACCCCCGCCAACTGGGAGCCTGGTGACAATGTGGTCGTCCCTGCCAGCGTTGGTGACGAGGATGCCAAGGCCCGCTTCCCGGACATGCAAGTGGTTAAGCCGTACTTGCGATTCGCCCCGTTAGCTAAAGAGAAGTTTCTTCCCTAGTTAAATATTCATGCCAGTGAAATATACGCGCACCCACGGCCATTTCTCTGTCAACCCATAATTACAATCTGCATTCCTGCTCTTGTTCAGTCGCGGTGGACCACAGTTCCATGTAACGAGCGCGAAACCAGCCCAGGAAATGAGGCTTGACTTGTAAAGGCTATCACTTGTTCAGTCTACATTGGACGGGTTTGCAATCAAAGGAGATTGTCATTGAATAGAAGTCCATAGGTACTTTGACACACTGTGTTGGGCATTATACTTGGACTAGCGTTGCTCTGAACAGCATTCAGGGAGACGCCCACACGATCACGCCAATCACAGGGACTGATCTTTTGTAACCTCTGAAGACGCGCAAGGACGGTGAGTGAAAAAAGTCGGTTGCTGCCGAGGTAGCGTGTGTATAGGAGTCGCGCGTCAATTATAATACTCGTGCTTTCACAATTCGTCGTGTGAAATCGAGAAACTATTTAGGGAAGCGGTCTGGAAAGCGGAGAGCTTGTTCTCCATCTTCCCTCATTCACCTATCTCCATTTTTCGTCCCTCTCTCTTCATTTCTAGGCATGTAAATTACTATCAAAAAAGGCCAGATAAATGCCCTGAAGGCACCAGTCATCGTTCAATGTAGATTCTATTGCCGGAAGTAGCTGCGTGGGTTCGCTTTATCGCTACTCTTTGGTATCGCCGATATAGATCGTTGGCGGTGTCAGAGGAACCCTTATCTCCCTTCGGCAGCTTATTGCTCTTGGCGCGAAGGTTCGAGGTGCGTCGTTCGGAATCATCTAGTTTATCGATAGGAGAAACACGCTAAAATCTCGATACCAGGAGGGAAACCGTTTATATCGAGAAGATCAAGGCGCCGGACTTTGAAATTCATGAATGGCAGACCTCATGGGTGCCGAAGATCAGTCACCCTTCAATTGCGCCCGAGCATCTGGAGATGTTTTCTAGGGTAGCTACTGCTAATATCTTGTTGGCTATTTCTGATAATGCCTATTTTGTGTCTGACGCTTGGAATCGGTTGCTTCCAGACTACAAGTTTACAACTGCGGAAGACTTCTTGAGTGAAGCATGGAGTGGCAAGCTTTAGATAACAAGATCGTTTATTTCTGTATATGCGATCATCTGAGTTCCAAGAACATAGCAGAATGGTACTGTTGGAAATCGTGTTTCACAATTCCAACCAAGTATACCTCATTTCAAAAACAACTTGTAACCAACGTGAACCATCTCAATCACCAGCAGCAGTTAAAGGGTTCTCATTATTTCAGAGCGTCCACATCCCGAGTTAAGATACTTAGCCAAACCGCCCATGCTAACTAAACAATACTTAAAAATTTAATAAGGGCGACATAATTAGAATAATGCATGCTAATGAGGTGTAGTTTCAATAGACATATGTACATAGTTTGATAGACAACGAATATGCCGGGTCATAAGTCATATGAGTCATAATTTGGGCGCCTTAACTTTATGTGCGCTCATCATCAATAATGCCATGAGTCTCTGCAGATGTCTCCGTCATGTCCATACCAGCCCCATCGTCTCGACCGTGCTCCAAATCCTGCTTTTCAGCTACTCGTGCATGCCATCGCTTGAACATCTGGACGAAGAAATGCGCGACGGCAATTTGTTCCGTGGTGTACAGCAGTACTGGCACTGAAGTCTTTGCATTTGTGTACAAGTCGACCGGCTCCCACATGGCATATAGCAACGGAATACCCAGTGCCGTGCTCTTCGCTGGACCGCAAAAGCAAACGGCAATCGTCTCTTCCGGGGACATAGGCCTGAACAGTGGTTCAGACCGGCCACAAGAGAAGAGGAATCGCGGAGGTCGTGCGCCAAAAAAACATACCACGGTCAGGGTCATATAGAGTGCGATGTTGAAAAGCACGACGAAGATGACGCTTTGAGTTGACATGGTCTGAAGAGCTCCCGTAGCGAAGCAGGACGAGAACGTGGACCTGTCCGACAGTTAGAATGGCTCTTTCGGAAGTCATTTTCAAGTGACCTACCAAATCAATAGCAGCATACAGAAAGAGGCCCACTTGGGAAGTTTGGTCTTCTGCAACACCCAGGCCGTACGATCAGGCCAGGTCCATCGTACCAACTGTCCGACAAAGAGTGGCAGCAGTACACTCAGGCCAAGTTGCTGAAACACGTTCTTGTACATATTGCCCATATTCCCGCCGCCATACCTCCATGGATCAAACTCGGTCGTCTTCGGGATCAGACTCACCGTCCAGGCCGCGGTAACGAAGGGTCCAAGGATATTGGCAATCACAACTTCCACCAGTGCGGCCGCATCGTCACCACCCGCCGCCCTCGTCATGACCACATTGGAAGCAATGGTCGTGGGGATACACGCTGTGAAGATATAACCCGCCAATACAGCTCGATCAATATGTCCACTTGGATCTCCGGCCAAGATGATATGCACCACAGCCAAGACCAGCGCCGGGATAAAAAGAAATGATATCACCTGCACCACTATATGCAGTCGCCAATTCAAGAGCTGCGTGAAGAGCTTCTGACGTGGAATGCTGAGGCCGGAGATGAGGAAGATGATGGCAATCACCCCGTACAATATGCTGTACTCGCTCCTGATGATTCCTCCATGCTTGGCCACTTGGGGGAAAAAGTAGGCCAGCACGCAGACAACACCGATTCCGATCAGCAGCCACTGGTGCAGAATCAACATCAATACTCGCTTTGACACCGCCTGCCACCGGGAAGAGGCGCGGCGCGGTTCCGGGGCCGCTGGGACCGTGGATTCTTCCATAGGTTCTAACTAGACGCACATGGAGACACAATATAGCTGTCGGGAAGGCCTTTAAGCAACTGGAATCGCGAGTAGGTTGTTGGGGTGTTTTTAAGAATTTTGGGCAGGGACCGCGCGATCGGGGTTTCTCCGAAATGGCTATCGCGGAGATCATTGCGGCGATACCTTCACCCAGGAAGTACTATGTCCAGCAGCCACCTCAACATCCCTTCATCGCTAAAACAGTTTAACGGCACCCCATGATCTGATAAGCCAAAGCTAAACTACCCGATCCTAAACAGGATTAAACGTCGAAATCGGGTACCCGACCAGCTCAAGCCGACAGTCGGGAGCAGCCACTTCACATGCGTGCGACGCACATGCAGAATGATGCAATCTAGTAATCTTTCATGAGTTTCTTCAGCCTCTTGAGCTAGGAACAGGCGTATAGTATACATTGAAAGGACAATAGCGATGTCTCAGAGGCAATACCCGGTACACCCCCTACAAACCCCTCGGTAACCCATTCAGCCGCCACCCGGGCCGTCCACCTTTGAAGCAGCGACCCCAGACTTTCAGTCAGATGACAAGGGCTACGACCAGGGGGTGAAAAGAAACATCTACTAGCTTAATTCCCATGGCCTCTGACTCAGAGAAAGGCTGACGAATGACCTGGGGCGTCGAGACTACACTGCGCGCAAAACGAACCTCGGCTGAGGGGAGCTTTGGAGCTGGTCCGGATTCTTCCGGACACCCAGTGCTGGCGTCACGGGGCGGAATTCGCTGCGGATGTCGCTGTGACTCTGCGGTGCCGCAGAGCGATCTTTTCTGTCGGTAATTCAAACCCCTTAAAATTCAATGCTGTAGGTGTCTATTCTAGCATAGTCAGGGAGGGGGGATCGCGAATAGGAATGTCTAGTCAATGTTAACAAGCATCTATAATTTTAAGGTCTACCTATGACGACAGTGACACTTGGGAACCCTTGCAGGAGCATGTGAACTCAGATCCATTGGAGATCTTGGGGGAATCGTAGCGGTGCCGCAATTCAGGGCCGTGGGGAGAGTCATCCGCCCTTGTTCCCGAAGGCCTCGGGATTGTCCTGGAGCTACGCTCCTTGGTCGGGACAAGTGTCTGAAATTATAAAAATTGCCGTTCTCCCTCGGCTTAGCTTTAGTTTTCTTCTAGCCTCTATTTTTCCCTTGTTCCCTTCGTTGTCGACTCCAGAAGCCAAGTCTCGGCGGCAAAGAACCATACACTTCCGCTCGTCCAGCTCCCTCCGCTTCCCCGTTGTAGCTGTCCCCCACACAAAACTTGGGAACCGCCACTCGAACCGACACATTTATCCTCGGGACTCCTGAGGTCATTGAAACCTTGTTCAATTGACCCCTTTCAACTCTCGAACTTCCTCTTTCTTTTTGTCGACCTTACCAACTTCCCCCGGGATTGTATACCTCCGACTCACCCCGCGATCCGCAACTTCGGTTATTCTCGCTCAATTGAATTTCGTTTTGGTCGCGAAAACTATAGCAAACCTTCGTGATCGATCCTTTCATCTTCGAGTGAAGAGGCAGTGCGCAAACTATATACCGTCCTTCGATTAAAAAAGATTCACCATGTCGGCCAAAAATGTGCAGCCCAATGGCAAGAGGAGGGCCTCGCCCGCAGTGAACTTGATTGGTAGATTGCACCATACCCAGCCGTGCGCTTGGCTTCAGTGCTAACTGTGAGATAGCTGGTGGTGGTGCCGGTATGATGGAGGCTCTCGTGTGTCACCCTCTAGACACTATCAAGGTCCGGATGCAGCTTTCGCGGAGAGCCAGAGTTCCTGGCGTGAGTCAACCCCGCTATAATATCCCGATGCCATTGCTAATCATATTGCGGTATATAGGCTAAGCCTCGTGGCTTCATAACCACCGGTGTGGAAATCGTGAAGAAGGAGACTGCTCTGGGTCTGTACAAGGGTTTGGGTGCCGTGTTGGGAGGTATTATCCCCAAGATGGCCATCCGGTTCACCTCGTACGAATACTACAAGACCCTGTTGGCGGATAAGGAGACGGGCCATGTCACCAGCAAGGCCACTTTCTTGTGTAAGTCAATACGTGCGATCCCAATCTTTCTGCGCAGTTAGCTCATATCTTGCACAGCTGGTCTGGCCGCCGGTGTGACTGAGGCCGTGGCTATCGTCAACCCCATGGAAGTTGTCAAGATTCGTCTGCAGGCGCAACATCACAGTCTGGCCGATCCCCTCGACGCCCCCAAGTACCGCAGTGCTCCGCACGCCCTATTCACCGTGATCAAGGAAGAGGGCTTCAGCACTCTGTACCGCGGAGTGTCGCTCACTGCGCTCCGACAAGGAACCAACCAAGCGGCCAACTTCACCGCGTACACCGAGCTGAAAGCCGCCCTGCAGGAGTGGCAACCCGAATACGCAGACACCCAGCTGCCTTCATACCAAACCACCGTCATCGGTCTCATCTCCGGCGCCGTCGGCCCCTTCTCCAATGCCCCCATCGACACCATCAAGACCCGTCTCCAAAAGACTCGCGCCGAGCCCGGCCAGTCTGCCGTCAGCCGCATCATGGTCATTGCCAAGGACATGTTCAAGCAGGAGGGTGCCAGCGCTTTCTACAAGGGTATCACTCCTCGTGTGATGCGTGTGGCTCCTGGCCAGGCCGTGACGTTCACAGTGTATGAGTACCTTAAGGGCAAGCTGGAGGCGTCCAACTGGGCCTTTGTGGGTGGCAAGTTCGAGGAGTAAAAGGACTGCTTCGTTTTTTGGAAAGCATTGTGATACCATACCACAGCATGGTGGGCGTTGCGTTTCCTTTGTCTGTTTACAGAGTTTGAGTCTGCGAGGAATCGCCGTTCGAGGCAGGCCGGTCGCAACGGTTTCTGTACATATGTTTCTTTGGTTGTATACCACTTGTTTAGATTTATCTTGGTTTCTTGTAGTCTGCGGATGTTCTCTGCTGTAGGAATCAGTAAAGGGGCTGTTGGATCGGACGATTTGATTGATCCTTTTCTGAATCTGTAGCAGCAGACGATTGGTGATATGTTGATTACATTGCTTCGCGAGTGATGTGATGGACCCCGCCGAACGAGGCCCCAACGGGTCCCCTCTCAGTCCCCTCACCGCTTCCCCTCTCTCCGTAAACAACCACACGATCAGACCAGGATCCTAGCATAGCACTGGCATCATGCAGTCGGGAATCTCAGGTACGTCCAGTGGATTCCGATGGACTACAAACGCCCGTCCATCCATTGGCCTCCCAATCCTTCGTTCAGCGCTTACACGATAGCCAGTCTCCTCGGAGCTGCAAGATGCCTTCAACCGCTTCACCTCCGACACCTCGATTTTCTGTCTCCCGGTGACCATCACATCCGAGAGTCTGACACCGCTTGACCAGATTCCGTTCTCTGGTGCCTCTTCCGGCCCAGATGCATTCTTCTCGTCGCTGCCGCAGCTCTCGTCCGTCCTGCAGCCCAAGACCCCGATCTACCTCCTGCTCCGCCGTCCCACCTCCACCTCGTCATCTCTCATCGCCCTGACCTATATCCCGTCCAATGCGCCCGTGCGTCCTAAGATGCTCTTTGCGTCGACTCGTACAACGCTGACCCGCGAGCTTGGAACCGAGAAGTTCGGTTCGTCCGTGTTCGCCACGGAAGAGGACGAGATCGTCGGTCAGGATGCATGGAAAGAGCGTGACGGTGCAGCTGCGGGTGTTGGTCGTGAGGAGCTCATGGGTGAGAAGGAGCGGGAGTTGGAGGCTGTTCGAAGGGCCGAGGCCGAGGCCCGCAGTGGTACTCCCCGAAGTGACATCGGTATCGGCGGGACCTTTGGGCCGGGTTCTGGATCTGGCATGAGAGTCACGATGCCTGTTGATGATGCTGCGAAGACAGCGTTGAAAGAGCTACAGGAAGGTGGTCTGGTGCAGCTGGTATGGATTCATTTCACCTCCCAGCGCCACTACTTTACATTGGATAAATTGACGCGGATATGAGTTTGATTTCAGAGCTAACCTACTTCCGATACAGACGGTTGATATCCCCACCGAGACCATCAAGCTCGCCGACTCGCAGTCCGGTGTCGAGCCGGGCTCTGTCGCTACCCATATCTCCTCATCCTCGCCCCGGTATTCCTTCTACCATTACCCGGGCTCGAGCGTCGTGGTTTTCGTGTACACATGTCCCACTGGGTCTTCAATCAAAGAGCGTATGCTGCATGCCAGCTCACGGAGAAGTGCCATCGCGGTTGCCGAAGGGGAAGGACTCAAGATTGAGAAGAAGGTAGGTTCGCTCGTTGTTCGTGGAATATGCAGTCGCTGATACTGTGATGGCAGATCGAGGCCTCTGGTCCGGATGAAATCACTGGGGACCGGTTGCAGGAAGAAGTGAACCCGCCACGCGACCAGGGTCCTGCGCGAGGATTTGCCCGGCCCCGTCGCCCTGGCCGGTAAATCACTCGATGACAGACCTCCGACACTTATTTATAAGAGCCTTGGATAACCTGTCAAGCCATGATGAATTGAAAGCGTAACACGTTTCTTGTCGGAGAAACGCTGGCCACTAGACTGGACGTTTGTAAGACCGGCGGGCCTGCGCGAAATCTCCTCCCCACTGGATATAATAGAACACCAAGCCAGCCATGGAGGAGGCGCAAAGGGCGGTCATTGATTTCGAAAACTTTTCTTTTGGTAGAATAAATCCGTTCTCGAACTTCCGAGATTGATAATCTTGGGACACCCGTCTCGGTCCTTCTCAAGGCGCGTGCATTCGAAGCAGTAGAAGGCGTCACTGATGCCCTCGCCACCGCAGACGATACACTTGTTCTGGTAGTTGCCGAAGGCACACTCGTCGCAGATTCGCACAAGGGTCGTGGGGCGCACGTAGGAGTCGCACACGGGGCATTTGCCGTCGCACTTGTCGCAAAGGCGGCCGATCGAGATACCAGGCTGCTTACGGCACATGACGAGATCTGGGTGATGGCGAGACATGATGGGTGGATGCGAGGGAGAGTGAAGGATTAGGTAGCTGCAATTCTGAAGGAGAAGAGGTGAACGCGAGAAGGAGAAGACGTGAACGAGAAAAAGAAGCTGGCAGAATCATGGTCCGTGCACGTGCCCCAGCAGCCCCCCGAGCTTCGTCGTATCAACCAACCTCCAGTCGGGTGAATCGATTTGTTGGTGGCAATAGACCACATCTCGGACGCAGCTTACTGATACTTTTGAGTTTCTCCTGTCACGGTCTATCGAAGGTTCCCGAGCGAGTACCGCCTGCAGCTCAATATGTCTGAAGGGTACGGGCAGCTTTTCCGATTTGCTTCCGAGTTGCGCTGATAGGTGTTCTGATGATTTACAGGACTCTTGCCTCCGCAGTCGCCGTTCCTGAACAGGATACTCTACGTCAATCTCCCGAACTCCTCGCAAAGCGGCGCAAGTCCTCCGTCACCGAGCACGAACCTAAGCGTCGCCGGCTAAGCACCCAAGATGAGGGTTCTCCGCAATCCCAACCCCGACGCCTGTCATCACCTGCACCGGAATCCGAGCAGCCCACGGAAAAGAGACCTGCCCGCCGGGGGCGCGAAGATGAGCGCAAGCGTGGGCAGCGACTATTCGGCGGGCTGCTGGGGACTCTCTCCCAGAGCTCAAACTCGGCGGCGCAGAAGCGGCGCGCGGATATTGAAAAGAGGCAGCAAGACAAATTGAAGTCGCGGGATGATGAATACGATGGACTGAAGAAGCGTCGTAAGGAGCGACGAGATGCGATTCGAAGGAAAGAGATGCCGTTCTATGAACGAGAGGCTGTAGGTTTGCCATTCGCTTGGGATATGCAGCAGGAGCTGACCTATCAATCTACAGATGCAAACACGTCATTCGAATTTAGTGGCTACAGCACGATTCCTGAAGACACGGACAGAACCTGCATTGGTATGTGAATCCTCAAGATGGTCGCTTGATCGAGGACTAACGGTGATATCAGTACTACAAGCCATGGCAATTAAGACCCGGCGATGAAGCAGTGATCCGGGAACAGATAGAGGATGCCGAAGCAACAGTCGCTCGCGAGGTTGCCGATTTCGAAGCCCGATACCCGCCCGAAGCTTTTATGCGCCAGGAGCTAGAGCCAGCACCTACAGAAGAACAACCGAAGCAACAAGACACATCCAAACATCAGCCCGAGTCAAGTTCGAACCAACCCTCGGCACCGGAACCGCAGGCTGAACCAAAGGAAGCTCAAGAGGCAATGAATACGGCGGGTGCACAGTCTAACAATCGGCAAAGCTCAGAACCAGCTAAAAACGATGCGCCTACCGACGGGACCGACGCGGCTGCTCATGAGCAGTCGGATGCCCATCATGACGACGGGGGTGAAGTAGTGGAGGATAATGAGGATACTGTGATATATTAGCAGTACCATCTATTTCCTTTTACTGAATACTCGAGAACTGGGAATAAGTGGATTTATGTGGCGCAACACCGGAGTTGAAATTGGAGCTGGAGTTTCTAAGGTTCAACCGAGGCAGACCGAGGATCATCCGTGAGGGGTTTCGGTCGGCCAAAACCTCGTTATGGGCTTGAATCTGTGTATATCTATCTTCTTTTTGAAATATAATCCTTCTATTTGGATCAGATTTGTTTTATAATCATTTTTTGTTAAGTTTTGTCAGTTTCACGTGATGACCGGCGGGGTTTCAATGCTGAATATATATCGGCTTTGCTAAACTTCCGAGGGCCACCATTTCGTCCTTTTTACCCAAAATCTTCCCCTATATATTCCACATCCATAGGAAAAGCTATAATTAGTGATTAATATTCACTACAGCACCATGCCGGTCGACAAGATCCGTATCTCCGGGGACCCGCGGCTCCGGTATCAATCCGCTACAGTCAATGACCATAAGTATAGTCAGTACCTCGGGTCGTGGATTGCCGCTCAGCTCTCAGAGATACTGCAAAAAGATTGCAGCAGCTAACGATATCTGATACTCAGCCTACCTTCTCAGCCAGCCTGAATCGGGCAAATACCGAGCTACAATCTTCTTGGTAAGCTGCCCACGTTGAGACGCGCTGAGGAGCTTTGAGCTAACACACCCCGTAGATCCATGGCTTCCCTGACATTTCGATGGGATGGCGATATCAGATCCCCATGCTGGTCAACATGGGACTGAGAGTGATAGCTCCTGACTGCCTGGGATACGGCCGGACGGTGAGCAATCAACCTCGGCTTGTGGCTTGAATCCATCTAACGCTGTATACGCGACCAGGACGCCCCTAATGACCATGTTCACTACTCGCACAAACGCTGTGCCGACGATATCAAGGCCTTGGCCAATCATCTCGGTGAATCCAAAGTCATTCTAGGAGGGCATGACTGGTAGGATATCTTTCTCCGTTCGAGCCATCTACGAACAGCTAATCCATGACCTCAACAGGGGCGCCGCCCTCGCCTACCGCATCGCGCTCTGGCACCCAGACCTAATCAGCCACCTCTTCACGGTCTGTGTTCCCTACGCGCGACCTATGGAAAGGTACGTCTCTCTCGAGGAACTGGTGGCCAATGGTGCGCCGCACTTCGCGTACCAAATTCAATTTGCGAGCGGGGACCTAGAAAAGGCCATCCGTTCCAAGGGAGAGATTCACCAATTTCTATCTGCGTTGTACGGTGGCCGGACGGAGAAGCGCGAATTTGGATTCGATGCCGAGAAGGGCGTTCTGCTGGATAAAATGCCGCACCTGAAGCAGTCGCGGTTGTTGAGTGAGGAAGTAAGTTAGCTCTCATCCCTCCAACTATACGGACAACTCAGGCAATCGGAAGCTGACAATTTTCAGGAGCTGGATTACTATTCCACCGAGTTTGCACGCAATGGCATCCATGGCCCACGTATGATATCACTGCCCCCACATTTTCTGAATATCGAGTCCTTTTCTAATTTTTGAGACAGTTAATTGGTACCGCACGCGCAAAGTCAACTATGAGGAAGAGCTCGCTATCCTCGGCCGACGAATTGAGATCCCAGTGCTGTTCATTCAAGCTCTCAAGGACGAGGCTCTTCCGCCGCACCTGGGCAAATCAATGGCCAAGCACATTCCCAATTTGACTCTGAAGCAGGTCAACACTGCACACTGGGCGCTGTGGGAGAAGCCTGAGGAAGTCAACGATATCATTGCGACCTGGTTGAAGGACGTTGCTTTTACGGAGGGACGGCCAGGCAAGCTTTAGTTCTGTGGGGTATTACTTCGTGTGCTAAGCTAGCTATGAATCAAAACCGCAAATTACATAAAATGGACCTTGGGCATTCGTCATCATGATGATGAATAACAGAGCGATGGATTGAGAAAAAAGAGTGCCAGCCACCTTTTCTGAGCCATTTGCAAGGATGCCAGTCCAGTGCAGATCGGCGTTCATCCCCACGTTAGTATTGGAAAACGCGGGTGTCGATGTTGACTCCGACCTTGCTCAGGCGATCGACGTAGTCTTGACCCAGGGTAGCAGGGGTGACGATACCACAACGTGAGGTCTTCTTCACCTTCTCCTCTTCCTGCAGAATGACCATGGCAGCCTCGGAAATGAGCAGACCAGTAAGCACGTACATGCTTCCCTCGTAGGTGACTGTCCCGAAGACACGACGGGGAGAGGGGACATCCTGGTCTGCAGTAGCGACGGCGTGATACTCAAGACGATCATTTCGGGACGCCTGCCGAGTCGGTCCCTGTCCGGGCGCGAAGATAAATTTGCGCAGTACCCAGCGCACAGGCGGGATCATCAGGAAACCCAGGGCGAAGACGCAGGCGACGTGCACCAGCGCGCCAATGAAGGTGTTGCGCACGTGGAGGAACTGGTGGAAGAAGAACCGCTTGCCGTAGAACTCGGGCATCAGAGTGCTGCTACGATGCACGATGGTCATGTCGGCCAGACCGTTGGGCGAGGTGGTCACTGTGCCCAGGTCGCTGATCGAGCGCACACCCAGAAGCTTCTGGAGGATAGAATCGCCAGGGATGTCCTTGGGTGGGGCGGAAGCGGCCAGGGAGAAAGGATTGGCGGACTTGAGCAGCTCGGAGATTGGAAGCGAGTCAAAAATGCCCAGGATCGTGGCGAGGGTGCCACCGCTGGCGCCGGAGGACCTGACATGATTGATTAGACAGGTGGGGCTTGGGTTTGAACGTGAAATGCTTACTTCAGCTCCTTGATGCAGCTGTCGATGGACCGGGTCCCGGAGGAGTAGTCAGATCGAATGCGCTTGACCAAGGCCCAGGCCAGCATATCGGCAGGAGCGCTTTCAACACCAACCGAAGGAATGATCTGGGTAGATACGATTAGCTTCAGAGCTGGAATCCACCTGGGCAAAGCTTACAATTGCACCGTTGCTCTTGGCCGTTTCATGATACTTCTCAATCATTTCCCTAATCCAGGGCGTCTCTCCGGTCCTGCAGGGGTTGCATTAGTCCCAGTCATAATAACGCAAGCAGGGCCACTCCACTTACACATCCAGGTAGTGGGTCCCATTGGTAGCACAAGCCTCCACAACCGGGGTTGAGTACAGATGGTAGGGGCCAACGCAGTTGATGATGATTTTAGTCTTCTTGGCCAGCTCATTGAGCTCTGCCGGATTAAGCTGGACCACCAGGACATCTATATTCCAAGTCAATAAGAAGGATCAAAAGCAGACTGCACAGGTCCATACCTGGCTGGACACGGTCCTGGTTGAGTTTCTTTAGCTCCTGAGCAATCGGCTCCATCTTTGCCGCTGAACGGCCGGCGATAGCCCATTTCAGACCAGTAGGATGGTTCTTGACGATGTGCTCAGCACAGAATCGGCCAGTGTAGCCAGTAGGGCCCAGGAGGACCATGTCATACTGCGGGGTGGACATTATGGCTATGGTGGTTTGCAGTCACAGATGTACGTTTGATTGACTGTTTAGCGGAATCTCTGAGCAAATCACAATATTCTCAGAAAGATGATCAGAAAGCGTGGAATGGGTCGATTTAAGGGGCAGTTGAGAGATGTTTGCCAGGTCGTACACAGTGGGGGCATTCAGACAGGCGGCGTTGTTGCTTGATATGAATGGAATGGTTGACACGTGATTGTTTTCGAATATCCTCCTACGTCTCTCTTTACACGTCTTTCTAAACACCTTTTTAAACTCATTTCTGGACCCATTCCTAAACATCTCTCTAAGCGTGCTTCATTAAAGTCGGATTCTGCTATGCAAAAAGTCGCCTTTCTGTCCTATTCACGCCCGTAGCACTGGCACGTGACCGGATAGATGAGTGTCGCCGACGGCTTAGTTCAGAGCGAGCTGCAGCGTGCGCGAGTGATAGGGGTTGGTGTTGCGAGTGGACGATCAGCAATTGGATGATACCAGGACAGGGGTATGGGAAACTGAAATTTGGCTTTTATCTAATGTCTATCTGACTTTCCAACGAACAAAGTAAACGGCGAGGTACGGCGAGGTACCTATGTACTCGTAACTACTATACACTCTGCGCCGAGAATCACTAGGTGATGGTGACGAACAGTCGCCACCCAAAAACGGAGCCCAGCGTGGCCCGTGCATCGATGAGTAAGCAGGCGCACCCGAGTACTGACATAAGCGGTCAGGTGACCGCACACACTGCCAAGGCCCCGAGCCCTAAGCGAGCCCACCCACAACCACTCTTTCTGAAGCGTCCTTCGATCTCGCTTTCTATCTTCATCATCTACAGCCGCACTCAGACAAGATGACCAAGCGCACCAAGAGTATGTTCCAAGACTGGGACTGTTCTAACAGACCAGCCCTTCCCTTTCAATTCCCACGAATATCCATCGCTAACGGTTTCCCACAGAGGTCGGTATCACCGGTAAATATGGTACCAGGTATGCATCGCGCCCAATCCTCGAAATACGCCCTCGAACGACCTTGAACACTTGAACGAGAAGCGACCGACCAGAAAGAATCGAATATTGACCAACTTCCAACAGATACGGTGCCTCCCTGCGTAAGCAGGTGAAGAAGATGGAAATCACCCAGCACGCCCGCTACGTCTGCACCTTCTGCGGAAAGAACACCGTCAAGCGCAAGGCTGTTGGTATCTGGGAGTGCAAGGGCTGCAACAAGACCGTCGCCGGTGGTGCCTACACCGTCTCGTAAGTCGCCCACCGACACCATTCAGACCTACCTGGACGGGGCACACAGCTTCCCACAACACCAGGCTCGGTCACAAACTGAGACAAACGCTGACGACGACACTGCTACAGGACCCCCGCCGCCGCTGCCACCCGCTCCACCATCCGTCGTCTCCGTGAGATCGCCGAGGTTTAAACGCGATTATGTGGTTTCCTTTTTCTTCTACGGTCACGTCTGAATACCAAAAATGAAAACTTTTTCGGAATCTGAAGATTTTGCATGAACTCGATTTCCAACTTTCGTAATCCGTCATGGTCGCAACGCTGGACTGATTTCCAGCGACGAGGAGACGGACCTATCGGGCGTCAAACTTTGCTCGTCCGATCTCTCCAGTCTCTCCAGTCTGTCCAGTCTGTCCAGTCTTGTCCAGTCTGCTCAGCCTGATCGCTCTTGTCGCCGTGACCACTTCCCGTGAATCTTAGCCTTCGATGCCAACGGGTCGAATTGTCTCACCACGGGTTGCACACTGGCACAGAGCAGTAATTGTAAACGCCGGGCCCTTTCTGAACTGGCCGCCGTTCAATATTGAATGTTGAACGTGGATTCCGTCGGATGTCTTTCCTTCCTGCGAATACCTTGCGCTATCGCGATCCATGCTCCGAAGTTTCTTATCATCTCAGGGCCACTGGGCGCCTGGGTGACGTAGATCACACCTGAATCGAACAGAGTTCCTCAGCCGCATGACCTTTAGACTGAAAGGGCCCGGGACCGAAGAAGAATGTGGGCGCTAGCGACACCGCAACTGTAGAATTTGTCCCTTTGGTCGGGTCGCAGGTTGCAGCGCAGGATGGAGCGCTTTGCAGCAAGGGTCCATGCGATCTACGATCTATCCCAGTTTTTTTTCTCCTTTGCATCCCAGTCAGCAACAATTTAAACACCCTATAAATACACGTTCCAGGCGTACTCATTCACGGCGTGCGGGTGATTCGCCTCCGTCACGTTGCCGCCCTGTTTGCGTTAGACCGGAAATCCGGCCCACCTTCAAAAGGGCCGGCTTCTCGACTCCCCACATCTTCCCTTCATACATATTCCTCCTCGACTCTATGCCGCCGTCCACTCCTGGCCTTTATCCTGTCCATGTCCGACACTTGTATTGTCTGTTTAGGAGACCTTGGCGAAAGCGCCGGTAATCCCCTCGCCGTCGAGCCTGTGCCAACGCCCGATGCCCATGATGCATCCATCAAGGTCAAGGATAGGCTCGAGGACGAGGATAGCCAGATCGCCCAGTTACTCCCTTGCGGACACATTCTGCATAATAACTGCTTGAAGCCATGGGTGGAGCGAGCCAACAGTTGTCCGATATGTCGCCGCAACTTCAACATGGTCGAGTTGACGGACCAACTTGGTGGTATGTACTCCCCTAGTTTCGGTGGATTATCTACGGAAGTTCACTTGAGAGTTCGTTGCCTTGCTGACCATTGCCGGGTGATTCATATAGGCCCCGTGATCTCGTCATATGCCGTGCAAGACCGAACCCAGATCGCCGACGTCGACCCTTCAATGGTCATCGAATATGCCGAAGATGACCTTGCCGATTTCCAACCATGTACGATATGTGGTGAAGCAGATAACGAGGATGTTCTCCTCCTGTGCGATGGTTGCGATGCCCCTTCGCATCAGTATTGTGTCGGTTTGGATGAAATACCTCCCGGCTCCTGGTATTGCGCACAATGCGAGGCTCAACGTGCCCTTGGCCCTGCGCCTGAGGTGTCTGCACGATCTACTCGAGCAACCGAGCGACGGAATCGCCGTACTCGCGCCCAACGGCGGCGTGCGCAAACCTCCAACAATATAAATTCGCTGCACTGGGCTCGGGTGTGGCAGTCCGTTTGGGATCACCTTAATATCGATCTGGATTTCCCATTCGACGATGACCGATCGGCGCAGCGTGTTATGCAGCAACGTCGCCGGGAGGAGGCCAACCAGCGCGAGTTCCGGGCATGGCAGCGTCGCTTTGAGGTTGCCGAGCGACAAGGCGGTGGTAGTCGGTTCCGAGACACAGCGTCTCTATTCGACATTGAACCCGCCCGCCCGTCACGGCCTCGAGTCCCTAGAGAGCCGACGCCCGAGCCCGAGTCTTTGGAAGAAGTGCGAGCATGGAATGCCTTTGAGAGAGCTCGAGAGATTGAGAACAACCCCAATGCCGCTCGAAAGCGCAAAGAACCAACAATGTCCCCTTCGCCAGAGCCGACCGAACCGGAGCGCAAGCTCAAGCGTCCACGCACTAGGCGGCCTCAGGAGCTGGCTGCCATGGCCCAACAGAATGGAGAATCCTCTAGAGCTGCCAGCTCGACCGCACGCCTCGCAAATGGGGATAGTGTAGGCGAACCAAGCTTCTTGTCCTCTCTCTTGAAGGAGGTCGAGGACTCATCGAATACGGAGCTCGCAACCTCCCATGGACCGTCGGCTCCCACATCCATAGCTCCTACCGACCATGCCACGCCAGGCCCATCTTCTCCATCCATCTCGCCCGTTTCCTCCAACCATTCCTCTCCTCGAATATCCTCCACGACCCCACCTCCTTTCTCTCGCAGTCGGCCTATTTCCCCAATCCAACTCTCTTCTCCAGCCGAATCCTCCTCGCCTCCATTCTCCCCAGAGGTATCATTCTCTGGGAGCCCAGCTTCCTCGCCGAGTAAGGAGACCCCTACGGCCCACCGTGATGCCGGTCGTCCACGCTCTCGTATACCTCGCCGAGGCATGCACCTGGGACACTCGCGCTCCGCCGATACCTCACCCACCCGCGCCGGCCCTTCATTAGCCGTCAAATCCGACATCCAGAAGATGGTTGGCACAGCGCTCAAGCCACACTACCGGGCCAAGACCATCTCCAAAGACCAATTCACCGAGATCAACCGCACCATCTCGCGCAAACTATACGAGCGCGTCGGAACGGCCGAGTCCCTCGGATCCGAGCGACGCGCAGATATTGAGGCGGTCGCGAAACAAGAAGTGCAAAATACCATCGGCGCGCTTTATAAGAAGGACAAACAGCCCATGTTGACATCGGACTCCGACGGCGATGTACAATGACTGCTACGACACGATACTCCAACATTTTGATGGCGTTCCTTCCATAGATCCACGGATCTCCACGATGATAATTGGCGTTTGGGACATCGGATGGTGTTACCTCTTTTTCATAACGGGATATCATTGGGATTTCATATCATTGACATGACAGGCGATTTGGATGCTTGGTTACTTCTTTTTTCCTTTCTACATACATCATTCTTCGATATTACATACCGTGTCTAAAATATTGACTTTCAAAGCTTCCATGGAAGTTTTTTTCTACAAGCATTTTCATGGCTTTTTACACTCGTGAGCATCAGTCTTTAGTTAATCTGAAGTTCACAATTGCTCTTCCAAGTTCCAAGGTTGGTTCGTATTCGATTGGCGAATCTATATAGTGCCTAGGTAGACGATCTAGTCAGAAATACAAGGATTTTATCTCGCTATGCATCCCCTACCGCCCAGAATGCATATTGGAGGACCCCTGACGAATCAGCCGGTTTCTAAAATAAGTCCCAAAGGCCCCCGGCCCCCTACCCCCAAAAATGAATCAAAGGGAATCTAGTAGAAACCGTAAGAATGGTCGAAATGTAAGACCGCTTCACTGAACCTGCCTTAATTGATTTAAAATCGGGACTTAATTCTCATTCTCTTTGACCATAGTTATAACATAAAAAGCTTATCTAATCTTAGCTTATCTCATATGGGGTAACGGCTAGCCTAACCGTCTTTCACACGGTAGACCCGGGTTCGACTCCCGGTGTGAGAACACACATTATATCTTTTTTTTTTTGGGCCAGCAGGACAAGTTTTAGTTATATCAGCTTTGGGAAGTGTCCTTACGGATCATGGGGAATCAGCGAAGGGTAGGAGCCTCGGTGGACCTAAGTTCAGGCACATATGTAGTATGTACCCGGTGGCGTATGAAAATTGTGGCCCTACAGATTCTATTCTACATGGAATATTCGATTCAGTTGATTCATATCTATCTGTCATCTTGAAAAAACTGCAATCAGGGAGCCCATGAAGTGATTCTCATATGTATATGAATGCCGGATTCATCGCAAGTGTTAGATGATTAGCCGCATTCGAAGAAAGCCCAAAAGACAACGACGTGAGATGGACGGACATTGAGAAGGGCTCCTTATGTACAAGAAGAAACCTTTTCTCTTATTTTAGTAGATTTTGATCCAATAAAACCTAAACTCGTTCCTGCGAAGTGCTTGTCCTACATAGCCGGAGAAACCCTTTACTAGGTTTGACGCAGACAGAGGATGGATGATTCATTACGTCGCCTCACACACAGTCCGCAATATTGCACATCCAAATTGGATAATCTTATTCTAAGGCGTGACGTACCATGATAATAAGATTCCAGGGAATAGACTAACTAACAGGCGATGGGGAGGGGAGTCAGGGATCCGTCGAAATTGTCAGGTACAAATATGTACTCGGTCAGACAGCCTAACTTTTGCAAGACTTAGGGCAAATCTAGCGGCGATGAAAAACATTCCCTTAGATTTTGAAAATACCTTAGATGAGAGCTCTTTTCAAGAAGAAAACGGCAAAAGATTAAAAGGAAAATTAATAAAAAAGAATTCCTACACCGGGAGTCGAACCCGGGTCTACCGTGTGAAAGACGGTTAGGCTAGCCGTTACCCCATGTAGGATGACTTATGGTTAATCAGACTTATTAAAGTATATAGTGTCCTAACGTAAAATCGTAATTGGTAAAATCGCTATTTATTTAGAACCATTAACGGTCAAATCATTTTGCATGTCGGTAGCTACTGCATCGTGGAATAAAATTTGTTCTCCGCTCCTAGACTACGTTGGCATGTGAGGTTATCAATTGTGTTCACCTCATTCAAATATCCAACGCTCATCGTCACGCCACAGCTTCGTGAGCCTCCTATGACCTTTGGCTTCCCAGAGCTGACGCACGCAGTCGGTCACCGCATCCTCCCAGTCGAGCTTCATGCCAAGCTCATTGGCCATCATATCACAGCGAACTAATAGTTGCCAACAGTATTTAAGGTACTTGGCCAATTCCTCTGTGTTGGATGGGTGAAATGGATCATGTGGCACATTCAGTCTTCGCTTCGGCGTATAATTGGCAAGTTCCATGATGTCGAGGGCAATCTCAAAAGGGATCCCTTTGAAACACAGCATAGACCGCACTTCTTCGGTATCTGGTAGAGCTGGCTCATATTCGGCCAGGTTCTGCATGGCGAGAAAATCACCAAACGAAGCTTTTCCATAGATTTTTCCAACCTGAAAACGACCAGATTTGTCCGCGTATTGACCCCATCGGAGAGTCCATGCCCGCGATGTGGTAGAGAAGGAAGTCGACCCGGGGTCTTTAATCCCGAAAAATTGTCGGTGGGGATATGCCACCACATGTGAAGTGGCACCCGGTCGCGTTGACTCCGTTACCATGAGCTGGTAAGACCTGGTATTTCGATAGTCGCTGTGTTCATTTTTTCCTGAAGCGCTGTCCCACAATTCTGGGAAACAGTATATCGTATTGAGACAAACGTATGCCAATAGTGCTTTCTTATAGACTTGATCCCATCCGAGATCGAATAACTAGGGATGTCAGAAACAGAGGCGAAAGGAAGAATATTCTCTCAAGAGAGAAGATGTCACTAAAGAAAAGTCCATCACTTACGCCGCAGCCACACTCGTCAATGTGCCTCCAGCCGTTAATGGCCACGTCCGGATGTGCGCATACACGGAGGATCGGTTCCATCTCGCCACATACGATCAAGGTTTTCACCAGTTCCATGTTGAAATAGCCTGAGCTCTGCCTTTGATAAAAAAACGTATAGCACCCAGTGGTTCGGTATCGCCTGCAAAACGCAGACGCGATTCTCTCCTCCCGCGGGAGGGCCGGACATTGAAAAGTCGGTTCTTCCATGGACTGGCCTTTGTCCCAACCGCGGACATAGTCCACCCGTGGCGACTCTTCCTTGCAGGTCTTCAGCCATCGACGGACGGTTGGCTGAATCTTTGTAGCAGTGTTTCCATCGATGATCACATCAGTAGAACCCGGCGTGTCGTATTTGTCGCAATATTTCCTGCGTTCACATCTTGCATGCTCTTCCACGTTTTTGGCGAAAGCTTTGGCGAAATGTTTCAACTCCTTGCCCTGGTCGGGTTTAAAGCGTGGATGGAGATCGTAGTTATGGCAGTGTCCACAAGACCCAGGGACCCACCGCAGATTTGAAGCTAGGAGTGTCCAGGGGATATTATGAGCTTGATGGGCCATGATAGCTCCGGGTCACGGAATGTGGTGATTGAGTTCTATGTCCTGCAAAATGTGCTTGAAATGTGCTTTTGTAATGTCACCGCCTGGGGGCCGCCAGGCACAGCCTCAATTTCCCTTAGCGCGTAGTGGATACTTGGGCTGACTCACTATGACTCTCCTTGACTCAACTCTTTTGCCTAGACCTAAAGTTATGGACTAGGGAATATCAACGTGTGTTTATTGCACATAACTCCAGGAAGAGAACTCCTGAAAAGTGTCAAGACAGGAGCCGAGATGCTTATCTTTCACGCTAAGCTCTGGCCTACGATCTTTACATTCCACTTAAGATGGCGCTTACATTGGCGCGGTCTACAGGGACATGAGGCTAGCCATTCGGAGTTCAGCCCGCTGGCGAAGTGCAAGAATCAGTGAGCTGCCCGCTACTGTGCCTTGTGGCCCGAAGGGGGCGTTTGGTGGAGACGAAAAAGCCAGTACCTTTCAAGAACAATTTGGAAAGTTTCCAAATGTAAACTTAATTAAATTTGGATCAGTCACAAGTCACCTAGAAATTTTTTTATATCGTTACGAACATCTCACTGTTGGCCTGAAACTAGCCATCGGTTTCTTCTCCCAGACCCCTTTGCTCAATCAATATGGGTTCTTACTCGCCGGAGCAGCTGCATCAATACTTCGACTGAATTGGTTTCCCTCAAAAGTATCGGCATATACTTCTGGCCAAGGATAATGCATGTATCGACAATGAAATGGCTTTGCCATTTTTGAGAGCACTGCAACGTTATCAGCTGGCAGCCGTGCCCTTTGAGAATCTCAGTCTTCACTACTCAGTCCACCGCTCTATCTTCACAGGCAACCAGAAGGTGTTGACAAGGTTTTCGATCACAAGTCATGTCGTGGTGGCTACTGCATGGAGAACAGTGCCCCCTTTGGATCGTCTTGCGGAGTTTGGAGTACAATGTCACATCCGTCAGAGGCCGAGTCAATGAAGCCGTTCAGCCCATATCCGCATCCAAGAGCTGGAAGGGCCCGACATTCAATGGATGGTATTGTTACCCTTTTCATTTCTATCCTTTGGGATATCGTGATCCTTTAACGGCCTCTACGTAGTTCCCTGTCAGTGGATGCGTACAAGTGGGGATTCATATGCACGCACTTAGTGACTCGCCAAATTACAGGAACCATATGGTGCACATCGTGAAGAGTCATTTTTGTTTTTGTTTTTGTTTATTCTTTGCACAAAATTTCTGCATGTATGCCTCATCTATTCGAGGATATCATCCAAAGGGCAGGCCTCTAGCATATCTATGTTGTCCTGAACAAGATTCCAAGGCACTACATCGGAAGGTGTCAAGGTTTTGTAGCCACTGTCGGATTTGCAAAGGAGAAAATTGAACTTAGAATAGCGGCCGCCATATGAGAAGTCTCCCCAGGCGAGTACTTGGAGGTTCGGAAGACTGTCAGAACTGAACGCCCAATGTGCAAAACCGTATATATCCTCGGGGTTATGTGGAATATCTGCTTCGACTTTAGAGTTCTTCACACTTTTAACACTAGTCTTCGATAAGTAGAATCAGCTTACCGTCGCCATATTTATAAGTATAAAGAGACGCAGAAGACCAGCTGGGATCCCCGCAGCTAAATAGTCTATCAAGGACTACCCCGCTTGTCCTAACATGTATTAGTTTGCATGACGGCCTTGGCTGCATCCTTTGCAAGTGACTGGCCTAATTCTCAGTTAGCAGCTATTTGAATCTCAAGATCCGCGGACAACACATACTAATTCCCCAGGTGGGATGGAAGATCCGAAGCAAGTTAATTGTTTTTCTTGCAGTATGTGTTCCAAAAACGAAGGCCAAGGTATGTCTCCATCGATGAGATCCTGACCACCTCTATCCACCAAATGGTGCATCACCAGGTGCTTGAGATGACGATGACATGACAAACTACAGTGAGAGTGTTCCAATCAATGGGCTCACGGAGCATTAGATAGAGACTTTCCAAGCCGGAATTATGGTGGATGAAATTGCAGGTCGTGTCCGTAATATGCATGTATGCATCTCTATCGAGACTGTTGAGACCGACAGTAAGTTTGAGGGATCTCAACTTCATTGGCTTTACAGAGTCGAGTATCATTCGTAACCAGTCAAGAGATCCCGGGCAGTTCCGCAATTTGAGGGTCTTTAGGCTTTCGATATTGTAAGCATAGGCCATTTCAATGCCGGTATGATAAAAAGACACAGCGGATAGTTGAAGATTCTCGAGAGACACAAAAATGACATTTTGGTCTCGGGGGTGGACGTTAAGCACTTTTTGCGAGAAGAAGTTGTCAGGAATTCTTGTGCGCTGGGGAGTCCGTTGGCGGAATCCATCAGCCCAAATCTTCTCCGCACGAACCCAGGTCAAAAGGTCAAGTGTCAATGATTGTATTTGATGGCCATGAACTTTGATACACTCTCTGACGGATTCGAAGTCGTTATATTGGTTCAAACCCCTCCAATCAAGGGACCGTAATTCTCTGAATTGGACAAGATCCACGAAGTCCTGCACGTTTTTGGTCGCACCACATTCACCATCCGTAATCAAGGTAATGGATTGAACCTGTCTTTGGTTCCCGAAAAACGATTCGTTGCCGCAGAAGAGAGCCTCTGGAATACATGTTCCTACCTCCCACCTAATTTCCCGTAAGTGGGTTTCCAAGGTAAGAAACGCGGTACTAACCGGAAACTGCGTAGCTGATCATCTGGAAACCTCAAAGAACCCAACGCGGAACTCAAATTACACAGAGGGTCCACGATGCGGCTCTGCTAGTTTATTAGTTATCTGACTTTCAACTACCCGGTGTTTGAAACAGTTGCGTTTACCCACCTTGTTCATACCCTGATCTGTATCCTCGTCCATATTCTCATCATCTGTAAGAAATTCAGCAAGCCCACCCTGAACAGCCTCATCACTGAAGCGCTCATTGCCACCGTGGTGTACACAGCGTGATTCGACTCGCTCATGGATCGGAACACTGAAGCCAAGTTCTTGTGTGTACTTCAAATATTTCCAAGGTAGCCTCTCCAAACCCACAACTAAATCATCTAACGATAGCTCCGGGTGCGGATAGGACAAGAGACCGATATAGATGTGGAACGACTATATCATGGAGACGCCTGCAGACTTCACAAAGCCGCTTCAGGTCCCTACGGCTGGCAATCTTCAATGATAAGCTAGTGAAACTAGGTTTCAAGGGACTACTGACTTACTTGGCCAACTACCATATCCAATAATTCTGAGGGAAGCGTGGCCAACATTTTGATTACCTCCGGACGATTACCCTCACGAGACTAGGGAAGCACTGCAGCAGGCTTAGCAACAGAGTATAGTCCTGACTGGGCTGACAGCGGGGCGCAGCGGGGAAGTATGAGTCGAAAATAGGGAATTCTGTTTGTCAATAGGTGGTTCCAGGGCGGTGGAAGAATTTTAGACCGCCCCACTGCCCCACCGCCCCGCTAGATAGAACATCTTTTATGTGCAACTGGCAATAACATTGACTTCAAGGCAACAGTTTGGTGACAGTCTTTCCAAGGTCTTCCGGTGTATTAGTGTAATGGTTAATTGATGACCAAGGGCCTTTGGAATGGCTGTCAAAAGCATCGACTTGAAGCTAAAATTTACTACTGACGTCGCTGGACTGTTAAAAAAAACAATTAAAGTCGGGCTTGTATACGCCAAATTCCAGCATCAATGCTAGCTACAGAAGTATAGTGACACAGGAAAGGTTTCCACACCCCCAGCCCACACTAGGTATAATTCTGCCTTGCCAAATCCCTCAAAGAGCGTGTTTCTCAGGAAGCCAAATTGGTATTTGACCGTCCCATACAGCGATAAATACTTCTATTAAACAAGATATGGCTTTTGGAAGGTGTCCTATCTAGATACCTAGAAAAATAGCCTTTTTCTCTTTATTATTATAAGTATTAATAGGGTTTGTAGGCGGTGTAGGATGTGGATAGATCCTTTGAATTAAATTGCTTATCCGCAAAGGTAAAATTAGATCATCTCCACAGCACGAAAATTATAATCAATGTCTCATCATGCTGTCACTCAAGACTTGTCTTTTTTTGCAAAGCTCTTGCAGTGTTTAATAATCCAGGGGTGTTGTTGGACTTTCTCCAAGGAAATTCTCAGATCCGAATCGAGGACAAGTAGCTTGATCAGTGTTAGTATTTCGTTGATACTATATTTCAAGATGAGCTCACCTTTCTGATAAGATCCTTGGCTTCAGAGCTAACAAAAGAAGGAATCGTCATATCTCCCTTGGCGATTCGTCTCTGTGTCATAACAGGTGTGTCCTCAAAAGGTGCCTGTCCAACCAGGAACTCGTACATCAAAACTCCTAGGGACCATAGATCCACTTTTTCATCATAAGGCTTCTCGCACCTTTTCGGATCCACCATCTCAGGTGGCAAGTAGTCCAGTGTCCCACACTTCGTGAGTCTGCGACCACTTGGCGCATGGACACTCCAGCCAAAATCCGACATCTTCAACTCACCGTGAAGACCAACAAGGATATCCTCGGGCTTAATATCTCGATGAATGACGTGCTTGTGATGTAAGTAACGTAATGCACTGGCCATTTGCGCAATGTATTGGGCTGCCTTCCACCCTGGGAAGCGATCTGCTTTCTGCAAGTGCTTGTACAATTCCCCTTTTCCGGCATACTCGAGAATCAAAAAAATTCGCTTCCGATCGTGAAAGTGACCGTATAGCCGTAGGATGTTGGGGTGGCGTAAATTGCTTTGAATCTCGATTTCACGAGCCACTTGTTTTTCGATCTTTCCTTGTTGGATCTCATCCTTGTGTAGTACCTTCAGCGCACAAACAAAACCAGTCTCTCGTTCTCGTGCAAGATAGACTCGTCCAAACTTGCCCTTTCCTAGGGGTCGGCCAATTTCAAACATGCCTAGATGGAATATCTTGGGAACTGGTTGTTTGATAAGCTGGACGGCGCGTTCTTCGATTGCATTGGATGTTGCCGAAAGGGCAACGGAGAGAGAGTGTCGAGCAAGGGAAAGATGTTGGCTGCCTTTTGCTCGAGCCATTTGGGGAGCGACATGGCTGGCGACATGACTGGCAACTACTGTGCTTTGCTGCTTGACTTCACCAACATGTTGTTCTTCTGTCTCAAACGCCGCATCTGGTATCTGCGACATCACAACAGATAGGGGATGGCGGGCCTGGGAAGGAGCTTGCCCGCCTTTGGCCTGAATCATGTGTGAAGCGACATGGCTGAAGGCTGTTTTTTGTTGCTTAATTCCTGTTTGGTGGTGTTCTCCCGCCCTGGCCGCTTCAGCAGTTACCTGTATAACCGAGAGTGGCCTTCGAGTTCGCCGAAGAGTCTTTCCACTTGTTTCTTGAGCCACTTGGGAAGTGGCAGGGTCGGTGGTTGTGCATTGCTTATATACAGCAGCCTTGGAGCTTTCTGATTGTCTGGTTCGGTCCGATCGATGAGTGCCGGTGATTGCAACCTGCTCACTGTTATCAATTGTGTTCTCAACGCATGTTGAAAGTGCGTCGCGGTGCGAACTTACGTTGCATTTCTGGCGGGAATTGGCCCCGTCGTGTCCATTCTCATCATGAACAGACAATTGCCCAAAACGAGCCTCGAGCGTCCTAGTCGCCATACTGGTTCCTCGCTACCGTTTCCCCGTTGCTTGACTTCAAGGAAACGAAAGGATCGCCAGGAAACTGATGCTTATGTTGGAAATATGGGTCGCAAGGTTTCTTGTGGAGAATGGTAGGTAAGCTAGGTCTAACTAACGTAACTAACTAACTATCCTGTTAACGAAGGGCAATTTCATGTTGCCGTGGTAACAGGTCGCTGTGGAGACCGAGTTGGCTGGACGGGAGTGCTACTATTAAGTGCCCCACATACCGGGCACCGGGTTTTGGGACCGACGTGGAATTGCAATCGATCATCATATTCTCTTCGTAGAATACGCGATATTCTCAGGATTCAACCCCGACGGTACATTGAAACGACATGAGCAAGGAACGGGCGGGCTTTGTCTACCTTCAATCCCTCTACCCGCTATTGCCTTCTCAATTCCCCTGACGGACTACTAACTCTCGCGCGAAAAAGCTACTGCGGTTCAATAGTATATTCAATGCACTAATCAGCCCCCTTGTACCCAAGGCCATTTTCCCTTCAGTTGGCTCCCTTCCTTTGTTTTTGCCACTAACCTTTTACACCAGTAATCCCATCAATAAGCGAGTTCTTCCGCTCCAACAGGAAAGACAAAACAGCTGACGGACTGAAAGCTTGCTTTAGTACCTGGGCAAGAAGAAGAGCTAACGATAACCTTCATAGATGTCGAGGCCGTAAAACTGGCTGACTCAACTCTGAGAATCGCCTTTAGGGTCATGGTCACCCGGTTGCCATTTGGATCGGTCATGCGGCTTCTAAGGCTGTTAAGCGAGGGAAGAACATGTCCGTGGATGCAACGGTTTCTTGTATATGCAGCGAACACTGTTAGAAGCTCGCTGGAACAATGCCCTTGGCGTCGTGACAGAGTTGGGGAAACATACAGCCATTGAGAAGCGGGAGCATTGGCCCAGTCTTGATGTTATCGAAGGGGACCCCCTTCAGAGTGTAGCTTCTGTGCTCCACGATCCGTTTAGGCTCCTTCTGGCGCATCGCGAACCGCATTGAAAGCTATACCGCTCTTTCGACTTTCCAACTGCGTTCAAACTCGATAATAAAGTGTTCTTTTATTGAATGTGCTCGTATGAGTCCAATTCTGGGCACTTCATAGAAAAAAAGAAACTTGAAGCCGTCAGCATTTTATAGATGGTTAGATAACCGCCATTGCACCTCCGGATGGCAGAAAGATCGCTAACCCGTAGAATTAGAAAGAAAAAAAGACGAGTCTTCACGCACTAAGTACACACGAATTGAGGGCAATCTGATATTTACCACATTTCCTGGACACTTTCCGCTAAAGCCATTACGCAGCGATATGCGGACCTACGTTTCGGGAAAGAAGGGAAGGGAGGGCGCGGTGATGTTCAAGATTAATGTTAACATCTTCATCCTCCCGGGGGACTTTGCAGCCAAATTTTGGTCGGTCACACTATTCTCTCGCAACCCACTCTAGATCTGTATGAGATCTGCGACCACTTATCTAGACATGGGATACCCGATTGATGCGGAGACCATGGCGCTATGATTGGCTGAGCTCGGGCCAGGTGGGTCCGCTACTTCCCGACTGCGCTAGTCCCCTTCGGGTATGTGAGATGCTCCGCCAATAAGCAGTCATCTGCGGGTTCAATTAGCGCTTTGATCTCGAGACGAGGCTGAGCTTTCCAGGAGGGACAAGGCTGGGATGTACAAAATAAGGGATCTGGGTCTGCACTCGTCCAATCTTAATAGCACATGTCATCAGGGAGAAGTTATAGAAGTGGGCCGTTTACGTGCGTATTGAAGGCTTGTCTCATTTGAGGAAAACACGCGGTTCCCCACTGCTGCCCTTCAACATCCTACTTCCCGGATATGGTAAATGATCTGGTTGTACAGATAGATGGGGGCCGGATGAGAGTCTCCCTCTCTCTATATAAACCCTCCGAAACATCCTCCTTCGGAATCCCGGCAGTCTTTTCAAAATATTCCTTGATTCAAACCTGTTTAACGACTCACGCCATCCACCACCACAACAATGGGTAAAGGACTCGTCAGACTCATTGGCTCCGGTATTGCCTTTACTTCTGAAGCCGTCCATGCAGCCCGACACCGAAACAAAGACTCCGTGTCTGTTTCAGAGACCACTCGCTCTATTACTGGCGTAGAAAGCGATTGTGGAGATTCTGTCGGTGCAGCTCATCAGACGACTTATACAGTCGCCCTCGAAGGTCTTGCAGAGCTACCCAATCGAGGGGGCCGCTCAGACTGGGGCAGCGAGAGAGGGCTCCCAACAGGAGATGAACTTCCACCCTACTCACCCGGCTCGGAACGACAGAGGAATATAAATGAAGCGAGATCTTCATCGGAAGCCGAAGAAAAGCGCTCTTCTGAGACAGGCGACGACACCGAAAACTTCGCTTTGGATACCAGAAATGACCGTGAGCACTCGATGGATGGAGATGAGGCTGCCTGGCAACTCGACGAAGCGACCGAAGAATTCGGATTGCCCACATATGATCAAACAGAAACCCACACTGGCCCGAAAGGTGCTCAGAGAGACTTCACGAGTGTTGATAACGACTCCGATGAGATCAGCGCCCAGGACTCTGAAGATGAGAAGGCGAAGAAAAGAGAGCTCATGATTCGCTCACTCGTGGCGATGGCTGGGCCACCACCAGTGCAACCGCAGCGACTCCCATGTCCTGTAATTATTCCTCAACGCAGGCCTGGTGCTAAGAAGCGTGGATTCGTGCGTGCATATGCGCCCGTGTTGGCCGACTGCGGTGTCAGCCAAGATGTGTTCTTGAAGTTCATCAGTGACTTTCATAAAGCTAGTCAGGTTGGTGACTGCCATTCCTTTTCTTGACCATGATGGGATTGCATTCATTTACTAACTATTATCATAGGCTTCAATGTGGCTCCAGGTTATCGTTTGCGCAGCCAACATCACTAGCTTCTCCCCATCATTAGCAGTTGCGTTGACCGCTGCAGCTATCCAGATTGTAGCGGACACAGCACAGCAATTCCAAATTCGTCACCGTACCAACAGCTACCTCGATAGGGCAAACCAAGAGATCTTCATGCCTCGTGGTCAATACGCGATGGTCATGAAATTCACGGATCGGCCTCCCAAGCTCACGAAGAAGCAGAAGCAGCAAAGAAAACGGGATCCGAACTCCCCTGACTCGGAAGCTGATCGACTTGGCGGACTCTTCTCAACCGAGCAGATCAATTTCAATCAATCAGGAGCGACAACTGATGTCAATGCCGGCCTGTCTCAGCCTGAAAGACCTGAATTCGACGCGGCAGCGACAATTTCAAAGTTCACTCACAGCAAGGAGCACCCGCAAATGAACGCATGGAAACAACGCATGCAACATTATCGATTGGCAGATGGCGCAACTAGAGGCGAAATGCAGCTTCCGGAGTGTGCACCACTAGTTTTCCCGGAGATTGATCGAGCTGCCATCCGGGTCAGAGACGGCCTGGAACCCAAGTCGAAATTCCAGAGTGCAAGATCCTGGGTTCGAGACTACATGGATCGAAAGTCTCAGGCATCATTCGTGAGTACCAATTCCTTTCTCTTACGCTATCGCATATCGACATAGCAATTCTGACGGGAAATAGGAAGCCGAGCATCAGGGTTCTGCGCTGGCTGTCCCCGAGTCCGGACGCAAGGCCTTCACTTCACGTTATAATGACCCCAACCACCCAGTGAATAGTGGGAACCTTCTCACGGCCTTGAGCGGTGGCTTATACCAGCCCAAGCCAAGCCTATTCGAGCGTGCTGGGGCTGCCATCAAGGAATCCCAGGACAAGAAGCGGGCTGCTCAAGGTCTTCCCCCAAGTGAAACATGGAAACAGAAGTTGGCCAGAAAGAAGAAGGAAACCGCCGGTAGAATTAAGATTCTTAGGGAGGACGTGATGTATCTGATGATCGTCAACATGCCTACCGAGGAAGAGCTGAGTGAGTCCGTTGCTAAGTTAAAGTACCTCGCACAGCAGGGAGACCTTGGAAGTGATGGGACTGGAGGGATGGCTCTCGGCTTTGATGTCTTGGACGTGGCTGACATAGTAGCTCTGGCTGCTAATACTTAAGTTGTCAGATTCTCTGGTGTATAAAAATAAGTTGATAATGAAATGTCCGCAGTTAGAGATATATTTCTCAAAGAAGTCGCACCTAATTGGTACTAGCGCGCCACGGGGAGAAGTGGGACCAGGAACGGTCCGAATCAGCCAACAGCAGTGCTCACGTTTCGGCCCCCAATGTCGGATTGCTTTGTTTGCATATGATGACGACGGCGAGGCTGTAATGGCCCCTGAAGACTCATCAGGGTCCGGATGTCTTTCTCTACCGCGCGGATTGAAGTCAACTGGGCAGAGTGCTGGTGATCTGGGTATCCGTAGGTGGGGGCCGACTGTGGAAAATCTCCAGCTGAACACGGACCTGACATCTGAGAGCTGAAGCCTAGCTGCAGAATTTTGAGCCTCTTGGGGAGTGCCTCTCGTCAGACCTGCCAGGGAACTCGGGTTTCCGACAGATCCTGCGCCCTCTCTTGTTCTTGCGCGCTCGTTTTGGCGTATCGATATGGCCCCACTCAACTCGGTTCGCCCTCGAGCCTCTAGAGGTTGTGGGAACTGCCGGGCTGTCAAACGACGTGTAAGCACCGTTCTGCCTTTGCTTCGCTTATTTTCCTCTTGTCTGCCAGGCCAGAACTAAATTTGCCGTGTCTCTACATAGTGCGACCAGCAGATTCCCCATTGTGGACAGTGCATTCGAATGCGCCAAGAATGTCCTGGGTACCGAGATGAATGGGACCTCGTCTTTCGTGATCAGACCGATAAAACCATAAAGCGATCCAGGAAAACGAAGATCAAAAGTGCCGACCAAGGCTTGCCCACGCCCGCCCGCGGCTTGAGCCCCGACCCTGACGAGATAGGAGTCAATTACTTCCTCCGCAACTTTGTCAGCGGTCAGTCCTCTTCACGGGGATGCCTGAACTATATTCCTTCTGTTTATCGCGAAGATGGCGAGCATCCCACTCTGGTCGCCAGCATGGCGGCTGTAGGGCTCGTGGCCTTGGCTAATTCGACCCGACAACCCGACCTGGCAAACCTCGCGCGAGCCAAATACACGGAGGCGATCCGCAATGTGAATGTCGCCTTAACATCGCCCGTGGAGTCCGTCAAGGACAGCACTTTAATGTCGGTGATCTCATTAGGGGTGTTTGAGCATGTCTCCGAGCACAAAGCGTGGGTTCGACATGTCCAGGGTGCTGCAGCGATAGTAGTTGCCCGGGGCAAGGACCAATTCACCAGCACGGCCACGATCCTCATGTTCAACCAAGTTCGCGCTGATCTTGTGCTTGCCTGTGTTCATAATGAAATACCGTTTCCGGAAGACATGATCGAGCTTCAAGAAGAGGCAGCCAAGCACATTGACGCCTCTGGTGCATTTTGGCGTGCGGGGACCTTAGGTGTCCGGTGCGCAGACCTCCTGATGAGAGTCAGGGCGAATACTGAGCAAATCCATTTGCCGGAATACCTGGAGGAAGCGACTATGATGGAGCGTGAATTCCAAAACCACGCTATGCTCCTCGCCACACAAGAACCATATACCATCACCCAAAGTGCTGGTGGGGTGCCAAAACTAATCTATAATGGACGAGTTGACCTATATAAGGACGCTTGGGCAATCCGGGTGTGGAACAATTTGAGAAATCTTCGAATGATCGTCTGCGAGATCATGTTATACCTCTTGAACAAGATTCTCGCCACAGACCTCACACTCACATCGGCCGTCCGGCAGTCTCTGAAGCTAAAGTTTCAGATGGCAATGCAAACTCTGTCAATGCTGGGAGACGATATACTCGCTACCATCCCTCAGGCTTTGGAATTCCTATCCTCTGCATCCAACACTCCCTCCGTCGATCTATCCTTCCACGGCAGCGTGTCAGGCGGGTATATCCTGACCTGGTGTTTGTACATGGTTGGAAAATGCCCAGCCACAAAAGCTGAGACCAGAAAATGGATCATCCAACGCCTCCAAGACTTTGGTAGGAACATGGGCATCTCAATTGCACTGCGTCTGGTTGATGATATAATAATGATTGACCAATTTGCCGACTAGACATTATCCATCCTGGCGCTCTCGTCTTTACTCGATTGTCAAAAACAAGCAATAGAATTCCTTCATTAGACTCGGATAAATATAACTAGGGAGTGTAATTTGTTATCATTGCTTGGAAATTTGGCGTTGAAACTGTTCAGATGCCTGGGTCAACTCTGCCTTTGCTTCTTCTGCTTGAGAGTGCAATACCTAGGTCGCTTCCTCTCGAGGACTTCTTTGCGGCTATAAATTCTATCGTTCTTTCCAATGCCAAGGCACGATGAAATGACAGTTCCCCCCCTTATCACATTCTTAAGCGCTTGTATTTGGGGGCCAAAAGTGTATCGTTGGTCAGAACCAACCTATAATCTCCACAGCGGGGAAGCTTTACCGAGATAGGTATAGATACCTTCAGCACCCTCTATCCCTCAGCGCCAAATCTCGCTCGTTTCTTTCACTCAACCCAAGCAGCTTAAAATGACTAGCTGTTACTCTCTACATTTGGGCGTGATCCATATCAATTACTCGGACTTGCCATGTGAAGACGTGGACCAAGTCGGTCACAATGTGACTTGCTGTGTACGAGGCTCTACATGTATGAGCAACGGGATCTGTGGAAACGGCAACGGCGATGGGTATTACAGTGCGGATTGCACAGATCCAACGCTGCAAGATCCTGCATGTCAAAATCACTGTGGTCCGTATCCTACCTTTCTGTCATTCCGAAGGCGGTTCATATTGTAAGCTAATCTATGTTCTTTGAAAAGGGGGCCTCGTGGGCTCGCAGATTACTTATAACTCAACTTCTGGCCTTTGGGCCTGCTGCACTTACAACGGTGGAACGCCTGATTGTTCCGAACCGAGCGATGAGCTTTTTGCCGCCCCTGGCCCATCCAGTCTCAAAACCGTCTTGCATCTCCCTACAACCGGATCCGTCACGTATTCTACCCCAACAGCGACCGCAACATCTATCGGAAACGCGCACACATCTTCAGCGTCATCTTCAGCGTCACCTTCATCGCCGTCTTCATCGCCATCCTCGAGTATTGGTCCAGGGGCTGCCGCCGGAATTGGAGTGGGTGCTGGTGCTGGTTTAATCCTTATCGCCGCAGTGGTCGCGTTTGTCATCTTCAAGCGGCGACGACCGATGAAAACAGATACGGCGATGTCAGCTGATGCTGGATTCCATCAGAGCCTTGAACCGCACGAGTTAGATAATAAGTCGATGATGCCCGAGATGGATAACGGGCTCGCCTTGTCCGAATTACCCTCCAACTCCTTAAGGGGTCCGGGATCCCACCCCTATGTATCATAATGATGGTTTAATGATATCCTGAGCTGAGCACTGAGAAGGTCAGGACAATGACGAAGGAGTATTTCTTATTCGCATAGATGAATAATGTAGAACATGAAGACTACGTAAGAGACAAACACAGACGTAGGCGAAGATGCCGCGGAAGCCTGGCCAGGCTATAAAACCGGACCAACGTAACAAGCGCGCTGGTTTACAAAGTTTATCTAGAATCTCCCCAGTTTTTTTCAATGTCGTAGAGCTGTTCCTCGCTACCAGCGAGGAAGGGCCGAATTTCCTAGAGTGAGTCTCGCTCGACTACTTAGACCCTGTACAGACACACTATCTGTTTTCCGCGGATTCAACTACTAAAGCTCCCTCGACATTTATTTATATCAGACTTTTGTAATTCTTTATATCTTGCAAGTGAGTCAAGTTGCGGGGGCTTACCGCTTCTAGTGGTTCATGACTTGGAGAAGCTGTTTCAAAAGACGACCGAAGGCTAGTAATCTCACGACGTTGATCCAGTCCAAGTATGTGTAGGTTGATCAAAGATCTGAAGGGGGTGTTGTAGGTGCTCGGTGGGCCTTAAAATAGGATGACAGGGAAGCCAGGATAAACTTTTATCTCTTTATCAGTATGTCTACCCATTGACACTGGCATTCTTGCTCATCCCAATGCCCACTGCTGCCGTCGTCCCTGCATCTACTGGAAGAATGACTCCTGTCATCCATCGAGCGTGAGGCCCCGCGACAAAGACTACTGCACCAGCACAGTCCCAACCATTTCCTTCGGTACCCAGTAGGCTTCGCTTTCTTCGAGCCTCCCTAGCCTCTTCGCTCATGCCGTTTCCATACATCATTGGCGTGTAGAGCATCTACGTTTCACATGGTTAAGGGGCAAATTTCTTAAGGTGTCCAAGAATAACTTACACCAGGACACACGCAGTTTACCCGGATGCCTTCTGCGGCGTGATGAGCGGCCATCGCTCGGGTCAGATTGACGACGGCACCCTTAGAAGTCGGATACAGCAGATGGGGGGTGCCACCTTTCAGTCCAGCAACGCTGCCCATATTGACGATACTGCCTTTGACCTCGCCGTCATTCTTGGTCATCTCCGGTATGGCATATTTGCTCATCTGAACCATACTGGCGACGTTGATTTCCATACTTTTTGCCCACTGAGTCATATCCACATCGACCGCTGTTCCGGATGCACCTCCTATCCCGACATTGTTGACCAGAATATCAAGCCTGCCGAAGTTCTGAATCGCGAAATCCACTGCTCTTTTGCAGTCCTCTTCCGATGTGACATCTGTCTTGAATGGGAGTGCTCTGCCACGTCCAGGCTTTGATGTGATCATGTCGACGGTCATTTTCGCCCATTCCAGATTGAGGTCGATGCAGAGCACATCGCAGCCGTCATCGGCCAACAGAATTGAGATTGCACGGCCATTCCCAATTCCATCACCAAGGCAGCCTGCGCCCGTCACGATGGCAACCTTGCCCTTCAAGGAACGGGAAGGCGGTTCAGTCGGGATGCCGGGGTCCATGGCAATTGACTGGGTTTCAGCCGAGGCAGAGCTGTAGGTGAAACTACATGATCGCAGTCAATTTCAATACATCAAGCCCCACCAAGGTCACGTTTAAGCTCATTCGCAGTGAACACCGCGGTGCGCGAATCCCGTTCGATGCCCATATGCGGGGTACCGAGGCGTTCATAACCGAGCCGAGGCGCCGCCATGAAGGGGATCGTTTTGATTCAAATACATACTAAAGCTACCTTGACACTTTTCTATCAGCTTTATTGTAAGATCAATACTGTACATAAATACAATGGCCGACTTCACTGAATATGCAAGACCCAGCGCCGACTGGATTGCCCTTGAGCCGAGCCTGCCCCAGCTCCCCAACGTCTCGGTTGAAGAGCTGAAGCAGATGATCAACAAGGGCCGCGAGGATATCGCAGCACAGGGCATGAGCAAAGGTCAGTGCACAAACTTTTTGATATAGAATGCCCAGCTAATAAACCCTAATTGAGATAGGTCTCAGCGAAAAGGTTCAGCTCAAAGATTATACCATAACTGCCCGTGATGGTTTCAAGCTCGAAGCACGCACCTACCGCCCCGCAGACGTCGACCCCTCCGAGCGTCTCCCCATCTACATCCATCTCCATGGAGGCGGCTACCTTTTCGGAACCCTCTCGTCCGAAGACGCAATCTGCTCTCGCATCGTCAACTCTCGGGCAGAGAAGGGCACGCCGGTTGTCGTGTTTAACATAAATTACCGCCACACACCAGAATACCGCTACCCAACCGCATGGGAGGACGTCGAAGACGCCTTCGTCTGGGTTCACGAAAACGTTGCCGAGATCGGCGGCCTGAACGACCAAGTCGTCGTGGGCGGCATCTCAGCTGGCGCCCAATTGACTGCTTCACTCGCGCTTGCTCAGCTTCATGGCAATGATAAGCGCCTGGCTGCTTGTCCCAAGATCAGAGGGCAAGTGTTGATGATTCCTTGCGTGGTACAGAGTGAATACTATGTCCCGCGGCTAGATCTACTAAAGAGCCCCGAGCTGTCAAGCTACAAGCAGTGTGCCCAAGCACCTATCTTGCCCGTTGATCGAATCAATATGTTTATGAGTTTACTTGGTGTTGTTGGCGTCAAGGGTGCGGAGAACGACCACCGTATGAATCCTGGAAATGCCACTGCGGAGGAAGTCAAAGCACTGCCGCCTACAACCTTTGGTATTGCGGGCAATGATCCGCTTCGGGACGAGGGTCTTTTCTACGCCAAGTTCCTGAATGATAATGGGTTAGTTTTCTTATGCCGCTGGAGATATCACCACTAACAAGCATTTGTCTAGTGTCCCGACTGATGTTCACGTCTTCCGAGGTGTACCGCATGGGTTCAGGCGGTTTGGCGATAAGCTACCGGGAGCGAGTGAATACTGGGATCGGGTCATGAGTGACGGCATTGCCTGGGCTTTGTCGAACCCTTCGGTTGGGGCTTTTGAGATCAAGTCCGATTGATTATGGAGAGCAGTCATAGAACATGAATTTCGCGAGGAAACTCCTTCGGGAAACATGCAGACATTGTGCGCTGGCTTGTCAAGGGCGGAGTACTATATGACTGCCGTTAATTAAACACAGTTGAAAATCAACACGAAGACTGCATCCTCTCCAAACGTTTCTCTCTCCGATCATTGCTTCCACCAACCCACATGATCCGATGATAACTCGCGAATACTTGCATTTTGCAGTCAAGTTCCACAGGCGGTAATTTAGCATATAAGCTCCCTCACCTCCTGTACCACATCCTTGTCACGGGGGTTCGTCGCATCTTCTTTTGTAGCAGAAAGATGCCCTGTAACAGAGCCTCCGGAGTGGGCGGACATCCCGGCACATAAATATCAACTGGGACAATGCGAGCCACCCCGCGCACGACACTATAGCTATAATGATAGTATCCGCCTCCATTTGCGCAACTTCCCATACCGATAACCCATTTCGGGTCCGGCATTTGGTCATAGAGTTGCCTCAATGCGGGTGCCATCTTGTTGCATACTGTAACAGCAACCAGCATCACATCGGACTGATGCGGGGAGGCGCGGATCGGTCCTGGTCGTATCTGGGCATCGACGCCCCCATCATTTCGACCCCACAGCAGGCTAATGCGAAGGTCAATGGCCAAAATGACCCTTGTCTGCCCCAATTGACAAGCTGGTCAGATTTTGCTCTTCGCGAGGGATAGGTTAGCATAAATCTCTAGTTAAGTAGAGGCTCGGTAGACAAGACATACAGCATATAGCCAATCGCTCCTGACTTTTCGCCCTCCCATGCCGCGGAAGTGGCGTGAAGCTTTTGTCGCTCACGCAAGTCTCCAATAGACTTGCTCGATGAAAACTTATGACCTGGCATCATGTTGACCCGGTGGGAAGCCATCGATCTCTTTGATGGAAGGGGAGAAGGTGCCAGTGACGACACTGATGGCTGACATGATACTAGAGTAGATTGTCTGGCTTGTGGCAGGAATTTCAGAAGAGTAGACATATTTTTGAATTGATGAGCATATAACTTCTGCTACTTGCGAATGGAGACAGCCGCTGTTCCTCTGATGAAAAGTGTCCGCCTACGTCCGAATTTGTTTGTAGCCTTCTTTCCCCATGTTATGCATGCTATTGGGTTGCTAAAAAGGCCCACAGTGAATATTTGCTATCCTTTCCAACCATGTCAGGGACCTGCGCCCTCACAGAACAACTTTCTTGAGCGAATCTCGTCTTGGTCTACACTGCTTCCGCCCGAACTGCGATTCCCATCTTCAAGCAGAAGTGTGTGGGCCATATTGACTCAACTGACCTATGAGTACGTCTACGTCTCAATCTCTTCAGTTTTTGCGGTTGGAATTTTCCAGATCATTGTCTCATGTAGATACTCACCAACCGTTCCAACAGCCAGTATCAGCTTCTTTTCCATCGAAAAAGCCCAGACGCTGCACAGAAAATAGGACCTGGCTCTCCCATATTTGAAATATGCACCAGATTGTTCCGCATGCTCGAGGACTTGGTGACGAGCGGTATCTTGTTTTCTGTTGCTGGCCATGTGTATGTTTGATTCAATTACAAGACAAGGAATATTACTGATCTGCTTTCCATATAGAGTACCCGCGGTGATGTCGTCACTCTGTTTCCATATCGCAAACATCAGCAGGGGAGGCCCGCAAATCAGGCCTATTTCCAAGCATCGAGCACGTTTTTGCTTGCTCGTTCTCAAAGACCTACGGGCCTCATGGCCGGTAATTGCCTCTGTTTACCCTTTTTTCACGCCCATGTTCAGACGACACTTTGGCGTATCTTTTTCGGAATGCGAGAAAAGTGATTTGGGGTGTTCGCAACCGATCCAGCGACCAGGCGACACTGAAATGTCCAGTGAGGATATTGCCCGTACCCAGGAAAGCGACGATTGGGTGTATGAGCGGTTTCTACATGATGAAAATTCGGCCGTGATCAATTCCGGATTTCCGTTCAGCTATCTTTTTGAAGACGTCTTCCTCACCCCTCCTCTTAACGCCTCTACACCGTGATGTGGTAGTTTTGAACTTTATCCTGTATAATTATGTTTGTATTGGAATCAGCATATCAACGTTTGGCTTTTGGTCGAGTATACGCTGCGCAAAGGGCGCTGGCTTAAGTAGTACATCGTTAGCACCATGATAGCATAACGGGGATTCAGGTCTCCGAAGGCAAAGCTATTGTTGAATATTACCGAGGGCAGGTGGTTGTCATGGCCTCAATCATCAGCTTACATGCATATATCTTTAGGTCTATTTCTTTCTCTCTCCCTCTCTCTATTCCCTTTCCCTATGTTTGTACTCTCGTTTCTGCTACTACAACGTGACTCACCTAAGTACTGGTTTTGGTCTGCGTAACTGAGCTTGTCTCACTGGGTATTCCAATTTCGACGAAAAGCCCAGTCATCATCCTCATAGAGAAGTTTTTACAGTTCCCCATTCAGCCTCAATGGCAGGGCCAATTTACTCCCTTGTGCCGTCTCATACAAGTGTCCAACATGAAGTGTAGTAGATCATTGATACTGTAACCTTCCGAGACTGAAGATAGGTTTATGAATTCAAGACTTAGAGACACTATCGTCCCTGGGGAAGGAACCCAAATCCCCAGTGCAATGCAATTGTCTATTCAGAGTTCGATGCGAGAGCGCCCATCATGCACGCATACCCATGAATCATAGATGGGCACATGCCAGATCCGATGCCGTAGCCATTACCCGAAACCCAAATCAAGACTCCACGGAAAAGAAAACCGATACAAAAAGGAATCACCGCCATGCAGGTTCGTTACTTCTTTTCTCCATTCGAAACACCCTCGTCTTCCATATCGACCATTTCCCTCAATATGTCCTTGAGACCGCGCACTCCCTCGTCCACCACCGTGTCTGGGATGCGCACGTCGACCTCTTCAATATATTTCAAAGGGTCGTATGGGGTGTTGTCTGTATTATTGGATCCTGCTTTGCCGCCCCTTTTGGTTCCATTGGCCTTTCCTTCTTTTGTGCCGTTCGAAGTCGCTTCTCCGTTCTGTTCTCCGGAGTGTTTTGAGCCCAGCGCAGGATGAGATCTTCCCTCCGCTGAGGCCACTACCGCTTCCATCACATCGTCGAATGTCTCGCAGCGGCCGGCGCGGAGGAGTTCGGTGGCGAGGCTGGTAACCTTTTCCGTCCACCCTGCGCGGTGTAATGAGCCCAGAAGTGTCTCTTGCAGCTCTTCTAGTGCGGATGTAGCAGCGAGTTTCGTGAGAAGGTCAGACTCGAGGGCATCGGGGGTAGAGGAAGCGCCAGCGGGGGTTGAGGATGGCATGTTGGAGGGCTTCGGCGGGGTTCACGCCGCAGACGAGCCCTCGGGCTATGAAGATTTGTAGCGGAATGTGAAGATCTAGAATAACCCGTCGCCAGGAAATGCGCCGCAGGAACTCGGATTGATTGTGCCTGTCCCAACGGTCTAGGAGTGAAGGGTTGCGGTCCGCCCCATGTGCCGGTGGTTGTCGGGTAGGTTTTGCGATAATAGGCAACAGAAAGAAAAGGGGAACCTGCCCTGGGTGTGAACTGTGCTTGCCAAAGAATAAACCGATTATGATTACTGGCGGTGACGAGAGATGTTTGCAGCTCGTGTAAAAGTGCGATATTGAGAATGACGATGGTTCCGGTGTCCGCCTGTCAATGCGGCGGCGATTCCGGTCAGCGCTGCAGCAATGACACCAATGCGAGATGATAGAATGAGGGGATGGGGAAACTGGGTATGCAGTTATGATGAATACTCACCAGAGTGAAGACCTTGTAGCCGGAGGGACGAGCTTTAGTCCCGCGGGCGCAAACGGTCACAGTTGCGGAGGTAAGGTAGTCGACGGGAGCCGGGGAGAAGGAGAGAATAGGGTCAGCCGAGAGAACAGACACCGGGTCACAGAGACGTATCCATTGCACACCCGGAGAAATAGCGGAATGTACAATAGTCACAGGACAGTCAATTGCAAAAAAGTGTAGGTTGAAAAGACCATGATGTCCAGGCCAATCGGCGTGGAGGCGACAGGGAGTGCGCTGACATAATCACACCAGCCCTCTAACCTGGGAATACGTGGATTCTCTCTCTTTGTCGACTTGTTTTGATTGATCAATTCATTGCTTATTTATAATCTGGCCATTATGACATCTACGAACTCCCGGCTTCTGATGTGGATGAGTGGCTTGCTAGAAGCTGAAAAACGGATCGTGGTCACGACAATGACACGGCTACATAAAACCTTAATGCTGTCATTACGGACTGCCATGGTACCGTATATCACTGACACCATCAAGGCAAGATATAAGACGCAGAAATGGTGTATAACATGCTGTATTAAAATCTCATTATCAATGTATAGGTAGCAAGTTATGTGACTTGCGATACCATCGAAACAATCTATATTGGCAGTAGTACAAAGAGCCTAACGAGAGTCAAAGCTAGTCACGGGTATAGTCTAAAATTATGAGTGGTTTCTCTTTGATAACTCTTCCGGCTATCAACAGCCACAAAAGATCTAGCATGGGCTGAAGATTGTGAGAGCCTTCGAACGAAAACTAACTAGATGGAATGCAGCAGCCGATTAGGTAGCTTCCCAGCACCCTTCCCAGCTTGGTGAACCCCATGGGTGTTGACAAAGGTCCGGCCAGTACTATTTTAAATACATAGGGTTTTTAATTCGCACCATCAGGCCTCGATTATGTTTAGAGAGGGGTCGGCCATACGGTCAACAGTATATAGATAATAGATCCGTAGTTTGAAAGCCGATTCGGACGATGGGAATGTCCCAAACCCCCGCGACTGCTCTTTCATCGAGACAACCTATCACTTGACCGGAGAGTCTAGAAGGATTCTCCAGTTTCAATGCGAGTGGGGCCATCAAGGTGGCCACCACGTTCTCTTTCGATGATCGTCCGTGAGATCTAAGACACAACGGACTTCTTCCGGGGTAAATTGGGATTGGAGAATGTATTGCTTATTAGCGCTTCTTCGTAAAGAACAAAAGTAAAAAAATATAACCCGGTTTTCTAGCTCAATCGCTGTGCAAAAGCAGTGGGAAAAGGTGAAGGTCGCTCGAGTCCAGACCCGGTCACGTGCACGCCATTGATGCGTCCCAGTTGCGACGCCCATCGTCCTCGACAATCCAAGCTCGCTTTCTGCCATCGCTGTCGCACCTTCCGCTGCGGATTTTGTCTTGCAGATATCTTGGTGTGCTCGTCCAGTCTCTCCGAAACCATATAACACACGCGCCCGGGAAAGCTTCCCCGCTCTCCTTCCCGCGTCTACCCTCGTTTTCATCCTCCGGCGCCTATCGTCATACGGGGCCCAATAGCCCTCCAGACCCGCATCGTGTGTATACACACGTTTTTTGGCCCCTCAGAAGACTCCGCCGTCTATCCGTCTATGCTTGCTTGGCAACCCCGAGTCTCCGTCCGCGTTCCCCCAGCCGCGCTCTCATAAACTTGACCCACCCGGCGCATATTTACCAGCCGGTTCCCTGTCAGCTCTGTCAGACAACTTCTTTCCTCTGACGGCGGCGCTGCTGCACAACGAGTGCACTCCGTCTTTCGTGCATAACAGCTCGCCTCTGAGTATCACCCGGCACGATGCTTCACACCTCTTACCATGCCGACTCCGATGCGGATGACGAGTACGAGCGCAGCGTGATCACTTCGCCGCACCTCCAAACAGAATTTGAAGCCTCTCCCATTGATTCCGACATCCCTTCATCCGAACACACCCCGACCAAGTTCGGCTACCCCAGCGATGGCCCGCGCACCCCGCGTTCAATCATATCAGAATGGACAGCAGATGAATGTATCGAGTTTTTGACGTCGCTTGGCCTTCTCCAGTATTGTGGAACCTTCCGAGGTAAGTCGGATTTTGTGACTGTGGCCGACTTGATCCTGACAATCCAATCCGTTACAGAGAATGGAATTGTGGGCGAAGCACTTATCGCGCTCAAGCATGATGAACTGAAGGAAATGGGCATCAACAGTGTGGGGCACCGTTTGACGATTTTGAAAAGCGTCTACGAGATCAAAATCCGACAGCAGGTTCCCCTGGATGTTGACCACTATATCCCGCTCTGTACGTTTCCCCATCCACCTGATCAATTGATTTCCAGCTAACTTCTGCACAGCGGCCGACCAAAGCATGAACGAAACTGCGTCCCAAGATGACCTTGCCCGTCTCATTCAATCGATTCAGCGTCGGGATGAAACAATCATCACAGTACAGGCGGAAATGCGCCGCCTTACGGAGGACTACCGCCGATTAAGAGAGGAAATTCTCCCCGTTATCAAAATCGCCAAAGATCGATCTCAGCCGCTTCCCCCGCCCTCTTCCTTGAACCAGTCCTCGGACACATACCACGACGGTTCAACTCTGACATCACCATCCCAACTCACCCTCGTAGACAATCCCTCATCATCAAAACTGAGCCGGGCCTTCTCCAAGCGCACGTATGGCGGAGGTACAACACCCAAGACCAACTCACCGACACACATCCCTCCTGCTGTCTATGAAGGGCGGAGCTACTCTGAAGGAGCTACTCTGGATCCATCTGCCGCTGCCGTGGCTGCTTCTTCACACCTCACTGCTTCAATGAATGGGGGATTACAGCACTCACCTGGAGTCCCATCACCAACTTCTCCGAACGCCCACACCTCTCAACACCAGACACTCAACCCGCGGTCTTACTCTCAACCCAACTCCAACTCCAGACACGATCACTCAGAGGAGATATCAAGAACCTCGTCCCGAACAGATCGGCTTACTCCCAGCCAGCAGCCACCTCGAACGGAAACACCATCCTCTGCATCCCGCACGGAGAATCGCAACACGGGCGAACCCTCCAGTGTGGAAATTTTCAAATCTTTCCGCGTATCTTGGGAGGATCCATGTTACAAGGTCCTTCCTGCTGCTTTAAAGAAATACAACATTCACTCCGACCCGAAGAACTACGCACTCTACATTGTTTATGGCGACCAGGAACGGTGTTTAGCATTGGATGAGAAACCTCTTTTGCTCTTCAAACAACTTGAGAAGGAAGGTCGGAAGCCGATGTTCATGTTGCGGAAAATTCACCCGGACAATCCTACCACCTACCCACCCAGTGGGTCGGCGCCCAACAGCGCTGGATTCGAGGGTGGACGCCAAGGGCAAATCAATTTACCGGGAGGAGTTCTGTGATTTTGCGTGCTGATGCATTTGCGTCTGTCGCTTCAGATACCCGGTGACTTATGACTATGCCTTTGTATTTTTTTGTTGCATTTGGGTTTGCTGGTCCCATTGGAATTCTATTCTTGATATGTCGGCTCTCAAGGTGTCCTGTGCCCACGGAGGGCTGGTGATTCCACTATGAATGCCATTGTGGAGGAGTCTGGCGTTCTTTCTTTCCGTTGGCAGTGTTTGATGCAAGACCTGCCCTTTATATCTGTTATCCGCATCGTGCATAAGCCTTGTGTCTCTTTCTTGGATGTTCTTGTTAGATCTCGAGTCTTGAATGTCAACAGCCCGCAACATCTGCGACGTGTACATCTCATCATAATCCAATTAAGACTTTGAGTGCCGCTTCTTGCTTTCGCACTCTTGTAGTATGTATAGTGCTTATCATCACGTGCGCCCGCGTCTTGTCGCAACGCGTCGATAAGCCCGCCATTTTCCAACTGCGCATCCACGACGACACTCCAATGAGCTGGGACCGAGTGATCCAGGACTCCGATGAGGACGAGCCCCTCATCGGGGAGGATATCTCGACCTCCAACGACCCGCTTCAGGGCCGCGGGTCCCCCATCCGGCAACACTACAACCACGGCGCGAACTACCAAGAACATTACCCAATCGAGCACCAAGATGTCAGCACAGAGCCACAATTGAGCGTTAATTTCGACCAGTTCCTGCAGTCTCAAGAGGGTCCACACACGACTCTCAATTCATCGCAGCAGCGGCGCGAAGAAAGGTGGATTCCTTCCACTGGTGAAGGCGGGGTCGGATCAATTGGTGCGTGCGGTCAACAATTCTCGATGTTTAAGGCTAACACACCTAGGCACAGGTGCAATGATGACGGAAATCGGGCTTGCACAGCAGCGACTATTCGACGATGAGGCCTCTAGTGTTGCCCAACGTCTTCCCTCCACAGCGACCGCGTACTCGAGCGAAATCTCTCAGCCGGGTTCTTTCCCTACCGGTCCAAACTACACGTACCAACAGCCGAACGAGGTCGCCAATGGCGTATCTAACCCTGTGAAAAAGGTGGTCTATCCCTCATATGAGGCGACGCAGCTTGTCCCGTCGGTTCAGTCGGTCCAGGCACACGGCTACGAGTACAGTACTCCTGCGGCGTCGACCACCGTCGATTCTCCTCTTGGAGGGTATGGGGAGACCAGTTCATACCCTCCAACTATTCAAACCTCTGGTGGCTCGCGCGCACACCCGTCGCAAAAGGCCCCCCAGAGGTCCAAGTCTCTGCAGTCACAGCAGTATTCTCCACATGACACGGAGCCAATGTCATCTGTGACGTCGCCGGGGGTGAGTCGCACGAAGAGCGACAATGTCAGGTCAGGTCTCATGTCTCCACGGTACTCCGAGCTCGATACACACGACGAACTTTCTTTGCCCGCTGTGTCTGTGGAGGTAACTACGGTTAAGAAGCGTGGACCTCCGAAGATGCATTCGGTGCCGGATAACGACGACGATGATGAACTAGCCATCATTCAATCTGGATCTGGTCAGAGCAAGCCCGAGAAACGGAAGCCGGGACAGCCTCCCAAAGCCGCATGTATTGGGGACGCTGCATTAAACAATACAGTAGCTGCGGGCGCTGAAATTCCTGCCGCAGATGGGGTTACAGTCACAGAGCCTGAAGTCCCTGTAAAGGCCGTTCCGAAGGAAACCAAGAAAAAGAAGGTCAGGAGAAGCAAGACCGCGGATGCGTTAATGCAGAAGAGTCGCATGGCGGATGAGGACGATGTCATCTGGGTAGACTCAAGGCCCATTCAGGTGGAGACCAACAAGCCTGACGCACCTCCATTAGGAGAGACTCCCATCACCGAAGACAAATCTCAATCCAATCAACCGGAAGAAAAGCCAGCACCCAAGAAACGAGGACGCAAGCGGAAGATGGTATCCGAGCAACTTACCACCGAAGCCGAATCTTCAAAAGAGAACCAAGCTCCAGCTGCTCCAGCTGCTCCCGAAGTCCCCATGGGAAAAGCCGCAGAACCAACCCCCGAACCTCCAATCCTTGAGCCTCAAGAACCCGTCCCAGCTAACAGCGCAGAACAAACACCCCAACCGGACGTACCCAGCAAACAACAAACCGATGCTCTTCCACAAACACCTCAAGCAGACACAAAGACCCGCAAAGGACCGGGCGCACACAGTCCGATTTCGTCGACGAGTAAGGTGCCATATCGAGTGGGACTGAGTAAAAGGGCGCGAATTGCGCCTCTCCTGAAAGTTGTGCGGAAATGATGGGTGTGCATTGAGACCGTGTCTTTTTATCTCGACTGGCGAGGCTTTTGCCTGCGGTGATGCTTTGATTATTCCTATACCCCTTTGTTTTGCATGAAATGGTGTTTTGACTTGCAGTCCGAGTGGCATTGGTATTTGTATGCATAGCTTTGCATTTTCTCACTTGATCTTTATCTGAATGAAATATATCTCACGCTTAATAGCCTCCGCCGCGTCGACCAAAGCGATTCCGAGTCCAATTATTGGCGAGGCGTGCAACTCCTGGGAAGCATGGTCTCAAAAAATAGCAGATCGTTTTAAAACCAGAAGATATCTACAAAAAAAAATTACAAAGCTTCCAAGTACAGCTCCCAGGTTCATTAGATGCAAATAGAGATGTTAAGATAGACAAAAAAGGTAATCAAGCAGGACCTACAGTACACTGATTACTGGTGAGTTACTTACAATGCGAGCAGCAAGCCAGCGCCCAAGAGACCGGGCAGAAGGTGGTTCGGGTTGCTGGTGGGTAACGCCGCCAGTCCCTTGGAGGAGGTGCTCGAAGCACCACCACTCTTAGCCGTTGTAGTCGCAGTACCAGTGACATGTGTTGTGGTTTCAACCGACACGGGTCCCGGAGAGCCCGAGGTCGCGGTGGCTTCACTGGCCCCATTACCCGTCGCCGAGGTGACTGGAGAGGGCATCAGCGTTGCGTTCGGCACCGCAGCCGATCCCGTGCCGATCTCGAGAATATCATCATCGCCCCCGTCATAGTTGGTGTTGGCGAGTGAAATCTCGTTATTGGCAAGATCGTAGACCACGTAGGCGCCACGTAAGAACACATCACCCATCAGATTCACTCCGGCTTGACTGGGGGAAAGTCCGAAGATGCAGTCACCGTCGGGGAAACCGTGCTCGGTTTCATCGGCAAAAACCAGTTCGCTGATGGGAACCGTGACCGTTGCGCCCGAGAAGCTAAAGGTCATATTGTAATCGGCCGTGGCCATATTGCAGGGGATATAGGCGGCCTGGGCGGTCGAAGAATAACCCGCGCCGACCTCCTTGTAGATAGGGTCCACCAGTTCTTTGGGCAACAAGATGAAAGGGGTCCCGTTATCCAAGGAAACGGCCAAGGGGAGACCCGTTGCATAACTCTTGGTGCCATGGGTGCTCTTCACAGAGATATCCGTCAGGGCGATGGCCAGAGAATAGTATTTGCCATATAACGGCAAAACAGGCACGGTTTGCAGCTCGCCTTGGTATCTCGCTTTGTTGACACCTCCGAAGAGAAGGTTTCCAGTGCCATCAAATTTATTCAGCCACAGGCTATAGGCGGCCGACTTGATAGCACCGCTATTGACCAGCGCTTCCGGAAGGTTGGCGTATTCCTTGTGGAGATTGGTGGCGGCATCAGTAGATATCGCATATCCGATTCCTAGAATACCGTCTGTACACGGTCCCCGAAATACCCACCGTTAGCCAGATGCCATTTTCTTTCTTTTTTAAAATCAAGGAACCAAGAACTGTATACTTACGGGGATTGTCACTTTGTTCGGCCACCGCAAACTCCATATTTTTCACCGTGACGCCTCCAATCACCAGCGTGTCGGTGGCGTAGGGACCTGCAGCCAAATTTTTACTGACATAGGTGGCGTTCATGTCGTAACCCAGTAATTTGAAGGTGGAGGAGTTTTTTGGATTGAACAAGCCAGTCGAGGAGCAGGGATCGTCATCTGCCGCACAGTAGGTGGAATTCGGGACGTTAACCCAGATATCACTACTGCCGGTATCGAGACTGAGGGAGAGATTCTGAGGCGGGGTGCCGATGGTGATGTTCACCATGTAATATAGATTTTGCTATTCGGAGATTTAGTACAATGTTCTATCATTAAGCGATACGCATTGCATTGAGACTTTCTCTCTCTCTCGTGCCACAAGCTGAAATATCTGAGATGGGACCGGAATCGGAAATACGACACATACCACATTGTATAATGCCGTGCTGGCGACTTTGGAACTGCGTTTCTGCAATGCCTGGGACTGCTCACTGCGGGCAATCGGGAGTCGGAAGACCGCCGGGTCGTCCCGCTTGTGCAGCGTGATGGCATTGGCGAATGGCACAGCAGCCAAGGCGAGCGGCAAGATGGAGGTTCCCCACATCTTCTCGATCGTGGTGAGATTTCACCGGATACTGGCCAGTGTAAAATGAACCAAAAGGATACGCGAAAAGGAAAAGAATAAATAGGGAGAGGGGCAAACGGGCAACCTTTCTACCCCATTGTCTGTGCTCGCTCTCGCTGCTGTCTTACTACAGTGACGATCCAGATCTCACCCAGGAACTCTTTGGTAGCTTTCCGGTTGAAATGTCTCTCTCGGCCACGAGCGAAGGCCAATTACCGTCCACCATAATGTCCGACGCAACCCCCGAAGCAGACTAATGGCGACGCGAGAGCCTCTCCTCGCACGTCCTGCGTGCTAGGACCCTTCGTTTCCGCGCTAGCTCGGGGTGAGACGGAAGTTGTGCCTTGATGTAGTTTGGTGCTTTCCAGAGGGCCGGACGCTCCAGCGAACAGGAGTTCCGGAACAGACCTAGAAATGAGCCAAGCAAACACCCGTTAGCTAATGGGAAGCACTTATAAAAAGAAACTCGCTTCGGCGGGAACCCCGGAAATAATCCTTAACCTTTATGTTTACCGCCTGGGCTAATCGGAATAGGCACGTTTGCGGTACGAGCCGAGAAACAAAGCGTGAGTGCCCGAGTACAGTACAGCGAAAGTCGAAAAGGCAATTCACAGGTCCGCCGTCTACAACATCTACTTTCTACAGGAACAATACAATCCAGTAGAGAAGAAATCCGTTCAGAAGACTTAAGTCGCACATGAATCATGAATCTGCGCAATAAAACAGCCTTGTCAAAATGGATAAAGGCAACGAGCGACAGGGAAAAAAGCCGCAGTGAGTGGATATAAATACATAATCAGGACTTCATCAAAACCAGAATAGTGGAGTCCCAAATAACGGAAATTGGAATCAAGAATACCAATCACATCCACACGGCAACCACTAGAGCCAGAAAAAGGGATGTCGCAGCTGCGGTACCAACCGTACGGAACTCAGACTCTCCCTCGGATTTACCACTCCTGCCTGGAGACTTAGGGTCCCATGCATCGCCGTTGGAGGGGGCCTCCACAGTGCAGTATCCAGAGTCTCGAAGACAGCCAACGCCGCAGTGCAAGGTACTGTTTCCACAAAGATGAACGCTGCTGCAACACAGTCCGAAGCGGGAACCAAGACACGTATAGTTTGCGCCGCAGGTGCCATCGACGGAGACCTGTTGTGGCACGACCTTCTTGGGACCCTTTTTATTTGGTGTATTCTTCTTGTTCTTGTGGCCGGGCCATCGGTTGTCTATACGGTACCAGTTGTCGCGCGGGTCTTGAAGACAGTCGCCGATAGTGACCGGGCGGTACCCAAGCCGGCTTATCGTTCTCAACATATGCTCCGTAAGATTGTGGACGGTTTGCTCGTGAGCGTCATGGCCGATGACGATCCAGGACTTGGTCGCAGGGTTACCACTGGAAAGGGCATGATCGAAAAGATCTTTGGATCGTTGAATGAGAGACGGGTTGTCATTTTTCCAGTCGTCCGTGTCGATATCGTAGAGAATGATATGGTATCCCATGTCACCCATGGCCTCGCGGCATCCAGAGTCAGCAAGGCAACTCGAGTATGGAGGGCGCATATAAGTCGGGAAGCTGCCAATGATATTCCGCAAAGCGCCTTCGTTTTTCTCCATTTGCTCACGACGCTGGGTAGGGCTGATTTTGCTGAGATCCTCGTGCGACCAGGTGTGGCTGGCAATCTGGTGGCCGCTGAGCAGCATGCGTTCGATGAGAGGAGCCCAAGGCAGAGAGAGATCATCGATCTGACCTTTACCGTTGTTGACACCCGTGATGAAGAAAGTGGCCGGAGCTTCATACTTGTCGAGCAGATCAAGAAGTTCGCCTGTATACCGGGTTGGACCATCATCGAAGGTCAAAGCAACTGTTCCAGGGACAGTGCAGGAGCGGATCTCCTGCGGACCGTACGGGACTTGGCCGATGTGAGGGCGAAGGATTTCACTGGTGGGCGGTCCCTTGGGAACTCGGTGAGCATCGCAGGTGCCGAAGTCGATCAAGCAGTCAGGAGAGCGGCAGTGCAACTTAGATGTGCCACAGTAACCTGATACCCGGATTTTGTCAGTACGCTGTCAGTCGGTCTGGCCAGGGACTTGCCTGAGGAGGAGCAGCAGGTGCCCATAGGGCATTTGCCCCATTTGGGTCCGCATTTGTAGTCGAGATTCTGAGTGACATCGTGCCGGGCCTGTATATTCTCAATCTGGGCCTCAAGAACTGCAGTTGCGGATTCTTCGATGGTCGACACAGCCTCGGACTGTCCTTGGGGAGCGGATTCGGGCTGGACTGGCCAGGTACTTGCTTCGGGCTGTTCGAGGGCAATCCCGGCTGGGGAGGGGTTGACAACCTCAAAGAAGAAGCAATGAGTGATGCCAATGAGAAGGACAAGAGGGAGGAACCGATCTAGACGCATCATGGGCTACGCCACAAGGAAAGATGGGAATAATATGTATGATAACCTGGCTTTGCAGACTGTTCAGAGAGATGAGGAGGAGGACAAGTTAGCCAAGTTAAGAGAAGTCAACATGGAAATAAGGGGACCGCTGGTGAAGGTAAGCACGTTGCACGGTTTGAAGGAAGCAGCGAGGAAGCAAAGTTGCATTAATGAGTCTTAAGCTAAATTGTAGGGAAGGCACGCCCGTGGATGTCAACTACCTATATGCCATAGATGCAAATGCGTTCCATTTTCAATCTTCCATGCCATGAAGTTTTGTTAAAGATCAACGTGGGTATCGTTAAATTCGGTCAGACTGGTCATCTTTGTACCCTATACACCCTCCCGGTGACGCTTCCTGCCTTACAAGCCAGGCCGCACAATGTGCGTCGTCAGCGAAGCATAGATAACAACCATATGTGCTGACATGAATCGTGGGCGGTGATCCATTAGGGACACCTGATGCCAGGAACCGAGGGTCTGCAATGGCTTCTTGCAGACCAATGAAACATGGGAAAGAGCTCAGTTTCCTGTAACGCCATCTTCCCCGACGGCAGAGAAGACAAAGGGTACCAGACTGTTCAGATGTGGGCCGAACTTGGCCGGGGCGCTTCGAGCAATAGTACCGATTGCTGCAATCAAATGCCGCCTGTGGACAGTGGAGATATTGGGTGACGACAAAGTATCCGCGAGGCGCTTGACAAAGGCGTTGAGCTGGTGATCAGAGTAGAAAAGCACCAGTGCCGAGATGGCCGCCAGGGCACGCTTTGTGACCACGGTCCCAGCAGTGTCGTTATGGATAATGGCCATGACAGGCTCTGTCAAGGCAGCCAGCTCCGGCTCCTGAAGCAGCGGTCCGAAACATGTAACCACCTTGATGAGCACATCGATGGCATCGCTGCTAAAGCCCTTGGACGGGTCCTTCTCCAACATACCCCTCACGACGGAGCCGCGTCTGCCCGAGCCTGATTGAGTTGGGCCCGTGAGTCTGGGAATCAAGACCTTGGATACGGCGTTGTATGCGGTGGTTGCAGCCGGGGTCGCAGGCTGTCCGACGTGAGGACGAGGAAGGGTATCGACAATGGTGCGGAGGGCGGTGTTTGGGACGGAAGTGTCTATCGTTTGTGAGGAGGTGAGGTTGGTCAATTCTTCGAGCAGGGGCATGAGCGCTTCGGATGGCAATCGAGTAGCCAAGGGGCCGAGACTGTTGTCTACATTAGTCACGAGTCGAGGTCAAAGCAGGAGGCTGTCACGCACCATTTCAACGCCTGGTTTTGCACGTCGCCATGCTGGTCGTCCAGAGCCTTGAGGAGCCCATCGGCCAGCTTGGTCGATGACCGGGGATCGCTCGCAAGGAAAGAGGAGGCAGGGTTGTTCAAAATGCCGAACAGGTCATTGAGGGACATATATCGCAGGTCGGCATCCGGGTCGTCGAGCTTGTTCAGCAGGCTGAAGATGTTCTGTTGGGTGACGTGTCGGTCTGCCATGGCTGTGACGGGGCCTTCTGGACGTGATGTGACTGATGATTTTATGTAGAAGGGCTGGAGGGGAGAAGCTCAAGAAAGGAAGGCCCGCTATCGTAGACGAGGCTGATAGCTGCGACAAACGTGGGGTGCATGGCCTGAGGCAGGAGCTCAGTCAATGCCTGAGTGCCGTGTCGCCTGAGGCATGAATCTGTCGATCAGGGTGAAGAAGATGAAGCCATCCTATGATGCTCTAGTCTTTGAATTCATACAATTGAAATGAAATTGAGCTCAAGTCTATTAAAATGGAGTCAACTGGCGTTAACTCCTAGCATAATCTCGTGAAGTCGATCTAATCTGATGGGCGGGAGCTCCGCCCGTCTCCACGAGCTATGAACACCCCGTGTACCTGCGCAAGGAGTCTTTAGGCAGTAAGAGAATTTAGGGCTTGGTCAAATTGACCAATGTATGTCCTAGTGTACCCAACACACCCTCCGATGAGATCCAGTAGCTATGCATGGGAAACAAAAGCAGGGTTGAAGCACCATTACATCACCGTGTAGCCGCACTGACCATCGGAAGTGGCTGGGGTAACGTCTTACGATCGGTTCGATTCCTCGTACCTTGGTAAGTTCTGGAATTAGTGGCTTGAGCTCTGCTACGGTAATTCCTCTCTACTTCCTCCTTTTCGCCCTACCACGCTTGTTCAATTCTCTTTACTTGTCTTTACATTCGCACCATGGTCTTTGCGCGCCGCTCCGCACTGCGTGCTGCCAATGCAGCTCGGGCCTTCCGCGCTGCTCCCGCCGTGAGGCGCTCCGGCCGGGTCCTCGGGAGGAGGTTCTATTCCAGTGAGAAGGGCCATGATGAGCACAAGACGAGTGATCTGCCGTGGTATGTTCTTCTATTCCCATTAATGCTTTGAGACAATGGATGTTCTTGCTGACTGCACTATAGGCTTCTCGCGTCAGCTGGTATTACTGGCCCAATGGTTTACTACCTCTGGCCTTCCAGCTCCGACAATTCCCACGGACATGGACACGATGATGCTCACGATGATCACGAGGCAAAACACGAGGAAAAGGAAGATAAAGCTGAGAAGGTAGAGGAGGCACCTTCCGACGATGACGCTGGTGAAAAGAAGGATGTCAAGAAGCCCGAGGAGAAGCCTAAGGAGGAAGACAAGAAGACAAAGGATACTGAGCAGAAGAAGGACGAAGAGAAAGGAGGCGAGGAGAAGAAGTCTGCCGACGAGTCCAAGGAGTCCAAGGAATCCAAGGAGGAGCCCAAGAAGGATTCCGAATCCAAGGAAGACCAACCCAAGGAAGAGTCCAAGGAAGCCAAGAAGGACGAGGGTGCCGAGAAGCCCAAGAAAGAAGCCTCAGGCGACTCGGGCAAGGACTCGAGCAAGGACTCGAGCAAGGACGAGGTCTGTCATATTCATTTCGACACCACAATCAATTGAGCTAACGAATTCACAGTCTGCCAATGAAAAGGACTCCGACAAGAACGACAAGGGCAAGGGCGAGGCCGAGGGCAAGCCCGAGAAGTCCGAGAACTAAACGCTGTATAGCTTTACACCATTCCAAATCTCTGTGGATGGAATTGGCAGGGTGTCTTGTACATGCACCTCTAGGATCATCAATCAATGCCCAACATGGTCTTGTCGAATTTGATAATTTTGCATTATCCAGGTCATTTCAAATCAGTAAAACAATTATTACGAAACCCAGAGGGTTACTTCAAAGTCCTCCCAAGCTACGTAAACATGTAGAGGACATCACAATTCACATGAAGATCATCGATATATTCGTATCAGCGCATGAACATCTGCCAGATCCTGACGGGTACCTAAAACGATCCCGACAAGTCTCCACATAACTCAAACAGAAAAAAATGTAGTGATAAACATAAGAGCCGAATAACATGGCGACTCGACTGTGCAACAATTCGAAAAAAAGACCTCCGACAACCCTTGTATGAGCCAGTGAGAAAACACTGGGAAAAGACACGCTCTGAAAGGTCAAACACCATGCCTTCATTCATCAATGTCCTTTTATGCATAATTATAAACAGGCGTTTCTGTGCGCCAAATATGGAACCGGTGTCGAGACATTATTGAAAATTGGGAACTTTCCCTCCGAAAAATGATCCAGTTTGCATCACTGGTTCAAGGGGGAAAGTGGCCGGGGGTGGACTTATGTGTCCTTCTTGCTGCGTGTGCGCGGACCGGACTGCTCGGTGACGGGTTGGCCATTGATGAGGACCTGGGGAGCCTGGTTCTCCTTGGACTCGATACCGGTGGCAGTAGCCTTGGTGGCCTCGACTTCCTCTTCCTCGTCTTCGTCTTCACTGCGCTCATCCTTGGTAACGCTGTTGAAGATGTAGTTGGCGAGAATGCGCAGGATCAGGAACAGCCAGAAGAGATTGACGGCCTGCAGACTGGCCAGCAGAGCAAAAGTAATGTACTGACTAATCCAGCACTTGTATTGCTGGGTCTCCCAGTTCAGCTCGAAGGGCCCAACAGTGCGGAACTCGGTCAAAACGGCCCACAGGATCTTCAGGTTTAGAACATGGCGGAGGTAAATCCACATGCCGACAAACGTGCCGAAGTAGGGGATGGTGATCCATGCATCGATGTAGTTGAGTGTCTTGGAGGTCTGTTCCACCATGTTAGCTCGGTTTACCATCTAATCACGCCGTCCAACATACCGCCAGGAAGAAATCCGAAACATCGTGCGTGATATACACCGCAAGACCCATGTAGGTAAAGTGGAATCGGTAGCTCAGCGCAATCAGCGCCAGTGTGATAATGTGGTGTCCGACCAATTCCTTGAAATCCTTGCGCGGCTTTTCCAGCTGCAGCAGAAGCACAATGGCCTGTTGGGCCCAGTAGCTAGCCTCGAGCAGATAGTATGCCTTAAAGAGGCCCTCGTGCTCGCGGTGCGGGAAACCCTCGAACATGGCAGTGGTGTTGAAGTACCAGATATCGGAGCGCTTCATAACGTACAGGCCGAAGGGTCCAAAAATGCCAAAGTAGATGGCTGTGTACACCTGCTCCATGAATCGCGCTGTCTTGCCCTTGCCGCGGATTCCGCAGTACACCGCGAACGGGCGGATGATCTGCTGCATGATGAACTCGCGCGTGAAGGACAGAACCACCGTGTAGAAGGCGACGAAGGCGATGTCTTTCTTGCCCTTTCCGTACATGATGGGACCGCCGGGGGTCTTGGGCGGCTGCGGGTAGGACAGGAAGATGGCACTGTGCATGGGGTTCGAAGGAGTCGGATTGACAGCATACAGCGACAGCAGGAAGGTCAAAATGAGCAGCGGGAGGAGCCAAGTGTAGCGGAGGCATGTATCGGCGAACCGGTGGAGGAGCGAGCGACTGCGGCGCTTCTTGGAATGTGTCTTGGCCTGCTTGTCGAATTGCTGATGCGCCCGAGGGTTAGCGTGTGCGCTCGAGTCGGGCGAGATCGACTACGTACCTTACTCAGGTCGGGGGAGGAAGGCTCAATCGGGCTGACTTCATTCATGGTGGACATCGCGGGGGCGCTGGTGTCGCCCCGGATGTCCACGCCCAGATTCGACCTTCCGCGCGGGCGAACCATGGCGGGAATGCAATACGAGAGAAGGTGGAAGTCGAAGTCGAAGTCGAGGTCAAGTTCGGCGAGATCGGAATGCGAACGGCAGAAAAGTTGTAGATCGCTCACGTGCCGAGCACAAGGGAAAAAAGATGAAAGGAGAGAAAGCTCAATTGGGAAGGGTTTCATCGGTGACGGTGACGACTATCACTTTTTTTCCCAATCCCAGGGGCTAATTTCGACTCCACTCCTATTCGGCCACCCAGCCTCCGCGGTCGCTCTTGGCCCTCTCGTCTTGGCGTTCGTGATGCCTCGGTCTCTACCAATACTGGCGATGAGCACCCGTATTCTTTTGCAATGCACCCGCTGCATTGGGAAGGCATCCGCTGTGCGATGCTGAGCGGTCCGAGCAAATTCAACCGTTCCCTTTCTCGGGGTACACAAGGTGCCGGCGAGTTTCAAGTCCACCGGTGGGAACTCTGTACCTGATCTCCGTAGCTTCGATGGAGCTATGCAAGTTACCAGTTTAGGCGCTCCGCTCCCTCTACGTACCGGATTCTCGGGTTTTGCTTGGCAGAAAGGCTTCTCCTATCGTATTTTTTAGGCGCTAGATTGAATGCACCGTAAGGTTCTTAAGGTACCGCAAACTCGATTGGGTCACTTCAGCTTTCACACACTTTTCCAAGTGGACGTATCTTGATGCGAATATGAAGCAAATAGGAGACGGTCTTGACGGCGATCTCGTACAGGAAAGTATTCTGGCGATTGAGATGAAATAACCTGATTTCGCGAGGCAGCAAATAGTTGAAATACTCCTTCGGGGGAGTAGATTGAGCCAAACTCCAGAGACCGAGTTCTTGTACAAGTACACTGGCTGCTCTATCCTGAACTATCCATAATGTTCCACATTGCCATTTCTGCGAGTGATTGATTGATTAAAAAAAATATATTTCTTCTATGTTCAAGATGCTTTCGTCACGAAAACTTTTATACATGACATCATCCAGTGAAACGACACAGTCGCTCACTTCTCAAACAAACCCAACGCCTCATCCAACATTGGTGCCCCATTTAGGCGGTAGTCTCATTGTGAGAAACAGCGGACTTGTCACCCATAGCGAGCTTCTCACCGAGAACCTCGACATCACCAGACTCAACAGCGACAGTGCGCTTAGTATCGTGGGTGGTCTTCCAGGCGGCAGTACCGATGTACGGGATACCGTTGGGGTCCTCGAAGATCAACTCGATCTCCTCGAGAGTCTTACCAGCAGTCTCGGGGAAGAGGAAGAAGACGTGGATGAACATGACAGTCAAGAACACGCCGAAGATGATGTATGTCTGCCAGCGGATAGTGGAGAAGGCGACGGGAGTAAACAGACCCAGAGCGGTGTTGAAAGCCCAGTTCGCAGAGGTGGCCATAGAGACGGCCTTGCCGCGGACACGGAGAGGGTACAGTTCCGGGGGGTACACCCAGGAAACGGGACCCCAGGTCGGCGCGTAGGAGGCGACGAACAAGTAGGTGCAGGCAATCAGACCCTTGGCGGGGGCACCGGACAGACGCATGGATTCCTCGGAAACGCCATGGATACCACCGGGCACAATAACACCGTACGTGGCCATGATACCGGCATTGGCGTACATCCAGACCATCATAAAGGCAGCACCGATCAACAGCGTGGGGCGACGTCCCCAACGGTCAACCCAGATCAAGGCGGGGACGGTGCAAATCACGTTGATGATATACTGAATGGAAGAGGCGAGCAGGGCGCCGTTGCCAGAGTAGCCGGCCATCTCGAAGACGTAGGTGATGTAGTACATCATGACGTTCATACCAGTAAGCTGGGACCAGATCTGGCACCACATACCGACCATGGTACGGTGGATCATGTTGGGCTTGAACAGCTCCCAGTAGGTGACATCGGCATGCTGACGCTCAAATTCGCACATCTCACCGATCTCCTGCATCTCAGCGTTGACGAAGGGGCTGTTGGGGTCACCCTTGCCGTGGACGAGGGTCAGGACCGCACGGCACTCTTCCCAGCGATCCTTGCGGGCCAACCAACGAGGAGACTCGGGCAGTACAGTCATTCCGATGAAGAGCAAGATGGCAGGAACCATTTGGACACCCCAGGGAATACGGAAGACAGCGGTGCTGTAGTCGGAGGAATGCGGGCCGCCGATGTAAGAGCAGCCGAACGAGATGTAGTACATGATCAGGATACCCCAGGTAATGGCCCACTGCTGCGAGCCGACCAGACGGCCACGCTTAGAGGGAGGGGAGATCTCGGAGATGTAGACGGGGACCTGGGCGGACTCCATGCCGACGCAGAGACCGTTGATGACACGGCCGGCGACGAGCATGCCGACGTTCTGAGAAGCACAGATGATAGCGGAACCGATGCACCTAACGAGGATGAATTAGTGACATGAACGGATATATTTCAGGATCAAACACCACGATCAACATACCAGATGATGCATCCAACCATGATAGAATACTTGCGACCAAGACGATCAGAGATAAAACCGGAAATCAAAGCACCGAGCCAGGAACCAGCGGGCATGGCAGCAGTCACACCACCCTGGTTGATGGAGGTCAAACCAGAGCAATGCTCATCATCAGTGAAGGGGGGACCCAGGGGACCCTGATTGAAGTAGCACTTGTAAGCAGGGGTGCTGATAATAGCAGACATGGACGAGATATCGAAACCGAACAAACCGCCGCCAATAACGGCGACGGCCGCAATCACGTAGATGTTACCCACAACGACCATGGTGTATGGTCAATAGTGATCCCAGGTATGAAGGAAAGGGGGGGGACTGAAGAGAAAAAAGATTAACCGTTCGGGGCGCGGAACAGGGAGGACTTAAATAGATCGACTCTGGAGTATACGAAAATTTCGACGGGGCCCCGGCCAAAACCCATGCGGTATGTCTCCACCGGGGAAAGTTTGGTGTGGCCATGCTCATTTCGGGTAATCTCAGTCTGGGGGTGAATAGAGATGGGAAGTAGAAGACGAGTGCAACCTTCCCAGTACCGCACGGCGTCAAGACCCGTTCACGGGCCGTACGGAAGGTGATTGGTGTAGTGGTCCCATCATGCCCTATATCATTGGCTCAACCGTTGCGATCGTTGGAGGGATCCGGGGCATCGGGCCACGAGGGCCACTGCTCTGGACCCGATGGGGCATGGTGCCGTCCTGAATGGCGATGCCGCACCGTGATGCCGCGTTCGGCGTCGGCGTGACCCATTGTCGGCTTCGTGGGGGCCGCACTCGGAAATCGGCTTCTTCACGGGATGAGCGCCAAGTATCAAGGGAGGGATATAGATCTGGTGGGTTCGGATCGTAGGCCTGCAGTGCCAGTCTACCTTCAGAACGGGTAACATTGGGTTTCTGTGAAAATCTTGCCACCTTCCTCCTACCCACTCTCTCGCTACTCCGTACAAGTCTCGGTACGAGTTGTAATGAAATTTCTTATACGATTAGCCGGTTTCCACCGGGTCTGACAAAGCAAACTCTGCCTTCCAACCTGCGCCAGTCCGGGGACCCCAAGGGCGGGCATTTGCCGGAACGGGGTAAAAACGGACGCGCTGAGCCGGCAGGCCACGGCATGAGTGGACGGCGCACGCCGAAGTGGACTCGGGGATAGCGCGCAACTCGGGCTCCGTTCCCCTTCCAAACCCGCGTGGCCCGTTTTCCGTGGTCTCAGTTAATTTCTCCTGCCGTTCTCGACCCCCGAGAATGGCCTGAACGTGTACTATGTGGGCCGGTCTAGGTCTGAGCGCCCCATTCCCTGCGCGGCCCTCGGACTCATTCAGGGATTTTGTCGGCTCGTTCCTTCTCCAGGCGATGCATCCCCGCCTCCTTCCCATCTCTATGCGGAGTTTGGGGTGCCCGCGTCCTAATCCGTACACCGGGATGCACTCCCCAGACACGTTTCCTCCACATTTCACCGTAGAGCGGGGGATTTACCTTGGGTATGGAAATGAGCCTCGCTTAATGCCAACATTTGAAACCTTTGATGATGGTGATGGCACGGACCAGACCTGGAAACACAGGGTTCCGCCGCGATTTAGCGGACGCCACTGGCCAACATGGCTTTTCTGTGATGTAATCGGCGCTGTTGGGAAACCTTAGGACGCCTCCCGTACGGTTGAGGCTTTTTTTGGCTGGCGCCTCAAATCTTGTACCTTCTATTTCCGACTTCTAGCCACTAGTGCTCTACTCGCCATGGCATGGACGTGCACGGCACTCCGTGCAATGAGCGGTATGCACAGTATCCACCCCAGATGGAGCGGTTTCACACTCGAATTCGCTACGTATGGTCACGTAAGGTTGCTGGATCCTTTTGGCAAGGTCAAGCAGCTTATCGACTCGGTTTTCCGTTGGGGAGCCCTTCTCTCTCGTATTTCGTAACTCCGTCATTATACACCGCCGCCTTCAATACAGCATGTGCCTCTCTCATTGTCTTCGGGACACTAGGCAGTGCCCCGACTGGCCCTCACACCCATTCGGCGACAAATTTCAACCGGGAGCCTGCTTGTCGGTGCCGACTGGTGGACTCTAATCGGGTAGAGGGTTTTCCTTATGAGGGGCCTTGGTCTGCCTTGGCCTGCCTTGGCGAATGGGGAGTAAGTGGGTCGATAGAAGCTTGAATCTAGAGAATCGCCAAGAAGATCTCTTACCTTGGCCAAGCTTTCGCTTGCGTCCCTGCTGGATGGCTCCTTGGTTTCCTTCGCTTTCTGTCTCAATTGATGCTTTGCATCATCCAGATCGTTGAGAAGGTGACATTGCATGTCAGCGGAGATTGAGCGAGATGTCAAGAAGAGGGTAGCCTGTTTGATGGGCCGTGTATCACGTTTCTTGTGGAAGCTGCCCTTGGTAACCCTCCAAGGTCCGTAAGGAATGTAGTTGAATTTTTTTTTTCCCTGTCTCGGACGGATAGTCCGGTGCATAACGCTGGTTGTTGCGTGCGTGCTCGATTATGAGTTTGAACGAAGAGGAGCGTCTGATTTTACGTATCACTTCCTCAAGACAGAAAGTATAGGGGGACTAAGAAGATATTATGAGCAGACCTACATCCCTTCTTCTCTTTGCAAATCTGCAAGGAAATGGTTGGGTCAAGCTTATATCGAAAAATCCAAACCCAAAATGCAAGTGCGTTCATGATATCAACCAATGCGTAAGAATATCGCTATCAACAACGCCGAGACTGAAACGAGAACCAATTCCAACGAATCACCATTCTTATGCAACCAACTCCCACTCGGCAACATAAGCCCAGGACATGGCAACACGACCCAGCTGCGCTCTATACTCCTCAGCCGTAAGCCCGCGGCAGTCCTCCCGATCCCCAAATTTAGTCATCACAGCAAGCAACACTTTCTGGCCCGGTGCACCCAACATGCGCGCATCAGGAACATCCACGTACCAGAACTCGCCGCCGCCACCAGGGCCAGAGCCCGGGATACGGTTGAATAACAGGCGTTCATCCTTGCGGCCGTCCACGCCGTGGATACACAGTAGGAAAAGTCCAGGCTTTTGACGGCTGTGTCGAGCGAGTGTCCAGTGCTCGCAGAGTAGTCCAAACTGGAACCGGACGGGGTTTGGTGTGTTATATACGGATATCCGGCCGTCAGCGGGGTACAGAGTACTTTTGCCGATGTCGTTCTTCCCGACACCGCAGTACATCCTGATGGGCGAGCCGCCGGAAGGGTTATCCGGGTTCACGCGCATGTACTCCTCCCAACTGATCTGAGGGCGACCGTCGTCGCGGAAAAAGTGTTCTTTGTTCTGCGGGAAGTGTTTCAATCCGAAGACGTCGTTCGACATGGTAAAGTGGATTGGATCGAAGACCTGCATGTAAGGTTGTCCCTTCCCTTGGATGTGGCCACCGCCCCAGCAGGGGTCGATCAGCTTCCAGCGGCCGCCGTCAATCTTGACGGCATTCCAAGCGTGGCCGGTGCTGAAGGGTGGGACCGGGGAGCCCGGGAGAAGTGGCTCATGACCGAATCCTTTGCCGTGGCCAGAAATCACGATTGATTCTAGTTCGGCCATTGCAGCTAGGGCTGTAAATAGGCCAGCGAAACCTTCGCAAACTGCCAATCCAGAGGCTATAGTGCTAGCTGGAGTTGATGGCTTCACGCAATCATTGAAAAAGGCGTAGACATCGTAACAAATGTTGTGATGCAGCCACGTGAATATAACTCGTGCCTTGTCAGTCAACGAGGGAAATGGAGCAGTCAGCTCATTGGCCAACCACCCCAAATCTTGCGTGGGAAGCGAATTACGAGGATACTGTGCTGCTCGTTGGTCTGGGGCTGAGAAGTCCCTGCAGATTAGGCATTCTGTGTTGGATGTCCCAGCAGGTAGACTAGCAGATGTTGCCGAGCCATCAAAGCGTGGCTTCGTCGCTTGAAGCTTGGAGAGGTCTGGACGAGTCCCTGTCGGCACTGGCGGGGGCATTCCATTTCCAGGTGTACTACTCGGTCTCGCGGGAATCCCGGGCGCCTTGCTTAACCCACCAAATCCGATCTTGCGAGCATCACGGATGTCTGAATTAGATAGAGTCGGAGGCAGTCGCCGTGGTGGCAAACCGGGAGCTGGTTCGTCGTCTGCCCCATTGGACTGCACGTCCTGGTCTGAGGGCCGGCGCGAGGGTAACTGCGGCGCAGAGGATGTATCGTTGCCAGCCTTTGGTCGAGATGGCAAGGAGGGTAAGCTCGGGCGAGTCGCAGAGGGCGAAGATGCCGTGTCCTTGCCCCGGAATGACGATATCCTCGAACTCAAGCCGTTTCTCAATCCAAAGCCACTAATGCTCTTGGACTCAGAGGACTTGGACTCAGAGCGTGGAGGCGGCCTCAAGTCTGCAAGGTCTTCCTTTGGACGTCTCGGAGGCAGTGCCGGTAGCTCAGTTTCGCCCCATGCGGGCGCCTTAATGCGGCCGTTGCCATTGGAGTTAATGGACGTGGTCGAAGCACCACGAATGCTTGTCGCTGCGGTGGAGTGTGATGCGTTGGACGTAACCGACTCGATGGAAGGCCTCCGCGGGGGATCTGTAGGTCTGCGGGGTGGCAGCGCAGGACGAACCTCGAGGCGAGCTGGTGTCGGGGGAGGCTGGCGATCCGATCTGCGCGTAGGCAAGGGGGGAGGGGGTTTCTTGGGTTTCACTTCCGGCTTTGGCGACGGCGTCGGAGGCGGTCGCGGGGCCGGTCTTGATGTCCGCTCGCCTGCCGGCTCATTTCCTATCGATGCGCCGTCCAGAACAGAGCCGGTCACATTGTAGGAGGGAGGATTGTTGGCCGATCTGCTGCGGTCGACATGCGGGCGGAAGATCGGTGGTTCAGGTCCAGAGGGATGTGCCGCCTGGGCCTGCTTCAGGGCGGCAATCCGCTGTTGGATAGAACCCAGCTGCGGCTCCTCAGTCATGGCGCCTGTCTTCTTTCCTCACGAACTTGGAGAAGGAGAGAGCCGTGAAACAGTTAAGACGCTGTAGCGACAGTCACGAACACCACTTGGTGGCTTGGCAGGGGCCGAGTGCAGAGGGCTTGGACCCAAAAAGTAGTGTCGCCACAACGTGGGGACTAGAAATGACCCTGGACAAGTCTCGACACAGCCCTGTACAATGCGCCGATGAAAAAGCCTTAGGATGAGGTGGCTCAAAGTAGTGAGGGGTCTGGCCCCAATGAGGAGCGCGGGAGTCTCACGCGTCGTATGGACCATGGATAGACTACGCTCAGGTACAAAGGCACACGTTGACTTGAACTTCAGTTTTGAATTTTTATTTCCGGCATGTCACTTCCTTCGGACACCCAAACGCCTCGAGGCAGCTAGAGGAGCCTCTGTCTAGGGAAAAGACATGAACACAAGAAAAAGAGGTAGTACGGAAATGGCCCCGGGAAACAAAGTCAATGCACAGAAAAGAAAAGGAATCAAGCACGGTCGCGTCCGGTCTTTGGATATCTTCAGGTGATTCCTGAAGATAATAAAAGTCAGGGGTGGCACGGAAGACATAAGAAACGTGAAATACATGATGAAGAGAAAGAAACATAATTCACAGAAAAGAGAGGCTCGGAGGGCCAGGGGTCAGGATCGATCATCAAGAGCATCACTTCATCCCAATGTACATCATCGTCAGTGAAATCCAGTCCTAGACAGACTTGTACAGCAGCAGAGGCTCGCCGACATTCTCGATCTCAGGGATGGTGCACTTGAGGTCAAATGCCTTGGCTAGAACGATCTTGAAGATCTAGGGAGAAGTTAGTGAATGGCTGGAATGAACTGGGAAAGACACAAACCTTCTGCACATTAATACTATGGCTGGTACTGCTGAAGATCAGGCTAGCCTTCATCGCCTTCGCAAATCGCTTGGCCTGAAGGGAGATCTCCTCTTGGTCCTCACGAGGAAAGTTGACGAAGTGGTCGTACTTGGTACCGACCAGGAATGGGATGGCCGTCTTGTTGAACCCCCGGCCCTGGCGATACCATTCCTTGATGGAATTCAGCGTGCTTTTGCGGGTGAGATCAAACATGAACAGAATCGCCACGGCATCGTTGCAGACGAGGGGCAACATGTTGACAAACTCGCGCTGACCACCAAGATCCCAGATGGAGAAGGTGATTTCTGTGTTGCGAATCGAGATGGTTTTCTCCATGAAATTGACACCTGCGTATCGCGGTCAGCAAGCGTACATGCTTGGCGGAGCAGCTCACACATACCCAGCGTCTGAATGTAATCCTCATCCCAACTTCCCTCAACGTACTTCACCATAAGACTGGTTTTGCCGATCTGAGCATCTCCAACCATGCCAACCTTAATGACAACGCTGTTCTTCGCCGCCTGCGACTGGGCCGCCTGTCGCTGGGCGACTTCAGACGGCTGCTGTTGAGAAAGACCGTATCTTTCTGGGCCACTTGAGAAGCTAGAGCTAGGGCGTGATGAGGGCTGCAGCTGGGGCTGCTGGTCAAGAGAGGAAGATGAAGTGAGGCGAGCAGATGGATCTGTATCTTGAGGGGGGTATTCGGGAGCAGCTTGGTGGAAATCAGTCGATCGAGAGTGGTAGTGCGCCTTGGAGTCGCTGTTGTAGCCTTGATCGATGCCTACACGGCTGGTAGCCCGCTCGGGAACTGGCTCTTCGACTCTGACACTGACGGATGCCGGTTGTTCCAACGGCTGCTCCAGAGGCTGCTCAAGAGGAGGTTCGGACGGGACCTCCGGCGCCTGTTCCTCTACAGGATGCTGTTGCGGCTCCGCAACAGCAGGAGCATCCGCGACGGGCTGCTGCAACGGATCCATGGTAAAGATTGTGGATTGTGTCAAGGGACTTTTTTTCGTAGTTGCGCCCTGCTCGAACCATCTCAGTCAGCGCTTGCGGGGAAAGGAGACCCTTGTGTGATAGGTCACTGACCAATTCCGAAGGCGATCAGATCATAGAAACGTCCAGTCGGACTTTGTGCACTGCAGTGATCTCCCAATGTTTCTTGTCAGGTCCACCGGACGGATCGGAGGTAGTATGAGAATCAGGTTTGGATGAGGAGGTTCGCGAACCACCCGTTGGCGTAAACAGTGGTCGGACGGTGATGCAGGTGCTGCGGGACAATGGCAGGATGAAACGGGAGATGCGGCCAGCGGATGGCAGCACAAATGAGAGGAGGCAAACCCTGGAATACAAGAGAAAAGCGCAGCAGCCGGTTTTGCGAGAGGCTTCAGCTCTTGTCGTCAACATCGCTGCACTGCGGGATAGGCGCTAATCCCCGATAGGCTTAGCGTGGGTCTGCGTGCCCAAACTGAAAAAAGTTCTTATCGTGCGTCCCTCATTCATTCCAGAACACCCCGCTTCAGCTATTAATATTCACCATGTCCAAGAGAGCTGCGGACTCCGATGAGCAGCCGGCTGCCCTCAAGGCCGGCGAGCGCCCTATCGCTGATGCCATCCCAGACGAGGCGGGGGAGTTCGAGGACGAGTTCGAGGATGAATTCGAGAGCGAGGACGAGATTTTGGAGGCCGGTGTCGACGGTCGTCCTGACGCAGAGCGTGAGGAGGAAGAGAGAGGTGTGTTCTGAAAACTATGGGTCAATTGGCGCACGGCAGCTTTGCTAACAATGTATTTAACAGAGGCAATGGATGTCGACAAGCAGACTTTCATTCCTGGTCGGACAAAATTGGCACCCGGCGAGACACTTTCTCCCGACCCGTCTACTTACGACATGCTTCACACCCTCAGCACTCCCTGGCCGTGCCTTTCCTTCGATATTGTGCGCGATTCGCTCGGCGACAACCGCAAGACTTTCCCCGCAACGGTGTACGCCGTCGCCGGTACCCAGACGGAGGGCACAAAAGCCAAGGACAACGAGCTGATGGTGCTCAAGATGAGCGGATTGAGCAAGATGGAGCGTGAAAATGAGGACGAGGACGATGAATCGGACTCGGACGACGACGACATGGGGGAGCCCATCCTTGAACACAAGTCGATCCCGCTGGGCTCAACAACGAACCGCATTCGCAGCCACCAGACGCCTTCGCAGTCTGCGGATTACTCTAAGCCCCCGCAAACACTCACGGCTACCATGCTCGAGAACTCGCAAGTTCTTATCCACGACGTTACCGCGCACCTTTCCAGCTTCGACGTTCCCGGCACTGTTCTCCCTCCCTCTGCTTCCAAACCTCTTTCTACCCTTCGCATGCATAAGTCGGAAGGTTACGCTCTGGATTGGTCTCCCCTTCAACCACTCGGCAAGCTCTTGACCGGTGACAATGACGGTCTCATCTACGCAACCACTCGCACGGAAGGTGGCGGCTGGGTGACTGACAATAGGCCATTCACCGGCCACCACTCTTCCGTGGAGGAGCTCCAGTGGTCTCCCAACGAGAAGAATGTGTTCGCTTCCGCGAGCAGCGACGGCAGTGTGAAGGTGTGGGATGTGCGGTCCAAGTCTCGTAAGCCCGCCGTGGACGTCCAGATCTCCAAGACCGACGTCAACGTCATGAGCTGGGCCAAGCAGACCTTCCATCTGCTGGCGACCGGTGCCGACGACGGACAGTGGGCCGTTTGGGACTTGCGACACTGGAAGCCGAACAACGCGGGCCAGATCAGCGCGTCGCCCGTTGCTTCCTTCGATTTCCATAAGGAGCCCATCACCAGTATCGAGTGGCACCCAACCGACGACAGTGTTGTTGCTGTCGGTTCGGCCGACAATACCGTCACCCTGTGGGATCTGGCGGTCGAGCTGGACGATGAGGAGAGCCGACAGGCGGGCATGGCGGACATCCCGCCGCAGCTGCTGTTCGTGCACTATATGGAGGATGTCAAGGAAGTGCACTGGCAAGCCCAGATGCCGGGCACGCTGATGGCGACCGGTGGTAGTGGATTCAGGTATGTTAACCGCCTGGGTGGAATTGATACGCGTGTGTGCAATGCTAACCATGTTTACCTCTATAGTGTCTTCAAGACCATCAGTGTCTAATGAGCAGATCGAGCGAGCTCGACGCCAAAAGAATTTTATGTGTGATGTCCTGCTCATATACCATTCGAGTACAGTGAAGCTTTACTCGTCTATATCGGAATCGGAGTTGTAGCCCTGTCGAAGACGAGGCGATGAACAAAAAAAAGCCTTGCTTTACATATTTTGGAGTAGATTAGACTTGCATTTACTAATGGCAATGTTAGTGCTCCTTAAACTATGTTTCTATAGCTTGTCTACTGCCTACATCTACATAGGTACCCGAGGCCCTACACATTCCTCCAATGTAGTACAATTTACGCTCAATCCACAAGCCAATGCAAAGAGAGCGGAATAAAGGAACCTCCCAATTCCGCCCTCCAAAACAATTAGCCTCGGCCGAGACTCAACCACCTTGACAGCTATCGGTTATCTAGGAGGGGCTGCAAATGCACAACATTCATCGGCTAGCGTGAGAAGCTGCCCTCCGACTACGGGGATGACAGAGAATACCCTAAGCTCCCAAGTACAAAACAAGTGCCGCCGGCATGAGGTACTCCAGGCATAAGACACGAGGAAACGCTCTCTCCACGCACCGGGAAACGTAACGCACGCGCGAAACCGTACTCCCGTATAACAGGGATCCGCCGCAGCCGGCGTCACTGCGCGTCGAGGCTACCTAGGGCCGTGCCAGATGGCTTGGCGCCAGGCTGGAGCCGACTCGGGTGCGACCATGCAGGTTAGGCCAGTTGGTTCCGACACCCTGCAACAGACTGTGCCATCCTTGTGCTGGGAGCCCGGGCCAGTCAGAGAGCGGGTGTATGTGCATAGTCGACAGTGGTAGGACGGTCGAGGCGATTGCTCTGGACGTGGCGCGAGGAGACAATGTTTGGTGCATTGGGCTGTGCTGTCTGTGCGAGTTCCACTTTCTGTCCCTTGACTGTGGTTTGGCCGAGGTATGACATGCATGGGTTGGTTGCCTGGACTCTTCGACTGTTGTATGTGTTGCGGGTTGAGATAGCTCATACAGCACGCACGGGACCGCTTTGTCCAGTGTACGACCTGGCCTGTAGGCACAGTGTACGGAGGACCTACGTCGTCTACCGCACCGGCATAGTGCTAGTCAACGACTAGTGTCCAGCCGTGGAAAGGCGATCTTCGGGAAAAGGCTACATCCGTCGCAAATACCGCTAATGCACGTCGCCAATCAATCACATCAGATCGTGCTCGCGCCTTCTCTGCAAGGTGTAGTAGATTTCGACCCGGTCGTTTCCTCGGTGAATCCAGATAATATGATAATATACGTTGGAGTTTGGCTCGAGCGGCGTCCTTCTATCGCGCGATTTCGCTGTGTCCCGATTTCCGTTTCTCTTTATTAGGTCACCGGTAAGGCGCGAGCGTCATTCAGGTCCACTTGGTGTCGATTACTGGAAGCGTGGAACTCCATAACTTGTAGTGTGAGACTAAATATAATCTCTTCACATTCCGTTGGGCCTCTGATATTACAGTAGCGCTGCATTGACTTTCGAGACGAGTGGCCTTTGCACGCAGATCCCCAATCGCCCAACTGCGTTTCGCCTCGCCACCATATGATCCTGCAGGCATTGAATATCCCCTGTATAGTAGGAATATCCGCGCCTTTTTATTTGGCCGTCCATACGTCCTTCTTTTGGATCGCCGGCACAGGGACTGCGAGAGCTCAGAGCTCCCGAGCGCAGAAATCCAATAGCCCCTGGTCCTGGCACCGGAAAGAACCTTTCCAGCCCCCTATATGGGGAATAGTGTCAATCTGCAGGCGATGTAGTATCGTCTGATTTAGCTTTTGCTGTCTACTTGGCGAGGCCGATCGTGTGATGGAATCAACAATCAGAGCTTATCAGGTTTCGGATAAATCCCGCGTCGCTGAAAGAGCTTCCAATTAGACCCTCGAGACCATCCCCGGCTGTAGTTTCCTCGCGTTTAACTGAGTAACTGAGTACCGTTGCGGCCGGGGTGCGTGTTTCAAAGTAGTGCTGACCAGTGGATTTCTTGCTTCGGAGAGCTATGGCCCCGTTGCCGAGCGGCGGATCTCGATTTTGAGAAAAGCAGTCGAAGGTTTAGTGTACAAGTAAGTGGATTGGTAAAAGCGAACAAAGGACGGGACAGGGAAGACAAATACGATAATGGCTACACTACTAACCTGATCTGATCAATATCATCAAGGATCCCAGGATGTATTTCTTCTGACTCCAACCTCACAGGAGTGGAATCCTCCGAATTCACTCCACTCTGCCGCAATCGGCGGACCTTTGCCCGCCCACCATGTTGGCGTTATCGAGAGTGGACTCAATGACGCACAGGGCCAGCGAATCCCAGAGCCTCAGGGACGAGCCACGTATTGTCAAGTACAGACTGCGATCCGCCAAACTCCACGAAGCTAGCGGGACGAAGCCACTGAGATCAACGGCCAAGCACGGGTAGCATTGTAGCGCTGAACGGACTCTCCATCGTGAATCCTAATTCAGCCAACCCGTCTGACGTGCAGCTTCATTCGTTCTGGACTGGAGGGTGGATTCAAAGGGGAAGGCGGGAAAACGGGCTGAAGTCCGATCATTCCGTGGACTAATATCCGAGCCGTCGCGCCATCGTCAGACTTGATGCCATCGTGCACACGGTGGGAAGCACAGGCCACCTGGCGATCCCCCGTGGCACGCAGGACCGGGTTGCGTGCATCGGAGAATTATTATATTCGCAATCTACCATTCTCATGCTTCTAGAGCCAAGGTTTTGTGGCGTGTGATTCTTGCGGAGATTCGGCGGCCAAGTTGCACATCTCGGTCAGCGATCACCCGGAAAGGGCGGTTACGCTATAACGTCGACTCGACCGAATTACAAAGGCGAGGATTTGCATACACCAGGGGAGTCGGAGGCCCAGGGCCTCGTGGCGCACCGATGGTCCAGTGAATGGGGTATAGTGCCAGCTCTGCGGTAATTGACTTCTGCCGCTCGTGGACCTGCATTCTGTGAATACCAAAAATAAGTACCCGTATCCGAGTGAGTATCCGGGGGAGCATATCGTCCAAGGTAATGATTCACCCCGGGTACAATGAGCACTCTAGGCCATTCGAGGATGCCTTATCGGAAAGTCTATGCATAGTCTGTACCACCATAAAAACCCCGGCTAAAAAGAAAGGTAATCTAGACGCACCCGAGCATAAATCGCTCAGGTCAGGTGCTCCGGAAGCCAATGCCGAGTAAAGTGCTCCCCAACATGCCGCTCAACGAGACAGCTCGGAGGTGGCTTGGGGTCCGTTTCATTTGTCAGGTCGGGTCACCTGCATCTTCGCAGACCGTCAGACTTTGCCCTAGTGGCCTAGTGCGCATTGCTAGGGTCCGGGGATTCTGCAAACGAGATGTCCGTGCGACATGCGAAGGGAGGCAAAGAGGCGACGGTTTCCAGAAGGGCCATGCAGATTTGGCGCTGTATAGTAGTCATTTTGCTTTTTTGTTTCCGACCTGTTTCCAGGGTCTATTTGCGTCAAAGAGACGAGTCTTAGACTCGGTGCCGCGAGGTTCCGAAAATAGCCCCTGTACTTGTCAATCCGTCAATCCTGCCCCAGAGTGTACTCTGAAATGAAAGTAGGATCGTCAAATCCCCCGTCTCCCCTAGACTCCGACCTAGATCCAGCCGCATCAACCACTGCTGGGGGACGGGTTGTCCAGTTCCGTGCGACCAAACTCAAACCGGCGTGGCTGCAACGTGCGTCGCAAAGTCAAAGGATAACCGGGGGAGTTCTAGAAAGTGTTACCAGAAGCAGCCTCCGTCTGGGGTAGCTCCAGTTTTGCCACCCCGAAAAATAAAGAGGCATGTGCAATGGGGGAAGTCGGGAGTGTTTCTGGATCATCCAATGGTGGCCATTGGGGCAGAGTTTCATTGGCACAGCAGAGCAAGAGGGAAGGGAAATCCCCCACACGAACCGTCTGGATTGCTTCCCCCACAAAAATGGCGCATGGCCCTCTATTTTGGGCCTTGCGGATCCTTCCGCCGTGCGCAACCCCAGCCTCGTCTGGTGGATCGTACCTGGAGGTAACAGGGTAACGGAGAAATGAAACAGAGCGTGTATCGGGGTAGGGAAACCCGGAAGACCCCGTAGCCTTTTTTGGGCCAGTCACGAGATGGCTCGATAACCTCGTATCGTTATGGATGAACGTGGTGAATGGACGGTGTTCCCCCCGGGCTCCACAGTTACGATACCCAAACGCCTCCGGGGTAATCTGTTAAGGAATGCTGTACACGAGTCGTACGCCGTACATCGCTAGGTACCTTTTCCAGTTTGCTTGACTCTTGACTCTGCAGGCTCAGGATTACATCCACGGTACAGGATCTCATGTCATCACGGGGACAGGTAAAACCGGACTGTTCTTCTTATCGCCCATGGTTGTTTCATGTCCGACACCACGGGGGCTACATCCACACTCATCACGCCACTAGACCCAAGCCAGCAGCTGAGAAGAGCAGCCAATCGCTCCGCGAGATTATCAGCGCCAGGAACCGGTGGACAGACCAGTGTAGCACCGTGCGTGGTCGTAAGATTGCGTCTACGCCGCATTCGGTATCACCTTGGGTAATCGTCGGCTGGCCATTGGCACTGCAGGCCGCTTGCCCGTGCGGGATCCACTTGGTTCAGTACTGTACATTGGTGGTCTTGTAACGTCTGGGCCTGCCACCTCGTGCGTGGGCCGTGGAGGTACGGGGTCCAGGGGGAAAAGAGTACGGGGAATACGCCGGGGGTACCAGGCGGTACCTGCGCACGGCGGGCCTCCGACTGCGTAGCTTGAAGTACACGGGTACACGTCGGTCCACACCAGCTGATTACTACGTGGTAACCACCACTACTGCCACGACGGCTCTGGTACCCAGACCCAGGTACCTCTGCGATGATTCGGAGGCAACTTCTAATTCCTTTCCTAACCCGACTTAACTTCCTAACTTCCTCTTGCCTCCTACCTACCTCCATATCCTCCAAACCCTCTCTTTCGACCCGGTGTGGATAGCTCTCGGTGACTCTTATCTACAATTGTCGCGCTATCTCGGTTATCTCCGGCTTATCCACTCTCATGCTCTCCGTGAACTGAAGTCGAGCATTCGCATTTCTCTTTATGGATGCATGGGAAGCTTGAAACTTTGATCTTCAGTCATCCCGGTAAGTCGGCCCCTGCCCTGCGGTCGCACGGCACTGCGGATTCGTGGATTCGTGGATTCTTGGGATCATGGAAGTCGGTTGCCTTGCTGATACCCCGATAGTCGTCAGTCAATACCAGGCGCCAATCCGTTCACCGGCCGCAGGTCCTCACTTCCTGTTGAACCTTCCCCTTCCCAAACCGAAACTCGGTTGAGACAAACCCCTCAAAAGAACAACCCCGATAGACTTTGCTGTACATTTGTTTCCCTCTGGTGGGTCTTGTCCCGGCCAAGCTTTATGAATAGCCTCGCTACCCTGGATCACCTCGGTCCCTCTACGCATCATCAAAGAGTCAAAGAACAGTGCTGACATGCCATCAGTCGTTGATGCGACAGTACGCAGTGTAAATTAACATCGACGACTGCACCTCGTCTGTGTCCTGAGTGACTTGCCTTCGCATTCCCGAGGACCCCGCATCGCATACTTGCGAACCATCTCCCTTCCCTTCCATTCGGGATCGTTGTTTCTACTCCTCGTCCGTGGGGAAGGTAAACTGCACCGCTGTAGGATGCTGTTTGATCCTATGGTTGCCCAAAGTCGTGACCGTAGCCCCAAAGTGGTTGATCTCGCCAGCATCAACGAAGTCCCCGGAAATATGCCTGGTAAGTACCACGGACCCAATCGGAATGCTTGCGGGTCCCTGAATTCTGAACCTCCATCGGTAGCCCCGGCGAAGGAAAACAAGAAGCAGGTCGAGGCCAATGGCCAGGCCGCGAATGGGAACATTCCACCTCCCAAGACCGACAAGCCTCGGCCTCATGTCTGCACTACTTGCGGCCGCTCCTTTGCGCGATTGGAGCACCTGAAGCGCCATGAGCGCTCCCACACGAAGGAGAAGCCCTTTGAATGCCCCGACTGCGCTCGCTGCTTCGCGCGCCGCGATCTACTGCTTCGCCACCAGCAGAAGTTGCATATGACTTCCACCCCGTCGTCTCGTCCGAGAAATGGCCGACGAGAGAGCACGAGCGGTGCTGCTGGCGGCGCCAATCGCGTGCGCAAGAACTCTATCGCTAACAACGCCTCATCCATGCGCCCCAGAGCAAACACTATCAGCCATGTGGGTGGGAACCCGTTGGGGCTTTCCGACGGTGCTAACCCATCCTCCGCCCCGAATCACTCGGGCCATGCCTATCACCCGAGCTTGAGCTCTTCTGTAGGCTCGACCATGGACTATAGAGGTTTCAGCTCTGGACACCCTCCGGTAAACGGCCTGTCCAAGCTGGAGACTTCGGGACTTCCTATGGATATGTCCGGTAGTCTGCGAACGGCACCGGTATACGGCAGCTTTGATATGGGCATCGATGGTATGCTGATGGGCCACGGTAGCACCATCAACCCGGCACAATTACACTTTGCAGGTTCTCCCCAGGGCTTTGGTGACACCCCCACTTCCCCGTTCGGCCACAACCACCACGGCATGCATCCCGCCACGGATCCCATGATGGACGAGGAGATGAATTTCGATTGGATGAACGGATTCGACGCGGCTGTGGCGTTGGGAAACGGGAACGACTCGGTCATCGACGAGTCGTCACCCTCGGCGATGAGCACGGGCAGCCAGAGTGGAATCAGCGAGGCCATGCTGGATGGCCCCAACCGTATTCCGATCTCCAATGGCTGGCACAACCCGTTCCCCACGCACACTTCAGCCAATCAGTTCGCCATCGACTTCTCGCCGACGACGTTGAACGATTTGGGGATCCCGCCGGAGACAGTGTCACCCAAGTCGCTGATGGCCCAGCATCCGTTTGCCGAGAACTATAACACACCTCCATCCATGACATCGGTCGGCCAGCCCGTCGTGGGAGGACATTCGCAGAGTATGTTATCATCCTCTATGGCAACAAACGGAGAATCTCCTAATCCTCTCAACGTTCCTTTCACGAATAGTGCCCTACGAAGTCAACATTCCCCAGTCTCAACGGATACATTTACAGACTCCACACGACAGGCTCTATTAGCGAGCATGTCGCAACCGGCTGGCTTCAATCATCGCAAGTATTCTCAGCCCGCTTCCAGCATGTTGAGTAGCCGCGAGTTGTTCGCCCGCTCGACTGGCTTCAACAGTTCCGGTCAACTTCCCAGCACCTCGGACATGCAGCGCTACATTTCCGCCTACATCACCTACTTTCACCCCCATATGCCTTTTCTTCACATCCCGACCCTCAACTTCCAGGCTCCCGAGTACACCAGTAACCTGCGCACCCCCAGTGGACATCTCAATCTGAGCTCCACTGGCGTCGCAGGAGGCGGAGGTTGCCTGATTCTCTCCATGGCTGCCATCGGTGCCCTGTACGAATACGACACCGCCGCATCAAAAGACTTGTTCGAAGCCGCCAAAAAGATGATCCAGCTGTACCTTGAAGAGCGTCGCAAGGCCGACATGTCCGCTGCACTCAGTCGTTCCAATACTGCACGAGACAACTCAGTTCAAAATACACCTCTCTGGCTGGTCCAGGCGATGCTGTTGAATGTGATATACGGTCATACCTGTGGTGACAAGACGTCTGCGGATATCGCCAGTACCCACTGCGCGGCTTTGGTTAGCTTGGCCCGCGCGGCCGAATTGACCCACCATCTGGACGCGAAGAACCTACCGCACGATCACCTCAAGACAGGACCCACTCCACCCGATCCAAATGATACGGAAAATTGGATGTCCCCATCGTTCAGCCAACCGAAAGAACGGCGAGACTGGCTGAATTGGAAAATCGTTGAAGAACGCAAGCGTACGCTTTACGCCATCTTTGTACTATCCAGCTTCCTCGTGTCTGCATACAACCATGCGCCTGCTTTGACAAACTCAGAGATCCGTCTCGATCTCCCCTGCGAGGAGGATGTATGGGCCGCTGAGTCTCCTCAAGCATGGAAGAAGATGGGAGGTCAAACGGCCTCCGTTAAGGGCGTTTCGTTCTCTGCCGCTTTGACCTCTCTTCTGACTGCCAGTCAACGAGAGCAGCAGAATCAATCTTCAAACCTCTTTTTCGGCGGTGGCAGTTCGGACGATCCGACAAGCGTAGACAACAGGCCGAGTACATTTGGGTGTCTCGTTCTTATCTACTCTTTGCACAACTATATCTGGGAAACCCGACAACGACACATGGGCCGCCAGTGGACCTCACAAGAAACCGAGGCCATGCAATCACATATCGAGCCGGCTCTCAGAGCCTGGCAGGCTGCATGGGCAAGCAATCCAGTTCATAGCCTAGAGCGACCCAACCCGTTTGGCGCCGGGCCACTGTCTGCAGATAGCATTCCACTGCTGGATCTGGCATACGTCCGGTTGTTTGTCAACCTCGGACGATGCAAAGAGGCGTTCTGGCAACGGGATTGGAACGGCATGGCAGATGAGCTTGCACGAGGTGCAGAGATGTTCCAACAGGCCGACACGAACATGAACGATCTGGTGGATCCTTCGCTCACCGGCCAGCTCGATTGCCGTCGAGAATCCATCAACGATCTGGGCGTGGCCGAACTAGCCATCTCGAAGACCCCGACGCAAGAACAGCCCATGCAGTCTCTCTCGAACATGTACAAGACTGGTCAATCCAAGCGTGAAAAACATCTGCGCAAAGCCGCATTCTATGCAGCCGACTCGATCAACATGTCGGACCGACTCGGTAACACATTCGCCGAGTTCTCATCACGGGAACTCCCCATACAATGTGCGATGTGTGCCTTCGACTGCGCACAGGTGCTAGCAGAGTGGATAACCACCGTTCAAGAACGAGTCGGACCTTACCTCGGCATCCTGGGTCGTGACGACGTCGATCTCACCCAAATACCAGGGGTGATGCTCCTCGAAGACGAAGATTGCAAGCTAGTGGACAAGATCAAGGAGATCTTAAACAGCATCGAAACAAAGATGCAGCGGCAGATGCAGAGCAGCAACTCAATGTCTGCACTCGGCGTAATGCAACGTCTACACAGTGTGGCGGAAGGCGGATATGGGTGTAAAATACTGATTGCCACAGCCAGCCTCCTAGACCGCGCTGCAGTCTGGCCCGTGACGAAACTGATGGCGCGATCCCTGGAGGCCCAGGCTATGCGAATGAAGGAGCGATGTGAGAATTCCGTTATGATGACCACTTAACGACCTTTGTTACTTCTTCCCATGTTTTCATCTTTTTGCGGCGATGTCATGAATTGTGAGATTCGAGGCTGCTTCCTACCCTCTTCCATTCCTTTTTCTCGCCTCGGCTTGCCTTGATGGTCCCCTTTCGATACCCCGATCGAATTCTCATAGACGAACACCATGTCATGTCATCTGTTACCCTTTCCCACACTGTTAGCGTTGATCTTCTGTGTACCCGCCTGATGACCAAGGGCTGTTTCTTACTATGGTGTGGCTGTTGTATTGATTTACTAGGGCCCTTTCTTTTACATCTTTCTCCCCTTGCCCTGTCTGTGTTTAATTATGCTTTTTATACTTCATGTGAATATGATTTATATTTGACTTGTATCTGCTTTCGGTTGAGCTCGTATTTAGAAGGTAATTTGCTATTGTTTATCCGCATAGGCCTCTTGATAGCTATCTAGACACGAAAAGCTGCTCGTGTGGAATTACGTAACCACCCCGCGGTTGCTGGGGCAGTTCACGCGTAGAGTGCTTCTTTTCGCGTTGGGCGCTGCCTACGTTGAGATCCCTCCCATTCGACCAGACATGACGAAAACCCCCCATTTGGATCTCTCTCTAGCTGCACCGATGCAGGATCCGACCGTCGCAGCTCTGAACCCACCAAGCGCCAACGTCAACACCTCACGCCGATGCCCTACCCGCGGCCCGTTTCTCCAGTCACTTTCGAATCATGTTCACCTCTGGCCTCTGATATAGACTCGGACGACCTGTTAGGCTCCGATGATGAGTTGGAAGATTCAGCGCGCGCTGCGAAACGGCAGAGAATCGAGAAGCTCGCTGAGTCATACCTTCGAGGACAGCCTCTGTTTATTCTCTCTGCATCTCTTCGCGGGCCGTTCGACGAGGGCTGGAGGAACCCATGGACCAAGAAACGGAAAACAGTGGCCGATACGGAGCCATCAGGGGTCAGGCCAGATGGTCACGTACGAGAGGCGGAGCCCGTGATACAAGAAACGGCCTCGTTACGGCCGAAGTACAGAGAGGACTTATCGGTTTCTCGTCCCTCGGTTGATGCATCTCTTGCAGAGACTTCCACTGTGGTCTCTGTCCAGGGTCCGAAATCCTCTTTCGTTGTCGGGTCCGCTCACAAGAGACCCTTCCAGCATGCAGCAGCTGATCAAGAAAATCGAGCTGCACCCCGCTCAGCGAGGAAACCACAACAGGCCTCTTCCATGAGTTTATCAACAAGCGATACGACGTTTACTGGAGACGGTCCAACCAAGTGGCTAAAGAAAGACCGAAAGTCCATGAACTTTGCGCGATTCGAGCCGCCTAGTTCGCCGACTCCAGAGATGACATCTAGGCAGTCTGGAGATACGTCTCGGACGAGTGTGCCTCGTTCAGTTAGTGGGCAGGCTTCAAAACCTTCTGCTTTGCAGACTCCCAAGATATTCACTGTGCCCGAGCAGCCAAATATGGACACCGCTGCCCATATATCGCCGCGATCTGCTCAAACGGCTGTTCCAGCCACTTATCAGCCTTCTGGAGTCTCCAAGCGATCGCCTCATAAAGAACAAACATCTCCGAAGAAAACGGGACATGCGGCTACGTCTTTCCATGTGGTCAACTCGTCATCTCAACTGCCGCGGTTTGAGTATCGTCGTTGGCATCTAGACTCAAGCTCACATGCAGAGTCAAAGTCTCCTGGTAGAAAACCCTTAGAGTCACCTCAACCCGCAGAAGCTGTCAACGAGCAAGATGAAGATACTGCTATGCCAGATGCTCTCGAGCCGGCCAATGAGCCCTTGGCTGACAACGGCGCAAAGGAAACAGATCAATCCATTCGTCGATCAAAGGATCTGAGATTTGTCGATATTGAAGCATCCAAATCTACAGTAACATACCCGCAGGTACCAACTGAACACAACACTTATGATACTTTGCCATCTGCGCAAGAAATACCTCCCCCTCCCGGTATATCAGACCGCATGCCATCATTGCACTCAACGGCAATGCCCAAAACAGACACTGAACACAACGGCGATACCAGTCCCGACACTCAACTATCGACACAGGCTGCCTTGCTTCATGCGCAGAAGTCGTTTCAGGATGACTTGGAGAGCCCTGAACAGGAGCACGGCAAAACACCAGCCCAACCACGACCCCAGTCTCCTTCCGGCGACGACTCCGTACTCCTGGCGCAAGAGACACCAATTTATCGACCCAACGCCACAGAAAAATTTCTGTTACAAGGCTCCAGGCAAATCGTCAGAGACAGGATGCAAGCTATGAGCACGCAGTGCTTGATCGACGCGGCTACACCTTTCGCCTTCAGTACGGAGAAGAAAGCTCAAGCTCACCGTCCGATGTCACCGCAAGAAACAAGCCCTCGGGAACCTGAAATGGCACAACTAGAAGCAAGCCCGTTACAATCTCCCGATGGGTCCCTGCCGTCTCCAGAAAATGCTTACGAGACGGCCCGATCAGGCCCTGGCACCTCCAGCCGACATGAATGTGAAAGGCGAACTGAACAAGCGCCTGCTCATCCACCCACTACTCAGGGTACTGCTTTACCCTTTGATCTGAGTGGAGACACGCCTGCAACGGCCCAGGATGGCCAAGGTGGCGATAGCTTCCCCCTCAGCCAGGCAATTGCCGATCTGGGCAGTTGGTTAAGGCAGAGCTCCGACTTTCTTAAGGAACTTCGACCTTCTAGCCAGAGTAGAAGAGGAAAATCGCCTGAGGATACGCCCGCATCTGCTTGGAATCTTGATATGACTCGTTAGAGGGTCTTGAATACCTCTCTAAACTATTACGACAGCGCATCTTCTCATTGATTCTCATGATTCCCCATTTTCATGTGCAACCTGCTTTGAGCTTCATATTGGAAGCGATGGCGTCTTTTCTTGATAAATAGATTTTGCATATATATGATACAATTTACTGTGACTTTAAAAACGTAAGGTAAACATGAGATGTGTTGTGGAGGTATCTTATCCCTAATTTGTCTCTCCAACTTGTAGATATCTGGGCGCCAAAGATCCGCAGGAACCATGTGGTCCGAGCGTCAGCGGGGAGGAGCTCCCGGCCGTCTCCAAGGCAGCTCCGCCACCAGTGAATATATCCATGGCCAGTCCAAATGGCTCTGACATCAGTATGATTGCCAATATTCCGCCCTGTTACGTCGCTAACAACCGCAGTGGAAAGCGTTCAACTTCATCGACGTCTCGCCGGTCAAGATACCGGACGAGAGCTCCGCGCTGTTCGGTGTAAGGCCTCGATCCACCTCCCCAAAGACCAGCAGCTAACTGCGTAAACCAGAGCGACCTTTCAAGCCTCTGCACCGGCTCCGCGAACCTTTTCCTCGGCACCACTGATGGCTTCGTTCACATCGTTACCCAAGGCTTCCGCGTTGCGCGCTCATTCAAGGCCCACGACACCGGCTTGATCACCCACATGAAGCAGATTAATGGCACTTCCCTACTCGTCACGGTTTCGGAGGATCTCCCGAACGAACCTGTGTTAAAGGTCTGGGCGCTGGATACGGAGAAGAAAGGCGGCGGGCCACAATGTCTGTCCACAGTGTCTGTGCAGAATGGGCGACGGCCATCTCCGGTGCGCGAAACTTTACAACCGTGTGATTGGACCTGGTTACTGACATTGATTTAGATTTCGGCATTTGCGGCTGTCGACGATCTCTCCCAAGTGGCGGTTGGTTTCGCGAATGGATCTGTGACGATTGTCCGGGGCGACCTAATCCACGATCGTGGCGCGCGCCAGCGCATTGTCTTCGAGTCGGAAGAGCCGATTACAGGCCTTGAAACGCAGGAGGGCTCTGTCACTGTGCTTTATATCGCGACGACAAACAGGATTCTCACACTGGTAATTTCGGGACGGGGACAGGGTCAGCCTGCGCGCATACTGGATAACATGGGATGTGCGTTGGGTTGCATGACGCCGGACCAGGAAACGGGGGAGATTCTCATTGCCAGAGAGGATGCGGTCTACACATACGGTTCTCGTGGCCGTGGGCCGAGTTATGCTTTCGAGAGCCCCAAGACGTCTATCAAGTCGTTCCGCGACTACGTGGCGTTAGTTTGCCCACCCAAAGCAGGAACCGGGAGGCGCGAATCGTTGCGAAAGTACGGTGTCAGCCCTGGAGACGAGATCTTCGGCACAACGACATTTACACTGCTTGATACCGACCTCAAGTTTATTTCTCACAGCGAAGCGCTAGTGGCGCCGATGAAGCACATTTTCATGGAATGGGGCGACCTGTTCTTGCTCACGACTGAAGGAAAGGTATGCAAGTGGATCTTAGATGGTGATTATAGTTCTCTAACATGTTACAGATCTTTAGATATCGGGAGAAGAGCCTCCAACAACGACTTGAAATACTCTACGAGCGCAACCTCTACATCCTGGCTATCAATCTTGCGCAAAAGATTGGCATCGATCCACTGCAGCAGAATGCCATCTATCGCAAATACGGTGATTTCTTGTACCAACGCGGCGACTACGATACGGCTATGCAGCAGTATCTTCGGGCAATTGACAACACGGAGCCATCTCAAGTTATTCGCAAAGTTCGTCTAGTAAAGCATGTTTGATAGGCGATCAGTTTGCTAACAAGTGGTATAGTATCTGGATACACAGCGAATTCACAACTTGATCGAGTATCTGGAGGAACTGCACGACCATGGCCGTGCCACGGTCGACCACACAACACTTCTCTTGAACTGCTACGCGAAGTTGAAGGATACCAGCAAGCTGGACTCATTCATTCAAGCTCCTGGTGAGCTCAAGTTTGATCTGGAAACGGCAATTGCAATGTGCCGCCAGGGCGGATACTTCGAGCAAGCGGCCTACCTTGCCACAAAACACGGAGAAAATGACATGGTGGTGGATATCCTCATCGAAGATTCCAAGAAGTATGCTGAAGCCGTGGAGTATATCTGGCGGTTGGAACCCGAAGCGGTAAGTAAGGCTGGATTCACATGCAGGCTCAGCTAATTGTTTGACAAGGCATATCACAATCTGATGAAATACGCCCGGGTCCTCTTGGCTCACTGCCCTGAGCGAACAACGGAACTCTTCAAGGTTTACTATACAGGACAGTATCGGCCGCACACGGATGTAGAACTACCGTCCGAGTCCCAAACTCAACCTACAAGTACCATGCAAAGTCTTGCTGGTCTTCTCCCCTTGCGGTATATGACTGGCGGTATAAGGTCTCAACCCACTGCCCCAGCTCCCGAAAATGTCAAGGCTGAAGAGAACCCCGACAATGTCCCACTGGAATATGAGGTTCCAAAGCCTCGGACTGCGTTCTCGGCATTTGTTGACCACCCACAAAAGTTCATCAGCTTCCTGGAGACCCTCGTGCAACAGCCCGACCTGAAGAGGGACGCTAAAGTTGATCTCTTCACTACGCTCTTCGAGATGTATCTCGACACGGCCAAGAGAAAGAAAGACGCGGCAGAGAAACAAGAATGGGAGAACAAGGCAAAGAAGCTGATTGAAGGGAAAGATGTGAGTGTTTCAACCTGTGGTTTGAAGTCCCGCTAATGTGATTAGATTCCCATTTCCACCTCCAATGTCCTCCTTCTCTCCGACCTATCCAACTTCCGGGAAGGTTCCACATTGGTTCGCGAGCAAGAAGGCCTCCGCCTAGACATATTCAGATCGTTCACGTCCGCCAAGGATACTCAAGGTGCCATCCAAGCTTTGAGGCGCTACGGACCAGACGAGCCTCAGCTTTACGTCGATGCCTTGACGTACTTTGCTTCAAGCCCACAGATCCTCGAAGAAGCAGGCGACGAGCTGGACGTAGTCCTGCGCCGCATCGACCAAGATGGCCTTCTCTCCCCACTACAAGTGATTCAAGCTCTCAGCAACAACGCCGTGGTCACAATGGGCCGAGTCAAGAAATATTTATGCGACAATATCGACCGCGAACGCAAAGAGATTACAACTGTACGTCCTTTCCGCCCAGCCTCAAAACTCAATACTAATTCCCTCCTAGAACCGCCGCCTCATAACAAGCTACAAATCCGAAACAGCCACCAAGAAAGAAGAACTCGACAACCTCGCCAGCCAACCCGTCGTCTTCCAATCCCGTCGCTGCCAATCCTGTGGCGGCACGCTCGACCTGCCCACCGTGCACTTCCTCTGCCGCCACTCCTTCCACGAACGCTGTCTCAATCGTGTCGACGACGATGCCCAGTGTCCCGTTTGCGCGCCGACAAATTCGACGCTCCGTGCTATCCGTCAGCGCCAGGTTGACTCGGCTGATCAGCATGATCTGTTCAAGGCGGAGTTGTCGCGCTCGAGGGATCGGTTCGGTGTTGTCAGTGAGTTCTTTGGGAGGGGGGTTATGAGGTCGCAGGCGACGATGGATTAGGAGGGGGTTTTGTGAGGATGTATTTTAGAGATACATAGTGTTGTTTTTGCTTGATACCTGAGTCTCAATCTAAGTGGTATTGCATGTAAGATTCCAAAGTCAAAACCGTGTATAGATGTCTCCAGTAGCGTAATAGTCTTTTATATCCCGTACAATGACCTACAAAGTAGGAAGGGGTTATGCAAATAAAATGCATTATGAGCGATCTCGCTCTGCTCTAGCAATACCAATCGTCAGAAAAGGAAAAACATTCATACCGAACAATCGCAGATCGCTCGATGCAGTCATTATCTCCCAAGAGCAATGTAATATGCACAGAAAAGGAAACCAAAAAAAAAAATACAAGAATGATAAAATAGGCATGTGCAAAGGTTTGTATAATCGTCATCTTGCGTCACAAATAGTTATGTACTCTGAGAGCAAAGAGATGCGAGAGATGCGGAAGGTAGCCCGTGTGTTTACAGAGGAGCAACGGCTGAGAATCTAGGAGCCACGGCCCTTTTCTCCACCCCATGAAACGCGAGGTCGGTGGCCGCGGGTGTATCCAGTGCCCGAGCCCGAGCCCGAGCCCGAGCCTGAACCGGACCCAGATGGAGATGACTGGTCACCGGGGTTGGACTGTTCAGGCTTCAGATTCTCGGCAAATGATATCTTGCCGGGGGGTTGACGAGGTTCGCCATCATCTTCGCTGTCAGAGGCGACTGCGTCGTCACTCTCAGAAGCGGAGTCATCATTGTGGATCTGGCCCAGAGCAGCGAGACGTCGACGACGTTCAGCGGGTGTTTCGCCCGTGTCATCGTCTGTCTGGCGCGGGGGAGCAGCGAGGCCGGCAGCTTGGCGAAGACGTGAGGGAGGAATACGCTCAGTGCCGTCGTCGTCAGAGTCACGACGGACACGGTCGCGGGTGCGAGGGCCAGGGTCGAGGTTGCTGCGGCGTTCCTGGGCAGAGCTGCCGCGGGTGAACTTGGCGAGTGAGGCGGCCACGTTGGGACTAGACACAGGTCCGTCACTGGTTTCTTCTTCGCTGCCTTCGGTTTCGGTGACTGATTCGGACTCGAGGTCTTCGGCTACCTCCTCCGGGATGATACCGGTAGCGGCTCCAGCGGCGGCTGCAGAAAGACGACGCTCGTGTTTCTCCTCCTGCTTGGCGTCGTCGATAGCAGCCTCCTTCACAACGGCGGGGGCATCAGTCTGCTGCACCATGTCGCGGCGAGCTTTGGAGTCCAGGCCCTTGAGCTGCTGGAAGAACTCCTGCTTGTTCATACGACGACCCTTGTGGCCGATGCCCTGGGAATCAACCTCCTGGTTCTGAGCCAGAGTGAAACGCAAGCCGTCATCAGTAGCCCAGTCCTCTGTCTCGGTTCTCGGCACGGGCTTCTTTTGTTCGGCCTGGGAGGTCTTGCCCTCTTCTTCTTTGCCGAACCAAGTACCCATGCGAGAGATACCGCGCTTGAGTGGAGGTCGGGATGGTCGGGATGGTCCAGCTTCCGCCTCGTCGGGTTTGGCGGGCTTGTGCTTGGATGGTTTGTCACCAGGGATGGTATACTTCTTCAGTACCTCACCATCCTCGTCCTCCACGATGATAGTGTTACCAAACTGGTAGGCATGGGCAGAACGGTGCTTGGGCTTGGCGGATTCGGCCTTAGGTTTCTCCTGCTTTGGCTTCTCCGCGGGCTTTTCTTTGCCTTGGTCTCTTCCACCAAGACCCACCCAGTTTGCCCACGTTGAGCGAGAGGCCTTTTCGAAGGGGTGGCCAGTCTTCTCGCCTATAGCCTTCTCAATCTCCTCGCCCTCGGTCTTCTTGTGGGGCTGGCTTTGAGAAGGTGCCAGCTCACCACTCTTGTCATGCTCGAGACGCCTGCGTTGGTCCTCGATGTGCTGCGCCTGTTGTTCTGGAGTCAGGTGGGTTGTGTCCTCGGTCTTGAGAACATTGCCCTCTTCGTCCTCGATGATCATATGGTGGCCCTCTTGGAACACCTCCAATTCGGGCTCACGGCCGAAGCGGTCGCGCTCAGCATTAGGTGGCGAAGCTCCACGCTCGACTGCATCGCGTTCCTCCAATTCCTGTTTATCTTCGCCCTCGGCCTCACTTTTCGTACGTTTTGCAGGCATGATAGCAGACTGGCTGATTGGGCCACCTGCATCGTCATGCTTGCGGCGCCTCCTTCGGTGCGCAGGCTTTCGAGGTTCGGATGGGATACTCTGGGATTCACTGTCTTCGTCGCGCACGCGGCGAAGGAAGTTACCGGGCATACCAATAGGCGGCAGGGTACCCGGAGGATATTCGGGGAGCTTCTCCTCGGAAGAGCCCTCCAGTTCGTCAGTCTTTCGGAATGACATAGAACCCTTGGCAATTGACTGAACACGGGGCAGGCGGTTCATCCAAGAAGGACCTTCCTCGTTGGCTTGAGTGTAGGACAGGGTGACGGTCAAGGTGTTGATACGCTTGCCGAGAGTGAAGACGGCGATAGAGGAGCCGTGTACCAAGATGGACGAGATGACCATGAAGGTTGTAATGGGCCAGATAAGCATGACAACGTAGTAGTTGTCTTGACCAGGCTTTGGTAGACTACCTTCCGGTGAAGGCTGTGTGTTGTCATTTTCCAATTCAGCTCGCGCAAGAATTGCAGCGAAAATGGCGCCGACACCGATGGGACCGAAGTGGCCGGCGAAAAGAGCCTCACGCCATGTTTTGACGTCTGGTATAAACGGTTTCAGCATAAGCATGATCGGAATGCGACGGAAAAAAATGACCAAAAGCGCAATCACTACCAGTCGCCACGGCGTCAAGCCCAGATCCGGAGCGTTGAAATCCTCCCAAGGGATGATCGATCCAAAGTAAACGAAGTATGCCAAGTTAAGCAGCAGATCTATGACGTTGGAAACATGTGATTCCTCCGTCTTTTCCGTGAACCAGCCGTCGTTACTGAAGCCGACACCGCACGAGAATCCAATCAGCAGATCGTCCATGCCCAGCAGACTGCCCGACCCGGCACAGAAAACAGCCAACACGAAGTAGAACACCAGGAAACTCTCACGATCGATCAGCCCCCTGCGTTCAGCGAGCTTGATGGCATGTCGGGCCAGGTAGCCAATGGTGAAGCCGAAAATCGCGCCGAAAACGCACTCGTATAAGATGGTGATGCAAAACCAATTCATCGTCACCTCTCCGGCATTAGGTCGGTAGTGGAGAATATAGAAAGAAAGGTAGATGAATGGGAAGGCCATGCCATCGTTGCAACCCGACTCGGCAGATAAGAGATCTCGCAAATGCTTGGGAACACGCTTGGAGAATTTTCCCTTACCGACGACGGACGACGCCAAGACAGGATCCGTGGCCGTGACGCATGCAGCACACACCAGACTCTCCAGCCAGTTGAGCGGAGGCACCATCCACCAAATAAACAGACTGGTAATCAGCCAGCCCCAGGTCATGACTGGGATTAGCAACAACGCGACAGACTTCCAGTGTCGCTCCATGTAAGCCTTGGGCAACTCGACGCCGACGGCAAAACATTGCACGACCAGTACAATGCGCGAGCACTCGAGTGTAATTTTGTCGACATTTCCCCATTCATGGGGATTGAATAGGTTCGCGGCATGGGGGCCGAAGATAATACCGCACAGGGTTGCGACGGTAGCTTCACCGATGTAGAGCTTCTCCTTAACGAACAGGGAGCACAGCATGAACAGGCCGGTGAAGCCGCCGATAATCATGTACGCCAGATGCGGCTTGTCGATGTCCAGATGATCCCACGCCATGGTGTTGGGATTCGCACGTCCCGGGTGTTACAGAGAAGTCGTCACCCCGTTCCTCAATCAATTACCAGATGGTATTCCGCCTCGTACGTCGGTCCGTGTAGCTCCTCATGCCTTGGTGGTGGTGGGAGTGGAGAAGGGTCGGACGAAGAGCCCTGTAGGGCTGAGCGGCGGTGACGGTGACGTTGACGGGCGCGCCGGGTTCCTCAAGGACAGGAGAATTCGGAAACCGAGAGGAGAGTAGAGGTGCTTGACCGTCCGAGCGCGGATGCGAGATACCGGAGAAGTCCAGGGAAGGTCTCGCCGCAGGGAAAATAACTCAGTCCCAAGGGTGAGGAGGAAAAGACAAAAGCTAAGAGATCTGGGCAGGGCGCAGAGTCTTAGGGGACTCTTGGCCGATGAAGAACGGGCGAAAACGCGCCAGAGGAGATTTTGCCCCGAATGAAGGTATTCTTGAAGCGGCCGGGATTCGTCAGCCCAGACTGTTGCGCCCCACGTCGGAGGCGGATGAGTCTTGGCTGGCGGAGAAATCGAAAAGAAAACCCCTGGTACTAAACGAGATTATATGAAAGGACAGAATTGGGGTCCAGAAAGTCGGTCTCTACCCGGATAAATAATAACACAAAAAGACCTAAAAAAGGGAAAAACGGAATAAGGTCGATGAAAATCGCCGATCCCGGTATTTTACATGTTTCCGGCCAAGACGGATTCGCTGCCCTGTGAGCCGCCAAGGCCCTTGCGTTTCGTCGCTCGTTACTGGCCGGCGCCCACGAGTCTACTCCACATCGTCCCGGGTGGATCTTCTGGAATCTCGGCGTACGGACGTCATCGTGCTTGTCTGTCGTATTTACTGCATGTACTATGTACTATGTACAGGGACCGGGCACCATGGAGGTTTAGGTGTGAAGCCAAAGTATGTGATTCAAGTATAGCACTCTTAGAACAAGACGAATTGGGGAATTGGTAATGGGGAATTCAAACCGACACGTAGCTCGGCTAGATTCCAAACATGGAACTCAGAAAATGCCTAGGGACTTGCGGAGATAAGGGGGATAAAGGGAGTAAAAAACAAACAAAACTCAAGTGCAATTCGGGGATCGCGCACCCCGCGCGTGGCCAAAAATCCTCGCTGTTCGGGTTTCGGTGCCTCAAAAAGGAAGCCCGTATGTACGCCCAACTTCAATTTCTACTCTCCCGTCGGCATCCCCTCTACCTCATCGCTCAGTCGTCGCCAGTTGTCCGCCTGCAATTCAGAATACTTGACTCGCTCCTGGCTCCAGTCCTGATGCAGGCGGCTGATGTGGTACTGGCTCTGCTGGAAGTGGATGAGTTCGTCCCGGAGGCATTCCTTGATGAACACGCCCCGCGCGTGCTGCTGCACGATTGACTCTTTGTCCTGCACGATCCGAATCAGCCACGCATTCCCCGACGGCATTGGATCGGTTGACTTACCTTGAATATAGAATCCTCCACTTTTTCGATCTCGCCCGGCTTCGCCGTCCCGGTTGGTCGGGCCCGCAGGTCCTGCAGCTTGCGCTCACTGGCCTCGATTCGGCGTTCGAGCTGCAGGATATTGTTTCGGGCGTATCTATCCCGCCGATCGAACATCTCCCGCACGCTGACCAGAACGTCCCGCTGGCGCTTGAGGTCCTCGAGAACTCCCTCGGACCAGGCTCGCCCCTCGTCCTCTAGCAGGCTCTGGCTAGCAGAAAGGTGTCGCGCGGTCGCCGTGATGCCGGTATTTAGAGATGGGACATCATTGGTGTCAATCGAGTAGGTGTCCTTGGTGACCTCGGTCAGAGATTGCAGAGCCAGAGAGAAGCGCAGGTGATCGGCAGCCAGGCCGTCATTCCGCTTGGCCAGTCGCTCGAGCAGAGTACACAGGTTGATATAGATTTCCGCGGATCGTTGAACACCGCTGCGGACGGTTTCGAAGGTTTCATCAAGTGTGGCAGGCAGAGAGTCCTCCAAGTCCGGTGGGAGAGCACGGCCAACAAACTCGTCCTGAACGGAGATTGTGGCCTGCTTGCGCCATACTGACAATTCCTGGTCGAAAATCAGAGGTTTGTCTCGAGTGAGGAATCGGTGAAAACTTACCGTAGGAACAGTTAAGAACATGATCACCAGCTGTTCCTGGCCAAGGACAGGATGTCGGACGAGAGAATTGGTAAACCTAATGAGCCCACGGCGGCGCTTTTCCAGAAAAGAAGTTGAATCCGCTGATAGATGAGTACCATTCACTTCAAACGGGTGAGCAAGCAGCTTGGAGCGCCTGGGCCAGTAAGGGACGTACCTGACACGCGCTTGGGCGGGAGAAGGGGCAATTGTCGGAAGGGGAATCGCTTTTGAAGACAATCCAAGAGCCAGACAAAGTCGCTGTACCGCCGCACGACCGTGCTCCCTCGTCGCGCCGACTTGACTTCGTAGTTTCGATGTTGGAACATGAACATGCCCTCTTTCTCCGGAAGGAGGGTAATCGCGACGGTTTCTTCAACCTGTGGGTTTGTAGTCCGTGAGAGACCCATGGACCGGCGCCGAGGTGCGATGTCGCCGGGGTCGTCGCCGGGAGGCCCGAAGCCACCGAGGGCCGGGCGCTGTCCCGCACCAAATGCATCATCTCCGGGTTGCCCGCCCATGTTAACTCCCCAGCCAGACCCAGAGCTGCTGGGCGGCGCCGCGTCACTTCGACCGTTGGTATGCTCCTGTTGTGGTGCTTCGCTCCGGCTGGTCTCGTCGACTACCCGGCCAGACCATGCAGCACTTGGAGAGCGCATGCTTCCGAAGCCATTTATAACGCGCTCTTCGGTCGGGACGGTTTCATGGTTGTGATTCCGATGGAGCTCCGGGCTTCCCCAGGGATCCGATTCCAAGCCGCCGCCCAAACCCAATGACTCCCGTCGTGTGCGTCGAGACCGTGCCGAGTTCGGTTCTTGTATCGGTGCTACTTGGGTTGGGGGTGTGGTTGGTCGTTCGTTCGCGGTATCAGAGGGCGCGTTGTTCGATGTTCGTAACCGGTCAAGGAAACCGCTATTAGGCTGTGGAAGCTCTGCACGTCGATTATGTTAGTTCGTGGATCGTGCAGTATGAGATAGTAGATATCAAGGAGATCACTCACTCTTGCGACGGTCATCGACGGAATCAAAAGATAGATCCTCTCCCTCTTGCGCGAGGCCAACTAGCGCCAGCAACACATTGAACTCTGCGCGACCTAGCCCACCAGAGCTCTCGTGGTCACCAGACACGACCAGATTGAGGATCTTGCCCTGATCGGAGGCAGTCAGGCCACTGCTTGACAGGATCTCCCTAATCGAGGTCAGTCCGACGCCTGAGTCGACTCTATCCCCGCTGTTGAGTATCAGATCGTATGCGTCGACATAGCTCTCGGGAACATCGGTGGCAGGAAGCAAAGTGCGGACCAGATCGCGGCGAGCGGTTCTCTTGGCTGTATTGTTCTGATTCCAGGGAGTGGCGGAGCTATCGTCGCCGTCATCATCCGCGAAGAGGGAGGAGCCGCCGGCGGATTCGTCTGCGAAGAGCGAGGATTTGGACCTCTGGGTGGAGGTCACCGCGGAAGGCTCTTCGGGCGATGTTCCGAACAGAGACATTATGACTCCGCCGGTGGAATGTTTGTGGGTGCGAGGTTTCGGGTGTGGAGGTGATGGCGACAGTGAGGGTCGGGGTCGATCAAGCGGAGCTAAAGCTCGGTCGGGCTGTCTGATCGCACGGGCGCCGTGGGTCACCCAACCACACCGTCGGATATTCCCCCTCGCTGAAGGCTAACAGTTGGATGATCAATTTGTTCAGTCCTCGTTCAACCAGATCACTGTGAGCAATCTGTCTCTCCTCGTTAACCGCCGTGGCTAACCCAAGGCCAGCAAGGTCTTGACAAGATAAACTCGGCCGGTACAAGCCATTCCGATGTATAGAGGCGCGATTGATTAGTACAAACCTCAATCGCAAAGTTTGCACTTCTGTTATCTAAAGCCATATCTATTACAAGGCAATTTGATGAGCCAGAAGATGCAGGGGTAACATTCTGTCGCACAGATGCGAGTAAGATTCCCGCGAAGCTGCTGAGCTCCATTTTCTCGCGATGATTAAATACAGGACAAGCCTTGGAAAAGCCTTGAGCATATGAGGGTTAAATTTAGGACACTATGCGGGCCGCCGCCGCAGTGCTGACTTGATAGTGCAGATATCAGGTGTATTTCAAGACCCATAACCTAGGGTCCACCGTGCAGCTCAGCGATGCGAGACTCCAGGGCTATCACGCCGTCTAGACCGCACCTCTAAAAGAAATACTAGCTATCACCAAAGCCTAGCGAGGTGAATGAGCTCGTTATTGGCTACCATCTCAAGTTTGACTATAACATAGAAAGTTAATAGTAGTATGGCTACTTCAACGACTCGAATCTATCCCCGCAATATCTCAAGTTAAACCTGAATGATACAACCTTTCTTCTTTGAAATGCTTTTTCACTGCAGGCTTGCGCCTCGATCGACACTGCCGTTATCATGGCTACTCTTCAAGTCAACTACCATTCAGACGGTGGTTGCTCAGATAACATAAAGAAATCCATCAGATCAGAAAACCAGCGGTTCGTGGAACGACTACGACTGAACTGGCGCGGACAGTGCCAGTATCGCTCGTTGCACGTTTCCCAATGATACTTGCATGTGTGCCTTTTACCCCGGAGCCGGATACAAAGGTGCCGCTCGGGCTGTTGTATACCCTAAGAAAAATTGTGCTTAGAACTACGGCCAGAGATTCATCTTAAATGCGACATCATCCAAAGTCTTTAGTAGAATTAACATTTTCTAAATCTGTCTCTCTCGCTAGCGATGCAATGGAAATCTACATACCAGGTTGAGGGGCAGAGAAAATGACGGCACCGATGGCCTGGCAGTATTCACCAGTCAAGTGTCCCCGACGTCAGCCAGGCATATGGAACTCCGATGAATTAAGAGTCGCGAATCTCATCGGAAGGCGCTTTCCAAGTACGTTTCATATCTGCGAGTCTATCTCGGACGTTCCCCGATTCCCCACTAAGAACGCGTGACTTGAGGGTGGTTCCGATTGAATGTCGGAAGACCCTCCCGACATCTGCAAACTATACGCAATCTGCATATTCCCCGCAATAGTGGATTGGAGTATGCCAGCCCACTGCATGATAAGCTGCAATGCAATTGCGTCTGAAGGTCGGGACGACCTTCCGACTGTCGGTGTATGCTGTATAAACCGGAACCAGGCCTTGGCTATATTTAAGGATTCCATGGGAGGTGTTTTCGGTTCTGTATTGTAGTACACCTCGACGAGCTCTTCATCGAGAAACACAATCATGCGGCCTACAACAATCACCCGTGTAGCTGGCCTGAACCGCCTCAAGTCTTGCTCCCGCAATGGAGCTACCCGGCGGTACTTGACTATGCTGCAGCCGCCCAAGTTCGAGAATGAGAAGATGGTTAGCCACAGCATTCACGCCGTCAGATCTTTGCTAACAGATTCAAAGTTGAACTATGCCAAAGGCTCGCCTGAAAGAACAGAGCTCACCAAAACCCTTCAAAAGCTTAAGAGTGAATTTCCATTCACCATTCCTATCCAAATTAATGGCTCAGAAGTACGGCATGAGACACGAGATGTAGAGAACACCAATCAACATTTACTAACGCCGGTGGTCAAATAGGTCGAAACAAAGCAATCACGAGCCCAACTAAACCCTTCGAAACACCGCGAGATCGTTGCCAACTACGCATCTGCCACACCGGAACAAACCAACGCCGCGATTGATGCAGCCCTCAAGGCCAAGCCGGCGTGGGAGGCAACTCCGTTCGAAGACCGCGCGGCCATTTTCCTGCGTGCCTCTGAGCTCGTCACCGGTAAATATCGTCCAGAAATTGTTGCGGCGACAATGCTTGGACAAGGCAAAAACATCTGGCAAGCAGAGATCGATGCAGCAGCGGAGACTGCTGATTTCTTTCGTCACTACGTCCAAGAAGCTTGGTCTCTCTTCGCTCAACAACCGAGGGTCCAACTTGACGGAAACTGGAATAAGATGGAGTACCGGCCCTTGGAAGGCTTCACCTATGCTATCGCACCATTCAACTTTACGGCTCTTGGCGCTACCCTCGTCGGGCCAGCTGCTTTGCTTGGCAACGTTGTTATTTGGAAGCCTTCTGATTCGGCTCTGCATGCTAGCTGGCTGCTTCACAAGATCTTGCTCGAAGCTGGTCTCCCTAAGGACGTGATTCAATTCTTACCCGGCGATGCTGAGGAAGTCACCAACACCATTCTCAAGAGGCCCGAATTCGGTGCTCTCACGTTTATCGGGTCGACCACGACATTCAAGGGAATTCAGAAGAAGATTGGTGACGGCATTGGCAAGGGAATTTATAATTCTTACCCTCGCGTCGTCGGCGAAACCGGTGGCAAGAACTGGGGTGTGGTGCACCCCTCGGCAGACGTGAGGAGTGCTGCTTTGAACACCATCCGGGCTGCTTTCGAGTATCAGGGACAGAAGTGCTCTGCCAACTCGCGCGTCTACGTGGCAGAGTCTGTCTGGCCCGAGTTCCAAAAGGTTCTGGCCGAGGAGACCGCAGCTCTGAAGGTTGGAAACGTTGAAGACTACGGGAACTTCATCAACCCCGTGATCCACGAACGATCTTTCGACAAGCTCAACAAGTTCCTTGAGGATGCCAAGACTGATTCCGAACTTGAGCTCGTCGTGGGTGGCAAGGCCTCTAAAGAGGAAGGATTCTACGTGCACCCTACCGTGTACCGTACATCCAACCCCCGCCACGAGATCATGTCCCAAGAGCTCTTCGGTCCTATCCTCGGTATCTACGTATACCCTGATGCGGAATGGGAAAAGACCTTGAAGCTGATTGATACGACGTCTCGCTACGGCTTGACAGGTAGTATCTTTGCCAAGGATCCATACGCCAGCCGACAGGCACAAACCATTCTGAAGCATGCTGCTGGTATGCTCTACCTGAACACCAAATGCACTGGCTCTACTGTGGCTCAGCAGCCGTTTGGCGGAAGCCGAGACTCCGGTACGAATGACAAGACCGGCACAATGGCCCATCTGCAGCGATTTGTGAGCACTCGCACCATTAAGGAGGAGTTTGTTCCCCTGGAGAAGGTGGAATACCCTTCTAACGAGGTATAAGTGAAGAAAGGAATATGTGCGAGTGTAAGATGTCAAAATATTTTGCAGTTCTAAACTTAGTTGAAACCCTCATTGAGCCCCTGTTGGAGTTCAACTCAGCCACCCACATCTACACCATCAGTAATTCAATAGAATTAATTGACTATCTTGATACTAATATGCTCGGTACATACTTGCCTACCGTAATATTGCCAGCATGTCATGAATTTAAGAATAGAATATGAAATCATGAATTATTATAGATGGTAATATATATTTGCACAGCATACAAAAACAGCAGCTGATCAAGAACAATGATAAAATTTTGAATTGACAAATTCAGCAATTACATGCTATATAACAGCGTGTATCTTGTTTGAAAGTGTTATTAATGGAATGACACGGGTCTCGTTCCCCGATACTTACATGTGGAATTTTGGTGGGACATCTATTCGCTGCGGGACAAGGACGAACTCAACCCAATATGACAGAAGATATTAGCAAACACATTCATGGCTCAGTCTTTCAAGCACAGAATACATTGCATATGCGAGAGCTTAATGTACATGAGGGATTGCGATGATTGTACGGGACTTGCAATGGGTCAGATCCGAGATGCAACAATAACAAGTGATAATCTTGGATCCTCACGAACCGGCCCGGTTGAACACGAATGAGGGGTACAGATCCGGCCACTGTCTTGGAAGCTACTGATAACAGCAAATCCCTCATTCGATAAAGTGATTTGGCTGGTAGAAGGCCTGATCTGATGCCCCTCCCACCATCGGACGGTCTTCCCGACTTGTGTCGGCTGACGCTCGGACAACGCATCGGTAGCTCCTTGCGAGCAGATAGATCATTACAGATATAGAACAAGCCGCAGTAGTATATGGAGCTTTCCACTAGCAATAAAATAATAGCAAAATCTCACCGGTCTGCCTCGCAAAGGTTGAGAGAACTCATCGCCAGCCCTCTCATCCGTGAGCCCTCGCTGCAATGCTTCCTCGATCTATTTCCCTCCACATTGGAATGCGACCCCGCGTTCTGCAAGCGAAAACCACAATATTCCGGCGGCACCGCTCAACCAAGCACGGGTTCCATGATGCGGTGGTTGTCGTACCAGAGGTCAAACGCCCGCTGGAGGTGTCATCTATGGCCAGATTGCCGACCAAATTTGTCTTGCGCTCTTTGCTTTTAACATCTCTTATGACCTCGAAAGTGTTTCTCAAGCCCGCACTGGCCGTACTGAACGTCGTCACAAATTCCAAGTCCGCGTTCCTAAACCCTGATCGAAACCCAATCCTAAACAAGCTTCTCCGGTGGACGGTCTATGATCACTTCTGCGCGGGGACGAACCGAGCGGAGGTATCGAAGACGGTTGCGGATATAAAAAGGATTGGTTATCAAGGGGTCATTTTGGGATATTCGAGAGAAATCGTGCTGGACCCTAATGAGAAGTTGGCTCGCGATGAGACTGGCTCGACAACCTACAGTGACAAGTGCTATGAGATGGTGGAAGAATGGAAAAACGGAACGCTCGACACTCTCAGCATGGTTGGACCGGGTGATTTCCTGGCTGTGAAGTGAGTATCCAGTTGTCCTTGTTTCGGAGTCCTCGGGCCTAATGCATTTTACAGACTTACAGGCGCTGGCCCAATTGCCATTGATGGCATGGCAGAGAGGGGCACCATGCCCGAAGTCATGGTGAAAGCCATGGATGAAATCTGTATCGCTGCCAAAGGACAGGGATCACGTCTGTGGCTGGACGCCGAGCAGCAGGTCCTCCAGCACGGCCTGGATGACTGGGCCATTGAGATCATGCGCAAACATAACAGATCTGCTGCGCCACTTGTATACAACACCATTCAGGGATATTTGAAAGCATCAAAAGCAAACTTCGACCGTCATGTCACCTCGGCTGCGAAGGAAGGCTGGTCCCTCGGTATCAAGTTGGTGCGAGGCGCATATATTGAACACGAGAAACGTTCGCTCATACATGACACAAAAGAGGAGACGGACCAGTCTTATGATCTAATCGCCGACATGATGCTCTGTCGAAGAATGCCCAAGGGCGTCGAAAACCTGGACTTCCCCAACGCAGCCCTTTTCCTCGCCACCCACAACGCTGCTAGTGCTGCAAAGGCAATCTCGACCCACCAAGCCCGCTTGCTTGCACACAAGCCAACAGTCACGCTTGAATGTGGTCAAATCCAGGGAATGGCAGACGAACTCAGTTGCGAATTGGTGCATAATTACGAGCGTGCTATGAAGGAATCCTCTGCGGTAAATTTGTCGGTCCCTAAGGCTTTCAAATGTATGGCTTGGGGGTCGGTCGCAGAGTGCATGCAGTACCTTCATCGTCGGGCTATCGAGAACAAGGGTGCTGTGGAGCGCACAGAGCATATGGTGACTGCTCTACGCCATGAGCTGTGGCGGAGGATTTTTGGTTAATATTTTCGGAGATTATTCAAAATAGAAGAAATCAAAAAACCCAAGATTATATCCAACGAGACTAGGTCTATATTCAAATATTCTACACGAAGCTGAACGGACTACACTTCTTTTCATCGTACTGTGTGGAAACGAAGGCCTTGGGTCAAATAGACGACGCTAAGAAGTCAACGGTGACCTGATTTTTGATACTTCGCTCTCATAGTATTCTTAATTGAAGGTAAAGATCAAGAGGACTGACAAACGCAATGTAACGGCCATTCCTACACATAAAGCATTATTGATGTACAGGCTGTCGGGTAGAGTGACAGAAGCTTTCCGACTGGAACTCTCTCCGCTTACGCAGGTTTCAACTTGACGAACTACACTTTGAACAACAATTCTATCCGACGGCTATCATTGAGGACGGGAAATTGAGTATTATCTTTGAGATCTCACGAACAAACCATGCTAGTAAGTTGATGTAAGTTTATCCAATCACATAGCAATATTACTGCATTTTGCCCCACAGCGTCTTATCTCATGATAAGAAAATGTCGGAAGGCCATCCCGACAGTATCTTTGCCTCTTCTTACACTACCCCGCAAAACTTCAACATTGCTGATATCGGAGACCAACGCCCGATGTTATACATGCCTTTTTGACATAGTCTCTTTCGGCATTATAATCCGGTATGCCTGCGACATCGAACAAAACGAAAGCCAAAAAATGCCAGAGGGCGTAAGTAGTACGAAATGCAGATGATCGGAGCTTGTTCTAAAATCTCATGCAAGTTGTGCACGATGTCGGAGCATGAAAGTCAAGTGCTCGGGATCGGATCCCTGCACAAGATGTGCCCGCAAAAAGCAACGCTGTCACTTTCATCCTGAGGATGTGCGGGTCTCGGTATCGGAGCGGTCAGTCATGGATTTTGATCCGATGTTATTCAGAGCTAACCAATGCAACCAGCTATTTACGTCAGTTAGAACAGCATCTGTCTCAAAGCAGCGGCTTGCGTCGCGCCAGTGATTCGCGGGATGAAGCTCTCGGCGAGTCTTCGTATGTTGGGCACGATATTGATGAGCCAACACCAAACGCGGCACCATTTCTCTTGGATGATCAGCCTACCCAAGGGATAGATACTGTTTTTCACCTTCCGGAAACACCACGTCAGCAGCGAGGGCAGACTGGGAGTGATCCCGATATTGAAGACGGCCATAGGTCACGATTCTCAAGAAACCCTCTTGTGGATAAGAATCCCTCATTTGCAAAGACACCAGACGGCCGCTTTTGTGAGTAAGCCAGGATGTTTGCGAGCGAAGATGCTAATGATACTGTTCCAGGGTACATGGGCCCGACTTCATCATGGTCCTTCTGCCGCCGTGTCCTGGCTTTGATAGGAAAAAGGGTACCCGAATCCAATTGTCCTCCTGATCCATGGCACCTGGATGGAATGGCATTCAAACTTCAATGGAGGCCACTGCCCCATGATGAAGTTCCCGACGTTGCCAATCTCCCACCACTGGATTACGCACTATTCCTTTTTAACACCGTCAAATTTTACTTTGGCTTTCTTTCATTTATGATAGACGAAGATGCCTACCTTCGGGATCTACATGAATTCTACAGGAATCCTGCAGCTAAGGCTGCGTCTTCACGGTATTGGTATACCCAATATCTCCTTGTGCTCGCCTTTGGAAAGGCATTTCTTACTCAGAGGAACCCGTCCGGAGCCCCACCAGGTCACCAATATGCATCAAGGGCAATGGCTCTTCTACCGGATCTGTCTGGTATGCATGAAGATCCATTAACCTGCATCCAAGCGCTGTGCTTGGGAGCGGTGTATCTTCAATCTATTGATATGAGGCGGGCAGCGTTCCAACACGTAAGCTTTGGCACGTTATCTTTCAAGACATGCAATGCTAATATAAACCCTAGATTGGACAAGCCCTCCGCGGTTGTATAATAGAAGGTATTCATCGGCATGTCCCAGAAGAACTGGGCGGACCGGAATTATCACGCCGTTGCAGAACCATATTCTGGGTGGTTTACATGCTAGACCGAGAGTTCTCCGCTCTAATAGGTGCACCGAGCTCTATAAGGGACGAAGATATCACGGTTAGATTGCCGGCTGATGTGGAAAGTTCTGTGGAGCACATCAACTTGACATTGCACGTCAGGCTCTCCCGTTTGATGGCTCAAATTCTGACAAGTATGTTTTCTACCTAATCCCTAGATCTGACGTTGACTGACATTGACGAAATAGATGTGTACGGGGTTGGCGACGAGTTCAATGGTTCGCTTGTCCGAAATATGCAATCAATACTGCATAGCATGGCAGAACTGTCTCACGACCTGACTGCCTTCTTGAACACACATTTCCACGGGCTGATCAGTCGAGCATCAAAGATGGCAATTCGACTGATGTTGGCTCACCACCATGTAAGATCTCTCCATCGCAAAATATTTTTCAGGAAGCTAACAGAAGAAGTGTGTGGTCCTGACAACAAGACCACTGGTGATGTGCGCTCTATACATGCACATCGAACGCACGGAGAGACGCACATCCCAAACGATATCACTTTCGCCACCTGTTGCGTCTCTCTTACAATGCTGTGCCGATTCCGCCCAGACTATTCTCCAGACTCTTCAAACGTTGGCCGATGATGATCTTATAGGTGCGTCCGCGAAATTAACAGCATGATGGGAAATAGATAGCTTCTAATATGTTCTTAGATGCATTTCTACCATTCCAGATTGAGGATGCGTCTTCATCTGCATTCGTTCTCTATTTGCTTCGCGCAATTGCCCCTTCGCTAATTCACAGTAATACCTGGTGCGAGAACCTGAAGTGTGTGCTGGACAAGCTCATTGCAAAGGGAAATTTGGCCGCACCGCTTCGAAAGCAGGAGCTCAAGCAATTGGAACAAATATTGGCACCTTTGACTCCCAATCCCACTCCCAACTCCACTGTCGATCCTTTCCCCCCTGTTGATTTCAATGCAGCAGAGGAAGGCAACGAGGTCTACGACCTGGATCATGTTGGCGTCGGTGATGAATTTGAGTGGGACTTGTTAGGCTTGAATTCCTCGGTCAGCCTCCCACCGAGAGAATTACTAGATCTTGCTGATCAGCTGGACGTGGAAAGCATTATGCAATCTGTCGGATGTGTTAGTTGAGATATTGACCCGGGCGGTGCAATTGGCGGCTAGCTCATTACGAATTATGGATGACGAATAAAATCGAAAACAAGCGTTTCTCAATTATCCCGGCGTTCTGTTACACCAATAGTTGGTGTGACGGTAAGATGGGAGTGATGAATAAACTCGTGATCCTTACATCCCAACGCTAGTTGACGTAAAGTATGCGCCGAAATTGGGCTATCTGGGATGCATATTTTGGCGCGCGTTTCATGATTGAGCTACGTGCAACGGGTTGACTTACCCTCCCGTCTGCTCGCCGAGCACTCTGGACAAAGATTCGTGCACATATGGCTGGGGTGTATTGCATATCAATTGCAGCAAGATGATTATATAGCATCACTAGAAAACTCCCTCTTGAGATCGTGGTTCATCAGAATCATGGCTAGCGGTTTCCTCGGTGGGCTCCATGGCAGGCTGAACATGGAAGTGTCCCATCTGAAACAAGATGTTCTGCCACTCGTACTTGCCCGTGGCCTGTACCCAGAAATAGTTCGTATCATTTGGGAACCATCTTTCTTTCCGCGTGAAAGCCTTGTCGCCTCCTTCGAGCGCGGCTCGACTGGCGCGGGTTGTTCGGCCACGTTTTTCGCAATTTCCATTTTCCCTTGTCAAGATCGCACTCAGGTTGTCGCGGTACTCTTTCAATCGACCGTCGAAAACCATGATAGCACGAACATAAGGGGCGATATCTTCGGTGATAGGGGCAAGACTGTTTTCAAATGACGGTGCTAAGCGCCCAGTCGGGATGGGCATGGAGTAATTTGCCCGCATGATGGGCTCGAATACTTTCTGGAAACTGGGCAGAGTAGATGGGAAATGCATCCGACGCGCACCAGCCTTGGCCCAACCATTGAAAATCCGAGCCACGCTAGAACTCTCGTAATCTTCGGTTTTTGGGCGGAAGGTTTGAGATATCAGGGCATCGAATGTGACACTAATGTTCTCACTCAAGGACGAATGCTCGGGTCGCAAGTCAGCTTGCAGGAGGGGATAGGCTTCGACATAGTTGGACCGGTGGGCTTCGGGGAGTGGGGGAGCAGATGAATCCACAACATCCTGCAACATGGTTAGTTCCAATAGCCATTTCATAGAGGAGAGGACACTTGCCTGTAGCATGTCCAAAGGACACTCGGAGCAGAGAAGGTCGAGGGAGCTTCTCATCTCCAGGTATTCGGCTTCACGACTCATCAAATCAAGCTGCTCCATCTTTGACCGCGATCGGTATTGATCATGGGGTATAGTTTCAATGAAGCTACCGCGGGCCGCTTCCTCCGAGTCTTGTATACCGAGTCTCCACCCTTGAAAGGTATTTTGTAAACTCTCCGTTTCGTTGTCCAGGGGCTTCTGTTCCAGAAAGACGTCACGATTGAACCATCCCATGTAAGGCTCGTAGGTGTTGAGACTGAGAACTCGAACCCTGTCTCCATTCTGATCCAAGTTCGCTTCTGGAGGCCACAGGGATAGGATCCAATCAAGACCCGCTTTTTTACTTCCGACGCCAATCTGGCACCAGAAATTCAGGTCCATCATAGACCTTCGGATGTCCATGCCTGACCCATCGTAGAGCTTGCTGACAGCCTCCCGCTTGAGTACATGTCCTTCGTTCGCGGCTACAAGCAATAAATAGTCGATGGCGAGATCACGATGGGGTCTTTGAAATCGGAGAATTGCGTGTAAAGACATGTCCTGAATAGGCACTAATGATTCGTCGTTGCATGTGATGACAATCGGCCGCTTTGACTGGCTGATGAGGGTGAGAACGCCCGTCCAAAATTGCTTATCTTCGTCGAAAAGCAGGTCAGCTTCTTCGAGAAGAATCAAAGATTGTTTTTGTTCACGATTGCGCTTTGCCTCGGAATCGGGTGTCGGACTTGGCTGAGTACTTTTCTTGTCGCAATTTGCACTCTTGGATGATTGTCCTTTGAAAAAGCCCATCAACTTGTTCTGTTTGGTGTCGTCGTCCGTCGTAAGTGCTCGGGGCTTGGCAGACGAGTCATCGGCTTCGTTCAGAAGATGGACCAAGTGGTTCTGGGTCATATCGCCGACTCTTTCCAGCATATCTCTTGCACTGCGACGGCTGCCAGCATTGATCTCGAACACCTCGAAGTCAAGTTCTTTGGCCACTGCATACACTGAGGCCGTTTTACCAGAGCCGGATGGGCCGCTCAAAAGGATTGCATTTGCGACCCGACCTCTCTCCCCTCCATGCGATGAAGAAAATGCCAGATCTCCGGATTGAATCACCGTTCGCTGAGCAGACACCGTGACATCCCCAGCCAGCTCATCGTCTGAACCAGAGAGATTGTCCATTTCAGATGCCTCTTCTTCACTGGAGACGATGAAACCGTCAAGTTTGTCGTTATTCTTTCGCCGTTTCTTCTTTTTCATGTCGGGTTTGGAGTTGGACCTGGCGTTGTCTTTTGATGGCTTTCCAGTGTCGACTGCCGTAATTTTGAGGTGAAGGAGCCAGTCACGGAGTACCTGGGCCTCGCGGCCGACTTGAAGCACATCCTCCGCTTTTTTGGGTGCGTATTTATGAGGCCAGAGTTGCGATTCATATTTCCCGCGATCAAAAGCGGAAAACGACGAGAGCAAGGCTGATCGAAGTTTTGATATGACCGGAGTGATAGATTGGGTCGTATAACGCGAGTTTGGTAACGACCAGGACATCTGGTTATCAATCGCAGTCTGCAGGACCCGTCCACTGGCAATATGCCGGACAGGCAACCGTAGATTCGATGTGTCGTGACCTCCCATGGACAAAGTTGCCGCTTTTCGTGCATTGGATGTGCTGGTTAAAAGGGCATTCTCGTCATCGGCGATAAAGATAACTGGCGACTTGGCTTTCTTTTGGTCATTTGTGAGGGGATCGAGAGTGAGGGGGCGAGTGGGCTGTTGCGGATCAATAGATCTGACATGAATAAGATCCTTTGGTGGCCACAAAGGTTCGATAAGCTCCGGGAACTTTGGCTTATTCCGACTAAAGGTTGAGGGGAATGTTGGAAAGGGCCGTGATTCTCGCTTGACCTCCGATGTGGAAGGGGCAGTGGTCTTTCCTGGGCCCGAGGCTTCGGTATTTGAACTAGCCACGGAAGGTTTATTCTCCTGGGGCTTCTGGGCCGCTTTCTTCACAAAGAAAGGATGTGTTGCCTTCGCAGGCTCGTTCACGGTCTTTTTTGGGGCGGCTGCGAGCCGCGGAGGAGCCGCCTTGTACACCCTCTGACCATTGAGAATTTCATCGATCAAATTCCCAGCTTTTCTCTCTCCTGTAACGCTGTATTTGAGGATGGCCAGCTTGCTTCGGACCTTTCCCCCTCTTCGTCGCTTGTTTCCCGTTTGCGTTGCACCCGCTATTTCTGTAGAGCTGACAGGAGGTGAGCTCAGCAATCTACCATTGGCATTCAACTTCAAGGTCTTCCTTTTGCCTCTAGTAGACGCGTGTTTGTCTTCTTGTTCGGTGGGATTCAGGTCTTGTTCCGGAGCGCTATTGTTGATTGGGGACCGAGGCGACTGGGGACGAGGAGCGATGGACGGGGGAGGTTCAATGTTGATGGTGGGTGCAGCAGCTACGGCTTCTGGAGCCTCGATTCCCAGCCATCCCGACAAGCCTGACTTTACAGTGGTCTCTTGGTCCAGCTTGCTTTTCTCTGTCTTCCTTCTCTTGCGTCGGTTGGCATTAGGGTCTTCCTCCTGGCTCACGGGCGTTGAAACTTGAGACCTTGAGACATCGGATTCATTGGAGGCTTGTAATTGGGGCAGTAGCTCTTGGTTGGCGTGAGTAAAGACATCGGTTGGCGTTGGGGCTGCGGTACCATTGGGGATGGAACGGTCAGTGTTCCCCGATACTGCGAAGTCTGAGGCCATGGTGTGAGCCGAAGAAGATGTAAGAGTGGACGGAAAGTTCCATACCTTGTCTAAAGAAAGGGTGGACAACGTGCTGCTCGCCCGGTCCCATGGCTACTGGTGATTTGGATATGAGGGTGTCCATAGGATTGGGACCCTCAGTAGCTCAAGAAGGAGGGGGCGGCAGGAGAAGGAATCAAGGGACGTTCATCAGAATTCAGGTAGAGCCGAGACTCGGGACATTGACGAGGACAGAGGAGACAAGCCCAAATCGTCTTTATCGCGGTTATCTGCTCTTTACACGTCCGACGCGAAAGGCGCGTCTGAACCGCTTATGTCATCCTGATTACATCACCTGGTCGGCCATCGGCCATCCCTATTTGGGTCTAGCGTCATGGTGGGTCCGGCCCGTTGTTATCCCGAAAATTTTTCAGATTTCCCCGTTGGGACGGGTTTGCAGCTTCACCGTTCAGGCTCTAAAGGGAGTGGGAATCATATCTTTGACGTGATTGTGGTTCTGTTCGTCATGGATTTGCAATCGCCGTCAGTTCTGGCGCAATTGCCGCGCCCCCTTCATGCCTCCACGGGCAAAACTCGCATCGGCGATGTCTTCAGTCTCGCCGATGCCAAAAAGCGCAAGCGCTATGAAGTCGCGGTTGCTGTGGATGGTGAAGCCGTCAACATCTACAATGTACGACTCCTGACCGTGTGATTACCTTTGACTGGCCTGACATTCTTCCCCTAGGTGCAAACGCCCAAGCTTGTGACCTCGTACGCCTTCCCGCCGCAGTCTACGTTCTCTTGTCGGCCTTGCTCTGTCCGCCGCAAGCTGCCCAAGAAGTCCTCCGTCAAGCGCCAGACATATACCGCGGCGACACGTCCGGAACGCCAGATCAAGTGCTTTGTCGAAGAGATTGGCAATGGCTCCACTGCCCCAGTGATCTCTTCCTCGGCCGCCACTATCACCGACTCGAGCAGCCCCACGAACTTTGTCGGCATTGTTCCTTTCACCGTCGAAGATGACAGCGAGGCCGATCCTTTCGATATCCTTGCCGTTCACCAGGATGGCCGAGTGCGCAGGTTGTCGTCCGATCTGAAAACTCAGCGCTGGAGTATCCAGCATAGCGAAATTTCCAAAATCTGTTCTTCTACTCATGCCGTTCACTCATGCTTCTTGGTCGATCTTGAGGATGCGAAGAAGGCTCTGTTCAAGCGGAGACAGGATTTGGCCGCTCTGGCCCTCGGAGACTCCACAGCCTCCGGAACCGACGAACCGTCCATTCTGCTCATCGTGTCCCACCCGAAAGACGCTGATCAGGTCACTTTGCAAGACGTTAATGTTCAATTGTTCTCCGTCCCTGCTAGCGCAAAATCAGGGGGACGCGAGGAGAGCCAACGACTTCGACACCTTCAGACAATCCAAGTCCCCGCCACACCCGGGCTCGTCACTGTTAACAGCAATGGCCTCCAGTGGAGCTTCCACTCAGGCTCCGCAGGGCTTCAGCTGTCGTTCGAGAAGGGATTTGTAAACATCGACCTGTCGCAATACTCGCCCTGTGTAACCTCCCAATTTGTCCTCGATGAGCGCTTCTCGTCCGTCATGCGCATTTCACCACAGTGCGTCATCGGGGCAAGTGATTCGCTGGTGGCTGTATACGACACTCAATATCAATCTGTTCAACGAAGCATTGCTGCTGGTGATGTCTTGTCTGGAGCTGGCATCAACGCAGATGCCCCAATGGTCTTCATCAGCTACTTTGCAAAGCTTGGAATTGCAGTCGCAACCAAGGGAAACACCCTTATCGCTTTCGACTTGACCTCTCTTTATAGCCACTCTGGGCCTTCTCTGAAGCGATCGCGTGATGGCCTTCTCATTGATGCCATTGGCCGCGGTATCGGCTCGTCTGCTGCGCAATGGGACATGGCATCGAAGAAGCACCGATCCGAGAACATGACCTCTCTTCGACTCACCTCGCCCGATCAGGTGGAAAAATGGAATCAATTGACCAAGGATGTGGATGAAGCGGCCAAGAGTCGTAATGCACCGAAGTTCGACAAGGCGGTTCTGAGCTACTTCTGCTCTTCTGATGCGCCCACGACGCTTCCTACTCGGGGACAATATGTCAATCCAGAGTCCACCCTTTTCCTGCTCTCCAAGATGTTTGCGGTTGAGGACTCCAACATCCAGGATGGGGTTTCAGCCTCTTCGTCTTCTCAACTACGCGTTGTGCTCTGGCCTTCAAATACTTGCGATTGGCTCATTCGGCTGGGCCATTTGTCTCCTGATAATGTCGAAATCTCCCTTCGACGGGCTTCTAAGCCACGCATTCTTCAGCCGTTGGTGACGGGATCTTTCGTTCAAGCTCTGATCGATTCCGACCCCTCGCTGAAGCAGGTCAACCAGGTCATTGCCGGCCCGTCTCTCATTTCTTCTGATGAGTTGGCCTACGCGCTCAAGTACTTCCTGAACCAGGCACGCCTGCACTCAAGTGCTTTGGAGGAGACTGCTCGGGCTATTACCAGTGGCGAGGTTGCTACTCCCACGCAGGAGCTCTCTCGCCATCTCGGGGGTGAGACGGTCACTCTGAAGGATATCTTCACTGGCCTGAACACTTCTATTCAAAAGGTCCACTCACAGCCTCAGTCTGCCGTCGTTCAGTCTCTGCGTTCGAACCTGTCGCGGACAGAACTTATATCTTTGGTTCATCATCTCCGCCTATCCCTTGCTACTGGTGGCTACACCTCTCGCTCCACCGAAAATCCCCCTACCCCTATTACTCTCGACCAAATCACACCCTCCCTCTCTCTCGACACCATCATTGACCTCATGACTGCCTCAGTGGACGCGGTCGGCCCCTCAGGCTGGATCTCCGCGCTGCCCGCCGTCGACCTTAACGGTGACTCGGACTCGGCTATCGCCGCTGCTAGCCGTGAAATGGAGTTGATTGCTGACATGAAGTCGGAGGTCTCTGCCGCGCTCGCCGGTGTGGAAGAGGCCACCTACCTCAAGGGCATTCTTCGCGAATACCTCCGATTTGCTGACCAAGTGGCTACTCCAGCGGCTACCGCTGGAGACGTCGTCGCCAAGATTGATGATGAGACTCCCTCTTCATCCAATCTCGTTCGCTATGAGAAGCTCAATGGAGCTGACCTTGTCGTCTTTGGTCGCCCTGGTGAAGGAGAAGACGGTTACGATGCCGATGCCGGTGGCAAGATGCTGCCATTGTCGCTGAAGCCTGCCTCGGCCGATGTTTCGCGTACGAAGATCAACAAGTCCACTGGTGAGACCAAGTCTCGTACCAGTCGTGAGATTGGATACCTTCGCCGTAAGGCAGTTGGCAAATATTCTTTCGAGAGGCTCCTTGTTTAAAGGTATCACTTCTTGGTGGGATGCATTCTGCCTTTCATGTGTCATATTATAAATATATTTACGGAGCAAAAATATAGGAGTTAGATCTGGGGTGAATGAATATTTGGATTACTACGCAAATGGAGCTCTTCGTATATGGGTGTGAATAGCGGCCAGTAGGAGATCATCTTCCAAAAGAACTCATTAAAGATCGGTACAGGTTTAAGCTTCTAGCGGGCTTCTTGTCAGCGAGCTATGCTATGTAACCTCGATTTTGCTTTCCCTTCTGATGTTATGTGAGACATGCCCCATTTCCTTCACTTTGCTAAATCTCTCATGTTCTTGAACTTACTTCTATACATACTGTTTGAACGTCTTTTGAGACATACTTCTTGATGTCTCTCTGAACGCATCGAGCCTTGAAACTAATGTCCCGCCTGCTATTAAAACGTAGGTACTTCAGTTTTCTTAGCGGCAACTATCCGCGCCAGTATTCCTACTCACTTTGGGATGCAAGAGGGGTTTTTTTTTTTTTTTTTTTTTTTAAATCAGTCGAGGTAAGAATTAGCCTGACCCCATAGCAGCATATATTTAGCGAGCTGCAATCGGGCAAATGAATATGTAATTCATCATCAATAGCTGCGATTCAGTTTTCACGGCGATTTGATTATTCAACATAAACCCCCGCCTTTTCTTCATATCGCGATCTCGCATTTTACGCCCCTAAGCACAATTAACTCCGCTCCATTCGCCTTTCTCACAGCGACTTGATTATTCAACAGAAGGCCCCATCCATCATGACACAAACGTCCCTCTCCACCTCTCCACCTCGTGACCCACGCCCTTAATCCTGATCAACTCCACTCCATGTACGTTTTCCACGGCGATTTGATTATTTGATTACTCAACCAAACCCCTCCAACAATCATGTGGAAACCCAAACGCAGTTCTCCACCTCGCGATCTACGCTCTTAACCCCGACTAGCTCCGCTCTACTCGCACTTTGTCAGAAGTTTGGACTAGCGAGTGCCTTCACTGCAAGGGAATGCGTGGTCCAAATTAATAATGGCAGGAGCATAAATGGTGACCTTCTTCCTCATGCTTCTGTTACAGCCACTGAAACTTGGAGAATTGCCTTCAAGACTAAGTACATATTCTGAGTGCAAACTTGTTCATCAAAATGCCTTTCCGACCATTGCAGAGCTCCTAGAGCGAAACAAGTTAGTATCTCGTCTTCAGAATATAATTTTTTCATTATCCAACCGCATCGTCCATGTTCGATCGCTAACATAAGTGGCAGGGCCACTGTTGCAACACATACCCCTTTACAACTAAGCAAAGAGAGGCGCGCACAGGGAATCAAGAAAATGAGTGGGACCATGGTTGGTAAGTAAAAAAATCAAGAAGTGTCTGTTCAACTATCCGGTATCATTGCAAACATCCAACCTTTTAGTGACTTGTATTGATCCTCGTTGCATTGCTCCCACCATACCCTTGAGCATAAAAGAATCGATCGTATGTCCATCAATATAAACCACCCTAAAATGTTGTCGCTTTCCTGACCCATGCCTTATAGTGCTAATGAATATGTTCATGCGAGCGGTCAGGGCTTATATCACCCCGAGGAATGTCAATCCCGCAGGGCGTCTCGGGTATCGCTTCGAACCAGATGCTGGAATTCCATGTAGTGTAAATCTTCCGTTTCCAAGCTCTAAAGTATTTATCGATGGACGTTGGATCTTCTGTAGGTGCATAGATGGTGTGGTGCGTTAGAATCAACCATACATGGCGCCACCTGGCTCTAATGAGATCCGGGTCGTATTTCAAAACAGTCTCACGATTGTTAATTAGGTCCGATACAAATTGCTCTCCGTATGCTGATCCCCAAGTTTTGTCTTTTTTGTACCAGTCATTGAATCGTTCTAGACGTAGTAGGGTTGCTGTTGGTCCGGGCAGACAGTCGAGAACTGTGTCCAGGAAAATGCGGGTGTCCGTGAGCCACATCTTGGCTTCAGATTCGTATTTAAAAGATCCCCACTTCTCTTCGATGACATTTTCGAGATGAGGCTCACAGAGCAGATGGAACAGACGATAAGTAAGAGAATCTTCCTTATCGAGAGTCACAGCTCGGAGGTTGGTTGCCATCTTGAATTCTCGAAGGAGGAAGAAGGGCAGTAGTGCGATGTCGCGGTCGTAGCGGCGTAGATAGCATGGTTTTAAGTCCTCGGCGCTCTGTTTCGGTGTTTTCTCGTCGTTCCATTTTCCTGTCAGCTGTATGTATACGTAATGAATCCGAGGCAACGCGTTGAGAACATCGACGAGTCTATTGATCGTGTGCCACATTTGGACCATATGGCCAGGATCATTCCGAGAAGGGTGCTTAATATAGACTCCAAGGCCACGTTTTGGTATGCGGTCATGGGGGAAGTTGAGGATATGCCTTCGGAAGGCCTCGTCGTTCTTCAGCTTCCGCTTAACTATCAGTCTTTTGGTTGATATGTCCACGTCAACACAGCTTTCTCCGGAAGATGAGGGGTGTGGATGAATTCCGTGAACCATATCTTCGTAAACCAAGTAGGAGATCTCTTGGCAGAGATACCGGCTGCAGCAAAGGATGGACAGGATATTCTTTCTAGCTTCTGGATGGCTGCGTGCGTAGATGGAGCGAAGAAGAAACTCCCATATCATCAGTTGTAGCTCTGTTGGTAGCTTTGAAAAGTTGCCCAGTTGGGCGGGACATGTAGACTGTTTGTCAAGATTGGAGTTGTTGATGATCACCATGATTATATGAGTGAATGAATGAAATGCAACTTGAGATAGAACGAGATCAGGAGGACGTGGGAAGGGACAAAATCAACAGGAATGCAGTCCGTACTTGCCTTGAAAGTATGTCAGAATGGGTTTCCATGCCGATACCTAATCGAGGAAAGTACGAGGTGATTTGTTTCAAGCTAAGTAGCTGGTGTACTAGTCCTATTCGAGAAGGAAGTCTGAAGTTTAAACTCGGCGAACGCCGTGAACCTTACCTATTTTGTCTCCTGGACATGGTACAATAATTCCGGAAATTGGTGTCACTCTTCGATTGTTTCTCGAACCCTAATGTCAAGATCCACTACACTATATTAAGAATAGCCCCCAAATATCGATATTCCTGTAAAGTTATAAACATGGCTGTATCTCTTCAAATCACTTACTGCTTTACATCTGTAGGGAGTGTATAGGCAACGAGCGCAACAAAATAGTGTCCTAACCCCACCTGTAGAATCGCTCGCTCAGTCCAGATAGCACCCCTTCTCAGTAACATCCAACTCCACCGAACGAACTGCGCAGATTAAACAAACAATTGTGACTTTATATAATTTCCACGTTCCTTTAGCACCCGCCACCGCCGCCGCTACCCGCACATCCGCTGGCAGCACCTCCACCAAGGGAGCAGACGGGATTGGTATAAGTAGTGCCTCGACCGGAGGAACTTTTGTCACGCTTCGTGTATGATGAACGACGTTCCTGAGACTTTTGAAAGTCACGGATATAACTGTCATAATCTTGCCGTTTCTTTGAGCGGCGCGGAGGAGGATATTTTTCTTGTACATCAGAAGACGAGCGGAAGCACATTTTGACTAAGTTTGGAGCGTCTGTATTGGTTTGAATGTCCAACCAGTTTTATTATGAGAGTTGAAATGTTGTAAATTTAATCCACGGTATGCTGTCGCGTGTGAAATCATCCATTTTATAAGGCTGGGGCGCGATCAGACCTTTCTAAACCCTGAAGCATAGCCACCGTCCGGGCAAGGTAAGTCGGCGTTTCGTCGTAAATGCTGAGGTCAGAACGCGGGGGCCGTTTATTGCTAACAATAGAAATAGGGCGGAATATAAAGAACTGAATGCTATTTTGGCTCTTAATCTCTACTTTGAACGAAAGCAATCAGCCGTGTACTTTGACTACGCTAAAAGTAGCTTGTCGTTTCTGAGCAGTAGGGTTCGAGAAACAATCGGAAAGTATTGGTGGTGACACCGACTTCCGGAAGTACTGTATCTGTTAAAATTGATGACATCGTGTCTGCCGAACTTGATGTGCATTACATACTTTCGATGAGTTCCTCAAAACTTCTTACCAATTCGAGTCGCGGAGCATGTCCTCTCAAATCATATATCACCCGAGGTTTTCCAGGGCCTACCCTCAAATTATATTGACTTACTGTCAACAGGCGTGAACTTGGAATGAGTCCTATTCAAGTGATATTCAGTGTACCCGTGACCGAATTACGAGGTCTTAATCAGTCCATATGTTGCATTATACATATTAAGGAAGCAACGTAAGCTCCCAAGGTCGTTGCGATCGCATAGGAACCAACGCCGACAAGTTTTAGATCACCAATGCCATGTTCGACTTGTACAATTGCCCGTGCTGAAGGACCTTGAAATATCGGTCAACTACCTTGATCGGGTTGAGACGAGTGGGACTCGACAACACATCGGGCTGCGAAACGGGAGCCAATCAGAGTATGACTGAATGAATAATAGGTTAAGACTATTGACTAGTGAATAAATTGTTGGGAGTACGTCAACAATCGATTACAGGCACAGAGTTGAAGACGGTAGCAGTGGACATGGAAAATAAACAAGGGAAAGTGAAAAGTTCGAATCTGACCCAGGTCAGTTGTGGCGCGTAGGAAAATAAACAAGGAGCTCGAGTGGAGCAGTCGACTGCCCGGACCAACACCGCATCTCCGCACTCGCTATCCACCGTTCTTTTCGATCCGATGGGTTTGCATGTCTTCATGGACTGACACTCCTTTGTTGTTCTTTTGGTCCGTCCCTTCTTGCTCATTGGAGGGAGAGCGCGATCAAAACAAACTTAGAGACGCGGGAAAATGAGCCGCGAACCCTGGCTCGACAGCCTGTCCGACGACTGGCCATCGGTGCCTGTCTCTCCTACAACGCCTGCGACGCCTGGCCCATCTAAGACCGTACTTCCCTCGTCTCCCCGAACTGGCGCCCAGGATACCCCTAGTCGCATTCCAGTGCCCGCCCGTCGATCCGTGGAACAACAGTCACCGGCCAGCGACGCGAAAAAGGTGACTCGGCCATGTCACTTCATTAAAAGAGAACCTCCGACCCCTAAAACGCCTCGAACACGCAAGACACCCTCGAAAACTCAGTCGCCGACCCCCGCAAAATCCAAAACAAACACCCCGAAATCCTCCCCGAAGCGCAGTCCGAGGCCCGCCTCCGGCGCGGCTGCTAAACAACCGCAGGCGATGGACACGCGCTCCCCTCTGCGATCGGTGTCGAATGTTTCCAGTCAGTCGGGTTATCAAAGCACCGTTCAGATAAAACCGAAGAAGAATCGAGATGAGGGCGCGGCCACGCCCGAATGGCGGAAGCGACTGGTTCACGGAGAGATTGGGGTGGGTGAACAACGGGATCTGTTTGCGCCCATGGGCCTCGAAAGCGTGTTTAAACCGCCGACACCAGGATCTACGAACGGGCAACAAGATTCGATCCCTTTCACGAAGCAGGATGACCAGCTGTGGGATTTCACCGACGCGACTTCGCGCCGGGATAGCACGGTGGAGGCTGACGCCGACGACCCCCAGGGCCAGGAACCGGATATAATTGACGGCGATGAAACGGGCACCGGAATGGAGTCGCCAATGGGAACGGTCAACTACGCATCATGGACAGACAAGCGATCTCGAGGTCAGGATCTTGACCAGGAGGACGTTTCACAAGGAGGATACACCGAACAGCGAACGGCCAGTGGGCTGGAAGACCTTCGCAATGAGGGCATCACCCCCATTGTATTCACCCGACCGAATACCCTGGAAGGTGGAGCTACATCGGAGGTGATCAAATCGGCCCTAAAGCAAGTTACCAACAAGCTCGAGAGTCTGTCCATGAATACCGACAGCCGGCCAGACTCACCCGCCAGCGATAGCTTCCTCTTCTACAACCACAGCGAGCCCCACGCCGAAGGCTCACCGCAAGATGACAGCCTGCTGGATGTGACCAGTCACTCCTTGCCGCAGGATCTGTCTATGGGGACGGTGGATTTCAGTAGCCGCCGTGGCAACCGCTCTTTCCGACGCCGATTCTCTCCTTCGCCCTTTCCCTCACATCGTATGTCTCTCGCGACTCTCGCCAATACCAAAATTCGCAGTTCTCCCCTTTTCAACCCTTCTCAGCATAAAGGCTCACCCTCCTTGCCTCGACCTTCCTCCTCCCACGTGCGTCCTTCAACAGCGGGGGATGCGACAACAAAAGAACCAAAAATGCCATCTTCGGGCAGTCCGCTGAAGCTGTTTGGCGAGCATGATACGTTCACGAACAACCGACTGCTGCGGCGCATGAGTCAGTTTGAAGAGTTCAGTGATGGGTCGGATGGCGAGGCGCCGCTTTCGCCCTCAGAAGAAGCGCGGAGAAAGGGTGAAAACCGCAGCTCGTTGAATCCCAGACACGAGCCGCTGAGTGAGATTTCGTCGAAGTTCAATGAGCGACTAGCATCTCGGAACATCCCACGCCCTCGACTGAATCGGTTCGGCGACGGAGAACTCGATCAATTCGACTTCTCTGATGCCAGTCCATATGAGAATAAGTTGGTCTATGATGAAGCACAAGGATTTGGATCTCGACCCTCCTCGCGGAAGCTCTCATCCGGTAGAAAACAATATCTCCGTGGGGCGTCCCAGCAAGGCTCTCTGCGCTATACCAGGACTGCGAGTTCCAGTTTTACCCGAAAGCCATCGGCATGGACTCGCCAGAGTTACTTCGACCACGTTCGTGAGAATTCACTGTCACGCTTCAACAAAAAAGAAAACCGGGCATTCCCCGAGACCAAGCGAGTCCCCAAAAGTGCAGCTGATCCGACTCCGAAGCGTCGTCGGACAATATTGCGAGACAGCGCAGAGCCAGAACACTCACATCAAGCCGGCGACTCCCCTCCGAAATTGGGCGACAGCATGTCTCTCCTGCAGAGAAGCCTGTTGCAGCATGGCGTGCACCTTGAAAACGGAGACTACCTCGCCCCTCCTGGCTTATCTCAGTCTATGCAACGACCTAGAACGCCCACTCCTAGTCAAATAAGGTCGACCCATGAAGCCAAGATTGCCCCAACCAGAGACTTCTCTGAGTCCAACTTTGATGAACTGGATTATTCAGATTCCTTCTCGATCGAAGGAGATATTCCATTGCTCAAGGTGACTGGTACGAGTGACACGTCGCGAAAAGGGTCAATCACAACCCAGGATTATTTGAATGAGGCTACAAAGATCATGGATTTGATTCGGTCAAAAGGCCGATCGGCCGCTGGTCTGACCAGTGTGCAGGAATCCGAGCCAGATAGTGAGGAGGGCGATTTCAGCTACGAGGATGAATCCACGCGGGAAGCCTTTTCTCGGCCTCCAAGCCGGGACGGGACGGACCTGCGCAAGCAGCGGGAGCCCAAGGAGTTGAACCCGCTCATTATCAGCTACCTGAAAAAATATCAAGAGAAGGACGATGCTAATGACTCGGTCATGTCATTCAACGGCTACTCAATGGATAAAGAAGATCGACTTGGCGGACTAACCCCCGAGCAGAGAAAGCGCAAGCCAAGTGCTTCAATCGATGATGTGGCGGAGAATATCGCCCAAGACCTGATGACAATCAATACTCAGATGTCTGGATTCAGCGTTCAATCTGTTCCAACCGGCTCATCTCAAAACTCCCAGGCGAAAGGCATGTTGTCCTCTGACCTGATATCCCATTTGATTCCCCAGCAAGTCAATGGCTTCACGTATGATCGGGCGAAGAATCAGTGGATCAAGGACGGCACTCAAGAGCCGGTCCGTTCACCTTTCCGGGAAGATGAGCATGATCCCTTCCAGGACATCCCAGATCTGAGCGTGGATGAGCTGCAAGAGATGATGCGGATCCATGGACTGAGCTCTCCTGGAAAGAGTCTGGCTGCGGATCAGAGTGAGGATCATCCTGCGCCTACTCTCGATGCAGGTACTTCTCCCAGGAAGACTGATCCTCGACCTCACACGAGGGATGGTGAACCCTCAGTGAGTGCAAGCTCCGTGCAATCCAGAGCCACTCGATTCACATCAAGTGTTCCTCAATCTGGCACCAGAGCCACATCATGGAACACAGATGAGATTCAGGAAGAGAACGTCGGTCAAGCGATTCCTGTACCCGGCTCGCAGCGGCGAACAAAACAGGCTCGCGTTGCAACCATCACTTTCTCTTCTCCTCTAGTGTCACACATCGCGTATAGAGATGATCCGGATGCTCTGGAATGCCATTCAAACCAGGAAGAGGCGACTGACGCAGCCAATTCTCCGGAAGAAAGCCCAACTCGTGCGGACCAGCAGCACGGTGCATTACGGTCTTTCGCGCCGCCGATTGGGCGTGAAACCTCCGTGGCCGGTCAACCATTCATCCGACGTCCCATTTCTCGAATTGAAGAAAGAAACGAAGAAGGGACCGAGGATCTCAGCCTTATTCATAGGGGCGATCCGATGGCTGTCCAGCAGACCCCAGGTGGACAAGGCGTTGGGAATTCCTTAGTTCCCATTCAGAGTCCCGACCAGACGAACTACAGTTTCCATCTGAGTCCACTTCCTGAATTCTCTGTGAACCAGCCTGACCACCCGTTGAATCTTGAAATGACCTATGTGGCTCAACGGACAAACCCAAAGTCTTTGAGACAGGTTCATGGAACTTTTGCTCTCGCGACAGAGGATCTGATCAAGCACATCACCGATGTAGAGCCATACGAGCCTTACTGGGATCATGTCCGCCGTTTGGTCCTTCGTCAGAAGGGACTGATCACTCTGCACAAATTGAGTGACTTCTGTCCTCGCCTTGAGGACCTCGATGTTTCTGATAACGACATTGGGCAGCTGAGTGGTGTGCCTTCAACCTTGCGAACCCTGAAGATCCCCCATAACTGTCTCTCCAATCTCACACCTTGGGGCCACTTGACCAACCTGCAGTATTTGGACATTTCTGGCAACGACATTGAAACACTGGATGGATTCTCCAGCCTGATCCACCTTCGGGAATTGAAGGCAAATGACAATCAAATCCGCAACATCGACGGCATTATGGAGCTAAATGGGTTGCTGAGTCTGAAGCTGGGTAACAATTCGATTACCGGTGTGGACTTCGAAGGAACTGAACTGTAAGTTGCCCTTTGGCATGCTTGCTGTGTGGAGTACTAACTTTCCAGGACTCGGCTTCGTGATCTTGATTTGAGCCATAACTGCTTGACGTCGGTTCGGAACATTGAGTGGCTCCCATCCCTCACCACCCTTGATCTCAGCGCCAACCAGATCACGCGACTTGAAGCTTCAGCTTCACTCATTAGCCTTCGTGCCCTTAGGATCTCTGGAAACCGACTGAATCGGTTCGATGTGAAGAACTTCTCTTCCGTGAGCCTTCTCTACCTGGATCAGAACCGCTTATCTACCATCGCTGGTCTGGAGCACTGCCTTAACCTGGAGGTGCTATCTGTACGAGAGCAGTCCTCGCCTTCGGACAATGGGTCGGGCTTCGCTCTGAATCTCGACCTGGGATGTGTGAAGGATGTTCGGAAGTTGTTCTTGTCTTCAAACAAGCTTTCATCCGGATGCCTCTCGCCATCGGCACCTTTACTCCAACTCCAATTGTTTGATCTAGCTTCCTGCACCCTCAATGGTCTTCCTAGTGACTTCGCATCGAACTTCCCGAATGTCAAGGTTTTGAATATGAATTTCAACTCGCTCATCGAGCTGGAACCGCTCGTGGGAATGAAATGCCTCTCCAGGCTGTCTATCGTTGGAAACCGGCTGGCCAGAATGAGACGGATTTGTCAAATTCTAAGCCGACTGGGTCGAGCTGGCCGCGGAAGCCCATGCTCTCTTCGGAAACTTGATATTCGTGGCAACCCGCTGACCATTGGATTCTATCCTCCTGCCCTCACTGGTAATGGAACCAACGCAGACCGCAAGAAGTTGAAGGACCAGGATAAGGCAGTCATCCGGCAACAGGAAAATCGGCGCGATCTTTCTGATGCGCTCGCCGACCTTGATCAGAATGACCAGATGACGCAAGCAGTAACTTGGGAGGACGGTGTAAAGGGCGAGCGAGATGTCGAAGTCAACGACCCATTTACTCTTCCGTCTGCGGATGCCGCCGCGGATGCGAAGTACCTAGGTCATTTGGACCAAGCAACCAGGCTGCGCCGAAGTGTCCTGGAGCTTTTGCTCTATGCTGGCACAAGCGGATCACTACACACCCTTGACGGGTTGGAGCTTCGGCCATCCCTGGGCGAGGACAGTCCGGACATGGCAAAGGCATGGTCAAAACTGGAGGAGCTGGGAGTTCTCCGGAGAAAGGCGATTACCCACAAGGCATAAAGGTGGATTTGATTTTACTTAGCGGAGGAGCGAGTTTTATTAGAGCATTGGGGGCAGTGTCCATGGAGTTTTTTTGACTTGACTTAGGCTTGGCCATGCCTGGTGTTGGGTGCCTGTGCACAATCTGCATGATTGCATTACTGGAGTTTGATTTTGACTGCCTTGATGGGCATGGATTATAGCGATAGCGCTTGTGGATTTCAATACACAATTTTCATCCCAATGTCCTTATAAGCACGCGGACGTAGACAGGAATTTTCTCCTTGATCTTTGGATCCGCTGGACCCACCACACCGATAGACCTGAGGGGGAGGAACACGCACAGAGCCTCAAGATCAACATCCCAATATCCCAAACAGGCAAGAGCCAGCCAGCACAGCAGTGTCCTCTTAACCAGCTTGGTATAATTAGCAGCCGGGGGCGAAAGTCAAAAGGCAACCAAAGTACCGGGAACCTCCAGAAGGGTAACCCTCTGTGGAGTAAGACCCGACAATACGGTAAGCAGGCGCGGCCCGCGGACCCGACCAGCTGGGCCGGGGATATTTCGGGGCCTGATATGCGCTGGTTCGGGGCTCCGCTGCATTGTTACTACATTCTCATTGCTCGACGAGCCAGAAGTAAATGCACGGACTCGCATAAGTGTGTTTCGTACCTTTAGGCACACTGCTAGCCGTGCTTGCGACTAGGCTTTACCCGACAGAGGATCATCGTGGGGTTTTGACGGATTTGAACCGCGATGTGTCCCGCTAGGTTGCACGGGCTTTGACCCACGTCGTTCATTCACCGGTCTGTTCCAGGGGGCTGGTTGCTGGGCTCTGTCCATTGTCCCGGGACTTCTTCCCCTTTTGTCCTTGATCTTGCTTTTCAGAATCCTTTGGTCTGGAAGCGGCCGAGGCTCTCTTGTTTTTGCTGTAGCCTTATCCCACCCTCGCGAGTTACTATTTGAAGACGTCGCAGTGCCAGGGCTTGTTAAGTGTCCAATAACAATGACATCGTGTGGAATTAGCTACAGAGATCTGTTCATGGCTAGACAAAACTAGGGCCACTGGACGCACCGTGGACAGGAATCGCCGCTTGTAATCACTTCTCCTTACAAATTTCATGCAGTCTTAAGTCGATCTGTCAATTTACCTCCCATGGAGTCTCGGCTATTCCTAGAAACCAGCCGGACTCTCCCCTGTCTATTTCTCTCGGGCGTCCAGTCCGCCGATCTTGCATTACCTAAAGGCGGGCCTTGCTCGACTGAGCCAAACCCTTCGGTTCTATTCTATTTACCAGTTTCCCTTCCCTTCGAGATAACTTCTGAGCTTTATGATATTTTCTTCATCTATGTGGCCATCTTCACTGCGTTTATTTGGACCTCCAGTTCACAACCGCCATATCAATTTCATCTTCACCAATCCTGTGAGAACAATGGGTCGGTAAGTATCGAGTGTCACCCGGAAGGATCTCTCAATCGGAGACCCATTCACTGATATTACCTACTATTATTCAGCGGCGGATACAATTAATACTCAGAGTTCATGTTCCATGTTCCACTAGAGGGCTGCGCAAGCGTCGGAATTTCCCATGTAAGTCAGACCGGTCACCAGCTTTTCAGCTATTGCTCACATCTCATATAACTTAGAGACGAATGATCAAATCGACTTTACGCTTTCTCATTTTGTCTGTCCCTACATGAACGCTCGAGCGCGATATACGGTGGCGGGCTCATAATTGGTACCGAAACATAGAGCTGGCACCTGGACCGCAGAATGAGACTGCCAAGCTACTATCGGGGGTGAACATAATAGTCAAGACAAGATGAGACGGCTACGTAGAATGGCGTTATATAAATCCCCCTCGGTTCTCATTTTATTGGATATTTTCCCCAGAGATTTGGACTTCTTTCTCATCAAATTTCCGCGCATCGTTTCCCTCCGTACCAGATCCATCCCCCCGTTCTTCCGCCCTCTTCTTTCTCTTCTTGTTCCACCTGACGCAGCTCAAAAGCATACACACAAACAGCGAACCACCAATTATGGAAGGCACAATAATAGCCACATAAATTAATTTGTGTTCCGTATGCGGCTGGATGCCCAGATGGTCATATTTTCCATCGGGGATAATCTCGCCAGGTGTCCACGTTGGAACCAGCATGCTACTTTTCAATGTTGGGAGTGATGGCGACATGTATGGTGTATCGGTTGCCGCCCATGTAATCGCCCATGCACGGTGTGCGAGAATCCCACTTGTAATCACAGGCACTGGCTCAGTAATGCTTGCCGGAACGAGTGAGATGGTAGTTGGGGTATCGCCGTTCACGCTGCGAACGCAGGCCCCGTCGGCCAGGCTGGAGACAGGGAACTTAGACTTTTCTGTCCAGAGGTGAAAACCACTATATTCGATAGTGTGTTAGGATCCATACTCTGGGAGTGGACTTTGGCTCAAGAAAGAGGTAGGTAGAGCAAAATCTTACCTTGCACAGCAGTATGCTGTTGAAATCTGCTCCTCCAGCCACAACGTACCATATTCCGGAAGTTGGAACAACGTGGAGGTTGCTTCCATGTTGTAGTAATTCCAGTCACTGGGACATACAGTTGGGCGGAAAGCAAAAACGCTGGACGAGTTTCTATCCCACCCGGATGGCTGACAAGAGGAAAATCTTGGATCAGCCATGTTGGAAGCTAAAATAGTCATGGTCTCATAGGAGCCATTTGTAGATGTCGATGTGAGTTCCGTCTCCCATAACGAAGCGCAAGAGCCCCGTTGTACCCAGGGAGTGATGGCCACCGACGTGGTTGACGTAGTTGTCGACGGCGACTTGAACGAAGTAGATGACATTTTCTTCAGATGAGCGTAAATTTAACAATTATTGCCTGTGAATAAGAACGAGAAGTGTCCGAAATTCTTTTGTCGCATTATAGATCTCTCTAAGCACGACAGGCGGAAATATGAGGCTGAAAAGTTGACCTTCTCTATCCAGGCGGGGAAAAACCCCTTTATACGATCTTAACAGAACCGGAAAGACGCTATGGTCAACTGGGAAAGCATTTAATTTGCCAAGAATAGAGGCTAATAGGAAAGTGAGACATGGCCTCTCCCATTCCAACCAGCGCACTCGCTTACACTGGCGGCAACGCCAAGCCCAAGCTATTGGGCCAAGTCAGGTTCCAGCCGAAAGCAGTAAATGTGGGCCCGGTATGGGTTTGACAAAGAAGAAAACTAAGGTGTAGTGAGATGTTTAAGAAGGGAAACTAATAGGGTATGAATAATAGCATGAGTATGTTGAGAAATAAGGGGGAGATCGGATGAAAAGAGGATGGACATATAATTGATAGTAAATTCCGATAATATTTTCTGCAGGTTCTCGGGGGGATACTTATACCCTTTCTCTGAGAACTGTTTTCTGAAGGAATCACAAACAAAACTGTTCTTTCACACCGCTGCTCGGTGATCCATGAAAGAACTGGATAGATAACCCGAAGAGAAGGTATAGATGAGCAAACTGCAGATACGGGCTGATTATGCAGCCCAGTTTCGAATATCCTCATGAGCCTAGCTGGCCAATCGGCAGCCGTCGATCAGTGTTGGCGCCTTAGGATGAGGGCTCCCATATTCAACAGAGTACATAGTCCAGCGCGCTGCGGTCACATCCACACCGATCGGATTCATGTAAATTGAGCACCATCCACCATCCAACATCCACTAGCAATTCCATGATTAAATACTATTGAATGTAGTCCTCAAGACCTAGTAGTGCACATGTGCAGGCACACTAACAGACGTGATTGATTTGGGCAGTGTCTGAATCATGACGCGATATACTGTCGTGATTGTCAACAACTTCCTTTTTGTTTGCTGATGTCACCCGGAAGTGCGGGGCGACGCTGGACCCACTTCACTTCCATTTAACCTTCAGTTCTCACTCTTCCTTCCTTCCTCTTCATCACTCTGACTGTCACTTTAACCATGGCTACCCAAGTTATCAACCCCCAGGCGACTCCAATCGCCCTACCTCCTACTGGCCCAGCTGATGGCCCAGTTGAAGCTCCAGCAGTATCGTTCTTGGGCTCGAATTCCACAACCGCATCGGTCAATCTTGAAGCCAAAGCACCATTTTCATCTATCCAGGCTCTCTTTGATCATCTTCATGCCCACCCTGATGATGTTGCCAAGCTCAATGCAACCTACCCTCACCGGGGCGTCATCAAGACTGCTGCCCTACACAAACCCGAGTCGGATCAGAAGTTCACCATCGACCTCTCGCCCATGCGGAACTCTCGGATTCCAGAAGCACTACGTCAGTCCTTGGATCCTCATGGCCTAGGTGAGGTCCTCGACTTCTTCAACGCCATCAGTGCTTAGTATGTACCCTCCATTCTGGCTTCTCTGAGCCTCCTCGCTGGTACCGATCTGTCTGCGGCACACACCTCATACAATATGAACTATCGCCTATGTGACTACAATCCTAACACGGCTGCTCCCGAATCGTCGAATGGATGCGGAGCCCACACGGATTATGGAACCTTCTCGATCATCTTCCAAGATGGCACGCCCGGTCTGGAGCTCGAAGAAACCGCGGGTACGTGGGTTCCCGTCCCAGGGGATGCCACTGTTGTCTTGACTGGTTGGTGTGCCGTTATCTTGAGTGGTGGCCGAATTTCCGCTGCCAAACATCGTGTTCGCCGTGCCCCGGGCGTGCGTCGACTGAGTGCTGTCTTGTTCGTCGCCCCTGGCCTTGACGTGAAATTGAAGCCTATGGGTGATTCGCAGCCAATCAGAGCTTTATCCGACACCATCATGCTTGGAGACCTAGATGTTGCGACCTTCAAGGACGTTATGGGGAAGAGATGGCGATACCGAGAGGGCAACGAAGAGATGGACAATGCAGACTCTCTCTCCCAGGATAACGAGATTGAGAACATGGTATGGGGCTAAGCTTGCGGGGTAATTGAGCTAGCTCTGTTCATCAACCGAGACGGATTTATCATTCTCCATTCCTTGTCTTGCTGCTAATCGCTTATCTTTCTCTTTTCCTTTTTTCTAGCTAACAGCAGTCAGAATGGCAGATCTTGTTCTCATTATCGAAGTGGAACAGATCTATATGCATAATACCAGAGCCACACTAAGATAAACATTACAGAAAAGAGTCGCCTCTCACGTGTCGGTTGCTAACCTCTTTCGAAGTTTAGTTATTTCTTTTTTGAGACACTCATGTTTTTGATAAAGGCGCGGGAACGGGGGTGGGCCATTGAAGAACAAAACTTGAGGTCGAGGTCGTTGCCTAAAACTTTATTTCTAGGACTTAGTAGTGTGCCCGCCTAGCTCTTGTATCTAGTGCTAGGGGTATAGCATTCTATAAGACTACATTCGCTGATGCTCAATGGTCAAAGCGCCAGAAGTGCCGATTTCATTAGCACTTGCTGATAGCACCATGCGATGAAGCGGGTCCTCCCGCATTCCTTCAGATGCACGGACCGGACCACCCGTTATAATAGTAGTTTAGCCTCAATTCAAATCTTAATAACGCTTATTTCCTTCATCGGAATCGCATCATGTGATGGCGCCTAGGGATGAAGCAAGGCCCGCAGATGAAAAAAAGAGACGCATATGTACCCTACTTTACGAAGCTACATATCAAAACCATACGAAGCGCAAAGAGATCTTGTTCATATCTAGATTGCATTCAAGTCATAGTCTATATGTAGTCAGGTCTAAATAACGGTTCATATCTATTTTCCGAAGACCTTGTAGCGGCCCTCGAGAGGGGCGAAAGTCTTCTCGCCAGGCTCAGAGGCGGGAACACCGAAGACCATCTGGGCGTCCAGCTTCCAGGACTCGGGCAGGTTCCAAGTCTTGCGAACATCCTCGTCAATGAGGGGGCTGTAGTGCTGGAGGTTGGCACCGAAGCCCTCAGACTCAAGAGCGAGCCAGACTGCAGAATGTTAGAATCACGCTCAAAAAACACATTTCATGTTAAAGATTGGAAACATACCGAAGTACTGAGACATGGCGTTGGACTCCAGGGCGAAGGGGTCGAACTTGGCAGCGTAGATGGCGAACTTCTCCTTGATAGCAGCCAGGGACTCGTAGTCAACAAAGAAAAGAACCTGGTTACGGTGTCAGTCGCTACTGATTCAAGAATCAAAGAGCTACAAAGGTACTTACAGTTCCGTAGCCGGCCTTGAAGCCCTCGAGCTTGGGCTTGGTGCTGTTCTCGAACATCTCCTTGGGGACCTGGCCAGCAGCGACAAGACCCTCCATGACCTTGATAGCAATGTCCCACAACTTCTTGTGCTCCTCCTTCAACAAAAGAACGACGCGAGAAGTCTGAGTGTTGAAAGAGCTGGGAACGTGGAGGACAGAGTCCTGGACAATGTGATCAATGGCATCGTCGGAGATAGGGCTCTCCGCCTTGAGGTTGTAGTAAGTGCGGCGGGACTTGACCAACTCCAGAAGAGTGGTAGTAGCCGGGTTCTTGAACTCGATGCTGCCCATTGTGGAATAAGAGTAGAGATAGTAGATTAGAGGAAAGAAGAGAATGACAGTCCACAGAAGAGGCAAAGGCGCGGTTTTCATATCTACAGTGGGGTATTCTTAGTGCCTTTTTATTTATGGTAGACGGATGGGGCCGTGGGTATTAACACCAATGATCTGACTTGGAAACGGACTGTAGGCAGGGATTACAAATTCCCCTTTTTTGTCTTTAAAAAAATTCATAAGCAATTTTAGTCGGGTTCGCGGAGATTAACGCCGCCGATGCCTGAGTAAGCGGAACATGGGAAACTCGGGTTCTGATTGGCTGATGACGACTGGGTGGGTCCATCAATTCAGGAGTGCGGAAAATGGCCGCCGAGAACCGGCCGGACTTGGGCGCTCGGAATATGGTGAAGGCTCCATATGACACGTTTCGATAAGTGCCATCTATACTCTCCATGACTAAATCTTTCAATTTCAAAAACTCCGGTTGCGCTATTCGATTGAAGACCACGCTCCTCCATAAGCGCAGGTCTAGTCTCGCCTCATCCATAGACATGGTCTTTCCCGGGACATCCCCTTTGATGATGTGCTGCAGTTCCAAGGGAAGCTTTTCAGGAAGCACTTGGCCGACAAATTCTCTTCTGTCTTGGACTTCAATCATCCATTTGCGGGGGTACGTTGGGAGATGAGCTGACACGGCTGTGGCGGTCCACCAACGAGAATGGCGTTGGAAATTCGTAAGGTGGCGCTCATTTCGTGAGTGCAAAAGGCTAGATTGGTGTTTGTGATGTTTCCACAGTCGTAATCACATATCTCAGTGCTACAGATTCGCTGATCCCAGACCATAGGAGCCATCTGAGCAACTTCCCAAGTTTTGGTGAAAATTGTGAGTGAAATTATAAATATGCAATGTAACCCTCGTCCGACTTTGGAAAAGAGAAATATCGACCCGAAATGACTATTCATTCGGTTTATGGTAGAATACATAGACAAGATCAATCACAGTTGAAGAAAATATATATGCGACATCAAGGTCCCGAAAACAAAGGAATATCCAAATGATGAAAAGATATACACGGCAAGTCATGCAATGTTGAAGGCAAAAATTCGTGGCGAGCCTATATCTCAGATATAGCTCACCTTAACACCCATGCCGACGGTACCCTTCACTTTCTGCCACGCAGAGTCCGTGATCCTGCGGACTCGTTCGCGGACGTCCTGTCGGCTCATTGCCATCAAGATTCCGAGAACAAAGAGCAGGGTGCGCACTATTGATAGTGGGTTTCCGGAAATGCTCTGGATAATATGCTTGAACAGATTGCGAAGCGTATTGGCCACGGCTTGTGACTTGGCCCGTGGCTCAGGCTTGACCTGCTTCTTGGAGTTCTTCGAGCTAGACGATGAAAGAGCAGTCCGTGTTGTGGACTTGCTGGTGGGTGACTTATCCGAGGACTTGGAGCCCTTGCCCTTGGAAGCACCGCGAGCGCTGCCCTTCTCAATCCCGTAGTCGACCTCGCTGGTGTTGCGCTTGTGTCCGTTGGCTTTCGGAGGTGTGGCCGCGGCGGCTTCCTCGGCTCTCCGGCGTTCGTCGTCTCGTTGCCGATCGAGCTCTAGGTCTTTCTGGCGTTGCAACTCCGCGGCACGTAACTCTCCTCTTTCCTTCTCCTCCTTCAGACTTTCCAATGTTTGTAGGAACAGGTCTTTACGCTCTTCGTCTAGGACTTCGCTCAGGTTGATGAACTCGTGGGCGTACTCCCACTCCTCGTTACGGGGAAGGACATGCAAGACGAACAGCTCGATGATCCTCACACGGGCGGCCAGGTCCTTCGGGGTATCGGTTCCGCTTGTCGCGGAAATACGCTGAGGTGGAGAGCCACTGGAGGCATCTTGGAGACGGTCTGCAAGGTCAAGGTTGGGTTGTCCGTAGGATGATAGGTAGGTTTCGAGTCGTTGCTGGTTGAGGGCTTGAGAAGCAGACTGGTTCAGGAGTAGTGTGGCTCTATTCGGCGTTTGTTAGTTGCGATTCATATGAACGTGTATGAGAAGCGATCACTGACAAGTTGTACACAACCTCGGCGTCGACGGAGCCTTCCCGGCCCTGGTAGCCGACCTGTACGACAGTCTGCCAAATGCCTCCTTCCCGCACTTGTGTCGCAATTGACTTCCACTCCTTCTGGCCAAATTGATTCTTCCCTTCCTCCGCTCCGAGGTCCACTATTGCGCTGAGAAGCGTAATGTAGAGATTCCACACCTTGATTCTCCACGTGCCGGGGGCGGTGGCGATCGGCGCGACGGCCGCGGCCGCGGTCGAGTCACCATTCGTGTACTGGTCATCTTGTGATAAGGGTACATTGATAATTGGCTGAAGAGATGCGAGTGATTCTGGTAGACGTCGTGTAAGGTACAGCTGGGAAGCTTTCTTGTATGTCTTGGAGCAGAGCCTCGTGGGGCTGGTGGAGGACGGGGAGGTGAGCTTCGTATGTGTCGACATTGCGTCAGTCGTTGCTTTCCAGAAGCACGGAATGGCGCGGTATTCAAAACTGCCTAGTTCTGGATCATAAGGAGTAGAGAAGAAATGGATGGAGAGAGAAGAGAGGAGACCGTGGACGCCGGGAACTCTGCGATCGGCTGTCGTTTTCCCTCGGCTCGCCCAAGTCCGGGGTTGGTCACGGGATTGCTTCCCCAACGTGAACGTCTTTCGCAACGTTGTCAATTATACACTCCATTGCTGCTTATTTTGTATCATTGGCTACTTTTTACACCGCAATTTATTGTTTAGGATTTAACTGCACGGGTTCCTCATTAGGTCCATTGGAGTCGTGTTTGTATACCTGTTGTCTCTTCTAGGTGGTATAACCCACATGTCATTCGTATTGTCTAGGATTAATCTAGTTCGGCATACTAGCAGGGTTCCCTTGCTGTAATCTTTCTATTACTGGTCTTTTTCAATTACTCAAATTCGCATGGTCTGACTAGGAGCCCTGCCCCGGGGAGGCTTCAGTCAGTTTGTGCTACATAGAAAATGTAGCCTACATTGTCAGTTCCACGTAGCTCCGTAGCATCTTCGATCTCACAATCATTTACCTACCATCTACTTCCCTTCCACACATATGGTTCAATGGTTCTGACAAATATCCCATTTTTCATGATAACATCCACGGTGCAAGCTAAAGCTTCCTCGATATGAGCCATTGATCGTATTTCTCATCTCTCTTAATCAATCGTACTTCTCTTCGTTCTTTTCTTTAGCTCCTTTCACTCTCGACCGCGCATCTGCCTTTTATCTCATCAATTTCAAACAAGATGGATCTAACGCAGCACAACTTCGCTTACTACCTTCCTTGGCTTCTGAAAGAGCTGACCCAAAGCTACTTCGTTTCTATTGACTTTGAACTCTCTGGTATTTCCCTGGCCCCCTCCTCCCAGATTCCGAAGATCCAGACTCTACAGGAACGTTATTTGGAAAACAAAATCGCCGCGGAGAAGTACCAGATCATTCAGATTGGTCTGACAATCTGCAATGAGGATGCTGCAAATGGTACTCGGTCTGGTGGAATTGTGTTTTCTTGTTGACTGCAATCTGACTAGTGGTAGGCACTTACAACCTCAGACCGTTTAACATCTGCTTGAGTCCTATCGTGGAGCAAGCCCTGGACATCAACCGTGACTGGACATTTTCAAGCCTGGGTACGTCCTTCTTCTCCGATAGTCCAATTTTACAGTAATATTGATCCACCTACCCAGCGGTCGAGTTCCTATTAGGACATGGGTTCAGCATCGATGCCCTCTGCAAACAGGGTGTCCGCTATCTCTCTCGCAGCGAAGAACAAGAGGCCCGGGAGCATATGAACACGAGGCTCAACCGTCTTGATACCTGGGACATACAGGACATAGACCAAGTTTCTTTGGACTTTCTAGAGGAAGTTCGCGCCTTGCTTGATAACTGGGTGGCTAGTTATCAGGGCCAAAGACGCAATGAGCACTTAAACATCCCCCCTTTACCTCGTTCTTACAAGGCCCAGCAGCGCAGAACTCTGCCCAGGCATCTGAGCAATCAGCAGAAATACCTCGTGCACAAAGTGATCAGGCTCGAGTACCCTGATCTGAAATCTCAAACCCGACACGGATACGTGCAGGTCACCGAGACCACCGCGGAGATGAACAGACTGGCCATTGAGCGAAAGCGGGACGATGCCAAAAAGAAGATCCAAAAAAGCATTGGATTCCGCTGGATTGCCGAGGCTTTGGTGGGAGGAGACCTGACATCCCTCGAGCCAAGCACCTTTGCTCCCCTCCTGGCTCAAGCTGAGAACCCGAAGTTCACGTTGGAGGAGCTCTCCTCCGGACTGAAAGACTGTCTCAAAGAGAACCGAGTGGTATTCATTGGACACAATTGCTTCACGGATCTGGTTTTCTTTTACCACCACTTCATCGGCAAATTGCCCCAGACCTTGGAAGAATTCAAGCTTCTGGTTCACCGTGTATTTCCCCTGGTGATAGATACGAAGTATCTCTTTACTTACGACGAGGACTCCTCCAACGCTAAGTCTTCGCTGGCAGACGCCAACAGAGAGTTTGCGAAGGTAGCTTTTCCCAAGATCAGTGAGTCACAGAGAACTCCGAACTGAGAAGGTAGCGAATAACTGACCTGTATACCAGTTATCGACCCCGTGTATTCGAAGTATGCATGGTCCGAGAGCCTGCACGAAGCGGGCTACGACAGCATGCTCGCCGCCATCTTGTTTATCAAGCTCTCTGCCCAGCTTCACAAGGAGGGAAAGATACTCAACAACACAAAGGGAACTCTGAGGGAGATGAATATCGAAATCGCTAATGGCCAGCCTTTCAATGTGCAGGACCTATTCAACAGTGTCATGAATGGCCGTTCTAAACGAGCCCAGAGCAGGTCAAACGATGACGACGACCTTCCGGGCAAGGGCGACGACGGCAAGGATTCCGATGTTTGGTCTCCGGAGGAATCACTTCAGTCTCTCGCTGAATCTGCAACCCACGCAGTTGCTGATATGGTTCGCAATGGCTTGCTGATCCCTCGACTCGACAGCGAGTTTTGGGACGTCTACGGCAATAAGCTGCGAGTGTTTGGAACGCATGAGGGAGTCGTGGACCTCGGAGAGATAGCTCGCGAAGCCACCTAGGTTTCTTTAGAGGGTGGAAAAGGGAGATTGGATGAAATGATCGGATGAAATGATCAAATGGCATTACTGAACATAGCACAAGGCATGGTGTTGAAATGTTCGCCGCATCTATCTAACAGTACACCTTGGTAATAACGAAGGTACCGCTAGCGAATCAGCAGCAAAGCTCGCTCTAGACACCGCTAAATGATCGACTGGTCGTGGGGTTTACTAAACGCAGTGACGATAAGGAAATGGGTGCCTGAAGAAGAGAAAATCTGAAAAGCGGGCGCCGCGTTTTTATGTGGCCCGGTGTCCGCTAGTCCCGATTGGGTGTAGCGCGAACGTGACTTCGCTGGAACTTTTCTCGGAGTTGCAAAGGGTGTTGAAACAGCAACAACAGTGTCTATAACGATGTCGTCAGGTCCCAATGGCGCCCGGCGCATAGCGTCCCTGCTGCGTATGTACGATTGCTGATGAATCGGAATAGCCACTAACTCCCTCTGATCCAGGCCCGTCAAAATTCGACTCCGGCGTGTGCAAAAGCTGTCAAGAGACCCTCGGCCGCCGCACCTATGCCTCTGCTGCGGCTGCGACCCCATCAGCGACTGCTGCCCCTGACACTACTTTCCCCGTTTTGAAGCCCGTCTACACCATCAACGCCGGCGTTGTCCTCTCGCGTCCGCCCCAGATCACCCGCGACCTGGAGCCGTTCGAGAAAGCCTTCCATTTCTACCAAAAGCGTCTGAACGAGCGTCTGGCGCTGCCTTTCACCAAATACTTTTATTTCAAGCGTGGAACGCCCGCCGACGTGGACTGGAAGAAGAAGGTCGCGGAGCGTCGGACCCCGGCACGCGACATCGGAAAGTACAACGCGTACGCCACCGACGCATGGAACGACGAGCTGCTCCTCGGGTCCAAGGAATCCGAGCCGGAGTACCAGATAGAGAAACTGGTTGATGACGCCGAGTCCACAGCCAACGCCACCTCCCAAGATACCAGCAAGAAGGAGGAGATCCCGCGCCCATTCTCGCGGGTGACGGAGGCCGACAAGAAGGGAGACTTCAAGAGCCTGAACCGTTTGCTTCCCAAGACTCTTTACTTGCTTGTTCAGTCGAAGGAGGGATATTGGAAGTTCCCTAGCTCTCCTGTGGTTGGAGAGGAAACCATCCGTGAGGTGAGCTTGCGCCTACGCACATTATGCTCTGGGGGACAGTCATTCTAATCAAATTCTCGATATAGGCCGCTGAACGTACCCTCGCCGAGTCCGCCGGTGTCAACATGAACACCTGGATGGTCGGCTACCATCCCTACGGTCACCACGTCTACACAAACCGCAAGCCCCACATCGACAAGGCCACCGGAGCCGAGTCCCACGGCGAGAAGACCTTCTTCATGAAGACTCGCATCATGACCGGCCAAGCCGATCTGTCCGCCAATACCCAGAACCTGAAGGACTTCAAGTGGTTGTCCAAGGACGAGATCGCGCAGCACGTGCTGCCGAATTACTACAGCTACATCAAGAACATGTTGGCCGACCGGTAAACGGTTACTGGGATTGATAAGGAGCTTATGAGGGAATTGGAACCGAACTGTTTGTGTATGAACAAAGGGAAGCGCGAGCTTGTCGTAGCCAGGAATTGGCGATTTGTTGCCTGGTATGAAGCGTTATCGACGCACTGCATATACTCTTACCGCGCATGCCATGTATAACTAGATTTTTTCTGTACTGTCAATCGAATTTATTCATCGAGATCGGATCTGTAAATACATAGGCCTGTCCTTGGACTCCGAACGCCTCGCCATGAGCACTAGAAAACCACACCCGCCACATCTTATGAAAAAGTAAATCATTTCAAGTTGAACTTCTGACCTTGCACAACGGGCTGGTCCTTGGCCGATTTGCCAGCCAGACTCTTGCCGCACATCGGGCAGGCTGATAAGTTCCATTAGCAAAGACATCGTGAAAAAAATCATCACAAGAACGTACCATTCTTCTGATAAGCACAGCGCTGGCAGTACTTCTTTCCCTGCTCAGTCTTCGTCTTGCAAAGTTCGCAAGACGAAGCATACGCCGCATAAGGATTCTTCGCCTTCGAGCTGAGAAGTTTACTCTGCGCGGGTGTCAGTCATCAACCTGAATATCAGCACAGAGCACATCCAGAAACACACCTTGCCGATACCCATGTTGCCCAGGGTTGATTTAGCCTTTGCAGCACCGGCCGAGGAGCCGCCTAGAGTGGTGGACGGGGAGCCGTAGTACATGTCATTCTTGCGTTTGACACCCGGCGTGGCGAGCTCGGTGGTCTTAAGCTTTTTCTGGCATTTGGTGCACACCATGGCTGGGAGAAGATGCTGGTTGAGTTGAAGTTGATAGACGTTCGGGTGTGATGTGATCGCCGTGCCGCCACCGCCTGGTTTGCCAAGACATTTGCGGAGTGTAGATGGAAAGACCTTCAAGGCACGGGGGACTCGTTAAATTAGGTAAAGGATTTCTCGGTCATTAGAGCTCAGCAACTTCTTGATCTACTACTTGTACAGTAATAGCACAAATATGGACTTCATTCGAGAAAATTAGATTGGGTATTAACATCAAACAAATATGGGTATTTCGTATACAGCAGGCCCGAACCAGCCCAGGGATATCGCCTTGAAACAAAACACGTAAACACGTCAAAGAATCGCAGTCCAAAACATGATTGTCCTATATCTTCATATCTTGGGACGGCATGTTTGGATAGCATCGCTTCCATCCACCTTCATCCTCCATCGCGACCTCCACTAACACCTCTTACTACCGTCAAGGCTGTTATTAAGGTTGCTGCTGAGGCTGCTAGTATGTCTGCTGATATGGCTGCTGGTATGGCTGCTGCATATATGGAGGATACTGCTGTGGATTTTGTGAGAACTGGGGATAAGTCTGATATGCCGGGTATGTCGGGTATCCAACAGGCACAGGACCGTGTTGCATTGGCCCGGAAGGCTTGTCGCCGACCTTGCTCCAGTTCATGCAGCAGAGGAGGACGCCGACGTAGATGCCGACGCAGAACAAAAATTGGCCGACACTCTCAACGGCTGACAGATACCGCGGGAAAAACAGGCTGTCCGGGATGATGTAGCGGATGTAGACGACTGCCCACATCATGTTCAGGGCGAACCAAAAGACGCTGCCGATTATGAAAGCAATTGCTGGCATCTGTTGCCATATTTTAGCATGCATTCCAAAGAGGGGCTGTATCGTCAACACACTTTCGAGACAAACCTGTGAGATCCAGCCTTCACAGTCGCAAAGATGGACCAGGCGAGCATCTCCACTGAAATTACCCAGTAGAAGATAACCTGTGCACTCTGGATATTGCTATAGATTCCTGAAACATCGAATCCATATGAATTCTGAATCATATTCACCTCAAATACCACATACAAGGCCCAGGTAGCAATGGCTAGTGCTACCGCAAGGGCCAGAACGATCCAGTGAATGATAACCACAGCCGCGTATGGCTTGCCCGTATCAGTGAGCCGATCCAACAGCTTATGAATGACGTTGTAGAAGACGAAAATGAGCAGGCATTGACTCAAAAGAAAGAAAAAGACATTGAGGAACAGGCCCATCACATAGTATTGGGTGACTACGGCGTCGGCTAGGTGGAGACTTTCCTCGATGATGGTAAGGATCATAGCACTGGAGTCGTTCCGTATTAGCATCTGTCTCTGCATAATAAAAGCGATTCACATACACCAGCCAGGCAATGAGAGAAGGGAGCACGCCCTTCAGCGCGCCTCTGTGGTTGCGGATCAGACATGCCCAGACGACACCGCAGATCAGGGCGGCCAGTGTCAGAACGTCGAAAGAAAAGCCGACAATATACAGAGACTTGGTTTCGTAAAGACTGTCTGTGCTGAGCGTGACCTTGTCGTTCCACACCGAGGGACCATTGAAATACCGGTTATAACGGGCGAACAGCCCGTGTGAAGGCGACATGCTGAAGCGCGTCTAGATTAATGTAGATCGTGTTGTAAAACGCGTCTCGAACAACACTTTGAATTTCCCTCCAGCTATTGTTAGTAGAGGGAGATTTTCGCGCAGGAGTAAACAGCTCGCGTGGCGAGTCACCAAGGCTTTAAGTCTCATTTCCAGAAAAATTTCCGGAGCCTCTCGGGCACTTAATACGACATTGGCCCGGATGGATCGCTCGCTATTGGTTGGATTGTCGTTTATGGCAGTGCTGAGGCGCCAACCTCGCCCGGTTGCTTAGCGCCGTCTCGTGGCTTTGGCCCCCTTTTTGCCTGGACACCTCATCACCGATTTATTCTTAGGCTCCCCTTCATTTCCCTCGCGTGTACCCATTGGCAACTTATGACAAAAGGAGATCTTCGAGTATCAAAGGACTCATAGGAGGTGTCATCGAGCTGGGGTCGAGATCGGAGCCGAGTAGCGCGCATGCCAACGCAGAGATCGCAAAGATGGACTTGGTGGAGACACTAAAGTAGCCTCGCAAATCATCGTACCTATCCCAAGGAACCTTAGAGTAGTTCGAAGTACGGTGTACGGAGCACACGGGGACAACGCTTTCATCAAGAGCGGCATCTCCGACCACTCCACATCTCAGTTCAGCCGAGTGCAGAGGGCAAACTGTGGCTTAGCATCACCGCCACCTGCAGCTGGGAACCCTGTGTCCTCTAGGGCTGTCAGACCACGCCTATCACCTCCCGATCAGGGAAGATCCTAGATCCCGTTCAGCTCAGCTCTCCCCAGCGACGTGTATGGACCCGACCGATCGTCTACAGATCCCCGAAGTATAACTACGCTCGCCACTGCGTCGTACGTCGCATGTCGTACGGCTCACGAGTGGGCAGAGATTAATCTGCCGAGTCTGGAGACCCGTCTCAGCTCTCCATTCTGGATTCTGGGTCCCGTTGTCCCGTTGTGCCTTTGTCCCAATTCCCGGTTCCCACGTTTCCCTAGGATGCACGGCGTGATGGATCCCCCCAGTATGCATGATGACCCGCCACTTGCAAACTGGTCCGCGCCATCGTGAAGAATTTTGGCGATCCTCAAGTCCAGGTGGTCCCAAAGTTCTTTGGGAGCCCGGCAGCCCGGTCGTCCCCCATTCACTGCGGGCTCTGCTTTTAGGCTCCTTTTTTGCCCTCCCCTGAGCTCTAGGGGGTACTATTCATATAAATAGTGACTAGTCACGAACTAATTTCCTCTCGTGGTCCAGTTCGCTTCCTCGGATATCGGGGGATTCTTTTTGGCTTTTTTTCTTTTCCTTTTTCTGTCGCGTTCCTGTTGATGCCGCATGCGGCATCCTATCCGCAAAACGCGCATCGTCGACTTCCTATCCAAATATATTCCCCGCAAAGTCCAATTCCATTTATTCTGTGCGCTTCGTTTCTTCCTATTTCCCTTGAAACGAAGCTGTGGACCCCGTGTCTCAAACGACGTTCCCGTTGATGATCCGCACAGACGCCGGAACTCGATTACATTACAGCAAGCTCAGTCCATTGACTCAGCCGTGTTCTGTCAGCACGATCGGTTTCAATTCTCTATAAAAAGAACAAGAATCCCAGAAGCCGTTAGCAAGCTCTAAAGTCACAGCTAGCCCACCATGCCACCAGACGGCTCCTCCTTCACAGCCTTGAACCTACCACCAGGCTTCACACTCCCGCAATGCATGGAATACTTCACTCTAACAGCGGGCCCGAACACCGATCTATGGCGCAAACCCCCAAACAGTGACACATCCACCGCGCCCATCGTATTCACCTCGCTACGGCAGCCATTCGTCGTAGCCGAAGTCACCATCAGCGCTGACTGGGAAATGGAATGGGACCAGGGCGGCCTGGTCATCTTCGCGGGCGCAGCACCACAGTCCTTCTCCGGGGCTCCGGCAATCACCACAGCCCGCCGATCGGGCGCCCGGGCACCGTGTAAATGGGTCAAAGCCGGCATGGAATTTTCATCTGGCACTGTCAATGCATCGTCAACTAGCGCGACGGGAGACGGTGCCGACTGGTGCCTGTCGCCGATCCAATCTACACATGGACCCGGGACTCAGTCTCTACGCATCAAACTGGAGCGTATCGGTCATGCGCTCTGGGTTTGGTACCAGGTCCCGTCCGCTTCGCCGTTTGTGCGGAGTCCGGGGGCAGTGGGATCCTCGTGGACGAAGCTGCGGGAAGTCAATTGGTTCTTTTACGGGGTTGAGGACAAGTTCGTTCATGTGGGGATATACGCGAGTCGGCCTATGAATCTGGGCCGCGGCGAGACTATGTTTGACGCGATGAATGGGTTAAGTCTGGATAGTTCGTTGGCGGCTGGCTTCGCGGATGGGCTGGTGGTGGAGTTTGAAGATCTAGAAATCTTTTAGCAACTTGCGAGTTGGTGTCCACTTTTTCAAGGGGTATCTCTTCAATTTCTGTTTCTATTTATCGCATCTTTGAGCTCGTTTTGTTTCCCTTTACTGTTCCCATGACGTGATACCTATTTCCCCCCAGCGTTTGAGCAAGCGAGTCTTGCGGCATGATCGGAGTTTATCTGGTATTTTGTTGTGACTGGATCTATACTTCCCTATTCTGTTGATCTTAATGATTTTACATAATTGAATATTGAGATTAATTTGCTATATTGACTTCACTAATTGATGCTCGTGGTTGAAGATGGTGTTTGGAGGTTCCAGGGGTTGCCGGGCCTAGCACCCTTGAACACATACAAAGTGAGGCTCCAGCCTTGCATAGAGCACAGCAAACATTCCAAAAATAGCTTGGATCTTCCAAATAAGGATTGTAAAATGCTGCTGGGCTTTCATTTCTGACAAAACTAGCTGTTTGAGGAACATGTTGCGATACGTAAGACAAGTTGACTCAGCCAAGATAAACTTCAAAAATATGCATGTCATCGTCTGGAATGCCTGAATTAACTCCAATAAGCGTGGATATGATTATACATAGGCATGCTAGCTGCAGATAAACTAAGTACCATACATGTGTACTTTTTATGCTGTCAGGTTGGACTGAGGTGTTGAACCTGGAGCTCTCCATGTCATCCAACCCAAGGGATAGAGCCAATACCACATACAGGTGGAATGACGAGCTTAGATGTATACCAAACTTGACATTTTCTTGTCAACTTAGTACATAGTTGATTACCACTGAAAATAATGTCATATTAAATAGTATTTTTCCTGTCCGAATGTTTTGTGTCCGGATATGATACTCTTCCCAGGTAGCCGAACCCAGCTATTGCAAACCACACAGCCACGACGTCGCACCACAAAATCAATTCACCATACCGACTTTCTATACAGATGATTACATTCTGCAAACACGGACAATCTCACCTAAGATACTCACCAGACGAATTCGTCTCGTTGATGTCATGCTGCTGAGTCAGCCGGCCCATGCGGGAGCGCGCTACCCGAGGTCCCGGAGCTAGTGCAGGCTCTGCATTGGGGATGCCGGGGACGTCGAGCTCGAAAGACTGCTCTCAAAGCTGGGGAACCGAGGGCCGAGCTAGGTAGATAGGCTAAATGAGATGGCTAGATTTACCTGGTAGAGCATTGACCGTCAATGGAGCGCGGTCGTGTCGGTAGTTGATCGAGAAGTTTCCACGTAGCAAACCCCGGAGACAGGAGGCATCGAACTCGGGGCAGGGGCGACCCCGGATGGAGGAGCTGTCTGTGAAGATCAAGCTGGAGATCCAGGAGATAGCTTGACAGTTCCAGCAGAAATAATGCGTAATGCGTTCTCTAGGGAATCTAGGAAAGAGCCATACGTGAAATGCCCAGGAGCGGAAAAATGCGAGAGCAATTAGGAAATTGGTGGTACAAGCCGGAGGACTCAACACACAGAGTTTTGGTTTGGCTCTTAGAAGTTGGGATAGGTAGGCCACATAGACTCTATATGTACAAAAAGGAAAAGTTGTAGATGACGCTGAAAAGTAGTACATGGTAATACATCACGACCAAATACCCTCCCCGGCGGACAAAAGAAAAAAAGAAATATTTTCTATTTGTTCCTTCAAAGCCCTTGGATCAAACGCTTAGACGTACTTGCACATCATGGCAACCATGAGATCGAAGAGACCCATGGCCTCGACGAAGGCGAAACCCAGAATGGCGTAGGAGAAGAGCTGGCCACGGAGAGCAGGGTTGCGGGAGACCGACATGAGGAGAGCGGCGAAGACGAGACCGATACCGATACCGGCACCACCGAGACCGATGGCAGCGGAACCCATACCCAGGTTCTTGGAGACCTCAACCATGGCGGTGGCGACCTCGGAGGAGTACTGGCGGCGGGCAGCGGACTGGAAGGCCTGGCGGGCGTTGGCCTGGAGGACGGTGGGAGCGGCGACACGCTTGGGGGCACCGAAGGTGGCGACGGGGGCCTTCTGGGAGGTGAAGGTGCGCTTGGTGGCAGCGTTCAGCTGGAAGCGGGCAGCGGGGCGAGCGACCTTGGAGGTCTGGGCCATGGTGGAAGCCAGGCGCTGGGCGAAGACACGGGAGGCCATTGTGATGGTTTGTTGGTTGATATAGAGAGGAGTTGGGGAGGGTGGATTGGTATGGGATGGGAAGGAACTTTTCAGGGAGAAAAAGCTGGGAAACTACGGAAGAAGGTCGTCCCAGGACATAAATACTCTACGGCACAATTTTCGCCCGTCCGCCTCCTAGTCGAGGCTAGTGCGCGTGTGAAAAAAGCCCTACTCTGTGCGGACGCCGGAGTATTTCACTCGCAAATCACCTGTACTTGGAATGCTCGGGATGTGTTTCTACCTTGTTTTACGCTTTTCTTTCATTTCTTACGCGTATCGCTGCCTTTATTCGGGTTCGTCCGGGTTCTAGCTGATACTCGGCTCCACTTCCTATGAGACGGATTCCCTTCCCAGGAAGCAAATAAATTACCTCTAGCTTCTTCCCCTGCATGTAGTTTCAATTGCTTCTCATGCCTCCCTAATAGGCCCTTTCCTCACTGTTAGGGGGGAGGAAGAAAGGGCAAAGGCAATGGGCAGGGTAAGCTCAAATTTTTTTTTTCACCTTCCCTGCAGTGGATCATCCGCATGTTCCAAATGAGTGGGTCCGATCCACCGATCCACTAGATAGAGCGCCAATCATAACCCTCTCGGGCGTCTTAAACGGAGCCTACTTTTCTGGATTTCTTCCCGGCGTCGCCCAAACCGGGCCGACTCGGATTCCAGGTCCACCAACTACAGATTCACTGGGCAACCAACTTTTCCTCGGGCCACTTTGGTCGGCTGAAAGGAGGGTCGGGTGGATTCTCCCATCCTCCCTTTCCTCGGGAACACACTTCACCGAGCGGTCTAATTGGGAACACGTAATTCAGACACCGCATCCCGACACCCACCCCCTTCGGTATACTTGTTTGTCCGGCTCGTCACCGTTCCCTGCCATTATCGTATGCAGCTGCACCCGGGCTAGGGGTTCCTTTTATAGGTTTCCGAGTGTGAGCGAAAATTTCAGGGAAATAATTAAAAATGATGGATACGAGCTTCCAGTCCACCCGCTTCCCTCGGCCTCCACCCAGTGGATTCCGGGACCACCAGAACCGGATAACACATAACCTGTCCGGGACCCCCCGGCCAGGGAACCGCTGGGATATAAACATGCCTATAATAACAAGCGCCTTCCAAAGATGCTTTCTGATATCTTCTACATGCGCCGGAGGGATTTCTACACCCATGCGAGGATTTATAAAAAAGCCCGCGTAGGGGTCCGGAGGCTGAGAGAGGCTCAGTCGGGAAAATCGAACTGCTGCAGCCCGGCCTTGGCGGACCCACACAAGCTAGATCGGACGACTGCCGGCACCGTTGGCGAACAGGCCCTTGCAAATATCTCAGCTCCTCGGAACTGCATATCGAGTGAATGAGAGCTATCATCTGAATGGCAACTTGCCTGGGTGATTTGTCTCTTTATCGAGGGTCGTAGATGCGATGTTACAAGTGGCACAAGCCACGAGATGGCGATCCAGGGGCCGAGTATCGGGTGTTTTAGGATACGTGGTAAATTACAATACGGTATCTATCGATCCGACTCATCGAGTCATCATCGATCCGCCGTGAGGTCATCCGATGGAATTGCTTGGCGGAGAGAGAGGCCAGCTGGCACTTCCTGGTAAGGCTTGAGAGAGTATTGACATGTGCGAAATTAACACCCATGCAGGGGCTCAACGTCTGCGTGATGTGTTGCATAGCAACAAATCTCGACTACGGAACTACGGGACTACGGAGACCTGATGCCGGAATCACCTGTCCCTGTCTCGGACTCGTACATACGTGATGAATCCACTTGATGGAGCAGTGGATCCCATCCTCACGATACAGGGGGTTGTATCAGCTCCGTCAACAGGTACCAACACAGCTGAATTTCAAGAGACGCGTCGTGGCAGAAACCAGCCGATTCAGGGTAATTTCGACCCAGGTTCTGCTGGGTCAGGTGCTTGTTTCTTTCCTTGAGCTGCCCTGAAGCTGGATACGGCTCGTACCGCACGGTTAGCTTTTACCTTCCACGAGGAAGCTACAGCAGATCTGGCATTCCAGAGACATACTGTAGATGTGAGGATCGTAGGGATACAATAGGCATGCTAGAGATGTACATACATGCTTGGAGCTGGAGCTGAAGGTGAAGCTCCCTGCGTCGATTCAGGAGTACGGACCCATAGGGTGCCTGGGGCGACTGTGCCATACCCTGAAAGCCACAACGGGGATTCTTTCCAGACTCAACACTAGTATCGGTGCCACACACATTGTTTCTGAGCTTTCCCCAGCTTGCTTCTTCAGATCCACTTCTTGCTACACCCAACGGGCATAGCGTACCTTGCTAATGGCTATTTTTGAGATTATTTTTGTGCGATCCTTCCCCAATATTATATGGAGTATGCCCAAGCTGGCGATGGAAAGGCCCGGTAGACCCACGTTGCCAAGTTTTCTGTGGCCTTGTCAATTTTGTGGTAGTATATACCAAAAGAGCTTGGTTTCATGCTGGCGTAGTTCAGTTGATAGCTCGTAGCCGGATCCCTATTCCGGGAAACCACAGCCAGTGCAATTGGAAGATGAAAAGCACATTCTAGGACATGTTGTTTCAGCGAACCTCATTGGCTAGTATCAAAACAACCTGTTCTCTCACGTGTCAAGCTGATTGGCCGTTGATATTCCCTGGCATATGTATTACGCCGTCAGCTATGTTAGCTTGTTCATCTCACTGCCCTAGTCCATAACCCCCTGCAGAACATGTATATAAATAACCTCTCAAATTGCCTCCATGGCTGTATATTGTCTGCTTCCTCCAAACAACGTGACCGTTTGATAGCGGGACGTAGTTTCCATATTTTGTTTTCCAAGTCATGAGTCGCCTGGACCACAGACACGCCATTACCTACAATAGCCGCAAGGACAATACTTGCACCAGCCCCGAGAGCAGTGCTACCTACTTTAGCACCAGGTAAGTCTTCATGCCAGTGACTACTGCAGTTCGTCCAGGGAATGGTATATCCGGCCCCGTGGGTGAATCACTATGCACTTTTATCAATGGGCTTGATGCAGGCGTGCCACTATTTGAGACGATGAGCCGGCTGGTTGTCAGACCTGCGACATGGCCGATAGAGAAGTACGGCCGGAAGGGCAGATAAATAGGCCAGGTAGGTGTCTCTTCAAACCACGCGGGACTGCAACCCCGTCGACTCGATTGTTCAGGATGTAAGTAAGCAACTCCGAGTAATGCACACCTGGACTCGCCAGATCCTTCCTTCGCTTCAACACCGCAACATCGTCCTGTATGGAATTGCTGAGAATTGCCGATACACTCAGACTCAGAGAGGTGATTCTCCCCTTCGACTCTCTACTTTGATACTTTTTACTTGAGACGTATAATAAAACCACATCGATGATACAGTAGATGTGGTTTGTTTAATAATATCGGAGTCTTCATTTGCGACTCTTGAAGGACCTCATATTAGTTCACTGTGAACACCCGCTGGTATTTTCCATCTTCTCATCTCGGTCATTCCATCGCAAGCCCCGCCTGCTCAATTGAATCTTGGATCAACTTGCTTTCTGTCTTTAACTCTGCCTGGCCTTCCTTCAACATCGTTTGCCACTCTTCACTCTTCTCCCGACAGTTCAGAGCAGAGTCATGGCAAAGGTCAACAGCGAAAGCGACTGGACCCACGATATGTCCAGGGGACAGAAGCAAAAGATGACGAAGATCGTGGAACACAATTTCGACCTTGGCATCGAGCTTGAGCTGCATGCTACCAAGATCACAAAACTTGGAGTTCATTGCCAGGAACCAAGTACCGGACTAGAGAAGAACAACATGGACGTCAATACGAAGTTTGAAATGCAGACCGATGAGATTAAGAGTCTCAAGGGTCAGACTGAACAGCCGCCCACAGTCCAGAAGGGTCAAGAGAAGCAGGTCTCGAAGCTCAAGGATAATACCGAACAGGTCGATACAGAGCTTATAAAAGGTTCTTCACCAGAAGAACAAGCAAACCGGTTCAAAATACGAGACGCACACCGAAGAAATCGGGAAACTCGAGAATTATTTCAACGAGAAGCTCAAACTACATACAGAGGAATTGCTGGAGCTCAAAGAACAGAACGCAAAGCTCCTTAAATTGCTGAAGGCTTATAGCGTCGACATTAGAAAGCTGAAGAAGCCAGGCGAAGATTTCACGAACCAGTTCATCCAGTCCAGCCAGACAGTCACAAGCGACCCCAAGGACACTATCACTGCGGAGATTCTACATTGGTAAATACGAGAAGACCTTGCGTGATTTGATGCTGATGTTAATGAAGCAGAATAATCCGGACGCACGAAGTGAGAAGGGACCATACGAGTGGCCCCAGAAAGGCATCGCCCGCGAGAAGCATCTTGGAGAAGAGAGTGTCTACCGACGATATGAAGAGGAGCAATCTTGGACTTGTTGGGATGCAGTATATTGGAACTTGGTAGCGGCTCATCTGTGAAGTGTTCGCGAGGCTTTGAATGGGCTTAAAAAGAGCATAAATGTGGGAGTCTCTCCAACAATTCGGACGTATGACGAAGTTGCCAAGGGAAAGAATCTCTCTGTATCATAGAGACATAAAATGCAACCGCCATAAGAATTGGGATAAACGGAACAAAAGGCATTGGACCATTGAAGATTAGCCTACAGTAAGTGCCCGGTGCTCTGAAGGTAAGACTGATCAACATGGGCTCCTAGTCTATAAATGTGTTGGCCGGCGCCACGAGGTTCCACAATCAGCCACGATCAAATTTTGGGCGAGAGTATGCTGGTCCTTGTAATGAGTTACCTCCGCATTGTCAGCCTGTAACCGGGAAACCGCTGTGTTTATGGCATTATACTGTGCTCAGTGAAGTAGTTTTAATTTTGACCCGGCCGAAACAGAGGCTGTGTACTTTTAGAGAAGATTATTGACATTGGTTCGCGGGGCTGGACATGTTGGCCACGAAAATATTTGAATGACGACTGCTAAGAAATGACTATATAAAGCATACTCTATGGTCTTTTTTGAACATTTATGCGAGACTCTCTCGCCCTTCTCCTTTAAAATAGGCAATATGCTTCCAAGAGCCTACATTATTGGTCTACTTTGCTCCACGCGTGTCGCGTACGGAGCGTCCGATTCTCCGAACAGCGCTTTCAAGCCTTATACAATCCAAGCACCAAATATCTCCGCAACATTTATCTCCTATGGAGCTCGTCTCACTTCTCTACTTGTTCCGGACCGCAACGGCGCGACCCAAGACGTTGTACTGGGCTACGACTTTCCAGAACAATAATTGAATGACACAGAAACGGTACACACCTATTATGGCGCCGTCGTCGGCCGCTATGCCAACCGTATCAAGAACGGCACATTTACGGTTGACGGAAACAAGCATCATGTTTCACTCAACGGTCCGCATGGCCTCTACACCCTTCATGGGGGTACCGTCGGATACGACCAGCGGAAGTGGAATGTGTCCAGCTCCACATGGTCGTCAATCACATTCTCCTTGTACGATCCCGGCTTCGAAGGTTTCCCCGGAGACGCTATTACAAATGCCACCTACACAGTATCGTCTGGTGCCGATGGTCTTCCCCAATTGACGACGGAGTTGACTTCCATATCACTCACACAAAAGACGCCAATAATGCTTACAAACCATATTTACTGGAACCTGAATACGTTCCTTGCGCCAACGATTGAGCACGATACCTGGCTTCAACTGCCACTATCTCACCGGCTGGTTGGCGTGGATAACATCGAGGTCCCAACCGGCAAACTATTTGATGTCACCACTTCTTACGGTGGCTCGGCGGATTTTCTCAAAGGCAAGCTTATCGGTGCAGACATCAAGAAAACATCAGGGCTCTGTGGTCAGAACTGTTTAGGATATGATGACTGTATGATCGTGGACCGTCCCCCAAAGTATGAGCCAAATGCGTTAGTACCAGTGGTTCGGATGAACTCCAAGCTCACAGGCATCTCGATGGAACGCATGAGCGACCAAAAAGCAGTTCATATTTACACTTGCAACGGAGTTGGGCCTTCCCCTGTTAAGCAATCTCAAATCAAGCGAAATAAGGCCAAGGGCCATGCAGGTGTGGACTTCGTTCACAGTCATGGTTGCATTGCTATCGAGCCTTATGGTTGGATTGATGGAATCAATAATTCTCAGTGGGGCCAGAGACCTTTCCAGATATTTGGACCCGAGGAAGGGCCGGCGAGGAATCTGGCTGTCTATAAGTTTCGGACTATTCCTTGACTGAGATCATGTTTACGCTCACGAATCGTTTCCCGATTTTGTTAAAGGCTATTCATGAATCGTCTCATCGGCTGTATTATAAACCGCGCTAATCCGTATTTATGTAGCTGATCTACAAATGTTGACGCCCTGCTAGCGCCGGCCTTATCGTAAAAACATCAATGCCCAATTTATTCAACAAACAAGTCTGCAATGGACTCCATAGCCTCGAAAAAAAAGGATCCAACTAAAACCAAGGCTAAAGGTAAGTCTCCAAAGGATAAGCGTTCCGAAAACCTAAATTGAAGTCCCTCGAACCCCACCTAATCTAGATTGCGCCCCATGGATGACATCGAACAATCTAGAAGGCCCACGCCAAGTCATCTCTGAATGCTGCTTATAACGAATTATAGTCTCATACACTGCATTTACTGGAGTCTTTACTAGAGTCTCAATTCATAATACCGAACTCCATTTTATCATATATCATTCCCGCGGCCTTCGGGCATGATGGGAGACACAGCGCAACCAACCCACCGCCCCTTCATCCTGCGGACCCATAGCCACGGAGTACTTTACTATGAAGAGTTCGGCTGGGACGAGCGCTTCGAGGCTCTCGTCAGCCGAATTGCCACAGATTTCATCGATCAGCTCGACCCCGCATCGGATCGTTGTTGGGTCGCCGAGCGGGACGAAAAGTTCCTCGGGTACATTATGCTAGTGAAAGACCGAATGCAGCAAAATGCGGCTAAGATTCGCCTTTTGCTCCTGGAGCCGAGCGCCTGGGGGCTCAGTGTTGGCAGAGGTTCGGTGTGACAGTGCACGGAATTCGCGAAGGAAGTGGGCTACGAGAAGATCGTGTTGTGGACTCAAAGTTTACTGGTCTCTACTAGGCGGATATATAAGAATGAAGGGTATCAGCATGTCTATTCGTAGGAGCATGATAACTTTGGGTTCAAATTGACGGGTGAACTTTGGGAATTGAAGCTATAGACGCAAGGAGTGTGTACCCCCCAATGTCAGATTGAGTGGCGAGCGCGGGGCTATTGGTGGAGCATGTCACCGAGAAGGGACCTAGTATATCAAAGCTTCCTATTCTGATCTACAGGAGTGGTGTGGTCAGTACTTCAGGGTTCGAGTATGGCTCTATCAATTTCTGGAATCAGCAGCATCTGAAGATTGACCAGGTCTCACTGCCAGATAGGGATCGTAATTCCTCCTGACAGCTTTGGAGCCTGTGTTGTTATCTTACGTTGGTGTTCACCAGAATGCAAATGCAGACTAGGGGACGGTCTTCGAGACGACATCCTATGCACCCCCGTGCAGATCTTGCAAGTATTAGTCGGATTCACGACAGCGAGTTGTACGAGATTGGCATCTAGAGCAACGACCGTCGTCTTCAGCTGGAGTGCACTAAATCACCCGGGTGTGACGCCCCCAACGGATTCCTATGCACCACTCAAGGACTCTGAAAATAGCCAGAGTAATCCATGGGAATTGCATAACTCACCTCAGCTATGCATATGAGCATGAGCACATAATCTCCTTGCATGGCTTCTGCTGCACCTACGCCACTGATAAGAATGGCAATGTTAAGTGGACGCTGAACGTGGGTCTCCACCCCGACTTCTCATCTCACATTACTGACCATATGGCATCTGTTGCAGGAACAAACGGGAGGCGATTTCAAGTTGGCTCTGGGAACCACATTCTGCTTCCAGCACGACGTGCGAATCGAGGACTCAACCAGCAGCACCATCACGCCCCATTATCCACAACAACGACAATGTTCCTTTTTCGAAGGAACAGCTGCCACGACTGGTCTCTTGCTGAAACTCGGCCTCCTTGCAAAACTCTTTCTCTCTTGAACATCGCCTGTGGGACGCAGAAGAGGTATTCTACGCCGTTTGGGGGGTAGTTATCAACTCCTCGCCGACGACCACGTGCTCTTAGGCCACGGCGCAACACCCGAAATCGAAGAACTCGACGAGGGCGGAGCAGTTTTCATGAGAGCAAGGTTTGGCTACAATCACCTGATGACGTCCTAACGGGTCTTAGAGTCTGTATTGACGGGCAAGCCGACCACCACACCGCGTGTTCACACGTGCAAGGTGGCAGACGCCAGCAAGGGGCAAGTGAAAGGCGTATGCGAGTTGAAAGGGGGCAACCAATGTGCGGTCATGGAAAGTGTATTTTGCCAATGATGAGCAAGATCTCCGGAAAGTGGCTACTTGCGCGCGGAATAGGTTTGAGAGACGGAGATCCGTGGAAGTGGGGAGGGAAACTACGATGGTCAAAGCCGGGTCCGGGCAGACCGAGGTCGGTCGCGTACAAAGCTACTCGACCCTTCTGGCATGAAGCTATTCATTCAGATAAATCCGTACATTCCATCTAACAATGCTAACTATGGTTCTATTCCGGCTATGTCATAGAATCAATTCGAAACACAGGGCGAATGTGTCATGCCATGCCTCCCCCCATCGCAGACCCATGGAACATGGATGACGAGCCCTGGGTCACATCAGCGGGCTCCGAGTTTGTTATTGTCCATTGTTTATGTTTTTACTGCTCAAGTTTCGGTCGAGCCATGGCAAAGTTAGCCATGCCGTGTGAACCACCAGCCGTGTTTTGGAGAGCATCAGATCACACGGTAATCAATGCAGTTGACAGGTGGAGAGGAGTCCCTGCGTCCATTGGCCCCTTATGGGCTCCGTCTATCAGTGGACGGGCCCTAGTGATAATTAGTCTTCTTAGTGCATCCTTAGTGTGCATTTAGTACCTTCGTGCATGGGCCGATGAGTGCATTCCGCTCCACTTTTTTTTTCCTCTCTCTTCGGGAGCTTCCTGCTCGAGTCGTGAACCAAGCAGTTGCGACCGCGCGAAAGAGGCCACTGGGGGAGTACAGAGACAGAGTATTCCGGCTGTCGCACACGACTTGCTGTTCGTATTATGTAGACAGGAAGCCTAATCCCGGGGATCGCCCGAGGACCTCGGCGGATAGCTTCACCGCATATTGGACAGTGGTGGGGACCGCAGTGGCCCAAGGCGACAACGGTTGGCCATTTGGGTTCCAACGGAGACCAATTATGCTGAATCGGTACTAGACAAAAGACCGAAGCTGGCAGAATTGAGTAAAGCACGACCTGGTCACTGTGACAACCTGCCCCACGCCGTGAATCATATGCGCTTGTGTTGTACACGGTCGAGTTGGGCATCCGATTTTTTTTTATCGCGCTATCCGGCCTTTCTTCCTCCTCTACGCTCTACACACCTCTAATAATACCACTTTGCTCTGCGAGCTTTGTTTGTACAGTTGATCCTGCCTGAAGTGCTGCTTTGCTGGTCAAGTTGCAAATCCTTACTCGCTTTCCCTCTCACCTTTTCACGACCGTTACGACTTGACGACTGCCACCATGGCGACCGCTGCGATCCAAAACGGTATTTACTGAGCTTCCGAGGTACAACCTGCAGCTTGCTGACCTTTCATTCAGTTTCTGATGAGACCCTGCCCAAAGACCCCGTCTCCGTCGAGCCGATCGCAACCCCACTCGTCGGCGCGAAGTCCACGAATGGCGACGCCGCCGCCGAGACTGAGGCACCGATGAGCGCTGCCCAAAAGAAGAAGGCTAAGAAGAATGCCAAAAAGAAGGAGAAGAAGCAGGCTGCGAAGGTGGAGGAACCTGGCACTGAGTCTACCGATGCCGATGCCGATGCCTTATCTTCGCAAGAAGCTGAGCCGACTGAGACGGCACCGAAGACTGAGGAGGCGAAGGAGCCCGAGCCTGTTGCAGAGGCTGAAAAGCCCGCCGCAGAGGCTGTTCCCACAGAACAGCCCGAGCAAACCACCGAGGAGCCAACATCTACCGAGGGCCCCGAGTCAGCGCCCGTCACAGAGGCAACCTCTACAGAGATTCCCACTAAGGCCGAGGAGGCCGAACCTGTGGTGGAGGAGCCTACTGCTGAGGAGGCTGTGAAGGTATCCGAGCCCGCCGAAATTGCTCAAGAGCCTGTGACCGAAGAGCCCGCCACCGAGACTAAGGCCGAGGCTGTTCCGGAAGCGTCCGAAAAGCTCACAGAGGAACCCGCCACAGAGACTGCAATCGAAGCATCTGAGCTCAAGGAATCGACACCGGAGGTCACCAAGGATGCGCCGGTTGAAGAGACTCCCGCTGAAGAACCTCTCAAGGGGTCTGCTGCCGACAAATTCACCGTGGAGACCGTCTCTGAGATGAAGGAAGACCCTCCTGCTGAGGTTTCTGCTGTTGAGGAGCCCCAAGTTTCCAAGGAGACTGCCGAGGAAAAGCCGGTTGAAGAGTCCACTGTGAAGGAGGCCGCTACCGAGGGGGCAGCGCCCGAGCCTGTCCGGGACACGACTACCGCCGCCCCCGTTGAGGAGCAGGTTGAGACAGCCGAGAGGGTTGAAGAGCCCGCTCCTGTTGAGGCCGAGAAGGATGTCGTAGCTGAACCTACGACCGAGACTACGGCCACAGAGGAGCCTGCTGCTGAGCAAACGACCGAACGGGAGACCGTAGCCAAGGAGCCCGAAGAGGCAGCTCCCGCTCTTGAAGCCGAGACTTCCAAGGTTGAAGAGGGCACAGAAACCGTTTCCGAGCCCGTCGAGCCTCTCGTCACCGAGGAAGCCACCGTTGTGGAGCCCACTCAGGAGAAGGCTGCTGAGGACGTTTCCGAAACCCCCAGGACCGAAGAACCCAAGGTTGCAGAGTCTCAGGCTGAGGTGACCGAGCAAACAACCCAGGAATCTACCGTGGAAGAAGAGGCATCTGCTGAAACCCCAGCTCAGGCTGTTACCAACCCCGTTGAGCAGTCGAACGAGGCTGCTGTTTTGGAAGCACCGGCTGAGGAATCTACTAAGGAGGCTGTCCCTGAAGTCCCCGTCGAGGTTGTTGCCGAGACCGAGACTAAGGAGGCCGCGGAAGAGCCTGTTGCTGAGCCCGTTGCTGAGCCTGTTACTGAGCCCGGTACTGAGCCCGTCGCTGAGCCTGTTACTGAGCCCGTCTCTGAGCCTGTTACTGAGTCCGTCGCTGAGCCTGTTACTGAGCCCGTCGCTGAGCCTGTTACTGAGCCCGTCGCTGAGCCCGTCGCTGAGCCCACTACCCAAGAAGCCCCTGTCGTAGTTCAGGAAACCTCTATCCAGGAGCCCAAGGTCCCTGTGGCAGAGGAAGAGAAGATCGAGGAGTCTATCGCCGAACCCAAGACTTCCACCGCTGTCGAGGCCACCCCTGCACGGGAGGAGACCGAGGTTGTCGAAGAGCCTGCTGCTGAGACTGCCCCCATTGAAGAGGCTAAGGAGGAACCGGCAGTTGTGGAGGAATCTGTGGTTGAGACTCCCGCGGCTGAAGAGATGGAGACTCTCAACGCTCCTGATGTGATGGAATCTGTCAACGAAGAAAAGGCTGCTGAGGAGCCCGTTGTTGAAGAGAAGACTGAGGAGCCTGTTATGTCTGGTGCTCCGGTTGAGGTCGAGGTACCTAAGGAGGCCTCTGAGACACCCGCCGTCGAGGAACCTACTCAAGAAGATGGTCCCGACACTCAGGTCGAAGAGCCTGCTGAGACCACTGCTCCTCAGCAGGAAACTCCCAAGGAAGAAACCTCCGAGGCGCCTACCGAGACCGAGCCAATTACCGATGCTCCCGTTGCTGATGCTCCCGTTGCTGATGCTCCCGTTGCTGATGCTCCCGTTGCCACTGAATCTACAACTGATGAAGAGATTGCTCCTCAGGAGGCTGCTACTCAGGAGCCCATCGCTGAGGCTGTTCCCCATGAGGCTGAGCCTACTGCTGAGCCTGCTCCCACTGAGGATATTATTGCTCAGGGGACTGTGAAGACCGAGGCTGAAGTAGAGGTCCCCGCGGCCACTGATGCTACCGAAACTTCGCAGGAGCCTGTCGCAGAGGATCCCGTCGTGGAAGAGCCTGTTACCGAGGAACCTGTCAAGAAGGCTACTGAGGAGACTCTCGCTTCTGCTGCCACCGAGGAAGTTGTCGTTGCAATGGAGCCCACCACGGCCACTGAGGAACAGCCCACCACTGAAGCTTTAGAGCCCGAGACCACCTCCGCTGCTGAGCCTACTGTGCCAGTGGAGGAGGCTGAGACTCCTGCTCAGCCCGAGGAGCCTATTCATACCGAAGAGGCCCCTGTCACAAACGAAGAAGAGCCTGTTGTTGAGGCCCCTGTGGCTGAACAGCAGCCCGAGAAGCAGGAACCCGTTGCTGTGGCCGAAGAGACACCCGCTGCGCTTGCTGAGCCTCAGGCTCCTATCGAAGAAGTCTCTGCTCCCAGAGAGGTGATGGATGCTCCTCGTCAAGAGACCCAGGAAGAATCTGCACAGGACAGTGTTCTGACACCTAAGGTGATTGCCGCTGGAGCTGCCGCTGCCACAGCCGGCGTTGCTGCTGCAGGTGTGGCTTCTGCGCTGCACAAGGAGCCTGAGTCTACTCCGGCTCCTAAAGCTGCGCAGGAGTCGACCGCCATGGGCACCAAGAATGAACCCGCGGAAGCCAAGGAAGAGACCAAGGCTCTGGCAGATCCGCAGCCCGATAACAGTAAGCTGCAGCCCTACTCTGTTTCGACCAACAACGTGTCGGTGCCGTCTTTCGAAGCTGATTCGCTTCTTGCAGCCCTCGCTGGTGATCGTGAAGCTCTTCTCACCAGGCTGAACCAGCCTTCCACCGATCAGCTGGCTACCATGGCCACTGAACAATCCCTGCCCCCCGCTGCCACGAAGCAGCCCCAGGTTGAACCCGAAGAGTCAGCCCAGAAGACCACTGAGGCTCCTGCCCAGCCCGCGCAGGAAGGCGCACCTGCTAATGCTAATGAAGAGGATGCTCGTCCAGTGAGCCAGAACCGGTCAGTGGCTGCTGTTTCTCTGAATAGTGCACCAGACAGCTGGCTCAAGGCGTTCCTGCGCACTGTCTTTGTCGGATTCTTTGGAACTATCTTTGCCCCCTTCCGCCGCCGTGGAAAGGACCGCAAGTAATATGGTGACTGGAATTTCTTCGTTCCTTGGTGCTGCACATGGAGATATATCAGATTCACTGAGATAAATGCGCGTCGAATCTCAAAGACTAACATTGATTTACCAGGGCCCTGTTTTGGATTGCCATTGCTGCGGTACCTCTACTTGCGATACTCTGGCACGCATTGACTCGCTGACTCTACCTCTCGTTGTGGTTGCACCAAGGATTCTTGATTGAAAAGCAAAGTCGTGAAAATGTTCTTTTGCGCTTGATTCCCCTGTATTGATTACGATTTTCTTTTTATCTCTCGGATTTTGTCTTTTTTGCTTGTGTCTCCATAAGGAGGCTCCTGCTTTTTATGTGCTGTTATTTCCTATGGTTTTATGATTTCCATTTGTCGCCTCGCATATTGGTGAGCTTGGCCGGTCTCGAGATAGATCGTGATGCGGTCTGGCATCTCCATTGTGTATGTAACGAGGCCCTTACGATAAAGTTTATGAATTGGATGAGTTACCAACCGTCTTTCTGTTTCTGCGTTCTTTACGCGGACTGGAAACATCCTTACCCCGTGTAGGCAACTTCACGTCCACATCCCCTTTCACGCTCTTCAACGTTCTTACTTCTTTTACTTCCCTTCACCATCATCCCCATCTCCCCTTTATCCATATTTCAACCGCTCAACACGTATTGAGTATCATTGCTCTCCTTTACACCCCCTTCCTGTCCTGTTTCTCAACCAAATATTCACTCACACCTTCCATCTCTTGCCATGTTCGGCCCATTTCCCTCGTGCCTCGTGGCGCCTGCGGATGAGCCATGCAGCCCTTCAAAGTCGCCTGGGCGCAGCAGTGTTCGACGTTCATTGGACACTGCTGTTAAGAGCCCAGTGACTGAAGCTCATCATCCTGCGCCTGACCCGGGCCCGCCGCCCATCACGCCCGGTAACGCGTTTTCCATAATTGCTCGACGCGAATGGGAGAAAGGCAGAGTCCGTGGGAAGAGTTTTGGTAAGTACTGAGGCTGTTTTAGTTCTCTCTGTTATCCCACGCCTCGATGTGTGTTGTGAAAGGCACTGCTTCAGACGGCTGACAATTTTGAGTACACAGGTAGTTCGGAACCAAGCAGCCCAACTGAGGAGCTTCAGCGTCCTGGCATCTATCGCAAGTCTTCATACCTTGATTATGATGAGGAGCTGGCGCTTCCCATGCCCAAGCCACGACATGAGAGAGCCGACACGCCGTCTCTGTCTACAGGGAATGAGAATGAGACCGGGAGACCTGGCCTGCTGAAAAATCGCTCCGCAACCGATCCGATTTTCGTTAGCACCCCTTCTCACTCCGAGCCATCAACCCCGGATGATGTCAAGAAGAGGTCCAAGCTGGATCTCATCAAGTCTAAACTGAGCTTCAAGGATCTGCGCAAGGAGGCTTCCACAGAGGACACCAGCAAGAGCTTCATCTCTCATCCGATGCCCCAGCTGCGTGACGTTCCAGCTCTGCCATCTAGTGAGAGCTCCAAGAGAAGATTTCGTCGTGCTGCCTCGCCTGGTGGCTTTTCGTCCATGTCGCAGAGCAACTACAATTTTAAGGCAAAGCTGAAACCTATCGACCAAGGCAAAATCTCTGGACCCGCATTGCAAACCAACACTACGCCGAGTAAGATACCGCTGCCTCCTTCGGGGGGCTTCACCAATGCGCATGGCATCATGGCTCCGTCCCGAATTCCAAGCCGTCGGGTATCCAGCACTGAGAGCCAGTCTTCGTCCCCTACTCAGGATAGCAACAAGGACAAGTCAAACGCAGAGGACAAAACAGGAGCTATTGCTCCCACTGGAAAGCGTCCGAATCTTACTATCTCGCGTACCAGTATGGATGTTGGCCAGAAGGTGCGCACCTCATACGAGGCGCCCAACTATCCTGTGACAAAGGACTCACCTCCCGTGCCTGGCGACCTTCTTGAGGGGTCGGGAAAGGTCAAGTATCTGCCACGACACTGGGTCGAGCAAGACTCTGCTCCCTCGGTCCCACCCAAACCAGATGGCCATGCCCCAACTGCTTACGAAGAGAATGAACCTCCCATTACTGCTATTCCTGATTATCTGCCGTCCTTCAAGGAACGTCTGGAAAAGGCTGACATCCCTCTGGAGGGGCTTGTGTCCCCGATCCGCAGTATCCCCATGCAAGTAGATGACCTCGTTGACACGGTTCGCTCAATCCAGAGACAGACTGAAACCGGCGTGAGCAACCTCACCAAGAAGCTGGACGAGCTCTCTAACTGGATCGGCGATCAGCTCCAAAATCAGGTGGATTCTATCTCCGACTTGGCGCGCACCAAAGCCGAGTTGCACAGCAAGCAGTTTGATATTTCCAGGGAGATGATGAAATTCCAGATGGATGTTCGTCTTGAGATCGGTGTCATGGAGCGAAGACTCAACAACTTCGAGATGAAGGTTATGGATGAGGTGCAGGCCGAGATTCGAGCTTTGGCTCGCTCGTATGAGGATCTGAATCGCAAGACTGAGGCCCTTATCACCAAGTTTTCGTCCGATGATCTTCACGAGTTCATTGAATGCCAACGCCGGAAGACCGAGGAGATCCAGAAAGAAGTCGGCTATTTGAAGGCTCAAGATGACAAACTCAAGCTCGATGAAACTCAGACAGAGCAAATCATTCGGTGCGTAAAAGCTCAGATGGAGGCCGTCAAAGGCGCATCCGCTGCCTACCCAATTACCCCGACGAAGATTGAGATCTTGAACGAACTTTCCTCCAAGAAAACTGACCTGGCAACTCCGCTGAGCCAGAAGACGGACACCCCGACCACATCGTTGGATGTACACCGCTACAGTGAATCGACCATCCGCAGCACTCCACCTTTGGTCCGTGATCTCGATCGTGCTCTCCCCCTGCCACCTACCCCGGCTTCCATTGAAAACTCACTTCTCACCCGTCCTCGAGCATCCGCGGCGCAGGAGCCCAAGCCCACCGGTACGTTCCCACGAAGCTTGTCCATGACCAAGAAAGGATTTCTTACTGGTGTGAAAGATGCAGTCTCTAGCGCCTCTGAGGTAAGAGAGAAACCAATGGAGAAGAAGAGTTCTAGCGAAGGGAAGAAATGGTCTGTCTTTGGATTTCGCCGCCGCCGCGATGGCCACGAGACCTCCACCACCAGCTCGGGCAAACACTCCCGCTCCTCCATCCGCCGCCTTGAGGGTACCCTACTTCTCGATGATGGCAGATCGCACTCGCGAACATCGACTCCTACTCCGCCCATTCCCGCTATTCCGCGGGATGTCTCCAAGTCTGTTCAGAAAGGCAACACGCTGAGCACCATCCACCCAGCCCTTCGCGCCGCTACTATCCAGAATTCCATGCACAAGGATGAAGCGCTGTCTTCAAAGAGCTGCTTCAAGCCAATCGTGCCTACCCAGCCTCGCTTCAGCTGTGATATCGGCTCTAACGGTTCTACCCGTGGCTCGATCCCATCCACCTGCACTCCCGCGACATCCTTTGGCGAAGCCCATTTTCAGCCTGGTTCTGACAACTTCCACTCCACCATGCAGGAAAAGCAGTCCCTGAAGAAGAGTCACCACGCTGAGGATAGCCTGAAGGTGCCGCTGCTTGGCGATACTGACCATGGCTGGGATCGGGCGTCTCTGCGTGAGTCCCGATCCAACGACACGCTGAACTAGGTCTTTCCTTGTCACATCTTAAAATATCTTGTTTTCCCCCTCACATCTAAGCAATTCCGACAGGTTAAGTGAAGATTGAGGTTATTGTTGTTCGAAGCCGTGTGGCTCTTAGAGGCGCCATGGATTCAGTGCGGAGTTTACGGTGGATAATTCATGTGGTAAAAAGCGTTCGGTAGTACATGGATTTCTACAGGGAGTTTATCGGTGCTGGATGATAGGAGATATGGGTTTCATGATGGAGATACCGAGTGGAGATGTTCTCAGCAGTGATCTACCTACTTAAAAGTTCTAATAGGAGTGAATGCGTTCTTAAAAAGTGACAATCCGTTTTTCGTATTCTAACTTTCAACGCGGGGAGTATTTGAAGTCCTCTAGCTGTTCCAAGGCTACTTTTTTTATCCTTGAGTGGTAAGTTTCTTCTCAAATTGTGGCAGCTATGAGGAAGCTATGATCGGAGAAGCGGTGAAGGGCATACGTAAATTATGGGGAAATGGACGCCATGTCGGCCAGCGTCAGTAGAAACGGTGACTATTGATCTGGGCCCGACTACGTAGACAATTTTGGAACTAAACACCTACTGAATTCTACGCAACGCGTGCAGACAAAGTCAGATAATGAAGTGAAGAATCGTATCTTGCGGTTTATTCCGGTGTGCCGACATCACCATCCAGGAAAAATAGATGAAGTCGGGCGTGAGGAATGGTTTGGTTTGAAGACTCATGAGATAAAATTACATATAGGTTGATGAGGATGAACTTGCACATGGAACGACTAGATTGAATGGGCGTACTGTCCGTAGAAGAACATGCCAAACAGTAAATGGTATCAACGCCTACATACAGGAACCGGTCACTTTTTCTATTATAGACATCTATGCACACAGACACGGTTACTTCGAATCGTTCACCAACTTCTCAATCTCAATGGCCGAATCCCGCACTTGAGGGCAGTAATGCATGCGCAGCAGCTCGCCTTCCCACACTGAGCCTGCAAAGACGTTCGTGCTCTCGATGTCGTTTGCATACGCGTTGAACACGCCGTCGCCTTTGCGTTCATCACTGTGCCACAGCGACGAGATGCGGCGTTGATTGTGCTTTGCGAGCTGATTCATCAGCGACAGGGTCGCGATGGCGGATTTCTCGGGCAGTTGGAGCGAGGTTGTCATCAGACGCTTGGCGAAGCTGGCCAGGCGGATGGGCGGTGGCATACCGTGTGCTCGCGAGAGAAGGGACGATTGGAGGCAACGGAGGAGCAAGACCATTGGGGTCTGGAAGTTGACCTTGTTTCTTGATCGCATGCGAGACTGGGCATCTTCTCCGCGGGCATTGGGGTCTGGGAGGCGCAGAGATGTGTTGGGGTTAAACTCGACGTCGGGGTTGATAGATAGCGAGTAAAGGGATCGGTAGAGGTGTTTGATGAAGAAGCTGAGGTCGAGGTGGAGGGTTGTTGCAGCCTTACTGGTGTCCTGTCCTTCCAGCAGGGCAAAGGCAGTCACCGTGCACAGCAGAGTCTCACGACGCGCATCGCGAGCCTTGCTCTCCGATGCAGGAGCACGCTCTTCGTCTTCGTTCTCGTCTTCTTCTCCTTGGTCTTCGGCATCTTCACCAAGTTCATCACGCTCGGCATGGCCGATAAGATCCTTCATGGCTTCCAGCAGATCACCGAAGAAGTCCTGGTTGATCAGGCGGGCATACTTGGCCAGACCTTCAAGAACAGGTCCCATCAGGTGGGGAATGCGCGCCTTGAGAATGCGGAAGTAGATACCAAAGACGAGCTTCAGAGTCTCTGCCTGGTTCTTGTCCCGCTCTTCATGAGACACAATTGCATCTGCCTGCTTCATATCCTTCTCGACAATCTTGCGCTCCTTCTGCACCTTGCGCTCACGCTTTGTGCGGAACTCCCGCTTCTGCTTCTGCTTTTTGCCATGGGGCTGATCGTCCTCAGGTTCCCGGTCCACCCGGTCTCGGGAAGCCTTCATATTGAACTCGCCAAGTAGACGCAGATGAAGGAAAGTATCCAATACACTCTCGTTGATGTTGAAGTCTCTAGCTTTCATCATCTTTGCGAGCAATCGGACAGCTTCAAGGGAAACGACACCATCATTGTCCTTCGCAAAAATATCCTCCATAGTCTCGCGACACTTAAGTTGGTCCGCATCGACCAACTTCTTCGCGAGGCGGTTCACAACGATCTTGAGCAGGTCATTGCGGAAGTTGAAGTGCGGCACAGATTGAAGCATGGTGCAGGCGCAATTGATGGCGATGCTCTTCAGACCAGGATCGACGTAGACAAATCTGCCAGGCTTGGTGATGGTAGACAGCTTATGGACGTAGTTTCGATAACTGGACACAAGAGATTGTTCGAAATCGCGCAACTTTCGCACTTCCTTTGAGACCTTCGCGGTTTTGTCCTCTTCACTAAGAGGGCGGATTCGGTAACCGGGAATGACATCCTTGAAGATTGCAGCCTGAGCCGCCAGAGCGAGTTTCTTAACGGTGATCGCCGAGTCTTTCTTCTCCACCATCTCAGCCATTGTCTTGAACAGGGCGATGTGTTCTTCGGGGTCCTCATTGATCAGTGTAGCGATTCGGGCAAGATCCTCTTTGGCCTGCATAATCTGCACCTTGACCGGGATTTTGGGCTTCTTCTCTTCGACTATCTCCTCGCCATCGTCGGAATCTTCGTTTTCCCCGTCATCGTCTGTGCCCAGGAAGCTGTCGGTTTCTTCCGCTGCATCTTCAGCTACTTGAGGCTCTTTGAAGGCTTCGACAAATCCCTCCGAGGTCTTAATTGGCAATCGGGTGTGCTCGTTGGCTTTCTTGTTCCCTTTTCGCGGGCGGCGTTCGTAGTCCATTTCGACATCCCATTCGTCGTCGCGGTTGTGGGAATTGTCCTTGCTGCGAGAGGCAGCGCCATCATCACCAGCAGGAGGGCTCAGACGTCTCCTTTTCGCATTCGAACCACGCGCCATTTTGTTGTTTATCGGTGTTGTGAGCGTCGGAGACTGAAGGGTCTGCGGCGAATAGGCGGTCCAACTTTTCCCTCACCGCCTGGTCCCGAGACTTTTTTTCTGCCAGCGCTATCGCGTTTGTCATCACGTGCTGATAGGTACAAGTGGGCTTTCATGTCATGTGATCTGTTATCGTCCGGGAAAAAAATGGCCTCTCTATCAGCCAGCTTTGTTCACTAACAACGACATCAACGAGGCACGATGCGTCAACTCACCGAAGAAGAGACCAAGACTTTATTCTCAAAGCTCGCCCACTACACGGGGCGTTCTTTGAACAGCCTGATTGCCCCCACCGATGGCGGACAACAGATGGTCTTCCGTCTGCAAGGAAGTCGGGTAAGATCCTGTCATGATGCACAATGGCTCAGGAATACTCTGTTTGCTAACGTGCGGCGCTTAGGTATACTACATGCCCCTAGCTCTTGCGAATCTGGCGACCTCAATTCCCCGCGACAACCTCCTGTCGGCTGGTACTCAGATGGGAAAGTTCACAAAGACTGGAAAGTTCAGGCTCAACTTGACTTGCCTGGATGTCGTGGCCCCTCATGCGAGATATAAGGTATCTTACGTGCGCTTGCTGAAGCTAGACACCTGCTGACTTTTGACAGCTGTGGATCAAACCCAATGGAGAAATGCCTTTCCTCTATGGAGGTAACGTCGTGAAGGCGCACGTCGGCAGATGGTCCGAGGACTGCCCTGAGCACAGCGGCGTCATTGTGTACAGTCAAGATGATACCCCCCTGGGATTCGGAGGTAATACTTTGCCTAGTCACTTGGATTATGGGAGAAATGCTAACATACGACAGTTTCGGCACGATCAACTCAAGAGGCCAAGAAGCTGGACCCCACAGGTATTGTGCTCTTCAGACAAGCGGATGTTGGAGAATACCTACGCGAGGTAAGTCAATTTTATTTCCGATGGATGGTATGGTCTGCATACAGTACGGGTCTAACAATCAACAGGAGGATACACTGTTCACCACCTAAGGACGAGCTCTGGGCAACAAGGACCTTGCATGTTCGCATACTTGATCAAGGATGGGAGTTAATGGAGTCGTTTCTGTCACGTAAAAAGTTTTGCTTCGCAGTCAAATACCATCGATCTCAATACTTTCCACTTCGTACATCACCCAAGATTCATGTAGAGCACAAATATATAGCAGATTCACAATGTTCCGCTCACCTACGCAAATTTCTACGGCTCTTTCCAATCAGCATCAGGATCCTCAAGAAGAAATTTACTCCAACATTCACTTAATTCATCTCGTGTTCCTGGTCATCGTTACCAGATGCAACTGGGATAGGTATTCCGATGCAGCCTGAGGCAGTAAGTGGCTGAGTCAGCAGGCCGATGCCGCGGCGGGTGTTCAAGTGCATCGTCGGAGGGAGAATTCCATCGCCATTGTTCAAAAAGCCGCCCGCCCGAAATCGTCGTTTGGCCTCGAGCTAGTTTCCAGGTCTTCAGACTACGCGCTCTTACTTCCCTCCACTCACCTTACCCCATCGTCTTGACAGACATCGCGGGGCACCAATATCAAACCCCGCCATGCCGGCCTACACCTCGGCGCAGAAGGACGCCATCGACCAGTTCGTGGATTTGACCAACTCTCAGCGGACCATAGCTTCCAAGGTGAGCTTTGTTTGTATTGATACGCAGGATGCTTCTCCGAAGCATGTTTGGCGCGGCATAGGTCCGGTTTGATGTTCATTGCGCTCTGGACTAACAACATGTTATAGTTCCTGAAGCAAGTAGGGTGGAACGTCGAAAGAGCCATTGATACGTAAGTTCAACGACCTTTTCATTTGCACCACTTTCAGGCCATTTCGTACATTCATGCCTGTTTCGGCCTGGCGCCTGTTTCCTCAGGCGGGAATCCTTCGAGGCTCAACAATGGCTCTACATCCAGTTGTTTCGCGCCTTGGCCATTTTTTCGTGTCCCAAATCACCACGCAGTCTCGACAGTGTGTTTTCTTCAATTTTGCTATCAACACGACCCACCCTCGTGCAGCCGAAGCGCTCCCACCTCGATGACCGTGGTGACTAGGAACGAGGACGGCGGAAGTCGCGGCCAGCAAAGCCACCTTGAACACCCCAACCAAATTCGACGACCTTGCGGCCTGGGAACAATGGCTAACCTTTGAACAACGATAGTTTTTTCGGAAGCGATAGCTCCAATTCAGCAGTTAAGAGCTCACTCAACACCATCTTCGACAAATACAGAGGTAATGCATCCCGTACTTTACACTGAAGCTACATGCTAACCCGCCACAGATGACCCGCAAGATAACCCAGATGGCATCGGCATCGACGGCGCAATGAAATTCCTCGGCGACATTCAAGTGCAGCTCGACGAGGTAGCCTGTCTCGGCGTCTTCGAAATGTGTCAATGCCCCTCCATGGGCGAGTTCACGCGCGAGGGTTTCACGGATGGATGGAAGAAGGCCCAGTAAGTTCTTCTCGCCTGAGCTCTTCTCTACGTGATTACGTATACTAACTCTACCTCAGATGCGACAACGAAGACCGAATGAAGGAATATATCAAGTACCTCCGCACCCACATCCCCAGTGACGCCAACCTTTTCCGGCGCGTCTACCGCTTCGCATTCCCGCTTTCCCGTATGCAGGGCCAGCGTAACCTGCAATACGAAATCGCCGTTGACCAGTGGAAGCTCTTTTTTACATCTGACCACGGGGGTCTGCCTTGGAACACCGCCCGCACACCGTGGCTGGACTGGTGGCTGGAGTTCCTGGAGGCGCGCGGCAAGAAGCCTGTGAACAAGGACCTGTGGGAGCAAGTTGAGGTGTTTATGCGCAAGAGCCACGAAGACGAGGAGTTCGGTTGGTGGAGTCCTGATGGGGCTTGGCCTGGAGTGCTGGATGACTTTGTCGACTATGTAAAGGAGAGAAGGGGGAAGGGTTCCGAGATGGATGTTGAGTGATCTCTTAGCGCTGTTATCTGATGGTGTGGAGACTAGTGGATACGTCTACTATCCAAACTTCACTTACAAGGTGCTCTCGTGGGGATGGTATGTAAGGGAGCCAGCTGCATTTCTGCGGTCCTGTCTATCCTGACAGATAAAAATATCAAAGTATATGTGTACCTATCTCCAGGATCCAAATCCAAGTAGTATATTGGGAAGGCCATTCGTCGTAAGATTGAAAATAACATCAAGGGAGAAAGATATCTGGTCTGGTGCATAACAAGATGTAAGATGTGTACAGGTTCAAAACACCGGGGGGAGAAGACATGAGATACAAAAGGAAAGGGTAAATAGATAACCACAAATGGGAGCAATATCGTGTCAGCAGGTGGCATGTATCCGCTCGGCTCAATTGCAGGGTGCGACTGTGACCGCTCAAGGGTAGTCGCGCTTCTCGTACTCGCCGCCGCGGCGCTGGTCGTAGCGCTTGCGGAGAGCTTCCAGACGCTTCTTCTTGGTGTGGGTGTTGACGTAGGTGCCGATGAAGAAACCGATGATGTTGAAGAAGGGCACCCAGGTGTGCTCGGGGAGGAACTTCTGGGCGAAGGCCAGCGCCAGAGGGGAGGTGACCCAGCTAACCTTCATGACGGGCATGAAGCCGGCCTTGACGGTGGCGCGGACCTGGTGGAAGGTGCGCGCGCCGGCGATGACGGCCATCGAAGAAAGGTAGACGCCGTTCTGGATGGGGGAGATCTATTGATAAGTCTGGTTAGCATCGTCGCGTGTAGTCGGATTGCCGCGTGGGAAATACGTACGATCAAGTTGCTGACAAGGATCTGAAGGATCTTAGCCTTCAAGCTGGTGCGACCAGCGAAGATCTTCTGAAGAATGCCGATGAGGAAATGGCCCAGCGGAGCGGCAACGAACATGCCGTAGAGCGACATCTTAGGGATGCGCGAGCTGAAGTAGTGACCATGCTTGCCGACATCATGGGCGAGCCACGAGGCGAGAAGTTCTTGAAGACCGGAGAGCACACCGGAGGTGAGCATCTTAGTGCGCATCGGGTTCTGCTGCAGCTGACGGAGATAGGCCTGCGACGATCCATTCCTCGGATCAGTTGGCGCGTTCATCGGCGACATCGGGGAATTTGGGCACTTCTACATACCTGAAGATACCCGGTCTGGGTTTTTCCACCGGTCAATCGCTCACCGACGCGATGCGCCAGGTCCTCGGGCCTGCCGCCGGCATTGGCGACCGCGCGGATGGTCTCCTCCTGGAACTTGACGGACATGATGGATTGGGAGATGAGAGGAGGAGATGGGATCGGGATTAGAGATTCCGGAGGTGCCTGTGGGGAGAAGAAAGCGGTCAATGGAAAGACAGGACGATAACAAGACGATGTATCGCGTGGGAGACAAGAGGGAACAGGGGGCGTGTTTGTTTATGACAAAGTCGAGGGGGCTGGGCCGGGTAACCGAGGTCCGCCTGGCTGATTGGGCCAATCTTGGGCCGACCTACCTGGTCTTTTGGTGATACGAGGGGGAGCCACGCCACAAGAGGAATTTCTCAAGTTTCCCGTGAAAAACCGGGGTAGAACCAGTATATGAAGGGGAAGCGGTCGGTCCTCAAATCGGCAGATGGAACGGGGCAGACCCCGGCGAGATCCATTGGGCGGAGGTCATCGGAGATCGGGGGGCTCCGTCGGCCATCGCGCAAGTTCAGGATGTATGGTACGCTTCTCCGTAGGGCTCGGCTCATAATTCCAACAACGGTCGGTGGAGAATCTATCCGTATTCTTCATGCAAAGAGTACGACGTGTCCGTATAGCTCGGCCCATTTGCATTGTATGTCAATATCTTATCATTTTTTTAAAATAAAATCCTTGTCCCTACTGAATTTCCGCTTTACAACGTACTTTACCCGGCATCGCTCTTGTCTTATATATGGTTTCCGCTGCTTTTGATTGCACCGGCATTTGCCCGAATGTATGGAACCGCGCAGATTCACACAGAGCCAGGTAAAAAGAGCAGCTCTTGTCAAAGGTCGCTATGAAAGAAAAACATCGCGCTTGTAATTTTGCGCCGGCAATCGGGCAATATCAAAATAATCTTGTGAACTCACAGGAACAGTTCATGAGCTCATGGGCGATCTACAAAATCTCATCGAGCGGAGGCGCTGCCGGAGAGTAAAAAAATGGTTAGTCAAGCAGGAGGCACAGTAAGTACCTCTCATCGGCGATGTAGGAGTGAAAACCATCGTGGAGTCCGGATAGCTCGCCGGCGAAATGTATCCACGGCGGATTTCGTTGCCACGTACCGTAGCCGGGTCAAATCATGTAGACCTCATCTGGGGGCACGTCTAGGTATCGTGATGATGTTACTGAAGCCCTATTGGGATGGATTAGTCGTCATTGCTCGGCGGACTAGTCGCGTGGGGTGAAATGATCGTGCTTCGTTGTCGTTCTGCTTCACCACTTTGCCTTCCACCCGCGCATACTCTACCCATCCATGCTTTTCGGCTTCCAAACGTCGTGAAATCTTTGTCCATCGCATCTCACATCATTCCCTGGTCACCGAGGCATTGCTCGGGCCACCCGAGATGTCTTCCGAACCCTCGGGGGAGTATGAGACGGAAGAGTTGCCGAGTCGAGCTGCCCTCGGCAAACTCACTTCACCTGCAACTCATCTCCTTGAATCTGATCATCGTCCTTCTCAAGGTAAGTCTTCGGCTACTCTGTGCCAGAAATCCAAGACATCCATGCCTTTGAGTCTCAAAGTCCATCGAAGTGCACCGGAGAAAAGGGCACCCGGGTGAGCACAGATTCTAACGAGAGCTCCACAGATGCCAACTCTGCCGTATCGATACCTGCCGTATCTGAACTGCAAGCCACTGGGACTGGTAATGAAATCGTCGGAGAAGGGAACCGAAAACTTGGTGAGTCCTATGGTGTACCGGGTAATCGGCGTTGGGAGTATAGATTGATTCATATGAACATCCAGATACCCACTCAGCAGATTATGAATGTCTGCCAGAATGTCTGGATACATCGTACAGCAGCAGTGGCGATGACGACGGCGCTGAAGGGCCTGCAACACCACAGACCTCGGCGGATGCTATTTGCGTAGCCATACGTGATCTGACCGCCACGAACACTTTTGCTGGAAGCCCTATCCAGTCGAGCAGGACTGCCGAGTACGAAGAGCAATATCCAAAGCGTGCGGATAGATGGGAGGCCCTTGCATGGGCAGTAAGTGACTCGAGCGAAGAACATCCGTTTTCTGATCACCACATATTGTCTGCAAGTAGCTCATCGGAGGAAGAGAGTCTCGAAGAGGCCTGGAACATGGAAGATGTCGTCGAGCTCGCCGCGAGTGACCAAGGCGAAGGGAGCTCGGGGTCTGATGACCACGCCGGATCGGAAAGCAGCGAGGGACTGAAAAGCCAAGCTTCATATACCTCGCCCAAGCAAACCAGAGTGGACTTCGCCCAGTTTGATGGTTTCCGCGAACACTTCCAGGGCCACTACCGGGATGACGACGAGGAGTTCTTCCCATACGACATTTCCGAGGCAATCTCCGAGGACGACGCTTGGGCTGAGTACTTCGAAAACACCGGTGATTATGAAGTAGAGCTGGCAGGACTGGAAGGCCCCTATGACCAACTGAGAGCTCATCGCACAACACTTGCAACCCCCAATCGCCCCTCGCCAGCAGGCTTCCATATCACTTCCCTTTCTCGCAGTGCTTCCTTCCCTGCCTTCCCACAAACCTCATACACGGTAAATGCGTGCAAAGAAGAGGCCGAAGACAAGTCCGCAGAAACTCCCATCTGTCATTCTGATCACAGACGTCGTGTTTCCGACACTGAAGTCACCTACATCAATTTAAGTGAGCGATACCGACGCCCCTCGCCCACGCCATCCTACGGCATGCCTCACCCACGCTTCCCACCCGGCCTAACTGAGACGCCCGAGGTGATCCGCCATGAGCGGTACCAGCCTCGTCCTGGAAAATGTCATCACGATTCGGTCCTGCGATTCTGGACCGATGAATCAGCCCCAGACCGGGTCTGTGATATTTGTGGCCGCTTTGCTCGATACTTATGGGCCTGCAACTCCGACACGGATGACTGGTCAAAGGTTCCGCCACAAACCGAGGTTCCCGTGCACACCGCTGGTCCTGATACCAGCATCCTGGCAGAGTGGATGCAAAAGGCCATTGCCAAGGGTGATTATACCTTGGAGCAGGTGCAGAAGCTCGCGGACCAGAAGAAGCAGGTCCTCAAATGCGCAGCCAAAGATCGCGCCGCACAGGCATCCCGCGATGGACAACCTTCGACAGCGGGGGAACAAGGTACGGCTCAGGCATGGTTCGAGCAAGAAGTCGACAAAGAAAGTCGACCTAACGACGGTGTGCCGGACGATCCTTCCAATGGCGGCCCTTGCAGAATGATGTTCTGTGGCCAATGCCACGGGAATTTCGTCGACCGTTCATTCGGCCACATCGACCGGGTCGTCAACGAACCATACGTCGAGCCGCCCAAAATCCCCGAATACCTGTGCCGTCCGATCTCCGACGCCGCCATCCTGAGAGAGATGCGCCCGATGCACTGGGTGCGCGGGTATGCATTCGGCCTTTGGTGGCAGGAGCACAGGTACTCGTCCGGTCAGGATATGACCCCGGTGCTCCGTCTAGCCCATAATAAGGGCTGGACGGAGAACCAGTTCAAACTCACCACCTGGTGGGTTTACTGGCAGCGCCGGTCGGATCGCGAAGTTGATGCGCGGATCAGATGGCTCGAGGGACGTACCCTCGAACAAATGTCATCTTTCAGTCAGTCTATCGCTGACTCTCGTTTCATTATTCCTCGTTCCGGTGAGCGAAGCCGCTCTCAGATGGCAAGGGTCCTAGACCCTGTGCTGTCTATCAGTCGGCATCCGATCTGGGAAGAGGACGAGAGTCAGGAAGGACCGGTGACCTCCCCTGGCTGGGACTACTCCCTCGGGCACCGCTGGCAAGCATTGAGCCAGGCGGAGCACAGGGAGCTAACGCGGCTTTTCATTGAGCAGCGAGACACGCTGGCGGGCCAGCGTGTCTCGACCAACTGCTCCGCCGCTCCCACCCTGGAGGCCGGTTCTTCCCAGGAACCAACCCAAGAGACCGCGCTCTCTCAGCAGGCCGACGACGATTTCGACAGCCTGTATGACGCATCCGACAGAGAGTGAGGGTGAGGGGAGGTTCCTGGCGATGATTGGGTGAATGGTGAGATTTGCCCTGCCATACGCCGACAGGAAGAGTAGCAAGGGCGACACGCCATGCACGACAAGTACATTGCTGAGAAGGTGAACGCCCGAGAATCCAACAAGTACCAAGGAAAGATGTGGAGTATGAATCACGAGTATTTACAGGGGCGATCACATTGATGTCCGCACGGTCGAGTGGAGCCGGCCGAGTGAGGAAGTCGTAACCCAGATTTCCGAACCTCGGCCCATTCCGCTCCATTTGCGCGCGGTTTCCGTGATGCGCGCCGGTGATTTTCGTCCTCAACTCTTTTTTTCTTTCCGATGGTCTCGAGAAGCTGGACTTTCTCATTGTCTCTCTCAACACAGTATGGCAGACCCTGAGCACCCTCCTGACCCCTCGAAGGCTGCGGAACACGAGCAGCATGTGGGGAAAGGTCCGATAGCCGCGGGGAAAGCAACAACGCGGCAACAGTTCCTGGCGGCATTGACGGCGACTGACACGACGATACGACGGTTAGATCTGTAAGGGTTCTTTTCTCTCTCTCTGCCTTGCAGTTGACAGTTCAATACGTTGACTGCAACATGCACAACTCCTAAAAATTTATTGAGCATCCGCTGACCGTCTCCGCGGACTTTTGTCCTCGGCCGCCGGCGAAGAACGAGTGCTGGCGACAGTGAACTATGTCGCCTCAATTTTGCATCACCTGTGTGCGTCGGCGCCATGGATCGCATTACAAACGCGACTATCTCTTCTTGCGCGACTGAAGGACCGAACTGCATCGCAACATGTGAAACCCGCCCCGGCGGGCTCTAAATCCAAATTCTCTGCTCTTTCTTCCCTTGCTTCGGAGACGCGATACAATCTACGCCTGTTCGGCCTCATTCCTCTCTGGGTCTGGGGATCCGAGACTCTCAGATCACCCCCTGCCGACCCGGTCATCCGCATCCTGACCATCCTACAAGTCATCTCCAACGTGATCTACCAGTTCTTGGAGAATGTGGCACACCTAGCATCGAAGGGCGTTATCTCGAGGAAGTTCGTTGACAAGTACGGCGGACCCGTGAAATGGGAGATCTGGAGCACACGCGGCTGGTTTGGACACATCTTCTTTGAATTCTTCGTTCTCTGGCGCCAACACGTGCTGCGCAAGAGACGTGTTGCAGCCCAGCGCGCGGCAGCCGGCACTACCGAGTCGAAAGAGACCAAGGCGGAGGATGCTGAAGCTCTGCGTCTGGAGATCCGCTCATGGAAAAAGACTCTTGTCAACAACACATTCTGGGCTCCTTTGTGTCTTCACTGGTGTTTCGAGAAGGGCATCGGTATTCCGGACCACCTTGTTGGGATAATCAGTCTCGGGGCTGGCATTTGGGGTCTATGCGACTCCTGGGCTGCCACAGCCAAAAAATGATCTCGGGGCTTTTCATTTCTATTCTCGTCCCATGTTACTTTATACCATTCTGCTCTTGTCCAATAGATACGTATGTCCGGAAATTGAAAAAGGATGACAGTAAAAACGAATACCTACGTAGAACGGATATTTAAGCTCAAACCAGCCTGTATTGTGGACGGTTGGTCAGAACTAACCCGGGATCTAGCTGCGCATAGCCACTGAGGCTTTAACGACCCCGCCAGTAAGTCAATGAACTTCAAACCTCTCCGGGTACCTCAAAATACGGCCTTATCAAAGCCTCGAACAACTCGGCCTCAAAATGTCCTACAACGTATACACCGTCGAATCCCTCGGAAACGGCGAACGCAACCACAAAGCAATCTACATCGAAACGAACCCCACCGCGGCACAAAAATCATTCAAGGGAGCCCTTTACCACGTCACCGGAACGATCCTTAATGGAATGACCTACGAATCCCGCGACACGATAGACCCAGAACAGCTACCCGAGCATATCCCAGGCACAAAGAAACAAATCGCGACCATTGCTGCACCCGACCTAGCAAGGTTCGAGGATGAATGCTGTTTGACTGTTCCACCCCCGCGAGCCCAGATTACTCTCAGCGGCAAGAGACTGTTTCCCCAGATCCCACTCTATCGATGTCGAGAGTGGCTCGCGGATGTGGAGAAGGTGGCAGTTGAAAAGGGTATCTTCGCGCGATAGGATACAGGAGCTTTCGAATTCAGTTTTACCTCCTACTCTTATGACCAGATTCCTGGAAAATAAACCCGAAATGTGCGAGTCTTGATAGGATGATTGTCGACACCCAGACCGCTTCCTAAATAGGATAGATTTGTACTTTACAATACGACTGCGAGACTTCGATTGCTGTATTTTACACGAAACCGCTATACTCATTACCTCTGCCATTAGGCCAGGCGCAGGACCGCGTGGCCCACTGGCGCGGGGTGGCTAGCTCCTTAATCACTACTGTAATAGAACGGCGAATAAAGGAACGATGAGCTATGTAATTCTGGTGCAATGTAAAGCGATTTGTATCCTGCTCACGATAAACGACTCATAGATAATGTATCATCCTGAGTGATGATAGCCGATGGGAAATTTTGAATGAACCAAGTGCCTCAATAGTAGTAGTTCATGACTCCATTTAGGAGAAACAACTAGACTACTGTTGATTCTTGACGACCCAGGGTCAGGCAGGGAGCGAATTAAATTGATAGGAAAGAGGTAAGTATTTCCGGCCATCACACTTTCCGTGCCCACTTACTTATCCAGCAGCCATACCGCGTACATTAGTTTATACAATATTCGGGAAGAGCTTTCGTGTAGTCCAGAGTACATGCTTTGCCTCTTGACTACACGTTGTGGCTTTCATGGCCGTTTAGCTTTGTAAAAGTTCTGGAGAGGTGGACTCGAGATACCGTCATTTGCATGAGCAAATCAGAGCATCCCAATATGAACGGACAAAGGTACATAACTTCATGTTAAACGTCGTATTGCGTAGCAAAGACACTCGGCCAAAATGGGCTCTCAAACCTTTGTCTGTGATTTCGAGTACCTCCGAGCAGTGTAGCATGATAGCATTCTGTGGTGTGTAATTGCTTTAACCACTCGTTGCTGCTGATACTTTCTTGCTCATAATGGACTGTAACTTTGAGTAAGGGCAAACGCCATAGTAGTCAAATGGGTTGTTTATCTTGGCAAAGGAAACCTCTTCTTGACGGCCATAGTAAGATGTCTCAACACTACGAGCTAACAAGTCTGATCGGTGGCTGTCGTTCCCTCGATGAGCAGTGTTGATTAGCCGCTTAAAATCAACTTGCCAGCCAGTTCAGGTTGAATAGGCGTCAAAATTTACCCACTACATAAATGTTCAAGCAGCGATAGACGGCGTCAAAAAAAAAACATATAAGGCTCGAGCTAGCGTATCGCTTTTTATTAAGCTTGCTTACTTAACTAGGTCACTCCTCTCGGGGCCGGGTTTAGTAAGAAAATCAGGGGACCCATTGAATGAGTCAGGACGATCAGGGGCGTGTTTAATTATCCTCAGTGAGAAAAAGCGGCGAGGGGGTGAGCACTAGAACGGAAGGAGACCGCCGAGAGTTGCCGAGTATTGTCCGGGATATATGCGGATGAATCTAGATGCGATGAACGGGTTGGGTTCGGACGAACGGGTTAGGCGGGCACATCTCGGCAAGTCTCCTTTGCAAGTAACGCAATTTCCGCGGGGAAGATCGGCAATGTCAGATACTGTCTGCGCCTGATCTGTCATCGGAACGGTCCAGATACGAGCTGCCAAAACAACTGATCGTCAACAAACTCCTGTCATCACATTTGATTCTCCACGGCCGGAACCACGCAACGAATGCAAACGCTAGAAATATCTACCGTGGAATGGATCCTCGGCAATCTTGGAAAATCTCTGATCCCCGACAAATGAACTGGCTGCCCATAGGCTGAAGGGCGTTAGCTTAATTCTCCTCAAGCTCCGCCCTAGGCACGTGGGAGGGGCCAAAGCCCGGCAAATCCTGTATTCTTGGTGCGCAGAGCGGGTCGCAGGGCACCGGCAGTTCGGATTCTCCACGCGCCGGCGTTGAGGTTAATATCATTGTGGTAAGCGCGTGAGTAGTCCCCCACTGGGCTGTCGACTACCGCGCATTGGGCCTGTCGATCCCTCGTCGCCATTCGCTGGTGGCAAGATTCAGGAAGTTGCTTCCAGTGCACTAAAATTGCCCCTGAGGCACCGAGCGTTCTCGATCTCTGCAATATCTACCTTCCCGATTTTCCTGATTGAGAATCCAACCTTCATGGAAATTTTTACCAGCCACGTCTCACCCCGTCAGGATGAGTAGGGAAGAGGAACAACAGAACGCGGCGATCAAGATCGTTGCGGGCCTGTTTATGTCGATAGCATGTGTTGCTGTGATCCTCCGATGTTACGTTCGCGGCTGGGTGGTGAAGGCGTTCGGATGGGATGACGGTGCGATGGTGATGGCTATGGTAAAGTTGCTGCTTGTGGATGGCTTGAATCGTTGCTGACTCTGCGATAGGCATGGTATGTAGTGTACTCCGGGTCCATGATCGGAGCCGGGGTACATGGTAATGGGTACCACTGGTATAGTCTGACAGCAGAAGAGCGCGTGGTCGCCATAAAGGTAACTTGTGCCATCGAATCGGTCAAGGAGCCTCGCTGACTCCTCCGATAGTATTGGTGGTTTTGCGAAATCGCTTTCTGTCTCGCCTCCATTTTCTGCAAGATTTCAATTTGCATTTTCCTGCTGCGCATCTGTATCAAGCGGATCCATATTTTGAGTCTCTATACTGTCATGGTTCTGACGGTCTTTTGTGGCTTGGTGTTCCTGTTGCTGATGCTCTTGCAATGCAAGCCATTGTCCTTTTTCTGGACCAGGATGGCCAACCATCCCGTCGTGAACGTTGAAGGCGAAGGCTCCTGTATCAATATGGAAATTATTGTCGCCATGACATATGTTTACAGTGTCTTTGCCGCAATGTGCGACTTCACGGTGGGCATTTTGCCAATTTTCCTGGTGCAAAAACTGCAAATGAAGCGACGGACGAAACTGGTGGTAGCTGGAATCTTGAGCATGGCCTGCGTGTATGTAACTGCTCTCTTTTCTGGCGTTGAAACATACCGCTAACCGACTTGGCAGTGCATCCAGCGCCGTGATTGTTCGGATTCCATTTGTGAAAACGTTCAATGATTTGAATGACTTTTTGTGTACGTTGTTCTTCCACTTTCCCTTCCGACCTTTCGCTTCGAAGAGCGCTAACCCGCTAAAGATGCCACCGTCCAAATCGCCTACTGGTCAAATCTCGAGATTGGTCTAGGTATTACCGCCGGCAGTCTCGCAACCCTCCGTCCCCTCCTTCGCCACTGGCTCGGCTCACACGCAGGTCAATCATATCCCTCTCGGGTTACTGGAGAACGTCGCGCTGGTGCTAGTGGGCACCGGCAAGTGCCTTTAGAGTCACTGAATGGAACTAAGCAGGGCGAGTTGAGACCCGACAAACTGGCTGTTATGGTGACCAACATCGAGAGCCAAAGAGACTTGGAAAGTTCATGGCCACAGTCATCCAGTCCAACCAGTAGCGAGGAAAGGTTGACTGTGCAGCATCATTCACTCCCAGGAACAATGGAGGTGGGTGTCCATCAAACATTCGAGGTTACACGAACACTAGCGGACGGCGATGATGGGGAAGGGTCTCACCGGATCGCGAGAGAGCATGTATAATAAACAACTTTAAACCTTATAGATTAATGTTTACGCAGAAGTAGTCCCTTCTGTATTAGTGGGTGATTTTTTATATCCTACTATTATTTCTTAAAGTTCTCTGCAACTGGGCCTTTGAATCCTTCGCGTTTGACTTGGAAAACAATATAGAGTGGCGCGTCCTCGTCGCAGGCTCTCCTTTCTTTCTATTCGGACAGCATAGATTTGAGGTCGGCAACGAATGAGATGCGCAATAGATAACAGCTATGGAGATAAAAGAATCATGTTGTCCAACCAGGGTTAGCTCTCTACAGAATAAGCACAGCCGTCTGTATTATGACTGACGGGAAGCGAAGGTTGCGTGTCCAAAGAATGAAGAGAAAACCCCAGGAAGATGCAGGCGAGCGATCTCTACTTTGTTTCCACGGAACCTTACGGTATTATGACGATGACTTACCGATAGAAGTACGGCCATTACTATAAAATTTCTGCCAGAATTACAGAGCGGTGACCTGAAATTGGATTAGGGCCTTTCTGATTTATTTCCCGGGAATGAAGTAAGTGTGGAGATGAAACTGCATTCGAAAACTACTGTAATTCCGGTGCCACGATGGGATGCGGGTCGGGAAGGGGGATTAACGGGGTCTAGAGACTTCGGGGAAAGTCTTACGTGGATTGCGGAGTTCGAAGTGGATGTTAATGGGCGGTTTTGTGCTTTGATTCTTTGATGGATTTGGGGCTGGGGCTGTTGGACTTGCCGCATTGGGTTATTTTTTGTCATCGTCCCGCTGCTTTTATTCATTTGGTCGGGTCTCCGATTTTCTTATTACCATCAGAAGATGTGGGACCCTGAAATGTCTACATATGCTAACAGGGTATCAACGTGCGTGTGAAGGTGTGAAAGGGGTGGCAGTCCCACCTTCATCGATGGTGGGGAAAAGCTCTTTGAGCCGCATCGACTGTTTGGGAAGCACACTTGCTTCATCCTTTAGGCACAAGGAGACATGATATCGATGGTATGCTGGTGGAATATCCCCGGAGATGCCCATGGCGATGTTTATTCCCACCAGGGCGTTCGATATGACCTCACTCTTTGCCCGATACTTGTACTAAAATACTTGAATTGGAACAATTACTGGCGCTTTTATCATGAGGTTGGCAAGAGCTCAGGGGTGCTCGTAAATTTTTCGATAAAAGTGAACAGGAGTCTCCCTCTGACTGTATGCATCCTTCTTTACCTGTCAGTACATTACTTTTCCGCATACAAGCTATTGGCTCATAAAACGCAAAAGGCTCTACCTAGTACAATGTTTTTGTGATTGCTAAACTTCAAGGACCTTGATAACCTTGGACACTGTTAGTACTATAAACTCTGGGGTGTTATCTTTCATCGCAATAGGCATATCGGCAATTAACCCGCAGAAAATCCTAGACTTCTTTGCTTACATCTTCAGTCGGCTTGACCAAAAGCGCTGAAAAAAGGTTATCGTCGCGATCGATTTGATGGTGACTTTGTGAAAATATTTTTGAGGAAAAAAGTTCGAACAAATCAGATGCCTACTGGCTTCTAGGCGGCAGCAGTACGTGCTGCCCAATGCGAGCCAGAAGACAACGTTGGCTCCAAAACGTTCCCTTGTTGAGTAACTGACCTCAACCCCACTTTCCCCCACTTTCCGCGCCAACTCGTCTTCTTGTCAACTTTCTTGCCATTGATAATGAGTTTCGGCTTCAGCATTGGTGATTTTGTAACTGTGATTGATCGAGCCAACATCATTCGAAGAAACTTCGTTGGTGCGCCTGCTCAATTTAAGGCTCTCTCCGATGAGTACTGCGCTACCGTGTTGCTGTATGACGAGACATTCTCACTGATGTATTCGTCAATAGGGTCAGGAACCTTACCATCGTCATAAATGATATCAAAATCAATTTATCTGGTACCACTCTTTGCAATGCTCAGGAAACGAGGCTGCAAGAAATAGCAGTCAGCTGCAGTAACGTTCTCACTGGAATTGAGAAGACTATTGAGCGATACTCCGCGATAGACGCCCCGCATAGTTTCAAAAGGATCTGGAAACGTCTCAAATGGGAACCAGACGATGCTAGTGATCTTAGAAATCGTCTTTGCAGTAATATTGGCCTTCTGAATGCTATCAACGGGCGGATGACTCGCGACGGTGTCTTGGATTTACTAAAGTATAAAAGCAACGAAGAAAACCAACAGTGTCTTGACTGGTTATCGCCAACGAATTATGCGATACAGCAGAGTAACTTTATCGGTCGGCGCCAACAAGGGACAGGAGGGTGGCTTCCAGAGTCACTCAAATTTCAAGTATGGCTCGAAAGACCACAGCAAACATTATTCTGTCCAGGTATTCCTGGAGCTGGCAAGACAATTATTGCATCGATTGTAATCAATGAGTTGGAGATTCGATTTGGAAATGACCGCGACGTCGGCATTGCATATCTTTTCTGCAGTTTTGAACATTATGACGATCAAATACAGAAAGCAGAAAGCTTACTAGCAAGCATACTTCGTCAGCTGGCTCAATGCCTGGGTTTAATTCCAGAGAGTGTTATAGCCTTGCACGCTAAGCACAAGGCCAAAGGATCACGACCTTCGTTTAATGAAATTTCTAAGGCCCTACGGTCGATTGTGAGTGGTTTAACCCGTGTCTTCATTGTCATTGATGCATTGGACGAGTGCAACACTCTTGCAATATCACCAATATTGGACGAATTCTTTGATATTCAGTTAACGACTAGATTGAACATTTTGGCAACATCGAGGTTTGTCCCCGAGATAATGGCTAGGTTTCAGAAAATGCCTTCTCAAGAAATCCGGGCAACAAACCCAGATGTGATGGTCTATCTCAATACCAATTTGAGGAAACTCCCAGCCTTTGTGTCGAGAAACCAACCGCTTCAACAAGAGATCGTAAAAAAGATCACCGCTGCCGCTGATGGAATGTGAGCCCAGACCTATATTTCCTATCTAACTGATTTGGTAACCCATTCTCACAATACCGTAGGTTTCTTCTTGCGCAGCTTCATCTGGACTCGCTGAGCGAAAAACGCTCTGAAAGAGCAATAAAACGTGAGCTCGAGGGGCTAGCAAGAAGCTCTCAAACATATGACACAGCATACGATAAGACTATGAAGAGAATCGAAGGCCAGGGCTCGGATAGGAGAAATATGGCAATAGAAGCGTTGTCTTGGGTAACTTGCGCCAGAAGACCGTTGACAAGGTTGGAGCTACTACAGGCCCTTGCCGTGGAGCTTGGTGAATCCTCATTTCATGAGGACAACCTTCCCGATATCGAGGACATCATTTCTGTTTGTGCAGGCTTGATCACAATAACATCGGATCCTTCAGGGGATATAATTCGATTGGTCCACTACACCACCAAGGAGTACTTTGAACGCAAGTGGACTCGCTGGTTCGCAGATGCACATAATAGGATTGCGACGATTTGTGTGACATATCTCTCATTTGATGTTTTCCAAAAAGGCATCTGCTCCACCGATACAGAGTTTGAAACACGCCTTGATCAATACCCTCTTTATTCTTGTGCAGCTAAAAACTGGGGGCACCACACTCGGGCCTAGCCAATAAATGAAGAATTGGTCATGGCCTTCCTCAGTGATACATACAAAGTCAATGCAAGTGTGCAAGAAATTTTTGCCCTCAATGGATTTTCAAGTTATGGTGATTATTCCCAACGGGTGCCTATAGGGTTCACCGGCCTGCATCTGGCTGCATATTTTGGGCTTGAACGGGTGGTGCAGACCTTGATCCAACATTGCGACCAATCTCATGTGGTGGATTCAACGGGCAGAACACCCTTCATGTGGGCGATACACGCTGGCCATAACGAGGTTGTCAAGCTCTTCTTGGAGAACTTTGTTAATGCACACGTACGTGATAGAATGGGTCGAACGCCTATCTCTTTGGCCGCCTCGGTGGGCTGCGTTTACGTCGTAAACCTTCTTCTTGATTACGATGTCAATCCAGACTCCACGGATATCGATTGTCAGACCCCTCTTTCATGGGCGGCGTATCGAGGTTACAATGAGATCGCCCAACTTCTCGTCAGGAGAGGTGCCAATCCTGATCCGAAAGACGAGTATGGCAAAACACCTCTTTCATGGGCGGCTGCCGATGGGTGGGTGGAAATTGTTCATTTTCTACTGCAACAAGCCGTTGAGGTAGATTCTAAAGATGAGCTCGGCCGGACACCAATTTCCTGGGCTGCAGAAAATGGTCATACCGCTGTGGTTAGGCTCTTGTTGGAGAAAGGTGCCTCGCCAGACTCGAAGGATGTAGAGGGGCACACTCCTTTATTCTGGGCAATCCACTATGGCCATGAGGCCGTTATCCGGCTTTTCCAAATGAGGCCTATCAGCTTAAACCCGTGGATTCCGGTAAGACATAACGGGGATTCTGTGGCCCAAAACACAAAGCACGGTTTGCCATTGATTTTACCAAGCGGCAGTACCTATCCACTCTTCCTGGAGTCCTCAATGTCCCTCGATCAGAATGAGCCTACGCATGGGACTCAGCTTACGTGCCCACTTTGCTTTGCGCGATCTTGGTCATCATATAGTCGCGGATCGTTGAAAAGACACGTGGAGAACCAACACTACCCTCGTTTCAGTTATTGTTGCATCGAACGATCTTGCGCACGGCAGTTTTTGAGACGCGATAAAGCGAGAACCCATTGTTTATCAATGCATGGGATCATCCTAAACCACGAAGTTTTGCGCAAAAGCCAAAAAGAAGAGTCCCCACCTTCGGAATGCCCGCTTTGCCAAAGATGTGTCAGCTCGTGGAGTGAATTTTTCGAATGCGTGCTGAACCATGCCCAGGATCCTTCGCCTCGTGGGGCAGACATGGATACTTCCAAAATGCCCTAAGTTTCTACCGATTTTTTTTGTCGTACTTTAGCTACGTTGCGCGGCTATAGCGATTTGAGAAGTGTCATTGACTGGCTGGACGATATTCCTAATACGGAGCCTGTTGTCGTGCCTCGACGTGAAGAAATGGCGTTTATAGTGGATGCTTATGGAAAGAAGCGGGACAACCAACGGTCTGCTACGCAGGAGAGTCTTTATAGCAAGCGAATCTCTTCCAGCAGCTATGGGCGTGCAAGATTTGGTGCCGCTATGCCCTCCGTGAAGCGTGGCACGAAGCGAGTGAACACGAAGATGCCCACGGCGAAGGATCCTATGATATTGGGACCAAAATCCAGCCAGCCAGAGTCTTGTATGAAATTCGAAGAAAGGGAAGGCGACGAGAGATAGTTGATATCAAATTTTAGGTCTGGCAACCAACCGGTTAGTCAACGTGGTCGACACCTTGACCCCTGCATTGAAAGGCACCAAGGCACCGATCGACGCACTTCCATCAGATTCGCCGTGGCCGATGACATAATCGGAGCTTAAGTCAGCGCCGGGGATATCGTCACTCAACGGGTACCTGGTAAGCTCCAACACTTCCTCTCATCTCCCCGTCGCCGTCAGGTCTGCTTCTTGATCTGCCGGTTTTCCTGCATCTCCATCGCCACTTTCTTCATTGTCGCTTTTCGTTCGTGTTATCGAGCTGCTCCGCTCGGTTGTGAACACCTTGACCATTCCCTTCCCCAAGCTCGGTTCTCATCAACGTCACACACCTCAGATCCTTCACAATGTCGTCCGAGCCGGATCACACCCACGAGAAGAAGAGGGTTAACCTTCGGTATGCTCCCATGGTGCATCTCTTTCTCGCTCAATGTTAACGATGGTCGCAGGGATGCCTCTGGCGCCGAGCACAAGGAGGTAAGGCGGACTCAGCACAGCGTGGCCACGACGCGGCAGCTAACATCGCACAGGAGCTCGACACCGCCACCGCCATCCTCAAGAAGAAGAAGAAGCCCAACTCTTTGATGTAAGCGAACATTGAGCTACTCTAACTGATTCCTGGGCCGAAGCTGACACCTCATCAACAGTGTGACTGATGCCGTCAATGATGATAACTCGGTTATTGCTCTGTCAAACAACACTATGGAAACTCTCCAACTCTTCCGGGGTGATACTGTATGTCTTTCCCACTCTAACTCAAATTGTTGATGTCTGCTAATCTCCTACTTCCCGAACAGGTCCTTGTGAAGGGTAAGAAGAGAAAGGATACCGTGCTTATTGTTTTGGCCGACGATGATCTGGATGACGGAAGCGTCCGCATCAACCGTGTTGTGCGCCACAACCTCCGTGTCAAGCATGGTGATATCGTCACCGTCCACGCCTGTCCCGATATTAAATACGTATGTCGTCTTTTCCCTACCTTGACGACCTTTTGGTCTCTGCTAATGTATCATCTCCCATCTAGGCCAAGCGCATCGCTGTCCTCCCTATTGCCGATACCGTCGAGGGCCTGACCGGCTCCCTTTTCGATGTCTACCTCGCCCCCTACTTCCGCGAGGCCTACCGACCAGTCAGGCAGGGTGACCTGTTCACAGTACGAGGTGGTATGAGACAGGTGGAGTTTAAGGTTGTGGAGGTCGACGCCCCAGAGTTCGGTATTGTCGCACAGGACACAGTTATTCACTGCGAGGGTGAGCCCATCCAACGAGAGGATGAGGAGGGTAACCTCAATGAAGTCGGTTACGATGACATTGGTGGCTGTCGGAAACAGATGGCTCAGATCCGTGAGTTGGTCGAGCTGCCTCTCCGCCACCCTCAACTCTTCAAATCCATTGGTATCAAGCCGCCCCGTGGTATCCTTATGTATGGTCCCCCGGGTACTGGTAAGACCCTGATGGCTCGTGCCGTGGCCAACGAGACCGGCGCTTTCTTCTTCCTCATCAACGGCCCCGAGATCATGTCTAAGATGGCCGGTGAGTCCGAATCGAACCTGCGCAAGGCTTTCGAGGAGGCCGAGAAGAACTCTCCCGCCATCATCTTCATTGATGAGATTGACTCTATCGCCCCCAAGCGTGAGAAGACCAACGGTGAGGTCGAGCGCCGTGTCGTTTCCCAGCTCCTGACCCTCATGGACGGCATGAAGGCCCGCTCCAACGTTGTGGTCATGGCCGCCACCAACCGCCCCAACTCCATTGATCCCGCGCTCCGCCGCTTCGGCCGCTTCGACCGTGAGGTTGACATCGGTATCCCCGACCCCACTGGCCGTCTGGAGATCATGCAGATCCACACCAAGAACATGAAGCTAGGTGAGGATGTCGACCTCGAGACCATTGCCGCCGAGACCCACGGTTACGTCGGTTCCGATCTGGCATCCCTCTGCTCTGAGGCCGCTATGCAACAGATTCGTGAGAAGATGGATCTCATTGATCTGGATGAGGATACTATTGATGCTGAGGTTCTTGACTCCCTGGGTGTCACCATGGAAAACTTCCGCTACGCCCTGGGTGTCTCCAACCCCTCCGCCCTCCGCGAGGTTGCCGTGGTCGAGGTTCCCAACGTCCGTTGGGACGACATTGGTGGTCTGGAGGAGGTCAAGCGCGAGCTTATCGAGAGCGTCCAGTACCCTGTCGACCACCCCGAGATGTTCCAGAAGTTTGGTCTCTCGCCTTCTCGTGGTGTTCTGTTCTATGGTCCTCCTGGTACTGGTAAGACCATGTTGGCCAAGGCTGTCGCTAACGAGTGTGCTGCCAACTTCATCTCGGTCAAGGGACCCGAACTTCTGAGCATGTGGTTTGGTGAGTCCGAATCCAACATTCGTGACATCTTCGACAAGGCCCGTGCCGCCGCTCCTTGCGTCGTCTTCCTTGACGAGTTGGACTCTATTGCCAAGTCCCGTGGTGGCTCCGTCGGTGATGCCGGCGGTGCTTCCGACCGTGTTGTCAACCAGCTCCTGACTGGTGAGTTCATCTGAAATTCTTATATACTGATCATTGCTAATATCACAACAGAGATGGATGGTATGACCTCCAAGAAGAATGTCTTTGTTATCGGTGCTACCAACCGTCCCGAGCAGCTTGATGCCGCCCTGGTCCGTCCCGGCCGTCTGGACACTCTAGTCTACGTTCCCCTGCCCGACCAGTCTTCTCGTGAGGGTATCCTCAAGGCTCAGCTCCGCAAAACCCCTGTTGCCGACGATGTCGACATATCCTTTATTGCCAGCAAGACCCACGGTTTCTCCGGTGCCGATCTTGGCTTCGTGACCCAGCGTGCCGTCAAGCTTGCTATCAAGGAGGCCATCTCCATCGACATCGAGCGTGTCAAGGCTCGCGAGGCTGCCGGCGAGGACATTACCATGGACGACGAGGAGGATGTCGAGGACCCCGTTCCCGAGCTCACCCGCGCCCACTTCGAGGAGGCCATGAAGACGGCGCGCCGCTCCGTCAGCGACGTCGAGATCCGCCGCTACGAGGCCTTCGCTCAGAGCTTGAAGAACTCCGGAGGCAGCAGCTTCTTCCGCTTCCCTGGTGCTGGGGAGGTGCAGAACAACGACACGTTCGGCGACGCCGGCAATGACGATAGCCTCTACGACTAAATGGGTTCTTTTTTCCCCTTTGCTTTGACGATTTGTGATTTTTAGGCCGCTCTATCTCGGCCAGGGTTCCTGCGGTGAGATTCATAGGTAGATCGTTTTCGAGGTTGGAATTTCCTTTGAGAGCTGGTCTGTGGGCCTTTTTCGATTTGTGCTTTCCTGCCCTCATACAATGTGCCATAATAGCCAATACAAGTGGAGCAATCCCCCCGTTGAATTTTATACGTTCGTAGTTCCATATTTTTGAGATACATGTACCTCTGTACCCGCCCGGCCCCACTGGTAGTATTTGTACCACGCGCTTGACGGGACTAGAGTGCGTTCCGTGCGACTTGCGGGCCCCTCGCCGGTTGCAGGTGTGCTCCAGAGCTTTTAAGATCCAACGACGTTGCGACTCATTGTATAGCTTTCTATAGTACTCGGAATATTTCTCATGATGAAAATTATATGTATTCATTATTCTATCAATGCACGTACGCTCTAAGTCAAGATAGATGCAACGCCAGAACAAAAGCAAAAAGAAAATGCCGGCAGTAAATATGTGCACCAGGCTTTTTTCTCGTCCTAGGATCAAACAGACCAATAAATTAGAACTTCGGGGTGAAGCGGCTCATAGCACGAATCTTCGCGCCATAGAAGAAGAAGAGAATGGGAATAGGAATCATAGCAACAGTAATGAAACCCAACACACTAGAAGCCCAGTTGACACCAAGATTGTGGTACATCTGGGTTGCAAATAGCGGGAACGCACCACCAAGCGCAGAACGAACAAGAGTGTTCGCAGCGATGGCAGAGTTGGCGTACATCATATACACATCGATGATGTAGTTGAGACCTTGCATGAAAATAACCAGGATACCCATGCCGATAGGCACGCCGGCAATAACCTGGGGGACCCATGAGACGTGTGGGCTGGAGGTCCAGCCGAACCAGAAGAGGCCGATGGGTAGGAGCACGGAGGCGATCATCATGGGCACGAGACGCTCTTCGGGGACGACGCGGCCGTGCTTCGCAAGCTTGCGGGCGAAGCGGGTCTTGGTTGTGTAGACGATTAGGGCGACGCCAAGGAGTACACCGATCATGATTCCGATGAAGGGGAGAGCGGCGACACCCTCGTTGGTCCAGCCACGGACTTCCCCGAAGGAGACGGGGTAGGCCTCGAAGAAGAGGTAGAGGATACCGTAGATCAGGGCCAGGTAGATGGTGATGCAGATGAGAATGGGCTCGGCGAACAGCATCTGGAAGGGACGCAGGAGGTACTTGTAGACAATATCCGACATCGTGGGCCTGTGTTCGTCCAGGAAAGAGTGCAGGGCCCAGTTACGGGTCTCCCGGCGCAGACGGGCAGCACGCTCTTGAAGCAGCTTGGGGCCGTACGTCTCGGGTACGATGATGAGGGCGATCAAGCCAAAGAAGGCAGATGCGATGAGTGTGATCCATGCGGTCCAGCGCCAGCCCAAGTGGCTCTCTGTGATGAAGCCACCGATGATAGGTCCCAACACGGGGCCCAGGAAGGTGGCTGAACTAAACATCGCAATGGCGACGGCGCGGTCAACGGGGTCCCAGATATCAGCCATGGCACCGCCGACACAAGCGAGTGGAGAGCAGCCAAAAAGACCGATGAGGAAACGACAGATCATGATTGTCTCAAGGTTCTGCGCGACAGCGACGGGGATTTGGAAAATGGCGAAGATGATATAGCCAGAGAAGAGCGGGAGTCGACGACCGTATAGTTCGGACAACGGGGCCCAGAAGAGAGGGCCCAGAGCGAAGCCAAAGACGGTCAAACTGGTTCCCAGAATCATGACTTCGCTGGAGACGTTGAATTCTTTCGCGGTGACTAGGGTTGCGGTCGAGAAGACACTGCTAGCAAAGGTAACCCACATAGTCATCAAAGACATGGACACAGTAATGATCCATTTGCGCAGCCGCGTGAAGTTCTGGGGATTCTCAGGATCATCGGGGCCGTCCCATTCCACGAGGTTGGGGTCTTTTTCGGCAGGCTTTTCCGTGACTTGCTGATTCTGGGCACTCTCAACATCGGTATCATCTTGAGGCGATCGTATCTTGTCATCAGGAACAGCCGCAACGGGCTCTTGGGGTTCGTGGTGCTCCATACTTTGACGGGGAGTGGTGAGAGCCGAGTCAAATTGATTCGTAGTCATGTTGAGTCCAGGTTGTATAGTAGTATGGGTATACACTTCACGTGCGCCACTAGGGATGCGTTGAAAGCGTTATTGATCTTGTTACAGAGAAAGCCGTACAGGTGGGCGATCAGGGAGCATTTAACCGCCATGGGAAATCTATGCTCGTGGGTCTTCTAGAAGAGAATCGGACCGGAGCTAAGAAGATCAGAAAGCTCGGAGCAAGTGCAAACCTCGTGGCCCGACCCATCATCTACTTGTCGAGTCCACTATCTGCTATGTCCGTCCATAGGGCCGTGGTAGGGCCGTGGATTACACAGTATAGGCCCGAAGACGCGAGATGCTGCTTCACATCTTGAAACAAGATATCGTGCCGGTATCCCGCCCTGGTGAAGGCCAGATTGAGCACGGTAAAACATGGGACATATCAAAATCATTAGTCACTGAACTCTCCCGAGCTCATCATCGTATCAGAAGACCCTCTGGCGGTGTGAAAAAAGCCCCGATGGCGTCAGTCGCCACAATCAGAAAGAAAAGTGATTCGACCAGACGCTCGGGGTCGGTCTTCGCGTGGGCCGAACGACCGAGGGAAGCAGTTCGGCAGATTTCGTGACCCCCGCTTCCGGTTACGAATTCGATCCGATCTCGATGCGGAAGCGTGTTGTTTGGTGCTCCTTTGAGCCCGACCAGCTTCATGAGCTTACTCGTAACCCTGTCAGAACTCGCCCTGACACTCCGTCGTGCGGCTGCCAAGGCTTTTATATCCGTCTCGGTCGGCAAATTCGTTCATCGGGCCCGATAAATAATCAGCCCCACTCCTGGGATATTTTCAGACCAACGTGTAGTATATTGCAGGCATCTACATAAAGCTGTCTAGCTATAGATGCCTAGGGTCTCCAGTTGATGTCAGAGTGTTGCTGGTGGGGACTCGGCTCACCTGCCGGGTACCTGCCCGAATGCTACTGTATGTTGATAGCAGCAAATGCATTGTGGAGATAAATCCGACTGATTGACATTGAAGTACATACGAAAATCCGATGAGATCAGAAATGTACAATGAATCAGAGAACTACCAAATACACAGCCCGAAGATGTTCAAAACCAAAGGGAACCCGTTGGATCAGCACGGTTTTGTAGGGCAGACGCGATCCCGTGCGACGCGTCTGGGCGGTCAACCTCCACACCACCCTTTTCGTACCGCGTCCCTCCCTCCTCACATCTCCCATGTGAGATTCGTTGCATCATGCCGTCGCGCACTCGACCTCCTGCCGACGCGGACGAGGACACTGGCCTTCGCAGCCTGTCCTTCAATCAACCGCTGTCGTGGCGCGTGGGGCGCTCCGCCATCCCTATCGCCGATCTACTGGAGCGCCTTCAAACTCTCGCCCAGGAATTGCGCAAGCTTGAACAGGAAGAAATTGACAAGGAATCTTTGCGCAAGGTCTCTCAGGAACTCGCCAGCGCGCACTTGCTTGCCCACAAGGATAAGGGTGTGCGAGCGTGGGCCACATGCTGCATCGTCGATGTCTTGCGACTCTGCGCGCCCGACGCGCCTTTTACACGGAACCAGCTTAAGGTGTGCATTGGCAGATGGCGAGCGGGAATCGTGATTCTTTGTAAATGGGGGACACGCGCTGACCACAGACTCGATAACAGGATATTTTCACATGTATCATCACATCGATTATCCCCGCACTGGCCGATCCGTCCAATGCCTACAATGCCCAGCACATCTATGTCTTGGGCTCGCTCGCCGAGGTTAAGAGCATTGTCCTAATGACTGATCTCGACCATCCCGATTCGCTCATCGTTCCCCTCTTCACCAGCTGCTTCGACATCGTCTCGGGCTCTTCCAAGGCCTCCACCGGTGAGGAAGTCGCAAAGGGCGTCGAATTTGACATGACCCGGCTGCTGGTCACCGTGATCGATGAAACGCCCGTTTTGGCTCCGGAGGTGGTGGATACTATTGTGGCACAGTTCTTGCGGGTCGACCCCCGCGTGCTGGACAACCCGAGGAAGGGCAAGCGAGGGGATGGTCCGATTGATGCTAAGCAGGACACTCTGTTGCTGAAGGATTACCCGCCTGCCTACAATATGGCCAAGGCCATTTGCCAGGCCTGTCCCGAGCGAATGACCAGCCATATCAGCCAGTACTTCAACAATGTCATCATCGACGCCTCCGCCCAGTCCGGTCAGACAAATGGCAACAAGCAGGGCGTTCGGAAGACAGGCCTGGATGATTCGGACGAGGAAGGAGAAGATATAAAGGAATTGAGCAAGGCGCACCGTCTGATTCGGGAACTCTGGCGCGCCTGCCCTGAAGTGTTGCAGAATGTCATTCCTCAAGTCGAAGCTGAATTGTCTGCAGAGTCCGTGGCACTGCGTTTACTCGCTACTCAAACCATTGGTGATCTTGCGGCGGGCATCGGCGTTGCCGGCCCCCCTCCGGCACCTCCCATGGATCCAGTGACATACCCCCCGGTGACGCTGGAGGAATATCCACAGACAATCCCTCAACCCAATGTCCTCCTTACGCCCCTGTCTCCCAAGCCCTTCTCTCAAGTCCATGTCTCAGCTTATGATGCATTCTTGAGCCGCCGACTGGACAAGACCCCTTCAGTGCGCGCTGCATGGGTCACTGTTGTTGGACGGATCCTCCTGACTTCGGCTGGAGGCTCTGGTCTAAGTGAAAACGAGGAGCAAGGTCTCGTTCAAAGCCTAGCTATCATGCTTCAGGATGCCGACGAGAAAGTCCGCCTCGCTGCGGTGGATGCCGTTGGACAGTTTGGCTATTCCCACATTGTTAACAAGCTGGGTGTAAACGGCGGCTGCTCATCACCCGGCTCGGTGCTTGCGGCTCTTTCGGAACGACCAAAAGATCGCAGACCCCAAGTGCGCGAACATTCAACCAAAGTCCTGGCTCGTATCTGGGCGGTGGCGGCTGGTGATATCGAGCAGAATACCGAGCCTGTTGCTTCTTTGTTGAAGGATGCACCTTCGAAGATCTTTGATGCTTTCTATACAAACGATCAGGAGGTTCATGTGCTCATCGACCGAGTGATGTTTGAGACGCTTCTCCCCCTCAACTACCCCCCCATCAAGTCAAACAAGTCTCGGGGCGCCTCCAGCCAGTCTCGAAAGCAGAAGGACAGTCAACCATCTGAAGAAGAAAACGATGTCGACAAGATCCGTGTGCGTCGTATCCTTACATTGCTTCGAGGGTTGGACGAAAAGGCTAGGAAAGTATTTTTTGTCATGCTGGCCCGTCAATTGCAACTGAGGTCGGCCGTGACAATGTACTTGGATTCATGTGAGAAATACAATGTAAGTATCACGGCTTGCACGCTGGCATTTCAACACCATACTGACATTCTAACAGGGTGGCGTGATTGACAAAAACGAAGATCAAACCAAGGCACAACTATCGAGAATCATTGACTCATTGTCCAAGCTTTTCCCCGATCCCTCACGATCATCTGCAGACTTGTGGAAATTTGCTAAGGTCCATGATCGGCGCAGTTATCAACTGACCCGCTTCGCCATGGCTGCTGCCAGCGACTATCGTACTGTGATCAAGGCCATTAGGGAGCTTCAGCGACGTGCACAAAGTGCCAACAATGCGCCTCTGCTTGAAACCTTGACACCTCTGCTATACCGCTGCGGGTCTTTGATCTTCAACCGGAGTCACATTCCTGCGATCATGAGCCTGTCTCGGACCGATGAGAACGGCCTGGCCAATGCCGCTCAGGAGATGCTGAAGGAGATCTCCACTCAAAACCCGGAGGTGCTTGAGGCACAGGTACAAGAAATGTGCAAGGACCTGGAAGCGCAGGCCCCGAAGGCCAACTCTCCCGGCGATGACAGCAATGAAGACATCCTCAAGGCTTGTGCGGGCTTCGCTAAGAAGCTTCCAGCCAAGCTTCCCAAAGAACGCAAGTTCTTCCAAGCGCTCACAGGCTACGCCCTTTACAGTTCTTCGCCACGGTCTGCGAAACACGCCGTCTCAGTTCTCATGGCCACGGCCGACAAGAAGGAGATGTATGCGAAGGATCTGGTCCAGAAATGTGTCAAGAAATGGACCTACGGCTCTGATCACTTCCTTACTCGTCTTGCTGCTTTGTCGCAGCTGAACCTGCTCGCTCCGAGGGAAGCAGACGAAGAGAGCGATGCTATCATTTCCATTGCTATCAACAAGATTCTTCTTACCAACCTTTCCCCCGAGACGGATTCTAAATACCTTTGGTCTGACACAGCCGACGACGAGACACAAGCCAAGGAGTGGGCCCTCAAGGTCATTGTTAACCGTCTCCGGGCACAGGACGGAGCTGATAATGAAGCGGATTTCCGTGCCCTTGCCAAGCCTGTATATGACACCTTGAACAAGCTTGTGGCTGGCGAGGGTGAACTGTCCAAGAAAAAAGATACCCCGGCGACCCAGAAGTCCCGGCTCCGGCTTCTTGCTGCCAAGTCTATAGTCAAGTTGTGTGCTTCCAGCATTCTGTGTGACTCACTGTTGACTCCTGCAGACTTCAATTCTGTTGCCCTGGTCGCTCAGGACCCTCTACTGGAAGTCCGCAGTGGATTTGTCAACCATCTCAAGAAGAAATTGGTGCAAAAGTCTCACCTCAGCCATCGCTGGTACATTGTTCCTTGCCTGCTTGGCTTTGAGCCGAGCAGAGGCTTCAAGGAAAGCACGCTCACGTGGCTGCGATCTCGCGCTGCGTATTTCTCCCAAAAAGCCCAGGCCAGTGGAAAGCGCACAGAACAGAACATGGTGATGGAGATGATCTTCTCCCGTCTTTTATCTCTGCTTGCTTATCACCCAGACTACCCATCTGACGACCTGGATGAGTCAACAAAGCTCGCTGATCTCAGCGACTTTTCTCAGTACATCCTCTTCTATCTCTCCGCAGTGGCCAACGAGCACAACATGTCATTGATCTTCCACGTTGGTCAGCGCGTTAAGCAATTCCGCGATGGCATCACCAAATCCGACGAGATTTCCACCCGTCTCCATACGCTGTCCGATCTGGCCCAGGCGGTCATCCGACGCTTTGCCGACATATACTCCCAACAACACAAGTTCGGTGGTGCCGCCGGTGGAACCAACATTCTGCAGACCTACCCTGGAAAGATGGGTGTTCCCAGCACACTGTTCGCCAGCATTCCCAACCACCGCGAGGCTCAGGATGTTGCCGACAAGAACTTCCTCCCTGACGAGATGGACGATTTGTTGGATCGCGTTGTGCGTGCTTCAATGAAATCCAAGGGTTCTTCCGGCACGCACGCTTCCGCCAAGAAACGCAAGCAGGAGTCCCTGGGTGCCAGCGGCCATTCGTCGGCAGCCAAGAAGGCACGGAAGGAGAAGTCCGCTCGCCCGCCACGCAAGTCTTCTTCATCTGTGGGTGTGTCAAGCAAGGCTCCCAGGCGCAAGCGCAAGGGTGAAGATGACTGGTCGTCTGATGGTGGTGCTGGGGATGATGTGCCTGCCTCCGCTCGCCGACGCAGCAGCCGGGGAACTGTAAAGCATGATGTCAGCTATGCAGACAAGGACAGTGATGAAGAAGATGAGGAGATGCAGCAGTGGGACCAGGCCAAGGCTGAAGATGACGATGCCGAAGAGGAAGACGAGGATGAAGAGATGGAGGACGATGACAACGCCGAGGAAGAGGAAGAGGAAGAGGACAACGTCAAAGTCGGCGAGACTAGTGAGAAGGAAAACTCACCCCCACCCCCAAGGCGAGGCGGCAAAGGGTCCAAGGCGAAGGAAAACCAGGCCAAGAAACCGGTGACGACCACCTTGCCCTCGCGCCGGTCATCTCGGCGGGGCTGATGCGCAAGATATATGAATGGAAATACCCCCTTTCTCATTTTGTTCTTGTTCTATGGTTTCATTTCTATCCCGTTGTGTGAATGCGCACGTTGCTTATTCATACCTATTTCGTGTGTTATCTGCAGTTGATAATGTCTGAGATGTATACCCAGTCTGCTTTGATGTCTTCGGCCTGTTCTGCTGAACTCTGATTGTTTCGTTAATGATTGCACCTGTCAGTCAAATATTATCATCATATGCACGTATCACTTTTGCAATGTCGTAATGTCTTAGCTGTATGGTGGGCTGTACAGGTTTTTGGCAGATCATATACGTTTTCCCCTATATCTTGGTGTGAATACAGAGTCTGCCGTATTTTGTTGACTAGATTTTACTGATTGTGATTCGATTCTTTTGTTGTGAAAGGTGGAAGCATAAAAAAGAAGGAAAGACGTATGCAAGACACATAGGAGAATTGGTTTGAATGACCAAAGAAAACTCCCAGGGAACCCAGCAGCCTTTTACATTGCAAGATGCTTTGCCCAACCGTTATGCACTACAGCACTTTCGGCGGCAGCTCTTGCCTAGATTATCCATATCCAATATCTTCAAAAGTGCTGAGATTTTAGGCTCACAAGCAAGTTTGATTGTAGACATTCCATCACGGTTTGTAAATGGGCGGAACAACCCTACAAAGAGAATCCCGTAAAACTCAGATCTTAGTCCCCAATAATTAACTTCCAGCCATAAACTGCTCTCATCAGCAGCCCCCGCCCCGTTGTAAACGCCTCGTGTTCACGCCAGATACCCAAAGATTGTCAGCATACCCCGCTCCAGCTGCCAGAATCGACCCCCGACCCCCGCTATGGTGTAGTTCCACTTCTGCCTTCGAACGCAAATTCCTATTACGTCTTGCAGAAATTGCCTTGGCGGGTCCATCGTTTTTTCCATTTGTACACTACGTAGGAGGAAGCTTCCTGAGCCCCAAAGTTGAGTCCGGAAATGGTGCCTCCGGACGCCAAGATAGTGATCTAGACAGTTCTGGCGGGGGGCCTGAGTGGAACATGGATGACGGCCGATTCCCGGGACCCAGTGTTTCTTGTCTGGGCGTGCATGCGTGCTTTTGTTATTGGCTATGCAGTGTGAAGCGTGTTTTGGAGGGGCCTTTGCACTGCTGACGATGCTGCAACGTTGGATTGTAACTAACTAGGTACTCGTATTTATACCCAGGCCATATTCCCGCCAAGGTCCAGCTTTTTTTTCTGTCTAACTTGATTCCAATTGAATCGTTGAACTTCAATATTTACTGCTAATATGGCTGCCAAAGGATCACAGCCCATCGAAACTCGGCTGTTCATTAACGGCGAGGTAAGCCACTCCTCTATCACGAATCAGAATACAACCGAACTAACATCCGATTCCCACCCAGTTCCGCGAATCATCAAGCAACAAAACATTTGACGTCGTCTACCCCTACACCAAGGAAGTGGTAGCCCAGGGTAAAACCCTCCCTAAACATCCTATCCCCGATTCGCAGCTAACAACCCCAGTCCACGAAGCCGACGTCCAAGACGTGGACGACGCAGTCGCAGCAGCCAGCGCCGCCTTTCCAGCATGGCGCGATCTGGGCGTCGACGGACGCGGTGCCCTCCTCCGCAAAGTCTCAGAGCTCTTCCTCGAAGCTAATGACGAGCTCGCCCGCCTGGAAACACTCTGCACAGGCCGTCCGATCTCTCAATATATAGATGCCAAGATATCTTCTGAGCGGTGGAGATACTTCGCTGATGGGGCCTGGTCGATGCAGGGCACGGCTAGCACCAACACGCCCGGTCTGCTTAGTATGACCGTCAAAGAGCCGTACGGCGTGGCGGCCTTGATCATCCCGTGGAATTTCCCGCTTATCATGTTCTCGATGAAGGTGGCTGCTGCTCTAGCGGCGGGTAATACTGTTGTTTTGAAGAGTAGTGAAAAGGCGCCTTTGACTGTAAGCGTCCCTTGCACCGAATTTGCTTTTGAACCAAAAGCTGACTCGATATAGTCTATCGCCGCTGCAAAACTCATCCAAAAAGCCGGCTTCCCCCCGGGTGTCGTCAATGTAATCGCAGGCTACGGCAACCCAACTGGTGAGGCACTCGCCTCACACATGGCCGTCCGATGCATCAGCTTCACCGGCTCCTCCCTCACAGGCCAAAAGATCCAAGCCGCCGCCGCAAAGTCCAACATGAAACACGTTCACATGGAGCTTGGCGGGAAATCCCCCGCCGTAGTCTTCGAAGATGCCGACCTCGAAGCCGCAGCCAAAGCCACACAGTTCAGCATCCGCTTGAACAGCGGCCAGGTGTGTGTCGCAAACTCCCGCGTCTACGTCCAGGAATCTGTTGCCGAGAAATTCACCGAACTTTTCCGCGCGCAGTTCTCGCAGTTCCAGTTCGGGGACCCACTGGATCCAACCACCCAGCAGGGTCCGCAGATTGATGTGCTGCAATACAATCGCATCAAAGAGTACCTCGGTATTGGCGCGAAGGATGGCCAGCTTACGCTTGGCGGTGATGCGAATGATGGGTTCTTCGTGAAACCGACGATTTTCGAGAAGGTTCCTGAGGACTCGCGGTTGATGCGCGAGGAGATCTTTGGGCCTATTGTGGCGATTAATACGTTCAAAACGGAGGAAGAGGCGATTCAGAAGGCTAATGATACTGAGTTTGGTCTTTACGCATCGGTCTTTACAAATGATTTGGATCGAGCGGTGCGTTTGTCGAAGGCGTTGCAAGCTGGTACTGTTGGTGTTAATTGCACAAGCCCCGTTAATGCGAAGGATGCTGCATTTGGTGGATACAAGATGAGTGGAATTGGTCGCGAAGGATTGTTGTATAGCATCGATAACTTCGTTCAGACGAAGTCCATCTTGATCAAGGCTAGTGGACAGTCGGCTGGCTTCTTCTGAAGTACTGGTACAGTACTTCCCGAAACTGGTGTCACCACCTACACTTTTCGATTGTTTCCCGAACCCTAACTCGAGACACGATAATCTAAGCTTTAGCCCATCTTCTGCAGGGCTATATCGTTTTCACGTGTAATAGCAAATGATTTATGGTTATAATACTATAAATTTCCGTAGAACCCGTTAAAAACATTCATGCAAAAAATCAAACAAAAAGGGAACCCAGTCTGGCAAGATCTATTCCCACTCTCGGATCTTTCTACTCATTACACGCAGCCTTCGCTTACACTCGTTTGCCACTCAATAGAAGGCTGCGGCGGCGCCACAGAGAACTAAGACTGGTAGGCCATTATGCTTCTCTTCCCATAGTTTTTGTTATTAAATGCGATTTTCATTCGTTACCGGAGTGTATTGAAGCTAGTGCTCCGAGTAACTGACATGAGTCTTTCAAGTCCGTGATCGTGTGCAAAGATGGCACAGCGCCCATATCACATCGATACTATACCCCAGCCCGAAGAGTATGAACCATGGGACCACAACTCGCTATACGCTCCAACCCCTGGATACCTTGGTACCCCTACGAAACCCACTGGCGATTATAATTGATGGCATAGACAATGTTACCCAAGGAGGCGCCTACATGGGCAGTAGCGAGCAGAATGGAGATCGAGAAAAGCGTACCCTTTGGTCTTGTAAGGAATTAAGGAAGGTTACAAAGAGCAGGAACAGAAATTAAAATCATTTTTACCTGCTACATACAAAACTTGATGAAGGAAATCTGCCCCGATGGGTGTCCTAGGGCAAGTAAATTGCCATAGCTCTTGGAAGAACTGGCGCGAGACTCTGGAGGAAGCCATAGGACCTTTTCACCATTCAATGTTATCCACCTCTGATCTTCAATTGAGATATCCACGTTTTTATGACGCGAATAAGGCCTTGGAATGTCACAATTAGACTGAAGATCAAGGATACCCAAGTCTGTGTGTATATACGGCCCGTCATTGGAGAATTGAAGAGTGTTGACTGTGTTCGTAATGTAAGTCTGGTTTAGCTCGCCTGTCGCCGTTTCCCAAATGCGCACTGTCTTATCAGCAGAGCTGGATGCTAGCAGCCGACTGTTGGGCGAGAAAGCTGTCGACCGAACTAAGTCAAAATGGCCCTGGAGAGTATGCAGCAGTATGCCCGTCGTCAAGTTCCAAAGACGAACAGTCTGATCACGAGACCCGGATGCTAGTAGCCGGCCGTCGAGCGAAAAGCTCACTGACAAAACCGCATCTATGTGGCCGTCGAGGGTATGCTGGAGTGCGCCTGTCGCCGAGTCCCAAAGGCGAACCGTATGGTCTTCAGAACCAGACGCTAATAGACAGCCATCGGGCGAGAATCTCACTAACCGAACCCAACTTGAATGGCCCTTAAGAACCTGCCGAAACACACCTGTAGTCGTGTTCCAGAGGTGCACTGTTTGATCTTGAGAGCTGGACGCTAGTAGCCGGCCATCAGGTGAGAACGCCACTGACCAAACCGAAGCTGAATGGCCCTTAAGAGTTTGCCGGAGTATACCCGTCGCTGTGTCCCATATGCATACTCTCTTATCATTAGAGCCGGACGCTAGTAGGCGGCCGTCGGGCGAGAACGCTGTAGACTGAATCCACTCGGAATGGCCATCAAGAGTCTGCTGGTGGGGCCCTATCGTCGTGTCCCAGAGACGTACATAACTTTTGTCAGAGCCAGATGCCAGTAGCTGGCTATTAGGCGAGAAGGCTACCGACCGAACCGTAGCCGAATGGCCCTCGAGAGTCTGATGGAGCGTGCCCGTCGTTGTATTCCAGAGGCGTATTGTCTGATCATCAGAGCCGGACGCTAGTAGCCCACCGTCAGACGAGAAGGCCACTGACCAGATCCATTCTGAGTGGCCCTTGAGAATGTGTTTAATTATGCCTGTCGCCATGTCCCAGAGGCGCACCGTCTTATCAGCAGAGCTCGATGCCAGTAGGCGGCCGTCAGGCGAAAAGGCTACCGAGAAAACCCAGTTTGAGTGTCCACAAAGAGTTCGCTGGAGTGCGCCCGTCGCCGAGTCCCAGAGGCATACTGTTTGATCGTCAGAGCCAGACGCTAGCAAATAGCCGTCAGATGAGAATGATACCGACCAAATTAATCCTCTGTGGCCATCAAGAGTCTGCTGGTGGGGCCCTATCGTCGTGTCCCAGAGACGTACATAACTTTTGTCAGAGCCAGATGCCAGTAGCCGGCTATTAGGCGAGAAGGCTACCGACCGAACCGAAGCCGAATGACCCTCGAGAGTCTGGAGTGCGCCCGTCGACGAGTCCCAGAGACACAATGTCTTATCATCTGAGCTGGACGCTAGCAAGCGGCCATCAGGCGCAAAAGCTACCGACCAAACCGGAGCTGAATGTGCCTTGAGGGTCTGTTTGAGCGTGCCCGTTGCTGGGTCCCACAGGCGTACCGTCTTATCAGCAGAGCTGGATGCTAGCAGCCGGCCGTCCGGCGAGAATGCTACCGACAGAGCCGACCATGTATGGCCCTCGAGAACCTGTAATTCTGCGCTCCAGCTATCCTTAACTCGTGGAAATTGGCATATCCAAGTAGGTAGGTCTTTGTGAAATTGTTGACGGATAATTGCTTTCAGGGGTGTAAAAGTAAGTCCTGCGTCATAAATTTGTAGCGGTACTTCGTCAGCTATCTGGCGATTTTTCAGAACAAAACGCTGTGCATCGTGAAGAAAAGCAGATATATCAGAGTGATGATCACTCTACACTTATCAGTACGTATCGTGTGTAGACATTCAGAGACCTTACAGGTAACACTGCCTTGATGGCATTGAGCATCCCCACCACTTCCGATACGAAACCCAATAGGCTTGTTGCTTCCACCCAGTGTAGAAAATGCGCCTGGAGGAAACATAGAATATCTTCCCACTCAAAGGGCGAGATATTGCTGTTTTCGAGATGGTGGGCCCAGTAACGACAAGAATATTCAAGTTCTGGTGGTAAATATTGGCGGAGGTGTTGGGGATCAATGTCTGCTCTGTGCGTGCAAGTGCTTTTCAAATTGCAAATATTTCTCTGCAGATGCCTTCGCATGGTTTTGAGGCAGAGCTTAGCAATATCTTTGTGTTTACTTCTCTCGTCTACCAGAAATTTGCTGTTGGTTTGGACCAAGAAGTTTCGAAATGACAGATGTAGAATCCTTATCGGCAGATCTTGGTTAGTGGGGACACTGAGAACAGACCGGAATGAATCCAATCGGTTGCTGATTTGGTCCGCCCGAATCCCAATGAAAAGCGACAGTGCATTTATCGAAAGTGGCGCTGCAAGGAGTATAATGACTCCAACAATTTCCTGGAACTCATGCAAGAGCTGCTGTTGCTCTAACTCATCACTATCCTGATCATCTAGGAGCCGTGTGAGGATTGGTAGGTACGTCTTTTCTATTTTCGTCGCATATTTCGCTTAATCTTTTAGGAGCTTTGCAAGGCGTGATACGGGTTCCTATCTCGGATTTTCGATGAATCGGTATATAGTGGCAGCAGAAATAAAGAGCGGAACCGACATTGATACCAATTCTTGTATAACGTCTTCGCCAGGCTAATCGCGAGAAATATTTCTGTCGTGTCTGATTCTCATGAATCGGTCCTTCAAAAATAAACGTATATCGCGTTCTGTCACTTTTTCAGAGACCTCATGGAGTGCTAGGTCCTGATAATCACGATTCGAGATCTTTGAGAAGCTAAGGCGAATTGGGAGTTCCGGCCTGCTAGTTAAGAATATTCGAAGGCGATAAGTGTTTGCCTTCTGTAGAAGAGGCAGTAGTCGGACGATATTTTGTATATCCTAATCATAGTCGTGTCATCACGGAGTGCCTTATGCACACTAGAGCATAGTTCGGATTTCCTAAGCATCAGTTGTTTTATAATTGTCGGGAAGAACTTCTTAGCGTTCCCTCGGTCCCCTTCACCCCTTTTAAAGAAAAAGTTCGCCCCTAGATGGTTGGTATCCTTTAGTGACTTTGCCACCGTCCGAGAAATTGTGGATTTCCCAGTTCCAGCCATTCCTTTTAGCCAGAACACGCTTTTCTGGCACGGCGATACAGCCCATTACATTATCAAATGTAGGACCTCAGCCCTAGTACCTTGAAGACACTCAACTTCATCTCGATTGGCAAATGAGTCAAAACTTGCATCGGACACACTATCCAACTTTCCAAGATCCATTATTTGATAAGTCCGGTCGGTGTTCTGGGCTACGCTGGCCATGGCAGAACTATCTAATGTTAGTCTATCTATCATGCAGACGTATTTATTTGGAGAACATACATTTGATCCACCTGCAAGGATAAAAGAAACGAGGATTTATATCTCTCAAGCTTTTGAACTTCTCCGTCAACCTCTGCACGCTCCAAGGGCCATCTCCAGGCACGAAATCCGAATTTTCTCATTGATTTCTTCCCATTATTAGACTCTAGCTTTTCGTTCAAGGCTCGAAGATCTGAAAGGCAGTGGACGATTTCACTGGCTAGCCGCGATGAGGTAGATAGTCTTTCTTTGTTAGAGTCTCGAAGGGTTTTAAGAAGGTCCTGTAGAATCATTTGGAGGCTTTCTATCGTCCTTTGCAAGGTGACAATCTCGTTTCTTGCATGCTTCACCCGTTGAAGGTAGCCACAACAAATCGTCACAAGGCTACCAGTGACTTGAATGACCGCGATCACGCTTGCAGCGGATGAAATCCCATCCATTTGGAAGAACGAAGAACACTGACATCTATTTTAGCGGAGATAGGTAAGGTGGTGACTGTAGTGTGGACGTAGAGGCTTGTGTTGGAGTTTAGAGTCTTAAAGAGGGGGTAGGTTAGGCGCCAGGCGGGAGTGAGGCTGTGATTTAATATCCATTTTGGGCGCCTAAATGACCAAACATATTTACCGATTGAAGAAATCACACCAATAGTACAAACGCTTGGGAGACAATTTTTGCCTCAGGCTCGGGGCATATAACGAGTTATTAATTTTTTCATGTCGAAGCGAACGGAGACACCACTCTGACCGTCTGCACGTGTAGGTGAATGCTTAGTCATAATTCTTCCATTGACAAGATCTTCAACACCTTGTTAACAAATAGTTGAAAATCGCCAATACGCAACTAGGTTGGGTCTATATTTACAAACATAAGCCTAAATCCGTCGGCAGTACAATAGCGACTTCAAGCTTATCCCTCATTATAATTGCCAGCTGCCTTTCATCACAGGCAAGAATATTCAGAAAATCCAAAAGAACCCGCTTCAGACAAGTAGTGAGATTGACCTCGAACTTGCTACAGTAGCTGCGCTACATCTCCTCTACGGTCAGACCTGCATGCCGAAAGTGTCCCTCTGCGCTTCCTTCCCTGGTACCGACCGTTTCAACACACCACTCGAGGAAGGTATCGAATCCTTGGTCCGGATTATCTTCGTATGACTGCCAGTGCCGCCGAATGAAGGCGTTTAGCTCAGCAAAGAACTCCTCAATAGGATTTAGATCTGGAGAATATGGAGGCAGGTATACTAGTTTCACACCGGCTTCTGAACACATTTGCTCTATTCGGTCAGAGTGATGAAATGACGCGTTGTCCATGACTAGCACAGACTTTAGCTCGGGCCATTTCCCACAATGGCGGAGCAGTTGCTCAATGAAATCCCCAAAGACGGACGCATTAGTCGAGCCTTGGAACACTCGAGGGAAAACAATGCCATCTTGAGCATACGCAGGTAGTATCTGAGATCGCTGATCACGATGGAATTTGGACACTTAAACTGGTGTCACCCCTAGTGGAGACCACCCGGTTCGCCTGAAGCCAATCCTTTTATCACACCCAGATTCGTCCACATAAACAAGGTGGTAAGATCTAAAATCCGAGATAAGGTGGGAGTATTCATCATGAAGGTCGTGATTACGCTCTCTGGCCTTGACCCGGGCAGCTTTTTTTGACCAGCGTTTTGATGCAAGGGCGCGACTAATGCTGGACTTCGTCGCTTGGATATAAAACTCATCCCACAGAAAAAGTGCCATCTCACCGAGATATAGGTTAGGCTTTTCCAGTAGGTGATCACAAAGGGCTTCCAGCATAACTGGACTGATGCTTCGTGGTCTACCACCTTTATTAGGCGGTGCTATGACGCTACCAAATGTCCGAATATTGGAAGAGATTCTTAGGATGGTACGCTTGTGGGAGCCAGCAGCCTTTGCCATCTGCGATATAGATAGTTCCCACTCCGGAGCATGTCCTGTATAAGCTCATGCTTTGAAGGGGCTAGATTAGGCGCCATCTTGGTGTGACCATTAATGGCTGATTGTTAAGATCTGCCCGTATACCAAGGGACGAAGTTCCAAAGTGGGGTATCGAGGTGTCAGTTGTCTCAAATTACAAGTTAATACACCCCACTACACATCCAGATTACTCTACGTAAGAAATAATACAGGGCCCACTGACAGGGATACTCCGGAATAACTTCCAATATAGACTAGTCTGTCTTGGCAATTAGGGTTCGAGAAACAATCGAAGAGTGAAGTGGTGACACCAGTTTCGGGAAGTACTGTATCTCACATTGACGAACTCTCAAATTGATGAATTTTCTGTCCGAGCGTATTTACCTTAGGAACCACCAGCCGATTCAGAGTCAATACTGTACCAAACCATCCTTTTAAGCTTTCTCTACTCAGCCACGGCGACGTCGACCGTGGTTGCGAACAGCAGCGCTAAGCAAAGCACCATCCAGATTAACACCATCAGATGAGGTAATTTGAAAAGGAAATGAGCATTTTATTCTTGATTCGAATCCCGATTCCTTCTCAGCCGGGTCTTGACCTTTTCTTTTGTCTTATAATTCCATCGTATGTTTTAATCGAAGATTTCCTTACCAACCCCCAAAGAATCGTGGGAAGCACGGAGTTAAGCGGCCCAAACACTCTGTCACGGAGATAGGTGCCTTACATATCCGGTTTTTAGTGCGGAGTTCCGTGCTATTTCTTTCGCGAATGTGCAAGGCGGAGAGCTATGCATCCCAGATTGTATCACATGTCTTCAGGTATACGAAGGTTTGTAAGTCGGACATAAGAGGAGAAAACCGAAAATTTTCGTGGACAGCGCCAAGTTGGCGTCTCTATCCTCGATCTCCGGTGAAGTATGCCCCAGGCTCCCGGCCAAAGTTGCTCATCACTAGATCACGATATTTGAAGTATTTATATAGAAATAAACCTTGAAAGTATTGTGGTTATAAATCGCTATTTCCTCTTCGAACGCTGTACTGCAAATTGTCCTGTCACAAACGGAATGTCGCACACAATCAAGAACGTGGCTATTGCTGGGGTAAGGGTAAACAAAAATCCTAGGTTGTCCAAGTTAACAAGCTGTTAGGCCAGTGGAAATGTCGGAGCTCGGGTACCCAGCGCATTACTCGATCTTAACGAATTCAACGTGACTGTGCTCAGTCGCAATTCCAAAGCCTTCCCGGCCGCAGCTCGCGTGAAAGTTGTGGACTTCACTTCGGTGGAGTCATTATCTGCTGCCATCGCCGGACAGGACGCAGTTATCGATACTACTTTTTCGCCGGAAATTGACACACCACTCCGACTTATTGACGCAGCGGCCAAGGCTGGGGTTTATCGCTTGTCTGTAAGCCCGCCTATTGATAGCACTTGATATTTGGCTAATATCCTGTTCTCACACGTTATCAGTATCACCAGTGATTTTGGACTCGATCCAGACCTACCCGGTATTCATGATTTGCCTGTTTTTGGCCGAAAGAAAGCTTCTTATGAGGCCGTGAAGAGACAGGCGGCTGATAATCGCTTGACGTACACCCTGGTAGCATGTGGTGCGTTTCTTGACTGGAGTCTCTCCACTGGGGTTTCCGGTCTGGACTTGCAAGAAAAGAAAGCTTTCATCTTTGGTGATGGAAACAACGTCGTTCCATGGACGACGTTGGAGGATGTTGGCAGAGTGACTGCGAATGTGCTTTTGCATCCGCAGGAGACTCTGAACCGCCCAGTCTATGTTCACTCCGTGTTAATGTCGCAAAATCAAATTTTCGATGCAGCAAAAGAGATCTTAGGTAACGAGGGATGGAAAGTCACTTATAACGACATGGCACCTCTTTGGAAAATGCGTTGACGGACCTCAAGACCGGCAACATTAGTGCCTCAACTTTCGAAGTACAAATACAATACTGCCTAGCGACCAAAGCACTTGCGCACCCCTGGGCAAGAGATGATAATTCACTCCTGGGACTGAAAGAATGGGACCTAGAGAAGGTAAAATGCCTGGTTTGGACAATCGCTCACGAGAGAGTGTGAAGTTGAAGTCATTGTGTTTCCTACGTCACCTTGTCAACTGAATATTTCCGAAAGAGGAAAGATTTTATTCTATTACAACCCAATAAATACACTGTTAAACATGAAAAAGTCGCCAAGTAACCGCCAAATCGCGGTTGGAGAATAGTCTTCATCCCAAGTAGTATTTTCTGAGGGCTCTAAATTACTCCATAGTAATTTAGTGGTTGCTGTAGGTGGTTTGGGAGGCTTAATAGTAATTTAATTTGAGTATCTATAGACGGGATGGCCCATAGGCCACTAAGCCAAACGGGTCTTGATGTCCATGGTCGTGTTTTCTATTTAGTAAATTTTCTATCTAGCCAACAAACACGGAAACATTGATGGGAAATGTAAACATACCCCGGTAGACAGACATTCACCACCAAAGGTGAGGATGGTGTCTCAATCACCCTTCCCTTCGAGCCTCACCAGGCGGCTCAATCAAGTTCCTCCTCTTCCTTTCCTTGCCCAAGCCACATACGTCCGTGGCTCTCCGAATCCTTCTCGAATTCGAGTGCCAACGTAGACAGATGACTAAGCACATTGCCAATGGCCACATCACCCTTGCTCTGTTTGGTGCGACCCAAGGTATCGAGCCACTTCCATTTGCAAAGAGCAAAGTAAACCAGCGCGATCACAACTTCCACGCCAATACAATATCCCCAGAGGCGAACGACATCAACAATGTTGGTCCAACCATTAGCCGTCTCCTTGGGAATGTACTGATCGTAGGGATCGGTGATCATGTCCCGGTTTGCGAACCAACCGAATAAGCAGAAGCAAGTGGCTAATGCATCTACACCACCAATTGCAATGATCAGAGGAAGCGATGGCCAAGTCTCGCCTCCTCGAGTGACGAAGATCAACCAATTTTCTGTCAAAGCAACTTCTAGGAAGATGATCTCCTGAATCGAGCCCCAATTCTGGATGAACCCACCATTTGGTAGGAACATAGTTCCGCGAATGACCCAAGTAGCTAGAGCTAGGAGAATGCCGAGGATGATCGAAATAATCCATATCTTTGGCAATTGCCACTGCACAGGCCTGCGCTCGTAACTGGCGTGATCGTAGGCAACCGCGACAGTTGCAAGGTCGGCAAAAAGCGCGAGGAACACCACTAAATCAGTACGGATACTTTCATTAATGATGATCATCGTAGTGACCAGATAGATTTCCAAATGGAGACAGAGAGCAATACGGTATTGAATGTATGCTTTCATGCGCTGGAAAATTTGGCGCGCTACCTAATCATGTGTCATCAGCTACTGATCATAACCAGATATGAGAGTCGGCCCGATTGGGGACTTACCTTGATCGAATCAATAATCGTCGATAAACCCGGCTCCAGGAAAACAATATCCGCAGCAGACTGCGCAGCCTCCGAAGCACCCTCCACGGCGATACCGCAGTCTGCTTTCTTTAGGGAGGGTGCATCGTTAACGCCATCGCCAGTCATAGCAGTAAGGTGGCCACGGTCTTGCAACATCTCCACCACTTGGTACTTGTGTTCGGGAAAGACTTCTGCAAAACCGTCGGCCTTCTCGACTAGCTCACCGGCCATGGCACCGTTTAGGCCACCGCCGATGAGTTTCTCCGAGTTGTAGACCTTGGTACCCAAAGCAAGCATTTTGCAGGTCTCTTTCGCAATAGCGATTGCGTCACCTGTAAGCATTTTGACCTTTATGCCTAGGTTCTGGGCTTCCGCAATGGTTGAAGCAGTGTCTTCACGCGGAGGATCAAACATCGGCAGCATACCAAGCAGTGTCCACTCCTCGTTGCCTTTTTGAACGGCGACGCCAAGCGAGCGGAACCCACGATAAGCAAAATCTGTCGCTTTCTTCCTGTATAACTTGGCAGTCTCTTCGGAACAGTTCGTCAATTGAAGGACTGCCTTAGGAGCACCCTTTGTGCAGGTGTATTTCTCGCCATTTAGTGAGACGACGGCCACGATTCGCTTGGAAACGGGGTCAAAGGGTGTAAAGCTCTCCGTTTTCCACCCTTGCTGCAGAATTTCCTTGGCCTTTGGGTATTGATTCACAGACAATATGGTCACTTTGTCGATAGGATCCAGAGAATTAACGTTGTGGGACGAGGCAAGCGCTGCAACTGCAAACATCCAGTTCACATCAATGCCTTCGGCGACGTATGGCTCTCGGATGCTCAGCTGATTCGCAGTTAAAGTTCCTGTCTTGTCCGAACAGAGGATATCCACGCCCTAAACTCCGTTAGTCACGAGGTAGAAGAAGTGAGAGCGATAGCATGATCATAGGCATCTACATGCTCAATGCAAGGTACTTACAGCGAGAGACTCGATAGCGGTCAACTTCTGGACAATTGCCTTTTTCTTGGCCAAATACGCGGCTCCCACTGCCAGAGTGGTCGTGGTGACAACGGGCAAACCGACGGGAACACCAATGATCAATAGATCAAGGGTGTAGAAAAGAAGAGTCTGTTCTCCAGGTGAAGCAATTGGCAGGTTGCGGAAGAAGCCACCGATCCACATTGCTAGGATCCATGCCATGACGATAACCAGCAAAGAAGTACCGATGCTGTCCATGACCAGTTGGAAGTGACCTTTGCCCGAGGTGCCCTGAACCATAGCTGCGGTGCGGCCCACAAAGGTCTTGATGCCGGTAGCTTGCACAATACAATACGCTTTGCCGCGTTTGCATCCGGTCGTGTAAAACACTTGGTCACCCATGAAACGGTCCACGGCGAGGGATTCTCCGGTGATAGCGGAATGGTCACAGGAAACGATGGGATAGTCGGGATTATCGTCGTCATCATCATCACCATTCTCACCATTCTTTCCATTCTCTCCGTTCTTTCCGTCCTCTCCATCCTCTCCATCCTCATTCTCGTCCTCGTCATCATTCTTCCTCTTTTTGCCGAGTTTGCCCTCTTCTCGCAGCTTTTTGTACTGCTCCCAGCCCTGATCCTTCTCTTCGTAATCACACACGACTGAAGCATCAGCGGGAACACTTGCAGCCTCTTCCACAATGACCTAGAATATGCCAGAGGAAATTAGAAAATGCACCAAATGACAGCAAGTCGAATCAATCTAGCTTACCACGTCACCGGGCACGAGCTCACGGGCTAGGACATCGACCTCCTGTCCGTTCCGAATGGCCGTACTGCGCATTGCGATGTCGGCTTTGAGACTGGCCACTACATCTTCGGCTTGTTTTTCTTGATACCATCCGACCGCTGCGTTAAGGCAGAGAATGCCAATAATGACACCAAAGTCCACCCAGTCTTCCAGTCCCGCCGCGAGCAGAACAGCGATCTCCATCACTGGCAATCTCCATCAGTACCCGTCATCCACCGTGAATGTTGTGGGGCATCTTACCGTAGAGAATTGGTCCCTGGAAATAACCCACCACCTTGCGAAACTGGTTCGTTTTCTCGGCTGTCAATTCATTGAAACCTACTTTACGTCGCCTTTCTTCCACATCCGAGTCCGAGAGGCCTTGCTGGATGTCGGTGAAACGCCAGTCTTCTGGGTAATCTTCTCCGGCGCCGACGTATTTCCAGCGGAACTTTCTCTTCTTCCACGGAGCGTACCATGCACGACTCTCGCGAATTTCTCCCGCGTCTTTGTCGACCTTGGAATCACCGCGGTAGGTTGACATGAATTTCACGAGCCTTGTGTATTCATCAAGCTTCGCGTCCTTGTAGGAGACGCCGGACGGCCTGCGATTGGCAGCGCCGTTCTCGACGTCGCTATCAGAACTAGACGCCATATTGAAGCAACAATGACAAGAGCACTGTCAGTTCCAAGAAGACCAGTTTATCAAAGACACGAGTTTACACGGAGAGGGGTTGGCCAAAGTGATAGATCGGAGTAGCTAGCGTAGAAGAATCCCGTCCCAGACCAGGGCAGATGTTGACATAAAAGGAATCGAATCAATGCAGACACTCGGATGAATTGAAGCAGGATAACGGCACGGCACAACCGAACCCACCATGTGCTTCCGCTCAAGTAAACGTCATTGGGCCTTGATTTTTGGAATCAGCTGGCGAGTGGATGACGACCGGTCGTGGGGCATTGAAAAAAAAGACGCATAAAGTTATCCGATTTTCCCGAGACAGAATGCCACTTCAGACTGACCATGATGAGTTAATGATGATGCATGAGTAGCAATTGCAGTGCTGGAAGTATGGCAGCCACCTTCGTACGAATCCGCTTAGAGCAGGAGATCAAGGTGGGGAAGCCCCACTTCCAACTTATAGATGATTTTTTTCCTAAACGACACTAGACCAAACCTTTTTTTGGCACCTGTGATGCCACAGTATTTCCTCCCCTGGTGCCTGTTCGTGGAATGAACTGAGCGGGGACCAGGCGGAGCCACGGGAAGGGAAAAAGCTTGGTAGTCTGTAGCCGCCTCCACCGCAACGACACTGCGACGCCGAAGTGATTGGGCATCCTCAATATTAGGCGAAGGTCCGGTACCAACGGGTAACACGGATCTAAAACTTGTTCTCATCCCGCATATAAGGTTCTACTATACAGTATCCTGGGACGTATCGCGCCTCTCAGAAGCCACCCATCCGTCCTGTAGATAACTGTCCGCCAGTTCTTTCCTAGATATTCGCGCCTCGGTTGCCACCGTCTCCCACGTCATCGTGGGTGCCTGAGCCGTCCTTCCGATCGCATGGTTATCGCGAGGCATTAGTACCGGCTAGGCCTGGCTAAACCTCCGGAGACTAGCTGGAACAAGTAATGACGTCTTGACCTTTTAAGATTTTTATGCGAGGGAGCGAAAGCTTGTTTACCTGCTTTCTTCCGACCCCACTACTTAATTCGACGGAAAGTGTGAATTGACCCCGCAAAGACACTACATGCACAGGTATTAGACCTACGATGGTATGAATTCTTGTTTTTTCTGCCTCACCTCACCACCACTCAAAAGATCTTTGGATATTTCGTTCTCACTGCGCCGCTTTTCCCGTCCAATTTCTTCTCCTTGACCAGCACCCTTAAGACTGGAGTGCCCCTTGACAGGTACTGAGCACCACACGAAACTGGCCAACTTTCAGTGGTAAGTCAAGAAGCAATTTCGGAAGAGTATTCTAGCAGATAGAACAAATTCTCACTTGTTAACCAGAACCAACAGAAGCCGGATTGATCCTGTCTCTTCGCTACGCATATCGCTCAATTATATCATGCCTGCTATAAGTCATCCACTGCTCGCCGCCAGGAATGGGATTGTCCGGCGAGACAATTGGGCTGGGCAAGAACCCGGGGTAGTTTTGGTCTTTTGTATTGTTTTCCTCGTCGGGTGTGGAATTCTGTGGGTTATAGTCCAGAAGGCGTTGAAGCACAAACGCGAAGAGCGAGCAAAATGGGAGGTGACGGAGATCAGAGATGAGAAATCGCATTAATTGAGCCCCGGTTCAAATGCCTGTACTTAGACGCGTTTCATACCGCCTCTTGCCATTTGAAATGCCAGTGCCAACCCATTGTATGTGTGTGACCTTTTGTGTTCAAGGATATTCCCCTCTCTGCTCTCGCTACGAGTGCCATTAGGCAGTAACCCGCTCTTACAAAACGCCCATGGGCACTAGTTCCATAGCAGAAGGAGATAGCGAAACCGCCTCCCAAGGTAACATGGCGGTCAGATGCCAATCGGGAGGAAGATCTCCTAATTCCTTATCATCGGGCACGCGTTGGGCGGAGGCTAAGATCATGACGATGACTAAATTACTCCCATTGCTTCAATCGCAAGTCCTGTACTTTGCCCGTGTCTAGATGCTTATGGGGTTGCTATGAACCTTAAGCAACCCTGATAGCATATGAATCGGCCAATCGGAGCTTCGGAACCGGAAATGGGTGCTCGGGGTATTCACCAATGTTGGAGTAAAGTTTTCTGCGGAGAACGGGACGTAATTGTGACGTTAACACCCGCCGTCTTGTGGCGGACTATTCTGTAACTTCGGGTCACTCTGTGATCAACCTCCCGCTGCGCAGTCTGAGCTCTGGAAGGATGAGCCGCTTATCGTCATGCCGTGGTCGCACGTGATCGTGGTGGGGTACGGTTCGCGGGAAACGTATCCGGGAAACAGGGGCCCTCGGGCAATCGGCACGCAACTTAAGTTGCGGTTAAAATCGCCTTTACGAATCAGGGTAATGAGTTAGGTGACGCAAACGTAAGACAAGCATTTGCCTCCTTTGGTACGAAGCTGTGCACGTACCCCACGATGAAGCCAAATCCATGCCGAGAACCGAATGGAAACCGGATTTCTTCATACCAGATATCGCCAGCGCGCTTGCTGGCTCGACTTTTACCTTGATATGCCTTCAAGTCTAGTTCATTGACTGGTTCTCAATTCTTTTCTTTTTAATCCATATAGTCTGACTGCCCCCGCATCATCGTAAAGGAAAGTCCATCACGTCAGGCTTAACAGAGTAAGTTCACCCAATCGACTCTACAGGGCAAGAGTATTCACGATTTGATTTAGCGGAAAACGATACCGAAACATCTGGTGTTGAATGCTAGTTGGCACTAATCAAAACATCAATCAAAGTGGTCATTGAGAAAGACCGGATCGGCTGTCCCGCTTTCGACCAAGCAGCATCACACGTTACTATAAAGTCCGATCGCAGACTTTTTATCCGGGATTTACAGTATCCTATTCTCGCGTTTTTCCCATCCCATCTTCTGGTGACCCAGCAGTTATGGTACCTCGTCAAGTGAAACCTACCACAGAGGTTTCCCACTCATCGGGTATGTGGCGTAAGAGGGTTCGCAAGGCTTGCGATCGATGCCGACTCAAAAAGTCAAAGGTACACACTCTGTGAATGTTAGACCCTTGTCCTTTAGATCTTGTTGACCTTTTACTTAGTGCGACGGCTCCAAACCTTGCTCGCGTTGTCAAATAGACAATTCTATCTGCCTCACAGGTGAGCGCAAAAGTGTCCCTGATAAAGTGCATCCGAAGGGGTGAGTTTCCACGCGGTCTTTTTTGTATATTCCATAATCGCAATGCTCACGACCGACAGGTACGTGGAAATTCTCGAGCGGCAACAAATCTGGCTTGTCCGAGGACTTCGTGAGCTGTATCGACGTTCTATCGAGAGCGGGATTTGGCCTGGCGATCCGTTGGAGCTCGAGGATAACGGGCACCCACTCACTCATGATTTGCTCGCACGATTAGGAGTCATAGATCACAACAAGGACCTTCGCTTTGAGGAAGATAGCCAGTCCCTGTGCAGCCGTGACCCTGATGACCCCAGCGACAGCCCTAGCCTTCTACAATCTCGCTCATCCTCCTCGCTGGGCTCTTCTGTTCACCAAAATAAGTCGACTGCCTCCCTAACCAGCGAACCTATGAGCGCCGGATGGGAAGACAATATCAAACCTCAGCCGGTTAATGATGGCTTGGGTTTCACGCCGCGCTCAGTTAAAGGCGCTGACAGCTCGCCTACGTCACTAGACGTACGTCAACAGACCAGCGAACCTATGAGCGCCGGATTAGAAAATAATATCAAACCTCAGCCGGGTAATGATGGCTTGGGTTTCACGCCGCTCCCAGTTAAGGGCGCTGCCAGCTCGCCTACGTCACTAGACGTACGTCCACACCGGGAGCAACAATGGGTCGGTGGCGACCTGGACGCACTATTTCATGAAAGTGACCTTCTCATTTCGGCCGACCAGACCTGTTTTACGCTCGATGATTTCATTACAGCGGCATCTAGCTCTGAAACTCCTATACCGCTCATAAACGCCCCGTCGGTCCCCCTACACGAACCAGTCATAGACCCGCAGTCCTCCCTGAATTTTGATTTAGCTAGTTTTGGAGCACCGCCTGGATTTTGGAAAACGTATGCATTTTGACTTGAGGCGCGTGCTTGCTTTTCACAGGCCGTGCTCTGTTATCTAGTAATAAAAGGGACTTTCCTCCGCTTACTCCACATCCCAGCAAAAACTCTGAAATTGTACGGCTGTGCTCATGTGCGAGAATAATGAAAATATTATCCTTTATTAGTAAGTAATTCCACTAGCACGACGATCATCTTGGATCAATACCGTGTACTAATATACTGCCAAGAATGTAGATCAGGGGCGGAGTAACTATAAGAGGTATCGTGTTGTACCAAACAGAGTTTGACAAGCAATTAAAGAGAGTAAAAATGTGAAACTGATTCCGAGCGCGTTTTTACTAATATGGTATAGCTTTGACGGGGAACCTAGGCGCCATTTTGCGTAGGCCTTATTGTAGCTCTTACATAAGACCGATGGTGTGGATGAATGCCATAATAAAATGGGGAATTGGGGTGGCAGCGTAAAGGAGGTTCGTGTGAAGTATATAGTATTATACTTGATGGCTTTGTTATAGAGTTAAAAGAATCGATAATTAAGAAAAGTATTACCTACAGCATATCTCAATAGGTATAAGCGTGGTTCTGGGTATGTGCCGAGAAACAAAGTGAGAGTGTTTAGGGGGTACACTGTTTTCGAATTCTACTGTAAGAACGAAATAAGTGGAACAATCTTCTAGAATTAACTCTAAGCTAAATCCTAAACGCATTAAAGACAGACAGTAAATGAATTCCGCCAGCGGTCTTTGGGTATAAAACCATAATTCTTCCCCCAACCGTAGTCTAGAGGTCAAACTCCGAAACAGAACGAATAAAATAAAAGAAATTTAGTTGTCAACCATCAGCTGCTCGCCTTCGTCCAGCAGTGTGGTGACACGTGAGAGATCGGATATCATCTTGCGGCCATGCCCAACCAGCAGCAGCTTCTCTGCGTTAGCTGGCAGACCCAGGTAGGTGGGAGGTTCGCGCTCAGGCAAGTTGTTGACCCAGTTGACAAAGTCGCGAATGTTGGTCGTGCTGGGCAGGGTAAGAACATCGTCCTTTTCGACGCCCGAGACGAGTTTGTATTCATCCTCAAACGCTGCGGGCGTGAGGAACTGGCCGACCAGGCTCTCCAGTTGCTGGAAGTCACCGGCGTCGTCGATCTTGCCGCCGTACATCTCGGTAATCAGGGTGCGGATCATCTCCCAAGGAAGCTTCTGAGGGGCGACGTTGGAGCGGCCTTGAGCAACCGTATCGACCCAGTAGTCGATGATGAAGGCCGAACACTCGTAGTCACTGTCATTGAATTCCCAGAAGCCCTTCCATCCAAGGCTGGGCGCGTACCGGAGTCGTTCCTGGACCACGGCGTGGAGGAAGCAAAGCAAAAGATAAACACGGGCCTTTTCGACAGGAGCCTTGCTTGCGCGGGTGTTCAGTGAAGACAGGGAGTCCTTCATGTTGGCGCGAACACCGGCAGGTTGCTCGAACATCAAAACGCGAGAAGCTCGGATTAGGTTAACGGGGATCTTGGGGCTCGATTCCATAGAAAGGAAGAGACGGAACTCTTTGTGAGGCTTGAGCGAATCCAATCTCTTTTCCAGGCTCTGAAGCCACGAGGGCGCCAAGTGGACGTTCTTGACTAGCACCCAGTTACCAGCGGCAGCGGCATTGCTGATAGCCTTGTCGGCACTCTCGAGACCTTCATTCGAACCCATGGCAATGTTTGCGCAGATCGCGTTTGTTCGTTCAACCAGTGCGTCAACCTTATAACTGGCATCGAAGCCGGGGCTGGAGCTGAGAGCAATCGGGGTGGTTGCGGTAACCTGATCAACCACATCCTTGAGATCGCTGCTGCCCTCAAACAGCTCGTGCCCAAACACAGCCTCAATGAAGCGCTCGGCAATAGGAACGAATCGGTCCATGCGACAAAGCTTGACAAGCAGCAAGGAGCGGAGCAATTGGTCGATGCTGGAGGTGTCCTCGCCCCAGACGATTGGAACGGCATTCTCTGCAAGCTCCTCGTCAAAGAATCGATCCCACTGATCCTGAGAAATGGAGGGGATGTACTCCTTGAAGAGCGACATGTTGAGCAACTTGTTTATTACTTGGTCTCGAGAATCAGTGGCGGTAGAAAGATCACTGTCCTCAACGGACTCGTCCAAGATACGGTCCAGAATGGCCCGGTCCATAGGGAAAGGAGTGGCTTGAGCAAGAAGGATGGCGAGTGTAATGCGATCCTTCTGAACAAGACCAAGTGAAGTCCGTTGGAAGGTAGTAATGAACAAGTCACGGATGATGATCTGAACGCGGGCGAAGTGATCCTTCTCCTGAGCAAGACGCTTGTTCTGGTACAGAACTGAGTTGAAAATATCAACGAAGTACTGCAGCGAGAACTGGTAGAAGTGATTGATGTGGTGGAGTTGCTCCAGAACCGCAAATACAGCACTGCATGCACGGGCAATGGTGCTGTACTGGTGGGTGACGTTCTCCACTTCGGACATGACGCCTTCGGTCTCTGACATCTTCTTCGAGATCTCCCCAGCTTCCTTTTTGAGGGTTTCGAGTGTTTCGATGACATTATCATCGTCGAGAATGTTACCGCGAGACTCGTTGAGTGCCTGCAACAGGCGCTTCTCCAGCTGCCGAAGGTGGACCTTGAACTCTCCTTGCATCTTGACGAGGTTGTTGCGGCGTTCGTCAACATCGGGTCGCTCGAATTTCAGCACATCATTCAAGGATTGTGTCTGCAAACTGCTCTGGGTGACCGTAAAGTTGACAAAAGTGGTTCTACTGCAAACGTCCGGTGGGAACGAAGCAGAAGGATCTCTTGTCGACAGGAACAGTTTGAAGGACGGCGAGAAATCGATCTCCTGCTTTCCAAGTTGAATGAGAACACGGCCACCAGTCTTCTGGTATTCCTTGTTGAGAACATGGTTGAGAATAGGGTCCAAGTGTTCGGCATCCTGGATCAGGATGGGGTTTCCAAATCGCAAGGCGCTTTCCAGCTGCTTGACAAATGAATCGTCGAGGAAGCTCGTGACAGTAAGCTTGCGGTCCTTGCTTTCCTTCTGCAAGAACTCTGTAACACGACCGGACGGGTCGACGATCAGAGGGTATCTGTTGAAACGCTTCAGGACGATGGCGTTTTCCGTGCAAAGATCATCGACAGGCAGAGAGTGCTCTTGCCAGGTGAGACGCTCGTCCGCGTTGGACAGGTACTCCGTGATTGGGTTGTGGGGCTTGAAGTTGATGCCGGATTGAGCCAGCTGATGAACCCAATCGTCAATCATGGCCTTGCGGAACTGTTGGTCGTAGAGACCAGCGTAGGCAAGGAAAGCAGCAGCGATGATAACGTCACCAACGAGGGTGCCGATCTGAGTCTCGAACGATTTGCTGCCATCTTCCCAACGCTCGCGCTCGGATGCCAGGCTGTCAAGCAGACGCACACTGCGGTCGACCTTGAACTGGACTCGGGACATTTCTGTCTTTATGGCTTGTGTTTCACTGATGAGAGCAGCGTATTCAGCCTTGTAGGTAGCAATACTGCTCTCCAAGCCCTGGATGGTATTCTCGATGGCCTGTGCCTCGGCCTTGGTTTGCAGAGCCTGTTCTTCTAGCTGGTCAACCTCCTCGCGCAAGGGTCCAACGCGATCCAAGATGGCAGAGTAGTTGACTTGAGCCTCAACCCACTGGACCAAGGGACCACATGCCTTACTGGCACGGTTCACTCGCTCGTAGGTAAAGTCTTCCTTGGACAGGAACTCGTTCTGCATCTTGGTGCGGTGGTTGCGTGTCATCTGGCGCTCGTTGTCGTAGTTCACAATGCTGGCAATAAAGTCATCTCGGCGAACAAGGCCTTGGATAGTCCTCCAGCTATCGACCTTGTGGCCGAGAAGCGTACACACGGCTTCCAGGGCAAGTCGGACACTAGCCGGCGGGTTGCCCATTGACCGGACTTCCGTAAGATGCTGACGCTTGATGTTGCTGACACTCTTTTGTGCCTCCGCCACAGCAGGCTCCGCCCGTGCCAAATCGTTCAAAACGATTTCCCTCCGCTCCGCAACCTCCTTCTCCTGTTTCTCCAAAGCTGCTTGCACCTCCAACGAAACATGTTTCCGCTGCTCTGCCTCCTGTTGATCAGCAACCATGCGTTGCAATTTCTCGTTGGCCTCCGTGTCCTTCTTCTCGAGCTGGGTCTTCTTCTGGGCTAGACTGCCACGTAGATCGCTGACCTTGTCGACTGTATCGCGCAGTTTCTCGAGGCCGACGTTCAAATGGCGCTGTTGCTCCTCAAGATCCTCACGCTTCTCATTAAATAGCTTGACGTACTGCGCCACAAAGTCGAGATAGTGGCGAGGCGTGAGGAAAGTGGTCCGACCCTGCTGTTTCTGCAAACGCTGGTTGAAGCGATGCAGCGAGTGGTGGATGTACACCATGGAATTGATCACAGTGTCTCTGTGCGAAGCGGGAAGAGAAAGCTCACGGTAAGCCACCGGAATGCTGTCGGGAGAAACAAAGTTGGGCTTATCGAGATCGACGGACTGAGTGAGTTCAGAGCCAACCTGGAACAGTGCTTGATCAGACCAATCTCCCATCCAGTTAAGCACGCAACGGTTGAACAGGGCAGGACTGGTCGCGGCCTTGGAAGACAGTCCTTCCTCTGGCGGGTTCATGGTAAACACAACGTGCAAGTTCTTGACAATTTGCTGGGTGAACCACTTGTAGAGCTCCTCCTGAGAGTCAAGAAGGAGGCCCTGGCGCTGGGCACCCTCCTTACAGGCCGTCATCAAAGAGGAGAACTCATCACCCTCAAAGAGACCGGGGACCTCAGCGTTGGCGAGCAGGGTGTTCATGCGCTCCAAGAAACCGGAGTCAAGGACATTGGATTCATCCATGACGAAGCAGATCTTCTCGCCCTTGCAGCCCGCACGGCGCAGAACGCTTCGGAGATCGTCATCGAAATCCTCCGACGAGTACTTGCCATGCACCTTGATCTGGAAGACTTTCAGACCATTCATCCAAGCAACGAAGCGTGACAGAGTTGTCTTTCCACTACCGCTGACACCGATAAGGATAAGATGACCCTGGGGCTGGCGGAAGACTCGGTCAATGCGCAGAGCATGCTCCAGAACGTCATTGAACAGAACCAGAGGCACATCAACTTCCTCCTCGCAGAATGTCCTGAGGCGGGCCTTGACGAAGTCACGAAGGCGTTCCTGTTCTACGGGCACGTAGTTCTTGGACAACCAGTTCGAGAACAGAATGGGGCCCTTCAATGCCTCCTGTTCGTCGATGGTGGGGAAATTCTCCAAAGCAATACGGCGAACAGCATCAGCAGTCCAAGCGCGCTCATCTTCATCAACCAGCCGATCCTGGAAGAGACGCAAAGCTTCGTGGGCCCAGATGCGCACAAGGCCTTCAACCGACAGGCTTTCGAGTGGCTTGATGGCCTCGTAGACACCGCGGACCCAGCGAGTAAGCTCACGCGGAGAGTAAACGTAGTGAGGCTGAATCTTTGGCGTGAATCTGGTTTGAGATTCAAGGTAGAACTGGACCATGGCCTTGGTGAGAGCCTCAGAGTATCCGCGTAGCAAGGGCAGGATCTTGAGGACTGCTGAGTTAAATGTACCGTAGATTTGGTTGAGGGATATCTCGCCAGGGTAGTCAACCATGATGAGGGGCGCGTGACGAAGGAAACGCTCTCCCATGGCGGTACGGCCAGCATCAGTGGGCGGGTTACAGGCACCGACAAACTGAATGCGATCAAGAGTGACCCAGGTCTTGTCGGATGTGCGCCAGAAACCATTCTGCTCGACAAGCTGGCGCAGGAAGGAGATAGCGCGCTGAGTGCCATAACGATCCGGAGCGGGCAAGTTGATTTCGTCGCAGAAAAGGACCAGCCAGCGACCAATTTGGTTGGGAGACATAACAACACCGTTGAGAGTCTTCTTGTATTCGCAATACTGCTCGAAAGTCTTGATCAAAAGATCGGGTGTAGTAGCGCTGGAGAAGTTGAGGCCGACAACCTCCATGTTGGGCAATTTTCTCAGCGCGGCGAACAGTGTCATGGTCTTACCCGAACCAGGAGGACCGCAAAGCAGCAAAGGTTTGTGTTCAGCGAGCCATGAGTACAACACATCTTCATGACGAATGGTATCCACAGTCGGGATGATAACGTCGGTTTGGGTGATCGAGTGGGTGTTGATGTCGATCGATGGCACCTGCGATTGCCAACTAGTCCACTCAGACTTCGGGAGAGTAACATCAAAGTCGATGAGAGATGAATCGCCATCCGGCGGTAGGTCAATGGTGGACATCCCAGAGACGTATTGCCCAAAGGCCTTCCGGTCGGCAAGAGGACAATCGCCAGTGAAAGACCAGACCATGGTGAGCAGAAGCTTCTTGGAGACGTACGACTCGATTTGCTCGGGGTCCAGAGGGAAGTCGACATGCTGGATATTGTATTCCAGGACATTGCGACAGGCCTTGTTCAACAAACTAAACATGGTGTTGAGGGCGCGGATTTCGGTGAAGTCCATGATGTGGTTGTATTTCTTGGCTTCTTCAAGAGCCTTCAGGACAAGATCGTCACTTTCCAAGTGCTGCTTGAGAATCACTGAAAGCTGGTCCTGTGCAATCTGAGTTCTGACTGCAGCGGATCCAGCAGGGGCGCTGTCATCGTCCAGGTCCTCGAATGTCTTGGTCTTCAGAGCCTCGACGTAGTTGTTGATCATCATGGTAGGAGTCACAGTTTCCTCATTGAACCATACCATACCGCAACGACTGACAGTGGCGAGAGTTGCGTACTTTAAGGTCTCGACTTCGAACATGATACGAACATTCGGAGGCAAATTGAGACGTTCACCGTTGGGCAGAGTGAGGAGTTTGTTGTCATCCAGAACACTGTTCAAGTTCTCAACCCACTCCGGATCCACGTCACCATCGAAAACAATCCAATGGCGCTTGCTATCTTCTCCTCTAAGGTTGTCGACAATCTTTCTCAGAATACCAGTGAAGAGACCATCTGTCCACTCGCGGGTAGTGCTGTCCAAGTTACCATAGAGAGCTTCCTTGGACATGACCTTGGAGTCGATGATGTGGGAGACGCCCTCAACGCCTTCAATTCGTTGCATAGCTTGGAGAAGAATCTTCCAAGTAGCTGACTTACCAGCTCCTGACTTTCCAACCATCATCACACCATGATGGATACTCTGAATCTGGTACAACTGAAGAGCCTTGGCAATCCACATTTCGCTGTCCACGAGATATTGTTCCTTGGCAATGTCCCGAATGGCCTGGGTGAGCTTCTCGTAGTTGGCAGGCACGTAGTCGACACCCGGGAAGTCTTGCGTCTGGATCTCCAGCATGCGATCAACATCCTCTTGCACAAGCTTGGGAGCAATAGTCTCCCGCAGACTCTGAACAATGATTTGAGGTTCGACCACTTCATCGGGGCCTAACTCGCCGTCGGCATTGGCGATACGAGCACGCTTAAGGCCACCTGAGCTGACAAGCACACTCTTCAAGGCGCGAAGACCAAAGTCGTAATGCGCCTGCTTAGACAGTTGAGAGGCACAGTGGTCGAAGAACGGCACGGTTTGCTTGGACAAGGGCTTGGCTTGCTTGAAACCCTGGGAGAAAAGCATGACTTCCGCAATAAGCTCCTTGTCGGGTTTGGACATGGCAACGCTGCGGAACAGCTTCTTCAAGTTGTCCGGCAAGTTGGAACGACCGGCGTATCCAGGGTTCATGGTAATGAAGATACCTGTATTGCCGTTGACAGACAGTCGGCGGCCAACCAACTCGATCTGAGATTTGTTGTCTTCTTCTCCCTTGCGCAGACCAATCTGGATGTTTTGAATCTGCTGAGAAACAGCAGACAAAATTCTCTCCTCCAGACGGTTAAACTCATCGAAGCAGCCCCAAGCGCCGACTTGACAGATACCGAGGAAGATACGGCCCATGGCTTGGAAATCGAAAGTGTCGTCACAGCAGAAGACAAGAGTGAAGCGACCAAGCTGGAGACCCAGAGCTTTGACAGATTCGGTTTTACCTGTACCGGCCGGACCGTAGGGAGACCCACCAAGTCTCTGGCATAGAGCTTGGGTGAGAGTGAGGAAACAGCGGTCAGTAAGAGGAGTGCGGACGAGACGTTCGGGAACACCGAGGTACTCGAATCCGTAGTTGAGCTTCGCGTTGGCCATATGGACGTAGAGACGCTGGAGGAAGTCACCTTCTGGCTGGTAGACAAAACGCATCTGCATGAGCCATAGATAGTGTGTGGGAGTTGTGGCATTGAGCTGAATGAGCTTGGAGATGGTGTCACGCTGGTGAACAAATTCTGTAATCATGTGTTCACACTTCTTGCGAGTGATGGCATCAAGCTCACCAAGTACAGTGGCAGCGAGCAACTCAAGGATTCTGACTTCTGCGTCATACAATGCCTGGAGATTTGCGCCACCATCTTCCAGAGACTTCTGCACTGAATTGGTCCACACCACTTGACTGGCAAGGACAACGATCTGGGCGGGGTAGTTGGCAAGGAAGTCACTGAAAGCAGTCCGATCCACTTCCGGTGTGTTGTACAAGGTGTCGAACTGCTCGACGGCCTCCCCGAGAAGCTCAGCCAAAGCAAGTTTCATGTTGGTCTCCAGTGCAGTAAGCCAGTCATTGATACGAGGGGTCTTGATGAGGTTGACCTCCTTCTTCAAACGGACTTCTTCTCCCTCCTTGGAGGTAAACCCGACAATGTTGTTGTCGTCATCCATCAGGAGACCATTGAGACCAGCGAACATCTTTTTGAAATGCTTCGCAACACGGAAGATGTCATTGCTATTACCAATGATCTCTAGCAGGTCTTCGTCTCCGACAAAGTAGAAGCGAGGGAACGACACACGCTCACGCTCCAGATATTCACCAAGTGCCTTCTGGATCTTGTTCAGCAGCTCGGCTAATCGTTCCAAAGATTTCTGGACTCCGTTGATGGCAAGGATATCGAGAACGAACGGAGACTTATAAACCTTCTTCATGACAGCGAAGAACTCCGAGTTGATATTTTGGAATCGGCTCGACTCAAGCGGAAGGAGATGCTTGATATCAGCATTGCCTGTAAAGACACCTTCCAAGTAGACCCACTGTCTCTGGACATCAATCCAAACATCGAAAAGAACGTGAACACGGTTTAATTTGTCTTCCCAGGAGGCGGCTTCTTCCTCGAACTCCTTGTAGTAAGGCGAATGCCTCATGGCCTGGAGCGAGTTCAGGTTCTCGCTACACTTGGCAAAGAGATCATCGAAGCCACGGATAAGACGGCATTTGTTTTGGTAGTTGACTAGGTCCAGAGAGTAGTTCTGCCAAGTCTCACGAACAGACTTGAGGAACTCCTCCAGGGCCATCTCACCCTGGGCCTGTGCGATGATGTCGCGAATAATAGTCTCGCTGGTTGCCAGCTGCAAATCCCAGACATCACCCAGGGTCAGCGATACCAGCGAGAACCGCTTTCCAGGCTTTAAAGACTTGTAAATTTTTTGCCAGTGTCGTTCCTTCACAGCCTCAGACTTCATATCGGAGAGAAGGGAGTTAACCTTCAGCAGCTGTCGGAGGACATTCTGGATATGCTCGAATGCAGCATACTGTCTCATTCGGCTAGGCATTTCCTTGGTCATCTTGATAAGACCATCAAGTGCCTGGCGCAGCTTGCGGGGCTGGACGCTTGTCCACAAGCCATCGCGGAGGTCGTTAAGGCTCTTCCAGATGGTGGAAAGAGCAGCCCAGACAGACATGAAGTCCTGAACTTCCTCGAGAATAGCCGGAAGAGATGACTCGGAGCTCGCAGGGAGGTCAAGGGCCTCCTTGGCCTTGGAGACCATCTCAAATTCGGATTGGAGGGATTCGAGACGCGACTGGAAGGAGCTCAAGGTGTGAGAAGCCTCATCGGGGGGAATAGTGCCAGAGACCGGCTTTTCGTCATTCCACTGAGCAATGACCTCGCCGATCTTGTCATTGATGACACGGTCTTCGGCACTAATCTTTGCACGAAGACCCTCGGTCTGATCCTGAACGATCTTGCTCTTACGGGTTAGCAGCTCATTCAAAGCTGCCCACTCTCCATCGACATTTTCAACGTGAAGCCAGTCACCTGGGAATTGGTAGCGCTGGCGAGCGAGGGTAGTTTGACCCTGGCGGAAGAGGTCAACCTCGGGCTCCCAAACGCGAGTCTTCCGCTTGCACTGCTGCACGATGGTGATGAACGACACGGCATGTGCCGTAGAGGATGCCTCTAAGGTCTGACCCTCCAAGTCACGGCGGGCAGAGGCAATTTCTGAGTGTACCTCCCTCATACGACCACCGAGCTTTGCACCGAACTTTTGGAGGATCTCATGCTGCCACTGGTCATACTTGGCGTTTACCTTTGTCTGAACCTGCTCGTAGTCGATCCTGATGTTACCGAAAGATCGTCCGACTTCCGAGGTGTCGAAGGTGGCGCGGCTCTTTCGAATCTCCTGGAGCAGTTGAAGCCACTGAGAGAGGTCGTCTCCCAGGATCTCGTATACCTGCTCGGATTGCAAGTCCCAGAGCGATTGGAATTGCAGCCACTTGTTGACGTATTCAGATACATCGTTGAGTCTGGATTCAATCACGCCGTAGACTTGGTTAAGCTCCTCGGTGCAACCTTGTGGGAGTTCTGAGAAACATGCTTCAGACTGACGAACAATCTGCACGTTGATGGAAATTTGGTACCGAGAGGCCTTGATCTTTTCGAGATTGCAGATGACTCCCAGCCAGGTATCAAAGTGCGAGAACCAGCTTGCACGAGCAAATTGAAGTGGAGGGTCAAGGTGGAGGACTTGGTTCTTCATGGAGATCTCGTGGAAGAGTTCAGGGAATGAAATGTTGTAACCAGGGGTCTCAACTTCACCAGTTTTGGTGTGGAAAGATGTTGTCTGCTCATTTCGAGACTCCTGGAAGGTGCTGATCCACTCACGAACAGCACGGTGAAGTCGTTCACGAAGAATTGCCTCGATCTTCCCGTTGAGCTCCGAAACCCAATGCTCTAAGTTGACGTAGTTCTCAAGATTGAGCTTATCCACAGCAGCCTGGATGGTATCCAAGCGTTGCTTGAATGCAGCGGAGTCGTAAGCGCAAGTCTTGAGTTCATGAGTGGATTTCAGAATGTTCTCATTGATAGAAGAAAGAGTGGTGGTCTTGGCCTGGAGAACAGAGGCTGAGCCAGCGAATTCGCGAACAAATTGAACATGCTTGCTCTCAGTACGGTTTGGCATAGTACTGTCGATGGCGCCATTCGGAAGTGACTGTTTGACATGCAGCTCATAGGAATGAACGAAAGACTCCCATCGGAGAGGAATTCCCTTGCCAATCATGGCTTGTGAGTCATTGATGTAGCCATTGAGAAGGATAGCGACATCAGACATGGAGGCAATAGTACGGTTGGTCTGAAGCAGAGTCCGCACGCTCTCCATCAAACTAATGGCGTAGGGATAAACACGCTTCGCCTCCTTGGAGATGTTGCTGACAGCATGAGGAACCTGGAAGTTCAGCCAAATGAGGTTGCGAACTTCTTTGAAAAGAGCAATGATCTGAGCATCGAAGTTGACTGTAAGCTCCAGGATGTTTCCAGCAGCGCGGTTGCGCACAATATTGAAGAGTCGTCCAGAAATAGTGATATGTCTCCTTTGGACATCGTAGAGCCATGACTCGAAGACAGGCCGAGTGTCAAGCTTCTTACGGAACATGTTACTCTCGGATTGAAGCTTCTGCCCCTCGGTGTGCAAGTGCCAGTCCTCTCCCAGAACATTCTCCACCTTGCGCATGTAGTTATCAAGTTGGCGCTCAATCTGACGAGCCCATATAATTGCGCCGGAAACGGGTGGAAGATCGCGAAGCTGGGCCATGGCATGAGCCTCTGAATGGCCATACTGCTGCTTGAAGCGCTCGTGGAGACCAGAGATATCGCGCTTGACATTGTCGATGAGTTGTGTCTGGTACTCTCCAATAGCGCCACGGATCTTGGGACGGACCAAAAGAGCATTGAACTTGGAGAAGACCCGGAACATCTCGTTGGCGTTCTTGGCTGTCGCAAGGCGATCGCGAAGACGAGCAATGATGGAGTTCTCAACGCGCGAGGTGCGCTCACTGTAGCCAATCTCGGCTTGTTCCCAGGCACGAGATCCTGCAGGGGAGACATCCAACACGTCCACGTTCTTCAGGGCAGAGTAGGCGTGGGTCACTTCCTCGACAGCGTCGACATCACCAATCTCTTCGACAATAACAGTTTGGTCAGTGTCAACGCCACCGCCGTTCTCTGCGGAAGTCTTGCTCGATCCGAGGACATTAACGATGGTCCTTTGAAGCTGCTCGTGGTTGACACGGAAGGTATCGATGTACTTCAGCCGTTCACGGGTGAGTTCATGTCTGCCATTTATCTTAATCGGAATGAATTTCTCATTCCGACGCCTGGTTGAATCTCGAGCAACGTTGGTGAATTCCTTCAGGTTCTCATCCCAGGCACGCCAAATAGCTTGAGTGGCCTTCATCAACGACCGGAACTCACGGTAATCCAGGTGCAGGATTGCACGGCCGTTGATAAGCTCGTGAATTTTCCGATCAAGATCACCAGAAATGGCCTCGACAAGCGAAAGCGCACGCTTGATGGGGTACGGGCAGATCTTCAGCTTCTTATTCAGATGGCTAAATATCAAGCCTAATGATTCCTGCACCTTGTTCAGAGAGGTAGCAGAAAGGAGCTCGTCAAGAGGGAAGTCACGCATAAGCTGGTTATACTTCTGAACCAGCTCGGAGGCATCTCTCAGTCCAGTATCCGCCTGGAAACTGAGGGTTGGTTGATACCGCTTTGCATGGCGGAGAATATCCATCGTCAACTTGACTCCATCACTTGCCAATTGAGCCTCGATGCTCTCCAAAGCAGACTCCATAGACAGCCAAAAGTTGATCTCTGGAGATGCCGACTCGCTATCCGGATCCCGAGACATTTTGGTGATCGTCTGGATGGACCGAATCCAACCATTCACGGTGTTCTGGATGCTGTTTGTGAATGCGCTGTTATCCAGAATCGCCGCGGGAATCAGTTCAACAGACGCCCGAACACCCTTAGCCTCAGCCTCCTTCAACGCGCCCTGGACCACATCGTGCATAGGAAGGTTCAAAGCCGGGATCTCCACATTTTGCTGCAGGTGCATGAGACCCAACTCCAGCTCAGCAAACTTCTTCTTCGTTCCAGGAATACCAGTCTTTGTCTCGGTGTCCGCTCTGGGCTTCGCGCCAGCAATAGTCTCCTGGTTGCGGGCGTAGGCTTCGAAATAAGGACTCAGGCCGTGGTGGAGCAGCAGATGTAAAACCTGGTAGGGGGACGTGGCATTTCCTTGCTGAGTCTGGGAATTGTTGAGGGAGGCGACACCGGGGAGATTCATGACCTGGATCTGCGAGGCGATTGGAAGAGCCGGGTCGATGGGAGCAGGGCGTTTGATGAAAGCCACCGAAGAGACGGTGGTCGAAGACGACGAAATCTCGGAGGAAAGGGTATAAACATACTGCGCTGAGTCTTTCATATTTCATTAGCATAAATGTCCGCGGTACTCCACAAGATAGCGGATCAACTCACCTGGGCCCTCGGTGTCGCCATTCATTTCCTCCGCACCCGCGATATCTTTCTGCACATAGAGGGCGACTTGCGACTCGGAGGCGAATCGCGTACATCTTTGCATTGTTTCATTGTACCTGGCCTCCGAGAGCAAGCTCCCAGCTGTCTCCAACTCGGATCTCAGAGCGCCCAGTGTCACCTGGAGCACCTCTGTCAGGTACTGGATCACAGCACCGGAATCCACCAAAGCTGCCGTATCTGGCGTCGACACGCCATTTGGCACCCCTGTGGAGGCGACCTCCATTTTGTTTCCCCGGTTTATTGCGACAAGCACGGGGAGATCATCGATGGAAGAATGTGAAGCGCGATCGGAGCGGGAGAGATAAAATGTTGACACGGTTCACGTCGTGCAAACGCGGGGTGGAAGGGCGGAGACGGGGGAAGGACCGCGTCCTTGAGGTGGAAAAGGGAAAGTAAAGGATTCTAGATTAAACAATAGAGAAGAGAAGTCGACAAAAGCTGGCGTCGATTATCGATACGCGGTGTTGTTGGAACAGCTCACTTTACTTCAGGGGATACACCATCCCCAATTCGGTTTAGGGCCGTCGCCCAACCATGTGACAAACGCGGTTCCTGATCCATCGATTTGATACACATACACGTCTGCTTTCCTATGGGTTGATTCTGATCTGATCACACTGCAGTCCCGATATCCATCTCCTCCAGGTCCTTTGCTTCCACTGGCCCGCAGTCACAGTGATACTTGAGCCGGAAATCGGAAATAAGCATTCCTTGGATCGCCACCAGTGCCCTTTCGCTCGCCCTAACCTTCACGTACCGACCAGACGTCCCAACCGCATCCGCGATAGATTCACCGTGCACCATCACGGCAGCCAGAATCTTTGACTTGTCTCCATCAATCTCAGGGATTTCACCGGTCTTGAGACAATAATTGGTGCATCCATAGACGTTCGTCAATTGGCTGTGAAGATAGGTCTAGACTTCGTCAGTATATATGTGTAATGGGGCCAGGTGGTCTTACTGTCGGGTGCTTATTGGCAAACGTGTCATACAGAGACATGTCCTCGAAGAAGGGCCTGACATGAGCGGTGAAGAAGTCTTCGACCACGGTGAAATCGAATTCCGAATCCACGAAGATGGCGCCAAGATATGCCTCGAGCATATCTGGGAGACACTAGAATCATATACGCGTCAGGTTGGTGAGTTTTCATTGCAATGCACTTGGTGGAAACTACCTTTGGGGAATCCCTGGTGGCAAGCCAGTAATCCATCGCCCCGTCGACCTCAGTCTCTGCGAGCTGGATATCTTCGGCGTAGTGGGTGATTTGCCCCTGCAGTGGGCCACCAAAGTATTGAAGATGCCGATGCAGGCCCAGCCTGACTGCTAAGGCCCCCAGGAATTTGTTCGAGACCATAGCCATCTGTCATTAATATTAGCGATCTTGAGTTGAAGTACATCAGAATATGCATCTACTCACTTTGTGCTCGGTGAGCCACTGGGGATCCTTGTCAGGGAACCGATGGAACAAGTACTCTATGCATACCATGTCGAGAAGTGCATCACCCAGGAACTCAAGTCGTTGGTAGCAGGGCACTTTAGCGTATACCGTCGGATAAGAAGGATGCGTGAAAGCTGACCGCAACAAACGAGGAAAATTGAAGCGATATCCTAGCTTCTCAAATATTTTGTCGGCAAGGTCTCTCTCGGCTCCATCAGGTGCTTGTATCTGGTATGCCGGTTTGATGTAGGATGCAGCATAGTCGGCCCAAGAAGTTGCTGTATGGTTTTCACTGTCAACAAGAAGAGTCACTGCTCGGACAGCGAAGTCAAATCGATTGTCTTTGCCACCGGTGAGCAAAGACCCCGCAATCAATGCTTCACACACGTCGGCAATCGTCTTTTCGCCGAGATTATGGAAGCTCTCTGAAGCAGTATGCTTGGCATAGCTAGTCCCGTTGAGTTGTTTCAAACCTGGAGGGTACCAAGTATGCCGAGAGAAGCCACGGCTACGGATGTACATAAAGAGCCGAAGCTTGATGGCCGTGCTGAATAAATTCTTGTTGCAGATGAGACACATCCGATGAACGTGGTAGTCATACTCACCATCGTCTGGTCTTTGGGCGAAGAGCGAGATCGTTGTTCCCATCTTGAGAAAGCTATCCCCCAGAAACTCCAGGCGCTCATAGTTCTTTCCCATGCCTCGCTGTACATGAACCTGCATAGCTCGGTGCTCTTCCGTATGGTCGGAGTCTTTAGTAAAGGCTTCTAGGGCATATTCCGTCTTGATATCCAGATCGAGAGACTTACAGCCCTCCATCACGATCATGTAGGACTCCAACCGGCTAATGATAGCAGGAAAGGCCAGGCACGTAGTCACTGTCGCCAGCGGGATCTGGGTGAGTGTCAGTACTATGTAGCTCCAAGTCAAACACTATTTACAGGTGTAACTAACCGACGATATGGCCAATGGCTGTGGGCAGACAACGCATTTTGTGGCCACCAATTTTTCTGGATCAGTCACTTTGTCGAGAAAGTTCCTTCGGAGCCAGAGACATTCTACCTGGAGGACAGGCTGGTTCCAATCACAATGACGTAGAACCTTGGGGCGGGAATTTTTCGGAAGACTCAGCGAATAGTTGACGATATCTTGCATCCATCGTCGGCGAGGTGTCCAGTCAGGCGGTGGGTCCGACGCGCGCAGGTTGGGTTCAACGGCAATTGGAAAGTACCGTTTCCTACCATCCCATGGATCGTAAATGAAGCGGCTCAGGAGAAAATCAACATCCATGTCTGGGGACCAATGCCAGTCTAGGTGATCTTGAACAAAGGCCACCGTCTCCCAGTCTACTAAAGACATGGGCGCGGCATTTGAATTAAATTTACTAGCAACTGCACGGACTGGAGCAAGCCAGTAGGGAAATTTCTCAGGAGCTGGGTCAAAATTCTTGTGGAACACATCGTGGAAGACCGCAAGCGTAAAATTGGACAATTGGTTCAGCTCCTGAAAAGTGACTGAAAATGGGATACCAATGTCCGCCGTCTGGACGACCGTGCTGACATCATTATCCAGAAATATCGGAAACGACGGAAATGAAGGAAGCCTCTTTCGAGACAACAGCAGCAGAGTTTGGTGCTCTCTTTTCAAGGGCTTTGATGGGATCAGTTTTATGAGCATCCCATAGAGCGTCTCCGGAATAGTTTCTTCTTCTTGATGCCAGATCGAGGGCTTACAAACCATGATGTACTTGTTTGTCTTCTTCGATGCGACCGCTAACTTAGCATTACGCATAGCCGGCAGACGCTTTTGATAGACGGACCTGAAGTTAGTGTCAAGCAAATTGTTTCTGCGAAGCAAGATGCACGTATCAAAGGCAGCAGACTGTTTGGCCAAGGTTTTTCTGGATGCTCGTCCTCCAATCAATCCTCTAATGGGCGACTTCTCTGGGAGAATTATCTCACAGAAGTATGACTGGGCCTGTGAGAAGAGGACATAATTGACTGATGCTGAAATGCCATCCTCATATTGCAAGGAGCTGGCATAGCGGTCCAGAACACTAATTGCATGTTCGTAAGTAAGCTTCGCGCCGGTTGAAGGGACGGTGTAGATTCTCTTCTTTTCTTCCTTCTTCAGAAGAATATTCAAGTCATTTTCGTTTCCGTGCAGCAGGAGGCGATCTTCGGGCAGAGATTTGCAGAAAGTTTTCATGAGGCTTTCTGCTTCTTGAATTTCTTGTAGCCGCCTTTTGTGATCATCATTCCCCATTTCGATCATGGTAGCATAGGTTGAGTTGGCATGTCTTGCACGGCCCCGACTTTGGACATACTGAATCAGTGTGTCGTAAAGATCGAACCTCACAACAAGATTGCAATCTGGAATATCGAGACCCTCTTCTGCAACAGATGTTGCAAAAAGACAATTTATTTCACCCTGGCGAAACTTGGACAAAACGAGGAACTGATGGCGGAACGTTGTGGATCCCGTGAGATCGTGGTTGATCCCGACCAGCACTCCAGGGCGAAGATTGATGATGTCCAGTTTCTCACAAAGCCGATGCAAAGTCTTCGCCGTGTTTCGGCGCTGGGTAAAGACGATGCATTTCCTACTCTCTGACGTCGCAAACAGTTCACTCAGTCGTTTCACGAACAGCTCAACCTTGGGGCTGAGCTGACCTGCCTCTGAGGGATGCTGGGATTGGTGAGAAATCACAATGCGACAGGCTTCTTTCACCTGCCTGATGTCCCGCTTGGTTTCTTCCTGACTCTGCTTCTGGGAGTCTGGATCTGTTTCCTTGGATAAAATGCCCTCGAGTTTTCGTAGTACATCGTCCGCTATGGCCCGCTCCCATACCTGGTCCGCACACCACCTTCCTAGTTCTGAGGTGGCATTCAGCGCGAACCGTAGAATTGGCCTGAGGGCTTTGACATTTACAAAACGTCTTTCCATCTCTGTGTATAGCTCTGTCTGGTATGGTGAATCGAGCTTTGCGTATGCCCAAACCTCCTCTTTTGGCCTTCTCACGACTTGACGTAACAAGGTCAAATGGGACGTCGTTGCAATTTCGCTATCCAAGAGAGTCTCGAGCTGTCTATTAAATGTGAATTGGAAAAGATTTATCAATAGTCCCGAAGATATGGACTTACATAGCTGCGTCTGCAATGTTTACTTTGGCATCGATTGGGGAGGCAGTCATCCCAAAAATCTTTGGACGTTGAGACTTGTCTGTCGGGAGATAAAACTCTCGAATGATACTAGCCCCCAGTTAGCCGATATATATCAGTGCAAATGCATATAATATTCAGGGATCCTAACCGTGCATAGACGTGGTCCTTCTTTGTATGGTGAGCTTCATCAAAGATCAACAAATTGATCTGGCTCATCTTCACAAATCCATTGAGTAGAGCATGGTTGAGAATCTCAGCTGTACACACGACCACCATATGTCGATTGAACAGGTCTACCCAGGTCTCAGAGTCCCAGAAATCCGGACCCATGGCACCGTAAATGTGTGCCACATTTTGGTCAAGATTGTTTCGGAGAACGGCCGCCTGCTGGAAGACAAGCGTCACACTATCGACCTTTTATATATTAGTGATGCTCCTTCCAAATTGTCAAAAGCCCATACCAAAAAGAATGCCACCCGATGGGCCTTTCCATTAGCTCGGTCGATAAACTCCGAATTGAGGATATGTTTCAACAGGAGAACCGCGATCAATGTCTTTCCAGAGCCTGCGTATCTCTCTTAGAATGGTTCCTACTATATCAGACATTTCAGTGTTAGTGACTTACCTGTATCGAGTACCGCGATGATATTTCTGGCCTTTGCACGCTCAAACAGTTCAATCTGGTATTCACGAGGATCTAAACTGCCCGTTTTACACTCTTGCTTCGCCAGTAGGAGGGCAATAGAAAGCTCATCGTCCGGCCGGTCAGATTCATCAGGCTTTGTTTCTTTACTGGAATTGCGAAGAACACGTTCCGAGATCCTATACTCTTGTCAGTATTGCATCACCGGATGATTGCTCCCATCTAGACTCACAAGGCTTCAAATTGGGCATTCTGGACGCGTCTTCGGTGGACAGCTTCTGACTGGGCCACTTGATTGTCTTCTTCACTCTCAGACTCTTCTGGAGAGCCGGGTGATGGCCCCTCATTGGCATTATCGGGGTTCAAGGTGTCCAGTCGGCTCTGTGAGCGGCCATCATAGATTTCGTTGGTGACATGTGATCCCGTTTTGGTACGTGAATGAGGCGTTATAGTGTCGTTTGGAGCCATAGCCGAGCTTCTTTCCTGTTCAAGTAAATGAGATCTTGGGAATTGAGAGAAAGAAACATGAGAGGTGAAGGTGTAATACAGACGAAGGTTTATATATATGAGCGGTTTAGCCGTTCACTTGGTAAAGAAGTGGCTTTACTTGGGTAGGTAGGTGCCAAGGCTGGAATATGCAGGGTAATGACTGAGGATAGGTAAGTGAGCTAAGATGTCAAAGGCAACGAGCTTAATGAACGTATGCATCATCCATAAGCAAAGCTGCTACAATATGTACTCGCGATAAGAATTCTTATCGGCTTATCAGCTCGCCAAAACTCAGGCCAAAACTGCGGGGACCTGTTTAATCATTCAGTTTGCCGCACCAACACCGAAATTATGGAGGAGACCCAGAGTCTCAGGTCGCTGTTTCAATCTGCTCGGAATGACAAGACTGCGCTGGAATCGAGAGGGGATACAAACACCGAAGCCTACCGAGTCGCCGTGAATGCGACGATCGCCAAATTCCGCGAGTGCCAGCGCCAGATCAGCATCCTGTCGCTGTTCAGCTCAAATGAATCGCTGGATGATGTTTCAACCGGAGATATTCCGTAATTATATCAATTCCTGATACGCTGCTATCGTCGGGCTGACACTCGCATCTAGCTACATGACTCTGGAGCACCACCTCGCTGAGCTGGTCCAGCGGGGTCCCACCTCCGATCGAGAAGCTGTTCTTCGACAAGCCCTGGAACAATATGAGACATTCCTCACACGCCTGGATGAATACGAGTTGATGTCGGGGGGAGACAAGAAGCTTCTTGAGCACTATATGGCCAACCCGTCCACCTTCACCCTAGCTCCGATGAACGATGCCGCCGCTCGACGGGACGTCAAGGTGAAACGCTTCAGGGAAGAAAAAGAACTAAAGCAGAAACTTGAGGTATTTTTGCCCAACGTATCTCCTGAATGTCTGCTGACTCTCTATGAAGTATCTCGCGCGGAACGAGGCACGGCTCCAAAGCGATGACGATGACACGCGACGACTATACCTGGCCGAACTCCAACTCTATATTCACCAGACATTCCAATCCATAGACCTCCTGATGCAGGAACTCTCGATGCTCTCTGCCATGAAAAATGCGCCTCCGCCTCCTCAACCGCAGCCAGAAGACGCTAGACAACGAAGTGGCCTGGGAGGAGCCAATTATTCAGATCGCTTGGATCCATCAATATCACAGCTACTCGGCAGAGGACGGAATGGCCCCATTTTGAATGGCAAAGGCAAGCCAATGCAGCCTTTTACTCTCCTCGACCGCCGCACGCAGCTCCAGCAAGGAGTGTTCCGCTCCGGTCATAACCTGCCGACAATGACGATTGATGAATATCTCGAAGAAGAGCATCGAAGAGGCAATGTGCTTCAAGGAGGAGAGCAATCTGGCATTCAGCCGGAGATTGATGAGGATGATTTGGACAAGGCGGATGAGGAAACGATGAAAGCTCGCGCCTGGGACGAATATCTCGAAGCCAATCCTAAGGGATCCGGCAACACCCTCAACCGGGGCTAAACGGATAGAGCTATGTAGTGTTGATACGAGTATTCGTCAAAAGCGATAGATGGCATTCCTGATTCGGGTTACAATATTCAATGCATAATTACAATGTACTCGAATCCAGCATTCAAAATAAATTCGTTGATATCGGGTCATTTCACAGGGTATCTGTGTCGTCTATGCGAATGGTCTTTCAGACAATAATTTTTAATCAAGAAGAAACACTCTCCTTAGCCACCTTGTTGTGCTGGATCTCCTCAAGAATCTTCCCAGCGCCGTCGGCTACCAGAGCCTTGGCCACCGTGATGCCAAAAGCCTCGGCACTTTCAATTGAGTGAACATCACCATCGACCTCTGCCTCTGCGCATTGCTGGCCGTCGACACTGACAACGACAGACCGCATGCGCAATTTTTTGGACCCCTCGGCGCTCTGAACCCACTCGGTCTCAACACCCAGAGGGGCACTGCAGCCGCCCTCCAGAGTGCGGAGCAGACTCCGCTCCGCCAAAACGGCAAAAGTTGTGTCCCAGTCGCCAATCTTATCCAACATCTCGCTCAAGAGAGTATCGCCCTTACGGATCTCAATACCCAGAGCACCCTGTCCAACTGCATAGAGCATTCCGCTGTTCTTCGAGTCGAGGTACTGCGTGATACGATCCTCCAGATCCAGACGCAGCAGACCAGCGGCAGCGAGGATGGCGCAAGTATAGGGGCTATCTTCAGCGTCCAACTTGGTCAGCCGGGTGCCAATGTTGCCGCGAATATCCTGGACCTTCAGGTGAGGGTATTTGCGAGCCAATTGAGCCGTGCGGCGAATTGAGGAGGTTCCGACCACGGAGCCTGCGGGGATCTCCGCCAAGCTCTTGTACGGCAGCCCTTGCTTCACAACGAGCACATCCCGGCTATCTTCGCGGGGCATTGTAGGGCCCAAGGTGCATGTCGAGGGGAGAAGAGTGGGGACATCTAGCGAATTCAAGGTGTATGAGCTATTTGTTCTTCTTGGCAGCGTCAACGCCGGGCAGGCCAACCTTTGAGGGAATGAACGATGAGATCGACCTGACCCCCGATCATCAACTCCTCTAATTCCTCAGTCCATAGGTTCTTGCTGGTAAAATCCTTCAGCGCAATAGTGGTGTTGAGATCGCCGGCGGTCTCCTTGGAGAAGATCTTGAATTCATATTCGGGGTGTATTTTCTTGAGGGCGGCCTGCACAAGGTCGGTCTGGAGCAAGGCGAGCTTGGATTTGCGAGTGCCGATGGTGAAGGTCGTTCTGGTGGGGGCGGGGGTAGCCATGATGGTCGCAGGGGGGTAGTGCCAATCACGAGAGCAAAGAAGCCGAGGAAAATGAGGCGAAAAGGCGATTGCGTGCGGATAACTCCGATCACGGGACACGGCCCAAAACCACCAGCAGAACAGAGATGAACAGAACAGACGCGCTGCTGATCAATGTTCGATGAGAATAATTCAATGACCTAGGTAAATAATCGCACAAACTCTAATAGATAGTAACGAAGTACATAGAGTGAAACGAAACCCTTTCCCCGGTAGATCTGCAAGACTGACGTACCCTAGCGTACTAACCTCGGCTTCGGGACGCGGAGATTGCAAGACATGCGACCTTATCGCTCTCCCCCGGACTCGCCTCTCCAAAGTACACGGAGGGTTCTGGAACTGTTCATCACTCTTCATCCCCCCTGGGTCTACCCTTGTGACACCACATCACTTTTATCCCGCTTCTCTTCTGCTATTCTGTCTTCTTTCTATCCTTTCTCTTCTTTATCTGGTTCTATCGCTGTTCTCCGCTCTTCCTAGCCTTGATCACATACGCCTCAAGATGGGATCCAACAGCGGTAGAGCCACTAAGCTTCCCCTCGTTCCCCTGGCCAAGGGCTCTGTCCTGCTGCCGGGCGTGACACTGCGAATTCCAGTTTCCAACCGTCCCGACCTGACCAACCTTCTGTCTTCCCTGGTGGACCGGCCCAAGCGCGATGGCAACTCGATCACCTTTGGGTGTATTCCTCTCAGCTCCCCGTTCCTGAGCCGCGACGGCCAACAACTTCTCGAAGGCGAAGATTCCGATAATGAGAGGAAGGAGGGTTACGATTCAATCGATGCGGGCCAGGCGCGCAAGGATGACTTGTTCCGCTACGGCACGGTGGGCAAGGTAATCGGCGTTCAGCGCCGAGCCTACGCCGAGCCGTTTCTTCTGGTCCAAGGGTCTCAACGCTTCACAGTTAAGAAGATCTTGAAGGATCGACCTTATTTCGAGGCGGAGGTGTTTGTCCACGAGGAGAACAGTAGGTTCTACCGATGCGAATTCCTGCACACCGTCCCGGTGACTAACCACTTCTCTGCTAGACTCATCCATACATGGCGACTCTGAGGCTGCTGATCTCTTCCAACAATTGAGACAGCTGTCTCGTGAGCTTCTTACTCTATTGCGCCTGTCGTCATTGTTGTCGGCTGCCTCAACTCGTCTCTCGCCCCTCGTGGCAAGGAAGTTTGAACTCTATATATCAAAGACAGACTTGGCCCAGGCAGGAAAGCTTGCCGATTTCATGGCCGATGTATCCGATGCGAGCTTCGAAGAGAAGCTACGGATACTCGCTTCTTTCGATGTGAAGCAGCGACTGGAACGCGTCGTGGAGATTTTGTCTCGCCAGGCCCAGCATATTAAGAGTAGCGTGAAGGTCACCTCTATCTCCACGACATCATTCCCGCCGAGCTCAAACATGGATATTAGCCAAATTGACCCTCGAGAGCGTGAGTTGCTTGCCAGGCGTGCGATGCAGGGTCTCTCTGGCCTATCGCCTCCTGGGCCCGCAGGGGGACGTGGCGGTGATGACGAGAAGGAGCCGAACGAGGTGGACGAACTGCAACAGAAGATTAAGGACGCGGAGTTGAGCCCCGAGGCTCAAAAGGTCGCGGATAAGGAATTGAAGCGCTTGCGCAAGATGAACCCTGCCAACGCCGAATACGGTGTTTGCCGCACCTATCTGGAGAACCTTGCGGAGATCCCGTGGACGAAGGTTACTGCTGATCATCTGGGTCCAGAGACTTTGAAGCGTGCGCGGCAGCAGCTGGATGAGGACCACTACGGTCTGGAGCGCATCAAGAAGAGGCTGTTGGAGTACCTTGCTGTGCTGCGGCTGAAACAGTCCACCAACGATGATGTTGAACGCCAAATTACCGGTCTGTCTAAAGACTTGGATGCGGCGTCTGCCGGAGATCTGGAGAAGGACGTTCCTTTGCTCTCCGAAACCGATCGAGTTGCGCTGGAGACCAGACTCGAAATTTTGAAGTCTAAGCGCATGACTGACAAATCACCGATCCTGCTCCTAGTTGGGCCGCCCGGTACTGGAAAGACCAGTTTGGCGAGGTCAGTGGCTGCTTCTCTTGGACGCAAGTTCCACCGCATCTCTCTTGGCGGTGTCCGCGATGAAGCTGAGATCCGTGGACACCGACGAACTTATGTTGCGGCCATGCCCGGTTTGGTCGTGAACGGATTGAAGAAAGTTGGTGTTGCGAACCCGGTCTTCTTGCTTGACGAGATCGACAAGGTTGGCGGCGCCAACTTCCAGGGAGATCCTTCCGCAGCCATGCTAGAAGTCTTGGATCCCGAGCAGAACAATTCGTTCACTGATCACTACATCAACATCCCGATCGATCTGAGCAAGGTGCTCTTCATTGCCACAGCCAACTCTCTTGATACCATTCCCCCACCGCTCCTCGACCGCATGGAGACCATCTCGCTATCCGGATACACTACCGTTGAGAAGAGACACATCGCCAAGCGTCACCTGATTCCCAAGCAGATTCGTTCAAACGGATTGACCGAGGGACAGGTCGTTTTGTCCGATGAAGTGATTGACAAGACCATCACTTCTTACACTCGGGAATCCGGTGTCCGTAATCTGGAACGTGAGATCGGCTCGATCTGCCGTCACAAGGCCGTTCAATTCGCCGATGCCGGCGACGCTGACCGACTAGCTGAGTACAACCCAGTCGTTACTGTCGAAGACTTGGAAGACATTCTGGGCATCGAGCGCTTCGAGGAAGAAATAGCCGAGAAGCACGGCCGCCCTGGCGTGGTTACTGGACTTGTTGCCTATTCTTCTGGTGGCCAAGGAAGTATTCTGTTCATCGAGGTAGCCGACATGCCCGGCAACGGACGAGTCCAGCTCACTGGCAAGCTCGGCGACGTTCTCAAGGAGTCTGTTGAGGTGGCTCTCACATGGGTGAAGGCCCATTCTTTCGAGCTGGGACTGACTCACGACCCCAATGAGGATGTCATGAAGAGTCGCAGCCTGCACGTCCACTGTCCCTCTGGCGCCATCCCTAAGGATGGACCGTCCGCCGGTCTGGCCCACACCGTGGCGCTTATCTCCTTGTTCGCCAACAAGCCTGTTCCCCCGCAGATTGCCATGACCGGTGAGGTCTCCCTCCGGGGTCGCGTGATGCCCGTTGGCGGAATTAAGGAGAAGCTCATTGGTGCTTTGCGCGCCGGTGTCAAGACTGTCCTCTTGCCTTACCCCAACCGCAAGGATGTCAAGGATGTTCCTCAGGAGGTTCACGATGGCCTGGAGATCATCTATGTGCAGTAAGTTACTTGAAACCTTGAACGCTATTCATCTGCTAACATTCACCCGCAGGCACATCTGGGAAGCACTCGGCAAGATCTGGCCGGATGCTCACTGGCCCGGCCAGCACCACGTGAACTTCGTCGAGAGCCGCCTGTAGATACCCTTGGCTTTTGCCACCTGCTGTTCACATTGCGTCTCTTCCAAGCCCCTCTCGACCACAATCGCTTTGCATAGCGTTATTTTGTCCCACTGTGTATTGTAATTAATCTTCGTTTTTGATGCAGTCATGCTGTTAAGAATTCCCTTGTTTATATCTCTCAATACAACCCAGTATGTACTTGCAACATAACCCTCCATCTACACAAGATAACTCAGGTATTATGAAACAAGGCCTAAAGGCTTCAGATGTATATGGATCCGACCTCATAAATATTGTACAGACAGGCCCAATCACAAATGGGGAGAAAAATACACGTAACACCGATTTTTGCCAGAAAAATCTAGCACAAAAGAAACATGCAAAGAAAGGCTCTAGGCCGGAATCAAGGCTTCTTCATCCACTTCGGCGGACGGAGGCCAGGGCCCCTCGTGTTAGCCATCTCCTTGTGCGCGAAATCGATACCCAGCGCCTTCCAAGTCGGCCGCCAGGCCTCCTTATCCTTCTTCAACTCCTCCGCCTGCTCCTTGAATGCCTTTCGCACCTTCTCGTTCGGCTTCTCGGCAGCGTCGCCCTTCTGGCGGTTATCACGGCGCATCTCGGTCTGGAATCGTTCGCCAGAATCCCAGGAATCCTTCTCCCATCTATTGACGCGTTAGCAACGGACATTTTCAACGGCCTAATGCATTGCAAACTGGATGGCACGTACGGGCTAAGATCGGTGGGCTCCTCGGGCCAGACAAATGGCTCCCGCAACTCGACCGTCATGCGCTTCTCGGACTTGGGTCGTCGCCACGCGCCCAAGTTTCGTCCGTCACGGGTGATACGGGTAATGGGCTGCAGCTGGACGTAGCTGCGGACGCTCACGACGCCGACGCCATACGCACGCTCCAGGTAGTCGCGCATGTCGAGTTTGTTGAGGTTGAGAGGGACGCGGAACTGAGCATAGCGGTTGGAGAGGAAGGGGGTTCGGACAAGGGCGACGGTAAATTCGGGGCTGTGAAAGGCCTGTGTTAGCGATTTGCGGTCTAATTGTTCCTGGCGCTGAGGCCGGAAGACTCGTTCGTGATCAAAAGTTCGGGATGAAATTTGGAAATTTGTCGGCTTGGGGGCGACGGTCGACGTACAGGTAGATCTGCTTGCGTTCGGATAGAGGCGGGAGGGGACTTGTCCCCATCTTGGGGAGGCCAATTGCTTTGCGAACCATCTTGACGTCGTTGGTTGATGGTTGGAGTGTCGGGGCGCTGGTGATCTTTTGCTGCGGTGGAATTGCGCGGATGGCCGCGTCGCCCGCCGTACACATCATGATTACTCTTTACGGCTTGTCCTCACATGGCTTTTGTCTTTTGAATTTCATCGCTGATATTGAACGCTAATTATTTTTCAGTCGAGATAGCAAGTCCAGCAACATTGATGTGAATTGTTGTAATTATCTGAGCTATCTTAGACCTGATCTGCACAAGGTCTCTTGGTTTGTATTATGCACGGTATTTAAGTCACTTGGATTCTGATCCTTGCTTAACGTTTATCGGGTAAATGACACGGTTGATCTCTAAAATATAGACTACCTCACCGCTTGAAGTATCTGCTCAAATAGCTGATCCGAATCCGGCCCAATGGGGTTGGCTGCGGTCAATGCCTCTTGGGCATCACACGGGGGATAGATCAGTTTCTGATTGATAAAGCACTTGACCCGCTTTGCCAAATCTCCCGTCAGCTTGATCTGTCTTTTCCAGCATCCACATATCACCGCGCCGTAGGAGCCGAGATCCAGACAGCAGTTGTATGCAGCCTGCGAGTAAGGTATCAATGGCTCGTCGAGAAGGTCAGCTGCGGCATTGTGACCTGACACACGGCCAAGCTGAAGAGCATGCTGACAAGACATCAAGGCATAGCGACCATTGGTATCGGCAAAAGCAGCAGCGGCATCACCAGTAGCAAAAATGTCCCTAGACGACGAAACGCGAAGATGTTGGTCGACCTGGAGGCGACAGAGGCCGTCTTTAGGACCGGCAATTTGTTGTGTAAGGGGAGTCGCCCTCACGCCAGCAGTCCAAATGGCAGTCCTGGTATCAATGCGCTCTCCGGATTCGAGGGTCACACCATCCGCGTCAACTGCCGCGACAGCAGATCCGAGCTTAACTTCAATACCGAGATCCTTCAAAGCCTGGATGATGATAGGACGAGGGCCGGGTCCAAGCTCAGGGCCAACCTGCTCGGCATTTTCAACCAACACAACGCGATAATTGGGGATGTGGACGAGGCGTTTAGGCAACTCGGTTGCAAGCTCGATGCCTGTGAAGCCAGCGCCGCACACGACGATGGTATCGCGAGCAGGGCCTGCAGGAAGCGAGGCAAGATCCTCGACGTGGGTCTCGAGCTTGGTGGCGGATTCCAGGGAGTCAATATCGAAAGCGTGTTGCTCAATCCCGGTAATGCCGCGAGGTCGTACGACTGAGCTTCCAGCTGCTAGGATGAGGCGGTCGTAGCCGATGCTTGATTCGAGACCAGAGGCAGAATGGATGGTAACAGTGTTTGCCTCTGCAGTGATGGTGTTCACGGTGCCTTGGATGAACTTGATTCCCACGCTTTCGAAAATCGGCGCGAGAGAATGGGTCATGCTGGAAGCATTGGCTTCGTAGAGTCGTGGGCGAATTACCAAGGATGGCTCAGGAGAGATGACGAAAACCTGAACGTCGTTGTTTTTTTTCTTTAGATTGATTAGACGCTTGGCTGAAAGGGCACTCCAGACACCGGCAAACCCGGTGCCAATAATGACGATTTTCTTTGCCATTGTTGAAGTTTTATAGTTCCGAGGACTATATCCGCGCGGAATTGGGAGTGGCGATGATGCAAGGTGAGAATCTAAAGATGCAATCCATTATATTAAATCTTAAATGATATCCAATGTACTTCAAATACCCTCTAGGCGGGAATACCTAGGTGGGTATTGAACAGTCTTCACACTCGGCGGGATCTCACGATCGCCGTAGCTTAACGGATTCCCGACGAGTGGGTCCCCGAATACCCGAGTATCCGCCTCTCTCCATGCCGACTCGACCCTGTTCTATACTCACATTTTCAATGTATTCCACATCGCATGGTAGAGCCACACGCTCATCTCTCGCTTGCTTACCCTGCCGCTCGCGCCACCTAAAATGCGACGGCAAGCGACCGTGCTGTACGCGCTGCGCGGAGTACGGTAAGGAGTGTAACTATGCTCGATCGCGCAGAGGCGGGCTCGACCGCGCAGCTCTGGCAGAGCGGCGTAAACGGCTCGCTGCGACAGAAGAAAGTACGATAACCGGTGAACCGGGTCCACAAAGACCCGCAGCCGCTCAGCAGGGCCCAGAATGTACACCTCAATTCCTCGAGATGGACTTCTCGAGCAGCTACGATCTACTTAACGGGATCAGCATTGGTGATGGCACATCTGGAATGACTTCACCAGCAGCAACCCAAGTCGTTATGGGCGATATCGAGAAAGACGCCTTGGTCGATGCTTACTACAAGAACTTTCACAAGTTGCATCCGTTCCTCCCGCCCAAAAGGCACTTTCTCAGACTTTGCCAAGATCCGAGCAGACAGCTCAGCTTCACACCACTCATTGCTGTCATGCGCTTTGTTGGACATATTTTCAACTCGCACGGATGGTCAAGTCTATTGAAGGACTTCGCCGAGACGTGCTTTTCGCAGGCATTACCAACGGATCCAGTTATGGTCCAATGCCGACTCTTATATTCAATGGCTTTGTTCTGGTACGACTATAAGGCTGAATCCAAAATGGAGATGAAAAAGGCTATTCATCTTGCCGTTGATCTCCATATGTTTTCTCAAGACTTTGCGACGAAACATGGTGCCGACGACCCCGTATTGAGGGAATGCTGGAGAAGGACGTGGTGGATGCTTTACCTCGTAGACGCATACTATGCTGGAACCCTCGGCACTATGAATTTTGAAGTCGTGGATATTGAGGTCACGGTGGATCTGCCCTGTGAAGAGTCTGAATTTGAGTCCGGGGTAAGTACTGACAATCTCTCTTCTGCCTCATCCGATCGATTCCGGAGTCGGTATCGAAGCTCGCATAACTCACTTTGACCAGAAAATTCCCGCACCCAAAACCTTGGAGGAATTTGACTGCCGCGAATTCTCTCCTGAAAGTACCTTCTCATCCTTTGCGTACTTGATCGGTGCTGTACGCTGTGCGGCATCTGCAATATCGTGCGCACCAAAAATTGCAAATAAAGAAGACTCGATGCATATCCTTCAGGCTGCTGACTCCAGTCTGGATGGCTGGCGACTTCTACTTCCAGAGAATCGCAAGCAGGTCATTTCCAAAACGGGAGAAATCGACGAACTCATGTTTCAAGCACACCTACTCATTCATGTGTAAGATCCCCAATACAATGGGCCAAACATTCGCAAGCTCACGCACCAAATAGAGCCACCATCGGATTACATCGACCATTCTCCGATCTCAAGTTCAACGCCGTAGAAGACGTCTCGAGCTGCGCTCGAGAACCGCCTCTCGACACACCAACACCAGAACTTGTCAACGTGCATACGGTGCGAGTCCTCCGGTCCGTCGAAGCACAAATACGCCTTTTGGCATTGCCGGTCCGCCAATTCCACCACACCCCATTCACAACCTGCATGGTCAGCGAAGGCACCCTGGCGCTCCTCTCAGCCTGCAATTATCTGTTCAAGAGCAGGGATCTGGCAACCGCAAGAGACCAGATCCGCATGACTATCGGGTGTCTGAAGGCATTGGGTGAAATCTGGCCACGGACAGCAAGAAATGTGCGAGAGATCCAAACTATTGCGCATCATGTGTTGGGAATTGGGTCGAAGAATACCAGTAAAAGTGTTACTCCCAATTCCAGCGAAGTGCCGCCTCTGTTTGGTGGTCAAGAGCAAAGAAGTCATGGCTCCGAGGGTGAGATTTCGAGTAACGATACTGATATGCTGCCCTCTCTTGGCTCTATCGAGGATCTCTGTGGATGGTATAACCTTGGAGATCTCGATGGCCTTCCGTGGGGAATGACTGATGGATGATAAAAGTCCTGCTGATTACAATGATAATGTTCAATTGCATTTTGAGGAGCCACCGAAGCCTGTAGAGGACGGGTAGTATTGCCGCTCTTGATATACCTGCTGGCTCGTTTTGAGCTCTTCCCTATGGAGAAGACCTGTTTCATAATGTGATCTCACATGGTGATTGTAATTGCAATCCATTCATGACTGTACTGTCTAAGCTTCTGACTCGTCTGCTCCCGTGAAATCAATCACAACCTTCCCTCCCCGATTCCTCTGCCGGGCATACGCCCAAGCCTCTTCTGCCTTATGGAACGGGAATGGCTTCACTGCCAAAACCTTGATAGAACCTGCATCAATCATCGCAGATGCCTTGCTCATTCGCTCCGCATTTGGAGAGACGATGAAATACACGTATCGCACGTTGGGGTGCTCGGTGGCCTCGACCGCCTTGCCTCGTCCAACTACCCACGAGGGTGCCGGATCCCCAACAGCCACAATCACACCGTCGTCCTTGACCGTTTCCCACGATTTGGTCAAAACATCACCGCCAACCGTGTCAAAGACCAAGTCCACCCCCCTGACCCGGTTCTCCCAATTTGGCGTGTTGTAATCAATCGTCTCGTGTGCTCCAAGTTGTTTCAGATGCTCGTGAGTTCTGGATGAAGCCAGCGCAATCACGCTCGCACCAGCCAGCCGAGTCGCAAATTGCACGGCAAATGTCCCCACTGCTCCAGATGCCCCGGTGACGAGAACCCGCATACCAGATTCGAGTTTACCATGATCGATAACTGCCTCCCATGCAGTGAGGATCGGGATCGGTAAAGCGGCCGCTTCCTCATGAGATATCAAAGTTGGTTTGGGGGCGACTTCATCCTCTAGACAGAGGACGTAATCAGCCTGGCCTTCGCATCGGCCCGGTGCGATCATCGCGTAGACCTCCTGATGGAGTTTCAAAGGGCCGCTGTAATCTGGACCGAATGCGGAGATGACGCCTGATACTTCGTGTCCAGGGATGGGGGATAGGGTTGGGTAGGATTGAAGCCATAAGATCTCGTCGCCGGTTACCCCGGCCGAGTGGACGCGAATGAGAATCTCGGCTTTTTGGGGAATCGGCTTGGCCATGGAGTAATTGGTAGTGACTTGCGGGGAGGAGACATCTAGGATTTGAACGGCCTTCATCGCGTGGAATGCGCTTTCTCAAGAACAATGAACATGGGATGATTTGATTAACTGATGCACTGCTAGATCATGTACCTTGATTGTCTTTATACTACTCTACTTATACCCGCAATCATCGCTGTTGTCAGTTTGTGTTGCCGCCCTTGAGGAAACTCGGGATGCCATTGTCGCGGATACCCGGATACCCGCGACCATACGGCCGCTGCACGATGGTGCAATCCCGAGTAGGCGCCTGCAGGTGCAATGACCAGGTCAAGCTTGGCGTCAGCCACCGACACAACCGTAGTACTGTGGCTTGTGAAACCTTGAACCGATCTGCAACAGTTCTGGACTCCGGAGCCGAGGGAGATGATTGGCCTACGAGGGTTTTCAGCCACTGACGACAGTCGGGACTTCCCGAGGCTCACGAGTTCCCGCCGATCATCGCCAGGGATCACGGTCTTCACGTCAATAGCCTATTGTTTGGCTGAACTTCTCTCTGCATAGGTTGTCTAGGAGAACTTGTGTCTGACCAGTGTAGTCTGCAAAGTACGAACTACCTACCTATAGCCACAAAAACGTCCCTCGACGGGGTTTGACGAGACGAGATAAGACGACGTCTCCACAATCCTAACCCCGGATAACACCGTCTAAGCCCCCGAAGATCGATCGGTGGGCCCGGAGCCTGGACGACGATGATGACGCAGTATATTTGGAGAAATCAAGGAACCTTGCAAAGGCCATCTATCTCAAATCGAGGATAAATAGCTCTCAAATTCCCCCGGCAGACTTGAGTTTCTATCATCACATTCACTCTCACTCTCAACAACTCACTTCCAAACCAAACACATCTTACCCCACCCTTCCTTCACAATGGAGACCGTCAAGGTTCGTGATTATCTTTCCCGGTAGTCCACCAACGTCCCAGACTAACAAGCCCATAGCAAACCGTCAACTACGTCGCCGAGACCGTTCAGGGTGCCGGTGCTACCGCTTCCAAGGAGGCCAACAAGGAGGTCGCCAAGGACTCCGACGCCAAGATCAGCACCCGTGCCAATGCCGCCTTCGACGCCGTCGGTGACAAGAAGGACGAGCAGGTCCACAACACCAAGGCCGATGTCCACAAGGGTAAGTCTTGCGTCTTTGTTTATTTACCGAGAACACGTCTAATACGGATTTATAGAGGCTGCTAAGCACTAAGCGCTGAGCGCTGAGCGCTAAGTGATTGCGCGATTTGATGGACGGCTATTACCCCGATCGATCTTATCGTGTCTCGCGGGCCCCGCATGCATCACCCCGCTTCCCTTGCGGTTGTTTGATGATTACCATGGATTACTTATATAGCTTTTGTCTAAACATAATAAACAAATCTTTCTCAGGAGAAAACTATCCCTTGGTTGTAGGTCCTCGCTGACTTGGCAGGTTGAGATAGTTATCGGGATAGACGATGGGCGAAAATGAAGGCGTACGGAGACGGAACTTCACTCACGGACGCTATATTTACACTCTAGATTCATCACTCGTGATCATTAAAGTACATTCCCAGGTGGCTCGGATCGTCTACTTTTCAGATGATCCCGAGATCTCCAGTGCGTCTAATCGCTTGGAGCTCTCGTCCACTTCTGCGCTAGACTGCTCAGGTTGTTCATCGTCGGCCTCCTCTTCCTCCTCCTCGGACTCTTCATCTTCATCAGATTCCTCCTCTTCATCGTCGTCTCTCTCGCCTGCATCATCATTGGCGCCGACTTCGTCCATATATTTCTCAAGCTCGCGCGCCATCTTCCTAGAGAAGCCCGAAGCCTCGACCTCAACGTCCAGCCGCTTCCCAGGGTTCTTCAAGAACCTCTTCTTCGCATCCGCAAAGAACGGGCCCGGCGCATCGCTAACAAAATGATACTTCCGCTGGAAGAACCGCTTCACGCAGTTTACATCACGGTCAAAGTACATCTCCGCATTAGCGTGATCAATAGAGACCATCTGGGGGAAATCAATGAGAATCGGAGTCAGCTGGATATGGTCATCATCGGCATCCTCAATGTCCGGAGTATTTCCATCCTCGTCCGGAATCACTTCTTCCTTGATAAGGAGGTTAAACTCGTTAAAGTCACCGTGAATCAGACCGTAGCGCGCCAGCTCCAAAATCATATCCATCAGCTCCGAGTATAGCTTAGCCGGTTTGGGGACCTTGGCGATCTGGCGGAGCGGGAAGGCGTCGATCAGACTCATGACGATGGTGTGGCGGTTCTGGGCAATGGGCTCGGGAACTGGGAAGCCGTTCTCCCGCAGGGCTTTCATAAATGCAAACTCTTTCATCGCCGCCAGTCGAGACATGTACATCCAGGATCCTGTATGGCGGTGTCGGAGGTAGTCGCGGTTCGTCTTGACGGTTCGGAAGGAGATACGGCCGAGACGGTGGATTTTGAGAATGCGCTGTGCTCCACTGCTGTGTGCGACAACGATGATATCTGATTCTTTACCCACGCCGATCTGGTTGCCAACGGAGTAGACCACTTTTTGCTTCTGGTGCCCGTTGAGAGCCAAATAGTCGAGACCGCCGTAGGTGAGTCGGTAGCCGTCGTCTGTGGCCACCAGAGATATAAGCTGGTGTTTCAGTAGAGGGAGATAAAAGGGAAGACGTACACTTTGCGTTCTTCACCTTCGCGATCAGGTTGATTTTGGCCAGATTCGAGATGGCCCGATGCACGCCACTGCCGCCGCGGAGGCCCGAAAGCTGCACGATCAGCGGTGTCGGAACGACTTCATGGTTTCGGCTTCCGGTTTCAACCTAAAAGAGAAGACCGTCGTTAGTTATCTGGGCATTATGGCGAAAGAGCAGGCGCTCTAAGCACGGCGGGGTGGAGGGGCTGATAAGTACCCCCGCAAGAACTTTGAAATCCTCATTCGTGAGGTAGCGGATCGCCTTGGCGTCGAGTTTCATCTTGGAAAGATCTCAGGGTTCTTGACCTGAGAATAACCGGATCTTTTGGAGTAAAAAGCGTCGGGCTGCAGCTGGGAAGACTGACGCGGAGAGAAAAAAGTGATAAGCTCGTAGCCCTAAGCCCTATTTCCTATTTAGGCGAGTACCTTGGGGTTGGTCGACGCGGAGATCTAACCACGAGAAGATGAGAACATTAATTAAGGACTGATTCAAGCTTGCTACAGGAATACTAGAAAAGTTAAATATTCACCATTTCATATGTCAACCCAGGGCACAGAACGCGAGGCCCCTGATTGAGATGTAGTCTACACAAGATTTTCCCACCGATGCAGCCTGTCTAGGCCGCCCAATATACCGAATGCAGAAGGATAAAAGAAGTCCATGCTATTCCTCAGTCGTTCTGAATACATTAGGTCCAACTGTAACCCGACCACTATATGAGACCCGTCAGGGACGAGCAAGAAGAGAGATCGGGTGCTATCTCATTTGGCTTATTCGGGGCTTTCCCAGTCGGGGTTCTACATATTTCGTTAGCAAGCGTTTAACAATACGGAGTTCTGTTGGGATGGCTTACCTTGCGCAGAATTACCAAGCCTTCGAGTATGCCGCTGAGAGGGATATACTGCTCATCTTCCAGCTCGGCTCTCTCGCCGTACGACAAAAGCACCGGCGTGCTCTGAGTTTGCCATCCGGTGATGGTCTTTGGCCGACCAGCCTGACCAACGACGTCCACGGCCTGACCCACCCGCACGTTGACGGTGAGCGGGTTCAGATCCTCATCGAGAGTGACGAGGAAGCGGGGGAACATGGCGGTAATGAGGAAGTAAAGAAGGTAGTGGCTATCGGCAAGGATGAAGTCCTTGGCATCGATCAAGGACACGAGAACGGTGAGCAGACCGGCCGCCGAGACTCGGGAAAGGACCTGACGGTCGGTGTGGAAGGGGTTGAGCGTCATTGTGCCCTTGCCCATGTGCAGGAGACCCTGGGCGATGCGCACCATGAACAGGGAGTTCTGGTCGCGGTGGTAGTAGCTAGCCAGTTGACGCAGAAGCTGTGCCAAACGAGCGTTGTTGGTACCCGCACCGCAGAGACCCATGGCAAAGATGGCGTTAATAGCAACATCGTTGTCATTGTCGTGACTGTACCGGGACAGGGTGTCGTACACCTTCATCTGGGGGTTGCTGGGGCTGATCAAGCCCATGGCAAGGGGCACGGCCCGACGAATGTTGGGAGAGCCGTAGTGCATGAGATGACCGAACTGACGGAGAATCATATCCTGACCGACATCCTCACCCATGGCGATGAGCGACAGACCCAAGACAGCATAGGACTGGACCAACTCGTCACCCTTGTTCTCCTCCTTCTCTTCAATAATGTCATTGCAGATGTGAAGGAGCTCTTGTAACTTGAGTACAGTTCCGGTACCAGCCCAGGCACAAACCGAGGCAAGGACCGAGGTGGGCTTAGCCATGGGGTGATCAACGGCTTTCAAAATGTCAAGGATGACATCGACCTCCTCCTGGCGGCCGAAGTAAAGCAGCGCAAGACCAAGAGCCATGAATCGTGTCCACTTGTCCTTCAGCTGCTTCTGGCGCTCCTCATCCATCAAAGTTGTGGCAATCGCCTCGCTCACCTGATGGTTCGATGAGCCGACAAAGATGAGACCCAAGGAGACTGCAGCCATAGCAGAGAGCTGCATATCCAGCGAAGAATCCTCCACAATGGGGAGAAGTATCTCGAGGAGGTCCTCTTTGTTAGAGCCGGCATATGCCAGACCAAGACCCATGATAGATGCAACTCGCATCGGCACGTTCTTGGCCTCGAGGTTGTCAGGATCACTCAAGAGCGCAAGAGCGGGGTCAGAGTCGAGGCGGACACCGGAGTTCAGGATACCAATGGCAAGCAAAGCACCGGCCTTGACCTGGTCCTCCGATGCGTAGGTGAACTTGTCAATCTTGTCCAGCCCATCCTCAACATCCCGGTGAAGGAGCATACCCAGCGACGCTGTTGTGGAGAGCATGCCATCGTCCTTGGTCTTCCACACCCACGGGCCCTTCTCACCCTCGACCAGCATCATCTTATCGTTACCAAAGCCAGCGTTGGCAAAGGAGTTGACAAAGGCGCTAGCCAGGTTGTGCCGTGCGGAGTCGAGATTGGTGAGACCCGCTCCGCGACTGCTCTCAAGATGCGTTTTGTAAATATCCTCAGGCATCTTGGGGTCCAAGATGTTGAGCTCCTTTCCAAGAGACTTGAAGTGCTTCGGAATGGAGGTGTTGTTAAGGCAGTCGTTCAAAGCCTCACCTTCCTCATCCTCAGCGGGCAGATCAAGCCAGATCTGCTGTCGAGCAACAAGGAAAGCCATTTGCTTCTTGAGGGACTTATCGTCGGTGGCATCGATATCACTCTTGATGAGATCAATATCGTTCAATCGGATGGCGAGGACGATTGCCTGGGACAGTTTGTTGTAGCGGACGTAGATCTCGTGGGCGGCGCGGAGGAACTGCTGGTCTTCGGGGTAAGTGAGCAAGTTGACCATGCTGACCATGTACAAGCAAACTCGGGAGTATGTGTTCTCGTCCACAAAGCGCGGAATTTCTTCGATAATCTCCATCTCACTCAGAAGATCGACAGCATCAGCCTCGGCGTTGTGGCTGAGGAAATGAGGCACCAGAGACAAAGCGAGGTCCACCAGGTCCGTGGTTTCCTTCTCAGCATTCAACCGGTTCTGATATTCTTGTCCAATCTCCAGCGCCAGGTGTCTGATATATTCGTGGCCCCAAGAGGCAAGATCTTCCGACTGGGCCAACAGGCGGTACTTCAGGGTCTCCAGCTTCGCCTCGTCTCCGTAGGTCATACCGAGCACCGACAACATATCGGCCAGCGAGTCCTAGTGATGTTAAGATTAGAACAAGCTAATTGTAATGTCCTGTTAATCAGACGAACCTTAATAGGGCCAGCCGTCCACTTCTCGTAAAGCGCTGCCAGATCATCGTAATGCGGTCGGAGGAATTTCAACGGCTTGGGGACAGCCGTCATGGAAGATGTGGAGGTCTTGATGAAGTTCTTGATCGCGTCCAAGGCAGGTCCGTAAAGGGAGGTGTCGGGCTCCTATTGCGAGCTGTTGTTAGCATCAACGTCATCGTCGGCTTGGGACGAATTCGGGGATTACCGTACCTTTAACCGCTCCACGAGCATCTCGAGCTCATCTTTCAATTGTTGGTCCTCCTCACTGAGCTCATCTTTGAAGAAGTCAGCGCCTGGGTCCAAGCAGCGAAGCATCCTGCGGAAGCCACACGCTCTGCTCCGATATGCGTTGCAGGGTGTTGTCGCGACGTACCTTCCTGGGGCTCCTCATCCTTCTTTTTTCCATCCTCGGTTGTCTTCTCGTCCTTTTGGGGCTTCTTGCCGTTCAACTCGCGAACGTCATCAACCTTGCCCTTGCCCTTGTCGGCGGCGGTTGACCGTTCGCCCTCGTTCGCCATTTCTGACGGATATCTGGCGACCGGGTCGGGGGGGAAATCAAAAAGGGTTAACGGGTAATTCAAGTGTCGGAAGCCGAATTATGCCGTGTCACAAAAGAAACAAGAGATAGGGAGCTGCAGATGACGGGTGATGCAGTTGATTGTAAGCTGGTGATGGAGACGCAGAGAGCTCGGGCTGGTGCAGCTCTCGTATTATGTAATCCGCCAAGTCCTCGTCATTGTTTTGCCTCGACACCTTGTGCCAACATCAAATCGTCCTACGCGGGTGCAAAATGCTGTTCGACTTAAGTAATGTATCTCCTAAGGACCTAGTAAATAGACTATCATCCAGCCAAGATTATCCAAGCCAAGCTCCAAATATCATAACGCCACATGTTCAAGACTTAGAACGGACATCGCAGAACATGCTAGAAACCAGCTGGGATCATACATCAGCCAAGACAGAATAGATCTAGACCAGGTCCCTCCGTTACTGTACTATCCTGAGTACAGTGTCCCTGTTGTAGTCGAAACTTCTCAGCGTATTCCCTGGTTTGGCTATAGTATGTCTCCGGTGTCAATTCCTTTCCGTCGTAAGACAACAAGGACAACTCCTCAACATCTGGAAGGCCGGATTCGAAGATATCAAGGAGAGGCATAATATTAGGTGCTCGAGTTGATGGTTTCTCAGGGATATCGTCCATCAGTGGCTCAAGGGGCCTATCGGGATTATCGATTTCAGGAATGGGGATTTTGCCGGTGTTGAGACTGACTTCGTGGGCATACTCTTCCGGTGAATGATAGAGATCATGATGCACTGTCACCAGAGATGCTGCAGTATGGCCGGGAAATGACGGGTACAACATGTAGTATCCTTTGGCTCGCATCAATTCCAAAAGATATTCCATAAAGGCTGGGTATCTCCTGGATATGATCTTGTCTTGAGAGGCGATATTCGTCTTCGTCTCTGAAACCCCCAAGCGACTCGAGAGGAAGGAATGAAACTCGGTCCACTTGTCACCGAAGAACAACGCCGCGTTGCAGTTTGGCGCTTGCCACAAAAAGGATGGGATGGAGTGCGGTCCATTTTTCTTGATATCATCCATCGATAACAATGACGGCGGGCTGAACGGTTCTTTGTCAATCGTGGGCTTCGAAGATGGCAGCTCCAAAGAAATTCCCATGAGATCCAATGCGGTCTGCTTAGCGCGTGTACTCTGTTTGTACTGCAGAATGTTGTACTTAAGATAATGGTAGAATGAAGGTGCCACTTCCGTCTGTGGAGATAAAATGAGCAAGTGAGACAAGCGGGGATTTATTGGGTAAAAGCCTTCTACTGTGCGAAGAGACGAATCCGCTGGGTCCATGTAGCGTGGGTCAATACGCCGCCGAAGAGTAATGCGCCCCGCAAGCTTAGACAGTCCTTGCAAATTCTGCAAAATGCCACGCAACTGAGGATCGAGAGATGGCGGCAGCTCGATGGTCAAGCTGGGTGTTGATCCAAGATAGTCCGCAGCATCTAAGGACCGGATGAGTCTTATCAGAGACCCTGATGATTTCGATGCGTGAACGACCATGTCAACGCGAATATCATTCCAGACTATTATGTGTCAGTATCAAAGGGATCCGAGCATGTTTCAAAATCCCTTCTTGACATGTTTTCAAAGTTTTTTCTTATATGCAGAGAGTTTTACCTTTCAAAGCAGTGCTATCGATGAAGGAAATCCACATGAGGTCTCTGGAAGCTGAGGGAAGCGCAATATGAGGAATTTCAGCTTTCCGTTTATGAATTTCCAACCCATTCAGAAAGAAGGAGTCTTCCCAGCCTTTTTGCTGTGTGATGATAACTTCTGGAGCCACATATGCTTGAATCAAACCAAGGCCCCCGGAAGCAGATCGTTCCATGCGAGCATCGGAAGATTCAGACAAATGATCCGGTCGACCGTCTGTGTTGATACGTAGTTAGCATTATAATGCATCGTTAGACCGAAGGACCGAGAGATCTAGAAGAGAACTAACCATGCCATGTCATAGGGCATTCTGCGTCTGAAATCCCGTTTACTGTTTTGATTCCTTCAATGGAAACTTGTTCCTTGCCCATGATAACAAAATGTACACGATTAAATTGCTTGCGCGCCATTTGACAGGCCAAAGGCAACATGTCAGAGACACAATGCAGGTTCGAGCCGGCAAAAAGCACTGCACGGCTAGGTTTGCGCTCCGGGTGCTTGTTGGGGGGAAGAGACCTGGCCAGTTCATAGAACTTGATCGCCCCATCAAAAGTCTCTCCTTCGGCATCTGTTTGTGGCACGTATCGTGGTGGATCCTCGGCTTTAAATATAGCAGGCGACTGAACCGGAGCTGATTGCGGCGGCGAAGGAGGAGGAGGGTGTCTTAAACGCGCAATCGTCGGGTTGTATCGTTCGGCGGCCGGGGCAATATCGGTGGGCATGTGCTTGAAGAATTGATACAAGAGTACCAAAACAAAAACAGCGATCAATATCCGACGAGGGCGAGGGTACATGCGATTTTGTGCAGGACGCAATCGTGCCTGGTTGGAGTGGAGATCGTCGTCTTTCTTGCCCAGCTCCTCATCGGCGCGCAAGGGCATCTTTGCGGGCGCCATGATATAGTGCGGCTGGCGGTGGAGCCAGAAGATCTAGAGAGAGCATTGAGCCCAGCTCAACTCTTGGTAATTTTGAAGAAACCAACGAGAAGTCCGAGGTCGAAAGGGTGCGAAGGGGTCGAGAGGGTGAAAGATGATCTCCACAAATAGTGAGATCAACGCCTAATCGCCTTATCGCCAACTCGAGCTCCGCGTTTCTTCCCCACTTCACGGTGCGCGCACGCGACGCAGCATCCTGAACACCACGGCATACAATATGGATCTGGATTCTCCAGACCAGCATGGTACTAAGCGTGCGGTGGAGGAGTCAGAGGTCTCTGGGTCGTCCAAGCCCAAGAGAATTAAGGTACGAACAGCTCTACCCATTCGGTGAAACACTACCTAAAAGGAGCCGTACTAATGAGCCTCCACAGGCCCTCGATCCCGATGTCGTCAACAAGATCGCAGCCGGAGAGATTATCGTAGCTCCAATGCACGCGCTGAAAGAGTTAATCGAGAACGCTGTCGATGCGGGCTCTACTTCGATCGAGGTTCTGATCAAAGATGGAGGGTTGAAGCTTTTACAGATTACGGACAATGGGCATGGTATTGATGTGAGTTGGCTTGATCTTGACTCCCCAATAGATATGGATAATATAACTGATAGCTTCCAGCGCGACGACCTCCCCATTCTCTGCGAACGATTCACCACATCCAAACTCAAGGAATTTGAGGACCTCTCTTCGATCGGAACATATGGTTTCCGCGGCGAAGCATTAGCCAGTATCAGTCACATCGCTCATCTGACAGTGACAACAAAGACGGCTGGGTCTAGCTGCGCCTGGAGAGCACATTACGCTGATGGAAAGCTGGTTCCGGCAAAGCCAGGACAAAATGCCGCTCCCAAGGCTACCGCTGGCCGTGGAGGAACACAAATCACGGTAACTACGACTGCTTGTCTTCGATTTGATAGGGTTCTAACGAAAGAAACAGGTCGAGGACCTGTTCTACAATGTCCCTACTCGCCGCCGTGCGTTTCGCTCCGCGAGCGAAGAGTACGCGAAGATCCTCGATGTTGTTGGTCGGTATGCAGTGCACTGCTCTGGTGTTGCCTTCTCATGCCGCAAGCATGGTGACTCGGGAGTTAGTATCTCAACGCCCTCCAGCGCGACCATTGTCGACCGAATCCGCCAAATTCATGGCAGTGCAGTGGCAAATGAATTGGTTGAATTCGAGGCCTCAGACAGCAAGCTTGGTTTCCGTGCCTCGGGCTTAGCCACCAATGCCAATTATCATGTCAAAAAGACGACCATCCTGCTCTTCATCAATCACCGCGCTGTGGAATCAACTGCTATCAAACGCGCGGTGGAACAGACATACTCCGCATTCCTGCCAAAGGGTGGACATCCTTTCGCATATATCGATCTGGAAATCGAGCCACACCGCGTGGATGTTAATGTTCACCCGACTAAACGTGAGGTGAATTTCTTGAACGAAGACGAGATCATTGAGATGGTTTGCAATGAAATCAGGTCCAAGCTTGCCAAAGTTGACTCGAGCCGAACATTCCTCACCCAGAGTCTTTTGCCCGGCGTTCAGACCATCGATACCATTCAGCTTGATCAGGGCTCAGACAATGAAGGTGTAGCAGATGGGAAGGTAACACGCACACCGAAGACACCCGCCACATCCAAAAGACCATACGAAAACAATCTCGTCCGCACGGATTCCAAAGTCCGCAAGATTACCTCCATGCTTGCCCCATCTCCTGCACAACCTGACACGCCTACCATCCCCGGCAATCCACCATCATCTATACTGGACGACAGTCTCCAGTACGAAACCACAGACCGTCAACCCCTCCGCATCGCCCTCACGTCCGTCAAGAGCCTTCGCAGCGCTGTTCGTGACACCATGCATAATACGTTAACGGAAATGTTCGCGTCACATACCTATGTCGGTCTCGTGGATGAACAACGACGCTTAGCAGCCATCCAATCCGGAGTGAAACTCTACCTAGTAGACTACGGTCTCGCCTGCAATGAATTTTTTTACCAGGTCGGGCTGACGGATTTTGGCAACTTTGGCGTCATCCGTTTAGATCCTCCACCGAAGCTGGTAGATTTACTGAAGATTGCCGCTGAAGCGGAGCAGCAGAGACATAGCAGCAACGATGCGAATACAGAGACCATCTTCGCCAATGCCGCAGAGATGGTAACACAGACCCTGATCGAGCGCCGTGAGATGCTGGACGAATACTTCTCAATAAAAATCAGTGCCGAGGGCGAGCTCCTCACGATTCCACTTCTTTTGAAGGGATATGTGCCCTCGCTAGCAAAACTGCCGCGATTCTTGCTCCGGTTGGGTCCCTATGTGGACTGGTCTGGCGAAGAAGAATGTTTCCGCACCTTTCTACGTGAACTCGCGACTTTTTATACCCCAGAGCAGCTCCCAGTCGCACCATCGAAGGATGCTTCGACTTCCGATGAACCCAACGTGGACGCCCCAACAGAAGAAGACCCGATGATCCAAACACGCCGTGCGCAAATGGCCCGAATGCTAGAGTACGCTGTATTCCCAGCTCTCCGTGCACGACTAGTTGCTACATCGCGGATGCTAAAGGGCGTGGTGGAGGTTGCCGATCTGAAGGGACTCTACAGGGTATTCGAGCGATGCTAAGGTGATCCGAACTTATCAATATACCAATATGGATGATAAATCAAACAAACCCCCATACATGTTCGTAGGATTCGCAGTAAAAAAGTCCAACAGTGATCCAGATTTTAAGACCACGCCGTGTCCATTCCGCGGGAAACACGAACCCATAATCCAATACAAGAAGAAAAAGAATCACCAGACTATGCAGTCACAAAGACGGAAAGATGGCACACCGCCAGCCCCGTCATATGGATGATCACGCGATATTCATGATTCGCGAAGAAGTGGAATGGAAGGGGAAAGATGTTGCTGTAAAATATGAGCTGGACGGATGTAAAGTCCAAGAAGAGATGAAAGATAAAGCAGAGAATGGAAAGATAAGGCTTAAAGAACACGACAGAATCATGTGAGGTTGGTGAAAAGCATTGAATCGTCGTTGTTGATAATCCCGTATCAAATTCTCGCAACGCCAAGCGCCAAAATCCAGCGAAAAGCCAGCCCTCGTTCGTAGCAGTCATGTGTCAAGATCGTTCAACGTGTAAATGTGTGGTCCGACTTTCTAAGAAGTGCGGATCTGGCAACGTGAGAAAAAACAAAAAAGATTAAGAATATCGCGGTCAGACATATGAAGTCAAGTCTGGTGGAAGGGAGAGTTGAGGCTGAAGCCGGTGATACCCTTAGGTTCTAGAGTAGGGTTTGTTGAGGAGTGCAATCTCGCGGGCGACAGTTGGCCATTCGAGTTCGCGTTTCAAAGGGCCGCGTTTCTTCATTTGGCTCTCTTCCCATTGGAGGAGTTCATAGCTGGAGAGGAATGTCAGTGATCAAAAAATTTGAGGGTGGGAAGAGAGATCCTTACACAAAGCGGAGATGGGGCTGAATAATCACGTTCAGTCGTCTAGCGCGGACAAAGCAACTGGGTTGAGGTCAGTTTTGGCTTCAAGTCTAGGGTTTCAAAGAAGGTGTGACATACTATGCGCGAGGGAAGGAGAGACCCTGTGTTTTCATCACCTCGGCAATGCAAATGCTGGCAGATCGGGAAACGCCAACACGGCAGTGAACCAGGGTCGCCATGCCTTCTTTCTTTTCATGCTCTTAAAAAATGTCAGTGACACGTTCAAAACAAACCATGGACGACAGTTCGGTGGGTTTCACTCACCGAGAAATTCCAAACACCTATCGATCTCCTGCCAGAGTGGGTCGATACCGTTATCTTGAACGTTGTCAATGTACATGAGGTTGTCTTTGCCCCATTTGTCACGGGCCTCGCTGCTCCACGAAACGGGCTCGCCGATGCTCAAAACGCGTCGGATCCCAAGTTCCCACAACAAATCCGGGTTGTTGGCATGATTGAGGTTACCCAGATACAGCCATGGAAGAATGCGACTGGGCAAAGAGCCGTCCATCTTCAAAAACCAGTTGGGATCCCAGATTTCCGAGGGGTCGCTGGAACGGGTTACCGGGCTCTCTTGCAAAAGACGTGGCTGAACGTGACTTAGGAACGCAACGTCCGTCGGGTATGCGAAGAAGTTCCGACCCTTTTCACGATGCAGACGAAGCCACGCTTCGTGCGCGGGAACACCTTCGGCGAACATGAAATACGCAACTGCCAGCAGCGAGCTCTCGGTGTAGCCATCGGCACAATGGATGAACACTCGACGAGCCTTCTTCTCCTGGTGAGTCATGGCGATGTCGCCGTCACGGTCTGCCACTTCGGTTGGCTCGGGGTGAGCGAGGTAGTAGATCCATCGAATGGTGGCGACAAGGTCTTCGACTTCGCGGGTGTGGCCCGAAGGGAGTACAATCGAGCCAGACGAGGGGAATTCCATTCGCTGGGGAGCGCTCTCGAGCTTTGCGTCGAGCGTGGCCAAGAAACGAGGACCGGGGATACTGGCGAGATCGCTTGCCTCGATCATCAGATCATACGGAACCGTCTCGGGCTCATCACATACTCCCGGTCGAAGCATGTAATCAGGAGTCGGTCCGAGCCAGACATTGGTTGAGATCTCCGACGCACGAGACATGCTGCACATCTCCAGACGCTCCCATTGAGAGAAGTCCATGACCCGACCAGTGAGTTGGCCAAGCGAATTGATAGCGACCAGCTGGGGGAGTTTCTTCTCAATATGGTGGAAGGAGCTTGTGACCACGAAGGTGTTGTAAGTCGGCCGTTCTTGCAAGGGATCATTCTTCATGCGCCAAGCCTGCTGGGCCATCGCAAAGTCCTCTGCCAGCGCAAGAAGCTCCGACTTGCTGGCTCCATCTTCGGCATAAACCACTATATCCGACATGGCAGCAAGTTTGGCAGTCTGGATATGGAAGTTGCGCACCGAGAAACCCTCCGGCGGGTCGGCCATCAAGAAACGCGATGAGGGCGAGATGACTTCGCTGGGAGCGACGGCACCTTTGATGCGTGCCTTGCTCAGATCACCGCCCAACTTGACCACCGTGATTCCGCGCCAACATTTCGGTGCTCGGCGCAGGGACTTCTTGCGACCGGAGAAGAAGCCCAACTGCAGGTGGTTATCGGGGTGGAGGCCATGCAGCCAGGGGAACATTTGCGATGGATCAGGCAATGGCTGCGCTGCCATGTGATCCAGCGCAGAAGATAAGGTCTCGGCATCGATGGCATAGATATTGGGTGCCGGCGGGCACGAAATACGCACAAAGCCATCGGCCGGGTACAGGAGTGAGGAAGTCTGATCATTGGTGGTGCGTTGTGCAGGAGTCTCCCGCAGAGACTCGGAGGAAGACGGGCCTGTTGGGCACACCGGCAGATGCTTGTTCGGAATCGGGCTCGACCGTCTGTTGACGGAGAGGGCGGATGGGATGGAAGAAGGAGGAGGAGTGGAATGGCGCAGCGCCTGCTGTTGAACGACGACGGTTGCCATGATGGGCTAGTGGAGTGTCGACGATCGCAAGTATCGAGCAGTTTCGTATCACACAATTCGGCAGCCGCGCAACAAGAAGATCACATCCTTTGCAACAGGGGCTGGGGGGAAGGTATGAAGTGGAAGAGCGGGCTCTTCACGGAGTTTCGGTTGATGAAACAAAGTACAGAGGGCACGGAGAGAAAGAATGTGAAGGGGGCGAAGAGAGAGACAAGCGGGGAGCAGTCATACGATGCAGATAAGGCCAAGAGTAAGGGGCCGGGAATGAGTCGGACAAGAATACTAAGTCTAGCAGTGTACACAAGAAACGAGGGAAGTTTACTTTATCTCCTCATCATCATTTATGTCATTATCCCCCGGGGTGGCTCCACGGCTCGCAGCTCCACCGCTCCACTTTGTTATCGCGATTAGTACGGAGTACGTTACGCGCAACAGGATTCGAAACCCAAGTCAGAGTGAGGTGAATGCGAAGGTGAACTGTACCCCGCCTGGAACACGCTACTCGCACATCCACGGACCACCCTCTCGCGGCACCTGCAATCTATTCCGCTCACGTCCAATCACGCTTCCCGGGGAGGCTTCCGATGACGCTGAGATTCCTATATTATATGCCCCCTCCTTCTCGGCCCAGATTCCTGTCCAACCGGTTTCGTCCGTGCGTCCCTCCACCACAGAAACAAAGAGTCTCCCCGCACACCGGTGGGCACCTCGATCCACTTGCATACGGTTACCCTCCAGTGGCAACTTGCCCAGTCCGGTCCGTCTATGGAATGTTGGGATCTTGAAACTCAATTTATCCTCGCCATCGGCTTATACTTTGATCATCTTGGGAGTCCAAGTGGGCTCATGTATATATAGTAAACCCTATCAAGAATCAGTATTCGTCCATTTGTTTACATGACCCCGGATCGCCGGTGTGATCCACCTTCAGGTGGGGAGGTGCAGGAGAGCCGACTTTAAGGAGACCTGAACGTCTCAAAGCCGCATGCGGAAGGGAAGGATTCCCTGGCATCACCGGGAGATGCAGATGCCCAGGAAACGGGTACCTAAACATCGACCACAGAGCCGGTGCCCAAATCAGATCCAGGCGTGTGTCCAGGGTGGCACAGGGAGGGTGGAAACACCCCTTCCCCTTCCCCCCCTCACTTAATGGTTGTCCTTTGAACCGCACAAAACCAACCAACCCGTTGGTTATTGGTCGACTATTCCACGCATCTCCTTGGCTAACCGGCCCACCTAAAAGCCTAACATGTCAGCCGGGACTACGTCGAACGATCGGGACAACTTTCTGCAGATCTTCTCTCGATTTCTCGACGACATGTTGAGCTATCCCTGTGGTCGGGTTCCGGAAGGATGTACTGTACAGTATGGGCGGCGAAGTCGACATGATTCGTTGCTAAGTATGCCGTTTGTAGCCAGGTGGGAGGAACAGGATCTAGCCAGGTCGTAAAATCGCTTCTTCGGGTAATGTTCCTGGGATGGACCATGTCGAGCCTAGGCCCAAGGTTTAAAAAGTGTTCGATGGTGGAATTCATGCCCCGGCTGAGATTGATGTACAGTGACTGCACGTCGTTGGCCGAGAACTGAATGAGCTTGATCATTACCTGCCATAAGTACAATAACTATCATTCCTTGCTTCATTATTTTCGATTCGGTTGAAGACGAGGTGCGCCATTTATCGTAATGAAGCCACATCGTAGCCGGTGGAGAACTATGGGGTTTCCCGTAAGAAGGGCCATCCCAGTGGATTCAAAAAGCTTGGAGTCATTTTCCAGCGTAACCGCCAAATCAACGACTGCTCTGTCGAGATAGTCGGGGACGCTAACGGCTCCCGGCATCATAGACAAGATTCATCCACTGGAAATTTATCCACTACGACAAGGCGTGAAACAAACGTTTGAGAGCTTATGTTTACCCGGCCTGCATGCGCATCGTGTGACGCGGATATGGGTAGCTACCGTACCTTCCAGTCATCGCCGACGGTGCTTGCGAGGTATGGCTTGGTCCAGCACTGGATAAAGGATCCGATATACAAATACTTGATGACGAGTTCTTACCGGCTGACGACGATTTGCTGGAATTGCCTGCCCGGTATTCATGATGCAGGCGACGTGGCCGGGAAGCAGAGGTCTGAGCCGGAGAATGTGTAACTTGAGTCCAATGGCAGATACTGACTACGAAGAGCGCCAAGCAGTAGTCAGGCAGAGTGCTCTTCGTCAAGATGTCCAAGTTCTGATCACAGCTCACCGCAATTTATCGAGGTCTGCAGGTCTCAATGTTATCCGGCGCTAATGCAGATTATACGTCCCAGGTACCCACGTAAACGCCTGCATACTTCGAATAGCATTTTCTTATGACCCTTGAGCTTCTCATAGCCGTCGAAAATTAAAATATACCCACTACACAACTTATGCTCTTCATTGAGCAGCATGAAAGGGGACCGGATCGCTACGCCCCATCTCGGTATTTGTCTCATGGCTTCCACCTACTATCCACGCCCGTGAGAATGAACACCAGTTTGGAGTTCTCCACCAATTTCGTATTCATGATCTGCCGCAGATTCTGCGCTGTAGTATACACAGCTAGTATTCGCGATTGATAATCGGTGATCGGCGCTGGGGCGACAGAAACGTGGTTCGAGGTAGTAGATCATTAGGATGGTTTGTTCGGAGGTAATATTGCTGTTGTTTGTCCGCGACGTAAGCCCAATGCACCCAACTCTGTAGGTCACAACCTACACCTCATCAACCTGTCGGCCTCCAAGGCCTCCAAAGCCGACTCCGCGGGCGCCGGGGCGATGCTCTCAGAGTGGTGTTCGTCGGAGAGATCGTTATCGATAAGACAAACGTATGTAGCGAATTCGTAGGCGGTGGGTAATCAAGGTGTGGCCCAAGCGCGGCGACTCGCTTGCGAACGACCAAATTCTCTCTAGGGATCTCGGATGTCGCATCTTCACTTCTCCAACCCCGTCGCCTTCGCAGCACCGTCCTGGAACCAGTGAGAGATGATACGCGCTGACCGGTGACGGGCGACTTCTCCCCTCAGCCCCCTAGTCCTCCCAAGCGGGGTCATCATCCGCGGCTCTTGTATCCACCTTCTGGTGACCCGACCACCTGCGCCTAGTACCTGTCGGCAAAATGACGATGAACTTCGTGACCTTTAACCAGGACTACAGCTACCTGGCTGTCGGTGAGCTTCCCACCCACTCGGAAGGCCGTCGACTTCGGCGTTTACTGACGTCAGCCAGCCACCTCCAAAGGATTTCGCATATTCACTACCGAACCATTTGCCAAGAGCTATGAGACCAAAGAGGGGAACATCGCGGTGATTGAGATGCTTTTTTCAACCTCCCTGGTTGCTCTCATATTATCGCCCCGTCGTCTACAAATCACAAACACCAAGGTTCGTCGGAGCTTGCCATGAACCCGCTGTATAAAAGTGACTTGGAATGGCCGATCTGATGATTTCTCCTATAGCGTCAAAGTACAATATGTGAATTGACATTCCCAACTACAGTTCTAGCTGTCAAGTTGAATCGCAAACGTCTCGTCATCGTGCTGGAGGATCAGATCTATCTCTACGATATTCAGACCATGAAGCTCTTGTCTACAATTGATACGTCACCTAACCCACACGGTATGCTTGACCCCAGATCAAAAACCTCCAGTGCCTACTGACATCGTATCAGCCACCTGTGCCTTGGCACCATCTTCGGATAATTGTTACATGGCGTATCCCCTGCCTCAAAAGGCCCCGGCAACGATGAAGCCACCAGCCCATGCACCACCGGGAACAACTCACGTCTCGCCAACAACCGGAGATGTTCTCATCTTTGATGCGCAGAAACTCGAAGCTATCAACGTCATTGAAGCGCACCGCTCTCCGTTGGCCTGTATCACACTCAACAGTGAAGGGACTCTGCTTGCAACGGCCTCGGACAAGGGAACGATTATCCGCGTTTTCTCAGTTCCCGATGGTCGTAAACTCTACCAGTTCCGACGTGGCTCTATGCCCTCACGCATCTACAGCATGTCCTTCAACACCACGTCGACACTTCTTTGTGTCTCCTCGTCTACCGAGACCATTCATCTCTTCAAACTGAGTCAGCAAGGTCCACCCTCTGAAGGTTCCCCTCCCTCGCAATCTCCGCCTGCCCGTGAGTCGTATTACGGGAGCAGTCATTTTGGGAGCGCGCACGATGACGATGAGGCGGGCAGTGAAACCGGAGCGGATTTGGCAACCCGAAAGCACAACGGCACTTTGATAGGAATGCTCCGTCGGACGTCTCAAAATGTCGGAGGAGCTGTTGCTTCAAGGGTGGGCGGCTACCTTCCCAAGGGCGTGAGTGAGATGTGGGAACCAGCGCGTGACTTCGCCTGGATAAAAATACCACGATCCAATCAAGCTCAAGGTGGGAATGGAGGCGCCAGCCCTCTCCGGAGTGTTGTTGCTATGAGCAATAGTTCTCCTCAGGTGATGGTCGTGACCAGTGATGGCAACTTTTATGTCTTCAACATCGATCTATCCAAGGGTGGGGAAGGGACCCTCACCAAACAATACTCGTAAGTTCTGAGAAACGCCACTGTTTGATCCATTTTTCACTAACTCAGAATCAGGGTGGTCGATTCGAATGACAGACTAGGAAACCCCGCGATGGACTTCTGAGGAGAAGATCTACCCCCCGCTCCGTGATGACAATGAATTCTTGCGTAATCGAATAACGACTTCATAACTCACCATTCCAAGACCCGCCCTCTCTATATATGGCACCATAAAGTCAAGAAGCGATCCGCCATTTCTACTAGGTACATGTCCTTGAAATCCAAAGGTGTGAGCCTTGCTTCCTCGACGTGTTTTTTTCCGCACGGGCGTTCATGATTTTGATTTGCACATTGCTCTTTCAGCTCTTTTAGGCCCCATTCCCCTCGTTCTGGGCATTAGCGATTTTATTCTCTGTTTTGGCGTCGGCACTCCCGCTCTGCATCAATGATATTTTGGCCTCTGGTTGGTTTGTTTTAGGTGGCTGGTTGCAGTCCTCACTATCCCATCGATATATCTATTACTTTGATTGCAATATGACCATTTCAGCCCCAATTGAAAACAGTTTCTAGATTAAGATAGGTTTGAGTGAGTCCGCGGATCGATACACAACACTTCGTTTAACACATGGGCCGCACCTTTTCCAGTATTGCTTGATTTCGATCTTTCCTCTAGTCAAATCATTAGGTTGATATTGGAGGAATGAGCCAACTAAGCTCAGCTATCCGAACCAAGCATTGTCTATCTCTACATCCATGTCCATCAATCTATTTACATTTATTTGAGAAAATGTATGTACAATCCCGGAAAGCGCCATTCTCGGGGGTCACCTCCGGGCTTATCGCCCGTCACGGCGGACTCCGCGTCTTGGTCCAAAGTGAACCAACAAAGTACACCAGACCGTGCCCGATAGCAGCGGCGAGTGGTCCGACCTACGTAAGGTTAGACAAGCTCTTGCTAACGGAACCTCAATAGACGCAGACGTAATCAGCCTTCCCAGTGGATCCAATGATAGGAAGGGAATTCCGTCGCCACATAGGCACCGACGCACCGAGCCGGGTTAAGACCCTGCATGAAATATGTTGCTTAAAATACTCCCGCGAATCCACTTCTTTCTGCAACTTACTCGCGCCAAATAACCCTTCACCAGTGGAGGCCGTTCCCCGGCTGACGACTCCGAGGATAATACCCACAAACCACGGATGTATACAGCCGATTGAATCTGGTGACAATGAACCGAAGGGCATTCAAAGCGGGACATCTCTAGTTTCCACTGCAACGGAGCCAGCCAAGAAACCTCCTGCTGGCTTTACATGTACGAGTTTTGATCAATGGGAACGGAAAGGCCAAGGGGCCTGAACACAATATTCGACATTAACATCCAGTCGTTGCCCACCAAGGCTCACGATGGTCGTATCATTAGGGTGGCGGAAGGCATCACCTGCAGCCAAGAGCCACGAGACCTCTCGAAAGCCCAATATGTCAGTACATATCTATATACATAAAAACAAATGGCATCCCACAGAAGCTCTAGAAATTGCGGCGGAATTTCGCAGGAATGTTGCTCTCTACCAGTTGCATCGTCTCAAGCCTTTCGAGACGCATCTCAGCGGCTTCTTCTTCATCGTGCCTCCTAAAGTGCTCAATATCCTCGGGGTGGGTCAGGTCCTCCTCCTTTGCGTCATCTCCGTGGAATTTCTCAAAGTGGTGAATCTCGTATTCATACTCCATGTCGCCGTGGTGTCCTGGTCCAAATCCGAGGTCGGGCAACCGCAAGCCATCGGCGTCCGCCTTCAGCCAGGCTTCACGGGTAATAAAGCCAGTGTTACCTGGGTCGAAAAGGTCGAAGACCGTGCGGACGGCGGCCTGTTTGCTGGGCTCGCTCACGCCGCTGTTGGATTCGTCGTCGAGACCGTACGTCTTGCGGACTTCGTCAACAGTCCATGACCCGGAGGAATCGTAATCGTGGAGCATAAAGAATGAGCCCGCATCAAAGGACTCGATGTGGTGTTCCTCTAAATAATTCGTTAGCAATTGTATCAGCGCCATTGGTGTTGTTGTCATCGTACCCATCATGTGTCTTGTGGCCCAGTCTTCGGACGGCGGTTGGTTACTCGAATGAGACCCATGGGCATTCGCGAGGCCACCGCTGATGGCGAGCACCCCAGCCACAAAGCAGATTAAGCGACCGACCATTGTAGAAAGTAGTTGACGGGGAACTGGAGAAGTGCATCCTCGACCCCGGACCAACAGGAGATGCAAGCGGCCAAGCTTGTTTGCTATGTTTGCACCGGCAATTTGCGTTTGCCGGAATTTCTCGCATTGCACGATTGCTTTCCCAACTCCATTGCTGCATCGGACTCCACAGGGGGTCTAATTGACCCTTTTTCATATCCTTGTGTCATCTGTGCCCTCCAGAGATGTCCCGATAATGCAGAGCTTGTGGTCCCGCGCTGCTCGGTCGCAGTCGACCTGCCGCTGTGTTTCGTGTTTGAGCACGACCGCCAGCGGAGTGACTTCGCGGTCGGCAGGCGCTGCCAGCAAGAAGAAACTTCGAATTGGAAACTCCGTGACCGCCTTATACACGAGTATCTTCGCCGCCGCCGCCCTTGCCGACGCCAGAGCCAAGACCCAACGCCGACATGACTGGGAGGAAAAGATCGCGGCTGTCAAGGCCGAGGTGAATGAACTGGTAGATGAAGAACAGCGACTCCTGGAGTCATTGGAGTCACGAAGGAAAAGCACCGGGGCGCTCAACCGATTGCTGCAGGCCAGAGGGCTCGGCACCGTCACGAACTTTTCTCCTGCACCCCGACGAGTCACGCCGAACCAGCCAACAAGGTCCTTCCACACGGAACGCAGTGTACTCGGTGCTGCCAATGCACAATTACTCGAGAGTGCATTAGCAGAGGAAACCAACGACTTCAGGATAGCCGCCGAGGCGGAATATGATGACTTTGACATTGAGGATGAAACATTGCCGGGCTGGGCCCATGACGATCCTTTACGCGTGAAGGCTATCCAGAAGCTCGCATTGCGGCAATTTGCGATCCGGCTCCTTCTGCGACCGATTATCGCTCATCGTTATGCCGGAGTATCGATGAATTACTCTGCTGATTTGGACCTCCCCGAGATTAACGTCCGGAAACTTTTGGACGAGCTCAACAGTATACGGCATCGAATCAGGGCACTCAAGTCTCACAAAAATGCGGGATATGACGACGTGATTGGTCACTATGCTACAATGCAACCCGACGAGACTCGGAGAGAGAGCGTGCGCCTTGACGCGGAGCTGAACCGGGATATTCAATTATTCACGAGAGACCAGATGTCCCTGCAAGAGCTCCTCATGCGGATATCTAGCAACCTAATCGCTTCGGCGGAGCCCGACCGCACTGCTGCTTTCAGATACATTCTCATTGCTTTCTCGCATGCTCGCCAGAACGACATCAACGATCTTCTCCTCCGCGCCCTCCTTCCGAATGGCTTCAACTTGAGCACCTCACTCATTATCACCATTATCTCGTTCTTCCGCAAGTCCAAAAACCTCAAGGACTTTGATATGTTCCTTCAGATGCTCAGTGGTCATGGAGGTTACTCTGCGAATCTAGGCACTCTCGGTCGTTATCGAAATCGAAAAATGAATGGCTTGGAAATTGTCTGCCCGCCGCTGGACAGCAATAATCCTGTCATTTATTGCGAGCTTATCGCTGCTGCATTACGATTCGATCAGCCTGATCGAGCTGACGCTTGGCTCCAAGCTGCGCGGAGCGTCGGCTTCTTTGACAATTTCACAACACTGTTTTACTACACTCGATTCTACAGCATCAGGCAAGACTGGGAGAAGGGCGTTAATGTGTTGAGAAGAGCTACCACCTATATGGTCTCATCAACCGACCATCAGAGTCACATGGTTGAGCGTCTGCTCATGCTGATGGTCCATCTTTGTGACTCCTGCGGTAAAAAGGAGGTTTCAAAAGTCTTGATCACAGCTGCCGTTCGCAGTGGATTTGAACCGCCTCTACCATCAGCGCAAAGTGGTATTGTGCCTATCGTTGACCGCGATTTCGAGAGATGGACAGAGGCTGCTAGATCGGCACCCAGAGAGAATGCAGATCGTCCTCTGTGGAAGAAGTGCTTCGACTTTGTCAACGATTTCGGTGAAGATTTGAATGCGTTCGAGGCAGAGAATGAAGCAATAGCGCTTGACCACGCAAGCTTCCTTGCTCTTCATGCACGGGATGCCTTTTCCACCACTCTTGCCGGCAATAGATCAGATCACAAAGATGCCAAACCAGCTGCGATTTCATCACCAGCCAGTTTGCGGTCTATGGATAACCCCCGGAATTCCAAGGCGCAAAAGGACGAGATGACCGCTCTGAAAGACGAAATTAGTCAGCTTCGTGACCTCGTTTTCGAACTCCGGAAACACCACATCGAATCTTCGTTTAAAGAGGACGATGTCCATGAAGTCGAGCAAGAAACCCACTCCTCACAACCCTCCGAAACTTCACCCACCCCCGCCTCCGAAACCCCCAACACTCCCATGAATGTCAAATTCGAACGGATATCCGAAATGATCGACAGTGACCGCACACTGCCTCCATCTGAAGTGAGCCCTCGACCGTTTACCCGGCGATTCTCTAAAAAGGACACAACCATGCCATTGACCGATCCTCTCACTGCCTCTGATACCCCCGTACAAGCAGTCTCCACCCCGGAACGTCCCAAGGGGTTCCGTACTATTGCCAGTGCTATGGCCAAGAAATCTGCTCGACAGAATTGAGCAACGCGCCTCAGCGCATGAAATATTACTTTATTCTTGTACATTACTATATACCTACACTCTCTTTGAGAGGTTCAATGTCAATAGCCGAGATGTATTTGTTACAGCGAGAATTTTAAGCTAGTAACAGATTTCTATTGCAAAAGTCTAGCAAGCTGGGAGGGAATCTAAAACCGTTGATCCATGAAAGCAAATCTAGCGGCGCTTCTCGGCGCGCATCTTTTCCTTGCGAGCAAGTCGTTCCGCGGCCCGCATGAGAGCTGAGCGAATATCGCCCTTGGGGAAGGTAGAAATGTCGTAGTATGTAGGAGCAATGTCCTATTCTCAAGTTAGCGGGTGTATGATGGGAGGGCAAGGGAAGGGCAACATACCAAGAGCCACTCGGGCTTGACTGCTGTCACGGTACGGATATAGTTCTTCGTAGTGAGGACAAATTCGTTATAAAGGACCCATTCGGCGTCGTGAGCCAGCACAGTAGACGGGTGCAGGAGAACACTTTGGTTGTCCTTGATGGTAGTGTAGACGCTCTTGCCTTGAGCATCCTTCTTGGCAATCTGCATGAAGAAGCCAGCGCAGAGGGCGCGGCGGATGTTCTCGTAGTACTTCTTGTCGTCGAAAGGAGTTGAGATCATCTCGATTTCCTCGCGCTCCATGATGCGGAGGAGTTGCTTCCGGACGTTGTCCGCTGACTGAAGCGATCGCAAGTTGAGGAAGTGGTCGTGGCACCACTGTTTAAGATTCGCCTGCGCTTCAGGGCTCTTGAAAGCGTGGTAGACGTTCAGCAGGGTCAGTTGATCACCGTCCTGATGGGAGAAAAGATTCTTCATCTCGTCCGCGCGTTTTCGCTGAGAGGCCGGACGGACGAACACTTGGGGCACGGATAGCAAAGCTGTGATGGACAGAATCTCGTTGGAGCAGTAGAACTCCGGTGAGCTGATAAGCATGACCGCGAGGGCTGGGTCGAGAGGGAACTCGGAAGCTAGACGGCCAAGCTGAGTGAGGTTGCCATCGTCGTCCAGACAGGCAAGGTAGTTGAGCTCCTCCAGCGCTCTCATCAGAGTCTCCGGCGCAGGGGGGTCCATCAAATCGAAGTGAACAAGATCATCAATCCCCAGCTTCTTCAACTCAAGGACAGTGGATGACAAGTTGGAACGAAGAACCTCGGGGTAGGTTGACTCGATCAACTCCTTCTTGTAAGCCTCCTCGGTGTAAAGACGGAAGCATTTTCCGGGACGAGTACGACCGGCACGACCGGCTCTCTGTTGAGCAGACGCCTTGGAGATTGGCGAGACCAGAAGAGATTCGACACGAATGCGGGGGTTGTAGATCTTCTGCTTGGAGAATCCGGGGTCCACCACGTACACGATACCATCAATGGTAAGAGATGTTTCCGCGATGTTGGTGGAAATGATGACTTTGCGTCCGGGACGGCCACCTGGGCGGCGAGGTGGTGGTGCCGGCTCGAAGATGCGCTGTTGCATGTGGGGAGGAAGACTGCCGTACAGCGGGTATACCTTGAGGGGGCCTGCATCGGCCTCTCGAACCATCTCTTCTGCCTCCATATAGATCTTGCGCGCAGCATCTTCAATCTCTTCTTCACCAGTCAAGAACACCAAGATGTCACCCTCGTCTTCAGTGGCGTGAATCTGCAGCACGGTCCGAATCGCGGCCTCGACATAGTCCTGTTCGGGCTCAGGCGTGTAAAAGACTTCGACGGGGTGCGTGCGACCAGGAACAGCGAGAAGTGGCGCATCCAAGAAGTAGCGCTGGAATTTTTGGGCATCCAGGGTAGCGGACATGATAATGATCTTCAAGTCCGGCCGACGTACCACAACCTGCTTCAGAAGACCCATCAGAACATCAGTAGCCATGGTTCTCTCGTGAGCCTCGTCCAGCATAATGGTGCTGTAACGCGACAGGTCGTGATCGTTCATGGCCTCTCGCAAGAGCATACCATCGGTCATGTACTTCAGGATGGTCTTCGAGCTGGTCATATCCTCGAAACGAATGCTGTAACCGACTTCTTCTCCGAGCTTGACATCCATTTCCTCTGCGACACGTTGAGCGACGGACATGGCAGCCACACGACGGGGCTGGGTACAAGCAATCATCTTGTGCTGGGTCTGGGGGAGGTCATCGAACAGGACGAATTGCGGAATCTGAGTGGTCTTTCCGGAACCGGTCTCACCGACAAAGACCAGGATTTGCGACTGCTGGTAGAGTTGCAGGAACTCATCACTGCGCATGAAGCATGGTTAGTCCAAAGGGTCTTTCTGGAAACGAACTGGTAGAGGCTTACCGCTGCTGGTGCACGGGCAGATCGCGCCGAGTGTGCAGAATGGAGACGTATTTGCTGGAGAAGGGCCGACCGTTGAAGGGATTAATCTCGCCATCTTCGGCCTTCTTGGCCATCGCAGCCGTTGTCTGGTGGCGCTTGAACTTGGCCAGGGACGAGTTCTTGTCCACGCCGTTGGTGTCCTCATACATGTGGGCGAGATAAGGGTTGTCTTTCGGGTCTCCGGCGTCCATCTTTTGGCGCTTGGCTCGTACACCGTCCTCGGGGTCTCTTCGATCAGCCATGATGTTGAATGGGAGTCGAAGTTGCAAAATGCAAAAACTGGGCGACCGATAAAAAACTCGGATAGGAAAGTTACCCGCCGATCGCCCCAGGTGCCTATCGGACCCTCACCGCCCTGTGTATTCTGCCGCACCCCACAAAGGGATCGAGGGACGCGATTGATTCACGCAGGGGCTGATTCAGGCCTTTTTCTGTCTTCGAGGGTTGAGTTACGGTATTTGCGCCCTTGCGGTGACCTCCTTTGTGGTGCTGTCCACCACTTTTACCCGGCCCTCTTCTTCGGACTTTCTTCTCCCACCATCACCACACCGTGGCCATTGTCAATATGGACAGCTACAGTGCTTCTGAAGACCCGGGGCCGACGTTCTGCATCGGTCACTATGAGGCTAATCGCTCAGTGACTGTGACCCCTCAGATGATCCGGAGGGTCCATGAAACCAACGTGGGTTCATATTCTCCCATAAGCGCCTTACTTTTTTCTTTTTTTTTTTTTGAGCTAACCAAGAAGGTCTAGTATGATATGTTAACGGTCTCAATCACCACGCCGCATTTCCATTCGCGGGTCCTGGGGCTGTTGTCTTCGTATTTGTCCAACTTGCAGCCGCCCAAATATGATCCTATTGGAACTATGGCGACATCGCAGAACACACGGCCTTTGGTAGTGCCGCCACTGTCGAAGCTGGACTCTACTCTCATCCCCAATGATGCTACTAGCCAGATTGTCGGTGTGACCAGCAGCTGGATTGATATGTGTTCACCCGATCCAGTGATTGCAGATCTGTCCCGCCAGGTCTTTATGCTGGAGGTGGCATACGCTGCTTTCTGTGGCATTGGCTATCTTCTGGTACCTGGCCCTAAGCTGCACCACGGCAGCATCCACTCAGAAGGCTTGGTTTACTATGCGCGAGCCATTCATGATGCCTTGAGTCTGGGCCCGTATATCCAATTCCACACCTGGTTCGGCATGGTCGACAACCCCGAGCTCGAGGTTGACACCATGGGTGATCTGGCCCCACTAGCCCGAGAGGAGTATCTTCTACCAGACGATGGCGTGTCGGCGAAGGTGGATTTGTTTGGAACCTGGGATGCATGGGATCTTATCCGGAAGACGTGCAAGTACCATTCTAGGCTGTTGGTCGGTAAGTATTGGCTACCTAATTTCTTCCTGTAAAACAGTAACTAAACTCGACAATAGCTCTTGCTTTGCCTAAGTTGCTACCACCTCTGTCTGTACAGTCCCGTTGGCATTCTGAGCCGGTTCATTTACTCACCATTGAGGCTTCCGCTTTCCTGAAGAACCAAAAAGGGTATCCAGTTCTTTCCAAGGGCCACCAGGCTTTGATTGCAAAGTTGATGCGACTTCGAACTGCTCCATGGATTCTTCTCTGTGACGTCGGTCCGATCCCAGGACTTGACAGTATGGAAGATGCAACCCAGTCTCATATCTCTGGCTCTGACTATCCAAGCTTGTCACAGGGCGCAGGTGCCAAGAAACATCATGATCCAACCCCTCATCTTTCCTACATAAGGAACCTGCAGCAGCGTCAACCTCCGCGTACTCCTATTGAAAGATTTGGAGTGGGCTATCAGGACTACCTGCAGGCTCCTTTGCAACCACTTACTGTCAACCTGGAGAGTATCACATATGAGGTCTTTGAAAAAGACCCAATCAAATATGAGTGGTATGAGCGGGCGATTGAAAAAGCCCTGAGAGATTGGGCAGAGCAGAAGAAGCCTACCTCGCACCCTGACGGCAAAGTGATTCTTGCGGTCGTGGGTGCTGGCCGTGGCCCACTGGTCACTCGAGCCATCAAGGCTAGTGTTCAGGCAGGCGTGGAAATCGATTTGTGGGCTGTCGAGAAAAACCAAAATGCGTTTGTCTTGTTGCAGCGCCACAACGAAAGCCTTTGGGGTGGCAAGGTGACACTAGTCCAATCAGACATGCGCAGCTGGAAAGGACCCTGTGTGCGTCAACAGGCAGCCCAGGGAAGTCAGGAACGTGTTGGTGAATCTCTCGGTATTGAGGACTCGCTGATTTACACGCCTAAGAAGGGTGAAAATGACCCTGGCCCGGCATCCGATTTCACTAACCCCCAGGCCTCTGCTCTCACGCATACCTATGTGGATATAGTGGTGTCCGAGCTTCTCGGCTCATTCGCCGACAATGAACTCTCTCCAGAGTGCCTGGATGGAATCAACGATCTCATCAATCCCATCCACGGCATCTCGATTCCCGCTTCCTACACGGCCCACTTCACGCCAGTTTCTGCCCCAAAGCTGCACTCCGATGTCATGAATCAGACTGTTTCAAACCCAGCGGCCCCGGAAACACCATACGTTGTCATGCTACATGCAATTGACTTCCTCTCTACCTCCGACTCGCCAGCTTCTGCGGATGCTGGAAACCAAAACGTGGCAAACCGCTCCTCGGGCTCTGCGGCGCCGATCGCCGCCACTGAATTCCCAAGCCCCTTAGTTCAGACCGCATGGTCGTTCTCTCACCCGAACAAGAACATTCCCGCTCAATCTCCGACGCAATCCACCATCTCCAATGCGCACAACGTGCGTCAAACTCGTCTGTCTTTCCCCGCCCAGAACCGCGGTGTCTGCCACGGATTGGCTGGATACTTTGAGACTGTCCTATATGGCGATGTCGAGCTTTCGACCAACCCGGTGACCATGGATGCGAAGAGTGCAAGCATGATCAGCTGGTTCCCCATTTACTTCCCCTTGAAGGTGAGTTCTACAATTAATTTTGTGGTTGGTCGATTCTATGGCATTCGTGGGTATTGATTCTCCTATTAATTACAGACACCCCTCAACGTCCCCGACAACGGTGAGATTGTCGTTACCATGTACCGACAAACTGACGACCGGAAGGTCTGGTATGAGTGGATGGTGGAGGTCTTTGCTCTGGAACGCACTGCTCTTGGCCCCAGCCTCACCACACCAGCTATGAGTGGTGCACGCTCGGTTTCACCAAGTGTCTCGAGTCTCAAGGTCAAGGATAATGGTCAGCGGCAGCAAAATGGAGGTCCTCGAACGGGTTATCGCCGAGTGCGTGTTGGACTGAGTGATTTGCATTCGAGTATCAAGGAGGGATGTCTGATGTAGCTCGGCTCAGATAATTGGACTTGAAAAAAAGGGTTTATGATGCCCATGATAAGCTGCGAGCCTGGATAGTTCGGCTTGGTTCTACAAATGTCAGTTCTTGATATCCAAGGTGTTAGAGAAACGAGAATAACTCTCGAGGGTAGTGATAGATCTATGGATATAATAAACAATGCATTTGTTGTTCCCCCAAAGCTTGGAATGAGATACCATGTACTTAGTCGCGAAAAAAAGAGACTTGGTAACCCTACTGACATGAAGATAAAATATGCGTGGAGTGTTCCAAATTTGTTGCATCCATTGAAATAAAGCCGAGAGTTTGAGTTTGGCTAAAAGCGGGAAATGTACCTTGAGTATACCTCAAGGTAGCGTCAATTCTAAACAAGCCATCAGTCGGCGGACGGTTCATTCCTTAACTGCCATGTGACCCGTCAAAAACACGTGCAAAGTATATCTGATCGACTCGGGATGACCGTGTCGCGATGATCTTGCATTCCGAACGTGGGTCAACCATGACGACTTGGAGATTTCGGCGGCGGGATCGGCCACCGAACAGAGATCGTAGTACCTTTGCAGGTAGGGCTATACTAATCGATGCCATGTCACTTCATCGTTTTTCCGTGCCTGAAATGCGAACCCGTTCGTGATGATCTCAATTATCGGGCCGAGCGGATCATGCACGGATTTGGTGGCGTCGGAATGCCGCACTTTGATTTCACGCTACATCTTACACTTATCCTTGTCACCAACGTTCCAATTGAGACTTAACGCCGACTGAGTGATATTAGTGCTGATACTTCTCTGATTTGGCTTCCGCATGATCAGTGATTGATCGGAAATGTCTTAAAATCCTCCCCGGAAATAGTTAGATGCCCGTGGAGCCCCATCGTCATCCACCGGTACGGCAAATGCCAAGACCAGCCATCGGCCCCGATGGGTTCCTATCGGCGCCTTGTGGGAACAGCACATGAAATTTGCAGTGCCCCGAATACCGAGGAGTGTGCCTGGTTTTTGCGAATTCGCCGCGTTAGTACATTGGATTGATACTCGAAGCCTCGGGCCTTACTCCGGCCGGCATCGGGCTATCGTGGACTCGACATTCGGGATTCGATTTGATCTGCATGGATCGAGTGCTAAATGGAAAGACCCCCGATACGCCGAGGTTCTCCCCTCAAAGAGTCATTCGGATTGTCAATCACCTCGACCCTGGGCAAATCATACCTCGATCTAGTGGTCCACAGCCTGTCAAGCAACCCTTTTCGGCAGATAAAAATCTTGGTACCAGAGGACCTGTTTCCCTCGTGGCATGGCAGTGAGATATAAGGGCTTCCCCGTACGCCGCTTTGGACATTGCGCACCAAGTCAGCTCGTCAACAGTCATTATGCGTTTCCCCGTCTTGACTACCCTGTCTGCGGCCGCTGCGCTGAGTCACGCAGCCCCAAGCCCCCTGCAGGCTCGAGGTATGACATTCTTCCTCCATGTTTTGTCATCTACATAGCTGATCTTATTCCAGACGTCCCGTCCGATGAATTGTCTCAGTTCAAGTTCTGGGTCCAATATGCTGCTGCTTCTTACTGTGAAGCCAACTATGCTGGCCAATCTGGTACCAAGCTGGCATGCTGGGCCGGTAACTGCCCTCAGGTTGAGGCAGCTGACACCAAGATTGCCTATGACTTCTCCAAGTAAGCTTTCCCCATCCATTGAATACCATATAAGGTTCTTACAACTATAGCACCACCGCCACCGATACTGCGGGCTATATTGCCGTTGACAGTACCAACAAGGCAGTCGTCCTGGCTTTCCGTGGCTCATACTCTGTCCGCAACTGGATGGCCGACTTCGAGTTCCCCCACACCGACCCCGGTCTCTGCGACGGCTGCCAGGCCTAATTCGGCTTCTGGAACTCATGGGCCGTGGTCCGCGACGACATCATGAAGAACCTGAACGAAGTCGTCTCCGAAAACTTGGACTACGAACTCGTCGTCGTGGGACACAGTCTGGGCGCCAGTATTGCTACCCTCGCAGCCGCAGATATTCGAGGGCGTGGCCACCCCTCAGCGAAGTTGTACGCATTTGCATCGCCTCGCGTGGCTAACTCGGCTTTGGCCAAGTACATCACTGCTCAGGGTAACAACTACCGGTTCACGCACACCGATGACCCCGTTCCTAAGCTGCCACTTCTAGGTATGGGGTACGTCCATGTCAGCCCTGAGTACTATATCACCTCTGGAAACAACGTTACGGTTTCCACTGGTGATATTGATGTCCTGGATGGTGAGGTAAACTGGAAGGGTAACACCGGAACCGGTATCCCAACAGTTGAAGCTTTCTCCGCTCACCACTGGTACTTCGAGCGGGCTGATGGGTGCATCGGAGCTGGTACTCCCTGGAAGAGATCGGACTAGAGGGCTCACCTAAAAGCTTTCCGCCGTTTTCAGAGGATTTAACCCCTGAATCTGGCCTATTGAGGTAATTCCGTATAATCCTAGATATAGATATAGAGACGCAATGAGATTTTATAGACAAGGAAACATCACTTACGAAATCTCCTCTCTCCATTCACAATAACGAGATATACCGGGTACAGTAACTATGTTTTTTTGGCATAAGTGACCGTGGGAGTACGCGGGTTTAAAGGGGTGAATGGGGGCTAGGTGTTAGGTGGCTTAGGAATTACGTTGTATGGAATCAATGACACCTCCCTTCCAAGGTTAGGCTGCTAGTGTTTCAAGGCTCTGTATTCTCGATGTTCTAATTAAGACAAAAGTAGCTCATGCAGATAATTGCGGCGTTCTTCTTGGTTTATTATCATCATCCCTTGGTGATGCATTTCGTCAGGGCGTCGTGGCAAGTGGGTCCCCGTTCAAGGTTGAATGTACAAGTAGCGCCGACGCAACGCGTCCGTTCGTTTCATTTTTCTTGAATTTGTTACCACCCCCGGAAAAGCAGCCGTGCTCCATTTTTTATATGTGCACAATTAATGCCTCCGGGGTTAGGACTCGGGGAGGAGTGCCACGATGTTAAAAAAAAATCAGGCGCATTGCGTGGCGCTCGGCTCGATCCGTCGTAGCGAGAACCAACCACGTAAGACGCTGCCGTCATCGACCGACCCAAGCTTTTTCGGTGGAGACGCCATTGATCGGTTTGAACTACATTGGCCATCCGATTGTCCTCCGTCTCTTGGGGGATGTCCACCGCGATAGCCGTGTAGGCCAATCACTGGCGTGAGGCACCTGAGTGATCGGCTGTGGGTGGAAGTGATGTTTCCAGATCGGAGCACATTGGTTTACTCGCTTCGTGGTCTATGGGTCGATGAATTAAAAATAGACCGATCAGTGAATTTCATTGCTTGATTCCTCGGTTCCTGGACACCGCGTATATTATCGGAGGTTCTCGTCCTGTTTTCACCGTTCGTTCCATCCTTCATCTCCAATCGTTAGGTGCCGGATAACACTCGTTCAACTCCAAAATGGTTTCCTATATGAAGTGGGCTGCCTTGATCCTGGCCACTGCCCAGCTCGGCTATGCCCAGACCTACACCAGCTGTAACCCAACCAAGAGTAATATTCTCCAGCCCGAGGTTCAACCGAGTGATTCACTAACATATCATCTATGCAGAGACCTGCCCTGCCGACACCGGTCTGGATAAGTGGGAGTACAACATCGACTTCACTGTTGGTTCATCTGCCTTTGCCAAGTGGAATACCACCGCCGGTACCGTCGAAAGCACCTCTCTCGGCGCCAAGTTCACCATCTCGGAGGAAGGAGACGCTCCCACCATCGAGAGCGAATTCTACATCTTCTTCGGCCATATCGACGTTAAGCTGAGAGCCGCTAATGGCACTGGTATCATCAGTACTTATATCCTGGAGTCGGATGACCTTGACGAGATCGACTGGGTAAGCCATCGACAAATCGCGACCAATAAAACCAAACCGCTAATATCCTCTCAGGAGCAAATCAGCACCTACGACACCGAAATCCAGACCAACTACTTCGGAAAGGGCAATACCACCACCTACAACCGTGCCACGACCGTGACTGTCTCCGACCCCGAAATCACCTTCCACACCTACTCCGTCGACTGGACCTCCAGTCGCATCGAGTGGCTCCTGGACGGCGAGGTGGTCCGCACAGTGGAGTACGCCGATGCGCTCTCTGGCAAGAACTTCCCCCAGACCCCCATGCGCATCCGCATCGGTATTTGGGCCGGCGGCGACCCCGACAACAGTGAGGGTACCATCGAGTGGGCTGGTGGTGAGACCGACTACACTGACGGACCTTTCACCATGTACGTCGAGTCCATCAACATCACCAACTACACCCCCGCCCAGCACTACAAGTACACCGACAAGACTGGCGCGTATACCAGCATCAAGTCTTACAACAGTACCGTCTCCAACTCGACATCCAGCTCTTCCATGTCCTCCAGCTCGTCTATTGCCCGGATTGTTTCTTCTAGCGCGGCGGGTGCTACCACGTCTGCTGCATCCGCTGCGTCTGCTTCCGCTTCCGCTGCTGCTTACTCTGGTGCCTCGGCCTTGACTTACTCCTCTTTGTTCATGGCCTCTGTTGTCGCCTTTATTGTCGGTGCCTTGCAGATGTAATTCATTGTACGTTGGCCGAGTCATATGTCATGTTACTTTAGGGAAGACGCCCTTGTATAGATGTACCAGCCACTGATCATCGTAACAAAGGATCTAGTCAGGTTGATCTAGATATAGAAGATCTGCTTGTCATGTACTTCCGCACAATTTGCTTTTCTGGTCGCGGCATGTTTTCTCGAGGGGTTGTATGTATATGGCCGCCATCAAGGCAGGAACTGACGTAGTCTTGGCACCGTATTATGCAGGTTCTAATGGGGAGCAAAATAGAGGTCTACGGGGTCAATCACTGAAGTAAAGGGATATAGAGGTGGTATGAGGATTGGACGCCGCGCAATCATTCTCGTAGAGTCAGACATGGTAATAGTTCATAGAGCGTCACTAGTTTGAGAATTGGGCGCGAAATAATCAGAGAAAGAAACCGTGCAGATATCAAAATCGAACCTTGAAGTCCTGATACACTAGACTCGAAAAGGCAAGGCAGAGAGGGATAGGGAGCGCGCGCTGAAGATAGGCCTAATTATAGGTCAGCCTCCTCTTTTTGGTGTATCGCCTACGTACATGCATGTTGATTGAAACTTCTCTCTCCTTACATTCGTTCAGAGCATAATTATCGCCAAGTAAGTCATTATTAAACACTGTAAGACTCCATAGAATCTCTTAGAACGTTGTACGCAAACCTTCCAACCACAGCGGAAAATCTGACGATCTGGCAAGATCTACGCCCACCGTCCTCCTCTTTCTCCGCAGCCTTCGTGGCTTGGGCGGCTAGCGCACGCTGGTCATTCCTCACGATGTGAGTCAGCTTTGCACCGCCTTGGGGCCAAAAAGTGCCAACCTTGTCAACTTGCACATGATTCTCTCCGTGTATCAACCCTACCCCAGAAAGAAAAACTGTTTAATAATTAAGCACCCAGGCGTTCTCGGATCCTTGCAAATCTCTACTTGTCTACCCAGTCTCAATTAGCCGCAGACTCCGACATACTCCAAGCACGCATTCAATAGCTAACCTCGGCCCCGGAGATCTCACTCCATTTCCTAACCCAGGAGTTCGCAAAATCGGATTTGAAGAAGATCCACCCCAATTCACCGTCACACACCTTCTCGTCCACGGCTGGCCCGTCCAGAGACCAACGTCAGAATGCAACAACCCACCCAACGGCGACTTCGAAATCTGGGCGAAAGAAGTCGAACCACTCACTTTGAAGGAACGAGAACAACTTCCGCGGGATTCGGACACAAAGTCTTGCCATACGCCATGGCGCGACCAGATCTATTATATGTGGAACCATGTCTTTTATGACGTTGGCAATTGGATGTCGAGAATGTACGGCACTAGAACGTTCAAGCCACCCAATACAGAGGTCTTTGCCATCGAACTTCCGACATCCCATGAGGATCGCTCAGGTGGGAAGGTTCCCGCCGCGACGAAAGTCTGGGACGCAGAGACTCTGCTTGCTCCGGCTTACCTAGCCCCGGGAGTTTCAGTCCGTGTTGAAACGCTTAATCCTGGCCAAGAGGATGGTGAACCTTTTCATCCTGCGGACTTTGAGCATGGGGACCGTTATAGTGTTTGGTATGTGAAGAAAGGGCTGCAAATGCGATTTTATGTCGAAGGAGACTGGGATCAGGGCGCGGACGGAGTGGCTGCGGTGATGGTCTATGGAAATATGTTAGGTGAGCCGCTCGAAATTGTGCACGACGAGAGCGAAGATGGTGAAGATGGTGAAGATGAACGTAAAGTGCAGACGGGCGTGTAGCCAAAAGTTTCCTCACCGCTTCTCTTAGGAAGAACTTGACTAAAAAATAGAAAAGATCATTCCTGTTAGCAAGATGTGGAGGGAGGTTATTAGGAGTATAGTGAGTTAACTAAGATTATCAGTTTGCCAGGCAGCAAGTGTTTCCGGTTTGAGAGCTTGCAATCTTTGCATTTCATCGATCAACTAAGGATCTAACCCGTGCCGGAGATCCCTCATATCCAGTGATTGAAGTAAATGAAGACTACTGTAGTCAGTTAACGCAGGGGGCGACAGTTGCACGGATGTAGACCGATATTTCCGGTAAGAGTCTTGACGTCGATCGTTGAGATCATCCTTGCGATGTAACATAGCGGATTGAAGGATCGCGCCTCAGATTTTGTAGTCGGTGAGACAACAGGCTAAACAAACAACAACCTGTTTTCAGCGCACTGAACACCCTTTCATGGCGACGTTGTTACACTTCACTATGCGATTGTAGTCGGCCGGAGAAGGCTACGGCGGCGGATGTTGCCGCTGGAAGGGACCCTTCAACAGAAGGGTCGGAATGTTACCGGCTGGCAACGGCTTGGAATTGTCATCTTCGTTTTCGTTATACAAATGGAGCGCTCTGGTGGGGTACGGAAATGATGAGTTTAGGGGGTTCTCAGAAAAGACTCGAAAATTGGGTGAATGTGAGCCTCTGCCGGGAAGGTCCAAATTCATATATGTAACAGTTATATTATCTTAAGACACTATGGTTTCATATTTGGCCGCTGTCGTGGTGCATGGCTTGTGCAGGACTTGCAGAAAACTCTCTGGCCTGCGTGGGCCATACCATCAAGGTTTCTAGGGTCGGTCCAACAAATAGTTTGGTATCAGCGATACTGGCCGAAAGAAGCACGCGAATGGTGCACTAATGTACTTCGTGGGTCAGCGGCCATAATTTTGAAACGTTGAAACCATGGGATGGGTGATTGGGAGATGCCAAACTAGGGACGATGCGCGAGAACTTGGAGAACGGCAGCCCATCAGGTTTTATCCGGTCTGGAGAGCACGGCAAAAGCACGGCAAAAGCACGGCAAAAGCACGGCAAGAGCACGGCACATGGCGTGATCTTGTGTAACATGTAACATCAAATTTCGCCAGCGCGAACCCTGCGCAACCGGGGCGTGATTGGCCCGGCGCTGAAGTCTAGTTCCTTCGAGGCGCGGGCGCGGCACGAATGAATCTTGGCGCCCAGCAACGGAATTGTCGCACTAAGCTCGTGCGCTGAGGAACAGGGATCACCTCGGCCCGGCCACGCTGACCACGGGTTTGCAAATTATGATCACCACGATCCCTGTATGGCTGCCGCTCACCATTTGTGGAGTACTCCTTGTGGTCCCTTGGTTGCGGTCACCGAGTTTGGCAAATTACCAAGTGAATCGGGGTCCAGGGGCGCGCCTGAATCACTGTGGAGACCTTCGGCGGTCGTACCGAATTGCTTTAGTCACGCTCTTGTAAAAGTATGATTACCAACAGTTACCACTCGATGGATACCTAAGGAAAGATGAAACCTGCCGGCACCATGAGGCTTGTTAACTTCTATATTATAACAGACAACTTCGGCTCCTTGGCCTTCTATCTTCCAAGGCGTTCGCGATGAGGCCAGAATTGAAGGCGACATGGACACCTGCCATCAATGTGTTGACCTTCTTTATGCTGGTCACCAGCATACTCAGTGTGTTTACACGCTTGGGAACGAAATACTTCATGGTGAGAAAATGGTCCTTGGATGACTATCTCAGCATCGGAGCAATGGTCACCATCATTGGACAGTCCATTGCAGTGTCGGTGGCAGCCAAGTCAGGACTCGGACAGCATCTCTTTACGCTGTCACCGGCGCAGGAAGTGAGCATGATGAAGGTGCGTATCGCTCCAGTGCCCGAGACCTGGTCGTCGATATTTTCAGGATACTCATAAGAGATGTTTTCTGTTCTAGGCACAGTACGCAGCGAATATTCTTTTTGTCATCAGCATGGCCTGCTCCAAACTAGCCCTTGTCATGTTCATTCGCAGCTTGACGCCAGCCTCATTGGATCGCCGCTTCGCGCTTGGGCTTGGAACCTTCATTGTACTATGGATGATTACGGGGGTCTTCACAGCGGCTTTCCAATGCTCTGTGCCTGATACATGGGACTACTTGCACGGAAAATGCTTCCATCTGGTTTGTGGTTCAGGTCCATTGTCTTTCGGGCAGACGCTTACGGAGATGCTAGGTTGCTTGGTGGAACTATCTCGGAGTCACCAATATCCTGTCCGAGGTAGGCATAGTCACACAGGCATTGTTGGTTGTCTTGCGAATCCAGGCAGACTTTCATAAAAAGGCGGTCCTAGCCAGTGTGTTTCTCTTTCGAGTTGTGTATGTTCCCTACAAGGTCCCTCTCTGCACGTTGGTTCATTTAGCTAATTGACTCCAGTGTTGTGATCGCAATCATATGCCAGCTAGCCTACGCCCACGAGACCGCGGGATCAACCGATCCATCTTGGGATACATGGACCGTTGCCGTTTCGACCCAGGTGGCCCAGTCCTTGAGTATCGTCACGGCCTGTGCACCGCAATTTAAGCCGTTCCTCGATAGCCTCCGATCTTCGGGAATGACTCTTGGAGATTCGAGCTATGAGAGCAAACAGCGAACCTATAACGCCGCAACCTCTTACTACAAGGCATCTCGCGCTGGACGTACAAGTGACACTCACGAATTGGTTCCAATGCACAACCAAACCACTGTTACTTCGGCGTTGGACTGCGACACAGAGAGTCAATCAAGTCAGGCGCAGATTATTCGCGAGACTAGGACATGGACTGTAACAGAGCAACGGGGGTAATTTCAGAAATTTTGCATTTAGTGAAGTTAGACTATTGAACTTAATGTAAATCGGAGACAATCATGAGGACTGGGCGACTTTGATAATCGAACCAATAATGTACAATGAATTGTTTCATAGTGAACCGTAGAATCTACCCAAAACAAAAAATTGATCCAGAATACCACCTACCCGAATGGTAAAGATGAGCGGTATTGTACAACCCTCCTAGAAACCAACGTGGAGTCATGTAACATAACATGGATATCAAAGTTTACGGCCACGAGACCGAGTGGGCCGCTAACCAGGAGTGGCCAGAAGAACGGCCGAGATTGGTCAGGTTTGTTACAGATCGTGCATAGAAGAATGTGGGGATCCCGAATTACTGTCGCATCCCATCGTCGGCAACGTGATACCACCGGGATTCCGACCCTCCGGCACTAAAATGAACCAAGAGATTAGTTCAGTCGAATCCACTACTTGACCGGTATATGCCCCGAGAGTGCCGCAGCTAAACCAGATTTTCTGTTACCCTAGTGGAAGGGAGTAGGGTATGTGGATAGCCGATACCAAACGCCCACTGTTCTAGAATCATTTTCTGCATTAGTCTCCTGCATACCTCCTGAGACTCCTCTTTCTCCACGTGACAGGTCTTCAACCTTTGGTTCCCTTCTGGAGCTTGGCTCTTTTTTCTTTTTTCATTCATTCATTCATTTATTCATTCATTCATTCTTTCCTTCCCTGCCCATCATGTCTTCGCGCCAGGCGAAGCAAGTGAGCATGACCGGCATGCAGGAGATCGGTAGTCCGTCGAGTAAGGAACTCGACGACGCCAATCTGGCGCGTATGGGAAAGCGCCCAGTTTTGAAGGTACAAATATCCCCTGTTTCACATCCAGAGGTCAATTGCTGATTGTATCTAGCGGAACTTTGGACTGATGTCCATGCTTGGTTTCAGTTGTACTATTCTGATTACTTGGGAGGGAATTGTGGTGTGAGTTTTCAATGAATCGCGATGCGATTGCTTTTTGTGGCGTGCATTTGCTGACTCGGGCTTGCGTTATAGCCTTTTCTTGCAAGCTTACCAGAAGTAAGTTTCCCTAGTCTTTGTCACTAGGTTTCAAGATATCTGACAAGCCTTGCGCAGTGGTGGCCCTGCGGGTGCGATATATGGATACCTCTTCGTCTGGGCTGGCGTCGCATCCACCTTCGTGGTTCTCTCGGAATTGGCGTCGATGTATGTGCTCTTCAAGAATCACAAGTGGATTCCTCATAACACCTTGATAGGGCACCGACTTCTGGAGGGCAGTACCACTGGTGCTCCATGCTTGCTCCGCGTTCCACAATGAAGCTGTTTAGCTATATAACAGGTGAGCTACCATGATAAGTCCTCAATAGAAGCTTTAAATTGACACGGAAACAGGCTGGCTCACGGTCATCGGATGGCAAGCCACATACGCGACCTCCTGCTATCTGTGTGGAACTCTCATCCAGGGCCTAATCGTCCTCACAAACAGCTCGTACGAGCCAAAGAACTGGCACGCGACTCTGATATTCTGGGCCGTGGCATTATTCTCGATTACGATTAACTCCGTTGGAGGAAAGCTACTACCTCGTTTCGAAGGCTTTATCCTCATCCTTCACATCCTCGGCTTCTTCGCCATTCTCATCCCGCTCACTTATATGGCCGACCATGGAAGTGCAAAGGAGGTTTTTACCGAGTTCCTAAACCTAGGAGGGTTCCCATCCCAGGGTCTGTCATTCTTTGTCGGTATGGTAGGATGTATTTTCGCATTTGCTGGTGGTGATGCGGCGGTTCACGTAAGTGCGAAAATCTTGATCTGTCACTGCAACAACTTATTAATCGCATCGAATAGATGTCCGAGGAGATCCTGAACGCCTCAACCGCGGTTCCAACCTCGATCATGCTCTCCGTGCTGATCAACGGTTCCCTTGGCTTCGGCATGCTGCTGGCCATGCTCTTCTGCCTGGGTGATATTGAAGAGGCCCTTGGCTCTGCCACAGGATATCCATTCATGAGCATCTTCCTGCAAGCCACCGGCTCCGTTGCCGGAACTGCTGTAATGTGCTCTATCATCACCACTATGGGTATCACGACTTCGGTCGGCATGCTCGCCTCTGCCTCTCGACAGTTTTGGTCGTTCGCACGAGACCGTGGCATTCCAGGCTGGCGCATTTGGAGCCAGGTATGTTCTCTCTTGTACTGGGGTTGTTGGAATTTTGCTCACCATTTACCCTTTCAGGTCCACGGCACTACCGCGGTTCCCATTTACTCCGTGTTATTGACCACCGTTGTTGTCTGCCTGCTCGCGCTCATCAATATCGGATCTGCCGTCGCCTTTAACGATCTCGTCGCCATGTCCATTTCCGGTCTATACTTGTCGTATATGATTGTGGCCGGTCTTCTGCTCTACCGTCGCTGCACAGGCGGTATCAGCAACGCTCGAAGCAGCGATCACGGCCTGGTTAATGTCCCCGGATCCATTTGTGCCTGGGGACCATTCCACTTACCGGGCATTGCGGGCATCGCGGTCAATACCTTTGCCCTGATTTATATGACCATTGCTGTGTTCTTCAGTTTCTGGCCGCCTTCGTGGGCTGTCACCGTGCAGACGATGAACTTCAGTGTGGTTGGCACTTTCGGCGTGATTATGCTCAGCTTGATTTACTACGCTGTCCGGGCTAGACATGTCTACAACGGACCAATCGTGGAGATCCATTAGTTGGAACTTGCCACAGGCGGTAGGGACAGGATAGCCCTGGGGGTATGATATCGGATGGGGTCCGAATTCCATGTATATTCAAAATTGATCACTAAGTTTAGATACATAATAATCCTTGACGCACGTTTCACCAACTATCTTGAGAAATCAGTCCGACCTCGTGCAAGAGGTCTTCTTCAGTCGACACTAGGAATTCGCTATCAATTTCAATTTTTCTTTGTGATTTTCGCACTAGCACGTTTGGAGACATTAGTGCGAAATCTCATCGCGCGATCGTCGCGTGGTCGGTTCGAACCCCTGTGGGGCTGGTGGTCGGGGATCTGCGTCCCGCCGGCGTTTCAAGTTTGGAAGCCAAATTATTTTTAGAAAGCCCATCACCCTGCAGATAAAAACGCAGGGTCCAACAGGGTTTAGGAGACCCGATTCAGATATCGGGGGCTATAGGGCTGATCAGTCATGGAGGAGGCTCGAATCGGATCCCGTGCATCGAGTTGTGGAACGATCCAACGGCCCCCAAACCCATTTTGTTCGATCTAGCAAATTGAATTGCAGGATTCTCGCTGACGAGCTGGTTTGATACTATATTTATACTTTCGTGGTCTAGCCTTAGTGTCCCGCAAGATCCATCATGGGAGGATCCACGTGGGTTGCAGTTATTTCTAGCCCTGTATACCGCTGGGCTGTTGATGCTGTTTTGGCGTCATTTAGGGAAGCATGGCTGCGCGTTTTTTGGAGCCACTGTAAAACACCTTTTAAACTGCGTAGATATCATATAGCAGTCTCACTGAATCTTTCATTGTAAATATCCCAAGTTCTTGATGAACCTTGATATCAGCCTGGAGGGTCCTCACCTTGGTAAACCGGAAATCGTAAACCGTGTGCACTGTGAATATGTCTGGTCGACCACGGTAAGTAAAACACTGCGTATGGCGCCATAAAAAGGCCAAAGATATGATCCTGCATATTATAGGGGCCCAATAAACGGAACTGGCAGTCGGAATGATGCCTGCAGCCCCCACCTCCAGCGTATTTCGAACCATCTCCAACCCCAGACAATGATTTACTATTCGCCCAGCAAAACTGTTAAGAGCCAAATATTGAGCTACAGTTCGCTTAATCTCTATTCAATAAAATTGAGGTTGTATATATTTCAAAGGCGTGGTATTCGAACATTCCAGGGAATAATAATATAATATGCATAGATGGTATATAGCGAGGGTATCAAGCGTGGTTATTCGCCGTAGTTAGTGATAAACGAGAGGAAGGTGTATAAATATAACAGAGATGAACCCCAAAGCGCCGGAAAATATCAAAAGTCAAGAATATTTCAAGTTGACCGCACCAGTCACTGGTTTTCTAAAGGCGGAAGTGTGCCGGATAATTGGTGCGCAGGCACAGTTGTAGACATAGTACCTGGCGCAGAAGTCCACGAAGGATAGGGGATGGGATTTTCGAAAGCTAAAGTGTTGATCGAGGGCAGATTGGAGTCGTTGTTGGAGTTCCAGAAAGAAGTGTCGATCTGTTGCTGGGATTGAGGCGGCGTCAAGAACGCTTCAGGTCGAAGGACGTTTCGCAGATATTGCTCGAGAACCGTTTCTGCGTCGATACCGAGTCCGATTTGCGGGATCGAGGTTTGACCCATGCTCGTTGGGTAGTTGTACAAAGTGTTACTGTACATGCCTCCTTGGTCGTGATGCTGACAGTCATAGGACGGAGAAGAGTAGAGCAGGGATTGCTCGGGGTTGCTCGAGGTTGTCGTGCCGGCAGATGGTGGCGGAGTCTGGAATCCAGGCAGCATTGGAGACTTGGAGAAAGGCTGCAACTGCCCGATCGGGACTGGAGACGAAGCAGAGTAGGCGCTTTTCACGGAAGGAGATCTCTTTGGGGAGTAATCAGGGTCGCTGTTCATCCAGTTAGCTTCGAGGACTTGCCGTTGGGAATCTTTGAAGGGACTCACTGTCGGGCCATGTGCTGGTTCAAGTAATCGGCACGGTGGAAAGCCTTTGTGCAGCCTTCATGGGAGCAGGTGAAGAGCCTCTGAGCCTTGTGGCTCAACTCGTGTCGTCGTCGGTGTTCGGCTCTTGTGAAGACCTTGCCGCAGCCGGGATGCTCACAAGCATGTACCCGTTTGCCCTTCCTGGCTTTGCTCACTCGGTGCTCGCCATTGGAAGGAGATGGGGAGGGAGGAAAAGCGCGAGGGCTGGCGCTGTCGGCCTCTCGATGATATATGGTGTTCATGGAGGATGATGGCAGCGATGCGATGTACTGGGAGTCCATAAAAGGTGGCGGGGAGGTCACAAAAGGGACTGAGAACTGGGACATGACACAGGCCATTGCGATCAGGTAATCGACGAGCTTTTTATGTCATCAAAAGAGAAGGATAAGGTAAGGCGCAGGCGAAGTTAAGGCTCAGTTCTTCGGCGGTTTATATCACAAGAATATTGAGAAGTGTGAAGAAGCGCACGGATGAAGGCTGAAGAGAAAGTGGGCTGTCCAATGGAGGGACTTGGGTCTCTATAAATCCTCCGAAAATCTACGCGAATCAATAACAATCGGCTGATTTACGGGATGGCAATCTTCAACTGGGGCAGAAACGAGGGTTAAAAATAAAAACAGATGAAACGAGATGACAGGCATTCCCGCCGGGATTGCTAGCGATCGACCGCCCCCATCGTGATCCACCGTGACGGCCCTAAAGTAGTCGCTGTGGCTTTTTTCCCGCCGGCGTTCCGCTGAGTGGATGAAGCAGCCCAAGAATCTGCCTTGTGCCTGAAACTGCATGAGGCTCCCCGTAGATGTTCGAAATTCCCCGAGTGGCCGAGGCTGGGTCCTACATGTTGGATGTTGGATGGTGAATGTTGGCCTGGGCCAAAAGCCAGAAGCTTGTCGGCTAAGTCGGACGGAGTGCCCCGACCTGTCGCTCCCCCGGACCATCAGCCAATATCCTGCTTCTCTCACCATTTCCTTTTAGGAAATAAATGCGATAGCAGGGGGTCGGAGGGGCTGGAAAGACCTCTTCCCGGAACGGTGGGGGCGATTTGATCCGCAGGGCAGGTACGAATCAAGATCCTGCCCTCGACGAGTCTACATCCAACCCGGTTAGACAAATGGAAAGACTAGGGATTTCTCAGCCGTTAGAAGGGCCAAGCTCCATGGGCAATTTGCCGGGTTGAAACCAGCCAGAGCACGAGTGAGGGAAATTAGACAGGGAGGAGATAGGCCGATTCACCAACCAGACGGGGCTCTGTGGACCGGGCTTTCAAGGCTCCGCGGCTTCCGCTGGGGGGCTCTGGGCTGTAAGCATTGGCACTACTGTAGGGCTCCCCACGGTCTGCTCGAGTGTGGTTACTGCACAGGCCAGTGGCCCACTTGGATCAGGGTCACTGGCTTTGAAGCGGCCCGGGCAGGAGCTAAGCATGGCACTAGGATGACCGAGTTTACTGGGGCGGTGCCGTTTCCTTATTCGATTTGGAAATCGGCTCGCTATCGAGCCTCAGGGTCCACTCGGATCGAGCGTACTGATTTCCAAATCAAGCACTAGCACATCTGTCTAATGTAACATTTCATCTCCGTTGCTTCGGTCGTTTGTCCTAGGCGTCCACTGCTTCCGTCATGATTGGCTGCATCGTCTCCCAAGTGGATCCCTCTCCCGCTTTACCGTCCAAAGAACAAATCCAAATAAACAAATTCTACCGCGGGGGGCCTTTTCCTAGCCTCTGACTCCCAGGAATAGCAGCACAGGTGAGATAGAGAGAACGTATCCCGTGCAGATGATCTCAATCGCCAGAGTACCGGTTTCATGTGTGGCAATTGCCACCTAAATGTCGTTTCAAGATGGAACGCCAATGACAGGTGAGTCTATTTTTGATTTGAAATGAGCCCCCGTTTCACATTTCAACGTTAAAGTTAACAATAGAACATGCCCTTGCCTTGATCCATAACGAAATGGACCCTGGGGGCCGTTTCCGTTAAATCTCCTCATTCCCCAACCCTCAATTCAGCCAGATCCCCCAGGTATCCTCATGATATCACGGCCCCCGCGAGCTGAGGGTGCCCTCGTCCCAATTTGACTAGCCTACTTTTGCCACCTCGGACCTCTAGGGGTTTAGTCCAGTCATCCCGTAAGGAAATTAACTTGTTGTGATCTTCGCCAACCACATGGCCATGTGCGATCCTTCACTGGCTTACTAGCACATCGAAGGGACACCGGGTGCGCCCATTCGCTATCACACGGGTGTCATTATGCTTGGCAGTTTTGGTAGTATTCTCCTTGCAAGCAAGGATCGGAATCCTTCAACCACTTGGCTTACACAGGCGTCCTGATTCCCCTTTTAGAACCGTGACAGCCCCCAACATTCCGATGTTCCCTTGGACGAAACCCGAGTAGAACCAATTTAGCAACGTTGGTCGACCCAACGGATACAGAAATCGTTTATACGAGTAACACTGCAACTAAGCGACAGCCCACGGCCTCTTCTCCAACAATAACCGCGCAATAATCTGATAGATCAAGCCCGCCATAAACGCCGCCCCGCTGAACATCGACGCCTCCAGATATCCATAGTTCCTGATTTAAAGCCCCGTTGATCGGTGTGCCACCTAGCGCTCCAAAGCTACAAATCGCTAGACCTTGCCCGACATACGTGCTGATGTCGCTTGGATTCGGACACACTACACTCATGCCATATATTTTAGCAGATAGGTCTAGACATATCAAAGAGGGAATTAGAACGGAGAAGAGAGGAGACGGACCTTGAGCAACACTAGGCGAATACAACGAAAATGCCCCGCCAGAAAGGAACCCGAAGAACGCGATCCAGACCATAATCGCCGCATTAGAGATCGCAGCTGTCCAGCAGAAGAGGAGAATCGCGCAGGCGGCATATGTGAAGATGGTGATGTTAAACCGGCCTAGCTTGTCACCTGCGAAGTTGGGGATCAACCGCCCGAAGAATGAGGGGGCATTGAGGATCGCAACCTGGTACAGGGCCAACTGGCTGCTCATGCGGCGCTCGAGAGCATAGTCTGGGATATAGAAGATAGGTGCGTAATGGCCCAGCAGGGCGAGGAGGAAGCCCGCGTTTGTTAAGATATAAGGCCACTGCTAGAAGGCGCTTAACAGGAACATATTTTTCTGTCGACAGGGTGCGAATTACTTAGTGACGAAGGCGGCGTAGATGATCAAGACGAGCATAATGAAGCCGATATCACGCACCGACCAGCCGAAACTAATTAGGAGACGATTAAGGGTGATGGGGAAGATAATACCTCCGACAGCAGCGCCGGACACCACAACAACCATAGCCCACGCCCGACGCGTGGTGAAGTACTGCCCGACGCAGGAAACCACAGGGGTAAAAATCATACCGCAAGCCATACCCCCCAAAACACCCTAGGCGAGGATAAACTGGTAGTATTCGCGGCATAGGCTGGTCATCATGGCGGAGAAGACCAGGGTGAGGCCTGAGGGGATCACGACGGCTTTGACGCCGAGACGGTCGGAGAGGGGGCCACTGATGGCCCCGAGGAGGAAGAGGAAGAAAGCTTGCAGGGAGCCGATCCAGGAGATTGCATTGGAGGATTGGGAGGAGAGAAAGGTTGTGCTGTAGTAGCTTTAGTAGATGCTGAACACTGTTAAGGCAGGACTTCACTACTGCACCCCGTTGTATATGACTCACCCAAACGTGTTGATATAACGGAAAGTGCACATACATTGAGCTCAAAGTTAGATATAATATAGTATAGTCCGGCCGGAGACATACATCTGTGCGGCAAAAGCTCCCAGAGCCACACCCCACGCTCGGGCGCCTCCATTAGGAGGTTCCTGGGGGCCCTGACGCTTTTCTTCGTCACTAGACATTTCGAAGACTCAAATATAATAAACTGTCATGGAAGGAATTTGTCTCGAGAGAATTAGAACAGGGCGAGGAGAGGCGGTAAAAAGACAAGCTCATCGGAAATAAAAGAGCGGAGTTAACTGAGCGGAGTCCGGGCAGACCTGATGTGCCATGATCTCTATCCGTAAGATCCGGGGTTGAGCGGACTCGACTATTCTAGCTTGAACTTGGATAATTGCCATGGGAGCCGCGGAATACTTCGTGAATCTCAGTCGTTCAGCATAAAGGTTGAACTAAGAAAAGCTCGGCCCTAGACGTCATGGCCAGGTGCTATTCTTAGGATTTTGACCTATGCTATGCTAGGACCAAAAACATACCTCTCCATTACGGATGGATCTGGAGAAGTATTTACTTCGAAAGGGACTTGAAAGAGGCAAGGAAACGGTCAGGTGGGGATTCAGATAAACAGATTACACTCTTGCTTTTGGTTCTAATACCGGTTCCAGGGAGAATTATTCATTGACAGTCTCATATTGATGCATCAAGACACTGTTTACTAAGTCTCAATGTACAATTCTGTTAGATAGATTGGAAGATTGACAATATCTCATCTGCAAGTCCAGTGTGCGTTGCCAGACTGCTAGATCTGGAGGTCTGTTCGGATGTTGCATACAGCCCTTTTTGAATATCTAGTCTAACCGTCCAGGTAAGAGCCAGTTTGTCGAAGAAATCACAGCCAATGATATTGTCTGTTGATCTTGGGGTGTATTGGCCAAGTTGACCATACAGAGGGCGAATCACCAGCCGGACGAGGTGTTTTGCATCCTGACATGCGAGTATGTGCGTGAAGAATGCCTTAGCCAGAGTCTCGCTAATAGCACAGTTGATCATGCAGTCCCGGATAAACCATCTCGGGCAACCATGAAGCCCTACAAGGCCCTTTTCAAAGTCCGACAAATCACGGGGCGGGACCGGCATCATGTTGGCGCCCATCCTAGGTAAGCAGTTCAACACTAGGTCGAGCTCCTCAAGGCATGGAAACCGGCCCAGTGCAGTCCATACATCCGTCTCGAGACCTTGATATCGTTGTACGCATATAAGGAGCTTCTGTAGAGACGGACACCGGCCTGCTAGCTCCAAAATATCCTCGGTCGAAAATATGGGCCCAATTGGTCCTTTTTGTGACAGCCTGCGCATGTCTTGACTGCTCCACTGGTGCTTGTGTAATTTTAGTTCGAGCAGAGTTGATCCGTGCCTATCAAGGACTCGAGTATTGAGAAAGGTAGGCGTGTATGAGCCTAGTAGACAAAGATATGTCAACCGAGGTAGGGACTTGAACATCGACTCTGCAGCACGCCAAAATTCTGGGCCGTCATCCCTTCTCGGCTGAACTATAGCAAGGGTGAGTCGTGTCAGATGCTGGAAAGGGTGGAAATCCACAATAGTCTGAAGCAGTGACGAATCTTCAACACAGCCGACAGTCCATGCTTTTAGAAGCCTGAAATCTGTAATCTTTTGCCACTCCTGGAACTGCTCGGCTGTCATTTTGCTATTAAGGGGCCATAGTAGTGTTTGAAGCTTGGCAGGTGGCTTTTCATTCTTCATTCCCTCCTCCACCTGAATGCTTTTGTTGAAGTCTGGTCGATGACTAGGCATATCATCAGTAGAGATTTGCAATGAAACCTCTCTTATTTGAGGCGCAAGTAACACAATGCTCTGTAGGGGCCGATCGGGGTGTTCAACAAATAGCCTAGCTTTTTGATTCTCAAAGCAGGTGAAATGTACGGCATGTAGCATTGGTGAAAGAGCCCAGTGCTTGCCGATGACACTATATGGCCCATTATTGAATGGCCAAGTGGTGAAGATGGACACTCGACAAGTGGGATGATATTGCGAAAGAGCCTCAAAGAGCTCGACCGGGCCACCATGGAGAACAACGATATTGACAATGTGCAAAGAAGGGATTTGTCTAATCAAATCGACAATGGGAGTCCAATCTCCCTTGGCGTAACGCCCAACTCGGGGGATGGCCCCGCTCTCTAGTTCCCCTAGCCTTACTCCTTCAAGAACACGAGGAATGCAATTGAATCGATTGCGAGTCGCTCGAACGTATCTAGCTTGTCGGTCGGGGCATCTAAAATGATGTCTACTCGGATAACATTCCGCCACAAGACTCAGTTGTTTCACTTGTGTGAGAACACTTCGGGAAACCGGCAGATGGAGCAATTTGTCGGAGATTTCCCCATCTCTCAGGCGGATGACGAGATGTTGGTATAAGACTGGCGTGGCAATTCTGTTCCATTCCCGGTTTACTTGGGACAGCGCTTGGAGGCTTTCCTTGGACTTGTCGTCGCTTGCCTGAAGTTTCAATCAGGGCTGCAAATGATCAGATCATCATATAAGGAGACTCACCCACTGGACGATTGTATGCTTGATCTCTTGTGGTAGTCGATCCATAATTCTTAGTTCGTAAAGTTCCAACAAGAATGTTTCAATATGACCAAGAGTAGGAAGGGGCCTTCAATATTGGAAGAGAAAACAAGACCGAGGAATTAAATACGAGAAATTGGGGAACTGACGTGTTGACCCAGAAGAGACTAGTGGAATAACTGTCGGAGCACGTGATATAAGGGCCAATCAGCAGTAAAAAAGACTCTGTATTGCTATACCCCTGAATCTGGCAATTTAGTTAGAATACAGTATTTTACGTAATCTAAAACAATGATCATGATCTACTGTAGAACGTAATTCCCAAGCGAGCCGCCCACCCCAAAACACCATATTAAATGCTGCTTTTTACAACCTTATATCTCAACAATCGGGGCTCTTATAGATAGCAAACTCTAAGGCCATGTTCTATACAGTAAACATAGTACTTGGATGGAGTCTAGAAAATTTTGGCAGCGAATGGTCTATTTAGCTAAATTACGTTGTAATTTATGGTATTGTGAGTATACGACATTTTGATCGGCTTGAAATTAATATCCACTATAAAGAATGCTTATCAATACTAGTATACTTATATTGGAATAAATTAGAGCTTTGGTTGTTGAGATATAAGGTTATAAAAAACAGCATTTAATATGGTGTTTTGGGGTGGGCGGCTCGCTAGGGAATTACGTTATTCTTGGAAAAGGGAGATCTATGGCTAAAATAAAAGTAGACTAGCGTGCTTCAAGATAGGGTTCGGGAAACAATAGCTGAGTGTACGCGGGGGAAGAACATGGCAGTACGAGCATTCTTGGAGACAGAACCCGGAAAATGATTCCTTTGAAATATGAGCACAGACAAAACTCGATGGCCTTCATAGCAAAATTTCCGTTGACATAGCCGACCGGATTTAAACTTTGTTTGTGTCAGTGAGCAGTTCGCGTTTTATTGAGTGGAATCGAAACTGAAATGAACGATCGAATAGAATGAATTCACCGTCATCTAAGTCACAGACCGAGGACAAGAAAATCCCGAATCTTGTCAAAGTCAGTTCGCGTCAAGGTGTCCCACGGGTCCTTGCGCGTGCCAATATCAGCGAAAACCATAGCAGTGAGACTGGGTATCTCCTCGGCAAGTTCCTTCAACAATATCGCAATGATAATATGCGCAGGGACGGTCACCCACAGGCTCTTGTACATCATGTCAAGCGAATCGACAAACATTCTGGCATCGGTGCAGTCAGACCGTCTGAATCGCAGGACTTCAAGCAGGGCCTCGTTATCCCATTTGATGCCGAAATCGATAACCGCCTTCTGTGTGTCCTCCATGAATTCATCGGCCAGCTCCATGCGCGGATTGCGTTTCATGATGTGTTTGAGCATGTAGGGGACGATATTGTCGTGCAGCCAGACCAGGACAAGGCGAGAAAGTATTTGCCATTTCAGCGCGATTGGGTCAGACCATTTGAGGCGGGGAATTTTCGAGTCAACGAGGTTATGTAGTTGGTATCTGCTCAGTACCTCGCGCACTGCCACGTCCCAGTCTTCCAGGTCGGACGGCCCTCGGAGAGGAATGACCATCTTGGGGAGTCTGAAGCTCCCAACCTCGGGGAGGTCGACTCCCTGGTGAGGAATGACTTTCCTTGGATCGACGCCATCGTCTGCGCATGGGTGCAGGCGGAGTGTGTGCGGGGAGAGGGCTGGGTCGGCCAGAATCCAAAAGTCTCGAGTTTCGTCGAGGGCGTCTTTCACACCTCTTGTTTGACTGGTTGAGCGGCCTGTCGATCGGTCTTTTGCTTGGTTGGATGTCATGATGATATCTCGAATGAAGGTAAATGGGGTGGGTCTGTTCACGGTGGGCTGGAATACTGATGCGCTGGCTGATGATGAGGAAAGCAGGATTTTTGGTTATGTCAAGCTGATACCGAAGCTCGTGCAATCAGTAAGTTGTAAACAACCGGCTTGTTCCGGTTTGAAAAGCCATTGGAAGTAGGTCATGCCTTGTTGACAGCATGACTTCAACGGAAGACACATTTGCTTGTGTCGAGGCATTCTCCGTAAACAACAGCGAAGGGGTAGAGTCGATAGGCAACATAGCATCCATATCCACCTGCGTTTTACAACAGCTATTCATTAATCTGCGTAGGTAAACGAGTTGACGTTGTTGGAAGTGTGGTTGTCAGGTGGGCCTCAGCCCAAATGGTGTGATCCGCCGCCATCAAGATGCCATTCCCACTAACAACAGCGTGGCTTTCTCAAGGGTTCTTGTCGAAGTATTTCCCTCACGAAACCGAAATATCGTGACTGAAACGGCAGATTATCCCATACTTGGCCAGATGATGCAACCGCCAAGGACATTTGCAGGGTGGGTGTGGAGCAATATATTATGAATAATGGATAGGTATAGCCGACCGGCGCACGTATAAAAACCAGATGTCGAGAAGCATCCTGACACACAAAAGACGGAGAAAAGTATCAAGAAACAGGTTGGCCAAAATGACCACTTTATTTTCCGAGTCACTTTCAAAGAATGCAGCCCATGAGTCGGTCTCATCCATCAGTGGAACAGACTCTTTGACGGATGACACCGCGGCTTTGGGACAGCCAGGCGACGAGCGTCGCTTTTGGTTTCAGCGAGCAAAGGGCTTCGACCCTCAAGCAATCGCAACCCAGCCATCTGTCTTTGACAACCCCGACATTGCCAAAGAGTACCAGCCCAGAGCCGACTGGGAGAATCTCCATCGATTCGACCCCTCCGCAAGATGGACATGGGCCGAGGAATACAAGCTGATACGGAAGATCGATTTGCGGATTATGGTTTTTGCCTGCATAATGTTCATGGCGCTGGAGCTGGATCGTGGGAACCTCTCGCAAGCTCTGACCGATAATTTCCTGCCGGATTTGGGGATGAACACAAATGGTAAACATCGTGTAGGCCCCTTGGAAGGTATGCGCATCGCTAATGAAATTAAAGACTACAATCTTGGAAACACCGTTTTCCGACTCTCGTTCCTTTGTGCCGAGCTGCCTTCTCAGCTTGTCAGTAAGTGGGCCGGGCCGGACCAATGGATCCCCACGCAGATGGTTCTATGGTCGGCGGTAGCTATGGGCCAGTATGGACTCAAGGGAAAGACATCATTCTTGGTGTGCCGAGTTCTTCTTGGAATCCTGCAAGGCGGGTTCATTCCAGATGTAAGTTCTACTGCCTGCCATCAAACCACTCGCTCACAAATTTGGCTAGGTGATTCTCTACCTGTCGTATTTTTATAAAGCTCACGAATTGTCCATTAGACTGGGCTTCTTCTGGACTGCTATGAATGTGGCCGATATTATTGCCAGCTTCCTGGCATTCGGCCTGTTGCACCTTCGCGGGATTGAAGGTCAGGCCGGTTGGCGCTGGCTCTTCCTGATTGAGGTAATTACACTCTCTACTCCACTTTGGAGCTTGCAAAATCTGACGACTGATCTAGGGTATAATTACACTTCTTTTCGGTCTGGCTGCATATGTCTTGATGCCTCCCGGGCCCTGTCAAACAGCAAATTGGTCGCGTGGCAAGTCCGGTTGGTTCACTCCACGCGAAGAAACGATCATCGTGAACCGAGTCATCCGAGATGATCCCAGTAAAGGAACCATGCACAATCGCGAGCCCATTACACCCAGACTGCTCTGGAAAAGTCTCTGTGACTTCGATCTATGGCCTCTTTACATTATTGGCCTTACGTTCGAGACACCCATGACAACGCCAAAGCAATACCTGACCCTCACCCTGAAAAGCATGGGCTTCGGCACTTTCGTCACGAATCTGCTAACAATTCCGAGTACGGCGATTTCAATCATCACGATGCTCAGTCTTACCTACCTGTCAGAAGTTCTTGGGGAACTGAGTCTCGTATCTCTGTTTGGGCAGATCTGGACACTTCCCTTCGTGGTATATTTGTACATGGTGGATATCAACACTGCGAACAGATGGGCCGTCTGGGTCGTTATGACATTACTACTCGGTTTCCCAAATGGTGAGTATCTACCGCGTATCTCCACTTCCACATGCACATGCTAATCCATTCCAAAGCACACGCAATTCAAGTCGGCTGGAACTCTCGAAACTCCAATACCGTCCGGTCTCGGACTGTCTCGGCCGCCATGTATAATATGGCCGTGCAGGCTTCGTCGATTATTGCCTCAAACATCTACCGGGCTGGTTCGTTTCCCGCAATATCCCCTACTTGCGTTATTGACTAATCACCACTAGATGATGCCCCCCTCTACAAGCGAGGTAATCGTGTGCTGGTTGGCTTGGTAGTTGCGAACATATTCATCTACCTCTTGGTCAAGGCTTACTACGTATGGCGCAACTCGAGCCGCGATAAGAAGTGGAATGCTATGACCGATGAGCAAAAGGCGCATTACTTGGCGACTACGAAAGATGAGGGCAGTGGTCGGCTGGATTTCCGTTTCGCTCATTAAATACCGAGATGATGTAAATGGGTAGCCGGGACGGATATAAGCGGTCGCGCACTCTCACTTTTCGCGCGTCGTATTTTGTTCTTGTCGTGAACGAAGTCAACTCTAGTCTCAAGATCTGGATTGACCTAAAGTTTACATGATATGTTTTCAACGACAATAAAAATTGGAAGGCTGATAAATCAGTGCAATTTAGTTAATGGAACTTAATAGACTCTAGATGCTGTACAAACCACCGATAGAGTCTTCGTTCATAATAATGGTGACGGTAAAACTGTCGCCTCTGGAAGTGCGATCGGCTCCCGGAGCACAGGGTGAGTTAGTCTCCCCGCCGCCTTGAACTAACCCGAGAGGGTTAGTCTTTTAAGTGTTATCATCACCATCCTCTTTTCAACAGACTGCGCCTATTTGTCCTATTACCCCTCTTCCTCCACTAAAGATACAGCACAATGGCCAGGATCAAAGCTTGGCGACAGACTCCGTGTACCCGATGGGTTGCCCAACATTACCAAGACCACGCACAGCAACCTGCGATTTTCATGACACTCAAAGAGACCAACCCGGAAGCCTTACCAGTTCATCTTCCACAAATCGCCATCCAGGTTTACAGCACCGTTCCCCTAAGCTTGGACTCTGAAGACGACTCGGAAGATGTCTACACCTCTATCTGTCGATATCTCTCTTCGCAGATCTCTTCCTATCCCTCCGAAACCCTCTCATATGAGATCTATGCCCCCCAGCCTAATGTATTCGCCTGTGTGGAGCATCAAAGACGGGAAATTCTTCACCGAAAGAATAGTATTCCCGGAGAATATTTCTTCCCTGGTATCGCGAAAGTGGCACCCAACAACAAAAATTGGCTTTTGCAGGGGTTTCTACTAGTGATGACTTCCTATAGCTTCCGCGATACATTCATACCGCGATATGAAGCTGAATCTGGTCCGCTGTGGGTAAATTGTAATCGGAGTTTTCCGCTTAGAGCGAAAGTCGATCTTGCCTCTCGAATTGAATCCGCTACAACACGTGAATTTAATCCTTCGATCATCAGTGTTGATTGCCAAGTACAATCAGAGAGAGAAGAACTTATTGTGCGAAAATGCCGACATGTGGATAACAATTGCCGAGAACTCTCCTCCCTAGTTATCCGAAGTGGGAGCGATGATGTGGATGACAATTGCCGAGAACTCTCCTCCCTAGTTATCCAAAGTGGGAGCGATGTTGCGGGGCATCAGTTCGATTATGGTCTAAATGAAGATGAGGGCGATCCGTCCTTATCCAACCAACCTCTAGCGCCGGAGATGATTGAATTACTACAGATCCAAGCTGATTCGTTGGACCATAACCAATTTGATATATCAGCACCCTCCGATGGTGCTGTTGCTATTAAGTCGAATCATATAGCCACGACAGCAGAACTTGATCTTCAGTATATTATTTACATCGCCTTCCCTTATAAGCAGCTCGGATTGGAGCTTATGCCAATCGCTAAGGCCTTTACTACTGCGATTATCGACAGCCTTGCACGGGGAAAGACGGTCAACTTCGAGTTCTTTTCAGGGGATCAATCCCTAGCTGCTACCCTAGCATCGCACCGGGATCTCATCAACTCTCGCCCAGAGATAGCCATAGGAGCGCTTCATCGAGGCAGCCGGAGTTTCCCGCAGAAGCGACATGAGCCCGAGATTGAAATTCCATCGGGAAGGGAGCCATACCGTACCTTCTTTGTTATCCTCGATCTTCCGGATTTCCTCACTGGGCCTGGTGTGCTTTTCTTTCTCACCGATGGAAACGAAATCACAGATGAGGCAATGCAGAGCAGAATTTTTGGGTCTATAGACCAACGTGGAGACTACGCGGTATACCAGGTTTGGCGGAGCGCAGGAATGTCTGAAGCAGCAGGAAGGTTGGCAATGATGCCTACAAATCTAACTAGCTGGGGTTGAAAATTAAGTGGATTAGCTAGGCAATAATTGAGCAATTGTAGTAGGTTTAAAAGTTTTCACGCGTTATTTACAGCCGTAAGCCTTGGGAGATTCTCTTTTATTATCTTCTAACTTATCTGTCTCTCTCTCTCTTATATTCCTTTCTTCTATTAAATATTTGCTGTTGTTGTTGGTGATGAGGCTGTAGTAGTAGTAGTAGTGACCTCCCATAATAAAATTTTCATTTTTGAAAGCGCCCACTCTCAAAATAATCAAAACACGAGACTAGTCTGCGCAAACCTAGCTCCTGATGCTATTGTGCATAGGGAAAATATCTAGGCTGTACAGCGGGTGGTCTTTAACCCGGCCAATACAGTAGATTCTCTCAATCCAAGTATTACAACTCCCTTATAACCCAAGTTCATTCAGTATTCACATATAATGTCTTTAGGATATTCAAATTTGTCCAGCCTAGATAGATAGTTTCCTTAACATAAAGGCGTTTTGGTTATAGCTGAGCGTCAGCCAGGCTATTATAAAAGAAAAGGCCTAAAGTAAGACAAAATGGCAGGGTGACTCACTCGCTTACATGGCTCACCCCCTCACCGATCACGTTATATACATACCATCCTAAGAGCTGACATGTTACAAGCAGCGTCCTTCGCCAGGCTCCAACACCCCACGCTGTCAATATTAATCTGTAATTCGTTTCTCGCCAACATAACCTCAAATTGACTGTATTTAACAATTCAGACATTCATCATGGTCAAGCCCACGCCTTTCAAAATTGCCGTTCCTGAGGAACAACTTTCATGGATCACCGATCGCGTCAAAACGACTCGTCTTCCCCCAGGCAAAGAGCTTCCCGTCGATAAGCAATGGTCCTTTGGCTTGCCTATTGAAGTGGCCACACACCTCAAGAACTATTGGACTGACCAGTTTGATTGGCGCAAAGTAGAAGCCCAGCTGAACTGCGAGATGGACATGTTTACGCTACCCATCTCTCATAACGACGAGGATCTCACCATACATTTTGTGCATCATTTGTCACCCTCCGATGACGCTCTTCCTCTAATTTTCATACATGGGTGGCCGGGAAACTTCACCGAGGTGCGATATATCATCGATGAACTCACAAAGCCATCCTCGCCCGACGCCCAGGCCTACCACGTCGTTGCCCCAAGTCTTCCTGGATACGGCTTCTCATCCTACCCCAAAAAGCCGTTTGGCGTCATCGAAATGGCTGCAACGCTAAACAAGCTGATGCTGGCGCTAGGCTATAACCAATACATCGCGCAGGGCGGTGATTGGGGCAGTCTTCTCGCGCGGGTGATGGCGCTGGAACATGAGAAACAGTGCATCGGTATCCACATAAACATGATCTTCAGTTTGCCGCCATCTGCTCTCTGGGCGCCTTTTGCATTTGGCAGGCTTGTGTTTGGCTACTTGACGGGTTTCTGGAGCGAGTACGAGGCAAAAAATCTCAAGCGAATGAAATGGTGGATGGATGAGGAAAACGGTTATAGACAGATCCAAGGAACAAAGCCGCAAACTATCTCGTACGCGCTGACAGATAGCCCGTTTGGGATGATGTGCTGGCTTCGCGACAAAATGCAGCATCTGATTGACGATGACTTTGTCTGGAAGGATGAGGAGGTTATAACATGGGCCATGGCAAGTCAACAGACCTAATGGATGAAAAGAGCGTGAAAAATCCTGCTAATTACAGGTCGATCAACCAGATATACATCCTCAATGGCACTCCAGGCCATGCAGAGATCTACAAGACCACCATGGGCGAAGGGGAAATGGAGATGAAGACCTGCTTGACCAGAATGATTAGCATTCCCATGGGCGTCTCGGTGTTCCCCAAGGATCCCATGTACGCTCAGCAATGGTGGGCAGAGGCTGCGGTGGGGAAGAAGATTGTCTTCTGGAAAGAGCACGAGAAGGGCGGTCACTTTGCTTCAGTTGAGAAGCCGGTGCAACTGATTGAAGATATTCGCAGCTTCACGAAAGCATCGAAATTGAGTGGTAAAATGATTCGGGGGTCCTAAGTAACTTCAGGAATTCTGCTCCAGAAAATGGAAAAAGACAATGAAGTGGTATCCGGGTATTGAGACGCCGTGTGCAAGTTTGGTAATTTGTGAGCTTATGCAATTAATATCCCCATTCATACTGGTCGTTGGCAATTCTGGTCAAAATTAAGAATTCACGTTTTCTGTAATCACGGCATCGTGTTGCGCAACTTTGGGCTTGGATTGCCCCATAACCCCCGCAAAGCGACAAGGTCCTGAATAGGCCCCATTATATGCCTGATCAATGAGACTACCCCCATCTAACTAGTGGGCTTGCCACCTGCGGTCGGGGTGTTGCCAGTAAACAATCATATCATGTAGAATATTAGACACGAAAAGAGAAGAGCATTGGTATTTGCTGTTGAAGCTGGCAACAAGCCATATGCAACTATGGACATGCAATGCACGTTTTTATGTGACTGTTAAAAATATACAACATGAGTCTGTCGAATTTCAGAGAACGGTAGCAGGATCCACATCAAGGTTAGCGGTATCCCGCTTCGCCTGGTCCAGGATCGGAACCCGGATGGCACCCTTGTCGCTGACAGCTCCCGGGTTAGGCGAGGGGCCGGGCGTGCGCTCGCTCTTGTGCTGGCGCTGAATGAGGCCGTTTGTGATGCCCAAAACGGAGTCGACGATGACAGCGTCGATGCCTTCGGCGACTTGGTACTGTGTGTATCCATTGATTAGTTTGTGCGTTTTGGACTTGGGAGGAGTAATGAGACTTACGTCGACGTTGACGCCGTCGTTGTTGAGGGTGCCGTAGGACACGCAGACGAGACCGGATTCCTTAACAATACGCACGAGACGCGGGCACAAGACCAGAGGCTCGGCCTGAGACACAATGCCAAGGAGGTTCCAGCGCGAAGCGAATCGAATGGCCTCCTGCAGACTGCTGGCGCGAATGTCACCGACTGGGGAGGCACCGGCGTCGGTTAGGAAAAGAACCGGGATGGACGGCTGCTTGAAGGACAGCAGGAGACAAATGTCAGGGTTGAAGCTGGAGAACAATATGTCACGCCCCATGCCCATATCATAGACCTTGGTGAGGATGGTATCGACGAAAGAATTCAGTTCGACGGCGTAGGTGTCCATTTCTTCCTCTTCGCTCTCGTGGAGCATGGGATACTCTGGCGATCTTGGTTAGATCGTCGAAAAGGTAGCTGTTCTTTAGGAAGCTGTTTGGACTCACTCAGTTCAATGTTGAAGCCAACTGGGTTGGGAATCTTTCTAAACAATTCCTCCAGAGTGGCGAATGGGGCTTGAATGTGCTCGCCACGGGTGTTGCCCTTGAATCCCTTCTTCTTGAAATCGCGTGTGTGCTTGATCTTCTCGGTCAACTCGGCCGGGTTATACTCAGAGCCACCCACAGACATCGAGCGTTGCCGAGTGCCCGGGGTTGTATCGCCATGAACATCAACGCCGCCGGGCAAGACGTTGCGGTGCCGACCCTTGCCGAGTTCCAAGAACTGGTCCACCGTCAAGGTATGCACAGGGGCGTCAATGCCGGTCTCACTGACCAAAAAGTCGTGATAAATGACAGGGACATGGTCTTTCGTAAGCTGTACATCAAACTCGACGTAGGACGCACCCAAGTTTGCAGCTGCGATGAATGATTGAATAGTGTTTTCACCCAGTTGAAGGGAGTTACGACTGGCCATGTTCTTACCCAGACCTCGGTGCCCGATGACCATCGTCGAGCTCACAGTTCGCCAGTATGTCTGATTGCCGGCGATCGACATGTTTGGGTGCTTGAAAGGGGTGATAATCAGAAAGTTGAAGGTCACAGACCCAATCACATCCAGAGTGTTGGCAGCGACGATGGGAACGGTAGAGTCGCCCTTGAGGTTGATTCGTTGAGAACCAACTGTCGGCTTGATGCTGGAAAGAAGTGCAACACCACGGCCAACAATTTTCTCCTTCGATCCGGCGTAGGTGGGCACGAGATCGAAAAGAAGGCGGACCTTGCTCGCATCGGTGGTGTGAAAAACAATCGGTTCAGTCGAGATATTATCCTGAACAGGGAGATCAATCACCTCGGGCTCTCCATGGGCACCGCTAGCGGTAACTACCAGAGACAGGGCCGTATCCAGCTGCGTCGCGTGTGCGTTCTCCATAGGGATGCGGTCGAGGTTGACTGTTTCTAGAGGCTTCCGCATATCCATTGTTCCCAGGCTGACCAAAATCATGGTCTCGTCGGTGAGATACCGGTGTCCAAAAGTCTTAATAGGTTCAGTATTTCGTAGCCCAGAATTCCCCGGAAAGGTGGAACCAGGCGCATTCGACCGACGATCCGTCAAAGAGGACTGGGAAGGCGGCGAAGACGACGCGGACGAAGTGTTGGTAGGAACCGCGATCGGCTCGGGCTCAGTAGCCGGGGGACCAGGGCTCACTTCGGCAAGACACCGCGCGATATCCAGGTGGCCTCGCAATGACGCATGCTCCTTGGCCGTCCAGCCAGAAGAGTCGAACCTATCAACATCCGCACCAGCCGCAATCAGCTGCTGGGCTACATTCAAGGAGCCATCAACACATGCAATGAACAGCGGTGTCCACGCGTAGGTCTTTTCTGGCAGATCCGTGTTCGCCTTTTGGTATTCAGAACCCGCGAGAAGAATCCGGGCACATTCATCGTGACCGAAGCGGGCAGCAACATGAAGTGCAGTTTCACCCTGCTCGTCTTGATAGTTGATATCAACGCCGGCGTCCACCAAAAGCTGAACAATGTCCACAAAGTTGGCCTTGGTTGCTAGTGCAAGAACTGCGCTAGACTTGGGCGTCTGTTTGCGGACCTGGTCCTCCTGTCTGTGGGATCCTTTCCAGTTCTCGGCATCGAGCAAGTACCGGGTAGTCATCGGGTGGCCACCGACCACACTCAAGTGAAGAGGCGCCCAGCCATCATCATCCTGCCACAAAGGACCGTCGATGCCCTCGCTGACATCGAACATTTCCCATTCCCTCAGGTGTTCGATAATGACTTCACAAACAACCTTGAAACCATACTGGGCTGAATAGTGCAGCGGAGTGCGTCCAGAGATATCCTTCGCCATCAGTGCTTCGCGCTGGTTCGGGCGCAAAGCACCCAGCACATGGGTCAAAAGAGAAACAGCCGGGTCATCACGACCCAGTTGCTGGGGCATGTGTGCCTCCTTGACTACAGAGCGTGGCGGCTGCAGGGTTGGCGGGGCTGCAGGAGTGATGTAACGGGACGTCTCCAAAGGGAAGTCAAGCACCAACGACGCCGCGGGCTCGGAGTCGGTGGTCGACTGCCCACGGCCAATTGAGATGACCAGACGATGCAGACAGTTGCGACGATTGATTTCATCATCTTCCTCAAGGGTGTCAACGCGAGGCAAAAGGGCGGACAGGCAAGCCCGAGCCCTGTGTAGAATGGCTCGCTGGATGAGGGTCTTGAGGACCTTAAGAAAGACGCCTTCACCAGCTTCATCCGCAGCGGTTTTCAGGGTCTCAAGCAGTTCCAGCAAAACATGAACATCATCTTTTTTGAGGGCATCGTCCACCGCCGTCACAACGCTGGTGGGCAGATTCAAGAACGGCCGGGACGGACCACGCTTCAGCGACAGAGAGGAGTGGGTCGAGCTGGCATCGTCAAACTTCTCTTGCTCCTTGGATTGGTCGGTGATAACGGCCATCCATGTGTTGATGCGCTCTTGGGCCTTGAACACGCGAGCATTGGAGGCAAAGGGAGCGGGATCGACCTTGGTCTCCAGATAACGCTTCTGAGCCTGGGCACCAACCTTCTTATCGAGTTTCTTCGTAATCTTGACAAAGCCGCGGCGATTGACTTCGCCGTACCACTGTAAGCGGCGGAGATGGTAGCGCAGGTCGAGGAGGGCCTCGCGCAGATCATGCCTATCCTCGGGCTCCAATGGATGGTGACCTTCCATGGAATAACCATAGCGCTCCTCCAGCAGCTTCAGACGGCGGGCGTACTCGGCATATTTCTTGTTGTAGAAGTAATCGACGTCCTCGACATTTCGGTCGAGAGAGTAGAAGAAACCTATAGAACGCAACCAACGGACATCCTAGTTAGAACGGTGCTCCGAGGGATGCAGGAGGACTCGAGTCGACAGAGCACCACACTTACCGGCCAGATCCGCCTCTTGGCCAGCCTTGACTTGCTCAGCCGCGGACTTGATGAGTTTCTTCAACGCCTTGTACTTGATGTACGAGGAGCTCCATTCCGGCACGGTGAACTGAGGCAAGTTGCGACCGAACTTCATATTGACGAGTGAAGTGTTCGGGGTCAAAATGACCTCTCACCACGCTGTTCTTTTCCTTTATTCCACCAGTTTCTCCGACACGAATCCTCAAATCTTCCACACGGCGCACGGGATCGGAGGTTCGGGTCGAGTCGGCAATCTGAGGATCACAAGCAGTGATCAGGTGAGCGGCCGTACGCAAAGAAGGAAAGAGGTAATTGGCGCCATGAGGGAGGGGGTGAAAGTGTAGCCTCAAAAGGCCGACTGTACCTGGTGGGTTTAAGTGGATGCGAAGCGGTGAAAGAATAAAAAACTCTGATCAGTGTGGGTGGAGACGTAAGGTTTAAAAGAGAATGAAGGAAATGAAGGAAACGGTGAAACAAAGCAAAAGAGCGACCAAGAGGCGTTGAGCAACTAACGAGGGCCAGGATGAAGGTGTGCATTCGACGGCGCCGGTGATTTGTCGATCCCGATCCCCGCGCGGTTCATTGACAGGTTCTGTGCAGGGCAAGATCTGTGCTCGCTGATTAGCGGAGCCGGGCCAATCAGAACCCCGAAACGTGCTTCGATCCCGGCCCTAATTCGTGTTCGTCATGTGACCTTCCATCCATCCACTTTGGTCACTTTCAATAGGGCTAGCATTGACTTGGACACCTTCTGGATGGTCTGTCGGGACATTTCTGAGTCCCTTGGCTGGTGACCGTGACAGCCCGTGTCTGACCGAAATGGGCCCTCGAAGTCAACTATGAGCCTCCCCGAGTGAGGCCGGAGGGTATGCAAGCACCCTCGAGCATCCGGATAAAAGGTCTTGTGATCATACCAACGCGCCATAAGATGTCAATTGTGTCCATGTCGTCCGGTGCGGGGCATGCCTAGTGATATCCGGGCAACTCGTTTTCTTCCGATAACCGGACCCCCGGTAGCCTGTAGTAGCCTTGTGAGTCATGCAAGTCCTTCTCGGTTAGGACATGCTCACACGTAACATCATTAAACCAAAGTAGCGTAAGGGAAACATCGAGTAATCCAAGGTTCCTTAGGAATGCGTAGTCAACTACCACGACCTCGGAATGCATGTTTCAGAAATTGATTCATACTCTCTATAGCTAAGCCCCAATGCGGGGCAACCCCATAGCAAGTCAAGAAACGCCCCCATTCCATATTCCCCAACGCAAGAAAAGAACGCTAAACCAAAGTATGTGCTCATCATCATGAGGGCCATCAAAAGAAACCCGTAAACAGAAAGATAAAACTCCAGCTGGGTGTACATGCGAAGACGTTGCTCTCGCAGAAAGCCATCGAATAGCAACATGCTCGTGTCGGTCACTGGACCAGCGGTTTCAATGCCTCCACGCCCGCCTGTAACACAGCCTGGTTCGACGTTTTCTTGATACACGCCGTCAGAATGTCGATACCATTCGCAGCGCGAACCGCTTCCTTTGCACGAGCTCCGATGTCACCTGATGCCGTGCAGGTCAGGTTGCGCACGCACACCGCGCCTCGGTGGACGAGAGAGTCGTCCTCCTCCTGGCACAAACCTAGCAAGAGATCCACTCCACGAGGTCGTTCCAAGACTGCGGCAACGGCCGCGTCATACTCGGTCAACATGGCAATCGCGCCGCCAGCGGCTCGTCGAGTGGGGAAGTCGTCGGCGTCGGTAAGGGCCAGAAGGATGTGGAGGCGTTGGGACGCGCGCTTAGAGCCGTCGGCAAATTTGACGATGCCAGACTCGCAGGTCATCAGATTGCAGACCAGTTCGCAGGCTGCCCGCTGCACGCGAGGGTTACTGGACAAGAGGAGGTCTTCCACGGCGGGCCAGCCTTCCCGCACCATGAGTTCGGCGGGTGTATCGTCGTGTGGATAAGAAGCAAGGTTTGTCAGAGCAAGTAAACTTTCAAACACCGGGAGAAGGTCACGAGGCTGGTCTACCGAGATGGGGGCCGACTCAGGCGTTGACAGAAGAGAGAGCAAAGGCCGCACAGCAGACGTGACCTGGGGGAAGCCGGAGGATGGGAACACATGTGAAGGGTCGACGGAGATAAGGATTCGAGTCAATGCGTGGGACGCATTCTGTGTCGTCTCCGTGGCGAAACTGGGATTGCCCTGTTTCGGGACGGCCAGGCTGAGCAACAACTTGACGGCACCCTGCTGAGCCAGAGTACCTCGTGACTTTGTTCGCCGTGCCAGAGCGAGGAGAATCTTGGCTGTGAGATCGTGAATGGAAGGCATAGCAACACGTCCACACTCCACCAGTAAGGACATGACGCCCGCGTCAATGACGACCCCGCACCGGTCAAGCACCACCTCATCCTCTTCTAGCGGATCCGGGGCAGCCCTAGCCTTGCCAGTCGATGCATCCGCGTAGTCCTTCAGCTGGGACATTTTCTTCTGCTCTTCCGAGAGGTTGGGGAGGAATTTGGTGAGGTTCAAAATGACCATCAAGCCGCCATAGAGCACAGAGGAGTCGGTGATGGTATGCTTCTTCAGGACCGTGATCAGTTCGTGGAGAAAAGTAGGGTCCTTGGCCAGCTCGTCCTTGACAACGGGCTTGACCGACGAATAGGCCAGTCCCTCGATGGCGTGGGAGATGTGTTCAGCCTTGGATTCAGACATCAGTCCCTTGAAACGTTGAACCAGCTCAGAGACACCGGTATCCGCATCCTCGACCTTACCGTTCTCGGCCGTATTAGGCTCAGAGGCTCGAATCTTCGCCAAAACCACCGCCGCCAGTTCAGACCCCTCGTCGCTGCCGTTAGTCAGGGTGTGCGACAGCCACTCGGAGAAGTGTTTGGCAACTGCTTCGCGGCAGGGACGATTAATGCAAGCTGCATTGAGCAGCTCCAAGATCGAAACCTCCACTCGTTTGCGCTTCGCATCCCGCGACGCTAACGGAGTCAACGTGTTCATAAATTCATCGGAAAGGAACACAGTGGCCGCAGCCGCGGGTGCCACGGGAAAGACAGCCGCCACAGCGGAAAAAGCAAGAATGAAATCGTCCAGGCGACCCTTGGCGATCATGGCTGCGATCAAGCCAGAGAATTGTTTCGCGCCAGTCTCCTTGGCGACCTCCAGGTATTTGGCGGTTGCCAACGTGGCTTGACTGCGCACTTCTAGTGGCAGCCGGTTGTCGAGGGACGACAGAATCACTTCGAATCCCTCATGATCGATCAGATGTTGAAGGCGCTCCGCATCGACTGCCAAGAGTCTTGTAATTCCCTTCAGAGAACGACCGTCCAAGTCGTGGCCTGACTCCATCAACTTCGCCAAGAACAACTGAAATAGCTCGTTCTCGCAGTGAGATCGCTTGTCCTCTGTAGGCCAGAGACTGGGATCCAACACCACGGTGTCCAGACAAACCGCCGCTCCATCGCCGCGGTCGTAGATCTCGTCAAAAAAGGCGGTTACGGAAACCTGGAGTTGGTTGGAAAAGTACTGGCGGACACTGGCACTTTGTCGAACCAGACCTGAGATGATCTCGTCCTGTATCTCGGACAGGGCATGGGCATTTTCACCCAGCAGGAGCTTTAGCGATTCTAACGCCACATTCTCCGGAGGCTTCAGACCGTCTACGCCAAGATAGGCTATGGCCTCTTTCCCGGCAGCCTCATCCTTTCGTGTAGTGTAGCGTCGGCAAAGATCTAGTAGCTGGTGGCCATTTTCTTCTTCCTGTTGGATTTTGAGGAAGGCGGCTTTCACGTCGGGGTTGTCAGCGGCAATGGAAAGAGCTTCTCGGAGATTGCGTGATGCGGCCTATGAAGCTCAAGGTCAGTTAGTACCCTGGAGGTGACTCCGGTTCGTGTTCCAGGGGGTGCTATCGCGTATTACGCACCTCGCGATGACCGGCGTCGAACAACTCGACAGCCTCCCGTGCCAGGTGAACAGCGCGCTCTTCGCCTGTTACTTGGACCATTGCAGGGATGCTGGTAATCAGCACCGAAGACAAATAACAGCCCGCTTATCGAGTTCACGGGTGGTTGTAATAAAGAAAAACGTTCAGAGTCGTAGACGCGGCGGGAGGCGGGACTTTTTTTTTTGAGGAGGGGAAGGCGGAGAGGCGGAGGTGCGGAGCGGGAGAAAAAGAGAGGAAGATAGGTGGGAGCTGACCGCGATTTTATCAGATCGGAGTGAGCCACGTATGAGAAAAAGCAAATGGGAACAGGGCTCAGACAAGATTCTTCAAATCTCCCTGCGTATACGTATTACAAGTATTACCCTCCGTGGCTCTCTGCCAATGCTTCCAAATGTAATGACAGATAACTCACTTGATTTCAGTCAAATCCATTATCAATCCCGCCGATAAGACCAACCACAGCCACCCAACTGGGCACGCCGTCACTCTGCTTAGACTTACTCGTCACAGAGTTAATGTATGTAACCTATGTTTGCTCCAGGCTAAGCTGGCGCTGCTCCTTGTCTGTACGGTTAGATAGCGGTATCCCTGGTAAGATAATCCCAACAGGATGAGCTAAACGCGGTACGAGTCGGTGACCGCCAGGGCCGATCATGTGGGACATCTGTCCCTTATTCGAGGAAATCGCCGCGTAGCGCCGTCCTTAATTCCATTCTCCCGCATACGATGTACAGATTGTCATAGCTCCCCGGCTGCTTACATTCTCCTTCGATGCTCCCTAGAGGGGGGGCTCTAAGACGGTTGAGTGAGTCATTCTAGGGGTTTAAGGGTGATCGGAAATAGAAACTTGGAATCTGCCAAGGTGATCATCCTGGCGTAGATCAGTCGGAATATATAGTGTTACCCATAGTGCATTTTACCACCCCAATTATTCGACCTGCCAAGAGAAAGGCGTCGATTTAATGAAACCTTGAAAATCATAACATCACCGGCAATACTTCATCCAGACGACGTTCATAATATATCTCAATTAGAAATAGAAGATAATGGCCATGGAATAAAAGGCAAAGAGCACGTAGACTCAGTTCTTCGTTATCGTCCCGTGACTGGACTTATCGCGGAGCTGGTTTTGGATCATCCGCTTTAAACTACGCTTGGCTTGCTATCGCCTTCCAAGAGACATCACTCAGAAGAGGTTGCCGCTGCTCCGCAGTCTGGATTCTCATCGAATCACCTCTGGCCTGGGCCACCTCGCCATGAGCTTCCGTCCTCATTGATCAGTCCCGGCACCATGAATTCCGTTGATGCTTCCGAGCACTACGAGCTAGGCGTCACCGGTCGGTTACCTTCCCTAATGACCGCCGCAAGGAGCGTTCGCTAATATTTACATTTCACGGCTACAGACCTCGCACCATCCCTCCTCACCATCGTCATCGACACAAATCCGCACGCCTGGGCTGCTTTGGAAGATTCCCTCCCGCTGTCCAAAGCCGTCGCGAACATCCTCGTCTTCATCAATGCGCACCTGGCCTGCAACTACGCGAATGAAGTCGCCGTCGTTGCATCACACAGCCAAAAAGCAACATGGCTATATCCCGTCCCGACACCGAGCGACTTCGATCGTGATGGAGACGTCTCGATGAACGGAGCCAACGGAGCAGCCAGCGCACAGATGAACAAGTACCGCCCGTTCCGCGTAGTCGAAGAGCAAGTGACCCGCCACCTGAAGGAACTCATGGTGTCCACGAGCAGCGACGATCTCCGAGGTAACACTTCCACAATGCTGGCCGGCGCATTAACACTCGCACTGAGCCACATCAATCGGCGCACAATCGCCTGGGCCGAAGAGCACGGCGGCGCAGACCTAGAAGACGCAGCCGAAGCCGGTGCGGGAGGCGGTGCAAATCGATACTCCGCCTCGAACGACGATGAGCGGCTCCAGAGCCGCATCCTGATCGTCTCGGTCAGCGGGTCTAGCGACTCGGCGCACCAGTACATCCCTGTGATGAATAGCATCTTCGCCTGCCAGCGGTTACAAATCCCCATCGACGTGTGTAAGCTTAGTGGTGATGCTGTCTTCCTGCAGCAGGCCTGCGATGCTACCAGGGGTGTGTACATGGCTCTTTCTGAGCCGCGCGGGCTGCTGCAGTACTTGATGATGGCATTCCTACCCGACCAGCGCTCCCGTCGGCATCTGGTGCTTCCGACGAGAGAAGACGTGGATTTCCGTGCGGCCTGCTTCTGTCACAGGAAAGTGGTTAATATCGGCTACGTCTGCTCCATCTGTCTGAGTATCTTCTGTGAAGCTCCCCCGGGTGGCGTGTGTCTTACTTGTGGAACCGAACTGGACGTGGGTGAGTACGATGTCAAGCCTGCTCTCCTGAAAAGGAAGAAGAAAAAGAAGAAGCAGGTCAATGGGACCTCGGCGGCGGGGACACCTTTGTCAACACCGACGCCTGGGCCTTGATTGCATCGGAGGTTCAGTTTAGGGGGTAAATATACCTTGAGGATATCTAGAGACTTTTCTCGCTGGATTCGAGAAAGCTTTTATCTAGGGAAATCTATCAGATCGAGAGTTTCGGGCAGATTTTCGGAATTTTTTTGAATTTCTAGAGACTTAATAGAATCACTCGCCTATGAATCTTGAAAGAAACACCGCTGAGCGCCAGCATCGATGCACTGCCCAGACAGAAACAAGCTGGATGGATCATAGAAAAAGGGAACCAAAGGCGCCCTCGAAATTAACACAGCCATGCTCGCTATGTAGGAAGAAAACGCCGGACATGCACAGGAGCCACACGAGAAAAGGAAATCTCAGCGGGGACAATCCAGAATGTACCACGAAGATATGAAAGGCCCCGAGGGGAAGAAAGCGTGCAGTCAGTGTAATTGACATGAGGCCCTTGACGAAAGCAGACCCTCCTTAGTCCTGAGCTATCTTGTGCCGCTTCTTCTCTCTGGTGTCGTTGGATGGCCTCATGAACGATAAGCAACCGCGAAATTTCAAATGACATGTCAGTTAAACCCACTTACTTCTTGGAGCGAATCATGATCCCACCCTGAGCAATGACCCCGTTTCTCCTGCTCCGGGACATCACGGTTAGGGGTTCGACATCGCCTGCAGCCATAGAGGCAACAGCCTGCGTAGGATTAGTAGACAGCCTCATGTCCTTTGGGAATCGACTCACAAACGACTCGGTGTTGTGAGCAAAGAAGAGACCAATGCCATCATCCGTTTTCTTCACAGCCAGGATTCCGATGGAACCGCCGACTTCGCTGTTCTGGACCGCGGGGTGATCTGGACATTGTCAGGCCAGGTGAGGTCAAAACACAGATGGAGGCGTTCTTACTCATGAATTCATTTTCAATCATAGCGTGGATGGCCTCTTCTTCAGGCACTTGCACGAAGACACCCGCTGAGCCCATCTTCTGGCCGTAATAGATCCGAGACGCACAGGTGCTGGCCGCAAAGGTCGAGGAAATGTGCTCACCAGTTCCAGACGTTACGACAGCTGTGGTTGTTCGTTCCGAGTCGGAGGGGTCAACGGGCATGACATGGGTGCCGATGCCTATGAGCGCTGCAGGTCCTACTCGGCCTCGATGTTTCATCCCAATGCCACCAGATGACGACCCCGCGGCGATGTTACCCCACCGATCAATCGCAATTGCCCCGACTGTATCTGTGATACGATCCTCTCCATCCTCGCCGTCGGTAAGATTCTTCTTTGGGTAAAATGATGGGCCAGACTTGAAGAAGCTGGTACTTTCTTCTGCTGACCGTGACTTCACACGGGGAAACTGGCCATCCATTGTCGTTCCGGACATTATTCGATCGAGGTCGTTGTCGCTGTTGAGCTGACTGGCGGGAAAAATTCCGGCCTCAAGTTTATCAAGAGCGGGAGGGGTGCAAAGGGCCATGCTAGATGACATGGGGGGTAGTGGCCGACGAAGCCAAGGATTCATAGCCTCCTTTTCATCAGGTGAATTTTCCGCTTCGTATTCCTGAATCTCGCGAGTCCAGATGTTCCAGCGCTCTCTTGCAGGGGCCGTGATCAAAGCATCATCCGGAACGTTGGGAATATTATGGGTCCATGCAAAGTCCGTGGCGCCGTCACCAACGAGGAAGTTGGGAGGCACCCGTGACATACCAGGAGATCTGTACGCCTCATCATAGATCTTGCGAGCCAGCATGATCGGGTTCTTAACATCTGCGTCGCAATTAGATCAAATCAAGGTTCTTCAACAAGCACAGGACATCTTACTGGGCACAGCTCCAGCGGCACCGCTGCGACCAAGATGGTCCATAATCGAAGCATCACATTCAACGACACCCTTGGCAGTCAGGTTGCTGCCATATCCGGCATTGGTGATGGGATTGTCCTCAAGTATCATGATGGCAATCTCCACCGCTTCCACAGCAGTCCCGCCAGCCTGCAGGGCAGCTAGTCCAGCCTTGGTCGCCCTATAACAAGTCTGCCGTCAGTTTTGATCAGTAAGTGGAAAGAGGACCCATACTGTGAGCAGGCAAGAAGGTGCTTCCCTTCATTCTCTCGGCTATGGTATCCAGCGCCAGCATGGACAAACATCGCACAGGGGAGTTGTTTCCGTTTGCTTCGGCCCATTTTGGCAGGCTGCTCAGCGGTTGAGACTCGGGAACGTGCCGGATCAGCTTCTTGCGTCATGGATCGGTGTCAAGCGTAGAAGTGGTGCGGATTTCAAATAATGTGACAGAGAGTTGCGAGCCAACTCAGGATACGTCAGGTAAGACAGCTCGAAATGAGTGAGTGACTCGCGTGTTTCTTTGCCGTCACAGCACCAACGCGATCCGATATTAGTGGCAGCGGCGGTTCTGGCCACCGGAGTCAAGCGAACGAAGGAAGTCAATGATCAAAAGTGTTTCAAGAGCGAAGAATATGACTGCAAAGGAAGAATAAAGGCAAGTTATCACATAGGGTACTGTTCATGAAGGAGGGATAAGATAGAATGGTAAGAGATGTTTAGGGCTGAGGGACAAGAAGTATCAAAAGCGCGTTGCGCAGTTTTCCCGACCACAAATTGACACCGTTGAACGTTCCCTCCATTTTAAATTAGCCGCGACTTCCCTATTTCCATCGTGATTCGAATGTATGTGAATGAAGCGTTCTTTCCTCGAATACTTTCAATTTGATAAAAAACCAGGGCACATGATGTTGACGTGACCCTCTCTTAGGTAATCACGCTCCCCGCCTTGTCTGCCTGAGCTCCGCCACGGTTGACTTCATCCCCCCCCTTCTAAAGGCGGACCTCGCATACCTCTGTGTGTTCGCATTGGCTCTAGTCTTTACCTTCCGCCATGGCGTCCCAAACACCAGCCGTTGTCATGGACAAGTAAGTCGCGCACCTCCTCTGGAATTGGCCCAATACTGACCCGTCTCTCCTCAGCGGTACCGGTTACTCCAAGCTTGGTAGGTGCCGCTTGCTAGGCAATCGGATTCGATTACTGTGATCGATCAGGACAGGAGAACTAACAAGACGTCTTTCGCCGATTGCAGGATTTGCCGGTAACGATTCGCCCTCTTTCGTCTTCCCGACTGCAATTGCAACCAAGGCCGCCGGGAGCGCTGGAAGCTCCGCGGGCTCTCGGCCTGCCGTCCCGAATAAGCCCTCATTCCTCCCTGGCGGTGCCGGGGCCAGTTCACACCTGTCTGGAAAGCGTGGTACCGAGGACCTGGACTTCTTCATCGGTGATGAGGCTCTGGCTGCTGGCAGTGGCCCCGGATACGGTGTGAACTACCCTATTCGCCACGGACAGATCGAGAACTGGGACTACATGGAGCGCTTTTGGTCGAACTCGATTTTCAAGTACCTCCGCGTGGAGCCCGAAGACCATTACTTCCTCCTCACCGAACCTGTAAGCCACCCCCATACGCACCTCCCCCGCAGGCGGTCAGAGTGGCCTAGAATGCTAACTCGGGCATCAATATAGCCGCTGAACCCGCCCGAGAACCGTGAAAACACCGCAGAAATTATGTTCGAGTCTTTCAACTGTGCCGGTCTCTACATTGCCGTTCAAGCCGTGCTTGCCCTCGCCGCCTCATGGACTTCCTCCAAGGTCACCGATCGCTCCCTGACCGGAACTGTCATTGATTCGGGTGACGGTGTTACGCACGTTATTCCCGTCGCTGAGGGCTACGTAATTGGCTCCTCCATTAAGAGCATTCCCATCGCCGGACGTGACATCACATATTTCGTGCAAAGCTTGCTGCGTGACCGTGGTGAGCCCGACAGCAGCTTGAAGACGGCCGAGAAGGTGAAGGAGGAGTACTGCTACGTGAGCCCGGATATCGTTAAGGAATTTGCCCGCTACGACCGCGAACCCGATCGCCTCTTGAAGCACACCGTGACCTCGCCGAATGGCCGCAGCGTGCAAATCGACATCGGCTACGAGCGCTTCCTCGCCCCGGAGATCTTCTTCAATCCCGAAATCTACTCCTCCGACTTCCTGACCCCGCTTCCAAATGTCGTCGACGGTGTGATCCAGTCCTCCCCCATTGACGTTCGGAGGGGTCTCTATAAGAACATTGTGTTGTCCGGTGGTTCCACTCTGTACAAGGACTTCGGCCGCCGTCTACAGCGTGACATCCGCCACTTGGTGGATGCCCGTATTCGCGCATCCGAGGCACGCAGTGGCGGTGCTCGCAGTGGTGGTCTGGACGTCGCAGTAGTTACACACAAGCGCCAGCGACACGGGCCCTGGTTCGGAGGCAGCTTGCTGGGTCAGACACCCGAGTTCCGGAGCTACTGCCACACCAAGGCCGAATACGACGAGATCGGTCCCAGCATTGTGCGGAGATTTGCACTGCTCGGTGGCCCTGGAAGCTCGTAAAGTGGGTTGTCTTTTATTTTCTCATGTCCTTTCGTCAGCCGGTGTAGCTGGTCCTCTGTTCATAGTCCGTAGCTTTTCCTCATGTCTTTCTGCTCTCCCTTCGTGACACTTTCCTCCTTTTGTTCTCCAAAGCGAGCGGCATGGCGCTGGGTCCTCAGGATGCTACATCTGGTTCCCGAGTAGATAGAGGGAGATGGTTGAGACTCTTTGATATTTGTTTCAGAAGCGTATGAAAATGCAAAATTTTTCCTTATCTGTGCGCTTTTTTGTCCTGCCTCCCAAAAACCAACGCCATAAATAAGATGCAAGTAACAGACGTATTATATATCCGGCCCATAATCTATACTCAAGCAGATCCCTCTTTTGAGGGAAATTCGGTACGGTTAAGAATAGCCACGCCCTCGACGTGGCCAGTCTGGGGGAAGAAGTCGAATCCACGAATGCTCTCGATCTCGTAGCGAACGTTCTTGGTCTCGTCACCCTGCACCATGACAGCGACATCACGAGCCTGGGTGTGCACATTACAGCTCACGTAGACAACGCGACGAGGCTTATAGTCAAGCATCTGCTTGATGAAATCCTCGGAGCAGCCCTTCCGCGGCGGGTCAATGACAAGCAGGGTCTGGTCAGGCGGGTACGGAACGTCCTTGAATAGGACAGCGGCATCAGCAGCAGCGAAGCCGGTGTTGGGCAATTCGTTCGCCTTGGCGTTCTCGCGCGCAGAGGTGATAGAATCACCTGCAACATCGACACCAAGACTAGACTTGAAGAGCGGAGACAGAGTAATGGTGAATAGGCCAGAGCCTGAGTAGGCATCAAGAAGATACTTGATGGGCTTGGAATCTTGGTCGTTACCGGGAGGCATGGCCTGTGAACGAATGAACTCGGTGAAGCCGGAGAGGATCGAGTTGTTGTTCTGGAAGAAGGCACCGGCCTTGTTGCTGAAGACATAGTCATCGACAAATTCGACGGAAGTGGCGTTGTTGTCGGTAATGCAGCGCTTCTCTTCAATGTAGTTTTCTCGCTCAACACGGATCACATCACCAGTGTCCGCGCCAGGAGTTGGTACTAAGCCGTTGTTGATCTTGGCCTCGCTATCGGTGGGTGCTGTCTTGGGGATTCGGCTGGTGGACTCCCGCATCAAGAGAGTTGCGCCCTTTTTGTAGGACCGGATGTTTTCAGCAACACGCTTCCTCTCACTCTTGAGGCCAAGGCGCACAACATCCGTTCCTAGAGGGCAGTCCTCGATATCAAGGTCCGTCCTTCGATTCTTGTATGTGAATCCAATAGCTGGAACTTCAACCTTGGCGGGATCCTCTTCAGCCTCCTGCTTCTTCCTCCGACCAGCGCCATTCGCAAAGTGCGGCGTAAGTTTCGTGCGGTAACCGTACTGCATGGGAGAGGGAAATGTCTCTCCGATAGTAGGAACCAATTCTGGAATAAGCCCAGAGAAGTTGGCATAAGCCTTCTCCACGATGCGCCGCTTATGCTCCAGCTGATCCTCGTACGACATCATCTGCAATTGACACCCAGAGCACTTGCTAAAGTATCCACATCCAATCAGTGCATCATTTCTCTTGGGACCCGGCTCAATCACGCTGAGGAAATCGGTGACACTGTAGGACAGAGCAGGGTGATGCCGGATCACCTTAACCCGAACCTTGTCTCCAGGAACGGTGAACGGCACCACAAAGACATGGTCTGCATTCTCTGAAAGCGCCAGACCATCGCCCGTCGAGGAAATCTCGGATACCGTCACGTCAATCTCGGTGAACGTCTCTGGGAGAATGGGCTTCGCAGGGCTATTGTCGCCATTTTGGTCTGCTTCGGGGCGGTTGCGCTTGAGGAGCTGGTCGATATCGGCCTGAAGGACTTCATCAAATCCACTAGCCTTGTCCTTGCGCTCAACCTTGGCCTTCTTGAACTTCTTGCCGCCAAAATGCTTCTTCGGAGTGTTCTGCATTATTGCGACGGAGGCTGGCGCATTGGCTGTGGGCGACTGGGAAAGGTTCGAAATGAACTGTTGTCTGACAAGCGGACGAGACAGAACAGAGTAAGCAAGAGAAAACCGTCGAACTGACGAGCGCAGAGCCAACATGAACGAAGATTTAGAAAGTCGAAATTCTGGAAATTTATTAGAAAGACCATCTGCGGCTTCACTGATTGGCCCGGGGCTCACCGCCCGCGAGCAAGAAATTCCTCCCGGCGTTCAACTTCGCCGAACTTCGTTGTTGTCCGCGTTTCTTCGCTGCGTTTCCTCTTTTCCCTTGTTTGAAGCTCGTGGCTAGCAAATTGCTGGCTAACGACTACTAACGTCTTTCGCAATGAGTCTTGCTCGACCGGCAAAATGCCTATTCTGCAGCTTCTCCCGTGCTGCGACTCCAGTCACGCGAATCCCTCGTCGCCAATTCCACCCGACACCGGCGTCATTGTCGAACCGGACACCCAAATTCCAGAACATTAAGGCTCCCGAATCGCAAAATGCCGAAGGATCCCGACCAGCACCGAAGGCAGAGGACTTCAAGCCGTACACCGAGGAGGAGAAGTCCCAGCTGGCGAAGGAGTACTCGCCCGAGCAAATGGAGGCCATCAAGGCTGGCGAGGCTGCCATTGACCCGAAGGACCTGGCCGAGCAATTCCACCAGCGCGACGATCCGCTGGCATTCAAGTACCTAGACGACTTCTCCGTGGTCGAACCCAGCGTCGACCGCAACGTTCGCGCCCCCAAGTCGAACTCGGACTACAACATGAAACTCAAGAGCGAAAAGGAGTTCGTGGAGGATTTTGGCCGTTTCTTCGCCGAGGGCCCGGAAAACCCCACGGGTGCTGACTTCGTGCGGTTCGCGGAATCCCTGCGCCTGACCAAGGGCAAGGAGGCGGCCGAGTTGGATCCGCACAGCGTCCTGGTTCCCGACCTTTTCGGCCCCGATGAGACTATTGATGAGCCCCGTGTGGAAGAGCGGAAGACCGCCGAGGAGCGCGGTGAGAAGGAGCGATCGTTGGAGGCCGAGGAGATGACTGATGCTCTGAAGAGCCTTCTCCTCGCTACGGGCTACACAGAGCGCCAGGTCAAGGACCTCCGGACCAAGACCCTGGTGTCTCATAGTGTCGTGAACCAGACCCGTCTGGGTAAGGTCCGCCGTGCCTACCGTCTCTCCATCGCTGGCAATGGCAACGGTCTCCTGGGTATCGGCGAGGGCAAGTCCGATGAAGCAGCCGATGCAAAGATCCAGTCGCAATACCGTGCCATCCGCAACATGCAGCCCATTCCCCGCTACGAGAACCGCACCATCTTCGGTGATGTGGCCGGCAAGGTTGGAGCCACGGAGTTGCAATTGATGCACCGTCCCCCAGGTAATGTTTTCGCATCCCCAAACTATAAGACCCGCACTAATTTGTGACAGGCTTCGGTCTCCGTGTCCAATACCTGATCTACGAAATGTGCCGTGCCGCCGGTATACATGACCTCGCCGGTCGGGTCGGCCGCTCGCGAAACAAGATGAATACAGTCAAGGCTGCGTACGAGGCGCTTATGAGCCAGAAGGACCCCGAGGAAGTTGCACGGGCTCGCGGCAGGAAGATGGTGGATGTGCGCAACGTGTACTATGCGGGCAAGGTCTAAGCTCAGCGGCTTCAGCAGTCGAGTCGTGCATATTCCCTCGGCGTGTATATAATATGTCTTTTTTCTTCTCCTTGTGTCTTTTGCATGTACTTGTATCTTGTACCTGTTCGCCATATGTTTCAAAAGGATCAATCATCAATGGCATTGTCTTCGAGATTTTGAATATGTGCAAACCATAGGACAACGGTCCTTTTACCCTTTTCATTAAACACTCCATATTTCCAGTAACGCGCCAGTCGCAAAGAATAAACACCCAGGGTATACGCAGATAAACAACACATCCCGATCCCACACGTAAGTGAAAAAAGATCACTGGAATGTCACGTCCCCATCCCCCTCATAACCCCCACCATGGTGGAACTCCGTATCCTGGAACTGGTCCTGCTCAGTCTGCTGCTGTTGCTGCTGTTCCTGGTCCTCATTCCAGATCTGCTGCTGCAAGACAATGCTGTAAACACTAGCTTTGAGTAGAGTGCACACAGTCGCCGTCTTCCGCTCGAGGAGCCGCATGCCATCGAGAGTCATAGAAGCCGGGGAGCCGGCGAGATCGGAGACTTTCTCAGAGAGCTAGACACAGAAAGATAGAAATTAGCCGAGAGCTCAAAGTACGTAAGTATTGCTTCGTGGGACAGAAAAAGACGCGCGAAGCTGCCCGAGTTTACCCACCTGATTCACATTCCGCAGTAGCCGTGAATACTCGTCCAGGACTTCCTGCTCCAGCTCAGAAACGAGCGGGTTATCATTACCCAGCAGTGGGTTGTTGGAGCGGCTGCGGCCGTGGGAAGCTTCCGCGTCGGAGCTCATGTGTTGCTCCTGCGGGATGGGAGGGGTGGTGGTTGCGGGGTCGTCTTCGGTGAAGGAGTTATCTTGGGCATCCGGGTCGTCGGGGGCTGCAAAGGCGGACATGATGGGTGGTTGAAGTGTTAGGAGTTTGTTCGAAAGGGAGGGAGAATGCGAAGCGGAGGAAGCGCGGTGTTTTGGTTTTTGGTTTATGGCCCGACTTGGGTTTTGGGCGGAGCTGTTCCACTCTCCAACGCTTCGACGTATACACTCGAATTTGGGACTACGAAGTGAGTTTACGAAGGAGAAGACTCCGCGAAGATTGTTTTCTCGAAATTTATCATCGCTGCAAAGATAGATACTGGACATGGCACTGCAGGCTTCTTTCGGACGAGAGACAAATCACAAAGCCAAGATAGAATCGAGTTCGTTAATAGATAGGAGCCGCGCCATGATACTTGGAAATACAGAAGCAAAAAGCAGTCAACACGGATCCGAAAAGTATCAGAAACAGAAATCCATAACGCCGCCCGCTGCACAGTAGAGAAAGCGAACCGATGTATACGCGGCTTTCAGCAAAAAAAAAAAAAAAAGAAAGAAACAGGGCAACAAAATCCAGAAGCACATGGGATCATGAGGGAATGAGTGGTAAGAGTATGGAGAAAAAAGAACGCGAGTGATTCAAGGCCTTCGGCGATCATGAGTATGCAAAATGCAACGTGTGAGATGGCCAGAAAAAGCAGGCTCCGTAGAGCAGAAAGCATGCATAAATCAACGCAGAAGGCCCCGAAGCACTCCGTACAACCGGTGTAGATTGCACGGGTCCTCGCGAGAAACATATTTAAATGCAGTCGTCAATGCATCATGATCGTGAACGCGCCGGTGCTCAGGCGGCTGCTCCCCATGTAGCGGGAGAAAATGAAGAAAGCAAAATACAATGTGGGCTATGCTGCCGAAACACAATCAGTGGTCTCCCTGATGGTGGAGAGTGACGCTGTTGAACTCCTCGAAGGGGTCGTTCAACTCGCCATTGGGGGTTGCCAGGCCGGAATCCATGGGGACTCCCTTCAGCTTGGAGGCATTGTTGCCACCGATATCCACACTGGCACTTTCCTTGACATTGCGGAAGTTCACCGTATCTGTACCAACACGACCCTGATGCGGGATCATGGGCGGCTTCATGTGGCGGATGAGTGCCCACTGGGTTGATCGGAAGAAGGCATGGGTTTTGACATCCGATGCGCCGGCACGGGCACCGAGACGCTTGGTCTCATCCTTGATCAATAGTTTGCGGATCAAGGATTTGCACAGGCTGGTGGTCTGCTGTGCGCCCGAATGTTCCGGGAATTGCACATCGTCCCGCAGGATGCTGGCAAATGTCGCATTACGGTTCTTGCCCTTGAAGGGCGTGGTACCATACAGCATCTCATAAATCAAAATACCCAAGGTCCACCAGTCGACTGCACTGGTATGTCCGCAGCCTTTGATGACCTCGGGGGCAATGTACTCCTCAGTTCCAACAAAGGAATTTGTGCGGAAGTCGGCAATGCAGGATTTCGTGTCAATGGTGGGCAGAGCAGCGCTGGCGTTGCCGCCAACCCGGCCAGGGATCATAGTAGGGGCACCGCCCGGTCCAGACTGTTTTGACAAGTCAAAGTCCGACAACATGATATGGCCTGATTGATGCAGTAGAATATCTTAACAAGATGTAAGCAAATGTTCGGGCGAAACTTGAAAAGTAAGGGTCCATGGTGGCAAACATACTCTCTGGTTTAAGGTCGCGATAAATGAAACCCATCAGATGGAGATACTCCAGGGCAGCAGTCACCTCGGCAGCATAAAATCGGGCGGCATCTTCCGAGATGCATTTGCCAGGTCGAGTTTGCAGAGTTCGAAAGAACTCTCCTCCACTGCAGTACTCCATACAGAGGTACAAATAGTCCTCTGACTGGAACGAGTGGAACAGAGTGACAATGAACGGATGGTTCGATGTTGCCAAGATCTCCTGTTCGGCCAGAGCACGCTTGATCTTGTTCCGCTTGATCATTTCCTTCTTGCTCAAGACTGGACACGAGTCAGCATTACCAATTCGCCTGTGGGACTTACAAGATGCAACATACCTTTCATCGCATATAGGCGGCTCGATTTCTTCTCGCGGACCAAGTATACTTTCCCCACATCACCCTTGCCAATCAACTTGATCTTATCAAAACTGGCGGGTCCCACTTCCACGTTGCGAACCTTGATGGAATTCGAGCTGTACGTGCGGCGGAAGCTACCATCATCGCCATCGAGCTTGTGGCCCAAACCAATAGAGGGCACAGAAAGGGCAAGCTCTTTTTCGTTGTTCAACTCGAGTGTCGAGCCGGATGCCTCCACAAGAGGCTCCTTGCCCATCTCGGCCGTTTGAGGTCGGTCTTGTCCCTGTCCGCTTGCAAAGAGGCCCTGGGCATTGGGAGCAGACGCCACACGCCGCAACTTGCGGGCTAGTTCTTCCTTGTTGGCGGTGGTAGCCTGCTCCACAGCCGAAACCCCGGTGACCTGCAGCTCGGGTGTATCAGGAGGAGATGAAGGGACCGACCCTTCATTCCGATGTCGCAACGCAGGTTGGCCCTGGTGGGCAAAGTATGGGTTCGCAGTCGCAGTGGGCGAAACTCCGTCGTCGAGAGGGTTACCTTCACTGGCAACAGTTGTTGAGCGATTGCGGCCGATGGCAGGCAAGAATCGTGACTGTCGGAAAGGGGACTTTTCGTTCTTGGAGAGAGACTCCTTCTCCCGTTCGCGCTCATTGCTGGTTGGGCTACCGCTGTGCGAAGATGTATGGCTGCTGGAGCTATTGATCCGGAAAAAGTTTTTGATCTTCGTAGGGAGGTGGCCCGACTCGTTGGAGTGTTTCCGAGATGGTAGCGAGAGGCCGGGGAAATTCCCGCGCTTTTCGTTAGACATGGCCGAAGGACTGGACGCAAAAAGCTGCGTCATGACGGACAAGTCGTGGTTATTGAAATTGTCTGTCCCCTGGAGTGGCGGAGATCTGTTTCAAAGGCGAATTTACGTGAAGTAAAGGAACGGGCGGTGGGGGGATGTTCAGACAAGAGATGCAAGATGGGGATACGCCCCGGGGGGGGGGATATCTGGCCAAGTAGAGCGAAACGAGGGCTATCCACACAAAAGAACAGAGATACAGTTTCGCACGGCAGCAGAACTCACGAAAGAGGCCGCATCTTAAGAGCCGAGCAGAAAAGAACGGGCAATCAGGACAGATTCGGGGAAGGCGAAGAGAAGGAGTTGGCAACGAAATGATTGGAGTAGGACGTGGAGGCAGGAATTAGTCATCCTCGCATTCCCGCTTTTGGCTCTTTGATAGTCTCTTTTCTATTCTTCAGAGTCGTTGCTTATGACGTGAAATTGAGTAATAACCAAACTACATAACTGAGATTAATACAAGATGTTTATTATGACCTGAAAGCGGGAGGAACTCTGCGATAGAAGCGTCGAGTGGCGACAAATCGCTGCTCGATGCGCGTAATATCAATGGTTCCCCGGATTATATTTATTCCGCCGATTGACATCTACATCACCGACTTCCCATCCCCCATCCATTCAAATATATGAACTATTTTCTGCAGTAGATCGGGGGCTGATATGAGACTGACTGTTATGTTTTTCGATGTCCCAAAGCTTTCAGCATCGCTTACATGGTGTCCCTTAATTGGATATATCCTGTCACCTCAGTATCCTCGCTTGGGTTTAGCCTTGGTCAATAAATAGGGAGGGAATCAGATCAATGGAAAGAGATTTTATGCCCGTTACGGTCATCTCCCATCCAAGTCTACCAAAATGTATCTACAGGAACTTCCATGCGCCCAGCTGGCGTGGGGAGATGTTGAGATCAGAAAGTGTGATCTCGAGTTGAGGGGAACGAACTGTCGGAAATAAGTGAGCGGGAAGTGCGAGATACTCCCGGCCGAAAGTAGATGCGCTACCTAAGAATCTAGGCTATCCGGCTCCCGACTATGAGGGCAGACCCTCTGGGGATTTAATGACTACCTTTCTGGATGCTTGTAAGAAGAGCGAAAAGTGCCTAAGAAAACGACAGATGAGACTCGCCAAATCAACGGGTTAAGAGTATTTCTATCGAGGATTTTCTTGAATCTCTTCATGTGGCCACGCATACGACATGTGACGAGAATCTCTATCAGACACTCTCGCGAACCTTGACGGGCTGAAGTCCACTATGAAGCCTCCACTCTTCTTCCATGTCATCCCATGCCACCGACATGGGAACGCGATTAGTCGTGATGTCTGGCGACTCTGCTTGATCAAGTTCCTTCTTTTGCTGGCCCTGGCCCATTTCCCAACTACCCAGTCGCTCGTGGCCGGAGACAACCACTCCATCCGCCGTGATTCCTTCTGACTCTTCAGCATCTCCGGCCTTGGAGGCACCCCAAATAGGGTTACGGAAAGTGACGTCTGTATCACTAGCGAGTTTGCCAGTCCCCTTGAAGCCACCAATGCTTGATTTGTGAATTGTCTTGCGCTTACGGCAACCACAGATCAAGAAGCCAATCGCCGCCAGGAGACCAATGACGACCAGCGTGACAACGGCCCCAATAACGCCAGCCACGGCCGGCTTCATCTGTTTCTTTGGAGCAGATTTGTTGTCGTTGAGAACACCATTGCAGAAGACGGACTGCGCATTGCACCGCGTGCACCACTCCTGAGTCGACGATACTGCAAAAGTCTCCAGCTCAGACTGGAAGTCGGTATATGAGACGTACTGGTGGCTCGGCCCGTACCCGAAGAGCGAGAACGGTTCAAAGTCGGTGGTATTTGAATCGGTCCCGTTGTGCAAAAAGAATCGCACGTACAGGTTGTCTTTTCCTGGAAATGAGGGGGATTCGTCGCCTGTCCCGAAGCTGTATAGCTCAAAGACCAGAGATGCACCTTGAACGGGGCGAGAGTAGAAGTTGGGCTGTTGCTCTGACGCCAGCCCTATCAAAGAAGCCAGAGCGACAGCAGGTGCGTCATTTCCGAAAAGCAGGGTCATCTGCTGATGGGAGCCAAAGTGCTCAATATTCATGTTGAACGCATTCAAAAGACCGGACGCCAACGTTTGACCGGCAATAGGGTTCACGGCTCCAATCGTTGAGAAACTGCTGGTGGCCGTGGAGTCTTGCCCATTTGTTGCATATGTATACTGATCTGCTAACCACCGAGCTCGACTTAGATCACCGTCACCGACGGTCGACATGAACGTGCTGTTATGCACAGATTCATAGTCCATATATTCCGAAACATCAACGGCATTCCGGTACGTCGCCGAAGCCGCATCGTAGACCCCATCAAGCACCCCATGAAGAAGATCAAGATAGAAATCCGACGACTCCCGCGTGATTCTATAAGCATCACTGCTGTTCTTGTACTCCTCTTCAGCTGCTTGATGCATGTCACAAGTGGCAGATCCCTGCACAATAATAGAAGTAGGATCCGCTTCTCCTAGTGTCACGATTCGAGCATATTGATATCCATCCAGCGGAGCCGTATCAATTGTTGCATTGCCGGTCAAATTCGAGTCAGTCAAGTCTGAGTCGGTCGTATCCGACTGGCCGAGTGGTGGGTATAGGCCCTGCATGAAAGCCTGCGCAGACGCAAAGATGTATTGGTCGGTGGCTGAAAACACACCCACGTCTCTCGCAATGAGAATACCCGGAGTTAGGTATTGAATGGCATTCGCACTGTCGTTCGAGTCTGTAGTTGGCACATAGCGGTCCCGGAAGGTTGATCCAGCAGCTTGGAGCTGGTTGGCGCCAAATTCAGTCAGGACCTTGGCACCAGGAGATACCGCTAGGGCATTGGGAATGCTCTCCCCGTGAATGGTATATGCAAAGACTCCCCAAACTTTCTCCGAGTAGTCCTGCGCTGTAACGAGCACGGAAGCCTGGAGGCATAGCGCAATGGCGTAGAATTTTCGATTCCCAAACATTATGGCGATGAAGGCTCGATGTGTCGAACTCTATAAAGGGCCAATGAATGGTGTACTCGAGCGTACTTCAACAGCCAATGATGGAAACAAGCAGGGACATTTAGAAGGAGATTCGCTCGCCGCGGGGCCGGGGGAGCTAAAGGTAATAATAGCAAGCTAGCTGTAATCGTCCTGGAACCCCGGGTAGGGTGGATGGGCCAGGCCCCCGGGAGCATGGTCTATGGATTTACGGAAATCAGGGAACAACCCAGGGAAGCATCTGCATTCGGAAAGTAGTCTTACCTCAGACAAGCTGTCGAGTGGTAAACTTTGAGGAGTGTAAGGTTCCGGAATCCTCGGCACACGGGCGGCTTGCATCTGGCAAACCCGTGAACCCATAGTTCATCCATGTCAAAGTATTCGCTTTCATAATATATGAACTTAAATTAAGTATTTGTCGAAAGAGGACGCTGAAGAGTGCTATGTGCCTGCTAGATAGTTTGGCATATCTGACACATTCTTCTCATAGAAGACGTAATACACCATGCTTGATGCCCTGGTGTCACTATCCATGTGTGGTTGGAGGGTTACACGCAGGGGCAGAGGCTCAAGGTCGATGACGCGCACAAATATTCCGCGGCCTAGCAGCTTAATAGTCAGGAGCGGGAAGAAGTGGGTTTACCGGAACTCCCCTATCAAGGGAGTCGCCAGACACTGGCCCTATCAAGTGACCTAAGCTTTTTTCAGCTACTCAAAATCCAAAGTGGGGAGATAGGGCTGTCCATGTAGATCCGGGGCGAGGTACAAGTTTCCTCTCTGCCTCAGGTGTCGACTAGAGCGGAAGTCCCCAAGTTAACTTCACAACATCGCATTTGCCCAAGGACTGTGAAATTAGGAAAATCGATCCAAAAGCCTTGTGCCAATGCGGTAACTGATCAAAACGCTTGTTTTCCAAGTGGAAAGTTCAACTTTCATCCTTCAGCGTAACACGGCAACCCCGGGCGGTGAGCAGTCCACGCCCATTCACCAATCACCGCCCACGCAGGGCAGAAAAACCTTGCACCGCCCAGCGGCAAATCTCAGCCTCGCAAGCCCTACAAACGCGCCCTACCCCTAAGCCCTCATTTCTGCTCTTGGAAGTTGACTGCCCAACCCGACCCTGCTGTCGCGCCCCGATGGTCGAAACACGAGGCAATCGTCCGTCTTTCGACGGCTCGAATGATCTTCCTTCATTTGACTCCGTCGATGACTTTGGTAAGCCTTGTCCATCCAGTCCCGTCCAGCTTCCCGCCGTAGTAAGCTACGGCCAAGATTACCCGTAATCATCATGAAACTTTATCGGAACATCTCAGTCTGTTATCCATGTTGCTGATAAGTGCTTTCATCGATTATTAGATCAAAAAGCCCCTCATCCTCTTGATGATGAGGAACACGGATCGCCGCCCGCGGCAAAAAAGCGCCGCACGGGCTCCGGGCCCGATGAAGACCAATCGATCCCGCAATTCTTGTCAGAGGAGCACGGTCCGGGTCACAAGATTGAACAAGAATTAGCAAATGCTCTCGGCGAAAGCGTCGTCGATACCGTCGAGCCGACCGATCAAACGCAAGGTCGACATGACCAGCCCGAAAACTCACCCCATGATGGAGGCTCCAATGTCAACCCCGATGTCACTTCGATTATCTCCGAGATCATGGACCATACCGATCGCCAGGAGAACACCGTATCGATGGGCCCGCAGGATATTCCTGCCACCACTGAATTCCCGGGGGCACGAGGCTATGCATTCCTCAAGGCCAATTCGCATCTGAAGATCCAGAGCTTGCCCATTCTGGACAACTTGGTGAGTTCTCATCATCCGTATGAGAGTACGAATACTGACATTTATTAGTCTACTCAAATTCTGTCGTTCCTTTCCAAGAACAGTTACCAAGATCTCACTGCCATGGTCTCCGAGCCGGACTCCGAGAACGGCCAGGCCTATGCAACCATGCGATCTTTGTTCGATCATACCAAGCGGGTGTACACTGTCAAACACTCCTTCCTTCAGCCCACGGATATCGAAGTAACGGAGAGCTCTCAGATTGATGTCATTCGCAAGGCCAATCTGGCCTCATTTGTGTCGAGCATCTTTGGCTCCCAGGAGATTGGTTTCGCAGAGCTCAACGATCACTTCCTGGACGTGTTTGTTCCCGAGGGAAATCGCCTGCTAAAAGCTCAAAGTGGGTTGTACTTGGACCTCAAGACACAGGCATTCATCGCCGCGATGAATAACAAGTCCCGCACCCGGACACAACTCCTGTATGAGCTTTTCCCTGAAGACATGGAGCAGCGCCTGTTGGCAAGACGCCCGGGTTCTCGGCAGCTGGCTCCAAGTGAGACGGATTTTGTCAGCCGGCTCAACTCTCGCCGTGACATTCTGCTGCGCAAGATCAATGACGAGGAAGCATTGAAGGCATTGCCCGACAACTACCACTGGGAGGATTTTCTTCGGGAGCTGAGCTCTTACATCTCGAAGAACTTCGAAGCCATCAATACTCAACAGGTTTGTTCCCACCGTATTTTCCCGTCTGAATTATTACTAATGAGCTCTAGGGGAAGAAGCCGGTCAAAGGAAGACAACCTTCAAGTTCCAATGGTGATGCTCAGGAGTCTCCCACTGCAACCCATCAAGGCCAATTCGCGGTTACCCAACCAGTTGAGGTTCCCGTTGATCGCAATATGCATGGTGACCTTGTGGCCCGCGCGGCCCGTGCCGCGCAGATTGCCCTTCAGGGTCATGGTCTGCGACGATCTCAACAGCAATCTCAGATGCAGCATCAGCATCAGCAGCAACCTCCATCTCAAGCGAGCCAATCCCCATCTCAGCCTCCGCCTCCGCAACCCCAGCCGCAGCAACAACAACAGCAACAACAGCACACACCACAACCTGATAATCAGTATCTCCAAGGCTACACCCCTGCTCAGCAGCCGGAACACCAAGCCTCCCAGCAATATCACCACAGCCCTACGCCGCCCGGTGGATACCAACAGCAACATGGCTTGACTTTCCAGCAGAGCCCACTGCAGGTCAACTTCCAGCAGTTCCAGCCCAACGCTGCCCAGGCTATGCAGGCGCGAGCCAACGGCATGTCCGCCAGCCATGTCTACATGCCCGGGATTCCTCACTACTCCCAGTCGCAACCTACCCAGGTCCTGTATGAGCGAGCCCGCCAGGCTGCCTCGGCAAAATCATCCCCGACGAGCCGCAAGTCCGGCTTGCCAAGCCAGCGCCGCCCCTGGACGACTGAAGAAGAGAACGCGCTGATGGCCGGCCTGGACCGGGTCAAGGGCCCTCACTGGAGTCAGATCTTGGCCATGTTTGGCCCTGGTGGTACCATCAGTGAAGCATTAAAGGACCGCAATCAGGTTCAGCTCAAGGATAAGGCCCGAAACCTGAAGCTCTTCTTCCTGAAGAGCGGTATTGAGGTCCCCTACTACCTCAAGTTCGTCACTGGCGAGCTGAAAACGCGTGCACCGGCCCAAGCTGCCAAGCGCGAGGCCCGTGAGCGACAAAAGAAGCAGGGCGAAGAAGACAAGGCTCATGTGGAAGGTATCAAGGGCATGATGGCACTGGCGGGAGCCCACCAGTCACCAGTCGCCGGCCATGAGATGTCGGCCTCTCCCAGCCACAGCCTGCCTCCGGATGCCAACAGCCAGGCCGTTTTCGATCAGACTGCAGAGCAAAACCTGATGCAAACTCTCAGCCAGGAAGTTCATGGTAGTCAATACAACCCCCAGCAGCACGCTGCGCAGACGCCGGATCACCACATCGATCCTCACATGCAACTGGGACAGTAGACAACTGTGGTCGCTTCATGACTATTTCAGTCTAGCATTTCTGTGTCCAGCGGAGTTCAATATGGGTCGGCATTTACATATAGAATATGAGCACCCGTGCAATTGATGCCGAAAATGACCCATTCCGAGGCCAGAAACGGCCGCCCTTTACCACCTTGTCGACCATCCAGCAGATCTAGTGTATACCAACTGCACGCACCAGCCACGATTGCGCAGCTCATAGAGCACCAGAAATCAGCTGATCCCTGCTAAAGTATCAGTCAGAAAGCTCGCCTACCCCTACTAAGCAGGTAATTGAGCAGATGTATGGCACGCAATGGAGCTATGAGAATTATTCTTTTCTTAGAGAGAAAGAAAACAAGGACCCCGCGTGGGAGTAATCGCAAGCAAAATACAAAAGAAGTCTACCTAATAAGTATTTCGTTTATAAAGAGGGATTATCAGTTCAAGAAGCGCAGGGTTTACGCTTTGATCCAGGAAGCGTATCTATATCTGAAGGTACAGCACCAGCAGTAGCGCCAGTTGCATGACGTACATATACATGCAGTGTATGTAGGATACCTGGGCATGGTGCTAATCTTTGCCACGAGAGAGATAACTGGGATTGAAAGACGTTTTGTTGATTAAATTGTCCATATTATACGGGCGGCCCACTCCCTCGTGAATTACGGAATATTATTCTTTACGTGATTAGTTAGCCAATCTGGGGATGTACAACACGTGAACTAACTGGGCCAAACCGGTCCGATCAAAACTTCAATTAACACACACAAGAATTGTTATATCTGCAGCAGATGTTATACACTCTTATGCTTATCCATCTCCGATCAGGCTTCTGACTAGTCAGAAGTTTGCTCTAGCGGTTTATATACCATAGTTTCCACAGCTGCTCGGATTTGGGCAGAAAGTGAACTTCAAAAACACAAGGAAGAAAAATTGCAATATGAGGACAGGCTATATTTGTGGGATCTCGTGAAGAACCAGCTTTTCACAGATAATGCCGGCTAAGTTCCAAATGACAGATAGGAAGCGACAGAAAAGGCGAACAAGGAACTATACAATATGTATATTGAAACAATGAGCGAAGAGCTCACGCCCGAAGCAGCCTCGCGAAAGTGGCCTTTTCCACCGCAACGGATCTGATCTGGGCTCAAAGATTTTCCTTCGCTTGCCTTCTTCAGCTCGCTCTTTGTCTGTTGCACTCCGATTGGTTTCAAGACGAGCTTCGGCAATTATATGGCTCATCTGGCTGCAGCGTCTGTGCTCATCTGCAACCTCTGCTTCAAAGACCTCCTAAGTTGCTCCAGTAGGACAATCGCCTGCTAGTTTGACTGGTCGGCGCGCGCTGATGCACGTTGCCACCTTGAAATGACGTGGCAGATTGGCGAAACCAAAATCAATATGGCACCCAGATTACCCCCATCGAAGCTATGACTTATCCTCTGTACCAACAATGGCCACCCGCCGCTTCGCCGCACTGCCGCACACGACCTAGTTGCACCATTGTTCTGCACCCACCAAGCATTATTGTCACCCTCCGGGACGCCACATTGAGTTTTCTATTCTTTTTTTTTTTTTTTTTTCAAAGAAAAGAGTACTAAGGATGGGCTGGCTGTTTGTCATGGTGGTAGTAATACTGATGGTGATTGACAGCTTCGTGAGACTGGTGATCTGGTCTTCCGAAAGGTCTGCATCTTGCCATCCGACGTGACAAAGGTAGCAGACAAGAAAGTATCAAAAGGAGGTGCCTGAAAGCTTGTTGTCATGTGGAGAGTGACGGATGTGTCGCCGAGGAGACTTTCAGGGGCCAAAGGCTAATCACGGACGTGCTGGCTAAAATTTCAATTAGCCGAATACCGAGAAGCACATATCTCAGTCCCAACGGCGGGTATGAATCGAAAATAGCAGGCATACCTGGGGAGGGGGGGGAGTGTGGTCGTGACGGTGCTACCACTAACGGTCACTTCAGTCGAAATGGGCGCAAAGGTGACGACAGTCTTCGTGGACATCGTCGAGAGAGGCATCACCATCGTGCAAGGGTCTCAACACTGGAAAGTTGGGCTTGGCTCATATCACAGTTTAGGATCAATGCAAATCATACCCCATCTATTATTCTTTTCATTTCCGTCGTCACCGATGTCTGTACCCTCTTGTGCCGGGACGTCACATATCGTACTGGAGATGTACTCCGTAGACCATCCAGAAAGGACTCCGAGTACAAAACTGGAATCCCGACGCCGCACTTTTAAACTCAAATGCCAAGTCAAGTGGGACCCGACAGTGGGGATGCAATTCCAGCCAAAGCGCCCAAGTGAGCGTCGTGCCCAGTAATTTTGTCGCATGGTAGGATAAGCATTGCGGATATACGTCTTCCGAGGATCCTCCTGAGGGTCCTTCGTGAGCAGGTCTAGCAGGCATGGATATCCTCACTAGTACTAGTGTACCAGTGAATACATGATTGGGTCCGGAGCATATTGCCACCGGATCTAACCGTATTGAGGCTTTCTCATCTCGGTGCCGCTCGAGCCGTCGGGTTCCGGCCCCCTCTAACAGAAAGAAGCGATAGGCTGAGACATTAGTCTGAATGGTCCGGGTTAGCGTGGCTTATACTGGACGTTGACGCGTCCTGGGCCGACACCTATTTTTGGCCCCTGTCCCCTTAAAGTGAGATTGTAGTCCACGGAGCTTGCCCGCTCCTTTTATTTCGTCGTCCCCCACACCCGTTTGACACTGCGTTATATTTCTCTATTTCTTGACACTCGTTTACTCACAATGTTGTTCCGTGGCGTCGCAGCCGCCTTGCTGCTCCTCAAAGGCACTCTTGCCACCGTTCCGCCCATTGAAATCAAAGTAGGTGCCCCGGCTGCCCCCTTTTCAGGGGAGTTTGCCTACTAATTGCTGTGTCCTTCAGGGCTCCAAATTCTTCTATTCCAACAACGGAACCGAGTTGTAAGTATGAGTCTAGCCTCCGAAGCAAGACATTTTTAACTCGAGGAATTTTAGCTACATCCGCGGAATAGCCTACCAGGGTAATGATAAGCCGCAACAATTCTTGGCACCATGAAGACTGACAGGCTTGCAGAGGGCTACAGCGGCGGAGGAGCTACTGGCACTGGTCAGACCAGCGATGCTGGCTACGTCGACCCTCTTTTCAATATCACCACCTGCGAGCGCGACATTCCCTATCTCACCCAACTGCGCACAAACGTCATTCGCACCTACACCGTGGACCCAACCGAGAACCATGATGCCTGCATGCAGGCGCTCGCCGATGCCGGTATTTATGTCATCACTGACCTGGCTTCGCCCGATATTTCTATCGAGGCCAACTCGCCCGTTTGGACCGTCGATATCTACGACCGATACACCGCTGTCGTTGATGCATTCCAGAAGTACGACAACGTGATTGGTTTCTTTGTCGGCAACGAGGTTGTCAACAGGCCAAACCAGACCGATGCCGCCGCCTTTGTCAAGGCTGCTGCTCGGGATATCAAATCCTACATCAAGGACAAAAGTTACAGGAGCTCGCTTTCGATCGGCTACGCAACAACTGATCAGTCGGATATCCGGGATAACCTGTCGGACTATCTCAACTGTGGAGATCAGAGCGACGCTATCGACTTCTTCGGCTACAACATCTATGAATGGTGCGGTGACCAGACGTACCAGTCATCAGGATATGAAGCCCGTACCGAGGAGTACAGAAACTACTCTATTCCCGTCTTCTTCTCGGAGTACGGCTGCAACACCGTGAAACCCCGCAAGTTCACCGATGTCCCCGTGCTCTTCGGCCCCCAGATGGACGATGTTTGGAGCGGCGGTATTGTCTACATGTACTTCGAGACCCAGAACGACTACGGACTTGTTTCCGTGGACGGCAACTCCGTGTCCACCGAAGTCGATTTCGGCTACTACTCCAAGGAAATCCAAAGCGCGACACCCAGCGGCACCAACAGCGCTAGTTACTCCCCGACGAACTCCCCGCGCGCCTGTCCCACTGTCGACGACAGCTGGATCGCAAAGTCGAGTCCTCTTCCCCCGACTCCTAACTCGCAGCTCTGCTCCTGTATGGTATCCAGCTTGTCCTGCGTGGTCAGCGATTCAGTCGATTCAACCAAGTACAGTGATCTCTTTGGCGAAGTTTGCGGATACGGAGCGGACATCTGCGAAGGTATTGCGCACAACGCAACCACTGGAACCTACGGTGCCTACAGTGTCTGCAGTAGCAAGGACCAGCTGTCTCAGGCATTCAACCGCTACTACGTGAGCCAGGGTAAGAGCAGCAGCGCATGCGACTTCAAGGGATCTGCCAAGGTTCAGTCGGCCTCGTCTCCATCGGGTGATTGCAAGGCTCTCGTTAGCCAGGCCGGTGGCACTGCTGGAACGGGTACCGTCACTTCCAATCCCACTGCAACATCCGCCAGCAGCTCCACGTCCAAGGGTGCGGCCGCCAGCCTTGGTGGCTCTGCCGTCTTTGTGAACAGCTGGTTGTCGATGGCATCCCTTGTCGGGGCTGTGGTGACGGGCGTCCTGATGATGGCACTCTAAGCGATTGTGAGTGCCCTTGTCCGGCTGAAACCAGGGGGCATTGTAGTGTCGAGCATGATAGTCCGGATCGAGTTGACCGCAGATATCCCCTTCTAGGGACCAGCTATTCTCCTTACAATGTCATCTTTGTACAAAAGCGAAACTCTCCCGATCATACGAACTAAAAGTGTAGGCAATAAGGGCCCAGGGGCAGCTAGCAGCCAAAACGGGAATAGCGAGGCAGACGATGAGCCCAGTTGAGCAGATGAAATTTCAGGGGCGCGACAATAGGTCCTCGCTCTAGTTCTTCTAGCATTCTCGGGGTCAAGGAGGGCATGTACATAGTATTGTGAGATCTCATTCGGGGATTTGCTTTACAGCGCACGGAGGCCTTGAATAACCAGAGTTTACCGCAAGAGTACATAACGACAGTGCATGTAAACTAGAAATATCATTATCACGCCATTATATCTTCAAGGTACTTCTTGTGTAGTTGCTCATGTACACGAACAGCTCCACCGCAGTAGTGGGCCGTGCGCGGCTTCTCCGCCCGCGTGTGACTGGCTCTGCGACAAGTAGAACCTCCAACTTCCCAACTGCATTGATTGGACCCCTCCTCTCCGGTCTGCAGCCCAATTCCAGAGCGTGTACGAGTAAGGATTAAAAGATCAGGGGCTTCGATGACCGCCCAGCATGGCCGACTCTCAACCTTCATCCCAAGCGAACGGGTCACAAGAGCAGCCTCCTGCCTCCACACCAGCTGAGACTGCCGACTCTGCCATCAAGCCCGAACCCGATATCGACGCTTCCATCGAGCAGGATATCGATATGAATGCCGATCAGACCGCGCAGGGCGCCAATCCCGATGACACCGTCGATCCCATCGCCGCTGCGCCGCAGCCGTCCAAGAAGGAAACCAGTCTGCGCGAGTTCTTGAGCAAGATGGATGACTATGCGCCGATTGTATGTCCTTCGCCCTGTTGCTTCACCCGGTTCTCTCTCTCGGTCTCGAGTCATCCTATCATCTGGTCTTCGAGATTGCTCCGAAGCCCATGGGAGCTTGGGGCGAGATGGCCGATGAGAGCAGACAAGCAGAGCCTATAAAATGGGAATGTGAGAGCTAACTGTACTCCCCAGATTCCCGACGCCGTCACAGCCCACTACCTCACCCTCGCCGGCCTGCCGCCACCGGGTACAGGTCCCAACCAAACCCCACCACACCTCGCCCGTCTCCTCGCGCTCGCGACACAAAAGTTCGTTTCCGACATCGCAGCCGACTCATACCAGTTCGCTCGCATCCGCGCCTCCAACAGCTCCTCCGCCAACAACCCGATTGGTAATTTGAACGCCGCGTCCGGTCTAGGCGGTCCAGCTGGCCCCGGGGCAGCGCCATTTGCCGGCGACGGAGGAAAAGGCAACAAGGCCAACACGCACCTCGGCATCCAGCGTGCTGGATTCGGTGGCGGTGGTTCCGGCGGTACTGGGCAAGGACGAACCGTGTTGACGATGGAGGATCTGGGCATGGCCGTATCAGAGTACGGCGTGACCGTGAAGCGGGGCGAGTTCTATCGGTAATTCGCGAGGTGGACGGTTGATGTGCTCTCGCCTTTTATGTTTTCAGTCTACAATGGGTTTTGGCGCTGGGCGTACAAAGATTTTGAGAAGGGGCTGCGGATAAATATCCTGCCCATGGCCCTGGGCATTTCTGGTTGGGAGGGGAATTTAGCAAATGGAGTTTTTGCCCTTTCTACTACCTAGCATGGTTCGTTTGCAGAAAAGATGAGCCACCTGAAGGGGGGTGGGGGAATGAACTGTCAAACCAGTCATGAATGATATTGAATAATTTCCATGCTTAACTCCATCCCACAAGTAATGACACACAAGGGAAGTGTTGGATATATCTGTACACGGCCATAGGCCAAAAAGGAAATGCTTCGTTGACGCAGAGGGATCGATGGAGAGAGAACAAAGCGAAGACGGGGAAAAGCAAAGTCCGCGTATCCCGTAGTCAGGCGAGTCGACTATTTGTTCTTGGACTGCTTGTATGTAAAGCGCTTGCGGGTTCTGTTCGCCAATTCCAGGTTAGCATCATTACGGTCCGAACAAGACCACCTTCTCGTAGAGGTTCCAGCGGAGAGACATACGCAACATATTCCCCGAGCTTCCGACCGACCATCTCTTCGGTGATCTGGACCTCCTGGTAGGTCTTGCCATTGTGGACAGCGAAGCGCAGGCCCACGAAGTTGGGCAGGATGGTAGCTGCGCGCTTCTGGGTGCGAATCGGGGGAGTGTTTGGCGGTGGGGGAAGGGTGCGCGGGAGAGGAAGACTGTATGAGTAAAGAAATCAGTAATTCGTTCTAGAATCGTACTTTTCTCTTGAATTGGAGTATGCAGGGATCAGCGGGCGTGGGGGTTTGCGCTTGAATTGCGGCGGGTGTTCACGTACGGGACGATGTTCGGGCCTGGATAAGCGTGTTAGTTGCGGGTTTCTTCGCAATTGACGGTCCTTGGACTTGGAGAGGGCCAGCCGGGTCTTACCTTTCCAGACCGATCGGCCCAGCAGGGCGCGCGTGGGAAACATGGTGGCGTGCAAGCGATCGGAGCAGTAAATCCGGAGAAGTTGAAAAGACGGCCTCCGGCTTGAAATGCTGAATCAGCAGATTCACGTCCCGATTGGGAAGGGTCGCAGTTGGCTTTCTTTCTAATTGCCTCGGTCTTCTACGGGCTTTGGAGTACGAAGAACATAATTTAGAAAAGTCTCTCTAATCGTCATTATACTTCCCCCTTCTACGAATTCGCCAAGTCTTATCTTGTGAGTTGTGAGGCGTTTCGTATCTGATAAGTGTATAGATCCATAGTCAAAGACCGACGATGCCATAGTTATCTAGAGACAGGACGTCTTATTCAGCTCGCACATATTTGAGTGCTTTTTGAAATCAAGTATCTGTACTTATATTCGGGGTTGTGGGATGAACCCCAGCCCAGCGGTGCAAATCATGCAACTGAAGAGCTTCGTCACACCGTTTGAGGGGCTGCATGGCCGCTGCATCCATGGATCAGATCATATGACCGATTGACTGCCCAACGTTACTTAAAGAATTACCACTGTATTGTCCCAAATTCGGTCTAGCTTCTTCCATTCATGTGAAAGGCGTCTACTGAATCTACTTCATATCTTGGTCCTAAGCAGATAGAATGCGTGACCGGGCGATATCCCCTCCGTCTCCTCGGCCACATCTGCAGATCTTCAACTTCCTCCAGGCACCATCCACCCTTAACTCAAGCTTCACACTATTTCCATTGCTACCACCCGAGATTCGTTTATTGATATGGCATCACTCCTTGCGACGCCAGCGCATTGTCGATGTAGCTCTGGAGGCTTGCACACAACGTGATGCTCCGTATGGGTGCACTGATGGCAAGCAGCATCGAGCCGTAGTCTCCGGACACCAAGTACTCAGCAAGTTACTGCGCGTGAATAGTGAAGCCAGACAAGCAGCACTATCATTCTACCGGGTCCATATTCCCTGCCAGTTCTTCACATCCGACAGAGAACACGTCCCGACGACCATGACATTCTATTTCAACCCGGAATACGACATGCTCAGATTCTTCTTTCGCAACACAGTGTCGGACGCCTTCATCCACTTTCTCTATCACCTGAAGCACACTTACGACCCGCAACGCGCTGGTCTCCTCAGACTGGCGGTGGACATCGACAGTTTAAGTGACAACGCCTTGAGAATCTTCGATCTTTCACGCTTCGAAAACGATGTAAGAGAATGTGTGGTGGATACTCTCAACCAGCTACAGGAGGTCTTCTTCATCGAAGTGGTATCCATCGGACGCCAGATCTTGGGCTACATGAGCGGGATCAACACATCCGACAACATGTTCAACCGCTCGTTCCCCATACTGACCGCGACAACATTAAAATTTGACCGTCTTCCTCGGGACCCACGTCATATTGCCGAAGATCTCGGTCAACTACACATGGGGCATGACCCGCGAAACATGGTTCTTGTTTGGCGAGACATATTGAAGAAATGGGCCGCTGTGCCATCTCAGGCTGAATATAAATTGCTATTAGCATTTTCGCCTCCAGGCCAGAACCTCGTTTCCGACCGCAAGAGCGCAGATGCATGGCTACAGAATGAAGAGGATGAATGGACTGGGAAATGGCGTCTTGGTGACAGATTGGAGAATGGGAATTGGGCTTTGCGCTATTGGGGGTCAACGGATCGGTTTTCACACTGCCAGGTCGGTGCATTGCACGAGAAGTACCGGAACGAGGACCTTGAGAAGGCCGTGAAGCCTGCGTTTGGGTTCTGGTTGTTTCCTCTTGAGGTACTCGGGTCTGTCACTGTGGAAGAACTTGATCGATGGAACTGGCCGGAACTATGTATAATGACGGATCACTGGCCGGAACTTGCACTGTCCGATTTACCCGGGAAATAATGAAGAGTTGTATGGGTGGGAATAGCGGTCACTAGGAGAAGATGCACCGCAGGAGTTTATCAATGATCGAGGTTCTACTATGGAAAATCGTTCAATATTCTTTCTTGGTGGCTGCTACCATGCCCGTATAATTTATACTGGCTCGAGATGCATTGGATAAATCCATGTAAAGAAAGAAAGTAAATCGCCGTATTGGGCCCAGTTGCCAGCAACTAGAGCCATGATATATAAAGATGCTCACTCGGCCAGCTCCTCAAATATTTTGATCAGATTGCGAATCCCCATCAGCACGTTCTCATCCGGCCCTTCACCAGGAGTCCAGTTTGCATGAGCAAAGTCAATGATGCGGAGGTCGTGCACTTTTGGTGCCTCCTCTTCGTCATCATCATCGCCTAATTCCAATGGCAACTGCGCTGTCTGGGGGTCGAAGCTGATATTGATGGCTTTTTGGGGAATTCCGCCTGGAAGCTGCACATCGACTAGCTCGAGGGGTTCTTCCGTGTATTCAAAATCGACCTCTTCCTCGCCATCGTCCTCGGCTTCTTGATTCCTGGGATCGGGTATCTTTTTCTCTTCTTCCAGGGCAACTGCCATTGCCTCCGGATCTCCTTCGTAAACTACCAAGACACTCGACGAGTACATGCGACATTCCTCGGTCTCGAGAACACGTTGGACGTTGTGCAACTCTTCTGCGAGTCGGCGCGCGACTAGCTTCGAGCGATCCACGGAGCCTGCTTTGGCGCCAGCGAGAAATGTCTCAAATCCCTGCTTGACGTTCTCGGCACTGAATGACCGTCCGTACCATTTATCGTATCGTCGATAGCCATCCTTCTCGATCACTTCCCCTCTTGCGCCCTCCGCTCCTTCATACTTGGTCGCGTATGGATTGGTCCGGGTACCCTCGTCGGTCTCGCCATTTGAGCCGGTCCACACCTTCATCCCGGCTATCCGGTATCCCAGGCTTGAGCTCGTCGTTTCTTTGGACACGGCATCCAACTTGTTGCGCTTGGCAGGAGGCGCATCATCAGCCCACAGCCGGGCCCCGAGCTTTACGTCCAGCACGTTTGGTCGATGGAACCCCGCGGCGACATTCTCCAGCACGATGGACAGGCCTGTCTCTAGCTTCTTGCCACCGGAAGGCACCCACGGCTGGTCTGTTCTTGAAGAGGACGACCCTTCCGTCGACGCGGCGCGTAGTGGGTGTGCGGAGTCGGCGGGACGGCTGGGAACAGTTGGTGCATCGCCAGCGGGAGGTAGGAAGATGGCGCCGGATTCTTGGGCAGCAGCAATCGCCAGCGGTTGTTGCTGATCGGCAGACGAGAGCGAGCCCATGAAGAGGGGCATAAACTCCTGAAAGGCCGGATGGAGAGCGCTGGATTCGTAGAAATCGACCTCCTGCTGGACACAAGGTTTGGCGATCAGGGACCCGGAAAGAGTGCAGCGGACACCATCGCTATAGTGAAGCACAAGGTTAGCTTCATGCGGAGACCACGCAAAGTTTGCGTTTGAGGCTCTCATTCCGCCCCACGCAGGATCCCCGTCGGCCTCGGCCTGCAGGATAATCGTGTGGGGAGCAGGAGCAGGGCGAGGGCGGACTTACTGGCCTGCAGCAACGTGATCAAAGGGAACCAAGTCATCGCTGCCCAGTTGCGGCGTTTTTAAACTCTCAGATCTTGAGGGTGGCATCTTGATGTGGGAAACTCGTCCGACGAAGAAAGTTTACAACATGCCGGATGACTCAACAAGGGACGGGGAAGAGCGGAGCAGCTGCTTGTCGCAGATTGCAAGCAAATTGCAGATTGCAAAGAGAATAAAACGAGACCGGGAGAAAAGGAGAGAGCTGTCAAGGACGAAGCGATATCACGATCGACGGGGCGGGCCTTAAAACAATGCAGGGGCCGAGTCAGCTTTATCGGGCCCTGAACTCGGATGACTATACAATGACTTTCATTTCCAATCCACGGCATATACTTTGTCCTGCGCTCCGTAAATAATGTAAACCATCTCCAATGCCTGGCTCTTCACTAAGGCTGTCTCCATTCACTTCGGTTATCACATTCACTCTCTGTTCTCTTTCCCTGTTTTCCTGCTCTATTCTCCTCTCATCTCCCACCCTTCTTCATACCTCCCTCTCATCATCTCTGTTCCTCTTACACTCTTCAACTCTCACAATCGACAGCCTCCCACCATGGAGACACCAACACGGGGAAACACCACCATCTCGGGCGACCTTCCCATTCGCTCTGCAAAGCCCAAATCTGATACCTCTAAGATGCCCCCACACCTGGATGTGCAAGATGCAACAAATGAGCAGATCCGAGAAGCCACCCGTATGGCCATGATGAACCCTCGGCTTAATTTCAGTGATGCTCTGGCTGCTGCCATAGGAGCCAAGAAACGGACCAAGAAAAAACGCCCCAAGAGCAAGCGTGGAAATGTATTCATAGTTTTCAAAAATCTCAAATCCCAGAGCTAACTAACGCTTTGCTTTTTTCACAGGACAAGCCTACTGGATTCGAAGAATATTACGCCGATGGTCCCATTACCCCCAAGGAGCACGCGGAGATGCTTGAGGTGTATAACCCGTACGTGAAACATGCCCTTCTGAGATATATGGTACCGACTAACATCTATCCAGTGATCTGCGTTTTATTGTGTAAGATATGTTCTTGATTGCTGGATACCCTTGCACTAACATTAAGAAAGCCGCATCGAGGAGGCACTCAAACGCTTCCAGAACAGACGTCGCATCGAACCAGGCCGACTGAACATGTTCTTGAAATACCTGCAATATGGTGGCGTCAATATCGGAGGCAACAGCGTAGATGAAGCAAACAAACAGGACGTGAAAAGTATGACCAAGGACCAGATCATGCAGGCTCGTGCCCAAGCCGGAATCCAGAAACAGCGTGACACGCTGGAGGTGAACTTCGACTTGGTTCTTCGGGGTTTCCTGTGAGTAAGACTTATTTCCGATACTCAACCAAGCTAATTCATACAGGAGCTCGTACTTCATCAGATACTTCAACCCGGAAAACGAAGCGGTCATCAAGTTGGCAACCGAAACCATCAAGAACTTCTACACTTACCTGCTCCAGCGCGACGTATGCCCCGAGTACACTGAGAACCTGCTCGACGCCCGCAAAACATGCGATATGGCAGCCAAAGAGCTGTGGATGAACGTGCAGCTGGTGCGCAAAGGCCCTGGACCGTTCAACAAGTCCTGCTCGACGCTGTTTGGAGGAGCATACTTCCAATCTAGCAGTCCCCCTACCGGAACCGAGCGTAGGAAAGACATCAAGGAAAAGCAAGAAAATGCTCGCAATGTCATTAAATATGCCGTTGCCGGCGCCACCTCCTACGAGCAGGCCAGCAGTTTCCTGGAACTTGTGACCCAGAACCAACTCTGGGCGAAGAAGATCCATGACATTGATGGCTTCGAGGTACTCGCAGTCATCGACCCTGATATTCGAGTCGTCGAATTCTACCATGAATACGCGCCAGAGCAGACACCCGTGGGTACAATCAAGGCTGTTTCGTTCCGTGACCCCTCCGAGCCCGATATCGACATGAGCCCCGAGGAGCGTTGGGAGTGGGACAATGGCAAGGCCCCGGAGTACGAGTTCGAGTTCCTCGTCGACATTGACCTTCTTCCGCTATTCTACCAGGGGTTGAAGGTGATATCGGGGGTTTGGCAGCTCAATTGCGGACTGTACTACTTCGACGAGGTCATGTCCACCTATCCGACTTTCCACACGGTTATTGCCAACGGCTTGATGATGAAGTGGAAGTGGCCCCGCGATTTGACTGGCGATGATGACAAGAAGCCAGATGAAGGGGCTGGAAATGCGATCCAGTGGACTGTCGATGCCGCTTCCAAGGTGACTGATCAGCAAAAGGGCGAGCAATCGGACCAAGATGAGAATTAGTTTGCGAGAACTACTAATCTTCCGGCGCTAACATTCCGCAGCAATTACGTTTTTGCGTTTAGCACAGATGTGATCAAAAATCCATAAATCATATTCTTAAAAAGTTACAATCGTAGCATTCAGCCGATTAGTCGTAAACATTCAATCTATGTACTTTTTCGATAGTCCATAGTCCAATCAAGGCTTGATGAGAGGCTTTCCGGTGGTCTTGCGACCCTCCAGGTCCTGTTAAATGACCGTGAGCAATGAAGTTCGAGCAGGAAAAACAAGTTCGACTAACCTTGTGAACCTGAGCAATATCCTCCATCGGGTAGACCTTGTGGATCTTAACCTTGAGCTTACCAGACTGAAGCATGCTGAAAAGCTCATTGGTATAGTAGTCAAACTCCTCACGGGTTTCAATGTAGCCGAAGAGGGTGGGACGAGCAATCTTAACACACTTGGGCGAGAGTTTCCTGTTTGATACGAATCAGCTTTACCATCAAGACCCAGGGAAACATGCCGAAACGTACGGTAGAGCAATGGGAGGCACGGGCCCACTGGCATTGCCGAACCAGACGATGGTGCCCTTGCGCTTGACAGCTTCCAAGCTACCTTCCCAGGTATCCTTGCCAACAGAATCGTAGACCACGTCCACGCCACGACCACCAGTAGCCTCTTTCACCAGCTTCACCCAGTCCTTGCCCTCTTCACTGCGGTAGTCAATAACCACGTCGGCCCCGAGGCTCTTCACCAGCGCACACTTCTCCGGCCCACCAGCAGTGCCGATGACCTTGGCACCAATGTTCTTCAGAACCTGGGTCATGAGGAATCCCGCACCGCCCGCAGCAGCGTGCAAGAGCACCCAGTCACCCTTCTGCACGGCGTAAGTCTCTTTCGCAAAGGCGAGAACGGTCAACCCGCTCAGGAACGAAGCCATGAGGTCCTCATCGCTCACGCCTTCGGGGATCTTAACGGTTGTAGCGACCGGCGCAGCCGTGTATTCCGCATACCCACCGGTACCCATCCAAGCAACGCGGTCACCGACCTTGAAACCGGAGGTATTGGGGCCGAGCGCCACGACAGTACCGGCGCCCTCACGGCCCAAGATTTCGGGCTTGGGCGAGGCGTACAGTCCAGTGCGGAAGTATGTGTCGATGTAGTTCACACCGGAGATATTGTTGCGCACCAACAGCTGGCCATCCTTGGGTGTTGGTACGGGCTGCGAGGTTTTGTATTGGAGGACCTCGGGGCCGCCGGTCTGGTCGACCACGACGGCTTTCATGGTGGAGGGGACGGACATGTTGCGGATTGGAGAGAATGAAAACGGGCGGCTCGGAGGGATAGTAGAATGAAGAAATTGGCTACGGAGAGCTGCAAGACGAAGACTGCTTCGAAGTGCAAAAGACATTGCAAGAAAAAGAGCGGGGAAGCTCCGGGGAGTTAAGTAGATTGCTTCCACAGCTTCAATTTGTCATCGCATCTCCGCATTCTCCGAGCCCGGAATTCGTCTCGCTTCTCCCGTGGTCTGGGTCCTTGACTACTCAATCCAAGGGTTACAATTGTTTCTGAATATCTGAATAGCTTTATTCGTCGAGGTCTCATCCAATGCCGTCGCGCTGCAATACGGATGAAATGCCGAATGCACTCGGAGCATCCGGGTGGAGTTGACTGACGCCATACCGACGGGCCAGAGCCGTCGGATGAACTCCGCTGTTTACCATACGAGTCCGAGTATCCGAATTCTTTCAAAGCAGGGCTTAAGCTATTTCTTTTTCCGTAACTATTTCTTAGTTAACGCGGGGTTCCTGGGTTTAGACTAAAGACAATTTCATCCAACGCCCCCTCGCCCTTTTGACTGACTCGCGATGAGGCTTTTGCATTTACCAACGGAGTTCTTAGATATGATTGTTCAATGCGTCTTATCTGATGATGGTTTCGAGAGCTTGGCACTGACATGCAAAACTTGCCAAGCACTTTGCCTTCCGTTCATTCAGACCATAACAAACTCAAAAAGCTCCGCGAGCATCATCAGAAATTCGAGTACTGCAAGTGCAGCTCTCAACCAAAGTTTCCGAAGAATAGGCTACGCTGGCTTCTATGGTACCCAGGCACCCTTAGCTCAGCATTCGACTTGATTGTGCGCATTGCTGCAGAGCCTGTTATAGCCTATTACATCGAATAGGCCGAATATGACGATGACTGTCGGATCAGAAAGGGCGTAAGTCGCGAAATAATCACTGGGAGAGCTAATGCCGAAGTGCCCTCTAATGAAAGTCGTGAAGAAGCTATCATCAGACTGCTGGCCAACTCTTCCAATCTTAAGCAAACTGGCCTTGACTGGAAGGAATACTATACCGCAATCGATAAGAACTTGAAAACAGGCCAGTACTCGCAACACTGTGCTGCATTTGTCTTGACTCTTCTACCTAATCTTAAGCGGCTCCGCCTGCCTAAAGAATGGAATTACGGAGCATTCGCCGCCCCCGATCACTTCTCGACACCGTGGTTTCAAAAGCCAGACTACAGTAGTTTTTGAAATCAGCTATACCGCCACACTCTTACTACCCGAAGCCACGCTACCCCATATTAGGTTACTCCGAAAATAACTGAGTTATTGTAAGTTACAGTATGCCCTATTGCTCTAGGCAACGATTCAGAAGGGGCGGGGTATCTGGCTTCATTCGCTCCCATTTTCTCCCTTTCTCTGTTCCTTCGTAGCCTTTGTCTCTATTACCTCTTCCACAGTGAAGGCTGTTCTGCTACTGTGATTGGCTAATTCTAGTAGACCAACATAATTCTCGTTTGTGTGTTTCAATAGCTGTTGCCCTCTATTGCCGCTTCTTTTCTTTAGTGGCCGCCAAGTACAAACCCAGGAAATGGCTTGCTTCATTTGGGCAAAGGTGGCTGCTTTGGCTCAATGGATGGGAGTGCATTTAACCAATCTGACCACGTCGCGGCGTCCAGATGTGTTAAAGACTCGACTTCGCGTCCGGGAAGTTCTTCAACAAATAGAAAGTGAGAATTGGGCGGGTTTGAGACTGCAATTTACCCCACTTGTCCGATTTTTACTCTCGGAGTCTCTTCTCGAGAAGGGCTGGAAGAGTGTGTGCAAAGCTTTCGGGCCGCTAGAGAGCGTTGGCGCTCCAATTATTACCAGCGGATGGTGGCTGACGTCTATTAAGGTGCCACTAAAATTCCAGCACACAAAGTTCGGTATGCTGCTACAAATGACTTCGGGAGGCAGTCTCGTGGGTCTTCGCTTTTTCCCAATGAGAGCGCTCGGTCTCGGTGTTGGCTGGCAGATGCCCTGCTATGCCGACAAAGGTGCACACGAATTCGACATTACACTCGGGAAAAGAGATTTTAGGGTCGGAGGAACTTTTTGTTTACCTAATGTCACGGAAGAGCAAGGCGAGATTCCAAGGTTCCCTTGTGTGGTTTTCCTGGCGGGCTCGGGGCCATGTGATCGAGACTCGACAGTGGAGGAGAACAAGCCTTCAAAGACCTTGCATGGGGTCTAGCTCGTCAGGGAATTGCATCTATTCGGTTCGACAAAGTGACTCGCACGTACCCCAAAGCTTTTCGCAATCGCAAGAATATGACCTTGACCGACGAATATGTCGAACACACAGTCGACGCTATATCACAGTGCCAGAACCATCCGAGTATCCTTCCTAACCGAGTTTTTGTTCTCGGACATAGCCTCGGCGCGGTGGTTGCTCCCATAATCGCGGCTATGGATGCTTCGGTTGCAGGCTGTGTTATCATGGCTGGACCGGCGGAGCCAATATATCGATGTCTAATCCGACAGCTTCGCTATATGCAATCGTTGGATGGTCCAGAAGCATTATATCTAAGCAAGCAGATTGGCGAAGCGCAGGTGCAGGCCGATTTAGCAGATAGTGATCATCTCACGTTGTCAACGCCCGCTAAGCAACTTCCCTTTGGGATGGGTCCGTCTTATTGGCTTGACTACCGCAAGTTCAACCCCATTGGAACTGCGAGCTCTATGAAGAAACCTATTCTCATCATGCAGGGTGGCAGGGACTATCAGGTCACCGTTCAAGATGATTACCAACAATGGCACACGGCTCTCCACGGAAAACACAATGTCCAGTTCCATTTATATGAACAACTAAACCATCTTTTCATTGCGGGAAAAGGGCCATCAACACCACTCGAATACCGTGTTCCAGGCAACATAGATGAGCAAGTTATCATTGATCTTGCCAAATGGGTGTTTAGAGCACCACAGGAAGCGGCCATGTCTGTCCAGAAAGCTGTCAATGAAATTGATTATTAAACAAAATGTCGGGATTTTATGTGTATGCATTTATACATGCATATATCCAGAGCTTCCGATTCAACATGGAAATTCCCGTGGAAGGTCCCGTTCGGCCATCTTTCACCGCCTTCTGTCTGATCATCCAAGTATCTCTCACTTGCATCTCACTTCAGTATTGCGAATTTCGTTCAACAGATTCCAAATCTCGAAAGCTTCGAGTATAGTTATTCAGGACATCTGTAGGCCTGGGATATCTGTCAGGTGGTCAAACGGATTGAGCAGGTGGCTGGCAGTCACCTGGAAGAACTGTACATGCTCTACGAATCGAAAACCGTCGTAGATATTGATACGGATGAAGAAACGGTTATTTCTCTTGCTCCTGAAAAAGCCTCTTTATATGTCTTTTAGAGGCTACAAAGGCTCCAGTTGCCCCTTGAAATCGTAGTGTGCAATCTTAATGCTACTACTCCACACTGTCCCGTTTCATTGATTGATCTTGTCTCGCATCTTTCTCTCGTCTCATATGGAACAGACCGAGAGGCAAAGGCCCTTGAATTCTTGTTGGATACATTTTCGAGGAGCCAGATGCCGTCTCTCCAAGAGGCCCATCTCCACATACCTACGAATGCAACCGACCTGTACACAGAAAGTTGAATCAGTGTTTCCACGAAGATGAAGAGGGCGGGCATTTTATTAATACATGAAGGGTATGAGGGCCAAGCCTCCTGGCTAGACCGAAATGATTCGGTTGACGTTTGATCAACTTCTATTCTGTTCGAGGGTCTTTATTTTGATTTAGTTGGAAAAAGGGCTTTCAAGTTTTGATACCATCAAAGCTCAGGCATTGACGCCGTCACTCACCCGTACGTCGCTAACAGCCACTATGCACCCTATTCTTAATATCTGAACGTTGCTATAAAAGCGTACATTTTTATTGTGAGTAAAAATGAATGCCGAACCTATGCCCGGCAGGCCGACCCAGCAGTCATTTCAGTGAAATTGTGTTATCTGAGCTGTGGGTTGGGGACTAGCCCGGGAGGAGATCGAGCTGCGAGCTGTCGTCCAGCCCAAGAGAGATCCGACATTGTTCTCCGCAGGCCCAGGGGGCTCCAAAGGAACTTCCGCAGGGGCTCAACGATAGTCATCACCATCATAGGAGGTGACCGGATGGCCTGGACTGGGGCATGTTTCCTCGGACGACAGCAGTGGACCGGTGGCCCCTCCAGCGACACGCCGATTGATACTCGGGGCTTTCACTCGACTTCTGATCATCCAACGATGCTCCCACATCAGGCAACATTGTTTGAGCATTATTTATAACCTACAATCTACCTTGGCACGATCTGGTCGGGCGCAAAAATAACCACGGAAACACGGGAGAAGCATCATGCAGCTGTTTTTGTGCCCAATAACTGACAAAGACAACGGCCTCCGCGATGCTTGCGCGTGGCGTGGTCTTCGACTGGTGCCCTTATTTTTCTCCCTTGTCTCAATGACGATGTTCATGCTCTTCAGCCTGATACTATTCGGGGTGATTCGTCGGTTCTGGCCCAATGGCCATCGCTGCCCTATCAGAGACGGAATGGTGCCCGATGTCATTGACCATATAATCCCCCTAACCCGGGTAACGCGCACACACCACCTCGACCATCTTTGTTGACGCTGAAAAAATTTTCCTGTTGGGTTTTAACCTGAGGATCTCATTCTTATTTACTACCCAACTCCCGTTGTTTATTACTATGAGCCATTCCGTCCGCAAAGCTTCGCGTCGAGTCTTCATTGCAGCCGGGTAACTTTTTGTATCAGTACCTACGGAACCGTGCATGATCAAACTTGAAACAATGATGTCCTCTCGGAAGAGCGTGGTGGCACACCCTCCACCACCTTGCGTGGAGGAGGAGCCCACCTCGCTGGCCCGAGAACTACACGGGCTCACCAAGCTTGGCGAAAAGCCAGGCTTCGAGGGTATTCGCGTGAGGGGTGCTATTGACCAGTACCCAATCATTATGAACATTGCATCTCATGGCACCTCTCCTCCACCCGACGCCTCCAGCATGCCTGGACTGGGGCATGTTTCCTCGGATGACAGCAGTGGACCAGTGACTCCTCCACCTCCCATGGCCCAGGAGCCCGCGATCCGTACAAGCTCCAGATCGACGTCTCATGACCGCTTTCGACGTGTTTCATTATCTGCTTCGTCTGCCTCGAGCCGGTCTCGGGGTCAACCGTCCCATATACATCATCAGTCTAGCCGTGAGCTGAATCCTGAGCGCCACAGTCGTACACTGCCACAGCAGCGGGATATCGTTTCTACCAGGAATGAGGTTCCGACTTCAACGACTTCATCTAGCTCCAGCAAATCCCGGGGTCGGCCACTGCCACCAATTCCACAGCAAATCGGCCCTGAGGTGAATGTTCCTCGTCCTCCACCATACTCACGAGATGGCAACGCTATCAAGCACGAGGCTCCTGTTCATACTATTCCTTACGGTTCACGAGGAGTCCGTCCTGAACGACCGCGTTCTCCGTCTCTTGGTCCCGTTCACAACAGAATCCCGCTAAGCCAGCCATCGCCGCCCATCGGCCAGTCGAACAGCGTGCGATCTGGAAGCTCTGGAGACCCCAGGACCCCAACCCAGGATCACCGACGCCGCGAATCACCCCCAGGATACATGTCGGATTCAAATGCGGCGCGCAACAGAGCATATTCTCACCACAATCCTTCGCCTCCATCGGCTGTTCCGGATAAGACAACCAATGAGAATCTCACTAGCCCTACGCTCGCAGAACGCATTGAGGAAAAGCTTCGCGTGCGTCAAGAGCATCGTGAGTCGGGCCTTCTCTCGGATACAGAAACTCGCTCGAAAAATATACCGGCAACTGCAGTAGTCAATCCTATCAACACTACCTTGAAGCCTTCCGTTCCTGCTTCGGCGCCCCAATCACCTTGTCGCGAGCCTCGCACTCCTGGCCATCTTTCAAATGAACGGCCTCCGGCCGGACGTCCTAGGGCAGCAACGGTGAGCTCATCGAGGCCGCCTGCACCCCCGTCTCGCTCAACATCCAATGCTCGCGAGCGTCCCAAGTCCATTTTGATTAACGGCGGTCAGTCTCAATCTGGATCAAACCAACCACCGCGCCCGCCAGGGTCTGTCAAATTCCAAGAGCCACCCACGGAGAAGGCAAGCTCGTTTCAAGCTCCAAATCGGCAGGCCAGCACGCCACAGCGTCCAAACCCCACGGGGCTATGCCTCACCCCATGCCCCCGTTCAGCTGCCACAGCAGGCCATACAGACTGGTACACCCTCAAGGGCCTCACACACCTAGACATCTGTCCATCCTGCATGAGCCAAATCGCGCACTCTCGCTTCCGCGACTTCTTCATCCCAAGCCTCGCCAAATCTCCAACCCAAAAAACCCGCTGCGCCTTGGCAAACCCATGGACGCGTCTGTCCTGGACCCAAATGATCAAAAAGAAACACGACAGCCTCGAAATGCTCTACCAAATGACCCGGCCTCCACCGGGAACCCGCGCCTGCCCAGGCCGGGTCGTCACCAACCAAACCTGGCACCGCATCATCGACCCAGAAACGAACCTCTACCTACCCCGTTTCCACGTCTGTGGGACCTGCGCTCGCAATGTCCGCGTCCTGATGCCCGCTCTCCGCGATACCTTCCAACATCATCCGGAACCAAAAGAACGCGCCTGCGACTTCGTCACCTCCAGCCCGCGCTTCGTGCAGTACATCGATCTCCTCGACGACGCAGCCTCCCGTGCAGAAGCAGATCCCTCACGCCGGCCAGACGTCCGCGAGTTCCTACACTACGCCCGCCGAAAGGTCGTCCTCCGCGACTGTCGCCGCGACAGACCCACGCTTGGAACATGGCACTACATCCCCTCACTACCAGAGCTAAGCGTCTGCGAAGACTGCTACGACGAAGTAGTTTGGCCGCTAGCCAAATTGCACCACCCGATCGCGCGGATGTTTTCTACTTCTATGAGGCTGCTACCCGGGGACGGGCCACGGAGTTTTCGGGAGGCAAGTTGCCAGTTGTATTCTGGACGGATGAGGGCACGGTTTAGGGAAGCGGTAGCGAAGGATGATTTTGCGGGGTTGAAGTCTGCTGCGCTGAGAAGATTTGAGGCGGAGCAGAGGTTTAAGGATCGGAGGGAGGAGTTGCTTGTTGCGGAGGGGAAGGGGTACGATTGTGACGAGGAGATGAGGAAGGCTGTTGGGGAGTGGAGGAGGTGGGAGTAGCTTGGAAGAACGGATTGTAAGAAATTGTACATGTTGGTGGTTGTATATTATGGGTTCTATGTATACTTGGGCATTGGGTTCCGGAGGTTGGCATGCATGGCATCAGCATTAGCATTCGTTGTAGTATAACATTATGTACCATCTTCAGGTCTCTTCTTTTGATTCTTTGCTTTTCAAGGTCGTCGGTATTACTTAGAACAGTATCTACCCAGATAGCCACAAATATACCCGGTTCTCGATAAGTACTCGATCCGATCTCGAATTGACTTCCGTCACCCCCACAGACGTCATGGCCAGGATTGGCCGGGGCTAGCACGGATAATACAGCCCCTTCAAAATCTCGGTTGAGTTGACGGGTAGAATCTTAATTTAGATGAACGGTGGTTTATGATAGTTGGGGGTTTGAATCAAGCCCGACTTTAATCTGTTGTCTTTCCGGATTTGACTGATTTGACCCGAACGGACGGTGACTTTGGTTATGTTTCCAAGACTATGACCACTTAATATAATTTTGGCTTCATGGTTCATCACCCGTTCTTATTTTTGCTTCTTTCAGTTGGGATATGGGTTCTGGAGGAAAATAATGGTCCAATAAAGTAGTTTCGAACCAATGAATCGAATGATTGCAGGTACGAGGAAGCCTATCTAAGAGAAAAGCTGTAAGTAGGTAGGGCTGTAAAGGTATTCGGTATGATCAAGTTGATTGACGAGGTTGACACATTATCCGCTATATCGGTCCCGAGATCTTGAAGTATGAGATTGAAAACAAGGTAAATTTATGCGCTAAATAGGCTGCATATATACACCGCACCATGCACATGACCGTCAACCCGCCCAAACCTCGGAATTCCAAACGCCGCATACCACAAAGGCTAGCACGAGAAATGCATATGTGAAAACGAAATGATCTTACCCAACAAGCCCCACAACCTCACCGGGCCACCGCTTAGCCCAGATGATCGCGCGCGTTGGTACGCGTCCACCGACTGGCGCGAGCACCCGGATCTTGCCCTTGTCAGCATCGACGTCTGCAACGTAGAGGAAGCCCATGATGCTGGCGTCGCGGACGTCAGCGGGGGAGGCGGTTGTTGGGGCGTGGGTGATTGCGAGGAGAGTATTGGCAAGGGTTGATGGGGCGGGAGGGAGGATCTTTTTCAAGGGGACGTTGGTCGGTGGTGTTTGATTTGATGCGTCGCCTGAGAAGCCGACGCCAGGAAGAGGTGTACCGTGGTCCGATTCCTGAGGTGTGTAGTCTTCTGAGCCACCGCCTGGGAGGAATGACTCCCCAGTGCCGAGTTGGGACGGGTCGTACTCGTCTTCGTCTTCGTCTTCTGTCGATGTTACAGTGTAGCTGTAAACGGAGAGAGCGGCGAAATCCAGCTGCTGGGCGTGGGGGGAGAGAGTAACGGCCGAAGATGAGGAGAGCGAGAGCGCCGCGGTTCCGGTAGAAGGGATTGGGTTGCCGAAGAAGTAAGATCGAATTTGCGACTCGCGTGTTGCCTTGAGGAAAGCAGCGTCACGATCGACACAGCCGCCTGACTTGGACAGCTTCACGACGGAAACGCGCTCGTCAAAAACGGCTGCTGTGGCGCTTGCGCTGGGCTTGTTGTCGTACTGCTTGACCATGGCGCTATATAGTCGCTCGGAGCCAATTACCAAGATTGTGGTGATGGCGAACTCGGTCACGATGTGGTTGATCAACTCCAGACTGCCGGGCTTGCCGCTGCTCAGGATCCCCGGTGTATCGACAATGATTCCTGTCTCTCGTGCGTCCTCGTCTTCGGCCATACGGCCGGTTACTGAAAGTGCCAGTCGCGATACAACGGGCCTGTAGACAGAGCCTTCAGCGTCGAGTGGGTTGGCCATCGGGTAGCTGTAGACGAGAGGGAGCTTCACGGGCACAGGGCTGGGCCCGGACATGGGACTGCTGCCCCAGCCCTCCTCGATGTCCAGCATGGTCCGGAAGGCAGTTGCAGTCAATGTACCGGGGACGCTCAGCATGCCCTCGGTCGGGTCCAGGTTGACGACTAGCGGCTGGCGGCCGACCTTTGTAGAATAGGCAGTCAAGATCTTGGCGAGACTGGTCTTGCCAGCGTTTTCAGGGCCCAGCAACAGAACACGGGGTCCGTCCTTGCTCGATGCCTGGGCTTCTTCTCGCATTGCCTCCAGCGCAAAATGTACGTTGGAGTACTCCACCATCGGTGTCTCTTCAGCGGTGTATTCACTCTGGCAGCCGCCCGCGCCGTGCCCGGCCGTTGGCGTGACTCCATCGAGCGTCATAAAGCCCGTCTCTCCGGCGCTGACCTCCAGCTCACAGCCGTGCCATGTATAGATTGCGCCTTTCGTGCCGGAGAAGGTGTACGTCTGCAACGGTGCGAGTTCTGTTCCGAAGAGCTCTGCCGTACCGGTGAGAAGCTGCGATGAGCTCAGGTCAGCGCAGTCACTTAGGAACGATTTGAAGCTCCAGCGAACAGATTTGCCCGGGATTTCTATGGAATACCACGCACCTTGACCCTCACGATATGCCCAAATGCGACCTCGAACCTCCACTCCGAGCCAGAGCTCAGGGCGATCTGCGACGGTGGAGCAGCGGCGAATTGCCTCTCCTCCGAGGGCTGTGTCAACTCTAACCCCGGGAGAGACATTGCGTCGCCCGTTTCAAAAATTCAGAGAAGAATGATGAGAGAAAGTGCAAGGATTCGGATCAAAGACGGAACAATGCGCGGAGTTGGAGAGCTATTGTTTTACATGTTTGCACTCGTCCCGCAGAGTCGCATCATCGCAGTTCTTCGTCTGACCTCGCAAGGAAAAAAGTACCCTGATATGGGCCTTTTTGAATTCGCTACATTTCATGGTTAGGCCGTGCGTGCATATATTTCGAGGTTTATCTACAAGTGAATGTGAATGGCTTTTGAAATGTTTAGATATTGCTACGTTAAAGCGATCTTCACTACAGCGCAGGGCAGCCAAAGACAAACAACGGAATCGAGTATTTGGTATCCAGAGAAGGGGGAGGGGAATAAATCGATGGGAGGATGGATTCGGAACATGTCTCTTTAGTGATTCGGGGATAGAGGGTACAAGCACGTGTCGTTCTCAAAGTGTAAGGGGAGATATTAAAGGAAATGATGTCAAGGAAGTACAGTGCACACTCGAGGAGGGCTGGGGAGGAATATATTTATCATCAAGACAACGGAGATGGGAAATCGGGGAGAGGGGATTGAGCTTGCCCTATCGGTACCGGACAAGCGCAAGGAGTGTAAGACGATCCTCGGGGTTGGAGCAGCCGTTCAGCATGTCCAATGGCGGGACGGCATCATGGGAATTGAAAGGGAATGAGTACTGCCTGGATATAGTCCTCCAGGCTCGACCAAAGCCTGACCTAGAAGAAATAGGGGATTGAGGCACTGGGCTCAGTTAGCAAGCAATATATAAACCAAACAGGTAGAATCCACTTACGCAAGAGCAAAAGCAGCGGAAACACCGAACAGAGCACGGTTGCGGACACGCTCGCGCTTGAGCTTGTCCTCCAACACCTTGGCCTTCTTCACCCGTTGGGCGGACTCGGCCGCAGTCTCCTCGTCATCCTCCTCGGGCTTGCGCTTCTTCGTCACCTTGGCAGATGACGATCCCTCGCTCTGACCCTTGATGGCATCGGCCACCATTTCCTTGGCCTTGGCGATCATATCCTCCGTTTCGGCCGCGGAGGGCACTTCCGGCAGGCTGATGGGCGTGTCAAGTGAAACGATGGTCTGGGAAGTCTTGCCCTTGGGTGTGGCTTCGGTGGTCTCGGTGACCTCGACCTCGGTCTCCTTCTCCTTGGCTTCCTTCTTCTTCTTCTTCTTCTCGGTCTTCTTCTCTTCCTTCTTGGCCTCCTTCTCATTTTCCTTCTCCTCTTCGGCCTCAGCAGCCTTCTTGGATTTCCGGCCCTTCTTCTTCGGTGACTCGGTGGTCTTCACCTCAATCTCCTCCGCGGCAATCAGCTTAGACTCTTTCTCCTCCGACTCCATATTGGCTGTGATTGACAACGCTTCTTGAAGTGAGTTGTTGGCAGCCGCTGTTGACGGAGTGCTGGGGACATCCTTCGCAGACTTGGAATTCCGGGACTTGCGAGGCGAGAGGGACTTCTTGCTGGGCGACACCGAGCGGCGGCTACGGCGCTGCGACGGAGTGTGATCATCCTCGGGCAGATCGAACTTGGGTGGGGGGGTGATCTGCTTCTTTGCGCTTGACGGGCTTTGCACGATATCGGTAGGATCCAACAAGGCGCGCACCCAGTCATACATCTGGTATTCTCGAGCAAGTTCAAGAGCTGAGAAGACGGTTAGGATAAAGCAATGGTGTACATAAGCCGGTGAAGTTGATAGACCTACCAAACAGCGGGGAAATCCAAACATTGCCAGCCACTTCCTCCTGGCTCGTGTACTCTCGAGACTTCAGGTACTCTCTCTCATTCTTCTCCTCGTCGGTCTTGGCCCAGGGGAAAGCGATCTTGAACATGCCCGTTGCGCTGACGAAGCCATCCTTGCTCCGACGCTGTTTCCCACGTAGAAGATTAGCGACTGCTTATCATAGCATGTTTTTTTTAATGATCGGCATCTCTTACCATCAAGAAGTAGGTTTCTGGGTGCGAGACAGCGGGGTGCGAGGGGAAGATCTCGGAGCCCTTCAGATCCTGGGGCAAAGGGGCGCGGAGGTGGGCGTACTCGAAGACGCCCAGGTTCTCGGGCTTGGTAGCATTCGACGAACCAATGAGGGTGGGCTTGACGGCCAGGTTGGTCTTGCCGAGACGGCGGCGCGCAAGAAGCTCATCGTCTAGAATCACGGAGGGAGATGGGTTAGCCATGGCGGCGAGAAAAAATGAGGGCAGGTAGGAACGATAAGGCGGGACAGCGGTCGCATGAGGGGCCGCGCGACCACGCATTTCAAGAGGAGACTTACATGCCGGAGAGACGTCGCTGAGAATCAGCGGGTTAGTCCTCTTAGGGAGAGTTCGCGACATGCTGGGCGAGTTGCGAGACGATCAAACGAGCACGGTCAGATGCGAAGAGAAAGTTGCGCCAATGGCAGCCACGTAGCAGGCGCGTCGCAAATAGACGGTCGAGATCGGATATCAAAACCGACAAGGAACACGAACGCGGGGTAGAAAGAACGCGCCAAAGGTCTGAGAATCAGAACAATAAAGTAGTCCACCAAAAAGACGACTATAAAAGAAAAGACAATCAGGGGAGACGCCCCGTCGCGACGGAATGGGGAGTCTCCCTGTATGAGCCTTGACTTCTTCCGGCATGGTCCGGTTTGTGTATCGTATGGGGCTTGTAATTGTCCACTTCTATTTGTCAATGACAAAGTTACGCCGTTACGGAGATACACTTCGTTGGGGCGTTGGCCCCGTGACCTCTGCATTCCTGAGGCATTCAACTCTGTTTACTTCGAACACTCAACTTTCCCGCGTATAGTGGTTTGCTCGTATTAAGTACTTGGAACGATAGTACTTCTGATCAGGCTGCGCCCCTCCCCCCAGGTGGAGTCCATCTAGCTACACTCCAATAATAACGGGCTCAACTGGCTCCCACAATTTAGTTGCCTCTGGGCCTAGATCCTCCATGCCGTGTACTGTGTACCGCCACGAGGACCATCCCACCCGGATGGCCAATATTGATGAGCTCTACCACAACACCACCCTCGTCTTCATAGCTGGTACTGCCAAAGGAGGGATAAGCTCGTATACGCCGGAAATAATAGATATGCGGCGCGTATGTATGCTGCAACGCGTTCTTAAGTTGTTGCGAAGATCCGAATAGCCTCGCCCCTCTTCCTCCACCGCCTTTCTGTAACCCCACCACGACTCAGGAGACAAGTGGGTGATATCTTTCTCCTCTTCCCTCCTGTCTAATCCTCTCCTGTCACTTGTCAATCTCTATTTCTCCTTCCCCAATTCCCCGTTGACCGACCTCTTCCCCTCCCAACCAAACTTACCCCCACCACATCAACACCAACAACAACAAGAACAACAATGGCCGACCACCACGACGACGATCTTGCCACCAGCAAGACCCAGGGCTTCAAGGTCGGAGAGAAGAAGTCTCTCCAGGAGTACCAGGAGCTCGGTTAGTTCCTTCCCTTTCGTGCTCAATTACATTCTACCACCGACCCTGTACTGACGCTGCTCCTCCCCCTGCAGACAAGGATGACGAGGCCATGAACCGCTGGAAGGCTTCCCTGGGCCTGAACACCGGCGACCCCATCGGCCAGCCCAGCGACCCCAAGTGTGTCATCAAGTCGCTCGCCCTGGTCTCCCCGGGCCGCGAGAACGTCGTGATCGATCTGTCCACCCCTCAGTCTCTCTCGACTCTGAAGGACAAGCCCTTCACTATTAAGGAGGGTGCCAAGTTCCACATCAAGGTTGTCTTCCAGGTCAATCACGATGTCTTGAGCGGTCTCAAGTACGTGCAGGCTGTCAAGCGCAAGGGTATCCGTGTGAGCAAGGATGAGGAGATGCTGGGCAGCTTCGCCCCCAGCACCACCGACAAGCCTGTGTATGAGAAGGAATGTGAGTAGCCATCAATTTCGCTATACACTGATCGCATTGGCTGACTCTTCTTTCCCAGTCAACGAGGAGGAGGCTCCTTCGGGCATGCTCGCTCGCGGCCACTACAACGCCGCCTCTCGCTTCGTTGATGATGATGACCACACTCACCTCCAGTTTGATTGGTCCTTTGACATCGCCAAGGACTGGTAAACAGTTCAAAGCCCTTGGACTGATACTACGTTGAATTCTTGAGCGGCTACATTGTTTCCACGCGTGACGAATTTCCTTTTGACTCCAAAAGCCTGGTAGAGATGGATCCGGCTCGGGCCCGTTTACTTTGCACGGATTGAAGCCCTCATTCTTGGGCAGATATTGTTTGTTGTCTTTTTCTTTTCAAGTCTCCTTTTCATGTAGATGTTTGTATGTGTCACATGTTCGAAATAGCCAGCCTTGCTAGACCCGTGAATGTGCAGTCATATTTTCTTTCCCCTTCCCCAACTCCTGTATGGTGTACGGCATAATTAAACAAGCTAAAAACAAAATCCAGGGGTATCACAAGAAATAGTCAATCACTGGCTGCGAGTCCCTGTTCTGCTGTGCCTGCTGCTCACTGCGATGCACATCATTTTCAGGGGCCGCGTCAAAGATGTTGAAGAAGCGCTCCATTTTATCACCCACCTCCAGCACACTGGCGAGGTTGCCACATCTGTAGCAGTAGTTGGGCGCACTCCAAACCGTGCTCAGCCGGTCATCAAACAGGACCTGGTAGCCCTCATTACAGAGCTGGTGGGCCCGCAGTATGTGGGACATGTTATTCACCTCGAGGAATTTCCGAACCACCTGGGCACCAAATGTATATCCAGCGCCTCGAGGAGAAAGAGAGAATTCATCTCGGTCTGGATCCGGATCAGACCAAACCAAGTCGGCCATTGGTCCTTCATGTGGAATCTCTCGAAACCGGTCAATAATCTTAATCTGGTCGATAGAGTGGATAGAAGGAGAGAGACCTCCATGCACACAGAAGATCTCGTCGTTGATCACGACACTTAGCGTCAAGTAGTCAAACATATCTGTAAAGTAATGCCACACATTGGCATTTCCATATTTGCGCGCACACTCGGTATAAAAGCCGTAGGATTGGGTAACGCCGCGGGACTCGTGGTTGCCGCGGATTAGGTGTACTCGGTCCGGATAGCGCAGCTTGAGGCAAACGAGCAGTGAGATAGTCTCTACACTGAAAAGGCCACGATCGACATAGTCCCCTACTCACGTCTAAGTCAGCAACTCCTCTCACACATACAGAAAACAGAACCAACCTGCCCCTCACGGACAAGCAGAGCGGGAAACTAACCGAGGAAAAGATAATTTGTGTTGGGACAGAAGCCACCGATCCGGAAAATCTCCAGCAAATCGAAGAACTGGCCATGGATATCCCCCACAACAGTCACCGGCGCCTTGATATGAACCACATTGCTCTCTTTCATGAGCAGCTCCTTAGTCTTGGCACAGATAGCCTCGATCACGGGCTCGGCCAGGAGCTCCTTGCGATAGAGTCTCTCGATGCACTCATCTAGGTCGATACTGGCTGGGACCGACGTCAGCTTTGCTTACCGAAGCTCGGAGGGGGCCGAGGCCGGAGTGACGGCTGGCTGCAGCGCACAACATACTAGGAAGGCCAGGCATGGCGACGAAAAGCTGTGAAATTCACCCGAAAGGAATGGAACCACCCCCTAACGAGAGCTCCGGAGGTATAGTTAAACAGATGATTACCAGAAAATAGTAGCAAGTGGATGAAAGCCGGCGGTGCTCTGTGAGGCTAAGAGAAGGAAGCCAAAAAGAGACGACAGGGACAATAGCGATCAACGAGAAATGGGATTGGAGGGTTGGTTCACAGCGGGCATCATGATCACGAATACAATCACCACTTCGATAAATGTGTAGTATCGTCTCAAGCAGAGAGATCCAAAGCCTTTTGAGGAAGACTCCGAGCTGCACTCCGTCGGGGCGCGTTCTGCCGTCGTGTACCGCTTATCATACACGTGATCGGCTTCCATCTTCAGATCTGGAAGTATGCACTTGACATTTTTGGCACCTTCCTGCTGTAACAACCTTGCTCCATGGGTTTCCAAACACATACAGGAATAGTTTATTCATGCAGGGCCTGATAAAACTCCCCGGGTACCCAGAGCTTGTATAACGCTCCGAAAGTGCCCAACCAATTTACAATTTGCCTCATTACTTGTCTCTTGCATGGCCGAGAAATATAACACAAGTAAAAAGGATGTGGCGGGCCCACTTTGTGCATCACCCATGCCCGGTCATTACTAACTGAGGTGCCAGCCTATGAGAAAGATAGTAATGATCTTCAATGGATAGAATGATTCAAGCCAAAGGGTTGTAGTATGGTGGTAAGAACTATAGAACTCAGATCTTCCACGTAATAGGACATTTCTATTCAATATAATATCAAGTCTATTCATCCGCTCCAAGCCGCCTGCTATACAAATCCTAAGCCCTATGACCAGACTAACCGAGCAGCTGCTGAGCCTCCTTGTGAACAGCCTCGCTCTCAGAATCAGTTTCAGCTTCCTCGTCATCATCATCCTCCTCCTCCTCCCCTTCATCCTCATCAGACTCTTCCTCTTCGGAGTCTGTCTCATACTCATCAGAATCAGTTTCACCCTCCGACTCCGTTTCAGATTCTGTCTCTTCTTCCTCTTCATCAAGCCACTGATCAAGACTCTTCTTGTTGGATGACCCTGAGAGAGGCGCAGCATTATGCCGATGCGGCGTGGCAGTAGTCTGATGCTCGCGAAGTGCTCGGTCCAAGCGTTCGCCGGCAGTCATCGAGGACTGGAGGGTGGTTGATTCGGGCTTGACGTCTTCGGTGCGCGAACTTGGGTCTGGCTCCTGTCCTAGCTCGACCCAGTCGGGAATATTGACGTAACCGCGGAGGCCGTGGTAACCCGCTTCGGGACCGGTGACAAGGGTTGCCGTTCCGATGAGGAGGTCTTTGCGTGTTTCGGAGGGACTCGGGGCGTGAGGGACGGGCTTGGGGGCCAGAAGTAGCAGGTTAGCCAGTTGTGTGGATGAGGGACTGGCGAGGAGGGCTTTGTAAAGACGGGCGCGGTCACGGAGATCGTATGAGCTGTCATAACGTGCGAGAAGGAGGATATAGCGCCAGAGCAGGGTGATGCGATCTTCCTCTTCCTCTTCCTTTGCTTGGTCTTTTCCTTTTTCATTGTTCTCGTCTTCTGGCTCCTGACTGGGTTCTTTTTGCTCCTCGGTTCGGTCCTCGGTCCACTCGTTGTGAATTTCCTGTTCAAGGTTGGCTGGAAGCCTGGGCGATGCTGGAGGCTCCTCCTTTGAAGGCCCCGGTGGGTTTTGTAGCAGATGGTGGAGGTAAACCTTGGCACCAAGTAGGACAATTTGTTGTTTAACAACTTCTGTTTCATCGGCAAATCCTTGAATAAGTATGCGGAGAACATCAGGTGCAATATTGTTTCCCGGGTCCACGCCCGCGAACTCGCCCACTAGCCAGATAATCGTAGCTCTTGCGTCGGGGTTCGTTGTTGTGCCAAGGTATGTAACGAGTTGAACAACAGTTTGCTTATGGGAAGACGGATCCTGCTGGATCAAATGGCGGATGACGGTCAAGGACTCGGAAACAAGGTTGCCGTCCAGACTAGAGATTTGGCCAAGCAGGATTCGCAAGCACATGTCGGCAGTTTTGGCGTCCCCCTGTGCACATCTCCCAATAGCTCGCACACTTTCTCGAACCAATTCGGGGTCGGTGCCCTTGGAGAAATGTTCCAGTTCGCTGATGATTACACCCTTCCAATGTTTCCCGCAGTGGGGGAACACAATAGTCAAGGCCTCCAACTTCAAACGCCAGATATGCGGTGGGTCGTTGGCGTGAACGAGGAAGCGAGCGACATATTTTGTAAATGGTTTCGGGTCTCTCAAGGCCACCACAACAATGTTGTAGAGAGCAATCAGCTGCATGTCTCGAGGACTTCGGAGCAAAGCCACCAAAGGGCCTATGGCCGAGGCAAGGTACTCCGGGGGTGCCAAGTAAAGGAAACAGCGAACAACGCTGACAATGACGGCCGAGTTGCGATTCTGCAACAGCAATTTGCATGCTCGAAGCAGCAGTTCGAGATCTGGATCCAGGATTGGAACTTCGTATTCTTCGCCACCATCCTGAGCGTTCTGCCCCTGATCCTCGTCCTCATAGAATGGTTTAGAGACCGCTTGCTTGATCTTTTGAGTCCGGCGAGGGAAGCATTGGCGAGCATAGAATGTGAGAAGGCGTAATGTTGAGAGCTGACTCCATTCGTCCATATCTACAAGCTTCTTCACCAAGCTGCGATAATGCTTGTGAACAAGGTCAATTTGCTCAGGGCAAACCTCCAAGAATGCGGCAACCGCCGGACCCACCACGAAGTATTGGGAGTCACCAAGGAGCGTTGAGATATACCCGATCAACTGCGGCAGTGTGTTCGGGTCTAAGCGATAGCACTTGGGAATGGCCAAAGCCGCTGCTTTCCGCACATGGGGGCTCATATCGCCGCATCCGCGCTTGATGGCCAGTGACACGATCTGGCTGATAACCGGCACGCGGATACCGGACATGGTTCGCAATGCCATTGTCCGCACTTGCGGGTTCGAATCTGTGAGAGATTTCTGGATCGCATTGATTGATAGCAATGCCAGATCTGGTTCCGCTTCCGCATGGTCGACCAGGTAGATGTAGACCAGTTTCTTGACTTCGAGATTAGCGCTGGCGGCGTTCTTGACGACGGCCGAAAAGAAGGTCATGGAGGGCTCGGAGCGGTACATCAACTTCAGCGGTCGCAAAGATAAATGAGTTAGTCACTGCGTTCGTCCTCGTCCATTATTGGGGCACGATCATACCGAGATAACCCGCCGCATTCCATCCAGGACCTCCCGCTCATGGCGACTGTCCAGCAGCTTTTTGATGTGAGCGACGCTGTAGGTGCGCGAGGAATAATCGGTCTTAGAGCTTCGGTTGCTCGTAGCGGACTGGGCGGCCTCCAGGGTGAGCTCTCGAGCTATGCGCACAGTGACCACCGATCAGTCCAAAGTCTCCGGGCGCGTACAACCAAACACAAACTGACGTACCTGTTTCCAGCATCGAGGATATCCTGGATATGGTCTCCATTGTAATTCCAGCCTCCGAGGGGCCCCAGTGTGAGAATTGACTGGGAGTGATGAAGGCAGGTGGGGGAGGCAAGGCGGAGGAGCATGACCTCCGCGGCGCAAAACGGACTCCGCTGATCTCTACCACAACCACTCTCCAAGTCTATGGCGGGCTGCAACCCAACGCCATGATTTTGGTCCAAACACACCAGTTCACGGGGCAAATGACAGATCGCAAAGTGAAGATTTTGCGATTCCAAAGCAGGTGATGCGTCATGGGCCAAATACGAACCGTCGCTTTCTGCAGCCTGGTAACTGATCTTCTACAACAATTGCTCGACACCGGTACAGACACCCGACTCATCGTCTGCGGCACCAGAACCGAATTTCTGGTGCAACTAGCAGCCGCTATTCACTCACAACGCGCCGATTCGAGTGCGATACCTCGTCATGACCTCCTCACCCAAACAATTGGGTTACTTGCCAACTCTAGCCGGATCCAACTGACGTTCTGCTCATCTCTGGAGAGTCTTCGGGCCTATCTTGCAGCTCTGGGATCAACTGGTAAAGAGCAACCAGGCAAACAGCGACTACTGGCAATTCTGGATATGGTTGCTTTACACGGAACCACTACGGAGTTCTCGGCCCAGGGACTTTCGAGAACATTTGCTGCAGCAGTTGAGACGGCCTCCCGTGTAGGATTAGACCTGATGCTCTGCGAATGTACCAACTCCGTGACCCCTACGAGTGACGATTGGGGTGGAAGACTCTGGGATACGCGAGTCCCCTTACTAAATGGCTCCGTCCGGATACGCGGCGAAGAAGGCAGTTGGGGCGGACGTGGCGTGACCATTAAACAAATAGCCCAACGCTGGTTCGACTTTGACGAAGAAATACGCTCATAAAGATATATGGTGTCGATTGAAAATGAGAAAAAGTGAGCCAAAACACTTGCAACATGATGAAACTCCTCGAAATGAACCTGTACTGCCCGGGTATCCTTGACTTAACCTCTGAACTCCTGAACCGTAAAGCCACAAAACCGATTCCTCACAGTGACTTTTCCACCTCCGTGATGTAGAGCTTGATGTGGGCTTCCAGCTTGAGATATTGATCATGGGCTGATTGAATCTCACTCTCGATGTTTTCTTTAAGATCGACCATCTAGAATGGGTTAGCAGGATGGTCTCACAGCTGCGATACCAAAAACGTACTTTCTTCTCAGTCTGCTCAATGCGAATCCGCCTGCGCTCCATGTCACGTTGTTTCTCTGCTCGCTCCTCGCGAAGCTGCTTCTGGACATTGCGGAGCTCCTCCATCCGGGCCTGAGCAATCTCGGCCTTCTCCTGTGCATTTTTGCGAAGACCCTCGATTCTCTCGTGCCAACGGGCCAGTTGCCGCTGCAGGAGCTTCTCAGTCTGTTCCACTTCCCGGACGCTGTTACCTCGATCCGAAATCGCCTCCTTGTTGCGGGCCGCGCGGGACTCCTCTTCATCTTCCTTTTGGAGCTCGGAGGAAATGTCATCGAGTAGCTTCACGCACGCTTGCACGTCGTTGGAAACAACCGTAAAAGTATCCGAGGAGGTCTGGAGAGCGCGTGCCCGCTTCTCCATCGCGTCGATCTGAGCCTTTTCGCGCATGAGATTCTCAGCCAATTCGGTCAAGGACGACTGCAAGGTGGCGGGAGACTCGAGAACATAAGGCCGCAGCTTTTCGGCTTCTTGACGGCTCCGGACGGTCTTCTCCATCTTTTCCTCCAGTTGTTGCTGCCGCCGTTGCCTCTCGCTCTTGACTCGGTCAAGTGTCTCTGCCACTCGTGACTGCTCTCGGCCCAGCTCTATCAGGCGTGCCTTGAGCTCGTCGTTCCTGGCCACTTTCTCGCGAACCTGAGACTCGTTGGCTTGTTGGTTCTGTCGCATCTCCGCTAGGCGTTGCTCCATTTCCTGGTTCTCAGCGAACAGCTCATCGATGCGCGATTTGGTTTTCTCGGTTTTGTTGAAGTGCTCGTCGATTATGGGTGTCTGCGACTCGCGGAAGCGAACGAAGTTGATGAGATAGGAGAAGATCTTAACAAGTCGGTCGTGGGTCGGTTTTGTCAGGTCGGTGAAGGTAAAGTCGTTGACGCCGCACTATAGTGTGGACAGATGAGATTAGTCGCGGTGCTTAATGCGGTTTCTTGTAACAGTGGTCAGGTACCTCCGTTAGTAGTCTCCGAACGCTTATGAAAAATCCCATGAGGTTCCGAGTATCATTGGGGACGATGTCGGGGTAGTCGCCGCATGTATCTTCCGCAGCTGCATGCATAGCTGGTTCAACCGTCTCGCGCGTAATGTTCATGAGAAGCTCGGCGAACCATTCGAAGACCATCTGGATCTGCTGGGGATTCGGTTTGGCCAAGTCGGCTGCCGTGAACGGAATACCGATGTCGTTGATACATCCTGCAATTTCTCTATCAGGCTGTGGCAATGTTAGCTGATGGTCCACTGTGCTTTGGATCCGAGTCTTGTGCAAGACCAAGGTCGGGACTGACCAGGCGCATCAATGCGTCATTATCGTCTTCCTTCTTGCGACCCCGGTTGTGCTGCTGCTGGGAGCCAGCCATACTCATGCGATGGTTGTACGCCATCGCGTTGCGCGAGCGGAGTGATCGCAATCAGCTTTAAGAATGGGAGATCAAGCAGTCGGCAGCGTAGGGAGTCAGGGAGGCGAGTGATGTTATGATTTGCTGCGATTGTTTACTTTGGAGAGGAGCCCGCACGACACCCGCATCGGGTTAGCCCAATGCTGGAGGGGCAGAGTGCAAACACGGCAAACGCCATCAAAGAAATCGTGACTCTTTCAGTTCCTCGAACTTCTCGATCAGAGCTTCTGCCCAGAACACCATGGCTACGATGACAGGAAGCTCGGCTGCGGCGGGCGCGAAGTCATTTGAGTGAGTACTTGCCCCCATCATTGCCCGAGTGCTGTACTCATCCTCCCGCAGCATCGTCGCAACATACAATGAGCTCCTGCGCTCCGATCCCGATCTCACAATGCCCATTGCGGCCATTGAAGCTCTTGTGCTACTTCTGACGAAGGAGCCCTCCTCGACAATTTCCGAAACCCTTGATCTCCTGGAAAAGTCTACCGCACACTTGAAAAAGGCCATCCCCAACCCCATCGGTCTGTCGGCCGGAACCGATCTTTTCCAACGATACCTCATCACCACATTACAACGACCTGGTCAGCTCGGTCCTGCCGGCGACTTTAAAGCCATCCGCACACATCTATTGTCAAATGGACGACTGTTCATTCGGCGCGCAAAGGAGAGCCGAGAGAAGATCGCGACCTTTGGACGAGGGTTCATCCGTGATGGCTGCACGGTGCTCACCAACGGTGGATCCAGAGCCGTCGCATCTCTGTTGCAGAAGGCTGCAGATGATGAAGGCGGCCCCTCGGCGGTGCGCTTCCGGGTCATTTACGTCTTGTCCTCGTTCAAGAATGCCGACGAACCTTCTGGGGAGCCGGAGGGTATGGAGACAGTGCGGGCTTTGAGAGCCAAAGGTGTCCCCGTATCAACGATCCCGGAATCAGCAGTCGCATACGCTCTCGGAAAAACAGATATGGTTATTGTCGGTGCGGAGGGTGTGGTCGAGAACGGTGGTATTGTGTCCCGCATGGGCACCTACCAGATTGGCCTTCTGGCCAAGGCAATTGGGAAACCCTTCTATGTGGTAGCAGAGAGCCACAAGTTCGTCCGGCTGTACCCCTTGGGCCAGTATGATCTGCCAATCAACCAGCACGTCATCGATTTCAAATCAGATGATGACATTACCGAGCAGAAAGAGGAATCGGCCACCCCCAATACCAATGGAAACCAACAAATTGAGCTACCGCTTTGCGATTCGGTGGACTTCACGCCCCCATATCTCATTTCGGCGCTTATTACCGACAGCGGTGTCTTGACGCCTAGTGCTGTCAGTGAGGAGTTGATCAAGATTTGGTTCTAAAGAGCCTAGGACACTCAACTGCCATCGCGAGCTAGTTGGGATCTGGGAACGTCTTTACTACCAAGCTTCTGCGCTCGAAATCTGACGGAAGGCTTTTACGAGTTGATGACATGACGGGGAATGACTTTTGTGGAACTCGCTCCCCACCCCGCAGCCTGCATTCCTTGAGAATGACCTAGAGCTCATCCAGGGCAAACTCAATGTGGGATATTTACCCTGGATGAAGAAGCCCAGAACACTTACTTATTGTCTGTGCTCAGACGCCCGTGGGAAATTCATACCTTTACTTTCCACTATGATATTGTCAAGCCGTGGTAGTTTGGTCTCTTTATTATAAACCACAGCAAAAACTCATAAATTTTGAACACGTTTGTTCTCAAACAGAAGGCAACTCTTGAAGAACATGTAACGCCTTTGCCCAGCAGTCATAAGTTCTGTCATGAACGTCATTCATCAAACGAAGTTGTCCCAGACAATATGAACCCCACTTATTTCAAATATCTTGAAACGTGTTTGTTGATAAAAAGCAAAGGACACGGTGGTGCCGGGTCGAGATTTATTTTGGGTATCATTGAAGAAACTCGATAGTCATAACTCATAGTCGCATAGTCGATCAATGGCCGATGGCCCGACGAAGCGTTCGATTTCACGGCAGTTTCGAAAGGTGGGGCATTGCGTAAATTGTGAAGTGGCGGTCTGAATGCCTCGATGGAGAGGAGGATTGTCTCTATAGCTACTGATCTCACCATTCGATCAGACCCGAGACATAGCGTCGTACAAGTCTCAGCCCGTTATACGATTCGAGATGAAAATAAGCCAGTCCTTGTGCATCGAGGCGAAGGCATATAGCAGTAGATATCCGAGAGCCACGAATATCCATAGCGTTGCCATACTGGCGGCAGAGATGTGAGAAAGTCGGTGAGGGCGAGAGACGACGAGTCGGTAGACCACGGGAGAATGGGAAATGACGACGAAAATCTCAGCTTCTCTCGTCGGTTCAGATACTTGGGGGAATGGGATAATATCAGCTCGTCCGAGTAGAAGATCGCGTGGGAGGAAAAAGAAACAGAAGTCATTTCGGGCTAGGAAAGCGCTTTTGACTATTTTGAAACCAACCAGACCAGTGATCTACAACACATTCCAATAATCTCCGAGATGTTTCATCCAATACCAGTTGGTCGTGCATCGGACTTCCGACCATTGAGAATTCATCCCAAGCGATGTGACTGCAGCGATGCGGGGTTCGGGGAAACGCAGGTCTACGTTGTGTTGATCACAAGGACAGAGAAAAGTCTGTTCCAGACCACGAGGTCCGAATCCGACATTTTGTGTTTTTCGAAAAGTATCGATCGCTTGATGTTTGCTGTCCTCCGCAACAAGAAAAATTGGATCTTATCGCTCGTCGTGTTTAAAAGAATTCCTTAGGACATATTTGGGCCGGTTCCTATCTAACCCGGATTCAAAAATGAATTAATAAGAGGTAGCGATTGCCTCAAACATTTCTTTGGTTCTTGCTTCGACTGGAATAAATAGTGTGATACGGGCTAAGTGATTGAAAATGCGATCCCTTAGAATGGGATAATGTCTGCCACGTGAGGCATTTCCTACCTAGGCGCCGCCCCTCTTATGAGGCCGCTCAGGTCCGAGGATCATCGTAGATGTCAGCACGGGTCTCGAATAGTGAAGGTAACTTCTTAATCAGATGACATGTGTCGAGTATCTTTGGCAATTTTTCGACTAACCTTCAAAACAAGGTAGGCAAATGTACCTTTATAGATTCTAGCAAGAAACAAGCTTGGAAGGGTCGAGATTATTAGCCCTCTCCTTCCATAGCAAGACTCTTTCAAGCCTGAGGCAAAGCTAATCATGAAAATAAGTTGATTGTAGTTGCACTCTTAGTTAACGTGATCGGCGCATGGCCTCGGGTGTTCCACTTTGTTACATATAGTCTGTGAACTTAGGCTCCTTGCGAATCCAAGTCTTGGCGGCGTCTACGATATAAATGTAATCCTTTCAATGCACCGCATATCTCAACATCATCAGAATGGGTTGGAAGGCTATAGGCATCATACTCAAGCCACATATCTCTTGTTCTCGGAGATTCAGCATCTGCTAATGGTTTTCTGCAAAGTGTCCTGGTTAGCCAGATTCAAAAATCAAAGAAAGCGAACTTACTCATTACTGTTGAAGACATCAAAGCCGGTGGAAATAATGAGGGCAGGTCGAGCAAGATCGGCGATGATCTGCTTAACCGGGGCGGCAGCAAAGGCTGATATCACAATCGATTCTTCATCGATTTCCGCGAATCCTCCTGCACCATGATGTCCAACAATTTTGAAGTTCTTCTTGGTCAGGACCTCTTCTGCAGCGCTTGTATACTCTGGGTCCTGGGCGTATAGTGGTATCGTTCCATTGCCGCAATAAACCTGAGCGATAGTAAGAGCCATCGAATGTTGAACCATGCAGCCTGTCACGTTTTTCACTTCCGAAGTCCCATCCCAAGAGTCATGCTGCTTCCTTAGCCATTCAGGGGCAGAGCGGCAGAAGTCACCGAGCCCAAAGCAAAGAAATTTCTTCACAATATTTGTACTGAGTAAGTCCTGTACCAAGGCTGTCAAGAGCTTGCAAGTTATGCTATTCTGCCACAAAGAGTCTTTCTCGTCAAAGACTTGTGAAGGCTGTGCTATAAGCTCCCGAAAGTCTCGTGCAGTCCGATTGCTCCAATCTACCATGTAGGAGCAATGGTAGGTTTCGATCGGGCCGGTGGGTTGCGCTTTCACAAGTTGCCAATATTCTTGGTACTTGACATGAGGTTTCCTAAGAGAACTTAGACTGTCGGCTGAAACCAAATCAGAATACCCACATACCAGATAGGATTCTGTATTTGGAACATAGGATTAGATATTTGGACTATGCTTCCATCAATTCGACGGACGGAGAATCGATCCATTGTATAGGATTGGCCCAACTGTCTCTCTATGTCTTTGAGATCCTCTCTCGTCCAAAGCTTGGTACCAGCTCTGTACAGATCTGCGGCTCGTTGGCTCATGATCCGCCAGTCTGAGCACCCATAGTCGAGAGACATGTGCTCGGGTCTTGCGAGCACACGAGCTGGAGTTTGTGGCATTCCTCTCGTAGCCGCTAGTCGAGCAAGGAGGAGGGAAAAATCAGGTCGTGAGTTGCCTGGAGAAATAATCCAAAATTGTTTTAGGGTGCAGTTCATTCGTGTTTAGAAGGGGCTAGGTTTGGCGCCATTTTGTTCAGCCATTCGTGATTGATTGTTAAGGTACGCTGTCTATAGGGAGATTGTTATGATGGTGGGGTATGGAGGTGTCAGTTGTATTGAAGTTACAAGGTAATGCATAATAAAAACCATATTGTAATTTAAAAAGGACAAAATACACATCCACCTAGCAGGGGTTTCCGGATAAAATCTAACAAGGACTAGTGTGTCCTGGCATTACTGTTAGAAAATTGGTCAAAAAGTATAGGTGGTCGCACCGGTTCGGGACGTACTGTAAGACAACTTCATAATGCTCTAAATACTTTTCTGCTCCAGCTATACGTTCTCATTATTGAATTGAAAAGAGACCTGAACGCGCCGAATGCATGTTCGTTGAGTCGCGTGCTTGGACGCGTCACAACAGGATGCCTCACTTCCCGATCATTTAAGCCAAGATTTGAAGGATCAAGAGGAATAAAGTATACAGAATAGCTATATTCACATACTAAACTTTGATATAATCTCCCGCAGTGGTGGTGTCATCAACCTTGAAACACCTTCCAGGGTATTTACTCTGAAAGATAAACTCGTGACGAACATACTAACTGGAAAGCCTGGCCAATATCACATAGACCCCGGATCTAGCTTCCTGTCACAGAACCAGACAAAACCAGGATCATAACTACTCAAAGTATACTTGGGAACCACCCGGAATCAGATAAACACGAGAACTGGAGGATGCAAATCGCCCCCACAGCTCAACCCCGCTCCCCGGTTCCCGGTCTAACATCATCTGGACTTTTCTGGACCTACCATCCATTCTCACTATACCATCGATATACCACAAAGACCATATCCCGGTTCAAAGCTTAAGCCGTCAAAACTATATTTACCCTATCTCCGATAACATATACTCGAACCGAACCTTGGAACCCCACCTAGCAGTCCACGGGTGCACCCTCCCGACAAACACCTTCAGACATCACAGACCCCGTGAACACTTTGACGATGGATGCCCAGCCATTAACAGAACAACTGCAATCCGAACCCCGCAAGCTCCACGCATCACCCGAGAACGAAAGCGAACACTCCGCGCCCTGCACCGAAGTCCGCAGGTCGTGGTCGCTCAAGCGACTCCTGAGCGGACGCGGTAGCCGTCAATATCGTGTCTTGGAACGAGAGCCGAATCGGCTGCGAAAACGTGTCAGTACGTGACAGCGGCGAATTGTAGAAGCCAGGGAAAGTGGCGGTGACAACGTGTGCAAGGACGGGCGTTGGCCTGATCTAGCCTGCCCTACCCTATTCGCTAGGGTAGAGTTGGGAGCTGATGGGGCAAGGGTAGTTGTCCAAGGTGGTTTGCTGAAGGCTGAGGAATATATGATGTTGCTTGGAGATTTGACTTATCCGCGTTAGTTTGATTACATGGGTTGCCGGTTTGCATCCGATCGGCGTTTATAGAGGAACGGGGGATATACGAGGAACTAGGCGGCATTTGTGTATTCATTATTCCATATGGCTCTTTTGATTTGATCTGGATTTAGAGGAACTAAGGAGATATTCCTACGATTGCTTATTGCCGAGTTGGGTTTCCACCGTCTCCATGGTAAAACCCTCATAGAATATCCCAATGGCCCAACCAGCGCGCCACGATTTCTGCGTCAAGAATTAATAGAGTTGATAAGAAGAAACATGCATCGGAGGCTGAATCAAATGCCGCGGCGTGTTTTGCTTTCTACGTTGAGCAGCAGCTGCCGGGGTCCCGGCGTAGCTTTATTGGATATAAGTTCGGTCCGCCTCCGCGCTATCGACGCCAAGTAGGGTAGCTGGGGCCGGGTAATCCGGGTAGATCGGTGCTGCACGTCTTGATGCCCAAGTTTGTCTCAAACAGACCCGGAAATTGGCTTCTATGCCCGAGCATTTTTTTTTTTTTTTTTGGAGATAATTGAACTGTGAGTGTGTTCGATAGGGGACCCATAAACGCCGGAACCGTGTTCTTTGTGATTGATCTAACTGAGAATTGTCTCAGTTGGAAGCGGGGGGCTCTACTAGACTGAAATGGACCGAGATAAACTGAGACCATCAGTCCCACCCGCAAAGTGCAGGGCGAAGGCACCCGCGAATACTGACATGGGGAAGAAGACTCAGGCTGGAGTTGAAAGGCCTGCTGATGCCGTCATATCATATCGGTTGCTGTGAGAAAGGCGAAGATGTAACAAACTACAAAGAAAAGAAAGGATAAAGCTCAGGATCTCCGATCTTACCGCGTGATCTCGTGTTACCCCCAGACATAGTTGTGTTGCCGATGGAGTTGCGAGTTGCCGGGCGGATTGGCAATGAGGGAAAGGCTTGTAATTAGCGGTAATTTGAGACCCCGGCCGCCGTGTGTGGTGGCAGGGACATGTTCTCGAAGCCACGCAGTTGCCCGGTGCCACCACTAACACGAAACGGGAGCCGGACTCCCTGCAGATACCAGGTCGGAGCCCCAGAGTCCCAGGCGCAAACAAGAAGAAAAAGCTCATCATGACCACAACATTAGACCGACCGTAGCTCCGACCGAAAGGGCAACAATATCGACGATCGTCTACACAGTCAACACAACCCCCAAAGTTCCTGTTCCTGCAGGACCGCAGGTCGGCAGACAATCGGTCATATTAAGGAGACGTGTTGTGACGGGCGAGTCCACGGTACAGGCCCGTGTAGCGGGCCAACCACCACGGGTTGCGTAAGATGGGGTCCCATTCCCGCGAGTCAAAGTGGTTTAGCACGTCCAATGCCCACGGTGGGCTCGGGTTCCACCGGGCGCCCAACGGCGGGTTTGACTTCCGGAGTCACAGAGGCACGCGCGCGGTGCACGAGATCTGTCAGTTTTGTCGCGGCGGCGTCCGAGGGAGAAGGCATTACAGTAGACTCGTCATGGACGGTCCCATCCGGATTCGGTTTCGCGATACCTTGCACAGGACGGTTACAGTAGGGGCCAAGTGGATAACCCGGTGTTACTCACCCCACAGTCCGCCGATGACGAAATGGGACTCGCCGATCCCCTGAGGCGCTGTTCGACGCAGTAGGATCGTATCGACTACCCGTGGTTCCAGTGTCATGCATAAGGGCCGGCAGGTACCAGGTACAAGGACCAGGACCGGGAACCAGGACCAGGACCACGGTAGAGGGCCGATGGGGGGAAGTAAAAGAATGTCGGGCTTATTTATAGGGGAAAACAATTAAAATAAAATTGTGCCTTGGGGCATTTTCGGCCCTCTGTTCTGGGCCCTTTTTGGAGCCTTTCTGGTCGTGGGTCTTTTTTCCACCCATGTTCCATTTCCATTTTCCATTTTCCATTTTCCATTTTCCATTTTCTCTATGATCATCTCTCTGTTCTCTTCCCTGTCTTGTTTTGTTTGCCTCTGGTGACGGCTAAGCCACTATCCCTTTCTCGACTCCTCCACGTTCGCTGTTTATTTACCTCGTGTCCTTCGAAACCTAAACAACGCTATACCCACGTATGACGCCGGTGGCCAACTCGTCTCACTTTCGCTGCCTGTTGACTTGACCCCAACTTTCCCCCCATGAGTCCAGTCATCAGATCGCGTACGACCTCGGACTGACTCGCCGCGCCCGCGGTGCACTTCTCGCGCCATGGCGATATGGCCCTTCGGCCGCAAAAGTAAGCGGCATACGATCCAGGTCAGCCCGGACGAGGCCGCCGCTTTGCAGACGTCGCTGGAGCAGGATCTCTCTGTGGAGCCGGCCTTAGGCCGCAAGCCTTCTCGTCGTCTTTCCAAGCGCCAGAACAATCGCATGTCGCGTGGCGGTGATGGTTCAGACAGCGTCCGTGACTCGACTCGCACCTCTTCGCATCGTCCGATCTCGCTCGATCACCGAATCTCAGAACAACAAGGTCACCCCGAACCGAACACTGTTCCGCAGCGACGACTGTCGCTCACCGGATCGCTGTCAAAAAAGCAATCTCCCAATGGACCCAACAAGCTCCGAAAAAGCAAGCGCCGTACGGACGAGATCCTGCGCGAGCGACAAATTCGTATGTTGTCGTCGACCCCGATCGATATCCCGCGCCGATCCACCGCCCCCGACGGCGAACATGCGCTGGAACATCGCAAGAGGAGAGCAAATGGCCGGCGCGTTGACCGCTACATGTCAGATATCAGCCTTTCTATTCGGGATTCTGCTGCCTCCTCCATATCCGACGTATCCGACCCTTTCACTTATAAGGTCAACGCCTTCGCTGCGCTGACCCCACGGCCCATTGTTCGCTATGTCGAGGCTCCTCGACTCCCGACAGCCAAAAGCCAGGAACCCCCCGCTAAAGAATCTCGACGTGACAAGGATCGAATGCAGGCTTTGGCAACGTCGGATGATAATCTCTACTACTCTAGACGCCGTGTGAAGGAACTGGCCGATTCATTAGATGCAGGGGGCCTCCGCGAATTACTAGACCGAGATCGCCGACGCCGAGAAAAGCAGCAAATCGACGATCAAGAGAAGCTGAGGCGCAAGTTGCAGAAACGAGCCGACCAACAAGCAGCGGAAGAGAAGCGACAGGCGGTGGAAGCAACCACGGAACCGCAGCCTGAACCCGAGGTTTCGGCTGATATGCAAAATGATATGGAACAGCAGGAGGGGCATATTGAAATCCAGATCGACGAGCCCACTCCTGCAGAGGTATCCGAGTCTGGGTTAGGAGGCGAGTCCAAAGGTAGCGATGCTGCCAGGCCTGCGTCTCTGGACAGCGCCAACGTCATGGGAAACATTGACGATAGCTCTGTCCGCGAGATTCCCAAGCTTTCCACACGCCCCAGCTTTGCGCCTTCACACGAGATGGGCATGTCGCGAACCACGCTCTCCCCGTCCCATTCCTCTCTCCGACACGGAATCAACAGCCCCAGTCAATCACAAACCTTTGGCATTGGCTCAGCTTCTGATCTTTCGGACCGTCGATCATCCGATACCAGTGGTCGCCGTGGGAATACGATCACATCGTTGTTCCGACGTGGCTCTTCCCGCCTCAAGCGGCGCTACCGTGAGCGCTTCCAGGACTCGGCTCCCGAGGTTTCGAATTCCACGCAACCTTCGAACGAGTCGTTTTACAAAATCCACACCCAGTCATCACCTCCACAGCCCTCTATCATCCCACCGAGATCATTCATGCCCCCTGGAACTGTCATGCGTTCCCACTCCAAGTTCACAGAGCACTTTGACTTTGGCGACGAGCCTCTGTCACCCCCGGACTCGCGCTTGCAGTCTCCCGATATTCCTGAGCAGGTGCCCGAATCCTCGCTGGAGAATGAGTTTGACAGCACCTTCCTGCATGGCCCTACTTCCAGTGCGGGCATGGATATAGTTAACCCTCGTCGACGCCGCCACCAGTCATGGAACGGCAGTATCGACCCTGAAACCGGCAATGTGCCCCTCTCGCAGTCTCTGGCTTCGATCGACTCTGAGGGATCTTGGATGTCTGGTGACTTCTTCCGTCGGATGTCCCACAAGCCCGGCAGTCCCGTCCGTGCGACCATGACTTCCTTTGAAGCCGCCATGGATGGCCCTGTCGATACACATGACGACTCGCGGGACTCTGTTGATTCTCGTGGAGCAAGTAGCCATGTCATGGGAGAGCCGGAGATCGATGACGAGATCGCTGGCTCTGATGCAGGCAAGCCCTCCGAGATGTGGCACCACAGTGAAGTTGGTCGTCGCCCCATCCTCGTCAACCCCACTTCTCGTCCCAAGTCCATCCAGGGCATGCTGAAGAGCATCCCCTCCCTTTCCCCCATCTCGGCAGAGGAGGATCACAGCTCCGAAGAGGAGACTGTCCCTCCCACGGATTTCCACCGAGTGGCCAGCCAGCATGGTGAAATTGGCCATGCTGAGTTGGAGCAGGATTAAACCCATCTGTTTCGGGCCATTTGTTTATTTGGCCACATACATAACCTGTCACTCCTTTAGATTTTTCCTTTGTTTTTTCCTTTGTTCGCGCCACCTTGAGGGTCTCGATGCTGCTATCTACCCCTTGTATGATGTGATGTCGGGCCCATCAGCCTCATGGCACTCCATTTTTCTGTCTCCTTAAGATCCTTGTTTCCATCCTTGTTTCCATACCCCTTCATCCCAGTTGACCCTGCCGAGCTTGTCATTTACGACGCTTACCATTCGATTTGTTGATACCCCCCATGTTTTCGACTGTTTTCCCCAGCATCAATGCACGCCTCCTGTTTCAATAGCCGGGTCGATTGACCCTTTCCCAGCCCTGTAAACTTTGATCCACATAGCCAGAGTGGATGTTCCATTGGCTACCTTCATTTCTGTACCGTCCCCCGACGGTTTGTTGACTGTTTTTAATATACACCTTTCCCTGTGATTCGCTGGACGATTCCACGTCTGTATTTCTTCTACTAGTTGCTCGGGTGATTTACACAAGCACCATGTTAGATACTGCTCCATAGACCATTGTTCTTCCATCTCTGTCATTCAGCTAGGACCATGTTTTGGTGCCCGTATACCGAGTAATAGCGGTGTTTGTACTGGCCAGACACGGCACGGCGAATCGGCCTTTGAATCTGTCAGAAAATGCTGGAACGTACTTTGAAATCAAGATAATTGCGTCATGTATGACTCTATCTTGCATATAATCCTCAAGAACTATCTAGCTTTACGAACCCTTCATACCTTGAGCTATACCTACCTTAAGGTAAGATTTTTATAAGTTAGTCCAGAAGCGTCCAATTCGTAAGCAACCGATCACGTCATCTCAGGCCACGAATACTGCCACCACCCACCGCTCCATCTCCTTTTCCCTCGGGACGTCAAACCACGCGCAATTGGACAATTCGAGCCCAGCTAAGAACATCACCGAGTGATTAATCCTGCCATGCAAGCAGTAAGTCGCCCCATTCCATAATCACACCCGTTCCTTCAAGCAGAAGGTGGAAAGGGCCGTGGCCAGCCATTATTCAGCGGCCCTTACCTAAGCCTTCGGAGGTCGGAACGTCATCGCCCTATAAAAACCACCCGCCCCTCACCATATCTGCCCCTCCTTGAAAACTAAAGCGCTTAGTTCAAATCCCCCACTTTCCGCCTCGCACGCTTCTCTCGTCTCGCAAGAGCTACTCCGCTGCTTGTCCGTTCGCCTCTTACTTCGCGACTTCCGTCCGTTCACGCTCCTCGCGCTTTCTCCTCTACTCCCGTCCCGCACTTTTCGCGCTCTTCCTTCAAAATGGGTGGCAACGTCGTTGAGATCACTACGTATGTTTTCCTCTCTGTTTCTCTCATTCCGCACCAGCTAATAAGCCTTGTTTCATAGTAAGGAGGACTTCGAGTCCAAGGTTATCGGCGCTAGCGAGCCCGTCCTCGTCGACTTCTTCGCGGAGTGGTGCGGTCCCTGCAAGGCCATCTCCCCCGCCATCGAGAAGCTGAGCGTGGAGCACACCGGCGTCAAGTTCTACAAGGTCGACGTTGACAAGCTCGGCGAGGTTGCCGCCAGCAACGAGATCTCTGCTATGCCCACTTTCCTCTTCTTCAAGGACGGCAAGAAGGTCGACATGGTCCGTGGCGCCAACCCTCCTGCTATCAACGCCGCTGTCCAGAAGCTGCTCGCATAAATTGGGACCGGTAGATTTATGAAATAGTTTTTCTTTTGAGATCAAACACATAATATGATCCAGGGCAAAGAGCCCTCTCTTTGACTTGCAATTGGTTTTGCTCGTTCTTTCATGAATGAATTTGTAGTTGGAGACGAGATATTATTTCCTGGATGATCATGCAGCTTGCATGCAGCTTACAGAAAGCCACTAATCAACGATAGGGTCTGTCTGCAGCTATATCGGTATGCAAAAATAAGATTGAATTAGAAGTGCTCGACTCGCGACGAAAGTCTCCGGTAGATTCCCATCGATAAGATTCATGGCGGCATCGAGGTCTACCCATTCCTCGAAACAAGCCATGAAGCTTCTGCTAATGATGGATTACGGTGTCATTGGAATAATGAAAGTTCCATCGATCCAATACGAATAGGGACGGGAACCGTCACTGGGAGCTGTGACGCGAAGCTGGTTATCCTCGCCCAGAGGAATGCCGGCAGCAACCTCGTGCAAGATATGGGAACTCCACGTTCACCGATAACAAACATGTGCGCATCGAGCGGATGTCGATCAATAAACCCCTTGCATTGTGGGTAACCAGATGGTCTTATCCACATTCTACTCTCATCTACGGGCGTGAACAAAGGCCACCATGGGAAATATTTAGTTTATTTTAGTTTATTTTTTCGTTTATTTTTTGAATAAGAGGTCATTAGTTTCACATGTTTAAAGAGCAAACAGAAATCTGAAAGTAGGCTTAACAGGATCGATATGAAGAAAGATGTTTAAAATGAGTTTAAAGATGGAAAGAGAGCAGGGTATACTCTGCATCTTCATCCATTTCACTATGCCTGCGAATGTTTGGACGTGACTAAAGCCGTAGAGGCCTTGATTTTATGAGCTGATATCGTCTCTTTGACTTCTTTAGGGCGTTGCGATGCTGGAATGTCGGAAGACACCTTGTCATCGATGCGAGCGGGGCAAGGCATGGTATATCAGTTGTGTTTCTCCTCCTTGGAACGCCTTAATGAGGCCAAAACGACTTATTTCCGTTTAACTCGTACTGAGAGTATGCCTAATGTAAGCATTTCGGCAACGGGTTTGAGCGATGCTAAGGGAAGCCCGGATATTGCGCTATATTAGACTATGGAATAGAGATGAGACTTACGAAACACACCATGCGGCAAGCTAAGTGCCCAGATCTCGTCTGTGCGGATAATTGAGGTTTGAAAGAGAGAATGGTAGATGATATGTCCTACGCGGGAATTCAGCGAGAGTACAAGGCGGGTACTTGAAATGAGTAGACCCGAGTAAGTGGAGGGATGAAGAACCAGCAGTATGATTGTGCATTATGCAAGTAGTTACTTCTATTCACGGTGACCACTCCGCTGCTGCAGCTTCTGCGGTAACTAGGTTTCTACGTGACGGTAACCTTGGAATTCGACTTTCAGTGCGCTGATAAGCAAAGGGTATACTATAGTTCGCTGGAAACTACGTTGGTCTAGAGAGCAATGATTCCAGAAAGTGATGAGTCCTTGGAAGTACGTTCGAGCGAATACCTATCTGTAGAATCATTTGATGCTGGTGCGGAAGTCGGATCCCCGACTTCCAAGGGTTGTTGCCCAGGAGTCCTTCACGAATCAATTACCCGAAGGAGGACAAATTCGATTGAAATTTGCATACGAACCAGATCGTGCCTGGACATGTCGACAAGTTTCAGTCTGGACGGATCGATTCCCTCGATTCGGATGTAATCGTCTCGTCAACAAGCGAGAGCCAGATGGCTGTGTGACGAAGCCGTTAATTTGAAGATGGCGAGATTCCCGATTCGCATTCTAGCATGCTTCGAAGGTATGTTTGACAGCCACCTGGCCACGGGGCGAGAGGTGCATTTCCCGATTGAGCGGCCGGAGAACATAGCCGTGGACCGTGGACCCAACCCACATGTGTCAATGCAGGTGCCATGCGACAAATTCCCAAGTTTGCGTTGGACTGGTCATTTTCCACATGTTTTATGTATCCGTTTTGACCCCCCAGAGCCTCCCAAACCCGACGGGGACATTTTTAACGGCGGCACACATCATTCAACGCAGCTGATAGCGTGTCAAAGTGGACCTGGCAGGTGCCGAACGGACTCACCATATCCACAAATTTGGACCGGGAACCGAGATCAAGACCCGGTAAGATGGATCAGATCGGTCAATCTTCTTTTCGCAGATGAACACCCGCACTGTCTGTCGCGTGGCCAAGCCGAAACACGCCCACCGTGAACCATTGCACAGAGCGCGCTAGTGCGATAGATCGATCGAGCCCATCAAACTGTGCCCTGTTAATTTATTGAGACACCGAATCACACCGTGTGTGCTCGAAAGAGGATAGCGCAATTCTTTCCATATCTCTCCATATTGTCCGAACGAGAACCGAGCTCCATGTGCCGTGCCGTGCGGCTCCGGGGACATCGGGGAATTGATCTTTCCAAAATTCACGCATCCACGACACTGTCGGTTGCCTTTCATGCAGTGAAAAACGCCAGCCCTGCCGAGGAAGCTTTCGGGCGATGTGACTGATCGTCCCGGACAGTGGCTCGCAGATCCGGATGAGCGAACGCGAACCCCCATGATGGCCCAGGGCGAGAGGTCCGGTTTACCCAGTAGCGTGGGGCTTTTAATCTATCAGACTTCATTTGCAAATGACGAAAAGGCGCAGCTGAGCTCGATGGCGTATGGATGCCCCAATCAACGCCTCGGAGGGGCCCGAACCCACAGCACACACACACCCACACATCCAGTGGCCACGACCTGCTCGCCTCGTATGCTGGCTGTCTCTTTAAGTTTACGGCAACTGACAGGAAAACAATGCATTATCACACTACGAAGTATGGTGCGCGAAATGGCCCGTCTAGTCAGTATGTTTCATTTCTCTCACCTTCTACAGCAGAATAGGCCAAGTGACGGACACGGAACCGAGGGCCATCGCTAGCTTCCGGTACGCTAATCGACCCCCGGGCCCCATCGTTCCTTACCCACTACGATCCGATCTAGATCTAGCCTGGCCTACGGGCTATCCAGTGCAGGACATCACTCTCGCTACAAAAGTCCGGTCTGATGGCGTTGCGCCAAGGGACCCATCCTGCTTTACCAAGCTGCTTTCCTGTTGGGCCATATCTGATCAATCCGAAACTTCTTTTTCTCTGTGGACTCCATCGGGAAGGAGTCTGAAATCCACTGTCCGGCTTGATTGTAATCTCACGCGAAATGTCATGGGCCCGATACAGAGCATGCGCGCCGGGAGGTGGATCCCATCGCTTTTATCGAAGCGGATCTAGATCCCTGTCGCTTGCGTGCGGAGCTTGCGATTAGTCCGAGCACATGCTCGCCTTCGTCTACTACGTTGGCCTAGCTATAATATGCGAGCCTTTGCCGCTGATCTGGGATTATAAGATACAAAAGCAATCACCGTGGCAGACGATCTTCGCTGATCGACATTCCATTTTCAACTGTTCCAACGATAACCGTTACTATTCCCATTTCATCCATGTCTTTCTGATCTTACACGCCCTTCGGTCGATCTTTCGGCTCTTCCAGTCTCCCAAATACCTTTATCCCGAGTCAGTGCGAGGATCGGAGTGCGTTACCGCATAATATCTGGCAACATGACGAGTGCAGGCACTCAAGATGCGGGCCCCATCCACAGTTCGTACCTGCCCGGATACATCTTTCTCTCATATGTGATCAGCTCGATGGGATGTGCAACTACGCTCGAGCTTCTGCACCGCAGGACATCAAGGTCCGGATTCTACAATTGGTACATTTCCCCGCCCCGAGACCCGAACCACCACTGACAAATATCGAAGGTATCTACTCCTTACCTCCTCTATCACCATGGGTGGCATTGGAATCTGGTGCATGCACTTCATCGGCAACCGCGCCATCGTCCTCGGCGACGGGGCACAAAATATCCAGATCCTGTATAATGTGGCCTTCACCGGAACATCCTTCGTACTTCCTGTGGTTGTACTGCTTGCCGCCTTCTATTCCATTGGTGTCGAAGAGAGACCGACTTACATTCGTATCTTGATCGGAGGCTTTCTCACGGGAAGCTCAGTCTGCGGTATGCACTACGTCGGCCAACTCGGAATTGCAAACTACAGATGTGCGTACAAGGTCGCCAACGTCGTCGGATCTGCAGCCATCGCTATTTTCTCCAGCACTGTAGCTCTGGGAATCTTCTTCCGGTGGAGAGCATCATGGACTGATAGTTGGTGGAGGCGAGGTATCTGTGCCTGTCTACTTGCTGCCGCCGTGTCGGGCATGCACTGGACAGCGGCGGTTGGCACGATCTACACAGAACGTGTCGAGTCGATCAATCATGGAACCCAGTTATCTCGAAGCCAGACAGTCATTGTCTGTGCTGTGCTAGTGAGTTTATTCACGTTCAACGGTGATAGATTGGAAGCTGACACGGTTTGAAGGCTTGCGTGGCCTGTGTTATTCTCTCCGCATGTGCCATCGTGGCCGGTGGCAACCGACGACGATCGACTACTCGCGCACACCAGCTCGTCCTCGCCTGTGCCTACTTTGATCCCGCCGGTCGAGTCATGGTCACTCCACAGGCACTCCTGCCACTTCGGAAGGTCGTTGATCACTATATCGGACGAGTACGTTAATTGAAACATGCTACTTGAGATATTCAGCTAACCTTAAACGCAGACTTTCAAAGATGACGACCTGACACGCACCCACCCTACCTTCCTCTGGGCCTTCCGGGCAAGTCGAAACTGGCCCGTTGTGAAAGACCTAATCCCCTTTATGCGAAACCGTTTGGAATCCGAACAACGAGCCATTCGAAAGCACGTTGTTACTCGTGGAGTGGTCATGGACAAGGAGACGGAATTGCAGACCGACTTTGATACCCTGTTCAAGCAGCTTTTCTGTGTTACAGCCCAGGAAATTTCCGACGAACTTCGACAACCGCTGCAAGACCTGGGAACGCTTTACGATGATGTTCTTTCGACGGCTATCCCCGTCTCGCGACTTTCTCGGGCCATGGGCCGTTCGTCGCTCCGCACAGGCAAGGGCCAGCTCATGTTTAGCGTTCGACAAATTCAGAAGCATGAAGCAACTCGCTTCGCCTCGATGGGCTTCCGGTTCGCAACTATCGAGCATGTCACTTCGGCGCTCTCCCGTCGTATTCATGTCCCCGAAACGACTCTCCTCGAGCGCCTGCGGGATATGCGCGATTATGCATCCTCCAACCGTACCTTCGGAGAGGGTGTTCATCTCATCTCGTTTGTGATGCGTCCCACCGTCGCCGACCATTTCGAGATTCTCACCACGAAGGGCACCGGCAACCCACTGCCATCCACCACATTGCCGATGAAACGTCTACAGGTGCAGCATCTCGACCTGATTTCTCATATGGAGGGCTGGTCCATGAACACGTGCTTGAAATATCTCTCGTCGCCACCTGCTAAGCAGGACGACCTCGCCGTCGACGAGTTCCGCCGACACCTCGTGGAGGGAATCGCCTCTCTCGCAGAAACACTCCCGGAGGAAATGCGTACAGCCGCGCGCTTCTCTGCACGACCTCTTGTAACGCCATGCCGCACCGCAAATCGACTCTCCGAAGAAGACCTCAAATCGCAACATTGCACCCTCCTCACATTCTGCGTCGTCGGCACTCTCGACACACAGGTCCCAAACACAGACTTCACATTCACCCCCTTCCGTCTCTTCCGCGTACAACAGCAAGTAAACGACAGCATCGCCGACCGAGATGGGTTCACCCGCGAACTAAGCCAGGAACTCTTCATCACCGACGTACGCTCCGGCTCCACAGCCTCAGAAGCAGACCTCCTCGCCTCAACAAAATCCGCATTCCTGCGCCTCTGGCCTTCTCGCAAGCAATCCACAAGTGGAACAACCCATTCACAGGAGTCTCTATTTGACAAAACTACTTATGCTCTGGGCGATATCACCGTGCAGAAAGAAGTTCGCGTTGACGTCAGCCGACTCAACGAGAATGCAGCTCACAATCCAGTTGGCACGCATAATGCTGTTATTGCCGCCGGCGATGCAGTTAACACGCCTACCACATACGTCGATGAACTGTACAGTCTATGTTACGAGCCTGGAATCCGACTCCGGCCGAATTCGACATTGCAGCACACGAAGCACAAATCCGAAACATGATCCATTTTATGCACTGGGAGGGTATTTGGGCTGGGGTTTTGACGGCGAGCAGAAATATGGATGATTCATGGCAAACACGACAATTGTATATAATAACTTTTCCTGTAAATGATGAATGGAAAAAGAAAAGCTTTGATTATTGTATGCCCTCCCCGTCAAAGACCTAAGCTTTGACCGGGACATTTCGCAGCCAGAACATCGTGACACATATCAAGACAGATGAAAAAGTCGCTCAATCCTAATGCAAATATACTCCAGAAACCACATGCAGGGAACTCCCCCGAGAAAAGACCAAAGAGAAGAAATCACGTCGCATTAGGATCCTGCCTCTCCAAAAATGAAGGGTCCATATCAATGCGCCGCTCAAACTTCGTCCACCAATCGCGGAAGCTCTTAAGCGGTACGACATCTTGGCCCTTTTTAGAGGGATCCGACTCAGCGAAACTAGCCAGGAAATTAAACGCACTGCCAATAATGCGCTGCGCAAGAACCTTTGTCGAAATCTGCTTCTGCTGCTGCTGCTGTTCCGGAGATAGTCGTATCAGCGCAGTGGATTGTTCGCGCGGAGCCTGAGCTTCAAGCGCAGATAACTGCGGCGCGATATTCTCAACAGGCTCAATTGAAATGCCCAGGGTCACGACGCCGTTGGACGGGCCTGCGGGACCGGAGGCGCCCTCATCTAGCATTTCATCCTCTTCTTCAGCTTCTGAACGCTGCGGGCCATTGTTGCTTGGTGCCTTGACGGTGAAGATGCCGGATGGCTTTTCGTTGGCCAGCGCGCCGATGAAGCGGAAGTCTGTCGGGTTGCCGGTGGTTGGGTCCGGAGTCTGGATATAGATCGCGGCGCCTGTGTTTGGGGGTAGGACTGTTCCCGGGAGGAAGAAGACTACCAGATCGTTGAAGGATGGGTTGAGCGGAATGTTGAATGCGAACTTGGTGGCTTGGCCGTTTGGTTGACTGTCGACTGGGATGATGTCGGTTAGGCACGGACGGCCTGGGATCACGACGGAGAACATGGTCGCAGCGGGACTGAGGTGCAGATGAAGGGGTGTTGGAGCAATTGAGGATTCCTCGAACTCTGTCGAGCTTCCAAGAGATTCTAAGATTCGGAGCTGGTGACATAAGAGGGGAGCTGCCCTTATCGGGTCGATAAGGGCTTGGCGCTGATCTCAGTCGTAGAGTTCGCGGGATACTGTTTCCCATACAGATACGTAGCTTTCAACATGCCCAAGTCAAATCTAGATCTCGTTTGCGAATGCGATAAGTACTTAACACTCCACCCAATCTTGCATTTCATTGTCTCATGGCCGCAGCTTCCCCTATTATGAGGACAACCGCGCCGCCTACACGGAGAGCCTCAACAACTACCACGCCTTCCGAGTGTCCGGCTGCGATGCCACGCTAGGATATGTCCTGAACTCGGTGATCGACAAGTTCCCGTGGTCAAAGCACTGGGCCATTGACTCCGCCGCGAAAACTTTGACCCTGTTGACGCCGGCAGATGCAGACCCCACTCTCCGCAGCAAGTTGGTCGCGGAGAGCATCGGGGACGCCGTCAAGCAGGGAAGCTTCGAGGTTCTGAAGGGATGGCGCAATGAGAACTATCCCGTTTTCGGACCCGGTGGTGAATACCTACTCGAGATGGAGCGCTGTGCCTCATGTCTTTTCGGCATCGTCACCTACGGCGCCCATATGACCGCATACGTGGAGGATGCGACAGAGTTGAAGATATGGGTTCCACGCCGTTCAAAGGACAAGCAAACGTACCCCAGCATGCTAGACAACACCGTCGCAGGCGGAATGTGCACCGGCGAGAAACCGTTCGAATGTATCGTCCGCGAAGCAATGGAAGAAGCCTCTCTCCCCGAAGATGATATCCGGCCCAAGATCACCGCCAGGGGCTGTGTGACGTACCACCATGTGCGCGATCCCCGCGCTGGTGGCGAAACCGGTCTCTTGCAGCCGGAGGTCGAGTACGTCTACGATCTGAAGCTTGATGCGTCGGTGGTACCCCGGCCCGGTGACAACGAGGTCGAGGAGTTCAAGTTGCTTTCTATTCCTGAGGTGCAGGAGGCGCTTGCGCGGGGTGAGTTCAAGCCGAACTGCGCCGTCATTATAATTGACTTCTTTATTCGGCATGGTCTGCTCACGGCGGAGAATGAGCCGGATTATTTGGATATTGTGGCGCGCTTGCATCGTCGTTTGGAATATCCAACTGCATCGCATTGCCAGAAGTAAATATGAACATTTTGTAACTACATGAAATATGAGGATGGCCGATAGGTCTGACCACTGATCTCCATTTTTCTTTCTATTCGTCTCTCTCTGCTGCTCCCAAATCACGTTTCAAAATACGTTATCCTTTTGATTCTACGAGCCTTGTCACCTCGAGTGCTTGGTCCGAATTGGCTAACACAAACGCCAGAACCTTGTCGTACTATGACCAAATCATTTGACTGCAGATCCGTATAAGAGGTCTCAGCAGTTTCTACAGCCCTCTTCAGAGCACAATACAGGCCAAGAACTGCCTCACTTGAATGAAGATCGATTTTTGATAGACGATCATCTATTGGTATTCCCAAATCAGAATGCAAAAAACGCCAGCGCTGCACAACCCCATAAAGAAGATATGAACATCTGCCCAAATCAAGTACACCCCGTAACTTTTTGCCCTTTATGTAGTATATTTCGAGACAAATTCTGATCATCTCAGATCAAGCCATAGACACCAAAATCTAACGAAATTGGCTTATTTCTTCAGAAGCAAGTACACATGGTCGATGCGCAGAGGAGCAAGCTTCTTGTAGGGACCCTCCAAGTAGAGCAGCAGACCTCCAAAAGAAACAAAGACGGCCCTGAAAAGATCATCTGTCAGTCAAAGGCCCCCGAAGGAAAATCTGCCAAGAACAAAGGCATTGCAAAACTTACATGGTATCCTTGGTAGTGCCCTCCTCGAAACGGTAAACCTTTCCGTGGCAGACATAGTCGTAGTCATTTGCAAGAGTCTGCTCACCCATGCTGACCTCTCTCCAGCTATTCCGGGTATCCTCCTTGCCGTCGAGAGACAGGGTCGAGGCCAAAGCCAGAGAGAGCGACTCGCCCACCACACAAGGGTAGAGCTCGGAGTTCACATCGAGGGTGAATGTGAGAGAGGCATCGTTGGAGGTGCAGGTCAAGCGCGAAACGCGGTCATACTTCTGGGCGTTGATCGCGGTGATCGTGAAGGTGTCTTCAAACAGGAGCGGGTCCGACATTGTGAGGTTGCGACTTGCGGTGATGCAGTTTTTGGGTGATCAAAGAAGGCGGATGGTTTGCGCTGCAAGAATTCTGGTTGAGCCCCTGCGATCCGGGATGTTGAAGTGGTTGGCAGGGTGGAGAGTTGAGGAAGGTAGGATTTGAAGGTGGAGAATCGGAGTTCTGAAGCTTTTCTTTTTTTCTGCCGGTTCTGCTTCCCCGCCGATAACGATTTGCACTCGACTGCGGCGCATCGCCTTTTTCTCTCTCTGTTCTTGATTTAAATTTCTGTTTTTGCATACAATGTCCTTTCGCAAGCGAAACATCGGCTTGTCAGTTGGCGTGGATCGCGCTGCTGTTCCCAATGCTCCCGCACAGCCAGCTCCGGAGTCCAACCCAGGAATTCGCCCCTCCCCCGACGATGGACGACCGACTACTTCTACAGGAACGCCGTCGCTAGACAATTTACTGGCGGGTCATGCAGGCCTGCCTATGGGCAAGACTTTATTGATAGAGGAGAATGGAACCACCGATTTTGCAGGTGCATTGCTGCGATACTATGCAGCGGAGGGCGTCGTCCAGGAACAAAAGGTCCATGTTGTTGGAGTCCCCGAGCAATGGGGTCGCAGTCTGCCTGGATTGATCGGCACGGCCGAGTCGCTGAATGATAAGAGATCGGACAAGCGCAAGGATGAGAAGATGAAGATTGCCTGGCGATATGAGCGACTAGGCGAGTTTGGCGCGGGCATTGCAGGATCGCGTGATGGTAAGTTCCTCATGAAGCGGAGCTTTTAGCTTATATATACTGACGATTATAGCCCCTGCTGCTGCTTCACCTGGAGAACAAGATGGGAAGCAGCAAGTCGCCTTCTGCCACGCCTTCGATCTCACTAAACGTCTCGCCCATCCGTCCATCACTAACATGACGTTCACTCCTCTGATGCCCTCGAGGGGCTCGCCCTTCACAGCCGTTTTAAACCGACTTCAGACCGCCATTGAATCTGACAGCCCGAGTGTCGTTCACCGAATTGTTATTCCATCTCTGCTCAATCCCACCATGTATCCGCCCGACGCATGCCAGCCCGAATATGTGCTGCAATTCCTTCACGGTTTGAAGGCAGTGATGAGCGCTTACACCTCTCGAGTCACCGCAATGATCACCCTCCCATTATCCTTATTCCCCCGTTCATCCGGTCTAGTCCGCTGGATGGAGCTGCTCAGCGACGGCGTCATTGAACTTTGTCCGTTCCCTCATTCCTCCGATAACCTGGCAACTTCGGGAGCGGCGACATCATCAGAAGAACCACCGCAGGGCATGCTCAAGACCCATCGCCTTCCAGTATTGCACGAACGAGGCGGTGGAAGCGATCGGAATGTGGGATTGGATTGGGCGTTCATCTTGAGTCGGCGGCGTTTCGAGATCAAGCCGTTCAGCTTGCCACCGGACGAGGGCGACAAGGAGGCACAGGAAGCATCGGCCCCCGGAGGGATGCCTAAAAAGTCGGATCTGGAATTCTGAGGAATGTGTGACAGCTTGCAACCTCAATCCTCTTCTTCGTCAAAGTGACGGAGAGTTCCTGGCTCGGCTAGCATGTCCTCCATTTCAATCTGCTCCGACATTGCTGGGCCTGAGTTGGCCATAGTCCGGAGATAGCTCTGGCCATATGTGTCCATACCCGGTCGCACCGAAAAGCCTCCTACGCGAAAGCGATTCCCCAGACAGGATGAAGCTAAGAGCCATGCTGTTGAGTGTCAGCAGAGATGTACTGGTGTCCAGGAAGGGTATGATATTATAGATTCTCACCTGCAAAAAGCAGCAGGGGTACGAAGAAGATCAGAAATAGCAAGAGCAAGAAGTTCATGGCGTGAGATCTAAAGCTGAAGCTGAAGCTGAAGCCGGGCAGAAGCAAAGCCGCGGGGAGCCAAGACCGCCCGCCCAAAGGGGACAAGCGCGGGCGGAGCTTCACAAAACTCGGGTTTTCGCTTTTTTCCTTCTTCCACTTCTCGGGTCTCTGGCTTTGCTAGTCAAATCCCGGACTCGTCTCGCTAATGGTAAGATTTTGCAATTTTTCGCCTTGTTTTCCTCTTTGCATGATTATCCATCTACAAATCTGTCAATCCCCTGAAAGCTCGTTATAATCTCAAAAAAATGAGCGCCGGTGACTGAGAAACGTATTGAAAATGACCTGCCTTGAATTCATCTTTATTCAAACTGCATCTGCTGTTTATGAGCAACTGCTAACATCGCATTGCTACAGAATCTATGAATTGCTTTCAAGATGGACTCCCTACCTACCCTTCCCATCCCGATCTCATTCATATCTGGTAGATACCTTCTGTTCTCAATCGATGCCGTGACCTACCTGCGACGCGAGCACAACATCTGTGGCGTGCTGATCGGGACTCTGCCTCAAATTCCGCAGCAGAATGTGTTCCTGGGTCTGCCGCTCGAGCTGATGCCAGAGGAGGCGCGGGTGTTGGTAGACAGGGGTGTAGCTTGCATTGTAGACGAAGCCAAGGCCCACGATGGCATGAAGTCGCTCTTAGAGGAGGACCGCCGACAGTATCTACGCGAACTAGAATCCCAAGGTCTCCACGCTACTCGCATCCTCTCGGACCGAAAGGGCCAGCAACGAGACCAGGCATTGAAGAAGCTAGACGAGAAGGCCAAGGCCAAAGCCAAAGCCAAAGCCAAGGCTACGAAAGCTGCTGATGACAATGCTTCTGCGTCGTCTTCAGCACAGCAGGATGAGCCGGCGTCGGTGGTGGATCTCTTTGCAGATGATGGCAGCAACCCGGCCTCTTCTAGCAAACCCTTGACGAGCTCGACACCTGACGCTCAGCTTGCGATGGGCATTACACCTGCAACATCCTATCCACCTCTTCCTCACCCCTCCTCGTCAAGCCAACTTCTCTCGAAGCCCGAAGTACCATTGTCCTACCCGCTCTTCGCCCACCTACACTCACGTGGTTACTTCCTCTCGCCAGGGCTGCGATTCGGATGCCAGTATGTGGCCTACCCCGGCGATCCTCTCCGCTTCCACTCGCACTTCCTGGTTGTGTCGGCAGAATGGGATCAGAATATTGACTTGATGGACATTGTCAACGGTGGCCGACTGGGCACCGGTGTTAAGAAAGGCTTCCTTCTCGGTGGGCCAGAGAAGTCCCGGGAAGAAGTCAACTCCGAGGCTGAGCGTGTGGAAAGTGTCCGCGCTTTCAGTATTGAATGGGCAGGGATGTGATTTTATCATGCGCACTTTGCATTTAATTTCATCGACCATGCCGCTTGGCGGCTTCATATAGCTCGCAATGCAGCAAGCATCGACTGAGGACCGTGTCCTTTGAACGGGATACTGGCATTCACTCCTTCTTTCAACGAGGGTATGCAATCTATGCCGCAATCTTCGACACCTCGAGTCTGATGCCGACATCCTCACGACCAAATCCTCGGTTGGAAGAAGGACGGTGCATCACCGAGAGATGATCGGGCCTTGAAATGTTCGAGATTTTGACCTCGAATCGAGTCGTCTATCGACAGGGCTTCAAGTCAATCTCTTCGAGAATATTCGACTGGCCCATGTCGCGCAGCACCATGACCATCAAGCTACAGCTCAAAACGCCTCGCCACGCCTGTGGCACAGCAATCTTCAAATATTTTACATCATGAAATCTAACAAATGTTTTTGACCACATTAAAAGCTTTGCAGCCTTTCCCACCTGTAAATATCTTCCGTTGTAGAAACCTCGGGATGAATTCGTTCAATCGAACTAGCCAGTCTACTATATGCGTGCAATAATGGCTCGAAGGCCATTGAGCGGGGGTATCATAGTTTTAAGCTAATATCGAGGCTCTGTTAGGATTTCTCCGCGAAGACAGCCGTCACAGATAGTCGACATTCCTCCACTTGAATTTCTTATTAGCCCGATCAACGGGCCGATTCTCAAACTGGCTTCCATGCAACTCAAATTCCAGAGGCTTGAGGTCTTCAGTATGTCCTTTTTTCGGCTTCTCGCCATCCGCTGTAGACTCCGAAGACTTCGGAAACGGTACCGTGAATCGGAAAATGGTATGCTCCTTCGGTATCGCTGTCAAATCGTCAGCATCCGACAAAATTAACATCCCATCGCAAAAACTCACTTTTAACCTCATCCTTTTCCGTAACAATAGTAAACGTAAACTTCGTATCGCGAACAACAAACCCCTTCAGCCCAACCCTCCCTGCAGACCGACTCCTCACAACTTCCACTTCTGCGCCATGATAATCCGCGCTGACGAGCTTAGCACCGTGTGACGCCGGCGTCACAAGTCCACTTCTCCCATCAGCTTTCAGATCCAGAATCTCCTGCATATACGTCGTCCACAGAGCATGCAGTCCCTTGAAAATGGCATATTTGCATTCTTCCTTGGGAAGATCGTAGAGGCCTGAGGTGCGCTTCTCACGCGCGGACAGTGGGCGCGGTCGTTGGTGTTTGAGGAAGTATTCTTTCTTGCGGAGGTGGTGGAGGCGTCGCCTTGAGCGGTTGTCGGACGCGGAGGGTGATGTTGGGCGTAGGAAGAGGGGTTTTTGTTTTATGCGCTCGGTGAATTGTTGGCTCGCTGTGTCGGGGGAGTGGGCGCGCGCGAGGAGGGTTTGGGCGATGTGTGTGGTTGGTGCGGGAGAAGAGGTCATTTTCTAGATATTTGGCCTCTCTAACCGGCTGTGAGAGGGCTCTGGTGGGATGTGAGAGCTCGGGAAGTTGTTGAAGCTGGAGGTCGGCGGAGTTGGAGTTCGGAAAAATTGTTTGATGTCACCCGCCGATAAGAGATGCCCACACTATCACTAGGAGCTATAACTACTTGGCTCAAGTCCATTACTTTCTACACGCCACACAATCATTCGATGAATTTCAATTCTATGTCTTGTATTCATACCTCTAAATCCTTGCCAGCGGCCCATCTGACCGAACAACTCCCAAGCTTGAAGGACTGATTTCAGAAATGGATTTGCAGCCTGCCAGCTGCATACACCTTTTGAATTCCTGATAGAGTATTGCGAGCATCAACTCAACTCCTTCCTGGCCATTGTACTAATGAATTAAGTCAGCCATCATCCATTCACAAACAGGCTGATATGCGGTATCTATGACTCACCGCTAGCCCCCAAAGCATAGGACGGCCAACCCAGCAACATTCCGCGCCCAAAGCCATAGCCTTGAAAATGTCACTACCAGATCTGATGCCTCCGTCAATATGGATTCTAATTCTACCGCGCGCAGCTTTTGCACAAGCAGGAAGAACATCGATAGTCGCCGGCGTCTCGTCCAACTGCCGTCCACCGTGATTGCTGATGATCACACCGTCGCAGCCATATTCGATTGCCGTCTCAACATCTTCAGGTGTCAATACTCCCTTGATCCATACCTCCATCTTAGTGATACTGCGCAGCCAAGGAATCTCATTTGCCCATGAATGAGAGTCTGAATTGAATGATGAGAATCCATCATCATGAGACTGCGACTGGATCTGCTCTGATGTCTTTTCGATCATTGGATACGCCAGGCCCGCGGGTGGTTTAAAAGCTTCGCTCCGCCATTCATTGTATCGAACACCGAGAACAGGGCTATCTGCAGTGAGAAATATGGCCTTGCAGCCTGCTGCCTCTGCTCGACGAACAATACGAGCTTCCTTCTCGCGATCCGTCATAGTATAGAGCTGCATAACGTGATGAATTGGCCCAATCTGCTTGCCAACAGTAGTAATTTGCTCCACAGAGTGATTGGCATAAGAAGAGACACCCATGTTTACGCCAGCTTTGGAGCATGCTCTACTCGTCGCTAGCTCTCCATCTGGGTGAGCCATTCCCTGGAGCCCTGCTGGAGATACGCAGAGTGGGAATGTGATGTCTCGGCCGAAAAGGCTGATCTTGGTGCTGACTTGAGAGACATCTTTCAGGACTCGCGGTAGGATGCGATACTTTCGATACGCTGACGAGTTCTCATGGACAGTCACTTGATTCGTGGCGCCGGAGTTGAAGAAGTCTGTTCATCATTGCCCCCTCATTAGCAGGGGAACGGAATGCCCAAATCGAATTGCAAATTACCTCGAGTCGCAACCGGAAGGGTCTGGCCAGCTACGGCTTCAAGGTCCGAGATGGATAAGATCTTCCCTGCCATCATTCGGCGAATCTGATCAAGTCAAAAGTTGTTAAGTCAAGGAGGAATTGCGGGGACGGGCGTATTTTTGGAGGTGGGCCAGCCAAGTACGCACCGGGTTGCACTCCACACTTGGGGTCAAAGTTGGGGCCCAGTTACACGAAGAAGCTAAAGAATACAATGACGGTATTATCTGGATGTTCTGGTTCCTCAAAACTATTGAGTCATAATGTTCGGCCATAGTCCGAATGCCTTCATAGTCCGGATACAAAGCCGAACTTATACCTCCCAAAATACCCTGATACCCTATCGACGCATCAGTAAACGAATAGTTGTGCTGGATCTTGAACGTCACAAAGAAAATAATGACATATGCGAAGATACTTTTCATTATTAATCGCTTCAAAGTTGACTTGATATCCGGCTATGTAAACTCGGATTCGTTGCAGATCCTCGGCTAGTACTGCTTCCCCGCATGAACTTCGTCAGAGATCTATTAATGTCCAAGTCCTATTACATAGCATCAACCCTGTGCACACTCGATACCATCAACTATTCCCATCTTTGTTTGAGTTTCACCATGCAGTCCCACGGAAGCTATACTGATATTCAAAACAATTTCCCTGGACTCCCGCCATTTCCAGACGACGTCCCCACCGCGCCCCTTCTTCGGCTATCGCTTGGAAAGCTCTTGGCCGGTGACCCCACGGAGTGTGAACGACTTTTCCAAGCCTCTGTAGAAATAGGATTTTTCTACCTTGATCTCCAAGATTCAGGTCATGGCGTTTCACTCCTTGGCGATGCCGATAAATTGTTTACTGTTGGAGAGAAACTGTTCGAGCTAAGTCTCGAGGAGAAGAAGACTTTTGATTTCAGTGCCCAGAACTCATACTTTGGGTATAAAGGGCAAGGGCTTTCGACTGTGGATAAGGCAGGCAACTTGGATCGAAATGAGTTTTACAATGTAAGACCCTGGGAGCGGTGTCACTAATTAGCCTGGCCCCGGCAAGAGAACATATTAACTCACCATATAATTCCAGGTCTCCAAGGACGACATTATTGGAATTAGTGATCCTCTCCCGGCACCCGAGGTGCTGAAACAAAGCCGAAAACAGCAGGAATCATTCATGCTAGGCTCCCACGTCATCGTGTCTCTCGTTTTGAACATTCTCAACGACAAACTCCACCTGCCACAGGATACTTTGTCCAATCTTCATCGATGGCGATCCACTGGTGGCGACCAAGTAAGGTTTGTCAAAGCACCACCTCAGCCAGTCGACGACCGCCGTACAGCGTTGGGACAACATACCGACTTCGGAAGTGTCACCGTGCTCTTCAACAGACTGGGCGGGCTTCAAGTATTGCCTCCAGGCGCTGATGCCGAATGGGTCTATGTGCGGCCGCTGCCGGGACACGCGATCATCAATTTGGGGGATGCTATGGTCAAGTTTACGAATGGTCTGTTGCGGTCCAATATCCATCGTGTCGCAGCGCCTCCAGGCATCCAAGGTGATTCGACGCGTTATAGTCTGGTGTACTTTTCACGACCGGAGGATAGTGTCATGCTGCGGCGACTGGATGGCTCGGATCTCATTCCTCCCATCGAAAAGGACCAGGTTGAAGAGGAAATCAGCAGCAAGGACTGGATCATTCGTCGGGCTCTGGGTCGTCGAGTGGATCTTCACAAGGATATTGACTACGAGAAAGCTGCTGGTACGGAGCAAATGAGTCGGCGGATCAGAGTCTAGTTCTGAGGAAAGCTAGTATCTGTAGCCAGTTATTTGTATCATTGCGGGATCGAAGAACGCACACTTGAAGTTGAATGTCATGATGCTTGTTTGAAATTTTAGCTCAGCAAGGAACATTCTGTATACGAGAGTGATGTTTGACGTCATATCAAAAATAGTGAAAGCTTGTTTGCTTTTGAGAGCCTGAGTTCTAGTGCAATTCTGGTGCGCTGACTAGCTAACGTGCCCGCCTTACGCGTATCTCAAGTCCCAGAGCTTCCCATGCAACAATTATGAAAAATCATAAAGGACCGACATCTAATAGTCTATTGATCAGCTTTACCGAGCTCATTTGCCTCAGTCACCCCGGAGTTCCTGAAGTGTCTTTATCTGACTACCGTCGTCGCGGAAATTAGCCTCATCCAGCCACTTCTCCATTGCGCCCGCTACAGTCTGATTCCACTCCTCCTTCAAAATTGAAAACCAAGCTGTATCTCGGCTCCGCCCTTTCACGATCATATGTTGTCTGAAAATTCCCTCATATGTATGACCCAATCGCAGTGCTGACCGCCGCGATGGTGCATTGAGAGAATCACACTTCCACTCCAATCGGCGATATCCCAGGTCATCAAAAGCATGCCGCGCCAGCAGATAAAACGCTTCCGTTGCTCCAACGGTGCGTTGAAGGACCGGTGAAAACATCACATTTCCAATTTCAATGCACAATTGCTCGGGGGTAATGCGCATAAGAGACAAGTATCCGATTGCTTTGCCGAAGCTGGGCATTGCACTGCGCTTGTCGATAATTGCGAAGAAGAATGGATCCGGGGAAGCTGACTTAGAGGCAATGTTCTTCTCGAATGCGTCTAGCTGAGGGTACGGGCCATCGCCCATATAATCCCACAGGGACGTGCGTGCGGGATCATCGCCGCCAACGAGATGGAACAGATCCTTGGCGTGTGTTGGTTCGAGCTTCTTGAGAAGAACGGTGCGGCCCTGGAGAATTGTCTGGCTTGATGGCAGAGATGCCTTTGCGAAGGAAACGAGAGGACCTCGCGGTCGTGCCACTGCCATGTTGAAGATAAAAGAATCCAACTCTGACTTTAAGCAATTATGGGACGCAAGAGTCGACTTTTAAATCGCAGCTTTAGTGCTTATACGTATGACTCTTATCAAGACGACCCAGATCCTGTCTGTATGATTGGATGGCTGCTCCGATTCACAGCTGCTTCTATATTTGGTAACTTATGATAGGCTGTTTGCCCGAACGGACCTGCCCCACCAGCTTCACCCTTGTCGTCTCGGCCTCTATTTGCGCACGTGAATCTATTAGGTCGAACGTTACAGACATTGTAGAAACTACATAGAAGCCGACAGTCAATACGATGTCCTATGAGCCCATTCCCGAATCCCCGATTGAGCGGTAGAAATCTCAAACCATCCTTGGTAGAAGCACATCTTCACCTTCATTCTAAACTTCATATTGACCTTTACTGGAGATGGCCTTATTTCCTCTTAAAGCAATCCAAAGCAATCTCCCCTGTAATACGACAAAATCGCATTGTCTATCAGAGACCACCAAGAGAAATTATACGACATAATCAAAGCAGGCCAAACTTGAGTCAAATGATTCAACCGAGATCGGACCTTCAAAGCCCAGGAAATAGTCATTATGCCGTGTACCATAGCCTGGCGGGCGAGTCCTGCAAGGCTCAAAGGGGACGTAGAATCCAGCCTCCCATCAGAATGCTGAGAGATTAGTATGATTGTAAGATAGAAACTTGTGGATAGATCGGTACAAAGGAAAATTCGAAATTACCTGCATAGCCAGATAGACATCGCGGGGGTATACGCAGTTAGTTTTTTCTCGGCCGACACAAAGGCCGAGGAAGACATGGATGCTTAGGTGGCGGAAACAAATGAGAAAATTTCCGTCCAAGTTTAGCGGCGCCTACACTAGTCGCAAGTAGCTAGGTCCATAAGCTAAGTCGATTGCGGCAATTTCTAGAAGATTTGTCCCCATGTCCGAGATAGGGAATACTAAGAGTGATGGAGTGTGCATTGGTCAAGCCTATTTCGAGAATGACTATATTCTATAAGCTGAGATGGAGAGCTAATGCCACCAATCAGATAGACCTTTCAGAAACATAGCATTGGGTGGCTCTCGCTGCATTAGATTTGGAGAGACCCAATAATTTACTCGCACTAGGACCTTGGAGGTGGATCCAAAAAACAGTTGTTAAGTGTTTATTAGTCAAGCCAATTTCGAGAATGACTGTACCCTGTCCGGGAATGATTGCCGACTAAAGCGGGGTACTCGGTTGACAAACTATGCCTACCGAGGCTATTAGTCCGGATTTGTTCCTACAAGATCTGAATTACTATTTGTAATGGTGAGATGGACGGCTAATTGGGTGATGTTACTTTGCACACCGACTACAATAGTTGGAGTCATTGCTATGTGACCGGGAAGAAGTTGCGGCTGACGTCTGCGACTTCACTCACTTCCGCCGAAAATTGTGGTTGGTTCACTAAACTAACAAGTTTCCACCCAGGTTATTATCGGACTCATTATAGCTGCTACTATTAAAGGGCGAAATGAAGTCAGAAGTGGTGACTGTTCCTGGGCCGTTCACAGAAAGTGCAGATTTCAGTTTCGAAAACCAAGCGTCTTCTGCACCGTCATCTCCCTCGGTTACTGAAGGAAGTAGCCAAGGCCTTTTACAAGTGCTTGGAGTATTTTTGATTATTTTCAATGTGTGGTAAGTATTACCCTGTTTATGAAATAGATTCTTCAGTATCTGACACTTGGGTAGGGGTCTAAATTTTGCATATGGATCGTTTGAGAGTTTCTATGCTCTGACATACATCCCAACTTTCTCAGCGTCTGCCATATCATGGATCGGCACAATTCAAAGCTGGTTATTGATTGTCTCCGGCCTGATCTCCGGTCCTCTCTTTGATCTTGGCTATTTCTCGTTCATGATCGGTGCCGGTTCATTCCTGGCAGTTTTTGGTTTCATGATGCTAAGCCTTTCACATCAATACTATGCAATTTTCCTCAGCCAAGGAGTATGCATGGGACTGGGGTTTGGTCTGTTGTATATACCAGGAATCACACTTATCAGTCGATCATTTGTTCACAAGCGAGCCGTGGCTTTGGGTTTTGCTACATCTGGTGCCCCTGCGGGAGGTATCATCTATACTGTCATGTTTGATCGACTGATTTCGAAGTTGAGTTTTGCATGGACTGTCCGCATCATGGCTTTTGTGATGCTGTCTCTGTTTCTCATCGCTGCTGCCCTGCTGTTGTCTCAAGGAAGGAGCACGACAACAATAAGTAACAACCAACGAAGGAAGCTGATTGATATGCGAGCTCTCAGAGATCTTCCCTTCTGGAGTTTTATTGCTGCTAACTTTCTGATGTATCTCGGATACATAACACCCTTCTATTATATCCCGACATACGCACAGACGAAGCTTGGCACTTCACGATCCCTCGCCTCTTATATTCTCATAATATCCCAAGCATCGTCGATCGTCGGTCGTGTCGGCACCACAATTTTTGCCCATTATTATGGTTCAATGATGTCTTGGATATTCTGCGGCATGCTCTCCGGAATTTTATGCTTTGCCTGGATTAGTGCAGACACCCTTTTGCGTTTTATTCTCTTTGCCGCCTTCTATGGTAAGTCCCAGCTGGTGTCTTCCTTCTGAACTTTCGCTTATGTATCCAAACAGGTGGTATATCCGGAGCCTTAATTCCCCTCCCACCAAGTGTTTTCTTCCATGTTTGCCCAGATATAGAAATCCTTGGTACCTGGCTTGGGATGGCTCAAAGTATCAGCAGCTTTGCATCCCTGTTGGGACCACCAATTGCAGGTGCACTCGCTTCGATCGATTCTCACGGTAGCGCCGATCTTAACTTTCTCAACATTCAATTGTTCGGTGGAATCACAATGAGTCTCGGGGCCTTGGAACTGATGCTTCTGTGGTACTTGCTTTGGAAGATCAGGGATAAAAAAGGCTTGTTTTGAAGTGAATAAGAGATACTGGCCCTCTCAGCGGCTATGTGCGACTCTTGCAATTAACTAGGTTGTTTTGAAAAGTGATTTGTCTCATATTTGACAAAAATATAATTTGCTTGTTAAATCATGAGCTCAATAACGGAGACGCGATCGGTACTCTTTGACTTTAATCACCGGCGAAGAAACAAGACATTTTCCGCGAGCGTCATATGCCTTGGCTACCACGTAAGCTGGTTCCTCTCCAGTTTGGAACTTTGTTTCGAACCCATTCCTTCTTGTCTGGCCGAGTGGAATTTCTTCGCCAAGATTCTGTTCGTAAAACTTCCAGATGGTGGTCTCCGTATCCCCATTCCAACTAATATAGATAGATGTTCCATTTGACTCTTTGAAGGCGACCAATGCTGGCTCCTCATATGGGAGAGCATGCCAATCAAATTTGAACGCGCGGTAATTCTCCGACCCGGGACCTAGTCTTCCTGAATCCAGCTTTGTGAAGAATATGGTGGTCCCGTCTGGCTTATGCTCGGACATGGCACCCTCGTAGCCCCAGTTGATAAACGCATTCCCGTTTGGGAGAAGTTGGACATTTCCTTGGGACCTGACTGACAGATCTCCGGGTGCCCGAAACATGGCTATCAGCTTGGCTGTACGCTTTTCCGTGTCAAGCTCGACGACTTTCCCGGCACTGTAATCACGAGTTTTCAGAATGGGGCCTCCAGCCAAATTCTCATGTGCGGAGTTGTCAAAGAATGAAATGATCTCCTTGGATCCTTTTGTTTCGTAGTGCAGGTATTTCTTATGCATTCGGGTGTCGTGCTGCCAGCAGAAGTCGACGCCTTCGCCAAGCAAGAAGTCGGAGTGCTTCCCTCCCAGTTGCCAGATGATATCGCCAGTTTCGCCGTCCATCTTGAATATCGTGCACATGCTTCGGGCGGACAGCAAATAAGTGTTGCTTTCCGGGTCGACATCAAACGCATTCATGTAAAAGTAATGCCACACTTGACTTGAATTCACTCCCAGTCCAGCATTGCCACTCTGTAATGTCAAGTTGGTCCCAGCAGGATCGACATGGTCAAGAGAACTCCATTCCCATAAGACCTGATTTGTATCGGTATCCACCTTTTGAATCTTGTTATCGAGAATCCATTGCTGATTCTCTGACGTGGCGCCGTAATCGGTTAGATCGTGAATTTCGGGGTCGAAAATAGTGAAGACAGCTGAATGATCATCGAAGAATAGAAATTCATGCTGGTCGGCCAATTTGTGACCTCCGCCTTTGATTTGCTTGAGCAGTCGGTATTGGTTATCGAGGATAGTGGTGTGTCCATGCCCGTGCCCCATTGGCGAGTTGTGCGAACCGTCGAAAATGCTCAGTACTTGCTCTCCTCTATAGGTGTGCACCTGTAAGTTTTCACTTCTCGGACCAACGTATCCAAATCCTGTCCAAACCAGCTCCCCTTTATCGGTATAGATATAGGGGCCGCTCTGAGCGGGACCGTGGCCGGTATCATCTGCAAAAGTGCTTTCGGGGGTATAGAAAATAAGACCATTGGCAGTATCATTTGTGGCTGGGATAGTAATATTCAGGACAGGGACAGCGAGATCCGGTCTAGATTTGTAGGCCAAATTTGCACCCACATAGCCTGTGAAATAGAGTATCGCTAGATGGGAAAGGCGAGTCATGGCGATTTACGGATTCCCGGTGTTCAGATCAGCTTATGTAGGTAAAGCAACGCTATAAATGAGATATTTCACTCATTTTGTATGAAATATCAATCTTTAGCATCGTGACTGGAGGTCGCCGAGATCCGTCCTGAAATGCAGAGGAATATTTTGAGCGGGAGATCTTCCCTTTGTTTGTCAGTCGCAACCGAGATAAGCCCCGACGTACATCCGAGAGTGCAGATTGTTAGCATAGGGAAGAGGGGGTAGAAAGTGGATTTCAAAAGAAACGCCACTCTTAAACAGAAAGGGAAGGCCCAGGCGTGGAGACCTCAGAGCGCCAAGTAATCGATCGCCTCTTGGGCGTTCATTCCACTTCTCCAGTGGTTAGCGATCAGTGATCGGCGATCGGCGGTGATGATTTCATAACATTGTCTATCATTCGGCGACTCATAACGAAATACATTTAGGATGAGACGACATACAGAAAACTGGCAACCAAGCGCGTGTAGCCCATTTACCACTACAGGCATGTGCTGCCTAGTAACAACACATATACTTAGCTCGCAGCCTCTCAATATGCATGGACGTATCATATATGTGATGTATGAGGTCCAATGGTTCCATGTTACCCCTCACCACCTCCGGCGGGAGGAACATTTCCACCATTCTAGCCTGCCATGCAAGTCAAAGAAACAGATCACCGAGTACAGGAAATTCGTCATGTTTTCGGTCTCCTCTGCTGACTGTGATTTGGTTGAATTCTGCCTCAACGCACCACCAGATCGACTCGTGGGTAGAAAGGACCTGGGGAAAAAGCTTGTCCGAATCTCCGAGAATCTAGTGATTAAATATGGCCGGTTCGTCACGAAAGAAGAGGCACTCAACCAACAGAGAGCCTTTGAACTGGTTGACCCGAACGTTGTCTGCATCCCTCAAGTCTACCGCTTCTTTTCTGACGAGAGAGGGCGCGGGTACATCATGATGGAGTTTGTGGAAGGCAAGATTATAGATCCTCTGGATGATCAAACGCTCATTGATAGGCTCGTGCGGATCCTTGACCATTTCAGTACGATCACGAGCGATGTCCCTGGGCCTCTTAGCCGTGGTCCCTGTGCTGGCCTCCTCTGGCCAGACGCCGAGGAGCCTCCCACGTTCGAGAGCAAGCAAGAAATGGAAGTGTGGTTCAACAATAGGTTATTCCCCGGAGAAGGCAGCATGTCATTTGAGAATTGTGATCTCGTCCTATGTCATCTGGACATCGCGCCTCGAAATATTATCTGGAAACCCGACGGGGAAATCTGTCTGGTGGACTGGGAATCTGCTGGCTTCTACCCTCGATTGTTTGAGTTTTGGCCACTGTGGAATCTTGGAGAAAAGGAAGGGGTATTTAACGGGATGCTTTTAAACTCCATGAGGCCTCTCGCTGAGTATGAATCGAATCAGAAATGGCCAATCTGTCGGGTCTGGTATAACACCCAGAAGTACTCGCCGTCTTCTTTGTGAGTGATCATGCCCTCCACTAGTCACTGCTTGCCATCGCTCACGGCGCCAAAAAAAGCCAGGAAAATAAGAGGAGGTCTGGTCTGCGTCCAGTGCCAAACGTGGAAAGGGCCCCTATTCCAGGAGCTCCAATGCCCCCTCTCATAATTGCATATGAATTTGCGATTGGAAACACACCAGATCTAAGCTCACCATGGCCCGAAAGGCAATCAAAAGAGTACTGGGAAGAAGAATTGCCGGAGCATCTTCTGAATGACACGCTGGAGAAAGAAGCCATCCTAATGAGAGCTGCGCGAGGTGCAGTGCAAATTGCCAAAGAACGACCAATCACCATCATCAGTGTTTCTATTGGAGCTCTTACTGTACTCGGGATCTATGTCCAGAGACTAGCCACACTGGAGTACCCAGCGAAGAAACCTTTCCGATGAGAGTGAGTGAGTGGTGCTGAAGAGGATAGAAGTCTAGAAAAGAGAATCTGCGACCAAGTACATAGTGGTGGCTAGCTCACCGCAACATAAAAGAGCCTCTTAGAGCTGTTGACAAGTTAATTCACTATCGAATAATACACTCAGCGACACTGAGAGCTGCTGTGAATACCAAACATCATTTAGGGTTCCCATTCGGCTTGAAACCCGTCTGACAGACCTAACCCCTAAAAAGTTAGCTGTATTCATTCAATCGAGACACCAAATCGGCATGAATCATGGTGTATTCTCGTTATATCAACAATACCAAGCATGAGCCACCAAGATCCGCAGCCCGACCGCATCACTATAGCTCTTCCGGCAGGAGGGTCTCGGCACTGTCCGCCCTTTGGCCTGTCAAACCTTAACGGAATCGAAGCGGTCATCCCCTGCGAACCAGCAGTTGAAACCCCACCGATAATTTCGATTCCCGAACCCGATAGTCTGGTCACGACAGGCCGTGCATGTGGACTCACGCACAATCAAACTAGCCCATCAGCCCTGGCGTCAGCGCTGGCATCTGGACTTTTGACAGGAGATCGTGATACAGCCACTGTATTGACGGGTGACACCGTCCGGATAGTATCCTAGCGGGTACCGAGGTCGTGGATTGACGTGCCAAGAGCCGAGTGCGGCAGGAGACGTGTCAGGGGTGTACTGTACATCCTTGTTCGGAGCGCAGGGACGTACCGATGCGAAAGTACTCTACATCTGTCGATCGAACCGATCATCGTACACAAAAATATTGTGAGCTGCATGGAAGCCAGCGCGTGAACGGCTAGCACCCGGTAAACCCGACGGTGTATTGTTGAAACAAATAATGCGTCCATCTGCAGATAGAAGCATACAACACGCACAATAAAGAATCGGATACTCCGTACCGAGCCACGGAACAATGCATCGTCCTCACCATGCAAGGATCTCCATCCCGTCTGGAACCCAATCAAGAAAACCCACAGAACAGAGCCGAACTCCGCTCGATCAGGCTAGTCGACCGTTACGACCCATCAAGCCTTCCTTCCCACGACCCCCAGCCACCACTATTTCCATCCGGACCAACCGGGTCAAACCAGAATTCCCAGCAGACTGGTTCAATACCACCCCTTGCTTCAGATGTGACTCTTGCCCTTGCCCGAGCCTATTCTACTCTATCCGGGATAGAATGTAGGGTCTTTGGATACATCGAACATCGAGCACATGGCCAATTGCAGGCTCGCGAATTGCAACCCCCTGCTCAAAGCCGGTGAATACCGAGTTCAACTTCAGGCAACCCGTCCCCTTGGGTACTTTCTCTGCAGGGACTCATTTGACAGCGGGTGCATCCTTGCTTTGGCGCCGGGCGTTTTCTAGCGGTGGACTCCCAAGTTGGCCCATGTATGGGATGCAGTAGCAGGGTGATAATGGCCGAAGGAATGGCCTAATGCAAAGAAACGGTGCCTAGTAGGGGATCTAGCAAGGGTATTGAGGGGGCAAGGCGGACTTTTGTCCAACCCATGTCAACGGCTTGGGATCCGATACCTTGGGGAATGAAAACGGAACAGCGAAACACGAATACCACAAGCAGGCTTCATACATAGAACGGAGACTACAAGGCAAAGGGACCGAGGTCCGTATTACAAGTATCCTCAAGAAGGCTAGACTTCCGTACCGCAACTTAAAGGCCCACAGAGTATTCAGCGCCCCCACATTTAATCCCAAATAGGAAGTAGTCTCGACAGGGCCAAAGCGGGTGTGGCGTATCTCTGGTTTTTTATTCCGACCAATTGACGCCACTTGTCATGTTCGAAACCCCACGCATCGGTAATGGGGACGTACTGTAAGTTAGCGATGGCGATGCCATTTTGATTACACGGTCCTTAGAGTGGCAAATTCTGGGTGTCAGTTATGAAAACTCCACATTCAATCGGCTCGGTCCGTCCAATGGCCCATGGATACTCATTCGGTGGGAATGGTGGCCACGTATGACGGAGGAAGGGCTTTCTTCCCGAAGCTTGAACGTCTTGAGGGATGCTTGTGACATGATCGATATGCTAATCTCTGTCTGTACTACCCAGGATGTACTGGGTACATCCCGGGGGCAAAGGACAAGAATTCTCACGACCAACACGGAGTGGCTCCACAATGATGTCGTGGGCTGGACGCGCTGTGCGAAAGCCTGGCCAGATGTGGAAATCGATATCGTTACGAGTGGGGTATGTCTCGCCCCGCTGCCGGGGGTAATAGATTGTTTCTGCGCTTGGAGCACAAGCCAGAAGCTCGGACTTACAATATAGACTATAGGCTATAAATTTGTGATCTAGGCCGTAGGGGAAAACTATTGGAAATCTTATTCGGAACGGTAGACTACTGCCTTGTTGGGAATACTCGCCGTGCGTTTGGGGATGCTGAGCTGAGACAGCTTGGGACCGCGGAAGTTGACCGTTCACCCGGCCCATACGTAGCCTGTGTAACTTGCAGGTAAGTATCGGAAAGATTGGAGAGGCGTGCGACCGTTGCTGGTCGAAAAGTACGATTTCAATTTGCGCGACGACCCATGCATGCTACTATCTGTCCGATATGCGAAACCAAATAACCGTAACGATGTCTCTGGGCCGCGGGAATAAAAAGTCAAATTCATGTGAACGGCAGTCGTTGCGGGCAGTTCGCTGTACAAGGCGCGTCGCTTTATTCCTGGATATTCAAGGCTGCTATTCTCTCTTCGACGCGCCGTACGACTTCGGGGTCCGGATCTCGTTTGACTTTCTTTGGTCTGTAGATATTGTTAGCACAAGAATGAAGAAATACGAGTTGGAACCAACATACGGAATTCGTATAGTCTCTGCACACTTCGCCTGACCACACTTTCCACAAGTATTGGCGCCTTCATTATATCCCGTGTCGCAGACATGGCATATGTAATGGACCCGACGGCGGGATTTTCTGAAAGTGCGATCGGGCTTCAGCTTAAGCAGATCCGGTGGGTCGACATCGCCAGGATAGCCATCAGGATACTTATCCGGCTTGGGCGGCTCGCGGGGACACTTCTTGCAGCGAATATGTTTGCAGCACTCGCACTCCTTGGATCCACCGGCAAACACCTTCCCACAAGAGTGGCAGGATCGCCGGACTCGCTGCCGCACGGGCTTGCAGATGAGATCCTGCCCGCTTGAACGCGACTGCATTTTCAGAGGCGCATTGGGGTCGCCAGTCAACATGAAGTGCTGATTGAGCGACGGGGCGCCGTACTGCCGGGCGCGGATCTCGAGGATCTTGGGCTTGGGAATCCGCGGCTGCTCGGCATCCTTATGCTCATGAGGCGGGAAGCGGGGGCACTTCTTGCAGCGTGGGTGCTGGCAGTTGACGCAGACCTTGTCTGGGCCGAAGGTCGTGTCGCAGCGGTGGCAGGTGCGGCGCACGCGCATTCGGATCGGCTTGGTGACTCGGGCGAGCTGAAGATCGGTGGGCAACTTCCACTCTTCGGGCTCGAGGGTGAGCCCGTATTTGGCGAAGAGAGTGCGTGCTTTTTGCTGCTGGATGACGCTGTAGTTGGCTAGCATAGCGGGTTGTTCAACAACTGGCTTTGGGGCCGTGGCTATGGCTGAGGTACTGGTCCAATGTCCATGTTAGCAATCGGTGCGATAAAAAAAAAAGTTCATATGAAGTGTAGGTTATATAGCGTACGCTGTTGTGCTGGATTGGCCGGTGACCTCGGGGGCTATGGTCATAGATTGACGCTTGGAGCCGGACCGCGGGCGCAGAACGGTCTTCATGCGCTTCAGATATTTGGACAAGCCTTCGAGCTTGTCCTCGGCCGGGTGGCCGGTGGTGTCTTGCGGAGACATGTCGAATAATGGTGGATTTCAGACGATTTCACAGTGGCGCAAGAATGCAATGGCGAATGCTCGGTCGCAGATCGAACCTGGGAAGTGCACAATCACTTCATTCCATATACATCAAAAAGTCGTAATTCAAATGATGCTCGTTCCAGTCCCGAACCAGCGAGTTGGGAGACCCGACGGACAGGGTCTAATTAACAGGGAACACCCCGGGGTGAGATGTGTGGAAGCGTCGAAGTGTCCAAGTGTCGAAATCGAAGTCGAAGTCGACGAACCATGTACGGTCGAGGGTTGTCGAAAAGGTCGCAGTCGGAGGTTAGGGAGCGACGACACTTTTATGAAGAAACGGGAAGCGCAAGCTAATAATAACCATACGGCGAGTGAAATCAATACGGTAAAATGAAAAAGTATAGTGTGCGGGTGGAGGCAACCCAAGCCCGGGCACATGGGGGTGGCGGCAATCCCGGGGCTCTGGGTTGGTATGTATGGTATGTACTGTAATGTGCAGGTACTCGTACTCGTACCGTGAATTCCCCGCCTCTGGGAGTATTGGGAAGCTTGGGACATGGAATTATGTCACTGTGCGATACATCCATAGGATGTACGGAGACCCTCGGCCCCGATCCTGCAGCTGGTTACCGGCTATCAGGTACTGTATGGCAGGGACATCCCTGGTATTCACGTACGGGTGGGTTCTCCCCCACTCCACTCCTGGCAGTACTGTACGGAGTACCATAGTACTTTGATGCTCTGTGCTTCGGTGTTTGTGGTGGCCCACCCCTCCCGGTTGGCTCTGGGATCTGGCATCCCGTTCCGGGGTTGTGGACAGGCTCGCGCATTTCCGTTGACACACCATTTGTCTAATCCCATCTTTATTCAGCGTCTCCTGATGCATCACCCCATCGGACCCTGTTGTCGCGCTCGCCAGCGCGACAACACCCACACGCATCGAACAGGCTCGTCGGATGGCATGTCGATGGTGGGCCATGGCGGTCTGAACCAAACACTCGCACGGAAGTACCCGCTCTCTGCTCGGATGATTTTCCAAAACCAGTTAATTTCCACGGATCGACCAAGTCGGGAGGAGACTGCCGTTATGGGGGACTTCGTTGGCCGATTCATAATTCATGACTGATTCAGTTCCCAATCTACGTATTTGATTAGGGGCATCGTCCAAGGCTTGGCCGAGCTGATCATCCGGCTTCCATGTTTACTTCTTCCGATTATTCACTATGAAACGGCCGGATAATACAAAGCTCCGGGCTCCCAGCGGCGAGCCAGAGCCTCGGGCTCCTATACGCTATACGCATGCAACATCCTGAGAGTTTGTGTTAGACTTTGGCGCAACTCCGTGTGCAAGTATTTGTCAGTTGCCTTTCTCTCCTACGGGGTTACTCGGAATGCACTTTCTGCAACCTGGCGGGGTACTCCGTACTAATCTCGCCACTGCTATCTGCAGCCGCTGCTCAAGCCCCGAAAGGCGTTTAGAATATGAGGCACAACGCTAGAGCACACATTCCCTGCAACTATTCTGCACACCATCGTCAGGCCGGTTACGCCCACCACGAGGACAGTGCGCGACCCGGAGCCACGCTGTGCATGACTCGGGTTTCCCTCGACCTCGGGGTATTTCCCAGCACAATGCATAACAAAGGGGGAGTTTGTAGATCTTGATCTCTGGGGCCGAGCGGTGTACTCGGTAAGACGAAACAGTGATTGGACGGGACTATCGATCTGGAATTTTCAAACTTTGGGCTACGGGCGATGGCGGGCTCGACGGGCGCGACTACTGCAGGCTATCACCGCCCCTCAACTGCGATGATCATTCCATGAATTTCATCCCTCGTTGCGCGACGGTCCCACCGTGTGCTAACTAATGTACTCTGTCCTTTCCGTGACGCACCCTGGTTGAGTTTGAGTGTCTCCATCCTTCAAACACATTCGGTCATTCGCCGAGTCGACAAACGGGGTCATAGAGGGGTTACGGCAAAGAAACGGCTGAGCAGCGCGTGCTAAGCTCCCTCTGAAGCATGATTTGACAATCTCGCGTTCATTCACGTCGCATCGCGTTCTTCATGACTTGTAATAACCATGGGTGGCTTCGTACCAGACACACCGCCAACTGCAAGCTGAACCAACCCCCTGGTAAATGAACCGCCCAATTGTTTGTTCCCTGGCAGGACAGTTCGTTCCAACGGAGGTGGTCAGTGCCTGCGCCAACCCACCGGGACTCCTACCTCTTGAGCTGGACTCGGGTCTATCCCGGTTCTCGACACCGATACACCGATCGATGGGACCCGGGGCGGTGGGTCCGTCAGAGATGGAACTCCTGATCCCAGCCGTCCACCCGCTCGGGCAATGAATGCCCGGCACGAGGTCCACCCGGTGGAGAGTAAGTTTGCTGGCCTGATCCCGTGTGCAGACCGTGCTCGGTACTCCAGTACGGATGTGTACAAGGACCGTAATGAAGTACATAGTACAACTATGAATTTGATATTTGACGTGTTTATTTCTTCGTGGAACCCTCGTCTGCACTATTTGTAGATTATTAGCGTCTTGCTGCTTCAGACGATCGGGCCTTCGTGTCAGTGATCATGCCCCCGGTCCAGTTTGCAATTTGCAGAGTATGCGGATTACGGGTCTGCAGATGGCATAAATAGTTGCCTACAAAAGTACATACACCAGACTTGTCTTGTCAGGCTATCAGAAAACCGTTGGAAAATTCAATCCAGAATGTTTTTCACGCCGTTCAGTTCACGATATTGATGAATTTTTACCCCAGGGGATGAGTTTTCTTTCCATGTTTTGCAACTTGGACCCATCTCACAGGAAAAGTTTCACCAAGCCTAGTTAGATCGTACAATCCGCTGTTTCTATTGCCGCCTGCCCCTCAGTGCGAGAGCTGTGCTCGTTCCAAACACGGCAGTCCCGCGTCGAGGATCAAGCCACCTTGCAATGGGCTTGCTGTACACAACATCTGCCCATCGAACGCCGGTTTTCAAGTGGCGACATCTTTTTTTACCCTCGGTGTTAAAGGTATTAAATGGTATTAAATGTCAAGTAAGCATCACCAGAGCCAGCCGATGACCATAGTGAATGTATTAGCGCCGTGCTTTACCCTACATATTCTACGACACGGCAGCAATACCACGCCACCTCCCAAGGTTTCGACGGCGTATAAACATGGCTGAGGTCTAGTGTCGATAATCCTGACCTGCTCTGCGTCTAGTAGATTGGCACTTTGCTGGTAGACTCTGCTCAGGTACTGGATCAAGCAGGACGCCCACGGTTGGGAGATGGGAGAATGAGGGGCACAAGCCCTCGTAGCGGCCGATCAGGGCTGGGGGGTCCAAAAGGACCCACCAATGAACAATTGGCATTGGCATCTACATATGTTCGAGTCATGCGGCAAAATTCCACTAAAATCTGATGGGATCGTCACTAGAGAATACTGTAGATCCAGGACGGGGGATAGGACCAGCCGCATATTATGGGCTTTTCGGGCGGGGTTGCCGGTGTTCGCCATCCGTGGAATAGTCTCGCTTCTCAAAGTTCAGCTTCATTTTCGGCTGAGAATCAAAGTGGGATCGTTGGCTGTCACGCATGGAGATCAAAAGCCTACAGGTTTTAGACTGTGCAATCGGACAAGGTCCGCGCAGTTTCCGTGATCGCACTAAGAGACTAGTCCGGTTGAATATATTAAAGAACAGACACTGATCATTTCAGGGAGTTCATGCGGCAAAAATACTCAAAAATCAGGCTGTCAGATCCCCCGCTAGCTCGAGACTATAACCGGCACCGTTGTAAATCATCATGTCAATCATTGTGATAGATCACCCGGAGGAAAATCTGATTTTATTGACATTATACTGAATCCTGGGCCTCTTCGTATCTGATTTGTCAATACGGCATGCCGCAGATCATTCGCTGCGCCGCAAACTTCAACCAGTCAAACGCCCGCTCTATACAAGCCTCCAGCTGGATATCCAAAATATACCGATTGATCTGAAAATATGTGCTCGGACCGTGGAATAGTCGGCTTGAATGGAACCTTTAGTCGGACCCGGCGAGCTTCTCCGCAATGGATGTAACATCCTCGTCTTCGTGTACTTCAATAACCCGGTTCACTTCGGCGGAGTTGCGCATCAGCTCCACTGCACTGGCGTACATCATCCGTTGTGACGGGTTGCAGTTCACGGGCAGCCAGTAGAGGAGGACGTAAGGGACGGAGAGACGACCGTCGTTCTATATACGCAGATCGCTATGTCAGCATGGTTCATGATTCACGGGAGTCCATATCCTGAGTTGCACTTACCATGGTCAGTGGGTGGCTGAGAAGAATGTATCGTGGCGAAGATTCGGGGAGCTCGTCAGCGAGATCCTCCATCTTGGTGTAGACTTCGCCATCTTCTGGGCGGATCTCTTGTGTCTCTTTATCGATGATGTCTGAGACCCAATCATTAGCAAGTGTGTCCTGGATTGAGACGTGACCGCTGTCCGCATCGTGTGTCTAGTCTGATATTGGCATGTGAGATGTGCGTACATATGATGGCCTGGGCTTCCTTGGCTCTGGAGGTGGTGAGACGAAACTTTCGCAGCTTCTCCCTGGTCTCCGGAGAGAAGGTATATAACCGCGACTCGGACTAGGAACCGTCAGCTCGCGTCTCCGAGGGGATGTCGCATGTTCCGATTGAGGTCACGCGGACTGTCCTTTGGAGACTCACCATGCTGAATATGCGTGGACAACAGAATCTGTTGTTTTCCAAAGGTATTTCGTATCTCCTAAGCTGGTATACTCGCAGCAGGCAAAAGAGGGTGGGCGTACGAAGAATGTGAGAAGCTTGCTATCGCCAAACTGAAATGCGGGCGGAACATCCCCCTCCCCCACTTGCGTACCCTTCCCCGTCAAATCCCCTCAACACCTTCTCACAGAGCAAACGCCTCAACCCCCCTTCATGCTAAGCCGACTGAACTTGTTAACCCGCCACTTCTCCCGTCAATTCGGTTCCTCCCGTCCTACCTCTCCGACTCACTCGCCCCGGGTCCAACATCCCGGTCCGTCCGCAATGACATCACCCCATCCGAACTTCACCAAACCCATCCACACGGCAGCCTGCCTGATCATTGGCGATGAGGTTCTAGGCGGAAAGGTGAGAAGATACTCTGAGGTCGCGGTCTACCGGTATTGACGTATCTAGACAATCGATACCAATTCGCCCTTCCTAGCCAAGTTCTGCTTCAACCTCGGCATCCAGCTGAAGCGCGTGGAGGTCATCCCGGACGATGAGGAAGACATCATGGAAGCAGTGCACCGCATGAGCGCCCGCTATGACTTTGTCGTTACCAGCGGAGGCATTGGTCCAACGTCCGTACCCTTTCCCCGGAACCGCAACCACCATGCTACACCATGCTAACCCCAACCTACAGCCACGACGACATTACCTACCAATCAATCGCCAAAGCGTTCAACCTCAAGCTCCAATTACACCAGCCTGCCTTTGAGCGCATGAAGAAGCTCTCAAAACCGCACCCTATGCAACCCAACTTTGACTGGGAAACCCCATCCCCAGGCCTAACCGCCAAACTGCGCATGGTCGAGCTCCCCTACGACCCGTCCATCCCCGCCGAACAACAAGCCCTGTTCGTCGCCGAGGACATGTGGGTTCCAATCGCCGTCGTCAACGGCAACGTGTATATCCTGCCCGGCGTGCCACGTCTCTTCGAACGACTTCTGCAGCACCTCAAGCCCGCCATCACGCCCCGATTGTCTGATCCCGAGGGCAAGGGTACCACCCGCTTCATGATTAGCACGCCGCTGCCGGAAAGTGCCGTTGCGCCTTATCTGACTGAGCTGGCAGCTAAGGTCGAGCCGAAGGGTGTCAAGGTCGGTAGTTATCCCCGCTGGGGTAAGAAGCGGAATACGGTTACCCTTGTGGGCGCCGATAAGGCGTTTTTGGAGTCGTTGGTCGCTGAGGTTGAGGAGAATGTACAGGGAAAGCGGGTTTCTAAAGAGGATGAGCTTGACCCGCCGTCGGATTCGGAGCATGTCTATAGCCAGTAGGGCGATGGAGTCAAGGTTGTATCATATCAGATTTGACTTTGCATTAGCTCGTTCTGTGCAGAGCATACATTATTCCAAGATCAGCTATCAGCATTCTTTGCTGTATGTTCCCGCAGCGTCAATAGGCCGTATAACGTGTGTGAAGTTTTGGAATGGTTAGCTAGTGCCAACGTCGGGAGGGTACCCTGTGTCTTCATCGGGACGATATTGGATATAGTTGCCGGCTATGGATGCCAACAGCTACCCGCTACCCTCGGAAAATGCAATGCAGAGTACTTATGATGCATGACAGGTCAGCACCAGCACCTGGGCATGAAAGCATTGCAGAAAGGTCACACTACAATATAGCATGCACATCAATCGGGCAGGAAGTCAATTGAATTGATAGATCGGTGGAGTTCCCTCCCGACCTTGGAGCTTACGAGCCAGATTCACGACGCATCAACATGATCATCGGAAGCAAAAACCCCCTCGACGAGGAACTTATATTGACAGCCGAGTCGTCTCGCCCGAGACAGACATGATAGACAAAACATAATAGCCAGGACAAATCTTTTGCGACAAATAAAACAAAAAATAAAGCAGACGCAGAGGAACAAAAGGGGAATCAAAATGTTTCATGAGACGAGGGTTGGCGTCAGGCATTCATCGATTTGCAGTTTTGCAGAGCAGTCCAAGCTGAAAACCCCACTCGAAAGCCGCAGACACAAAGCCACTTTCCGTTCTTTCCTCTTGTTGTATCCTTTCCCTTTCCTCCCAGCACGGGGAGCGATTATAACCGTATTTCCATTCCAATTCTCTCTCGCTTTTCCATATATCCCACCGAGGTATTACCCGTTCGTATGAACTCATTCTCTTCGCGTCTCCGATTCTCCGACTTTGTGTCCGGTTTCCGTATGTGGGTTTCGAGACTGGGCGTGGGCAGCTTTACATGATGACGCACTTGCTGCAGCAGCCGGCGCTCTCGCCGGGCTCGCTCACGTCCATCTTGCCCTCCGGTGCGCGGGCACCGAATGCTCCGGAGCCGGAGGGATAGGACGACATCTCCTTGTTGTAGCGGCGAATCTCGCGGACGAGATCGTAGAAGGCGTCCTCGACGTGGATGCGGGACTTGGCGGAGGTCTCGATGAACTTGCAGCCGAACTGTCGGGCCAGGGCCTCACCCTCTGCAGAGATCCGGTGTTAGCTTGGGGTTCTTGATTTAGGTCGAACGGCATGTGGGGAAACGGGACGGGGGAAAATGTACCTTGCTCGGAGACCACGCGCTCCTTGTCCAAATCGCACTTGTTGCCGACGACGATGATGGGGAAATAGTCCTTGTCCTTGACGCGCAGGATCTGCTGTTGGAAGGTCATGATTTCTTCGAAGGATTGGCGCGACGTTATGGAGTAGATGAGCAGGAAGCCCTCGCCGGTCCGCATGTACTGTTCCCGCATTGCCGAGTACTCTTCCTGGCCTGCTGTATCCAGGACGTCCAACAGGGCGACCTCATCGTCGATGACACACTGCTTGCGGTAGGAATCTGCGATGAAATACGACCGTGAGCGATTCGATTCGATGCAATCCGACGGTGCTCGGGGCGGGTGTGTTCGGCTCACCTTCAATTGTCGGGTCATACTCGTCCACGAAGTGGCTCTGGATCAGTTGGATCGTCAAGCACGACTTTCCGACACCACCTCCACCGACAACCACCAGCTTATACTCTCGTAGGAACTGCAGCGAGGAACACGGTCAGCCATTGGGGAAAATTCTTGGGCTCGTTGCGATCGGGAACGCGGGTGCGAGAGCGAGGTCGGGACGGAGGTCGATGCGAGAAAGGGAGGTTCGTGGAGTTTGGTTAGGAGCGGTATTTCAGGATGGAGCTTACCTTTGAAGCCATTCTGGAAATCTAGAGGAAACCCTTCCCGAGAGAAAAGGCGCAAGAGAAGATCAAACGGAGTCTAGACAAGACGTAGAGGAAAAAGGGTCCAGAAAGGAAATGCAAAACACGGCGGGTCTTGCGAAGGGTTAGGAGGAAACTGATTAGGGGGGGGGGGGGGAAGAGAGGTTCGGAGTGTCGACGGGAAGAAAATGGAGAACCGCTGTTGTCCTGAGCTTCTTTGGCTTGTGGAGCCCCCTACACCCCGGGCTTTCTCTAGCACTTATACAATTGACGGTCGAATAAGAACGACCGGAATGAATAGGTTTTTACGGGGATTAAAAGCAACGCCTTAAAATCGAGAAGAATAACATGGGGGCAGGGGAAGGGGCAGGAAGAGCGAAATTCAGGAGATCGCAAAGTGGGGAGCCGGCGGTGATTGGGTGAGCAGGGGAGATGAGTGGTGATTGACGGAGCCTTCTTTTGATGGTACTTGTGTTCTTCCGGGCGAACTGATGCATACGGGTCCTGGTGGTCCTGGTACTCCGTAGACTGGTCTGGTTTTTTTGTGTTCCTGTGCTTGTTTCTACCATCTCCCCACGTCTTCGGTGCTGACCCTCAAAATGTGCTAAATAAGATCGAGCTTTGGTACGCTACCATCGGGTTCCCACATTGATTGGCCATCTCCGCGGCCCCCTGGGGACGATGCCGTACCCTGCTCTGAACTTCCATAGGACAGATAGGACATGTTCCGGCACAAAGTGCCCAATTCTCCGACCCACGCGAGACGAACAAATTAAATCTCCTGCTGTGCCTCTTGCGACTGCAGAGTCCACAGTCACCTCCAGACTGGAGTGGATCAGCCGTCCCTGGTGGGGATGGGTCCAGGGCGCTTTAGGGTATCGGGTTAGCTCGCACCGCTCAGCGGCACGCTGGTGAGGTCTTCGGATGTAAGGGCCGTAGCTTTTGTCGGGCACCAACAGAGCGCTCGTCGTCGTCTATATATCTTGGCTTTCTTGTGTCACCTGGATGGCTTGCAGGAGCCGCCTTGCAGGTGGATTGCATCATCCCGACGCCCCGGCCTCTTCTGTGTCAACTCTTCCGTACGAGGCTTTTCGTTTCTCCGGAAGTCCGTGTTCTGGAACGGAGGACCCCGTCCATGTTCATTTTTCTGTTCCCATGTCCATGCACACTGCCTCCGGTGATCGCCTGGCGGGTCACGCCGTAGTAAACATTTGCGACTGTAGATCGTAGTATAGAACCCTGGAACGGTCGGAAAATCCGGGTTTTTGCAGAACCGCCCCGCTCATCCACCCACACATTTGAGATCCTCGCGGCGTGTAGTGTCACATTGGAGGCCCCATCGATCCCACATTGGCACCGTCCGGCCGGGTAACGATCGCCTTGCCCTAATTGATACCCCTCCTTTTTTACTTGTCGGTCTGTGGGATTCCATGGAGATCTCATGTGCTCCAAAATGCCAAGGATCCAAGGTTCTTGACGCGGGCACGATGCCCCTCTCATCCTAGGCGAGGGGACTGTGCGGCTGGCATTCCGTGGCACGTCGGAATTTAATTCACCGTCCCGCGTTCTGGAAGCTCACTTCGAAGCTGCAGTGTTTTTTGGTTTGTTTGTGGAGATGCCCAACTCAGCAGTTCGGATCGATATGTGCCGGGTACAGCTGCAGGATGCGTCGGGTCAAGGGCTTGCAGATGCGGCCTAGATATGATCGATCAAACTCCCCGATTCGTGTACCAGACGCACGGCTGGTGGTGGATCACGGCTTGCTGCAGGTGTCGGAATCGGGCAAGTGAGCGGTTCCGAGACCAGTTACTGCATGGGGCTGTTCGTCAGGATATATATATGCATCCATGCTCGGGTATCCTGGGCAATTTCAAACTTCAAAATCTTGACGGGAGTCGATTTCATCTTGAATCAATTGAGGCCGAGTCTCAAATTCAGATCTGAGATAAACGGTCTGCAGCTAAGCATGCAGCTCTTTAGCATCATCTCCCCGTTTCGCTATTTACTGAAAAAAAATGCATTTCACCTGATCTCCGACTGGATAGCTTATACATTCTCCTGTTTATCATAAACGAACCATCGCGGCCAGACAGGGGCCTTGTATCTCCACCAATACCCAGACAAAGGAGGCACACAGTATCACTATCACATCTAGATAGCCATACTATTGGTGCTTTTGCTAACGACCAATGCCCGCCCATTGGTGCTTCTAGACTGCTTCACATGATTAAGATCTAATGCAGCGTAGGTGACACAAGCTCCCGTAGACTAGTATTCCAAGATTTTGTGTTCAATTCTTATATTGTGAAACCATATACGGCCAACTCTATCTATGTACCTCCAATGCCTCAGACTGTCATACACACCAAATCTATGACTTGCGGTGCATAGTACCGGCGCCAGCCTGTTCAATGGTAAGTGGAAATGTCTAGAGATCAATTGAAACGTCGCAAGACATACCTGGTGGTTGGGGAAGACCAGAGTATCCGCAATGACGACGTTTTCCCGTCGCCCGGCAGCGAAGACAACAACCTCGGCGATATCCTCGCCGGTCAAAGGCTCAACACCTCTAGAAATCATGATTAGTATAGTGGCGGATGAGGTAGGCGGAACCATGAAATCTACTCACTTGTAAACAGCGTCGGCCTTGGACTTGTCACCGTAAAATCGCACAACAGAAAACTCCTGTGTATATGTTAGCTTGGGCTTGGAAATAATACAAGTGTGGAGAGTCGCACAGTCTCAACCTGCCCGGGGTCAATCTCAATGATGCGAATCCGTGTAGCGATAAGCTCCTTGCGCATCGACTCGGTGAAGGAGCGGACGGCCGCCTTGGTGGCGCAGTAGATGCCTCCACCGGGGTAGGGATCACGGCCAGCAATGCTTCCAATGTTGATAATGTCACCGCGGCCGCCCTCGGGTCGCTTCTTGAAGATTTGGAGAACAGCCTGGGTCATGTGGATGAGACCGGTAACGTTGGTGTTGAACATGACGTTCATATCTTCGGTGGCGATGTCGCCAGCATGGGCAACGCCCTTGACGAGACCACTGTAGAGACATTGTTAATATCCTGCTGTATAGTTGTCCATTGGACCTATATTTAGTGTTCGATGATGACTCACGCATTGTTGACAAGGACATCGATCTCCTTGAACTCCTCTGGCAGAGAGGGAACGAATTTCTTGATCTCCTCCGGGTTGCTAACGTCCAGCTTGACCGGGTGCACCTTGACACCATCACCAACTTCCGCCTTGATCTCAGCAGCGAGTTGGTTCAGTGCGTCAATACGGCGCGCCGTCACGATAAGCTTCAGGTTCTTGGGCGAGGTGCGCGCGAACTCCAGGGCCGTGCTCTTTCCGATACCGGAGGAAGCGCCGGTAATAACGATAGTCTTGCCCTCGAGGCGCTTTGCCATTGCGGAGGCCATGGTGCGTCGGATAGTGGTCGGTTGGACAGCTAGAGAGAAAGGGCTGGACTTTGCAGAGAGCGAAGAGGTGGGGAGAGGGGTGGAAAGTCGGCGTAGGAGGTTAATTGATCTACCACAAGCTCTAAAATGGTTCATGAAGAGTGTTCGTGTCTCTCAAACGAATTCCAGAGAAAATAAAAGAACGGCCTTGATACCGTGCGGGGATGTTGCTGGCGTCATCTCGGGTTACGTAATCAAGTAATCGCCGCGACGCGAGATCGGCCTTCGCGCCGAGTTATTTACATGGCTTAAATGTTCGGCCATGCGCCGGCGAGGTCTGTAGGAGCTTCGTCGCTTGCTCGGAAATCATCTAGTCTCCGCTTTGTGTGGGTTTATCGCGCTACCCGCGGTAGAATGGCAGAACACCCTACAATGGAATTCACTTTCACTCAATATTGAGTTCTACACAGAGTGTGTTTTCAATTTGCCTGATGATGAAGGAAACAAAGAGCTTATCAGCAGTAGACTGTTCTGGTGTCGAGGATCTCAATGTTTCAGCCCGCCTCGTCGTACAAAGAAACTCCGCGGCCTTTCCATTGTCTTGTCTTTCAGCAAGGGAAGGCATGTTCGACGTACAACTCAGCTGCCCCACAGACACCCTTGAAGAATGCAGCCGCATGATCCCTGTAATTCATCCAGATATGGAGCCATAAAGCAAGATTAGAACTAACTCTATTGCATCCTTCTATACTAGCGCAGTTTTAGCGAATACTTATCCAAACCCCGTATCAAGGGCTTATTCCAGGCGCTTTTCCGGGGAAGATCCGTGTGGGGTCAAGTCTCCCCCGGGGAGGAGACTTGTTTAAAAAGGGTCCCTGCCAGTGAAACTCACTCGGTGAACTTTGCAACCGGGTGATTTCTACTATTCTTACCATAAAAATGACACATCTACGTCTTGAGCCTTCCTTGCTTGACACCATTGCGGGCAAGGTGGCCGTATTGACCGGGGGAGCAACTGGTATTGGTCGCTCAACCGTCCAGCAACTATGCGGTAAATGCACCCCAAATGAAAGTGGTATTGTCACACTTTCTAACCAACTCTAGAACACGGTGCAAAAGTAGTCTTCGGCGACGTCGTCGAAGAGCCTTCCCGAGAACTAGAATCCGAACTGAGCCCAAATGCCTACTTCGTCAAATGCGACACCTCGAGCTACTCAGACCAGCTCGCGCTATTCAAAGCTGCATATGACAAGTTCGGCAAAGTGGACATTGTGGTCGCAAATGCCGGGATCTCGATCCGCAGGGACATATTCGATCCCGCCGAGGATATCACGCAAGAGCCCTCGATGAAGGAAATCGACATCAACACCAAAGGCGCCATTTTCAGCGCACGCATAGGCATGCACTACCTGCGACAGGGTGGGGGCGGAGACCTGGTACTGGTGAGCAGCATTGCCGGGTTCAAGGAATGTGGGGGTCTGGTTACCTACACGGCCAGCAAGCACGGCGTCGTGGGCATTATGCGGGGCCTTCATTTGACCGCAACTCCGGAAAATATCAAGGTCAATGTGATATGTCCCTGGATGACCAGTATGTTTTCTTTCTATGTTTTCTGGCCTGAGCTAACCGTGCATAGAAACTCGGATGGTTGTCGGAATTGAAAAGGGTTGGCATGAGCGGGGCCTGCCCGTGAACGAACCTGAGGATGTTGCCAGGGCCATTGTAATATGCGCCACTGCTAATCGAGCCTCGGGTGGATTGACCCACCAGGGTGCTCGTCTTCCGTTCGCTGGGAAGATTATATATGTTTCAGGTGGGGAGAGCTATGAAATTGAAGATGCGATCCAGAGCCTGGAACCCGCGTGGTTGGGTAAGGAAAACAGCGAATTCCTTGAAAAGGGACAGGAATATCTTGCATCTGACAGTACAAGCTGGGATGAGTCAAAATTGTCTTAATGCCCGGATGGGACATATGGTCAAAACAAAGTTGATATAGTGTCTAGGTGACGGGAAACTGGGAACTGCCGCTTTAGGAAGCCGTCGGCTCTCGGAGCACAGTACATATCTTGATACCTAAGCGATGTCTCTCACTAACTACTTTCTTTTGGGGATTCTTTGTCCTGTCTTAGTGAAACAAGTCTCATGAGTTATGAATCTACTTATGTCATTTGCCAATTTTCTCTGATTTCCGTGCAATTCCTTAAAAAATATATCCTTCTGCCCCTTCGTACCCCAGTCAACGTAAGATAACAGCCGGAAGCTCTACCAACCGAAAGACTCCTCAACCAATTTCAGCCTCACGGAAGGGTTGCTTTCAATTAATCTGGCAACGACCATACGGACTTCATCCGCCATTCTGGGAGGACCGCTCACAACCACAGTGAGCTCTTGCTCCATAAATCTGGCGACCTCCTCTTCCAGCAGCCGAGGAATCTCCATACGTTGGTCATGGAAAATCACAGCATTCATCTGCTTGAACCTGGACTCTCCAAGCGCGTCTTCAACGGAATCAACCAGGGACTTGCTTCTGACTGCCCATATCAGTTTGTGCCATCCCCGGTGACCCAACAGTATGGGCGATATAGCAGTAACGCCAACTCCACCGGCGATTGCGATGATATTCGGCGCCTGGGTGATCTCTTCGCCCACAATGGAGGTCGGACGGTAGGTAGACTCAACAAGGACGGGCAGGTGTGACTTTCCTCGGAGATGTCGAGTGATGCCTGCCTCGGTCCGGATGTATATGAGTAGCCCAGAGCGACCTTGTAGACTAACTTGCCTTGATCCATGGGCTGACTCCGATCCTGAGTCATTCCCGGTTGCAGTGATATTGATCTTGGCAATTTCCTCTTTCCCTTCAGCTAAGCAATCCAATGACCTCTTCGAAGTCCTAGTGTCGCCGCTTTGCTGGAAATCGGCCATGACAGAGAACGGATGGTTCTCCCACATGCGCCAGGTCAGAGTCGGGAAATATAGGTAAACATGCCCATCCGCTGCAATTCCTGGGATCTCGAGCTTGATATAGTCATCGTCAACAATAGACACATGCGCTGTTAGGATACCATGTCTAGCCATTCGCAAGATTCGGAACCCACGCTCAAAGGCCCATATGGCAAATGCGATATAGATCCAGTTCTCAAAGCCATATTGGTGAGCGTATTCGTAATAGATGTGCAGGTAACAGCCGATCAAAGCCAAAAGAGAGAAGAAGATATGCCATGCCAAAAATAGCTCATAGCATCTTTTCCGAATCTGCAGTGTCGACATTGGTATCAAGATGACCAGGGAGAGCGTTGCAATGATACCCCAGTACCAATACGGGAGCTTGCTTTCACTCGAATATGAGTAATCGACGCTGTAAATTTGCAGATACATGGCGGAGTGCAGGCATGCCTCAATAACGCAGATCACTGCAACCCATCGGTGAAGAAGGAGAAAAGTGGAGTGAGACCAGTTGGTCAACCACAGCAGGACATTGTTCCGACCCGAGTAAAGGAACAAGAGTGGGATGTTTGCGAAGCTGAGAACTCCAGCGCGGTTGCTCACGTAACTAGCGATTTCGATTGGCTCTGAGGCATACCAGGCGCTCGGGTTGGCAGTTTCATAGCCGACGGCAGAAAGAATGATGTTGATGATGATCAAGTAAGCAATAAACAGTGCTTGGCCTCGCGTAGGCATGATAAACGTGTTGAAAACCGGCACTTTATGTCGATTGCCGATGAGCGGCGGGAGAATGAAAAGTGCTTCGAATTTTGCTTTCCATGGCCCAGGAAATGGAATAAATCTTGCCATTGAGAGGCTGATTGGGATGATCGCGCCGGTCAGAATGAGGACAAGTCTGTAGGTTACGTTAGTACATCTAAAATGTACCAGAAACCGTTCAAAACTTACCCGTATGTCTCGTGTGAGGTTTCAACGCGCTCAACATTAGTCAGAGTATTGTATTGGAGCGTGTAGGTCGCACCGGATACCAGAGATGCCGATCTTAGAACCTCGGTAGAATTGACAGTTATATTCGGTGTGAACCCGATGCTCCAAAGCGCTTGCTGGTATGACTCCTTTGGCAAAGGTTGGTTTGCCTCAGTGCCGGCAACGTTCATTTCCCAGTATCTCTGCAAGGTAGAGTTGGCCTCTGTATGGCAATGAGAGTACATGCAGTAAGCCAGGGTCTGCAATAATGCATCATTCTCGGCATAACATTTGGGATCGGGATACTCTTCAATCATCCAAGATGTGCCCATGTCAACCGTATCCATGTCACTCATGTCCATGTCACTCATATACATGCCGCCCATATCCATGCCTTCCATGTCCCCTGTGTTCATTGAACAGTTTAGAGGATTGGTAATAGCTGCTCGGCAAGCATTGGCGCAGGGAGGATAAAACATAGAAATTCCGTAACCGATCAATCCGTGGCCGGGTCTTCCCATCGTCATTTGCGACGAGATCACTGGGGCAAATCCCAGCAAGAAGCCTATAGCAGCATAGGACCGGCGACGCATGGTTGGCCCGAAAGACAAATTTCGAAGATAGCCCTACTCAGGAAAAAAGGTTGAAAAAACAGCATGGAGGCAAACATAAGTGAAAGAGAAAACCCTGCTCTGAATCATTCTCGAGTGAACCTCATCGGGGCTGGTCTTTGCAATCCAAAATCTCCGAGCTAGGTGATTGTCACGGCAAGTGTCGCCCGACCTTCCAGAATAGAGATGGATTTGCCGGAGACATAATCCAATCATATCTATGGTTTTTCGAATGTTGAAATGAAAGATAACTAGTCAATGAATTGAGGAAGAGTGAAAATGAGCGCATTTTTTTCTATGGCTTGGAGTGGGCCTCTCTCCGAGAGGCCCGAGTCCAAATCGGCAGGTGTACACGGGTGACGGGGTAAAACCCCGACCAGTCGCCCCATGAACCCTATACTGCAGATTGACAGCAAGATCATCCGTATCGCCCTTCTACTTACAGTCTTGTTCGAAAAGCTTCATTATCGGTTTAAATATGTGGGTCATATTAATTGTGACTCAGACCACGCCATTTCTGATATTTCCATGTAGACCATGGGAGTCCGTCTGCGTTGAGCCAGCGCCAAACATAACCGGCCGTATCTCCATGACGCTGTTTCATATCGTGAAGAAGATGTAGTGGGGCATTGACCTTTGCTCTTCAGGTAATGTGAAAGAAGGAAAAATAATAACCTCTCTCTGAGGGCCCGATCCGTCAGGCTATCCAGATCCTCGAATTCGTATTTGGACCATGACTTGACGTAATCTATTATTTTCTGCGATGGACTTGGAACGCCTACTGTCATCATATTAGCCTAGATTACGATAGTCTAGAAATTGAGCTACTCACTTGAAAGACGAAATCCATCAGTATCAACGTAGATCACGGGAGAGAGTGCCTCGAAAATCGTAAACGACAGCAGAGACCCATTCCGTGTAGACGGCGATAATTTTAAATGTATCTGGAGATAGTCCAGGGCGTATTTGTGATAAACAGCCAAGGCATCCCGAAGCTGGCAAAAATCTGCTGCGCGAAACGTGAGGCCTTGCATTACCCTGAGAGAAGTACGGAGAATGTGGAGTCGGAGGAGAAGATTCGATTCAGCGTCCCAGCTAGAGACATCTGGTGCGTTGGAGATTCCTTCAAGCCTCTTCAGCAGAACATGCATGATATAGGAGGTCAGTGTCATATCATTCGTCTTATCTCCATTCTCACAACGGAATGTCTCTTTGAGAAGCTGTACTCGGAGCTTTCCACATCGGTACAAAGCCCTTTGCAAGCTACAATCCGATCGCGTTATGGGATCCGATTCCAGAGGTGAAAGTTCTAAATGAGGATGCAATTGAACATCGTCCAGATTGGAAGGTTGCAACACTTGGTGGTTGATAGGTGAGGTCCAAGGCAAGGCATTTCCATGCTCAAGAGAAACTTGAATATCGATCTCCAGAATGGTTGCCCAAAGCCGTCTTCGTATCTCCATATCGAACACGGAGATTGCTTTCAACTCAGAAGGATCAACGTGGAGGTCTGCTTGCACGGCGCATTTGACAAGTCTCTGTGTCCAACTTCGAGCTTCATTTCGGTCACAAGTAGTCGTCTTGTACAGTGTGAACAAACACAAGGTCTGCATTGCCATAAAATCTAGGCGTTGGTTGTCGAGTAACAAGAAACAGTAATTCTCAACACATTCCGTCCATTTGGCGAAGCGTTCAAGGCGGGCTTTGGTTGACTCAAGATCTTCAATTGAATCCTGGTCTGTGGCTTGATGTCCCAAGATCAAAATTGCGAGTGTGAGGACTCTGGACCCGAGGGATGACTGCGTGATTTCAGCGCATGTATCGTAGTAAGCTTTCCAGAATGAGTGCCTATGGACCACTCGATAAAGCCGCTCCCATGTATTAAAATAAGCAGTAGCCAATGGCTTGGCAGTGTCATGTGAAGGTAGAAGGTGTGCTGCATTGAGAGCCTTGATGCCGCTCTCTATAGGGTTTCTGGGCTTTGAAGCTTGGATTTTGGCTTCAGTTTTCCGGCATAACTCGTTATGGCTGCTAAATGTCTCTGGGGAGTACACGATGCAGTGCCGGATGCAGGTTCTGAATTTCGTCCACTGTGTAGGTTAGTTGGGCCCACTCTGCCAAATCAGACTGGGAAATGCTTGCCGACAGTTGAAGCGGAGGACACCAGCCTTGGTGTCGGAAAGGATGTGCTAAAAGTTGAGTACCAGGAATCTTCTCTTGTTCCATACTGAGGTCAGAGTTTTCGATTGTACAGACGAGGTTCACTTTCTAGTGATTGACTCGCGAACAAGAGATTGACAAAGTCATTCAATCTCGACGTTCATCGAACGTGGGGATCAGCGTGTCATATTGAGTCGGTCCCGTGGTTGAGAGGGGGTTTGAGGGATATAGGACATGAATAGTGACTGTTTATCACTCTTGGCATGCAAGATCTATCACAAGAGATAGAAACGGCAATACCCTTTTCTCCGACCGGTGGATCACTGCCCAGCGTTGGATGTGAATCGCCTTGGGTCGCCAACCGCTATGTCCAAGATTCGAGATCCCCAGAGAAAAAGTCTCTTCCTGTTTTTGTGTTTACCCAGACTGTAAATGAATGCTGATCCGGCGATTCGTGTATCGGTGCTGTGTCAGATGCGGAAATGAGATGAGCACATTTGCGCAAAGTCCCCACCAAACGGGTCATCCCCAATCCTGGATGCAGTCTCCTCCCGCGCGGAAAAGAAAATAGGTCACGCGGGCGGAAATCACTATACCGTGTGTCATGCACCTGGGTAGGCTATTTGTGCGGCAAAATGCGCATGTTTAGGTCGTTGTTGCCTTGAAACCAAGCTGTACAGAACGCGTAGATCGCGTGAATCGCATGATTTCGGATCGTCTCTGGGCGTGAGCTGAATAAAAGAGATTAAAAGAGTGGCTGAAGGAAGGATGCTGAACATACTTTACAGTTTGTCCACGATTCAGTCACCGTGAGATCGTTGCGACACCGATGAATCACCATATGAACATGGAGCACGGCGGGCATGAACACGGTCATGCTGACAATGGTGGACATGGCATGGATATGGCTATGTCGATGGTCTTCACCGCGAGCACCAAGGTTACGCTCCTTTTCAGCTGGTGGTCAACGACCACAGTTACATCATATATCTTTACATTGTTGTTTCTCTTCCTTCTCGCGTTGTTTAACCGTTTCCTGGGCATTTTGAAGCTTCGGCTCGACCTGAAACGAGCCGATCCAACCCAAGACCTATTCAAAGTGCCCAAGTTGAATTTGCCGCCGTCTCGCTGGCCTCGAAATCGAAAGTCGAAGGGTCGTGTCAGTCCTCTCCCACGAGACGTGGAGATTAATGACGACGACACCGACCGTTACGGTGTTTTCCATTCGGCTCCCCTTTTGGCACCCACCTCACAGCTCTACTCCGAAGAATCGCACACCGTTGCTTCTCATCGTACTTCGCTTGGCCCTTGCGGAAGATGGAGTTTGCGGCAAGATGGGACGAGCGCTCTACTTGAGGGGCTTCGCGCGCTCTTTGGGTATGCATTGTAAGTCTATCCTTTACCCAAGGGAGAAATGTGCAATATCTTACATTTTTTTAAAAATCTAGAATGTTGGCGGTCATGACATACAACGTTGGTGTCCTTTGTGCTGTTCTTGCGGGTATTCTGGTGGGCGAGCTGTTCTTGGGCCGTTATTCTCCACCGTCGTCTGGGTGGCAGGATGGAGCATGTCATGATAGCTAGAAACGGTTGACAACTCGGTTGTACTGCATAATTTGAGCCTATTACAAAAAGAAAAGGGCGAATTTGATGAGATGGCGAACGCTTGAACTATTGACGGATTATACGCTCGAGCTATGCAAGGACCAATGAAATGTGCACCTATAGACATTGCTAGCCACGTACAGAGATATATGTACTTTAAACATGTATTGATGCAATTATGGCAAGTGGATCCCTCTGTGAGCAGCACAATCCTAAGCATCTCCTGATTGGCATCGTCTATTGAGAATGCAAAACCAGTCACATGGCCCCCTTAAACCCCCTCAAACCCCCCTCAAACGAGCAAATTAGGCTCTAAAAAATGTCACAACGTCATCCCGCTTCTTCACTTCCCACTCTCTCGCAAGTCTATTGAGGATATTCTGCATGAACATCCCCGAGAGATACCCATTCGTGGACACTATGTGTTATGGCGTCAAGATAATCCCTGTCTTAATGATATCCCTACTAAATGTGATGCAGCCTCCCGCATTGAATCGCTCCAATGTTCTCATACGCATGCTGCCTGAGCTTGGATCATTTAGAACATGCTGCTTCGGTGTTTCGCCTCCTGAAAGGAATGATACCGAGCCAGCTTGAAAACGGAATGGATAGAATGTTCTTCACAGTCGTCGTGAATGCAGAAAAAAATGTAATGGAAACTTTTTTCGGACTTGGCTCCCTTTTGCTCACAGGTTAAGACCCAAAAAAGGCGTGACACAGTCAATGGACCTTATTGATCGATTCCCAGAAGCGACGAGCGAGTAGCTTGTAAGACTACTTCAAGACTTTCAGTTCGATCTATAGAATTCAGAGCCTTGCTTGCTATTTTTTGCCCGTAGCCCAGGGGTTTCTCGGGCCTGTAGAAGATGATTCTTGTTTGAAGTCGTCAACGTCAACCGCGAGTGCCTTTGAGCAGAATATCATCATGCAAAATTTACCCAATATTGGATTCCATGCTTGTCGGCGGAACTCTCGGATGTTGAATTTATAAGCCGGGTGTACACAGAAGCCCGGGAGTATATAGTGCCATCGAATAGAGAGCTGCGCCGTACTGTCAGCTTCCACGCAACACCGTACATCCCCGCCTATACCCCTGCAATGGATTTCGAATTCTCTGTACCAATACAGCCCAGGTTCCTCGCCGGAATCCCTCTATCTGTCAAAACATGGGCAATTCAACAACTTGGGTTTTACGGCACAGCTTTGCTTTTCGAATACTTTGACAAAACGACATTTCGACGCCTGCGCGTGCGCGAGCCGGACCGAAAGCCTTTCAATCAACTCCTCTTACGCGTCCTGGTGAATCAATGCTGCATTTTGCTGCCATGTATGATGCTCACTCAAGTCGTTGGGATTTGCTTTACCGGCCCAACCCATTTACACCCGATAAACTTTCTCCTCATACTTCCTGCGATGGCAGTAGGCCATGACGTCGTGCAGTATCTCACCCATCGATATCTTCTTCACAGTCCTAATATCAAACTGATGCGTCTCCTGCGACACTCAGTACACCATATGACAACGGCCAGTCGGGGCATTAGCGCTTGCTACATGAGCTCGGTGGATTTTCTCCTCGAGATCGTTTTCCCGTATCTGGTTCCACTCATTCTTGTTGGTGGTGGCGGTGCGGACATCCGCCTACAGTACCTCGTTGCAGGCCTCGGGGCTATGGGTGGTGTATATGAACATTCTGGATATGATTTTGGTGTGTCGCTGCGATCGTTGGGCAAAGCTTCAGAATCAACGGATACAGCTGAAAATTCCAACTCGTATATTTCTCTCGCCGTACTTCGGGCTCTGGGTGGGATCTTCGATAATCGCGCTCATGGGGAACATCATGCCCGAGCCAATGTATCTTTCGCGGATGGATTTGGAAATCCCGGGGTCTGTGATACGCTTTTCGGGACGCGGTTCGATCTGTCTGGGACTCAGTGGACATTGGCGGAGAAGGAATGGAGAAGCCAGACGGTATCTTCTCGCCGATAGCTTGGCATGTGCTTGGAGACCAATGACATGACGGCGTCATCTGAACGACTGCAAAAATGCAACTCTAGGAGAGCATCGTGAAGGATCTACTTTGCGCGTAAATTTGGGTCATCCAACGGTGTACTTTAAGACGGGGTCAAAAGGACGTTATTCTCTGCTCTTTCTATAACTGAGAAGTAATTCATAACAGGGTCGGTGACAATACCCCTCATGTAGCTAATGTATTTTGCAATTGTCCGCTAAACTCCGTAACGTCATCGGGACCAGAGACAGAAGGTTTTAAACCAGGTCCTGACATAGCCTTGCGCGCCGCACCATCCCCCTCCCCTCGGAGATCCGTCTTCAGCTGCTCTAATTGCTAATACCAATAGGGAATACTCAGATGATCTATTTTAATGACTAAAAATGAACCTACAATATGTCTCCAGGATCCCAGGATATTTGGCACGGGTGAAGGCCCGAAGCAGTATCGAACGACGTGCTTAGCGTGCTCTAAATGTATAATTCCATAATCCCAAGCGATGCCAGAGATTTTAAAGTTCAATTCATGAGAATTCACGTTTGCCTTGTGGGTAGAGAATCTACTTTGACTAGTTCATGAACTAGTCGTGGTTATCGGTATTGTTGACGCCTCAGGTATCAGGCAGCAATGAGAAACATCCGCCGATCGGATTTCGACTCGGGCAGTTCCAACCAAACAAAAGAACCAAAGCGAGAGAATATTTCCACAATGGCCTCAACTCGAGACGCACTAGAGTTCCCTGAATCAGACAAAGGATTCTTAGAGTGCCAGCTCCCACCAAAAGATGGCTCGACTCCGCGTCCAGATATGCCATTCACGACACTCACATTCGCAACATCTCTTGATTCCTCTCTTGCTCTGTCCCCGGGCGCACGTACCGTCCTCTCGGGACCGCAATCCAAAGCCATGACCCACTACCTGCGCTCTCGCCATGACGGCATCCTCATCGGCGTCGGAACCGCCGTGGCGGATGACCCTGGCCTCAACTGCCGTATTGCCGGGGTAGGAGGTTACGGCGGTGAAAATCTGGACAGCCAGCCGCGGCCAATTGTGATTGACCCATCTGCTCGATGGGATTTCTCCGAAGATAGCAAACTATTTCAGCTTTGCAGACAGGGGCGCGGCCGCGCGCCTTGGATTGTGACTACGCGCCAGAAGCCTTCAGCTGAAAAGCAGGCTTTGCTAGAGAAATATGGAGGGAAATTTATTACATTGGAAGAGATTGATTGGAGTGTTCTCTTTGTAGCGCTTCGATCAAATGGACTTCGGAGCGTTATGATTGAAGGAGGCGCACATGTTATCAACTCGCTGCTGGAGCCTTCAAACATGTCTCTGATCGATCGAGTTATTGTGACCATTGCCCCTACATGGCTGGGCCAAGGAGGAGTCGTCGTCTCCCCTCCCCGACGCTTTGATACTGAAGGCAAAGCGATCTCTGCGGCGAGGCTGAAAAATGTCAAGTGGTATCCATTTGGGGAGGACGTGGTTCTCTGTGGTCAAATTCGAGTAAATGATGATGTATAGAGCATTAATTTTTTTTTTTTTTTAAAAAAATGGCTTCGTGGGATCGCAAAGAAAACTTTTGATTGAACTTTAAGCCAAACGGTTCGGACACCTGCCAATTTGCACGGTGTCCAAATAAGCAAACTAGGGTCTTGAAAGCGAAGGTTTCCCGAGGTATTGCCTCGATCAAGCCTCCCGGAAGTCTAGCAAACTTAATCTTAGCATAAATCCAAGAGTAGCGATTGCGCAGGTACACGATGGAAATTCTGAATTGTAACCACTTGCATATTCTCTGTTCGAATTTCCCTTTCCCAGTAATGTAAATCTGTACGAGTCAGTCTGTGGCCGCGTGCGCTCCGTTCGGCTTCTCCCTCGGTTGTCTCCAAGGTGGCGGTCTATATCAACACCTGGACTGGATCTTTGCAACGAATGCTATTATCTGTACGATATGTTGTATGGCCACTTACTTTACTATCCCTCCTCTGCGATCAGTCGCTGATGCGATTGGTACACGTGTCGATACTGGGCCGGATGGGGAGGTTGGATTGAAGGGTCTACACGCCATCTGATGGTTTGCGTTAGGAGCTCAGCTGACTGCAGCTCTTATGATGGTCATCTGGGTAAGAATTCCTAAGGAGGAGGAGAAAGAGCATGTCACCTAGGCTTGGGACGGCGTAAATGTTAGCTCTTGTGGACAGGTGCAGTTTTTGTAAATGGCAGTCACTTAGCATCAAATATTGACCAGAATATCTTCATATCTCGCAGAGGATATTGCTTCCTACGTGTTGATGTTTAGTCACTGCAAGAAAACCATCTTTTCCTATGGTTCGTGATTCGCGTCAAGCCTGATGAGAGAAGGCGTGAGACACATAGCAGCCTGAAGGTCAACCGGAATCTACCGTCAAACACAAAGGACAGGATACTTAAGTCAGTCACCTCCCTCATAGTTTTCTTCCCTCTCCACCAGCCTGCACTGCTTCTCTCTCCAAGTTAACAATCCTTCATCTTCATAGGTATCTCGTCTTCATACATCCACTTCATACCTCATCTTCATCTACATCTCCACTCGTACGCTGGTTACTTTCACCATCACCAAGCCACCGAAACCTCGATTGCAGTCGAGATGTCAACACAAGATGCCATTCACCACCTGAAGGTACTCGAGCCTCAAAAGGCACCGTCTACCAAAAAGCCAATCATCGTGGGCATATACGGGATCCCAGGTGCAGGCAAGACATACCTCTTGAACAAACTAAAATTTGAACTGCAGAACGAGAACATCCTTTTCTACGAGGGCACTGAAGTGATCGCATCCACGTGTCCTGGCGGCCTCGACAATTTTAATCACCTTTCTGAAGAAGGAAAGGCTCATTGGCGTGGGGTTGCCATCAATGCCATTCGACAGAGCTGTTTGGACAAAGAAAAGGATGCTGTGGTTGTGGGCCATTACATGTTCTGGCCAGAGAGCGAGCCCATCGGTCGCTCAGTGTGCACCCCGGAGGATTTGAAAACATACACTCATATTCTCTATCTGAGTACACCGGTGCAACAAATTGCCGAGTACAGAGCCAAGGAGGATACCCGAAGACGCCTGAAAGCCTCAGTCGACCATTTGCAGAAATGGCAAATCGCCGAAAGTACCCAACTCCGCCGGCTCTGTCTGGAACATGGGATACTTTTCATGTTGCTGAATCCTCATTTGCTTCACCACGAGAAGGTCGCTGGCGTCATTAGGGATTTCCAAATCCACACAGAGACATATAACACGACCCTTGCCATGGCCCGACTTGATGAAATTATGGCCAACAAATCATCTCAGATTGAGACTGTTTTGTTTCTCGACTCTGACAAGACCTTGACAACACAAGACAGTGGTCGCCTATTCTGGGAAAAAGAACATCCTCAACTGAGACTCAACGGTGGTTCTACGCCCCTGACCGACGTTTTCGGCAGCTCTCTAGCCTATTCCTACGCTGCGTTCCGACAGGCAACCATGGTTTTCGAAGCTCGCGACGATCGTGAGTTTGATAGGTCTTGCACAAAAGTTGCAGAATCTATCAAGATGTACCCAGAGTTTCTCTTCTTATTGCACGAAACAGCAAAGGCTCCCCATGTCAAAGCGATCATTGTCACTTGTGGACTGCGTATGGTCTGGACGAAGGTTCTCGAGATAGAAGGTTTGTCCGATAGCGTGGATGTCATTGGTGGGGGTCGCCTCAAAGATGGATTTGTTATCACAGCCGCAGTCAAAGGTGCCCTAGTCGAAAGGCTGCATGAAACAACCAAGTCATGTGTGTGGGCCTTTGGCGACAGCCCACTGGATATCGAAATGCTTAAAAGAGCAGACAAAGCTGTTCTAGTGACAGGCCCAGAACACACAAGGAGCAAGTCCATGGACGAGGTGTTGAAGACTGCTCTCGACAACAAGGAGTTGGCCGTCCAGCAAGTCCTTCTGCCTTCAGACGTTCCCCCTCGGGATCCCTCTCGCATTCCACTCATGAAACTCACCGCACAATGTACTCTGAAAGCAATTTTTTCCCGTCGATTTCAAGTTTTCCATGCGACCGAGAAGAACGCGGCCAAAATATTGATGACTCGCATGCGCGATAGTAGTGTCGTCGGTTCGGCATTAAGAGACGCCCATTGGGAAGCAGGGAAGTATTTGGCCGTTGAATTCATTTCAGAGATCATCGGCGTTGAGGAGTTCCAAATACGACATGTTCAAAGCCACTCCGTTGCGGGTCACCGTCTTCTCCACGAAGACAAGACACTAATCATGGCTCTCATGCGTGGTGGAGAGGCCATGGCATTTGGTATCAGCAGAGTTTTCCCTCTGGCGTCTTTCCTGCACGCGGTTGATCCGGCGATGCTAAAGGAGAGACATCTACAAGACATGAAAACCGTACTCTTGGTCGACTCCGTCGTCAACAGCGGCAAGTCTGTATTTGAGTGGATAACGGCCATTCGAAACATCAATGAGTCTGTTAGAATTCTCGTTGTTGCTGGTGTGATCTACGAACCGACGGTTTCGCCGGAGAGTATTGCTCGAAATCTGGGCTCCCCACCTGCTGCTAGTTTCGTTGCTCTGCGTCTTTCGAAGAACCAGTTTAAGGGTAGTGGTGCAATTGATACGGGAAACCGGCTTTTTAACACAGTTTATCTGGGTTGATTACCGGAATCATCTTTGACAAGGGGAACTACGTCCAATGTGTTTGTGTGACAGATAATGAATGATCTATTGAGTTCTAAAAACTAGAAATAACACCTAGCATGGCACGTACGACGTAGAGTTATGTGAGCTATGCTCGGGGTCATTATCATCCGAATTTCAACATAAGTAAACTTTGAGACGAGGAAAGAAGCTAACCCCGTTAGGTCCGGCTAGGTCCGTTAAGCCCCCAAGCCCCGAGAGATCCTTGGAGATCTGTCCATTTTTGGTACTTTTGGAATGTTCTTTGGCGATTTTTGAAATTCAAGCCCTCCAACTTCATTACTTCGACACTAACTTGACGGAGGTATTTCCGGCTATCCTTGGAAAAGTGTTTGTGTCCGAGACGCTTACCCGCATTGGAGTGTGTGCATTAAGCTGAACATCAGTCATGTCACCGAATTACCACATAAGAAGCTTGCAAGACGAGAGAAGAGAGAACCAGATCCGACGTACTCTGATTTTAAATATAAAAGTCCTACCCCAATCTATCTGAGTCCTTTACCGTAGAAACGTATCGCTCACAAGACGCTGTCTTATTTTTCATTAAAGTGTTGGATGCCGTATGTTGGATGTATGGCGGTATAGATGACGCCATGGAGATTCAGAGTCGACGATAGAAGTCCAGTTGTTTGAGTAGCGTTTTAATGTCTATCAATGGGGACATGTTTTCTTCGCTGGCTTACCTGGCTCCCCGGAATTCCCAGGATCCCGTTGAAAGTGGAGCGTATGTCTGGTTTCCATGGGGGCCCTACACCAGAGAGTTCGTCCCCGCTGGATTCCGATGAGAAATATACAAATCAATGACGGCATTTATTCCTCAACCATATTTGACTATTTTGAAAATAAACGTCATCTGAGTCAAAACTTCCGTCGTCTTCCTGGTTCCGAGAACCGATAGAACGGAAAGGATCGGGGGCTATATAACGTATAGTACTAATGGATTCTTAATCTTGACACTGATAACCTTCAATTACTAGACAAAATAAGTGATATTGAAAGAAACATTGGAAAATAAGACTCGGGATTGATAGACAGTCTTGTGACACCATTGCGTCTCCATGGCACATCCTCAGTCTTTCAGAGAAACAACAACCTTCTTGGCAGATACTCCCGTCTTATAGTAGTCCATGGCGGTCTGAATGCTTTCCAGCCCATTACCTATCACAACTGGCTCTGGCGATGGCAGAAATATGCCGTTTTCTAGAGCCTGTGGCAGATAACCCTCAAAGATAGCCTTGCCGACCCCATTCTCAACCAGAGAAGTCGCAAAAATCAAGTTGTAGTCCACGCCCATAGTCTTGGATTTGAACCAATAGACGAAGCTTCGAGTAAGGAACATGAACATGGTTTGCAGCATTGGAAAATGCGCTGGGATCTTGTCGGGAACCGGATAAGCGGCTAGCGAAACAAATCTCTTCCCATCGCAACGAGCAAGAATATCCATGCATCGCTCGGTTCCATTGGAGGCCATAGAAATTGCACCAGCCGCTTTCTTTCCCTTGAAGGCTTTCACTATATCATTCACGACTGTCTTGCTTTTGTAATTGAAGACTTGAGAGGCACCTAGCTTCTTCACGTAATTGAAATTATGCGGAGATGACGTTGTAAAGACTTCATATCCAGCGCTCACAGCAAGCTGGATAGCACTGCTGCCCACGCTAGTGGAGCCGCCCCAGATCAGTAGGGTTTCGCCTTTGGGCTTGGAATTGACGGAAGGTAGCTGGAGTCCAAGCTGATCTTCTTGAAAAAGACCGCAGGCAGCCGTGGAAGTACCTAGCGGAAGCACACAGGCGCTTTCATACGGCATATCATCCGGAATGGGCGATGCCATATGGTCCAGAAGCACAACATAGAGTTGGAAGGCTCCCTCGGCATCGCTGTTGCGCTTTTCATCCTTGCCGACAGCTTGGCCGACAACGCGGTCTCCGAATTTGAATCGCGTCACTTGCGGACCAACCTCGACTACTTCGCCTGCCACATCGGATCCTAGGACGCAAGGATATTTGATCCATTTGTACATCATAGATGTTCCGAGGTCCTGCAGTCTCCAGTCAATTATGTTGATGGCTGTGGCGTGGTTGCGGATCACAATCTGGCCTTTGCGAGGACCAGTGTAAGGTGCTGATTTCACCTGAAGGGGACGGTTTTTGCTTCCCATTAGCCATGCGGCGCGGTTGTTGAACATGATGATGTCTCTATGTAGAGTTGGAAGACTTGAGTCCACGGCGCCTCCAAGAGGTGCTTATTAAAAGAAGAATTAAGAGCTGAAAAGTTCGGTGTAGATTAGAAATAATGATTAAGATTTATAGCCAGAGGTAGAGCCTTTTATTCTGTAATCTGCCCGGCATTCGGGATTAAGAGAATACATGGGATGAATTGAATCCGAATGGGGGTTTAGCGCAAAGGCTAAATCGGGAAAGTGGCGCTTGAATCCGAGTCAGGGTTAGCGTGAACCGTAATCATGCACCTCATCACCATCACCTGTCTAGAGCTTCCGACATTCACACAACACGCTGCTCTTCCGCGGTAATCAGAAATGGAGAAACGACCCCGTAAGATCCAGCCCCATAGAAAGTCTCGACAAGGCTGTACCAACTGCAAGCTTCGCAATGTAAAAGTAAGCCTCCGGAGCAATTTCGTTGTTTCAGAGCCCTGACTTCGCCCCAGTGTGACGAGAAGACACCCGCGTGCAAGCGGTGCATTGCCTACGGTGTAGCTTGCAGCTATGATCGGACAGTTTCCATTCTCCGAGCCCCGATGGAGAATATCATGACTCCCGCTTTGCCTCCCGAACCATCCTACTGGCGGCATCCGAGCGACCAAATACTTGCCAAGTTTCAAACACGGACTGCGCCCACTGTTAGTATCGGCAAGCGGCTGGCAGTTTATCAGAATGAGGTGACCATGTTGGCACCATCTGTAAGCTTAGATCATCTGTGGCAGTCGAGTCGAGCCTCTGCTAAGTCCCATATTCTACCAGCACCCATTCTTGATGCACGCGATCGCCACCCTGACCCTCATGCATGACCGGCATTTATCCATGACTGATAATCTGAATTATTGCCCAAACCTCATATTCACAGAATATTTCCACTGGTACCGAGCCGTGTTGTCGTTCAACGACCGGCTGTCGGTCTTGCAGCAATATCACGGAGGGGAATGGACAGCTGCCTCTACTCAGGTTGCTTTAGTTAGCACGGCAGCTATCCTCTGGACCATAGCCTTCTGTCATATCGAGGCCAGAGCCCCACAAGAAGCGTGGCCACTCAAGTCCACGTCGTCCGATCTAAACTGGCTACGTATGAATAATGGGAAGGAGCAAATATGGAAAGTCACCCAATCATATCCTCCAGACCCCATCTCGATGACCTTGGCTTCCATGCGTACCCATGAAATGCTCCCTACTCCCCATAATAACGTCAACGCTCTCTTTGATAAACTCCCGCCAGCTTTCATTCGTCTCTTCAATCTCGCCAATGGTGACAGTCTACCGAGTAATACGATAGACCCATACTACACCATCGGGGTGCAAGTTGCCCAGGTAGTTTATGTGGATTGTCCCCTATACGTGACCATTCTGAGCTTCGTCTCATTTGTTAGTGGCATTTCTTCGGAAGCCAGGGGACTGCTAGAAGCAAAGGATCCTTGTATGCTCTTGGCGCTGGCTCTTTGGTACGCGAAGTTGTACCAAGTTGGGGTTTGGTGGATGTTGCGGCGGCTGCTAATAGAGGGCCAAGCTATCTGTCTCTATTTGGAGCGTTTCTTTTCCCACGATGCCGACATTCAGGCTGTTTTGGAATTCCCTCAGAGGATCTTCCCCACCGAGGTAGTTGAGTGATTTACATCTCATGTATGTGCTGGCAGCGGTAGAATTTATTCTTCGTTCAAGGTGGGAGACTTTTGGTTGTTTTCTCGTCTTTTAGATCATAGCGCCTTGTTGATCATTCTGTCTCCCAGAGATGACCATCAATTTAGATTCTGAGCCACTGATCTAGTGGAGGGTTGTGATATCGACCGAAAATATTACACAGTAAATTTTGAAAAGGTTGACACAACTTATACTCTTTGAATCAATGTTTTTCGAAGAGACAGTGTCTCTCACCCAGATGCCTCGTCCAAGATTCTATTTAGAATCATAATCCCAGTATCCTCCGCATACCACTATTCTCTACTACCCAGCCTCCCCCAAGCTTGAATGCCCCCGCACCTTCGAGCTTCTCGTCTATCCGACCCATCGCCATATCCGTCAAGAACGGCCCTAGACGCTCCGTCGGACTATGCAGTTGTTTGTAAAAGTGCCGTACAGGTGGGCCAAAAAATAACACTCCAATCCTCGGGATAAGCCCCTGGCTCGGAATATACGGCTTTATAGTGCCATGCGATGCCGGGTCAACGAAACCAGGCCTCATACTGTCCACTCGAATTTGTGGGCTTTTCTCTGACAAATCTCCCAGGAGTTTCTCGGTTTCGCCCTTTATCCGGGCATAAATTGGAGAAAATTGCCCCGGAGCTTGTGTGGCTCCCTCGCCAGATACATAGATGAATCGGAAGGGATGCTGCGTAGTCTTGAGGGTTGAAAATGAATTGGCCGCAGCAAGGGCGTAGTCCTTGGTGATTTTGACGTATTCCCTGCTTAAATGTCAGAATCAAATTCGTCCACCATTACTAGTAGTGGCAAGTGGATCGCGTAATGGGAAATCTTACTCTTGGTTGACATTGTTCTGGCTCGTTCCCAAAGCCCAAACACACCCGTCGGCATCTTTCAGTTGATCCAGAAGCTCAGGTTCGTAAGATCCAAAATCTCGATGGGTAATTACCCGAACCCGCGAATCTCTCGCATCTTCTGCCATCGCAACCGGTCTCCGACTAAGGATAGAAATTTTAGAGATATTCGTGTTTTTGAACATGGCGTCAAGCACGGAAGAGCCGACCAGGCCGGTCGCACCCGTAAGAATGAGATGCATTTGGGAATTGTTTATAACTTCGGCAGGCGAGTTGGTATAATTTGGGACATCGGGAGGAGGAGAAACCAAATTGCTGTGACTTTCTGTCCAAACGGACGTCCTTATATAAAATTATAAAATTCTTCGTGGCTGAGACCAGCCATCGGACTTAGGCGGTATTAAGACTTGATGACCCGAGTTGTCATCACGTGGAAAAATCTGCCTTATGAGCGATGTACTGGGGTAGCAGATCATCAGGTCTCCGGGATAACCAATTCTAGACTGGAAGTTACACGCCTTGGCCATGGCTGATCTCAACTTTGAGTATAGCTGCCAGTCCCTGTAGGAGCGAACGGCCATCGAGACCGGATTAATGGATAATCCGACAGTAATATTTCCGTATGTAATCAGAAACCCCTACAAATTGCAAAGAACCAGGGATATAGCAATACAGGGTTCTTTTCACCCCTGTCGTGTATAAATCTTGGCTTTCTTGTGCACCTGGATGGCTTGCAGGAACTGGCCGCCTTGCATGTGGATTGCATCATCCCGGGCCTAATGGCATACGTAGATTTTCACCAGTGTCTCCTGATCTTGCAGGTCGACTTCTGCTGCACTGAGCCATGACCGGTATAAAAGATCGTCGCGAAGAGAAGGATAACGCGGGCGAGATTATCTCACGAATGATTGCCACTGTGAAGACTCTACTTGATGCGAAGCCGACAACTATCAACTCGCGAGACCAGTATGATGCTAAGACCTTTCATTACGCGTTGCAGATCCACATTGAGTATCGGGAAGCCCCTCAAGCTATTCAAGCCCTGCTGAATGCCCATCCATCTATCGATACGCTCAACTCTCGGAACGATCGAGGCATGACTGCTCTTGGTGAGGCGATCAGGTCATTTAAATCTTATGGCAGCACTTTTGAAGAAGTAACAAGCTTAATCACAATGTTGCTGGTGTACGGGGCAAATCAACGCTTGTACGACACCAAAGGACGCAATATCCTCCGCCTACTTTGCATGTAATTCTTGGCAGAGCTCATCGCCCCTATCATACTGGATCAAATTTTCAAGTTTGTTGATGCCAATGAGACTGATTGATGACGATGGCCGCACTCCACTGCACTATCTAGTGAAGACTATAGAACAGGTTGATGCAGTCCGGCATCTCATTAGTCCGTTGTCATCAAGAGTGATCACTAGGGGAGTACTCCTCTTCATGAACTGATTGAAGGGCAAATCATCAAAAAGAGATTTGGAACCTGGTCTTAGAGGGGGCGAGTACGAGAGAGAGGATAAGGGAATAGGGAGAAAAGAGCAAGAGATGGGTTGATCCAAGACTTGGTCAACGCTGGAACATCTATGGACAAGCCTAATGAAGCCGGCCAGACACCCAGACAGTTGTTGAACAATTTCTGAAAACATCAAAAACGCAGGGAGAAGGATGCAGTCTACGATACCAAACGCGGACGTCACGAAAACGGATACCGATTTGCTAACTTCCCTGAAAATAGACATGTGGAAAGAACTCATGGATTCGGCTTCATGTATTCAAATAGGCTATCATAACATTCTCTTTCGAAGAGAATAATATACACCCATAGGTCTGATCAGGAAAGCAGGATAAGCCTCGACTTCGATCATGTCGTTGGTAGTACACAATGATAGTTCCGAGAGGCTATAGCTTCGAGCTATTCACTCCAGATATCCATTGAATTATAGGATCTTTCCCGAGATGAGTCATCGCTTGTGGGTGGATCGGTTAACTAGTTGACTACGTAATCTGAATCAGATCCACTATGAGAGTGAGCTTTGACATCAAACGGACTATACGGACCCTGTAATTTCCGACCGATCCTCTGCCGCCATCACATGTCCTTTGACGGCGACGAACCAAGCGAGTCTAAAAAATCTTATTCACAATCGGCGACGTCTAGACCCACAAGATTGGTGTTCTCGTTAGTGTCGCGAAGAAGGTAATTAATTCTGATGCCTGCGATAGGCGTACTGTAGATTAAATCATAGTGCTAGGTTTGACCATGTGTGGGACGCTCTTGCCACTGAAGACCGTGTATATGCGACAGTAGCTTCAAACTAGGTTATTCATGGTCAAGGTTGATAGGAACATCTGTGAACAATAGTGATTGTGACTAGCGGCGTAGATATAGTTGCATCGCAGGCGAACCTTTGGCTGGGCAATCGGCCATGGGCTAAAAGTTCCACTGCGCTAGCAAAGATCGAACAGCGATCAGGGGCAATGAAAATCATTACACCCATTTTTGTAGACTTCTCGGGGTCAAAGCGCAACTATAATAAAGTACCCATGTAACATTCATTTTCACGTGCGTGCGGACTCCGGAGGAGTGGACCTCCGCAGTGGAGACATTAGGAAACATTAGGAAACATTAGGAAACATTAGGAAACATTAGGAAACATTAGGAGACATTAGGAGACATTACTAGGAGATATTACTAGGAGACATTACTAGGAGACATTACTTGGAGACATTGCTAGGAGACATTACTAGGAGACATTAGTGAATGCCAAGGACGATCTTGTGTGGGGGTTTTGACGGCGGCTGAGAACTTCCAGGGGGGTGGAGGCGCCTATTAGACGATTGAAGCTTGCCTTCGGTTAGATTAGAATTCAATAGTATGTCGAATTAACAATGGAGTAATGGAAAATTTTAAAATACCCCGAAGTGTACTCCGTAGGGGGAAACACGGCCGTTGAGTGTTAGGGGCTGCCTAAACCAGCGGAAGGCGTCCCAAGCGAAAATCACGGTTTTCTATTAGTTGAGTTTGGCGGCTGAAACCCAGGAACCTAAATTGCGCAGGGTTTCATTGAGCCTGCCTAGAAATTTGAAATGTTTTGAAATTGAATTTTATATACTTATAGCAATGCGATTGATATCTGTCACGATGGCCTTGTTTTGCAGTCACGTTGTAAGCGAGTCTTGTGCGTGCAATGTTGCTATTATTGTCCGCGGGCAACGAGGCACATTACACAAGCACGAGACGGACCACTCAGAGTGTAACATCGTATCCATAGCGGTGGGGTCATCACTAACCGTGGTACAAGAGCGGCCCAGCGGCCCCGATTTATTTGGCAGCTACAGTACAGTACGCTTGACAGGGAAAATTTGAGAACACACGTCCGTCATTCCATGGTTATGGGCCCACCACCAAGCCCACCCTGACCAAAATTTGCACTGGCATGAGGCACAGACTTCCGAACGTGATCCACTGTTGGCGACGATGCGGTGCGGAGCAGCCCACTATGTAACTCGGCGCGAGAGTCGTGGAAGTCGTGGAAGTCGTGAGAGTCTTGATGGCGCAATTTCGTGCATTTTACTGTAGCTGCCTCTTCACGGAGTTGTTCTCCATCTGGGTCAGCCACATCGTGCGAAATCGAACCGAACTCCCGGGTGCTCGAGGGTTTTTGGAGCATTTATTTTCCATCGGGATCGCCGCAGGTCGTGCGCTAGTGAGCAGACTAGTCAAACTTTGCCTAGGTCAAGAGTAACCAAAAAAGGATTTTGCTTGATGCTTTGCACGGGCGCACAATTTCTTCTCCACAGCCAAAGATCGCTCCACTATCAGAGCTGATTTCAAAAGCAACGACCCCCGCTTGTCAATTGATCGGTTGTACTCGTTATTCTCTCAACCGCAGACTCTTCCTCAACATTAAGCCACCGATCTTTTAAGGCTTCAATTACCTCTGACCCTAATCAAAGCTTGCATGGGACCTGCAAGTTGGGCATAGACGACCGAGGTTCACACCGACATTAATTTAACGATACCAACATCTATTACACTCTTTTTAATCCCTCTTCAACGACTATAATGACGAGCTTTGTTCACGAGATGTTCCCCCGGAGTGGAGATGACGGGAGAGCAGATGACGGATACGACCGGGGAAGGCGAGCATTGGTCGTGACAGCGTCGTTGACGTCCCTCGCCGCTGTCATTGTCAGCTTGCGATTGTTTGCACGACTCAAACTGATGAAAGCCACTGGGACTGAAGACTGGCTTATTTTGGCATCCTTGGTTTTCTCCATCATATACCTCGCCCTCGTTGCTGCTCGTATGACTAGCTCCCCTCCGTTATCATTCGAGCATTATCGCTGACGTTCCATTAGAATTCCATTTTGGAATGGGTGTTCACTCCGATCAATTATCTCCTAGAATGCTGCAAGAGCAACTCAAGGTATGTCATGAAGTCTTTCTTGATTCAAAAAGCTTTTTTCGAAATGACAGATCTAACAATCACTTTGACAGTGTTTGTGGGCTGCAATCCCCATGTACAACGCCAGTCTGGGACTCACCAAACTCTCCATCCTTTTTCAATATCTCCGCATCTTCCCCGCTCGCTCTTTTCGCATCGCCTGTTATGTTGTGATGGCCATTGTGGCAACATACTCATCCTGGGCCATTGTTAGCGGCTACGTCAACTGCGTGCCCGTGGCCAAGTTCTGGAATCACGACATGCCGGGCAATTGTCTCAACTTCGAGGCAGTCTGGTTTTTCAATGCATCGATGAACATTGCAACCGATGTTACTCTTCTCATCATGCCTATGCCGTTACTGGCGCAGCTCCAGCTTCCCCGCATGCAGAAAATTGCTCTGATGGGTGTTTTTGCTATGGGTATTCTGTACGTGCCATTCTTTCTATTTGCAGGTTCAAAGCTAACGGTAATCAGGGTTGTCATTACAAGTGTCCTCCGCCTCTCCAGTCTGCGAATCGTGGCCAAGAGCACAGACACGTCCTGTATGTTTACATCAGTCCTCCATGTCCACCATTCTACTAACAAATATTAAAGACAGCAATGTTGGAGCCGCCTACTGGACCGCTGCAGAGTGCAATGTCGCAATCATATGTGCCTGTCTCCCCTTCCTTCGACCCATCATCAGCCGCATCTTTCCCAAGCTGCTCTCTACAAACAGCTACAACCGTACAGCCAGCTACAACCGGTACAACAGCAACCCGCGAACTGCTACCAACAACTTCACTGGTCCTGGCTCACAGCGTCGAACTGAGCTTTTCAGCCAGAACATGGATAAAGACTACGACATGTACTCTATCAATGTCAAGCCTGGAGACCACTCAAGTCATAGCTCTCTTGGTGGCATTGAGGTCACCACTGAGATGAGTGTCACGAAAGAAAACAACAAGCACAATGATAATGTTAGTGAGCGGCACTTGGTATCCGATGCGGCATGAGATGTCTTTTCCCCCTCTTCATTCACTTCCTGTGGAGATATGTTCTGGTTTATGATTGCATTGCAACGGAATACTTTTTCCATTCGGATCTTTTTACATATTCTTGATCAGCTCCTCTAGAGGAATTGATTTAGGGAACCGGTAATCCGGAACCCCCCTCTGCCTGATATTCTAGGTTTCTTCCACTTTCTGCTGATCAAATCACCCCTGATTTCCAAGTGTTAGTTTTCTTAGCTATAGGGATTTCTTTTCTTTAGTTTATATAATAGAATACCTAGTTTTATCCTATTTAATCGCTATTTTCGCTTTCTATTATATCTCTCTTAACACCAAATCACTCAAGCATTCTCCTAACCATTTTGACTCCTCCCGCGACCGCGCCCCCTATGACTCGGTCGCGGATAAGGTGCGAGAGTTACGGCAGGTAAGTTAAAAGTGGTGGATAAAGCGGTATAGAATTTACTAACGCAATATCCTACACTAAGCCTATATAGGGGTAGAGACTCGAAAAATCAGCCAGGGTAGGGGTGTTGGATTACCGATTCTCTTGATTTATTGGGCGGCCAACTCATATTTCAATCTCGTTCATTCTCTTTCATTCTTATCCAAACTTCAAGTTTATACCCTTTTCACTTACTGACATCTATAATAATTTGACCATCCTTACCAATTTCATTGCGTACCATCGTCCCCAGATTCAAACTAAGAGCCTCAATCTTCCGCCTCGCCCAATCGTGATCCCTATCACCAGCCCCAAGCAACATAGCCCTAAACCTCTCAATCCTCGTAGGAAAAATCTCCAGCCGGTCCAGCACCAGCCCATTCCTACCACGCTTCATATCCCCCTCCCTAACAAGAACCCTCCACACAGCCCCAAGATCATTCCGATAATCTGCATGGACAGCATAATCATCCACGAAATCACCACATCCGTAGATAATAACTTTCCCATGATATATCTCCACACCCTGCAAATGGTGTGACGAATGGCCTTGCACGATATCGACTTCGCATTCATCAATTAGGAAATGTGCAAGGGATCTGACTTTATCTGCTGGGTGCCATGAGTAATTCGGGCCCCAGTGAACCGAGAATATCTTCAGCGCTGACTGTGTGGACGCGGTGCTTTGGTGTATATCACTGTCAGTCTCAACTCCTTTCACGCCAACTGGTTCCCTTGCACCGCCAGATAACAAAGCTCTCAACTTCTCTCTCGTCCCAGGTGTATAATCAATCAAATGAAATCCAGGAACAACATTCCATTCTTGTGGATGATCACTCGCCGCGTATATCTCCACCTTATACCCACTGCCCCCCAACCGTAGAATAGCAGGCCTACGAGCCTCACTACTCGTCTCGCCAGCGCCCGCAAACCCAACCCCCGCATCCTTCGCACACCTAACTGTCTCAACCAGCCCTTCGGTCCCAAAATCAAGGGTGTGGTTATTAGCCAGGCCCACGTAATCGACACCCGCAGCCTGCAATATCGGCGCTAGGTTCGCGGGGTGCATGCGGTAATTGAATGCTTTATCTGGCCATGGTTCGGGGAAAGTTGTTGCGGAGGTTTCGAGGTTTATAAGAGTTAGGTCTGAAGTGCGGAGGAGGGGGGAGGGTTGTGCCCCACGGTGAAGAATGTTTGTAGTTTCCATTGCCTAGGAGGGTTGGGTGTGTTTGGATGAAGTGGTCGGCGGTACGGCGGTCTCGTGGGTTGTGGACGTGTATTGGGAAGAGTTGGTCGATTAGGCGGCCGAGCATTACGTCGCCGTTAAATGTCAGGCTGAATGTCTTTGCCATTGTGGGTATTCGCTTTGTAAATTATATCAATTGCTGTTGTTCAGGATATTTGAGATAGGGTCCAGGTTGGGATCAAGTCATGATGACATCGATAGCCTTCGACCCGGGCCGAGTTACCTACATGATTCTATATGCAAAACAAAATACCATGGAGAGCAGCCATTGAGAGAAGCAATTCATTTGTAGAATACAGTTATTCCTAATACTTTTTGAGAAGTTTTGAAGAATAGTAGCACAGTCCAGGGATCCATCATCCCAGCCAAACATTCAGTGGTATCATACGCAAATCACCGAGTATTTGCGCCGTGTATCAAGTGGTGCCCCGCGAAACAGGAAAGATAAATAAAAGTTTTGATCTCGTTAAATTCGTCACAACTTGGGCCAGTTGCGAAATTAGTGGCGCATATCTGCCAGTTCCCGTTCTTTGGCACGCAGCATCTCGCGCATCTGCTCAGCTTCCCGTTCCAATCTGGCACGGCGTTCACGCTCGGCGGCAGGATCTGAGAGGGACGAGATGCCGGGCAGAGTCTGCTGTTGCTGGGCGGAGGGCCCTGGGGGCTGGTATGCCTGAGGTCGGCCCAAGTGCGAGGACTCCATCCGAGCGTGGGGATCTGCCTGGTTTAGGATGGATGAGATCGAGCTCAGGCGGCCCGAAGGCAACGGGTTGGCAGATGACATGATGGGAGGCAGCTGATTTGAACCTGACTCCAGAGTCGTGGGGATCGGGAGAGCTTCTGAAGAGGTTTCGGCAAGGGTCCGCTTCATTGGTAAAGCAACAGTATTAGGAGATGCAGATCGTCGTCCGAATTGAGCGCCTGGCGAATGTCCCAGTCGTTCTGGCTCCATAATTTTAGGGAAAGTGTGGTGAGGAAGAGGAGCGGAGTTGATGCGGAAGCCGGTAAAATCCACCGGGGGCGGAGCAAATGATATAGGCCGCGGTTGATCCATAGGCTCACTGCTCATGTAGCGGTAGTGTTCGTCGTGATGAGCCAAGGCAGCCGGAGATGCCTCGGGGGATACGGATGATCCATTAGAGGAGTGGGTGGCAGCAGTGGGAGACTGGTCGCGCAAAGCAGGGACAACTCGCTTGCGACGCTTGATGATCGACTTTTTCATCGTTGTCGGGCGATAGCAACCATGGAGCTTGTAGTACAGTCCTGTTGAGGGTTAGCAAATGTCTTGTGGAACTGACAAGGGGAAAAAAACGAACCACAGGCATTGCAAATAGGATGACCATGTTCGTCTCGTCGCCACAGCGGAGTCACAGTCGTCCCACAATTTTGGCATGCAACCAGAGTCGAATTACCGTCAACAGGAGAGTTCTTCGCGGGAGCCTCCGTCTCAAGAGCCGGAGGTGCAAGATTGTTATCAGGGGCCGATGTTCGACCCCATGATGGGTGAACGGGCGCGGCACCTCGATGCGAAGCTTTATAGATACGGTTGTTGTAGGCCGGACAGCCATCGCATCCTTCTGCACCACCAGTACCATTGCAGCTACCACCACCGGGACAAGAGCCCTTGCAGCCTCCTTCTGATGCCACAGAATGATCGTGCTGGTGAGCTTGTAGATGTGATTTATCGGCTTCGGGACCTTGTTGCATGCGATTTCGTTTCGTAGGACGAGCGACATTGCGAGCTTTCAGGTAAAGACCGCAGGCATTGCAGATCATTGATCCAGTGGGAGAGCGGCGCCAGAGTGGAGTGGATTTCGTTCCGCAATTACTGAATAACATCGTCAGTATTTCTCGACCAGGCACTACGCAGAATAAAATGGAGGAAACTCACCTGCAAGAGTGCCCCAGAAAAGAGGTGTCCTTCTGTGCCCTTGGAGATGTCTTATCCTGGGCACTAGCGGATGGTTCCCGGCTCAATTGGTCCGTCGTTGGGCCCTGATCTGGCATAGGACTCTCCGATGCTTTGAAACTGGGAGCATCGCCATGGCGTTGAGCCAGATGTTCGCGACCCGCCTGCGCAGACGAGATCAGCTGCTGAGCAGCATCCAAGTCCTCCCAGGATGGCTGTCGCATGGAGCCCATGGATGTTCCGGTGTAAGAGCGTACTGATTCCATGGGAGAAATGGACGCTAACATTACCACCTCGTTGCCGGGCCGGGGGATCTTGTCGGCCAGTTTGATCGGAGTAGGAGGGAGGGCGGATATTCCAGGAACGAAGCGATGAAAAGCGAGAGGATAGATGCTCGGTGGATGGGAAGTTTACGTCGCACCGCAGTTGAAAGTCGAATTCACCGTATCACACACAACCCGCCAGAGGTCAAAAGTCGGTCAGGACAGCTGGGGGAAGCGGCACGCCTGCGGATTGACTGCAGTCGACAGGAATCGCAAAGACAGGGGCAAGGCGCGTCACAAGGGGCGAACAGCACGATTGACAGTGACAGACGGCGATAGATGGCAGGATAGCCTTCTAAAAAGACCGCAAGATATTCAAAGAGTGTGGCGACCCAGAGGCTTAGGGTCAGGTGATGGCGATTGCGACAGCTGACAACGTGTGCGCAGGCTGACTTGGCGCTGTGGGGGATTTCGGGGACGCTGATCGGAGGAGCTAAACAGAAGAGGGCTGGGCGCAGCTGCTAGGTGCTAGGGGCCTGCAAGATGGTGATCACACCGCGTTGGGAAGAGGGTGGTTTTGAGATTCGAGGTGGAAAGAGAGGGAAGAGAGATAAGGGAGAGAGGTGGGGAGGCGTTGCAAATTCGGTGGTCCGAAGTGGTTGACTAGGGGGTAGAGGAAAAGGGAAACTGGGAAGGGAAGGCGGGTTTGGAATGATCGAGTCGAGCCCTGCTTATCGAGCACATCAAAAAAGGGATTACGGGAAGTTTTTGGCTTTATCGATCTACGAAAGGGGGGATCGGCGAGGCTATCATATCAGTCTAATCACACCACTGCCGAGGATCGCTATCTCATCTAATCTGTTGAAGCGTCCAAACTACCTGTCACTTTTAATTTTGACTCTTTTGTGCCCTTGTTCAAGTCTGCAGGAAATCTCTGATCGTGATGATCTGGATTTTACATCTGTCACTCCCCAGATCGCATCATACCGGGCTCCACCGAGTCCTGATGAAGTTTAGGGGGAAGAAATCAGTGGGAATGCACCTTCCGAAGTGAGGCCTGGTCGGGCCAATGCGCAGGCAAGCATCTTTGTAGACGCCCTCATTGGCTGACGCGGCCCTTGGACCGTTGTAAGCAGCAATCTAGGGTTTCTTATTGGTCCTCGGCAGTGGCGGGATCCATCCGAGACGCCTCCGTTTGACTCGTTTGATTCTTTTTCTTGCCAGGCTGTCACTAACGTAATCAAAACCATATTAATAGTTAATCAGCTGGAACCCGGCACCGGGCGTGTGTACCCGATGCAGATCAGCGCGATCCATTCGTACTTTGTCCAAATAGGTATATGGTCTCGACCATATTTTGGTTAGGATAAGTCTTAGGCAGTCCCGAGGCTGCGTGACAACTGGCCTTAAGACTCTACATCATAACCAATAAACGATCCACCAATGTCATTTCATGCGAGAGCTCTAGCCACACGCCCGTCCAAGAAATATAATACAGATGCTGTCAAATGGACTTATCCCCATCAGGTATCAAAACGAAATGAAAGCAATCCCCACTATCCAGAATCCCCATAGGCTGAGCACTGGAACTCTCATGTCATAGCACTCGTCGAGTATTCGTATATCGCGTCGCGAACAGATCCATTTCCTTAATGCGACCCACAAGGGTCATGCAGAACGGGTCCTCGCTCCAGCGACGCAAGCCACTTAGACCTGCTCGGCACCCCAGCCCTGGTCGGACTCGCGCATGTTGGACGGAGGCTCGATGGAGGGGATGAACTCGAGGACGAGGTAGGCAATACCGGTGATACCAATGATGGAGGCGGCGATCTCACGCAGGACATGGCCGTGGAGGATGATGCAGCCGACGAAGATGTAGACTGGCAGAGGTCAGCGTTGCAACGGGGGAATTAACAAAGGCGCACGTACAGACACCACGGCCCAGGAAAGAGAACAGGAACGAGGCGTAGCGGTAGGCGTAGTCGGGAACGTTGGGCATGAACTCAAGGCCACCAACGACTGGAAACACGTTAGCACTTGATCGTTACGCGCGGGATCGCATGACTTACCGAGACCGAAGACGATCACGTACGCGCCGACGATGACGGAGCTCATGCTTGCCGGGAAGAACTGGCTGATACCGCCCAGTATCATGATGACACCCACCGCGATGTTGACGAGGCGGCTGTTGTCCCCAGTTAGTTCACTCTTTATCAACTTGCTCGGCACTCATCCATGGAGAGTATCACGGAGAGATCCGCGACGAGATGACCAGATGACATACAAGATGTTGGAGAAGTCCATTTTGATGGTATTTTCGGGTGACTCCACGGAGTGATTTTCAGGGTTTCGAGGTCTAGGTTCGCAAGGCGAGGTGTCCAACTTGCTTGGCAACGGCGAGTCGGGAAGGCGATGGAGATGGTTCGTGAATTGCTAGTTCTTTTCGTTAGTCTCTTTGGTACGGTCGGATTGATCGTGATTGATCGTGGAGCGGATGAATCCACTGCTGAATCGCAGCTGTTGATTCGCAATGTGGGGAAGGAGGAGGTGTGGTTGCAATCGTACCTAGGAAGTGATGACAGGTCGAAGGGAGAGGAACAAACAAGATCAGGACTTAATGAATGGAGAAGCAGAACAGGGGCAGAGACGGGGAACAGCTGCGGCTGTCGCAAGCAGCGGGTCTGCCAAGCCCGGCTGATTCAGCGGCATTTGACGAATCACGTAATGAATTCGTGGCTGCTCATTTCATACGAGCCCAATGCGATAACGATGTACGAGGCGATTCTGATTGTGTTTAGATACTCGCGATCGCCTGCTGCCTGTGCTCTAGACGCACCGTTGCCAGTCCGTTGGCAAACCGACTCGTCTGTAAAGGATCTCGCTGCACTGCATCATACATGGCATCCAAATCGGTCCGATTCCGATCCTCCGCCGTGTTAAGGCTCTCGCCGGACGTCTGTGCGTTCTTGCCAGGTACTGTTTGCTAGCTTGTTGACGTTGTGATAACCCACTTCATTGAGGTGGTTGACGGTCTTTTGGGCGAGATCGTGCTGAATGGGACGTGACTTCACCAGTGAGTCCATAACCATCGCAAGTATTGTTTCTGGGGTGGGCGACGGCTCCTCCTTGGCCAGTGGTGTCCCCGCTAAAGGTAGGCTACCGCATTCATTGAGCACCTTTTAAACTCGGAGGGTAGCCTTGTCGGCCTGGGCTTTGGGCATTGCATTGATAGCAGGCTCCAAGATTCTAGATATTCACAAGACGGCCAATCTAAATTCGATTAATAGCGAGCAATACTTTCGAAAAAGCATGTTCCAGAAAGATTGGGATGTAGATGATCATCTTGAGCCTCAAAATTGTTTTACGTCATATTTGCATAATGGGAGCGTGAAATGGTTTATTTACAACGCGCGGTAGAAAATCTCCCACTGTTTGCTGAATTCCACTGGCTCGACGCCACTGCTCAAAGCTTGGCCCGAGTCTTGCTCTGCAGCACTTCCTTGACCAAGGACACCGCCTCATTGGCACAGCCAAATGATGCCTGATATCCAAAGCCACCATGGCCATAGTTATGCACGATCTGCACACCCCCCACCTCGTCCTTCTCGACCCGAGGACCACCTTCACGCAAAGGCCTGAGGCCAACACCGTGGCGAATTATATCGAGACCCTCAATTCCCTGTCCCGGCTTGACAAGTTGTGGGGCAACTTGAATCGCACGCTTCATGATGCGGTTGGCAAGGTTGGGATCCGGCAATGGATCCCAGTTGTGCTTCTGGTAAGAACCTCCCAAAATGGTGCCACCGCCCACAGCACGAGTCATCGTGTACACGGCCTCATCTGGCCCGTCGTCGGTTCCGGAGGTGGAGCACATCGGGCCGGCATCATTTCGGACTACCACGATCTGGCCACGGGCAGGATACATCTTCTCATCGGAAACTCCACCAAGTGTCTTGGATGACAGACCCGTGCAGTTCACCACTACGTCGGCCCGTTGCCCCGAATGGTGAGCATTGGCAGCTTCGGTAATGTGCTTAAGTACGGCTCTCTTGAAGACTGCGCCGTTCTTAGCACATTGGCCAACCAGCCATGGGAGGTAGACTGCGGTGTTGATGCAGACGGAGGTAAATTCTTGGGCGTTGTCCATTTCAGCGTCCAGCTTGCCATCGGGGATAGATTTAAACTGAGGGGATCGTGAGCATATCTTTGTAGGGCTTGTGATTTCGCAAATCTTACATTGGGCACTACGTCTTTGTACCACGGGTTAGGCTTCACTAACTCCGAGAACCAGTCGCCGGTGGCCGACCCTTGGTCCTTCTTGCGGTTGTAAACGACGGTGTCTATAATTTCAATTAGAACATATTTCGCCAGATCTCGGAGTATGAAAGACGCACTCAGGAAGTGGATGCCCGCTTCGGGGTGCTTTTCTGTGAGTTCTTTCAACGGCGCCCATGTAGCCCGCTCCCACTCTTGATGCTTGCTGCCTTCCTTGCCAGTACTAAAGGGAGGCCATGGTTAGCTGTGCTCCAAATGGTAGGCTGATGGACCGATCATACGGCATGTAGTTGGCGCCGGCCCATGGTGAAGCATATTCGATGTCATAGTCACCAGGCATGTGCTTGGCGAGGACGGTGACTTTATTGGCGGCGTCCTTAGACAGTAGGTATGCTGTCGTCAGGCCGGACACACCGGCTCTGTTCATAGGTCAATTCATTGTTCAGGCATGTATCTTCTTGCTGGGTGGAGCCGGGGTAGCATTACCCCAGAATAACGATATTGTTCGGCATGTTGAATTGGCTATTTCCCCCGGTTCAAAATTGTTTGACTTGAAGAGAGTGACAGAAAGAAGAGGACACAGCGAGCAATTGATCGCCGATGACTAGAATGACTCAAAGTACCAGTAACCACGAGCGGGGTGAGGAGCTAATCTCACGTTCCCCAATTTGATAAGAGAAATTGATTTGGAGTAATTTACAAGTCGTACGACACGGGTCAGTTCACTTCTATTTCAGGTGGCGGCGGGAGAGGCGGTGTGGGTAGTAACGAACCAAACTAGTTTGTTACCATAAACGCGCAAAAGTTTTCAAAGTGGAGACGCGGAGAGATACAGGGCAAATACATTGTTAAATACAGCTCCGCATTCTTGCCAGACCACGCGGAGCTATCGAGCTTGAGAAGGGGCGGTATGATTGATAAACAAAGATATCTGATGCCAGGAAGCTCCCGGAATGGACCGCTAGGAAATGGTTATATTGAAAAGACCCTTTACTTATTGGCCCCATGTTGGAGCAAGGGCCTTCTCCGTAAAGTCCCGTGTTCTCCATCTCGGGCTCCACTGTATCCCTAGAAATGAATGAATCACATCTGAAATGTGAGAGTGAACGAAGGCCAAAGTGAGGGAAAGGTGAACTAGGTATGAATCCTTGATATTTTCGGAGCACTACGGAAAGGAAGCATAGAGGACGAATCAATTGGGAACAATTAGAGCTTAATGTTAAGCTCTGTCACCGATGTAATAGAAGGGAAAAGTCTCACGTGTGGCCCAATCACGTAGGGAGAGGGATTCACCGCCCCCGACTCGGCACTCAAATCTGGGCGGATGCTTGAATTCCTTTTTCAATTCATCCCACCCGCAGGGCTTCTCTACTCTGCGGGCTGTTACCTGTTTCCCCTTGTATTTCGACCCTAATCTATTCCCTCTATATTCACTTTCAATACCATAAATGTCGATACTGTCCTCGGGGCCCCTCTTACCACCATGTCTTCCCTCACACACGGTGGCAGAATTGTGCCCATACTTACGGGTCACCAACAACAACCACCAGACTCCACTACCCCGGAGACCGATGTTCTAGAGACTCGCCTTTTACCGCCTCCCTTTCCCCCCTCTCCGCTGCTGGATCAGCCGGATGAAACCGCAGTAATGCGTCACAAAGGGGCCATTGACCTGGCGAGTCTCGAAATGCCCTGTTTAAAGGAACGCGGTCTGTTTGCTCTACCAACGGAAGGAGATGGTAAGATCCCCAATGAAACTGATTCACAGCTTTCTAGCGGAGTACCCAAGCTTCATGCTGCATTTACCGTTTATTGACGCGTCGAGCAGGAAATTGCCTCTACTACTCGCTCTCGGACCAATTGTGGGGAAGCTTCGATCATGACAACGAGATCCGCCAACTTCTGGCAGACCACATGGAGAGCAACAAGAAGTACTTCATGCAGTTCGTGGTTGCTGAAGGTGGGGAACGTCGACGTCCCAAACGAGCCACCCAATCGGCCTACGCTACGCGTTCCGCCGACGTGTCCGTGCCGTCTGAAGAAGACAAGGAGAGACGGTTCGAGGAAATGGTGACTTCTACCCGGAAGAACGGCGAGTGGGGCAGCTCGGAGCACCTTCAGGCATTCTGTCAGGTTTACAAGGTGGACATCAATGTTTACACCATGGACGGTGTCCAGGCGTTTCGGGATGTCAATGCTACACAAGAAGAGCATCGGGACGTGACTCACGTCGCCTTCCACGTATGATATCTATGCTTGAGGGACCATTGGGCTGTATCTAACCGAAAACAGGACTTCAAACACTACTCCTCGGTGCGGCCAATCGATGGCACCCACAAAGGCCTCTTTACTATTAGAAAGAGTGTCGATCGCGTTCCCTTGAGAGAACTCGGCGAGGACTTGAAGGAGCAGGCCTCCTTCGACAACAAAGATTCCCATGACTCCAAGAACGCCGACATTACCTCGGAGACCACCCACTCCTCCAGAACCTCTTCCTCCGACATTTCTCCCTCCACCACCGCCACAACACCCGAATCCACCTCAAAAGACACCGGTCTGGCCGTTGATGTATTCCAGCCTTGGGATATTCAGTCCATCCAAGAAGGACTTGGAGGTCGATATGATCGTGACACCATCGTTGACATGCTCCAGAAATGCCGTGGCGACATCGATCGGGCATTTGCAGCTCTCCTGGGTGAAAAGTCCGATGCTGCACCGGATAAGAAGGTCGTTCCGGGCCCTACCTTCAATTCGAGTATCCAGATGTCCCGAGAATCATCCCCTTTCAGCACCGGCAGCAAGCGTTCTGCTGAGGACAGTGAGGACTCTGATGAGCCTCGACCGGCCATTCGGCGAGTGCGACCAAAGAGACGCATTGTCTCCAATCTCACCCTGGGCGTCGGCATCTCATTCAGAGACGACCAGAACGAGCTCGTATCCCTTAACCTCCGCATGAAGGCAGAGGCAGATGCTGAAAAGGCCAAGGCTGAGTCTGGCACCGACGACACGCAAGAATCATCCGACCAATCCGCCTCGGGTGTCAGGAGAGGTCCGCGCCGGAGCGGCAGACTCTCCAAACCACGACCGGTTTAGGCGTGATGAAGCATTTTCAAGGTCATATAGCAGACCAATTCCTCGTTATTTTGCGTGCGCCCTAGATTCCCATCTTTGTTTGCAGCGATGAACTTGCATTGTGATGGCGTTAGCGTGAAGCATATGGCTCATAGGAGCTTTTTTTTTGTCATACGTGCATGGCCACATGGAACAGCCAGGTTGGCTGGAGAGGCGTTTTGACTTATTTGCATGGAGGGATGTGCCTGGAGCACTCCCTCGACGGATCACGAAATGCATTTCTTTTTGGCGATGGCTTGGAGGCTTTCTCACTTCGATGTTCTACCTTTAGAGGTGACGTGCTTGTGTGCGAAGATCTTCCATTTGAATAATCAATGCATTTCCCACCTTCTGGGTGGACTGGCTTGACATTTTACCTCTTTTCTTTCCGTAGGGCAATGGTGGGCACAACCGAACCATCACCCATAGAGATGTGTTCGGTTCCAGCGCGTTGGACGTTGAGTAACACAGCAGGTGGTTTTTTCAGTCGAATCAATTTCGATTCTAGACAATGTAAGCTTATACTACTTTGGTGGGCTAGATTGGTCAGGAGGTATAGTCTTGAGGGATGCAGTTTGTATACGTCAAGGGAAGTGACTTGAATTCAGATAAATAGTCCCATATCTCGAATTTAGGTCGGAAACAGCGAGTTTCCAATACAAGAGGAAGAGCAGTATTGTATTGCTGGACCAATGCATCAATCGACCTGGTCCCAGACCCCGTTCGCCATATCGAGTGCAATCTCACTGAACTGGTCAGGCGTCAGTTCGTGTGCTAGGGTGACCCGAATCGCATATGTTGTCGCAATGACTGAATCCAGCTCCAGTCTTCTATCCCCAACCACCTTCATGATATGACACAGGAGAGTCTCCATAGGAAAAGGCCGTGATGCACGGTAGGTGCACTTGACGGTGTCAATATGCTGACTCCGAACAATAATATCGACCGCGGGTGGACCCATATACTCCTGATGATCACCGTCGGATGCAAGTCTGATCTCACCGGTAGCGCGGTCACAATACTTGCCATCCACAACTGGTGTTCGTCCCTCATCATGCCACCCAGGGGCGTGGAACTCCAAGGGATGGGTTGATGACATAATAGAGGGTAATTGGGATAAAATGTCTTAAGTATTAAGTATCAATGTAGTTTTAGTTTGATAGTATAACTTTTTTGATGGGTTTCGAGTTATGTTGTGAAGATGTAGATGGAAAGTCTGAGATGTGCGATAAGGATGCTTTTATATGCGACAGGGTGGGTGGCAATAGTTATATGCACGCTACCTCTGCGGGTGACCCTCAAGGGACCCTTGGAGAGTCCGGGTCAGGGTCATGGTCGGTGAGTTTAGACCCTGACCCTTGGAGGTGCGGGTGGAGGTTCCTGACTTTGGACCCGTGGGGCGGGTGAGTGCCAGGTCTAGTAAAAATAAATTCATGCTATTAGGACGGCGTATTACCTAGGACCCTAAGGCATTTATTCCTCTCATCTACTACTACCACTCCCGACACTTATCATTTTATTACTATCCTAGACTAAAGCGCCCTGTAATTAGTAGATAGTAGGAATATTAAATAGGGTATAGCCTGTGGAACCTATTTAGAACCTATAGAATCTATTTAGAACCCGCGAAACCCGCTAATAACCCACTAATAATCTATAACCCCTATCTATAACCTATCTACAGTCCATATCAATCCATTTGATGTTGGATCAATCCTCTAATGGATGTTGAGAAATTAAGGGGTAGATGATCAGACGAAAAGAGGATGAACAGGTAAGTAATGGAAGAATTCTAATAATATTTTTGCTCGTTCTCAGGGGGATATTTATGTCCTTTTCCTAAGAACTATTTTCTAAGGGAAATGCATATAAAAATGTTCTCCTACACCGCTGCCCAGTGGTCCATGAAAGAACATCCTCTAGAACAAGCAAAGAGGGTGATATAGATGAGGAGCCTATATATACAGGCTGCTCATGTAGCCCAATTTCAATAGCCTCATGGGCCTAGCTGATTAATCAGCAGCCATCGGGGCAGAGAGATGCCGACCGATATTAGCGCCTTAGGATGAGGGCTCTAATTTCCAACAATGGACGTTCTATTTAAACCTCTAGTAGAAACTTGAGGGATGTCGCTCCGATGGAAACACCATCATGTTCAATACCCGTTCTACCCAGGGCCTCTTGCGCTTAGTCCTCACTGAAGATACCGGCCTTGGCCCTGCTGTGGATGACCACCTTCTCGATCGCGCCAGTGAATTCAGGGTGTCCCTGAACAGTAACGAAGCGGCGCGGAGCATAAATGCCCTGAACAGCACAACGCGGAGACGACCCAAGCAAAGTGACACCCGGAGGGCAATTATACACAATGCCCTGGTGCATTTGTTGAATGCGCTGGACAAGTTAGCACAGCCATATCCACACCCGACGGAAAATACATACAATCTTCTCCAATCCAAACAACTCTTTTCCCTCCTCGGTCAAGTCCATGTCACAGACAGCAATTTCCCAGCCCTGGTCATTCCGCCCGACCTTCGCGCCCAGCGCACGGCCGACAATCTGGTGTCCGAAGCAGATCCCGAGAATACGCACCCGATCTTGGGCTAGGACCTGCTGCGTGAATTTTACCAGGCGGTTGATCCACGGAACGTCCTCATATGAATTATGTTCTGCAATTCGGCTATCAGCATTTCTGCGTGGCGCACGTTTCAGGAGCAGAGACTTGACCCGGTAATAAGCACAGCGTCGATATCCTCCAGCTTTGGGTATTCTTGGGCGTCGACAACGTCCCACTTGGTAATCTGTAGCCCGGTATCTGGATCTAAGCATTCTTTGCCTAGTATTTTGGCGCTGGACCTGAGGAGCGCACTGAAGATGCCGCAGTAGCCTTCATCCTTGTAGTATGCGTTGACAGCGGGAAGCGGTGTGCCGGCTTCTAGCACGGCAATTCGGAGGTGGCGCTGCATCGTATCGGTGTATACGAGGGCTTGGGGATCTATATCGTGGGGGTATTATCACGCGTAGAGCAACAGGCGTAAGGAGTGACGTGAGGTTGAGGCGAGTCAGAGGCGAGTCAAAATATTTGCCATAGTCACCGATCGGGCCGGCGACGACCTGATTATCGATTATCTCTTATCGCGGCTTCGGATCCTGGCTTTGCCACTAATCCCCCACTCGGCATTTTCGATCTGCAGCGTGGCCCCCTGCTCGGCTCGTCTTACATCAGACCTGCATTGATCTAGTTGGGGCTCATGTGGCTTGGCTAGTCCTTGGGTGTAGGGCTGTATCCCCCACTTTGTTGCTTTATTTTTTTTTTTCGTGGTACCGCGATCTCCGTCGATCGAAGCCGCACTCTAATCTTTTGACATATCTACTTTGCTTTCTACACCTGGCGAAGCTATATATTCGAATCCCTTTTCTCTCATCATGAGCGCTAACGATGGGGGAAGCCAGGCTGTTTCCCGCCCATCTGAGGCCACTCCGCTCCTGCGAGAAGAATCGCACCGGGAAAGTACGCCTTATTACAGCGTGGTCACCAGCGGAGATGGGGAAGCAGGGTCATCGAGGAGTGAAGACATCAATAAGGTAACCACTCTCGGTCTCACTCGAGTCAGTTCCTCGTCCGGGCTGGAAATTGAACCGAGCCTAGAGAGATTGGTCTCCGATGACTCCACAAATGGGGGAGTTTGTGATGACGACGAGGACGACAATTACGCCGCGCAATTCATTGACGTATCTCCGACGCGATTCTGGCTGATCTTCTCAGGCGTGATGGTGGGGTTCCTGATGGCTTTCTTCGACTCGACTCTCATGGCTTCCAGCCATCCAGTCATCACGTCCTATTTCCATGCCGCCAATGCGGCATCATGGCTATCCACTGCATTTCTGCTTACATCGACGGCCTTTTTGCCCCTTTTTGGGCGCATTTCTGATGCATTTGGCCGTAAACCTGTCTATCTCTTTTCTATTACCATGTTCTTCTTGACGACGGCATGGTGTGGCCTCGCCCAGAGCATCGGTACCTTTATCGCTGCCAGAGCGCTGTGCGGAATGGGTGCAGGTGGTGTGATCTCCATGGGCCAGATCATTTCTAGCGATCTGGTGCGCATCGAGTATCGCGGTATCTATCAGTCATATCTCAACCTCTGCCTCGGCACTGGCAGCTGTTTGGGACTTGCATTCGGTGGTCTTCTTTGCGACCAGATTGGATGGAGGGGGGCGTTCTTTATCCAACTTCCCTTTATCTTCGTCCTGTTCATCATAGCCTCCTGCACGATCCCTGCGGGCCTTGGAGTGAAACGGGTCGGATCAGAGCGCATGAGTGTATTGCAACTGATCCGAAGCATCGACTTGACCGGCTCATTTATCCTGATTCTGGCGGTCACGGCATTAATCATGGGGTTGAATCTGGGTGGAAATATCTTTCCCTGGAGCCATCCTCTGGTCATTGGTTCCTTGGTGGCATCGGTCATTTTAGCAATTATACTGGTGCGGTATGAACGGAACATCCCTCGAGCCGTTCTACCCATCGAACTGCTTTCAAAGGACCCTCGCGCTAGCATCATCTTCGGCAATTTCTTCGGGGCTGTTTCAGTTCACACCATGATGTTCAATGCCCCATTGTACTTTCAAGCTGTGAAGCTTTCTAGCCCGACTGACTCTGGCTTACGACTTGTCGCCGCTTCCATCGCGGTTACTGCATCTAGCGTCGGGACTGGGTTTCTCATTACATGGACCAGGCGTCTGAAGCCCACGATCATCATCGGCGCCTGCTCTATGCTCCTCGGAGGATGTGCCGCGGCCACGATGGGTGTCAACACAGCCCCTGCAGTCGCAATGCTGTGCGTCTCCTTCTCCAGTCTCGGACAAGGCTTCTCGTTTCCTGCTCTGATGGTTTCGATTCTCGCTACGAGCGAGCAGGATGATCAATCCGCGGCAACTACGACTCTGGGTCTCGCCCGTAACCTAGGGTCGGTGATGGGCGTGGCTATTAGTAGCTGGATCTTCCAAAACGCGCTTGTCTATCAGCTTGATCAGAAGGTGACCGGTACCGAGAAGTCACATATTATCGGCCTTGTTCGCAAGTCTATTCGTGCTATTGGTGATCTTGATACATTCCATCGACAACAAGGTTCGTGCTCTGTTGGAGATTGTCATGGTTTGCGTTCTCTGCTGACATCTTTTAGTGATCGGAGCATATGCCATGGCACTTCGTGTGACGTTCATGTCAGCGGCTGTCTGGGGCGCGATCATGTTAATACTCCACTCTCGGCTTAGACTACCTCGGCTGGGTAGTAAATCCAGAAAATAAGCGACTATTGGGGAGTTGGCTCTCACTCAATCTGCCGTTCCTAACTGGGATCATATTGATAGGATTGCGAGAAGCAATCAAAAATTAGATTTAAATTCCAATATCGCATTCCCTAAATCCATTGTAGGGTACATCTTGATTCATTATTCGACATGAACCATATACCAGTCAATCAATTAAACTATGGAGTAACGGCCACTGCAAAGTGGTGGAAAAGGGCGGGGCCCCACTTTTTTTTTCTCGCCCACCTCCGCGTTCGATCCAATCTCGATTTCAGCTTCAATCCACGCTCGACTTCCTGCCTCGGAGTGTTCCGGCACACTGCAGCTGTTCGAGGAATGAGTTGGTATGTTTGGTCGCCGTGACTGACCTGACAGGCCCGCGAGCTGACATCATCGTGGAACAGATTCTCGAGTTTCTGCCCCTCCGCCTTTCGATCGCCCGCGCCTACTATCGGCCCGTTGAGAGACAAGACAATTCCCAGAACTCTCTTCGGCCTTTCCTGTGGTCCTAGCCTTCAGATCAGCCTGCGCACCGGCAGCGAACATGGCCATTCGGGTACAGCTACGTATGAGAACTTGTATATTCGGAACCTCTGTGCTGGCCCGGAATTTGGCTATCCCTGGGGGCTGAGAAACGACCGAGCGTGCTCATCTCAGAACTGGGCCTGTCGCCCGATCAAAACCGAAATGAACCTCACGACTCGCTCGCAGTCGAAGGCCCAACCTTCGAATGGGAACCCGAAGACGACAAACCCACGGGGCCAGCAACGTTCACCACGACCGTCGAGCGCAAACCGCAAAAAGTCCTCTGAAATAATGGAGAATAAAGCGAAGAGAGTCCGGACGGGCTGCTTGACTTGTCGGGAGAGGCATTTGAAGTGCGATGAGGCCTTGGGACGATGTCTGAACTGTCGAAAGTCAGATAGAATCTGCAGACGCGGTTTGCGCTTGAACTTTATTGATATTCAGACCGTTGCACCGCCCCATATCATCGATCGTGCCCACGGTGCCAAAGTCACGTTCCGTGATGATTCACGAATCATCGCATCCGAATATGTCGGGGGCTTTGAGAGATATCCACCCGTCCAGCACGAGAGTCCGACCGAGGAAAGGAGAAATTTGCAGCAGGAAGTGTTCCAGTCATTGGGGCCTGATCAGTTAGCGAGCCTTTTTCAATCAGTCGCTCACTCGTTTGATCCGACTACGTTTGATTTTTCCCACTCCGCGGCAGCGGACTTTCTTCTCGGACCTGATGCTTGGCACGAGCCTCATCTTGTGCCTGGCGATGAACTGCTCCCTCACGGAACATCGAACTTTGCGCGAAAATTAGCCATGAAACAGTACAATCCCTCGACATTGACCGACCCCGAACAAGTTCATCTCTTGCGAGTTTTCGTTGAAGAGGTTGGGCTTTGGATTGATTCGATGGATCCAATGAGACATGTACGTGCCCGGTACCCTGAAACTCGCCGCTTGAGTTAACAGTATTTAGTTCACACAGGTTCTGCCATTCTACGCCATTGAGGAACCAATGCTACTCAAGGCCTTTCTAGCATGTGGCGCTCGGCAAATCTTTCTCTCCAATCCTTCTTACAGAGAGGAAAAAGCATCTCATTATTATGAGGCAGCCACTCAAGATCTAATGAACGCTCTTCAGAATCCCAATCGTGATTCCGTTTTATGCGCAGCGGCCTCGCTTGCATTGAGCGTCTTTGAAGCACTGTCTCCGCAGCAAGCCCCACAGACAAATCACATCGTGGGGTCACGGGCTTTGATTCACGAGTGTGGATGGACTGCGAAGACCCCTGGTCTCGGCGGAGCATGTTTCTGGATTAGTGTGGGTATGGAGTTATTGAGTTGTTTGCACCATGGATGGACCCTATCATGGAATCCAGATACTTGGGGAGTCGACATGGATATGGACCATACGCATCCTTTTGGAAAAGGAGAAGACCTGTGGTTCCACCGCATCCTCTACATCTGTGCGAAGATCGCAAACCTTCGAGCTTCCATACAGCAACTGCTATCATCGACTGATTTACAAAGTAACCCTGCCCAGTTCCATGATTTATTGCAGAAATGGAATCATTACAGTGGTTGGTGTGATCAATGGGACAAACTTGTACCAAGGTCGATGAAGCCTCTTGGCCATTTACAACCGTGGCAAACTGGCTATAAGTCTTCCTTTCCGACAATATGGTATGCATATCGCATTTGACTGGTTTCTGTCTCACTTATTGACCCTTCACTACAGGTTGCCAAAACGGACAGCAATAATTTCCGAGCTCTTCTATCATACTGCTCGCATATTGCTTGCTAAGACACATCCTATGAAGTCCGATCTTCAAATGGAGATGAAGGAGATGCAAAAGGCCCACGCCCACGACATATGTGGCCTTCTTGCAAATACCAAGGATCGGACCATTCCCAGTGTATCAATCCGCTGCTTCGCAATCGCAGCAGAATGCTTGGAGACCCGAGAATCCCAGGAAGAGGCTCTTGGCATCCTTGACGTGATCTCCACTGATAGAAGCTGGTATGCTGAACCCGTCAAAGAGGGACTTAGGCACCTCTGGGGCTGGCATAACCCCCACCCTGAGACGATGGATCCAGCGCAGATGCACAATCACTCCTATGGTCTCGACCCAGCTCTATCTATCCCGAAGGTGTTTGAATTCCCCGCAGGCATCGCAAATCCTCTTTCCAATACGGGCGACTTTTCCATGGAGAATCATCCGTACCATGGGTACTATGTTGCTCCTCACCATGGGATCGACCATTACCAATATGGTCCTTATTTGATTTGATCTCATATTTTGGGACGGCTGTTTGAACACTACTTTTTCTGTTATGATGCTTATATTTGCCCTACACCCCTACATTTATATACCCAATGCAAATATTTGAAATCACTCTGAAAAGTTTCAACAGCGTATTAGAAAACCTTGTCCATGATTTCCATCAACCATATTTTAGGGATCCCTAGCTTCCACCACCAAGTTTATCAGTCGCTTCAAGTGGCATGGTCCTAGAAAACAGTCCATGACCAATGGCAGAAGATCACAGAGGGAGTGTCTAATGATCTTGGGAAGACAGTTCCTGGCCGGTTCATCGTGCAGAAGACTTGGCGGTCTGCACGGTAATCACGTTACTATCACGGTTAGGCGTCAAAAGGCGGCCGTTGCCCTGGCTCTGCTAGCATTGAGACCATTGCATACCTGGTTTTCACCCCCCTCACCATCAAAACAACTTGTTTATTATGGATTATAACAAACCTCTTGATCTTCTTCACATGGCGGAAGAGGCAAATTGGATCAACAAAGGTAAATATGGCTCGTGCGGACGGCCGTATCTGCAACTGGGCTACAGGTTACCATCCCCAAAAGATCCCTTGCCAGCTGGTAGATGGCTTCCTTAACGGGTCTTACAATCTTGGACAAAAACTTGCTTTTGAGGACGGGACAATTTGGTTCCTCCGCTTACCCCGTGTAAGCAGTATTTCCCCTGAATATGCGGACGAGAAAGTAGCCATGGAAGTGGGAGCCCTTCATCTTGTCCTAGAGAGGACATCTATACCCGTCCCGGAAGTCTACGCTTGGGGCCTTGCTAGAGAAAATCAACTTGGTCTGGGCCCTTTCATCTTGATGCAATTCATCGATGGTGTCTGCCTTAACCATGCTTTTGGTGGAAAGGATTCGAGACTGCTTAAGGAGGAAACTTCCGATGCTGATGTCGAATACGTCTACAAAAAAAATGGCGCAGTTCATGCTGCAGCTATTCAAGATCGATTTCGAACAGATTGGCAGCTTGCCAACTCCAAAGACAAAATATACCGCGCCTAGTCGTCCACTCACGTGGAAAGCACGCGAAATATTGCGGGTGGGAGGTGTCAATATATTCGGTTCGTCCTATATCTTAGGCGAAGGCTTTTACTAACGACCATAGATGGCCAAGAAAGAGACTTTTCCACTACAAAAGAGTTTTTTCAATCCATCAGCAAGCAGGACTGGCAACAACTACGACACCAAGCAAACTCAATTGCCGGCCCTAGGAGTGCCAGATCAAGATGCGCATCGATAAAAATATTGGAGTCTCTGATACCCGATATGATACACACGACATACGATCGAGGCCCCTTTAAACTCGTTTGCGATGATTTTGGGCCGGCAAATATGATCGTCCGAAGTAAGGAGGACCTTACAATCATCGCAGTTGTTGATCTTGAGTGGGTTTACGCTGGTCCAGCTCAACTATTTGGCTCGGCTCCCTGGTGGCTGCTCTTAGATCGCCCAGTCAATGACGAGTGGGATTTTGAAGAAGGCGAGGCACCCAAACCCACCGATCGCTACTTCAAATGCCTAGAAATATTCAAGCATGTGCTAGAGGAGGAAGAGTCAAAGATGGTAGGAGACGACAAAAAGGAACTTTATGAGCTCGTGAAGTGGTCTGAGGATTCTGGTGCCATGTGGCTCCACGTGCTTCTCTCGAGCGGCTTTTTTGACACCCCAAGCTTCCCGTGCATGCAATTACGAAGACACAAAGGTGTTGATTGGTGGGAAGAGCGCCTCATCGAGTATGGGAATGCAGAAGAAGTTGAAACATTCGTGGCCGGCAAGCTAAATGATCTCGCAGCATATGACGAGATCAAGGAAAAAGTCGAGCATTACAAAGCTCTCATGGACAACAAAGAGATGGAACTGGAAACGTTTATTTGCATTGTCTCCGAACTTCTTAACTCCGATTGAAAGGCTTAGTTGCGAGGAGAAGCTCACCTGGTTGTGAAAGATCATGTACATAAATCTGGTTGTAATCAGATGGAAGAAGGTCAATCTGCAATATGGCTTACTATCAACTAGAGAAGAATATGTAAAATCACCGAAGCTCATGAGTCCCCTCAGTATTCATCAACGCCAATGCTATCAAAGTATCAATCGTGTTCTTAGCTTGCCCGCATTTGGTCTCGTGCGTCCTCTGTCATCACAATCCTCTGGAGAAGCAGGAAAGCCCACCTCGAGTTCTTCCATCTCCAGCCTAAGGTGACGCGTTTAACCACTCCAACAAAAAACACAAGAAATTTATCTATTCGATCACGTAACACTATAGGCAAGAACCATTATTATTTGATACAGGGGGGCAAATATTATCATTTTCCAGGCTCCAGGATCAATTTGGAGCGGTGTTAGAAGCAGTTGAGCATCATCGACGAGGGGCCGGAAAGGCGGTGCGCGGGCTGATGTTGCACCATGGCCACCACCGTCGTTCCCGTCCACCAGCAAACCCACCATCCAGCTTGGTATTCAGGGAGAATCACCCGCAGCATTCCACAACTAGACATGGATGAAAGATCCAGTCAAGGGCAGCAGTCTGCAGCTACTCCAGTATACATTCTCCGCGGACATGCAGCTCCAATACACGCTTTGCAAATCTTCTCCCAAAACCTGCGGCTAGTCTCCGGAGACGCCGAAGGCTGGATTGTCATCTGGGACCTAGTCACCAAGCGTCCAGTCACGGTGTGGAAGGCGCACGAGGGCGCAGTACTCGAAGTGAAGGGTTTCCAGGTTGCCTCGGGGGCCTCGGAGATTTATACGTAAGATCACCAATAAGGAACTCTAGGTCCTCTGCTAATTGGATAGTTAGACATGGACGCGACCACAAACTCTGTGTCTGGAAGCTTCGTGCAGAAGACGAGGGGTTCCTTGATAAGACTTTACCGGTTGATGTGACAGCGTCGGATCGTTCAAAAAGTGCTACTCAGCCATGGCTGCTTCATTCCTTGCCTGTCAACGCGCTGAACTTTTGCGCGTTTTCGATGACATTCTTGAATATGCTGAGCAATTCATCTTTACAAGACGCTCCAGAGCCAACAACATCCCGTGTCGTCTTGTTTGCAGTCCCTAATGCTCTTGACTCTGGAGGAATCGACATCTTCCATCTACCATCTGAACGCCGGATTAGCACCATTGCCTCGGATTCATCAACCAAGACTGGCATGGTTATGGCCGTCAATATGTTCGTATCTTCATCTGGAGATGTATACGTTGCATCCGCCTACGAAGACGGTCACGTCATGGTCTTCATGCACAAAGGTCCTCTCACAGCTGCCAGCTTCGAGATCGGCAGCATCGCTTCAAATCCCTGGAAGTGGGACAAACTCTATGCTAGCCGTCCGCATAGCCAACCTGTCCTCTCCCTTGACGTGTCTCCCACGCGCGACTGCTTCATCACGTCTTCTGCCGATGCTCTACTCATCAAGCATCCGATACCCAGCCCAAATTCTCCTGGGTATATTCCTACTGAGAATTATACGGAAGAGAAACCCCTTAAAACGATCAACACGAAACATTCTGGTCAGCAGGGATTGCGCATGCGCAGCGACGGGAAGATCTTTGCGACTGCTGGCTGGGACAGCAGGGTGAGAGTGTACTCGGGCAAGACAATGAAGGAGCTGGCTGTGCTCAAATGGCACAAAGAAGGCTGCTACACTGTCACATTCGGAGATACAGATCCGTTTTCCCAGCCAGCAATTTCTGGCCAATCCCAAGAATTGACGACAAATGAATCGGGCTCGGAGCAAGTTACCCGCGACCAAAGCTTGTCACTCGCGGCCATTCATAACCAACGAAATCAAAAAGTACAACACACGCATTGGCTAGCAGCTGGATCCAAGGATGGAAAGGTTTCATTATGGGATATCTACTGAAAACATGCTAATGCTTTTTTACAATGCATCATCACCTCCAACACAAATCACAAGTCATAATTAAGCCAGGTTGAACTCGTTCGCACCGGCCATGTGCTCCCTCATCTTGGCCCTCATCCTCCGCGCCGCATCGTCAGCATTGCTCGAAGCCGGAACGTCATCAGAGGCACCAGCCTTCCTCTTTTGTCCTGTGCCGCCACGTGCAGCCTTGAAGTCCTTCTTCGTCTCTTGCTGGCTAGTGCGCAGACCGGGAACATTGATCTTGCCAGGTCGATCGCGCAGAGCGAAACTCTTAGCAAGATGTCCAAGGTGAAGGTCCTTGATGTTGAACATGCTCCGCTCGGCGGCAATATGGGTTGCGTACGCACGAATGTGGGACTGAAACGCGCGACGCGCCATTTCGAGATACTTCGGGTTCTCCAGAGCCCAGCGCTCCACATCCATTTGCCAGTCGGTTGTCTTTTCCTCCCAATTTTTGCTCTTGGAGCCATTGGTGCTGCCGAAGCCGCGTTTCAGGATCTCGGTGGCGTCGGTACGCGTGAGTGCTTTGCCTCCGTCGCGGTAGCCGCGCTTGAGGATGTCGACATAGTTCTCTTCACAGCCGGGCTGGAGGAAAATACAGGCACGACCGTCGCGGCCCAAACGGGCGGTACGACCGATGCGATGAGTGTGGTCATCGGAGCTGAAGGCAGGGTCATACTCGATGACTAGATCGACGTTGGGGAGATCCAGACCGCGGGAGGCTACGTCGGTACAGATCATGACTGAAGCATTGGTGCTCTTGGAGAAGGAGTTGAGGGTGGCGGTTCGGACATGTTGAGGAAGGGAGCCGTGGAGTCGGTGTAGGATAACGGGGTTCGATGGGTTGGAAAAGGCTGTACCAGGAGCGATAGTGCCGTGCGGGGAGAGCGCCTCTCGGTCGTCTTTCTTTTCATCGTCGCTCTTCTTCTCCTCGTCTTCTTCCTTTTCGGGAGTATCCTCTCTCCTTTGGCCGTGCTTTTTTGAGAACACTTCGTAGAGGAAATCGACCTCGTCAGCACAGGAAACAAAAACAATAACCTTCATCACAGAGCCCTTCCGAATAAATGTTCTCTTCAAGTATGCGGTCAATGAGACTAGACGCAATTTAGCCGGAACAATCGCGTAGGACTGCTTCAGCTGGGCGGGAACGCGGAAGCCTTCATCTTCGTCCTTTCCATTCTTGTTCTCATCCTCATCCGTTGGGTCTGCCTTGATGTGCACCGCATCCTTCAAACTGATCTCTCCAAGCCGTTGCACATTCATCTTCAGCGTAGCAGAACACAAGACGGTTGTCCTCCGCGTCGGTACACCAGGAATGCGACTGGGACGCTGTCTCGCGTCGAGCTTGCTGACAATACCCTGCAATTCCTCCTCAAATCCAAGTTCCATCAAGCGATCACCTTCATCCAAGACCAACCATCGTACATTACTGACATCCAGCACCTGCGTATTGTCCAGATGATCGGCCAGACGTCCAGGGGTGGCGACAAGAATATTCAATCCTTTCCTCAACCGTGCCTTCTCTGACTTTTTCTTCTCTCCACCGATAACGGTTCCACAGACAAGCCAGTTGGCGCATCGGAGAAGATTCTCCAAGACGACGGAGATCTGCTTGCACAGTTCACGGGTTGGAGCAAGAATAATAGCAAACAATCCACTGTCACGGTGAAGACCCGCCTCCTCTGTCGCTTTCGAGAGAGCCATAATCCGTTGTACGAGCGGCAGAAGATATGCCAGGGTCTTTCCAGAACCAGTCTCAGCCTGAATGAACGCATCGCTTTCCTCTTTCAGCAGCTGTGAAATCGAACTCCTTTGAATAGCCGTAGGCGCCTTCAGCTCGAGTTTCGTGAGAAGATGCGCAGCCAGATTCGGCGACAAGCCCAGGTTCGTAAAAGTGTCAATTCCATCGATAAGGGGGGCGTTCGTCGGCTTCGCATCCTCAACAGGCTCATCATTCTTCGGTTCAAGGGCGTTTTGGGCTTCGGGGTTCTTGGTGAAAAGTGACGAGACGAATTCATTGGGGTTCTTTCTCTGCGGCGGATGTTGCTGGGGTCGAGACCGACGGTCTTCGCCGTGCGCATCGGAGTCGGAAGTTCTTTGTCGCTTTGCAGGTCTTGTAGATGGGACTTGAATGTGATTTGGGTTCTTTGACTCTCTCCGTGTGCTCAAGTCTGCGTTGGGGTTGGGATGATGCTGCGAGCGCTTCTTGGCCGTGAGGCGGTCCCGCCATCTTCCTCCTTTGAACTTTGCCTCGGGCTTGATGACAGATTCGCCGATGGCAAAGTTCAAGAGCATTCCATCGTCGGCCATGGTGAATAATGTTGTTTCCGATCGGGTTGAAATCTGGGAGGAGCACGATCAGAGCTTTGCCGTCGAGACTTTTTCCCGCCAAGCCAAGACCCGCAGGAATTTTTTCGGCCCGAGCCCTACGGTCGAGCCCTACTTACCGCTTTTGAGTGGCAGCAGAAAAAGATCTATTGGGATGCTAACGCTAAAGGATGGTATTTATGTACATAGGGTATGCAGTAACTACTGCTGAGGCTGAAGGATCAGGTTGTCGATCAATCGGACGGGAACCTTGCCACCACCCAGTCCGCACCGCTCGCCATCTCTTGTCTCTTCCAGGGGCGCCATCTTCAGAGCCGCGCTCAGGACAGCTCCCCTAGAACGATCGACGAGATCCAGCTCGTCCAAAGTATCCGGGTCGGCAAGAGAGATGTAGTCCGCCTCGAACAACGCCCTCTCTGAGGGGGAGAGGGCTTGTTGCTCGGCGAGCACCCGGTCTGTGACACTTCGAGCAGCTCCCAAAATGTCTGCACGGGAAGTCTTTCCGGACCGGTACACTTCTTCGGCAGCTTTCAAAGCCTTATAAAGTGTAAGGCCGACGGCGCGTCTCCGGTCGCCAAGGTAGACATTGCGCGAGCTCAGTGCTAGCCCGTCGGCTTCGCGAGACGTACTCACAATCCGCACCTCGGTGCCAACGTGGAGATCCTGAACCATCCTCTTGATAATGATTGTCTGTTGGACATCTTTTTGGCCAAAGTAAACACGATCGGGGGTCGTGATATTGAAAAGCTTCATGCAGACGGTTGCAACGCCACGGAAGAAAACGGGACGAGAGCCTCCTTCCAATTTCTTGGAAAGAGGGGTTATGGTAACGAAGGAGCCATTGCCATCGACTTCAGACGAGGGAGGCAGAGTAGGGTACATGACCTTCGCTGTGGGGGCGAAGATGGCCGAAATGCGTCCTGTGGTTGTCTCGGAGCTAGCTGCCGCGGCCGCGTTAGCCAGCTCTTCGTTCAACTTCTCCAGCTTTTCCATATCAGCATCCCAGGTACGTGGGTAGCTCGAAAGATCCTCGTTCACCCCGAACTGAGTGGGGTTCACAAAGATGCTGACGAAAATGTCGGTGTTCTCGCGGGCAGCTTCTCGAATCAACGAAAGGTGACCTTCATGAAGAGCACCCATCGTGGGCACAAATCCTACACTACGGTCATTTTTTAGCAATTGCCGGCGCAATTGGCGCACTTGAGGGACATCGCGGAAGACTGGGAAGGACGAGGGTTGACGAGCAGATCGCACAGCGGAAGAAGCGGCGTCAATCAGCAGAGACGAAGCCGCGGCTAAGGAGGGAGCAGGTGGTGAGTATGCATCGAATACAACAAGCCTAAGCTAGGTGCAACATACTAGAGAAGGACCGCACGCCGGTCACTAGACGAGACATGGTGGTTAATGACATTCAAAAGAAGCTTAACCTTTTTTGCGCCGACGGTTTCCGCTCTTCACGTGACCTAACGCCTCGGCTGTCTGGGGAAACCCGTGATTCCGAGTCCGGGGGACGATCCTCGTTTCGTTGGGAATGGGAGCTATGGCCCTTGTCCCGCACTTCTTGTCTGGTAGATCTGGTGAATTCCAATGCGCCATATATCTAATGCTTCCTTTCTGTCCATAACCTGATCCCCCAGGACCTTCCTCATCACATTGCGCCCATAATGCCACCTCCGAAGCCGGTCCCCAGCGACGAGCCCTCGGCTCCGGACCTGGAGATTGTTGGCAAACAGGTCACCATCCACCCGTCCGGCTTCACGGGCGGTCCTGAAGCAGCAGATGGCGCGACCACGGAGCGTAACCTCATCCACAACTACAGCCGCTTCCGCCAAAGTCCCCTCGATTTCCTCCGCGAAGTGAGTCTGTACATGTCAGGCACAGGCTGGCGCGCATACGACGATGTGATCGGCCAGCCGGTCTTCTACTCGGGATTCTCCGAGAAAATCAAATCGACAATCTTGGCCAGTCCGATGCTGCAAAGTAAAGTGCGAGAACTGGCGAGCACTCGGCTTGCAGTTGAGGAAAAGGAAGGACTAGTAGAGATCAAGGAAGGCGCCACATTCGACCAGAAACGAGCTCGACGCCGACATGAGATTGAAACTGGGCTCAGAGAAGTGGTAGACAACATGATGGATAACATGATTTGCAAGATGGAAAGCAAGTCGTTTATTCGGGGCGCGTACTATATGTGCACCCAACTTTTGACTCGTGCCTACCACCAAGGTATTCATGTTTCCAGTGAAGAAGTCTTGCGTTTGCGGTCAGTCGCCGAGGAGGCATCCAAGAAGAAGCAGTCGATTGTCTTTTTGCCCTGCCACAAGTCCCATGTGGATTATGTCTCCCTACAGGTCCTTTGCTACCGTCTGGGCATTGGTCTGCCCGTTGTCGTCGCAGGCGATAACTTGAACATTCCTCTTCTGGGGCCCTTTTTGCAGCATGCAGGTAAATCAAGTTCCTGTCAACTCATACCTCGGTGTTCAAACTGACACCCTCATAGGTGCTATGTGGATCCGGCGCAGTTTTGGAAATGACCCGCTGTATCATACTGTTGTGCAAGCTTACATCGACTCAATTCTCCAGGAGGGTTACAACTTCGAATGCTTCATTGAAGGCGGTCGTTCCCGGACCGGAAAACTGCTCTCCCCCAAATTTGGAATTCTGAACTTCATCGTTGACAGTGTTCTGTCCGGCCGGGTTGAAGACACAATAATTTGCCCCGTCAGCACTCAGTATGACAAGGTCATTGAGACAGAGTATGTAACCCGATGTGCAGACCACTTGACTCTCATTCTAATTCATCTTTAGATCCTACATCAGTGAACTTTTGGGTCAGCCTAAGGCGAAGGAAAACCTGGCCGATCTTCTTTCCTCGTCTTCAGTCTTGTCCCTGCAGCTGGGACGAGTAGATGTCCGGTTCCATCAACCCTGGAGTCTCCGGGAATTCCTCACTCAGCAGCTGACGCGTCTCAATTGCTCTCACCTGGGTACCGCCCAGAAACTTGCCATGTCTGAACGTGGCCGAATCCTTAGAACGTTGGGATATCGGGTCTTGTCCGAAATCAACGATGTCTCTGTTATGATGCCAACCGCCCTCGTGGGAACAGTACTTCTGACGCTCCGTGGTCGTGGAGTTGGAAAAGCCGAGTTGGTGCGACGCTTGGACTGGCTTTGTGAGCGTGTTCGTGCCAAGGGCGGTCGAGTTGCTCACTTCTACCGCTCACCTACCGAGATGGTGGTTGACCGTGCCTTGGAAGTCATGGGGCCAAAGCTGGTGGGTGTAATCTCAGGCTTGGTGGAACCGACCTACTATGCCGTCGATCGCTTCCAGCTGTCTTTCTATCGAAACATGACCATCCATCTCTTCATCACCGAGGCACTGGTTTCTGTTGCGATGTACACAAAGATCAAGCAAGGTGGCGGCCCTACCAACCAACGGATTGCCTACGATGCTCTGACGAACCAGGTCTCCTTCCTTTCTCAGGCATGTTTTTTCCCACGTGAACTCTTTATTTGGGTGTAACTAATAGTTTGCAGCTCTTCCGTGGCGAGTTCATTTTCCCGCCTGAAGGTCTGGCCGTTAATATGGAAAACACCTTGCGTGGCTTGGAGACAGACGACGTGATCAAGATCACTCGTGACAGCACCGGCACGCCACAGTATGTTGAACTCAGCGACACTGAGCGCAGCTGTGGTCGTGAAAACTATGATTTCTACTGCTTCCTCATCTGGCCCTTCATCGAATCATCGTGGCTCGGTGCGGTGTCTCTTCTCGGACTTACTCCGCCTCTCGATGGATCGCAAGATATCTGGCTTGACAACAAGAAGGCTCTGGATAGTGCTCAGCTTGTAAGTGCCCGTCTTTTGTCAAATATGGGGCGCATCTTGACCGATGACTAACGTCTTGCAGCTTGGAAAAACGTTGTATCATCAGGGTGATCTCTCGTACTTCGAAGCTGTCAACAAGGAGACCCTGAAGAACTCCTACCAGCGCTTTGAGGAAGAGGGTATTATCCTCGTTGCCAAAGACAAGGAATCCCGGGCCGGACCATCTCTCAGGCTTGCGCCGGATTGGACACCGGAGAGAGACCCTACATCGGGCAAGGTCCTGCCTCAAGGACGCCTGTGGGACTTCACTGAGTTGATCGCTCAGTCCCGCCGTGAAGGGTGAGTAATTTGGCAAAGAACATGTTTTGGATGTTGGCTAATAATTGATGAAGTAAAAACCGTCGTGACGGTGCAACTGTCTCCTCACGGGTCCTGACCATGTCGGACAATGTCGGCCGTGAACTCTTCTACAATGCGGCAGCCCCTGCACCTGCGGATGTTGTCTCCAAGCAGAGACGACGCCAGGCTATTGCGACCGACTCCAAGCTATAACCCCTATCATGATCTGCTGCAAATACGAATTCGGGAGTTTATTTATTACTGTTTCCATTTGGTTCGGCTTTGTTTGATCCCTGTTATTTGAACGCGACGGTCGCGCCTTGTGCATAATACAATACCCCCACGTCGTCGAATCGGTCAACCTGTTGTGGCTTCTTGTACATAAACATCACACCCATACCATACATATGGATGAATTGTTGCCAGCACGGACCCGAACTTGGATTCTGGCTTCTTATATACATCTTATCCCTTAGCCGAGCAAATCCTCACTTCTCATTTGACATAACTTGAATTAGTCACTATGATGCTCTCAGCAACCCTGGCCAGCAGTGACAGGCTCAGATCTTGTGCCATCACCCACGCCACCTACAGCTTCCACAACCACCGAATCGCCATCCGAAATTCCATCCACTATAACAGTAGTCTCAAACCCATTCCGCAAGGCAGTCTTGCTAACCTTGGATCCAGAATAGACCTTCCACGACTGCACATCCGTAGCTCCATTCCAACTCACATAGACAGCCGTCTTCCCACCCTTACTACCAGGACACGCCAAAACATCAGGCTTCGTAGACGGACACCCAACCCAGGGATACCGGTACGTGCGATAAGTCTGCATGGTGTTGTCATATCCGAAACGAGCCCGCATCACAATAGTACCATTCTCATCATACTCTTCAATCTTGGGAGTTGCGCCATGATCCTGCAAGATGTGTCCGTTTCCAAGAAGCTGGTAGCTACCCTGAGACTCGGCGTATACGGGCTCTGCAGCATCCCACATTCGATTAACGAGCGTAACCTCTTTCGAGCCTTGTAGCTCGACGTCCAGTACCAGGCCCGTGGTGAGTGACGTATGGCCGGTGAACTCGGTATTGTCGTTGTTGTGCATACTCAGTGTTACACGCTCAGGACTTTGCGACTCGAAGCGCACATCGTGCTGGTAACAGAAGCTCGTTCCGAGCCCCAGTGTAAAGTCGCCACCGGTTCGGCCCTATATGTTTTTATTAGTGTCTCGTACATCTAGTGCCTTGGTAGATCCAACTCACATGCAAATGCCAGATAACCGTTCCATTGGGAGCAATGAAGAAAACACTACACATGTACCGCGACGATACTAGGTAGTTATCGCCGTACTTGTCGATGGAATTCAGATGCGGGTACCCAAACGGATATGTCGAATTGACACCCGAACCCCCGGAGCCGTGAAGCGGAGCACGAACATCACTCAGAGGAACCTGATTTATATGCTCATGGGCACTCCATCTGAAAAGGATCTCGTTGGTTGCGATATCAATCTCATAGACAAGCCCATCCTGGATCCAGCCATCCTTGGGCCCGCCAATAGAGCTCAAATCGGCCTGAGTAACATTCACCGCGGTGACGAGAATGTTGCCGTTGTCGGTAATCTGGCTCTCGTGGATATCAATGCAAGAGTTGAATGTCATTGGCTCAAACACGGTGTGGAAATTCTGCTCCTTGCAATCAATTGTGACGCGGTGGATCTCATCGTACGAGCTGTTTAAGATGCTGATGTGGCCAAATCCGAATCCATCACCAACATATCCGGCCCAGTAGGCGATTACCGGCTCTCCGTTTAGTATTTGTGGTTGTAGTGCCGAGTAGTTTCCATTGGCGCCTTGCCATACTAGTTGGCCGTCGTCTGAGTAGATCGCTGGGTAGCCGGTTCCTCGGATTATATCTTCTGGGGAGAGGAACAAGAATCCTGGTTCCGTTTGGCCCATTTTCGTGACGTTCATGAATGGAGTCTGGATTGAGGAGCTCTTGTAGCTTTGCTGGGGCCATAATGCATCATCGGAAGATTGCGCGGCAGTCACACTGAGCAGGCTTGGAATGAATGCAAGTGCCTGAGGAAGGCGGCTCATGATAGAGCGGCCCATTCTCACGTTCACGGGTAGGGAGTTAGGTCTTTGCCTGTGTTGTGCTAGAGCCCTATTGTGGTAGGCTCATCTTTGGGGTGGCAATCTGTGAATTTATACTACTTCAATCATCATGCTCCCCTGTGAAGACTCGATGTGGAACCTAATATCCCCGCATCTTGCCCATCGAAAGGCAAGGTTGAGGTGAATTCCTTCGGCAGTCATAGTTCCTCAACGAACCGATGGGATATCCGATGGGATATCCGGTGTTCAGGTCATTTGAACGCGGAAGGTATCCGGGCATGGTCCCCACAATATTCACTTCGTTGCCCTGAATGGGCAATTGCATGTCCCTTAACCTGTCAAATCAAGCTATTGCTTGTCCAGCCGTAGATTGAACTATATTAGCTGAGAGACGCGAAGGGACTGGCTGTTTAGAGGGACCCGGCAAGTCTAATACAAGCAAAGGAAGAGCAAAGTTATCCATCTCAATGTACAATTGGAGTGTACAATTGGAGTGTACAATTGGACGCGAGCGTGATGTCATTCGGCAAGCTTTAGAAAAGAGAAACAGCACTTCTTCAGAGAACGGAATTATCCCTTGGGTGTTTGCCGACAACGCGGGATTACTTTCAGTGCTCTGACAACATCACGAAGTCAATTTCTCCGATCGATGGCAGTCTTCGTGTTGGTAAATATTAACGGTCCACTCAAGATCATTGTGGATGAGACAATTGTTGTCGATCCTCCACGGATTCCCACTATTTGCCGATGTAATCTGGGGTATGTGCATGGCAAGATGTCAAGGGTTCGGGGCCACTCGGCGGCCAGCTGAGGGGACAGGTCGTTTAACGATGACATCGCGCGGAACTTGTTGCTGTTGGCTAAAGTTCTCAACGATGCTATTCTGCTTTCCCTGTTTGGGTCCAGGGCGAGTTCATGGCAGGGTGTTCATGGTTCTCCGCGTCGAGGCTAAAGCTTGCCCAGCAGGTCAACGCTAGGGAAGTAAGTACCCACCAGGGATACTGCCGATGGGGTCTTCTTGTAGGGTTTGAGCAATGATAATCGTTGAAAGGGGCTCGTTTAATTATCGGAGGTAATCGGCAATGTTGTCGGCAGTTCATCTCCGGGCTAGTGACGTATTGGTACAGATGGGCAGATCATAGTTCCAAGTGATTTTCCGCGCGTTTCAGCACAGATGCCTTGTCAAAGTCAGGAACTTAAGCGACAGCCTTTTGCAAGGTGGAAAAACAAAGTTCGACCCCTCAAAACAAGAGGCCTGAACCATCAAAGCTTCATCATGCGTCCTCTATTGTAGGCTTCAATGCGGAAGATCGCCGCACGCCCTTGAGCTTTGCAGAGCTACTCGGGTATGGCTTCCGGGATGGGATTTTCAAACCCGAAAGCTCAAAAGACCAGATATTTATCGAAACTGGTTGCAGTTGGCTATCCGTGGCCTTGCAATGACCCTCTCAGAAGGATGCCATGAAATGGGTCCAACGCGCTGTCTAACAGCCGCCATGCACATGTGCAAGTAATAACACGCATCCAACTTTTACTTTTACGTGCAGTAAATCTAGCTCCCAGCCCATGATATCCATTCACCAGCACGCAAATCAAAAGACCCACCAAGAACATTTCCTTACATAAGCTCGATACAGATAAGAGGAGTCTAAACCCCAGAAGGATGCAGGATCCGGAGGTACATGAATGATTGGAGGTAATTGGATCGGCTTATCTTGCATCCCGGAGCAGCTCGCATCCTTATCAATCACGCCCTTCTTTATCGGAGATGACAGCGATGTCGCCAGCATGCTTTATCAAGGGCTTAGCCAAGATGCCGTAGATCGGTTTTCTATGCTTGTGTTTCAGGCCCAGATGCGCGTTGCGGAGGTCTTGGCCGTTCGGGTGTAGATAAGGATCCTTGAATTTCGGGCGATTGGTTGATGGCATTTCTTGGATGGGTGACAAGAATGTTCCTGGGTATATGACTCTGGGGGTTTATCGTGGGTCGCTAGCTCTCACTTGGATAACTTTTTCTCTTCGCGTTCAGGCTCTTGTATTGAGTAGTCTTGCTTCATATCCCGGCGACGAACATTGAGTATTTCCAACTGGACTAAGTCAGGGGCCATGGCCGACGCGGTATGTTCAATGTCACAAAATCGAAATCAAACCATGATATCTCACCGCTGTCGTTTGTATACTGATTCTGGAAAAAGCCAGTATACAATGCCTCCGCCCCGAGCGGTGGAAATCCACTCAAGATTGACGTGAACGCTCAATATGTGGGCTACGAGTGGAACTACACATATATTATGTTCTGTGGTTTTATTGTCTGGCTGATCATTCCTGGTATCGGCCTACTATACAGTGGCTTGGCGCGAAGGAAGTCGGCATTGGCATTGCTTTTCCAATCGCTCATGATCGTTGCCGTGTATGCTTGCACCTGGGCCAGAAGACAAACACTTGGAATGGTGTCACTGACCAGCTTTCCTTAGGACGACTTTTCAATGGATATTTTGGGGCTATTCTCTAGCTTATTCTCGCGATGCAGGCCCTTTCATTGGCACTTTGAAGAACTTCGGATTGAAAGATGTGATGGCAGCGCCGTCGCCAAGCTCTGCGGTTCTGCCGGAGATCGTGTTCTGTTTCTACCAGCTGCTCTTTTGCGCATGCACGGTAAGATGAAACAACCCATACGAATCTGGCAACTGAATTAACAAGACTGGAATTAGGTGATGATAGTAGTCGGCGGGGCATTTGAGCGAGGGAACATGCTTCCATCCCTCATCTTTAGCTTCTGCTGGGCGACCGTGGTCTACTGTCCTGTCGCCTGCTGGACATGGAACAGCAATGGCTGGTTATACAACCTTCCCGCGCTGGACTTTGCCGGTGGCGGCCCGGTGCATATCGCATCGGGCTGGTCTGCCCTTGCATATGCTCTGGTTCTCGGGAAACGCAAGAACCTTCACGAGCCCTCGCATGGTAAACCTCATAATACCACGTTGGTATTCCTTGGAACGACGCTTATTTGGTTTGGATGGTTCGGATTCAATGTATGTCTTGTCTCATGTTCACTTCGCCGTTGCGATAAGTCTAACCATCTACAGGGCGGGTCGGCTCTTAATGCTAGTGTGAGAGCTATGTTGGCTGCATTCAACACCAACACGGCTGCTTGTATGGGAGTATTGGGGTGGGTGTTAGTGGACTCGATCAAGCATCAGGGAAAGTTCTCCGTAGTGGGCGCCTGTGAGGGAGCCATTGCGGGATTGGTGGGCATTACCCCAGCCGCCGGATTTGTCTCCGTGTGGCTTGCGGCATGCATTGGGTTCCTTACGAGTATCGTATGCGCGCTGCTCCAGGACGTCAATAATTGGATGCGCATCGACGAGGGGATGGACGTGTTTAAGCTACATGGTATTGGGGGGATGGTCGGGGCGTTTTTAACCGGCGTCTTCGCGTCGCAATCGGTTGCAGCGCTGGATGGCGCGACCGAAGCCACCGGTGGTATTGACGGTAATGGGATGCAGGTCGGGAAACAATTGGCGGAAGTGTGCGCCATCTCTGCGTACTCTTTCATCGTGTCTTGCATCTTGCTTTACATCCTGAAATGGATCCCCGGCATGCAATTACGAGTTCATGAGGAGGCGGAGATCATTGGGTTGGACAGGGCACAGTTCGTGGATGAACAGATCGGCGAGCGGGTTGTTCTTGACGATCTCTTGGTGTCGTCCTCACCGGCGAATTCAAGTATGGCGAATAGGAACTCCGGGGGGATGTCGGTAGGGTCCAAAGAGATCAAGATGTGAGAGGGTCCAGGTCCAGGTGTACTGTACATAGATAGATACTGTAGATAGTTTGGCAGGCCGCGTACCATGTCACATCCCGAAAGAGTAGGAATGCGAACAGATCACTGCCGACGTTGACTCGCGTCAAATCAATTCCAAAAGGCTGAAAGGTGGGGTTTGCGTGGCGACCGATGATCGAGGGAGCAAAGACCCTGAAACTGAGTCCGGAGCAATCAAAATCAAACGAGGAGTGGGGTCGGCTTCAACGTCTTGCGCGGCCTGTCATCCTGCGCAGTACTGTGGTACAGTAACTGAACCTCTGCAATGTAATCAGCCCCGCGTTCTTTTCAGACATGCCAAGGGAGCGGTTATGTAGTCCTGGCGTATTGGGGATGAGGGAAGTTGGTCGGGGCAGGCATGAGCTGACGTACACTGGCGCACCCGTCTTCCATGCCCCTGCTCGGGCGGGCCTAGGGCGGGCGGTGGCGTTCCCAGTGCAAGGGCGAGATCAAACCCGAGCAGGGATGTGTGACTCCGCCATGCAACACCACGGGACTGCATGGTCTTGCATTCCGAGGTGACGAATCATTGAGACATTCGACGGTACCGTACATTGTACATTGTACATCGTAGTCAAATAGTAAATCTGGATTGTAGAGAAAATGGAATAAATACAAACAAATCAAGAGCAGTGGAGACAAAAGGAAACCGGAATCAACGTCAGGGTGTTGAACATGGCCAATAAGAGACACAAGGGAAAGAAGTTAGATTACATTACGCTTTGTGTATGACACGGTACGGGGACCGGGCTAGGCCCGATGCGGCACACGGGCGGCCGGGTATTTTGCCCGTGTCGAGGGAAAACCTAGTCTCGCCCCGTGTCACGTCCTGTATCGCCTCTCCCGCTGTCGCGTCTCCGTTTTGAGACACCCTTATCTCGTTTTCTGCTCTCGCTCTTTCCTCCGAGTCCAAGTCCAAGCCCAACTTCACTTTTCCGTCACTCGTTCAATCGCTGTCCTGTCCTGTCCTCTGCCTCTTTGTAGGCCCCGTCTGCTATTTCTCGCTGTTGTCCCTGGTCATGCTATTCGTATAGCTTACTAGTCCAAATGGGCAAGTGTACGTCAAATGTCTCACCATCCGCAAAACGTTCAAATCACTAACGGTTCTTCTCTAGGGCGCTATGGCGTTGTCCTGGACGCTGGCTCGTCTGGGACCCGTGTACACGTTTATCGCTGGCTGCGCAATGTGGCCGCGCGCAAGGACGCCGATCCGTTGGAACTGAAGTCGTTACCGGAAATCAAGACCAAGGATAAATGGGTCAAGAAGATTCATCCCGGTGTCTCCTCCTTCGCCGATAGACCCGAAGCCGTCGGATCCGAGCATCTGGCGGATCTTTTGGAGCATGCGAAGAGCATCATCCCCAAGGAGGATGCCAAGGATACCCCGATCTTCCTTCTCGCGACGGCGGGCATGCGACTCCTTGGGAACCTCGAACGACAACTCCTACTCGACCAGATTTGCTCCTACGCACGCGCGAACACCGATTTCCTGCTCCCCGACTGTGGAGTTCATATTCAAGTGATCCCCGGCGTGACCGAAGGACTCTACGGATGGATTGCGACCAACTATCTCATGGGGACGTTCGACTCTCCCGACAAACATAACCATGGGAAAGGACACAGCACCTATGGATTTTTGGATATGGGAGGCGCATCCGCCCAGATTGCTTTTGCGCCAAACGCTACCGAAACGGAAAAACACGCCAACGATTTGACACTCATGCGATTGCGGAATATCGATGGCTCGGTTCAAGAGCACCGAGTCTTTGTGACTTCGTGGCTGGAGTTCGGCGTGCACGAAGCTCGCCGGCGTTACGTGGAAGCCTTGCAGACAGCGACGGGAGCAGACATTCGTGAACTACCGGATCCATGTCTTCCAAGTGGCCTACGTACAACGTTGAATGGAAAGGATGTTTCATCCATCAACGACGCGGGCACCACTTTGCTGGGTACGGGAAGATTCGACGAGTGCCTACGTCAAACTTTCCCCTTGCTGGACAAGGATGCTCCTTGTATGGATAATCCATGTCTCCTCCATGGTATCCACGTTCCGGCTATTGACTTTGATGTCAACCACTTCATTGGGATCAGCGAGTACTGGCATACCACTCATGAGATCTTTGAAATGGGTTATAAGGATAAAGCATATGACTTCAACACCTACCAAGAGCGTGTCAATACGTTCTGTTCGCAGGACTGGAGCTCCATCGAGGCTGGTATTCAAGCACACAAGTGGGGCAAGAAGGTTGACTCTCAAAAGGCCTACGAAGTATGCTTCAAGGCGTCGTGGATCATCAATATGCTGCACGACGGCATTGGGATTCCTCGCGTCGGTCTTGAAGACACTTTAGGTTCCTCTCACAATGGCACCAAAGAACTTCTGTCTCATGGCCAGGAGAAGGGCTACCTCGATGCTTTCCAAGCAGTGAACAAGATCGACTCGACCGAAGTGAGCTGGACCTTAGGCAAGATCGTCTTGTACGCCTCATCTCAGGTTCCCACGGAAGCGGAAGAGGCCATGCCAGTCGGCTTCGGCAGCAATGTTGCGGGTGTTCCCGCTGACTTCCAGTATCCCAGCGTGGAGCTGCTTCCGGATTCCGAAGGCTTCCACAGCGAACATTGGCATGATGCCCTGTTTGATGGCGACTCGCCCCGGCGAATCCCTGGGTTGCTTCTGTTCCTGTTCATTATCGTACTCGCATGCTTCTTCCTGTGTGGACGCAGCCGCCGCTTGCGAATGTACCACAACATTAATAAGCTGCTCCGTCGCGGGCCCTCTCATCCCAATCACCCAAAGAAGCGAAAGGGGCTGGGAAGCATGTTACCGTTCTTGAATCGCGGTGGCCAAATGTACGAGCGCGTCTTGGAGGACGGTGCTCATGACTTTGAACTAGGCGTCACGGATTCCGATGGATCGGACGTGGATGCCGGTCGTCCTTCTGAGACCGATGCCAATCCCCGGCCGCCCAAGCGAACGTCCAGTTGGGGCAGCAGCAGCAATCCGCCGGGCCTGAAGTACACGCTCGACAATAGCTCCTCGGGCACCATCGGCTTGGGGATCAGTGGTGATTCGGGCATTAACATGGATCGAGCAGGTTTGGTGGTGAGGACCGAGAGCCGGGATCATTTGGCTCCCATTGCTCTTGGGCCCACCACCAACGGCCGACGATCCAGAGCTGGCAGTCCCACGCGATCTCACCATCAAAAATCGCCAAGTATGACGCCCCTCGCCGATGATTAATGTGACTGATGCATACACCGAATTATGCTTTCCTCGAAATATGAGCCGCCCTGTTTCTGCATGCATTTTTCACTGGAGTTGACTGTTTAATATGCCCATGCCATTCCTGGCACTGACTTGGCTTCTCCCCATTACTGGGTTGTTTGTTCAAGGCCTTGTTTGTTGTCTCGTGGGCAGTTTGTGTTTTCGATTCTTGGTACCATATTCAATCCTGTGCTCTGGAGTACTCTTCTGTTTCGGGCTGTCGATCTGATCCGGGTGATTTCGATGGAAGGGCAGTGTACCATTACCGCTGCGGCAGATTTTTTATCTTAATGAACATAGACTAATACATTGCTCGCACCATTTAATTCTCAATAATCCAGTATATGACAATCCGTAAATCATCTGAGCTTCTTGTTTGCAGCTCTGTGGAGTAGATACCATGGACCGATAGAAGGTCACGTGCATCGCTGACCTCCAGTCACCGCTCGGCAGAAAGGGCTGCGGTCCAAGGTGATCTCGATTGGAGAAATTGCGACAGGTCTTTTTCGTCCATTGCAGCTCTGTCGGTTTTCAGCTTTGTTTCATACTTTTTGAATCTCCTCCACTCTACGATACCCCGATAGACTCGCTTACCTAGACCCATCCCCTCCCCGTCGCCGTCGACGACCGCCACCGCCGCCATGCGCTTGACTGTCGAGCTCATTCAGAACTCTCTGTCATACATAAATCCGCTCAAGGACCGTGAGCTGGATCTCCGAGGTGCGTTTCACTGCTACACTTCTGCCTGAAAGGAACAGGTACTTCATCTTGTCAAAGGAGCTGGATTGATATCAACTTTGCGCGTCGCGTGTAGGGCACAAGATCCCCGCAATTGAGAACCTGGGCGTTGCCAAAGTAAGTAGTCCGCACCTCTGAACTCGGTATTGCTTCCTCGCTTCTCGGCGAGCAGTATATACGAGTCAGCCTGTTGGAAATGGCTTGGTAACGTTTCGCAGCATCAAGATGCAATTGACTTCACGGACAACGACCTCTCTTCGCTCGGGAACTTCCCTTTTTTCCCTCGTCTTCACACCCTCCTTCTTGCGCGAAACCGAATCAATCACATTCAGTCGTCTCTGGCTTCGTCTCTGCCAAATTTGACAACTCTCGTCTTGACTTCAAATAACATTGCCGAGCTCGCGGACCTCGACCCACTGCGGAAATTGACGAAATTGACACATTTGACCCTTCTTGAGAACCCTATCACACGGAAGGAGGTATGTTCTACCGTTTTTGCGATCTCTAAGTGTTTCCCAAACCTGCTGGACATCTAACACGTACTTTTAGCACTACCGATACTGGGTCATCTGGCTGCTCCCCTCCGTCCGTTTCCTCGACTACCATAAAGTGAAAGACGCAGAGCGCACCCAAGCCAAGGAGCTCTTCGGCACTTCCGAAGAACCCTCCTCGCTCGCATCCAAGATCATGGGCATCAAGTCCCGAACCTTCGACGTTTCCACCAACGCCGCAGACCGCGCCCCATCAGACAAGGCCATCCGGGTAAAATTGACCGCCACCGAGAGGAAGCGAGTGGAGCAAATGATCCGCGAGGCAAAGAGTCTGCAAGCGATCACACGCCTGGAGAAGGAGTTGAACGAGGGACGGATACCCGGTGGAGCCCTCGGTGCGGGAGATGCGGACGGAGACGAGAAGATGCAAATGTGAGCTTGCATTGTGCATTTTCTGAACATACCATGCTTGTGTTTTTAGGCTCTGGTTTTCGTTTTTGACTCACGGTCGTTGGGATTCTCATATTATACCTGGCTTTGACTTGCGGGGTCGTGTGTTTATCGGGGGTTTTTGTTTTGCCATGGGTGCTTTAATCTATCTTCAGGGTTCGAGAGCTAGCATTTGGACTTGATGTCCATATCCAAAAATACTTTCCTTGCATTCTGCACACACTTTTTATTCATTGTGACTTCTTTTGAAAGTAGCTCACAACATGTCTTCCAATGTTTGAATAAGGCGACAGCGATCTATGAAATTCTGAGAGCGGTCCCCAAGTGGACGCCGATTGTGGAGGACTATAGAATAATGAGGGACTAGATCCCGGTCAAGTAAGCTGAAACCGGGGCCAGGGATCACCGGCCACAGCATCATTCGAGGGTTCACGCTACTTGGATCCTTCGAGACGTCAACCCTCTGAGTGATGAATAGCCTCTCCTATAGCTTCATGTGACTCACGAAACGTAGTTGTCTTTTCAAAGTTTACCTTCGCTGTTCAAAGGACTTAATCTTGAGGCACAAGACGTGGTAGATGAAGGGTGAAGATGCCCATGCTTAGACCCATTGCCTACGGTAATAGTTCCGGGTTCTCCGACTATTCAATTTACTTAATCAACCACCTAGCCTAATCTTCATGAATAGTCTATATCAGTTTCCCAAAGCCGTATTACGAGTGATCTGCGCAGTCTCTCCCACACAAATGGTTCTATTGATTCAAAAGCACCGCCGCATCGAAGCCGGTAGATTGAGATCGAGGGCTGAGGACAACCAAAACTCTGGAATCGAAATGGGTAATCCGAGCCGATCTGTGTACATCCACATTAATGGGACACGGGAAGATCCCACACCAAAAGCGCCCGGGCAGTTTCATCTCAACGAGCGGGTAGGAGAAAGTCGGCTAGAAGCGATCTGGACTAATCCATCGGAAAGCTTCGTCGAACGAAGTGGAGGCTTAAGTTCGATCGGATTCAAAACAGATCCCGCGGTGGTTCGTGGCGCGTCAATCCCTGTCCCCTCTACGGGGTCACTATGGAGACTGCGGATCGAGCCACCGATTCGCGCCGGGAAAGGGTTGGAGATGGTTTGCAATATCCCCGGCACAGAGGTTCAGGGCTGCTATGTCACAAGCAAAATTCTCTTCGTGTTTTGCATCTTCAGTCCTAACTGATTTATACTTTGGACAAGACAGTGCCGGCTTTTTAAGCCCGAAGATCACTCGGTACTCGGTATCCTCAGGCTGAGGCTTGGGGTGGAAAGGGGTTCACTTCTAGAGAGCTTCGCTCGGAAACCTTGTCAGCCCTGACACAGCCAATTTGCGAAAAGTGATACGGTGAACGGACCTCCGGGTGAATCGATGGCCTAACCGGGCGGGATACGATACGTGGGTGGAGCCAGTTCTATGGTCTCCACGCGATACTACGGATTGTCGGTAAAGTGCGTGCCCTTGATCTACCTACAAGTTCCAATGGTCAGACCTCCTGCTACACAAGGTTTACGGTCCCATAAGTCCTCTTGATAATCTTGACATCTTCAGAACCATAAACTTTTTTTGGCTCCCCACATAATACCATTGATAGCTCAGGGGAACTTTCCCTAATTATATAACGCCCTGCGCCTGACTTTTCGGTTACCCTAACTCACAGATGGGTCGCCTCCCTCCCTGAGCCAGCGCTATGGCCAGTGATACGATTATTCCGGCGATGGCACCGCCCGCCGGCCAGACATCGAATTTCGTCGACCCGCCATATACTGGCACAAAGTTCGTTGTTGTCAATTGCGTTTTCTTGCCATTGGCTTTCACTGCTTTGTGTGTTCGGACATGGACTCGAGCTTTTGTCGTGCGTAGCTTCGGCTGGAATGATTGTGAGTCGAAATTAATTCCACAAACAGGTCTTATAACTGACCCCTATCACAGATTTAATGGTCATGGCTCTTGTATGCAGCTCTATCTCCCCAATGTCAACCTGATTGTTTACTAATGCAAATCTATCTTCACAGACGCTATCATGCGCTCTAACTGGCGTGACATTAGAGAGTAAGTTGATCTGATACGAAATCAGTAGCAGCCAGCTGACGTTGATAGTGCTGAACTGGGGATTGGGCAAGCATATGTGGGATGTCCCCATGACTTCCTTGACGCCATGGTTTATGAAGGTGTGTACACATGCGCGAGTACTCCTCGGAATAACACGAGGGCTGACTGTTCCCGACCTCACAGCTCAACGTCATTGCGGCTATCCTCTATTGCGCTGCTACCGGCTTCACCAAATGCTCCGTCCTCATTTTCTACCTCCGAATCTTTCCTAGCCGGAACTTTCACATCTGTGTTTGGGCCATTGTGTTTATTGCAGCTGGCTATGCCATTGCCAGCATTCTCGCCAACATCGTGAGCTGCAGTCCCGTCGCCAAGGCCTGGGACCTGACTATTACAACTGGGCACTGTATGAACAGGCCAGTCTTTTATTTTGCCAATGCCGGTCTGGGTATCTTCACAGATTTTGCGACTGTTGTGGTGCCGATGTATGTTCTTCCAAGGCTCGTACGAGGGCTAGGCTAATGAAGGGCGTATCTAGACCATGGCTGCGTCGACTGCAAATGCCTACGCGGCAGAAAATCGCTGTCGGTGGTATTCTGGCTATGGGATGCTTGTAAGTTGTATTATAATGCGTCATCTCTCTTGTTTGACAACTAACCCCTGTCATAGTGTTGGTATTGTCAGCTGCATCCGCCTGGCATCGCTTTACGAGCTCCTAAAAAGCCCCGACCTCACCTGTAAATATACCGCCCATTGGAGTCGAGACCAGCTACTAACAGGAAGTCTGTACAGGGACAACTACCAACGCACTCATGTGGTGCACAATCGAACTTAACCTCGGAATCTTCGGTGGCTGCGTCACAGCGATCAGACCGTTTATCCGACGATACTTCCCGCGCCTGCTGGGCCTGTCATCCGGTGGATATCGCTCGGACTCCCGCAAGTACGATCATCAGCTCAGCTCATTACCCAGCCAGAGGCCCGACTTCTCGGGCCGCGATAATCAGTACTCGGCAACACTCACCACGCTCAGGGCGGATAATGATAGTGGGGAGCATATCCTGTCACAATACCCTTCGAGCCATGAAAAGGATGCAGATGGGCCCGCTGGCATCGTTCGAACGGTCGATTTTAATGTGGAAAACTCCTCTCGCACGGAGCAATGATGAGAGAGATACTGTAAGATATCATATTCTAATTCCTGCACATCTATATAGCATGTAATTTCGGGTCCTGTGATTTACTAGATCTGGATGGTTTTGCCGTTTCCGAGTTGGCGCCCCAGTACGCTGTCACGTAACCTCTCATTCATGTCGCCCCGACATAAAAAGGCGCGACCTCGCCTTTTCGACCTCTTTTCTTCTTCTCCCCTACCTTCAACTTGCAAATTGAGCGGTACTCAGGGGCTGAAACCAAACGCGGCAGATTATTCTAACCCTGCTCCACTAGGCGATTTTTCAAATCAGCCTATTTTCCTCATATCTTTCATATTTCATCTACATTGGACGATCTGCGGCGATCGAAGCTCTGTTGCTAGCGCTGTTTTAATCTTCAAGAAGCACAAACCCATCCTTACTCTGCCTAACCCGCACCTTTTCACCTCCTCTGCATCCCAAGTGCGAAGACGCTCTGGCATCTCCGCTATATTCCGATGGCTGTGATGGGTCTATGGTGGCTGCGTGATAGTAAATAGGTAATCTGTCGGAGTACGTAATATAGAGACCAATCAACGGTAAAAGAACTCTGCATTGCTATGCCCTTTCTTCTAGCAATCCATAACGTAACTGGTAAGCGAGCCACCCATGTAAGCGAGCCGTCCACCTCACAGCACCATAGTTAAGCCGATATTTTACAAGGTAATAACTCAACAACTATGCCTTATATTGGGCTGGTATTAGATAAATAATAAATAAGAAAGTGTTTCATAACAATTAATGTTCTCATAACAATCAATAGCAGATTTAGGAACTTGGAAATGGTGGATCCGCCACCTCGGAAAATCCGGGAGAACAGCCCGCCCGAACATCGCTTCCACAGGTAGGCCAGGGGCCCAGGCATACCTAGACGCCACATCGCCAAAGTATAACAATCTTCACTTGTACTGCTGTTTTTGGCCTAGTCCTTTGAATATTCAGCGCCGCGTTCATCACAATTTCCTTGCTTTGTGCACCACACTGTAATGACAACCCACCAAGAGGTAGATGGTATCCATAGTCTTAAACCAGTTCGTTCCGTCAAATCACCGGAATTGACTAGGCTACCAAGCTAGGCGTGGCTAAGAGAGATTCTGAGAATAAGCGACAATGCCAATTCCAGTAATTCCCGTGTCGGAGGCTACTGAAAACCAAATTGCCAGATGCTATTAGTAAGACTTGTGTTGCATCTTTAGTGACCTCCTGCTGTTCTCCTTGACCACATTTCACCCCCTACCCAGCTCACCATGCGTTTAGTCTCTGTTGTAGTGCCTTTGGCAAGCTCCATTGCCACAGTCGCGGCCAAGTGCGTCAGCGCCGGGTGCCATGCATTGAACGAGCCCCTTGGAGATGCGGTGTTCTCCCGAGGCACCCCGGTCTACAACTACGAGTCCAAGAACTTCTGGTCGAACACTGAGATCATGTCCCCTGGATGTGTGTTCCGTCCTCAGTCTAGTAGTCAATTGGCCGAGGGATTGAAGGCTCTTGTTGGTGCCAATGCCGAGTTTGCTGTTCGCGGTGGTGGACACATGGGCATCCGAGTAAGTTCCCCACCAAAAAGATGCCCGACATGAACCATGTAGATTGACATGTATAGGGTTCCAACAACATCAATGGTGGCGTGCTGGTCGTCATGTCAAATTTGACTACTATGGCATTGAACGAAGACAAGTCTATTCTTTCCGTTGGTCCTGCTTACCGGTAAGCATTCTATCTAACAGCACGATAAACAAACCACTGATTCAAGTAGATGGAGCGATGTCTATGCGTTCTTGGCCCAATCTGACCTGACCGCGGCCGGTGGCCGCCTCGGGCCTGTCGGTGTTCCCGGTCTCCTTCTTGCCGGTGGCATCAACTTCTACGGTAACCAGGTTGGCTTCGGCGCCGACACCGTCATCAACTACGAGGTCGTTCTTGCCGACGGCTCGATCATTGAGGCCAACAAGACCTCCAACCCGGATCTGTTCTGGGCCTTGAAGGGTGGGAGCAGCAACTTCGGCCTGGTCACTCGCTTCGATTTGCAGACGATCAAGTCGTCGAAGGTTTGGGCTGGAACTTACACCGTCACAGCTAGATATGTCGACCGCTTCCTTGATGTATGTTTTACTTTGATCAATATACCAGATCGATTCGCTGATCCTCCCAGGCTGCCGCCAAATACGCGTCCGACATCTACGACCCTAAGTCTCACATTGTCCCGGCCGTGGTGCCCGGCAACTCGACTCTAGCTTCAGTGATTCTGTTCTACAACAGCGACACCGAGAGCTACCCCGAGATCTTCAAGCCATTCACCGATATTCCCACTATCAGCAACACTCTTGGCTTCAAGACCGTCGCCGATTTTGCAGCTGAGACCGGTGAGATGGTAGTCGAGGGCATCAAGTAAGACAGATCCCAATTGGCAGCTGAAATACAGCGCTAACGAACTGTAGTGACGTCTTCGTCGCTGGAACTGTCAAGGGAACCACCTACAAGGAACTCCACCAGGGTATCAGCATCATCAACTCCACCTTCTTCAGCCAGCTGCCCAAGCTGTACAAGCAGATCCCCGCCGCCAACATCTCCACCATCCAGCTGGACTGGCAGCCCATCGGTGCCGACTGGATGAAGGCCTCCGAGACTGCAGGTGGTAACGCCTTGGGACTGGACTCCTCCAAGGTCTATCTCTGTTACGCCGAGGTCGTCGAATGGATTGGATCTGCATACGACCACATCGTGGCTGAGTGGATCGAAGAGACTACCTATGCGATCAACAATGCCACGCAAAAGGCTGGCCTTTACGACACGTTCAACTACATGGGCGATTCCGCCGGCTTCCAGTCCATCTTCCCGGGTTACGGTGAGAAGAACCACCAGAAGTTGATCTCCATTGCTCAGAAGTATGACCCTCATGGTATCTTCCAGAAATTGATGCCTGGTGGCTTCAAGGTTTATTAAATTCAGCCATTGGGTAAAGGCTCGTCTTTGCCTACTCTAGGTAACTGGTACATATTCTTGCGGTGAGAATCCAAAAACTACATAGATGTCGTACTTTACAATTCAAATTCAATATGCCACATCTGACGAGTCATTGCCGTTAATATCATGATCCAATAAAACTATGTCGAAAATAAATCACCCCGGCAGTAAAGATTTCTGTATGAATTGCATCTCTCTTTATTCAGTCCGACGTTATTCTATAAGCACCAAGAGTAAGTATCATTCCCAATATAAGAGCTAGGCATTGAGCCTCATACTGGATTCTTCTTCTTCTTCTTCTTCTTCTTCTTCTTCTTCTTCTTCTTCTTCTTCTTCTTCTTCTTCTTCTTCTTCTTCCTCCTCCTCATCAGCCCATGGGCACTCGATCGGCGCATGTGGCCAGAGACGTTTGTAAAGATCGCGTGCCGGCCGCCACTCCTCCCAACTTCCATCGGACCTAGGAAAAGGTTAGGTCATCCCAATAGAAACGGAAGACAATACTGACCTCACTTTAAAGATGTTTGGAGCCAACATGTATGCTCGCAGCAGAATGCAGGTGACCACAACATCGTACGGCAAGCGAGCTGTTTTGCAGAAGTTCCCCGGGTGGCGTTTATCTTCTCTTTTGTCGAGGATCAGCGGCTCATATGAAAGGTCCCTGGCACCGTTCACGTAGATTTTGTTCTCGGTCAGAAGAGGGTACGTGACGACGTCTATATCCTCAGTAGGACCACTAATCTCGACTCCAGACGCGTCGATTATTCTAGGAATGTCCTTGATCAGTTGGGCCCAGGCAGCTTTCCGCTCAGGCGAGTCCCAGTCATAGATCCTATAATGATGGGTGTAACTAATTCTTTCGTTGGCAAGGATATTGTAATTCCAAGAAACACGTACCCCATTCTTTCCAGCCCAAATGGATTTATTTGTCTTTGTGTAGTGAGAAAATACCTGTGGTGTGATAAGTCAGGTCAGCCCGATGCCAAACCTGTTGATGGTCAAATCGAGCTCACTCGAATCGGGGTTGAGGAGCACACACCCTTTGAGAAACTGTTGTGAAAGCGAAGACCGAGGGAAATGGCAGCGATATCGGAGAGGAGAAGTAAAAAGGTGATAGAAGATTTTTGGACCAGGATTTCGCGTCCTGCATTTGAAGCTGCGTGACGGTCACGGTGATGTAATTGGAATGATTCCCATTTATTGTCATGACAACTGCAAAATGGTTTTCTCTAGTAAGGGACTTTCATATATGAATTGCGAGATACCTTGTAATCGTGATATCATTTTCTTGCGCTGGAAACATAAACTTGGATGGGCCTCTACATGAAAAGGGCCAATTCAGCTGCGGAGTTAAACTTCACTTTTTTGGGCTGTTTCGATGCTTTTTGTTTTTGCTAGTTGAGTCTAAGAATCGAAGGAATGAAAGTTCAGAAATAGAACTCATGATGATTTCTATTTCGTTAAAGCTGTACTGTTCAATCGGAGTAGAACCTCCAAGACGTTTTATAGTCTCGGCTCAACGGTTGATCCATCATCAGCGCCCGAACCAGCTCAATCGGCATACGATTCTCCTTCAAAAACTGGTCATGAAAGTTCTTCTCTGCCATATATTGAGTATCCACAATCTCTTTCTTCAGAGCGTAGATCTGTAGCGCTCCAAGCATGTACCCAGCCTGATAAAGAGGAGAGTAATCGCCTTTCAGCGACCTTCTGACTTCTCCTTCTGCTGTCGCACGTTCGTGGCCCACGCCGTCAACAAGTAGATCAATACACTCCTGAGGACTCATTTGGCCGAGGTGAAACTTCAGAGAGAAAATGATCCGAGCGCATCGATGAAGTCGCCAGAAGAGCATTCCAATGCGATTCTGGGGTGTCTTTTGAAATCGCTCGTCATCCCACAGAATAAACTCCCAATACAAAGACCATCCCTCGATCCAGAATGGTGTATCGAACAGCCGTCGATATGGTTTATGTCTGGCATTCATATGCATCTGGAGGTGATGACCGGGAATCATCTCATGAAAAACGGTCGCGCGGGAGAAATGGATGTTGTTTCCCCGCATACTCATGAGCTTGGCCTCATGGTCCATCGTATCGACTGGATAAGACACGATGATACAATCCCCTCCGAGGAAAAACGGATTCACTTTTTGGCGTTCTGGCGACATCATGAACATCTGCCACGTTTCCTTTGCGGTCGGTGGTACTGTGACGAGGTCGTGCTCTTCGACAAACGAGATCGCTTCTTGCACAAGGTCCCGGACGAGCTGGGTCTGTTTTCCTGGCTCCACAAAATCATTCTTGACTTGTTCCAGAGCTTGCTTCCAATCGTCCTGCAAGCCCATGCTGCGCGATGCCTTTTTGAGCTCCTTGATACACCACTCAAATTCTTTCTCGCCGATGGCGATAACCTCATCTGGCGTGTAAGGAATCATTTCGGCATGCAGCTCGTTGATGAGTCCATCTTGGCCAATTGGGTCCCCAACGATTGCGTCGTCGTTGTCAGGATCGATACCAACAAGTTTTTCACGAATGGCGATCGAAGCGTCTTGAAGATTCGTATCCACAACGCTGTATGGGTGCGACACCCACCAGTCAAATGAGGGATCGTATCCTTTGTAGAAGCCGTACCATTCTTTCAGATAGTCGCGAAGTGAGTCCACGGTTTTCGATGCGCGAAAAGTAACGGTCTTTTCCATTGAGAGATACTTTGAGCCGGTTTTGATGTTCTCGATCACAGTTGTGATTTGCCCTTGGGACTCAAACAGCTTCTGTGCGGCATCTTTTGGCTCGATTGGAGCTACCATTGCACGGTCCTCGCAGAGATTTACCAATGTGTCTGCAAATGGCAGCAGAGGTGCGGTCTTGTGGTTCTGTTTACAGTCGAGCTCCAACTCTCGGAGTTGCCTCTCCAGGTAGTTCTTGATCAGAAGATAGTCCACCTTTCCTTGCTGATCATAATGGTCAAAAGGTTGCTCGCGCAGAGACTCTAGCTCTGTATTCAGAAACTGTTTTAATCTCTGTGTCCTCCTGGAGGATATCCTAATCGGGAAAAAAGCTTTGATGTCGGAAAGGTCTTCCGTGATACGTTCGATTCTACCGCGTACGGCGTCCACTTGGGAACGCCAAAGGGCAACACCCCTGGGGAAAGTGATCGTGACCATGATTTGTACAAAGAGTCTAGTCCAGCAGCGTGCCGCTTCGGGAACGAAGGATATCGAGGGGATGGCTTCGCACTAAAGAGCAAGGAGAATAGCGATCGATAAGTGCAAAAGATAGGATTCCGACCGGAAAAGATCCAGACATATCGTAGCGAGGCACCTGATCAACAGTGAATACCACGGTATGATACTGTACCGAGCCGACGTTTTACTGAAAGTGGCTGGTTGATCCGAGTGGTCGAGGTTACCCTGGCCATATCTTGACTTTAATCTAGCTCAGGTGAATGATTGGAGGCATGCTTAACTTACTCCGCGTTCTTACCCGAACCGGAATCGTTCGTTATTGCGTGAGCTGTGATTCGAAGACTGCATCTTCGCGCCGAGGGGAACAACCCTCTGGAATGGGGGAACAAATAAAGGGTTACATTACTAGTTTTAGGCTTATCTTGGCACAGAAGCTTTTTGGATCAAACTACTAAGGTGTCGGACCGCCACGTGTTTAAATATTTGACCTGGTCCAGCCGCTGGAGAACAGAAATCGGTCATTTTTGTTCAACTAGTGGCAACAATGGTTTCGCAAGTTCAGGCCATCGATGGCATTGAGCTTTTCCCGCCAGAGAGCACAACTGAAGTAAACAAACCAGCTGGCAGTACTATTGAGGAACTACCCAAGCTCAAGTCTCTGCATCAATGGGATCCAAATCTTCCACAAGAGAAACTCGATGAAATCAGCGAGGCAATTAACACAGATGACCAAGAAAAAGCCGCCGAACTTGATAAGTCCTTTGTGCAGGATTCGCCTTACGAGACCGTTCGTGCGGCAGTTCGCAACACGGACGGCGAGGAAGTTGCGAATACCGTACGAGCATGGATTTTAGGAATGATTTTTACGACGGTCGGCGTTGGACTGAACATGTTTTTGAGCATGAGGTGAGATCTCTCGGGGTTCCTGTACCATCTGAACAACTTATTAAGCACCGAACAGGAGCCCGGCCATTTCATTTCCAGCTATTGTGGTGCAATTGGTTGTCTACCCAATCGGTTGCCTATGGGCTAAATGGATGCCAACGAGAATTTTCAACACTTTTGGACTTCGCTGGACCCTGAATACCGGCCCCTTTACCATTAAAGAACATGCAGTCATCACGGTAGGTTTGACATCTCGTTCTCCATTGAGCGCACCGTTAACTGTGTTTAGATTATGGCCAAGTACGTCATGAAACCATTTCCTGTCATCTTGCAATTGAGATCCACTCACACAATTTAGCGTGTCAATCGGATACGCGTATTGCACAGATGCCCTGCTGGCGTTGAAAGCAGAGCGTAAGTGATTTTATTCGCAGGGTGACTATCTCTAACAACGAGCAGCCTTGTATAACCTCGAAATCACCTGGGGTTTCCAGCTCCTATTCGCATTGAGCAGTCAATTAATCGGCATTTCCCTGGCTGGAATCTTTCGTCGTTTCGTTGTCTGGTATGTAATGAAATTTTCAGAGTCTTCTTTATCACCGCTGATATGTCCAGGCCGGCGGCCATGATATGGCCCACGCAATTTGCAAACACGACCTTGTTCTATGCTCTCCACGATAAGAGCTCTTCAGATCCATCCAAAACCAATGGGTGGACTATTTCGCGTTACAGATACTTCATGTATGTCATGAGTGGGATGTTTCTATGGTACTGGTAAGTTTGCACAAGTTCCAACCCTGCTTTTCGTCCAAAGCTAACGCCATTAAAGGTTTCCGGGTGTCATCTGGCAAGGGTTGTCTGTCTTTGCCTTTGTAACTTGTGAGAGCTTTTATTTCAGTTTCCAATGCCTGGAAGCTAACGCATCTACCTCACAGGGATAAAACCAAATAATGTGGTCTTGAATCAACTATTTGGCGGGTTCACTGGCCTTTCGCTCATTCCGCTCACTTTTGATTGGACGTGAGTCTGCAAACCCAAGCTTCGCCTTCTTCTCTTTCTCTAATATCACAAAGTTATGTGTCCGCCTACCTTCTTGACCCATTGCTTGCACCAGTCCACGCATTGGTCAACACCATGATCGGACTTGTGGTGTTCTTAATCCTCGCAACGGTTGGAATCGCTTATACGGGAGCTTTGTACGCCACATTTCCACATCTCACCTGACAAAGGCTGATCAAAGAATAGGTATTCCGAATACCTCCCAATCAACACAGCCACCACGTATGACAACAAACAGAAAATTTATGATGTGCAACGCATTCTAGGGCCAGGCTTCTCATTTGACGAACAGAAATATAAAGCATACTCACCGATGTTCTTGGCGCCAACATTTGCATTGAACTACGGATTATCATTCGCTGCACTTACAGCAGCCATCGTTCATATTACCCTTTTCCATCGAAAAGAGATCTGGCATCGGTTCAGAGCTGCTCAGAATCAAGAGCCTGACATCCATTTAACACTGATGAAGAAGTATAAAGAAGCCCCTGAGTGGTGGTATGCAGGACTTTTTCTCTTTTCAATGGCTCTAGGACTGGCTTGTATTCTGGGTTACGACTCAGAGCTTCCCTGTGCGTGAATTTTCTCGCCCCGCAATCATTAGTGCTAACCAAAAGCACAGGGTGGGGATTCTTTGTATCTGTAATAATGGCCGTTGTGTGGATTGTAGGTGTCTCCTCAGATTGGGTGATCACTGCTAACATAGAAAGGTTCCGACTTGCATGATTTACGCAATTAGCAATATCGTGCTTTGTGAGTATATTCCAATGCGCTGGGGGTCTAAGTCTAATGTATTTAGCTCTTAATGTGTTGTCTCCCTTTTTGGCAGGGTTCATGATCCCCGGCAAACCGATCGGAGTCATGGTCTTCAAGGTTTTCAGCACAATCACCCTTGGACAGGCGTATGTTCTTCTTTCCCCTGGCACTTCCCAGGCTAACCTCAATTCAAGGCAAACATATTGTTCAGATCTCAAGGTAATTCCAAACAAAATGTGCACTTTTTGGTTTTATTAACTCCTCTTAACAAGCTGGCGCATTATATGAAACTCCCGCCTCGGGTTACTTTCATGTGCCAAGTCATCCCCACAATATGGGCGTGTTTTGTTCAGATTGCTGTCATGAACTGGGTTCTGGGAAACATCGAAGGGGTTTGCAATCCGTGAGCCAGTTCAATATCTTCGCAACACTAATGAGCATGTTACTGATATGAATCCAGTGAACAAGCAGCACATTTCACATGTCCGAATGGCAGGGCGTTCTTCTCGTCTAGTATCGTATGGGGTCAGTATTATCCTTGTTTCTTGCTTTATACCAAATAATTAACTACTTCCATAGGTGTCATTGGTCCGAAGCGCATGTTTGGACCCAGTGCAATATACGCGCAGATTCAGTGGTTCTGGCTGCTGGGGGCACTTTTACCGGTGGCATTCTATGTTTTGATGCGAGTCTTCCCCCGGTCTAAAGCTCGCTTCCTCAATGCTCCAGTGTAAGTTCGAAGCCTTTTGCTTGATTGGGCGTTACTGATTTGAAACTAGTATGCTAGGTGCAATGAGTTGGCTTCCTCCGTGAGTGATCCGACATATATCACTGTAGAGACTCAGTTGACTGATAATCTTTAGTGCCACCCCACTGAGCTACTCTTCCTGGGTCATTTTTGGTCTCCTCTTCAACTATTGGATCCGACGTCGATGGGGTGGCTGGTGGCATAACTATAATTACATCACAGCTGCAGGACTTGATACCGGCCTTGTTCTGTCCACGATTGTCATTTTCTTTGCTATTACGCTTCCTAATGTCTCTGCTCCGGCATGGTGGGGTAACAGTGCTCCGTTTGAAACAATGGTAAGTGCATGATTCAGCTTCTTTGCGTATTCCAGTCTCATTGAGTACTTTCAGGATTACTTGTCCACTGCCCTTCGAAAGACAGTATCAGGCAAAGAAACTTTTGGTCCATCAACCTGGTGAGCAGCATTTTGGTACTTTCAATGTCGATTGTCAATAAGTGGTGGGACAATTCCAGACCGTTGGTCACTTATGGAGGCCGGCAAACAAAGTCTTGGGATGAGACATCACACCCGCCATTGCATTTGGAAAGCAGTCAAGTCATTTTTTCGAGTTATTTGTGGAGAAGAGGGCTAGTCGTGCGGCCTTGATTGTTTGTGACGTCACTCCAATTGTGGATGGGTTGCAATTTGAGTGGCGCAGCTGGGCAAGACAGATGCTTTATCCCACAAATTTCATGGGGGTTTCCAATTTAGGAAGGAATTTTAGACAATGTCCCTAATTTTGGTGTCCCTTGGAACCGTCGAGGGAAGTATCTATTGTAGATATGAACTCAACCCCTCTATTCCACTAGCTTGAAGACACACAGAAGCTTGAGAAGCAATTCGGCAAACTGTAGACTGCTAGCCGGTATGCGGCATTTCGATCAATGATGACGGTCCAAGTAAAGATGAAAACAAACAGTAACGGGCTGAAATATCAACTAATCCCGTACAAATTACGGGTATTCGCTGAAAAGACCAGGGTGCCATGGAGTGGTCGCATATCGCGGTCACATATATTTTGGCTCTTGGCAATGATTTTCAAGCGAATACATCAATATTTTCTAAGGTACTGTTGTAGTTTACATGAACGAGGACGGGCTTCTTGTGAGTTTGGAAGAACCTCGCATCCGTGCTCAAGGTCGACGCTACAGCTTACAATATACGAACGCGAACAAGATAACGAAACCCCATATATTCCTCTTCTAGATCAATTAAATTTCCCAGCCCATTGATATAGCATGTTCAGAAGGCAGATCATTCCGCCAACCTCTCAGCACCTTCAGATAGTTCATCATCTTCCACATATTCAATGCCTAGACATGGATTAGCACTGACTCAAAAGATAATGATTGTTCGGAAGAACGGACTCTCAATTTCCCACCCGTTCCAGGTCTGAGCATCTCGTTTTGATGCACCCGAACTGCTGCTCTGGCTATTTGCAAAACGAACCAAGCACCTGGCTACATTGTATTGGACAGTCCAACCATCTGGTTTGATACCGCTGCCACTCGTCTTTTTGCAATAAGCATTATAAGGCTTTTGCGCACCTTGGTCTGTTCCATCCGAGTTCACAGCTCTACCAGGGAGTTTATACACATCTTCCTGGTTGAAATGGTTCACTGCGCAGAGAATTGAGTCCATGTCCAGAGGTCCCACGGATGTCGGGGTGTACATTGAAGGCTTATTGGCACCCCACCAGTCTGCGGACGTCAGTGAGCTCTGTGGCTGGATCCATGAAGTTTCATAGTCTCGCTTGAAAGCCCACGAAACTTGGTTGTTGCCATTCTTTGGAGATCTATGTTAGCGTGGGCCTTAATCCGTGGCCAGGTAATACGTACTTGGATACCACCATCGGGGGGTGGCATGGGCTCGCCATAGTCCTGCAACTGCTGTTGATACTTCTTCGCGTAGGCTGTCCCACTTGGAAAATCGCCTGCGGTTTCCCAATCTGTCGAAGAAGATAGAATTAGACGGGGACGAACGTCACAAATGAAGAGAATGGGAACTAGGGATTTGGAAACTCACAGGTGGAGCGCCAGGGAACCCAATAGTTTCGCATTTCAGAATCCGAACGCGGCTCAGGATCCAGCTGTTTCCAGTTTGATGTAAATTCACCCATCATCTCTGCATCTTGTCAGCCAACTTGCGATGTTCGAGTTCAAGCCATAGAGAGGGAAGGGCTATTAGATACTTACTGACACAATTCCCATGCCAGGTATTCTGGAAAGTAGGGACGCACTCGGTCCGGCGTTGAGCTTGGGGCAGCCAAGTCCCCCCCTGCTCGGTCGAGGCCCAGGGGAATTCATCGCATTGTAATTTGAGATTCTTTCTTCGAACGGCTTTGTTCGGCGCATTCGTCTCCTGCACAGAACATTTCGTGTCCGTGCAGACCGACTGATGCCGCTTTTCAACCCGTGCACCCCCCTTGATCTCCCTGGAGTACGTGAACTTCGTCCACAATGGATCAAGCTTAACGATCCCATCGCACAGACCGGGCACTTCGTAAGTGAGCCTTTCGGGGTTTCCATAGGCATCCAATACATCGTTTATCACCAAATATCGACTAAGCCAGGCACAATTGACTGGTGATTTGTATATAGTGAGAAAAAAAGTGAAAGCATAAGGTGTAAGAGGGAGACAAGCGGGATGAAAAGACGAGAGGAATCCAGTCATCATCGCGGAACTCACATCGCAATTCTGGTAGTCTGAATCCAGTCGACCCAATGGGGCAGTGGCCCCTATCGGTAAACTCTGGAATTTTGGGATCTATTTGGCATGTGAGCTTTTTCTGCCCAGCTAGAACAATTCGTCACCGGTGGTGAATTGCATACCCATGTCCACATCAGCCCGACGGAAAATTGCCGGGCCCGGTGTCAGAACAGACATTGTGCTATTGGAAAACATGTCCAACTGAGGAAAATTGGAATCGACGCCTCTTTTATCCACGTCTGGTGCAGACATCGGGGTCGTGCCTGTGTTCTCATATAGTTTGATCATCTTGGCAGGAGAATATGCCTCGCGATCCCCCGTCGCCCAGTCAATGAAACCGAGGATTTTGGCCTTGGCTTTGTACCCCACATTGTAGTACAGGTAGGTTCCAAGCCGGTAGTGGAAAGCATTATCAGAGGTGTCGTAGTCACCGTGTGCCTGGAAAGAGAGATCGGTGTCGACGTAGCCGCTAAGCTGGGCATCCATTAAGGTTTTGCCCCCGACAAGGCTGCCGCCGCCAATTTTGATTCCGACATTAGCTTGAGGTGTTATGACAACATCAATCTGTGCGTCAACGCCAAGGCCAGCATGAAAGACGGGTTCAACTTCACCAGGGCTGGGTGATTCGGTCTTGCTTTCAAGACCGAGTGTGTTAGTATACTTCTCCTGCACATCCTCATCCTGTGGCCAGAATACTTCAGCTTTTCCAAAGGACATTCTTGCTCCAGCGTCGAAAGATCCATAAAGAGTGATCTTGCCTTTGATCTAAATGATAGATTAGCGTCAGATTCCTTGATATTCAATGAGAGTTAAGGGTCCGCCGCCAGTAGTTACCTGACCATACACATCCAAAGTGGGTCCGACAGCAGCAATCTACTATGGTGTTTTGGGGGTGCGCCGCTCGCTTACATGCGCCACTCGCTTTCCGATTACGTTAATCACTGAGCATGTACTGAGCACGCACTGAGCACGCACTAAGCACGACTAAGTATATACTGAGTACGCACTAAGCACTCACTGAGCGTTAGTCATCGGTCATATGACGGGACTAAGCATGATCACTGAGCCTGAACCCATAAGTTACTGACGTCTACTTAGTGATCCTAAGCCTGAGCGCCCTCATAAAAGCGGCGGTAGCCTAGATAGGAAAGGCTCCACCCGCCAGACTTTTTCCTATGTAGATAGGTACCACTAGGTATCACAAATGCATAGATGCTCCTAGATAAACCCACATGCTTATCACTCTCAATCATAAGTCTCACTAACTCCCTCCCAATGCATCACATAACATTCCATAATACTTAATTATACTTCACTCTCACAGGAATTTCAGAATCCTCAGGCAAAGCTACCCAGCGACTCTTATACACGCGACCATCCTTCATAACACCCAAAACATATTGTTCCGGTTCATCAAATATAGTCACATCCTCCAAAGGATTCTTGCTCAACATAACGACATCGGCATGGAATCCCTCTTTGATTTGACCGATCGCATCCTCCCACCCCATCATCTTGGCAGGATTGATTGTTGCACTGCGAAGAATCTGCAATGGCTTCAAGACCTGCGACCGTAGGGCAAACTCGTGTGTCTGAGCCGAGCCCAGCGGACCAAGCAAATCAGAGCCATAGCACATTGTGACACCCGCTTCGGCAGCAATCTTCAAGGCTGCGAGACCGGACTTGAGCACTTGTGAGTTCTTTGCCTGAGACTCGGGTGGCAAGTACCCCTTCCACTGCTCCGACGCCATCTGCGCATATGCAATCAGGGTGGGTGTCAGGTACACACCCTTGTGTGCCATCATCTTGGCGGTCGGCGCATCCACGAAGTTGCCATGCTCAATGCCTTTGACGCCGTTGTCAATACAGTGCCTGATAGCCTTCACCGTATAAGCGTGGGCAGTGACAAAAGTTCCCGCATTATTAGCGCACTCCACCATCGCTTGAATCTCGCCCGATGTGAACTGCAAATGCTCTAACTTGTCCGTTGGGGATGCCACACCGCCAGAACCCATAATTTTGATGAAGTCTGCTCCACAGCGGATTTCCTCGCGCACGGCAGCCATGCACTCGGGGACACCGTTGCACATGCGTCCCAGGTGGTTATTGCTATGGTTCCCTCCACAGCATTCAGTGGGCTCGTGTGATCCGCGCAGATCGCCGTGCCCACCGAATTGGGACAGGGCATGGCCGGAAATAAACACACGTGGTCCAGGGAATACACCATCCTCGATGGCTTCTTTCAAGGCTAGTTGTGCTCCGCCACAATCTCGGATGCTGGTGAAACCACGATGCAGCATCTGGGCAGCGGTGTAGGGCTGCCGGAGCAAGTGGACATCGTTGGGGTTTCCAAAGGCTTTGGAAAGATCACTGAATCCAGGTACGGCGCAGAGATGAACATGAGCGTCAAACAGACCTGGGCAGAGGTAGCGGCCTTCACAGTCGATGATCGTCAGGTCGGTTGGAAGGGGCTTTGGCAATGATGAAGAAACTGATTGGATTTTGCCTTCCCGGGTGATCACAGTCGAGTCCTTCAAAATCTTCCCCGCTTGAACGTCGACGACATTGGCATTTTTGAAAAGGTAGCCTTTGGGTTCTGGACGGGCCCAGGGCTTGATCTGGGAGTCTGCTACGTCGGACATGATAATAGAGAGCGAATTGAAATGAATCAACAATGAGGGGAGATAGCAGGAAGACGTGGCCTGTATACTAAACCGAGTGATAGGGATGTAACAGTGATCGCATTTCTGGCCGAATGAGCGATCGGGAAGATGGTCGACGCAGGCCAAGTTGCCGACGTATCGTCATCGGCTATGCCCCCGCCTGTGTTGTTTATCAGCGCATGCTGATCCTTTCCATATCTGCCAGAGATGGGGAGATCATAACGCGGGCCTAATTCGGGGTCGACAAGCTGACCCAGGGTTGTCTCCGTTTATTATCTGCATTGCACGGGTTAAGCAGCTTAGATGTTACACTTTCGTCAAGCTCAAATAGTACCTACTGCCCTTTTTAATTTGCCATTCTGTGCAACTGGAACGCCGACACCTAGCCACCTCTCAACATGGACAGCGGCAAGGAACAAACGTCTTTTAAAGATGAAGCAGCCCTAACTAGCGGCGAGATCGTGGGTGTATGTGAGGGGTATGAGGGGTACACTGCTGAGGAGGAGAAGGCCGTTTTGCGCAAAATAGACACGGTCATTCTACCATTTGTGAGTGTTCAGCTGTGTCTGGAACTACGAGGTAGCTAATAGGACGTAATAGATGTGCTTTGTCTTCTTTCTACAGTACCTGGACAAGCAAAGTCTGAGCTATGCAGCAGTTTTCGGGCTCATAGATGATCTAAACCTGACCAGCTCACAGTACTCGTGGACGAGTTCCATCTTCTACATTGGCCAGCTCGTCTCCGAATATCCCTTCATCTATCTCATGAGTCGGTTGCCACTCGCCAAGTTTGTCGGAACCACGATGTATGTGTCCTCCTCCTTGAAACTTTCGATAATTTTGCTGATAGATCTGCAGCATCATCTGGGGGGTCATCTGTATGTGCCTCGCGACACCGAAGAACTTCACCGGTTTCGCCGCCGTCCGTTTTCTTCTCGGATTCAGCGAGGGCGCTGTCTCTCCTGCATTCATTACCATCACCAGTATCTGGTATCGCAAGAAGGAACACACCGTTCGCACTGCGCTCTGGATTACCATGAATGGCTTGGCTCAAGTTATAGGCTGCTTGCTCATGTACGGGATTGGCAAGAATGGGTCCTTTTCCCTCGCTCCCTGGCGTATTTTGTTTATCATATGTGGTGCGCTGACCGTCGCGGCCGGTCTTGGATTTTTCATGTTGATGCCCAACGGACCCAAAGATGCTTGGTTTCTCAACTCGCGCGAAAAAGAAGTACTTTCCTTGCGTTTAGCTCAAGACCGTGAAGGGGGAGATCAAGACATCATTCTCCCTTACACATCTCAAGGAAGCAATGCTGGATCCCAAGGCGTGGATGGTCTTCTGGTTTGGTGTGCTTGTGACGATGCAGTCGCCAGTGTTGACTTTTGCATCCCTTGTCATTGAGTCTATTGGCTATAGCAAGCTCGATACGATGCTATATACTGCCCCTTCGGGGGCTGTGCAGGTGGCCATGCTTTGGATTGGCACCGCTCTGGTTTACTTCGTCCCTCACCAACGGACCCTGGTTGTTTTGGTCCTTATAATTCCACCGCTTATCGGTTGCGTATTCTTAATGAAGCTTGACGTGGGCGCCCAATGGGGCCTCATCGTGGCTTCCTGGATGGTAAGTCCTCTGTCTTTGAAGCAAATCTCTACACATTATGTTTTCTAACACTTCACTCAAGTCTTCCTGTATCACCGCGCCCTGGTCAATTCTTCTCTCCCTCTCGGCTTCCAATGTCAAGGGCAATACGAAGCGTGCTATTGTCAACACGATGTTCTTCATCGGGTACTGCGCCGGTTGCATTGGCGGGCCCCAGCTTTGGACCCACAAGCCACGCTACACTGAGGGTGTCATTACTGGTATCGTGACTTGGTGCTTGCTGTTTGTCGCCGTCATTGTCTATCGCTTTCTCTGCGCCCTGGATAACAAGAACCGGGACGCAGGTGTAATTTCTGGTGGTGACATGGGTCGGCAGATCGAGCTGGACCAAAATTGGTTGCCCAAAAACGATTTGACCGACAAGGAAGACAGGCAATTTCGGTATGTATGGTAGAACGAGTTCATTTTTATTTTATACATTCACCCGTGAAGCACTCAATCTCCCATTCGTAAATACAAAGCCGATTGTGATATCCACCGGGAGGAATCGAAGCTGTCCCGCTGGCGGCAACCCTGGTGGATCGAAGGGTTTGACACGCCTCCGTCGAGACAAATTTGACGGTATTGTTTATAGCGTCCCCTGACCTGCAGTGGTATGTTTTGCATATAGGTTCGTGTACCCGTACCGTTCCACTGCCAGAGCCACCACTATGGGTGTTTCCGTAGATGTGATGTTTGTGAGTGAACGATTTATGTAGAAACGAGACGCACAATTCCCTAGGCCGAACCGATGTAAACAAAGGTGGAGTTCCGGACATGTGATGCAGGTACATGTGTTTCCACCTCATTCCATCTTTGGTTCCAACTTCATCTGACCCCCGCTTTCAACTCCGCTTCACCCCAGCTTTGGAGAAATCAATCATCAGCTTAAATAGCCTTACAAATTCTGTCTTAAGACATCAAAAGCATCTTCATTGAAGAATCCCGAGAAATTGCGAGGTATGTTGTCCACGAGGGGCTCGACCTGGGCGAAGATCGACTTCGCCCATGGACAACAAGATGTTTACGACCATTCCAACAATCCTAATGGAGTTGTGAGCTTTGCAAATGCTGAAAATGTAACCTATTGTCCGTGAAATTGTTGGAAATAACGAGACCGCTAACGAGAAAGACAGTGGCTGCTTCATGATGACCTGTCGGATTACATCAATAAACAGGTGCGTAATAACCAAAGCAAAAATAAACCTCCCTATGACTGACAATAAAAAGAGCTTTGACAGGCAATGCTGTGCATATGGTGAAGGCTACACAGGGACCCTACGAATGCGATCTGCGATGGCGAAGCACCTCAACAATCATTTTAAGCCAGTAATGGCGATCGATCCGGAGGAGATTACTTTTGCGGCTGGAGTGACAAGCCTGAACGAAGTCTGCGCCCTTGCCTTATGTAACCCGGACGACGCAATTATGCTCCCTCGGCCTGTATATGGGGCCTTCTACCGAGATCTTGGCACTAGGACCGGGTAAGATGCCAGTCACGAATAGCCAAAGCCACGCTGATTAATATCCTTCCAAGCATACATCTAGAATATGTTTCCGTTGGAGATGAGGATCAATTTTCAACTGACTGTATCGCTGCTCTCGATGCTGGATTCGAAACTGCGAAAGCGCGAGGAAGGAGTATCAAAGCATTAATAATATGCAACCCGCACAATCCGCTTGGACGCTGTTATCCTCGGGAGACTTTGATCATGCTCCTTCGCCTATGTGCCTCAAAAGGTATTCATTTGATCAGCGATGAGATATATGCTCTTTCGGTTTACCATAGACATGACCGGCCGTCGGAAAATTTCACATCCGTACGCTCTATTGACTTCACTGGTATCATCAACCCGGACCAGGTTCATGTCCTCTACGGAATGTCAAAGGTAAGGCTAGGTGACTCAAATATATAAAAAGGATAATTGAATTAACTTCGACACAAATAGGATTTTGGTGCCGGTGGAATGCGCTTAGGCTGTGTTATATCGCAAAACCCTGAGTTCACTAAAGCGACACGAGCTGTTTGGTGAGACTCGATATATCTAAATCAGTGCTTTGGAGAATCGCAACAAGCTAATTCTCACATCATATTTCTAGCCGCTTTTCTTCTCCTTCTCAATTCTCTATGAGCCTAGCAGCAGGAATGCTTGAAGACCAGGACTTCATCGGAAAGATTTTACGCAAATCCCACGCTCTTCTACTTAGAAACCGCTTGCTAGCAGAAGATCTCCTCAATCAGGCAGGTATTAGCTTTCACAATAAAGGGTATGTGAAGGTCATCAATAATTTTAGTGATTTTGATAATCTAACCTCGAATAATCATAATAGGAATGCAGGATTATTCGTGTGGCTTGATTTGAGCGCGCATCTTTGTATTGAAGATACTAGTGGGGATGCATGGGCTGCTGAGAGGGTTCTCTCCCGACGCTTGAAAATGGCTGGTGTCATAATGTCCACTGGTGAAGAATACCATGCCGAAGAACCCGGGAGGTTTCGGCTTGTATTTTGTGTGAGCGAACAAACACTGAGAGAGGGCATTCGAAGGTTAGTTCCATTCATACTGTGGCTCCGAACCTTGAGAAAGAAAATCCGTGCTGAAGAGGGGTTCACAGGATATGCACTCTATTACGAAACTAGAGTTGAGGCGCTAAAAATTCCGGCACAAACATAATTCCTTACGAGCACTGGATATCACGGGGTGAAGATCTATACCGGCTCTATGGGGTCTAGAAACCTCGCTGGATTTATTGTTGACTTTTTAGAGGAGAATTTTGTGCGCATGTCTTGTGGAGTTCTGATTCTGGATACTACCCATGTTTGAGAGTACTCGCGTAATCTTATGGTTTTTTTTTTTTTTTTTTTTTGGTTTTTTCCTCTCCGTTTAAACCGTCAAGAAGAAAGTAAATTGAAAGACAGCCCAGCACCATGTACCAACAAGTTTAGGGAGCATTACTCAGGCGAGAAAGTACCATGAACTTATCTTATAATAGTAAGGCGAAAGGGTCTATTGTTTTACATAAAATTATTGACCAGTTCTCTCTGGAGTAGATATGTAGTAAAAATCGGGTATCTAGATCTGGCCCTTGATAATATCGGCCGCTCGCTCAGCGATAGCGTATACGGTACTCTGCAGGTGTCCGCAAACCTGGAAAGGGATAACAGAAGCATCCACAATGCGGATGTTGGAGGTGCCGTAGACCTTCAACGAGCTGTCAACAACACCGCCAATATCCTTCGGCATCATCGCAGCTGTGCTAATGGGATGGAAGTTCGAACGGACTATGAAGTTATTAGCACCCAGCAACCAAAGCAGAATACAACGTGCACATACAATTGTTCTTGATGAACGACGACCATCCCTGGTCATTAGCGTTCGCAGCAACGGTAGAGAAACCGGGTTTAGTCTCAGCGCCGGCCATATCGGCAAACGGCTCCGTCTTGAAAAGCTGACGAATGAAGCGAGCGGCCTGGATCTGGGCGTGGAGATCGAAATCGAGCATGAAGTACTTCGGGTCAATGGTGGCTGCAGCGGTCGGGTTGGCGGAGGAGATGTGGATGTTTCCACGGGAGAAGGGAACGGAGCCCCAGTACTCAGTGCCCATGGTAGTCCCGGATGGCTCGACGAGGACCTCGGCAACGGGAATGTGCGACTTGAATATCAGGTTCCACTGGATTTTGAAGAAGCGCTCGATGTCAGCCGCCTTGGTGACGTTGCCGTTGGCGGACGCGACTTGGGCGGCGTAGGCAGGGAGCTTGCTGAGAAGCTGGGCACCGACAGCCGTGGCGTTGGAGAACAACTGAGTCACGGAGGGGTATGCAACATAGTCCGCGAGATTTGAGTAGCTTGTTTTGGCATCATAGGTAAGACCATTGTTCATCTGATCTTGGAGGTTCTCGCCGACCGTTGGCAGGTTCACTTTGGTGCCAATTCCATACTTTGAAAGGATGCTAGAGGCAAGTTAGTTATAAGGCTGTTTTCATCTTTTGAGAAAGGCCACATACTCTGGGTTTCCAACACCGGAAAGTTCCAGTAAAACAGGGGACTTCAATGCACCTGCAGCGAGAATAACCTCACGGGAAGCCTTGACAACAGTCGTGGTGCCATTGGCCAGGGTAACTTCAACGCCATCAGCAGTGGCCTCATCACCAGTCTTCCAGGTGAGCTTGTTCGCGTTGGTGTTGAGCCACACGTGAAGGTTGCTCCGAGCCTTGTAAGGATAGTAGTAGGCGCGGGCAGCGTCTTCACGGATGTTCAATTTCGAATCAACTGTCTTTGGGTAAAGAGCGTATCCGATCATTTTGCCTCCATTGGGATCGATGTTGTAAGGGACAGGAACAGGCATGTTTGGATATGTCGTGTTCAACTTCTGGGCGAGTCCATCGTTCAACTGCGTCTCGGACCAGCCAACTTTCAGGGGACCATCGAATCCATGGAATGCTGGGTCATATGCGACGCCAGAACCTTCCAACCAAGAGTAGTTGGTTCCCTGAAAATGTTCACCCTTGCGGTAGTAAGGGAACAGGTTCTTCCAGTTCCAGTCCTTGTTGCCAATTTCCTCCCACGCATCGATCTGAGCACTCTGCGCACGGAGATACACCATTCCGTTGATGGTAGATGTTCCTCCAAGCGCCTTTCCAGCACGCACCGTCTGGGGATAGTTTCCAGCATATTCCTGATCCACGGTCTTGTAGGCCCAATCAATGGCGGTGCCAAATGCTTTTCCATATCCAGTCGTGGAGGTCACGTTGGGGTTGTTGTATACCGAGCCTCCAGCTTCGATTACTAAAACATTGATATCATCGTTTTCGGAAAGACGGTTGGCAACTACCAGACCGCTTGTGCCACCTCCGACAACGATATAGTCATAGGTAGGCTCAGCTCCACGAACGACATGGGGAACGGCTGCTGCCAGAGGGAGCAACGCAAGGCCTGCGAGGTTGCGCATATTGAGTACAGTACTTAAATGAGAGAAGAAAAGGTTGACTACTGTTGCCTCAATATTCTCCTAGACAAGGGAGTTGTATTTATACACGATGTTTGATGACACGGGAACGGGATTGCCGCACTCCACTTGCTCTTCACACCGGGAAAGGATTCCTTGGCTATCACTAATAATTCAGTCAGCATCCACGTACAGCTTTTTTGAGAACATTAGTGATGTTGCTCGAGCTGAAGCTCCACAGGTAACATTAGGATAGCCCGGAACATACATCAATGGGTAATCTTCGATGGGCCCGATATCGGGCCAAGACTAGCTAAGACCAATGCAAAGAACGATCAGCATATGAATCCAGGGCGGAGTAAAAATGGGTTCGAATTAAACACTGCCCCTTAGTGGTCGGGTCCGTCTTTTTCTTCTATGCACAATGCAGTCCGATGCAACCGAAATGCACGATCAAGGCTTGGAAGTGTGATCGACTGGGATACCTGATATTTTAGAAGGAGCTTCAAGCTTAGATACATCCTAATATCCGTACCTACTTTACTGGGCAAAACTTGCCTCAGTTCTTCCGACCTGGCTCAGACACCTACTGAGCCGTCGCCGACCACGGTTACGTCGATGGCTTCGGCACGTCGGCGCCGATCCTTTAACGGGACGGCAACCAGGGCCGAGGGAGCCATCTTTTACCGGTCGGCATGACTGCAACTGTGTGGAGTAACGGCTCGGGCTTGTTTCACCCGCTTCTAGAATAGGCTCGAAGCCCTTGAAACAATGATACCCTGCCAAGCGATGACAGCATGTATATCTGAGACACGCCTTATCACTATTGTTACAAGAGGGATATCACATGGCACTCGTAAGCCCCTGACTGGATGTGCAGAATTTTGCCATCCGAGTTAAAAAAAGTTTTGTGATGAGAGAAGCGGCGAAAATCTGATCTGATAAGATGGTTCCCGTGCTGGGAAAGTCGGCTGAACTCTATTGACCAACAATAAATCCCATAGCGCCAGTTCCGGGTGGTCCCATGTGCAAGTGGAACCGGCTGCTTTTTCACGTTCCCTTTGCGCTCTAACAGTGGAGAATCCGTATCCCAACCCATATCGCAACTTGAACTCTGCTCTATCAGGAAGCCGACATGTTCCGGGAAAGTTTGTTAACGACGATTTTTGGCAATAAATTACATTGACCCTTTTGAGGAGGAAAAGCCGGTATATTTTTGCAGGTAATATTGTGACACCCATCAATTTATAGTCAAAAAGGGACCAGTCACTGTAATTTTTGTAAAGGGAATTGTGCACTCACAGGATCGACACAATCGCTTGCGGCGGCTTGGTTAAACAAGCAATTGCCGTTAAATCTTAATGTTCAATATCCCGGTCTTGGATGTTCCTTGGTTAGGAGATTCTTGGAAAACCATCAAGTCGTTAAATTCGTAGATTGATATTCTTATTCAAATGGAGTCCTTCCGATCATTCTGTTCCATCGAGAGGCAAGATAGTGCGCCCATCCACTAACAAGCATTCACTTCGAATTAACCTGGTCCCTGATCACTGAACAAAGGTTTTGCACATATGTATCATGTAACTTGACGCCCCTCGAAAGCTGGAAATATGGGATATGGACGTTTTGCTCCCTCAAGTGATGGAGAAAAGAGATGTTGAGGTGCGGGAGTGGCATCATCGTGGATGGAAGAAGGCTGCTGGCGGTGGTCACAGAGGCCTAGAAGCAATCAGGAAGTGCATTTTGCTTTATTGTCTTTTCCCATACCTTTTCATTTGAGAATACTTTTTTGTTTGAGACAGTCTCTGTAGGTGAGCGAAGGGCAATTAAAAACCCCATCTTCGTGTCAAACATCTTGTCAAGAATATCACGAGGCTATGAACAGCCCTTTCCTATGTTAATTTTGAACCGAAATCTGAAGATGGGAACATGGCTTTTATCATCTCACTTGTAGCAAGGAGTCCCATGTGTGGCATTGCGTGAACATGACCCATTCTTGAGTCTCATCATTTCTTACAGCCTCCCCACTCCAAACTACATAATCATGGGAAGTTCCTTGCGCTTTGGGCTACAAGCTTTGCAGATCGCAGAGATCAATGAAGACAATTGCCGAGTGTGGATCTTGGACACACGTTCAACGCCTGTGCCGCGTCGTCTATCCGGCCTTGCCCGTCTCATCTGATAAGATGGGCGATCAGAGCTTCCCGTTCGCGATGATCTTAATCACAACAGTTGGATGATCATTCCCTCTTCAGGAATGAACAGCCCCATAGCGAGAGAGCCTTGATCGGTTTAAACTCCTGCGTTTCATTGATTGGTATTAAACTCAGTGAAAGAACCAATGCCTTGATTAAAGTGAAACTGTAATTTAGTATCGCCGTATGTAATTTTTGCTGCTTCCCTGCCCACCTTTCTGAGAGAGTTATGTAAGAGCTATAAATTGATAAGCTTCCCAACTTAACTGAGCCATCACCTCGTCAGAGCTCTTTTCCACTTAGATCTCACACCCTATCTGATTTCCATTCAAGATGACAATCGTGAACTTGAGCAACGGGAATGGCAACCATGCCAGGCCAAAGCCCATCATTTCCGCGGATGTTCTCATTGTCGGTACTGGCCCTGCTGGTGCCTCTCTAGCATGTTTTCTGGCGTACTATGGTAGGCTCATAACCATCAGACTGGCTCAAACGAATTTTCTAATTCGAGCTAGGTATCCGAGGAATCATGGTCAGCTCCTGTCCCACGAGTGCCGATACTCCAAGAGCGCACATTACCAACATGGCTGCCATGGGTGCGTTGGCTCGCCAGAAACCCTCTGTTGAATAATAACTAACACGAAGCAGAGTGCCTTCGAGACATTGGTCTAGATGTCGAATGCAACCGCCTTGCAACTAATGGAATGAACATGATGCACACTCGCTGGGCATACAGCATGGCAGGGGATGAATACGCACGAATCCACTCCTGGGGACACGATCCGAAACGCAAGGTATATTCAAACGAAGGCATTAATTGCACGTCTTGAAAATAAACTAACGAGTGACAGGGTGACTATGAAACAGCCAGTCCGTGCGACCCTGTCGATCTCCCCCAGACCCTCCTCGAGCCCATCCTCGTCCGATACGCCACACTGAACGGCTTCAGCTGTCGCTTCGACACCACATTCATCAACTTCGTCCAAGATACCGAGGGAGCCACATCAATACTCCGTGATAACATCACCGGAGCGGAATATAAAATTCGCTCGAAGTATTTATTCGGCGCAGATGGAGCTCGTGGCGAAGTTTTCCGCCAGCTCGGCCTTCCACTGGACGTGCGGCCGGACCAGGGCCTTGCATTCAATGTCCATCTAAAAGCAGACCTTTCAAGCTATATGCAGTATCGCACAGGCAATCTCCACTGGCTTTTACAGCCGGATAGAGAACACCCGCTTTTCGGGTGGGCGTGCATTGCGAGAATGGTCAAGGCGTGGGATGAGTGGCTTTTCATTGTTCTACCTGAGCGTGGAAAGGAGCTTGAAATTAACCCGACTAATGAGGAGTGGCTTGGTCGTATGAAAGAGTTTATTGGAGATGATTCCATTGATACGGAGATTCTGGGTGTGTCTAAGTGGCGTATCAATGATGTTGTTGCGGAGAGCTTTTCTAAGGGCAGAGTGTACGCTGACTCTCTTCCTGATTGTGATATCTCAGTTGCTAATAGGTTGGTAGGTTCTGTCTTGGTGATGCCGTGCATCGGCATCCGCCTTCGAATGGACTCGGTTCCAATACTTGTATACAAGATGCATACAACCTGGCTTGGAAGGTTGCATATGTTCTGAAGGGTAAGCTAAATTTAGGCTTTGGAGCTTATGGTCGTCTAACAAAACATCTGCAGGCCAAGCATCTCCCTCCCTGCTCGACTCGTACACCGCCGAGCGTCAACCTGTTGGTCGTGGAGTGGTCAGTCGCGCCAACGAGTCATTCCGACACCACGGCCCTGTCTGGGAAGCACTTGGAGTTACCCTGTCCACGCCTGAAGAGAGAACACAGGCACTTCACGAATTGACACTGCCTACACTGAAGGGTCGAGCTCGTCGCGCTGCTCTCCAGGCTGCCATTGAGGTAACGGAACACGAGTATCATGCGCTGGGCACTGAAATGGGCCAATTCTACCAAAGCTCTGTTGTATATTCTGCGGATGAAAATTCCTCATTCTTGTCTCCTGAGGTAGTTGCTAAAGACCGTGATCTGAGCCTCATTCGAAGCACATATCCTGGATGCCGCTTGCCTCACGTCTGGCTTAACAATGCAACTCCAGTGCAGCGCATTTCTACCATTGACTTGGCTGGAAAGGGTGCTTTCGCGCTATTTACTGGCATTGGAGGTGATGCTTGGAAGGCAGCTGCTTCAAGGGTTGCAGAGGACCTGGTTATTCAAGTCAAGGCCTACTCCATCGGTTTCCGCTCAGATTATGAGGATGTTTACTTTGACTGGGCGCGTGTTCGCGGTGTTGATGAGACGGGATGTGTTCTCGTTCGACCCGACAACTTCGTTGCTTGGAGATGTAACGAGGTGCTGGGGGATGAAGCTCAATGCGCGTCGAAGCTAGTTGAGGTCATTCAGAGCATTCTCGGTCAGTAAACAGAATATATCCTAGGTTCACTTTTATTTAAGATCATCAAATAAAATATGGAGTCCACGAGTTCATCTATCCTTCCTGAAAAACTTGGTTTCACCTATGAAGTCAATATGTAGGTTATGCATGTATCAGTATCAGGGACGCTGCAGCTTCGCTTGGCTTGTGCTTGACTGAAAGTATGATACGGACCATCGCCACATTAGTCGGGTTTTGCGAACAGTCGGAAACGGACTTTAAGCCGCCACCAATCGTTGTCGAGCATCGCAAGCTTTTACAAGGTACTGGGCTTAGCATAACAAGACCGCTGTCTTCTTCAGAACGTTGCCTTAATCGCAATCTTAAGTGATAAACTGCAACCGATGTGCCGATCAATACTGAATCGAGTTCTTCGCCGACGGTCGAAACACGTGGATCGGCTTACCACCCTGGTCCACAAGCCGCGGAAAATTCTTTTTTATGGGCTCTCAAGCACCTTAGTAAGGAACATCATGCCTATTGAGGACGTTTCATCTACCCAGCGGCATCATTTTCTTGTTGGGTCGGCTCCCACATGAAATGACGTACCTGGTGATGGACTTAAAGTCGTACAGTTCAGTCTCTCTGTAAAGATCAAACTCTGCAAAGGAGCGTCGTCTCTCCAAATTATACAATTTGGGTAATAGAGATTGCACTCTCCACCATGGAGAGCAGTCCCAGCATGAGGCCTGTGTCATCGGCACCCTCAGTCGCGGAGGGATTCTCACCTCTCCGTGAAGCGCTATTCGTCATAATCGTCTGCATGGCCCAGTTCATGACCCAAACAAACGTCGGGGTCTGTCTCTCCCCGCTAGACATTCTCGGAAGGAGCTTTGGTATCGATGATCCCGGCATCCTAAGCTGGTTTCTCGCTGGGTATTCATTGACCGTTGGTACATTCATCCTGGTCTTCGGCCGATGTGGAGACCTATTTGGCTACCGGCGAGTTTTCCTCTCCGGGTTCATCTGGCTTGCTGTATGGTCTCTAGTGGCCGGATTCAGTGTATATTACAACCACATCTTGTTCATCGTTGCGCGCGTTCTGCAGGGTATTGGGGGCGCTATGATGCTGCCCAATGCACTGGCTATTCTGGGTGCTACTTATCCACCTGGAAGGAAGAAGGCTATGATCTTCGCTCTTTTCGGGGCTGTTGCTCCTAACAGTGCCGTCTTGGGAGTCGTCTTCGGGGCGATATTCGCGCAACTTTCTTGGTGGCCCTGGGCGTTCTGGACTCAGGCTATTGTTTCCGTTGTTTGTGCCATTATAGGCTTCGTTGTGGTGCCTTCTATTCATCATGATATTCCACATGATGTGAGCACATTTATTGGTATCCTGAAGGCACTCGATGCCCCTGGTGCTTTCTGCGGAGTTGGAGGATTGATACTTGTGAATATTGCGTGGAACCAGGCCCCCGTCGCAGGCTGGAGCACACCATATGTTTACGTGCTTCTGATTATCGGCCTCCTCTTGATTGCCGGCTTCTTCCTCGTCGAATTCCGCTATACAGAACATCCCTTAATCCCATTTCACGCCTTCAGTCGCGATGTCTCATTCGTGCTGGGCTGCGTTGCTTGTGGATGGGGCGCATTCGGCACATGGATTTGGTACTTCTGGCGCTTCCAGATGGAGTATCGCCGCACAACTCCACTCCTAGCAGCCGCGGAATTTGTACCAGCTGCACCGATGGGTATTGCTGCCTGTTTTATCACTGGGATCCTTATCGCTCGACTGCAGCCGGGGTGGATCATGATCATGTCGATGACCGCCTTTACGCTCGGCAATATTTTCATTGCCATCACGCCAGTGGATCAAACATACTGGGCCTTGACGTTTGTCTGCCTGTTGGTGATTCCATGGGGGATGGATATGTCGTTCCCTGCCGCTACCTTGATGCTCTCGAACTCTGTGGAAAGGAAGCATCAAGGCATCGCGGCATCTCTAGTGACTACAATCGTCAACTATAGTATTTCGCTGAGTCTGGGATTTGCAGGCACGGTAGAGACGCATGTTAATAACGGAGGAATGACTCCGGAGGATACATTGAAGGGCTATCGGGGAGCACTATACTTCTCCACCGGCCTCGGTGGCTTGGGTATGGTTCTCAGTGTTATATTCACGCTGAAATGTTACTGGGAAGAGAGGAGGCCGAAGTCGGTCGAGAAAGAAAAGTGGCCTGATGAGGCGCCCTCAGCTGAGGGATTTTCGGGCGAGTAATTGCGACTCGCTCAATCGTACCATATTTTCCATCTCCACTGTTTGCCAAGACAGCCGGTTAGAGCGCCACAAAGTTAGAATTCCGAGACAACCGAATACGGGGGCATTCACCGCAAGCCGTAGGAGGTCTTTACATCATGACTAAAGGCTTTCAAGCTGCAGAATCTCATGTCAAACCGGGCCCGTGTGACAAGCAAGCAAGCTTTCGCATAAGCTTTAGCGCAAGCCCTTTAAAGTTTGCAGCGCAGGGTGGTTGAACCGACGCGGTTATCAATCGTATCCATCAAATCAATCAAATCAATCAGATAATCTCTGGCACCGTAATTTCCTCGGAAGCGCCGTTACCGGTGAGACGAAAACGGGCTTGGCGCACGGCGCGGAAAGTTCATATTAGGGTGGATCTTTACCATTTCCACGTGTGGCTCACCTGGTCATAACTGGCATTCGGGTAATCCCATTTGGATCCATCTCCGGAGCACCTGCGTGGAGCCCAACAGGGTTTGCAGTCGACCCCGATGGCCCTTTTTTCTCTCCAGGCCCTCTCAGCCGCCTTGTGTGTAAATGTAGGTGCTGATTTGCCGATGTCGGCAGCTAGTGCAGCTCAAATACTGAATCCTTGATTGCTGATTCTTTTTCCCACGAACTCCACATGGCACGAGGCGGGATACCATGCATGTGCGGCAGAAATCGGCTGCAAGTGGGTTAGGGTTCGGCGGACCATGGCAAAACACGAAAAGTTGAACACGAGACTGGATCGTCGGACGTTGATCAGATACCGCTGCGGCACTAGTAATTTTCACTCGGGCGGACCACCTAATTTCAGGGTTCGCACGGGCTCTTATCAATCACCGGTATTCCTCCTTCCCAAGGGTCACGTCCATCCCTCTCTTCTGCAGTGCAGGCTCTCTGGGAAGCGTTTTCAAGATGGGTCAAAATCAAGTGTTTGCCGTCACTGGTAAGTGAATGCGCTGTAATCGCATTGGTATATATCCGTGTCGGATACCGGCTGACTCGATGCGACCGCCCAGTGTTTTTCATTTGCTTCCGAGAATGTCTGGAAACCACCGTGGTTGTCTCGGTTCTGCTGGCCTTCTTGAAGCAGTCGTTGGGCTCAGGACAGGATCAAAAAACGTATAAAAGGCTTGTGAAACAAGTATGGCTAGGGTGCGGCTTAGGTCTTTTCATCTGCTTGGCCGTTGGTGCAGGCATGATCGGTGCTTTTTACGGCCTTGGCACCGACACTTTCTCCGGCACGGAGGACATTTGGGAGGGTGTTCTCGGTATCATCGCTTCCCTGATTATTACAATCATGGGCGCGGCGCTGCTGCGCGTTTCCAAACTCCAGGACAAGTGGCGTGTCAAGCTTGCTAAGGCGCTGGAGCACGAGGCCAATCCCAATGAGACGCGCAGGGGTCGTTTCAAGAGATATATGGAGAAGTACGTGATGTTCTTCCTCCCCTTCATCACGGTGCTGCGTGAGGGTTTGGAGGCGGTCGTCTACGTCGGCGGTGTTGGTCTGGGACTCCCGGCCACCTCTTTCCCTCTTGCTGTGGTGTGTGGTTTGGCGGCAGGAATTCTCGTGGGCTACATCATCTACAAGTAAGCTATCCAATACTTCTACGGAGCACTGAGCCAGAACTGATTCTTCGCAGGGGTGGACGAGAGACATCGATGCAGATCTTCTTGATCATTTCGACCTGCTTCCTCTACCTGGTCGCCGCTGGTCTGATGTCGCGTGGAGTTTGGTACTTCGAGAACCACGCCTGGAGCAAGGTCATTGGAGGTGATGCCTCCGAGACAGGCTCCGGTCCTGGATCTTACAACATCGACGTCAGCGTCTGGCACGTCAACTGCTGCAACCCCGAACTGGGCGGCGGCGGTGGCTGGGGAATCTTCAACGCCCTGCTTGGTTGGACCAACTCTGCTACCTACGGTTCGGTGATCTCGTACAACCTCTACTGGCTCGCTGTCATGATTGGCTATGCCCTGATGCTTGTTCGTGAGCGCCGAGGACCTCTGCCATACATCGACCCAGCCTTGCGAAAGGCGGCCAATGCCAAGGGACGGGCCAAGGCATTTGTGTTCCGCCAGAAGTATGAGCCTGAGCCTGACTATGCGTCTTTCCACGCAAGCGGTGCTATTGAGACCAGCGTACTCGGCAAGGAGAAGGACTCCGGTGCCGGTGTGTCTACCGTAGCTAAGTCAAGCTCTTCGGCTTAGACGGTTAAGCGGGCCCGATAATCGGAAGAGCCATGCGACTGGCAATAGTGGGAAGCTAGAAGCAGAAAAAATTCCCACAGTTCGCAGAAGCAAAATGAACGTAATTTTCACTTTCCTGTAATTTTGGTAAACCAGAAAAGGAATGTACCCTGTAGTGGGACGCGCGAGTAGCCGTAGGCTTAGCAAAGTTTAGAGGCCCGGGCCCCGAAGGCCCGGGCTTGGCAGTCTATTTGTTGCCTGGGCCCCCTTCGTGTTCCAGGGATGCAACATTCCTCCAATGGACGGACCACCAAGCATCAGATTATCACTGGACGGGACCTTGCCACCCTCGTCTCGCTAATCAATCGAACCCACACCGAGCGCTGATCTCAGTTGTTTTACAGCCCGCGTCGCTGCTCTGGAGCCAATATTCAAGGGTCTTGGCATTCTATATAGACCTGCGCCCGGAGTTTTCGCCAGCTTAGACCCCACCCCGTAAGGGCATGTGGACTCCTGAGAAACAAGCGAAGACAGGACCACCACGGCCCACTTTGGTATACTGCCACCTATCCCAGAGGCCTGAGCTACGCCCGTGAGCTTTGAAATTTTTTACTTTTTTACTTTTTTACTTTTCTAAACAAGCCCCACCGTGTACCACCGGACGGTAAGATCGATAATCTTATCGCGTGGTGCGCAGAAAGTTCAGCCGATGGGCCGACCTTGCGAAAACGGGGTTGGTGTTAGTCCCTGGGGTGGTTCCTCTAGGTCATTATTCTTGCTCCTACGACAGTTAGGTTCTTCTTTCTTCCATGCCCTCTCTTCCAGACAAGCACTGAAATCCTTGGACATGGCGAACCCCTTGGGAGGCCTGCTTTTGCGCCTCGCGGCGCTGCTTTTCTTCTTCCGCAGCTGCCAGGCCAAAACTGTCACCTATGATTTCAACGTCACCTGGGTTATTGCCAACCCGGATGGTCTGTTCGACCGAAAGGTCGTCGGCATCAACGGGCAGTGGCCCCTGCCTACCATTGAGGTGGACAAGGGTGACCAGCTCGTCGTGAACATGTATAACGGTCTTGGGGACAAGAGTACCTCCATTCACTTCCACGGGATGTTTCAGAATGGCACCAACAACATGGATGGCCCTTCTATGGTCACCCAGTGTCCCATCCCGCCGGGTAACTCCTTCACCTATAATTTCACCGTCAACCAAAATGGAACCTACTGGTACCACTGCCATACCGACTATTGCTACCCGGATGGCTACCGGCAAGCGTTGATCGTTCATGACACTGAATCGTACTTCCACGATATGTACGATGAAGAGTTTGTGCTCACGATGAGTGATTGGTACCATACCTTGGTCGAGGACATTGCTCCGCACTTTATTACTCTCGCGAACCCGACGGGCGCTGAGCCTATTCCGCAAGCATTCCTGGTCAACGATACGATGAATACCAGTATACCTGTGAAGCCAGGGAAGACCTACTTGCTAAGGTTGATCAATGTGAGCGCCTTCGTCGCCCAGTACTTCTATATCGAGGATCACACGTTCAAGATCGTCGAGATTGACGGGGTCTACGTTGACGCCGCCGAAGCCGACACGCTATACCTTGGCGTTGCTCAGCGGTACTCAATTCTCGTCACGATGAAGAATTCCACGGAAAAGAATTACCCCATCGTGACAGTCGCAGACTCCGTGCTTCTGGATGTTATTCCCTCCGACCTTCAGCTAAACTATACCAATTGGCTGGAATATAACGCGGATGCCGCACACCCACAAGCCGTGATGACCGTGGACACATCATCCGACCTCGTCCCATTCGACGACATCACCCTCGTCCCCCACGACAGAATGGAACTCCTCCCCGACGCCGACCTGACCGTCGAGCTGACAGTGATGATGGCAGACCTCGACAACGGCGCCAGCTACGCGTTCTTCAACAACATCTCTTACACCAAACCAAAGGTCCCCACTCTCTACACCGTGATGTCGTCCGGGAATCTCTCCACCAACGCCGAGATCTACGGAGAGTTCACGCATTCCGTGGTCCTAGGACACAACCAAATCGTCGACGTCGTCCTGAACAACGGCGACACGGGCTCGCACCCGTTCCATCTTCACGGACACAACTTCCAGCTCCTCCATCGCGAGCCGTCATACGGGGCACACTTCTACGATTACGCAAGCGCGAGTACCCCCCCGCTCACCTACGATCCATCTGACCATGCTGCATTCCCTCCATACCCAGCCCGTCGTGACACATTCGTCGCCCCGCCGCACGGTAACTTCGTCATCCGCTTCGTGGCCGATAACCCGGGTGTCTGGTTCTTCCACTGCCACATCGACTGGCACTTGGCACAGGGACTGGGAATGTTGATGATCGAAGCTCCTACGCAAATGCAAGAGCGGATGACTATTCCAGAAGGCGCATACGATACTTGCAGGGCTGCTGGTGTGGCCTACGAGGGTAATGCGGCAGCCAACACGGAGGACTTCCTCGACCTTAGCGGACAGAACAAGCAGGTCGCCTGGCTACCCGCTGGCTTCACTGCCAAGGGTATTGTGGCGATGGTGTTCTCGTGCGTGTCTGCCTTCTTGGGAATGGCGTTTATTTCCTTCTACGGAGCTACGGGCATCCAGTCTAAGAAACCAGAGGCAGAAGGGGAAAATCAGGAGGGGTCGGCTCCGACGGATAGCCAACGGCTGAGTCTGTAGATTCATGTGCATATAAATGTCAATGTTAGTGTTTTGTTTATGTTATTGCCGATATCGGGGCGTCCATTGGCTCCACTGTTCGATTCCGCTCATGAGGTACTCCAAGCCTTTGGTGTACTTGTCCATTTCCGGGCGCAAGGTGCCGCCGTTCTCCTGTTTGAGATCTTCGATGGATTGTTTGAGCACGATCTCCAGTTCTCGGCAGTAGGCGTACATCAGGCGCTTGCAGGCTGTGTAGGATAGGCCTGTCTCTTGGGATAGGATGTAGATTGCGGAGAAAGGGCGGGCTCCGTCGGTCGGGTTGCCTTGGTACACTTTGGATTCGCGGTCCCAGCTGTAGATGTCGTTCAATACGCCCATAAAGCGGAATGCACAGCTTTCAAGTGCGGCGGTCTGGGAAAGCTCTGGTGAGCTGAGATGCAGATCTGCGCCGAATCTGATGAGCGCCGAGTAGAACCTGGACGGGCTTAGTTAGTTCGAAGCATAACTTCATTAAATGGAGGATTACTAACGGTCTGCCGACATCGACCTCTCTATGCTCAAGGTATGGTCCCAGGTGCTTCACCGACATGCGTTCCTCAGTCGTCTGGGCTTGAAGGAGAGCGCAGAACCCTTCAACTAGACCACGCGCCAGCACATCATCAGTGCTTTGCATGAGCTGGAATGTGTCGAATAGCATCCATTCAAAGCACTTTTTTCTGTCTGGCTTGGATTGTCCTCGTACAATTTGAATTAATCGGTTTCTGTAGGATAGCATCTCCAGCAAATCCATCTTCTCCAGTTGGTCTAGATATTGTCAGCATAGACCTAGCACCATAGACGCATATTTTTGAACTCACCATCGATCAAAAGGATCAAGTAATGCAGCTTGCAAGTCATCTCAACTCGATCATCAAGAGTAAGCGGGAAGAATTGGCTGAAAGCACGAGACATTCCAAGTGCGAAGAACCCCTCCTTCTCCTTTTCGCTCGCAAACTCCCAGTGCTGGTCAAACCATGGCTCGGTCTGGGCTTGGATGGCCTCCCACCCTAAAGGGTGGATCTTTGATTCTAATCGACTCGGTGGAATCTCATACAGCTGGTGGTGGAGAGGGGCTTCGGAAGAATATCGACTCAATGAAGTGGTGATTTGCTTGAATGTTGAGTTTCTGGGCAATTCATATGGTCTCGGTCTCGGAATCCCTATGCGGAGACCGAGGGCCAAGTGTCTGGCGCATGCCCTTGAGAAGTGACGCATGTTCAGTTTGGAGGCATGTAGGGGGTAGGACCGTTCACAGTCTCCACGACTGTGGCGTCACTCGTATGGGACTCTCGATGTGGTGGTATATTCCCTCGAGGATAGCTTTGAAACCGTCCCTTGCTTTGAACGCGTTGCCAGCCAGGCGCCGATAAGATTGCGCACGTGCCACCGGGATTAACGGGGTTGATGTCACCGATAGCTGCCTTTGCGGGACTTCCCTTCTTACTCTGTTCTTCGACGCAAGTTCTTCCCTTTTGAGTAGATCAATCGATATCTCTAAGGGCCGTCCAGCTATAGCCTATCTTAAAAGGGCCCCTATACCATATCTACACCAGAGAATCCGACCGCATTTCCCGCCAATTCACCAGTATCGACGCCAGATAGCTTCACATGCTTCCTATGTGATCTACATATGCCGCTTGCTTCTACACCCAGAAGTAGCTTGAAACGGTTGCACGCAACTAGTCAACATTTGGTCGCGACCAGGGGCTATTCTACAGTCCACCCAACATCATCATCACCCATCTCAACAACATCCAAAATGACACCACCAAGCAATCACCGCGCCCCATGGCGCAGCATCCTCAACACCCATCTTGAACAAACACCAGGCTACGAATTCACTATTGCGACCGTGGGCCAAGATGCTCACGGCCGTACTGTTCCCCGCGTGCGCACCTGCGGCTGCCGCGGCTTCTTCCCAGAGCTCGAACTCCATCCAAAGGGCCAACAAGCTATGGATGAACAGGTTGAAGATGGTGGGAACCCGTCTGTGTACGAGAGTGATATGCTGTCGTTTACGACCGATATCCGGATGGAGAAATTGGGACACCTGGAAGAGTCGGGGCATGCTATCGAAGCTATGTTCTGGTTGACGGATATTATGGCTCAGTGGCGGGTTAAGGGGAGGGCCTACGCAATTGGGAGTCCCGAGAAGGATGAGGCTGAGCAGTTGTCCCGGCAGGAAGCTGCTAAGGGGCTTCGGGTGAAGAGTGATGCTAACGGGGATACGGCAAAGTGGACATGGGAGAAGGCTGTGACGAAGTATTTTGCAAACCATTCTCCTATCATGCGAGGTATGTTGCTTTCTTACACTGTTTAGTGCTCTGTTGGCAATATTGCCCGTTCTTGTTTTCCCCCTTTGAATGCTCCATGGCAAACATCCATGCATACCCGACAGGTCTCCCATTTAAGGTTGTTCTAACTATGACCACAGGTTCTTTCAAGAGCCCACCCCCCCGGGCAGCCACGGTCTAAAGCACCAGATGATCCAGCTTTAGGGTTGGGACAGAAAGTCACAGATCTTCATGATCCTGTTGCTCGCAAGAATTTCAGGGTGGTGGTCATCCAGCCCGAGGAAGTTGAGAGGCTGGATATTTCAAATCAAGAAGACATCAGGAGATGGAAGTGGACATTGGTCGACGACGGCCAACCTGGGAGTCATTGGGTAGAAACCGAGTTGTGGCCGTGATTCCTTCGTGAAGCCGACAATATATATGAATACTAAGTGAAGTTTGTATCTGATGCGTAAAGGCAGTGTTTTCAAGGCACGCGCCCAGGTGTTGGTGGCAAGTCCGTCTATATGTTCCCAATTTTGCATTTTAAAATGACTGCATTCGCGCTTTGAGCAAGAGAGTTCGCGTCTTGGGCATATAATATCTATTATATTTCAGCTGCGCGCCCGTTTGTCCTCCGTCAACACCCGTCTTTTCGGACTGTCGCCAACGGACAGGACATCTCGATCGATAGCATCGATAGGCTGTATTAAAAGCCTTCGCAATGGCCTTCTCAGAGGCCATTGAAGACGATAAACCAGGTGGGGATTCCTGACCAGGCTCTGATCCCCGCGTGCGATCGAATATCTTTCTGATATCATATTACAGCCAGTGCAGCAGAGACAGTCGATCGATTTGCCAGTGGCAAGCTGCGAGCCTGCCAACTGTGCAGTTCCAAGAAGAAGCGCTGCACGCATAGGGGCGGCGACCACGGCGTCGTCGGCGAGACCGACCTCACCATGAATACCAGGCTGCGAAAGCGAGAGCAAGGTGAAGCCTCCGTAAGAGAAACCCAACCTCACTTTCCGTCTTTATTCTCTCTGAAATTTCCCAAACTTACACTCATCAAGGTCACTGACACCAGCCACGCCAAAAGTCCTTCTTCACCTGCTTCCACATCTTCTACCACCGATACCAACGAGATGGAGAAGTTCAACGGGCGCCACAAGCGCTCGGTTTCAGTCAAGTCCGCAAGGAAGAATGCTGAGTCGACCGCGCCGGCAAAGACCGCCACTACCAAGACCACCAGGGCCACCAATGGCGAGACAGCCGCCTCGAATGCCACTGTCCCCGAGCCGCCCACCGACATGCTGAGGGGCTCCATTGCCCTGTCTGTCCATTCCGTCTACGCACATGAGCTTCAGCAGCGGCTGGATGATTTCGAGGCCAAGTTTGAGGCTAGTATGGCTGCACACGAAGCCACCAAGGAGGCTGCCCAGGCTGTTCGCGAAACTGTCCACGGCTGGGTCGATGCCTGGACCTCCGGCCGGTGAATTCATATGGTCAACAACGTGCATCCTCGGCGCTCTCATTCAGGGTCATCATAACGGTGCTGGGGAGTTTATTTCATCTGGGGGATTCATGTACCTACACCACGGAGGTAGTTCAAATGTTCATGTTCACAGAGAGTTCAAATCTCTTTCGTCTAGGTACGCGTACCTGAATCCAGTCCGAGAGGGCTCGAGCCATCACGTGCACGTGTACACGTGCGCGAGGGACGAGACAATAATTACTCGAACATTCAGCGAAGTTCCCTGTGCTTCCGTCCGAGCTTCACTCCCTCCGAATGCACACAGGAGTCGGTCTGAAACACAAGCACGATCACATCCTCGACCCTGTTCGCTCGGGGATTTCCCGGTGGCTTGACGGCTAGGCCGTGAATAGTTACCCAACGCGAGTGGGTTTCTCATGCATAGAGCTACCACTGTATAACCCTGGCAGGTTTGAGGTATGAACAAGGGCAGCGTACAGACAAGAATGTAAGGCCCCCGGGCTCCACAGAGAGAACGAAGCCAAAGTACAGTCAACCTCAGATTCCCCCCCGATGATCCAATCATCAGCTCTGATCGCAGCGACGGGGCCACCCGGTCTCCAATCCACGGCCTTTCCCGGTCTGCCGCCTCAAAAGGATCGCCCTCTGGCCCCATCCATGTCGAGATCCCCGGCGCTAGTATCCCCCGTGTATTTCCACCGACCCCGTGATCCCCGTGATCCCCGAGTCCCCGACGCCGACCGTTACGTGTCATGTCCCTCTTGGGAAAGGCACCGGGTCCATCGTGGTTGCCGCTCCATCTTGGCTCCCATTCCGGTGCCTTCTTGAGCCTGTCGCAGTGCTTCGTAGGAGGTTCTCGCGATTATGGATGTTCGACGATGCGATGACATAATCCCCGCGCCGTGCTGGGAGTGGTCAAGAAGTATTTGTCACGTTGAGGGCTCCGAAGGGTGAGGAATGGATGTTCAGGACATGCCCCATACTCTCGATTTTGATTGAGTATCTCGATGTGGATTTCAGAAGTAGATCCTCGTCGGAAACGTGGAAATTGTCATGCGTTCTTATTGCCTGCAACTGGAACTGTCAAGAGATGCACATCATGAGGAATCCACACCGCTCCTTGGGGAAGCGTAAGCTCGGTGTATAGTCCAATCAATCAGTCTATGTACTTTAGCAACAGTAGTACAAACAGTAGTACAAGAGTAGGGAGGAGGGCCGCAGCGATGCAGGCGGCCATGATATCCTTGTTTTGGAGGAAAGCCGCCGGGGACTGTATCAGCACGGGTACCAATTACGGTAATGAAACAGCCGGCCCAGACAGAATGACGGCCCAAAGATACTTACCGTATGATAACAGAACTCTGCTCACCTCTCTTTTTGATCCTTCCCCGTCTTTTTCCTGGCTTCCCTTTCACCCCTCCCCAAACTGCTACCCTTCACCATTTCTCCATCTTTCCTGCTCAGGATACTAGGGAGAAATACTAATATCTGCTGCCCGCTCCCGCCCCCTTATACCCAGCTTCGCCCTCACGATTCACGAACGCAACGAAATATCGGGAATACCCCCGGTCTACAACTACCATCACCTGTCGTTTTTAGTCGCTGTATACGCCTTGAGGAGGCTCCCGGAATTTCTCGCGCCGTTGATCGGAGCTTATTTGGCATGGCTATGACTATGGATGCACTGGGAGCCTTTTCCCACCTACAGTCGAACCTTCCCTCATGGATCACTCGTGTCTCCGAGCTTGCCGCTCATACTTCCGCCAAACACATGGAATACTCCGAAGCATACCGCCGACATACCACATACAAACCCCGTCGTCGAAAGAATAGCTCCGTACGCTCCATTCACACCGACGACTTCGCCCCGATTCCCCAGCGCGAGTGTCCTACCCAGGTAGCCGTTGAAATGTCCACCACGGTCGAAGATGCTACAACAGCCCCCCAACATGCCGGTCGCAAGCGCGGCGCGGACGAAACCTCGTCCATCGACTCCAGCGAGCGCCACGCCTTTGTCAGCACCCGACACAAAGTGATCATCGAGTACGACGGCCACACTCAGAAAGTACTGGAAGAAGTAGTACGCGACATCGGTATTGCCAGGAACAACATTCGACGCGGCAGGATGTTGTCGATGCCGCGGGTAGGGGCAGGTTACCGCGCAGGCCTGCTGAACAAAACTGTCAACATTGGTACAAACAACCAACCCGGAGGCGCGCCGTCGTCCATCTCCGGGCTGGCCTATGTTCGCAGCATGCGAACTGGAGGTGGCGTCGTGGGGGTCTCTGGGTCTAGTGCTAGCTTGCAAAAAGAGTCGCTCTTTGACTATGCGGACAAGCAGTTGGAGCTGGCTCACGGGCTCTGCGAGACAGCCGCGTACCAGGTCCTTCGATGCGGTGACTGCGGTACCGAACTGGACGGCGTGGAAGAGAAGTTCCAAATGCTACTGGAAATGGTCGACAACGAAGTGGAACGTCTCGAGGAGGAGAAGAAGAAGCAAGAGCAAGCGCAATCACCTCCCGAAGACAAGGAGAACGAGACACCCGTAAAGCCTCCTCAAACCTCGACCGCCGCTCGACTTGCCAGGGTCGCCGCAATCACCAACAAACAACCCTCGACAGACACACCCGGCACCATTGAAGTGGACGATGACGAGGCCATATCGGTCGAGTCCATCGACCTCTCTGCATTCCGATCATCCCGGATCCGAGTGTAAGAGGCCTGTGTCGTGTCATTTGTTAGTGAAGTTAGCGTGTTGAAGGCCCTTGTCAGCAAAAGCATTACGACCGGTTCATCCCCCTTCGATTTTTCCCCAAAAATACCATTATTCTATTGTTGCCATTTGGCCCTGCACATTTGATCCAGTCTCGACTCGCGGCTCGCGCAACCTCATTATACCACTGTCTGTCATTGAACGCTTTTTTTCCCAATTTTCCATTCTGTCTTTTTTTTCCCCTACTGGACCATCACTATCCCCCTGTCCATCATTCCGCATTTGTTCCAGCGCATCATTGCTAGCGAGCACGGCGTTGGCAACGGCGTTTATTTGCATTTATCTGGACCTGGCCCGTTCATTGGCCCTCCATTATCTACCTGGCAAATTGTACTTGGGAATTCTTTCTTGTGTCGGTGTGTCAGTAGTCTCGGTTGTAGAGACTTCATGCAACCTGCATGCGACATCCTGCTATGGCAATCGAAGCGAGAATCACTCGGCCCAATATTGTATAATATACATCGTTTCTTCTCATTGGATCCCTCCAAGTGTCAACGTAGATTAGCGGATGCGCGGCGTAGAACATTGCATTGACGGTTGTCATGTCCCTTGGCGCCGTTCCCAAGAAGAATCGTACGTGCAGTTCTAACGGTTTTTGACAGGAGTGGCAGGGTTCTAGGGGCCAATTATGCGTGCAGGCCCAAGACTAGGTTAGGTGCCCAACGTGTCTGAGTTTCCCAACGGCCAAGGATAGGACTGCAGGGGGTTTTGTTACGTCTTGCGGTGATCTTCGATAACAAATGAACTCTGGTCGGACTTCAGTTACATCCGTGCTGTCCCGGCAACACCCCTATCTAATTCTGAAATGAAGGATATAGAGTTGCAATCGATGGAGACGGGTGGTACGCGGACTTGCGCGGCGTTAGGGTGTGGGGTAGGAGGTGCAGCCCAGCAAGGATGATTCTCGTTGATCTTGTTTCTGTCTTGGAGATCACTCTGAGATACAGAGATACGATGGAGTATGTACCACGAGGCATCCCACGCGCTGGTTGATGGTAGTCTAGACGCGGTCAAAATATGTAGTACTTTTGTCCATGGTGGAGGGAGGCGTAACAGCCAAGAGCTGAATTCATTTCCGCCAGGCGCACACGGACCTATGTACCAGTGTGAAGATTACCTACATCCAGCGGGACTTTATATGATCCCGCTCTATAGAGGTAATACCACCCTACCTTGCTGTGAGGGCACTGAGACTTGACTATATGCTCAACACAACTATAGAATGATAAAAACCCCACTAAGCAACAAACTTGTCAAGCTAATAAACTATGTAAACCTCCTTTACGAAATAAATAACCAAAATACAACGAAACAAGGAGCCCCTAGTCCGCTTCGCGGACCCATCCCGACGGGTCCCATCTGCCATTTTAACTGGTCCAAACCAGCGGGGTCATATTTCGTTTTTCCCATGTAGCGGGAGACATTTGAAACCTTTCTGTTACGGAGATCAAAAGTACGATGCAGAGAGGGGTCGATGACATGTTTTAAATTGCCCAGAGATTTCTCTCGTGGGGTAAGACAAAACGCATTCTTGCAACTACGGCTACGATCCATTCTAATATAAGTGAAGCTAAAGGGATCAGAGGCGCATACATACGCTAAGCTATAAAAAAAAAATGAGGCGCTGAAGCCACATCAGTCACGTACGTATTGTGGACATGACAATAATACATACATCCCTAATAGGAAGAATGTGTCCGGGATGATTGAACATAAGTCCGTAATAATCCATTTCCCCCGGCTTCTGAAGGTTTTACATACACGTCTCGTATCTTTCAGGGTACTGTCATACCGACATTATTATGGAGCCCGACTGTCAAAGACAGCCACCCCTGCCGGCTAATATAGAGGGCGGCCAATAACCGTCTGCCACAGGGGTCCATGAGAGCAGTGGCTTTTGTGACTGCCTGCACTAGGCCTCGAATCGTTTCTCCGCGGCAGTGTCCATGTTTTGAACCTGGATTCGAAATTTTGGCCTAGAAGGATCAGTCGAAGGAACATGCATCTTCTAGACCCCTAACCCGCCTAGGCAAGAGGGTCGTAGTTTTCGGGTTTATGAGCTTGGCGATAGTGAACTGTGATATTAATCTGGTGATCCGAGTACGAGGTGAAGCATGTTGCCCAGAGTGTGGTGGCTTGCGTGTCGTCCATTGGCATTGCAGATGGGAGTGACTGCCGGTCAATCCATGGACGCCCAAACTTAAAGGCTTTTCGCCTTGCTACTTCGTCCCGATTTGGTGGTATACCAGGGATCTACGACTTTCCGTATGGTATTGAATGCATTCTAGGTTTGAACTATTGGAGCACGGGAGACAACAGAGCAATGATCAGAGGGGGTGGTTCACCAGCCCGTCGATCGCGGGGTTCGAAAATTGATGAGAGGTTGGGAATGTACTGCGAGTTGATCAGTCTGGGCATTTATTCAAGGTTAATCCCTAACTGCTCTGGTAGCCTTCCTCGGGCTTTGAATGGCTCGTCGCAACGCCTACTGGAGGATAAGGATGAGTGAGACCGTCGATGGTGAGATGGGACCAGAAGTACCGGGCAATTCTCACTGCCAGGGGCATTTTTCTTCTTAGGATCATTAGTTGAACTGAAATACAACAATTCGGTTGTGTAGTGTAATGGTCATCACTGCGGATTCTGATTCCGCCGATCCCGGTTCGATCCCGGGCACGACCTTTTCTTATTTTTGTTTGAAATCCTTACAAGGAGCCAGGGCAGGATCCATTTTTGTTTCTTTTTTTTAAAAAGTAACCCAACATTTAAAGTGATCTCGGATGTCAACTTACTGAAATAGCTAGCTTTTTGTCCAAGAAAGTGTGGTGTTTAAATAGAAGTTGGTGAAGCTCCTCCTCGGGCTATATATTTGAATGGTCCTTGGACGTACCCAGGAGCATCAAATCTAGATTAGAAGTCGGGTAAAGATAAGCCATTGTAGAAATCACTTTGAATTACGAGGCAAAGTCAAGAAGAGGCGTGGAAATGGAATGGTTCTCAATTTGAACTACTGAAAATATAATACATCTTCCAAGGTTGATACTGACTTCATGGAACGTGTATGTCAAGTCCATCATCATATGGCAACATTCTCGACCACCAAGGGACATGACGCGTGAACATCAGCCGCACACTACGAATAAGATAGAGATAGGAAATTAGGTCCTGAGACTCCTCAAAGAAAACCTCAACAAGATCGGTATAGATCGTCCACTTCACATAAACAAACAAAACGCAGAGCCCAGATCAGAGCCAACCAGGATCGAAGCACGATCTGGAAGGCTGGGTATCACTGTAGATTATAGACCGGAGGGCATTTTCAAGACATCGACAGATATTTCGCGGGTGCAGGTGCATGTTTAGTAATAGGTCTTCTCCTCGTAGATCGGGGGCTCGCCTTTGTCGACGTTCCAGGTGATCTTGGCGTTCTCGTCGAGGAAAGCGTCCTCGTCGGTAATCGGGATGACGCGCGAGGTGTGCGCAACTTCCTGGCGAGAGATACCGAGGGGGTCACGGGGGATCCAGAGAAGAGGGGCCTGCGAGGTGATGGCCGGGTGGCAGTAAGCGTCGCGCTCGGCTTCCTCAGTGTAGGGAGGGACATCGAGTGGGTTAGGAACCAGACGGCGCAGGGTGGCGTAGTCGTGGTAAATGTCCGGGCGCAGGAACTTCACGAAGAAGTTGGGCTTGGTGTGCGGGGGCGGCATGGTGGTGTGAGTGAGACCCTTCTCAGCCGAGTCGACATTGCCAACACCGCTATCGATGCTGGCGACGCCGTTGTTACCGGCATCGACACCCTTGGTAGGCTTCTCCTCAGCAGAGAGCTTGCGGCGCTCCTCGTCCAGCAGAGACTCCTCCTCGTGCTCAAGGTTCCTGGGCAGGTAGTTAATGAGGGGCTCCATGGCGCTATTCATCGAGATATGGTACAGGACGACAAAGACCAGGAAGATGATCATGAGGATCAGAGGTCCCACGGCGATGCGCCTGGCACCGGAGGCTATAGCGAACAGACCGATCAGGCAGACCATAAGCAGGTAGCAGCCTACGGTAAGGTGCTGCAAAGCTCGAGTGTACGCCTTGCCCTGCGTGTCAATGGTAGCGTTCGACACGTAGAGCAGGTTGTACCGGTAGGCGAAGTAGAACAGATACAGGCCAACAGTGCCGAAGCCCATGACAAGCGGGGCAATGCAGGAGTAGATGATTCCAATGACAGTCAACAGAGTCATTGCAGGGTAGACAGTACCCCAGCCGAGACCAGCCAAATTGGACCAGCGGCTGTACATCTTGCGGGGAGTCTTGTCGAGGAACTTGCCCAGAATCTTGCCGATGATCAGACCAGTGATCTGCAAGAGAGCACCGGAGGTGAAAGACAAGCCCTGCAGAACAATGTACGCGATGTAGAAGTTGGAAGCCCTGGGGATCTTCTGAGAGAGCAGGGTAGCAGCCGACGCGGGATCCATAAGAATACTGCTGATAACACTAGTGGCAGCAGAGGCCAGAGTGAGGACCAGGAACACCTGAATCACCTGGAAAGCGAAGAACCAGTTCTGAACGATCAATTCAACTTCAGCCCGGCTGGAAGCACCACCCCACTTGGCCATCACTGGAGATAAGTTAGCTTAAGTAGTAGAAATAGAGTTTGCAGGGATGTTCATACATCGAAGAATGATAGGCACGAGCGAGATCAGAATAGACATTAGGATAGTGGGCAGAAGACCAGTAATGAGACCCAAGAGGACTTTGGGAAGGTTGTTGATAAATCGCAGGAAGGGAACCTTCTGCTCCAGATAATTAATGTTGGAGATCGCACCAACCACGGCAGTGGGGATAGCCCAGAAAATAATCATGGCGATAACAAAGGCAAGGGTAGCACTGTAACGAAGGACGCGCTCCCACCACTTGATGCGGAGGTTGGCCCAGATGACCTGGGTAGGATCGAGACCGATGTAGCGGGGAGTCATGTGCAAAGGCAGATTGTGAGCGACAGATTGGTAGGCGCTCTGCGCATCAGACTGGCGGTAGAATTCGACAAACACGGACGAGACGAGCTTGCAATCGCCAGCGCGATGCTTAGCCTGCAGCTCCTCGATCTCAGGAGTGAGACGCTCGATCTCCGAGCGAGCCCAGTTGATAGTGTCGACCTTTTTGCCAATGAGGAACTTCAGACGGTGGGTAGGGCGGTCCTTGGCCTGAACCCATTTGGCGGCAACGGAGCCAGACTCGTCATCAAATTGGCCAACGCCCTCCTCTCCCTGGTTACCATCCTCGACGGTGCCCTGCTTCTTGAGCGCCTTATTGCGAGCCTTGTTGGCCTGGACAATGAGAGCAGTCTCGGCACCCTCCAGCTTCATGGCCGCGGAATCACGTTCCTCGACCTTCTTCTCGAGCTCGGCGGTATCCGTGGCGATCCAAACGTTCTGGACCTTCTCCTTGCCGAACATGGCACGGATCTTGTCCTTGTTCAGGTAATCCGCAGTCACGGCGGAGAAAAGAACGGTGCGCGACGAGATACGGTTGGCATAGGCGGGCGAGAAGAAGTAAGCCTGGCGCAGGTTGATGTAGAAGATGTGCTCGCGGGTGATCAACCAGAAGACGAAAGAAACGAAGATCCAAGCGATGAAGTTGTGAGCGAAGTAGCGCGCATAGCCATCCTTGTCGATGTTCCCAATATTCAGGATATCGAATTGCGTACCTTTGCCACCGCCAGTCGCATTGACGGGGAACAGGACGGGCCAAGTGATGCAGCAGCCGACGAATAGAAGCATCGAGCATAACTTAAGGAAGCGGAGCAGCAGGTACGCATCCAAGGAGTGGTGCTGCAGGACATAGGTATCGGGGAGCTTGTACATGGAGGTGATCCAGTTCAAAAGGCCGGTGGGCGATTCGGGAGTCTTCTGCCAGTCGCGCAGGTAGCCAATGTAGGTTCGGGGCATGTAGGTGCGACGCTGGGACTTGCGCAGGATGATGAACAGAACGGTCATGACCGCGGCCACGGCCAGGGCGGGGATCAGAGTGGCTAGGAGCGCGGACAGTGAACTACCCGTCGAGCTGGGGTCATCCTAGATTTCATGTTAGTACTGTTCCAATTGGATTGTCGCGTTGGACGTGGAACATACACTGGCCCGGGCAAAGAACCGGTGCAGAGTACCGGTTTCCGCCATGGTGAAGGATTGAGCGAGGCTCGAATACAGAATCGAAAAACAGAAGCCTCAACCTCAGTCGTCTAGAGTTGGTTCACACGTGGAAATTCTCGAAAGGGGAGAAGGTGGAAATGTTCCTCGGGCGATGAAAGGGAGAGCAAGAAAAAGGAAAAAGGTCGGAGCAGCTTAAGCTTTAGAAGGCGAGGGGCACTGGAGCTTACGATCTGCGATCTCGGCTACGTAACTACCGTGAATATTCCAATTTAATTTCGATTCGCAAGTGGTACTTTTAGCTTTTCTGCTGATTTCTGCCCCCTGTTACACCACTCGCACCTGTCCGAATCTCCACTTGGTGTTTGGGTGGCGAGTGAGGGATTGATCCAGACTTTCGCCGCCGCCGGATCACCTTGCGATCGGCCGCTTTTGTGGTTCAGCTAGGTCAATGACTCCACGAGATCGATTCTCCATATTTTCCATCGCTATGCTCTCTCGGAATGTTTTGTGAGAGTTGCCTGCACACCGCAAGGGCCTCGGAGAAGACCGATTGCCAACGAATCAGCCACACCAGCCACACATCTCCGGTCTTGGGTACTCCACCGGGCGAGTTTCCCAGCCGCAAGGGGGTGCACATCGGCAAAACAAACGGGAAGGTTTAATGGTCACTCGTTCTACGTATCATGGAGACTGTTTACCCGCTCGGAATCCAGGGGTTCTGTTTCACCACAACATACTCGGTCGAAACCCCGATATCTACCCAGCTAGGTACTACATCCCAAGACAGGCAGAATATAGTTCGTTACGCCTGGTTTGAGGCACGAGTCCGCTTGTACAGTATGGCTGGTGAGTTTCAATGGCGTGCCAGGTAGATGATGAATCCGTGCAGATGATCACACGTCCGATCGCGAAAAGGAGATCGTCCAGTTAGAGCGCTGACGACGTGGATCCAATAGATCGGGCGGGATAGGAAGCGCTAAGAGCAGCTAGTTCAGCTGTAGTGGGCTGCACTATTTGACCGGGGTCTGTAACCATGGGCCGGTGGCGGCACTTTCAAAATCTGCAAAAAACTCCCCCGCCCCCTTGGTGTTGCTTGATGGTGGACTGTAGAAATGACAATGTGAAACACTCAATTTCGGCCGTGCCAGCATGCTTTAATTGTGTAAATTATAGAGTTTCATAGGGCCAGGAATTGAAATGCGAAAACCAGAACCCCGGGATAGGACAAGGCGGGTGATATCATCACCTCCTATCGCGGTAATCGCTCATACATAGTGATTGGCGATCCTTTACGCAATTCGTCACCCCTGCGAGACGGTTCCTCAAGTGTCCCAAGATCCATCGCTGGCACACGCTTCAAGGTAACTCTAGGTACCACTCGCCCTTCGTTATTATGGAGGGTGACTTCGGAGAACTTCTCCTGGGTTACGCCCTCCGTTCTCCGCTCCTTGATCCACTTTGGTGTTCGTGTTCAGCAACCCTAATTAGGTATCGGCCGATCAAAGGTTTTTTTTTTTTTTTTTCTGATATCAGTTTTATAATGTGAACCGAGGCTGTGGCCCTGGTCCTACAGTACGCTAGTGTCCGCCAAGAGCGATGACGTTTAGACTTGACGATCCTGGTTCCCGGGTCCCCGAGGTCTGCCAAGACACGGTGTACATGCCCGGCTTTGCCTACTTGAACTGTCGATATAGGTGATATGCAGGTTGATCTTTGGATGATCGATGTCAAAGCGACTTTGTAAATTGTTTCATTGATAAAATGCTAACTTTCCTCTTCGAGTTCCTCCTCGAACACGTCAATGCCGCGGATCGGAGGGCGCAGACTCAAAAAGCTCATCAAAATCTCGTTGAAATGGAATTGCAGGTCAGGTCGCAGCTGTCGATGTGTCTTCAGAAGTTCACCGGTAGACCACGATCGCTCGGGATTTTGTAAGTCGGGGTCACATCCCTGTTCTAGCAACAACCAGAGCAAAGTCTCGCAGGCAGGGTGTCGGCCAAGCTGATGGTGCTCGACCATCGTTTGCAAATAGTCCAAGAATCGTCTGGTCTTGCTGATCGAGTCCTTGAAATCCCAGAGTGCCGCAGTAATGAAGATGAGGGCCGCAGTCCGGCTGATTTCCTGAGTCTGATGGTCGCGAACCACGTACATGCGTGATTCATGTGGCACCTGTGAGGGCCGCGGCCCGCTGGACAACAAGGGGAACAGCGGGCTTTCCATTTGAAAAGCATCCCGTCTCTGGGGTGTATGTGCCAAGTATTCGGGGACGCGGTGCACTTGCATTAGGTCGTGCGCCCCCCGGAGAAAGGTAACCAGCCATCTCCGGTCAGCTGGGTCGACTACCATGCTGTTCGGCGCCATGATGTATCGCACGTAGTGAAAGGGGACCTCTACGGACATGTTGGATCCAGTTCGCGGTCGCATAATTCGGACGGCCTGTTCCAGATAGGCTTGGGCGTCTGGCTGACTGCCGAATCGCCACTCTGAGAGGGCCATACCTGCCAAGGCCAGGGCCAGATAATCCGGTGGAACCTGCATAGAACCCGAAAAAGCCTCCTCGATACGCTTCCGGGCCTGGCCAACATGCCATTGAACCTCCAAGGTGTCGGGAGTCTCCTGTAACTGGGCCTTCCACCGCGCACAATAGACCAAAATAAACGACTGGAAGGAAAGCGGATGCTGCATGGCCGTGCGGAAGATTTGATTCTTGACATACGGGTTTTGTCCAGACCAATATGTTAATTTGTTATTCCAATAATCGACCAGCTCCATGTCTTCGGGATTGTGGACCTTTGGGAGACTCGAGAATGGATATGTGCGGGATTTATCAAGCACAGGAATGGGTGAGCTCAGTTGCATGGGCACTGTCGGTTGCGAGACTTGGTTCACATTTGAGAACCTGATTGGGAGCTATAAGGCAAACTGTTAGCACCATGTTGATGTCGTAAACGCTGTTTGATGCATGGATCGTGATAGTTGGGTGGCTGTCTACCATACCGAAGAATTCTGGTCTGCAGATCGACCCGGTGCGCCAATCAAGGCCACATCTTTTCCACCATCAGTACCATACCCGGAGTCTTTTCTGGTAGACCAAGAGAGTGAATCTTGAAGCTGCTCCTGGACTATTCCATGAGAACGTTTGCGCTGCTTCCTTTTTTCCTGCACGTGGTGCCGCATAACATGGGCGCGCTTCTCCTTCGATGACGAGTTTGAGTCGACGAAATAAAACATTTGGTTCTTCTGGTTATCCGAGTTGGCCGCGCGCCTTCTCCTTCTCGGTTTTGCGTTTTGAGCGCCATCGCCAGAGGGTCCTGCTACACATTCAGCACGGGTATCATCTCATACGTGGGCCGGAGAACGTACCCGGAACCTCCGGCATAGATGAATCTGAAGGCTCTGCTGATGGAATGGGCGTCGAATCCACCACCCGTCGCTCGTTTTCAGACATATCGCGACGGAGGACAAGAGGTGGTCGACGCAGTAGGACAATCGCTACAGCAGCATACCGACCCGACGATCGCCAAAATTCCTCCGTTCACACTTTCGGGATTTGGCTACAATCATCGCAGACATGCAGGCGACTATCAACGAAGGGGCGACGATGCGGGCTCCGCTCAAGAAAGGGCTGAGGAGAGGGTGGCGCTAGAGCAGATGACAATTATACTCGGTAGACGCAACGCAAGGTGAACACGAAGGTTCATCGTAATCTCCGCGGGGTTGGAGAAGGATGTTTCACGGTCACCAAAGATGCCCAGGTGTAGGGTCCAGGGTGCGCCGAGAAACACCAATGACTGAGTTAAGTTAAAAGGATGCGAGGGCATTTGGGTATTTCCCGAACCGAACTATCAGAGTCGGGGAGAGAGGTCCCGAGTGGGTCATTATGACCATCTCCAACGGGGAGGAGAGGGGGAAAAACAATCTACCAAGCCAATGTGTCACCGTGACTGGATGGGACCACTTGCCTCCTGAGGAGAAAAGCCGGCTTTTGTTCGGGGGAAAGGATCAGTGCGCAACAAGGGTTTAGTTCCAAAGGTCTCCGTTTTCATTTAAAAATTACCTTCCCAAACGGGTGTGTCTGTTCGCCCGAATTACGAGGTGTTGAGATGCCAGGTGTCAAGGCGTCAAGGCGTCAAGGCGTCAAGGCGTCAAGGCGTCAATATTAGTCAGAAACCACTTAACGCGTCGGCTCCGGGTCAACCGTCTCCCCGGGACGCGTCTCGCGTCTCGCGTCCCTGCGAAAAAAGCGGTCCCCCTTAGGTGTTTATCATAACTGTCCGTACTTGACAACCACCTCTTGGTATCCGTGAGAGCTCATTGTTTGACCGCGGCTTGTATTCGGCCGTTCGCTCTCTCTGCCATGTCTTCCCTCTTCGATGCCGTCCTCCAGTCTGAGCTGGGCTCGGGGCCTGGCGCCCGTCATAAGCCTGAATCCGAACACGACCGCCTGCCCAGTTCTCGCCATACCGAGGAGGGCAATGGTCTCACGAGTGATACGAATGCGTTCCCCGATGACCAAATCGTTGGAGCCAGCACATCGGCTGTCAGTCGTCTACGGAATCCCTACGCTCCTGGCCCCCCGCCCGTGATCGATGAGGCCGGAGAGAAAGTTCAGCAGGCATTCGAGGAGCTTCTGGAGACATTCATGGAAGAGCCCTCATCATCGGCCCCTCCCTCTTCTGGAGAGGCCCTGAGCGACAAATACTATATCGCACAGATCAAGGGCATGAAGAAATTTGAACTGTCCACTCTCTATGTGGATTTCACCCACCTGACCTCCCTGGAGAACCATATTCTGGCCGATGCCATTGCCGGCCAATACTACCGATTCCTCCCATTCCTCACCAAAGCTCTCCACAACCTGGTTGCCAAATATGAACCGGAATACTTCGTATCGCACAGATTGGCCTCTAGCGCATCCACGCAACCCAGTGCTTCCGTGGCCTCCGCTTATTCCAATGTCAACGACAACCCCGATTTGGAGCGTCAAATCCGCGAGAAGACTCGTCACCAACAGACCGACAAGCTGTTCGCGCTCGCTTTCTACAACTTGCCGCTGGTTTCTCGCCTTCGCCAGCTGCGCACATCGCAGATTGGAAAGTTGCTTTCAGTCTCAGGAACAGTCACAAGAACCTCCGAAATCAGACCCGAGCTGTCGCTGGGAACCTTTATCTGTGAGGGCTGTAAGACTGTCGTTTCAAACATCGAGCAGACCTTTAAGTACACCGAGCCCACCGAGTGCCCAAATGCGACCTGCGGTAACCGCAATGGCTGGCGCTTGGATATCGGCAAGAGTACCTTTGTCGATTGGCAGAAGGTCAAGCTTCAGGAGTCGTCTCACGAGATCCCAACGGGTAGCATGCCCCGCACTATGGATGTTATCCTGCGCGGTGAAATGGTCGACCGTGCCAAGGCCGGCGAACGTTGTATCTTCACTGGTACCTTGATTGTCGTGCCAGATGTGAGCCAGCTGGGACTTCCCGGTGTGCGTCCCGAGGCTGTCCGTGATAACAACTCCTTCCGCGGTAACGAAGTCGGTGGCGGTGGTGTGTCTGGTCTCAAGGCTCTGGGTGTTCGTGATCTGACTTACCGCCTGGCCTTCCTTGCCTGCATGGTGACCCCGGATACTACAACCCCTGGCCAGAAGCCGGAGCAGCAGCTCAGCGGCCAGTCAAACAACATTCTGGCCTCTTTGAACCAGAACCCCGATCCCGATACGAATGACGACAAGGCCCAGGAAGCTTTCCTCCAAAGCCTCACACCCGCCGAGGTCCAGGATTTGAAGAGACTGGTCCACTCAGAGTACATCTACGCCCGACTAATTGACTCGATTGCGCCAATGGTCTTTGGTCATCGCCAAATCAAGAAGGGCCTTCTTTTACAGCTGATCAGCGGTGTCAGCAAGAAGACAGCCGCAGAGAGCCTGCAACTGCGTGGTGATATCAACATTTGCATTGTCGGTGACCCATCCACCAGTAAGAGTCAGTTCTTGAAGTGAGTAAACCAGAATCGCCCTACAACAACTATCAATTCTAAGATGATCCCCCAGGTACATTTGCTCCCTGCACCCCCGCGCAGTCTATACCTCCGGCAAAGCCTCATCCGCAGCCGGTCTGACAGCATCCGTCGTAAAAGACGCGGAGACGGGAGAATTCACCATCGAAGCCGGAGCCCTAATGCTCGCAAACGGAGGCGGAATCTGTGCCATCGACGAATTTGACAAGATGGACATCGCCGACCAAGTCGCCATCCACGAAGCAATGGAACAACAAACCATCTCCATCGCCAAAGCCGGCATCCACACCACCCTCAACGCCCGCGCCTCCATCCTAGCCGCTGCTAACCCCATCGGCGGCCGGTACAACCCCAAGTTAACTCTGCGCCAAAACCTTAACTTCAGCGCGCCCATTATGTCTCGATTTGACGTGTTCTTCGTCGTCCGCGACGAGCCCAAGGAAAAGGTTGATCGTGAGTTGGCGGAGCATATCGTCAACGTGCACATGAACCGCGACGAGGCTATCGAGCCGGACCTGAGCACGGAGCAGCTGCAGCGCTACATCCAGTTCGCGCGGACTTTCCGTCCTGTTTTCAATGAGGAGGCCAAGGCTCTTCTTGTTGAGAAGTACAAGGAACTCCGCGCGAATGATGCACAGGGCGGTATGGGTCGCTCGTCGTACCGTATCACTGTGCGTCAGCTGGAATCTTTGATCCGATTGTCCGAGGCCGTGGCCAAGGCCAACTGTGTCGAGGAAATCATCCCCGATTTCGTGATCGAAGCGTACAATCTCCTCCGCCAGAGTATCGTGACGGTTGAAAAGGACGACGTCGAGGTCGATGACGATGTTCGTATCCGTGGTGGGGACGAGGACCTGGAGATGGGCGATCGGGACCGCGATGGCGATAGCCCGATGCGTGAGGACGGCGAAGAGGCCCAGACCCAGCCCCAGACGAAGGCGGAGAAGACCAAGACTAAGATCACTTTCGACAAGTACTCCAAGATCCTGAACCTCTTCGTGCAGCGCATCCGCGAGGATGAGGTGAACCAGGGTGAGGGCGTCGAGCAGGAAGATCTGATCCTGTGGTACCTGGAGCGAATCGAAAACGAGCTGAAATCAAAGGATGACTACGAGCGCGAGCGCGATCTGGCCGCCAAGGTGTTGAAGCGCAGCGTCAAGGTGAGTTTTTCTACGCCCATACAATTTCAGATTTACAATTATGCTAATATTTTTTACAGGACCGAGTCATTCTCCGTATCTCATCGAGTCTCATGGAAGACGCGAATACCCAGCAGTCCGCAGAGGAAAAGATTCTTTACGTGATGCATCCAAACTGCGCTTTCGAGGAGATGTAGGCAATTGCCTGATCTCGCTTCGTTTCCTTATCTATTTTCTGGATCGGTTGTTGTTTAGCATTTTCAGGGTGGATTCAACTGGTGCAAGGGGGTTATGAATGATGATATCCGTTATGCCCGTTGATTTTATGGCACTAGGCATGAAATGTATACTTCACAACATATCTGGACTTGCGTAGATTTCAAGATGTAAAGTAACTAACTCTACGGTGATTGAGATGGTTACTCGAGTGCCCAGATGTGCAATCTGCATCCCTCAACTCAACTCCACGTCCCGTTAGCAGGCCCGAAATACCCAACTTCTGGAATCGCTTTGTACGGTACACCTTGTGCATCTGCAGTGTTCAGGTACACTGTATTTCCCCACCAGTTAGGGAAGGTAGCACCCGGGTACGAGATGCAAAAGAAGATGACAATGCCACTCAGTGCAAGGCCGGTATCAAGTGCAGCTGCGAGAATGTAGTTGTACTTTGTCCACCAAGCGAAGAATCGGCGCTTAATCCAGAAGTTGAAGACAAAGTTGACCAATGCCCAGCTGGAATAGTTGATTCCGGTCGCTAAAGGATGTTAGTGATGCCGAACAAGAAAGTTGGAAGCTGCAGAACATACCAGGTGGGACGTTGTAAGTACCCACAAAAATCAGGGGCCAGTTGATAAACTTCCAAAACTTCTGTCTGGTATAGCGGTAGAGAAGGAATGTCACTACCGGAGCAAGAGCACCAATTCAAAAGAAATGCAATAGGGAAGAATAAATCTTGCCAGCAGAGTAGAGACGACGAGGTCCAATAAGACCCCAGATAACGGAAGAAGAATAAACCGTGCGGCCATTCGGACAGGTAAAATTATCCGTCTGATCAGTCTGGCAAATCCCTGAGATATTACCCAGCATCCAAAGCGTAACGCCCGCCTGAGTTAGCGCGCCCAGGATAGTAGCCACGCCCTGCGCCACAAAGCAAGTGCGCGGCGGCACCTTGAGATAATGAGCCAATTTCATATCCATAGCAAAGTAGACGCCCTGTCCTACGACGTCGGTGGAGATAATCTTGAAAATCATGTTGGCCAGCGGCTTGCCTTCGAACATGTACCCGCCGATAAACTCTGCGAGTACGTTCAGCTGGTTCGCGTCCACATTTGTGATGCCCTGCACGATACCGCAGGGTACCATGTACATAACCGGGATGATCAAGCCCAGGAAAACCCCATAGACGGGCAGCTTGGTCTCGTAGACTTCAACCATCGCGATAGCCATGGCCATGATCACCACGATAATGGCAGCGTACCAGTACCACGGAGTCCGGCGGTATGAGGCGCGGATGAGTCTTGCGTGGATATCGAGCTTGTTGCGGCCCTTGAGAGCAGACCAGAGGTCACGGCCGTGCCAGATGGCGATGTGAGTAAGCACAGAGGTGATAGCAGCGAACGAAAGCCCATACACGAAAGCGAAGGTTGCACTCAAGAACGGAGGCGAGTACTTTCGGTATTCAGCCGCGTCGAGAGTCTTATCTGCGGAAATGACTCGAGCTGTATCATAGAATGCGCCTGTGTTGTCGTACACGTCGGCCGTCATTAGCGGAAGGTAAGCCGTGAACCAGGTATTGGTGTAGTAAAGAACTGGTGTAACAATCCAATAGAAGAAAGCGAAGCCAGCAAAGACATTCATCGCAGCCCACGCTGGTGACAGGAGCGGGTTCGTGTTGTAAGCGATTTGGCTCCAGTCGAAAGTAATTGGACTCAGGCCGAGGCCCGTCTGCATTCCGAAGAGCTGGTTGACGATGACGTTCTTCGGCGCGATCCAGCAGACCCAGGTGAAATAGGATAGCGCGGTGAAGATCAGGCCAGGGAAGAAATACCAAAGGAAGGCACCTGTCATTACATATAGGAAGAAGCGGAGACGGGAAATGCGCCATCCATCTGCGATGCGATTTGCGCGCGAATGCAATGTTTCTAGCATGGCACAGTTGGACAGCACGCCTGGCCAAATGATGCGGGCTGGTTCGACGAGCCACGGTGTTGCGAGACCTGCTACGCCGAATCCGAGGAGTTGTGCGACGAGGACGATGAGTACGTAGAAACCAGGTTTGAGGTTGAAATTGTAGAAGTTTTTGCTAGCTGCTTGGATGATGTTCGTCGAGTCGGCTGAGGCGTATCCGAAGGAGACATTGCTCATGATCACGATGAGCGCATGCTCTTTGATATTGAACGACCTGTCCGGATTGATAACGAATGTCCCCAGAGGTCCGAGTCGGACGGGGGTGAGAGGAAGTGTCTTTGCGAGGAGCACGCCGATCGGGTATGCAAGTAACTCTGCGACTAGGGCTACAATGTGAACTGACGGATAGCGTAGCGAGAAAAACTGATTGATCCCGGACCCGAGAATGGTGAAGATGATGCCCAGGAACCACATTCGAACCGTGTTGACTGGCATACTGGGATCGTCCGTTTCGGGGACGACAGCCCTAACTGTAGCAGTTGTTAGTCTAGCAACTCCACCGGAGCTGAACTATGCACTTGCCTTCGGGGAACGGAGAGCGATGCGATTCATAGCTGAACTCTTCATTCTTGACCTCCTCGTCCTTGTCTAGTTCGATCTGATCCAAGCGGCCCTCGCCCACCTCTTCATCTTCTCTGACGAGCGCGGGTTTGATAGTCTCTGTATCCAGCTCTTTGGAATCCATGACAGTATAGATTGTAACGCAAGCTCAGCGCGTCGTTTTCCGGAAAGTTTCCACCGGTCGGACAAGCACGACGGGCCCCTTTTCTACTGCCGCTTGAATTGGCCATGACCGGCACGATTTTAGTGCAATACGAAACGCGGGGAAACAGAGATAAGGCGTCGCGACGGTTGATTTGCGAGCGGAGAAGGTGAGCTTAGCTTTAGCTCGGCTTGGCTCAACTTAACTCGAGATAGGCAGGTCTAACCCCGCTTTGTGTCCAGTGTATGTGCTTGGATTTGATTCTGGGAGAACGTGAACGGGTGGACTATTGGTAATTGCTTCCAGATGCCCGTGGAGGTGTGTATGTACAAGATCACGAAATTGAGTTGGATGGCAAGGGCTCGTTATCAGCGACAGAGTCGGCGGGCGTTTAGTTTGCTCTAGCGTGCTTTGATTTGCCGAGGAAAGATAGCGATAGCAAGATAGAGAGATATGAATGACCAAGGTTGTTTCCTCGGCTGAACAATCTTCCATGTAGGCAAGTTTCAACTTGAAGTCGAGGCCCGACAATGAAAAATCAAGGAAACAAACCGACCTGCAGACCGCAAGTCCGCAGTGTCATCTATCGAGCATTACGGAGTAGCCGGCGCAGAATGACGCCCCCAAGAACAAACAATTTGAACGGAAACAAGACAGTTCACCGCCTGTTGACATTTAGCACGATGCAGATGGGATCAAAAACCCTAGATCCTTGCCTTTGCGCCAACCCTTGTTTAATAACGAACGACCTAGCATATATGCGGTCGGATATAGTCAACCCTGTACACTCGGATCCTAGTCCGGCGTGCTACTCTCAGCACACCCGGGGCATTTCTCCTTGCCAGCTGCATCTATCACGGCACCTCAAGGCGCAGGTAAAGCGCGTAGACACCTTCCCGCAAATCGAGCAGAAGCACATACCCACGGGCCGTTGAGAACGGACTGCAAGGAAGCGCTCAGATCCCATGGGATACTGCAATCAACACGGTGGCCTACAGAAGGGATAGCACATGATAAGGGGTGGAAGTTTTGTCTCGAAGCGTTCGAGAAAAGCGGTGTTGCCGTTACTCAGCAGCGCTTGGGGCCAGGGCTGGTTCGGGCTGGTCTGGATCGGTGTTTACTATTTGTTCGGAGTGCACGTCGCGGTGGCGATTTTACAAGGCCACCCTAGCTTGACTCCGACAGGTGTCAGCTGGGGAAATGAGAGCATCAGTCTCGCCCCAATAATATCACAAACCCCAGCTTCAAAACTATCCATGTCTGTGATATCCAGGTGTGAGATCCGATCCGGGGTCGGACTGCAAGTGTGACGTCTCGACACGTTCTTTCTCCCAAGGTCGTGTTGCGAGTCAGGTGTAAGCTCTGACCACGCGCCGCAGCCGTATCCGAGACGTGTCGGGACTGAAGAACGCGTTGTGGTGGTTGATCGCTGCAGCCAAAGCTGCACGGAGGCCCCTCCGCCCGGATGGCTTCCCCGTCGAAAATTGAGTTCCTCACACTGCAGCTTTTTGTGCGATGATTGTACCTCGTCACATTCTTCCCGTGGAGGTCGGTGATCTGGTACCCGGGCCCCACGGGGCTTGCATTTCCTGGTTCGGTCTTTGATTTGCGTACAAAGTACGGGGGAGATTCTATGCACCGAGACCACCCGTGCAGCTGTGGCAACTGAAATGTGGCTGCGACGGACAGATGGATCCCGGTAATTGAGGCGGATACTTGATCCTATACAGCAAGTTGCATTTTCTTCATCGGAGGCTGGGAGTTTTGAATTGGATCGGTAGCACTTCATACTGTTATAGCGCAGTGTTCAGCCTCTGGGATTTTGGTGTAGGACTAGGAGCCTCTGCCCTTGCGTTGCTCGATTTGGATGAGAGATCGTGGATCTTGCATATAAGATGCAGCTGCGGCTGCAGAGAATCCCCGGAAGGTGGATGGGACCAAGCGGGTGGTAGCTATTCAATGCGCCGAGCTAGTGGATATACCGCCTCCATTTATTTATACGATCATTGATAGTTATCCAATCGATCTGTGATGCAGCATGGCTTTTTCACTAGGATCAATGGTCACCCAGCCATTCGACCGGAATAGATGCATACTCTGTACACCTCCTTTCTCTGGAACCGAGACTGTTCCAAAAGTACAGTCAAGGGAAGAAATCCTCCTGGACAGTGGACCTGCCTCTTTCGTAATACAAAATCATTCAGGAGGTCCAGCCCCCATTTCCTCACCTCCACCTTTGGGCATTCAGGAGGACCAAAGTATCCACCATTAAAGAACCCAAAGCACCCAGGGAAATGGTAGCTAGCACGGGTCCGAAGCCGATGAAACACCGGGAGCCTGGTAAAGGGGGGACCACGATCCTGGCGTGATAGATGATAGATGATCGATGGGGACCGCGGCCCGCAAGCCGTCTCCCGACCCAGCAACAGCACCGAGGTGAAGCTGGGGATCGTCTCAGCTCAAAGGTACCGAGGAACGTGTCATTTCGTCTATTGCGGGAGGTGAGAAAACACCCGCCCCTGATTCCCCGTTCCCCGGCGGGCCGCAAGTACGAAATATAGACTGCGTGCGATGTGTTAGATTGTGGATTTCCAGGATGCCGGGACACCACATGTGAGCCCAAGGTGGATCGGACGTGTCTTCTGAGTGATGATGTAGACCCGAAAAAGGGGCCGAGGGTTGTCGGGGAACCCAGGATGGCGGATACATCTCCACTTGGGGCCGGGGAACCGCTGGGTGTCCCGGCAGGCGCTAAGCAGATCAGGGTCGGAAAATTAATGAGTCGAGTTCCCTAGACGTGTAGCTTTTGACTACAATGTAAAGGGCGATGGTGTAATTAGTTGGATCCGAAGTCCGGAGTATGGAATGGCACAGTCTGAACAGTTGGACGATTCTTTGTCTTCAAGTCGGAAGACCCAGGCCGAGGCGTATATCTACCTCGGGGAAATCTAGACCGCGGCTAAAGGGACGCAATGGAGCCTCTCCGTGGTCAAAATGGCACACCTCTGATTCGCGCAAAGTCATAGGCCGGGTTCCACGATCCCGGGTTTTATCTAGCGTTGTTCTAGTCCATGTTCTTTGATGTTATTTCCCCCCACGGCTTTCGGGGATCTATCTACCCCTATACCATGCAACAAAGAACGACTTCGTTTCGAGTCTGTCTAGATATGCCGTAAATCAATAGTCCTCCAGGGTTCTTCATAGTTCGGTCTTTGGACACACCGTCCGGCTCTACGCGTTCCCTTTCTTTGTGGAGAGCCGAACCGTTGCTACTGTTCGGGCCCGCCCGTGATTTAGGGCGTTCCAGACTGCCGTTCGGCGGAGTTTCTCAGTCCACATGTGAGCACCCAATTCTCCACGGGGATCCTCTCCTACCTCGTCCGAGTGGAGCGGAAGAAGTCGCGTTTTGGTCAGAACCCGTGCCTAGTACTCCGTAGATAGTCCACAAAGTATTTCCCGGGCGCGTTCGCTGTTCATTTTCCGAACTTTTGTTTTTCTACTCCGAAGGCCCTCACCACATTATCTCTACAGACACGTCAACAATCATACTATCTCCAGACCGCCGAACTCCCTCAGGTCATTCACCAAACATTTCCCTGTTTGTGCCCTACCCGACTATCAGCGATTCGAACATCTCAGGAAGCGGTGAAATCGAGAGCGTCCTGATTGGGAAGTTTGAATCGGGGCCAAAGTACGGACTGCACACCGCTGGACGGGCGAGTTCCCCCGCTGCATCTTGGGCAGCCCTTCCGGGGATACCATCCCAGGCAAGGGGGAAATCCCCAGGTTCACCTTATTCAGGTTATTCATAAACCGGGTACTTGTGTACATCTGACACAGAGGGCTGAATACGATCCGATATTCCCAGGCTAAAGTCGATACCTCGGATTGGCGCGGCTGTCAAATAATTCAGCCATTTTTGATTAATTTGATGCGCGGATCCCAGCCGGCTGAATGACTGATCGCCCGCCTCACTGCACGGAAACCGCTTCCGCCTAATATTGAATTTATTTATTTTTTTTTATTTTGTCTCAGTCGGGACTGCAAGGGTACATCGGCACTCTAGAAGCCTTCCCCGGGCTTTGATATGCGCCCTTTCACACCGTCTTGATAAACACGTCTCGCCCTCTCTCGACTCTCACCTACTTTATCTCATTTAACATCACTTTACCCTCACTTTCTTCTATCATCTCTACTCATCTTCAACCTTATCTCTCTTCTCTCGTCACACCTTTACCAACCATCATTCACCATCCATCATCCATCATCCATCATCCATCCTATACATCACCACCATGGTGATTCCCATTCAGTCGCGTCTGCGCTACATGACGCTCGCCAAAGCGTCTGCTATTGCGCCTGTCGCCAGTACAGACCCCGCGCAAGTGACTTTTAGCTGGAGTGGCAGCTCATTTGAAAGCTCACCACTGTCCAACCCGTCTGCGCCTCCTCCAACCCCCACCGACTCTCTCCTCGACATCTCCCCGCGCAAGTCTTCCTTCTCCAGCGAGTACGGCATGGGGGCCGCATGTGCCTTCCCTTCCTGGCCAAACCGTCCCTCTCTGGCCAGCGCCGACTCGAACGATTCATTCACCAACAACGCTTACCTCTCCGATGAAGATCTACTCTGGATGCCCGAGAATGCAGCAGCTGCCCATGCCGTTGAAGAGGCAGGACCTCAGGTACCCGAGATGGTTTGCTCAGCGACCATGGAGCAACAACTCCAGCGCATGCGCGCAGTCGCCGAACATGAAGATCGCCTTCGCTTCCTGGCCAAGGTCGAGGCCCACGCTCGAGCCACACAGGCCCTGCGACAAGCAAAGCACGACAAGCTGGCGCTGATCAGCGAGCGCACCACCCCGTCACCAAAGCCTAGGAAGCGCCGCGCTGCCCCCAGCCCCAAGCGTCGCGCCCACTCTTCATAGGACAGGTGCCCAGGAGTCACACATCAACGGGTGCAGCGCTGGCGCTGTTATCATCTACGACTATCTTCTCATCGCTATGCCGCCATAGCCACTGTTTTTACCACACATATTCTTTTCTTCACCCCCACGCCTCTACCCCTCCACAGCTCCGTCGGGCCCGCCGCTCCGACTGTTTATCGGCGGTCCGGGATCTGAGCCCAAAACGAATCAGATGACGGGGCTCAGGCAGCTGCAAGATCCGCACCGTCAACAGTGCCGATCACCAGTGGGCAAGGCGCATCCCGGGTGGTACTGAGTTCGTGCCTCCGTTTGGCTCCGCGCCTTATCCATTGATCTCCGACCCCCGCGCTTACCTAATTCTTCGCTGTCGGCGCTTCCCTCTTATTATGCTTCACACCGCTGGTTGCGCCCTGACTCATACTTCTTTTTTTCCCTCCGACATTTCGCATGGAGTTGCAGCGCAATCATTCCTCTTTTGATTTTTTTCTTGATTTTTTTCATTTTCCATCTTTATTACCCCTTCTGATCTTCTGACGACTGCATTCCCGAATACGGACCCGGTGTTTCTTTGTTTCTCCATTGCCCATCTTCTAGCGTGTTTCTTTCAGATACCCCCGATGTCCAATCTTGTAACCCTCCTGTTCATTTTCGTTCCGATTCTCGCTTCTATTTTCTCCCGGTCCGCGCACAGCGCCGTCTCTATTTTCCTTGGAAATAGACAAAAGCGCCACATGCCACCTCGATCACGTCGAGTGTCGGTGTGTCTGTGAGTTGGCCGACTGTTGGGTACAGCCCAGTGGTACTTTTATCTTAGGTAGCCTAGCTTGAACCAAGCCGTCTATTCATGAATACTCTTTCCACTTGTAGAACAATATCACTGCGCACATGAATAAAATAATAAAAATAAATCCGAAACACCCGTCTGCCACAATGCCTTTCAGCCCTGTCCGCCTCGTGTGTTGGCTTTCTATTGTTGGCTTTCTATTGTTGGCTTTTTGTCGGCGGATGGTCGCCCCGGGTCCCATGGCCGTGCAGATGACATGCAACGGTGAGATTGCTCCGGGACAATTTTCTCCCGTTGATTATCACATTGGTCATCTCAGGAAATGAAACCGGCAGACTCGATCGAATATTATCGTTTCTCACGTTGGAGCTGCGTCTCACTGCATCGACCGTATCTTTTTATCGCGATGTTGCGTTGCGCTGACTTCGCCACCGCAGCGGTGGACAGTGTAGGTATTTATGTACATCGGCATGACCGAAGGTACCTGGGTACTTGGGTACATTCAGTGAAGCACGACAGTCAGATGCGGGGATCTTCAAATCATTTAGCGTTCTTAGGCTGGGTTTTCATATTATTTTTCTGTACAACGAGAAACTATGTTTCCTAAAAGATCAAGAAGGGGCCATTGTGTCGTTCGTGTTCTCGGGCGAATGCGATCCATTTCCCGACGCCATGATATTCGGTCCTCTTCCAAAATGCCTTTAGGAAGTGTATCGCGGTCGAGTTGCACCAGAGTCCGGTTGTGGAAACTAGGTCAAGGTAGAGCTTTTCGATTGAGATTTGTCTTGTCGTGTCAGCCCAACATTCTGTCCCGGCTATGAAGAGTGGGAGGAAGATGTCGTGGGATAGGATGTGGATTGAACCGGCCGTTACAAAATCGATTTCTTGGATGAGATGCTTCATTGACGAGCTAATTGCTTCTGTTGCTGAGGTGGGAGCGAGGGCTTGGTAAGCGTAGATAAGAGTGGCATGATAGACTGCGCGAACGATCGCGTCCATCCATTGCTGGGTGTCGGTTCCGTGTATTGTTGATAGCCAGGCTGTGTCGGTCGATGCCCGCGTATAAGCGTGTTCTACCTTGGCTCGCCAGGTGTACATGTTGATAGGTGGTAAATCTTGGCCGTTTTGAGACAGACCATATCGACGTCTTTCTTCGACGGTAATTTCCCAGAGAAGCCCCGTAAAAGCACCGAAATGGGAGTCCATTATAGCCCTTGAAGGGAGAGATACCAAAGGATCTTCTTTTGTAAATGCCCCGAATGTGCGGAAAACTTCGATATCAGAGACCTCGTTGATCAAAAATCTTGTGGCAGCATCTTTTGGCTCGGTGTGCCAGTCCCGCCATTGGTGTCTCTCAATCAGAGCTCGACAAGCACGAAGATGCAGGTTCCAGTCTGTCGAATTGGGGACCAGCATCTCTCCATAGCATAGCACCAGAGTGGTTGCCAAGATCCCAATCAGAGATGAAGCTTCGTGATAGGAATTTGAAGAATCATTGTTATCCAGCTCAACACGAATCATGTCGTTGAGGGTTCGAAGACTGGCATCTCGAAGGCGATGGTTCATTGCCTGTATTTCCATTGACTGGGGTTGATTCTTAGGAGATGTAAATGATAAATGCGCTGCGGCAACACTGAGAATTGATAGACGGAGACAGGAACACCGCTGTGCAAGTGGGAACATCAAGCTCCGCCATGGGTGATCGGGCCCGTCGACCCAGGTTAATCGAGGCGCAACGCTGATGTCGAAATGTGTGAAAAGATCGTCAGAAACAGTCACCGAGGTATAGACCTCCACGAGACGGCGGTCCACAGCGGGATGGGATAAGAGACCGGCATCTTCCTGAGCCCAAACGCCATATTTTGTCAGGGAAGATGGACCATGGCCCAGGCCGTTGAAATAAACTCCGCTCTGTGAAACTGCACGCTGGCTAGTGGATCCCACCGGGCTGCTTGATTGGGGTAGAGCCCGCATAGGGTATCTCTTCCCAGCCAAATGCCCTCTACTGGCCACTCCCTGGCTCCATTTCAATTGAAAAGAGTCGTATCCAGGACATCGAAGCCCTCGGACAGAGCATTTCCGGCACCCCGGTGTGCTCCGGTCACACTTTATGCGTCGCTTGTTGCACTGCCGGCAGTCTAAACTATTAGATCAGGTCTCAAGGTTCATTTCTGGGCAGGCAATACCTTTGTCCGCTGTTTGGCGGTCAGATGGCAGCGAGGAAATGCGGACGTTCAACATGTCTCGGGTGGTTGATGCAGCGATTTAATGCATAAGTGGATGAGAAAAGAACACATAATCGGTTCTTCAAGAATGTGGCATTCAATATGATGACCTTTAAAGCAAAACAGAGTTGCAAGCAGGAGCAAGGGAAGACCCGAAGGAATTTCGACCCCGCAAAGTTGGAAGCTGTGGAGCGATTTTGTCGCCTTCGGTATCAGGCACCGAGGTTAGATCTACACAATAATTATGATTGAACCGCCTGTTTTTCTAATATTTCTCATTACTGGAGTCTACGAGTGGACAGTAGCTAATTGAAAGGAAATGGCCTCAACGACTGAAACCTGAGAATATGGATTTTCATATTCAGAATTGGATAGATCGAGCCTACCGGAGGTAACTTTCACGTATCGATTTAGCTTCTAAGATATTGTTTTACAGCATCTGCCCACTTATCCCCGTTCTTATATGTAAATATCTCAGGCACACTTCCACTTTGCAGCCCATCGATGGCCAAAGCAAGATCCTCAGCACTGCCCTCCGCCTTGATATCTTGAATAGGATAGAGATAAGTATGAAAAGCGAATACAATAGCATTTGATGCTGGAAGACGATGCAGCGTCTGGCGCTCGCTACGGAGGAATGTCTATAGTTCCGTTAGACTCATCTTGCAAGATTTATATGAGAGCAAATAAGAAACACTTACCTTATTCAGATCCAAGTCATCCACGGTCATTTTCTTCAGCGTCCCCTCGAATGCGGGTCCACTTTTGTCAAAGTTGGAATAAAGCTCCTCGTCCACAGTGACGGCCCAGTTGACTCGCTTCACCAAGCGGCCCACCTCAAGGCGTGCGAAGAACCTGTCCATGCTCTTTTGAAGCTTCTCCTTGTATTTTGGAACCGGGCCGTGGATGTCGGCCAACCTTTTTCCGATTTTGTCTCTGGGTTGGAACCCAGATGGGAAGCACGCAGAATAGGCTTCTAGGACATAGACGGTTTCAGCGGATGTCTTGTTCTCATTTACTTGATGCGGTAAAAGGATGAAAAAGTCTTCATCTACATTTTCTGAAATGATCGCCAACGCGGCGGGCAGAGATATCGACTCTGCATCTGCGGGTATGATCTTCCCTGTGACAAGATTTTTCACCGTGATGAGAGAGTAGGTCTTGTCACAGTGCGTCTTGAAAATCGACGGATAGCGAGAAGGTAGATAGGTCTTGAAGAGGTAGCTGTACAGTTCCTGAACGGCAAGTTGAATGCGGGAATCATAGTCATCAGTGATGCCTATGACATCTTCAGGATGTTGCTCAACCAAGGACCGTCGAAGGTTGAGACGCTCGGAATATGTCTTATCGAAGATCAAAAAGTCACTAGGGTCTAGTGTTTCAAGGCCTAGCTCTATTAGTTAAATATGCTTGCGAAAGACAAGGAGGTGCATACCCATTGTTAGGTGATATTTCGGTTTGAATGGTCGAAAAGCGGGAGGCTCTGAAGAATCAATATGGAAGCTCTCAATCTTTTCAATTCTAGCATGTTGATGCTGCCCAGATTTAGCATCTTCATGGATATCATTGAACTTATTAGAGAGAGAAGTTAGCAACTTCCACATTTGTTGGATAGTATAGGATTTTATGAAGTCTCACGGAACTCACCCACTTGCATCTGTGAAATCGCCAGATGATCAACGCAATTATAGTCAGAGCAATCTGCCCAGCTACCGGGAAAGGAAACATCTCCAGTATCTGCTGCTGCTGAAACTTCGTGCCCCATTCTGAACTATTAGCGGCAGCCAGTGGAAAATCCATTGTCCCCATATAATTCAGCCGTAATTCATCAACCCGGCTTGGATAAAGAGATGTAAGACGTGAGGTCGGCGAACATCCTGAAATGGACGTCAACCAGCGCCGGAACGTCGCCGGCCCGGTGAGAACCCCACGGCCATCGACATCGCAAGAATCTGTGATAAATGGCAAATTAAACCGTGGCGATAGTTGGACGTCGTGGCCTGATTGGTGACCCAGACAGTGGTGAGGCCCATGCTCCACCGTTTTTGTCACTTTCTCTCTTTACTTTCTAGTTTGGGTTTAGTGCCGGTTCCCCATCTACAATTCCAGACACAAGTCGCTCCGAGGTCGCCCTCTTATCCAACCCTGTTCTACAAGGAAATAAAAATAGTGATTTGAGACAATATACTTAATCATCCATAAAATTTGCACCTAGGCAGTCGGAGACAACTGGTGAGGTCAACTGCATAACTAACATTTGGAAGGCATAATGCGATAACTGAGGATCTTGGAAGCACTCAACTGCTACAGCTGTAGAATTACTACATTTGACCAGAAATCACCTGAAACCCTTGCTAGGAGCACCACTTAGCTTCCCAGCCTGCGAAGAAAGGGCTATGCTCCAGAGTAGCAACATTCCAGTCCCTGTCCACCAATCCCGCTTCTTCCTGCTCTCTCTTCCACGCCTCAAAAGCCGCGATCAAAACATGCTCAACAAGAGGAGTCTTTTTGTATTCCATGAGGTCCTTCTTGCCATGCTTTAAAATTTCTGAAAGTACCGAAGGTACTTTAGGCTCGTCCCGCAACTCCGAGACGGGGGTAAAGAATGCCTTGAAGTTGAATACCACACCGCCGGATAATGGGAGACGTCGGAGAGTCTGCCAATCTACTCGAAGGAAACAGTCTTCTATACTCAGATTGGGATCCTGAGTGTGCTCTTTAGTGATTTCCGGATCGTTCTTGGTCAGGTGGAGAACTTGTCCAACTTCCAGGCTCCAGGCTCCGCGTTGGATCGGTTTGTCCGTTGGCATTTTTGAGAAATATCTGGCGTTACAGCATATTAGTAGCTGGCGTGCGAGGAATATTGATCGGATTCCAGCTCACCGGTGCATCGAGAAAGCCATTTTCTCTTTATAATCCGGCACAGGCTGATGAATCTCATCAAGCCCAAGTCCCAACTTATCACCCAACGTCCAACCAATCGAGTAACAGATGACTCCAGCTCGCAGAGAGTACCTCCCGGTTTGACTATCTCGAATCATGATTGTGAAGTCCTCTGGGACATGATCAAGCAGAATTTCAAGTGGGTGCTTGGATTCGATGTCTATTTGAATGCCAAGGATCCCATTGGAGAATATCTTGCCATCACACGTGAAATATTGTGGATACCGAGCACAGAGGAATTGAATTACCATTTCCAAGAGCTCTTTGCAGGCTAGTTCAGATCCAGGGAGATAGTCCAGTACTGCCTTGCCATGTTTCCAGTGGAGTTCTTTTCGGGCCGCTATTCTTTGGCGATAGGTACTTTCCAGCTCGATCCACCAGTCGGTATCCATTTTGGAGAGTGCTTTAATCTTCAAATAAGCATCAAGATGAAGTGGAAGACTATTCAGGAGGGAAAGGGTACGTACACATCGTTTGATGGTAGTTCCAACGAAATGGCCTGTAAGGTCGCGGCAAGGCTTTGTCGATATCGAAATCAGGAAACGGACTTGGTAGTGGGATACCACTCAAAGTTGCATAATCTGGAAATTTGCCGAGCCGCTGTACTTCCTGCGTGGAGAAGCCCGTAGGTGTGTATCGTGTTGCTCCGCAAGCTTTGAAGTCGGCATCCATTCGGATCTGGCTCTGCAGGACCGCTGATTCAGATGTATGCGGGGAATGAGGGTCAATGTGAGAAGGTAGGAACGGCCGTCGTGAAGGTGGGAGAATATGGGTCAAGCTGTCGTCTGGGCGCGGTTTTGGCGGAAGGCTCTTGGGTGCCGACGACAGCTTCTCTTGGAGCCATTCTCTGGGAATTGAGATCGTGTCGCAGCAAAATAACGGCACTCTTGATATCAGATGTGCATATGCAAAATCAAGAACTGCTGCACTAACCAAACAAGCCAGGAGCAAAAGCATATTGATGTAGCCGTGGTGTAGATGAAGCAGAACGCAGACGACCCGTGGGGGCGAAGGGTATTAGAATGCCCAGATATTCACGGCCAGTATCAAGATAGGCAACGACCCCTCCTGGATTTCCAAAGTAGCAAGATAACCCCATCCGCTGTATTCTTTGCCAGTAGCATTTGATAACTTTCTCTCGCAACCTGCCTGATCAAGTTTAGCGTATTTCGCCTCCCCCAGATATAGTCCCAGCGGAGACGAACCAAAATCCAAGGAAACTGGAAGAAGATTGTATTCGAGATAATATTATGGCTAATATGACACTAAAGCCCCTTCCCAAATAACTCTTCTCCAACTTCCTTCAACAGTGGCTCCTTCCGTACAGCCTCTATCTTGGACTTCGCAGCAACCGTCTCAGTTACCCCCATTGCACGACAAAGATCAATAAGCGCCCCTTCCAACGGAGCTTCATAAATAAAAAGACCGAGTGCAAATAAGAAGCCGCGCAGGGCTTCGGGGCTCTGCTCTTCTTGCGAGACAGCTTCTAGCAAAGAAGCGGCCAATTCTACTTGATCCTCTTCCGAAAGCGGATCTGGCTTTCCATCAAAGCGAGCGTTGTGATTGTATGCAGCGAGATTATATGCAAATGACGATGCGACGACGCGGAGGTTGTTCTGCGAGTCTAATAGGGAGTTGGTCGCGAGTCGAAGACAGGTCTCTCGCAAGGGCGAGGGGGTTGACACGAGTTGGTGTGGGTAAAGCGGGGTGCTGAAGAGGTTGCAAGCAAGTTGAAGAGCGACAATGCGAAGGCTATAAGGGCATGATGAAAGATCCCCCTGGGAGAGTGGCGAGAGAAGTGTGAGGAGGGTGGTATGGTTGGCCTCTTCGGCAAAGTAGCCGCTCACGCGCGGATCAAGGAACAATAAGCGAACGAGGTCCACGACTGCAAAATGACTGTCACTCGGGAGCGTGGGGTAGGTTGATTGAAGAGTAGTAGCGAACGAGTGGAGATCAGGCACTCTAGTATCCGCGGCAGGGGCATTGCCGTTACTTGCAGTGAAACGAAGCTTGACGAATTCGATGACTGGAGCGACACTCTGGGCACCCTTGAACTCGGCTGGAAGCTTTTGCAGGAGCTTATCAAGTGGCGGGACTTTCTTGTACATGACGAAGTTAGAGATAGGTCGCTGCAAGCTGGGCAGTCGAAGTTTCTGGTGGGGATGAGGTGGATAGGCCATCTCGAGGAGCAAGCGCACATTGCCCTTCAATAGGGCTGGCGTTGCACCGCTCCACTGGTTCACCTTCTTTCCTTTCACGAAAGTCATAAAGGTTGGCGTTGAGCGCACTCTGTACCTCATGTCCACATCGCGAGCAAACCCAACATCAACCTTGATGAGTCTTCCTCTGTCACCAACTTCCTCTGCAAGCTCATCGTATATCGGATAGACAGCTTTGCAGGGTGGACACGTCGACGACGTGAAAAAAATCACTGCACAAGAGTCTGATGTCGCGGCCAACTCGCTTTGGAGCTGGCTGAGATTGCTTACATTGCGCACCGTGGTTGGTACGGGATGAGGGGCAGCTGAGACTTGAGGCATCTGAGGAGGGGCAGGCCTTGAAGGTGGTGGCTGAATACTTGGACCAGGAACAGTTCCCGGGCCAGTACCCTGCGTGACACCCTTCAGAGCCATTTCGATCTGAGGTTTCATCATCTGACCGAATGGAGTGTCCAAAAATTGGCGCGGCAGGTTCCGGATGTGGTCAGGGATACTCTTGCCAACCAGGAACATGGCAAGGTCCTGGGTGAAGTTGTTGCAATTATGCAGAAAGAGATCATAAGACTGCGATGCGTTAGTTTTGACTATTTAAGGGGTTGTTTCTTCTCATCCGGACGGACCTCGGGGGTGTATATTTCAGCTAAAGAGCTTAGCCATTCTTCAATCACCTCAGCTGGCAGCTCTGTCGTTCCCAATTTCAGCCTCTCAATCGGCTGTCCATGATGAGTGGAGCCAGGGGCAGCGGTCTGGATGCCTTGACCGTAATAATACTCAACGCCGTTGACGACGATGGACGTGTGATAAATGGCATCCATCTGAGTCCCTGTTAAGGACATGGAGAACTGCCCAAGTTGTTAATAAGGGACGGCATCACTTGTTGGTATGACTGTACGTACCTGGCGAGCAAGACCCTGCATGAACCAATCAGTTACGTGAACTACAAGCACAGATAAGGAGGTAGCATACCTTTGACAGGTCATAGACGTAGAGTATGACGTCCATGATGGATTTATTTGCAACTGAGAAACCCTGAGCAGAGTAGAGTTGATAAATGATTAAGGGCTGGGCCAGGCACCGATCGGATCACGTCAGCGCCGAGGCTGCCGATCCACTGCCTTCGACCGTTTTCTACTTGGCTTCAAGCGTAATTTACGGCGAATATGGGTAAATGAGCAAACACGCACAAGGCAGAGACAGTGACGCGGTATGTACCCAAAGAGAAAGTATTATTTACGTTTAAGCGCGAGCTATTTATGTATCTATGTTTTCTATACTCAACCTACTTTCCACGGGTCCTCTCCCATCTTAAGCATGCTTGTTTAGCGCAAAACAAGAACACACTAGATTCAAATGCTGTCTAGTTACGGTGTGTCACACTTAGTACAAGAGCCATTCTCTGCAATACGTCCACAAGTACATAACAAAAAGTATTTCCCAAAAGTAATTGATACCCTCTAGTTCTGTAACCAATCACCATCCCGCATTACCTCCCCACTTCAGCATCATCGCTCTCCAGATCTCTCGATCGCTTGATCTCTCGTCAACGATACACCCTCCAACCTCCAGCGCAAGCTGCGACGCCTCACAGTCAGAGACATGGTAAGTCCTCCACAACAGTCAGCCATTGCGAAACCCATCCGCTAAGCATGGCTCGACCACAGCCTCCCAAGAGGCGCGGAGCTCCCGTCAGCACCTCCGCAGGCCCCAAGCGCGCGCGCCAGTCCAAGCTCGCTAAAGAAAACGACATCACCGGTGACCAAGAGAACGAAATCAAGGAAGTATTCCAGCTCTTCGCGAACGCGCACGAAGACTTCCCCGGCGAGAAAGAGGGCGTCATCCCGCGCGAAGATGTGCGCAAGGCTATGGTGTATGTCCACTCCGCTCATTTCCCCGTCTAACGTCCTCCTCTATGACATCCACTAATATCCATAACAGAGCCCTCGGCCTCCCTCCAAATGACTCAACCGAACTCGCTGAAATCCTCTCCGCGCTCGATCCAACCCTAACAGGCCAAGTCCCCTACAGCCCTTTCGTCTCCGTATGCGCCGCGAAACTGCGTTCGCGCGACGACGACGCCATGGTCGCGGAGGTCGATGACGCATATCAGCTCTTCACGCGCGGGGGCAATGGGCCGATCTCGCTCGGTCATTTGCGGCGCATTGCGCGCGAGTTGAAGGAGGATTCGGTGGGTGATGAGCTGCTTAAGGATATGATTCTTGAAGCGAACGGTGGCGCGGGATTGAGTGCTGGTGTCACGCTGGAGCAGTTTCATGATGTTATGTCGCGGGCGGGAGTTTTCTAGATGGTTTCCTGTTGTACAATACGTTTGAGGGCTGGTTCTTTTTCTTTCTGCAAGGACATTCTGGATTTGGCGTTTGGGACTGGGCGTTTGTGTTGCATAGCGCTGAGAATTTATTCGGTGTCCTGATATGATAATACTGTGTTTTGTAATTGAAAAACCTCGTGGGAACATCTACGCAGTTGATTTACAATGGAATCATGACCAATTTAGACCTTGTTGGATTGTAGATACATCCTTGCATCCCATTGCAAGTCGAAGAATTAAGACCGGTACCGAAAAAAAAGCCGTGGACAAGACACTCATAAAAAAGGAGAAAAAGAAAGAGTGGAGGAAAAGCAGAAGACAGGGCCCGCGCATCGACTATCAAAATCCTCCGAAAAAAAGCCGTATTTCCATCTCACACCCGGCAGCAACTGGGGAGACGCTAAGCAATGACGGTTGAGAAAATTGTTTACTGATGATACGTTAGCAAAGGGCCCTGAAAGATGCATCAAGTGATGAGGAACGTACAGAAATCTCAGCCATGCCGAGATCCTCGCCAGCGTTGGTAGCCTGGGGAGCAGTCCCGTTGACAGGGGCGTTGCCCGCAGCGGGAGCGTTCTCGTTGGTGAAGTAGTCGACCATCTCAGCATCAAGCTCCTCGACAGTCTTGGGCTTGCCGCGGCCGGGGTTGCGACCCTTGCGGGTGCGACCATTGGGGTTGCGACCGGTGGCGTTCTTGTCGTTGGTGTTGGTCTTACCCTTGCCCTTGGCAGCCTTCGCGGCAGTGGCGGGCTTGGGCTGAGACTTCTGAGCAACGCGCTCGGTAAGAGGCTTGGGAGTAGGAACGGCGGGGGCGTGGGAGGCATCGTAAACGACCTCAATCTTTGTCGGTTGTCAGATAAGCACGTTATGGTACGAAAACGAAAGCGACTGACCTTCATGGGACGGCCATCAACCAGGAGCCCATTAAGCTCTTTAGCGGCCTTATGAGCGGTGTCGGGCTTGGCGAAGATGATTGAGGCAATGCCACGGCTGGTGCCGTTCTGGTTGTAGGTGAGCATCACCTTCTTGACGGGTCCTGCAGACTTGATGAAGTATTCCTAAAGCGGAAGACGATCAGTATTCTCGCCTGAAAATTTGAGGTGAAACAGTGATGGTCGAGTAGCGAAGGGAAACGACGGCGACAGCGCAATGAAAACGTGAGTTAATCCGAAGGTGAAAGAGCATCAGTGAGCACAGAGCGGCGATCGGTAAATCGGTTCAGCCTCTATCCACAAATCCCAAATCCCTATGCAAGATGATCTGCTCCGATCGCAACTTGCGTCCCTCAGAAGTCCCTCAATCTATCCGACAAAGATCCATGCGAACTATTGATAGCGTCCTTCCAATCCACGAATCCATCAAATGAGTGCGACAAGTCCTCGAACGACGGGTCCATGCTCCCAAGAAGCCTTCGTCAATGCACCCGCACCACTTGCATTGAAGAGAGCCCGGAGTCCCGTCTTGTGTCCTCATGTGCGCTCTCGAGGTGACAAATCTTGTAGCATGATAAGACACTGTATAAGTAGCCCTCACAATCACTGTGACGGGATTCACCCCATGGAGCAGTGAGAACACTGACGAGATGCTTTGAAAATGCATCGTCGCAAGTGTTAAAGCAGAGTCTCGCCCCAAAAATATTTGCTGGTGATCTGATGCGCTCGCTGATGCCCTCTAAAGCTCAATGAAAGAGCAAAATCTCGAAAAGCGGTCAGGATGGGAATCTTTCATCTCCGATCCTTGGCACAGTACTCAGAATGACAATGCAAAGCGGAATTGTCTCCAACTGGGCATCATCGCAAGCAGCAGTCATACTTTCACAGTACTACAACAGAGCTCAATTTCCTGCTTCGCAGTATGCCAGCCAGCCAGAAGAATGCGCAGAAGCATATGGAAAGAGCGTGCTGTCTGTGCCAGACGTCGAGCGACAACCACGAAGAGCGGGGAATGAGTAATGTAACAGGTCGCAGCGCGCGTCGCAGTCGTTTACACCTCGAAGGGTTCGAAAACAAAGATGGCGATCAAAGCCAAGAAGGCCTCTCGATCAACATACCTTGATATTGGCCTCAGACACATCGGCAGGCTGATGAAGTTAGTCAATGGAACAGTAAGACTCGAGGCCGATAATGGAAGGAACTTACCAGTCCGCTCACGATGATCTTGCTGGAAACAGCCGGGGCAGCCTTGGGGGCGGGATGAGCAGCCTTGGGGGCAGCCTTGGTGGGCTTGGACTTCTTCACACCTCCGACGGAAGGCTTGGCGGCAGCACGGCGGTTGTTGCTGCGACGGCGAGCATTCTGACGGCGGCTGCCGACGAGGTCGTCGAGAGACTTGTCCAGGTTGGCAGACATTCTGAAGACTTGTGGAGGACGGGTTGGCAAAGCTGGCAGTTTGCGATGAGAAGAGAAGTCGCGATACGAACGCGTCGATGGCTGGGGAGTCACTGAAGAGCGACGGCGTTCAATAAGAGAAATTGAAGGGATGAGTGGGTTCTCGAGAGCGATCGAGAGAGGCTTCCAGGGAAGTAGAACGGAAAGCCAGAAAGTGGAAGATGGGGGGAGGAGGAATGACTGAGGGAAGAGGAGAGAAAGGGAGAGGCGCAGCGGGTCAGCCGCATTAGGCCCGGTTCGGCCGGGTACGTGTTTGCTTTGTTTGCACCACCAACGTGGCCTCGTTCTACTTCTATTGACTGTCCTTGTCTGCCTAATTGGTGCAATTGACTGAAGTTGGACGTCAATCGACCTAATTGTTAATTGAGAGCAATAATGCGCAAAGACAGCGGTAACCAGCACTTGAGTGGAAGCCATTTTGAACCGAAGAGCAGCAAACTGCGATACCTATTTTGGTTCTCGATCTGCCCTTTGTACATGTCGCCCGGGCGCAATAAAAAGCAAAGACCCCATTGATAAGTAAAATAGTCGGATACATTCTATCTAGGTCCAGCCTGTGGTCAAATAGTAAATATCATTGAATGAGGAGCCACCCAACTCCTTCCGAAATGAAACAACAAAAGGTCCAGACGAACAAAGACTCGGGAGTGCATAACAACATGGATATCGCTAGAGTAATCGCAAAAATAAAAGGTCATTAGCTCTTGAGAGCCTCCAGGCGACCTCGCATTTGTTCCAGAGTCGCCTCTTGGTCCTCGAACTCGGGCTCGCTTTCGGCGGCCGGTGTAGCTTCCACAGGCTCTGCGGCCGGCTTGACAGCCGCGGGCTGGGAGAGCTTTCCCGAGAGGATTTCTTGCAGGATTTTGTCCACCTCTTCCTCTGCCTCGTCGTCTTCTCCCTCCAGAAGCTCATCATTGGGCATGGCGTCGTCGACGATCTCCTCGATGATGCCCGCCCTCACCAATTCCGTTGAGAGCTGGTGCATAGTCGATGACAGCTCCGGCAGCCGTACCAAGGTATTCACGTCTTTCATGATCCCAGTGGACTTCTGAAGACTGCCTTGGATTTTGCGTACCGAGAACGCTTCATTGACCTGCATCCCCACGCTCTGCAACTGGGCACGGCTCGTCGTGAGCCGGGAAGTTTGTTTTCGGATTCGCACCAGCTCTCGTGCAAATGTTTTGGTTTCGCTCGTCGCCTGTTTGGCTTGGGATGGATTGCGCTGTGCTCGTTTGGATGCAGCGACGATGTGCCCTCGGGTCTTGCTGTCGAGGGACTTGAGATGGGCGAGGTCGCGATCGAGTTGCCTGGTATTCGCGCGGATGAGGGCATTGCATTTTCTCATCTGGCCGTGAGAGTCAGTGGATTGGACGTCACTAGTAATCTGGCCTCACTTACCTGGGCTGCCGGGTCGGGCCCGAAGAAGACTGCCTTGAGAGACTCCATCGCTACAGGTGTTATAAAGCACGTATAGAATGTGAGACCTAAGTGGTTACCGCAAGGCAGCGGGCTAATCTTTCTCAGCCGTGAGTCGTAGATTGAACGTTATGAGCTGCGTGGGGTAAAAAGAGGGGTGCCCAGGTGCATTCTCTGTGCGGGTAGTGATGGAACAGCAATTGATTTCAGATGAGCTGGCTCCAGGAACGAAGCAAAGCCGTTCGCAGGGGTCGTAGACACTTGACTAGCATCTTATCGGTGTCGCGATGCCTGCGGCGACTCGGAGGGGAACTCGCTGAGTCATCCAAGTGACGTCCCTGACTTGAGGCATCAAGGCTACAAAGAGACAAACAGGACAAACGCAGGCTTCCAGTACATTCTAGCATTCGCGCACTCGATTGCGGTACATGCGCTTCATTGTGAGCTTCTCCTCTTCTGCCTCAGACACCATTCTTCATCCCTCCCCGAAGACTCCATTCCTCCATCATCTCTCTCTTATTGCTTAAAGCTCTTCCTCTTCTTTATCTCCAAAATGCCCGACACCTGCACCCCCGAAGGTAAGTTGTGACAGATCGACTTCCCCGCTCCGTCTCAAAACACTTGGACCTGCACATTTTGTGGATAGCTGCTATGACGTTATCCCATTCTTTGCGGCTCCGGTGCAGAAAAGGCTCAATTTATTTCTACGTCGTTCAGGGATAGCAAGCTGACGTGAAAATTGTTCGGTTATTCCAGTTACCTGGGCCCAGCGCTCCTCCGACTCGGAGCCCGAGCGGAACTACCTCTACGTTAACCTCAAGACTCCCGACGTCTCCAAGTCCGATGCCGACCTCAACATCACCCCCACCGAGGTCTCCTTCACTGGAAAGTCTGGAAAGGGTGTGACATACAAGGTCTCGCTGCCCCTCTATGCCGAGATCGACCCCGAGAACAGCAAGGTGAACCACACCGACCGCGAGGTTGAGCTCGTTCTGCGCAAGAAGGAGTTGAAGCAGGAGTTCTGGCCCCGTCTGCTTAAGGAGGCCAAGAAGTACCACTTCCTGAAGACCGACTTCGACAAGGTATGAAAATCATGGGTGCTGACCGGGTTGGATTTGCTGACTGACTGGGTCCAGTGGGTCGATGAGGATGAGCAGGATGAGGCCGGTGAAGATGACTACGCCAACAACTTCGGTGGATTCGGCGGCCCTGGCGGCGAGGAGGGTGGCGGCCTGAGCAACATCGACTTCTCCAAGCTCGGCGGTATGGGCGGTGCCGGTGGCATGCCCGACTTGAGCGCTCTTGCTGGCGCCGGTGGTGGCATGCCCGACCTGAGTGCCTTTGCTGGTGCTGCTGGTGCTGCCGGCGGCGCCGGCGGTGCTGAGGGCGAGGACGACGTGAGTTATCCCGGGAATGATGTTGCACGCGAAAGCTAATATTTGCATACAGGAGGACCTGCCCGAGCTCGAGGAGGACAACCAGAAGTCCAAGATTCAGGAGGTTTCTTAAATAAACCCTTCTGATCTCCCTATTCTACGGATTCTATGATGACCAGAAACGAAAAATAAGAGTTTTAAGGTTTTTTACGTGCGCCGGAGATTTTGGATTGCTGGAGTATTTCCCACATGTGATGTAGAGCAACGCACCAAGCCCCAGGATGAACCCTTTTGCACTTGGTTTTGCATTATACATGGGTAGATGATTATCTGAGAAAAACATCCCCAAATGAATGCAGTGGTAATGAACCAAGCGAGAATGGCTACTTCGAGAGATCGGCTAGTAGGTCGTAAATATGTGTTGTAGTAGTAGAAATGCTCTGCGATCATTTTCTTCATTTTTTACGAGAGATATGAAGTGTTCCATGGGTGTCTACATGAGCATAGAAAGTGTCATAGCGAATGCAGGACTTGTCCACCGCGAATCCGCTGTGTGCGGGAGTCTCCAGCGATGACGCAAAGGGTCGAGTCCCAGCCGAGCACAGCAAAAACGCACATCTCGCCTTCTGTGGAGCAGAACACATCGACTAGACTTCTACTAGACTCACGATTCCCATCAATATCTTCAAGGTTTTCCCCGTTCATCCTACATCGAGACTCTCACCGCGTGCAAAGTCCGTGGAATATACTTGAAGGGCTCGCACCGTCATTGGTCGGTCAAAGATTGAGCCCGCCACACTTCACCCCTCGAATTTGTGGAGGCTTTCCGTCATTCTCAGCCCTTGTAAAACCTCTTTTCGACCCTATACACTCCCCAACCACCGGGACCTCTCTCGCTTTCTGCATCAGCGTTCCTTTCGGTTTCAACCAGCGTCTCGGCGGTCGAGCGCATCTCTCTCTTTTTTTTTTTTTTTTCACCATCCACCGGCGCGTGAGCCCAAACCGCCACCATGGCTCCCAAGAAGGCTGACCAGCCGAAGAAGAAGACCAAGACGGTCGATGACAAGGTGCGCACTTCAGACAGAGAATGATTCAATCGATTGGACCAGCAACTAACATTTCCTCTCTGACCAGACCTTTGGTATGAAAAATGTACGTCAAAAAATCCGCAGGCCCTCGCGCATCACGAGACCACCGCTCCCAGGACGCCGATAACTAACCCCGACCAACAGAAAAAAGGTGGAGCTGCCAAAAAGCAGATCCAGCAGATGAATGCGATGGCCCTATCCAACAAGGCCCCCGATGAGAAGAAGAAGGAAGCAGAGAGGAAGCAGCGCGAGGCCGAGAAGGCTGCCGCCGAGCTGGCCAAGCGTGAAGCCGCCGAGTTGTTCAAGCCTGTCCAGGTGCAGAAGGTGCCTTTCGGTGTCGATCCCAAGACCGTTCTGTGTATCTTCCACAAGAAGGGCGGCTGCGACAAGGGTAGGAAGTGCAAGTTCAGCCACGACATGAACATCGAGCGCAAAGCGGCCAAGAAGGATCTCTACACCGATTCGCGTGAGGACAAGGAGGAGCAGAAGAAGGCGGATACTATGGACCAATGGGACGAGGAGAAGCTGCGCAGTGTCGTAATGAGCAAGCACGGTAACCCTCGTACGACCACCGACAAAGTCTGCAAGTACTTTATCGAGGCGGTGGAGAACCAGAAGTATGGCTGGTTCTGGACTTGTCCGAACGGAGGTGATAAGTGCATGTACAAGCACAGCTTGCCATCAGGGTGCGTTGAAACTTCCTTCCGCTTTTCGCGTTCATTTGTGCTTGTGCTGACCTCTTGAGCAGATTCGTTCTCAAGACTAAGGAGCAGAAGGCTGCCGAGAAGGCTTTGATGGACAAGTCGCCACTAAACACCTTGACTCTGGAAGACTGGCTGGAGTCGGAGCGACACAAGCTGACCGGCAACTTGACGCCGGTCACCCCCGAGTCATTCGCTGAGTGGAAGAAGGGGCGTCTGGACAAGAAGGCTGCCGAGCAGGAGGCACAGACAGCCAAGGATGCGACTGGTCGGTCCATGTTCGAGAGCGGAGACTGGAAGGACGAAGAGAGCAGTGATGAGGAATCTGATGATGACGGCGATTCCTGGAACTTGGAGTCACTGCGTAGGGAGACCGAGAGAATCCGCGAGGAGAAGGAGAAGGACCGGCTGGCCAAGGTTCACGGAATTGAGATCCCACCTTCAAACGATGCAGCGATTGCACAGGAAGCTGCTGGCTGAGCCCCTGTGCTCTTTCACGAGAATAGTTTCGTGGGACTCTAGGGTCTTTCCCAGTAGGGCTCTTGGAACCAGACCTTTCCGGCTCGGTTCTTCGATTCCATGGGATCGGATCCACTTGATGAGCGATGCTTACAATCTGCTGCCTTTTTGGGCGTTGCATTGCATGACCTCGTCGCTAGAGACTTGGCTAGCTTGCTGTCTATCCATCCCCACCATGCAAGATTGACATGACGACTCTTGCAAGGAAGGGAGGAGGACAGGAAGCTGGGAACGAAGGACAGAGGGTTCAGGTCCTTTGTCTTCATGTGACGGAAGAATCAACGATATATTGTTATGGCTTTGGTAGCAAAAAGTCCGTTCATTTCCAGTATTTGCGCAGCTATAATGGCAATGATTCCCACTAGTTTTTATAAAACAGATTTTCGACCCGAGTAGCCTACAAGATCCCCTGATTTGGAACCCGAGCACCTTTGTATCCCGAATTCGCCATACACTGGGCAGCCTTTGGCTTTCCCGTCCTATAGTCAACCATGTATACCGGCACATCTAACGAGCCAAGTACTTACCGGACATGAATTTGAAGACCCACTGAACTGCCCTGCCGTTAGGTTTGAGAATGTCGGCTGAGCGCAACGGTGAATGAACGCTTATCTTCTGGCAGTTCAAATAATGACAGACTGTCTTGACAGCAGTTTCAGCTTGATGCAGACCGACTTTAGCGACTTCCAATGGTCTTGTTGTAATTCTACTTTCGATCAGCCTCTTTCTCGATCTTTTCGCGCTTGCGGCTTCCGGTGAGAATCGTCTTGGCGGTTGTCAAGTGTCGAACGTAAGGCTCAAAGCTGAAGGACGAGATGCTCTGATACCGTGATATTCGAGATCAATCTCACTCCCAATCTCACTTTTTTATCCGAGGCTCCATTCCGTCGACGTACCTTCTAGTGTGCATATATCAACCGGAGCAGGACACTAAAGCGAAGAAAATCCAAGACAATCCAACGACGTGATGAGTTTGTGCAGTTTCCTTCCATTTATTCTTCCGTCATTCACCCAGTAGCGCTATGCTGCCCCAGAGCAGGTCAATTGAAGCTGCATCCCCTGTAGATGGTTGACTGCTATCCTCATCCCTGCTCGCCTCGTGTACCGTGTCGAGGCTAGAAGTGTTAAAACAAGGTGCGCGAACTTGATCAATGCTCTGGTCTTTGAGGTGCCCCGCAGCTTCTGGAGTATAAAAGTCTATATTCACCACTTCTTCAAGTGCCATTCTGTCGTGATAGTCTTCAAGGGAACATGAAGGAGGAGCCAGTGCTAAAGCTGGACCAGAAGGGGACCCCAAGGGCGAAGAGAGCTCTGTCAACGAGGTTGCAGACAGAGTTTCTATAGACTGCAGGTTCCCGAGAGCCAAGTGACCGGTAGACATTGAAGTATCCACCACGGTAGTAAGCTGGAAGTATATTGCTGGCTGAATCTGGAGCAACAAGGAACCCTTTAGGGGGCCTAGTCTGCCGGAATGCCCAGGTTTTGCAGTGCTCAGCGTGTTAGGTGAAATAGAAGTCTCAAACATGCGGATAATATCGTTCACCCATGACGCGACATGGGAACAATCGTAACGTAAATCATACTGGCGATTGAGCTCATTGTAGTTCTCTAAATCGTGCGCCTGGTTCTTCCGGCCTATGCTGTTGCCACAGAAGCGAAGGTCGAAGCTCAGGACAAGCTGGGGTAAGACGGTGTACGCTACAACACTGATAGGGAGATGTCCTGCCGTACTATCAACAATGAAACGTTTCACTATCTCGTTGATTACTTGAACAGCGTTCATTAGATTCGGTAAATTCTCCTGTCGTTGACGTTGAGAAGTTCGGAAACAGATAAGGTGATACAGTGCCAAGCGAGCGGTTCTATTTGGGAAAAGTATTAGTTTTATGTTCCCGAGTACACTCAGCCGCAAGAGTTGCTGGCCCTTACTTAAAATAAACGCAAGTCAATTGCTTGTAGAATGGGATAGATGGATGATAGCTCGAGTCTTGTGAAGATCGTTGAAGCATATGGTTGGTTTTCCAGTATTCAAGATGCGACTTGATTTCATTAAGCCGAACCGATTCGAAATTTTCGTGCAAATATTTGGACTGGTCTAGAGGATAGACTGTCATTATCAAAGCTGTCAAGGCAGCAACAAGCTGACACTGGCTGGTTAGGAGCTTGCAAAGCATCACTTTGGTCTCAGGGTCATAAACCTCGGAGGCGTGAATCTCCTCAGAGAGGTCTTCAAGAAGTAACGGACAGTGAGATGCGGCGTCAAAGTGCGATGGAAGAATTTGAAGAGACCGCCTCATGCCCAAGGCAATAATTCTGTCACGAATGAGGAGACACCACCAGAGCCTTTTGAGATCAGACCGCTTGTATTTAGCATCGGTTGGAGAACGGTGATAGACATGTGCATTTGCCGCAACAGCCTGTTGAATTGCGAGAGTGAGCCATGTGGTATTTGTCAAGTGATCCGAGCCAGTGCTTTGAAAGGTAAGCAATGTCAAGGCTTGAGAAAGACGCAAATGATCATCCTCAACACCAAAGTCGTAGAGTAACTTAGCCTTATGTCAGCTTTTTCTGGAACTAGGGATGCTCACATCTCAATATCGGACAAAACTCACCTTGGCACGCCGATAAAAAGAATTGCGGACCTCACGAATCGATTCAGCCCCCCATTCCCTAGCGTCAGTCAGCGAGACATACTAGAAACAAGTTAATTTTTGAGACGCTGAACGGTCCAGAAGGTCCTTGGAGATTCCCTCTAGATCTTGTATGTGGGAGCTTACACTGCAAGCAACGAATAGCATCGCCTGAAAAGTAAGTAAAGAAAATGTAGAACTCCCGGGCTGCGTTTGACGAAACATCGGCCAAAACTCAGCCTCGTTCACAATTGGCAAGCATGGGTGGACGTAGAGGAAATAATGGGCAACGAGGGTCTCCAAAAATGGTCCCACAGGGATGTGAAAACATTTTTGGGACTCGAGAAAAGCCACGTCGGCTGGCTGCAAGCCTCGCAGGTTTGGAGCTTGTAGACAAGGATAGTAGGAGAAGAACAGAAGTGGGCCGCGGGTATTTTCTGATGCATCTTTCCAACACATTAGCACTTGGCCCTCAGAGTGTCTTATATGTGCCTTGGCAGTTGAACATCTACTCAAAGCGGACTTGAAATTGGGATTAAGGAAGGATTGGGGAACTCACATGAGCTAGTATTTCGGCTCGTATCCACGCAAAGTGCCTCGGGGCCAACAGAACTAGGTCCACGGGCTTTTTCCATGCCGTCCGCTTGGGGCATGGGATGGTTGCTCATTTGGTCGCCGATTACCGCAGGAATGCGTGTACAATGGCCCCGGCTGTCATGTATAACCGACATCCGATCGGTATCGGCCACATGAGTGGTATCAGCCGAATTCCGGGAGGCTTTTGGGGTTTTCGGACGAGTGACACAATCAAAGCCATCCAGTCGACAGTTGGTACAAGGTTGTCCGCACACCGCAACCTTACATCTCACTTTGCGGCGGCGACAATCTGAGCACGCAATGCGTGCCCGGGGTCGACTCGCCCGTGGACGTGAAGCAGTTCTCGGCGCAGAAATATCCATCAGTTGAGCAGCCGGCTTCGTGGGTGCGTAACTGGTATGTGCGCGAGATTAGATTGAAAAGTGGGCAACGGCGAGTGTTCATAGTCGTCGTCGCGAACATAAAATCAGCTACCCCGCATCCCGCATTCCGAGGCTCCGCACCCTTTACAAGAAATTTAGTACGGGAGATCGAACTTCAGTTGATTGTGGGATCTGTTGAAATCTCAGTAACTATTCTCCGTCCACCGACTTCCAGGGATTCCCATACTACCAAGAGAAACTGTAAGGTCCGCTGAACAGGTGTTCTAGGGTATAGATCAATAAAGAAGAAAATCAATTTATGGGATGAAGGGATTCACATTAGACCTCGGGGGGAGGTAATATAATGTGATTTCGTTAAATAAAGAAAATAGCTAGATACACACTCTTTTTACCTAGTGCACACCCCCTAACCTGAGTGGGAATATCTAGGTATAATATTATTACATGGGTAAAGAGTTCGTAGGGCTTTTTTCATATTTACCACTTAACCTACTGGGAGGTACGATCGGGAGGAAATCGGCGCTCAGATATCCACCTGTTAACCAGGACGGTACACGGCTACACGTCGGTAGCTTGTTGGAGACTTAAGATTTTCTTGACACGGTAAGGACGTTGCCTCCTAGAGCCCTCGAGACAGTGGTGGTTTGATGAAAGCCAGGGTGAAGCCAAGGCGTAATGTTTAAGGGGATTTCCTTTGGGATGAATCATAAAAAGTTGAAAATACAGGACCTGACCACATCCCGAAACCAAACATTCTTTTCTGTTCGGGGAAGCTTTCTCAGTTAACATTGAACACTACCAATCTCGTGGGATTCATCTAGGCACTGATTCCACAACAATACTGGTTTGATCGAAGATCCTTCCTTCAAGCTATCCAACGCCTGTTGGTAATCCGTAGCCTACGCATGGCAAATAAAGTCAGTTCTGTCTGCCTCTGTTAAGAAAAAGGATAATCGCCCGACCTTGAAATACTTAATCAGTTTATCAATCGGAAATCTGCCCTCCCGGTACCATTTAACCATTTGTGGAATGGCCTGTGGTTTCTATCAGTCAACTTCAAATTCCAAAAAGACCTTTTCAGAAGAGCACAAACAATTTTTGGGACGCAATCCCCTTCAATGCATCCCAAGATCGCGCGGCCCGACTTCGACATCAATTAGTCATATGTTCGAACTCGGTCAGACTTTACGACTCACATTGATATGTTCTACTGCTTTGACACCCAGGGTATAATCTGGGGGTGGTACTCCGATAAGCACTATCTTACCGCGTGCAGTTGTGGATTGGATCCCTTGCTCGATTAGGGTAGGCACCCCCGTGGTGTCGATCACAACGGAGACTCCTCCCGCCGACAAATTCCTAGTCGCTTCATTCAGTGTGGTGAAAGATGGATCACTTGTGTTCAGAATATGTGATGCCCCGAGTGTTTTGGCCAGCTCAAGACGATCTTTGATCCGATCTACAGCGATGATAGCTTTGCAATTCCTTATCTTTGCTGTCTAGACATCCAGGAAATGGTTAACATCGTGAAATAAAGTGATCATATTTAAATGTTGAAAAAGGAAGAGAGAAAAAGATACCATGAGAGCCCCCATTCCAACAGCACCCATGCCTATGATCATGACTGTTTCAGCTATACCCGCGGCGGCAATGTTCTGGATTGCACCCATTCCTGTCTGGAACCCGCATCCCAAAGGGGCAAAAAGTTCTAGTTCATGATCATGGTGTAGAAGTTCCTTGGCGTTAACAACGCTTGCTTCGCTCACAATGCTGTACTGGGCAAAGCTGGATTGGCCAAAAAACCTCGTCCATATTATTTCACCGTTTTTCCGTAGAGACATCGATCGTTTACGGCCGACGTAGTTTTCCTGCCCAAACTCGTCGCAGTAGGCAGGATGACAGTCCTTGCATTGCTCACAGGAGGAGCAGGAGTGAAAAGATAACAGAACTGGGTCTCCGACAGCGACGGCATGGACATTCTTGCCGACATCGCGAACAATCCCTGCACCTAATTCACTTTTAGCAAGCGCAACGTTGAAGATGAAGGTCAGAAAGAAGAAAAAGAAACGGATCAAGAGCTAATAGGACTATTCGAGACTTAAATTTAAGTCTAGAATTGGTCCTTAAAGTGAAAATAATACCTTCATGTCCGGGCACCTTTGGATAACTGAGGCCAAATACACCTACAGATACTGAAGTCAACAGGATATCAGTATGGCAAATTCCGGAGGCACGCATTTCCACAAGGACTTCTCCATCACCGGGGGCGTGAACGTCCACATCCTCTAACGACCAATTCACAGCCAAAGGATGCGTAGGCTCTCGAGCAATGACAGCTTTGGAGACTACCATGACACAGGTTGGATGGTTTTAAGTCCACCTTGTTCGATACAATTAGGGGGTCTTTAAAGAAATCCTGTGCTCTTCCTCCGCAAGACAAATCCAAATAAATCCAACATCGTGGGGTAAATCTGGAGTTCCACGACTAACCGCGGAGACTCGGTAAATGCGGGGTAGTCGGATATGCAGACGCGTCTTGCCTTCGACGCCACTTTCGACAGATATTTTGCGAAGAGTCTAACACATAAGCAGACATTGTCTGACCAAGCTATAATGCATCTCAGTCCCACTTATCCCAAAGGGAGTTTTTTTCCGGGTTCCTGGATCAAGAAGAAAGTCCCGAAATGACAAGGGGGAGAGCCGAACCGGTTCTGTATCATCATTTGACACTCTAAGCACCGAGCGCAGTGGAGCGAGTCGAAGGCGAACAAGTCTCTCAGGAAGCTCAAAGAGCTTTGCGAGCGAGACCATTAATAGTGGATTCTCTAGCATCAAAATACCACCGATCACCTACTAGAACTCCAAGACTAGTTTTGCTTTTTGCTTCTCGCGTTATCTACTAGGAAGATGATCAAGAACCGGAAGATAAGTCTCATCTAGCTTTGATTAGTCGTTTTAATATATAAGGATCTCGGTGAGACTATCAGTTGGGTCCTAATCTAGGTTCTCAAATACACAGCAGATCGTGGCCGCGAATACAAAGAGCGGACGGATAATGCCACTAGTTTTGGAGATTTTTCTCTCCAGGCCAGTCTATCGATAGGGACCATTCAATTCTAATCTCTGTAAATCAATATTCAAAAAACAATAATATATCATGCTCGATCACTTCTATAAGGGTGTTATAGAGAATTAAGTCTTTGTCGTCATTGCTTAGAGTTCTCGAAAAACCTAGACGAATCGGTAGATCGAGCCTACTAGTTCAGAGCACTCGTAAACGAATTATAGATGTATTCTTTAGATATAGGAGAAGTTGGAGTATAAGTTAAATGTCACTATCTCCTTCGCATTCGTCTAATGCATCAATCACTATCACTATAGCCATGATAGCGATAGGGGTTCGCTTAAGGCTCTAGAGTGGCTAAAGGAGGAGTTTTTCGAATTCCTGCCACATCATCTTTATTATAATACCTAGGTTATCGCGGGCTATTTGCTAGAGGGCTAGATCTATTATAGGAATACTAGTCGCTAATTGCCTTACGATTGTCGGGAATAGCTTTCTTGCATTACCGCGATCCGCTTCGCCTCTTTCAAAGAAAAGCTTGCTCTAAGTAACTTAAAGTGGTTGAATTTTCCTGTTCCCGCTATTCCGTCCAACCAGAAGATGCATCTAGCATTTAGGGACGAGGCCCATTCAGTGATTTGATCGATGGTATCGGGTCGTGTGCGTGGAAGACATTGATCTTTATGCTGATTTTCGTATAAGTTGAACGCAGCCCCGGGTACAGAAGATAGCTTGTCATCAAGGTCTATTTAAAGGTTAGCATGATCGACGCTGAATCACTACATTTCTAAGGTACCTGATTGATGATGAAACTCGTTCGTGACCAAACTGTAGTTAACGCCTATCTCTGCTTCATAATTGGCCCCACTGAATGAGATCGTTGAGTCCATAAATCACGAGGCAAAGGGTCTTTGGTCCTCAGGAGGAACATACGGAGTTACTCCCCAGTCCTAGTCACGACCATTATATTTTCAGCCCAGAACATAATGTCCTTGACAAACGCCGGATAATACCCCACTTGACACCACGCTTTGTAGAGAAATCAGGAATTTTGTCGTCGTCAATCTGTACCAGGTCTAGTCCATCATCTAGAACTACGTCGCACGCCTTTTTGACCTCGGATTTCAATGCCTCATCACTTAAACGTGACTGTTGCCAGATACTGTATTCCTTCGCGGCAATAACGAGAAGGACCCAAATATGAAGGTCAGGGAGGTCGATCGAAGAAGTAGTGGGTTTTCCAGAAATGTGGGAGTGGATGAGCCGGTTGAAGCGCAGTCTTTTACTGAACTTCTTCTCTCTACCGTGAGACTCCAGCGACATCTTGGCATACGTATTGTGATTTCAACTCAAGAACCAACGATATCCACTGCTCTTCTTGGTGTCTGCTCTGTTACCGTTGTTCATCGATTTTCGTCACCGGAGTGGCTTCGTGCTTTGAAAAAACACGAAGCGGGCGTCTCTATAGGTGAAGAGCCACGAGAGATTGCAGCGCACACAGAGAAGGAACAGTTATATGCGAGAAGTCATTGTTTGAAAGAATAGTCCATCTTCAAGTGGGTGAGGCTTTGCTTTTCTCCCCAGGTGATTTGATCGAAACCCCCTACGGGGAGTGACATAAATGGTACAGTCCAAAAATTGGGACCTGGTTATCTGGAAGTTAAAATCAGGAGCAGGCTGACTGAAGATGGTGGAAGAAGTGTTCTTTCTCTCTGAAGGCTAATATTCTGGTATTTAGATTATTTGACTAGGTGTGCTACTTACTAGTGCTTCTTAATTCTGGATTGAAAACTTGAATTTTTTGATCGGAACTAATTAATAAACGTTTTATAGCTTAATATTCAGGGTTTCCATCTAAACCTCGCGAGGGGGGGGGGGGGGGTGGGGGTGCACTAGCCTCATAGTACAGTTTCTTAAAGGATCAAATGGCTGGTATCTATATCGATAGGATCAGAAGAGCCGGGACGGGCAGATTGAATGATGTGAATCTCTTGTATATCCTTTAAGGTAGCCTCGAATTTCGGATGTCTCTAAACCTAAGTGGCGAATACTATTTAGGTCCTAGCCTCTCACTAGCTACATTATCTTGTCCTAGATCGCCGCCTCATGCTAGGCTAATTCTACGCAACGTGAAAAAAAGTATGAAAGAAGTTGGCTAGCTTAGCCTAGTTTATTTACGCCCCGCGTAAAAGAAATAGAGGTTTTCGTGCTAAACACTTAGAGGAACAGATACAAGTATGAAATCGTTATCTCCGAAAGAACTTTATATTAGCATCAATAACGTCGCAATCTTTCCTAAACCTCTTATTTACAGCAATCGCAGATTTCTGCTATATTGCATAGCCCAATACCATGAAGTTTAAAGGGAGCCCACGACCTTGAAAGCCTAAGGCTTCTTTCAAGAAAAAAATGATATAGTGGCTAATTAATATTATGCACAGCTATAATGGCATGACACGGCAAACGCTCTCCATGTTTTGTTCTCAATTTTCTGGTGTGCATAGGGCAGATAGGGGTTAATGAATTTGAAGCCTTTGTTACCAGTTGCTAGTGTCTACTGAGTCCCCATTCACGTGAATTTGACTAACCCAACAACTGGATCGTTGAATTTACCTGGAGGCAGATGAACTCTGCCATGATTGAGCCACAGTTATCTCCAACATTGATCCCATGGTTGTAGCCAGATAGTGATATCGACGCCATAATGACAGCACGTTCGTCTATGTTCATGTGAAGGGGCATTGCCTGCCTCTCACCTGAAGGAGGCACACGTCCTTTGCTTCACGATCAGATGACTCCGTGGTCGGTCCCTGTGTGGGGTGGGACTAGCACCTTCCCAGGAACCAGATCAACCTGAGCCCGAACATCCAGACCAAGCGCAGCACACGATGACCAGCCAGATCCCATCCTCTGACGGGCGCGCCGCTTGACTGCCCACCGCCCTGTATCCACTTCTATTCCCGCCCAGCGCTTTTAGTCATCCTACGGTCCTCTGGCTGATTAATCTCCCAGACGGTTAGGGTCAGGTGAGTGGCTACCAGTCAAGATCATTCACCGCCGGGCACAACACACAACTGCCAACCCCCCCCCCACTTCGACTAACCAGGCCCGGCACACTGGTTACTGATTTGGGCCAAATTGATTCATTCAACACCCTATCGTGTTGTCCCTCAGACACGATACGGCTACGTCACCCATTTTGGCTTATTTGATCTCGTAGCTACCCTCGCTTCAGCTAGAAGCATCTACTTTTGCATTTGCCTCCGCTACGACTCTACCGAGGGGAATTGTAGCAATCTCCTGACGAGCTTCCAAAATGGCGGATCCTCTGAGCATTACTGCCTCGGTGCTGGCTGTTATTGCAGCTGCTATCCAGTCGACGCAGTCGCTCTACGAAACTGTCAAATGCTTCAGAGATCGCGACAGAACTCTACACAGGCTTCAAAATGAGCTTGAAGACCTCGCCAAGATTTTGGGCTCATTGACAGAAGTGACCAGTGCCGAGACGTCAATGTTCGAGCTTCTTCAAAGTCCTATTGGCCGATGCGGCCAGGTTTGTGGCGAGTTCAAACAGTCATTGGAAGCTTTCAGTCAAAATTCAAAGATGGGTGTTCGAGATTGGACAAAGATGGAATTTATGAGAGGCGACATCGATGACTTCATAAATGTTGTCGCAGGGTATAAGTCGACGATCTCTATTGGTCTATGCGCTATTACTATGTTAGTTACAATTCCTTGTCTAGTTCGGACTCCACTAACATCTTTCATAAGGGATACCACCAAGGTCTCCCGCCAAGCTCTTCAAGACTATAATGAGCTGATCCAAGACACAGCATATAATCTCGAAGTCAATTTACAACGAGTTAATGAGAAAATGTCGCGGTTTATTCTCGACAACATAAATACCTTGGACATCAGCATTGATATTAATGACGAGAAAGAGGTGGCCAAAAAGTGTCTTCGTATTTGTGAAGACGTAAGGTCTTGTATTGAATCCCGGGCAAATCGAGAATCCTTTATATTACAAGAGCGGCCTCAAAACGCCACTGAAGATGACATGCAAACTTGCTTCGAAGCGCAGGCGCTTACGCGTCAAGTGCTAGAGGAAAGTCGCGATAGCTTCACACAGGTCATCGGTCGCCTTCAGAAACGCCTAGAGTCTCTACTTCCAAATATGAACCCTGGAGACGACAATGAGAGGTTACGATTACAGCATGATATCAATACTTCGAAGCAATGCCTGGAGGTGTGCAGGGTGGCCCGTGAAGCTTGCTATCAGAATATAAGCGGAACTAGGGAAACAACTGCCGACAAACACACAGACCAAGCAGTGGTGACTACTTTAGGAGATTTATTCAATATCAAAAAAACGCTATCTCAGAACGACTCAGCGCAGGTGGTTGGCTCAATGACGGAAGAAGCTCTTCGAAATTTGGCCGGCAAGGGTTATAGCAGTCGTTTCAGATCTTTCTCCCATGAGTCCAGCCCTGCTGAAGCTTGCAGCACCAGCTTGCCTTCAGTCGTCCAGTCTCGACCGAGCACATCCACAAGCAGAGGCTTCCGAAAGGTTCAGGCTGCATCGTCTTCAGATGAGGCCCTGTTAATAGAATGCCAAGAAAAGGTAAGGCATTCTTATGGGTCATAGTAGATGGTAACTAACAGGCAAGGTGCCATGTGAGAATTGTGACAGGATAACATGGTCGGAACCCGGGAGAGGCAATCGGATTGACCCTCCATCCAATACTGTGGCAGTTGTCGTGGATCTTATCAACGCGAGAGGGGCGATCAGGATTTATGATCAACAGGGCTCCTACGTAGACGGTGTTGGGACGGCGGAGGCAGGGAATCGCATCATAGTGCCATGGGATATAAATTGGTGGTTTTATGTGTCGGGGTATCTCACGGTTGGTCTTGTATTTGGACGCTAGCTGATGATAATATCTTTCACATCAAACGTGAACTGTGCATAAAAAGTTGTGCCCTCAGTTCATTAGGGATAGTGACTGTTATCCATGACTCTAAACTCACGTCGTCTGGGTCATACAAACACACGATACCCGTAAACTGGTCTGAATTCACTATGGCTCGTACATCATCCATGGTGAGCATGTAGACGTCTCCTATGCGCGTGCGTTGATTGTGTTCAACAGACGTATGGTTTTGTGTGCTAGAATGGTCTAGTTTGAGTTAGATAATTTCAGGTAGATTTTGTGTTATGAGACACACAGTTGGCAGAATTGTTTTGTAACGAGTCTCGCAATACCTGGCAATCAAAATTCGTTCGATTGTCTCTGATTCTCCTGGAGAGTTCGAGTCTAAAACGATCCTTCATTTTGCCGATCATCGAGCGCCCAAGGCCTAGAGCACATAGACCAACTATTTCATCCCCACAGTCCCGGGCTATGCTTCTCAAGAATTCCCAATAATTCCTCTCCCTTGTAGTTTTCGGCGGATCAGCTTCTCTGGCAAGTACAAGAGCATCCGCGACGCGCTCTGCATCATTTGGTCTGATTCTGGCACGGTATTGTATCATCTCGGATGCTGCAAGCAGACGGTGCATTGCTTGGTCAACAGGGCATTGGAGCGGCTGAGCTTGCCGCTGTGCTACTTGTTGTGAGGACATTTCAAACGGGAACCTTCGTCGAACCAGGAAGTTTGAATTTGTTATGTTCAGGGCGTATGGAAGATAGCGAAATCAAAGTTATTGACCATAGTTGAATTACGGAGGGTGAAAGAGAAGGAGCGAAGAGATTTGAAGAAATAGATACAGAGAGATAAATCATGCATGTGAACCAGATGACATGTCTCAACAGGCTGGGATAATATCGCACAAAGGGTGAAATATAGAACAATATGGTTTCGACTATTATGTGCGTTGCTTGCAAAAGTATGGTAAAAACATGGTGAAATGCAGGGGGTTTCTAGGTCAAATAGGTGGGTGCTATGCAATGCTCAACCCCGCACAACAGACGTGGGGACGACCACGGACCTTCAGCAGGTAACGAGTATCTTCCAGCATGCTGTACTTGTGATTGGACATTAGATCATGCAGGAGCTTCATGCGTGCGCAAGAAAAAGGAAAGGTGTATTATCCGTGTCCATAGTCGCACCACACCGCCCTTCTTATCTTTGGCCTTCTTAATGCAGACCCATTTATGCTGATGGCAAGCGGCGTATACGTGAGCTTCTCTGAATGTTTTACCTTTAGGGCCTCAGAGTTTTTCCGTCAGACGTTAACCGGAGATATCCATATTTTTATCCTGTAGATCATGTGATCTAAACGCGCTAGCTGCGATAACAGTACCTTGACTCCTAAGGCGCCTACCCAGCCAGGAGCTGGAATGATGGCATTATTTGCGAGCATATTTCGGACGTGGTATACCAGAATAAAGACCATCTCGAAAGCGTGCTGGACAAGAACATCATGATGGTACAGGCACAGCCAGAAAGCAGAGAAACAAAGGTTTGGCCTTTGGACATTCATCACCTGATCGATCACTCGTGACTTTGTAATCCCGAGTCCGCTAGTTAGTTAACTACAACACGTGAATTAGCTAGGCCAAAAAGGTCCGATCAAACTTCTGACTAATCAGAAGTTTGCAAGTTTGCTCTAGCGGTTTATATACCATAGTTTCCACAACTTCGAGTCTCGAGTGTTCCTAGCTGACCCGATTAGAGGACCTTATCGCAGTCTCAACGATCCTTCGGTGGTCCTATTGTTGACGGCCATCGCTGAAAGTCCACTGCTTTGACAGGGCTCTTCTCGACAGGATGTGTGGCATGCCGCCTGGTTTTTGGGATCTCCAATGCACCCAGAACTTCTGGTCTTTGAATACGCTTGCCCAATAGGGTGCGGAATTTGCGGCCGCTCTCAGCCGGCTAACCCTTGACCCCCTTGGTTATGATTTGGGGTGGTATTCGGGGAAACAGTCGGAGAGAAGTAGACAGTGCTTATAATTCGACGTTCCACATGTTTCGCTAATTCCATAAATAAAATCCATCCTACGAACTGTTTCCAAGTAATTGGGCGACTATCTGCAACATATGCCATGGTGCATACGCGAAGTATGCAGGTCCGCGGTTTAAAGTTCGATCTACTTACTATGATTGGAAATCATGGGTATATATCAGGATTGCAAAGAGCTTGTCAATCAAGATTTAGAGTCTCTTGTCTCATTATCTTCTATATGTGACAACCCCGATGGTGTACACGCTTCAAACCATCCTAAGATCTCAATCCGTTACTAAATTCGGCGTTGGATAATATGAGTTTTAGAGACGTTAGTGGTCCTTCCATCAGGTAGTATTGGTGACATACTAATTGAGAGCCAAGAAAAGCCTAGAATCCCGGTGACTAGATAAGTTAAGGGAAATGTCTGAGAGACTGATGTATCATGTCACCTGAGAACAAACTCTTCCAAAGCCCGGCCATTTTCCCGAAAACATAAAGCTGCGTCGGGGCCAAATAATCCTAATCCAAGAGCTGCAAAAGTGGAGGCAACCAGGACTCAGCCACAGTCGTGACCCGAAAAAGAAGGGGCAGGCGGGGCGGACGGTTGTTCCAGTTAGGTAGGCAAAATTGTAGGGCGCAGCGATGAGTGCAAGATACACTGGGTGGAAGTAATGAGCCTACTAGGGCCTTACGTCAGAAATACTAGGTATCCTTGATGACCTCCAAACGGCTATATCGGTAAGTTCCAAAGATAGTCTTATATATTTGCATTAATAGCTTTAGGGCCACAACTCTTCCCCAATTTCGCATTTACTTCACGATGCAAAGCGATTTATGCTGAAAAATTTCCAGATAATCGATTAAGCACCTCTTCAAGTTTATTGTGCTGGACTTATATTTGCACCCTACACGGCAATAATCCGTAGAGAGTTCAAATAAGAACTTCATACTTAGGTATGCTAGCTACCACGAGTAAAAGAAAGATAGAGTGCCGAATTACAGACTCTCGAAGGTCATTTAAATCGGGTTCGGTCAGTCATTTTCTCGCCCGATGGTCGGCTACTAGCGTCTAGCTCTCATGATAGCATAGTTCAACTTTGGGACCCCGCGATAGGTGCACTTACTTAGAAGCTCGAAGGTTATTTAGGTTCGGTTCTATGGGTGACCTTTTCGTTTAACGGCCAGCTGCTGGTATCGGACTCTGACGATAAGATAGTACGGATCTAGGATTCGTTAATAGGCGCCCTTATATAGAGCAATAGGCGCAATCGCATAGACGCTTAAGGGTCATTTAGGTTTAGTTGTGGCGGTGGCCTTCTCGCCTAGAGGCAAGCTATTTGCGTCCGGCTCTAGTGACAGAATAGTGCGGCTCTAGGACCTAGCGACAGGCACACTTATTCAAATGTTTGAAGGCCATTTGCAATCAGTTGCCTCGGTAGCCTTTTCGCCCGATAGCCATCTAATAGTGTCGAGCTCTGAAGATAACACAGTGCGGCTCTGTGAAATGTCGACAGGCGTGGCTTACACGAACTTGGAATGTTGAGGAAGTAGTCACTGAGCTAGAATTTTCCTACGACGGTCCCTATATCCGTACTAATTCCGGCCTTCTTGACATTCAATCTAGGTGTGACATTCCCACGTTTCATTCACCTTATGCGATTTTAGGCATCTCTATCGAGCATGACCAATAGATAAACTTGAATGGCGAAAAAGTTCTTTAGCTTCATTTAGAATTTCGACCTAGTTGTTTCAAGGCCAAGGGTAGTATACTTGCCGTGGGACACGCATCAGGGCGAATTTCCTCTATCGGGGTTTCCATATAGACATGAATTTTTCTAACTTCCCCTGTTCCACTTTTTGATATCCTCAAAGAACGGCTCTGTCCTGCTCATAGTATATTTCATTAAGTTCCAGCCACCTGGCAGATCGCTAAGAAACCAAGCACTTAGCGACCGTCGTTTTGACTGATTTGCAGATATTCCCTCTGAGATTCCATGGAATTCCACGGGGTTCTCATGTGAATTTCGTATTATTACATCGCTAGGTACTGTATCATACAATGCACAGTTTATGGTGTCCCTCAACTAGGTGTAGCCAGCCCAATGAACGATCTAGGCTAAGGCCTTGGCAGTGAGACTTGAAAAGAGATACTCAGTGTATATTGGTCAAGCCGAATTCGAGAACGGAGATGTTTCTCAATACCGGGCCAGTTGCGACTAGAGTTGGCCCACTTCACGAAAACATGAGAAAAGCCATAGTACCAAGGTTTGGCCGCAAGATATGGCATGCTCTCGGATTGGATGCTCGGCGTGCGGGGTACAGGGATCGACAGTTACGATGGTCGGCCTCATGAGATACCCGATGTTCTGCCATGGGTGAGAGCGTAATGGACTCCATTTCTCGAACGAGTATCGGTCTTGAGACTGTTCGCGTGAATAAAAACAAATCAGATACGGTAATGAGTGTATTAGACAAACACCGACGATACAAGACTTATATATGAATCAACAGTTCAGTCCCAAGAATCTGGTTGACGAGTGAATTGGCGCCAATCAAACAAACTATTAGCGCCTCGCTATTTCGAAATTGGGATCTGGGGTGCAGCGGGGTCTGGGGTACTGGGTTAGCTGACGTCAAATCAACCTTCTCGGATTACCGAGTGCCCGCATTTTGGAAGTCTGCCCGAGCCGTCGGCTATGCACTAGGTTGTGTGTTTGGTTTGCGATATATCTATATCACATTTCTTCTGAACCCGGGTGCGACCAATTTACTTCTTCAACGCTCAATTTAGTACCATGATGACCAATCTCACAACCACGGTACCAGCCTTTGCGGCTTTCAGCGGGATAGCCGCTCATTTACTTCTCTATCGCCATGGAGAATGGGATGTCAATGCCCCCAAGCTGGTGATCACATACATAATTCTCTTGCTGGTTGCTGTGACCCTGGACAGGGTAGCAAATAACACCGGGGTCGAGCTTGCACAAAGGCCGATCGCTGCAAAGACTGTGGGCTATCATCTGTTAGGCATATATGGCTCTATGACTTTCTATAGAATCTTTTTGCATCGTCTGTCTCGATTTCCTGGTCCGTTTCTTGCCAGATTGTCCAATTTCTACGTCACTGCGTTATCTGCCCGGAAGCTTCACCTTTACGAGGAGACGGAGAAACTGCACAAAAAATATGGAGATTATGTACGGCTAGGTAAAAACATCGTCTGCTCTCTTATTTCCTTTCGTGGCTAATAGAAAGCCTTTATTTACATCACCAGGCCCCACGGAGTTATCTATTGCCGACCCAGATGCAGTGAAGGCATTATACAGCCCCCAAGCAAAGGTCTCTAAGGGACCTTGGTACACAGTCTTGGAACCACGTGTCTCTCTTCAAATGGTCAGAAACAAACAAGAGCATGCACGTCGAAGGAAGGTCTGGGACCAAGGCTTCAGCTCTCGAGGTATGAAAAGTTTTTGAAATGACAAATAGTACTGGAATTGCGGTCTAATCCCGATTTCAGCTTTGCGTGATTATGCGCCTCGAGTATCGCATTACACAGAACTGCTCCTTCAAGTCATCCAAAGCGAGCTCGGAAATCCCATGGATATTGCTCGGTGGTTCAACTACTATAGTTTTGACGTGATGGGTGATTTATCGTTTGGGAAATCGTTCGACATGCTCGTTGATGGCAAGGACGCGTATATTTTAAAACAATTGCACGCGGATATGAAAAATATTGGGTTATTCAGTCATCTGACTTGGTTATTTCCATTTTTCAAAAGGATTCCAGTGCTGAACGCGGATTATTTGAAATTTTGGAATTGGGTGGATGAGCGAGTTGATGAAAGAATCCAGGTGAGTCACATTCCATCGGAAGGAATAGATAAAAGAGAGAATTGCTGCTTATAAGCGGGTGCAGAACTCTCCAGATCGCCCTGATGTCTTTTCCTGGATTTTGAAGGATTATGAGCACCATCCAAAGACAAAACAAAACACACTCGATCTCCACGGTGATGCGTACCTGATCATCGTAGCTGGCAGGTAATTTATCGCTCTATACATAATCTTTCCCCCAGCGACGACAGCTAACCATAGACTTTCCAACTCAAGTGACACCACAGCTGCGACCTTGACCAATATTTTCTTCCATCTGGCTTCTGACCGGACGTTATATGAAAAACTTCAGGCTGAGCTGGATGCTTTGCCAGAGTTATCTTACGACAATCTAAGAGGAGCTAAATTACTCGATGCAGTGGTTAACGAAACGCTTCGTCTACATCCTGCGGTACCATCAGGCACCCAGCGTAAGTCTCCGCCTGAAGGCATGACTATCGGCAACACGTACATTCCAGGAGACGTTATCGTGTGTGTACCATTACACGCATTATTCAGAGGTATAGATACATTCCTCCTTGGTTCACCGACTCTACACGCTACTTGACCAAGCTCAGAATCATATGCCATTACTGACAACCGGCAGATGAGCGCGTCTTTGCACGCCCAAATGAATTTTTACCCGAGAGGTGGACTACCCATCCAGAGCTTGTCAAAGACGCATCCGCGTTTATACCATTCAACAGCGGTAAGTCTGATGCTCTGTTTGATTTCATTCCCCCATAGTTTGCAAAACAGCAGCCCGGTAATAAGCTCGAGGATACTGACCCGGTATACACCTAGGACCATACTCGTGCGTTGGAAAGCAACTTGCCCTGATGGAGCTTCGCCGAGTGACTGCAGAGATACTCATTCGGTATGATGCCGCATTTGATACAAATCAGACTGCGGCCGCATTCTTGGATGGCAAGAAAGATACGTTCACGCTTGCCACGGCGCCGCTACAGCTCGTATTCAAGGAGCGGAAAATGCCTCAAGTCTGATGTCGGCAAGTACATCGTGAGGTCATGAAAGAAACTTCCCAACGATTCATCAAAATCTCGATATATCAGTGTGCTAAGCTAGTGTATCTCGTTTTAAGCGGATTTTTCGATCCTAATTCCAGGCGGAAAATTTCGTGAGGCTCTCACTCTTGATGCACCTTAATCCATTAGACTTTTTGAAGTCCCACCCGGCAGAGCAAATATGATACGTATTGTGACCTATCTAGAGAAATCCCGTAGGATGTATTTCAAACTGAGTGTAGTATGCACAAGAATTCTATATTCACAAGCCTACAATGCATAATGTACACCCGTTAACGAGACATCCATGCCTTTTACAACACCGCTTTCTCCCTCAACAGTCCATTCTCCAGCATCAGAGCAGCGGTATCCTCAGCGACACCCCGCGAGAGCTCAAAGCCCCGCCCACCAGCTCCATAGGAATGCACGATTTGCTTGCCGTTCCCCAGCTTCTCGACTTCAAGGCGCATGCCGCCTTCGCGGGCGGGCCGTCGCCCTACGATATCCTGGATGACATCGAATTTGCCCTCGCTCTCCGGGGTAAATGGGAACCACTTGGATGCGTTGGCGAGAAGCTGGGACCTGGTTGCTGGGGACGGGTTGGGGTCCCAGTCGTGTGGCTGCTTGGTGCCGCCGATGACGGTGCCTCCGTCCAGCGGGCGCGGGATAGAGAAGGACCAGGAGCCATCGGTGTTTTGGCGGGTGATAGTTGCCGATACGGGGTTGCGGACGAGGCATGTTTGGCCTGGAGCAGTTAGCATGTTCATTCATCGAATTACAGAGGGATCGTCGTTGCCAAAATACCTCTGATAATGAATGATTTCGGATCCTCGAAGCCCAGACCCGAGCAGTTGACCACCGTCCTGACATTCGCAGCTAGAGAGAAAGCCTCTTTCGAATGCGCGAGGGTATAGCGTTTTGTATTGCCGCCCTTCAAGATGAATTTTCGCAGCATGTGCGCACAGTATACGGGCGAATTAACGACGTATGTACGATACTCAACACCCCATTTCACACCATCGGGCATCTCATCACTCGATAAGTACCGGAACCCATCTAGATGGGAATAGACATTGCGCACACTCTGGCGATCGAGGTATTCCGGCGGTGGAGCCTCGAGATGCTCGACGCCTTGGAGAAACTGAATACCGGCTGCCGGCTCATCGGCAGCGATTCGTTTGAAAAATTCATAGGTTCGTTGCGCCTGCTTTGCTTCTCGAAGTGCCTGTGGCGAGGAGCCGGGTTCGGGACGATAATGTCCTCCGGCCCACGGTGACGCATAGTTGACGGATGTGTCGGACGGGAAGTCTCTGGCTACTAAAAGCACGGATTGGGAAGGTTTAAGGTGTTGCTGGATGCATAGCGCCGTCGATAGTCCGACAACACCTGAGCTTATATGTTGGGTCAGCTAGGTTTTCAGACGCAACGGTTTCCCGCAATTCTTCGACATTCCAGATAGTGCTTACCCTATAACCACGATAGTCTCGCGCTCGGACATAGTTGGGACGGTCGCAGTCTCTGGAATGCAACTTTTATTAAGACTTCTCGAGGTCCGGAGGATGGGCTTGGGCCGGGGGATCCAAGGTTGCATGAGTCAAAGCCAAGTCCGGGGAAGATAAGCCCCGCCTACGCGATCAGATGATTGCGGGCAGATGTGGTCATGGTGGGACGACTCTACCCACCTCACGGGATGCGTGACCGGAGAAGTTCTGGAATGATATTAAGCTATATTCGCGGATCGCGTTAATTGTTGGTTCTGGTTGATGCCACTGGCTTTCCATCTGATCGACCCGACACGAGACCCCGGCTTCTTATCCGAGTCGTATACACCGTCACAGCGTGACCTTGACAATTTTGACCCATTTTGACCACATTTGGACTGATCACGGGTTCGTGCAAGGTGAAAACCCGAAGTACCAGTTCAAGCTCGATTGCAAACCCCTCCGTGGCTCCGATTCCTTCTGCTATCTGCAGTCATAGGGGCCCAAGCTCCAGTAAGAACGCCCGATATATGTGCCGGGAGTGCATGAAAGGAACAGCCCGGTTTTCGAGCACATGGTCACACCACATACTCAGAGACCAAGGGAAATGTGAGCAGCTCTAAAAGATTTAAATGAGGGCATTTGAGATCATCCATCAGAAACGAGGATGAAACTCCGGAGTTGCTGGGAAGAAGCGTCATTTCATTGTATTCTCCGCAGTTGGGGGCAGCATGCTCATAGGTTAACGGAGGACCCTCGCCAGGGACGGTCGCGCAGCCCATCTTTTGCACATAAGGCAAACCAAGGAAAGTATTGGTTGACGGATGAAGCCGTAAGCGCCGAGGGGATCAACAGTGACGGGATGTGATTGGCGGAGGTGGTGACGAAAGGTGCAGCTTGTCAACTTCAATCACATCTCTCTCAAAACACTTGTCTTCCATTCCCTTATGGTCCTGTCAGGTCAAGACAGGAACTGGAGAGGCGTTGGATACGTTTACTATTACTTGCCACCATCGCTAAAATTCCCTGAAGGTCATATGCTGGTGCAAGCACCTCGAGTATGGACATAGTTTGCAGACCCACTCGGACGTAGCCGTGAATGATGCCCCCATGCCCCCGTCCGTGATTCGGGAGCGTCCTGCATTGATCTAAACTCGAAACCCGTGCTTTCTCCATCCTCGTTGGTGCAAATCTGCAGCACCAGAGCCACGCACCGAAGCCACCAAATGGGCTCGATCTCACCGTCTCCGCTAATGATGCGACGTGATGCTTCTCTCCGATCTTAGGACACGGCGCGGGGGTTGCTCAGCCACGACCCCGGCGGGCCACCACTACTACTGTATGGCTACTGTATGGCTATCGTGTGGTCGGTCGTGAAATGAAGCGCCCTGCCAAACCCAGGCGCCAAACCCGATTGCTTGATGCTGTGTCTGATCGACTGTTCCCCTTCTCCTTTTTTCGAGCTGTCTGTCCTACTAAGGTACTATTTTACCGCTCCATAGCGCCAGGGTTTATGTTCCGTAGATATCATATACATTCAAACGCCCTGCCACTTCTCAACACCCCGCGCACTGTCACGGATCTCGAGCCCCCGCCCACGCTAAACGTCCCAAAGTGTGATGAACGTGGCGAATCATCCTGGCAAAAATAAACCCTGTCCTCTTGCATCTTGATATCACCTACAGACGCCCCCCGGTCCAGCATCCTAGCCACGCCGTTCTCGCTTGGTCGCATAACGCCTACATCTCACTCTTTGCCTTATTAGGACTGGATCTTCGCTACCAGCCTGCCTCACTTCGTTCCAAAACTGCCTGTCAGGCACTAACTCGGCATCCCCAATCCAAATCCCAATGCCTGGCGCTAACCTGTCAATCTGCTTTCCTTTGCCTTGAGCGGTATTCTGGGTCGTGACCGATTAGTAAAGCCCCTGGTCAGAGCTGGTCAGGTCAGTGATTGCTTTTTGATTCTGATTTTAATTCTCTCGTGGAAATCTTGTCCGGAGACTCGCAGTTCTTTCGCTCTGCGACCTAGTCAGCGTGACTGTTGCCGCGCAAGACTGCCCCAGCAGATAACTCCGTTCTTCCCCACGCATTGGTCTCACAGTGGCTCAGAATGGCCGAGTTAACATGGGATAGAAGCTTATTACCGGAATCGCGACCCTTGAAGACCGTTAGAACCATGTCGCCGCAACTCCAGACCCGGGATTCTCGCTTCGAGCCTTGCGCCTCCACGGCCTCGCTGTTTCTATATGCACAGGGCTCGACGATCCTGTGCATCCACCATGACACACTAGCTGTGGAGCGTCGGTTCGATAGTCACCAGGAAGATATTGACTTTATATCCGTGGATAATGTGAGCGAACGCGGGGCGGGGCGATTGGTCGTGAGCTACGATGTTGGCCAAACGGCAATTGTGTGGGATATTTTCACAGGCACGGAGATCGCACGCTTTGCTTCGTTTGAGCTTTTGCGAGTTGCATCATGGATGCGCAATGGAAATCTTGCATTCGGTATGATATAGCTTACGCACCGTGGAGGTAATCAATCACTGATAGTGGCCCAGGAAACGGCAAAGGCGAAGTGATTTTATTCGAGCCTCCCACCTCTGAACACACCTCTGCGCGCACGATCTTTGATCCCATTACAGCACTCGCACCAGCCACAGACTGCCGGACATATGCGATTGGGTATTTAAACGTTGGAATTGCACGTCAGCGGTCATGAAGCTGACACTTTATACCAGGTATCAAAATGGGTCTGTCTTGATCGCAAATCTCGTTCCCCAATTTACCATCCTCCACACCCTGACCACCTCCCGTGGACCCTCGTCGATTCTCTCGCTCGCCTGGCATGCATCTTCTTCAAAGCAGAAATCGGACATGTTGGCAACGCAGGCTTCCAATGGTGATTTGAGGGTTTGGAGTGTGGCGAAGCCGCCAGGCAAAGAGTCGCCGCGAGTAATCCGGGTGTTAAAACGATCAGATTCGAATTCTACGGATCCCAAGTGGATGGCATGGTCAAAAAATGGAAGAATCATTCAATATTTGGAAGGGTAAGCGAGGATTAGTCTTGCAGCTTGCACAATTGGGCCGAATTAACATCTTTCCCTAATACAGTGAAACATGGTCCTGGGATGTTCGAACAAAACACGTCACCTACGAGCCGATTCCCACGATTGAAGGTGTCCGAGGCATGGCAAACTACGGTCCTACCGCAACACTTTTCACCATTGGTCCCCAGAATACAGTGCAGCAGTACGATCTGGATAACCCTGCGATGGTCGCTAATGTGCAACACGCTCCAGTCAGCACCCGACCTGTAGTATCCGAGGACGGCCGATCACGAGCCATGTCCCCGCGTCGCCTGCAAGATCCTCCAAATATCAGAGAAAAAGGCAACGGAAGACGAACTCCGCTCGATGCAAATGGAATCGACAGCGTGAATCAACAGAGAGCGGACCTCATTAGCCCAGCCTCATCAAGGAGCCGGACCGAGTCAGTTAGCTCGAAAGCCTCCTCTGGGAGGTACAAGCTGGATCGCCCATTTTCACCACCCAGTCGATCTGGTCAGAGTGCTACTACATTCTCATTGACGTCGGCTAGTCGAGATACTCCGCAACCCTCGGCATCATTCCAGTATGCATCGTCAGTCTCGATGTCATCGGTAAAAAGCTCCCGTGCCGGATCGCGATTGCGCAATGAGGTCCACAGGAGTCCTGCCGAGAAGAATATTGTTGATCTTTTCCCTTTTACTCGTGCTCGGTTGAATGATGTGCCTTACAAGCAGGCACCGCCTCTTGATGAGACTCATTTGACACCTGAAAATTTGCGGCAGCAAATGCTGAGCGTTGTTTTTGGCTGGGAAGGAGATATTCAAGATCTGATTAGAGATGAGTGTATGTTCTCCATTTTAGTATGTGGTTAGCAGATACTAACGGGACATTCAGTAAGCCGACACGCAGTCGGAAGCCAAAGTGCCATTCTTCTGGCACAATGGCTCGGTGAGACCGATTCAGACCAGATGGCCGCCATGATAAGCCACGGACCAGTGACAACTGCTGACTGGATGCTATTGGCATTGAGTCAAATGAGCGGCCAGGCTCAAGCCAATAAGGTTGGTCAGGCATTTGTGCAAAAGTTGCTGGAGATGGGAGATGTCCACACATCCGCCTCGATTCTTCTCGGCCTCGGAGACAGCAACGATGCCATTGAGGTTTATGTGTCTCGCAATCACTTCATGGAGGCCATCCTGATGACATGCCTTCTGATGCCATCAGACTGGCAACGTCAGTCATATCTCGTTCGCCGTTGGGGAGAGTACGTGGTATCTCATTCCCAGCAGCAGCTCGCCATTCGCTGTTTCATGTGCACTGGCGCTGAGCCCACCGAGCCTTGGACTTCGCCAGCCGCTCAGCAAGCCGCTTCCTTTGCGGAAGTCATTCGAGGAAAATCACCACTAGCTTCTCCCGACCCAATGCAATCCAGCTCAAGCTTCATCCCTCCTCCAAATCGACCGAGGTCAGCATCGAATCAACGAGGAGCTGGGAAGACTCCCGCACTCAAGCTTATCACCTCGTTTGATTCGGAGCCGAGCCAGCGTTTCCGATTCCCTGGTCTCAAGAGTGACGATCGAACACCGACGAATGCACCGGGTGTTACCCCTATCGCGGAATCTGCTGTGGCTGATTCAGCTTTGTCTCCCGGTGGCTTAGGATCCTGGAAATTGAACAATATTCAGAGTTTGAGCCAAGCCATGACTTCTCGAACAAGCACACCAGCCTTTAACCGACGCCGTCTTCCTTCAATAGGCGAGACTCCAGTTGATGTGCATCCACCTGCCTTTTCACGTTCGGGCTCCTACAATAAATCTGGTTATGGATCAACCTCCGAAAATGACGAGACGAGTGGTCATGAGCAGATTCAAGACGAACAAAGTGGTGATGGCGGGCTATTACTGTCTGCTACGCGGTACAACCCGGACGGTGATTCCCTCAAGCCAAGTCCCCAGACTGCTGTTCAAGCCCCCGACAAATTTGCAACCATGAAGGGTCTTCCGTCTCCAGGTCCCAGTCTGATTGAAGCGCTGAGAGAACACTCCGATATTCGAAACGGCTCGCGGGATCGCAAACCAGATGGACTACAGATCGAGTTGGTGCAAGCGGAAGAATCCCAGTCAGACGATCGGGATCAATCAGACTTGCTCCCTAGTGCAAAAAGTTTTAATTCGACTCTGAACAGCTGCAATTCGGCAAAGAGTCCCAGTGTTAGCGGCCGCAGTATCGACCAGTACATCAGCAGCCTAGAAGAGGCAAACTACCATGTGAAGAAGTACCGGAGTCATCGCAGCCATGGTCGTGAAAGAAGAAACACAGATGAAACGGCCAGCCAGAGTTCGCGCATTCATCACTCTCGTGACCCATCGCAGGAAACTCGCGGTAGGAATGAGCGCCGATACATTCAGCCTGCGAAGCGGTCCCCTTCCTCGCCTGTGCCCATGTCTCCTGAAGAATTGGCTCGATACCACATCGGAGAACCAGACAGACCGGAAGAATCTAGGAAGTCGCAGTCGCGTGCCAGAAGCAGCAGCAAGGTGAAAAAAGCGGGTTCACGGAGCCGTCAAAACTCTGCCAGTCGAAATGCAGCGAACCACAAGGGCGGAGACAAACGTGATCCTTCTTCTCGTGGTCGTAGCGTGGACCGTCACAGCTCTGCTGTCCGATCCCCATCGTCGCCACTGCCAATGTCTCTACCAAACCCGGATGCATCTCAACAGGAGAATGTGGATGATCCATTGAGGATCGTCGCTGGGAACCGGGAACGTCTACGCTCTCGTCACAGAAGCGCTAGCCGTCGTCGAGGAACAAGCTCGAGACGGGAACCATCTACAGAGTCCAGACACAAAGCTTCTTACAGTCAGCCTGGGATCCACCAGATGCCTGAACCACAGACTCCTGCCGAATCTCAGGGTCTGGAGCTTCTCAGTGCCAAAACGTTTGGACAACGCGATGATTTCGCCCATGTAATGGGCCAACACAAGTCTGATTCAAACGATGAGGCTCAGGATCTGGTATCTCCGACGACACCGTTCGTCAGTTTGGCCGAGAGGAAGAGACGAGAGCTGGCAGCAGCTGAACTCGAAGCCCGTCGACTTTCTCTTGCGCGGAATCCTTCTGCGCCTAACATCCCATTTCCGGGAGAGTTGCAATCTGCTCGAAGCCCAGTGGAAAGCCCGCCTCCATTCCACGGCAACACATACTTCCCTCGAGTCCCATCCCGAAACAAGATCCCTCCAAGCAAGAACTCGCCAGAGTATCAGAGCAGCTCTGATTCCAGCTCGTCTCGCTCCGGCATGCCTGTTGGACTTCCTGCAACACCGAGAGCCATGCGGCATCCCAAGTACGGGGGCGGCTACGAAGAAGAACGGCCTCCTTCTGTCCCTGCCCTTCCCACGGACAACTTTGGAGGCCTCCTCTTAACAGATACCCGATACCAAGGCGAAGCCGAACGAATCGGCCGTTCCATGTCCGTCCCAATGCCCCAAGACCAAATCCGCAATGCCGCCCAAGTACCCTCGGACATCCCAATGCACCCACGCTTCAATCCAAACCTCCCACGAAGCCGCTCCAGCAGCCGCAGCCGGATGGGCCACCGACGCACCAGCTCCGGCGGCTACGCCTCGGGCACCTCACCCCACGTCACTGTTAGCATTGAAGAAACAATTGAAAACGCATTGCAACGACCCTCAGTACCCCAAGTCGAGTTGATCCCTCCACCACCTCCACCACCCCCAATCCTCCCCGAGCTTCAGCACCTCAAGAACACACCCCCACCGCCACCCCCAGCACCCTTCCACGAAGCCGTGTCACCACGTGAGTCATCCGCTACTATTGACATTGCAATCGACAACAACGAAATGGGCCATCTTCTCCCTCGCGCTATGACCGCCGCTCCGGCGCTAAGCAGCACCGAGAATCGCCAGTTCGTTGGCAGACGCATGTCATTCGACCATCGTCGGAACAGAAGCTCGAACGAGAGTTTCACGAACAAGTTGCGCAGCTTGACACGCATGCGAAGTAATAGCCGCAGTGTGGAACCGTGGACAAGCCATCATGAGACTGAGATGCCGTATGAGAATGTTCATTCGCATGGGCATACTTATGTCAAGGGCGATCTGACGAGCTTCTGAATTCCTACTAGAGTTTTTTTTTCCATGTTGCACTGATGTGCGCCCTTGCTTTTGATGAATATTTGCCACATTCTGCTCTTTAGCGCAGTATGCTTTTTATTCCATTTTATTTTTTGCTTTGAAAACATCTCTACTGGTTGACTACCCGACTACATCTACATCTTCGCTCTCTAAAGTGATGTCTACGTTGATTCACTTTTGATGTTCCGTGCAATTCTACAATCCCTGTGCCAGACATCTCTTTTTCGTACACATCTCAAGTCTCGTTGGAATCACGCCTCTCTCAATTTTGCAGATCGACAGAATGGTTCTTACGTTTTATGATTTCCTTTTTAGGGCTACTTTATATAAAGCTACCGCCTGCGAAGGCTAATAACGATGTCAAGGGTTCACTGAGTGAAGTTCAGTCCATTTGTAAAAGTATATCAACGCTAGAAGAACATAGATGCTATTGTACACAAGAGAAAGTGAATGAAGACGTATGATCCCCATCCGCGGTTCTGACAAGAGGTATCACTGTACGCGTTTTTCTCAGCATCTACCATCTTGTTGAATCAGCGTGTCCCTGTTCTTTGTCGCGTCTTCTTTCGTTGTATCGGTCCTGGTCGTTGGTGGGAGCGTAATCCGACTCAGGGGTATTCTGCTGGCCCCATTGTTGCATGCGAGGCTGGCGGGCTTGGGGCTGCTGAGCACCTGAATTATTCTGATGTCTGACGCGGTCCCAAGCACTGCCAGTAGAGGAGCCGTCGGGGTTGGTGTTACGGTATTCCGGAGCGGTGGGGCTGGCGTCATCGTCGCTGCCACTTAAGAAGAAATCAGACCCGGGATTCGATTGAGAAGCGGGCTCGTTGCCCATTCCTCGAGGTGTCCCGTACGCCTGGGGCCGAGAAGTGTAAGGTGCCGATTGACCCCTCGAGTTATTCTGGTCGTCCTGATATGTGTTGTAGGACGTATCGCTCTCAGACTGGCCGTATGATGCCGGGCTATCGTAGTCGGACTGAGGCCGGTCATACCCACGGGCATTGCTCAAATCCTCTCGAATCTTCACACTAATAGTCTTCTCGCCGGACCTCTCCCTGCGGACCCGATCAACGGTAGCATGCATCCTGCGCTTCTGCATGTCTTCCTTGCTGATGTGTCTCAAATCGTCCGTAAACGGCTTCATGCGTGGGTCTGTGATCACAGTCTGCGCATCCGCCCATGAACCAACAAAAGATGAGATAATATAACCAGTGGTAGTCAAGAAGAGCATTTTGAACGAGGATTTCACCGCCAAGCCAACGAGGTACTCTCTATTGACCATGGAATGTGTCTGAAAATGTTTCATAAGCTCCGCAGGCGTTCCCATGCGTTCCGGCCACACCGGGTCCTTCCTGAGGCTGCGATATACCCACGCAGTACTGAGAAAGGCAGAGGCTGGTAGTCCCATTGTCTTGTAGTACAGGCCGCGCGAGTTGGCCGTGGTGTAAACGTCCATTTCATCTTGTGTGGGGAAGCGGTTCGTTACGATCCATTGGTGCTCGATGCGGTCGGTCAGAGAGTTTGCGATACAGCGTCTCCAGTTGTTTGCGCCGAAAAATCCAAAGTAAAGCGTGAAGAGATCTGGCTTCACCACTAGCTCTGGCTTGATCTTCAACGGGAAGTACTTGGCGAAGATAGGGTCTGGAGTCATGCGGGGTGCGGAAGATGCGCCGGGTGAGGCATTGTTGTTCGGTGGTAAGCCTGCCTGGGGTGACGCGTCGTCTAGCACCATGGTGAAGCTTGCAGATCGAAGTGGTCGGGGAGCAGAGCTCTGTGCTGTTGCGATGTTTGAAACGAGGAAGCTCCGCTTTGAGAGGTGACGTTATGGGATGAGTCAGCATATTTCTGCAGACACCCGGGGCAGAATTTGACAAGTATAGACCACTTTGAAAATAGCACCCAATTCCTTCTACATTCAAGTTGGTGGAAATTAAGTGCATGCGCATGTTAAACGCCGTGATTGTCCTACTTGTCAAAGTTTATGTGCCTAATCGATCGGCAACCCATCGTTTACCAGACCTCAGTACTTCTCAGCGTCTAAATCCCAGATAGATTTCATGATCAAGCACGTGTGTAATTTGTTCCATCTCTTAAACTCAGTTCATAACATTATCCAGCAACTAATTCAACGCTGAACTTTACCACTTCTCGATATAAGGTCTCAAGTCCATCTCAAAAGCAAAAGTGGTCCGCGGCTGAGTATGGAGATGCCAGTACGAATCCGCAATCTATTTAAACAAGTAATTAGTTTCTATCTCAAATATGAAATAGTCAATTAGACTTACCGCATCGGGGTTCAACTTCGCATCTTCGTGCTCGAAGGTCCAGGCCTTGGTACGTGGGATGTCGATAACACCGTCGATAATGGCATGAGACACATGGATACCCTGGGGCCCGAATTCACGAGCGAGTGACTGCGCCAGAGCACGCAGTGCAAACTTGCCCGAGGCAAGTGATGCGAAATTGGCCGATCCCTTGAGACTGGCAGTCGCGCCGGTGAATATCAGAGTGGGTGGGTGAGGAGTAGCGCCTCTGGCTTGGAGAAGGAGGGGAAGGGAATGCTTGGCGATGTTGAAGCCTCCATTGCTGTATTGATTTTTAGTTATCTACTATTCAAAACCCAGCCTCGAAATCTCGAAATTTTGAAAAAGCTCGAGGGGCATGAGCATGTGTACATACGCTTGCAATTTGAGAGATGAAGAGTAATCGTCCTCCGTGAGTTCGAGGAAAGGCTTCCTCACAAAACCACCACTGGGATTGAAGATTGTTGCAGCCAAAACAGAGCTGGGGAACTGCTTTGCGATCTGGTCAAAAGCAGCGCGGACGCTATTCGCATCGGAGACGTCGGTGCTAATGCCAACAGCGTGGCCACCGCTGGAGTTAATATCCTTCACAAGGGGCTCAAAGCTGTCGGGGTTTCGGGATAGGAGCACGACGGAGTAGGTTTGGGCGAAACGTCTGGCAATGGATGCGCCCTGTAGCACTGGTTAATTTATAATTGTCTTGGAGGACGTTGATAGAAAGCATACAGTGCCGGGGCCGACGCCGGCGATGATTGCAAATGCCTTGGATGCCATTATGATGGTTTAATCAATTGGAGGTAAATTTAAGATCAAATTGAGGAAGCGGATGTTAGCGGCCTAAATAGTAGCTCATCATCATACATCTCGGGGAAAATCAATCCCGCTTAGAAATGCGGAGGGGGATTGATCATCAAGCATATGGATGATCTCATCATTCGGAGCCCGAGCTGGTGCGAGCCACGAGCAACAAGGAGGTGTTACCATCCGAGGAAGTAGTAGTTTAGCATCAATAGCGTGATTTTATGCAACATCCCTAACAACAGCCCTAGTAATGCTTGTCTGCAGTTCGTTGATGGAGTTCCAGTTCTGCCTCAGGCCCACGCCACCGCGTTATCGATAAGCGCTCAAATTTCCAGCTCCGCGACAAAGTCCGCTCAGTTGGACCAACCAACCCATAAAAAATGGACGACCCAGATCCTTTACTGAGTGAGCTCTGCTCGATATGGTGAGCTAGCCCCGCTATAAAAAGTCAATCAACTCGAAGCGCTAAGACCCTCACTCTGTCCAGTCACATCAACCCGCCAAAATATCGCTGTCCGCGCTGTTCAACGCGAACCTGCTCCCTCCCCTGCACAAGACGCCACAAGCTCTGGTCACAGTGCTCCGGAGTGCGCGACCCGGCAGCCTACCTCAAGCGCAGCGAACTAGCCACCCCATCGGCATTTGACCGCGATTTCAACTTCATCTCGGGCATTGAGCGCTCGCTGGAGCGCGCGGACAGAGATGCTGAGAACCGGGGCATTGAGCTTCCACGCGGGGCCGCTGCAGAGGCCGTGGATGCGGAGGAAGCACCCGAAGCCGGTGCTGGGCGCAAAAGGAAACATCCCGGGCAAGGTCTTGTTAAGGGCGAAGCTGGATTCTTGCGCGGCGCGGAGGCTGGCGCGGTGAAGGTTATGCGAGCGCCAAGGGGGATGACGAGGAATAAGCAGAATACTTCAAGGTGGCATCCTAAGTAAGTTCGAGGTTCTATCGGGGAACATTCATGGGATTGAGGCTAATCTGTTCTGCAGACACAAGTGTCTTAGTTGGACAGTGGAATGGATACCGACTTCTGGCGAGAAAATGGTCTGCAATAGCCTTGAGACGCGCACTCTGGCCCAGGCATACGATGGTGTCTATCCTCTGCCAAAGGAAGAGAGGCCCAATTGGGATCCAACCAGAGAAGCCAAAGGCGAGCAGCAGAACGCCATCTCTACAGTGGATGGGCAGACAGACGCCGCCACTTATAATGCTAGCGCTACAACGAGCGAACCCACGGGCACAAATGCCGAGAAATTACAACGCTCAGAACCAGCCGAGGCATCTACAGACCCAATTGAAGAAAAAGCACTCAACTCTCCCATCAGCCCCCATCGCGGCGTCTACTTCTACCTCCACCGGCCCCGAACAACAACCAAGAAGCCAGTCCTGATCCCTTTACCGCCACAAATAACATTGGCAAATGCCCTGCGCGAACGCACAGTCTTGGAGTTCCCTACCATCTACGTGTTACCCGACTCCGCGGAAACCCTAGGCGCCGCTGAGGATACATCCCAGTTCACCTTGGAAGAGGAATATCTACGAACAGCCGCACCCGAGGAGACAGCAGAGTCAGAGAACGAGAGTACGGGAATAGACAATGATGCGGGTCTGCCTGGCGCAAAAGACATAGGAAATGTGGATGAGCAGAAAGTGCTGGAGGTATTAAAGCAGGATCTATTCGAGCCTGTGCCTGAGGAACAGGTATAGGACGTTCGCTATATTCATGGAATGTGTCTTTATCTAGCGAGATACGAGGTAAATTTACCGGTGTTTATACAGTGTACGATAGACTATCAAACGTTGCATGTCAGTCATTGCATTTGGGAAAGGGCGTAGAGTTAGTCTTATCCATGGGGATGGAGCTCCCTGAGGACCCGCCAGCGAATTTGGCTCTCGAAGAACTAGGTCAACGTGCGATTATCGCGAAACCTTTAGGCGTTCGTGCGATGAGTTTACAGAGCAAGTCTGTAGTGCTTTCATCGACAGCAGAGGATATCTGGAGACAGCTCGCGTCTAGGAGTCACGGCGGCCATCTTATCGGCGCGGTTCGAAGCAAAGCCTGATGGAGATAGGATACAATGCGTGCGAAGCGAGGTTAGACGGTTTCAAAAATCACTCAATCGATAGGACAGGAGACCTGTACCACCAAGGAGTTAATCAGATTGATCAAGAAGATCGGCATAACACCCAAACAATCCAAAGACAGCCCGGGGGTATTTAACTAAATAACAAATCAAGAACTCCAAGTATACAATCCAGGTATACAATATGCAATGCAGAAATCGCTCAAAATTCAAATGTAAAATCCAAAATCCAAAATCAAATCACACCGTGGTAAAATGCAATGGCCACTCAGGGTGCATTATTCCAAGTTGAGCGGCGAACCGTCAATTGAAAGTAGGCAGAGCCTGGAGGTTGTCTTCAAGCGCAATGTTGAAATATTGCGGATGAGATGCTGCGCTATGCACAAGGGTTATCACACGAACTGTGGATGTTCGCTTCATATGAAGCGCCGTCTGTCCGGAGACGGGTATTTCTTTTGGATACGGTCAAACTCATGCTGTGAGGAAAGCCCTCTTTACAGACATGAAACGGACCCAAAGGATTTGGTATAGGGGTGGATCAAGAGTGAATCTTCTCCGACGCCAATCAAGAGGTAGCGCTATCCGTATCGGAAGCAGTCTCAGGTATATCGGGCACAGATGCAGGCATAGCCCTGCTGGGCTGCGAAGAAACTGGCTGGGTGGGAACAGTATTTGGTACGGTGGGTACCTCGGGCTGTTCAGCAGACTTTCCGAGGCCATGACTGGCCTTGGACTCGGTTGGAGACATGCGTGCCTTCTCAGATCCACTGGGCTTCAGCTTGAGACGTCCCTGTTCCAAAGCACGAAGCACGGTGCCAATGTCTTGCGGGTCAATTGATCGCAGCTTGCTCATCGCGTCGTCGGAGACATCTGAGAACGGGTTCCACCCCAACTTGTCAAACTCCTCAGACACCGATGACTTGGACTCGGTCACAGAGGGGCCAGTGACTAACCGGTGCAGGAAAGTGTCGGAGACACTCGGTCTGCGCGGCATCTTCACGGGCTTGGACTTGGTGCTCGAGCTTGTGGAGGCAACGTCTTCTTGCTGACGCTTCAGCGGGCGAGTCGGCACGGCATTGGGGCCTTCTCCCACCTCGTTGCGGATCTTGTAGTACACAAGACCCAGGGTTGCGGCGAGTGCCTGGTGTGCGGCTTCGGGGAACCGACGAACAGCCTCTTCCCGAGTGATACTGAATGATCCATCACTTGAATCACTTGAATCACTGTCGGCAAACATGTCGCCTTGGTGCATCCGACACCAATCCTGGTAACCACCCAGCTCATAAAATTCCGCGAGTTCAACCAGGCGATGAACTAAAAATGTCGTTAGATCTAGGAGGTGGAGCTTGTATCTTATCTACTTGTTCTGCTTACCTCGACTTCGTTTCTTGAGACACCAGAACTTCCACACCGTGCGCGGGAAGTATTTGGGCCACTCAAGAGCACCGTCATCACAGATGACGGGGACAGGGCTGATGGGAGCGAAGATGGTGTGGGCGAGAGAGTTGAAGCGGACACGATCGGAATGTCTCATGCGTGATTCAATCGAGTCCATACGCGAGTTCAAATGGTGAAACTGGCGTGATATCTTGTGGTCCAAGGTAACCAGATCGGTGCGAAGCTGGCTGGAGGCGGCTTGGAGTTTGCTAATATCAATCCGCGTGGCACAAGCCTCCGTCCTCATCTGCTCCAGATCCGCATGAAACTGATCCACACTCTTCTGCAACCGATCGACATCACCACGCAGGAACACCGTCTCGGTGCCAGCCTGACCAATACTAGTCTTCAGCTGGAAGATACTAGTCTTGATCTGATCGACATCAGAGCGCAGTGCCACAACGTTGAGGTCGATTCGATGAGAGATGGCACGGTGGGCCTCGAATTCGCGGCGGATGTGCTCGTCCTCGCGGTTCCTGCGGTCGACATAGCCATCCTTAGTAAGGACGGTAGATCGAAGTTCGAGCACACGCGAGTCCAACTGATTCATGCGGTCATGGAGATGGGAGAGGGACAGTTCGGAGCCAGGCGGTGTGGTTTCGCGTCGGATGGACGGACTGGACATGGAGAGCGAGGTGCTGGAGGTACAGGAGTGACTCCTTTCCAGTGCGGTCATGGTGGACATAATGGCAGTATAATTATAGTGATGGTATAGATGGCGAGATCATATCTAGACCAGTAGGTCGTCCATTTCGTCGGTGGGGATGTGGTGGGTGGTACTATTCTGGGGGGGAGGAAGAGGAAAAGGGCGACAAAGGGAAGGGGGTCGCACCGCTGGCCACCGTGTGCCGCCCTCACAAGTCAGACTGCATCCGGGCCGACACGTCTCGACACATCATTACTCACCCAACATCATAGCCGACCATTCATATTTTGCTCTTGAGTTTTTGCTAGTTGACTCATTCACGCTATGAATCATTTCTATCCTGCTTTCCCAGCCAGAATATCTGAAAAATCAAGAGGAAGACGGGATTCTCGATAAAATACCAGCCGTGACGGTACCGATACAGGGCACGGACACCGGGCTTGGCTGCAGTAGCGCCCTGCACAAGTCAGCGCGGCGCAGCCACTCGGTTTGGATTACTTCTAGCCGTTGCCACCGTGTCTGTATTGGTCCGATCCGGGTTTTTTGGGTTTTTTGCGTTCCCCTTCTCGCCAATCATCTTCCGCAGTATGCAGCTAGCAGAGCAGCTCACGGTCGCACACCCCAAACGTAGGGCCGAATGACACCATGGTATTTAAAAAATTACACCCCATTACAATTTCCCCCACTTGTTGCCCTGCCCTCTTTCAGCGTAACTGTACCAGGCCATTGAACTCGAACCTCGGAGACGGATGGTGTACAGGCTCATAGCTAGTTGCTGTATGACAGAACCGTTGTTAGGCTTTGGCTATAGTTGTAGCCATGCCATCTGGGGATCCGGGAATCCGGGACTTCTTACGTGATGTCCAAGGTATTTCCCAATCAGGAAACCATGATGCCCTAACATCAACATCGCGATTTCCTCGCAACTGCGCAAGTTGACTTCCAGTCCCAAGGATATGGCTGCCATTAAGTATCATTACTCCGTAGAATATCTCTATTGCTCCCACGCTAATCTCGGACACACTCGACCACCATGAGGCAAGCCGTCCTGTGGTTGGGTATCCTTGGGACCTGTGTCTTCAGCACCATCGTGTCATCCTCTCCGAGTCCTCCGGTTAGGCCAGTGGTGAAACCGTTTCCAAAAAAAGGCCTAGGCGAATGCGACTGCTTCACGGTGTCAGGGCCCGACCCCGGGTACTTCCAGCATCACAAGCTCTGGGACTTTCGCGCCGTTCCTCTTGCTTCTGACCTTGAACCTCGTTCGGATCCACCAGACCTCGACAGTGACGATGAAGATGACTGGGACTCCAACTTCTGGGATGAAGGAGATAACAACAGAGATCACGACCGAAACAAGCAAGCGCCCGAATCCGATGCCCTTTGGTTCTTTGATTCCTCCTTCAACGAAGACTGGACCATCCAGCAATGGGAGCGCCCTCGCAAACCAGAAGCCCCGATAAATATGATCAACTCCAAGCACAACATCTTTTTCACAAAGAACCGTGGACAACGGGATCCGGATGCAACATATCTCGTCCTCCGCACCACCCGCCACGACAACTTCACGTCGACTGCGGAGATTGAGACTCGTATAGACAATATCTATCGCTGCTCCATACGAGTGCGACTGCGGATTCTACCAGCTGATGTGTCGGTGTCACATCCAAAGGAATTTCCGCCGCGAGAGCCACAACACTGGATCCCACCGTTGAACAACAACACGATCCCAGACAATGTAACAAGCCCAGTCGAAGTAGGCAGAGCTCCATCAGGTGCATGCGTCGGTATTTTCACTTACCACCCTCCCAACTGCGAATCGGACATCGAGATCCTGACCAGCGACCCCGTATACCGTGTGCGCTATTCAAATCAGCCGGACTACGATCCCGTCACGGACACAATGATCCCCGGAGCCAGCACTGTTGTAGACCTACCAGTTCCCTGGACAGCCTGGTCAACTCATCGGCTGGATTGGCTCTCGGGAGTATCACGCTGGTGGGTGAACGACAAGCCACAGGAGGCCAAGACGTACCGAGTCCCCCATCAGCAAAGCAGACTGGTCATCAATCTCTGGAGTGACGGAGGGGTCTGGACTGGGGACATGAGACTCGGTGATAGCATCCACTTGGGAATCGAGTATATTGAGCTAGCCTACAACCGATCATCCGACGGTTCCAAATCCGTTCCTCTCGCCCAACAACATGGTGGCCATCAACAGCCGCTTGCCAATCTGTCTGAGTCCGATTTCGACTATGTCTTGGAAAATTCTTGGGAACCGGATACTGACTCCCTTAGCGGCATGAAGAAGAAAAAGAAGCATCGCAAATGCAAGAAAGGGAAAAAAGGCCGGAAGTGCAGGAAGAAGCACCACAAGGAGCCGAAGGAGTCGAAGGATCCCAAGTGCCGTCGCGTTTGCAACATTGATGACCTTCACCTTGGCGAGCGTGGTGTGCATTGATTTGCCTATCTTTATTCATAGCTTTTCCTGTGTCTCTCTTTCAGAATGCCCCGATAGGCAGTGGCGCAGTATTATTACTAGCCATATGCATTCTTGGCGGAAGTAAACCTGAGCTTCTCAATTCTTTTTATTTTCTTTTCGTAGCCTTACTCGCGAGTTCGTAATAGCCCGGGGCGCACAACCTACGGGAGGTTTTGAGAAGGGTTGCTGGCTCACACCTGTAAAACCTGTGAAGATTCCGTAGAATGTCACTTCATTAGCTTATCCATTTATCTACTTGGAGGTGATATAGTGGAAGCTTTATAATCTTTCATTCAAGATTGGAAACTCATCTGAATTCCTTGCATCACTCCTGCTCAACTATGGGGTATCATTCAACACATTCAACATCACAAATAAACACAACCGAAACCGAAACCGAAACCCATGACTAGAGGCCCTCCCCGTTGCCCTTTTCTAGCCCGCCATGCACGCCGGAATAATCAGATTAACAGAAACCGCAAACGCCTTGACGACAATTCATATGCTGGTGTCCACGTGTGATGGTAATCACTGTGGGAGAGAGGTGTAGGAGGCGGAGGGAGAAATTAAAAACACCCTCTTGGATATAGAGAGGAGTCGGCTGTCGAGAAAATACCCAGGTCATCAGGTTTGCGATGAATAGGGTGTAGGGTAGTAGGCAGATCTGGTCACTAGAGAATGCACTCAGAGTAACAAATGACCCGCCTTGTCAATGGGACTTAATTCGCCGTGGAGCCCGCCATTCATGATCTCCGCGACAATCTTTCTGCGCAAGAGTATTGTATCTTGGGCTCCAAAGGCAGTGGGCTCGATGCCCAGCGCAATGGCTTTGGCGTTGGTGAGAAGAAACACGCCACAGTCGCTGCCATTGTCTTGCATAGAAGAGACTGACTTCAGCACCGTCCACTCGTCTTCGTCGTATTTCGTGCCCAGCTCGCCGCGCAGCCACTCTTTGATCTTCCTCACTTGATTGGCACCGCGTGAGCCCATCGAGTCAAAGTATTCTATTGTTCGTTCCATTGGTCGCACAACCAGCAAAGTCCAGTGGGCTGCTCCATGCACGGGAATGAAGACAGTGTCGACATCCAACAAGCTCTCGCCCCCAATCTTGGCCCGATTGGCCCACCGGCGCACGCCTTGATATCCTTTATCTCGTAGAGTGGAAAAGAAAAAGGTATTGAACGCGTGGAACAGAGGCCGGTCATTCAAATTGCCGGCAGATTCGCGTAGGTAGTGAACGATAATACTGAGATAGGAATTGATGATCTCATCATTGAGCCACGAAAGATGATTGATGCAGGTAGCAATATCTCTTTGGTATAACGCGTCTCCAGAGAGTGACTTGGCGACTGGCATGGTTTGTGGAGCTTTCATAGCTCTCTGGACCTGGTTCAACCAGTCCCAGGATAGCTGCCGAACAGCAGGACCTTGCGGAATGATCCTGGCTGCGCGACCCAGCTCGCCTTCCAGAGCTGCCGCTTCCCGTGCTCGTTTTTCCCATTCCATCGCATAGATAGAGGCGATGCGGTTGGCGGGGATTGGCCGTGGTTTCGGTGAAAAAAGCTGTACAGCAGATACTGGCCGTCCAAATGGCAGGCGCTCGAACAGCGAGGCCTGCCGGTTCCACGGATCATCAAAGGCCGTGTCATCTTGTGCAGTCGGTCGTCGGATGGGTGTTCGAGGGGTGGACGGGCGTCTGGTACGTCGTGGCGCTGATGCCGATGCGGATGCAAACCTCGCTGGCCTCCTGGGATGTAAATGGGAACCAAGTTCTGTCGGAAGTTCGGGGCTCTCGGCGACGTCGATGTCCATCTGCTGGAACGCAGAGACGGGAACGGACTCCTCGCGCTCGAGCGGTGCAAGGCGGGGGGACAGAGGAGGCGACGATGGGAATGCACCCGGCATCACCAGGTTGAAGTCATGTTCTGCGTTGGAAACTGGATCAGTATTTATACACTTACTCTCGCGAATGCGCTGGCTTACCTTGACGCGCTTCGATCTGCTCCCGGCCTTTCGCGTCTCCGAGGGGGCCTTGGGTCCCAGAGAATACCTCGGTATCTCTTGTGGGACCTGGTTGCGACTTGCGTCGCGCCCAGTTGAACAGCCTCATGTCGAATGATGTCCGGGGACAATGACGGACTAAAAGGCAGTGGTTCGGGTGTCGCCAGACGCCCTGGCGGTTGGATCAAGGGGAGGGATCAGAATGAATAAAGTAAAGGACTTAGAAAGCGCAAAGAAAGAGAAGGAGTCAGGGAGGGATTCCCGGCGTCCATCATTGAGAGAGACCAGATTTGACGGTCTCTGATGAACGGAGTTGCGATCAGCTCGACCGGAGACGGCTTCCAGCTGGGATCCAGAGAAATTCTGACTAAGCCTGGACCCGCTCAGGCTTAGTCAGAATTCTAAAGATGAGGTGAATGACTTTCTATACCACTCTGGAAAAAACCCAATGCAGGGAAAGGATCCATCTGATCCCAAATATGGGATGGGAAAACTGCGCGATCTGTTCGAGCCAGAGTATACACGACCTAACCTGTCTCGTCGAGATCTTTCAGAGTTGGGCATCGTTGCATTTGGGTCAAATAGGCAACAAAACCCCCAATAGCTCAATCAACATCGTTTCATTGTTCTAGATCGCTTCAGGACATAAGCTAACAAAAGACTCAACAAGATATGCAAAAGTTCATTTCTTTTAGATGCGTATGGTCGTAGCGGCTGTTGCTCCGACCATACCAACACATTCTCAGTGGCCTCTAGCCAGAGCAGTCGTTTTTGACCGCGGGGTTCCAGCTATAAAATGACGACAATTGGATGCTGTATTCGCTCGCAATTTGACTGCATTGGGATTTAGGACACAACCTGGTGCGAGATGTAAAATCACTTATAGATTTGAAATCTGTGGAGCGGATTACTTCTGTCTCCGTGGAATGGTCTCTTCTCGCGAAAATGACAGATCATAATTCACGCCATAGAGAAGTAAACCCATCTCAAAACTATTTTGCTTTTTTTTTTTTTCACTCGGTGAGCACGTAAACGGAGAAAATCATCGTAAACTATCTACAGGCCTCGCCTGCGATCGGGTTCGAGCTGCGGAACAAAGTTTCGTCCGTGGACCATTCTACATCCGATTCCTGGGAAGCTTCTCATCCCATTCCACGCAGGACCAACAGAATGCTCGATGTGGGTTGCCCGCCAATTACAGATCAATCACTTGTCTTAGCGCTGCAGTCACCTGATGATGAAGCTGAGGACGTGCCCCTCTTTCAGCAGAGAGCCAGGCAATGACCTTTCGCATGAAATACAAAGGACGCATTTTTACTTCATAATGGCAGGCTATCATTCGGTGATAACAACAATGGTCTCTAGATTGGAGGTAACTATGGGTCAGGGTCAATTAACTATTTAGTCAAGCCCCACTTCCCGTCCTGATGCGCCAAGCCTCTTTTGGCACCGGTCACTTGGGTTCGCGTCTGGGGCATTTTAATACCTGAATTTCAACGCGAGGTCCTCGCAACTCAGCCGTTTTCTCTGCATCATCACGGAGGGTAAATCATCAAGGTTGCTGCCGAGGTCCCATCACCCGTCTCTTTTCCTCGCTTCCCGTTGTCTTTGACTTACAGACTTGCGGTCTCGATTGTCGCCTTTGTTTCTCGAGAAGTCGAATGCCCTTCTCGTATCGAGTAGCCTCCCTAAGCGAACGGGGTTTTTTATACCCCCGTCATCCTGTGGGATAGCCAACCTTGAGGCTTTCGTTTTGGTCCTTTCGATCCCACGACGAAACCACAATGCTGAACAAGAAGAACAAGGATATCGAGATTAGCGGGGTGGATGAGAAGGAGCTCGGTGATCGGGAGAGCTTCCTGCTGAAGCCTGCGCCCCATCACCGGGCTCGTGTCGATAGCGGCATAGGTAGCATTCTTTCTCAACTCGAGAACAATCCTGGTGCTGCTGTTCTGGCCTACTGCTTCTCCTCGATCAGCATGACGGTCGTGAACAAGTATGTCGTTTCGGGTTCGTCTTGGAACTTGAACTTCCTTTATCTGTCCATTCAGGTATGCGCTGTGACATTCTGGCGCCAAAACCAAGACCCTGCAGCTGACCCATATTCGATAGGCCGTTATTTGCACGGCTGCAATTCTGGTCTTGAGGCAGATGGGTTTGATCCCTAACCTTGCTGCCTTGGAAAGCGGCAGGGCCAAGAGATGTACGTCTGTGACAGTCAACTGACGCTCCTGCAATTCCCGGGCGTGCTAACACCGACCGAGTCAGGGCTCCCCGTGTCTGTGTGCTTCGTCGGCATGATCTACACCAGCACCAAGTCTCTTCAATTTCTATCTGTTCCGGTATATACTATCTTCAAGAACTTGACTATCATCGTCATTGCCTATGGAGAGCTCCGGTGGTTCGGCGGCAAGGTCACCCCGCTGCTTCTGCTGTCGTTCGGCTTCATGGTGCTCAGTTCTGTCGTTGCTGCGTGGGCTGATATCCAGGCTGTCCTCAATGGCGTTGGACACTCGGAGGAGGCTGCCGCCGCTATCTCGACCTTGAACGCTGGGTACGCGTGGATGGGGCTCAACATCTTCTGCACTGCCTCGTACGTCCTGGGCACGCGCAAGTTCATCACCTCGCTGAACTTCAAGGACTGGGACAGTAAGCTTCTAATTAACTACCTCGCGTTGCAACTCAAACTGACCGGAATCGACCAGCCATGTTCTATAACAACATGCTCTCCCTCCCTATCATGGTCATCTGCTCCCTGGTCACCGAGGACTGGTCTTCGGCCAACCTGGCTAAGAACTTCCCTGCCGAGTCGCGCAGCAACCTCATAATTGGCATGCTCTATTCTGGCTTGGGTGCCATCTTCATCTCATATTCGTCTGCCTGGTGCATTCGCAAGACTTCGTCGACTACGTACTCATTCGTGGGTTATCTGAACAAGCTTCCGCTCGCCGTCAGCGGCATCGTCTTTTTCGATGCTCCCGTTACGTTTGGTAGCGTTTCGGCTATCTTCCTGGGATTCTCCAGCGGGCTTGTCTACGGTTATGGCAAGATGGAGCAGAGGAAGCTGTCCAAGCAGATCCTCCCCACCTCCCAACCGGCCATGAGCGCCAGCTCTCAGAGCCAGAATGATGCATCCAACTCATTAGAAAAATAGATTATTCTAAATTAGTCACTTTGTACTGCGCCCAATCCTCCGTAATATATCCCCTTGTCGCTCAGCCTATCATATCAACAGAATGATCTTACCTTCGTAAATTGTCTAAATGCGCAGTAAGCGAAAGGGCATCACTTCACCAATTTGGCGAACGTTGCTGCCAAGAGCGAGGACGGTGAGGACTGGAGCTTGGTACGATTCGAAAGCTTGCTTCTACATCTTCAATTTTACGTTTAAGAATGTGATTCTCTGTCTTCTGACGGTTGGCCGAATTGACAAACATTTCCACGTTCCAAATGGATCTGAGATTCGTCAGTCAGTGTGAGTCAGATTGAAATCTGTTTGCTCTGAAGAGCGGATGTGGAGCTTTAAAGCGGTACTTCACGCGGATTCGGACGTAAATGGTCCGCGGACGAAATTGTGTTCCGCAACTCGAACCCGACCGCGCCGAACGCACTTAGAACTCAGCTTTGGGTGCTGATATGTGTTGCGGATGGCCTGCTAGGGATCATCACCAGTCTCCCTCCAGTCACCAGTCTCCACAAGCAAGCCAAAGATCAAACAATAATCAGCAATGGGACCGTTCAGTCTCGGATATATCTCAGTAGATTGATTGAGATTGCCGGCAAGATCCAAAACTTGGATGACATGAACACAGCATATGGATCCAGTACTGACCTTTACACACCTTCTTTGGAGCTCATCAGGGAGTTGAAGTCGCTCGCTTCCCAGACTCCGGAACATTGGTGGCTTAGAGATCCGGGCCATGTCAAACCTGAAAATATCGTACAGTTTATACATTATTACCTCGTTATGAGAGCTCACCTGCCCTTCATCATGCGACAGGCCTCAGGCGAAGAGTTTCTCTACGGCCTCTGCACCTGTATGGATGCATGTGAATCCGTGGTGCAGCGATATCAAGAACTTCGGGGGGCGCTTCCTCCGGGGTTCTTTCTTGCTGGGATGTTGGATCTGCAAGCATTTACAGCGACGGTGATCCTCCTTCTCACGTCGCACAGTACATCGCACAGCTCGCCTTCCACTACTCGTTTCAAATTGCGTATCGACAAACCTAAGATTGAAAGCGAGATGAGAAAAGTCATCAAGCTCATGCGTGAAAGGTCCAATGGCACCTGTGGCTCTCGCTTAGCCCAGGACAATGTCACTACCTTATGTTCCTTGATTGAACTGCTTCAGGAAAACGATAATTCGGATCAAGAACACCAACTAACATTGAGGGTTCCTCTCCTCGGGAAACTGCATGTCCGACGCAAACCCCAACCTGGCGAACTGAGGTTATTTCAAGGCTCATCAGAACAAGGTATAAATAAACCGAACGAGCAGTTGGCACCTGCAGCTCTTGGCACAGATGCGTCGATGGGGACTGCCTTGGCCGTGGAAGAAGATTTGCAATGGGATAATCTCTCTTGGTGCATCGAGAATATTCACGAGAACTTTCTCCAAGATTTTATGGCGGAGGACTTTGATTAGTTTGCTATATAAAATCGTGCTATCTCAAGAACCAAATTTACATGATTAGTTGACTATACAAACGGGGTTCATTTCCATTCCGTTCCAAGGTTATCGTTGGCTCTCCGCAAGAAGAGATTTGTAGAATGCCCGGCCTAAGACATTGGAATTAGAAGCAGCTTCCAGAGGTTGTCATCGAATAAACTTACCTTTGCTGAACCGAAGCAATTGATCTTCAAACGGACCCAGCGGCTCCTCCATCATAAGCGTTTCCGGCGGCTCATCTTCTTTAGGTCCATTATACACCCATCCCCATCGATCTTGATCCTCTTCCACGGTCTCCTCATCTCCATAGGAATCTTCAACATGGCGACGAGATACAACACGCATTCGCTTGAGCTGCCAAGGTCCTTTCTTAAGCAACGCACGGCACTTGTACAGCTCTTTATCGTCATATCCTAGACCCTCAAGAGAAAGTCGAATTCGAACACTTCGATGAATCCGCTCGTTTGTATTCTCCAAGAATTCTGAAGTAGGAAGCCCGGTGTCAGGATCGGTATAATGATACATGCCGGGTGTACGAGTCATCCTGCCAGCAAGGTGATAGATTCCTGTGACAGGGTCAATGATCTCACCCAGACCCCAAGGTCGAACCGGTCTGTGTGCATAGTAGATAGAAGGAATGGCCCATTTGGTCAGTCGCTTGCGTTTGGAGTTCTCGGATGCGGGCCTTGCCTCTTGATGATAATTGTAGTAGTAGCGGACGCTTTGTACGAAGATTTTGTCGATCGTGTCTTCTTCGAAGGCTACGCCTATAGAGGTGAGTTGGTCCATCATCCAGGCCATGGTGATGTTGGCGAGTTCTTGGTCGGGGAGGCCGCCTCCGACATTGGAGTGGGCTCCGCAGAACCAGACCTGTCGGAGATCGGTGCGGACTTGAGGTGGCCGTTCCCATACTGCTGGGGCAAAGGAAGGGCGATCTTCGTCCAGGGCGAGTGCTTGGAAGGCGTATTCAATTCCGTTTGACAGAGATGTGTCGTAGAATCTGCATGTGAGAGGCTGTCAGAGCCGATTTCTCTTAGAGTGAAGATTCTGGGGCACTTATTCTTTGGTGGAACGAGGGATTTCAAGTTCGTTTGCTAGGTCTGTATCCGGGATACCTATTCACAATCAGCATTGTGAATTTCTGGTTGAGAGGGACGATGGACAAACCTAGACTTCCAACTGTTTCCCAGACCGCGACACAACGAACTGTGATGGGATACCCATCAGGGTCATACACTCGCGTGAATCCCTCCTATAAAGAGTTTTAAAAAAGGTCATAATGATCGTGGTTGATGTTCACATACCTCTTCAAGCCGACGTTTGTATTCCTTCCGTGATTGTGGCTTGTGAGAGAATGGTACAGTGGGAAACTTGTCCTTGTAGTCGGGATTCCTAAAGTTCTCTGAATCTTTGAAGATCGGGTAGAGGTACTCCATTCCCTTAGAAGTGAGGAGACCAATCTCGGTGATGAGGCCCTAAAGGCATGAGTGTACAACCTTAGGAATGCTATAACCTCCACATCAGGACATGCTTACTGCAACACTACGTGCGGTGAATGAACCACGGGAAAAGCCCAGCAGAATAATTTCATCACCGGGCTCGTAATTTGTTGCCGCGAAATTATACGCTTCCCTAATATCCTGCGACAGTCAAGCACGGATCTTCTACATATGTGGAATGTTCACTTACTTCAGGAACGCCAGCACCAAAGATTCCACCAGCAAGTGCATCCACGATACCTCCGCTAGTACCAACGCCGGGATGATAGTACATGACCTGGATCCAGCCGGCCGAGTCCCTTTTCTTCAGTGCGCGATAGACTCGCGTGACATTTGTTGGGACCTGCAGAGTGGCATTTGGCTGGTCCAGGGTCGGCCGGTTGTAGCCCTGGTCGCTATTGACCCACGTGCCATCCAAACACAGGATGAGCCGCTTCCCTGGGGTGAGCATTCTGTACAACTTGACCCGATCGGTAGTCTCCAGGTGGGGATTATGTACGTGATGAACTGATGAACTGTGGTTCACCGCCTCAGCCTCAAACAAAGCGCTAGAGTCCAGTCCTCGTGACGATCCTTTCTGCTTACGCCGAATAAAGTGGCGCTCGGCTCGTGTTTGATTACCGATACGTGACGATTGGTGAAAGTATCTGAAACTGCTTGAAAGAACCTTAAGACCAGGCTGTTCATGTTCTATTGGAAGTCATGAGTATTGAAGATTTAGACCGAGGTTTGGTTATGTAGTAGGTGGATACCGGTGGACCGAGGAGACAATGTATAAAAGCAATAATCTACCTACTATTTCCGAATATTTAATAGCAGCCCCGTTGTGCGCAGGTGGGCTTTTACGACTTGGAATATCTCCTACTTAGATTTTCGGTTTCACTAGTCCAAGCAAGGAGACTGCGCATTTATATAATTCATTGGATAAGCCGTAGATGCGAAGGACCCATGCAGACGTAATATTCTTAGTAGGGAACGGCCGTAGGCGGCGAGGATGAAATGATACAAGAATATACATAGTCTTAACAACTTCTATGAGTATCTCATGGATACTCCCAATTGCGCAGACGGGCCACAAATCCCTAAGGATGCTGACTGCAATCTGTACATGCATGTCCCGAACTATGTCCCAAAAGGTCCTCTCCCAGCACAGCCCGCTGGACTGGAGCAGGCCCGTAATGCGGTAAGGTTGAAGGCGAAAAAAATGGGAAAATACTTTCATGCAACTAGTAAGGAACTCCGAGCCCGAGGACTTCGAATACAGGGGGCGCCCCGTTGATGACTATCCATGGAATACCTGACATCGGTAAGTTTATGCTTGTGAAAAAAAAAAAAAGCGGGGATACGCACCTGCATATACAACCAACTTGGTCACGACCTCGACGTCGTATCGCACGCGAGGTTTTTTGATTTGTGAGAACACTTCCTTTTCGTCCGCACGGGTTGTCGCCCGGCTTGTTTCATATTCGGGCGAGGGAAGTGGAGATGAACGAGGAATATTGGCGTCCGGCTCCAATTTACCGGATTGGGGGCTGCCTCTGCCCATCATGTTCTCGTAGTCGTCCAGCTTGGATGTCTTTCGCGACAACACGGGATTTCCATTGGCTTTGTTATCCCGGTCAGCGGGAGGTTCCCGGCTACTGCCGGATTGGCTTTCGCGTCGGCGCTTCTCCCGGTATGCCAATGTTTCGTATGCATCGGCTTCTGACTGAGGTCCGACGGAAATGGCTCGTCGCCGAGGGTGCCGGATCGTGGTGAGGATGGAAGGAATATCGGAGAAGTTGGGGAAGACTTCGTTGTCCTTCAGGTTAGAGGGAACGGTAGTATACCGCCTATACACATGTTTAGAAGGACTTCAAAAAGACATGAAGCTGAGTAACTTACGAGGCTGTGGTGAAGAATCGACGGGGCAAGAGAAGACCGAGTTTCTCGAGGCTGCGGAAAATGGGCGGGAGAATGCGGAGCAGAGTCGGCTTGGTAATTTCTCGCCATGCGAAAACACACAGCACTCCCACCACAAGACGAATAACGGTCTTGGGCAGGCCGATAATTTTGTAGTTGTATGGAATGGTGCCCGGGAGGGGCTCAGACCAGGCAAGGTCGGATTGGGTGAAGTACCACGAGCCAACGTCCACTCCAAGCGTGACGCCCGCGAATGCGACACTGTCATCGAAACAAGGACAATCATCTGCCGGCTCCGGATGAATGCGAACCATGACTAGGATGACAATGGGAATGACGAGGATCTCCTTCAGCGAGGACGACAAAATGTAATCATCAAATGCGGGGCCCCAGCTGAACTGCGCGAGGCCAATCAGTGCACCCAACACGCAGCCAACCACACAGTCTAGCACCCCATGCATACCGCAGTATAACCGGCCCAGCACGATCGACGTCACGTAGAGATAGATCACCACCTGGAAGAAGACGCTGGTCTGCGGGTTGAGAGTCGAGTCGGGCGAATTGAGCAGAAGGAGAGCGTAGACGGCAACCGAAACGGCGTTGGTGGAATGCGTCGAGGGGAAGCCGTACTCCAGAGCAGCAGAGCCGGAGTGGGTGATTCGCTGAAGCGGCGGAGATAAGGGCCGAGGCAGACAGAGTAGGTCTTTAATGAAACCGCTGAAAAAGACACCGGCTGCCAAAATGTGGACCAGTCTACAAAACGAACCAAATATTAGCCATCGTGAGCTGATACCGACATTCTCTCATCTGGGATCACATACCCACGCCCCAAACTGGTATGACCACACCAGAACAGGAAGGGCAAGAAGACCATGAAAAAGGTGTGAGTGCCAAGGTTAGCCGTAAAGGCAAAGTACGAGTCCAGGGTCGGAGTGCGGACTTTCTCCTGGACCCAGGCAAGGTATGGCGTTTCATATCGGATCAGAGGGAGGAGTTTCTGTCTCGGCCAGTAGCGCCAGAGGGGTAGTCGACTTGAATCTATTCCGAGTCGCGAACAAGGTCACCAGGTCAGCGATTGATGCGGATCGCGAGTTTCCAGAGGCCTGGGACGCGTGCAGAGATCCGGGGCAGGGCTACATACAGTGGTTGAGACTCTTGAGCCCGGCGTCGGGCTGATCTTTTGCGTCCTTTCCCATTTTGCGGAGTTATCGATCCGGGTGCAATTGAACGGAGGACCTTGGACATGGACGGGCCGGTGCCTGCCGCTCGATTCGGAACGCGGAGTGTCAGCGCGAGGACATAAGGAGTGAATGGAAGTTAGATGGAAGAATATGGGAGTGTAGAGTGCCGTGTGAGAAGAATCGAGGTATCGAAGAAGCGCCGGGAGGACCGCTCGTCGCATCCGCGGCTCGCCCCTAGGCCATGTGTGTGCTTAGTCACCAGGGACAACATTCGATGAAGAACGTGGAGATAACGGGAGATTGACGGGTTTTGGGTTTATGAAGAACATTGGACTCGTTGGAAATATAGTACTTGGTTATTGTTCGCTAATCGGGTATTCAAATTCCAACGTTGTTGATTGCCTAATTAGTGTATTACCCACCAAAGCCAAATATACCGTATACACAAGCTGAGTCCGCGCTTCATCGATTCAGACAATACACCTCACTGAAAATTTGGGACTCGGACCGGGCCTGAAATGTCTCCGAGTGATCTATGGATGCTCACGGCTGCCAACAGCTAGCCGCTATACTGTAGTAGCACACTATCCACAATGGATATACGTTTCCACGAGGCTCAAGCCTCCACCCAGTCTGACAGGCCTTCAGAGCTGCCCCAACACACCAATCAACAAATCTCTATTTTGAGTTCTAGAAGACTGCAGATCCGTGTCCACGAGATCGCATATCTCCGATCGACGTTCATCACATGACACCGGGGAGGCCATCCCGAGGCCGTCGCAACCGAACCAGTTAATGGAGAGCTGAATGGTGGGGAAGGAGGGGCTCATGGAGGGGCCTGCGGACGAAAAAAGAAACCGGGATTGGAGAAGATCGCATCAATCAAGTTGAAAGTGACAGGCGCTACCAAGGCGAATCGCACGAAGCGGAGCCCTGGCGTCATCGAGGGCGGCCGTTGCCATGGCAGCCTCTGTGGAAATCGGTGTAAACACGGGTCTCGCCCGAACGAAGACCCTCTTGCTATCACAGTCAATGATCGAGATCCTCTGACCTTTAGATCATTACCCCATCCACCTCCTCCATCTTTCTTCACACCCCCCGTTCTTACCATCTTCTCTCTCCCATCCTCCCACCTCAGCAGATACCCGTCATATCAACCCTCCACTTTCGCAACAAGGGGGTCCATACCAAGATGAGCCAGATGTATGACGGAGACTACTATGCGGCTTCGCGGCGCCACTCACTCGCTACACCTCCACCATCCAACTCCCCGCGTCACAACAGAACCCGCACCAACAGTGTCCGGGTAAGCAACGGCACCGCAAGCACCCACACCAGCTTCTCCAGTGGACGGATGTCCGAGGCAACCAATATCACGCAGCCGCCCTCCTTTTCAAAAAAGTTCGTGGTAGTTGGCGACGGTGGATGCGGCAAGACTTGCTTGTTGATTAGCTACTCCCAGGGCTATTTCCCCGAGGTAGGTCTACATGATCCAGGATTGATCAGAGTTGATACTGAACTACAACAGAAATATGTGCCCACTGTCTTCGAGAACTACATCACACAGACGGTCCACCGAGGATCCGGTAAGGGCGTCGAATTAGCACTTTGGGATACCGCTGGACAAGAGGAGTATGATCGTTTGCGCCCCCTGTCCTATCCCGAGACGGATCTTCTCTTTGTCTGTTTTGCTATCGACTGCCCTGCATCTTTGGAAAACGTCGTGGATAAGGTGAGCCTCTCCACTATCTTACCCCCGACCCGCACTAACCGTCAATCAGTGGTACCCCGAAGTTTTGCACTTCTGCCCCACAACCCCCATTATCCTCGTCGGCCTGAAGTCAGACCTGCGCAACAAGCGCACCTGCATCGAACTCCTCAAGACCCAGGGCCTTACCCCCATCACCCCAGAACAAGGCCACGGCGTTGCCCAACGGATGGGTGCAACCTACGTCGAATGCAGCAGCAAGGAGATGCGGGGCGTGGACGAGGTCTTTGCAAGTGCGGTCGACATGGTATGCTCAATCGAGGAACAGGGCTACTTCAACCAGCCATCGCATAACCGCACCAACAGCAAACCCTCTGCAGGCGGGGTACCAACCAGACCGGGCAAGAAGGTCAAGAAGCGGTCCTGCAAGATCCTGTAAAACAATCCACTCCGGCCTCCCTTCTCTTCATGACCATCTCTTCATTTCCTTCTCTCCGGTCCGACCACAAGCCTGGTTGCTTCGTCGGTTTGCTTGCCTGCCCCTGTGTATGGGCCACCCGCAAGCTGAACATGAACTGCTAAAATTTCTTCCGTCTGGGGTCGCTGTGCGCCCTGGCCCTTTTCTCTTGCTGGAGGCAGTTTGTCTGGATTGGGACTTGTTTTTTGAATGTCGACTGTTTATCGTTTTTTCTTCTGCTTTCTCATGACCCCTGGTGCCTTTGGTACTCATGATTCGGGTCTTTGCTTCATGCATGGGACTGGTGTTCTCGTTTATGTTATCTGATCTGTTCTGTTGGCGAAAGCGACCTATGTGTCTCTGTTACTGAAACAATACATATGACTCTGATGTTTCACTCAACCCCTCATAGTTATAGAACTCGTAGAATATTTTCAATGCAGTATGTGACTGGTATCTTCAAATCATGTAAACAAGCACCAACGCCAAAATTCAGCAATCATAACATCTTCATTGGCTCGCCATCGAGTCACCTTCTCCCTCACGCGGTGTCCCCGACTTTCCCTGCCCCTCACTCTCCCCACTAACATGCCTCCGCCCTTGAGCTTCTTCGACCTCCTCCTCAGGTCGGCCCATAAAGTTCTCAAATTGCGACCAGAGCGCCTCCACAGATCCAAACTCGTTTCCAACCTATCCCAGATTAGCAATGGTGATCAACAATCCGGGTCCACGGTCCTGAACCTACCGTGATGATGCTCTCCAGGTTTCGGTTCAGTCGGTTGATGTTTTGGAGAACCTGCTCCATGCCCTGTTCGTGACAGCGAAGGGATTAGCGTTTGGTGATGCAATCGGGGTGCCAGGGGAGTCGATCACGAACCACCGCAATTTCCCGGACTATTTCCTCGCGTTGTTGCTCGAAGACGGTGGGCGTGGCTGCGCGGCCGCCGGAGCCTGGGGTTGATTGGAGCCAAGCCATTGGAAATAAAGTAACCGGAGTGTTTTCTAGAATCAACGAGATCGAGCGATTTCGGGTTCGGCGTGTTGGAAGTTGGGGTCGTTCAACGCGGTGGCGGATACGTCTCGCTGGAATTGGAAGTACGATCTGTGAGTCGATTTTTGATTTCAACGTAGGATAGCGGTCGCGAACACGCCTGGGGTGTGATATGATTTCACAGAGCGACGGGGCAGACTGGACGCGTCTAGAAGTTGGTGACGGGAGCTTGGAGAGGAGAAGTTTTTGCGGGGCAGCGATAAGGGAGATAAACAAACACAGCTACGTCGGAGATTCACGACTGTTTCCGCATTTCCACCTCATCATGTCAATGCTGGTTAATTGAATACTAATATAAACAATACCTATATAGATAGCAATCTTTAGATCCCACGTGGTGTTAGCATCGAATATCCGGTTTGGTTTTATCATGGATGGAAACCACGGGACTAGCAGACGAGTAGTACAAGGTACATATAATGCTTTAGGAGCTTTTGGGCTTTTATTGAGAGTCCATGAAATTGTACAGAAAGCTATCTATAAATATTCACACTCTATGATTTGAGATATCCGTGTATGATATAAGAGCATAATCTAAAAGGCTCTTAAACATAAGCAATGCGCCCAATCCCAGGAAAAAGCAACAAGCAAATCACCCCTTAGAATACTTCCACCCCTTCTTCTTCTCAGCCCTAAAAGCAAGCAACGTCCCATCTCGTCCCTGCTTCCGTGCAATCTCGACAACAACAAAGCGCACAAAATCCGTCAACGTCCAGTAACTACTGTGCGCACTCAGCATATTGAGGTACTGGATATTCAACGGGCCGCCGCCGCCAGAGAGGTAGTAGTCAATCTGGCCGTTATCGTTTAACAGGAGCATGCGCTTCTCGGCAATTTCCTCGCGCGTGAAATCGTGGGTTTCCATTTCGACGTTGGAGGGAAGCTTGGTGATTGCTGCGGGGCGGATTGGGACTGTTGCTGGGACGAAGGAGGTTGTTGAGCTCCAGCGGAAGACGCTGCCGAAGGAAGACCAAATTGTTGAGCTGGAACTTGGAATCGAGGCCGTTTTGAGGGAGTTGGAAAGGTCTTTGTCGACTGTGGCGTTGACGCGGTAGGCAATTGCTTGAGGGTGTCAGTATGAGTGTATGAACTTTGAAGATGGGACACGTACGGTCTGTGGTGTGCAGTATATTGTAGAGATTGTCTACTGCAAGGCAGCCGTAGTCGCCAGCCTCGCCGGCAACACCGCGAAATCGATCCTCGCCTTCACTCCCTGGTTTGTCTCTACCTTTTCGAGGAAGGAGACTCGCTAAGCAAAAGGGCATTAGTACTAAAGAATACAGGCCATAGATGATCGAACATACCTTTGTTGAGCAGTAAGAAAAACCCAACAGGGCTGCCACACAAAAACAGATGCCGGGTATCGAACTCGAAGATATCATTGTGTAAGCGTGTATCCGAAAACTTAAAGCGAGGAACATGGGTCGGCTGGTGACTTAAAATGTCGAGGGCCATGACACTTCCTAGGGAATGAGCAAGAAGGTGCACACGACCGTTTTCTTGGAAGCCAGCATTATTCTTACACCAGAGTCGATAAATGCGATTGGCCTCTCTCACAACCGCCTTGATCATTTTCGGCTTGTGATGAGAGAGATAATAGGGAATATCAAGCATGACATCGCTGATCAAGGATCGCACGGCAGGAAGTGTTTGCGGGGTGATGTCGTCGAGGGAAAAGTCGTTGGCTGTTGGGTCCTCCGCATCTGGAGATTCAAGGGCCGGATCTTCCAAAGATAGAGTTGCTCGCCAGTTTACAGGCAGGACCATGATTCCGCCGTGGTCTTGGTCGACATGGGGCCAAACAGGCTCATTGTTCAGCTCCATGTTGACCTGGCGACGGAAAGCGTTGATTGCGTGTGTGAAGTGAAAGCTTTCCATTCTCTCTGATAACTTTTGTCCAATACCATGAATGACGAATACCAGATCTGTTGGGCTAGCGCGCTGCTCTTCCATCTTGCATGCGTAGCATATTTGTTCTCCGGGGGCGGGAGCAGTTTCTTCCTGGGTCTTCCGGATGTATTGTCGTACATCGACGGGGTTGGGTTTCGAAGGGTGCAACCGATCCCACAGCTTTCGACTAAACCCGCGAACCACCGGAATTCCGATTTGTCGTTCTTTGCGAATTGCACTAAGCGGGCGTCTTCCTCTGGACGCAGACGGGAGCAAGCTGGGTCGTAGGATCTGAGCATTCTTCGCATCCACGTAAATGACGCTGGAGGTGAGATGCGACTTGATAGCTTCGAAACGAGCCGCTGTTCCACCAGCAGCTTGGTTTCCATCGAACGCGGGAGTCTCATCCGCTTCACCGGCGGTAGAGTCATTGCTCTCGGGGCCCTGTGCTGTTCCCGGGGGCCTGGCAGATCCAGGCTCGCCCTTCGGCCACAGCTGATGCATGACTTTAATCTCCGCATCGGCGCCATTCTCCACACAGCTGTTCAACTCGTCCTGCCAGGTATCGGTCCACGGCTTTAAGTAGGCATATCCTTCTTCGAGCTTGTTCGCGAGATCCGTTTCCACGGGTAACATGCTATTCTTATAGAACCAGGTGGCACGAACTACGCCTGAGATGTCATGTAGAGGATTCCAGTAGATAGGTTTCATCTACGCAAATGGTCAGCGTAGTACTTGGAGCATGAAGATATACATACCTTTAATTTTGGCAATTCGACCAAGTGAAGACGCGAAACACCGACTGGGATCTTAATCTGCGACTCCTCGGGGTTGGTCTCATCGCGCGAGCTATCCTGGGTGAGCTCATCCCAGCTGACGGCGGCCCGTAGATTCGAGGGCTTCGGTGCTATCCAATTAGGAACGCCGTTTCGCAACTCTGTCTGTCCTTCGTGTGCTCCATCTTTTGATGGCAGCGAATCATTCGAACGACCCAGGGGACTGTGCGACTGAGAGATAGGTGCCCTGATGAAGGGGGAGCCACTGATGCTAGCATCCCTAGACCGATTCGCACGCAAGCTGCCAGCATCGTCTTGTCCTTCTAGTGGGTCTTCTTCGATCGAATTCCTTCTTTTGGCCGAAAGGGACTCATTCAGGGAAGAAGAGCGGTCTCTCTTCCGGTAAGCAATACTGCTTCTATGTTTCCCATCGTTGAAGCTGTCAGCCATAGGCGAGGTCGGTTGATGCCGATCCGCATAGTCCTCTGCTCGGGCATCGGAGCTATTGGCGGAGTAGCCCGAGCGGCTCTTGAGATTCCGCGACAGATCATCTGGAAACGAGGTCGGAGTGCCCCTGCTGCTACCCAAGCTCGCACCCTCTGCATTTGCGGCCTTGCGACGTCTTTGCACCTCAAGACCCGGCCCGCGTCCAGGCACGGCTATCCCAGAGCGTCCATGTGACGTCTCGGGTCGAGAGGGGCTTTTGGAAGCAGCTTTGACCTGTTGGGCTTTCCCAAGCTCGCGCCATGCGGTCTCCAAGGCGAGATTATCTCTAGCAGAGAATGGTTTGGGTGGAGCCCTTTCATTTTCAGTAGATTGCCCGGTTGCCGGGGGCAGAGGCGCCAAAGGGTCGTCAATTGGCAAGGATGATATGTAGAAGAACTGCGAGCGGACGTCTGGCGGTGTAAGACGCGAGTACAAGCTCGACAGATCCAGCTCTTCGTCTGCCAAAAGGCACGAAGGGCCGTAGGTGTGAAAAGGCCCCGCCATAGCGAACAACCAAGTCCCACTTTTATCCAGGGACCAAATCTCGCTGAGATCGAGGGACCGAACGCTAAACGGTGACGGACATGGCCCGAAGTCTGTAACTGATCGACCTTAGCCGCTCGGAAACATCCGACCGGGCAGAAATGACTGAGAGTTGCATGAGAGAGGGGAAGAGAACAAAAGAAACAGGCTGCACAGTTACCATCTCACGAGCAGTGAAGCTTCCCCAATTGAGCGATGACGTCGCTGCACGTGCCGCATTGTCTTGCCGGGTCTATCGAGTCCTTGTTCATACTTACGCATACAGAGAGTGAGCTTCAAATGAGACAACTATCTTCATTATTGACTACATAAGTAGTTACTTTGTATGACCGCAAAGTCTCTTTCCCTGGTATTTCCTCCTTTTTGGTTTGTCTCAGGTGCGGTCACTTTTTGCCTGTCGGCGGAGCGACTCCTTCCCGGCCGCTTTGGAACGTGGTCATGTCTCGAAGGACGAGGAAACAAATGAAAGGTATCAAATGAGTGGACTGCCTGGAAGAGCGTAATGAATGTGGGGGTTAAATGCAGATGATCCAGAGCTCAGGAGCTGAGCGAGGAGGAAGGAGAACCGGGGGTGTTGATCATGAACCGAAGGACGCCGGCATGCAACTCATCGAAAGCCTGTAGAGTTGCACTGGGAGCATTCAGCATGTTGAGGATCTGACCGATCTCGTACAGCTGTTTGCGGATGGCACTGTCGCGAAGGCAGAAGGTGCGGTGGTTCATATCCTGGATAATGGACTTCCAGCTCCGGAGGTTCGCAACCAGCTGCACTGGGTTGGTAGAGCTGAGACCGGTGAACTCCATGGTGCGACGATTAGCGTTGATGAGATCACGCTGGGTGGCCTGATCGAAACGGAACTCGGGGACCCGAGGCAGATTTTTAGCAGCCCAGCCATAGATTACCCGATTGATGGTGTGCTGGTCGATGCGGCCATCGCAGTATTGCTGAATCAAGAAGGCGTTGGCGGTCTCGCAGATCATAAACTCCAGTCTGGAGTAGAGCAGCGCCTGGTCTCCGGGTCCCAGAGAAACTGGAGAGGGCTTGGGAGGCGTGACGGGACGGTCCTTGGGTGGCAGAGGAGGCGGGCTGTCCTTGCCATCCACCATCTGCTTCTTCTTTGCGACCTCCTCGATCTGCGTCGAATCGTCAGTAAGTGAAATGATGAGTCGGTGAGTGTACTTTCCGCTACAAAAGTCTGGTCCGAAAACTCCTGCTTCAGGAATTTCTTTCCCAGTCCCTTGAGAAATATGGTCGATCGCCGAAAGGCCGCCACAGGACCCTTGGAACTCTGCTCGCTTCCTAGCCATCCGTCGATGTGCTTGCTCTTCTGGGATCGCGAGAGGGAAGCAGCTTCAATGATCGTGTCGACAATGGTCGTGTCAACGTTCTCTTTCATGACCAGCATCATGGGGCCATCGCTATCGTTGACACGAAGCGCAGTGATGGGCGTGTTGGGTGGGTTGACATAGACGGGAGCGATAGGCTCGATGAGCGACTTGACATCGACGGGGGCGACGAGAGTCCTGGGCGTGTTGGGTGGGTTGATATAGACCGGGGCAAGGGGCATGAGGAGCGCGTCGTCGACCCCAGGAGGGGCGATGAAATCGAAGTGAAAGTCAACATCCGGACGAATAATGGGAGTAGTGGGCGAGTTGCTAGTCTTGAGGCTTTTCTTGAGGCCCTCGGAGTCATCGTCGGTCGAGTACTCACTGTCGGAATGAACCACCAGCGGTGGGAGCTCGGGAGAAGCATGGCCGGTCACGTTCAGCTGCTCCGGGATCAAGTCCAAGAACTCTTCGTGGATAGGAGACATACCCTGATACTGTTGAAGGGTAGGATAGCGGTCATACTCAGGGATCCTGAAATTGTCCAGCGAGACAGCCGAGACAAAATGCGATACCTCTGGACCGGTTTCCTGGCCCATGGCTTTCAGCCATTGCCAGTGACGGCGGTGCTCAGCAATCTCCGGGTTCTGGTGACTGTGTAATTGATTAGAACTGTCTTTGGCATGTTCAAAGGCATGGCGGGACGCATACCCTTCCACGACACGAAGGACTCCCTCATTGTCAACAGGCCAGACATAGCTCGGCTTCCACACACGAGGAGGGAGCGTTATCGGGTCGAGATGATCCTGGACTCCGTGACAATCCATTGGTAGGATTCCCGGTGTCAACTGGATGATGATCGAACTTTTAATTGAACGAGAAACTTGACAGAAAGCAATATCAAGTGATTTGGAAGTTGGCGAAGAACATGCAGGCTGAAGAGAAGAGGAAGAGTAAACGAAGAAAAGAAGAAAAGGAAAATGTTGGAAGATCTGTCGCTGAGTCCATGAGGGCTTTGGACAATACCAAACGGGATGCAAGGCTATTGACCTCACATGCACTATTGTGTCCTCTTGTTAAAGGCTCACATTGTGCAGGTTTAAGGAAGGACCCTTGAGACATTTGCCTATTCAAGATGAAAGGCAACTGTGCCAGGGACAATCCGGGGAAAAGGTCAACGCCATTTGACATGTGTCAGTGGAAGTTGCCGCAATCACCAGCCTCTCAATAGAACAATGCCGCATGACACCCTCGATGGGTTAGAGGGTAGACAACACCCCCAAATACACATTAGGCCACGCTATCATGTACCCAAGAATAACCCTGAGAGAGTTTGTAGAACTCGTGCCCTCTAGGGTATCCAGGCATTGGGTTCATCCCCGGGCGTTGTGCCACTAAGCCGGATCTCTTGCCGAGTCCGTCGCTTAGCCACTCCGCTTCCTCAGTCTTATGGGGTCGGCTTCATTGTTTTGCCACTTTCAGTCCCGAGTGGCCGCGACGGCACAAGGGAGGATGCTACGTCCGAAGCTATTTAGGAGATAGATCATCTAGACCGGGTACTTCTCCGGGGTTGGAGGATGATCCTGGATACCGAGAGAGCCAGGCTTTTCCAAGGTTGTTCATTCTTGTTTACGGCGGAATATGTACTCAACAAGAAGCACCTGGGCGGGGGGTTTGTAGCTGGCCATCCAAGTATACCTCCCTAAGGGACCGTTTCTGCAGCACGTTCATGATCGTGAGACTTGAATCACCGAAGTACTTGCTATTTAACTGAGCAGTTTAGATCAGGAAGACCGTCGGGAAAGGGCACGAGCCAATGGAGTGGATCTCGGTATGACTGGCACTGTACATCGGTATCCCGCAGGGCAACTGCCTGAATAACTACCAGTCCTGGGTGGGGCTCGGTGGATAACTCGGTCCTCTCAAACATCGGAAAGACGGGAGGAAATCCTGTATAGAAATTCCGGCCGATGTTGCTGGTGGGTCACGTGACCCTCACTCCACCTGCCGACGCAGTTCCCGAGTGAAGCAGAATGTGGAGGCCTTGCAGCTCGGTTTGCGCAACGGCAGTCTGTGACTTGCGCGCTGGCCAGCGCCGACCCCCACATACTCTGGCGCGCTCGGGCTGGTTCCCTTTGCTCAGGGTCTGCTTTCGAGCCCTCCTTATTGGTCCGTGTTACCTCTAACCCTGCTGCTCCCCACGATTCAACCGATCCTCAATGCCGTGCCTGCTCTCCGTCATCACCAGTACCACGTAGTCATGCCGCTTACCCCGGCTTGGTCAGATTATTTATGAACCAGCAATGGCCCTCGATCACTTCTTTCTCTCTTCGGATCGATGCGACCGTACGGGGTATTTCTATAATTCTTTTCCCCTTCCTAGCTGAATGCGTTGATCGCCTTTTATCCCCAATCTACTCTATACCCCGTCGCATCACATTCCCACCGCCATCACCATGGTTCACGAAACCTATGACATTGTCATTGTCGGCGCTGGCCCCGTCGGCCTGCTGCTGTCCCTGTGCATGTCGCGCTGGGGCTACAAGGTCAAGCACATCGACAACCGCCCTGTGCCTACGGCAACCGGCCGGGCTGATGGCATCCAGCCGCGCTCCACCGAGATCCTGCGCAACTTGGGTCTGAAGCGCACTATCATGGCCTACGAGCCTGCCAAGGTCTACGACGTTGCTTTCTGGGACCCCAAGGACGACGGCTCCGGTATTAACCGCACCGGTAGCTGGCCCAGCTGTCCCCGCTTCATCGACACCCGGTACCCTTTCACCACCCTGGTCCATCAGGGTAAGATCGAGCGTGTCTTCCTCGACGAGATTGAGAAAGCCGGAACCCATGTGGAGCGCCCGTGGACCATCCTCGGCTTCAAGAATGACGGTGCAAATGCCGAGTACCCCGTCGAGGTACAATTGAAGTGTCTCGATACCAATGTAATCGAGACCGTGCGCTCCAAGTATCTCTTCAGTGGTGAGGGTGCTCGCAGCTTTGTCCGTGAACAGCTTGGCATCAAGATGCACCACAAGGACCCCATTGCCCACGTCTGGGGTGTTATGGATGGCGTTGTCCGCACCAACTTCCCTGATATCGAGGTAAGAAAACGTTCATGCATATAGCCGAAGTATCCGTTTAACACTTGTCTCAGACAAAATGCACTATCCACTCCGATGCTGGTTCGGTCATGGTTATTCCTCGGGAGGACAACATGGTTCGCCTCTACGTTCAGATCGCCTCGTCTACTGACCCGGACTGGAATCCCCGCAAGACCGCTACTGCCGAGGAGGTCCAGCAAACCGCGAAGCACATTTTGAAGCCCTACTGGATTGAGTGGGACCGGGTCGAGTGGTACTCCGTGTACCCTATTGGTCAGGGTATCGCTGAGAAGTATACCCTGGACGAGCGCGTATTTATGGGTGGCGATGCCTGCCACACCCACAGCCCCAAGGCTGGTCAGGGTATGAACACTGCCTTCCACGATGCATTAAACTTGGCCTGGAAGATCCACGCCGTGGAGACCGGTTTCGCCGACCGTTCCACCCTGAGCACATACGAGAGTGAGCGCAAGAACATTGCTGAGACCTTGCTTGACTTCGATGCCAAGTATGCGGCTCTCTTCTCCAAGCGCCGCCCCAACGCCGGTGAAGTCAAGGCCAGCAAAGCTGTGCGGGCTGCTGATGATGGTGAGGAGGAGGACGAGTTCGTCAAGACCTTCAAGTCATCTTGCGAGTTCACCAGCGGCTACGGCGTTGCCTACAAGCCCAACGTCTTCAACTGGGATGCCAGCCATCCCGCCAAGTCTGCACTGTTCAATATTCCTGGCGTGCGGTTGACTCCTGGCCGGGCCTTCACCCCGACGACAGTCACTCGTCTTGCCGATTCCAACTTCGTTGAGTTGGAGCAGGAGATCCCTACCAACGGGTCTTTCCGCATCTTCATCTTCGCTGGTAACCAGAACAAGACCAAGAAGGCTATCACCGATCTCGCCGCCAACCTGGAGAAGGAGCGCTCGTTCCTTTCGGTCTACCACCGCCCGGACACTGCCGATGTCTCCTTCTTCGAGCGCCACAACCCTCATTCCAAGCTTTTCACCTTCTCCGTCATCTACTCCGCCTCCAAGAACGAGATCGACATGGACGCCGTACCCCAGGTTCTGAAGGACTACCACCACCACCTTTACGCCGACGACATCCCCGATTTCCGCGTCCCCAGCGCCAAGTTCGCTGCCCACGAGAAGCTTGGCCTCGACGCCGAGAAGGGTGGTGTCATCGTTGTCCGGCCTGACAGCCACGTTGCCTGCACGGTGGAATTGGTGGAGGGCAGCGGAACTGTTGATGCCCTGAACGAGTACTTCAACGCGTTCACGACGAAATCTCTGGGTCAGGATCCCCAGCAGAGCCGTCTATAAATCTCTTCTATGTCGTGTAGGTTTAAACATGAGATGTATATAGCTTGGTTTGATCGTTTGTTTGGAGCAATTGCTTGAGCATTAGTGGCGTTGCAATCTGTTTTCCTATTTTCTTGAATATGAAGATGAATAGAATTTACCTTCTAAAAATACCCTTTTTTCCATCTCCAAGTAAAAAGTAACCCCTTGACGTGAAAGTAAAGTAATCCCCTACGAGGTCACATGCCAAGCCTCCGATCTATCTTCAGTCTCCACCCCGCATAACCGGAAACCTTCACTTTGATCTGTCGAGCGCGCACCTCCCCCAAAATCGCATTTTCGAACGCGTCAAGATGCTTTCGCTCGTTCTTTCTGCTGAACTAGAGGGGTGAGTATTGTCAGATCCATGTTCCCTGCTTGTGCCATCTCACTGGAAGCTCCCTCGCACCGCAGAAGGAGATTTGATGCATGGCGTGGGCGGGCACCTCTATATGCATCTTTGACGTTGGAATAACGCAAATCTAACTTATTTGTATAGTGTCACTGGCCTCCGGCCTACTGATACCGAGGAGAACCCGTACTTCTACACCTTCCGTGTGCAATGCACCTCGTGCCGCGAGATGCACCCGAACTGGGTCAGCTTCAATCGCTTTGTGAGTTCTGCCAGTCCTACCAATCTCCTAATAAGCGCGTGGGAATACATGACTGATATGTCTGAAAATATAGGAACAGCATGAAATCCCCGGCAGCCGTGGCGAGGCCAACTTTGTCTGGAAGTGCCGTCTGTGCACCGTAAGATGCCCATCTTCTTGAATGTTTGCACTTCTCGTCCTATTCGCTTACGCTTTACCCTTGATGTTTCTTCCCATGCATTCCTTCAACATAAAATCATGTTTTTATACATCCAGGCTAACACCACTAGAAAACCCACTCCGCCAGCATCATCGCCGGTCCGCACGTCTTCGAAGCCCAGGAGAAGAAGAAAGGCCAGAAGATTATCGACTTAGACTGCCGCGGCCTCGAATTTACCGACTTCAAGCCCGACGTAAGTACTCCCTTTCTCGAGTTATTGTGCATGCTTCTCAGACTTCTCCAGGGTGATTGGGAGGTGAAAGGCACCGAGTCTAACACTCCTTTCTCGACTGTTGACCTCTCTGACGGTGAGTGGTATGATTACGATGAGAAGTCTGGAGAGGAGGTTAGCATCAAGGAGATTACCTGGACTGTTGGCCGGGCTTGAGTTCAATTTTGCTTGAGATGTTTGCCATCCACGGATGTGCCATGTTGCTGGGGAGCGGGGTGTTCTGGCGAGGGAGGGACCGGGGTCCGTGAATTGACATGACTCAATCTTCTTATTTCTGAAAGTTCTTCTGAATTTTTTCAAGCGCTGTATTACTACGAGTGGATGCAAACGCCGGAGAGGCGGGGCGTTGGTGTTGTGGAGATGGCGAGTGCACGAGCAGTTGAAGGCGATGAAGCGACAAGGATCTTTTTACGGTCCTCAATTTCCATTCCCTTGATCCCAAGGGATATATAATGCAAAGCAAGATAAAGTGTTAACCACTGCATCAACACATCCTCAAACCGATGTCAAAGGCGGTGAACAATCACGAACTCTGATTGGCGCAGTGCCGCATCCCGACCCAGCTCACATTTTCGCGACGCTCAAACGACCCCGAGACCTCCAAGCACGCGCAGCCATCACGACCAGCCCGAAGAAGAAAGCTCCGTCGCCCAGCTCCTTCTTAATCTCCTCTCTCCCCGAAAATTCGGTCGCACACACGGTCGCAGACCGCCGAACCGTTCCGCCACAATGAGCGTACGTCTCTCTTCCGTCGAGCTTCGAGCTGGCATGCGACCATATCCAGTCCATCAAGCTCTTCATCAGATTCGCAGGACAAATACTGACATGTTCCACTACAGTTCCAACCTCTCAACCCCCGCCCGTTCCTTCAGGCTAGGTACGCGATTCACCGCACCCATCCCTCCCCATTGAACACGAGCGCTTCTCCGAGACTTTCTACAAATACATGCAGTCATTGAGATCCCTGCTGACGTGTGGTAACAGAGTCGGCACCGAGCTCGTCATCCGCCTGAAGTGGGGCCAAACCGAGTACAAGGGCACCCTGGAGAGCATCGACTCGTACATGAACGTCCTGCTGCGCGACACGGAGGAGTATCTCGACGGAAAGCACACCGGCTCCCTGGGCCTGGTGTTGATTCGGTACGTTTCTTTATTCCATCTCCAATGCCGTTCTATGACTGACCCCCTCCGACAGGTGTAACAACATCCTCTGGATGGGCGACGCTAGCACCGTGGAAATGAAAGAAGTCGGGTTACAATGAGTGACGACCGTTGACCAGGAAAGAAGCGGTGTCTTTGCGCTGTGCGGCACAGCCATGCCTTGGCATGTCCACGATTCGTGGCCGAGGGTCAGGGTTTTCGGTTGATACAACTGGGTAATTGATACCCAGCGATGCACATGGAGCGCGCGCCCGGGGTCGGAGGGGACGGATCCATCCAAATATCGGAAAGGGTCTTGTCGATGTTTGCTATTTCTTCACGAGGCGTTCTGATGGTTCTTCCAGTGCGATATTCTTGCATGGCTACTGGCCAAATCAAATCAATTCAGGTACTTTCCATATACGTCTTCATTATAGGTATCGCATGGCAGTGGTCTGTTGACTAGGCTGCGCCCTAGGATGCGTCTGCGTAATCATCATCAATGACGCGGATCCATCTCGTAGCTATGAGATATCTCGGAACGGAAGATCGGGTCGAGTGGCGGATAGGCCCCCATCACTGATGGTGTACCTCGCCTAGGGGCGGGTGCTGATCGGGGATAAGGCAGGCTGATAGCAAGTTTGGATACTCTCGACGTAAGGACATATTGACATGAGGGGCTTGTGTCTACCGGGAATCCGGCATGCCATTCCTGCAGCGATCCATTGCGGAGAAGGGAAGCCGGTGGTGCCGGAAGGGCGCTCGACATCCGCGTTGACTCAGGGACGAGGGGCAAATATGACTACGTAGCTCCTGGGAGCACCACTTGAGAATTGTCGAATAACGGAGCCGGAAATTATCATAGCTGCAGTACAGTAGGCAACTGGGAGTGGAACGAGAGGCTCCCTCACATCGGACAGGGATGCTTCTTTTTATAGAATTGTTGATCACCCGTTCGACACCCTAGTCAGAGAACCCTGCCGGAAGGTCCCCTAGTACCGAGTACCTAGTACCCTAATTCCCTACCTGGAGTAACCGACAGTAGCTACTCCGTACAAGTTCGCACACCGATCCAACGAGGAAGTTCGTAGCCCCTCACCGTCATCCAGAGCCTAGTCCTTCATGGACTGTTCCGTGCAGAGGACTAGTGTCCTCGGCACGAACTCAACTCGGGGTGCTCGGGGCTCAGTAGACCCTCACGAGGGCCTCACGAGGGCCGCGCAAGTGCCTCCACCGAGATCTCACGAACCATTTGGCCGAGGGTTCAGCATCCACAACGGTCAGTGACCAGATGCCTGACGCCACCGCACCGTTCGAGTGGTACGCCGCTGCCGATCGCATCCTGTTTCGCGCCCATCCACTCTTCATTGCGTTTTAGGGAAATCAGCACGGAGTATGAAGAGGACGGGGAACAGGCCTCCCATTCGTATTGGGTATCGGCATTTCCATCCCGCTTTGCATGATATATCACACTGAGCTATAACCAACCCCTGCCCAAAAACCACAATTTCTCCGTGGTTCTTAGTGGCTTCTGGTGTCCCCTGATCTTCATCTCCCGGTTCCACTCCTGCCCGCATCTCATTTCCGTTTCTCAGTGGATTCCAGTCGCACGGCGCCTTTCTATTCGAAAGGTTATTAAAAAGAGCCCCCGTCCCTCTCCCCCCTTTCGCCCTCCCCATTCTCTCGCTTCTTCGACCCCAAGGTGAAACGCACCCCCGGTGCCGCGCTTACTGCAACATTCTTTGTCTCATCCCTCCACTTGAGATCTAAGATCTATAAAATAAATCAAACACCAAAGAACCACCTTCACCCGAACACCACCCTCGTTCATTGCCCTTCAAAATGCGCGACACACCATCCAAGTTCATCGAGATCCTCGATCCCAAGGACTGCGAAATGCGCATGTCCGACTCCGACGTCCGGCTGGAAGACGTCCTCGCCGACCACGAGGCCACCATAAGCCGCCCGCGCTCGTCCACGCAATCCTCCAAAGCCCTCGAAAAACCACTCCTGGCGCGAACGAACTCCGCCTCTCCCACGCAGCGCTGGAAGCGCATCAGCAATATCCTAGCCCAGCCGCGACGGAACTCCTAGTTCCTGGAAACAATGATCTACTCCTCGCCGAGGCACGAACGACACGATTACGGATATTCACGACTGGAACTTTTACGAGAGGCATGCGATGCGCGCGGGACGACGGTTACGAGACATTTCGGAATTCGGCATAAACCGAGGGTGGAGCAGGGGGGCAACCTGTCCGGCTCGTGACCGGGTCTGATTGATCTGGTCCGGTTGACAAGAGGGACTTTGATCGCGCCGGACGCAGCAGATAGCCCCCTCCTTGATCTGCGATAACGAAGTGATGGTCGAATTCTGGAATTATCCCATGGGACGTTAGCGACCCCTTGATGGGGGAAATGGATGAATGATATCCATCTTGTTTCCGTCAATGTTCCCTTCGGAGATAAACATGTATAGAAAGGAGTACCGGCGTATCGGACATTATTTTATTTCCCATTCAATTTCACTCCCCAGAGATCCACAGGAACACGGGCATTCTAATTCGCAGACCGAGGTAGTATTCCCCTGGTACCTAGGAACCCAAATCTGCCGCGCCGGTCTCAATCTGCCCGTTACAGATACACAACATGAAAAGCTACTGTACCTCGACCCTCCCAAAATTCCGAATTAGCTCCCTGCTACACAGCCTGGGCATGAAATTGTTTGATCTCGAGAAATCGCTTGTGCCGGGACGATCCGAAACCCGTCCAGCTTGTGTTCTGCGTCGGATCTCCAATTTCGTGGGCCACGGGCCAGGCCCGTCATTGTCAGGTACCGGTGGACCCTGGACCCCGTGATGGGACCGCCTGACTGGGTGGGACATTGTCCTACGCGACGGCGAAGCCTTCCTACGGGCCAGCGAAGTGATGTATGGGTGCGATGAGTCAAGGTTTATAGGCTGGACCGGTCTTTTTGGGAGAGTGGGGGGCGTTTTTTAGTTCTGTTTGGCTTTTCGTGGACGGGGTGTTTGGGACGCTAGCGAGATCGTTGTGCGAACTATTGATGAAAATCGGGGCTTTGTCTTAGTTTTTCAAATTGGTGCGTTCTGGACTTTTGCGAGCGTTGAATGCGGGGACACACGAGGCAGGTTTGGACAATGGCAGTGACGTACAGGGTGATTCAGATTTGTTGTCGAGATTTTGGTTGGGAGAGTCGTTGATTACCCGAGGTTAAAGTTGCCCAAACAATGTTTTTCTCGAAACATTGCCGACCGTGGTTCGCTATCTCCGGACTTGAGATCTACAAATAGTATCCATGCTTTTCTAACGGCTCAATTTCACGTGAGGGGGTTCCAGAAGCCTTCCATGGTACCATACGTTGTTTTGACTCAAATCGCCGAGCTCGGCTACTTCGGCAAGTATAATTCCGCGAAAGTGGCATTGCTTGTCCCACAGACTGTTCCGATAGTTCCCAGGCGTTAGATAATATATATTTTTCACATCTTAATGACCATGATCTCGGACCAAGTCTTGGCATACACCCTTTTGAAAATTGAATAAAGTTTCTTCCCTATATTCTAATTTAAGTCGATTGAGATGGGAGACAGTGCATCGTATCATGTTCTCATTGGCTCATAGATATGTTCTGGCAGTCTAGGACAAGGTATCTGTATAAAGGCAAAACAGACAGAAAAAGGACGCCCGAGAAGAAAGAAAACCAGAGATAAAAGACATAGTCAAAGAATCAGAAAACCCGAGAAATCCAGTCCCCGTCGTAAAAGGCTTCACACGGCCATATAATTTTAGCAGATGATTCGGGTGTCGGATCCGTAGACACTTCCCATCATCAACGCCTCCACGATTTCGCCCTTGATACACACGCCACGTCCGGCGCGCAGGACTACCAAGGCATTCGCGGAAACGAGGCTGCCCACGCGCGAGCTGCGCTGTCCCACGCCTTCAACGCCAGTGCTAGTGGCATACAGGCGACCGTCCGAGCGGGAGCCTGTGACCACGGCGCGGTGATACTCCGTACGCTTGGGGTCAAGAGGGAAGTGATGTGTCAAGACGACGGCCACACGCGGCAGACCGAGGTGCGGTGCCAGCCAGGGCTTCGTAGCCAATGCCTGCGAGCTCTCGCCAAGACCAGAGAGCTTGTGCAGCGAGGGAAGCACAAACAGGTTCAAAGTGACGAGAGCGGAGGCAGGGTTTCCGGGGAGAGAGAAGATGAGTTTAGATTGGCGTTCTTGCTGAGTGGTCACCCTTGAGTCGGTAGCAGCTGCCTTGAAGGGCACTGTTGCGAAGGTAGTGGGCTTTCCAGGCTTCATGGAAACACGACCGAAGTGAATTGTACCGCCGAGTGACCGTTCGATGGTAGGTTTGAGGAGATCCAGCTCGCCCATTGATACACCGCCGGTTGTGACGATCACATCGACACTGGAAGAGGCGCGGCCAACGCCGCGCAGTGAGTCACGCAGGGCATGCTCTAGTTCACCGGCGGGTGTGTCGCGTGCAATGCCGAGGTCGACTGTTTGGAAGCCCCATGATTTAAGGCATGAGAGCAGAGAGGGTCGGTTTGAGTCCCGGATCTGCCCACCAGTGAGAGTGCGGGGATCGTCGTGCTCCACAAGTTCGTCTCCAGTACTCAGAACGCCTACTGTGGGCTTCTTGAATACCTTGACGGTCCGGGTGCCGGTGGCAGCAAGCAAACCGATCTCGCCGCCGACGGGAGAGATGATATCTCCGCGCGCGAAAATCTTCGATCCGAGAGCAACGTCGCTGCCAGGTTCGCGGACGTTCTCGCCAGGAAGGATATCCTCCGCTAGGATGTGGACGGTCGCTTCTTCGTTGCCATCGGGGGTGGTGGTGGCCAACTCGGTGTCTTCGACCATGACTACGGCATTCGCATTCGGAGGCAGAGGCGCACCGGTTGTAATTCTAGCAATGGTTCCCGATTGCAATGGCTCTAGGGCACCGCCGACGTTGGCATGAGTGATTGATGCTACGGGAAAAGTGCCGTTCGTGCTTGCACCTTCGGAGGCAATGATGGCGTAGCCGTCAACGATACTGGCACGGTATGCCGGCACCGCCTCGGCGGCGTAGATGTCTTCAGCGATGACAGACCCCACGACTGATGTGTTCACGGGGGCTTCAATGACGATGGGCGCGGGAGTGTGCTCGCTAACCTCGCAGAGAGCGTCCTCCACGGAAAGCATGGGATATGGTGAAGAACGGTACCGTCGACCAGGGCCCGCGGAAGGGTCATTTGACTGGGGAGCAGTGCGTGCCTTTGGGACTACATGACCATGACCATGACCGTGCTCATGGTGATGATGATGGTGGTGGTTGTGGTTATGTTGGTGACCGGATGAGCCAGACGAAACGCCAGACGAAACGCCAGCCGAAACGCCAGCTTCGACCTCCAGTGATTTCACACCAGCGGCATGCATATTTCGAGAGTTTGCTCCGGCAGATTGAAGACAAGCGTGAGGCAGAAGCTTTACAACAGCTTCGAGATTTTCCACAGCTCCCTTTGGGGACCCAGGTAAAGTAATTATCAAGGTCTTGTCGCGTACACCAGCAACTGGTCTGGACATCATGGCAACTGTGAGGGGGATCAGCGGGATGTAAATAGTCGAATACAAACAAGGGTGATGTCATCTCACATGGCGTTACTTTCAACGAAGCGGCAATCATGCCATGGCTGGGGAAATTAGTTTGTGTTAGCGCATGGCCACAAAAGCAAATGGCACGGTATATACTCACACTAGTCCCGGCGCATGCCGGTGTATCAGTGGAGAGACGGCCTGCGTGATGTCATCAGAGGGGAAGACGCATTATTGGACCGAGTCAAACCGAATGTGTCTTACCTCGGGGGTGTTATCTCGGACTGCAAAGCCGGTCCCACCGCTGAGCAGAATCAGGTTATACCAATTGGGTCCATCGGTCCAGTCGCAAACCGACTGTTGGATGTGGAACACGTTGTCGGGAACGATCTTGATTGCGGGGGATTCCCACTTCCCCTCTGCGGTCAAGATGGGAGTAAGAGCGGAGGCCGTCTGGTCCGACGCGGGGTCCTGAGAGGCCGTGTCGGAGACGATCAGAATGCCTGCCTTGAGTTTGTCCATTGTGAAGGGTGGTTGGAAGGGAAAAGTGGGGAGGGAAGGGCCGGTCTTTTATCATTTGGGTCCGGGGTATGGCGCACCGCCGGGTGAGTTTCTGTCGCCGTCTCGCTAGTGACGGTCCGTGCTGCACTTGCGGTTTTTACGGACGCGGGGATATCTCGAAAGTTTGGTACAGGTTGATTTGGCCTTCATTTGCAACTCATTACTGTACACATTCATGATCTTCCGACCAATGATGCAATTCAGCGAAGCCACTGTGCTCTACGGTATTCGAATCCAGACGCCCCAATGCTGTGTATACATGTGAACAAAACAGAAAGTTTTGAAGCTTGAGAAATAACAAAAAAATAAAAAGAGCAGGTAGCCCGCGCGTCATACCGGGACTAGTCGGTGCCCCCCTCGTGGCCCGTTCGGGCAATCATAGCCGTCTAGCGGCGGGGAGCGTGTCGACTTTAAGCTGCACCCATGTCCAGGGCCTTACCACCAACCAAAAGGCCAATGATCAAACCGAACAGTCCAAGGACTGAACTGAAAATCTCAATGACGAGAATCTTGACAAACCTGTTGTGCGTCTCAGTTAGTGACCTGTCTCCCCAATGCCAATGCCAATGCCAAGTTGGCAATACGGCTCCAGAGAAAGACTTACAGGCTGCTATCCGCGGCATCGGCGAGAGCAGCGCCACTGCCGTTGATACCGACGGAGATACCGCAAATCAAGTTGCAGAGCCCGACTGTAATTCCTCCCCAGAACAGCGCATATCCGGTGTAGAAGTTGCTCTTCGTGTAGAGCTCGACTTCGGCGACAGGGGTGAGCTTCGAGGAAAATATGATCGCCATGATGACACCGTAAATAGCCACGACCTCGCAGAAAATAATGGAAATCAAATTCTTGGTCCGAATTTGGGGTGCGCGGACACCGCCGCCGACGATTGAGGAACCGGTGAGGAAGATACCCCTGCAACAAACACGGAGGTCAGTACGGATAAGAAGGACGACAGCCATCGCAAGTTAACATACCATGCAGCTCCAACCACCGAACATCCAATGCACATCGCGATGCCGATGTTCGCCCAGGCGTAAGGGGACACCTCTTCGAGGAAGCGGCCGACCTGGAACGTGTCATGTCAGTAAAGCTCGCGGTGGGCATCGCTAGCTGTATTGAGGATCGATCATACATTGAAGGCTTCACCTTCCCCCTGGAAGAGCATATCTAGAAAGACAGTTAGCTATGGACTCGGGATCGGATCGGGGGCTTGCTGTGACGTACACGCTCCAACCACGAGGAAGGCGCTCGTGGAGAGACCAAAGAGGTACCGGAGATACATGGCGACCTCTATCAACCTGAAAATGAAGGAATGAATAGGCCTCACAGACGTGGGAGAAAGCCGGCGATAAGAAAGCTGAAGCTCTGCGGTGGAGGAGGATTGGGACTCGCTGGCCGGAGCGGATTAACTGTTCCGGGGCGGTGGACGACACTCTCGCCGTGTTTCCCCAGATCCACGCTGACACCTACAACAGAGGGCTGAGAGACACACTGTTGCTTTGGCTTTGAATTTTGCCATTGCATGCCCATTTCCCGTATTTTTGTTGACTGAGGAGCCCTTTATCCTGTCGCGCGTTGATTTTTCGACCCCCTGAGTCTCCCCCCTCACATCTCCATCATGGCCTCCGCCTCCGGGGTAGGGTCGTATTCGAACCCTCTGAAGAAGTTCAAGTGAGTGGGAATATTCGGAATCAAATTCGATGAGACTATGGAGCTAACATGATACATAGGTTGGTGTTCTTGGGTGAACAAAGCGGTACGGTTTTCTCGAACTTCGCGTCTAATCTATGATTGTCAGGGGGCAAAAGAGGCGATGAAGAAGATTCTGATGATTTTTACAGTTGGCAAAACCTCTTTGATCACCCGTTTCATGTACGACTCGTTCGACAACACATATCAAGCCACCATCGGTATCGACTTTTTGTCCAAGGTACTTTTACTCCGGATACATTGATGTGATCCTCCATTGGGTTGCCTCCAGCAACTGAAGCTAACCTTGGCTTGCTCAGACTATGTATCTTGAGGACCGCACTGTTCGCCTTCAGCTCTGGGACACCGCTGGCCAAGAACGATTCCGCTCCTTGATCCCTTCCTACATCCGAGACTCAAGTGTCGCCGTCGTGGTCTACGATATTTCGAACGCCAAGTCCTTCCAGAACACGCGGAAATGGATCGACGATGTGCGCGGAGAGCGTGGAAACGACGTGATCATTGTGTTGGTGGGCAACAAGACCGATTTAAACGACAAGCGGGAAGTTACAACAGCACAAGGCGAGGAAGAGGCAAAGAAGAACAACCTGATGTTTATCGAGACCAGTGCCAAGGTCGGCCATAACGTGAAGCAACTGTTCCGGAGGATTGCGCAGGCTTTGCCAGGAATGGAGGGCGAGGCCAAGCAAGGCGAGAGCACGAGTACGTCACCGCGCATTGGATGACCTTTTGCTGCAGATACTAACAAGACCCTTTGCAGTGATTGATGTGAACATCCACCCCAAGGAGACCACCACCAACGATGGCTGTGCTTGTTAAGCATTCCACCCCCCTCCACCTTTCGTTTACATTCTGACCGATTATGACGATCGAGTCTGTCCATGATATGCACCAATTTTTAAGATGTACATGTTTCCTCCTTCTCGCTGCTCGTCGGGTGAATAGCGTGTGCTTAGATCTTTCAATCCTGAATGCGGTTGCGTCCAGTTTTGTGAGCTGCTGCCTGGATGGTGGGCGTTCTGATTTCCGTTCTCTCCGCATTATATCTTGTTTCTATGGTCCACACGGGGGTTGCTTCCTGACCCATTTGGAGGTCGTCCTGGCCCAAATGACCCTTAGGCTAACGTTTCGCATATGGTATAATCGATGAAGCTGTACATTATGGCATCTTCATGAATATTATCGCAAAATGCATTAGTGCTGTAGATCTTCTAGCTTGTAGAGAGTTATTTGACATGTGCCCTATTGGCATTGATATATACAAACGTTGTGGCTACTTCCAGCATCATTGAAGAAATTAGTATTCAGGTGATATTTTTGGACCTCTCTACAGGCCTGGGTAATGTATAATTTTGAGAGAATTAGGATTCTTCGGCTACTTCAGTCTCCTCTCCAGTTTCCTCCGGCTCCTCTGCATATGCTTCCGTGGCAGGCTCGAAGAAAGGAGCGAACTTGCTCTTCATTCTGAGTTTCTTGCCGTAGAAATAGAATGCAATTGGAATAGGAACAAGGCAAGCGGCAACACAGCCAAGCAGAGTCGAAGCCCATTGAACGCCCATGTTTTCGAACATTTGGCGCGAGAATAGCGGGAAACTTGCGGCGATCATTGAACGGCAGAATGTGTTTGCGGCAATCGCAGACGCAGCACTGTTGGAAATGTTAGATCATGACGAATAGCGATTATGGGGCTGGAAATACTCACAACATGAGATAGGTATCAATCAAGTAATTAAACAGCTGAATGAAGATGATCAGGAGACCAAAGCCAGTGAATAGGCCACTCAAGGTTGGCACGATCCAGGGGATGCTGTTCGTGAACCCAGTCCATCCGAACCAGAAAAGACCTGCGGCAAAGAGCACGCCACCAAGAATCACAGGAGGACAGCGCCACTCAGGAATAGGCACGCCGCCGTTTTTTTCCAGCTTCTTGTTATACCACCTGCTAGAGATGATGATGTATGCTGCGGCAATGAACAAGCCGACGACCATACCGAACAAGGGCAGGCCGCCAATACCAGGGTTCATACCATACACGCCCTGGAAGACGACGGTGTAGGCCGTCAAGAAACAATAGAGAAGCCCGTAGATGAAACTGAGATAGATCGTCACCGCCATAATAAGCGGCTCGCCGAAGAGTAGGCGGAGTGGACGGGAGAAGTTGTTCACCATCAGCTCTTTCAAATCCACTTCAATCTCTTCCTGCTTGGCGTGGATTCCCCAGTTCTTCGTGCGACGACGCAATTCAGCGGCCTTCTCAACGAGCACAACGGGCGGGTATGATTCCTTAAGGAAGAGAAGGTTCATCACAAAGGCCGCATAACCCATGAATGCAGGGATATACGCCGTCCAGCGCCAGCCAAGATAGGACATGTTGATAAAGCCTCCAATAAAGGGAGCTACAAGAGGTCCCAGAAACACGGTGCTGGAGAAACAAGCGATCGCAATACCACGGGTACGGTTGTTATAGATGTCGGAGAAAACAGCAGCGACGACCGCTAGGGGCGAACTGCCAAAAATGCCGCAGAAGAATCGACAAATCATGAGCGTCTGGATATCCTTGGAAACGGCTACTGCAGTGTTAAAAATACCGAACCCCAGCATGGCGATGATGATACCGGGGCGGCGGCCCTTGAGCTCGGAAAGAGGTGCCCAGAGCAAGGGCCCGGACGCGTAGCCGACAATGTACAGGGTGCTGGATAGAACCGAAACTTCGAGACCGACGCCGAAATATGAGGAAACGTTTTTTGAAGAGGCGCTGAAAATGGCGGAATCAAAAGTCGAGCAGATACTTGTATATGCGAGCATAGCGCTAATGTAGATCCTGGAATGGGGTCAGGCATGAACTGAACGGTGTTTGTTTGAAAAGTCATAACTTACTTTTTTTTAAGTGGCCAGTTCTGAGGGTATAGAGGATCATCTGGCCCATCGAATTCCACGACATAGTCATCGCGGTTTGGCAACTGCGGCGGATAAGGCTTGCCGCCGCCGAATGCCGGGAGGGGAAGCTTGGAGGGTCGCGACTTGACGCTTTCACCAACGGTCATGGCATGTTGAAGGCGTTGCGTTTCAATGCGGCTCAGCGCTTGGGACAGGCCCGTTCGCTGGCGCTCCAGATCCACCTCCGTATTGCGCGACTGTAATCTGCGGAATTGAGGGTCATAGTCGACAGAGCTGCTGGAGCCCGTTGAGGACCCAGTTCCTGAGGATCTAGGTCTCTCGGCCTCGGCGGTGGGCTTTTCCCCATGGTAGTCGGAAGATTGGGCCTGGGCATCGTCCTCGGCCCGCTCGAGAGCTTCGTCGGCTTTGTTGACGCTCATGGTGATCAGCGCGTCTGATAAGTGTCAAGCTCGAGGGGGGGCCCGTAGATGCTCGCGGCACCAAGATCTTGAGAAGGTTGGACGGTAAGAAATTTCAGATCAGTTGCCTGATCGACAAACAGGAGCTGCCCTTCCAGAAGCTACCGGGCATAAAAGGATAAAAAAGGAAACGGATCTAAAAGGAACTGATTCCGACCTAACCGTGCCGACCCACTTACTACACGGCTACGACTTATAATCGCAACTGCCGGCTGTCCAGATCCAGAGGAGTGTATGAGAGTGCACTTTTAGTGCAGCGTCCAGATCAAGCTGCCGCAGACATCAGCCGTGAGATACTAGCAAACCCATTCGGACTTGGTGGTAGTCAACGAAAACGAATCCAATTTAAGGGTGCATTCGCCGCCGAGCTCATGATTCCCCAAAGGTGGGACCCTGCACTAGTGGGAAAATATGTGCAACCCGGATGTGATGTCATCATCGGCCTCGGCTGCAACACCGTCAAGGGTCGATTATTAATTTTGAGGATAGCGTCGGAATGCTGGGCCATGCCGGAACGGGAACTTCGTGGAATCGACACTCACAGTACGCCGGGTAACCTATGTTTGATGGGAATCGCTGAGGGGGTTCTATATGCATCGATGGGATTTAGATTGGTAATATCTAGAGTTTGGTGCCGTGCAGCGATCTCCTTATTGTCACCGTCACCGACTGGATTCCCGCTTGGGTATTCATCCTATGGAAGGATGTCCCATGCTAACCTTTATCCAACCCACGGCTGGATGGACCGATAAACAACGCGGTGACTGCTTTCTACTTTCCAGCTGATAGAGGATTCTTAAACTTATTAGGCACGAGCCGCTAGGATAAGTCGGTTTTGCGGATTTATAACTATATCCGAATATGGGTGCGGCGATCAACCCTACAACCTGCAACACACTTGTAGCATCTCTCTCTTCATCAAGGCTGCACCTTGCTTAGCCACAGGAAAATGCGCTCGTTATAAATCCTTCCGAAAAGAGCTCATTCAGGTCCCTGGCTGTTGGTCCACTTTTTGAGGAAGCGGGCGTATCCGCCCGTGGACAGAGGGTCCCACACTAGCAAGGACGATCGATGGCATTCTCAAGTATTGTTCAACGCACTATCGCTTCTAAATTCATCCATCCTTACTGCGCCTGCGTGAACTCTGCGATGAAATATATTGGGGACCCCCGGGATGTTCTGATTCGGCCCTCTTGCCGATACTGCCTCCTTCAAAAAAGCTCGCTCTATGATCGAGAGGTAATAAAAAGGCCGAACTTTACCTAGGAGTGTCATCAGATTGGCGAGCAGGGGTGCTTAATTGAGTGGGCTGCTTTACTGAACCCGAAGCCAGATGCAAAGATCTATAAGAAGGAAGGGTTTGAGCCGGTGTCTGTAATAAGATTTTCTAATTTGAAGATGAGGTTGTGACGACGCTAGAAATGCAGGTGGTGGTGTGCCGGATGCAGCTGGTATTGACCACGCCGATAAAGGTACCAGCAGTTGCAAATATTTCCCTATATAGCTCGAGAAACAAGGCAAGACATAAAAGAGGCAGGATCCTGAAAATGGTGAGTTTAGCGCATGAATAATGCAGACCAAATCGAGAAGAGATCTGCACGGATCCGCCGGCAAACGACACCCCTGGTTTCTGTGCGCCACTGTACTTTGCCATTTCCCTCCAACCTAATCTAATTTCATTATCTCCATCACATTCATTCTTGACCAGGTAGAATTCGTCAAGATGGGATCCGTTTCACGATTTTTCCGCTTTCCGCGGCCAGAGGTGAGTCTCCCTCGTTGATTTCTGCGTATCTGCCGTCGCTAATCGCCTTGTGACGTCGCAGACCTTTCTCTACGTGATGAGCCTGGAGACGGGCGCGTCGTTGATTACCCTGTCGCTGCTACTGAACAAGATTAGTGGCCTTTATGGCCTCCTCGCCCTGTTGACCGGCTACCATCTCTCCCCGGTACAACTGTCGATGTACCTCTACTCCCTCGTCGCCCTCGCCCTCGGCGCCCTGCTCTTTCCGCACATCCGCAAGCAGTCTCCCCTGGAGTGCCTCGCTCTCGCCTATCTGTACCTCTTGGACAGTCTGATCAACGCGGCCTACACCGCCGCCTTCGGTGTGACGTGGTTCCTCGTCGTGTCGCAGAATTATGACAGTAGCAACGCCCCTGGTGGTGAGACGATCGCCCAAACCGCCGGATTCACCAACCCCAAGTACGATGCCGCCTACGTCGAGATCCAGAACACAAAAGAGGGCAACAACTTCATCGCGCACCCTCCTCGTAGCGTCGACAACCTCAGCAATGCTGTCTATCAGCCCGAGAGCTTCCAGAGCATCGTCTTCATCTCGTTGCTGTGGGCCGTGCGTGTCTATTTCGTCCTGGTTATGCTCGCTTTTGCCCGACAGACCCTTCGCCTCTGGCTTGCGATTCCCCGACACACCCAACTGCCAACCCATAGCCGCAACGTGTCGGTCGCAAGTGTGGCGGACATCGATCGTGAGCCCTTCACGGTTTACAGCCCGGACGGACAGGGCTGGAGGGGCAAACTTGGCCGCATCATGGTCGGCATCGGACACAGCTACTGGGTTGGTGAAGAGGAGGATGGAAACTGGCTCAGTGGCATCAACCACAAATTCCGCAGCCGCAGCAACAACAGCACCGAACTACCTGGCCCCCTTGAACGTGAGCGGAGACGCCGCTCGGGCACCGGACCCCCTCAGCCTTCTCAGTCGATTGTCCGAAACGGCAATCTGCAGCAGATTAACGAGCATGGACCTGGAACCAACGTCAAGATGCAGGACTGGACCGAGGCTCGATAAATGATTATTTACAGCCACCCCCACGCTCCCAGTGGTTGCAAGTCCCGGTCGCCAGCGGTCTGATTCCAGATGGCAGTATCGCAATCCCCATTGCACTGCTCGAATCTCGCTTTACGTGCAGATATGTCCTGATACCCCTCCGACACATCGCAGGAGACAATCCTACTCGGCTCTTGTCTCTATCCTATCGTTTCAATTAACGGCCTCTGTGAGGAAACACTCGCTAGAGACTCGCACACCGGAACCTGCACATGCTGCAATATTTATACCTGAGTAACATATCCACATTGTTTACCTGACGAGAGAATCATGAACACGATCTTGTTTGGGTACGATATCATGCATCCCTGTCATTTTCCTCCCGGTCTTTCTTGTGAGGCGTTCTGGGTAATACGGCGTTGGGATTAAGACGGTCGTGAGAGTCTGACTCACGGAGTGCATTTCATCTTCCTCGAGTGGCAGGACATGTACATGGCATGAAATAAGGATGGGTCTAGTCATCGGCGCTTTTGGTCCGATCCTCTCTCTACATAGCTATCAAGACTCATTAGGCTCCGGGATTTCACATCTGTACACTTTATATACCACACATCCATATACTCTTATGAACCCCTCTTTTCCAAGGTCCCGGGCTCTGATGCCTCTCCGTTCCAACGAAGTTCCTAAAAACTATAAATCTCTTTATCCCAGCGAGAGATGATCTTACCATGAGATTTGGGCACTAACGAGTGGTCCACCCGTGGCCCATTACATGTGTAGGTACAATCAGTATCTATACCAATTCCTCGATCTATGTATGGTTCGATATCGATCTCCGACATCGATTTCGGTTCGCAATCACAAGTGGAACTGTTACCCACAGTCCAAATAAACTCGCATGATGATGCAGCTTGCGTGGTCAGCCCCTATTTCCGCGTAATCCGTGCCTATTTTAGCCCAATTATGCCCAATGGATGCCCGATATTAGAGACACTTTCGCCGATGATTACCCGAGTGGGCCAGAATTAAACATGAAAATAGCTATCGGTAGCGCCAAGATCCTCAATCGCGCATTTAGAGTTCGGCCCAATATTCTCGGTGGGTGGCTTAGGGGTGTCAGGTTTCTCTGGGGCGTCACAGGACGCATGTAACATCTGCAGCCTTAAATTCGTATAATCCTGGTCGTTGAAGTCTCTCTTTCCTTGAATCCCAAGGTCCCCCTAGTCTCGCAATGTGTGCATATACCCAGTACGCTGTTCGTGGTAAGTTGTTGACTCAATTGAATTGGGATACTATACCCAGGGTCTGAATTGCATGTTGACACCGTCAGACATTCGAGGGGAGCCTCGTGGACCGAAGCGTTGAACTCCTATGCCGAACGAAGTCTTCGAACTACATCCGACCGCCTTCTTTCGAGTACACCATTCCTAGCTCAGCCTCATTATCCACTTCCTCAAATGTTCAGCATCCAATTCGACGCCGCAGGCATCTATCTCGTCGGCACGACAGCCGAACAATTCCACGTCCCCTTCGAAGAACTGATATCATTCGCCGGGGGCATCATCGGCCTCCTCGAATACGGGCTCTCATGGAAGGTACTGAAAGGTGTACTGGGCCGAGCACGGCATCGACTATGGCATCGACCGATAGCATCACTTGACCAACAGCTTCCATTATGGATCGACAACTCGGGGCCTGTACTATATGAGGTCCGCTACGGGGAAGAATCTATTTTGGTTACTCGTCAGAGCCTGGAGTCGTCTCGCTTTGGGAGGGCCATAAAGGAACATTGGGATGGAGGTATGACAAGGCCTAGTACTTTATGGGTTGTGCGAATGGTGTTTGAGGCTTTCTTTGTTGGACTTTGGCGGAATGTGCGGCGTTTGAAGCTCCGCAGATTTTGAATAACGTAGTTCCCGGCCAAGCGAGACACCCGGCCATACGAGACACCCATCTAAAATCGCGTCTTCCTACCCAGCTACCTTCTTCCACTAACTACCATGCCACCAATTCGCTCTGAATCTCAGCAGAAATTGGCCAATCAGGAGGGCAAGATCTTATTAGCCCTTGACGATATTAAACATGGCCGTATCAAATCTATCCGCGCAGCAGCGAAGCTATACGAAATACCGCCTGCTACACTACACCACCGCGCCCAGGGGCGCCTTTCACGCGTCGATCAACGCGTACCTACCCATAAATTGACCCAATACGAAGAGGATTCGCTTACTGAGTGGATTATCTCTATGGATTCGCGTGGAGCAGCGCCTAGGCCATCTACTGTGCGAGATATGGCCAATATCCTACTAGCTACGCGCGGTAGCCACCCTCCACCTACAGTTGGCAAAAATTGGCCATCAACCTTTATCAAACGTCGCGAAGAGCTTCGCTCGCGCTTCTCGAAGCGTTACGACTACCAGCGCGCCCTAAACGAAGACCCTAAATCCCTACGTGCGTGGTTTGCGACCGTGCAGCGGGTTATCGATGAGAACGGTATACAATCGAAGGATATCTACAACTTTGATGAGACAGGATTTGCAATGGGTCTTATATCTGCGCAGAAGGTAGTTACGCGATCAGATTACTACGGTCGGCGTCATCTTCTACAGCCAGGAAATCGCGAATGGGTTACTGCTATCGAAGCAATCTGCGCAGATGGCTATTCGCTACCGCCCTGTATTATCTTCAAAGGCAAAGTTGCTATCACAGGGTGGTTTAACGACCTACCAAAAGATTAGCGATTAGAGGTATCGAATAATGGCTGGACTACCGATGAGATAGGCCTACGCTGGCTAGAAAGAATCTTTATCCCCTTTACTAATTCGCGCGTACGCGGGCGATTTCGGTTACTGATTCTTGACGGCCATAGTAGCCACCTTACGCCTCATTTCGACCGAATCTGCGCAGATAACGATATTATCCCTCTTTGTATGCCTTCGCACTTATCGCATCTACTACAGCCGCTTAATGTAGGATGCTTTGCACCGCTTAAGCGTGCGTACGGTCGCTTTGTAAGCGATCTTGCGCGTAGGGGTTACAACCATATCGAGAAGATTGATTTCTTGATTGACTACCAACGCGCGCGGCTAGAAGCCTTTCAACTAGCTACTATCCAAAATAGCTTCGCAGCTAGTGGCCTAGTGCCAGTTAATATAGAGAGAGTGCTTAATAAGCTTAATATCTCTCTACGAACACCATCACCACCAAGCAGCCGGCCAAGCAGCAGATCTAGCCAGTTCACGCCAAAGACGCCTAGAACCGTCGTTCAGCTACTAAAGCAAGCTTCGATGCTTAAGGATCTACTAAAGCAGCGGTCAAATAGCCCTCCAAGCCCATCAAAAACCATACTAGATCAGATTATTAAGGGCCACTGCATATCGCTACACAACACCGCATTACTAGCGCAGGATAATACGAATTTACGCGCTGCAAACGAGAGGATCAAGAAGAAGCGTAATCGATCGACTAGGCAGATACCCTGCGAAGAGGGTTTAACCGTCGAGGAGGGCCTACAGCTAATTACGCAGCTAGGTTTGCCAGCAGAAGCACCTACGGTAGAATCGCATGTGCAAGGCGAATTGCCTATTCAGGCAGATCAGCCAGCTAAAAGGGCTCCGCCAAGGTGTAGTGGATGCAGGGAGATTGGGCACAGGATCAATATATGTAAGAATCGCTATATTTAAATTAATTAATGCGTTTTCGTTGAGATAGTCGATTTTGAAATTTCGTAATGGGGTTTGGTGTCTCGTATGGCCGGGTGTCTCGCTTGGCCGGGAACTACGTTATCAATGCACTGTGGAACATAGCCGTTTTCAATTGCGTCGGCGGGCCGTCGTTAATCAATTGAAGCTTTTATTTACCTATGTTTCGAAGTTATGATTTGTTTAGATGGGTTTCTGGAGTCTTTTGGGGGTATCATTCCCATCTTGTGGTGCAATCTTGGACTTGAACTGTCTCGCACATATTTATGCACCATTTTGAGGGTCCGAGACCCCCATCTCTTACTGCATATCAAAAAGAACTTTAAGTCTTTTACAAATTAGAAACTTTTATGAACATTATTATGCTATCGGCGTGTTGGGCAGGCGGTGTGGTGTGTGGTATGCAAGTCGAAGCGTCCATCGGCGAGCTCCGCGCGTTTCCCTTGGGATTCCCGACGGCAAACTACCAACCCTCGCGGTAGTCTCATTTCAGATGAGGGGTGTTGCGCAAAACAACACGTCCCCGGGAATTGTTCCTGGTATCGAGAACGAGATACAATGTCATTCTCTATGAAGTCATCACCAGCGGAACAAAACAGAGACTACAAGGGCAAAGTAACTACGAAAGAGCGGAGCTTTGAGTATGTATTAAAGAGCGGATTGGCCGGAGGTCTGGCAGGATGTGCTGTGAGTACTGCACCATGCGGTCTTACTATCTGTAGCAGATTATAACGCCAATAGGCAAAAACCGCCGTTGCGCCGCTTGATCGCATCAAGATACTTTTCCAGACATCCACACCGGAGTATATCAGGTACACCGGTAGTTGGGCAGGCTTTGTGTCTGCCATCTCAGTAATCAGACGCTATGAAGGGTGGAGAGGCCTATTCAAGGGCCATTCAGCTACGCTTTTGCAGAAGTTCCCTTATTCTGCTATCAATTTTCTCGCATACGAGCAGATCAGAGCGACGATCATTCCGTCGAAAGACAAGGAGACGCCGCTGCGCCGCCTTATGTCCGGCAGCCTTGCAGGCTGTATATCAATCTTCTTTACTTATCCGCTAGAGCTCGTTCGGGTCCGGCTTGCTATTGAGACGAATCGCGCCCAATGGTCTTCCTTACGGGATATCTTTCGTCAGATCCACTACGAGCCCGGCGCATCCCGTGCCGGTATAGCAACAACCACAGTCACGGCAAATGCAGGCTCCACCAATCAGACTATCTCTCGTGCTTTCTATACGAGCTTTCCGCAGTTCGGTCTGGCCAACTTCTACCGGGGCTTTAGCCCGACGCTGCTCGGAATGCTCCCTTACGCAGGCATGTCCTTTTTCATCCATGACATTGTGGGCGATTGGCTGCGCCACCCAGCACTTGCACCATACACCACAATCCCACATTCAGCTCTTAAGCCACGGTCAACTCGCCGGTCTTCTCTGCATCCAGATCGACTCCAGCTTGTTCTCCCTGCAGAATTATTGGCTGGTGCCCTCGCCGGGGTAATTGCTCAAACAACCTCGTACCCCTTCGAGGTCATCCGTCGTCGAATGCAAGTAGGCAATGTTATGCACGGTGGACATAATCTTGGAATTTCTAAGACTTGTCACAAGATTTGGTCGGAGAACGGGTTTCGTGGATTCTGGGTTGGGTTGACCATCGGGTATATCAAAGTTGTGCCCATGGTTGCAACTAGTTTCTTGGTTTATGAGCGATTGAAGTGGGCTTTTGGAGTTTGAGCGGCATTATTGCTTATTTTAATAATTGAAGTACATTTCGAGTTCAAGGAAATACAAAGGGCCCGTGCCTTTCTGGAAAGAATTAGTTTCCAAATGTTGACGGGGTCTGGTGCCTGAAGAATGAGGTCAATATGTATTCTTGCCAATCCTATCTCTATTTCTTCACAAATTCAAGTCTCCTGGCTAGCCAACAGCCAATCGTGAACCCGATCACGGAATTGTTTTCATCTCGTCGAAGCACCATCGTCCAGTCACCCGGTGCTGGTGCATCTAGGCCACGTGGGCAACTCAAAGCCCAGACATCACCAGCCAGATATCGCATAGCCGTCGCGGGTCCTCGGCCGAGGTATCCATCAAAGGATCCGTACAGCATTCCTGCATCGCCTGTGCAGTGGAATGTAGATTGGACCTCTGTACACTCATAGTCACCATGTAGTGGTGTGTTCTTGACGGAAGCTTCGTCTTTGGTGAGACGGCGAGCATTAAGCTTACGGTTCTCCTTGATACGATGGATGCGCAGGTTATCTCCATCAATAGTCGCCGTCATGGACTTGGATTTCCCATTGGTAGCATCGGTCAGCTTGATGATTTCGGCCTCTTGATGGCCCGCATAAGTGATAAGGACTTCTCCCTCTCGCGAACCCTTAGCCACAATGATAGCAAGTTGAGTATCGTCGTCGAGGAAAATGCCAGCCCAATCCGCGCTCGTTGCCACTGGTGTAGTTTCCATCTTGGGCTTGTTCAAGATACCGCGCAAGATATCATCAGCGGCCGCTGGTGCATTAGCCTCGTGGTTGAACAAAACAACAACGGACAGGTGCTCGTGTGGTGCATGCCATCGCATCAGACGATATCCACGGAGCGCACCACCGTGGCCCAGACAATCCATGCCATCGTCATTAACATGCGCCATGCCATAATGATAATAGGCAGGGTTGCCATCGCTGAAAGTCTGTCGTTCGTAGACGGTCTGGTACCAGCTTTTTGAATCCGAAAAGCTTTTCTCCAGGTGCTTTTCCCAGGCGATCATATCCTCGAGAGAAGCAACCAAGCCAGCATCACCGGCCCATTCCATCCGATTCACTGCGGGGAAATACCCTTTCACCTCATTTCCCTCGTAACCCACACACGGAGGAGGATGCTGTGCAGTGTTGGCACATAAAAAGGCGGTTTTCATTCCAGCTGGACCGAGGACGCGATCTGTCAGCAGCCTTCCAAGTGACTCTCCAGTGACTCGTTCAATGACTCGAGCAGCCACGTAGAAGTTAACGTTGCAGTACGAGTATTCCGTGCCGGGCTTGAAGTGGAAAGACTTCGTTCGATCCATCGCGGGGGGTCCATCGCGTGCTACCGAGAACTCGTCATCAGGCTTGGCTCCCCAGAGAGTAGTCATAGCCCAATAGTCACGCAAGCCAGATTGCATATCGACCAGGTTTTGGATAGTTAATCCACTGCCTTGGAGAAGTTCAGGCGGATGGATTTCACCAAGCGCGTCGGTGAATTGCTTCTGAACGTCTCCCTTGGCGGCCATCTCTGGTGTCGGGTTACGCTCGAGATCAAGGAGCAGAGCGCAGACATATTGTTTTGTAATGGAGCAAATGGCCATCTGGGTTTGAGCTGTAAGGGGAATCCGCTCGTTCATGTCTGCCCATCCCCAAACGCGTTGGCCAACAACCTCGCCATCCTTGAGGACAGCGACTGCACCGCCTGGTCCGCGGTAGCGAAGGGCGACGGTGTCCAAGATCTCCTGGATAGATTTCTGGTCGGTCGGCATCGTATTAACAGAGTGTTGTAAAAGACACGTTGTTTGTAATCGAACGACTCCGCTTTTTATCGAGTGAGGGGTAAGTACTCAGGGTTACATTCATCCTCACACCTGGGACTACCTAGACAGCTATACCTTCATATTCCAAGATCAATCCGTTTGTGGTAACTGATTGAATCTACGATGCACTAGTGTCAAATGCCGTTTGCTCCAGCTGCCGAGTCCAGGTACGCATAAAGTTAGACGCAGGTTTACCCCGGATCCCACGCCCCCGGATTTAGGCAAAATGCAAGATACAGCCGAGATCGGGGTTAGACTGAAGACTTTCTCCAGAACAAAAATGTCTGGGTCTTGCCCTGCTGATCATGCGATGATCCAAGAGCAAGAAAATTTGCCTAGCCTGTGAGATCAGCCCCGATGTTCGAGAAGAGTGTGATCTTCAAAAGAAATATGTACTCTTGATAGACATGTGGCAGAACCTCATTTAGTTTTGGTCGGGTCTCGGAGGCATTAGAAACCTTTTCGGTCTAAGATTCCAGGACCAGCCTAATGTGATTAGCTTGTCGCAGACCCCTGGCAGACTAAGATGGGCACGTCCGAAGGCTTCTGGTATTTACTGAAGGGCTGCCACATCCCCACATCCTAATCCCCTGTCAATTGAAAAATCGACACATTTGAATAAAAAAGAGAAAATGAAAAGAACATCGTCTACAAAATAATGCCCCAAAACTAATTCCCCTCCTCCTCTTTCTCTTCCCCCAAGCATGGATCGGGTGCCAATGGTTGGGACGGGAACGTCTATAGATCGCAATGCCGCTCTGCCGAGTTCGGGCCAACGCCATAAACGAGGGACGGAGGCAAGCCTCACGGGCAAAAGAATGGGCGCCTTACCCATTTCTTTGCTTGGCAGATTGAGCTGGAATAGGAAAAGTCACCCAGATCGAACGGCCTAACAGTCCACACGTAGACCCCATGCATCCAGGCGGTCTGTTCCATTACGACAGTTTGACCGGAGGCAAAAGTCATCGTTCACCACGTGCCGCTTCCCCGCCTTCTCCAGGATTTCCCCTCGTGCATCACCGGGGGTCCGTTCTCTTCTTTCCTGAAGCTTTCTTCTACAGGCTTTCAATACAGCTCATTGACTCTCTCAAGAAATTCACTGCCAAAACGCGGCAGTCAACCCAACAAGCTTTCGGAGCCCGGGTCCCGGTAAAGATCGCCTCCACCAGAGTCTGGGGTACTCCTTTTATCACCACTCGGCAATGTCGGTCGGTATCTGACGCGACTCGGTTTTCGCCCATTGCTCGTTTACATCCATCCCCACATTTCCAGACCCGTCCTAACTTCCTGGGCTGCTGGCCTGCATGTCGCGGTAGCTCTCGCCCCGTGGAGAAGCATGTCGACAGGCTCCCTCCAATCTTTCGCTAATTCCTATTCGCCTTTCTCGTCGCGGTCGCAATCCAATCGAATGTCCCAGTCTCAGACCCCCGGTCTGGATACGCTCGCCGAGGGGTCGCAGTATGCGCTGGAGCAACTGCACCTGGCTCGGCAAGCTGGCGCGACGTCCAATCCCCCGACCGATCCCAACGGCAAACCCATCACTGACCCCGAGCCGTTACGATCACAAACTCACCAGCTCTACAACGATCAAAAATTCCCGGCCGACGGTGGAAAGAACTCTAAGCAACAGCGCGACCCTTTAGCCGAAGCGCGCTCGGCCATTCGAAAAGACTTTTCTGCCACTCCAGTGCGTCGAAGAATTAGCCGAGCTTGCGATCAGTGCAACCAGTTGCGTACGAAATGCGATGGGCAACATCCCTGTGCGCATTGCGTCGGTATGCCCCCCCTTTCTCCATATTGACTTTCCCGTATCCCTAATGTGTTCTAGAATTTGGGCTTGGCTGTGAGTATGCCCGGCAGCGCAAGAAACGCGGGAAGGCCTCGAAAAAAGACCTGGCGGCGGTAGCCGCTACCAGCTCCGGTAGCGACAAAGGTGTCAACGACAGTGCATCTCCAATTGGGCAAACATCGCATGAAGCCAACGGTTCCTATGATCCGACCTTCGATGCTGCTCGTACATTGGCCGATTCCGCCCAACCCCATTTACGCAATGCAAGTGTTGTCAGCATGCAGCAAAACACGAATCCACCGCCAGTTCATTCTCAACAAGCAATTGGCTCCAGTATGGACGGCATGTCGATGCACTACGGAAACGTGCCAGACTCGAACCGGGCCTCGATATCTATCCCCGACCTTCGCTCCCTTAACATGATGCATCATGGGAATGGCAATCCGCGGTCTCCATCTGCAATGCTTCAATCCCAAGGATTCGGGTCGGGGTATAGTGATAATACATATCCGTTGATGAACCAGCAGGAGGCAAACTCAGCTTCGATGAACCAATTTCGCCTTGGTGGCTCTGGGGAAAACCCTTCCGCGTCATTTTTGGGATTCTCCCCTTCAGCCCAGTCGCCCAGCTGGCTCCCTCTTCCACCCCCCTCACCTGCGAACTTTCCATCTTTCAGCATGGCTCCCTTTTCCAGCTCTTTACGATACCCCGTCTTGCAACCAGTCCTTCCCCATATCGGCTCTATAATCCCCCAGTCTCTTGCCTGCGATCTCTTGGACGTCTACTTTACCAGCTCTTCTTCGTCACATATATCACCCTTGTCGCCATATGTTGTCGGATTTGTCTTCCGCAAGCAATCATTCCTCCATCCAACGAAGCCAAGACAATGCAGCCCCGGCCTTTTGGCTAGCATGCTCTGGGTAGCGGCACAGACGAGCGAGGCTGCCTTCCTGACATCGCCCCCATCAGCACGAGGACGGGTATGTCAAAAGCTCCTTGAGCTATCGATCGGGCTGCTTCGACCCCTTATACACGGCCCAGCCTCTGGAGAAGCCTCACCCAATTACGCCGCAAACATGGTCATCAACGGGGTAGCCCTTGGAGGATTCGGTGTCTCAATGGATCAACTAGGGGCGCAAAGCAGCGCAACGGGGGCTGTCGATGATGTCGCTACCTATGTTCATCTGGCAACCGTCGTCTCGGCCAGTGAATACAAGGGAGCTAGTATGCGCTGGTGGACCGCAGCGTGGTCACTCGCACGAGAGCTCAAACTCGGCCGTGAGTTGCCATCCAACGGCACAAACCGCCAAGATGGCGAGTTAGAAGGCGAGTCGGAATTAGGCCTGAATGGAAACAAGAGACAAGCAGCATCGCTTCTCAATCCGATGGGCAATGGCCCTGGAAACTCCGCAGTGGACCTAACGGAGGAGGAGCGAGAGGAGCGTCGACGCATTTGGTGGCTTCTATATGCTATGGATCGGCATTTGGCGCTCTGCTATAACCGCCCATTGACACTTTTGGATAAGGAATGTGAAAGCCTATTGCAGCCGATGAACGACGATCTCTGGCAGGTGGGCGATTTCTCAGCCGTTGGCTACCGACGCGCTGGCCCAGCTTTCGAATGCACCAGCCATAGCATGTTTGGCTATTTCTTGCCGCTTATGGCAATCCTCGGAGAAATCGTGGATCTACAACATGCCCGAAATCATCCAAGATTTGGCCTTCATTTCCGCAACAGTGGAGAATGGGAGATTCAAGCTATGGAGATCACGCGCCAGCTAGATGTCTATGCGCAGAGCCTGAAGGAGTTCGAGACTCGCTACACCAGCTCCCTGTCACTTGGAAATGGTGACAATGACACTACGATGGATGGAGCCCCTCATCTCAACCATGTCAGCCCGTCCGGGCGCTCTAGTAGCACCGTCAATTCCCACACCAGTGAAAACATCGTACATACAAAGATGGTCGTCGCCTATGGCACCCACATCATGCACGTTCTCCACATCCTACTTGCTGGAAAATGGGACCCGATCAATCTATTGGACGATAATGACCTCTGGATATCGTCCGAGTCTTTCATTACAGCAATGGGTCATGCCGTCAGTGCCGCTGAGGCAGCTTCCGATATCCTCGAGTTTGACCCGGACCTGAGTTTCATGCCATTTTTCTTTGGAATCTACCTTTTGCAAGGCAGTTTCTTGCTGCTTTTGACGGCGGACAAGTTGCAAGGGGATGCCAGTCCGAATGTTGTCAGAGCTTGTGAGACGATTGTGCGGGCGCACGAGGTTTGTGTCGTGACCCTCAATACGGAGTACCAGGTATGGCCTTCTTCCCTTCCCTTTATCATTCTTCGAATCAGTTACTGATTTTGCTCTCAGAGAACATTCCGGAAGGTGATGCGGTCGGCTCTCGCTCAAGTCCGTGGCCGTGTCCCCGAAGACTTCGGCGAGCAGCAGCAACGCAGACGTGAGGTGCTCGCCCTGTACCGTTGGAGTGGCGATGGCAGTGGCCTGGCTCTTTGACCGGAATGCTCTAAAAGTTGGCCGCTAATGGATTATATGACGTTCAAAATGGAGAGCTTTAATGCCTCCTCTGCTCTTGTTTCTTGTATACCTTTTTTTTTTTATTGACACTGGATATGGACATACCCCAAAGGCGCAGAGAAGCGCAGATACCTCTTGTTGATTCTTTCCTGGCACATACGAATACCCTTTAATGAAATAAATACTTTCTGCTTTGTCAATTATCTTCTAGTTTAATAATTAAACTTTCAGCAGCCTTCCCTGCAGTCCCAGTCGAACCCGCCGACGCTGCCGTTGGTCTATGACATCATCGTCATAAACCCTCCATTTCTCCGCTTTATACATCAAGCCTTCAGCACGTACGCTGTGCGAAGATCACACATTCTAAGCTAACAGACATGGCACGCTACTGCGAATCATGAATGTCCTTACCAGACCCTCACACAGAGCCCTTACTGCATCCCACCGTCATCTCCTCCGCGGCACGCTCATCCCCAGGCGTTTTCTGGGGATACCACCGGCATTCCTCTTAGATGAGTACATCCCCCGGTACTTCCTCCTGAGCTCCGTCGATGAAGCCAAAAAGCGATCCGCGGCATATGCGCATCTAAGAGAATGCAACTTATGTCCGCGAAAATGTGGAGTAAATCGGTATGAGACGACGGGAACGTGTCTTATCGGAGCGGAGACTGCCAAAGTGAACGTGATAGCGCCGCATCGTGGAGAAGAGCCATGTATCCAGGGATTCCATGGCAGCGGGTCTGTTTTCTTCTCAGGGTGCAATCTTCGCTGCGTGTTCTGTCAGAATCATGTACGTTCCCTATCTCGGCTTGAGTACGCTCAATAGCTAACCTCGCAACTAGGACATCGCACACCAGCGCAACGGATTCGATCTCACTCCCGAAGAACTCGGTGAATGGTTCCTCAAACTGCAGACTGTTGGCAATGTTCACAATATCAACCTCGTCACGCCCGAGCACGTCGTCCCACAGGTCGCTCTCTCGATTCTCGCCGCCAGGGATATGGGCTTGCGCGTACCGATTATATACAACACTTCTTCCTTTGACTCTTTAGAGTCGCTCCAGCTACTTGACGGCCTGGTCGACATATACCTCCCAGACTTCAAAGTATGGCGGAGTAGTACATCGAAACGTCTACTCAAAGCAGACGATTACGCCTCCACGGCAATGGAAAGCATAAAGGAGATGCATCGCCAAGTCGGCGACCTTGCGTTCACGTCAGATGGAATCGCTAAAAAGGGGGTTCTGCTACGCCACCTGGTCATGCCTGGCAAGGGGGATGAGGGAAGAGAAATCATGCGCTGGCTTGCAGAGAACGTCTCTCGGGATCTCTACGTGCATATCATGGAGCAGTATCACCCCGATGCGCACGTTGGGAAGACAAAACGGGTTACGAGGCGAGTACGTCTTGGAGAAGGTGCTGCGCCCGAGGAGGAGGTGCGATATGCTGATATCAATCGTGCTGTGCGCGATGAAGAGCTTGTTTCGGTCAGGGATGCTGCTGTCAAGGCTGGACTATGGCGGTTCTGCGAGCCTAATGAGAATAGCGCGTTTCATTTATAATTCTGTCATTTTACCAGAGACATTGTACATATACTTTGTTCTCCAAGTTGGAGAAACGCCTCGGGTGCCGGGTGCCCATGAGAGCAACCAGACACGCTCAGTGTATACCCATCCAGCGAGTAATATTTCAACAAGGTGAATAGAAGTCTCAAATCCTCAATTTTAGTATATACATATGAAGTTCGTGCCCAAGTCAATTCAAGTCTATTTTCCTTTCGTTTATCAAAAATTACACTCCTCTCAAGGCAAGACATAGCCTCCGTCGATGATAACATCGCTTCCAGTCATGTAAGTCGAAGCATCACTGGCAAGATAGAGATAGAGGCCCTTAATTTCCTTCGTGTGGCCCTGTCGCCCCATGGGCGACATGCGGTAAGCCTCATTGATGCACAGCGGGCTAGCGCCCATCTTAGTATCGAAGAAGCCGGGTGAGACAATATTAACCCGAGCGAATTCGCGCCACTCGCGGGCAAGCGACTTTCCAAAGTGAGTGACATATGCCTTTGTGGCATTGTAGACTGGCTGGTCGACGGGGACATTCACGACGTGGCCACTCATGCTAGAAGTAATGATGAGGTTTCCAAAGCCCTGACGGTGGAAGACCTCGCCGGCATACTTGGCGCAATACACAATGCCGTCAACTTGAATGGGTTAGTAGGAGACTCTGCAATGTTTAATTTGAATTGAGTTCTCACCATTCACGGACATCTGCTTCTGGTACTCTGTTAATGTCTGTTCCAAAATGGGCTTTGAGATAGCCATGCCTGGGTCATTATTAGCACATGTCCCTTTACCCAAACAGGTAGATATTATACTCACCCGCATTAGCAACAAAGACATCGATCTTGCCAAATTCCTCAACAACCTTCTTGATCGTCTCGGAAACCTGAGTAGCTTCGGAAACTGCAGGCACAGAATGAGCTTTTCTTCACTTGCATCAAATAGCCCAGTTCACGTACCATCAACCTGAAAAGCAGCGCTATTCACATTATGCGTCTTCGCTAACTCCTGAGACTTCTCAACAGCTGCCTTGTTTCTGTCATAAGAATGTCAGATTCTCATCTCGTCCATTCCGCGGCACTATTACATACGAGTTGTACCACAAGACAACATTAGCACCAGCCTCCGCCATAGCCTCCGTCACAGCAAGGCCGATTCCGTCGGCGGCACCCGTGACAACCACGACCTTGCCGGCCATGCGAAATTGCTCCAGAACATTGGAGGGGGTGTTAGGGAACGGTCGGGGAAACCCTTCCCGGGCCTGATCAGCGTCTTGAATTGTCATAGACATGTTGAAGTTGTTGATTGAAGTGAAGCAGAGGTGTGGATTTTGGTAATAAATCGGCTTGGATTTTCAATGTCCTGTTTTATAGAATCGCGCGGAACTGGGCTCGCATGACCCACTCCTCTTCGGTGCTCTGTCACCCGAAGGTTGATGTGCACGATTAAATAGCGAGCGGTATTTTACCGAATCTGGGATGTTGTTGAACCCGATCCATAAGGTCAGGGCGAGTAGTTACAGCTTTCATTCAGAATACTGCCTTATGTTCAATTCTAATTGTTTCAATCTTTTAACATTCAGAGCAAACCGATCGTTCGTATGGAAGCCCATTTGACGACTTCATACTCCCCGGTCTGGGATGTTCCCCGACCCCGCTCATCGGCTCGTTGTGGCCCGATGCTATGAAACCCCGCGCAACTCATCTACCCCGCTATATACTCTCACAGCTAATCGTGGTATGTTCTTGAATACCTAAACACGGACTATGAGATCGTAAAAGAAGAATCAAGTCAAAAGAAATAGGGGCACTCTAGGTATCAGATACCTAATCAAGAGTGTCATAAGTGGTCACAGACGAAATACCTTTGCATGAAAAACACGACCTTCACTTTGCTCCGGAAGACAGCTGGCCGATTTCTCAGTTAAAATACCTACCTGAATTATCGGAGCTTGTTAAAAGCTGATCTGGTGGGCTGGAGCTTCGATAGATCACCTCACATTTATTACATTTGTCAGGTTCTTGCCTCTTTATAATCTCCTTTAACTTCCTACCTTCATCCAAACAAACCTTGCAAAAACCAGCAGCCATGGGATCCTCTGAGCTTCCAGGGCGCGCGGCCCTTACTGCACGCGTCCTTCCATCTATGGTACTCAGTGACGGCAGTGCCTCTTCGATGACCCCAGCCCCGGCCTCCAACATCGAGACTGATGCTGCCGTTGGCGCCCAGAAAAGGTTCAACGTCCAAGGAAACGCCGTTATTACTGGAGGCGCGGGGACATTGGGCCTGCAGTCTTGCGATGCTCTCCTCGAGCACGGCCTCCAGGGCCTCATGATCTTCGACGTCAACCCAGACAACTCCCAAGAGGAAATTGCCCGAATGAAGGCTAAGTTCCCAGCTGCCAAAATACACACACAGAAGGTCGATGTCACGGACGAAGACGCTGTCAAGGAAGCGATGGAAGAAACGGTGCGCCAGCTCGGATCCATCGATATACTCGTCTGCTTCGTGGGGGTTGTTGGCTGCATGGACGCGCTCGAGATGCCCATCTCCCAGTGGCGAAAAGTTCTAGACGTCAACACCACTGGATCTTTTATCTGTGCTCAAGCAGCGGCCCGGGAAATGGTGAAGCACGGAAACGGAGGCTCTATCACCTTCGTCGCCTCGATTTCGGCCCATCGCGTCAACTACCCGCAGCCGCAGGTGGCATACAATGTCAGCAAGTCTGCTCTTCTCATGCTGAAGAGCTGTCTTGCCGCTGAATGGGCTCGCTACGGTATTCGGACCAATAGCGTGAGTCCCGGATATATGGACACGATTCTGAACGAAGGCGATAATATCGCATTGCACAGAAAGATCTGGGCTGAGCGCAATCCCAGTGGTAGAATGGGGAGTCCATCTGAGTTGACGGGGGCGATTGTTCTCCTTGCTAGCACTGCAGGGACGTACATGAATGGTTCAGACATCGTTGTTGATGGTGGTGCTATTGTGTTCTAGATAGTTACGATTGGTTAGTGAGCCGCCCAAGGGCATTCATTGCATTGGTCGGAATGTACACAAAGTAAATGGGGGGAAAGGAGATATCGCAACTGGTCTGTTCATCTCTACTTTGACCACTTTACTGGCGTGGATAACGGCCACAGAGAAGCGATATGCCTAGGTGGGCTATTTTGAAAAGATACATCGAGGAAGAAATAAGTAAGACGTCCAGGACGTCCAGAAAGTCCAAGGAAATACCGAGAAAGTAATTCATTTAGGCTCTCTGAGAGTATCTCCTCATCCCACCCGTGGACATTTTGACATCTCGAGTTGAAAAATCCTAACCCTGGTATCGATGATCCATTTTCTACCTCGGATACATGGACAAATTAAAGGACATTCAAGGTTGAAAAATTGTATTATGCAGAGTATTTATTTACTTTTTTCGCTCTTGATGCTTAAATCATGCGCGTAATGTACATATGCAACAAAAAAATGCGTCCTGGCAACCATCTGCCAGGATAGACGTAACTATACAGTCGGTTTTCCAACCGATCAATAAATTTGAATCCAAATGTAGTGTAACAACTCCAACCGAATGCGTCCTGTAGACTCCGAAAGAAGGGAAATATCTTCACGAAAAGAAATATTCGCTGTCGCGAATCCGAGTTAGGTCCCAGTCGCCCTTCTTAGGCACGGCACGAAAAGTCATTGGCAACCACAGCCAAACGGGTTGTACTGTGCTGCCCTTCTTGGTTGGCTTCTTCTCGGTAGTAGCCTCTTCTGGATCATCGAGATCTTCAGCTTCAGCCTTGGAAGGTGACTTTGAATCCATCAAGTCAACCTCATTGAACAGGCTCTGGACGGCTGGGTCGTTGGGGTCAATGCCGGCGGCATCGGGTCTCCGTTCAGCAGCAGCGAGATCTTCAGGGACGTGACCAACTGCGTTTTCGCCCAAGGAGTTGGCGATAATCAAATCATCGTCCGTGCCACCCATCTTCTCGAAGAGACTGGCAGTGGTCTCCATAGCACGGCCTTCAGCCTGTTCCGCTGGGTCATCAGACCGCAGAAGCGTTTGTCGCCGATTCTCGTCAATCAGCTCCAAGAGTCTCGAGTTTCTCGCTCTCAGGTTTTTCTTGATGCGCATTTGTTTGATGGCACGTCCAATCTTGCTGGAACCGCTAACTTTGGCCATGAAGAGGTGCTTGCCATAACGAACCTTGAGTTCCGAAGCCAGTCGCCCGATAATATCATCGGAGTGCAAGTGCACGAATGCGTCGCGAAGGATTTTGTTCATGTTATCGACATCACCGGCATGGGTCCAGAAAGAATCGTGGACTGCGGAGAAAGTGAGGCCAGCTTTGTTGCAGGCATTGGCAGAGAGAATCATGTGAGTAGCATCGAGAGAGTGAATGAAGTTTGGCGGGAATGCCTGCAGCTGCTTCCGTCGGGAGACCACATCATCAGAGTTGACATCCACAATGTTAAGGTCCTGCAGACTGGTGTAAACACGTCGAGCCTTCCGGGTGCGATAAGGCTGGACCACTGGGAGTCCCAGAGGTGTGGTCCAGATGACGGTAGACCGGAACTTTTTGGTTGGATCAACAAGCTTGGCAACGGTTTTATCACCGGAAGGACTTTCATCCCTTGGCAGCAACGCCTCGTTCGCCAGTACTTCGACTTGCTCTGGGGTCAAGCTCTGCGTGATGCGGCTGGCACAGTCGCCGAGCCAGTATTGAATGTCGTGAGCTCCGTTGAACATGGATCCCAGAGCGTCAAAGATCTTTCGCGCAATGTACAAAGAGGCGTCCTTTTTCATTTCAGAATCAAGTTCGGGGTAGTGATCATTCATCTGCTTCCTGACTTGTCGCATTGCACCCATGAAAGTCACACCATAGACGTTGGTCATAACGGTCTGTTTGACAATCTTTCGGGTAATTTTTCCAGTAAGAACTTTGGCGATCTCGACACCCTCGGCCGCCTCGCGTTCTACTTCCTTTTTCACAAACTCGGAAACACCGGTGTAAACGTCGGAGGGCCGATCGGAGGGCTCGAGATTGACTTGCTGGGCACCAACAAGATCACCACCTAGGGCGGCGTAGTGCTGGAGACCGTTACAAGAACCATCCTGGTGGATGGGCAGACGAGAGAGATATTGGGCGGGATCGGGACAACGCAGAGCATTGCGGAGTTCGCAACAAGCCGCCAAACACTGCCACGGATCTTCCGCCTTCAGCCACCACCGGTTGCCGTGAAGGCCATTGTTGGCAGAGTCGAGGATGTTTTCAAGATTGTCCATGGTAAACTGTTCACGTTCAGACATGCTTGCTTTGTCGAATCCAGCCAAGTTGGCAATTTGAATCTTCAGCCAGCGCAGACCACTGAGACCAAGCGGCTTGGCTTCACTGAACAAGAGCAACCCTCGGGAGTTGTCAGCCCCCATCTGGTTGAGATAAGGAGGCAGCGGGTAAGCTCGCCCACGGAAATCCAGGTTGTGAGGAAGATAGAAAGTCTCGTTGCGGAAAGCGCGCGCGACTTCCAACTGGAAATTCTGGAAGCATCGTACCGAATGGTATCCGGATCGGAGGTTCTCGATTTCACGCATTTGGAACTGCCATTTCTTCTCGGCTGTATAACCTGCGTCGGCCGCAGGTTTTGGTGGGGCTTGGAGGTCTGGTTCAAGAGGCGCCAGGCTTGCAAGAGCATCACCCTTATTCCAAGCCTCAAGCATGACCTCGAAGACGTCTCGGTTGATGACCCAACCTGTGTTTCCAAGCACATTGAGGCCATCTCGGATTTCTTCTAGGCCATTCTGTTCCAAGGCAGCTTTGATGTACGCTGGCTGCAAAGACTCGCCAGGCGTTGATCGGACGATGTTGCTTTGGTAGATCATGTATCCGCCTTGTTTGACTCCCGTCCATGGCTTGGGCTTGCATACCATGGGAAGATGACGACCGATAAGATCCGCAGGAGGCTCCTTGGCCACCATTTTGACGATCTCCGGGTGCACGTGGATGAGACCCAGTCGCTTTCCATGTGCAATTTCGTATGCATGCAAGAAGGCCGGTTGCACGGCAGTCGTCGATTGGCCAGATTTGGCGTCTTTGTTTCGGACAGAGACTTTGCCGACATCGAACAGCAATTTCATCAGAACTGCTCCGACCCTGACTGTGACTCGCTGGCCCCAATGTAATTCAGGGACCTCTTGGGTTACTGACTCAACCAAGTGCTTCCATCGCGGTCGGCCATCTTTGCCCTTACGGCCTGCGAGCATGTCCTTCAGCATTTGCGTGCGCCGGGAGTCCGCATTCGCATTCTTCTTCATGTAGGCCTGAGCAATCATTTCATCCTGAACCTCGCGACCAATAAAAGCCGCGAGTGTAGATAACTTGATTCCTTTCTCCATTCCTCCGCGGCTGAACACAGACATCACAGCCAGAATGGTAATGGCTGATAATGTCTCGGCATCCAAGGATCGTAGGTAAACGCCGTATTCAAGCCGTTCCTTTGCTTCACGAGTCCGAACTGGCTCTCCCTCGGCCTGCGCAGCAAGTTGGATTTCCGACTTGATACCGGCCACAAGATCGCTGTTCCATTGACTCATCGCCGAATTGACCCTCTTCTTGCCTGAACTCACGTCCAGGCCGGCCTTTGTCCTTTCTTCGAACTCTGCGCGCCAGCGTTCTGTGGCCGATTTGATCGTATCGGCTTCAAGCCTTTGTTGTCTGAGCGTGGTCAAAAGCTCCTGCTTCTCTTCTTCGGTGCCTTCAAAATCTTCCGGGACGGAGATTTGAGAGTTATCTGAGAATAAGGAAAGCGACTCTCTCAGTGACGAGAGACCAAGACCTTTTTGTTCTGCCGCGAGAACTTCCGCGACATCATTCTCAATTCCAGGCGCCTGCTCTTGTGATAGGGTATCGAGGTTCAGGTGATCAAGGGAGGGCTGGCGTAGGTCGGACCAGCATATCTGCAAAGCAAAATGGTCAGTAAGATTGATGCAGTTTTCCCAACAAATCGCCAAGGGGACGCACTTTTGACAGCTCTCCAAGGTCCAAATCAGTGAGTACTTCAACCGCCAAAAGCTCCTCGTGAAGGTCAACCTTCTTCGCCAACTCCCAATACCGCCGCACCGCCCTGTCTCGCTTAGCCCCGTGAAGCATACGCAGTGCCATGCGAATCATAATTGCGAAAGTTTCGGCATTGGCAACGACACCACCCGCAGGCATATCCACCTCAAACCACTTCTGTAGCGGCAGAACCATGTATTCTTGTCGAGTAATGATCATGTGGGAAACCATCTCTTTCAGGTAGCGGTTGTGCAGGGCTTGGTATTCAGAGGAGCCGACAGGGAAGTTACAGCCCAAGCGACTGAGCAAAGCTGCCGCTCGATCGAATCGGCCAACCTTCATCGACATATCAAAGTTCGCGACCATCTCCTCCTGGTCACCACCGATACCTCTGACTTTGCGGTGGACTTTTGGCTGAGACTGGGGAGTCTCGTCAAGGATGACCAGAGATGAGGAATCGAAAGGGTTGGCCATTCCGAAGACTGATCTGTCGAATTTGGTCGATGGTTCGGAAGATAGGGAATAGGGAGTGTCGTCCATAGGCATGTACGACCCCTGGTCGAGAGCGGACTGGTCGGTAGCCGTGGCGAGGCTGCGCTGCGACTGAAAAGATGGTCTCCGGCGCCGGTTCTGAGCTGAATTGCTCTGTGAGGTTATAATGGGGCTCGGCAGACTCGAGTTTGAATGCAGACGCAGCATTGAGGAGCCAGCCAACGCCCGGTAGGCATTAGCCTTCCGGAGATGGAAGAGAGCATTTTTCTGACGGGCCACTCGTGATAACATGATGAATATTTCGCTTCAAAACAAGAATTAAACGATAAGTGGTAGATGCGAATCGATAGGGGGGAAAGATTAGATGTAGAGCATGAGGGCAAGATGCGACACAGGATGCAGGAGAAGGGCCTGACAGATCGACTCCGAAGGCAAAAGGGATAGAGTGTTGGTCGACCGTATAGAGGTGTCGAGTTCGTTTCGAATGCCGTCCTGCAGCCTCAACCCGAGTGAAAAAGGACAGAAAAGAAAGGAACGGGCGAGGATCAAAAGGGATGTTGAGCACGAGAGCGGACGGAGACTCGGCGGAAAAAAAAGCGTCGTGAACGCGTGACTTCACGTGACCGCGCCCGATCTGTCCCGTCTCCGATTGGTGGGTGAATCTATAAGTGGCAAAGCCTCGAACAATATCGAATAATTTCATTTGACACTAGTAGACTTGTAGGCACAATTTTTCATGGGGGAGAAGCTATTAACTAGAGGTATCTGTCAACTGCAGATGATATATAGCTATGCCCAAGGAATTCCGCAATCCAAATGTCGTCCGATGTGTTACGGTGGTAGAATAATGTTGATGCCCAGGTGAATTAGAAGCCCTAGCGCCTTAATTGACATCGTATGCAATGTAAAGATTTATGTCTATGGCTAGTATCACCCCTCTTCATCTTCGCTGTCTGATGATCCGTCTTTTTGCTTTTGTCTGTTCTGCTTCATGGCCCATCCCGTCATTTCCGGCCGTGCGGGATCAATCCGCGGAGCGCTCATTCCATCTAGGTAGTCTTCACTGGTGATAGTCGATTCGAGTTCTGGTAGGCCTTCGGGGGTCTGGTTCATCATGTAGTTCTCATATGTGTACCATGATTCCTCAGTCTAAGACGAAGTTTGGGTTAGCCATCGTCTACTGTCAATGTCGGGTCGCAGAACTAGAATTACCTCGGCATCCACCCACTCAAACTTCTTCCATTTCTCCTCTTGCATCTTTTTGAGGAGCTCCAGGTTCCCTTGAAGCATTGCACCTCCATCTTCGGCACCCTTGATCTTCACATCAATTGCACGCGCTTCGGTCTCGGCTGGGCGCTCCTCGTCATCTTTCTTGCCTTTGGAGCCCCGCCCCTTGGGCATTTCATCCAGTGCATCGAGATGGTGAAGTTGGGGGTGTAATTGGACAACCGCAGAAACAGGTGAGAGGTGCACGTTTTCTGAGCATAACTGTTAGCGCACGAGTGACAGAAAAGCTTAAAGAGCGCGCACTTACTTCCTTTGAATGTAGCAAGCATGTAGACCGGATCTCCTTCTTCTTGAGGCTTGATGCGGCCACCAAGAGCCTGCGTCCTGACCAGCGACGATGGGTCCACAACCTTTTTATTGTCCAACATTTCAATGTCACCCCCTCCCTCCGCCTTGACTCGGCCTCCACCACTAGCCATACTTCCAGAGCTGAAGCCTCCGGCCATGCCGAAAGCCCCTCCATCGCGTCCGGCGCGGCTCTTTTTCATCGCATCGCCATACCTGAGTCCCTTGGTTACGTCGTAGTTGCCGCGGGTCTGGATGGGAATCTCGACCTCGACCATGCCTGTGCCGGGCTTCATTCGCAGGGAAGTTGGCTTCTGACCCCTCCGCTCATTGTAGGGAAGTTTTTCAGGTCGGTCAAGGTATTGGAAGACGTAGCGAGAGATGTCTGAGTCGGTGAGGAGGACGTCGTATGACGCGATGACTGGGTCATCATCGGTGGAGCTCATGTTGCTCGGGCGTTACAGGAATCTCTCTGCAGAAAGGAAAGCAAAATGAAATAATTGGCGACAGTGGTAAAGCAGTAATGTGCCAGCTACCCAAATCCCTCGTTTTTTCTCTCGCGGTTATCGGATTTGATAAGCGGGGCAGTGGCAGAAAATGAAGCTTACTCACCGCTTCTTCCGGCATTCATAAACACTCGTGCCCCAGGATTCCACTTTCTTTCCTTTGAGGACCTGAGAATCATGCCGTGGGGAGTTATGACCGTCCTCCCTCCCATCCCTGCATGCTCTCCCCATTGAGTCCAACGCAATGTCTCAATGCCTTCCTAGCGTGAGAGACGCACCCCCTGCTCGAATCCAAGCCTGTCTTCATTGCATTGGAACCGATCTTCCGCCATCGCCTTCCCTCCCATACCATATGGACGAGGGCTACAATGAAAGTCGTTTGGACCAGCCACAGCGCGCTGCGGCGTTAAACGCAGACATTTCCGAAGACTGTGCCTCCTTAAGCTAGAGAGCTGCGAACGGGGCCGGTCGATCAATTCGGACACACCATTTCGGACACCATCGAACCGCAACTGAGAGAATGTCATCCAATTAGTCCAAAGAGTGGCAGAGACAGACACAGTGGATATGCTCCATTGAGCAGCAACTGAGAGAATGTCGTCCAGAAAGTCCAAAGAGTGGCAGGATAGACTCAGTGGATATGCACCATCGGACCGCATCTGAGAATGTCGCCCATGAAGTCCAGAATATGATCTGGCAGATAGACGTTATGCACCATTTCCGACCGTGACAATGGCAGAGTCGTCCACAAAAGTGAACATGTGGACGTATATAGTCGATCGAACTCGGCACCCAGGATCATGTGATTTTGATCCTGATATTACCCAAAGAACCAACGGATGGCCAATTACGACGTTGGCCCTTGATTGGCCATGTGGATGGGTAGGGTGGTTGGTTGGTTGGTGGACGGTCGGTTTCCAAAGTCAATGGAGGTGGGATGGATTCGAGCAGGATTTTAAACATCAATCAAAGTTCTGATACTTGAAAATTGTCTAGTCTTATTTTTCGTAATGCGTAGCACCTCATCTATAAAAGGGTGCTATGCAGGAAGTAAGCTCTGTCCAATGATAGGACTCATATAAATCAAGTTTCAACATGAAACCGTGGTATTGATGGATTCTAGCAGGTGCTTTATAGACATAATCATGCCTACATGAAGGGTAAATAAAGACAGGAAAAAAGAGATATCAGCAAGGCTTGCACGAGCGGAATCATTCGTTCGCCAAGGAACAATGCATCTAGGGGCATAAAGAAACATAGGCAAGATATTATCGCAAAACAAGAAGAGAAGATTTTGGGTTTCCCGTGGTAGTCATAACACGTTGGATATTTTCGGTGTGGATATTTACTCCTCTTCTTCCTCGTCCTCTTCGGCAACCTGTGAAAAAGTTAGAAATGATAGGTTGACGCAGTTTAGAAAGGATCACTTACGCCCTCGTGGAAGTTCGTTCCATTTGTTGTTGCCTTGATGATGCCGGCACGGATGCAGAAGTCACCGAAGCGCTCAGGAGTCTCGCCGTCGGTGTTGCGCTCCTGGGCGTAGCGCTTGAGCAGATCCTTCATGATATCGAGGATCTCGTCCTCCTTAATTGAAGAGCGGTAGAGCTTGTTCAGGCGCTGACCGTGGTAGCCACCACCCAGGTACATGTTGTAGGCACCGTAAGCCTTGCCGACGAAGGCAACCTCAGCAAGCCAGGGGCGAGCACAGCCGTTGGGGCAACCGGTCATACGCATGACGATGCTTTCACGGCCGAGACCGTTCTCCTCGAGGGTGGACTCGAGCTTGGAGATCAAGACGGGGAGGTAACGCTCGGACTCAGCCATGGCGAGACCGCAAGTGGGGAAAGCGACACAGGCAGAGGAAGACAGACGCATACCAGAGAAGTTGGTGTTGTCCAGCTTGTACTTGGCCATGACCTCCTTGATCGTGGGCAGATCCTCATCGGTGACGTTGGAGATGATCAAGTGCTGGTTACCAGTGAGGCGGAACTCGCCCTTGTTGAGCTGAGCCAACTCGCGGAGACCGGTGCGCATGGCAAACTCGGCAGTGTCCTCAATACGACCGTTCTCGATGAAGAAGGTGAAGTGGTTCATACCCTTCTCATCCTTCTGCCAGCCAAAGGTATCGACGTTGGAGTCGAACTTGAAGGGGCGGGGCTCGCTGAACTTCATGCCATCGGGCAGAAGCTCCTCGACCTTGCTCTTGAAGACATCGACACCCATGTCGTCAATGGTATACTTGAGACGCGCGTGCTTACGGTTCTTGCGGTCACCGTTGTCACGCTGCACGAGCATGATCTTCTCGCAAGCAAGGTGAATGTGCTCCTTGGGGAAGAAGCCGAACATGCGGCCGGTCTGGGGATAAGTCTTCTTGTTGTTGTGGGTGGAACCCATACCACCACCAGCAAGAAGGTTGAAGCCCTCCAAGTGCCCATCGGCTCCCTTGATGGCAATCAGACCGATGTCATGGGCGTAGACATCAGTGTCGTTGTGAGGGGGGGATGGCAATGGTGATCTTGAACTTCCGGGGCAAGTAGGTGGGACCGTAGAGAGGCTCGAAGTCGACAACGGCATCGCCACCAACCTGGATCTTCTTGTCGTTCTCATCCTTCAGCCAGATCTCGTGGTAGGCTGTGGTGGAAGGAAGAAGATGTTCACTGATCTTCTTGGAGAACGCCCAAGTCTCGCGGTGGAAGTCGGACAGCGTGGGAAGAGAACTGCACATGACGTTACGGTTCACATCACCGCAAGCAGCGATGGTATCCATGAGGGACTGGTTAATTGCACGCATAGCGCCACGAAGCTTGCGCTTGATAACACCGTGGAACTGGAATGTCTGGCGGGTAGTGAGCTTCATGGTCTCGTTACCGTGGGAGCTACTGATTGCGTCCATCTGCAGCCACTGCTTCGGGGTAGCAACACCACCAGGAAGACGGCAACGGATCATGAAGCTGTACGCGGGCTCGAGACCCTGGGCCTTGCGCTCATCGCGAACATCACGGTCATCTTGCATGTAAGTACCGTGGAACTTGGTCAGCTGCGCGTCGCTGGCGGAGATCGCACCAGTGGACTCGTCCAGAAGACCCTCAGCAATAGTTCCTCGCAAGAAGTTGGATTGGATCTTGATATCCTCATTGGTCAACGGAGCGGGTTCCTCGGGCAGGCCCTCGACCTTATCAACACCCAAAGACTGCCACAGACGCGGCTCCCATTCCGAGTAACCGGTCTGATAGGCATCGGGGTCTTGGTCATCACCGAGACCAATATCGGTCAGCTTGCGACCACCCAGGAAGGCAATACGGGCATCGAGGTCCTTGGCGGGCTTGTTGTAGTAGATCTTGTCCTCCTTGCGGGGCCAGTAGTGGCTGTCACCAAGACCGAAGACGGAGTAGTTGATGGAAGACAGGTCAAGATCACCGGAGTTCTTGATGTGCTCCCAGAGGCCACGGCCGTTGACCGGGAACTCACCCTGACCGGCGGTACTGGAGATGAACACAACGTTCTCTTCAGTAGCCAGATCGTCAGTGGGGTAGTCATCCATGGCCATGACCATGGTCTTCAGACCACGGGCGCGACCGCGGTTACCCAGACGAGTGGCGATGTTCTGCGCGTTGCCATTGTCGGACGCAAATAGAATGGTCAGAGGGGCACCGAAAAGGCCGTCCAAAAGTTTCTCGTAGGAGTCCTTGGCCTTGCGCTTCTGCAGAGCACGGACCTCAGTTCCGTAGGATTCAGAAAGCACCGCAGAGTACTTGGGGTGGCGGTTCATGAGCTGAGTGAGCTGGTTGTCCCGGCGAAGGAACTCCTCCAACTCGCGCTTGATGCGCTCGGAGTCCAAAGCGAACTTGGGTTCGCCCTTCTCCTCGTTTTCGGGGTTCCAGCGGTACAAAGGCCAGTAGCCAAGGTCAATAGCCTTCTTGGTCTCCTGGAGAACAGTGAGGGCGGAGTCATCCTCCTGGTGGTAGGGAAGGTAGGCGACAACAACCGAGGGGCCCTTGTACTGTTCAGCCTCGGCCATGGCCTGAAGGACCTGGGTGTAGGAGCCGTACACAGCAGTGGAAGCAACATAGGCATTGCCGAAGTTCATTGCATAGAGACCAATGTCCTTCTTACGGCGAGTGGGGTCGGCGGCAGTGCGCTCGGAGTAGGGCTGCGAATCAATGATCAACATGTTGACATTGGCACCGGAGGCGAGGACGTGGTGGACACCAGAGTTGCCCAGATCGTAAGCCCAGGCGTCGGAGCCGATCAGCCACTGAGACTCCTCATAGAAGAGCTTCTTGGACTGAAGTAGATCGCGGGACAGCTTAGAACCATCATTAGATAGGCGGGCAATGACATCGGGGGCGATCTTGTTAGCCTTAGCGGCCTCCTTGGCACTCAGAGCCCAGCGGGACAACCAAGTCTTAGGAACATCCGTGGCAAAGGAGCTGGACTTGGAGGCCTCCTCAACCTCACGAATGAAACGCTCACGGTGCTCCTTGCGAGCGAGAAGAGAACCAAAGCCATATTCGGGGCTGGCAGCGATCGTGGTGGAGACACCGGCGTTCTGGGCACCGAGCTGGTTCGCAATGTAAAGGCGCTCACCGAAGAGCTGGTTGAGGATCTTCAGATAAGCGTTCTCAATGTGGGGCTGCTCGAGGGTATCCTGGGCGGTGGGAGCATTGGAGCTTCCGATATCCAGGTTCTGGATGGGAGACGTGGCCTCCAGGTTCTGGAGAGCGCCACGAAGGGCCTGGACGGCAGTGGAGGGCTCCACGTATCCAAGACGGTAACCAACGACCGTGAGAGACTGGCCACGGACGGTGGAGGGAGTCACACTGGAAAGCAGATCCATAAACGAAGGACCCCACTTAGTGGTCTTGCGAACCTGCTCCAAAACGGCAATCTTCTCGACCGAGTTGGGGATGGAATTCACGATCTGACCACCAACCCAGGGGCGGTACAGGCGAGCAGTGATGAGACCAATCTTCGCAAGCTCACTGTTAGCTTCGGCGTGAGAGAGGGCATCAACAAATACACCAGTAGAGCCGAAGACGAAGACGGCGGACTTGGCATCAGCAGGGCCGGTGTATTCAATGGCGTTGTAGGTACGGCCAACCTTCTCCGACAAGGCAGTCCAGATCTGGGAGGTCCACTCAAAGATATCCGCAGCATTGACGGGGCGCACGCCGGCGTTGTCCACAGTCGTAGCTGTGGAGCTAGGAGCTTCACTTCCAGCGCTGCTGTCGCGGCGCGATGAGCCAACAGACGAGTTTTCAATGCTAGCGTTCAACGGAGTCTGGGTCTGGGAGGGCACCATCAAGTTGGCCGAAGTCTCACCCTGGCCAGCGGGAGCAACCTCCAGGTCATCGGCGGAGACAATGGCAACGCGGCCAGAGTCGGCATACAGAGACTCAGCTCCGGTGGACGTATGAGTAGCAACATTCCCACCCAGGTTGAGAATCTCCCTCACAATGTGGGTATCCACAGCAGTGATAGCGGGATCCTTGGCGGAATTAACGGGGTCAAAGAAGTGGATAACACCCTTTCCAGACTTAAGCGCCAGCGCATGAGCGGTAATGGCAATATCCTGGGCTTCCTGGATAGTCTCGGAGTGCAAGAATGTGAAGCCGCACTGGCGGATGGAGCTAATGACTGAATAATCGGGCAACGGGGAGGGCTCCAGAGCGACATGGATGACAATGGGGAAGTTGGCGAGACGGTACAAGTGAGGAACGGAGGTAATCAGGATTGATGAGCCGGTGACAACGGACACGGTCTCGCCCTTTTGTAACGGGTAAAAAGCAGACAGCAGAGGGTCCTCGTTGTAGCGAATGGGTTGCACCTGGAGAAGTTAGTTGATGGCCGGTCTACAGTTCCGCTATGTAGCAATGCACCCACCTCGGGAGTACCCCTTGACAGGGCGCTTGCAGTCTTGTTTGCCTTCAAGGACTTGAGGGACTTGGAGAACAATGAGTCCGTCCGCAGGGAGGGTTGAACGGAGAAGACAACGTCGCTGGCTTGGTAGGCAATTCTCGCCACTAAGAATTGGATGTAAGCGATTGATCTTCGGTAGGATAATCGAAATATAGCATACCCGCTTCACCAGCAGTTGTAATGGAGGCCATAGCTGGCAGATGCTGTGAGGCTCACAGCTCAAGTGGGATGGGAAAAGCACTCGCGGGATAGGGCTCGTCGGCGCACCCAGCGATTTCCCACTTAACGTAGATCCAGAGGATAAGAGAATCTAAAGGAAAGGATCACAGGATTGAATTTCCTCGCACACTCTTGAGGTCTATCCAATAATCTATAAAGGAAAAAAAAAAGTTGGCTGTAGGATTTCGTCCCCATCATCCAGTCCGTTCTCCGCCATCGGGGTTAGATCAGCAGCGCTTTGATTGGTGCACGATCACGACATCGTTGCAAACGCGCCTTTCAAATGATGCAAACTTGCCCTTTCGGGCCTAGTGTGCGGGGACCCGTGACCAGCTGCGAGCACGTCAGTGCCGGCTTCTGCTTTTTTTCTGAAATTCAACATGCACGGCACTATACAGTGCTTTGCATTTCTTAATTTTTATATAGATCTAGATGTCTTGGTAGACTCGAACCGTGGTCGATTCAAGTATGTGTTTACATAGTCACTCCTATTGTACCCCAGCATCGATAACAGTAATTATTGTCTATCTATGCTCTACCTTTCTCACCGCACGGCTACCAATAGTGTAGCGGCGATTACCGATTCTCGGTCGAGAAGCTCCTCAGCACAAAACAATTGAGCTCGGGAATTAACTTGATCACCAAATCCCTGGATTGCGTGATCGGGCAAACCCCGATCCATAACACGAGGTGGTATGCTGATTCCATAGCCATGAACTAACAATTAAAAAATTAATGCAGGTTAAGGAAGCCGTATAAATTGGTTGAATGGAATTCAAGCAAAAAATAATCTTGATCGACGCAGGGTTCGAACCTGCGATCTCCCGTGTGTAAGACGGGCGCCTTAACCACTGGGCCAGTCGATCGATGTAAGATGACTAACTAATATTGTGGTCCATTACGGCATGATTCCGGAATCCTTTAGATGGGATCTAGATCAGAACTTGATCATATTTGCACGGCATAGAGGACTTAGGTCGAGTTCACATCCTCGTAGTCCACTACAGATACATCTTAGATCTAAATATATATTCTTTTCGTTTCTCTTCTCGGAGACATATACTTCATTTGTCTACCCACCATATTTCTTTCACACTACCTCGCTCTCTCCGTCTTCCGTTATTCTCCATGTTGATATTACAGTCGTAAGCTCCTACTGGATCAAATATCAAATTACATCTGTTCTGGATCTGGCCTGCGTCGTTAGGCGTATATGACAGCGCACAATCTGAGCTTCCTCAGATCCTTGCCTATTCCAGTTAGGCGCCAAATCACTTCGCGCTTTCCACGAACAGCCGTCCCTATCATTAAAGAAACCACGAGGGACGCAACGTCATTGTCCAGTGCAAGCTCACCAGCAAATATGTCTCTCTCAGCTCTACCAATTGAGATCATCTGCATGATTGTGGAGCGCATTCCAACGCAGGCCGGCGTCAAGGCGTTTATGTTGAGCCATCGGCGAGTCTCTAATTTACCACTCGTACGAGAGTGTTTATACAATCGAACAGGAAAGTCCCGGTTGAGTGAAAATTTACTGTGGGCATGTGAGAAGGACGACAAAAACTTGGCTTGCGCGATGCTGGCGCTGGGAGCGGATATCAAGTGCAGCAGCAAGGACCAGGTCTTCACACCTTTGACAATTGCCGCAGCAGAATGCAACGCAGAAATTGTGAAGCTACTTTTAGAGCATGACACGAGTATTATCAACGGGGCAGGCGGATGTGGAGATACCGCACTCAAGCAGGCAATTTTCCGAGGACATATCGAGATTGTGAAGACCCTTCTTGCCCAGTCAAATCTCGATCCATCAGCGGCCAATCCACATCCCAGTCGAACGATGCAAGATCCCTTTTATCGTCTAAAGCCACTTAACGAGGCTCTGGCCCGTGGGAACGAGGAGATGGTGCGAATGCTGATGGAGGATAGTCGTTTCAAGCTGGATCATAATAGCTTGGCTGCAGCTGCAGATGGAGGGAATGAAAGCCTCGTCAAGCTATGTCTCCAGAAAGCACCTCCAACACCCCAATACTTTGATGAATCGCCGGTTGCTCTTGCCGCATTTCGGGGAAACGAGGCTGTTGTGAAGTTACTGTTGGAAGATGGCGGACTGGATCCCAACGAAGAAAACAAATATCATCGGACACCACTCCATCTGGCCGCGGCGGGAGGTCATGACAATATCGCCAAACTACTCCTCGACAGATACGATGTCGAACCAGATGTGAAAGACCTGAGCAATATCACCCCGCTCTCGGATGCTGCGAGATATGGCCATGTGGGCGTCTTAAAACTACTTTTGGGTTCTGGTAAGACCAATCCCAACGCTCGAGATAGTATGAATCGCACACCGTTATCCCACGCCGCAGAACGTGGGCATTCAGAAGCCGCGAGCCTCCTACTTGCGACAGGCCTAGTCGATGCGGATTCCAAGGATCATATGGATCGGACACCATTATCTTGGGCTGCAGAAAATGGGGTCCCTGATACTGTCAGGGTACTTCTCCAAACGGGACGTGTCAATCCCGAATCCAAAGACAAAGAAGAGGGACGCACACCGCTATCCTACGCTGCTGGAAGTTCGCACTATTTGAACAGTTTCAATGGGGCCAAGCGCCGCGACGATGCACAGGAATGTCGTGATATCTATAATCTTCTGCAGGGGAGAACAGATCTGGTATCCCCTCCAGATGTGCAGGCCCGGCAGCGGGGGACTTATGGGTGGCTAGCCAAATGTGACCCGGTCGATATCATTGAACAACTTCTCGAATATGACGGGGTCAACCCAGATGCGCAGGATAAACAGGGACAGACACCATTGATGTTGGCTGCACAGAGAAGACAGGTAGAGGCAGTCAGGCTGCTCATGGCCACGGGCAAGGTGAATCCAGAACTACGTGACAACGACGGCTGGACGCCGAGAATTCACGCTGAACAGGGCTTCAAGCCACGCAAGCTAACCCAAGCTGAACTTGATGAGCGTGCCTGGGATGCCTGGGAAGCCGCACTGTAATAGTTAGCGATCATGGCAGATAGACAAAACATGCAATATTCAGTTTATGCCGAAGCGGGATGTCAAGTGATAGATCGGCCCCACCCGAGCTCCGATCGTCGCGGGTCAACAGCGAGCTCTGTCAGCTCTGTCAGCTCAACACCTTTCACTTAACCTCTACCTCAACCACGATGAAGCCCATAATCGGCCTGACTGCGGTTGCTGCCCTTGTCTACCGAGCCTGGTCTCGCAAGTCTCTCACTCCACTCGGCCTGGTCGTGGCCGCCATCTCCGCGACCGCACATGCCCTCCACCCGTGGTCAACACCGTTTCTGCTGCTCGCGGTGTTTTACTATGGAGGAACCAAGGCAACCAAGGTAAGCTCAAAGCTCTCCTTTACCGTTCCGAGCTATACGACGATATATGTACGAAACTGACACGATCCGCGGCGCTAGGTAAAACACGACGTCAAAGCGCGTCTGACTCTCTCGGCGACCGGCACAGAAGGTGGTGAAGGACCACGAAACCATATCCAGGTGTTAGCAAACTCCGTTGTCGCGACAATTCTGAGTATAGCACACGCGGTCGTTCTGGCCAGGTCGCCGGCGCAGTCATGTTTCGCGCTCGGCAATAGCTCAGCGGATATTCTGATGGTGGGGGTAGTAGCGTGAGTGGTCTGCCCTTTTTTTCGCTTCACACCTCAACTGACAGGAACGGCCATAGTAATTACGTCGCCGTCGCCGCTGATACATTCTCCTCCGAACTGGGGATCCTCTCCAAGTCCAATCCCCGCCTCATTACCTCCCTCACCCTCCGTCAAGTACCACCGGGTACCAATGGTGGCGTGACCCCGGCGGGTCTTGCAGCTGGTCTGCTGGGCTCATTCATGATCGCCTTGACATCTGCGATCTTCCTTCCGTTTTGTGCGGAAAAGTCGGGCATTCAGGACCGCGCCGTGTGGACGTTGGCTATGACATTTTGGGGTTTGCTGGGAAGTGTCTTGGACAGCGTGCTAGGTGGACTTTTACAAGCCAGTGTGGTGGATAAAAGAAGCGGCAAGGTAGTTGAAGGAAGTGGCGGCAGAAAGGTAAGCCCTCCTTGGATTCTAGAACGCGAGAAAGTTCTTACGCGTTTCTTCTACAGGTTCTCATTCATCCGGGATCCACCAAAGGGGCGCCCACCTCAGAAACGTCGCTGTCAGCCGAGGCCTCGGGCAGCACCAAGCTGCGCACCACCGAGGCCGTGGTGAACACGGCGATGCTACGGGGAAGTCGTGCCACGGATACATCCGTGGGAACTCAAGCCGGACGTGCTCACGAAGAAGGTCACGAGAGCCGACGAATTGAGACTGGCCACGATTGGCTGGACAACAACGGAGTGAATATTCTTATGGCGGTTCTCATGAGCTTGGGAGCCATGAGTATTGCACAGTGGGTTTGGGGAGTTGACGTGCGTGAACTCTGGGCTTAGATTGGACTGTATAGACTCGGGGCGACATTGAGACCCCATTGGGGCGGTCTCGACGCCGTGTCAGAGGACTTGGCATTTTTGGTGTAACCTCGACGCACTCATGAAACCCACCATGCTAGCAGCGATGCTGTATTGGTTCAATGGGACAGCATGGAAAGTACAGAAGTTGTTGACGTGAACCATGCGACTTGAAACGCTATACTCGACAGGGTTTAAGAGGACCGGAGGACGATGGGCTTCGGAGGCACGCGAGCATGCAGATCTCCCAGAATGCCCTCGGAGTAAATATACAATATACCAGACCAACCTTGGAACTAGCTCCGCTGGACCCGGTTCAGGGCATCCCAGATCGAATGCCATTGAGTGGCATTGGAGCCCGCTGCGTTTTGCTATTTCTCATATATGGCCACCACGTTCCGGGTGAGAACTGCACCCAGGTGTTGCCAAGCAAGTAGTTATAGAAACGAGTGATAAAGCAGACTTCTCGAAGCGGAGTCCGGGGGTCGCTGGCAGCCTGTCCGGTACCCACGTGGGTGGATCCCCAGCATTGACTGGAAGAAGCGGTCCCTGCAGTCCCGGTCCCGCCAAGAGCCTCCATCGGACACCCCCGATTCGGGCGTGGGCGGAGTACAACAGGTTACTATAAAAGCGCCCATCGCCCAGCTTTGCCAAGTTCCGCCAAGTTCGCCAATTTTGCTTCTTACCACCTAAGACCTCGCATTTACCCCTGGCTGCCTTGGTTTCTGCTCTATTGCGCGATTTCGCCCGCAAAGCGACATTTCCATTTGCCCGCCACCGGTCCTGTTACTTTGGCACTAGATGCCTGCCAAGCTGGCCCTGAACGATGTCTGCGACGTCTGTATTCGAGTCGTCTCCGCACGTGTGGCCGGGATAAGTGCCAGTTCGAATGGAAGTTGCGCGTGAACGAGCTGGAAATTGCCCTGCGGGCCACCCCGTGTCTCGCTCTCGCCGAATGTGCCATGCGATGCGATAGAGGCGATTCTGGAGCGACCTTGGATGTACATAAGACCTGACAAGTCTCTCAGTTTTCCTCAATTCGTAATTTCCAACGTTGATCCCTGACTTGGCTGCTTTGGCACTTTCCTCGCCAAGATGTATCTTCATCAGTATGACTACATCTTTGCTATTGGCACTTTGTTTGCCATGCTCGACGCCTTCAACAATGGTGCAAGTGAGTAGATCATCCTGTCTCCTGTGGAATGATTCATGCTGACTGAGTTAGACGATGTCGCCAACTCCTGGGCTACCAGCGTCTCCTCCCGTTCCATCTCCTACAGACAGGCGATGGTCCTGGGTACCATCTTCGAGTTCCTCGGCGCTGTGACTGTCGGCTCTCGCACCGCTGAGACCATTAAGAACGGAATTATCCCCAGTGATGCCTTTAAGGGCAATGCTGGTGTTCAGATGCTGGCCTTCACCTGTGCCCTGGCTGCCGCTTCATCCTGGGTGATGTGGTGCACTCGTCACTCAGCTCACGTCTCGTCTACCTACTCTCTTATCTCCGCCGTTGCTGGTGTCGGTGTTGCCACTGCCGGTGCTTCGAAGGTCCAGTGGGGATGGAACAAAGGAAAGGGTCTGGGTGCCATCTTCGCCGGTTTGGGAATGGCCCCTATCATCTCGGGTGGCTTCGCTGCCACCATCTTCATGCTCATCAAGGTCGTCGTGCACATGCGCAGGAACCCGGTCCCCTGGGCTGTCTACAGTGCTCCCCTCTGGTTCCTCGTTGCTTCCACCATTTGCACCCTGTCTATTGTCTACAAGGGCTCCCCTAACCTGAAACTGAACAAGAAGCCCAGCTGGTACATCGCTGCTGTGACCGTTGGTACCGGTGGCGGTATCTGCATCCTATCGGCCATCTTCTTCGTTCCCTTCATCCACGCCCGTGTCATCAAGAAGGACCACTCCGTCAAGTGGTGGATGGTCATCATGGGCCCTCTCCTCTTCAACCGCCCTGCTCCCACCGACGCTGAGACCGCCAAGGTTCCAAACTACGCCGTTGTCCAGGACGAGGATGACTACGCCGTTTCCACCCGCACCAACGGCTCCATTGACAAGGATGCCCTGACCACCACAATCCCCGCCGAGGACAAAGAGCAGGGACTCGTCGTCACCGAGACCACCCAGCTCACCTACAAGGAGATCATCGCCAAGTCTGAGGCCAAGCACCGCGAGAAGCTCCTTAAGGGTAAGGGTCCCCTGGGCTGGGCCTTGCGTTTCCTCCGCGACAACCCCATGGGCTCTGGCGAGATCTACGAAATCCGCAACATGATGACCATGTTCAAGCGTATTCCCCCTATGATCATCGTCGGCCTCATGTACGGTGCTCATTACGACATCCACACTGCCCAGAGCGGTATCGCCGGTACCCCCGAGGGCGAGCGCATGAAGCGTGTCTACGACGCTGCCGAGAAATACCCCAACGAAGTCGAGCACACCTACTCCTTCGTTCAGGTCTTGACTGCCTGCACCGCTTCCTTCGCCCACGGTGCCAACGACATCGGTAACTCCGTCGGTCCCTGGGCTGCTATCTACTCCGCCTGGTCGACCGGTGACCCTGCCGCCTCCAAGTCCCCAGTTCCCATCTGGCAACTCGCCGTCCTGGCCCTGTGCATTTCCACCGGTCTGATCACCTACGGTTACAACATCATGAAGGGTAAGCCGCCACCACTGCATACTAAATCCAAACAATCACTAACTCCTCTTAGTCATGGGCAACAAAATCACCTACCACTCCCCAAGCCGTGGCTCATCCATGGAATTGGGCGCCGCCATCACCGTCCTCGTCTTCTCCCAGTTCTCTCTGCCCGTATCTACATCCATGTGTATCACCGGTGCCACCGTCGGCGTCGGTCTGTGCAATGGTACTCTGAAGGCAGTGAACTTCCAGCGTGTTGGTCTCTTGCTCCTTGCCTGGATCATGACTATTCCCATTGCTGGCACCATTGGTGGATGTCTGATGGGTCTTTTCATTAATGCGCCTCATTGGTCTTGAGTTTGGGTTCTGAGTTCCCGCTTGGGACTGTCTTTGCCATATTTCCTTTGTTTCTTGCATAAAGCCGTCATTAGTATTTGTATTAATCGTATACCTGCATACATGCGTCATGAAAAGTTTAATTATTTTGCTTTGCATCGAGGATATTAGAAGCGATACCCGAGGGCACGTAATACATGACAGTGCTAGTTTCAATTCCATGTTCCTTTTTCAAATTGGAACCTGGATAGCCTAGTCTAGTCAAATATCTTTCAGCGCCCATGTCTCAAGCATGACTACTTTTAGAAATGTCCCCACAATGTCCCGCATGGCGGTCGTGTTTGTCTTCGAGGTTCTACACTGAAAACGCAATCTAAAGTAAATGAAAATGAGAGAGCCCTCCAGCTAAAATATATGGACTACGGCTCCTAGATGAGCACTTTGTAAATGAAATTCTGCCCCGTCAAAAGCCACATTCCATAGTCACCTCGGCTAGGCCCTCGCTCCAAATTGAAAATGATGTCGTCAGGGGTATTGATCTTGCCCAGCAAGATTCCAGACGCAGGATCGACGACGTCCACGCCTCCCAATACTGCCACCATCAAGTATCCCCTACGAGTCACCTGAAGTCCATCAGGCCAACCAGCCTCGGTCGAGTATACCAAGCGCGGGCTGCTCAGAATTGACCCCTTGATATCAAACGCCCACACGTTTCGCACGCTAGAAGGAGAATGGCTCATGGGCTTGCCGGAGGTCGAGTTGGAATCGGCAACATAAAAAGTGGAACCGTCCGGAGAGAATGCAAGGCCATTTGGCGTTGTCACGACCGAGTTTGATACGGAAACAAGCGCTTTCGTGTTCGTGTTGAAAAAGTAGATCCCGTTGGGTAGTTCTGGAGGTTGCACGCCCGAGAATCCCTGGTTCCAGCCGTATGGAGGATCTGTGAACCAGATGTTTGAGTCGGCGTCAAAAATAAGATCGTTCGGACTGTTGAGGTGGCGTCCGCGGAAGTTGTTCAAGATTGGTACGGCGGTGCCGTCTTTGGGATCAACGGAATAGATTCCTCGAACTGGGCTTCCATTCGTAGTAAGGTATATGCGCCCTTTATGATATCGCCCTCCATTGACATTGGGGAGAGGCGGGGACCTTTCAACCTTGCGCGTCTTTGGATGTGAAATTAGCCTGGGAATATTTGATTGATTCAGTTCGTCAGGTACTCTACCTCGTAGGTGTCCACGTTAACAGCCCACAGCCAGCCCGTCTCACTTGTATCAGCAAAAAACAACTCATTGGTCTCCGGGACATAGGCGGGCGCTTCATGAACCCGAGGCGACTGTCCTTCAAAAGACTGAATTTTCTCAAGCTTTGCACCTGCCCCTATAAGACCGAAGAATGAAGAATCCCATGCGATAAAATCAGACGCCTTGATCTTTTTCAAGACATCTTGAACATGAGGCTGGTCGGACTGGATATCGTAAAATGGCGTTTCTATTAAGTCTTAGCTCGTATACATAGGTTTTGGGTGGGTGCAGACTGACTGATTCCACCGGCCTCCCATTCTCCAGGGATGACCGCCAGATTATCCTTCACAAAAGAAACCGAAACTTGTTCGAAGCCAGCAGGAATCGCATTTAAAAAGCCATCTTCACAAGCTAGCGCAGTCGCATTATGCTGCACTCGGAGGACTGCCTGTTGATTGATGCCCAGCAAGCTGAGAGGAGTAAATGAGGATTCTCCCTAGAGCACGGACAGCAAGGAAGCGCTGAGATTCATCGCGATTTGCAACCTGCTCTCATCCAGCTCCTAGAAATTGATACGAGGAATAACAATTGCGTTCAAGTTTGCTCCTGGCAGTAATTGAGGTGGGAACCCCGCGACCCTGCGTTCTCCACCAACAACCCTCCCCGGACCAACTCCGTCTTGTTCGGACTTGTGTGCGGTCAACTCATTCACGTGACTATTTTTTATACATCTCGAGTAGATTCATTGTTCCTGTTCGAGCTATACTAAAAGAGAGCAGTAATACTATCCTTGATTGATTCCTAGTCACTATGGCTCTTGGTTATTAGACCAGAATCATGAAAGTTAGAATTCGGGCTTTCGGGGACCAACCTTACTGAATACAAGCCGCTTGTTTTGGGCAATTCTTCATAGAATGGTAGCACTTTCTGCTTATGGAAATGAGACATGTCCTCACACTGAAAGAGGCAGGATCGACAATGATCGCTTCACCAAGCAACTAGTATGTATCAAGCGGGACTTCTCTTCCCACATTCGCAACTTTTCCGAGAAACATACCGGACGGAAGATACAGAATACCTCCTACACATGGCTGGGCGTTATATTAATTGATATGTGATGATAGAAATGGAATAGGTTAAATTGGCCGGATGGTATAGTTAGTTATCACGTAACCCGCATAGACATCTACTTAATCTCCAACAGTATAACAAATTGGTAGGGGAGACTAGGCTGACCCATGCGAGCCAATATCACCACCGATCCCATTTACTCTTCATCCCCCACAGACTCAGCCAGTTGATAACTCTTAATCTCCTCCGGGAGATCCGCGTAGTTACCGTCCGCAATGAAATGCTCAATCAGACCATCGGTGACATGCTGAGGGGTGTTTCCGCCGATTGGGAACTGGCGGCCCTCGATAGCAATAATATCTGGGGTCACCGTCCCGGTTGCGCTCTCGGCTTGCTCCAACAAGTCCGAATCAATGGAGCCATCGTTCAAGTCACGCTTACGGCAGGACCGGCAGTCAAACCAGTAGGAACCACGGGAGTTTCCGCTGGCCAGGCACAGGCTCAGACCGTGCCCAGCCTTCTTGATTGTGCCGCAGTTGAGGTTTCCTTTGCGGGCGCAGATGGCTCCTATCGCGGTGGTGGGCAGGCCCAAAAAGAGACTCGAGGTATAGACATTGTTGTGGCTCAGGTCACAACAATCTCTGGTGGAAACGTTGGAGCACTGCGCATAGTTGCCTTTGCATGTGGCCGTGCGGTAATTGCGGATTGTCACCCCGGACACACACGAGGAGCACGCCGCAATGGCGACAATGAAAGTACCCAAGAAGTGCATGTTGAGAAGATAAGAGGTATCCAAGACAGATATAGATAACGATAGAGTTGTTGTTTGGTACGGTGTTGAATGTAGGGACAGGAATCAAGCCCCCTTTTATATCCGAGGGAGAAACCATTTGTTGGAGCTGGGTATTCCAATGGATTCCAATCCGATTACGGGTCATTTCAGAAGTCACACCTATCCGTTCTACCGGAGAGCTGAAGAACACGATGATTGGAGGCCCGAGACTGATGGCATGAGGTTGCAATTCGTCGTGCATAAGAGAAGCTTCACTTTCCAGGCCATCAAGCCAATCAGTACTCGAGGAGTCAAAATGTGGTGTCATAGTTTTCCTGTCCTAGAATGATATTGAGTTTGCGCGAATTCTGCAGGCTGATGTTCCATTTGCAAGGGTCGCTGTGCCTTTCCTGCGGTGAGAATCACAAATAAAAGAAAACAAGCACAAATTGGACCTCGACCTCATAGCTTGGCCCGAGGTCAACATGTATCGCATCTTATACAGGCATAAGTCGTATGCCGTGGCGCTAGGCAACAGAATACCACAACCGTAGGGGTTCTTTGAGAATTGGTAATCTAGGACCAAATCCGTCTAGTGCAAACGAGCTAAAAGTCTCTCGAGTAAGCTCAGTCACCGGGTCCATCAGATACAATAAGCTGCAGATCTTTACAAAAAACCTGATCCCATGGCAGATATTCGCACTAAATATTATCCATGAAAGGGGCGAATACGGCAGGTCATCATTAGTGATCCACACAATATCACTGATCTGAAACTGCCTCTGATACTTGAATGGGAACGGCCTCGAATAGGTAAATGGGCCGCATATAATGAGAAAACTGAAAAAACACCAACCTCTGCACATAAAGCCAAGCTCTGCTTAAAGCGTGTTTGGGGGACTTGGTACTAACTGGACGGCATTCAGGGTTCAGATGTGCCCCACTTTTCGAACGTCAGCATATTTAACTAGCTCGGGGGCCTAATCATCATCCTTTCTTTCAGCAAACAAGGGAATCCATCTAGAAATCTTCCCACAGATATTCCACCTTTTCATTCGAGCGCCCCTGTCTTCTCTGAAAATGACTACCGAGCAACCCGGCGACAACCAGCGCACTGGAGACGGCGGTCCTCCGCTCCGTTCCTTGAAGCCTGACATTGTCTGTCTCGATGGGCATCAGTTCCGCATCAACTATGGCGTTCCACAAGACGTGACTGACCAGCTTGAGTCCCTTTTCATCCAGGACTCCGAGGTTAAGTACGACGATATCCCAGATCATCTGAAGGCCTACGAGGTGGGAATCGACGATCCCACGGGAAGACCCGACCCAGCAGCAGCCAGCCGCCAGTAAACAGCGGCCATGGTTCTATTACTTCTCCAGGCCGAAATGATCTTTTCTTTTGGTCTCGTTACTACATCCCAAGGGACAATCATGATAGAGTTCTGGTTATGCTCAGTCTTATTTTCTGGGGCTTAGCTATCCAGTGGACTGGAATGGTGGTGCTTTACGGGAAGATCTATCGAGCCAGGGAGATACAAAACACTCAGGGCTGGGAAATCGCTCTCATTCAATGCAAAGAGCTTGGGGTGCACCTCAATCTTGAAGTTGTAACCTGATGCCAAAGCAATTTGACATCCTATAGCGTCGGTCATCAGCGGGCACATTATGATCTAATAGAAGCGGTCTCCTACTCAACTCATGAAGCACTCATAGTAGTTTCTTACACGAGCTTTCCTGGCTATTTACTAACTTGTAAAAGAAATATGCCAAGCTCAGCCGTATTCACGTGGTCCTCTACGGAGGGTCTGCAGATCGCTGTGACGCTACCAATGAAGACTATTGTAGGAGTGGAGCGGTTTACTCTACGTTTAATAGGAAAAGTAAGCGTGCCGAAACAAGCCACCGAAGGCCAAGGCTTAGTCTAAAAGGTACCCCCCATCTTATCAGGTATATGCTACGGTGATCCTGCCACGGGCAATTAAAAGGGTAAAAATCACTATAGTGAGCAGACTGTGTCAATGTGAAGTATTCAACAATGGCTAAATCTAAATCCTCATGCGTTTCGGAAACAAGTTTAGTTAAACATTCTATCACGCACTCGACTAAACTTTTGGCTAGCACTGGGACCTATGATCCCCAGGATAAATGCCTAAGGCCCGAAAAGGTCGCCCGCTGGAATCAGAAGCCTAATATGCAGACGTGTATATCATGTTACCTGGGATCTTACTTACGCGAAGCCAATGAGACCGCAATCATGAGAGAGACCAGATTCCCTATAAGGCAGGAGGCAACAATGTCTTCATGCAAAATAAAAGACCCCTCAGTTGCATTTGCTTCCCCTGTAAGAGGCCAGGCGCCCCCAAAAAGTTTTTAGTGCTGCCGAATGGGTTCTGGACCTGTCAGCACCCAATCAGCAATAACCGCAAATTCCACTGATCGAACATGCCGCTCCGGACACAGTACTGTGACCTGGAAGTAGCAGACCATCAGTATTGGAGCCCGGTTAGTTACGAGATCATATTACAGTGAGGAGAATAATGCGCTCACAGCCGGTGACTGGGGACCCACAGGGACTTCTGTAGGATACGACGTTGCAGTAGATTGTCAATTGGCGGGTAAGCTGCATTAGTTGCTCCCTACTTTCATGGTGGGGGCCAAATCACAAGTTCACCTCGGCCAACAGCACGCCACTCAAATGTTGGAATCCTTCCCGAGGCATTTTAGCCCGCAGGAAACTCCTACTAAAGATAGAAACTGTTTCTCGCTCTCTCGGTTGGTCAGCACTAGATGTGATGCAGCGGGTTGGTTGTGCATTGGCTTCGACACTATTCCGACTATTACGCGAAAGAAACACGTCTTCGGGCGCGTTCGAGCCGGCCATGCCCTGGACATTCTGAGGTCAGCAGAACTGTCTTATCTGCGTGAAATCGTTAGTTCCTTCATGATCGTCCGGACACCAACCTGAATGGCCGGTTCTATTGACGCAGGATCTGGTGTCGTTCGGGTCCTGCGTTAGCTAACATAAAAAGATATTGTACTCGAAAGGACCGGTTGGACTGCGAATGATGCATGGACCTTCGAAAACATTTTATTCTCTTCAAGAAATCTCTAGCGGGCCCGCTTATGTATTTTCTGCACAGAATGAGGAATACTCTGGGGCCAGCACACGGGGTACTAAGAAAACAGGAGGTATTTTAAGTTTAAAATGCAAATAAGACCAAGACTTTCGTTGATCACGCTGAGTCGCTCAATTTCTCCTGCATAAACTGCAGGGTCACCGCATTTGCCTCTTCTGCCACAGGCAGCCCGGGAAATACAGTAAAACCATGAGTGGCACCAGGGTAGATCTTAACAATAGTCTCCCCACCGGCAATGCTCCACTTAGAACTCATCAGGATCGTGTCATCAAGCAACGGGTCATCTGTCCCGCAGAGGAAGAGGGCGGGGGGCAACGATCCAGTGGGAGCCGCCGCAACTAGTGCCTGGAGGTCCTCATATAGTGGCGATACACAAGGACTTTTGCGCTCGGCGGTGCTCATGCCCGGTGCATATGCACCAACGAACCGCTCCATGATTTCCAGATTTATCATGAGGGTTTTTTTCGAAGCCGCCACTGTGGGGAGCCCGAGGGCCAGATCAAATAAGCCGTAAGGAAGAACGAGACCCGACAGTTTGTAAGAAGGCCGTGACCGCATCAGCTGCAGGGCTGATAGAGCGGCGAGACAGGCCCCTGCTGACTCTCCGCCGAGAAAGCGAAGGGGGGCGCCGTACACCTCCATTGCGTGGTCCGCCATGTACTCGGCGACGTCGATGGAATCGTACATGGCAGCCGGGTATAAATGTTCCGGGGCCAGACGGTATCCGACCGAGATGGCCGTTAGCTGGCACTTGTTGGCGTATTCTCGGAGGGTGCTATAGGAACTGTCCAAGGAACTAATATCTACCCAGGGCGCGGTAACTGGTGGAGGGGAGAATCTCACTGTTTGTGCGTTGATAGCACGAAACCGCCCCCATGAAAGTGCAGGAAGATGCCATTGCTGGGCCGGCTATTATCGGGCTTATATATGCGGATGGGGATCTCACGGCCAGCATCGCGTGAAGGAACAGTGCCATCGAGAGCCTCCGGGAGATAGACGGGCTTGGGCAGTGACGTCTGACCAAGCTCCCACATCTCACGGTATTTTTCAATGTCTACCTCCCACCATCGGGGCCCGGTGGTGGTGATGTTTTCCAATAGAGCTGCAGCTTTCCTTGTTGACTCCGTGACGTTCTCCGGGGAGAACTTGGAGATGTCAAGGGTGATATCACTGGCGATCGGCATCGTGAAAGGAGTTTGCAGATCGATGAAGAGTGAGCTTTCTGGGTGAATAGTGTGAATATGATGACGGGAAAATCATTCAGCACGAAGGGGGAAATTTTTTCGGACCCCTCCTAGTGATCAATTTATCTAATTCTCCCTCGGCCCCTCCAAGATCCACCGGAAGACGCCCTAGCAGAGCCGCAGTCAGAAAATGTAGCCATACTAGTTTTGGCTAGTGTCGCGGATCTTCCCGAGCGGCCGCAACACTGCCTCAATCTGCCTACCAGTGCTGTGCGAGCAGGCCCTGTGGAACCTTTCGGAGAGGCTACGCCTAGGCTGTACTTTGTGAGGTATGAAAAGTGGCGCAGCACTAACTCGGGCCTTTCCATGCTGACTTCACGGCCGCCGACCCGATTCCTGTTCGGCCGGGAAGAACCGATGGCGCTCTCATGGTGTAGTAGACCTTTCTAGGTGGCTATATTATCTTTATTGTCACTTTCACAAAATCTGGACACCGTAATAGGGACACTTACCGAAGTAGCTGACCAGCTGGTTGCTGAAAAAAAGGCAGAGTCTCCGGGTGAAGGCCGAGGCTTCGACTGATGAGACTTCCTGCTGGATAGCTGGCAGTGGAGGAAATGATAAAAGACCGGAGAAATCACCGTAACTGAGCGGAAGTAGTATTGGATAATAGAAGGAATTAAGTAATTCGAGATTAGGACTGGTGCCGACATCTTGGAGAAGACGTTCGAATTGTTCATCGGTGAGAGCTTCCACATTAGAGATACCCATAAGAGATAGAAATACGAAGGCAACATGGACAGGGCATTTGTATATTTGTTTATGCATCGTGGACGGTTATTAGCTCTTGGGATCCACTCAAATACTCAGCGTTCAGGAAATTAGTATCAACAAATTTGCACGCCCGAGCAGGTGTCGGCGTCCACACTTGTTGATCAATGCGGCTGTCTCATCTCCTATTCATTCTTTTTGCTCTGTTTCACTGCAAAATTATATCATATATCGGAATCCCTTCTGCAATTGACGGGCCGCTGCAATGTCAATGCCCTCAACATCGGCAGTAATCTGCAACCTGCGGAGCTCCTTCTCGGTCAACTGCACATTCTCATTTTCCAATCGCTCCTGTCGTTTGTTGAGAGTGTTTAATGTGAAATACATGAAAATAGCCGATAGACCACCCAGCGCCTGTAGAGCAATGCAAACCCCAAGGGCAACACGATAGTAGGGTTTCTCAGAGTTTTAGTAGGTGTAAGGGGTCAAGATGCTGGCCGAATTTCAAATCGAGTTAATGAAGGCGTAGGCAGCAGCACGCTTGGCAGGGGACGTGGAAGAGACTTTGCAATGCAGGAATACAGAGTACCAAGTTCAGCAAATGTGAAGTTCACCAAAAAAAAAAAAAAAAGAATACCGTGCTCCAGATGACTCAGTGGTAGGGTTCACCGATCCTTGTATTTCTTGAAATAAACTCAGACTCACGATAACCATGAAGAGCGCGGATGACTAGGACAAGCAAGCCTCATGCATATGCCACTCAATCGTTTTCTGCAATCCATATTCCAATTGCACCACTGGCGCCCAGCCAAGCCTGGCCATCGCCAATGCAATCTGCGGCCGTCGGACTTGCGTATCATCTACGGGGCGTGGATGATACGTGATTGATACTTTTTCCTTGCCTGTCACCTTAGCAACAAGTTCTACTATTTTCTCCGCCAGCCTTTGAATAGTGATTTCTGCGTCATTGCCAATGTTAACTGGGCCGTCACCATAAACGCTGTTCATCAGCCTATAGAGTCCTTCGATGCAATCTGAAATGAACTGGAATGACCGAGTTGCGGAACCATCGCCAGTGACTCGTATATCTCGATCGGCTATCGCGGAAGCAATAAAGCTTGAAACCACCCGGCCATCACCAGCGCCCATTCTTGGCCCATAGGTGTTGAATATGCGAGCTATTCTGATATCCACTCCGAACTGCTCGCGATATGCGTAACATAGAGCTTCCGCAACTCGCTTTCCTTCGTCGTAGCATGAGCGCGGTCCGAAGGGGTTGACATTGCCCCAGTAGGTTTCTGGTTGCGGATGAACTTGAGGATCGCCGTAAACCTCTATACTCATTAAATATTTAATTAGTGAGGTAAATGAGTGAAGGGAGGCTGTAATATCATTCCTCTCACGAACCTGATGTGCTTGTGTGTAGTATGCGAATGCCTCTGCGCTTTGCAAGTTCCAGGATATTCTCAGTGCCAAGAAAGCAAGTTTTCAGGGTTCCTAATGGATTTTTCTGATACTGTATCGGACTCGCCGGGCATGCAAGATTGTAGATCTGATCGATTTCACGTAATTCTTTGAGAGGGGATTGAATGTTGTGGCTGACATAAATAGTTAGTGCGAGATTTTAAACTGTCATTCTGAATGGTCAGAATACCCACTTGATCAGAGTGAACCGAGTGTCGTTGTCGAGGTGTCTGAGATTGCTAGGAGATCCAGTCTCGAAGCTATCCACACCTATCACACGATGACCTTTCTCCAGGAGAAAGTCGACCAGGTTCGATCCCAGAAACCCTGCGCACTGATTACTGGTAAGTGATGGACCATTGATGACTGTGTCAAATTCTTTGCTTACTCCTGTAACGAGGATGGTTTTGGAGCCATGTGTGCCATTCATCTCGTGAGGGGTTTCTCTGGTGCGACTCTGAGACGGGTTTTTTTTGATGAGATGACAGGGATAAGGAAAGGCAAGCTTCCAAAAAGTCTAATGTACATTCACATTGTGCTCTAGAGGGACTTCCCATGGAAGTAGGTGTTCTCATGTCTGTCCTCGCAGAATTGATCAGTAATTTTACCCCCACAATGATAAGATTCAGTATTGCCTAGTATTGATTGCCTAGTGTTGCACCAGTGGGCCGAAATGCTATTTACTCCACTGTTCACGATCGGAGCAAATGTGCTTTTACATGAAGAGTTCGATGAGGGGGCGAAGGTCTGTGCGTTACGGCTTCGTGTGATAGGTGATGCTGTACACACTGCTGGGCCCTTGACGCTGAGTGATTCGATGTTCTTGCCGTGATATCCTATCTCTAATATGAGTAGTATATTGGAGAAATCCCTCACATACTCGCCCTCACATGAACAGAGGCTGCCGGCACGATCGCCGGTTCTTCCCAGTCCGATCTTTGGGGCTGACCCCTCGAGCTCGTATCTCCACTGACGATCCCTGCATCGACATTGTGCGTGCATGCCTTTAGTTACTCGAGGTCATCTATACTTTTCACACTGTCGATGTACCGTGATAAGACACAAGGTTTCACCCGATGGTGCCGATCAATTACTGAAGTAGGACATCTTCATCTTTCAGTAGAGTATGTATGTTGTTACCGCCGGTCGGACCTGTATGCTCTAGCAGCCTACTTCGTGTTCGTAATGGTCATGCATGAATACTGCAGTAGAGTATGTATGTTGTTACCGCCGGTCGGACCTGTATGCTCTAGCAGCCTACTTCGTGTTCGTAATGGTCATGCATGAATACTGCAGTAGATTTTTGGCTTGCTGAAGGGGCCACGATGACCCCTGCAAGTCCCAATTCCCCAAGTTCCCAACTACTCGAGGTAAGGAACTCTGCGTGTCATTACCGTACGAAGTTTTGACAGACTCCACACCGAATTTTACTGACAGCATAATAAATCATGGAGTACCGTGTCAGCTAGCTGTTCATGGCATTCCCGACGACCGCTCTTGTCCTACGATCCCAGGAGCCTGTTCTAGTCAGTGTCAAAAATTCCAAAAATGATTCCAAACAACATTCCCCCTGTCACAGGAAAGGAGCTCGAATATATTGCGCAAGTTGTGAGCGGAGGCGCACTTGGTGAGGGTGGTCCTTTTAGCAAGCGATGCCAACACTGGCTTGAAGAACGCCTCCATGGCTCTAAAGTGTTCTTGACTCCATCCTGCACAGCAGCTCTCGAGCTTGCAGCGCTATCGCTTGACCTAGATCCTGGAGACGAGGTCATTGTGCCCAGTTACACCTTCATGTCTACTGCAAATGCCTTTCTCCTCCGCGGTGCCTCCCTGGTTTACGTGGATATTAATCCAGGCACAATGAATATAGACCCTGTCAAGGTCCGAGAAGCTATTACATTGAAAACCCGTGCAATTGTTCCGGTTCACTATGCTGGCGTCCCATGTGACATGGATGCCATATTTGAAGCCATCGGCTCTCGCAAAGATATCTACATCGTGGAAGATGCAGCGCAAGGCCTGTTCTCTTTTGACAGAAATGGGAAGGCCCTTGGTAGTATAGGGAACCTTGGATGCCTGAGCTTTGGTGGTGCCAAGAACTTAACATCCGGCGGCGCTGGTGGAGCCATTATTGTCAATGACAAGAAGCTCATCGATCGCGTTGAAACAATTCGAGACAAGGGAACCAATCGACCTCAATTCCTCAGAGGCGAGGTGGGTCACTACACCTGGCAGCGTGCCGGCGTCAGTCATGTCCTCACTGAAATACAATCAGCCTACCTATGGGCGCAATTAGAGTGCGCGGACGAAATCCAGTCCCACAGGCTACGTATATGGGAACTATACCGTCAGGCCCTGGTTCCGCTTGTTGGAGAACGACTTGAGTTGCCACCCATTTGCTTGCAAGGCCAACATAATGCCCATATTTTCTTTGTCAAACTTAAAAACAAAGAAGAGTCGGTTCAATTCACCTCTGCCATGCAAGACAAAGGGATTTCAGTTTCGGCTCACTACAGCCCCTTGCATCGGAGTGTCCCTGGTTCTCATGGTCGGCATGTGCTACATCCCCAGGATTACACGTCGACAGAAAGCGAGCGGCTTATTCGTCTTCCCCTTTTCTACGCTATGACCAAAGCGCAGGCTGATTATGTTATTGAACAAGTCAAGCACTATTTTGCCTAGTTCACAGAACCGCCCAAGTTTAGAAATATGGATTATACATTTTGGCCGAAAACCCAGGAAGAAAAATTGAGACTTCCACAATACCCACCTGCAAGGGTAAAGGTTTTTCATTAATAAGTGAAAATTGCAGGTCTGGGTATGGTAAATTTACGATCGTACTGTATACAAATATTTTTGATGACATAGAGACTCCATGGTCAGGCCCGCGTCGACTGGAATCTATGAAGCTTATTAGATATGCTCTAATGAGCGGTCTGGAAATGAGGGGCATTCAGGTACACCCGCACTCTTTCCATGCCACCAGGACCCTGGTTTTCCAATCTGGGTAGCATCAAGATTTTCGACTTGTGCTGGCAAGACGATTCTTCGAAGTTGTACCGTGAAGTCGTCACAATTTCACCTTATCATCGTCATGGTTTCCGCGGTTGTTTTCGGATACCATAACGTGGGTGTGCGATGCCTGTCTGTCCTTTTGGCACATAATATCCAAGTAAAGCTAGTGGTCACCCACTCTGACGATGAGGCTGAAAACATATGGTTTGACAGCGTGAAGGAATTCGGCTGCTTGCACGGAATACCTGTGATTAGCCCTCAATCTCCCAATACCGAAAGCTTGATCTCCCAAATGCGGGCATTGCGGCCTGACTTCATATTCTCCTTCTACTATCGCTCAATTCTCAGCGTCGACTTGTTGAGCACCGCTACACTTGCATGCTACAACATGCACGGTTCGCTCCTCCCCAAATACCGTGGCCGAGCTCCTGTTAACTGGGCCATTATTCACGGCGAGACCGAGGCCGGAGCTACTCTCCATGAGATGGTCAAAAAGCCCGATGCTGGGGCAATCGTTGGCCAAATGACAGTACCTATTCTCCCCAATGATACGGCCGCGGACGTCTTCACCAAGGTGCTGGTTGCGGCAGAAATGGTTCTAGACAGGGCTTTGCCTTCGATCATTAATGGGACTCTGGAAAAAGTCCCAATGGATCTTAGCAAGGGCTCATACTTTGGCGGTCGGAAACCTGCAGACGGGAAGATTGATTGGAAAATAATGGGGGCAAAGCAAATTCACAATCTCGTGCGGGCTGTTTCTCATCCTTACCCAGGGGCTTTTACCCACACCTCTAAGGGAAAGCTGGTTATCTGGCGCACAATTCTTATGAATGATGACCAGGCTACGCCGCCCGTTGGAGAGCCCTGTTTATGGGAGCAGGGTGGGCTACTATTTGCCGTGGCTTGTGATGGCAAGGCGCTTCGGATCATCTCAGCGGTGTTAGGTGAACATGAATTGAATGCAAAGACCTTTTTGGGGTGGTTTGACTTCCCGTTCATGCTCGTCTAGCATATTTGTACTGGAATATCTGTTATCCAGCCTAGCTCGCCGTTGAGGGGGGAGGAGGTGGCTATAAAAGAACTCCCCCCAGTAGGCAGGCAAAATGAGATGAATTGGGGATTACAGAGGTTCGAATAACTTCTAAATGAAAAAGTACTTTAATGCCCTCTATCGAAACGACTAATTGTAATATGGTAGCAGTGTAGAACAGTCCACCAGGCGATGCCTGATTACTCGGTCATGATGGTAATGTTCCAGGGTCCTCAACGGTAGGATAAGGTTGGTTTCTCGACACAATATGCCACGAAGCTTTTGTATTTACCAAAGACGATTCCTCCGTGAACTATCTATTGTGGACTGGAATCGGCCCACAAAATTTAATATTTGGAGACATTCACCCACTAAGTCTAATTAGATAGTTCATTTGAAGTTGAAATGCCTTGTGAAGGCGAGTGTCAAAATAAGCGAGAGATATAAGTCAGCTGATGACCTCGTATTATAGCTTTATGAGGCCACTGAATATAATCCGACACAGTGGTTCATGTGACTCGTTTCCCAATGCAAATATACCTACAGCCTAAGGCTTGTAGGTATTCTCCATCCAACATGTTTCGCCCATCAAAAATAAGCTTTGGTCCTTGCATGCTATCAACGACAGTTCTCCAATCCAGGGACTCGTGAATGCGAATACGGACATTTAGGCCAGCTTTCCTTTCATGCATGTCGGGGGAATTGAGCGTCGGTGGTAAGTTCAGATTTGACGAGTCTCGGGGTATTGCCCGTAATGGTGTGTGGAAATCATCCCAATCTGTTACAACCACAACCGCATCTGCACCAGTGCATGCTTGGTATGCCGTTTTGCAAATTTGGAGTTGTCCCGGCTCGGCTTTTGATAATCTCATGCTCGAGTCAGCCAGTATTTGGCTTTCCGGTACTAGTGGATCATATACAGACACGAAAGCACCTTCTGCCAAAAGACCTCGGACCAAAGTGATGGCGGCCGAATTCCTGGTGTCGGATGTATTCTTTTTGAACGCGAATCCCAGAATTGCGATAAATTTCTTGCCGACGCATCCATGCATGTGGGAAATGATGCGCTCAAGAAAGCGCGCTTTTTGGTACTCATTTATCTCCACTACTGATGCCCAGTAATTGGCCACCTGTTCCAACCCTAGGCCTCGAGCTAGGTAAACCAGACAAGAGATGTCTTTTTTGAAGCATCCACCGCCCCATCCAAGTGACGGTTGAAGCATTGCTCTGGTAATGCGTCGATCTAAGCCGCATGCAGTCGAAACAAAGTTGATGTCTGCACCAGTCTCTTCGCAGATCGAGGCCAGCGAGTTGATACTGCTCACTCGTTGTGCTAAAAGTGCATTGGCCGCAAGCTTGGACAATTCCGATGACCACGAATCCATGTGAATAATCAAGTCATCCGGCACCCATTTTCTGTAGATTTCTGCTAGTTTGTCTGAGGCTTTGCGGCCAGAAGGCGTCATTTCACTTCCAATCAATATTCTCGACGGATAAAGTAGATCGGATATAATTGTTCCCTCGGATAGAAACTCGGGGTTGGAGAGGACTTCGAAATGACATGCGCCATTAGCTTCTGTTTTCAGCTACACTCAAACAAAAGTCAGAATTGAGACATCGGCTACTGCAAAGGTTCTGAGGACGACTGGAAGATGAGATGCACATACCAAGTCCCGAAGGGTACTCGCTGTTCCACACGGAACAGTAGATTTTTCAACGATGATCTTATCGGTCTTGGCTACTCGTGCAATCGTTCTAACAGCAGCCTTAAGGTTGGTCATATCCAGCGCGAATCCCTCCCCAGGGCCCGTAGTCTTTGTGCGCGTGTCAATGCAAAGAAAGATCATTTCTGCCTCTTCGATCGCGACTTCAACGTTTGTTGAGAATGTCAAGTTGCATTTGGACAATCCGTTTGCATGATGCCCTTCGTTGAAAGAGAACCCACGGACTGAATTGTGACCTCGTTCGCGAACAGCCAACAGAATCTCCGAGAGTCCCGGTTCGTACAGTGGCAAAGTGTCCGAATTCCATGCATCAATAATCTCTGGATTGATATCTACCACCGCAGTCTGTATATGTGCGCATTGGGAAGCAATGACTGTGCCTAATGGTCCCCCTTGAAGTTGTTAGGATCAGATGGCAGATCATCGGACTTGACTTACCAACAAATCCTGCTCCAATACAGGCAACCCTTCGGACCATGCTGTTGACCTAGCCAGGAGGGGACTTTTTGGGATTAAAAGATGGTACGCTCCGCGAGCAAGAAATTCGTTGAGGTGAAAAAAGAATGTCCCGCGAATGGTTCTACTTTACGGGTGTCATTTCAAGCCGATCGACTGATCCCGGCCAAGAAATCGCGTTATGGTGGAAGCAACCAATCGAACAGCAGAGACGGGTAGTTTGTACCACGTTACCACGTCTCACAAAGAGCCATGATGTAAACGCGCTTAGTCCCCACCGTAACACCATAAACAAATGCAGATCTATCCGAATCTCTCGGCGCCTGCAGGTCGTGTGGCGGTGAAGAACGCCAAGATCCACTAGTGATACTCCGTATGCAATACCAAATCTAGCCCTGGAGTGATTATTGGAGGACATGTAGATTGCCGATCGATTTTATGAGAAGTATACAGCACGAGACCACCAACACATCACCTGCGATGAAAATTTGAGATGGTAATTTTACCCTAACGTAATTCACAAACGACCCGCCCACCCCAAAACACCATATTATATGCTGTGTTTTACAAACTTTTATCTCAACAACCATCGCTCTAATTTATTACAATATAAGTATACTGGTATTGCTCGGGGAAGCGTAGACGGGGCTGTTGGGGGGCTTGAGGGGCGGGCGGAGCTGGTTGATGATTTGAAGTCTGTGGATGGGGGATATGCGGATCGGTCCGGTCGGGAGAGCCGGGCAGCGGCTAAGCCATCATAAAATGTTTACGAGTCACATTGATTTATGTTTTTCTCCAAGGGCTATCTATTTAACCTCATACTCGATTCGTCAAGCACCTAGCATCTCATTGGCTGCCCCAGACAGGAACCGGCTAACCGTCATTGTTCACCAGTTGCTGCCTCTCGTCGGCGGACCGAGGTTTCAAGTCTTGGGCTGTCATTGTCGGTGGCCACATCAAATACTGTGCCATATTCGGTACGACGCTTAGCAATATCAACCACACTATAAGTGTCCATGTCAAAGATAGGGCTGATCAGCAAAGCTAGGGATTTGGATAGTAATAAATTTCTCACGGTGAAAAGCTACGACTGTCGGCAGTATGACAAATAGATGATAAAATGTAAGATAAGATATAGCTGGCCGGATGGTGTAGTTGGTTATCACGTATCGTTAACACCGATAAGGTCCTGGGATCGAGCCCCAGTCTGGTCATGTTTTTTATGTCTTTTTTTTTTTTTTTTTTTTTTCACTAGTGCGGCGTTTCACCTATTGAGATTTAGCCAAGCTTATAGACTAGTCGATCCCGCTGCTTTTGAAATTCGCTCGGCTAGTCTTGGGACAAATCTGGCTAATGGAACCGCTTCCTTACGGGCAGGAAAAGTGAAGACTAGTGAACGGGATATGCCATCATTGAGATAGCCTCTAACCTTCAATTGCACGTGGCGTCGTAGCATTCTCTAAACCTCGTCCTGATCCTCGATAAAAATCTGAAAAACATACTACAGAAGTCGGCTACTTAGCTAATACGTCCCTATTCAGGACTGCTATGTAATCATTCGATACCGACTAACTAGTTAGCTGTCCTTAATATTTGACATCGAAGATCCGGACACTATAGACTCTCTCGTGGACACTTTTATACTTACGGTAGGAAATTCAAGCGGCTACGGTACTGGTGGGTCTGGTAGGGGACTGACCCAGAAACAACAGAACAAGAGACCGAGACATATAGGAGTAAGATAACCGCAGTTAACATATCAAATTTCAATAGTACGCTTTACCAAGAACGGCCGCAAATAATACGACAAAAGAAAGATAAAAGAAAGGAGAAGAAAATCCGAGAAATAATTTTTTTTTAAAAAAAGAACGCACTATGGATACCCTGATACACAACATACAGATCACCCAATATTCGCGAAGCCAGTGACGTGGGGAGAGGTTACGGTGGAAGTCGCGAATCTTTCAACGGCTTTGGGGCCGGGTCTGGGGGTTTTCAGACGGAGTGCCGGCACTGTAGTTTCACATCTCAGGTTGTCAAAGAGCCTGATCCGAGAATTGCATATTATTGAATGAGCTATGGAGCACTACTTTATAACTTATTATTGAATCTGCTGCCTTTCTAGCAATAGCGGCCAGAATGGTCCGAACCAAGTTCAAACTAGCCACAACCGAAGCACCCACTCCCAGCTTGATGTCCACAAGGAGGGGCATGATGGTCGAGGTGACAAGCTTTTGTGTACACTGCCACTGTACAGTAGCCGGGTGGACTGTGAACGGACATGCCGAGATTCCGATGTCCGAAACGACCTCCCTCAGCTTGATAAGGGCTCTCCAAGATTTGGAATATCATGCCAAGAGATTCAAAGCATGGAGGCTAGGCCAATCGGTGGTGCATGGGTCCGTCCCGGCTGACGGCCTGACCCTATTGATACGAAGAGTTACGGCACATTGGCACATTGAGTGTTAATGGAAATGAGTATAATTGAATTTCAAAGTGTGAATGTGAAACCGGGGGCCAAATGAGAAGCTGAGCCACTGACCGTTCAGAGGGCTCAGGCAGAACAATAATCCCACCCTACTCCACCTCGGTTGGGTTGGCACCCTCTTTCGTCTCCGTCTGACCGCATCCCAGGCATTAACCTCATTCATAATGGAATCTCCTACTAGAAATCCCGAGATGATCCACGTTGTCAGCAAGACCGACAATCGTCAACACACCGTGGTAAATATTCCTCCATCACTCGACCAAACACTGCCTGCCTCGTCGCTCCGTGCGCAACCGGTCCTTCTAGGATTGACGTCGAATAACCTGAGTTACGCCCGCGGAGGAGATCTACTGCATTGGTATTCCGACGCTGTCCTGCGCAGGGTTCGTGGTCATTAACCGTCACAGGTGGAAAACATATCCGGTCCCACCCACTACCCCGTCCGGATACAACGATCAATCTTCCTGGGGTATAGTCCCGGCATGGGGGTATGCTACCGTCACCGAGAGCAGTATCCCTGGAATCCTACCTGACTCCTTGATCTGGGGCTACTGGCCTACCGCAACGTCGCCTACTCTCCTGCGCTTGGAACCTAGGGATTTGGAAGGTCACTGGGTCGAGGTTAGCAGCCACCGACAACAGCTCATGCCTATATACAATCGCTACGAACAAACCCACCCTGACGAAGAGAAGAACCTGGATGAGCGGGCATGGTGTGCTCTCTTCCGAGGAGTCTGGGTCGCCGGATATCTGCTAAATGAGTACGTATTTTCTCCTGACCCGCGAGCAAGAGAACCAGTTCACCCGCTAGGCGCGGCGAGCAAATTGCCCTGGTCCGCGGACGATGCGGATCTCTCGTCGGCCGTTGTAATGGTTTTAGGCGCGTCTACCAAGGTCGCCCGCTCGTTTTTGTGGTGTCTATTCGATCGTCCCAAGGAAAGTAGACCGCTGGGCTTGGTACAGGTGACTTCGTCCCCTGGTGCTTTGCAGGAGGTAGCAGATAGAAAAGGCTGGCGGGTTTTGTCCAGGACATTGGCATACACGGAAATTGACCAAGCGACCAGATGGATTGAGGGTCTGCAGCCGTCAAAGGTGGTAATTGTGGACTGCGGCGCGCGGGATCATGTCCTTCATCAGATATGTCGGAATCTGCAAGGGTCGGAGCTCCGGTTATGCAAAACGGTTATTGTGCAGATGGGCGGTCAACAAAAGGTTGGTCTCTCTTAATCTGTATCTGAACAATTTTAGTTGACTCGATTTAGGTATACACAACCGAAGAAGTCCAGGCAGCTCGTGCAGCTATGCAGTCCCTGGGGAAGATCCAATACAACACCTCTGCCATCCAAGACACCGTGATCGACCGGGAGGGGGCTGGAACGTATTTCGGAAAGGTCTCGCATAGGTGGAAGGAATGGCTCGCAGACCGTGCCTCTGCCATCCCAGACATGAAGCTGGTCTGGGGACAGGGCATTGCTGGAGCAATGGGAATCTACGGGGGATGGGAGAAACTGTCCAATGGTGCAGTGCGCCCTGAAGAAGGATTGGTGTATGCCCTATAGAGAGATATCCTCAAATAATCGGATAGATTCAATCGCAATAATGATTCTAGCTTCTTTTGATTGAAATCTGTATCATTTTTTATAGAGAAAATACGTTAAAAATGTGGAAAGTGGTACTGTGTCGGAAAATTGATCGGCGAGTTGATGAACCACGTTATAAGACATAATGCTTAAAGATGGATAGTGGTCCCACGCGAGCCAAGATAATGCCTTTAAAGCTGTGTTCAATAAAGCTCAGGGTCTCTGCTAGAGCTAGTCAAAGAGTCAGCCCAAAGTTGCTGGCAGCAGACAAGCCAGATAGCGTCTCCTACCTTCATATTGATCATATTGATATGGTATATACAAACGAGCAGAGAAGATTGCATAAAAGATCGAAATATCTTACCACCTATAGGCTCAGAACTATCTGAGACTTAATACAGGAAATTAGTCACGCAAGAAAGAAGCCCAGCGCTCCAACTGCAGCTAGCAAGCAGCATATACCAGCGAGAGCCACCTGTTTTATGGCACTATTCTCATCCTCCGGGCAATAGTCTGGCGGCACTATGCCGAGGCATATACGGGCTGTAATAGAGGCCTCCATGCCTGAGACAGCGGCCTTGTCAATATGAACCCGACAAGGGTCCGGCGTCGCAGTCGGGGTAGATGTCGCCACCACCACGCAGGTATTGTTTGTCCATTTCCCGCCAGACCACTGCACACCCGAGGGGACCTCGAATATTTTGTCGGTCACATCTATTACCACGCCGTATTCCCCGGGGCATGCCTTGTTAGCTGTAGCAGCAATGAGATCTACCTTCGGGGCGGAGCTGTCAATGGTAAAGAAGGTTGCCCAGGTGGTCGAATTGTTGATCATTTTGGGTATGCGATCTGGGTTTTCGAAGGCCTCTTCGTCACAACTCTGCCAAGTCAGAGTCCAGCTCACTTTGTACGGACCCCCTTTCTCCGGATAGCTGATAAAGTCGTGTGCAAGATAGGTGTCTTCGGTCTAGTTATTCCAACCGGGGGTATGAGACGGGGTCCAAGAAATAGTCACCAACGCTAACTGGCATTCGCATGCGGGCTCACACCCGGACCCCTCAATCAGTTCCCTGGATTTTCGCCACTTAACTCGGAACTTAAGTTCACATAGGAACTACAATACACTAGTAGACATAGGTTGAGGCGCAGTGTGAAACCATTGTATCTACTTAATTCTAGATTGAGCTTTTGTATACGAGAACGAGAAGTATATTCAACAATACTGAATTTAGTATGTCGTGATGTGGCGTCAGAAACCCCCTCTACCTCGATGTCCTCGATACGAGCCTGACAAATGTACCTCTCCAGCCACGTGTATAGATGTGACGGGGTATGATATGAGTTGACCCAGAATTCAAGTTACCATAAGAAGTAAGTATATCCGTGGACATATGTGGTGGCGCACCGTAAGCCCGTCTTATATCTACTCAAAGTCTAGATTGAGCTTCTGTATACGAGAACGAGATGGAACTCCGAGAATACTAGATTTAAAACGTTATGGCCTGCCGTATTTGAATATAATATTTGAAATTGGATTGAGTGTAATGAATAAATTTCCACGTCCGTTGGAATGCTGGGACTGCCCGAGAATCAAGGATTTGGCTGCAAATGATCAAATATGATGGAAAATATAACGTGGTGCTAAAAATAGAGAGACTGCTTTTCAACAGGTATTTAAATTCTTTCCACGACGACTGCAGCAGGAATTCTCATATGCTCCTGTCCATTTTCTGAAAAGAGGTCGCATAAGAATAAGTGAGCTGCAAACAATGGCAAGGTCAAGTTCAAGCAGAGTCCATAGGGCTTCTTTCGATGCGCTCGCTGTATCCTGAGTCAGATTAGTTGATCAAAAAGGGTTCCCGAACTTACAGTACGAATTGTGCTTTAAATAGTTATTAAATTCAATTAGACGCAAAAGACTAAAAATGCAGACTCTATATAAATCAGCTTAGTTTCAAATTTGAATATGCACCAAGATAGTCTCGGGGAACATACAAACTGCCAATAGAAAAAAGACCCGTGAGTTGAATCTTATCTGAGACTGCGAGTTTTAATCGCCATATAACGGCAACAGGAAGAAATAAAATTAAAATATCTTCCACGAGAGACAGGCTGCCGATCGATATGTAGAAAGCTGTCTGTGAGGGAATACAATTTCCCTGGATACTGCCTTGGAGCCAGAAGTACTGAGGAGGCCAGCATTGGAAGATATTCACCAGTAATGAGGCTATACCCCAACCTGCAGTGAATATAAGGAGGATTGTAGTCGTAACGTGCAACTTTTTCGAAGAACCAAGTAGGTTATGTAGAAGGATAATCGTCGAGAACTTGATGAAAGCTTGCGATAAAGGCCAGAATGTCTGAGTGATCCAGAAAAGCTGTTGATCCGTGAATATTAGCATATTCTCAGGATCAATCTTTAAACGTCATCTTACCAGTGCAGCCTTCTCGCGATGTTCACTTCCCAGTCCCCAAATATCAGTTTTTCCTTCCCTGGCAGAGGCTGAGATGTAGTGTCAGCTCATAATATATTTCCCTTCATACAGAAAATTATCCTCACCAAGGATTGTGCTTATAGTCGCTCCGTAGGAGAAGAACAGGCCAAAAAAACATCAGGATGTCACCAATGTTGAGTTTCATGCTTGTAAGTAGTCTGCTGTAGAGACGCAGAAGAAAAAAGAGTGTGGCGATAGCAGCTCCAACAATGGGCACAGTTATTAGCACCGCTTGCCAATAATTGTCATTCGCCATTCAAGTTCGCTTTGCGGGATTTTGCAAGAACGATTTGAGTACCCACATCGTAAGATTGAACAATAGTATGACGGCCCAGGAGTTGGTGTACTTGAGAGTCCAGACCATGGGAAGATTTTTCCTGTAGATTAATTCAAAAGTCAAGACATTAGAATGCTCAGGGGAAAGGAAATAGGCTGTCGCTATCCAAAATCACCTGCACAGTATGGATTTGGTAAATGCGAAAAAATGTTGACGTCATTTTCTTCATGGGCGAACCAAACTTTGGAAGAGAATATTTCCTTATTTTTCGCGTCGGCTACGGTTCCGTCTGTCCGCACGTGGAAAGACTTCTCAATTTGGATACTGCGACTCGCAGTATTGATTGGCTACCTTATGTATGAGATTTATTTACACCACGAAAATCACTCAGGCCTTTGATCGACGGTATAAATGATGGCCACCTGGGGACCTTTGTGTAGGACACTCCAATCGAATTTATTATTTCACTTGCTTGGGAAACGAACACTACTATTTGACCTAGACCTCAGTCATGAAGCCATATCCTACATTTTTGCAAGCTTTGGCATTGGGGTATTGTATGTTCTCTTCATCTCTGTTCACCTCATACATTTCAACTACTTTGTATTGACTTGAAAGCAGGCTGTCTTGCACTAGCTCATCCCACTACCTTCAATCCTTGTGGCCAAAGTAGAGTCTCTGATAGTCCTATTCTGAACTACACACCTCGTTCGAACAGACTCACTGTTAGAGATGACGCACCGAGCAGCGATGATGACAGCCCGGGAAGGAATACAGCCATGCTGGTTGCCCATGGCTTCCTCATGTCTCTTGCTTTCGTCATCTTCTTCCCTTTCTTTGCCATAATCGTCTCTATCCCGAGTATTCCAATATCCGTGACCAAGGTTCACGCCCCTCTGCAGCTATCCACCCTCGCCATGGTTATTGCAGGCCTGGGACTGGGAATCAAACTAGGACTCAGCGGCGATCTGATGAAAAATGCACACCCGATTATTGGCCTCGTGGTTGTGGGGCTGTTAGTCTTGTTTCAGCCTGCGCTGGGTCTACTACAGCACCTACATTTCAAGCGAACAGGAGGCAAAGGCATCTTTTCCCACATGCACCGCTGGCTAGGCCGCTGTTTGATCATTCTAGGGATGGTTAATGGTGGCCTTGGCTTCACTCTATCGGGTGTCGGCCAACCAGGGACTCCGAGAGGAACCATGGTAGGATATTCAGTTATTGCGGGAGTTCTGGGGTCGGTATATATTGGGTTATGGTTGCTGCTCGCTATACGGGGGAAGTGAGACTGACATCATGAGAAGAATGCTTCAAATGCCATTTTCGGAGATGAAGACCTACCTATGCCAACCCACTTTCTGGGCAAACCGAGGGAGAATATGCCCAATCGTAACCGAAGCGATTCCAATATCTATTATTTGGCTCATTCTTACATTTAGTTTTCCTCGGATAGAGCCAATTCAGGTATAGACTAGCGGGTTTCAATATAGGCATTAGTCGTTCTCAAGAAAAAGTTCTTGTCGGATCTTGCTTCAAGATAAACAATTCCTATGTACTCTCGGGACCAGTTGATTCCATACATCGCCTTCGAGCTTCCCTGAGCCTTTTGTATATTATCTCCCCATTCAATTTCCTTTCATTGGCCAGCCAGGTCATAGTGATTAACTTGCCAGTGGCACGCTGATGAAGGATTTCCCAACTCTTCGCTGTGTAAATAATTTCCCAAGGATGCGGGCGAAATATCTTCGTGGGACGTGTACGGGGTGACAGCCCCCTGGGATAGCATTGGAAGGTGAATGATTTCCATGGAAGAGGAGGGTGGAATTGAGTCGGAGGCCATTCTGTCTCGGCCGGACCAGAGAATTTCCGCTGGCAGTGTATTGAAGCGTCGCTCGTTTCATTGTCGATGTCAGGGATCCTCCATGGTACCAATCGATTTTGTTTGTGTCTCTGGTCCGTCTGTGCTTGCCGTCTGCCCGAGTCTCGGGCAGTTCCTGCCCTAAGGGTGATTTCGCCTTGTTCTTGATACTTTCGTTTCTCTGATATTGTCGAGCTGGAACCCAGTGGAGGTTTTGGCTTGCCGAATTTCTCGACCACGTAGCGATTGTGGTCGCTAACAGCGCGTTTTCGATATTGTCCGCCAATTCCGGACCTGGAAATGTTGAACCAAAATTCCACAAAGTTACCTTCTGCGCATTCATCGTTCTCAACACAGGGCAATGCATTTTTGAAATATGCATGGGCTGCAGCAATATTCTCTCGCTTGAACTCGATTCGACCCATCCAGTAGTAACAGCGCGCGAGAGTCACTTTGTCCTCCAGCCTTTGAGCAACCTCCAGAGCCTTCTCCGCTTCCTTCATGCCGAGGTCGAAATTTGAGCTGGCGAGGGAGTTGATGACGGTTTTGAGTATCACGGAGATTTCGAACACCCTCAGTCGCTTGATAAGGCCGGAGCGGGGCGAAGGGATCCGTCTCGACGTCATTTTCTGGACAACTTCATTACGACGAGTGCGAATTTGCTTCAGGTTGTCCTGAATTTTGGTGAGTTTGCGTCGGGCCTCGACTTTGACTGGGTCGACGCGTGGTTTGACTGGCCACTCCGTGGTGTAGTCGACATAATCCAAGAAATCGTCGGGTCGATCTTGTTCATTTGGCAAGCTTGGAAGGGACTCCTCGGCGGAATGCCAGGCGAGGTCGTCACAGGATGGATCATTGTAGTGAGCCATTTTGGTTTTTCGATGAACTAAAGCAGGTAAGTTGTCTGGAGAGTGGTCAGTTGGGGCTTAAATGAATAAAGTATCAGTCAAGGGAGGCGCAGAGCACTTATCACTGAGTGCCTGGAAAATATTTGGGCTCAAAGAAAAGTGATACTAGTGACAGAACATTTCCCATTGGGCTTTGTATCGAAGCGCTTGTTTGGGTAGACAAAACAAAGCAATGATACCGAATATGCGGATTTTGTTCGCCTTTGTTCAGGCCTCAACATAAAACTGTTTAAGACATGTCATGATGGGATATTGTTACACTGTTCCATCCTTATTACTGGTTTCAGGTAGTGTTTTCACAACAAACCCATTAAGTGAGGCGGAAATCAAAGTTGACACACCACCCAGCTGTTGGGCAGCTACTGGGCCTTAGACGACTACGAAGAACACAACTAAGGCAGTTGCAGAAGTTGGAAGATATAGCTTGGCACTTATTCAACCCGACAAGTGGAATTTACCCGAAACTGCCCAAGGCTTAGATACTAAATAATTTTGGTCACGAGAGTTAATCAACTTTGACTGGATGATGACATAACATAGATATGTACCAAGATAATATCCTCTATAAAACTCCAAAGTAACAAGTCCTTGTACGTATTAAGACAAAAGAAAAAAAGGGGGTCGGGGAAATCGCTTTACATCCCGGACATGGTAGATCTTAGGACAGCCGGAAGAATCACCACCTTGAACCGTTAGAAAAGATGGAAAGTTTTGATAAGCCTGAGCTTCAATTTGACTTTGAGCTCACACTACCTCGGCAACTGTTAGTGGGACGAAGGGAGGCCGTATCAGAGCTAGCATATGCAGTAGCCTCACGCGCGGCTATGTCCACAACTACTTGTTGCTGGAATGTTCTCGCTTTATCATGATAGTGCGGAATTTCCAGGGCTCGTGAAAATGACAGGTAAGCTTCAGAGAGGCTGCCAAGCTTCAGCAGATTTCTTCCTTGAATAAAATGGGCAATGCCAACAATGTCCCAAGAGCCGGTCCCCAGAAACATACGGCCATGCATGTAGCCATTAGCAATAATTTGCAGGATGGCATCCACCCGCTGATTAGAATCCTCATATTTTTCAAATGAATGCAAGACCGCGGCAATAAAGGCCCGGCAGCGCATTTCCTCACATGGGCGAATTAACGAATCGATAGAGTTGGAGCCGTCATCGACGCAACTTTTGACATACTGGAGTGCAGAGGCGGGGTTTCCGTTCTTCCAATGACGTTCTGCGTCTTTGAGGCATTTAATATCATGGTCAATGCAGAGCCAGATGTCTTGAATCCAAGATGAAGTAGGGTTAGACCTGGGGTTGAGCACCTTAATGGGCATTGGGCTTCTGTTCATGTCGGGCCGAAATGACCTCACTGTGGAATCAATTTCCCGGACTTGAGAATGTGCGAGGAGGAAATCGTACTCTGCAAGTTGCCTCTCCTGGGCGTCAATAGTTGCGGTGGCTTCCTGCAAATTTCGACGAAGTTCAATATTTTCACTTTCCAGCTGCAGGGCTTGCCACTTGTTTGGAGACTGTTTTCTCTGGGTCTCGGCAGGATGCTTGCGCTTCCAGTCTCGAAGAAAGCCAAGGCCGAAGATCTTGAAAGCCATATAAGTAAGAGTTGGAGAGGGTAAAGTACGGGATACGGGCAAGAAGCAACTTTGCTGGGTTCGTTGGTAGCCAAGAATCCTAATGAGCTTTTAGCGAGATTTCGAAGGTTTTTATATTCATTTCTTTCAGTAGGATTGATGGTATTGTCCTCGGGCTCTTTCTTTTGGAAAAAGAAAAAGCCTTTGTTTGGCACGACGCCATTGTGTTCATTGTTATGTTACAGGAGACCCTTGAAACTTCCTCAACGGGGACGAGGCAGTAAGAGTGGCCCGAAACAAGACAATATTCGGGTACAGCAATATTTGAGACACCGGATATCACAAACATGCGTCGGAGGCCACGGTCCCGAGATTTCTTGTAGATTCGGGATTGATTGGTGGAAGTTCGCAATTCCGAGAAAAGCATCTGTAATATCCATGCTATATTAGGACGTTGGTCCTCCAACGGTGATAGTGAGAAGTGTGGGATTCGGATCATGAAGAAGACCCGACACATCCAGCGCGCCATCAGGAGTCACGTCATCATAAGGAAAAGCATATCCTTTCCCATCAACCGCATACTCGTGGATGATCTTGCTGTACCAGTTTGTCGGTGATTTCGTGTAGTAAAAACTTGCGTTGAGGCGCGGTTGCACATTACCACCGCTGAGTAAAAGGGTTGACCGGTCAAATGCGGCGCAGAGACGAGGCACGATGGCTCGATGGATGGCATTATCCGTGGTATTAATTGCAAATGTGCCATTGTTGCATCCAAATATATCACTGGCGACTGGCTTTGAATAGCCTCGGTTGTCGCCTGAGCAGGTAAACACACCGTTTGACACTGTACAGTTTATCAGGCCAGCTTGAGATTGGGTGTCAATTGTCAGGGGTGTAGTCTCATATGTAGACCAGACCTGAGAGACGTAGTCCATCCAGTAGGAACTAAAAGCGTGCGGATATAGGTTCGTGTAGTCGTAAGGAGAAATCACGCGGACAATATTGCCCTTTTTGTCAGTCATGCAAAGCTCATTCCAGGGCTGGCCGTCTGAGTATGATTGTGCTGTCAAGGCAGCGCAGATAGATGATAAAGCATTCGCAGTCACGCCGAGAGCTGTTTGGGTGCCGCCACTGCCCTGGAGCTTGATACCAAGTGGGAGCCCAATGAAGTCAACATAGCTGAGGTTGACCGTAATTCCAGTAGAATCTGTTGTGAGCTCGACGAAACCCCAGTTGACATTCGCACTAGGATCGTCTGAGTTGACTGCAGATGGTTGGACAAGGGATAGAACACCAGTGGCAGCTAGCACGGTAAAGAAACTCAGGTCACCGTCTGCGACCCAAACGCGACCTGAAGACACATAGGCCGGAAGTGTGATAGAAGTGGTCGTTCCATAGGGACCAATAGGAATGGCAATGTCTTCCGTGATTTCTTTAGGAATTCTGGCTCCGCTGTTTATTGGAGGAGTGTACCAATTCCCACCAGGTGTAAGTAGGACAATTTCCCCGTTGGAATCAAGTCCGGTGACATAGACTTTAATACCATCACTTTTGAAGTTGTTGTACACTGAGATTGGGAGCTCCTCAGATGGAGCAGCTGGCAGGGAAGCGGGCTTAATAGCCTCGATAATAGAAATCGTCTCGTTGAGAGTATCTTGCAAAGTAATGTCAAGATCATTCGCACTAACAGGGTGGATTATGATAGGAACGGCCAAAGTATGACCTGTAAGTGCGGCGCAAGTTGCGGCCGCAAGGCGTGGGAAGACACGCATCGTCAATCAATGACTGAAGCGACATACCCCAAATAAATATTTGGAAGAGAGAAAGAAGCGGAAATGTTGGAATAAGCAGGGTCTGTGTCCATGATGGTTTGGAGTAGATAGATCCCAGGAATTTCACCGCAAGATCCACAGATATTGAATAGAAATTCCTGAGATGGGCAAACTTTTTGTAAATAGAGAAAAAGACAAACCTTCTTTCCTCTCTTCCACCTAGTATTTACGCCCTTGCATGTCTGAAGGTGATCTTGCTTTTTGTTGGTTAACATCAAAGATTACATACACATACACCACCCGGGAATTATAATTGTGACTATATTATATCGGACACGAGGCCAATCGGTTAGGGGGAGCGGAATCTCAGCACCTACCCAAGCATTTCAGGAGCTATCTTCATTTTTGTTGGCATACATTCTGGATGGCATCCCTCCACATTCCGACACGCCCAGACCGAGGCGCAGCATTCCCTGGGCGAAGTGTTGAGTGGAGGATAAGTTAGTCGTTAAACCCTAATAGCGCTAGGCGCGTTGAAGTATGTGACGAAAGCTAATTTGGACGTAGTGTAGTCAGAGCTCACCAATCTTGACGTCTTGCTTTCCTGCCTCTCCGTCTCACCGTTTCAGGGCGGATTCATGCCACGCGCGCGTCTTCCCGTACGATCAAAGTCACGATACGGTTTAACAGGGGTTATCTGTAAAGTCACCCAATACGGATTAGTGCGGTTTATGATACGGCCTGGGAAACAATTCGTAAGTGTACGAAAGGGAATCTGTTTTCACATATTGCCGTAAAACATTGCAACGGGTCCATTTACTCTCCCAGTCTGTCCCAATGAACCTTGAATTTTGGTTATGAAAACAGACACATTACAGTTAGCTTGTCTTGCAAAGACTCATCCCATTCCTCGGTGTCAAAAGTACGCGACGACGAACTTTTCACCTTGAGAAACTAATGCCGGACGATTGTGGAGGGACGCAATGATAGCTTGAATTACGCCCATATCCTCCCATTGGTTGTGACACGACGCTTAATCCGGCCGACGTCTTCCAACCATGCCTCTGTCACAAGCTTGGCCCAGCCGCAGTCCTTCCGTTCTCTCTTCGTTGGTCGATCATGTATGAGTCGGGTGACACGAGTCATCAAATTCCTGCTTTAACTCTAACATCTTCATCCACCGGATGTAGTAATCAGCTCTCTTCAAGGCCTCGGTTCGATACGCAGGTGTGTTCCAGGGAGGAAGATACTGTGAGAAAACGGCACCCATTGTCAATTGCGTCGTTGTCCGCCCACCGAGCGTCTTTCACGCTGTTCGCATTCTGTTTTCGCAAGATGGCCGAGATGGTGCCCCCGAAGAGCTCGGTGACGGCTGCTTCCAGAGTTGCTGTCTACTAGCCGTCGGCGATCACCTGGACATATTTATCTCCACTCTGATCTGTCAAGATAGTTATCAAAACGAATGGTTGTGGTGTTGCATTAAAACACCATCCAATCGACGTCCCAAAAAGTGGATGATACCCACCGAAGATACCATGAGGATGACAAGCGGGGCTGAGCGTGGTCAGGTACCTATAGGGCGGCGCTAGCATGACCAGCTAACTTGCGGACCTCCGACGGTCCTGTTATCCCTGCAAAGTTGAGGCCAGAGAACCCCGAAACTTGGAAGGGCGATGGGTTTACTTTCCGAGAGATGGTTGTGTACGTATGCGGGGGTGAATCTGATTTCGAGGGTACACCACAGTCTCCCGATGGGGACAAAGGTAAATAGTGCAGCAGTTGAAGCAAGCGTGGCATACATGGCATGGGGATGGGAGTGGATAAAGCAAATGGTGCAAACAGGCTGGATAAACAAATAATGCAAACATGCAAACGTGCAAACGGTGCAACGGCTCTATGACCTCACAGCCGTGAAGATCCCCACATCTCGATCGCCCCAACTGGCTGCGCAGAGACGAGCGGAATTACTCGACGTCAGACGGGAGGTTTCGGATGAGTCAACCTCAGATTGGTCCAATCTGATAATTTGGAACCGTGCCGCACTTGGCTGATGCGCGATCTAGACTTGCGGGGTTCCTGGGTGCAAACATGATCAACGGCTCAAAACCGGGTCACGAAGCCACTCAGGACTAGATCGGTCATCAAGCCCTGCGTAATTACCCCGTTAGTCTGCGTTTTAGTTCTTTTAATTTGTTTGCATTCCTCGTGTAGCCATTTTTCCGGATGCTACTGGCTGTATTCTGTCTTACCTTGGATCCACTTCCCTGCGCTGTGATCATTCGTCATAGAGTTGGCTTCATAAGCCGATCGAGGTTCTCTCAACGCGAAAGCATACGATTGGAAGCTCGTTCTCCGAGAAGATTTTAAATCGGGTACCTTCCCCTTGTTACATTTCCACCTTTCTTGAAGCTACCAATCTGACCCCCCTGTATAGTGCTTTCTAGTGCCTACTAGTGCCTACGACAAGATGTCCCCAACGGCGGTTCTCAATGGCGACGCCGTCAACATTGTTAACATCCATGAGGATGACATGAAGTTCTCTCTCGAGGATGATTTGTTCAAAAATATCGATCCGCCCAAGGGCAAGAGACGTTCATTTCCTACCCTCTTGCTCTATGACGCCAAGGGCCTGAAGTTATTCGAGAAAATTACCTACTTGGACGAATATTACCTCACCAATGCCGAGATCGATGTTTTGACCACACACGCAAGGAGGATCGTGGAGCGAATCCCGGAAAACGCACAACTGGTAGAGCTTGGTAGTGGGTCTGTTGTCCTTGCACTCCAGATCCGTAGCCCAGAGGACTACTCGAGATTGGATCGCCGTGTCTCGTTCAGCTTCTGACATTTTCTAGAAACTTGCGCAAGGTCGAAATTCTCCTGCGGGAATTTGAACGGATGGAGAAGAAGGTGGACTACTATGCTCTTGACCTCTCTCTGGTCGAACTGCAGCGGACCTTTGCTGAAATTTCCCCGGAGAACTTCGGCTATGTCGGTCTTCATGGCCTTCACGGTACATACGACGATGCTCTGGATTGGCTGAAGAGACCCGAGAGCTGCACACGACCGACAGTTGTTTTGTCCATGGGATCCTCCATGGGCAACTTCAGTCGGTCTGAGGCTGCGGATTTCCTTGGTGGCTTTGCCAAAGTACTGAAACCGTCCGACTTTTTGCTTATCGGACTGGATGCTTGTAAGAATCCGGAAAGGGTTTTCAAGGCTTACAATGACTCCAAGGGAATCACCCGCCAATTTTATGAAAATGGATTGGCCCACGCGAATGCCGTTCTCGGGTTTGAAGCTTTCAAGCCGGCGGAGTGGGAGATCTTGACTGGTTATGACTCTTTCGAAGGTCGACACCAAGCATTTTACGTGGCGAAGGTAGATGTGGCCATCAAAGATGTCACAATTCCGAAAGGAGAGAAACTCATCTTCGAGGAGGCATACAAATACGGACGAGATGAGCGAGATGCGCTCTGCCGCCGCGCAGGATTAATTCCTCAGATTGAATTTGGCAACTCTTCCGATACCTACCGTAGGTCGTCTCTGATGTCTCGTGTTGACATGGTTTTGACCATTTTCTAGACATCCACATGCTGTCCCCTGCCACTATTGAGCACCCCACTCAGCCTTCGCAGTACGCGGGTCAAACAGTTCCAAGTCTCGAGGAATTCCAATCTCTCTGGACCACATGGGATATTGTGACGAAGACTATGATTCTTCGTGAAGATCTTCTATCAAAGCCCATCAAGCTCCGAAATGCACTGATATTCTATCTCGGCCATATACCGACATTCTTTGGTATGTCTGGCTATGTTTCCAACGTGGAGCTTCATACTAATAGTAGCAGATATTCATATGACTCGAGCTTCTCGCGGAAAGCCCACCAAGCCTGAGTCTTACCAGCAGATCTTCGAGCGTGGTATCGATCCCGACGTTGAGAATCCGGAGCAATGCCATTCTCACAGCGAGATCCCTGACAAATGGCCACCTCTGGACGAGATTCTGGATTACCAAGAGCGAGTGAGAGGGAGGGCACGCTCTCTCCTCGAGAACGGATCAGCTCTGAAAGATCGAACCGTCGGGGAAGCTCTATGGATCGGTTTCGAGCACGAGGCGATGCATCTAGAGACCTTCCTTTACATGCTGTTGCAGAGTGACAGAATTCTACCGCCCATTGGAACCGATCCTCCAGACTTTGCACAGTTGTCATGGATGGCGAAGAAGAACAAGAAGCCCAACGCCTGGTTCCACATTCCGGAGCAGACGTTGACGGTCGGCCTGGATGACCCCAACGACAAAGCCATGCCCAAAGAATCTTTCGGCTGGGATAATGAAAAGCCTCAAAGAATTATTTCGGTGCATGCGTTTGAAGCCCAGGCTCGACCAATCACGAACGGAGAGTATGCCAAGTACATGCAGGCCAACGGTCTTCGGGAGTATCCTGCTTCATGGGTACTCGTCTGTAAGGACGAGCAATACCCGATCTCCAATGGAATCACCCAGTCAAGCCCCAGTGCAAGTGAGGACTTTTTGGCCAATTTTGCTGTCAAGACTGTGTTTGGGTCTGTTCCTCTTGATCAAGCGCAGGATTGGCCGTTGATGTCATCTTACGATGAAGTTGAAAGCTACGCTAAGTGGATGGGATGTCGCATCCCTTCATTTGAGGAGGCCAAAAGCATCTATGCATATTCGGATAAGCTCCAAGCTAGTGCTCCTCGTGGCACTTCTAATGGTGTAAAGGTCGCCGAGCAGCGTGTGGCACAGATGGGAGCAATCAACGGTGCTTCCAGCAACGGTGCTTCCAGCAACGGTGCCAGCAGTTCTTCCTCCAACGGAGTTGGCCATTCTTCGCCATCTTTGTTCCGGAGTCTTGAAGGTTCTAACATTGGTTTTAAGCACTGGCACCCCGTTCCGGTCACACCTAATGGCGATAAACTTGCAGGTCAGGGTGGCATGGGCGGTGTTTGGGAGTGGACCAGCTCCCCGATTTTGCCACATGAGGGCTTTAAAGCCATGGAAATCTATCCAGGATATACCTGTGAGTTGACACCAATAAAAGTCTTGGAACTTTGTTAGAACAAATGCTGACCGGACTATAGCGGACTTCTTCGACGGGAAGCATAACATCATCCTCGGCGGGTCATGGGCGACTTTCCCCCGCATTGCGGGGCGATCCTCATTGTAAGTCACTCTTAAAGAACCTTAAAAGAATCTCACTAACGAAAAAGTGTCAATTGGTACCAACACAACTATTTGTATGCGTGGGCGGGTGCTCGTCTGGTGAAAGATGTTTCTCTGTAAATAGCTCCAAATGCAATGACTTCATCGCCGAGGGGATAACGTGACTTCCCCTCATATTTCCCAACTGCGCATTCCTACTTCAACTTCCTTAAAATATCGTCACTATGTCTTTAGAAACTATCACGACCATTTCTCCCACCACTAATGAGCCCGTCGTTACCCGCACCGGCGTCTCGGCGGAGGACTTACGACGTATTCCCGAGGCGGCCCAGGCGGCATTCCGCTCCTTCTCACAGCATAGCACTCTCGAACAGCGACAGAAGATCGTGGAAAAGGCGTTGGATGTTTTGGAGAAAAAGAAAGATGAACTGTCTCGCGAGGTCACCGAGCAGATGGGTCGGCCCATCGCCTATACCGGCGTTGAGGTCTTGACAGCAATCAAGCGCGGAAGGTACTTGGCCAAAATCAGCACCGACGTGCTGAGCGAAAAGGGTATTGTGCCTGGTGAGGAGGAGAAGGGTTTCCGGCGATACATTAAGCGCACACCGGTGGGAGTTGTTTTGGTTATCTTCCCATGGAACGTAAGTTATGTCTGGTAGCAGGGCGAGCGTGATTGAATTCCTAAAAAGCTATATTTCTAGTATCCCTACCTTACTCTCGTGAACAGCTTGATTCCCGCCATTCTGGCCGGCAACGCTGTCATCCTGAAGCCCTCGCCTCAAACCCCTACCATCGTCGAACAGATTACTTCAGCGTTTACAGAAGCAGGTCTCCCGAAGGACGTCCTCCAATATCTACACTGCGGATCTTTCACATTACTAGAGGCGTTGGTTCGCTCACCACAGGTGAACCACATCTGCTTCACCGGCTCAGTCGCAGCTGGCTTGGCCGTGCAGAAGGCAGCATCAGACCGCGTTGTGAATGTCGGTCTGGAACTCGGAGGCAAAGACCCAGCCTACGTGCGAGACGACGTGGATCTAGCCTGGGCAGCGGAAGAGATTGTAGATGGAGCGATCTTCAACAGCGGACAGAGCTGCTGCGCGATTGAGCGCGTCTACGTTCACGAAAAGATCCACGATGCGTTCGTTGCTGAGATCAAGAAGGTACTGAGCAATTACCGTGTCGGCGACCCGTCAGATTCAAAAACTCAGATTGGTCCTGTGATCTCCAAGCAATCAAAGAAGGCTATCTTGGCCCAGGTCGCGGATGCAATCAAGGAGAGTGCTAAGGACGAAACTCCTGAAAATGCTACGTTTGAAAACTTCCCTCTCAATGGCAACTACGTCAAGCCTACGCTCCTCACTGGCGTTAGTCATAAGATGACCGTTATGACGGAAGAGACGTTCGGACCTGTGATTCCTGTCATGAAGGTCTCTGGTGATGACGAGGCTGTACGCTGGATGAATGATAGCGAGTTCGGGTTGACTGCTAGTGTCTGGACCAAGGATGTTCCTGCGGCGGAGAAGCTCATTGAACGTGTTGAAGCAGGAACTGTGTTTGTGAATCGGTCTGACTTCCCTAGTCCGGTACGTGCATTACACCCTCCCCCAATTGGGTATACCCCCTCAGGAAGTGCTGTTTTGTTGATGATTCTTTACAGGACCTGGCCTGGACCGGATGGAAGAACTCCGGCCGCGGTGTGACTTTGAGCCGATTTGGCTTCGAGCAGTTCGTCAAGCTGAAGAGCCACCACATCAAGAATTACCCCAAATGAAGTGTGAATGCGATGTGAAAAAGTGACTATGTATATAGTTCACATTTAGAAAGGGTTCGGGCTTCATATCGAAATTGGCGGGCCTAACAAGACGTCAGGAGCGATGCGAATGACGAAGCAAAAAGAGAAAACAAGAATAAAGACAACGATCCTTGTCACGTCAACCCTTAAAACCACACCCTCCTGAAGGAAATTGGACAGTACAGTCCACCACCCTTGCGGAGACCACCGGAGTCCGAAGAATGGACGCCCTCCGCGAGGAAATACCGAAAGCGGCAATCCCTGGGAGAGAGGTGGAACTTTCGATGAATGGAGGGCCAGAATGCAGCAACGTAAACCAAACGGTCGGGACAAATATCTGGGCTCAGATGGCCCAGCATATCTAGGGGAACCTGCGTTGCGACTCGGTGCTCCACTACATACATACCAGTGGCTGGCAACGCAATCATTCTGCGGTACGGGTAGGGCAACATGGCGACTGAGTTGCCTAGCAGCCATGGGGTCGATAGTGTCGAACTGAATTTGTGAACTATGAAACTATCAAAGATTAATTTACGGTATTGAGTTTGCTTCCAACATAGGAAGTTGGTTCCCTGTTATGACGAAGCTGCTGATATCCCTGTGTTCCGAAGTTAGGGCTGGGTGTTCTGTGACAGCACTAGTCCAGGTGCCGGTACCATACACTCGAAACAGGATAATTCAGATTGTCAAGCTGCAGTGTCGAGTATCTCGTCTTAAGGGAATCGACTCTTATCGTCGCCAAGTTGGAATGCGTTCCCGCGTCAAGTTTGCGCGCCGGGGCCGACCGGTGTAGCCTTTGTGAGGTGTTGGATTCGGCATTGCTCCGAAGCAAGGGAGATGCGAAAAAACGAAAAATACACGAACCTTTCTGAGCCTCGCTGCCCGCAAGGAATAAAATTAAGCTTTCGTAGTTTGCGCTGATTCTTATGGTTTTCATGCGGCGATACCTGGGCTAGGGACCTAGGTCCACAGTGTCCACAGAGATGAAGGAGTCATTGTATGGAAAGTGAGTGCCCCTTGTACGGGAATAATGGACTGAGCTAGGTAGGCACGAAGAATTAAGGGGTTATTTACAAGGAGATCTTACAATTATGAACACAAAGCAGTGGTCTGTGGCCTAGAAGACTCGCGCCTCAAGCAAGTATACCGAAGTGTAAACGAAGTCGGAGCATTATCGGCTGTAGCAGTGGAAAGACAGCACATCCCACCCAACCGGCATTAGCTTTTTGATCATCCCTGTCAGTAACGAATTCAGGATCGATCGACACCGCGAGCGATACGCGATCGACAGTGCATTACGATAGGCATTGACTTTGCCCTTGCCCACAAAGCGACAGGCAACAATGAACTTAAATGGATTCAGTTGTATTGAAATTGGTCATATTCTCCGACCAAAAGTTGCCACTGAACTCGAAGGGAGGCTCAAGGGTACTCGCCTTGAACCGGCAGTCGCGCTCTCCTTTCATGCGCATATCCGATCCGGCAAACGCGCGTGTCTCGACGCCGTCCCGATCGAAACATCCTGCAGGGACGCAGACCTTAGAAAGGGAAGTAATAATTTGGACTTGCAACCCGAACAGGGACAGGAATGAAGTATGGCGTTTCTGGGGCACGAGGCGAGACTGGGCCTCTCTCACCCTTTTTACTCTTTTTGGCGGACTCTCTCCACTCTCTCCACTGGATGTCGAGTGCTTCTCAAGCACGGGTTGCCGTACATTTTCTTCCCTGCAGCCTGCAGTCCATAGTGGCCTTCCCTATAATGGGGCGTGCTGCACCGATAGCTGGGGGACTCGGAGATTCAAGGGACCGTGGCTGTACTCCGTAAAATTCATGGATGGTACCTGCATATTGCATACCGAAATAAGTACCAAAGGCTCCGAGTAATCGGCGCTTTGATATCTCATAGCCAATCCGGTATAGGCCCAGGAAAAGCTAGACCGTAGCCGCAGGGGAGAAACAGACTGGAATGTGTCACAGACCCATGAAAGGGATTTGCCAGGCGATTCCTCCCGAGTCCCGTCACCGAGTGGCCCTAGCCCATGCCACAGGTTACTTTAACCTGCAGGAGCGGGGCTCGTTCATCAGTCCCTGACAACCCGGGGTTAGTATGGATGTGCATACTGCAGGCGTCTGGCACTTGGCTCGGCACTTCCTCTATATGTACCGTAGCTTGGCCGCATTTGAGCTTTTTCTCTTTCCCAACCAGCCCATCAATGGCATAGCGTCTGCAGCTCAGTCTTGCTTTCTTTTCTTTCATTTTTCGGCATTTTCATCGCCAGTCTCTCGTTTCGCATTGTTTGTCGCCCTTTAGCATTTGTTTCACCACCGAAGCGTTACGTTTGTCTTTCATTGTCCTCAACGACCGAGGTCACCCATCTTTCCAACCCGATCGCGAAAATCGATATCGCCCTCCATCAACGCTCGTGGATCTCACATTCGATCCACGGTTCAGCAATACCACAATCAAAATGGAATGCTTTCGACAAATCTATCGGTGCATCAAGTCACCATTCAACCGTGACAAGGGAAAAATCCTTGAAATTGTACGTTGATCTCGGGTCGTGCTGCTTTTGGAGAGACAGACTAACAGAACTTCGTGCATAGGGACCCCCAACCAACTTCCGCAAGGAAGAACTGCCAGCTTGCTTCTCGGACGCCGAGTCAGTCTTGTCGCCCAAGCAAAACCCAGTCGAGCTATCAGTTCTGACAAAACCATCACAGCACCCTGACGTCCCAGAAGAGCCGCGAAACAGCGAAGGACGATACGATCATCGAGATGATGGAGCAGCCGCCTTCGGCCAAGGAGAAGATCCAGAGCCACGTCCGGAGGATGAGCGTCAAACTGTCACGACCCGGTTCCGAGACCGTCTGAGACCATCGCGGTGGCTTAGCCCTGTTCGGTCATCGACACCAGCGAGTAGCCCCGAGAGAGAGGCCGTGAACGAGCTGGAAATGTACACCACAGCGGAAGAAAGCCCGAAGGATATTTAGATTGTATCGCTCGGGATATAATGTGTTTTGAGGAGGATTGTGGAATGTACTATCACATCAAAAAAGTTGGAACGTCATTATAGCGGGATTTCTTGGACTCCAAATTGTTCTTTCCGGTCATGACCTCGGGCCTTTGGTTTGTAGAGGCTGGCTTGCTTTCCTTCGCAGAGATGGAAGTGTTGGACCGAGATAGCTCTGGAAGTTCATCGAGGCCGTCGAATAACATTTGAACTTTCGACTTAAATTCGTGTTTCGGTTTGGCGCTTGGCCGCGGTCTTGATTTTCCTTTATCTATCATAGATGTGCTCTTGCCATGACTTGGTCGAACCGGAGGAGTAGTTGATCTTTCTGAGCTTTGAGCTGGAGCCTGGGTTTCCACTCGTCGTGAAGGCATAGTAGTCGCGGAAGTTTGCCCATCGAGGTCATCGTCTTCGCTCGACGCCGTCTCCTCATCAATCTCGACGCGGTGTGATTCTACAGCTCGCGATAAAGAGCAAGCCTGAGATCCACTGGCCATCTGCCTCCGATCGCTCTGTGAACCATGCGCTTGTCCAAAACCCGCAGCAGCTCTCGTAGAAGATTTCAACGTATGTAAACCAGCCAACGCTCTGGACTTCCTCGGGCTAGCCATTAAACCATGCAAATGGGTGCCAGCCCAAGTGTCGTCATCATCATCGCTATCGTCCTTGTCGTCCTGAACCTCTATCTGCTCGAGTCCGGCTTTCTGGCGCGCCGCCAGTGCCTCGGCTTCCTTTTTCTGCTTCAGTTCTTTTGAAATTGGTGTTCTGCCATCTGTGGGCCTAGCTATCGCTGCGATCTCCGCGGCACCTTGAGCCTTTGCTTCCTTTTTCCGTCGAACGTATTCCGCATAGTGCAAGTGCTGAGTGAAGGTTTGCGCAATGGCGTAGAATTCATCTTCGACCATAATCCAGGCATCATCGTGATCTAAGCCTTCAATAAGGAATCTGCGCGGTCTCTGTTAGCATCTCCTATCCATTTGGAGGTATTGAGGGTCTGGGCGCACTCTTCGGAGGGACATGGCCGGACTGGAGACGTAGGTGGACTTTGCGCTGAGTGAGGGTCATGATTAGTTCAATATCTCGCGGTCTGTTCGACAGAATGGTACACACAGGATCTAAAGAAGTCGCGCTTCTCTACCGGAGGGGCTTTGGGTGTTTTGTCGGGGTCAGAATTCAGCTCCCGCTTGACGCGCTTGCGCGGGGTGAACTCCGGTTTCACGCGCGTTTCATTCTTCTGCTCCAGCAGCCACGGTAAAGTCCGAGGCATTATGCTGCAGTGAGCAACTTCTGAGAGGTTGCGTGAGCCAGTCCTGGTTCGTAACTGAGAGTTTGGAGAAAAGGAGTTGTGATCGCCGATAAGATGAGGTCACCTGCCGCGATTGACCCTACACAAGATATCTACACCTCAGGTACACTAGCATTCGAAGTTGGCTCCCGCGTTTACATAAGGAAATTATTTCCAGTCCTATACTAAAATAATGGTGCAAATGACTAGTCCGCATCTGATCAGTGCTGTACAGTTTTGTTTGTCAAGACTTGAAGTTAAAATAACCGACAGGGTAAAACAAATATGACCATGACCTGATATTATGTGTCTCATAGGTATACATCATTGCCCCCTTCTTCCGAATTCAGAGGAGTGTGTTTGGAATCCGCACCGCTTTTTCATCAATCGTCGAACGGAAAGACATACGCGAAATAGCTGCTACATTCGACTGGAGAATCATTCATGATGCGATATATTGGCCAACTTAGTTGCCACCCCTGATAGCCGATGTCGCAAGATGCGACGCCTCGTTTCCTTAGCGCCAATGGAATCACCTGATAGTGAGGCTGAGGATGGGCATTCAAGTATAGCCAACCTAGCGGCGAACTTCTGCAATCAGGGCCGGTGGGAAGAGGCTGAGGAGCTCCAGGTGCAGGTGATGGAGACAAGCATGATCACACTCGGCGAGGATCATCCGTTTACGCTATTAAACATCGCCAACCTGGCATCGACGTATACGAACCAAGGACGGTGGAAGGAGACCGAGCAACTCGAGGTCCTAGTAATGGAGACTCGCAAGACTCAACTTGGCGTGGACCATCCTGACACGCTCACGAGCATGGCTAATCTGGCGGTGACCTTCTGGAGCCAGGGCCTGTGGGCGGAAGCAGAGCAGCTTCAAGTGCAAATGATGGAGAAACGCAAGATCACGCTTGGCAAAGATCACCCAGACACGCTGACGAGCATAGCCAATCTAGCAGTGACCCTCTGGAACCAGGGCCGGTGGGAGGAGGCCGAGAAGATCGAGGTGCAGGTCATGGAGACTCGCAAGACAAAGCTTGGCGCGGACCATCCTGACACGCTGACGAGCATTGCCAATCTAGCATCGACGTATTGGGATCAGAGCCGATTCGAGGAGGCCGAGCATCTCTTTGTGCAGGTGGTAGAGACGAGCAAGACCAAACTCGGCGAGGATCATCCCTCTACGTTGACGAGTATGACCAACCTCGCTTTCACCTGGAAATCTATCGGCCGAAATGCCAACGCTATCGCTTTGCTGCGTGACTGCGTAGCTAAGCAGCAACGAGTCATAGGTCCTGATCATCCCGAGACTCTGGCCAAATCTAGTGCCTTACGGGAATGGGAAACGGCGGAACTGAATATTTGTGCATAGCTAATTGAAGGACCATCCTCACTTTATTGGCTTCTAATTGAGAGCCTTCGCTATGATACAATCATTTGTACGTTCCATTTGTCAGCAATGAAGCATTTATCATTTCCCTGGCTTTATACTTTCAACGGGTTGCAAGTGCCATACACACAAAGTCAGCGAACTATGGCCTCTATCTGAGGTAACCAACATCAAGCTTAGCGTGTTTCGGCCTAGTGTTTCAGAGACAAGTTCTTTGTTTGCAGGAAGCCGATCTCGAATGTTAGCGTACAGTACCAAGGACATATTCGGTAAACCTCAATTTGGTTGGGTATCTGCAATGATAGCGACATTTTATTTATGCAACAGAGCAAATCCTGTAAACGCCGGAAAAGACACCCCCGAGATCAAGGGCCCGGTAAAACGCCATGCAACCACCCCATGTAAACGCCAGCAGCCGCAACGAATATGTCCATTTATGCCTCCCCGGGTCGTTTGCTGTTGCAGCTGACGATCTTGACCCTGTCTGCCGTGACCTGGGTCTGGTTATCCAGTTTGAATGTCACATCCTTGATCAGGAACGTCCAAACTTCGTCGCAGAATCGGTAGGTATCGAGGTGACCCTGAAAGATGGAAAAGAAGAGCACAGAAGTCAGCCCTTGTTCCAATAAACCAGCGAACCCAAACTCGGTCGCTTTGTAGCTTGGTCTCGGGGTATGTCCCTAGCAAGACAACTCACCTTGAAAGTAAGCCTAGCGCGGACCTTGTCCGCCAGGACCTCAGTGACCACCCGGTCAAAGGTCGAAAGAATCTTCATAGCCAGCTGCGGCTCGATGCGGCCTTCGTTGATGAGATCATCGAGAGTATCGGTCAGAGACAGGCCGAGGCTAGTCACATCCTAGTCAGCTCCGAAGTCACCGGTTTGTGGTGGCCATCCTACCTGCTCCCGCGGTACAGCTCATAGTAAGCCACTGTAGCCATCTTGGTGGTGTAGGTGGGCGAGTTGGAAGAGACGCGGCGAGGGCGAGGTGAGTGTCTAATGCTCAGTTGGGGAAGGCCGGTCGATCGCGGGGAGGATCGCCCACGTGAGGTCACGTGCGGGGCTCTTTGCTTATCGCCATTTACGTCAAAGGTTCCCGCGTCAATATGAATAGCTTCAGCTTTTGCTTGATACTTTTCAAATTAATACAGAATGGTGTTGCTGTTCTCTAGCAACGCTTTTAGGAGGGGTCGGTTGCCCCTCGTCCCGTCACGGTCTCTGAACCGATCCTTTTCTTCAGCCTCTTCGCGATTAGCATCTAAAGGTACGTCAAGTGGTCGAAAGAAGCAACGCAATTGCCAACGGAAGGTTCATATCATCTGACAGTACATGCAGATCATAAATCATCGAATTCTGAACAAAAGCCCGAAAACCCTCAAAACGAGTCCAAACCCAACTCCCAAAATAAATCCCCGACTCCAAACGACACCAACACCAAAAGCGTGTCCGAAGCCGACGCAGAGCTCCGCGAGCGCCTCGAGAAAATGTCCGGAGAAGGAGGCTCAGCCGGAATCGAATACGAAGATGGCAAACCGAATGCCATGAAACGCAGCGTGCGCAACAACATGTTCCGACTGATCTAAATGCGCCGGCCATTCCAAACATACGATACCGAATCATGAAATAACCCACCGCCTCGAAACATATCGGTGACGGATAAAGTTCTAGGCGCGCTTGGCTGATATGCGCCAAGGCGGGCTTGCAAGGTTCCGCCAGGGACTGATACTCCGGATTCTCGCCGTGAGGCAAATCCACGATCTTGGACAATATTTGGCTTCGCCGCTGTCGGTCCCGGGCAACAAACTCTCCGCTTACCTGGTGACTCTGGCGATCTTGATGTGAAGGGATCATGTGCCATTTGCCAGTGCATTCCGGGTACCTCGGACGCCGAGCATTCTTCATGACGCTGCTTTCAGTGGAGCCGCGCAATCAATCCGGGACTTATCAGTGATAGTCCTTCGATCATATCACGACCCGTCCTTGATGGCGTGTCTCTGCGAGGGGTGATATTTTGACCTTCCTAGGGACTTGATAGCATCATACTGACTATCGCAATCTCTTGGGTATGCTGGATCAGCCGTGTGAAGGGCAGACCCTGTAATGCCGGCGGGATGTACCGACGCAGTGTCTGATTGTGTCGAAGCTGGAATTTGATATCAACATTCCGGACCCCCGGGTCTGAAATCTCCAAAACGATTATACTACTATAGACGTTTTGTGTAGAATACAGGCCACAAGGGCATGATAGAGAACCGTAATAGAAAGGACTTCAGTCAAAAGAAAATTCCTTGCGGAGCCTCTGCACAGACAGAAATATATCGTAATTATTTCTATGTGGATCATCCATATCACGGCAGATAAAACAGGAGATTATCCCATGCGACACTATTTCCTCAATCGAAAAACTCCACCCAAAATCCAGACTTGCCCGAGCCAAAAGGAGATATTCTACTTGCTAACAACCATTCCAGCCAGAACGCCTGCACCAATGACACCACCGTCAGAGGCTTCTCGTAGAAACACCGACTTCCCTCCCCGTTGCGGACCAGTCCGCATAATAAGCCGATCGATGTGTTGCTGGCACATCTCCTTGAATTGCGGGTAGTGCTGGATAATACCGCCCGTGTAGGCCACAACCAGTTCCTCAGGGCCAGACTGCCAGTCTGCCGGTGTGGGTTGCAGGACTGGGACGATGTGGCCGTGGAAATTGTTGCTGCGGAAGTTCGGCGCAGCGGCTGCGTCGGGGGCGCGCATCTCGCCGTTGCTCTGGGGTGAGGCGGGGTTCTCGGGTGTGTTGCTATTGCTGTCTTCCTTCAGCTCGATTTCTCGGCAGCAGGCTAGCAGGCCGATCACGGCTGCTGCGATCAGACCGGCCGATCGTCTCTGCACTGTTCGAGCAATTTTTCGGAATGCGCTAGCGGTGCGGGCGTCCCAGCGCCAGTCGCTGCTCTCGGGTGTTGGAAGAGATCGGTTTAGTTCCTTTGCGAGGTCTTGGTCGGATCGGGCTCGGGCCACGTTGTCGGAGATGTAGGTTGTTGTCAAGGCGTATTCTTGAATGAGATTTGCAGGGAGAAACCGTTTCGACAGACCCGCCACGTTGGTCAGATAGTCGAACAGAATTAAGCGAATCAGCTCGCCGATATATCGACCTCCGGTCATGTATTCGAATGGCTGGAACCCTGGGCGTGCACAAGCCCTATCTAGCTCTTCGTCCCATTTGGTCGTAATAGCCAGTTCTCGAAGCGGTGGTGCTGCACCGGAAATGGTCCATTCGGTGTTCACTATGGTTTCGACGGCCGACGGCTCCATAGCATTGACGCTCTTGGCCTTGGATTCGTGTAGTTCACTGAGTTTCATCGGAATGGTCGCGTTACATCCAGTACCCACAATAATACCCATGGCGACTCGGCTGTTTGGTAAAGACTTGACTGCGTATGCGAGCGAGGCCAGCGTCGCAACAGTGTCGTTCGTGATAGCCTGGATCTTCAACTTGGGCAGAGCAAAGAGCTTCCGACGTTTGGATGAAGGCTCATCTTCATCGTCTGGTCTCCTTGTGTGCTTCTCGTATCCATTCAAAAGAATGTTCCGCAGGTCGAGGTTAGATGTGATAGCAAAGCCTTTACCCATGGGCATCAGCGTAGCCTCAGCCAGCGATTCTTGCCTGAAAATAGTTAGTACCGGCGCATAAAGAATCTCAATTTCTTTGACAGACGATTCAGTCAAATCCTGGGATACTCACATGATTGGGAAACTGAAGGTGATGCCCATATCCAATTCTGCAGGGATGTCTTTCCTGGTAGCATCCGAAGTCAGACTCTCCGCCACAACCTCAGCGATGCAGTCCCCAATCCACGCAAACAAGTCCTCGGCCTTGTCCATTTTCAGATGCTCCTGAATCGGCCAGGCTCGCTCCAAAGTCCTCTTGACTCGCTGGCGCTGGGCCTTGCGAATAGTGTGGCGCGACCTCTCCGAGGCATCCGTGGGCCGCACATCGGAGTCAACAGCCTCACCTAGTAATTCGATGAACGCAACTCGGAGATTACTGCCACCCACATCAATGGCCAGATATCGCCCCGTTTCTTCGCCCGTGGGCAGCTGAGTCACGGGTGTCGGCAAAAATTGCTGATCCGAAGTCAGGGCCAAATGGCGGTATGTACCGGAGAAGCGGCGCGCGAGTCTGTACAACACCGCCTCTTCTAAAAACAGGGGTGATAGGAAGTCGTCGAGTCGCTGGTGATACTCCAGGTATTCCCGTTGCGAAGCATCCAGCTCCAAGCTGATATCCTCTTGGTACTCGTCCTCCATCACGTCGTCCTGCATGGTGTCACGCTCCTCGTCATTGTCCTTCTCGGATATTGAATTGACGGATGCCATTGTGGTGAATGTAGTCATCACCTTTTTAGCGGTGTAGCCGGGTGAAACCCCAGATAAGAAAAAAATCCTTATCAAACGGCAGGAGGTCGTGTCCACGGGGGGAAAGAAGGGAAAGCCAGAACAGATCGTGCCCTTCACAGTACCCGCCGTATTCTCAACGTGGTGACGTCGGAGCTCGGGAATGCGCAGGTACCGCCGAAAGGACACGATCACAGAGGCAAGTACCGCGAGCGGCCCGAAGGCTAAAAACAAAGTCAAAAGCCCAAGGGGACTGGTGAAGTCAGTGAGGTTGCAAGAAAGGGACGAGGTGAGAACATTTTGGTGACGCGGTCAGGAAGCATTGCGGGGGAGCAGGATGACGATCATGCCAGGACCGAGACACCTGGACGATGATCTTCAGCTGTCATGGATTTTACGTACCCTGGAATCTTGCGAAGGGGGAATGGGAGACCGATGGAGTCAAGCAAAATCAAAATAAACCAGGGAATGCGATCAGGGATCAGGGGAGGGTCCAGGTATAAATGGCGATCGCCGTCTTGTATCCCTTTTGGAGTGCCTGAGGCACGCGTATACTTTGGCTTGGAAAATGCAAATGCAAATTCAAATTTAGAAAAATAGCATAAACCCGGGATTGTTTATGGTTCGGGAGATGGAGATTTAAATTGATTTTAACGGGCGAGAAATTAGCGTGGATCCGCTCCCTGCGCATGGGGTCCCTGGTATTGTAAGCTAGGGAGCGATCAGGTGTCCTCGGGCATCAAGAGTTTGTTTTACCTAGGTGGAAAGGATACAAGGATACACACCAAAGTAATGTGAGAAATTAGCCACTTTTAAAGAGAAGGATCATTGGAGATGCGACCGTCGGAGGACACGAGGCGATGTGACGTTGTTCTTTTTCCGGGGCGTGGACGAGTTGGAAATCCCGGTCGTTCTGTCATCGATTGGATATCCCTCTCCGTTTGAAACTCTCCCTACGCCTCGAATTAGGGAACAGACTGGCTTATCTACTCCAGGGCGAGGGAACTAAGAACAACGTGTAGGTCGATCGCGGTCGGAGCCGTTCCACTCTGCATCCTCATACAACCCCCTCTCCATTTATAAACGGGAACTATGTAACCCTGCCCGGGCCATCTGACGCCTCAGTCGCCCTGGTGGACATGATGTGGACATCGGACGCAAGCCCGCTACAACTCTCCCTCCTCATCTCCTTCCCCTCATGACTTCTTGGCCGTTCAGCGGGCGTTAGAAACCCGAGCGCACTGGCCGCGACTCAAAATGGCCACGAGGGCAGGGTAAGCCCCCGATCACGCTTGAAAAACGTGCCAAGTTGTCATATTTCCATCGCGCCATTCGTCGAGGAGCCCCATCGATCTGGTGTGCCCTGGAGAACTCGGAAATAACCGTGTGCATACGAAACGAGTGGGTTTGTCCTCCACCCGGGCCTCGATCGTTCGCTGGCGTCCAGCCACCGAGCTCCGTCAGCTTCCTACTGGGGCGTTCCATCCGAATTGATCACCTGCTCGTCGTCATTGGGCCTCTGTGCGCATTAAGACGAGCGGATGAGCCTCACGGAACCGAGCTGAGCGCGCTAAACATTGCTCAACCGGGGCGGGGATTTTGTTCGATTGACTTGGTTCAAGGCCAGACACAAAAGTTTAAAGCCTGGGGACCAACATGTCTCGAAAGTCTCCGAGATCGGAGTTGTATTTGAATTGGACGCCATTTCGGTGGCTCTTGGGAGGCTCCGCCCAAAATCTTAACCGCATTTTGCCGAGTCGATTTGGGAGGGTCGTCACTGTCGCGTGTTATCTGGAGCCGGCCCTTGCACGATGCTTCGGTACTTGATATCCGATGCTGGTTTTATCAGAATGATCGCTTTGACCAGTCGCGCTGTTCTACATTTGCAAGACAAGTTCCTTGCACTTTGAACACAGGACACTTATTCTGGCAAGTGTCGACGAGCTTAGGGTCTTAGCGGTACTTCGGTGCGCTGACCCATCTGATAGGGTCGCAGTGGATCCGGATCCGTGCTCTTAACTTTACTAGTTGCCTCAAAATCTGTGAGCGCTTGACTGCATCAGGAGATTTAACCGAGGATGGACTGACGTAACTTCATTGATGGCGTACCTGGCGAGCTTTTTCGAAGCTTCATAGATGCCAAGATGCCAATAATAGACGGGTGGTCAATACAGCCATCATGAAACGACTAGTCAGTGTCACTTTCCAGGGCCACTTAGAGTCTAGGTTTCACTATTTCCGCCAAGTTCCGTGCTTTTGAAAAGTACCGTGGATGCCATTATGCGGGACTCGACTAGATTATGTATCTACATAGATTGGCAAAAAGTCCCACTTGTTTTGACATAACAAATGAAACATTTTTCTAGACGTTAAGGCTGAACCTTTGAATGCCCATATTCCCGAATAACATCCAGTCGGTTTGCTGTGGCCCGGCGCGGGCAAACCACCTTATGTAACGGTGGCGGGAAGGAGCTAGGCCTCATCTGACTTCCCCACGCGCTTTTTCTCTCCCTGTGGACAACTTCCCATTTATCTGAATATTTCAACAGAAGCCATGACAGACGCCATGGAAAAACTACCCATTCACTCTGGGGATGCACAAGACGGTCCGGACCCAAACGGGGCACCTTCAAAGTCCCGACGCGACAGATCCATCCCGCCCCACCGCATCGTGATTGCCGTGGGCTTCCTGATCTGCTACTACTTGCTCATTAAGCTGTCACCGAGAATATCCCTATGGCCCGCATGTGGAACACACGATGCTCCGGGATCTGCAGATTCGGATACCTCCAGAAATAGCTTTACCCCTGATTCACCAGACCAAACATGGCAAGAATACAACAAACAACTACAAGCGGACCAGGAATCACTCCGCGACACGCACCGGGCAGACACCAAGGTCCCGCTTGAGGCTCACATCATGAGCAAGTGCCCCGATGCACAGACCTGTCTCCAAAAGCTGGTGCTGCCCGCCATGGAGCAAATCAGCGATAAGGTCAACTTCCAGCTTTCTTTTATCGCAAGGTAAGACCTCCCTTCTTCCAACCCGTGGTGCCACTTTGCTAACAATAAATCGTGAATAGCGTAACGAACGACTCCTCCGAGATCAAGTGCATGCACGGCCCAGGCGAATGTATTGGAGATATGCTCCTGCTATGCGCGGCGAACCTACCTTTCCATCCCACCGCGGACGAATCCCTACTACCCAAAACATACCCTCGTACCCCCATAATCCGGTCGCTAGGCTTTGCAAACTGCTTGATTAATGACTACGAGCGCATTCCGGAGCGCGAGCTTGTGCACCAGTGTGCCTTGGAACATGGGATTGATTTCGATTCTCTAAACAAGTGTGCCAGCCAGGAGAATGATGAGCCCGATAGTGGTGAAAACGGAGGCCCCCTTCCCAGCGGACTTGCTCTCCTGCGGAATAGTGCGCTTCGGTCATCTAGTCTCGGTGCAGAGATTAGCTGTACGGTGCGTCTGGATGAGAAGGTCTGGTGTATTCACGACAGCGGCGAATGGAGAGATTGTGCCGACGGCGGCAGTAACCCACAAGTCCTTGCCGATGAGGTCAACCGACTCTGGGAGGAGAGAAACTGAGCCTTTTGGTCTACCCTAATATTGATTGATACCCCTTCAGCACGGCCCAGATAATGAGAGTATGTGAACATGCAGCTAATAATATGGATTCTGATAACCCAAGGCCCCGATTTTTGCCCGTCTGTACCATCTATTAATGTGTTCTATTTGTTCGTTAAAATGCAATAGTCGGCTCTAGGCACTGCAGAAGCTTACACCAGGGCGAGAATTGCCCATTCATGAGCACTGGGGTACATCTGATGACTAGTTGATGGGACCATGGGGCCTCTTCGAGATAAACCCCATTGCTCATATCCCGATTTACTTGCTTCTCATCCCTCGGTTTTTGCCATCTACATCCCCACCCCCGCATAGCACACAGGCTCTTCTCGAGTCTCCATCTCCTGATCTTCGCCTCAGAGTTCTCAATTAGTTCATTTTTCTCAACACCAGCATGTCTGACGACACGCCCCCCGAAATGTCCCAGAAACACATGAAAGAAAGCAAGCTGCAGCTGGAATGCAGCCGTATCAGGGAGCCAAGCGAGATCCTCAAGAAGATCCTTGACGACCGTACTGACTCCAAGCTGCTCTATCATGCAATCAGACGCCATGTTTTCTTCCTCGTTCAACGCGGAGTGAAGTATGAGGATGGTGAAATCACTTTCTATGACAAAATCCTCATGAAGCATTTCAACGATGGCCTCCCTATGAAGAACATCGGCCTTCTGGAGTTGTTCATCGACAACTATGCGGCCATCAGGGACAAGAACTCGGCCGTTGACAAAGAAACCGCCGTTTGTGCCTTTCTTACTGCGCAGAAGATCATCGATAACGGTATGTCCCATGCATATCGCTCTATCATTCACAATTAGTCTAACCCAAACAGCCGGCCGCTCTCCTGTCAACGGCGAACCCCGAAAAGCCGTCTCTAGCCACCTTGGAGGCTGCAGCACTACCCTCGCCGACCAATCCGTCAAGCCCTTCAAGACTGATGACCGCGAGACGAAGAATAAGGTTGTCCTGAACAACCTCATCCAGGTTTACCACGCTGCCAAGGCCGATTACTACATCGCCGACGCCAACAAGACTGGCATCTCGGACAAATCGACTGACAAGTTCAGCAATGTCCGCTTCCTTCGTGATACCGCCGAGAACCTTCTCCGCTGTCTGAAGGCCGAGACTGGAGATCACCCCCTGGTCCCAGAGGTCGAACGCGTGGTCAATGCAAGCTGCGCGCACGCTGAGCGCCTGGCTGGTGGACGCAAGCGCATCTTTGAGGATCCTGAGGATGAACAGATCATTCGTCACCGCAGCAGTCACCGTTCTCACCATGGCAGCAATTCCGGCAACTCTCAGGCCAACCACCCCGGAAACTACCCCAAGAGACCACGCCACTCTCAACCCGTTGATCATTATCGTGGCGAGGCTCATCGTTCTGACTATCGTGCTGACCACTACCGCCCTGATGGTCCGGATCGCCCAGGTCGCTATGGTCGTTCTAATCACTATGATCGTGCTAATCGCCCTGACCGTCGCGAGCGGACCCGTCACGAGCCCATCAAGCGTGCTCTGAGCATGGAGCGCATCGGAGACACTCGCTAGAATGTACGCAATGAGCACGACGAATGCATGAAATACCCTGCTGAGCCCACCGAGTCCGTTCATCGCGCTAGATGTACCGAATAATCGTGAGTAAACGGCGAGCACCGTGAAGATTTGCACCAAGTCCACAATAATGCAGGCGAGAAGACATGGGATCTAGTCGCTCATGGACCGAGTCAAGCAATATTTTGTCGTAGCTAGGAGAGAAAAACAGTACCAATTTCATTTCCATTGTCATTCATTCTCCAACCTCCCATAAGAAACTCTTCAGCCCTGCGATCCGCCACGTGCCCCACGTGCGTGTTTACTTAAGCGCGTCCGGAGACCGATCACGACCCTGCGAAAAGCAGCGGTCAGGAGGTCCTTCGTGAGATCGCGGAAGGAGTGGGCTCTGCACTGCGACTTTGTGATTGAACCCGCTCCATCTTTGCCCCAGCATGGCTAGTCTTCACCTGCCCCCATCTGCGGGGACCGCTTCATCCGACTCGACCTCCTCGAACTCCCGATACACGCCGGTCTCGAACTCCGATGAAGATACCCCGATGTCAAGGCTGGGGAAGTCACCTGCTGGACAGCTGAAGCTGCAGACCGATTTTGGTGATTCTGTGGGGGTGGGCGGGCCTGTTGAGGAAGGGGATGAGGAGCATGGCTATGAGTCGGGCGAGGAGCTCGAACCGAAGACTCGGACAGCCGCGGCGCCGAAATATACACTGGAAGAGGAGAGGGAGGTTGTTAGGAGCTTCGATAGGAGATTAGTGCCGTTTCTGGCGCTTCTCTACCTCCTGTCCTTCCTGGACCGGTCGAGTATGTGGCGCTATTCAAGCTATGGGGCGTGTGCTGATTCGATTTTAGATATTGGAAACGCCAGGATTGCTGGAATGGAGGAAGATCTCCAGTTATCGTCTTCGCAATACGAATGGCTGCTCACCGCATTCTACATCACATACATCCTCTTTGAGTGGATGACACTTATGTACCGACTCGTTCCACCACACATCTACATCTCCCTCTGCGTGTTCGGCTGGGGCTTGGTAGCTTCGTTCCAATGTCTAGCTACCTCGTTCGAGGGTCTCGTCATTCTACGCGCTTTGCTCGGAATCACAGAAGCGGCCTTCGGACCAGGCGTTCCTTTTTACCTGTCCCTTTTCTATAGGCGTCAGGAGCTAGCCTTCCGGAACGGACTGTTCATTTCCGCAGCGCCGCTGGCAACATCTTTTGCGAGCAGCCTTGCATGGCTGATTGTCAAGTGCAGCAACAATGGCCCGATCTCTCCATGGCGCATCCTCTTCCTGGTGGAGGGGTTCCCGAGTGTCATCGTGGCCGTGTTCGCCTGGGTGGTTATCCCGGACTCCCCTGGCCGTGCCAGATTCCTTTCCCGTCGACAGAGGGTCGTGGCTAGGGTGCGGCTCGGGGAGAGCAAGTTGGATTACCAAAACTCACCAGAAAAGCCGTTCAATTGGCGAGAAATCGTCAAGACGGCTTCCGATCCCAAGGCATATATGGCTGCTGTAAGTTCTGCCCGTGGGACGAATCAAGCACAGCTAACCCGTACTCCAGTTCATGTTTTTCAGCTGCAACGTCGCATTCAGCTCCATGCCAGTATTCCTCCCCACCATCATCAAAGAGTGCGCATCCCATATCCCTTTCTCCGGTACAACAACCCACTAACCCCATCCCAGCATGGGCTACTCAACCCTCTACTCCCAAGCCCTCTCCGCCCCACCGTACCTATTCGCCTTCATCGTAGTCCTTGCCACATCCTACGCCTCCGACCGCACACGCACCCGAAGCCCCTACCTCATAACACACGCCTTAATCTCCTCCCTCGCCTATTTTATGATCGCAGCTACAGGCTACTTCCACACACACCTAAGCCCGGGAAGTCACACCTTCATCCGGTACATCTGCGTCTACCCAGCCACAGCAGGCTTCTTCTCCGCCATCACGCTGATTATTACCTGGTCGATGGATAACCGAGTCGAGAAAGAGGGAAAGGGCGCTAGTATTGCGATTCTGAATATTATAGGACAGTGTGGGCCGTTGCTTGGGACTAGGCTTTACCCGAAGTCCGATGGGCCTTGGTATATTAGGGGTATGGCGGTTTGTTCCTTTTTCATGGTTGTCGTTGCTGTTTTGGCCCTTGCTTTGAGGGTGCTTTTGCAGAGGGCGAACCGTGCGAGGGACCTATCTGCTGTGAATAGGACAGGACCGGGCGAGGAGAGGGATGAGCTTATGGGCGGTGGGAGGAGGGATGATTTGGAGGATCATACTGGTGACCAGAGGCTTGTTTATATCATTTGAGGGGCTTTTGATGGGCATTTCTTCGGCGTTTATGTTTGTTATTTATACCCCGTGTTTACTGTGGATCTTTACAAACAATGAATCTGAAGAATTTGAATAGCTGAATGATGTGATGAATTAAAATTGTGATGCAATACTCTATCAACATTGAAAGAAAAGGTAAACATCGCGATCCCGAGAACAAAAGTCTCGACAGTCAACGCAACATATATGTACAATGTCCGCCATGACAAGTATGTATTTTTGTCAAAAGCGTGATTTTTCAAAAATCAAAGATGCTCCGTACCCAAGTGCCCCATTAACGCCGTCGCCATTCTTTAAGGAAATGAAATCGTTTCAGTTCGTAAACTCTTTACCAGGCAGTGTGGCCACCGTCGATGAGGAGGGTGCTGCCGGTCATGAAGCTGCTAGCGTCAGACAGGCAGAAGAGAGCGGAGCCTCGGAATTCCTGGGGCAACGCCAGGCGACCGAGCATGTTCTCGGCTTCCCAAGTGGCGCGGGCGGCGGGGTTCTGCTGGAAGACTTCATCGACCATGGGCGTGATGATGTGGCCGGGGCAAAGAGAGTTGACGCGGATGCCATAACGGCCCCATTCCATCGCGAGGGAGCGGGCCAGTTGAATGACGGCGGCCTTGGAGCTGTTGTAGACCGGAGAAGTCATGCCCTTGTTGGCGATGAGACCGCTCATGCTGGCGACTAGCAGGATCGAGCCCTTCTGCTGGTAGTTGAACATCTGGCGGGCGGCGGCAGTGGCGGAGTGGAACACGCCATTGTAGTTGATGGACATCACGTCGTCCATGGCCTGCTCGGAGTGCTCGAGGGCACTCTGGAGGTGGTTGATGCCGGCGGCGGCGATCAGGCCGTCCAGGCGTTGGTTCTGGGCGGCAATGGCAGCGAAAGTGTTGTTCACCTCGACGCTGTTGCGGACATCGATGCGGATGTACTCGAGGGCACCGCCGTACTCGTTCTCGGCCTTGTCCTTGGCGGTAATGAAATCAGGGTGGGGAGTCTCGAGACGGTCCAGGCAGTAGACCTTGGCGCCGGCCTCAATCAGGGCCTCGGCCATGGACAGACCCAATCCACGGCCACCACCAGTGATGGCGTACACGCGGCCCTCCATGTCGAACTCGCCGAATCGTCGGGCATTGTGCACCTCCTTCTTGGAGGGAAGAACGTTCTGGATATGCTCGGGTCTCTTGTGTGAGATATTGTGGATATCCTGGGGGTTGAAGGCACTCTTGGTACTCGAGTAGAGACGAGCAGAAGAAGAAACGAGAGTGCGAGGAGCATTGATGGCGGCACCGGCGAAGCGAGTGCGAGCGGGAGCCAAGCAACGAGCAAGGTTGAAAGACATTGCGACGGTATTACGGGAGTCAAAGGCTATAACAAAGAGTATAGAAGAGATAAGGGTATAACAAAGAGTATAGAAGAGAAAAGGGGTATATTAGGAGAGAAGGAGGGGTCAAAAGAAGAAAGTCTAGAGGCAGAATACAAGAGCAAGAGCGGATGGATATTCACGATGTCTGGCAATAAGGGTTTATGTGTCCAGGGAGAACCGGAACGGTACTTCCTTGAGTAGTTTACCGAAAGCAAAGGCGAAGGACCAAAAAAAAGTCTGGAAAAGAAAAATCAAAAATCAAAAGGCACCGCATGACCCAACGGTTAGACTGCTTGCACAGCAACTCAAGATCTAGACAAATCGACGCGAGCATCCACGGGTTGGCTTGCCACAAGAGCTCCATTTATTTCCAGAGTATGGGGTTTGTGCACAATGGGAGGGGGAAATCGGGTCCCGAAGCATCGACCATCGATAGCCCATGATCCAGTGTGTGTCTTCATCGTGGCTAGAGAAAGGACCATAGAATTGCTGAACACGGTGTCGACCTTCAAAGGCTTCGATGGAATGACCCACTGCGGGTCCAAAGTATGGCCGATCTGCAACTATGCCCTTGCTGTACGAAAGTTCCCTGTGAGAGGCGACTCCCCGATCGCCGATAGCCAACAGTGTGCTCGGGATAGCGCAGTCAATCTTGGTGCAAGCTCAAAAAGCGGCATGCAAATCTAGACGTGTCTCGACTTCGGGATAGGTGCCACGGCTGGGGTTCCACCGGAAAAATCTGAGAAGCAAAGTCAAATGACTTGCGGAATGCCTCCACAAACCCCTCCTCCCTCCCCGGACGTTTATTTTTATTTTGGGGCGGGGCCCAGGCGGATCTGGTGGATAACGCCCCTGCAGAGCCCGGGACTTCCTATTCAGGCAGTCCCTTGAACGTCCCGGGCTCACCGCTATCGTGAGATTCATGTCCTTTTTTTCCCTCTTTAGATCTGCTCGTGCGGAGTTCTCCTTAGAGCATCGATTGACGGATTGAAGTTGGGAAAATTGGAATTGAAAATATTTGTTGAGAATCTGTAATCATAGTCAGAGCAAAAGATCGATAGTTCTCCAGAACATCGAACGAGCCTAGCGCCAAGAGAACAAGCTTTCGCCCCACTTCCGGCTTAGGAAATGTCACTTCGATCCACTATCTTTCATCCCACGAAGCTCGCTTTTTCCCGAGGCTCGAGGCCTTTCTCAGACAGCGATCAATCAAAGGATAGTAGATCACGAACGCGCTAGAAGTATGCCGTGCGAGGTCACCTGGTAGCGTTCGCGGGGACAGATAAGCTGTTTCATCGTTTCTGTGACAAATGCAAGGCCACGTCTATACTGACAATGCAGTGCCCAGTGTCCGCATGACTATCTTGCAGCGGATGCAAAGTCAATTCCCCAAGCTCCTTTGGTTCTTTTGTCCTCCATTTCCATGGCAAACGTCCAATCCGCCCGATCCCGTAGCAATCATAACCTGCGAGGGAAAGAGAAGAGATTGCATCTCTCCAAGGCCCTACTCCAATGCCAGGCCCGTAATCGCCGCGCCACGCAGGCTGCCGAAGTCCAGCTTCATTAGCAGTCGATCCACGCCCGCTGGTTGGCGCGGAACGTAGTGGCGGAACCCGGGGCCCGTGCTCGGCCCCGTCCCCGATTGTCCCGTTGTGGCAGTCCCGAGACTCTCTCCTCCCGATCGACTATCGTCGATTTCACGTAGGCTCGCGACGAGATCCTTCATACCGCTCTGCACGTTGTCGCCCGTAACTCGTAGTTCCTGCCAAACTTCCTGTTCCTCCTGCGCGTAGTCGACCAGAGCGTCTACCACTCCTTCGTCGGTTTCGAGATCCATATTACGTTGAATTGTCTCAAGGCGGATTGTGAGCGCCACGAAGATGTCCACACTTGTCAGAAGGGCCCGCAGTGCGGAGGTGAATGACACTTCCGTCAGGAACAAAGATTTCACAAGGCTTGACAGGTGGCGACGGTGGGCTACGGTCAGAGCCTCGGGGTCATGCCGCACCAAGGACGGTCCTGACTGCGAGGACGGTCGGCTCGAAGTTCGGTCCGGCGTGGCAGCTCGCGGATTCTGGGGCGGTTTGGAGGAAGATGCAGTCCCTGGTCGAGATCCAGGGGCCGATGTGGATTCGGGGATCCCTTGAACCCATTCGCGTAGGTGCTGACAGGACTCATGAATGACTTCCCCTTGGAAAAACGTGCCGATCTCCGAGAGAACAAAAAGGCAAGCACTGCCCGTTGCCCAAACCGGTCGCATGTGGCGGATCCGCGCATTATCCCTCTCCCGACTCTCTTTGAGCTTATTTTGACCGAACGCACTGTTACTTCGTGGCGGGCCCCATGGCGAGGGATGGTTCCTTCGTAGTGAGGTTCGCTTCCATAGATCTCCGAGGCGGATCTGGGCTCGTCGGATTCCCAGCAGGTATGAATGGATCTTGGAGTAGATGGCGATGTCCGAACCGGAGAGGAACAAGTCAAGTGGAGCGCGGACTTGCGCTGTCAGACTCGTGGGAGTGGGGAATAGCAGATCTTCGAACGAGACCGTGGAAATCTCAGGCACCACTCCTAATCCCTGCGGCGGGGTCGCTGCACGACCACTCTTTCGCTCGCTGATCGATAACCGAAGGATTTCCCGAGCCAGCTCGAGCTCCTCATCTGCCGGGTCTTCTTCCTTTTGTAGAGAAAAAAGCTCTGCCCAAGCCTGGGCCAGTGCACTCATCACGTCTCCCTCTTTGACTAGGTAACTTTGCAACGCCCCAGGCGCTTGACCGCGAGCCCCTCGTCGTCGACTTTCTTCCATGCGGGAATCTGCATGCGCGACCAATGCCACAGCAAATTCACCCCGTCCCAGCAGCAGGAAATTGTGGAGTAGTTCGAGCATCTCCAGAATCTTGGGAAGCGGAAGCAGCTTAGATAATGTGGATTGGGACAGCGAAAGTCGAATCCAGTCCACCGCTGTAGAGAGCTTCGAGGCCGAGATGGGTGATTTCAAGCCCGCTAAGTGCTCGATGTGCTCCTGGTACAGCGTCACCGGCGCCATCGAGATCCGTCCGGGTGTTTTCTTCTTCGCACGGATATGATTCAGGGACTTCCCGATGAAGAGAATCGACCCTGCCGTTTGCACGGAGACGAATTTCGGGCGTAGGTTCGGTTTCATGCTGAACTGGCTATCATCATCCTCGGCTTCGTCCTCGTGGATGAAAAAGTCCTCTTTCCCATACATGGGCAGGTTCCCGTAAAGCAGCCACATGGACAGCTGTTTCATCCATGCCGTTTCCGCTGCAGTCACTAGCTGTACCGCCATCTCCTTGATGTCGAGGTACCCAGTTTGGGTTTCAGCCCGCAGATGGTCGATCAACCCCGCCCCCGAGCACCCATACGAGCGCATCGCGGTTGGCTTCTCTGGCAAGATGAACTTGGCGATTTCCCATAGCCACTCCATGCGTCGCGTCCAAGGAGCAAATTCTCCGACCAGTGTTGACAATGGGACAATACCGTACCCGCCCACGAATCCGCTATCTTCGGCGAGAATTGCTTTTTCCACTTCGAGGATCTTCTTTTGGAATTCACCCAGGTGCGCCGTAGCGATAGTCGTGGAGACGGAGCGACAAATCACGGAGCCATGAGAGGAGGATATCTGGGAGGTGTGGTATCGTAATTGCGCGTGGAGTTGGCTTAGGTGGGCAACTGATCCGAGGAGTGCTTTCTCCGGAGGAGAGAGAAGGGCGAGATCATCTTGATCGAGAGCGTCTTTCCCTTGTGGAGGACTGAAGAGGGGGGATGGCTGGCCGGAGAGGGAGAGGAGAATCTCGTGAAGCATCCTGACTGGTGCTCTCTGCGCATAACGTTAGTAACAAGGTACGATGACGCGATCTTCTATTTGTAATGTACTCACCTGGCGAAATGCCTGTTATCCACTTCGGGGTTGGTCCGCTGCCAATATAGTAAGCCGCGTCCAAGAAGTTCGAAGCGACACATGTGAGGAGCTGCGTAGTTCAGACGCCGAGTATTAAGGCTTATAATAAGGGAGATGAGTAATGATGGCCTTCAGGGCCAGACAAGGGTCATGATCCCCAATCTCAGCAGAGTGACAGCTCACTACCAGAAACCCGCATCAAACGGAGCTTCGATCACCGCGGGGCGACGCGTCGGGATTAGTCATCCAAGCTTGTCCCTCTTACGTCGACGGTCCCGCTTCTCAACTGCCCTCCTTCCTTGCCTCTCCTCTACACTTTACTGGCCTCCCTGTTGTACAGCTTTAACATCCTTTACTCTGCGTCGTCGTCGGCTGCTCCTGCTCGTGCTATTGCTTCTCGAGTCTGATACCTGGTACGCTGGGCGTTGCAACTTGTTTTAACCAGCACTGTCGGAGGTCTTGCTCGTTGGGCAAGACTTTCACCCTCTGATTACCATCATTCCTTCCAATCTGACTGTTCGAGAAGCGGCTAAGTCGGGAAAGCGCAGAGCGTCTGAAGACGACACCGCAGCTCGACCTCAGAAGAAAATCATGACCGTATGTCTTGGACTCGGGAAGAACTACCGCATTGTGACTGACATAATCCAAATAGGACGTCACCATGCAAGTCGACAACCCACAGGAAACTCTGGAGGCGATCAAGCATGGGGAGATCGATGAGTCCCTGTACAGCCGACAACTGTGAGGTTCCTCCTGGTGATATTGATCGTATTGGTGATGAGTGGGGACTAATGACGTCTAGGTATGTGCTCGGCCACGAGGCCATGAAGCGCATGGGCTCGTCGAACGTTCTCGTGGTAGGCTTGAAGGGCCTTGGTGTGGAAATTGGTAAGTGCAAGCCTTTTTGAAGGGTATCTCGGGCCGTTTAATAACCCCTCGCAGCTAAGAACATTGCCCTCGCCGGTGTCAAATCCCTCACCCTTTACGACCCCGCTCCCGTTGCTATTTCCGACCTCTCCTCCCAGTTCTTCCTCCAGCCTCAAGATGTCGGCAAGCCGCGCGCCGATGTCACCGCCCCACGAGTCGCCGAACTCAACTCTTACGTTCCGGTTACAATCCACGAGAGTGGAAGCCTTGTGGCTGACCTGGAGAAGCTTAAGCGCTACCAGGCGATTGTTCTGACCCAAACGCCCTTGAAGGAGCAATTGGTGATCGCAGACTTTTGCCACAAGAACGGAATTTACTTGACCATTACGGATACTTTTGGTCTCTTCGGTTATATCTTCAACGACTTCGGAAAGAACTTTACTGTCGGCGATCCTACTGGTGAGGATCCCGTTAGCGGAATCGTTGCCGATATTGATGAAGATGGTCTGGTGTCTGCACTGGATGAGACCCGGCATGGTTTGGAAGATGGAGATTATGTAACTTTTACTGAAGTCAAGGGTATGGATGGCTTGAACGGTAGTGACCCCCGGAAGGTCACCGTTAAGGGACCGTACACTTTCACCATTGGTGACGTTTCCGGCCTCGGTTCGTACCAGGGTGGCGGTCTCTTTACTCAGGTGAAGATGCCGAAGTTTATTGACTTCCAGCCCCTGTCGGAGCAGATTAAGAAGCCGGAGCACCTGATCTCAGATTTTGCCAAATTTGACCGGCCTCAACAGTTGCACATTGGTGTCCAGGCCTTGCACAAGTTTGCGGAGTCCCACGATCACCAAATGCCTCGCCCACACAATGACAGTGATGCTCGGGAAGTTCTCAAGATCGCCACCGAGCTTGCAGCAGCGGAAGAGGAGAAGGTTGAGCTAGACGAGAAGATTATCAAGGAGCTCAGCTACCAGGCTCGTGGTGATCTTAACCCACTTGCCTCCTTCTTCGGAGGTATCGCTGCCCAGGAAATCCTGAAGGCCGTCTCTGGAAAGTTCAACCCCGTTCAGCAGTGGATGTACTTTGACTCCTTGGAGTCTCTTCCATCTTCGACCACGCGGTCCGAAGAAAGCTGCAAGCCTCTTGGCAGTCGTTATGATGGCCAGATTGCGGTCTTCGGTAAGGAGTACCAGGAGAAGCTTTCTAATGTCACCCAGTTCCTGGTCGGTGCTGGTGCTATTGGATGCGAAACCCTGAAGAACTGGGCCATGATGGGTCTGGGTACTGGTCCTAAGGGTAAGATCTACGTCACCGACATGGATCAGATCGAGAAGAGCAACTTGAACCGTCAGTTCCTGTTCCGCTCCAAGGACGTTGGTCGTCTCAAGAGTGAATGTGCTACTGCCGCAGTCCAAGCTATGAACCCCGAGTTGAAGGGTAAGATTGTGACTCTCCGTGATCGTGTCGGAAACGACACCGAGCACATCTTCAACGAAGATTTCTGGAACGGACTTGACGGAGTAACAAATGCTTTGGACAACGTCGATGCTCGGACATATGTGGACCGCCGCTGCGTCTTCTTCCGCAAGCCCCTCCTCGAGAGTGGTACTCTCGGCACCAAGGGTAACACACAGGTTATCCTCCCCTTCATTACGGAGTCCTACTCCAGCTCTCAGGACCCCCCGGAGAAGTCGTTCCCGATGTGTACTCTGAAGAGTTTCCCTAACCGTATCGAGCATACTATTGCCTGGGCTCGGGACCTCTTCCAGACCTTATTTGTTGGCCCCCCTGAGGCTGTCAATATGTACCTCTCGCAGCCAGACTACATTGAGCAGACCCTCAAGCAGGCTGGTAACGAGAAGCAGACCTTGGAACACCTTCGTGACTTCCTGGTGACTGACAAGCCCTTGACTTTCGATGATTGTATTGTCTGGGCCCGTCAACAGTTCGAGTCGCAGTACAATAATGCGATCCAGCAACTTCTGTACAACTTCCCTAAGGACTCCAAGACCTCTTCTGGTCAGCCATTCTGGTCCGGCCCCAAGCGCGCCCCGGCCCCTCTGAAGTTTGACAGCTCAAACCCTACCCACATTGGTTTTGTGATTGCCGGTGCCAACCTTCATGCATTCAACTACGGTATTAAGAACCCCGGTGTGGGCAAGGACTACTACAGCAAGGTGGTTGATGATATGATCATTCCCGAATTCACACCGAGTTCCAATGTTAAGATTCAGGCTGACGACAATGACCCTGACCCCAACGCCCAGCCCGCCGGAGGCTCTGATGATAATGATGAGATCCAGAAGCTGGTGACAACTCTGCCGTCGCCCAAGTCTCTTGCCGGCTTCCGCCTTCAGCCCGTCGAGTTCGAGAAGGATGACGATACCAACCACCACATCGACTTCATCACCGCGGCCAGCAACCTCCGTGCTGATAACTACGACATTCCACAGGCGGATCGTCACAAGACCAAGTTCATTGCTGGAAAGATTATCCCCGCCATCGCTACCGCCACTGCCCTGGTCACCGGTCTGGTGGCTCTGGAGCTGTACAAGGTGGTCGATGGCAAGGACGATATCGAGCAATATAAGAACGGATTCATTAACCTTGCGCTTCCGTTCTTTGGTTTCAGTGAGCCGATTGCTAGCCCCAAGGGCAAGTACCAGGGCAAGCAAGGTGAGGTTACCATTGACCGACTGTGGGACCGCTTCGAGGTGGAGGATATTCCCCTCCAACAATTCCTGGATGACTTTGCCAACAAGGGTTTGGATATCACTATGGTTAGCTCTGGCGTGAGCTTGCTGTACGCCAGTTTCTATCCTCCCAACAAGGTCAAGGACCGCCTTCCCCTGCCGTGAGTTTCCCATTCGGTCTACGAGGGAGGCACGATACTAACAAAAGTACAGAATGAGCAAGCTCGTCGAGCACGTCAGCAAAAAGCCGGTTCCCGAGCACCAGAAGAACATTATTTTCGAGGTGACTGCCGAGGACCAGACCGAGGAAGATGTGGAGGTTCCGTACGTGATGGTCAAGCTGTCGAAATAGATGGGATACTAGAACCCTCAAAAAGCCCGTCGGTGCCGCAAACGGGCGGAAACAGTAGATTTATGAATATCGTCCACGAAGCAGTCTAGATTTCAATCTCCAATCAATTGCTACCCTAGCTCTAGGCATTAGAAGATTCTGAGTAACCCCTTGAAATTTCCCTAGAATATCTCTGAAAACACGCTTGGGAAGCTCCTTGGGAAGCTTTAGGATGCTTTGTCAAAGCTGACCGAGGTGGGGTTGTTCATGGTGAGTAAGCCACTCGTCAGTCAACGTCATCCCCGCAGCAAATCGCTTTGTAATTCCTCGTTTTTCTAGTCTCGGCGTAAGCTATAAGAACATCACATCTGCTGATGTTCCGTTCCCTCCTGCGCTCATCTGCGTTGTTCCATCATTCGCGTCCAGCTCATCGCGCAGGATTCCCAACAGCTTATCAATCGTGCTTCTCCGCACGATTTCCACGAACTATGGCGGTAGGCAATTTATCCTTCACAACCCAATCGACCTCTTTCTAACGATTGCGTAGGCTGGAATCACTCAGAAGATTACCGACTGGGTTAACCCCAATGATAAGTCGGGCGAGTTCAAGCGGCAGCAGTCGATGTTCCGTAATTTCATCTCCCGCGAGCCTGGCGCGCAGTTCCCGCCGGAGAAGGGCCGCTACCATCTCTATGTTTCCTATGCTTGCCCGTGGGGTGAGTCAATTGTCCATTTAATTGACTCTGGAGACGTGTGCTGATCTTTTACAGCTCACCGCACTCTGATTACCCGCAAGCTCAAGGGTCTGGAGGATATCATCTCTTTCTCGTCAGTCCACTGGCACCTCGCCGAAAAGGGTACATAATCAATTCCGATTCATGACCGAAAATCATTGTATTAATTCTCTTCAAGGATGGCGCTTCCCTACTAGCGATGAGAAGCTTCCGGGTGAGAACACCGTCCCCGACCCTCTCCACCGGGAATTCACCCATCTCCGCGACATCTACTTCTCCAATGACCCGGACTATACCGGCCGGTTCACAGTCCCCGTCCTCTTCGACAAGAAGACCAACCTAATCGTCAGCAACGAGGTAAGCCTTTCTTCCCTTCACCCCCCCAAAATATCCAACCCTAACAACACTCCAGAGCGCCGAAATTATCCGCATGCTCTACTACGAATTCGACAACCTCCTCCCAGAACAATTTAAATCCGTCGACCTATATCCGCAAAGCCTGCGGAGCCAAATCGACACCTCCAACGAATGGATCTACAACGACGTTAACAACGGCGTCTACAAATCCGGCTTCGCAACGACCCAAGAAGCTTACGAAAAGGCCGTAACCACCCTCTTCAACTCCCTCGACCGAGTCGAAACCCACCTGTCAAAGCAGCAGTCCACCTCACCCTACTTCTTCGGCGACAGCGTCACAGAGGCGGATATCAGACTGTTCACGACGATTATCCGCTTCGACCCTGTGTATGTGCAGCACTTTAAGTGCAATCTGCGTGACATCCGTTCCGGGTTCCCGAACATCCACCGTTGGGTCAGAGGGCTTTATTGGGATGTGCCGGCGTTTGGGGAGACGACAGATTTCGAACACATTAAGAATCATTATACGAAGAGTCATAAGCAGATTAATCAGTTTGCGATCACGCCGCTTGGGCCGGTGCCGGATATTTTGCCGAAGAATGAGGAGGTTCCGGCTGTTAAAGCGCAAGGTTGAGTTTTGTGAGTTGTTGAGTGATTACTGATTTTTTGATGTGCTTGGGTATCTAATTATGGAGTGGTTTGAGTAATGAATGGATTGGATACTATATTGTTCTCTAGCTTTAACTCTAGCGATCAAGACCGATATCCAATGAAATGCAATTGTCGATATTTACATAAAGAAAAGCAAAATCCATGCATGAAAACCATCATGCTTCGACGCCCTGCCATGCGATGGTTTGGGTTACCCCTGTCTCTAGCAAAGGATCTGTCAACATGAGCCTCGTTCGAGACGGAAAGACAAAAGAGATGCGGCCAAGACGGACAGGAGGTAAATGCAAGAAAGAGATGACCTCCGAAGTGAAGTCGAGGTAAGATGGAAGCAAATGAGATAGACTGGACATGCACACGACGGGATGCTGATGAGGCAGGAATGTATGATGCCCATTTTGGGTATCTCTTGGAAATAGTCTGAATGTATTACATGGGTATGATGGGGTTGTACAGTAATCACCTCAATCCCAGCATTCGCTTCGAGTTCTCGTAGACCACGTAGCTGATGGACACGGCGGGCGCCACCTTTAGGAGGTTGGGGGTCAAGCCTTTGTAAAGGCCGCGAGGACCCTCGGATGCGAGGGTCTTGCGCAAGACGTCGCCGATGCTAGTGTATGTTGCAGGGTGGAGGACGGTCCCTTGAGCTTGGAGGCGGGTGCGGAGGACGTTGAGGGGGTAGACGACCGAGGCACTGAGCCCTCCGCTGAGGGCTCCAATTGCTCCGGTCAGGAAGTTGCTGAGGTTGATGTCGTCTTCATGGCAGTGTTGGATACGGGCTTGGCGGGCAAGGAGAGCGCGTTTGAGGTATTCAAAGGTGGACAGGTCGATGGCGGCGTAGGGAAACATTCCTATCAGACCGAGGGGGAGACCACGGAAGAAGCCGACCAGCCCGTTCTGGTTCCATACTTTGGCGGCAGTTGCGGCAATAAGTTTGTTTCCTCTCAGGCCACCTGTGACGGTCGAGCATTGCATGCGGCTATTGGATGATGTTAGCGGTCGTTTTTGGGCTACTTGGATGGTCTACCCACAATTTCAGGGTGTCAAGAGGGTAGACAAAGCATTGAGCCACCATTCCGCCAATACCACCAGACAAGAACTGAGAAACGGGCAGGAGTCGCTTGGGATCATTGTGCCCCTCCATTCGTGCGAATGCTTGCTTCGCGGATTCGTAGGCTCCGAATTTGATGGCAGACTCCGGCATAACCTTGACGACGTTCAAGCCATTTCCTGTAGAGTTGTCAGATGACTGTCCCAAGATTGCTGGGGCTGGCATTTGACTTACCAGCAAACAAGCTGCGAATTCCACCAGCTCGCCAGAGCTCTTTCAAGGCGACAAGAAGTGTTCTCGACGCGTTGGCTGTCGCAGCCAAGGGAGCACCGTCCTTGGCCGCGGACAGGGCGGCACTTTTGGCACCCGTCTGAGCAATGAGATAAACCTTGAGACGATCGAGAGGGGCGGTTGCCGTCCTGGAAACGACGCCCGCGGTGCCGCCTGCGATGAAGTAGCCTAGTTGAGGGGTGTTCTCGGTCAACTTCCGTTCATAGTAGCGAATAGACATCCACATGGCGACGCTTCTGGGAATGGGTAACGTCTCCAACTCAAGATCACTGTCTGACGGAGGAAATTCTTCGCCGAAGGTAGTGCTCATATGAGAGTTTGAGTCGGTCTGGGCGTGTGCTGAAGGAAGAAGCGAGGCGAGGGTAGGGAGGGAAAGAATATTGTACAAGAAGGCCGTGACAGCCAAGGGAATACAGTTAAGAAACGAGAGGTCTGTACCTAAACCCTGCAGATCATTGATGTGGACATCTCCTTCCGGGTTTAAGTTGCCCGTGGCCGTGTAGTATGAGAGAACTGCGTGAAGGTCGGACGGTGAACGTAGAGGCAAGAAGAGTAAAAAGTCCCTGGTAATTGCGTCAGTTCAGCTTTCTCTCACTGTCATTCACTTGACCTGGGCAGGCGTGACTCGTACCTCCATTCCGCATAGGTGATTACTCCGTCGTTGTTTTTGTCGACCTCGTCGAAAAACTCGTCCAGCCTCGCTTTCGACACCGTGACCCCAGACCGAGAAAACGCGCTACGAAGCTCGGCCTTGTCGATTTCTCCGTTATGGTTTCGATCGATGGTCTGGAACATCTGCCAGAGCCCGGACTCGGTGCGGTTGATAAACGCTCGGAACTCTGAGGGGAACCGGTCAGAGGGGAAATCCAGGGAGGTCCTTCGAGGACCGAAACAACTCCTGATCTTACCCGCATAGTCTATCTGGCCGTCGTGATTGGTGTCGACCTCGAACAGGATGCTGCGTAGCAAGTCATCCGCATTTTTCAAAGCTATTGCGACCGCGTCAGTCGGCAGCGTCCGGCACGGGACCGGGTCAGACTCACGGTGATCAATCTTCTTGAGGCCCTTTTTCAAACCGGACAAATCAACGTGGCCCTCCTTTCGCGTGTCCAATGTTTCCCAGAGCCGCGCAACTCTTTCATCACGCTCATAGTTCGACTCGGGCGCCATGATCGGGATCGGAGGGAAAATTGTTATCGAGAACCCGGCATCATTCAAGGGAGGCGTGGATTCTCGGTCGCTATACACGGAGAATCCCTCGGGGATTCGGGAGGTGGTCGTCAGAAGAAAGCTCGAGAGAGCCGGCGATATGGAGTGGGGAAGGAATGATTAATCGGCGCCCGATCATTGCTTCGACGCTTGACGCCATCACCGCCCGGCACGGGACCAGGGCTCTGCCCTACTAAACCTGTTTGGGTTATCACCGCCAACGTCCTTTGGATATCTTATTTACACGATTCGAGGACGAGGAGGCACTGCTCTTGATGGCAGCCAATTACTGGGCGTCGACACAGCGTCGACACTGGCTGTTCTCCCGGGAGGCGCTGACCGATGTTCGGGAGCGACTTCGGGAGAAAGATAAGGTCACCCATTCGCAGTTCCCGCTGCCAGATCAGCGGCTGCTGAACATCTACTTCAATCAACGTGAGATGTCTACTAAGCAAGGGGCGGACATTTCGCTGATACTCTTCAGAACTCATCAAATTGGGCAAGCGTATGACCACCCGCCAGCAGGCCATTGCCACGGCGCAAGTATACCTGAAGCGCTTCTATACAAAGAACGAGATCCGCCAGACCAATCCTTATCTGGTCCTTACCACGGCCTTCTATCTGGCTTGCAAGATGGAAGAATGCCCCCAACACATCCGCTTTGTGGTGGGTGAGGCACGCGGCCTATGGCCCGGTACGACCTTGATCTGATATTTTCCCCTCAGACACCTCCAGCTAACATTTCGTAGATTTCATCACGCCAGACGTTGCCAAACTAGGAGAATGTGAATTCGCTCTGATCTCTGAGATGCACTCACAGCTCATCGTGCACCACCCCTATCGTACCCTCTCCGAGCTCCAAACCGAGTTAGCCTTAACCTCGGACGAAGTTGCTTTAGCCTGGTCAGTAATCAATGACCACTACCTAACTGACCTCCCGCTCCTGCACCCGCCGCATGTAATTGCTATCATGGCCATTATTGTCGCGGTGGTGTTCAAGCCTTCCCCTCCGGGAGCATATCTCGGTTCGGCGCAGACCGCGTTAGCGAGTACCATGAGAGAGGGGCAAGGCATGAACATGCTCGCTGCTCTGACGGATAAGCCGGGCTCCGGTCCACCAAAGATTCAGAAGCTGGTCGCTTGGTTGGCCGAGAGTGAAGTTGATATCAAAGCGGTTATTGAATGTACACAGGAGCTGCTTTCCCTGTATGAGGTTTGGGAGCAGTACAGTGAAAAGCACTGCAAGGAGTTGATCGGACGCATGGTGAAGAGCAAGAACTTGGATAAGTGATGGATAACATGGTTTCATTTTCTTTTAGGCGTTCAAAGGTTTTCGGGCCCCTGGAGTTTGGAGTTTTCGAGGTTATGCAGGAGCATACCTACGTTGCATTTGCCATAAAGGGTTTATTTCATAACAATTTTCCTACTTGATGTTTGGAAGCAATTTTATATCCATGGATGCATTTGACTGGGCTATTATGTAGGTGGTGGATGAGACAATCTTTCAATACACTACAAGACTGACTGGTCGCACTTCCTGAGGTCAGTGGTATATTTGTGTCAAACAGGACCCAGGGATGCAAGAATGACAATCAGAATGGCGATAAGTTTTGACGATGGCGTTAAAGAGGCAATGGGTCGATTCCAAATCCTTCTATAATGCAGCATTCATGTTTGGGACCTGTGGCAGTGTAAACTAGTCGCAGCACGGCATCGCCGCCTCCAAAGATCGGCAGTCGCACCGGTCCAAGGAGCTCGGGCCAATTCGTCTCGAGCCCTATGTACATGCATGGACTCTATATTCCAATGTATACGGAGTACAGGGAAAGCACCACATACACCCCTCGCCATTCCAACTCGACTGGGTTTGAAACCACGAGTCAGAGTCTCCAAACAAACACGGCCGGTTTCCAACCGGACCGGGCAACCAGCTCGTGGTGACCAGTCCCTTGCACGGAGCCTTGGGGCAGAGCGCCCCCCCTCACTGGGATGCCGTCAGATCGTCAGATCGTCAAAAGCGGATGGTGCGCATGCTCATGCAAACGAGGGCATGGGCGTGGACCTGTCAACTGCATGGTTCAAGCTTCGAGTAGCGGCAGCACCTACTCCAGGCCCACGTACTTCTATAACCCTACGTCCGACCACACTCGAGGAATCATAAATTATAATTCGGGTGGAGGCCAGTTCGCCCCGGAAGGAGCGGTGAAGGAGTAAAGCGCCGAGGACGGGCACGAGTACGGAGCGCCGTGTGGGTGACTCCCGGAGTAGGGCGAGTTAAATCTCCCAGGGGGGCGTTCAGGCATTCCAGGTCCGGTCTCCTATCAGGTACCCTGCTGTAGGTACTGGGCAGGAGGTACAGGAACTGGCAGAGAGGCGTATGGGCAACCGCCACGAGTGGTGGGACCTCCACGGTCCTGGGTAACATCGTGAGTCAATGCAGTGTGTTCCGCATCTCGTAATGATGGGCGACTGCCGGGTCAGATCAGATCTAAAGGCCAATCAGGCGGAAGCCGGCGGGTGGAAGAATTGGGGAATTTTGGGGGAAAGGAGATCTGGGATCATCATCAGCAGCCACAGCCGATGAATGTGCCTATCCTTGGCCCAGCCTTTCCACTGCCTGCATGCTGCATGTTGCACAAGGTTTTTGAGGATTTGGGTTTTTTGGCCATAGGCTACCCCAACCCCAACCTCCCACCACGGGCTGTAGTAGTACAGTATTCACGGCGTGGTCAATTCCTATTCCGGGAATAGTACTGTAGTGGCGGGAGAATTGTTAGAACGAACCGACGCAGAAGGTGGAGCATAGAAGGTGTAACAATCCGCATTGTACCCTACGTAGCCCTACGTTGGGGAAACCGTCCCGTAGACCTGGGTAATCAGGCCACCATACCCGTAACCGGTAACTTACAGAGTACGAGTACAAAGCCAGGGCAGATCACGACACTCCTTAACCCGAAGCGGCTAGGGTCCATTGGTCGACGACGTCACGCAGCCAGTCAATTGCTTTGAACTGGCGCCGGCATTCCAGTGTGGATCTCAAATACGGGCACGTGATTGGCCGGGAATCGGCGCCCTCGCCACTGGCGGCGCTGCGTGACCTCGCTAGCGCCCACCGTCCACTGCAGGATCGTGACAGTACCATGACGCCGCTTCCCTCCCCTGGTATCGACGGATTGGCCACTGGCAAGGGCTGTGTGACAATACCTGACCATACCGCACCACCTCAGCCCCAAACACCCCTCTTTTCCCTCTTCTTTCCTTCACACAACTTCTCTATTCCCCATCTTCAATTCTGTACTCAACTACTGTCAACCTTCCATTTCTTTTCTACTCTAATCTTCGGGTGCTGGTTCTTCTTTCCACCCGTCATCATGTCCGCCTTTTTGTACACCCACCACCACCACCACCAACAACAACACCCTCATCACGGCATGCCCTCCAACAACCACCACGGCCGCACTCGCCGCGGCCCCAAGATGGCCCAGCACAACGCTCAGCGCCAATTCCGGGGAGTCAAGAGCATGCGGGAACTTGCCGAAGCCCCCGCCGTGACGGCCTTCCGCGCGAGATTCGAAGCCGGTCGCTCTTTCGACCTCGATGATGATCTGGAGTTTTGCCCCAATCTCCTGACGGAAGACGATGTATGTTGTGATCGGCGACCGAAGTCGCTCCCCTCGGACTCGTTATTTTCCACACCCACTTCTTCCCCCTTGGGAGATCGTCGGGGGCAAAATCAGGAGTCACCCCGGGAACATTTGTTAACGAACCCGCAGCTGCACTCGATCCACTCCGCCTCGTCCGACCGGTCCTCGCTCTCCAGCGGATCGCCCGATACCTCTCCGCTGCAGCACCAGATCCAGCCCGTGCAGCAGGTCGCCCCGTCAATCTCCCTCTCTCCCGCCCAGACCAACTCCTACGTCCACGCCGGTGTTGCCGCCAACCCTAATCACGTCAACTTCCAGCAGCCTCAGGCCAACCGGACTCGGAAAGTGATCCCCATCGTCAACCCTAACACTGGGATGACGATGACCAGCCCTCCCTCATCGATTTCACCGGCGATGATGCAGGCTGCTCAGCGTCGATGGTGAGGACCTTTCGGGTTCACCAAGGGGCGCTAGCCGTCCTTCTCCGCCCTAGCGGCGGCATGTTCTTGCACGTCACCTGAGTATTTCTGCATCATCGGGGGCCCTTTAATCCGCGGGTCTTAATCTTTTTGCATTCTTGTCCAATACGGCTCTTTTGCATTTTTTTTTTTTTCCGGGCACGACCACATTGGAAACTAAAAACATCTTCTACGAAACGGCGAACTCAAAAATCCTTCAAAAAATCCGAAAATTCCGACAAAATCCGGCATTTGTACATATTCACTCTGCGCCGATTTTTTCTTTTTTTACGACCACTTCGCCATACATCTAGATTCATTACGATGCTTCCAGCTTGTTGCGAGCGACGGCGCTTGTTGATTCCTTTGCATCGCTTTTTCCAACGATACCTGTGTCTCTCGGGCAGGGACGCTTCTTTCTTTGGCCCTTTGTTTCTTTTCGGTTGAGGCCGCCGATGATGTATTGATGCGGTGACTTGCTACTTGACGTGCATATTCCTATGGGGACTCGGAGTTGATTTCTTTGTTTTTGGGGGAAAGGGGTTTGGCTTGCCTCCCTTGCACCCGACTCACCTACGCTGTGATTTATTTATTTTTTCGATCTTTCTCACTTTTTGGTTTCTTGGGGTTTTATTATCTGGGCGGGATGGATATCACATTTTCAAGGATCTAGAGGCGGAAACGATACACGTCTGCATTGCTTGGGCACTGTTGCAATATCTGGGTTTGATTTTTCATGCGTGTTGCACCCTTTTCTTTTATTGTTTATTCTTTGGTTACAGTCTTGTTTTTATTTCCTGTACATCGGTTCGGGGATGGGTGACACGCGATACTCATTGCTTTCTTGCCACGGGTGCAGTGGCTGGTTGGGTTTGAATGCGAGCGAAACCATGGGCTTGCGGAGTTGTTTTCTGTTTTGAAATCGATATCCTGGGGGTCTTTCGCGGTTTTTGGGCGAAGTCCTAGACCGTGTGTTGAAAATGGCTTATATTTTTATTTTCTTTCTCGACGTCTTCGGTTTCATCTTCCCTTGGGAAGGCAACGCCCGGGAGTGTTTTAGATACGTATGATGCTGTTTTCTTGCACACTATCATTACCAATCGCATCTCTCGTTTGTTTATATTCAATAGCTTGTTCTGCGACCTGGTATTGCACGGAACGATGTAACTCCTTCATTCTGGGACTCCACGCTGTATCGCTTGATTATCCCCCTGCCTATTCCATACCGAGAAATGGATACATGCCTAGAGACTGAGATGGATACCTTCAGGGCTATCCCCATCCCCATCCCCCTGCGTCACCCCATACCCATCTCATGATGTCATTGAACACGAAATATACACCCCGTACGGAATGCTCTCTGCCAGTACATCGTTGACAGCGTCGATCACCAAGCCGCTGGGCAATCATTTTACAAGAGAATGTACAGTACATCCATGAATATCACTGAGTATGTGATCAAGACGCACTATATGAGTATCATATACCACTACCATGTAAAGATGCGAGAAGCCGAGGTCTTGACATCCGCCAACCCGAGCGCAGGTTGAGTATCGCTGACGTCACCGCCATCACTCGAAGCAATCACTCCACCCTTCCTCGAATGAGATCGAAGCAATTCCCAAGTCCACGGGCTTTGCAAAGGCTTGGCTCTCTGCCGTTTAAATGGTGTCGGCTCGCTTTTAAGTTGTGCTCTCTCGGGTTTCATTTCTCTTTGGATTCTACATTTATTCAGACTAGGTCACTAAGTAAGCTTGCTTTATTCCACACCTGCACGTCTACGACGGATATCTCTCTCCGGGCCTAACTTGGTATGTTTGACTTGATTACCTCTGGACTGGACAGGTGAACTTTTCCTGGCCTATCTCCGCAACAAGAACTTGTCCTTGTTATGCTGTCACTGCCTGTCTGGTCCAGATATATTCCAGCCTATCCTTCGAGAGCTTTCAGCACTAACAACACCTCCAGACTCGCAACACCCCAAAAGTTGATCACGCCCATCATGACCTTTCTCCCAGCCATCCGTGCCGGCTCCCGCCGAGCCATGCAATCCAGCTACACCATCCCCTCCACATCCGCATTCCACACCTCCGCAACACGCCGCACCCTGAAAGAAAGCGACAAGAGTAAGCCACCCTTACCCGACACAACGAGTGGAACACTAACCAAAGCAATACAGACCGTGATGACCTGCCGAATATCTATGAATCAGAAAAAGACCGGCAGTTGAAGAGCACGAAGGAAGGAAAAGCCAGGTGGAATGCCGAATTGGCTAGCAACAGTGAAGCAGATGTATGAAGCGATCCGATCGATGTTTACTTGCCACGAGGCAGAACTGACATTACCCTACAGGTCAAGGCGGACCGAGGCGAAACTGGCGCCGAAGATAAGGACTTTGAGGCGATGCAGGAGAGAACGAAACATATTCCGAACAAGGGGAAGTAATGGTGGTTCATGGGTCTGGATATTCAATTGAACGGAGCATGGGTGGTGGATTATTCGAATTGAGCGACGATATGCTTTTCATACGAAGGAATTTCAAAGTTCAAACTTCCGAGGTTAGGAATGTACTTGGTAAATGTTTAAAAAAGAAAGTAGATAACCGTCTCAAGTCCGACAGGACTCTATCCAACGCCAAAAGCGCCAGACCTAAGAAGAAAGAACCCTGTAAAAGCCGAACGCCCGCTCGCGGTATAAACCTGACAGAAAGCGGGCAAATGATTACTTCAGAATCACGATCAAGATCACCAGGACGATAATCAACCCGACAATAGTCATCATACTCCAATTCTCGCCCGCTTTCCGCCGGACACGATCCAGTCGCCGCCGAGCACCGTTCAACCGCCCTTGGTGCCGCTCTACATCCCCGTCCATTCCATCCAGCAGGGCAACGTGGCCGTCCAGCTCGTCCCCAATCTGGATACTCAGCTCGTGCTGGCGCCCAATAGATTGACCAAGCTGATCCAGCTGATCATCCTGGTCACGCATAACCTGGTCGTGGTGAAGATAGATCTGCTCGTTCGACATATTGGACTGATCGACGCGGGGAGACGGCTCATCGCGATACGGCCGGAAGAGATTTTGACGGTCACGGTCCTCTTCCTCGTCGATTTCATCCTGCACGGCTGCCGCGGCGGCTGAATTGTCCATGAACCGTACGGACTTGTTTGAGGGGTGTTGTGGAACGGGTTGTTTGAGATCGGGCGTTGCGCCGGCCCGGGCGGAATTTGACGCCTGCGTCGTATCCGAGGCGCCTTCGGGCCCGTAAAATTGGGATGAGAGATCGTGGAGTTGCTCTTGGAGTGGCGCGAGCTGGTCTTTCAGGGCTGCAGCGCCTGCGCTGTCGTGGGATTCTGCGAGGCGGGCTTGCTCGGCCTCGACGGACTGGATGCCTTCTCGGAGGGAGTCCAGGGAGCGGGAGATCTCGCCATCTTGGGCATTTGGTTCTAGGTCAAGTGATACGGCGCGCTGGCGTTCTAGGAGTGATAATTTGATGTGGTCTGCGAGGAGGAAGAGCTGGGACGGGTTCGTCATGGTGATGAAATCAGACAGATGCGAGGTCTCGCTGTCGGTCGTAAAGCGGTATTTGGATGTACCGCAGGGATATTGCGATGGTCAGTGCGAAGAGCACCGGATAGGATGAATCGCTGGAATTGGAGAGTATGGTGGTTGGAGGTGAGACGAGTATGAAGCAGGTCACAGCCCCAAGCGGCGTCCCAGCGCGCCCCAGACGTCGCCGAGAGCGGATCTGCGCCTGCCGCCTTCCGCCTTTGCCCTCCTCTCCCCGCGTTGTTCATTCTCCCTTCATATTTCCCCCTGGCCTTGCCTCTCCTCTTGCGAACACTCTTTAAAGGTCTGTTTCTACTTGTTTTGTCACTTTTGAACCTTGCGGCACCTTGAAAGACGCCTGTTGCCTTGTGATCGACCTCGGTACATAGTTCCCGCATCGCCAACATCCGTGCATTCATGCGCTGACTACGCATTTGACAAGGATCATTTCTACAACACCAGCAAGCTGAAAACCGTCGCATATTTCCATGGGCCTTTCTAAGGGCTACAACAATGTCCACTATGGATTTACAAGAGTTCCTAGCGTCGGAAGCCACTCACGACCGAGATGATCTAGTCGACCTGCGCGCCCTTGATTTCGTATCCAGCTACGATTCGCACCTGATGTGCCCAATTTGCCACTGTCCCTTCGTTGAACCAGTGCGCTTACAGTGCGACCACGTTTTCTGTTACAAATGTCTACAATCCGCCATCACCATCTTCCGCTCGGCCGATACGGACGAGTTCCCGTGTCCCTCTTGCCGAACCCCCACTAGCCGAGTATCGACAAGTGTGCCCCGCTTGCTGATCAACATGTGCGACGAGATCCAGGTACAATGTCCGTTACAAGCGGAGGGTTGTGCGGAAGTATTGCCGCGAGGCCATGTCCAGTCGCACGTGGATAAGTACTGTGGGTACCGGCTAGTGCCGTGCCCGGACGATTCGTGCGAGAAGACCATCCGGAAGAAGGATCTCCAGAGCGAGGAGAGATGTTTGCATGGCTATTTCCGCTGCTCTCGGTGTGAAGAAGATGTGATGGAGAAAGACTACGAGGAGCATGATGAAGAGCTCTGTCCGAGTCTGGAGACTTCTTGCGTTGATTGCGGAACTACACTTCCGCAACGAGAGTTGAAGAAACACGTTGATACCTGCCCTGACGTTGTAAGCCCTTGCTCAGCGTCAAAATACGGTTGTCCGGTCAAGATCCGACGAGCGGATAGTGCGATACACGAGCAAATCTGTCCACTGGTCTCAATGGGGCCCTACTTTGAGGCCCAAAATACCCGATTGAATTCACTCGAATTGACTATGCGTCACTTACAACAACGAAATGAGATCTTCGAGGACGGAATGGCCAATATCCGAACCACTCTTCTTGAGTCCGCCCGCGCAGGCCGTGGCAGCAATCGCAGAAGAAGCCTCACAGAAGACGACATGAACCCGACCCGATCAGAAGACGACGAGTCAGCCGAACGTTCCTCAAACGTCTTCTCCTCCAACGCAACAACCTACCTCCTCTCCCTCCACGAATCCCTCCGCGAGGAAGTAAACCAAGTGTCACATGCACTCACAGACCTCGACGCCCGCGCAAGCATGACCATCATGAACGAATGCCTTCGCATCAAAGAAGACATGGCGCACACCAACGCCGCCGTCAACAGCGTGCGCCTGCAGGTCCAATGGCTCATGAATCCACGTCTTCACAACGGGGCCCGGACGGGTGGTATTCGCTCCAACACGGCCACACCTGGAAACGAGACTGCTCGCTCGCAACTTACTTCAACGTCTGCGCCCGGGTCGAGTAGTGCGGCTGGGTCTTCGCTTGGACCACTCAGGCCTAGGAGGCCTAGTGATTCTGGGCGTGAAGGGACGAAATTGTGAGGGGTGATGCTGATATGGAAGTGTGTTTATGAGCGTTGCATTCATTTTCTCCGAGGGATAATGTGGAGAGGGAGTCGGAGTCGGGTTGCTTTTTCCCTTATGACTGATGATTGAGTTTGGTGGGTGTCTGGGACGGAATAGAACTATGCTATATACTTCTCGGTACTATCTTAATGGACTTCTGCTTCTCCTGTCAAGCTACTTGACTGTAAACTGGGCGCCTTGCCAGTACCTAACCTGGGCTTAAAGAATGCTATTGATGCTGAAACACGAGCAGTGTAGGATGCCCGAAGTCACTATGAAGGTTGCTACTTTGCGATGGAGAGTGACTTGATAATGACCCTACTAGGATGCTTTAGAGGGTATTTCTGTCTTCGGTATTCATACATGCAAAGTAACCTAATCCCCTGGATCCTCCCAACGCCTGTCTAATGAAACGATTCTAAAATACATGCTGAATCAATTGTTGATGGGTTACAGGGCCCCTCATCCAAATCCCGTCATGATTGGATTGGTGCTTGATTCTCTTGCTCTTCTTGCATTCGCTGCTGCTTTCGGATTCTCTGGCGCTTGCGCTTCGCGCTTCTTGGCTGTGAGCGCGAGAGATTGGACTGTGAAATGTCTTCAAGGTTTCGTTTGGACACATTTGACTTTCTTCCGCCCAGTTCTTTACTTGGCGTAAGTCCTGCTGGCAGCGTGGGTTCTTCCGCACCAGAAGCCTCAATCTGGAGCTTTGGTGTTTGAGACTTCGGATAGTAGATTCCCGGTATCCGAGCAAACTCGCCTTGATTCAAGTGAGGGAACCACAAGTGGGCATACTTGATAACGCGTTCACGGTCTCTTTGTGTAGTGTACACGTCAACGTCTCCAGATACATACCTCGGTTCAACTGCCGTGAAATAGACCGCTGCTAGGGACGGACTGCCGCTCGCCTTTAGCGCGGTCTGAAGCATATCGCAGATGTGCGAGTGCTTGATGCCACGAGTTTCATATTCCTTGTATGGCGGGTCGGAGCAATTCCAGCGGATCCTGAACGTAACAAGCCCGGTCGGGTCCGATGGAAGATCCGTATGCTTGCAAACCCTTTCAACATGACCGTATTTATCATGTAGTTCGATTTCATCAGATCGAATCAACGTCTGTGCCCACATTTCTGATTTATTGACGAGTAGTTTTACGTCTTCTTCTGACGCATGCACGATCATATCGCCACAATATGGATCAATTTCCAAGTCCTCCAGCACGACAGCTGCCAACGTAGAGTCAGAGTGGCCGCTCAGGGTTTCTTTCAGCACCGACAGAAGGTACTTGGAATTTCCGCTCTTGTATGGACCATCGCCGCATACCCAGGTTATTCGGAAGTAATTAACGTGATTGATCCATGGGCTGTAATTTTCGTAGGGAGATAGTGATATTTCGGGAGAAGGCCTTCGAATCTTGACACGAGCAAAACCTGCATTTTCCACTGATGGGAGCCACGATTTTGAGTTGTAGATGAGGCGCTCTCGGTCTGCCGCCGTACCGACGAACAGGTCGCAGTCTCCAGAACTTCTATACCAATTTTGGTACAATATTTTGACGGCCCGCACGCCAAAATTGGCGCTGTTTTTAATGGCGTGTTCCACGGTCTCCTCGCATCTAGCGTAGCCGATATTTGGGTCCAAGTATGGTGACTTTTCCTGGGCCCAGCCAATTCTAACATAAGGCGTCTCACCTCTTGTCACAGGCTGCGGCAGTGATTGACGCGAAATCTCAGATGAAGTAGTGTCTTCTGCCATTGATCCTACAAGCCCGGCTGGAATGATTTGTTAGCCTCGCGCATCGAACCAGAGGACTGAAAGCGATCTTCACCTTCCTCCTTCATCTTAGCCCTGCGCGCGATTTCCTGGGCCTCGATTTGGCTTGATGGCGCATTATAATCGGTAACATAGGCAGGATCCTCGTAGTCCTCTAGGCAATAATTGTAGTCTTGCACGTCGTTATCGTGCGCATCTTCGTCTTCTTGTTCTTGCAGATAGGCTTGCACATAGTCTTGTACAGAGTCTCCTGCCTGGTCGTCTTGTTGCTTATTATCTTGTTCTTCAGCCTCATCCTGGTCTTCCGTTTCGCATTCAACGCTAGCCTCGTCCTCTTCTTCGTCGTCGTCGCCCTCTTCTTCGTCATCTTCGTCATCGTCGTCGTCATCTCCGAATGACCCGTATTCGTAATAGTCATCATCAGAGTCGTCTTCTGAAGATTGACTTTCCCAATCCCCGTCTTCTTCAGAGTCCTCTTCGGCCCAATCGCGGCCAAAGAGATCCTTGGCTGAGAATTCCTGAGCGACGTCGGCAACCTCTTCAACATCGGTCGCAGGACCTTCCGTATAACTCTCGTGCTTCGCTTCAAGCGGATTTTGAGTGACCGTGGGCGGGTCGTGTAAGACAAGCTGATTCGGGACAGGAGGCTGTTCCGGCCCAGGAAAGCGCGCATTGGTGACATCACGCAAGTTCTTCGCCAGCAGGGCCACGACCTTGTTGGCTTGGAACATAATATCCATGACATATTTTGCGGATGCAGTCGCGTCGGGGTTATCGGTGGTGTAGCGACAGATCAGCATATAATGGTCTTTAAATCGATCAACGAGGTCGGAGGGATCGATATCGCCATCAAAGTCCTCTGGTTTCGGCCATTGTGAGGCCATTGTGATTATAGCTGATGTGTGAAGGCGAGTGGGAGCTGTAAAGGAGTGACGCGCGCAGCTGCGCGCGTGGAGCAAGGGGTCGCGTCGCCCGCTCCGCTATGGATGACCCAACCACATATAAGATCGGGTTTTCAAGATTCAGGATTCGGTGACTGGTACTTGATGTTTTGATTGAGAATAAGTGTTCTATTATGGTACAAATTCATTTTTGTGAGAGGACTGTATCCAATACTTCGAGATGGCCTCGTTAATCAGGGTATAGTACTACCGATATATACTCCGATTAGGCAAGTCAATTAACGCCGAACAATCACATTATGATAAGTTTTGAAGTAAATTACTCGAAATAGCATATGCGGCCACTGGATTAAACTAAAGTTTTTCTTCTTCCCTTCTCTCTATCTCAACTACTTTTCTATGCTTTTTCTCCTTGTTCCTCTCGCTGCTTCTCCCGGGACGCGATTGCCTGTTTGTGACGCTCTACTCGGTCATTCGTTCGCACGATAAGAAGTAAGGCTACTAAATAAACCAAGAGAAATGTGACATTACGGAGATCCAGGCATAAAATCGCATCGCAATATTGAGGACAGACAAAGGTAAACAACAGATAGGGAGATGCCCAAAGACACGTCAAGAATCTGCCGGTGCGAGATTATTAGTCCGAACCACAGATGAACTTAAAGGCGCATACAAGATTGGATGACTGAAAAACCCAAGCTTTTCTAATAATCGCTCCGGAGGACCAGATTCAAGGCGAGGGCGGTCATTCGCGGCATCCGTTTGTTGAGGAGATGCTGGCGACTGGTCGGAAAGGGATTTCATGTCCGTTGTGGACTGCAGAAGATTCCACAGTCGGAAAGAGATTTTAAACATTAGAAGAAGAAAGAGTGGAATTGATAGAGCTTTAAATATGGTAGAAAGTGAAGCCCAATTTTGTTCCTAGTGGACTGCCTTGAATTCGGCTCTCTTGATAAAAAAAAAAGACCCTCACGGTATGCTACATGATCTTGTGTAGGATAATACCAAAATTCATATTTGTTTGTTTTTTATCTGTGTTCTCAATGCACCTTGACCTTGATACCCAACCTCGAGCAAGGGTTCATTGCGACCTCAGTCTCGGGGCAAAAGTTTAGTGGACTAAATGAACATCCTAGGCACATTGGAACCTTTAAAAATGATACCAGCCTGCATAGGAAATGCGTAATCAAGAGCAATCCAACCTTTGGAAAATACGACGAAGTATACGAGTAGAGGTAGGCTTATCGATAAGCTGATTGGCTGATAAGTCGAAGTTGGCCTCGAAAAAAAAGTTCCGCTCAACGCTCGAACTTGCTTCTCCACACAACTCACAATGCCTCACAAGCACAAGCGCCGTGAAAAGGATGAAGCGTATGTCTTCAAACTGTCTACATTGCTCTACTCAGAACTAACATCCCATTCCTCTCCAGCCACTTCAACCTGCCACCCTCGGTGATCGCAAAGGCACTGCCGGTGCGCGATCCTAACGCCAAACCCAAGGTTTCCACCAAGCCCGGAAAGAAGAGACCGAAGCCATCAGGACCGAAGCGGCCGCAAGAGCCCGCCAAGAAAGTATCCGTCCCTGCGACCTCCCGACGCAAGAATGCAGGCGAAGACGACACCCCGAAAGCCTTCCAGCGGTTAATGCAGTTCCGAACCACCGGCAAGCGGGCACCCTCTGGACTCGAGACCGGGGAGAAGAAACAAAACAAGAAGCGCAAGCGCGATGGAGAAGATAAAGGAACCCCGCAAAAGAAACAAACCCCAGCTGAGTCCCAGCCGACCGAGCCCACCCCCAAAGAGAAGAAGCAGGTCGTCCCGAAGATCCTACCCGGCGAGAGGCTAGCAGACTTTGCTGCGCGTGTTGACCGCGAGCTCCCTCTCTCGGCGATGACCAGGAATACCCAGGGTGCTGTCAAGGTCCGCGACCACAAGATGACGAAGCACGAGAAGCATCTCCGCCGACTGCAGGCTGGTTGGCGTGAGGAGGACGCTAAAATCAAAGAGCGGGAGCAGGCTGAGCGGGAAGAGCGGGCTGCTGAGATGGAGGACCACCTTGATATTTTGAAGGAGTGGGAACTTGAGGCTCGCGGTGGAAAGGCAAAGAAGAAGGGAACTGTTCCAAAGAAGAAGAAGAAGAGCGCTCAGGGTGAAGATGATGCTGTGGATAGCGGTGACGATGACCCCGATCCGTGGGCGAAGCTTAAGAAGCGCGATAAGGAGAGGCAGACCAATCCGTTTGATGTCGCACAGGCGCCGCCGCAGTTGACGAAGCCTCGGGAGATCTTCAAAATTCGTGGTGGTGCTAAGGTTGATGTTGCCAATGTGCCGAATGCTGTTGGTAGTTTGAGGCGGCGAGAGGAGCTGGCAGGGGAGCGCAGAAACATTGTCGAGGAGTACAGACGGTTGATGGCCGAGAGACGGAAGTGATGACCTCGATACTGTTATTCTACTGTTTACTAGGATATCCATTTTATAGATTTGGTTCATATGCAGCCGCAGCAGAATTGACTTTATCCACTGCTTTTCATTTCTATATCACATCGAATTACTGCCTTTTTTTTTCATCGGAGAATAAAACATCAAGCTTAGTGGCCGTGGCCGTCATCAGCCTGCTGCTCGGGGTCCAGCTTGATAATCGTGTCAATACGCATGATGGCAATGCAGGCCTCGACAGCACTCTTGAGCTGCTTAATCTTGCTCATGCTGGGCTCCAGCACACCGGCCTTGAGAGTGTCGTGAACGCGTCCCTTCATCAGATCCAATCCGTAGTTGCGGTAGGTCTTCTTCTTAGCGATGGCTTTCTCTTCCTCATTAGCATCGCCATCCTGCACACGCTGTGACAGGGCGTGGCGGACACGGAGCTGAGCCACGAGCTCGGATGAGTCCTTGGCGGCGTTCACAGCCAGGGTCTTGGGGATCACAAGCAGGGACTGTGCGAATTCGCCGATGGCGAGTTGCTCCCGAGAGCCCTATCGAAGTTGTTAGGATATTAGACCGAGAATATAGGATAAGGAATACATACCACTGTGACAGCAAACTCCTCCAGGTAGATGTGGAGAGCAGTCTCGACGGCACCACCACCAGGCACGATGCTGCCACTCTCTAGGGTGCGCTTGATGGCACACAGAGAGTCGTGAACGGAACGCTCCATCTCGTCCAAGCTGAACTCGTTGGCACCACGGAGAATGATAGAGGCAGAGGTATGAACCTTGGTGCCCTTGACAAGGATGCACTCATCATCGGAGATGCGCTCCTGCACGACCTCCTCAGCCTGGCCGAGGTATGACGGCTCGAACTTCTCGTCTCCGTTCAGGTCAGAAAGGGTGCTGACCAGGGTAGCACCGGTGGCCTTCGCAATGCGGCGAAGATCCTCCTTCTTGCAACGGCGGACGGCCATAGCGCCGCGCTCGACGAATGCCTTCAGGACCATGTCGTCGATACCCTTGGTGGTCAGGACGACGTTGGCGCCAGACTTCAAGATCATATCCACCCGCTCCAGGACGATACCGGCCTCACGCTCGCGAATCTTCTCCAACTGGTCTGGATCAGACACGGTAATTTGAACGCCAAGCTTCATTCTTTCCTTCTGCAAGTTCATATCCAGACAAGCGATCTTGGCATCGGTGACGCGGGTCTTCATGGCCTGAGAAGCAACGGTACAGTTCAGGGCGTAGCCGTTCACAAGGACTGACTCGGTTCCACTCTTTCCATGGGCCTTGAGCAGGTTCACAGCCTTGACGGGGTATTTGACCTCGCCTCTTTGGTTTGTTGACTTCACCTGCAGCATGGCGTCCACGCACAAGTTGGCGAAGAAGTCCGGGTCGGAGCCAATGATCTTGGAAGACATGGAGGTCTTCGCAATGTTAATCAAGCTGTCCTTGCCCAGGTTCTCGACCTTCGTCGCAACATTCTCGTTCATGTACTTGACGGCTTCGCGCAAGGCAAGACGGTATCCGTTGATGATGGTGGTAGGGTGTATCCGGTTCTTCATAAGTTCGTTTCCTCTCCGAAGAAGCTCCGCGGCGATCAAGACAACCGAGGTTGTGCCATCTCCGACCTGGATGAGGTTAGTCACGGGGAATTGATGACCAGGGAAGATGTTGGAAACGTACCTCCTTGTCCTGCTGCTGGGCCAGATCAACGAGGATCTTGCCCGCGGGGTGCTCAATATCCAGCAGCGACAGAATGGTAGCACCGTCGTTCGTCACGGTAACATCCTATCGGAAAGAAAGTTGTTAGAAGCTGCCGCACAGCTCTGCGGGGATCCAGAGTTTACATACCCCTATGTCGTCCACCATCATCTTGTCCAAACCGGAGGGACCGAAAGAGCTCTTGATGACATTTGAAATGGCCTGGGTCGCGAGAACTGCATTCCATTCGTCAGTACAATTGACCTCGCTGATGTTCTGATCCCACATACCATTTTGCTCCCGAACATCGGCACCGGTGATTTTCTGCCCACCCAAGACTGTGTGCGAGATGCGTTAGTTCCGCTGGATTAAACATCAGGAGGAGGGAGCTCACAGAGAGTGTCCGCATTCCGCGGAGCCTCGAAGATGCCTGCCATGGCGTAAGAAATGAAAAATGAGGACTTTCCTGTGCGATGGCAGAGCTCTGCTTGCTAAGACGGGGGGTTTCTCTGGGTTGAGTCCACGCTAAAAGTTCTGCCGCACCAAAGCGGTGTCCGAGATAACATCCCACTTTGAAAAGAGTCATAAACTGATTCACTTCCCATTCTGCTCTCGAGTTTGGCTTACCCTCTTTTTTTCCGGCCAGGCGCTCCTCTCTGTCAATCATGGCTAGCCAGAACCCCAGTGACACTCCCGCCCAGGGCGATGCGCCCCAAACCCTGCCCGACCGCACTCAAACCCCCGCTGATAACCAGCAGGGCGAGTCCAAGAACGCCGCCAAGAAGGCCGCGAAGGCCGCAAAGCTAGCCGCGGACAAGGCGAACAAGGCGAACAAGGGAGAGAAGGCCGCCAAGCAGGGAACCGCCAAGCAGGAGCCCAAGAAAGCCCCCAAGATTTCTGGCGCCGCCCTCATCGGTATTGATGTCTCAAAGAATGAGTCCTTCCCGGAATGGTACCAACAGGTAGGTGGGCATCGACATACTAGACAGGCTCCATCATGCTAATTGGACGATCAGGTCCTCACCAAGGGAGAAATGCTTGATTGTCCGTGAACACCTTCCGCAAATGCAAGAAGTTACTAACATCACTAGATTACGATGTGTCGGGCTGTTTCATTCTGAAGGTATGTAGATTGCCGTTTCACATTCTTGTTGCGCATGCGCTGATGTTTGCCAGCCCGCTTCCTACTTCATTTGGGAAGAGATCCAGAACTGGTTCAACAAGAAGATCAAGAGCATTGGCGTCAAGAACTGCTCTTTCCCTTTGTTCGTGTCGGAGGATGTCTTGCAGCGTGAGAAAGATCACATTGAGGGTTTCGCTGCTGAGGTCGCCTGGGTTACTCATGCGTATGTTTTTGCGCCCAATCTGTCTGAATGCTATGCAACATGCTAACTCGGTATAATATAGTGGTTCGACCCCTCTTGAGAAGAAGATCGCCATTCGTCCCACCTCCGAAACTGTTATGTACCCATATTACGCCAAGTGGATTCGCAGTCACCGGGACCTGCCTTTACGTCTGAACCAGTGGAACTCCGTCGTGCGATGGGAATTCAAGCATCCCCAGCCCTTCCTGCGCACTCGCGAGTTCTTGTGGCAGGAGGGTCACACTGCGCACGCGACCGAGGGCGCCGCTCGTGAGGAAGTGCTGACCATCCTCGACTGGTATGAGCAGATCTACTCAGAGCTTCTCGCAGTTCCAGTTATCAAGGGCCAGAAGACGGACAAAGAACGTTTCGCGGGAGGCCTATACACGTTCGTTGAAAAATTCATTATATAGGAATGTGATCCAATGAAGCTAACAGGATATTAGGACGACTGTCGAGGGCTACATCCCTGCTACTGGCCGTGGTATCCAGGGTGGTACTTCTCACGGCCTGGGCCAAAGTATGTGCTAAAACCCCAGAGAGATATATATATATATAACTAACTTTCCGTCGATTTCGCGCGGATGTTCAACATCAGCGTGGAAGATTGGACCGCTAAGCCCGGCGAGGTTAAGCCCCCTGTCTACGTCTGGCAGAATTCCTGGGGTCTGTCGACTCGGACCCTGGGTGTTATGGTAATGATCCATAGTGACGACAAGGGACTTGTTCTGCCTCCTCGTGTGGCAGAACTCCAAACTATTATTGTTCCCGTCGGTATCACCAACAAGACCACCGAGGAAGAAAAGGCGAAGCTTGACGCCGAGGTGGACGGCCTCGTCGCCGTTCTCGCTGCCGCTGGCATCCGTGTCGATAGCGACAAGCGTAGCTACTCCCCTGGCTGGAAGTTTAACCAGTGGGAGCTGCGCGGTGTGCCCCTTCGTCTTGAGTTCGGCCCCGGCGAGTCGGCTGGCCACTTCATCACCGCTGCCCGTCGCGACATTCCCGGCAAGGATGGCAAGAGCACCATTCCCATCCCTGAGCTTGCGACTGCTGTCCCCGCCCTGTTGGAGACCATCCAGAGTGACCTTCTTAAGCGCGCTACTCTCGAGTTCGACTCCCACCGCAAGATCATCACAAACTGGGACGATTTCACTCCCTCGCTAAACGCCAAAAATGTCAATCTGATCCCCCACTGCCTGACCGAGAAGTGCGAGGACCAGATCAAGGACATGTCTGCTCGCAAGGCCGAGGAGGACTCAGGCGAGGCCGAGGACGCCAAGGCCCCCAGCATGGGTGCCAAGTCGCTGTGCATTCCCTTTGACCAGCCCGAAGGAATTATCGAAGGTGAAACCCGCTGCTTGAACCCTTCTTGCGACCTCCTTGCCAAGAAATGGTGCATGTTCGGCCGTTCCTACTAAGCTAGCCGATCTCCCATACGATCGCCAAGCTGAGATTCTAGGAAACTAGTCTCAAAGGTAAAAGGGGTTGAAAAGCTCAGCTAAACGCTGATTGCATTCCAAGGTTTTGATTGTGGTTACACGTGGTTTCCTTAAGATACCTCACATTTCTTTTCATTCCAAGGTTGGAGTTGGGAGGGACTATTGGGGGTGGGCATGTAGTGGAAACGAGATTATGAGAAGAAACGCCTTATGTCTTTTTTTAAAATACAAGACAATTTCTAAAAACAAAAAGCTTTCAATAGCATCTGTAGAGCGAGATTTGGTTTTATTCGGTTTTGAGTGGCACTTAAAAGTACCAGACGGAGCCTTGGCTCTCTGTTTCCTGAGGTTGGTATGTACACTTGGAAGCACAAAAATTAAGATTTCTAGACTATGCTTCGCACTTAAATTAGAAGTCGTTGCAGAGTTCTACAAGTTAGGGCTAATGTATGTGACTAAACCGACAGGCCCCAGGAGTTCTGCCAGACGTAGAGAGGGGGCTTAACCTCGCCAGGCTTTGCGGTGCAATCTTCGACTATTTCATTAAATATACGTGCGAAGTTGCCTAGACCGTGAGAAGTACCACCCTAGATACCACGACCAGTGGCAGGGATGTAGCGCTCGACAGTCGTCCTAATATCTTGTTCGCTTCATTGAATCGTGATCCTGAATAATGAGATATCCAACGAACGTATATAGGCCACCCGCCAAACGTTAAAATGACCTTTGAAGAAAATAATAATAAAACCAAGAAACCAATCTTGGGAAGACCCGTGGGCATGAAACGTAAAACAAGTAGCACGCAAGTCCATCACACCTCGAGTGATTGCACCAGTGGATTCCCTACCTGTCAGCAGGAAGATCTATATTCCCAACATCGTTGCCAGAGACATCAGAGAGCTCCTCAAAGCGTGCCAGCCGATATCATAGATGTCCTCCTCGTCAATTTCCTATAGGACATCCTAGCCGTCGTAATCAGGGATCTCCCGATGTGCGCAATCCATACCCAAGTACTGCCTGGCGTCCGAAGCCCCAATTCCTTGATTGAGTAGTGCAAACCCCTATACACAATACTTACTCCTAGCTTACGATATAGGTTCTCGCCTGGCCCTGGCTTAAGTGCTTTGTCGGTAGTAACAAGGCTCCGCAACAGGGGTTGGCGAACAAAAGACTGGAATAGCTTGACTCGAGACGAATGTCTCATTTACTGGACTGGGATATTTACTGAGAAGCTTATATACGGCTGATCACCCGAATAAACAATATTCGATGTACATTTAAATCTCCAGTGAGGCCAAAGGAAAAGTAGCTTTGGTGAGACAGCAGAAGGTAAACGACAAAAGATGACTGGAACTCCATCCGAAAGATGCTAATCTGGTAGTAAAACAAGACAGAACGAAACACAGGGTTGAGAGCCACAGGTAACGGGCATTGAGAGAGCGGGTAGCTGGATATGGCAAGAGAGAAAGACAAGGATAGACTAGGGCGGATTGGTGAGATGTAAAGATATGAATCAAGGACCGAAATAGTAGATAGGAAACAAGACATTGTGTATGGTGTATATAGATAGTAAGGAAAAAGAGAATATGTGTATGGAGGTCGGGAGTAGGAGCTGAAAGGAAAAGACTAGAGATTTCACAAACGCTTCGAGTCAGGAGATTCGGGAATCGCTATGGAAAAGAAACTGGAGGGAGCCAGACAAGCTTTTTGTAGAGGTATCGTGAGGGCATCATTATCGTCGAAGGGAGTGGCAGAGGATAATATCTCCTAATAAGTCTCAACGGAGCGAGATCCGCGAAGCTGCATCCGAGCCCGAGACAGTGGTGACAGACTCCGCTCGCACCCTGACTGGGGGCCATTGGCGCGACGGGATCGCTGAGGCCAGTTCATGAGCTTCTCGGCATCAACACGGGTCGATGAGTCGATCACGTAGCGAACGTTGTTCTCGTCCACGCCTTCGATCTGGACTCGTGGTGGGGAGATGCTCACGCTGGGGAGGTGGAGGATGTCGTCGTCGGCGTCTTCGTGCTCGTTTTGGCTGTCCTGTGAAGTGGAATGGGCCTGCATGGTGTATACGGTGCCTGTGGTGTTGGGCCTGTCGGGGTTGGAGCGGGCGAAGGCGGGTAAGCTGGAGGTTGAAGCTGAGTGGCCTCGTTTCCGGGATGCGGTCTTCTTGGAATGTGAGGTGGATGGCTTGTCATTGCCGGCGCGAGTTAGGACGTCCATGTAGGTCAGTTCCTCACCAGTGTTCGGGTGTGCGGCTTGCCGTTGCCTCTCGATATCGGCTAGGAAGCCGGGGGTTGGAGGCGGGGCATCGGTGTGTCTTCGCTGGGCGGGAGAGGAACCGACTCGTCGCAAGACGCTAGTGGAGATACTGCGGCGAGATTCGGAGCTCCTCTTGTGTTTTTTGAAGGAGTTCTTTCGCATGAGCTTGGAGATTGACCCGACTGAAGCACTGTGGTTCAACCCCACGTTCGTGACAGTGGGATCGAAGTTTTGAGCCGATGTGGGTGTGAAGGGAGGGCCAGATGTGGGAACAGGGACGTTGCGGAATGCCTCGTGGGAATTGATCTCGCGGACTATGGCATCCTGTAGAGTCTCGTAGGTTGGATGGGAGCTCACAACATGGCTAGACATGTATGCCTTGTTGAACAGATCCATCATTTCCGACACCTTGAACCGAGGAGACGGCGCCGTAGGGCTCTGGGAAACAGGACTGGAGGCCGGCAGAGAGGTACCAATGACTTCTGCGATGCTAGCAGCCCGCTTTATATCATTATTTGAAGGCGTAGGGGGCTGAATGGCCCGGTGCACAATCTTCGGCCGGCCTGAGGCGGCCAATTGAGTATTGATCGAAAGGTCACGGACGTTCTTCCGTGACTTTGACCCGGAGGGTGGAGGTGGCGAGAGTGACTTTGACGTTAACGAGGAACTCCGAGCCGTTGGGGCTGGAGGTTTTCCTGTCGGTGTAGGTGATCGCGAGCCACCGGTAGCATTGCTGCTGTCACCGCTATCGCCGATTGGCGTGGGTAGTGTTGGACTATCCGGGAGAGGTATAGTGCTCCATCTTTTGCCTTGTTTATAGGCAGGAGGTATACCAAGGCGCTGTCCAGCAGGTAGAGGATCAACCGGCGCGTGTCCATCCTCTTGCGTGGCAGCTGTTTCGTCTGGAGACAAGCTGGGTGCTGATCTTTGTTGGCGAATAAGATTGGTCAGTTGCGACATTCGCGATGAAGCTGTGGACATGGCATCTGGAGAGACAGATCGGGCCCGTGAATCATCATCTGATGCCCAACTCGGCTTTACAGGGAAGCGTTTCCCAGGCCCACGCCGTCTTGAGCCATCTCCGCTCGCCGCCCCTTCACTCCCGGGTGCAGGAGGGGACGACCGGCAGCTTAATGATGACGAAGAGCGAGACCCGCCATATTTGGCAATATTCCTGTCCGCCACATCCTCTTGGTATAACGCGGACAAGATTCGAGAACTTGCTAATCCACTTCGATGCTGGATGCGCAAGAATCTTGTCATGTTCCGCTCAGCAACATCTTCGTTGTATGGACTGGAGGGAGAGGAGACAACCGGGCGATTGTTTTCTTGTCGGTATCTTTCCGAAGCGGAAATTGCATCTAGCAAATCGATGTGACGCGAATTTTGGACCCTCGGAATGGCGAAATTCTCCGAAAGGAAAGGCGATAATTGAGACTGAGAAGATGGCGGTCTTGCTGTTTCGGTGAGGTGATGAAGATCTCCAAACTGTTTATCAATCTGCTCAAAGTGGTCGTTCACATCCATGGATTGTGAGACTTTGAGACCGGGGGAGGGGAGCCCCGGGGACGCGGGTGTCACAGATAGATGAGCGGCCGCAGGGTTATTTTGCACCTCGGCACCACTAAAGTACGGTTCATCCGACTCCATGTCTCCCGATCCGATACTCGTTGATGGCCTCGAGATGCGCTCATGTAGAAAAAGCTTCTTCAAGGCGACCATGTTGAAATTGTTTGTCCGTGACCCATCAAATTGGTTGCTTGTGGGAATCGGGGGTGCGGACCAGACCGCCGAGAGAGTGACGCAGGGTCAAAAGAGATCCCAAGATAGTAGTTGGTGAAACGAGAGGACCCACGGGGGTGAAGAATTAACTGAACGACGTCATGGCAGGATACGAAGCTCGACAATGAAGCAACCGTCATACGGTTCGGGTATCATTCCAGGCCATATGGTGGGAAAGAGGAAAAAGAAGGTCAAGAAAAGTTGAAACGCCAGAGCAGCGGAGACTTGACATGACAAGAGTACGAAATGCAGATCCAACACGCATTGGTATGTCTAGATCAGGGGAAGTGCACCCGGGCTTTCTCCATGATCCGTGGGCTCGCATGGGGCCCGGCCGATGCGGTTCCAACGCTAAGAGATTAAGAGTTCTCCATTCTGTGGCGCGCCAATCTGACACTTGAACGGCGCCTCTCCAAACCGGTTCGGTAAACTCTATCCTCGAGGACGCACGATCTTTTGTACGGGGACATCCGTGGGGTCATCGCACGAGACTCGAATCTAACCCGACTACAGAAAGTCGACGTATGCAGCTGAGAAGTTTATTCCCGAGTAAACGCCCAGCGTACATGAATGGCTGCAAGATTCCACCCCATTGACTGCAGACTCCACATGACAGAAAGTCCCTGCGGGTTACACGCCACGGAGCGCCTCCGAAGTACCGTTTATGGTTTTTGTGTTTTCATTTCTTCCTTGGACAGGGCCGGGCAGCGGCCGCACCAACCCTGCCAGGGAGCGTATTCCAATGGGCGTGAACGTGATGGAGAAGACTAGAGAAGACGGGTGGGTTAAGTGGGCAGGGAGGTGAGAAGATGGAGCTTCCAATTTTGGTGCGCGGTGGGATTGGTGTGATGAGATGATCGGCGGTGGTGGGCCGCGTTCCTGAACGGGAACCTGGGACCGACTCCCTCTGGTTTGTTGAATCCCGACGCTCCGGGGTCTGGTATGGAGCCCGTCTGGATCAGACACGCCATTGGTGAAGGAACAAAGAGAAAATACCACGGATTTGGGAGCCTACTAGTGTGTGCCTCGGAGAGATGCGAAATGGGGATCTCCCACTTCCCCGAGGCCGGCAGTGACGGATCCCGGTTGAACGGTCAGGGGCTTCACGAAACACTAGTCGCAATTCAAATTCAATTGATCCGCTTTCGACCGTGGAACCTTGGATCCGGAGAGGCCCGGTCACTCAGTACAGGCCGTCCACGCTCGTGTTGACGTTGTCGAGGACACAACTCCCTCCGGTTCTCGTTCAGATCCACTGAATCTCGGTGAATCTGAGATGAGTTCGATCGATCGATTCAGATTCCGATGGGCCCAGTTCGTACTTTTGACCCCGTCCAAGCTCTGAATATCTGCCGCTGTCAAGGGCCGCTCCGAGACATTGCGGAGTTGTAATCCCCTTCGCCACTGCAATCTATACGTCGACCGAGACATTTCAAATTCTACAAGAGTTGTAAAGGTGGTCGCTTCGATACTTCGATATCCCTTCAAATGACCGCCTTCAATATTAATGAGATCAGCGTCAATGCATACCCAGGTATGTAGATGAATTCCTCTTCCCTGGAGACTCGCCTCAAGACATTCCAGATGTCGATCTCTATTTCCAAGGTTTCTACGACGCAATAGGTCCAATAGATCTTCTCAAAGCCGTCATGTCATCAAGAGGTGCTAGTCATTCTAAAGTATCCCTATTTGAATCCAGGTTATTAAAAGTCTCCCTACATATTCAAGCGTCTTCCAACTCTCAATTCCATGCTTGAGATACCTATGTAAAAGCTGATAAATAATACGATCCTATCTTCTCCTAGGATCTCTTCTCATCCCCATTGGAGTCGGGCCTTGCATTGCCGTCGTAGCCACTCTCAACCGCCCGTAAATGTGACCCCTAGATTTCCTCCTCGTTCTTCTCAACCTCGTCCTCGATGCTCTCCTCCTTGATCAAGCGCTCGATCATGCACTCTTCCTCGGTGGTATCCTCCTCCTCCCTGTCCTCCTCCATTTTGACAGCGTTCTCGGCCTCGTCCTCCGCGGCATCATCGTTCTCCCGGGCCTTGGCATCAGCAGCCTCTTTGGCCCTCATGTCGCGAGTAATGCGCTTGAAGCGTGAGACAATGGCGCTCTTCTTCATGCTCATACGAGCAGCAACTGCGCCGAGGTCGAGCTGTAATGACAATGTGATCAGTGACTCGAAATACAAACGATACCACAGACTAGATAACTTACCTTGCCATGGATAGTACCAGGTCCCTTCATGTCCTGGACGCATTCCCACAGAAAACGGACGTCGGTGTCGTTCTTGCGCTCGTGTGCGGTATTCTTGGATGCCGTCTTGGCCTTCGTCAGGGCGACCGACTTACGGCTGGTCATATTGCTCTTTCGGGGTGGCATGATGTTGGTGTTGAGGGATTCTCTCACGTTCTGGATGGTTGGTGATATGACAGCGAAGAATATATGGCTCTCGTATCTTTGAAATATCAGAACTCGCGCTATAGAGTAAGGTGAGATGGGTTTCAGAAAGTTGGGGCCATGGTGGTGGGAAGAGGCAAAGAGACGTAGACGTCTCAAATAATGCTCACTTGGAGCGTTGAGTTATGCGCAAGGCATCACAGGCTCGGACATATATCTGGGGCATATTCAAGTCCAGATTCATTGTGATAAGAGCGACTTTTTCGAAGTCTACGGTCTTAAAGATTATGCCGTCTTAACCATCATGGGTACCATTAGAATTGAAAGTCCCTGGCTCGGCTATCTGCAGATCGTTTGCCAGGAACGGCCACAAGAGCAAACGCCAGACCACCTGCAGCCCAGATAAATCCCGTAATCTCGCCAGGCTCACTCCCCCAGATAATGTCAGCCTAGCCAGGAAGATTCTGGGCATTTCCTAAGACGCATACGCTTTTCTTTTCTTATGTACATGAGGGCGTGGCAATATAGCATCATCTTTCAAAGTATGAGGAGAGCCTGATATAAGGAGATGGACTGGCTTGACCATAATCCTACAAGCTACAGTGATTAATTCCTTGCAAGGAAACTCCATTATTTCTGTCTTAAAGAACTATCTCAAATCTCAAAAGAACCAAGATCGAGAACACCCCCGTATTTCCACGCAACAGAACATCTACCACATTGTATTCCAGGCCCCTAAGTAAGATGTCGGTATCTAGGGAAGAGAAAGCGTGTTGACTAGGCCTCCCACTAGGCGGAATCACACTGGGGAGCTGCGTCGTTGCTTCAGCTTGTTCGCCTCCAGCAGTTCCCTAAGCTCCTCAATTTTCTTCGTAGTCTCCATACGCTTAGCATGCTGCTCAAGGACGCTCTTGATATCGTTGAAGCACTTCAAACATTCGTCCTTGGAGATGCCGTAAAGCTCAGCCACCTGCTCGTGTTTGTCCTAGAATCATCGAGTCAGTAACAGCGGGAACGTGGATCCAGTGAGCAACTCACAGAAGTAGGCTGCTGCAGGCGCATGTAGTGCCACAGAAACAACATTTTCTTGCTGGCTTCCCTAATCTGTATGACGGATGACGGGGGCAGGGGAGCTCGACTTGGCGTGGGGCTTGGTGGGTGTGGGAGGCATTTTGATGGGATTGCTATTGGACACGTCATTATTAGCATGGCACGGTATCAAACTTGTTCAGACGAAAGGCGCATACATCGAAGTAGATATGTTTGGGGATGAAAGGAAGGGTGAAGGTGCGCGGAAGGTGGAGAGTGCGTGGGGATATGGAGAGATGGGCTATTTTCATTCGCATTTGTCGTAGTACGGGGCCCTTCACTTGCAAATTTGGTCGATGGGAATCACAAGGCAGTCAGAGCTGTTATGGTAGGTTCCTATGCAGATTTATATATGAGGCTATTGAAATCTAACCTACAATACTGCTGCTGTTCGATCCCGACACTCTCTGACTCTTAGGTCAAGTAGCATTATTGCATTAGACCCCATCATCATCATAACCTTCCTCTTCCTCTTCTTCCTCCTCCCTAGAGGTGAACGTGCCCTCGGGGTTGACAAGTGCGGCCATAGCCGTATCTCTTCTAGTATCCCCCCGGGGCCTCTTGTGAGGGGCATTGTCAGAGGACTGCGAATACGAGCGACGACGAAGGCGGAAGGCTTTAGAAATAAAGATTCTCAGTTGATTGAAGAAATAATGCTACTGCACTCCACGTGCCAATAAATGGTCCACCGCCCTAGACATCCTGGAAATCCTCCAGCTGGACCGTCCTGTCTTCAGCATCATCATCCCTCACACGTCGTAGTGGGAGTCCTCGACATCCTCAGTCTCGGCAGCATCCTCATCCTCCTGCTTGGCCGTAGCTTTGCCAGCCTTGTTCTCCTTGTTGTCACCGTCAAGTTGGGCTCTCAGGCGGTAGAAGCGGGCCTTGGCGGCCGCTGCAGTAAGACCAAGCTCGTTACCAACTGCTTTGTAGTTAACCTAGGAAGAGCCGGTATTAGCATGATCGAAAGAACATAGAGTGAATCGGGCGGATGGTGGTCGTCTGGTAATTTGGAAATGAACTTGTGAAAGGACTCTAGGATGGAGCTCACCTGAGGGCTACCGGAATTCTTGAAGCAGGCCCAGAGGAATTCCACAGTATCGAAAGAGGGGCCGGTAGAGCCACGGGGCCCCTTTTTAGTAGGCGAACTGGCAGTGGGGGAAGTCTGGGCTTCTTTGCCCTTGCCCGCGGGCTTGGTGACTTTGTTGGGTGTGTTCTTTGGAGGCATGGTGTGTTTGGTATCTCAAAAGAAGAGAGAAAGAAAAGATGGATTGGTCTGGATGGTAGACAAAGAAAAGTAAAACAGTTGGAGTGGTGAAGAAGTTAGGGACGAGAAAGGATACGCATGAGATGGGAGACTTAAACAAGTTGTGATGAATACGCTCACTAATACGCTCACAAGGTGATACGCCATTCGAACAGGGCAAAGGCATAGAGGAATACACAGTACGAGAGATTCGTGTAAAAGTGCGACGAAATATACGACGACACGTTTTTTGCCGAAGTGTGAAAAGTTGTACAAAGTTCATCAATCTGTTGACTTTTCGACTCACCTTGAACATGGAGTTTCGCATGAGATCCCGCGGGTTAGAACATGTATTATGTGGTATCCAAGTTAACGTCCTACCCGTGGTGATTGAACTCACTTTGCCAAAGTCTATAGGCTTGATCATGGTTTATGGCAAGGAGGGAACCGAAATGAAACAAAGGTCTTCGCAAAATAATAGATTGCTAGCTCACCCTAGAATCTCATAGTGCGTCCCCGAATAAAAAGAAACCCTAAGGTACAATTTCCACGCCCGATCTCGTCCCTGTCAAGAATGTGCAAGAAAATGTAAATCATCTAATAGTCCTCCTCCTCATCGTCCTTTTCAATGGACTCGATCAGCTCATCCTGAAGTTGCTCGGCATCGGCCTCGAACTTCTTGTCGTCTTCCGGGGCCTTGTCGTTGCCCTCGGCCTGGAGCTTCTCAATGAGAGCCTTCAGGCGGATGAAACGCATGCGAGCGGCATTGTTCTTGATGCCATACTCATCGCAGACGACGGCATAGTCAATCTGTCATGTTATGTATATAATTAGGGGCCATGGAGAATGACGAGTGCCAGCCTAGGAGGAATGGCATAGGATGGAATGGTTTACTTACAGCGGCCCCGGTTGTCTGGAAGCAAGACCACAGGAAGAGAAGGTGGTTTTGCATGGCAATGGTGGCAGCAGGCTTGTCGGAAGAGGCCTTGGAGGGAGAGCTCTTGTTAGGAGAGCCCTTGGGGCGACCAAGCTTGGAAGGAGTCTTGATGACCGGGATCTTGGCCGGCTTGGCCTTGGTGGGCTTCTTGGGAGCCATCGTGATTGTAGAGTTCTTAAAGTGTGTGAGTAAGCAGTGGCAGTGTACAAGAGGGACGATAAGGATGTACGGACGAGTTGGAAAGATAAAAGTTGAAAAATGGTAGTGATAGTGAGATGTGTGCGAACGCGAAGTTGGGAAGTGAGCCCGCGAAGCTACGTGAAGAGAACCAAGGAAATGCGCGAAGTGCGGGGGAAAGGGCGAGGAATATTTTTGAATTTCGTGTCTTTCATTAAGTGCGTAGGTAGTTCTGTTCACTTCAAACCTGCCCGACTGTCTTGAGCAGAGACTCCCGTACAGCTTCTGCCAACACGGTGTGTGCTCCCCTGGCAGCATCCACGGCGCCGTCTACTAACGCCTCATGGCCCGATCTCTTGTCTCCGCCCTCAAGTGCTGCCTTCGAACTATCACCTTTAAGCCACAGCTCGGTGATTTCGTCCCGCCCAGGCATGTATGCGACAACACACGCAGACACGATGGATCGGTGCTCTGCCGGATCAGTGTCCAACATCAACTTAGGAGCTACCGAAGACTGTTTCTCGTCGTCGGAGACTAATGCGGCAACACCACCTGCCACAAGGTCCAGGCAATCAATATGGGCATCGGCAATGGCAGCCGACGCAGCGGTGATACAACCCGCAAGAACATTCATCATACCCCACGAGGCATCGTGGGAGTCGGGGGCATCGCCCCACCAACGGTCGTCTTCGGCTTCAAGGATAGTAATGGTGATGTCTAGGCCACTCTTCGGCCAGCGCTCGGCAATGATAGCCCCACGCAGGGCAGTCTCCAGATGGACACCGAGATCCCGCTCGGTAGAGTCTCGGATATGTCCTCTGCGCTTGCGCGCCGCGAACGGCGCATACTTGACGTGGGTCGTCAAGACCAGATTCGGGGAGAATGCAGCAGACCGGGGCAGCGGTTTGGGACCGTGAACTGTGCAGGCGAGCTTGAGAGCTGATGAGGGTGGAATCAGAGATTTAGGGTTGGCGCGGGCGGCCGCAAGGGAGGCGGAAGGTTCAAATTCAAGGTATGACGAGCCCGAAGCAGTTGGAATGAGACCCGTCTTGAGAACTGAAGCATTGTGCGTTAGTTATGCCGTCAATATCATGGATGTTCGGAGTCCATACAGATTTTCCTGAGCTCGGAAGGTTGTCGCTGGCGCTGCGCGCGCTCTGCGGCACCGGTGCCAGATCCAGATAGCGAAGCAAATACTGCAGGTCTCGTGCCGCCGGGCGGCCCATTAACTCGTCTCCGATCAGCCATCATGGTGGTGTTTGAAGCAAGAAGCAAGAACGACGTCGGAGATGATGCGCGCCGAAGCGGAAATTGTGCTTGCGTTTGCAACGTTTGCACAAGGCCCCACCCGCTACCTTTTCCTCGAATTCTTCGCTCGCCTGTTTTCTCTTTCTCCCACTCCCCTGTGTTGTTTACACCTTGGGCTGGCAGCTCTTCTTAATGCTGAAGAAGCTTTCCCAAGGTGATGCAACGTCAAGATTGACATCTTTTTATCTTCCACTAACCATACTGTGAGTATCTCTGCCTTCACAACATAATTGCACCCTCCCTGTCCATATGAGGAAACCGATCCAAAAATCTCTGTTCGGCGATCAACTCATGAGCCAAGAACAACATGCACTACCATCTGATGGACACAATACTTTTGTTTCATTGTCACTCTCGATACCCATGACATTGGGGCTGACCATGATCTCAGACAGGACCTAATGCTTCTCACTGACTTGGCTTCCTGAGCTTGTCGGCGCTCAGATACTAAGGTAAGCTGCGGACTTTTTTTTTCTTTTTCCTTTTCTTTACCATGACTTCTATGATGAGAAACAATTTTCAGTTCTGCTTCTGCAAAAACTTTGAAGATAACAAAATACCTTACCAAAAACTCCTGATCATGTCCCAACCATACCATTGTCTCTCTGTTTCGATTCATGACATCGTCGCTGACAATACAAAGTATTCACAGATCTCCAGTAATATCTCCACCTACATATCTTCGACCAGGCAAAAGGTACGAAGTGATTCTATCACCTAAATCCAACACCCCCTTGTATGATGACAACCAGTCAATCCATTCAACGAACTCCTTAGAGAACCGCCTCTCGGGTTGCACCCGCACCTCAGCGGTTCCTCGAGCACAGGCGTTGATCCACACTTCCAACTCCCTATACTGGACCAGTCTGTCTTCGGACGTGACTGGGAGGAAGGTTGTGGAGACCTGGAATGTGGGCTCAATCGGCGTCTGCTCCCTCAGGGACTGTCTGATTCTGGTTCGGTACTGCGCTCGACTTGTGTCAGTTTTTCTCGGGCTGGCTGGCTGTCCGTCTTGGACGATAGTTCGGTTCGGGAGGTTGGCAGAGGATGGGATGAGTTAAATCGGCTCAACTGATTACAATTTATTATACATGCTTGTCATGTCTTCAGTCTTCTTGAGGATTAAGCTGACTGTTTTTTGAAGTTTAGGTTTGGTGATCGTACATTTTAGACACTTAGCTATAGCTTGAATGGATCGAATATATCTTGAAACTATCATGTCCACTGTATAACGTATCTAAAAACAATACATGAAGCTATGTACGAGTATAGTAAATCGAAGGTACCAAAAACATGGTCACCAAGCACAAAGTCCATTGCCGGTCCCCCGGGGTCCCAAGCAACCTCCAGGGTCCTCAGCAGGCAAGACGTAAAAAGGCAACGGGCGTCCACACCTCTCAACCCAATTCTAAACGTCCAGGGGAATCATCACTTTCAACCTCCACAAAACAAAGCCATGTCTCCTTTTATTTTTGCTGCCCGTAATCGAGCAAAAATGTCCCGTCAGTGTTGTTTTCGAAGCATCAACAAACACTAAAAACGCGACATCAGGACATCCCACAGGAGCCGCTGGGCTTACTCCTTGCCCTCGACTGGCGTTGTGGTGCCATTCGATCGAGACATGCTATACGGGGCCTGGAGATAAAAGTTAGATCGAGGTCGTGAGTCGAGACGATGGAGGGTACGTACCAGCACTTTCTTGGCGTTGCATATCCTCCAAGCAAGGTTGAGGACGTTACCATCAGCCTTGACGACCTCAGGTGCCAACTCGACTCCGAACCTGTGCAGGGGTTAGTGGGAATCAGACAAGGAGGGTGAAAAGACACTTACATTTGATGAACAGCAAAGACAACACGTTTGGCGAACTTTCCTTCCCGCTCAACGAGACTGCCGAACTGCTCTTCAACGGTTTCAGGGGCAATTTCGGGGTCTTGATCGAAACAGTTGCGAACAACAGGTAATAGGGCCTTCTCGACAGCGGTCTGCGAGATGCTATCACAGTCGACGGCGGCACCATCCTCGTCGAAGCGTCGGATGCGGATCTCGAACGGTCGGGAAATAGCCATGACATTGTGCATGCCGTTGTGATGGTAGCGGAACTCGAAGACACCCTGTGTCCAGAAGAGTTTATCACCGGTGAAGACGATCTCGCCGGATGCAAGCTCGCGCTTGTCCTCGGAGCGAATGACAACGTCGGATGTGACGATGCCCTTCTCGCAGGTCAGGTTGTCGTAGAAGCCCTCGTTAGTCGCGACCCAACGGCCTTGCGACGAGACGCGAGAGACTTCCCGCGAAGTGCTGTCCGTGACCCGGTAGAGACCAATCCAGTCTTTCTTGCTGTGGTTGATCGGGGCAGTCCACTTGACCTTGATCGGAGCGCCGTATTCGAACGTCAGGTTCTTGAGGTCGCCGCGGCGGTCTAGAGGAGCTTGGGCATTGGCACCTTCGCGACCCGTGGCCTGCGCGCTTTCGTCAAATGATTTGGCATCTGTGCCCTCAACAGACAGGGAGTAGTCGCCTAGGTCGAGTCCAGCCAGGTCGGCATCGATACGGGAGATGGTAACACGAGCAGGATACTTCTGGAAGAGGGCGGTGGTATCTTTGACGAAGGTGTTGACGCCGGCAGCGAGCTTAGGGCGAGCGCTGTCGAGAATCTCCTCGATAAACTCAAAGGAGTCGTCGAACATCTTGTCAACGCTGCCGTGCAGCTGCTTCAGAGGGGAAGGCAGAGACTTCTTCAGATTCTTGACAACACCTCCATCCTGGCGGATGCTGCGGCCGTACAGCTTCTGCATGTGAGGGCGTTCCACGAATTGGATGAAAGCCAGGCTCAGGATGTGGCTCAGCAGAGCCAGGAAGGTGATTGCACCGCTGCTGGTGATGAGCACTGCACCCCAGACACCTGCGAGGCCCAAGACACGCTCGGGGTTGTTAAGGAAGCGGTAGATGCCATCGTAGGTGAGCTTGGGAGACTCGTCGAAGAAGAAATCTCCGTAGAACCAGCCAAACTCGCCGAGGGAATCATAGATGCTGGCCGATGTCCACAGTTGCAGACTGATGAGGCCTACACCCAGAACGTGACGGAACAGGACCAAGCCGTAGCCCCAGTCGGCCGGGAAAGTGTACATCTTCCATGCCGCGGCAATGAAACTGGCGTAGCACATAATCATACTCTGGTGGTAGGTGCCCTTCCACTGGTTCCATGCCTCCTGCGGCGTTTCACCGAATTTGAGGAAGTGTCTGGTCCAGGCCTTGTTGTTGGACTGGTTGTTGAGAAGATACCCGATGCCTACAGTGAACCACGCGCGCCAGACCACGGCATTGATCATAAACAGGAACTGATACCGCGGGGTGGACGGGGTCAAGGCAGCGACGGCAAATACTAGCAATAGGATAAGTATGATGGAGGAATCCGTAATTCTATACAAATCCAGATTGTTCAGTCCGATGAGGTTGTGAACCGACGGCGGGGGCTTGGCCGAATACGATGATGACGCATTGGGAGGCAGGTCGTCAGACGGGCTGGGCGCAAATGGGGTGTCTGAGTCGATAGGCAGGCTCGCGGTCGAATCCACACAGACGGAGCGCTTTCGGGGTGGTGGCGGATTGTAGGTCTTGTCGATGTGGGGATTCTCGACGAGTATCAGGAAGATGAATTGTGCTGCATGGGCAATGATCGAGATGAGCAGTACTTTATAGCTGGCTGCCATGAGGGAGATGCCGTAGTAGCCTGCGTAGCCGACCGAATACATGGGGTGTGGCGCCATCTCAAAGACACCATCGAAGGTCAATTCCTGGTCAATGAGATAGAAGAAGTCACCCCAGTACCAGGCATAGTCCTTGACTACTCGGTGTGCGTCTAGTTTGACCCAGAGGTTGAACAGCACAAGCACGATGCCCGCAGTCCACCTGAGGACGGTCATGATCATACTCTCATCCACGGGACGGTGACCACACGCTATCGCGAACAGACAGTAGGAGGTAAAGTCACACATCAGAATCACGTCCACGAGACGTCTAAAGACAAGCCATGTGTTGTATTCAATGGGTGCATTGTCGAACTTGTAATCTTGCGGGATCTTGGTTTCCAACTCCCGCTTGATCCAATTGTACAGAGTAGGGTGCGGGTTGTCGCCCGTGGCCGGGTTGACAAAGATCTTCGTCTTCTCCGCCCATCGAATCATTGTCTTGTGATGCGACTGGTTGTGAAGCAGCCATCCAATTCCGCCATTGTACGCCGCGCGCCAGAACAGGTAGACGATCGCGAAGACCGGCACCTTGGCGCCCGCCGGAAGAATCCAAAGGAGCGAAATATGGAGTGCCAGCAGCACTAGCACAACCGCATCGGACATGTTCTTAGGTTCGGATGGCGACAGAAGCTGGGAGACCATATCATGGGTTTGGGGCACCGTGAACACTGTCGATCGGGACAGACCCGGTTAGCGGAGGGAAGATCCACAAGGGTCTGGGGAAGACATGTCATGATGGTATATCGCGAATAAACCGCGCATACCATCGTGGATAGAGCCCAGAACGGCGAATTGAAGATGGACGTACCTTTTCCATCGGGCGTCCGCCCAAAGGTCTTCTGGTCCTTGCCAGCCCCATCCTTGATCTCGATCTCCCCGGTAGCAGTCAGAGCATCACGACCCCCAGTTGAATCAGGGCGAGCCACATTTCTTTCACGCAGCCCATCGGGCTGCTGGGCCCCTGTTGAACGGCCCGTGTCCATGATGTTGTTGAGGAAGGAAACTGTTGGGGCTGCGATCAGTGACGATGGTGTAACATGTGACAGCGGGTCGCGATTGCGCTGTTTGCATCAACCACGGAACTACTCGTACTATACCTACCCTGGGCAATATCTCAGGGTTTAGGACTCTTTGGAACATCCGAGTAAATGGTTGAAAGGAAGAGGGTTTTATTTATGGGCAGAATTGGCGTTGAGTGGGTGGAACCCTGAGTGTCCGCCATCCCCATAGGAGAGACTTGGTGGCTGCGGGCCCCGAATGGAGCAGAAGGGGAAAGAAACGGGATCGTCCCAGGACGCTAAACGGTCTAGAGTTTCCTCTTCACTTCCATGGAGTGTCGAGACCACCTCATTTACAAGCATCGCAGCTATCATTGCCAATTGCCCTCGTGCGGCATCTGTTGGGTAACATGTCGACGGCTCCCAAAGGGGCCCCGGCGATGCGCGCAGCGGCAAGTGCGGGTGTAAGAGCAACCATTCGTGCAGCATCACCTCCACTGGACAGGTACAGGCCACGCTAAACATCCCACGTCGATGTGCGAATTGGCCGTGGTCACGAAAACGAGCGCGTTGCGAGACCCGTTCCGCGAATGAGGGCGTGCATGCATAGTGGAGGGGGGGGGGGGGGGTTGACATCATCTCAACAACAGATCCAGGGCAGCCAAGTTGAAGTCAGTGCGCAGAGATTGATAATGGATACTCCTAACACAAAGGCGTCTGCACTGCCCTCCAGTCCGATCAAGAGCCAGTGATATCACACTGGGTCTGCATCTCCAACAACCCCGCTTCTCGTCTCCCCTGCTCATCGGCTTGTCTCCATACTACATATGCTGCACTGATGCACTGACCATCTGCGGATGCTCCGAATCGAGATATTCGGACGGCTAGGTTCTGACAGTACTACGATGGCGTCGTACCTGGTGCTTGACAGGGTGATACGGTAGTTGCATAAACCCCCACAACTAAACCGGGATGCCGGTTAGCGCATTTTTAAGATCCTCTCAGGTTGGCCGAAAGCAAGGAATCGGCACTGCAGAATCTATCCTATTCGGTCGTAGCAGCGAGTTTGTTTACAAAGAGTTCCATGAGGCCCAATTGCACAAACTACAAAGTGGGTGGGCTGCTGATGGGTAGTCTGTCTCTCCCCCAAGCTTCATTTCATCAATAACTGTACCCGTGATAATGCCAATTGGCCATATCTAACCTCGAACCTGTCCCTCCCCAAAAAAAATAACCCGTTTACTTTCAATATGTTCTGTTTCGAACCAAGCAGCCAAATGGCCGCTCGCTCTCCGAGACCGCAGGGCGACCCCCGCCAATCGCCACGGGTTTGTTAGTCAGCACGATTATCAAGCATCGCTCTCCGCCACCGGCCATGGATTTCTCTCTACCTCAATACTTTGTTGTTTCTTGCTATTCCTGCCCCTGAGAGAAGAAAGAAACTCGCCATGGCACCCTACGTGGAGGAGCCGAACGAGCCAACCCTCACCGCGTCCACCAAGAGGGCGCCGAACCTTGTGGCTCCGGAGCCAGGTACGTCCCATGTGGAAACTGATCTTGTGTATATTCTAACGTACACCCCAGAACACTGCCCTGGTCCCGAGTCCGAGACAGCAGGTCAGGGTGATGCCTGCGCCGGCTGCCCCAACCAACAAATCTGCGCCACCGCGCCCAAAGGCCCCGACCCCGACATCCCCATCATCACCGAGCGCCTCTCGCAAATCCGGCACAAGATTCTAGTCCTCTCCGGCAAAGGAGGCGTGGGCAAATCAACTTTCACCAGTCTCCTCGCACACGCCTTCGCCACGAACCCCGAGTCCACCGTCGGCGTCATGGACACAGATATCTGCGGACCCTCGATACCCAAGATGATGGGCGTGGAGGCGGAGACGATCCACGTGAGCAACGCGGGATGGAGTCCCGTCTGGGTAACGGATAATCTGGGCGCGATGAGCGTGCAGTTCATGCTTCCGAACCGCGACGACGCGGTCATCTGGCGCGGGCCTAAGAAGAATGGGCTGATCAAGCAGTTCCTGAAGGATGTGGACTGGGGCCAGCTGGATTATCTCATTGTCGATACGCCGCCTGGTACCTCCGACGAGCATCTCTCTGTCAACTCTCTTCTCAAGGAGTCGGGTGTTGATGGTGCTGTGGTTGTTACCACCCCGCAGGAGGTGTCGTTGCTGGACGTGCGCAAGGAGATTGATTTCTGTCGCAAGGCTGGCATCAAGGTTCTGGGTCTGGTTGAGAACATGTCTGGATTCGTCTGCCCGAACTGCACGCATGAATCTCAGATCTTCCGCAAGACTACAGGCGGTGGACGCCGTCTGGCCAAGAAGATGGGCATTCCCTTCCTGGGTGCCGTTCCTTTGGACCCTCGCGTCGGTATGGCGTGTGACTATGGCGAGAGCTTCGTGGATAACTTCCCGGACAGCCCTGCGTCCATCGCTATCAAGCGTGTGGTCCGTGCAGTCGGCGAAGCCGTTGGGGAAAACCCTGACGATGTTCTCCCCGAAGATTTGGTCGGTTGAATTTGACTCGGGCCTTCTGCCTTCATTTTATAGCGTGTTGCATGCGGTTTGGATGGAAGGTTCCACCTCCCGGCGTTTGGACATAGAATCTACTTTGATACCATGGATTATACGACATAGTTTACGAGGATTGCATCTGCTCATGAATAACAGTTCCATTCATCTATTCAATTCAATATTTCTTCTTGTATATCATGTCAGCTCTTATATGATGTTGACCTCTGGGTCGAGTGTCATCTGTAACAGAACCCGGCGATAAATGGTCTTTAATTCAAGGTCGAAGACGGTTCACTTTCGTATCTCCCGCCCCAAGAGCCGTACTCCGAGTGCTCGCGGACAATTAATTCATTCTGAATAAGATACAGGAATGTAAAAGTATCTCAGAGGGGAAGAGCCGCCGCAGCGCCTCATCGGTAATCAATAAATTGCCACTCACTGATGCCACGGAGTAGTTAGGTGTCTGGCCTGGGTGTTCTGAGAAGGGGGGAACGTTTGGGACTTGGATGCCCCCTCAAAAACAGAGTCCTTTGAACTGATTCATGCTGATAAATGCCATTCCAGTACCTGAGTATAAAGACGTAGTCGCTCAATGGATTCTATTTTCATTGAGCGATTCATAGATGCTCCCAGGTGGCTTGTTGACTCAAGGCCGGAATCGGCAAGCGACATCTATAGATACTTCTACCCCGAGAGGGATGAGATTTAAAACTTCATCTATGTTTACCGATGGATAAACGACTGTAAATTTAATCTATTACATTAATTCACTAAGAGATGTCGATACAATCGCTGGGACTAAAGGTCGGGCCGGTTCCTATCAACAAATGATCAGCCTAACACCGACGGAAATTAAACCCAGGCAGCCGGAGCCCCCTAGTGAGGCATCTCCTGAACTCATTCATCGCTTTCAGCCATTGCACCGTTTCAAGGGGTTCTATATCCCGGCCCTATGCGCGCCAACCAGTGTTTCAGGATCGACAAAGTACCAAGGCATCCGCATTCTGAATGGTCCCACCTGTCAAACCCACGCGCCCAGGAGCCGCTCCACCAACACCAAACACGTCGCGGTATCAGAATAATGGGTGCCACCGGGAGTTCTCAATCTCATTCGGAGCCATGTCCCCTTACTAATATGACGGCTCCATTTGGAGCCGTTCAGCCGGCCAAGTTAAATGCCGGGTAATGACCACGGGCTTGTCGCTGTCGCAGGCGCCGTGATAGGTGGACCTGTAGAAACGGCGGATGATCAGAAACAGCTACGTAGTCCGCTACGTAGTCCACCTCACTTAGACTCCTTCTGAGGCGTGGTGGCGTGTATCTCGCGGTTCACTTGCTCTTTGCGCGCTTTTATAGAATTTGGATCCCCGGAGTTGGCGTTTTGTTTTCTTTCTCCTTGCAGCTGGAGCTGTTCTCTTTCATCCTCTCATTTTATTCTTCTTGAGCGCTGAGTGCTGAGCTGCCCGCTTCTCTCCTTCTTGCAGTCTTCTAGTGCCTCGCAGCTCGAGTCTGTGCCTGACAGTCCTTTCACGTCGACATTCCTTCTATTGTCATTCATTTTGCGAAACAGACCATTGTGAAGTTTTTCTGTTCTTTGACAGCTCTGGAGCTTGTTTACTTCTCTTCTTAACCGTTCTCTCTTTCTCATTTTCTGGCTGTGCCATATCACTGCAGTGGAGTTCCACACAAGACCACATGCGTCTGTTACTTTCTCTTATACTTTTGCTTCCCTTGAGCTATGACTCTCTGGCTGCACCAACTGCCCTTCGGCCGCAACGGAAAAGCAGGTCTTTCCGGGTCGAGCGCGTCAGGCGCAGCGACTATGTCGCCCATGGGCCCAGCGCTCTGAGCAAGGCGCATCGCAAGTTCGGCATCGCCCCCACCAGCTTCACCGGTGTTGATCTGAGCGACTTCGAGCCCTACGAAGTCGCCAAGAGCGCTGTACTAACGACCAAGGATTCGGACGACGATCAGACGGGAGAAGTCGCCGCGAAATCGGTACAGAACAACGTAGAATTTATTTCGACCGTCACCATTGGCGGCCAGAACGTCCCAATGGACTTTGATACCGGCTCAGCGGACATGTAAGTCCACTCCAATATCGTAATCCCCACAAATCCCACAAGACCAATTTCCAACTAACATGTTCATGCAGGTGGGTTTTGAACTCAAACATGGACCCGTCCTATATCCAAGGCCACACGGTCTACCACCCGGACAAATCCAGCACCTACAAAGCAGTCGAAAACAGCAACTTTGAAATCTCATACGGCGACAGTTCCTGGGTCAAAGGCACAGTCTGCACAGACACCGTCTCCATCGGCGGCGCAACAATAACAGACCAATTCATCGGTCTCCCCTCAGCCGTATCCCAGGCATTCGTCTCAGATACAAACTCCAATGGCCTGGTAGGCCTCGCTTTCTCATCCATGAATACCTTCCAGCCCGGTCCCCAGAAGACTTTCTTCGACAATATCGCTCCCGACCTCGAAGAGCCGGTCTTCACTTCCCTGCTGCGCAGCGGTGGCATCGGCGAGTATGAGTTCGGAGCCATCGATCAGAGCAAGTATACCGGTACACTGGTGAACGTCAGTGTCGACCCGTCCAACGGATACTGGCAATTCGATACGAAGTTGTTCGCTGTGGGTAGCGGGCCTTTGCAGAGTGTTGCCGATACGCCGACGGCTATTGCTGATACTGGTACTTCGTTGATGCTTGTCAGCGATCAGATACTGAACGCGTACTACGGCCAAGTCGAAAATGCTCGGTATTCTCCCAGTTCTGGCGGCTATATCTATCCTTGCAGTGCAGATTTGCCTAGCTTGACTGTTGCGCTGGGTGATAAGTATCAGGCGACTATCCCGGGTTCGATGATTAAGTTTGCGGAGGTTGGGACGAATACGACGACTGGCGGGACGGGTGAGTTTTCTTTTGATCTCAATTTGGAGTCTATGCTAATCTCGTCTTAGTGTGCTATGGTGGTCTTCAGTCGAGCTCGGGTTCGAGTATGATGGTCTTCGGTGATGTGTTTTTGAAGGCTTTGTTTGTGGTCTTTGATCAGCGGGGTCCTTCTCTTGCATTTGCTTCTCCGAAGTGAGGTGGGGTTGTGGCAAGTCAAAATCGAGGATGTACAAAGATATCTAGTTTGCCAGATGCGGTAGACGATTTCATAGAACCTAGGGCTAGGGCCTTTTCTAGGAGAGGTTCTTACCAACTGCACCTATCTCATACCAGAATGTACAAATTATTCGAAAGACTTCATTGCTCGTTTCACACATGAACACTAAAAGTATTGTAAAGGTTTTTGACATTGTCTTTTCGTGAATATGCTCTTTATGGGTTTAAGGTGTAATCGTCCTCCAGCAAATGATATCCATTTACCGCACGGTGGCGTCCTTCAGGGACTTGACAGTACACACGACTCCAGAGGCAGTAACCAGCTTGCCAATGGCGGGCTTGCCCTCCTGCTCCTTCGCAACAGGGACAGCGCTGCTGTCAAAGGCGACCTCAAGGTCCTGGGTAGTGGTGAATCCAGGCTGGAAAGTCTCCCAGACCTTCTTCTTGGGGTTGAGCTGCTTCTCCGGCTCGCCCTCGGACCAGCCCTGGAAGGTAATACGCTCGCCGGCAGGGGCGTCAGCGGGAGGGTTGACAAGCTCGACGGGGCCGGCGTGCGAGTCGTCGTTCTTGGGGGATGCGGCCAGAACCATGGCGGCGGACTTGATGCCGCGCATGGTCACGGGCTTCAGGTTGCAGACTGCCACGATCTTGCGGCCCTGCATCTCGGCCAGAGGCACCAGGCCGTTCAGACCGGAGCATACGGTGCGGACGGTCTTGCCAGTTTCCTCATCCAGAGAGGTGTTGTCGCTACCCGGGGCATCACCACAGTCGATGGTGGAGACGTAGAGGGAGTCGGCATTGGGGTGGTTGATGGCGCGCAGGATGTGGCCAACGCGAAGGTCAATGAGGGAGGGGGAGAGAGGGGCGGCGGGAGCAGGCGCGGGCTTGGGTGCCTTGGGCTTCTTTTCCTTCTTTTCCTTCTTCTGGGTCTTGAGAGCACCGGCGGCGGCGTCAGCACCCTCGGCGTTCTCCTGGGGCTTGCCCTGGCCAACAACGAGAGGCTTCTCGGCGGCGGCGGAAGCGGCCTCGGGGTTCTGAGCAGCCTTCTCGCGCTTCTTGCGCTCCTTCTCCTCCTTGGGGTCGACGGGCTTGGGCACGAACTTGACGTCGTTCACGTCAATGTTCACCTTCTCCTCGTCGGGGATCTGCAAAGAAAAGACGCGCGAATTCTGAACAAAGTCGACGTGGCGCACAATGTGGTGGTATCCCTTCTCACCGGTGCGCTCCTCAGGCGACCACTTTTCGACAAGGGGAGCGACCAGAGCGTACACGGCAATGTCGGCGACCGAGGGCTTCGCACCGAGCAGAGTGGTGCGCGTAGAGAGGTGGGTGTTCAGCTGAACTAGAATGCTCTCAACAACGGGCTTGTCATCCTTGGAGAGGGCAGTTGAGAGGCCCGAGACGGTGTGCAGCCACTGCTTGACGTCGGCAGTCTCGGTCTCGCCAAAGATCACCTTAGGGAAGATCTTGGGCGAGGCATGGATATAATCGAGCTCGGTGGCATCGGGGGAAATGGCGGCCGGGTAGGAGCGGTAAAGGAGGGAAAGGAGCGAAGACTCGGGGGTTGCTGCGGTCGCCATGGTGAATGCGCGTGGAGGTGATGGAAGAAAAGAAATTCGAGGAGGGGCACGGATCTGTGTCATCGAATGGACCCGCGGGGTTACGCTTCGGGCCCGCAATAGGGCCACACAGCGGAAGGGTGTCAACTTCATGGAGATCCCAAGGCTATGGGATCTGCTGGAGCAATTGGCCAATTTAGATTCGCGTCCTCGACTGAATTCCGCAAGCTAAGCTGCTTTTTTCGGCGGTCGGCGCATTTTGATGACTCAGCTGAGCGTTGTCTAAAACTTTAGGAATCCTAGGATTTGGACTGATGGCACCTGAGGAGTTAAATAGATATGTATTTGTACTATTAAATAATGCCTATGTTTATGCTAATCCTAAATAGATATCCTTTACAGCACAAGCCTTCTTGCTGGTATATTGCCGGTGGCTTTTTTCTGATTGGTTGTCGGCAATGTATATTTGCTTGGCTACTCAACAATGGTGAATCTGGAATCCATCCCGAGAGTTTATACTAGGTGAACTAGGTACGTACACCAATTAGAGGACCATATGACCTCTTCATAGGTAACTAGAACATTTCCCATACCTTCAATCATTAATTGCAAAAGCAAAAGAGCCGTGCGAACTGGTCATTCCAAGTCACGTGCCTCGATTTATTGGAAAACATAGCACTCGAGTGCTATGGGATGAGACTCTGCACATGTGAGTAAGCTTACTGAGTTTACCTCAGTCCTGCTTTATTAAATATCTAGATAAAAAGTCATTACAAGCGGGCCTAGTATTCTATACGGGAAGCGGGGACCGGAGCCCGGTCCTAGTGCACTGCTCCTCGGGGCGACAACCTCAGTGACAACTGGAAAGACTGAATGGTATTTACTGCATCACCAGGAGGGAAGAGCGTAGCTTTGGCAGGTAGTTGTGGGTCATGACAGGGCTTATGGCATTCCTGACCATATGACGCTTCGCGGATACCTTACGGAGGACCAGTTCCTAAGAGACTTGGAACATTGCCAGGCAATGGATGCAGCCATCACCAGTGAAGCATAATGGCTGGCTCCTCATTCAGAAGCATTATTCTAGTGGAGCTATTCAGGCGGCCCCTAGCCCGCTTAAACCCCAAAATGTGCAAGGTAGTAAGACACCTGAACAGTAAAGTCATTTTAAGTCCATTGAACGCTATTCGCCACAGCACTATTCACCAATGATAATAGTCTACATGAATACTGCCCCGGGTCTTGGAATAGTTCGTTATAGGTAATAAGTGGGCAGTGCGGAATTACTCAATCAGCAGCATAAATATCGACGGATCATGAGCGGGGGAATGAATCAAATGATAATCACTGCACGATACGCTAATCTTTTTTGACTTTGTTTTTGTCCTATTGCGGCCCAGCAGAGTTGGAATGTGAGGCACCCTTCGACTGGTGGCTCGTCCTATCGCCCTGTTCGTTTGAAGGACCCTGAGCCGGGCAGAAAAACAAAGGCGCAGCTACTATAATAAAGAACGTCGCCTCCTAGGCGTATAGCATCATCTGTCACATACGGACCTACATCCATTCTTGTTGTATAATATATAGTGGGGCCAAATGGGTCGGGCCGGGAAGATCGGCCCGTGAACTTTACGCACTCCCGTTGTATCTGTGATTATTTTTCATTCCACATCTGAAGACATTAAGACAGTCCAACTTGACATTGATTGCGTATAACCTGAGATTTGATAATATCATGACGCCTAAGCCTCGATTAACCTTGGAAGGATCCTTGGATCTGAGCGCGCTCCCATTCGCGGTCGAGGTTGTCACCGATGGCGTTGTTGGCCTCCTCCTCAAGTTCGCGGCGAGAAATCTCGCCCTCACGCTTGGAGATTTTAGACTTGGACTCCTCACGCGACATTTCAACTGTGATCAAATTCTGTCAGTAACTGTGCCACATCTCGCAGGCGCGCTGACACTAACCGTGAATGTAAACAGCGGCACGCTTGCCGCTAAACATGGCGTGAGGGACATTGGTGGCACCATCGCTGTTAGCGTCACCAATACCGAAGACACCAGTCTCGTTAGTCCGCATGGAACTGGCGACCTTAATCTTACCGTCCACCATCTCGAGACCCATCTGATACGGGAGGGTCGAGGTCTGATTGGTGAGGTAGTCAACGAGGAAAGCATTGCGCTCGACGGGTTTTCCTTCAGTGAAGTGAATGAGGAACTTGTCGTACTGTTTGTCTTCCTTGTCGTCGCGGTGCTTGGCACCATCCTGGATACGCTGGAAAGAGGAGATCATGCGGTTGTCAATGGTGACGTTCCAGGCCTTGAGCTGCTTTTCCCAGTCTTGGGATTTGGCTGTGGCTTTAGCCTCGTACTCGGGATTACGGGTGCCGTTGGTGAAAGCAATTATATCACTGTTCAAGGTGTGGATTTCCAAGACCGCACCGAGCACATTATCAAGAGTAGCGACAATTCCAAAAGGCTGGTCACGGTGCTCTGGAGAAGATTAGAACCGTCTGTTTGTGTGGGATGTTTATTTTGATTGTATACGCACCATATCCGTCGCACCACGGGCACCAAAAGATTCCCTTGCCGAAAGCCTCGCGCAGGCCGGGCGTCGGGGGAAGCAGGTCGTGCAGACCAGTACCAAGCACGATTTTGCGTGCCGTGTACTTCTCGCCAGTATCGTCTGTCACGGCGAAGGAAGAGAAGTCTCCATCTAATGGGACGATAGACTCAACAGTCACGTTCTTGAAGTGGGCAGTGTCGTACTTAGAGATCTGCTCTCGAGCCAAGCCTCGGAAAACAGCAGGCGGGGTGCCTATTCGAGGTTAGACCATCTGGCAATACATGTACTGGAAAGAAAGGCAAGACTCACCATCGTTGCCAATCACATCGTGCATTTCCCGGGTTGGAGCATTCCGATATTTCTGGTTGTCAAACAACAGAGCAGTGCGTCGGACACGGGAGACACCGCTGAGAGCGCTAAGACCCGCAGGACCTCCACCAACGACGATGACATCGTAATCGGTCTGTGGGACCGAAACGGCAGCAGTCAATGCCAACAACGAGAAGAAGGCGGTCTTCATGAACATGGTGAGGGATGAGAACAGCTGCAGCCTCCTGTTTACTCGCAGAGCGCGCGTCGGGATTCTTTATAGATCGCGAACAAGCCACGCGCAGATCAATAACTTGGTTAATTAACTAACCCGGGCTGCTCGGGTGGCGGGTACACTAGATGTTCAGGATCGGCATCCCTTACATATCTTAATCGAAAATGGGTTCTGCAAGGTCCGGGGCCTTCTGAGTGCCACGGGGTCCCTCAATTGCACCAAATATTGAGAGGCTTCCTTGTGTAACAAGCCTGCGGATCTTCGGATCGTCCAAGTAACTTGCCGTTTGCTGCAGCCGTGATTGGATGGGTTCCTTGGTATGGAATAAACCATATCCGCCTTCCCCCACAATGCCCTTGATATTATGTACTTTGTGATCCCGCAATGTAACATAACATTGCATTGCACTGCAGGACACTATAGCCATGTAGGGGTCTTTGTTTGATTTGCTTGGCAAATTTCCTTCCGCCGAGTGGTTTTGGTAGCTATTATTGTCCAAAGCCTCATTCTTTGTCGGCTCTTGTGAAGATCAAGGTAAAAGGTGCAACCGTCCATTGCCATTTCGGGGTAGGATTATACATTCTGGTCAATTGAAGAGGTACTTTTTTAAAGAGATCTTTCCTACTATCCCTCAACAGCTTCTCCAATGAGGCTCTAGACTTGCCTCCACTCGCAGTCTGCATAAATTATGCATCATCCGGATCGAACCGCCGCCACACATATATTTGGGATTCATAAAGGCTCATTTTAACTGCGAAGGCCAATTATGGCTAGCGTATGGTGAATTTTGTCCCTTCGCAAGTAGACAGAACACTATTGGAAAACATTGACGAGAAACGGTAGCTGATGTGTAGATGTCTACCAGATAACGACCTTAGATACAGTCAATCCAAAATCATCAATCTCAACTTCTGTTGATAAGAGTGAAGCTCACTGGGCTACCCCGAGCACGCACTTTATAGAGTGTTCCGTGAACACGTGGTGAAATTAACCTGATCTAGTCACGTGTAATTCAAATGACACGTGAATATTCTGGCAGAATTGAAGGTTAAAAATGGCACCTAAATTTAGTTTCTCCCATCCGCGCCAATCTCTGGACTCTGCATTAGTTAGATTGTAAGGTAGGATCGAACCCCTCAAGACTGCCTGAAAACCGAGGTAATAAATGGATAAGGACTAGTTTCGACGAATGTGATAGGACAATGGGGACGCACTAAAATGAGTCACGATGAGTCCTGCCACCGTGCACCAACCATCTGTCGCCCGTGGTGGATCCCGTGGAGGCCTGAGCCAGGGGGCGCCAACCTACCCCCTGGTATATCACCTGCTTTCTCCTCTCACTTCTTTTTCTTCCTCAGGACACCACTCCTCGGCCTCCGTGACCGAGCCTGCTCCCTTTTGTCTCTCTAGAGACACCAGCTTTCCGTTTCAAAAAGATTTAACGCGCCACGGGCCCGCTCAGGCCCGTTTAAACAATCCAGTCATGCCGGCCTGCAGTTGCAACAGCACCGCGGCGGTCAAGCAGACCATCCTCTTCTGGCAGCCCGCCCAGCTCCGCCCCTCCTTCAAATGCCCAAGGGCTGGAGGGGCCGTTTTCTCCCTGGCATAATCTCTCTCACGACCACCTCTACCACCATCAATATCCTCTTTCGTCCCTGGCACCGCCGTTGGATCATGTCCCCTCGGCTGTGGCATACGGCCAATCCTTTGACAATCTTTTGCAAGAGTCGGAACTTTGGGCAGATCAGGATCTGTCCTTTGCCGATACCGACTGGAATTACGTATCTATCAACCACGCCACCCCGTATTCCGGCTTCGACGGTGTCGATGTATCCGTGAACGACCTGGGATACGGCATGGCATCTACCTTTGCTTCTCTTTCAGATTCGGGATCGAACGATCCGCTTGCTGTTCCCGTCTCCGCCCATTTTGCCAGCTCGATGAATTCACAAGGTGAGACTACTCTGCCTTGTATCTGATCAAAGACCACATTCCTAACATTTCCATTAGACGGGTCCTCGCAACCCTCTCCTGTGTCTCAGATCCCTGATTCCGTGGCAACGTCTCTATCTAGTCCTGGTATGTCGCAGGGTGACGATGTTCTAGGTCGTGTGGATTCATCTCGCGTTGAAAAACGAAGAATGAACACTCTCGCGGCCCGTAGATGCCGTCAGAGACGCGTTGATCGGATGAAGGGTCTTGAGGACGAGCTGGAAAGTATTCGGAGGGAACGGGATGAGTTGAGACTTCGGGTTTCGAAGCTGGAAGGGGAGACGGAGGCGTTGAAGGGACTTCTTACTCGAAAGAGCAACTGAAGCCCAACAAGCCTACCTTTTTTTTGAGCTGGTCTCGCAATGAATTCAATTATGTGACTGTCACATTACTCTCTCGTAACCCCACGTCAATTGCATCGTACATGAACGTTACCTAGGCCTTATTCTAATCCTCGGCCGTTTTCCCCATCGAGTGCAGTTCTCACGTCAGAAATGCACGAGCCAATGGTAAATTGCAAAACGGCCCAATGTGTCAGGCTTAGCAACTGTAGACGGCCGCATTCCGCAGTATGTTCTTTTGATTCCGACGCTCTCTACTGGAATGTGGGGAGTCGCCTTCCATAGCCGCTTTACCCCACAAGTGTGCGGGGAGCGGGTTTCTCCCCGGCCTAGTTTCATATTTGGATACTGGGACTCGCAGACATTCTTGAACCAGTCAGTAAGCCTCCGGTATTTGAAAGAATATCCTCTTCGAGGGGTTTGCATCACTTTCTCTCTCTTGTTTGTCAATACCAGCAGCTGCAGGGTCCCGTCCGAGTAAACATGCGAGCCGTTCGTTTCCATGGGAGAGGAGACATCCGCCTGGACCAGGTCGAGGAGCCCACTTGTGGTAGTGGTCAAGTGAAGGTGCGTTCGACATGTCGGCAATATAGCCGGTACACAGTTCAGATACTAAAGATCTATTCGATACAAGATCAAGCCTGCGTTCGTGGGTATATGCGGCAGTGGTATGGAACCCGACACCCTTTCAACTTTCTGTTTCTAAGTTTCATCAGATCTTCACGAATATCTCACCGGTCCACATGCAGTACCCGTCAACCCACACCCACTGACCGGTGAGAAACTCCCCACCACTCTTGGCCACGAGTTCAGTGGAACGGTCGAGGAGGTTGGGGACGGGGTGACTGGACTCCAGATCGGTGATAAGGTTGCTGTCAAACCCAATCTTAGCGATGATACATGTCAGAGATGTTTGATGGGTAGGACGAATTGCTGCGATAGTCTGGGGTTTATTGGATATAGCGGTATGCTCTCGCTCATCTGAATTCTTTTGTGTGTTTAACATTCCCGGTGATGCTGACATGATCCAGGGAGCGCTGGTGGTTTGTCTGATCACGTTGTCGTGAATTCAAAACATGCTATCCGACTACCAGAGTCGATTCCTCTGGATATCGGGGGTAGGTCAATGTCTCGAGGGTATCTTCCAAACTAACGTTAATTCGGTAGCCTTGGTGGAGCCACTCGCTGTTGCATGGCACGCTGTCAGCCGCAGTCCGCTTCAAGCCGATGATTCTGTGCTCATTGTCGGCGGCGGCCCTATTGGACTCGCTATAGTGCAAGTGCTGAAGGCGCGAGGTATTAAAACAATCATCGTTGTGGAAATCTCAGCTCAGCGACGAGAATTTGGTCGTACATTCGGCGCCTCTCATACCCTGGACCCGAAGGAAGTGGATGCCGTTGCAGAGATAATAGCCATTACTGGTGATTTCCGGGGTACTTCAATTGCATTTGAATGCTCTGGGGTGCAGGCTGGACTAGACACCGTTATGGCGGGTCTCCGTGTGCGGGGGACAGCGGTCATCGTGTCACTTTGGGAAAAGAAGCCCACTATTAATGCATTTGTCGACATTGTCTTGGGTGAGAAACACGTTACCGGGGCCGCCATCTACGATTATGACGACTTCAACGCTGTCATTGAAGCAATCGCCTCCGGTAGGTTGAGTCCTTGCTCTCTAATTTCTTTGGCTAATATCTCATCCTTTCAAGGTAACATCAAGCCGCAGCCCATGATAACTAGCAAGATCCGTATGGATGAGGTGGTTGAAAGGGGATTCCGGGCGCTCATCAACGAGAAGGACAAGCATGTCAAAATATTGGTTGATGTTTCTGCATGTGTGCTTTAGAGTCCGGACAATTACCCTATGAGTTTTCGCAATTGAGATACCTAAATGACACACTATGTCCCAAGCAACAATGTAAATAGACCACTGAATGGCATTAGCTGGTCAAATTGGAAATTTTTTAAAGGACGTGAACTCGTGTTTCCAATGACTGCAATGTTCTATAGAGTGAAGTCACATGACATTTTCAGCCACGGTCCGATTCCGCGCAGGGTCATTTTTGTGGTCATCCCGGATCTCCACTGCATGGCCTAGGGCATGTTTACTTTTGTTGACCGGCCAAGAGGTAGATCTCGATTGTATTACGTCTCGTAGAGCTGATATGAGCATATTGCAAACACGAACGACTTCGAGTAGGAAGGAAGGTAGGGGCCTGGAGGCGGGGTCTCCGGTTCAGACACCGCTGACAGAAGTTGTCATCCGCACGAATCTCGGTTATTGGTGCAGGATATCGCGCCATGCGTACCTTAGATCGTCTGGGCGGGGTGGACAACAGATCGGCCTAAAGATAAACTACGGCCGAAAAGAAGTCCCACAGCGGCCGGCTCCCGTGCGATCGCGAGCCCAACCTCTGTCGATCTTTTGAATCGCTTCTTTTCGACGAGATTTTATTATAGACACATATTGCTGGGAGGACACACCTTGCTGGGACAGTCAAGATGCCAATTCATTGCCCCAGCGGCGCCCGTTGGGGCTTCGCCAAGATCCTCGCTATTCGACACTAAAGCAGCAAGTCGCCAAGGCGTGTCCGCATCTGATTGATCCAATAATTCTTCTGGGAGACACGGGCTCTGCTCACCTCTGAGACACACCGGCTCTGACACCGCTCATGGCCCACTGAATTGATTGGCTACTCCTTTTTGAGGGGCGGATTGGGACTCAGATCTAAGGTCCCCGATGCGCTATATACGTAGTCTTTGCCGGGGATGGGCGCTAGCTTTCAATCTGCATTGAATTTTTATTTAGATCCGACCTCCCTTTGTCCTTCTTGATCCCACCCATTTGCAGGGCAATTGGGATGTAATTCTCATCCTCCACTATCCGTACGACTATTTCGGAATTCCTCAATACGAAGTGACATGGGAAGATCGCTGACCGGCACCGTTATAATCACGGGAGGTAATGGACAACTGGGGTCAGAGATCGCCATTGCCATTGCCAAGACCCAGCCTTTTGCCCATATACTCTTGACGGCGCGAGATATTAAAGGGGCAGATGTTCGCAACCTGATCGCAAAGGTTCGGCTCATCGGACCGCGATCTATCGAGGTCATCAGCCTCGACTTGAATGACTTGAGATCAGTGACCGGCTTCGCCCAAAGTACAGTGGAGCGAGTGCGAAGCAACGAGATCCCGCCGTTGGTCGATCTGATCCACTCCGCTGCCATTGCATCCTATACTGTCGATGAGCTGACACTCGATGGATACGACCCAGTATATCAGACCAACTGCGTCGCCCCATTCTTCTTGACCATCAGTCTTCTCGAGGCCTTCCGCGCTGGCAACGGAACCCCCGGCGGAGGCGCGAAAGTGATCAACATTGGCTGCTCAGCAGTTTCCTATGGGAGATTAGACTACTTCGACCGCGACCGGGGGCGAGGCGATCGGCGGCTAGGCACACCGATAAGCGCGAAGGAAGGGAACGTCCGGTATGGAAGCAGTAAACTACTCGCAAGCGTGGCATTATATGCACTGCGGCGGAGTTTGACCAGCGTCAGTCTGACCCGATCGTGATTTCGATTCCGACTACATGCTCACAATCCTGACCGGCCATTTAGACGGGTAAAATCTCCCTCGACATCTTCACTCTGGACCCCGGCGGTATGGCCGGCGAGAGCAACCTGCGATCTGGGGCTCCTCTGTCCGTCAGAGTTGCACACCAAACACGGTCGGGGCTGCGGCCCTTTCTGCGCATGTTATCCAGAAGCTCGATGAACAAGGCCAATGTTCCCGCCAAGGTGATCGCTAAAGTCGCATTTCAGCGAGACGCGGTGGAGACCTGTCAAGCGGAGCGGTATTATATCTTGGACAGGGAGTATGAGGCCGGATCCGTCATACCTACTCTACGGAACGGGTCCCAGATGGGGAAAGTGTTGGTTAAAATGATGCAACAGACTGAAATCGGTGGCAAGGGAACAAGATCTACGGGGTCTGTCAGCCCTGGATCAGCACTGTGTTGAAGGTGCCATGAGGATGCAAAGGATGAATTGTACATATGATAAAATTGCATAGTGGACTGGCGAATATATTGAATTTAATTAAAGCGTCTCCAATAAACAATAGGATCGGCCGCAAGCGGGCGCCGGATTCGGTGAGAGCGGAGAGCGTGAAACGTGCCACATCGCGGGTTACACCTATTCTTCCCTGGCGATCGAAAGGGAGGAACTTGGAACTTTTTGGATTTTCCCCGTCTCTTCTCTTCTCTTCTCTTCCAATTCTCAGATCGCCATTCCTTCATTCTCCAATTCCTTCTCCCCCGGGCACCTCGAGCTGGCCTTTTTGAGATTGACGGGCTGGACTCGCCAAGGCCCATCACCAGCTTTCGCTCAGAACTCGATGCTACAAGCCTATTAGCGAAATGAATAGGCACTACGCCTCGCCCAAAGGCTACGCTGCCTATCCTCGCGGGGACAGCACCTTCTCCCTCTCGCCCAACAAGTACGTACACTGCAGTGACGCGTTCATCTTCACATGCGCTGCATATGACAGTCGATCTTCAAAAAGCAAGCAGCTGACTTAGTGTCCCCTGCTAGATTCCAACCTCGCTCACAGCCTGCCCTCCGCCGTCGACGCCAACTCTTCCAACGGCTCATTCTCCTCGGCGGCATTTCTCTCTTGCTGGTCATCTTCATTTTCCCCTCATGGCGCGCTGCGATCCTCCCTACCCTCTCGCTCGGCCTCTTCCACGGTACAGAGGACCTACAACTACAGACAGTCCGATACTATGACCTGTCCGAGGTGGAGGGAACAGAGAAGGGCTGGGAGCGCGGGGAACGCGTCCTCATGCTCACCCCGCTGCGAGATGCCTCCTCCCATCTCCCAATGTTCTTCTCCCACCTCCGCAACCTCACCTACCCCCACAATCTCATCGACCTTGCCTTCCTAGTGTCGGACTCGCGCGATGACACTCTCAACATGCTGTCGCGCATGCTCACTGAGGTGCAGAACAACTCGGACCCGACGATGGCCTTTGGCGAGATCTCGGTGATCCAGAAGGATTTCGGCCAGAAAGTGCAGCAGGATGTCGAAAGCCGGCATGGCTTCGAGGCTCAGGCCAGTCGTCGTAAGCTGATGGCCCAGGCGCGGAATTGGTTGCTGAGCGCGACCCTCCGTCCTACACACAGCTGGGTCTACTGGCGAGATGCAGACGTGGAGACGGCGCCATTTACGATCATTGAGGATTTGATGCGGCATAACAAGGATGTCACCGTTCCAAGTATGTGTTGACCGATGGTTTACTGGAGAATTACGCTAATTGCTATCCTTAAGATGTGTGGCGGCCGCTTCCGGATTGGCTAGGTGGAGAGCAGCCGTACGATTTGAATTCGTGGCAGGAGTCGGAGACGGCGCTCGCGCTGGCGGATACACTAGACGAAGATGCTGTCATTGTGGAGGGATATGCCGAGTATGCGACATGGCGACCTCACCTCGCTTACCTCCGCGATCCCTACGGCGACCCAGACATGGAGATGGAGCTGGACGGCATTGGCGGCGTCAGTATTCTGGCGAAAGCCCGTGTCTTCCGTGCTGGTGTCCATTTCCCAGCATTTAGCTTCGAGAAGCACGCTGAGACGGAAGGATTTGGCAAGGTAAGAACGATTGTCTCGGTCGATCCTACAATGACTAACGTGCTTTAGATGGCCAAACGCATGAAGTTTTCCGTTATTGGATTGCCACACTATACGATTTGGCATTTGTACGAGCCTAGCGTTGACGATCTGCGCCATATGGAAGAGATGGAGATGGAGCGACAGGCTCGCGAGCAGGAAGAGCGGGAACGCGAACTTGCTGAGCAGAAGGAGGCTTCCCAATTCAAGTTTGGGAATACGCACAAGCTCAACGACGAGTTCAAAGGTTCCGATAAGGGGCCTGCTGCTCAACCGGTCAAAGAAGCTGGAAAGGGCTCTTCCTTCCAATAAGTAAGGCAGCCGGCGATACCCCTGCCCTGGAAATGACTTCTTCTGCCGTTTCTCTCTCGGCCACGATTCAAAATTCTCTATCATAGAATTATCCAGCCGGCTGGATGATTGATTGCCGCTCGAGGCCGATTTGACCCAATCCGTTGGAACCAGCCATCACAAGGATTTTCTCATGTCGAACATTCTCGAGCAGCGCAGGACCTATTTAGCTTGTCATTTCTCATTCTTGCCTGTATATTTCCTGTTTTATCGGTGTTCTCATTCATGGTGTTTAGATAGCATACTAGATGGCGTGATACGGGGAAGCAGTGTTTCAAAAATAAACGATGAATTTTCAACACTTATTAACACAAGTAAATTTCCTCTAATAAATCACAACTGTTATCATTGACCACATAAAAGTCGTGGATGGTTGTAGAGTGTGTGAAGGAACCCCATTAAACGGTGGTCTGTGCCCTCGGAGCGCGTCCAGCGCGTCCCCGTCTTTTTACCGCGTCCCTCTCCAACATCCCACCAATTGCTCGCTGACGACCAGCAATTGCTCACTACAATGGCGACCCAAGGTACCCCGAGCATCCTATTCACCAACACACAGCCCCAGCAAGGCTTCCGACTCCTAGAAATCCCGCCCGAGCTAGAGGAACTGTTCACATCCAAAGACGCACCCGCGTAAGTCAACCCCTCACGTCCAGCACCATCAAACTAACGCTAGAACCAGACTCGAACTGAAGTCCCCCTCCGCAGCTCTTGCCCATGCCGTTGCCGACGCCAGCGGCCAGGAATATGTCAACCTATGCACGCCGACCCAAACATACCGCATCCGCCAAGTCATGTCTTCAAACTCGCTGCACATCCTCCGCCCCAGTCTGGGCCAGATCTCAAAAGCCGATATTAAAGTCGTCGAAGATGAAGCTGGGGAAACTGGCACGTTGAATCTGCCCGACGAGGCGGTTACAGCTATTGCAAAGTGCGGGTCGACACTGGAACTACATATCCCGCCGGGGGGGTTCTCGGCTGTTCCTTTTTTGGAGAAGAGTTTGGCGCTGTATGATCGGCGGGTTGGGGATGATGATGATGGAGATGTCGCTATGGATGAGTCTGGAGAGATTGGGCTTGTTGAGATCCGCAATTTGAGAGATCAGGTTTGCGCTGATATTCCCGTGTCTGCTGTTCAGTGTGAGACGGGGTGGATGGAGATTTGTGCTTTTGTTGATGAGAGGCAGAAGGTTTGTTGGAGACCTTCGGCAAGGATGCGGGTGAATGTTTGGAAGCGGATGATGGAGGGTGCGCTCCTGCAGGGGATTGACCTGGAGAAACAATTCCTTGTTGGGGATCTGTGGAAGTCTGTGCTTGATGATGGAGATGACTCGGAGCCACCGTTTCCTCGAGGGTTGCTTGAGGCCGTAGTGCGGAGGTTATGCGTCCCGGACGAGAGGCCAGCGTTGGCAGATGAGATCAAATGTGAGTTTGGTGGACTGGGTCTTGTGGACTTCTTTGGCTGACTATTGCTGCAGGGGCAAGCTTTGACAAGGCCGAGGTTACAAAATGGGTAGGCGAGACGTATCTCGCTGCTACTGCTCCCACGGTGTCATCTGCTATTGGACGCAGTGAGTTCTTACGAGCGTGGAAGGACTGTCTTCCCGAATCATGGAGAGATGAAGTTGCCCTACCCAAGCTGCCACAGGGAGCTTACAAGAGTCCCGATCCTACAACCGTCTTTTATGTTGAACCATCACAACGACAACAAGTCAGCAAAGCCTCAACTGCTTCGTCTGCGACCGCCGCCAAAGCCAAGACTACAAGGAACTGGCACGAATTGCTCAAAACTCAAACGCGCCGCTGATTGCAAGTCATCAAGGCGCTGCTGCGTTCATTGATGGAGTCCCAGTCTATAATGCTAGGCCCCTCTAGAAACATGATGGTCATATCTGCCGCCCAAGAAATATGAGATCCACCGTCAAGTGGGACGGATCACAAGCAAAATCCCAAAATGATACCCAAAGCCAAACGATTAGCACCAAGTGTACTTCTCGTTCAAAAACCACTCCACATCCTTGCCAAGTCCTAGCTCGGCACCTGTCCAACGCAAACTGGAAATACTGCTCTTCTCACGGTGCACGAGCTGCGCATCCGGATCCAGCAACGCCACTGCCTTTTGCAGCAGTGGTGTGGGGTTCCAAAACTCCACCGTGTGCATATTCCAATCATGTGCTTCTTGCTGAGCTCGTTTCAAAATACCGGCCATAGCCTGGACCAGTGTCTGCTCTTCCTCTGGCGTCGTGGGATCGTCGTACACCCACCGCAGAATGTACAGGATGTTATCTTCGGGTTGTTCGCCAAAGTTTCGATTCCAAGCGCAGTACACGCGAGCGTCATCGTTTCCAGCGCCCTTGATCATGGGCGGGGGGCGGTGCGAGCACAACCTTTGAGCGAAGAACTCCTCACGAGCCCAGTGCCATACGAAGTGATCAAAGTTAGGCACAATGGCGACCTTGGCACCGGTGGACTTTTGCGAAGCAACTCGTAATTGATCTCGCAGCTTAGCGAGAATGATGTCGTTGCACATGTTGCTCCGGACGTCCTCCGCGTACAGATCCCTCGTCTTCTCGCCCGCTCCGTGGGTCACTCCTTCCGCAGGCGGGAGAGCCAAGTGCGACGAAAGATAAGGCCGCCACCCAAACTGAGCATAGAACTTCTTCCCAATATCTGAGAAAAGAATAGTGAACAATGCTCTGCCCCTGGGCTCCTTTTCCATTTTCCAAGTATCGATCTTAGTACTCAGTTCCTCAAGCATGCGCTTCGCATAACCCTTCCCCCGGAACTCAGGCCGGCAGTAGACGCTGCCCACGCCGTGGGTGCCAACCTCTTCCACCTGGCCGTCGTGCGCAAGCAGTGCTTTCTTTCGGTACGACTCGCAGGAGCTGAGAATGGTGCGGTCATCCTCGGGCTCGTTGCGGTCCACCAGGATCCAGCATGTCAGTCCGTCGCGGGTCAGTCGCTGCTCGAGAAGATGGTTCTCGCGTGCGATATAAGTTTCGACGTCCAGGGGGCCTTTCCAAACGATGCTGTTCAGTCTGATGGAGGCGATGCGCTCAGCTGGGGTGGCGGGGACCAGGATTAGATCTGGGGAATCCCCCATTGGAAGAGAAGGGACGTCTTTTGCAATCATCTTGCCGCGCTACGTAGCTGGTGCAGTGCTCTGTAGATGGAAGTGTTGGTGTCCGGCGAGAGCGAGGAAACCCCAAAATTTCACAGCGGACTTTTTGTCCGCTAAGTGAATCGGAGGAAAAATAAAAGTATAGATTGGACTTGCACGAAAGCAAGATGTAAAGACAGAGTGGTCGTCAAGTATTCCAAGCGTCTATTGTCTCCGCTGTCTACAGACAAAGGAGAAAAGCCAGTCAAAGATGACAGGAAAGAAAAGTCCGGGGTGTCGTCGAAAGTGGATAACGGCTCCAGAGTATGCTACCCACGGGTTTCAAACGGCCTGATATAAATCCGGGTCTGGGGATGAGGGGCCAACCCTGTAATTAGAATAGTAATACGGGCCAATTCCGATCCTAGTGACATCCCCGCTCGTTGCGCCTTACGATCCGGGCCGGAATGTCCTGCTCTACGCTCCAGCAAGCGAAGAAGTGGTTTCTCTTTGTCAACCGGCCCGATGACAAGCGACGGCAAGCGGGTTGATGAGCTAAAGTTGTACTCCGGCTAGACCTGCCGTTGACGTAACACGGCTTTCGCGCTGGGTCAGGTGGCGCCCAGGGTAGGGCAGGAGCGAGTCAGGTGGCCCTTTATGTAATGCGATCTATACAATCGAGTCAGATCGCGTGGCAGATTAGATTCATGGGTTAACTCTATTTGATCTTCCAAGGTTGTGAGGTCCGGTGACGCGGATCCTTGATCAGGCGGGGTTTCGGTTATTTTGAGTCACGTCATTGCTAGCGGCTCCAGCTCACTCTTAGCATGTTAATACCAGGATGCCATCGGAATAGAGTCGCTGCGTATTATTCACACTGTATTTACAGGTGAATTTCCGACTTGTACTACCCTGGTCATGATGAGAAATGGTCTTCGTCAACAGAAGACGATGGATGAAAAGACCAGCGCAAAGCAATAGCATACAGCTTCTTCAAGTTGAAGCGTCTGTTCACAGGATCCATTATACTATACTGCACATTCGACTGGCTATATAACGCTTACAAAGTCAACCTGGAGGCGTATTATTTTCAGCCGGGCCCAGAGAACAGAGAATTCAGTCAACAAAGAAGGGGGGGGGAACTCAGCACAAGAATGAAGAGAAGAAAGGCCGAATGCAATGTCACGGGGGAAGTGCCATGAAGGGAAAATAAAAACGAAGACACAATAGAAATCAACAGGGACGCAACGACCGGAAGCGAGACGACACTTGGAAGACTAGTTGCTAGATAGTTGAATTGGCTAGAAAATAAAAGAGAATCATGAAGTTGAGAGAGATTCAACATAGGAGACGAATGAATACAAAAAAAGGAGATGGTATGAAAAAGAGGCCAGACCGCAGCAATAAAGATCAGCAAGGAGAGTGAAAACCCAGGGATCAGCACAAGAAGATGCAAAGAGGCAACACTGCAACCAGTGATAAAAAGGATGAGAGAGAAAGAGGGTGGAAGGAGAAGGAGCGTCATGAAGAAAGATGAAAAGAGCAGGGGAGAGCTTGGGGGAGTGGGAGGGGATGTAAAGAGCCAAAGAAAGAGGAAGAATATGAACCTGATCTATGTAAGTAAATGCCATGCGAGTCCCAAAAATTCGTCCGCTCCCCGTTTTATGTATTTGCGCCACTTTCTTGCGGATGGCAATTCCTAATTTCCTCGTCCATCATGTATGTTCGATCATTGGTCACGCTAAATCAAGAGACTGAAATGGGTGTGGACAAATAACAAACGAACAACAATTTCCCCATGAAGAAACTTGACACAAATATTTCCCAATGTTCCCCGCATTTCAAGGAAAAATTGAAGTTCATGGCGGTTGTTCTGAGTCCACCGGTTCGTTAAACTTCTGCCGTGCCTCCTCTACCCACAACTCCAACCGAAGCTCCCCAGCCTCCACACGTCGTACAGGTACTGTTTTGGCGCGGCCGTTCGAAACCGGAGGAGGTGGCCGCTGGGGCTCGCCGTTGCGTACTTTCGACACGGAGAAGGGGGCGGTGCAGGATCGTAGGTGCACCTTTCCGGGCTCGGCGACGATCCACGTTTGTTCTTCTTTGGTAGTGCCTGCAGGGGGTAAAGCATCCTCGCGGACTTCGATACACACGGTGAAGCTGAATTCGTCATCCCGCGGCAGCGGGGTAAGTCGCGCACAGGCGGACGCGAGGCGGGCTAAACAGGCCCGGAATTGTGACTCGAGGTCGACCGAGGTTGGGGCGGGGCCCCTGTCCGAGACGGAGGCGCCTGGCATAGATGAATCTTCGGTTCTGTTTTCAAACGTGGTATTCACTTCTCCAGCCGGGGCCCGAGGGAAACCCGACAGATCAAAGGCATATCGTTCGAGGGGTTGATTTGAGCGGAGAGATGAAATAATAATACTGACGGCGGTGATTGTGCCTTTCAAGATCTCTGTCCCGACTGCGATCGACGCATCGTTGATATAGTCGCACACTTTAGGGTGGCGGGATTGCCGGACGGGATAATTGTATGCCCGCACTGGCAGGAAGGTCGCGCGCGGGTAGACGGATCGCAGGAAGAGTATTTGGTGGACGGAAACGGTGAGGAAATTGGTAAAGGAAGCCGCCAGCGCCGACTGGTTGGTGGGCAGCGATTTGGTAGCAGGGACCGGAGCGGAGAAAGTGGTCATGGTGGTGGTACTACTGGTCTCACTGGCCATCGGCATTGCCGTCGAACGATCTAGCGTCGTTTCCACGGTAAGGGTGATCTTGACGGAGTCTCGAAGAATCTGAATGATGTTCCACCCTGAAGCTAATCATCGCTCTGCCTTTCTAAAATCATCGGTCAACCCTGGTATTTTGTTTAGTGGGATGGGTGGTGCACTATCAAGGTTTTTTTCCTCCGCTTGCCGACGGCCAACGACACATCGAGTTTCGGGATGGGACTTGAGGGTAGTGTGCGGCAAGGGCTGAGACAGTCGGATTAGGTAGTGAGAGGGGGGATGAGAAACCCCTGGTTGGTGGTCGGGAATGAAGTTGGGTTGGAGAAATGAAGTAGATGGGGGGGGGTTCCGTGTATATGGTTGGGGAGGGGAGGGGAGGAGGGGGTTTGGGAAAGCGAAACATACGCTTGGGTGGACAAACGACAAAGATTCAAAACCTCAAAGCATGAGGGATGGATGACGAGAGAAAACAAAGCGCCGATCCCAGAAATATAAAAAGAGAGGGACTTTTTTTTGGGCGCAATGATGTTTGTCCTCTGGGGTGTTTGGGTGAGGAGGGGTGGGTTCAAAGCGAGAGGAAGGAGGGGGCGTAGGGTGAACCCGAGGGGGTTTAGCGGCAGGAAAGTCCTTGGTGCCTGGCGTGGGCGACAAGTGACAAGCCGGACAAGATAAAGATGAAGGCGATGAGTCGACGTTGAGAAACGATGTACCCCGTGGCTCGAGGGGAAAGGCAGGAGTGGAAAGCGCCGGTCAGTGGAAGGTCACGGTTCCCGTCACGTGGTTGCGTCATGGTGCTGGCCCTGCAGAACTCGTCTACGTTTTCGCTTCTACGGCGTTGTTTCTCGGGGTTTTTTTAATTTATCGATATCTGGGGATGTTTCTCTGTTCCTTCGGCGCATCGAGAAAAATTTTACTGTCCGGAAAAGCTTGTCGTGGACACGCTAGGCGGGCCATATTGAAAAAAATAGGTCGAACAATACAAATGGTATCACAGGTACCGCCTTTCGTGTACGTGCACAGAGCGCACAGGTTTTTGCCCTTTTTGCCTCTTTTTCTCTTCCCCACCGAATTGGTGAGTTGGGTGGGATGATGAGAACTCTAGCGGCAAAGGGCGATCATCGCTTGCCCTGGGAGAAAAATAAAAAGGTAAAAAAAAAAAGGAGTATCAACACACGTTGGGTATAACACCAAGAGATATTATGGGGCAAGGAACCATAAAACCGCCCAGCGCCCAACCTTGGGAGCGGTCCAAGAACCGACGGGGTATAGCCGAGCAGGGGGAAAAAAAGCCACTGTGCGGATGTAAGCTTATTTTCCCAACTCCGGTACCACTAAGACCTGACAGAAAGCCCACGACCAATTCTGCAACACTGTTGTCTTCAAGGCCGCAAAAAAAAGCCCTTCGGAAGATTGCAGTACGACCGATTACACCGTCCATCGCCACAGACCGCAGCACTCGGAAGAACCAGGGCGGTACCGGGTAAACGAGCCGTACACATCTGTACGCTGGGTACGCGCCCCTCACTCGCTTTACCGATGATCTTCCAGCTCTGACGGCAGTGGCGACCGCTACGATCCCCGGGGAGAGCGCAGCCTCTTTCCGGTTGACTTGGCCCCTGGGGATCGACTATTCTGCCGCGATTGTCAATCGCATTTCTTCCATCCGATTCTATACTGTAACCGCTAAAGAGATCTTCGCGTGTCTCCGGTGATCATGGAGATTCAGTGAGGGGCTGTCGATTCTGGATAATTATCCCCCTTTGAGAACAGCTACTGAACAACAACAGCACCCAAGGAACCTTCGGGATACAATGTCATCGTCAGCAATAATCGTACCGGGTAAGAACAATCTCGCACTCTAAAATAAAAAATGACAATGTGACGCGAGGAAATGTTCGAAGGATTTTATCATGATCAGTTTCCCGACTGACATTGAGCCAATCCGGTGGGCCTATTGGATTCTTTCCGAAAGATCACGATCCACCTTATGAGACCGGGCGGTGCCAAGCGTTGAAAACGCAACTAACGTCCCAGTAGTCATACTGTACCTCTAAACGAATGCCTTGCGCCTGGGGTTTCGAATTGTCCGTGCTTTTCCCGCCCTGGTCTCACCAGGTACCCGAGGTCCGTAACTAAGTACTGTACATCTATATATGCAACCTTGTAAACGCATTACCGTCCGAGTTACCACGGAGGAAGCTGGGTAGTGAGTGAGTGATAATTTGCCTCCAGGCGACTTGTTGGTTTTGACTAAGCCGGAGCAATCCCAAGGTCATCTTCCATGGAAGCTGCTACGATGAGGTTTTATACGGCTTGCACGGAAACGTCTCTTTAAATGACTATGCAAAGGCCACGCTCCAATTCCGAAATATCGTGTCCCTCTCACTGTCGGATGGGGCCGAGATACCCCGGTATTCTAAATCCGTCGGAACCTTTCCCCTCCATCGTATTCCATCCCTGTCTGATGGATCCATGTGTTGCAGACGGGGAATGACAAGCAAGGATCAAAAGGTCAACCCTGCCACCGCATGCTATCTGCCTCGGCATGTGGTAATCTGATAGAGAAAGGCCGGAGGCGACGATGTACCTTGCCAAAAGTACATCCTGCACGAACACACCGCAGATCCTTCCAGCATCTTAGAGTGCATCCATCCCTCGCAGCTCCAGCGCTTGGCTTTCTGGTCACGAGGATCGTCCTTCTTTGGCTTTTTTAAGGGTTCGACGACAGATCGAATCAAGTTGCTTGAATAGCAGTTGACGATGTGTACTTGCACTGCAGAGTTTCTCCACCAATGGGTTGGGCAATAGTTAATTCCAGTGACCGGCACACAAATCAGAATGAAAATTAGAAGAAGATCGTAACAAATTCAATGAGATTCGAGCTCAAGAAATTGAACCAAACACTAAGTCAAAGCGGTTGTGCTGCGGGCAACAAACATCGATTGACCGCCCTCTGCCCCTCGTGTCTCCTTATCGCGCGGCGCGCAAAGTTATTGATTTCACCTCCTTACGCGGCCTCGAGCCAACCTCAATCCTCACAATTACTACTCTCGTGATCAATTGATCACCACAATTAGCCATGGAGCAAGAACTTCTGTCGCTCCTGGCGGACACCCAGTCCTCCACGCAGGGCAAGAGGCAAGCTGCGGAGCTTCAACTGAAATCCCTCTACTCCAATGAAGCCTTCCCCATCTCACTCACAGCCATTGCCTCCCACGAGTCTGTCCCCGTCAACCTCCGCCAGTCCGCCCTCTCCGTCTTGCGCGCCTTCATCGGGGTCGGCTGGTCCTCCATGCTCGACGATTTCAAGGGTCATGTGCTTGTCAACGACACCAACAAAGCGCAAATCCGCCGCGCGCTGCTCGAGCTCGCTACAACCACCGAGACCCCCGAACGCAAAGTCAAGGCCTCGGCCAGTTACGCCGTTAGCAAGATCGCCAGCGCCGACTTCCCGGATGACTGGCCGGAACTCCTGCCCGCGTTGCTACAGATCATCAACGACGCCTCCACTAGCGATAGCGCCCTGCACGGGGCTCTGAAGGTACTTTTGGATCTGGTTGATACTGGACTCAGCGAGGATCAATTCTTCAATGTCGCCCGCGATCTCGTCTCCTCCCTTTTCGCCGTGGCCACCTCGGAAACTCGTCGCCCTATGATGCGAGCTCTCTCGGTCGCGGTTTTCCGATCATGCTTCGACACATTTGAAATGGTTTTGGAACAACACAAGGCGGCCATTAAACAATTTGTGGATGAGTTGTTGGGTGGGTGGTCGCCCTTCTTCGTCGCGACCCTGAAGGCACCCCTGCCCCAAACTCCCTCCGAGGAAGATGCCAACAAAGAGGGTGAGGTTGCGTCGCAATGGCGCGGGATCATTGGATTAAAGATTCAGGTTGTCAAGGTACGGAGTGCGCACTTGTCGTGTTGATTATGTCTTGGGCCATTGTCTGACTGATTTCTGCTATAGACTCTCATGAAGATTCGTGGAGTGTTCCCCGGTCTCCTGACAGCCCAGAGCCCCGCCTATTTTTCAACCGTTTGGGATGAACTTACCAATGCCTTTCCGGTCTATCAAAGCTTCTATATTGATGACGAGCGCCAGGGCCGTTTAGAGGATGTGGATGGTCTCCCCTACTCGCTTGATTTCCTCGTCTTGGAGGAGTTAGATCTCATTCAAACCCTGCTCAAGGCGCCCCCAGTTAAAGCAGAGCTCCAGCAGCAATTGCAGAATGCCGGTGCGGCTGCGGGCTCCTCTGGCTGGCTGGTTGAGATCATGAAGCTTTCCAGCTCCTATGCACAGATCACCATGGAAGAGGAGGGCCTCTGGGATGTCGATGTGAACCTGTTCCTGTCGGAGGAGACGTCGGTTACGGCCAACTACACACCCCGGTCCTGCAGTGGTGATCTAGTGATCAAGGCCGGTGAATGGCTGAAGGAAAAAGCGGCCGAGGGCATGCTGAGCTATATGAACAGCCTCTTTGCTGACAACTCTTCTTCGTAAGTTATGGAGTCCACTTAATTTTGTTGAACCGAGCTAACGTTGATGTCTAGATGGAAATCCCGTGAAGCGGCTCTTTCCATCCTGAATTTCCTGCTCCGGGACTTTGGCGAAGTATCCCAGGAGATCTCTCTCGAATTAGCCAATCATTTTACCCAATTTGTCAACTATGCACTCCAGCAGGAGCAGGAGCTTCTCCGTGCACGAGGCTATCTCGCAGCCGGTGCCTTGGCCCGCGTTGCAGGCCAAGGATTCCAGCAGAACACTATGACTTATCTGGAGGCGACTCTCAAGGCGATCGCAGAAGACCCTTCGGAGGTGGTCAAGGTTGCTTCCATCCGAGTCCTGCAAGATCTCGTTCTGTCCCTGCCCATTAGCGTGGCTCGTCCATTCCAGACGACCGTGATCAACGCCATCTCGGAGTTCGTCTCGGCGCACGACCTGCGTGAACAGTCCGACTGTGACGACCTGAAAGTGACGCTGGCGGAAACCCTGCGAGACACCATCATGGCCGATCCGAGCGTGGTCTTGTCGTCGGTGGCCATCGATGTTCTCTTCAACATCGCCAGCAGCGGTGCCGAGAACTTCCAGCTAACCATGACCGTCACCGAGGCCTTTGAGGACATTGTAGACCAGATAACCGAGCACGGCCCCGAGGCCTACATGCGCCTTTGCGAGAAGGTGCTGCCTTCCCTAATGGGCGCCATCGACGTCGGCAGCATGACCGAGGAGAACGCCCTGACCAACTTTGCGGCCGATCTGCTTCGAGCTCTAGCCGAGCGTAGCTCCGAGCCGATGCCTCCTGGCTTCGTGGAGACGGTGATGCCCAAGCTCAACCGTCTGCTACTGGGCTCTACCGAGGCCGAGCTGATCCGGCCCGCGACCGAAGCCGTGCGCCATATGCTCTCGCACGACTTTGCACAGGTCTTGGCCTGGCGCGATCCCCAGTCCGGCAAGGAGGCGCTCGAGGTCGTGCTGGTGATCATCGACCGACTTCTCGGCCCGGCCGTGGACGACAATGCGGCCGTCGAGGTCGGCCAGCTGGCCGCCGAGTTGGTGGAGAAGGCTGGCTCGGAGCGCCTTGGCCCTTACCTGCCCCAGCTTCTGCAGGCGGTGGCCCAGCGCCTGGCAACCGCGGAGCAGGCACAGTTCATCCAGAGTCTAATTCTGGTGTTTGCCCGGCTAACGCTCATTAGTCCACGTGAAGTCGTGGACTTCCTCGCGCAGGTCAACCTGGGCGGCCAAAGTGGCCTCGCAGTGGTACTGAGCAAGTGGCTGGAGAACTCGGTTAACTTTGCCGGCTACGACGAGATCAAGCAAAATATCTTTGCGTTGGCGCGGCTGTACGAGCTGTCGGATCCGCGTCTGGCAGAGGTGCCAGTCAAGGGCGATCTCATTATCCAGGACACGGGTCGCATCAAGACTCGGTCGCAGGCACGCACCAACCCCGACCGGTATTCTACGGTGGCAGCGCCCTTGAAGATCATCAAAGTGCTGGTGGAGGAACTATCTGCGGCCTCAGGCAACAAAGCGATTGACGCCGCTCAAGCGGCGGCCCTGGAAGATGCGGACAGTGACGATGGTGATGACGATTGGGAGGATGTGCCGGGACAAGTGCTGGATTTGGGATTGGGAATGACCAAGCAGCAGCTGATGAGCTTCGGCGAGGGTGGAACGGAGAGTGTATTCGGCGTGCGACAGCGGGATGACGAAACGCAGGCCTTCCTGACTGACTTTTTCCGGCGGGCGTCGACGCAGCCGGGATTCCAGGGATTATACGAGGCACTGACCGAGGACGAGCAGGCCAAGCTGCAGAACCTAGGGTAGTGCATATAGCATAGTGCATCTCGGACCTTGAATTGGTTCCGGGGATGGAACTAGCGCGAAATTTACGAGTCAACGATCCTTGGAACGATCCAGGGATTAAAGTGGAGACGCACCCGACAGTTTGGAACAGGGATTCACCGTAGTCGTCACAATACTTGTCACTAGTCCACAGCCAGTCCGATCGGCTAGACACGCCAGGTGTGAGCGGACATGGCGAAAATGGCCGGTCATCCCGACGCCCCGGGTACTGCGGGGTCAAACCTTGGGAGAGGCCCGCCTTTCTGGGTCTCCCGGCATCCTTTCACTCGGGTCTGACTTCTTTCTTGAATAGCTTCATCTTCTTTCCATCTCTCTCCTTCCCCTCCCCGACGCCATGTCTCAGCCAAATCCCTACGAGCGCATTCAAATCGATGTAAGTTACCCTTCCTCCTCTCCTTTCTCTCCGTAGCCCTCCCACGTCCTTTCCCCGTAAAAAGCAACCAAAAAGAAAGAAACATGTGTATGCTCAAACAATGCACACTCAACACCCAATCTATCCCTCCCCAAACCACACTACACCACTCACTCTCCCATCCCTAAACCCCACCACCCACACCAACCAAAGAATTCCAACCTCACACCTACCAGACAAGCGACGACGACTCCTCCATCGACACCGAATCTCTCCTAGGCTCCAACCTCTCTTTCGCGAGCTCAGTCCGCGACTACTGCTACGAAAATGGCCGCCGCTATCACGCCTATCGGCACGGGCAATACCCCTTTCCGAACGACGAAGAAGAGCAAGACCGTCTCGCCATCATGCACCATCTTTTCAAGCTGCTCAGTGGCGGTGATCTCTATCGCGCCCCAATAGCCCGTGACGGCCCCCCGCTCCGCATCCTGGACGTCGGCACCGGCACTGGCGAATGGGTCCTCGAAATGGCTGAGGATCACCCATCCGCCGAAATTCTCGGCACTGACCTAAGTCCCATCCAGCCCAACTGGGTGCCGCCCAATTGCCGCTTCTTGATCGATGATGCGGAGTCTGATTGGACTTTTTCCTCGTCAGAGGCGTTCGATTATATTCACGCCCGTAGTATGGGTGGGGGCATTGGTGATTGGCCCAGGTTTCTTCGGCAAGTGTATGCGCATCTGAAACCGGGGGGTTGGTTTGAGGCGCAGGAGTTTGAGGCTTGGGTTCTTTCGGATGACGAGACACATTTAAAGGCGACTGCCGTTATGGATTGGCAGGATCGCTTAAATGAGGCTAGTACGAAGTTTGGGAAGCTGATGAATATCGCGCCGCGGCTTGCGGGCTGGATGGAGGAGGGGGGTTTGTTAATATTTCTGATGATATCTACAAGGTATGTTTTCTTCGCTGGTTGGAATGATGGGGTGAAGAGGCGCTGACACGATCACAGTGCCCGGTTGGCGGTTGGGCGAAGAACCCCCGGTTAAAAGAGATCGGCCGCGTGGGCAAAATCACCATTCTCGAGGTCGTCGAGCCGTACACGCTGGCTCTGTTTACGCGCATCTTGGGGTTCAGTTTCCAGGACGCGCAGGAGTATATGGACAAAGTGCGAGCTGAGTTGGTGAGCAGCAAGTTCCATCTCTACGTGCTGTTTCATTTTGTCTATGGGCAGAAGCCTATGGATGAGCCGAATGGCCAATCGCCGGCTTCATAAGTTGACATGGCTGTGACGAGTCTCTACGACTGCGAGCCTGATCGCAAGATTGGGTCTCCCATTGACGACTGATGGTTTCACGACTCGGATTTATAATGGTATTATTTGTTTCATGTATTACATTTCCTTTCTTTGGTGGAAGGAGTATGTGGAGGTCTCCAAGATCTCACGCAGGAGTGCCAAAGGGCTTCAGGGTGTCATCGCGTACCGATCCCCAAAACCCGACAAATCCCCGAGACGGCGTCCTCAGGTGTCGCACTGGATCGAACGACTTGCACAACTTGATCCACGCGCTCCTCGTCACAGCTACCGATCGTCCTCAAAAGTGTCTCCAAAAGCTCCTGTTTCCCCTCGCCCTTCCAGGAGTTCGGGATAGCCTCAAACGGACTCGCTCTGAATGATTCGTCCCTAGGCATATGTGTCGGAGCATTTTGAGGAACAGAGTGCGATAACGGAAGATGCGCACTGGGATCATTGGAAAAAGCGCCGAGAGATGATGAATAATGTAAAGAATCGGGGTATGCATGCGTCGGTGGATACTGGTGTCCTGCATCGTGCCTCCATTGCTGCTGATATGCATGAAATTGTTGATCCTCGTTCGTGCCGTATTCCTTGTAGTGATTTGCGTAATTATCATAGCCCGCGACATGTGGGTTTATATGGTTGCCGTCCTCGATCGCGTTGCCAGGGCTATCACCGCCGTACATGTGCATTGTTGGGTGTATACCAACACCATCTAGAGGCATTGACTGCGGGAGGCCGTGCATCGAGATCGACCCCGGGATTTCGCCCGGCGCAAAGGCCATGCTCCCTGCATGGTACTGCGGTATCGTTGCATCGTCTAACGTATCTGAAAATATATTAGCACAGCCGCGCGCAGACCTCGCAGCCAGAGAAAAAGATAGAGGAAAAAACTCACAACCCCCTAACCCAGTCTTACCGACAGGCGCAACATCCATCTCCACGCTTTGCGCGAACTGGCCCTGCACCGGATACGACGAAGTTTGCATCTGCGCCCCATTCTCACTACCTGTACTACCAGGACTCATAACCGCCCCCGAATTCGTCGTGGTCGTCGTCGACGACGGCGAGCTCCCAGGCCAGCTCCCCCCATCCGCCGACCCACCACCCGAGGCACTCGCACCCGAATGCCCAGCTCCGGCCCCGGCTGTCGGGTCATTACTGGAGGGACTAGAACTGTGCCCTGTATATTTGCGCGCATAGCTTGGCCTGGGCAGACCCGGCTGTGAACCCTGACCCAATTGGCCGCGCAGCTGCGCGACCTCGCGACGCAGGCGCTCGATCATCTCCGCCTGGCTAATGTGCGCGCGGTCCTCCGCCGTCGATAGGTATGTGCATTCAGCTTCGAGCCCGCGGATGATACACGCGTGGCATGGTACTGAGCGATCGCACTGCGCGTTCGTTAGCTGTGCTGTTGGGACCCGGGGCGAGCTCGGTGGCGCAGAGGTCGGGGGGGGACGAACCTTAACTTTGCGCTCACGACACTTCAGACAGGACTGCTGTGGGCGGATCTTAGTTTTTGAGTCTGAGGGCGGCATAGCTATTCGTATGTGAGGGGAAAGGAGATCAGTGTTCGACGGGAATTCCGTGAAGATGGGCCGCGGCCTGTCAAACCGTTTTAAGTCCGGGTGGGGAGTGTCCCTATTGTTGGCTCCACCGGGGTTCCGATCACATCGCAATTGGCCCCTGAACTGCTGTGGCGCATGTATGTTCTTTGCTTTGTCTTCAAGGGCGATGATTCGTGGCGGTGCGTAGAGATGGATCGTATCTTGGTTGGCAGGATTCCTCCAAGGGGGGTTGGGCCATTGACTACTGATTACTATTACCGCACAGGGTACTTTTGCTTGGAGCTAAGGTTCTTACGAACTTTGTGACGAAGCACTCGCTAACTCCAACGCAGCATACCCTGTCCCTGCCTGTTATGGAATTATTTTATGGGAATTGACACTCCCACCACCCTTGACCTAAATTCTCAGGCATATTTCTCATTTAAGTATATTTTACCGCCGTAGGAAGGAGATCGTGGAGGTTGTAGGAGGCGTGGACAGCGTAGAGCAGAGGGCGTAGAGGGCGTAGAGGGCGTAGAGGCGGGGTCGTCATTAGAGATTAGACGGTCCTGCGTAGTAGCAACGTGGAGGTCAGGGAGGTGCTAAGTATGTAGATTGTGTAATTGAACGAGAAGAGAGCGATATAATAGGCTGAAAAACCAGTTATACAACGAGGTATTGCTAGAATTTGAGTTGTTCAGCTGAATAGAATAGACACCCATAAGAAATGGCTAGAATCTGCGGGAAGAAAATACAAGTGTTCCTAGATTCCAAGGCAGGGGTGGTGGGAGCAGTAAAGGGGGGTGGTGGGAGTATCAATTCCCTATTTCATCCCGGGCAAATGCGCCACTGCGTCAGGAACACCACGTCGATCGTGTACCTATCCTGATTGACTAGCGTTAAATGCACCGTGCTCGTGATTAAATTATTCAACAAGTTTCTTATCTACAATGGTACCGTCGCAGCCCGATGTCCCTGCGATTTCCCCAACGTATGATCAGTGTCGATCCCGGGGATGCTGGTGCGGGGGAATCAGTGCTTCCGAGGCCTGAGCTCGGTCCTGAGCTTCGTGCATATAGATACCCGCTTCCTCATGGAGCTGCTACTGATCCCTACGGCTTTGTTTGCTGCTTTTCTACGTTTCTTCAGCTTCTTTGACTTCTTTGACACTATGGGGTGGTCTTCCGCAACCAATTGGGCCACGCCGGCCAAGCTGGCCGGCCTTTTGATGCTCCCATTGCTCCCAGTCCAGGCGTCTATCGAGGATGTCGGTCTCCTCCCAGCACCCCCAATGGGGTTCAACAATTGGGCCCGCTTCATGTGTGATCTCAACGAGACACTGTTCACCGAAACTGCCAAGTCAATGGTGAGCCGCGGTCTTTTGGATGCGGGCTACAATCGCCTCAATCTCGATGACTGCTGGATGAGCCATGACCGTGCCGCAGACGGATCTTTGCAGTGGAACGAGTCCTTGTTCCCCAACGGCATCCCATGGCTGGCCGACTTCGCCCACCAACATGGCTTCCATCTTGGTATCTACGAAGACTCGGGCAATGCCACTTGCGGTGGTTACCCTGGCTCCTATGGTTACGAGGACCAGGATGCCGAGACCTTCGCCAGCTGGGGCATCGACTACCTCAAGCTGGACGGATGCAATGTGTATCCCGAGGATGGCCGCTCCGATGTCGAGGAGTATAACTTCCGCTATCGACAGTGGCACAACATCTTGAGCGACATGGAGGAGCCACTGATCTTCTCTGATTCCGCGCCTGCGTACTTCTGCACCGACCCCGTCCAGTGGGCTGAGGTTATGGACACGGTTCCCTACTATTCAGAGTTGGCCCGTCACTCGGATGATATTATCACCTACACTGAAAAGGGTAACCCGTGGGATAGTATCATGACCAATTACCACTTTAACACTCGCGTGGTGCGCTACCAGATGGCCGGCTACTACAACGACCCGGACTTCCTCATCCCAGACCACCCAGGTCTGAGCATGGACGAGAAGAAGTCGCACTTTGCTCTCTGGGCCTCCTCGGGCGCCCCGCTGATCATCAGTGCATACATCCCCGATCTATCAGACGAGGAGATCGAGTTCCTCTCTAACAAGGATCTGATCGCCGTGGACCAGGACCCTATGGCTGAGCAGGCTGCCCTAGTCAGCCGCGACAGCCAGTTCGATGTACTGAGCCGCTCCCTGGTAAACGGTGACCGGCTAGTCACCGTCCTAAACACCGGCAAGAACACCGCATCCACAGAAATCTCTCTTGAGAGGCTGGGTCTGGACTCAAGCTGCCAGTACCGTGCCCGCGATCTCTGGACCGGCGCCGTCTCCACCGTCCAGAAGAGCATCGATGTTACCCTGGACAGCCACGCCACCAGCGTCCACCGCATCACACCCCCGCGCGGATGCACCAGCGTCACTCCTACCGGCATGGTCTTCGACACAACCTCGGGCCTCTGCCTGACCGCAGGAAAGACGACGTCATTCGAGACCTGCAAGGGATCTGATTCCCAGACATGGCGCATCTCCGGTACCGGCACCAAATTGGCTATCAGCCCGCTCTCAGACGTGAAGAAGTGTCTTGCGGCCTCTGCCAGCGGATCTGGAGTTGAGCTTGTGCCGTGTGGGAGTGGATCCAGTGCGACGTGGACGTACTCTATGACTGGCCATCTGCAGAACTCCAGGGGTGGCTGCCTGACGGACTCCGCCGGGGCTGCCAAAATGGGAACTTGTAATCAGGATCGCGCCGATCAAATCATTGGGCTGCCAAGTGGCGTTCGCCTGTCCGATTTGGGTTCTCCGCAGTGATATAGTTCGTGGGGGTTTTAAAGAGTAGATTTAGAGACAGTTTACTAGATCGAATGAGAGCAATTTAGATGCTTCCGAGGTTGCATCTTTCCATATCCGCACCAATATGAAGCCTACGGTTGCGCTCATCTATTTTCAGTTCCCCTCGTTTCAATCCAAATGCATAACCTGTCTAAATGAAGTGATATACAAGGTCGAAAGAAATCCCATATACACAATCTGCCCCTCATATTCGCAAAAATGTAGATCAACCATATATCACAACAATCTTAACCCTGCAACGAGAACCCGACCCCTTCCCCAGTGCCCATAGCCACCAGATTAGCCCTCATCTTTTCCGGCCTCTCCCCAATACCAAACGCAGCCTCGTCACTCTGCACCCAAGCTCCAACACCATGCTGCAGCACAGCCGTAGCCCGGACCTTCTTCTTCTCCGCATCCGTCGCATCATCCGCCTTCAACCCGATGCTCCCGTGAAGAGTCAGCCTACTCTCCTCCCCACCCTCAGCCTTGCCCTTGTAGACACCCCGGTGCAGAATATTGCTATCATAAAACACCGCATCACCCGGCTGCAGCTGCACAACCAACTGATTCGGCAAATACGACTCATACGGCGCCGCATTGCGCTCAATATCAGTCCGCGCGCGCCGATGAGATCCAGGGATAACAATCAGCGATGCATCGGGGCACAGCGCCAGATTATACTGCGCGTGACTCTGGCGTCCACCAGGTGACTTCGCTTCGAGCTGCTGCAGTTCCTCTTCCGCGGTTGCATTCTCCGAGATGTCATCACGGTGCCAGCGGAGCTCGAAATCTTTCGTCTCGGGCGCGACGAGCAGGTTGAACAGTTCCATTACGAGGGGTTCGTCGGCGCCAGTGCCCGGCGCGACGCCGAGGAGTTCTTCGACGACGGCGAGGATCGATTCGGAGAAGTAGCAGCGTGCGAACGATTCGCGGCCTGGCATTGAGGGGTGCAGCAGGTGCTGCACGCCCCAGATCCCGCCCTCGGAGGCTGGGGGCGGTGTTGTGGGCCAAGGAGGGAATTGTTTAGGGACGGTGCGGAAGTGAGGCCAGCCGCCGGTGCGGGTTTTGGTTGTTGCCTCTGTGGCAATGGTGCGGTAGTGGGCGATTTCGGTAGGGGTTAGGAGATTAGGGACGACGACGAAGCCGTCGCGCTTGAGGGCGTCCAGGTGTGGTGTGGCCATTGTGCGTAAAGTGGTTTGAGGACGGTGATGTAAGAGTGTGGAGGGGTTGAATCTGGAAGAAGAATGCTTTTTTATGGGACTGCGGGGTTGGCGGTTCCTGGGGTTGATGCTACTTGGTTACCCCCGGTTTGACGTACTCAGGTACTACAGTGACATTTTCCCGCGTGGTGGCCTCAATGTTACCGTGGATCCAGTGGGGTGAGGTTGGGGTGACGTCTGGTTGTCGGCTTATTGCGATAACGTGGGGGTGCTCGGAGGATCGTGGCTGATTTACTTCCGACTGTCGATCGAACGGTTAACCGACATAATCGGTTCGTTCGTCTTTTTCATCTGGAGCTTGCGGATTGCAGTATCATTCGATCTGCTCTATCATTCTGCTGGGACTTCATCAACAGGCTGTCTCTTGTAGGATGGGTCCACGTATTATGGCCAAAATATAAAGTTACCCTGAAGCAGCCCTATACCCCGGTATGTGGCGGGTGCATTGATGATGATCGGTGGCTCTACTCCGGATAGTCGGGGATTTAGCCGACGGCCGATTGAGCCTCACCTATCAGACAGGCAAGTTAATCTGATGACCTTTAGCATATTCTTTGCTCTCGCCTTCATACTCCCAGGCATAGGTGCCTTAAAAGTGTATTCATGACACCACCTCTGCGTTGGGCACTTTCAAGCTGAGCCAAGAAGAAATAACAAGTACCTGATGGAGAATGGATTGCCTTGGGCTCAGTCCTGTTTATGCTACTACAAATGGAGCCGTGAGAAAAAGGCTGCTCCACAGGAAGAGGGTCATTATGTCCAAGGAGAGAGCGCTCGGATTATCACCGGTCAGAAACCTGGGGCTTGTGCTAGTATATGTAGAAGACCCTGACGGCTTCAGGGTGAGATAAAACTCCCCAGTCCTATAGTACCTTGTTTGATGTCAGATCGATTCCATCACATGGATATTTTTGTGCGTATTTGGCCGCTCGTGTGTGCAAAGAGTAGCTGGTGCGGGTCCGAATACCCCGCAGTGGACTGAAACATCCCACCCGCGGGCTACACCTAGGTATGTACTTCGCAAGGTACCAGAACTCAGTATTGACCCGACGATATAAGGAAAACAGAATTCACGTTCACTTTAGGGCCCGACGATTTTCTCGGTGATACGCCAAGGATGTTCGGTACCAAAAAAAGGTCATCAGATCGCGGCGATCTTTGACGCTTGCCAAGATCAACGGGGCTGAGACAAACTCGCCCCTCGTGCTTCCTTTTTTTTCTTGCAATATCACTTCTCGAGATTCCTTATTCCTTGACACTCCCCTTTCTCTGGTTTCGCTGTACTACCGCCATGTCTTTCCTCCGTGCGGGCTTCCCCGCCCTGCTCGTGTGCCTGCTGGTGCTTCTGCCGCAGGTCCATGCTTTCGGCGCCGGCAGTATGTATTTCTATCCTTATAATTTATAGCACTTCTGACAACCTGAGATATCGCGTCCATCTCCGCCGTTGAGGGTAAGAACTGGCGCCATGGAGACATCGAAGACATGCTCAAGACCGTCGCCTTCATCGCCGGCCACAAATGGACTTCTACCCAGATCAAGCGTGTCTACTTTGGCAATTGGCTGCGCGATTAGTGAGTTTATGTGTGGGGCTTAGCAGAAAGCAAAAGATCCATAGCTAACTGTTCACCTCCAGCTCGCAGGCAATGGATGTCGGAACCCTGAAAAATCTCCAGTCCGATACGATTCGCGTGTTGGTGTGGGTCCTCTCGTTTCTGACCTTCGGCTATGCGACGGGCGAGTTCGAAGTCACCTCCGAGCGATTGGGCGTCTACCGTCCCGAGGAGCATATTGAGTATGAAAGTTATTCAGCTGGGATGCCTGTTGGACTAACCCTTTCCCAGCAACCCCAAGGACTACGCCGATAACGAAGATGCCCGCCAGTACGACAAGCGCCTGCGACCCCCGGTCCGCCAGGTCGAGCTCGATATCGACCAGGAAACCGGTATGAAGAACTATATTGCCAATGAGCGGGGCGATTGGGCCACCAGCGCTGCCTATATTAAGTACAGTCTGGGGCGCAGCATCCACTATGGACGCACGTATACTCATGGTGGAGATCGAAAGGGTAACGAAGAGGACCTATGTGAGGCGCTCCGTTGTCTGGGTCAGGGTCTTCATACGCTCGAGGATTTTGCGGCGCACACCAACTACTGTGAGCTGGTGTTGCGCGAGATGGGCTTCCACAATATTTTCCCTCATACCGGCACTGCCACCCAAATCAACATCCGTGGGCACCACGTCTTCCCGCTCGTGACTGGAACCTTTGGTATGGTCGATTTCTTCCACTCCGTGCTGGGTGAGGCCAATGATCATTTCACTCAATCCGAGGTCAACGAGATGGATATCGCACTTGGCGATGCACAGAACAATGCTCAGTCTAACAACTCACTCAACGCTCTTACTGGCTTGCTGGGCAAGATTCCAGGAACCAGGGACCTGGTCTCTGAAGCCGAAAACCTGAAACAGCTGTCCGAAGCGCAGGAGACCAGCAATCGTTCCCGAGGCTCGCACATGGGCTACGCGGATCGAGGCCTCGATGGTCAGGAACAAAGCCGTGCTTCCGGTTCTAGTCAGCCTTCTACGGGTGGTCCGGGTCCGGGACTCTCTGGTATGCCTGACTTTAATCCTCAGGAGACCGTGGCCAGAATCTATCCTATTCTGGCTTTCCGTGACAAGGTAGTTCGAAAGCTGAACTCGATCATCGAGAAGATTCCCGGCCTGGAGGCTATCATTGAGAAGATCACAGACACTTTAACTGTCTTCATCATGTCGCTGCTTGCCCCATTCGTGCGACCCCTCATTAGTGCCGCCTCCAAGTCTCTGCAAACGGGCTCTGCGGGCGTTGTTGACGCCTCGGGCAAGCACCAGTATGAGCCCTGGACTGATCCTCACTGCACTGATCCCACCCATTCGCTGCTTTCCAAGGACCACTTTGCGAACGTGCTGAACGAGCCGGCGGGCCAAGTTGCCTCGGTGATTCTCAAGTACGTCGCTCCGCGCGTGTTGTATGCCTGGCAGCACGTCGATGTGCCCGAGCACGAAGTTCTGGAGGATTGCCTGAAGGTTTTCCACCACCCTGCTCTGCGAAACATGAATAACGAAGCTCATCGAGCAATGTTCGAGGCCGTCCAGAACTGGGCTCATGCTCGGCCAGACCGCGGCCAGAACCTGAACGACATCCTTAGCGCTGATGGCGTCAGATCCGGCCGCAACACCGGTGGTGTTCCCCACACTCACGGCGGCGGCGGTGGTGGCTTCGCTGCACTTGGCGGTGGTGCCCATGGGCAAAGCCATGGGCAGGGTAATAGCCAGAGTCACGGTGGAGGCTCGGCGCAGTCATTCTTCTCCCAGTTCCAGGGGCAGTCTCATTCCCAGTCACAGCAGCAGCATTCTCAGAGCTCCTCTGGTTTGCCTTGGGATAAGCTATCTAGTCTGCCGATTCCCGGTATTTCCAACCTGAACAAGCTGAACAAATTGGAGAGTACCCTCTCGAATTTCATTCCGGGTGGTCTGTCGCGTGGCTCGTCCAGAGAACTTGGAGATGAGGGTGTTGGACATGGTAGTGGATTTGAACACCAGCAGCCGCAGTATCAGGAGCAGCATCAGCATCAGCATCAGCATCAGCAGCACCAGGGGCATTCTCATGGTCATCATGACTCGGGTCACCATGGCCAGAGTCACCAAGGACATGGCCCTCATGGCCAACACCATGGGCATCAGGGATACGGACATGATGGGTACGGGTACTAAGCTTTTTTGATTGGTACCTAGGCGGTTGGGAGTGCATACCTACCTATATGAAGATGGTTACAGTAAACGTGCTCATGAGACTTACGACATTGTGATGAGAAAGGCGCAGCTTGCAAATTTGGGTGGTGTGTTGCTGGCGGTTATGGGAAATGTGTTTAGGTACCTGGTTGAACCCGGTTTTATTCCTACCTATATCTCAAAATTTGCAGTTCAATAAAGATTACCTTGACCTAGTGGAGAATGATCTGATGCCACGTTGTATTTCTTTGAATCTTGGAAAGGGGGAAAAAGGTCATACTATTTTGGAGAGTAAAAATCCCACTCCTGTTCTACCACATAAAGGCACCTAAATATATAGTGGGATGGCATTTCACACTAGATTCTGATAACCCGCTAATTAAGTCAATTGAATGACAGGGACGTTTCAAGGTATATATAAAATACACTAAAGTGTCTTTCCTCACAGAAAATGCCACATGAACAGATTTAGAATGAGTTCTTGACCAAACGCAAATGGGATCAAAAGTCGAACCCGGAGCCTCACCAAAAACTAGGATGTTTTTTTCCCCTTAATGAAGCAAAATTTGGCTGGACCTTTCACCAAGCCCTGCCGGGCTAGCTCAATCGGTAGAGCGTGAGACTCTTAATCTCAAGGTTGCGGGTTCGACCCCCGCGTTCGGCTATTCCTAAAAATAACCTGAGATATTTCTTTTTTGTCCCCGTTAAAAATTATCGCTGTAAATGCGGTTCTCTTTTTTTTGGCGATATCAATCGTTGTTATTTCTGAGTTCCGATTTTTTGCTTGACCTTCCATGGGTTGGTGTGCCTAATTAGGGTTGCCACGGGACCTAGACTAGAGAGAAACAGACAACAGACGGCTCTTCCATAAGGTAAAACTTATAAAATTATAGTCCTCGTTCGTTTCTGAAGTGACCTCTTAAGGGCTCCTGGTGTCGAGGTATCCGATTATTGAATGATCGATGAACTGCCCACAAATTACCGTCATCGGATTGTTACCATGCATCCGGTCTAGAGAAAATAGAGAGCATAAGAAAACCTCGATGGATTCATTAGAGCGGTATAAAGACCGACAGGAAGCCTCGAGAAAGGCAACAAAAATGCAACAGGGTATGTATGTTACGCTAACAAGAATCATGCTCCACCCATAATGCGCCTAATAAATGCCCACAAGAAAATGCCCACAAGAAAATGCCTTGAACCAGAGCAACACCGTGGAAATGCAGACACGCAAAAGAAAGGATAGGAAGACTAGGAATCATTCATCTTCGTCGTCATAGGGGTCTTTCGCTGCAGCCCAGCCACACTGCCAGCCTCGACCTTCGTTATGGCCGTTTCTTCGGAGATCGCGCGCTTCGGGGCCTTCACGCCAGCACCGAGCGCTATAGTCATCGCTGACTGTGATCAGTTCACCATCAACCGTCCAAGACATCCCGGTCACTTCTTTCTGGTGGCCTTCAATGAGGGGGGTGCCGGACTGGTGGATCGGGATCGTGTCCTCCAGGCGGCCGGATAGGCCAATGCCGGAGTTTGTGCGGCGGAGTCCTGACCGGGTGGTGAAAAGAGAAGTTCGGGTAACGGGGAGATCATCGGACACTGTTTTCACAGGGGGTTGCAAGAATCGTTCATCGGTAGGGAAGAGTATAGGGCAGTGGTCACTGCTGCCCACTGCTAGCATCTCCGCGCGATCGTTGACTGCTTTGCGAAGTGCAAGTTTGACGTAGAATGAGGACACTTGGAGCCGCGGGTGACGGAACCCGTACAGAGGCCCCAGACCCTCCTTATCGGAACCACCCGAGCGCCGTGGACGGTCGTGGTTCTGAGAAAGTTCAGGCGCGTGTCCGAGCACCAGATGCGCGGTTGAGTATGCGTATACAGTACCATCTCGGCAAAGAGTGTACAATCTTGCACCGTCACCACCAACAGCCATGGAAGTCAGACCAAACCGCCGATATTTGACGTGGCTGTCGGGCTCCCTTGTGGTAGACAGTGGGAGAACGGGTCGGCCACGACGGTTGTTGTGCGCCGTGCGCAAATCCCAGAGGCGAACACTGGCGCTGGCCTCTGAGGCTGTGACGAAGAGGTTCTCTTGGCCCGGAGGAAGAAAGGCAAGAGAGGTGACAGTGATATCGGAACGACCGAACGGAGGAGCGTCCGCTTTATCCATAACAGCTTTTTGCGGTGTAGAAAATGCATGAGCACCATGAATGGTGTTGAGAACGTGAGGATATGTCATCTTTGGAGGCGCGAGACTGGCAGGGGTTTCGCCCTCAGATTCTAGCGAGCATCTGACTTGCAGAGCAGGACGTTCGAATCCTTTGCAGCGAAGATCCCAAATGTTGACATTGCCGTCCCGACTACACGTTGCGAGGACCTTGTTGTTCGAACCTGGCTGGAACTGGACGCGCTTTACTGATGAGACATGGTTAGACAAGCAGTGAACAGGTCGTTGCGTGGTCATGTCAATGATCATGGATGTTTGATCGCCAGAGGCCGTGGCCAGAAGCATATCGTCGGACGAGAACTCGAGGTCCATAATCGAGTTCATGTGAGGACGAAAACCGAGATATGCACTGGAGAAGCCGCGTTCATCCTCTTTGGAAGAATCCAACAGACGAATCCCTCCCTCTTCATCACCGACTGCCACGAGTGAATTGGCTTCTCATATGTTAGAACCTTGAACACTCTCATGAAAATGGTGGCTTACTATTGCAGGAAGCATTGCAGAACGGGAGTGCCATCTGTCCCTCCGTAGCATAGCTAGCACATGAGTGACGGTCTTCCGGTCGCGAATGGAAGTCGGATGTGAGATCTTGCCAGCCTGTAGCAATGTCAGATTGAATATCATACGCATGAGACTGGCGAAAACCAACCAGCTCCAGCAGTAGACCGAATGGTCAACCGGTTCGCACGTGAGCCTTGTACTGTTCGCATAAACAATGAACCAGACGTTTGCAAAGCCCGAGAGCGGCTGACTGGGGAGACCGGTCGGCGCTTAGGCGGGCTGGGTGGCGTTGGTTCACTAAAACGTCCTCGGATGGAGGTCAAATCGATATCGCGAATGGTAACCCTCTGCTCCACATCGTCACCCACCGGTGATCGCACACGAACCTTTTTCAAAGGCGACGACTGCAATGGGGAGACCACCGAAGAGAACGAATGCTTTCTTTTCCTGCTGGGAGTCCGAATGAAATCCTCCGGTAAGCCATCGTGAGGGCTCCTGGGGCTGCCAGCTTTGGACGATCTTGTAAATGCGGGCCCTAGACGGTTGACAGCTGGCGAGGTCAGTGCCCTCAAGGCCTGGCGACTGGTCTTCACGCTGCTGGCATTGCCGCTATTTAACAGAGACCTGGGGGTAAAGAAACGCCTGAAGGATCGAGGAGTGACCGTTGGTGGTTTTCTAGGTCGTCGTCCACCACCAGCTTCGGAGGCTACAGAAGGCGGGGAGGAGGGAATTTCCTGGGACGAGAGAGGCAGGATAGGTTCTGATCGAGGCGGCTCAGGGAGACCAGAAACACGGTCCATTGTGCTCTCGGAGGCGAAGGGAGGGGAGAGGCTATAGCGGATACATTGGGGAAGAAAAGATTTGGCCGAAGGGGGTAAGATGGGAGAAGCGGGTCGTGTTGCGCGCGCATCGGACGTGACGCGGAGCGTGGTTCGGGCATTTGACACCTGAATTCAGGCATCTAGGGACTCAGGCACGTTGCCGATACGGAAATGTCTTTCTGGACATCGTTCTAGAGAGCTATCTGAACATTTTTGAGTATTGACTTTTAATTTTTTCCCTCTCATGTATTACACCTCGAGTTCAGTCCATTTAATCAACGCCTTGTGTATAGTCAAGTAGATCCGGCCTAGTCTCGTACCGTCGACAACCCGTGGAAGAGGGCGGTCCCACCCAGCATTCACCGCCCACCATTCTGCCATCCTTTATCGGATTTTTCGATTTTTTTTTCTTTGCGATACAACGAGAATCCTCAACCGTGCACGACTCGGCCTCGTCTTCCAACAATGGCGCCGATCAAGCGCAAGGGGAACGCCCCCGAAGAAACGGCTGCTCGTCAGCCGCAAAAGCGCGCCAAGGTCGGAGCGGAGGAGAGCAAAAAAGACTCCAAGCCTCAGGATACTGCTCCGAAAGCTTCGGAGCTCTCTGTTCTCCGCGACGACGAACCGTCCTTCCCTCGTGGTGGCGGTAGCGTTCTGACTCCTTTGGAGCGCAAGCAAATTCAGATCCAAGCCAACAAGGATGTATTGTTCGAACAGAAGGGTCAGAAGAAATCGGCCCGCGAATTTGACGACGACAACGACGATGACGAGGATGATGTTGAGATGGAAGATGGAGATACCACAACCACCAAGAAATCCCGGAAGAAGAAGTCGAAGAGCAAGAAGTCTGGAGACAAGGAACAGCCCGAAAAGGAGGGCGTGCGCATTGAACCTCTCACCTATAAGGTACGAACGGTTCTCAAGAAAATTTATCAAGTATCCTGGCTAACTTGAACAGCGCATTGTCCCCGGATCTATGATCCTCGGCCAGGTTTCGAGCATCAATGCCCACGATGTCGCCCTTTCGTTGCCCAATAACCTGACAGGTTATGTTCCTCTTACCTCGGTCTCGAAAGTTCTCGACGACAAGATTGAGAAACTTCTCAACAACGAGGATGATGAGGATGATGATGAGGACAGCTCTGAAGAGGAGACCTTCGACCTCAAGGAATTCTTCTATATTGGTCAATACTTGCGGGCTTACGTTGTTTCTACGGGTACTGAGGCCTCCGAAGCCGGTGGCCGCAGCAAGAAGCGCATCGAACTGTCTCTCGACCCCAGACAAGCAAACACCGGCCTCAAGAAATCTGACTTGGTGGAAGAGTCGGCTATTCAGGCTTCCGTTGTCAGTGTCGAGGACCACGGTCTGGTCATGGACCTTGGTATCGAGGGCTCGGATCTGAAGGGATTCATGTCTTCCAAGGAGATTGATCCTAATGTGGACTACACTAAAATTAAGGAGGGATCGGTCTTCCTGTGTGTTGTTACTGGCCAGAATGCCAGTGGCAATGTCATCAAGCTGTCTGCCAACCTCCAGTCCGCCGCTTCCATCAAGAAGTCCCACTTTCTCAGCGCCGCCCCTACAATCAACTCCTACCTCCCCGGTGTTGCGGCGGAGATTTTGTTGACCGAAGTCACCGAGAACGGTATGATGGGAAAAATTATGGGTATGCTCGACACAACTGTCGACTTGGTCCAGTCTGGTGCCAATGACGGCAAGGTCGATTTGGTGCGGAAATTCAAGATCGGTGCCAAGATCAAGGGCCGTATCGTCTCGACTTTCCCATCCACTGAGCCCTTCAAGGTCGGCTTCTCGATGCTCGACCACATTATTAAGCTTTCTTCCGACGCTCATGGCCCTGGTTCATCCGAAGATGCACCCGCTATCTCCGCCATCGTCCCCGAAGCTAAGGTGGTTAAGGTTGACCCCGGTATGGGTGTGTACGTGCAGATCGGCGAAACTAAGCATCTTGGTTTCGTTCACATTTCAAGACTCTCTGATGGCAAGGTCGAATCTATTTCGGACGACTCCGGACCTTTTAGGGTCGGAGCCACTCATGAAGCCCGCATTGTTGGGTATAATAAGCTCGATAACCTCTACCTTCTTTCATTCGAGAAGACTGTCATTGAACAGCCATTCCTCCGGATTGAGGATGTCACCGTTGGTGCTACCGTTAAAGGAAAGGTTGAGAAGCTTTTGGTCGGACCTTCCGGTATTGATGGTTTGATTGTCAGCCTGGCTGATGGCATCACTGGTCTTGTCCCATCCATGCACTTTGCGGATACCCAGCTTCAGTTCCCCGAGAAGAAATTCCGCGAGGGTTTGAAAATCTCCGCAAGAATCCTGTCTGTCAACCTTGAGAAGCGTCAAATCCGTTTGACCTTGAAGAAGAGCTTGTTGAACAGCGAATCTGCTATCTGGAAGGACTATAAGGACATCACTCCCGGATCTCAATCTCCTGGTACCATTGTCAACCTTCAGGCTCACGGTGCCGTTGTCCAGTTCTACGGCACCGTCCGTGGCTTCCTTCCAGTGTCTGAGATGAGCGAGGCATACATTAAGGACCCTGCTCAGCATTTCAGACTGGGCCAGGTCGTCAATGTGCACGCTCTGAGCGTGGATGCCACTCAGGGCCGACTGGCAGTTTCTTGCAAGGACCCCTCGACTTTTACTGAAAAGTACCGCAAGGCCTTCGAGGACATGCACCCTGGCCAGCTTGTTTCTGGATCCGTCTTCGAGAAGTCAAACGATGATGTACTCCTCAAGCTTGACGACTCTGGTCTCGTGGCTCGTCTTGACGTGCAGCACATCATTGATGGATCGCCGTCCAAGCAGAGCGCGACTTTGTCCAAGATTCGTGTGGGCCAGAAGTTGAACGATCTTCTGGTTCTCGATATCCAGCGTGCTCACCGTCTCATTCGGGTCTCCAGCCGGGCTAGTCTGAAGAAGGCTGTTAAGCAGGGCTCCATGCCCCGTAAGTTCGAAGAGATTCAGGAGGGATCGACCGTCACTGGCTTCGTTCGCAACATTACCCCTGCTGGCCTGTTCGTTGAGTTCCTGGGCGACCTCACCGGTCTTGTCCCTAAGCGTCTCATTGAAGATGCCAACATTTCTCAGCCTGAGTTCGGCATGTCAAGGGGACAATCCATCTCCCCGACAGTTCACTCGGTTGACATGGACCTTCAGCGATTCATTCTTAGCCTGAAGCCCTCTGAGGCTACTCATGCTGGCCCCAAGAAGACAAAGACGAAGACACCCACACAGACTGATGACGCTCTTGCCAACCCCGTCGACGAGAACATCTCCACGATTTCCGACCTCGCCTTCGGCCGTGTTGTCAAGTGCAAGGTTGCCTCTATCAAGGCAACTCAAGTTAATGTTCAGCTGGCCGATAACATCCAGGGACGTATCGATGTCTCTGAGATCTTCGACAAGTGGGAGGATCTCAAGGACCGCAAGCACCCCCTGCGTTTCTTCAAAGCCAAGGAGGTTCTCTCTGCCAGAATCCTCGGCGTCCACGATGCTCGCAGCCACAAATTCCTTCCCATCTCCCACCGCACCGGCAAATACCCGGTCTTCGAACTCTCTCTCAAGCCAAGTTTCATGGAGGCTGTCAACCCCACCCTATTGAACATGGAACAGGTCAAGGTCGGCTCTTCGTGGATGGGCTTTGTCAACAACGTTGCTGATGACTGCCTCTGGATCAACCTGTCTCCCAACGTGCGCGGCAGGCTGCGCTTCATGGATGCTTCGGATGACCTGTCCCTTCTGACCGATGTCGAGAAGAACTTTCCAATTGGATCTGCTCTCAAGGTCCAGGTTACCGCCGTCAATTCAGACAAGGGTCACTTGGACCTTACTGCCAAGCAGGGCTTCGACAAGCTCTCCTTCGGAGACATTTCCGTCGGCATGATTTTGCCCGGCCGAGTGACCAAGGTCACCGAGAAGCAGGTTATCATGCAGCTCGGCGAGGCGCTCGTTGGTGCAGTCAACCTGATTGATATGTCTGACGACTACTCCAAGGCCAATCCGACTGTGCACCGGAAGAACGAAGTTCTTCGGGCTTGCGTCGTCGCCGTTGACAAGGCCCACAAGAAGATTTCATTGTCTCTTCGCCCCTCCAAGGTCATGAGCGCGTCTCTCCCCGTTCAGGACCGCGAAATCACCTCGATGAAGCAGCTCAAGCCCAACGACGTCGTTAGAGGTTTCGTCAAGCGGGTTGCTGACTCCGGTCTCTTCGTGGCTATCGGTCACAACGTTACTGCCTACGTCCGTATCTCTGACCTCTCCGACTCCTACCTCAAGGAATGGAAGGACTCATTCCAGGCGGATCAGCTGGTCAAGGGCAGAATTACTCTGGTTGACGCCGAACAAGGGAAGCTGCAGATGACTCTCAAGGAGTCTGCCCTGGAACCCGATTACAAGACCCCTGTCACCATTGCGGATCTTAAGACCGGCCAAGTTGTGACCGGAAAGATACGCAAGGTTGAGGAGTTTGGCGCGTTCATTGTCGTGGACGGCTCTAAGAACGTTAGCGGTCTCTGCCATCGCAGCGAGATGGCTGAGAAGCGCGTCGAAGATGCTCGCACGCTGTACAATGAAGGTGATGCTGTCAAGGCTAAGGTTATCAAGATAGACCGTGAGCAAAACAAGATCTCCTTCTCGCTGAAGGCTTCCCACTTCCAGGATGAAGAGGATGAGGACAGCGAGGACGAGGATATGAGCGACGAGCTTGGCGGCGTTGAGCTAGCTGGAAATGATGAGGATGAGGATGAAGATGACGACGATGTCTCCATGGGAGGTGTCGATATCGAGGAGGGCAGTGAGGAGGAGGAGGATGAGGAGAGCGACGAGGACGTCGCCATGGCGGGTACCAAGGCGTCCAAGGCTGGTGGCCTCGGCGCAGATGGCTTCGACTGGAGCGGCAACCTCCAGACCGAGGACAAGGCCGCAGCCTCCGACAGTGACGAGGAGGGTTCTAAGAAGAAAAAGAAGAAGAACCGCAAGCCCGAGATCCAGGTTGACCGTACCGGTGACCTTGATGCGAACGGCCCTCAGACCGTTGCCGACTACGAGCGTCTTCTTTTGGGTGAGCCCGACTCTTCTCTGCTGTGGCTTCAGTACATGGCGTTCCAACTGGAGCTGGGTGAGGTTGAGAAGGCTCGCACCATCGGTGAACGTGCTCTGCGCACCATCACCATGGGCCAGGATTCGGAGAAGCTGAACATCTGGGTGGCGATGCTGAACTTGGAGAACACCTACGGCAACGACGACAGCCTTGAGGAGATCTTCAAGAGGGCATGCGAGTACAATGAGCCGGCAGAGATCTACGATCGGATGATCAGTATCTACATCCAGTCTGGCAAGAACGAGGTATGTGTAGTCTATTTGGAAGTTCAAGATCATCGATGCTAACAACTTTCTACAGAAAGCGGATGAGCTGTTCAAGCAGGCTATGAAGAAGAAGATCTCTAACCAGTCGCCCAAGTTCTTCCTCAACTACGCCAGCTTCCTGTTCGACGCCATGGCGGCCCCCGAGCGCGGCCGGGGTCTGCTCTCGCGAGCCCTACAGTCTCTCCCGACACACACGCACGTCGAGACCACTTCCAAGTTCGGACAGCTGGAATTCCGGTCAGCAAATGGCGACGTGGAGCGCGGTCGTACCGTGTTTGAGGGACTGCTGTCCTCGTTCCCCAAGCGCATTGACCTGTGGAACATCCTACTCGATCTGGAGATCAAGACCGGCGACGCGGAACAGGTTCGCCGCCTCTTCGAGCGTGTGCTGGGTCTCCAGAACAAGAAGGGTAACATCAGCATCGACGCTAGCAAAAAGGTCAAGCCCAAGCAGGCTAAGTTCCTGTTCAAGAAGTGGCTTGCTTTCGAGGAGAAGCTTGTTGCCGAGGGTGGCGATGAGAAGATGGTAGAGGATATCAAAGCGCGGGCTGCGGCTTACGTGAAGTCTCTGCAGGAGGAGTAGAGTTTAGATACTTGTTTTGTCATTTTCTTGTCTGTCTCAAAAATCGTGTTATATGTTCCGTGCAACCCGTGGGTGTTTGGGCTCATTGCATTCGTCGTATATAAAGCGGCACCAGCAGATCATCCAAAAATTTCCCCGTTTATACTTGTACGCATGGTCATCCGTAGGACTAGACCAGAATACTCTTATCTGAGCATATAAAACGTGCCTGTGGCGGGCATCGCAGAGTCTCGTTGGTCCGCGACCAGAAAGAGATGCGCTAGCTCCACAACCTGCATCCAATCAGTGTCGTCATCTTTGCAACATGGGACGGTCTGCCCTCGAAGTGTGGTACTCAGTCTCTTCAAGGCCTGGTACGCTTGGGAGAACTTGAAGGGATATAACCCCTCCAGATGAAGCCCGCCTCTGCGCACTCCGTCCTGTAACTCTCTTAAACACCTCAACACAATGGGGGCCACATCCCAACCCCAGGGTACGCAGGGGTCTAGCACCTCCGAATGCTTGCTAGAGGTACCCTTTGAGGCCTACAGAGACTCGCCAGATGGCGATGTGAACAAGACCGTGCGAGTCCAGACTGTTCCCCGCGTGGTGGGGCCGCGCGGCTGGCGCCAGAGGCTGGCACCCTACGTCCCTTCATTTGCATCGCGACGCGACGACGACGACGAGGACTCTCTACCTTTGCTACCGGAGAACCATCAGAGCAAGCGATCTTGTCGCTCACGATATACTCGCTGCCTCGTGCGCGCACTGATCGTGTTCTTCGTCATGCTGTAGGTGTAACCGGATCTCGCCTTATCGGCTCAATTCAAGATAATGCAGACGAACTAATCATTGCATGCAGGGGAATCGTGCAGTTCATCTCAATGGCCTGCGGCATCGTGCTTTCTTTCTTCCCAGACGAATATGACCGCGCCGCTCATATCTGGAAACATGGCGACCACGATAACGTCGACGACGTCACCCACTGGCCCACCGACATGTCGCGCGATATCATCCCTAAAGGTTGCCACTCGCATAACGACTACTGGCGCCGCGTGCCTCTGTTCTCAGCGCTGCAGGCTGGGTGCATTGGCGTCGAGGCTGACGTCTGGCTGTTCGATGAGGAACTTTACGTCGGCCATACCAGGTCTGCCTTGACATCGCGCCGTACTCTGCGCTCAATGTACGTCGACCCGCTGGTCAAGATCCTCGAGGGCCAGAACCCTATCACGCCCTTCCACCGCACCATCGACCAGCCTCCACACGGGGTTTGGGATACAGATCCAGACCAGAGCGTGATCCTGCTAATTGACTTCAAAACCGACGGAGCTGCTACTTATCCCGCTGTCGTTAAGCATCTGGCTCCTCTGCGCGAGCGCGGCTACTTGACTTATTTCAATGGGCGCGAGCTGATCCCGGGCCCCGTAACCGTCGTCGGGACAGGGAACACACCCTTTGACCAGGTCACCGCCAACTCAACATACCGGGACGTTTTCTTCGATGCACCGCTCGACAAGCTCGTTGACGACAAGCTCGAGGGCCAGTACATCTCCACCGTCAAGCGGTCGACTGGTCTCGGCCAAGGTCTATCCGGCATGCCGGACGCCATCAACTCGCACACGTTCAATCTCACAAATAGTTACTACGCCTCTGTCTCTTTCAGGAAAGCTCTCGGCTTCACCTGGCCGTTCCATTTCTCACAGCACCAGATGGATCTCATTCGCTCGCAAGTCCGAGTCGCTCATCGTCATGGTCTCAAGGTGCGATACTGGGGTATACCTAGCTGGCCGCGCAGTTTGCGTAACCATATCTGGAGAATCCTGGTGCAGGAGGGTGTGGATATGCTGAACGTGGATGATCTGGTGGGTGCCACTAAGGGGGATTGGAAGATCCGGATCTTCGACTGGTGGATCTAGAGCGGGCTATTGATATCCATGAATGATGGGTGATGATCTTGGCTTTCTTATTTTGGGGTGTGGATTTCAAGTTGGGACGGCGTTTGGCTTGGAATATTTGAGATACCTTTTCCATGATAGACTTTACTTTTTTCATTGCTATGCATGTGGCACGTTACGTTGCGTTGCGGTAGAATGCTATCCATTGTGCAGTCAGATGCCCAGGTGACTTTTTTTGGTGGCTGCAATGCAGATACGCTAGTTTCGGTTTGCTTCGCAATACAGGGCCCCGTGATGAGGGGGGTTGCTCCCAAACGATCAATAATGCAAGAGTCTCGGGAAAAAGTACTAAAATTCAGAAGGAGAGCCGCTGACTGTAGGCGGCCAAGAAAATAGAGAAGCCTCAAGGGGCTTGGTGGGTATCATCGAATTTTGGGCAAGGGGGAATGGAATGCAAGGGATCACAAGCAGAAGAGAGCTTCCTCGCCGAACTCTCGCACGATGGTTCCCTCTTCGCGGAGAAGCCCGCCAAGCCAGAGCTTGGCAGTTTCAAAATCCTTGGCGCCAAACTTGACGAGGACAAAGCCAGCTCGGACGCGCGCTGCTGTCCAGGTGACATCGCCCTTCATGCCGGGCGACGACTCAGGTGCAGAAGAAGATTCAGACGACCAATTCCGGCTGCCGATACGCGGCTGCGATGTGAATTGGTCGAGCAGATATGAGCCGAGGCTCTCAAATACAGGCCCAGAGAGAATCAGCGTGCCCACTACCCCGTGTGGGCGTGTTCGCTCTTGGATAATGTTCAAGGGAAGCAGGCCGGCCTGCGACGGCATGTCCTCATTGGACTCATCAGAATCGTTCAGGTCATCGGTCTCGTCGTCTAGAATGACGGAATCACGCAGCAAAAGCCGGCTCTTGCCCGTTATCTCGTTGGTTGCCCAGATTTCGTTACGGCCTCGCCAGAAGCGGAAATTCCAGTTCTCGCCCCGTGAGGTTCGACCTTGCGTGACCCAGTCCAAGACGCACAGGCTGCTGCGCTGGTCTCCCTTGGCCGCTGCGTCAACTGTAAATGTTTGTACCTGAGCGTAGCGGCTGTTCTGGAAGGGCACAGATGGGTCGGGCAAGTAACAGAGCGCTGCCTGGCGTCCGATCTTCACGTCTAATGATTGTTGGCTCATATCTGAGAGGTGTGGGTTGGCGGGCATTTGTTTGCGGTGGCCCTTGATCACATTGGGGCAGTCGCTATTGCCCGGTTCTGTTTTGAAGATCTTCGTGCTTCCTTGCGGTGTGGTCACCACCATTCTTGTCCTGGGATCTAGCTTGATCGACACCTCGATGTGATCACCCGGGAGCAGACCGCCGCCATAGGTGAGCAGGTAGAGGTGGACTGGTCGTGAGGGACATGACTCCGATAATGACGAGGACTCGGGAGACGGAGTGAAGCCACCGGACCTTGGGACCAGCTTCAATGGGTATTTGTAGGTGAGAGTGGTAAGGGTGGGGTTGTTTGGCGGAAGAAGAGAGAGGACGACGGTGCCCTGCCCCGGTTTCGCTATGGAAGACTCGAAGGGTGAGCGTATGGGCATTGCTGGTTGTCGCATGGTGAATGATGTGCAGGTCTGAGGAATCGAATCGAAGGCGGACGCGGAGCAGAGAGGGAAGAAGCGGAGATTTATGAAAGCCTTGGGGTGATGTGCGGAATGAGCCAAGAGGTCAATTCAGTAAGGCGTAATGGCGGCGCAGCCATGCAGGATGATGTGACGAGAGTCGAAAACGAGGAGTTTTTACCCCGGAATCTTGAGTGCTGGGACGTATATAATTTTAGCCAAATTGGGGGTGATGATGGCATTCATTAGTCAATGCGAACCCACCGGGCGTCAGTTGTGTGGCTCGACCCATGGACTATGTGTCAAGCGGGGGGCGCGGGCGCCCTCATGACCAAGTGGTGTAATTCCTGGGACTCCGTGAGACCGAGGGAAGTGCCAAGTGGACACTGGGTGAGAAGCGCGGGGTCCAATTGAGGTTTCTATGACAAATGGGACCCGCATCGTGAGAACTAGACGCCGCTCTCCGTCTTGGCTGCAGGTCCCGATCTGGGATCACCTGATGCTTCGCGTAAGCTGGCGGTGAGCTAGCGGTCTTACAGCCTGAGTACCCCGTGATTTTCGTCAAACACATACAAACAAGAGTATGTTAGTTCAACATAGGTGGATAAACATGTCTTTCGAAATGTTTAGAAAGGTGTTGAAGGAAATACATAGATATTCTGTAGGTTTTATTCCGGGAAAGCGGTCTCACCACTTCCGCCTCAAATGCCACGTGACTAGATGCAGCGAAATCTTAAGCCGCACTGACCTGTCACAATCTCCCAGGTGACTTGTTATGTGCATATAGGTCATCGCACACATGGTGTAAGGTCATCGCACACATCACGTGATTTTATTTTTATTTTGCCCCACTTTTCTGGAAGAACGTAAATCCTTCGTAATTTTGGAATTACCCTTACGGAATTACCCATCCGGAATCTTCCTTCTATAATCCTTCTATAAAACTAGACAACATCTAGTTCTCTTCTTCACTATCCTTCTCTTCTTCACCATCCTCTCTACCATCTCCACCATCTCCAAAACCATCCTCTGAACTAGTAAACAGCTGGTTCTCATCATCTCCATCATCTCCATTATCTCTATTATCTCCATCATCTCCATCATCATCATCATCATGGCCCAAGTCAAGAAAAATGTGAGTTTACTAGTTCTGAAGTGGTTTTGGGGCATTCAAACTGACAGATTTACAGCCAAACTTCCAACGTTACCTTGACCTGTCGAAGGCAGATCTGAAGCTCCCTTCTCTCACTGAAGACATCAGTTTACTAGTTCCGAACTGGTTTTGGGCTGCAAAGCTAATTGATATTACAGAACAAAGGCTATTGCACCATCGAGGTTGGCGAGAGATACTGTCGAGTTGAAGATTGTGGAAATGCTGTAAGTCTTTTACTTTTACTTCACTTTACTCCTCACTTTGCTCCTTTCTAAACTAGTTGCTAACTACTTTATAGACTCTCTTTACCTCCACCAACAACCTCCGCAAGCACGTTCAGAAGCAGCATCCTGAAGTGTCTCTGACTGGCGAGGAATTTGGTGGTCGCCCTTGCCAAGCTGATGAATTCCGTGCTATCAGAAAGTGCTACAACTAATTAAGAACTAGTTAATTTGGATTTCTGAATAAATTACTAACTAGTTTACAGAGTTTTTCAATGAGATCATGGAGGCCTACGATGAGCGTGAGGCGGCAAAGGAAGAGATTTTGCCTAAGCTTCCTCTCAAGAATGATCGATCGGTAAGTATCGCGATATATTAGTTTCTAACTAGTTCTTCTACTAATATTCTTAGGTGCATATTACCAAAATGCGTCAAGCCGTTCGATCGATGAAGCTTCCTGTGCCTTGTGAGGTTTGCAAAGACACTGATCAACCTAAGCGTGAGTACTCCAGAAATACAAGGTTTAAACCAGTTACTAACTAGTTTAGTCTGCTGCCATGACGAAGTCAAGGGCACTTGTGAGCATTTTGGTCTTTTCACTGACCCTCGCAATCAGCAGGGTCAGGAGTACGTCCCATCAGAGGATGAGGCGTAGGGACTAGTTTGAAACTAGTTTTCCTCGTGGGTTTTGCTTTTTTGCTATCAAGCTTCAAGAACTAGTTTTAACTAGTTCTTTATGGTGTTTTCTATGGTTTTCAATTTGCATTTTTATTTTGAGAACTAGTTTTACCTAGTTCTTTATGGAGTTTTGGAGTTTTGCTTTTTGCTTTGAGAACTAGTTTTACCTAGTTCTTTATGGAGTTTTGGAGTTTTGGAGTTTTTGCCTTTTGCTTTGAGAATTAAAAAAAGCTAGTTTTAACTAGTTCTTTATGGTGTTTTGCGTGTTTTGCTTTTTGCTTTGAGAACCAAGAGAAACTAGTTTTAACTAGTTCTTTACAATATTTTCTATGGTTTACATTATGCATTTTTGCTTTCAGAACTAGTTTTACCTAGGTTTTAACTAGTTCCCTCTCTTTATCTGCTCTAGTTGCGCCGCAACGAGCTGCCTTTCTAGTTCCATCTTCGCAACCCTTAGTTCTTGTTCTTTAGTCTCAAGCTCTAACTGCTGGCGCTTTATTTGTCTTTCTTCTCGAGCATCCTCTATCTCCTGGCGCTTTTGCTGAATTTCGAGCTCTCGAAGGTCGCTTAAATGATCACGATTTTGCGAGTTAATCGCTGCTGTACGACGAAGACTGGAACTTGTGGATGCACTATAGAAGTAGTTAGTAATTAATTCTTAACTAGTTTAAAACTAGTTAAATACATACCGAGACTGGCTACGTGTAACCCCTCTAGAGCTTGATCGCCGTGGGGTGGCTGATCTCGATCTTGGCCGTGGTGTAGCTGACCTTGACCGACGTTCAATATCAAATACGAAGCCAGAAGATGAGGCTTCGAGGAGGATTTGATCGTCAATATCAAACTGAATTCGTGCGTCTCTGTAATAAGCGGCTTTCTGTTCTGCTTTCTCTCTTTTTCTAGCTTCGCGCTGGAGATTCCTTCCAAAGCGGGCCTCAATGTCATCAGCTTGATAACGGTGATGAATACCGAAAGTATCTCGATTCTCTAATTGATCAAGATCCTGTTGATCGAGGTATAATGACCTAAAACTAGTTAGTAGCTAGTTATAAACTAATTTATAACTAGTACTTACTTTGTCACAGCACCTAATAATGAATCGTAAGTTCCTAGTGCATAGGACTTATTATGGCTTTGCTCAACTGCATTCGTATGAGGCCGGAATCTAGAGAAGAATTCAGGGCTAACACCTGAGCATGCTTTACATAGCCCTGCTGCAATTACTGGGTGTCTCTTGTGTCGAACCCAGTATTTGAGGTTTGGATCGTGCTCTAAGACTAGTTAGTAATTAATTCGTAACTAGATTGAAACTAGTTATTTACCTTCAATAAGATCTAGTAACCTATGATAATCATGTTCAGTTTGACATGAAAGTAGGCTATTTAGACGCTCACGGCACTCTATATGGGAGCCATCTGGTCGATTTGGGTAGATCTTTGATACTGTCCTCATAAAATGTATAGCACAAAAGATCATAATCCGTACGAGGTGCCAAGCTGGAGAACGTCGATTCTGCTCGGTGTCTTGGTCCTGAAGGAATGCACCTAAGCCTTTATACTGATTAGTAATTAATTCGTAACTAGTTTTTAACTAGTTTACTTACCAAAGATCTGCTTTGGGCACATATCACCAACAATTGCCTTAATACCTTCCCCATGAAGGTAGTGAAACCTAATAGGTCTCCCTATTGACCTTGACATAAGTTCGAAAACTATCTGGAAGATAAATTTATATCCCATGGAGTTCTCTTGGTCAGTGAAGACACGACAGAGGGTTATAACTAACCCAGAACTAGTAAGTAATTAGTTCTTAAGTAGTTAATAGCGTCCTTACTTACTTTTACCATGGTCTGTAAGCATTGTAGCAAATATCACCTCGTTGATGTCTCCTTTTACCCGCTTATAAGACATATCAACCTCGATAGCATCACGCGTTGCTAGAAATTGGAGCTGTTTCGCGAAAGCACAGAAGACAAAAGTCCCTTCTGAAGTTTCGTAGATCTCTTGAACAAATTCCTAAATGGTAATTAGTTAGTAACCAGTTCTTAATTAGTTCTCTATTAGTTATTTTACCTTTAGATCAGGTTTGACATCTAGTTGATGGCGTAGGCCAGCTATCCCTTTGCCGTATGGGTAGCTTAGCGCTCGTTGTTTCCAAAGTAATGCCGCAACCTTATCGATCTTAGCAAAGCTAGAGTGGATCTGTGATAGCGTTTTGCATTTATGTTGCTGGCAGAATTCACGAAGCGCAGGACTGCGTAGGAATGTGCCTATAAGTAGTTAGTAATTAGTTAAAAACTAGTTTCAAACTAGCTAAATACGTCACATACTTAACTTAAGGTTTGGGTCTAGATTTTTGCAAATCAGATCTAGGACCTCGCTAGCGATTATCCATGGAGCTTTTGTAGGTGGTGGTGGTGGATGGGAATGCGTTCCACGAGAGTAGAAGATTGCATATGGGTATCTCTCAGGAAGAAGCGGGATAAAGGTCTGGAACATAACGTTACAAGCGCCATGGCTCTGGATTTTACCCTGACCCTGAGGATGAACAACGCCTAGAACTAGTTAGTAACTAGATTTGAACTAGTCTAGAACTAATCCTTACCGCACAATGGCCTCCTTGAGGCCGCTGGTTCAATCACTCCGCAAGTTAGTGGTCTAGGTTGATAGGTAGAGGCTAGAAGCTTCTGTAGAAGTTCCATATCAAGTGATCTCTCTTTTGGAAGTAGAGAAGTGTAGAAGTGTTCTTGACGGTTCTCTTGAGATGAATTCGCGCAGCTTATATAATAGCTTGGCACTTCAGATACGTTCTAATAACTAGTCAGTAACTAGTTAATAACTAGTAAGTCAAAGGTTTACCGTATAGTGGTGCTGGCGAAATATAGGTTGACAACCTAGGCGAGAGGATTTACAAGCGACACCCCGAAGGAACTTCCTTTTAGTTGCGTTATATAGCCTATAGAGATTAGTTTAGTTAAGAACTAATTCGGAATTAGTTTACGTACCCAATACTATTGCGCTGTAGCTCTCCATGGCCCTCTGAGAGCGAGGAATCCGCGATCTCTTGGCGTATATTTGTGATAAGGCTCCATAGATCTTTGTCCGCTTTTGTATGGGCTAGATATGAGAGTCTAGGATCAATAAACTCGCAGCTCTTGACACCATTACATTTAAAGCGTTTTCGCTCTGTTTGGCAGCCAAGGAATGCGGAATGCACAAATTCTCTTGATCCATACCCACCCATAGCGTACTGTGTCTAATAACTAGTTAGTAAGTAGTTTATAAATAGTTAATAACTAGTTATTCACTAACAGATTTCATCACAGCTCGTAGCTTATCCGGTCTAGATTTGTCAATATTCACGATATAGGCAAACCCTTCCTCATGAGTTTCTGGATACTCTGGAAGTAGAGGCACATGCTCAATAACAGTAGCTGATATTGGGTGGGTTGGATGAAAGGTTAATGGTGTTGGAATATGACTTGGCTAGGAATAAATCAGTTTAAAACTAGTTTGGATCTAGTTGTTGTCAATATATATTTACCTCATCCGGGTCAGGAATTGCTGCTTGGAATTCTTGCCAGTCTTCAAACTCATCGACATACTCGCTCGCTGGTTCCGTATCAGGTTCAGGATTAACCTGTATAAGCTCAGTGAGGGTACGATCCTCATAGGCCCTCCAGATATAATCTGTACTGTGTTCCATGGTAATTGGGATGATGATAGAAAGAGACTAATAATCTGTGTGGGTAAATTACCGGGTTACCAGGGCATACCCTACAAAATTACATAATTGCGATGAGCACGGACCAAAACTGCCAAAAAGCCACGTGACCCTTGCAGCGACCTAAGTGCCCACTTGCGATCACCTGGTTCCTCACTTGTTATGGCCCGAATGCCTAAATGCCTGAGTGCCTGAGTGCCTGAGTGACCAGGACCGCAAAGGCATCCAGTCGCGTCGACCTCCTTTACCTCTCTCCCCCGCCCTTCGAGATCCCATCGGCCCCCTCTTTTGTTGGTTCGCCTGTGCTCTCGACCTGCCAATTTGAACACGGCCAGCCCGACATTCCGCGAATCCAGACTGCACCACTCTCTCCCCTCGGTGTTCATTCGCCCGTTTCTGTTTGCTGCCGTTTCACGGCGCGTTCCACGGCGCGTTCCACGAGGCGCGTTCCGACCCGACATACGGACCTCAACCAATTCCCATATCCAACGCGACCACTCTTTGATCGACATACGTCCTCCCCAATTGCAGTCGCTACAAGTCCAGTCACACCTTCCACCCCAATATGGAGGTGGACAGCCCAAGCAGCCCGTCATCGACGCCCGCGGAGGATAGACGCAAATCTGGCCGGCAAAGGCGGCGACCCGAAATTTTCTCCCAAAGTACCCACTCAGCAGAGATCAATGCTAGGAACAAGCGCAAGCGTGGTGACGCGCACGATGCCGCGGAACATGACGAGGACTCGGACGAGTCCGACAGTGACGACGTGGACGACTCGGAGGCCGACGAGGAGGAGCTGAGAGAAAAGCGTCGCGCAGCCCGCAAGACCGGCACAAAGTCCACAGCCAAGAAGGGTTCGCGCTCGGCAAAGAAGCCAAAAGTCGCAGGTAATGGAGTGGGTAGACAGCTGGCCTTCCGGCCTGCCCTCAATGGTCGACTTCCAGCTTCGCGTCCCCGTAAGCCCAGGATTCGACCCAGTCTGGCTGCGGGTGAGCGTGGTTTGTTTGGTGAGTTTCTACGACCAGTTTACTGCTTTTTGGGCTCCATCTAACTCTTCGTTCTAGCGGAGGTTTTCGGAAAGAGCAACAACGCCGACACGGCCGCTGCGCAATGGCTGAATCAATATCAACGCAACAGTGGACAGGCTATGCAGGACCTGATCAACTTCATTATTCGGTGTACCGGTGCCGACCTCGAAATCAGCAAGGAGGAAACGGAAGACGTGGACCACGCCCCAGAGCGAATCAGAGATCTACAGAACATCTATCAGGCACAAGGCTTTACCGAGTACCCTCTCATCTCCCGTGAGAAAAAGTTCCGAGCATTCCAACCTGTCCTCGAGGAATTTATGACCGCACTCATCCAGACTTTCCACCACTCCTCGGTCCTGTACACAGATGAAGCCCTGCTGGAGAACGTCCAGATTTGGGTGTCTTCTATGTCGACAGCGAATTGTCGCCCGTTCCGACACACGTCGACGATTATCTCACTGGCAATCATGAATGCTCTCTGCGATATCGCACGAGAAGTGACGACCACCGTGACGACTTCCCGCAAGCAGCTCGAAAGCGAAAAGAAAAAGAAGTCAGTCAACAAAGGACGGGTGGAAGCAATTCAGACAGCTATCTCTGAAGGTGAGCAGAAGGTGGAGCGCCTAGACGAGTTTTTGCAAGATGGATTCGATACCGTCTTTGTTCACCGTTATCGTGATGTGGATGGGGGCATCCGTGCCGAGTGCATGGAGGCCCTGGGCCGGTGGATTCGTACCTACCGAGAAATCTTCCTTGAGGGACAATATCTGCGGTATATCGGATGGACGCTCGCCGATGTTGTGGCCCACACCAGACTTGTTGCCTTGACGCAATTGCTCCCTCTCTATGAGAATAAAGATAATATCGGCGTTCTCCACTCTTTCACGGAGCGATTCCGCCAGCGTGTTGTTGAAATTGCAGTTCAAGATGCCGACGTCAACGTGCGTGTGGTGGCTGTCGAGCTACTCAACCACCTTAGAGAAGGTGGCCTGCTCGAAGCCGACGACATCGATGCCGTTGGCCGGCTTGTCTTTGACGTCGATCCTCGTGTTCGGAAAACAGCAGGCCAGTTCTTCGTCGCCAATGTTCAGGATGCGTTTGACTCGGCAACGGAGGAACTGGGAGATGAGCTCAACGACACGCTTGCAGATGACGATGACGATGACTTCGAGATACCTAAGCAATCGTGGATCAAGTTCAAGTGTCTCGTTGACATCTTCTATAACTATGATTCACAAGAGACCGACGAAACCGAAAAGGAGCCCACAACCCGCAATGTGCTTTTGGGAGCGCCGGCCGATTCCCGATTTGTTCTGGCAACTGAAGCCATCTACCCTCACATGGAGGAGCTCTCTCAATGGCAGTCGCTCGCTGGTTATTTGCTCTACGATCACTCTCAGATCGCTGACCAGGCTTCTGATGACGATACATCAGGAACTGTCCGGTCTCTGTACAAGCTTGCCGAGGGACAAGAATCCATTCTTTTGGAAGTTCTCGGAGCTGTAGTCAGACTTCGGGTGCTCGATATCGCCAAGTCTGACATCGACAAGCGAGGGCGGAAGGTCAAGGCATTGACTGCCAAGATCCCAGAGCTCCAGGAGGAGATCTCCCATAGCCTTGCGCAGATCATCCCGCAACTCCTGAAGAAGTTTGGTTCTTCCCCTGAAACAGCGTCCGCTGTGCTGCGGTTGGAGCACTTCGTGGATCTTGATTCAATCCAGGACCTTCAGAAGGATGCCACAGCCTACACGGCCCTGCTAAACGACATCAACAAGCAGTTTTTGACGCACTCGGACCAGGATGTCCTGGCTGAAGCTAGTTTGGCCTTCTTACATGCGAAAAGCTCCGACGAAATGCGGGAGGCGCTAGAGGGCAAGATCCAGGAACTATGGGAAAAAATGGTGGAGTCACTCGGCTCATTGTCTCGCAAGAAGGAAGTTCAGGTTGGTGGCTACATTCCTGACTCAACCCTCACCGATCTCGCCAACACTGTGATGCGTATTTCCAATCTCGCCGGCATCACGGATTGCACGACTATTCTGGAGACCGTGCCTACTTCGCGCTCGAAATCCAAGAAAGACCACGTCGAAGCTCCCTTCAATACTCTCATTCACCTTGCCAATCGTGGTGTTCGCAAAACAGACGATGAGGAGGATACTGCGACGGAGACCGAGCTGGTGTCAAATAGCATCCGCACCTTGCTCTTCTATTTCATGTGGAAGGTCCAAGGATTGACTGCTGCACTGAAAGACGGAAAGGCCAACTTCAACACATCATACTTCGAAACACTCACAAAGAGCCGTGAGACTTTCATGTCGACGCTTCTCTCCATCATGGGAGGACGCTCCGGCCTCGACGATCTGCGATTTATTGCTACCACAACCTTCCTGGACTTACAAACTTTGTTTGGCACTCTCCGCAATGTCGGCCAGGGTGTAGGTAACGACGAAGATGTCATCTTCCAGACACAAAGCCTCGTGCATGAAGCGTCGGCCGAGGCCCAGACTCTCATCACCAAGATCCACAGCATCGCGGAGCGCAACTTTGCCAAGAAATCCCAGCGAGACCTCGAACCCGGCGAAGATGACGCCCCGGCATCTGAAGATGAGCCCGAGGACGAGGACGAAGCCAGTGACTCAGAGGACGAGGCAGTCATCAACGAGCGTCTCCGCAGCAGCATCATGGCCGAGCAACGCCTATGCGAGCTCACCGGCAAGCTTGTACTGGCCATCATCGGCCGTGTCGTCGACTCATCCGGCTCGAAGCGTGGCTCGCTGAAAAAAAGCCTCCTCCGCAACAAGACTGCTCTCGGTCAAAACTACCGCGAAGTCCTCTCATACCTCGAAGAGCGCAAGCCCCGCAGCGCACCCCGCAAAAAGAGCAAGCAGCCCGCCAAGAACGCAGCTGCCGATGACCAAGCGCCAGCAACTTCAGGAAAAGACTACAAATCAGCCGAGCGTATCGATGACGATGATAATGAGGAGGGGGACAATGCCGATCCCATTGAAGAGGATGACGAGGAAGACCTGCGAGCTCGTGAGCTTGTCGAAGAAGATATCGATCATGGTAATGACGACAACGAGGACAATGATCGGGCCCCTGAATCGGACGAGGATGAGGTCATGGGCGATTAGTGGTTTTCGTTCTCGTTCTCGGTCGAGGGCTTATATTCTGCTGAGCTCTTGATCTTTTTTCTTTTACTTTTCCATTCTCAATGTCTAAATTCCTATTTTGTTCTGAGCGGTCAGGACTGTTTTCATTGTGTATGCTATCGATATCTCCCTTATGTTCTCTCATGGACCGGGTCCATTTGCTCCAAGGCTTGGATTATTGTAGAAATCTCACTATGTATTTCATCAAGATGTGGATCTCCTGGGCGAGACGGCGTATCTACAAACCAGTAGCTCGTCCCACTGGAGGTGGATTCGGCAGAATCTTGTCTAGGGACTTGGGTGGCTTAATTTTCAGTATCAGAAGTTGAGCTGACTGTGATGCTGATCAAATAATACAAAGTTTAGAATTAGAGTTCTTAAGACTTTAGTAAAGACTGTAGCTGCAGGTCAATAGCAGCTCGTTTCTACTATTCGATGAGAGGGCATGGAGACTTCATTTACCATAGCAATATGCCCAGGTGAGAAGGCTTAAGCTACGTGTTTTAAAGAAGACATGAACTGCATAAGACTTGGCATTTTTGACTGGTAGGCCGCGAGAGACTACGTACGTAGCACTATCGACAACCACCAGGGACGAATATTGACGGGACTGTCAGCGGTATAAACCAGCTTCGGAGCATCGGTGATGAAAGAAGCGAGATCACTAACAGATGCGGCCCTGCTGCCAGCGAACGAAGGTGATTTCTCAAGGGACCAACCCCCCAAGAAAAACAACAATCGACATGAGGTGGAGACATTAACATAAAAGACGAGGACCGATCCTGCAAACAAATACGCCTGTGTATGAGAATGCTAATAGGGGAGGGGTTACATGACGGTGAATCTTTATCGTGAATGGATCAAAATGGAAAAAGAGAAACGAGAAGGGGGAGCTGGACTTCTTGACAGGAGACGAGGTGGGAAAGGGGAGGAGGGAAAATCGAACATATTTCATGTGCTGGTTTAGACTCAAACCCCGCAGAGCTGAGTGGCTAAACAAGAAAAGCACGGACGGAGAGAGGAACCGATACTAAACGAGGCGGTACTTCGGTGGAAAGAAATTTCCAGTTCTGCTGAGGTGGGGTGATGCGCAACGCACATCGCGAGGTGACGGAGCCGGGTGGAAAGTACCACTCCTTTACATGTCCATGGAGTCACCGCCGTTGGCGAAGTTGAATCCGCCGGGCTGCTGCTGGCCAGTGCCAAGAGTGAAGCCAGCCTGGGTCTGCTGAGGGGCCAGCTCGTCGATCTCGCCAGCAGCCTCATCCTCATCGGAGAAGTACTTCTCGATGATGTTGTAGGCCTTCATGTAGATCTCCTCGTTGGCATTGTTCTGGCAGTCGTGGATCTTCTCCATACCACCAGCCTCTTCGATGAAGAGAGCGTAGCGATTGACATGGGCCTCACCCTGACCGGCCTCCTTGTCCATCTCCCCAACCTTCAGGATGTTCTCAAGGCCGTCCAGAGCAACCTGAATGATCTTGTTGTCAGGGCAAGCCAGGAGGTCACAGAGGGGCTTGATGCATCCTTGAGAAACAAGGTAGCGGATCTGGTCGGGCTTCTGCAGACCACCCGAGGTGGCGTTGGAGATAGCCCAGCAGGCCTCCTTGCGGGTCTTGAAGTCGCCGTTGGCGAGGAGGTTGATCAGAGGAGCAATGATGCCAGCGTCGATGACGGACTGGATTTGGCTGGAGTTGCCAGCAGTGACGTTGGAGATGGTCCAGCAAGCCTCCTTGCGAATGCCGTCCTTGGTGGAGCTCAGAAGGGAAAGGAGGGCGGGAAGGGAACCGCAGTTGATGATAACCTGGGTCTGAACATCGTCACCAGTGACAATGTTACCGACGGATCGGAGAGCGGGAGTCTGAACTGAGGTAGAGGCGTGCATCAGAAGCTCCACGAGACGGCGGGGGATACCAGCCTCAATGACGGCCTGGATCTTGTCGTTGGCGCCATCGGACAGGTAGGAGATGGCCCAGCAGGCGTCGATCAGAACCTCGTCGTCCAGCATGTAGATAAGCTTAGCAAGCACGGGCAGAGCAGGAGCAATAGTGTTCCAGTCGGGCTGGGGAGTCTTGCCACGGCAGAAGTTGCTAAGAGTCCAGGTGGCGTTGCGGAGCATGCTCAGCTTGCGGCCATCGTTGATGAGGTTCAGGAGCGGGCGGAGAGCACCGGCACCCAGAACGAAGTCACGGCAGTGAGGGCTGTCACCGGCAATGTTACCAAGAGCCCACACGGCCTGCTCCCGGACATCGGGCTCGGGGCTGCTGAGGAGCTCAACGAAGATGGGGACGGCACCGGCCTCGATGACAACTTGGGTCTGCTGGGCGGAACCGGAGGCAATGTTGGTCAAAGCCCAGGCAGACTCAAACTGCACAAGAGTGTGAGGGGAGCGGAGGAACTCGACGAAGCGGCTGACGACACCGGTCTCGATAACGCGCTCAATAGGGGGGTTACGCTCCTTGGACAACAATTTGCGGAACTTGGTAGTGGCCTGAATCTGCTCCTCAACCTGGTCGGAGAAGACACCCTTCACCATCTGGGGGAGTTCGACATTGAGCTACATAATCCATTGCGTTAGCCATTTAGGGTTCCTTTGGTTCTTCTCATGTAACGATCTTATAGTGGGGCTGTGCAGTAATGGGCCGTGTTGGAGGGGCGGCCCCATGGCAACCGGGCGGTGAAAAAAATTCCCATGTTGATGATCGCATCATAAAAACAAAGGGAGGGTCGAGGTGACCACCGGGGAAGCGCGATAGGATCCCATTACGCAACGTTCAAACCACGTGTGCGAAACGCAGATAGCCAAAAAAAAAAAGTAAAAACTTACCTCGCTCTCGATAGCACTGGCCTCGTCGTCGCTCTCGGTGGCGGCGGCCATGCCACCACCAACACCGATTCCACCATCCCGGGTCTGGATTCCACGTCGCTTGGCCAAGTTCTCCTCACGCTTCTGCTTCCGGATCTCGACCTGCTGTTCCTCACGGCGGCGACGGAGCTCATCGGGCTTGAACTGGTTCCGGGCCTTGAACTGGGTCCGGCGATGCTCGGGGATATAGCGTTCCGCCATGGTGTCTGGAAACTGATGAAAAGAAAAGAAAAGCGCGCCTCAGAATAAAAGTAAAGTAGGATGGGAATGGGCGCGCTGTGGATGGGAAGAAGGAGAGATGTGGGGGAGGAAGAAGAGGAAGAGAAGGTTTCGTGTGTGCAAGGAGGGGAAATCATGTGACAGCTACCCCCATTATTTACTCAACGCTCTTGCTTTCTGCTGCTCTTTGTTCTCTACACTTTCATCCATAGATTTGAAATAAACTAAGGATCCACACTGATACTCTTTGTTTCAATCTGGGTCCCCAGGATGTCCCATCATGCCAGGATGGACGCCCATTGAGCATTGAGCACTGCCAACCTCCGGAAGCTACATTTTTACTTTGGGAGATACCGCATATCTGTGGCGACTAAGAGCTTCCAAAGTCCTCGATCTGCATGGTTCTCCCTATAAAGAGTTCGCTCAAAGGCTATGGCTCCCACCGATCTAGTGGATATTGGCACCGCGTGCGCCCGTCGAGGATTTATCAACACTGTCGGCGTGGTAGTCGATAAGCTGGATGTCTATCGCACCAGAGGCTCCTCATCTTGTGTTACATTCACTATAAAAGATGCTCACTTTGATACTCCAAGCTGGTCCGGAGGTCTCAAGATCAAATACTTCAACGACAATGAAAGTGTGCTTCCTGAAATTCGCCTCCACGATGTAGTCTTACTGCGAAATATTCGTGTATGTCTCCCGTGACGATTGCTGGAACAGGACTGATACTTCACGCCTCAGGTTACCGTTTTTCAAGGCAAGTCAACGGGAGTTGCTTCGCAGCATGATACTGTCCCTTGGGCAATCTTCAGGCCTGGGCCAGACCCCAATTCAAGCCCAGTCATCACCAGCGGGCCCGTTCCTTTCGACTTGAAACCTCTGGAAAAGAGGTTCGCAAATTCGCTTCTGGATCGGTTTGTAGTCGATGAACAAGCTGCGTCAGCACCACAGCCAACACGTCGCACGGCTGTTTCGCGTCAGCCGTCTGAGCCGTCCCAGCCATCTCAAGTGATCCAGGCTTCTATGCCGGCTCCCAAAAGAGGAGGCCTGCCATTTCATCTGATCCAAGATGTCCAAGTCAACAACCTTGCCCAGCTGTTGGGCCAGGTAGTGAAACTCAACACCTACGATAGCGAGAAATGCCTCATGTACCTTACAGACTATACGTCTAATGCGGGTCTCATGGACATCAAGAAACAGGACGAAGACGAACAGGGTCCCGAAGGTGACGAATATAACTACATGGCTCGCAAAAAGAAAGACTGGCCCGGTCCATGGGGCCAACTGACAATACAAGTCGCTGTCTGGGAGCCACATGCCAGTTTTGTGCGCGAACGCGTCAAAGCCGGCGACCTTGTGCTCTTGACATACGTACGCATCAAAGAAGGCCGTTTTGAAGGTGGCATAGAAGCTGCAGTACACGAGGATAAACGCTACCCAGAAAAGATCCACGTTCGCATCGTCTCGCCTAACTACGATGAGCGATCCCGAGAGCTTCTGGACCGTCGCAAGGAATACTGGGCTATCCACGGCAAGCCTAGTGATGATCCAAAGAAGGCTGAAAAGAAGAAAAAGAGCGCACAGAAGAAGAAGGAGGTCCGGAAAGAGGAGGGTCAAAAGACTTTGACAGTGGCCACCTCGCAGACCAAGAAAAACCCACACAGTAGGTGGCCTGCAATTTGGAAGTGAGGAGAGTATGCTGATAAGTGCGACAGTCAAAATGCGCAACATTGGAGTACCTGAGCGTTCGATCGAATACATTCTATCCGGCGAATCACACGTCAACAATCTTCCGGGTGGCATCACCTACACTCTCCCTTTCCAGAACGTCTGCTACGTGCTACTAGCCCGAGTTGTGGATTTCTTCCCCCGGAACCTAGAAGACTTCGCCGTGCAAGTCCCCATGAAGCGAATAGCCGCCAACTACAGAAATCGAGGCCAGGATATCGACAGCACACCAAGTATGGAATGGCAATGGCGCTTCTGCCTTCTCGTCGAAGGAACAGAGCCTATGGTATCGAAACATGAACTCCGGAAACAGATGAAGATCTATGTATCCGGCGGAGATGGTGAGCACTTGCTCAACCTCGACGCTACTGAGTAAGCTTGCGTTGCTTCAGAACGTATTTCAAAGTTGCTGACCAGTCATAGTCTTCGCCGCAGTCCCGATCGGCTAGCTGAGCTGCGAGAGAAACTGTTTCTTCTTTGGGGTGACTTGGAAGAAAAGAAGCAGGCACAGGCTGTCGACGAAAACTCGGCCTGGGAGCCTGTTAAATCCTCGTCGGTACCTTTCAACTGTTGTATTCAAGAGTATGGGGTGCACTGTGGCCATGCGCCAGACTTGAATGCCATGGTCATCGACGGGGTCGAGCAGCCATGCAGCCAGCCGGACTGCCTTGGTTGGGAAAGACGATTCTCCATGTTCGGCACGACAATTCATTCCTAATAGATTGAGTGCATGTACAGGTGTAACTGGTTCAACGGGAATTCCGGACAATTGTAAAATAGGCGTCGGGGTCACACCATTACATAGTTCAGGTAGACATCCTGGATAGTTAAAAGATGTCAATACTGTTCTTAATTGGTACTCATACAATTTGTAGTTGCGACAAGTGCGTCTAGAGATAAGCCAGGCATGTTGAACACCGGAGACTACCCATGTTCTGCTGGGTAGGGCGCAGTAAACCCTCCGACCCAGTCCCATGTCATACGCCATCCTGAGAACTCCGAAAAAGAAACCCCAATTTCCGTGCAAGGACCGATCAACGTCCGCAAATAACAAAGACCAATTCAATTGCTGAAGATACCATGCTCCTCAGTTGCTAATCTTGTAGACATCTTGTAGACATCTTGTAGACAAAACCACGTATGCCCGACGACGCCGAAATAAAACTGAAACACTGAACCGCAATACCTCAATTCGCCCCAGGGGAGCATATTTCAGAAAAGAATGTTAATAAAGAGACCGCTATTTAAACCTTTGTCACTTTGACAATGTTGGTGTCAATGCCGTGGGCCACAGGCTCGAAGCGACAACTGTCTCCACGAAAGCAGGTTTTTTTGCCGGGTTCACTCTGGGGGCAACGGTGGCCGTAGATACACTCCGGGTCGTCGCATTCCAATCCAAAGCGGCACGGCGTCATGCGGGCGATAGCGGACAGGATGTGAAGTTCTTGCCGGGTCAATTTGCGGTCGTGATCGTGGTAACAGTTCTCCTCATTGGGGCACTCGCCCAGCAAGAAATAATAATTGCACAATTTGAGCTTCTTCAGGCGATTGAGATCGTCGCGAGGAATGCTCTTGAAATCAAGACGATCCACGCGTTGTCCGTATTTGTTTCGCTCGACGGTCTTTGCAACTGTCGAACCGGGTAACTTGGAGCGCACAACCGGCTGGAAATCTGGATTCTCTCCTTTATTGGAGGTAACAGTCGACAGAGGTCCGCCAACACCGGAGAAGCTCGTGTTGGTGGATGTTCTTGACAAAGGCGGAGGGTTTGTGAAGGACTGGGACGGAGATGGCGTGAGCAATGATCGAGACGGAAGGGCGCTCTTCCAAGGAGCTGTCCACACGGGCACCAGTTTGGCTGAACGGAAGACATCCGGGAACCGGGCGATTCGATATGAGTTCTGGACAGTCTCCAGCTCCTTCTCAAACGGAACACCCTCCACAAGAGAGATGCGACCAGTAAGATCCCCTTCATTCAATGACTCTTCAAGGAAATGACCGTATTCACTATTTGAGGGGCAGCCAAGGAAAATCTGGTGGCAATGGCAGTTGTAAAGAAAGACCTGGAACATTTCTGCAGAGACAAATTCGTTAGCTTTAGTTCCATAGAGGACCCGAGTGAAGACGAACCCTGAATCTTATCGTATGCCTTGTTCTTGCCCGACCCGATGTCCACAATTTCAGAAAGCGACATGGTCTCATTGAAACCGCGAATAAAATCATGAATCGCAGCAGCCTCCGAAATAGTCCCACTCCGAGCGCAAAGCTCGCCAAAGCTCTTCACATTGAGAAAAATCTTGGTCAAAAGCCTCGGCTCAGTAACACTTGGAATATTCTTTGCCAAATAGGAGCGCATGCCCGTTTCGAGCGCCTTGGCCGCACTGCGTCCACCCTCTTCTCCCTGCTGCAAATATTCGTCCTTGAAAATTATCCCTTCTCCGTCTAAAAGAACGACAACGAAAGGTTCTCGATCCTGGATCCGGTCCTGTATCAGCGCATGCCCCGGTGTAATTATCCACCATTTGCGCTCACCATAATATTCTTGATCTGAGAGATCTGTTGCATCAACTCCATCTCGTGCAGTTGAATATCGCGATTGAAGCGGGTCTCGCGCTGGTGATCAAGTTTTTCTTGCTGGAAGGAGGTCTCAAGGTCTGTCACTCGTTGCAGGAGTTCCTAGAGGCAAATCGTATTAGCTCCCAAGTTTTGGTCGTGTTCAAGGGAGGGTAGATACCTCAATAAGTTGATTCTTCTGCTGATCCAGTGCGCTAAACTGGCGATAGCGCTCGAGATAATCCGGAGTGTCCATATCGACGAAGTATTATGTGGTGAATGGGTGTAGGAGTAAAAGGAACAAAGCGATAAGAAAGGAAGGTTGGGGTGCTATAAAGTTGGCAGGCGCTTGCGCAGTTTCACGGCGTTTCACCCTGGCGGTATGAATCACTCTGTAGTCGTATGACGCCGGCTCTGATGCGTATCAAGTCGACAAATAATTGAGTGGAGATTAACCTGATCTCGACTTTATCTTTTTCCTTTCCAAAAAAAAAAAAAAAATCGATCTCCAAAGGGAGAGACGCGATTTGCTGAGTCATCTTCCCCGGTACCGAAGTGGACCAAGCTAAATTGCAACCTGCAACGTGTGATCACCCTTTCTCGTGTACTTTCCTCTCCATTCCCTATCAAGATGACTCGTTTTGGATTCCTCTCCCTGGCTCTGCTATCTCTCCAGGCCTTCGTCGGCATCGGCTTTGCTGCTGTAAGTTCTATTTCCTTTCGCGTGACTGCAATTGACTGAACCGACGATCATTAGGATACCGAGGACGCCGGGACCCAAGTCAGCCTTAAGGTCAAGGCTGAGGCTTCGTTCCCCAATGCTGAGATCTTCGGCGTGAAGCTTGTCAACGGCCACCCCACCCAGGCCGTGATTGACTTCATCAACGATGAGCCGAACCCCATCACCGTGAACTTCCTCGGAGGTAGCCTGTGGAACCTTGAGGAGGAGAGCAAGGTGGTCCGTAACCTGACTGCCACGCGCTATGGCGTCGAGATCCCCGCGGGTGAGAGGGAGAGCATTAGCTACAGCTTCGCCACCGAGATGCACCCCCAGGACGTCCGCCTGAGCATCGCCGCCATTCTGTCTGACAGCGAGGGCAAGTTCTCCACCGTCCAGGCCTTCAATGGCACTGTGAGCGTGGTTGAGCCCGAGACCAGCATCTTCGATCCCCAGATGTGAGCACTCGCCCTTCCCCCTTGCGCGCAATTGACCGACCCTGACCCTGAACAGCCTCTTCCTCTATTTCTTCCTCCTGGCCTGCGCCACTGGTACCGTCTACTTCTTCTACACCGTCTGGGTCGCTCCCTACTTCCCCCAGAAGCGCAAGAGCGGCAAGTCCGGCGAGAAGCGCACCCCTGGCAGCGCCAAGCGCGAAGCCCCCGTGGTCGAGGAGACCCCCAGCCCTGCCATCTCGTCTGCCACCACTTACAACGCCGACTGGATCCCCTCCCACCACATCGCTCGTCCGGAGGCCCGGAAGGTCAAGGGTACTGGTAAGTCCAAGGCCCGCTCGTAAGCATTTATGCGGCAAGAATATCAGTGAGTTGGAAGGAGGGGGTGGGAAAGCATTATGCATTTCTGTTTGAATATTCTGTCACATGGCAATGGGGCCGGTCGTGGATGTGTGCTGAGAATGCATCATTCAAGATTTACCGCTAGCGCCAGAGCATTAGATGTACGTTTACGATAGTGGTCCGTTATTGCTTCCCTTGAAGCGATTTGGGCCTGAGAGAGTACGAACTACAATCTCAAACCAGGCTGCCTTTGTGTCGCAGACGTGATTGTCGCGGCTAGACCCAAGGTCACAGTTTCTTCCATTCTTCAAACTCTTCCTCGAGGTGCCTCTTCAATTCGGCAAAACGATTCCCGAAATCCTTGCCACATCGCCAGCACTTCAAGTCCCACCGTAGATACCCTTCCCGTGTAGGATGCAGCCGTTCATCGTCCGGCGCTAGAGGAAAGTCGTCGATGGGCACGAAGAAAGGCGTCGCAAAGCTGTTGTAGTGCTTGCGGTGCTTCATCTTCTCACTTTGCCGATCCACTGCAATGACATGAACATGTAGATGATTCATGGAAGGACATGCATGTATTCCACACATAATTTCCTTATCCCAATCTCGCCCATCTGGCAGTTCGTCCGGCGGCGGGTCAGCATTGAGAGCAGCTTGTCGCGCCTGTTCCTGCGCCGATTCCTTCCCATATTTACGGCGCAACTCGGCCGCTGCCAATTTGCGGAGCTTTTGTGCTTCGGCCTTGACTTTCGTGAGAAACTCGGCGTCTTCGAAGGCCTCGAATGGATGGAGACGGTACTTGGTTTTGTCTCGTGGGAGGAGGAGCAGGTGTAGTGACGATTTCGGGAACATGTCGTGAATTGCGACGAAATCTGCATTGTGGTAGATTACCACATTGGACGGATAGGACTCTGGTTTTTCGAGGTATACTTCCAGTCCATCTCGTCCTCCGGATGAAGCCATGTTGCGTCTTCGCGCGTCTCGGCTCGATGAGCCGATGGATGTGGGTTTACGCTGCTTGTTGCGAGCGGAGAGGAGTTCGGTGACTGTCCAATGTGATTATTAGGCCTAATAAACCACGAATAAGGAGCAGGTAGTCGTACATGCGTTTCTCTTCGGCGTAGGGATCGGAATCGAGCTTGTAGATGCGGCGGCACCTTCGCTCTGGTCGCGGTGTTGTTCCGCCCCGGGCATGATGAAAGCTCACATGGGAGGTAAGAGGGAAGTAAGATATACTTTAACAAGTGTCGGCAAGCATCAGCCAACAATCGAGGAAGAGCGTTGAATGTAAGAAACGAAGAAAGGGAACCTCCAAAAACTCCCCGCAAACCGCCCAAAGCGGTATAGTGCGGGACAAAGGTCCGAAAAGCCCGCGTTGGATTTGCATTCGACGACTTGCGTTTCAGTAGGACAATGGGCCCCAAAAAGAAAGCCTCTGCTCCTGCCGGCCCCAAGCCGGGCACCAAGGCGGCCAAAGAGGCCAAAGAGGCCAAAGCCGCCGCCGCTGCCGCCGCCGCCGCCGACAAGAAACCCGCGACGACGGAGGAGCCCAAGAAGCCGACCGTGAAGGAGGTGATTGGCGGCGCATCATGGACGGGCAAGTTGCCCGTGAACATGCTATCGGAGCATTGTCAGAAGCAGAAATGGGAGAGGCCTGAGTACAGCATGGTAAATCTATCCCAGCCCCAACTTTGACCAAGCGCTAATAAGGAATTGCGACAATTGCAGAACCAAAGCCGCGATGGCTACATCTCCGCAGTGACATTGAAGAAGGTTGACCCTAAGACTAAGGAGCTGATCGTTCTTCCTCCGATGAAGTTACCACCATCTCATAAGAACCTGGGCATGCAACCCACTGCGCTCGAGGCCCGCCATTTCGCAGCGGCCTTTGCCCTTTTTCGAGTGTGCAACATGCGCAACCTCCATATGATGTTCCCGCCCACATACAAGAAGCTTTGGAAGGAGGATTTTGCGGATATCAAGGCTGCCGATACCAAAGAGGGCAAGGGCTGGCTATATGAAGCGGATCCTTTCCTGGCCAAGCAGGAACGGGAGGCTGCCGCCGCCGAGTTGGAAAAGAAGAGAGCGGAGCGCCAGAAGATGCAGGCTAAGGATAAGGCTTCCTCGAATGACCTTGGTCTGGGCGGTGGCGATAACAAGAGCAAGCGGATATGGTCACAGGCGCCCAAGGTGGACATGGGCAATCGCATTCGACGAGAGATCGAGGGTCTCTTGCGCCAACACACAGTCTGGAACTCTTACAACGTCAAGATCCCTGAAGGTGATGCCAAGGCGATTGTGGAGGAGTTCTCGCGCCTGGGATTCCGACGCAGTCACGTTGAAGAGGCTGTGGCGGAATGTAAAGATCGTGAAGAAGTGCTGGAGTGGCTGCTGGTCTATGTGCCCGAGGATGATTTGCCTCGATGGAGTCTGCCCGAGGGATACTCAGCTGGCGTCAGTCTTGCTGCTGGGGATCTGGCCCGGGAGGCCAAGATCAAACGACTGGCCTCAATTGGCTATCCTGCTGATCTCTGTTCTCAAGTCTTGGATAGCAAGGGTGGTGATGAACTTGCTGCAGCAGAGCACCTACAGGGCACGTTAACCCACGGATCAACGTTTACCTCTGCATCAATACCAGATGGCGATGCGGGAGCGTGGGCAGAGGAGCAAGATACACTCGAAGCGATCTTTGGCGAGCGATACACTCGTATCTCGCCCAGAGTTTGTGAAATCAAGAGCGAGGCTCCAGAGATCCCGGAACACACTATCTTCCGCTTCCAGGAGCCTTCTACCCACTACCCTACAGCACCTCCGGTTATATCAATCCAAGCCAAGGGAATCCCAGCCTACATTCGTCTTAGCGCCATTCGCCGAGCAGTACAGCATGCCGAAGAGAATTTCTCTGGCGAGTCCATGATTTTCAACATCATGGATTGGTTGGAGTTCAATCTGCCCGCGATTACAGAGAATCCGGGCAAGCTGCGAGAGATTTCTGCAGTCTCTTCTGCCTTTTCTGCACCAGACACCCGAGAGATCTCTGTACGCACTAACCGCAAGCAGCGGAAGGGTATCGATTGGAAGGCCTACTCGCCTCAGGGTTCGGCGATGAAAGAAGCATGGCAGGCCAAGCAGTCCAGCGCTGCTCAAATTGAGATGTCCCGTAAACGTCAATCTTTGCCTGCCTGGAACACCCAAGAAGCTATCATCGACGCTGTCGACACGCACCAAGTCACTATCATCTCTGGTGAAACGGGTAGCGGTAAGAGTACACAGTCCGTGCAATTTATCCTAGACGACATGATCCAGCGTGGATTGGGTGGCGCTGCGAATATCATTTGTACCCAGCCTCGAAGGATTTCAGCTCTGGGTCTTGCCGATCGAGTTAGTGACGAGCGATGCTCGACAGTCGGCGATGAGGTCGGATACATTATTCGAGGCGAGTCGAAAGCCAAGCAAGGTGCAACAAAAATCACGTTCGTGACGACTGGTGTCTTGTTGCGGCGGATTCAGTCTGGCGGCGATGCGAATGGAAATGTCGCAAGCTCACTTGCTGATGTGTCTCATGTGGTGGTTGACGAGGTTCACGAGCGCAGTCTTGATACTGACTTCCTGTTGGCTCTGCTGCGGGATGTCCTGCGTTACCGCAAGGATCTCAAGGTCATTCTCATGAGTGCTACCCTGGATGCAAACATCTTCATGGATTACTTCGGTGGCCCTAAGAACGTTGGTCTGGTTAATATCCCTGGACGGACATTCCCTGTTAATGATTATTATCTGGACGACGTTATTCGGGCCACTGGATTCGCTCCCGAGCTCGGCGAGGACTTTGAAGATGACTATGATGCTCCTCGTGGGGAAGAGTCTCTCGGCAAAGCGCTCCGGAGTGTCGGCATGGGAATCAACTATGAACTGATCGCATCAACTGTTCGATACATTGATGCGCAATTAGGGGATCGCCCAGGAGGAATCCTAATCTTCTTACCCGGCACAATGGAAATTGAAAGATGTCTGAGAGCAGTCGGGAGGATCCCCAACGCTCATCCACTACCCCTGCATGCGTCTTTGCTCCCAGCCGAGCAGCGACGCGTGTTCCAGAGTCCACCTAAGGGCAAGAGAAAGATTATTGCCGCTACAAACGTTGCAGAGACATCCATCACCATCGAGGATGTGGTTGCAGTCATTGACACTGGCCGAGTTAAAGAAACCAGCTACGATCCTAAAGACAACATGGTCCGCCTCCAGGAGGTTTGGGCATCCCAAGCAGCCTGTAAGCAGCGTCGTGGACGTGCAGGTCGTGTGCGGGCAGGTAACTGCTTCAAGCTGTACACTCGCAAAGCCGAGTCCAACATGGCACAGCGACCAGACCCTGAGATCCGTCGTGTGCCACTTGAACAGCTTTGTCTGTCTGTGAAGTCCATGAAGGGCATCGACGACGTTGCCCATTTCCTTGCAAACACAATCACACCGCCAGAGAGCATCGCGGTCGAAGGTGCCATCAACTTCCTGCATCGTGTTGGAGCCCTTGACCACGACCGACTAACAGCCCTGGGTCGGTACCTGTCTATGATCCCAGCCGATCTGCGGTGCGCGAAGCTGATGATTTACGGCTCCATCTTCGGATGCATGGAGTCATGTCTCACCATCGCCGCAATCCTCACCGTCAAAAGCCCATTCGTCTCCCCTCGCGAGAGACGTGAGGAGGCCGACGCCGCAAAAGCAAGCTTCTCACGCCCCGGCGATGGTGATTTGATTACCGACTTATCAGCATATCAAGCGTGGTCTGAGAGAACCCGCTCCCAAGGCCATTGGCAGTCCCAATCGTGGTGCGGTGCGAACTTCCTTTCCCACCAGACTCTGCGTGATATCTCCTCAAACAGAGCCCAATTTGTCACATCTCTCAAGGATGCAGGTATTCTGCCTGTAGATTACACAGACGCAGCACCCGCCTGGAACCGCAACTCCTTGAACCGGAACCTCCTCCGCGCCCTGGTCGCCGGTGCCTTCCAGCCCCAAGTTGCGCAGATCTCGTTCCCGGATAAGAAGTTCGCCAGTTCCGTGACTGGTACGGTTGAAGTTGACCCCGATGCTCGAACAATCAAGTACTTCAACCAGGAGAATGGTCGCGTCTTCATCCATCCCAGTTCCATCCTCTTCTCTGCTCAGGGATATCCCAATGCCTCGGCATACCTGAGCTATTTCACCAAGATGGCGACGAGCAAGGTGTTCATCCGTGATCTTACCCGTAAGTCCCCTCTTTCATCGCGTCTACTCCATGACTAACAATGTCTACAGCATTCAACGCATACTCTCTTCTCCTGTTCTGCGGCTCCATTACACTCGACACAATGGGCCGCGGCTTGGTAGTGGATGGCTGGCTCCGACTTCGCGGCTGGGCTCGGATCGGTGTCTTGGTTTCACGGCTTCGCACTATGCTAGATGAGGCGTTACAAGAGCGTATAGATAACCCGTCGGTCGGGTCTGCCTCTGAAGCTGGTGACAAGGTCATCGAGGCTGTGAAGAGGCTGATAGAGTTTAATGGGCTTGATCAGTGATTGGTCTGGTGCTTACATTTGATCTGAAGAATATATACCGGTGTTTAGAAGGCCTTGGGCATAGAGCGATAGGATGGATAGACATTCTTGGAATAAAAGGCGTGTTTGAGTGTCCCGCATATTCTACGATCGTTTCTACCTTGTAGGAGCACTTCAATAAAAGTAAAGAGTTCTTATCCATTGGATCAACAAACTGCCTCCCTAGACAAAGCGTCGATCTTAAAACAGAAGAAACAATGCCAAGCTGTGCTTTCTCACGAAATTAGGTGTCGAGCACCCAAACTTCAACCAGCTAGATCCATCGCCAACCTTAGATGGCTACAAATCATGGGACTGGCTCTCATGACGCATCACAGAGCACACAGAGTGTTCTGGGGACACTGGTGCTGAAGGATCAGTCGAATATGCTGAAGCACCACGATAACAGACATCTCAGACGCCCAGTTCGCACCGCTAAGCAGGCGAGACCACACTCTGCCCTTGTCATCAACATGGCTGTGAGTGATCGGCGTCAGGATCTGGCAGATGGGAGGCACATGGGGATAGTCTGTAGAAAGCTCGAGTCAGCCAAATCCCAACATTCTACGAAGGATTCACATACTGTCGGGAAAGTACAGCTTGATGTTGATGACATGGTGCTCGAATTCGGTGCCGGGGAGACCCCAGACCTGGCAAAGCCAGTTGGTCATATCGATTCCCTCGGCGTAGTTCGCATTGGTAGATGGTCCACCGAAGACCTCTACTGCCATCTGCTGCCTGTGTTGGAGTTAGCTCTTGCTTGTGGCTCAGGAGTGGGCAGGGTTTCGTACCTCTCGAGCTCGAGTCGCTCTGCGCGAGTCGGGGGGTGAGGCGATGGCATTGTAGATCCCTGGGATGGGGTATCGAAACCAAAGGGGGCCTGGTATGGCATGATCGATGGGGTGTTGATGGAGATGGGTTTGAAATTGATGAGGGATAAGAAGAGATGTAGATGCTGGAAGAGGAAAGGGTGGAATAGCACGCGAGTGAATGGGACGTGTTTCCCAGATGATACCAAGTAAGAGTAAAAGCGTCTCACACGCTGGGAACAGGCAGTACAGTGAATGAAGAAACACTCTACCGTCAGCGACTGGCAATCTCACGTCCATCAAGCCGATCCATCGCCCAAGCGAAGCAGAACATAATCTTGCGCCTCCAAGATCGGATCCAGAGGACATTACCAGCTCGCCAACCTAACCAGACATCGTATCCGGTGTAATGATGCGATTGATTCTATGGAAGCTGTGGAATGGAGGCTGTCTTTACGACAGTCAATCAAGATGACTCTGTGGGCCGATGATCTCGTTGCTAGGAAGCTGCAGTCCCCTTTGAATCTTGAATGTCCACGCATTGACGGAAGTCAGTACGAAGTATCGAGTTAGAAAGCCTGGTGCCTGGGGCTTGCAGAACCGGTCAAGGAAGCCATCCGGGCATTACATAGTGGATGAGGCGTACCTATAAGAAAAGGCTTTTGGTGGATCAGTTCCTGTTGATGCTAGGTAGGGTTTTATGACGTACAGTCCACTAAAAAGGGTTGGTTCAATCGCGATATAGGGCAGGTTCTTCGTGTCCGGCTCAGATTGGAGTGGTTTAGCGGAAGAGACGGCGATGTCCTCTGAAAATACAGTAGAGCTGTTCTCTGTCTATACACCCGTAAAGTACAACTAGTAGGAAGAGGCAAAGTACAGCCTTAGCTCTTGTTTCCTAAGACTATTTCCATATGCAATATTTGCCTAGCAATAAGAATCACCTAGCAATAAATGCAAGCGGACTCAGTCAGGGATCGTATGTGGCATGGGATGTGCAAAACAGGTCAAAAAGGACCGTCATTAGGGCTACTCCCGAGGGAGCCAAGCCGAAAGTCAAATTCGAAGGTGCTCATCACAGAAAAGAGTATGTATCGTCATGGGGAAAAATGGAAAAGAAGAAAGAACAATTAATGACGCCGAGAGAAAGCAGACCCCCATGCACGTAACGCCTGCCGACCGTAAAACTCCTCGCGGCCGGAACATGGCGTCAAGTCATCCGGATATCGTGAGGAGCGTAGGGCAGAAAAAAAAAAAGTAAAAAAGAACAAGAAAAAACGCCGATTGATACCCAGTTTCCACGTTCACTCCGAGGCCGTCCGTACCCAGAAAGCAAATTATGAAATGAAAAATGAAACGAGGTAAGGAGCGTGGTAACTCATTGGTGAGCAATCATCCAGCTCAGCTCAACTTGAAAAAGTTCAGTAGTTGGCATAACCATCCAGACGATCAACGTCCTTCAAGGATGCGGTCGGGAGAAGCTTGAAGCCTCGCTTCATCTCGGCCTCGACGTAGAGAGAAGCACGCTTGAAGCGGCGATCTGAGTACTTCTCGAAGATCGCCTGGTGGTGGCGCTGCGGGTCTTCGCAGCACTCCATCATAGTGATCATAACGGGGATAAGCTGTTCATAGAGATAGCCACTGTAGAAAGCGTGGGCCGGGGTCTATGGGGAAAAGCGAACGTCAGCAGCGGAATAATGATTCCCAGAGAAGAAAGAGACATACCCAGTATCCCTTGTGAAGAACTTGTCGAGCCAGGCAGTGAGCACCGGCCGAGGCAAAGCTAGGTGGGGTGGAGACAAAACGCTCATCCATGATGGTGAGCTCCAGGAAGTACTTGGCGACTGTACGAGTCTCGAGATCGTAGTCATCCGCCTTGCTGATACGGCGAAGGAAGCTCATGGGACCGGGCCAGCCAAGGTCAAAGTTGAGAATAGTGAGCATGAAGCGCTCGGCCTTCAGGATCTCATCGACAGTGTAACCACCATCGACCATGTAGACGATCTCCTGGACGGAGGGGGCGGTGATCTCTTCATACTTCGCGGCAATGAAGATGGCGGTGGCACCAACCAGCTGCAGCTTACCCAGGGACACAATCTTGTGGGAGAGAAAACGGTCAATGTAATTGACGCAGAGGAAGAGAGTCTCGGGCAGCAGCGCAAAGCGGAAATGCACCTGGACCAGCCAGTCCATCAGGACAGAGCGCATACTCCACTGAATCTCAGCCTGGTTGGTCATGTAGTCGGCAGCGGGAAGCATGGAGATCTAGTGGGTGGTTAGCCTCTGACATAGCGATTCCAAGCGCGTTAACAACTTACTTCTTTGGTCCTCAGGTGGAGGAAAATCTCGCTACTATACTCCGCAACCATGCTAGAGTCGTAGAAGTCTTCTAGCAAATCTTCCTCCGAGCGGGATGACTCGACCATCTCCTTCGCACGCAGCATCTCGCCCTTGGTAACAGCCGTGATCTTGGGATAGATCATAGTGGTGGTGCCGCCAGTGGTGTTGTCAGTACGCGAGGGGAAAGCAGGAGGAATGTCCTCCTCTGCGTCTTCCCACTCCTCAACCTCAGCTTCAGGCTCGGGAGTAAGGTCTGTAATATTCTTCAGATCAACCTTGGCCTCATCTTTGAGATCTTCCTTGGCCTCCTCTGTATCAGAGATGGTGGTATCTGAGTAGATCCCAGAGGTACGGCCATGATCAAGATATGACTTCAGCTGCTGAGCGTCTTCGCAGGTTTCCACCCCAGCCTCCTCGAGACTCTGCCCCTCCATCCATGCTGCTTTATCGGTGTCGATTTGTACTTGAGCGGTTTCCGGGCGGGCGACTTCGCGTCTCCATTCTTCATAGGTGGATTCCTTGGATGATTCCTTTGTGTTGACAGTTTCCTTGGATGTTGGCTTTTCGACGACAGGTTCGAGTTGATCACGGAAGATGACATTGTTGCGCTTGTTATTCTTCACAGTCTGCTGAGCCTTTCCGGCAGGATTGGTCGGCTTCGCAGTTACAGTATTCAAGACACCCTTGAGACCGGACATCGACATGGGGCGCTGGGCAGGTTGGGAGAGGACAGGCTTGATGTCTGCTTGCTTCGCAGCGGGCTTGCCCGTCAATGCCGAGTCGTCACGACTGGTACGGTGAACGTCCTTGGTGTTGCTAACATCACCGAAGGCACGACGAGCGCCATTCTTCGCGCCCAAGGCCATGGCGCTCAGCGCTGAGGTGGACTTGTTGCGCTGATGAATGGTCTTGTTGGCCTGGAAGGTAGTGGGCGGCATGTTCTCGTCCCCGCGGACGCGAATACGCTGTGGCTACAGATAAAATCAGCTTGGGGGGTGCTTCAATGGGTGTCTGCGCGCGACAACGTGAAGTATGTCGAGTTCAAGTAATGTACACAAAACACAACACGCAGGGGAAAAGCCATTGAGGCCCGGGAGGGAGGCTTTGGCAGCACAAGGCAAATTAACACGTACCTTCGCATCCATGATTGCCGAATCCCAGGGTGTTGTCGAGATGTAGATGGGAGGATGAAAGAGAGGAATTGTTTACGTTTTGCTCGTTGAGGATGAGAAAGGTCCGGGTGGGTCCCTTGCGTCTGATTGGCCGGTCCGAGCAAAACAAACAGTCGAATGCCACAGTCTTCGCCCTGGAACGCTGTAACGCAGTGACAAGGGTCGCCCGGGGAATCGACAGGGTGGATCTTGTGGTGATACCGACACAGCGAGCAACAGAGATTCCGTGAAAGCAGTTAAAATAAATCGATTGAGAGCCGCGACGGTATTCAGGAAGTTTCTGAATGCATCGCTTCTGCCTATCTGTGCAAGGTCTTGCAGATCATTGAACGTTAATTACATGATGACAATACCGATACTGAAATACCGTATGGGGTGTCGTTTGCACTGTTTGGTAGTATTATGTCATCGTTCTGTCGGCCTCAGGAAGAATCTCTTATCGGCTTATCTATGACGTTATCATCTTATCGTCACGTCTCCCACCACCGGCGGATTTAAGCATTTTCATGCACCACAACCCCACCATTTAATATTTATCTGCAAAAAATTGTCCTGGGTGAGCTGTCCATCACTTAACCCAAACCCGACAAAAACTAACCCAAACTCATGGACGATGTTGGCGCAATCGCCACTTTCACTGCAAAGTGGCCCCGGACGCGCTAGTACGCGGACCCACGTGATCCACACCGCCAGCACCGGATCGAGCGGTAAACGTTTGGCAGCTTTTGATCAGCCGAAGCGCATCCGAACTCGCTCATGGTTGCGACGATTTGGGCATCGTTTTACCCGTTCCGAGGGTGCGCCGTGCGGGGGTCTCGCACAATTCAGTTCGAGGACCCTGACTGGCTATGGTTGACCCTCCTGTGAAGTAGACTTTCGGTCTGGACAAGCCATTTTGTAACGCACGTAGCGCACGTTCCCACCGGCAATTCTGGGCCATTCAATCCATAGTCCCACGTTCCTACACCAATTTCGCATAGCACGTAGGGATGTTCGAGGACCCCCGGTGCTTATTTGCCTGCAAGGTTCCAGCGAGAATTCCATGTAACGGAACTCCCTTTCTTTCCCTCCTCCGACTTACGTAGTTCCCGAGAGGAGGGGTAAACTCAGCCCGCAGATCATGCGAAACACGCCGTGACGGCGGTCATGCGATGATCGCACTGGCTTTCTATTCATCGTCTTGTTCTCGGGTTTCTGGTGATGAAGTTTGGTCTTTGCGCGACGTCTGCTGCTTCTCGTCCCCGCCCCATTCCCCCATCCTCCGAAGCCTACATCAGCGCCCCGCGATTGCGGTTCTTCGCATTTGGCAGGGCACCAGGCTTGTCGCAGAATCTAGAGTTTCTCTTCTGGAGCCTTAGACCCGCAATGCGACAAAGATGGGCGAAGTCGCATGAGTGCTGCCGCCGTCGCCAAAGTGCGACAAACCCTTTTTCGCCCTTTTGAGGCCCGTAGAAGACATTTTAGTCCATAGATGAGGGATTTGATGCAGTCCATTCCATTGCCATTCGTTATGGGTCTCAATCTTTCCCGGAGCATTCGAGGGGGAGGCGACAAGGTACCTGCAGTGTACGCCGCTCAACAGATGCTGAATTTCCCTCCCATAAATATACAGAACAGCGCATAGATTGCATCGCAGACTCCTTCGAGACTACTTTGCGTCGATACCGCTCGGCGTGGTTAGACAGAGCGCTCGGCGCAATGGCATTCGGGTTGCGACAGCATTGCGCATTGCGAAATACCCGGCCCTTGGGGATAGACGTCGGGTCGCCTCGGATTTACTTCTACATGTAAAATAAAAAGTAGCTAGAATGAAATCTCCGGCAAGATAGAAGCTCTGCGATGTAAAAGGGAATGTGACGGCTGCCATGGCGGGCGCCGGAAGCGCAAATCGCCATGTCACCGACCCAGACAGGCCGTTTTCTCGCTTTTAGGTGAAACCATCGTACGCACCCACCTCAACCTTCTACCTTCACCCATCCAACACTTCCACGCCAACTGATTGCTCTGCGTAGTCAAGTATGTTTCCTATTCCTTCTCCTATGCTTCTGCCTCTACCTCCCTTGTGCCTCATCTCGCCTGCTGGATCACCGCTGACATAGCCGCTGCGCTTCTTAGAGACGACAATCCCCTCGCCCACGCCCTCGACCGAACCCATCGATCGTTCCTGGACCTCGTCTTGGACTAGCTGGATACGTGCGACGCCGGCGAAATCCATTTGGTTTATGTTAGGTGCGTCTACATTGCTCTCCATCCTCATCCGAGTCTTCTCGTCCTCCCCCCAAGTCCACTCCCAAGGTCAGCCGGACTCGGCTAGCAAACATCCATCTACCCATCCTCTGGCATCATCCATCATCTTCACTGTGAATCAGGGTTCCTGGGATCGCATTGTGCTGACACTGGTGGGTTTCCTCTCAGATTACCGACTCTGCCTCTTCCCGACTCATTCTCGGTTGCGACAAGCGGATTCCCCTCCCCCCGTCGAAAAGCCCTGCGTCCAACACTCTTCGACATCAACAACCCCGGTGGTGGTCCATCCACCAGCCAACAACTTCGAATCCTATAACTGTGGTAGGTTTGATGGATTCCTCTTCCCCCTTTACCCCTCTACACCTGCCTCTACCTATACCCGGCCATGGGTCCCGTCATCCGTCTCCTCTATCACACACGAACAGTGCGTTGATGCAGTCATCGGAACAGCTAGCAGAGGTTTCTGTCCCATTCTGGACCGGTCCGCCATGCAAGCAGTCCAGCATGAAGGGCCCTCTGCCCTGGCAGACCACTCGGTCCTGGCGGACGTCTCTCGAGACCTGTCGCTTAAGGGCCCGGTCCCCAAGAACGTCGCCTTCGAGTTGCTGCTGGACGATAACTCCAAAGTTCGAGCCCGCATCCCAATGCGCGTTCAAATATACCCCCACGATACCACGGACTCGATCGTCACCACGGTCAAAAATTTCTATGGCATCTACGACGGTACTGCCAGTGGGGTGAGCTTCGAGGATGAACATGGAACAACTCTCATCGCAAGGTACGAGAATCTGAAAAATAATATGACTGTATACGTCCGGGTCATTCCCATCCAACCATTTGGGGATTCTTTCTACGGTGGCTTCCCCGCCGAGCGCAAGCGGCCCAGCCTAGGTGAACCCTTCCAGATGGTTGATGGCATGGCGCCGGTGATGGATCAGCCATCTCGGCCATCTTCACGGCTCGCACGCAAGCGCAGCACCTCGCCGTCCAACCGGAGTCTGCGCAGTGCTTCTCAGCACAAGCAGACTTCTCGCAGCGGCATCAAAAGCCGGGGCTCAAGTATCCACGGCGGCTATCCCGATGAGGACCCCGGCCTGAGCGACACCGAGTCGACCTATACTCGCAAATCGCGAGGCGACACATTCGCAAGCTCAGAAATCAGCATGGAAAATATACTGCAAGATGGTCGTCGGAAACGACCCAAGTTTGACAGCTCGGTAAGTGATCTTGTGCGCTCGTCTTTTTCTTTCTTCCTCGTCTAATATCTTTTGCTCTCTAGGAACTTCCTCTCTTCGTCCCTCCCCAAGTCCCCCTCACTACCTCGACCTCCTCCATCTCTCCTCAACGTCGTTCCGTCGGTCAGGAAGGTGCTGGCTCACCTTTTGCTCGTCCTACTCATCGCCCTTATAACTACCAGCAAGCGCTGCCATCGCCACAAAGCTACGGCCACAGCGAATATGGGATACAACCAGGGCGCAACACAGTGTATGCGACACCCATGGTTCCTGACCATGCGCACCGCATACCATATAGCCATTCGGCCCCGCGAGTGAGTGGCCCTGGTATCCTGCCTACCCCCGACCCCACTATCGCAAGCTGCATCTCCGACGAAGACGTCGCAATGCAGTTGATCCGCCTCGGCGATGCGTCCAATTTCTCCCATGGGCGCACATCAGCCTCAACGCTTGATGATGCCTTCAGCGGCGCTGCCGACGCAGCCTCTTCCACTGGCGCTACCAGCGACGGAGAGGACTTTAGCGAAGATGAGGATGACTTGCCGGCTCGTCGCAGGCTTGAGTCGAGTCCAATGCTTCCGCCAGGTGCCATCAAGCGCCACCACAAGCGCTTGGATGATATCCTTCCCAGTGCCGACAGCAGTGACCACAGTTCCGACGGCGCCGAAGATGGCATCAAGAGTGAAGGCGAGGAAGACATCTTGTACAAGGAGTTTGCTCCCAAATCCAAGAAGCCGAAGAACCGTCCCGTTTCCGTCAAGCCTCGCAGCCAAAAGCCTCTGGTGAAGCAAAGCAAGAGCAAAACTCCTGCTATTCCGCGCAAGCCCTCTGAAAAGCCCAACTTGGCCGGGCCCATAGCGCCTCTCAGCCCGAGCTCATCACGCAAGGTATCCGGCGGCTCTGTCAACTTCCAGCATCAGCTTGGCGCTGACGAGGAAGACTTGTCCACCAAGCCCCGCTGCCAGCGTTGCCGCAAGAGTAAGAAGGGCTGCGATCGCCAGCGACCCTGTGGTCGTTGCAAGGACGCCGGTATCGGAATTGAAGGATGCGTCAGTGAGGATGAGGGCAACGGTCGCAAGGGCCGGTATGGGCGCCACATGGGAGTCCCAGTCAAGAAGGGAGACGAGCCATCAGAGGAATACTACGAGCTTCCACCGATGCCAGGAACACCCATGACGGCAGCGGACATCGCAGACAAGAACAAGAAGCGGAAGCGCTAATTCTATCTCCAACTACTTTCCCCCCTCCCCCTGTTTACACGGGTATACCACCTCCCATTATCCGAACCTGACCTCTCTCTTGGAACCCTCTCAACGTCGCCACCAACATCCTATCTCTCTCCTTTGACATCCTGACTTCGGTGGTGGGACATGACACTCCTTAAACCGTACCTAACATTTACATTCCCTTTCCCCGATTCCGATTTTACAAAGTCAAGCGGGTTGATCTGTCCTGTCTTTCGGCGTCTGGTCACGGGAATTTCTTTTCTATCAACTTCCATTCACTCTTTCAGACTCAATGCTACTGGTTCTCTGTTCATTTTGCTACTATCGGGTTTTGTTGTGGGTGGTTGACATGGTTGGCTCTGCCTTGTGGGAAGATATATAGTTTTGGTGAAGGCAGAGATGGTGGGGTTGACATGGGCTGTATTAAATGCTATGGCTGTTTTATTTGTGTTTCTGATGAGTACTTTTGGGAATTGAAGTTATATTGCCTATTTCTATCCTTTTCAGCTGTCAGTGGTCAATGGTTGTGAGTGGTGATAGTTAGCAAGCACCAGAGCAATATGCGCTTAGTCACCATTTGACAGAGCGGGGCTAGCTCGATCCGGAATGGAGATGGTGAGTTGGAAATGATGGGAGGGTGAGTTTTAGATGTGCATTCATATTGAATAAGCTACCACTGAAAATCTCGAGGGATTCGTCCTATTGAAAAGTATACCCTCCGGAAGACCAGTGAGTAATTGTATGTTGAAGCTGATCGTTCCTAGGAATCATGTGACTCACAACCTTGGAAGTCGGCGAAAAGTGGCAGAAAGGGCCCCGCGGCATTTTTGAGTCGTGAAGACCGCAACTTTTTTGCCCGCATTAGCTGACCTTTCTCGAGCACTCTACCACCCTATTTTCGTCTTCTTATTAAGGGTTAGACCTGTCGAACCACCTCCTGGATCACGACGAGCCAATGCGCTAGGGAATCCATTACACCAATATCACATTCGAGTAGCAGGACGTCAACGGCGTCTTGCCCGCGCAGCTAATCACCATGCCTCCTAAAGCTGGCACCCGTCGAACAGCAACACGACGAACTGAAGGCTCGGAAGCAACATCCACGCCCGCGGCTGCAGCAGAAACCACTCAAAATGCGCCCGAATCCCGCGGCGCATCTGCGCAGAGCGCAACACCCGGTCCTTCCGGTCGACCTTCAGTGCAACGACTCCAGTCGCTGAAAACAAGAGGTGGCTCCGGCAGCATCGCACCCAAAGCGCGACCAACCTCCGCACTCGGCGGCGAACCAGCGAAACCAGCCCTCAAATACAAGCCCCGAAACGCCGGGCGCCGCAGCAAGGAAGAGCGAGATGCTATCGAGAAACTCGAGGCTGAGCGGAACAGTGAGCGTCTGAAAGAGGCAGCTGCGATCCAGCGTGGCCGGGGTGGCCGTGGTGGGCGTGGCTCTTTCCGTGGACGCGGTGGGCCTGCTGGTATGGCTGCGAGTGGACTGTTCGGCTCGGGGATGGGCGGTGCTCGGCGCGGCCGTGGTGGTGGGAGTGGTGGTGGTGGCAGCGGTGGATATGGAGGATCAAGCAGGGATCGTACGCGATCTGTACTTAGTGCTGGTCCTGGCCGTGCTCAGCTGGATGATGATTCAGATGAAGATGATTCCACGCCTCGGCTCGATATCAACTACATCAATGAATTGGATGACGACGAAGACTTCGACAATCTGCCTCAGGACGTTAAGGGCAAACTTCCATTCCGGCCCAAGAGCGATGGCTTGAAGCCCTACCGCGTGCACCGGATTGAGCACGAGGAGCGTGTTGTCAGCGTCAATATGGAGTCCAGCTCTAGCCGATCTGCGGAACTACGCAAGAAGGCGGAGGCTGAGAAGGCTGCTGATCAAGGCGAGACAACCCCGATGGAGGAGGTTGACGGTGAGCCGCCCGTCAAGGACGAGCCGGTTGATGATAATGATACTACTATGGTTGATGCTGTGCCTCATGCAGAGGACGATGGATTCTTGCCTGCACAAAATGTCCGCGTGCGTCGGAAGGTGCCTCCTTCTCCTCAAAAACCAAAGTCGAAACGAACAGAACCTATTGAACTGGAACCTGAGCTTGCGCGAGACCCGCGGGAGCTGTTGCGCACCAAAGAGGAAATCGACGAATACGACCGACACCTAGAGGACCTGGACCACGTGCGGAATCTTTTGTTCTACGAGGAGCCTGAGAAGACCGAGACTGCAAATGAGACTACCGCCACCGAGCCGCAGACGGCTGAGACCACAGAGGCTGAAAGCACAATCGCGCAGGGTGAAGACGCAGATGAAGGCGAGAAAGAAGACGAAGACGACAAGACTACAAACCCGAAACTCCTCGGCCAGCTCTTCCTAATGCAATTCCCACCCATGACCCCCAATCTCACCGTCCCCGGCTCAACCACCCAACCAACCACTACGCCCGCACCAGCAGCCCCCGGTCAAACAGATGTCAAAACCGAAGACGAGGTGCAAGTGGTAGATGCTGACGCACCAACCACCGAAACACCCAAGGTGATCACGGCAGCCACCGATTGGGCCCTACCCGCCGGGCGCGCAGGCAAGCTCAACGTCCACAAGTCCGGGCGCGTAACAATGGACTGGGGCGGCATCAGCTTCGAACTGGACCGCGCTACAGCGGTGGACTTTGTGCAGGAGGCGCTGATTGTGTCGTCGCCTGAGCCTGACCTGCCGGGCCAGCCGCCCAAGGACGAGTCGGAGCAGCGGGCCTGGTCGATGGGGCAGCTTAGTGGGAAGTTCACGGTGATGCCGAATTGGGATCAGATGCTTTGATTGTTGGACTCATGGCTATGTTGGCGTTGGGGTTGTATATAGAGTTGGTGCAATTGTTAGCTTTGGAAGGATGAAAGTCCCTCGGGAATGCATGTTAGAGCTGTCGCTTGAGAGTCAGCCTTAGAGCCAGCTTTGGATTCATGGAAGAGAATAATTAATTCCAATACCTATACAAGTACCTCACAATCCAATAATGTCCCATCTCCATAAAATCTCTTGTCGCTTCAACCGCGGATCCGCAAATAAGCTTCGATGGCCTATTTTGATTGGGTGTTTCGTACCCCACTCTCCTCTTTGGGCATTCGTTGTACCGTTCACACTCTTGTTTTGAGAGCCCTGTGTGTCTGATAATAAACACTCACGGTGTCGTTAGCAAAATTAGATAAAAGAGGCACGTCGAGTCCCAATCAGTGGAAAGACTCGAACAGCCCGCCATCAAAGCAGATACTACTCCCTCCCGCCAAGCAACCGTTCAAACACCAGACTCACATCCCAAACATCCCCAACCGCAAGTTTGCCACATGTTTCAGCAACGCAGCAGTCCTTCAACTTGGCATAATATCACGCCTCCACCAATAGCACTGGTAACAGCCGCAAGATTACCGTAGGATTATTCCACCAACGGGGAGCGCGGACCACGCTGGAGCGGGACCCAGTCCAATCTGTGCCTCTAGCCGACAAGGCAATCCCGCCTGGGTCTACAAACCGCGTGTAAATATTTACGCCTATCATTGGGCTTCGGTTCCCATACCCGGGAGATTGATGATCTACATGTACAGTGAACTTCCCACGCGGCAGCCGGGGTTGTTATTTTTGGCAACACTGGTATGCGGGCGAAGTGCAGCCGATCGGCGAAGTGCCGAGTTGGCTGCATCTCTATTATCAAGGTACCGGGACGTTTGCCTTGCGTCGAGCAGGGACGAGAGATTGGACACTTCTCGACCCACTGTTACATGGGTCTTTGCGTGACGATCGAGGGCTGGTGGGTCTGAAGAATCAAGGCAGTGAGTGTTTCCCGGAACGAGGAAGTAGTCTGGGGACGTTTTCTTGTTTTCCTGTTTTCCTCGTAGCTCGCGATAGTGCGGGAGAGGGCTGGAAGTGGCGAAATAGCTCTGCTAGCTACCAAAGTAGCGCTAGTAGTAGCGCCGTCGCATCACGGAGAGGCCCAGGGAACGGGACAAGAGAAACGAGAAAAGAGAAAAGAGAAAAGAGAAAAGAGAAAAGAGCAAGGGCGCCACAAGTAGATGCGCACGGCAGGCCAATGAGCCGTCACCTGATAAAGTGCGAGTGGAGTTGGAGTCCCTGACGGGCGAGCCGTGGTTCACCCAATTAAATTACCCTCGAGCTTGCTTCATTTTCATGTCTTTTTTTTTCTTCTCCCTTGACTTCCTGTCCTGCTTCGCTGTTCTTCTTCTTTCTCTTCAGGAGGTCTGTTGACTCGTTGGTTCCATTCGGAGATCGCGTTGAGGCTCTTCGTTGGCGGTACTTCGATTCGGCCCCCTATTCAACCGGCCCCCGTTAATCCATACACACGCCCCCCGTCCAACGGCAAACGAACAAATATAGACCTGGGATATCTCGCCGTGGCCGTCATCATCACCGTTGATCTTATGGTGGAGAATTGAAGAACAGCGAACCCCCTCCACCCCTAGAGCCCTGTTGCCTCGCCAACTTGAATCTCGTCACCGAGACCCGCCTTGGCGTTGCTTGTTTCTCGCAAGCACACCCCGCCAACGCGACGGAATTCCATCCAGAATACCTCGAGATTCGCCATGAGGCCAGTCCTCCTCCTCGTGGCCCTCGCGCCCGCCGTCCTCGCTGGCCCGCAAGCACAACCGCAACGCGACCTCACCCCCGACCTCGCGCGCTCCCGGTTCTTAATACCGGAACACGTTATCGCGCACCAACAGCTCGCCGCGGTCGTCGAACCCGAAGAAAACAGGTCTACACAGCACAGCGCACGGCATGTTCTCCAAGCGCGCAGTGAAGGTTCCCTCGGCCAGACACCGTGGATCGGAATGGCTATCGGGCTCACCTGTACCGCTCTGGCGGCGGTAATGCTGGGTTAGCGCGTGCTACCTGTTCAACTCTTCGATTCTACCTACCTTCTACATCTTCGACCCATTTTGACACGATACGTGACGCGCCCTCCGACCTTTTATCACCTTTAATCCGACTCTTTCTACCTTTACTACCTTTACCTTTACCTTCATCCTCACGTCTACCTCACCTTCGATCTTCGATCTTGACCGTTTCGGCGACTTTTCAGCGACTTCTTTACCTTTGCATCCATGTTCTGATTCCGACTCGGGCATGGGGATCTTTTATTTGAGCCAACCGTTGCATTCCCTCGGGGGAGTATAGACCTGCATGTTGTACATGATACCTTTTGTCTGTGTGAATACATACCTGGGACCAGCCCTGGAGAGCTAGTATAGTTTAGTGCCTGTGTATATATATTCGAAATGCATGGCACCTTTTTCTGTTTGCTTACTGCGACGTTACGTAGACTGCAGTTGACGAGTCACTTTTCCAGTTGTCTGCCTAACCTCGAGCTTCGTTGCCCTCTCAACTATCAGATTGAAAACATCTTTTCCAATGTCACTTGCCTCGCCATCGCTCAGCTACAATCTCAAGAAGACGCATAGACCCCGGATGGACAGCGCACGCCAGAAACCGCCACCGAACCCGTTACGCCCGATTCCGCTTCTCCGCACTTGGATCTGACATCCCTACACGGCCCACACCTCTTTTCCATTTCTATATTTAAAAATCCCAAAAAGGGCTACCACTTAATTCACACACAATGTCCAAAGTCCGCTTTGAAAAATATTCAAACTATCCACCCTACACACCCATATCCTCGCTCGGCCGCGAGCTGGGCATTACATTCGCCTTTATCGGCGCGTGTCTGGTTACGATAGCTATTTATTCCGTTTTTTGGAGAGGTATGTCTCTTTCCTTGGTTCGGGCCTTGTGTATACCTCCAGGGCTCTGGCTTTGATCTATATTCCAAGGTCGATTGTCTGTTCAACGTCTCCCCGTTTTACATCTATACCTATGCCCCACCCATATGAAATAGGACTGGAACTAAGAGATGGAAAGCCCACCAACGCCGCAATGCCTCTGAAGACCTCGCTCGCCGTCGCGCTTTTCATAGTCGCCTCGCGCCAGATGATATGCCATTCGGGACGACAGCGGGCGTAACTGGGAGTTCGGACCATGGGCGCGTGCGTGAGAAGATGCTTGATCGGCTTGCGATGGAGGGTCGGGTGGGTTTGGGGACTGGGTCTGGGAGGGGGGATCTGTTGTGACGGGGCTCAAATCGGACTATATAGTTTGTATAGTTGTGGCTAGAATCTGGGTTGGGGTGGACTCGGTAGTCCTAATCACGAGTGTTCGTTCTTCAGCAACTATGTCCCAACTATCTATTGTCCATTCTACTATACAATTGGGTATCATAGATCATCCACAAACAGGACCCTCAAATCCACGCGTCCATAACAACGACCCCATAATAACAACCATCAGCCCAAGCCCAATACCCACACTGCTCATCCCGTAAACATATGCATGTCTTCTCCTTCCCAAACCATTCAACTCAGAAACCCACGTGCTGATGGTCGTCGTGCTTCCACAGAACCCATCCATGACACCCTGCAGCAGCTGGCACCCGACCAACGCAGATGGAACCACAGCGCCGAGGCCAGACACATGCTGCAAATCATAGCATAAGCCCTCCACAGCAGTGCCGATCATGTTCACGACAAATGTACCAAGCGGGAACGCCGGGATGCGACTGTTCAGAGCCAGCGAGACGTACAACCTCAACAGACAGCCCAGCGGCGCAAAGACCAGCGCAAAGACCGCACGCCCGCGCCAGGTCTCCCTGCCGTCCCGATCTGGTGGCCAGATCGCCAGGAACACGGCGCCGAGCCAGCATCCCCACGCCAACACGACGACAAAACGATCAAGAAACTTGCGAGTGAACGCAAAGGGCACAGTGGGCGTGATCGACTCCAGCGCAAGAGCAAGATGCGCGCCGAAGAGCAACCCCGACAAACTCAACGAAACAGTCACCAGTATGACAGCCACGAGCGCCATGAAACTGTACCCGCCGTTGCGCGACGCAACGCCGTACCCGTCTGGCAAACTCGGGTCCGGAAGTGCGTTGGCGAGCGCAAGAAAGACATCGCGCATAAACGACGAAAACGACGTGAAGCAGCCGCAGAACCCAGTGGTCAGGCCGATGTATAGCGGTATGGTCTTCTTCACAGCTTTGTGTTTCTTCAGGTGTTCCGCGTCCTCGGTATTCGGTGCGCGTGTCGAATTTCCCCATTCCTCGCGAAAGAGGTTCTTGTCTTCGCTGAGAAAACCCATAACCACACTTCCTGCGACATTGGCCTAGAGCACGCCTGTTACGACGGGTGCGCCGGTGTAGAATGTCAAGGCTTGGAGGCCGAGGCGGGCGAGTGTACCGAATATCGAGAAGAATATTAGGTAGGAGACTGTGTAGAAGTGTGTAGCATGTTTGGAACTGAGTGATTCAGGGTTTGGCGCGTCGGGTGAAGGGGTGTTGGTGTTCCATTTTTGACGTTGGTTTGGGTTTGCTTCGACGGGTTCAGGGGCCGCGGTTTCGGTTAGAGGTGGCTCGGTGTCTTTTTCTGGGTCTAGGGTGTGGATGTTGGCCGAGGAGTAGCCGGTGGTGGGCATGGCTCGTGGAGGTTGAAAAAGTTGAGTCGGGCGGAGTTAGTGGATTTGGGTTTTCTGGTGGAGCTGATAAGAGCTCCACTACGTGCTGACACTGCACTGGACATCTTCTCGTGGCTAGGGACATTGGACTCGGCGGTTTTGTTTACAGGGAGAGATGGGGAGGTATGTCAGGGGAAATCATCGAGCCTTTCCTTTCCGTGGTTGACCTGGCTTCTTACGGGTACGACCTCATCGCTGGGGATCCGGATCCTGGATCCATGACGACAGCTCAGCTACAGAATCCATTTACCAAAGCATAGCATAAGCCATGGAAGCAATAAACAAGAAACAATTAATAAAGTCCGGGGTTCCGGTTCACTCTGGGGGAGACGATAAGGTATGCAGCTCGACGTAAGGCAGCGCAGATAAAGGAAGACCCCTCCTTCACGTATACTTTCCCCTCATCCTCAACTCCGACTCCAAATCTACCACGAACAAGATGTCTCTCCCATCGAACGTCCACGTCTCTTCCCACCCCTGTCTCAAGGCTAAGCTGTCTCAGCTACGCTCGCAAAGCACCAGCCCGCGCGAGACTAGAGCTCTTGTGCATGAGATAGCCTCCATCTTAGGCGTCGAGGCCTTTGCCAGCGGACTGAAGCTGATGTCGACAGGCAAGGTAACAAACCATTCAAGATGACCAAAGACCATGCGCTAAGTCAGACAGGACAAAACACCCCTCGGCGAAGAGTATGAAACACAAGGCATCGACCACGCCGACCTGGCACTGGTCCCCATTCTCCGCTCCGGTCTTGGGATGGTCGAGGGTTTGTCTACGATTTCATACATCTCTCTCACTCATAAAACCCCCCATGTAGCTCCTGGGAGATACCTATCCACTTAGGCATACATTATGCAAAAAAAAAAACTAACACATCCAGCCCTAAACTCCCTCCTCCCAACCGCCGTCCCAATCTACCACCTAGGCCTCTTCCGCGACCGCATGACTCTCCAGCCGGTCGAATACTACAACAACCTCCCCTTCCACCGATCCAAGCTCTCGCCCGCCTCGCCCGCTTCCCTGGACTCATCTGCCAACACCGCCGCCGCCTCTCTGGCCGTGCTCTTGGACCCCATCATCGCGACAGGCGCCACGGCCGAAGCGGCGATCCACCTGCTGAAGGAGTGGGGCGTGAAGAGGGTGATCATGTTAAGCGTGCTTGCGACGAAGGATGGGATTAAGCGTGCGGCGGGGGTTTGGGAGGAGGGGGTTGAGGTTTGGGTTGGGGCTATTGACGAGAGGTGTAATGAGAAGGGGATGATTGTGCCGGGAGTTGGGGATATTGGAGATCGGTTGTTTGTTGCTATTGGGAAGTAGATGTGAGTTGTTTGTAGATGGCTTATTGACTGGTATTTTCTTTGGAATTTAAGACTTGATTGATATTGGTACGCAAGGTTGAACTTGAACTACGTGGATAGAGTCCCCGTCAAAATGTTGTATTCATCGATTACGTATAATACATGGAAATAAAGGCATGAAACATGTGCAAAGAGAAACCAAATGCAAGTGATGCAGAGCGGGAAACCAAAAAGCAGACGGACGGGGAAAAGGGACAAAACATGCAATTAACGTCAAATACAGCGACTGGGAAAATACCAGCCGCGAGAAGCAGACGAGGAAAGCAACGCGCGCAAAACATAAATGTCAAAAAAGTGTCAAAAGGTATCAAAAGATCAAAGAGCAGATGGACTGGGGCACGATTAGGGGGTTAAGGTGAAAAACGATAAAAAAGAACTCCATCGAGTGCGAGAACACACAGGACCAGCCGGGTGTCGAGGAAAAAGCAATAAAAAGATGAACACCACACCGGACTCCCTGGTGTAAGAAGAAGGGGAGATGCAACCCAAACAGATCAAAGATCAAAAAGCAGAAACTCAGGAGATCACCTATGAGGCATTACCGGCGAAGTATTTCCCAAAAGCCAAAACACCTGCCTTGCCCACCGGCGATATCCATTCCTGATTTCCCGTGTCCCAATGAAAGCGTCCGAAACGAGAGTAAGAAAGCACAAAAATATTCTTAAGGAGAGTTGTGGAAGATTAGTACGCGGTGCCGACGCTGGCGAGCGACTTGGTTGGCACCGCGTGGATCGGCTGGTCCTTTGCGACACGCAGAGAATCCTCGTAACCGACAAGAGCCTGGGAGTGAAGTTTGAACGACTCGCCCATCAACTTGGTGATTCTATTGGCAGTTAGTATATCATCATAACAGGAGAAGGGGGGGAAAACTTACCCCCAGACAACCACGCCGTCAAGGATGTTACCCCAAACACGGGCGACGGTGGAACTGAGTTTGCCAAAAGCGTCGATGGCGTCGTCGTCGAACAGGTTCCGCACCTTGTTGTAGATGGCCAACTCAGCCTCAGTCGCCGGCTCCTCGTCATGTTCCAGGCGGTAGAGCCAGAGACTCAGGATGACCATCAGGTCGAGGCCGCAGAGAGGGTGCTCAACACTCCAGTTGGTGGCGGAGGTCTTGGCAACCCAGTTGATGCCTTGAATGGCCGCGATCTCAATGCACTCGAAACACTGCTGCACGACCTTGTTCATCTCCTGTCCGCGCTTGACCTTTTCACGAGCAACGGTCATGGCGGCTGCAACCTCGTACGAGGAGTGGTAGCGCATGGCCTCCTGGATGGACTTGAGGTCAACTTCCAGACGAGCACGGGTGTTGCGGTAGACGGCCATGGAGTTGAAGATGAGCGGGTGTCCCTTCTGGGGAGTGCTGAGCGGGACCACGATGGTCTCGGGCTCGCACACTTCAAGAGAGTTCTCCCAGGTCTCCAGTGCTAGGCGCAGCTTGTACTCGGTGACGACATCCTGCAGGGCCTCAAAGCTGCGCTTGTGGTTCCAAACTTGCAGGAACAGGGCGTTGATGAGAACACGGGTAGCAAAGGCGCTGTAACGGGTCTGCTCGCCCTGGAACAGGAAGTCGTGGGCTTCGCGAACGGTCAAGGTGTTGGCACCCACGCTGCGGTGCCAGGTCTCCTCGTCAGATGCATCGAGGTTCCAGAGAGACTCGGACGACGGGAGCTCGAGACTATCGAACTCGTCGAAGCTCATGGCAGGAGTGTGGTTGAAGGTGAGCGTCAACATGCCGAAGAAGATATATACGGCGAAGTACGTGCGGCGGCATGATTCATCCTCAACCCACTCCTCACGAGAGGGCTTGATACCCTGGCGAGCCTCGGTGCGCACCTTGAGCTGATAGCGGTTGCCAGCAACCATATTGGCCAGAAGACTCTTGATGGAGCAAGTCCACTCGAGACCCTTGGGGTCACCGCTCCAGCTTTCGAAGACCATGTTCAGCAGGCTGCTCTGCATCAACCACAGGGGGCACTTGCGAGAATCGAAGTTGTCCTTATGCTGAAGGAATTGGTTGACCAGGACTTTGGAGCCAACATGAAGCATGAAAGAATTATCGCGCTCGAAAGTGTACAGAGCACCGATAGACAGCACGGCAAGCAGCAAAGGTGGCGAGACAGTGGTAGCGTTAAATGACTGCTGATGAAGGAACGGCAGATGGGGGTGGTACAGATTAAAGTACGTGGACAAATACCGGTTCAAAATAGCAGTGGTCGGGAGCTGGAAGGTCTCAGGCAGGGCACCGAGAGTGTCCGCTCCCTGAACACGCTCGACAACCAGGTTGCGCTCCATCTCGTCAGCAATTTGAGGGGCCTTGGGGAGAGTCAATGCCTGACTGGGACCGGGCGACCGGCGATAGTTAACAGGGCTAACGGGGCCGGTCATGGACGGGTACGGGGAAAGCGCGTTCGGCGTAGAGTTTCCAGACATGGGCAGTGAGTTGGACAGGAGAACGTCTCCGATGGGGCCGTGGCGGTCGACAAAGGTGGGCATCGAGCCATGATCCGCGGGCGAGGCGAGTGTATCCCATGGCATCTGGGGCAGGGTAGCGTTGCCCGACAGGTAGGGCTCGAAGGAGCCGCGGCCAGGGGACAACGATTCGGAGCGCTCGGAAACCCGGCCATTCGCCGCTGCTGCAGCCTTATGTTGGAAATCTGTCATCAACATGGCTGCAGTTTCAAGGTCGACCATACCATCACTGCTTGCCTCGATCTGTTCCAGCGTCGCCGGGTCAATGGTGATTGACGGCTTGGATGGGGCGGACGAGGATTTTTGGACCCCTCCACCACGTCGGCGCCCCTCTGCAACCAGGGGAATTCCGCCATCTTTCGCATGGACAGTTCGGTCATGGCGCAGGAGAAGGTCGCGACGAACAAAGGTACTCCGACATTTTAAACATTTGAAAGGTCGCTCTTTCGTGTCTGTATTCCAGTGTTAGTCGGGTCAGTTTTTCATCACCCGGGGCGCGAAAACTTACGGGAACGTTCATGTCTGCTGCGGTGTTCGCTACGGCTGAAAGCGCGATTGCAAAACTGGCACTTGTATTTCTTCTCGGGGGCGGAGGTCTTCTTGGCCGGCGAGTTGCTGGCCGTCCCGGGAGCCGAGGGAGCCATGTGTGTAGGATGATGCCGGATCGACTTAGGCGAAAGGTAACGGCGGTGGTATGGTTCCCTGAGTGAGCTCGCACCGGTTCTGTAGACGTGTCGAAGACAGGAGTTCGTTGGGATGTCTGATCATTCCTTGTGTGGGGGATAGGTCGGGAAAGTGTGTGCAAAGTGGGAGTCCAGCCACAGGCGGACAATAGAAAACCGAAAAGAAACGCTCAGGAAAAGAAAGGCGGGATGAGCGTTGAGCACCGCAAGAGAGGGGAAGGTGTTGATGGTGGGAGGAGGAAGGAGGGGAAGAAGAGGAGGGGTGGGAAGGATGAGGAGAAAAGAGGAATTTAGGAAGTGCCTTTTGGGGGGGCGAGAGTTAGAGGGGGGGGGGAGGGGAGGCTTGGGAAATGGTAAGAAAGGGAGGGGGGAAAGACAGGGAACGGGGACGTGGGCCCAAGCATCGCTTACTACGCGTAGTCGCGCAGAGGGGCGAAAGCGGGACTTGCACGTCCTTCAAAGGCGGTGATTGCGGGCGATTGTACCTGTTTGGCGGTGTTTGGCAGTGCACCTACCAGCCCCCTCTGTCCGGCCACGCACTTCCCGTTCCTACGACCACATCCACTCTTCCCACTGGCCGGTGCCCCCCTTTACCGTACAGAATCGACACGTCGTAATATATTCAAACGCAAATGTAGATTTAACCCGATCGTGCCCACATGGTCGCAAATTACACCCATCCCCTCGGTGCTCGGTCTAGAAGATTGGATACGTAGATACTCAGATAATGATAGATAGTCTACATGAACTATAGCTTATTCCATACACCCAATACATGGAGGGGTAACTCGACTCCGATCCCACAAAAATACCCACGTCCAGGCGTCCATTAAAGAAATAAGAAAATCCAGAAAAGGGAGGGTCGAAATGGGAAATAACACCGCTGTCTGATGCGAGGGCACTGTGGGCCAGACAGAGGTGGCCCCTCGCTCAGGGCTCGATCGGTCGGAGGGGCGCCCTTTGTTTATCGCAGGGGAAAATGTGTGGCTGGCATGTGAGGCGAGTTAGTGTCTCGATCGTGGCACTACGAGAACGACTCCCGTAAGCATAGGGTATCATCTTCATACATAGCTGACGCCCTACGTACGGAGTAACTACGCACTGCAGTCACCTCTACTTCTGTACGATCTTTCTATACATCGCTATCTGTATCGTATCTTATCATGTCACAGTAACCATGGTTCACGCCTACGCTACCCCTCAATGTCAAACCCCTCCCCATGCGATCGGCACATCATCGAAGATAGACTATCGGGTTGATCGGGCCATCGTTACACAGTTCCGAGCAAAACGTCGGGCAATAGGCTGGGTCGGGAATGAGACAGGGATGCGTGCTATTTCCCTGGCATTCTGATCGATCACTAGTGTCCGTATAGTGTATAGAGTGTACGTATAGAGCTGTGACCGGGGCAAATGTACGATGTACGGCCAAGTCTGCCCGATCGGCCCTGCCGTGAATCGTAGCCATTCCCGGGCGCCGCAGTAGTTGCATGTGGGTGTAGTCGATCAATCCACACGCTCTACTACTCCGTATATAGGGTCGAATTACTGATCCGGCCATCTGACGCGCCACAGCTGCCCGTCGTCTTATGTAGTTCCCCTGAGTGACAGATCACCATCCCACCTTGACTGGTCCGGCGTCTCGCCTTGGGGCGCCCCACTGTGTGGCGGTTCAACTGTGCCTCAGAGATGTCCTTGGCTGAGATTGAATTTGATTGTCACGAGTCATGGACCATGGATGTACGGCCGCTGCGAGTTCATGTCTGTGCTACGGTGTGGCTCTGGAGACATCAGCTGCCGAGCTGCAGGCCGATCTGCAACGTGAATCCGTTTTTAAGGGTGAATAACATCATCTGATTCACTGCTGCCGCTTTGGGGCAAGACTCATGCGCTTAGAAGGCTGCCTGGCCTTGAAATCAACATTTAACCTTAGGTGCCACTATAGGGTTAATCGGGACCACCGTAATCCAATAACGCAGGGTATGAATCGCGAGTTGTCCCACACCGCACAAAAGGACATCGTGAATTCCCGGCTCCCCTCCGTGGGGCAACTGCATCATTGGAGCCGAAGATCCGCTCGGACGCGGAGGGACCGACGCGGTTACTTGGGAAACGCGTTCGGGCGACCTCCTCCACTCGCACGACACAGAATGAAAATTGAAGATCCCTTGCCAGCTTTCGGGGAATCTATATCGATCAAATCATTTGTTCTGCCCTCACTTGATAGACGGTACTTTTGTCAACCGGCCCTGAATATCTGGAGGCAACCCCCTTGTTTGATCGATCCCCGAAAGCAAACCGTGGAAGGGTCTCGCGGAACTCCCGGGTGATCATTGAAGCCTCAGCGAACTACTGTATTCTAAGTTCTCACGTCCGCAATTCGTCCACTTATGTACTGAGCGGTGAGCCGGGGAGCTCTGCGCTTTTCAGAGAGGTCGAGAAAAAAAGTCCCTGATTCGACCTGTGTTGAGGTCACCTACGATCCACTTTCCGATGCAGCGGACCGACCCCGTCCAACGTTCTCGACCCAAGCAGGAACAGGCTCTCATGACGACGCGGCGCATAAGAGAGCGGTGACCAGACCGCCTTGCTTCTGTACAGTTGGCCCACTCATTCCCAATCCCTTCGAATTTGGGGGACCATCCAGGCCTCATTCCATTCCACAGCAGTCAGAACCTGCTCCGAACTTGAGAGGAATTCAATAATGGATCTGCGAAAGGGATCGAAAATCGGCCCAGTTACGAATCAGGCCTCGAGCTGGTTGCTAGCTTTTCTCCACTCAGCCCCCGCCAGTGTACCGTTGCAAGCATTCAGGAACCTCTTCCCCGGCGCCGGCCCCCTGAACTAATGGCCACCGACAGCCCAGGGCTTGACCCATCGTCCCGATAACTTCCAGGCCGTCCCCACCCGCAACGCCAGCTCGATCTGGAATTTTGGACCTCCGGCCCAGATGTCGGTGAGACCTATATCTATGACCTTCCATCTTCACCGCTGATGCACATGGCGGTAAAGGATGTCGATTCCCAATGACCCCCACTGTACTTTTGTCCCTGACGTGTGATTTTTGAGACGTCCGCAAAGAAAATAGACCCGTTGTGCGCGCTATCTCAAGACACTTTCGCTAAAGACCGGGGCGTCGAGACCCCCCCCCCCCCAGCTTCCCAGGAAAGCAAGACCTCCAATGGAGCCGGCTCCACTGGGAACGAGAGCTTCGGCCTAAGCTAGGTGGGTTTCATTACGGAGTATTACTCACGATAAGAAATTCCGCCTGCCTACTTCGTCTGACGCGTAGAGAAATCGGTCCTTTCGTCAATCCGACGATCCATCCATCCCGTCCAGACCCTCAATGTCGGCCAACGTCCTCGATCCAAGGGAAACGGAGCCCACACCCCCTTCTGAACTGTATGTACGGAGTAGATATCCATAGCCGGGTGGCAAACACGGCTGAGCTCCACACATAGTTCACTCAAACCATTGAAAACTGTATGACACGATCGTCCCCCCTTGGGTCGCGGCGGACGCGTCCGGGGAAGTATACCCGGCCCATGGTTCACTCCCGTAATCCCAGATCTTGGTTCGCGCTCACGTTCAGGTTGCTGATCTCCGGGCCACCGAAGGATGCCCTGGCATGAGACACCAATCGGTAGCGCTGTCTGTGCACAGCACATCTCCGTGGCATTTACAATTACTCTATCCACCCCCCTGAATCGGTTACAGAATGACCGGGGCCGATGCAGGGGATATTCGCCCACGGCCAAAAAAAAAGGGTACTTTGGAGGTTCTTGCAATCAATAATTAGACTGGAAGGAGGGCTTCCAGTACCCCGCGCGGATGTGCTTCCGCCGAATTTTCTCGAAGGGGTGGAACACCTCTTGAAGGAGAGGGAGGAGTCGAACGGAGAACCCGGCAAACTTTCGTCCACTGTAAGGTTCAACGTCTGACGCCGAGTGTCGAGAGCTACAAGCACTAGGCCCAGGCCGGTTTAACGCATTACTCGCGAGTGGGGAGCGAACCTTTAGGAAGCAGGATAGAACACGTAAAGCAGGGGGCTGGGTCTTCCTCGAGTCGCTAAGATAGTTTGCTGTGAAACGGAGGAGAAAAAAAAAAAGGGGGGGCAGACGATGATCAACATAATCGCGGCCCCGGCGCTCTGGACACAGGGGCTGATCGGGGCACTGGATTGGATGGGCCCTGCACCGAGCGGCAGGATGAGTCTCCGCTGGTGGAAATCCGTCCGGTTGGGTGGTGATGTCGCCCAGAGGGGGTTCCTGCGACTCCCCGTAATGTCCGACCTGCAAGGAACAAGGGTCTGCGGTGGCAAATTTGACCTTGCTCTTGGATGACATACTCCTATAGACCTGCTTGATTCCGTAGAGTGCTTGTGGTGAGTGCAGTTCGAAATGACGCTCTTGCGACAACGCTGGAGAACTACTTCCTACTTCGTAGGTAGATGAGCCTTCTTATCGATATTTGTTAGAACCAACACTTGTCTATCTTCGGTCAATTAGGTGAGTTACTTTATATCGCTGTATCTTCCAACGTTCTTTGTTGTATGTACATACCCGAACTTGAGGTCAACATGGCTCCTGCTCCTCTTGAAGGAACCATCGCTTGCAAAAGGTACAGCTTGATTTTTTTCTTTTTTCTTTTTATCGTTCTTAAGCTCGTCAGTACACTATTTGCTATGAATAATCTTCAATTCGTACAGTCGAACAAGCCTTTCCGAATTGTGACCTTATTCGCATTCAACTGGTGTCTCGATATATACTTCCAAAATAGACCACAAACCCATCAATCTTTGGATTGCATTATATAAAAGAGCTGCACATGATGCAACCTTTAAAGGAGAACGGCCCCTAAAGTTCAAAGCAAGCTCGAGTTTCCTCACCGATACCATCGAAGTCTTTATTTATATCGACTTCACAACGTACAGCAACAACACCGTCATCGGATAAACGCATGGAGCAAATAAACCCACCCACCCCACCAACTACTGTACCATGAAAGCAAACCGCCCAGACCATCAACCTCCCCCTAGACGACCAATAAATACCCTCAAAAACCGAAATGACGCGTCAACTGTCTGAAATATTTCGGGACCGTCAAATTTGGGATCGAATCACGACCCGTGACATAGAAACTATCGCATCCTATAATGGACACGATCACTGAACCATGGTTCCATGGACATCCCCAAAGCACCCAAAAACAACACACGGCGAATAATGTTCGCCCCCGGACCGTTACCGAATGGCTCACTTGTAGGTTTTCACATAGCCGACTGATGTTCTCGACCCCGCAGACGGAATCTTCTCCGATCTACAGGCATCATCGCCGCTCGTGTTAGAAACCAAACAGTGTGTTTTGATACTAGTACTGGACTGTAAATGTAAACCTTGGAGAATTGGCCACGGCGGCCTTCTCCGATGGATCTTGTCAGGGTCCTACCTGATGCCCCGTGGCGCGAACTATGAAATTGGAATGGCGATGACGGAGGTTCCTCGCTGTCGGGTGGGTTGTACCTATCCTGTGGATGTGGATGGCCACTGGTTTTGCATATATTGGGAGGAGGACTACCTGGGCAAAGTCATGAAAAGTGATCACTCCGTAGTAAAGGGTAGAGAACGAGGACCCCTGTAAGGTTGGAGGCGTTGGAGACTAGTCAAAGTAGAGTTCATGGTGACGGTAAAACGTGGGAATAGCCCCGACTTGAACTCAATTCCCGGACTGCCTTGTTGATGCTTGACTGAAGTAAATTGCCTATTCGATAGCCTGCAATAGCCGTGGAGGCTACTGTTGTTATCTTACCGTGACGGGCCTTGATATTCCTCATACAGGATGTCCAAGTGTGAGGAAACAGTAGCTCCGCCTCGTTTTCAATCGTGTAAATCATGCCCAAATAGTACGACCAAGGAATCCTATCAGCACGGATGCCTATCGTGATCGACCGGTAGTGTCGCGTGGACTAGGCACGGCTCCATTACTACGTTACAGCACCATTCATCTCGGCGACGATTATGTCGAGCACGAGCCCTGGTCCCCTGCACCATTGTCAGGTACCTGGACAGTGAGGCTTAGGATACTGTCCATGCTCAAGTCCACTTACAGCGGAGGCCAATTGCATTCTCCCAGGAGCCGCAATTTGATTCGATGCAGCCAGCACGGAGAAACAGCACGATCCAAATCGACTCCCGATGAACTCCGTTTCAACCGCGGTACTACGAAAGCCACCTGGAAGCTAAAAACGGAAATCGACCTTCTAGAACGGTTCTGGAGCCGGCTTGCGTGTGGTCGGTGGCTCGTGCGCGAAGAGAACCCGACACTTTCAAACCAAACACGAGGCTCGTGAATTTGCATTACCCGATCAACCTCGTCGGCCGGAGGGCAATCCGTGATGTTTCTCGTCCGGTTTGGTTGGATATTGCACCGAGAGACAGTGAAAGCAGCTGGACTCTGCATTCTACCCCTGACCATTTGGCTTTTGATAACTCCAATCCCTTAACGGCTGAAACCCAGATGCTCTGGATCGAGGATCCAAGGGAGTAACTCGGTAGAGAGAGAAACACGTACAACACTCCGAGAGAGCGTGCCAGGTCATTGGATCGTTCAAAGTGGAAAACGATGTATGTACAGTAGAAATATGTACAGAGTTCCCACTCAGGTGTCAAATCAGCATGAGCCGGGGGCTGATCCACATGGGCGCACTTTTCACGAAACGAACTCCCGCGGAAGACATCTCGGGGCTCTGTAAAGTCCTTGTACTCCGATTGAAGATGGATCTCGTTTTTTTCTGCCCCGTATCAGAGTCAGCGCGGAGATGTGACAGAAACGGGGCAGTCGTCACACGGGGGAATGTCAGACTTGGCCACGCTGGAATCCACCTGCTGGGGCTCGAAGCCATAGCGTGAACGTGCCACTGGCGATCCTATTGTCGGGTTGATGGAGTCGGGCTCTAACGATTGTAACACTCATGTCCTGTGTAGCGCGGTAACTGTGGTGCTCAGTGGATAACAAGGCAGCAATCATTGGATGAAGCTCGATTGCTCCAAGGCTTTTTGGCACAGTAGCAGCCGCTCTGGACTTTGACCCCAGCAGGGAAGGTGTCAGCCTCTGTGCGTAATTTTACCCGCGGGAGATGCCGCAGTACATTGTTTACGGTGATTACACTGCGATTACACCCCCCGTACACAACGATTACTCAAGCGTGGAAGCTCTCAGAGCAGGCGCCTCATCCGTCCCGCCTCTCCCTGATCTCTTCCCCCCCCTTCCCATACTGAGGAAAAGAAAGTCTCACCCTCAAAGACTATGCTACCTCTCTATCGCTTAATCTGATCTACCTACTCCCGTGGTTGTGTCGCCCCTTGCCGCGATACTTGAATAAGCCCTCCCCCCCGGAAAGTGGGTTGCAAAATTACCCGCCCGCCCCTCTCCCCAACCGTCGAATTCCCAAGCCATGAGCCACGAGGCACTGTGAAAGCCCCCAACGCTAGACAGGGTGTTTCTCACTTGTGACACTTCATGTACGAAATCCGCGCGCCAGATCTGGCTGTCGATACAGGATCTGCGCTGGCCAGTAAAGCCGGGACTTTTGCGACCGCCTTCGAGTACACCGACCGGCCAACAACCCCCACCGCAACTCGACAGCGCGGCCGGGTACACAGCGTTTCGCAGGACCCTGACCGCTGGAATTCTTCCCCGTTAAAGAAAATGGCCACCGGCTATGCCGCCGCCAGCCCGGAACCCCCGGCGCTGTTCGTCCGGGCCATGTACGATTACGATGCCGACGACCACACGAGCCTGAGCTTCCGCCGCGGCGACATTATCCAGGTCCTCAATCAGTTGGAAACCGGGTGGTGGGACGGTGTCATCGACAACACTCGCGGCTGGTTTCCGAGTAACTACTGCCAGATTATCAGTGAGGCGGACGATTTTGGCGAGCACTTGATACACGGCCACGACGATGCAGATCTTAGCGCAGACTCGGGACTCGAAGATGATTACGGCAACGGACACGAAGAAGATGACGAGCTGGACTCTGAAGGCAACCCGCGCGACTCGATGCCCATCCTCCCCATCGAGGGCATTCCCGCGCCCAAGGAGCAGGAAGAGGCGGCGTTTTGGATCCCGCAGGCAACCCCCGATGGTCGTCTGTTTTACTTCAATACTCTAACTGGATACTCCACGATGGAGCTGCCTTTCGAGAACCCGGCTACGAGCGAGGCTGGGCCCCGAGATCGCAACAACTTCTTCGTCCCTGACCAGACTCGTCCACCTCCTGAGTTGATGGCGCGCGGCTTCGAGCGGGACGAGGATGACTACGATGGCTCTGCATCGGAGGCGGAAGGAGAGTCGCTGATGCTGGCCTCGCATGATTCGATGTCTCGCCGCCGCCAGTCGTTTATGGATGGACTGTCTCCTGCTACCTCGATGGATTCCTTGTACCCCCCTGGACCGAAGGACTTCAAGCCCTCATCAATGAACAAGAGCCCTCAACCGTCCATCAGCACAAACAGTGCGAATACCTCTGTTGCCGAAATCATTCCTCCCCGGCCGTCCATTTCCTCCAGTACCCCTTCACACTTTGTGGACGATGGATTGACGCCGCCCGTCACCTGGCCCCAGCTTGTCGACAACATGCAATATGCAGTTGAAGCTTATCGCCAGACCCTCCTTGCTGGAGAACGCTCCGAGTACGTCAGAAAGGCCGAGGATATCTCCGACCATTTGCGCATGCTCCTGGCTGCCGGATCCGACACCACCGACAATCACTCGGGGAATCCGTCCATCATTTCCACCAATAAGGCGCTCTATCCTTACTTCCGGGATATGATGTCCAAATTCTCCAAGCTGGTGCTTTCGTCGCATATCGCAGCCGCTGATTGGCCGGGATCTGACTCGGTCAATAAATGTCTGCAAGAGGCCGATGGAGTCATGCAAGGAGTGTATGGCTATGTCGACGTCGCCCGACACCAGCGAGGCGAAGGTATCCGCCGTATTGTTCCTGGTTTCGTCGGAGGTAGCTTCTGCGGTGGAAGTTGGCAGAACAACGGTGTCTCTTTGAACTCCTCAGGCCCGACCTCGTTCCTCGTTCCCGAAGGTGGTGACGCACGTGCTGAGCCTTCGGTATCTCTCGACTCGGCCCTTCTGGACCACATTGACGTTCTTCGGAGATCCTTTGTGGGCAGCATCCGCCTTTTGGAAGAGCAGTTGAAATCAAACCGGAAGATCATCACTTTTGCGGAACATGGAGAGTTTTCAGATGCTATTTCAGCTGCTGCGATCAAGGTGGTGGAGCAGTTCCGCCCGTGGGTTGTAACGATCGAGTCAATCAATCTTGTCCCACTCGGAACAAGCTTCCAGAACCCGCAACTGGTTGATTTCAGTTTGCAAAAGCAACGCGTCTATGATGGAATTGGTGACTTTATCCTGAGCTGCCAGGCAGTATCGGCCCCCCTAGCTGATGAATGGGCGGAGCTACGTGGTGATTCACTCGACGATCGGATCACGGCTGTGCGAAGTGTGGCCAAACAGCTGGAGAACTATGTCTCACAGATTGGGTTCTCACTGTCATTACTTCTCGAGCAGATCCCTGAAGAACACACCTCCATCCTGAGAAGCGATAGCCGCTTGGAGGAAGAGGATGAGTCGCAGAAGAGTACTCATAGCCGTGGAGAATCCCAAGCTAAGATCGCTAATGAGTCCATTGGTATCCCGTCTTCCTATGCACTTGGCAAGGGGACTGAAAAGGTACGACGCAACATGGACAAGGCCCAGAGGTTCTTCGGCCAAGCACCCCCGGCAACTGTCACTCGTGAGCCACAGGTTCAGGAACCAGTAAGGGAGCCTGAAGAGACTCCGTGGTTCTTGAAGATGGACCATGAGGGTGAGGTGTTCTATGATACCAAGTCAGACACGCCGATTCTCAAGTGCGGCACTCTAGCTGGCTTGGTCGAACACCTTACGCGTCACGACAAGCTTGATGCATCGTTCAACGGCACCTTCCTCCTCACCTATCGTTCCTTTACCACTGCATCCGAACTTTTTGAAATGCTTGTGCACCGCTTCAATATCCAGCCTCCATTTGGTCTGAATACCGATGATATGCAAATGTGGATTGATCGCAAACAAAAGCCTATTCGATTCCGCGTGGTCAACATTCTCAAGAGTTGGTTCGATCATTTCTGGATGGAGCCTTACGATGAAGTGAACATGGATCTCTTGCGACGTGTACATGCATTCACCAAGGATTCTATCGCCACTACCAAAACCCCCGGTGTTCCAACACTGCTTGCTGTGATTGATCAGCGTCTCCGTGGTCAGGACATCACTGCTAAGCGTCTGGTTCCCACACAGAACACTCCTGCGCCGCCACCGATCATCCCGAAGAACATGAAGAAGCTCAAGTTCCTCGATATTGATCCCACGGAGTTTGCTCGCCAGTTGACTATTATTGAGTCTCGCCTCTATTCCAAGATTCGGCCTACAGAGTGTCTGAACAAAACATGGCAGAAGAAGGTTGGCCCTGATGAGCCAGAGCCGGCTCCGAACGTCAAGGCCTTGATTCTACATTCGAACCAGCTGACCAACTGGGTCGCCGAAATGATCTTGACACAAAATGATGTTAAGAAGCGTGTGGTTGTTATCAAGCACTTTGTTAATGTCGCTGAGAGGTGCCGCACCCTAAACAATTATTCTACCCTGACTTCTATTATTTCGGCTCTTGGAACTGCACCCATTCATCGGCTGGGCCGAACATGGGGCCAGGTCAGTGGTCGCACCTCTGCTATTTTGGAGCAGATGCGCCGACTGATGGCGAGCACCAAGAACTTTGGCGAGTACCGTGAGACTTTGCACCTTGCGAACCCTCCATGTATTCCCTTCTTTGGTATGATATGAAACTACCCCTAGTGCCCAGGCAATTCGGAGCCTGTCTCCTTACTTTCGTTCCTCAGCTAACGTTACATCCAGGCGTTTATCTCACGGATTTGACCTTCATTGAGGATGGTATCCCCTCACTTACCCCGTCCGAGTTGATTAACTTCAACAAGCGGGCCAAGACCGCCGAAGTCATCCGCGATATCCAGCAGTATCAGAACGTGCCCTACCTCCTCCAACCCGTCGGCGAACTCCAAGACTACATCCTCAGTAACCTCCAGGCCGCAGGCGATGTCCACGACATGTATGACCGAAGTCTCGAGATCGAGCCTAGGGAGCGCGAGGACGAAAAGATTGCAAGGTATGCTGAATCTTCAACCAAGGACAAAGGCTCCATGTTCTTTGCAAACACCATCGCGATTCTGCGATGATCTACTTTCCAACTTGTTGTTTTCCCCCTTTTTCTCATTGGGCAAGGTGCCTGGCACATTCTCGGCTATACCCGAATTTGATCTCATATTTCCAATCATTTTGGGCGACCATGCGTTGAAACCTGTTTTGGGCGATCTGCGACTAACCATTATTGATTTCACCCCGTAGATTGCTCTCAGAGTCCGGTTTCCTGTAAGTTGTGGCGGCGACGTCCCCTGTCCAAGCTGCACCTGCGGGCGATCGTTGCCAACCGATCTCGTGGACGACCCTCCGCCATAGCAACTTGCTCCAATCAGCACCGGCGGATACGCGATGTTATCTGACACGCACATGCGATGTCTCACCATTTGTGGCTAGCACGCGGTTTTGCCGAGAGACGGGATCTCAGGACTATGCGACCGTGCCGAAGATACCTCAGTCTCCACACAACTTCAGCCCCTGATTCGCCAGCGATCTTTGAGCATCGGTCCTTTCGTGTCGAAGCTGCCACGAGACATGCAGATCATCTACCTCAATCTAAACCATTATGCGCCGCGGTCCACCGGTCTTGACCAATACCCTTCCCGAGCCCGACTATGCATGATCTCGCAGCAACCGCCCATCCATTCCATCGCTGCCTTTGCGATACCTCACTTCTCTTCGATATACCTATTCCGGCATAGAATTTGGACACCCGACCAATCCCTTCATTTCTTAGTGCCTGTCGAGAAACTCGACCCGACTCTTGGCAAAAAGGTACCAACCTAACTCCACATGTACTCCATTGTTGCACATACTGGTCCAACTTCTCGGTGTATATTCCCCACTGTTGTCACATCATTTTTTCTTTGTTCGATTGGTTCCACATTTTTTCTTACCGAGGTGAGGTGAGCCTTCTTCGGGGTTAATGTCTGCACGCCATCTTCTATAATGATATGTTATGACCTGGGAGCCCCCTTCACGTCAGATGGACTTTTGTCTGTTCTTTAGAGCACCGCTGGTTGCTCGCATCTCGCATCTCTGTATCTATTGTGTTTCACTATCCACCTGGTCTATACCCTGGTTGTGTTTGGCTGCGGGTCAATAGAAGACATTTTTTTCTATTCATTGTTTTCAAAAGTTTCTCGTCGCTATTTTGAATCCCTGCTTATGGGGTTTCTACTGGCCGCGAGTGGGCTGATCTGCAGGACTACTGAACCTATCGGGGCGTACAGCCCTGCATTATGAGAGATTGGGGCGGTCCTTTCTAGGTCGGTAAATACTTTTATGTAGGTTCGAGAGGCAAGAAGTTCTTTGGCGTAAGTAAGCTTATTTTTTGGGGATCTCTTGTCATCACATGGAGAGTTTCACTTCCATGGTCGTAATGCATCGTCCTGCCCTCTATAAGGTATGGTTCTCAAGGACACCAAGAACAGATAACTAGCAATATCAGAAGCGCGAGAAATGAACCTGCCAGGCGCCAAAGACACCGACTCAAATGAGAATTGAATTGCGTAACAGTCGTAGCGATATTGGTGTTATGGAGGCCTCCGTGCCACGAACTTAAGTTGATGAAGTAGACTGATCCCCGATACCCTGGAAGAGTTTCATCTTCACCTCGGACGCGACGAGGCCCTTGACTTCTTCCAACACGATGCGCTGTCCTCCACGCACAACTTTATCCAACTGCTGATCCTTGACCGTAGCCGATCCGCCCCCCGGACCACTGTTTTCGATCCCCCGTGCTGCCTTGCGCACCTTCTGGCTGAGATCCATCATCTGCTTGCTGCTATAGTCGCGAGAAGTAAACAGTGGACTCTGGCTGAGCGTAGCAACCCAATACTTGTTCCAGAGAAGGGACAAAAGTTCAGAGTCGAGGGTGCTCTTGAAATGCGTCGTCTCGAGCGAATAGTACTGATTCGCATGTGCACCAAAGTCCTCCGCCTTGCCCAGCGGAATAGTCTGATACTCATCATCTTCATGAGCCTCCTTGGGCGGGGTATAATCCTGCGGGAAAGTACGGAAAGCACCGATCTCAACACGACCAGCGGAGATTGTGCGCTCCGGATCAATGACAACAGCCACAAAGGGCCCGGTCATCTGCTGCGTTTGCTGCGTCGCAACATCAATACCCGAAAGCCAGCATCCATACCCTGGATGACTGTGATACCATCCAACAGCGTTATCCTTCCGCCCCGCATCCCGGCACGACTGAAGATACGACACCATATACTCGTACGCTTCGTCCTGTGCGTTCACGCGCGTTTCTGTGCCTTCGACCGGTAGCCGGAATGCGTCTGTCACCACGAATGTGTTCGGCAGGATGTACCCTTGCATCAGACCCATCACCTCTAGAGACCCGCCCGAGCGGGCATGCATCACCATTTTCAATAGCGCCGTGGCGGAGATGCGTACGGATTTGAAATAGTATGGGTCTGAGGCCCATGGTCGTTCTGCGTTCAGGGTCTTTTGCGTTTCTTCGTCATATTGGTAGAGGGCATCGCGTTGTGGGTCGAAGACGCTGATTGCGTTTTCTAGCTCTGTAATTGTTCTGTTAGTTCGAGTTCCCGTCATCGGGTGAGGGGTACCAACCCCAGGACTGCTGTGCAGCCTGCATTGTTGCGGGGGTTGTGTGGCGTTAGATAGTTGATTTGTATGTAGATGTCGTAAGTGAGGGGAAGAGAGGAATATAAAGGTGCCAAGGCAGCTTGGAGGGGGATCAAAGTAGCTCGTCGATCCAGTGATGGAGCGTGGAGAAGGGCGGTGGGACAAATTATGGCAGAACTAAAGGGCGGTGTGATGATGACTCAGCGGTTGCCCATGACGACGATCGGCGCCAAACAACGGGGCTTATGAGATGAACCTGTTATCATCTGGCCCTGCACGCCGTCTACCCCCTCATAAACATACCTCTCCTCCCGTCCTCCATGTTTCGCAACTGACGAACTCCGAAAACCCACCTTCGTTTCTTTGCTTGGTTCCGTGTGTCGGGAACCCCACGCGCTGGGCCCTTTGTTTTGATCCCTTCGGCGTCGCTGTCGCACTGCCGACAACCTTGTCATTGGTGTACATCGCATTCCTTGCTAGTTGAACACCTCGCTGCCCGACAGCGTCATATCTAGATATGGCTGTTGACACGAGCTACCTGACCAGCCAGGTCAACAACATTGTTGAGCAGCTCCATGGCATCTTCGATGAGATTGGAGTTCCCGCCCGTGAGCGCGACTCCCGCGAAGCGGAGGTATGTTGAATGCGACATGCAATTGATCATTACCTTGGATTCTAACGCATGCTATAGCTCTTCAGCGCTCTGTCAGAGACCTTGAACAACCACCTCAAACTTGTCGATGCGTAAGTTGGGAATGTAAACAAGGCACAACCGGCGCATACCAATGCTGATAATTTACTTTTGCAGAGAGAAGGACGAGATGACACAAGAAGCTCAACGCCTTATTACGACTATTCAACAAATGGAGGCATCTCTGGGCGATGAAAGGGCCAATGGCCAGTATGAGCTCAACCGGGGTGACCTTAAGGTGACCTACCCGCTTAACCGGTGCATCGCTTTCCTGCGTGAGAAGAACGATGCTATGAGTCGCCTGCACCGTGAGCGCTTCGAGCAGGTTAAGAGTGAGTGCGCCCCATACCATCTGGCAGTTGAACAGACCTGCTGACTGTAAACAGAACTTGTCGATGCCCTCGAGTCCTACTCTTCCCACCTTGAGGCCTCATTTCTTTGCATTGAACTGCCTCCTACTGCCCCAGGATCGACCATTCCTCCCAGTTTCGATCTCTCCCCCAACTATGTCACCGCACTGGACTCTGAATTCAGCAGAGTCTACGAAGAGTACCACCGACGCATTTCATTCGTCCAGACCACTTCTGAGGAGATCATCAAGCTATGGGCTGAACTTGGAACTCCCCAAGTGCAGACAGATTCCAACATCGTTCAGAACTATCGCGAATGTCCTGAGCAGCTTGGGCTGCACGAAGCCGACCTTGCCAACCTGATGGCCAAGCGCGACAAGTTGGTGGAAGAGAAGAAGGGACGTGAGCGCAAGATCAAGGATATCCGCGCCAATGTCGAGAGCCTCTGGGAGCGCTTCGGTGTCGAAGAGGCGGATCGCAAGGCCTTCCTCGCCGCCAACCGTGGCTGTGGCCTTCGTACCATAAATGAATTTGAAGAGGAACTCGCTCGCCTCAACGAACTGAAGAGACAGAACATGCACCTGTTCGTCGAAGATGCTCGCTGCCGTTTGCAGGAGCTTTGGGATAGCCTCTATTTCTCCGAGGAAGAGATGCTCGACTTCACGCCTGCTTTCTCCGATGTGTGCAGCGACGCGCTGCTTGAGGCCCACGAGGCCGAGATTTCGCGCCTGGAAACCCTCAAGGAGCAGCGTGCCCCTACTCTGGAAATGATCGAGAAGCACCGCAGCCTGCTGGCAGACCGCGAGGCTCTGTCATCCTCCAGCCAAGATGCCTCCCGCCTCATGGGCCGCGGCAATAAGGGCGAGAAGCGCGACCCTGGTAAGCTTCTCAGAGAGGAGAAGATGCGGAAGCGTATCGCCAGAGAGCTTCCCAAGGTTGAAGTTGAGCTTCGGAAGGAGCTGGAGCACTGGGAGGAAGAATTTGGTCGACCATTCCTCGTCCATGGAGATCGTTATCTCGACAACTTGACTCCTGCATCAAACAGAGCACCCCCTCGCTCCAAGACTCCATCTGCGCCTCCATCTACAACCAAGTCGAGTGCCTCACGCCAGCAACCTCCTTCTCGCCCCGGCAGCGCTATGCAAGGACCTCGCCCTGGTAGTTCCATGCGGGGACCCCCTCCTCCTCGCTCTGCGACAAAGACCCCTACCGGTGCTGGTCCTGTGAAGCACAACACTATAGGTTACGCGGGCAGCAGGTCCGGAGCGAAGTCCCCGTCCAAACTCCCGGCTCGTGCTCCATTGAGCAATATGCCGCACGGAGAGAACTCTCCTGAGCGTCGGACTGGCCCTGGGTCCTACTCATCCAGCACTATTAATGGAAAGATGCCCCCGCCTCGTGGACCGCCGCCACGTATGCGCGCATTGACAGTTGAATCCAAGGAGCGCAACAGTTACATGATGGAGCCTCCGCGCTGCAACAGTGCTATGTCGACCGCCTTTGTCCGTCCGGTGAGCCCGGAGGACGTCTACGATGACCGTCAGCGATCCTTCATGAGCGCATCTGTCATGGGCCACTCACGGCCGACTAAGCTCTCATCTCACTCCTCGCAATCCTCGATGTCCTCTCTGAACTCGTCATTCAATTCCTCGATGCAGGGATACCCGCGAATGAATCCGTATTTGAACCAAGCACCACCTCCCCCAGCTCTCCGTCAAACTTCGAACTCTACTACGACGACCACCGTTTCTGGTTCCGAGAACTGGGAAACCTTCGACGATGCATCCGAGGATGAGGGTGGTGCCAGCGACATCTACTATTCCAAGTTGCGAGCTGCTCAAGGCAAACGTTTTGCCCCCGATGACAGCATGGATATGATCGGCAAGAAGTCCAAGGGCATCCGAAGCGTCAGTCCCGATGGTCCTCACCCCGGCCAGGTCCTCCGTGTCGCGGGTAGCGACACTGAGTGGACTGACGACTTCGAGTCCTACTAATTGCCTCCAAAAGCGCATTCAATCCTCATCTGCCCTTAGCACCCGGCGCTTGTTACATATTCACTTCTGGTTTCCATTTTTCTGGCGCATCGGACGTTGAGCTGTGGTTCCGCAATCGCTTGGCTTTCTGACGATCCCATGATCCCCTTGATATCATGGTTCACGATGGACGTTGACGATCCTTACGACTGAGCTTGCTCAGATTCTGCACAGGCTGGTGTCATTTCCGCACAGATGACCGAGTCCGCCGTCTTGCTTTTCTATTGTGAAAAATTACGAGTTTCTATCATGTCACTCCTGTTTATGATTTCTTTCTTGTCAATGTTTAATCATGTCCGCTGCTGCGAAGCGCCTCGAGAATTGTCTGTCCTTTTTCTTTCGGTCATAGAGGCAGAAGCTTCTCTCTCAAGCTCGGACAGGTTTTAATTCTGAATTTTCTCTTGTTTGGTGTGGCATGGTGTTATTTGCTCTATCTTTTGACTTGTGGTCTTTTCTTTTGCTGGTTCCGTGCTACGACTCTATTCTATTTCCTCGAGTCTTCCGCTCATCTGAGGCTGGCGGCTTTTTCTTTGCGTTCTTGTCGACTCTATGAGGCTCTATTATGTTTGCTTATAGCGCAGTACAGTGTTTCCGTGTATCTTTTGCTGGTAATATTATCTTCTGTTCAAAGTACTCCAGTCTTCTATATCAAAGATCAAAACTGCCACTACGTTCTTGCATAGGGCCAAGTTTTACTAGACCCTCTATAGATAGTCAGCGGTGAACGCTTACCATATGAAAGGGCCTCTACCCGTGCCCTACTAAGCTTCTCGTTGGCCCAAATTGGCCGCGCCATTGACTATCAGACTGTCCGATAGGCCTCCGGGCTGGATTGCAAGCTAGGAGATACCGTAGTAAGACCGCTCTAGACAACAGGGTGAAGCATAGATGAATATATATCGAATAGAATGCATTCTAGCAAATAACAAGGTCTACTGTACTCATGATCGTAGAATGGAGAGGTCGTGTCTCAAAAGGCCACGGAGAAAATGCAAAGCCCAGACCCAGACGCCTTCGATGCCATATAAGCATGAAACCCATTTTTGTATCGCTTACTGAGCCGCGCACTGCGCTGGCTCCTCCTCCTCGTCATCCTCCCAGGCCGAAGCGCCCTGAGCATCCTTGGCTCCGAACTCTTCCATATTGCCCTTCGGGTCGTACTGGACTTCATCCACGGTGGATGCTTCGATAGGTGCGTTGGGCTTGGGGAGAATCTCTTTGAGCTTCTCGAGGACGGCGGGGCTGGGCTTCCACTTCTCATCGGGGAATTTCACGTTGACAATCAGATAGAGATCGCCACGCGCGTCGCTGCGCTTGATCGGCATGCCTTCTCCGGCGACCTTCAGAACTTGTCCGGACTCGAGAACCTTGCCGGCTGGGTGCGTGATCTCGATACCGCGCTCATCCAGGTGCTTGAGCACAACGCGCGAGAAACCGGTCAATGCCTCAGCCAGTGTGACATCGATCTCTGCCCGCAAGTCTGCGCCAGCACGCTCGAAGACAGGGTGCTCCTCTTGAACCAAGCGAAAAACAATGTCACCGGGCTCCTGGTCAGGAACCTGGTCAGCCTCGCCTTCCAAGACAATCTTGTCGCCCTCTCTATGAAAGCAGTTAGCAAACGTGTAATGTCCTAGATGGTGAGAAAGTCTTACTTCGAGCCGGGGGGAATATAGAGCTCGAGCATCTTCTTCGCCTCCACTGTCCGCTTGCCCTTGCACTTTTTGCACTTGTCCTTGTCACTGAAGAACGATCCTCTCCCATTGCAGGTAGTGCAGGGCTGTGTCGCCTTGGTAAGGAACTGACCCATGTTCCTGATAACCTCCTGGTATCCGACACCGTCGCAAGTCGAGCACTTCTTCGCCTTGGCCCTCTCCTTTCCGCCCTTACCATTGCACAAACTGCAAATGACATTCTTGACACTGGCAAACTTGACAGTCTTGCCCTTGTATAGATCCATCAGGCTAAGTTCATAGTCCTGCTCTTCATTGCGGCTTTTGCGCGGGCCTGCACCAGGACCCCCAGGCATGCCTCCCATACCCCCGAAAGGATCCATGCCGGGCATACCACCACCCATACCACCCATACCGCCAAACATCTGTGCCAGGATGTCGTCTAGATCGGGACCGGCTCCACCCATGCCGGGGTCTCCGGAGCCGTTGAATGCGCCCATACCATGGCGGTCGTAAATTTCGCGCTTCTGATCATCGTAGAGGATCTCGTAGGCCTCCTGAACGGACTTGAATTTGATTTCGGCGGCCGGGCGCTCCTCTTCGGCGACCTTATCGGGGTGACTAGACAGAGCAGCCTATAGTTGTCCGATGGTTAGTATTCCAATCTGAAGCTTGGAAAGGTCTGTCTTGCCTTCCGGTATGCCTGCCGAATCTCGTCTTTGCTAGCGCCGCGTTGGATCTCGAGGACCTCTGTGGTGATAAGAAAACTAGGTTAGTTTTTCCACTTTGACCGTGCCCGATAATGTATTCATGGTTGCACATACCGTAGAGGTCGACTTCGACAGAAGGCACTGCAGTTCTTGTCAGCAAGCAGCCAAATGGGCGGATGAGACCATTTTAGGCGGGGATCATACTCAGTGCGAGGCTCTTCTTTTGGGCAGTACCGATAGAGCGATCTCAAAGAAGAATCAGATAGTGTACCCTTAGTACCGAAGGAGCGAAAAGGCGCGAGGACAAAGCGAGAGGTGAGTTGTTGATCAAGCGGAGTCGCAACCGAAATTTTGTCGGTAGCTTTGAGCGGAGCCGGACCACCCTCCGCAAAAAATCCAGCGCGGCAAGTGCAGCCAAACTGCTTGACCTGCACTTCTCACGTGAGACACTTTCACTCAGATTCAGTTACTCATGAGAAGCCCTCCAAGCCGGCTCTTTGCCCGGCGTGCCTGGACCTGTCTCCAGTGCAGGGCCTCGTCCACCTCCGCGGGCGCGCAACTCCGCAAATCGAAGACCAACTTGCCCGACGCGCCTGCGCGCACACGTTTTGCGCCTTCGCCGACCGGATACCTTCATTTGGGCTCTCTACGAACAGCTCTTTTCAACTACCTCCTTGCGAAACGGACCGGTGGTCAATTCCTGCTGCGCATCGAGGATACCGACCAGGTTGGTGGCGCCATTGAGCCGAGTGTGGATGGCTGCTAATGGATATAGAAACGGACGATTCCTGATGCCGAACAACGACTGTACGATGATTTAAATTGGGCGGGACTACACTGGGATGAAGGTGAGATCGCTTGGGTGCTATAGCAAACAGCCCTGGAGTAAAGTATGGAAATGGGCTGACAGTGTGTTCGTAGGCCCTGTTGTTGGTGGCCCATACGGCCCATATAGACAGGTAAGATGCGGTGCCCTCGCGATAAGTTCATCTCTGCTCACACGCGTGTCTTGTAGTCTGAGCGAACGGCTTTGTACCGATCCCTTGCCGACGACTTGATCTCCAATGGCCACGCCTACCGATGTTTCTGTTCTTCCGAGCGCCTTGATTCGTTCGCACGCCACCGAAGTCAAGCGGGGCTGGCACCTGGATATGACAGGAAGTGTGGACACATCTCCTCTGAGGAGTCCGCGGATCGAGCATCCAAGGGCGAGGCCCACGTGGTCCGGCTGAAGGTGGAGGGATACCCCATGTTCAACGACCTGGTCTATGGGAAGACGGGACAAAATCGGCCCAACAGCAGCAAGCTGGATTTGATTGATCGAGTCTACGATGATCCGATTTTGCTGAAGTCGGATGGACACCCAACATATCATCTGGCGAATGTGGTGGATGACCATTGCATGAAGATCACACATGTCATTCGAGGAACGGTAAGACGCCTCTATACTCCGGCGAAGAACCACAGCTTATATTGGACAGGAATGGATGCCATCAACGCCAATGCATGTTGCTCTCTACAACGCTTTCAAGTGGGAACCGCCACGATTCGGTCATGTCCCTCTGCTGGTCGACAAGTCGGGACAGAAATTGAGCAAGCGGAATGCAGATATTGATCTGTCCTCGTTCAAAGACCAACAAGGAATTTTCCCAGCTACACTTGTCAATTTTGCTGCGCTCTTGGGATGGTCGCATTCCCAGAAGTCTGATATATTCGACCTTGAGGAGTTGGAGCAACTCGTATGTTGCACCTCCCAAGCTAGTAGAGCTTCCCTGCTAATGTACCTCCTAGTTCAACCTCAAGTTCACCCGTGGAAACACCGTTGTCGCATTTGAGAAGCTCTGGTTCCTTCAAAAAGCACATGCGCAGCGCTTCGCGGCCAATGGTGGTCCCGAATTCGATGAGATGGTCAATAGAGTATGCAAGACTGTGGAGGAAAATCATCTGAACGCGAACCTGTAAGTTCTGCCTCGTTGACAACATCCCCAGTCGAAAACGAATCTAATACCTAGCTACAGTGAACGGATTCTCAAGGGTCGTACGCTCTCCGAATATATCTCTCCCCTCATCCGCGCGGACGCCAAATCCTACACGACAGCAAATGAGTTTGCGGAACGTAACTCAACCTTCTTCGCCACTAAGCTCGATCGGCCTACTTATACCCCGGTCTCATCTTCTTCGACATCAAACCCCACCGTGCCCATGCTAGCCCTCCACACTGCAGCAGCAGCTCTATCCCTCGTCCCATCAGCTCACTGGAACGTCGAGACGCACCGCTTCAACATTACATCTTATGACGGCTCTGATTCCGTTGAAATCGCGTCCGAAGTTGACCGATCGTCCGTGGCAACCGACAAGGTCTTCAAAAAGGAACTGTACCATTATCTTCGCTGGGCCTTGTCTGCTTCAGCACCAGGACCTGGTATACCCGAGACTATGACGATCCTTGGAAGAGATGAAACGGTCCGCAGACTGCAGGATGCGAAGACGTTAACGCAGTCTTTGGTGCCGCAGATCGGCCGACGGGTCCCAAAGTCATCTGGGGAGAAGAAACTGGCCGAAGATCGGAGCTGGATGGGCTCTCTTGCCCCCGATCAGTAAATAGGTAAATAGTGTCTCTAAGGCAGCGTCGGAATTGTATAATATTTGAGGTATCGACACTTGGGTGCCGTAGATACGATTGCATGGCGTCAGATCTTCTGATGAAACCATCCCTAGTCCCTTTTGGGCGGCGGCCTATTCCTTCTGGATCGGAGTATCGTGGAAATCTCCATCATCACCTGTTGATGCTTCGATTTCCTTCCCCCTTTTTTTCTCGAGTTCATGTCAACCCTGCACATGTGGGTTCCCTATCTTCAAGTACCAGTCTCATGCCAATATGCTTACAGCTCGTCAAAATTTCAAACCGTGTGAGGGTTACGGAACAGACGATCGTGAGCACAAAAGGTTGCACTTTATAGGCAGCAAAGGGTGGGTCGCTACTTTCGTCGTTGCCGATCTCATTCTTGCCGAATACAATCTTCGGGGAAGCGTTCAGCGCGCAGCTTCCCTTGTACAAAGCTGCCGTGCACTACGAGAGAGGAAACGTAATAAGAAGGAAGACGCACGGCTTCTTGAATACGATAAAACGCTCATGAAGCTTCGCCGAATAATCAACATCTACGAGCTGGCCCTTTACGAGCAGCAAGCGACACTCCCAGAAGATCTACGGCCAACCTATGAGTTTCTGACTAGAAATCCAGTATGGTACCTCCGCAAAGAACTCATCGATGACTGCATAGCAAAGGGTGGTTGTTGCAGTCGTGAATGCCGATGCTGCGAAAATCGCCACCTTCACAGGAAATCGAGAAAGGGAACAGGCCACTGCACAGCTGAGTGTAGGTGTTGTGAAGACCATCGAGGATTCGAGTATACTGAGAAGGAAAAGAGCAATATTACGGATCAGCTTAGGAGAATGCTTAATCATCGAGGACCTGGGTTTGTTTTGAGGATGGCAGAGGCATACTTCTCAGCGCCTGATATCCCGGAACCAACATCGTCAAAGCCTACTTCAGAGTCTACTTCGGAGCCTACTGCAAAAGAAAAGCTATCTGAGATTCCTAACAAGGAAGAGAAGGAAAAGGAAGAGAGGGAAAAGGATGAGAAGGAAAAGGATGAGAACGACAAGGATGAGAAATCGTCGACGGCCTCGGATTTTGAAGACGTGGAGCCTTTGATCGGGGAATCGGAAGGTATAAAAGATTTCAAATGGAAAGGGCTGTTCAAAAAGTATTAGGTTTACCGTGCTCAAGTCGGCTTGCTTATGACTTGATAAATTTCTGGTGCAACTGCAGACCTAGAACTACAGGGACAAGGAGGGTATGTATATATTACAAGTTCACGCTACTTAGCTTAAGGGGTTTACAAGAATGAAGCTCATAAAAGAATACTTTGGCTTAGTATACAGCGAACTAAAGCGATTCGCTCTATCGAGATAATATAACATTGACGGTATTTTTATACGCCAGCGATTCCCCATTTTGGCTCCGAACCCAGTATTTAACCAGCAGGGTTGGCGCAAGTGAAAGGCGTAAGCGCAGAATCCGCGAAAGAAGCTTGCATCGAGGTAACAGAAGCCCAGATACCCAGGCCAGCAGCAGACAGTGCAGCCAGAGAGTAGATGACATCGAAGGTGTTCCACACGAACTTCTTCTTGTAACCGCGGATCCAGCGCTTGATACCGTTATCCACGCGCTCGGCTACGCCGGTTTGCGGGTTGAAGTGCTCCTCGGGAAGCATTGCGTCCTTCTGCACGTTGTATCCGACCAGCAGCATGGGGGGGAAGGTGTAGGAGAATTGCAGGATGCAGGCTGCGCCGACGAAGGATGTCAGGTTGCTGATTTGGGGAATGGCGGCGGCAACGATCCAGGCGAGAACCCAGTATACCGGAACTAGGGTTTGTTAGTTTGTGGATACAGTGATGGGGAAAATGGGTTGCTTACCGAGACCGATCCAGAGGTACTTGCCGAGACGGCTTTCCAGAGGGGGAAGTGGAAGACGTCGCGGAGGACGGCGGAGTAGAAGACCTTGATACCGATGTTTCCGTAGAGCAGGGCTGCAATAACACCGGTGATGAATGAGATTGCGTTGCCGAGGGTCTGGAAGCGGTAGGCCGAGTCGGGGATACCCTGGTAGGCGGGGTTGAAGGTGAACTGGCCCTGGGCACTGTAGACGACCATACCCATGATCAGATAGCAGGAGTAGATGAAGATCTCGGCACAGATGAATCCCTTCCAGAAGTCATAGGGCCGTCTCATCTCGGCCATGAGCTCGTTGAACAGGGTCGCGCCACCGTAGGCAAAGACTGCGTTCATCATAGCGGTGACCTTGTCGTTCATGGTAGAGCTGGAGGGCCAGTTGGCACTGGTCACCACGGGACCCTTCGTGATGGTAGGGTAACTGGCCTGCACGGCCGGATAGTTGGGAGGGTATTGGTGGACGACGGCCATGGTCATGATAATGACGATGACGTTCAACCAGATAGCGATGTTGGCTAGGAAGGACAGACGCTGCAGGGTACGGATCTGGCCGAGAATAAAACCGATGACCATGAAGATGACTTCGGCGACAATGAAGCAGAGGAAGCCTTTGCCATTCTGGCCCTGCGCCATCTGCGCCAGACCCTGTCCGTTACTCGTGATCAACAGAGCCACATTCAGGAAGAACTGGAAGCTCTGAAGGACGTTGACTCCGATACGGGCCCAGCTGCCGAAAATGCGGAATGCAACATCGCCATAGTTGCGCATGGGGAACCGGGTCGAGTCCAGGCCGACGAAGATTTTCCACAGCTGCATACCGGAATAAGCAGCCATGACACCGAAGGCGGTATAGAGGGCGAAACCGGGCCCGTAGCCCATACGACTAATGGCCCAGGGGACGTTGGTCGGACCCAGAATATCGGTGGTGATCAGATAGAAGATCGAACCCCAAGTGGCCGTACGGGCGGCTCTCTGTGCCTGCTCCCACTCTGTCTCGGTAACACCGTAGTTGTCGGTTCCGTCGCTGCTCGCGGCGGCGTTGGTAGAAGGATCTGTCTTCTTCTCATCCGTGTTCTCGGAAAGAGAGGGTGCCGTCGGCGCCGTCGGTTCCGGCGTGTCTTTGGGCTTCTTCCCAATGAGCATGCTGGCCCATTGCGAAAAACCCTTGTCATCGGTCCGGATGTGCTTCTCGTATTCGCGTGACCGACTGGCCCAGAAGACGTAGTTTTCGAAGGTAATGCTGGAGTCCAGGTAGATCGAATCCTTTCCTTGCAGCAAGGGAGCGGGAATGTTGTGCGCGTGAAGGCCATCGTATTGAGGGGGAATATCCTGATCCTCCTTGGAGACATGGTGGTGCTCTTCTTCGGTGCCAATGATATCAGCTTCATCACCGAGGCGAGGATCGGCGACGCCGCCCATATTGGCGGCCGAAATAATGCCTGCCATGGTTACGTTCAAAGATTCAAAGGCAGATTGATCTCAGGATGGCTCAGATCAAGCGAGACTTGCTGAGAGAAAAGTGAAGAGAAAAAAAAAAAGGAGGGGGATCAGATCGCGCGATCGGTCTTTATTTAGGCGGACCCCGTAGTGCGGAGAAGTCATATCTCGGAGTAATGGCTTTAATTTCTAGCAAGACAATTGGATGCAGTGGAGAATTAACAATTGCCCCCGGGCGATTGGGGCGAATGGACTCGTCCAGGATGTGGCCAGGACGTTATCAGTTGCCCCGGGCCCGAAAATGTAACGCTCTCCGTGTCTTACCACAGGGCCATGGCTGAGGCTGGCGCAGGTCCGTGGCAGTGGGCGACGACCTGACCCACAGGGTCTCAACAACTTGGTAATTCGCTGGCAAAAGCTTGTATCTCCGCATTCGAGAGGAGACGAGTGTGGTGCAGGCCAATCAGTGAGGCAATCCGGACACTTCCGGATGGTGCGGCACAACCTATTCCCACATTTACCCATCCGGCAACCCCTTCACCGGTGAACCAGCGGCAGTCCCTTGATATCTCGTGTTCGTTTCGCGTGGTTGAAACAGATCCTGCGAGATGACTGGTCGCCCCCCCGCGGTTTCCGTTCTCTTACGCTGCGCGTATATCTCTGTTCCCGTCTTATCTCGGCTTCTTCGGAGGCGTCGGTTATCCACGGTGGGACTATCCACTTTGACGGACTGTCACAATTCGCTTGCTCGGTTCTCAGCTGCCACTTCGGGATGTCATCCCCTGGTTAACCTAGGAAGCAGGCGGCCCCGGTAATTTAGCCTCGCTCCATTGTCTTAAATTTTGAGCAGCCTGGCTCCGGCCGGACCACGTTGCATCGTTTCATCGCCTCGTGTTTTCCGGGGAAGGTCCCTAGGACCCGTTTCGAAGCCCCTGAGGTCATAGACTACTGTATAGAGGATCGCCATTCTCGGGTGAGGTTGAAAAAAAGAGTCGCACGAGCGCGATATCCGGCACTTGACAGCACTGGGCGTTGCTAGCCGCCGCGGGGCTTGCCACTAATCGGTTACTATCCCGTATTGGGTTCTGCTCAACCAGGGTGCTGTTCCGCTTGCCACTCAGGCTTTTTCTAGGCGGTAAGCCAAAAAAATTCAATCCCAGTTGTTCCAAAAGGACCAATCGATGTCGTCTGAGTTCGGATCGGAAATGGCATCTAGAGGCGAATAATCGAGTCTCTCTGTTTCCGATGACCTGGACTCTGCCTGTTCCGTAGGAAATCCCAAAGTGCGTTCGCTGGAGAGCCTCGGTTACCCAATTGGGATGAGGCGTCTGAACCCGAAACGGGGGCTTTGTTCGTCGGCGTTCCCGCACAGGATGCCCTTGTGCTTATTAAGCCGCGCGGATGGTTTCGGCCGCGCGAGGCTTTCTCCGAAAATTATAAAAAAAATTAAAAAATTAAAAAATAAGCAGAATGGTCGAGTAAAGTCGTTCTAGAAGCCCCCGGATTCCATCTGAGAGTCCCCGATACGGGGAGGCTTCGTATCCGGAGACTTCGCGAATCAGGTAAACAACTGAACAATTTAAGTGGCGACTTACCACAGTATAACCCAATAGGTTTACTTGGCTCAGGCTGACTTTTGTAAGGTGACTTATCTGCAAAGAATCGCCTCAGAACGCCCAAGAAAGTCTGCCCGAGCAAATGCATTCTCAAATAGTGATCTTACTCGGACAACAATGTCTGTCTCGGATGACCGAATGACTCTAAGCATTGCTCCTGCGCCCGGCTCATGGCGCTACTCAGATAGATCGAACAGTGCGGGTCCTCGAGGAAGAAATCCCTCCGGTGTATCATGAGCCAGAGGTGCCGCACGCATCTGGTCAAGCTCCTTGTAGAAGGCGACCTTCTCCGGAGGTTTCACATTACGATAGTATGCACTTCACAAGACGACGGCTGTATCAGGTCTGAGACGGCGCCTTGCGGACTCAATACTATTGTTAGACTGGACGACAATAAGCAGAGCACCCCGACTGAATCGAGGAGGAATACATGCTCCCGTAGAATAATTATAGTATCTCTATTGCTGTTCTCTTAGAGTTCTATTTCTGCCCGGATTTTTGTTGCAAAAATGCCGCTATCCGCCTGTACATCTCGACCGGATTCGAATACATAGGGAAATGTCCACTATGCGGAATATCCGCCAACTCCACGCCCTCCTTCTCCAGACGCGGTAGGTATGATAGTCCACGACACTCCTCACCAAACATGAACATTCGCGGGAAAGGAAGGCTCAGAAATATACCAATCAGATCTTCCTGATCCGAAAGCTGCACCATAGACTCGAAGATAGGACGCACCACGTCCGCGCGGACCCGCAAACGCAGTGCGGATGCATACAGGGGGTTGGAGTTGGATTTTGACTTGCGAGTTCGATCGATAAATTCATCGAGGAATGTCTCGGGGTCATCCGAAGGGAAAGTAAAGATCTGCCGGCTGAGGAAGCAGTCCTCCGGCGCGAGGTTGCCCTTGATGTCTACAAAGCTGAGGACTCGGTCTGGGTAGCGTTGTGCGAGAAGGAGTGCGGTCAGACCGCCCATGGAATGGCCTATAATGTGGAATGTGGTGATGTTGAAGTGTGCAAGAAAAGCTTCGGCGGTGGCGACGAGGAATGGAATGTCTGTGGCGGAAAGGTTATCGCTTGTGGAATGGCCACAGCCTGGGGCGTCGTAGGCTATGAAGTCGTGTTCTCGTAGAAGTGGATGAAGGACTATATCTGCTAGATCTTCTTTGCAGGAGCCGAAACCGTGTAAGAAGAGAATCGGTGGCGTTGAGCTTAGTTCATGGAGTGTTGAAAGATTGACGTTGACGCCCTCGACTTGGAGAGGGATCGTCTCATAAGTGAGAGGCATGCTGAAACAGTGTGAGAATGAACAAAAACGACAGACTCCGTGAAAAGCAACGAATCTTTATTTAAGTTAGGAGATAATGGACTAAAAATCGATGTTCTGACATCAAAGATCGTCAAGAGGCTGTATGTCTTTTTGCCGCTCGCCTCTTGTCGAACCGTGGCGCTGCCCCGTGGATTGATTATGGATTCATATAGTTATTTGCCATTCAATCAATAGTGTTACAAAATTGGACATACAGGATCTGTCATGGAGTAGGTAAAGTGAACTTCGCCTAGAGACCTTCCAAGCGATACAATGGTTCCAGTTTCGCCGAACGTTGTTGGAAGATATACTTCCCGACAAACCATGACAGCCAGGTTCTGACCTGGTAGCGTGTGTGGCTATGAATAGGTACGCCGAAAGTGTAGTCGAGTTCTTCAGCATTCGTTGCCTAATGTGCGTTAGAGAGGAACAGGCACGGCTGAGGAGGATGACTTACATTGTCTCAGGGACCACAAAGAAAATGACAACGAAATTGAGCACATTCAATGCAGCATAAAATCCAAATGCTAGAGAAATTCATTAACCTCATGATATTCCTGTAGCTAGCTAGTCACCACTTACCTCCTGTTGGGGGTGTCTTGGCCAGCAGCGACGGGAACGAAAGACTCGGAATACTTCCAACGGCATGATTGACACAAATCGTGAAAGCCGCGCCCAACTCACGATGGGAGAGTGGGGATGCTTCACTAAAGTAAATTGATGGAATAGGCCCAATCCCTACGCTGGTCAGTTTTCTTCTCTTCAATGATGTCGCAGCCACATACCAGGTCCATAGAACACCCCGAAAAGGTAAGTGACGAACGCGATTAGCCGAACTCGAGAACTACTCTGTCGGGATCAAAAAACAGTAGCCTGCCGCTCACAGACACCATGCCATGTTCGGGAATGTAAATAGCAACAGGTTGCGCCGACCAAACGTATCCATCGTCCAGATAGCTGGAAAGGCGAAGATGAACATGACTAGCCCGTATCCGAGAGAAGCAAGTAGACAAGCTCGCGTCGAGTAGCCTGCTTCAGAGAAGATAATAGACGAATAGAACGCGATCGCATTGATCCCCGAGAACTGCTGTGAGATGACGATGCTGGAGCTGGAAATCATTGCCCGGCGCAGACGGGGTTCATGGGTTGGACTCCCTGTTCTTAACGTGGGGGATGTATGTTGGAGGGGTGCGCTGTGTGTGTCCTATGCAGGTTGCGCTCCACTACAGAGTCACAAGAGCGGAATTATTCGTTGTACAGATCTACCCATCGCGTATATAGCCTTCCATGTATACTCCAGGTTCTTTGCTTCTAAGGGGACTCTGGAATCGATTTTTGTAATCATGAATCATTTGCAACACTCAACATGGGTAGTGCCGGTTCTGTGACATGGCTCCAGAAGCTCTCCAAGCAGTGTAAGTGGAGCTTCTATTGACTCCGGTCTCTACAAATGGCTAATTTAAGTTGGCAGTGAATGTGGACGTGTACTGGATGGGCCCGGCATACACCCTGAGCATGCCCCATCAAGCCACACGACATGACCAGCAGCCAGGGCTAGGTCCACGAGCAAATGTGTAACCCGGTCAACGAAGAGCTCTTCAAGCAGGTGGTCAAGGAATACAAAGACCAAGGCTATACCCGCATGGTATCCCGTCTTCTTTCGATGACCGTAAACCCCGACTGACGCAATCACAGGCGGTCTTGGTTTCCAAAGCCAACATCGACAATATCCAAGGCAGGGTTCTTCTCCAGACCCTCCCTTCCAACGCCTACGATACCCGGAAAACTCTGGAGAACGCTCGAGCCTATGCCAAAGAGGTTGAGAGTGTCGGGGTCTCGAAGGATCGTTTCTGCATCAATATTCCCTGCACTGGTCCTGCACTGGTCCTGCACTGAACGCGTGCCTAATTCTGCTGGAAGAGGGCATTCGCACCCTTGGGACTATCCTTTTCAGTGTTCACCAAGTCATTGCCGCAAGCCAGGCTGGATGTCTGTACATCAGCCCCTACTATAACGGTGAGAGTCACCCTGATGTTCGTGGAATTCGTCGCTGACATCCTCCGATAGAGGTTCGTGCACACAACGAACAAGAGCGTGGGCCCAAATCAGATGACCCAGCGCTGCTGCACCCGATGTCGCCTCGTCTGGTTCAGATCTTCGAGATGTACAAGCGCCTTTACAAGGAGACCGGCAAGGAGCAGCCTTTCGGAGCAGCCTTTCCTCAAGAATGCCAGCTTCATCTCTCCACAGGAAGCAATGGCAGCTGGCGAGCTGGGCTGCCAATCGGCGACTATTTCTCACCAAGTGCTCACCAACTAGCGAACCTTCCGTACGACGGAGCCAAGCAACCAGGCGAGGGCGTCCCCAAGCCCGAACACCCGTACCGGAATGCAGCACCGACCCCAGAGCGACTGAAGAAGATTGCACAGACAGACCCTCTGATTGGTTCGAACTGGGGTGGAAAGCTGTCGAGAATTGACATCGACTACCTGGCCAATGGAGGTGTGGAGCTGGATAAGGCGAATGAGGCAGACCCTGAAACTAAGAAGAGATTGCGTGAAGCCTTGAGGTTTGTTTGTCGCTGCTGAGAAGAGAAATCAGGCGAAGATTGAGCAGGTTGTGACGAGTGGCTAGGTGCGTGCCGTGATGTGTGATGTCTTTCGTTTATAAACGTAAACTTTCGTGGTTTGGGAATGAATGTGCGGATTGGAAGACTTGTTGTGGTATGATTATAGCGTCATTTGGTAGTTTTGTAGTGGCGACGGGCACATTGGGAGACCACAGCATAGACGGATCGCCAGGTACCCTGGTCGAGTTGATGTTAAACGGCGAGTCCCCATCTTGGGGAGGTGTATTCGTCAAACTCCCAGGGTGCTGAGACCAGAAAATGGCAGCGTCATCAACCAGATGGTTGGGGTTGGTGTCATATCCCGAATCAACATCTTTAGGCGGTGTCGTTGTCGTTGTCGTTGTCAATACACCAGGAGATTGGGTCCAAAGCAGGGAACCTCCATGTGCAATAGTTGGGGATAAATCGATGGGCTGTGAAGATTTGTCTTGGGCTGCCCAGGCCCAGTGTGTGAGATTATGGGGAGAGACAGGTGGATTGTCATGGCTTAGAGGGCGGTGGGACATGTGCCCGGGCACTGGAGCGCTGCTAGAAACGGGCATCAAGCTTGTTTCATGAATAGACAAAGGCAGGGGCAGCTCAAGCGGCCGATCAGATCTTCTCAAGGGCCCCGCGGCTAGCTCGTTACGACCTGGTAGCATGTCCAGGACCGCCGGGTCTATTGGTTGAGCTTGGAGCGGGACACAAGCGCCTGGTTGACACATAGCGCGAATGCTGTTGACTTCACGTAGCAAGGCTTCACGCTCAGCCATTAGTGACTGGAGAGCACGCGTTGCCTGAGCAATCCTGGCTTCTTGGGCTTTGTGCTGGGCGATACTAGCGTCCACGATGATGTGCTTCGATGGACGCTGTTCTGTCTTCAGCATGGGCAGTAGGGTCGTCAACTCCTAAAATAGGTCAGCAATAGAGAGCCTTGAGATGTTGCCTCATCATGACCAACCGCCAGACGCTCGCTAAAGGCTTCACGGCGCGACTTCTCAAACTCTCGGTGAACGGCTCGATCCTCAGCCGTCCAATTGCGGATGCGTTTTTTCTTCGGTTTCTGAGGACCCGAAGGGCCCATCATGGGATCCATGCTTGCTGTTGTTACCGCTCCGGCCTCCATTTGCGTAGACATAGGATGAAAGAATACGAGGGGCTCTATGGTGTGATCCGGGGTAAAGTGGGGGAAATGCGGAGAACCCCCGGAATCGAGTCCGGAATCGCGTCCTCCGAGGCAGCATATGTCTCCACATGTCTCTTTGAACCATGTGTTACTGAAGATACTACTGTAGATCGCGTTTAACTGAAATCTAATTTTCGATTAATCTACGTCATCCATTATGCCCGAGTCCTCCAAGCCTGGCCATCGGATGTTAGATAGGCTTAGGTAGATGTCCGTCGGGCGATTCGAAACAGCAAGGCCAGAAATAGACCTCCCATTGGTCGAAGCTAGAACGAAAGAGCAGTAAGCTGACACAAGTAACCTCATTGGCCTACTATGGGCGGTGATACTGGCTGTAAGCGGGCATCTGCCAGCGACAGACGGGGGATACCGAAGGCTTATTGAGGCCGAATGCTTATCCCCGCTTGGACCGCAATAACACCAACCACAAACTTCAACGCCGCAGAATAAATACCCACCCCAGCACTATTTGTCAATACTATTTCGAATCTACAAAGGAGGCTGGCAATGCGAAGACTAGCGATTTGTTGAACTATGAAACTTGGCTTTCGCAGTGCAAATCCGAGGGCAATCCAGACCATTACATTTCCTCGCCCCGAAAGGAACGTTCTCTCCAGCCACCGGAACTTGGACGAGACCTTTGTGGCTCAAAGAAGGCCAATGGTGAGCCCTATGTGTTCCAAATGCGCTACTGTGATCTACAACGCCCAAGCATCCCGTGACATTCCCAGAATGAGGAAAACAGACGGGTTTGTCACTATCTCCGGCTGTAGAGTCCGAAACACGACGTGAGTCTAACCATATGGAGCCTAGCGCCCTATATGTATGTTTCGATGCGCGAGCGCGCCCTCGACTTAGTTTCTTCTCTACTTTTGTTGCTTCGTTAATGCTACGTGATCTAATGTATACCTAAGCTGTAATACATAAAAAATCCCCCTTTTCACCTTTTCTGCTGCCTCAAGAACCGTATAGGCTCGGCATAACTGTTTACCATCCCGCTTAGACCTTAACAAACGGGCCAGATAGGTTGCGAAGTTCAACCCAGAACCCAACCCGCGCTACCCATGGGTTATGGAAATCGACCCTAAGGCAATACGTTCTTTTGAGGGGTGGACGAACGTGCGAAGGATCAAATCGCTCGGTATAATTTAGACATAGCGACGCTTGTATGGTCTGTTAGGGGGCAATTCAAAGCACTGAGAAGTGAGAATTTCCAAGATATTTCTAGTGGAGCGTGCAACCATCAATTACCTATATTGGGAAGGTTAAACCCGGTTAGTCGAAGATCCAAGCTCCCACACAGCTCCCTGTCGCATGGTACGTGCGTCTTGCCGTCGCTCGTGGAAAGAATAGGTCGTGGAAAGAATAAGAGGGGAGAATCGGGTTCATCACCTTCACGCTCTCTGCGATGCACAGAAGGTTCAAGACATTAAATAGGTCCTATCCCAAGATAAGCGGGTGATGAGTGTTTTACGCTCCATTTGTAGGCTAGTGTGTGTTTTGCAAAAGAAATATCAGGTCGTGCAGATAAGTGAATAGGCAGATCCGTTTCATAGCGAGTCGTTTAGAGGCCAAGACAAAAAAAGAGTCCAGCAAAAAGGAGGTTGACACACACCGTCTGCACAGATTAAAAAAGGGCAAAAGATGACGGAGCAGTGGATACCAAGTGAGTCGCCGAGGCAGCAGCCAAGAAGGGCTCGACCTTGTTGGTAGCAGACTCGGTGCGTCATATGACAGGCTATACACATCGCTCCCTAGGCAGACTACGAAGGCCCCGCTTTTCAGACCGCTTTCTAGACTGGAAGGTGTATCCCACCATACAGCAGTATACATAAGACAACACTGGATGTATTTTACACGAAAGTGCTATACGCATGCCTGTCCATTTTTGTTGCCTGGCCTCCATTGGTGAAAATATAGCCTCCAACAGGACAACAATGCATCTAAGAAGCGTTTCCTTAACGGACATGGATCCCTCCAAAATTCATATTATCAGGGAGATTACGTGCTCTGATGCGTCTTCAATATTCGAGGTAGATCTGGATGGACAAAAGTATGCATTGAAGCTTTTCCATGACAATGGCGACCCTGGGTATACCCAAAAAGGTCGTGATTTGAACCGGTTTCGCTGCGAACTCGATGCATATAAGAAGCTCCTCACCTCTGCTGTCTGTGCACGCAGTTTCGTACCAAAATTCTACGGCTACATAAATCGAATGGATCCCGCAGCATTCCATCCAGCTTTCCAACATTTCGCCCAAGACCAGCTCAAGCCGAGAGCAATATTACTAGAATACCTCCCAGATGCGGAGAGTTTAAACCGCGTGAACTACTCGGATGCGCTCTATCCCCAGGCAATTGAGGGCATGAAGGAGATACACAGGGCGGGCGTTCACCATCAAGACATTTACCCCAGAAACCTTCTCCTTGTTCGTGGAAACCCCGATAGGCTGGTCTGGATTGACTTTGATGTTGCAACGACCTTCACCGACTTTGGACCTGAACAGCTGGCCCGCTGTGACTACGAAATTGCGCTTGTGAAGGGATTTGGGGAAGCTCTAATAAGGGCTCCGCTGCTCCCTATGTTGGAAGCATTTAGCATGCTGACTGACGAATACAGAGAGATGACCAGGCTGAGGGACTCCCACCGAATACAAAATTTTATTAAGGGTTTCAAAGGCTTGTAAATATCCTGACAATGTTTGATCGCGTTCATGCGTTCTTGTAACAGAGATGAGTTGGGCGGAGTTGAGTAAGGACTGTTTTATTTCATTTTACTTCGTCTTACTCCGTCTTACATTTTATTTCATTCTTAAAATCACGGGGTTACATAACACTTGTTTCATCTAGTCCTAATGACGCCTTCCCAGCATTGGCGTGTATTTGGCGTGCCAAGGCCTCGGGAGGCCCGCATTGAAGTAATATCGACGATCGGAGCGGAGTCTGGACGTCCTCGGTTTGGTGGCAAATCAGCTTTTCACGAAAAGTCCCCGGATGCCTGACCGCCCATCTATAATATCACACATTCCCGATTTTCACTGCCCCCTATAACACTGCAAAACCCTCCAGTCAAATGCTTTCTCTCTAGCACGCGCTCGTGCTGAGCAATAACACCGGCTCTCTTGCGTGAGTCTCTGCTGCGTGTTGCCGATTCCTACGAGGCCCAAGACCCTCTCAGCCCAATTGACCCCGGATTTTCTCGCCTGATTCGCCCGGAACCTCCTTATCCTCCTCCAGCTTTCAGCATTCAGGAACATAGCTGTCTCCTGGGTCCCGCCGCTAGCTGCAAGCTTATCACGCTCCACACAGCCCTTCCCGAAACTTTCCAAACCGGGGATACGAGTTCTCACCGCAACGATAACAAAGACGCCCATTATTTGGCGCCATTGGACATATTCGACCAGTTATTACCTCGGACCAAGGCCCGTGCCTGCGGCGCTTTCCTTTTCGGCTTCTTCCTGTCAAGAGTGCTTCTTCCCCTGGACCTTCACCGAGCTTCTTGGAAAGCCGAAGGATTCCTACCCACTTTCATCTCAAGCTCGATTTTCAACCCATTGATCTTCTCATTTGTCACCATGGACGTCGATTTATAGCTTCGCCTTGTCCCTTGGCATATTTACGTTCTTCAGCGTTGTTTTTATACCCCCGTTCGGCTTTTTTGATACTCTTTTCGCCTCGTGGTCTTATCATACGACCTCCCTCACGTGTCTATTGCGAATAACCATATCGCCACAACCGACCATGGCCCCCAACCTCTTCCTCTGCCTGCGTACCGTCTGCTGTCCCGCCTACTGGTTCCAGCACGGTGATCGCGTCAACAGCGAAGTCAACCGAGAACAACACTGGGAATCCCCCGTTCCGGGAACTTACAAGTTCTTGCCAGGTCGTGGCTGGCACCTCATTCGCCGTGATGGATGTGAGCACGACGAAAAGGTTCCTGCTGCTCTCGTCTACTGCCGCATCCTCCATCGCTACATGTTCGAGTCCGAACTCGAAGAGCGATGCCGCTGGTTCTCGGCTCCGCTGCATAAGGGCACCCAGCCCGAACAGCTGCGCTTCTTCCTTCTCGACAACGGCATCCATTGGGTCGCCGGATGGGATACCAAGGGCCGTTTCATCCCTGGCCCCTACCCCAAATGGTACCTGGATGAGGATGGCGAGACTATACGCCGCGGCTCCTCGCCTCCCACCAGTGCAAATGTCTCCCAATGCAACAGTATCATCGCGGGTAAGTTTGATTGAATGATAGTACGCACTGTCAGCACTTTTCTGCAAGTTCGGAACCGTTTAGCGTGTTTATTGGCTATCAAAAGTATTTTCGGATTTTTCATGATGAATGGGCTATTTCGGGTTCTCATTGCTTTGTTGCCCTTGGTTCAGTCATAGAGCTAGACTAGACTTTATTTTCAGGCACCTGGTGATTGGCGACGGCGCTCGGTTACATGTGTCAGGTCACACTGCCTTCTCAAGAGTGACAATTTTAGACAATTTCGGACCTCTATTGAGGAAATAAAATAATCCATACAATGGTGTCACTGTAATGCCAACAATCTGATCTCTGTAGTTATTGGAATCTACCTAAGGTGCGTATGGATGGAACAATGAATAAGGTAGGTAGCGTCGCATAAACAGAGTTGTCATGTGACTCTATACAGACCTTGGGTCGCCAAACTCGTAATTTGCCAAACCGTTCAAACCCTATTGACGTTCAGTGCTGCCTTCATGCTGAATATTACAATACACATTGATGCCCTTTCAACAATAGAATCGATCAGATGCTGTACTCATTGGCGTCCCCAGCTTGAGCTCAGATAAATATAAAAGCCCCCTCCCATCTCTCTCATCCTTCTTTCTCTTCTCTCTTCCTTCCTTCCTCAGCTTCCTTCATTCTTTCCTTTTAAGCTTCCTGAAAAATGGAAGCCACTGAGGACTTTTCTGGGGGTGCTGGGATTCCCCAGTGCCGGTTGAAGCTGGTCTTCAACAAGGAGAAGAAGCCTGCGGCATCGTCCACCCCGGAGGTGGTGCCCGCTCAACCCGTCGCTGCGGTTGGTCAAGACTACAAACAATTCAAAAGTCCACCATTTGCTAACTTCTTCCAGGCGGCTCGGATCAGCCGGACTGGTCGAGTCATCAAAGCCCCGACGGCTTTCACACCGGCGCCCGCTGCTGCTGGCAGCGGCGGAAAACGCCGAAGTGGTGGTAGGAAAACCACCAGCGTCAATTGCGCGGAGTGCGGACGTGGGCACAGCCCCAGCAACAATCCGATCGTCTTCTGCGACGGGTGCGAGTCCGCGTGGCACAAGCATTGCCACGACCCGCAAATTCCAGAGGCCGCCATCGTGAATCTGGAAACCGTATGGAAGTGCAGCAACTGCGAGCCTTCCCAGCGCCGCTCGGCAGTCAAGGCCAAGCCAGTCAAGACGAAGCCGGCCAAGGCGAAGAAGCCTGCTTCCAAGGCCGTTCCTGCTCCCACGGTTGCTCCCAAGCTGGAGCCCGAGCTGCGGCCCGCGGCATCGATCGAGGTTGCTGGCGACCCGTTCACGGACTACGAGAAGCGCGCCTGGCTCTCCACCCTGGCTCATTCCACGCTTGTCGATATGCTTGTCGACATTTCCACCAAGAATCCGTTCGTGCCAATCTTCCCTGCCAACATGAAAGAGTTGCCCGCCTCGCAATTCACTGTTCCTCCGGTCCAGGCATCGAGTGCTGAATTTGCATCTCCTTCAAGGAAGCGCACATACGACGAATTTGCCTATGCCAACAAATCGTGTGGACCTGATTCCCCAGGGCCCAAGAGAGCTCGCACCAAGTCGGCTCCGGCCGCTCCTGTCGCGACTCTCTTCACGGGCAAGCCCAGTCGCCATTGGTCCATCGATGATCCCATCGATGATGGTTATTTCTTTGCGCCTTTGAGCAACGGGCATGTCATGCGAGTCCCCCACACTTCGCTCACGCCTGCCCTGTCCCCGGACGCTCCGAGCCCCTTCGAAACCGAGCCATTGACCGACAGCGAAGGGGATGATATCCCCTTCGACGATCACCGGGTCTACCCTAAGCCTGGAAACGGATTCATCCTTCCTTCTAATCCCATGGATCTTGACATCCTCCTGGAGGACCCCGAATCGAAGACCTTCAGCCACGACCTGCACAGCGCGGTCAAAGCTGCCACGAAGACAGTTGCTGGGAGATAGGGGTGTTCTCAGGAGAAAAGACGACTTCCGTCTTGTCTTTACTCATGTATTTCTAGATGTGTTCGCACATTTCTTTTCTGTTGTCTTCTGACATGTCTTCTTTGATGGCTTATGGCATGTCTTCTAACGTCTTTTTACCTGTCTTTTTCTAATACATTTATACATGTTACGTCGTTGCTTCCCGGAATGGGGCAAGGGAAACAACATGATATGATTTCACGATCAATGATACTACCTGAATTGTGTTTTTGTTCCTTGTCCATAGCTCGAGACTCGAGACTCACATGTTAGAGGTCAACCTCGTATCTCTTATCGGCCCCACGCTGACGCCCGCGCATTTCCCCCGAACATCTCCAAACGAACCACGAGATCCAATTCTAGTCCCCAGCTCTGCGCCAGTGTCTACAACTCCATAAGCCGACAATGCACTAAACTCATTGCGCAACAAATTTACCGCGCACAGGGAATTATATCCCAGCATCACACGCGCTCTAAAAATAGTACCATCACATCTGTCACCACCACCATCATCACAACATCAACCCAGACTCTGCCATGATCAAATGACCTTGCAAACATGTCCACACCACGCAAAATAACAACAAAGAGCATCCTCCCCCCACCAGCCCGCTCAAACCCCTGGACCAATCACCTAACCCTCGACACCCTTCTTCGCGTCCTGCGAAACACCCTATTCAACCCATTCCTCGCCTGGGTCCTAGTCCTCTGCCTCCGCGCCCAAGTCACACCATCCAGCTCCCCGGCCTGGATCCTAACCGTCAGCTATGCATCTGCGCTAAGCGTGCTATTCGTCGCGCGGGGGGTGAACCACCGCGTCGCGCACGGCATCCCGCGTACCGTCGACTCGGCGCGGGAGGTTGTGCTCGTTACCGGGGGCGCGAGTGGGTTAGGCTTATTGATCGCGCAGATTTATGGGATGAAAGGGGCTAGTGTTGCGGTTCTTGATATTCGGGATCTTGGGGAGAATGAGGTTGTCGAGATTTTTGGAGAGGGTGTTGGGTATTGGAGATGTGATGTTGGGGAGAGGGAAGCCTTGGAACGTGTAAAGAAGAAGATTGAGATGGAGGTATGTTGCTTTACTCCCTTGGTCTGATTACGATATCTACGTGGTTTTTATTGGATGGTGTTAAGCAGGACGTTGGTTGGGATTTTTTTGCTAATGCATGCATGCTACAGCTCGGAACTCCGACTATCGTTATCAATTGTGCGGCGGCGAGAATCAATGGTGGGTCATTGCTGGAATTGCAAGCGGATGCCTTTGAAAAGACTGTGCGCACCAATCTCCTCGCTGCTTTTCATCTCTACCAGGTCTTTTTGCCGGGTATTGTTGAAGCGGAGAATGGGGGCACCATCGTCACTGTCAGCTCAGTTCTGGGCCAGTTGTCTCCGGCAGGATTGTCAGATTACTCTGCGAGTAAGGCGGGTCTGAGTGCGCTGCACCGAACAATCGAAGCCGAGTTCCGTGGCAACGATCAGATCAAGACGTTGCTGGTGGAGGTAGGACAGATGGCCACACCGCTGTTCGAATGGGTCCGCACACCGAACCATTTCTTTGCGCCAGTGCTCGAGCCAGTTGAGGTCGCCCGTGAGATCGTTACCGCGGTGGATAGTGGCCAGGGTGGTGTGCTCAGATTGCCGTCATTCGCGAAACTCGTCAATTTTTATGCTGTGTTGCCTGGTGCCGTGCAGCGCGTGGCGAGATTCGTAAGTGGTGTTGACCGTGCAGTTTCTTCTGGTCTCCGTGAACGCGATGCTACTGATAGCAACCGTCGAGTACTCAGGAGCGCAAAGAGACGGACTGATTGAAAAGTTGCATGTGGACTTGGCTCGACAAAGTATAGTTGCGAGCAAATCCATCCATCCCTGTATATAAGGTCGCTTCCTTTAAACAATCCATTCAATAACTCCGATTCGCCAGTCGCAATGCAGTAATCCAAATCATCTGGGATATCGTCGAGGTTTGTATGGACAGGGTTATTGCTCGCGAGCCAGAATCATCTTCTCGCGCTCGTTCTGTCTCGACTTTAAGTCCTCCTTCTTGGTGTGCTTGCGCACATTCTCCTCGCGCCTCTTGATGGCATTAAGCTCCTCACGCTTAATCTCGCCAGCCTTCTTAATAGGCTTAGGCAGGTGACGCTGGCGCTTGATGCGGCGGATTTCGGGCATGTGCGAGTAACGCTTGATGAGGGCCTGGTCGTACTCTAGCTTGCTGCGCTGGCGGGCGCTCTTGACTCCGCTCCGATCCGAGGCCTTGGCACGCCACAGGCGGACGTTACCATCGTCCGAGCCGGACAGAACGTACTTGTTATCGGGCGTAAACTTGGCAGAGAAGACACGCTGCATGCGCTTGGTGTGGTAAATGTCGCGCGAGTGACCGCGGGCTCGGTCCCAGAGACGGATCGTCCGGTCGTAAGACGCAGTGACCAGCTCTTCACCAGTAGGGCTGAATTCGATATCCATGACGGCGGCGACGTGGTCCTTGAGCACGTTCAAAGCACGGTCTGTCTTTCTCATGTCGAAGATGTAGGCGTTGTGGTCCTCGTTGGCCACGGCAAAGTTGAAGGCTTCCATTGGGTTCCACGCAATGGCGTTGGATGCCAGCTTTAAAGTCATCTTGTGCACCGGCGATGAAGTCCGCAGGTCATACAGGATGACCGAACGGTCAATGGCGGTCGAGCCAAGGATGGAAGTCTCGGTCTGGTTGAAGGCAACGGACGTAATGGTATCGACACTAGTCGGCCAGTGCAGAGTCTGCGAAGGAGAGGAAGAAGGCCGCGAAAGATCATAGATAGAAATGACCGACGAGGAGGCAGCAAACGAAGGAGATGTGCGATGGTGTGTGACACCCGTAAAGGCACTTGAGCCCAGATAACTCGTTATCGGTGGCGCCTCGGACGTCGTGTTGTATGGGTCCCACAGTTTGATGGTCTTGTCACTTGCGCATGACAGCAGCTTCCGCTCGGGAGTCCAGCACACTCCCTTAATCATGTTCTCATGTGCCTGAGTATTCCAAATCTCCTCGCGAGTTGTCAAGTCCCACACCTTCACCACGCCGTCACCACTGCCACTTGCAAAGCGTTCGAGTGAGCCGGGGTCTTTTGCCATACTGTAGACACCGTCGACATGACCGTCGCCCATTTGGCCCAAGAAAGGAGCGGCGAACATGCGCTCCATCTTGATAGCATTCAGAGCTCGAGTATATTCACGAGCCCGCTCAAAAGGATGCTGGGACGGGTCGAGATTCCGCTGCTGGCGGACGACCGAAGTCCCCGGGGCCTGCTGCGACGCAGTAGAGCGAGAAAGAGCTTTGATTTTCTGTAATATATTAACATCGTTGCCCGACCGACCAAAAATCAAAGCGAAACTCACCATTTTGCGCTGTTGGATCAAACGTCAAAAAGAAAGAAAGCGGAGTGAACTTTTTTTTCTGTTGACGGGATGATTTGCTAAGCGGGCGGTGAACGCGGCAGCTGGCAGCTTCAAGCTCCCCGACTCAGCACTCGGCCTGTCAACCTACCTTCCATCAACCACCGTTTACGTCGTTTCATTGTCCCCTTTCCTTTTATTTTCCTTCTTGCAAGCCATAAATCGCCACTCGTCCTTCACCATGGCTCCTTCCCTCCAGGTGTCGCCGCGGATACAGAAGGCCCGCGACTTGGAGAAGAAGGACCCTTCGACAGCCGCGAGCAGTTACCAGAAGATCCTCTCCGAGGGTCCAGGATCGACAGAGGCTTCATCGCGAGATTATGAGCATGCATTGATCGGATTGGGTCAGGTGTACCGGGATGCCAAGAAGCCGCAGGAGATTGCAGACCTCATCAAGACCAGCCGAGACACCTTTTCGTCATTTGCCAAAGCGAAAACCGCCAAGCTGGGTAAGCAGTCATCATTTAGTTTATGGCAGCTCCGTGCTAACATTGTGTTCTAGTCCGCCAGCTTCTGGACCTCATCAGTGAAATCCCCAATACCCTCGACCTCCAAGCCGCCGTGATCCAATCATGCATAGAATGGGCCATCGCGGAGCGCCGGTCGTTCCTCCGACAGAACCTCCAAGCGCGTTTGGTCGCTATCCATATGCAAAAGCAAGCCTACTATGACGCCCTCACTCTCATCAACTCCCTTCTCCGCGAGTTGAAGCGCCTGGATGACAAGCTCATGTTGGTCGAGGTGCAGTTGCTGGAGTCTCGCGTGTATCACGCTCTTGGCAACCAGTCCAAGGCACGCGCTGCTCTGACAGCGGCACGGACGTCTGCTGCATCTGTCTACACTCCGCCGAATTTGCAGGCCGGCCTGGACATGCAGAGTGGAATGTTGCACGCCGAGGACAAGGACTTCAACACCGCTTTCTCTTACTTTATCGAGGCACTGGAGGGATATAACTCGCTCGATGAGGGCGAGCTGGCTACGGCCGCTCTGCAGTACATGCTGTTGTGCAAGATTATGCTGAACCTGGTTGATGATGTCACCCAATTGCTGGGCTCCAAGCAGGCCCAGAAGTACGCCAGCTCGCGCTTGGAAGCCATGAAATCTGTTGCTCGGGCTCACGCCAACCGTTCTCTGGAAGAGTATGAGAAGGCTCTCTCCGACTATCGGTACGAACTCGGCAGTGACACCTTCATCCGTAATCACCTTCGCCGCCTGTACGACGCCATGCTGGAGCAGAACTTGATCAAGGTCATTGAGCCTTTCAGCCGGGTGGAGTTGGATCACATTGCCAAGATGGTCGGGCTGGACGTCCAGCAAGTGGAGCGGAAGCTTTCCCAGATGATCTTGGACAAGGTGATCATCGGTGTGCTGGACCAAGGCTCCGGCTGTCTGATTGTGTTTGACGAGACGGAACGTGACCAAGCATATGATGCTGCTCTGGATACGATCGAGAAGCTGAGCAACGTGGTGGAAGGACTGTATACTAACCAGGCATCGCTCCTGGAGTAGAGAAAATGAGTTCAACGCAATGCTATTATGTCGGTTCATAGGGAAATAATTGCGACTATGCCCTGCGATTACTGCATACACGTTTTTTGTTCCTCTATAATCTCCCTAAAGTGGGTGGTCTTTGATTGTGGTTGTACTGTGTAGTGTAGTTGTCTTTGGGGTGGTCGCGATATTCCAAATCGGGTAAAGCGCGGCGGCAGAAGAATCGCGACCTCTCGCCCTCGCCCAACCTCATCCTCCACCCAAATCCCGACTGGAGCCACTGCTTTCTGGATCGGCAATGAACGCTCCCATGCAGCCTAATTATGCCCGGGGGTTCCCCCCGACCGCCCAGCGGTCTCCAGCCGCGCCCCGTCGGCCGCCAGGACCAGGTTTGTCCCCTTTTTTATCCTGCCCGTCCATGCTCATCTAACTCCACTAGGAGGCGCGATGCCCGTCCCCATGCCCCAACAAGCTGTCCACGCCCCATACATGCCCGCGCAGCGCGGCATCGCCAATCCCAATGATGCTGCTCTCCGTCGCAGCCGCAAGCCGACTGACAAGAACATCCCCGACGGAATTGAGGACGTGGTCATTGGCGAGGGTGTCGAGCAGTACAAAAGCCTTCGCGACCTGGAGAAGCGATTGGATGCCGCCATTGTGCGCAAGCGACTTGACATTCAAGACTCGATTAGCAAGACCGTGAAGAAATACCGTACTATGCGCATTTGGATCACCAACACCGTCGAAAACCAGCCGTGGCAGGGCACCGGCAACAACCCGGGCTCTGGACGGTATAATGTGCGCATCGAGGGCCGGTTACTTGATGATCCTAGCGACCCTACTGTTCCAGAAGATGAGGAGGAAGGTGGCGAGGGCGATGCAGCTGGTGATGATGCGATGGATCAGGACAAAGACGGCGGCGACGCGAAGAAGTCAGACTCTAAGAAGCAGTCCCAGCGCTTTTCGCACTTCTTCAAAAACATCACCATCGATTTTGACAAACCAGTCAATGCTATCCCGGACGAGGTGAAGCCGGTCAACTGGTCCAAACCACAGCTGCCGCCCAACGCGACTGCCTCGCCTCCAAGTGCAGAATTCGATAGCCTCCAGTTTTCGCGCGCATCACAGGAGAATCTGAATGTTACCATCGGCTTGGTACGGGATGAAACTCCGGAGCGGTACAAGTTGAGCAAGGAGCTGGCCGAGGTATTGGATGTTGAGGAGGAAACCCGGAGCGGAATCGTGCTTGGAATATGGGACTACATCCGTGCTATGGAGCTGCAAGAAGATGAGGAGAAACGACAAGTGCGCTGTGACCACCGCCTGCGCTCGATCTTTGGTCGCGAGCAGATGTTCTTCCCGCAAATCCCGGAGATGATCGGACCTCATACCAGCCCTATGGAACCCATCAAGCTTCCTTATACTATTCGCGTCGACGAGGAGTTCCACAATGACCCAACCCCAACCATCTACGACATCCAGGTCGCAGTCGAAGACCCCCTGCGCCAGAAGATGATGGCTCTCACTCAGAACCCGCAGTACACCGCTGGCCTGCGCCAGATCGCGTCTCTGGATGACCAGGTCGCACTCATCGTCCAGGCTCTCACCCACTCCCGTGCCCGCCACTCCTTCTACACTGCTTTGAGCAAGGACCCTGCAACTTTCTTGAACCGCTGGGTCAACTCGCAACGCCGCGACCTCGAGACTATTCTCGGCGACGCGTCATTTGCCGGTGGTGGCGATGGCAACGGCCCTGAGTTCCGTCGTGGAGGCGCAAACAGCGCATGGGATACTCCTGTCGCCAGGGAGGCAGTGCGATATTTGTTGGCCAAGCCCGAAGCTTCTGGGGCTCGGTAGATTGGATATTATCTCGGTTTTCTGTGTACTTTGACTTTTTCGATCGGGGCGCTTATGCGGTGTTTGGTCTGGTGTAGCTAGGATTTGTATGGTAGGGCTAATCCATTTCAAAATCTTCATGAGATTATTTTTTTTAACTCATTTCCTTTTCTTTCTCAGTATCTTCGAACAATGAATCTAAGGAAATTATCGTACTGTGTCTCCAACTTGTCCCAGGTCCTGTCCAAAATCTAACATACCACACGAAAGATCCAGATTCCTCATCTGCTCAATGGCTGACAACAGTCTCCTTAACCACCACTTCGAATCTCTTAAACCTTGCATGGCTTTCCCATGAGAGGTTTGACTGCGCTACGTTTAAAACTTGCCTCTTTACAGTTCAATTCAACCCAATTCCTCGTGCTCCTTCCTCCCCTCATCATTTGTAGCCTCATTGCTTGTACAGTCCCTTCCAATTCCATACCTAGCACAGTTCATATTATGCACAACATATTCTTTGTTTGAGGAACTTTTTCGGACGGAGGAGAAACAGTTCTGGGCTATTTCCCGCAGCAGGTTTGCTACTATGAGTCCGAAAATATTAAAGCTATTGCTATGGAATACTGGACTTGTGTGTTTCACGGAACTTGTCACAATTAAACTTCCCCAGTTAGAAGCGTAGTCCGCCGAGTGCGGGGCGAGTCGAAACGCCAATCAAAATGACGCAACCATGGATTAATCCACGATACTAAATAGCAAAACATATGCAGACGAATATACAAAGTGCAACACCAAGTCCCTTAAGTGTACGGGTCAACGCTAGTCAGCACCACATCCTCCAGAGGATATAAAACCATCCATGCAACGGATCATTCCAAGCCAAAGCCAAAAGAACCGCCAACAGTCTACCAAAACCATAGATCTATCAAAGAGTTCAGGTCTGGGATTTGAGATCAAGACCCAGGTAAAGGAACCTTAGCAACCAGTTCAGCCCGGCGCTTGCGCAAGTCTTCCCCGAGAGCTCCCACGTCAATGCCTGAAGCGATCTGTTCGGGTGAAAGGCATAGTTCACCCCGGCGAAGGGCGCTCTCTTCCTCCTCTAGTTTAGCTGCGGCTTCGAGGATGACTTTCTGTGCAAAGTCCTCGAATTTCTCGGGGTTCTTGTCATCCTTCTTCTGGGGAGTGCGGAACCGCTTAAGAACAGTCTCTATCATCTTGGAGAACCAGAAGTAGTTCAAAAAGTTGAGGATCAGGTTCGATACGACATACGTCAGCACCAGCCAGGTTGGTACACCACCGGCAGTGTAGTCCTTGAAGCGGGAGACTTCGGCATTGGCGCGTGCGCAGGTCTCGTCAACGCACATGCCGCCGTCCCGGGTGGGGTAGAAGACGTGCGCGTTGACGTTGGCGGGTGCCTGGAGAGGCGATGTCTGGGCGGACCAGGTCTGTTGCAGTGCCTTCCACATGTCTGTGTAGACGATGATCGATTGACAGGTGCCCCAGACAAGACGGCAGCAGAAGAACATGGCCAGCAGAGCCATACCGTTGTACCACTGGGCACGGCTACCGGTCATGTTGACTTTGTCAAGGAACCAGTGGATATTGAGGAATGGGCTGGAAAGCTCGTAGAGAATGAACGTCGGAGCGTAGTAGTTAAGGAAAGGTCTCTGGGAGGTTTCCAAGGTATGTTAGATCTGAACTGTAGGGCTGAAGATCGACAAGAGGTCAAACTTACAAAGCCGAGGCTGAATACCCAGAGCGCACTGATCGCATGAAAGAGCATCCCAATACCGAACAGCTTGATATACACGGCGCTGACGATCAGGTCATAGACGAAATACCCGACAGCCAGAGCCTGGATCAAGCCACAGGCACCAGTGTAACCGAAAACACGCTCTGCAGACGACATGGACGACCGCTCCTCATCGACATACATCACCCACAGCGCTGCAGCGTTAATAAGAACGCTCTGCACCAGCGAGACCACATGGATATCCCAGTTCACCTTGGTGCGAGCGCTCAACTTGGGATAGGACTGCGGAGCGAGGATCGGTGAGAGCCAAGGCGAGAGGAACGAATGGATGAACTGGTAGAAGGCAAAGGCAAGAACGACCTCATGGGCATGCTCAGACAGCGTGGGGCTGCTCAGCTTGAGGGCGAAGGGCTCGACCAAGTCCCGCAGCCAGGCTGGAGGGGATCCGAGGGGGTCCAACATGGTTGGAATACCCTCGACAGCTTATCACCCGATGCGGGGAGCTCGGGGTCGGCCGGTGTTCAGGAAAGTGAATTCTAGGAGATGCAGGGGATGAGACACCTCGGGTCTACCATCAATTTGGCGAGCACAGAGACCTCCTATTATTGTTTTTAACAAAGAGTCCCCCATGCGCAAGAAGAAGGAAAGGAAAGCGAAGTCCTAACTCCGGGCACGCGGCCTCGGCAGTGCCTCAGGCAGTCACAATCCGTTGGGACGTCACCTGACCTTCCTATCTTGGCAGCTGACCATGAGGTATGACGAGAAGTATACAAATGACTACGAGGAATGGACGGGTTGTCATGAACGGAGAAGTTTGTTAATAACAGAAAGTAATTCATACAGGCCCATAAGAAGACGTAAAAGAATAGTGGTATATGAAAGGAAACACGTCAAAACCCAACGCCGTAACAAAAGTCACCAGAGGAAGACTCAAGAATTAGACTGCCATTTCTGAGCCCAACCCACTGTCAGCAGGTGGCTCCAGCAGTTTTACAACTTCCACTTCCATAGCAGAGGCGGTCACTGAGATCTCCTGGTCGATGGCGTCCTGCACCTCATGCTCATCCTTCACAATCGATTTTCGGTGACCGTGGTCATCGTCATCCTCTGCTTGCTCATCCTCGTCATCATCCTCACGGGCAGTGTGCGCATCCTCTGACTCCGACTCGGCATCGGTCTCATCCATGTGGCTATCGCCAGCGATAGAGCTTCCTTGTCCAGTAGTGGTTGTCACGCAGCTGGTGCGGCGATCGTCCGAGACAACGCTCTCAGTAGAACCAGTCACGACACTGTCGGTGTACGTCCCAGCATAGCTGGACTTGCGCTCAGTGCCAGCGTAACTTGTCTTCCGGTCCGACGGGGCATAGCTTGTTCTTCGCTCGGTGCCCGCATCGCTCCCGAGGTCGCTATCATGTTCGTCCTCCTCGCGGAATGCTTCATTCTCCTTATTGGCAACGGAGCTATGACCAGCCCATGAGGATTTGCGGAGCGGGAAGCTTGATTTGACGGAGTGGCTGCGCTTCAGGTTCGTGATGCCACTGTTGGCGCTCACCTGACGGTCCGCACCTCGGTTACCTGTGACATGGCTCAAGCTGAGAATACGACGCTCTTTGCCAATATTGGGCTGGACGGCAACTACTCCGGCTTGCAGGTTGTTCGGCACGCGGCGCTTCAGCGCCATGCCGACGCCATTGCCGAGAATACTGCGAGGATCCTTGTCGTCTTTCGCGGTCCTTGCGGTAGCACTGCTCATAGCACTGGGGCTGCGAGCACCGGTACGAGATGAACGCGCGCTCCGGTTCCTCTTCAGGTTCATGGAATGCAAGCTGCCGGATCGGCTGAGAAGCACAGTGCGAGCATGGTCGAGGACACCTTCCAAGATCCGCTTCTCTAGGCCGTCAGCGCGGTCCTCCATCTGCTGCATCTCCTCGTGTCGGATCTCAAGAGCAGTCTCGAGGCCTGAAAGATCCTTGCTTAGCTTCTGGTTCTGCTTGGTAAGATCTTCCTTCTCGGTCTTGAGAGCCTGAAGCATCTTTAGCAGAGACTCCTTCTCCTCGTGCAAGCCAACGAGCTCAGCTTCCACCTGCTCGCGCTGGCCGATTCGGCGCTCAAGGGCAATGGCAGCTTCCTCAGCCTCGCGACGCTTTCGTTCAGTGTCCTCGGCAACGAGTGCGGACTGGGCGGCGAACATCTCGTTCATCTTACGAGTGTTCTCCAGGATGTCTTTGTGCATCTCATCTAGCTTCATCATCTGAGTGACGGAGTGCTCATGGTCCACTGCATTTGCTGGATGGCTGAGCAGAGCATCAAGCTTTTCATGAATGGAACCATCACCGTTGCTGGCACGCTCGAGGAGCTGATCTAACTTCTCATAGATCCGATCATTCAGGCCAGAGCCTTGGTCCAAGGCCCGGTCGAGCTTGTCATGGAGTTGATCGTTCTTGGAATGTTCAAGCAAAGTGTTGAGAACTTCATGGACTTGGCTGTTCTTGGCGTGCTCCAGGATGTCGTTTAACTTGTTGTGCACAGGGTCATCCTCAATCTCTCGCGAGGATTCCGGAGGCGGGAGGGTAAGTAGCTCCTCCGCGGATTTCTGGGACTGATCATAGTGCTGGCTGACGACAGTCAGGATCTGCTGAACAGTCTCCAGAATTTGAGGGTTGAATTCAAGCAGCTTGCTCTCCACACGCTCGGTGGCAGCAACGGCTCTCTCGTTACTGTCCCGAGACTGCTCCTGTTGAGACTTGACTTCATTTTGCATCTCCTCCATGCGGTTGTAGGACTCGTCAACCTTCTCGAAGAGGGTCTTCGTGTCCACGGCCATGCGCTCGCAGCTGTCATTGACACTGCTGCCCATGTCACCAATCACAAGCTTGATCTCTTCGGCAAGGGCCTTGGTGCTGGTCACGGCCTCAGTGTGAGCCATATCACGATCCTCGGCCTCTGAAAACTTGGAGTGGATCGAAGTATGAGCTTCTTCGTACTTCGACATAACCTCTCCGATCTTCTCGTCAATCTTGGCACCGAGTTCCACGATGATAGCCGCCCGGGTCTCATCGTGCTTGACCATAGCAGCGGCATCCCGCTCCTCCTTGTCCAGCTTGGTCGCATCTTCCTCGCCGTGAGCACGCTCAAACTCCCGATTGATGAGTTCGGTCAGCTCTTTGATACTTTCCACGGTAGAGAAGTTCTCGGCGGTGATGACCAGGCCCTCGAGAAGGTGCTTAAGCTCCGTGAGACCTTCAGTACTGCCATCAAGCTTGCTCTTGAGCTCATCACCCAGCTCGCTGACAACGAACTTGGCCTCTTCGATCTTCTCAGCGAGACCGGCGTGCTCGGTCTTGCGGGCCTCAAACCCTTGTGCAGTCATGTCGTTATTTGTTTCCATCTTCTCCCGGAAGTCGGTGACGAGCGAAGAGAGCTCCTGGATCTCATCTTTAGTCGGGAGCGTCTCCACATCAGGGAGTTTCAGCTCATCAACCTGAGACTTGACCTCAAAGATCATAGCCTCGACAGTCTGAAGGTCTGACTTGAGCAGCTTGTCAGAGTTCTCCCCTTCCTCTGCCTCGTCTTCCTTGGTCTTACCCTTCAACTCATCTAGGGCAATCCAAACATCCTTGATAAGAGCCTCCAGAGCACCGACTTCGGATTTGGTAGGAGCCTCGGCTTCCAGACGGGTAGACAGGTCGGCGATGGTATCCTTGGCGTCTTTTATCATGGCCTCAAGGTTACCAATATGGTCGGAAGTGGCGATCTGGTCCGGAGCAGGGAAGACCATTTCATCGAGCTGAGTCTTAGTGCCCATAAGAAGCTCCTGAATGGCGTCGGTATCTTCTTTGCGAGCAGCACTCTTATGAAGGTCATGGCTGGCACCCATCTCGCCCATGGCGATCTGAACTTCCTGAATAGCAACAAGGACCTCATCCAGGTGGCCCTTGTTCAATGCATCTTCATGGAGCTCAGCCGAGCGAGGGGTAGAATTTATGGCCTCGACCTTATCCTGAAGCTCGGTGATCAAAGTCTTCAAGCTCTCGATATTACTCCCAAGCTCAGAATCTTCAGCAAGCGTGAGCTCACCACCGCGAGTTGTGCTCTCGTCGTCCATCTCCTTGCTCTTTTGCGACTCGCGGAGAGCATCGATATCGACTCTGAGCTCAGCCAGGCCATCCTTCAAGACATCGAGGATCTCCGAGCTGTCGAATTCAGCTGGCTTCTCGATGACCTTCTTAATGTCGTCGCGGATAGAGTCAATGCCCTCGTTGAAGGCATCGAGTAGCTCGCTAGTGGCGGAAAACATGCTCTCGTTTCCATCCTTCGCTCGAATTTCTTCATGGAGGTTGTCGAAGTGCTCACGAAGGGCAGCAAGGATGTCCTCCTTCTCAGAGGGGGGCTCAGAGCGAACGAGACTCATCTCCATTCGCTCCCGCATGTTTTCAAACTCCTGCTTCAGGGTGTTGAGAACTTCAATGTCGCCACCCTTGGCCGTTGACTGCTCGTTTATTTCTCTGATGGCATCGAGGATTTCGTCCTTGTCGCCGGCACTATCGCGAACGAGAAGTGTACTGATGGTGCCACGAAGGTGCTCGAACTCTTTTTCCATGGCGTCCAGAAGCTCGGCAGTATCAGGGCCAGCCCGTGCGACGTTTGACAGAGAAGCGTCATTGATGGTCTTCTCCATATCTGCTTGGAGTAGGCGGAATCCTTCCTTGACAGTATCGATAATCTCGAGCTTGTCCGATCCATCGTGAACTCCTCCCACATAGGTCTCAATTTCCTTCCGCACAACATCAAGGCCATCCCGGACTGCATCCAGGACTTGTTCTGTGTCTTTGCCATTGGCAGCGGAGTACTGTTTGAATTCCTCCTTCATGTCATCGACAACATCCTGGAGTCGGCGCAGCACCTCATCACCAACGCTGAAATTTCCAGCGTTGGTCGCTTCCTGGAGACCAGCACTAATGGCTTCCATGAGATCGTCTTTGTTCAATTCAATCTCGCGAGTCATTGTGTTAGAGCTTTCGATGCCATCAACAACTGCATTGAAAAGTTCGTCCCGGGTGATGGACGGCTGCTGGACATTCGTGCTCAGGGCGGAATTTTCAGCTTCACGCGATTTCTCCAGGGCTTCAGAAACAGCACCCAAAATCTCGTCACGAGAGAGTGATGACGATTCTTGAGGCTTGTTTGCAATTTCAATGCCATCTGCAATAGCCGCCATTATCTCCTCGCGAGTGATGGTCGGCTGTGCAACGCTGGTGCTGAGAGCTGACTGCTGAGCATCAAATGCGTCGTTAATAGCGTTGACAACATCTGATCTAGAGATGCGTGGTTCCTCCATTTCCTTTGCCGTGGTGAAGTGTGCCTCGAGGCCATCAGAGACTGCGCTGAGAATGTCATCGCGGCCAATGCCGGAATCGAAAGAATCCTTGCTGATCATGCTCTGCATGGCCATAGATCCGGTCAAGGCGTTCAGAATCTCGTCACGAATGTCGTTCATATGGGTTCGATGCTCCTCGTCCATAGATTTCGTGGCAGGAGGGTTGGTCATGGCTTCCGCAAGAGCATGGAGAATATCATCTCGAACCGAGTTGAGATGATGAATGTGTTCCTCATCCAGACCACGAGAATTCGATTTCTCCTGAGATTCCGTCAGGGCACCCATAATCTCGTCCCGGATCGAGTAGAGAAGGTTGACATGTTCTTCATTAAGACCTTGGGAACCAGGCTTCTCTATCGATTCGGCCAGGACACCCAGAATCTCGTCCCGAATTGAGTTCAGGTGAGTAGCATGCTCTTCATTCATGCCGCGGGAAGTGGATTTCTCCATAACTCCAGCCACGGCACCGAGAATTTCGTCCCGCATTGAGTTGAGGTGCCTGACATGCTCTTCACCCAAGCCGCGAGCGGTAGGCTCGGAGTTCTCGAGACACTCACGTATCGTCATAATAATTTCGTCGCGAGTGATAGCAGGGAGTTGTGGTGGCTGGAAGTCCTGTAAACCAGTCCGGACAGCTCCCAGGACCTGCTCATAGGTCAAAGACTCTTCATGGTGAGGTTGGTAAGACTTGAGGCCCTCGGAGAGACATTCCAGGATCTCGTCACGCTCCAGACCAAAGTTTTGCAACTCTATCTCGGGCCTGTAGGTCTCCCAAGCCTCCCGAACGGTTTCCAGAATGTCCTCCTTTTCCATGACCGATCCGTGGGGGGCGGCTTCGGGTTGAGGCAGTTCAAGCTCATCAAGAGCTCTTTTAACGACGGAGTATATAGCGGCGCTGTTCATAGTGGACTGGAATTCGGACAATGCCGAGGAGTGTTGTCGGCTTTCATTGACGGTAGAAGCCAGCTGCTCTCGAAGGCCATGGAGACTCTCGTTAACAATTGCGGCGATCTCCTCGGGACCAGGAGGCTGAGGCTTTTCTTTGTCGCCAATTGCCCGGGTCTGATCGACGATTTCCAACTTGCGAGCAAGGTCACGTCCCATACCTAGGACCTCCCCGCGCAGCTCTCGTACAAGGGCTTTCACGCCATTAGTCATACCACCACTTTCCATGACACTGTTCTTAACACTTCGAAGGATGGCAAGAATTTCGTCGTTACCAGAGAGGGATATATCCAGCTTGTCACCTTGCATAACATTCAAAGGACGTACGGCAGCTGTAGGGTCCATAGAGTTCAATGACCTAGGGCGAGTACTTTCAAGGTTGGTGCTTGGCTGAAGATTATCGGAACTGTTCATGGCGCGCACGAGGGCCCTACTAGAAGGATCTTCTTTCACGAGATTGAGAATTTCTTCGAGCATGTTGGTGATCTTCTTATCTGATTCCTTGTCGGAGGCGGTTGCAGCTGGTCGTGACTTGATCTCGTCGACAAGCTCCAAAAGCTTCTCCTCACCTTCTTTGGTTGCCATTTCGCGCAATACCTTTTCGAGCAGGGCGATGCTGGCAGAGCCATCAGAGATTGGTGCAGGCGAACCGGCGAACTCGCGATCGTAGTTGAACGGATTAGGGCTGGGCATGCGAGGCACAGAGTAGCTTCTCTTCGAGTTGGGAGAACTATCCGATTCATTGCGGTCAATCCCACTATCATGCTTCATTAGAGCACCGAGGTCAAACCTTGCAGGGTCCACATCCAGAAACTTGGTTGACAGATTCGATGTCAAATCCTTCAAGCTCTTTCGAATATCCTCGTCGCGAGCATTGGTCGCGGCCTTCAAGCTAACAAGATCGGTGGCATTATCTTTGCTTCTTCGGCTGAGATTGGACATTTCACGCTGCAGATTGCTGGCAATATCGGTGAGACAGTGGATCTGGGAGGCGAGGGTCCCCATGGTATGTGTTTGGGTTTCGATTCGGGCAGCGGGTTCTGGTTCCCTTGGAGCAGGAGCAGCGGCAATCATTTTGGGCGCCTTCGAGGGTGGTGGAGGGTCGTTTTCAGAGGGAAGCTGCATATTTTGCAGGGCCAACATTGTCGGAGAGGAAGGAGTAGTTTCTCCAAGAATTGGTTTGGACAGATAACGACTCGAGACGTATGTGGGAAGTTCCCGCTCTGGGGAACGACCGGAAGGTGAACCAGCACCCTTGCTCGCATCTTGTTGCTTGTTTGTCGGGTCCAAAATCGTAGCGCGCAGAGGCCGGTCCGGCGAACGATTCTCGAGGTAGTTGAGGAACTCGGAACGCGCATCGCCCTTGGTATCACCGGGCTGTAGGGACTGCATCCGCTTGTGATGGCCCTTAACCAATGATCGCTCCGGTGATGAAGACTTGGGCATGGCGTTTGTTGTGTAGGAGCTTAGAGCGTTGTCGCTCGGCCTGTCGGCGAATTTGGCCGCGACGGCTTGTATACCGGGCGATACATTAGATTTGGTTGCAGGGCTCATTGAGCGAGGGTTCAAGGGCAGCGGCGGGGGTGCACGCTCGGGATCAGAACTATCCCACCTGTGTTTGCGACGCTTTAGTATGTGTCTCCAGTCATTCATGGCGGGTGGGGATCAGCGCAATCAAGGTCACAACATACATTGGAACAGATAACTGCCGACTGGATTCGGACTTGACGAGTTCCCGATCACGGGAGGAGCTGTCCCCTTGGGACGGCATGATGCTTGGTGTGTAGAGGCAAGATGTCTCAGAGAGGTATTGACAATCAAGTGTACAGGAATGTGAAATCAAGGTCTCAAAACAAAATAACAAGGGTCGTTCAAGGCATATCAAAACGAAGACGGATTCGCTAGAAAACAATAAAAGACGGTGAACGATCAAGACACCGGGAGATCAACTTGATAAGAAAACAGTGGAGGTGGAGGAACCAAGGCCAGAACCAGTACGCGGCCTACACATCATCTGCGCTCGCCATAGCAACGGGGCTACAGGGCAACTGCAGATCGTAAACAAAGTCACGTCAGGCGGTGAAGCCGGTCTCACCGGAGGCTAGTCCCGATGGGGTAAGTTTCCCCAAACGGACTAGGGCACCGATCTCGTCAATGCAACCAATGACCGAGCGGCACACAAATCGACCATGCCCTGAACCCTCTCAGCCCGCCCCAAGCGAAAAACCGAACACTTCGATCTTGACCGTTCCGTACCACGACAAACCAACCCGCCAAACCTCGCCGCCCCCCGGGACCTTCACATAATGAAGTGTACGTATTCGACCTCCACAATCTCTACGACCTTTATGCTGACGAGAATGTTGCGACAGTCATGAAAGTGGGCCGTGTGGCCATCATCACCCGTGGCCGTTACGCCGGTAAGAAGGTACGACAATCGCCTCTATCCCCCCGATGAGAAGAAGAGAAGGACGATGAGGGAAGGAATCCGGACAGCAAGAGATGGGCTCGTCAGCAATAATTGAACGAGAAAATGAACGAGTGGTGGACAAAAAAAATTGCAGAAAAAGACTCGGGCTGACCAGCGCATTTTCTTCGACTCTACAGGTCGTCATTGTCCAGCCTCAGGACACTGGCTCCAAGGCGCACCCCTTCTCCTACGCCATCGTCGCCGGTATCGAGCGCTACCCCCTGAAGGTTACCCGCCGCATGGGTAAGAAGCTCGTGGACCGCCGCAGCCGCATCAAGCCCTTCATCAAGGTTGTCAACTACAACCACCTGATGCCCACCCGCTACACCCTCGAGCTTGAGGGCCTCAAGGGTGTCGTCTCCCAGGACACCTTCAAGGAGGTTTCCCAGCGCGAGGATGCCAAGAAGACCATCAAGAAAGCTCTGGAGGACCGCTACACCTCCGGCAAGAACCGCTGGTTCTTCACTCCTCTGCGTACGTTGCACATCTTTCTCCACATATTTTACAACCCACTAATTCCGTGGCAGGTTTCTAAACGGTTTATTCGGCGTTTTGTCGTTTTGAGCGCGCACGGCTCGAGGTGAAGGCGAGGGGGAAAAAGCATCGAGCACATTCGGTCCCTGCAACGGGATGGAAGGCATATACCATAGCTGGAAACAGAATCGGGAATGTATCGATGAACTCCAGTTTGCACGAGGGACGCCACTAAAATCTGGCGTCCGTCTGAATGAAATGGAAAACATGAATTTACTACTTTTTTCATGCGGCCTGCACCCTGGGTGGTATGCAACCTGTTGCACCACCCTTTCCATTCGAGTCCCATGCGCCTCCGACATTATTCTACCGTCGTGGCTTTGTATCACTTGATAGATCCTATGCCCCTCCCGGACTTCCCGTTTCCCGGTGCGTTTGGACGCTGCCTGTGTATCATGGGCAGCCACCATCACCGTTCCATCCGTAGCTTCGCGTCAGAATTAAAAGTCCTGCGTAAAGATTACCTGTGGCTTCGGGTCGCATGTGATCAAATCTTATCTCGACCGCATCTGGTCGTGGTGTTTCATTGTCGCGATTGCAAGGCAATCTCTTCGCCTTCGCCTTCGCATGTGAAACAGCTCAATTCTAGCCCCCAAAATCATGAGCTTCCGCGGTTAGCGGCAGAGCTACATCAGTATACAGGAAGCCGAGATTCGATCTGGGCTAGGGAGACATTGCAGAATACGCCACCCAACAAAGCGGCGCACCGAGCTCCGATAGGGTCCTCGACCTACAGTGACGTGGACATGCTAGCATTATATACCGTTCAAGCAGGTACCTTCATTGCTATCGATGCCTAGATTCAATCAAGTCCCAAAAATTTGAGGCGCAGGTGGCGCGATTCGCCACACAAATCAGGTCGAGAAGTGATTGTCCGCATTGAGTTGATGGGATAGGCCAAACACCAGGTCCACGAATGAGACCGCACACGGATAATATTTACGTACGAAAACAAACGTCCATCGTAAAATACGCAGTCCCGATCAAAGTAAGCCAAAGGTCCCCCGAATTCTCCGATGGCATTGTGTGATCTACACGGTTACTTCAAAGCGGCTCGCCACCAGATCGACTAGCCCATTGCCTCAGTTTCGACTAGTCGATCAGAGAGGGGGGCCGAAGAGGTCCGGTTCGATTTCCCCGACTTATCACAATCTCGAACGGGAATCTACATGTGCTCGCACAGAGGCCCAGGGAAGTTCCAGGGAAGTTCCTGGAGCTCTCATGGCTGACGGTCGTACCAAGCCGTCCATGGAAGGTCGTGTCGCATAACCCATCCAGGCATAATTCCACCGACCAACCAAAAGCACGGCGCGTGGAAAATTCAACAGGTGGTGACCTCAATGGCTTCGAAAGGACAATGCAGCAGGGATGAATCCATTCGCCGAGGACCGGATGATTTGAGGACGAATCACCCGGCCCGCCAGTCGCACGCCCGCGTACTTTGACCTGCGCGAGTGTTCCCGGGATCCGATCGCGAATCCGGCCAGAACCTTGAGAGACCGGAGAACCTACAACCTTTGGCGGCGCGTTTCGAGTGGTCTACCTCGCAGCAACCGTTACGTGATGAGGGTCGTTTCCCCTCCTTTACCCGTGGGGGGATATACTCTAGACCGGAATGGGGGAAACATAATGCATCCATGGATAGGCTCGGGCGACGCTCAGGCCAGAAGGTGGATACATTCGTGCAGAGACGAGGCCGGCCCTCGCGGGTGAGGAAGTAGACTTCGGTCTGCAGGTGTGACGGTCGGCCGGGCGTTACAAAACCAATGGAGTCCGTAGCTGATAAGACTTCGTTCCGGAGCGGGGTTCTCTAAAAAGGTGGTGATGTAAAACAAGGTTTGACAGGAGACCAGCTCACCCAGGTAACATTGTGTAGATAGACGGATAGACGATAGAGGGGAGCTGCCATGAGGCTAGGGTGGATCCACGGATAGAATTATGTCGAGGAGCTCTCTGAATGCGTCGACGTTGGACCCGCAATCACATGTGAAACCATGGGCCTTATCAACTGTGCCATGAAACCCATGTTGCAGATTAATGCAATTGAATCTGGACTAAAGCGGCAATGGCCAAAAGGGAAACTGGATTCCTTCTCTTGCTGTCCGGTTGGAAGACCGTAGTTGCCTGTCCGCGCAAAGTCTAAACTGCATTTATCCCAGGGGGAGACTGCATCAGAGCCCGGTGAGGCAAAAGATTAGAAAAATAAAATTAGAAAAATAAGAGGTCCAGGCCAAACGGAGCCGGGAATACGATCACAGTACACTAATGATGCGATTGCGCAGGGGCCTCGACACAATTGCATAATGAGGGCGCAATCACATGTGAAACCCTGTATATACAGCCCACCTTGTACTTTTTTTTAACTCTTTTACTTTTCCACTGCTGCTTCCTACTTCTTACTTTTTACTTCCTACTTCCCTTTTTTTCATTCTTCCTTCTCGATATCCTCTCTACACCTTCATGCCCCACGCAGATCCAGACATCATGGGAGAACCAGTCGTCAACGGCGAGAAAGTCCATTCTCAATTCATCAACGTGAGTCTCTTTGAGTAGCATGACCTCGCCACCCTCAACTAACAAGCCTGCAGCACTTGACCTCTTACCCTGTCGTCTCAGACTCCATCTCCATGTTCAAGAGCAACCCCTACGGTGCCAAGTCCATCGAGTTCGCCGACCACGGCTACGACCGTCTCGCCAAGCCCGTCCTACCCTACTTCCAGACTCCTTTCAGCTATGTCGCTCCCTACCTAGAGCAAGCCGACTCTCTGGGAGACAAGGGCCTGACCAGCATCGACTCCCACTTCCCCATCATTCGTGAAGATACCCAGAAGATCCGCGGCACCATCTACAACACTGCCGGCTACCCGGTGCGTTTCGCAGGTGATGTCAAGGACCACGTCTATGATGTCTACGGTGACGAATACAAGAAGTGCGGTGGTGACGGTCTCGTGGCCTCGGGCAAGGCGGTCATCACGACCAGCTTGATGCTGTCGCAGGAGTCGCTGGCCTGGCTCAGCACCTGGCTGCAGAAGTCCAAGGCGGAGGCTAAGGAAGTCATCAACGAGAAGACCAACAGCCACTGATTAGATTCCGGTCCTTTGAGCGTCCCTTTTTTTCATCTTTCTTTTCTTTAGAGAAAATAATTCCCTTCGTTCTTTTATTATGTTGTGCGCTTGTATGCTTTTGCTCGTTCAGCCTTTGATATATCTTGTTTGGCTTGCTCAGCGAGCGTGATCCGAAAGACTCCCCACAACAAGTTTGTTTCCAACGCAAAAATACAATGTATACCTTTTGAAACCCTCCAACTTGTGTAACTCTCGCCAAAGATCGCTTCGCAAGGTCGTAAATTTCAAGTCGAGAAAGGTAACACATCAAACGCCATACGCCATAGATAAGAGCCATGCACGGACCAACTCTCCCATTTGGGGTAAAATCAGTCTCCGATCACCGCGTCGCGTCTTGAACACACTCAACACCAACACCAACACCATGCCTTTAATTCGGAAACGAAGAGCAGTAAGCTGCAGCCCAAACCATAACCGCTCAACCTCTCACTAACCAAACCCAGCCCGACCAAGTCGACCCGGACGACTCAGGCGCCGAAGCCTCAACCCGCCAGAGACCACGCGCAAGCTCATCCCCAGAAGCAGAGATATCCGACGAAGACCATGGCGCATCCTCAACAAACGCAATGATCCAAAAAATGGTGCGCCTCGCCCTCTCAAGCGAGTACTCCCGCCTCCCCATCCGCCGCGCAGACATCAGCGCCAAAGTCCTCGGCGAGCAAGGCTCGCGTCAATTCAAAACCGTCTTCGACAGCGCGCAGCGCGAACTGCGAGACAAGTTCGGCATGGAGATGACGGAGCTTCCGGCCAGGGAGAAGGTAACGATTACGCAGCGACGAGGTGAGTTTGTTCGAACATCTACTGCCCAGGTGACCGGCCATTCTAACCGCGGGGTATTTACGGACCAGCGGCCCAAAAAACAGATAAACCGTCCAGCACCAACAAATCCTGGATCTTGACTAGTACCCTCCCGCCTGCGTTCCGCACGCCGGCTATCTTACCGCCTACGAAAGCGCCCTCCTCTACTACGGAGAGCACATACACGGCTTTGTACAGCTTTATCATCGCCGTCATCTCGTTGAATGGTGGTACGCTCGGCGAACAGAAGCTTGAACGGTACCTTGCGCGTATGAACGCCGAGACATACACGCCGATTGACCGGACGGACCGGTTCCTGGCGCGGCTGTGTAAGGAGGGATACCTGGTTCGCACGCGGGAGATGGATGGAGGCGAGGAGATTATTGAGTACATGGCTGGGCCACGTGGGAAGATTGAGGTTGGGACGAGTGGTGTTTCGGGGCTTGCGAGGGAGGTTTATGGGTTTTCTGGTGGCGGGGAGTTGACGCGCGCGGAGCAGAATGAGAGGGAGGAGTTTGAGACCAGGTTGAAGAGGAGTCTGGGTATTGCGGAGATGACCAGAGAGGGAGGCGAGGAGGAGGAGGAGGAGGAGGAGGCACGGGTTAATGGAGAGGAGCGGAGGCAGAGTGAAGGGCCGAGGAGGTCTTCGAGGCGTGCTGCTGCCAGTGATAGTTCGGAGGAGGAAAGTAGTGATAGTGATTGATCTCGATGCTACGGAGGCGTAGTACTTAACAATGGCGAGCCATCGATTGATACCCAGCAATACAATTGTGCTTAATTCTGTTCATTGACTCGTAGAGGCATATATATACGGCCCACCCACCTGGGCACTCCGAGACGCCAGTACATGGTATACCATAGTATTCCATTACCAATACAACGCACTTGAGAACCACTACAGAAACAAGAGGCCGGCTTCAATCCCCTGTCAATGTGTATAAATGACACCCCTGCCCTAAACTATCCCTCATGCCTTGGATAAAAATCACAAAACCCACCATTACACCAAGGTACCTACCGACCTACATCCAAACCTTCCAAGTTACCCAGTCACGAAAGCGAGACCTACCTTTGGCCTCTACCCCCAAAGAACCCCCAAATTTGGTCCGAAAGCACCCCCGGCCAGACGGGCCGATTTGGAAAAAAGTGTGCTGAATTCCGCCCAGCCAATTGGACGGCGATCCCTTATCGAGGTAGATGACTCGTGGACTGAGCGGCTGCAAGGGTCGAGACGTTTCCAGTCACACAAAATGGGAGACTGTGGAGAGGGGGTGTTCATTTCAGGGAATGCTAACTAAAGTTCCCAAGGGTTGAGCTTGAATTTTGGGATTCTTCGTTTCATGAGTAGACGGATGAGGGGCAGGTGGTGTTCGGTAGGAGGCTGGTGAGGCGGGGTGATGAGCCACACAACCCAACGCAAAATCGAATAGGCACAAGGAGATACTCAATTACGAAAAACATCTACAGTTCTACAATTACAAGGAAGAATAAAATAATTTTGTTCGCGAGACACGAATCTGTATGTAGTATTTTTCAGACTACACAGCAAAGTCTAGCTGTCCACATCCATAAAAGCATTTTTAAGAAAAAAATTCATCACGGCGTCTCTTGTGTCATCCGCAAATCACTTATTTCTTGCCAGCCTTCTGGGCGGCCTTGGTGACCTTACCGGCACCGGCAGCAGACTTGTCGACGGACTTGATGACACCGACAGCGACGGTCTGGCGCATGTCACGGACAGCGAAACGGCCGAGAGGGGGGTAGTCGGTGAAGGCCTCAACACACATGGGCTTGGAGGGAACCATCTTGACGATGGCGGCATCACCGGACTTGATGAACTTGGGGCAGTCCTCAATGGACTTACCAGTACGGCGGTCGATCTTCTCAAGAAGCTCGGAGAACTTGCAAGCAATGTGGGCAGTGTGGCAGTCCAGAACGGGAGCGTAACCAGCGCCGACCTGACCGGGGTGGTTCAGGACGATAACCTGGGCGTTGAAGGAGGCAGCGGCGGCAGGGGGGTCGTTCTTGGAGTCACCGGCAACGTTACCACGGCGGACCTCCTTGACGGAGACGTTCTTGACGTTGAAGCCGACGTTGTCACCGGGGAGACCCTCCTTGAGCTGCTGGTGGTGCATCTCAACGGACTTGACTTCAGTGGTGACGTTGGCGGGGGCGAAGGTAACAACCATGCCGGGGCTGATAACACCAGTCTCGACACGGCCGACGGGCACAGTGCCAATACCGGAGATCTTGTAGACATCCTGGAGGGGAAGACGGAGGGGCTTGTTGGAGGGACGGACGGGAGGCTCGATGGCGTCGATGGCCTCCAGGAGAGTCTTACCGGTGGTCTTGCCGGCCTTGGTCTCCTTCTCCCAACCCTTGTACCAGGGGCAGTTCTCGGAGACCTCAAGCATGTTGTCACCGTTGAAGCCGGAGATGGGGACGAAGGGAACGCTCTTGGGGTTGTAGCCGACCTTCTTGATGAAGTTGGAGGTCTCCTTGACAATCTCGTTGTAACGGTCCTGGGACCACTTGCAGGTGTCCATCTTGTTCAGGGCAACGATGAGCTGGCGGACACCAAGGGTGAAGGCAAGCAGAGCGTGCTCACGGGTCTGGCCATCCTTGGAGATACCAGCCTCGAACTCACCAGTGCCGGAGGCGATGATGAGAATAGCGCAATCGGCCTGGGAGGTACCAGTGATCATGTTCTTGATGAAGTCACGGTGACCGGGGGCGTCAATGACGGTGACCTCATACTTGGCGGTCTGGAACTTCCAGAGAACAATGTCAATGGTGATACCACGCTCACGCTCAGCCTTGAGTTTGTCAAGAACCCAGGCGTACTTGAAGGAACCCTTGCCGAGCTCAGCAGCCTCCTGTAAGGTGAAAATGTGGTCAGCAACTGGGATTGGTGGACGAGGGGGCAACCACGATGGAATAGAACGTACCTTCTCGAACTTCTCGATGGTACGAGAGTCGATACCACCGCACTTGTAGATCAGGTGACCGGTGGTGGTGGACTTGCCGGAATCGACGTGGCCGATAACGACGATGTTGATGTGAGTGCGATCTTCCTTACTGTGGGACGGGTCAGCACGAGCACGAAGCGAGGGAGGGGTCGATCGAGGAGCGACGACGAGGGAGAGAGACGTACCCCATGATGGCGGTTAAAGAAAATGAATTCTTGAAGTTCTTTGGAAGATACTTGAAAAATTCCGACGCTTGCTCAGAAACTACGGCGTGCGTAGAGGTACTGAACAATGAAGGTTAGATGGATGAAAGAAGGAAGGAAGGAAGAGGAGAGGGGAGGGAAAGATATACGTACTGATGCGGACGGGGGAGAAAGAAAAATTCTGTGGGAGGGGGGAGGAGGGGAAATCCTTATATGGAGGGGCAAGCGAGGGAGGCGAGTGAGTGAGCGGGTTCAAGCCCTTGGCAGGTGCGACGCTTGATTTGTGCGCGCTTCGCCCCACCATGAAGATTCTGCTAAAGTGGGCTGGCCAGCATGTACCGGTACCTGTCGTGCACGCTCGTATGGTACGTCGCAGCGTGTACCGCTACTTGGGGTTTTGTTTCCCTGGTTCCGTCGCTCTCGGGTCCCCACTCGGTGCGAATTTTTTTCTGTTGCGGGCTCCTTTCAGCCCACCATAAGGACTCTTACTGGGCGTCTACCACCACCACTGGGCAGCAACGCAGTCATCGGGCCATTTTTTGGCTCGGTAGGTTTGCATTGTTTACGTTTAGCTGTTTTTTTTTTTTTTTTTATCCTCACCGCGAGTGGGCTATTTTCTTGCTCAGCTCGATTAACAGAACCCCGCGGATGAGGGGCACTCGGTCACCGCCAACGCCGTGGACCCACCAATGATTTCAACAGTGTCGTGCAGCCTCTTTATTTTCGCCACATTGAGCTGCCATTGTAGCCTACAATTATAGTCCGTAATAGGGAACGAGCTGGCAGTGTACGGGCACTCCTCCGATTCCCAATCCGTGATAGGAGGGAGCTATAATGACTCGGCGCTGTCCCGTGGTTGTATCCAACTCAATTTCCCTTCCTTTTTTTTTTCTTTTTTTTGCCCGCCCGGGACGTGTTGATCGCAGAAACCATCTGTAATCGCAGGGTCGCTCTGACGTAGATCAAATTTATTTCTGTTTGGGTATCTAAATTGGCTCTGTGATCTCTCCAAAACGCCATAACTCGTAAATGCGCCATTTTTGTCCTGAAACACTTCCCGGTCACTAGAGGCAACAGGGGGTCCTCAATTCTCTCGCCACCGTGCACCGCACGACGTACACTGGCCCAGCTGTCAGTTATGCGCCTGGAGATCGTATGTAAGGAGCTTACCTTTAAGAATGTAGTCATCGGCTCGTCTGCACTTCGAATCTGCAGCTGGAAGAAATATGCACGGTCCCCGTTGCAGCTCTCCGCAGGGCATTGCGCTGGTTGTGTCAGCCCGGTCCCTCGGACAACGGTCGAAGCTGTTGTACTCACTGGCGACGCTGTCGGCATTAGCAAATTCTTCCTTGCCGCCAAACACGTCCTCCACCTCCTTCTGCTTCATCTCGGTCTTCTCGTAGTACTCGATCTGCACGGCGTGTTCGTAAGGGCATGAGCGACATTCGAATCGGTTAATTCCCATGGGATACTGGGTCGTCGACTCCATGCGAGAGATGGTCAGCGCATTGGCGCAGTTGGGGCAGACTAGAGATCAGAGCTGTCAGTCCGCTGCTTCATGAGGAGTCTTTCGGGATCACGAACAGACGAGCGGCATGGTGATGGCCCCGAATGGGACGCAGTAATGCTCAAAGTAATCGTGCACACGGCGTACAGATCGCAGGATTCGCTGGGGCGCGCTGGATCAGCGAACTGGTGACAGAATCTCCGCGCGGAACGGATAGGCGCGCGGCTACCAGGCCGGGGATTCGGAAGATCACGTGGTCGCCGTGGGATGGTCCCTGGGGGAATAAGGAATAACAGTCATGTTAACTTGAGCGTTTGACACTTTCGACTCGACTCTGTCTGTATATACAGTCTTCCCTGCCATTGCAAAGCATTGCACTTTGTCCGACACTGCCGTCCGGTACTGCGCCACACTCCGTTGCCCGCGTTTCAGACCACAGCTATTAACCTCCGCGTCACCGCCGCGAGACTGAATACTGATACAACCCACAGCCGGGAAGTATTGGTTCGACAGCAATCATGGCCGACGATGAAGTGAGCACCGAGATTTTTGGACTGCCCTGAATCACCGCTAACAGCCCCACGTCCAGGGAGCCTCACCCCGCGAGCTGGTCGTGGAAGCCTGCCGCCGAGATCAGCCACACCTGATCGAGCAAGTCCTGGACAGCATGAACGAGAAATCAAATGAGGAAGTGGCACAGTTCTTCAATCAAGTGACAGATGCCTTGGGAAACCACGCATTGCACATCTGCGCAACCTACGGCAGTTGTACGTCAACCCCCGCATACCCGTCTGCCCCCACTAACGGACCCCTGCAGACGACGTGATGGACGCCCTCTTTGACATCCAGTACTTCGAATGCGACCCGCTGACACGCGCGGACAAAGACTCACCACTCCACATCGCCGTACGATACGCCAACGAGAAAGACGAGGAGCTTGGGACCGAGATGGTCAAGATGATGTGCGAGGCTGGCTGTGACCCTCGGGTGCGGAACAAGCATGGCCAAAAACCCGCCGATCTGGTCTTCAACAAGCCTGAGATTAAGCAGACCCTTCAGCAGGCGGAGTACATTTTGGCCGAGGGTATCCAGAATGATGCGGACAATGGCTCGGAACACGATAGCGCCAGTGATAGCGAATAAGCCGAGTGCGGATGTAAACCGTTCTCTTGATCGTTCGGATCATTCAGATCTTTGTTGAGCGTTGGCCTCTTTTCTTTTCCCTTCGCATACGTGTACACGCTGGAGCTCTAGACTTGGCCATATTATATTGCGATGCTATGATGATTATGAATGGAGTCTACTGCATGTCCTGATGGGTAAAACGTGATAAAAAGACGTATACGCATGTTTTTGTTCAAATTTTGTGCTATTGCCCATCTATATATCTGAGCCACCCAATAGTTGATCCCCCAACACCATTCTGCAGAAACCAACAACAGCACGATTCAAAGGTGTTGTCTCTGGATTGAAACTAAAAATTCCTGTCAACTCCTTTCTCATCAGGTATAACCAATAAAAAGTTCTCCAACCATGTAGAACACGCGTAGGCCTTCACCAAAGCGATATCGCATCACAAACGCCGCAGCCGAGATAAGATAGCCACGCCCTGCAGGGTACATGCGGGGAACAACGATATAAAAAACACCACCCCACCAACACCAACAATCCTATACTCCAATTGTGCCTCCCTCATACCTAGCAACAATGGCCTCCCAGCAAAAACCTGCTATCAAAAAACCCTGGATCGAAACGCCTCTAATTGAGTCCGCAACACTATCCAAACAAGCCGGATGGTAAATGACCCCTCACCATCTCCCTCCGCCAGCCTCAAACAAAAGACTAAACCAAATACCTCATGACAGCAGAATCTTCCTAAAACTAGACCTCCTCCAACCCTCCGGCTCCTTCAAATCTCGGTCCGTCAACCCCAACCCCCAAAATAACCTTCGAACTAACACCCGACAGCGGAATCGGCAACCTAATCCTCTCATCCCTAACAAACCAATCCAACAAATCTACCAAAAAGCCTCACTTCTATAGCTCCTCCGGCGGAAATGCCGGCCTCGCAGCCATACACGCCGCACGGGACCTCAACTGCGCATGCACCGTCGTCGTCCCGCACAGCACGAAACCATTCATGATATCGAAACTGCATGCTGCGGGCGCGACGGAAGTATTACAGCATGGCGAGAGCTGGTTCGAGGCGGATACGTACCTGAGGGAAAGCTTTATCGAGAATCAGGACGGGGGGAACGTGTATGTTCCTCCGTTTGACCATGAGGTGATATGGGAGGGGAATGCGGGAATGATTGGGGAGATTGTGGAGCAGTTGTCCAGATATGGAGAGGAGGTTCCGGACGTTGTAGTTTGTAGTGTTGGTGGGGGTGGACTGTTTAATGGGGTTGTTTCTGGTCTGGAGCGGGTTCTAGGTTCGAAAGAGATGAAGGGGAAGAAGGTTCGTGTTGTTGCGGTGGAAACGGATGGTGCGGATTCGCTGGCTCATTCGCTTCGTGAGGGGAGGTTGAGTTCGTTGCCTGCTATTACGTCGCAGGCTACTTCGCTTGGAGCGTTGTGTGTTGCGGAGAAGACGTTTGCGAATGCGATGTCTCCGCCGGAGGGGGTGGAGGTTTCGAGTGTTGTTGGTTCGGATGCTGAGGCTGCGCGCGGTGTGTTAAGACTTGCGGATGAGATGCGGATGCAAGTGGAATTGGCGTGTGGGATCAGTCTGGAGGTTGCAGTTAATGGGAGGTTGAAGAAGGTGGTTCCGGATTTGAATCCTGAGACCAAGGTTGTGGTTGTTGTTTGTGGTGGAAGTAACATCACGGCGGAGACGATTGTGGAGTATAGACGGCGTCTTGAGGAGGGGTGGAATTAGATGGATGTCTAGATACGGCGGTGGTGTACGGATATAAACATAGAATACAGGTCACATTGGATATCATCTAGCCCGCAGAAACGACAGAAATCTAAGTTTCCAATACATGTTCGGAAACAGTTGTGCTATAGTATAGTAAATATGCACCCCTCACCCCGTTTTAACAACTCCAAGCGAAACGACTTTTGGTCAAGAAAGTTCAAGATACACTTGTTTATTGGGCGTTGGCCTTATTGGCCAGCAGGTTCAGAGCACTGCCCGCAAGGATGAACGCACTCTGGTCCTTGCTGAGAGTATGGTTCACGGGAACCATGAAGGACTCGCCGGTCTCACGCTTGGTGACACGCAGCTGGATCTCGCCCTTACCACCTGCCTGCAGGGTATCATAGAGGCCGACGGTGTCGACCTTGTCACAGGCATCGATGCGGTCGTAGTCCTCACGGTTGGCGAAGGTCAGAGGAACGACACCCTGCTTCTTCAGGTTGGTCTCGTGGATACGAGCGAAGCTCTTGGAGACAATGACGCGGCCACCGAGATAACGGGGCTGCAGGGCGGCGTGCTCACGGGCAGAGCCCTCACCGTAGTTGTCCTCGGCGACGACGAGCCACTCGATACCGCGCTGCTTCCACTGCTCGGCCAGCTCGGGGATGCCGTGCTTGTTTCCGGCTTCGTCGTAGGCGACGTTGGTCTCGCCGGTGGCAGCGTTGACGGCACCGATCAGAGTGTTGGCGGAAATGTTGGGCAGGTGACCCTTGTACTTGAGCCAGGGACCGGCGGCCGAGATGGTATCGGTGGTGCACTGGCCCTTGACCTTGTACAGAACTTGAAGGCCGGACAGGTCACCCTTGGGGAAGGGGGCGAAGGGCTCCAACAGAGCCAGGCGTTCCGAGGTCGGGGACACGATCACATCAACGTTAGGATTGGGCACGGCGGCGGTTGGCAAGAACTCGGGGTTGCCCTCCTCGAAACCGGCACCGGGCAGGTTCGAACCCTGAGGAGGCTGGAACTTGAAGGTCTCGCCGCTCGGGGTGGTCAGAGAGTCGGTCATGGGGTTGAAGGTAGTGCTGCCGGAGTAGGCGAGCGCGGTGACAAGCTCGGGAGAAGCCAGGAAGTTCATAGTGCGACGGTTGCCATCGTTACGACCAGGGAAGTTGCGGTTGTACGAGGTGAAGATAGCGTTGTCCTCGCCCTTCTTGACTTCGTCGGTACGGTTCCACTGGCCAATGCAGGGACCACAGGCGTTAGCCAGAACGATGCCGCCAGCCTCGGAGAAGGAGTTCAGAGTCTGGTCACGGTCGAGGGTGGCACGGATCTGCTCACTGCCAGGAGTGATAAAGAAGTCGGCTTTCGGCTTGAGACCGGCGGCCGAGGCCTGCTTGACCAGGTGCTCAGCACGGGTCATGTCCTCGTACGAGGAGTTGGTGCAGCTACCAATAAGGCCAGCCCCGAAAGTCTCGGGCCATTGCTTCTCGCGCACAGTATCGGCGAACTTGGACAGGGGAACCGAGAAGTCAGGAGTGAAGGGACCGTTAATGTGCGGCTCCAGCTCCGACAGGTTGATGGTGATCAATTGATCGTACTCAGCCTTGGTGTCGGCTCGCAGCAGGTTACCGGGGCCGGAAGCAGCAATCTCAGCAGCGGCCTGGGCGACGTGGCCACGGTGAGTAGCCTCCAGATAGGGAATCATGCTGGGCGAGAAGGGGAAGAGCGAGGTGGTGGCACCAACCTCAGCACCCATGTTACAGCAAGTGGCCATACCAGTACAGCTGAGAGTCTCGACACCAGGGCCGTGGTACTCAATAACAAAGCCAGTTCCACCGCGGACAGTCAGCTTGCCCGCCAAGTGCAGGATAATGTCCTTAGGCGAAGCCCAGCCGCTGAGACGGCCCTCAAGACGAACACCCAGGACCTTGGGAGCCTTCAACTCCCACGGAGCATCGACCAGCGCATCGACAGCATCGGCACCGCCGACACCGATAGCAATAGCACCCAAACCACCACCGTTAGGGGTGTGGCTGTCGGTACCCAGCATCATCAGACCGGGAGCGGCGTAGTTCTCCAGAACGCTCTGATGGATGATACCAGCACCCGGGGGCCAGAACTCAATACCGTACCGCTTGGCAGCACTCTCCAGGAAGTCAAACACCTCGCTGTTACCCTTAATGGAAGCTGGCAGATCGGTATCGGCACCACGCTCACCAACAATCATGTGGTCGCAGTGGATACTGGCGGGGACGGCGGTCGAGGGCAGACCGCAGGACATGAACTGCAAAAGAGCCATCTGCGCTGAGGCATCCTGCATGGCCACACGATCAGGCTTCAGCTTCAGGTTGGCCTGACCCCGGATATCGCGACCATTGTTGGTGCCGGTGAGGAGGGACTCCTCGGGGTTGTCCAAGTGGGCATAGAGAATCTTCTCAGCCAGGGTGAGAGCGCGCTCGGAGCCCAGGACTTTGCGGACCTGCTCGAGGTTGCGGACAATCTTGGGATAGGGCGGCATACGCGAGGAGGCGGCCTCGGTGGCCAAACCACGAGTGAGTCGTTGTGGAGACAGGCGTCCGGCCAGCTGTTAAGGTCAGTCTTGGGGCCAATTACTGCTGAAAAGATTGTAACTTACTCTGCGCGAGGCAACGGCCCGCTGCCATACTAGCTGGCTCACCATCTTCAAATGTGGAGGGTGGAAACTGGGGAAAAGAGTCAGAGTCGGGATTCCAGGGCTTTTTCTTGGGCGGCCGGAATTCGTTATTTGCATGCGCTGTGATTGGCGCGCCGCAGCGCCGATACCGGGATTTTCACTGGGAGGCGATTGTTGCTAATCATGCAGCATCGGACTTTGTCTGAATGACCTTAATTCTTGCACTACCTCCATATTGTCAACAGTGCATTGGCGTGTGTCTATTTGAATTTAAGATTCATGCTGTCACGATGGTATGGACAGCACTCTACGTGGTGGATCACGAAACTACTCTATTCTACGGCACTAGTACTCAATAAAACAGGTCATTGAACATCAAATAATCCATAGATGAAATACTCAAAGTTTCCCAATGGCTACATTTTCTAGATATACTTTAAACCTGCAACAGAACCACATGCTGAATGTCTCTCCACCGTTATGAGGGATCACAGTGGTTACGAAGACAGAAACCTAACCTTCCGAGTCCATCGATAAAGCCATTTCTTCAAAAGTACCGTAACTGCTACAAAGCAGCAGCACCCATCAGGTTAATTCCATTAGGCGTGAAGATGCCCCCTTCAACTGCCATGTGGGATGTTCTATCAAAAAGCTATGACCCTCGGGTTTATTATAAATGTACTGGCCTCTACCTTGTCTCACCGACAAATTAATAATCGAAAATTGCGAGTGAAAGACAATCCAGCGCGTGCCGGAAGTTGGAAACCTCGCGAGCCAAAGGAAAGAAGAATAGAATAAATCAGCCTATCTCATGGGTCTTTAAAATTGAGGACTCAAGGCTTGGATCACAAAGTTTATGAACTTACACGGCGCTCGCCTCATCAATAAGGAGTCTGATTGTCACTATAACTCGATGGCTGGTGGATGTTATGAGCAGCTCATCCAGTCTCTAGCAGGGTATAGGTCCTTTGAGGCTGACGCGCATCAAGTGACCACAAAGGGAGACGTGATGCGGGTTTCTTATGCCAAGTATAAGCAGTCGCCGGGATCCCATCTTGCGTGGCTGGGTGATGCTACCGGGAAGATGCCCAATAAGCAAAAAACGAGAAGACTCGTGGATTTCGTCCATTATGAATAAACAGGGCGGATTGGAGATGTAAATTACTACCCGCGAAGATCGGTTGAAGGGTGAAGTGATTTCATAGTGGAATAGATTCAATATTCAAACTACCGGGGGCTATCCCTCCATTTCATGCCAGTGGGCATATCGGCCCCGGATCAAACGCCTCTCATGTCATCAAGTTCAGGACATGAAACAATCATTAGATAGCTCATACCATACACCCACGGATCCGTCAAGGGCAGTGGCTTGATGGCCAGTCCTTGGTTGAGATAGGTAAGATTAACACATATCAAAGAGAAAAAAAGCATGTCTACTGAAAACGGGTTAAGACTGTGGTTCTTCGTCTACCACCGCGGCTCGCAACTCCCAGACGAGGTCGTAGCATTCGGCTAGCAGAGAATTGACACTTCCTTGGCCTTCAGGAATATCCGGACCGACGTAGAACTTGCCGTCGACGCGCATGTTATCGATTGAGTTGAGCTGCGTTGGTCAGTAAATGACGAAGGAAGATCTGAGAAGGGATTCGTACCTTCATGCTGTAGGGATAGAGTTCACGGGAATTCGATACACCACCGGACTCCTTAACTTCAATCAGACACCGGCGGAGGGTCTGCAGCTGGTTATAGACCGGCAGCAAAGCTTCCGACACAGGCTCAGATGAGATGAGGAGGGCATAGATGTAAGCATAACTGCGTCGAATCAGGTACAACAATGTCTGGGGAAAGGGAAGTTAGCATAAGGCTGTAATTGAGGATTGATAAAGGCGGGTACCCGTTGGGCATGAAGATCAGCTGGTTGACCCTCAGCGTCGACAAAGTTTCCATTAACCCGCGCCTCATCGATTCGGTCGAGTTTCCGCTGGTAACCGAACAGATCCGTCTCTCGTAGCGACCAGGCTTGTGTCACAGAAAGTCGGTCCAACTGGTTGCGAATCTCAAGCAGCCGATCATATTGCTCCTGGAACCTTTCGTTGATTTTGCCCTCTCTGAGTTCAAGTTAGGAATTGATAGTACGCAGACAAAGAGCAAGACATACCGCTCCAGGACAATTTCAGTCCATCGCCAGCACCGGTGCATCAAAGACTTGATTTCATCTTGACCAGCATAAATGTTGCCGTCCGCGTCCACAAAATTGCCATCTTTCTGGGTCTTTTCGATCTTCCTCAACTGCTCCTGAAGGTTGCTCACTTCCGTCGGCGAGAACTAACAAGACACATACGGTTAATTTTTCCGAGTGACCACTTCTTGCAGAAACGAATGCGCACCTTTGAGCGAGTATTAACAGCAGACGTGGACCGCAAAATAGAAACCAGCGTTTCATGTGTTTGCGCCAACCCGGGGGCCAGCGTCGCAAGTCCTTTCTGCAGTCTCCCTAAGGAGATCTGACACTCTTCCAAACGGCTTTCAAGAAGCGTGAGAAGAGCCGGAGAGTAGTTGTTGCGTCCTCGATCGAGGGTTTCGTGCAGGTTCTCAAGTGTTTTGGTAATGGAATTCAAGTCTTTGGCGCTGTAAAATCCAGCTTCTTCGAGGTGGTCGAGCAGGCGCTAGAGCAGATAGTCAGAATTTGATCGAGGAGTTGGTTTCTTTCAAAGGAATACCTGAATAGTAGTTGCCAGAGAATAGCTGCGCCAACGTTAGTACAAATAAAGAGAACCCGCGGGGTAGCGAACGACTTACACTGCCGGAGCTTCATTGTTCCTACCCACAGTTAAGAAGAGCAGCGAGATCAACTGAAAGCAGTCATCGAGAACGTAGTCCACTGTAAGCGATCGCGGGTTAGTTATGCCTCCATCGATCATGCACAGTGCACCCCGGTACTCACAGCGATTATGTATCGAGCGGCGCTCCTTTTCTTTGCGGGCCGCATTGAGCTTCTCCACCTCTCCAATCACCTCTTCGTAGAGCGGAAGAACATCGCGTGACTTGATATAAGAAGACTTGTCTTGTTTCAAAAGCAAGAGGGCATCACGGGTTCGGAGCAGGCATTCGAGGATGGGTTGCTCCCGCGGATCTAGCGGAACCGGGACAGCGGGGGACTCCATGGCCGGAGCGCGGAGGTTGTCGGGATAGTGATTTGATTTGATACAGATCAGATAGGTCAGAAGAAAAAAGAAGACTTTGGCACACTCAGGAGACTGCGATAAAGTGCTTGAACCCCACACGGTTGTGATGTCAGTTCCGGACCGATTGATATCGCTCGATACGGACTGATTACTCCGAGATTAGTCATACACGACCGGAACGGGACTAGGGTTGAAGTCACGGGAGAGGGTCTGCACTAAGCCACTTCGGGCCAAGCCCTAAGCGAGGGCTTTTTCCCACACACGCCGCGCGGTTGCCATGTTCGGATAGGCCTTCGTGATACACTTCTTCTCTTCTCTCCCCATCCACTCTTCACCTTCAAGACACCCAGTCCGGTCAACACCACCCGTCGACAAAATGTCTACCGCCGAGCTCGCCTGCTCTTACGCCGCCCTCATCCTGGCTGATGACGGCCTTGAGGTCTCCGTACGTTTGCTCTTTTCCACGAGGTTGAATTCATCGAGGGATTGAAGATTCGCGAAAATGAAGTTTTTCCTGCCGGGAACTTGGATTGCGAAGGACATCAATCGAGAAACTGGATTCAGCCTCTCAAGCATCAAGCTCGACAATAGCTGACCTCAACTTTCTTCTCCAGGCCGACAAGATCCAGACCCTCATCTCTGCCGCCAAGGTTGAGGAGGTTGAGCCCATCTGGGCCACCATCTTCGCCAAGGTAAATATTTGGAACCCGCACCGTCGCCCTTTTTAATCGCTTCTCTGCGATGCTCGAACTCCGAAGCGCGACACATTCTTCAAGTCCAGTGACTTACGATTTTGATTTTGCAGGCTCTTGAGGGCAAGGACATCAAGGACCTCCTGACCAACGTTGGCTCCGCCGGTCCCGCCGCCGCTGCTGGCCCCGCCGCTGCCGGTGGTGCTGCTGCCCCCGCCGAGGCTGCCGCCGAGGAGAAGGAGGAGGGTAAGTTTCTCAGATCAGTCTTGACCTGCAAAACATCGATACTAATTCCCACACAGAGAAGGAGGAGTCCGACGAGGACATGGGCTTCGGTCTGTTCGACTAAGCGTTTTAACCGCTCCGAATATAAAGTCGTTTCCCTTTTGCTCTTTCCCTCGCCTCTTATCCCGCATCCGCCTGATGGCTCCCTCGACGATTCTCTCTTGTACTCGATACTCCACGACCCCTTCTACGAAGACCTAGATCACGGGGCAGAAAAAAAAAGAAAATAGCAAAAGTTTCAAACGGACAAGGACATTCATTTGGAGACTGGGTGCTCGATCTGCTTCCGCATCATTTCATGACGGAGGTGGGTACGATCGGATGCCGTTGCGATTCCGAAACTTTTGTTGCTTCCAGGATATTAGGGGAATTGAAGACAGACGTTTGGCACACCTTTATGATTTGTCCATGACCGCGGCTTGCGTCCGGTCTGGAGGGTAGTTGTATGCTGTTGTTTTCTCTTCTCTGCCGGATGGGCCAACTTGTGCCCAGTCCTGATGCCATGTCTGCCATGCGATCACGAATCAAGGAATCTTGTCTGGTTCTGGTTCTGGGTATTCTCGTAGTTCTCAAGTAGTGCGTCGCGTAGGTGATATTCGGTTCTCGTCCCATACAACCTCGCGGCTTAGTCCTACATTGGCTCCAAGGCTGTAACTCACGAGCAACAAGTCGATTACATTCAGCCCGCGAATGATATACACGTCACATTTCATTTGCTAAAACCCAACGCCATGCTTGCCTGCCCCAAAGCCCAATATTTGGTCCACTGACTCCATACAAGCGATTTCACAGGCAAAATCCTCCAAATTATAGCAGCTATGTATGTACAAATATAAGTGCAACTGCATATAAGAATGCGCAAAGCAATCATGACACTGCCAAGAGAGGAGCCTCTTCCACGGCGTAGATGCGGAATTGGATGAAGATGACAACATCCTCAACCATGGTCCCCAAGGACCCGATCAGCCAGGGAAGGTTGGTCACGACGTACTCCCGCTCTGTGGAGTGGAACAGGATCTGTAGCAGTTGTTAGCTAATTAATTTCGTTTTACACGACCATGGTTTGGAGAAGACATACGCCTGCACCGTACGTAAGGTTGCCCAGAAGAGACAGGATGAAGAAGAGGAGTGACAATCCTAGAGTTGAGGGTTAATATTGGAACGGTATCACAGTGAAGACCTCACGTACCTTCGCAGGACTTGTCGGAATAGTTCTTATAGATCTGAGGCAGTCTCGCTCTGTCGCAAAAGTCAGTATCATCCATTGACCAGTCATCTACACCAATACTCACCCAAGATAGCAGACTGCACTGAAATAACCCAGAATCTGCCCACCGGTAGCCACACCAACATTATTGTGAGTTTCCTGCGGCGCCGGCGCCCACATTCCAGTCTGCCAGGCCATAGCCCACCCAGCCATACCGATAACGAAGATGCCAAGCACACTAATAAAGTTCTTGACCCACGCCTTGCGCCCGTACTCGTTCTCCTCCACAATCTTCGCAAGCGAATCCTCAGGCTGGCTATCGCGCCGACCCGCACCCTGATAGCCGCGCAACGAGCCGGAGGACCTCCGCCGGGACTGCTGTGGAACAGAGTCGCTGAATCGCCGACCAAGTAGCGGGGTAGTCGGATCTGCTGTTTCGGTAGACGAGCGCCGCCGACGGTGATACTCCGAGCGCCGGTTACGCGCCTTGTAGTACAGGCATTGGAAGATCAGGACGCCGTCTGCGATACAGAAATAGACTGCGATGGCGAGGATGACGGGGACTAGCTCTGCTAGTAGGCCGCCCGCCAGGTTCGCTATGTCACCGACGAACCAGACGAAGATGAAGAGGAGAGAGATTGCCTCGGCGTTGCCGATGCGGTAGTTTTCGATAAGCTGGGGAACCTATATTCGAGATTGGTTAGATATTTTCTTTTCGCTAGGGTCTTTCTTCCCCGTCTTGGGAATGCGCGTTGAAGCTTCAAACGCGAAAACCTCTCATAGCAGACCGAAGAGAGGGGCGATAAGGCATACCAAGAGGAAAATCCAGCAAGTCATAGACACTGAACCAAGCAGGCCCGACGCAGCCTCGCGAGGCGTCAGAGGCACCGTCCCATCCGAGCCCATGCTGCTAAGAGTCTGTGATAGAGTCATGGTCTATCGCGGGGATTTTTTCGTGTGGTGCTGGAGACAGGTGGAGCTGAGAAAAATTGCGACGGGGAAGATGAGGCTATGACACAATCGATGCGGATGAGTCCCGGGGCAACTCCAGCAGACAAGCGAGCAGGACAGGGGTCATATAGAGTCCTGAGATGCGACCGCGAGTGAAAACTGCAGGATTTTAGATAAGAAAGAGCTACTTTCGGACACTTGCAGCAGCGCGCGAGCGATCGTGAAACACGATTGGATGACTCAGCCTGTCAATGATGCAGGTGCACGGACGTGCTGCACATGACAGGCGCCATGTGCCTAGCTAGGTATGTCTATTGTACTATTTAAAAAAGAATCAATTCAAAATAGGGCTCGTATACTGCTTTGATAGTCAAGCAGACTACGAAGAGTTTGGAAAAGAAAACAGCTACTGTGCCGGTGGAGTAAAAAAAACAAGCAGTAGCCAGTTTGCTCTGGCAGACTGAACAGCTGCTACGCCGACAGTATGGTCACACGCAGCATTCCACCTGAAAGTCTCGGAATTGCGTCCGTTTCGAGTATTAATTTCGTAGATGATCGGTGAGGAGCAAGCCAACAATATCCCGAGGTAGTTTCTCTCGTTTATCGTCGTTTACAAGTTGAACTTATTAACTATACCAATGTCATTTTGATTGAATATTTTGGAAGCTCAGAACTTACACAAATCGTTGGAAATGAGGAAGATATACACACTCGGACATTCGGAAAAGACAAAATGTTGAAGGAACCAGTGTATTGGTTTAGTTTCAGCCAAATGGATCGACAGGTGCCTATACGAAAATAATGACAACCTACTTCTTGGCTAGGGTTGCAAGAGCTTTCGTAACCCAGCCGCAGGCTAGCTGCAATGTCTGAGAGATTTACGGCCTTTCTTTCTCTAGTTCGAATGCAGATTGCTTTGCAACTACCTACAGAGTCAAATGAATTGTATTGAAATTATGATCCGAGATAATCGGTCTTGCTTTCAATGATTGTTACATCCCATAGATGAGATAGCTCGTAGCCGGTCAGCAGAGCGGGGCTGCATCCCGAACTGCTAAATGACTCGACTTTCCCATTTTAACGACCTAAAACTCTCATGGCCAGCCCCGTCTATCTCGGCGTTGTCGGTATGACACTTCCCATTTTTAACCCATTACGCAGACTCTCTGAATGATTACTTACAATAGAAAGGTGTTGGCGGCGTCGGAAATGCCTTCCTCGAACAACTCGGACGACTGCCAAATGCACCACAGATCGTTCTGCTGGCCCGCTCATCGCAGTCATTGCTCGCTCCAACGCCGGCATACTCGCCTTGCATTCCCGCCACTAGTTGGTCAAAGGCTGTGGCAACGCCATCATTAATTAAACCAAATGCTCTTTTACCAGAAGAGATCGCAACATATCTTGGGAGTGTTCCGGGTCGTGCAATTCTCGTGGATAATACGTCCGACCTTGCTCTTGCGCAGGCATATCCTATCTTCCTCAAGCAGGGTGTGTCAGTGGTGACGGCAAATAAAAAGGGGTTCTCGTCTGAACTCTCACTATGGAATGATATTTTCGCCTCCGCAACCAAGGGAAATGCATATGTACACCATCAGTGTACGGTGGGCGGCACCCTTCCAGTGCTATCAACGTTGAGGGACCTGATAGCAACGGGGGATGAGATCACTCAAATTGAAGGTGTACTTTCTGGGACACTCTCACTTCTATTTGACGAGTTCATGCCTGCATCTGGCACGTCCAACGTGCCATGGAGCTCTCTTGTCGCTCACGCCAGAGGCGCGGGTGAAACGGAACCCGACCCACGAGATGATCTAAACGGTCTTGATTTTGCTCGAAAGCTGACAATTCTCGCCCGGGTTGTCGGTCTTGAGATTGCTCGTCCGGATTCATATCCGGTCGAGTCACTTATACCCACCGAACTGGCGTCGTTGCCGTCCTCACCGGAAGGAATTACCCAGTTCATGAGCCAATTGCCCGCTTATGATGCTAGAATGGATATGATTAAAGATGCTGCTCGCCAAGAGGGTAAAGTTGTGAGATATATTGGCAGTATTGATGTACCTACGAAGACCATCAAGGTTGGCTTACAGCATGTGGAGAAAAACAGCCCCATTGCAAATCTCAAGGGCAGCCAGATCGTCAGCATACGCACTAAGCGATATAGTACCTCCCCTTTGATTTTGCAGGGGGTGGAGGTGGAGGCGAGATCACGGCAATGGGTTTGATGGCTGATCTTCTCAAGGTGATTCAGCGATTGGGCTAGATGGGACCACGGAGTGGTAGAACTCAAGGTTCTTTGATTGTTGTATATACGGCCCGCAAGCAAGGTCAGGCTAGAACAAAGAAAAAAGGTATATAGAACTAGTGGACAACTTCCACATGCGTAGATAACTCTATCATGCCAATAAAGTGTTAATCTAACATCAACCCCCTTCGCCGTTATGCAAGCCCTATTGTTTCCCAAAGCTCCAGAGCCCAAAAGCAGATCGCTACTTGCAAACGAATAGTAAGTGAGTAAGAACCGGGCGCCTGGATTCTTGGGAAAGCCATCTCCTGGAACTAAGACATATACCAAGGCCATGCGACAAATCGGCTGATTTGGATTTTACAAGGCCTCTGAGTATTTAGACAACCTGTTTGGAGGTCAACAATCCTGAGTTTCTTTTGTACTTTATTCAGTGTCGAGCGTTTAGCTCCACACTGGCTATGCATCGTTATTATCAGACAGTTCCTCTTCTTCCATCATGTCCAACTCATCTTCCAGCATGCTGACCGCAAATTCACCAATGACATCTTGAATAGGTCCATGCATCAACCGCTGACGAGAATCGTCAGGCTGGATTTCATCGAGAGCCTCCAGAAAATCCGTTAGCGGAGCATAGTCCACCACATCTCCCCAATTGCCTCGATCGACACCGTGCTGATGCAGGAACATTTGCAAAGATTCCAATCCATCTTGTAAGAGCCATTGCTCGAGAACTTGCTGATCACCAGCTAATGCGCGGGCCCGGCCACCTGCACGAGTATCCGTGGCTGCATCCTGCGCAGCATCGCCGCCTTCTTCTTCTTCTTCGTCGCCTCCTTGGAAGCGGGGGAAGTGAATGGCTCCGTCGTTAATCTGGTCCAAAAGATCACGGAGCCATTGCGGTCGACCACCTTCGGGGATCCGTGAGAGGTAGGCTGGGGTTGGGTCGGATTGCTGACGGAAGGCTTCGGACTCGTAAGGGGGAAGGGGATCCGAAGAAGACATTCGGCCCGACACAAAGTGGTTTGGAAGGTGTGTTGTTACTTTGGGGATATCAGACAGCACAACATGACGAGCAATATCCAGAGTGATCTCTGGTGGTTCGATGGGCTCTTCTCCAGAAAGAGTATCGGCAACTTCCATGATAAGAGCCACGGCTTCGGGTGTATTCCATAGGTCTTTTGCACGGGCAATGTAGAGCTCAGTTAGGAGCTCATGAGACCCGGTCGGTGGCATCTTGCCCCAAATCTGCTTAGGGATATGTGAAAGATCCAATTCCTGCGCCAGCCTGTTGAACATCCATGGATAACGAGACATGGCGAGGCGGAGTTGCTGACGGCATTCGTGAGGCTTGTTCAGCCGCAGATAAGCCATCACCAGCGAGCACTGGATATTGGGGAGATCAGCCCAGTCACGACTGAAACGTGTCTGGGTGCATAGATCCACGAACTGCGCATACTCTCGACCGCGCAGAGCCAGATGGTCTATTAGCAGTTTGATACAGTAAGGATCGGAGTCATTCAAGCTGAGAAGAAGCTTGGCCCATTCGTAAGCAGTTCTCCATGTCCCCTTCATGCCCAGGTTGGCAATATACCTCCAGCCAACAAGCCACAGTTCTCGGTTCTCCGTGTGCAAAAAGTCGAGCCTGGCCTGGCCTTCCTTGAGTTTGTTGTTGAACGAGGAGTGGGCGGAGCGCCCAATGTTGAAGAGCGCTCTCTCCAGAAGGTCGGCAGAGACCGCATGATCGCCTTGATGCTTCGCGATCTCGGAGACCTGAAGAAGAGTAGAGATATGGTAGGGATTATACTGGAGGTGATGAATCAACCGCTGTGGATCCATCGACTCGACACAAAGCTCGAACTGTCTTTGTACATCCTGGTAGGCCGCATTATGCACGATCCGGTAGAGGATGTCGCCCAAAGGATACTTCTCGACAATCTCCATGCCCAGGCCTCCACTTGGAGCGCGCGGCCACTCGTCCTTTCCTTGCATGAGAACATTTCGACGCAATGTAACACCCGCGAGACTCTGGCCTCTGCTGGCCGGGCTGTACCTTCCTATCAAAGCTTGACCAAGGTCGACTGTTTCTCGATTGCGATCCCGCCTGCGACCCGAGCCTTCCGCTGGCTGGTCGAAGTTTTCCAGGACCACATTTCCAAATAACCGGCGCATTTCGTTCGTCGCATTAAGGAACTTCGGTTCCACGGAGAGTAACTCGTCGGTGGTTTTTGGGAACGAGTCATCTCGATTGGATTGGGTGTTCGCTGACAGATCAGCGCCGGCTGAGGGTTGACCATCCGTGGCCAGGTCCTTTAGAGCTCGATCAATTTCGTCCAGCTCTGCATCCTTAGATGGCTTGAGTGCTTGTTCGGTCGTCGCGGCAGCTTTGGCCTTTTTGTTCTTCTTTTTCTTCTTCTTGCTGGCGGTCTTCGGCCTTGTGGGTTCGGGTTCGGGTTCGGTTTCAGGCTGCGGAGCTTGCGTTACAGGCTCTGGAGTCTCCTCCTCTGACTTGTCGTCATCGTCATCGCCGGCATTGAGAAGATCGAAAGCATTGAACTTCGGTTTGGCGGGGCGTGGGGCCTCATCTTCGCTTGACGCATCGTGCTCCTCTGGTTCCAGCTGCTGCTGTTCGCGCAGCTTTTGCAGCTTTCGAATCGCACGCGAAGACATCTCGAGGTCTCACCCCAACGGCGACTGTGAAGTTGGATCGGACAAAAGAAAAGAATCTCGAAATTCGCGGGGAATGACGACACGGCCCGATCAGGAATAGTGTCGTGCCTGGAGCATCACACGTGATCCCGTTATCAGAGTCGCGCGCCTCTCGCATTCTCCTTGTCTTTCATTCTGAATACTGAGAATCGCCTTGCAGAGGCAGCTCAGAATCAGTTCGGAACCGTGAGGTAATATTCCCGTCGTCGGATATTTCGAATCAATGCGTCGGGCCACTGTCCAGGCGCTCAGCACTGCTCGGCGTGCACCAGTATGGCAAGTCGCCGGTAAACGGCCTAGTCCACTATCCTTCACCCACAACCAGGTACGAGGCTTGCGTTCCTTCTCTGGAGGCAGACGCCCGTTCTTTGTTCCGGCAGCACTGCAGTCCTCTATGTATCTCCGCAACTTTTCACTCGCCGTGATTTCAACCGTCGTCGCCTCCGGGGCATGGTATGCGTATCAAGGTGACGGCAACGCTCAGTCACTAGCAACACAGATTCGAGGTTTCGCCTCCAGCGCAATTGCGTCCGCACACGCCGAGGACCCATCCGAGTCGACCCGCCGCGCTCTCCTAGTGAGTAACGACCAGTTCTACACAGCGACTCTCTCCGGAGACCAGCCTCTACAGAAGACGACCGACGACTCTGACCGACGCGTTTTGAATATGTTGACCCCGGAACAAGCTACGGAAAAGCTACGGAAGAACGAGGAGTCGTATTTGGTGAACCGAGGCAAGGGAGTTGTTCGCTACGATATCGTACAGGTTCCAAGCAACTCCCCTATTGAGGATGACCATGCCGAGAAGATAGTCGAGGTGCCATCCTCCGTGGCCGGCAACACAAATGGGGATCCGAACAGTGATTGGATGTTCTGGGCGGTATTTGATGGACACTCGTAAGAAGCCTCGCATGTGCAAATGGGATGGGTACAAGAAGGCTGATTATTTACCAGTGGTTGGACAACATCTGCCAAGTTGCGAAATGTGCTTATTTCTTACGTCGCGCGCGAACTCAACACCACTTACAAAGCTGCTGCTGCCGACCCATCGATATTACGACCCTCATCCGATGCTGTTGACGCCGCTATCAAGCAGGGTTTCCTTCGCCTCGATGACGATATTTGCAACAAAAGCGTGGACAAGGTCCTCAAGGAGAACTCGCGGAATGTGGCTGCCGAGATGCTTGCACCTGCACTGTCGGGTTCATGTGCTCTCCTGAGCTTCTACGACTCTCACTCAAAGGACCTCAAGGTTGCAGTTGCTGGTGACTCTCGCGCGGTCCTTGGTCGCCGAGGACCCAGTGGGAAGTGGACTGCCACCGCCCTCTCCGAGGACCAGACTGGCGGGACTCCCTCTGAGATGAAGCGCCTGCGAGAAGAGCATCCCAATGAGCCATACGTCACCCGAAATGGTCGCATCCTGGGGCAACTGGAGCCAAGCCGTTCCTTTGGTGACGCTACCTACAAGTGGACCAAAGACATCCAGGACAAGATCAAGTCGAAGTTCTTTGGCCGCACTCCTTCCCCTCTTCTGAAGACTCCTCCCTATGTCACTGCCGAGCCCATCATCACCACCACGAAGATGGACCCCTCTAAGGGCGACTTCATCGTCATGGCTACGGATGGTCTCTGGGAGATGTTGAGTAACGAAGAGGTCGTCGGTCTGGTCGGCCAATGGCTCGAGCAACAGCAGACTGGCGGCGGCAACAAGGCCTGGCTGAAGAGCTGGTTCGGATTCAACAGCCAGAAGCAGCTGCCTGTGGAGGCAGTTAACGATGCATCTACTGAGGGCCAGCGCCGCCCGATTCGCCAGCAGCAGTATGACATCTCTGGCGCAGCCAGTCGATTTGTCGTCGAGGACAAGAACGTTGCTACCCACCTCGTCCGCAATGCCATGGGAGGCAAGGACACGGATATGATGTGTGCTTTGCTTACCCTGCCGAGCCCGTACTCCCGCCGATACCGGTCTGTTTCTCTTGCTTTTGGTTCTGATATCCAGTGATACTGACTTGTTATTAGGGACGATGTCACCGTAGAGGTCATCTTCTTTGGCCAGGGTGCTGATTCGCGAACCGGTACTGTGGAAATCAACAGGGAGGCCAGTGCTTCAGAGGAGCCTCTCAAGGCGAAGCTTTAAATGGACTCTTTGAGCTGAATGTGATGTTGGGATCTGCATTAGTACCCAAAGTTTTCTTTGCTATACTATACCTCCGAGCCGTTTGAGGGCCATAAAATTCAACTTGATGTTCTGTACAAACCTCTGATTGCTTGAAGTATAGGAAACGTCCATCTTCGTAGTCACATGAAATGAGGCTACCAAGGCAAGTGAAGCCAAAAAGCCATGAGGCTTGGATAGGTCCGGCCACCACATAAATACCTCTCCTCTCACTTCCTTGCCTTCCCTTCCTTCTTCCCCCGAACTTGTCCATACGCGACATGCAGTAAGTTTAGCTCCCCTTCGCTAGTGTATCTTGAGCAGCTCTTTCTCCTATGTTCCAGTGTCTGTGTTTGGTGTCTGGCAGTGGCCTGATACCGGATGATCTACGCCATGTCTCTGATATGAGCAATTACTTGATTCCAGGGATTAAAATAGAATGATACGAGGAGAAGACTTCTTGTAATATTTGTTGGCTTTGTTCATTATTATACACAATCCACAGTATTCGTACATCCCCGTATGTCTGCTGGCACATTTCAGGATACTTTATTTTGAATTTCCCTGTAGCAGATGCTGACGTCCCAGGCGTCATGATATGGACATCTACTACAGATTGAGCCTGTAGTCAGGCTACTTCATCCACAATCGATGTGCGGCAGGAAGAGCCCGTGGTATTCGAAGTATTGAGAACTTCCCTAGAATCTCTCTCGTAGCTTGTGTGCTGGCTACATGGTACAGAGGAAGGATGAACGGGGTCTCAAAATGACAGTTCGAAGTGCTGCAGCCAGCCAGCACATTGCGATCTGGCCATGAAACGGGTTCCACAATCAACTCAGTTTCTGCTTGAAGGGATCAGAGACACCCGGTCTCTCATAGGCGACGAATTTCCTCTGGAAGTTGGGAATCGGCGGCCGCATGAACATGTGCTTCTCCAGCATGTATGTCTGCAGAGTGGCCACATTGGCGCTGGTGATCCAATAGAGCATAAGAGCCACAGGCAATTCATTAGAGAATGCCGAAATTCCAACGCTGACCGCCAAACACTGAAGGAAGTATCCCAATCCACGGAAGAAAAAGGCCTGGTACATCTGCATTGTCGGCAGATCGGCCATAGCTGCCGATGGCGTTGTAACACCCCAGCCTCTCCGGATATTCATGATGATCGTGGCACTCAGAACAACCGGCAAGACGCCTGTTGGGTCGCCTGCTAGCAGGTCCGGGAACCAGAGCGCGCCTTCAGTCGCTAAAGTCGGCTCCACGGGGATGTGCACAGAGTCCGCGGCGTTATGACCTCCGAACCATGATAGTAGCTTTGGGACAAGACCCTGATTGTTCCCGGTCATCGCGCGCAGACCCTCCATGAGCGATAACCAGATCGGCACCTGCAGGAGATTGACATATTTATAACCTGAACGCACTTTCCACTTTTCTAGCAGAAAGATCTTCCTCCCTTCAGACCATTCTTGTATTTCCTTCTTGAATTCTTTTTGACGGGTTGCCGGTAATTGTTTCATTTGGTTCTGGGCGTAGACTCGCCAGGAATGGATCAGAGGCGCAACGTCTCTTTCTCGACGGGCGATGGCTCGTGTGTACATTTGTAATGGCATTGCAACTATCATCCTCACAACCACGGCTGTAAGGGGGAATTGATGCGACCCATGGAAGGCCGGTGATGGAGTGAATGCCATGGATGAACGCGGTGGATGCGTCCAGTGATTCGTGGATGAGTCGAGTCGGTTTAGTCGGGTGGAAATGACGGATTTGTGAGGGTGAAAGGGGAAAAACTCTTGACGAGGAGCGCAATGCCCCCATGGAACGGAGGTTGTTCATGGCGAGGGCAGCCATTTGATCTCTTGCGGAGAGCGGAAAAAGATGGGCGAGATCGGGGAAAACACGAATCAGGTGACACGTATGGATGCTACGTCAACGCTTTGTTGACTTGTCCAACTGTCTTTCAACTATGCGCTCCTGGTGACTCCTGCCACCATGGCTTTCTTATCTACCGCCGTTTTAGTTCTCTTTATTGTCACCGCGACCGTCGTGCTTCTTCCGCAACTCGTGGGGAGCTTACTCGGTCTACTCTTTCGCGGCGTGGGATGGTTGATTCGCCGACGGACGCGCTCTCGCCGTGAATATGTGATCGCGCGGGCGCGGTCTGAGGAGGAGGAAATTCGGGCGCCGCGCGCTAAGGACTCTGCTCACTTGCTGGCCAGGAGCCAGGAAGATGAGGACTGGGAGAAGGTGGACAGCACTGCCTCTGGTGGGGTGAAGACTACGGGAAGCAGTGACAACGGTGCCAGCACTGGCGGTGAAGGTGCCGAGTGGGATGGTATTATTGGATTCTTCCACCCTTTCTGGTAAGACTGGCTCTATCGCTTGTGTTGGACATGGACTGACATGTCTTATAGTAATGCTGGTGGAGGTGGAGAACGAGTACTCTGGGAAGCTGTGCGCGCAACGCAAAAGCGCTGGCCGAAGGCTATCTGCGCTATCTATACTGGTGACCATGAAGTGAACAAGGCGACGATGCTGGAGCGGGCGGAGACCCGATTCAATATTCACCTACATGCCCCGACTGTGGTGCTGCTCTACTTGACTACGCGCAAGTACGTTGTCGCCAGCTCATACCCATACATGACACTGCTGGGACAGTCGCTGGGATCTCTCGTGGTTGCATACGATGCTTTCACGCTGCTGGTGCCGGACGTTTTCATCGATACCATGGGCTATGCCTTTACCCTGGCATTCAGCAAGTGGCTCTTCCCTACGGTCCCCACCGGCGCCTATGTCCACTACCCAACTATTTCAACCGACATGCTCGCCTCCCTCGATGACCAGAGTGGCGTGCAAGGCATCAACTCCGGTGCTGGGAAGGGACTTCGGGGAGCTGTCAAGCGCCGATATTGGCAACTCTTTGCACGGCTGTACGGATGGGTCGGCCGACACGTGGACGTCGTCATGTGCAACTCCTCATGGACGTCAGCCCACATTCGTAAACTCTGGGGCAACGAGAAGAGTAACGATAACGGCGAGGGTGAGGGAACCGCAGCCTCGCCAGCAGTGGTATTCCCACCCACGGCAGTCTCCGAGCTCGAATCAACCATTACAGTCAACGAAGAGACCGAGAAAACCCGCCGACAAGTCTTGCTATACATTGCGCAGTTCCGACCTGAGAAGAACCACCCACTAGTCCTGCGTTCATTCGCGCGATTTCTCCAAGAACGGTCCAAGAACCCAGCCAACGCAGACACACCGACACCACAACTCGTCCTCATCGGCTCAGTCCGACATTCCAGTCCAGATGAAACCCACATCTACAATCTGCGTCTCCTCGCACACGAACTCCACATCCGTGACAGCACAACTTTCCTCTGCGACGCCAGCTGGCCAGCAGTTCTATCCCACCTCAGCACCGCCTCCGTCGGCGTGAACGCCATGTGGAACGAGCACTTCGGCATCTGTGTCGTCGAATACCAAGCCGCCGGACTTATCTGCGTGACGCACGACTCCGGCGGTCCGCGCGAGGACATTGTCGTTGACCTCGGCGACGGTGCGACTGGGTTCCATGCTGAGACTGAAGAGCAATTCGCGGCTGCTTTCGAGGCGGCCCTTGCGCTGCCGGTTCCTGAGAAGGTCGCTATGCGTCAACGGGCCAGGCGGTCTGCATTGAGATTTACCGAGGAGGAGTTCTCGCGTAAGTGGTTGCGACAGGTGCAGAAGTTGGTCGGGGCTTCTCGGTAGTTGTAGATATCCTCCGGAATAGACGAATGTTTCTGCAGTCTTGGACTACTTTTTTTGTATAGTTCTCTGCTTTATTTGCGAGGGAAATCACCGAGTCACGTATCTTCGACTATTTATCAATTTCAAATCCTAACCTCGGAAACAAATAAAGATGAAGATCTAATATTGCTTGCAAGGGTGCGTTGCACATGGTATATAGCACTCCACCCGATACCTGAATATGTCCAAAGTCAAAAACCGTGGCAACAGCCAAAATCAAAACAGAAGACGGGTATGATAAGAGAGGAATAAAATCATCAAATGCATCACACTTCATGTGAGTGGAAGGATGAGCGGACACCTGAAAGAAAAAGAAACAGACAACCGTGAAACGAATGCCGGTGTATAAATGGAATGAAAAAAAAACCAAGTTGCAAATGACCTCTCCCACCGTTTATCTGAACGCCGGCACCCTCTATATGGACTCCCTAAACCAGGGAAGAAATGGAACGAGCGTAAAAGAGACGTGTGTAATTGATGCAGGGCGTTCCAGGTCGATGCTTTCATTTTTGAAGATTTGTGGGTTGGAACGAGTTCAACGTTATCAATTCCACTGTCCGGGATTGCCATACATGGCTTGCTGATTATTGCCGTAGCCACCACTCATCCCGGAGACATTGCTGATACCGTCGTCATCATCGAATCCGAACTCACCACCTGAACTCGCGTCAAAGCTACTGCGACCCCCAATATCACTAGGATCATCACCACCAGCAGGAATCTGATCCCACTGTAGTGCCTGCAGGGCCGGATATTGTGCGAGTACAGCAGCTGGTAGGACAAAGTTACCAGACGACTGGCTATCCATGCCGGGGCCACTTGGCATGACGAGTGGCTGCGGGACGGGTTGTAAATGGCCAGAAGGTTGTTGCTGTTGTTGCTGTTCGAGAAGAACACGTTCTCTTTCTTGAGACTCTTCATCGAGCAGCGGCTTGATGCACACTCGGCCGGCTTCTGATCGGAAATGCCGGCCGAGTGCATCCGCACGCGCAAACCGGCGCCCGCAGCCCCAGTTCCCGCCTCGACCTAGGTCGCCGCGACAAACGAATTTCTTTTCGCCGGAGTGCAGTCCTTCGTGGCGTTTTCGGTCGTGTTGTCTGGCGAAGGCTTTGCCGCATACTGTGCATACGAATGGTCGCTCGTCTGTATGGGTTCGCAGGTGGGACCGCAGGTTGTATGCGCGGGTAAACCGCTTGGGACACAGTGTGCACTGGAAAGTGGCCGGGTGTTTCTGAACGCGCTTGGAGTCTCCAGGCAGTGCGCCGGGGCGCTGAGGATCGGCGAGATCCAGGATATAATTTCGGCTCTCAATCGATGATGTTGAAAGGCGTCGGTTAGAACGTGACGGTGATGCGTCACGAGAACCGGGATTGCTGCGCGAGTGGGGTGATAATGAGCGCGGTGTGTTCGGTGCGAGAGCCTCAAGGCTTGTCACCGAAGTTGCAGGGGACCTTGAGCGAGAAGCAGGGTGTGCATAGGGATCCGATTTACTACGCACACGGGATCCTAGAGTCAATTAGTATGCACAGTTCAGAATCAAAGTAGCGTGAAACCCACTCATTGCTGGAGGACTCAACGAGTCCAGATCTGCGGCCGGTTTACCAGGCCCGAAGCTGGGAATGCGCGAAGGCGGCGCAAACTCCACATTAATGGACGGGGGTGCCATCTGAGACGCTTGTCCAATATCGGCGCCACTGTTCATAGCGTTCATCAGGTCGTCCTGTGGCATACCATACATGTCTGTCGGCGCAGATGGGAATTGAGAAGTCATGTTGGGCGAAAGATAAGCATTCGGTGGTATCTCATCAACCTGCTGGGGTATCAGTCGCGGCGAAATATAAGGACTGTGGAGCGGGCTAAATCCCTGCTGCTTTTGCTGCTGTTCCGACAGCGTGAATGACTCAATACCAAGGGCATTGTCATATAGAGCGGGGTCGTTTTGCGGCACCAGAGAAGGCGACGGATTGTTCTCGATACCGTCATACTCGTGCTGGGACAGGTAGGGGGAGTGGTTGGCCGAGGAAACTTCAGACACCTCCGAGGGTGCCCTGCGGTGGCCTTGGAACGCGGTCGAGCTGTTCATGACGGATTGCCAGTCCTGATGGGGTTGCGCGCTCAGGTAAGCTGCTGTGGCCGGATCGAGCGAGGTATGTCGCGAATGCTGGGGCGTGTAGTATGTGCCCGGATTAGAGCCGGGGGGAGACATAGGGCCAGGCGACTGCTGCTGCTCTTGCGACGAGGGGTGGGAGGATGCAGAGGGGTTGGAGACGGGGCTAACGAGATCGGCCGGGTTGACTGCTTGATGCATGGGTTGCGGGTGCTGGTGCATTTGCGGATCCAGCAGTAGCGATGAGTCGTACTCCGAGGCAGACGCGCCATTGGAACTGTGGTTTTGGTAGACGGAGAAATCCAGGTCCCCTGCATTTGTGCCGAGCATGTAATTCTCATCTAGCTGATGGGTTCTGAGGACCTGGTTTCCATGATCGAGTTGATTGACCAGGCTCGCCTCGAATGACTGCGACATGGGCATGTTGTTGCTGATTGCCGGGGGAAAGGGTTCGGATGGCGGAGCGAGACCCTGCGTCTGCGGGGCTGCGGAGAGGTAGGGCGCAGAGTAGCTATAAGAGTCGGGTCCATTGATACCGGCGTCTGGATTATTATTGTCGAAGGAGGGAAATACGGACATGGAGGGATCCAGGTTCAGGCCCGTGGGATCTTGATACTGCTGAGCGTGGGGTGACGGGCTCACGCTACGATGGTTGACATCCGCGGGGGCGGCACCCGAACCTTGGGCATGGCCGTGGGACGCCATCGTGGCAATGTCAAGGTGGGACAGGAGCCAGCGATGTGTCGGCACGTGAGGTATAAGGAGGTTGACTGAAAGGACGAGAAAGACTGTAGCCGGCGCGAAACGAAACCCGAATGTTGTTGATGTTGATATGCTAGGGAGTTGGCAGGCGGCGGATCGCGGACAGCGCAGGGAGGAACAGGCGATGACAGTCTGGCATTCGCAGAGGGGAAATCAACAGCCAAACTGGAGGTATCAGCAGCAAATCTGCATCATCGCAAGATGCAGGATGTAAGTTGGAGGGACACGAGAAATGGTGACTTCACGTGCGCAAGGCGGTCTGGGGCTCCGTGGAATCGGCAAGTTGGGCCCTAACTCTGTACTGGACTAGGAAGTTGCTAGTTATGAGAGGTAGCATAGATCCACCCGTTCGTGCTGGCCCTCGGGGGGTTTTTGTCTCAACCGTACCGTGCAGAAGGTTAGTTGTATTGACGTTTATCCCCACAATGGTGAGCCCACTACGATAACAGATAGGCAGTCGCGTAACTATTTTTATATTACTTCCACAGCAAGATCTACAAGCTTTTTTGTCAACGAGAAATCCTCATTGCTTAGAAACAGACGTATCTGGTGGAGAGTGAATTCCGGCTAAGGCGCCCGGGAACATTTAGCTCTGGTGCACAGCCACGCAGCTAGGTTTCATCCGCGGAGACCATTTGGATCTATTCCCTTTATAGTAAGGGCGTCTGGGCTCGGACTACGAGGGGTACCGATTTCTAGGGCAAGGCAGAACGCTTGTCTGCCTCGCTGACGTGGTGATGCTCCCCGAAGTAGGCTGCCAAAAATATCGAAATGCTTCTGCCTCTTTTCATATTTGCGAACCGGGTCAAGGGCTATGTGGCTTGCCTACAGACTGCCCAGTGTGCTCATACTCGCGCGTACTTCATCGTTCGTCCAGCTCACAAGCAGGTTATCCGAGCAACTGCTGCCCAATCCTGCGTTGTCCACCCAGGCGGGTTCCCAGTAGTAGATACCCAATCCGCCAGAGACCCCTTCCACGACAGCTGCAAGCTTATCCAGGAATTCCTCCTGCCCAGCGACGGAGAAAGGAATGTTTGAAAGATCCGATGGGAAGGCGTACTCGGGGTTCGGACAAGCATAGGGCCAATTGGTCTCGACAACCAGCACGTCTTTATTATATGTCGAGTACAGGTTCGTCAAGCTCGTCTCCAGAGCAGAAAGAGTCGCGCTGGAACTGTAGAAGGGGTAGTAGGAGACGCCAATGTAGTCGAAATCAGAAGATACCAGAGTCGAGCCGCTGGCGAGAACCTCATTGTAGAAGTACTCCTGCTCGGACCATGACCATCCGTTATCCAGATGGATCATGATCTTGGGAGTCGTGGCCAGGTTCGAGTCCTTGACACCCCACGCGCCGGAGTGTAGCAGTTGCGAGATGTTGGCGTAGCTGCTCGTTTCGCCGAGAGGCCAAAGGAGGCCATTGCGGATCTCGTTACCAATCGAGACGATGGCAACGTCCAGTCCATTGTCGTGGAAAGTGTTGCACACATCCAAGGTATAGTTGTATAGTTGCCAGGCGAGTGTGTCGATATCGGTCGTGGACCATCCGGAGGGCGTAGTCTATGAATGTTGGTTTCATTCACTCTGTACCAAGCATGGATTCAATTGCATACCTGATCACTGGGATCAGCCCAGGTATCACTTAAATGCAGATCCAGATAAGTCGACATCCCCTGCGCCTGCACCCTCTTCGCCAGCTCCAGATTATAGTCGAGATCGTACGATCCATCACTGGGATTCACCCACACACGCTGGCGAACAGAATTGATACCGCTGTCAGCGAGAATGATCTCCAGGGCCTCCGTCGCTCCATCGGTAGTCTTGTACGAAATGCCCGAATTCTCCTCAACGATCAACGAAGAGATATCTGCACCGCGGATAGAGAGAGCCGCATACACAGGGGCGAGCAAGGAAGATACGAACAGAAGGGTCGAGTGAAGCATGATGGGTGTATGTATGCAGCGAAAACTATTGAGCGGCCACACTCCTTCAGACAACCTAGCTCTCCTTTCTTATGCATTTTCATCTCGGACCTTTTAAACGGACGGACGGGAGAATTTAACCCCATTTATCCGTCGCGTAATCTACCCCGTACCTGTGACAGATATTATTCCGGAGGGATCACGGGGTGACTGGTGGAAATTCCACCCCGTGACCTAAAAAGAATTTCCAGTATTTCATAGAAGTGTGTAAGAAAATGATGAGTTTAGGTAGTAATTTCTAGTAATATTTTAGGGTTATTACTAGTAACGGAGGTGACGGGGTGGACTAGACTGCGCCAAACCCCGCGCCAACCCGAACCCAACCCAAACCCGCAAATAGGTTAGGTTCAGGTCGACTCCAAGTCTGCTACGACAGAAAATAACAGAGTACATTCAAGGGGAAACTAAAGATACAGAAGGAGAGAAGAAGAAAGAGAAGTTGTAGTATGACGATGAAGTAATATACCTGATTCGTAACCTAAATGATATACCTACCATGTCATGCAAACCAAGTAAACGGCAAGCAAACAAACTAGGCAGGCAAACATGCAATCCTCACAATATTAAACTACATTTCAGCTAAAGGGGCCAAAGCGACGATCGCGCATCCAGAACCGTTAGTAATAGATCACGCCGCTATTTTAGGCTTAGTTTAATTTACCAAATGGCGGTGCAAAGACATTCCAAGTGGCAGCGCGAGCAGTATCCTCTCTTCCCATCTGACCAGAACGGATTTACCCTATCTCACCGCAACAAAATTCTAACCTAAATCCAATCATGTCTTTCTACCCAGAAGGTTGGACGCATGACCGGCTCCTCAACGCCAGCGGAGAAGACCTTATGGCCCTCTCAGAAACTCAACGCACCACTCTTTTCGACGGTCTAAAAGCCACTCACGGCGAAGATGGTTTCCGCGAAATAATGCAGGAAATGAGTCGCCGCTACCGGGCCCGAGTTGAGGCTGCTAAGTTAGAGGATACTAAGCAGCAAGAGCGGGAGCTCCTCGCACCTTTTGTCCAGACCCTGAATTCTGTCTTCCGAAGCGCAGAGACTGAGGATTGGGGGAAATGGGGATTTGTGATGTTTCGCACGACTCCCTATGGGGGTGAGCATGAGACACAATGGGCGGAATTCCGAAGACGGTGGGATGCGGTGATCGAGGAGGGGTTGGTCCTACATCGGGGCTCGTTGCCAAAGGTAGACCGAGCGATTGATTTATTGGAGTTTCAATGGGTAGAACAGCCCGAATTAGAGGGCGTAGATGCAGCGGATGTGGCTAGGTATGTCTCTTTTGTCTTTGATTCTCGATTTTTATCTTCACTGGACTAATATTTTATACGAAGATGCTTCAATAAAATAGCCTTACCACAGGGAATCGCCACTTCCGCTTGTCTAATGGTAACACTAGCTTCTATGGAGTCTGTTCTCTCCTCACCACTTCCTTCTTCCGCGCCGCGCCATGAGCGCCAAAGGATTCCTTTTGTTGTTTCGGTATCCCAGGGGGCGAGTGCCCCGCGTCCTTCACCTTTGCTAAGCCCAGGTGATGAGGATGTGGCCGGCACTGAATTTAAGGGGTATCTTAATGTGGCCGTGGAGACTATCTTACAAGAGTTTTACCCGATTGTCGCGTTGCAGATGCTGGATCTATATACCTTGACGACGAAATTCCGGCATGATAATGATATCTGGTGTTCGAGTGATAGGTGGGGTGTACACTATTACGAGGAATTATAAGTTATGGTACATACTAGTAATAACCCTAAATATTACTAGAAATTACCACCTAAACTCATTATTCTCTTACACATTTCTATGAAATACTGGAAATTCTTTTTAGGTCACAGGGTGGAGTTTCCACCCTATCACCCCATGAACCAATTGCCTGGAGAGAGTGGAGACAGTCCGGCTTCGGGCGAGTTTACGCGGAGAAACGCTAGGGTGGCAGGGCGCCCAGCGTCATGAAGTACATGACCCCACCGGACCAAAAATGCCGCTCTACGATAGACATGTAGTTCAAAGTTCAAGGGTATAAAGCTATATTCTGCTCAGGAGATGATTCTCCGTAATCCATTTCGTGACTGATCAGCCTTAGACGATCATATATCATGCGATCCACACCGCAAACCAAGAAAATAGCCCAGCACGCCATCCAGAGTCAACATTAGATACAGGTAAAGCGGAAGATAGAAAAAGATCCGTGCACGTGAGCGCGCAAACAGATGAGAAACAAAGAAGGCCGGGGAGTTGCGTGAAGATATTCTCCAGTTCCATTGACAACGACGCCTGGAATCCGGCTTCTGGGTTCTAGCTGGCCAGGAAGAGGTTCTCGCGATGGGCGGTAAGGACCGAGGGTGCGAAAATGTTATATGTACAAGCCACGTTGAATGTATGTCGACAAACTCTAGACATAGGTTCCCGGTTATGATTGGCGGAAACTGGGGGGAAGTAATTCCGGTGATATACAAAGACCTCTCAGTTTGAGGAGTGTCGACGTGGAGTAGGGTGGGCGGGATAGAGGTTGGTGAATTGCTTGGGAGTTTGTAGTCGTAGTCTCCAGTGCGTTTGCACTCAGATGCGAATCAGCCTGATGTTCGGAGAGTGGGCTTGGCCTTGTTGTCGGGAGCCGCTTTCTTCTTGCCGATCACAAGAATCTCTTCTTCGGACTCGTCCTCGTCTTCGTCATCGCAGTAGTACCTTGATTCGTCTTCCTCGGGCCGCAGCGAGCCCAGGCGGTGGGCTTTTACGGTCTCTCCGGTTCGTAGGATAGATGGTACGTTGGAGTTTCGTAGGATAGATGGCACGTTCGAGTCTTTGTCATTGAGGTAGAGGCCATCGCCGGAAAGCGAAGAGGCCCCGGAGACAACAGACGGGATGCTGGGATGTGAAGCGCTCTGGGACATGCCGCTGGTGAAGTCGTCGGCAGAGGAGGAAGAGATGGTGGCGGCAGAAGGGGTTGGGTTGATCAGGCCACTGCTGGGATTGTCGGCGGGATGTGCAGGCTCCGGGGGTGGAGCTAGTGATGGCAAGTATAGGGAATCCGTTGAGTACATGGCACTTTCACTTGCGACTCTCGGAGCCAAAGCATCATCGGCACTGGGCTCGATGTCACTCCTCCGACGGCGCAGGAGCGCCTCCCGGGTGAGGTTGAAGGATTCCGCAGAGGATTTGCCTGCAAGTTGATGGGACCGATTGCGTCGGTGAGCAGATCCTGACAATGAGGTGGTGGCAGGCGAAGGAATTGCAGCCTGCCATAGACCAGTTGTTCGTAGGTGGCCAACAGCGGAGGCATTGCTCACAGCGAGACTGGGCACAGAGCGATGGTCTCCATCCAGAGAAGCTGTCTCACCACTTGGCGAGGTACGTCGGCTGCGACTTGAACCGAATGCACCCGATGCACGCTTGGTCGCACCGCTGAAAATACTGCCGATGCTGGTTGTCCCTAAGGCTTCAAGGATCGAAGGTGTACCCGTTCGGGGGCGCACAGTGCTGTGCGAATCGAAGCTGGACTGCTTCACGGTCTTGGTAGATTCTGCGGTGGACATCGAAGACTTCGCACGTCGTGGAACCGGTCGTGTCACAGTCGGGACAGGAACGGGAGCGGGGACAGGCGTGGTCTCGACCACCGGTAAGCTAGGGAAGTAGGATGTAGTCCAGCTTTGCTCGTCTACCGGGCTAGCAGTGACACTCTGGGCCAGCGGATGTTCGCCGGATCCAATCTTGGACGACCGTAAGATATCCTCGTCCCCTCGTAAACTGGATCGACGACTGTCGCGCGAAGCTTTTCCAAAAGTACTGGAGCTGGACATCGAAGACAAAGTGTCCGAGGAATTCGTCGAGGTACGCTTGCGAGGTTCCTTGTCCTTCGAGGAACGACCAGAGAACCACTTGGCAACGTTGGATCGGACACGCTGAATGAAAGGCACCTTGCTGACAGCACTGGTAACCTCCTCGTTCGAAACCTCGATCCTCTTGCCCTTGCTTTGAAAACCGGGATCTGACTCTTCCACCCAGGCACGGGGGTTGGGCAGACCGTACAAAGTCCAAGGGTGATGCTTGATCTCTTTCAATGTGATGCGCCTGACCGGGTCCTTCGTCAACAATCGTCGCAGTAGGTCGTACAGCTCGTCATCAATGTCCTCGTATACGAGCTCACCGGCGTCACGACAGAACCTCTGGAGCCCGTCGGTAGTCTCATCCTTCACAGGCACAAGGCGCTTGCGCGGGATGAAGACCTCTTTCTTGACAATGGTCTGGAACATGCTGTATTCATCATCTGATACAAAGGGAAGACGGCCAAAGACCATCCCGTACAATGTGACTCCCAGAGACCACACATCGATGGCACCAGTGATCTTAGGAATAGAACCAATGGTTTCAACAAAGTCGTCGCCGGTGTAGCAGAGTTCGGGGGCGTAGAAAGCAGGAGTGCCAACTGTCTTGGACAACTCACGGGCATCATCCAGCTCGGTCGCATCAGTCGCTTCCAATTGCTCTTCTTCTTCGTCACGCATGGGCCGTCCCAAGTACGAAACACCAAAGTCAGAGATCTTGACGCGATGGCTGCCGGTAACTAGCAGGTTCGCCGGCTTGATGTCCCGGTGAATAATACCCTGGTAGTGGAGATACTCCAGTCCGAGGACGGAATCTCGGAATGCGTTACGCGCTTCGGCGATAGTCAAACAAGGGACATACGACAAGTCGTCCCCATCTGCAGACCACTCCGGCTCGGATGGAGGATAACCAAAGCTGCTGGAAGCTGTACTGAACCGCCGCTCAAAAGGATAATCGGTGTAGGCACCGTACATACTACCCTCGATGGCGGCGAGTTCATCCTGGGAAGAGGATTGACTAGGAAAGGTATCATCGGTGACCGCAGCAGAGCGGATGGACGATCTCCGGATAGCCAGCCCTAAACCTTCGTCTTCTTCCTCGTCTGATGACTCGGCACCATGTTCCAAACTCCAGCCGGGAATCGGTCCTTGTTGGGCGTCCGCGGCCTGCGCTTCGACCCGCGCTCGTGCCTTTTCTCGTTGCCGACGTAGATGTTGAGCCGTCCGGATGAATTGTTGGCTCTCCTGCAAGAAGGCCGGGGTATCAGGGATTCCAGCCTTCTCGCGGTCAAGCCGTATCTTGTCGACGTGGACGATTTCTCGTAATCCCTTCTTCCGCCAAACAATCTCACCGTTCTCGACATACTCCAACACTATGTAGACCTTTTGTTGATTCGGGTCATCGATGACCTCGAGCAAACTAACGACATTGGGATGCCGTGCCTTTTTGAGAATAGCGACCTCTTTCTTGACTTTGTCCTCTGGGTTGCCCAGCTTGCCTAATCGGCGGCGCTTGGAGTACCGTTGGACAATCTTGATGGCCACCTTTTGCTTGGTGGTAACGTGTCTTCCCAGCTTCACTTTGCCATGTTCGCCCCGCCCAAGCTCCTCGAGAATTTCGTACTGGTTGACAAGCTTGTTCCCAGTGATAATATCTCGTTCCACTTCGACAGTATGTGTTTCCTTTGGCGGCTGCAGGTGCGTAGGGTGAAGGTAGGGGCTGCCGAGTGAGCCCTCCTCATCGGAAGCATTAGGTGGGGTGTTGCGAGGGCTTCTCATCGAGAAGAGTCCTGGACTCGATACCGGGGTGTTGCCGGCCGTGCGAGCAGCACGAGGATGAATCCGAGGAACTGATTCGGTCTGTGACGGGCAGGAACTTCGCGTTCGTAGATGCGGTGCTTGCCAGGTCGGATGTATTTGAGACTGTAGCGAGGCATAGGATTGGTCAGGATAGACAGGGTATTCAGGTTGAGTGTCCGACTGGCGAGATGCCCTCCGAGGACTCCGTCCAATACTGCCATTTTCCGACCGGGCATCAACAACTATGTCTTCGTTAAGGGCTTGTAGGGAGCTGGTGGACGAGCGGGCCGAGGGGACTCTCGAGGAGTAAACGTGGGGGAACGCTTGACGAAGAGTCGCTTGTGCGTCGCTGATTTCAGGTGTCAAGGGAGCCTTAGCAGACTGCTTGTTTGTGGTTTGTCGACCGGCTTCGGCATTGTCATTTGTTAAAGACGGTGCCTGAAACGCCTCATCGGGCATGTTGGGATCCCGCTTGGGATCTCCCGAGACAGGGCCATTTCGAGTCATCGGCTGATCCGCTTCTTCCAGACCAGCAATCGAGGACCAAGATTCTGTCATTTTCATCCTTCTTTTTTATTATAGGGGCTTCTTTTGCAGAGAAAAGAAAGATTCAGGTGTTCGAGCCAACGGTACGAAGGTTGCCGTTGATCATTCTCCTCTAACTTCCCGTCCGATAACCTTGGAATATGTTCACGGAGAGCCGGTGAGGAGCTCTACTGAGACGCACGAATGAGCCCGCATTACATTCGGTGTCGGGACTCGGACGAGGGTTCGAGGGCTCGTGTACCGGACAACGGGCCGACCAAGGGGGAGGCGATCGAGGTAGACCTGCTACTGCACGAGGGATTCGAGCTGCTCCCACGTGCGTCGGAGTCGACAAAGGAGCGCGGACGGTGGGTGATGATATAAATACAGCGACGTGGGTTTCGGAGGCCACGTTCGGGAGGGACGGAGGGGTGGTAGCGAGATCGGAGGTATGATCGGGCGAAACAATTTTGGAGAAGGAATGTCCGTAAAAAAAAAAAAAAGGAATGGCCCGGAGAAAGGAGAGAAGAGGAGGAGAGGAAGGAAAGGGAGGTTGGGTGGGTAAGAGGGCAGAGCGAAGATCGGATGCCAAGGGAAGAGGCACGAAATACCAATGACGACGGGCAACAAATCCTTAGGGGACGATTCTTCACCCAAATTACCCGTAATTTCTGTAATTATAGAAATGGCGTGGGGCTGAGCGTCTTCGGCCGACGCTCCGGGTGGTCCGTGTGCCCTTGAGTCTGTTTGCATAGAATTTCGCTTTTTGTCTTTTTCCTATGGAGAGTGGCGGATCCGCCAGAACTTGCCAACATGATTTGGGCTCGAGCCCGAGTCCAAGAGTCCAGTCTATGGTAGAACTATGCTCATTACGTCGAGACTTTTACCCCGTCTAGTCCCATTCTGGTTGAGTTGGTACTACTGTATAGTGGCTCGCGTGCTTAACCCAGGCTAAGTATTTTTGAGGCGCGGGTCCGTGGATCGCCTTTCCGTTGACCGGTCTCCCTCCTGGATATGTACGATATAGCCATCATACTCCGTACCGTTGTATCAACCACGTACCGTGGTTGCCACCCACTTTGACATATCTCTAATCCGTTTATGTACATTAATGTCGCTGGTCAGGTCGGGCAACGTGGGATTTTAGAAACTAACTTCGACCCGACCATTCGGGAGAACACCACCGTCTGTGCCCACTGCCATAGCTCGACTGTGGATTCTTCTTCCAAGAGGCTTTTTGCCTTCTGATGGGCTGATGCTGCCCACGCTAACGTTTCGCGCGAACCCGGCCAGCCAGGGGCCGTGACAGGGACTCTATAGTATAATGCTCTTGACACGGCTCGTGAAGGCGTTGCGCTAGTTTCCCGTGCCGGACAATTACGGCTACACGGCTATACAAGCCGGGGTATTATAACTCGGTATAAAGCCACTCAGAGGCGTTCTGCACGATGCTGTTTCGGCATCGATGTATGTGCAGTCCTGTCGACGCCCGAGCGTAGCCCGTGCGCGAAGAACGAACAATTTCCCAACGCGGTCAAATTTGGATTACGTCATGCGAAGGTCTGGGCCCCTAATTAGCCTTCATTTCTCGGCTTTCTTTCTTTTTTTCCTGGCATACCTCCAGTGAAAAGAGAAGAAACAACCGCTCGCTTTTACTGGACCCCGGGGTGAACTTATTCCCTCGGGCCATGGATTCAAGTGAAGCTGAAGTCGCATTCCAGCCAAGAGGGCCAAGGCTTTAGCGCACAGGTCAACTAGAGATGGCCCGCACCACTTTTTTGACTTGGTGGCGTATCAATCTTGGTTTTTGGTCTGGGGAATCCATATTGATAGCGGGTCTACCCTGGTCGCGCGACATCCCGGCCTACAATAGAGGAATTTGTCATGAGATTCTCATCCGGTAGAGTCAGTAATAAAGAACCCTCGTTACAGTAGCTCGGACCCGGGCTTCGAAATGAGGCCCGGGGCACGACCGAGTAAAACTTCGCGGGGTTTGAAACTAGCTCCAATCCAGATTTGCGTATTCGTACTCCAGACCTTACGTGCATCCATCCCTAGCTTAACCGCCCCCAGCACTAACTCCCACGAACCCCGCAACGGACATCTAGCCGCTTGATCCGACCCTCACCCGTACTCGTTTCCACGAACCCGGCACAGCCGTGCTGCACCTCATTGGCCAACGTGCGAAGGCCCAACCCATGCCCCCCGGAGAATCTTACACCTTCAGATACCCAAAGGATCATCGTAATAATCTCCACGCGACTGATTCGCTCGATCCAAGGGACATGCCCGTGCCATCTTAATCCTAGCCCCCATTTCGAGAGTAAGTTATGGCAGCGCCCCCCCCGAGGGCCCTGAGCGCCTCATGCGCACTGCAGCGATCAGTGCACATGGATGTCCTGCGCCCTAGCGAATCGTCCGAGCGAGTTCAATACGGCCCCGGAGATCTGCAGCAGTCGGTGCCATCACTCTCGTTGTATCCTCCTGCTGTGTGACACAAGCGGCAACCCCTTGCCTCAATCCAACGCGCTGGGCCGGTGCCACACCCTGTGTTCTTACTACTCTGTATTAACGTCTATGGAGCCCGATTGTAAATCTGTCGGGGTACACGACGCGCAGGCACGGTGGGACCTCTGGTTTCTTGGGTGGCATTGCGTCAGCGAGAGGGTGTAGAATCGTTAGGAGTGACAGATCGATTCGGTCTTGGGCTGGATATGGTTGATGTTGTGTAATGCTGGAGGAACGAATTTAAGAGAACATCTGATCGGAAGTTTTGATCTTCGAATGTTTTGAGATGGTGTCTTCCTTGCTTGGGCAAAGAGGCAAGTTACATGGGTGGTAGTAGAGCACTGGCCTCCGCGCCTATTGCTTGGGGAATTGATATCCTTGATATGCATTTGAAGATCAGCATGAGAATATCTATTTGACTTTCCAACGGTGGTGACATTGGATCGCCATCGACATTCTCCGTAACCAATGAGTAGAAGCTGTCAGCCTTATATTCTCCGAGGGGGGGCGTTAGCACGAGAATCCGTTTGCTTGTGATAGCCAGCCCCGTGGCACTTCCCTCGTGATTTAGGCGGTCATGGTCGAATTTGGAGATGTAGGAGGCTCTATCTGGGATGGTATGGCGTCGGGCTCTCTTGATACATCTTTCCGCTCCAAAGGTAGGCCCTTAAGATATCAAAGCACTTCTGTGCATTTACCTCGTCACATGGCTCAAGCGCATCCCTTGAATCCATGCGTCTTCATTATGAGTAATATTTCCTCCGTCCGAACTAAACAACGGTGATGGAACTATAGAACGAGGGGCTAGTGCCATGATAATCTCACTTCGAACTATCGGCAGACGCGCCGAACAACCGACACGACAGGTCAACCTGGGGAGGGAGCTACTTGCAATCAAAATAGGAACTCAAAAGCTCTAGATGATCCAGCCCCTGATTGGTGGAGCGTCGAAACTCGTAAGCTTCAGATGCAAAGTTGCCGGAATATTGAACAAGGGCTACTGCTCGCGATGAGCGTCATGCATTTCTATTCGTTGGGCGCGGAGAATGGTCTGAGCACCTGCAGGGAGTTAGCAGCCTGAACTGGAAACGAGACTGTTTCGAATAAGTGCATGCCACCCCGGCCTAGACAATCAATATTTGCTTCCACTATTTCTCAGGTTGGGCTTTGCTTCTTCTTTGGTTTGCTTTTTCTTTTGGTTCGCCTTGTCGCTTTGATTCTCGCTCTCGCTCTCTCTCTCTCTCTCTCTCTCTCTCTCCTGCCGCATTCTTCTAACCGAAAGAGGACAATGATCCAGGATTCTCACTCCGAGACACATACTATAATGCAAGGACTTATAGGACTCGGTAAAGAATGATATTTTCATAAGAGGCATGGCCCTCGCCGTTATCGGATATGCTTTGACCACCCAGTGTCAACCACGCAACAGGGGGACAAATGAGGTTAAGTCTCGGATTCACCTGCATACTCGGCTGAACACCCTTGCGCAGGGTGGACAGGTACATTGACACATCACGGAAAAATGCGACACTGCGCATGTGCTCTAACCAGGACCATTCAAGCGATTGGTCAACGCAACTGGGCATTACAATCCCACCAGCAGGAGCGGCGTCGATTCAGGCCAGTCCAAAACCAACTCCCGCGTACCCCTTCCCCCATTACCAGGAGCCAGTCCAGACAAGCTCCCTCTCAGAGCTTGTACGTGGCGATGCGCGTCGAGGGCGGTGGTTGGTCGGGATGGAAACCGGGCAAGCGGGGTCGTGACTGGAAGCTGGCGAACCCGCTTCACAGAACCTTCAACTATTGGGCTCCTGAGTCTGAGGTCATATTGGCGATGCAAACTTACCCAAGGGCCGTCCCCTTGTTTCTCGGTACCTATAGAGGTTGCGATGGTTGAGTTGGCGTGACAACGTGCTGGGTTGGGTGCTGAAACCGCGGTTCTGGTCGGTCTGGACCCACTGGCTGGTGGTTATACTGTGTCATTGACTTTGGCTGCTTGATCGTGTTTGGTGAGTCCCGACGGGAATGTCAATGAGGGGGTGAGAGTATGGGGAAGCTGAGGCGAGGTTTTTGACGCGGTGGCTAAGGGGCGAAATCATTCGGGTTCTCTATCCGCAGCCACTTCCTGTTGCGGGGTCTTCATGTATTTTTTGCTGTATAGAGTTTTACAGAGTAGTATAGAGTCCTTTGCATAACCCCTTGGAATACGGGATTGTCTGTACACTAGACCGGGATCACTTATGCTTGGCTCGACAGCTGGTCGCTGCTCTACCTGGAACAAGACAAGAGAGGAGTGTATCAGAACTGACAAAATAGTATAAGCAGAAACAAGTCATTAGTGTTGAACCTGCATGTCATTCAAGTCCTCTATTTCAATGCACAGATGGGGCAGAACAAGATCCAGATGTTGCATGCCGTTGTCTCCTTTAGCGTCAATGCCACTTCCGACGCCTCTCAGGGACAAGCTCCGCGTTCTGCTCCCTGGCAGAACTTTGGAGAATTGTTCCATCCAATGGTCTCAACCAGGTATCCATTGATGAGTGACTGCTTGAGGGGATATTTGCAAGGTGTTCTTTGGCTTACTTTCTGTTTCCTGTAGACGTTCGGCTCTTCACAATAAAACTAGCCGTCATGGCCCGGGCTTATGTTGATTGCTTCAAAGGGCCTGTCCGTGAGTGCCTCGGGAGGGAAAGACTCAGTTTCGAGTCTCGCACATAGCCCTCTACTGTGTTGATGCATACAGCCATCCTTGGGGTCAATTTCCACATCACGCCACATCACGCCTCCCGGTGCGACCCTGGATAATTCATCCCGTGGCTTGGACTAGACCGGTTTTATGGATTGCTTGAGATGTCTCTGCTGGCATGGATTCAGTACTCGTGGGGCTAGAACGTAGACTCACGGACCACATTCTCGACGGTGCGGATCGGTTGCCTAGCTTCGATGAAGTGAAGATCGAACGCCAAAACTGCTAACGTGAATTCACAACTTCGGAGGCCATTGACCTCCGCCAAGGCACGTCACCCCTCACTTGACAAGAACGGGAAGGACTCCAGCCAAGTTATATAGTGCAACCAGCCATGTTACATAGTACAATAAGTATGTTCGGTAGAAAATACATAAAGAAAGGCCCACTGCAATCAATTTTCCTGCAACGCATTGGCTACGGAGTGCACAGATGACCGGAGTGGAGTGTGATCACACCAGATACGCGCAATTGAGGCACAACCCCAGCGCCGCTTGGTTGCTGGTTGCCCGCGCAACCGCGTGGATCGCGTGCTGATCCAACTCTCGGCAATCTATTTGCTTCCGTTTCTTTGCTGAGGGTCAGAAAACTCTCGGCACTGGCTGTAAATGTGGACTTGATTGGATTCCCCCTTGGGCGTGGATGGTCGAGGCTCCCGTAGTCTCCTGTGTTTACCCGTAGCTCCGTACCTCTGACCCGTGATGATGAGCCCAACACACCATCTCGTACTTTCTCATCTTCCCACCGTTGACACTAAACATCAGGATCGCTGAAGCTTAAAAACTTTTACGCTGCAGACGTCGTTTGGACACCACTCCCGCGTGGGACGATGCTCGCCGATCCTGGAATGCATCCCTTCGTTTGATCTTGTCTCAGATTGCGATCCCAGTCGCGCGCTATGAATCCCCGCCATCGTCCAACGCAGAGCCCGCTAGGCCTGTCCGCGCTTCTATTGCTCCTTCAGCCCGTCACCGCTATCCCGTACACGCCATCTTCCCTCTTCCTCGCTCCCCAATACAATGACTCGCTCGCGTACCTTCTCCAACCCGGTAGCTCGACGGGCAAGACCGAGTTCCTGTCCTTGAACATCTCCGCCAGTCTCGATACCAGCAACCCCTCCTTCCACACCTTGCTCGAGGAAACCCCGTTCAAAAGCACCGAACAGTCCTCCTCATTCATCCCTGTTATTGATGACCGAGGCATTCTCTCGGTCTACGCAGGAGATTGTCACAACACATCCGATCAGCAGTCAATATGGCGGTTCCACCCCGACAACACCAGCTCAACCGGCAATGGGACCTGGGCGCAGCTGTCGGTAAACCCAGGAGAGGGGAAGACAAGACCGAACTACCTGGCTGCCGGGTTTACCTTTGCATTCAGCGACGCGACTGAAACCTCCATGTATACCTTTGGTGGGATGTGTCCATTCGCGAATAGTACGGACCAGACGTGGGTCTCTGCTGCGGACTATTCCCAATCCATGGTCCTGTTGGATCCGTCCTCCAAAGATACCTCCAAATATGAAGCGACCACTATTGGGGACCGCGCACCTCCGGTCCCCGAGGCCGGAATGGTCATCGTTCCTCTCCCGCCTACGTCGTCACTAGCCTCGACAGAGAGGCAGCAGGATTTCCTGTTCATCGGTGGACATACTCGCCAAGCCTTCCTCAATATGTCCCAGCTTGCCATATTCTCCGTGCCGCAGGAAAGCTGGAGCTTCGTGAACGTCAACTCAGAGGCAATGCCCAAGACGGAGTTGGCGGTGCGAACTCAGGCCACTGTGGAGCCTCGATCGGGCCATGCTGCTGTCCTTTCTGGCGACGGAAAGAAGATTTACGTGATTGGAGGCTGGGTGGGGGATACGTCGGTCCCTGCTGATCCCCAATTCGCGGTCCTGGAGGTCGGTGAGGAATATGGTGGTGTGAGCGATTGGGCCTGGTCAACTCCCACATCATCCTCTGATGTAGGAATTGCTGAGGGAACTGGACTCTATGGTCATTCAGCAGCCATGCTCTCTGGTGACGTGTTGATCATTGCTGGTGGATATACCATTCCAAAACAATTCTCGAAGAGGGCTACGGCTTCTACCCTGCGCAACTCCCAGATTTATCTCTACAACACGACCTCGAATAGCTGGGTCAAGTCTTACACCAATCCCTCAACTTCCCCTACCTCAGTGTCAAAGTCGCACCGAGGTGGCCTTTCTTCAGGCCAAAAAGCCGGACTGGGAGTTGGCTTGGGTGTCGGACTACCTCTCGCCATAGCCATCGCGATATTTGCATGGAGACACCATCGGAAACGCCGGGTCAAAGGTCAGCGGGACTCTCAACTCCGAGAGTTGGCTCTAGGCGCCGAGCGAGCCCACTTTTGGGGCCGTGATGATCCGTTCCAAGCAAGCAGTATCCGCAGCTCACAGATGAGCGAGAAGCAAGATCCCGCCGCTGCCTATTCGTGGTCAGGGAACCGCAGTCACGCCACTCGGGCCTCGTCGAGCGAGCAGGGCGATGGATCCGCAGAGAGGACGGGGCTGCTCATGGACACAAGTCCAACCAAGACCAGTCGACCATTCAGTCAGCAACGGCCGTACAGACAATCCGGGTATACTGAATTCCGCCGCAATGACACTATAAGTGATATTCATCCAATCGATGAGCGCGAGGAGGACGAGGCCATCTTTCGGGAACGCCTTATGGCGACTATCCCCCCTGTGGAGAACGCCGAAGTTGAAGCTGAGGATCCATTCTCCGATACTCCGTTTGCTACTCCACGGAGTACAATTTTTGGCGTTGGGCTAGGCCCCTTCTACAGTCGTCGGAAGGACATTGGGGATACAGGACGAGTCTCTCCTACAAAGAGTGATCGAACATCCAGCAGCCTGTCAGATGCTTCGTCCTTTTCGTTCTCGTCCAACAACCCCACGGGCCAGGTATCCAAAGCGCGTGGGGTCCTCATCGACCGACCGTTGAGCTGGGCAAGCAGCGGTGGCCACTCTTTTGATCCGCTAGACGCATCTCATAGTTGCGAGACAACACAACGCGATCTGGTCGGCGTGGCCGCACCACCATCCGAGAAGTCCATCTCAACGGACTCCTACTCAACCGCCCATACCACCTTCTCCCAACACCGCGCAGAAAACGAGTCTCTGCTCTACGACGCAGACGCCATGGCCTCCATCGAATCCTCCCCCTCAAAACTCCCACCCTCCTCAAAACCCAGGCCTTCAGAAGGCATCTTCCAAAGCGTTTGCCGCGCTCTAACACTCACCCGCCGCGGCACAAGCAGCGAAGCCGAGTCCGAGGCTGCCCCTCTAGCCTCCGGCATCGACCGCCGCAGCACCGTCATGGTACCAGGCACGTTACAAGGCGCCAGTGGAGCCAGCACTCCTCGCCGCGCCGTCAGCGCCTCGGCCGAACTCTTCCGCCGCAAACAAGGTGCCAAGGACTGGATCGCCAAGAAAAGAATGTCGGACGGTGTATTCCAGGCACCCCGCTCTACTCGCGATGACCTCTTCCTCAATGCTCCGGGATGGCTCGGTGATGACGATACGTGCGATGAGAGTTGGGGTGAAGACCAGCGCGTCCAGACGACTTACTCTGCGCCCCGGGAGAAACTCAGAGTCGTCAATGCTTCGGACATGGACAATGTCTCTCAGCGCAGTCTCAGTCACAGTCTCAGTAATGCGCCTAGCACTCGCCGTGTGAGTAACTAGTCTTTGCATTGTACACTTTTGATTATCTCTTGTCACTACTCTTTGTATGGTGGGAAAATATGTACACAAGTCATTTCACGTTCTCATGGTTTATGCCACTCTCGTTTCTTTTGGGCGTACACTTCCGGTGCCCTTTTCTGTCTTTTCTGCGTTCGATATCCATGAGGCCGTTTGATGGCCCTCGATGTGTGTTTATATGGGATAGGTTGTTTCTCTTTTGCTAGGTGGTTCAGCGTTGCTTCAGCGAGTCATTTTGAGGAGTGGATGAATGCGCGCTTGGTCTAGATCGACTCGTGTTGCATAAAATGAGAAATATTTGATTGTAACTTTCGAGTTTTCATATTAAGTTAAGGTAAAACAAACGATCAGCTCTGGATATTGAAAGAGATCCACATAATTCCTACGAGATTACCCCGAAAACCCATTCCAAACTGATAATAAGTCCGTTTCCCCAAAGCCCTTCGATCATCTCCTCACTTCACATCCACCGGCCGACATCAACAGGATCAACACTCCCACGAGAAACCAGATTTTCACCTGCAGAAGCAGCATTCAACGTGGCAGCAGGGATCGGGCGTTCCATAACTACAACCAAACGCAAACCCGCCAAGATAGGAACTAATCCGCGCTATATTGCTGCTTCGCAGGTAGTAGCTGGTGACACGGTAGTTCTACCCTACCAGCCGGAATTCCAGTGGTGACCGGTTGGAACGGGCTTGGCACAGGTTGTGATGACCACTGTTTCCGTTCCGCACGGGGTGGTTGGCGTAATGGTAGTAGAACCGGACTTAGTTCCCAAAGTCGTGATGGTTGTAGTAGCTTCGGTGCAGGTAGCGATGATGACTGTTTCCGTGCCACATGGGGTGGTTGGCGTAATGGTAGTAGAGCCGGGCATAGTCCCCGAAGTCGTAATGGTCGTAGTAGCTTCAGTGCAAGTTGCAATGATCACTGTTTCCGTGCCGCATGGGGTGGTTGGTGTGATGGTAGTAGAACCGGGCATAGTTCCCGAAGTCGTGATAGTTGTCGTAGCTTCAGTGCAAGTTGCGATGATGACTGTTTCAGTGCCACATGGGGTGGTTGGCGTAATGGTAGTAGAACCGGGCATAGTCCCCGAAGTCGTAATCGTCGTAGTAGCTTCGGTGCAGGTTGCGATGATCACTGTTTCCGTTCCGCATGAGGTGGTTGGTGTAATAGTAGTAGAGCCGGGCGTAGTTCCCGAAGTCGTGATAGTTGTCGTAGCTTCGGTGCAAGTTGTAGTAGTGCAAGAGGTCGTGGAAGTGCTCCAGGGGTGTGTCCAAGTAGATGTTGAAGTAGAGGACGAAGTCGAACTCGACCAGCCGGACCCCCAACCCCCCCATTGGTGGTCAGGGCCGTGGCCTTGGGCAAGGGCAAAGAGGCTGCCCAAGGCAAGGCTCTGGAAAGCGATGGTTTTCATGTTCAATTTGTTATAAACTTCTTGGATAAGGATGGGAATTAGATTAGCTTCTGGTAAAGCATAGAATGGATTCTACAGCAGAGAAGGGAAAGTATAATATATAGGACCCCAGGCCTTCTGTCGGAGTGCTTGTCGGAGATATAATTCTCATTACGGGACCATTGGAATGTATAACGAGGAGCTCGCAAAGCCAGCCTCATATTTTTCTAGATCAAGAAGTCACCTTGCAATATCTGGGCGCCTCCTATTCGAGTCATTCCTGACTAAAAATGGCAAAGGAGCTAAGTGTCTAGCTTCGTACATTCCCGAGGCATGGAAGAGCTAAGCTTCCTCCGAGTTCGATTTGTTGGAGCTCTCGTATCAGGTGCACAAAACGCCTCCGAGTACACCTTGCATTAGAAAGAGTCCCGACTATGTCCACCCACCATAAGGCTCACATTCCAAAGCCCGATGGAGAAATACCCGGTACGGGGCCAATGCCACCCAGAGAGAGCCACTACAATCCTTTCCTAACCTTAATACTACTCGGCATGTCATTGGCGAATTTCAATTCCCCGAGTTGCAGATCCTGGGATCGTCATACTTGAATCAGATATCATTTTCTTCCCCATAGTTATTAATGGGCCCGGAAGCCGATTCTGGGTTCAAATAGCCTTTTCTAGGATTGGCCGGTCGGAAATATGTATGCAAGGTGAGTTGGACGTCCAGTTTCACCGCATTTCTGCGGTCGCGTCCTCGGCTCTTAGCTACAAAGCCAAGCAAAGACCGCGTTACCGGTCTAGCATCATGCCCGGCACATTCCAAGATATCAGTGCCGAGATGTTCCATTGGCGGACAGAATTGATATCTTACAGCGTGCGAATGGTTGGAAGGCGCTGCTTCGTTTTCTTGAGGATCATAACACGGTGATAATGCATTCATTATACGTCGTGTACTAGTACGAAACATACGCATTCTCCAGCGGAACTATTTGAACCTTGGAAATAGCTGGAGCTGGGTTCACTGCAGCGCTTGAAGCATACTTGGTAGCACACAATTCTCATAATCATTGCTCATGCATTTCATTTAACAATTTTGTATCTGATATCGAGGATATATAAAACTCCGAAAAGCGTAGCATCCAGAAAAACGAAATATCAGCAAAATAAAACATAATGATATCTATAGAAATTTTCATGGTCCACCCATGATACATCACGAACCAGGCTGTTTAATCTCTCAACCCACAGACCTAAGACACAGGCGCACCGTTAGGCGCAGTAGCCGGCTTCGTGGGCAGGGTAGAAGGCAGGCGCGGGAGCAGGTTCTTCGCGCTTTCACGAGCGTACTGAGCCATCAGCGCATCCATGATGACCAGCGAAGACATAGCCTCGACGATAGGGACAGCACGGGGAACAACGCAAGGATCGTGGCGGCCCTTGGCCTCCAGGATACCCTCCTCGAAGCCGTAGGTGGCAGTGGTCTGGGCCTGGCCGATAGTCGCCGGGGGCTTGAAAGCGATGCGGAAGTAGATCGAAGCGCCGTTGGAAATACCACCCTGGATACCACCGGAGTTGTTGGTCTTGGTGGTGAGACGGTGGCCGTCACCGGAGGGAGAGGCGATGAAGGGGTCGTTGTGGATGGATCCGGGAACTTCGCAGCCGCCGAAGCCTGAGCCGATCTCGAAGCCCTTGGTGGCGGGGATGCTCAGCATGGCGTGGCCCAGCTTGGCTTCCAGCTTGTCGAAGCACGGCTCGCCGAGGCCGACGGGCACGTTGCGGATCACGCAGGTTACGGTTCCGCCAATGCTGTCGTGGTTGTCACGGAATTTCTCGATCACCTTGGTCATCCGCGCGGCGGCATCCTCATCGGGGCATCGGACCGGTGCGAACTTGTCCACGGTTTCTCGGTCGATGCTCTCGAGAAGCTTGAGGTACTCGGGGTTGGTAGAGGCGGTTGGGTGCTCGGGAGTTGGGGGGTAAAGGTATTCGTTGCCGACAGAGGAGACGAAGGCCACGATCTCGACGCCATGAGACAGCTGCAGGTACTTCTCGGCGATGGCGCCGGCGGCGACACGACCTAGTGGGCAATGTTAAGGTTGGAACGACGGGAACTCTTGGTAGATGCATGCTTACCGATAGTCTCACGGGCACTGCTGCGGCCACCACCGCTGCTTGCCTTGACACCGTACTTCTCGAGGTAGGTGAAGTCGGCGTGGCTGGGACGTGGGTACAGGTCCATTGTGCTGCCGCCGTAGTCCTTGGGCCGCTGGTCTTGGTTGCGTACCATCATGCCAATTGGAGTGCCTAGTGTAATACCGAATTCTGTGCCCGACTGGATCTCGACGCGGTCCTTCTCATCCCGCGGGGTTGTCAAGGCACTCTGGCCGGGACGGCGGCGGGTCATCTGGGGCTGGATGTCGTCCTCGGTGAGCTCCATGCCGGGAGGGCAGCCGTCGACGATACAGCCGACAGAGCGGCAGTGCGACTCGCCATAGCTGGAGGAAATCAGACGGGGTGGAATGTGTTTGGCGTGGAGGGGCAACTTACGTAGTGACTCGGAAATGTTCACCCCACGTCGACATGATGAATGGCCTGCGGTCTCAAAGCCGGTAGAGGTAAGAAGAAAAGGTAAAGTGTGAGTTGTCGGAGTCAATTGACAAGAAGAACACCGACTGTCGCACAAGACCAGGTTGAAGTTGACTCCAAGAAAAAGGCAGAAAATCGACTCATCGATGGTTTCCTATCCGGGCTTAGTGCGGCCGACTATCGGCCGCTTTTTGGCAATCAATTATCGATTATTGATTTATTGATTTCTACCCTTGCTCCATGCTCCTCAATGCTCGCCAGACGATGCTGGTCCTCGCCGTGGCGCGGTAGTACCTCTATCTGTGGCATCAAGGGCTGGGCTCGTCACAATTCCTCTTCGCCTTTCGCCGAGCTCGCCCGTCGCGATGCTTCCCGACACCAGATCTACCAGTCGCTCTCGACCGACCCTTACGTGAACCTTTCGATCGAGCATTTCCTGCTGGAGAACGCCCCGGCCGACTCGAGCATTCTCTTCCTGTACATCAACCAGCCATGCGTGGTGATCGGTCGAAACCAAAATCCGTGGCTGGAGACAGATCTCCGCGCCCTCTACAATGATCGTCGGCCTGGCGGACAAGATGATGGGGCTCTCTACGTTCGTCGACGATCTGGAGGCGGAGCCGTCTTCCACGACGAGGGAAATCTCAACTACAGTGTCATCTCGCCGCGCACATCTTTCACGCGGGACAAACATGCGGAGATGATGGTTCGAGCCCTGCACCGCGTCGGCGCGGTCAATACAAGCGTCAATGAGCGCCACGATATTGTCATGATGCCGGATGTAACAAACACCGATATCAATGAACCCCCGACTCGGAAGGTCTCCGGGTCGGCATTCAAGCTCACCCGCCACCGAGCCTTGCATCATGGTACCTGCTTGCTGGACTCGCCTAATATCCATGATCTCGGCCGGTTCCTGCGGTCCCCAGCCCGCGGTTATATCCAAGCCAAGGGCGTTGAAAGTGTGCGGTCACCAGTGGGCAATGTCTCGAGCGCGCTGGCCGATTCATTCTTCTCGATGCAGGGCGTGATAGACAGCGTGGTCGAAGAATTTGCCCGATTATATGGTGTTGACTCTGACGCTGTGCTTCGGGCACGCCGTGCTCTTGCAATTGAGCCGGAGATCTTTGCCGGAGATACTTGGGTCGCGGGAACTGTGGGAGAGGCGCAGGAACAGGAGCCGGATATTGCCAAGGGAATCGCTGAGTTGCGATCGTTAGAGTGGAAATACACTCAAACGCCGCAATTCACCTTTTCGACATATCCTATCGAAAATGATCCTCGTGAACGACCGGCATTGCCTTCCTCTCTTCCTCCCTCGGTAAGTTTTCCAACTCGGCAGATAGTGTATACTGGTAGACTAACATCGAGGTCAGACCCGTGCATTCATACGCCTGAAACACGGTGCCATCATTGAAAGCAATATATCGGTCTCTCCAGATACCTCTACTGCTTCTGACCAAGCTACTCGAGTGCATGAAGTCCTGAATGGGCAAAAGCTGCATGAAATTTCTATCCAACGCTGGTTTGAAATTTTGCAACAAGGTCTTGGCGGAACGGATGGCGTGGATGACATTGTTGTCACTGAGTTGTCCCGGTACCTTGGTGGCTTACTTGCAGGCCATTAGTCCTGGAAGCATACTGTACTATAGAATAATTCCAAGCCATGTATATTTAAATAGAGCTGCATCTGATGATTTCACACATGATGCCCAGCCTTCAAGTTGTTTCTTGGAACCTCTTTGCCTGATAGCTGAGCACTAGATAGATATCCATCTATTGGTGTCAGGTCAATTCCCCTCATATCAGCGTGTCGTCCTGTCTACATGTCTCTCGCGAGCTGGCACTGATGATGAGAATAGGAGGACGGACATAGGCTCAATCTCATAATCAGAGCATCAGCTCTGTCCCGAAACCGCTTGACGGACTTGCCACCAGGACGGTTCTAGCCGCCAGTGACTTGCCTGGCAGCGCGGATAAATGCAAAGCAGATTATCCTGGCCCCTTGCTGTCCTGGGTGTGGAAAGTTCTGTGCGGAAAGTTCTGTGCGAGCTATCAAGTTACTTGCATAGCAATTATGGCTTATCTTTCTCAAGTGAAGTACTTGTTCTTATTAAACAACCTCCAAAGGCTGCACAGGCCGCCCTAGACATTAAGCTTCAAAGCACAGTTAAAAGCCACACACCAAAACACAGCAATTGATTTTACTTCTACATAAAAAAAAGCTCTATCTCCACCACCTCATACAATAGCGCAGCGCCTTTCCCTACGTCCCCCGGACATCTGCCGCAGCAACTCATCTGCCAAGTCAAGCCCTAGTTCCCTTCCCCGCAACCAAACTCCAAGATCAGCAAAGACCCCCTCTCGCCGGCTAATACACCCATGTAACTATTGCCGGAACATCCTAGCTACATCCTACGTTGTATCTGACGGATCAACCCGCCCTTCCTTAAATCTTATCCCCGTAACCCCCACGCCCCCGCTTGAAGCTGGGGTATGCCCATGAGTTCCGCTCTGGGCATGTGGCAATGCATTTGGCCCGTTTAGCAGTCCTTAGATTCGTGGAGGCACTCACTCTCGTCTCCTGGCCTTGTTTGGATGTCTTGTCTAGATTCTTATAAGTCGTGGGGGCAGGCCAAGGACGGGGGACTCGGATGATACTTTCTCGTAAATAGGGCTGTGCTCTTTTTGTTTATCTGTTGCCGACGGTCATCCAGAGTTCAGTTCATTACCGCGGCTTCATATATCTTCTGGCTTCTTCGTCAGCAGGTGATTGTCGACTTTGCTTTCTACTGGGCCTTGATTCATCCATTACTCAGGATGTCGTGGTTTTTGCAGAAAATCGTTCACAATGAGGCGATGAGGACTGACCCTAAGGAGATTTATGGATGGAGAGTCTACGCTCTTGCGTGCTCCGTGAGTCTGTTTCGTTGTTGGAAATTGATCGGCTTTGCTGATACATTTGCAGGCGTGTTGCGGAGGAATGCTTTTCGGTATGGACTCTGGTATCATTGGTGGGGTTCTCACGATGCCTCCATTTGAACGGTGAGCTGTCTTCTACGATTAACTATTGAGGTCGAGTCAAATTAACGGCCCTGTCTATAGAACCTACGGCCTCGAAGGACTCGACAGCGTCGCCAAAGCAAACCTTTCCGCCAACATCGTCTCCACGCTCCAAGCAGGATGCTTCTTCGGAGCTCTGCTCGCATCGCCAGCAGCGGATAGATGGGGCCGAAGACTTGCCCTGATCGGAGCAGCGGTGATTGGAATCGTGGGAGTCACAATGCAATCCTCAGCCAGTGGCCACCTCCCAGCCATGTATGTCGGACGGTACGTATTACATTCTCCCATGTCTTGAATAAGTACGTTTCCCTGACATTCTACACAGCCTCGTAACCGGCTTCGGAGTCGGCGCCGCCTCAATGATAAACCCCCTCTACGTCTCCGAGAACGCACCGCGCGCCATCCGCGGCGGCCTTACTGGCCTCTACCAACTCTTCATCGCAATGGGAATCATGCTCGCCTTCTGGATAAACTACGGCTGTCTACTCCACCTCACCGGCTCAGCAATGTATCTCATCCCTCTAGCAATGCAAGGTCTTCCCGCCGTGCTCCTGCTCATGGGCATGCTCCTCTGTAACGAGTCACCGCGCTGGCTCGCCAAGCAGGATAGATGGGAAGAGGCACGCGCAACTCTCTGCAAGGTCCGCGCTCTGCCCGCGGATCACCCTTATGTCGAGGACGAGTTCCAGGCTATCGCGACACAGCTGGAGCAGGAGCGCGCGCTTATTGGTGGTTCTGGGTTCTGGGATCTTATGAAAGAGATGTGCCTTATTCCTGGGAATAGGAAGAGGGCTATGATTTCTGTGTTTTTGATGGTTTGTCAACAGTTGACCGGGACGAATGCGATTAATTACTACAGTCCTCAGATTTGTAAGTTTGTTGAGCCTGATATTCTGGATTCGTACTAACTTCTTCTCAGTCAAGAACGTGAGCTTTTAAGTCCCGGACTCACCACTCGTCCACAGAGGTAGAGACACTAACATACTCATGTAGCTCGGCGTAACCGGCAACGCAACAAACCTCTTCGCAACGGGTGTCTACGGCATCGTCAAAATGGTCAGCTGCGGCGTCTTCCTCATCTTCGTCGCCGACTCCCTCGGCCGCCGCCGCTCTCTCCTCTGGACATCCGTAGGCCAGGGCCTAGCAATGATGTACATCGGATTGTACGTCCGCATCGCGCCCCCCGTGGAAGGTGCCCCCGTCATCCCGGCCGGATACGTCGCCCTCGTGTGCATCTTCCTCTTCGCGGCATTCTTCCAGTTTGGCTGGGGTCCCGTTTGCTGGATCTATGTCTCGGAGATCCCGACTGCGCGGCTGCGTTCGTTGAATGTGGCTCTTGGTGCGGCGACGCAGTGGCTGTTTAACTTCGTGGTTGCGAGGGCCGTGCCGAATATGTTGGCTACTGTTGGGTCTAATGGATATGGGTAAGTTTTGATCGAGTGCGGTTCCCAGGGTCGGGTTTTGTTGGCTGACCGGTTGCAGGACGTATCTTATCTTTTCATGCTTCTGTTTCTCTATGGGAGTCTTTGTTTGGTTCTTCATTCCCGAGACCAAGGGTATGTCTCTTGAGAAGATGGATGACCTCTTTGGTGTGACGGAGCTGGTTCAGCAAAAAGCTGCTGATCCGGAGCACGCTTTGGCTGCAGAGGACACTAACAAGGCTTCGGAATCTCAGGTGGAGCATGTGGCTCGTTAAGGGACTTGGGGAAAGACTTTATTGCTCCTTCAGTATGAGGATATATTGGACTTTGTCAAATTCTTATTACATGATTTGTCTTCCACATTGCGTATTCTTTTAGTTATCCCTTTGTTGTTGGGAGGCTCGTCTTAGCTTCATCCGTCACCGACAACGCCGGCGAGGATTACTAGACCCCGACACCACGATGAGGTGCGAGCCTGTTGCCGGGGGCCTAAATTGCGAAAGAGTAAATGTGAGTATAGATCAGCAAGGTAGATGATAGGAGAAGTGAGCAGATGGTTATTATATGTCAGTAGAGAGGAAATAAATGGCAGATAAATGGCAGATAAATGGCTGAGCGACTCTTAGCTTCGTCCGGAGACTACTAGACCCTGACACCACGATGAGGTAGAAGCCCGCGCCAAGGATGTTGAGTGCCTGTAACGTGTAAACTCTCAACGAGAGCTGGGGAAATTTGACGGTGAGGAGACGAGGACGGGACAGACAGTCTTGCGGGTCAGGTCAGGTTGTATCAAGGTGTTCGAGTGGGCCCACAGCAGGGGGGTGGTCGATATATCATGAGTAGTGCAGATGACAGGTAACGGCATGTTATCCCCAGAGGATGGGTGGGAGGTGGCTGGAGATAAAGGAATGAGCCGAGGAGTTGGAGTTGGAGAGTGGAAGAAGAGAAGAGCATATGAGGTGAGAAAAGTGATGTACTTATGGGCTCATCATCACCCCCGGATTCCAAATCGAGAACATCCCCAGGCTCCCCCAAGTTCCAGGCACATGGTCAAGAAATGCACAAAGTATAAGAGGACATACAGAGTGTGTCACTCTGAGATGCTCAATCGGCTTGCATTGAGCAACTTCTATCTCAAGGATGCTCTTTTCGCGTGTGATGTGATACGGTCGATATGATGACCTGCCAGCAGAAAGCACTCCACCTGTTACTTGGAAAAGCCTGGAAAGATCATTTAATGATCATTGGTTATAGCAGTACTATTGAAAGACACAGCATAATTCTCAAGCCCCCGAGGCAGCCATAGTGGACGGTATCCCCAAGTGTTTCGGAAGCATGCTTCTTTTGGATTTCCCCGAGCCCAGCTGGCCTTCGTTTGCATACAGAACATCAGACTAGCTCATAATGACCATTTTAGATATACCGGAATCCACGGAAATTCCGGAAAATTCGATAGACCCCGTTGAGCGTCGCAGCCATACCACCACCCGCAGTAGCCCAGGCCGCTCCTTGGAAGCGCAAAGAGTTGGTCGGGATAGGCTTATGCTTCTTTGGTTTATCTGCACAAAACCACTTAATTAGAAAAATCAGTTAGTATTTTATTTCAGTCACATACCTGGCGATGGCGGTGATCGCTTGGGTAGAGTTCCGACCTGTTGGTCCAGTAGAGTTTGGAAGTTGCTGAATGAAGACATCTTTGATGCGTGTCAAAATGATACAGTGATCCCACGTCAGAATAATCGGGCTTTAATATGTTCATCAGTGGCTGATTAAATCAGGATATCAGCTGATGGGGTGAGTTGGCACCGGCTTGATTGGTTTGTGTCGTTCCAAGGTTCTGAGCTTCGATGGTTCCCCGCTATGATTTGTCTCTCCGCTTGAGCTCCCTGGTAGTTGTCTGCTTTCTGATTAGCAGGCTGGTGATCGCCGAGGCGTGCTCAATTTTACTCGCTGGGTGCTTTTGGCTCTCTACTGGTTTTATGCCAGTGTTTCCGATTGGAGGATGTTTGGCCTCCAAAGATGTAGCTAGCTCTCGAACAGGTAGGATCAAAATAAAACATTCAGAGCAGTCAGTTAGAAGTGTATTCACATCGCTCATTCATCATATCAGTCGTTATACCCTCCAAGTATATGTACAGGGCTTGGGCAAATGAAACACAACGAAGCCCAAAAGAAACAAAACCAACCACCGTCGCTATAAATGCGATGCTCGCTAAAACAATTTCTCCAAAAAACAAAATAGATAATCAATCCTGATCTGGTCTGAGGAACTTCTAGCCAGCTATAATGCTGGAGAAATAAGCAAACAAGAAATAGAAATAGCCGTAGACTGTCGCGGATGATGAAAATGATAGGATCACACAAACAATATTTATCTGGTAGGACGGCCTGTGAGCCTTCGGCTTCCCAAGCCTTGCTGGGTTTGGCTGCGCGTCATGCGACGAGGAGCAGGGCGATCTTCCAAACTCAGACCGCCGATTCCGGGACCAAGTTCACTTCTTCGTGGTGAAAATGCAGAGTTAAGGCCCATGTTTCTGATGTTGTGGTTCGTAGCATTGGTCATGTTTGTTGCCGTGGTGGCAACGGTCTCATTGTCCGAATCTTGCTCGAAATCTGATGGTGGGTCGCTTGCTCTAAGGTCGCTCATCGTGAAGCTGTGGGGGTTCTTCGTGGGAAAGGCATTGAAGGACCGAGACGAGGAAAGTCCGTAGTTCTGCACATCAGGTAGCGTCGAAGAGAAATTGGAGGCTCCATCGGAGGAGCCAAAAGACAGAGAAGGTGCGGTCCGTTGAGAGAAGGATGGGAGGGGTGCGGGTTGCTGCGAGTCAAAGGACGTTGCCACTGGAGACCTATTGGGCGGAGACTCGACCGAGGACCGGGTGATAGCACCGGGTGCTGGCGACCGGTGCTGTGGTGACCCAGATTGAGGCAAGAAAGGTCTTGTGGGATGTTGGGCTTCTGGTACACCGGCAGCTGGCATTGCACGGTGGAAAGACAGGAGACCCAAAAACTCTTGGACGGTCATAAACACCAGCAGCAACTTTCCGTACCGATCGAAGTAGGCGCGCTCAAAAGCGGCCTCGGGCAAATGACTCCCCAGGTGTACAGCGGCGACAAGTTCAGTAAGATAAACCAAAATTTCCATTCCATTCCAATGAACCATGGGTCTCTTGACTGCTTCCAAAAGAGCAAACCCGGCGATCAGGCTGGCGCTGCCCAGAGCACTGGCCTCGATATAATTCCCTGGAATTGAGAGCTCGTGGTTCTGAGAAAAGGTCCATCCAGCCATAGAGCCCAGCAAAAGCCCCAGCCGGAGGTACTGATATACGAGGTGGCTTTGAAGAGGATTGGTAGAGTGATCTTGGCCGCGCTCTGGCTGGCTTCGGTCTCTCTTTGGCGCATCCTTGTTAATGTCGAAAGTGTCTTCGAAAAGGGCTTCCAATCCGGTCATTTGGTTGTAATCAGCCTGTGGAAAGAATTTTGGGGCTTGGAAGATGGGTTCTGGTTTTGTATGGTTCTGTTCTAGCATGTTTGACGGCTGGACTGGACTTCGGTGGAATGGATTAGGTTGAACAACTTGCTCAATAGATTTGGTCGATTGTTGAGTGCGAAGATTCCATGCCGGAGGTTTCGGAGCAGCTGGTAGATTGCCGTAGAATGGCGAAGGACCATCGAAAATCGATGGCTGATTTCGTTGAGTCACGCTCACAGTCGGCCGAATGTTTTGCGGAGCAGAGGGAGTCCAATCCATGTCCTCGGCTACAGGTGGAGGCGTAGGAGGAACGGCGGGCAATGTCTTCGCAGGGGGCAGAGGCGAAGCCAGCTTCCCGATTGGAAAAGACGGGGCAGCTGGTTTATTGTTGACATTTGCTGAGTTGGTCTGTGGTTGCCCACGATCAACTGGCGCAGGAGAAGATCCGGGGCTTCGAACTCTCGTCTCCCAAGAGTGGTCCGCCCAATTAACCAGAGGGCGAGCATCGTACCGTACGACTTGACGGGAAATCACGACAGACTAAGAGATTAGCTTGAAATCGGGGGTTGAGTGGAAGGAGCGCTAACCAGAACAGTAAACATTATCATGAACATATGCAGAGCAGGGGGCAAGTTGGGTTTGAGGCCACTTGAAGACGGGTCTTTGAGCAGAGCCCAGAATACACAGCGCGCCACCAACACAACGAGTTGACCCTTGTAGTACTCCGACAAACCAACAAATCTGCCGCTTTTCCCATCAACCTTCATACGTAACTTGGGGTTCCACCATAGGGATAAACAGCCTGCAACGAGCGCGAGGCCTGCGAAAGGTGCTAAGTCAAAGGAGCACTCGCTAGGGATGCGCCGAGTTTCCCATGCCTGTCTCCCACAAAACAACAATGATGGTGGGTTGTCCAAAGGGCCATCCTGTATCCAGGGATCGGAGCCAGTCAAAGCGCTCATTGCGTCCCATGCAAGTTGACCACCCACACTACCCCAGTATCCAAGGGCGCCCGCATAAACCAAAAGACTGCGCCAACCCCAGTTCCTCTCCCTCCTTGCAGCTTTGCTGGCTCTGCTTCGATCCATCATGCGTCGGAGGTGATCGGCTTTTGCTTCGTAGCCGGCTTGGCGAATGCGCTGCACCACACGAGACTCGCAAGCATCGCATACTTGTGGGTACTGGTCTTCCATTGTTTTGCGGAACTCCTCATAGCGACGCTCTTCATCGGGTTGATTAGGGTCTTCGGAGGCTTCCGAGTAGTTTGCCAAGGAGCTTGTGAGCAGGTGCTGGTTGCGAAGGCATTGGGAGCAAAAGAGATCGGAGCCTCTGGCTATTGAATCGACTGGCTCGGAACGCGGACTTGAGACGCCTGCTGGGTTTGTATCCGCTACTGGAGGATCTGTAATTTCTCCATTCTGTAAAGATTGTGCATGTCAGTGCCTTTGAAGGGGCGTTGCTTCGGGTTGGGAGAGCGCACCTGGTCAAGATAGGTATCGGCGTCGCAATGATTGCAATGAAATTTGCCGATCGAGCCACGGACTGGCTGGGGAGAGCGATGCCCACAACCGTGGCAGGTCAAACGCTTAGAAAAGAGCGCCATGGCATAGTAGCAACTCAGAGGTGTTTCAAGTATGAAGGGAGAAACAAGAAGATAAGAAAATAAACCCGGGGCTGCACAGACCACTGCGGGCACGTGTTGTCGCGGACGCGACAGCTTCAATTTTGCCCAAAAGAAACACTCGTTGCTCGGGAATGCAGGCGCAATTCGCATCTGCCTTTGGCTCCTTCTCTGAGATATCAATTTTCTTACATCATGAACCTCTCATAGCATCTCGAAACTCGAGCTCTTGACACCTCGGCGCACCACCAGTGACATCATGGCTTCCACTTTGTGGCTGCTCTGGAAGCTCTTTTGGAAGCTTCTCGGCCCAATAACTACCATTGCTATTCTTGCTGTCCTCGTGCGTGCTTCCCTCGAACTAGCCATACGAATGACGCTCGAACAAAGCTGACCCACGACCATCCAGATCATCATCGTCTCGTTGACATACTCGCAGAATGCCCCGATCCCCCAAGTTCGCCGGAAGAACCAGCCCGTTCACCTGCTCCTGGTGCTCGGAAGCGGTGGACATACAACAGAGATGTTCTCCATGCTAAAAAACATACCCCTTGATCCCACGCTTTACACATACCGGACCTACGTCGTGAGCTCGGGGGATAACTTCAGCGCCGAGAAAGCCAGAGAATTCGAGGCCGATTTCCTTGAAAAAAGCAACATACTCTCCGAGAACTACACAATCGTCACGATCCCTCGAGCACGACGTGTTCACCAGTCATACTGGACCGCTCCATTCTCTACTATCCACTGCCTCTGGGCCTGTTTCGAGGTGCTCCTGGGGCGATATCCGGGTCAGAAGCGATTGCCCCCAAGATATCTCTCACCCCAGCCTGATCTCATCCTTACGAATGGCCCGGCCGTGGGATTGTGCATTGTTATCGCAGCGAAAATCATCCGATTCTGCGAATTCGTCTCCCGCTGGATGTCCGGCAGTAGTTCTAGGCCGGCTGTTTCACGACTAAGAACCATGTTTGTGGAATCATGGGCCCGCGTCAGTGGCCTAAGCACCACTGGAGTTCTGCTGCTTCCATTGGCTGACGTTTTCCTCGTTCAATGGCGGTCTCTTGCTGGGCGGCAGGCATGGCCGGGGATGAAGAAGACCCAGTATGCGGGCTGGGCCGTGCTACCAAGTCCTGGTGGCAAACAACGTATTAAAGACGTTCATGAATAATATCCGCTGCGATGTTTTAACATATTTGATTTAAAATGAGATATCTGTACGACACTGATAAAGCTGAGGCTTGATCCCGCGGTAGTTTCCCCTCCACATACCGATGTGGGGATTATGGATCGTCCTAGGGTGATAAATTGTGCTATCTGCCGAAGAGGTCCTAGTCTGTAGTAAAGTGCAGCTTTATATTTTGTCTCTGACTGTCCAATGTCCGAGTGGATAACAGATCTCTATCATCGGAATAACCCCGCTGTCCTGTGCCTGATCTACCGCGCTGCATCGCGTAACGGCCCCGCATCCCCCTCATCGAACGAGCACCTTGCAGCCCTGAGAACATTCTCTCAGATTCAATCGCTGTATCTTTCGGGTGGACTCAGATCTATAAGCCAATCTATCCATTATGCCCTATTCTCTGAAGGGTCGGAATGTTCTGATCACCGGCGGCTCTCGGTAAGAACAATTGCTATGCGGAGAACATAGGATTCAAAGGGGTCGCAACTGACACACAATTAGAGGCTTGGGAGCCCTTGTTGCTAACAAGTTTGCCGCCGAGGGGAGCAACGTCGCCATCAACTACGTGTCAAACAAGGAGACAGCCGATCAAGTTGCCTCGGATATCGCAAGCAAGTACGGAGTCAAGACTATTGTTGTCCAGGGTGTAGGTTGACTGACCCTTACTTTTTGTCTTGGATGTTGAATCACTGATATTGTCTATAGGATGCCGGAAGCCAGGCCGAATGCACCAATGCCGTCAAGACGACTATTGAACAACTGGGCGGCTTGGATGTCGTGATCTCAAACGCTGTAGGTCAATTCATGATGCATAGCAGATGTCTTGGATTCATCTGATTGAATGATGAAGGGATGGACCAAGATGGTCAACTTTGCCGATCTGGACGCAATGGACGACGCAGACTGGGACAAGGTATCTATCTCCATGTTGACTCTGAACTCCGATACTGACTATAACAGTGCTGGAATGTCAATGTTAAGAGCAGTTTCTATCTTTTCAAAGCTGCGTTGCCGACATTCAATGCTAACCCTGAGGGCGGGGCCTTCATCATCACTTCGTCAACTGCTGTAGGTTGACGTGATAAGAGTTAATTATTTATGGGAAACTTAGAAGCTAATCTCGCAAATTCGAAATAGGGTGTCACCCCCAGTGGCAGCAGCTTGCCATATGCCGTCACCAAGGGAGCAGGTAGACTATTCTGTCATCAAAATTAGGAGCCAAGATTGCTGATGTCCATCACAGTGATCCACCTCATGAAATGTCTCGCTCAGACTCAAGGACCCAAGGTCCGAGTCAATGCCGTGCTTCCCGGTCTTCTACTGACTGAATGGGTATTTGCTCTTTCATGACTCTAAGATAGGGAAAATCGCTGACTATACTATAGGGCCAGCGGTTCTCTTCCGATAAGATTGAGGGATGGAAGGGAAGGACAGCTCTTAAGCGGCTGGTAAATCATCGCTCTCCTTCTGTCAGGGTATACTAACATACCTATCACAGCCTGAGGTCGAGGATACTGCGGATCTCTACATTGCCACAGCAAAGAACTCTTCCATGACGGGGCAGGCCGTCCAGATCGGTAAGCATCACATTATGTATTTGCCAAGAAGGCAGAGATTAACACACAAAATTCTTTCAGATTCCGGATTCACTTTTAAATAGCCCTGGACGCTTTCAGTGAACCTCTAAAGAGGTTGGAAGATTATTCTTTGCTAGATTGTGGTAGAGGTGCCAAACTTATTATGGAGGGTATCATTTTGATAGACAACAAGATATCGTACAAACATCCCCTTTTCAAACCAGAGGATTGCGGAAAGCTGTAAACTCAACGCCCTCTGACTGGAACGACCGGTCACCAAACATGCGAGCCTTGATCGCAGCGCGGAGTCCATCGGCAACCGGCTCACCTTCTACTTTCATCTTGTTGATACGCAGAACTTTGCCGTCCCGAGTAAACACATGAAGAGCTCGTCCCTTCTTCGGTTCAACAGGGTGGGGAGCATTCGCAAATGGTAGACCCGGAACAAGCGCCAAAGAATCACATCCTTTCGGCGGTTCCACTTCTTCGGTCTCGGTTAGAATCACCCGCTTTTGCTGGAACGTGAGAGGGCCATCCGAAGGGTTTGATGTAACAAGTGCCTTGCTCCATACTGGGCCGAGGATTCGGTTGCGTCGGTTGATCTCGAGCATTGTCCAGTTTGCCCAGTCAATATGGAGATCCTCCGGCTTGATTTTGCTTGCGTGTCTCAGGTTGTCGGTTGCCTCGTTGGCACGCCATCCTGCGTCCTGTATGGGAGGTACGAAAAGGCCATCTTTGATTCCATCCACTAGTGATTGGGCACCTTTTGGTGCAACGAGGTTGAGCAGCTCGGGGACAGTGCAAAAGTCGGGGTTGGGAATTTCAAAGCCAGGTGGTGGAGTCTGGGAGAGAACTGTTCCATGGTCGAAGCTCTTATGATGCAAAGTCTGGAGTGTCACTCCAGTTAATTTTTCCCCTGCTAAAAGAGTGTGGTGCAGCGGAGCTGGACCTCGGAAACTAATGGCGTGGTCAGTCACCTTATCGAAGATACTACTTGGATGATCACTCACTCTGGCAGCAATGAAGGATGCATATTCAGACCCCCGTAGCTGGCAGAATTCAAGATACGGGGAGGTACAAACAGCCCGAATGATACGGCGATGATCAAATTGATGGGACCATTCGGAGTAACCGGGGGCTAGTATCATGAGTATAATTGCCAAAATGCGTAGTTTGATTGCAATAGGCCCTTACCGTCCATCCAGTGAATGTATCAATCTCATGGATCGGAAGTGAGAGAGCCTCGGCAGTCTCCTTGATGGGCACTGTATGAAGCCGCATATCAGAACCAAGGCATTCAATTACACTGGTATATCGAGCTAACCTTGCCGAATCTTCTTCAAGCCTCTTCCCACTCTTTTTCCTGGTCGGCAAACCACGTCTATAGAAGCAATTCGATTCGGTTGTTTCAAATGATAGGCGTGGAGAGCTTTCAAGGAGGCAATACTAAACTCGTCCGAGCCGCAAAACAGAATCCGGAGAGGATCATAGGTTTTCGTTGAGTAAAGCCTCGAAGCAGGCCACCGAGAAACAATGACATGCCTGCAGAGACCATAGGTTCCTGCTCCACGTACAACGAACATGTTTGACTCCGCAAAAGCCGGGGAAAGTTCAACACGCAGTTCAAAGCTCGCGACTTATCGATAAGCCACCACGTGATATCAACATCATCGACCGCGGCCCCTCGTCTCTTCCTCCGCATTCACCTGCGATCGCTTGAGTGCGAGTTGCAGCTGACGATGCGATGCCTGAAAATGACCTTGACAGCGTGATCCCCGCGCAGCTCTCCTTTCTCGCCATCTACAACCCGACCCTCGGCCCCACCGACGAGACGTTAGAAGACCAGATCGTGTTTCACACCTCGAGAGCGGAGAATCAACGTGCGGAAACCTCTACTGCGGAGGATGACGATGTCAAAATATCTGAAAATAGCAAGAATGAAAGGTTACGCCAGATAGGCCTGGCGCAGGGCATGGTGAGCTTTGCCAGGTAGGAATCACTCCAAACCTTGTGGCCGGACACAGCTAATTGGATCTCTGTTTAGCAACTTTTCGGACAAACCACTGGAATATGTCGAAACCGATAAAGCGCGGGTAGTTCTTCTTGAGCTGGAGAAGGACTGGTGGGTTGTTGCCGTAAGTGTGACCGAAGTTCTCTTGGGGAGATCAAAGCTCAGATCAAATTAGTCCATCGACCTTACTCGATTGCCCGCCGATCCATCTCAATCCTCCTCGGTTGATGGAGCTGGTTCTCCTGCGTTCCAGTACTCGGCGAGAGAAATGGGGCCCCCCAGCTACTTATTCAGCAATTACGGCGCGCGCACTCGATATTCCTTCTCCTCCATGACTTCTCATTGAGCAATCTCTATACCCGCGTGGGAAGATCTTCGTTCTGCCTCTTTTTAGAACGTTTCTGGGAGAAATTTGCGTGGAACTGGGAGCTCCTCTTGACCGGAAACCCTGTCGTGGAGATCTATAATGGGATCAAACTTGCCGCGGGAGGAGAGTTGGGAATTGGGGTTGGAGAAGAAGAATGGGGTAGTGGCGAAAGAGAAGTACTTGAAGATTTTGTGGCCAGGACAGATGGTTTGGTTGACCTGGTTGTCGCGAGGTTTGGCGATCCGTCCAGCCAAGCCAGTGACTCCCCGCCGGTACCCAAGAACGGTGAAATCCAATGGCTGGGATCAGATACTGATCCGCGACCCGCTGATGGTATCATTTTCTCTGGAACTGGAGCTGTTTCCCGCCCGTCTCTAACGCATGTGTCCCACTGGATGGAGTGGATTTTCCGATACGGCGACACGGCATATGGAATTGGGCGGGACCCAAACTCATTACATCGACGAAGGCCACGGAGACAACGAAGGCAGGAATTATCAGGAGCTAAGCCATCAACGCCAGAACCGGGTCACACGCCGGGCATACCTCGCCCGCTTGTAATGGCGGAGCTACAGTCAATTCCTAGAACTCACGAGAACACACCCGAAAGAAGAAATGGGACTCCTCTGCCGGAAGGTGACCAAAAGACCGACAAGTCTGCGTTCCCAACAGATACGGTCATGAAGTACCTGACTCTTGGATATGGCTCCGCGTGGAGCTTCTCTGCCAAATCTGCATCCGCATCCGCATCCGCATCACCTGTCGGTTCTCCCGGTGCAGTCAACGAACCAACAGCGGATGCTGCTGGACAGAACGAACCTTCCACTGCACGATCCCCACCGCTTGATGAACCGCGGCTCAGTGACCAACGAAATGTATCCAAGAACATTACTCTCGGTCGATTTGTTCTAGGACCCCGCGACGACCTGGGTACTCTCGATGACCTGGAAGAAAGGAGCCCAGAGCCCGAGGTGGATGCTGGTAGATCCAAGAGCCGGATCATACACCGGTCTCTTCATGTCCGATTGACAGATGCTGAAGAGGTTACACCGCTCCAGGCAGTTATATATGTGGTAGGTAATCGGTGACTCCTTGGATCCCAACTCACCGAGCTAACAACCCAATCAACAGCACCAACCGTTCGTGTTCACGTTCCTGTTCGACCCAGAGACCCCATCTCTCTCATCTCCGTCCCTATACACAAGCATACACCACCAACTCGGCCCTCTCCAAAAACCACTTCTAGCATCAACCTCCCCCACAACAGCCGCCTCGCGCATTTCCATGACAGAAACCACGCCAGATGCTACCAAACACCAAGCAGTTTACGACCTCGTCTACGACCCATCAAACCTAACCATCCGTTCCTCTATCCCAAATATCCCCGGCCTAGCTACACCCTCTCATCCAAGAGAAACATCCAACTCTCCACGCACTCCCTCCCCCTCCCCCTCTCGCCCAAGTACACTATCATGGTCCCGAGTCGAAAGCCTCGCCATCCACCACCGTCTCCTAACAACATACATCGACACCCGCACCCGGCCGCAGGAACTCGAGCGCACCAGCAAAACCAGCCGTGGATGGTGGATAGTCTGGGTACGCTTCAACAATACTTCAACCTTTGCACCGCCCCATTCCTTGGATGGAGATCAGCTCTCTTCGACGGCTCCGTCTCCCCAGCTAGATACCACTCCTCCCTCTCCAGCACAGGAAGCCTTTATCGTACGCAAAGCGAGTGACCATGTCTCCCCAGCGAGTCACGCGAGGGTGAGCAGTGGAACGCGCTTCTTCCGCGATCTAGGCGGTGCATCATCTAAGTTAGCTTCGTCCCGTGCTCATGACACTACGCCTTCGAAGCTGGTTGAGGGGCTTGGGATGGATGCGAGGCGCTATATTGAAGGGTTGTTGAGTTTGAATCGGTCTTGATACTAGAGTGGTCTTTTGTCAGCCTGGTATGTATCCACGTACATAGCATTCAATGGTAGTTGAGAGCAGACACCGAGGCTTAGGTCTGCGATACATCGTCTACCAAGGAATCCAAACGACACCAAATAGGTCCTCGTGCAGGCGCGTACATATCTAATAACGATAATCCAGGGCTGTGTGGAGACCGTATACCATGCCGCCAAGAAGGCTGGACTGTTTCAGACCCCAGCCAACGTTTTGACCTCGGGTCGCCAGCTGTCTGTGACAAGGTATCGAAAACTCTTCGCACTAGATGAACCCTAGAGGGCCTGTCCAAGTCAGAGATTCTTAGAAAATTGAATACACGAACTAGGCTACATTTTATTGCTTCTTCAAATACTTGAAGGTCTAGTATGGTGTAGAAAATGACAATATTCAAGTTCCTTGTATTAGGTGTGACAAATCGAAATAAAACAGGGAGCTCTTCGCTGGGAAAGATGTCCGAAAAGGACGGGAATCATCTATCATCACGGGTAACTTCCAAGCACGAATTCACAACCGCTGCTACTTCCAGTCTCCTCTCTTCCAGGGCCTTTTTTTGGTTGATTTTTGTTCTTTGGAAAAAAGATTTATACTGCCACGAATGGGCAACTTTGTCATTGAGATCCACGGTGTCGGATGGAAGGGGGAAGAGAGACGGAGAGAAAAGAGAAAAGCCCACAGGGTTATGAAGACAACGCCTCCCTAGACAAATTCTGCAAAATAAAGGGCAAAAAAAGGAAAAAGAGAAACACAAGTGTCGGCCAACTGCAGGGGTGTAGAGGGATATTTCACGGCTCGGGCGCCCGGGTTTGACATTATCCACGATCTCGGTGTTACAGGCCCAGCAGCCCCCGAGATATTAGAAAAGATCAAATTTGCCCGAGTCTCATCAGTTCCGATCTTCGCTCGAGCCGATCCGCGCTAAAAGCCGAGGTGTAGTTTACAGGATCAAGCACTTCTTGCCGCTTTTAGGCTTCTTCTGAGCCTTCAGCAAGGCCGCGCGGGTGGCGGCCTCGAAGACCTCGCGGACACCCTCGTTGGTGCGGGCAGAGCACTCGAGGTACTTGTAGGCACCGATCTTCTTGCGGACTTCCTCACCCTGCAAAACACATTAGCCACTGTTCCGGGGGTAGAGGGGGAAGAGCGAAAACGCACCTGCTCAGGGGTGACCGGCTTCTGAGAGGTCTTGGTGAGCTCCTCAATAGTCTTGGGGTCGTGGCGCAGATCCTTCTTGCAGCCAACAAGGATGATAGGAAGGCCCTGGCAGAAGTGGAGAACCTCGGAAATCCACTGCGAAACCACGTCAGCATTCAAGATGCGCAAGCACATGCAAAGCGAAAAACACCCACCTTCTCCTGGACGTTGTCGAGCGAATCGGGCGAGTCCACGGCGAAACAGATCAAAATGACGTGCGAGTCGGGGTATGACAAAGGACGGAGGCGATCGTAATCTTCTTGGCCAGCCGTATCCCAAAGAGCAAGCTCGACGTGCTTGTTATCAACCTCGACATCGGCGACGTAGTTCTCAAAGACGGTGGGGACGTAGACCTGCAATCAAGGCTGTCAGAACGGGTTGTTTCGGGGCCTATGCGGTCGGGCCGTTGCCAGAGATAAGGCACGAGATCGGGGAGAACGGGGTTGGAGCTCACCTCGGGGAAGGTGCCCTTTGAGAAGACACTGCGGAGAGATTTCCGTTAGATCGCTGGAGCCGAACGAAGGGATTCAAAGGGGATGCGGAGTGGGATGATTCTGATGTCAGAGTACGTACATGAGCAGACAGGTCTTACCGCAGGCACCATCGCCCACGATGACGAGCTTGCGTCGAATCTCGGCCATCTTTGCAGTGAGTTAGCGGAAGAAGAAACACGACGTATGTCTGGAGAAAGCGAAGTGATGGACAAAGCGGTGGGGGTGGGTTGAAGAGGGGGTGGTCAGGGAGTAAGGTAGGAGTGTTGGGAAAGGGACAGGCTCAGGCTGCTCCGGGGGGGTCTCAGGGTGAAAGGGGAAAATGGGTAACACGCACTGTGAATTAAGAAGAGCCGCAAGTAGGTTAGAAAGGAACAGAAGACCAAAACCAGCTAATGCCGAGTAGCAGAAGCCAGGGAAAGAGAGATGGAGTGAGGATGGAAAGAATATTTGATGACTTGGAGGTGGAGGAGGAGAGGCCAGACTACACTGGGCGGTGGACGCCGTATCGGTGTATTTGTTGTACTCTGCCGTATTGCTGCCTCGTTCTGTCGGGGTATTTGTTGTGGTACGTGGTATCGTTTTTCCATTTTGGTTTTCCCTTCCCCTGATGGTGAGAATACTGGTGCCTCGTGACATGCACCGAATTGGTTTGTATTCCGAAGTGCCTATATAACTTAAATCCTGAACTCCTCGTCTTTTTTTCCTCAGTGCTTGAATTGATTCCCACCTGCTCGACACCGTGCTCGTTCCGTGGCCCTCGGCCTGGAAAGGATCTGCTGCGGCCGCGGTAATACGGTTACCCTGCCAGCCCTAGCAGGTTATGTGTGGCTGAGCGTGTCCGTATCCGCGTCACAAGCGGTCCACTCTTGTGTCTCTTGAGACTCAGCCACCGTGGCTGACCGGAAACGAAAGAGTTATGCAATGATTAATGATTGGGGTTTCTGATATCATAGGGGAAAGGGGCTGATCCTAGCTCGTTCATCTAAGGTACCCGGGTGAAAATGGATCACATATCCGGGCCGGGGGGCGGGATACCTGCCTTTTCCGACGGCGTGAAGGAATAGAATTTACAGAGAATGAGTGGATCGACAATGAACTACCTACGCTCAATGGATTGGCATTCTGACACTATATTCTATATTCTATGTAGCTCTAGGACTAGAGATAGAAAGCTTGAAGCACATGTCCGTGTCTCGTGCGAGGTTGGGGATCATCAACGGGAAAATACATCCCCAACTGCTCGTGCGTGGAAACCCCCATGGCTACCACATAACAGTCCCCGAACTCTCAGATTCGTGCAACGAAAGGAAAACCGCCTAGTGGTGCATCTTGCTCCGGTGGTTGTCTTGTGCAAACCGTCAAATGCTTGACTCAACTGTCCACTGACGATCGTTAGGATAGTTTCCTGCTCTGGAGCTCTTCGCTTACTACTCCGTACTTACATTCAACCACAAAAACGCGGCTGTAAAAAGCCCGGACTATCAACCGCGCCCCCCTTGATTTGATGGGAAACTTCCAGAGGCCGGCTCCAGCACGGGTCCCAAAGCTGTCCCTCCCCGAGGCCAATCACTGTTCCCTCTCGCTTTCCTTTCAGATCCACGCAAAAATGCATATGCCTAAAGTTATTGGCTTCGTTTAATGGTGGAGTGCTATACGGCTTAAAGGAGAGCATGCTAGCCGTGTCTCCACGGCTGACTAAAAATAGAGTCTGGGCACAGAGCCCGAATTTTGAAGCTATCTCTTTCTCGGAGTCCAAAATAGGAGTCTGGTTCAGGGGTGATCGGGACTTCTTGACAGGGCGCCAAGGACAAGTGCTTTAGCAATATGGAGTTCACGTATCCGGTTATTGCTCTGGAAATAATCACCGGTTGCCAAAGTACCAATATCCACTTTTCCGGCTGTCGCGAGCTCTCCACTAGCGAAAGCCACACAGGCGGGTCGACCAGCACTGCTAGCGCATCCTTTCTCCAGGTCCCATCGCTCCCGGCGCAGCAGTCGTGTGGACCATGCGGAATTTAGATCGTTGTGCGACGATGCTCTGATCTTTGCCTGTAAAGGCCCCCCCCGTCTGGAGTCTGTATTGCTCCGCGCTATGAGTTGAACGTGCGTGTCATCGGGATCGATCGTCCGGCACTCGGCCTATGCTCCACACATCCGACCCGTAAGCTTCTGATCGGCCGATACGTGCGCTGGTTCGGCTTTTGGATATTGAGCTGTGCTGTCGCGTGTCTCTGCAGGCCTCGTGATCTTGCGTTTGCACGCAAGTTGCCCGAGAACAAGCTGTACGGTTTCGGCATCCTGTCGGGTCTGGGTCCTTGGCAGTTGGGGCACGCGAGGCTCCTTGTTTGATGTCCGACACTCTATCCTGAACGCCATCCATGTTAGTCATGCGCGGAACCCTGATATAGCGAGAGCAGTTCTTGTTCTCGAAGTCATTCAGGGTATCATTCCCAGGTTTTCTTTCAAACAAGCTTCGATATTTCGCGATATCAAGAGCCCATTTCGGAACCAAAACAACTCTTCATGACTTTGGTCTTGTAGGGACGGTCGCCGTCACTATGATCTTCAAGGTCATATTTGGAAGATCGAGAATACAGTATGGGTATGCCTCAATGGAGAATCAAGTTCGTTTCATATTGCTGTTAGGGAAACGTGTGGCCTTCTTTCTGGAAACATTCCTGGGTGCGCGAAGTCCATCGTTCGCTTCGATAGTAGACATTGTTTCAGATAATGTGAGGGAGCACATGAGAGATTATTAAACAAGTCCTTTGTCTAAGAGTACTATAAAAGCGTTCTTGAAGTCTCATGTTTAAAAGATAGTAAAGCCAATGACTTGAAACCGCGTATAAACTAGTCGCTATATTAGACCATAAATTTTCAGAGTTATCCGACCGATAAATTCAAATGGGATGCACTCGCGGTTTCCAACTGGTATACACTCACTAGCGCCATTTTCCCCCTATAGTAAAAGGAAAAAACCCTAACTGGCACGCAGTGCATTCCACTATCCCCTAGGGGTAGCGCCCACTAGCCAGCTATATACGGCCCGAGGTCGTGAAAAGCTTGAGGAATAAACAAACAGACAAACAGACAAACAGACAAACGGTCCCAACCCTTTAAACCCCAGGCCTGAGTCTTAGCAGTTCCGTAGACTCAAAACTTGAGAATCTGCACTCGTACCTAGGTCTAAACACCACTAGGAATCAGAACCATTTTTACATCCCTTGGACATGATTGACTGAGCCTTGATAAGATCAGCACTGTCGCACTTGTTCTCGGTAGCGCACTGGGTGACAGGGCCAAGGAGTTTAGCCTGAGTGTCTGAAGTGCAAGCGCAAGCAGCAACCTGCGTGCTGTCGCCAGTGCAACCAGCAGCTAGGATGGCCTTTTCGATACAGGACTTCTGCATAATGAAAATTGTAAGCAAACCTACCTCCTTTTAATTATTTCTGAACAAAGTGGTCCGACTTACAACGCATGGACTAACACCGTCGAGATTCTGAGCAACAGTAAGACTAGCGACGGCAAGGGTAAACCAAGTAAGCTTCATTTTGAAAAACGTGTTGTGGTCGTGTACTGGGGCAAAGAGTGTGGATTGTCACGAGGGATGTTTGAACGGCAGAAACTCGGGTTGCTCAGTAATGAACAAGCAGAGGGGGATTGGAGCAGAAATAAATAAACAATCTTCATGTTTGGGAGGGCTCTACTATCGGTAAGGGGGTCGTGGGCCGAACTTGTCCGAACTCTGGATTTGGAAAGTGGAGTAAGAGTTTACTAGTATAGGATATTCCCTATTAGCTCACGACCTACGATCCCTACATGTATACGGAGTAGTTAGCACTCGGACCGGCAATGGTTAGATGTTTGATTCTTCTGCATTACGTGATAAAAATAGGCAAAATCAGGCAAAAAGCAAGCAGGGGAGAGTCGGATTAGCAATTCCCTACAGTTATACGTTGTTGCTACAATTTGCCTAATTAAAGATCAAGCGAAATCAATATAATATAGATTTAAATGATTGATTGACTAAGGAAACAAGGAGACTGCTGTTGAGAGTAGTCCCCTTGCCCTTACTAGTGGGCTTGGCGGTTCGTACGGGATTGCCAGTCCGTACGACCCATACTCGGCGGTCACCACGCTCGAGTCCATAGTAAGCAGAACTACATACAAAAACATAAGCAAAGTGATCTTCAATGTGACCACTTGTTAGCGATAAGTTATCACTCCATAGGCTGACACATACTTTCTCTGCAAACAGAGGCAGACATCTGGTTTCTCTACCGACCTGACAGCAATTTGACTCCCTCCACACTCACTTCACAATCTGAATGGCGATGACTTCAAGTCGGTTCGATATAATCAATCACATCTTTTTCTTGCATTAAAATCACATTCTGCGGGGGAAGTTTGGCCCTGATTTCAGTGTAAGTATAATCATATATGAAGTGGGAATAAACCAATACGAACCCGAAGCCCTTAATAGCTTCAAATTTCTGCGTTACTTCACCACCATTTTCGTTGACCCATTTAGCATGTTCCTCGATTTCCTCTTGCGAGACGATTTCTTTAAAGGCAACCTAGATTGTTTAAATTAGTAAAATATCCACGAGTTGTGACTGAGAGGAAGGTCAAACCGTCCCGTTTCATACTCTATCCATGTAAAGTTCGGCAACCTCGTAAATTGATACCGATGAGTGCTATAATCACAGTTCTAGCTTTTTACAAAGAACGGGGAGAATACTAACCAGAAACTATCCGTTTCTGCCATCTCCATCACTTTGAAAAAATAACAAAATAATGATTAGATAAGCATGCACTCAGGGCAGCGCATCACGTGCCCGAGATGCGGCCGTAATTTTCCGTCCGCGTATCGCGAAGTTGACCAGCAGCAACGTTCAGCCATTGCTGGGCCACGACACACAAAATGCAGAAGGTCATCCAACGGACGGCTGCGGCCAGGAAGCAGGCCCAAAAGAAGATATTCCGGGCCAAGAAACACGAGGCATTGGTTGACCGCAAGGACACAACTCGACAGAGGAGGGAATTCAACAAGGCCCTAATCGGCAACGCCAAAGCAGCACGGCAGGCTCGCTGGGAGGACTGGTCCAAGGGCCCTCTGGCTCCGAAGCGAGATGCCGGACTCGAGGCTACCACCTACGGCACAATGGAAGGCCAGACGATGCACCCCCCCAAGATTCCCGATCATCTTCGCCGCAAGCAAATCCTCTTCACTCCTGGAGACAGAGTTTGTATTATTCGGGGTCGGGATGCGGGCAAGATCAATGAGATCTCTCAGGTCAACGAAGACAGCGAGACTGTCCTGATCAAGGATCTCAACATGGTGCGTCTTGAGACATATGTTCAATCCGGTTGCTCTGATCCCAAGCAAAGCCACTAACCATGCCCTCTTCCACAGGCCGATATTACCGTTCCCGAATGGGCCAAATCCTCGATGGGCATCAAGTCCGATATCCTGACTCAGAGCATGCCGGTACCTATTGATAACATCCGACACGTCATCGCGCTGGAGGAGCCAGAGACAGGAGAGGTCAAGGACCACATTATTGAGCATGCATACGCTGGAAAGCCCTACTTCGAGCGGCCGGCGTGGAGCAGGCTTCCGCGATTTAGTCGATACGTTTCGGGACTTGACCTGGAGATTCCGTGGCCCACCGAGGAGGAGCCTGATCTCAAGGATGGCGAGTTTGATACGTCGCGTTACGAGGTCGACGAAACATCCTGGACTCCATCCTTGGAGAACTCCCCCTTCCCATCCAGCGTTCTCGATGAACTCCGCAACAAGTACTCGAGATTCCGAACACGCCACGACCCCGAATACGTGAGGCAGAAGGTCATCGAGGAGTACCGACGGGAATGGCTTGACAGCCAGTCTTTGTTGACTCCACGTGGGCAACTCCTGAAACTGCGGGCTGCGCTGTCTGCCGAGAGAAAGGCGGCGAGACTGGATGCCAATGGCAATGTGATCATGGACAAGGAGACGAATTCTTTCATCGACCAGTTCATGAGCATGAATGTGAGCGAGAACCTGACCAAGTCCAATCAAAAGTCGCAAAGGACCAAGAAGACGGTTTGAATCGAGCGATTGTGATTTCGCATGAGGGTTATTTTCAGAGAGCGATGTGTATAAACCCAACTGTATTCTAGTACCAAATTTTTCTGCATTAAATGTATGGAGATAATTCCCTGCAAAATGCTTTTAGCAATTTTAGCCCAATTCATTTTCACCGAATCAAGCCTATCAAATACAGCATTGAAAAAAGTAGGTTTGTGATGCGCGGGCCGCTAGGGGAGAGAGATGGTGCCGCGTCGACGCCATTCTTGCTCCCATTTTCCAATCTCTTCTGCCCTCCAGCACTGCTACACTCATCTCTGAGCAGTTGCACCCAAGAATGGCTTTTGCTGCTATAAATTCGGCGGGAATGCCCATTGCCGTCATCGAGGAGGCATTCGTGACAGAGCCCTCACTAAAAAAAGAGTCTACGATGCGATCGGTGCGTAGCCTACGGCGCCATCTACATCTTTCCACACCACGACCATTCGGACCACCCACTGACCACCCGCTCGCTCCGATTAGGACACACACCCCAGCATGCACCTTTGTTTGAGGACCTTGCTCGTTACACCTCTTCCCTGCAGGCCAGGACCGCGAGCACCACACTACCGATCGTACCGCCGCCTACCGACGGCCCTGCCGCGAAGAAGCGCAAAATACAAAATGGGAGCTCTGGGGAGACAGCGCAGGCGTCTGTCAACCTAAAGGATGCGCCGACGCAATTCTACGTCCAGGACATTTCTTTCTCAATGCCCCAGCGCAAGAAGCTCACGCTCGAGGTCACTGCTGGGCACAGGTACCTTCGCGCAAGGAACCAGGCTACAAAGGAGGTGGAATTCGGAGTCTCAATGGATCAAATTCGTAAGTCATCTTGACATTAGATGATATTGGGATTTGAAACTAATCTGTGCTGCGTACAATTAGGCCATGCACTGTGCCTCCCTGTCCCAGAAAAGACGCAAAAGCAGTTCAACTTCTGTATCATTCCCGAGTTCGCAGATGGAATCACACCGCCACCCGAGGGCGCCACGGCCCCAGATGCCATGGTTTTCACCGTGCTTGATGGCCCGGCTAAGGCTGCATTCTCCGGGTCTGGACAACAGATTGGCAACAACCTAGGCGAGACTGCGGAGGGATTGATTCGGAAGATTCTGAACGAGAATATGCTCAATAGCAGTGTCGTGCGGCCCGACGAAAGAGAGTTTGTGAGCGCAATGCCTGAGGCGCATCGCAAGGGCGACAAGGCATATCACGTCAAAGCATTCCGGGGCAGCAAAGAAGGTATGCCACGGCGTTGGAGCCAAATGGAATTGACAGGCCTAGTTCAATCACTAACAGCATGATCAGGTTATCTATTCTTACTTTCGACTGGAATTCTGTTTGCGTTCAAGAAACCGCTTCTTTTCTTTTCCTTCGATACGGTCGAATCCGTTTCTTATACATCCGTCCTCCAGCGGACATTCAACCTCAACATTCTTGCTCGTCCAAGAAACGGCTCTGAAGAGGACAACGAGGAATTTGAATTCTCCATGATTGATCAAGACAACTTTGGCGGCATTGACGAGTATATCAAACGTCATGGCCTGCAGGATTCCAGTTTGGCGGAAGCTCGCCGTGCCAAGGTGTACAATGTTAACGCGCCTAAAAATACCGACGAGTCCGCTGCCGCTGAAACTACAGTTGTCGAAGAGGAAAGCGAGCTACAGAAAGCTCAGCGAGAGCTCGAAGACCAGGAGGACGAGGACGAAGAAGACTACAACCCGGGCAGTGAAGGTGAAAGCGAGGGCAGTGGGTCAAGCAGCGATGATGACTCCGAAGACGAGTTCCACGAGAACGCAGAAAACGTTAGCGATGGAGACGACGAGGATCTCATTAAGGAGGAGCTCGGCAGCGAGGCTGAAGATGCTGGTGATGATGAATAGAGAGGGCTCAATGCCTGTTGATCCGTATGAAAGTCTGTGTCATGATACTGTCATAAAGCTGTTTAAAAATCTAATGTCCCCGATTTTGGACCCTGTCGAAGTGTCTCTGGAGTGAATTGTACTCCTACACCGTATTATCTTCCAAAACTTAGAGCTAGCGATCGCCGGGTGGGTCGAAGACGTGTCAAATGCGCGGGTCACTGTATCTGCCTCCAGCAGGGCTGCAGCTGCAATCGGGGTCTGTCAAGGCCGGATGCTTTGAATATATTGGGGGTGATATGACACTGCATTCAATAGTAAGCTACCGAGGTAGAGATGCTATGTATCAAAGGGAGGGCAGAAAAGGGCCATGCCAAGACGGTAATCTTACGAGATTAAGCGCATTCCAGACCGAGTCCAACGGCATCCCCTGAGCGGTAAGGAAAAACTCGGCACGCAGGAACAGCGACACCCGCCCTTCCCCCCGGGCCCGAAATTCTCATTTTCAAATTGTCTAAACTCTGTAGGCTTTATAGTATTTGTCAATGTTTCTAGTGCCCGTACGGTCTGATCAGATCTACTATTCTACCCTACTATTCCACCCTAGGGTACACAGTGCCAAAGGGCCTGAGCATCCACTATTATAGATGTCGGTGGAGGCTAAACTCTAGATACAGGTTTCTCAGGCAGCAGAGAAACGTAGGAAGTGGATCGATTTACCTGGGTCAGAACCTAAGTGCAAAGTAGCGTCACAGTCTTCCAAATACTGTCCTCAGGCGAAAAAGGCGCCCCCGGTTTCCCAACGATCGCGCGGGTATCATTACCGTCTGTGACCGCCCGTCCCCTGTGCCTCCCCCGTCAACCGCGGGTACCAAATACACTCCCAATACTCTCCGCTCCCTTTCTCTCTCAACTTCTCTCCCTCTCTTCTTCTTCCACCTCCCCCTGCCTCCCCTTCTCTCCCATTGCTCTCAAGTGCGGCTCACTCGCCGCAGAGTACCTCTGGTGCTCTTTTTCTTTTATTCTCCTGCGTTTTGCTTTCGCCCCGTGTTTCGGCAAAGCCTACCCCCGATTGGCAGCTTTGCCTGGCTCACGCCTGAAATCCCCCCAGTCTGCGACTCCGAAATCAAGTTGGCCCAATTCCTTCACGGCTCGCCCAATTCCGCCCTTATCGCTTCTGCAGCTCTCCACGCCGTGAAGACTGCTCGTCGCTTCGTCACATTGCCGGCTATAACTCGATCGTCCGACCCTGCTCGCCCCCGATCCATCGGCCGAGACGTGCATCCATTGAAGAACCGGAATCGCTTTGGTTAACCATCAAGTGTCCCTGCGGTGTATGTCCAATCAGTCGAGTACCCTCGTGTGATCTCGTTGGATCTCGTGCTGACTACGGTCCTGACCAGTCAAAATCACGTGCCTGTCACTGGAAGCCATTGCCCTGTGATCAAAAGTTCCGTTCCTGCCACCACCGTCCCCCATGGCGTCCTCTTCGTCGAACGTAGTGGGTGTCCACTATCGTGTCGGCAAGAAGATCGGTGAAGGTTCTTTCGGTGTCATCTTCGAGGGCACCAACCTTCTGAACAACCAGCAGGTGGCCATCAAATTCGTACGTCATGTTGTGAAAAGGGATAATGAAAATCCAAGCTGACCAAAACAGGAACCCCGGAAGAGCGATGCTCCTCAACTGCGTGATGAATACCGGACCTACAAGATCTTGGTCGGATGCCGTATGTCTCCCTATTTCGGAGCCTTTGCCACATCTCATGCTAACTTTTCCCCACAGCCGGTATCCCCAATGTCTACTACTTCGGACAGGAGGGTCTGCACAACATCCTCGTCATCGACCTTCTCGGTCCCAGTCTTGAGGACCTTTTCGATCACTGCAACCGCCGGTTCTCGACCAAGACTGTGGTGATGGTGGCCAAGCAGATGGTATGTCTTGTCCGATAACTCGCAGATGCCCCTATCTAATGTCCTCCAGCTTTCGCGCGTGCAAACAATCCATGAGAAGAACCTTATCTACCGCGACATCAAGCCCGACAACTTCCTCATCGGTCGCCCGTCCACCAAGGCTGCCAACGTCATCCATGTCGTCGACTTCGGTATGGCCAAGCAATACCGCGATCCCAAGACCAAGCAGCACATTCCCTACCGTGAGCGCAAGTCTCTGTCGGGTACCGCTCGTTATATGAGTATCAACACACATCTGGGTCGTGAACAATCACGTCGAGATGACTTGGAAGCTTTGGGTCACGTCTTCATGTACTTCTTGAGGGGTGGTCTTCCCTGGCAAGGATTGAAGGCTGCTACCAACAAGCAGAAGTATGAGAAGATTGGTGAGAAGAAGCAGACAACCGCCATCAAGGATCTTTGCGAGGGATATCCTGGTATGTTTCCCCCCATCACCCTCGACGTGATAGAATACAAGATATCTAACCTCTCCCAGAAGAGTTCAACAAGTATCTGAGCTACGTTCGCAACCTCGGCTTTGAGGACACCCCCGACTACGACTATCTCCGTGACCTTTTGACACAAGCTCTCAAGAACGCTGGCGAAGTGGAGGATGGAGAATACGACTGGATGAAGCTCAACAATGGGCGCGGATGGGACTACAAGTCATATGGATCGACACGCGACTTGCCTCACCAGACCTCGACGGGACGTGATCTGCACGGGAGCCAGCTTCGCAGCAGCCAGCGGCCCGGTGTGACAGCCGACCGTTTAAACGCCGCGCAGCCCCCGCCCCCTTCTCCCGCCAAAGCCGGAGCAGGGAAGACGCGCGAGCGCCCAAACGGTTCCGGCGCGATCCCGCCGAAACGCCAGAGCGGGGGTCTGGAAGCAACGACTCCAGCCGCGTCCACCCAGGCACAGTTCCAGAACTCTAACGCCCACCTTCCCGGCCGTATGGGGAGCCCCGGAAACCCCGGCATGAGCAGCCAGCAGGCTGGCGGTGTCCAAGGGAATAATGATCCGCAGCCCACTTTCGCTCAGAAGGTGATGAAGGCTCTGTGCTGCGGTAGGTGATCCGGCCGTGTTGGTCTTTTAGTGCCGCACAGCCAGCTTATTCCGAGATCCAGGTTGAACCCGAACTATTTGAAGCCGCGGCGTGTCACTGGATTGAACACGACCTGATGATTCCCCTTTGCTCTTTCTGCCCGCAACTGCCAGAAGACGGTCGAAGAATGAATCATAATACGTCGGCATGGGATTACCTTTGGCCACTCTTCCTCTATCATCCCTTCGATCCTCCTTTTCTTCTTCCCATTCGACGCTTCAGCCTACACTTTCATTGTGGGTAGAAACGGCCTTCCTCTCATTGATGTTATGTCTCATCACTCTTTCATGGTGCAACGGCTCGGCAACGGCGAACTTGAGAGATTTTTATCTTGTGCTTTCCCATTTTGCTTCCTTATACTCGACGTGCATCGTCTAATACCAAAACTTTGTCCTTTGCAAACGAGTGGATTGGGGGGGGGGGGGTCTGCGGCCCTTCCATCGATCATTTGCAGTCTCTGTTCGGAATTTGTTTGAAATGTCGAGTTCTGCGAGGCAAACTTCTGGTCTCGAATCGGGGCAGCATTTGCTTCAACATGCCATGTATTGTATCGCAGAAGGATGGGCCAAAGACCACTGATCAGGATCAACTTTCGACACCGTCCACAAGAGCAGCTCTTGACCTTTCATCCTACCCTATCAACAGGGTGGGCATTTTAATGTCCCTGTTTCTGTTTGAAATTCTTCTGTCGGGCACTTCTTCATCGCCGTGCCATACCCGTTGGCGCCATCTCCTCGCACCCGGGTCCAAAGAGTCATTTCAACTGCATGTCCATGCGAGTCGTCAACATGATGAACGCATGTTGCATATATTTGCCTGTTCGATTCCCTTTCTTCGTCATGTGCGAGAGTTGTCTTTGGTTGTTTCACCCCCCATTTGGATCTACTGCCCTTGTCTATAATCGTCCCCCTGTCTTTGTTCTTGCTCCGTTTCAGAAGCGAGTTTATTTGTGTTACCGGTAGTTGTGGCATAAGATAGCATTGTTCTTTTTTTGTCTTCTTGATTCTTTTTGGTTTCTTGATGATTGCTTGCGCCCGTACAGCGTATATACTTGTTTTCGGAGTAGGTGACTGATAATATGTTTGCGTTTACCAATTGAAGAGAGAGTACCTTGTAGATGGGTAGGACGTCGTCCCTGCCGATAGACGTTCGTGGTTGAGAGGAGAGAGCAGCAGCTACCTCGACGTCTCATGCAATCCGTAAATATATTCACCACTCTATCCTGTCCGTACTATATCATCAATATTTTCTTCAATGCGCAGGCATCATGACACCACAAACTCTGCACGTTTCCCAAGAGCTCATTGACAAATAAGAATCCCGACATCCTAACCCTGACCACGTTTCCCAAAAAACAGTCTACATACAACACCCCTGGCTCTGACGTGTATGCTCATACGGAGTACAGAGTAAACAGCGTGGCTACCTAAACCTTGTCCAACGCCCAAAAATACGGCTCCTATCATAACTCCCTCTGCACGTAGGTACTTGCCAGATCCGGCTTGGTCACCAAGTATAGCGCAACCTGCTATACCCAATAATTGCGTCCGGTCCACCCCTTAACGGTAGCCATGGACTATCACCCCTGTAAATAGTGCCCATGTACGAATAGGGGAGACAAAAACTACTACTCTGTGGATAGCAGTAGGACAATCCTTGCCACTGCAAAGTCTGTCTTCCTTTCTTAATTCGATTCGTCCGCACTGATACATACACGAAGCGGCCTGCCTAAGGTTTGATCTACATCCAAACGGGGCTTGCATGCCCAATTTGGTGTCACGTCACACTTCCACTCGGACGGGCCCTGTTCGCTCATCCTGCAGCTGGTTTCCGCGCTAGCCATTCACACCGTGCATCCCCCGCATCTGCGTTGCTTGGCGTGGCGCTGATTCGACGCTCCTGCAGACACCCGGTAGGCAGATGGATTTTTGGCCGTGTGGCCTGGTGGTGGCTGTGTGTTTTGTTTTTATTACCGATTCGTTTCTGCATGCTGGGATTTGTGCGTGGCGGGTGTGCGAGGCCGTGGAAGGGGGAGTTAGGGTTGGGATCGTCGGTGTGTTGTCATGGGCTGGTTTTGGGTAGGTGGGCACGCACGGTCTTGGTGGTGACATGCCAGATATGTGAATGAAGTCGTTCTGTAGAGATCGTATGATTTTAGGATCTGTGGCCCCAGTGACATTCCAGTTATCCTGAAGAAGAATATGGAGTGTCACTGGGTGATCCTATTCATGTATTTAAAGACCTCTAATAGCTACCAATTCACCCTTTGGAAATGTTCTCATCATCTCACAATGGACTCGAGCACAGTCTACAGCATCGTCCGAACTCACTACGGCGATCTAGCCACCCGGCCTTCAAAACTCGAAGTATCACATGAAAAAATCGCGAAAGTATTCGGATACGAACCCTCTGAGCTACACTCCATCCCGCAAGATGCAAATCTCGGCGTAGGATGCGGGAACCCGCCGGCCTTGACCAAGTTGCGTAAGGTAAGTACGCCGAATCGGGAGATCATGCAAGACCTGACCCTGCTAGGGCGAAACAGTCGTGGACCTTGGCAGTGGTGGGGCTTTGGATGTCATCCTAGCAGCCCGTAAGGTCGGGATACAGGGGAGGGCTATTGGTGTGGATATGACAAGGGTATGTCACCCGTCTCAGGGTACATGCAAGGAGATGGCTTTTTGACAAGATCGCAGAGTATGGTTGATCTGGCTCAGAGGAATGCTGAAGAAGCCGGTGCGTCCAATGCTTCCTTCGTTGATGGGATCCGTTACAGCTATCCCGTTACCGGATTCTACTGCAAACTGCGTAATCAGTAACTCCGTGGTGAATCTTGTCCCCACGGCTGAGAAGTCTTGTGTGTTTCATGAGATGTTCCGCTTGTTGGTGTCTGGTGGACGGGTGGCTATTAGTGATCTTCTTGCCAAGAAGGATCTTCCGCGTGGGCTGGCCAGTGACATGGCTTTGTATCTTGGATGTATTGCGGGCGCGAGCAGGGTTTACGAATATGAGGAGTACTTGCGTGATGCGGGGTTCAAAGGTTGATGTTTCGTTCTCTCAACGTGGCGATTTGATGATGCTGACGTTTCAGATATCCTGATCGTGGATACTGACAAGGATCTTAAGGTCTACAAAGACCTTGCTGAGTCTCAATCGGGGGATTCAGTGGGTTGATGCCGTGCATCCAAGGATGAATCAGGCAAGCGTGCAAGGAAGCATGGCCGAGAGATTGACTTTAACGAATGGGCCGGCGTGTCTAAAGTACCTACCTTAATAAGTACTTGATCGGCACTGACACAACAAAGGCGCATTTCAAATATATGCCCTCAAACCATAGATGGGCTGGTACTGGTTACAAAAGCCCTTTATATCTAACGAGTAGAACTTACAGGAAAGAAACACCAAGCACAGACCTTCAGTAAATCACACCCAAACTCAAGTAATGTACCTAAGAAATCCGCGTCAAGGCAGCCAAAAGTACTCGATTATCAACCCTGCAACCATCCGTGGGGCTCCTCCCAGGCTGGAACCCATGCTGCATCCACATCGATATGACGTGCAGATCGATGCCCCGTTGGTAGCACCGAGTCACCCATTTATACGCCAAAGAGCAGAGGGTCGCGCTCGAGCCCGTCGTATCCAGAGTCCCAGAATCTCGATGTTGCATGACATCGTTTGTTTGGACGGGTTGATGACCCCGGTAGCTGTCGATCAGTGACGAGTGATTGACTGCCGGGGCCAATAGGTCGACGTCGTTGGCGCTGAATGTATACACGGTCTCCTGACTGCAACAAGATGGCGACGTCGTGCCGTGTAGCTCGGACGTTCCTGAGGGGTTGAGGGTCTGTTGGCAGTTAGTATGCAAATAAGTTCAAGTTTACGTCTAGCAAACTTGCCATTGGTAGCCACAAACCCGGAGTATCAAACACATTCGGCGTGAGTTCACTTTCGACTCTGTCATGTCTCCGGTTGATACTAAGAGCATCAAGCCTCTGTTTCTGGGCATCATTATCTGCTCGGAGCTTCTGCAATGCTAGTTGACTTTGCTCTTCTCTGGCTGCGCTTGACTCTTCATACTCTCGAACTCGCCTTTCTAGATGGTGTACGTATTCCTGTCGTCGCGCTCTCGAGCGTCGCTGGTTATTGCATAGACGAGCGAGATCTTCACTCTATACAGTACTTAGTGAGAAACTCTAGAGAATAGTACCATTTACTTCCCCGGCCCATGACGTATCTCACCTTTGTTTTGCCTTGGGCCGTGGCATGTTGTCGGGTACCACCCGGACCCAAATCCATTTGATTAAAAACCTCTCTCCAAAGTCTACACGGCCCGTGATATCGCAATTCCGGACCCAAGTAGTCTCTGGGAGTCTCGAGTGTTTACTAATGGAAAGCCATCCCCGACTCCCCGACCAATCAAACGATGGCGGCATGTCGCTGCGGTGTAATGTGACTTTTCTAAACTTTTTAGCGGATGAAGACCGACGGTACAGCGAATCATGCCACGAGCCATGAACCAGCATCTGTTCAATAACAAACCCATGCCGTTCGAACCTAAAGACTTCTTTGTCCAAGATTTCCCCTCAGATGATTACCTACCGCTAACAACCCCTGAACGGTTCGCCAATTCGTGATGGCTGCCCCGGACATCCCCCGCAATACGCAATGGCATGAAGCTTACCCCGCTCCCATGTCCAAGGTTGACGCACTGCCCCGCCAGGAGCTGTTGCGCTGGTTGAGGGAGGGGAAGCAGGCTGGCAGGGATTTTGTTTTGGTGGATGTACGGCGTAATGACTTCGAGGTACTTGCATTACTGGGCGGCGATTGGGGTGTTGGCTGATGTTTTTTTACAGGGCGGCACTATTCGTGGTTCGTTGAATCTGCCGTGTCAGAGTCTGTATCCTACGCGCCCAGCGCTGTACACTCTTTTGAAGAGTGGTGGCGTTGAGAATGTTATTTGGTATTGTGGTGAGATGGTTCTTCTGCTTTCATTCCATAGAGATTTCTAACGTGACTTTTCTGGAAGGTTCTTGTGGAGGTCGGGGTCCGAGGGCTGCCGCGTGGTTCGCGGACTACTTGGTGGAAAAGCGGGACTCAACTATGAAGAGTATGATACTTGAAGGGGGCATTAAAGGATGGGCTGCCGCTGGGCCAGAGTATACTGAATTGATGGATGAATATGATGCCAGCGTGTGGGCCAAGTCATAGATGTTGATCTGCAGCGCCATTGGAAATAACCATTAAAACAATGATGTTTACTTTCATCTCACAAATATTTGTAACTCTTAATATCTCGTTTCACGGACCCTCTGAGCATCCAATGCCATGCCTGACGCGACTACCAATAAGGTATACAATCCAGTCTCACGAACAACTTCGACGGTAACCGTCGAAGGTACCTCCCCGGCCGGTGTCATCTCCGAATCTCCGATCCCGAGCCACCTCCGACAAGTACACCCTTGTAGGGCAGACATGCATGTGAACAAAGCAGACCAAATAAAATCCAAGTGGATACTGCAGAATCTTCAATCTGAGACAACCCGGCGCTTCTATCAGGGGCCACCTCAAAGCGTGGACTCTGCAAAGCGCTGCTTTGCAGCGCTTACCAAAAAAAAAAAACCGGAGTCCGCCGTTGCATCAGGGAAAAAGACTCAATCCTGAAATAGACCCAGATCTGAGCCCACAATGCAAGTGCTAGCAAGGGTAAAAAAAACACACGGCCGACGGATAGGCCGCAGATCTTCCAGGATCCGGCCGTACCATACTTCAAACCCCGTATGATCTCCATACGAAACTCGAAGGATAGTCGGCCCATCGCACCATGATGATGTGCTCAAACTCAATTTGGTATCTGTATTTATCCTAGTGTACTACTACGGTACTAGCATATGTAGGTCATCTGCGATCCACCGAAGAAAACGAAAAAAAAAAAAAAAAATCCACTCAACTGGATCATTTCTCCCAAGGTTGTTTCATGTAGCGCCGGCTCCTGGGCTGTAAGAGCAAGCTTTCGCAAGCTTTCATCCTCTGCCGTGTGCTCCATGATCCTCTCCCGTGTGCTCCACGATCCTCTGCCGTGTAGGATGAAACGTGCGCGCTAGGCTAGAGCGTGTTTTCTTTCTTAGCGTCTCACCATCACAAATCAGGATTTTGGCTGCTCGGGGTGGGGCTGTGAGGTCATCTGGCGGCTTCAGCCGTGTGAGTTTGATCGACTGCCTTCGTTTGGGGGGTTGGTCTCTCTTGGCAGAGACGTGTGGAGATCTGGGAAATTGGTGATCGAGACTGTGTTGATCCGCTACCTTTTTGACTTTTTTTTTTCCTTTTGCATAACCTGTAAGACCCATTTTCGATGCACGTCATTTGGGACGATCGGGCTGGAGCTGTCTGTCCGGAGCTGTACCGGGGGACCTTGGTTACCGACGAGGATGGCATGCACCGCTGGAAAATGGGGCCGGATATTGCGTACTCGTGTAACGAGAAACCCCTAGAGATGCATGGCATCCCAGTCTGATAGGGAACGGGCTTTGCTTATTCAACGCCACAAAGCCCGTTCATGTTACCCCGTATTGCGTACTGCGTATATTCCGTGCTCTCAGGACACGAGACATGAGACAGATCACAGCATGGCCCCCCGCCGTGGCCTGCTACTCGATGCTAGCGCCTGCTCTAAGGTACCCCATACCAGTCGGATTCACGCTAGCAGCCGAGCTGACACCGTTCTAGATGCGCCGTGGGAGGCCCAAGGACGCTTGAGAAGGGAAAGCGCCGTCCCGTGCGCGCGATGTGGGGAATCGCGCTCATCGGGGAAATTGTGGATCGAAACCCTGGGGGATTCTTTGACATGAAAGAGTACGAGGGAGGTGGGCTCCGAGTTCTGCGCTTGTACAGCACTAACCCGTGCAGCTGCATGGCCGTGGGGGTTGGACTGGCCCGTTGGCCGCGATGGCCATGCGGAGATGATGGGGAATGGGCTCGGCGGCCGAGTGTAGAGGGAGTTGCAGGCTCTGTGCGAGATAGGCACACCCATGCTTGTGCTCTGTGAGCTAGTAACCTAATCCTACATAATATACACAATCGTGCATTGTGCTTGGCCGTTGGGACGAACCACGGCCGACTGCTGATCCAATGGCTGTAGGCACGGTTCGTGCCTGGTGCAGGGGGGTGCGACCGACGTGGCCAGATACAGTTCTGCGCTTTTCTGTGAACCTTATCAGCGACAAAGCCTGCAGACCCTGAACTATAGACTCATCCTAAACAGACATCTGTATAGAGATCTACTATTGATGCAATCATTGTATCAGTTATCTCTCTCTTATCAGTCCACGCCCTCCGAGAGCGGAGGATCGCCCTTATCAGGCCTGAGTCAGACCGAGTGGAGCCAATGAGTCTTGGAGCCTCCCATGGCTCCATCGAATGAAATCTTGGCCCTCGGTTTCAATCGGCCCTATTTTCTGGTCTTTTTTTTTTTGCCGCCCTCTACGGAGTAGTTGAGAGTGATTGATCGAATCACCGAGTCCCTACGTGTGTCGCATGATAAGAAAATTTAATTTTCAGAACACAGACTCGGGACATATAGGAAGCAGAGGCGACGATACCCCTGTGAAATCAATGTAACGGAAGCTTGTCATGCAACCGGGTGGCAAACGCAAAATTCGGACCCCTGCACAGATCGAGTCGGCAGAGTTTTTCCTGGCCAGGCACCATAACGCCATCTCGGGGAGAGGAGGGGGGGGGGGGGGGGGAACTGTCATACTGTCCTAAAGAAAATTTCTGATGGATGGGGGCCCGGTGTGGCGATCGTGGGTAAAGGAGAAACTAAGGTGCTTCGGTGGGGGTTCTAGAATTCTAGAAGGTCTGGGCTGTTGCCGGGTGCGTACACCTAATTAATATAAACGGTGTAGCATTCTCGATTCAGCCGCACTGGGGAGGATGTTCGGATGATATGCCAGGGGTAGCCCGGGCTGAACCGGGGGCAATTGGGGCGATGACACCTTAGCCTAAAAGAAGGAGGGTAAACCGGAGACACTAATCGCGTCTGGCCATATCTTGCCACCTTGGGACATTCCGGAATTTGATGAGGCGCCGATCGTGACCGCACTGGAAATCAAGACATTAAGAGGGTTTAAGACAGAGCAAATCATCAAGCTTGGACACATTCCTAGGGACGATCGGCAGGGCGATAGAGCAACTAGTGACGATCTAACTGCGTTGAGGCAGCGGTGCAAGTGGATGACGTGACGGAGAAAAGTAAAATACGCAAGGGGATGAGCGTGTCACCGAAAAACATGCGGGTCTCACCCGGTCGTGTCACTGGTGCAGCCGTGACTGAACCGTGGGTCTGTTCTGGGTCTCCAGAAGGATTGTCATTCCGAGACCGGATAATGGCGTGGTTAGCGTCTCTCGTGCGATGACCGTGGGCCTATCCGGTCTGCACATTGGCTGCAATCAAGTCGCTAGCGTGTGGGTGTTTAGTGTGGTGTGCTCACAGGGACTCCATCCGCCGATTGGGTTCCCCGTACATGTTGCTCGGACAGGAACAGAAAGTGTGCTCACCACGAGGAATCGCCACGCGCCTGAGCACACGCACATTTCTAGAAGTTACCCCCCTGCAGCCCCTTGCGTAAAGCAGATACCTAATTCCCAGTACATGCGTACATGCACTTTGGTAATGCCCGTACCGACCCACTTGCCACAGCATTCCACGATCACCACATCTGATCCGACTCCACTTGGGCGCCAGTACTGGGTATTACACGTATTGTGGATCGACGAATGATTCCAGAACCAGTCCCGTCGAAAAGAGTGGAGTTGCCCTCTTTTCCTTTATTTGCCTGGGGTCTCGCTTTTGGGTACTCTTCCGCTTTACTTGGCTCTGACTCTAATCTACACCTACACCTGCACCTCCCCGTCCCATGCCATCGATTCTCCCTCCTTTGCAATAGCATTATTCCCCGATCCCGAAGCTGGATTCTCATTCAGCACACAGGGGAGGATCGGTGAGGAAACGACAGTCGTCACACGGTCCCCGCCGCACGCTGTACGCGATGCTCAAAAAGAAGTCCCTGGCTTCTTCCTTTTTCTGGAACTTTACCCCCAGTACCACTCCCGAACTGTCTCCGACTTCTTCGGATAGTGACTCCGACGAGGATATGGAATCTTCTGGCTCCCGACCGGTCAGCCTGGCCGTCTCGGCGGGAGCCTTCTGTCCTATGCGTCCTACCCTCAACGAGGTGTTGGCCAACTCCGCCCCGCCACCCTATACCCTCAGCGCGTTCATGGCCTACCTCTCCCAGAACCACTGTCTAGAAACCTTAGAGTTCACCCTCGAAGCGAAGCGTTATAGGGAAACCTACGAGGCCGTGGCCGATCGTCTCGGGCTCTCCGTCATCCCGGCCGATGTCCCGGAAAGCCGGCACTTGCGTATGCTCTGGCAGCGCTTGTTAATGGCGTACATCATTCCCGGGGCTCCCCGAGAAATCAATCTCTCCAGCGAAGTCCGTGATGAAGTCCTGTCACACCGTGACGCCACCGCGCCTCCCGCCCCGGAGATCCTCGACTCCGCCGTGAAACGCATCCACGATTTGATGGAAGAGTCCATCTTCCTGCCCTTCCTCAACAGCCACACCACCTCTCCGGCCATGCTTCCCCGATCTGGTTCTCCCTTCGACGCGGATCTAAGCCTGTCAACCACGATTCTGGACGAAAATCCCATGAAGAGAGTGCGGTCTCGTGCCAAGCGTATCTCTCCCAACTCCTCCACCAAGGATCTTCCCGCAACCGCCGGCCGCTCAAGTTCGTCCCTCAGCGCCGTCCACGCCCTGGGGCAACGCACATCCGGGATCGTCCTCACCACAAGTGGCGACTCGACCTCCGGGGCCCTGACGGACGACTCAAGTCCGCAGTCCAGCCCGACCGTCGAGGAACCAATGACGCCGCCGACCACCCCGCCCGGTAGCGAGCCCCATATCCCATGCCACAGCCCCAAGCTGCGTACCGAAAACCCTTGGAAAAAGATGGGCATGAAGCTGGGCTTCAAGAAGCGGCACGGCAACGGCAACGGCAACGGCTCTCGCGATCCCAAGATCCTCGGCCTGGACGAATAAAACAAAACCACCTCCCCTCAAAACCTACGACTCTACATTCTCCTATGATATCTCCACGAACTCCCCTCAACGATGACCTGTTCCGCAACGCATCCACACGATCCGATTCCTTGCTTAGCGTTTATTGGCGGTGTATGAGAGCATGATGCATCAGCATACGACTTCGGCGTTTTGTTGTCTTTTTTTTTTCCTTGTCAGTGTCTCCAAGCGAGCATTTTGATGCCCCGTCATTTTTCTCTTACATTTTTCCTTTCTTGTGACACATTTTTCTACACATCTTCCATTCCATCATCATACATAGACTGGATGGAGCCTGTTTTCTTTATCACCATCTTCATTTTTTTTTTTTTTGTCATCACCCATTCTCCTGTGGATCTATTCGATAGCTTGCTACGATAGGATGACGCCGCTTCTGGAATCAATAGACTTGATACCCCTATTCCACTTTTCAACCTTTTTTACCTTTCAAGTATTGTAAAATTCCCCAGCCTTGAAGATTACATGTACCACATGGTCTATTTCCCTTCTCGGTTTAAACGTGCGAGCGACATACGTAATGCGGAAACTCTGCAGAAAATTAAACTCGCTCTTGAAAATCCCGACCCACATGATATCAAGACTCCCCCCCGGCCCAACCTTAATCGTCTGGGGAATGTAAATTCCTCACTTCCTCCCAAGGAACCATGTCGATCTGGAAGGTTTTTTTTTCTGGTTAAGTACTACCCAAGATCCATTGTCTAAGAATATATTCTACGTGAATGTAACCCTGCGTCCGGATCGCGTTTCCAGCGCCGCGATTGTCGTGTTCCAGCCCGCTTCTTCGAGGGCGTCTGTGTAGCTCGAGAACTGAGAGTTTAGGAGTGAGAGTGTATTCGTCACGACTGAGAGGACTTCTGGAGTGGGTTCTGTGCCGGATTTGGATGTTGTGGTGGATAGCACTCGTGCGGCGAGGAGTCCGTGCGTCCAGGCTTTGAGCTGCGAGTGTACGGTGCAGTTGCTTTTCAGTAGAATTGAGGCGTGCCATTCTGTTCCGTTGGGATGGAGGTAGAGGATGTATGATTCGTTGGCGAAGAGAGTTGTTAGATCGGGCATTGGGATGTTGGTTTGTAGGGAGCCTCGTGAGGTATGTTGGCTTGCTTGTGCTTGTTTGAAGAATGAGGCGAGTGAGACGCCTATCGAGGCGCTGCCTAGGTTTCGTGTTTGGGATGGTGTGTTCCATTGGAGGGCGCCATCGCGGTGGAAGATGCGTTCTTCTCGGGATACTTGTGCCGGTGTGAGGATCTTCCAGGATGAGGTGTCTGGCTTGGCCTTGCTTTTTGGTACTTCCCCGGAGCGTAGGCGCTCTATATCTATGGCGGGATCGGACTCGAGCAAGGTTGAGAAGATGATGTTTGCCCGTTGTCTGTTCAGACTTGTCATCTGGACGGCTCGTACTGCTGCATAATTGAGGCTGAGATGCGCCGCTAAGAGGATCAGCAGTGCGGCCCATGTCGTCTTGAATCCGGTGACGCGAGATACGACCACTGAGCCTACCTGTATTATCGGTTAGATCGAGATCACGACCAGGCTGCTGGGAGATCTTACAAGCATGCCAAAAAGAGAGATGATCGTCTCTTGTGAAGAGTCTTTCTGTCAATGGCATTAGATATAGCTCCGCAAAGACAGAGAGAGCACTTACGGCATTGAGCTCAGCCAAATTCCCCCACTTTGCAAAATGAGCACTCAAACTCGCCTTGGAACTCCCGCCTGCAACACCACACAAGGCACGCAGGATGCCTGCCGTGCTGAGAATCCCTACGCGCATCACCCCGGCTGGAACCATTGGCGAGAGAGTGTCCATGATCATGGCGATGTCGTTGAATACATCGGCTGCTAGCCGGTAAGTTTTGCATTCTGGCTCGAGAGCTGTGCCGACTCGGTGGGCGAAGAGAATGGTTGCTACACGACCTGATGAGTCTTGGAGGACGTGTAGAAGTAGCGCCGAGGATGGAGAGGCGTTGGCGTCGCCGACACCGACTCCTGTAGTAGCTATTAACCTAGGGTTCTCAATGTGATATGGATGGCGAACCTTGTAGCACCGCTCGGGAGGAGAGGAGGCCTGCTATTGAGCTGCAGAATGCTTGGAGGGAGTCCTTTTCGTTGTAAGTTTTATGTTAGTCCAGGGACTGATTCATACTGATTCCAGCGTTGTGAGGACTTTATAGCCTTGGACAAAGCTTCCAAAGTAAAGCGTGAGAGATCTACCAACTCACAAATATTTGATATCTGATTTATTCATTAGCAAATCACCACAAGTATCGAGTATGAATACTGTGTATCAAATTACATACCTGATATAGTCCTCGCTCACACTCTGGGGGTATCCCGAGGGGAGAAAGACGTCACTGAGAGAGCGGATGAGAGGCTTGGGAGACCAGGTCCACAAAGTAGAGGATGGATCCTGCTCGATATTGTCAGATCATGACTGGCTGCATGTAGGTAATGTCTTTGATTCCAAAGATATGGGTCGATAGGCTGATCGTTCAAAACAGAATGAGATACATGATAGTGGCCGCCTATACCAGTGCATCGATAGGGCTACGAAGGGTGACAACAAGAATGACAGGTAGCTCTTAGGCCATGTGTCAATTTGGGATTCATCCAGCCTAGCCTTGACATAGCAGCGTTGCAATCAAAAGGAACCATCATGCTTCTCCAACCACTTGAGACGCGTTTGCTGAGAATTCACACCCGGTATCAATGTCGGAAGGGAAAGCCGACACGGAACCATTGGAAATGTCCGCTTACCATTACATCCACCCTTCCCGTCAGCGCATCCCGCTTGCGCGCGGACGGCGTGTTCTGTTTAGAGTAAACATAAGTTGCCGTGAGATTGTCGGCCTCATCCGTTTCGCGAAAGGTCAACGGGTTCCTTGCGTGGGCCACCATGATGTCGTGATTGGAGGAAAGGGGGTTAATCTGTAGTTGGAGAATTGAAGTTGGAGAGGCACCGGGCACGTGCGGGGAACGCGTCCTCTCAGAAGCCAAACTACATCTACGCAGTGGATTGAAGTGGAAATATTCAGTCTTTTGCGTTATCCAAATCAAGTGCTCCCAGAGCAGAATATGTCACAGTGAAACCAAAATGAATGCTCAAGCCCCGAGTCACCCAAAACCCTTGGAAACCATGATCTATCGAATGAAATCGCACTCTCTATTCCGACATCAAAAGAAGCGGCATCCTGCGCTTGTTGAAAGTAAAGAAAACACCGGGAAATCAACCACCAGCGCCAGGTTCGCGAAGAAAAACAATGATATAAAGGTTGAAACGAGTGTGACAAGACCCCGAAAGTAGGGGGTTCTTGTGAATGGCGGGCCTCGGTAGGACGGATGGTCTCATTCGCGGGACGAGGAGTAATCATCGCGTTTCAGGTGCTCGTTCGAGACTCGGTCAAGCCATCGCCTATCCCAAGGTCGCCAGTGTCCACACTCAAGACTGGTTGGCACCAGCCGCGTATCCATGATTCACCACACAACTTCCATCATGAGTAGTATCGTACTCCATCGCTCATATATTTGGGGGGTATCTCTGCCAGCAAGAAAAAAGAAATCAGGACTGAAACTTTTTTACGCGTACATGCTGGCGCCGCCGGACTCGACGGCCTCGATCTCGGCCTGGCTCCAAGAGAGACGGCCGAAACGGGCAGGGAGCTCAGTCCGATCGAAGAACTCGCCCGAGGCGGGCTGGACGGGGCCGAGCGCGGAGCCGGGCTGCCCGCCGATGCCACCGCCGGTGGTGAAGGAGGCGCGACCGAGAGGGCCGTGCTGCTGAGCCTTGGCTCGGTAGGCGGCGAAGGAGTCAGGGAGAGCTTTGGTGGGAGAGGCGGGGTGAACGCGAGGAGTGTGGTCCACGGACTCTGGCTGGAGGTTAGTTTCACGCGTTGCTAGACCGGAGCGCCGGGGAGAACGTACTAGGGACGGAGCGCTTGCCCAGGAAGCGAATCAGGGGAGTCCGGGCAGCGTTGCGGAGAGCGAAGGTAGCACGCATTGTGATGGTGATAGAATGTGGATGTGGTGTAAAGGAGAAAAGGTCAATTTCACGGAAGAGTGTGCGAAATTCAACGGGCCCGGTAGTCTCCGAGCCGACCCAGACGCGACGAGAACGAGATGCGAGGCGAGATGGTCCGAATTGGTGAAGATAGGGATAGTATAGAAGCTAGCGAATGGGTTGAGATGGCAAGTGATTGAAGATGAGAGTGTCGAGGGGTAGGGCAAGAGGAAGGAGGGAAAAGACCGAAGATAAGAATTCGGTGGTTGAAGGAAGCGTTACCGCATTGGGACGAGCCGACTCGGGGCCGACAAAGTTGGAGTTTTGTTCGGCGGAGAATGTGTCACGACAGCGTCGCATGTTCCTTCGTCTTTGAGCTTACTTGTCCCTTCTGTCCTGGCATTGGCGGGCGGCGCCGCGGACTCCCTCCTCACAGCCTATCCCCGCACCGTGAAGTATTGCCCGTGCAATGCTCCCCCGACTTATCCGATCCTTTCCTAACTCGATCATCCGGTGAGGTTAGTCCGTTCAAGATATTTCCCACTCGGGGAGCTCCTCCCAGCGCCCACCACTAGCAGCACTCGGGCGCATTCTTTCCCCCCTCATAGGGTTCTGCCGTTGGATCCGATCTCCCCACGGTTCTACGTTTAGCTACGGATTTGAACCCCGCAAACCCGCTCATAAAACGCACATTCTTTTCCAAAAGGGTTTGGATTGGAAATCGATCGCCTCTTTTAGGTTTGGCAAGGGGTCTAGCTGCAGGGGAAGATCCCTCGGAATTATCAATCCCGGTGTGAATGTGAAGGGGGTCCCTTCCCAATAGGTGGTCATTACTATTACCCAATAGCGCACACACATACTTATTCATAACTCCGTTGATAAGACGTGCATCGCACCATCTCGGAGCTTGGACCTTGACTAAACACATCCCGGCTTCTCCCGCACCACCTCACCTGAGGCACCGGAGGCATTCGCCATGCATGAGCTATTGCTGTTCGCCTCGGTCCCTGTCCATCAGCATCATGAGCTCCTTCAGCAGCTCGCCGGCCTCACGGCCATGCAGCCTCGCCACTCGGTCGAGCGTCGGCTGATCTTCAAGGCCTATCGCAAGCCCGGGTTGGTCACCTCTCGGGTAGGCGGCAGCCAGGATCTTCAGCAGTCCGGAGACCTGCAGCGGGTCAACAAGATGTTGAACGGTGGCATGTTCTACACCCAGGTGGTTGGTCCGGTTTCCGAATCGGATTTCAGCCCGGCAGCGCCTGCGGCTGATCCCGATACCCAGATGGAGGGTATGGACGAATCTAAGCCGCCCGTCCAGGGAACGTCCAGTTACGACTTTGAGCAGCAACCCTGGAAGCTGGAGTTTAGAGATATTCCCGAAGCGGGAACCCGCTCCGCTGTCACTTCGCGGGTGATGGCCAGCGCGGCGCTTCCGCATGGAGACATCATACCATCCATGAATGCCTGGGGTTACAGGTTAGTGGCCTGATTCATCTGATCTCATGATATGCTTGAAACTAATGTCTTATTTAGCTTCGTGACTGAATATGTGGTCGAGGGAGACGTGTTCATTCAGAATGACATTGTCATTTACTTGCACCGCGTGCTGCACTATCCTTCCGGTGAACAGGAGCATCGGGAACCTCGGCGACATCTCCCGGTATTGAAGGAGATGACGCCACTCGAGAAGAGTGGCAGCTATGTCCTGCAGGCATCCGTCAATGTCCAGGACGGGAGTAACCAGGAGACGATGAAGACGGCCTCTCAGCGCCTGTTTGGGCTGCGGGAACAGCTCAAATCAGCAGTCCGTCTGGAGCAGGCAGATCGCCTGTGCCTTGATACCAGAGCCAAATAGAAGACTACATCGGCTGTCATGATACCCGGAGAGGCAGCCTCCAGGAGTTGATGTTTGATGATGTAAATAATCATAATAAAAAGGTGAAAACAAATAATTTTCGGGCTTTTCTTGAGACTGTAACCATTTTAATTCTATGCTTCTTTCGTTGGTGATTGTCACTGCAATTTTACCTTTTTTGGGTGGTTGTCCATGTGACTTCGTGAACCTTCGCGCGTTTCGGCGCGTCAGCTCCTCTCGGAAGCTCCATCTAGCTGCTTCCTTCCATCTTCCACCCACAACGCAGTCACTACTCCCTCTGAACCTCGATCTGACCTAACGTCAAAACGTCTCCTCTCAATCGAGCCCTCAAAATGTCTGAGGGGGGGGATCAAGCGCACAGCCTCCCCCACTCGGGTCATCTCCCCGCCTCCGCTTCGGCGGAAGGTCGAGTCGACGATGAACAGTGAGTGCCCCGAAAAGGATCCAATGAGTTCAATGCTAACTAATTTTCCACTACCAGAGAAGGCAGCCGCTAATTTCTTCATTCCCACCTCACAAAAAAAGTCGGAGCCGATCAAATGGCGAATCCTGGGAACAAGCCTGGTCATTGGGAAGTTCACACCGGAGAACCACACCCAAACCCTGTCTGAAAAGGATAGAAAGGTCGCTGCATTCGATCTGGTGAGTTGTTTTGATGAGCGCAGCCGCATCTTGGCTTGGAATGTGCAACAACATTGCTAACCTCTCGTGGTGGCTTCAGGATTCAACCTTGATCAAGACCAAATCCGGCAACACATTTCCCCGATCAGCGACGGATTGGCAATGGTGGGACTCGATAGTTCCAGGCCGGTTACGAGAGCTCAGCTCCGATGGGTATGCTCCACGGGTTCGAGTTGAGATGTACGGAGATTCTAACGGATTGCCTCAGTTTCCAAGTGGTTGTCTTTTCCAACCAGAAGAAGATCAGCATTCAAAAAGAGATAAAAGCCGGCAGTGGGGACTCGAAGAGCCTCGCCATATTTAAAGAAAAGTTGACAGCTATGATGACGGAACTACAAGTTCCGATCAGCGTATACGCGGCGACGACTAATGCCGAGTATCGAAAACCTCGTTTAGGAATGTGGAAAGAGTTCCAAGACGATTACGATCTTGATGTGGCCGGGGTGGATATGAAGGAATCCTTCTTTGTTGGTGATGCTGCTGGGCGGCCAGGCGACCATTCTGCTGCAGATCTGTAAGATTCTATTGATTATTGATTCTACTTGGTATCATATCTGACATCCTTCGCAGCGGATTTGCCTCCAACGCCGATTTGAAGTTCAGCACGCCGGAAGAGTTCTTCCTCGGTCAGCCCTCGGGTCAGCCCTCGGGTCAGTTGAACGGCGTTTTCAATCCAAAATCCTACATTGAGACGAATGTGAAGGAAACCTGTACGTGACTCATATATGAACGGCAGTGCGACCCTGACCGAATACTGACACGTAACACAGCTGTCAAATTTGCTCGCAAACATCCCCTGGAGCTTGTCATATTTTGCGGTAGCCCAGGGTCTGGAAAGTCGACCTACTACTGGAATAACTTGGAGCCACTGGGATATGAACGTGTCAATCAAGATATCTTAAAAACCGTGGGTGCCACTTTATTCATAATAAACCCACCCTGTTGACTTGTCACAGCGCCCAAAATGCTTAAAGGTCGCCCGGGAACACCTCGAGGCGAAGAAGTCTGTAGCAGTCGGTGAGTCACAATCGTCCACGTTCGTTGAATACCAATCCCTCGATGTCTTGACTGACTCATCACAGATAACACCAATGCAAACATTGAGACTCGAGAATACTGGATTGCGCTAGCGAAGGAGTTGAGTGTTCCGATTCGCTGTGTTTATTTCTTCTCTACTCCCGAATTATGCCGGCATAATAACGCCGTGCGGGCGTCAAACAGGGAATTGGTCAGCAGTCGCAAATCTAGACCCATTCTATCTGAGCAATACAGCTAACTCCCTGATCAGAACCCGGAATTGAGAGCATCTCTCCCGGGCATCGCATTCGGTGACTTTGGACGCCGCTTCCAAGAACCCACTCTCGCCGAGGGCTTCGAGGACATTATCCCCGTGAAGTTCCAGTTTCAGGGCGATGAAGCGGCCCGAAAGCTCTGGGGGCAGTTTTGGATTTGAGAATGCTGAAATTTTCAGATCTCAACCCAAACTTCAGTGTCCGGCTGTCTACGGCATGTTCTCAAGGTCAATTGACTGAAAATAAGAACCCAACGACAATGGCTTCGAGTCTCATGATCAAGATTTGCCGCATAAACCTGTATCCGAAACCAAGTTTTTGAATACTGCATCATTATTCCAATGTGCCATTTCAATGTTCGTCTCAATGCGAATGCTTTTCAGGTCTTAGTGTGGGTGATGCATCTTTAAGCCAACTCCCCGCTGATGCATTTTACTGGAGGCATGAACTACCGATGAACTTGATGGTTTCTTCACTACATATCCGCTCCAAGCATCTATAGATCCCAATATCCACAAAGACATGAACATCCACTGAACATTGTTCCCTCAGCACATCTCTACCGCAAATTCTTCCAGAACCATATTTCTTGAGCCTCTTGAGTTGACTTCAAATTCTGGCAGTCCCACGTCGACATCGCCCCCATCTAGCACTGCGTTTGACGTTCCTGAGCTAAAGCGGCCCACGCCTTCTTAACCCCCACCCTTGACTCAAGAGCTGCAATGATGGGGGATACTCGATAAGAACACGACGAATAACTACTATCTCTACAGTCCTACCCCTCATTCCCCTCATTAGGTTCTCATTTAAATCAACCGTTTCCTGCCCTATCGATTGCCTCTCCAATTGTACTGTTTATATTCCTCGTCCATCCCATCACACCTCAAACAGCAATGGGCAAGAAACGAGTTCTAGTAGGCTACGGCGTCGACATCGATTCAGTCGCCGGCTGGCTAGGCTCCTACGGCGGCGAAGACAGCGTCAGCGACATAAGTCGAGGTAAATGCCCTCCCCTAGAACGCAAAACCAAATATTTACCTGAACCAGGCCTCTGGGCCGGCCACATCGGCACCCCCCGCCTCCTAAACCTCTTCTCAAAACACAATATCAAAGCAACATGGTTCATCCCCGGCCACTCCCTAGAAACCTTCCCCGAAGAATGCGCCCAAGTCCGGGACGCCGGCCACGAAATCGGACTCCACGGCTACAGTCACGAAAACCCCGCTGCAATGTCAAAAGAACAGCAGCACGACATCCTCGATAAAACATATCACCTCCTCAAGGATTTCACCGGCAAGCCGCCACGCGGTATCGTCGCGCCTTGGTGGGAGGCGAGCGCCGAGATGGTCGAGCTTCTCCTCGCTTACGGGATTGAGTATGATCATTCGATGTCGCATCATGATTGTCAGATGTACTGGTTGCGCACTGGTGATTCGTGGACGAAGATCAATTACAAGGAGAAGGCAGAGACGTGGATGAAGCCGCTCGTGAGGGGGCAGGATACGGGGTTGGTGGAGATTCCGGGGAGTTGGTATATTGATGATTTGCCGCCGATGATGTTTATCAAGGGTTCGGCTAATAGCCACGGGTGGGTGAATCCGAGGGATGTTGAGGATATTTGGAAGGTGAGTCCCGTGTTACTTGGGTTTGGGGAAGGTGTGGTGGTGTGCTGATACGGGGGCAGGATCATTTCGATTACTTCTACAGGGAGTATGATGAGTTCGTTTTTCCTATGACGATTCATCCGGATGTCTCTGGCCGTCCGCATGTGTTACTTATGCATGAGAGGTGAGACGGTGGAACTGGAATGGGGAAACATGTGCTAATGCGATGTAGGATTATCGAGCACATAAACAAACACGAGGGCGTCGAGTGGGTGACCTTTGAGCAGATGGCTGATGAGTTCAAGAAGAAGAATAGCCCTCCTGAGGGTGCGCTGATGCCTGCTGTTAACCCTGATGTGTGAGATTGTGTTCTAGGTAGTTGAGGATATTTGAGACATCAATAAGACTTGCTAGATCTAATTGCCTTTCCGTGTTTATCGGTGACTTTGGTGTGTAATATGTATTGGTGATGGTAACACTTGCACAGGATGATAGCCACCCCGCCGTCTTGAGCAGCTCAATGAGTGGCACGAGCAAGATTAACATAACAGGCGTCGCAAGTGACTTTTGGATCTAACGTACAACTGCTGGAATCGGTTAGCTCCCGGTGACCCATCGTTGTTTAAACAGCCCCTTAACTAGTTTGCTGTTCCAGCGATCGTAACATAAGGAACATTCGAAGTCTATGGCTGCCCTAGGCTTCGTGACTCCCGCGATTGCTGAGGGACATGTAAAAGCTTGGAAGGAAATGTGTTTCCTTGATTTGATCTGTATATGGACTTTTGCTTTTGTTGACTAGATTGTTTATTTTTTAATATAGAGATTTACGGTTTGAATGTGCTCTGAATCATTATTTCCACCCGAACCATGAACGTCGACATATCATTCACAGCCACTTTCTTGGGAACTTTCTCGGTCTGACCATTACTCCTCGTCATTGAGGCTCTCTGATCCAGTGACTCGCTTGAACTCAGACACCGTGTGCTCCCACACCTGATTCACCATATCCTCATCACGCATCTTCGTTAGCACACCCAGTGACTTCGATCCTGCGCTCTCTCCGTCCCAATTAATGGCATACACGCCACTCCCTTCTTTCCCGTTCGTCCCAACAGCCACAGGAACACCGCTGGGCACAGGCACGCCGGCTTTCGCACTTTCCACGCCCAGTGGCGGGTAACGCGCACTAGTCGCAAAGAACAAGTGCCTCTCTCCAGACTCCTTGGTAGGAATATAAACCAAAGGTCCGATGATTTTGAAAATCGTGATCGCGACGCGCATCAGAATACTGTTCGTTTCTCTTCCAAAGCCCGACTTCACGGGACCTGGGTAATCGTGCACGAAGCTGACTTCAGGGGCAGTTCTGGCGAGTTGCTCAAGCATCATATCTGTCATGGAGACGTTGTGTCCGCGCACACTGCGGAATGGGATATTGCGAGATTGGAAGTCATCTTTGAAGATCTGGCCTTCGTGTCCTGCTGCCAGCACCGTGACGACTCGCCGAAGACTTGGGGCCTGTCGAATGAGCGGGAGGAGGTTGACAATGAATCGGGCGCGGGCATAGTATGCCAACGCCATGAAGATGTGAAGACCTTCGGATGTGTCTACGTAATATATTAGTATCAAGGCCCAGAGCAGGTGGGCGAGGCACTGACCAACGTGAGTAAGGGCTGAGCCACAAGTCAAAAAGAGAATATTGATAGCCTTCTCTTTGCGTTTAATCTCGCGACAGACCTCGTCAACGGATTCCAACAGGCTAACATCTGCTTTGATAAAGTTGAATTCGCCTCCGGGGCTTAAATCGCGACATTCTTTCGAGATGCGGTCGCCTGCTTCCTGTGAGCGACCGACAAAATACACGCGAGGATGCTTCGCGCAACGAGCAAATTCTTTTAGCGAGTACTCGCCAATGCCATTGGTCGCGCCGACGAAGACCGCGACGAGACCGGATGGAAGCGCAGTGGCGATTTGGGCATTGGACGACTGGACTTGAGCTAGGGAAACCATTTCCAATCAATACGTTGTTAATTCAACGTTTTCAAAAGGCTCATATTATGGAACCGTGAAGAATTTATGTACGTCGTGCTCTCGTACATTCCGGAGGCGAGGTTCGCCCTCGGACTCAACGGGATTGAGCCGATTCCGGTACTGCTAACCTGATCTCCATAACTACGGCAAGATAGATGCCCCGAATACCGATAAACGTCAATCTCTTCGAGCCATAGAGGTCAAAGCTCGGCTTTATGCATCTTTCTCGCTGTTAATTTCCCCGTCGAATCCCTCGTTGTCTCTATTTCGGTAATAAAGGTAGACTGCGTATAATAGAGATAGAACTGGCACTCACCCGCGGGTGACCCTTAGGAGTACATAGTATCTGCGTGGTCCTTCGTGTGAAACTAAGGGTTTACAATAACAAGTCTTCCAGCTGCGCAGTTCCTGGCCGCTTCCAACGTGTTCTTCAAGTCTTCAATAGGAGACCCCAGTGGCACCAGGTGGAGCGACATCAATAACAGCATCAATGGAACCGAAAGCTTGCAAGGCTGAAATATCCTCAGCCTCATTGTTCTTGAGCTGTACAGTCTGAATACCCGGAAACGCTTCCTGAGATTCTCCAGGCTTTGCATATTGCGGCCTCCGGCAATGACCCTGGCGCCGAGAGCTTGGGCGATGACAATAGCATCACCACTAAAGACCCCCGTGGCAGAGGCAGTAACGACTGTTTCTCCGGTTTGCACATCGATTTTGCGGAAAGCTCCATACAGGACAGAAGCTAATTCTATTTAGGTAGAGATGCCCAAAAAATCAGTCGGGGGTGGTGGAAGGAGGGTGAGGGAGGGGCGTGTTGGTAGTATCAATTCCCTATATTAATATTCTGATAAAGACGCGATTATCCCGCTAACTAGTGCAACCTTTCTAATAAAGACAAAATTTAGTAGCGCCAGTAAGAATCTGCTTTAAAGTGAACGATCATCAATAACACCTACCCGGTTCCCCACGGCGGGCAAGGATGGCCAACTCATCCGCTGAGTACTACATAGACAGGGAAGAATTTTCATATCTGAAACTAAACAAGGCTGCGTAGGTTGGGGGCTGAAATGAAAATAGCAATCAGGCGGTATAGATTCCCTATATTATGCTCTGCGCCCTAGAAAGTAACAATCGGGATCCTTTCCCCCTCTCTACCGTCTGAGAGTTACCCAATTCCCATTCCCCTTAGTCTCGCAATTTACTCGTGAGCAAAATGGTTGAAATTCAGGATTATACCAAGGCTCTCGACGTTCTCGAAGAGTACTCTCCCCGAGATGGCCTTCACGTTGACGCTCTGCTTGACTCGGACAAGCACGGGGCACTGACTTACAATGACTTCCTCCTGTCCATCGTTCTAATCTCACGGGCAGCTTTCCCGGCATCGGACGTTACCTTGGAATCCAGGGTATCCAGGCGGCTTACCATTAAGGCTCCTCTCCTGTCTTCACCTATGGACACCGTGACCGAACACAATATGGCCATCCATATGGCTCTTCTAGGAGGTCTGGGAGTTATCCATAACAACTGTTCGCCCGATGAACAGGCCGAGATGGTGAGGAAGGTGAAGCGGTACGAAAACGGCTTCATCCTGGACCCCGTGGTTCTGTCTCCGAAGGCGACCGTTGGAGATGCAAAGCAGCTGAAGGCTAAATGGGGATTTGGCGGCTTTCCTGTGACTGGTTAGTCTAGATCCTGCTTCTTTTCTGTTCGGTGATTCTTACCTTATAGAAAATGGAACTCTCCATTCCAAGCTGCTCGGCATTGTCTCTAGCAGAGATATCCAGTTCCATAACCAGCCTAATGACCTAGTCACGGCTGTTATGTCGACGGAGCTTGTTACCGCTCCAGCAGGCACCACTCTCGCCGAGGCTAACGATGTTCTCCGGAGTTCGAAGAAAGGAAAATTGCCGATCGTGGACGAAGACGGGTCCCTGATTTCGTTGCTTTCTCGGAGTGATCTGACAAAGGACATTCACTATCCTCTGGCATCTAAGGTTCAGTCTAAGCAGTTGCTCTGCGCGGCAGCTGTGAGCACCCACGACGCGGATAAGATCCGACTCCAGAAGCTAGTCGACGCGGGACTAGATATTGTCGTCGTCGACAGTAGCCAGGGGCATAGTATATATCAGATTGCGATGATCAAATACATCAAGCGGGAATTCCCTCAGCTTGATGTAATCGCTGGCAACATCGTCACCCGGGAGCAAGCCGCAGCGTTGATTGCTGCTGGTGCAGACGGGCTGAGAATCGGTATGGGCAGTGGGAGCGCGTGCATTACGCAGGAAATCATGGCCGTTGGTCGTCCCCAGGCTGCAGCCGTGCGCAGTGTCTCTTCCTTTGCCGCGCGCTTTGGCGTTCCTTGCATTGCGGATGGCGGAGTCTCGAACCTAGGTCACATCGTCAAGGGACTCGCGCTTGGCGCCTCGACAGTGATGATGGGAGGCTTGCTTGCCGGTACCACGGAATCTCCTGGAGAGTATTTCGTGAGTAGCGAAGGACAGCTGGCCAAAGCCTACCGTGGTATGGGAAGTATCGCGGTTATGGAGGGCAAAGGCAAGGCTGGCGACAACGCTGGCACTGCGCGTTACTTCTCTGAGAATGATAAGGTCAAGGTTGCGCAGGGTGTTGCGGGCTCGGTAATTGATCGCGGCTCCGTCACTCAGTTCGTCCCTTATCTTGTGGCCGGTGTGCAACATTCTCTCCAGGATATTGGCGTCAAGAGTCTTGACGCCTTGCGTGATGGTGTAAACCGTGGTCAAGTTCGATTTGAGAAAACAAGTGCCAGTGCCATGGCTGAGGGTAACGTCCATGGCTTACACACCCACGAGAAGAAGCTATACACTTCTTGAATGGTGGTTTCCCTGTTGTTGTTGTCGTCCTCATAGATTTTTATCCATTCCTTACATTCAATCAAGAGTTCGTCAAAAAGCTACAACCGTCTATCTATCTCTTGACCATCCACCGCCAAAATAACAAGTCTCCTTGCGAGTTTCGAGAAGCTAAGACCTCATGAGCCAAATCTAGAAGCTGAATAACTTGCAATCCAAACTTGTATAACAATCCAGTGGAAATATAATTTGAATGTAGTATGATTTAAGACATTCCATCATCCATATGGTCCGCCTGCTGGGTTACACGGCGACCTACAAAACCAAGCATTCTCTATTTTGTAGAAAATAAAGGAAAACGAGCTGCAATAACTCACCGACCAGGAACTATTCATGTACGTATAATTCATATTGACATAGGATGCGGGGAGCTGCCTGCCTTGCATGTTTCCGGTCTTGAAATTAACTCTTACTGGAATTCACGCATGGCCTCCAGAACTCAGGAGGAATCTGTTACAGCCAAAGACCAGCACATGATACTCAATCATCATGAGCCCAACTAAACCGCGGCCTCGAAGAGAAGATCTAAAAGCGGGGTTCGAGGGGATCGCATAGGAACCGTGGGAAGATGTAGCCAGAAAAGGCGTGGTAGCCGCGGGACATGGATATACCTAGCCCATTCGACGGTTGTACCAAGGAATACCCTGCGTGTACCTACGCATGCTCCGACAGGAATACTGGGAACCACATGCTTCTGCTGGACGGACGGGCGTGGTACCTTTCCAAGGTACTTTTGTCGTTTACAACGTTGGGCGTTTACATGAAGGGATAGTAGTGCCGACGGTGGAATTAGCGCCAAAGCCACTTAGAATGGCAATTAACCATGGAAGGATAGAAGGGCACGTGAAACGCACTGATAAGCGTAAGCCGCAGATTTAATATGGCAGAAGACTTCCGTGGTTGGAGAATGCAAGGTACCGAAACTACGCATTGATCCTTAACATGAACACCAGTCTATAGAGTTACGTTACCACTGTGGAAAATAGATTACCAGCAATAGCAATTCTCATAGATAGGAACCACCTTGGCGACGAATATAAGCAATTTGGCGTCGGGCCTGTTTCGGCCCACTATCCGATTACGTTTTTAATCGATTTTTTTTTCTTAGCCGATCGTCGGATGCACACGGTCGTTGATTGGCCTCGGAAGCGATGAACCTCTGTAGCCGGATCGGCAGGGTTTTACGATGCCATAGGTGGAAGATCCGATAAAAAAAGAAGTAAATACGGAAGAAAGAAGGGGAAAAAAAATTGGCCAGTCCACAGTGTTGCGTAGGCAAATATATCATGTACCGTGACAGCAGCCGAGCGATACCCGAAAGGTAAGCAGAACCACCGGAACGCGAGTGGCAGAGGCGCAGAAACCCATGGCCCTTGCCCCTTCGCTTCCAACCGATTTTTTTCCGTTCCAATCCATAATCAATCAGTATTGGACGATTGATGTTTCCCGAGGTCCCCGATCTTCCATGTGGATCTGACGTTTTTTTTCACAGCTGATTTTCTACGGCGGGGGCGAAGGAGGGGTGAGACACAGGCCTGGACCTGGACCTGGACCTGGGCGTACAGGTCCGACCTGTGAGAGTCGGGGCAGGCTGTGCGACCGAGCGACTTCACACTAAGGTTCTTACTGCCCGTTGCTCGACGCCGTGCGACCCGGGTCAGCCATGGCGGATATCGGGAGGGTACGTTTAGTAGAGAGGGCAGGTGGAAACAGGCTGAATGACGATGCGGGCAGAGAGCTCCAAAAAAAAAGGGCCCGGTCAGAATGTCATCATAACGGTCCGGCGGGACTCCACCGGCGAAGTCTAGATGCTGCCGATCTCACACAGGTCTGAAATCCTGGCAAACCCTCACTAAGCGAGTGGGCAAAAAAGAGACCTGGTGGTCATTTTAGAATCGGGTTACACGGCGGGATGTACTGCATCTGTGTAGCCGTTGGGGTTGATACGTCCTACAATTCTATCGTCCAGTTCTAACCGGGGAACACTACGAACCATCGAAGAACACCGTAGAAGGCGGCCGGGCTACTAGAAACGGTATGGAACAAATGGGTCCATGGCTCGAGGCTGTCGACCACCGGAACGCGGCGGAGACCTACTCGGTTGGGAAATGCGACCGAGGAACTCCAGTGTCGCGTGTGGAAGAACTGATTGGGTTTGGTCTTTGTTCTTTTATGTCATTTCTTAGCGTCTTCTCTTTCTGGTTCTCCGGGGCTCTAGTGGGTGGTCTAGGTCTAGCCTTTGGTTCTTTCATCCTGCGAGCTCTCGAATCTCACGCACACACTCTCTCCTGTCTCCTCTCTCCTCTCTCCTCTCTCCTACATCATCTCTCGACACTCTCGACTCCCTCCATCCTCTATCTTCCCTGCGTGACTGGGATCTCCCTGCGGGCGCATTATCACCGGCCCGTTTGCCGATTCCACCGCGTTCTTCCTGCCCAGCCAGCTGGCACTCGTGTTTGGCCCACGTCTGCGCTGTTTCCTTCATTCTTCATTGGACCCCCATCGTCCTTTCTTTCCTTTCCCCCAAATCACACCGCCACGTCTTCGGGCGATCGAAGAGGGTGACTCTTTCCCTTGAGCGCCTCATATTGAGCGCTTGATCCACCCGTTCCTCATTCCCTCCAATGCTTAGCTGCAACTCTTCCTCCCAACGATCCTTGCGACGCCCGACGGCATCGCCCGCGCAATGCGTAAATTATCCCTCATCGATGCACAACGAGAGTCTTTCGATATGCCATTAACTGTTCACACCTCTGGGCCGCCTTCTCCCGCCATCTCCCTCTTCTCTGTTCCGGGTCATCACCGCGTTTCAAGTTCCGTTTCCTCGCTCGTTTCGTCTGGTCCTCTGGGAAACTCTATGGATAGCCCGAGCAGGAGTCATTTGGCCGGTGTCAAGGAGGAGCCTATCGCTCGCGACTCGTTGGAAGATCAATATTTCCGTATGTTTTGTTTCCCTGTATGACTCAATGCGCGAGGCATGGCTAACTCAACAAAGAACATTTCGACGGCGCCGATGAATCGTGTTTCCCTATGGACCCATCTGATAGCTATGACCTCAGCGACAGCTGCGTGGACTTTTCTTCGACCAAGCGCCGCTCTGATAGCGCGTCGATGAAGGGAATCTCGCGCATCAATTCGCACATCTCAACCATGTCAACTCGATGGAATCGCAAACGAGCCTCGGGGAGTCCGGAACGCGACGGATTTCCGGATGATCTGCGCTCGCGAGCTAACTCTGCGGCTTCTTCCGCTTTGGCAAGCCCCGTGGTCAGCCCTGTCAGTGTTTCGCGCGTCGACTCCCGCATTCCTCCGTCCCCGGCGCGGACGATCTTCGAGGAGCGCATGAGCGACTCTAATGTTCGCCCCATCGATATCACTCGAGCGAATAGTCTAAGCCAGGATGACAATGACGCCCTGCTAGCCACCACTCCTCTTCTCCCTCCTCTTCTGGGTGATGATCCGACTAGCGCGGTTGCATCGCGGGTGCAATCTCCGCTGCAGTCTCCCTCCGTCGCAGACACGAGCCAGTCGGGTCAGTACTGTATGACTTCTGCCCCCGGTTTCGCTGGCATGCCCTCGCCACCACTCTCCTCCAAGCCATCCGTCGCCTCCATCTCTCGCCCTCGTGCCAGTACTTCCCGCACGATATCGGGTGATTGCGCCCCCTTCGTGCTGTCAGATCCCAACGACGAATGGGCCAACAAGCTGGGGCACGCGAACTTCACCATTCAGCCCGAGCCCTACCAACCCGTGGCCTGCGATGTTAACCATCTCCGCCAACTGCGTGCGGACTGGGATATTGCACGCTGCAATTTTGCCAAGCACCTCGTGCGCACCGGTGAACACTACGGCGTCACCTCCAACATCTACAAGCTCACCGGGGAGAAATGGCAGTGCATCAACAACCAGTGGAGAGGCCAGCACGAGTCCCTGCTCAGCCAACTAGGCGCGGCGGACGGCGTAGCTCTCACCCTGACTCAATCCCATCTCCGTCCTCGCGAGCAGGTCTGTATCCCAGGCCTTCACGACAGCGCCAAGTTCCCCGAAATGGGAGACGAGGACATCGTCGGCCCGATGACCGTTGCACCGGCATCCGGCATCGCCGGCATGTGTCGCCCCAATCCTCTGAAAAAGCGCAACTTCTTCCGCTTCTTCCAGGATCTCGTCTCCCGCCCTTGAAAGTTTCACCATCGCTTCGACATTTTCCTTTTTTGTCCTGCTTCCGAGCAACCGCCTACGATAATGACCATAGACTACCAGCGACTTTTCCACCATTCGGGTTACAGTCCGCCCATTACGACTAATGTCTCTCTTGCTGTTTTTATGACTCTTACGACTTCACGATCCGGGCGACTACTGCTCTCGCACCCGATCATGCCTTTCCTTCGTCTATCTCATTTTTGAGTCATGTGTCTTTCTTATGAATTTTGTGCCTGGGTTCTCCTCTGTTGAAGAGAATACCTGGCTGGGTTAGAGCCCGTCCGTTCATTTTTCCACGATATACCCCCACATGACTGTTGTTTCCAATAGACTTGTTTTCGAGACCAAAGTCTTGTCTTTATGTTGTATATAACCTGCTCATTCCCTTTGCCAATCTTGTGGTGAAACTAGGAGCTTGTACAAAATACAACTTAGATCTGATTCTTACCTCTATCCCAAACCTAGAATACCTTGAGCACCACCAGTCAAGCCGAGAAATCCCGAAGTACTTCCATGTGGCTTGAAGATTGGGTCCCAAAGCGTTCACCGTCTTCAAGGCTCGTATTAACCTAAACTCAATCCCCTTTGCGCTAATGCACGGTGCAAGGGGAACCTATACATGGCGGCCCGAGCTCCCGCACCTTCGTGTTGCTCCAAATAGACCTATGCACGTTCTCGCGAGAACTAGGAACCATTATAAATCAAGATTACTTAACATATGGTCCATAATCATAAGATCCTCGCTAGCCTTCAAGGAACACGGTCCAGAGCTTCCAGGAATAGATTCTCTTTCCGAATCATCCTCTCAATGCCAGTTGCCCCACCAGCACGCAATCCCGAAAAGCACCGGCCCGATCCCTGCACCCTTCGCAAAAGTACATGGTGGACGGTTGAGTCAGAGATCAATGGCTCTCACCTTAGACTTTCGCTTGGATTTAGTAATTTTTATGTAAATTGGTTCAAGTTGTATCCTATTGAGGATCTATAGAATGAAGTGTATCTAGAGCCTGTCTACCAAAGAAAGAAAGCTCTAGAACTGCCACTGCTGAAGCCAATTCGACATCAACGGCGCAGAGATCGGGCCGAGGGATCTCATCGTAGCACTCGCCTGCTTTGCCTTGCTGACGTCCAGAGGCACGGACATTGCGGCATGGCTTGCATCAACCAGCCCGCGGTAGAAGCTGAGCAGCTTCAAGGCTGGTTTCTCGGCTACATTTTCGCTGTTGGGGTTCTGGATGCTCTCAAGCTCTGCAACCCAGGCACTGAAGTCAACAGGCTCCACTTGGTATCTATCCTGAATCGCTGGAATGAGCGATGACCACGAGGCTGTTTCGGAGTTGGTGAGGTGGAACACTGCTGCGGGCGACTCGGAACGGCCTCCATGGCGAGTGTGGACTATTTCTGTCATTATGGATGAGAGGGTATCCTGACGTGGGGGTTAGCAAAAAGTTCAACGGGGATGCGAGGATAGAACGACGGCTCACCACTGGGACCCAGTCAACAGGCATGGAGCCCAGTCGGTTGGGGATCTTTCCCATGGCCTTGGAAGTAGCGATGATGGTTGGAAGCCACTCGTGTCTGTTCCACTCTCCACTAGATGTGGTTGGACCGGCAATCTGGCCCACGCGGTAGACGGTGGTAGGGACGCGGGAGCGTCGCGAGGCTTCCAGGCAGATACGCTCTGCGACATGCTTGGACTCGCCATAGCCCTGCGCGAGCACCACGGAGCAGTCTTCCATTGGAAGTTCGGGTACAACGGATCCCATCTCTGGAGTCCAAGAGCCGACGGTGCTAATGGAGGAAACGAAGTGGATGTGAGCATTGAACCGACTGTTCAAGCTAAAGTTCACAAAGCGACGTACGCCGCTGATGTGAGTGTCCTCGAATGATTCGACTGAGTGGTTGAAGTCGACTTTCCAAGCGTTGTGAATGATCGTGTCGACAGAGTCCAGCAACTGTTGGTATTTGGCTTCATCGAGGTCGAATCGGAGCTCTCCAAATGAGGCTTGAAGGAACTCGACTTTGCTCGCCCAGTCACCCGCCTCTACGTGCAGCCCCTTGTCTTCCATGCTCTTCTTCTGTCGGCTTTCGGCATCCGAACGGTTCAGACAGTAAACCTTTGAAATCGAAGGCTTGTTGAGCAGGTCGTGGAGGAGATAAGTACCAAGTGATCCGGTGGAACCGGTCAAGATGACAGTCGAAGGGGAGCTTGGCAGGGTTTGAGGTAGATTATCCCGGACCTCTGGAAGATCTGCAGTGTACTTTTCCACCAAGCGCCGGATCTTTTCTTCTCGAGGAATGCTCGCTTGAGTCTTTCCTTCCACAATGCCATAAATAACACCAGCCAGCTGCTCCACAGTTGGGTTGGCATAGATTGTCTGGGGAGTGATGGCTCCTGGCTTGACCTGTGGTTGGCGATTCTGGATGCCTCGCTGCAACACCTTTGCAACTTGCATGGTCATCAGGGAGTCAAGTCCGGCGCTGTAGAGGTCCTGGTTGACCGGAATATCAGTTCTCTCCAACACTCTAGCGATGGCCCGCCGGGTATATTCCGTGACGCTGTTTTGATCGAGCGTCTCGGGCAGACACTCCTGCAAATCATCTTCGAGGTCCTTCTCGTAGATGTCGTTGATTTCATGCTCATAATCCCGAACCACCGCACGTCGCTGTGTGGTGCCTTTGGGCGTTGTCTTGAATGGTTTGGCCTTTGAAGCAAATCCGATCTTGCTCTTCATGACTCGGCCGTGAGCAGCAATGGTCTGGTTTGCGGCCTGCACTGTTGGCCAAATCTCCTCAACAAACACATCCAAGTCCATATCCGGAGTGTCGGGACGGGGTTCTACCAGAAGACCAGCCTGGAATCTAGACTGTCCGAAAACGACTGCTCTTGACACCAACGGGTGACTCTCAATGATCAGTTCCATTGTCACCGGGTTGAACTTTTCGCCATTACTCAAAACGATCACATCATCCTGTCGGCCGTAATATTTCCAGAGATTGGGGTTCGTTGGGTGCCGAGTGTAGAGATCATTTGTCCGGTAGATGTCGCGGTCGGGGAATGTGTGGAAGATGCCCTGGTAGTCTCGAGAATCGGGACGACGAGGGATGACCATTTCGTAGAGATCGTCACCCGTATCCTGCATAGTGATTCCAAATGCGGGAAGCCATTCGAAGTAGCTCCAGTTCGCATCGTCTTCCAGCATCAATGTTGGAATCCATCCAATCTCGCTAGTTCCAATCACTGATATCAGCTTGGTGTATTGGCGGAGTCGATCGCCTGTCTCAGCGGCCAATGGAGCACCACCGAATGCGACAAATTCAAGGTCTTTTAGGCATTCCAGGGCTTCTTCGGAGTGGCTCATGTCCTCCAAGAGTGATGGAGGGTACAAGCCACCCGTTGGGCGGGTCATCTTCATGAGCTCTACCAGATGTCCCACCGATAAGGGTTTGTCGGGACCTAAGATGGCGGGCACCTTATGGAAGATAGCAAATGCAAAGGAAACGAATCCCATCAGGTGGAAGAAGGGTGTTGTAGCTAGGATGCGGTCTTGCTGTTTCATATCGAGGAATGCGGATGGACGACGGCCTTCAGGCCATCCCAAACGTGACATTGCATCCATAGTCATGAAGAAACCATTTGTGAGGGGCACTTTCTTTGGCATTCCTATAAGATTCAGGTCATGAGTAAAGATCGCGGTTTGTATGGAAAGCCAGAGTTTTGATATAATGGAGGATAAGACTTACCGGTTGTCCCAGAGCTATGAATGATGCAGGTTACTTCATCTTCCATATCTTCATAGGGCACGTTGAATGTATAAGGTCGTAGTCCAGACTCGTCACTAAGTATCGTCTTCAAAGAGGGCACTTGGAAGATCTCGAGACCCGGCGACCACCCTTGGATCTCCAAAACTCGGGCACTCCGCTCCTCGCTGAAAAAGAATTTGGAACACTCGGTTTCTTTCAGCAGGTGAAGTTGTGCTTCGTCGGAGTTCCTTGTGGACGGTAGAAATGCCTGTGAGAAGTAACAAGTCAGCTGGATGCTCTCGGCAAATTCATTTCTAGGTTTCCATACCCTATAGCCGGTCTTCTGGCTTGCCAAAGTAAATATAAGATAGCGAACGTCGTTGCTGCCCATATATGCCAGTGTTTCCGGGCCAGACTTTGGGCCAAGCGTATCCTCGATCCACCAACACATGAAGTTCACGCTCCGAGCCAAATCCTTCATGGTCATGTTGAAGAACCCATCAGACAGCTCAGAGCCCCGAGGGACAACGGCAAACAGCCGTTCGGGCTCATGCTCAGCAGCATGGTCCACGGTCTTTGAAAGTAATCTTTTCTCAAAAGTGGCCATTTGGTGGACCTAACAGATTTTGTCAAAGTAGGTATAATCCGAGATGCAAGTAGGTTGAAGTGAGAACTGGGTTTGTGGTGGTTTGATACTATCCAACTTGGGGCTACCGAAACATTATATAGTCCCAAAGAATGGCACGGGCTCGTTCCTTGATTCTTTAGCACAAATGATCTGCGGCCTGTATATCCGCATCTTTGCCGATCACTTCTCTTTGGAGCACAATATCCACATCCTATGCTTAATTTGGGTGACATAACGGAGTCATAAATAGCTGAATCCCCTCTTCGGAAACCCCATGCCGCACAATATACAACGAACTCAAGATTTAGATGTTACTGTCCATAGTCTAGCGCAGGGATTTGTATGCTTGTTTGTGTCCTCTCCGCACATCATTTGCCGGTATTTTTAAGCACATGAGCATGGAAGAATAGGGTACAGAGAGTGTGTCGTTACCAAGCCTTGTACCGATCGTCTCTGCCAAAACAGTGATGTGCGTTGGGATCCGACCCGTTCCCACTCACATAGGGTAGTGATGTCTCAAGTTTTTAGATCGGCTGTTAGGCAAAGCCCGAAGCCGACTTGGTTGGTAATGCCCAGCCATGCGTTTGTCCACGTAACGGGATGGCGTTAATCTAGTTTGAAACAAGGCGTGGACCTGATCCGAATTTGGTAGTATGCATGGGAATTTGTTCATAGAGTCATGAACACATTAAGTGGTGACCCACTTTGCGCGCTATATCCTCCCCGAGATCCCGAAACATCGGGGCAAAAGGCACTGTGTCATGCATGAACGTATCGACTTCTCTAGGGCGCGTATCGTATCTCCATTTTCAGCTAGTGAGACATGCAGGATTCGGCTTTATCGGCTCTCACGAGAATGGGACCGGTGAATACTCGTACTCGGTGTATGTGTCCAAGTCTACCGACGTAGGTAATATCACTTGCAAACACCCAGAATATCGTCAACGCACACACTCGCTTAATTTCATACCGTTCCAAATAATTTTCCCTTCTTCCGCTTTTTTTGCTCCTTTGAATTTGTTGTCGACTCCGGTTCCTATGTATCACAATTCACGTGACCGGTTGGGAGATCAACGCCGGCAGCTGCAGGCCGACATTCACCCAGAACATGCCTGCGAGCCTGCCAATATCGAGGTCCTAGTCGTGAAAATTCAGCAGCTCGGAAAATTACAGATCCTTGAATAGTCCAATTGAGCACCATGAAGCTCACCTCGTATCTGGCGGGCGCGACGGCCATCACCACCGTCCTCGCTTCTCCGCACCCCGCATACCGACAGCAGCAACCTTTCGGCGCGTCGCCAGAGTCCACCCACGCCTCGGACAGCTATAATAATGGACTATTGAATGTGGAGAGTGCGATCAGCAGGGACCCCCTTCTTTCATTCCACCGGGACCTGGTTGAGATCGAATCCATCTCCGGCAACGAGCACGATGTCGGCGTCTTCCTTGCGAAGTACCTCGAATCGAAGGACTTCACCGTCTTGAAACAGGAAGTGTCGCCTGTGAATAAGAAGGACGGTGACGAGTCCGAAGCCTCGAAGCCTCGCTATAATATCTACGCCTACCCTGCTTCCTTGTCGGAACCGCCCTCCATCCTCGTCTCCAGCCACATCGACACTGTCCCGCCCTTCATCCCGTACTCGGTCCACAAGCCAAAAACCAAAGACATCAAGGCCGACCTGGAGAACTTTGTCATTGCTGGCCGTGGCACCGTCGACGCCAAGGGCAGTGTCGCTGCTCAGGTCTTCGCCGTGCTGGACACGCTTAAGAAGAACCCTGACGCGAAGCTGGGTCTGCTCTTCGTGGTGGGCGAAGAAATCGGTGGAGACGGCATGCAGACTTTCTCCGAGTCGGAGTTGAACTCCGACAGCGCCTATCACACTGTCATCTTCGGCGAGCCGACTGAGGCGAAGCTTGTCTCCGGTCACAAGGGTATGCTGGGCTTCAAAGTCTTCTCTCATGGCAAGGCCGCTCACTCCGGATATCCGTGGCTTGGGCGCAGCGCCGTATCCGGTATTCTGCCAGCGCTGACCCGGGTCGATGAGCTTGGCGACATTCCCACCAGCGAGGGCGGCTTGCCTTCTTCACCTAAGTACGGACGTACCACGCTGAATATCGGCAAGATCGATGCTGGCGTCGCAACCAATGTCGTTCCTGCCTCTGCAAAGGCCGATGTCGCCGTGCGCCTGGCTGGTGGTACACCGGCCGAGGCTCGTGAGATTATTCGTCATGCTGTTGAGGATGCCACGCGCGACGTGGATGCCGATGTGGTTGTTGATTTTACTTCTCACAATGAGGCTTATGCGCCTCAAGACTTGGATACGGATGTTGACGGATTTGATGTCATGCCTGTTAACTATGGAACTGATGTGCCCAACTTGAAGGTCCGCTCTGGCGTGAAGCGCTACCTATATGGACCAGGAAGCATCTTTGTTGCTCACGGTGATAATGAAGGTCTCTCTGTGCGCGATCTCCGAGGTGCTGTTGATGGGTTTAAGAAGTTGATTGATGCTGCCTTGGAGAGGGATTGAATTGATGAATTATATCTAATGACGCGTCTCGGATGTATACAGCATATCTTGTTGGCCTGGTATTCTCTGCTAGTCCCCAGTTTCCACGATTTTATTGTGCCTATGGTTACCCCTCGCTGTATCTTGTTCAAAGATGAAGTTCATAACCCGAGTTCCTGATAGTTGAAGAACACTGAATAGAAATGCGTGATATCTACCTCCTGTTCCACAAGAATGGTGCGATCCAATTTCTCATAGCCCAGTCCACTACTCAATCCACGCTGGGAAGCTCATGAATGTCACTGCCCGTTAGCTTACTGCCCTCCCGGCCAAGCGTCCCACCGAACCAGGAGGTAACCCCGCTCTCTGGGAGACCGTGTACACTCTGCAGGCGGAGATTTCAACACCGGAGACGTTGATGGCCACGCTGTGCCGCAGCTGTACGTCGAGTTCCCCTCTTCGACTCTGGCTGGTACCCCGCCGAGCCAGCTTCGAGGATTCGATAAGGTCTGGCTCAAGGCTGGTGAAAAGAAGACTGTTACTTTCGATTTGATGCGTAGGGATGTCAGTTACTGGGATATTACGGCCCAGGACTGATCTTTTACTTTCAAGGCCGGGTTCCGCAGTCGTGATTTCCGTGGCAATGAAGGTGCGACGCTGATCAAGGCGTAATTATGATTGGAGCTGGAGTTAGATGGAATTGTTTGGAGACGATTATTTGGTCAGATCTTCCTCACGAGAGAAATGTTATTCGTTTACTGTTCGAATTTTGAAGCATAGCGTAGCCAAGATAGACCCCATTTAGATGTCCTTAAACACAAGTTAGATTTCATTATTTTTTTGAACCATAGAACAGATCGAAATAACGCCAATGAATACATGAAAAGCTCAGCTTCAAAGGGTAGGCTTTCGCTGCAACCCCGTCTTCAAATCACCGCTAGGCTTAAACCGCGGCAATGGATGCGCCTCAGTATTAAACACATGATCTTCCAAAGAGACGAAATCACGATCCGAGAACAACAAGTAGAAGTACTTGAGCGTCTCGGCCATCCAGAAACTCTCCATATTATCCCGCTTCTTAGCGGGGACAGTAAGTGCGTCATCGAGGGAGGTGAAGCCCTTGATGCGCGAAATGGCACCAACGTTGCCGGGAGAGACGTTGGATTGCTTTTCTTCGACCACTGCGGTGTGCTGGACGAATGATTTGAACATCTCCCAGCCCCATTCACGGTACATTTCATCGCCAGTGATGCGGTACATGTAGAAGATGGACTCGATGGTCTCTGGGCGTTGGAGGTTGTGGCGGTCCATCTGGTGGATCTCGATGTCTTTGCGCCACGGTTCCGTGCCATCGTCTTTCGTAGTCAACGGAAGTGAGAGACTTTGCAGCTCTTTGGGTGTTGAGCTCAGGGAGGGGTCGGGGTACTTGTTTGCCATCATAACTGGCGGTTCGTCGAGGATGAAATGGGATATTTCGCCTGCAAGACCCGTCGGGTTCGTTCGGTAGGTCGCCCAGCAGGTCTTCATCAACTCCTTGGAGATGAGGATCTCTTCTTCGCGTTGCTGGGTCCAGTCTGGAGATTTTCTGGCCTCGGCTAATGGTTTGCCTCCAGTAGCACCCAGAGCGATGGTGCCTGGCATGAAACAGACAAGGTGGTCCATCTTTGGAGATAGTTTGCCGTCTAAGCCTGAAGGCCGCTCGCCTAGAACAAGCAGCTGTGCGTGCTTGGAAAATGCAAGGAGATGTTTGCGAATTCCCTGCATGGACTCGTCCCACATCTTCTTGTAAATAGGCTCTTGTTCAGATGTCTGCAGATACTGCTTGATAAGGTATTCTACCATGATATAAGTCAGTTTAAATCATTGCAAAGCACTGCCGATTGGAAACTCACCGTAGTAGGAATCACCCCGGCTACCCAGACGGATATTTTCGCCTTGGAAGGCTCCTTCTTTGGGATTGATATAGATGGGCACGAGACCATCCCGGGGTTTTTGATCGTCCACAACTTGCATCACATTCTCCACAACCTTCCAATACTCGGCCTCTCCGGTTAGCTTGGCTAAGTATTTGAACTCGAGCTGTATCGATGTTGCTTCCGCTGTGGACGAGGCACCACCATCGTTGTGTGATTGGAGGCCCTCTGATTTGTTCAAGTTCACGCTCGCATATGGAATGCCGGAGGGCGATTCAAATGCTCCAAGTAAACGTTCGGCAAGATCAGTGGCCTTTTCGATGTACAAGTCCTCTCCAGCGGCACCGACATCATCATCTGTGAGGGGAGCGAGAGCAGGATACTTGGCGGACAGATAGTTCGCAGAGAGCAGACCGCCCAACATACGAATAGTGGTTTCGAATGTGCTCACATCGTGATCCTGGTTGTACTGCAGCGAAGTCTTGATCCACTGCCGCGCATGTCGGACTTGGGATGTGAGGTTCATGATAATCATAGTGTCCAGGGAGTCGACAATAATCCAACCCAGTCCTCCCTTCACCATATTTCTGTTCCCTCCAGACACAGGGTGATATTCGTCGTAGCCTGGGGCGATCCATCATTAGCTTTCCTGCCAAGTATATCCTTGAATACCGACATACCCCATGCATCCTTCTCATACCCCTCCCAGCTGACAATGAAAGCATCCCGGACCTTCTCTCGGCGCGCAGCCCAATCCGCGGGTCCCTTTGTGGGCCCATTTTGTAAGCTCTGGGCCCATTTCCAGAGCTCAACCCCTTTGTCCGACGACTCTGCGCCTTTCCATGCTGGTAGGCCTGGACTATAATAGAAATACCAGAGCAAAAATAGGGTAAAGACACCCAGTATACCCAACGGTTTTCCCCATCGTCGTGGTGCCGTGCGCCGTGGTGTAAAGTAAGGCTTGTCTTTGTACATGGGGAGGGTGCGGTCATTGTCGAAGAAGCCACCCATCGATGGTGCTGAGAGACCGAGTCCAGCAATTCCTTTCCGGGCATTCTGATTCTGGGCAGGACGCCAGGAGGTACCGGAGTGCGGCGCCTGAAAAGACATGGCTATCCTTGTTCAACCCCCGCTTGTTCCGTCTCCGTGAATATGCTGATGGTACAGGTTCCTAGTGCAGGAGCATGGGAGCGAGACTCGAGAGCGGTACGTCGGTCTTATTGGAAACTCTCTCTTGGGAACTGGATTGCGGGGACGAATTCGCGGTTCTCGCTGTTGCCCTAGAAGCATGCAATAGTCAGTCAAAAGTGCACGTTCTACCCTTTGAGGGCACTAGGTTGTTTGCAGCTCTGCATGATTGCATACTATACTCCGTGGCGTCAGATAGCCTGTTGTAATGAGCTCTCTGAAGTCGTAAAGGCAAAAAGGGCCAATCCGAAACGTGTCACCGTGTCCAAGCCGACGGTTGTCTTTGGTTGCCCGACTCGGCGAAATCCGTATTCAAAAGCACAGGATGTAATTCTGTAAAAAGCTAAAGTATCGAAAACATATCCCGAAAGGAATCTGCGATTCACACTGCAACAATGGAACTGGGGGCGCGTCAGGGTCAGGGAGAAGCGCCGCGGTTGGGGAAGTGGAGAACCGATAACTGTGGCCCGCCGAATCACGTCCGGGTCACATGGTGATAGATAGAAGTGCACCATGAGCTTAACAGTTCGATGGAATAATTATTTTAATGAGTCTCAATCGATTCATATGAGGTTGAAGTACGAGAGGCAGATTAAAGTCTCCGCTGTACGATGCAAGGTGGTGCCCCGCCTGACAAAGTCTCAACGATTCGACACTCGACAGATGACGTATAGAATTCTGTAATGCGAATCTCTAATAGCATGAAATGTCCCGGTTTGACTACCCAGACGTAGATACAATTACAGCTTCTGGTACTCCAGCTTACCCTCCAGCTTCTTCGATTCCGCCACCTTTCGCACGGCCTTGTTGAAGTCGTCCTGGTTGACGGCATCGCGGTAATCCTTGATGGCGAACAGGCCACTGTTGTATGTTAGCGAATCTGATTGACGGACAATATCAAATGCCCGGAGGAAACTTACGCTTCAGTCACCACATTACGCAAATCAGCACCGTTGAGACCGTCACTCATCTTGACCACACTCTCAAAGTCAATATCTCCATCGATTTGTACCGTGCTTGTGTGGATCTTCAGAATCTCCAGGCGGCCGACCTCGTTAGGCAGAGGAATCTCAATCTTTCGGTCTAGACGACCGGCACGCAGCAGGGCAGGATCCAGGGTGTCGGGACGGTTGGTGGCCATGATGATCTTGGTCTTGCCCAGGTAGTCGAATCCATCCAGCTGGTTCAGCAGCTCCATCAACGTTCGCTGAATTTCTCGATCTGCGGATGTACCCTCTGAGAATCGTCGACCACCGATAGCGTCAATCTCGTCCATGAAGATGATGCAGGGCTCGTGCTCCTTGGCGTAGCCGAACATCTCACGGATTAGTCGGGCGGATTCACCGATGTATTTGTCGACGATAGCGGAGGAAACCACTAATTGAAAGGAAGTGTTAGAGGATGCATGTTTATCAAGGAAGGGATAAAGGACATACCCTTCAAGAAGTTGGTCTCCAACGAGCTAGCCACCGCTCGGGCGAGCAGCGTCTTACCCGTACCCGGAGGCCCATACAGCAGGACACCCTTCGGTGGCTTGATTCCCACACGTTGGAAGAGCTCCGGGTTCTTCAATGGCAGCTCAATCACCTCGCGCAGCTCTCTGATCTGATCATTCAAACCACCAATACCAGCAAAGTTGATCTGGCCCGGATCCTCCAAAGACATGTTGTAAACCAAGGGATCGACCTCGCGAGGCAGCATGCGCATGATGGTGAGTGTTGTCATATCCAGGGCCACACGTGTGCCCTGCTTCATCTTGGCCTTGTCGACCTTGGAACGGCAGCCGACAACGTATCGCGGTCCCGATGATGCCTTGACGATGACTGTAACGAATCAGCTTTTGATTCCCTGCACTCAAAGGCCTCAGGATGGTTGTGGGGGACTTACATCGTTCCTCGTCCAGCTGTTTCAACACCTCGCCGATGATCTGACCAACACTTTGAAGTGCCTTGATGTTCTCTTCGGAGACATCAAACTCCCGTGACAGATCCTTGATGCCCATGCGGAGGGTCTTCAACTTGGCTTCCCATTCTCGAAGCTCGAGCAAGCTCTTTTTATAATCTTCGAGCGCCTGCTCCCGCTCGGGGTCGCTGGCGCCGTTCATGATGGACGGCGAACGAGATTCGCAGGAACGAGTCGAAGGAAGTCAGGAATGTCAAACGAGGGTTTGATCGGAGGACAAGTCGAGTCGATATTCTGAGTGATGGATAGTGAGATGGGCAAAGATGATAGAAGGGACAACCGGCGCAATCTGGGGAGCTTCTAGCGCCGCCCATCGAGGAGCTTCCAGTGAGGTCACATGACGGCGCGTCGACAAGCCACGTGACTAAGCAGCGGACAAGTGATTCGGAGCCTGAGGCACTCCAGGATCCTCGCCATTGATTTTCCAACTAATAGAGTACCGGTGTTATTACGGACTAATATCACCTCTGTTCTGCAGAAGCACCTAGAAGCCTGCTTTTCCTAAATCTTTTCCTAAATAGATATGTCTCAGCCGACCACATGGCTGGGTGCGTGGGTGGTTACTGTGCAGAATATGTGTTTTAGAATTCAGATGAGTAACCGATTATTTTTCTATAAGTTATTGGTCTTCTTTTTCAGGACATCTTTTAAATGAAATTTCTCCGGTCGTCTGTACTCAAGAATGCACGAAAGGTGGGTAGGTTGGTGATGTTCCTGGACGCTCCCACACCCGGCGGGTGCCCGGTCATCCCATTCTCGGTACGAAAGCTCGGTCGCTTCGTCATCCATGAAGACCGATGCAGCCAGGATACGACGTAGGATGCGCTCTCGACCACTGGTTCACTTCCATCGGCTGTACTGTTTGATTGGAGCGCATCGAGTGAAGAATTTTCCCCTTGAGTCTACGGGGTAGAGTCTATAGCTTAGCTGTACAGCTAGCTATATAGAAACCAATGGAGGGGTAAAGATAGGACCAATTGTGCCGAAGTAGACATAGACCCGGGCTCACGGGTAAGAGGATAACATCATAGCCCAGCAAGGTTCTCCCGAGGGACGGGAGATCTCGCAGGTGAAGCCCGCCGCATACGGTCGGATCAACCAGCAGGCGCTGGAGAAGACCGTGGAGCCCCACCACTTGGAAAGAATCGGAGCCAGCTTCTGATCTTTCCCGGGGTTCAATGACAGGTGCTGGGTATTTAAGAATCGGGCATTTCCGTGTAGCTAGCTCTTGTTACTTTCTAGTTGTTTACTTTCCCCCTTAAGTCCATAAGGTGAGTTGAAGCGCATACATCATACCCCGCCATCCCATCTCTGCCCCTCCTCCCCTCCCCTACTTGTCTGAAGACTCAAGAGGTCAAGGACACATTCATCCAACCAGAGCTTCGGTGATCTCAATTGCCGTGACAAATTGCCCCAACCGTCGAGCTCAGGCAAATCAGACTCCCCCAATCCTCCCTCGTTGTCCGGCCAGTCTTTTTGGGTCATCGGTGAACCTCCCTGGACTCCCCCGCCGTTAGTCAGTGACTCTGCTGGCACTGCCTTAAACCCCGTTCTCCTTTTATTTTTCTCCTTTTTTCTCTTTGCAAACTGACTGATCTTTTCCCCCATCAGCCTATTCAGTTCCAATATGCCTATCTCCAAGGTTCACGCTCGTTCCGTGTACGACTCTCGCGGCAACCCCACCGTTGAGGTGGACATTGTCACCGAGACCGGTCTGCACCGCGCCATTGTCCCCTCTGGTGCTTCCACTGGTATGTACCCTTCAATTCATTTCCCCGGGTTATCGAGAGTCAATGATCGCTGACAGTATAATTTAGGCCAGCACGAGGCCGTTGAGCTCCGTGATGGTGACAAGACCCACTGGGGCGGCAAGGGTGAGTGAAAATCGAGCTTGGTCCAATTTGAAAGAGCTCCAAACTGATCGTTGTCACTACAACAGGTGTCCTCAAGGCCGTGAAGAACGTCAACGAGACCATTGGCCCCGCTCTCATCAAGGAGGGCATTGATGTCAAGGACCAGGCTAAGGTTGACGAATTCCTCAACAAGCTCGATGGCACCGCCAACAAGGCCAACCTCGGTGCCAACGCCATCCTCGGTGTCTCCCTGGCTGTGGCCAAGGCCGCCGCTGCCGAGAAGGGTGTCCCTCTCTACGTCCACATCTCCGACCTCGCCGGCACCAAGAAGCCCTACGTCCTGCCCGTTCCGTTCCAGAACGTCCTGAACGGTGGCTCCCACGCCGGTGGCCGTCTGGCTTTCCAGGAGTTCATGATTGTCCCCAAGTAAGTTCTCACAAAGCTAGAGTGTGCTTTGAATCCACCCTTGCTAACGGCTGTCCACAGCACTGCTCCCTCCTTCTCTGAGGCCCTCCGCCAGGGTGCTGAGGTCTACCAGAAGCTCAAGGCTCTCGCCAAGAAGAAGTACGGCCAGTCCGCCGGCAACGTCGGTGACGAGGGTGGTGTTGCCCCCGATATTCAGACTGCCGAGGAGGCTCTGGACCTGATCACCGAGTCCATCGAGCAGGCCGGCTACACTGGTAAAATTGCCATTGCCATGGACGTTGCCTCCAGCGAGTTCTACAAGACCGACGCCAAGAAGTACGACCTTGACTTCAAGAACCCCGACAGCGACCCCACCAAGTGGCTCACCTACGAGCAGCTGGCCGATCTCTACAAGTCCCTGGCTCAGAAGTACCCCATTGTTTCGATCGAGGACCCCTTCGCTGAGGATGACTGGGAGGCTTGGAGCTACTTCTACAAGACCTCCGACTTCCAGATTGTCGGTGATGACCTGACTGTCACCAACCCCCTGCGCATCAAGAAGGCCATCGAGCTCAAGTCTTGCAACGCCCTCCTCCTCAAGGTCAACCAGATCGGTACTCTCACCGAGTCCATCCAGGCCGCCAAGGACTCCTACGCCGACAACTGGGGTGTCATGGTCTCTCACCGCTCCGGTGAGACCGAGGATGTCACCATTGCAGACATTGCCGTCGGTCTCCGCGCCGGCCAGATCAAGACCGGTGCCCCTGCCCGTTCCGAGCGTCTGGCCAAGCTCAACCAGATCCTCCGTATTGAGGAGGAGCTCGGTGAGAACGCTGTCTACGCCGGCAAGGACTTCCGCAACTCGGTCAACCTGTAAATGCGTCGTCTAGACTGAGGAACGAAAAGAAACAAAAGAGATGACGTGTTCCTCTTGGGAAACAGTCATCTGTTATGATTATGAATTTAATTAAGATCTTCTGAATGAAAGACATATTCAAAAATTATCCCATTAAAACAAGTTAGGACCTTGAAGTATAAGTGAAATCTTGTCGGGAACCAAGAGTCCGAGATCACGTGCACACCCCACCTTGCGATAAGTGCCACATAAAATTTGCCCTCCCCCTCCATTCTTTGTTGGAGTAGGTTCCTATCGCGGGCTCGTCCTCGTTTTCTCTGTTTTTCAGTCTTGCCGACAGCGCACTCTTTCGTTCCCTTCTTTTGCTCTAAAAAAAGTCTTATTTACCAAATATGCCGCCTTCCAAGTGGGGTAAGTTTCTTATCCTCCCTCCATTTTGAGACTCGCCTCTAGATTTTGCGACGATTGGTTCCAGTTTGGCGCAACGTCGGGCATATTATATGGCATAGTTTTAGCTTTGATCGTGTGACTAACTCGATATTTCCCCTGATAGATGAGGAGGATGAGGAGAGTGTTTCGCCTCCCCCTGTTGCCCCTCGCCGCCGATTCGACGATGAAGAAGAAGAAGACGTAAGGGCTCTCCCATTTTCCTCGATTATACATAGCGCAGGAATGAATGCGCACGACTGTTCCACGTCCGCTAATACACTCTTTTCGCCAACAATAGGTCCTTGACTCGTGGGACGCAGCCGAGGACTCGGAGGTAGAGCGCGAGAAGGCGAAGAAGGCCGCCGAGGCTGAGGCCAAGGCCAAGGCTGCCGCGGCTGCGAACAAGAAGTCCAAGGCGCAGCGGATAGAAGAGCACCGTGAGCAGCGGAGGCGGGAGGCTGAGGACAGCGACAACTACGACTCCGACGAGACCGAGGCCGAGCGCCGTGAACGCCTGCGCCGCACCGAGCAGGAGGCCGATTTGCAGCACGCCTCCGATCTGATCGGCGACATCGACCTGAAGCGCAACCGCGGTGCTCCCAAGGCTATCGTCGTTACCGATAGCAAAGACCCCACAAACTCTATCGACCTGTCTGCCATGCCCCTGTTCAAGCCCACCACCAAGGACCAGTTCACCCAGCTGAGCGACGTTCTCATTCCCCTCATTACTCCGCAGTCGAAGAAGCCCCAGTATGCCCTCTGGGCTCAGGACTTCACCCGCAGGCTTGTCAAGGAGCTCCCCAGTTCCGAGATCAAGAAGATTGCTAGTGCCCTCACCACCGCTAGCAACGAGAAGATGCGCGAGGAGCGTGCGGCTGACAAGGGCAACAAGAAGACCAAGGCTGCCAAGACCAAGATCTCCCTCAATGCCAACCGTGACAACCAGATCGACAACAACAACTACGATAACGACGACGGTCTTGCCGATGATGACTTCATGTAATCGACAGCTGGTCTCTATCTTTTATCCCCAATCTCTTTGCTCCTGCTCCTCTCATCTTTTGCCCTAGATGGATCTTTGAAAATACGCATCGCCACAGAGGGGTTCCTGTATCTTTCCATTCCATTATACGGGAGTTGATTCCTTCCAATCCCAACATCTTCCTTTGAATACCAACGTGTGCATCCCCTTCTTCAATCCCTGCATGAACAACTATAGAACGAATTTACTCGATTTCATCAAGCCCTTCCTTCTCCTTGGTCATTGCTCCGTATACATGAGAGCCAGCAAGTGTACCAGCGTAGGGTATCATTCGTGACTATATTAGGCATTAAGCTGTACACACGGGACTCCGAACCACCTTTACTACGAATATGCCTACTGTGCAGTACAACATGGGCATACCCACCACAATGTCGAAACAAGACGAGCTCATGCTGTACCCATTCGCGTCATTCTCTCCAGCGGCTAAGTTATTCCGTGTTCTGAACATGAATCTTCCCAAGAAACTCCGGTGCTACTTTAGTCCTAAACCAAACACTTATGTACATATATTCCTTTCCAGATATAAATTGTGAGGACTTGGTGAAGTTACGTGATCATATTTTCTTGCGATAGCCGCAAGTGTATATTGTTAAGTGTGTGCAGGGCAAACCCAGTACCAGCCAAATACTAGTTCTATTTCAATTAATGACTCAAAAAGTTATGTCGAAGGGGATGGAGGTAGCAGTCGTAGTCCACAGACAAATTCTGGTTCGCGTCTGTTAAACCAGGGTTGAAGATCTGTTAAACTCCTGCCCACGAACTTGAATGGCGGTAGAGCTATACCCTTCCCGCTAAGGAAAATCGAAATCCGCTCCCTTAGGGAATCTATAGCTAGGGTCGAAAGGCCAAGATTGGTCACAACTAACAGAAGAGCCTCTGCCGATAATTCTGTCTCGTATTACTGCCGCTAAGGCAATTGGTTCTTGCAGGGTTTGTGAAGAGGAACCAACCCAGAATATTCGCGCGCTATCACATCCGATAAACACAATGTCGACGCGTGTCGTTTCTGCTCGAGTATGTTGAGACTCGACTCGCTCTCTGGCTTTCTTCGCATTACTGCACAACTTCACATCATATGCAATCCTCCACTGAACTTTTGTTGCAGTAAAACTTCCGATCCTCCTCAAGTGGAAAAAGAATCTTCTCTTCCACCTCATCTCGGAACTTCTCTTCTGTTAGTGATGTGTATACCGCGTCTATCCCAGATACACATCGTAAGACACTGTTCTTATAGTTCGGGCCACAGTCCATCTCATTGGCCAAGCGTCGCGCTGTCAAAGGGTCGGAGAATTCTGATGGCTAAATCGATAGTTAAACCTGTCAATTCATAGAGGCGTCTACGGATAATACATACCATCTTTCGCTCAACTGCCATTTTTAGGTCTTCGAACACCTCCCGATACCATAGTTCCAGGAGAACAATTCCAAGGGAAATCGGCAAGGAATCGACGCATTTAAGTAAGGTTTCGGAAAACTCTTAGATATAGATACTAAGTCGGTTTCCCGAGTTCTAGAGCTACATCGGATTAACAGGTTATCGAAGTTAATCGTCGTATCTAATAACCGTAGGAGAAAAAAATCGGATTTGTTCTAGTAATCTATTGTCTACCTCGTGGCATATAGCTATATGACCGACGAAGCAAACTTGAGCTCTAGCTAGGATCGATGCTCTTAACAAAAAGGTTTCTTATATAGAACTTAGGCTACTAACTCCAACATGATATATCTTTAGTGAATAGACGAAAAGCAGAGATTGCCCTTCAAGTGCTCACAATTGGGGGCCACATTAAAGTTCAGGGCAAGGCACAAAAAAGTCACTTAGCGGCAGAGCTTTCAATTTCGGCTAACTACGGATATGGCGGGCTCCGCCGCCGGGGATAGTTGAATCCTGCGATATTCAATCAAATTGTATCCAATTTGACTAGCAATTTGACTGATCATCGCTGATTCCACTTGAGAGTCAATTTACATGAATTTACATGAAATCTGTGGAGTGTTAGGACATTCATCAGGTACTGTATCAAATATGCAACCTCAGGCACGCCAATCCTACGTCGGCTGCGGGGTAAATTGTTTAAAAAAAAGCTGACAGCCCAACGACCTCGCCAACAGACTCTCAAATTAGAATCCAACTAATCTTAACCAAAAAATCTCGGTAAAGCATCATGGAAAGCCCCATCACGGCTCCATTCGGCCAATGGAAGAGCCCAATCACCTCAACCTTGCTTGGTGCCGACGATGTTCAGTTTGAAACCATCGCGGTATGTTTGTTGCCGATCATTCCCACCTGAAAAGCATATTCTAATGACCTCTTTAGACATCCAATGGGAAGATTTATGTCGTTGAATGTCGCCCCAAAGAGCAGGGCCGAGGCTGCATTGTCGAGTACTCAGGTCCTGAAGGACGCGATGTTCTACCGACCAAGTACAGACTAGAAATCCATCACGAAATTCAGGTATGCTAATGATCCTTAGATATGATTCCCGCACCAAGGTCCATGAATACGGCGGTGCGTCGATGATTGCTTTCAACGGCCAGATCGTCTTCACGGATCGGGAGACACAGGATCTGCACCAACTCGATCCGTCCACCGGCCATGTGGAGCGGATCACCAATACTGACATTGCTCTCCGCTATGTGGGCACGTCTGGTTTGGCCGACGAGCAGGCGAAGTGTGGATGGGTTTTGGCCATCGAAGAGGACCACTCCAAGCCACTGGCGTCAGAGATTCGGAACCGACTCGTGGCTGTTAACCTGCAGTCAAAGGAAATAGTCAACATTGCTTCCGGCGACGACTTCTACAGCGCAGCGCAGTTCTCTCCTGATGGTAGCAAAGTATGCTGGACTCAGTGGTCCCACCCGGATATGCCATGGACAGGAGCTCGTTTGTACCTGGCTAAGTGGGATAACGGCAAGGTCACAGATGTTCAACTTGTGGCAGGCGTTCCTGAGAAAGAGAGTGTTTCCCAGCCCCGTTGGGGCCCCGATAATACATTGTATTTCACGTGTGACTGCTCAGGGTACTACCAACTCTATCGTTTGAACGCCGGCAGCTCCAAAGGCCAAAGGTTAGCCCTCCGTGGCCTGGAAGAGGTGGAGTTTTCGCAGCCTGACTGGCGCTTGGGAGGGTATGTTCAATCTGGACCAACGCGGTGTTTACAGGTATGCTGACGGCTGTCTTCTTTTACTAGCTGCACATTCGTGAGTCTGACTCCAACCTCAATGATCGCTTCCTATACAAAGGACGCTCGGTGGAGCTTCATCTTGATCGATTTGACAAACGATACCTGGCACGACCTGAACCTGCCAGTGTCGGACACGATCACATTAGCCCAAACCCCCCCTCTCAAGCACGAAGATTGCACTCCTTGGGTCCAGCGAAACAAGCTTCAACACCGCCTACATACTGGACATCACTGATACCCAACTCAACACAATTAAAGCAGCTTCTGATTTCCCCATGCCGGCTTCCCTTGTCTCCCGACCGGAGCATATCTCTTTCCCCAGAGTCCATGGTGAAAACCGCAAAGGGCTGTCCCATGCTATTTTTTACTCACCCCAAAACCCAGATTATCAAGCGACTTCTGGGACACTTCCCCCTTTGATTGTGTGTCTCCATGGCGGGCCGACATCTCAAACCGGGACTGGCCTGAGTACCACAGACCAATACTGGACTACTCGAGGCTATGCTGTTGTTTGGGTCAATTACGGAGGTAGCTCCGGGTATGGCAGGGCATACCGGGATGAATTGAACGGGCAATGGGGTTAGTTTTCACCTCGCAGACCCACAAATTATCTTCTGATATTCACCAATTACAATAGGTATCCTCGATACTGCAGATGCTGCTAGCTGTGTGTCATACCTAGCTTCAACAGGCAAAGTCGACCCGAACGGAGTCGGGATTCGTGGCGGAAGCGCAGGAGGCTACATCGTCCTACAAGCTCTGTGCGACTACCCTAATCTCTTCTCCGGTGGCAATTCGCTGTACGGTATAAGCAACGTCCGAGCTCTTTGCGAACACACCCATAAATTCGAGAGCCACTATGCTTTTGCTTTACTGTTTGAACCTGGCGCGAGTGAAGCCGAGAAAGAACGCATTTTCAAAGAACGCAGTCCCTGCTTCAAGGCGGACAAGATCACCGCGCCGATGTTGTTGCTGCAGGGAGACGAGGATATGGTTGTTCCCCTGGGCCAGGCGGAGGAAATGGTTGAAATGATGGTCAAGGTGGGCCGTCATCCTAAGCTTGTGGTCTTCAAAGGTGAAGGGCATGGGTTCCGACAGGCTAAGAATCGTATTGATGCCGTGGAAGAGGAGGAGAAGTGGTGGAAGAAAAGCTTGCTTAAGCTATAGATAGCGTTTAGAGTCGTCAACTTTCGGAATATGTAGCACGAAGTGTTAGGGATCCCCTAGCTCAGTTTATAGCGACGCACTCTTTCATTTCTTCTCCCGAAAGCCTGTTCTTTGCTTTCTTCGTGCTCCGATTCCGGGCAGTGATGAAACATGTTTCCATACTGTGTATCACCGTTCTGAAAAGCTCTGGACAGAACATAATGATCAAGCATGCCCTCTAGTACTTTCTTTGAAACACTCGCCTAGCCTTGATTGAGTACCGTGATGCACACGCGCGGTTGTTTTGGCCTTTCTTTATGGTGCGGCGAGGATTGGTTGTCATGAGCCACATTTCAAGAATCTTGGATACGTAGTATTTAATTTATTCATTTGGATATATTGGAACCTCAAATCTGTCAACTATCAAGCCCACTGACTAATCTACGTGTGTAAATACCAAGGCCCTAACCTCTACACTGATCCTTGAGCCTGCACCATCCGCGTTATTTGGCAGTGCAAATGACGTATGAGGGGTATCTGCGTTATGCAACGCATTTCGTTAGCTTTGTATACCTTTGCCTTTATTTTTATTTCGCATATGTCCGGGCAACTCGTAGTAAAGAAGATATAATTCTTGGAATAGTACTCACGTTTTACGCTATCCTCGTTTGAGTCAAAGCTCTTGAACAAGAGCACGTCTTCAACACCCTGCCTGCTCATATAATACCATTGACAAGTACCACTTGGGGTATACAATGGATAAAGCATGGTGCCTGTATAAGCTCCTCGGGTCATGTCTGTTTCGACTATTTTGGATGTATCAACGGTTTGTCCGTCACAGACGGCGATAGGGTGATCTTCGACCGGTCCATTCAATGGTCTCCAGATGCTGAGGTCCCTCACGTCAGAGAATATCAAGGAAGAAATATAGTTTCTAGTAGAATTTCTTTACACTTACTTTATCATCTGTATTCGACCGTCGAGAAGGTGGTGGGCGTCTTTGGGGAGATGGTTGCGAACGCGCGCCATAAAGGAGGTAGCAAGTTCATCCTTGGTGAGTATGGTATCTTCAGTTCCATTAGTAATGAGATGTATCTAGTAAATCGGCCTTCACATACACCCAAGCAAGCCAGTTGGGGAATATCCGATTTCGACTTACCTATATGCACTTGTCGCGCAAAGCTTAGTATATCTGGATTCTTCTTTCGCCGCTCCTTTGCACTTTTCCTCTTCCTTATCTAGTTGTAAAAGATAATCAATCGCAAGTCCAACACTCGGGCGCGATGCCTGTTGTCACTCACTTTCCAATCGAAGATCAAAACGCGGTCGACCCCTTCAATCTCATTTTTCAACATATCTTCACATTGTGGCAAGAAGGCATTCTGGATATGGTCCGGAGCAGCAAATTCCTTTGGATCTGTGAATAATGGTGGAGGATATTTTCGATAAACAAAACCATTCGCGTCGAGGGTGAACCTGGGGTCTCCCTTTCCCTCTGCTCCTCTAACATCTCTGATGATCTCGATATCATCTCCCTCGGCGAAAACTAAATTGTGTGTCTTCTGTTTTTGATCGCTCTTTCTTTTGCGGCCAAACTGGGCAATTCGATATGGTCGAGCATGGGTGTAGCTTGCTTGCCATTGGAGATATTTCAACTTGGTCTGAATATCTGTAGGCGCAGTAGAAGCCATTTGGCACCAAAGAGACAATTTTTAAAAGGAAAATTAGGGGTGCATCTAGTGCAGGGTTATCCTATATTAGTCTATCAATATTTGAGAGAGGAGCTGGATGCCCCTTTGTACTTCAATTAAACGGTCTAATCAGGCAATCAGAACTTTGCACAGCCAGTTTTAGATCCATTGAATCTCCCCTTTCTATGCCGCATTAGGAGCCCTATTGCAAGCAATGACTCAGAACTCCACAGGAGTCTTGGCCGAAGAGTCTCGAGAAATGGGGCCGCAAAATGGAGTAGAAAAGAGCCTCGGGCTAAGCGTGAAAGAAGTTAGCCTCTTTTATCGGGCGCTTAGATCGCTTTTTCTGAGTCAAAATGCGCCAAGTGTCTTTTGCTGTTGTATTGTTTTGATTTTTATATTCAAAAGTCAATCTGGACAAACTTGGAACAAAGCAGCCCCTTCTACCTTGGGCAGCCTCTACGCCATCCCTATCCTCGTTCTTAGGAGCGGGGGCTGGTCAAGGGGCCGCACATAGGAGTCACGGAACAACAGATCAGCTAGGGGAGAGAGATATTAATATGTTCTATATCAGAGAGAACTTGTCTAGGTCACTATAGGTACCATATTTTCTCTGTCCGGTGGGGCTTTCCTTTCTTAGCTGCCGACGCTTTTATGAGGGCACTCGGAGTCAGTTCCACTGATTAAATTTTAGTTCGGGCTCACTGAGCTGCTCAGTATCATCACTGATTGATCGGTGGGGCCCAATGGGTGCTCAGTTCACGCTCAGTCCGTACCCAAACGAGCACTCGGCTCCCCAATCCTGTTTACTCTGTGAACCACTTTTCGGTAGCTCTCATTTCTTATCATCGCCCCTTTTCTCTAAAGTGCCCCATCTTTCAATCCCGTTGACTGTGACAATTATGGAGCCCGGTTGCGCGCGGTTATGAACGGGAAACTTGGCCTGAGATCAAACACCACAAATTAGTTGATACTCCTATCATCGCTGTACAGTAACCGTATTTCCATTCAACTCGACGAGATCTACATGTAATCTTAAAACTATTCAATCTGTTTGATGATCCATTTATATCGCTGATCCAAGTAGCGACACCTGAGTTGGAGCATTTCCAAAGATGGCATGTCCTTCAATTTCCCTTCACATTCGTCGATCGGCTTCTTCGCCAGAGTGATGGTTGAATAGACTGAATGGATATCTCCAATGATAGGGGCAATGACGCCGTCGGTAATTTTTGTGGCCAATTCGTCAAACGCCTTTTGGGATGCATCTTTCATTCCGCATGAGACAGCTGACATAATATTCGGGAAAAGTGTTCCATTTTCGATTCGGCCTTGAACCTTTTCACGCAGAGCTTTGGCCTTGCCCGGACCTATTATGGGTTATCATTCAACAGCCATGTAAATGGAAACTCGTTTCAATAGTATTTGCCTTCGATTAAAGCTGCGGCGCGATACACAGGGATCATCTCTTGCAGTATAAAAGAAGCCTCATTGGACTCTAGAGTCTTAGCACGTAGGCCCCTATTGAGAATTAGATAAGAGAGACAGGGTAAAGCGATCAAAGGATGATTTATATACCTCATTTCACCTGTAAACCTTCTCAAAGAGGTTTCAATGAACTGCCTAGTATCTTGTGTGCGGTGTTCAAGGCTCCCAACCATCAAGGACGGGAAACCGTTGGCTTGGAGGCGTATTAGATTAGTTTGATTTATTCTTTTGTCACTTTTTCAATGTACTCACCCATCAAATCAAACCTCAATTCCCGGAAGCAGTTCTCAATGAATCCATGAAGTTCTGGAAGAATTGCAGAAAGGCTTCTTTCCACGCCGTTCCACCTTCCGCTCAACCCCAGTCTCATTTCCTCAATCAGTTCACTGTTCCAATCAACGGGCTTATTAAATAAATTCAAATGTCGACCATTTTTGCGGCAAAAAGCTTGATAGTCCACTGGATAGGTAGTCCGATTATTAGCATGATTGATAGGGGTTGAGTGATTTTCACACGGGGCAAAGGCAGGGAGCTGAGTTAACTATTTCTTAGTGAGATATATTGGTGGTTTTTTCTTACCCCACGATAACTGTAGCATGATCAGCATGTTGTGTGGCATCGGTGAAGAAAATTACTCACGTCCAGCCATTCCAGTCCTTTCTGATTTGCCGCCTTTTGCCAGTCATTGTGATGGATCTCTTCAGAATTGTTTAGCTAGGTCGACAAAAGGCTCTCTTTTGAGACGTGACATACCGGCATATTTGAGTACCGATTCCTGGAAGAAATTCTGTACATTTTTCTTACTTCTTTCGAGATACCGCAAAATCTGGAAGAAGAATTAGAATCAACTTAATGCGCGATGGCCGGCTCAACATACCCGTTTCTTTTTGAGATCGACCTTCTTAAGAATCATTTTAATTGAGCAAGAGGGCCCAACTTCCAAGGACTGACTGCGTAGGCCAATCGAAGCAAGAGCACTTGGCAACGTAGTAAGAAGGAAGTTTTTAGCTTCCTGTAGCCTCGAATCTGCCAGCGTAGAGTAGCAGAACTTTCTCAGAGCGGGGATACCACTCATGGTTCTTTTTTCATGAGTTGTCGTAACTGATCTCTGAGAACAGTACTGGCCATAAAATAGGTTCGAAACACAAAAAACGTTCAGATCTTCCTCCTCCTGGCTGCTCTTGTACATCCGTTTGAGTCCATCTTCTACGCGTCTGTTCCGAGCTTCTATGAGAAGCATTTTCTTCCTATCCAAAGTCAGCAAAACTAGAAGATTCCCGGTCTGTCTGAGCAGGAAATGGTTGATGTACTTCCACTGGAGTTCTGTCATTAGAACTGAATCTTTCGTTGTTTCCACCTTCCGAATCCCATCTTCTATGCTTTCCATTGCCTCTAACATCCTCACTTTTCCAGAACTTCGCAAGTGTCTTTCGGCTCCAGCTTCATCAATTGCCTTTTAAACGTTAGTTGAAGTCAAATTCGAAGACCGTTTAACGAACATCGGACATGGTACAAATGACCGCAGTACGTGACCATCTTTTTGTGGACCCCCCTTCGCTTGTCGATGCGTCATGGGGAGCTGTAGAGTATAAGGATGTCTCGAGAAGCTGGTTGGTTAGTGCTCGACGTATATCAGTGACGTGGAAGACACGATCGCATCTTGAAAGATATTCCTGAGCCGCTTTAACCTTCGCGAGACTTGTATCAAGAAGCCCTAGAGCTGTTAGCTATGAAAAATCAAGCCAGACGGATTCTCACCAGGCAGATCTGCAATGACAAGACCTGCTCTCAGAATTGGAGCGTCGATGTATACTCTAAAGCCAGTCTCAGTCATATGTTTTATATTGCAGGTTGTGCCATATTTTTCTGGCTCATAACTTTCAAGACCTTACCGCATGATCTTTGTAAAGGGCCAGATTCTGTTCTGCATGAACAGGCTTGTTTTTGTGTAAAACTCCTCTGCAGTTTCTGCGTATGTCACCCATTTTCCATCAGATGCATCAGTAGGCCATGGAATTGTCTTCGTCCACTTGATCAGTTGCTCTGCTATTTTCTCAAAAGCCCCCTCGGATTTATCCGACAGGAATTTTCGGTTAAATTCTTTCTCGTTGCCAAATGCAGACTCCAGAGCAGACCAAGCTTCCTTAATTTCTTTCAAGTCGGCGGCAGTCAATGAATCCTTTGCAACATCTGGAAGAAACGCGCGGCGGAAGCTCCACAGCAGCTCATTGACATGATCTTTCATGGCCACTCCAGAGAGATACTCGACTTCAACTTGGATCCGATGACTTTGACTGGGCTTCATTTGCCTATATTCAGTGACAATCGAAGTAACAGCCGAGCCAAAATCGTCCTATATTATTTTTTATCAATACTCCATTTCAGCATATTCTGCACAGGGCATCTCACGGCTGTGGCAAGTCTCGGAAAGTCGAGTAGTGAGTTGATTACGCTGCTTTTTCCTGGAAATTGTAAGCTGCAAGATTATCCAAATGAGGAAGATTGAAAACTCCTTACCCGCTAGCGTGCTCCCCAAAAATGCAATTGTTTCGGTATTGAAAAAGTTGTTCAATTCGCCAGCCCGTTTCATTTGTTTTATCTGACAGTTCACCTGGGTAGAATCCAGGGCACATTCATAGGATCCCTGATGGACGAGAAGCTGTTCCATCAAGCCCGCAGATTCCCTCGCCAGCTGCAATCCAAGAAACAGGCCGGTCTGAAATGTTGAGGAGAAAAAATTTGACTTTGGATATTCTTCTGCTGGAACATCAGAGAATGCAGAGACCAGACCGGGATCCTGGAAAGTCAAAGATTGTTGTTTAGTCGTTGGCATTGTGTTCGTTACGTTGAATGAGAAAAGCTTTGGCTTCCCTGCGCTCGGTTGCGCGCCCTCTCGAGTATCCTGCGGAGCCTATACAAATGAAACCAATGTAGTTAGAATTATGTAGGCAGTAACCTCGGAAAGGGAAGATCGGTCACATTGTTTTTAGGGGGGTCTTGCATCCTCATAGAGAACGTAAACGCCGACTTGGCTTCGTTTGCTATAGCAGGTTTCGGCTGAGCATGTAAAGCTTCAGCTTTGAAATTGGGAGAACCGAATTTTTCCTCCGAATTCATCGCGGGAGGAGGCTCCATCCGGTCAACAGTGTGTGTGTGCTTGGATTTGCAGAGAGAAGCAGAGGTTTTATAGGATTGAAGGTCGACTAATGGATTCGCCTTATTTTGTGTGCTCAGTCCCTTGGATAGTGGTCCTCGGTCGGTTTTTTCGGTCTTTGATGAGTTTGGTTTAGGGGCTTGGTGCTCTGTATCAGTCGAACCATGATCTGAAGGTGCGCCGATGGTAATCATCGGAGCGTTTTCATTGATTTTTTTATCGATTTCTGATTCTGGCTGCGGCAGCCTTTCATTGCGAGAGTTGGAGTTCATTTTCGAATATAAGTGATGAGCGAGAGCGAGAAGAATCGAAAATTCGGCTTGGTTAACAGTAAATATGGGCGAAACCAGGGGCTTTAAACGGGTCGATTGTAAAGATAGAAATAATGAGTTGTGACTTGCCACGCTTGCTGGCTGTGCTAGCTTGCAGTAGTTCGGGCTCTTGTGTTTCGTATTTTATGCCCTAGCATGGATTGAAGCCTGATAGTTACGAGACTACTCCGTATGAGAGATTAGTCGGCAGGACTAGAACATTGGGGCCAAAATTACCACCCTATCGCATCGTCGGAACTGCTCGGGCCATCACTTGGACCTACGCACAGATGTAATATGAGGAGCATCCGCTTGGGTGCTCTCACTTGCAGGGATTGATTTGAGAAATCACCTCCGTAGTCCGAGGCTAGCAGTCGCTAAAGGGGACCATCAGCCCCATGGCTGAATGCTTAGTGTTCATTAGGAAGGCGAGTTGAGCTCGCTTTCAATTGGTGGCCTGGTAAATTATATTTTAATCCGAACGGTTGCTCTGGTTTAAACTCGGTGCTGCGTTGATTACAAAATGGGGAGTTTTAGAGCGCACCCCATCCCCCGGGGCTGATTTTCGGGCCTTACACCTTGAATAGCTAACCAACAACCTAAGGACTAGCCTTCTCGAATGATATACATAGTTTTAGTAGGAATATTTCTAGGAGTATATAGTATGAAATGTAATACTGATAAGTTGGTCAGACAGCAGGCTCCATTAGGGCGCAAATCAATTGGAGCAAGTTTACCGGAATAAATTGTCACATCGATGATGCCGGTGCTTTTTGATGGGACAATTGGGGCAATTTAGAGAAGGGAATGGCATGTGAACGGGGCTAGCGTAGTGTATTTTATTAAAGTCGCATCTTTAGGCTGCTCACCCTACAGACGCTCAGGTTCTGCTCAGGGCGCTCAGATAAGGATTAGGTGATGGTTAGAGACCAGATCAGATCGCTTGTATAATGATCACTGATCAGGTCAAACCGATCGGTGTCATGCTCAGTTCTAATTAGTGAGCAAAGGGCGCCGACGGCTGAGCACTTAAACGAAATGGGAACGCGAAGCAAGTGGCAGAGGAAATCCGGTACGTAGGCGCAGATATGTTTACAAGGGCATAGATCAGGTTATTTTTCATTAGCACATTATTAGAATTTTGGCGAGCTTTACTATATCTGTCAGTATGGCCGAGTGGTTAAGGCGCTAGACTTGAATTATGCAATTTGATATCTAGTTCTTTCGAGATCCTAGGTTCGAACCCTAGTGCTGACGAACTATCCTTTTTTTTTCTTCCCTTCTTTCCCTTTTAGTTCTTCCTCTTTTAGTTTCTGTTACTGGAGCGGGTTCCAACAAATAAAAAGACAATCCAATTTTTCAAGTACAGCACTACATAGATCGTGGATCAGTGTTCTCGTAAAAGGGCTCCTCGTTCCATGCCAAGAACTCCCAATCCGAGAGCAGCCAGTTCACACACTTGTCCCAATTGCCAAAGTTGATGTCCTACATGGATAAGCCGTTGTTGATGGCGGCGAGGAATGCGCATGTCGGGGTTTTGAGAATGTTACTAGCTATTGATGGGGTGGATGTGGATGATGTGGATCTCACTGATTCGATGCTCAATACGCCGTTTTTGCTGGCGGCCAGGAACGGGCACCGGGAGGTTATCGAAGCCTTGTTGTCAACTAGGTAGGTGAGGGTTGATGTGAGAGATAGGAATGATGATGGAATCCCTTGTGTAGCACAAGATGGAAATGTATGAAGAAAAGAGCATTGGAATGGGGCCCATATGAGTAGTACTATAGGCTGCAATATCATTGGATTCCATTAAAGGGTTTGCTAGGGACCGCTTCAAGATCCTTTGTCCCGCGGACGGCTTCATGTAAACATCCGAGGAATGGACATTGTGATCCCCAAAACACGTAGGGGGATTTACCGGGCGAGATAGGTGACAGTCTACAGACCAGGATCATACAAGATACCGGAATAAAGGGCCCAGAAGGTGGAATTGGAAAATAAACACATTGAATCGTGCTGGAGTGGGAATAGAGACAATAAAAGAGAGAGAAATTCCACTCAGCCCCTTTTCTTCGCTCGCGTCAACCGAATATCAAACTCCGCCGGCCGACTCGCACGGTCCCGAACACGTGCAAGAGATAGGTGCCGGTCCCAACCAAGCCACGCTGCGGTAAAAACAAACAAGCGATTTGCATGACCACGTCCAGGAAGAAATGCGAACGCCCCCTTACCAATCGGCATGCGGTCCGTCGCGAGAACCCCCCCTCCTCTTCGGCTGCTTCTCTAGGACTCGGCCTCAGCCTCGGCCGACTTGGCCTCCTCCTGCTTCTCCTCAGCCGGTGCAGCGGCGGCGTCATCCTCGGTCTTATCCTCCTTAGAGGCACCCTCGCCCTCGTTACCGTCCGCAGAGGTCCAAAGGGTCAGGTTGTCCCGCAGGAGCTGCATGATCAAGGTGCTGTCGCGGTAGCTCTCCTCGGAGAGGGAGTCGAGCTCTGCAATTGCGTCATCGAAGGCCTGCTTGGCGAGGTGGCATGCGCGGTCGGGTGAGTTAAGGATCTCGTAGTAGAAGACGGAGAAGTTCAAGGCGAGACCAAGGCGGATGGGGTGGGTGGGGGTAAGATCAGTCTGGGCGACATCGGTGGCGTTCTGTTGATGCAGATCAGTGATTGTCACGGCCGCAAAGGGGCGGGTAGTTCTCAAATACCTTGTAGGCCTCGTGGGCAGCAGTAGCAGCAACCTTGCGCTTGTTGCCAGAAGCGAACTCAGCGAGGTAGCGGTGGTAGTCTCCCTTCCTGTTGTCGGGGATCAGTCACGTCACGTAGCAAGGCCAGGGCGGATGCGTGTCGAAGTGCGAAACCTACATCTTGTAGTAGAAGACCTTGGACTCGCCGGTCTCGGCCTTGGGAATCAGGGACTCGTCAAGGACGTCGAGAACATCTTGGCAGACCTTCTCGAGCTCGGTCTCAATCTTCTGGCGGTAGTCGCGGATGATACCGACGTGCTCATCAGAGCCCTTGGACTCCTCCTTCTGCTCGATGGAGGAGATGATACGCCACGAGGCACGGCGGGTACCGACAACGTTCTTGTACGCAACGGAAAGCAGATTACGCTCATCAACGGTGAGCTCGCCACCGATCTAAAAGAAAACGTGAGTTAAGAATGCGATGCGGGGAGGAGACCAAGAGGTGTTCGTACGTTGGCGACTTCCTATTCGACAGTTAGCACGGGTGTCCCGATGATAAACAACACGAGACATTACTGACCTTCATGTATGTGACCATTTCTAGCAAGCGAAAACACACACGTCAGCACTCAAGAATCCCATGACAAGCTGCCCAAGTCAATCTTACCATCGTAGCGCTCGGCCTGCTCGCACAGCCTCGCGAGGAACGTCTTGCTGGTGAGGGGTCAGTAATGGCACTGCGGATGTCGACTCTGGGGGAGCGATTTGATCCTTACTTCTCACGCTGTATTGCGAAAACATGGGTCAGTGCCATTCCAAATCAGAACATCAGACGGGGGGGATGTCAGGGCAGCAGAGCCAGAAGTGGGATTGCGACGGCGGTGACGGCCAAGCCAGGGCCCGATGGAGGGGCAGGAAGTCGAACGTACCTCAGAACCCATGATGGATGTGAATCTCAAAGGTGGAAAAAGGTGAAGAGGTTAGATACTGTTGAAAGGGACGAGGGGAATCGGAAAGAGAAGATGATGGGTTGAAGGCCAAGTGGGGTGGAAAGAGAGGAGAGCGAAAGGAGTTGGGGGGAGAATCATAACATTACGCATGTTACGCCGTACACTCGGTTATACGGTACCTGAATGCCCCGTCCTCCGTGTAATATATGTATTCCCATTACACATTCACTTCCAACTTTGCTCGAGCACATGTTCTTTTGAGGCTCTGCCCGTGGCAGGGCTGCATCCCGTTCATGGGCGCATATCTACACGTGTGTTGATAACGTTTTGTTGCGTTCCTCGTTTCCTCGTGTACTGGCGACTCTCGTACCGTTGCTCTGTTCCCTCGGCCGATCAGCTGAAAGCGCGGTGGGCCCGCGTTTCTAATGGCCTCGCTCGGCGGCTACGACAGTCCTTCCGGTCCTTCAATTTGACTGGAAGGGATTTTGTAGGACGTATGGTGCGCTGGCACCATCCACGCGGTCGGATGGTTCCTTGGTGGAGAAAGGTCTCGCGGTGACGATGATGCAACTGTCTGCCCAGGTACCTTAGGGTAGAACCTTCCAGCAGCACTTGACAAAGAGACTGGCTATGATGTAGTGACCAGCCCAGTCATGAATTCCCGACTTCCGAAGAACAAGAATAATATAACACAATGCCTTGAAGCACTTCATTGACTGTAACTAGAACCCCCGGCTTATTGTAACGTACCTGACTAAATAAATAATAATTCAACAGGTACTTCACCCAACACTGGTATATTTCCGCCTCGGGTACACGCACGCTTGATATCGGTAGACCTTGTCTTAACCTTCCGTAGTCATCATGGACTAAACATGTATTTTTTAACCCTTCTAGTAGTAGATGCCCGGCCCTGGATGCTCAAGTGGTAGTCCGACCTGTCCAGGTGCCAACAAAGAGAGCATTATACCCTGACTCTGTTGGAGAGGCGATTCTCTTCAAAACTCACCGTTTTTGCCGTCTTATCACAAAGCCACACCATACATGGCTTGGATATAGTTTCCTTGCTGTCGTTCTCAGAGCTCTCTGAGTCTTGATATGCTTACTGACGCACCAAGTCACTCTGTTACCTCCGAACATGCATAACTACGTTACGTCTCCCCACATAATTTGACATATCAGCTGACTCCGGGTCACAGATTTGACGGCCATGAAGCCTCAGTCATCGAACTTAGTCGGCACTGGAGCTATGTCCCCAGGACCCAGTGAGGACGACTCAAATAGGGCCCCCGCCCGGTGATGCAAGCGTAAATGAGCTAGATTCAGCCCTACAGGCAAGGTGCAAGCAGGGTACTTATGTTCCTTGTCATCCGACAGAGATCATCCATAGAAGAGGACATTGCGTCGCGACGATCTGGGCAAAGGAGTGAGTGGAGACGGAGACTTTCCGCCAGCCACCGGCCCTCCCCCCCCAATTGTCCATGCAAGGCGCTATGTTGGCTAGCTACTCTGCCAGCACTACGAACTATTTCTTGCCGGCATCAAAGGGTCATGATCTTTGAACCAGTAAGAGGACGCGGTGAGAAGCCGCTGTAAGGAGCCCACCCAGCCCTAAGGGAACAGATCGACTACGGGCTGCAGGATTCGGTGGCCGGTTATGTCAAACAGTCGATTATACTCCATAGACAGCTTCCGATAGGCAAGAGAACGATGCAGCCTAGAGGGGTGCTCCATATTTCCTCACAGCTCTCGGCAGAGACGCCGGGAATCCCTAACGCAAGTCGCAGCACCGCGGAGGGAATATTCGATCGGACGTACAGATTTCAGATACTAGGCAGCAACGTAAGAGCTCGCAAACGAAGATATTCGAGTGGAATTAAAGGACAATTGAAGTCGCAGCTGTATATAAGAGAGCGGACAAAAGAGGACCCGCTTCAGCCTTGTGGCCCTTGCTGACTCAGCAAGCCCGATAGGGAATGAAATCAACTAAGAACACGTTGTGCCTCCGCTGGTTCCGCAGTCGCGACTTGAGGGTGACAGACTTGTTTCTTCTCTGCACGTCCGAGATCTTCTTGGCCATTACTTTTGTTCCTCTCGTTTGGCCACCGCTTGGCACCCATGTATCTCGCCTAACCCGCCTCCTTATTTCCTTTTTTCCTGCTCCAGCTCTCCTCCACATCTCCCCGGTTTTCTTGAATCGCATATCTGACCGGAGAGGGCAGCACTTCCACAATGGAAAATTCCTTCTTATACAGTCCAGCGGATGCGCTGGACCATTTCAATGTCTCGGAGCACAAGGGTCTATCCCAGGATGCGGTCCTAAAGTCTCGTCAGAAGCACGGTCCGAATGGTCAGTAAACACCTGCTTCGATGGAGAACATTGTCGCTAGATGCTAACGTGAATCTGTAGCCTTGGCCGAGGACCCCCCGACTCCCATGTGGGAGCTGATTTTGGAACAATTCAAGGATCAGCTAGTTCTCATTCTTTTGGGCTCGGCTGCCGTGTCCTTCGTGCTCGCTCTGTTTGAAGAAGGCGATGACTGGACTGCCTTTGTCGACCCGGCTGTGGTTCGTCAGCTCTTTCTCATCCGTCGTGGACTCGTACAGTGCTAACTTCTTCTGTCATCTACAGATCCTGACCATTCTTATCCTTAACGCGGTCGTCGGCGTGACGCAGGAAAGCAGTGCAGAGAAGGCGATTGCGGCTCTTCAGGAATATTCGGCTAACGAGGCAAAGGTTGTTCGCGATGGAAAGCCCCAGCGTGTCAAGGCGGAGGATCTGGTTCCCGGCGACGTGATCCATATTGCTGTCGGTGATCGTGTCCCGGCTGACTGCCGTCTGCTCTCGATCCAGAGCAACAGCTTCCGTGTTGACCAAGCTATCCTGACCGGCGAGAGTGAGAGTGTCGGGAAAGACACCAAGGTTATCAAGGATCGCCAGGCCGTCAAGCAGGAGCAAATTAACATGCTCTTTTCGGGAACTACTGTGGTCAATGGCCATGCCACTGCCTTGGTTGTGTTGACGGGCGGTTCGACTGCCATTGGTGACATTCACGAGAGCATCACGTCGCAGATTTCCGAGCCCACCCCGTTGAAGCAGAAGCTGAACGACTTTGGTGATATGCTCGCGAAGGTTATTACCGTTATCTGCGTCTTAGTTTGGCTTATCAACATCGAGCACTTCAACGATCCCTCCTTCGGAGGCTGGACGAAGGGTGCCATTTACTACCTGAAGATTGCCGTGTCTCTCGGTGTCGCAGCTATCCCTGAGGGTCTTGCCGTGGTCATCACCACCTGCTTGGCTCTTGGAACCCGCAAGATGGCCCAGAAGAATGCCGTTGTCCGCTCCCTTCCTTCGGTGGAGACCCTGGGTAGCTGCAGCGTTATTTGCTCTGACAAGACCGGAACCCTGACGACCAACCAGATGAGCGTGGAGAAGATTGTTTACCTGAACAGCTCCGGCAAGGGTCTGGAGGAGATTGATGTTGAAGGTACTACCTTCGCTCCCAATGGCCAACTCTCCCGCAATGGCAAGCCCGTCGAGAACGTGGCTGTTTCTTCGTCCACTGTCGCCCAACTGGCTGAAGTCACCGCGATCTGTAACGCCGCGACTCTCTCGCATGATGCCAAGACCGGTGTCTTCTCTAACGTTGGTGAACCGACCGAGGCCGCTCTGCGTGCCTTGACCGAGAAGATCGGTACTCCCGACGCCGCCGCGAACCAGAAGATCTTCAGCCTGCCCGCCTCCGAGAGGCTGCACGCCGCTAGTGCTCACTACGAATCCCGTCTTCCTCTTCAGGCTATCTACGAGTTCTCGCGTGACCGCAAGAGCATGTCCGTTCTTGCTGGCAAGGGCAAGGAACAGAAGCTGCTCGTCAAGGGTGCCCCCGAAACCATTCTGGAGCGCTGCTCTCACGTCTTGCAGGGTGCCGATGGCTCGCGCGTGGCTCTCACCAAGAGCCACTCCGAGCTGCTCTCCGAGGAGGTTGTCGAATATGGTAACCGTGGATTGCGCGTTATGGCTATTGCCAGCGTCAATGGTGTATCTGGAAACCCGCTGTTGAAAGATGCCCAAAGCTCCGAGGACTACGCCAAGCTTGAGCAGAACATGACCCTCATTGGCCTTGTTGGTATGCTGGACCCCCCTCGCCCCGAGGTCGCCGACTCTATCAAGAGGTGCCACGAGGCTGGTATCCGCGTCATTGTTATTACTGGTGATAATCCCAACACCGCCGAGTCCATCTGTCGCCAGATCGGCGTTTTCGGTGCCAACGAGGATCTTACTGGAAAGAGCTTCACCGGACGCCAATTTGACAGCCTTAGCGAAACCGAGAAGTTGAAGGCCGTCCAGACCGCATCCCTGTTCTCCCGTACCGAGCCCAGCCACAAGACTAAGCTGGTTGACCTGCTCCAGTCCCTGAACCACGTCGTTGCCATGACCGGTGACGGTGTCAACGATGCCCCTGCGCTCAAAAAGTCCGACATTGGTGTTGCAATGGGTACCGGTACTGACGTGGCCAAGCTCGCAGCCGACATGGTTCTTGCGGATGACAACTTTGCTACCATCACCGTCGCCGTTGAGGAAGGTCGCTCCATCTACAGCAACACCCAGCAGTTCATCCGTTACCTGATCTCGTCCAACATTGGTGAAGTCGTTTCTATCTTCATTACCGCTGCCCTGGGAATGCCCGAGGCTCTTATTCCCGTTCAGCTGCTGTGGGTCAACCTGGTTACCGACGGTCTGCCCGCCACTGCCCTGTCCTTCAACCCTCCGGATCACGATGTCATGCGCCGTGCTCCCCGCCGCCGCGATGAGGCTCTTGTTGGTGGTTGGTTGTTCTTCCGCTACATGGTCATCGGTATCTACGTCGGTGCTGCCACCGTCTTCGGCTACGTATGGTGGTTCTTGTATAACCCCGAGGGTCCTCAGATCACCTTCTGGCAATTGGTAAGTATTGTTCTGTCTATTATTCAGTCTCAAAAAAGCTAACCATGACTATCTAGTCTCACTTCCACCACTGCTCAGCACAGTTCCCTGAGATCGGTTGCGAGATGTTCTCCAATGACATGTCCAAGTCCGCCTCGACCGTGTCTCTTTCCATCCTCGTGGTGATCGAGATGCTCAACGCTATGAACGCCTTGTCGTCGAGCGAGTCTCTCCTGACTTTCTTCCTCCACAACAACCCTATGCTGATCTACGCCATCACCCTGTCGATGGCTCTCCACTTCGCCATTCTCTACATCCCCTTCCTTCAGGGCCTGTTCGCGATTATACCCCTGGACTGGATCGAATGGCAGGCCGTGTTGGCTATCAGTGCTCCTGTGATGTAAGTTCCCGTTATTTCCATGCTACCACTCTCGAGCCAGTGCTGACCAGTCAAATAGTTTGATCGACGAAATTCTCAAGTTCTTCGAGCGCCAGCTATACACCACCCACGTGGCTGTTTCCCCGATTGCCCAGAACGGTGCCGCGGGCAAGCCCAAACGTGCCTAAAGAATGACGAGATTACCCAACGATATAACTACAGGATAAGAGGGAAGATTTCATTTTGAATAGATTAGATGTCCATGTTCATGTCCATGTTCTTGTTGTTGTTCCTGCAGGAGTCATATCCCTTCTCTCGTATTTGAAAGGTGTTCATTATATCACGGTGATAGATGAAGACTACGAATGAACTATTGCTCGCATGCTCAGCCTAATATATTCCCTGTAGAGTGAAGCTTAAACTCTCCCCGCCGGGACTCGATATCCCGAGAATCCGCCTCTTAGCACTTGCCAAGCACTGTATAGCCTGAATTGCAACAGGCCGAGGCCTCTGACTTCAATTCCATCCCGTGTCTTGTCCCACCCCGCGCTATCGCGAAAGGGAGTTACGCGGGCCTTGGCAGAGCGGGCGTAGCACCTGGTTGGTTCTTTGAATCCCGTGTGATGCATTTCCAACCTGGGGTATCGCAGTCCGTCCTTCTACCCCGGATATGTGGGGTCGTGGAGTAGGCTGGGGAGTGACCTTCTGCTGCGACCCTATTTCATGTTATCTTCAAATAGCCCTACATTCCTTTTGTTTTGTTTTTTCCTTTTGCTCCCCGCTTGTTTCCTCAAACTCCGCGTTACAGGGCTACCCGTTATATACTTCCCGGACCCAAGATGGGGTTCACGGAGTTCGTCAAACGACGCTCCGGTCTTCGCGTCGATAATCGCAAGACCACCTCCGCTGCCACCCTCACTCTGCGCCAGAGTCTATGGCCGTTGGGCCTGGTAACTATCTTATTCTTCCTATGGGTATGCACTCCCTCCGTCCACAAACCGCAGAAGAAGAAGAAGAAGAAGAAGAAGAAGAAGAAGAAGAAGAAGAAGAAGAAGAAGAAGAAGAAGAAGAAGAAGAAGAAGAAGAAGCTAAACCGTAGATTAGGGCTTCGCGTACGGCTTACTGGATACCCTCAACAAACACTTCCAGAACACGTTACACATCGATCGAACCCGTTCCGCTGGCCTCCAGGCTGCGTATTTCGGGTGCGTCTCTGTTATCCCTAGAATTCACCCACATACAAAGAATGTGGAACACTAAACCCATTCACAGCGCATACCCTCTCGCCTCCCTCGGCTACGCCAATTGGATCCTGCGCCACTTTGGCTACAAAACTGTCTTCATCTTCGGATTGACTCTGTACGGCATCGGTGCGCTATGTATGTGGCCCGCCGGCTTGAATCGATCCTTCGGTGGTTTCTGTGGCGCTACTTTCGTTATCGGATCTGGACTGGGGTCCCTTGAGACGGCTGCGAATCCTTACTTGACCGGTATGTTCTCTTTCATCCTATCACCGTCTAGATATAGAATGTACTGATGCAAGAAAGTCTGCGGTCCACCCCGGTACTCGGAAATCCGTATCAACTTCGCCCAAGCCTTCAATGCAATCGGAACGGTCGTCGGTCCCGTGCTGGGCTCTTATGCCTTCTTTACCGAGACGGCGGATGATGTTGCCGCTCTTCAGCGCGTGCAGTGGGTGTATCTAGCCATCGGCATCTTCGTCTTCTGTCTTGCGATTGTTTTCTTCTTTTCTAATATCCCCGAAGTCACGGATGAGGATATGGCGTTCCAGGTATCTACTACCCACGTTGATGAGCAGGATAAGCCATTTTGGCAGCAGTGGAAGCTTTTCCATGCTACGCTGGCTCAGTTTACGTATACTGGTGCTCAAGGTATGTTCATCCCCGTCTTATATTCGCTCGGTCTTGGTGCTAAGGAGGATAGTTGCCATCGCGGGTTACTTTATCAACTACGCTGTCGATACCTGGCCCGGTACTGATAGTGCCAAAGGCGCGAAACTCCTGGCTGGTGCCCAGGGTGCTTTTGCTGTTGGTCGTTTCCTGGGCTCTGGGTTGATGAAATATACCAAGGCTCGTTATGTCTTTATCGTATATCTATCTTGCTGTGTGGCATTCCTGGCTGCGGCGGTTACACAGAGAGAGCAGACTGGTATCGGTAAGTCTTTTGTCCAAATACTGGTCTCTCGGGCAAATCTGTCACTCGTGGTTCTAACACATGTTTTTAGCGATGCTTTTCATGGTTCTATTCTTTGAATCCGTCTGTTTCCCTACTATCGTCGCGCTAGGTATTCGTGGCTTGGGTCGCCATTATAAGCGTGGCTCGGGATTCATTGTTGGAGGTGTATGCGGCGGTGCAGTCGTGCCACCTATTCTGGGCCATGTCGCGGATATGCGCAATGATACGGGCTTTGCAATGATTGTTCCTACCATGGTATGATTTTTTGTTTTTTTTTTTCACATTCTTCAATGTCGATTGCTAACGGTTCTTCAGTTCATGGTTGTTGCTTGGACATATGCCGTTGCCGTGAACTTTGCTCCCTCGTATAGGAATATGGTGGATAAGGTGGGAGAGAGCACAGTTGGGCTTCAGAATGAGAGTAATAAGGACGAGGAGGCGGTTGTTGAGACGAAGTCGGAGAAAGAGGCGGCTCCGGTTCGCTATGATTGATAATTTGTTGTGGATTGGTATTTTAATGCAGTTTTTGTTTCTTGCACATGTATGGATGCTATGAAGCTGCTGCGCTGGGACGAGATACAGTGTCATTATAGGGGCGTGTATGCCGAGAAAAGTAGTAGTCTATATAGTATTGATGCAAAAAAAACGCAAACCAGGGAATAGGTATCTGGGCTCCATGATGAAAACAGGAGAAAAGTTGCAGGAGACAAGTTGCAGGAAATCTGGAGCAGAGCGCTTCATGGAGGCAGGTGTAGTGGAACAGGAAAAGAAAGAAATAACAACGAGAGTGTGGCAAAGGCATTCAACCCATGATGATTATAATGTCTCATGAGTCGCTGCAGGGTAACATGTAGGAAACGCAGTAAAGAGAACACATGCTGTGTATGACACCGCAAACACGGGGGGTATAAAAAACAAAAACAAAACAAGTCTATCGTCAACCAATTGCAGGAATGAGATCGTGGAATGAACGCGGAAGCGCCCGCGTTCAATGCAAAAACAACTGTTATTTTGTGGGAGTGGCCGTCTCGGTGGCCTCATCACCAGTATGTTCGGTAGAAGTGACATCCGCTGGCGCAGATTCCGTGGATTCAGTCACTGCAGCAATTGTTGCAGTTGCCCTTGTCGCAGGGGAGCGCAGCGAGGACGAACGCGGAGGACGTATGGGGCTTGCCTCGAGTTCTGGAGAAGGGTCGAGCGAGGAACTCTTGGTGTCTTCGTTAGGCTGGGCAGAGCCAGAGACCTCAGGACCATCAAACTCATCGACCTCCTCGATTTCCTCCTCTCGGTCCTCGGCATCTTCCTCTTCTTCGATGATCTGGCTCTTCCGCGCTACAGGGCGGCCCGCGGAGATACTACTTTCCCCGTCAGGTTGACCAGGAACAGGAGAGTGTACCATTCCTGCAGGTGATACCAAGTTCGACGTGTGAATCATTGGTCCCTTAAACGTAGATCGTTTCCGTCGCGCAAACACCAGGCTCGAAGAAGGCGAGTAGAGTAACTGCGCAGGCACCGCTTCATTGAAGGCTGATGGCCCAGGATTCTCCTGTATTCCTCTGTGTCCTCCACTGGGACCACGCACCAGTCGAATGTTGCTTGGGAAGTGAGCAGAAGTGCCTGGGGTTGTAGGCAGGACCTTGATTGATGAGTGGGGGGATTTGGAGATCCGCGCCGTTGGGGTCGCCACGGTGTCGATACTGTTGGATGAGATTGATGATGCCTTGGAGTGAGCACGCGTGTGATGAATACTACGTATTGACGAGACAGACGAGGATGTTGACTTGCGGCCGCGCAAGCCAACAGAGGAGCGTCTGTAAGACCCGCGGGGAGTGATGGGCGATGGGGAAAGCGAGTTTCGATTGCCACCGTGGCTGCTGTTTAACGTTCGAGGCTGGCGAGGGTATGAGTGCCGGTTTTGTCGATAAGAGGCACTGCTGGGCGCTAGGCTGCTGGTGGCAGAGATACGCTTGACCTGGGTAGGTGTGACCACATCCTCAGATAGATTGCCTGCAGGAGATGACGAAACGGGCTTTTTCCCACTATCCTGGCTCTTCGCTGGACTGAATTTTTCCGAGAGAAACTTGCGTGAGCTGGCTGACTTGGCATTCGGAGATCGGGCTCGCTTGGCTGATTCGACAAACCAATGCTTCAAGGACGCTAGCTGGCTGATGATCGGATTGTGTCGCCGATTGGTGCGACGACGAAAGATCCCATGATGCTGTGCCAACTCTGGCTGCGATGCACTCACATGCAACATGCTCGGCCTTGATCGTCGCTTGTCTTTTGGCGGAGGAATGGGACGTCGTCGTACTGAAGCGGAAGTGTTCGAACGAATGGATTCCTTGTCAAAAGGCGGAGGGGGGCTGATCAAATCGGGCGTGCGTACAGGCAGAGGCTCGGGAAGTGCTGGGAGTTCTGGAACTGCCAGCTGTGATGGCAGGCTTCGCCTGTCGCGACGCCCACGATCTGACAGCTGAGTGGCCGGATGCACGTGGCCTTCTTCGTCCACCTCCAGCAAGGCCGATGACAGTTTCTCAAGCCGGCTGCTAGCAGCGCTTAGACGACGGATATTCTTTGCCTCGGTCTCTCGCTCTCGGCGCTTGCGCTCTCGCTTCTGTTCCTTCCGTTGCTCTTTCTCAATCAACAGTGCCCACCATCCAGCCAAGGGATCACATCGCTGGGCCAGAACGTTCTCGATGACCTCGTCGATATTGACTCCCGCACTTTTCATTCGTTGCAGTGTGGTCTTTTCCAGGGGCGTGGTGAAAGGAGACGGTTGAGGAATTTTAAGGATAGCAAGCTGCTCAGGAGCATGCTCCGAAAGGAACGGATGGGCAAGTATTTCTTCCAGGCTCGGTCGAATCAAGGGCCGCTTGGACAGAAGCAGGTTGATCAATGCTTTGGCCTCGTCTGTGAACTTGTCGTTGTAGACCGGTTCCTCCGACAAAATCCGTTTTTTGGTGACCTGGTCGTCATCATCGTCGTAGGGTAATTCGCCCGCCAGGAGCGCGTAGAGAATAATTCCCAAGCTCCAGACATCCACCTTCTCGCCGGCATATTTCTCTCCCTTCAGCATCTCCGGGGCGCTGTAGCAGATTGTGCCACAGAAAGTCTGCAGATAGCTCGCTTTCCCTTCATACTCGCGCGTGAATCCGAAATCGCAGAGCTTCACGTTCTCGTGCTTGTCCAGCAGTATGTTCTCCAACTTCAGATCCCGGTGTACACATGACTTGCTATGAACGTAGGCCACCGCTCCCACCAGCTGAGTAAATATCCGCTTCACTTTGTCGACCGGGAGCGGACCGTGGCGGAGGAGGTAGTTGTATAATTCGTCACCTAGATAGGTAACCGGCATCAGTCCAAGCGTTCACAAAATGCGCATGCCCATCAACCTACCAGGACAGAACTCAAGGGCCAGCCAAACTAAACTCTCCGTCACCACAACCTCGTAGAGCCGTGCGATATGGGGGTGGAGGAATTGGCGATGGTGGTGGATCTCGCGCGCGAGGTTGGTGTCCTCCTTGCTAGAGGACTTGAGCACCACCTATATCAACCGTTAGCCCCATCCTTCGAATTGAACCATGCATTCGTACCTTGGAGCCATTGGTGAGCTTGTGCGACGCGAGGTACACCTTGCCGAACGATCCCTTCCCGATCAACCTCCCTAGAGTGTAATTTCCGACGCTTCGAAGGTCCTTGGACGAGAATTCCCTAGAAAGATGGCGCATCAGCAACAATCCAACCGCCCATGTAGCGAGGGAAAGAAGACGTACTCGAGTAATTCATTGTAGGAGTTGGCGAGCTGTAATCAAACGCGACCACGACAGGTCTCCCAGTTAGCCACATGCCCAGCGCAACCCGGCGGCGTTCCAAGGGAGCGCAGTAAAGCTCAGCGCTCAGCGCTCAGAGCTCAGAGCTCACAGCCGGTGATCGGCACAACGCACCTTTTCCTTCTGCTTCTGGCTTTGAACCCCCGCTCTCGTCTTGGGCGGCATGTGTTATGATCGATCCCCGGGAGTGCCGTCGGCCGCGGAGATCTTTGCGCGTGTCGAGTATGGGGGAGGAGGAATGGACAGGTATGCCATTCAAAACGGAGTAGCGGAGTAGAGTCGGAAAATCGACGTGAAGGGCGAAGGAAGGCAGGAAAGGAGGAATGTGATGCACATACAAAGTTTCCCTCCCGACGTCAACGGGAACGTGGTGGACCGACAGTGTGGAGACTTCGGCTGTGCGAACGGCTGGAAATTATTATATCATAGCCCCTGAGTTGCCGTGGAAAATTGACTCCGTCACTCCGTCTCAAGTCGACTCTACAACTCTACGACTCTACGTAGGTGCTCAATTGCGATTGGCAACTCCGTAAGGAGGCGTATGCGGGCGCTCAGAGGCCCGTTCATTGGCCGCACGATGACATCGAACGGAATACCTGTTATTCCTGTCCCATCGCATTCTATTTCGAGGTCTATACCTGCCAGGGCAGTGATGCCAGGTGCTGGACAACACGTTCGCTGGTAACCATCACGGGATCGACGCGTGCAAGCCCCGCCTCATGCTGAAAGGCCAAAGACACCATACCAAAATATGAGTGGAGGAGATCTAGATTGAGTCAGCACTTCGCCATCGCCACACTGACGGTGGTCTTACCGGGAGGATCCCCGACTGCCTTTCCAAAGCCACCGATGAGGTGCTGCGTCTTCTCCAAGAGATATCGGCGATTTCGATCGCCGTCAATCACCGAATATCGATCCAGCATCTACGTGGGTGAGCGGGATACTTGTGTACTTTCCACGAAATACTTACGAGCAGTGTTGCCCCGTTCCAAAACGAGTAGCAAGTGTCCGCCACCTTGTTGCACCGGCCATTGAACCCAGCACACGGGATTGTGTCGCCTCCAATCTCCCTTAGACCGGGCAGTGCGTGTACCCGTTCGTCGAGTGAGCCGGTCCCTGCATTCATTTCTTGTTCAACAGTAGCCTCAGCCTCAGCCTCGTCCTCGTCCTCTTCGTCCTCTTCGCCGAGGTCGTCTGTCTGTCGTGATGCCAACCAATTCACCAAGCCCTCGAACTTCGCCGACCCGGGCAACAGAAGACCCGCCTGCTGTCTGTCAACTGTTCCCCGACGCAGAAATTCTAGAGATCCAACTGCACAATATGTGTGTCCGCCTGGATCACTTCGTTAGGAAAATGAATCGTAGAAGGGAGGAACCGGAGGATACGGACTATGTGACTCGCGGAAGGGAGACTCAGCCATCCCCCCGTCGTATGTCTGGTTCGAGAGAGCGTTAGCGAAAGCGGTTTATATTCAGAAAAGGAGTATCATACCTGACACTTCTCAATAAACGATATTAATCCGGTCACGTTGATGTCTTCCACATCCTCAGCGCCCTTCCCACTTTTGCCTCGTAGAATGTATCGCGTGCCAGCGGCGCAACAGCAATACCTCAAGTCACGATTTCCCTCGACTCTCCCATTGGGGCCGAGGACTTCTCCAAAGCTCCCGTCGTCTCGCTGCAATTTGGGCAGCCATTGGAGACACTCCCTCCGCTTGACCCGCGACAGGTCGTCTCCCAGAATGAGTAGATTGACCAGCGCAAAGAAGGTCGCTGGCACATTCGCCGGATCCCAAGCTTCATTATCTGTTGTCCGCTTCTCCGCGCCGAAATCCGTGCCTGAGAAGCCGCGGAATCCACCCGTCGGCACCTGGCAGTGGTAGAGCCAATCGATGTACCCTTGTCGCTCCTCCGGCGTGGTCTTGCTTTGTAGAGTACCGAGAACGTCTAATCCAGAGAGGGTGAGATAGGCGAGGAGCATGCGATTGGAGTCATTGGAGATATAGGCCGTCGGGAGGAAGGTCTTGAGGCATCGGAGATAATATTTGACATGTCGCTCCGTGTTGAAGCTGGGCTCGATTGGCTCCGCCATGGTGTCGAGGACAGAGCTGCGATCTGAGCAGCGTTATAGTGCGACTCTCGCAGTTAGATCGTCCAAATTGCGTCGGTGGTGAACACAGATGTGGTGGGGGGTTCTCGACCGGAGAACTGCTTTCCCCACATGCTTCTTCACAACACTCGGGCCAGCCCTTTCCTCCCAAAGCCACTTTTCGTCTTCACCACCACCGAACCCTCAACCGCCAAAATGGTTATGATCTCGTCCAAAACCTTCATCCAGGTGCACGCGGTGCTCCTGGTTGTGATCGCCGGCTATCTGATCAAAAGTCCGGAGCTCATTACCGATTCCGACATGGTGTTCATGATGGGAGAAGCCTTGAAAATCGTATGAATCCCATCCGGTCTTATCCGCATCAATTGACTCTTCTAACTAACGGTAATACAGGACTTCCCTACCGCGACAAACCCGCTCCAGTCTCCCTTTGTCTACTGCGCCATTCTGCTATTCGGTGAAGCTCTCGTTGATCTCGTCCTCTTGTCCACCATCCCCTTCCACGAAGCTTTGGACGAAGCTCTGCCCTATATCCGACCTCTCCGAAACGGTAATCTCCCAGCAGAGGACCTCCAGATTCTCGCCAAGCTGCCCGAGTACATCACGAAGTCTCTGACAATTTACTGGAATGTCTGGACTGCCATTGCCGGGTTCCGATTCGCCGCCTACGGCGCTCTCTCGCTCTACATCTACCAAAGCCAGGGCGCATACTATACCGCTGCAGCTGCAGTTACTGGCCTGAACCGACTGAAGCACCGCGTGGTCTTCATGTATGCGTTCATGGAGATGATGACTTGGTTCTGGGTTAGTACAATTCGTATCATGCCAACATAACTGCACTAACACCTAGCTACAGGCATTCTCGACCCTTCGTCAGGAGCGACAGGAGAGATTGACCAAGCTGCTGGAGGATGCTCGTGAAGGTTAAGCTCTTTCTACGACAAATGCCGGCTTGCGCCTCAATGTGTTACATTAGAATAAATATGCTCGTTTCATCTGCTAAAAACCGTCATCGCTATGACACACATAGCATTTCATCATCAGCGCACGCTCTGCATTCTCAAAAGGACTCTTTCCACCAGAATTTCTTTATTGTCAATGTGCTGACATGTTGTGATATCACTACCATTGAAAACCAGGATCCTCGGGAATGACCAGCTTTAAACGAGGATTGCGAAAGCTGCAGCGGCTCCTGCAGCAGCCAGCAGAGAAGAGTCCTTGCTCTGGCCGAGAATCGCAGCGCCAGTAGTCGCAGCGGCAGACGAAGCAGCAGACGAAGCAGCAGACGAAGCAGCGGACGAAGCCGCCGAGGAGGCCGAGCCAGTAGTCGAGTCGGTGGTCGATCCGGTGGTCGAGCCGGTGGTGGAAGCAGTGGTTTCGGTCGAAACCCCGGTCTTGGTGGTGGTGACGGATCCGCTGAGAGTAGTGTCGGATGCGGTCTTGTCGGACGCCGTAGAGGTGGAACCAGTAGCGGCGCTGGAGCTCGAGCAAACGACGGCGCTGGGCAGATCAGTCACACCGCCACTGGCACAGATTTTCTTGGCCGCCGCGAGGGTTGCTGCAGTACGGAGAGAATCGAGGTCAGCAAATGGACAAGCTGGTGGTGGTTGGGAAACGTACCCTCCTGCTCCTGCTTGGTGCACTTGTCGGCCACACAGCAAGCAATGTTGCTCAGGAAGGTACTGCTCTTGCAGATACAAGCCACATCAATGCCACAGCTCGCAGGAATTGAGCTGGTTGCGCAAGATTTCTACATGGTCCAATTCGTCAGTAGGCTGTTTCCCAAGGGTTGGGGTTCAAGCAACAACTAACCGCGCAGTCGGGCAAATCGCCCAGGCCTTGAGCAGCGGCCGTAGACAGCAGAGCGGCCAGAGCCAGGGTAATCTGAGTGAGCTTCATGGTGATTGATGGTTCGGATAATTGAGGTTGTGTGAAGATTGGAAAGGTAAGGTCCAGCTGCTCCCCGCTTTTTGAAGAAGCTCCTCAGCTGGGCAATGGGGTCCTTGGGGCCTTTGGCAGTCAGGGGCTTACAGATCCAATGATTGCCTGTGTATACCCCGGCATCTGTGCTACTAGGCGTCATGCAACCATGGCCGTATTTTACTGTGGCGTGTTTCTGTATTCGTATTGCCGGATAAGGTTGGCCGGTCGCGCCGTGGCAATTGCGTATGGTTTCGGACACTCCCATGAAGTTTGGCAACTGTAAATAGATCGGTCATATATCACTGCAATCGCTTTTGTAGCCTTCACGGATGATCTTCTGGCGACTGAGATTACTCTGCAGTCCAGTAGGTCCGCGGGGACAAAGAATGGGAGCTCAACACTTGCCCCTGTTGGTAAATTTGGTACCTTGTGGTGGGTTGAGATTGTTTCCGCCAATTATGGATTGGATTCTCATGAATCATCGAAATAGGTTTTCTAATTGCACGTCCAACGAGGCTATCGGCACCGGATAATACAGCTCGGTACAGGGGCGTACACGGGATGAACAGGACTAAGGTTGCACTAGAACGTCTCGGAGTCCACCCAAGTGGAGCCAGCGCTCTTTCCCCAGCTCTTGCACTTCGTTCATGAGGGTGAAACGGGTTCAGCGTCCGGTTGAACATCCTCACGTACGACAAGATACAGACATATAGCTCATTGTAGATATCGCAGATTGCATGGTAGAAGCACCACTAGGTAATAATTTCGTGCACACAGCGTCAAGATTGGCAAAACACTCAAAATTTGATCCCTCGGCCACGCCAATCACTGGTCGGCTCTAGCACCCCAACCAGGGAAGAACAAAAGATACCGAGTACTGTACAGCACGATCTGCATGCAGCCCCATTATCACGTTCAAACACCCGAGGGCCAATCACTGATCGCGAGTGTGCACCGCATGTGCCCGAGGCGTTTGACCTTGCGCTGCAGGTGCGATACTCGGTCCATTGGAGTTCGGTCTGGGACTGATTATCTTGTGAAGCTATTCGGACCACCTTACTCCTACCTACACTGCACCTTAAATCTTAATTTTACTCCTATCTTCTGGGATGCGCACTGCTTGCTGGCGCTTTGCTGTTTCTTGAGTTGAAGTGGTGTGAGCGATGCCAGTCGACACTTGACTGAGCTCCTTCCCCCCTCTATTTTTATTTTGGCTACCTCTCCGCAATCACTCTTCAAGTGCGCCACTCCAAATCATGGGTCTGGGAGTGTTAGATACCACGACCGAGGACGTCCCTGGTGAGATCTTTGATTGCTATTGTTTAAGAGGGACACGGCTGACCGTTCGAATCCTTAGGTACCTCCAACATCTACGACCAGGGCTCAAGCGATCAGGCACCCGGCACTTCACATCTCAAGTACGACCGGAACGGTAAAGTGCCGACAATTCTAGTGCCACAACCGAGCGATGACCCCAATGACCCGCTGGTATGTCGATTCGTGATGCAAAACAACAGGTGTGGGGAAGCTAATCATCTCCATGGTACCAGAACTGGCCATTATGGAGGCGCGATCTCATTCTGGCCATTCTGTCCTTTGTGACAGTTCTCTGCACCACTCTTAGCTCGATCATGGCCGCCAACACAGTTACGATTGCAGAATATGAGAGCATCACCTTTGAAGATGCCGCGCTGCTAACCGGTTATCATCTGTGCGGCGTGGGTGTCGCTGGTATCCTCATAGTTCCCACGGCGCGTGTCTGGGGCAAGCGCCATCTTTTTCTGCTCGGGCACGTCTTGATGATCGTGAGCTGCATCTGGGCGGGTGCCAGTGGGACAAATAAGAATAGTCTCTTGTGGGCTCGGATCTTCCAGGGCGTGGCTCTGGCTCCATTCGAAGCTCTGGTCAATGCTTGTGTCGGCGATCTATACTTTGTCCATGTGAGTCCATCGCCGCATTCGAAATTTACCGTGGAAAGTTAACCCGGGTTTAAAGGAGCGAGGAAAACGGATGGCAGTGTCCAACGTCGCCCTGTTTGGTGCTGCCTTTTTGACGCCGGTCTTCGTCGGCAAAATCACCGAGTCCCTCGGCTGGCAGTGGTCCTTCTATTTTGTGGCAATCTTTCTTGCAGCCTCGTTGCCATTCATGATTATATTCGTGCCCGAGACTGCGTACCGGCGTCCCGACCATCTCAACACCGACTTCAAACACAAGCGCGACCAGGCCGAGTCCACAAACTCCGATACACAATCCGGCTACAACCCCAACGATGAGTCCAAAGCCTTCGTACCAGGTGTCGGAACGCATGGAACTTCGCAAACAGAAATTACTGCGCAACCAATCCCAGAAAAGGACTCTCTCCTCAAATCTATGAGGCTGTTCAATGGACGAAAGACAGACGAGAACTTTTTCAAGCTTCTTCTGCGCCCCTTCCCTTTGTTTTTCTTCCATCCGGGGATTATGTGGGTATGTAAAGTTGGCCTGTATTCTACTTTCAAAGCGCTAACCTTGACTCTCAGGCTTGTCTAATCCAAGGCGTCGTTATCGGCTGGGCTGTGTTCATCGGTGTCGTTCTGGCCATTGTGTTCCTCGGTCCGCCACTATGGTTTGCAGAAGACAAGACAGGATACCTATATACAGGAGCGTTTATTGGTTCCATAATCGGCCTGGTGCTTTCGGGTTTGCTCACCGAATCCATGACCAAAATGATGATCAGGCTCAATCGCGGCAAATATGAGCCAGAATTCCGCATACTGTTGGTGATTTTCCAACTTGTTTTCGCCTGCATGGGTCTCTACGGATTCGGCTGGACTGCCAATGATGTGATGAAGTATGGATGGCTGTTGCCAGACGTGTTCTTTGCATTCCTGATTATCGGCATGGTCATGGGTGCGGTTGCTGCCTCGCTTTATATCGTCGACGCCCACCGTGAAATCGCTGTTGAAGCATTTACTTGCTTACTGGTTTTCAAGAACATGTTCAGTTTCGTTTTGACCTTTTATGCCTATTCGTGGTTCGCTCATGGTGGCATCAAGCACACCATGATCGTCATCGGCAGCATTCAAGTTGGCATCTGTGCCTTGAGCATCCCCATGTGTAAGCATACCCGAGAAGAGGATCGTTTTATCGTGCCACTTTTATTAATTTTTGCTTCGCAGATGTCTTTGGGAAATGGAACCGACAGTTCGTTGCGCGTTACGATATCCTCGAAATCCTGCATCTCACCTGATGGAGGTCTCGTTCTGTTTTCAATATTCCAGCAATCCCTTTATCGGAAACTTAATCGGTAGTCATGAGGTATAGATTTATGTCCGTTTAAAGTCGAATGTACACGAATGAATTGTATTTGACAGTTCGCCACAAGATCGGGTCTCGAGCTCTCTCCATCGAGCTCATGCCTTTTCAACGGGATATTTCTCCAAGCTTTCATACCACTGCAAGGTAGACCCGATCATAAATGCCCAAGAACCCCAGAAAGTAGCGAGTGTAGCCTGATACTCCACACCGGAGTGCATGGTCGCTGGTCCCAGTGCACCGCAGAGAGTGAATCCAATGCCTCCAACGAAATTCCACGCTCCAATATGCCAGCCCAGGACATGGAATGCCGGTATGTACCACTTCTTCTGTGTCTCAAGGGTAAAGAACAGTCCACTCAAGATGAAGCCGAACCCGCCAACGATCTGCGGTACCCAGTAAATTCCATCTGTAAGGTTTTGACTCATATGGTTGCTAATTCCAGGCAAGCCCGTGAAACCCGCAATCCAGAAAACCGTCGCAGCAATGAATTGGATCAGCGATGCCAGAAATCCCAGCTCGTGCAGGTAATGGGTTCGTAGCTCCGTCAGGGAAGGCAGCCAGCGGAACGACTTTCCGTTGGGCAACGAGGTCACATAGCCATCAGCAGCATCATAGTGCGCACGAGACCCGTGTGTCCCGGCACCAACAAGATTCTTCCTGTTGGCATGATGGTGCCCGCAGTCCTCCTTGTTCGGCTTCACTTCGATGGCCGGTCCAGACCCTTCGTCCTTTCCGAGTTCTGCTTCAAGGGCCCAGCCAAAACAGCCCGTCTGGTTCGCATTGATTGCCTCGAGGAGTAGGAGGACGCTGCCGACTTCGAAAATCGTTGCTCCGATGAACCCGCTCACGCCTCCGCCCACCAGAGACTCGCCCGCAAACTGAGTCTGTGGATCCACGATCGGTAGCCACACGAAAAAAGCGTTGATGATCCAGACTATCGACCCAAGAGTGAACGACGTAGCAACCAGGTAAGATACATCCCAGTACGGCACGCAGGTAGCCATCCGGAGAATACCCTTCGCCGTCGCCTTGAGACCCGACGTGGGCGGGGGCGTGGTTCCTGGTTGAGGCACTCGGTAGTCAACTTTCAGTGCATGGCGACCTTTCCGGTTATCGCGAGATCGCCAGAGATGTTCAACGTGCTCCGGTTTCGCAGCGGGTGTCGGTTCCAATCCCTGATCCGCATGCTCCAGGGTTGGTGCGTACCGCGCCCAGGTGGGATTCAGAAAGGAAAATGGTCCTGAGACATGCTTTTGGCGTAGCTGTAGGCCAGGATGATGCTGAGCAGGCTCCTTGCCCGGTTGGAATTGCGCGTTTCGAGGCATCTTTGTGTACAGGAGGCCAAGGAGGCCAAGCTTCGTATTCGGGTTGAGATGCACGGACGGCGGGTGTGCGGGTTTTGGTAAGCGCCCATCCTGTTACGGGGCCGATTGCGTCAGTGGTTTGGATGTTAACACTGAAGATATTACGGAACATTGTTGACGGTCGCATGGTCGCCGCGAGAACTGTTCTGCCCTCGGAGTACAGGGTAGGTTAATGATATTTGAAAAAACCCGGTCTCGTGAAATCCTCACCAAACCACCATTCCCCGTCTGGTTATGGGTCAAACCCGCTTGACTCGGCGCCAACAGGATCCTCGCAAAGGACATCCCCTTCAACGTTCTCCATGACACTAAACCCGCGATTGATAGTCTCGTCGACATAGGCGCTTGTATACTTCAAGGCCCGGAAGAGATGTTTTAAAGCGGACAAATTTCAAGGCGTCTGCTTCGGCGAGGAGTTTTGAATCACTCACTTTGACTACTGTCCTGTCATCCACACGAAATAATTGAGTTGTGATATCCGGCACGAGACGTCTTGTCTCATCCCTTTCATATGGAGATGTCTGTGACCCAAAATGGCATGAAAGAGAAGCTAGGAAGAGGAAAGGATTGCGTAAAGCAGCTCCTTGTTGGCGCTGCAGCCCCTTCCCCGGCTGAGACACGTGATAAACGTGTCTCAGATTATGCATAGATCGTGATTCCTGGGAGCTTTTATATTTTCGATCCTGCAGGCATGGCAGCTGTGCATTTTCACTCAATATGCTCAAAACTCGGAAGTTGGGCCTTTTGGGATCAGGATAAACCTCTTTAAGAATCGCCTCGGCTGAAAATTGGAGTGCCGATCATGATAGGGTTTGTTGATTAGGCTGCAGATGAACCGGGTGCATGAGGTGGAGTGGCTCGCATGGAGGTTTCTTCCAGGCATGGACATATCTGACATCACATTTTTGTACACAGTAGTGTGCCGATCTGCATCGTGGAGAGGTAGATTCTCTCCGGGGCTCGAGTGTCTTGAGTGCCTTCAATACGAGCTATTATGTATGTATGTTTCCTTGTCTCTTTATATCGCTCAATTCCCTAGATATTTCTCATGATGATCATCGCCATGGCACATCTCATTATGAAGTAGATCCGCAGGGCTGGTGGACCATAGAATAGCCGTGGTGGGGTTTCCCGAGGCGGAACAAATGTCCGATCGTCGCTCGATCATGAAAGGGCCTTGGAGGGACCATGACGGTCCTAGAGTGTCTAACAAACTATGCTATCAGGATCAGCGAGAAGCCTGGTCCGTACGTGATGGTTAGATGGTTATTGCATAGGATACGCAAGGTGGGAAATGATCGCAAACGACGAGTCCCAGTACCGAGGATACCTCGGTAAAAGCCGAAAGTCATGACAACTCTACCCATCGCCGTAGAACGTATTCTAGCTATAGAACGTGCTAGGGAAATTGGGTATCAGTTCCCACTGGTCTCCCGGGTGTAACCTTCGTGGTGGAGGAAAAGTCCCCACGTCACCGATCAGGAGAGCGGGCTTGTCGAATGCGGACATGGGGCAGTAGCTCCCGGCAAGGGCAGCGACTCTCATTGATTCATCGCTCGATTTAACTCGGACGCGATGATGCAATGGGCCTCGGGTCCACATCCACTTTTTACCCACTTTTTGAGCTTTGGCCGATCATCGATCTTCTGTTGCAGCCGACGACGTCACGGCGATCGAAGAAGCTTCCGGCCTTCCATCCCATCCACTCTCTTTTGTCAAGTTCTGCCCCCGACCTTCCTCGAACTTCCTGATCTTCACGAAGGAATGCAGACTTTTCTTCTCGCGCAGTTTTTCCACCATGGCTACTGCTGAGATGCCTTCGGGGCCCAGATCTGCTCGTCTTGCTGACGACGGTAAGGAAATGATCGCTGATCCACTCTGCGAACCACACTATGCGAGCGCATTGATCGCTGACTTTTTCTTGTGCCTGAAACAGCTGCCACTGCTGCACTATATGCCGTGCATCCCAGACGCAAGGCGCCCATCCGCGATAAGCCTGCGGCCGATTCCCATATCTCTAGTGAGTGCGCTCCCTCGTGGGGCTAGAATACCTCCCCCAGACTAACGCGCTATGCTTCTCGTGCCAGATCAACGAGCGGCCGTAGGTATCCCGAATCTCAGTCACGCCTCGGCTGCATCCGCTCTCGCCCATGCCAACCACAAGCCCGTCGAAATATGGCGCCCCGCCGGACGATACACCGAAGCCGAAAAGGCCGCCCTGTACGTGAAGGACTTCACTCCGCCCGAGTTCCCTCTGCCTAGCACTGGGTACAGTGCGGAAGGACTAGGAGCTGCGGTTCTAGCCGTGCGCGAGCAGAGATCGCCACAAACCATCCAGAAGCACGAGATTGAGGCCCAACAAAATCGTGCGCAGGAGAAAGCGAGACAAGAGAAGGCACTCAAGGCGGCTACCGGGGCTTACGCGACACGCAAGAGAGCCGATTCAGCCCCAAGTGAGCCGGTGATTAGGTCCGAGCCTCGCTATGCTCGCACTGCGGCTGAAGCATCCCGGCATGCCCCAGCCGAGGAAGAGGGACCTCTCGATCATTTGGACAGTGCGATGGAAGCCAGCCGAATTACACATGCCGCCAACCAGAATGCCCGGCTTTATACCGCTTCTCCTATTGTTCCCAGCGAAGTCGAGGAGCGCAACCGGCGAAACTCACTGCGGGCCGCGGCGATCTCAATGGCAAAGGACATGTACGAAGTCCCCGAATCCAAGGGAGACACGGAGGTCGATCCTGCGATTTATGCAGCTCAGAGAGGTCATGGTCAGGCCCAGGCTCAGTCTCGGAAGGCCGTGAACGGAGCACCCGGCACTGCCGTCCGAAATGCATTGACTCTGCAAGAGGCCGCGCAGAAGCGCGCCTCTGCGAAACTGGATCGCCTGCGAAATGAGCACGCGGAGATGCAAGCCTACTACGGGACTACACCCCAGCCACAGCGATCGCGCTTGGCCAGTCGCCGAAAGAGAGCATCCAGTGATGCAGATACGACACCGACAGATGCCGAGCGCTCAAGACACATCCGCTATCAGATGTCTAGTCTGCGAACGAAGCTCGACCGGGTAGACGAGAAAAGACAACATGACCGCGATCTGCTCATGAGAGCAGCACAGCGCAATGTCGACCAGAAAATGCAGGATATGGACAAGAAGATGTGGACCGATATTGGCCGAGCGCCTCCGTCCATCCAAAAGCAGTGGGATGAGGCAGCTGAGGCCCGCGTTCGAAAAGAAGCTGAAGCTGTGGAAGCGAGCGGTGCTACTAAGAATGTGGAGCGTGTTAATATTGGCGGGCGACAGTTTATGGACATGGCTGATATCGAAGCCGTCGCTCGTTCCCGCGTCCAGCCAACACTTGATGAAATCTCGGACCAAGCTGAAAGGCAACGAGCACAAGAGCTGGAAGAACGTCTGGATGCAGAGGAGAAGGATAGACGGGCTACCATTGAAAAAGAGCGCGAGGAGGATATGAGGACCGCAACGCAAGAAAAGAAGGGTGCGAAGCCTGCAACAAAAGAAAAGAAAGGTCAGTATTCTATGAATTTTCTTTCCAGGGATATGGGTTAACAGAAGAGATAGACTCCAGCAAGCGAGAATCGATGGGAATGAATCTCTTCCAGCTGTTCAGGCGCAAGAGCAAGCGAGTATCTGACGAAAAGCCGGAGAAGGAGACAGAAACAACTGGAGAAGATGCCGAAGCGCGAGTAACACAAGGAGCCGCCACTGCTGCAGAGACTGTTTCCACTGCAGAGGCTGCTCCTACTGCAGAGGCTGCTCCTACTGCAGAGACTGTTCCCACTGCAGAGGCTGCTCCGGCTACAGAAGCTGCTCCGGCTGCAGAGGCTGCTCCGGCTGCAGAGGCTGCTCCGGTTACAGAGGCTGCTCCGGTTACAGAGTCTGCTCCTGCTGCAGAGACTGTCCCTGCTGCAGAGGCCAAGGCGCCACCGAGACCATCAAGGCCATCAGGGGAAGCAGCAGCTGTCCAAGAGCCCCTCGATGAGCCCGAAACAGCTGGTGCTTCAACTGCTTTTGCCGCTGCGCCCGTTGCAGCCCCAGTGAAAATAGCCCAGGAGCATGACACCCATGACGAAAACACCGATACGCTGAAATACTACGCCGACCAACGGGATGCTGCTGCCGTCGGCGGCGTGTCTCCCATGCACACCGTTTCTATCATGAGCCCCCGAGCAGACTCGAAGCTGAAGACTTGGTTCCGCGATCGATTGGTTCATCGCTCCAGCGGGCCGGTCCCGATATATCCTCACCAGCCTGGGCCAGATTTCAATACCGACAGCGAGATCGGCTTCAGTGGTGGAGCTACTCTGAGAGACCGAAACGAGCCTCGAAGATCGGCGTTGAGTTCACACCCCGTTATCGGGAGTGATATTAATCAGAGGTCAACCGAGGGCAACGGTGCCGAGGTGAGCAAAATGTCAACCTACGACTCTACCTCGAGCGGGCAAGGCGAGCGGAGTGCAAATAGCAAAAGCAAGAGACAGCGCTTGCGCAGGAGCTTCATGAAGACCGTGGGCCGCTCTAACCAAGAGCCCAAGACAAATGGGGCCAACGGGAACTCGCACGCTCGGAAAACCTCTGAATCTATTCCCGAAGTCCAGGATATCGACTCCGGAACCCGGGGCTTGCGAAACAGCGCCGTCGAGCAAGGTCTCCCTGTCCCGCCTGTTCTTGGAGACACTGTCAGCACAGGGCGAGAGTCGAGATTTTCCGAGGATCTATGATCCTGATGTTCTTGTGATCTATATGGGCTGGCGTTTTTGAGTTTTCTGTGGATCTGTCGGGTGATTTACGACGGTGCTTTGGGATGAGATTTTTTGATATCTTGGGCGCGTTACGACTAATTTGTACATACACGACGAATATTTGTTTGATTATCAATCGACCATGATTTATGATTTACTGGCATCCTAGGTTCCTGGAGCAGGTATAGAAATCACTCCCGAACAAAACCCGGGCCACTCTCTCGTCTTCTGGGGCTAAATTGGTGCCACTCCGCCTAATCCACCGGAAAACAACGTTCGTGCTAAAACACGACCCCTTGAACCTCCCAAAAAGCCGGCCCAATATCTACCCCCGCATTTCTCAGCTGGAGAATTGCCCATAGCGTCGACGCTCGATCGTGAAAACATCCACCAATCCCGGTCCCGCACCGGGTATTGTTGACGCGAGCCGAGAGACTCAATATGTAGATATATACCAGAAATGCCAGGCTCAGAAGTAGATCAAAATCATTTTAACCGGGTCAGACACTATGCGCTTTCTCGCGTTCATCTCCCTCTTACTGGGATGTCTGTCTCATTACTTCGTCTCTGCAACTAACAATGGCAAGACAACCGAGGTGACATGGGATAAATATAGTCTCTCGGTAAAAGGCGAACGGGTCTATATCTTCTCTGGTGAATTCCATTACATGCGACTTCCCGTTCCGGAGCTATGGCTCGATGTGTTCCAGAAGTTGCGCGCTAATGGGTTTAACGCGGTCTCGAGTACGTGGATACTGTGTTTACAAAGTCCGGAAATGTAATCGCTGACGATCTTTCTTTCAGTATACTTTTTCTGGAGCTTCCATTCTGCCTCGGAAGGTACTTTCGACTTTGAAACTGGCGCGCACGATGTCCAGCGAGTCTTTGACTATGCCAAACAAGCCGGTCTCTACGTGATTGCCCGCGCGGGCCCGTATGACAACGGCGAGACCTCTGCCGGCGGCTTTGCTCTGTGGGCTGCAAATGGCCAGATGGGGAGCACGCGGACCAGCGCCGAATCCTACTACGAGAGATGGCTGCCGTGGATCTTACAGATCGGCAAGATCATTGCGGCAAACCAGATCACCGAGGGCGGACCTGTGATCTTGCACCAGCATGAGAACGAACTGCAGGAAACGGTGCACAGCGCCAACAATACCCTCGTCGTGTACATGGAGCAGATTGCGGCGGCTTTTGATGAGGCCGGGGTGGTTGTGCCCAGCACGTCCAATGAAAAGGGCATGCGTTCGGTAAGCTGGTCAACAGACTATGAAGATGTTGGCGGTGCCGTCAACGTCTACGGTCTGGACTCGTATCCCGGAGGCCTGTCTTGTACGGACCCGGACTCTGGGTTCAACCTCGTGCGCACCTACTATCAGTGGTTCCAGAACTACTCATACACCCAACCGGAGTTTCTGCCCGAGTTCGAGGGTGGATGGTTCCAGTCATGGGGTGGCTACTTCTATGACCAATGTGCTGCTGAACAGTCGCCCGAGTTTGCCGATGTCTACTACAAGAATAATGTCGGCTCGAGAGTGACCCTTCAGAGCTTGTACATGGCCTTTGGAGGGACAAATTGGGGCTACAGTGCTACGCCAGTCGTCTATACTTCCTATGATTATGATGCGCCGCTGCGCGAGACTCGTGAAATTCGCGATAAGCTCAAACAGACGAAGCTGATCGGCTTGTTCACTCGCGTCTCATCGGGTCTTTTGCAGACTGAGATGGAAGGTAACGGGACGGGTTACACCAGTGACGCTAGTATCTACACGTGGGCGCTTCGCAATCCTGACACTCAGGCCGGTTTCTACGTGTTGGCACACAACTCAAGTCCCTCGCGTGCCGTGACTACATTCTCGTTGAATGTCAATACCTCAGCCGGTACGTACACTAACCTCCTGCTCAAGAATTAACCTACCGCTGACTGACCTTTGTTAGGGGCTATCTCAATCCCCGATATCGAACTGGACGGCCGACAGAGTAAAATCATAGTCACCGATTACCAAGTTGGCGAAACTTCAAGCTTGCTATACTCATCCGCAGAAGTTTTGACCTACGCCACTCTCGACAACCCTGTGATTGTGTTCTATCTGAACGTCGGGCAGAAGGGAGTCTTCGCCTTCAAGAATGCACCCGCCCATCTCACATTCCGGACCTACGGAAATTCTAATGTGACTTCTGCGGCATCAGATCATGGAACACAGTACTCGTATACCCAGGGAGAAGGACCAACCGTCGTCAAATTGTCCAACGGCGTTCTCTTATATCTACTTGATAAAGAGACGGCCTGGAACTTCTTCGCTGTGCCCACAACATCCAATCCACATGTCTCTCCCAGCGAACAGATTCTTGCACTCGGGCCGTATCTAGTCCGCGAGGTGACTGTCAGCGACAACACTGTCAGTCTCATCGGCGACAATGCCAACACTACATCGCTCGAGTGAGTATATACACCCCGTAACCAGAGGTGATTTTTGCTGACTCTCTGCATTAGAGTATATACCGGCAACCCGAAGGTCACAAAGATCATGTGGAATGGCAAAGTGATTGCAACTAAGAAGACGGCATACGGTAGTCTAATCGGCTCAGCTCCAGGCGCAGAGGATGCTAAACTAACTCTGCCCACCTTGAACTCCTGGAGGTCTCAGGATACGCTGCCTGAGATCCAGGCTGACTATGACGACTCACGTTGGACTATTTGCAACAAGACCATCACCGTCAACCCTATCCCACCTTTGACTCTCCCAGTGCTCTACTCCGGCGACTACGGTTATAACGCGGGAACGAAGCTCTATCGCGGTCGTTTCGATGGGAAAAATGCCACGGGGGCCAACATCACCGTGCAAAACGGTGTAGCAGCCGGCTGGGCTGCCTGGTTGAACGGCGCTTATGTCGGCGGTGCTCTGGGCGACCCGGACTTGGCTTCGACATCGGCGGAGCTTACATTCAACAGCTCCAGTCTTCGTGACTCCGACAACGTCCTGACCGTTATCATGGACTATACGGGTCACGACGAAGCGAACGTCTCCCCTGCAGGACCTCAAAACCCCCGGGGGATCCTAGGCGCCACACTCTTCGGAGCGAACTTCACATCGTGGCGCATCCAAGGCAACGCCGGCGGCGAAGCCAACATCGACCCGGTTCGCGGGCCCATGAACGAAGGCGGACTCTACGGCGAGCGTATGGGTTGGCATCTGCCCGGTTACCCGATCCCAAGAACCGCCGGAACGGAAAGCCCTCTCGATGGAGTATCTGGAGCAGAAGGCCGCTTCTACACGACCACGTTCAAGCTGGAACTGGACAGAGACCTCGACGTTCCGATTGGGCTGCAGGTCGACGCACCGACCAACACATCCGCTGTCGTGCTGATCTTCATGAACGGGTACCAGTTCGGCCACTACCTGCCGCACATCGGACCTCAGACCTTGTTCCCCTTCCAACCCGGCGTGATCAACAATGGGGAGAATACGTTGTCGATTAGTATGTGGGCGTTGAATGAGGGAGGTGCCCGCTTGAGTCAAGTGGAGTTGGTCGCGTACGGCGCGTACCGCACGGGGTTCAACTTTGACCACGACTGGGCGTATTTGCAGCCGGGCTGGACAGATCGGAGCCAGTACAGGTGATCAGGAGAGACGTAGGGGTTGAGGCAGGGGGGGTCGCAAGTGTCAGTGTAGTTAAGCTTGAGTGGATCCCGGGGAAGGAGGAAGCTCAGGCCAGAAAACAGGGCGATAGTTTCCTGCCCAACGGCCACCGCCAATTCGGGACTCCACCTTTATCCGTTGGAACTTGGAACTTAACTTGGGGCCTGGACCTTGCTTTCATCAATGCTTCTGTTTCTCTCCTTAATCCATGTTTCCCAATGCCGCGTCAGTCCAGTATTGATTTAGACTCGGCCGATCGGCCCTTTGATAATATCATCAACTTCCGTGATGTCGGCCGCTCCGTGAATCACTTCTGTGGTGCGCAGTACGTGGGCTCCATGCCATAATCGACCCCCTAAAGGCCAGGTCACTGACGGGAAGAGAAAAAAAAACAGGATCTTGAAGGAGGGCGTGTTGTTTCGCAGTGCCAGGGTAAAATCCATACCTTCAAACATCCGACACGGAAGGAGTAGAAGAACTGATCGGAGACGGTTGCTGTATAGCTCGACGATGCCTCAGAACGAGATAAACGCCGACTGGCCGAGGAACTGCACATCGTGACGGTGATTGATCTTCGATCTCAGTGAGTTGCCCCCCGAGGATCTATGCCGATTGCGAAACTAACGACCCCAGAACCGAACACCAGATGGGGACGCGCAAACGCCGTGCGGAGAACGCGGGCGCGAGCGAGGATCCCGCAGACATTGACTTTACGAGATCCCCCGTGCCCCCGAACGCAGACGAGCATCTTCTGCAGATCCCAGATTCCCACCGAGCCCTGATCAGCTTGACGGGCAAGGGATTCGAACGTGCATTACTGGCCAAGCTCGATTGGCCCACTTATTTGTAAAGCCCGTAACCCTTGCTGACGGGTTTGGATACTGACGAACAAAAACAGAAAAGTATTGGCTTGGGCAGCCACGGGCTATCGCTCTGATGCCGTCCGCCTGATTGGTGAACGGGTTATGCAGCCGCGAGGTTTAACGGGACTCGCGCAGGATACCCTCGATTCCAGCCCTGCTGAGATCCGCTCCGTTTTCGAACTCCTTGCGAAGGACGACGCGTACCCGCTTCTTGTGCACTGCACCCAGGGCAAGGACCGCACGGGTTTGGTCATTCTGTTGGCTCTTCTGCTTGCCGGTGAGAATGTGCCAACGGCTGCTATTGTGGATGACTACGTCCGCTCGGAGTTGGAGCTCGTTCCCGAATTTGAGGAGCGCATGCGGGAAATCCGCGCCCTGGGGTTGGGTGAGGACTATACGCGCTGTCCGCCCGGGTTCGTAGATACTACTATCCAGTATCTGCAGGACAGGTACGGCGGCGTGTGGGGGTATTTGACGGGGATTGGGATCGATGCGGCGATGCAAGAACATATACGACAGAAACTATTGATCCAGTAAATTGGCCACGGGGGCGATTATGCCGGTGGCTTTATGTACATAACATGGGATATCTGACAACGGTAATCAGACGGGCATCAATCGGGGGTTTCTTAGAATACAGTCATTTGTGAACCGTGAGTGATTTCGATTATCGTGAAGGCAATGATAATATACAAGAAATGTCAAACAGGTATCCAATCAAAATAACACCCGTAAAATGGAATCGTAGGCAAAAGCAGGTATATAAAACGTCCAGAAATGCATCACTTCCAGGACTGGTCATCGCATCTATAAATCAATAAAACAATAATACCATCAACTCCAATTACTCTCGACATGGAAGGTTGGTTTGGTCTTAAACGCGCTGGCCGCGGTAGAAGTTGGGGCCCTGCGAGTCATACGTCAAGGGCTCCTCCAGCGACACGTTGGCCGACCCATTGGGATCCTCCTGGGCCATGACGATGCGCTTCTCGCCCTGGGGTACGTGTCGTCGAGTGCGGACCGAGGGCAGTAGGTCGACGACGAAGGAGAGGATGTATCCGGTGAAAACGAAGGCAATGACCCATTCGAGAATGGCACCGGGGTTCTTATTCTTCTTCTTATGGCTTCCCATGCAGACACCGAAGCCGATGGCCAGACCGACCTCGATAATGATAAAGGCCAGCTTGATGGCGAAGCTGGTCAGCAGGATGCGGTGCTGGGAGCGATAGAAGATGCCCAATCGCAGATACTCGGCGCAGATCAAGATGGCACTGATGACATATCCAACACTACGCGATCTGATTAGTTTCCAGAATCAAGGAGATCAGGAAGAGGGAACTGACATAAACATAACCAGGAAGCCGTCGTGTAGATGCTTGTAATGCTTGGTATCGAAGATAGACAGGAGAATCAAACCAAGCGCACCGGCAATGGCGAAGAAAATCGAGAAAATAGCGCACAGCTTATCGAACCAGCCCTTGTTGGGAACGAGCTGACCGGCATGACGAAGCCAGCGCTCGGACAAAAAGGCCAGGTCCAAGAAGACGACGGTGACAATGCTGCCCGCGACGAAGAGCGGTTTTAAGCCCGAAGCGCCAATATCGGAGATGTATCTGCGATCGTGTGAGTTGCTGAGTCCAGCCAAGTGTGAGGGTCACGCGTACGCAATGGTCTGGCCGTCTGCCTCCTCGCTATAGATCGGTTTGCCTTCTCTGCTCCATGTGGCGATCATGGCAATCAACATGGCTAACACATCTGATTAGATCCTGCGGAAAAAAGAGCCGATCGGGAGGCGATCTTACCAAGCCACACGAACGCCGATATGACCGGGAAAACCCAGAATGAAACAATCCACATCTTTGCGGTGGTGTAGTGTATCTACGCGTGTTGTGTATGAATCGCGACGAGTAGTTGAGGGGAGCCCCACGCGTCGGGGAGCTCGCGACAGGAAAAATGCGACTTTGATCTAGAAAATGCGAGTCTGTTTCGCGGTTAGTTGTGATGCTTCCACATCCCTGTTCAGGATTCAGGTTTGAGGGTGCAAGATTGGGGACCATCTGGGTAAGCCAGTCACACCAGGCGCGAACTCACCGATATGTTATTTATACAGACAAGACCAACAACGACACCCGCATTCCACAGCAATAAAGGGCTGGAAAATTAAGATTTAAAATGAGGGTTTGGTGGCGCTCGGATGTGGAATCCAGGGAACAGGAGTGCGCTCGGTTCGATAGTAATGAGAGGGATACGGGGTATTGGCAGTTTGAAAATGGGACGATGGATGACCGGACGTCTGAGACGATATTTGGGAAAGTTGAAATGTCAAGGGGCCGCAGTAATCCCGGTGATCTCTGTGCATGAAGCAAGGCAGAAACTGCCCATATATAAGGCGTGACATAGGGCGACGTCATTCCTGCCAAGGCAATACAAAACCTCGGCGGATCCACGATGCTCCGAGAAGCCGTAATGCGCCCCACAGCCTCCAACCTAATAAAAGAAACGGATCCCGACTCTCATTTCCACATGTGATGACTGGCTGTCCTGCCACACGATGATCTACATAGATGAGGCGAAGACGGGTCAAAATATACAGTACTTGATAATGCAAATGCATAGAGCCATCTATGAACTGGTCTACCGGAACGCCGTTTTGCGTGGAGCGAATCGTGCTGAATAAACAAAGAGAAGAGCAAAATATTGAAAGAGGGCAATTCTCGAGAGACACTTCACCCTTCATCGACTGCGTCGTGGTCGAGGTCGTGTGCCCCCAGAAACGTTCCGCCTCTGGGGACCCGGTGGACCCTGGCGCTCCACAACCCGCACGATCTGTACATCCTCCTCCTCCTCACTGCTTTCCTCACTCTCCTCATCCTCCTCACTGGATTCTGAATCCGACGAGGAAGGCACCTGTCGGTTTCGCTGTTGCGGTGCCCCCACGGGATGGACAGGCTGGCGATGCTGGGCTTGAATCGGTGGCATCCCGGCGGGATAGCTCATTCGACCCTGAGGCCCGACTCGAAGATCATTGGGAAGCTGGGGTTGGTATGGGGCCTGCTCCGCGAACGGACTCACTTGCAGGGGGTTGTAATACGGCGGTGCCCATTGGGGATCGTCCGGTAGCGGTCGTGGGTTCACCGGCTGCATCGACTGCGGGCGGCCGTTGGAAGGGAAACGCTCGGGAAAGGCCGGATACCCCGGTCGAAGCGGAGAGTTAGACTGCTGTGGGCGTAGTGACTGCATGGTCGGCGTCCGCGGGCGATTCGCAGAAGACGAGCTCGAAGGCCGCCCGTGGGTTGCACCTGCGCCTCGATTCCAGGCAGGGTCGACTCCAAATGCAAATGGAGGATACGGTCCCGGTGGGGGTCCCGGTGGTTGTTCTGGCGGGCCCCCCGATTTCCGTCGAGATGGCGGCCGAACGTTGGCTGCACTCCTAGTCTGCTTGGGCCGACGGGCCGCGCGAGAATCGTCCGTCTGCTGGCGCCTGCGCTCCAGGGCATCCAGCTCGCGCTGTGATAACCGGACATTCTTCTTCCCCAACATCTGCGCGCGACGAATTCGCTCCAGCGCCTTGTCCACCAGTTGATCCTCCTTGTCTCGCATGGCCAGTTGTACCGCGTAGGCCACGGTGCTATCTTCGTGATCGTATAAATCGTAGTCACCCCCGTCAACAGATTCGGCCTCGTCGGTCAAATCTTCATAGTCCTGCCGCCTGCGGGGTCCTCGTCCTCCGTATTCCAATTGCCGCATGTACGCCGCACGGCCGTTTCGCACCAGTTGCCGTCCATACTCGTCCTCGTCCGTCTCGACCTCCTCCACGCGTGCCATCTCTTCCTGCCACTGCCCACCTCCTCCGTTGTGTCTCCCTTTTCGTGCCCCCGGTGGTCTTCCCCATCGGGGCATATCGTAAGGAGCTCGCGGTCGACCACCTAGACCGCCTCCTCGGAAAAAGCATTCTCGATAGGCTTATCCATGAGAGCGGCATGACCGAAAACGGTCACACCGGTTGCGCCGATCAGCCAGAGAGCCGTCGCGATGGGCGAAGCATAGAAACCCAGAGGGACGCTAACGCACAGCAGACCGGTGTAGAGCTGCGAGGTGTTGAAGCGACGGAATCCCAAGTCCAGGTCACGGCCGTCAAGTTTCCCGATGCCCCAGACACTGGCAGCCGCGAAGATGATGATGAAAAGCAGAAGCGGGTTGGTCAGCAGGCTGTAGATGCTGAGCATGACGAAGACGACGGCATAGTTGCTGGAGAAGTGGCCCAAGTTGTAATTGACGCGGCTTTGCACTTCGCCGAAGTTGGCAGGCTTGGACAGGCGCTTGAGGTCGAGGAACTCGGAGACTGGGCGCAGGTTGGCGAAACGGGTGCTCAGCGACTGGCTGCGGAGGGAGTTGAAGCGGTCACCGAAACGCGAGGTGATCGCGTCGATAGGGATTTGGATGGCCATGATGAGTGGAAAAAGAAGGGTAGCGTCGTGAACAATGGATGCACAAGTGGAAGGTGAAAGGACAAGGAGACAGTCAAAGTCGCTTTTTTTTCTGCCCGAGTTTGAGACTTTGCCCCTTTCGATGTTAGTCAACAGCACTGGCCACGAATTTGACACCTCAGCCTCAGTCTTGGAACTGGAGACGGTGGAATAGGCAGAATAATAGACCGAAATATTAGGCAGATAAATGAATAATGAGTAAGAAAATTGGTCTCAGCTTTGGACCGCAACTAAGAATAGCATCGGAGACCCATTGTCCACTGTTGACTGCGTGCGGAAGACCCTCACCGGATCCGAGCGATCATCACGACCGGGGGACGACTAAAGTACACACGGGGATTTTGAGGAACCACCTGAATATATACAGATAATGATACAGACATGAAAACACACCGACATCACAGAACCTGACAGAATCGACTTTCCCCTCATTTTCCCTGCTGGTCTCAATTGGGCCACGTTGGAAACTGCAGGTGGATCACATTCCGACCGCTTTTTCCCCAAAGTGGACTCGTCGATTCCCTGCATTCGCCTTGCCATTCGTCCTATCTGGTCTGTTCGCTTGATTTTTTTTGGGCGCGGTGTTGACCGCTCCATCTGTTTATCATGAAAGCCCTTACTCTGTCCCTGCTGCTCGTCTTCGTGGGCCTCGTCGCCGCCTGGTCCAAGGAAGGTTCGTTGACCTCTCTCCCTACTACAATTGTGTGCTCACCCTTTTTTTTTCGCCAGACTATGAGATCTTTAACCTACGGGATGAGGTGGCCTTGTCTGAAGGTGCCAATGTGACATTCTACGGTACGTTGATATCCAGAATACTCCCACGGTTTGCTTTCTCTGCGGGCAATTGACTCTTTTCTTGCTAGACTTCCTCGAGATCCGCCCGAATGCCAACCAAGAACAAATCACCAAGGCCTACCGTAAGAAGTCACGTACTCTGCACCCGGACAAGGTCAAGCGGTCCTTCATTGCGAACTTCTCAAAGGACAAGAACAATGCCAAGTCCAAGCAGGGTGTCAATGTCTCCTCCGGTCCGTCCAAGCGCCAGATCGACGCCGCCGTCAAGGATGCTACCGCTCGCTCCAGTCGACTGAATCTCGTCGCCAATGTCCTGCGTGGCCCCGGCCGTGAGCGCTATGATCACTTCCTGAAGAATGGCTTCCCCCTCTGGAAGGGCACCGGATACTACTACTCGCGCTTCCGTCCCGGTCTGGGATCCGTGTTGATGGGCCTGTTTCTGGTGTTCGGTGGTGGCGCCCACTACGGTGCTCTGATTCTGAGCTGGAAGCGCCAGCGGGAGTTTGTCCATCGGTACATTCGTCAGGCTCGCCGCGCTGCTTGGGGTGACGAGACGGGTGTTCGTGGTATTCCAGGCATTGACTCGGTCGCCGCTATTCCTGCTCCTGCTCCTGTTCCCGAGGCCGGCGAGGGCGTTGCGGTTGCCATGAACCGTCGTCAGAAGCGAATGATGGACAAGGAGAGCCGTAAGGAAAACCGGAAAGGTCCCAAAGGCACCCCACGTGGTTCAGGGACTTCCACACCCACTGAGCCTGTCACCACTACCACAGGGGAACGGAAGCGTGTCGTTGCCGAGAACGGTAAGGTTTTGATTGTGGACTCCATCGGCAACGTCTTCCTGGAAGAAGAAAATGAGGAAGGCGAGAAACAGGAATTCCTGCTCGACGTTGACGAGATTCAACGCCCCACCATTCGTGACACGATGGTGTTCAAGCTCCCCATCTGGTGCTTTAAGAGAACTGTTGGCCGAGTCCTGGGTTCCTCGGATGCCCCCGAAGAGGATGACCAAGAGGTGGAGCCTGCGGTCAATGAGGTTATCGAGGCCACTGCTACCTCGAACTCGGGTTCCAGCAGGAGACGCGCGAAGCGCTCTCAGCGATCTTGATCTGATCCAGTGGGAGTTTACGTGGCCACAAGGTGCCCGCGTGCTTAATTTTTGCCCGTGTCGCGTATATCAAAAGTACCTAGAATAGAATAAAAAAGTTCTGGGAGCAATGTCCCCGCGTGTCACAAATACGGGGTGCAGGCTATGAAGATAGGAATTACCACATGGTCCTTGTTTACATTCTATACAGCGATCTGTGGAGCTGTCCCAGCCACGTCAGTGATCCTGCGGGACCTGCTGCTAGTGAGCGTGGAACACACAGCCCCTAGTCCGATGTAGGGAAGTCCAACGGGGCGATATCCACCGTTGGGTATCGACACTTCACCGACCTACGGGTTTAAAAGAGAAAAGTACGCCCCCTCGAGTTCCTGTCTCGTGTTCACTTTGGAACCGTTAAGATTCAATTGTCGTTACAAAACAGTTGCTTTTCATGAGTGAAATGCAGTGATCGAATCCGACCGAGCCTCCCAGTACAGGACATAGTATAAGAGCAGTGGGAAATATCGAAAAGAAGGGAAATCGGAGAGTATCATGACGGTCGTTACGGGCTGAATGGTTCGCCTCCCGTTTCTTCGCCCAAGACGGTGGTGGTGGGTGGTGACGTGGGTGCCTCATCGAGCTGGGCATATCGCTTAGACGAACATCTTAGCAAGGTTCATCAGGCCGCCGATGCCCTCCGAAAACCCCTGGCCTTGAATCTCTCCGAAGCCGCCCCGCGCACCGTGAGACGCACCACCTCCGAGAGCACTGAGAACCCCCTGAGGCAGGCGTAACCCGACCATGGCAAGCAACTTGACCAGAACTCCACTCGTGATCAAAGGCACAATGACCATCAGGAAGACTTTCATTGGGTGTTGGCGGGCATAGCGGGAGATGTCACGGAAGAGGCGCTTAATAGAGCGGATCATGCGCTGGACGAATCCCTCACGCGGCCGAGCTCGTCGGGAGGAGGATGAGAAGGATGAGAAGACCGACGGACTGGATCGACCGCCCAATCCTCCCCCGTGGCCGCCGAGGTTGAAGAAGGACGGCGCAGAGTGTCGCGAATGGTGGGTCGAATAGCCCGAAGACTTGCGTGCGGGAGAGCGACGACGCACGAAGTAACCCCCCGAACGCGAATGCGATGAGGACTTGGATGGACCGTCGAACCAGCCCATTTTGATAGACGTCAGAGCGATCTGAGCTCTTACCCCGTGTTCCTGGAGAATCGGCCCAGGCTTGTTTCACTGGAGTAATTGGCGACTGCAAACGATCGGATTGTGTATAGGAGAACACAAAGAACACCGAGATACTTTTCCCTTGGAGATCTCTATCGAGAAATCTGGCAGCTGTGGCAATCCCAAGAGAGAAGGAAGACAGATGCAGGTCAGCCGCTAGGAGCTGCAGAGATGCACAATTCGAGGTCTAGGCTGCGTACAATCTACTCCACCGACGGCTCCCCGTGCAGGTGGCAATTGACTGGAATGCGAGGTGCAAGATGTAGGATCTGGGGTAAACCAACCCGGGTTTGATAATTTGCTAGAAACTACTGGGGAGGAAATCAATATTAGCTTCGCCCCCCTGACGATAAAATGGGTGGCTGGGGAAGCGACTGCGTAGCAAATAGCAAGTGAGACTGTTTTAGGGCCACGGGAGAGAGGGGAACTGGTGCCTTGTTGCCTGATAGCCTAAAATGGAACCCCGGTCTCACATGTTGATTGCCTTGGTGCCTCAACTTGTGGCGACGTCACTCCCGTGGCTTGAACTATACTTGTATCGCTGGGTCCGCATTTATTTGACAGTTGACTTTGTCACCATCTCCTTTGCTCTACAACGCTCACCATGTCGAGTAAGTTAACCCATGTCTCAGTCCCATGAGTAAGCTCGTACTGACCGTTGGATCTACACAGAGAGCCCTGACTACTGTATGTCCGATCTCCAAAGCCCGTTTCGCGCATGACTCCTAACTTGGCTTGTAGACAAAATCCTCGGCGTGTCCAGTGATGCGAACCAGCAGCAGATTCGTAGCGCATACAAACGGTCAGTACTTGGAGATCAGCCCACCGGTAGGTATTTACAGGGAACCGGGGACTGACAACTATCTACAGGGAATCACTGAAGTCCCATCCTGATCGAGTCCCTGCCGATTCCCCCGAACGACCAGCACGGACAGCTAAGTTCCAAGAGATCAACGACGCTTACTATACCCTGTCGGACCCTGCGCGACGACGTGAGTACGACCAGATCCGCGCATACGAGGAGGCTGAAGAAGAGGTCGACGATGAGGTTCCCCAGGGCGGCGCCGGTGGCTTCCCATGGTCCAGCTTTGGATTCGGCAACCGCAGCGAGCGCGATGCCGACCAGTTTGGGTCAGTGTTTGAAGAGATGATGCGCGAAGAAGGGCTGGCAGAAGAGAACGACGAGGGCGGCAGCCGACGGACCCGCCCAACATCCCGATTCTGGGCCATCGTTGGTGGTGTCAGTGGGGGCGCTTTGGGATTCATCGTGGGTAACGTCCCTGGTGCACTGGCTGGCGCCGTGGCGGGTAATCGCCTGGGCGCCGTTCGTGACGCCAAGGGCAAAAGTGTCTATGAGGTTTTCGTGGAACTTCCGCAGCCAGATCGGACACGGCTCTTGAGTGAACTGGCGGCAAAGGTGTTCCAGACTACTATGGGACGCTAGTTCGCCGGAAATGGGATTTTGTTTGTTGGGTTTGGCGTTGGGATCGGATCTAGTGAGGTGGGATGGGTTTGGATGGGGTATCGAGGACCCCAAGTATAGCTTGTGGTATAGTCATCTCTAGCTAGAATGATATAGATACACAATTCAGAACTATGCATACTACGAATTGCGAACTACATTTTCGTATTGGCAAGAACATGCCAATGGTGCTTTCACATATATTCCCTTATCGATAACAACATGACAAGTAACTTGGACCGATCGGGTTACCAATTGGTCCCATTCTACGGAGTATAGAGTTTACAATTAAATAGTGCCACGAGTCAATTGAACGCGAGGCCAAGATTTGAGTCACCAGACCTCGCGTGAAACAGTCCAGGTGGCATTCCATGCCTGTTCTGGACCAACGCCCGCGCTAGACCACACCCCACCTGCTCACCGCTTGCGGTCAAAAAAAGGACCCCCTCAGTCAACTCTATATATGTCCCCTGTTCCTCTCTTTTCTTCTTGCTTTTTGCGACCTTTCTGCTTGAATTGAACCTCTGCCGAGAATGACTACCGCTGCCAGTGTCTACCCTCCGTTGGAGTCCCGTCCTCTCAAGGACACCATCTGCCTGTTCGATGTTGACGAGACCCTCACCAAGGCCAGACGGGTACGTTGAAATGAAGTCGCTCGTAATTGAGTACCGCTAATTTATGGATTCTACCTGCAGTCTGTTAAGCCAGAGATGCTTGAGCTTCTCTCCCGCTTACGCCACAAGTGCGCCATTGGCTATGTCCGTCATCCCCCACCTACTGTCCTTCGCCTCCTCTAACGTGCTGCAGGTTGGTGGCTCGAACTTTGTGAAGCAGCAAGAGCAACTCGGGTCGCCCACCACAGATGTCACCACTCTGTTCGACTTCTGCTTCCCCGAGAATGGTCTGGTTGCCTACCGCTTGGGCGAGCCGCTTTCCAGCAACAGCTTCATCCAGTGGCTTGGAGAGGACAAGTACCAGGAGCTCGCAGACTTCTGCCTCGGATACATTTCCAAGATCAAGCTTCCCAAGAAGCGTGGTACCTTTGTGGAGTTCCGCAATGGCATGATCAACGTTAGCCCCATTGGCCGTAACGCCAGCGTGGACGAGCGTGACGAGTTCGAGGCGTATGTTTCTATCCCCTGGAGTGGACGAATTCTCCACACGAGCTTAGAAACCTGGACAACCCGACTTACAATCGCATTAGTTACGATAAGATTCACAACATTCGGAGGGATATGGTGGAGGCCCTGAAGAAGGAGTTCCCCGACGCTGGTCTCACGTAAGTCCCTGACGAGCGACGTTATTCACCGCGAATGCAAAGCGAATGCAAAACACTGACATTTGTGAAACACAGCTTCTCCATTGGTGGCCAGATTTCTTTCGACGTCTTCCCCACTGGCTGGGACAAAACCTACTGTCTGAAGCACGTCGCGGCCGAGAAGGACATCTCCGGAACCGAGTACAAGACCATTCACTTCTTCGGTGACAAGTGCTTCGTCGGTGGCAACGACTACGAGATCTACTCCGACCCTCGCACGATCGGCCACGAGGTCGAGGACCCTGATGACACTATGAAGCAGCTGAAGGAGCTGTTCTCCCTTTAGATAAAATGCAGGCCAAAAAAGGGCGAAGGAGTTGCGATAGCGTATGCATATTGAACCGGGACGATTTGGTCCCTAATTTCCCAGCAACATATTGTCGAACAATAGATACTGATTTAATGCCAAAGTCATGAAGTTTAAGTTCCAAAGTCGTTTGTAGATGAATGTTTTCCGGAAATTTGCGGGGCTCAGTCGGGGAACGTCGATCTTTCCGGCTCGGCTTTAGTCATCCGCCCAATTCTCCTCCTGCGTCACTTCTTTCTTACAACTATCTTTCAAGATATTATTCATCTGCGCTATGGCACCCCCAAAGCATGTCGTGGAGGTTCCGCGAAGCATTCTCCCCCGCTTGACATGGAACAGTTCCACCTCGCGCCCTTCTGTCTCATCCTACAAACCCGTGCTCGCAACCAGGCAAACACCGCAACACCTTCAAGGCTGGAGTCCTCTTAACCGCCAACTACACTCCTTGGACACCCAAATTCAGCCCTCGCGTGGCTTTTCAACATCAGTCCGAAACCCTCATTTCGCATCCCTCGTTGCCCGTCGCCCCTCAGCCTCCACTACGCGCTCGTCCGAGCCCCTCGGCAACCCCGTTCGACACAATGGCGTCTATGTCGCGACATTTAAGCCTGCTCACCGGGCCTTCCACGCGACACCTGTTCGACCCCGCGATCACCACTTCGATACCTTGAAGTTCGTGAAGCGGCTTCAAGCTGAAGGATTCAGCGAGGAACAAGCCGTGGCTATGATGCGGGTCCTGAATGATATTATTCAGGAGTCTATCCAGAATCTGACGCGTACCATGGTGCTTCGAGAAGGTAAACAAGCTGCTGATTCGTATGTTGAATACTCTGTCTGACAATAACCCCACAGACTCGGAGAGGTCTATATACACCCAGAAAGTCGATTTCGCGAAACTTCGATCCGAGCTTTTGAACACCGACTCGACCGAGGCTCAACTCACTCGTTCGTCGCACGAGAAGATCGCTGCGGATCTTGCCAAGCTTAACTCGCGCATGCGCGATGAAGTTGGGCGAACACAAGCGTCAGTGCGTCTGGACTTGAATCTCGAAAAGGGCCGTATTCGCGAGGAAGCCAATGGCCAAGAAATGCGGATCAAGGAGACTGAAACCCGCATTGAACAAGAGGTGGCTGGCTTGAGGGAACGAGTCGAGGCTGTGAAGTTCTCTACTCTCCAGTGGCTTATGTATGTCTCCCCGCCTCCCATTCCCATTTACGGATTGATACTGACTTGATGTTCTTTTAGGGGTGTCTGCACCGGTACTGCTGCTCTGATTCTTGGTGCTTGGCGCCTATTTATGTGAGGTGTTGGTGTACAAAATTTGTGTTGCATTGTTACGGAGCGCTTTCTGATTTGACATACACGAGACGGGAGTCTCTAGCATTGGATTTTTTTTCATTTGTACAAATTATTCTCTACTCATCTGGCCTTTTGGGCTGAGAGAAGTCTAGACAACTACCATTTACTTGAGTTTCATATCGAACGCAATGGCTTTAGCGTGGAAGAGAGTTTCCGTCAAGAACGGCTCATTCCGCTCATTCCGGGCAAGCCCTATCTCAATAAACATTGATCACTCGCAAGCACTCGACTATCTTGGGGACCATTCAGTTGAAAGATCCGAATCTTCCAAGCGAAGTCTGAAAATTGCCTAGATCGGCTTTAAGAGGGACGCACGTTCCTCTGACGACCTTATCTTCAGGGGTAAACGCGGCCTCTGCGCGATCTGCCGTGACTGTTGCATCCTTCATGCGGAGAAGCAATTTAGTGTCCACTAGCCTGGCACGGGTGTCCGACGGTATCGCTGCTCACGATGACGGTGTTACGCCCCCTGCTAGTCTCGCTGTCCCTCCAAATCTCTTATCTCTGCATTTTAAAGACTCTCCCCCCCACAGATCACCTCACTGCGTTGCCTGGTTTGGCTCTGTTTCTGTGGACTGTAGCCAGCATTGTGTTTGTTCTCAAAAGTCGACAGAGAGATCAGAGTGAACAATCATTGAGTATCGATACCCTCCAAATCGGTGCGTCCGAAATCCAGAAGGGCTTCGGTTCTACATACATATATACGAAGGCCGGTGAATACACTGAATCGAAACAAAAGGAGCAAAACAAAAACGATTCGAAAGACAATCCCAGATTTGGCTTGAAACTCGCCGTGACAATGGTTCTTGCCATACCTTGTGCATTGCTGCTTGTTGCCCATGCCCGGCTGATCGCCGGGATTCATGACGGCAGTTGGGATACCAAGCGCAATTCACTCCAGGCATCTGACTCGACAGGCTTGCAAGAAGTTTTCCAAGTGTACCAGCCAGTCTCATTTACGTCCCATGGAGCCAGCGGTTGCAATCTCGATGTGCTCCTAATGGATCATATGTTTGGTGCAAGCTACGGAGAACCTTTTGTTGGTAAGGATCCAGTGATACCAGCGCTGCTGCTTGGAATGGCACTGACATATGGGACTGATAGGCGAATATGAGCCACCCCGCTGTGAGTTCGATACTGTTCGAATCAACCTCACAGTCACTTCTCGTGGTCGACAGTATGACCGTTTGGCCCTCATGTACCTAGGAGACACAGAAGTCTTCAGGACCTCGACTGCCGAGCCGACGTCTACGGGGATTGTGTGGACCTACGTCAAAGAGATGTCTCAGTACAACGCCCTGTGGAAGCAACCGCAGAAGTTGATATTTGACCTTGGCAATCTCATCACCGATGTATACACTGGATCGTACAATGCTACATTGACAGCGCACTTCTCTAACGAAGGCAATACGAGGGCTGCGAATTACATCCTGCCAATTTCTGGCATGAAGTCAGCGTCGAACTCAGCCAGCGCGTTTACAGTTCCAAGTGACAACACAACGGTCAAGCATACGATTCCGGCAGCGGCATCGCGCGCAGTCGTTTCAATATCTGCGTGTGGGCAATCGACAGAAGAATTTTGGTGGTCAAACGTTTTCTCTGAGGATACCGAGGACTTCACCAGTACAGTGGGCGAGCTTTATGGATACTCACCGTTCCGGGAAATTCAGCTTTATATTGATGGGATGCTTGCTGGTTTCGTTTGGCCTTTCCCTATCATATTTACTGGAGGTGTCGCCCCCGGTTTCTGGCACCCGATTGTTGGCATCGATGCCTTTGATCTTCGACAGCCCGAGATTGATATTTCACCATTCCTGCCAATGCTTCAAGATGGCGAGGAACACTCCTTCGAGATCCGAGTCACTGGCGTGAATATTGACGCCGACGGAACTGCTACACTTGCAGATACCGTGGGCTCATACTGGGTTGTAACCGGCACCATCTTCCTCTATACAGAGGAGCACAAAGGCTCCGAAGACTTGATTGCCCGAAGTAGCTCTATGCCCCATTTGGAGGCCCCGGAACCGAAGTTCACGGTCACTCGGGACCTGGTGCAGAACCAGACCGGTGGAAACAACAGCCTCTCGTACTCCATCGTGGCCGAGAGGACATTCAGTGCAACCTCTTCCAAGTACTCCTGGACACAAAGTCTGTCTTTCTCGAACTACGGATACCTCAACCAGCAGGGTTACAGTCAAGTCAACAGGCAGCTGACCTCCGGAAAAGCGACAATTACAGAGCTCGGAGATACGCCAAGCTCAAACGAGACCACCTTCAACTATCCTTTGCTGGTTAACGCAACGTACGGTATGACCGCAAATTCGCTGTCCATTGATTCCTGGATGAAACGTGGCCTGGAGATTGAGGCTTCCGGGGGACCAGGCATATCTACATACACGCTCGTCTCCGGACCATCACAGCTTCATACTACTCAGTCCGGACAGGCAAGTTACAATTCTGTCACTGGTGGCAATTCAACATCCACGGCGAATACTGCGGATGAGTTCTACAGTACAGCAAACGGCGAGTCATACTCTCGATCCGTCAGAGCCGTGAATGGTGATGTGGTGTTCGACACTCGTACCGGGATCCAGTCTGTTTCACTTTCTCGCGGTCAGGATGTATTGGGAAGAGGCAACGTGCGAGCAATGCTGGGAAGAGGGCCTGGCCATCCGACGAACTAGACTCTCTCTAGATAATCATAGCTGTATTCTCAGTCCGTATCCTCTTTCTCTTCCGTAGTGATAATCTCCTTGCTACTCTGCAAGACACTCAGACTTCTTTATCTCCGTTCGTCTCCGAGTCTCCGACTGAACTGATTTATCCGGTGATTCCAAGCTCTTGGATTACTACGAGAATCTCAATTTCACCTCACATCTACTCTGTGCCTGGGCCATAAGTTCGGGGCTCTATTCTCACTGGCTCATCCAGTTCCTGAACTAGGCCATCGAGAATTACCCCTCGGGTCATTTCCCCCTTGTCATCCGTCTTGTTTTGCCCGACTCGGAGCCCGGTGATCAAAGCATCTCAGCCACAATGTCAAATACAGATGACAAGACAGATGGGACCAGGCGTGCCCACTACGGAACTGAGAGGCCCCCCAGTCTTGCGAAGTAAGCGACTCCACAGGAGCCATCCAAAACAGCACTGACAGTCACAGCTACTACAACTCCACGATGTTCTCTGACATGGTTATTCACACTACTGAACATGTACTCACAGTACATAAGCTTGCACTCTGCGCAGAGTCCGAGTATTTTGCTCGACTGTTCAGAGGAAACTGGCCTGTAAGCATCTACGAAATCCTAATCGGCGTTGCAAAACTTCTTATTCTTCGCTTGACAGGAGACGAACAAAAATGAGATTCATCTCAAAGATGATCATCCACAAGCTATCAAGGCCATGATACTATTTTTATACGGGCTGAAAAATGACTACTATACCGACGGGGTCTCTCCCACACTATTCCATGCCATGATGTATCAGGTGGCCGACAAATACATCATTCCCCGGCTGAAGAATCACTCCTTGAACAAATTTGCATCGCTTGTGAAAACAAGCTGGGTTGAGGATGACTTTCCCACCGTTATTTCAGAGGTATACAGCAACACACCGCAAGAGGACCGAGGACTTCGAGACCTGATCTTGACTACCGTTTATCGAAATTTTGCTGCTCTTGAAAAACTAAAGAGCTTCGATAACTTCAAAGATGTGCTAAGGGGGACTGCACAATTTTCATCTGACCTGGTCCTTTTTCAGCGTTCCAAATCCCGGGGTAAAAAAGGGGCCCATCCATAATCGGGATCTTGATCAGTTCGAAGATACCTATTTACCTAGGTAGTCATCATGAAGAAGCAGCCTAGTATACAATCAATCCCATTTTGTTTGCGCTGTTTGCGCTGTTTGCTGCATATATCACCACGTGATTTGATAAGATAAGAATATCGGCTGTCGCCATGGGCCTCGATCATCTCGGCTCCATCGTGGCGCGACAGCAAGAGACTTGTACAGGGCAGGACAACAGGATGGGTGTCGCCGCAGAGCAGGTAATTATCTCAGGTAATGCCCCCGCTTCCCTCAAGTCCGACGGTTGAATTGAGACTGATTTCTACCTATACTAGACGCGGTGCCTCCGTCACTGATCGCCGCTCTCGCGCAAAGTGACGCATTTAATGATGATGAGCGCCCCATGAAGCGGCGCAAGCTCACCAAATCGGGCCCCTACAGCCTTTCTCAGCAAAGAGGTGTCACTCCAAGTGGATTACCTCTGGGATATATTCCGTTAGCGCGACTGGCGCTGCGTCTGGTGAGTATAGATTGTCACTCTCCAAGGTCCAACGGCTAATCGTTTGCCACCTTGTCAATTAGATTTTCACGAAAACCATCGAACCGAACAACGAGATTTTCCTCAAATCAACAACCGTCTCTCGCTCACTGCCTGTCCTCGTGGAAATCAGAAAATCTGGAACCGTCCATAACGACTTGAAAGGGAGCACAGAACAGGGCCAACCCAGCCATGAAACCTGGGATCTCGAATTAAGGGCGACCGATACAGAAAGAAAAGAGCTTTTTACATATGACTTCAACGATCCTCAACTGTCCAACTTCTTCAGCCTACTCGGACAGGTCACCAAGCTGACCTCGGCCGACCGATACTCCAGCCGCCGGCCCCCGAGGGCATGCTACCAGGCTTCCATACGCCCTTCATTAGAAGAAAAGTGCCTCCAGCTGGATATTGTGGCTCTTTGGGAAGATTCTCTTCAGAATCCGGACTTTGTTCATATGCAAGATCCGGTCTTGGAGATCTTCGCGAAGTATGCATTGCAGGAGGATTACGACCGCCCGAATTCACTGAGTGGTCAACGTGAGCATCGTGAGAAGCTACTGGGCTATCCTCGAGGGTGGTCACCTCGTCAGTTCTACGAGAGCGTCCATGTTCCGCGGGACACCCAAAGCGCATCTGCAGAAATCAACTGCCCCGAACTTGCTTGCCAGCTGTTTCCTTTCCAGCGAAGGGCCGTTAGATGGCTTTTACAGAGAGAGGGGATGGAGCTTCAGCAAGATGGAAAAGTGGCTTCTATCGAGAGACGCCCTAGCGCTGGCCTGCCAGCATCATTCAAGGAAATGAAAGATGCTGATGGGAACACCTGCTACTTCAGTCATCTGTTTATGACAATTACCACCAATATAAATTATTGCTTCGATGCTGCAGACTATTTGAGGGGCGGAATTCTTGCCGAAGAAATGGGGTTGGGCAAAACCGTGGAGATGATTGCGTTAATAAACTTGAATCGACGCCCCACCGATGAAAAGTTGAAACCCGACCCTGATGGTCTGAGAGCATCCGGAGCTACCTTGATCATTACACCTCCTGCGATTCTGGAACAGTGGAAAGAGGAAATTGAGCAGCATGCTCCGGATCTGCGTGTGCATCATTATACAGGCATCAGACGAGGACATGAGAAGTCTGATGATTTAGTAATCGAAGAGATTGCGGACTTTGATGTCGTTCTGACCACCTACAATGTCATCTCTCGGGAGATCCACTATGCTGGTGCTGCCCCGAAGCGAAGCCTTCGCCATGAAAAGAGGTTCGAGCCGCGAAAAACGCCGCTGGTCCGCATTTCTTGGTGGCGTGTTTGCCTGGATGAAGCTCAAATGATTGAAAGTGGTGTCAGCAATGCCGCCAAAGTCGCCCGCTTGATTCCTCGACAGAATGCTTGGGCCGTGACGGGCACACCTCTCCGCAAGAATATCGATGACCTATTCGGTCTTTTGCTCTTCCTTCAGTACAGACCGTTTTCTGACTCTAGCACTTTATGGAAACGACTGTTTTCCCGCTTTGGGCCTGTTCTGGTGAACATTATCAATGCGATTGCACTCCGACACAGCAAGGATCGTGTGCGTGATGAGCTCCGCCTACCACCTCAGAAGCGCGTTGTGATCACCACTCCTTTCACTGCGATTGAAGAGCAGCACTACGGACAGCTTTTCGAGGAGATGTGCGAGCAATGTGGTCTTGAGGCATCAGGGGCACCTCTCCGGGGTGACTGGAATCCAGAAGATCCGGGGACCGTGGAGAAAATGCGCACTTGGTTAACAAGACTTCGCCAGACATGTCTCCACCCAGAAGTTAGTGGGAGCAATCGTCGAGCCTTGGGTGCAGCAAATGGCCCTTTGCGCACCGTCGATGAAGTTCTCGAGGTGATGGTTGAAAATACCGACACCTCCATTCGCACTGAAGAACGGACGCTTGTTCTGTCTCAACTTCGCCGCGGTCAGCTTCTAGAAAATGCCAAGCGTCGGAAGGAATCTCTGGCTATTTGGCAGTCTGCTTTGCAATATTCCAACGAGTTGGTGGAGGACAGTCGAAAACAACTACGGTTACAGCGCCTTAAAAGCAAAGATGACGATGCGACTAATGGCTCAACCCCTACTGAAGTTGCTGATCTGAGTGATGAAGATAGCGAAGAGGTGGACAAGAACAGCCGCATTGGTCAATGTCGCCTCAGGCTACGTGCTGCTCTCGAGGTTCAGCATATTGCAGTCTTCTTTACTGCAAATGCCTACTATCAGATCAAGTCCGACCCCAGTCTCACCCAGCCGGACTCTGAAGAGTTCAAAGCGCTTGAGAAGAAGGAAGAGGAAGGCTACGAGGCTGCAAAGTTGATTCGTAAGGAGATGTTGACTGACATTTCCCGAAAAGTCGAGCGGTACATGAAGATCATCAAGGAGAAGACACAACAGAGGCAATTCGTGCACATTCCGAAGTTGAAACCCCATCTTTACAACAGGGGACTGGTTTCATACCGTCTGCTCAATAAGTTCGAAGATCTGTGCGAAGCTTTGAACCGTCATGCCGCTCAGTATAACGAATGGCGGGAAATTATGGTCCAACTTGTGTCTCAGTCGCTCATTGATCAGGAAGAAGATGCTGAACTGGAGGGCAATGAATACGAACGGTCGACAAAGCATCAAGATGAGATGTATGTCTACATGGAAGCTCTTCGGTCGATGTATGCCGATCGCCATGATGCTCTCACCGGTCAGAAGAACATTCTGATTTCCCACGAGGTCAAATTAGGACTCATTCAGGCCCAGAAGGGTGAAGGGCCTTCCCCGGAGCTATTTCTTCGCGTCATGAACACCCGCAGTGACCTCATGCCCGACCCTGAGCTAGGGTCGCTTCGTGGGATTGTCAGTGAACTTCGCAGTTTGGTGACTTCACTTGAATGGCAAGCCGGCGAGGGGGAGTTCGCGAGCCCATGCGGAACTCGAGGTGGTGGGATTTGTTTTGAAAAATGCTGGCCAGATGATTGCTGAGCAGCTTAAAGTGTCATCCAGCCTAGAAAGAGAGGTGGAAATGTTCCGCGACACCATGAACAATCGCTTGGAATACTATCGCCACCTGCAGCAAATTTCGGACACAGTGGCACCGTACGACGAAGAGAACGCCGGAAAGCCCATGGACGAGGATATTTTTGCCTCTAAATTGGAGCAGGAACAGGCCCTCGAAAAGAAGATTGCCTCTTTGAAATCCAAGAGACGCTATCTCATCCATCTGCGAGATGAATCGGGCTCAGAAGATACCTCTAGGATCTGCATCATCTGCCAATCAAGTTTTGAAGTCGGTAAGTGTTCAATCAGCGGACGGTCATCATGGATTATGACTGACCAGCTTTCCACTAGGTGTCTTGACCGTCTGTGGCCACAAGTATTGCACAGACTGCTTGCGGCTGTGGTGGCGTGCCCATCGAACGTGCCCCATGTGCAAGAAGCCCTTGAAACTTAATGATTTCCATCAAATAACCTACAAGCCGCAGGAGCTCGTGGCGCAGGAGGAACAGGCTCCCACCATATTCGAACAAGAGCGACATTCCAAGAATGCCATTTACAGTGATATCAGCTCAGGACTTCTGAAGGAAATCAAAACCATTGATCTCAATGGCTCATTTGGCACCAAGATTGACACCCTCGCTCGCCACATCCTGTGGTTGCGGGAACATGATCCCGGAACCAAGTCGATTGTCTTCTCGCAGTACAAGAATTTCTTGGCCGTTCTACAGAGGGCTTTCCACCGATTCGGAATCATCAGTAGCAATGTTGATGCTCCAGGTGGGATTGAGAAGTTCAAGAAGGACCCTACGGTATGTATACAGGTTCTGACATAATACTTGTAGAACAATTTGCTGACAACGATGATGTAGGTTGAATGCTTCTTGTTGCACGGAAAGGCACAGTCATCAGGACTGACTTTGATCAACGCTACGCACGTCTTCTTATGCGAGCCCCTGATCAATACGGCTATCGAACTTCAGGCGATCGCTCGAGTACATCGAATCGGCCAACATCGCCCCACTACCGTCTGGATGTACCTCGTCTCCGGCACGGTGGAGGAGTCCATCTACGAGCTTTCAGTCGCTCGTCGGCTTGCTCATATCATCGAAAAGGAGAAGCAGGAGAAGAATTCCCGCTTGGCGATTCCGGTTGATGGCGACGAAGCACTATTTGAGGATCTCACGGAGACGGCCATCGATTCCGCCAACTCCATGGAAATGCAGGACGCAAGTTTAAATAACCTGATGACAAGCGGGGCATCCGGTGGAGAGATAGTCAAGGAGGATGATCTTTGGCAGTGTCTATTCGGAAATTCCATCCAGAAAGACAGCCATGGCCACTCCACCGAGGCAGAAAGAGAGGTTGGCCGGTTCCTGCGAGGCGAGGCTGCTGAGCAAAGACGAGATGAACCTACGACTTGAGATGGGCAACTCGCTCAACCATACTTGTAAATAGGCGCGATTAGACTTTATTTTAAGACACATCTTTACAAGGAACATTCTCACACTCAACGTAGTCAACTTGGTTGGATAGTTTCATAGATCACGGGTGGCTTCGGGTGACTCAGCCACTGACTAATCTCCCCCACGCCCATCGGGAAGCTTCCAAGGTGAAACGATCAACTGACGGTGACGTGCGTGTTGTTGCCTTATCTCAATCTTGTCTTTATAGGATTTTGGAAGGGTCAATGCCAGTTCTGGACTCTCTCCTTTGTACACAACAATTTCATCATGGCGGACTCACCGAGCCCCGAGGCTCGCGAGTTGAGTCTGATAGGCAAGGTGGAATTCCGCATCGCCATGGCAGATACTGATGAAAAGCTTCAGTCGCTTCTTCAGATGTATCTGGCCCCTCTGTTGCTGAAACTTTCTTCGGAAAGTGTGGATGTCCGCAACAAGGTCATCTCGGTTTGCCAGCATGTTAGCGCCCGTGTCAAAACCCCCTCGATTCAATTGCCAGTCGCGGCGTTGTTAAAGCAGTTCAAAGAGCAAAAGTCTCAGCTGGTTCGGCATTTTGATTTGATCTACGCCCAGCAAGGAATCGATCGCCTTGGTTCTGATGCCAGAGTCGAGATTCTGCTGCCTTTGCTGCAGGGTATCGCCGAGATTGGAACGTCTGCCACTCAGGGAGCTATTGTATTCAACCTCGTGCTACGCTTACTGCCTCTTTTCAAGCTGCCGCCGAAGGGCAGCGATGAAGACCAGAAGCTCAAGCAGCGCTTGGGCCTGTCCGACGAAGATGCCCGGTTTTTGTCTTCGTGGCTGGGGAAGCTATTACTCCTTTCACCCGCTCCTGCTGAAGCCCCAACATGCCCAGGATTGTCTCCAGATGAGTACAAATTTTTGAACAAAGGAGCGCCGGTCACCGAAACGTGGAATCCTTCCTCTCCGGGCGGCTTGAACCTGACAGAGACCAAAGTCGTGGCTCTTCGCTTCCTCGGAAGCGGGGCTTTCCCGGATTCTCAGCGATTCTTGCCCTCGCTCATTGCTGCTGCCGATGCAAACTCTCGTCTTGCTGACCTGGGCGATGAGACTCTGAAGCGATTTGCAGTCGACCTCGAAGATCCAACGGTGGTGGAACAATTGTATGAACTGTATTTTGGCGCAGGACGGGCTGATGGCGCGCCTCCGGTGCGTGCTCCATTGCAAGTGAAGATCTTGGGTTTCTTGGGAAAGTCTATCAAGGCCACGGAAAACACCCAGAGAATTTTCAAGCTTATCGAAGAGGGTCTTCTTTCGGATGTTGCAAGGTCAGCTCAGGGCCTACAGGCCTCTAAACTAAGAACGCAAATATTCACCTTCACCACCTGGGTTGTCCGCATGGGCTCCCCGTCGGACCTCAAACAAATTGCTCCTAAGCTGATCGCAGGCCTGAGGGACTTTATTCAGTCTCAGGGATGGCCCAGTCCGGGTGCCAGTGGGCAGAAGCTGCCTGCAACAGACCTGAGCTTGCGTGGTCTTGCCTATGAAAGTATTGGTATCATGGTACCCAAGGTTGATTTCCAGCTGCGTGATGAAACAGGGGAGAACTTTGAGTTTGATCTGGTTCGGTGGCTCTTTACCTCATTAAGTTCCGATGATTCAAGTCCAGAGATCTTTGTCAGTATCGACCAGGCACTGGGAAGTATTCTCAACTCCTCCCTAGACAGCCATGACAAAGACTTCCAGGACCAGCTGCGTCCATTCCTGGTCAGCCAGATGGGCTTGCATCCAGGAGATATTGACCCAGATACTGGCTTCAACATTGCCCGGGGTGTACAATACGCTGCTGTGCGATTTGCCAATAGATTTTTGCCCTATAGCGATGTGGTGGCTCGTTGGATCGATCTGATGGCTATTGCAAGAGGTCCTGAGAGACAAACGGAGATCGTTGAGGAAGGCAAAAAAGGTCTTCATCCCTACTGGTTCCGACTTCTCAATCCCACCAAAGACCAGAAATGGTCTGCTCCAGCAACTCAGGAGCGTGATGAGACCTGGTTCAACTTCCCGAGCTTTGCTGATGCAACCAAATTCCTGCTTGGCCCGGGAGGTCAAGATGATAACTCGATGGATCAGACTTTTGCCGGGCCACAGCTTCTATCAGGCCCGTACAAGAACGCATTTGTGCCTGCCATTGCGTTCCTTCGCAACGCCCTCCTCGAGGAAGCATTTTCGGCGGCAGGTATTTCTACCGAGATGGAACAAGACTGGGACTACAAACTTGAAGTACACCTCTCAACTAGTGAACAAGCGCGGTCTGCCGTAAGACAGTATATCCGCAGCTCTGCTAAGGAACCCGTGTTTACGTTCCTGTCGGGTATCCTCGACGGTCTTGTAAAGGAAGACCTTACTAAATTGCGCCAATGTGGTGTTCATTTCATGGAAATCTGTTCATTGGCACCCAACGATGTGGTTGAGAAATTGATCTCTCGAGCTCAGTCTCTGACTCGGCCTATCTTCAGCAACAATCAAGAGATGCAGGGCCTGGCTGCGCGGGCTTTTGGAATACTAGTGTCCCATCCGGCCTTTGCAGAGGTCCAGGTGAAGAGCTTCACAACCCAGCTGGCCGGTACCATTGAGTCATGGAACACCGCTATTGGGGAGGCGGCGCTTCGAGTTCGCGGGGCGATCCTCGCACTCTCTTATCTACTGAGCAGGCTTGCATATCGCGGTTTGCTGAACAAGGTTCCCGAAGCGCAAGTGAAACAATTCATTGAGACTGTTTTGGATATCACTGATGCTTCCCGGGATACTCTTCTTGTGCGGACTGCAGAGGTGGCCATTGGGCAACTCAGTCTATCCGGTATTCTTTCTCTTGAAACTCTCCCCGAAGATGGCTGGAAGAAGATTCTCAAGAAGCTTTCGAGCGATGCCAAATCTGAGAATGATATCCCGATCGCGTCTTTCGGTCTTTTGACGCTGACATTTTCGAGGGCTCAGCCAATGGCCCCTCTATTCACCGAATTCCTGAACTCTCTCTATGGTTTGCATGAAATCAAGAGCCCCGAAGTTCAGTTCACTGTGGGTGAAGCTTTGAGCAACGTTGCTGTCGGATGGGACTCTCGGGCCCTGATTCAAGAGTTTGACGTAGACGCTGCGTTCCCCCGGTCAGATGTGCCACGCACGGTGTTTGCGAAAGTGTGTGACAAGGTCATCGCTGACTGCGTTGCACCCAAACCATCACTTCGAAAAGCCTCCGCTATCTGGCTTCTGTCGCTCGTCAAGAACTGTGGGCACCTGCAAGAGATGCAGGAGCGCCTGCGCAAGTGTCAAGCCACATTCTCTACACTTCTTGGAAACCGGGACGAAGTGGTGCAGGAGACCGGTGCCCATGGTCTCAGCCTTGTATACGAGATTGGTGACCAGGCTCTGAAGGATAGTCTTGTTCGTGACCTCGTGGACTCCTTCACGGCCACGGGAACCAACCTCGGAGGCGGCAATGTCAATGAAGATACTCAGTTGTTTGAGCCCGGTGCACTACCTACGGGTGAAGGGCAGTCCGTCAATACATACAAGGATATTATGAACCTGGCCGCAGAGGCGGGAGATCCCACCCTTGTGTATCGATTCATGTCTTTGGCCTCAAACAATGCCCTCTGGAGCAACCGGGCCGCCTTTGGCCGATTTGGCATCAGCACCATCTTCTCCGACTCCAGTGTGGATGGCTATCTGGCACAGAATCCCAAGATCTATCCCAAACTCTTCCGATACCGCTTCGATCCCAATCCCAATGTACAGCGGTCCATGAACACTATCTGGCAGGCTCTCGTCCGGGACCCTACAGTGGTGGTTGACACCCATTTCGACCAAATTATGGAGGATCTACTCAAGAACATGCTCGCCGGGCGCGAATGGCGTATGCGACAAGCAAGCTGTGCCGCCGTGGCAGATCTGGTACAGGGTCGCCGCCCGGAGAAGTATGCGCAGTATCTGGATGAGATCTACAGCAAGGGTTTCAAACTCCTAGACGATATTAAAGAGTCCGTGCGGGCGGCTGCCCTCAAGCTCTGCCAGACCATTACTAACTCTGTGATTCGCACGCTCGAGACGAGTGGCACGGAGAAGCGCGCGAGTGCTCTGCTCGGGAGCGCCATTCCCTTCCTTCTCGGCGAGCAGGGATTGGACTCGAGTGTGGAGGAGGTGCGGGGATACGCCATCGGGGCACTCGTTCAGATCATCAAAAAGAGCCCCGGTACGAAGCTGCGCCCCTTCGTCCCCACCATCCTCGAGAAGTTCCTGGGCTCGCTCAGCTCTCTCGAGCCGCAGGCCGTCAACTACGTCCATCTCAATGCCGACAAATACGGTCTTACCGGTCAAGAAATCGACAAGATGCGTCTGTCCAGCATCCGCACGTCCCCCATGATGGAGGTGATCGAGCGGTATCTGATCGATCATCTGGACGAGACCAACCTCGAGGAACTGGCACGGAAACTAGAGGACGTGCTTCGCTCGGCGGTGGGCCTCCCATCGAAGGTGGGCTGCAGCCGGGTTCTGGTACTGCTGAGCATGAAAACTCTCCTCTTTCGGCCGTATGCGGACCGGTTCATTCAGCTGCTCAGCAAATACGTGGTGGACCGCAACGAGACCGTGAGTGCGTCATATTGTACCTCGATGGGGTATCTCATGCGACTAGCGTCGGACGATCGGGTTTTGAAAACGATCGATTATGCCAAGAGCCTTTATCTAAACTCCGACGATGCTTCCACTCGGGCCATCTCCGCGGAAATACTGTACGCGTCGAGCAAGCTCTCGAATGACCGGTTCATGGCATTTGCCACCGCAGCTTTACCCTTTGTGTTTGTGTGTAAGCATGATGCCGACGACCACGTGAAGGAAGAGTTTGACAAAACGTGGCAAGACAATGTGGGAGGCAACCGGGCAGTGACACTTTACATCCGGGAGATCGTGGGGCTCGTATCCGACAACCTGGACTCGGCGCGGTGGGCCATCAAACACACGGCCGCCCGCGCGATAGCTCAGGCGGTGGTATCACTTGAAACGGGGATCGATCTCCCCACCTCCCAATTGGTCTGGCCGGTATTGGAAAAGGCGTTATCTGGCAAGACGTGGGAAGGAAAGGAAGTGGTGCTGACCGCGCTGGTCAAGTTCGCGGGCTCCGCTCAGGCGTTGTGGACAGCGCGACCAGACTTGAGTGAGCTGATGAAGGTGGGTTGACAGGACACGAGAGACTTGAGAGACTACAACTGTATCGGGACTAACCCCGCGTTCAGACCATTGCCGTCCGCGAAGCGAAGCGAACTAACGCATTGTATCGACCGCATGGACTACGCGCCCTGGGGCAAATAGCCCTGGCTCGTCAGGTGAACTTCATGCCTGACGCAATACGAATCGTCCCGCCCGTATTAGAGGAAGTGATCGAGGATGAGAAAGAGGGGAACGGGATGGAGATCGACTCCGGGAATGGGCGAGACTCGGCAGACACCCTTGCGGCCGGTGTGCAGTGTCTGCTGCAATGCTTGAACCCCGCCACGGCCGATTCGGGCGACGGTAAGTTAAACCTTTCTCCCTTTCCACACCTGCTTCATTCCCTTATTTCCTTGTTTTAATTTTTTTTTTTTTTAATTTTTCTCCCCTTATTTGTCCACCCATTTTTTCCCCCTGGCGTCTAGTGTCCGCAGCCGGCTAAGCCCGAACCACAGTGTTGGGTAGATACATACGACAGGTGATCGATCCGTTAGACCAAGCCTTGACCCACGGGGGCAGACAGGTCGTCAACACGGTGTACGAAGAGCTCCAAGCGTTCATCGGTAGAGTGGATCAGTGGACAGGGCCCGGTGAACAGGTCCTGGCGGCGCCCATGGCGGATCTGGCGCAGCTGCTCACCCGGGAACGCAACGACGTCGAGACGGTTCGCAAGGGACGCGCGGAGGCGATCTTGGCGTTCCTGAAACTGCGACCGGCAGTACGGACGGTGCCAGACACCTTGGGGGGAAGTGTGCGAGTGTGGAGGACCGGCGAGAGATCCGTGGTGGTCCAGCGCATCCTCGACGAGGCGCTGGGGCTGGTCGCATGAGGGCATCCACGGACACCAGACCACGTGGTGGATCGACCACTTGATGATCCCGGTGGATCATAACGGAGTGATAGCCTTAAGAGTAGAGCAGCCGCTGAGGAATTAGAGACACGGGATATGAGCTACACCGGATCGGGCCACGAACTAGTCACAACGCCACTCGCTTAACCCTCGGTCAAGTCCGTTAGAGTAAACAGGAATTCCGCGAGTGGTCAGCTTTCCCATTTTCCTTCGCTATCCGTACGGGAATCTTCCAGAGTCCCAATCCCGACCAGGGCTAGGCTGGCCTGGCCGGGCCGATCCAGGCCCTGCGCCCTGGAAAACTCAAGCATTCGCTTCCCCAGATGGACATTCTTCGGCTCCGGATCATGAACGTACCACGGATGTCATTCCCTTGGGACTCGTACAAACGACGCACTAGTGTTTACTTTCCATCTCCCCGGTTCTTCGCTCTTCCACCCTCCCTAACCATAGATAGAACACCTCAGACCTCAGCCAGCCCATCCCCCTTCTCTGTTAGCTGCATCGGAGCCCGCCCCCCTGTTTAGGCAAGAGTGTAAGAATAGCACACCACATGGTTGGCACCTGCATGCCATCTGCATTTTCTCCCTCTTTTTCCTTTTTTTTTTCCCTTTTTTCACCCCCTGATTTTTTCCACCCGCCTAAACCTTTTTCGCTCGTTTCCCCGGACGAAACAGATCGTGACTCTTCGTTTTCGTCTTGCTAGGCCCGTAGTTTCCCAAATCAATCTCTATCTGTCTGACCTGTTCATCCCTTCGCCGGCACTTGAGGCTTTGCATCCGAAATTCCTTCGGATTCCCGCCACCTCCAAGCCCCAGGAACAAGGCTGCGCCATCCATGCGTGAACCATGCGGTTCCCGCTCTCCGGTTCCTCTGTAGCTTGATTTACGTTTCTCTTTCCCCTCGACTACATAACCAACCTTCCTTCCCCAACCTTTCCCTTTCCCTTTCCTGTCCCACTTTAACCCATCCTTTCCCCATTCGCCTCGACTTTAAAGCCCGCGAACCCCCCCTTCAATTCCCCTCAATTGGTGACCGACTTTCCCCTCCGGGATCTTTGCATCCCCCATATCGCGCAACCGAGCAGCCCTCGTAAGTTGCGATCCCAGCCGCTCGTACATTTATACAGCTGCCGATCCCTGATCCCCCACACAGCCTCACAGGCACCAGTCAGCCTTATGACGATCACCAGCCTGGTGATGCAAAACCGCCGGGGCCAAGCCTCCGCCAAGCGCCCGCTTCGACTCCCTATCATCGCCCCCAAGGAGGAGCTCGTGGAGGGAAAACCTGAGCAGGGTCTGATTGCGCCCCCGCGCATTCGTTTGCCTCCCAGATCGCGCACCGGTTGCTGGTACGTCCATTCTACTCGCGGTATTGAGCTAACTCGGCAATTGCTAACGCGCTTCTCTAGGACGTGTCGGGTAAGTCCCCCAGTGGTTTCCTCTGCAATAGCAAAAGAATGGTTTATTGACTGAGGCTTTTTTTCGAGCATTGCAGAGTCGCAAAGGTGAGTTTTCAAATTCTTCGGCCCCGTGAGGGGATTATGTGGCTGACCGGCATTCTGCAGTCAAATGTGATGAGGGACACCCGCAATGCAATGTAGGCATTCCTCGGCTAAACGGTCTCTGAACATTTGACTCACCATCGCTTAGCAATGTACTCGACTCGGCCATATCTGCGACTACCGACCGCGTCTGGCTTTTCGCGATGATACCCCTCGGATCATGGGTCGGATGGCCGATGTGAAGACCCAAGGAAACATAGTCTGGGATCGTAAGTGTGATCTGTACTGGGTACCAGCGGCGTCTTTTTTTAACCCGACCGTTTGTAGTTTCTTCGCCCACTCCGAGCGAGAAGTCCGAGTACTTTTCCTCCCGGGATGCCCTTCCTGCCTTTTCTCTCCTCACGTCCGATGAGGAGCGAGAAAGAAAGGCGGAGGCTTCCAGCCCCGGCACGTACCATGTAGTCGTGATCCCGGACAGCTTCTCTACTCTGCCGGAGTACGTGGACGATGCGTCGGATAAGTCCAGATCCGAAGCTAGTGGCTCGGTAGCCAACAGTCCCATGAGCAGATCCAAGGCCGAGAGTGACGCCGGCACTGATCCCAATGTCGTGATCTTGAAGACCTTCGAGGATGTGACTCGACGGTCATCCTCCAATGGCCGAACGCCCAGAGCCTCACCTACATCCGAGATTGCGGATCCCTTTGGCTCCCTCTCCTTGGATCCCATCCTCGCTTCTCTCCCCTCTTCCATCAAATTCGAAGATGATATGTCCTTCTTGGACCCGTATATTGAGCAGCACAGCCAGGACACGGCGCTGTTTGCTCACTTCCGGCACGTTGTCTGGAAGCAGTTGTTCCCTCATGATCGGGGCCAGGACGACTCGTTCGGGCTCGAGAGCAGTGGCATGACTTTGAGCGCGGATTTCCTTGAGCGAGAAGCCGCTCATTTCCCTCCCGTATGCCCCTTCAGTCTTGTTACGATATTCCTATACTGATTTCTCTTGAAGCTTTCCGATGCCATCATGGCTGTCTCGGCGCTCAGTCTTTCACACAGCGGTACCGGGCAGAACGTCGATGCGCTGCAGTACTACCAGCAGGCTTTCCCTTCGCTTCAAACCAGCCTCCGCAACAACGATGATCTCGTTTCCGATGGACTTTTCCTCACCCACTTCCTCCTTCTCATCTACGAGGTACTACAATCTCCGCTAGTTTTGGCTTTCTCGATACTGACTGTCAACATAGGTTGCGGCTGCCGAGCCCCATGGCTCCAACCTCTGGTCTCACCATATCTCTCGCCTACTCCACATTGCCTTCCTCCGCCGGTCAAAGTTTGGCCGTGAACCACATCCCTTTATTCTCTGGTGGATCTGCCACATCGATCTATACGCTTTGTTGAGTGGAGCAGGCACGGGTGAATTCGTGCGAGCTGTCATTGACCATCAGATGCTTCCCACATCTGAGTGTCTTCTCTATCCCTCTGTTCCCGAAGGCCACAGTATGATCTATCCCGAAGAGCACGACAGCTTGCCGGTGATGATGCGTCTGTACGCCGATACCTTTACCCTGGCTGCTCAGCTCGGGTTCCTCGCAGCTCAGCTTCGCCGGGATAAGCAGTCTCGGCCCTCTGAGTTTGATCAGCGGCCAAAGGATATTAGCAATCTGCGGCAGGCTTTTGCAAGGCTTTGGGAGGCTCCCGACGTGACTTACTGGTCTCAACATCAAGACACCCTCCCTCGGCGATCCAAGGAAATCTTGCAGCAGGTCAGTCACATTATTATTATTACACTCCGAATTCCAACGCTAACTTTCCGATAGTCGGCCACTCTATTCCATTCCTCCCAACTGTTCTCATACAGTAGTATGTGGCCTGGTCAACGTCACGAGTCAGAATACACGCCTGACGGAGAGATCGATTACCATGCCGGGGAGATTTTGCGCATTGCCGAACAGACGACGAGCACCCGACGAGCGGACCGACATTTCCTTGTCTTCCCACTTTTCCTGGCGGGTGCGACAGCCTCGGCCAGTGGCCTCAAGATGATGGCCATGGAACTGATGACGAGTATGGAGGATGAGGAGGATGGCATGGGGCGCAATGCAGCGACCACACGGGCCATCCTGCAGACGGTCTACGAGCGACAGCTTGAACGCCTGATGCGGGTCGGCCACACGATGGATGTGGATTGGGCTGATCTGATGGCCAAAGAAGGGCTGCAGATGGTCAATTTCGGGTTCTAAGCGATCTAATGGAGTATGGGATTCGGCGTACTACGGGCATCTGGTGGAACACTATGGCTCTCTTGTCTTTGTTTATTTGTATTCCCATAGCATGATTGATGACGGATGTGTATATGTATAGAAACGAATTTTATGTGCCATGGAACATCACAGTGACAAATCAACAGTGTAGTAGCTATACATAGATTTTCCAAGGTTCCAAAGAACTGAGGTATATATACAAGCGCTGTGACAGGCTCTCGTCACCTGCGGGGTCGGCGTCTCGCCCAACTCGGGCGCTTCGAGATCACCATGCGTTACCTCCTTCTTCATCTTCCCCTTTTCCTTCATCTTTTTTTTTTCTTTTTCCCCGAAAGTCCGAGATTCCAGGCTCGGATCCCTCCGGTTTATTTTTATCCCAGGCTTCCCTATTTTCCGATTCCCCCACATTACCGGTTGGGGCCCAGCTGCCCCTCACCGGCGAAACCCAACTGATCTACGCGCCAAACTCTGTAATAGGTACTTTGTGTATCTTCAGGTGGCTTCTGCAGATTCTTCATCTTTTTCCCAAATCGACCGCCTACATCATGAACCCCGGCGAGAGCCGTGCCCTCCATCCGGATGGCGAGCTGTTCCTCAACTCTGGCAGACAAGAGGAAGCGCCCGTTGTCGAGCCGCTGCGCATCAACAAGAGAGAGTCAGCATCTCCGTCCAGTCCACCACCCGCTCCTTTGCCCTATCCCGATGACCGTCCCCGTCCCCAGATGCGTACCTCCAGTTCCAACGATGGGCGTCCCACGGATAGCAATCGATATGGTTCGCCGCCGCCGGCTGGTTCCGGTTCCGTAAGCCCCGCTGCTTATCCCCCAGCTTTGCGACCCCGCGATGGTCGCGAGCCTCGAATCGCTACATTAGCTGAGAGACGAGGCACTGCTCCGAAGCCGTTGCCAGAATCGCCGGGTCCCGATGCGCCAGACCGGGAAGCTTTAGCGGCCAGGCCGTATCCCCGTCCGCCCGTGGCCTCGGCTCCTAAACAGGATAATCAACAATATGATTATCGTCAACAATACTATCCGCCTCCCCAGAGTTCGGCATCCCGGCCCTCTTCAAGTCTACAACCCCCACAGAATAGCTCAATTAATCGAATCAGCTCCACTGCATCCACTTCTACAACTCGAGCTCAACGTGGATCTCCTCCACCGCCAGAAACACCTATCGTGGGCCCTGGTCAACAGCCAGGTTCTGATATCGAGGCCCGTTATGTTGCGGCTGGGATCGCAGGCACGGGGACACTTGCTGGCCTTCAGTCGCAGAGTGTCGCCGCGCAAATGCGCGCTGGACAGTATACAGGGCAGCAAGCAACCTATCAACAGCCACAACAAGAGTCCCAACGGCCGTGGACTCCCACTGAGCAACCGGGCAGCCAGCCTCATGGCCCGCCCACTGTCTACCAGGGCGCGGAAGTTGTCAGTGGTGAGCAACCAGCTACGCAGCACCTAGGACAGTATAGCAGCCCTCCACCACAAGCCCAGCAGGCTACAGTTGCTCCAGAGCAGCAATCGCCGTCGAGAGTCCCGGCCAATGCGCTACAGCAGGACATGGATCGGATGCGCCTCAGCTCGTCTCCACCTCCTGCCTACTCGAGTGTCTCAGGGCCCGGCGCACCAAATGGGTACCCAAATGAAAAACCGGGTGGCGCCGTTGCTGGGGCGGCAGCAGCAGCAGCTGCTGCTGTTGGGGCACATCCAGCAACAGTAAACCAGCCGCACCCTGCTGATGCTGCGGTAGCCGATTCTACTGCCACTTCTGCTTCTCCAGCATCATCAGCCCCGGCACTCGATCATCCGGCTTTTGCAAACGACCCACGACAGCAACAGCATATGGGACAATCGCCGCAGCATTCTGTGGCCAATGGCCAGCCTACCTATCAGCAGGCAGCGCAAGTCACTTCTCCAGGGCCTTCTGGACCTCCTCCAGCATCACCTCCGCCTCTTCCAGAGGGTTGGATTGCTCATATGGATCCCAGCTCGGGGCAGTATTACTATATTCACCTGCCTACTCAGTCAACCCAGTGGGAGTTTCCTAAAGGCCCCACGCCACTGAACCTCAATGACACCCCCATGTCTCCGGTCGGCAGCGTTTACAGCAGCCATCCTCTGGTATCACCGGGACTCTCCGCATTTGGCAAACCGATGGCATCTCCAGGTGTGCCGCTAACCCCAGGATTTGAGAGCCTTCATTCTCCTATGACTGCAGGTTTCTCGGGACCGCCCCCAAGTAGCGGTATGGATCTATACAAGACAGCCCCCACAAACGGCGTCTACTTCGGCCCTTATTTGAGGTACACTAACATGGACCTTGAACGTGGACTTTGGTTGGGCTCTATTCTTTTGGTGACCGACGCCGCCCAACCGCCCACAATCCATATCCATCAGAGTGTTGATCTGTCCCCCAACCCGAGACAATTGAAGGGGATCAATATTGCCGCCCATCAACGGTGGACCTTCTACAAGTACGAAGTTGATCTACAGATGGACGACGCAGGCCCTGCCAAATGGACCTATGCCATTACTTCGCATCTTGGCTGCACCCGCTACGAGTTCCTGGTCGCCGGACGACACGAGACCAACTGGCGGTTCATTGCAGTATCAGGGAATGATTTTTCACTCAACGTCAATGCCAATGAGCGGTCTCGCCTGGGCGGCGTGGGCTTCATGTGGAAGGATATCATGCAAAAGCACAACGAGATTGGAGGGTTCCACACCCAGTTATGTCTGGGTGGACAGATCTACGCAGATCGGATGTGGAAAGAAATTCCCTCTTTGAAACAATGGCTCTGCATCCGTGGGAAAGAAGCTAGGAAGAATGCACCCTGGACAGCTGCGAATCAGCAGGATGTGTCCTATGCCTATTTCCACTACTATACCAGTCACTTTGACCAGCCGCACTTGAGAGAATCTTTTGCACAGATCCCTTATATCTGTCAAATTGATGACCACGATATGTAAGTCCCTTCAGCTCTTCCTGTATGCCCACAGCATGGCTAACAATTTTTAATTTTTTTCAGTTTTGATGGCTTCGGCTCCTACCCCGAACACATGCAGTTCTCGAACATGTTCAAAAACATCGGACGTATTGGCATTGAGATGTACCTCCTCTTCCAGCACCATACCACTCTTGATATCCTTCGCAATGTCAACAATGACATGGACCTCTTCACGATTACTGGCACGGGCTGGCACTTTGTCAAGTATCTCGGCCCCGGTGTCGTGGTCGTCGGCCCTGATTGTCGTTCGGAGCGCAATCCTCATCAAGTGATGGCTGGTCCCACATATCAGGGTCTCTTCCCGAAGATTGCAATGCTACCGCCGAGCGTACAGCATTGTCTCTGGATGATCTCGGTGCCACTCGTCTATCCTCGCCTGGAAACAGCAGAGCAAATTGCCCAGACCGTTGCCACAGGCAAACGAGCTGTGACCGGTGCCTACAACGTTCTGGGCAAGGTGACCAGCTCAGTCGCCGGTGTGGTGGGGGCCAAGGACTTCGTAGGATCAGGCTTTGATTCTGTCAAGCGCGCAGTTGGGAAATCTGGACTCATGGGTGGCATCTTGAGCCCATTCGGTGAACTCGATCTCATGGACGAGCTGCGTGATCAATGGACGCACGAATCCAAGGTTTGTAGGCCTTATTTCTCTTATTTGGTTTGGCTTCATTGCTAACGAAATGACCACAGGACCTTGAACGAACATACCTCATTCGAACTCTGCAGGGAATTGCCCATCAGAAGTCTCTCCGCATGACCTTCCTCTCCGGTGCCGTCAACGTCTGCGGCGCAGGACTCGTTCACGATCCTTCCCAGCCCTCAGACCACAAGACCATGTACCAGCTCATTGCTTCTCCCGTGGTCAACACTCCGCCGCCATCCTATGTTGTCAAGCTCCTTCACAGCCACAACAAACCGCTGTATGTCCCTGCCAACGGCCACCGTTCCTCCGGTCAACCTACCGATACCAAGGAAGATATGATGGAGATCTTCCAGACCGATGTCACCGGCCAGGCCCGTGAGCACCGCAAGCTGATGGCTCGCCGTAATTATGTTGCTATCGTCGCATATGACCCTGACGTTGCCACTGCTCCTACCTTTGGGCAGCCTATCATGGCTCAAGGCCAGGGTAAGCTTAGTTTGGCTGCTGATTTCATGGTTCAGGGTGAAGGTGCCTATGCGAACGTGGTCAAATATGGACCTGTCATTGTGCCGAGTCTGGAACACGGCCGCTGATGATGACTCTCTTATCACATCGTCTATCTCTTTTGCGTGGTCTTGACGATGGCTCTATATTCTTGCACACGAATTTGATCTTTGGCTCCTCTTGTTCATAGCTGTTGGACTTTATTATTACCCCGGCCTGGTTTTGCGAGCGTGTTATTAGATATCGTATGTATTCAAATGGCAATTAGATGTTTTTACTCGAGCTTCCCCGTTTAGTCTCCTGCCTCAACCTTGAAATTGAAATGTGTCAAGATATCAGCTTTGTGAAGCATTGACTAAAAATACATCCGCTTCGTTATATACATTTATGGTAGTGCTAATAGACCGCATGTGTGCCCTATCCTATTATTCCGCCAAAGCTATAAAGCATTACGAGAAGACTGCAAGCAACCTATCCAGTTGGATCTCCACCAGGTACACACAATCCAATGCGCCAGAAGTAGTCACGGTGGGCATAAAAGAGCTCCCAAAGTCGATATCTTGCCGGAATCACGGACCAGTTCCAGCGGCGAGGGTATAATGACCTTGTCTCGTCACGAGATGCGCAGTCTGCAGGCTTCTGCTTTCCTAGCACGGCCTGCTGGCCAGGTTGCGTATCAGGGACGCCCTCGTACATAGAGCAGAGATCTGGATCTGAGTTGAAGACATCAAGGGGTATATCAACATCCTTGAGCATGTTGCTTAGCGCAGAAGGTATCTCAGACCCTGCAATGCATTGAGGGTCCTCGTTGCCAATGCATAAATGGACATCTTCAACGGATGGAGGAAGATCCGGATTGGAAATGTATATTTCCCCGGCATGGGGTGCGTACCCCCATTCTCGGAGTGGGAGAAGAGGCACGGGGTCATCGACGTGAGTGACACGGCGGAATCGTTGGCCTTCTGTATTGCCTGTGGGCTTGCTGTAGTTCCCCAGTTGGAACTGCTCGTCAAGGAAACCCACGAACGCCGCATTGCCGACCATCGGCTCACCAAACGTGGTGACTTCTGGATTCCAGCCCTTAAGGCGCATTTCTAGGCCCGCTAGCGCTGCCACAGCGCCTCCAAGGGAATGCCCTACCAGAGTGACCTCATAGTCGGGATACTTCTCTCGCGCTTCTGCTAGGTGGGATAGCACAGTGGGACGAGTGTTGATCCATGATTTCAAGAACCCGGCATGGACGGTACAGTTTTCACATCGTGGCGCGGAAGAGTTCAGTTTGGTTGTCTGTTCCCCATCCCCCGGGGTTCCATCTCCAAGGTATGGCACATAGGATTGTGGAACTGCGGAGAGATCTATAATCGTGTTTGTAATTGAGTAAGTCCCGCGGAAGGCAGCGATGATGCGCTTGGGGCCGGGAGAGTGGGAGATTGCGATATAGCCGCATGAGTCAGAGAGAAGGACTCTGGTACTCCATGTCTGTGAGGGGGTGAGGATCTGCTCTCGTCGCGTAGTAGTTTACCGGAGGGCACTTACAGTAACTAGCTCTAAGTTAGGAAATTCAGCACAGTGGCTCAAACACTGGAATGGCTCCTGGATGCCAGTTGTGCTCACGCAGTAGGAGATGTCTACTATCCGTGATAACTCCTCGAGTGAGTTGAACAGGTCGCTTGAAATGTGTCGAGTCTCATTTCTTCCTAAGGCTACTCCAAGCCAGGATAGAAAATACAAAAGCAGCACTTCCAAGCGAACCATTTTCGGGTAGTGTCAAGAAGGACGATTGTTCCAAGTTTGCGAGGCGGTTGCGGAATCCGGGGAAGGTGGGCCGCGATTAGGTAATGATGTCACACATCCAGGTCATGGGAAAGGATCACGAATGGTGTACGCTTTTATGCTTTTGCTGGTGTTTACTGGGGATGTGTAGGATTGCAACCGGTCGAGTATTTGCTATTCTCTAGGGATTTAATATACCGAGGTTCGTGGGTTCTTCAAATGCTCCACACCACAACACGGCCATCAACACCACTCGCTGCATTCCAGGTTAGCATAAGATCAACGGATCAACTACGGAGATGTACTCACTGCTGAACGAGCGGACCTGCCCATTAGATTCGTCAAAGGCACGGACGGTGTTCACGGTGTTCTGGTGGGTCGATTTGAGCTTGGTGTCCACCTGGCTCTGGCCCTTGAGATCCATCTGCCGGAACATGTTGAGCGCAGACTCCTCACGGGCGCCGCCGGCACCGGAGTCCTTGTTCTCCAGCGAGCCAGCAAGCTGCCATCCATTCTCATCACCGCTGAAGCGGAATGGCTCGCAGTCCTAAAAACCAAGCATTAGTACAACTCAAGTGATCCGCGCCGTAGATTGGAGAGACATACGTGACCGGCTGCAATGATTTCATTCTCGCCATTCCAGATGAGGCTGTTGAGCGGCAGCAGACGGGTGGAGATGTTCAGCATCGCCCGGGGCGGCTGTTCCGGCGCACTGGGGTAAACGACCGTAACGCTGCTGTCGTGTCCAGTGAAAGCAAGAGCGTTTCCACTCGGGGAAAATGCGACACCCTGGATCCAGCCAGCTGAATCGTTCAAGAATTCACCGCAGATCGTGTTGAATGGAAGGCGCTCTCCCCAGGCGCTGGGCTCTGGGCGGGAGTCAATTCCCTTGATGAAGCTCGAGAAGACTCGTGCATGCGAGTCGGTGGAACCAGCGGCCAGCAGCACGGAGTTGGGGTGCCAAGCCAGAGTTGTGATGGTGCTTCGAATCGGTTTCTTAAGGTGCTTCGAAATCCACCAGTCGTTCTCCTCCTCAAAGTAACAGACAGAGATCAGGCGAGCTCCGGAACCGACGGCGAACTTCTGCTCGGAGGGCGACCAACGCACAAAGGTCGCGGCGCGGTTAATTCGGAGTAGGACGAGCGTAGGCTTCCAGCCAGAGGAGGTCTTCTCCCAGACGTATGCATTGCGGTCTGCATAGAAGTGTTTAGTTGATAAATGAACCTAGGCACTCTGTGAGGTAGAACCGACCCTGGGAGCAAGTAACGATACGTCCACTGTTGGGAGCGATGTCGACACCGGTGACCGTCTTCTCGTGACCCTTGAGTTCATCGCTCAACGAGAACTTGTTGCCTGACGATTGGTACAGCTCCACATTGTTCTCCCGGGCGACGGCAAGGGTCTGCTTGTCAGAGGAGAACGAGTGGTCTGCGATTGGAGAGTGAAAGAGATGGTGAACTTGAGGAGCGGCCATGGTAAAGGTGCGAGAATCGACAGGAGGAGCTCTCTACCGTCGATGAGGGGGGAAGCAAGCGGGAGCTGGGGGAACCCGACAACTGGACCGCGGGGCGATGAAGCCGTCCCGTTAGGTAATCGTCACATGACTTCACTGCTTTTCTCTCGCGGTTTGGGACATCCGAACGGGTTCACGCAGTCGCCGAGCTCTCTTATTGTATCCCTGCCAGCACCGTTTGCTTTCTCTTTCCTTCCTTTTTCCATGCGACCACGACAATAACCAGATACCCCACCCAATACCACACAATATGGCCACCAAGGCAGCTTCACGCCCTGACGCCAAGGCGACGGTTCCTCCCAACCAGACGTAAGCTCGCCCTTTGATCGCGATTGACCTTGCAATTGGATACTGACAGCTTTCTAGACTGTACTGCACCAACCTTCCAGACAAACTGCGCAAGCATGATCTTCGCTCGTCGCTCTACACCCTCTTCTCTACCTACGGCACCGTCCTCGACGTCGTGGCCATGAAGACGAACAAAATGCGAGGCCAGGCTCATGTGGTCTTCAAGGACGTTCAGGCCAGTACACAAGCCATGCGCGCTCTTCAAGGATTTGACTTTTTCGGCAAGGAAATGGTGTGTGTTGCCCATTTTTGACATTTCGCAGCGCTAATGATATCTAGAAAATCGTTTACGCCAAGGGAGCTTCCGGCGTGATCGCCAAGCTTCGAGGTACATACGTTGCACCTGCTACCGGTGCCGGACCCAGTGGGGTCTCGACCGATCTTCAGAAGACCATCTTCAGCGGCCCGCCGGGCAGTGTGCCCGCGCGACCCGCGACCGAGACCAACGGGGAGGCGCACGGAGTGAAGCGAGCTCGTGAAGAGGAGAGCGACGAGGAGGATGCGCCGATGGAAGAAGACAGTGACGTGCCGATGGAAGCTTCCTCGGACGAAGACTAAATGGATTCGAGGGCCAAATTCATGTATGGCTCCGTGGCTGGGCAGGGATCTTTCGCTTGGCATTTCCCCGCCGATGCAAGGTGCTTCAGGATGGGCTGGGATCGTCCGAGGCGACGAGCTCACGTGGGACGTGCAGGTTCACGCAATGCCCGACGAGGCCGAGCCAGATGATGAGGTACGTTCCAGGAGTGACGCTCCGTGCGTCTGCAATCTGTGCCATGGCATCCGCCGTGTTGCACGGGTGGACAAAAAAAGCCGGAGCGCCTGATGCTGGATGGTACTACGAAAGATGAGCTCTTGCGACGCGATCTTCATGCTCGAGGGCAAACCTACACCGAAGCTGATGCCCCCGATGACCCCCACACCCTTCAATTCCTTTCTGTACTGTTCCGGGACCACATACTGATAGACGGCATCCAGCCCGAGTGGGCCCTGGTGGTTATGCCACCTGAGTGTGAAATACAAGACGGGGACTTGATATGTGGGGGAGAACACTATATCATAGTCTATCTGTAAATTAGGGTTGAGATCGGTGCGAACCAGCGCCTCCTGTCAAGAATGAAGAATGAGCATCGTCGAATGTTGTCCAGGTGCGAGCCTTGCCGTGCACCGATGGGGGTTTGCAGACCGGATCCTCGTCTTCCAGCTCCTGTGCTTCCCGTAACTCTGGACCCTCGATGGTATCCAGGACATCCACGCATCGAGTAATTCTGAGATAGGTATCGTTCTAGGATTGGATTCCCCTACGTCAATAGAGTGCCCGAGGCCGTGCCCGATGTAGGCAGGGGGGTTACCTCTGTGACAAGTCGAACGGATGACCAACCCCCACAGCCGCAGGTTCGATCGGCCAGGTCTCGACAGGCCCATTCAAAGTCGCCAGCGGTCAAGAAGGGGAAGGCGGACAGTGCACTCGCCATGACCCAGACCCACCAGGTCTGTCAATAATCACGCCGTCGCCGGGTGCAGTTTCCGGTTGACTCGCGTGGAGTGGTTTTGGGTGGGGAGAATGGGTAGGGAGAGCTTAGCGTGGTAGCAAAGAGTCAGAGAACGTGGGGTCTTCAAAGGAACCCTCTAATCAGATCAGTGAATGGTTACAATCGACCCAGGGAACGGCCGGGTACGAAAGCATAACACAATGAACTTGTGGAGGGCCGACCATGTCGCATCAGGTTTTTGATGTACGACGATCCCCGGATGTGTAGACGGTACTAGCGCCGAGTATGGACAGATAGCGCAACGCCAAGGTACCCGGTACTTATCTCCCGTTTACCCCAGCCGCAAGCGGCTAAGGTCGAGCCAATCAATCCAAGCGCTTCACCCATTTCAACTTTCGATCGCAGGCAGAAATTAACAGGGAAAATTACCTACCGGTGCTTCCCTGTTCCGCATGCAGCATCCCCCAACGCACGTCCCTACGCTACGCGATGGCGCTGGCCCGAGAACAGGGAGAGCTCGCAAGTTGACTCGTGGCGAACTAAACGCATTCGTCTCGTCGTCCTGCATCCCTCGACTTTTTATGTATCTAGTGCCCAGCTTCCCCCCCTCCGTGGAGGCAGATTCCTGCCTCGTTGCTTGTTCTTGTTATTGTTCTTTTTTTTTTTCTGTTGTTGTGATTGCTTTCGTGTTTCAACCTGTTCATACATATTGGGTATACTCCCTGTTTCATTGTTGATTCCCCCGCCGTCTACTCGGGAGTAGACGGACCGAGCATACTGGAAGTACTGAGGGACTGGGTACTGGACACGGTCTTCGTGAATTCTGTGAAGACCCTCTCCCTGGACGTGTTGTAACCTCAACACTCTTGCCATCCCCGCCCTTCTCGCCTTCGTGGCTCCGGTCCAACCGATCTCCGCATCATCTACCAATCTGAAACACGGGTTTCCTCCATCGTCTCCGCACGGGGGCCCTTCAGCCGCCAAATCGTACGGCCGATTGCAAACGCAACGGGTGGCACAACTTGGTGCCCGGATCGATCTCTCAGCAATCACGGCGTGGTTTGACGTCAATTGCCCGGGATTCGATCTAATCTGAACAGAATCCTGGGAAACCACTGGCCCACTTTCTGTTTGCCCCTCAGGCCCCCTTCATCTGATATATTTACTTTGGCCATCCCATGCTGCGCAGGGTCTTCCTTTTAAAGCCTTGGGGAATTCACACTCTTTGCTCTTGGTGCCTGTGACGCCATGGGCAATCTACAATCGAGCTCAGCGAAAGATGAGAGCCGCCGTGCCAGCCGCCTTTCCAAGCCTCTGACGAAGAAACTAGCTTTTAGTTCTCCGCAGCTATCTCGCCCTGAACCCGATCAGCCGGAGCTTGCCACGGGGCTGATTGGATGGCAAAACCCTTGGGTTGGTTCCCAGATCTCCAGGGATATCAGAATTAGCTATCCGAAAGCGACGGAGATCCCTCCAACCTTGTTCGAAGCAGAGCCAGGTGCACCAGAGCAGAGCCCTAACGAGAGCCCTGCTCTATCTCCGACCCAATCTCTGAAGGATCAGATCCCGGAGCCCGTTGCACCTCGTTCGGGCTCTCTTTCCACCAACCCGCCCATCAGAAGAGCCTCGTATCAACCCCGAATACGGACTGATTATTCCCAGACACCTTCGGTTCCAGAACAACCGAGACGGGCCAACTCTATCCAGACTTCTCTGCAGAGACATAGGAGTGTGATCTACGAGAGCCCGATCGAGGATGCAACGTCCTCTAACACGGCCTTCTTGGTTGGTAACCAGCGTTTCTCGCTGACCCGCCGTCGGTCCTTGCTAACACGGCCGGGGGTCGCTACGCGGCGAACAACGGGTGCCGTTCGACGTCTACCGTCCCCAATTGGGGAGCCCGAGAGCTCCGATGATCTGATGGAGCCTCGGGGTTTACAATGGCCTCTGCCTCCGTGCGAGAGAACCCCGCTGCCCTTTTTGCTACCAGCGCGGCCAACCAGTCCCACAGACACTCGGTATACTCAGCTCGGAGCTCTCAAATTGGGATCCTTACGAGTGGTCAATGGCTCTGCATCCCCGTGCCCAAGTGAGCGGATTCCTCATTCTACAGCGCCGGGGCTCGGGTTGGAGAATGCCGAGACCGTTGCTAAGAGAGGCTCTACCCTGGAGATTCCCTTGCTGTCCGAAGTGAAGAAATCAGACGATGTACCCGACAGTCCATTCTCGTTCGAGAAGTCGCCCGTTATGGCAGTGCCCCGGGGCAGTTCGGTCTTCCCCGGTGAGGCAGAGGATGAGGGTATCGCCATGTACGACGTTCCCCTGGAGAAGAGTGTGATGGGCACCGGGGTCGATCAAAGCACTCTTCGATCGCTCAACAAGTCCGACAGCGGGTACAGCTCTGCGACATCCGTTCGTTCCCTTCAGCGAAGCCGAACAAGCGCGTCATTCGATTCGCAGGCTTCTAGTTCCTGCGCTGCGGACACCACCAAGAACGTCTACCTCGGAGGTGACCAGTCCTGCGGCCACGGCGATAAATTCCAGCGCCACCTCAGCATCCAGGACGCTCAGGCTGGTAACGTCCCGCGGCCGTATCCAGCCACCACTCGCTGGTACGACGGCAGTGGCCCAGTCACCCAGCCCGATGCGGGATTGCGGGCGCGCCGATCTACATTGTGCGCTCCTCGATACACGGAATACCCTGAAGCCCCAGAGCCTGCCGTTGTGGAGACACTGTATGCGTTCGCTTCTCAGCAAGAGCCAAGAGTTTATACCGGAAGGACTCCACCTGACGATAGCTTTTACAAAAGCGCGGTTGACGTCTCTTCCAGGTCGAGTTCCTCGGCAACTTTGGTGGCAACGCCCAGCTATCAGGAGATCGCAGGCACGAATATTCGAGGCCGAACGCATCGGCCCATCTCTGGGCATCATGCGTACGGAAATCGCGACGCGTGGATCGACCACTCTCGATCCAAGAGCAGATACAGCAGCCGGATGTGGTGCCAGGGACCGAGCACCGATGCGCCCCCGCTGCCGACGATCTTGTCTCCAGATCATCTGCAAGCCGGGATAGAAAAGGAGGCGGAATTCCCCCTCTCAGAAATGTATCGAGGTCGATCTCGAAGCCGAAGCCATGATTACCGCCGCAAATTGACGAAAGCGAGTCCCCAGCCTGAAATGTTCATATAACGACATGTTTGTTTTTGTTTTTTTGTTTTTTCTTTTGTGGTTTCAGTTTACTGATCTCGATATGGATGACGGTGTTTTTTTGCTTTACTTTCTGCCGGTTTTGGTTGCGTCAACATAAAAGTTCATGAGGTGTTTCGTGGTGGAATCGGGGTTTCTTTCTGGTCCATGGAGTTTGAATCGGTATACCCTCGTTTATTTGCGTGAATTAAGGCGTTGTTCATGGGCGTCATTGGCCTTGTCAGAAATGCATTCGTTTCAATCAATTTCATGATTCAAGACAATTCCAGCTCTGCTTTTGCTTCTGCCCGTAGCCCGCGCATACCCCGATTGCAAGCTGGAACCAAGTCGTTTACCGCTTAGCCTAGGGGTATATCGGCTCGTGGGACATTTCCCCGTCCCTGCTTTTTTTTAAGTTCGTACATCAGCCACCTCGCCACTCGACCTGCATCCCTGCAGGAGACACGCCCAGGGTCTAGCTGAGGAAGATCTCAACCACGCGCCAAAGCAAGGAGTTTGCAGCTCATTGCAGCATTGGATCCGACCTGGCAGAGAAAGCTACATGTTACATATCACATATCGTAAATGCGGTGAATGCTAAGGTTTTTATGATAAGTTCATTATGTCGAATATATGCTAGTCATACATGTGCCATATAATAAATCAAGAGGCGCCAGAATCCCGGGTCCCAATGCGTAGAGAATACAACTCAAGTCAAAGCGTATTATTGAATGCGGATTTTCTTCGTCGTGGGCGCAGTCTCTTTGGGTACGACGACTGACAAGATGCCGTTCTTCAGGCTGGCGCGCACTGCATTTTGATCGACACGAGTTGAGAAGGTGAAGGTCCGCTGGAACTCGCCGATTGACCGCTCCGAAGCCCAGTAGTGGAAGGATGGCTGGGCCCGGTCAGTCGACGTCACGGAGCCGACGGTGTCGGTGTCTGCGTCGGTGTCGGTGTCGATAGAATCGGCTTCCTCATCCTCGACAGTAGGCTGGCGCCACCGGCGAGCGCGACGCGGGGAGACGGTGTTTTCCTTCTCGTTTTGGTAGGAGCGTTGAGTTTGACCTTTGATGACCAGTGTCTGCGGATCACTGAACTCGATGTCGATTCCGCTCTGGTCCACTCCGGGCAACTCCCCGTCGAGGTAATAGCCATCGGTCAGCTCGCGTACATCGAAAGCTGGGGTGAAGCGCGATGGAGAGGGAGTGGGGCGGGAACGGTGGGTCTCGTAGTCATCGAGCAGGCGAAAGAGTGGACGGAAATCGGAGTTGCACAGGTAGGCCATCTTGTATTGATTTTGGAGTTCTTGGGTTCTTTGTTGAGTACAAAGGTTCTTGAGAAGGATGATAGATTTCATTCCCTGCAAAATCGCCGTATTATATACTATATAGCTCGAGGTGGTGCCTTGCCGCTGCTGGTTTGTCAGAAACTTCCAGAAGCGGGTAGCTCGTTCTGCCAACTTCTCCAATCCTCTATCGCCATCGAGTGTCATCTCGCTGCACTACATACCATTCGGGATCTCGAATATTCCAGTCTCGGTATTTTAAGCTAGTCATCTGGTGGCGCGATCTTTTGCTTGGATAATCATCGTTTGTAAGCCTAGGGTACACATATACAGTATATCGGTCGAAGTATATCGTGCCCCAAGTTGCAAATCACTACCAATATGAATGACAACGTAGTTAATTTTAATGACGTGGCCCTCTATCAGATTGAATTTGGATCATACAAGGTTATATACACAGGGGTCCTTCCCAAAAGGACCAAGACAGAATGCCGCCAGATTTCTGTCGATATCGTACACGTCCACGCCTGCTACTTCCTCAATAGGACTGCGTCGGGTGGACTCGGGGCCCTTGAGGGCCTCGAGGGCAGAGTGACTCTACCTCTAGCCACCGGTGAGCTGGTAATTGGAAGATCCAGAAACACGAGAAACCCACGGAAAGAAGAGAGAAAGGTCCGGGAGCGCACTCATCGAATATTACGAATTCCCGGAGAAGCGTACATCTCGAGCTGGCGGTGGCCCTTGCGCAGGAGATACTCGATGGCGCCAAAGTCCTTTTTATTCACCGAGAGGTGCTTTTGGAACTCCGCCCTAGGCCGTCTCAGCCGGAGTGCACCGAGGACTGGGGGAGTCCCGGGAAAGAGACATACCTAGCATAATTTTGGAAATTGCTTCTTGATTCCTTCGGTACATCAGCGGAAGTCTAGGGGTGGGGGAAGGGGAGGGAAACGGCGGCTTACCAGAGGTTTCTGGCGGATTGCACGTAGACACTTTCGGTAGAGGGACAAGACCTCCCGCTGAAGACCGGAGAGCCGGGCCATCACAGAGTAATGAAGTCAAGGGGGATGCAAACCATTGGATGGCCGCGCCTGGGGAAGCGCGAAGCTCGCCAGCTCCGTTTTCCGCCGGGCCCCACGTCCATTTCCCGGCCGAATGGAGCTTCTTGATCTACATGGTACTTAGGCGGCCTACATCACCCTTATCTACTCCTCATTTTATTCCCCCATCATGGCTACTTTCACGGTAAGTAGATTTTCTACCTGCAAATTCCAATTGGCTAATTCCCCCCTAGCATCTCGTCCGCTTCCTGGCCAAGGATGGCCACATCTATTACGGAGATGCGATCCTCCCGTCGGGGGTCACTGACATTTCCCAGGTTACTCGAGCAAAAGTCATCCAGGGTGATATCTTCGGTCAACACCGGGTCACCGAGAAAATTGCCGACGTGCGCATGCTCCTTGCTCCTCTGGCGCGCAAGGATATCGGGACCGTCCGTTGCCTCGGACTGAACTACGAGCAGCACGCCAAGGAGTCCAATCTGCCCATTCCCAAGTATCCGGTGCTGTTCTTTAAGCCCGTGACATCTATCGCCGGTCCGACAGATGATATCCCCGTTGCGCAAATTGCCCAGGAATGCGAGGGTCTCGACTACGAGTGTGAACTAGTTATCGTCATTGGCAAGGAGGCCAAGGACGTTTCCGAGAGCAAAGCTCTGGATTACGTCCTGGGCTACGCGGTTGGAAACGACGTCTCTCATCGCGAATGGCAGATTAAGCGTGGCGGAGGCCAGTGGGGATTGGGTAAAGGCTTCGATGGCTGGGCCCCATTTGGACCGGGCATCGTCTCCTCCAAGGTGATTTCCGATCCAAATGCCCTCCAAATCTCGACCACGTTGAACGGCAAGACCGTCCAGTCCTCTTCTACCAAGGATATGATTTTCGGCGTGGCCGAGACCATCGCTTTCCTGTCCCAGGGGACCACTCTTCTCCCCGGAGACATGATCTTCACCGGAACGTAAGTACAACCCAATCTGTGCACTCGATCAACGATGCTAACTGCGATGCAAAAGACCGCAAGGTGTCGGCATGGGTCGAAAGCCTGCTCTGTGGCTCAAGGACGGTGACCGGGTCACAGTCTCGCTGGAAGGGGTTGGGTCCTGCGTCAATCGCGTAGTCTACGACAAGCCTAGCCCCAAGCTGTGAGAAACGGCTCTTATAGGGGCATTGTACATATCAATTGTCATCAACGTTCATATCCAACCGTTTCATCCAATCTTCATTCATTGGGGTCCTCATGTAATCAAACTAGGCGAGTATGACGATAACCCAAAAAAAAAAAAAGTTCGAAATCTAGTTTGTCTGAGCCCCATATCCCTTGATTCTCTCGGCAAAGGCCCAGCTCTGGCCCTCGAGCTGTTCGTCCTCCTTCAAGTCGATGCCCTCCTTGGTAATCACCGCTATCGAATATTTGTCTAGACTCCGTGCATCACGGTAGAACAGAACCTTCAAGCACTCCTTCAGGGCCGCCACAGCCTGGTCGCGGCTAATTTCTTCGATCGGCTTCTCGTCGGGGAACACACGTCGAAGGATCGGAACTGCAAGGTGGGCACCAAACCCGGTTGCCAGGTGAGGAGCAGAGAAAGTTGTTCCCAGAAGATCTGCTGAGCTGAGGAACGGTTCGCCCTCCCCGTCGAAGCCTGCGACAAGAACGTGGTTCCACAGTGGGTTGAATTCGGAGCGCCGTTTATAGAATACCTTGGCGAGGTAGGTATGCAGATTCTTGGCATTGAGCATGTTGCCGTGAGTCGAGTAGTTCTCTCGGATATCGATGGATTCGAGGAGACGGTCAATGTATTGCATATCGGACACATCTCCACCAAATCCGACCACTGCCTTGTCGCCAAAGGAGCGCAGACGCTTCACGTCGGTGAAACGTGCGAGGGATCCGTACGATGCTAGAGCCGAAACAGAGTGAGTTAGAATGGGATTTCCGGACCGGAGGGCAATGAAGCGGGAGATGAGAGTGTACGTACCTAGGTTGTCGGTGGCCAGGGCGACACCGCCATTAAACTTCACGCCCACGACCGACGTTCCAGTCACGGCCGGCGACGAGGTATGCGCCTTGGGGCCATTGGTTTGAAGATATGAAGAGTTGTAAGCTCCGTAGACATCGTCCCTGGGCTGCAGGTAGTGTTAGCAATGTAGCGACCACGGGGTTTGGCTGAACCTACTCGGCCCCAGGCTTCGGGGAAGTGGTTCATTATGAAACAGGACTGAGTGAAAACCGCCCAAGTGCAGAGGAGAAAATGGGGAGTGAAGAATGAAATGGGGGAGAAGGGGAACGGGATTGAACGATGACGATGCTCAATGGAGGAAGCTTAGGCAGTCAAGCTGACGGAGCTCCTGCTGACTCAGCGCCCACACGCGCGCGGTTAAACACCGTAGTAGCGAGTTTCCTTCATTTCGAGTTACTATTCGGTAATTCCAAGCTCTCGATTGCATCGTTATTTCCGGCAATCTCGTATTGGCCTCTCGGCCCGTCTACATGTGGGAATGCAGTGATCCTGATTTGCTCAGCCTCCCCAAAGCCTCGTATCCGCCGCCGATCGCGTTCAACCCGTGGCTCTCTTTCCACCTCGTATTAAAGGCCCGGGAAGCGCCCGGCTTGTAGTACAGTACACTCATCATGCCTTCAGCTTCGCCCCGGTCCGAATCCATCGCATCGGCTCTCGCCGAGTTGGACGAACAGGGCCCTTCGCGCCTATACCATATCTACAGGAAGCCCTTCCACCAGCGCTATGAGATCAAACCTACAGACGATCAAACATTGTATTACGGAGAGGTTTCCTTGTGGAATATCAAAAAGTTCGATATCACTCTGCACGCGGGGGACAGCAACAAAGGCCCCGTGGTGGCTGTCAGCAAGTTCCTCAAGTTCTCGGGCGACTGCAAGTTGGGTCTGGGAAACCCCGACGACGGGAATGCTCAGTGGGAGGACATGACCAGAAAATCCGTCATGCATGTGAAATATCGGTTTGAGATGACCGTGCCGAGCCAGATAGGGGACCCCAATGGCGAAAGGCGCTCTTTTCTCTGGAAACACACGCGGCATGTCAAGGTGGAGGATGACTCGACTTCTCTCATGAGGGGAGTGCGAAACTTCAAGCTGGTTGATGAGCGAACGGGTCGGCTTATGGCCGTCTTCACCCGCGAGAGATCTACCGCTAAATGCGGAAAGCTTCAGATCAACGGAGGATACGGGGAAATCTTTGACAGAATGGTCTTGGTTTCCTGCGTGAGTCTATATGAGAGAGCAAGACGCCGCAACAGATCAGCAGGCGCGGGTGGTGGTGGTGGAAGCTGAAAGGGTCATTCTTGTCATCGGCGAGTGACTTGAATCGAATATTTCTCTATCGTAATCTCTTCAAAGTTCTGCCCACAAATGGTCGACGGGTATTGATGCCAACCCAGGCTCTTCCGAAAAGGGAGGCCTGAACATTGCACATGGAGCATGGGAATACTCCCTTTCCTCACTCATGACGCTCATCATGTTCTGAGACTGAGTGGATCAGAGGACCTGCCCATCGTGAGAAACACTGTGGCCATCTCATATTATGCAAAGGTTTGGCGCCTCTGTAGGTCAATCCGGACATCAACAATTCATATTCATGCATTGGATTTTTTTTTTGTATCCGAACCGGACACAAAATCAATGGAAGACCTCTGGCCGGATGACTTCTTCTCTTCCGTTTGCTGCCGGATTTCTTGTTGGGTTCTTAAAAGTTCTTCCTTGAAGCTCCATTTGGGAAGGTTGGAAGTACTCCACAAGGCTGCCGGCAAGGCCGTATCATATTGGGATTGCTCGTCGATACCCGCGTGTTCCATCATCTTCTTTAATAAACTGGGATTCTTAAGAGACGACGAGTTGGCAAGCTTTGCATTGAAGTGAACACCCTGCTTCTTGAGAGACAGGAAATGCTCGAACTTGGCGTTTGCCGCAGGATCGGGAGACCCGGGAGGAGACGGTGGAATGTCCAGGTTGGGGACTGGAGGGAGCGTGAGATCTTGAATCAAAGCTCGTGATGCCGAGAAAGGAGAGGAGCGGTCGGTTTCGGTACGGGTATCTGGTGACTGCGCCTGGTCGATCGGTGTTGGGCCAGATGCAGGACCGAGAACAGGGCCACTTGGGGCTTCGTTGGAGGCTGTACTTGTGGGCGGAAATTTGTGCACATGATGGACAGGGATTTTGTCTACAAATGAGATAGCATTAGCTTGGGGTAAATCAACCAGGTGTCTTTGGGACCTAGCGGGAAATATCACCTCTGGTCTGATCTGCTGGCGGGGCCGTGGCAGGAAGCTTTTCATTGCGCTGTCGAAAACGTTGTCAGCAAAGAGACCCGATACATGAAAAAACTCCATACCGTTGATTCGAGAGGTGTCTTGATCACGACCTCGTCCTCGTCACTGCTATCATATGAAACAAGACCGAGCATAATGTCGCCGGCCGTAGTATCCTACTCTACCGTAGTCGAAGCCCAATATGGAGCAAAATAAAGATCTGAAAAGGGCACAAGAGCAAACCTGCAACAAGAGGCTTGTTTTCATCAGAAGCCAAACCGGTATTGCAAATGGGAAGCTCGGGTCCCTTGGAAGTAGTTCGACCTTGTAGCAGTGCGGCGGGAGCTGTCGTTACGTAAGCGAAAGGCAGCTACAGCACCGCGTCAGACATCTGGGAATCTGCACTACTGCCATCAACTCACGACCGTCCAATTTCTACAACCCATTTCCTCCTTCAGTGTCGCTCTGTTCCAACTTCTTGCTGAAAACACTCTTTCTTGAATCTTCACTTCTTCACGATGACGTCCCTCTTGGATCACCCATCTCGCGGTGAGACCATCGGATACTCCTTCTCCCAGCCCACAGCTGCTCCCCTCAGACAGCATGGATTCTACCCGTATGAAGTCACCTTGACTAGAGCCTCAAAGGTCCCGAGCTAATGAGTTTGTACTAGATACACCGACAATGGCGGCTCGACTCTGGGCATCACAGGTTCCGATTTCGCGATCCTTGCTGGCGACACCCGTTCCACATCAGGCTACAATATCAACTCTCGCATGGTTCCGAAGGTCTTCAAGATCGGCGGTGATGATGAGACTGGCGAGGGTGCTCACATCATTCTGTCCGTGGTGGGCTTCGCTGCGGACGGCAATGCCCTCAAGGAACGGCTGGATGCCGTGGTGAGGATGTACAAGTATCAGCACGGCAAGTCCATGTCCGTCTCAGCTTGTGCGCAGCGGCTGTCGACCATTCTATACGGGAAGCGATTCTTCCCCTACTACGTACATGCCATCTTGGCCGGCCTGGACGAGGAAGGCAAGGGAGCTCTCTACAGCTACGATCCTGTGGGTTCGTACGAGCGGGAGCAATGCCGGGCTGCCGGCGCCGCAGCAAGCTTGATCATGCCGTTCCTGGATAACCAGGTCAACTTCAAGAACCAATACATTCCTGGCAGCGGAGAGGGACATGCACTCGAGCAGAAGAAGGCGGAGCCTCTTCCCCAAGAAACGGTCAAGCAATTGGTACGGGATGCATTTACAAGTGCTGTGGAGCGGCACATTGAGGTCGGTGACCACTTGCAAGTGATGATCATCACTTCAAATGGAATCGAGGAGGTGTTCCACCCGTTGAAGAAGGACTAGAGAACGGGGCATTGTCTACTATAGCCTTCTAATACCACAATGTTCAAATATTGAAATATGTCTTTGTTCAAATAAGTGAACGGGATATTTTTGTCAAGATGGATATCTTGATGTCGTCACGCCTATATAACATAACATCTTTGAAAGCCCAAAATCGGAATGCTCCCGAACGCCGATACCATGCCGAAACTCGTTTTGAGGAATGTGGTGATTATTAGAACCGCTCCTTCATACGTGAAGCAACCGTTCGGAGGTTGCCGTAGACCTTGCCCTGTTGCGTGTCAGAAAAGAAAAGGATTTTGTTTTTCGGGAGAGACTAACCGGAGGGCTACCTAAGATCAGGCTGACGATGGCCTCACGGGCAATGTGAATGTTCTTGAATCCACCCAGAATGTGGATTTTCTGGTCTGCAAGCACCACGCGAGTCCGACTGGCATTTTCAATCGCAAATTTGGTCTTTCCATCCTTGCCGGCAATACGGCCAATTGCGCGTCCAAGGTGCTCCCCGTTCAATGTCTTAACATCCTTGATTTCAAAGGTCTCAATGTAGAGATCGTCCAGTCGCAGAAGAGCGATCGCGTCGTCGATGTCAAAACCGAGAGTGAAGGCCTTAACGAAATCCGCGCCCTTCTGCAATGCCCCCACGTCGCTGGTGAACTTGGAGGTTCGTAGTTCCACCGCTCGGCTCTTGACGTTCATCCGCACTTGCAGCTTGAGGTGTTCGACGATAGGAGGGCAGATCTTGGTCCAGTTCGCTTTGAGCGGTGTCATGCGGTGTGGCGGGACAGGCACCTTGCGAGTCTCGATGCGGTATGCGGCGTTGGTTTCCTTGGCCGGCGTGAAAACGGGACGGCCCTCTTCATCGATGCGCATTTCACTGTCTCCCGCATATTCGGCGACGGGGTTGGAAGCATCAGGCTCAGCGGTCGCCTGTGCATCAATCAAGACTTCATCGTCCTGGTCTATTTAAACGGTTAGTTGTGAGAGAGCGAACGAGTGAAATTTCCTTACCCATGGCCTGAATGGGCTGGGCCTCGGGCTCCGCCGGCTGACGAAGAGCTGTAGGGGCAGACATGGTGTTGACAAGAATACAAAAATTTGGGAGAATCGTTATCGCAGAATTTATCGGGCGCCCCTCGTAGAAAAAGTGTGGGCGTGGAATTTTCGGGCCGGTGCAAACAAAACAAACACCGATGATTTCATTCCCGGAGCTCGCTGAGTCCTGACACCATCAACCAACGTTCCCTCTCTCTTTCCCCTTACCTATGAGTCGCAGGATGTGAAGACGAAGATGTCCGCCAACTTTGGACGTCGCCTGTATACCCATCTATGGGAATCGGCGAGCCCATTTCGCGGTCGCATACGAAATCGCATCTCCGCCCCCGATGCGAAGGTCTTCGACTCGTTTTCCACAGGCAAACGATTCTCAACATCCAAAAAGGCCATCCCTCTTACGAGACGAGTTGCTTCCGGGGGCTTTCTCGTTCTCGGTGTTTCTCCTAGCTCCACTGCGGCCGAAGGTGGCGTGGCTTGCATCGTTCCCTCAACCCAGATAGCCGCTCAATATGTCTGGAAGCGAGCTTTACATACATCAAACAACAACCAGTCTGATAAAGGTGCATCCAGCGATCGTCGCCCCATCAAGGAAGATGATATTTCTCACGCCCAAAATCCCGATCAAATTCCTCCGCAAACCCCTCCGTCGAAACTGCCTCAAGGACCGCGTCCATCCACACCTCCCAATCGCCACTTGATGGATCGCTTGCCGCATATGCCCCATTTACATCGGCCCACAAAGGAAGAACTTTTGGCCGCAGCGACTGGATTTTGGTCGCGCCTTAAGGTGCGATTCAAGTGGTTTTCTATTCGGAGTGTACGGCCCTTCAACTTAGATGAAATCACGGCACTTTTCTCATGGGTTCTACTTGGCCATGTTGTCTGGGTCGTTGTGGGAACCACAACATTCTTCTCGCTGTTAATCCTGGCCATCAACACGGTCTTTGCGCAGGGTATTTATCCGAGACATCCTGGGCGATACCTTTGCTAACATTGAAACAGAAACGCTCGCCGGATGGGTAGGTAACTACCTTACCAAATCATCTGGAGTTAAAGTTGTCTTCGAGTCTGCCATCGTACCCAAATGGAAGAATGGCGTCATCACTTTCAAAAACGTGTTTGTATCGCGGCGGCCCGGTCAGGGGACCGGGCATGTTAGCAAAGGCTCTCCGACGACTGCCGCTGCTGCCGCCGCCGCCGCAGCTCGAGGTGATCCTGGGCCCGAAGACCCATCGCTTGTAACCGAAGAGGAGGATACCAATTACACGCAATTCGACCTATCCATCGAGAGTGTCAACGTCACTCTGTCGTTTACGAAATGGCTCAACGGAAAAGGCCCCCTTCGCGACGTCGAGGTTAAAGGAATACGAGGTGTTGTTGATCGCCGGCAAGTCTACTGGCCAGAGGAAGATCTGGACCCCAAATCGTATCGACATGAGCATCAGCCCGGTGATTTCGAGATCGATTCATTCAAAATGCATGACGTGTTGGTCACGATTTATCAGCCCGATAACTTTCGACCGTTCTCCGTCAGCATTTTCTCATGCGACCTACCCCAGCTGCGCAAGCAGTGGCTCTTCTATGACTTCCTCTCTGCCAACATGATGTCGGGGTCTTTTGACAACTCGTTGTTCACCATTCACCCCCGTCAGACCCACGGTTTCACTGGGCTCCGGTTAGATCAAAAGACCGAGGAAGATGGAAAGCCTAGTCCCTGGAAGCAACACAACAGAATTCGTGTTGACGGGTTGAATATCGACCATTTGAATCGAGGTGTCCAAGGACCCTTTTCGTGGATTCATGAAGGCACTGTGGACATTGTGGCGGACATCATGTTACCTTCCGAGAACGATGAAAGCATCGCAAAGGTGATGGTTGATTTTTATGACAGACTGGAGGCCACCGTTACTTCCAATCAATACCCAGAGACTTTGCCTCAGCAGTCCCAAGATGATACAGAGTCCGCATCCAATGCTGACAAACGGTTCTTGGTCATGGACTTGCGAGTCAACCTCAACAATGTTCGAGCCGCGGTCCCGATATTTACTCGAGATCTCTCCTATATCAATAACGCACTTATCCGACCGATTGTCGCCTACATCAACTCAAAGCGCACCTTCATTCCTATCAATTGCCGCCTCGTCAAGCGCGTCAGCGACTTCGATGGGAGCTGGACTATCTTTGACAGTAGTTTAATGGATGACTTGTCCGCTGCTGTAAGTATATCTCTTGGCCTCCCCCTCCCAAAAAATCTAACCGCACATGTCCGCTTTTGTGCTAACAATTTTCGCAGACATACGACGCATTCGCTCGGGATGTTGTGGATGATCAGGCCCGCAAGAGACGGTTCAAGAAAGTTGGATTCTGGTCCCTTCAGCTTGCCGCGCAGGCTATTTTCATGGGCATGGCTGGCAACATTGCATGATTCTGTACATTTTCTATGACCTTTACCCGACGTTTCCGACAAGGGTTTTTCTGGCCGGCGTTTGGGTCTTTTCGATGTCATAACCACTTTGCATTTGCGGAGTCCGGGGCATTTCCACTGAACCATTCTCATTTCCTCTAGCGAGACATTACTTCTCTCGCCTCCTTTTCTAGTTCTGTTTCTGTTTCTGGCGTGTATCATAGGTCTCACACATTGTCTTTGCGCGAAGCTGACGAGAGGAGGTCGGGAGAGCGCTTTGTCTTGTAGAATCGATCTTCTGGTCTACTCTTTATCCGACCCCTTTACTACCTGCTACCTGGTGTACATAGATGGGTATATAGCTATCTGGAGATATACTAAGACCGTCATAGAAATTGTACCAGGATCGGTATACGGACTTATCCTAGTTCAAGGGCCCAAAACCGTGAGTCCAAATGCTGGTTTCTAGGCTGTCAAACAGCGATCGTCGCTGGGCTCCACTGAGGAGTTCGAGACTAAACAGAAACAATTATCAACGTGCACACCCCCCCTTTTCTTTCTTTATTTCCTTCCCCACCTTGCGCTGGGAAACAAAGCCCGATTTTTGGCGGGTGTAAGATTTCTTGCTCGGCTGAGACAACCCCCTTTCTGTAAGCTTCAGCTTCCCGGGACCCGCCATCCCGCCTCCTGGGTCCTTTGCCCCCCCCCCGAACCCCCTCTGATGTGCTGATCCCTGAACCATGTCGCAGCCGCGAGGCATGGAAGACGACTCGGGTCACACGGCCAGGAACAAATCTGCCCATCCGCCTTTGAATAGCGGTCTCATCCCCCGGGATTATCTCGCGCGATCAGACATGGCGCGCTCCGGAGCTGGCTCCCGCCATATCTCACCTTCGCCTCTACACACCAGCTCGCTCCCACAATCCTTTCTTCACGAGGACTCGCCCTCTTCCTATAGCCCGCTTTCGCCCAGGTCCAGTGCCAACGCGTCTCCTTCCCAGAATCGGTCGCCTATTTCCCGTATGGTGAATGCGCCATTCCCCGTGCCTCCCTCCAGCTCGGCCCATCCTGTCGCTCAATCCTCGAACATATCGAATACGGGGACGGCGGACATGGCCAACAGGCCGGGTGACAAAAATTCACCTAAGCCGCCAGGCGTGGCCGAGCCCGATCGTTCCGCATCATCGTCTGTGAGCTCTATTTTGTCTGCGCCCGGTGACCATCCGACGCACCGCATCATGCCTCGCACTTCCTCTATCGATTCGGCCATTTCATCCTTATCCTCCGCCTCTCAAAAATCGACATTCGATGCCAATGCTTTGAGTCCAGCGGATATCAGCAACCTCATTAATGCTGCTGGTTCCGCGGAGGCTGTCATTGTTCACCTCCTGAGAGAGAAGCACCAAGCCGCCTCTCAAAACTCGCAACTCTGGAAGCTGGTTGATAAACAACGCACCCTTATACTGGGACTCAACAAAGACCTAGAATGTGCTTTCAAGGAGAAAGAAAAGTATAAGAAGAAGCTCAAAGAGTTCCAGGACACGGCACCTCCGCTATCAACCACTGATCTATCCGTACCGCGAACCGCCCTGACCGATGTCGATCATTCGGATGTGGTGCCAGAGCTCGAGAACAAGAGCAAACCGCGTCGGAATGATCAGCCATCCGTCGTCCCACCCTCTGCGACGCCCGGTATTACCCTTGAAGGCATATCCGATTTCGGTCCCGCAGCCGACGTCTCGTCCTCAGTCGCAGGCGAAACACAGCGACTACCACAGCCGAACCGCAAGCCACCCCCTGCACCGCTGAATCTACGACCAGGTGACACTCTGCCAGGGCCTGCAGAACCGGACTCCGAATCCGATTATGGCGATACGCAGGAAGCAGATGGACGGCCAAGCGTGGACCGTGGGAGAAGAAAGACGCGAGAAGATGACGACCGAGACCGCGAGGTTGGCTTGCAAAAAGAAGTAGATACCCATGGCGCCGTTGGAGCTGCCACGTTTGAGACCACATCTCAGAGCTCACCGGATACTGCTACATCTGCTAGTCCGGCGGCGATCCCTCGTGAATTTGCAACGAGATCGCCGCCAGGTATGAGCCAGTCTGGCTCCTTCGCCTCCATTACGAATTCTCGAGTTAATCCCCCCACTTCAAATGGACATCAAAATGTCACGATGCCCAAGAGCCCCGGCCTTCCATTGAGTCCAAGGCCTGAGGATCGGCCCATTGGCTCGCCCTTACCTCGGATGCCCAGAGACATGTCTGCGGGTTATAATCCCTCAGGACTGCCCATTTCTCCGAGAGCTTCAAACTATCCAGTTCCATTTCAGCCTGGAGATTATCAACCTCTGACCGGGAGGCCTGGAGGCCCAATTCCATCAATCGATCCAACCGTCAAGGTAGACAGTCCAAGATCACCCGGGTTTCCAGAAAGCAGTATATACCAGGGCTTAGTTTCAGAGGAATACCCCGGGCTGCTTCTGCCCCCGAATGCGCTCCCTTTGATCCAAGTCAGGGTATCTTCGTCACGGCTTCGACCTTCCAGAAATAGCTACATGGTATCCAAGCCCCTGGACGAGGAACCTGTCTTTACACTCAGTGTTATTTCTCGATCTGATATGGTTGAGCTTTGGCGGGTCGAGAAGATCATTGCTTCCCTGCCTCAATTGGACCATCAAGTCAGACAACTCGCCTCATTTTCCGGCAGGTTGCCCGATCGCAGCATCTTCAGTGGTCATTCACCTGCCAAAGTGGATGCCCGGCGTGCTGCGTTGAATGCATACTTTGACAGTCTCTTGGACACGCCTATGGACGAGAAAGCTGCAGTGGTCATTTGCCAGTTCCTCACAAATGATGCCATTGAGCCTCGAGATGATGAGACGAGCTTGCTCAAAGGTCATGGCCAAGTAAAGCCAGATATGCTTCGGGGCCCAGACGGGAAACCTCGAAAGGAGGGCTATCTCACCAAGAGAGGTAAAAACTTCGGCGGCTGGAAAGCCCGATACTTCGTTCTCCACGGACCCGATCTGAAATACTTTGAATCTCCCGGTGGCCCTCACATGGGTACTATCAAGCTTCATCATGCACAGATCGGCAAACAATCACAGAATCCCACTAGCCAGAGTCAGTCACCCCCAGGTGCTGATGAGGACTCTGACAACCAGTATCGGCATGCTTTCCTTGTTCTAGAACCAAAGAAGAAGGATTCATCGGCGCTCGTCCGGCATGTGCTTTGTGCGGAAAGTGACGAGGAGCGTGATACATGGGTTGATGCCCTGATGGCATATGTCGAGGCACCTTCCTCAGACAATGAGAGCCGTGGCAACTCTTCTTCAAGGAGTCAACCCCAGAGTCAGTCAAAGCATTCTTCCGGCACTACGCCAAAGCCCAAATTGCTTCCCAACGAGGGGAGCAAGCGATCTGGCAGAGGAGTTGAAAGCCCCGATCAGGACGCCGGGGGATCTGTCCAGGGTTTCAGCTTTGACGACACTGTTGCAGCTGAGCCTCCTATACTGGGATCGTCTCTCGAGCAGGCCCCTCGCTCCCCCCGTATTCCGGCCGCTTTATCGACAGACTTCCGAGAGCTGAACCAAAGCCCCGTCGAGCCACCGCAGTCTCCCAAGATCATCTCTGCGCCTACGAATGGTGCAGTGATTCAAGATGTGGGAGCTTGGGGCAATAAGCCCACATCAACAAAGGAAAAGAAGCGCAGCATCTGGGGATTCCGCACACGATCTTCCTTCGACCTTGCTTCGCAGGCCTCCGTCGATGTGTCTACGGCGAATAATAACATTCAAGCCGAGCGGAGAGAGCATGTCAAGCCGGTCTTCGGCATTCCATTGGCTGAGGCTGTGCAGGATTGTGGGCCCTACGGAATCGATGCGGAGCTACCGGCCGTCGTCTATCGCTGCATTGAATATCTTCAAGCAAAGGGCGCAGCATCGGAGGAGGGTATCTTCCGCTTGAGCGGCTCCAATGTTGTGATCAAGGCGCTGAAAGAACGTTTCAATACAGAAGGAGACGTGGACTTCTTGGCTGGGGACCAGTATTACGATGTCCATGCTGTGGCTTCTCTTTTCAAACAATACCTCCGAGAACTCCCCACTACGGTGTTGACGCGGGAGCTTCATCTGGATTTCCTCCGTGTCCTCGGTAAGCTTACTTGTTTGTCCCTTCACCTACATCGGGTGACACAACTAATTCCATCCAAACAGAACTCGATGATCGGCAGAATAAGATCATTGCCTTCAACTCCCTAGTTCACCGGTTACCGAGGCCAAACCTAGCATTGCTGCGAGCACTGTCTCTTTTCTTGATCGAGATTGTCAGTAACTCTGATGTGAACAAGATGACGGTCAGGAACGTCGGCATCGTCTTTGCTCCTACTCTCAACATTCCGGCGCCGGTGTTCTCGATGTTCCTTACCGACTTCGACAGCATTTTCGGCGACGACTCCGGTTCCAGTCCAACATCTGTGGAGCTGACCGTTGACCACAGTCTGTCACCGGGTGATGTCCGTTCCCCACGTCATCAAATGTTTTCAGATATACCGACTCCCTCGTATAACCAGACCTCATTCCGAGGCTCGGACGATGCGCCTACCGGCCTTGACCATTCTCGTGCCCCCGATGAAGCTGGTTTTGTTTCAATGCAGCCCTCTTACGACCAGGCGGGTTACAAACAGGACATGTATAGTCAACCTGCTGGAGCCTCTGGTCCATTCTCTTCTCTGAATGGCATGCTGTCTCCTAGTTCGGATGATTCTCGCGCAGCCAAGGCAAAGAGGCGAGAAAGCTCGATGCTTTTCATGGACCACAGTATGTTTTTAATACCGCTGGAGATGCTCCGTTCAATGATAACTGACTCTTGCAGCACCGGAAGACCTCTCCTTTCACCAAGGCAAATAAATTATTGGCCAACCAAACCAATACGTCGCGACTTCGTTTTGGCTGCTTTGTTCTTCCCACGTTTCCCAATTCTAATTCCTGGCCATCTATGCCCCTTTGAAAGATCACGATTTGCACGCAGAATGACGACCTTACCCACTTGGCACCAGCAGAGTCGCAGGGAATGTTTAATGATAATGGTAATTAGGACAAGGCTGCAATATCGAAGGCTGGCGGGCCTTGAACTATATTGACTTGGAGGTTTATGTTTCTTGATCTATTTTTATACCCCTTCTATTATATTTCATTCTCGGTCGGCGCTGTGTCGCGGTCTTTGGCTCAATGCCTTTTTTGATTTTGAGCCGACTTGGTCTTATGTGGCTTGCCTCACATGCGGTTGCATGACACGTCTCTCAATATCGTACCATTATCCTTTTCCATACTTCCACTCGCTCGGTCAGAGCTGCAAATGCCATATTCAGTTTATACGATGTTTCCTTTTAAAAACGCCTGGTTCGCTCGCCCTTCCAGAGCCCCATCAGCTCGCCATTTTCTCGAGCCCAATCCCGTACGTTATCTACCAGCGCTTTCGCCATGCCTTTATTCTTGGACTTGCCATCCGGTGAGTCATGGCTATGACCCAGACCGGTCGAGGCATGCTCCCCGGTTGCGTACTCAGAACCCATACTAGGCAAAACATTGTCACCCGCGCTCAAACTCACAAAGAGAGCAAATGGGACTAGCCAAACACACAGGCCAAAATACGAAGCCACTTCGGAGAACGAGGGGATATCTTCGTAGTTGACCTGATATGGCTGGCGCCAGTTGTTCTCAGCTCGTTGGGACGGGGCTGGAGGTTTCGAGAAATGGCGGAACCATAGCCAATGATTGAGGACAACCAATACGCAGGAGAGAAGAAACAGAGGGTCCGATAGCTTCACGATGGGGAAGCGACGTAAGTTGCTGGCATAGACCAAGTGAGAAAGGATGCTGAGAAGAGAGAGCCACACTGGGAAGCGGTCGAAGATGACGAGTAGCACCTGAACTGCAATGATGCAGTATATCAGGCGACTCAAAAGCTTGCGGGCGAGGACAGTGTGCTCCTCGACAAGCTCAGATAGATAGTAGAGCCCCGAGGCTGCATCTGATGTTAGTCTTCAGTCGAGCTGAGGGAGCCACGAGGAACCTACCGATGGCCAGGGTCAGAAAGGCAAACCCGACGACCACCCCTAGATAACCGAGCAGAGGAAGAATCCACATCGCAAAGACGGCCGCGATGTTGGAGGTGAAAGATGAAGTGGATGAGGCGAGTTGGCGCATGCGGAGCTGTCGATTGTTTCCGCAATGACGCTTTGGGGTAGGTGCCTCAGGCTTCCACCCCGCCTCCAAAAAAAAGTCTCGGTCTGCGAATTCGCCTCGACTTCTCACCCCAAAGCCCACCATGTCGCGCCCGGAAGATATTCTGTATGTCTCTACGCTATTTGAATTCCGACTGAGATCCGCAACTAACCAGTTTCGCGAGAACAGCCCACCCGACCTCTTCTACAACGACAATGAATCCCGCAAATATACAACCTCGTCGCGTATCAGGAACATCCAGGCCGACATGACCAACCGGGCCCTGGAGCTCCTCAACCTGGAATCCCCGTCACTGATTCTGGATGTCGGATGTGGCTCGGGTCTTTCTGGAGAGATCCTGTCACAGGAATCTCCCGAAGATGGCGGACCACACGTATGGGTTGGTATGGACATTTCACCGAGCATGTTGGACGTGGCCCTACAGCGCGACGTAGAGGGTGATCTGTTCCTTGCCGACATTGGACAGGGCGTTCCTTTCCGGCCTGGAAGCTTCGACGCGGCAATTAGCATCAGTGCTATCCAGTGGCTGTGCAACGCAGAAACCAGCGACGTCAGCCCCGAGGGTCGCCTCAAACGATTCTTCGAAGGTCTCTATGCAAGCCTCCGTCGCGGTGGTAGAGCTGTCTGCCAGTTTTACCCCAAAAACGATATCCAACGGAGCATGATCAGCGGAGCCGCGATCAAGGCAGGATTTGGTGCGGGTATCCTGGAGGATGACCCCGGTACCAAGAACAGCAAGTTATATTTGGTTCTGACGGTCGGCGGTGGCGGTCTGCAGGGTGACATTACCGGAGTCGTGAATGGTATGGACGATGTGAATGTCCTGGATGCCAGAAGAAAAGCCATGGAGTTGAAAGGTGCCCGAGGCGCGCCACGGAAAGGCGACAAGGCTTGGATCATGAAAAAGAAGGAGCAGATGGAGAAGAAAGGAAAGGTTGTGAAGCAGAACTCCAAATACACCGGCCGCAAGAGGCGTGTGGCCTTCTGATCACAGATTTTCTACATATTCCAACCCTTTGATACCCTTTTCTTACACCACCCATCACATCTCGTCTTCGAAACTGAGTTTCCGAATACAAAAATAGCAACTGGTCTAACTCTGAAATCCAAAAAGTGTCTATTGCTATAACTTGCCGGGGGACATTGCGAGCTAAATAGAAAGAAAGATAATACATGATAGAGGGTCAGTCCAGCTAGTTCATGGCCCGCGGAGTCCACTGCAGATGAGTCGGCTGGATGTATCCTCGGTCGTAGCGGTAGGGACGATGCAAGGCAACGAGGGTTTAAATTTACAGAGCCGCCTCCATCTTGTCCAAGACAGCACGGGTAAATTCATGAGTGGTAGCCTGACCACCCATGTCGCGAGTCCGAGTCTTGCTATAGGATCGTTAGCAACCATAGTGACAAGAAACAACCGGTTTTACAAGGGGCTACTTACCCTTCACCAATCACATCGTAGACAGCCTTGGAGATACGGTTGGCGTGGTCATCCAGACCGAGGTGGCGGAGCAACATGGATCCCGAGAGGATCATGGCACTGGGGTTGGCCTGGTCCTTGCCCTTGATGTCGAGACCGACGTGACGGCAACCGGGCTCGAAGACGGCAACGTCACGACCCATGTTGCAGCCAGGGACCAGACCGGGGCCGCCAACGAGGGCAGCACCGACGTTGGAGAGGATGCCTCCATAAAGGTTGGGCATGACCATCACGTCGAACTGCTGGGGGCGCGAAACAGCCTGCATGGAAGCGTTGTCCACGATCATGTCGTTCACCTCCAGTGTGGGATAGTTCTCAGCGACCTTGTGGAAAGTGCTGCGGAAGAGACCATCGGCAAGCTTCATGATGTTGGCCTTGTGGATACAGGTAACCTTCTTCCGGTTGTTGGCGAGGGCGAAGCTGAAGGCGAACTTGGCGATACGCTCGGACTTGGCGCGGGTGATGATCTTGAGGGACTCGACCACGCCCTGAACCGACTGGTGCTCGAGGCCGGAGTACTCACCCTCGGTGTTCTCACGGATGATGCAAAGGTCAACATCCTTGTGACGGGTTTCGTATCCAGGGATGTTCTTGATCAGGGAGATCGAGGCGTAGATGTCCAGCTCCTGGCGCAGGGCGACGTTGAAAGACTGGTGGCCGGAACGCTCAACGGGAGTGAAAAGAATACCCTTCAGGCCCAGCTTGTTACGCTTCAGGGAAGCCAGAGACTCCTTGAACAGCTCCTCGGAGTGCTTGTTGCCAGTGTCGACACCACTGACATCGACCTGCTCCCACTCGATCGGGACGTTGTCCGCCTTGAAGATGGTCTTCACGGATTCCGCCACTTCGGCACCAATTCCGTCACCTGGCCATAAAAACAGAGATTAGCATCCAACCAATTCAGCGCAAGGTGAAGAAGAGTCGGTAATTGATTGTGGCATACCGGGAATGAGAGTGACGGTGTACTTGCCACCATACTTGGTGGGCTTGAAAATGTCCGACTGAACGCTGGCAAAAGCTGGTCGCATCAAATGTTAGTGATGAGTTCAAGAATCCACGTATGCGCGCTAGAGAGGGCCAATGGCATACATCTCGCGGGAACGGAGCGACCGAAGGAGGGAGCCACGGAGGCACTGCGGAGCAGGGTCTGAATGAGTTAGCCTTGGCGCGCGCAAGGGGACAAGGGGAAGAACACGACTTACCCGGGCAGGCTGTGCCGTTCTCGAGAACATGGTTTATTGACACGAGTTCTTTGACACGAGGGAAAGGTGGAGGTGAAGGAGAGGGGAGGATAGTGTATGGGGGAAAGCCAGAGGGGGGGGGGAAGGGAAGGATCAGACACTAAGGAAAACGGAAAAAAAGGGCCCGGATGGGCTCGGCATCGCGCGACTCTGACCGGCAGCGGCCCGATCTTATCTCGTGCCTTTCCTTTCTCTTTAAACCTATTGAGCACTTCTTCTGGCACCTACATTTCTTGCACCTTCAATGTTCTTGCACCGCTCATTTCGGGAAATTGCTATTCAGCTACCTTTTGGGGTTTCTTCATCCCCGATGCCCTGACGCCCCTCGGAATTTCACAAAGATTGCCTCGCTGTCGCTCGCCTTCACCGTACCCATTGGCCCGGACTCGACCCCTCGACGAGTCACGAACACGATGACTAGCCTAAAAGAGGCATGTGCTGGAGTATTCAGGCACGTTTCATGATGAAGGCAACAACGTGACTCGTCAAGATCTGAGGCCGTCGGTGTTTCTATAGACCAGTTCAGGTCTCAATAAGCTCTTTGAGCAATGATGAGCCTACAGAAATGTGCAGTCCGTATGGCTCTCGTGAATATATGGCCTTGCTGTCGCTGCTGGCTTTTTCTCGGACCACGATCTTCGTCTCACTCTCTTGAACACCGATCAGTCCAATCCAATATTCTTTTCTCGTCAATCCACTCACCCCGTTCTTCGCAATGAAGTACCTCTCCATCGCCATCCCTCTGCTGGCCGCTGCGACTGTCCAGGCCGCCGCCGTTCCGGAGGCGCAGAATGAGCCCGGCATGCCCATCTGGTGCGGCCACCCCGGCCAGGGCTGCTACATGTACAAGCGCACCGCCGGTGTCTCCAACGAGGTCAAGCGCTCCGCTGAGGCGCTCGCTGAGGCCATGGCCGAGGCCCACCCTCAAGCCCTTCAGATCTGGTGCGGTCACCCCGGCCAGGGCTGTGCCAAGGCCAAGCGCGCCGCCGAGGCCGCCGACGAGGTTAAGCGCTCTGCCGATGCTCTTGCTTATGCCATGGCTGCTCTGGATGAGGAGTAAAGTAAGCTTGTTTGATCCTGATCCTGTCCCGAGTCCTTACTAAACAGTTGGGCAGCGTTGCGCTTTGAATATCCGAGTCTTGTCGGCATTCGTGGTCTCTGATGTCAAACGACATTCTAACCCGATAATGCCATACTCAGTGCTACGTTCGATTGCAGTTCGACATGATGTCGATGCAACCCGGGAGACTCTCAAATGGAGAGTATGATCTGTTACAGATCTATGGCGGACGCTCCTTATGTTACTGGCCATAGTATCCGCATTTTCTACATTCACTGCGGATTTACAAGTAGGAAAATGTATTTAACAAAAAAAAGAAAGAAAAAAAGCAAGCCCACTACGACGATTGAGCCATATATGTCCCATTGTCCCATTGTATACTGTGCATTTGTCGTTTTTCGTGATCTACCTGGATATGTCTGGGCAGAGAAGCTTTCTGTAATCAGGGCCGATCAACCTCAATTTTGGCACCAGTGCGGCTGAACCATCCCACGAGCCGCATGATATCGGTTCATCTCCTCAAATGCCCCGTACTGGGACTCCATCGGTCCCACTTGGGCCGGCTCCCACCACTGTTGGCTGTTGTATACGGGATCTGTAGACGAAGCGTAGGGCACCCCGGTCGTGGGCTCCTTCGATGGAGCAGCCTCGTAGCCCGATAACATGTAAGGTTCTGCAAGCTCGCCATGATCCTCGGAAACGGCATCGACCGGATCGTTCATCTCGAGGTCCTCGGCGGGGTTTGCGGGGAAAGATTGTATATCTTGGCAAGATGGCACGATCGGGGCCCGTTCCAACCGCGAGTAGAGCTGCCACGTTTGTATCAAGCGCTGTCGTTGCTCCACGTCCGCATGTTGAAAGAGTTCCAACTGACTGGAGGAGAAGATGCTGGAGTCAATCCCATGCCGTCCTAAGACACCATGGACGCTCTGAAATGTCTGGAAGATCGGGTTTGGATTCGGGGGAGGTGCTACGTGGGAAGAGTGGTGGTAATGCTGGGAGATACTGAAGGAGACCGGGTCTTTCTGGGCGGAAGGAAGCTGTGCCATGGTCATCTGTCGGTCGAACAAAGCAGCCAGTTCATCCTGCAGCTTGCCTTTGCTCTCCGAGGCAGACAGGCCACACTAGACTCCGGGTCAGGCACTGTTGCAAAGCACAGAGATCAAGCGGAGGCTACCTGGTCACAGTGTGGATTCTCGATGAACGCAGCGAGGGAAAGAGAGATATCAGAAACATGCCCACAGGACGGGCATTGGTGTAAGATGGAAGAAGACATGGTTCCAGGAGGGGAAATGATAACAATAACAAACACCCAAGGCGGTATGATAGAGACCTCCAGATAAACAAGATGTCCAAGCGGAATCCGAGGGAGGAATAGAAAGAAAAGAGATCAGTATTGAACATATGCCTCCTTTTCCCCCACCCAGGCAAATGCCCAAAATTGTAGTTGGGCCGCACTTGATCGCGCGCGGTCCCTCTGGTCACGTGGCTAACAGGCAACCCCGTGACGCAGCTTCGTCGAGCTCATCCACCGGAGCTTCCCACTTCCCCCATCCGCGTTCCTGTCTTCAACAGCTTTCCATTTGTTTCTCCCCCCTTCATTGTCGTCTGTGATTTCGGAAGGCATTGATCTAATTGCACACTTGCACAACCATGGTGGGTCCTATTGTTGTTTCTTGCTACCTAGGCGTTGCTAACAGGGTAGACGTCAATCGGCACGGGATACGATCTCTCCAACTCGGTCTTTTCGCCAGATGGCCGGAATTTCCAGGTAATTTCGCGGATTCCTCTGGGGCGCTCGATACAGCGATACCCCCGGGACTTCATAGCTAACCAACCCATACAGGTTGAGTACGCTGTCAAGGCTGTCGAGAACGGAGGAACAGCTATCGGCATCCGATGCAAGGACGGTGTGGTGCTGGCAGTGGAAAAGATCATCACTAGCAAGCTCCTCAAGCCCGGCGCCAACAAGAGAATCGCGACGGTTGATCGTCATGTCGGCATTGTAAGGACTACCGCCCTTTCCCCTTCAACAACAACCTGTTCTTGGCAGAAACTAATCGATCTCTTACGATTCAGGTATCGGCGGGCCTCGTTCCCGATGGTCGTCATTTTGTTTCCAGAGCCAGAGATGAAGCATCCTCATGGAGAGGTGTATACAAGGGCCCCATACCGACCTCCGCGCTCGCAAATCGCCTCGGTGGCTATGTACAAGCGTACACACTTTACTCCAGCGTACGACCATTTGGCGTGACCTCCATCGTCGGAGGATGGGATAGCGAAGCGGACCTGGCTGTCGATGGCCAGGTAGGCACAGGGCCGAAGTCCGGCTCCGGTGGAAAAGTCGAAGGAGCCCAGGCTGGAGGACCGGGGCTATACATGATCGAGCCTAGTGGACTTTACTGGGTACGTAGATAGACTTGAACCTTTTCACGAGGTGTGGCTCTTGCTAATGGTCGATATAGGGCTATTACGGTGCTGCCACCGGCAAGGGACGCCAGGCTGCAAAGGCGGAGCTGGAAAAGCTGGACCTGACCTCAGGCAATCTGTCTTTGGCAGATGGTGTGAAGGAAGCAGCTCGCATCATCTACGTTGCCCACGAAGATAGCAAGGACAAGGAGTTTGAGTTGGAAATGTCATGGATCAGCTCGATCGACGGTCCGACCAAGGGCCGTCACGAGGAGGTACCAAAGGACATTCGGGAAGAGGCTGAGAAGTTTGCGCGACGGGCTCTGGAGGGCGAAGATGAGGATGAGGAGGATAAGGGCCCCGGAGAGCAGATGGAAGAATGAACGTGTCAATAGATTTGGCAGCGAATACATTTTAATTTGATGCTTCTGCGATGCCTTTGTCCCATTCACATCGGGCCCGATAATAGATCTGAAATCGAGATGGGGACTCCGAGTGGATTCGGTCTCGGATTTACGCAATCGTTCCTTCCGACCACTCTTGCCTCTTCACACCCAACTCCACGGCAGCGCTGCCCCAATCTTCACCGTGGTTGTGCATCCCACTCTTGCCCAGTCCGGCCCGCTCCAGGCCTTGTTCCTCTGTCAACACGGTCAACAGCCCAAAGATCACCGGCACCCCCGTATCCAGTTGAACCCGCATCAGCCCATGGCTGACGGCATCCGCAATATATTCAAAGTGCATCGTGGCGCCCTTGATAAGCACGCCAATGGCAATGATGGCATCAAATGGCTTCTTAGGACTAGTAGATTGAGACGCTGATTTAAGATCGGTGGTGGAGGATGACAAGAGGTCGGTGGCACTGATGCCTTCGCCTGAGGAGCTCGCCTGGACCTGAGAGGCGGCGTAAATTCTAGAGATATGAATTCGTTAGGTCCATCGTAGAGTCAAGAGACCCAACGCTTACCGCTGCACGCCGAGAGGCAGTTCATAGCTACCGGGAACCGTCTGGACCGTGATGTTATCCTCGGTCACACCAGCTGCCAGCAAGCTCTTCTTGGCTCCGGAAACCAGCGAGTCAATGATCGCGGTATTCCATCTCGCGTGGACAATGGCAATTCGCAATCCAGAGCCTACCGCAGTGATTAGCGGGGGAATCCTCAGAAAGGCGTGCTAAGCGGGGTCAGATCTCCTACCATCAAGACTCTGGGCAGCTCCGGGACCTTTGATAGTAGTCATTCTGTATGGCGGGATAGAAAGAAAGATAGATGGGAGGGAAGGACAAGTGAACGTTTATGAATCGGGGGATGAAAACATCGGTCCCGCAATTGGTGCGGCGGGGAAAGGCGGAATGCTATGGCCGAATACGGCCAAAATGGGACAGCGTCGTGGTGCTATACCAATGTACTGTACAATTCATACACAGAACTAGAAGTTACTTTAATATCTGAATAATTCAATGAAGGAAATAGAAAAAAGGATTGCATTCTCCCGAGAAAGCTAAGAAACACCTAATAATAAGATCATCGCAGTCGTCTACTTAAGATTTCCATCTCCTGTAGTTCCCTTTTACTCGACCGTAACCGACTTGGCCAGGTTACGGGGGAAGTCAACGTTCAGACCCTCCCCAACAGCAAGCCAGTATGAGACCAGCTGCAGCGGGATCACGTTCAGCAGACCCTGGAGGCAATCCACGGTCTTCGGCACAACAATCTTCTCGGTCTGAGCAGCCGAGAACTCGGGGTCGTCCTGGTTGCAAATGACGATGGGACGACCACCGCGGGCAATGACTGTATTCTGAGTTAGTTCGAGTAGCTCCAGAATAGGCATTGTACGAATGTTAAGGCATCACATACCCTGTTGATAGGCATTCAGCGACTTGGTGAACAGGTTGTCACGGGTGAGGATCATGATGATAGGCAGGTTCTCGTCGACGAGCGCCAGAACACCGTGCTTCAGTTCACCGGACATGACGGCCTCGCAGTGAAGATATGAGATCTCCTTGATCTTAAGGGCACCTGCACAAAGGGGGGGATATTTTTAGCACAAGACAAGAGGAGGAAAGGTAGTTTGGAAAGACTCACCCTCAAGGGCAGTGGGGAACTGAGCACCACGGCCCAACAGAAGCAGACTCTTCTGGTCCTTGAAGAATTTGGCGCACATCTCCTTGATGGGATCGTTGAGCTTCAAGATCTCCTTGAACTGTTCCGAGACTTTGCCGAGCCCCTCCATGATCTCCTCGCGTCGCTTTTGCTTCGAGGCACGGTCTTCGCTAAGAGACAGAGCAAACATGACCATGGCGACAAATTGGGAAGTGTAGGCCTTGGTCGATGCCACACCGATCTCGGGACCGGCGTTGATGTGGACACCGCAGTGGGTGAGAAGAGAAATGGAAGACCCGACGACGTTGACAATACCGACGGTCAGAGCACCGCGCTCCAGGCAGTAACGAAGAGCCATCAGGGAGTCAGCGGTCTCGCCAGACTGAGAGACGAACACGCAGGTGTCGTCACGGAACACCGGCGCCTGTCGGTCCAGGAAGTCCGAAGCCAGCTCGACGGCGATGGGGATCTCGGTAAGCTCCTCGAACACACCACGTACGGCCATGCAGGAGTGGTAGCTGGTACCGCAGGCGATGAAAATGATGCGGCGGCAGCGACGAATGGTGGAGATATATTGACGGAGACCACCCAGAGTGACATTCTTGTTGACGGCATCTAGACGGCCTCTCATGGTGTTGACGACGGACTCGGGTTGCTCAAAGATCTCCTTCTGCATGAAGTGGTCGAACTTGCCCTTCATGATCTCTTGGAGCTCCAGTTCGATGGTCTGGATTGCACGGACGTTGGAGGTACCGTCATCCTTGGACAGGCGGTGGATGTTCAGCTGACCCTCGTGGATGTGAGCAATGTCATCATCCTCCAAGTAGAGGACCTTCTTGGTGTGCTCGATGATGGCCGAGGGGTCGGAGGACAGGAAGAACTCGGCGGGCTGGGGGATGCCATCGTCGGACAGGAAAGCGCGCGACTGGGAGCGGTGTAGGAGCGACTTGTCCGGGGGAGCCAGAAGGCTGGTGGCGGACTTCTTGATGGCGGCATTCTGGGAGGCCTGCTCCGCAGGAAGAGCACCCTCTTCCGAGAATTCCACATCAACGAAATCCACCTTCATCTTCTTCGAGGTGCGCACGCCAATGACCAGGGGCGAACCCTTACGGGCCGCAATCACCTCGTGGGGGTAGTGCACCGACTTGAGCAGCAATCCGAAGGCTCCCTCAAGCTCCTTAATGACGGCCTTGGCAAGGACGGTAAATTCGATGTCCGGATGCTGGTCGTAAAGGTACTTGGCAAGCTTGGCAATGCACTCGGTATCGGTCTCGGTCTCGAAACGGAAGCCCTTGCTCTCCAGGAGAGACTTCAATTCCTTGTAATTGGTGATGATACCGTTGTGAACAACGGCGAACTCCCAGTTGAGGTCAGATCTGCCGAGGGTTGTTAGCGATACATTTCTCACCTTTTTTCCTTTTCCTCTTCCTTGCCAGATTGGCGGTGGGTCAAGTAGAAATAACGATGAAAAGAGAAGCAACGTACCGATGTGGGTGGCAGTTCTGGCGGGAGGGAGTGCCGTGGGTGGCCCAACGAGTGTGAGAAATACCGGCGTGGGACTCGAAGGTCTTGGTCATGTCGGGCTTGGTTTCGGCGATAAGCTCCTTCAATTTGGCGACCTTGCCCACTTCCTTGAATGCGCAGACCTCATTCTTCTTGTCACCGTCCACGGCCATACCGGCCGAGTCGTAGCCACGGTATTCCAGTCTGGACAGACCTTTCACAGGTGTCAGCTTTGGTGGAGCCGAGGTCTGGGGGACGGCTTACCATTGAGAAGAGTGTTAATGATGAACTGGCGATCCCGCTCGACGAGGTAGTTGATGTAGCCGAAAATTCCACTGTCAAGAGTGAGCCACGATGTCCGAAACCCGAGTGAAGAGCTCCCACATACCACATGATGGGCGAGAAAAAACGAATGGAAACAGTGAGTGAGAAAGTGTGTGAGTGAGTGAACTGAGGGGATTGAAAAGGTGGCAAGGGAGGCTCAAGGTTCAGAAAGACGAAGGGGGAAGAAGGAGGGGGAGGGGGGGGTTGAATAGCAAGATAAACACACAAGGCGCATCGTATTTATAGAGGGGGAAAGGAAAGGGAGGGGCGAAGCGTGAATTATTATTAGCTCCTTCAGGTCCCGGCTTGGCCAATGCGTCGGCCCAGTCACCGCATCTCACATCAAATGAATTTCGATGAATTTCGGTCTCGTCCCCACTTGCCAAGAATCCAAAACACCATAACACAACAATGAACTTCAAAACACGCGGAATCGGGGTTTCTCTTTGGTCTACATTGAAAGCGAATTGTCACGGCTCTACTACGGGGACCCAGGCTCCTGGTTCCCTAGGGCTTTACGCCTTAGGGAAACAGGGGGTTTAGCCAGGGGATCAAATTCCCACGTTTATTTTTGCTCGACCCATTCCGTTCCCACAGGTCTCAGGTGCCGATGAGATTCCCGAACTATCGCCCACTAACTCCGTACTATTTTTGTAGAACTCAGCCCCTTTCCCACCCCTGGAACTTTGATCTGACCTCGGTGGTACAGAGCCTCGCATATATCTCCTAAAGAATAGAGTTAAGGAGTTTCCCATCCGGGTACTATTTTAGCGACCTGTGTAGCAGTTTTAGGAGACTCCTTGCATTTCCTTGTGAACTTGATTAGACGATGATCCGCATCTCTAGACAGGTCAATTGCCAAGCTAAAGCACATCCTGAGTGGCAGGATGATCGTATACCCTTGTTCAAACGAGATCTCTGGAGTAATGATCTGGTGAGGTCACTGCCATTTACCGAAAAAGGAAGAGAAAAATGATGTGGGCAGCTCCGCGTCCCCACCGCCCCGCTCACCGCCTCCCCATTCGGTCGCGTCTCTCTCCTGCAAAACTCTTTGATTTCGCGCGACGGAGATCACTTGGTGAAACCCCCTTCCACCCGTCGGTCTTTGATTTTGAACACCCACATCATCATCTTCTTCGTTTCGAGCCCGGGATATCCTACCCGGTCGCGCATGGGTCTATCGTCGTGGTCAAGGATGCTGTCTGGTGATTGCGCGGTCGTCTCGGGTGTGTAGCCACCTCTCACGATGTCACGCGCCTCGGCCGGCTTTGCGGATTTCTTCCCAACTGCCCCATCAGTTCTGCAACAAAAGCGCGTCAAGGTTGGGGATCGCCGAGGCAAAGGACCGGATGGCGAGGTCGAGACGTCGGGGGCGCTCGCCCCGTCCGTCGCTACTGGCGGGGCATCGTATGAACCCGCTGGAGAACCTGTTCACGCATCTTCGACCGCGGTGGTCGCGGATTCAACGGGCTCCGAAATCGACGGGGCTCTTCCACCGGCCATTGCCCCCACCCATCCGCTGCAGCTCGACACCTTGACGCCGCTGACCAATGCAGAGTCATCTCCGCCCGGCAAGGCGACCAGTCCGTCCAAGATCGCAGAGCTTAATTCTCCGGGCCATGCTGTTCGTCCCAATCCCGAGCACTCCAAATCATCGATGACTCCCATTCACACTCCCCCGACTCCCCAGTCTCAAACCCGCGCGGGACATCCGGTCAAGGGCTGTAAGGCGGTATATGACCCTGACCTGGACAAGCGGGCGTCCAAAGAAAAGCGTCGCAAGCCTGAATACGTGGACATCCTGTTGAATGGTCAAGTCGGCCCTCCCGACCCGCGTTTAGCCATTGCCAACTACACGCGAGGATCGGCCTGCAAGCAAAAGACCAAGTACCGACCAGCTCCCTATGCTCTGAAGCAATGGCCGTATGATGCAGCCACCAGCATCGGTCCCGGGCCTCCGGTCCAGGTGGTCGTCACAGGCTTTGATCCTCTCACCCCGATCGCCCCCATCAGTGCTCTTTTCTCCAGCTTCGGTGATATATTAGAGATGAATAATCGCACAGATCCCATAACGGGCCGTTTTCTTGGTATCTGCTCGGTCAAATACAAAGACACCGCCTCATTTCGTGGAACTGGCCCGGTCTCGGCACCCACTGCTGCCAGACGAGCCTATTTCGAGTGCAGGAAAGAGCAGCGCATCGGAACCCGCAGGATCAGAGTGGAACTGGATCGTGACGGAGTTGTATCGGAACGAATGACCTCAAGAGCGATCGAGTCCCAGAGGGTGGCCTCCAAGGCCGTTGCAGCCGCTGCGGAGTCCAAGCCAGATCTCCAGTCGAAAAGAAATGAGCCACCCCCTACTGCGCCCAAAGGTCCCTCAGGAAGATCGGCCCTACGACCTGGACTCGTCGTCCCGGAGGGGCCTCGAGCAAATCTTCGGTCACCGTCCGTACAATCGTTGGTCGAAGAAACGCCCATCCTGAGTCAAATCAAGCGTGATCCCTACATCTTCATCGCCCACTGCTATGTGCCGGTGCTCGGTACGACAATCCCGCATCTCCGGAAAAGACTCAAGCTATTCGGCTACAAAACGATCCGTTGTGACATCACAGGCTACTACATCGTTTTCGAGAATTCTAGGCGAGGTGAGGAGGAAACGGAACGATGCTACCGACTGTGCCATATGCAGCCGCTCTTCACCTATATCATGAATATGGAGAGCCATCCCTACGGGAATCCCAACTACGTGCGCAGTCCGAGCCCGGAGCGTCTGCGAGCGGAGCAACGGGAAAAGGCCCAGCAGGAGAGGGCGAGAAAAGAGGCTGAGCTGGATGTCGAAGAAGAAAAGAAACAGCGCGCAATTAACCTGGATCCTTGCCGGGAGGTGTTATCCATCATTATTCGTGACCTGAGAGACAAGCTGCTCGAGGATGTGAAGTCTCGAATTGCTGCGCCCGCTCTATACGACTATCTTGACCCGAGCAAGCATGCGGACAGGCGAGAACGATTAGGGATTCCCGGCCCCGAGGGTACCAGACGGTCCACGTTTCGAATCGAGACAGACAGCACATTGGGCACGCCGGATTCTCGCTCTGGACTTTCCAACGGTTTAGATCCGCTTCGGTCGTCGAATCTCAACATCCTTGCGCTTCCACGCATCCGCAAAGCTCACGGTTTGGGTCGTGCAGGGGCAGCCTTTGTGGACGAGCGACGTCGCCAACCATCACGAAAAAGAGAGGTTCGCCCCCTCTACCATCGCTTGCAGCAATTGCACGATGACGAGGATTCAGATGATGAACAACGGACCCCCGTTACCGAAGAGAGAAGCAGCCGCCCACCAAGTCGCGCAAGTTCTGAGTCATCGGAGTCTGATCAAGACGAGGAATATCAGTCAGACATATTGGAATACGATGAGGAACGTGACACCCAAGTTACAGGCGGCAAGGAGACCGACGGTCTTGTCCATGATGTTGAAAGCCTGTCCCCCCGATCTGGCAAGAGAAAGCGCTTGGCTGGTGAACTTAGCTCTCGGAAGAGGCTGAGGCAGGATGATGAGCTCTTCGGAATCGAGCCCACCGAAGAGATGGCAGGGGAGCAACCTGAAACTTTGTCGACCGTCGATGCTAGACTTGGCCAAGAGGAAGCGACAAGTGAATTGAGGGGAGAGCAGGATTCTGACCTGGTCCTGACCAAAGACTCCCTGCCAGACGATCTCTCCTTTGGTGAACCGTGGAAGACCGGGACCGAGAAGCACAAAACAGAGATCGACTGGGGAGTGTCCACGGATAAGCCGCGCGCGACTGTGGAGGATGACGAAACGATCATTCTGGATTTGGATGGTTGGCAACACCTGGTCAAGGATGACGAAGATATGCGCTACCTGCGGGAGATTTTGCTCGAGCAGGCTGCGTCCGTTGTTGGTAACATTGCTGCATGGGCATGGCGGCAAAAGGAGATCAAAGCCCTAAATCAAATGGAAGCGAGAGGACCGACGCACGACGCGATTGGTATCACTGGCTACTATGTATCCAATATCTCGGGCGCTGCACGAACCGAGGGGCGAAAGAGGATTCTCAATTCTGAAAAGTCGAAATACCTGCCTCATCGGATCAAGGTCCAGAAAGCTCGCGAGGAACGTGAGGCCAAGGCCAAGGATGATCCCCAGGCTGCTGCAGCCGAGGCTGCAAGAATTGCTGCTGCAAAGACAATATCCAAGTCGACTTCACGATCAACTCGAGTCAACAACAGGCGGCTCATCGCCGACATCAATGCACAGAAGCAGGCTCTTCCAACGGCTAGTGGAGAGGGCGATGCGCTTCGGTTCAATCAGCTTAAGAAGCGAAAGAAACCCGTCCGGTTTGCCCGGTCTGCTATTCACAACTGGGGACTGTACGCCGAGGAGAATATTACTGCCAACGACATGATTATCGAATACGTTGGCGAGAAAGTACGCCAGCAGGTTGCCGACATGCGAGAAAGACGGTATCTCAAGAGCGGCATTGGTAGCAGCTATCTGTTCCGAATTGATGAAAACACCGTGATCGACGCCACGAAGAGGGGTGGCATTGCACGGTTTATCAACCACAGTTGCACACCCAACTGTACCGCCAAGATCATCAAGGTAGATGGCAGCAAACGCATCGTGATTTACGCACTCAGAGACATCGAAAGAGGTACGTGAGGGTCCTGATCCTGGGGCTCAAATGCTTATTGACGAATTCCACAGACGAGGAGCTCACGTACGATTACAAATTTGAAAGAGAATGGGACAGCGATGACCGCATCCCCTGCCTCTGCGGTTCGATTGGCTGCAAAGGATTCCTCAACTAAGGTTCTGCTGCCACGAGCATCTTCTCTTTGGAGTCTCTTCTTCTGCACGGCGTTGTTGGGGTTGGGCGTTTCGGAAGGTGGGAGCATCAAGACCTGTACTAATGGAAATCGTGATTGGAAGCGCTACAGCCTTCATGTACAATACAAAATTCCAGGGTTTCAAGAAGCTGGTGTTGGAGGCCCACGAGGGCCACGTAACCTTTCACCTTGACCTTTTCATAGTCAAAGTAATCGTGTATTCTGCGTGACCCGCCCTTTTCCCTTGGAACCTCGTTGTTTATGCCTTGACCAAGTAGATCGGGGCGGTTTCTACGGATGATATAGGGGACGGCTGGCCTCTCGCTTTGGGGTATCAGTGCGGCGGATTTGGCTTATATCAAAGTACTCAAACTGCAAGAAACAGGGATGAGCGTCGGTCGCAATCAATCGAACAAGGGCACTGGAGGGATTACCTACCCAAATGACTTGGAAGCAGAAAGTTTGCAATTCCCTCCTTGATCACATATTCATGGCTGCAGTTGCCACAGATCAACCTGCCTTCCATCACCTGGGTCTCCAATAACAGTCGGTGCAAATCCTTCAGTGTCTGTTCATCATATAGTGCCTCGCCCTCTGGTTTCGTCTCTGGAAGACTTGGAAAACCCAGCTATGCCCCTTCAGTCAGCTTTGTTCCCTCGCGTGTATCTGCTGGAACGGTACCTCATTTGCAGTGACACGAAGACCTTCCCAGTCAATGCGGGGGATGACGTTGCGGATGAACTCTGGTTGGAAATCCAACTCTTGCATTTCGAGCTCGGCATCGTGGAAATGAAGTGGGAATGAGTTCGGCGATGTCTTGCATTCCTTGACCGAGCAGGTCACAAAATTGGCCGTAATGACTTTCATATCTTTGGTTTTCGGTATTGGCAAACTGACTCGACGTAGGGAAGAACCGGTTCGATAGCGTGTCCCAATTGTAGTTTGTGCTCTCAACCAATGGTATACCGTAGCTTTGCGTCCGGAGCAGTCTGAGTTGTGGTACAAAAGAAATGCCATGCGATAGCAAAAAAAAAAAAAAAGGGCCCCCGCTGTCATGTGACGGTCTTATCGATAAGGCAGACTACGCTCCACGAGTTCGAGGCAATAATACACCGCTATTATCATAGTACTGCTGTTGTGCTACCTTTTGATACTGTCGAGTACTCTGTCGACAAAATGAAAAGAAGAAACGAATGTGGGAAACTTGGAGGTGCATTTTGTCACCCCCCTCTTGTTATGCTCGGAGGGACTGTCTAAAATCTCACCACAACTGCAAGTTGTCTCTTTGATCAATCTCAAATATTCTCATGTAGGGGAGGGATTGGGCTAGGTGCAGACGCCTACGAATACACCGGGGACCATTAGCTGCACGCACACCTAGACCCGGGGTTTGATCTGGACATCCACAAGGTCTAGATCTGCGACGTCATGGTCACGAAGACAAGTATCAGGATCCATACGGTCTCCGTCGAATAGTAGTGACACGTCTTGGTCAGCAGGAATATTCTGTCTGTCGCGAAATGCTGAAATGAGCTTGGATACCAGTGTTTTCGATCTCGCTTTTATCTTGAAGTCATTCAATCCGGGGCTCCTGAGAATCAACTTCATTGGCTCGTTCTGGTCATTTCCGGGGTTCGGAGGAGCCGGGGATGCTTTAGACTCATCAGGTGAGAGGCCTGGCCAGTTGAGGAGGAGTGGGTCATCGGTGACGGCTTCCATATGAATACGCAACTCTCTTGGACCTGTGACAGGATCATCATCCAAGTCCGAGAGTGTCAGCTTACTCTCCAATTTGATCCCTAGGCTTCTGCAGGTTGTGACATCAAACAGGCGTCGACCTCGCCAGGTGAGGTAGACGGACGACTGTGTTTCTTTAGTAATTCCTTGGCGCTTGCACCATTCGAGTCGAACATCCCTCAGACCTTGGGACATTTTTCGATGAACAAGTAAAGGTTTCGTATTTGGGATTTGCGAGGTTATGAGAATTTGAACTATCGGGTCATCCCTGGGTAAGGTTGTGGGTTGCGCGGGCCGAGGGGCTGGTCCTGCACTAGAATGGCGTGGTAGGACTTCGTGGGTTGGATCACCGCATTCGTGATCCGCGTTTTGGGATGGCGGGCGAGAAAGGAGTTTGGGGGACACGGAGTTATCCGTGAGGACAGTGGGAAGATCGTCCTTAGGCCGACCATGGAGGGAGCGGTTGTAATTCGTGCTCAATATTTCACTCTTGGGGTCAGAAGTAGCTGCTTCTTCTTCTTCTTCTTCTTCTTCTTCTTCTTCTTCTTCTTCTTCTTCTTCTTGCCGGATTTGACGGTCTCCTGATGAAGTGGGAGGCTTGCGATGTTTTTCTGTCTCGGTTTCTTGGGCGTGTTGACTTGTATCTGCAGCATCTGCCTCCGTATTCTCTGTCTCGTTCGAAAGACGAGGCCGCTTCAAATGCCTTCCATCTGCCCCAATAATGGGTTCTTCGATATGTTCGAGTCTGTCCGGTGTAATCTTTGCCTTTTTGTGTGCCTCTCGATTTGCTGCCACGATGTCGCCATAAGTTTGTTCTGACCGCCGGTAGAATTCCGATCCCGTATCCCCAGTATTGGCTGCCCACGTGGGCTTTTTGAAAAATGACCGCATTGTAAAGAATAGTTGCCACGCAGGTATCGAGTGTGTCGGGGTTTGTTTTGCATGAAGTCAAAACGAAAAGGAAAAGAAAAGAAGCTGTCGCGGACTCCCCCACCGGATGGGCCTTCACCGCTTTCGGGCTCTTATCAGCAGGGCTGAGCACGCACGCAGGTCCCCGTCCCTCAGACCTCCCATTCCACACAGGTATGATACTCACGCTCTACTGTTAATCTCTTTACTGAACCTGTCGAGACCATAAGCCCTGTCCCTTTGGTTTGCCCCGTGATTTCGGACAGCATCATGGAGAACGGTTCATCCTCAGAAGGAAAAGACCCGTCGGCCTTCCTCGGCGAGATTATTGGAGCTCCGGTGATCGTAAAGCTGAACTCCGGCGTGGTTTACAAAGGTACCAAGTCTCTTGATCTTTCCCGACTCACTTGCTAATATCTTCCTAGGTGAACTGCAGTCGGTTGATGGCTACATGAACATCGCCCTCGAGAAGACCGAGGAGTTTGTGAACGGAAAACTTCGACGCAGCTATGGCGATGCCTTCGTCCGAGGAAACAACGGTTCGTCTTTAGATCCTGCGCTGATATGCCACCTACTCACAACCGACTCAGTGCTTTACATCTCGGCAAGCTGATACGATTCCATCTCTCACGCTTTCACCCAACGTGCGAGAAGGGTCCGTGAACGGTGACCTGGACCATCCTGTTCCTCCTTTTTACCCAAGCGTCACTCCCGGTCCATTGTGTTATTCAAGGCTTAGGCGTCGGTTACAGGAGTGCGGTATAAAAAGGTGGGGGGAAAACACTATTTGGAAGCTCTGCATTTGCTACCGTCCCACATAACCCTCCGCACCGTGTTCACTCTGTTTTCACTGTAGACCGTGAGATCATACTTCTGTCATTCGTACGGTGCGGCTACGAAGTCACAGTGTAGTATCATTCGATCCTGGATATACAAAACGCGATGTCTATTTGTGTCCCATGTAATCGCTCGGCTCACTTTAGATGCGGGCATCGTAATATCATGTAGTCAAAGGCCACTTACAAGCGCAAAGTCAAAATATGCTTTCTGTGTGCCCGACTCAATTCTGGAATAATAATGTTATCTAGGTTGCTAGCAAGGTATGTACTAGAAAGCACCCCACTGAGGGGAGCAAGTTAGGTAAGCCTGATAATGGCGGGGCTGCTGCATCCAGAAAAAAAGTCCGAGGTCACAATTCACCCTCTTCCTCCCACTTTCGCAACGATGCTGCAGGCAATCAAGTACAGCCAGGGTCACCTGGAGATCTTGGACCAGTTGCAACTACCTTTTGTTGAGAATTATGTTCCCATTCATTCTGCAGAGGATGGCTGGCATGCAATCAAGGACATGAAAGTTCGAGGCGCGCCGGCCATTGCCATCGTGGCAATGCTTGCGCTTGCCTCGGAGCTGCATTCTATGGGAACCAAGGGCAAGGTCCCCAAGACAGCTGAAGAGACGCGAACCTATATCGCGAAACAATTGGAGTATCTAGTAACAAGCAGACCCACCGCAGTGAACCTAAGTGATGCCGCTCGCAAGCTGGGATCCGTCGTGGAGGCTCGGGCGAACCAACCTGGCGCTGATGGGCATGATGTTGTTGCGGCTTTTATCCAGGCCGCGGAGGCGATGATGGTGAAGGATTTGGATGATAACCAGAGGATTGGGCGCAATGGTGCGGAGTGGATCATGGACAACGCAACAAGGCCCGGGGCATCAAACGTCGCCGTCCTGACGCACTGCAACACCGGGTAAGTTCAATGGAGTCAAGATTCAATCTAGGACCTAGGCTGATAGAAAGTAGATCTCTTGCCACTTCCGGCTACGGTACAGCCTTAGGAGTGATCCGATCACTGGCGTCAAAGAATTCTCTACGACATGCCTATTGCACCGAAACGAGACCATACAACCAAGGCTCTCGCCTGACTGCCTTTGAATTGGTTCATGATAACATTCCCGCTACGCTGATCACGGATTCAATGGCAGCAGCATTGCTTGCAGACCCCAGTGTGGGGGTGAATGCTATCGTGGTGGGAGCAGACAGGGTGGCAGCCAACGGAGACACTGCCAATAAGATCGGCACATATGCACTGGCGGTCCTAGCAAAGCACCACAGTGTCAAATTCCTTGTCGCAGCCCCTCTCACAACTATCGACTTGGCGACAAAGTCAGGAAAGGACATCGTCATTGAGCAACGCGCAGCATCCGAGGTAACCAGCATCAAGGGCCCTCGAGAAGGAGATGAGAGGGTGGTCTTGGATACTGTTCGCATCGCTGCACCGGGTATCAGTGTCTGGAACCCTGCATTCGATATCACTCCGTCGGCTCTAATTGATGGAGTCATTACGGAGGTCGGCGTGATTGAGAAGGGCGCCGACGGCCAGTTTGACATGGACAGGCTATTCAAGGTCTCCGCTCCGGCTTGACCTCAACTCCCCGCTCTTTGTTCTGCTTTTGGTTCCGGGTTATTACATCCTCTCGGGGTGAAGATTGACTGTCGAATATCGCGAGTAGCTCGTCAACTTTGCCCTCCAGGGCGTTGAGATGGGCCTCCAGGGCTGACGCCGTGGTCTCCCCCCTGTTATGATGTCAGATAGTGAACTAGCCGTTACGGTACATGGAATGTACTTTGCAATATCTGCCAATGTCTGTCATATGTAGTTAGTTTCTGTGTAGGAACTTCTAAGTCCTGGGGGTGGCGGGTTTCGCGATACGGGCACTTCTGTTCACCGCGGGGGGTGGTCCTGTGTGCGCACATGGGGAGGGGGAAGGGGGAAGGGGGAATAGTAAATGTGAGATATCAGTGAAATTTCCACTTACCTTGGCGATATCAAGGTCGTCTGTGCTATTTGCGGGCATATTGTCGGTTTGATTTGTGGTGTTAGTCGGCAGTGGTGATGAACGATAAACCAATTGAGCTCCGCACGACCAATGTCAGGTGAAGGGCCCCGCTTTTTCCGGCATCGCTTACTGTAGTCTGGGCCGGCCTTTAGCTGTAAGTTACTACTTTAGGATTTTGCCCTTACCGTTCCTCGGTTAATATGGGAATTTAAGGAATGGCCACGCTAGCAAGGGTAAGATGCCAGGCTATTCTTGTCTCGCTGATGCTACTCACTGACTGAGTATGTAGACTACCGATCTTGATAAAGGATATGCCTTTGTATCATACTCGGGCTAATTGGATACTCAGCACTACTCTCAGATAGACTGCGCCATAAGTTATGGCCCATAACCCGCACCCGAATCCGCAGCGGGCTCGGGCTATAAGTTGTAACCCGGACCCAACCCAGCGGGTTATAATTCAGATTTAGAAACCCGCAAATAACGCATCTCAACCCGAATTTACATGAAATTCAAGCCTTGGAATTCATAAAAATACTTAGTAATTATGTACGGTATTCTTTAATAGACTTTATATCTAGCTATCTATTACCTTATATATATAAATAGATATCATATAGGCTATATATAGGCTATATATATCTTTAGAGTATTGATACCACCCCCTCCCCTACCTGATTTCTCAGGCGCCTATATTTCTGCCGAATAAACTATGCGTATTTTTTAAAGTGTTATTTTTTTTAGCTGCAGAGATTTTTAATTTTGGTTTATATAGTAAAACCCCGCATTTTCATCCTATTAAATCGCTCTCTTTTCGCTTTTTTATATATATTTCTCGTAATATCTAATTATACACCTCTATCCTAAGTATTTAGTATCCCCGAACTATACTAATTATTATGTAGTATCCTCTAATCCCAGACTATATATTTACGTCCTCTAGGACGCTACTCTCTATAGGCTCCCGTAAAGAAATTGTCGGGATTGGTAGTATGGAAAATAAGAGAGATAAATAAATGCCCAAGGGTCCCTATGCAGCAGGGCAGTCCTTAGGACAAATATTTATAGAGAGAAATACTACCTCCCGTAGAGGTCGGCTACTACTGCGGCGTAGTAGCTTACCCCAGGAAGATGGATGAAGATAAAGATAAAGGTAGAGATAAAGGGTCTCTCTAGCCTACCCTAATAGAGAGGAAGGGTAGTGAGAGGAGAATTAAGATGAAAGCTCTTATTTTATTTAGTCTGGTTTTTAGGCTATATCTATAGACAGAAATATTCAGTTTATCTAGAATAAGTGTGCTGATTACCCAAGGTAAGTATGCTGTTTGCCCGAGGCAAACGTGCTATATCCGAGGTTATAGACAGGATAGGCCCAATAACCTCGGTTAGGTAAGCAAATGGAAAGAGAAAGCATAGTAAAGGCCGAAGTGAGAGCAAAGTGAGAGATAAATAAGAGATAATTAGAAGGTCAGATAAAGGTGGTGAGAAATGGCAGAACGGGAACTTCAGCGGGAACTTCTATGTTGAATTGGAAGCTCTAAAGAAATCTGCATTTATAAATATAGGCACCTAAAATCCTAACAGCTAATATTTTTATAAATTATAGAATTTATCTATAATAGTATAATAATAATTATTTTACCCTTTAAGTACTATTTAGATATTCTCTATCTTTAGACATATATATTATTATCGGGATTACTAGTATATAAGATAAGAGAGATAAATAAATGCCTAAGGGTCTCTATATATTAGGGCTATCCTTAGGATAAATATTTATAAAGAGAAATACTACCTCCTATAGAGGTCGGCTACTACTGCGGCGTAGTAGCTTATCTTAGGAAGATAGATATAAATAAAGATTTAGGATAAAGGTCTCTCTAGTTTACCTTTGTAGAGAAAGGGTAGTAAGAGGTGAATTTAGATAAAAGCTCTTATTTAATTTAGTCTAGGTTTTAAGCTATATTTATAGACAAAAATATTTAGTTTATATAAAAAGAGTATACTATTTACTCGAGGTTAGAGACGTTATAAAATAAGGATATAGACGTTATAAAGTAAGTAAATAGACATTATAAAGTAAGTAAATAGACATTATAAAGTAAGGGGTAGGCCTAATAACCTCTAGTTATATAGGCTAACATAGATAGAAAGTATAGTAAATATAGAAGTAAGGGGAAAGTAAGAGATAATTAGAAGATTAGATAAAGGCGGTGAGAGATAGTAGAATAGGAATATTAATTAGAACTTTCTATATTAAATTAAAAGCTCTAGAAATCTATATATATAAATATATATACTTAAAATCCTAATAATTATAAATAGCACTATATTAAGATTATTTTAGATATATATATTATTTATCTATAGTTATAAAAGTAATATATAGAAAATATTATAAATATAATTATATTTCTCTAATAGTATTAACGTATTTAAAAAGCGAGTTATATATATAAGCGAGCTACGTATCTATCTACTTTTTCCTATCTATACGCGTTCTTCTATTCTCTAATAACTAATATACCACTAAAATACGCTTAATTAGGCCAAAATCGTATTATATAAGAGGATTGTATTTTATTAACGTAACCGGTAAGCGAGCCGCCCATGTAAGCGAGCCGCCCACCCAACTATCCGCTTTTTACTTTACATCTATTTTTTTCAACCAAAACGCCTTTATATTAATTATTCTACCTAACTGGGCATCTAGGGGCCTTATGCCCTTTCTCACCGCATATAGAACACGCAAATTGACGCCTTTGCGCTGGCGCTAGCGCTGACTGAATAGGCTGCCCGGGGGTTGCTGGAGACGGTGCCGTAGGCTGTAAACCAGCCTCATAGGCTTGTAAATGCCCCTGAGATTCTAGCACTGAAGTGCCAGCATCAATAGCTATATGCCTATAAATACGAGCACGCTTTTGCCTCTGCACCTCGTTGGCGGCCCGTAATTACCTAACCTCTTGCTTAAGTAATATGCCGTTTTGCATAGCGATCTAACAGCCCTTGATAAGCTTATTTAAAGCGGTCTTTAAGGGTGTTAGCGGGCTATTTAAGCGTCGTTTTAAGAAGGCCTAGATTGACGCGCCTTGTTTTAGCAATTCGGCGACGGTTAAGGGTGTTTTTGGTGTAAAAACGCTAGATCGGCTAGATAGGCGGCTTCCTAGGGGGGTAGGCGTTCGAAGCTAGATATTAAGCTTTAAAAGCACTCGTTCTAGGTCGAATGGCACTAAACCCCCTACTGTAAAGCTATTTTTTATTATAAGCGCTTGAAAAGCGCTATCGTGGGCATTTAGGTAGGCCATAAGGAAATTAAGTTTGTCGATATGGTTAATACCAAGCCGCATTTTTTGATTAACTAAGCCTCCATAAGAGCGCTTTAAAATAGCAAAACAACCAATATCAAGCGACTATAAAAGATACGAGCTATACGCTAGCATATAGAGAGGAATTATCTCGTTTTCTAAATAAATTTAGTCGAATTAGGCGGTTAAATAGCTACTATAACTAGACATTGACACTCCTATAGGTATTCCCATTTGGGACAGTCCCGTCCCGCCCATAGGTGGGATATGGGACCGACCCTTAGTCCCATAGATAGGACGGCCTTTTCCCTACCCACCTATAGGACTCCCATACTCCTATAAGTACCCATAATACAAGGAGGTATAATTAATGCATATTATGTAGGAATCTTTGGTATTTAGGTGGTAAAATTACAGTCGAAAGGTAATAAAATAAGAAAAAGAAAGTGAGGTTTGAATAAGAGAATAGCACCTATATTATTCTATAGAATTTCAAAGCCCTTAGGCCCCCGAGGACGTCTTTTCACCCAATTAGAGGCCCGAATCTGGCTTTCTAGAATTATAGGCAAAGAGACTAAATCATCATCACTCTCATCAGATAAAACACTCTTTCTTCTCTTACCAGCCCGAATAGAAGATAGCCTAGAAACATCTATCCTATCTAGCTCATCTAGCTCATCTAGCTCATCCACCCTATCCGCCTCAGTATCACTAATTAGCTCAAAACCTTCTATTTGCTGAGAAGGTTCATCTGTTTCACCGTCCTCGTGGATAGATAAAGATCGGATAAAAGCTAGCTACTGATCTTCTATCTCGAACCTAGTCGTACACATAAACATTATTAGGTCTTAGATAGTTAAAGAATTCAGATGACCCCTCCGAAAATGACAGATATCCCAGGCTAAATTAAATAACCTTTCTACACTAGCACTAGTAGTAGGGATAGAGAAAATATCCTATGCTATATATGCTAGTGTAGGGAACTGATATATATAATCTTTCCAGAATAGACGAGGGCTAATTAGGACCAAACCTAAGTAAAACCAAAGAAATTAGACGAGAGGTAAAATGAGAGGTAAGACTAGAAGTAAGAGAAAAGTGAGAGGAAAGTGAGAGGAAAGTGAGAGGGAAAAAGTAAGCTTACCTCCTTAGAGATATTAGGTTAATTCATCCTGATCCTTAGTGGATTTAGGCTCAGAAGCAAGCAATTGATCAAGCTCAGAAGCTTGGATAGAAGCCTAAGGTTTTGGGATTGAATCACTCTCTATTTAATATTGTCAGGATTTTAGGTGCATGCATTAATTCATGTAGATTTCCAGAGCTTCCAATTCAACATGGAAAGTTCCAGTTGATGTTCCCGTTCTGCCATCTCTCACCGCTTTCATCTGATCTTCCAATTATCTCTCATTTATCTCTCACTTTCCCCTCACTTCGGCCTTTACTATGCTTTTTATCTACGTCAGCCTACCAAACCGAGGTTATTAGGCCTATCCTGTCTATAGCCGCGGGTAACAGCACGTTTACCTACCTCGGGCAACAGCACGTTTACGGCAAGATTACCTCGGGCAAACAGCCTACGCTTACCTTGGGTAATTAGCTAGATGAACTGAATATTTTCTGTCTATAAATATGGCCTAGAAACCAGACTGAATAAAACAAGAGCTTTCATCTGAATTATTCTCTTACTACCTTTCTCTCCTAAAGGCAGACCAA